CTGCAAAGGCTCCCACAATTAAGACACCAGCTGAAGCTCCTACTCCAAAAGAGACCCTGGTTCTAGGGAAGCCGCGAACTACTAAGATATCCCTACCTATCATGGCCTGGCACCGACGCCTATGCCATCTCAATCAAGCCGATCTCCTCCGCCTCGCCCGAGATCCTGAGTCTTGCATCGAAATCAAAGGCTCTAAAGAACTCCCATTTTGTGAAGTCTGTATACAGGCTAGACAGACACGCTATTATAGCAAGGTCCCTAGGTCCAGAGTTACCAAACCCCTTGCCCGAGTCCATCTAGATATCGCCGGCGGTGGACAAACTCTTGATTTTGACAACCCTAACGATGTTGTCCCTGGCCGAATTGGGGCAAAATATGTCCTACTTATTACCGACGATGCCACACATTATCGATGGATTCTCTTCCTTGAGACAAAAAGTGCAGCCATTACCGCTTTCAAGAACTGGCTTCAAAATATGAAGAACCATGGCTTCACTGCCCCTGCCTACCTAGTCTCTGATAATGAATTCCGCTCCACTGAATGGATGGAAACCTACCGTCAGGAAGGCATAGAATGGCAACCAAGCTCACCATATTCACCATGGCAAAATGCCGTTAGTGAACGTGGCATCCGCATCCTTTTGAACGGGCCCGAGCTATGATGCTTGATGCCCCATATATACCAGAACGCTTTTGGGTAGATGCTCTCCAATATGCCACAGATCTTACAAATCGACTCCCTACATCTACCATCTTATACAATTCCCAAATTCCTGGGGGGGTGAATATCAACAAGGACATACACCCCAGCCCTTATCGCGCTCCGTTGGCAGCGTGGACTAATTCATCCATTTCTTCACTCCCCGGATATCGCCGTTGGGGGTGTCCAGCCTGGGTCCATCGGCATGGACCAGATAAACCTGGAAATAAGCTTGATTCACGTTCTCACTGCTGTTTCCTCATTGGCCAAATTAGTAGCCATCAATATCGTGTTTGGGACCCTAAAACTGACACCGTCTTTGTCACCAATGATGTTATATTTGATGAGGATTACAAAGATCCTACAACTACCACTCCCAAAGGTCCCAGCACCCCTACCGAAGAAAACCCAACTCAATTAGTTGAAGATGAACCTCTCAATGACCAAGATATATGGCTCCGACCTGCCAAAGGCATGTCCCTAGCTTACTTTGCCACTTCAACCATTCCTTCATCAGAAGACAACACGCCTACTTCTTATAAGCAGGCCATATCCCATCCTGATGCTGCTAAATGGCAAGCTGCCATGCAAAAGGAAGTCAACCAACTCAAAGAGAAAGGCTGCTGGCAACTCATTCGCCGTTCTGACCTACCACCAGGGGCCAAAGTCATCCCTGGCCGGTGGGTATACAAAAAGAAAGAAATCCCCGGCATACCTATCTCAGAGGATTATCAGGCTAAAGCCCGCTGGGTCATTCGTGGCAATCTACTTGATAAAGACTTCATGGAATCCTACGCACCAGTGGTAAATGAAAATACTACCAGAACCCTCACGGCACTGGCCACCCTGCTTGGCTGGCATACCCGAAAAGCTGATGCCACCCTTGCTTTCCTAAATGGGAAAATGCCCACGGACAAACGTGTCTTTATGACCCAAGTTCAGGGATTCAAAGAAGGTTCTGGAGATCTTGTCTGTGAACTCCTTCAATCCCTCTATGGATTGGTCCCATCTGCCCGCATCTGGTATGATACTCTGGGTGCTTTTCTACGCCAAATCAGCTTCAAATGCTCTGAATATGACTCTGGTCTATGGATCCACACTACCCGGACCCAACTCTATGTGACCACCCATGTGGATGACTTCAAAGTCTATGCTAAACATGAAAATGATGCCATCTGGTTTATGGAGACTCTCTCCGCCAAATTTGACATAAAAGAAGTTGGAAACTCTACCAAATACCTTGGCATGACCATCTCCCAGTCTGAGACTTCATCTTCTTTATCTCAAGCCGACTACACTGAAGATGTTGTTGCCTCTTTTGGTCAAGCCCAAGCACATCCTGTTAGGATTCCAATGGATCCTAGCCTAATAATTGATGATGAACCAGACCCTACAGTCAACACCAAAGAATATCAACGTGGTGTAGGCTGCCTTACCTGGCTAGCCACCAAAACCCGGCCAGATCTTAGCCAGACGGTTGGCATACTATCCCAATATAACGCCAAACCCACCCAAAAAGCATGGCGTGCCCTTATACACGCCATACGCTATCTTAAAGGCTCCATCAATCGGCAAATTACCTATCATAAACCCACGGAGTCCATTACATCTGACCTCCTCATGCCAAAATGTTATACCGACTCTGATTGGGGTGGCCAACTGACAGGCAACCGCCGGTCAGTTTCTGGATACATCTTTCTGCTTGCCGGAGCCCCAATTGCCTGGAAAAGCCGCAAGCAAACATCCGTTGCCCTTAGCTCCAACGAAGCTGAGTATATGGCTCTAAGCGAAGCCAGCCGTGATGCCCTCTGGCTCCGGAATCTCATCAACGAGCTTAATGTGCTCCCAACTGAATGCCCACCAATATCTCTTCATATCGATAATCAAGGTGCCCACGCCATGGCTGAAGCCGAGCTCACCACCAAGAGATCCAAACACATTGACATACGCTACCATTACGTTCGGGAGAAGGTCCGAGACGGCATTGTTAAACTTCAGACCTGCCCTACCAAAGAACAGGCAGCAGATGGCCTGACAAAACCTCTCCAAACTGAACGATTCAATCATTTCCTGGAACTCACCGGCATACATTAAGCGGCGCTTGTTCCCCCATTTTGGTTATACTTTCTATTCTGATTTACGGCTTCTGATTGGCCAAAGCGGAACCTCTCACTTCTCTGCTTAATTTTGCTTTTACTCTCTCATTTGGAGGCCTGAATAGAGGCCGATTTTTGTATTTAAATTCTTTAGATTAGTCTTTAGGCCAGCTCGTGCGTGGGGGGGTGTTGGATCACGTGGGATTCTGCCGCATAGGTCCGCCCTCGCTGACCCTTTTCACCACGTAGGCCTATCTAGCTAGTAACCAACCAACAATATACCTCCATTACTAATCAAGGTCTGCATTTACTCCTCCCGCATCCCGCATCCGCCTCAGGCATGTGCAGTGCGATGTAACCTTTTTATCAGGGCCAATGGGGACCGTGGACAGCGCTTCGTGTTTGCTGGCCGGAAGATCGCTAGAACGCGCCTGGAAGAGGGGGAACGGTCTATCTGCAGCTCGCGCATTCCCGATGCAGGACTAGGAGCGACTTCTCGAGACTATATTGGCAAGATGCATAAGATCCGGTCCACAGTGGATGACGGGGAGGCGTGATGAACTGGAAGTCTGTCCATCTGTCAGGATCAGCGTCGCATGATCGTCGTCGAGATCTCGTTTTCCCGTTTCGTTTTATTGTATTTCTCTTCCGATAAGGAAGGCCGAACCTCGATTCATCTCGAAGGGATGTCAACCGCGTGGGAGTTGAAACAAGGCGCGAATCTATCTGAAGCACGGTTGCAGCCATCTCCGTCGGAGATTGACGCGTTTCTGCTCGTGTTCATGGCAGATGGCTCGACTTTTTGCACGATGCAAGCCAGGTGGTCTGGGTCGGCTTACTCTTATTCAGGGCTCTTGCATTACATTATTACATTGCATTGCATTAGCATCTTCGAATTTCGAGAATACAATATAATAATCAACCGACCGAGATGTCCGTGCTGCTGCTGCGCCCTGATAACACTAGCTGGCGCTAGTGAACCCGCAGGTATCCGCCACTTCTGGTTTTCAGGGTTTACTATCTATTATTGGCCGTCTACTTGCCGTCTGCGGTGGCCTGACATGTGCTGGTGAAGATATCCCGCCGGTGGGAGCGGCTGAAGCATGGCAGAGGGATTGGGCGATGGATACACACAGAGACAGAAGAAAGAGACAGCACCAAGAGAGGCAGACAAAGGCAGCAGGATAGCGCGGAAGAATGCCTCTCGAACGGTCTGCTCTTTCGCAACTTGCTACGCCGTCCCCATTAGTATCGGAGAATGTTGTCATTAATATCCTCCGATGCTACCTCCAGACCGGCATCTTCCCTCACATCCAGCCACCACGCAAGCGTGTTTAAATTGCCGCATGAGCCCACTGGGCCCTGATCGACGAGCCATGGTCTCGTCATTGGCGGCTGCTCTCTCGTCACCTGGGTGGCAGCCGGGCTTAAAGTCCATCTAGAAGCCTGCACACGCCTTCCGGCGGCGCTTTTCGTCGGAATTCTAGAAAAACAAAAGAAGAGAGAGGGAAAAAAAGGGGGAGGATCAGAGGCAAAAGCAACAGAAAAGAAACTCGACGCCGGCCGTCGTGGCACCGCTGCCCCCGTTTTAGTCCAATTCAATCAACCCACTCCCTCTCATATGCGCATCATTCTCCAGAGGATTCTACTTCCCAGGCGATCCTTTGCCCTTTCTAGAAGCCTCCTACTTCGAGACCAGGGAGAAGCTATTGGCTCCGTGGCCTTGTTCATCCTATCTGCTTTGATCCTCCCTTGCCCTACCCCGGGTCTGCCGTGGATTATCGTTGCTGAATCGGGCAGCTCAACCTTAAGCCTGTATGATAATAATCTGCTACCGTTCTATCTATCTCTGGCCGGGCTAAATCATAAATGTCCATTTCGTCAACCGTCTGCAGGCCATCTTGATCCCCCTGCCGCATTTACCAGGGCTCGAGTGGGGTGGTTAAAAAGGCTTACCTTTCTCCTCTTGCGTTCCTTTTGGAAGCTTTCCTTTTTGTATACTGTAGGTTTGAGTCCCTCTCGTTCCCAGATCGTTGATTCAACCGTCGTGCGGGATCACCGGTCTTTGTGCTTGAACGACGGCCTTCCTGCTCACGTTCTTTTCTTCTTTTTACTCTTCTTTCCTTTCCTTCCTCTTGATCTCACCCTGTTCCTTCTTTTGACGTCTTGGTCCATAGCCGACGTATAGACCCGGTGTCGATGCAATGACTCGAGCCGCCAAGTACGTATCAACACACAGCCGACGATACTGGCCAGTGCCATTGCTAACCCGCCAGCAGATCAGAAGATAACGGTCCCAGTGACGCTGGACGTCCGAAGGGGCGCATCCGTCGCTCCATGACGGCTTGCCATACCTGCCGGAAGCTGAAGACTCGTTGTGATTTGGATCCGCGCAGCCATGCATGCCGTCGCTGCCTTTCGTTAAGGTTAGAATTCAGAATGCACTACTGCCGCTTGCGGCCTGGCGAGGCTAACCTCACGAATCCAAATTGCAGGATTGAATGTGAGCTTCCGGAAACGCCAGATCGCTTCCAGGATAACGGTTACTTCTGGCCCGACACCTCGGCCACGGCCATTCCGTGTCTCGAGGAGCGTCTCTCCTCCCTGGAAAGAGGTATGGGCGAAATGACTCGCATGATGCGGCAGATGATCGAGCGGACCTCGATGAGTGCTTCATGCGGCACGAGCTCCCAGTTGTCCAAAAGCCTCTACGATGAGCCTCTAGCGGGGGAGGGCGCGTCGACATTATCGATGTGGCCTCCCCTCTCTCTGCCCAAGCCAGTTCGTCTGATCCGAGACTTACAGTCCGAGTTCTTTGGGAAACCGGACGGTTCGTCCGCCGATGCCCAGCTCATGGGTGATGCCGGCACGAGAGAGATTGTAGACTCGAAGTTGTCGCAGAAACTGGTCCAACTGTACATTATCATCTCCCTCCCCCGGTTCTCTTTCTTCGCTTTACTGACGCCGTGAAGATTCGTGGACCATTTCGGCTCCTGGGTCTCCATAGAGAACCCGTCTGATGTTCAAACCGACCCGTTGCTGTTTAGCACAGCCTGTCTCCTCGCCTCTCGGTATGTACCCGACATGCCACAACCTGTGGTCAAGAGTTTGTACCATCGCGTGAGAAATTCCATAGCCAGTATACTGTGGACTCCACCTCCTTTGAAGTACGAGACCCTCCAGGCCCTGACTCTTCTCTGTCTGTGGTCCTGGACGGCATCGCAAGAAGCCCTTATGGATAGCTGGTTGTTGAGCGGGATCTCGATCAACCATGCAATACTGTCTTTTGATTTCCTAAATCGGCCGCCAGTCGACCAAATCGTTGACGATGACATGTTCAAGAAATTGCGTTTATGGAATGCCTTATGTCTGAGCCAGCTGCAGTAAGTTGGGACATGCCTTTTTCCATGTCAATTCCACTAGCTAACGGAGATCAGCTTCGCGGTTGGAAATGCTCGGCCATTCAACCTGCAAGAGAGATATCTTGATCATTGTCCGCGGGTCCTCTCCAATCCTAATGCTACCTTTGAGGACGGCAAAGTCGTTGCGGAAATTCAACTTTACTCAGCGACGTTGAAGCTCCAAAGCAATAGCGCACGCATGCGATTTGCCGACTATGAATACGAAGAGATCGAACAGTGGAAGATGGAGTGGGCTCATCTTCTCAGTCAGTCACTTCTACAGCATGATTCTTGTTCCCCAACTAACGAGACTTACGCCAGGAGAACCCCCTTCAACGCTCGACATCAGCCTCGGATTCTGTCAACTCCTCCTCCACCGCACCGCGATGCGCACGCAGTGGGAATCAGAACGATTCATCCCCGAAATCATCCAGACCTCTCGCCTCATCATTTCGAAATTCTTGCAGTTGGATCCCTTCACTGCCCTGAACAGGATCGACCACGTCTTCTCCATGGTCTGCTACGCCGCCGTGACTCTATGCGACTTCTACGTCGTGGAACCGCTCATCGACCAGATCCAGGTCTTTCTGTTCCACATCGCGCCCAGCGACGACCACGTTGCCTACCGGTTCGCGTGCATCATCAGCGAAGTCAAACGCCGGTGTAGCAACTACGCCGACGCGACGGGCAGCGCCAGCACGGCCAGCACCAGCGCCACGGACCTCTCGCGTCTGAACGCGATCAAGCAATCCCCGTTCGCGGGATCATCGTCTCCGTTCGGTACGGGGACCCCCCAGTCACCGGGGGTCAGTCTGGACCAGGTCCCATTCATACCGCCGGTGATGGACGTGGTCGATGCAGACAGCTACGGGACGCTGAATCAGTTAGTCCCGGAGTTTATGCCTTCGCATTCCACTTCGCATCCTCATCCGATTGTCCATGCACATGCACATGCTCAGGCTCATCCACCCGTACATACTTCGCACCCCTCGGCACTCCCCGGCGGAGTGTTTCATAACGTGCCCCTAACCAACGGCATTCCTGTTTCTGTTAGTATAGTCTGATTTTGGTTGGTTTGGTTGTTGATTGACTAATTGATTGCTTTGCTGGTATGATTGATGCGTTATGGGGGTATGTTTGCAGGCATATGGCATATTTCTTTATTTTTCTTTTTTTTTTTTGGGGGGCTAGCTTTGTTATTACTATTACTATTATTATTATCATACTTTACTGTATCTACTTAGTACTTATCACCGTTGATCTGCATGCTGAGTTCGGAAGTAAGCCGCTTGGACGCTTGCCACGAAGTCAGAAGATAATGGATCTCCACTTGAATTGAACTAGTTTGTATCACTATGGCTATGGATACTTTGTAACTCCTGCTCCACTCTGCAAACGGAGATACTTCTCAATGTGGTTGGTAGTACTTTGCCCTAATCTGGTACTATATTCCTGTGGATCTAGTCCAACAAATACCTCAGTCATGCTATGTACGGAGTTTTAACAGATTCAGTGCTAAGAATATCTTATCTCAATTCCCATTACTCCATGGTTAGTATTTTGCTACACCCGTGCTTCAATAAGCCACCTCCCGTAAGAGATCAATGAAATGCAACAAGGGGTATGCATATGCATACCTCGCGCTGCCGTAAGACCAAGCTTCTATTCGGACCATCTCGAACAAAAAAGGTCAACAGTGCCCTTTACAAACCAGGTTCCATCGATTTTCGTCCAATTCAACGTCAAAACAGACTTGGTATCCCCATTTCCGCCTGCAGGTTTCAGACCATCCGCTTTCTATCACCGGAGTAGGCAAATTCAAGCTCTGGTTCTTCATCCATAAGGACCAATCTGGCTCTTTTCTGGAACTGCACTGCAGTAAGGGCCGCTGGTGAACACCAGGGCTACAGATATCAGCCAAAGCAAATGCTGTTGACTTGAGTAGTGTACCCTGCCTGCAGTAGGACTTACTCGAGGCTGACAGAGCCTATACTAACCGGTTCAATTGTCATGAGAAATGATAGCCTATTCTAAACATAAAATAAATCCACAGCCCTAACGGGATATACAAGCCGAGAACAAATAACAGCATAGACCAAGCAAAATTCCACCCACCCAACCAAAGAAATGCCATGACTGAACCTCCCATCCCGCCGATATGACATATGTCAGTCACATGAAGCTATCAAGACGACAATAGAGAAGCCCTGGTCTATGTTTTGCCAGGAACGATTTCAGGACTTTTGGCTTTTTCTGTAACCATGCCCATGCATATGAAAAATTAGATGATATATACACCCGATCCTCAACCCGGATCGGGTCTCCCGCCGAAATAGCACCCTGTAGACTAGGGACTTGATTCAATCGACGAAAATGATGTTTCCCCGTAAGGCGTCCGAGGGATTGACTTGACTTTTCGGTTTTTGTAAATATGCAAAAATGTCCGCCGAAGAACACTTCCAATTTACCACGTCTCCTAAAACCATAATAAGCACACATCCAAAAACAGATAAACAGGAGACTCACAGCAATATACTGTCCAGCTTCCTTCTTGTTGTCCCAGAATGTCTTCGCTTCCTCGTAATTCAGTTTTGCCTTGGCCATGGCCACGTCGACCAACGCCGCCTCAACACCCTCGCCCATACCTTTGCTGCTGCCGCAAACAAAGATACGGCCGTCTAGAGAGTTGATCACAAACCAGACAAGATCCGCTTGATTACGGACTTCTTCCTGGACGTATCTGCCTTCCCCGCGACGGCTTTGCACAACCTTCCTCAGTTTCTCCTTCTCTATGCCCCATTCACCGCTGTACAGTTCATCGAGGAGAGAGTCTCGAACGCCCTGGATGACCCAGACTTTATTGGCACAGTTTGCCGACTGAAGGCGTCTCCTAACAAAGCCACGGAACGGAGCAACCCCAACACCGGCCCCAATAAGAATCATGGGTCCATCTGATGCGAAGCGTTCTGCCAGCGGATTGGCCATTAGCCCGCGGAACATGGGGACATGAAGGTCCAGCGTCCGTGGATCGATCCCCTGTTTCTCTGCCTCGATCACCTTGAGAGCGAGCCTTTCCAGGTAACCCGAACTGACACCGGTCCTGACGCGGCTCCTGTAGTCGGACACTTCCGCCACAGAGACAGCAATCTCGATCAGACGGCGGCACTCATTGCCTTCTCTCTTGCACGACACAAGAGGGTCCTGGGAGAGGGAATAGAAGCGAGGCATCAACGTGTTCAGGGCAGAGAGAAGGTGGTCAAGAGGCGGTTGGGAAGAGGGGAACGCATTCAGCAACTGCGTGAGTTTAATGTAAGAAGCGGTACGCAGCTCACAGAAGGTGCCTTGGCCCTGGGCGGAGGAAAGGAACATGAGGATCTTCTTCTCATTCGGTTCAGAAGCGTACTCGGCGAGCAGTCGAAAAAGGGGCTTGGTAGGAGCATAACTCTGGATATCAGAGCACCAGGTGAGGAGTTCCCTTCGAGTGGTGATCAATTCCCGAGGTTGATCATCTCCCCAGATGGTCGGCCAGCGACCCTTAGTGGTACGCAAGGTCATCTTCTTGTCTCGGATGGCCTTGGGAATTCCGAGAAGGTTGAAGACCTCCTCGACTTCCTCGTCCTTATTCCTGGGGCAGACACCGACGGCGCCTCCCACCACAAAGTCAACATCTCCGCTCTCTGCGGGATAATCGGTCACGTCGATATCGAAGTGGAATGTCCGCTTCTCTGCACCGGGCTTGGTCAATTCTCGCGCATGGTGAAGCGGGGCACGGTAGACGTGGTAAGGAGGGTGAGGCTGCACGAAATTCGGAGGAGTGTCCTTCGGTCCGAGTTTCACATCGACGGCCGACGGTGGCACGGACGAGAAGGACACAGTCTTCTCGGGCAGAGGGACGGTGTTGGTAAGTTCACTATCTAAGCTGAGGTTATCGATGGCCAGATTCAGGCTTCGGAAAGCCTCGTTCGTTGGCGGCGTGAGCTTGTTGACTCCCACTGCCGGACCCGAGGCCCTCTGCAAAGGCTGAATGCGGCAGCATCCGCCTCCGCAGCAAACAGTTTCTACCTTCTGGGTACTGGCAGTGCCCACGCTCTTCAGAATCCTCTGCATGTCCTCGGAATTCTGGGAGATGAGGGCGGTCGAGGCTCGGCGTTGACGACCGCCCACGGGCTTGGACTCCGATTGATCCGAGTCTTCCCCGATCTCAGACTGAGGCTCTGTAGCGGGAGTGGGAGGCGACGGGGGAGCATCGGAGTCACTTTCTTCGGTCGCAACCCGCGACGAAAAGGAGGCGGCGGCATTGAAACCCTGATTCGAACCCGACAGAGATCGGACGCCACGGGGTTCCTCCGGGACGGCATACCCCGGATGGGAAGTAGACGACTGTGGAACCCGATGAGAAGGACCGTCGACGGGACGATCTAAGGGAGAAGCCATGTTGACTGACGGCTGGGACACAGGAACGGCTGGAGATGGAGGAGAGTAGTGAGCAATCAATCGCGGTGAGGAAGAAAAAAGTGGCGTGCACTTCCGATAACCGGGAGCAGGAGATAAGGGAGGAATGACATACCCATGGTATTCCTGGAGATTCTGGAACGACGATGAACAGCAGCGACACCACCAGTTACATGCCTATAGCTGGATAGAAGGAGAGCAGGAGGGACGGAGAGATGGAAAGGGAGAAGTCGAGACTTTATTATGGACGACGGAGAACGTGCAACGAAGGGCATACAATACAAGGAACGTCACAGAGCGGCAGGGATCTAGATTCGGAAATGGACTTTCCGCATCCTGCGACGGAAGGAAAAGGAGGTGGGATAATAAATATAGCGCTGCAGAAGCAGGGATCGAAAAAGCAGGAAGCCCGGGAAGAAAAGAAGAGACGAAAGGAAGATGAAAGGAAGAGGAAATGAAGCGTCAAACCTGGAAGCGATTCGGGTGGAAATGGTAAAACCATGTAAGAATGATGCGGACGTCGTACAATACGCGTGCGCCATTCCCGATATGGCCCGACGGCGAACCGGGCAGGCCACGGTCAATCCGGTTCGCAGCGACTTTTCCAGGATTCCTGAATTGAGCAGCAGATTCAGCGGTCAGGTCTGTTAGAACCGTCGTTCATGGCAATTAAATTAGTGGTCTGCAAAGGAGCCGGACATGTAGCATCGCCGATACGTCTTGTACGGTACAGACTCGTACGGTAAGTTACCAGCATCACGTGGTGCGCCACTTCTTATCTCGATGATCTAATCTGATCATCCTCTTTTCTTCGCTCTATGGAGTAGTCATTTCTCATTATTCCGGCTTCTCAATTTTGGTATTTCTATGCATCCTATTCGGGACCCCCTGCATCTTCCCGTCCAAGCCGTCTGCAGCGTAATCTCCAAGTCCAACACCACGAAGGCCCGCTGTGGATGGCCTCCGACACGTGATGGTTCGGCAGAGCGGCACGTCCACTCGCCCGGATCAGATAAAACCACAGTCAAACTTAATCTCTCCATCTCGCTCGTAAGTTGTCCCCCTAATGTTATGCGACGGTCTATTATATTATTCTGTCGGTCATCTTCTGATACTCTATAATAACAGTGGAACAAACTGAGTTCTCCAAAGTCAAATACAGAGGCTGAACCGATGTCGGCGCCTCCCGATCATATCAATCTGATCCCTGCATCATCCTTATCAATCTGGCAAACTCTGTGCAGCCACGTTGCTGGGAGACAGTCTCATCCTTGTCCAACTTTGGCTTCCACTGGCCTTGTTTCCCATTCCTTTGTCCTGGAACACCGTGTCTCTCTGTGATGCCTCAGGAACCTCGGCAATGCCACGTGAGGCCAGTTTATATCACGTGATTCCACTTGTGGCTGCCCTGTAATGGACGACGCGCCAGAACAAGAATCATGTTTGACGGAATTACCTGAATCAAACATGTTCTTATCTGTCTGAACGTCATGACTGTCGAATGGCTTTCAGTCAAAAATCAGGCTTAGACACCCTCCTACATCGTCCGGAACAGGGAAGTTCCTAGAACGCCTCCTCAAGTCCCCCGTCCATATCGTCTATCCCGGTTATGGTTGATTAAGCAAAAGCCTCTGCTACATGTCTTCGGACACATTTATGGGGGTCATGGGGAAGGAGACGGCGATCTGGGATTCATTCCAACAGGCATATGAGCGCGTGATGGATAATGAGTCGAGGTGGATCAATCTAGTCAAGCTTGTATACTATAGGATTGTCGGGATCTTGACTGGTAAACATTAGTTCAACTGGTCAGCGAACAATTATGGTTAATGCCGCTGCAGTTGGAGGGGTACGGGATGAGAAGGAGACGTGAAGCAATACGCACTGGTATATATATTTTTTATACTAATACGGAGTATTGAGATTATTATATTCCTTGCGTAAGCTCTCTTGGCGTAGGGGCTGCACTTTGCTTCAACAGTCACAACCTTATCTTAACTCCTGTCCTCTGTTGGATTGTTTGTTCAATAAATATGTTTTCTAAAGTAGAAACGGGGGGGAAGAAGAATACTTGAACCAACGGAGAATTGTATGCTATCTTCCTCCATCTTGAAGAAACCAGCCGACAGTGCCGGTTAAGTTCGTTTTTCACCCACATAATATGTGAATTGTGGAGAAGAGTAGGTAGCCAAAAGGGGGTGAATGGATGAGAGAACAGTGAATATGTCCCTATATATAACATAGGGTTCCTAGACATGAAACCCTAGACACTTCAGCAACCATGGAAACCTATATCCATAACCAATAATACAATTACCAATTATGAACAGTTCGAGAACTTCCACCTATACTAAATCATTCGGACAGACCTCTAGCTCTGGGAGCCCGTCGTTCTTAAGGGAAGCTCGTTCGACTGCGCTGGAATATACCCAGCAGCCTGGATAACAGGATCCGCTAACTCGCGAAAACAGTCAATAGGGAACTCAACCACGTCGTTCCAACAGTTACGACCATCAGACACGGCCTCTGCAAGTATTTCGCGGCGATCGAGAAAGAAGACTTGTTTGGGGGCATCCGGAGGGGGAGAGGGGTAAACTTCCTGCATTGTATTGCATTATATTAGCACATCATTAACGTGATGGCGGGCCTCGGAAGACACCAATTCATATTCATACCACCCAGACAGGCGATGGATCGCCCGGACCGAACATTTCTATTCTGCATTTCACCTGGTTCTGCGGCAGACGGGTCCATTTGAAGAGGAACACGGTGCCGATTTTTCTTCTACTCCCCTGCAGCCAGAGCTCCGTCTCTCGACGAAGGTACAGATATGAATCAGCCCAGGCCGATTCAACGACGATGGTGGGATAAGGACGACCTTCGGGCCTGACGGAGAACTCTGGGTGTTTGAATGAGTGAACATACTGGTCGTGAAAGTATTTAAACTCTATTACCCCCATCTATTCAGTAAATATACCTTATTTCGCTGGGGAAAAAAGTTCACTGAAAAAGAAGGAGACTGACTTTGATCATGAGATATGTGGAGCCTATCCCATTCAGCTTGAGAGAAATACCCATTGCTCCGAGCCTTTCGAAACGCAGACATCAACCATGCTGATTGCACTCCGTGGAAAAACGTAGGAAAGGTGACCACAAAGTCTAGAGAGCGGCTGTTGTAGTTGATGCGGGCAGACTCCCCCTGGATATCGGGATCTTCATCTATGGTCTCAAGCACCAGAGCGGTGGTGTCCGGTTGCATGTTCTTGTAGAACACATTTCCAGGTACCTTGTCTACAGACATGATATCGCCTTTGACGCTGTTGTAAAGCTGCTTCGCCTCGGGGGGTAAATCGGGCGATTTTGTCTCCCTCCTCCCGGTGATCCATGGGTATGGATCGAAAGACATATTGGAAGAGGTAATCAAGGAGAAATCATGACCGAGTACCATGTACTGTCGTGAACATGGGATATAACATGCATATGTATACATATCTCGCGAAGCATGGCCTTCTTTGTTCTTTTCCAACTCGTCTCATCGTACGATTTCCTATCCTGTATGAAGGATAGACAGACAGGAGATAATCCGTACGAATCGAAGATCATATCCTATACTGCATGCGGCTAGAAAGGGTAGCCATATTTAGATATGTTCCTTTATTGTCCTCTGCTTTGCCGAAACGTACCTAGACATATTTCCTCCGGATGACATAGAACGATGATACTCACCATTGCACAATGGTGAGTAAATGGTTTGATTTAAACCAGCCCTAGATTCTTTGGTCCCCAAGCTGGAGATCAGGATAGCAGAAAACAGCATAAATCTGTAGATATATCTCCTTTGTTGTTGCTTTCATACTCCACTGCAAATAATCTCGAGGAAAAGTGCCCGGAATAAGATTTCTTAAAAGAGCCGTTTCGTTGCGTTTAACAGATGATGCAATGTGTTGCACAGCCTCTGTTGATATGTTCAGCTTTCATCCAACTCGCCGTATGCGGGAACTCACAAAATAAAGGCCTTGGTGGTACCAGGAGCATGCTAGCCTCCAAGAAACAGATAATCACGAGAAACGTGGCTGACGCCCAAGCCGCCAAGCGTGATGAGGGCTGCGAGTATATGGCCCTTGTCTACGGATTGAATGTAATGATAGCCCGAGGCAAGTAATGGCAGTTGAGTTTACCAGGGTTCAAGATACCAGAACGGACTCGGACTCATGCACTGTCCACAATAAAATAAAATGCTCCGAAATAGCCCTAAAAAACAAGATCCCAAAACACCAACCACGTACACAATCCCACTGTCCCCCAAAAGACAGCCTGCGCAGTACTCCGTCTCTCCGACGCGCGCCGCAGCTCCTTATTCCCCCGACTGATATTAGTCTCCATGGTCACTGCATCGGCAACGAGCTGTCCAATATAGTCTTCTTGGGTGGCTAGATGGGCGACTAGGGTCTGTTGGAGGGAGGCGATTTCCAGAAGTGATTTTTCGGCATTCCTGGACGTGTCAGCTTCACCAATATACATAAATGGAGGGGGAACATACTGCACTTTACCCAAGGTATCCTCATACTGCCTCAACATGATATCATTCTCCTCGGCAAACAGCTGTAGCTGTTCGGGAGAAAGTTGCGATTCGATATTCGCAATGTCGCCCCGACTCAATGCTGAATCGGTAGCAGCAGCAGCAGCACTCAAAGTGGTGGCAGTAGCGGTAGTAGCAGCAGAACCACCATAAAAATCCCCAGCAGAGCCCCCCCGATTCATATACAAAACACTCTTCTCCCTCTCCCTAGCCCTCTCAATCCTCCTCTCCACCATCCCCCCCTGCAGCTTCATTGCCCTCTCCAACCCCCTCCGCAAAAACCACACCACCCCCTCCCGGAACGTACTTATCGTCCTCGCAACCTCCTCATCCTGCACCTGCTCGGGAGTCGCCCTCGGAGATGTTGACGACGACGCACCCGCCCCCCCAGCCCACCGCCACAGCAGGTTCTTCGTGTACCCGTATTTTTTGCGGAGGAGGGTCGCTTCCGTCTCCTGCCGGAGCGACTCGGCGGAGGAGAGGGTCTCGATGGAGGAGGAGAGGTCGCGGAGGAGAAGGGCGGTGGAGGAGTCGATTGAGTCGCGCTCTTGGTCGGTTAGGTGTTGTTTTGGTTGGACGTTTACATTTACATTTCCGTGACCGTGTCCGTGCCCTCCGTGGAGGGATGATATAGAGCCTGATCCTGTCGATGTTCCGCGACGGTGGTAGGATTTTGGGCGGGTTATGGAGAGGTACGAATGCCGGATTGAATGGAGGTAGGAGAGGAGGGAATTGATGTGGGAGTTCTGGTCAGTCAATTAGAAAGAATAAAAGGAATGAATAAATAAATGAAGGACAAACGCACAATTCGATATGCCTCCTTCAGAAACTCATCTGCTGTCTCCGCGGAGGGTAAATGTACACGAGCTCCTCCTGGCGCAGACTTGAATGCGACATTAGATGGGGATTCTGCTGCAGTCGGTGCAGACTCTGTGGATCTGGGTTTACGAGACAGGATCTCACGGAAAACAGGTGTAAGATCTGTCATTTTTGGGGGATCTGGCTTTCGTTCTGCGTTGAGAAGGTGGCCTTTTTTGTTGTTGATTTCGCCGTTTCTGCAACGTCACTGCGTAAGTGCGCTTTGTGGAGTGCCGTATTGCATGGCTACAGTGGACTATTTACAGCTGTACGCTGCAGCATACTCCGAACAAGACAAACTAATGCAAGTCGCCATTACTGCAAATGTAGACTCGTAAATGCTCATGAATAGACCGGATCAAACAAGTCCAGCGATTCGTTTCTTCCTTTCGTACGATAGTAAGTAAAAACATCCATTTCCACCATTCATTTCGAATCCCAAGTCCATCGCATCTAATTCAGAACGTCCGCTGGAGTCGGGCGGATAGCGATAATCAACGAAAGGAAGCAAGCAATTAATCACCCCGTCTACCCATAATAGCCCAACGCAGTCTAGAAGTAGAGTACAGAGACGGCGTGCAGTACAGCGTAGACTCCGTCCGTTGGTAAAAGCAAAGAGAAGAGGGTGAAACAGACGAGAACAACCCAAGCCAGATTAAAAAAAAGAAAGATTTCTTAAGCCCACCGAGAAAAGTAATGGAACACTCGTTTCGCCTGACCAAAGCAAGAGGGGAATATGAAAAAAAAAAAAAAAAAGCAAAGAACGAATCAAGTTGCGTAAACGAGCATTAGATAGACAGTGGCATGAACAGCATGAACGGTAATCACGAGGTAGTCTCGCGAACGACGCTGTCAACAGCCTCGGCGAAGTAGTCGATGTTATTCGTGTTGAGGCCGGCGACAGAGATGCGTCCATTCTTGGTCTGAAGGATGAACAAGGCATCGAGTTAGCCGTTGTCCTGAACAGTAATGGGTCGATGAATGTTTATTGGTTCTGGGGGCCGAGATCCCGCTCCGTTGCCAACTGCCGAGCAGGCGCAACGGCCATCCTGACGCATAGCGGATGCAGTCAGGGGCCGCGGAACAGTGAGGTCCGCGGAGGGGAAGCCCAAAGCACCGGCACCAATGCAGATAGTATTATAAGAAGATGAATAGGGAAAACTCACCATGTAGATGTGCCACTTTTCTCTCAAAATCTTCACCTGGGTCTCTGTCAACCCGGTGAAACTGAACATGCCAATCTGGTCGGTCACGTGATTCCAAGTGCCCGGGGTGCCCTTGGCCTCCAATCGAGCACGCAGGCCCTTACGCATTTCCTGGATACGGCCGCTCATGGTCCGGAGATCCTGCTCCCACTCGGCGAACAACTGGGGGTCGTTGAGAATACGGCTGGCAATCCGAGCCCCGTACGCGGCGGGATTGGAGATCTCGGAACGCTGCAGGACAGCGAGTTGAGTAGCGATGTTCTGGTTTGCCATCGCAGCATTCGTTCCGGGAGCAGAGATGAAGTGGAAAGCACCCGTACGCTGGCCGTACAGACCCAGATTCTTCGCGAACGACTGAGCGACACAGAACTCGAAGCCCTGCTCGGCGAAATAGCGAATGGCCCACGCGTCGCGGACCAGATCACCGGACGCGAAGCCCTGATAGGCGGTGTCGAAGAAGGGGAAATGCTGACGCTCGCGGATCACCGCGGCGATTTCCTTCCACTGCTCCTGGGTGGGATCTACGCCGGTCGGGTTATGGGCACAGGCGTGGAGAAGGATGATGGAGCCGGGCAGGGCCGCGCGCAGGGTCTCAAGCATGCCATCGATATCTAGGCCCTTGGTCTTGGGGGAGAAATACGGGTACTTGGCGACGGACAGGCCGAGGTTGTCGAAGATCTGATGGTGGTTTGCCCACGTGGGGTTGGAGACATAGACCTGGGGGTGCTGGGGGTGGAATTTGGACAGGAAAAGACCGCCTAGGTGGACGGCGCCCGTGCCAGAGATGGTTTGAAGGGTGCATACCTGCGGTGGTTAGTTCGATGCCCTTGCGAGTGTCCTTTCGACGGTGTCCTGAGTGGACCCAGCGGAACGGAGGGGAAGGAAGAAGCCTACTCGACCATCACGAATGACCGCGCTATCAGCGCCCAAGATGAGCTTCTGAGCGGCAGACGTGAAACTGGGCAGACCCGCGATGGGGAGATACTCGTTGTTGACGTCGGGGTCGTTGTGGATTGCGGCGTCGGCCTGTGCGGGGAAAAGAAACGCGAGGCAAGTCAGAGCCGGGGCATTTCCAAGCAGCAGATAAGAGATAAGGGAAGTGATGATGATCAAGATCCAGAAAACTCACCTTGCGGACCACGGGCAAGATCCAGGGCTTCGCGTTGTTGTCTCTGTACGCGCCGATTCCGAGATCGATCTTCTTGTCGGATTTGTCCAGGCGAAATGCTTTGGCGAGACCGAAGAGAGGGTCCTCCGGCGCCTTGGGGACGACCCCAGCAGTGAAGACGGACGGGCTGTAGGAACCCATGAGGTGCGAGGAGATGGAGAGGAGACGGTCTCGAGCGATGGCAGTGGAGGAAGTGGACGGGGAGGAGGAGGAGGAGGAGTTGTAGATGTGAGAGGAAGAGGAGTGAGACTGGGGAGATGGGGAAGCTCCCAGAGCTTGGAGTTGGGGAGCGTGAGAGTGCAGTGGGGCCATGGTCAATGATGCAGAAATGCCCTGCTTTTCACGTTTTCGAGAGTAGAACAGGTACGAGGCAAACAGAGGGATTATTTGATTGTCTGCTGGGTCAATCCTACTGGTAATCCTGGAGGAGTTAGCCGTCAGCCCACGGCAAATGGCCGTTTCCCTTGTTCCTCTGGCTGGATCTTTTATGTTCACCGGGGACGATGATTCATAAACTCTCTCTTTTTTTCCTGTCCAAAGGAACCGGGGAAAGCCATGCGGGTTAGAGGAATACGCCAATGACAGGGCTTACCTTGCGTGTTCGGATACCCCTTGCAAAGTCAAGTCAGAAAGCGTGCGGATAATCGAATCCCGCAGCTGTACAGGATACACGGAATACAGGATATGTCGAAGAGGATCAATAAGATGACGGGTAAGCGGATAAATTTCTCTGTGCTGGTGACCCGAGTATGCGACAGATTATATGCACGTATAGGTGTATGACTATATGTATCCTATCCGCACTGCGTTGCTTTTCACCGTTGATGATCAGGGGCAGCGATCAGAGAAGAATCATGTCATGGGATCGGATCCGTCAGAGTCACAAAAGCCAAGAGTGAAACCTGGATTAAAAATAAGTGATAATAAATAGAATAAAAAAAGGGTGAAATATGGAAAAACGGTCGGCTTCAAGAAGCTCTTCCTGCTGGAGTCATCAAGTTATTATTATACCGGTCTAGACGATTGCGCATTCACGCGACATCCACGATGATGCAAAACGCAGCTGAAGAAGCCGAGGTGGATTTTGATTTCGATCCGATTCACCTGAGATAGTAATTACTACACCCCGTACACTTATAGGCAGTGTAGAACCGAACCACCAAAAACTACCGACGTATATGTGGCAATTTACCCCGTGTCCCCGTAGAGTGTGTTGACTTGGGGATCCCCGAATATTTTTCGGGGTGTTTGAAATTCCCTCGTTGCATGCGTGTTTTTTTATTTAGTTTTTATTTATTTATTTATTAAATTTTAATGCGCACATTGTATGAAAAATACATGAAATAAGAAAAGAATACGGAAGAATGCTGAGGCTCTCGACAAGGCTGGCCTCGCTCGAGACAGCAAAAAGCAACGGACAAGAAAAAAAAAGAAAAAGATGACGACACATGATCTGAATAATAAGAATAATGCACAAATATCAACAATATGTGGCTGTGGCCAGCAGCCACAATTTTCACATGTCTGCGGAAGCAAAGGGGAACAGGTCTGGATTTCCGGTCAGGGACAGATAGGATAGAGCTCGGATACTACTACATACCCTACTACATACCCCGTACAGACTCCGTACGGGGATGTTCGACGCAGTATCGTCTGTACGAAGTATAGGGGTTACTACTACGTTGAAGATGATACACTGTTTCCATCGATTAGATGGAAGATGGAGAATAAAATCTCCTTTTTTTTCAAAAAAAAAAAAAAAAAAAAAAGGAAATACCCCATAGACATACGTGGCTGCATACCCGACTCGATTCGATCCCTCCGGCTCTGCGGGTGGCATCTAGCCAGGCGGACGTGGGTGTGGAGTAACTAACTCTGTCAACGGGACGAGGTGATATGATATGATATGATACGGGGACGCAAGGAAGAGAACCAGAACAGAAACCCGAAGGATTCTGAGTTTGAGTTTAGAGTCTAGATCTCTTCATCAGTCTGTCAGTGTGGTATAGCGTATATCATATGAATATGGAAAAAGGCCGTCATGTCGAAAAAGAAGACACCAGAACTTCCCCAGATGTTCGTTCAAATCGGGTAGTCCATCCTTGATATATCGATCGATAGGCAGATAGACTGATGGACACCACTATTATCAATCCGGACATTGTGGATAGGGATGAATATGTGGCTTCCTTAGGGCCGAATTAATAATAGAACACGGCCCATAACCTACCGAAGTATCAGAAACATACGCGGAACCGCAAGGCAAATTAATCCCTCACCTTCACATCCAACATACATCGAGTATCCGTAACTTAATAATAATGATCCCACAAGAGAGTACGGAGTCACTTGTAAGTGCGCAGAATAGTCACACCGAAGGCAGAAAATGGAAGGCCAGTCACGGGGCGGTCTGTCAGGCGAGCTTGCCTGTCCGGGGTCCGTGCCAGGGGCCAATCGGGGGTCTGGATTAGGGTTTGCAATGTTTATACACTTTTGTGTATTCTTCCCAAGGTTACCTAACTAGGTGCTAGAAACAGTGCTCGGTACGGAGTACAGTAACTTATTACAGTGACGCCTGAGTCAGGCAATCAGGCGAGGCAGATCGGGCAAGTCATGTGAGCAGTCGGACATTCTCCGGTTCCGGAGGCCGTGCCGAGGCGGCAGCTCCATTCCCAGTACCCCGTACGAAGTAACCCCCGTACTGCAGAATACTCCGTACTTGATACATGCCCTAGCGTCTTCAGTCGTCACCTACGTTGACATCATGTTCCGTTCAATCCATTCGAGTATGCACAGCATACAGACCGAGGAGACTCGTGCACAGCGCATATATACTGACATATAGTCATCGCTGGTGAATCCAGTTCAGCCGTCAGCGTGATACATTCAAAGCGTCGTACCACAATGAACAGGATGCTCGAGTAACGCAATCGAACATGGAAATCCTGTGCTAGATATCAAGCAGCCCGGCTCATAGCACATAATAATAAAATCCCCACGGCCGGCCCATCGTAAATACCAACGAGATAAAGGCACCAGATGAATCCAAAATAAAATAAAATAAAATAAAAAGAAAGAAATCCTGAACGCCCAGTTTTCATCCCATCATTGCCCTTGAGTGTCCGGATCCCCGTGCCGTCTCGTTCGGATCCGGAATCGATCTCGAAGTCGGGATGCCAATCGGATTCCATGTCGGCGTCGCTCTTCCGCATTCTCTTCGCCGTGACTCTGTCCGCGGCTGATGTGCCGCACGTTCCGGAGCGCTTCCAGTCGCTCTTCGGGGCTGGCGTCGAGCATCCGTCGGACGTTCAACGTCTCTTGCAGATAAGCCGCGAGACCGCGGTGTTGCCGGATCTGGCTTGCTTCACGGGTAGATGCAGACGCCGATTCCTGCCCTCTCCCAGCACCATTGTCGCTGCTTGTTTCGCCCTCTTCGTCCACGGGGGCGGCGGGATGGAGGTCGATGCGGCTACAAATCGCATGTCAGACGTTTTTTTTTTTTTTTTTCCGATGCAGGGTGACAAGATACGCAAGCCGACTCAAAAAAAAAAAAAAAAGAAGAAGAAACCTACCACAAAGGACATGTTCCTGACACGTTCACCAGCCATGGATCGATACACTCTGGATGGAATTGGTGGTTGCATGGAAGAAGTCGGATGTCCTGACCCTTGACAAAATCATCGGTACAGATCGGGCACACGTTGTTGCCCGTTTCGTGGGTATGTTCGGGTGGCGCACTTTTTGGGGCGTCTGACGTCCCCTCCTTTCCCGCATCACTCTGCTTCGTCCGCAGGTCCTTGCCACTCGCCTCGTTCGTTTCCACGTGTTCCCCCGATTTACCGGCTCTCGGTTCATCATCGCCGTCTGGGCCCAACTCGATATCTCCCTTGCCGGTATCGGCATGATGATCCCCGGGCACATCGCCAAATTTGACGATGGGAATCGTATCCAGCATGGCTCTTGCGATGCCTTTCGCTCGACTCTGCCGGGTTCGGCCCACGGCGCGCCGGGGCCCATAGCGCTCTGGGTGGCGATGGGCACGCACGGCTCCGGTAATGATGATCCCCAGGAACAGGGCGGTTATGATGCCTGTGATGCTGTACAGGATCACCATGGCTATCTCAGCGGTTGGCGAAAATACCCTACTAAACTCGTGACGGGACAGGGAGGGGGTGACACACCAGTATTAGGACCTCCTCCCCCTGAGGGAGTGGTTCCTGGCCCGGGACCACCGGGGCTATTGTCGACCATGGACATGTCGCTGACAATGCTTACGGATGGGGGTTTGCCTGCGGCCAGCTGATCGAGGAGGATAGTCGCCACGGATGGTTTCCAGATGGTAAAGATGTCGTTGTAGCGGGAAGCAGGAGGGGAGTAAGCCGTGTAGTGGCAGTGGTCGGAGCGGGTGCTGTACAGGATAATGGCCGTCGGGATGGAAGTCGAGGTGAGGATGTTCGTCAGGGTTTGGCTTGCATTCAAGTTGCCCTGGTAGTCGGCCGCGTCACAGCTCACCAAGGCGATGGAGCCGGTGCCCGCAGCAAAGGAATTCGTAGAGTCGACATGCACCAGCTGCCCTTTGATGATGAAACCCCCCTGCGGTCGACGGCCACGCCAACCACGTCAGTCAAGAGTGATGAGGTAAGGCAGATGTGTCACGGATTCAGGAGGATGGGCAGGATAAAAATAGACGGCGAACAGTGGACAAAGAGGAGCAATACTAAGAATGGCGACTCTGTGACGAGAAAGAGGGACTCAAAAAAGGGAGGTGGAGAGAGCAAACCTGAAGGTCGCTATTATTCAGAGAGAGCAAATGCTGCGTCAGAGGCGCGAGCTGGATCTCCGATGGGGCAGAAGCCTGGCCACGTTCCAGGGTGAAGTTGGCCGTGGGCAGATCCTGGGACGCGTTTGACGGCACGACCAAGCAGGCTGTGTGCAGGGTGGCCTGTGCAGCTGCTGAGAGGGAGAAGGGGAGCAGGAACAGCAGCAACAGCAGCAACAGCGACTGCCGAGATGAGGATGGAGATGAGGATGGAGATGAGGATGGAGATGAGGATGAAGAGGAGGGGCGACGATGAGGGCAGCGTAGCCAGGACGCTGGCCTCTGCAGGGCCTCCGAAGAGGACCGAGAGGATGGAGGCATGGCCGGCGCTGTGAGGCAAGTTGAGGCGAGGATGGCCCACAAAAACCGGCAAGGAGACGCCGAGAGGGGAGAACAATGAATCAAGAGGGGATGACGAGCACAGCATTAATAATATGGGAGGTCATAACTATGTAGTTTCGTGGTTAATAATGTGGAGAGATCGAGACGATGGGAGTCAAGAACCGGAAGAATCGGGAATCGCAGTGTGCGGGGACGACAGGTCTTCTTCGTCTTCTTTGTATTTATTCTGGCAAGGAGTGTTCCTGTTCTCTTTGCGCAGTCTCTTCGCGATATGCGTTAGATCGTTCGCGTCTGCAGAGACGGCATTGGACCCCATCGCCGCACTGCCGCCGACGACTGATAAGGTCCCTCTCCCTCTTCCTCCTCTTCCTCCTCCTCTTATACGCCCCAGCGCATTACCATGACATACATACGCCTATGTAGTATTCGTATGCACTCATGGGATGCACATGGCATGCAGGGGTGATCTTCCGCTGGTTGAACTTTGTCACGATCCATCGCGGACGGGAACGAGTCGAGAGATTATAATTATGCCCTGGGAACTCGTCTTCCTGAAGAGTCTATTTTATTTACTTTTGCTTATTTACTATTTACTTTACTATTTACTATTTACTATTTACTTTACTATTTACTTATTTTGCTTATTTTACTCCGAGGACGAGGACAAGGTTTGCCCCGCCTCGCTTGATAAATGCGAGCCTTACAGCCAGCCGGGGTCTTTCCTAATTAGTGTTCGAAAGTTACGAATACTGGGAATACTAACGATGATTTATTGCATACGTCTATCTACTTACAGTCTACTTCTACAGTCTACAATAAATCGCACAGGACATGGGAGCACGCCAAGGACCGCGGGCGATTATTTATAGTTGACAGCATGACTTCGTAGACATCTGTCTCGATCCATAGAATGATATTACCATCATATACCACAGTAATAATAAACGAAACCGTCCGAGCGCAGTGCAGGGTCGAGGCCCTTCCCCAAAGACACAGCTGCAGGTCGATGTTCCACACGGGAGATTAGAACCGTTCTGTCCGTCTTCTGTTCTATCCTCGCCAGTATTCATTCAGGTCTGCAGTCTGCTGGCAGCATCGACTCCCTCATCGAGGAATCTTCAGCTCCGTGCCTGATGCTCTGGGCCATCGGGAACGCCTGCAAGATCCCCATCTGGCCCTGGTCTGGATCTGAACTCTGTACCTTGTCCTTCTCACGCTCCCAATCCTAATATAATACATATATATCCGTCTCTCTCTGCAATTCCATTTGTTATTTTCTTATAACCTGCCCTTGCCCCCCCTCTTCCCCTCTCTTCCCCCTCTGTCTCTCTGCACCGCCTCCCGTCATGGATTTGGACCCGGACCCCGGCCTCCCGCCCATCGAAATATCCATGGATCCCTCGCTGCCTGATCTCGTCAAGAGTACTTCCATCTGGAAGAAACGCTTTCAGAAAAAGCCCCTCTCCGAGTAAGTTCTAGGTTCTCTCTTCTTCCGGATAGAGCGATATCAGAATCCCTTACTCCTGTTCTTGTCTAGCGACCCGGCCGTTGCGTCCCTCGACGTCGAATACAATGAACTGGCCCAGGCCTGGAAGAAGTTTCTGCAGGATCTGCCGCCCGGCGACTCGCCGGATTTCCAGGGACGTGCTCAGTCAACCGACGATGTCGTCGCCGTCGTCCGTTCAGCCCGGGCCCATTGGTCCTCCTCCTCCTCCTCCTCCTCCTTCGCCTGCTGCATCCCTCTCGCGGATCAATTCCTCGTCTCCCTCAACGCCCACGTCGTGCTGCTGGCCGCTCTGTTGGACAGCGATCTCTACATCTCTCTTTTCTGCGGGGTGCTGCAGTCGCTGATCAAAGTACCTCTCTTCGTCCCTGTTCCTCTTGCCCTATACTCATGGTAGCCAGGCGTCATCGAATTATCCCTCGCCCGCCCAGACGCTTCTCAAAGCCCTGGTCGACGTCAATGAAGCCGTCTCCGTACTGGTAAGGGACTGCCCTGGCTTCTCTGGCGGCGATTGCCTCCCGTCCGTTGCGAGCCTGTACGCCCTGATCTTCTTCTTCTTAGAAGCATGCATCGATTGGTATATCAAAATGTCCGTCTGTCGCCTGCTCACGAGCCACAATCAAGACCTGTACGACGACAACCACGCCTTGATCGACAATATCCAGAACACCGCGCGCGATATCGCTCGCCAGTTCGCCGACGGAATGGACCTCGACCGCCAGGCCGATGAGGCCGAATCCTGCAAGCAAACCGCCCTGTCTCACTTGAAGCAGGCCCAGTGGAGAGAAGTCGGCTCGCAGGGGCCGGAGCGTCGAGTCGCAGCGCAGCTCACCTGGCTACGGCAATTCATCTGGGACATCCAGCGGGACGCTTCGCGGCGGTCACAGTTGGAACAGGCACGGGAGACGCTGCTTCCGGACTTGTTCGCTTCGGTAAGCCGGCAACTTCGCGCGGTTGGCGGGCAGAGTGGCGGGGTCGTATGGTTGAAGGCCAAGCCGGCCGTGCCACCGCTGGAGGAGCTTGGTATGCAGAACTGGGCCACCTGTATGCGCTCGTGGATGTCGCTGACAACTTCCTCTTGACCGGGTCCAAAGGACTGCTCAAGGACAGCCTCGAGATGCGGCAGGGCACCAGACGTAAACTCACCAAAGTCAGCCTGCTGCTGGCTTCCAAGCATTTCCAGAACTCGTACAGCAATGAGGATCAGATCGCCCACACCGACCCCGGTTCCGTTATCGCCCTTCCCGACAACATCCTCCCATCCTTTCAGGACTGGGCGACGACGGGAACGTCCCAGATTCATGTCGTCGGACAACGCCAGTCATCGACTCCTACCGGCTCTGTTGCCATCGTCTCGGCCACGTACGCGGGCTTCGCTCGACAGGCCGGCTTACCCGTCATCTCCCACTTCTGCTCCCTTCCGAGTCAGTGCGGGGAAGGGAAGTCCCCATTCGAGGCGGGTCTGATCGCTCTGGCATACAGCCTCCTTCGACAGTTGTTCGAGCACGTCCCGCCCTTGCTGGACTGCGATGTGGAGAGTCAAATCAAGGCTGACCGTCTGGACATGCTCCGAGGCACGTTAGCTTCCTGGAAGGAGCTTCTCTCCGCGATAGATACGGTGTTGCATTTCATGCCACCGCTGCTGATCTGCGTGATCGACGGTCTGGACGTGCTTCATGACCCGTCGTCGACCGACCAGCATATCCGGTCTCTGCTCCGGATTCTCTTCCGACACGCGAGGTATCCACCGGTCATTCCGATGTACGATGGGACCCAAAAGAGCGTGCTATTCAAGGGGTTGATCACGGTCTCTGGTCAACCTGGCTGGTTGATGGAATCGCTGGCCGAGAACCAGGCGGTCCCGGACGACTTCAAAGCAGCCAACCAGCAGGTCAAGCTAGACCGGGTTATGGCCTCGGATACATGGGCTGTCACGATGAGTACATGAACCAAAGCACTAACGAGCGATACGCATGGAAAGGGGTTACGTTTTTTTTTTTTTTGCTTTTTCGGTTTCGGTTTCGGTTTTTGAAACATTTTGGTTTCTTCAGCGTAGAATCCAATCAGCCTAGGCGTCGGTGGCTTTCTTTGATGCGATTACGCATGGTTATGCTATGTTATATATCCCTCTGGTTCTTTCCTTTTCGTCTGTTATAACTTATTAGCAGTGATACTCCAGGACTCTACGGGTGGCGGACTAAGGTAAAATAAAGAATGGATGATGGGCACCCCACATACTGTATAGAGGAGACTGAAACATGAGTCCGGCTATTCACTAGTATGTGTGGTTAGTACAGAGGAGTCTAGATATGTATCATTATTCCATTACTACTGTAACAATCACGGAAAAGCATAACGCAACTGTTCCTGTTCCTGTCGGTATTGATGTTGATGTGGGCGCTCATCACTCACCCCCCCAAAACCCCCATATCCCACTTCAACGCCTCAATCGCCCGAGAATAAGGCCCAAAATTCCGCACATTCCCATCAGTATCATGCCATCGCGACTGCTCACCTTCCTTTTCCAAGACGGCTAGTAATCGTCTGACGAGAGAGCCAAAGGGAGTAGTAGCAGCATGAACCTGAGCATGATGAAAATCCATAGCAAAATCATCTCTCCCCAACCTCTGAAGTATAATCGCACAACTGACGGCATTATGCACCAACGACCAAGATCGACATACGTTCGCCGAGAGACGGTGGATATCTAGGAAGCTTTCCACAACTTCTGTTGCGCGTTGGGCGGTGGAATGGAGGAGTAAGTTTTGGGTTTCCCGTGATAGCATCCCATCTCCACCATTATCACCGCTATTAGTATAAGTGGCACTGTCGTTACTGTTGTAAGTAGTAGTAGTGGTGGTGGCAGGGGAACCAAAACAAAGTAACCGACCGAGTCGACAACTCGCGTACCCAATGTGAACTTTCAACGCGAGCCGCTCGAGATGATCTTGGATCGTCCGGCAGCGGGCCTTATCACGGAGGAAAGGGGCGGCGGAGTCGAGTATTGATTCCATGCGGGATTTGAAGTGGATTTCGGTTTGGGTGTATGCGTTTTCATCTGCGTCTGCATCTGTATGTGTCTGTGTATGTCTATGTGAGTGTAGGGAGAGATCTCTGGCGCGGTCGAGGAGGATTTCGCAGAGGGTGAAGATTGATTCGGCGAACGAGTAGCCACTTTCATTTCCTTCCTTCTTGTTGCTGTCGCTGCTGCTGCTATTCGTGGTGTATGGAATACGGCAGTCTACGTTGGCGGCGCTGAGGGGGCGGTCGTAGGTGAATGATAGGAAGGAGTCTTGCCAGACGAGCATCCACCTGTATATTCATTAATACATACATCTATATTTCCATGAAAGGGCAAGAGATACACACCACAGTCGTTTCCGCTGGTACTGCTCAACTGACGAAGTATGAAGGGACGAACCTGGGACTGATTCTTCATGGAGACCGATGCTCTGCGCGAGACGGACCGTGGCTCCTACGCATATTAGTTAGCACAACCCTGTTTGATTCAATGTTGGAAATGCATACCCATCAGAATCCACGAACAGTTCGTATCCAGATTATTCCGAAGACAATGGCTGATCAGCGACATGGCTTGGATTTGGTTCATGTTGGTGTTACTGAAGAAGTTTGTTGCCCTGAGACACTGGAATGAGGAGCATACTATACCAGCATATTAGAACTGAGGATAAGAAGATAATATTCAAACGTGTTGAATGCTCAAACTGCAACCTACTGAATACTTTCGAACGCAAATCTCTCTCTTTGGCCGGGTCGCTGGAGAACTGAACACCGCACGCCAGCACGGAAAACAACAATGCCAGCCACGAGGGATCGATCTCCCTTTTTAGCACCGCATCATCTTGAAAGGTCGGTCGCTTCTCCAGAAACGGGAACAGGGACTCGCTGAATTGATCCATTGTGACCAGGGCGGGATAGAATGGGTGGACGAATTTTTGGTAAACGTCCCAGTATCTTTCCGTTTTCTCTTTCCATTAGAAACGTATCATACTGACTGGCTGTTAGAAAATAAACTCACCGCACGATATCTGAATCTTCCGGGAGAGCGAGACAGACTTCTGTAAACGAGACTTCAGGCCGCCACAGGCTTGAAAAAGGATAAATCCGCGGGACCAGTCGTTCCAGCAGGTTATCACCTGCCATCTGCATATCGGATGCTTGTCGACAGCCCAGCGTTGGGGGTGGATCTGAATTCCCGCCTAGGAATATCGTCGCCCCTGTCACCTCTTCAATGACATATTGCCCTGGTGATTTCGCCAGAAGCGCATGTCGCCGTTGCTGCTGGTGCTGGTTGGAGCGGTCGCTATCACTCGGTGCAGGTGAGTTGTCGTTGACAAGTACTCCTTGATTTTGAGGTTGGTTTGCGTTTCCATTTCCATCCCCATTTCCTTGATCGCGAGCCCGGATCAGCTCGGCTTTCATAGAAGCTATTTGGTCGCCCATGGCATCCAGACGCCTGATCATTGCATCCAGGTCAATTGAAGAGGGAATAATCTTGGAACCGGCGCTATTTATAATACACCGTTTTAGTTTCGACAGCCCGTCAGTTCCGGGAGATCACCAACCTTGCAAGACCACCACCACTTGGATCCCCCAGCAACGGCTGCGGGGATTCAATCGTCGATTGAAAAGAATACTCCACAGACTGCTGAACAGTCTGCACACCCTGAAGTCGTGACAGTGACGACTCACGATGATCGCGCTGTCCACGACCCGCATGACTCGCCGAGAAACACAACTCTGCATGATTCCTCCTCACGCAGCTGGAACAGGGCGTGTTGCCATCACACCGGACTTTGCGGCTGCGGCACGAGAAACATGCTTTGATATCGCGCGCGCGTCTTTTGCCTTTTAGGAGTTCACGGACTAGCTCTGTGTCGCAGGGATATGTGTTGTCTGGGCAGTCCATGTCTCGTGAAATACTGGCCAGCCAAATAATGGGGATAGTAGGAGTTCTCTGCGGAAAGATTACTATCCATAAGTCAATAATATTGATAATCCTCAAAGACGTCGGAGGCCAAAGATGTGGAGTTTCGGATGAGAGAAAGATTCTGAAATGAAGATCCGAACCGCGGAAGTTAATCTCTTATCTCCGAACTCTGCAAAGCTTATTTTAGGGTCATCCTGCTCTATATATATGTACAGTGCTCTAAGGTATTCTCAATGTAGATATTCTTTTCTAATTCCCCGAAGGCCGAGGCCACTGTGTACGTCTCTTCGCCGTGACGTAAAAATTCAACGGCCGGATCAACTGGAACTCAGGATCGTACTCAATGGCCTCCAATCCCTCCCGCGAGAATTCATACCGATACACCAACTCGGACAGCAAAATCTTCACTTCCAGCAAGGCAAAGTTGAATCCAATGCACCCGCGAGGCCCCGTAGCAAACGGGATGTAGGCGCAGCGATGCCGATTCTTCACTTCCTCAGTGTCCCACCGGTCAGGATCGAACTTGAACGGGTCCCGCCAGACAGCAGGGTTCATGTGGATGGCATATAAAGCCGGGACGATGACGCTTTGGGGTGGCATACGATAACCTCCGGGTAGGACAACGTCAGTCTTGGTGGTCCGCCCAGGCTGGAAGGAAGCGTTGTGTAGTCGTTGGGTCTCCTTGACGAATTTGTCGAGGTATGGCAGACTGTGCGCAAAATCCGGATCCCACTCTGTCTCTTCTGAGATGCCATAGTCGACGAGTTCTTGTAGCAGGCGGTCCTGGGTGCCTTCGTACGTGACCAGGCAATAGATGAGCCATGACAGCAAGGCCGATGTAGTTGTGAAGCCTGCACCGGTGACAATGATCATGTTGGAGAGGATGAGAGGAACGGGGAAATGCTCTCCCTTCTCATCGGTGCCATTCACCAGATAATCAACCACGCAAGAGGCCTGGAGTGCGGCTTCACTTAGTGGCAGATCTTTAATTCCCGATCCCGATGCCTGGTCGATGTACTCTTGGAGGATATTGTAAGTCGCCCTGCGCAGTTCTTTGAGTTTTGCCGGATCGCCAAAGGGTAGATACCGGTACCATTCACCGCGGGACGTAACTTTCTTATTCAAGGACAGCATGTTGGCAATGTTTGTGACGATTGGGTGCAACGGAGCATCGATGCTGGCAAAATGGCCGAAATCTGTCCCGAGCGCGAACTTGCCAATCGTCTGTGATGCAAGCTTGAGCATGTACTGGTACACGTTCCAGGACTGGCCTTTCTCATCCAGCGTATCGAAAATATCAAAAGCACTGCGAACACATTGCTGCATTAACGGCGCGTAATGGCGCACAGCCTTGGGCCCCATGGCCGGAGGCAGAAACTTGTGCGCTAGACGCCAGTTTTCCGTCTCTGTGTCGCCGACAAAGATGGCAGTGTTATCCTTGACGCCGAACAGCGGATGATCTGAGGTAATCTTCTTGGTAAAGTAAACGGATTCCGCCATGGCCACGGCAGCAACCTCAGGACTGTCTGTGAGATATGTGATTTTGCCCATGTTGTTCGTCTTGATTACGGGGCCATATCTGCGGAAGAGACGGTAATGGTTCCCCAGGTGGTCGGGGAAGATTTCGTAGTAGCTGCCGACCAGAGGAAGACCCCGAGGGCCCTGGGGGTCTTGGACTGCTTGGCCATCGATTCGGAGGCCGATGGTGTTCTGTGTGTCGAGGACTCCCTGGACGGTATCGAGGACGTTGGCATCCGTCCCCGAATGAAATGTGATTCCTGTAGGGGCAATTGACATTAGCACACGCGCACACACACAACTTTTAACCCGGATGCTTTAAAAGAACTCAACATACCTAAGGGCTGAGCAACGTGTAGAACAAGACCAACGGCTCTCTTCAAGTCTTCAATCTTCCATTTGGGCTCAACGAGCACCGCCTTTGCAGTGGAAGGGTCATCTCCAATGAGGTAGAAATCTCTGGAGGACATATTCACGTTATATAAGACTGTCCAAAGGAGACGCTGTCCGAATACCTCCTGAGAATCCACAAGTCCGACTCAAGGGCTACGGCGCCCTCGATATCGCGGTAGGTTTATATACACCACGGCCAACAGCATCGCTGGAAGGAGTCGGCATCGCCGTGAGAAATGAGGAGAAGATCCTCGCCGCCAGAACCGGCCAGGGACCCCGAGTCTCCATAGATACGATGAACCTTTTCAGTCTCAGAATAAGCAGAAAACTCCACTGGAGATGCCAGAAAGCCTTCGTGCGAGGTTCGCACGAGGTTCGCACGGCACGGATTGGCCTCGAGTGGGCGTGGATAGATTAACGGATAGATTGATAATTCTATATTCTGGTATTCTTAGTGGCTGATCCTGAGCATAAATCTCTCAAGAAAAAGATCAGCACTGTGGAGGGTGCCGAAGAGTTGTTGCTGAAGAGATGCTTCTGGCCCGTCGCCACGTAGTAAGTTCGCAGACTACGGACTACGGAGAAAGCCCCGGATACTCCGTATAAAGAGAATAGAAGAAATTAACCAGATGGGGTAAATGGAACTTTTCCGTGAGGAATTAGAATACTGAGTGGTTTCGCAGTTCGGCATTATGGACATGGACAGCCTATAGATCCCAATCACCCACCTTCAGAGACCTTCTTATATATATCTTTGATACCAGCTTTTACCTCTGCTCTTTAATCCTCTAGATCTGTTTGCCATACTCCCCACCTGCGGACTCATGGCGACAACATACACCCTTGAACAAGTGCGACAGCACAGCAAGAAAGACGATCTATGGATCGTCGTTCACAATAAAGGTACTTTCCCTTCAGATCCCATTGCAGAATCCCTCTTTACTAACGAGACCAAGTCTACGATATCACAAAATACCTCGAGGAACACCCCGGTGGTACCGCTGTCCTACACGACGTCGCCGGCACTGATGCCACCGAGGCCTTCGAGGAGATCGGGCACTCCGAAGAAGCGCGCGAGTCGCTAGAAGCGTTCTATATTGGCAATCTTCCAGAGACGGTAGATATAGCCTACAGTCCTGTCTGCAAATGCAAATTCGCAAAGACATGCTGACAAAGGACATCCATCCAACAGGAGCAAGCGGAAGCCGTCGATGTCTACCGTCCCCAATTCGAGCATGTCTCTCAAGTTGCAGCCATCATCCCTGACCGTAAACGTGCAGCGGGGTTCCCCCGATTGGTGAATGCCATTGTCAAAATAGGGCTTGCCGGAGCGTTGGGCGTTGCTGCGTACAGAGGCTATCGCAACGGCTTTGCAGCTTTGAAGTCCGTCTCCGCTGGCCGCTATCTGACATGGCTTCAATCCTCGCATGGAGCATCAGGGTCCTCAGGCTCATTCTGGTCTGGGTTTGGCCTTGCCAGCATCACGCAGCTCTCTCTCACAACAGGCCTGGTGATGTGGATTTCTACCAAGCTCGACGTCCATGAAGAGTTCACCCACCATAAACCTTACCGGCCTCTCCGACGGGATGCTATCATTCTGAGAAAACCCGGTAAACCAGTCAAAGCCGCGAAGACTCCGCCTCTCGATCCTCAGAAATGGCGCAAATTCAGGCTTGCTAGCAAGGATCACGTCTCTCCCAACGTTTACCGCTTTGTATTTGCCCTCCCCCACGCTGACGACGTCCTCGGTCTACCCACGGGGCAGCATATTTCCCTTCGAGCGACTATAAACGGCCAAAGTGTCTCCCGCTCCTACACACCCGTATCGAACAATACCGATCTTGGCCGCATCGAACTCCTCATCAAAGTCTACAACCAGGGCTTAATGACCAAGCACCTCGAGTCGATGAGTATCGGAGACGAGATCGAGATCCGAGGACCAAAGGGCGCCATGAAATACTCCCGTTCATACGCAAAACACATCGGTATGATCGCCGGCGGAACCGGCATCACGCCCATGTACCAAGTCATCCGTGCCGCTATGGAGGATCCAGAGGACCGCACCAGTATCAGCCTGCTTTACGCCAATAATACCGAGGAAGATATCCTGCTCCGTGAGGAACTGGATGCGCTCGCGAAACGGCATCCGGAGAAGTTTAAGGTGCATTATGTTCTTTCCTCCCCTTCGGACACCTGGCGGGGAAGCAAGGGGTTTGTGACGGTTGATCTGATTAAGGAGCATCTTCATGCCGCGGCGGAGGAAGCAAAGGTTCTCCTCTGCGGTCCTCCGCCGATGATCAATGCCATGAAGAAGGGCCTTGTAGGACTGGGATTTCAGGAGCCTGGGGCGTTTGCAAGGGCAACTGATCAGGTATTTGTGTTTTAGTTCATTATACAATTTGGGCAATTTAGATCAGATAGATTTGTGGCCTTTTGCTTGCCATCCTTATTTCACTTAGTTTTATCCTACACCAACCTCAAGCGTACATCACAAGAGTACCGTTTCCCCTTCTAGCAAAGGGATAATGTACAGACTTATTAACTTCCTTATCTTCTATATTGATACCATGTCAAAGATCCCACATTCAACGCTCTCCAGTATACGGTTTGTATGGATTGCACTCATGCTCCGTAGTATGCCGGCATTTCCTACATAGGACACAATAGCCCTTTCTAGAAAGATACCCGGGAAAAACGGGACGTCCGATATCAACTAATGTCAAAAGCTAAGATGGGACCAGGAGTTCCTCTGTGGATTATCCCCATAATTACTAGATGTGGATGTACCTATCTATCTCGTACGAACACCGGCCGGAACAGAACACCAGATCCGAAACAACATCTGGACTCCTCCAGCAGCATTCTCCACTGCCACCGTAGTATTGCTTCTTTGCTCTTCTTTTTTCCTATTACGGACCTTGTTTCTACGGGAAAACCTTTTTTTTCGGAGGCATTATTACTCTGCATTAATTTGACTATGATTTACGGCCGGGTTATGGGTGCCGGTATCCAGAATGCCTCCTACCTATTACCTACTACCTACCATGGATGACTCCGGCTTTCCGATGAATGAGGTCAATTTCTGGGACTCGGGATTATCAATGTTCCTATTTTTGTCTCGTTTCTTGGTGATGGGGATAATAAATATGGCCTTGCGGACGGTGACGTCCACTGGGCGCTGCTTCAACAACACCAGATTTATTATTCCCAATTTCCACAGTCTTCCATTGCTCTCAGTGATCAATCTTCTGAGAAGGACAGGTCTACCGTGTCTGTGTCTGTGTCTGCGTTCGTGTTCGTGACAATAGATCCGCCATGTCCACCACCTGGACTCCCCCAAACACCTCGCGTCCCATCACCCTGTTAGGCGCAGGAGTCCTGGGAAGACGTATAGCCTGCATCTTCGCTGCAGCCGGCTACAATGTGAACATAAGAGACCCGTCTGAACAAGCCCGCAATGATGCTCTCGAGTACATCGGCAGCCATCTCGACGAGTTCTCCCGCCTATCCAAGGGAACGCGGACATACGGCCAGTACGCCGCATATGCAGACATCGACACCGCGGTCCGCGGTGCATGGCTCGTCATCGAGGCCGTGCCGGAGAAACTCGCACTGAAAATAGATACCATGGGGGAATTGGATCAGAAGGCCCCCGAGGACTGTATTTTTGGTTCGAATTCCTCGTCATTCAGATCAGGGCTTATGCTTGATAAAGTGCGTCCGAGTCGGCGGGCTCAGATCCTCAACACACATTTCTGTATGCCACCGGCTATCCTCACGGTTGAATTGATGACGGATGGTGAGACAAACCCGGATATCTTCCCTTTCATGACGACTTTTCTGGAGGATTGTGGGATGTTGCCGGTGACGGCAAGAAAGGAGTCTACTGGGTAAATTCTTATTCCTTTACTCGTATCTGCGGTTTATGCCCACTAATATCCGTATCTGTAGACTCATCTTCAACCGTCTCTGGGCCGCCATTAAGCGTGAAATCCTCTATATCCTCGCCGAAGGTGTAAGCGAACCAGCCGAAATCGATAAGCTATGGAGCATCATGTTCGAAAACGGTCCGCCGCCCTGTAAATTAATGGACCAGATCGGCCTCGACACAGTCGCATTCATTGAGGATAACTACATCCAAGAACGAGGGCTGGACGGAAACATGACGGTGGACTGGCTGCGCGAGACATACCTTGCAAACGGCCGTCTGGGACTAAAAAGCGACAAGGGCGGTCTTTACCCTCCCCAATCCGGACCGTCCATCTACTTCCTTGATGTTGGATTAGGGGAGAATCTTCAGGATCTCAGTAAGGTAGCAGTGAACGGCAAGATCCTGGAGAAGAACGCCAATGGAACCGTTAGAACCATTGTTGCGAACCAGAGTCTACCGGATGGAATCGATGTGTCCAGGTCGAAGGGCCGCATGTTCTGGACGAACATGGGCAGCCACACATCCACGTACGACGGCTCGGTGCACTCTGCTAAACTGGATGGAACAGACATCCAAACCCTTATTCCTGCTGGCGGGGTGCATACACCGAAACAGCTCGTGGTAGATGAGAGCCACAAGAAAGTGTATTTCTGTGACCGCGAAGGAATGGGCGTGCACCGTATTGATTTTGATGGGAAGAATCATGAAATCCTCGTCCGGCGTGGAGACGCTAGAACCAGCGATAAGGAGGATATGACCAGATGGTGCGTGGGTATCGCTGTCGACAGTCAGGCTGGAAAGATCTATTGGACACAGAAGGGGCCCAGCAAGGCTGGTAAGGGCCGGATCTTCCGTGCAAACTTGGATATTCCTGCTGGCGAGACTGCGTCGAATCGCTCCGATATCGAGTTACTGTTTGAAGGACTTCCTGAGCCCATCGATCTGGACCTAGACGTGGATTCTCAGGTATTGTACTGGACAGATCGTGGTGAACATCCTACCGGTAGCTCTTTGAACCGCGCCCCCATCGGATCAGAGACGAAGGCTGGGAAACCCGAGATTGTTGCCAGGCATTTCCACGAGCCGATCGGTCTTAAACTCGACCTTGCTCGGCAGCAGGTCTACGTGACTGACCTGGGTGGATGTGTATATACGGTGAATGTTGATGGCTCTGGAAAGAAGACTATTCACAGCGATAGCGGTTGTTACACTGGCATTACCCTGGCATGAATCCATTAGGCACGCGCAAGATAGAAGTTCCTATTACACAAGTTCTGACATTATTCTATCTGCCCTTGTTAGCACATGATATAAGATGGAGCTGAGAGTATTCCTTCCTGTCATATTATACACGGCAAAACCAGCCAAAAAAAAAATCCCGCTGTCTCTTACCGTAGAAGATTCTAATGAAGACGGACGACTGTATTATTTCGTCTCTCTCCACGGATAAGAAACCTCATCATCCTTCCGTACCCAGATCTTGGACTTCCTCTTATTAACCACGTGCTCTACCCATGCCTCCCGCGTATATTCAGCCTTAAACTTGCGGATCCAGCGCGGATCCCACAATTCGCTAGCAATGCCGAGGTCTTTGCAGCACCGGACGAGCGCGTTGGAGCGGCAGCCCTCGGTGGCTGTTGGAATGCCGTCGGGAGAGAAATAGTCTTGTTCACCCCTTGCGACGGAGACCAGGCTAATTATCATCAGTATCTTTACTCACGTAAAAGGGGGCGAATAAAACTAAGACATACCGCCCATTACAAACTAGAGCATACTCCCTCGTAACTGTCTTCGGTGTAACAATACTCTCACTCCTAGGAACTAATCCCCACCCACCAGGACCAAACGCTTTGTTCAGAATCCGACGGTATTTGATCTCAGGAAGGTATAGGATGCCATCGGGCTTGATTTCGACCTCTTCCGGATCTGTCGGTGCGAGGAGAATATCGGCGGCTTCCTTAGGGAAAGGTTCAGCGCTGAGTCCATGAAAAGAGCGAGTCCAGTCAATATTCTCTTCGGGGGATGTTTCTAGCTCGAGGGGTCTGTCTGAGAGGCCCGTTTTGGAGATGTTGGAGGTGGTGGGCTGGGATGGTGTCGGCGCTGTGATGCGAGAGGCCCGGTCGGCAGATAATGTTGTGGGGGTTGATGGAGGTTGTTTTCGTGATGACACTGATGCAGGGGGCTTCTCAGCTGGAACGGAGGACTGTCTTGAGGAAGTAGATTGGCTTATGGAGCGGTTATTCGCGAGTCCGAAGGCAGCATTGCTGGAGAAAAAGCTGCGATTGTGGTGGGATACAAGCCGAGAAGGGTCCGCTGCTGGGAGGAGCGTCTCAAATGCCCGTAGGGACCTCTGCAGCCGTAAGGAATACATGATCTGGGGTTCGATCGGGGCAGGGAGAGATGAGAATTCATGAAGCTTTTTGTTTGCGGCGCGTCTTCGATATACGTCATCACGTGAGCGGAGCAGAAGAGCATAGATGAAGGGATTCAATTGATGTATTTAATATACAGAGTAGAGTAAGGATTCTCTTTTGGTGGTAATAAAGGAAAGATACAGTCCGTCCGACACAGCATGTCTAGCCCAGTCAAGCATCTTTCATTTGGGTGCGCTGGTCGTTGCCATGCTGTTTCCAGCACTCGCGGAATGCCTCCATCTGTCAGTGGAATTGACCGAATCAGTGTCGTCCTAGACGAGAATATCTACGCCGGAATGCGTTTCGGTCTGTTGTCATGGTTCGGTGACAGCTGCATCCCAAGTGGCTTGAGCTGGATGACGCTCAAATTGTCCTACTCACCTCCTTTTGGCAACTCCTCCAGTCCTTCTTGTCATAGTAGCAGTCATTCATCTTCAATTGCTCCTCTGTCCCCGCGTCAGATAGTCCCATTGTGAGCAGCAGAACCTTGGGGAGTATCATTCAGACTCACCTGCGCAACCAGTGCTGAAGATCCGCTTGTCCCTAATCCAGCCGAGTCAGTTCTATATTCCTCTCTTCGCCCGCAACAAAAAATCAAAACCGGAACCGGCACTGACTCACCACTCGTCGGGCCCATCGTCGTCCTCTTCCTCTACCTCTGGTTCCACAGGAGGGTTGTCTTCTTTTTTCGACATAGCTGCGATAAGAAGGCGTCCACAGGGAGTTCGTGTGTTAACCGAATTGTCAATCTGCTGGTTCTTCGGAGACCTTTCCCCGGCCAAGAGAAGATATGGCGGCAACCAGCGCAAGCCTCGCGGGGAAGAAGCTCAACGTGTTGGTTTATTCCGGTTAGTCTTTTTTATTCCTGTCTATGATATGTCTAAAAAAAAGAATATACTAATAATTACGTTTAATACGTCAAGGCAATGGCGCCACCGTCGAATCCGTACGGCAATGTCTGTATACCCTCCGCCGGCTCCTTGCTCCCCATTACGCCGTGATTCCCGTGACGGGGGATATGATAGTCAAGGAGCCTTGGACTGTAACATGCGCGTTACTGGTAATACCAGGAGGGGCGGATCTAGAATATTGCAAGACCCTCAATGGTGTGGGAAATCGACGGATCGAACAATTCGTGCGGCGAGGAGGGGCGTACCTCGGCTTTTGCGCAGGAGGCTACTATGGCAGCAAGCGATGTGAGTTTGAAGTGGGCAACAAGACCTTACAGGTTATTGGGGATCGAGAGCTGGCATTCTTCCCCGGAACGTGCCGAGGATGCTCTTTTCCCGGGTTCGTTTACCACAGCGAGGCTGGCGCACGGGCTGCAGAACTAAAGGTCTCGAAAGAGGCATTGAGTCTGGGGACTGTGCCTGACGTTTTCAAATCGTATTACAATGGAGGGGGCGTGTTTGTTGATGCCCCCTTGTACTCCGACAAGGGTGTGGAAGTGCTTGCCAGCTATACGGAAAAGCTTCACGTTGACCCCGGTCAAGGCGCGGCTGCAGTCATCCATTGTAAGGTGGGGGAGGGCGCAGTCATATTGACAGGGACACATCCAGAGTTCGTATACCCAGGACGCAAACCGGGATGACAGGACTGTTGCTGATCAAAACTTCCAGGTTTGCAGCGGTCAATCTTGACAAAAAGAATGGCGGGCCGCGCTACGCTGACATCGTGGATGAATTGTCTGCCTGTGATAAATCCCGGACGGATTTTATGAAAGCTTGTCTGCTCAAATTGGGATTGCAAGTTACACAAGAAACAACGACGGTTCCTTCTCTTTCGCCTATGTATCTGTCCGCTTCTGATCCTGCCGATGTATCCCAGATTTCATCGTCACTGCAGGCTGCCGCGGCGGATGAAGGACAGGGTCAGTATTTGAAAGATGCCCAGGACACGTTTCGTATTGAGAAATTGGGCACATGGGACATGGAAGAGCTGAAAGAGTCTCTCCCGAGTGATTCCAACAAACACAGCCTTGATGCTCATGAAGGCATTGTCGACTATGCAGCAATCATCAAGCATCTCGTGGTTTGTGACGACCTTCCCTCCTCGAAGACTACACCCTACTTCAATCACCATGCGTTCTATTCGAACCTTAAGAACTACCAGTCGCAGTCAAGCGAAGGAGCATCAAAATTTGGCTCACAACTTCTATATGCAGAAGTTATCACCAGTACGAATACGATTCTGGAAAAGTAAGAAAGCCAATAACATAGAGCGTTGACCTGTAATTTGGTATTGACTATTCCTCAGAAATACCCAGCTCCTTCAACGGCTACCAACCGGTTTCACTGCAACAGCTACCGTTCAAGTAGCGGGAAGAGGCAGAGGATCCAACGTGTGGGTTTCTCCTGCAGGTTCTCTCCTGTTTTCAACAGTGGTGCGACATCCTATTGCCAAGCTGCAGTCAGCACCAGTTATTTTCATCCAGTACCTGGCCGCAATGGCAGTTGTTAAGGGAATCAAGAGCTATGACAAGGGATATGAAAAGATGCCAGTGAAAATGAAGTGGCCTAACGACATCTGTGAGTTCAATACATCCGAATGCAATCTATCCATCTATCTTTCAAAGACTATGACATAACTGACAATTGACAGACGCCCTCGACCCAAGCGATCCTAGCAAGAAGACCTATACTAAAATCTGCGGCATCCTCATCAATTCCCATTACTCAGTAAACGAATACGTTTCCATAGTTGGAATTGGCATAAACGCCACCAACGCCTCCCCAACGACATCCCTCACAGCCCTCCGCTCGCACTTCCTCTCTCCAAATTCCGCTCCGGTAACCCTTGAAAAGCTTCTCGCGCGCATCCTCACGGTTTTTGAAGACCTCCACACGCGCTTCCTCCGGACAGGCTTTGATGCCGTCTTCGAAGATATGTATTACAGTGACTGGCTTCACATGAATCAGGTCGTGACACTGGAGGCGGAGGGGGGAGTTAAGGCCCGGATCAAGGGTATTACGCGCGATTATGGATTACTGCTTGCCGAGGAGTTGGGATGGAATGATCGGCCGACGGGAAAGATCTGGCAATTGCAGAGTGATAGTAATAGTTTTGATTTCTTCAAGGGGTTGTTAAGGAGGAAGATTTGATCTGTTGGTTCGTCTTTGTATATCGAAACGACACGAGAGATGATGAGCTGGATACCTATGATTGATGAAGACAGTAGAAAAAGTGAGTACAGTACTATTATAATATTTGTCAATAGTTCAATGACTTCATTCAGTTACAATAAAAATATTCAGGGTATTTACAGGACAGGAGTGGATATGTCCAATCCAAAACGCTCATTAGTATCAACCATAACGCCATTGCCAAAATCACAAGGATTGAATGGGGTATCAAGATCAAGGACGTTCTTCAACCCATATCTAGAAAGGAAACGAGTCAGCAGGAGAATTAAGAAAAAAAGACTAAAAAGAGAACGACATACCTCCATCTTCATCATCTCACAGCCCTCCCTGTTCGCAACATCCCTGGCAGATTCCATCAACAGATCCAAATCCTCCTGATCACCCATAGTGATCATATCGCCCTCATCCTCCATTTTGATCTTCACCTTGGACTGGAACCCAAACTTATTGCGGATCTTGGTCTCAAAGTCACCGAACGCGATCCCCGGATCGATCATGATGTACCGGGTATCACCGGCTCCGTGGGCCTTGATGCGGAACTTGCCCACGGACATCGATACTATGGACGAATTGCATATATGGTGGGTTCGTTCCGTAGGTGATACCCGGATAGCAGCGAGTCGTTGTTGTTGGGAGGCAGCACCACCTGCTAACGTTTCAAAGCTGGCAGATGCTGATGCTGATGCAGATGTTGATGGTGAGGCTGAGCCACTGTTACCGGTATCGCTGGAATGGCCTCCTCCTTGTTGTTTTGTTCCTTCTTCCTCGTCTGCCTCGTCGATGGAGTTATAGGTTTGGCGGAAGGGCACGCTTCTGCGACTGTGGTGGCCGTGGCCGCTGGTCTGATTATGGGTGGTATAGGTCGTGCCGTTGAGGGTTTCTCCTGACGCAGAAATGGCGTTCGAGTCACTCGATCTGCGTCGATGGGTGCTTGGTTCTTGGTAGAAGAGGGATTGTTGTCTAGTTAACTCGCGGCCGAAGTTACGGTGATGATCCAGTCTCGAGGACAGGCCGCGCGGTTCGGACTCCGTGCGCTTGGTGCCGATTCGCGGTTTGTCGATACTGGGTCGTCGCTTCAAGCTCAGGTTGAGATTCAATGGCGGAGGTCGTGCTGCGCGGGTGTTTGTTCGCCCTGTTGATGTCGTAGAGGCATGAGTGGAGGAGCTGTTGTCGCCAGCCACGGTGTGCTTCTCCGCGTCTGGCGGGGGAGTGGGTGGAAGCGCGGTCCTATTCAATGGAGGCTCCGAATGCTGACGACTGTGCATATTCTTCTGTACTAGATGAGTGGCCGCGTAGGAGATATTCTCAGACAGCCCGCCGTTGACAGCGGCGGGCGCACCACTTGGTTGAGAAGCGGAAGCGGTAACCAGCCTGGACTTCCCAAGGTAGCTTATGGCTTTGAGATTTCTGACCTTGGCCTCGTTGGGCCTATACACGACCCCGACGGGAATGGAGAAGACAGTGTAGCCCTGCATTATATAAACCTGGTTAGCCATACAATGTACCACACAGTTCGGGCAAAAGTGAATGGACATGCCTCTGCATTCTCCCGAATTGCCTCGTCGATAACACCGTGGTCGGCTGTCAGTTTCTCCTGCGAAGCATACACCAGATCTCGCATGCCCGGTTCCGCCTGATGGAGATAGATGTAACAGAGACCGCGATTGAAGAGAACCTCGCACGAATACAGACGGAAGTTCAGCCCCAGTTGTTCGTAGTCGATGAACCGGTTGCCCCGGAGGTAGAGCAGAGTGTCATTGAAGTTGGCCATGGCTTCTTCGAAATCCCCCAGGAGGAAATTGGAGACTCCCTCCTGGAAGTAGGCGATGGCGAGATACTGGTCCAGTTGGATTGCTTTCTGGTAATACTTGACCTGCAGACGCCGCTTTGTCAGTCGCCATCTTCGCAGACAATTTGGCTGTAGGGGAGGTCGGCCATACGGCTTGTCTATGCTCGCCTATGGTAGCACAGATCACCCCGCAATTGAAGAGGATTTTGGAGGTGTCGGCGATGCCATTGAAGGTCTGCACAGCGTCTTCGTACTGCTGGCTGTCGTAGTACGCGAGAGCCAGCACCCAGGTCTCAATTTCCTAAAACATGCCGTAAAGCATACATCAGCAATGGGATTAAAGAAACAAATGGAGAGCTTTTCGAAGGCCAACCAATTTTATAGACATGCTGGTAGATCTCCAGAGGCGAGGCAGATCAGGGCAATTCTTCTCCGAAATGAGTTTCGATGCTGGTCTATTTCCTCCTCCTTATGCCAGAGACACCTAGGAAGCACACAGCGGGGAAGAGAATAATAAGCGACGGAGAAACAGACGAGCAGCCGTGTTCACCGTTGAGGCCGTTGTGCAAGTATTGCATAGTACAGCAGCGCGACACCAATTGTTGGTGGGAGGAAGAACATCAAAAAGTACTCTGCCAGACAGCATGAACGCCATGGGAGCAGCTGCATGGCCTGATGAATAAATATCTGTAAGATCGAGGGTGCATGGCGAGGGGCACCAAGCAACGCAACCGGTATCTCCAACGAGCAGCTTTGGATAGCCGCCCGCATCACCACCGTAATAATACTGCAGAGCCAATCGATGCAGTTCACTGGCAGGAATTGTTACAGTCCATGCAGGATGCACTGCATATCACCACTCCGTTGGCTGTCTGTGTGATGACGCTCGTGTTGAGTTTCCGGGCTGAAGAAAGTTGACTTGCCCATGCTATGCCGCTATTTGTGACGTCTCAGGATTCTGAATCGTTCGATATTTTATTGTCACGACCCACCTTATTCCGTCTTCTGGCTTCTTTTGTGTCTGCTTGTCTGCTGCAAGCCACCTCTTGCTTCCATACCAATCACAGCGCCGTATGGTGACGGGTCGGATGTAATTCAGATACAATGGCACAAGTGGTTGGGCAGGGACAGCAAGCTCTCTAATTAGGCACAACAGTATACAGCGTAGATGCGCACGAACAGGCTCTCGTCTCGCCTCTATCAAGATACCTAGTGATAATCCTAGACCATACCCTGGTTGACCAGTTCCGCACGCTCCTGCCACACATTCTTGCCCGAGCATGAACACACTGTCTTGTCATTATCCCACACGCCTGCGCTCCTCGCAATCACCCCGACCAGTGTATCGGGGTCTTCCGGCTTGAACGGGCCCTCCTTGGTTTTGGAGAGGACCATACTGCGCCCAATTAACTCCCAGACCGCTACCGGCCGGTCCAGGAAGACATTTCCTTGGCCTTTCTCATTGACATCGACAGAACCAAAGACTCCTCGCGGTTCCGTGGCCTTTGTGTCCACACCGCCGAGAACCTTCGCTTTAACCGCCTCCCAGATGCCGCCCGTTGATCTTGCGCCTTCTGATATATCCCCTGTCTGTCGAACAGTGGCCCAGTACCGTCCCGGTGAAACTCCATTGACCGTTAGGTCGACCATGGTCATATTGGATCCCACCTGGACCATGCGTACCAAGCCGCGGATCTTATTGGAAATTGCTTTTGAATGGGTCTCGAGTATACAGACGGCGGAGGCTGTTTCATGATACAAAAATATCAATCAGTCATTGATCATCATTTGCCATCGTTCCAGAAACAAAGAAAGAACATAAAGACATACTGTTCGTTGTGCCGCTGCCGCGGAGAATAGCATCGCGACCTGTCGACTGGATAGCGGCAACGATCGAGCTGGGCGGTGCCGTGCCTTCAATGAGGACAATCTGATCCTTCACATTGGCTTCGACCTTGTGGATTCCTAGATTGTAGGTCGGGTTAGCCCATGTAAATGGTATGCGGCGTGGCGCTCGGTTGTCCCATGGTATAGATAGTATACTACCTTCGACCTTGGAGAGGGATTTGGAAATGTCTTTCGCACAACCTTCGCAGGTCATGGGGACTGCGAAGGTCGTCTTTATCCAGAGCATCAGCATAAGAAGACCATGGAAGGGACTTGCACCAGCAGCAAGAAGGGACAAAAGAACGCACCTGGAATGATTCAAGCATGGCTCGTTCGACTGCGGAGTATACGAATCAAGCCGTAAGACGTAGCAGATGGAATAGATCGCTGTATATCTCCGTCCAGGAATACTACGTGCGACAGAAAGATGCAAGATCGAGCCAATCTGGTTCAATGCGAGTTATACAAAATATTATAGAAGCAGACATATGGCGGGGCTGTTGATTTGAAATCGGCCGCGGATAGATTCGACGGTTTTCCCCAGTAGAGCGTCATCAAAACATCGCCGTCCGTCCCCGAAGAGGAAACTCCCATTTCCACGCAACTCTCCACCCCCTCGTGACAATGTCAGCTCCTGCGAAATCTCGCTGGGCAAAGGACGATGAGCCAGAGACAGAAGCTATCATTGCACAACGAAAACGCGAAAAAGAAGCTAAGCGACGCGCAAAGGCCGAAAGACAGCGCAAGGCCGAGGAAGATCTAGCTCGGCAACAGAAGCAACAGAAACAGACAGAATCGGAAGTACAGCCTCCGAAAAAGCGTCGGAGACTCTCGAATGAACCATCAACGCCAATAGCACCAGGTGGACAACAGCAGCAACAGCAACAGCAACAAAAGCGAACCAGCCATCTCCTCTCCTTCCCAGCGCGAGAATGGGGGCCGTGCAGACTCGTCGACAACTTCGAGCGTCTAAATCATATCGAAGAGGGTTCTTACGGCTGGGTTTCGCGTGCCAGAGACATCAACACCGGCGAGATCATAGCCCTGAAAAAGCTGAAGATGGACAACTCCCCGGACGGCTTCCCAGTGACGGGACTACGTGAGATACAGACACTTCTAGCTGCTAGACATGAAAATATCGTTTACCTCCGGGAGGTTGTGATGGGGACTAACATGGACGAGTAAGCCATCTTTTTTTCCCCTTATCCTCGTAAACTGGAAAGTTAATGCAAAGCTCAATTATCGAAATTTCGTTTCTTTCTCGCCAAACAGTGTCTTTCTAGTGATGGACTTTCTGGAACATGATCTCAAGACCCTCCTCGACGACATGCGCGAACCTTTCCTCCCCTCCGAAATAAAAACCTTGCTCCTTCAAGTCATCTCCGGCGTGGAATTCCTCCATTCGCACTGGATCATGCATCGCGATCTGAAGACCTCGAACCTCCTCATGAGCAACCGTGGCGAGATCAAGATTGCCGATTTCGGAATGGCTAGGTACTACGGTGATCCGCCTCCCAAGTTGACCCAGCTGGTCGTGACGCTGTGGTATCGTGCCCCGGAACTGTTGCTGGGCGCGGACAAGTACGGGACCGAGATCGATATGTGGAGTATCGGGTGTATCTTTGGGGAACTCTTGACCAAGGAGCCGCTGCTCCAGGGGAAGAATGAAGTTGACCAGGTTTCTAAGGTACGTATGAAATGTATACTCTCTATAGCAGTGCAATCGATGTAATACAAAAAAGAATAAGAAGAGAGAGAAGAGAAGAAGAAACTAACACAAACAACTAGATCTTCACTCTCACAGGACCACCAACGACACAAACATGGCCGTCTTTCCGCTCCCTACCAAACGCAAAGTCCCTACGGCTCCCATCCACCACAACCGCTGCACCGACCGGAAACCCACCACTGCTCCCCCGTTCAAAGTTCCCCTACATAACCAACGCAGGTCTGAAGCTCATTTCTTCCCTTCTAGCCTTGAACCCTAGATCGCGGCCCACTGCCCAGGAGTGTCTCTCGCATCCGTATTTCAAGGAAGATCCCCGTCCTAAGCCGAAGGAGATGTTTCCCACTTTCCCGTCCAAGGCTGGCATGGAAAGGCGCAGGCGCCGTGAGACACCCGAGGCGCCGAAGCGCGGCCAGGAAGCTCCTAGGCTCGACTTTGCTGGCGTGTTTGGTGGTGCCCCCGGAGGGGACACTGGGGAAGTCGGTGCGGGATTTACTCTGCGTCTAGGGTGATTTGCCGAGTTCTCAAGTTTAATTAACTACTACTCCCTTGTCTAGTTCTATAGGGCCAGTGATCACGAGGTGACCAGTAAACTTCCCGACTTGATATCATAGAAACGACCGCTCTCTAGAACATAATCAAGTAAAGAGTGACATTGTATATGTAGAAACCATCCAACTCCAAAGGACTCGACCCAAAATCCTTGTTTCAGGTGTATTTTTTATCCTCGTAATCATAATCATACCGCTCCTAAGAAATACTAGCATTAAGATATATATAGACACAAGCACACTTTTTGTATGTCTATTTCATGGAACAGGAGGCATCTCTCCAACATATGCCGTTGAGAGCGGCCAAGTTCAAGCAGCGAAACAAGACGGCCTTTGTAGAACGCATATCTCAAGGGTGGAAGCCCCTTGGCGACAACGTGGGATACGTGGGGATGTATTCTTCCGTCGAGTCACTGCCAACCCTTTCTAGCCGGGGCTGCGAAACCTGCCTTTGGTAGGGCGTTCGGGGGCCGATGACTTCAGGAATTGGGCGGTTTCTGAGAGAGAAATCACGATCGAGGCCAGGACCATTGTGGATGCTGCCATCTCCGCTAATGCTCTTCTCTGCTTTTGTCGCGTTGTTGCCTCTATCGGGGCGAAAATCATAGGTTTTGCCATCAACAGAAAAGTATTCGTTTCTAAAAGACAGAGGAATCCAATCTTCATTGTCAACAGGTGACCATTGACCGACTGAGAATGACGTGCGTTCCGTCGAACTGCCCTCATCGCTCCGATAATTCAAACGCGTGGAAGGGTCCGAAGACAAGTCAGTAATCTCCAATCTCGGCGGAGAACGCTCAGATGCCTGATAATGTCCATCGTCAAAATAGCCAGGCATCGTTGGTAATTGCTCCGTTGTATTTTCCCCGTAAGGTCTCGTGGTCGCAGTTAGATTCTCCTGTAGATGGCGTGTTAGAGCAGAATGGGTTTCAGGCCTAGAACCAGCAGCGCTGTGCTTACCGCTATGCTTACCGCAGTCATGTTAACATGAACGCCAGCCATTTCTGACTGCCCGTCAAATAACTCATTCGGTTTGTTAAGGTCCGCAGACACTGCGAAGGTCTCGGCGGTATTCTCGGTGGAGAGAGAAGAACTCTCCAGAAACTGGCCATCTCCATCTTCATCAGAACCAAGTAGCATAGCTAAGCTACTGTCCGAACTCGGTCGATCAAAAAGACAAAGGGGTTCTGTGTTCAATTTGAAGTCGGTAATTTGGGGAACATTCTCCTTCAGAGAATCGCCTAGTGTCGATTCTGAAGCGTTGCGTGCTGAGACCTCACTTCTTTGAGTCGGTTCATTGTGTTCATCATGCCATCCGATTACTCGACTATTGGGTGATATCCTGACTTGGAGTCCTGATGTCTCTTCCAACCTCGAGCCACTGTATTTAGGGGTCTCGGGATTCCCCTCGGGAATTGTGAAGGGGCTAAGGAGCGTGAGGGACGACGAAGAAGAAATTGTTAGCATATATTCATGAGTGTTCAAGCGTAGCGTAGAGCAGTTGCATTTAATACGATAAAGACCGACTCCGAACTCAGCGTCCACTGCTGTACTAGCTACGGATGCTGTCGATGTTGAGAATGGCACCTGTTTGCCATCATTGGGCAAGGCTTTAGGATCAGACGTAATCCAAGTCTCGGCGAGATCCCTCTTACGGCTGCTTGCACGCCTTTGTATGCCAGCCGTGAGCGCAAAGAGCCCCGACCTTGCCTTTCGAAGAGACCTTCTTGGGAGACTTTGCATCCAACGGACCGAGCCGCGGGTCTCTGACGCATGATTGCTTCTCACAAGGCAAGAATTCGCTGCTATCGGATTGTGTCTGGGATCTCGTGGGTTGAAGATTGGATAATGAGCCTTCTCAGCACAGGTAGGCGAAGGAGCCGGGGGTCTCATAATACTGAAGTGCGATAGTCAGTAGCAAAGCTAAAACTAAATCCAAGCAGCAACACCCACCTGTTTCTCTTTCTTCGATGCGAACGAAGGGCAAGAGACAGAGAAAACGCCTGGCGGCGTCTTCCAACGTTGGGACCGTCAACAAGCTGGCCCTGACTGTCAGAACTCATGCCTCACTAGATATGAGAATTAACCGATGTGGTGATTAATTTGAAAAAAACAAGCAAACTCAAGAAAGTAGGACCGGTCTAAGGAAACCAGAAGAGACAAAGGTACAGGGGAAGTTGCTCCTCTCCATAGGGCCAGAAGCGCAACGCTGTTGCCCACGGAAGATGCACAGAACCAGGAAACAGTATGGGAAATAACAGTCTCAGAATGTAGCCATGACGACGGTGCTCCCGGACCTTCGAAGCAAAGTAGCTCTTGCATATTGGACCAGATAGAAAAGAGAGTTGTGCCTCTTCACAGCAGGAAGTACTGGCTGCGCAGGAGGAAAGAGTCCACGGAGCATCGCTTCCACTGTGGCAGACGAGCTGCGAAGTCGCAGGAATATCCAGCGGGATCACGCATAAGCTGGGGTTTTATGTAGATGCAAATGCACTCCAAGTTTCAGATGAAATCGATGGTCCTGCAATGCAGCGCACCCGTTGCCTGGCGTTGGATGATCTGGCAACAGCCCAACACACATCTTTTCTTTGTAATATGCCGATTATTTGCCTAATTGTTTCTGCTCATTTGTTGTTTGTAGTGTTATCCGATCAATTAAGGTCTAGACCAGCGCGGCAATGCGCGATGATCGACGCCGTGGATAGATCGATCTCCGGCTTGAGTTCTTGGAGAAAGCTTACGTTCAAAAGGCTCTCGGCGGACGTTGGGACCGCTCTCCAAGACCACAGCTGTCACGCTGAACCCCCTTCTCTTCTTACTTTCGGATTTTCCTCTTTTTTTTTTTTTAAAAAAAAACCCCTCAAAAAAAAAACTTTTCTTGACTTTTACAATCATATCCTTTTCCGAATCATTTGGCTTCTCTACGCGTCATTCCATTGCGATGGCGACAGCCGTGTCTTTCGACGAGATTATCCAAGCCGGTAGGCCTGATTGCCAACGCCAATGTCAACCCGCTCACAGTGTTTTGGTTTCTGACGGCCCTTTCGTTCTTAGATCGCCAGAGGAAGAAAAACGAGGAGCTTGCAAACAGACTCCTGGGTAAGAGCAAAAAAGCAGTCAACTCTGAAGCCAATAACAAGGCGGCGCCCAAGAGCTTAGCAAGCAGGATCGGCGTGACGAAGGTAATGACGGCCTCATTTGAAGAGTTATGTTGCAAATATGCTTTGATCAGTATCTCTAACGGCGCAATATAGCGTGCCGCATCCGCGACACGATCCAAACAAAGGAATAACACGCCGCGCTCGGCATCGGCAAAGCGCCGTCCTGGCGAAGAACGCCTGGCTGCAGCTCTCGATCCATCAAGAGGACAAGCAGCGGTTCGCAACAATGCTGTTGGCATGACAATCAAGGGATCATCGGGCCTAGGGCCGTTTGTTGTCACCGGCAGTAATTTCGCCCCAGGCACGACCGCCGCAGATATTCAGTCCGCCGTGGAGGCTACATCTGGTCCCATGCTAAGTTGCAGGGTCATTTCGCCCCGTCCTACAGTTACAGCTGAGATGGTTTTCGCAGAGAGGTGGACGGCAGAAACCGTCGTTGCCAACTTTCACAACCAGAGGGTACGCGTTTAGTCCATAATCCTGTTGTGCTAGTCGGCAGATGCTAACACCAAGCGAAGGCTGATGGCAGGGTCCTATCGATGCGCCTCGAACCAAACGGTGCTGAAGCAAACCGCGATTCCGATCTTTTCGGCCCTCCCCTTGCCCCCTCCAGCTTCAAATCCTCACAGCCTTCCTACGACGTCCTGAGAGAGCAAGCAGACCGCCAACGCCGAAATCGTAGGGCAGAACCAGAACTCCAAGATGGAAGATATGGTTTCTCCAACAACCGTAAAGCTCTGAATAATGGTCGGGATAGGAGGGCTGCAGGCTCCAAACAGAAGGAACCAGAAACGGGACTCTACAGCGATCAAATGATGGTTGATGCTACGCCGCAACAGCCCTCAGGCAATAGGGGTAGACGGCAACGATAGATTTCGGGGGACTGCGCTCGAAGAGGTATAATACTTGGGCATTGTCTTGCAATGACAACCTGTAGCGCCGGATAGACTGCGCTGAGGTTGAGGTACGTTGGCCGTCTGAGGCTCTCAGGACGCGGCATGCACTTTTCTTTTTCCCGCCGGAGTAATGATGGAGATTGGATACCAATTGCAAAGGCCATCTGTAAAATAATCGAGAATATCACGAACCATAAAAAGCATACGATAATGGGAAAATCACGTGCCAGGAGCGATGCGGAGAAAAGTTGGAGATCGGTGATGACTTCATGTAGCTCTGAAGAAGTTCGCAGCTATACTTTTTCTTTCTCCGGCCACCCATATCCATAAGAGCATGGACCCTTGGTTTCAATCTATCTACCGTGCACGATTTCTTACATGAATCGTATTTCCTTCTGCTCCACCGGACTGGAACCGCTGCTACTCCGCAAAGGTCGAAAGACCACACCCGCCCAAAAATGAACCATGGAGCGAGAAGAGCTTTGATGCACCTAACAAGGCGATATCGACCTCAATTACCGATATCAAGAGCCCTAAGATGGTCTTCCACCTTCGACAAAAGACAGTGGTCTACACCACTTGCCCGGACCCTGGCTGATGCAATCAAGGTATCTAACTTCCCTTCCAAATTGAGACCCGAGAACTTTACTAATAACAATATCAAGGTTACAGGGCCCATATCAATTGCAGCGTTTATGCGCCAAGTATTGACATCTCCGGAACTCGGCTACTATACTACTCGCACCGAGGTCTTTGGGGAGAAGGGTGATTTTATCACCTCGCCGGAGATATCGCAAGTCTTTGGTGAACTTGTTGGTATATGGACTGTTGCGGAATGGATAGCCCAGGGACGAAGGAAGCATAATGTACAGTTGGTGGAAGTTGGGCCAGGGAAGGGTACATTGATGGATGATATGCTGCGAGTACGTTCTGCGCTTTTCCTCCACGATTTTCAGCATGCCTTTTTCTTTTTCGGGACTGCAATGGCTTACTGTTCGCATTTTCTGTCGCAGACATTCCGGAACTTCAAAAGTTTTTCATCGAGTATCGAGGCTATTTATCTCGTTGAGGCTAGTGCTGCGCTACGAGAGATCCAAAAACAGCGACTCTGCGGCGATGATGCAGTCATGGAGGAGACGGACATTGGGCATAAGAGTATCAGCAAGCACTTGAACGTTCCGGTTATTTGGGTAGAGGATATCCGATTGTTACCACATGGTGAGCTTCGATCGCCGTTTATACATTGTTGCCATGTGTATTCCCAACTTACACCTTTTGCCAGACGCGGAAAAGACACCGTTTATATTCGCCCACGAATTCTTTGATGCGCTCCCGATTCACGCTTTTGAGTCTGTCTCTCCAACGCCGAAGGACAACGTACAAGAAATCATGACCCCCACGGGTCCGACGAAACTGCATGAACCAGCCAAAAAAGTTAGCAGCTCTCCCGAATGGCGCGAGCTTGTTGTTACATTGAACCCCAAGGCAGTCGAAGAAGACATAGACGGCGAGCCTGAATTCAAATTGACGTTAGCAAAAGCGTCTACGCCAACGTCTCTGGTCATCCCGGAGATATCGGATCGATACAAAGCCCTGAAGTCCAGGGCAGGCTCGACTATCGAAGTTAGTCCAGAAAGCCGCATATACGCCGCTCAGTTTGCTCGTCTTATTGGTGGGGTCGCATCTCCTTCCCCCTATAATCAGATCGCCGCTGCTTCTCGAAAAGCTCCACATCCTTCAATGGTAGCACCTGTGAAACGGGTTCCCTCAGGAGCAGCTTTGATAATGGATTATGGAACTATGTCGACCATTCCAATCAATTCATTGCGCGGAATCCGTGAACATCGAGCCGTGCCCCCGCTCTCATCACCGGGTCAGGTCGATGTCAGCGCAGACGTGGATTTCACAGCACTGGCAGAAGCAGCGATTGACGCAAGTGAGGGCATCGAAGTGCACGGGCCGGTAGAGCAGGGTGATTTTCTGCAGATGATGGGAATTGCAGAGCGAATGCATCAGCTGCTCCGTGGTATTTCAGATGGAGAGAAGAAAAAGAACCTGGAGAGCGCGTGGCGACGACTAATTGAGAAGGGACCCAATGGCATGGGCAGGATTTACAAGGTAATGGCTATCATACCCGAGAATGGAGGGAAGCGTCCCCCTGTTGGATTTGGGGGGAGACTTTGATCTACTTTCTCTACATGAGAATGAGAACGAGTCAGGCATGGATGGACTTGTATCTAGACGATTGTATAATAAGCTACTGCACAAATAACGATAGACATACCTCTATGACTGTATTCATTTATTCATGACAACTACCAGATATCCTATGGTATCAATGCAAAGCATAGTCCTCTAAAGAACGCCCACCCACCCAAGAAAGCTAAGAAAGAAGGCAGGAAGAAAAACAGAAGAATCTAATATCAATATTCCCTCCAAATATCCTCAACATAAGCCTCCGTTAACCTCGTGTCCTTTCCATATTTCTCCTGCCACCTCACAAATCCGCCTTCAAGCACATAGACCTCCTGCGTCTTGCTTTTCTCCGGTCCCAGAACACGCTCTCGCTCCCTCGCATACCGCAAGGCAGCAGACGGACCCCGCTGCTGGCTCAGCGCACAATGAAACACAACTTTCTCTTTATCTTGTAGTGTCCGGACGAGTTCCGGGAGATGCAGCTCGAGCTTGCTGCTGGGGACCCAAGTCGAGGAGTGGATGTGGCCGCCTATATGATCTGGAATTTGTCGAATTAAATTAGAACAACTGCGGTAGCTCTGGGGGATATTGTAAACGTTTATTTATTATTCTTCTTTTTGTGTTTTTTTTTTTTTTTTAAGAAAAAAGTAAATAAAAAAATACTCACCTGAGTCTCTAACGTCGATTATGGCGAGTTTGTTAGGTGAACTTGTAGAGAGCAGGAGGGTGGATAGGGCATCTCGTGTCATGCGCGGGAGGGTTGCGATTGATATCGACGACATTTTGATAGGGGTATTCAATGAAGTAAATAAAAAGAGTGTACTCTGTTTAGCAGCTATCGAAAAGAATGCAATATTAATAAAAAGAACTTCTCGAAGATGAATAAAATCAAGAGCATTTGCACTTTTCGGAGTAATCTACTGCTCCGCATAGCTCACGTGACTGAAGATTTACTCTCGTTTCTCCAGACGGCCCGACCTGCATCCCAGCAGCCATCAGCACGCCCTTTCCAGCGCTCGATCAAAAGGGAAAGGGAAGGGGGTATTTTGATTCCCTGAATATTTCTGATACTGCTCAATTCAATTGGTATTTGTCTGTATATCGTCCCGTGGCCACCTCAATGGAAGTGCGCACCCTAGCACAATGCCTTCGAGCATCCTCAAGGCCGATGCTCCGGTCAACACGCCCCAATAACCGCTTCATGGCCCTCTCCCAGCGATGCTACGCTTCATCTGACTCGAATGACTCAACTGGAATCCCTTCAACCGAAGAACTACTCTCGTCTCTCCGTGGAACCCCCAAATCTAAATCCAAGCCCAAGTCAAATGCCAAACCCGATTCCAACTCCAACTCCAACGCCAACGCGGACGCAGATGCGAACTCAAACACCTCTGAACTAAAGAACAGCAGATTCTCCATCTCCTCCGATGCCGACGCAATCCTCCGCAGCCTGGATCTAAGCAACATCCGGGAAACATCGAAAACCATCCGACGAGCACGGCAAGAAGAAGGTGAACGCGCCGCCATTGCCCGGAAACCGATCACCCCTCAGCGTGTCTTCGTTAACCCCATGGAGCTCTCCAAGACCGTTGGCACGAACACAGTGTCGAGCATTAATAGTAATCGCTCCCATCTCCCACTGCCGACTCAGCATGCCACTGCGCTTCCTCGGGTGGATCTGAAATTAGGTCCCGAGCTGGGGAGGCAGGTGCATGTTGATCCGATTCGGGGCGTGGATCTTGCGGCTGCGTTGAGGAATTTGAATATCAATTGTGCGAAGAATCAAGTGCGGAGTCAGGCAAATGCGCAGAGGTTTCATGTGAGGAGGGGTCAGATGCAGAAGAATCTGAGAATGCAGAGGTGGAGGCGGTTGTTCAAGTTTTCATTTAAGGAGACTGTGTCGAAGATTCAGAAGATGAGGGCTCAGGGGTGGTAGATCTTTCTTTTCTTCTTTTGGTTAGAAGGTTGAGCATGCATTGGGAGATATAGACCGTTTCTCTCGATATGTCTATTCTCCGTTTGAAGTGTTCTGTTCTCGAGTATCTGTACAATATATTGACCAAGGATCATTGTCCATGAAAACTCAAGTATTCACACAAACTCCACAAAAACTTTCAATCCCTCTTCCCACTCGCAAACCCTCCAGCATCCCGAGATGCACTATATCCCCCATACCCATATCCATACCCATTACCACCTGCGTTACCACCAGCGCCACCACCATACGAAATCCCAGAAGCAGCCGGAGTGCCAACACTAACACCCAGAATCCCATCCCCGCGTTTCCCTCCACGCCTCCTACTCCCGTATGAGACGATAGTATTCCGATACCGCTCCCAGTAAACAGCCGCCAAAGCCCCCGCCCCAGCAGCGAGGACAAAAAAGACCAATCTCGAGATAAAAGATGATGACGCATAATCTTGCGTAGAAGATGACAATGCTAATGGCGAAGAAGAAGAAGAAGAAGAAGAAGGCCACCGAATCCCCGCCGCGCCTTCAATCCAGCCAACATGGAATGTAAACGTTAGGGGCTCCCCGCGGATTACTTTCGTGCCATGTCCGGATGTCCATGGGTCCCTGGCTGCCTTGATGACTGCTTTTTCGTCGATGGGCTTCGGGGTCTTGTCATCAGACGACGACGGCGATTTTGATTGTGATTGTGCACCCTCCCCGTCGTACTCAGGTAATGAATACGCCGTCCCCGCAACGGCATACCCCGGCGCTGCCCTTGTATTCCTCTTCTTCTTATTCTTCTGTGGAGTAGACGCAATACTATGCATAATGAGATTCATATCGGTCCAGATATGCAGGTGGCTTTTCTGGAGGGTTCCCTGCACGGCGATCGTAAGGGGTGTATAGGGTTGTTCGCCGCTGAAGACACTATTATTATTGTCATTATTGCCGCCGTCTGACTCCTTCCTTTCATCCTCATCCTCTTCCTGCTTCTGTTTCTGTTCAGAGAATCCCCTAAGAGGCACGGTGGGTATGTGACAACTCAACGGCACATCAGAGTGGACGTAGTATTCCAGGAGATGGTACATGGTATCCGGTAATGAGGCGATCGTGCAGGTGACGGTTTCCGAGATGCCATAGCGTAGTGATAGGGGAAGACCGGTCTCGTTGCAGGTCGGAAAGGGTATGTATTGGAGTTTACCTAGGGTGTCTTCGACCTGGTCCGAACGAATTGGATTGTCAGTGTTGAATTGAGCTTTGGAATGATAGAAGTACGTACATGGTCTCCTGTTTCGCTGCAATAACATGAGAAGTCAGTATGATTTACTCCATATATGGTCATATTCATATTGGCATGGTCTAAGCGATGAGCTACATGGTAGGCAGCTCCGGTTCCAATTCAATCACAGAAAGGGCAAAACAGGTCGATATGCCAATATATGTGCAGCGATAAAAAAAGAAACAAAAGGATTGGAAACTCACATCGACCGATTGAGACAAGTTACCGGAATAGCTTGTCCATAGCTATATCCACCACCATAATCGTCCTTCCCCGCTATCGTAGTCTGCCAGAATAGTAAACTCGTGATCAGACAATACTTATGAACGAGACTCAATGCACCAGGCAATTTTAATCGTGGTAGGAAGGACATATTAGCAATTGGCTTGCATGAGCCAGGCTGTCGTTGGCGAAACACGACGGATATTGGAGACGTGGTGTTTATGGGCTGCGGGAACGGGATCTGCATGGAACGTTCACATAGCTCCCAAGTTTTCCACGTAAGGAGTACCATATACTGAACGGCTTGAAGACAGGTGGACACATCCATTTCAGAATTTACAATCTAATATCGCTGGCCTGCAGACGGTCATTGCTATGCCAGTTGCTGCGACAGAACTTGTATGCTCATCTATCCATAAATGTTTATTCCTACTCCGTACACCATGTCGACTAGAAAAAAGAAGAGTATGATGCTTTCTCCTCAAAGTAAAAGACAATTAATCGTGCTTCTCGTTTTCGCCTTTTTGTTCATCCTGGTCCCTGCCAATCTACGCCAACTTGGCCCTGCGCTTGAAGTGAAGAAGGAGACCGCTGGTAGAGGCATCGTGATCACCACCGGCACCGGCAGTCTCCAGCTCCTTCTGGATCTTCTTAGCAAGAACCTTGCCCAGTTCAACACCCCACTGGTCGAAGGAGTTAATGTTCCAGATTGCTCCTTCGGTGAAGGTAACGTGTTCGTAGTAGGCAATCAGAGCACCCAGAGTAGAGGGGGTGATCTTCTGGGCCAGAATAGAGGTCGTGGGTCTGTTTCCAAGGAAGGTCTTGTGCGACACCAAATTGTCTGGTGCACCTTCGGCCTTGACTTGCTCCGGAGTCTTGCCGATCATCAAAGCCTCGGCCTGGGCAAGGAAGTTGGAAGCAAGCATGCGCTGGTGCTTACCGCCCTCAATAGGGTTATGCGACTCCACTGCCATAATGAAGTCGGCAGGGATAAGCTTAGTGCCCTGGTGGAGCAACTGGAAGAAACTGTGCTGGGCATTGGTGGCAGGCTCGCCAAACAAGATGGCGCCGGTAGTGTACTTGACGTATTCTCCGGAGCGAGTGATCGCCTTACCATTGCTCTCCATGGAAAGTTGTTGCAGATAGGCCGGGAATCGGTGCAGGTACTGGTCGAAGGGAGCCACCAGATGAGTCTGGGCACCGAAGAAGTCACTGTACCAGACACTCAACAGGCCACCCAAGACAGGGATGTTCTGCTCCAGGGGAGTTTCGCGGAAGTGCTTGTCCATAGCGTGAGCACCGGCCAGGAACTGGTGGAAGTTGTCGAAACCGATGTAGATAGCGACCGAGAGACCAATGGCACTCCACACGGAGTAACGGCCACCAACCCAGGATTCGAAGCCAAACATGTTCTTCTCGCTAATGCCAAACTTGGTGACCTCAGCGGTGTTGGTCGAGAGGGCGACGAAGTGCTTAGCGATATGGGCCTCATCCTTGGCCTTGGCCAAGAACCAGGTCTTCGCAGAGTTTGCATTAGTCGTGGTTTCGGCGGTGGTGAACGTCTTGGAGGCAATTAGGAAAAGGGTAGTTTCTGGGTCAGAGTCCTTCAGAGCCTCTGCAATGTGGGTTCCATCGATGTTGGAGACAAAGTGAAGCTTGAGCTCAGGGTGACCATAGGCCTTCAAAGCCTCAGTCACCATGACAGGACCGCTGATTGCGAAGAGAAACCGTCAGTATATCATTCGTATCAAAGCAATAGGGCGTGCTTACAGGTCAGAGCCACCAATACCAATGTTGATGACCGTCTTGATCCTCTTGCCAGTGTAACCCTTCCATTCACCGCTCCTGACCTGCTCGGAGAACTCCTTCATGTGCTCGAGCACCGAGTTGACTTCCTCAACGACGCTCTTGCCGTTCACCTGCATGGGCTGGTTGGTGACATTGCGCAGAGCAACGTGGTAGACGGCACGGTTCTCGGTGAAGTTGATGGGATCACCACGGAACATGTCATCGCGAAGCTTCTCCAGGTCAGCCTCCTTGGCCAGCTTGACCAAGAGGCTCAGAGTGTCTTCGGTGAGGAAGTTCTTGGAGAAGTCAAAGAGAATCTCGGAGTTGTCAACGGGGTTGACGAAAGTGCGGGAGAACTTCTCGAAGCGCTTGGGGTCCTTCTCGAAGTATTCCTTGAGGACAATGTTGCGTCCCAGGGTGTTGTGATGGTCCTGGAGCTTCTTCCAAGCATCCAGCTCGGTGGCCTGCGAAAAACCGGGCATGATGAGGGGCTGTTGTGGAGCGGGAGGTTCTTTTTTCAGCTGTTGCGTCAGTGCGGGGCACAGCCGGGAGAGCTCTAAGGAGGGGAGAGAGCAAAATAGACTGGGTTTAGGGATAGTATACACACCGTGAAGGATGTGAAGGAAGATATGAAGGAGATGAACGGGAATAAGGAGGGAGAGCAAGGGGAAAGAGAGAAAACTGGAGAGAAAGTGGGAAAGTGGGAGAGAGGGGGAGGAGCAAGCCTAAGTAGTATTCACGCCTATGTCGTCACAGAAACTGCCACCGGGCTGGTGAAGTCCGCCAGCTTTGTCAATCTTCAGTTCTGGCCGGTTCTCCCGGATACGGAATATGCCATGTCCATCCCCAACTTTCAGCTTACTCCTCCATTTGTCATTCCTTACAGAAAAATGGTAGTCTGTCTCTCACCGGGGCCAGATGTGATCCTAGCGCGGGCTGCATATGGTACGTCTGCAGGTGGAGTGATGCTGCATACGCTGACCCTGCAAGACACAGATCTACTGACGTCTACATAAAGAGCCCCCTGAATTCCTATGCGACGCGACAGCAATTACCATCCATTATAATATAGTACTGTCAATTACCGAGCGCTGAGTGCTGTTTCACGTGTGTAGGGACAGGAACCATATAGCTTCAGGGGTGTTGCTCCCAGCAGACTCGATCGACAAGGTCGACAAGGTCTCATTGAGTCGTCCTCATCTCTTCGTCCAAACGACCACCACGCTAGAGCAACGTGGCACAGGCGGGAATAAGGGAATGGAGTCCGATTTGTCCCCCCGGCAGGATTTCATTGCCGAGCTGCAAAATCCCTAGTCATCCGACCTCAAAATATTCCTCACATTGTGTGATTGACATCTCATCGTCAAAGCCTCTTGTTTACCAACGGGTGCTAGTGCTAGAAGAATCAATGGGTTCCTTCTCGAAGGCACTGCTGCATATTCCTACATATGCAGACACCATACCACTAATCATGATCCAAGTCAGTATAATAGGATGGCATACATCCGAAGTCACATTTCATTCTTATCATGGATACATGAAATGCATGAATTATCGAGGCATGTTCTGGTATTTGTTGCCAGCATGTGGGCCTCTCCGTAAGCAGCAGACAGGGATAGGGATATCACGAGTATCAACAATGTCAGGAGAGTAGCATCTTGGCTCTGAAGACTTCTCCTGATGCTGCGCATCCTTGAATATCCTTCTTATACCCGAGAATAGTCAACCCAAGTTCATACACGGAGTAGATATAGTACGGAATAGGCCATCATGCAACATCTCTTCCGCCGGGGTTGCACCTACAAAGAGTAGGCTCCTGTAGATCTCTGGAGATGGGGGACTGGTTTCAGAGGAAGCAAACAGACATTCACTTGGCACTGATTCCTGGATAATCAGGAGCAGCTGCAGCCTGAGTCAGTCTAAATTTGAGCAAGTCCGGGGAAGGAAGAAACCTGCCAAGAGGTGCCGTGTGCACAGACCACATTCAGTCAGTGGAAGAATTTCCAACGCGAAGCCTGCAGAACTCCATTTCCATGCCTCGACGTGTCTACCTTCATAGCTCAGATCCTCTTGTTGTCCCCTTTTAAATCAAATCTATGCGTTCTACGGTTTGTGGTTCATCGGTTACCCCAGTGTAGCGGTTGGAATACCCTGCACTCCCTCTCGTCGCACTATTGTTCTTGCGCCGTAACTGAAGCATCAGAGCTCTGAAGCTCGAGCGCAATGTATAATCCTTATCAGCGTAAGAATTTTCCTATTGCCGATGCTGCTGTTGTATCAGAACTGACACTCTTCTAGCTCCTCCGGGTTTGTATGGCAGGCCTCCAGACTTCGGGGGCTATCCAGGAGGACCCCCAGGCATGTGTGAGTAACTGTCTCTTGATCTATCCTGCTTCTTCCTCTTTCCTCTGGCGTTTCTGTTCAGCGCTGATGAAATATGTTCCAGCCCCTCCACCTGGGTTGGCAGCTCCCGGAATATCGCCTCCGCCAGGATTGCAACAGATGAATTCTGCGCAACCAGGTCGACCTGCAGGTTTCCCGCCTAATTTCCAACCGCCCCCGAATATGCCAAATATCAATTTTACGGCCCCCGTAATCCGACTGGGAACGTCTGGCCCTGCGAAATCCGCTACTCCCGACACTGGTAGGGAAAGAGGTCCGGAGACCTCGGGGAGACGCGCCGGTTTAGGATCTACGAGTGCGGAAACTCAACGCCAGAGCGCGCGGGATGCCATGATGCAGCTTCATCCGCCTACTAAAGATGAGATTGTTAAGACCATTTTCATTGGGGGAATCACCGAGGGCACGGGCGGCGATGACGGCATTGAAAAAATCCTACGGTCTGCAGGGAATTTGAGACGTTGGATCCGTGCCACCGATGCTGATGAGAAGCCGTGCAAGTTTGGTTTCGCAGAGTACGAGGACCCTGAAAGCCTAGGTACTGCCGTGGAAGTGCTAAAGGACGTGGAAGTACCTGTAAAGAAACAGACACCGTCCGAGGAGGGTGACAAGGAAGAACACGAAGTAGAAAAGAGCAAGTTACTGGTATGTACTACGAGGAATTTTTTAAGATGATGGCCTACGGTGCTAATCGAAGCCTATAGGTTGTTGTTGATGAGGGCACTTTGACCTACTTGGAACAATACGAGTCGACCAAGGGTGAACCAGACCTAGCGGAGCGTCAAGCACTTCTCGACAATGCACGCAACACTCTCCGCGCAGTTCTTTCGGACCTGTTTCACCCAACTTCGCCTACGCAGAAAGAAGATGCTTCCACGCTTGATCGTGAAGGCGACATTACAATGGGGGATTCCGATCATCCCACTGAAGGTGCGCCCGCTGAAGTTGTCACCATTCCAATTCCTGTTGAAGATGATCTTTCCGATATTCCTCCTGAAATGCGGGAGACCGTTGCGAAGGAGATTGCAGCTTTCCGTGACCGAAGCAATCGCAGGGACATTGAACGTCTGAAGAGAGAAGAAGAAATTGAATCCATGGAAAGGGTAAGGAACGCGGGACCACGGAGCCGACTTGCATCTCCTCCGCCTACGGCGCCAAGTGGCCCTGCAGCTGGTGCCAACGGCGTTCCACTTGGCCCGCGGGATCGCGGAGTGCCCAACGCACCATCTGGCCCCAAGGGATTTGGGGTACAGATTCCAAAGGATTACCAGAAAGGGGTCTCATTTGTCAATGGTGGCGCTATCAATGGTGCTACGACAGCCTGGATTGACCAGGAAGACGAAGACACAGATGCGAGTGACGAAGAGCTAGAGCGCCGGCGTCAGGAAAAGAGGGACGCAGAGCTAGAGAAACAGTATCTGGACCAGGAGCGGCGGTGGCTGAATCGTGAACGAAGCAGGACCGCAGCACTGGAGCGAGAGAAGAAGCGTGACAAAGAAGAGGACAGTAAGATTGACGAAGCGCGAGAAGACATGGCCAAGCGACTCCGAGAGTGGAATGACGACGTGGAAGCGAGCCGCAAAGTCGACGACTACTATGCAGACCGAGGTGCGTGGTTGCGGAGTCGAGCCGCCTTCCGTTCTCGCGAAATCAGTCTGGACGAGGCGGATCGTGTGGCAGAGGAGCGGGAACGGGCTCGGTCGATCCAGCAAAGAGAGCAGGCTCGTGGTATGGCGGACGATTTCCTTGCTCGCCAGGCAGAAGAAATCGAAGCCCGTCACCAGGCCCCGAGAGAACCCCAGCGGTTCAAGCTCTCCCTCGGAGCAGCCGCGCAGAAAGCCCAGGCCGCGACGGGCCGTCGGACGGTGGCGGAAGTGGAAGGATTACTCGAGGACGAAGAAGAACCCCAGGCTACGACCAGACGACCGCTCATCCCCATCAAATTCGACACTGCAGCAGAGGCTGCTGGGCTTTCAGACGAGGAGCGTGCGCAGGCTGCAAGGCAACTGGCAGCGGAGATCCCAGCGGACAAGGAAGGGCTGTGGAACTGGGAAGTCAAGTGGGAGTTTGTGGACGAAAGTGTCATCAGCGATCAGCTCAAACCGTTTGTCGAAAAGAAGTTCCTGGAGTACCTGGGTGTGCAGGAGCAGATGCTGGTGGACGTGGTGGAGGAGCATATCCGGAAACACGGACATCCTCAGGAGCTAGCGGAACAGCTGGGAGAGGTGAGTTTCCTTTCTCTACTCTTGTGTATGCATGCCCCATTACTAATACTTGTTCTCTGTTTAGGCCCTGGACGAGGAAGCCGAGGTGCTGGTTCGCAAACTGTGGCGGATGATCATTTTCTTTTCGGAGAGCGAGAAGAGAGGACTTTCGGCATAGATGTAGTGATGATGAGCTATTCAATGCATTTCCTCTTTGTGTGATCTACAGCGTAGATGTTTTCACCTGGGTTCTTTTTAGTTTAAAGTCCAATTGATTCGGATTATTCTATTTACAGCACAGGCATTATTCCCCGTTCTTTCTCCGGGAATACTGGATCGTCAACGCAGCGGATAGATCGGAGCACATCCGACTCTATTTATTATTATTCCTCGCAACGGGTTACGACTCGAGGAACAGACATGCAGAAGATTTTCCGCCAATAAAGCCCACACCCCACGTCCTGCGCAGAGTGGATGTGGGTTCGTGTTGTCTGATTACTGCCTTTTCCCTGCTTTCATTGCTTGTCCTCGTTTGAGTGACGGGAAGTCTGGAGCATGAGGGGCAGTCAATACGTCAGTATGTTGAGGACATTACTGCTATAAATATGGATGTAGTCCTCTTTCCGTGGCGTTATATTCCTATATTAAACATTCTCCTTCAATTGCAACTTTAGTTGATTTCCTAAGACCCGACAATGGTTAAGATTACGTCGTACGCTACGAGGGATATTAGGTTTCCCGTATGTCAAGCGCGCATTGCATGGCACTGCACTGAACTGAATCACCCTGCGAATGTGCTGCTAACTGATGGAATAGACCTCCCTCGATAAAACTGGCAGCGATGCCATGAATGTTGCCGGTGACTATTCAGCAGCATATTGTATCTTCTACACCGATGCTGAACTGACGGGACATGGCCTGGTACGACTACCTACAACATACATCCACATACATGGAGCATGATTCATAAGTTGATATAGACATTCACCATCGGCCGCGGCAACGAAATCGTCCGCGCAGCAATCGGCGAATTCGCAAGCATGGTCATCGGCAAAGACCTCGACCAGCTAACAGCCAACTGGGGCCGAACATGGCGATACCTAGTGTCCGACAGCCAAATCCGATGGATCGGTCCTGAAAAGGGCGTGACACAGTTAGCCCTGGCGGCCGTGGTGAACGCTCTCTGGGATCTGTGGGGGAAAAGTCTGGGGAAGCCCGTGTGGCGGATTGTAGCGGATATGACGCCCGAGGAGGTCGTCAGGTGCATTGATTTTCGGTATATCACTGACGCCTTGACTCCTGGGGAGGCGATTGCGTTGCTTCGTGAGAATGAGAAGGGGAAGCAGGAGCGGATTAAGGAGGCGGAGAGTAATACGGCTGTGCCGGCTTATACGACCAGTGCTGGGTGGTTGGGATACCCGGAGAACAAGCTGAGGAGTCTTTTGCAGGAGAGTGTGCAGCTGGGATATAAGCATTTCAAGTTGAAGGTTGGGGGGAGCGTGGAGGATGATAGACGGCGACTGGCGATTGCAAGGGAAGTCATTGGGTACGACAAGGGGAATGTGTTGATGGTGGATGCGAACCAGGTAAACACCATTCTTCGCGAACTTCTGCTGAGCAGTGAATACTGACAAGAAAGGTCTGGTCCGTCCCCGAAGCCATCGACTGGATGCGCGAACTCGCCGAATTCAAGCCGTGGTTCATCGAGGAACCCACCTCGCCCGACGACATCCTGGGCCACGCAGCCATCAAAAAGGCCCTCTCCAACACTCCTCACGGCCCTATCGGCGTAGCCACGGGAGAGATGTGCCAGAACCGCATCATTTTCAAGCAGCTCCTCCAAGCCGGCGCCCTGACAGTGCTCCAAGTCGACGCGTGCCGCGTCGGCGGCGTCAACGAAGTCCTCGCCATCCTGCTGATGGCGAAGAAATTCGGCGTGCCCATCGTCCCTCATTCTGGAGGTGTCGGTCTGCCAGAGTACACGCAGCATCTGAGCACGATCGATTACGTGGTTGTCAGTGGGAAGAAGAGTCTGCTGGAGGCTATCAGTCATCTGCATGAACATTTCGTGCATCCGGCTACCATTCGACATGGATATTATGTTACCCCTACGGCCCCGGGGTATAGTGCAGAGATGAAGGAGAGTAGCTTGGAAGCGTTTGAATTCCCTGGTGAGGAGGGGAAGAGTTTCTGGAGGACGGATGAGGCGAAGGGGATTCTGGATGCGCCGAGGGTGCTTGGCTTGAGGGTCTAGTACAAATACATAACCTTCCTTGGATAGTCTGAACTGACAACTCAAGCACATATCCTGCATTGCTTGTCCATTCCGAGGACACGTTGGACTATACATCTTCAGATCGTGTTTAAAAAAGATCACCACGGGAAATATATTGCTCGTTAGCGGATCGTAAACCCCCCTCCCCCGTCAACGCTAATATCAGCACCATTGATCATACCGCTAGGATCCTGCATCGACATTAGAACCAGACGGTCTTAAGACACTTTGATAAATCCAAGAAACCCACCTGACAAAGAAAAGCAATAGCATCCGCAACCTCCTCCAGAGAACGAAACGCAAATCGAACGACTCCGGTGATGTGATGTCGCATTCTATGTGCGATATCGCCCAAGCTGGTCGATCTCCCGCCGTAACCGGTGAGCAAATGCCATAGTTCTATGTGATTTAGAGATTCAAGACGGTTGAATTGGGGTGAACTCGCAATTACTTGTAAGTCTTTCGTGTATCTCAGTCAAACAAGGGAGAGAAGAGATGGTCGTTTGAACGTTGTGTCGTCGTTCTCACAAGGTTAGGGCAGTGATGGGCATCTTGCTAATGCCAGGTGCAGCCATCGGAACTTCGAAGATGTCTTCAAATAATAGAAACCGCAAGAGTTCAAGGGACAGGGATTAAAATAGGCAAAATAAACATTTCGAGGATGAGTGTTTTGTATATGCATGAATGTATATAGTGTACCTCCGACTTCGGCAACTAGTGAACATCAATCAACAACTTCATCCTCTCACAACTAGCTCCCTTGTTGATACTACCATACTGCTTCATTCTCATCCCCTATACAGCAGTATATCCTCAACTCCAACATGTCAAATACGCCGGCCGCCTCCATCGATGCCCTCTGCGAAGAGGTCAAGCAGGTCCTCCCCGCAAGATTCTCAAAAGACAGCTGGTATCTGATCGTTGTACGTATCATTAAATACCCACGCATATCCACTTGACACAAAAGGATTGCCCTTCTATCTTTTTAACTAGGTAACCGACTGGCTAGCACAGGCAGCCTCCCTAGTCGCATCCGGACAGCCATCCGCCCTCACGTCCCTCTACACGTACATCACGGAAGAGGACCCGGGCCATCGCGGATTATCCTACGAGGACGAGAGACTCCTCAAGGCCCGTCTGGGCGATCTTCTCATGAAGGAGTGGACGTTGGTCGGGATACCCACTGTGGTGGTTGCGGTTACTGCGCTGGCTAAAGCGGAGAAGGAGGTGCAAGAGAGGGATATGAAAGTTCCTGAGAAGAGGTTTGTTCCTTTTCTTCAATGATTATATATATATTGCTGTCACTGGGTGATTCTATGAAAGACTAATAGCAATCAAGGATAAATATCGACAACGACTTCATCATGGAAAGAGGGACGAAATTCCTCCAGAAACTCTACAAAGAGAATCTCTCACCCATCTTCTCTACCTGGGGTTCTTACGGGCCGGATTTTGAGTGGATGGAGAAGGCTATTATTTACGGTCTGTTTCTGTCGGATCATGAACTTCTTTCTCCCACGGAGACGTCGTTGGTTACCCTTTCTTCCATCATGTGTCAGGGGCTGGCTGCTCCGACGATCTGGCATTTGAGGGGATTAAGGAGGTTGGGGGTTAGTGAGGCGGATGTTGAGCTGGTGCAGAGGGCGATTGAGATAGTGGCTAAATGGGCTGGAAGAGATGTGCAGGGTTGGCCTCGCGTTACGGATATTCCGGATGCGATCAAAGAATGAGCGGATTGCAGAATAAGAAATAGTGCCCTCTCCTATAGATTTTGATCCTTGATGGTCTTCCTATCATTGGCAATCCCTTAAACTTAGGGTTCTATAGTGCCCTGAATTGGCGTAAAGTCGGCCTGAATGCCACCATAGACAATCAGCTGTTGCGCTGATTGTCCATTGGCCACCTAACAGGCCGTGTGTCGGTGCATAAATTAAAGCCCATTCCATCCTGGGTATCCACAGGGGTCATCCTGGATGATCTAATTCCTTGACCCAGGTTCCAGGCCCGATATAAATGTATCGACCTGGCTTGTGGCTCTCTTGCCCTTGCCAAGGAACAGTCCCGATGTGATGGCTCTGTACGAAGCATGCAGATATGCTGAGAACACGTCTACCGCCACTGGATACCAAAGATCTTCACTGGTTTGGGCGCTACTCTTTCTTCATGGTGCTCCAGGTAAATGCGAGAATGGCCTATGGAGAGTCAATATTAGCAGCACTAAAAAATTCAATAATCTGGTTATGCTGACCTTTCACATCCAGTGCAAGTAGTACGTATTCCCACTCGTATCTGTCCTGGGGTTTGATCATGTGCACGAACGCAACCCCGGAGTTAAGGGGTCCCTCAACCTAGCCAGGTTGTCAATAAAATAGACTCAGATGACAAAATAACAGCCTCTACCCACATGGAAGTTCATTTGTAGGTGTTCACGACCTAGCCCGTCCTTTGAAATCGTTGACCTGGCCAGAGATTAGTCTAACCGGCGCATGAATCACCAATCCTCAGGAGAGTGCTTACGCAATAGGCCTGTTCCGTGCCCATTTGCTCCAGGTGCTTTCACCATACGCCTTTATCTCACTCCGGTCACCGAGTAAACTGATACACCGGGAATCGTCCTTGATACGCTCGACAGCCTTCTCGAACTGCCAAGTCTTGCTATTGGGGGAGAATACTTCGAGGTAGAGTAGGTAGAAAACACCGCCCTAGTATACTGTCAGATATCTACTTCCAAGATACAACAAAAATATCTATTGAAATGTGGGCTCTAGCTAGGCTCACCGTCAAGATAGCCCCAGCCAGCACAACCGCAAAATTAATCGATTGCTGCGTAGCTCGAGCAACCTTCTCTCCCCCACTCAGATCCTCCCATCGGACTCGGCCGTCATCCGACAGTATGTTAATACTCTTTCTCGTCGCACCAGCCTTCGCGCTAGATCCTCGACCAAGATCGCTGTGGGTTGCATAGCATCTTTGAATCTCTGCCGTGCGGGGAAGGGCGGATCGGAGGACAACTTGAGAAGGAAGACAAAGGGCGCGGTGAGGTCTAAGATGTCGGCTCATTGTGACAGCTGTTCATGGCCCGATTCGTCGACATCGGATCCCCTTGTTCAGACCAAAGATGCGAATGGCGATGGAGAGTCGCATCAAAGCTGGGAGCTTTCGGAACGGATCTTGATATCACGTGCGCCGCGTTTCAGGGAAGAAAATTACGTGTGTGCATGGCGTATTTTCAATACAGCTGTGGATCAGTGTGTAGTCGGACGGCTGCATTAACTCCAATGATCAAATGCCTGCCATGATTGGATTGATGTATGTAAATGAGAGTAGCAGACAGTTAGATCAAAGCAAAAAAATTAGATCCTGACCCCCGACTGTCTTCTGCATACTGGAGAGTGCATGTCCGGGTCCGGTTTGAGGCAACACGTGACCGCAAAATTACAAGCAACTGCAAATCCCAATCGGGACAAAAAACCACGTTCCTTCTGAGCCACCTTGACTATCTCACCTCGACCGTCTAATTCCTCAGGGGAAGCGGTCTCGTCGTCCTTCCCCTCCACCCGTCCTTTGTCCTCTCCCGCCGACTTTGGCCGTCTCATTGCCCAATATGACTGCCACCAAGGCAGAATCTCAAAAGATTTTTGAGAAACTCAAACTAAAACCTGCGAACAAGGTGCGCAAAAGAAACCCCCCCCGTCCGCCGCCCACCTCGCCTGTAACTGCCTGCTGAACCTCTGCGATAGGTGTGTTTCGACTGTGGTTCCAAGAATCCCACATGGTCCTCTGTTCCTTTTGGTATCTACCTGTGCCTTGACTGTTCGGCAAACCATCGAAATCTCGGCGTTCACATCTCCTTCGTTCGCTCCACGAACCTGGATCGTATGGATATCCCGATGCTGTCCGGTTAACGGTCTGGAAAATGAATACTAATGCGGATATTTAGAATGGCAATGGGAACAGCTCCGTCTCATGAAAGTAGGTGGGAATGAGTCCGCCACCAAGTATTTCCAGTCGCACGGAGGGTCTGCTGCTCTCGCGAGCAAGGACCCCAAGGTGAAATACACTTGTCCCGCGGCCGAGAAGTACAAGGAAGAATTGAAGAAACGGGCTGCAACGGATGCGGAACAGTCAGTGTGACCCCTTTTATGTTTCATTGCCGGCGACCCTAGTAGGATTGCAACAGTGCTGAAACAACAAGTGCAATAGGTACCCCGACGAAGTTGTGATCACGGACGTTCCAACTGGCACCTCCACTGACGGCACTAACACCCCTGCTGGTGATACGGAAGATGATTTTTTCTCATCCTGGGACAAACCGTCTATCAAGCGACCCAGCAATCCTCCTTCCCGTACAGGCACGCCCCCTATTGTGGGCCGTACCGCATCGCCTTTCCTGAACGCTGGCGCAAATGGAAATGGCACGCGCTCAAAGTCTCCTCTTTCGGCCTCCGCTTCGGATAGAGAGAGTACCGCGTCTACTCCGGCAGCTATCAAGGCCGGGCCAGCCGTCCGGAAAGCTCCTGCAGCGGGCGGCGCGAAGAAGGCTAGTGTTCTGGGTGCCAAGAGAGCTCCGAAACTCGGGGCCAAGAAGGTGGTCGGTGCTGAGGCTATTGACTTTGAAGAGGCGGAGAGGAAGGCTAAAGAAGAGGCAGAGCGTATAGAAAGACTCGGCTACGACCCTGATGCAAAACCGGCCCCTGAAGCTAAGAAGGATGAGAACTCGGGCTCTTCCGCAACTCCTCTTGCCACTCCTGTTCCTATCAAACCCAGTGCAAACAAGTTCGGCGCGAACAAGAAATCGCACGAAAGGAACTCGAGTGACCTGGAACGTCTTGGAATGGGCGTTGGAAGGCTTGGATTCGGTCAAACCTCAAAGCCAGCCCCTAAGAAGAAATTGGGATTCGGTGCTGTCGGCTCTGCCGCTGCTCGGACTCCTGTTGATGGTGAGTTTTACAACTGCTGATAATTTGTTCAATGATCGTGATCTAACAAACTTTCATTTTTAGAAGAGGAACTGGAGCAGACCCGGTCGCGATTCGGCAACCAGAAGGGTATCTCCTCGGATGAATTCTTTGGACGTGATAGATTTGATCCTGCTGCGCAAGCAGAAGCCAAGCAACGGCTCCGGGAGTTTGACAGTGCTACATCTATCTCCAGCAATGCCTATTTCGGCCGGCCCGAAGATGATCTTTCAGTGGATGATTCATATGGGGATTTAGAGAGCGCAGCCAAGGACTTTGTCCGCCGCTTTGGTATAACTGCTGGCGATGATCTAGAGAACCTTACTCATCTTCTGGGAGAGGGAGCGACTAGATTGCAAGGTTAGTCCATTCTTCTGTCCCTGTCTGCAACCGGACGATTTTCATGTTTTTCCAATTTACTAATTCAATCGACTTTAGGTGCTATCCGGAGCTACCTGAACAGCTAGATTATGTGCGTTATCGATTAGCGATTCGAAAATTTCTATCAACGGTCCAGAATGAAAACAGAACCCCAAAGTTTGTCCCCTTGTTTGGCGGCTCGAGAGGCGTTTTGTTTTTCTTCTCTGGTCAAGCAGTTGCTGGCAAACGGTGCTGTTTCTTTCATTCCCATGCATTATGAATCTTTTAGTCGAAACATCCTTTCTATCTCTTTATGTTCTTGCCTTGCCTTGTATTTCACTTCCTCTCTTCTTCACCTTCTCAAGACTTCTTGGTTGATATAGTCAATATAATATATTTTATTCCAAACTGTCAGCAAAAGGTAACGCTTGTTATGTATATATTTCTTGGATCAAATAAATCCGATTAGATCAAAAGCATATAGCGATATATACATCAATCCACAAGACGAAGCCATACAAGACATCTATTACTTTTTTTTTTTTTTTTTTTTTTTTTGGAAATACCCCCTCCACCCCAAAAAACCAGAAACACTTACTCAACCCGATAAATAGCATCTGCAACCCTAGCAACCTGCCACATCTCCTTGACATCGTGAACACGTACGATATCCGCACCCCCAGCAACACTAGCTGACACCGTCGCGGCCGTCCCCCAGACCCGCTCACTCGCCTTCTCAACGCCCGTGATACGACCAATGAACCTCTTTCGACTAGGCCCCATAAGCCAGGGAAAGTATTCCAGACCCTCCGCGCAACGCAACCGACCCAAATCCCGAAGCAGCGTGAGATCCTGCAACTGATTCTTCGCGAATCCCAGTCCCGGATCGAGGATAATGCGCCAGCGACGAATCCCGGCGTCTTCGGCGGCACGAATACGATCGCGCAGTTCAGCAGCAACACCGTTTACAACTCCGTCGGGGTAATGGGTCAATTTTGTCATGGTGGTGGGTGTTCCGCGCATGTGCATCAGGATAACAGATTTACCCGTTCTCGCCATGGTAGGGAGCATATCCGGGTCCATCAGACCCGAGGAAACGTCATTGATGATATCCGCACCGGCGGCACAGGCTTCCTCTGCGACGCGGGCGCGGTACGTATCGATGCTGATGGCTATGTTATCTGCTTCGGGGATAGAGGTGCGGATGTGTTTGATTGCTGGGATAACGCGGGAGAGTTCTTCGGCCTCGCCGACTGGTGCTGAGCCTGGACGGGTGCTTTCGCCGCCTATGTCAATTATTGTTGCGCCGGATGCGATGAAGGAGCGGACTGTGTTTGTTAAGGCTGTTAGGTCTGTTGGGGGGTGAAGGCCGCCATCTGAGAAGGAGTCTGGGGTTAGGTTGAGGATGGCCATTATGTGGGTTGGGCGCCCCGGGTCTGTTGGGTGTAGGGTTGGAAAGGTGGAGGAAATCTGGGTTGTGGAAAAGGGAGCAGAAGGGGGTGCTGGGAGGGAGTTGAGGTGGGAGAGGAACGTCTCTGCTTTTTTTCCTGGGATGGGAAATTGTTCATGAGGGATTAATCTGGTTGCTGATGTTAGTTTTCCTTTCTAATTTGACTGAAGAAGAAAGAAACTCACTGGCAAAGAGGCCGCAGCACGAAATCTCGTTCCAGCATCAGCTTATGCGGAATATGAAGCCGTTCATGATTGACGATTTCTTGATCGTACAGAAGAATATCAAGGTCAATAGACCGTGGCCCCTTGTCAATAATCTTCTTCCTCCCAAGTCCATTCTCGATGGATTGCAGAACATCCAGCAGCTCAATGGGCGTTAAAGTAGTTTGCACCTAAGACTGCTGTCAGACAAAGGCTGTTAACAGTCAAGTGAGCTATAGGATGACCAACCTCGCACACCCCGTTGATAAAAGGGTCCTGATCAAGAACATACATAGGAGCCGTCTCGAAAAGAGAACTCGTCCTCTTGACTTTGATACCTGCCCTTTCCATCTCAAGACAGGCTCTCTCAACCATACCGATACGGTCTCCCATGTTGCTCCCCAGGGCAATGAATGCCCTGTGGATGCGAGTGTCATTCTCTGTGCCCATCGTACGGCTGGATAAATTCAAGGCTTGACTTGAGAAAGGCCTCATATGTAGTTTTCTTTGTGATGAGGAAGAAAAGCGTGTAGTGTGATTGCCATTGGCAGCGCGTGCTTTAGGTAATAGTTGGTTGCGCCCTATACGGCAATTTCAGTATGTGCAAAGAAGGAAGAAGCCCAATCTCTATTTCTTTCTTCCTCGATTCTCTCCCTTATATAGGCGAAAATGAATGGTTGAGAGGGCCACATACTCGAATTAAAAACCGACCATGTCTTTCTATCAACCCGTTAGATCAGATACCAACGTACGCATTTATCTTAGTACATGCTAGAGGAGAAAATGAAAATTCTAAACAAAAAAGAAGACCTGCCTCTCGTTCTGGAAAGAAATCTCAGAAACTCTTTTCTTACCGAGTTGCCGCGTCAATTGGACTGAGAAATTGAACGGTTCATAATTGAAAGATTTCAACGATGCAACACTTCTCCACCAATTATACGCATGGTTGTATTTCATGGCCTGCAGGATTTAAAAAAAAAGGCTAGGTAATAAATATTAATAGTAATAACACTTCTCGACTTCATTTCTTCCTGCGGCGAGTTTGCGAGGGATACGTCACTGACCCGAGCAGCACGTATTGTGTGGCGGGGAACGCGCGGTCATGTGATTCATGCCTCAGGCATGATATATATCTAGCTCATTCTGCTTCGTCTTCAGCTCTAGTCCCTTCAACAACCACTCATCGCACAAAAGCTCCAGGGCTGTTGGTCAGTCCCCCGGATTCCACTACAAGGCCTTTCAGAGCCATGAAGAACCTCTCCTTATCACAAAATCAGAGGCGAAACTTTCCAGGACCCAGAAGTGCAAGCAACTCTGCAACATGTACACGGTCATCAAATACTCCACCCGGAATTTCACCATGAAAGAGGGTATCGGAGCCGTCAATATACCAAGCCGGGTATAACGGATTAGCATACACATGAAGGTTAAGGGGCCCATGCCTTACTATTTTCGGAGCAGCTTAAGCCTATAAATCCATGTGCTCATATACATTCAGCTCATGGCATTAGACTGCCTTCCATTGTATCGAAATGAAGTGGACGTTCTAGGAGCGAAGTGAATTGAAAGGAACGGAGAAGTGCTGTGGAATGCTACATTAATATAAAATGATACTCCATTGTCTTCCTGATGGGGTCGAACTCGCTGAGTTGGTTGACCTAGTTTTGCGTGTCAGAAGCTGACAGAACAGCACCACCAACAGATACTGGCAAGAATATAGTCCATGCTGCGTGAGACTTGCCACAAATGGCCAGTGTTTATGCGAAGATCCTTAAGCAGTATATCTTTCCAAGACTAGAAAACAGGCGCCGCTGCCCCCAGACCCAAAACCCCTCCCTCTGGTCGGCAATGTAAATGACCTTCCCAAGCCGGGACAGCTGGAGTGAAGCACTGGCTAAGGCACAAAGATCTCTATGGAGGACTCAGCTCAGTGACCGTCTCTGGTCAGACCCTGATTATTGTCAATAATCCTGCACTAGCCTATGAACTCTTGGAGAAGCGTTCTGCGCGTCACTCATCGAGACCCAAGCAGCATTTTGCTCGAGAGATTTATGTGGCACTCGCACAGAGAGACAACCTACAGGACGCCCACTAATATGACCGATGGCACCTTCTACAAGATCGGTTGGGAGAATTCCCTGGGATTGTCCCCATACTTCAGTCGATTCCGTGCTTATCGCAAAGACTTGGCCAAGGTGGTCGAATCGCCGACGGCAGCTTCGCGCTTCAATCGTTTACAAGAAGCAGAAGTTGATCATTTCTTACTACACCTTCTAGATTCGCCAAAGGACCTCGTGGAGCATTTCCGGAAGTCTGTCTTTCTATTTACTCGTTTCTAGGTCAGTGCTAACACTGATGGTTCACCAGAGAAGCTGGCTCGGTCATCTTGAGGATAGCCTACAGCTACAACGCCGAACCGCATGGGAACGACCCTCTCATCGACCCGGCAGGCGATGCTATGGATAAGTTTGCAAAAGCCGGAGTTCCCGGAGCGTTGCCTGTGGACATGTTGTTGCCTTTTAGTTGGTTTCCGATGACGGTCAAATTGATTCCGCCCCCTCTCTTGTTACTGACGCCAGATACTAGTGAAATCGCTGCCTGACTGGTTCCCTGGTACGGCATTCAAGCGCATTGCACGGGAGTGGGCATCAACGTTGACGGAGCTCACCGAGAAGCCGTAAGCCCTGGTTAAACAGCAAATGTCACAAGGCGGAACCAGTTGTCGGTTTTGTCCGCTCTGCTGGAAGAGGAGAATCATAAAGACGAGGAAGAGGTCTTCATTAACAAATGGACGGCTATGTCCTTATACACTGGGGAGCTGACACATGCGTTGCTTTCCCTGGAAGCTAACTACTCGCAATTGCTGACCTTCCACAGACGGTTTCCTCCCTGTCCTGCTTTTCCCTAGCAATGACAGCTTTTCCGGAAGTGCAACGGAAAGCTCAAGAGATAGATCGTGCTATTGGGTTATAACGTCTGCCAACCTTTGCAGACCACAAGGACCTCCTTTATACCGATGCAATTGTCAAGGAGACACTTCGGTGGCATCCGGTCGTCGCATGTGTCTTCCACATATGACGACCGAGGGTGACATCTGCGAGGGTATCTTATCCCCAAGGGAGCCTACGTGATAGCTAACATCTGGTGAGCACGTATGCGTTAGGGTGTTCAGCGGAGACCTATTCTAGCCAGCTTTTAGGTGGTTCGCACACGATCCTTCAGTGTACCATGACCCGATGGCATTTAAGCCCGAGCGGTTTCTTGGAGACAAATCAGAGCCCGATCCTCACAGGTTATCCATTGGCTTCGGACGACGTATCTGCCCTGGCGGTATCCTCGCCGACAACAGCCTATATCTGAACATCGCGCAGTCGCTAGCCGTCTTCAAGATCGACAGGGCCATAGAGAATGGCCGAAAGATGGAGCCGGTTATTGATTTCCTCCCCGGTGTTGTCAGCCATCCCGCGCCCTACAAAACCAGTATCAGTCCAAGAAGCCCGAGACATGAGGCCCGAATTCGCTCCACTGAACAGACTCACCCCTGGCAAACGAGTGACGCGAAGGAACTCGAGAGTATGTCCATGTAATCTTCTTGGAATAAATTAAATCTTTTGCCGAATGATAGGTGCCAGTCACCACTTTTTGTCACATTATAAAGTTACATGATAGGAAGCAATTTTTCGTAACGAGCTGCTCCGTACATGTTTCAGCAATTTACAGTCGGGTTTTTGCGCACAGCCTTTCTGCTACAGAAACGGTGAAAATGGACATTTCCAAAAATGGGGAATGCAAGGCACTGGCCAGGATACTGTGGAGAAGAAACAGTCCGTTACCACTCAGATTACGATCTTCAAGTCTCCGCCAACAATCTGGAAATGATTCTGGGCGCTGGAGCATCTCGAATCCGGCAGCTTTTCAGCTGAGAAAAAGAGCTGATCTCTATTCTCTGGGCTTATATGGTTAGGACCAAGGATTTTTTCGCCTTCTCCATAGCTAATGCAGCCGCCACTGCTGTTTTGGCCATTCTAATTCTCATCAAGAAGCTGCCAAACCATGAAGCAAATGAAATGGACGTTCAGAAGGCGACTGCCTGTCCAGACCTGAATTCTCCAAAACTCGTGATGAGACAAGAGGCCTTGTCTGAATAGGAAATTATGGACTCAATCCATGGAATTCATTTAAGATGCATTGAACTTCAGACTTAGTTCTACTAATTCTATTCTTCCTTGATCCTTTGTGCGTCCTATATTTATAGCTCTTCTTACCTATCCCGAATACTGACGTCTTAAAAGCCAAGCGAATCCTTACATGCAAGATTTATGATTGACAATAATAAACACAGAAGTGAAGTCCCACCGGATCGTGCCATCCACACCCTGATCAACGTATCCGAGAAAACTGCCGAATTTCTATTCCGAACCTGCACCTCACTCGAATATGAAAAGACAAAGTAAAACAAAAATGCCGCTCACAACCCCACAAGTCACCTTGACAAAGATAGTGATTATTATGTTCCTGCAAGGAAAGTTTGCTGTTTATCGTGATGTGTCTAAATAACCCTAACGTTTCGATTATAGCGGTTTCAAAGGGGATGAGAGCCGGTTATATTGAATATGGAGTCTATATTAGAATATTGAATCTAAATTTGCCAAGCATTTCGACCTGACTGGTTCTCCCGTATCTGAACTCTGGAGTCCAGAATCTGGCCAGCAGAGTTGGTAACAGCTCAGGGCTAATTATACATGCCCTAGCGCATAGGGCAAGCAAGGGCGGCCAGACGGGGCAGAAACCACCTGACCACTGTCACCACGTGACCTAACACATGACGGTATTATCACATGGTGTTCCTCCAAATCCGCTTGCGACATGCTTTCATCGCTTGCAACTACGACGGTTTCTCCTGACGAGCTGATTGAATCGGGGATTCGAGGCGCATGCGACACCAGAAATTGCCTTGCCTGACCAGAAGGATCCTACCGATACCGGATTATTGCCCGTATACGGCACTCCTGCATCTGGTTTGAGTCGGCCGCGTCCTGTACCGAGGCTTCTTGTGTCAGTCACTTATTAAACTGGGGATCTCCTCGGTTCCCCCTCGCCTTGTTGTTGGCTTATTTTATGCTGGCATCCGTCCTGGTCCTGCACTTAGGACCTTCGTAACACCTCTACCTTTTTTGCTATCTTCCTGTGCTCACCATCCACATTACAAACACTGATCTTCTTGCTGTCGACGGAAATATTGCGTGTTCTCTCTCAGCCATGGCTTCTCCTCGTAAGGTTCCCGAGAGTTTTACTCACTCCACATCCCCCGCAAAATGCACCGGCAGCTTCATATTGTCGCGAGTATAGCTGACTTGCTCCGGTTTACAGAACAGATCCGTACCCCTCTCACCGATCTGCTCAAGATCAACCACCCCGTCCTGCTTGCAGGCATGAACGTGGCTGCTGGGCCCAAGCTGGCTGCCGCTGTCACCAACGCCGGTGGTCTCGGTGTTATCGGAGGTGTCGGATACACGCCTGACATGCTCCGGGAACAAATCGATGAACTCAAGAGCTTCTTGACGGATAAGAACGCCCCGTTTGGCGTCGATCTCTTGCTTCCTCAAGTCGGAGGAAATGCCCGTAAGACAAAGTGAGACTCATACCTTGTGTGCACTGCCATTTGTCCAAGTCAGGATTGTCTTGCTAACACATGGTTTTCAGTTACGATTACACCAAGGGAAAGCTCAAGGAACTCGTCGACATCATCGTCGAGAGCGGTGCCAAGCTCTTTGTGTCAGCTGTTGGCGTCCCTCCTAAGGAGGTCGTTGACAGACTCCACGGTGCCGGAATCCTCTACATGAACATGATCGGTCACCCCAAGCATGTTAAGAAAGCCCTCGATGCTGGCGCAGACATCATCTGCGCCCAAGGAGGTGAAGGTGGCGGGCACACTGGTAATGTTCCTACTACAGTCCTTATCCCCACCGTCGCCAAGCTCGTTGAGGGCAAGAAGAGCCCCTTGACCGGTGGACCCGTCCAGGTTGTTGCAGCCGGAGGTTTGTTCAACGGTCAGTCGGTTGCTGCTGCTCTGATGCTCGGTGCTTCTGCCGTCTGGATTGGTACTCGCTTCATTCTCGCTGATGAAGCTGGTGCTCCAGAGGAGCACCAGGAAGCCGTCCGGACTGCCGGCTTTGACGACACCATTCGCACCATCATCTTTACTGTATGTTGTCCCTCTCTCCCTTTTGTTGACTTCACGACCTAAATGCTAACATATCATAGGGCCGCCCACTCCGTGTCCGGAAAAACCCCTACATCATGAACTGGGAAGAGAGCCGCCAAGACGAGATCAAGGAGCTCACTTCCAAGGGTATCGTCCCTGTCGAGCACGACTTCGAAAACCTGAGCGACGACATTGACGACGAAACCGTTGACAACGCCCGACCATGGCTTATGGGCAAGGTCGCTGCCGTAGTCAACGAGAAGAAACCTGCCAAGGCTATCGTGGATGAGCTCGTTACAGACGGAGCCGCCTGGTTACGGAAGGGAAACACGCTGCTTGCTAAGCTGTAGTTTTTCTTTTTTTTTCTTTCTTTTCACTGTATAACTTTGTTTAGTTTTCCTGGTGTTGCTTTTATCGATTCTTGGATATGAGTGAAGGTTTTGGGATGGTACAAAATTACTGGCTTTTCTGTCAGATTGCTAGTTAATCATAGCGAGTGATAATCTATTGTCAATGAAACCGCAACGCTGATAATATGTATTCTCCGTTTTAATGGGCTTGGTTGAGACAAATGAGTGGTCGTTGCTAGGAGGGAGGCCCATTGGTAACCCAGGTTGCGGGACACTGCCTTCGGATGATATAGCCTAGCTGAACCTAAACCATCTTATTCTTTAATGGAAATAGAATCAAGAGACCTACTAGCCTGTCCAAATAAAGGACACGCCGCAGGTACTCCGCGGGAAGCTGTTGGCAGCGAGGGCATCGGCAGCGTACTGAGGATATGCATCAACAAGGTGAAAAGGCTAGAGAAAACCATGATCACACTAAAAATAAAATAGCAATTGTCGGAAGACATATGTAGCAAAAGAAATAAATGAAGATTTAGTCAATAATACCCATCAAGCACTGAAGATACCACGTCCAATAATCGGGATGATCCAATGTACGAAGGGACGGAACCTGGTCAAAAGATGGGTTCGAAGTATCTTTTGTAATAGTGATACTTACGTGGTGCAAGCAAATAGAAAAAGGTTCCTTCCTTTCTTTCATCATGTTCAGTATTCGTTGAAATAGATACTAAATAGCATAAATTGCCTTTTATTCTTCCTATTCCTAGTATCACAATATGCAGGCATTGTAGGGCAAGGGGGATTTATAGAGCAGGTAGTGCCAAGAGGCAAACACACACCATTCCCGAATAGGAACGCTATACCGGATGCAGTAATTCGCCGTCACCGCACAGTACAGCGCCGTACGGTGGCCTCCGGGCCTCAGCGCTGGCGGTGTTCAGCTGTGCCACTAGAGGCACCCCTGTCTTGCTGATAAGGTTGCGGTGTTCATTGCGATGACTGTTTGCTGGATGTCACAGATTGGCCTTTGGAGCATTTCTGTCTGTTCAGACTGGGGAAACACATGATTTCCTTCCAGAAGGCTTCCATCCCGATTCGAGAACATTTCCCGGTACGGAGATTCCCGTGAATTACTCGTAATCTTCCCCACCACGACAGCAACAAAACCATCTCTTTTCTTGTTCTACCCTTTATCTTTCTGCTTTGCTATTTCTTTCTTCATCCAAATCGATCTTCTATCGCGGCCGGAAACCTACGAGGTCAGGGGAAGCCAGCCCCAACTACCCCCGATTGGCCACGGAGCCTCCATGCAGCAGCGAGGCTGTGATTGCTAGATTGCAAGGTAGCATCGCATGCATTCGCTTAATTCCACGGAGAACGGGGTCCGTCCTATGTACGGTACTATGCTTAGCCGATCTGGGCTATCCTCTCCGTCAGTTCTCCATCGGGGCGTTTTCAAAACGAATTCTTATTGGCATAGATGCGTTCGGACCCTGTTCGCTGTTCAATGCTGAACACAGTTGCCTACGGAGATCGCATCCGTCAGGAGACTGAATATCTGATGTGCTTCAGGTTGTCATCAGGGGTATCTATAGATGTGTTAGATAGGAATACTCCGTACTCCGCATTCCACACCTATGTCCTTATCGTTGCCTGATGAGTCAAGGCATAGCTAACGGGCCTTATTTTGAGTTATTCTAGTGTGCTTCCACGTCTATCAGGCCTCGAAAGTGCCATTTTAGTTCACTGGCTATGGAATACAGTGCTTACTAATGACATTAGAACCTCATCCCCATCCAGGGGGATCCTAGCTAGAGGATACAGGTGGCCTCGACACCCACCCTTAGCTAGACGACCTCAGGAACACGCGCGATATCAGACTTCTCTGCTTGCCCAACTTGCCAGTCAAAAATGTCGGTGGCAAGATCACTTTGAACTTCCGGGCTATGTAAGTTGTATAAAAATGACCCAGTCGAAGAGTTCTGCCGTCACCTTCATAGTATATGGAGCCATTGCCTCTGTTTCCTTCGGACCAGGTTTTGAACAAGAGTTGTTTGGGGCTGACAGGCCAAGAAGCTTGGTATTCCTCCTCGCTGTACTCCGTACTCAGTTTTGGATCCAAATACCACGCGCAACGGGGGCCTTTCCGCCGTCACCCTCAGTTACAGCGTAGCATCATCCCTGGCCCTATTCGGCCTCCCTCACTGGCCACAGATAAGCCGCTGCCGTTTCGCGCATCCTAGCCGTGTTCGATCCTGCTTCTATTTGCCCGTCGATCCCTTCGCGGGATGCTAGATGCAGATTACGAGTTCAGGCTAAATAATTTTGCCACGACTGCATGCGACGCTGTGGTCAAGGCTTGTCTGTTCTTGGTACTGTACGGAGAACTACTTATAACCCCCCTTCTCACCCCTCGTCTTACGGCCGAACGATGCGACTTGCTGGCTGCTGGCTCTTTCTCTTCTTTGCTCGGTCTGTCTTTTGATTTGGGCCTTTTTGGTCGCCTCTTTTGGTCGCTCTCTCGTCTGTTGTTCGGCTGTTGCCTTTATGGGCCGTCGTGCGGAAAGCGAAAATTAGGGCAATCGTCCTCTCCAATAGGGCTACGGACACAATGTATCGCGGCCACGACGAAGACATTGAAAAGTCTCCCGGCCAGTTCACGGTCTTCCCCAAGGATGCATCTCCAGACCCGAGCACTGCGGTCCCAATCGCACCAGTGCCAGGGGACAGCCTCGAGTATGGAGCTTCGCTGTATGCCAAGATCCAGCGCATCGCGGGCAAGCTGCATATTGAACAGCGAGGTATTGAGCGTGTTCCTGAAGATGAGCGGACGGATACGTCTCTCTTCAACATTGGTAGCATGGTGTGTTTCACGGTTGGCAAACCCCAATCGGCCTTTCTCCTACTAACCGGTACGTACCCGATAGTGGTTGGCCGCAAACATGGTTGTCAGTTCCTTTGCCATCGGCGTGCTGGGCAAGTCTCTCTTCTATCTCGGATTCGTCGATGCTATCCTCGTCGTCATCTTCTTCAATCTCCTCGGCATCATGACGGTCTGTTTCTTCTCGACGTTCGGACCGGTCTTTGGCTTGCGACAGATGGTGCTGTCCAGATTCTGGTTCGGCTGGTGGGCTGTCAAGTTCAGTAAGTACAATACCGGATATGCTGTCGGAAGAATGGCTTGCTCATAATTCACCCCCTCCGCAGTTGTGATTCTCAATGTCATCGCCTGTGTCGGCTGGTCGGCATCCAACGCCATTGTCGGCGCCCAGCTCCTTCACGCAGTCAACACGGACGTCCCTGGGTTTGCTGGCGTTCTGATCATCACCTTCTGCACGCTCTTCATCACCTTTGCTGGGTATAAGGTCGTCCATGCGTACGAGTACTGGAGTTGGATCCCTACCTGTATCGTCTTCATCATCGTCCTGGGAACCTTCGCTCACTCCGGCGACTTCATCAACCTCCCCATGGAAGTCGGCACGTCCGAAATGGGTAACGTTCTGTCCTTCGGCTCGACCGTCTACGGCTTCGCAACCGGATGGACCACCTATGCCGCCGACTACACCGTCTACCAGCCCGCAAACCGCGGCCGCCGCTTGGTATTCTTCGCCACCTGGCTCGGGCTTATCATCCCCCTGCTCTTCACGGAAATGCTAGGCGTAGCCGTCATGACTGCGACCGGCCTCAATGATGGCCACAACAAGTACCAAGCCGGCTACGACGCCTCTGGCAACGGCGGCCTGCTCGACGCCACCCTCCAACCGCTGGGCGGCTTTGGCAAATTCTGTCTCGTCATCCTCGCTCTCTCCATCATCGCCAACAACTGCCCCAACATCTACTCCGTCGCCCTCACCGTCCAAGCTTTCACCCATTACGCCCAGCGCGTCCCCCGTCCCTTCTGGGTTATTCTTGCTTCCTGCGTCTCCCTAGCCATCGCCATCCCAGGCTACTCCCACTTCGAGACCGTCCTGGAGAATTTCATGAATTTCATCGCCTACTGGCTCGCCATATACTCCGGTGTCGCCTTGGCCGACCACTTCATCTTCAAACGCGGCTTCTCTGGCTATAACCTGGAAATCTATGATAAGCCATCCAAGCTCCCCGTCGGTCTCGCTGCTGCTCTTGCCTTCTGCTTCGGTATCGCCGGTATGGTGACCGGTATGAGCCAGACGTGGTGGGTTGGTCCGATCGCTTTGCATGCGGGTGAGGCTCCCTTTGGGGGCGATGTGGGCTTCGAGTTGGGATTCGCTTTCGCTTTCGTCAGTTACTGTTTTCTGAGGCCGATTGAGTTGAAGTTCTTTGGGAGGTAGTTGGGAACTCATAAAAGACACTTCTTTTCATTATGTTTTCCAGGGGTTGGTTGCCCTCTGCCGGATAAATAAGGGGGATGGGCTAGCGATTTTTGTTTCTTTCTTTTCATTCTGCCTAGATCTGTTATTGGCGATAAGGGGTATCTTGGTTTTTTCTCTGTCATCTTCTTTTCTTTTATGACTTGGTCCCTCTCAGTGCGGCTTTAAATTCGTTTCTATGATACCTTGGATGTTCATTTGTATATATCCTATAATGTGACATAAAAGCAACGGCCGTACATCCAAGCGTATCATTACTCTACCATGAACGGTGGTTATGGTGGATCCCTGGTAAGGTTTCGTCCGGTTCTTTCGTGGACATATTCGTAAGGTTCCGAGATCCAAAATCGGAAACACTCTTGATCCCATAGCTCTTGTATTCATGATCACGGTCCCGGCAATGTGGTCAGACGCGGCAAATGCAAAAAGCTCTCCTGTGCGGAGGAATCAGGTTCCGGAGAAACTTCTAAGATACGAACAATTTCGAAACCTGAAGCCGCAGCAATGCATGCTCTTCGAGCTCAAATCCCCACTGTTTGAATGTGGGTCATGCGATTGTTCTGCGCGATGCCAATGGGGGAACGGTTGATCTCATCACGTTCTCGATCGTGGAACTTGAACCAAAACCTGGCTATTAAAGAGGAAGCGCCAGGTTCTGTATCACTATGCGCGAAGCACATTTCTCGACAGACATTTTGAGGATTTTTGAAAAAGCGATTGTCCTCGTTTCCTGGGTAGGATCGTGACACGCTTGAGGAAGCGGCCCAGCGTTTTGAATCGGTCATGAAGAGAGCTTTCGGAGGAAATATCAAGGACAAGAACCATGGTACCGTGAAGGCCGACTACGTCTAGTTCGCTTGCTGGTTGCAATGTCCGGTATTCACGTTAATGTGCATGGAGCACAACTTCCAAAGTTCCCCGATTCGCAGTGAAATTTCAGTTCTGAGTCAAGCAGAAACCAGAATATCTGGATCTTTGATCCGGAGACCCCCATGATAAAACAATGTTGCAGACCAAAGAAATTATGATGAGCGCAGGGAACAGCATAAGGGGTGCTCAAGATGGCTAGTATGGGCTTGACAAAATTTGGTGCCAATTTTGAGTCCTCTTCAGAAACTGTTGCCCTTGCTCGATACATGGCTATTAGTAGTCACCAGCTAGTAGGGAATCATTGAACAGGGGGTATGCAAATCAGATTTAACCCCCTGGTAGAATAATCAAGATTCCGTCTCCATAGCAGCTGATAAAGACTTGCGCATAATCGACTGAAGAGTATATTTGAACAGATCGAGACAGCAAGATGGACGTTGTTGTTTGTTCTGTATCACGTGATACACCCGCCACAGCGTACGCCACAGGGCGTCGCCGCCTTAAGACAAATCCACAACGGATTCTCAGCTTCGACACGGAAATCCAGAAATTCAACTGCAACATACCCCAGACAACTGCAACCATCAACATGTCCAAATCAGTCAAGTAAGCATTCCCCATTCATTTCGCAATCAGAGAAGACACCCATCTGAACGATTTTTCTCTTCTAGCCGTGCCGACTGGGCCGACGATGAGGAGTTCGATGAACCCTCCGCACTCCCCGCGCAGCAAGTCATAACGAACAAAGACGGAACGAAAACCGTCATCTCCTACCGTTTCAATGACGAAGGCAAGAAAGTAAAGGTCACCCGCCGAATCAAGACGACAGTTGTGCGAGAACATGTCAACCCACAAGTCGCGGAGCGACGGTCGTGGGCCAAATTCGGTCTGGAGAAGGGCCATGCCCCGGGTCCGTCCTTCGACACCACATCTGTCGGTGAGAACATCGTTTTCCGACCCAGTATAAACTGGAAGGTGCATGCACAAGAGGCCGAGAAGGCAGGTGGCGAGAAGGGTGGTATTAAGGATCAGCTCAAGGACAAGAAGGTCAAGTGTCGTATTTGCAGCGGAGAGCACTTTACTGCTCGCTGTCCGTTCAAGGATACCATGGCCCCTGTCGATGAACCTGCTGCTGGTCCTGATGCTGATGAGAGGCCTGCCGCCGGTGGTCTTGGTGGCGGCAGTGCAAGCTATGTGCCCCCTCAGCTGCGGAAGGGTGGTGCTGCAGCTGGCGAGAAGATGGCTGGAAAGTACGAGAAGGACGATTTGGCTACTCTAAGGGTCACAAACGTAAGTGCCACCACGTTATGTTCGATGCGTTCGACGTGTTCATCCGTACAACCATCCCATGTGTACGGTTCAGTTACTGACAATGTTGAACCACAGGTGAGCGAGCTGGCAGAGGAACAGGAACTCCGGGATCTATTCGGGCGCTTCGGTCATGTCACCAGAGTTTTCTTGGCCAGGGACAGAGAGACCCAGAGGGCAAAGGGATTTGCATTTATCAGCTATGCAGACCGAACCGACGCTGCACGCGCCTGCGACAAGATGGATGGCTGTAAGTTTTTTCTTCTTTCATTTTTCCATGCATGCATCCATTCCACAGACTTGTTACTGACATTTTCGATCTTCTCTTAGTTGGTTACCGCCATCTTATCCTGCGCGTCGAGTTCGCGAAGAGGTCTACTTAGAAAACAATTACAAAAGTCTCTTTTCCTTATCGAGTATGCCATTTTCCTTGTTTATGACATTTTGGGATCGTTTCTCATCAGGGGGCTTGCTAGATACGCTTGTGAGGATATTTCCTAACTCTTTTCTTTGTATTTCGTGATATGATATGCTCAATAATGACTACTGAGGATATCCAGGATGTCAGCATCTACTTCCTTTTATTGCATGCATAGACGAAGAGCATGTTGAATAAAATAAAGAATTCCTATTCTTTTTCAGTCGTAAATGATCATGGCATTTTCTTTCTAGATGGGTTAGGCTTTAATATGCCCATGCCATATTCAAATAGTTACATATTAGAACGGAGAAATCTCGCCAACAACGGTCCAATTTCCTTCCAAGGCACATGCAAAAGGTAAATCAATAAAAGCCAAAGACCAACATACCTAGCCATCTCAACAGAAGGAAATTCACATATTTCCTATATCATTACTATTGTTAATTTCTACCTATTTAGGGTAGTCAATAATAATTCCTATCAGTAGAGGAATATGCTGTACAAAGAACATGTGAAACCATACTTGATCCCTTCGCTGCTAACAATATTGTGGTCAACTTGCTACTAACCCTAAAAAAGAAAACTCTCATACTGCCACGCCACCAGGACAACTCAGGTATAGATGGCCCAGCGTACTACATAGGTATAATAATCATGTGTTCAATAAAAAAGGTACCACAGAGTCTATTTTATTTTCATTCTCATTTTCATTTTTCTATTTGTTTAAACAAGACAACGCTTTAACAAGCCGAGTTCATAGCGCTTATCACTGACGCAGTAAATGATTTCCCCCAACATGGAGATGATTCGAGTTGGGAAATCAATCAACTTTTTCCTTGGTAGAGGCTGTAAAGCTTCTTGCCTAGAGGTGGGTATCACTGAAGCGGGTCCAAGAGTTATGTGAAACCATATGCTACTTCCCACAAGCAGCGGTATGACGGTATTCTGACTGCTCTGGGATGAGCGATGGTGAACTCCATTCTAGACACCTTTGGAGAATGTATCCCCCTCTACACGCCTGTAAAGTTTGCGCATGCACGCAAGCCATATGCCTTCTTGATTGTCGGTATCGGGGAAATAGCGGATGGGAAGAAAAGTGCAGTCTTTGATGTTGTGCACCTTTTTCTGCGGCTCGATCTCTTCTTCATTGGAGAGTGTGTGAGGCATTTGTGTACATTGTGCGTCCTTGGCATATGATGAGAAACAGTGCATTCGTCCCGGATGGGGGAAATATGAGAGAAATGTAGGAAGAGCAAGGACCAGGGGTTCACGATACTTTCCACCGTGAGGCGGGAAGCTGAGGCAGCTAACCTGGACTGAAAATGAAGGAGGGCTTAGTCGGTGCGGAGATGGCGTGTCTGCTTACCTATCTTTCCAGTATCTCATTTCCTCACTACTTGCTGGTGTGACCTGCGGCATACAAAATGAGTGCATGGATAATGTCATGGGCCAAGGCATAACACTCTCTCATACATTTTCCCCAGAAGCTCTGAATGCCAGAATATCTCTAGCGGGAGGAATGGTCTTGATTCAGTTGATAATCCCTAACCCCTTACCCGTTCAGCATAAGGATGCAGCCTGAAGTGACATCAGTGTTTCACCCTGCAAGCACTATACAGAGAGTGATGGGTCAATTCTGGATCTTCCTCTATACATGCCCTCATGAAGCCCGCATGGTATGCACTGGCCCTCGCCCAGTGGCCATGAAAGTATCCACGATCGATCAGAAGACATGCGAAAGCCTCCTAGTAAGGTATTCTTGGGCTGGGGTGGTAAGTCTGCGTTACATTGCGGACCACAGCCTGGCTGTTCTGGGACCGCCATGTCGAATAAAAAGAACTTATATGCATTTGTCTCATGTCGTGGACGATATCGAGTGGAGAGAATATCATGTATTTGCGGTACAGGCTACCTGGTCGGTGAGACAGTTCACAAATTTTCCTCCGTGTTACTCTATTGCGGTTCGGTCAATTTTATCGACCCCATGCCCAACCTCTCGATCGAAGAATAGCGTAGATCACGAGGTAGTCAATAGAGCCAGGTCCTTTTGGGGGACCAAGAGATGCTGGCCTTGTGACAGTATTCTGTAACTTCCGTTCCCGACTGCCATCCTGCTTATGAGTGCGTTGTCTGCTCGAGCATATTGTGCACTTGGTTGATGTACGAGGAATCAGGTCTAGGCTCTGGAGACCCCATTGCCTTGTAATGCGAGCAGCAAAGTTTGGAGCGAAATGACATTCACGCCTGAAAAAATAAATAAATAAAATAAAATAAAAATAAGCGAATGAGCATCAGAAAATTTCGTCGACGTATCAACAAGATTGGGCTGGCAAGAAAAGCCACTCTGTCGTGGCGACAGGCAGAGCTCTCTAAGCTGGCATGTGTATTGTTAAATTTCCCGGAGTCCGTGAAAATTATAGAACTCGGTATGCGTGCAGAATACTAGGTCGGAAATAGTGCGTCTAGATCTTGTTAACAGTGAGCACGGAGTATCAGAATGTCAATCCAAAGGTGTCAATGGTGCTTTCAGAGCCGTATGACTCAACGCTCCTAAGCAAGGCCTATGTTATCCTTAGGCTTCTTTGCCAAGCCAGTATTGAAATTATCAGAGCGACGACAAAATATCAAACTGCAAAGTATCCTTCGCACTGACCATGACTGGAGTATGTATTCGCATATTCGTAGCCATAATAATAATGGCAGACAACTTTCGGTTTGCTTCGGCCAGTTGCCTACCCTGCAAAAGAAATAGCAAATCGAGATAAGAATCAACAATCCAGAGCGTAGATTCAGCAGTCGGCGTGCAGTCCTGGCTCCACTGAGCTCCAATAGTCATCAGCTTAGAAGAGCAGTACGTGGCAGTGCCGTGCGGATGACAACCGATCATTGGGAAGAGAAAGGATTCCGAGTCTCACGGGCAAATTATAATAATTACCACTTTTGGAAGACCCAATGATACAATTGACACCATGTCACATCTCGTCATATCACAACCGTCTCTAATTCTCAGCTAGCGCGTAAAGACGTCGCACAAGGAGAGTTCCTGGCAGATGCCTATCCTTTCCTAAAGATGTGTATAATGGGAAGTGAGCTCAATCTGGATTTTTGCTGCCAATCTTGGAATTCTCGCAGAATGATGCAGGTGAAGTATATACGACGGAGCCTATACGGGATCCAAACTTGGACAGCAAACCCTAAGACTCTCGGGGGAAAAGATTAGTCCTATGAGACAGAATCAAATAATGAGATAAATCAATAAAGACAGTTGTATGCACGTATTCCTCAGATGGGCCGTAGCAATCATAGACATGGACGTAGATTGGACGCATTTGCAACATAATTGGCATGAGGCCCAAGGGTGGTGTCTGGTACCAATTAGTAAGATAGTATCGGGTCAATCCTTGAATGTTACTTCGATAGGCCATCTTTCTCCTTGTCCTGGCATGATGGAAAGAGACGACGAAGGTGAGGTTGAAGGAGGACATACACGCTATACCCAATGCGGCACCTCTAATTCACGTGCTAATGTAACAAGCGCTATTCCGAAAATGGCGTGTCTTCATGTAAACTGCCCTTTTAGGCATAGCGCTGTGTCAAATGGTCAAGTATCTCCCCGTATCAGTTCCAACTTCCAACGGAGTACTCTCAAACGTCGCCGTTGTCCATGATTTGCATCTAGAATGCATAGAATGCATCTGCTGTCGAATCAGAATTGGTGCTAAATCATCTCGATTCTTCTTCTGTTTACCGAACTCTAAAGTTTCTCTGACTCTCCAACGGCGAATCATGATCCCGGTTCACTATACAGCTTCCCTTCCCCTGTACGATGTGTCACCGCGGGAACACTTTCTGCACGACATCTTCTTGCAAGTCTCTAGTGCCTGGCCTAAGTACTTCTAGGCCCATCTTTTTCTGGCCAATAGCCTATCCTGGGCATTGTACTGTGCTGCACCTTCCACCGGATCGAGTTAGTCTCCTGCAAGGCAGTCGATCACAAAGCCACAGCGGTGACAGCTCGAGAAACAATACGTGTCGCTGGGATTAGCTGTTACTGTTCTCGTGCTTCAAGGACTCTTTGCTGTATCTGGCCCACAGATATTGTTCGATTCTGGAAAACATGCTGTGCCCGCTTTCCCCAGCATTTCTGCGAGTCGCTTATGTGGAGACCGTCGCTCCCGCGAGCGACGGTTTGATTGAAAACAAGAGCTGCTCGTTCTGAAGGAGCCAATGAAACAGTGTTTCTACGTTACATACAGTATCTCACTTCCCCCAGACTGCATCGGTGAGTGGATAACCAACTACAATTGCCGGCGGGTTGGCGTTCTTGATCGCCTGATCTCTTGCACTCGATACCCAACTGAGGCTGGTTCCTGGAGCATCAGAAATGCCAGTATTATCTGCGACGCGGATGTCTAAGAAAGTGAAACTTCTGGGTCCACAAAGCCCCTGTCCAGCTGCTCATGTAGACAATTCTCTCATGGTCAAAGCCATTGGTTACCTGCAGCCGCTTGAGTTTTGGTATTTCCAACAGTTTCTATCATGCGACGGTTGTTTGGCACTTGCTACCTGCACCAGGCTCGGTCATGGCCGCTAACTTTTCTAGCGCCGTCTTATTATTTATTTATTATTTTTTTTTTCTAGCTGCAGCTTCCCGTCCGCCGGGTGTTCATGCCGAGACAGATGACCTCGCCGGCAGTGTCTTGTAAGTATACAGTAATTCGCCAAGAGTGGTCTTGATTGAGCAACCGGTGCGTGTTGACTTCATTCAATGGAAAATTCAGAGGATCTGTACGGTTCGGTAACATGAGAACTCTTCCTTGTTGACCACTGGGCTTCAACAATCAACGCCCGAGTACCGTGCTTAACCTACTGGGATGCTCATCCAGGATGATTTGCGCTTATACTCTTTCTGGTTGAAAGAGAAACCGGTGACCCAGGGGCTCGTGGTTGGACCCCTTTTTGCTGCTGCCGCTCTCTTTAGTTGTCTTGTGTACAGGACATCCATTTTTATTATTATTATTTTTTTTTTCGGCCCTGACATGATCCGAATCTTCAAGCTCGTGGCAAGAGGGATGCTGTCCTCCACACTTAATTCGATAGCAGAGGTCATCAAAGTTTGTGCACACTGAAATCCTACAGATATCTCCGCTGCAGACTTGGTCCCTGCCAGGCCCCTTGAGTGTAAATGGCCAGACCTCAAGTGGATAAAAACGGTCTTTGCTTGCGAGTGAAGAAACAACATGGTCTGAGCATGGTTTCTTCAGCATTTGGAAACAAATATCAGCTGCAGTCTTCCCTTCTCAGCCCAATACTATCACTTTCTCCGTGGTGGACTCGTCCTCTTTGACCTTTCTTTTAAAACACGTCTCTACATGTTCTATGATTTCTTTTTAAGTTGCCTTGGTCTGGCTGTCAACTGAAGAACAACTACTAGAGAATAATTCTCACCAACCATATTTTTCTTCTTTTCTTGTTAATCCGGATTGGTCCAACTCTGCAAGAGGAGTACAATACGGTTGCGGCTTATTCTGCAGCAGATACAACAGTTACTTGTTTTCACGGTCTCCCCGACCGTTAGATGCATTCATATTGAGTAAGTCTTCGGTTTATTTGGCTCTGCTTTAGGACATTCTCAGTCTCTGGTTTTCTTTGAGCATCCTGTGGCCGATCGATCGGCATCCAATGAGGCTATCACCGTGATCTTTGCTTTCAACTGCTGCCTCGACTCGATGACTGGGCTGTCCACCATCCAGCAGAGCCGAGTCCATGCAAACACCTATAGCCACATACCGACAGAATTGTCAGTTAAATTCACGCTGTTTATCTTCTTTTCTTTGACGAATATTCCATTTGACTCTTCTTCCTTTCCAAGACTATCTTGCTTTCACAGTTCCGTCAAAGCCCTTTCGCTCGCTGCTACCTTTCTGCCCAAGATTTTATCGCTATCCTGATACTTTAAATCCTCTGTATGATTGGGGTGCGTGCCTTGACTGACAGGACCTGTCTTCTTAAGCCTTCTTCCTGCTCGGAAATCGAAGTATTTTTCTTGACGAAGTCAAAATCCCGATGTGCAGGTCGTCTTTGTACCGTTACTGATCCTAACTCTGCTGTGATTCGTTTCCATTCGCTCTCCGTCTGAAGCCTCGACCAACCCTTTCTAGGACTTGGTTTCAAGACGCCGGAGACTCCCGCCTACCTCAGAAGTCGTTCTTTGAACCTTACGTTTTCCATAATGGTCTCCCAAATGAACCATGGTAAGCCCTTTATTTATCTTGATTGCTTCCGAACACCAGTCCCGTGTTCCAACTAAGACTCGTACCAGCAACTCTTCTACAAAGTCCGTTCCCATTAGGCTATCCGGCAGCCTCTGACAGCGATTTCACCGGCACACAGCGGCAGTTCGCAGGTTCAACTGGCTTTCCGACAGATGAAGATGATGGTAGTCGGAGGGTTGGTGGTCTCGGTTACCCTCTGGCACAACCAGCCTCGATGCCTATTAGCAACGGTTTGAGGTACAGCGCACAGCAGTCTACAATGCAGGATATGCCGTAAGTTGTCCTTTTAATTCGGACTGGTTACCCTTGCACTCTACTTGTCACTCTTGTTACCCACTAGTCACACCATTTCTTTCTGGTCTGGGCAGCCCGATGGAGCGTCCAGGCCTCCCTCATTCCTTATGCGAAACGCTGCATTGAGCTGCCACTATCTGGAGGTCTTAGTTGGTGTCTCAGAATAGCCTTTCGATTCCCGTCATAGTACAGACCCGATTCATGCATATTCTAGTGGCTATGTTGGGATTATCTGATCAGCAGTTCCCTTGCTCTAGTTCATTCTTGGGCCATTATAGAAGACCCTTTATATCTGATGAATATTACCGCTCACTTGACTTGGCTTCTCTAGTTTTGCAGCTTCTCCCACCATTCTTATGAGCCCTACTGATTCATGCTCTGGTGCGTTCTCAACTTGTTCTCCGTCTCAGCCTTATTATTGCCGACCGTTCACTTTACCAACGAATCTCCATAATCATGGGAATCTTGACAGACACCTACTCTCAAGCATCGGGCCCCATTTACTCTCATTCCACAGGGATTCAATACGAAAGAATGCCAGATTTTCGATCACGGGTGCCTACTCTGTAAGTTTACCAGAATCGCGGTTGACTTCTTATAGTCACTCACAAACGGCCTGCTATGGCCCCCATCCTTCTAGTCAACCGCCGACTGGCATTTCACCAACTATGCAATCGCCTGGTACGGCTGTCACTGGGGCGCCTGGTCTTATCGGTAGAAGTGACGGCTATCCATCAGCATTCGCTCTCGCCAGGAATCCGTTCCCTCCCCTAACGGCCCTGAACGACATATCAAGGTTCCCTCAGTACACAAGCACCCCACGAACTCTCGAGAATCCCCTGGACCGGCCTCAAAACTTGATGTTCGGGCATGGTGGTAACTTGCTGGTTGAGCCCGGACAGCGATTATCACAATCTATGACCGATGCACCTCCTTTTGACGAGACCAACATCCTTCATCAGATTGTCACAGGCAACCAAACTATCAACCCGGAAATCCAAGCCAAGATTCACAAGGGGTTTTTTGAAGTTGAAGGGAAATGGACCTGCTATCGACGTAATTATTTTTCAGTCTCGTGCTCATTTACTCTACACCCTTGGATTCACAACGCTCCACTTTTCATCAAATTTCCTGACCAGGGATCGGAACGAATTCGATCATTCGCAATGTCAATATCCGCGATAGTAACCGCTCAATGTGGAGAGACCCGGGAGCTAGTGCAACATACCCCAAAGCGTGATAAGCAATCTGAGAGGAAGCCGGGGAGGATTCCTTTGAATCCTACGCAGCCGCCTCCATTGCCCAGTCAAGGACCAGTTCCTAACAGCAACCATCTGGGGTTTGGGCTAGCCTCTCATTCAACCGGAATGACAATGGATTACAATTCCACTTACGCCGGCGCCCAGCAACCGTCAGAGCCAGCGACCCAGCACACCTTTGAACGTATACAGTTTCAGAAGGCTACCGCAAACAACGGCAAACGTCGGGCGCAGCAACAATACTATAATCTTGTTGTCGAACTCCATGCTGAAATTGCCAGCGGAGCCAACAAGACCCAGTGGGTCCAAATTGCTCGGAAGCTTTCACATCCAGTGGTTGTTCGCGGCCGTTCGCCCGGGCACTACAAGGATGGACGACGCGATAACAGCACAAACATGGGCCCAGATGGTGGAAGTGGCGCTTCTGGAAATGCTGGCAGAGGACCTCTGTTGCCCCCGGGAATCGCTCAGTCTACGCGCTCTCACTTGACTCTGATGTCATACGACGCATCTCAAAGGGGAGGTCCTCATTACGGCCGGCCTGATTACCACCAGATCGTCACGAGAGATCAGTCGCCTTTAAGCGGAAGCCCGTTGATGTCCTCATCTTCGTCGCCTGCCTTCGACATGACCATCCCTATGGACCACATTGATACAATGAAGCATGCGTCGAGCATGGACTCGTATCAAGACCCAACATTGGTTGGAACATCCCTGGAGTATAGAAAACTTGAGGTGCCGACTTCATACCGAAACCAGCTATCACCGTTCGAATATGACTCGCCGTCCAAAGACAATGGGGATCCCGGACCTCATTTCCCGGACACACTTGATCCGATGATGCCGATGATTCAGAATGACCAGGATGATCCTTCGCATTTTACAAAACGGCCTTCCAAGTTCACGCCTTACCATCACAGTCAATCTGCCGCTGGGGGCTATGACCCTGTCTTTTCCAGTCGATCGGCAGACAGCAACTCGTATCCTCGGTTCGATCCCATTTCGAATTCGCAGAGCCTGTGCACCTAGCTATGTTTGCATGTGTCGCATTTTCTTTGTTATTTCAATAAAATTGAAGGGTAAAAATTCGGTGGACGATTAAAAGGACACCATATGGGTCCATGACAGGGATGCCATGTACGCAGGTTTGTATCCTGAGCATTCGTTTCATTACCAAACCAGCCATCTCATGATATTTCTTTTTTTTGGTTTATTCTCATTTGATTTATTCCCCTGTCAATTTGCAGGTCAGGATATAGCTATCTTTCTAGTATTCCGGCATGTGGCAAAACATGAATTGAACCGTTTGGCCGGAGTGAAGAAGAGACGCCGCACCTTGATGTTCTTACTATCTTTTATTTAAATTTGTGGTCTTTACTTCTCTGTTTGCTTTATTTTTATTTTTATTTTATTTTCTTATCGCATGGTACGAGCTGCTGAAGACGGACTACGCAAAAAAAAAAAAAAAAAAAAAAAAAAAAAAACAAAACAAAACAAACATTATCCGTCTCATGGGGCATTGGCAACAGGGGCTCAAAAACAGCCATGCAGAATGACATGTTGAAGCAAAAAATTGTGATGAGGAATCTTATTTTGTGGCTTGTTGCTTGCTGTGAGTGGCTTTTGATGTCGGTCAAACGCAGATAGAGGAAACATAGCCAATGGATCTGGTTTCCGCTGTACGCACTACTGCATATTTAGAAATGATCTTTTCTTCTAGAGGAATAAGCAGGTAGATCTTTCTATTGCTATTTTCTTCCTGCTTCGTGCTATTTCTTGCTGTAGTGGTGTCCGAATTTCGTCCAATTCTTTGCCCATTTGTTTGAGGAATGAAGCCGAACACTTGCATTCATCCCCGTCGTAAGAGGCATACTAGTCAGTTGATGAAAATTAAAAATAAAATACTACCATAGCATTCAGTGTGCAGTAGTGTGGTAGCTAGGTAGTATACACCCAGACCCAGCCACCACCAGAGTTCCAACACCAATGTCTGATCTGCAGTCGCGATTACAAGGAAGAAAAGAATATGCATCAGCTACTGTATGATCTTCAGAAATAAAGTACGAAATTCTACGACATAAGGCAGGAAAGAATTAATCCTACCCACCATGCACGCTGCACAATGCATGCTGTATAGTATGTACGTACTGTACTGTACAGCACATAAGCCCTACATGCATATGATATCCCCGATCTACAGAAGAAAGGCATGAATATTCAACACGTATGGAGTTGGAGTACAGCATATCACCCGCAAATCTGTTGTGGCAGCTGCATCTGATCTGGGAGTTAATCTGAAACTGAAACTGAATCTCGATCTGGTGAACATATTACACATACACGCATATACACATCCACATGAACACTTACACATATGTACATATACATGTACATGTATATACGCGTATGTAGGATACATTCCACGACAGACGATGGCAGCTCGGCAAGTTCCGACGTCTTACAGAGTCGAGTTGAATCAAGTTTTGTTTCATTGTTTGTTTTTGTGTAATTTTCTGAAACGAGACACGTCTTTGGGTTGTTTCATTTCTCTACAGCTAATAGTAAATCTTTTATTATCGTCTTGTAGAATAGTAAGGCTATTCTATACTGAATCGGGACAGGTCACTAATTACCTCCAACAGTAAAATATCTATCCATCTATACATAGTCATCCTGCACGTCGTACAAGGGTTTTCCGAACCGCACGCACGAAAGCCCCAATAAAAAAGGAAAACGATAAAAAAGAAAAATCCCATTGTTCCAAATCCCACAGGAGACAGTCATGTGTCAGAACGCCCAGATGAGAAAAAGGTCGTTTATTCGTTGTTGTTTCAGGTTCGCCTCCTTCATCCGCAGGGTAACAATGTTGCACGGCAGCTTGCATGATGCATGATGACCATTAGGAAGAATGGAGGCGAGAAGTACATTATGCGGACGAATGAAGATGACGGAGACAATGGATACTCCGTATATAGTCGGACAAGGGTTTTCAGGTTTGTTTTGGAATTGTGGGGCAGTTTGGGTCGATTTGTTGGCTGGTGAGTTGGCTGAATAAGTGGTAAGCTGCTGCTAGAGTCTAGATGTTCATGCTGGACTCGGCTGTAAGTTGTAACTGCAGGGCGCAATAGGTTCGTTTCCTCCTGCATTGTTCCAAATGCACAGTTGCAGCTGTACATCTGGCCTGAATACTCGGTTCTGCATGGGATACATAGTACATCCCCATTTGCTCGTCTGGTATCTCGATTCTATGTATTTCATTCACGTCAGAATATTTCTAAGAAATAAACAACTACCATCACACACTTACAAATCAAGAATTATCGCCCACTCTTCTCAACCCTGTCAACCCTTTCAACCCGCAACGCCAACTTCCTCTCCAACTCCTCCTTCTCCTGCTCAGAAGGCACCATCCCCAGTGTCTTCTCTACTTGCGGCGAAATCATCATCCCAAGGGATGCCCACGCCATCAGTCCTATGCCGAACACAGCGCGTGTTTTGGGGGAGAGAGATTTGTATGAGCTTTTTTTTTCGTTCGTCAACATTCGTTTGAATTGGGAATGTGCTTTAGGTGGCATACCTCCAAAGGGACATTTTTGCTCCTGTATATAAGAACCCCTCTGCTGTCCTTCTCGCTGAGCAGACTTGGAACTGGTGCCTCGCGTGGTTTGTTTGCGCTCTCAAACGCATGTAGTTGAAGTAGAGAGTCTTGGCGCTCTCTATGCCCGATAGACTATTCCTAGAATGGAAATTCTCCGACTACTGACAGATAATCGCTAAGCCGTATATTGTTGGATCACGTGGGATTCTGCCGCATAGGTCCGCCCTCGCTGACCCTTTTCACCACGTAGGCCTATCTAGCCAGTGACCAACCAACGATACACCTCCATTATATATTCCGTACCTTGGCACGTGAGGAATTGCCATTACTGTCATTCCAATTTGTATCTATAACGCTCTCGTATACAATAAATAATAGATTTTGACTGTTACAGTCGAATTATTTCGAGCACAGACCGCATGGAAGAATACGCTGGTGGGGAAATCGACTGCATACACAAATTGTCCCCGCCTTCGTCCTCCTTCAGTGGCCGCCCATAAAGAGACCAACACAGCACCATCGGGGAATCCTAGAAACATGCGGAACAACGGCTTTGCAAATAATAGCCAAGGGCATCATAAAGAACAGAAACAGAAATATGAGAACAAGTACAGCATATCCTACCCTCTCAGTGCTTGCCGTACGCACGGTTAATATCTTTCTGGAAGTGGGTAGTAATCTTCCTCCGCTGCAGTTTCTGGGCGGCAGTCACAAAGCCCTAGATTTAGAAAGTTAGCACGGTACTCAATTTTGGAAGGGGGCTCAAATGTTAGAAAATAGATAGGGCTGTAACTCACGTTTTGTGTAGTCCACTCTTCGTCCGAAAGTACCACGCCACTGATAATCTCAATCCCACGGAGGCCGCCAGCTTTGCCAGCTGCCTGGAGCTGCTTCAGCACAATGGATTTGAGATTTTCATTGTGGACAAGCGATTCAATAGTGTCTCCCTCGATGTCATTCTCGCTAGCAACCTTCTTCAGTGCCGCTTCAATGGGAACGATGATGGCAATTGGCCGATCTTGATCTTGGGCAGCAAAGACGCAGATGTTGCCAACAACGGGGGAAGAGCGATAGACAGATTCAAGTTTCTCCAAGGCAACGTACTCCCCGGTAAGCGTCTTGACCAAATTCTTCTTACGGTCGATGATTCTCAAATGTCCGAACTGGTCGAACTCGCCAATATCACCGGTCATAAACCAACCATCCTTCGTAAATGCAGCCTTGGTTTCTTCCTCGTTTTTCCAGTAGTAATTGGTGACGCTTCCTCCACGAATGAAGATCTCTCCCTGTGGGGGGTGGTTGTTTGTCAAATACCCTGCTTCCGCAAAGTCCACGAGCTTAACCTCGACGCATCCAGGAATCTCACCCAGAGAAGTTGGGTTCCACGCCATCGGGTCATTCAAGGCTCCCATAGCCGATGTCTCTGTCAAGCCATAGCCACTGATCATAGGGCAAATGGCCATCGACAAGAACCTAAGGGTATCTTTAGAGATCGGACCACCACCATTCATTGTAATGCGAAGCCTGCCACCCGTGGCCTCCTTGAGCTTCTTGAATACGACGGCATCTAAGATTCCAGCTCCCAAATCCGAACCGGGCAGTTTGCTTGACAGAAGGAACTTCTTGGCCGACAAGGCACCCCAGAACAGATTTCTCACAAGGAAATTATTCTTGGCCACTTGGGACATGATTCCTTTCTTGACTGTTTCCCACACTGCTGGAACACCGACGAGGATAGTTGGTCTGAATTCGCGAATGTCACCCTTGCAGTTGCGCACCGAGGAGTCCGAGAGAGTGCGCGGATGTCCATAACCCATAGTTCCACCCCAGAACATGCAAAGGTTCTCAAACATGAACTCCAGAATATGTGCTTGGGGGAGGTAAGTTAACAAAGCATCCTTCGGGCCGATGTACGGACCGACGATCGCATTGATACCCGCCGCTAGTTGGGGGCTAGTCAGTTCCCCAGGTCCTACAAGAGATATGAGGAGGCTCTACTTACTTGCAGCGATAACGTTCCCGTGAGTCAGCGGCACGCCCTTCGGGGGGCCGGTCGACCCGGACGTGTACATGATACAGCACAGGTTTTCTGGAGTGGGAGGAACAGGATCCACAGGATTCTCTTCGCCCAACTTACGCAGTTCTTCCAAGCTGAGGACAGTGAGCTCAGGGTGGTTTGCCTTGAGGTTGTTAATGGCTTCCTCGTCGACATCCAGGTCGCTGTTATATATGACGAATTTAAGGTCCTTTACGTCTTTCTTGATATGTTCAAGAGAGGTGACAAGGCCGGGGTCAAGGAAGATGGCGATGCTGCTAGTTTGGACCAAGGAGTGTTTCAGGCCTTCTTCACCCAGGTTCTCATAAGCGGTGACGATGACGAAGGATTGAGACGCAGCACCTATTGATAGCAAGAAACGGAAAGTCAGTTGGACACCGGGATTGGGAAGATGGGATAGAAATTAACAACGAACCATGTGACATAGCCAACCAATTTGCACTGTTCATCGAGTTAGCTTGTCCCGTTGGATTCTGACGGACTGGTCCACCAACCTTGTGGAACCATAGAGGTGAACCTTGTTATCCTTCTCCAAACCCAATTTCCGTAGACCGCAGCCCAATTGAAGCGCAAGCTGCTCGTATTCGATGAAGGACTTGTACGTATAGCCGCTCATCTCGTAGAAAGTCCACTGCTTATCAACCTCGCGCTCCTCACCCTCGATGATCTTCTTGACCTTTTTGTTCTCAACATGGGTCTTTATCAGGCGACGGGAACCGACCGCGTGGGACTTGCCGAACAGCTTGGCGCCTCTCCGGAAGATATCATAGGTAGTCGCAACGTCTTCCGCAGGTCGTAGGATGAGCTTATCCTTGGCAGCAGGCAGTCTTCGAGGGACAGTCTCCCCGTCAACTTTTTTGTAGTCGGAAACCTCCACGGTAAAGGGGGGCCTCTTCACCATTTGGGGTTGGAGATGGATGTCTGTTTTCGACATCTTGGCGGATGTGGCGGGAAATCAGGAACAGATTGGAAGGGTGAGAGATATAATAGATTAGGACAGATGGATTTCTTGTGGGAGAAATAAATTAGTAGGTGGATGATTTCCGTATGCTCGCTGGCTCTGAGTAAAGGTGGGCCAGGGGAGCGCAGGGCAATGAGAGAAAGAAAGGGAAGAGAAGGGAAAAAAAAAGACGAAGACGATCGTGTCTACGGAAAGAGCTTACCAGGCAGATATAAATCTAGATGGGGCTGAGCCTGGACAGTCTGGGAAGGCAGCAAGACAGAGAGGCCGCAGCACAGACAGACGCTGAGGAGAAAGGAAGTTTGGCCGGCGAGAGAGTTGGTTTGACTGCTCTGCTATGAAGTCAGCAGCCACTTCCCCCGGCCGCCAAGCCCGCCTGCTGCAGCTTAGGGCAAGAGCTCCCGGCGGTTCGAACCGTACGCTTCGGTATCGTACCGTACCATACAGCCTGCTACAAAGTACCTATCTAGGTACCTAACCTACCTTAAGGTACTATGCGTACCGACAAGCTTCTGTTTGATTGTCCATCTCCTTGCGGGTCCTGGAAATAGACAGTCTCAGCTACAAATGACTATCCCGTTGTGGAGTCCCTCATCCAGAATAGCCGTGGAGGACGGTTTTCTCCCGTCACGTACGGTCCATACGATACACGATGCGGAGAAGTGCGCTGTCGCCCTTTTAATATGCGCCAATTCTGTTGGGGTTCCGACCCAACATGATGATACGCAGGCACGGGTCTTTCTATCTGCCAGACGCAAGGCAAAAATATTTCTTCCTGCAACGACCACACCACCGTCTCTCAATTGCTTGTGATTCCAGGCGTCAAGTGTCATTGCGCTTTTCCCGAGGAGTGTCTGTTCCTCTAAAATATACGCCCTTTGTGCCTAGCGCTGAATCGTCTTCCGTATACACTATATAGCATAGCATACGGCGCAGCGAGCTAATGAGGTGCCCCGTGCGGAGGAATGAGGTACATAATGCAAGAGCCGAGGGACCTACAGTACATTCAAATGCATGTATTGTACTCTTTGCAGCATTAAAACTTAAGATATATCCGTACTTAATCCTCGACTACATCCTGCAAATCCTGCGGAGCTGTCGATCACTCTGATCAGATCAGCGATCGATGCCATCACAGCGGTCAGGGCCGGCAGAATGAATGCTCTGACGTGTATGGCATGGCTTTCCGGCGGATGACAAGGCCGCATTTCTTGCCTTATGACGCATTGAAGCTGTGTGTCTTGGATCATTGTCTGAGCTTGGTTGTTGGGACTCGAAGTAGTCTTACCTTGTTTCCACTACAGTACACACCGGGTAGCGTGTATCTATGCTGTGCAGCACAGAGCGTCCATTTGACCTATGATATACCCTTGGCTGTAGCATGAAGTACCTAATACCTATTCAACGGATCTGCAAGAAGCAAACCGGGAACATTTTGTCAATTCTACGTTGAACTGTGGAATGTCATGTTCTCTCGTTGGCCATTGCTGCAACGTTCGCTTCAATGTCACGTGTTCAACCAACCATTGATGAATGCAGGTTTGCGACTCAACCAGGAGGGATCACGGATCAAAGAGTAACGGTATATAATGACCCATTATGCAGTTTATGCACACTTTGAAGTCAAAAGTAGCAGAAGACATGTGGATGCAACACGGTGGATATATAGTACAGAGCAATAGTATTCCGCTCATATCAGCGCAAAAGTAGTCTGACAGCCACGTGAATGCACGTCCACATGATATTCATAGTCCGGACTCATAGTCTCCCCCCAAAGAACATGGATCTCCAGGACTTTCTTCAATCAATTGGAGAAGAAGTTGACGATGCAGAAGAAGGTATATGTTTTTTTTTTTTTTTTTTTTTTTTTTGTTGTTGTTGTTGTTGTTGGAAAAGAAAGAACTAATGAGCGTAGAATCCTTCCTCCTCTTCTCCCAGGATATCCCCTCGGCGAATCTGGGCTTCATCGACTCTCGCTCAACAACAGTCGACATAAGCATTCTGGGAGAAGATTATACCGTCCATCAGTCGCCGACGCTGCTTTCGTCTTCGCGCTCGAGAGGCACTACGGGGGCTGGTATGTATGAATACTAAACCATTATATTTGCTGTTATCTACACTATGTTTATTTTTTTTTTTTTGTTCTGTATAGAATATTCCCAGAGAAACAGGGTAGAAAAAAAAGAAGATAAGCTAACAAGAAAGAAAGTTGTCTGGAAAATCACCCCCCAATTCGCAGAATGGATCTCCCAACCCCCCATTAAGAATGAGACGGAGACGGAGACGAAGAAACAAAAACAAAACCCGTTATGGTCTCATTTCATTCTCTCATCCACATCGACAATCGTGGAACTGGGCTGCGGCATCTCAGGCCTCGTGGGACTCGCTCTCGCTCCGTCGGTGAAGCACTACCTCGCCACAGACCAGGAGTACGTGCGGAAGTTGTTCTGGGAGAATGTTTATCTGAATGCGGAGGTTGCCTATAAACACCATCATCCTTCGCAGAGATCAAGAGGAGTGTCTCATGGGAAGAAACAGAGAACGAAACATAAACATGATCACGATAATCGTCATCATCCTACAGGTATCGATGCTAATATCAATATCTCCTTCACAACTCTCGACTGGGAAACCGACATCCCATCTTTATTAAAAGATACCATCGGGTTAGGTGACAATGACAACAAAGATAAAGGCTTCGACCTCCTCATCTCCTGCGACTGCATCTACAACGAAGCACTGACGCGACCATTCCTTCGAACCTGCGCGGAAATATGTCGTTTGCGACCTATTTACACTCCTACCGACACGGATATCGACACCAACAGCAGGAAGTCTCAACCACACCGGCAGACGCAGAAACAGTCTGAATCAGAATCATCCGCGAACGCAGACGTCCCTCTCAACCCAACCATCTGCGTGATAGCACAGCATTTACGCTCCCCCGAGGTCTTCGAGACGTGGTTGCGAGAGGCACTGGAGGATTTTCGCGTTTGGAGAGTTAGGGATGAGGTGCTCTCGGATGGGTTGAGGGGTGGGACGGGGAATGTGGTACATCTTTTGGCTTTGAGGTGATCCCTAGTTATCCATCTATGGGTACCATCATAAGTTGCGTCCATGGGTATTTTGGTGTAGGTGTGATGTTTCTAAATGCTATAAATTAACTAGATAGGATAGATTGATGTACATAAGACAGAGTAGTGGATTAAAGTCCTGTTCATATTCCAGTCTTATTTCTTTAGGGAGAAAAGAAAGCAACTTTAATCAACGCACTATTCCGTAGATTGAATGATTGAATTGGGAGGTAACTGCATCAAGCATATCCAATTCAGAACCTCACTATCGCACCTGACTATGGAAGTATTGGATTATCAATAATTTTATGAATGAAAACATAGAACCACCCATGCGCTAATAAAATAAATCAAAACAAGAGAAGAAAAAAAAGAGGCATGCCTGAGTTTTCGCCTATACAAGTCAAATGATATTTCACTGTGATTGAGAGGGAAGGCAACTAGTGGTTATTTGGTTATTTTTCTGATTTATCCAAAGAGATAATGGCTTATGGCCGCTATTTTGTATCAGGTGAGTCTTTGAACTCGTTATTCCCGTCTGCTGACTGATGAGAGCTGGCTGGTGTCACTGCAGCCGCTGCATCGATAAAAGGCGGAGGTGCTGACTCAGACAACATCTCTCGAGGCGGATCTTCGGGTTCATGGTCGATAATAGAGGAGATGGAGGGTTTGGTCGATCTATTGGTCAGAGGAGGTGTCGTGGCATCATCCTCAGGTCCTACGGGAGTCCGTGCAAACGGCGGTGCACGATCGACGGGTTCGGTCTTGACGGCATGCGGAGGTACGGGTTCATCGTCATCCTCCACCGCAGACGACGAGTACTCCAGTTCATGACTGTTGGCATCGGCCGGTGCCGACTCCGGCTGACTCTCCTCCGTTGAATCCCGGTGCATTTTCGGGACAGGTAGGAGAGGAGCGTTAGGGTCATACACAATCCCACAGATCTCCAGAGCTCGGGACTGGCTTCCCAAACTGCGGTCTTTGTGTTTCTTGGTCAGGTGACACATGAAGCCGTGAAGGGTCACAAAATCATCTTTCTCGCAACCGGAAATAGGGCAGGTCAGATACACCAAGCTCCCATCCGACGGCCGTTTCCACAAGGCACGACCACTGGGGTCGTGGGCCGCTGGGCGTCCATGACGTTCGCCCCACGCCTCCACGTTCTTTATTGTATACTTTTGTTTTCGGCGTAAAGCTCCTCCTACATTCACATCATGGATAATAGGGGTCGGTGCCTGAGGGGGCAGTGGGGGTTGTTGCTGATGTTGTTGTGGCTGCGGCTGCGGCTGCGGCTGAGGTTGATATTGACGGAAATCGGGTGGAGTCTGCTGTTTGAAAAAGGCAAGAGTGGTAGCGGCGTTTGTTTCCGACAAACGACGAGGTTGTGCGGGAAGAGGAGGCGAATCGACCAAAGGGTCGTAAGTCAGTCCCATAGATTCCCGTTTCAAACGTTTTCTTTGCCTGCGCAGATCCTGGAAGAGAAGAAGGATGTTTAGGTGATGATGTTGGTGAGAACAAGTTACAGACGTATCACACTTCATACCTCTTCCTCAAGTTCAGCAGTCTCCGTCAGCCTGCGGAATTCTTCGTCCTCGCGTTCTCGAACGGCGAGCTGATGACTACGAGCCAGCGTACGGGCAGCCTCTTCATGTTCCAATTGGCGCAAACGCGCCTCGATGTGTTCCAATTGGGGGGGAGACGGATTCAAGGGCTGTGCAGGTTGTGGTGGGATCTGTTCTTGGGGAGGAGGGGCGTAGCGACGGTAGTGATTCTGCAGAAGAGGATCTGCTTGAGGAGCGGAGTTCATGGCGATAGGATGGAGACGAGGGAGAGTCATGTTGATAGTATGGTTGCCATTCAGGCCAGTATCGACGGATGGAGGGACGGGCGAAGCAGCAGTCATGAGGTTAGATTATGAGATAGCTGTGTTGGAGTGGAGTTCAGCAATTGTGGTGTGTGTGTGTGTGAGCGAGCGAGAGAACAGAAAGGGAAAGGAAAGGAACAGAGAAAGTAGAGAGAAGAGAGATGGATGACGGTTAGGATGGGAGATGTCTAGCATCAAGGTCGAGTAGCTGCAGATCCGAGACTTACTTCAGAGCTAGGAACGTGTGGACTGCAGAAGACAGTTGGATGTCGGGGGTTTATTCGGAGATGCTGACTGGAAAGGGCAAAAGCAAAGAAGCGAAGGAAAAATGGAGCTGCAGATAGCACAGATAGATGTCTCTGTGATGCTTTTCTTTGCTCTGTTCTGTTCTTTGACTGGGAAATTTTTCCACTGCAGGAACTAAATCTCGCCTTGTCCACTTTATTTAATATTAACATGCATTTATTATTAGATCTGGACATGCACGTATTATTTACCAGCGCGATGTAATCGTGTAATGAAAGAATCGATATTATAATCCTGGAGATAAGTCTAATAAAAATGAAGCAGGGAGGGCAGTTATATAAGAGGAAAATAGAATAAATAAAAAATATAAAAAAATAAAAAAGAGCAATAATGCAAAACTGATGACTTTTCATTCTAGTCCTGCAGCCCTGATTGGCCCGGCACAGGCCTATTTGGAACAATCCCCGCCCTTGCAAAAAAATAAATGACTGATTGGAGGATTGAGCGTTTGTAAACACTACTAATGATCTTAAGAGAGGATTGGGAGACAGCAGGTATGGGTAGCCATGTATGTCTTCCTGCACGCCTACACATATGGTAGGCGTCGGGGATGTCTGTCTTCTCACTTCTCCTCTCCTCTCCTGACAAGTATCAAGTGCAGCCACAGCCAGGCTTCCTGGTCTGTCTAGAACAAGACTACTGGCACTAACAGTGGATAGACTCGGGGCAGGCAAGGAGAAATCAAGTCAGTAACAGCCACTAGTCCACCGGAGGCAATACGCTGTCGCTCGCGCCCATTCATGTTATTCTGATATTATTAGCTGGATCTTCCATATGAAATCAATAATCATAATCCCTGGAGTGGGGCACACATATTAAATAATAACCCATGTCCAGCTAATGTTATGGATACATGAATAATGTCTATTCTTGTAGCTTATCATCTATGATGAAATAATAATAATTAAGTAGTAAATATGCTCAATTCTTGATCTACGCCATTCCAACAACGGAACTCAGAACAATGAATATTCCGGTTAATAGTGACCCATGATTCCATGTATTTCAACATGAAACCATGCTGTGGTGGAGTTGTGTCTGCGGTTCCAACGACCCGACCCTGATAGAGTTCCGCATGAAAGGTAAGTTAACTTTGGGACTGGGAGTGAGAGCTGCCCAGGATTCATTCCGATGGTTTCAGCAAGATACCTTCTCATTCCTATTTCATATTTCTTCGTATGCTGTCCATCACTTCCCGATTTCTTGGCATCATGCGCTGATCACCGATCGATGGAATCGAGATGAAATGAGATGAAAGCTCTCTAGTTTAGCTTGCAGCCCTATGTATGACCTGCGTACGGAGTACTGCATGCTTCCCGTTATAATCCTCATCTGCAGCACTCTCCAATGTAGATTCACTGAGAGTACAGAGTAGTAGATATCCCTGAGCCACATGGCACATGACATATTGACTGTTTGCATCGTCAATAGTCAATATATTCTTTTCTTTTCTCCTTCTCCCTTTAGGCACGACAGCAATGTCTTAAAATTTCCAATACATGTACAGGACTCATGCAGTATAATTCTTATCAACTATTATACCTGCAGGTACTTCGTATAATCACTCCAGATATCCCCGACTCCAGACTACAGTACAGTACAGTACAATGTTGTCTGGGGAAGATCGCACTGTAATGTCCGATCTGCTCCCAAGAATAATTAATTAATTAACATTATTAGCTCTGATCTGACAATAGTATACGGAGTAAATACCCAGCTAGGTAATGGATGATGAAATTAATTTAACTGCTCCCTCGAAAGGTATATTTATGCTTTCCTAACTATGGACAATTGGACCCTTTGGCTATTATTATCCTCCTCTGTCCAAAGGATATTATAGCAAGACCCATCCGTTAATAGAGCATTATAGTATTTTGCACTACTCTGATATACCCTGAATCTAGAATCCGCACCTGTGCGTACGCCCAGGACAACAATGCATAAAACTTCCTACAACACAACGAACTGACAAAAGTCAAAATTTTGATTGAGAGGAGATTTCCTGTTCTATTATCACATGCTCCAATGGAAAACCCATCAGCTTCTTTTTTTAGGTCCCCAGCCGTAATGTCATTAGTTACAACTGTAAACAACCCCCTCCCGCGGTCAACGACCCGCCCCAAGGCTGGGTGACAGCACCAGCGGGTATATAGTAAATAAACCAGATTAGATGGAATAGAGAAAAAAAAAAACATAGATAAATTGCGCAAGGTTAACTCCCGTACCCCCAAACAAGATCACGAAAGATAACAAGTATGTGTACAAACCGTGTGATAAGACAGCCAAATGACGTATCATTTGGAAGGAGAAAGAAGGGGAAGCGACAAAGGAAAGAGGAATACAGACGCCCTAGCATCAGGGCAAGGGAATCGAATAGCGTGCTATATTACACTTAAGGCTTAGACTCTCCACCCTGCTGACCAGACTCACCGCCCTGCTGCTGCTGCTCTTGCTGGGCCTTGTGCATCTTGTCAAAGAGGGTCAAGCTGGCGGTCTGGAGCTCGTCAGTCTTCTGCTTGATCTCCTCAGCGGTGGCGGTGCCCTCGCCGGCCTGGTTCTTAGCAACGAATTCGCGCAGAGAAGCGATCTTCTCGCGGATCTGGTCAGCCTCGGCCTTGTCAAGACGGTCCTCAAATTCCTTGAGAGCCTTCTCGGTGTCGTTCAGAACACTATCAGCGCGGTTGGCGGCCTCGATAGCGGCCTTACGCTCCTTGTCCTGAGCACCGTACTTCTCGGCATCGTCAACCATAGACTGGATTTCGGAATCAGAGAGACCGGAGCCGGAGGCAATGGTGATGGACTGGTCCTTGCCAGTAGACTTGTCCTTGGCGCTGACGTGCACAATGGAGTCGGCGTCAATGTCGAAGGTGACCTCAATCTGGGGAACACCGCGGTGAGCAGGGGGGATACCAACAAGCTGGAAGTTTCCGAGGAGCTTGTTATCCCGGACAAGCTCACGCTCACCCTGGAACACCTTAATCTCAACAGCGGTCTGGAAGTCAGCAGCGGTAGAGAAGGTCTGAGACTTCTTGGTAGGGATCGTGGTGTTGCGGTTAATCAGACGAGTGAACACGCCACCGAGAGTCTCGATACCGAGGGACAGAGGAGTGACATCGAGCAGCAGAACATCGGTAACCTCACCAGCCAAGACAGCACCCTGGATAGCAGCACCAATGGCGACAGCTTCATCAGGGTTGACAGACTTGGCGGGGTCACGACCGAACATCTTCTTGACGGACTCGGTAACCTTGGGCATACGGGTCATACCACCGACCAGGATGACGTCCTGGACCTCGCTGGCCTGGAGGTTGGCATCCTTAAGAGCCTTGCGAACAGGCTCAACAGTGCGGCTGATGAGAGGCTCGACAAGACCCTCCAGCTGAGCACGGGTCATCTTGAGGTTGATGTGCTTAGCACCAGAGGCATCAGCGGTGATGAAGGGGAGGTTGATCTCGGTCTGAAGAGAAGAGGAAAGCTCGATCTTAGCCTTCTCAGCGGCTTCACGGATACGCTGAATAGCCATGCGATCGCCGGAGAGATCAAGTCCGGACTCCTTCTTGAACTGCTGGACGATGTGGCGAACAAGGCTGATATCGAAGTCCTCACCACCTGAGAGTAGAAAAAGCCGTCAGTTTGCTATATGAAGAACAGACTTTCTATGGGAATCATAGGAAATGGATGCTTACCGAGATGAGTGTCACCGTTGGTGGACTTGACTTCGAAAACACCCTTCTGGATTTCCAGAATAGAAACATCGAAGGTACCACCACCCAAGTCGAAAACAGCGACAACACGGTCGTCCTCCTTCTCCAGACCGTAGGCGAGAGCAGCAGCAGTAGGCTCGTTGACAACACGGAGGACGTTAAGACCAGCGATCTGGCCAGCATCCTTGGTTGCCTGACGCTGGGAGTCGTTGAAGTATGCAGGAACAGTAACAACGGCATTCTTGACGGGCTTGCTGAGATAGTTCTCGGCAGTCTCCTTCATCTTTCCGAGAACAAAACCGCCGATTTGAGAAGGAGAATACTTGTTGCCACGAGCTTCAACCCAGGCATCACCATTGGTGTGTTGGACGATCTTGTAGGGAACCTCCTTGAGGTCGCGCTGAACCTCGTTGTCGGTGAACTTGCGTCCGATCAGACGCTTGGTAGCGAACAGAGTGTTCTCAGGGTTGACAACAGCCTGGCGCTTGGCTGCGATACCAACCAATCGCTCACCATCCTGGGCAAAAGCGACAACAGAGGGAGTTGTCCGGGCACCTATTCATCCGAAGTCAGCCAAATAAGTCATCACGTGTTTACAGAATGCATTTCCCACTATATTGGAGCTCCGGTGGCATCGATAATATTGGAGGGAAGCCAAAGAAAAATTTTTACGTACCTTCAGCGTTCTCAATGATTTTGGGGGACTTTCCTTCCATCACAGCAACAGCAGAGTTGGTGGTACCTGAAGTGACCATATTAGATCCCGATCATGATCATTTTGGTTTTTTTATGTTTTCCTTCGTTTTGACCAGGATACGTACCAAGATCAATACCAATGACATGACCCTTCACCTTCTCTTCTCCTCCCTCCGTCGAGTTCCATCGCCTGAAAGCAGCACTGGGAACTCTGAAGGCAGGTGAGCGAGCGAAAGTGGCAGTGCGCGGCAACTAGAATCGAACAAAAGTCAGTCTTGCTTCTCTTTCTTGCGCTTGGGGCATAAAACCTACCGCGCGAGCAATACGGGAGGAAAGCATTGTGATGGGAAAAGAAGAATATAACTAATACAAACAAACAAAAACCGAAAGGAGACTTGTCCAGTCAACCAAAGGAAAAGGATGGATAGGAGATAGGAAGATGGAGAGAGGATGGTAGAGAAGGTGAGGAAGATGACGGAAGTATTTGGAGCTGGAGAAGAAAAGAAGAGAAGAGAAAGCTTTTTCCAGTTTATGTATCCGAAGGCAGTTTAGCCGGAAGGGCGGACGGCAAGACGAGCGAAAGCCGCGCATTGGTCCGTCGCCCGTCGAAGTCGGTGGAATCACGGCAACGTAGCAGTGACACCGCCTGCCTGTTAGGGAAGTTATGGCTACAGCTTGTCGGGCTTTATTTCCATCTCGCCGAGGTTTGCATAATCAAGCTGAGGACTGAATGACCGTCTTTGATTGTGTATATATTTTACAGAGTGGCAGACAGTTAAAATGATGCCAATTACAGACCTAGCTAATGTGCACTGTACCGGTGCAGCTGGTTAACTTAAGAATCGAACTGTCGCGTGTTTTATTACACGTGACGTCGCTGACGTCTAGCAGCCAACCTAGAACTTCTTTCGAGTCTCAACGGGGGAAATAATCCATCTGCAACACATTTCCTTCAGCTTCGCAATGCTGATGTACCTAGCCAAAGTCCCATATGACATGTATGTGCACTGCTCCATCTTTATTCTCGCATGTCCGAAAGTTTGCAAGCTGCTGACAAGTAGGCGCATCGATTAGGCTAGTCCTCCACCCACGGAGCAACTTTAGATTTCTTCTTTAGCTTCCCGCCATATCTCGTGAATAGTAATGGTATTGACAAATATGCGGACGAGATTGCGCCCAATACACTCGCTGCCAGCGGCACCCTCATATTAAGAAACATCGGTCTTGCCGCTACCGGAAGACCGCTCGCGCTTCGGGAATTGCATGGCCAACTGTTTTCTCGGGTAGCCCGTGCATAAAGCGGCTCGCCTATGCTATTTATCGGCTGGCTAAGATTGTTGCAACGAAAATATACAGAAATTGAAAGGTGGAAATGACTGGCTTATGCCTCCACTGGTCTTTAAGGACGGTTGGGAAAACTTCCAAGGCCGGGTGAATCAGGCCATAGACGAAAGTGCTGTAGGTTGAAATGCAAGTAAGCATCGGCTCAGTGACAAACACACTGAGGCTGTTAGTCGTGCAGTCCTGTCTTCTTCGGGCCATCCCATCATATATAAGCTTTGTGATGGAGCTCTTGAGGCACTGCTGGCTTTAGACAGTATTTACTGCAAGGGATAGAGGAGCTCCAATGCGGGAGGAGTTGTAAAAAGTGCGGTTTGTGTTCCTCTTTGTGCATCTACTTATATACCTCTATCCTTAGAAGATCGTGTTGCTTTCGTGGATCTTCCATTTTAATCATAGCTTCTTCGAGTGTGAATTCCAGGTGTTCTTGACCAAAGCGGTTGTCAATTTACGCTAAATACCTTAACGCCTGAGGCAGTGAAGACTCTGTGTCAAGTCTTACGTCATCCGTTCGCCGCAGTCGGAAGCATCGAGAGTGCAGCGCAATTAGCTGTACTTGGCTGGCCTCGCATTCTCCGCCCTTTGTTGTCTCTCACCCTCGCCCTCTGCTGTCTCCATCTCACTGTCCTCCTATTGCTCTTTATTTCTCTTTCACTCATCATCAACCAGCTAGGCGATGTCACTAGTGGTGTATCAACTCGGTTAGCCCGCTCATCATGGCCTTGGATTCTGCACTTCTGTCGGTGTCCACCCGTGCTTCCTAGTTTGGGTTTTGCGGCGGCTAACTATCGTCCTTAGTTTTCGCCCAACGGAGTCTTTGATACGTACTGCAAAGCGACGATTCCTCCCTTTCGATATACCTAATAAGTCCGTTTATTGTTGTTCTGCCTTATATTGTGGATTCTGACCTCACTATTCATATAGCCACCACCAACTTCGTCATTATATCAGCACCGCCGACCCTGATAGGATATACGTTGTTTCTGATAGGACTGTATTTGCGATCCATATATCGACCTGCAAGGTAGAGACAATAGCACTTGTGCCCCTGGGGCCAAGATGTCTCGCTGCTGGGTATGGTTGGATTGGACTGGGTGGCGCGGATAACGGAGAATGCGCTTTTATTAGGCTGGGCGATTATGCGACACGCGCGCATGGTGCTACCTCAGGACTTCGACATGCAGATGTGGATAGTGCGCTGCCGGTTGATTTGGACGCAGCTACAAGGGCTTCATCTCCCTGGGTAATGGATGAGGCATCTAGCTCGTCCCCCCATGCCGGCCGGAGGATGCTTCCGGAGGTGCAGCTTCACAAATTCGGAGGTACTATTGTCAATTCAGTGACCATTCATCGTTTCCCCGGTGATGACAAGGGCTTTGCGGATGAGGATGTAGTTGTCCTCAGGTATGCACCAATCCCTTGCCACCAGCCATCTTTATATACTAACCCCTGATATCCTTTAAAGCAACAACGATAAGACCGTTACACTATACTCGTTAACCCGCTCAAAGGTCCTCAAAGTCATCACCCATCCGGCTTGTATGAATTATGCCATCATATCTCCAGATTCAACTATCCTTGCCGCTGTGGGGGACGAAAATCGCGCTTACTTTTATGGAGTGACGCGTAACCTAGAATCCTCGGTCTTAACAGAACAGGGTGAAAAGCTTACTGGTTGGAATTTGGACCTTCTGCGTTTCGTAAAAATGGATATCGGATCTCAGCCTGATGACAAGTGCTGTTTTACGATTGCCTTCTCCCCATCCAGCCATCTATGTGCTATCGGGTCTCAGTCTGGGATTATCACCGTATTTGACGTCGCAAAGATTCGCGACCAGTCAAAAGAGTCACGAGATAGCGATCCCGTGGTTTCTATCTTCCGTTCTTCTAGATTTGGATTCGACGTCGGTGCTGTCCGTTGCATGGGTTTCTCGCCCGAACCTTGGGACCTTTTAGTGTGGGTAGAGGATCACGGCAGAGCTGGTGTTGCAGATATTCGCCAAGCGTTCCTCCGCAGGCAGATTCTCAAACTGGATTTGACCGATCCAGACCTGCAAAAGGTTTCCCTGGAGTCTGTGCGAAATTCGCCAGGACATTTTGAGATCCGGAACTTCGGTGAGCAGTCTTATGAAGGCGATATGGTGCACCGGACAATACTCGATGCGATTGTGGACCTATCAGAGGGTCAGGCTGGGGAGAGCGCAGAGCGTTCCTCGTTGCGTGAAAGTCTGATTCAAAATCTTACTGAGAGGGAGTTGATTGTAGAATTCCTAAACACAGCACGCTGGCCATCTAGAGCGGAGGACATTCTGACAGGGCGGCCGACAAGAGCTAACGTCCAAACTCGCCCACGACCTCCTGGTTCTACAGAGGGTAGTAGTCGGGAACCTCGTCCTCCTTTACCTCCCCATCATGGTGCTATTCATGACTTCTTGGAGCATATGAACACTTTCGAGAACCCTCTATCGCGTACCTCTGATCCAGACGCTGGTGATTCGGGTATTACAAACTATGATTTATCTAGTAACAGGCAGCACGAACCATCGACTCGCATACGTGCCGCTATCGATTCAGCCATTCCCCCTGTTACAACTTTAGAAGCTCTTTCCCGCCAGAGACTGCAGCGATCAACCTCGACTCCCCGGCGGTCTGAGCTATCAGACGGCACACCTGAGGGTCGATACGATCGTAGCTTCAATTCAGAATTGAGAGCGAATGTTGCAGCAGAGCGTCTTCGGCGACAACGCCAGCTGGCCAATGAAGTGCACAACAGGACCAGTCCGTGGGAGCAACGGTACAGACAGCCAGCTATGGGCTTTGAGCAACCACGGTCCTCTAGATGGAGGAGTTTTGCGAATGAATCCCCGACTTTTGGGCTTCGGGATAGGGATCAGGAACCTGCCGGAACAGCAGGAATTGGTTGGGGTGCGGATGGGAGAACTCTGTAAGTGCTTTTTTCAGCTATACATCAGTTGAGACAGGATTAAACTAACTGATCAGGTACATTGGAACGGTCGACGGGATATTTGAGTTTCAGATTAACATCCATGATCGCAAGACCTTCCCAGACTTCTCTTACCGCTAAATGGATTGGACATACCGCATTTGATGCTCTTCACCCTTTACGCTTCTCCCCAAAAGGACATAGCACTCTTCTCTCTGTTTATTTCGTCTTCTTCGTCTCATGCCGTTATGCCTTTTCTATTTCTATTTTCATTCATTATTTAATCATTTTCATGGACACTCTCGGGTAATTGAAGGACCTCAGGCACAGCAACATTCTGGAGATACCAATTTGGAAGCAACAAATTCTCTTTCTCTTTCCCTTGGCACTTACGTTGCATGCATGCATTGCGCTTTCACACGGGTCTATTTGGACTGTAAGCCTGTCTATCTATTTACTGCGCTTTTTTTGTCTCCTTTCTCGGTCTCTGGTCTTTGGGATTTGGCATCTGGGAAGTGGTTGCTTGGGCGTTCTTGCTTTTGCTTTTTCCTTGTCAGAATCACCATTGTCGTTGTCATTACACAAAATCTTCTTAGGTAAATGTTTTTTGCCTCCAATATGTACCTTTAGTAACTGCCGAGAGGTGTCATGAGAATTTATTGAGTTTACATACATGAATACCTACTTTTACTCTGTTGAATAGAATTGCATACATCATGATGATGTTCGTCTGCTCCTGTTCTCTACTGTGATCATCTGAGTTGCATCGTCTTATGCCCAGCGAGAGCCCTAAGAATTTTCCGTGTAGAACCAATTATGATTCCTGTATTTATCAAAGCTCTTTTACTTATGTGGAGCTTCCTCTAGGTCTACAACCTGGTAGTGCCATACATCATAGAACAAAGAGTATTGCTGCGTGTAGATAGGATAGGATACCTAGACTTATTCTTCCTACCGAAAGTTTAATGTTCTGGATGTTTCTTACAAAGAAATTCTTGGGTTGAAACCTTCGTGCTCAACACGAAAAATATCAGGAATACAACACAACCTTGTCGAATCCCTACATTGTCTCTTCCCAATCATTCGCCTTTGCGGGATCAACTTGCCTCTTTTGCTCTAGATAATGATAGGCTTTGAGCATTGACATTCCCCATATTGTAGGTGGGTAATTATAGCAGTAGTGCGTGGCATGATGGAACTGTGCGGCAATGATGATATAACCATCCGGGCTTTCCAATATATAATATAAAACATAGAACGTTCCTGGTAGTTTGTTCGCAATAATTAAGACAAATCACCTCATCAGAGTATTCTGGATACATTCTACTTGCTATTATTCTTACTTCAAACGACGAATACGCGAAAATGGTCTGCTCCTGTGGTTCCAAGTGCACCTGCAACGGCCCCCAGAGTTGCTCTTGTTCGGACAATACCTGCTCCTGCAAGACTTGCGGAGTATGTGTCTCTTTCCACTCTCTGTACTTGTCTAAATTAAATAGAATAGTATATGCTGACTGATGCGTATAAGAAATAAATCATTATCCGCTTACAGAGGATTGAACATTCCAGAGAACATTCTCGTTGAGAATATCGGAGATGTGGATGTTGGTCTTTGTCTATTGAAATTGAAAGGGTGATGATGTCGATATTTGAGAATTAAATTGAAACACTCGGAATATTAAATGATGCTGCGTGTAGGATTAAGTAAATCGTAACTAAATGCTGGAATAAAATGTCTTGCGTCATGTCTAGAGCTACTGAAATGGCTCTAATCCTATTCAGGAATGGCTCGTAGCTAGTCTATTTCCATGACACGTGACGTAGCTGGCGGTCATTTCCGCGACTTGCTGTGGCTTGCAGGCGATGATGCCCGTCCATGGAACTTTTGAGCTTCTACTATCTTTCATTACTACTGGCCTTGACAAATTTATGAACACCGTTCGTGATATGTCCTGCTGAATAAGGTATAACGGTGACATTGGCTATTCGACCACCACACTCTGTACGCCAAGTGCCTATCGCGTCACCACGCTACTAGATCGCCGGGCACTGTTTCTAGTAAACATAATATTCCCGACTGAGAGATCTTTCTGGGCACTCCGGTCCATTTGTCCCTACCAGAGAATCCTTTATAGCAGCCACGTTAATGGTGGATGCACTGGCCTCGATGTTGGCCCAGCTGCAACTGGATGTCCAACGTCTTAGCGGATCGGCCTTCGATGCCCGAATCACGGAAGAGGAAAATAGAACGTACAGGAACCATGCACCGTGCGAGAGAGCGCGTCCCAGTGTGGAAGACCTCAAGACTGAGCTGGAACGTGACTTTTTGACGCCGTCGCCCAAGTTCAGTCCAGAGTGGTTGAATCGTTTACAGCGGTTTGTTTTATTTCGATTGGCATTTCAATCACGATCTACTAATTAGTAGTAGGAGATGGGACGTTTCGACGGACTACACAGATCTCTTTGAGGTTGCACCCACTCAGACTCGAACGGTTACTCGGTTTACTCGTGAAGGGTTGGAAGGCCGTGTCACCGGGTATCACGAGGTGACAGTGCCTGCCGTTCAGGAAACCTCGAAGAATTCAACATCACTGCTGCGACGACCAGCTGGTCGTGCCGAGTTCGTGAGAGGCGCCGCCGGGTTCTTTCCTTTTGCGCCGGGTGGACTAGATGGTGTTGAGGCGGTTGCTGCCATGGAGTCGGATGCACAGGTAGCAGATCAGTTCCAGACAGGAGCAAAACAGGGAGGACTGGATCGGATTATCAACTTTGGGACCGATGGTGGCCTCTTAGAAGTACCTCCTGGCTTCTCCCGCGGACTGAAATTCGAGAAGGCGGAGACCAAGGAAGCCGCAGAGGACCACCAAGAAGTTGAGGATTCACTTTTGCGGGAAGAAAAAGACCTATATCTGGAACCTTTGGAACCGCTCGCTGATACCGATGCAAAGTCGAAGGCCGAGAAGGAAGGAAAAGTCAGTGAAGAGGAAGAGGAAGAGGAGGAAGAGGAGGAAGAAGAAGACATTGATTCCCTGCTACCCGTCGAATTCCCATCCCTGGAGCCCCGTGCACCCTTACTTGCAGGAGTTTCGAAGAAAATAGGTAAAGAATGGGCCCATGTAATCGATGTCAACAAGGAGATTCCGAATTTCCGAGAGCTTGTTCCAGACATGGCGAGAGAGTGGCCGTTTGAACTGGACACTTTCCAAAAGGAGGCAGTCTACCATCTTGAGAATGGGGATTCTGTCTTTGTCGCAGCCCACACGTCGGCTGGTAAAACAGTCGTCGCTGAATACGCTATTGCCTTGGCTGCAAAACATATGACCAAAGCGATCTACACATCTCCTATCAAGGCTTTGAGTAATCAGAAATTTCGGGACTTCCGACACACTTTCGATGATGTCGGGATTCTGACGGGTGATGTACAGATCTCTCCAGAAGCGAGTTGTCTGATTATGACAACGGAGATCCTCAGGAGTATGCTATACAGGGGAGCTGATGTGATTCGAGACGTTGAATTCGTTATTTTCGATGAAGTCCACTACGTCAACGATCTAGAAAGAGGCGTTGTCTGGGAAGAAGTCATTATTATGCTTCCTGAGCATGTCACTTTGATCCTACTTTCTGCCACTGTTCCGAACACGTATGAATTTGCATCCTGGGTTGGCCGCACGAAGAAAAAGGATATCTACGTTATCTCTACTGCTAAGCGTCCCGTCCCGTTGGAGCACTACCTTTGGGCTGGAAAAGACAAACATAGGATTGTTGACTCCAATAAGAAGTTCATCGAACAGGGTTGGAAAGAAGCAGATGACATTTTGTCTGGCAGAGACAAACTTAAAGCGCAGAAGGCAGCTGAGGCGAGAGCTCAGGCGCAGGCGCAAGCCCAAGCACAACGAGGTGGACGAGGCGGGCCTCAAGGGAGAGGACGAGGGCAGCCATCTGCCAGAGGCAATGGACCTCGAGGCGGCGCCCAGCAAAGAGGTAGAGGACAACCAGCGCACCGAGGATCCGGAAATATTGCTCGAACAGGTCGTGGAGGGGGTCGGACCACTGTTGCTCAAGATAGAAATACTTGGGTTACCGTTGTCCAGCATCTGCGCAAGGAGAACCTTTTACCTGGCTGCATATTCGTCTTCTCGAAAAAGAGATGCGAAGAAAATGCGAACTCGCTGTCTAGTCAGGACTTTTGTACCGCATCAGAGAAAAGTCTGATACACATGTTCATTGAAAAGTCACTCACTCGGTTGAAGCCGGAGGACAGACTCTTGCCACAGATTCTTCGACTGCGTGAGCTGCTGAGTAGGGGAATTGCTGTGCACCATGGTGGTCTTCTGCCAATCATGAAGGAGATTGTTGAGATCCTATTTGCTAAGTCACTGGTCAAAGTGCTCTTTGCTACAGAGACATTTGCTATGGGTCTTAATCTGCCAACCCGCACGGTCGTTTTCTCTGGGTTCCGCAAACACGACGGCAAGAGCTTTAGGGATTTGCTTCCTGGAGAATACACACAGATGGCTGGACGTGCTGGGCGTCGGGGTCTGGACACCGTCGGCTACGTTATTATTGTTGCCACTGGCAGGGATGAGGCGCCTCCTGCAGGTGCTTTGAGGAGGATGATCCTGGGAGAACCTACTAAGCTACGGTCGCAGTTCAGGCTGACATACAATATGATTCTCAATCTACTGCGGGTGGAAGCTCTCAGAATAGAGGAGATGATCAAGCGAAGCTTCAGTGAAAACGCTACTCAGGCTCTGTTGCCAGAACATGAGAAGCAGGTCCAGCTTTCAGAAGCTAGTCTTGAGAAGATTAAACGTGAGCCTTGCCAAACGTGTGATATCGACCTAACCAACTGCCATGACGCGGCCGTTGAATATGAGAGGTTGACTGCCGAGCTTCACCATAAACTGCAGTCTTCACCTGTGGGACGACGACTTTTTATGATTAAGCGACTTGTCGTATACCGAAAGGTAAACTTAATTACAGCAACATTTCCCGAGTTCTAGGGGGTTCCTATCTAACAGAAGCTCTTATAGGAAGGAATTCGTACGGCTGGTATCATTGTCCGGGAAGGAGTCGGCGGAGGTCCTACGCCCACTATCCAGGTTCTCGAGATCGGTAAATTGGGAGGTAAGCGTCATCCAGACGATATCCTCCCTTTTCTTCCAGCGTTCCGACATCTTTTGTCACCTTTACCTACTCGCGGCGCCGATATGACCTTGAAGGTGTGCCGGATACCGCTTTCGGACCTCGAGTGTGTAACCAACACGCTAGTGAAAGTGGGAGGCCCAATCTGGTACCTGAATATTAAGAAAGGCGAGTGAACCAAATCTTCGGTATCCAGAAGGATACGTAATGCTAATTTTGCTTGGGCGGACAGAGGCAATAAAATTTGCCGACAAAGAACTATCCAAACTGTGTGCTTCCTGGACAGACACCGTCTGGGACGAGATGGATTGGGCTCGCGTCAAGGAGCTTCATGTCAGGGACATTCTCGAGAAACGACAAGCTCAAGCTGCCATCATCCAAACTTGTCAATGCTTGGACTGCCCTCAGTTTTTGAAGCATGTAAGTGGTGATCAGCCGATCTTTGTAACCATGATGTGCTCACATCCAGTAGTTTGAGATGCAACATGACGAATGGCAAGTCAAGGAGAACATCTCTCAATTGAAACAGCTCATGTCGGATCAAAACTTGCAACTTCTGCCAGACTACGAACAACGGGTTTTGGTATTGAAGGAATTGGGATTTGTTGACGAACAGTCTCGCGTGCAGCTGAAAGGAAAGGTGGCTTGTGAGGTATGGCTCTACCGAACTGCTACGGTTGTAATGACCAGAATGTCTGGAAAATCTAACATATTACAAACCAGATTCATTCTGCCGATGAGCTAGTCCTAACAGAACTGATTCTCGAAAACGTTCTCGCGGACTACGAACCCGAAGAGATAGTCGCACTTTTATCTGCGTTTGTCTTCCAAGAAAAGACAGAGAATGTCCCGACTCTGACTCCTCGCCTGGAGAAGGGCAAAGAGGCGATCATCCGAATCTCGGATAAGGTGAACGATTACCAGATTCAACATCAGGTAATTCTCTCCAGCGAAGATGCGAATGACTTCGCCAGCAAGCCGCGGTTCGGTCTCGCAGAGGTCGTCTACGAATGGGCGAAGGGAATGTCATTCAACCGTATAACCGATCTTACGGATGTGATGGAAGGCACAATTGTGCGGACCATTACTCGTCTGGACGAGACATGCAGGGAGGTGAAGAATGCTGCCAAGCTGGTTGGAGACCCATCTTTGTATATGAAGATGCAGCAGGCTCAGGAGCTGATCAAGAGAGATGTGATTTTTGCTGCATCTCTGTATATGTAACTTGGAGCTTAGAACCTCTGGACTGCAGGGCTATATAGATGGATCAGTAGTAATTCAGTGAGTGAATGAATGGATGCATAAATTATTTTTCGTCTCCTTTCCCTCTCGCTTTCTACCTTTCTCTTTCTCTAGGGGACTGTTCGTGGACATTAACGAATCGCCGTGTGGAGTCACGTTCGAGACAGCCCTAGTGGGGCACGTGTCAATTGGACCCTATATGAACCCCGATTGGTACTCAAGATAGGGTTCAGGCAGCACTTGTCCATATGAGGTTTAGCGTTCCCGTAAGTATACTTCTCTCTTCATCTTCAGTACGAACAAAGATGGACCCCATGCATCAAAATACAGTTGGAACTGGTCCAGATGCAGAGTGTTCTGACCCCAAGCGTCTGTTACTTATTCAGCTACTGAATGAGTGGTGGGGTGGGAAAGATGGTGGCAACCGAAGCTTGGGCGTGTCACTGGGTCTGCGATTTGGGAGACTGAGATGGCTTGTCGGTAATCGTGAAGATCTCACTTATCTGGTGGCTATCTCTTACCTACACAAGAAGGGGAACCTCTCTTCCAAGCTCATAAAACCATGTTGTTGTCAGGAAATATTTCCAAGGGCTGTTATTCTAACTTTGATATTAGAGATCGATCGTGACCTATATCAAACACTCCCATAGGATCTCTGCCAACCTTCCAATTCAAACACCACCTTAGCTTTCTCAATGCTTTAACACAGCAAGGCCGGACTACGCCAAATAGTGACACGCCATTGTCACTCTCTGGTTCGTCAGCATCAATGAAAGAATTACATAACAAGAATCCGTCAGAAAAAGTATGTTGTGCCATGGCTGGATCACCATGTCTATCCATTCCCCCTTACTTGGCAAATACCTCTGGAATAATTGCGATTTTGCCCTTAAACCCATCGAGATCGATCCCAGAGGAAGGTGGATGTAACTTCAGTTTTACTGGTTGAAAGTTTGTCCTTATTCTAGGGGTTTGTCCATCTTTTGGAGACTCCGGAGTTACCTTCCAACCACCCTTATGCCCAAGGAAACTTGAAACTTTGGGACTGCGAGACAGGCGAAGATCAAGTCTGGGGATATTATTATTATTATTATTTGTACTGATGATCCTGTTAACCGGCCATCTCCGAGTGAGCAACTCCTCGGAATCCAGTGGGTTCTCGATCGGATTGTAGCACTGTCTGGGGCTGCCGTGTTTTGGATTTCTATGGGATGGATGATGGTTTCGATACTGGCACTGATGTACCGGATTGGGAATCTGACTCAATTCTAGAATAATGACAGGCATCTCGACCCTTTCCGCCAAAAGCAGCTCCGTTGCACTTCTAGATTTAAGTCTGTTGAAGAAAATTGCAACGTCTGCTGCATAACCCATGCTGGTTAGGCTGGGCTTGCACAAGGGACAGTCTCAACAATGCCTGCTAATGATAGTCCTTGAGGCTCTGACTTAGTTGACCATATTGTGTCGTCTACGTGAGCTCCACAGGAGATACCTATTGTTCATTAAAATGTTCTTTTCATCTCTTCAAATGCTGTTTCTTAGGTATAAATAATGATAATAGTCCAGATAATAATATGGCTTCATTCATACATTCTGATCAGTCGATGGTGTTGTAAGCAAGTGGTGTGTGCTCGAATCAGGCGGTCAGTGATTTTGCAGCGAGTTTGTGCATTTTGCATTGGACCCGCCTCGCTGCCCATCCCTTTCTTTTCACTTTTTGATTTTTTTTTTCCCCCTCCGCCCAGTGAACGAGCCGAGGACCTCTTGCTGCGTCCCGGAGAATCTTAATTTGGCTCTTCCATCTTTCATACTTCTCGTTTCTTGTTTTATCTTTTTATTTTCTCTTTTGGAGCTTCATTTTCGGCGCTGGAGGCCGTTGCAGATGCAAGATGGATGTTGCTGGACTCCGAGACCGCATACAGTGTACTCTGGATGCACATGCTGACATTCGTCGCCAAGCTGAGTTAGATCTGAAATTTGTATTATTTTCCTCTTCTCCCTGCATCTACCATTGTATTCAATACCGCCTTCAGTTGGGATCCGTACTTACACTTTTTTTTCTTCCCGTGTCAATTGTAGGCCGAGAACCAACCCGGTTTCATAAATGCACTTCTTGATATTCTGCAGGCAGAGCAGAATAATGCTGTTCGTCTGTCGGGTACGTTATTATTTGTCTATTTTCTGCGCGAACATCGTGTTGGACCCATGTCCTCCCTTGAATGCATATCAACGGGTTCGGAGGTTCAGAAGACATTTCTAATCGGTGAAACCGTTTTCTCGCAGCTGGTGTTTACCTGAAAAACCGAATCAACCGGGGCTGGGCTCCGATCGAAGATAGCCCTCAGCGCAGACCCATTCCCGAAGCTGAGAAGCCGGCGTTTCGAGAGCGGTTGATCCCGGTTATGGTCTCGACGACCCCGAACGTTCGTGCGCAGCTCGTTCCTCTCCTTCAGAAGATATTGCAGGAAGATTTCCCTGAGCGGTGGCCTGGATTCTTGGACATTACGCTTCAGTTGCTAGGGACAAATGATGCCAGCTCGGTTTACGCTGGTCTGCAATGTCTGCAGGCTATATGCCGGGTGTATAGGTTTAAGGGCGGGGAGAAAAGAGAGGAATTCGATAAGATAGTTGAACATTCGTTTCCTTTACTTCTCAATATTGGGTCGAAGCTTGTTGATGAAGAGAGTTTGGAGGCTGCGGAGATGCTCCGGATTATTGCCAAGTCGTACAAGCATGCTATCTACGTGGGTCTTCTCTTCTCTCATTGCTTTGTTTTCAGTCAACCAGTATTGGCAAAAGACTGACTGAGATTCCGAGGCTAGTTTGAGCTCGCGCCGTATCTACAATCCCAACAGGCGACTGTCGACTGGTGCACACTTTTCCTCCGGATCATTGCTAAAAGTCCCCCGGCCAATTCCATGCTGGAGTCAAAGGAAGAGAGGGGGCTCAATCACTGGTGGAAGTGCAAGAAGTGGAGTTATGCGAACCTGAATCGTCTTTTCATTAGGTGAGTTGGCCGTTTCCCATAATTTTATTTTTGACTAGCACGTCTCTGACCGGTTTCTCCCCCACCTCAGGTATGGAAACCCGACTACTATGACGAAATCTAGTACTCCCGACTATAGCCAATTCGCCAAATCGTTTATCACCACCTTTGCACCAGCAATTCTCAACGGTTACCTTCAAGAGATCGAGAAGTGGGTGTCGAAGGGCCAATGGCTCAGCAACCCGGCACTTTCCTATACTTTGATTTTCTTAGAAGAATGTGTCAAGCCTAAGATCATGTGGGATCATCTGAAGCCGCATATGGACGATTTGATTGCCCACTTTGTCTTCCCGATTTTGTGCCAGTCAGATGAGGATATCGAGCTTTTCCAAACGGACCCCCCTGAGTATCTCCACCGGAAGTTGAATTTTTATGAGGAGGTGTCGTCTCCCGATGTTGCGGCAACGAACTTCCTGGTTGCCCTTACCAAGAGCCGGAAGAAGCAAACCTTCAACATCCTCAGCTTTGTCAACGGCATCGTGAGCAAATATGAGTCTGCCCCGGATGATCAGAAACTGCCAAGGGAGAAGGAAGGCGCCTTGCGTATGATTGGGTCCCTAGCATCAGTCATTCTAGGCAAGAAGAGCCCTATCGCGGACCAAGTGGAATATTTCTTTGTCAGGCACGTTTTCCCTGAGTTCCGCAGTCCCCATGGTTTCCTGAGGGCACGCGCCTGCGACACGCTCGAGAAGTTCGAGGCACTTGATTTCCAGGACCCGAACAACCTCATGATCATTTACCGGAATATTCTCGAGTCGATGGCGGATCCTGAACTTCCTGTTAGGGTCGAAGCCGCACTTGCCTTGCAGCCGCTTATCCGCCATGACATAATCAGGACGTCCATGCAGCAGAACATTCCCGAGATCATGCAGCAGCTCCTCAAACTTGCCAATGAAGTTGACGTGGACGCTCTGGCAAATGTCATGGAGGACTTCGTCGAGGTCTTCTCTGCAGAACTCACGCCTTTTGCTGTAGCTCTTAGCGAACAACTGCGTGATACCTATATGCGGATTATCAGCGAGTTGCTTGAAAGGAATGCATCAAGAGATGACGAAGAGGCATATGGCGATTTCATGGACGACAAGAGCATCACCGCCTTGGGTGTGTTACAGACGATTGGGACCCTTATCCTTACGCTTGAAAGCACTCCTGATGTACTGCTACATCTCGAAACAATCCTCTTGCCGGTCATCACCGTCACCCTTGAGAACAAACTTTATGGTATTGCATTCCCCTCTAACTTAACGTTTGGTTTATCTTGTGCTGATCAGTGATTCTCTCCAGACCTCTATAATGAAACCTTCGAAATTGTGGACAGCTGCACCTTTGCATCGAAAGCCATCTCGCCGACGATGTGGCAAGTCTTCGAACTCATCCAAAAGGCATTTAAAGAGGGCGCTGAATTGTATCTGGAAGGTAAATTTTATCAACTTACATTGAAATGGTCTTTTTCTTTTCGTAGTTGAAACGATAATGCTAACTCGCCCTTCAAAGATATGCTACCAGCTCTCGACAATTACATAGCTTACGGCTCCGAAACTATGGTGCAGAACCCTGCATATCTCCGTGCCGCAGTTAGCATGGTCGAGGATATCTTCCGGGATGAAAAGGTTGGCGGGGTTGACCGCATTTGTGGCTGCAAACTGGCAGAGACGTTGATGCTTCACCTCCGTGGGTATATTGACCAGTACATCCCCCTCTTTATCGAGCTGGCCATGAATGTGCTCGAATCTGGAGAGTCAAAAACAAAGGCATACCGGATCCACTTGATTGAAATGGTTATCAACACCATTTACTACAACCCTGTTCTTAGTTTGCAGTTCTTGGAATCCAAGGGCTGGACAAACAAGTTCTTCAGTGCCTGGTTCTCCAATATCGATAACTTCAGACGGGTTCACGACAAGAAACTATCGATTGTAGCGATCAGCTCTCTGTTGACACTGAAGGCTGAGGATGTTCCGATTAGCGTGCAGCAGGGCTGGCCTAGGTTATTGCAGGGAGTGACCAGACTTTTCCAGACATTGCCTGCCGCTATGAAGTGTGAGTTCTGCTTTATTCTACCCATGAATTATACATTCTGGTACTTACGTCATGCCTTCCTTAGACCGGGAAGAGTCGACGAGGGAGTCGGACTTTGTATACGAGGATGATGAGGAGGAGGAGGAGGAAAATGACTGGGACGGCGAAGTTGAGTGGACAGACCAAGATGAACTTGAGGGGGCTGGAGATGGTGACGTTGCCGATGAGAGCACTGCATACCTTGATTTCTTAAACAAAGAGGTTAGTTTTGCTGACATCTTCAGCTCTTGGACGGTTTCTCATTAACAATCAAACCCAGGCCCAGAAATACGGATCACTTGTCGACGACGACAAGGAACTTGATGAAGAAGGCTTACTTGAGACGCCTTTAGATAAACTCGAGCCGTATGGATTGTTTAAACAGGTCATGTTGAGTATGTTTTGTTCAATTTTCTTCTGTTATTCTTTTTTTTAAATTGTCTAATTGTTATCGCAGACCTTCAACAAGAGCAGCCGCAGCTCTACGGTAACTTGACGAACATCCTGAACCCGGAAGAACAGCAGATAATTCAAGGTGTATTCCATGAGGCAGACGCAAAGGCTCTGGCTGCACAAGAAGCTGCTGCCGCTCTCGCCGCGGCAGGTATCCAGACCAATGGCAACCAATAGACGTGGCTCTGTCGCGGCCTATTCTGAAAGCATCATTTTTCTTGAGGAAAATGAGGAAAGAAGGAAGAAACGTATCCAAGGCTTCTCTGCTCAAGAAATACCAGTTACTTTGTCTATCTATCTGCACGGCATCGAGCAGTTGATCAAATTTTAATCATTGCACGGCATGCGATCATGTTTTCCTTATATTTTGCTGCCTCATGACGAATCTTTTAGATCCCTATTTTTTCACCCCTTGTTCATTTTTGGCAGACAATTCTCTTTGATCTTGATGTCTTGATTCTTTTCCCCCTTCTCCTATACGTTGGCCATTGTGTTTACAAAAGTCATGTCAGGCCATATTCACTTTTTATTTTCCTTTGTTACATAGCACATGCACAGATTCCCCCAGACGATTCTCGATTCAGACCCCAACTAGGTCCCGTCACGGTATGTATGAAAATGGACTCAATATTACATGCAATATACAAGTCTAATTGTATCTATGATGTCTCGAGTTCAGTAAAGTCGCTGTTTACTAAGGATAACGGTGATGTGGTGGCCATGCTTCTTGTGGTTAAGCCCATTGAGATCATCTTACTCCAGAAGTGGATATATGGCGCTCAACATGAAGCGCAGTACAAGTAGAACAATATCATAATCATCTTAATCTTGAGCAATAAATGGAGAAAATAGTTTGCATGGACGTGGGTAAATATGTTGATCAAACCGCCACAGCAAGCAAATCGGACCCGTGCAAACGTCATGATGATATCCCTAGTTGTAGTGGATAAGATAGAGTAAGATATACTTAAGGCCATACACTATCATTTACCTGAAGTACATTCATCTTCACTCATAATAGTGCCTATCTGTATCTACTGTCTTGGAGAGAAATCATCGAAACAAGGTACGTACAACATACATACATACACCCTTAACCCTCATCCATAGATATGTACTAATTACCTAAACTACGCAGACGAGACAAAACAACATCTCGAAAGTGCATATCTAGAGTCTCACGAAGCTTTAAATAAGAAAAGAAAAATGTCCTCCCGCGTCCCAGGCCGCCAATCACCAGACCCAGAACGACAATCCGGTGCTCAGCAGCGCGACCCGCCCAGTGCCGGGAAGGCGCCGGACGAGTACAAGCATGATCCGGAGTATGCGAAGAGAGAGTCGGAGAGGGAGAGGAGTGCGTTAGAAAGCAACCCTGTTCATCCGTTGGATCGATATGTGGCAGCGAAGTTTGCGAGATAGATCCATTCCATCCCATCCATGTTTATCGGGAGGGGACAGGTTTTGTTTAGTGTATTATGTTGACTTTAGATGATTGTGTATGTGTTAGGTCTAGTTATGAGTGGATCTGAGAATAGTTTATTTACTTCGTATATGATATTGGTATGGTATCGCTCCCTGTGCAAAGCACTTCGATATATATATATATATATATAACACTCATTTCGATAATTGTAAATTAATCAGTCAGCGGGTGGTAAATTATCGTGACGCGTTCATTCACAGAGACATGACATCATGGTTCAGAGGAGAAATAAAGTCATTCTAGGAGATTAATTGAAAAAAAAAAACATATGGGAGGCTTAGGCTGTTGGTCCAGCAGGAGCGGTAGACGGAGGAGCAGGCTCGGAAGATGATGCGGTTGTGGGAGCAGCAGCAGCAGCAGCAGCGGCAGGCGTAGGTGCTGATGCAGACGTATCTGTCTTCCCGTTCTTCAAGTCTGCCAATCTCCTCGCCTCCTCGTGGATGTCCCGCACCTGCTTGTCGGTCTTGACATAGAAGTCACGGAGCTTCTGCCCGGAAGGCGTGCCGAGAGCCTTCTCGAAGTACGAATGAAGCCCCCGCCAGCCAGTGGAAGCCTTGTCGCTGATCTTGTAACTCTCATCGAATCCCCTTACACGATCGGTGGCGTGGTACTTCTTGTCGAAGTTGGACAGGGCCGTGGTGAATTTAGTGGACACGCCGTGCTTCTGGTCGAGGGCGATTGCCTTCTGGAGGGCCTGGTCGCTCAGCGCGTAGCCATGGGCGAGGTACTCAGCGACGATTCGAGAGCGGGGCTTATCTTCCTGTGGAATGTGGCCTTCGTCTGGAATCTCGGTATCAGCACCGGCTTTGCTGCCGGCGATGTCGTCGAGGGTCTGCGCTGCGGTGACGTGCACGGTCGACGGGCCTAATTGGGTATTGTCGAGAAGGATGGCAGTTTTGGCGGCTCTGTCTCGTTGTCAGTTTCAGCTTGGATCACATCTTGATCAGCGCGGATGAGGTGAGAGTGAGGGGTGACGTGGCGGAGCGGGGAAGATATGGTGTAGCCTACGCTTCCTTTTCGAAAGTCACGGTTGCGGACTTGAGAGAGTCTGATTCACTGGAGACCGGCGTCACCGAGATAGAAGTGATCTTTCCACTGCATAAATTAAGGGGTTCGTTAACAGCCAGCCTCAGAATTGTAGCGATAACAGCATCGTACCAGAAGCTGAAGAAATCCTGAACCTCCTTATCGGTGGTGGCAGGCGAGATGCCTGAAACGTGGACAGTGGTGGGCTGGGACATTACGGGTGGTGGACTGAGGAATGAGATTCACGGAATTCTTGGATGATAGGTAGAGAAGGAGATGAGGATGAAATGGTGGAAGAAAGAGAGCTGCACAGCTATTTATGCAGAGCAGTCGATGATGTCGATGGCGGATAGCATCAAGCACAGCCACAAAGACATCCACACTAGCCTCTTCATTCTCCTAAAAAATAGACAGAATAAAATAGTAATCCCTGACATCATGCCAGGCCTATGTTTGTGCCTGGCCTCGGCGACCTACAAGCAGCACTGATCGTCTCATGGTGTAGCAAGCACAGTAGTCAATTCCATTCCTGATGTAGTTGTGCCAGTAGTACTATTCTACAGATCGTCAGAAACCTAGCCATTATTCCATGCCATCATTGTGCCATGAGATCAATTTCAACCACAAAAGGAAAGACAACACACGTTTTGTGTCACTGAAATGATCTGTGCCCCTCGTTTGTTATTTGGAACCGGCAACAGATGTGTCCTCCGTGTCAGTTGCCGGGGCAGGGGCCGCGACGGGGCTTTCGCTTGTTGGAGCCGCTTGCTGCTCCCGACATTGCCTGACTACCTGTTCGAGATCCCTCACCCGCTTCCGCAGAGCATCGTTCTCGCGCTTGAGTGATTCCAGTTCCCCCCGATAATGTGCTACTTCCTCCGGTCGGGGGACTGAGCCAGTCGGAGAGGTCATTTGAAACGAGTTCCTCTGGGGACGGGGATGAGACCAGTGCTCATTCTGCTGCGACGGAGAAGCCCTGTCCGAAAGGTGAGGAGAGGTAGCGGATGGCGCCCTGCTTCGATTTGCTCGAGGCGGATCAACCGAAGGGCGTGAGCCGGGAATACTGCTATCCCGGGCAGGTGCAATGCCCGCAACGTTTCCCGTTCTCGAGCCCTGAACGGCTGGAATATACGAACTGAGATTTGACGAAGACCGATGTCGATGTGATTGGGTAGGATGCGTATTGGCGGCATAGGGTGGAGAGTGGAGAGTATGGAGTGCATCAACTGGATCATTGAAAGTTGTCGACGTCGACGACGCTGTCGATGCAACAGACGCTGTCTGCTGGCGGAGAAGAGAGAGCTCCTTTGTCAAGCGATTTACCTGGCGATCAGACGGTCAGGGGGGTCAACATCGACAGATCTTCATAGGGCTAGGCGATTTACCCACCATTGCCTCCTGCTCTGTCTCGAGCATCAGATGTAACTCCGCTGCCGTGAGGGCTTTTGGATAACGCAGCGGTCCTGAATGGTCCCCGGTTCCTTGTCCTGTGCCCCCTGCGTGGGGGATGGTGGTGGGGATGGTAGGAGAGCTCATTACCTGGGATGTCCGTCGAGAGGGTGACTGTGAAGGCTGCATAGTTGCAAGTACTCTTTGCGTAGGATAGTCGCAGTCTTCAGATCGAAAGGAGGAGGACCAGGTTGATGCTGGAGAAAGAAGGCGATAAGCGCTGGCACAATGAAAGAACAGGATTGAGGTACATGGACATGTACATACTACTAGCAGACTGTAGGCTACCAGAGGAGATTCTGGTTTCTCTGATCACTGAACTGGGTATTCCCAACACCCAGCCAACGTGTTCCAGTGAGAGACAAGATCGACAGCACTTTCGGGATATTTATATCTGGCTCAGACACGTCTGTCTTTATTGGAGCTCTTTCAAAGGTCTGTTTCTACTGGAAAACGACTGGGCCAGACAGACAGCCTTTGGGACTGATCAATATTAATAGTCTTTACGGAGCAATGCAATCCTGCAGCGAATACGAGCGATGATCAAGCGCATAATCGGAATCATAATACATATATATGATATGCCCCTGCTTGCAGATCCCCCATATCCTGGTGCCTGTGGCCTGTTCGGGTGTTGCGGCAGTGCCCTGTACGTCAACAGTGGGTATCTACACGTCCACTGCAACGCATCGCTTTCTTCCCCTTCGCCAACCTGATCCGCCTCTCTGATTGTTCACGACTCAACCTGCAGCACGGGCACTCTCCAATGTCGATGACCAAGGAATAATGTCCGTGGTGATTAGCTTCTGACTGGAAACGCGGAACGTCACAAAGCTTCCCGGTTTGAAACCGTTGATCGATACTCCATCCAGGGCTTTTATTTATTATCGTCATACTAGTTAACTTAGCCGGTGAGGTTACTAATCTACCATTTTCATCCCTGAGTGGACAGGTCATGGACGTTGGTTACTGGTCTCCATCAGTTCTGTCTGTCGATCAAGTGTCCATCCTGTCAGGGTCTGGTCTCCGTTTAACGTCTGAACTGCCTAGCGCTCGCCATGGCTCAAAACGAGCTGCCTGTTGACATTCCCTCCTTCGCGAAACCCCTCGCCCCCTACATCAAAAGCCGCCAAGAAGCTCTTAGGATCCGACAGGCACTTACCCTCTACCTCCAATCGCACATTGACTTAGCCGACGATGACCCCGCGAACCAGAACCGCCATGCCCGGTCACACCTGGCTCTCTGTGTGCCGCACGATGCCGTCGTAGACGTGAAGCGCATCCCGCCCGAATTGACCGGTCTGAGGAAGGAATACCTGAAAGCGCTCCAGGCAAATGTGGCTACAAGGAAGAAATACGATTCTCTCAAGGAGAAGGTGGCGACAGCGAAGCTTCAGAGGGAGACGTCCTTACCGTCTTCTACTCCGTCTGTCGGCGATGCGGATTCCGAATTGGAGACGTATATTTCGCTGCTTCGCGAGCGCCGCCGACATGCAAAGCTTCAGGTTTTCTGGCATTATCTTCAGCAACTGAGGACGCGGGGCGTGGAAAGATCAGAGTATTTTGAGTCCCCAGCGCATCGGAGACAGCCGGTTCCATCTCCCGAAGAGTTTGAAGCTGAGGTACATAGCACCCACGGGGCAGAGGGCGGTGTTGAAGGACTTGTCTATAAACTTGAGAAAGCTGTAATACGTGCAAAAGCCCAACTGGACAGGGAAAAGGCGTTGCTTGAGGAGCTGAAAAGAAAGCATGGATCAAAGCAATGTCCGGAGGTCTCCCCTGCAATAAAAGTCAGGGCATTACAACGCACGCGTGATGAACTGGTGCAATGGGTAGAAGAGAAGCTGGTGGCCGTCAGCGGGAGCGAAGACACTCCTTCACGAGAAATCCCTCCAGAAGAGATCGAACAGTCTACACAGTTGCTCGAAGAGCGTAAGGAACAAATCAGGCAGCAATATGCGGCCTATGTGAGAGCTCGCAAAGATCTCTTGGATGCGATCTCCGAGGCATGCCAGCCTGTTGCTGCTTCATCTAGTAAGCCACAACGACGGATTGCGCGCAACGATAAGATCACCGCAGAACCGCCAGCCCCCTCGTTTGACTTCCTGAACGTTCTATCATTTGCCAGCGAGTCCCTCCTTCCATTGTCCAAAAGCCAAAAGGCACTGGCTCTCCAGAAGTCATACTTGGCGGGGTTACTTGCCAAAGAGAAATACACAACGCTTCGCACTCTCAATCGGTTGTCCGATGAAAGCCATCTGCTACCTGAATATCCTATTCTGGCCCGCCAACCACGCTTCAAGCATGCTGTCGCTGCAATAGATTCAAGGTCTTCCATCGACTCCACACAACAGGAGAAAACGGACGAAGTCGTTTCCTTGGCAGAAGCATGGGCGTTTGCGTCCAAGGCAGCCCGCGAAAATGAAAGAGAGTTTGTGCAACAGAAAGCAGAATTGGGCACCGAGATTGTACAAAACGACCAACAGACGTTACGGGAGGTGTACAGTATGCTGAATCAAGACCTCGACGAGGTTCTCCAGGACGAAAAGACTAGAGGGGACAACGACGCGGATATCTGGACCTCCGAGGCTCGCTCTACCGGAACGCGCAGAAGGGCGACGCGGACAGAGAAGCGATCCAAAGGTCCATGGTCGCATCTCGATGGGAGGATTGGTCTTACTGGAGATACATGAGACGAGTATCAAGGAGTTCTAATGATCATTCTATGCATTAAATGTACGAATTCTAACTTAGCTAGTTAACCTAGTCCCTTGGAGTACCTCATGATGCAGGCTCTCTATAGTATTATATATTACTGAGAAGACGAAAGTATTCCGCTGTATAAATGTCGCAGGATATAACGAATCGATCTTCAAAGAACCAGTTCTTTTGTCCTTGTTTGTCGGCTTCTTTTTAATCGACATCCTGCTTCATAGCCCCATTCCACATTGTGCTGCTTCAGTTCCTCCATTTTAATTTTAATTTTTTTTTTTTTTTTTTTTTTCTTTTTACAAATATGGCACCTTCGTCATCTAGAGCAGTCGAAAGCTTCTCAATGCTCGGAAGACGTTCTCAAAGAGCAGACCAAATATTGCTGCCAGGCGATTTAAAGAATAGCATAGTGTCTAAAGAGATGAGAAGAGAAATGGATTGATGGTCCCTCATCAGCCTGACTGTGCATCATGCATGATTGCTGAACTGGTTACACTGATTTACTGGAGAACAGTGACCTCCAGCATTGTGCTAGGCATTTGCCAAGGTTCATGGACGGATTCCGGAATCGGAGATGTTTTCAGAAGCTTTCCAAATGCGGGAAATGGTCGATCGCTGTGCTGTTCATGATGAGTGTAACTTGAGGCAGTCAACGAAGGTCTGTAGTTCTCTATGGATGCTGATAGGCTTGGATTACTGCTCTGGACTGATCCGTGCTGGTTGGCGATGTCCAGTGAGTCAAAAGTGCCGAGATAATGCTAGTAGTAAATTAATAAAACCGTCCCGAAATTCGTATCAGCATTTTTTTTCTTCCCCGTCGATCGGCTTTGACTCATTGTTCCCACCGAAGTTTAAATTCAAAAATTACTTTCTTCTTTTCTGCTTTGCTTCTCTTCCTGTTCTCCCTCCAGCTTTGCGGCAAGTCTCCAATTCGACTTCCTTCTTCCCCTCCAAGGTCGGGCGCCTGAGATCAAGCGGGAGTCAAAAAGACTGTCTCAAGCCGTCACGGACTCGAGGAAGAGATCTCATCTAGGCGTCCGTCAATTGAACTCCAGCTTTTTCTTCTCATCTCCCCCCGCACTCTCCCGCGGGCGCAATGGTTCTCGCCGCTCGTTGTGGGCAGGCCACGTCCTCCCTGCTGCGCCAACGCGGCCTGGTTGAAGCTCGTCAGTCCGTTCTCGGGCTTCGTTCATTTTCCTCGCCCTCCTCCATTCGCTCCTCCGCATCGTCTCTGCGACTGCAGCATAAGGTTCCGACATCATGGCGATCGCACCAGCTGCGATCCTTTTCCACTACCCTCAAGCGTCTAGCAACCGAGTCTAAATACATTCCTCCTTCCTCCCGATCCGGCCTCGATGGTGGAGCTCTAAATCCGGGCAGCAACCTAGTCGATGTGAAAAAGGTTCTTGTGATTGGTAGCGGTGGATTGAGTATTGGTCAAGCAGGAGAATTTGACTATTCCGGTACGTTGGATGATGATAGGAAGAGTTTTTTGGAGTTCGCTGGGGGTTTTTTTTTTTGAACATTGGCTAACTGCATTTTTTTCGTTTTAACCTACAGGTTCCCAAGCTCTCAAAGCTCTCAAGGAAGCTGGTGTCAAGTCCATCCTGATCAATCCCAACATTGCCACAATCCAGACCGACCACAAGGTCGCAGATGAAGTCTATTACCTCCCTGTCACCCCGGAATATGTCACACATGTCATTGAAAGAGAACGTCCGGACGGCATTCTGCTCACCTTCGGTGGTCAGACGGGTCTGAACTTGGGTGTGCAGATGAACCGTATGGGTATCTTTGATCGCTACGGCGTCAAGGTTCTCGGAACAAGCATCAAGACCCTCGAGACTAGTGAGGACCGTGATCTTTTCGCGAAGGCTCTGAAGGAGATCGATATCCCTATCGCTGAGTCAATCGCCGTGAACACCGTCGATGAGGCCTTGAAAGCAGCCGAGGAGGTTGGCTATCCCATCATTGTTCGTTCCGCTTACGCCCTTGGTGGTCTGGGTTCTGGCTTTGCTGCCAACCCCGAGGAGCTGAAGAACTTGGCCTCCCGTTCCTTGTCCCTTGCGCCCCAGATCTTGGTCGAGAAGTCCCTCAAGGGCTGGAAAGAAGTTGAATACGAAGTTGTTCGCGATGCTGCAAACAACTGTATCACTGTTTGCAATATGGAAAATTTCGACCCCCTGGGTATCCATACTGGTGACAGTATCGTCGTTGCTCCCAGTCAGACTTTGTCTGATGAGGAATACCATATGCTTCGAACCGCTGCTATCAAGATTGTCCGCCATCTGGGAGTTGTGGGCGAGTGCAACGTCCAATACGCATTGCAACCCGACGGACTTGACTACAGGGTCATTGAAGTGAATGCTCGTCTCTCACGTTCGTCAGCCCTGGCCTCCAAGGCCACTGGCTATCCCCTTGCATATACTGCCGCGAAAATCGGTCTAGGACACAATCTCCCCGAGCTTCCCAATGCAGTTACCAAGACTACCACGGCAAACTTCGAGCCCAGCTTGGATTACATCGTTACAAAGATCCCCCGGTGGGATTTGTCCAAGTTCCAGCATGTCAACAGGGACATTGGTAGCGCTATGAAGTCTGTTGGAGAAGTCATGGCTATCGGTCGTACTTTTGAGGAGTCTTTCCAGAAGGCCATTCGTCAAGTTGACCCCAAGTACCTCGGTTTCCAAGGCGATAAATTTGACAACCTCGACGAGGTTCTGCAGAATCCTACCGACAGGCGTTGGTTGGCAGTCGGCCAGGCCATGCTCCACGAGAACTACTCGGTCGACAAGGTCCACGAGCTGACTAAGATTGATAAGTGGTTCTTGTACAAGCTCCAGAATATTGTCGATTGCCATAACGACATCAAGGAGATTGGCAGTCTCTTCGGTCTCCAGAAGGAGATTCTCTTGAGGGCCAAGAAGCTGGGTTTCTCTGATAAGCAGATTGCCCTTCTTGTCGGCTCTTCTGAGGATGACGTCCGCGCCCGCCGAAAGGGATTCGGAATCAAGCCTTGGGTTAAGAAGATCGATACTCTTGCCGCCGAGTTTCCTGCGGATACCAACTATCTTTACACGACTTACAATGCCACCTCCCATGATGTCACTTTTGATGACCACGGGGTTGTTATTCTTGGAAGCGGTGTCTACCGTATTGGAAGCTCGGTCGAGTTCGATTGGTGTGCCGTCAATGCTACTCTTTCCCTCAGGAACATGGGCAAGAAGACGGTCATGATAAACTACAACCCTGAGACATACTCCACTGATTTCGATACTGCCGATAAGCTTTACTTCGAGGAACTCAGCTACGAGCGTGTCATGGACATCTATGAGCTCGAGAACGCCAGTGGCGTCGTGGTTTCTGTCGGCGGTCAGCTGCCACAGAACATTGCCCTTCGTCTGCAGGAGACCGGTGGTGCTCATGTTCTTGGCACTGACCCCCAGGATATTGATAGGGCCGAAGACAGACATAAGTTCTCTCAGATTTTGGACAGCATTGGTGTTGACCAGCCTGCTTGGAAGGAACTTACCTCTGTTGCAGATGCCGAGCGCTTTGCTAACTCTGTTGGATACCCTGTTCTTGTTCGCCCCAGCTACGTTCTCTCTGGCGCAGCCATGAACGTTATCTACAGCGAAAATGAACTCAAGGACAAGCTTCTCAATGCTAGCGCTGTCTCCCCCGATCATCCTGTCGTTATCACCAAGTTCATTGAGGGTGCACAGGAAATCGATGTCGACGCTGTCGCTTCCGGCGGTAAGCTTCTTGTGCACGCCGTCAGTGAGCACGTTGAGCCTGCTGGTGTCCATTCCGGTGACGCTACTCTCGTCCTTCCTCCTGCCTCCCTCGACGAGTCCATCCTGGGCCGTGTTAAGGAGATTGCTGAGAAGGTCGCGAAGGCCTGGAACATTACCGGTCCCTTCAACATGCAGATTATTAAGGCTGATCAGGAAGGGGCTGAGCCTCAGCTGAAGGTCATCGAATGCAATCTTCGTGCATCTCGGTCCTTCCCGTTCGTCAGCAAGGTGCTGGGCACTAACTTCATTGATGTTGCCACCAAGGCACTTGTTGGCCGCGACGTCCCCGAACCCGTAGATCTCATGAAGGAGAAACGCGACTATCTCGCTACCAAGGTTCCTCAGTTCAGCTGGACCCGTCTGGCTGGTGCTGATCCTTTCCTTGGCGTCGAGATGGCTAGCACTGGTGAGATCGCTTGTTTCGGAAAGGACTTGGTCGAGGCCTATTGGACTTCCCTTCAATCCACGATGAACTTCCGTGTCCCCGAGCCGGGTGAGGGATTGCTGTTCGGTGGTGACATTACCAACCCTGCTCTGTCCAAGATCGCCGATTATCTCCATCCCCTTGGCTACAAATTCTTCGCTGCCAGCCCTGAGGTCAAGAAGCACCTCGAATCCGCTACCAAGGACCATGTATCCGTGCAGGTGATCGAATTCCCCAAGCAGGACAAGAGGGCTCTCCGCCAGGTGTTTGAGAAGTATGACATCCGGGGTGTCTTCAACCTTGCTAAGCACAGGGGAAAGACTCTCCTCGATGAGGACTACGTCATGAGACGAAATGCAGTGGACTTTGGCGTGCCACTTTTCATGGAACCAAAGGTATGGACCCTCCTTCAAGTTATCTTCCACCCTACACCGTTCTAACCATTTATCGTTTTCTTCTATAGACCGCTCTTCTGTTCGCACAGTGCATGAATGAGAAGCTGCCTCGAAAGGAGGGCATTCCTCCTGAAGTCCGCACCTGGTCTGACTTTGTCGGAGGCAAGCTGATGTAAAATATAGATCGTCGAACAATGGAGTTATTAAGAAAGTAAAGGAGGGTAAAAAATGTGTTTTCTTTTCTTTTCTTTTTCCCCTCATATCCTGTCTATTTCTACTACTACGGTGGATAATTTACCGCTCTTATTTAAGTTCCTATCCAAGGAAAAGAAGCGTGCTTTTCTATATGGAACCTGTCCTGCCCTGTCCTATCCTGTCCATGTATGTATATAGAAGTTTAGTATCTACTATTTGATCTGTAATTTTGTCTGTTTGAATAAATCCCACTTATTCCGATGATTTCTCTGGAGACTTTTATTCTTTGAATCTGATAAGATGCACGAAAGGGGAAAAAAAAAAAATCCCGCGAAGACGCTGACTAAATCTCCGACATGCATGCTTTTATTCCACTTCACCTTTGAGACACAGAAGAGTATCAAAGGGCCACGGCACAAAATAATACCCCTTAATAATTGACCCAGCGGTAAAAACAACAAAGAATCTTGTGATCTTGTTCGTCCCCACATATCCGAATCCGAACCCGCCAAGGATTTTCCACCTTTCAAATATAACCGCCAGAAGACGACAAGAAAGATAGTAAACACAAGGAAAACCACCCTCATGGCCTCCCCCCATCCACCTGCACCTTTCCCAGTCCAGGCAAAGGCTACTCCCGGCCCAGCGCCGGAGGGAATGGGGACGGGGCTCTTCGCGTCGTCGGACATTGCAACTGGCCAAGACGTGTTGTATATCAAGGTTCCGTTTGTGGCTGTTTTGGATACGGCTCGACTGGAGGATACATGTTCTGGGTGCTTTGGGAAGAAACAGTTTGAGAATGATCAGATTGAGTTGAAGGGCTGTACAGGGTGTCAGGTTGTGAGATATTGTGATAAGGTATGGATCTTTCCTTTTCTACTTACATTCACTAGCACTGTGCTTCTTTTCCTTCTGTTTTCTTTGATTCTGATGGCTTGGCTTGATTAAGCTGGTTGGTTGGCTGTCTTTGACTGGAGTTCTCCTTTCACAATGAATCATACATGGTGGATGCTTGTGATCAAGTCCCCCCTATTACTTCTCTCATCTCACATTCTTTGTCCTGTTCTTAACCTTCCCACCTTCCTGCATTTCGATTGACTCCAATATAGGCCTGTCAAGCCAAGGACTGGAAGTTTGCTCATTCTCTCGAGTGCCCAATCTTCAGAAAACTGAGGCCTAGGATTCTTCCAAACAATGCCCGAGCGGTTCTCAGGATGGTTCTGCGGTATGGGCGCCAGAAATATGACGAACAGGATCTTGCCATCTTTTTCCAGCTGGAGACTCATATACAGGAAATTCGTGAACGAAACGAGGACCAGTGGAATCGTATTTCCCTTTCAGCCAAGGCAATCAAAGAGTATTCCGGGACGGCCATGCAGGAGGAACTCATATCTGCTGTTGGTGCCAAGGTAGTTTTCTTTTCCCCTGATCAGTCGATGACTCGATTCCTAACTTTGTCTGGTAGCTCGACTTAAACTCGTTCAACCTCACCAATGCCCTATATGACCGCATTGGACTGTATTTGCATCCATATGTGGCCCTGATAAATCACAGTTGTGATTACAACTCCGTCTTCGGTTTCGACGGTGACGAGCTTTTCGTCAAGGCTATCAGGCCGATCAAGAAAGGCGACCAGATTTTTATATCATATGTCGATGTGACAAATCCCTATAAAATTCGTCAAAAGGAACTCTCTGATCGGTATTTCTTCACCTGTCAATGCTCGCAATGCAAACGAGGCATAGATACTCCTCAGGATGCTTTTTTAACATCTGCATCCAAAGACTCGTCTGCCCTAGAAGCCGCTGAAGAGAAGGCATATAGACTTATGGAGTCTGTGGATGTTGATGTTGAGCCATTACAAACTGTCGACCAACTCATGTCTGCCATGCATGTACTGCGTCAGACTTCCATATGGCCCATCAGCAGACAGCCGTATGTCTCATGTCGCGATGAATTAGTCACCTCTTTAATGTTCACTGGACAATTCAACAAGGCATTTATACAAGCCGCTATTCGTTATATTCGTGTTGATCCTGTCGTGTATCGTTATGACGTGCATCCGATCCGCCACGTACACGCATGGGCTCTTGCAAAGCTTGCAATACATCTATCGCAAGGGACAGAGCTGAACCCTGACGACTCCGACGCTGTTCAGAAGGCTGAACTGAACTTGAGCTTCATAGTCTGGTCGATCCTTCATGAACTCGTGAAGAGGGAGCCTGAAAGCTGCACTGTACCCAGTTTCAAGCAACTGGTCAGGACGACATTTCAAGAGGTACATACCGTGCTCATTTCCAATGGCGTGGACCAGAAGACCCTGAAAACCGAAATTAGCAAAGAATGGGACAAGCTCGAAAGGGTTATACGTGCACAGCTGGGGAAAGAGTGAATCCGGTCGACTGCCTTGCTATATAGCCGACGAAACTAGACATCCGCTGCAAGGATAAAATGTCCAGGAGGTACCGTTGATATTCCGAGACAGCAGTGGCCTGCCATATCTCAGTCCTACATATTACGGATTGCAAAGCTGGTGAGCGCTGAGGTATTCGAATATCGGGTGGGCGGGTGGATACTCCAGGACATACTCGAGTACATCCTTGCAGTCATCTCCAGCTACGAAGAATAGCTTCAAAAAAGAAAAAGAAAAAGAAAGAAAGAGGGGAGAGGTGTGAGAGGAGAATGCTTTTAAGGTCCCTAATACTGGGCCAATAATGAGGAGCTTTGCTTCAAGCCTATTTATGCCTATAACAGCAATATATGGGCTTAGAGGCCTTGCCCATTACCACATTATGCATGTTGGACAGCAGATATGTCCGTCTGTGCTACAGCCAGAAGTGCATTAATCTTACAGAAATCTAAAAGTATCCGCAGTTGAACTGTCTGCTGTCTTCCCTTGTTTGTCAAAGAAGGTGCGAGGGACCTACTTCACTTCTCCAAGTCTCCATGCCTCAATTCACCGCATCCTCTCGACCTCCCCCCTCCCAGTCCCCCACGAAAACCAAGCATGTTTCCTTTCTTCTCTCTCTTCCATTTTCTCCCTTCTGATACAGTTCAAGGTTTCTGACTTCTTCCCAATTATCAGAGATTTGAGGGCCTATCCAAATCAATCCGTCGGTTATGCCTCCAGACCAGGTGTCATATCCCAATATGACGAAGGAAGATCCTTCAATTCTACTGCTTCTCGTCCTGGCGGCTCATGAGGTAGAGCTAGACTACGAGAAGATGTCAGAGCTGAGCTGCAAGCTCCCCGACATCAATCAGCAGTCTACCTCCCTTGAACTTCGAGCTAATACATACAGTCTGGTCGAGCTAGCGAAACAGTTGCGGAGGTTTCGTCCGTCGAACAGACAGGAACCTTTCTCCACTTCCCAGAGAACGCAAGAGCATTTATTGTTCCGCTCTAGTGAGGAACGTTCTATCGCTGGAGACAGACCGTCGTCATCGGCATCAACATCACCGGATCCAGAGTCGGCATCAGAACCATCCCTGGAATCGTCATCATCAGCTCATCGGAACCTCCCTGTATCAAGTGCGGTCAACTGCGTTGGCCGAAATTTTATTGATAGAAGATTGCTAGCGCAGCCACCATCGCCATCGTCGCCGTCGACAGCAACGTCAAGACACTTCTCGGAGACTCCAATTCATCCTGCCTATTACTTCCACTCTTGTCGCAGTCGAGGCCACATAATTCGCAACGCTCGTTTGGCTCCTGAATCTGCAACATCCACCACTGGTAATGGAAACAGGAACATTCCTAGGGCGGATGGTAACCACCAGAGTCGCGTACAAAACCGCAGGGGAAGCAGAAGGAACAAAAGAAATAGGAAAGGAGCCACCCCTGCGTTCAATTGGCGTGAAATTGCAAGTGATCCTGAAGGCAGTTACCAAAGTGACTCCTCTTCCGTCAGCGGACGAGTCTGGATAGCAGGCAAGGATAGTGCGGACGATGTCAATCCAGCATGGGCCTGCTTGTCAACTTGGTCATTAGTTCCAAGCAAGGAAAGGGATGATGACTCTACATCTGTTGGAGGAGGCGTCTGGGTGGAGATTTGAGAAGCCGAAAATGATGGTTCTATTCCCAGGAAGGGTGGGTCAGACAGATAAAGGATATTCTCCTTGTGTCTTCCTTCCTAGGAGAGATATGTTATTCCTTCGAATTAAACAATAGAAAGTGATGGGGAGTTACTGACTACGATGTAATCTGTAAGTCGAAGTTGCAGCTACTACATGTAAAGACGCCCTTTCACCATTCCATACCAGCATCAACTATCTCCATCTGCATTTTTACAATAGCTACCAGTATCATCACTGGCAAATGAAGCTTGGACTTACATTGATAAACAGATAGATGGCACTAATGCGGAAGGATTATCACCTTTATTAGTCAAGGAGGCATCATGCATATATATATATTTATTTATGCAGTGCTCTGTACACCAGACCCCTTCCATAACGATAAAGAAGCCAATCAAAAACTTGCAATTACCTGGAGACAAATGATTCTTCGTGCCTGAGATGTTATCTGAGAAACAGGACTCGACCCCGGAAAATATATAGTGAATGCTTTGTTAAAGCGGCGATGCGATCATTTATTGCCAAGTTTATCTTTTTATACCTCATTTACCCAACCACAATCCCTTTCGACGATTGTAGGCGTCTCATATAAACAAATTATTATTATTATTAGACTAGAGGTTGGTAGCAGGTCGTCAATAATGGACTTGCCAACTTCAATATCATAGATGCATCTATCCATCCCCAAAAGTATGTTCCGCATTATCTACGAACGTCTGTTTGATAGGAAAAATAAAAAGACAGATTTTTAGTGATCATTAAGGTCAGGACTACCTCATTCAATAAGGGGGAAGAACATGGCAGGGAAGAAAAAAGATGATGGTTGTCTTGGGCCTCTCGTCTCGTCCTGTCCGTGTATCCTACACCAGGAGCAAGGCTGGAACCATTCCCTGAGTGGTGATGGCGTGTTTCGCAACATACATGGGTTGACAGAGGAAAAAAATTTGGGGGAGGAAAAAAGGAGCAGACGAGACGAATTCATTCCATTTCCCAGGACCTATCTTATCTATCCACCCAAACTCTCCACGCAATACATGACATATAGAGGTAACATGAGGAAAAAGAGGTATTTTGTTTACTTAAGAGGAATGAAACGGGAAGAGTGGGTGGCACCGATACCAGGTCTACCGTGCTTGACGGGCTTGCTGTAGGATTGTTAGAAATCAGATAGAAATGACAAATGAACGAGAAAAGACGTACTAAGAAATGGAGAACTCAGCAAGGTAGTGTCCAACCATCTCAGGCTTAATTTCAACCTGGTTGAACTCCTTGCCGGAGTAGATACCGACGACGCTTCCAATCATCTCAGGAACAATGATCATGTCACGGAGGTGGGTCTTGACAAGGTCGGGCTTCTCGTTGGGCTTGGCCTCCTGCTTGGCCTTGCGGAGCTTCTTGATCAAGCCCATGGGCTTGCGCTTCAAGCCACGGTTGAACCTGCGGCGAGCACGGGCGTGCACGACATCGCGGAGCTGCTCAGAAGAGAGGTCGAGGAGCCTGTAAAACAATTGTGAAGATAACCCAGTTAGATATACATTTCTTCCCCTTTTCAACTTGTTTTCTCGAAAACACCAAACATGTTCTTGGTCCTGGTAGAATATCGAAAACTGAATGTTCCACAGGGCTCATGATGAAGGCGAGAAAAAAGGACTAACGTACTGATCGAGGTCAATTCCACGGTAGGTAAACTTGCGGAACTGTCTGCGCTTCTTCAACTCTGTTGGGCGATAAATCTGTCAGCGAGGAAATCCCTATTTTCTGTATGTTGCAAAGTCCCTTCGCAATCCGTGTGGTATCCGGTCGGTCCATGTCACCATCCGAGTCGTTTCCCATCAAATCCATAAAGAAATTCCATCGAGAATACCACAAAACGAATCGCCCGCGAAACTGGAAACAGAAAGGAAAGGTGGTCTAGAGAGGGATTCTGAAAATAAACGTACCGGCAGCCTCCTCGGCGTTCTGTTATATGAAAGTCGCTGTCAGCATTGCCATACTTCTTCCATCAAGCGATCATGCCCAGAACAACTCACGTATTCGACGTCAGCCATTTTTGCAGTTGGGATTCCTCAAGGTCGCTTTCCGAACAGGCTCTCGAAAAGCGATGGGAAGACGGTTGTCGTGTCGTGTCGTGTCGCTGGGAAACGTTTTCGTCGGGCTGGTCTCTGCTTCTCCGCTTCAAGTTTCGAGGTGGGAGGGTTCGGCTAAGCGACCCCTTAGGTCAAGCCCTACCACTATACCATTTTAGTCACCTGATTAGGGCTACAATCTGCCGTGACGAAAATGATATTTACAGCATACATCGTTCAAGACTTCCTAGCATGCGGACATAATAATATCTAGTATGAACATTCCATATATTGCTTCTCTTGAGTTTGTTGTTAGATTTCCTCTACAGGTCAGAACTACAATTGCGTCTACGATCTTCGAAGAGAGTCGAGGCCAGATAATCTGTATTCAGCTAAGAGCTCTTTTTCAGCTCAAGCGTGCATAATTCGTAACTGCGAAAACAGCCTTGGAACATGCAATAGAGTAGCTATTTTATACCAATTTCCCACCATACTGCTGGTATGACTGCCAGATCTCTGCTCCCCGTTTATAAGTGAAAATTTTATCGTCCCCGTTTTAAGGCCCTTAGTCGAAGAGACCGAAGCCCATGTCATCATCGGACTCCTCTTCCTCCTTAGGAGCCTCCTCCTTCTTCTCAGTGGCGGCCTCAGCGGCAGCACCGCCGGCAGCAGCAGCGGCAGGGGCACCGCCAGCACCGCCAGTGGGAACGGTAGCGAGCTTCTCAGCACCCTGGGAGATCAACTATAAAAGCAAAATCCAGTCAGTCAAAATTTTGTCAAAAGGCGAGTCAGGAAATGGCAGATTTGTCTAACCTCCTGGATGTCCTTGCCCTCGAGCTCAGCGACGAGCTTGGTGAGGCGCTCCTCATCGGCATCGATACCAACGGAAGAGAGGACATTCTTGATGTCAGCAGCGGAAGGAGAGGCGTTGCCGGCGAGGCCGAGGAGAAGGTAAGCTGCGAGGTGCTTCATTTTGTAGACTGATAGAAAAAAAGTTAGCGACTAGCTTGTAATTGTTGCGACGGCTTCAACAGATTGAGCTTTGCATAAAGAGAAGCAACATACTTTGGTTATTCTAACTTGAAACGAACACGAGAAACAATCGATTTAACCGCGATTTGGGCGGAGACTGAGACGTCGAGTTCGCTGAGGACGTTGAGCGATGAAGAAGAGATGAAATCCAGGCGGAGCCCGAAGAATCACTTGAAAGTGCGGAAGGCCTGTGGCTGGTGGAGGTCGCATTATATAATCGCTAAGCGAGAGTCTGTGGCGCAGTTGACAGTACGGAATGCAATATACGGTAACAATACGTGTTTACGGTAATACTCGCAGATGTCAGTGGCCACGTGACCATTCCATTCCATACTTCACAGGTTGCCGCCTCCTTTCCCCTCTCTCGTTCCATAGAACATCTAGCGGGAGCTACTCCATCTTTCTTTCAAACGGCATCACGGTGAGAATCTGCTGTGGGCACCCATCCTCCATCTCTTTCGCCCTCGTGCAGAGTTTCGAGCTGTTTGCGAGTTGGAAGAGCCGCATCGAATCATGAAGTTGCCTCGTCATACTAACCACCGACGGTGAACTTTCACTTTCTTATACGTATTTCTAGGAACCATCGTCTTGACCATCTTGCGCAACAATCAACATGAGTGTATGTATCGCATCGCTGGCTTTCTTGATATCCAGACCACTCACGGACTTCCAGTTCCTCGACTCCGTGCTCACGTCTATCGAGACGGGCAAACCGTCTCCCATCCCGCCCCCAACTCCAGCGATACGGCAGCCATCGGTGTCTATTACATCAGCCTCTAAAGCAAGTTCTGAGATTCGCAATACTAACCTGCGGCCTCGTGTTGTGTCGTTAGAAGGCGGAAACACTAGCGCGGGGACAAAGCGGAAAGCTGAGGAACAGCTACGCCGTCCCTCGAAGCCCGGAAGCCAGCCCACGGGATCGGCTAATTCAAAGCCTACTGCGGTGGCCCCTAAGTCTCGCACGGTTGCTACGACGGCAGGGCTGAAACAGGCTACAAAACCTACATCCGACAACGTCACATCAACAGCTTCGAAAATGGCACCTTCGAGAGCTCCCCCAAAAGGATCATATGCGGATCTTATGAAGAAAGCGAAAGAATTGCAACAGAAGGCCCCTATGACAGTAGGCATGTTTAAGCATCAAGCTGCTCCTAAAGAAAAGCTGAGCAAGACGGAACGCAAACGACGTGCTTTGGAGACTCAAGTCAAAGAGAAAGGTTCCAAATTGGTCGGTAGGGGCTCCGCAATTTCTCGTGCAGGAGTTGAAGGCAAGGCCGGTATTGTGAGTCCTGGAAAAGGGAGAACTCCGGATGAAACCAGCTACAAAGGCACTGCACGGTCAAGTCAACCTCCACCACAGCCTGAGTACCGAGGAACAGCGGGTTTACCAAGCAAACGAGGTCTAGACAGCATGAGGGGACAGTACCGGTACGGCAGGCGGTCCAGGATGGACGAGTATCTTGGGACAGATGAAGAAGACGAGGGTGACTACGCAGACGACTACGATGACTATTATTCCGATGATTCAGACATGGAAGCTGGGCTAGAAGATGTGGAACAAGAGGAACAGGAGGCTCTGAAAGTCGCGAGGAGAGAGGATGAAGAGGAATATCGTGTGGAGCTTGCTGCTAAGAAGGCAAAGATGGAACGTCAGAAGAAACTGGCCGCACTGGCAACAAGGAGGAGGTGATGTATGGATCGATCTGTTCCCCACTATTTTGTTTTTACCATTCTTCTGGATTCGGAACTTTGGCGTCGCATATCCAGGGATGCACTACCTATTATTTCCGATCACTCTGCCATTGTTCTCTGTCTATTATTTACAAGCATCAGCGAGCGTCCAAGGTGTCGATAGAAGGCGGACAGGGCAGACTTTGCTTTTCATTACCATTGGGAAAGCGGGCGTTATCATCGGAAATTGTTGTTTTGAGTCTTTGGCAGGTTTAATTTAATATCAATTATTAGTACTCGCAAGCTTTGAAGGTGTACGACATATACTAGACACTCGAGTAGACATTTGAAGTTGTCTACATCATCTACATCACGTGATGCGAGTGACATCACCTGCAGCAATGGCAATTGTTGACCTTTGTAAGAACACTGTATCATCTTCTGCTTGATTCCTTTGTAAATCCACATCCCTCTGTATTCTTCTGGTAAATAAATACAATCTGATTCACAATGGAATCAGTACAACATGTTTCGACCTCTTCCAAAGCTTTGTTCAACAGGGTCCGCAAGATAGTGCCCCCACTACTAGAGAAGTTTCATAAAGGTAAGCTGGTCCTCCTTCTAATTCCATATTATTGGGATATTGCTATCCATTCCGCATTGTCAGAATGAATACATAGCAATTACTTTGGTTTGGAAACACATGTACTAATAGAGTCGTAGGGCAATTGGGGCGCGTTGCTGTTATCGGAGGTTGCGCAGAGTACGTTTTCGCCTTATTAACCCTTCCAAAAGGGGGGTTCGACATGAAACTGAATGAAATGTAGCTACACGGGAGCTCCGTATTTCTCTGCAATTGCATCGGCTCGGTTAGGTATGTCTTCGACTTTTGTCTTTTGTCGTTTGAGTGTGGTCCAAAGGTTCGTTTGACTGATCGCAACTTATAGGATGTGATATGGTAACTTCTCCCAATAACTCGCAATGTCGCTATTTCAAACTTTCCCATTCTTCTTTAAGACCCAAAAACAATCTATAAAATGTGATCTGACAATTTTTGAAGAGCCATGTCATCTGTGAACGATCAGCTGCAACTGTATGTCTATTCCCCCCGTCCCAAGGTCATACATACGCTTACATGCTCAGGTTATTAAATCGTACTCCCCAAATTTGATGGTTCATCCATTGCTCGCAAGCTCCAGCTCAGTAAATGATCCACAGTCCATCGATGCACGTGCCTTGGCTAGTCCAATTATCGACATGTTATCACGTTTGCATGTTCTAGTGATAGGACCAGGTCTTGGCCGGGATGGAGTGACACTCAAGGTGGTTATGGAGGTGATGAAAGAGGCACGATCACGTTCCGTTCCGTTCATCTTGGACGCTGATGGCCTATTCCTCGTTATGAGCGACCTGAGCTTGGTCAAGGGTTATAACAACTGTATTCTAACCCCCAACGTCAATGAATTCAAGAACTTAGCTCGTGCTGCTGGTGTTGATGCTCCCAGCCAGGCTCAAGTGAAGGATTCAGGCGAAGAAAAGACAAAGAAAGAGTCAGCAGCATGTGAGAAACTTGCACAAGCCCTGGGTGGTGTGACGATCATCCAGAAGGGTCCCCACGACGTCATTTCAAATGGCGTTAGCACTATCATCTCCGACATTGAGGGCGGCTACAAGCGCAGCGGTGGCCAGGGAGATACACTCACCGGCTCGTTGGGGACGTTGATGGCATGGAGGGCTGCCTATCATAACAAAATGTGGGATACAGGCGAGAAAGAGAACCCGAAGGAAGCAGAAACCGAACAGGAGGTCAAGGCTGAAATTGAGGCTGAGGATAGGAGAATGTCACCGGCTACCACACTGCTTCTCGTTGCGTGGGCGGGCAGTGGGATCACCCGAGAGAGCTCCCGGCGTGCATTCATGGCCAAGAAGAGAAGCATGCAGGCGAGTGATTTGACAGATGAAGTACATGAGAGCTTTTTGTCACTGATTGGTGAGCCTGATGGATCCAAGGCGGCGTTGTAGCCTTAATGTAGCTGTCCAAAAATATGAACTTCTCATGCAGGTCTAGTACAATACATAGACTATGCATAGAACGTGCGGTCTTCGCTCCATTCAGCATGTCTCGTGTATATTTTGAAAAGGCAATGGTAAACTCCAGAGACCTTAGCGGATTAAGCCGCGGCACAGACTTTGTAAACTGCAAAAGGCTTTTCATTTACGGATTATTTTCTTGTCAATATAGAGGCCTCAACTGAATCAAATGAATATTTTTTAATCACTTGTTGGGAAGTATTTGCCGGTGGGAACAAGTACTCCACAACTCCATTCCATACCTGTAGCTGTAAAAGACAAAATACAAGAAAGACCCAGCAACGATTCTATTCTGACAAACAACCGGACCCAAACCCCATCAGACTTCCATATCATCATCAGCACCAATGAATACCAGGCGTGTGCCATTGCTAGCCACTTGCCAGACCTGTGAAAACAGTTAGTATATACAGAACTAAGATATTCATTTTCCAGGGGGAAAGAAGAACATACATCCATCCCAGCGTACTCATTAATCACCATGGTTAGCTGATCTTCAGTAAATCCATTTGCTAGGACCCGTTCTCTGATCTTCCTCATGCTGAGAGCGCCATCATCGCCATCACCCGCAGCAGCAGCTCCACTCTGCCACATGCCACGGATCAGGTTGTAGATCTTTGTGCTGGGAGTTTGGTCGGCTCCAGCCTCTCCATCCTGGGATAGAGATGCCTTGCTGACCTGGACCAGTCGCAGTGCCTCATCGACATCTTCCGTAATGACTTCGTTGCTAAACCGGAGACGGGCAAGTGCTTGTGACAGACGGATTATACCGAGCAAGGTACGTAGTGTGACATGGGAGAACTGTTTATTGCTACCTTCGTCGCGCTTCTGTTGCTTCCGCATCTTGACATATGCACCAACCATGTAGTCTGAGACTGACGAAGGAACAACAGGTCGATAGGTTCTAGCTTTAGCAATGTACTGGCGAACCTCGTGAGGGGTGAACATGACCCCACCATCCTCCGTATCGGGGTGCTTGTTGTGCATATGCACATACGCAACATGGCTAGCCAGTTCTTCGTCTGCATCGCGTGAAGGTGTGTCAAGGATGAGGAACAGGACGTCGAAACGCGACAGAAGCGCGGCGGGCAGGTTAATGTTTTCAACCGGAGACACACGCGGGTTGTAACGTCCGTAAAGCGGGTTAGCCGCCGCCAGGATAGATGTACGGGCATTGAGAGTCGTCGTGATTCCTGCCTTGGAAATCGAAATGGTCTGTTGTTCCATTACTTCGTGGATGGCTGTCCTGTCGGCATCATCCATCTTGTCAAACTCATCAATGCAGCAGATTCCATTATCTGCCAGCACCAAAGCACCTCCTTCGAGCACCATCTCGTCCGTCACTGGGTCCCGCATCACTGCTGCTGTAAGCCCAACACCGCTGCTTCCGCGGCCGGTTGTATACACACCGCGTGGGGCGACTTTAGCAATATATTTCATCAACTGAGACTTGGCTACACCAGGATCACCCATAAGGCAGATGTTGATATCTCCACGGATATGCATGCCATCGCCCATTTCCTTGGTAACACCTCCAATTAGGAGGAGAAGCAATGCCTTTTTGACATCCAGGTGACCGTAGATTTCAGGTGCAATAGACCGCGACAGGTACTCGTACATGTTGCCGGACTTCCTGTGCTGCTCAATTTTGCGAAGTGTCCGTCCATCCATTACCAACTCATTATAGGCTTTCTTGTGCTGGGTGATGTACTGGGCTTCTAGGTATGTATCGGTTAGTAGTCCAGCACGAATGGCTCTAAACCCGGTATAAGGAGTTGGTAGAAAGATCCCAGCGATATCAACAACATCTCCAGGATTCAGTTGTCGTGTCAAGCTTCCATGACAGTGAACAGTCAATGTCCGGGGGATATGGCCAACAGGTACCTGGTCCGCCATCTCCTGGATCTTCACTTCTTGGAATGGAACAAATTTCGATGCACGGGTGGAGAGGAACAACTGCCCTTTTGAGTTATTCTTCTGGCACTCCTCTGATAGACATTCCGTCAATGGGGCATATTGTTTCGTGGTAACAGGCTGGAAGACCTCGCTTCCGCACCTATCACAAGTGTAGGCGTTGATCTGGACAGCGGGTTTCACGTCCGATACACGAGTGGTTATACCACGGACGGTAATGAGGCCACCAATGTGGTCTGCACGAACATTTCGGACAGCAAGGGCCTTGGAATCGCGCTCACTGCTCGATCCCGACGGCGTAAGAGGTTTAAAAGTAAGGGTATATCGGCGAGTAAGTTCGGGTGGGAATAACGAAGGGGCTGTCACCGCATCTGCGTCGGCTTCCATGGCCATCGTCATGGTTTCATTACGTTTTTCACGCTGCGACATAATCACGTCGAGTACATCGTCCTTAAATCTGCTTCCGGTCAGTCTCGCGAGAATTTTCGGCCATCTGCCATTCAAGCGAACTTGCATACGTTATCTCTTTGGTCTCTTTAGGCATAACTCCGTCCACCGCTTCAGAGAAGACATCAATATAACGCTTGGTATTTTTCGCGACCGATTCGACTAGCTTCAGATTTGTATCCTCCGCAAGGGATTTCTCGTACTGCATATACGAGTCCACAGAATTAGAAATGGTGATACACATGATAATATCACCGCAAATAACTTACAGCTGCCAGATCGTCCAATTCAATGAGAATATTCGACCTTTCCCGGTCCGCAATCTCCTGCAATATTTGCATGTACTTGAGCTTGGGCTCTCGTCGCCTCCTGGTCCGTTGCGCCCCATTCTCATCTTCCACGTCGGACATGAAATCATATTCATCGCTTATGTTGTCGCCGTCGATATGCAGTTCTTCAATGGCCTCCGTTGCTGCCGCCTCCGATGTCGACTCCAAAGTTTTGAAACGTTGAAGGAAATCCTTGAAGGCTTCTAATTGCGCCGTGTAGTCGACAGGCGCAGGGTACTGAAGTAAAGACATGATGAGGCAGTAGCAATAGCCAGTTCAACCTTAAGAATAAGCTGGCGAAATGAGCGTGGGAAGACGGGAACAGACAAGTTGATGAGCCTGAAAGAAGCAATATTAGACGCCAGAAGCTTTTGCCGCGAGACGCGTTCGCGACGCGAAAATAGAGACGCGCCTCGGCCATTTCTGCCCTAATCCAAATACAGACTGGCGCACTCTCACGTGTGGCGGAACGGAACAAGTCTCGGTCCGAGGGAGCTCGGCATTTCGCTCTTCTGAATCTCCAAGTCACCATGCGGAGGCGAGCCGGTTCCCGTCTGGGGGGAAACGCAAAGGAACGATGCCCGAATAGATGGACTTTTCCTCGTCCTGTTCTTCGAGCTTGCTTTCCTCAACTCGGTCTCTTGTTTATGCCCCATAGAGCCAGCGCATATGACAATGGCGCCCAGAAAGCCCTCTGCAACAGCGGAGGTGTCCCTCGTGCCCTTGAAGAACTGTCTTGTGAACCTGCCGCCTTCGTTGGTTTCTCTTCTGGTTAATGCCAACGCTGTAAGTATTTTTCTTTTCCCTTATGTCGCTGGTGCTCATATGCCACAGTATAGCTGACAGTAGATCAAGGCTGCGCAGAATGTCATCGTCGAGCTCCAGTATCGGCCTCTATCTGGAGGGCCTAACTTCCAACCCAACGGTAGCACTGCGCAACGGTCATGCTATCTAGGATGGACAGGAATGCCCAGCAAGCAGAAATTGGCCCCGGTTGTTGGTAGGGATGGCATAAATGTTGCTAGAGACCAGGAGTCGTCAACCGTGGAGTTGGACACTACCTTCGGAAGGCTTTTGGGTCTTAATGAGGGCCAGAAGGTATGTTCGCTTCAGCTATTGCTTCTTAAATTTTCTAACAAGTTATCAGATTGGGCTGTTCGTACACCTTGATCCTCCTGTTGCACACACTATCAATATCGAACCTTTGACGCCAGAGGACTGGGAAAGTATGTTTGTCCCTCCAGATCTGCATTTGCGTTCATGTAGTCTGACCATTTCATCTCCAAGTTATCGAACTCCATGCAAATTTTCTGGAGCTCAATCTCCTATCACAGATTCGTGCTCTACCAAATCCCACATATAACACGACACAATCAGAGCATATGCATCCTCTTACGCTGCATCTTTCCCCTACATCCACTGCCAACATAGTTGTCACTTCGCTTACTCCGGCGCCTCCGACTACCTCTCCTTTTGCCAAGATATCGCCTGATGCGGAAGTTATTGTTGCACCGAAAGTCCGCTCCAAGCAAGCGCGCAGTTCAAACACTAGCAGCAGGCGAAGTGCCGGAGCAAGAAGCACCGGGAGCACGGTGCGACAGAAAAGCAATCGGCCAAGTTCGTCAACTACAAGAGGTTCGGTTTACCTACGAGCTGTCGATCGCCAGCTGGCTAGTGAATGGTTTGTCGACGACATCGAGGATGATAGAGATGAAGGCCTTCGGGTTTGGGTCGACCCGGACTTACTGGGGACAAATGAACTTCGCGGAGCTAGCTGGGTCTGTGTTACTATCCTTCAACCCTCAGGCCTCAAGCCCCCTCCGGATCCTCAGCAGCAAGCGAAGGAAACGGAACAAAAGACCAATGAAGCTGGCCTTCCAGCGACAAAGCTTGTCGCTAAATTACTCGCTTGGGAAGATGCACCAGATAATCAGCACGTCGCCATGTCATCTCTACTGTGCTCGTCATTGAACAGCGGAGGAATTGTCGGGGGAATTGTCCGCATTCAGGCCGCGCCACCGCAAATACAGAAATCCGTGGTTAAATCCCTAAAACTGTATCCGTTCATGTCCGACGCCTCGAAGCGGAAAGATGGATTGAAGTTCGGTGCTGACACGGTGGCAGCTAAAGATATTCTAGCGGAGCGTGTAAGACTGATTTATGGTGGCTCTGAATCCGATACTCGACTGCTATCAGGGCCTTTAGTCGATGGAATCGTGCTCCCGAAGGCAGGTGGCCTCTCGATGCCCTCTACATTTGACGGCGGTATTCTCCGTTTTGAGCCTCCGCTGAAAGGAAGCCCAGATGGGGTAAAGGCGCCGTTTGGGTGGCTCCTGGGGTCAGAAGCCAAACTGAATATTGAAGTACAACCCGAGATACCTAAACCAAGTGACCCGAGCGCTTTGGCGTCGCCTAGCAACGATCCGCTTCCCACTTCAATTCCGGAGATGGTGGGTATCGACTCGATAATTTCCCAGTCCCTTGCCAGCCTCACCAGGTCTTCTTCAATTCTGGTAGCTGGTGGACTTGGGGCTGGGAAAACGACACTCAGTCATCTCCTGGCGCATCGTCTCCGACGGGACTATTTTTTCAACGTGCAATACTTCTCCTGTCGAAAACTCGTTACCGATGAGACGCGAATTTCCAATGTCAAAGATACCCTCAGTCGTTTGTTCATGTCTGCGTCTTGGTGTGCCCGCCTTGGCGGTCGGTCCGTCGTGATCCTAGATGATCTTGACAAGCTATGTCCCGTCGAAACTGAATTGCAAGTGGGCGGGGAAAACGGTCGTAGTAGACAAACAAGCGAAATTGTCTGCTCTATAGTCCGGGAATACTGTTCGTTGAACTCTTCAGTCGTGTTGCTGGCGACTGCACAGTCCAAGGAAACCTTGAACAACGTCATAGTGGGTGGTCATGTGGTCCGGGAGATTATGAGTTTGAAAGCGCCAGACAAGGAAGGGCGACGAAAAGTTTTGGAGAAATTAACCAGCGAGGATCGCGATGCTGTTCCATTTAACGGCGGCCGAGCACGAAACCCAAGCGCCTCTACGCACGACTCCTGGTTAGACCCTTCGAATCCTCAAAGCCGCCCCAGCTCTGCTGGGAGCGATGGCTTCGTGTTGGCAGGGGATTTGGATTTCCTGGAGATAGCAGGAAAGACAGACGGGTACATGCCTGGTGATCTTGTCTTGCTCGTCGCTCGTGCACGAAATGAAGCTCTTATCCGCTCTGTTCAAGAAAACCCGGGAGGTACAGGCCCCATCAGTCTCGGGGTTGAGGATTTTGAAAACGCTTTGAAGGGCTTTACTCCAGCGTCTCTGCGTAATGTTACTCTCACATCTTCCAACACGACGTTCTCCACCATTGGTGGATTGCACGCAACCCGCCAAACTCTCCTTGAGACGCTGCAATATCCAACCAAATACGCTCCTATATTCGCCCAATGCCCCCTCCGTTTGCGGTCTGGCTTACTTCTCTATGGCTTCCCTGGTTGTGGAAAGACGCTTCTGGCCAGCGCAGTGGCGGGAGAGTGTGGACTGAACTTCATCAGCGTCAAGGGCCCGGAAATCCTGAACAAGTACATTGGAGCCAGTGAGAAGAGCGTGCGTGATCTCTTCGAAAGAGCGCAAGCGGCACGACCCTGCGTTCTATTCTTCGATGAGTTTGACAGTATCGCGCCGAAACGTGGTCATGACTCTACAGGTGTCACCGACCGCGTGGTCAATCAGCTCCTCACGCAGATGGACGGTGCTGAAGGCTTATCCGGCGTCTACGTACTAGCCGCCACCTCACGACCGGACCTGATTGATCCCGCGCTCCTGCGTCCTGGCCGTTTAGACAAGTCGCTCCTTTGCGATATGCCTTCTCACACCGACCGAGTTGACATCATCCGAGCTGTAAGCGAGAAGCTCAAACTAAGCGACGAAGTAAGGAACCGGTTGGACGAAGTCGCAGCCAGAACGGAGGGTTTCTCCGGAGCTGACCTACAAGCCGTGGTCTATAACGCGCATCTTGAGGCCGTCCATGATGCTCTTGATGACCACACCGCGAACGCGAAGCCCAGCGCGAGACCGTCGGCTGTCGGCGTCAATAAGCATGGCAACAGCTTCACCAGCAAATCTTTTATCCAATTCGTCTACTCTCCCACAGAGCAGGAAATCGGATCCGTCTCCATGCCCCCTCCTGCCGTGGTTGCGGCAAAACTCGAGGCAATGAAAAATTCCCGTCGACGTCAGCGCCAGCTGGAACATGGGGCAACGGGCACTAATAGCACGATCCCCACATCGATGACGAACGGCACTGGCGGCGCCTCTTCTCAAGATGAACCACGCGATGAGATCCTCATCTGCTGGAAACATATGGAGCGGTCACTTGCCACAACTCGCCGCTCACTCAGTGAAGCTGAACGGAGACGATTCGAAGCTATCTATAATGAGTTCGTTTTTGGGAGGAACGGCGAGATGCCTAATGGCGAAGCCGGAACGGAGATCGGTGGGAGGACGAGCTTAATGTGACTTTGACGCGATGGATCGTCAATTTCAATATGGGGTTGACTCGCATCTGTATCTATATTTATACCTATTCTTGCGTGTCTGTTTATATCTATACACCGTCTATATCCCTTCAGCCTTTTGATAAGGGGGCTTTGGTTCGGATGCTCGTTTGTTCTGCATCTATGTCTGCCTTGTATGGCATGCTACCTGCGTCAACTGTCCTGCATGTACAATGACTAGACTGCTCTGCTCTGTATGACTCTTCTCTGTGGTATGTAGTGGTAATTCTCATAAGGGACATTTTCCTTGTGGCAATGAGATATATATCGATGGATGAATTAGAATCATTTAAAAAACAACTTTTTTCTCCTCTTTAACCACTTTTATCTATCTCGTCGATGACATTTTCAATAATCGCGCAAGTAACGCCGTAGACGAGCCCCATGACGAATAATTTTGTAAATCGTTTTCCTTCGAGAAAAGTAATAAAAGAGAAAAAAGATAATCACTCAGAAGAAAAAAGTGCTCTTCAGAGAAAACTAGTATCATTGAAAAGAGACCTTCAACACACACCAGTATGACTTTTCTTATAGATACCATGCAGATTTTTTTATAAAAGAAGAGGGAAAAAAATGACACCACTGCAACATGCCACGGTGCAACTTGGACCTCCAACGACTGACATCACGATGAAAGTGGTTCAGATCATAAAGATTATTCCCGATTAGAGGAATAAGTAAGATGAGAAGTCCACTTCCTCAAACGTTCTGACACAGGAACTGCCTTTTCGCGATCTCTCATAATCCCCAGTGGTACATAGTACACAGCTTTCCCATTACAGTCTGGCCTGCTCGTTTGGATACGGAGAATATCGACAGGAGCCCAGCCGCACAGCGAACACTGACAGTAAACACAGGGGCTGGGATCCACACCCAGATTCTCCGTGAGAACACCCAGACAATGGCGGCAGCAGTTGAATCTAATGATCTCCCTATCGCCGTGGGGTCCCTGATTACGACGACTAGAGCGATATGCATACTCAAGCCAGGTATCGGGGAAGCTGCTGTTGTCTACTGGAGCGAGAAAACTAGACGACGCGGAGGAGGAAGAAGAAGAAGAAGCGGCAGTGGTGGCAGCAGCGAGTCTTTCGAGGAAGCGGAAGTATGCCTCGCGGGTTGTTATGCGGCGGAAACCGAAGCCCTTGGACCAGCCGAAGAGGAGGAATGCGAGCTCGAGCCTTGTTCGTCCCTTGGGGAGTTTGGGGCGGGAATCAAATCGGGCATGTAAGGGACACATGTCGAAGCAGTCGTCAAAGGATAACCTGTCGCAGAGCTGGCAGCTGTTGATACGTTCCCAGTATAGCATCTTCTTGACTTGTTCGCTGGTTAGCGGAGGAGTCAGCGGGAGGGTACCGTGCTTCAGATAGATCTTAGGAAGAAGATTGCTGTCGACTAGTCTGGATAGTAGGAGAGATCTGCCGCAGGGGTCAGCCATGAGTGGTTCACGCGTCGGTGGGAGCATGTAGTAATAGTCTCTGCACGCATAGCGTAAGATGGTGTAGTCTACTGCGTCCAAATGTTTTGCAATGTCGAAGATGATGTCCAGGGGAATGTAGATGTGGTTTGTTCTGGCCTTCTTTTTGTCGTCATTGTCGTGAATATTATTCTTTCCTTTGGTGAAGAGGGCATGGAAACCAGTGAGATGTCTGCTGCTGCATTGCCCAGATATGAAATGATTGAGTTTGCTTTTCAAATGCCATCTGATCTGGTTTTCTTTCCCACTGCCTGCACTTAGGTCTTTGACAGAGAGGATTGATGGTGAAGGGAGCTTGAAGTCGTGAACGACAGTGGTCGATCCTGACTCTGTGTTGATTTCCGTCTTCATCTCTGCAATAGCTAAATGGATATCTTTCCTTTTGAGACTGACTCTCAAGCAGTGCTAAGATGGGAGCAGGTTTAGCAGGACTGAAGAAAGACAAGGAAAAAGATGAGGGAGACGGTAGCGCATTCACTGCACATGATTAGTGGCATGGCGAATGCAACATGCCAACTGTCCATCTGGACAAATCCACCGTAGGAAGTAATCTATTAAGGTAAGTCAGTTGGTCTGTAGGAAAGCAGAGCTATCTACAAGAGTGTTTTCTCTTCTAAACACCAGCAGTTAATGGCATGAAGACAGTAGTACTGACAGTAGCATAATGGCGTTCTTGTCCATACTAGATTCTAACTGTTCAACTCCATAAACAGCTCTGATAGGCTGCGTAAGATGTTAGTAGGTAACAAGGCTAAAAACACGAATAAGGAAGCCTTCTGACATTTTGTGCATAGCATAGGGCTATTAACAAACTCTGAATATCCAGAATCTGCTGCAGTGAACACCCACTAGTAAGACATTATTTCAAGCTCTTGGCTTCGATAGCGCGGAGGGTCTCTCTTGGCTTTCATGCAAGCATTATCAACTACCACTCAGCACAAGCAGACTCAGCTACCCATAAAGATATAAGTTCCAGCATACCAGTATTAACCTTACAGCAGCAAACAAACAAGCATCGACTACCCGATCGAGCGAACGATGCCGAGCCGAGATGCCGAAATGCGGGGACTCGGACTTAGCGCCAACCCCGCATCGTGCGACAAAAAAAAAGCAAAGAACCGAGGCATTGCTTGCGCTGGCATTGGCGCCGCGGTGACATTCATTTATTAATATACGCTCTCTTCGTCCGGGTTACTGTCAGGGATCTATAGAAGATAGAACACATCTTCGTCTGCTGTTCAAGTTCCCTACAGCTCTACCTCCTTCATGCCTTCTTCGTCGCCCTTCCCTCCCATCGATATCCCCAATGTCGGCCTGTGGAGTTTTATCTTCGAAAGGAAGGATAGGCCGTATCCAGATGATAAAGGTATGATTATCCATGTTTCATGAGTGTCCTTTCCATGCTGACACCGTCAGTGATCTTCCGAGATGCCGACACGCAGAGATTTTACACGTACCAAGATGTGAAAGAAGCAACCCTGACATTCGGCAAAGGGCTCAAAGCCGTCTTCGGGTGGAAGAAGGGGGATGTCTTGGCCCTCTTTACGCCCAATTGTATCGATACACCCATCGTGATGTGGGGGGCAAACTGGGCAGGAGGCGTGGTGTCCCCTGCAAACCCTTCGTACACGACAGAGGAATTGGCGTTCCAGTTGAAGAACTCCGGCGCCAAGGTGCTGGTCACACAAGTCCCATTTCTGGGAGTTGCCGTACAAGCAGCGCAGAAGGCGGGAATCCCGCACGATCGTATTATCCTGATTGGAGACCAGCATGATCCGAAGGCGAGGTTCAAGCATTTTACCTCCATCAGGAATATTTCAGGAACAGCGCGATTTAAAAGGACGAAAGTCGATCCCGCCACAGATCTTGCATTCCTCGTCTACTCCTCTGGAACGACCGGTGTGCCGAAAGGTGTCCGTCTGTCGCATAGGAATATCGTTGCCAACATCCTGCAGGGTTTGGCGCCGGAAGGGAATATGTTATCCTGGAGCGGTGGTCATGATGGCAAGGGTGACCGGATACTGGCCTTTCTGCCATTTTATCACATCTATGGTGAGTTCACGATACACAGTTCAACGAGAATACAAGAATTAACAGCACAGCAGGCCTAACCTGTTTGGTGCATGCGGCAATATACCGTGGACTGGAACTGATCGTGATGGCCAAGTTCGATCTCGAAAAATTCTGCGCACACATTCAAAACTACAAGATTGCCTTCGCCTTCGTCGTGCCACCAGTAGTATTACATCTGAGCAAGCACCCGGTGGTGTCAAAATACGACCTCTCTAGTGTCCGCATGATGAATTCTGGCGCAGCACCGCTCACACACGAGCTCGTCGAGGCGGTATACAGCCGGTTGAAGATACCCGTGAAGCAGGGCTATGGACTCAGCGAGACCAGCCCGACAACACACACACAGGGATGGGACGAATGGCGTTCTCACATCGGCTCCGTGGGTAAGCTGCTGCCCAACATGGAAGCAAAGTATATGAGCATGCCTGAGGACGGGTCAGAACCGCATGAGTTGGCCGCGGGTGAGGTGGGAGAATTGCACCTGCGCGGACCCAACATTTTCCTGGGCTACCACAATAACCAGGAGGCAACGATGGATTGTCTCACGCCCGACGGATGGTTCAGGACCGGTGACGTCGGGTACCAGGATAAGGATGGGAATTTCTTCATCACCGACCGCGTCAAGGAGCTGATCAAGTACAAAGGATTCCAGGTGCCACCTGCGGAGCTCGAGGGGATCTTGGTGAATAATGAGGCTATCGATGACGCGGCTGTGGTTGGGATCCATAGCGATGCTCACGGCAGCGAAGTGCCTCTTGCGTTTGTGGTGCGTAGCGCGACGAGCAAGGATTCTGGTCGCAGCGAGGAGGATGAAGCAGCACATATCATCAACTGGTTAGACGGACAAGTTGCACCCCACAAGCGTCTACGCGGAGGAGTGAGGTTTGTCGACGCTATTCCCAAGAGTCCCAGCGGAAAGATCCTGCGACGATTCCTGAAGAAGAAGGCCATGGATGCGAGCCAGGTTAAGGCGAAGCTGTGAATTTGCACTTGCATGTAAATACCTGGAGTAAATGAATCAGCCATAGTAGAGATGAATGCCTGTATGGACAGAGTTTACTACCTGATTTTCTGCTGCAGCCCCAGCTCATAGCCTAGAGGCTCCTCTTCGAAACATGATGTCACTTAACCGGTCAATATAAAAGATAGGGATGTGAGAATATACAGATGCTTATATCACCAGTCTGACTACATAAATTTATGGTCTTTATCAGAAGCGCACTTGTCTCATTGCAAAGCCTCGAACTTCTAGGTTTATCAACACCATGGGCTTTTGCGATTTTGGAGTAATTAATAGGTTCTCCTGGCTTCAAGGATTCTATATCTGCTAGAGCGGCTTCAATAGACCCCATTTTGAATGAGCTGTGTTGGTTTAAAAATTACATTTAGAAAGTCGGTGTATCGATAATTCGGGCGGCGGACTGGGCGTCAGGTGATCACCTACTGTACCCAAGTCTCGCCTTCAGGTCGGTGATTTTCCATTGCTTGACTCGGATAGCCCAGTATAACACCGTAGCCATGACCACATTGAAGACAATATATGCCCACACCAGGCCAAAGTTCCGCCAGCGATCACTCCAGTAGATTCCGGATCCTGCGATGTACTGATCAGAAATGCTGAGGCTGCAGTACTGACAATTGGCTGATGCCTCCGCGTTCTGAAGATAGCCGGGCGCGACTTGCAGAAAGGACGTCATATATTCACCGCAGGTTTGACCGTTGGGAGGATTGAAGACCGAGAACTCTGCAGCAGAACATTCAACCTGACGGTCATGCAGGATTGTTGCCGCAATCCCGGCGACCCAATAGGTGAAAGGTGAAATGCGGTACATGAAGATCCAGAATCCAGGAAGGGCAGAGGGCGGTTGCATGACGCCATTAAAAACCAGAATCAGACTGAAAAGCAAAGTTGTCAAAGCACCTGCAGTCTCTGCATCCGGTAGCCCCGCAACAAGCATGTGGCCGAAAGTCGACCCGAAAACAAAGAACTGAATGCAGTAAATAAGGACCAGACCTTGCCGATCGCTGGATTGGATGCCGTTCACCGCGTAATTGTACGATCCGAAGACTAGGATGCCGAGGAAAATCTGATATGGAATCTCAACGAAGATATTGGCAATCAGGAATGCTTTCCACGAATACATCTTGGACGGCCGCTCCCTCACTTCGTAGAGAGAACGCTGAGTAACGAACAGCGGCATGATCTAAGTCTCATGAGCGGCGATGAATCATTAGCACACTTTCATCAAGAAGTAGAACAGAGTCATGACTTTACCTTCAATCTTTTCGCCAAGCGATCAGCGAATATCATGGATTGTGGCTTTCTCAGGATACCCAGCCATGACAAGAATGATGTGAAAAAGAGAATAAAACCTCTCTTGGTCAAGCACCGCCTCTTGGGGACCCGTGGCAGTAACATTTCTAAAACTGGTTTGTCCAAGGCATCATCCTTCCAGCGCAACGGAACCTCAGTTACTGGCCCATCACGAAGGTCGAACTGAGCCAGGTCTTCTAGAGAGTCGATACCAAAGAGAGCCTTGTGAGCAAGAGCAATGACTAGAAGGAAGATAGCAGTTGCAAACTGTGGCCGGTCATGGCCACGAATCCCAATCCCAAACCTAAGCTAGTTAGCAAAGACCTCTTGCATGTAGCAAATGTCAATTGGGAAAATCGTACACTGTGCAATTTTCATCCCGATGATTCTTTAACCATTTTTGGTCAATCCGCCATCCTATCTTCCACGGTTCATCTGGAGAATGGAACAGGACCAGCTCAATGTACTGTGTCGGTGGTCAGCAGGCATTTACAGGCTGAGACATCCTACCTCATACTGTCTTACTTTATATCGCAGTCCTCTCTGTTTTTTATGGTTTGCTTGAGGGATAAAAGCCCCAATCCTCGCTCCAGTGAAAAGGAAAACCTGTAATGCAAATACTATGATGACTTTGAGAAGCCCATGGATAAAGACAGGACTGTCACATTTCCATTTTGAAACGATAATATTTCGAAAGTCCTTTCTGGTAAAATTGAATTTTTGCCTTTTAATATTCTCAATTACCTCATCCACTGTCAAGGTGTTCTTAATCCACTGGACCGGCATTAGTAAGGAAATTCTTTGTGGATAGGAATGCTGTATACAGAATAGATCTCCTTCCGGTCTTCTTCCACAATTTTGCTTCTTGTAGCTTCCTCGAAACTACCAAAAAATCTTTCAGCGCATGCCAATGTAGTCCTTACTGTGAGCTTTTTATTCTGACTGAGCTTTCCCTGGCCTGTGGCCGAGCTTATGTACCAACGAATGAAATCTTTGATGCAAACAATGTCTGGAGCAGGGCAGTTAGGCTTAAGTTCATAACCAGGCAGCTCATACTTTTCTTCTACAAGGAATCTAATGCAATGTAAATTAGTACATCCTGGTGGCAGTAGAGGAGTTTTTCGTGGGACACCTCTGTGTACAGAGCAACATATTGACGTTGTAGCTCCTTGACTTCATCCAGACGATAATTCATCCCCCTTATAGCATCTTATTCTTGGTGAGTTCTCGACACATAGCCGCTTGCCAGGCGACACTCGCGGCGCTTCCTCCGGGCATCTTTGTCTCGCCAAAAGGATCTCTTGCCCATGGTCAGCGAAGAACGAGGAAGAAAATGAAGAGAAAAAGAGGGAAGGCTATCGCAACAAAGACAAGGCAAAATAAAAAATTCAATGAGAAGTTTTGGTAGAATCCTGAACTCCTTATGATAGCCTTCAGAATGCGAAGGAAGTGCACATACTTATAACTTCATCAAAATTAATACGTTACCCATCTATTACAGTCTACAAGCACAAGTTCCAGGGAATTTTTACCACTGAAAGACCATTTAATCACCATCAGTTTTCTGCTTGCATCATTTTGCATGCACATATTAACTGGCGTGGGAAGGTTGCAAATGGTGAATCCGGTACCGTTGCCAAACTGCCCGTACAAAATAAAGGACAGGGAGTAGGTCTCAGGTGGTCATGTGACTGATCACTGAGCAGACTCTGAGTGCCCTCATTAAAGTGGAGACGTCCAGAAGGGGAAAGTCGCAGTGGTCCGAGAAAATCAAGTACATATAGCTATATATATGACTTTTTAAAGAGAGAATCTTTTGATCATCCCCTCGACATCCTCTCCCTCCACGACACCAATCTTCTCCTTTACAAACCTGTCAATAGCATCCTCAATATTTTCCTCCCCACCCAACAAATCAGCCCACCCCCTCGTATCATCCCTGGCGAGCAACTCATCTGCAACCCGCGCAACATCCTCCCTCGGCACACTTCCCTTCGCACGCGTCTTGCCCAGCTCCACCTTCCCTGTGCCAGGCTCATCACTCAGATACCCAGGCCGGAGCAGAATCGCCTGAAATCCAGGATCCGTCTTCCTCTTCTTCGCCGCAAGAGCAGTCAGATACTCATCCGCCTCGAGCTTAGCCTTGGCGTACGCCGGAAGCACATCGGTATTGATATGCATAAGGTACTTCCATTCCTCATCCGAAAGCCAGCTGGGCTTGTTCCGTCGACTGCCCAGATGGGAGACGAGGAGGAATTTCCGTACTTTGCTGTCGGCGAAGGAGGCTGCTATGTAGTGTTTTGCGGCTATTTCGTCGATTTGCTTGGTTCGTGCTGGTCCGCCTTTTCCTCCTGCTCCTGTTGTGTGTTAGCTTGCTTTCTCTATCTCTCCTCTAGATATATACATTACGTATATAGACATGATGTATGTTGGCATACCAGCAGACCAAACCACATAATCCGGTCGTACCTTATCCAGCACGGCCTTTGCATCGTCATCGCTCTTCACATCGTCCAGACTGGATATGAGGACACTCAATTTCCCCTTATGTTGCTTCTGGAGAGCTAGGATCTCGTTTTCGTGTTCTGGGTTGCGGATGACGCTGGTCACGTTCCAGTTGCGGGCGAGGAGGAGAGGGGTAAGATGTAAGGCTACTTTGCCGTGGCCGCCAAGAAGGAGGACTTCGGGGGGTGTCATGGTGTTTCTCTTTCTTTCTTTTTATTCTCAGTAGTGTCCCATTGATTGTTCTCATTGAATTGGAATTGTATTTATGTTGTATCTACTCGGTGTGTTGTGTGATTCTAGAGATGTAGACGTCATTGTGGATTATTAGTAATTGTGCTTGCTTTGAAATCAACATAAGATGCCGCCTCCTGTCGGAGTATTTAACAGGAATTGCATTGTGAACTCGATTCCAGTGCATCCTGCATGGTGTACTCCATACTTCGTATTATGTCAATTAGACGTAGGATAACTAATATCTATGTCCGATAGGATATTTATTTAACGAACTACATACGCAACGTAAGCAACCCTGCATGTTATTAACCATTAACTACTAACCGACCCCTACGGTAACCTTCGGGGTCGCGCGTATTGCGCGACCCTGACAACCACCCGAGCACCCCAGCCACCCGAGCACCGATTTTAGAACTTCGTAGAATTCCAACCCATCAACTTTATCATATAATTCAACCACCACCACCATGCCCAAATTCAATAAAAATTATGAAGATCGAATGCTCAAAGCTATTGACGCGTTAAGCACACAAAATCCCCCAAATATCGCCAAAACTGCACGTGAATATGGAGTTAAACGGCAAACCCTCTCCGCAAGGTGGAAGGGACGGTCCAATCTATGTGAACGACCACCAACCAACACCAGATTATCAGAAGAGCAAGAAAAGGCTCTGTGTCACTATGTTGATACTCTAGAGCAATTAAATATAAAGCCACTTGCACAAATGATCCAATCAAGTGCCAATTCTATTCTGAAATCAACCCATACCAGCCTAGACACCCCTCCACCTACTGTCAGCGAGAAATGGTTAAACCGATGGCTAGGAAGGCATCCTGAATATAAAAGACGTCGCTCTAGAGCTATAGAGCTTGACCGCAAGCGTGCAGAGGATCGTGAGGTTATTCAGGAGTGGTTTCAGAAGCTCCATCAGACCATCCAGAACCATGGGATATTAAAGGAGGATATCTACAATTTTGATGAGACTGGCTTCAATATCGGTGTTGGTCGTGATCAATGGATTATTACCAGGGACTTCAATATTAATAAGCCTCATATTGGGATGAATTCAAACCGTGAATATGTTACTGTGGTTGAAGCAGTCAATGCAGATGGCTGGACCTGCCCACCACTTATTCTCATGAGTGGTAGCTGTATACTTACAAATTGGTTTGAAGCTGCTGATATTCAACAAGACTATTCAATTGGAGTATCAGAAAATGGCTATATGACTGATACAATTGCCTTCCAATGGATTCAGTCATTCTATCGGCATACTAAAAGATATAGGAAGGGTCAATATACCCTTCTTATATGTGATGGATACGGCTCCCATCTAACACATGAATTTGTTGAATTCTGTGAGAAGACCAATATCATCACCTTCTTCTTACCTCCACATACAAGTCATTTCTTGCAGCCATTGGATGTTGGTGTTTTTCATGCATATAAGCACTGGCATTCAGAAGCAGTTGCAGATGCAACCTACTCAGGATGCAGTAAATTTACTAAGGTTGAATTCCTTCATGCCTTAGGAGCAATTCGCAAGAAGACATTCAAAAAGCGTACTATTCGGCATGGATTCCAAAAGACTGGCATCATACCATTCAATCCATCAATTGTACTCAATCAAATGCCTCAACCACATCGTCCATCCTCTTCATCCACCAATACCAATGATGTTGATTCCTGGGGCAGTACGCCAAAAAAAAGCTGAACGATTTAGGGAGATTGGTGATAGGATATGGGAGATTCATGATATCAACAAGGATCAATTTAATGAGGGCCTAGAGCTGCTTATTCGTGGTGGTAGTATGCTAGCATCATATTCAGCTGCTATCGAAGCTGAGCTTGACCGGTATATTAAAGCTGCTAGGGACCGCGCAGCTCGATCACAGGCCTCTAGGCGCAGGATTCGCAAGGGAGGCATAGTATCAAGCTCAGAGCTTGAAGCTATAAATCGAAATACTGCGAATATTAATGAGCAGGCTGAAATAAAGAGGTGGAGGACTAAGTATAAGCGTTGCCTACCAGAGCTGCTGGATGTGTGCATTCGACGAGGAATTATTATACGAAGGCAACGACATGCTAGGGCCCAAGCTGAAGAGTAGAGCTTTAGTTTAAATATATTTTGAAGTTAAATACTATAGAATTCGTTGAGATATTGAAGCTAGAAGGGGGGGGTCTAAAATTGGTGCTCGGGTGGCTGGGGTGCTCGGGTGGTTGTCAGGGTCGCGCAATACGCGCGACTCCGAAGGTTACCGTAGGGGTCGGTTAGTTAGTTAAATAGCTAGCTAGCTAATAACTAATTTACTGCCAGTGCTACCTGATTGTCGGCGCTCGTCTGGCCCATGGAAGTGGTTGATCATCACGGGGAATTTTTGGAGATAGCCGCGAGAGGGAAGGTTCAAGCCATTTGATATTAATATTAACGAAAACTCTGTTCCCCATTCTCGCTCTTGCTCCTGTTTTCGCGTGGCATTTCTGCGGATCCGTGATGAGATTGTAGCTACCTAGGTCGTAGGCACTGGGCATACAGCCAAGTCCAGCAGCTTAGTGTGAAATGCGAATGAAATGAATAAACCAAATAAATGACCGAAATGAAGGCTGAAGGATGCGAAGGACGTTTCAGCTACCGCAGAGTCCAGAACGATGAAACGGGGAGCGCAGGCAGCCGCAGCTGGAGAGGAAGAAGTATCATTAAAACATTCAGGAGTGAAACAAGAAGGGTGGCTCACGAGAGCAGAATCCGGTACCGGCTGGTTACTAGCGCGGTACTAGCTGCATCCTACAAGTCAACGGACTGGCCTATTTGGGACTAGTCAGGGGCAGTTTAATTGGAACCATGGAACTGCCGGCGAGACGTGAATCGCCGCGTTCTCCCAACACACTGTCAGACCCACGTCTGCAGGGCCGGCAACGGTATTAATCAGGTAATTAATACAATAAATACACCACCTCCGGTGGTCCCTGGACTTGGAGTGCAGCAGGATCAGGGTAAACGAGCGTCATGCAATGCGAATCCTATTCTCCTGACATTGGATGCGGCTTCAATTCAATGACCATCAATATATATCGATGTCGATGTCAATCAACCAATGCACTGATATGACATGTACATGATATGGCATATGCACGTTACTCGCAAACGCTGAGAAGATCATCGGTCGGAGCCGTTCTAGAGCGTTGTACGAGTATTACAGTGGGCAGGATCCATATACTACAAAATAACAGGTACCGTGGTTCTTGGCTTTCCAGAATCAAGCCTCGATGAGATTTCTCTTCGCCCGTCGAGAATAACTTTGGAATAATGATTTGAGATTTGGGATTCCAGATAACCTTGGCCCACATCCCGACGGCTGCTTCTCCCACTGATATTGTTATTATTGCCCAAATGGTAGTAGATTGTAATAGTAGTCAGCCCATGAAGACAGAAAGGATGATACAGGGGCAGCCTGACGCGCTAGCCTTTCGCAGCAAATGGCCGCCCCGGATCTCATCTCACATTGCATTTCCTTTTATTATTCTCCTCTTCTTTCTCTCTGCGCTCGTTGAATCTGTCCCTGCACCAGTGGTGTCCGTCATTCGTTTCAGAAGGGACTGCCGTCGTTCTCTCTCCATCCTGCAGCATCTATTTCCCTTGATTTTATTTTAATTTTCCGCACTTGTTTCCCAACTATTTTCACTATTTTCAATTACCCCTCTTATTCTTCTTATTATTCCAAATTCCTTCGATCCTTTCCCTGCGCTTTCCTTCTCTTCTATCTATCTCCATGCATGCGAGCATGCTTCGTTTGTAATCATTTCTCATCATAATTGTCACCGGGCTTATCCTCTGATTGGCAGTCGAATCATCTTCCGTCGTGTCGTCCCCTACATTCCCGCCCCGTTTGGTTCGGACCTGCATCCATCCCCAGTCGATATCCATATATCCCATGCATCGGGACTTCCTGCATAACCATCTACCCCTGCGCGCAATGAAAACGCTGCTTCGATAGTCTGACTCCCGTTGCATTCCGTTGTTCGCCATTATTATATGATTATCGCCATCCATTGCTTGTCCGACATTACCTTCAAACGCATCCCAGACGAAAGACCGCGAGGAAGAGAAGAGGAAAGTTGTTCGAAATAAAACCAAGTCGACGGAGGACTACATTCCTTTTCATTTCTTTTTTTCTTTCTCCGATATCTACAGTCGCTCGTTATTGTCTACGCTCGCCACTCTGGCTTTATCCTGTTCAATCCTTTCCGGTAGCAACCCCAATGTCCCTTATATCGATGATTCCATTTTTTTTTTCCCTCCCCCCTAGTAGCTAACAATCATCGCGAACAGGCTTCTAATCCTTTAAACCTCGGCCATTGATTTTCACTTTAATACGCAACCCCACCGCGCTCCGTCTTTCACTGGTTGCGCCCCTCAATTAGACCAGGAAGAACCATGAATCGATTTCGTAAGAACAAGAAAGGCAAAAATGAGGTGGAGGCAGCCGAGACCCCTCATCTATTCTCGAGCTCACTGAAAAGTGTCAAGAAGAAAAAGTCTGTGGAAGATGAGAAACCCTTTCTGGACCTCTCGCACGCTTTGCCCTCCGATGATGATTTCCGGACGAGCTTGATCATGCCCAAGCTATCTGCACGTTTCAGTATGTTGAGAGAACAGGACGACCCCAGTACGAAGATCGGTAAAGCAAGTGACGATAGTGTTCTGTTCCCCAAACGTGCTTCCCGGTTGAACCTCCTGGGCCAGGCTCCAACTTCGCTAGCCGATATCGATGAAGTCTCCACAGATGGTCGAAGCTCCTTCAACCGCCCACGCGCCGATTCCTCGATTTCTGGATACGGAACGGATGATGATGGCTACCAGGGCAGCATAATGAACAGGCCTCGCCGTGGTGAAAGCAACAACCTCTTTGGTGGGCGCCAGAAAGTATACAAGATCCCCGTCAAGCAGTCGGGGGCCAACTCCGAAGGACGTTCGGGAATGGGCGGCCGAGCCCTCTACGAGAACGACCTGACCCTGTCTGCCTTCCAACGCATACGTCTTGAAGAAAAGAAGGGAAAGCAAGAGAAGAAGGACGAGGAGACGTCCAAGGAGGAATCTGCCGGCCCGGAGGCCGAAGAAACGGTATCCAATATCTCTGCCAACAGGACTACGTCTTCATCCACCGCGTCCGGACCCTCCAACTCATGGCTATCGACTGCTGCCACATCAGTAGATGAACAGACTTCTCCAGTACAGTCGTCAAATGAGTCGCTTGCCAGCCCCAACATGGACGGTCATGGGTCAGGTTCAAAGCCTGTATCGAGTGGGGGTATGCTTCGGAACGGTAATTCTGTCAGGTCTCGCCGTCTCTATGGCCAGGGATTGGCCCAATCCGTCCAGGACCAGCAGTCGTCAACCCTGTATCGGTTAGAAAGCCTGAGTCGTCAACGTGCCGCGACCCCGGAGTTACATGGTCTAAACCGGTCCTATTCACGGAGTGCAACCAACTTGCACGATAGACTCCACAAATTCGCCATCGCCGAGTCCTCTCCCTCGCTTAGACCCTCTAGCCCTTCACCATCTGCGGCATCTTCACGACAGCAGAGAAGAGAAAGTGATCCCAAGGAAACAAAGCAGCAACCGCTCGCCGGAGCTGGGGCCGTTGACGGCAGTTCAGTCCGTCCGTTAAGCCCGCCAGTGAGTGAAAACGAGGACCACAGCACGCAGTTAGCAGCTTCCGTGAACCCCGAAGACCGTGGGAAAGCTACAGCCATGGGCCTATTCAACAAGCCTCAGACATCCTTCGATGAGTCTCAATTCATTCATCGCCAGCTTCAGATGCGCCAGAATGTGCCAACGCCTCCCTTGAGACGGCCTTCGCCCCCCAGTGCAGCTCCTTCACAGGACGGCCCCAGCCGCCCCAGAGGCTTCTCCACCACCAGCAGTTATCGTTCCAGAGCGGAGTCCGGCGCTTCGTCCCACTACAGTGATTCACGGCGTGTGGTCAACCGCTCAAACGCCAGCACACGAAATACCTCCCCTGTTCGACCGGTGAATGATACATTCTTAGCCAATGACAGCAGCAGTGACTCCGAGGAGGACGAAGACCGTCGTTCAACGAGAGTCTCGTCCACAACATCGCATGAACGAGATAGTACGCGCTCGGCGGTCCGATCCGCGTCGTCCGCAAATTCTCCAATTTCCACGAGGGAGTCATCCGGTCGCTTACCCGAAGTAAGACTGTCAGAGCTTGCCGATCTCAATACTATAGCGGAAGATGAGCAAATTCAGCCTGATGCCCCTACCAACGAACCACTACCTGAAAAGCCCGATTCACCCACTTTGGGACCAGCTGGCCTGGGCCTCAGCGGCTTGGTCCGTACCCACCTGCGACAAGATAGTGATAAATCGTTCATACTTCCCCCACCTTCATTGAGCTCGCCTCCTTCTTCTAAACAGCGGAACGTTGAGAACCCAAGCTACTCGCCTACCTATAGGACTCAGACGTCTCGTATACCGATGAGCCCGCCAAGGACCGGTTGGAATCCAAAGTTTGAAAAGGACTTTGCAGTAGATACGTCAATCTCAACTCCGGGTATTCCGCAACATCTTCTGTGCCAGGATCCCCCGGACTTCCAGCCTTCACAGAAGTGGACCCCTGGCCAACACCTAAACAATCGGGAAATTCATCCAGTGGCGAGGCCTCCGAACGACGCCAGCGATGTTGCTGGCAGGGGTTCATTCGAGGATGAGATGAATATCGGGCACAGACGTGGCTCAAGCACCGAGACATATAGGGAGCGCGAAGAGTTTGCCCGTGAGCTGGCAGAGCGACGGAAGAAGGTGGAGGAGAAGCTGAAGGGGATCGCTGAAGTTGAAAGTCGATCGACCAGCCCAGCTCCTGGCTATCGGTCCTCATCCGAACACCATCACCACCACATAAAACCTGGCAATGCATTTTCTGTTTTAAAGAGCAAGCCTTCCAAGAGTTCTCTGCAGGGTAGACCGGAAACAAAGAAAATGCATCCTCTTGGTTTTGGAGCCGGTAACGCTTCAACGCCCACTTTGGCCTCAGAGGATCCTTGGCGCGAGGAGGAGGAAAGACCGCCTTTCGGCTTTGGTAAACATTCTAACTCAAGCTCTCCACATATCGGATTGCGGTCGAAAAGGTCAATGATCATCGGCGGCAGGAGCAGGGAAGATTCCCGTGAAAGGGGCCGCGGCCCATCTCCAAGTCCGCATCGCCTCCCATCTGATGCATCAGGCCGCTCCAAGAGTCGATGCCGAGACAGAGAAAATATGGGACCGTTCGGGACAGCCGGCTACCACAATAACACGGATGTTTTGGCGTCTCCAGATAATAGCCAAGACCAATACAGCATACCCTCTGTCCCGTCGTCTGCCCGTCCATCAGTGGAAGTTAACGATCAAGGAGATGAGCCTTGCACATCAGCCGCATCTGCAAGATTCGGCGGTGGCAGTCGGCCTGCAGTCGCTTCCAACTATTTCGATAACCCGCCTAATCCGGCTCCGACCGGTAACTCGCCACCCATTGGTATCCCGCATAGGCCTTCCCCGATCCCCTCATTCTGTGCCAACACTACTCCTCCTTTGGAAGACCTATCCTCTGATGGGACGGCTGCTCCGCCTTCTGCGGGCGTGGGTAGCTCAGCCCCGCAACGGGGACTGACACAGTCTGGCCTTACGAAACGGGCCGTGAACAAGTCACAGATATCCGAACCCACCTTTGTTCATTCTACGTCAAGCGTACCCGTCGTGGGTCTACCCGCGGGAGCAAGCCTTCATAATGGTATGCCACCGCCCGTTCCACCCATGAACCCACGCAGACGGCGTCAAACCACGACACACACCATTTTCGGAGCCTTCAAGGGCGAAAAGTCCGAATCTCGTCAGCAGCCGATGTTCAACACGGAGTACGTTGAGGACCATAGTATATTCTCAGACGAGGATAAGAAAATAAAGGTGAAGGGCCGGCTCAGGAAGATGTCCAGCGAGGGTGGGAACCTCAAGCAAAAGGCTCGACCGGAAGCCGCATATGGTCCATTCCACCCACCACCTCCTTATCCTCCTCCAACCTTCCCACGACAACCGCACCATATTCAGATGGAGGGAGGGATGATTTAAAAATAGATGTACCCTTTTCGGAGCGAATTCGGAATAAGAAATTCGGACGTGACATGACTAGTGGTTGGCTCTTTGCTATTGCTATGTTCTTCCTAGATGATACCTTTTGGCTTTCTCTTATGGAGCATGTGGCTCGTCCTTTCGACAATTCTTTTCCTTGGGTGTATTTTTATCTTCATTCCTTCTCGACTTCCATACTGTCTGTCTCTCCCTATTCCGTTTTCACTCCTTTCTTCCGCCTTTCCTTCTACATTTTTGCTTTTCTTTCTGCTTTTGAAATACTTGGTATGAGGATTTTTTAAAGTACGGATGCCCGGATTTGAAAAGAGCGGGGAGTGAAATTTTGGTCAGGATATGTGGGATTATTACTTTTTTTCTATATATACCTTTTTGAAAATAGAATATACGTTATTTCTATTGTTGATTGTTTTGGTATGGAATGCTTCACCTGCCTATTGCTTCGGACGGAACTGTAAGACTCGACGGAGAGAAGTGACGTGTTTCTCGACACACGTATAGTATATGCAGGCAGTCCGGTAGTTAGCTAAATGCCTAACCACATCGTCCTGCATCTACTCTCCATTCCTACCATGACTTGAATAATTATTACAAGTATAAAGTTACTGGAAATAGAGAAAAGCATCCATCCATCTGTACAGAGGTCCTCCCGAGTCCCCAAATTATTTCTCAAGAGACAACAGCCAACATCATAAATCAACCACCCCATTGATCACCATCCTGATCAATACCATATACCCAAAGACAAAAAGAAAAGACCACAACAAGCCAAGCTGCAGCTCTAATTTAGAAAAAGACAAAGGAAAAAAAATCCTGTTCTGTCTGGTGACTCACACCAAGAGAGTTGCTCCACGTAACTAGTGAATATCACGTGGGGCCTAAAGCCCTTAAATCACCTCACCTCATCTCACTTCACTGCTTTACTACTCCGCTTTGCTTTTACACCAGGTGAGGAGCTATCTGGAAGGTGCATCCTTTCAAGATAGTGTGAAAAGGGAAAAGAAAGAGGAGATGCTTAGTGCAATACTTTGTTCTTAAGATTCTCTTTTTCAAATTATATGAGGTTGTAGGTCTCCAGGCACTGCAGATCTGTGAAGAGAGGAGGGATGCAGGGTAAGAATATCTTTCTTAGTTCCAATTGAAAGAAGAAGCTTGGAATTACTTCCTTAACTAACTACCCTTTTCTTGTTATCTTCTCATTTTCCCTCATGTATATCCTACTCAGACAAGAAAAATTCAATCAACAATTACGGGTCCTGTTCTCCCACCTTCTTGACCCTTGTTTTCCCTCTCACTCTTCCCAAACCTTTTCCTCTCACTAACACACATTCTATGTCTCCATCTTACATACATACCAACCACGGTAATACTGTGAACAGACAAAATCTGCCTAAGCAGGATAATCCTCTTATTTCATCTTCCTCTTCGAAGGCTCATAAAAATATCCTCTTCTTCACTCGTTCTTGTTTGATCTGGTTACCTCGTAAGCTGAAGAGGCATTGTCCGTCAGAATGTCTCCGTTCAGCTCAACCAGCTCCCAGGCTAACCAGGGAAACAATCCTGGAAAGCCCAAGAAAAAGAACAACAGGGGCAAGGGTAAGAACAAGCGTAACAAAAACAACGATAACAAAGCAAGTATGGACGATAAGACTACTTCTCACAGCGAGGGTGGTTCCGACGTCCAGAACGCGAACTCAAACGTCTCTGCTCCCACCGGCGCGGAGATAAAAGACACGGCTGATATCACTGGCGTCGTTGGATCTGGTGTTGTTACTGAAAAGGCTCCACTCGTCATCGACTCGGCCACCTGGTCGGGTTACAGCCCTCCCTCTCTTGCGAAAGGGCTGGACGCGGGTGTCGAAGTTCAATGTGGCAACGCGTCAACCGAAAAATCTTCCGATTACGCTTCTGCTGGCGACGTCTCAGCTAGAGACAACGAGAAACCGAAGCTGTACTGGCCTCGTGCCGATGCTGATAGCAGTCGCACTTTCAGTTTCCCTACCAGAGAGGAGTCCGGTATCAAAAGTAAGTAATATTCCCATGAGTCTACCTAATTCAGTGACCAGTGTTTGCTTATGCCGATTCTAAACAGTGCTTGGTCGTTCCCCAAAGGGCAAAAAACCATCCCACCCTTCCGCTCATCTCAAAAATAACGATCTCGATAAAGACGAGAAGAAGCAGGCGAAGCCCATTTCTACTGCTACATCTATTACCGATGATGGAAGTCCTGTCCGTCGGGGGCGCACTCGTAGTCTCGAAGACCTTAGAGAAGAGCGTAATTGCTTAGCTTGGGTCGACTTTAGCGAGTATATCAGACCTCGTGAGACCGAATCAGTTGACTCTGTGGGAGAGACGTCAACTACCACTAGAAGCACGGTATCCCAGTCAACTCGTACCCTGTCTCCAATTCAGGAATTGGATGACAGTTCCGAAAAAGAGGACAGCGGAAGCAGTATCACTCAGACCATCGAGATTTCGGATACGCAGTCTGACACCGACTCAGACAAAACTGCCACACCAACCACCGTGGATATTCGTCCCATGGAAGAGAACGTGACTGAACACTGTCCGGACCTGCTCCGCGAATATCTTCTGGGTATCTTCAAACTCGGACATTTAACGGACTCCGAAATCACTCTCAAGTCGTTTAACGACTCCTTTCCACCGATCGTGTTTCAAACTCACAAGTTGATCATCGCGCGTAGCCCCTTGATAAGTTGTATTCTTAATACAGAGGAGTTCCCTGATGGAAGGCCCAAGGTCAACGCAACAGCCGGCCAAAGCTTCACTATGATAAAGGCTTTCGAAGTCGCCATTCAGAGTCTGTATGGTTTTCCCGTATTGGACGGGGAACAGCTCCGACAGGCAACTCTAGAGGCCATTGGGCACACAGAAAAAAGCGCTCGGAGAAATCCGGACGTAATTCAAAAGGCTTGCGTCGACTTCGCCATGTGCTACGCAGCATCCGGGGCATTCTTTGGAAACTATGAAGTTCTCGAAGCTGGAGTCCGTATTGTTGAGGACCTCATCGATTGGGAGACTGTCGAGCTAGTGCTCCAATTCGGAATGACAGTGGATAACTTCTTGGTTGCCCATTTCGATAAGATACCGTTCCCAGAGGAAGTTGGGGAGGCAGAGCAGCAGATAACCGTGGCTGCAATCAAAGACCTTAGGGAGACCTGGGCGCCACGCCTCATCTCTTCTGCTCTGGAATGGCTGTGTAACTACCTTTACCCAGGAGTCATGTTGCTTCCCAAGGCCCAAGTGACCTGTATGAATGACAGGATACCGTATCATCTCCGCTATCTTCAAGGGTCAGTCATAGGGAAGCCAAACCTGGCCAGAGTGATGTTTGGCTGGTCCCCGAACAACCGACAGAAACCAACCCGTGAGCTCGCCATCATGTCTGCAATCCTCGTCAGTATGCCCTTCGAAAAGCTCAAAGAAATGTTCTCAAGGCTGGAGGCAAGAAACATATTGACGATCAACTTGGCAAATTGCATCCTCGAAGAGCGTGAGTTGCGTCGTTTCCGCGCTCTCGAAGCGTATGCAGAACAAAAAAAGCAAAGTCAAGATGAGAAAGAGCAACCGGAGATAAAAGAACTTGGATACAAGGAGTTTTTGGTCTGCAACGAAGGCCTCACGGACGATCAGGATGGAGATACTCCAATCGAGGCGACCGTTGAGAGAGTCTGGGTTGGACTGGAGCTGAAGGCATATTTCAGATCAACCCAGCCGATGGGAAGACATAACCGGGCTACATCTCACCGTCGTTCTTGATAAACAGGGTTAGGTGAGTGATGAGAAGGATGTGCATTGTCTGGCTAGGGCGTGATGTTTTGGTGCAGCTCGCTTAGTTGAGGATCACGTGGAAGGGTGCAACATAACAAAGGAAAAAAGAAACAAAGTGACCTGAAAAGAAGCGAAGACTGTTGCTGGGAAAAGGTCTCTGGTGGTTACAAGGCGTCTGGAACGCAGCTTGGTATGCCGTCTCCCGATTCCTATCTACCGACTCTACACTGTACTGGTTTGAAAGTGATCACCCATGGTGTCCGTTTTCTGTGTTTCTGGCTCATCTGTTGGCGATTTATTTGGATCTCAAGTTTCGAATGAGGGGAAATAGAGCAAAGGCTCCGTCTTGTTGGATGTACTTTGGTCTGGATACTGTCATCCGGATGTTTTTGCCGTCTGAGTCTCCTCGTTCTTGAGACTGATTCAAGGGCCGCGAACAATGGATTCATGGGTATTATAGCAGGTTATCAATGGTATCTAGTGCCTGGCAGCAGTGGTGCTTCACGAATCTGAACTCGCATTCGAGTGTTTGGATCTATCCATCATAATGCATAATCTCTAATTCGGAACCAAGCGACAGAAGAGAAGCAAGCTAGAAGCTTTGTCGTCATTTATATCCATCACGGGATAAAGCAGGAACTAGAAAATAAGGCCAGACGTGTTTATACAGCTTAGAAGAGTGTCCTATGTGCAAGTTGAATGTATCTCGCATGTCGTATGATATACCAACAGCTCTCACCGTGCCCTGTCAGAGGTTGGTTTCCGCATTTAGGACTTGTCGGGGAACCCAAAGTTGATTCCGAAAGGTGGGTATACAAAACGTTGGAAGGCCTTCTTAGCAGCGAGATCGTCGGTATATTTAGCGATGGTAGCCATATCAGACTCGTCGAGCTTGATCAAGTTGCGGTTTTCTTCGATACGAGACGGCGTTACTGATTTGGGGAGAACAGAGGAACCGCGAGCGACTACGACGAGGTCGGTCAGAGAACAACACAAGCAACAAGAATAAGGCGGAAAGGGGGGATAATAGAGGATTACTTACTGTGCCAGCTCAAAAGGACAGTCGCCGAGCCCACTCCTCTCTTCTTTGCAACTTCTACAATAGGCTCTGCAGTAAACAGGGGGCTTCCGGTGCTTCCCAAAGGACTGTAGGCGGTAATGTGGATACCCTTCTCTTTACAGAAATCGACAATCTCCTGTTGAGGGAGAGCTGGATGATTCTCGATCTGGTTTACTGCTGGGACGACGGTCGCGTGAGGCAATAGCTGCTCAAGGTAGAGTTTGCTGTAGTTGGAGACGCCAATCGCTTTTACCTTGCCGGTCCCAAGAAGCTTTTCCATGTTCTTCCATGTCGTGACGTGAGAGTGGCTGTGGTCGATATCACGAGAGCCATCTGGAAGCTTGGGGAATAGAGGATGGTTGCCTCAAACAGAATATTAGGCAATGAATAGATGGAACGCAGGAACAAAAGGATGAAACCGACCGTTGGGGTTAAAAGCCACCGGCCAATGCATCAAGTACAGATCGATGTAGTCCAATCCCAAATTCTTGAGACTCGCATCCAGGGCCTCCTCCACGCGGGTGTGATAGCTGCACCATAGCTTCGTGGTGACGAAAAGATCCTCTCTTTTAACTTTCCCAGACGCCAATGCTTCCTTGATTCCTTGGCCGACCTCGTGTTCGTTCTGATAGCAAAACGCAGTATCGATGTGTCGATATCCCACCGCAATGGCATGACTGACGGCTTTCTCAACTTCTCCAGGGGCGGATTGCCATGTTCCTAGAGCAACACCGTCAATAGTGAGACAGGGGATTGATCCGTGGGGGAAACGACATACCCAGTCCCACGGCCGGGATCTCCGCGCCCGTGTTCAGCTTGAACTTGACGTCTGCAACAGCCATTGCGCCTTGGTGCAGTAGCAGAGATGCTGGATATGGAAGAGATACAAGAATACGAGAATTCTAGAGGCGTCAACGAGAGAGAAGTGTAAGTAAAGAGAAAGACAGAGGGAGAGAGTTGGAAAAATGACGCCAGACCCCGCAGACAACGGCTTCGGTATTTGCCCGAGCTGGTCGGTAATCTATCTTCAAGATTCATCCTGAAGTCGACAATCCAGATACCGATGGAATAATAATGTTCTTAACTGAGCAGACACAGTGCATCCTCGGAAACCAGAATCCTCGCCTTGCATCGGTCGAAATCCGAATCCCCGCGGGGAAGACCTAGACGCCGCGACTCATAGGCCAGCCTTGGTCCCTGGCGACGATCCATCATCATAAGCAATCTGTGCGGGTTGCCTTTGAACGTGCGTTCATCGTCTGCAACGTCTTGGCCCTTCAGCGGAAGCCTAAATCCGTGCTGTCTGGGGGCAAAGGATGATGCTGTCCACCCTCAAAGCGCAGGCGCTCGGAAATCGTCTTCGCAAAGAGTGTCTTGATTCGATCGCAATGGCTGTCAAATTTGGGAGGTGCTTGTTTATTACGAATGATCGCTTCGTGGTTATAAATACCTGCGTGGTCCGTTCGTATACCAAAGGTTGATATCATCATCCTTCCACAAGACAGAGTAGCTCTGAGGTATATCAGATTGAATTCGAACTTCTGCTGTTTCTTGACGCAAACAAAACTGATCCGAAATGAGCCCAATCGCGATAGACGGATCCTCTCCTGCGTCCAACAAGACCAAAGATGGCCAAGCTCTCGAGGAGCTATCAGATGCAATCAATGAAGTCAACGTCTTCAAAGCCGACATGGCCAAGGAGAAGGGCCTTTACGACGACTCTGAATTCGATAAGGATAAGGACAAGACCAAGTTCCGTCAGTACGAAACTGCCTGCGACAGGGTCAAAAACTTCTACAAAGAGCAGCACACCAAACAGACAGTAGCCTACAACCTGAAGGCACGCAATAACTTTTACTCCAAGACGCGTGCGGAGATGACGGTATGGGAGGCCATAGAGAAGCTCAACACTCTCATTGACGAGTCGGATCCGGACACCAGCCTATCGCAGATCGAGCACCTACTGCAATCCGCAGAGGCAATCCGACGCGACGGCAAGCCTAGGTGGATGCAGCTGATCGGGTTGATTCACGACCTGGGCAAGCTTCTTTACTTCTTCGACGCGCAGGGCCAATGGGACGTGGTCGGGGATACATTCCCTGTTGGATGTGCCTTTGACGGCCGGATCATCTACGGCAGTGAGTCTTTCAAGGATAACGAAGACTATGGACATGAGATCTACGGCACCAAATTCGGTATCTACAGTCCGGGCTGTGGATTGGACAACGTCATGTTGTCCTGGGGCCATGACGAATATCTCTACCACGTCGTCAAGGACCAGTCCACGCTACCTGCCGAGGCGCTTGCTATGATCCGCTACCACTCCTTCTATCCCTGGCATTCTGCCGGAGCTTATCACGAATTGATGAACGACCATGACAAGGGGATGCTCAAGGCGGTTAAGGCGTTTAATCCGTACGACCTGTATAGTAAGAGTGATGGAATTCCCAGTGCAGAGGAGCTTAAGGTCAGCTATTCTTCTTATGGGACCGAGAAAGAGCGAATATGGTGCTAATGTGGATCTTTGTTTTACAGCCCTACTACCTTGAACTGATTGACGAGTTTTTCCCGAACAAGGTTGTAAAATGGTGAACTGATAGCATGGGTTTGGTTTCTGTTCAAATATTACAAGCTTTTTCGTTTTTGTACATGATCATTTTGGCAGCAATTGACCTAGGGGTAGCGGTACCTTAATGATTGATGTCCAGATTGATACATTGACAATATTCCAGCCCTGACATTTTCAACCTCGCCCACTGCAACAGTAATAACATCCACCGTGTCGATCCGCAGAAAAGAACAGGAGCATATTAGATTTCTCATAATACTTTGCAGTCTTATGCGTCGAACTGTCATATCTTACTTGTAAAGGCTAAATATAGAACTCGGCCTTGGCCTAGTGTCTGCTGTTTGCCATGTTTGCATACGGCTGTAGTGTCTTACATCTACCTACGCCCATACATCTATATAAATAATAGACCTGGTGCTGACGGTGACTTCTATGGCCGGTCTAAATACGATTATAATCCAGTAGCCCCATGCATCCTGGATTGTGGGAGAAGTGTATGGGAATCGCCGTTTGCAAGCGGCTGTCCACAACATCTCTTCTCGCCATCTGGACCATCAGAAAACCATGGCAGCAACAGAATTCCCTTTTTTCTCCAGCCTCCCCGCAGAACTGCGCAACCAGATATGGCGAGACGCCCTGCCCGACAAAATAAGACGGCCTCTATACTTCTACAAAAAGGGATGTTGGTGCCCTAGATACATTACAGCGACGGATCCCAAGTACAGTTATCTGCATAACGCTGAACACGATGACTATAACGACGACTATAACTGGTACTTTCTATTTTACCACGAAAAACTGGACTGTGTCAACTTGGGGCTGCCGCTTTTCTTTGTTAACCGCGAGGCCCACGCCATTGCCTTGCAGTGGATCCACGAGCAGGGCCTGAAGATACGCTTCTATAAGGATGATCAAGAGTCCTTTCTCGTCGTGCGCCCATTCGACCCACTAACGGATACGTTGTATGTCCCATTTCATAAATGGGACGAAATCAACTTCGAACCTTTCGATCGAATGGAGGAACCGGATATTTTTGGCCGGTCTCTTAGCTGTGACAACCCGGAGTTTACACGGCTTGCGTTACCGGAGGCGCTGTTTCAGAAATACCCTGACTCGCTACATGGGATGTTTCACTGGTATGCTAATGTTGAAAAGTTATATGTTATCTTCAATGCACCGCCGGATCTACTGCCGGAGGACGGCAGCGGGATGCAGCGGAGATGGGAGCTTGAGGGCACGGAGCAAGTAGCGTTCGTCTGGAATAACAGCTTGCAGAAGTTTGAGTGGAGGGGTAGGGAGTATATCAGAGACGATGCCATGCAGATGCTGATAGAGTGGGCGTGCAGAAATCTAGGTGAAGAGTTGATACATGAAAGTGTACAGTCCTTTGAGATCCTAACCGCCTTTGCCGTTAGAAGATAAATGGATAGCTGTCATACTTGGCATTCTCTACTGGTGCATCTTCGTGTAGAGGATTCGAAATCGCTGGCCTATTAGTTAGTACTCTTGCTTACCATTATATACACGGGTGCAAATATAATGATAGCAGGAAGTAAACAGACAGAGACCACCAATTTCAGAAGCCATTGGGCGGTGCGACCTGGACTAAATAAACATGAACAACATTACACGGTGCTCCATTCCCAACTATGTGTAAGCTAGCCGATAAAGTGTAACTAAAGGATGTGGGTCATACTACTAACATAGCCTGTCTTATGCATCCCTCACTAGTGCTCACAGTGTATGTGCTAGTCTAGTAATCAGATACCTGGACTAGGGCAAATTTTGTGTGCTTGAGTTAAGCAGGCCTGGCTTTCTACTCTGCGATGTATGGCTTAACCCATCAATCCTAGATCACGTGAAAGGGCGCAGCCCTAGAGCGAGTCATCGACTGGATCAGCGCGAGTCAGCCAGAACTGACTTTCTTTCCTTGCTTTCTCGGGGTGTCGTATTGCACGACCGTGCTCATTCTCCGGGAGAGTCAAGTCAGATTTCAGCGCTGAATTCTAGAATCCCATATTCAGTCGGATCGAAGAACGGAGATGCGAAGGACACTACATTGTTTCTTTGCTCAGATCCCCCACAGCTCGCATGGTCAAGACACCCCTAGCAGTGGAGAATGGAAGACGTCATCTACTTGATCCTTCTGCAAATCACTCCACATCTCTCTCTCGGAGGCCCGGCCAGGCGATGAAGTCGATACATATCGGGCGCGGACGGGATCGTTGTAGAATGGAGGGACGGTAGAATGGGGGGACTCCTTTGTATGTTTCTGGGATTGGGTTGACACGCCACTGTTACCACCATTAGTTGCATGCATAGCGTTATAAGTGGGAGAAAAAGAAAGAGAGTATGCATACCCGGAATAACCGTACATCACCAGATAGACAGCAATACCATCAGCAAGTAACGGCGGCCGACATTGTTTAATAAGATGACCCAGCACCTCGACGACAGGATTTGACTCATTTTCCAGAAGAATCAGGTTGGATATTTTGGGCGTGTAAGGATACAGCTGCGCCGTTACGGGATTCTGGTGGATAGCGACGCGCGTATCCAGCAGGAGCTGGACACTGCGGTATTCCATGCACTCTGCGGCGTTTTACATGGTTGACGCCACACAGACATCCTGTCATGGCAATTTCTTTCAGCGTGGTCTCTGTTAATTCAGCGGTCATTCCGGAACTAACTGGTGACGGGAATGATTTCGATGCGAGTGAGAGATTGTCATCCTCGCTCATCGGGACACATATGTATTAGTAGAGTCCTGCTCCATTTGCAAGTTGGTATGAATTGTCTGGCGGTAGATATGCTAGTCTGTCTGATGAAGATCGTCTTGGTGTTTGGTCTGGTTCACCTGGTTCCATCTGTTTCCAGATGGGGTTCGTTATAGACTGTATTGAGATTTTTGCGCGCCGTCCTGGCTATCCAGAGGTAATACAGCCTATATTTAAGGAAAAGGGATTAGAAAAAAGGAAGGAGGATAATAGATAAGATCTCATTGCTATGCTCAAAAAGAAGAAAATGCGATGCGCACGGTTTATTATTACCGGATTCCCTTGATCCCCAGATGGAGAGACAGCAGTTCCCGGAGATGTCATTGGTATTTGTCTTGTGCCAGCACGTTGTGATGCAGGCAGATGGTGTATATTTACAACATCACTCAGTCTCTCCAGCTTAGCGGATGCGCTAGAGAATTCCTGCCGGAGCTCATTCAGTTCGGACTCGATAAAACTTCATGCATTCCTCGTTTCTCTGCCGGTTGATGCGCTGGCTCTCACGGTCCGGGATGCGCTTTCGCTCCAGCTGTGCTGCCGTGCGTACTCGAGGTGGACGATTGGAAGGTTTGTTAGAGGAAGATGGCATGGTAATGGGTATAAAGAGAGGTAGACAGGTTGATAGATAGATATAGAGAGATGAGATTTCATATGCCTGAAGCGGTACCAAAGTTCCAAGCTAGATACTCATAGTGGAGTGGCATCGATGGCAGCAAATGGATGCCAAAGTCGAAATGCTGTTATAAGCCCGCGGTTAGCGTGTCTGGGGAAATGCGGGGTAGAAGGGCGCTAAGCGGCAATTAGCCGAGGGTTCCACTTGGGCGGAACACTAGCGCCGGGAAAGTGCTCTCTGTATACCCCCTTTGGGTATAATCTGCGCTAAAACTCCGTCCTGAGCTAGCGGACCTTCAGCACGCATTCATTCATTCATTCATTCATTTATTGCAGCATCCACGTTTCGAGAAGATACCCCGAATCAAAGGAGGAAGATGATCCATCGTCTGCCATATTAGCACTGATCTGAATCACAGACGTCTTGTCCAAAGAACCATGGGTCGTCCAGGAACTTCCAGAAGCCCTCGCCAAGGTTTGTCGAATAGTCTGGAATTTCCGGGTTGCGTCTCGGATAACCAAGATAATAGGGAAATGTCTGCCGGAATTGCAGGGAATAATATGCATGTTACTCCCAGAGACTATCTCCTAACGGACAAGAACGGTTTACCGATCATTAAATCCAGTAGCTGAATTATCAGGACATGGAAAGAGCTTTCTGAGTGTCATGTCGAGAATTCAGCACCAGTTTGGAATATTTACGCTTAAATTCGTATGCCAAAAAGAAAACCAGCAGGAACATGCTGAAGATCGTCTTATATCTACAGATTATATGCCCCGTGTAGCATGTGGGAACAGCATAGTCCCTGCATTAGTCGCTCTGGACTTGCACAAGTTTACTCGAATTCTAATATCTATCATTCTAGTCCAACTCGTACTCAAGGTGTCGCGGACGTGTTTCTTTCGATACTGAAGCTATTCGTTTCACGAATCCTTATGAACAATGCATAATGCGAGGCCGCAAATTTCTTGTTTCCCCCACAACGGAGTGGTACTGCATAATTTGGAGAGACTATGGACGACGTCGTATGATGCTCATCCATACATCTGGTCTCGTAGAAGATTTACTGCCCCAGTTGGATTGAGGTCTGAGATACGTAACTTGAGTCAGAACATGTCGTGTGGCTGATTCTGCTTCTCTAATGCTCCTGCTGCAACCACTCCTGTCATTCAGCCTTTCATTCAGATGCAATAATTCTTACTCTATAGGAGATCAGCTTATGATCCATTAGGCTAGAGTAAAGTAAATAAAAAGACTCGAGTCATTGCTGTCCATGGTTCTTCTTACCCCTTTTTTTCTTGCTTACATGCTCATGATGACCACGCGTAGGTAGTACACGCTTGCAATCCGCCCGAATTACGGGTGTATCATAGGGACCCCTCCCTGCCTGAGTATAAATAAAAGTAGGACGCTGAAGCATGAAGTAGTTTCTTAAGAAGCTGTATCCTGAAAAAGAAAAAGCAGCTGTAGAGAAATCATTAGCCATTTATTCCCAGCAACGCAAAAAGCCCAAAATGAAAGCCGCTCTCTTTCGGGGTCCAGAAAAGGGACTCATCATTGGCGAGAAAGAAAAGCAAACGCCTAGACCAAAAGATGTCCTCGTGAAAGTCAAATGCGTCAGCCTGTGCCATTCAGACTTTACATTGTTCGATGGAGAATACCCAACGACACCGTATCCCGTTATTCCTGGCTAATTGTTTTTTGCTTCTCTTAAAAAGCTACCGGATACATCGAATCGGTTGAATCTGGCGTGACCAATGTCAAGCCTGGCGATGCTGCTGGATTCCTCCTTTACCACTGCTTCTGCGATTGGTCTTAGCCTCGCTCCCCAATCACCAGTTGAAGGTTTGTTTGTTGATGCGCTTCCCTGGCTTGCAGGCGTTTGCCCAAGATGTCAAGCCACACCCACGGCATGCCCACAAGGAAAAATCCAGGGCTTCACTGGTGATGGATACTTCGCCGAGTACGCTGTGGTTGATAGCCGGTGCACCCTGAAGTTGCCCGACGGCATATCATCTCTGCAGCACCTCTCTCCTGTGAGTAAGAAGTACGGCATAATAGGATAGCCCTGGACGTTTGAAGCAGAAAGCCAGTAAAGGAGGGTTGAAAACATACTCAGAGAGAATGTTTAGCTTCACTGAGAGACGCATACTACAGATTCAATAATTTTCATGTTCGAACTCATATCACATTAATCCATGATCAGAAAATGACTCGTAACAACCATGGTATGATAGATACATGCTGCGGTGCAGTCTGCCTCTATCCAGGATCTACTGCTAATAGTCCACACTGCAAGGAATTGACGAGTCAGCCTTACGAACCAAAGCAAGTATTGATATTGGAGAGGACAAAAGAGAGGATCTACTCGCTTGATAAGAACAGACTTCGGCTCAGTGAAGCTGCGCAGAGCATAATGGCTCATTTCCCGACCGATACCAGGCTGCTTAGTTCCTCCAAACGGTGCCTGAATATTAATATAACCTACGCAGTTAATGTCGACCACACCACTATCCAGCTCTGAGGAGATACGCAAGGCGCGGTTAATGTCCTGCGTGAAGACATCCGCCATGAGACCGAATTCGGTGTCGTTGGCCAATTTAAGGAAATTAGCCTCGTCTTTGAAAGTCCGGACACGCACAACAGGTCCAAATATCTCACGGTAGACCTGAGCATCATCGGCTGGGTTCAAGAGAATAGTGGGTTCAAAGAAGCATCCCTTTTTGCCACGCTGCTTGCCGCCTACAGGACCTTTGTCTTGCCACCGTCCTTCTCAAAGGAGGCTACACGAGTAAGTTGAGCCTTATCTGCGAGAGGTCCTAGCTGCGTCGCAGGATCTGTTAGATGGCCAATCGTCTTGGCCGCTTCCGCCATGGCACGGATAAATACGCCGATGAACTTCTCTGCTATACTCTCCTGCACGAAGAGCCGGCTTGCAGCAAAACACGCCTGTCCGGTATTCTGGGCAATGGCAAGTACGGACCAGAATAGCACAACTTCAAAGTTGCAATCTTCGAAGATAGCCGCTGGAGATTTCCCACCTAGCTCGAGGGTGACACGCTTGAGATTGCTGGTCGCAGCATCCTGCTGGACGCGCCGGCCAGTGGGCACAGAGCCAGTAAATCTGACTTTACGAACCTTCATATGACTGGAAAGCAAGGCGCCCGTGGCACCTGCTCCAGGAAGGCTCTGGGTGACGCCCGGCGGAGCAATTCCCGATTGTGTTGCCAGGGCTGCAAACCGACTCGATCCAAACGGTGTCTTCTCGCTGGGCTTTAGGATCATGACGTTGCCTGTTGCAAGGGGCCCATTCCACGGATTAATGCCCACTGTAACACCAAGAGGCTCGTGCCGGACAATCTTGATGAAGCCATCATTACCGGGGAATGATTCACCAGCGTACTTATCCGCCCAGCCAGCGTAGTCTGAATTGACTAGACATTAGCCAATAAACCCCTGACCCTATGGTGGTTATAATATTAATATAATAGTAAACAGCAGAAACCTACATTTAAGGGTATTGGCTGCCATTTCAACTTCCATATGGGCGAAGGGCAAAGGCTTGCCAATGGGAGTCGCATCCAGCCAGACGAGCTCATCCTTATATTCCAGTGTCAGGTCTCCCAGCTTGTGCAGAGCTTGACCACGCTGAGCGGCGGTGAATTTCTTCCAAGGACCGTTGAAAGGCCGCCAATGCTGCCTCCACGGCTGCATCGACATCCTCTTCGACTGCATACTGCACTTGATCGGTGATCAAGGATTCGTCGACAGGGTTGTAGATAGCATGTCTCTCAGATGAGTGACTATCGACGAGCTGTGTAAAATCAATATCCATTAGACTCTCTTCACGGGACTTGGGTGTGCAGAGAAGTAACCTTGCCGTTAATGAATAACTGGGTTGGAATTGGATAGTTTGCTGCTGCCATTGTGGCACTTTCTCGTTCAAGTGCAGGAAATTGGACCTTGAAATAATGTTTCGATGCTGCTGCTCAGTGCAATCAATGATCAGGAGTTCTGTGTCTCGACTGGGGCTTCAGAATTGTCGAGGACCTCTTCCTATAAGCTGCAGCATGGCTGGACGAAGCCATCCATCCTGTTCAACTAAGCCGATGCGGGGAAATAGCCTGCTTGACTTAAGGAGCAATCGCCAATAGTTGAACGTCCAGGATTTTCAGGCTGGCTGTACGACGGGCGGACGACGTCGACTAGTCCAAGCTCATACGAACGCTGAATAATCGAAGTCATGATCGGATACAGAGTCTAGAATGGTCCGTAAGGGGCAGGGAAGAAAGCTTGCATTAATTGAGGTCCGTTCTGTCTGTGGCTAGCTTACGAAGGATGGTAGAAGTCCTAAGAGAAAGACCATGGCATAACACATCACTCAAGCATCCTCGGATGCAGCCTTCTCCTTCTTCCGTCGCGTCTCGACAGGGTCAGAGAATCCGTTTCCTCTCATCCATACCAGGGCCTTTCGTAGTCCTTTGCCCTCGATTGCAGACGGGCTGCTATCAAGGACCGACCCTATTACTGCCCATGCGACAACTATCACCCATAGCTCACCCCCTCTGAGACCTTTCCATACACCCCGCTTAACTCCTGCCTTCCATGAGGTGCCAACAGCCGCACGGAAAATTGCTGAATAGATGGTACGATTGCTGCTGATGAAGGCAAACGGTAGACCGCTAAGGGCACCGCTGAGGAAGAATCGTTTTGTTGGGAGGGTAGAACGCGACAGCAAAGCATTCCAGAGACAAAGACTGCCCCAGGCGGTACCAACAGCTGCAGACAGTGCTGCAGTGATGCTGAGAACATGTTTGGAGATGTCATTTGTGGCAGATATCGGGTGAGAGAGGAAGGCCCTCAGCTTTCTGAAGGAGAGTGCGAGGGTAACTGCGGTCAGAATACGAGCAAGAGGAGGTACAGAGAGTAGGATATGATGAAGGAATGCCGTGATACAGTTAGGTACATCGGGATGGAGTACGGCGCACGACAAACTGGAGATTGATGGATGGGCGGGCCCGGTGATCGGGGAGAGTGATTTCACAGCTGCCGGCAGAGTATTCCGGTTCGACGGGTGCAGGATTGGGGAGATAAATGGTCTAAACCTGAAATTAGAAATGCCTAGTTGTCTTCCCCAACAAAAATACTCACGGCCACCGGAGGTCTGCAATTGTCCCAAGAGAATCAACAATCTCATACTTGTCCGGCCAATGACGATCGGCGGGAAAGGCATCAGGTCGACTTCGTATATAACTCGGAGATAGGTTTAAGATGATATCTCCAAACCACTGTTTCAGTGTAAGCTTACATGGCAACGAAGATGGGTCGCGACATCGCACATACGGACCTTAGGAGTGGCCTCTCTGTCAAAAACAAAAGCATGGAATAGCTGCGCACAGGAGACGGGCATGAGCAACCAGCTTCCGAACCACGACGGCCGGTCTTTAAGCCATCCCTTCTGGTCCAAAACATTGTACAGATACTCAAAACTCTTCGTCGATGTGTATATTGCGATGGTCATCCGCAGCTGGTTCTGAGGACAGATCCCCAGCGCGAATCCTGCAATGCTGGCTCCAACGGCAGGGGTAAAACGAGACGTCAGCGCTTTTGATATACGAGGATTTCGCTTGCGAAAGGGCCGTGCATCATCAGAGCGTAGATTCGAGCGAAGTTTAACAAGAAAGCGATACAGAAAGCGATGGAGGAGAAGCGTGAGAGACAGTGAGAGTGACAGACGGAAATTGGGGGAATTAAGGATAGAGGTGCGAAGTTTGTTCCTGTATGTAGATACTGTGTCAATGAAAACCAAGCATGCAATCCTGGAAACACATATAGAAGACCTACTGCGATGGCTCTTTTCGTAGCTTGCTGATGATAGCGCCAACAAATTTCAGGACCATTCCGGTGCCCAAGAAGACCCGCAGAGAGGTCCGGACTGCAGTCACATTGTGCTTGTTCTTGGATCGGACGATGGCTTCATATCTCGATGGTGATGGGAACTTATTCAGAGTACTAGGTGATCCATGCTTGAGTGCGAACTCGTAGAGGCGCTTGTACTCTTTGGCACTGAGGCAAATGCGGAGCGCGTTGCGAGCTACAGGGTGCACGTCCGCCTTCGGCTCGGACGCTCCAGCAGCTGGCATGGCTTATCGATGGGAGTTAACCAAGCAAATCTTCGCGGAGTCGAAAACAGCTAGAATTCTTCATAACCTGATAGCACGGGTGACAGCGTGGTTGTTCAGGATCAGGAGTAATACTGCAAGTGACGACGAAGAGCGGTTCGACCTCGGCTGAACAAGCTGGGCGCATTGACCTACTATGGCTGACCAGACGGGGGAGATGCCAGTAAAGTCGTAGTAGGCAATTGAATCCCAAGGCCCTAGAATCGAGAAAAGGGTCCTCGAATACAAGAAATAATGGATAAATACCGGTCTCGCAAGTGTTGCACCTGTATCTGCGCCTTCTCTACGGCAGTCTTATGTCACGTGGTATAGACGTATGAATGATGGATTCGTATAATGGAAATGGAAATGCATACGCAAAGAATCAAGGGCCAGAGGAAAGAAGAATGGTATATGTACAGAGGAAGAACAATTCCCCGGGGGCAAATAAATCATCATATCCATCGCCTTGCGCCATGACAACCGGAATATTCAATCAAAAAGCAAGAAACACAGCAAGTAAGAGGGAAATAAGACTACCAGAAACTACACCACCCAATCCAGTGCTGGCAGATATTCTCAACGTTCGTGGCTTGAGCGAGCAGTTTGTCAACTTGGTCGCTCACATTGAGCTCCTCATTGGGCTTGAAGTCCCGTCCGGTCAACTTTTCCCTGACTCGAGCGAGAACTTGCACGGCTCGGGCGTTTTGGGCTTCACGGGCCTCGTTCGGAACGCCCTCCTGGGCATCAAGGATGCCACCTTCGAGGATGGACGGCCGGCGATGGCGAGAGAAATTGCTTGGTTGCACGCCATGGTCGCCGTTGACATTCTCAATAATAGACTGCCGGCGTTCAGGTGAGAAGGGTGTCCGATCCGGGGACTCACGCACTCCGAGACGCCAGTTGATCAACGGATCATGAATGAACTGGACCAACACAAGTCAGAAACTTACTCCCATGATGTGAAGGTAGAGCAAGGAAAAGGGGGGGTATAGAGGAAACTCACCGCTTCCAACACAGCCATCAAAGAATCCTTATTCTCCCGAAGGACACGCATGACAGCTTCACACGTTATTCTGTAGCTTCCTTCGATGTTGCTGACCTCCATAGCGAAAGTTAACATACGAGTGAGCCGGAACGGCACCCGTTCCGGATATTTCTCACGATGCATAGCCACTTCGAAACAGTCGCCAAAGTCGATATGGACTACCTTGCCTGTAACCCGATCCAGCAGAAGGTTCGAGGGATGGCGATCACCCAGACCCAAGATATAGCCGACCATAGACATAACACCAAGAGATCGTGTATAGTTCGTCCGCCGCTCAAGCCAGGCCTCGGAGTTCTTGCTCTTAAGCCACAGGACCCTATAAAGATCTTTCCCGGTAGTATTATCCATGGCGTACCCGAACACCTCAACCTTTTGCATGAGAGTAAGGTTGTCATAGTCTGGGGCCATCTGGAGCATAATCCGATGCTCAATATTCAGCAAAATACGACGACTTTCTCGGTATTCCTTGATCAACGCATGTAGAGTGTCACTGTTTGATACCCACCCCAGAAGACCAGAGCTCTGGGACAGTGGGATGGCTGGGAAACGTTGCACAAACAGATGTCGTTTGAAACTTTCTCCATCATTGTCGAGAAGTGTATTCACGAGGCCAAAGAGCTGCATGACTCTTTCATCCTGCCTGATATCTTCGTGTCCCTTGAGTAAATGCATGTAGGAGTTTCCATCGCTACCCTTCAGTGTCATTCTCCGCGGTCGTTTTTTGGTCTGAAGAACATGTAGGATGGGATCAAAACTGATAATTCTGATCACTGGCTTGCCGCTCTGATAGGTTCCCGGAACAGCGAGTTCCAGATCCACACAATCCTTCAACCTTGGTGAGACATATTTAAGATCCAGTGTAGACAGCTGTGGAAGTTGTCTACTAATCTTCCGGAACACTGTATAATAGAGATCCCAGGCCTGGTTAAGATCGCCAATTTCTTCTGTTTCGCGATACAGCATGCAGTAGTGTCTCGCTTCAGCAAGATCACGGCCAAAGGCTTGGGCAAAGGATATCTCACGTAGAGTTTCAGCACCCCTGTCCAGCATATCATGGAGCGGCGCGAGGGTTGCAAACATCCCTTCCACATTGTGGTCGCCGAAATAAAGCCGGGATGCTTCTTCCAGGCCTTCGTGCCAGAGCTCGTGCCATAGGACCGCAACCCGGATCAATTCATTGCTCACGAGGTCTGCTTGCTCAACAAGTTTCGCACTGTGTTGCCGCATGCTTTCCATAATACTACTAGCAGACTGAGATCGTCGAGTCACATGCGATTTCATAGCCACAGTCAACGGATACACCAAGGCCTGAGGGTGAGCCTTTCCGACCTCAGCAAGCAATCTATGAACAGAATTCCTAACTCGAATGTTAGGCTGATTGATACGCGCTATAAGCTGGGGAGTGACTGCGAGCCAAGTATCAATGTTGACTGCCGAGAATCCTTCAGTAACAACATTATTGACTTCGTGATCACCACCATGTGCGAACCACAGGGTAAGCAGCCTCAAAGTATCCTGCAATGATGATGTCGAGGACAAGGAGATGGATCGAAGGAAGCCCCGAATAGCAGGAATAACATGCTCAGTCACAACATGTGCAGGAACAACGACCCTCGTGGAATTATCCCTGCTCGTCTGGCCAGCAATCATCGTCACAACTTCGAAATTGGCAAGCGCCCATGCATGCCACGCTTTGTATGAGTCGCGATTATACTGCGTAGCAGCTGCATATGCACTTAGGACATCACGGACGTGTTCTGGACGCCAGTCTGTTCTCTGAAGTGCAGTTTGCCATTCTCCCAGCTTGAGATAGCTCTTCGAGAGAAGCTTTCTAAACTTGTCCACATCGCCAATCCGTTCGCGCAAGCTCATGATCTCCGCATGATTGGGTTCTGCAATTCCGTTCACTCCATTCATTCCACTGTGATCCTGGTGCGATGCCACAATTGCATTGAATTTTGTAAAGTCCTCGGTCAGGCTTGTAGTGAATTCCTTCAAGAGCTGTAAAGACTCGCGTTGGTGACCAGTAGCCCAATTAAATTTCAACCGAGCATAAGTGACTTCTGGAGGAGCAACAATTCGTGTGCCATTTCCATCAGTCACAACTGTCTCCAGGGATGCAAGAGAACGCTCCGCAAGGCCCATGCGGTTAGACTTGCGACATAGGTTGGCGAATTTGATCCACATGTCGAGGTTCTCTCGGGACGAGGTGACGAGCGCTCTAACTTTGAGCATGCGCTGCCATACTTCCACATTTTGCTGGCACCCGAGCAATCGTTTGTTCCATGTTTTACGCATAGCTTCCTGCTTTTCGGGATCACCAACGTTTTGTTTATACTTGATAATCTCCTCAAGTTCGGCAAGCATCTGCACACGGACAACGACATTGTAGGCACGGTTGTACGATTCTCCAAGCAAGGCGGACAGTTCAGTGTCAAGTCCATTTCGCGCCTTCTCAATGTACGTAGTAGCTTCTTCGAACTGGTTCCTATGAATTGCGAGGATAGCGCCGAAAAAGGACCGATCAGGTGTCTGTTCTTTCATCACGCTAAGATAGGAATCCATAAGTTCCCACTGACCTCGGCCCCAGGCTGCTGCTGCCGCTAGTGGAGCGATGGCCCTCCGATGTTCCAGGGAAGCTTGGTTCCATTTCTCCTGGGCGAGGTCGGACAGTACCTTCCATTCTCCAAGAGCGTGCAAACATCGCATCTTACCCATGGTAATCCCAAAAGAATCCGGATCGACTTTCTCACGACGGCGGTAGGCAGCAAGGGCTTCTTCCCAGCGTTGAAGCTTTTCGAACCATGTCTCCTTTAGTTCGACATCACGGTAGGCTTGAGCTTTGCGGAGAATGCCGATAGCAGCATCGGACTGTTGGAGCTGGTTGTTAATAGTGATCAGTGCCTCAACTGCACCGGAATTCTGGTCTTGCTCAAATTCAAGCTCCTTATAGTGGAGTGCCTTCGCGAAGGCGTGACATTTACCAGCGTACTTGCCGAGAGTCCGGATATCGATTGGGAGAGCCTTGTCATCATGCTCCATGAACTCAGCGAGATTGAGGAGAATTTGCAGTATCTCGGGGGGTATATTTGGCGAGGTGAGCGCTCTCTCAATGGACCGCACCAACTCCTCTTGGTATTGATCATACAGTTCCGTCCAGCAGGACACAAACGCAGCATTGAAGAGATCGCGCGCAAGCGGTTGGTAAATTCCAGCCAAACTGGCACATGCACGAAGGGCTGGGGATGGCGACTCCTTCAGCAATTCGACGCTGAAGCGACGTATCCATTCCTGCCAATCCTCACGGGTGGACTTTTGAGAGGCATCCCATGCGTTCTTAAGGTGCTGTTGATTAACGGCCATCTTCTTTTGACCGATTTCGGCGTAATTAGTATCATCAGTCAGCGATCCGTAATTGTCATCGGGGTTCAAGTCTTGGGGGAGCGGGTCTCCCTTTTGCAGTTTTCCAACTAGCATTTGGTAGTTAGGGTGGCTAATCGGATGATGCTTGATGACTTTGTTGATGAGATGTATGTAGTGGTTGAAGTCTTGACCGAGTTGAGAAATGAGAGCACAGATACAGTCCATGGCCGCTTGCCTCAAGACACGATCATTGCTGGCAACAATTCTTGATAGAGAATGAACCATCAGCGATGCGAAATCAGAAACATTGACCTGCCGGGACAACCGTGCGAGACTATCGATGGCAGACTTCCGGATGCTCTGTGGGTTTTGCGGGCGGTCGAACAAGCGGACGATAGACGGAACGATAAGATGCATGTACTCCTCTCCACTTGTTCCAAATATTAAGAATGAATGAAGAATTCGTTCTGACGGTTGCCGACGAGGAGTAGTGTCTTGTTCGAGAGTATCTAGCATAAGAGGGATAATGCCTGCAAGATACTTTTTGAACTCGCCTTCCAAAGACTTGGCGATAGCCTCAATGAGAGAAATTATTGTCGCCTGAACCTGGTACGATGCGTCCCAGAACTCACGAATGACATCAATTATCTCTGGGAGAAAGGCGCGAATATGTTGCCTCACAATGTTGACTAGAATAGCCAGCTGGTTGAAGTAAGGTTCTAGACGGCCGACAGGAGAGCCCCTAATTACTGCGATGAAACCCGGAATGATTTGCCCAAGAAACGGCACACACTTCAATCCCAGGGTCTTGAAGATAGTGACTATTGCGTCAATAACGGCAGAATGATATTGAGCCAAGGAGTTTTCTCGCAGGATATTCTGCAGAAGTGTATTGATAACAACGGTAGGGTAATACTCTTCATTCGAGGGGGTCAACCCTTGCATAATAAGGGCAACATCAGACACTGTTTGCACCTCATTTATATGATGAATATCTGGGGCTGTTTCACTGATTTGCTGGTACTTGTAGGGATCGAGGGCACCAAGCGTTCCCAGTAACTTAATAGTCTCCTTTCGCAGAGATCCCGTCTGCTCAGTCTTGATGATATTGATAAGCACAGCAAGAAGATGAGGATGTTCAATGTATGGGTCAATAACATATCCGGAATTGCTGGCTAGCTGACCTAGGGTTCGTAGCGCTGCCTCCCGCTTAGCATGAGACGAAAGATCCTGAAGCGAGTCTAAGATAACCGGCATGAGCTGGGGCAGATACACATTCATTTCAGCTCCGCCAACGTTCGCAAGCTCCCCGACAGCCTTCAACGTAGTCGCCGCAACGCCAGGGTTGGTATCCGCCGCCTTCGGTAATAAAGAGGTCATTATTGGGTCAACGTATGACCTGATAAGTTTCGTCGCATTTGCAACAAACAAGCTAATAAGCTGAGCGCTCTCTTCTTTCTGACGGGCCGTGCTTGCAAATCCAAGGCCAGTCAAAAGATTGACCAGTAGCTTCCGCAAAGGTGGAAACACATAAGCAGGGTTAACGCTTGAGAGGCGTCCAATGATGCATATTGCAGCTTCTCTGACCGCAAATGCCTCATCGTTAACTGCCAAAAAGAGGCATCGGATATTTTCAGGCCGGGCCAAATGACGATCAAACTTGTGGTCTAACGACAACAAAACCGTGCGCCGAATTTCCGGATCCGGGTCACCGACGCCGACTGTTAGAAGCTTGTCAATGACTTCACTTACAACTTGAATCGAGTGTGTGCTAGTCTGGTTGATAATCGGATCATGAACGAACAGCTGGCAGCAGGTAAGTGCTGAGGCTTTTCGAATCTCTGGGTTGTCATTCTCCACATAGTTAATTGCAACATCGCGTACGAATTCGTTTAGAATGTGACCCGAGAAATCAAAGCTGCCCAGTGTGTGAAGAGCCAGCGCAATCTCGGCATCAGAATGCAACTCTTGAGGAGTAAAATCTTTGGCAAAGGATGGCATCGGCGGCAACCTATTCTCCGGGCATCCTAGCGGCCGGAACGGTGTTCCACAGAGGATGATGCTCAACATGTCTAGGAGCTTCTCTTGGATAATAGGTTTGATCGGTGGAATATAGTGCGCCATGACATTAAGGGCCTGAGTCAGCGACTCGCTCAGTCCACATGCAAATATCGGATCGAGTAGCCCTTCCATATATTTGTTAAGCGTCTGTCCGACAGCTAATGACAGCATGCTGATGCATTCAAACATCGGCGCTTCATTGATGGCGGCTCTATTTCGCCTAGTAGAAGGTCAGCCGACTTCGCATTATGAACTAAGATGATGAACCTACGCCTTCATTGCCAGCCCCTCTCTGATATAGATAATGATTCCATCGAGGTATTGTGCAATCGCCCCGTGTACGGCATTGGCAATTTTTCCGATTGCTATGAAAGCCGCATTTCGTTCCTTGTCCCGTTTGAGTTGTGCTTGCAGATATACCATAAATCGATGCAGATATGTATCTGTAAATTCGTCGGGGGCATAAAATGCGAGGATAGGAATGGTGAGCACAACTTGGGTACGAATCTTAGGATCCCGGTGGTCCTTGAGACGGAGAATTATCTCGCACGCGTTGCGATAACGCTCGCTCATGAACATGGAACCTTTCAGAAGAAGTTCTTTCAGGACTAAGAGAGATCCATGGATCCAGTCCACATTATTTGATTTGAGGCCCTGAAGCGCCTCCTCGTATATCCGGGTGAACCACGACTGACGGACTTGCATGTCTCGTGCGGCAATTATTTCAAAGCATTCACTAACTGCCTCCGCCGCCGTTTCGCGAATTAGCACCTTAGGATCCCGAAGCGCAACCCAGATAAGCTCGAAAATCTGAGGAACAAATCCATAAAGAAGCGTGGGTGATCCCTTCGCAAGTTCCCGGATAACAAGGACAGCAGCGAATCGTCGATTTTCTTGCCGCTCAGACTGTAACCACTCTAGGGCCGACTGTATCTCGCTCTCGACAAGCTCCGCTGTGAGAGCTCCGCCCGGTTTGGCCAAACGGCCAAGTGACCTAGCAGCATACACCAATACTGCATTGTCATTACTGCGGAGGGCGTTGCGTAAGTAACTAGCGAACCGGGTAGTTTTCTGCGCTGCGTCCACGCCATCAAAGCCAATTAATCGGTCAAGAGCCAGTAATCCGCCGATTCTCTCATGTGCGTCGCTACCGGTCACGACGAGATGTGCGATGCGCTGACTGACTGCATTGTAAAATTCAAGGAACTTTTCAGGAGGCCAATCTGCTCAGCGGATAATGAAACTAGTTAGCATCGCCTGAGATAGATATAGAGATCCAGTATCACATACCTCGAGAGACCGCGACAACGTTGTCGTATAGCTCGAATGAAGCTCTCACTCGTGTCTCCTCGTTCTTGGACTTCAGTTCAGTGAAGAGCCTCTGAGTGACGTCCGTTATCGGACCTGCTTGTGCCATTTTTGCGTATCACTCCCCCAAGAGGACATTTGAAAGGCAACCTCTAGGGGTGCAAATTAAGATAGAATGGGAAACATGGGAAAGGGAAGACAGGATGAGGGACAGAGTCGGGAAGATCGAGGCTCTTTGGGTCTGTTGCGCACGGCCCAATCTGGAGGACATGGCCCCGTGACCGCGGTGAAGCTGCGTTTTGTAAGCTTCTGCAGCTGCGTCCAGCATCAACACCCCATGTTGGTAGGTATCTAGAAAAAAAATTTTTTTGAATGAATATTATCTTGCTGACATGGCTTTGTCTCTAGACCGGTATGTCCAACTAGGAATAACTGTCGACTCAAGACTTCGACGTACCGATACCTTATGCCCTCGAGTCTTTAATCCAGGTCGGCAGTCGTCAGTAGACCCTTGTCTTTCACCCGAGATATGCTGTCTACATTACGGATGCTTTACTGTATTTAAGAGGGATTATTTGGATGATAATTATGAAACCGACACTATCACTGTGGAAGCGTCTACAAACGCGCTGATTTACCCGACGAGATATATCCTCAGCACCTCAGCCGGCTAAGAACTCCAGAAAATGCCGTTGTTAGAAAGGTCGCTGGAATACATATAAGATTTTAAATGGCGTTACAACTCAACACAGCATTCCGGAGATCAGGCATTGGGAACTTGGGCCAGACTGGATATCTCGCCCTTCTAGCACTCCATCCACTCTGAAGACAAGCTACGCGCTGTTGATGCGCATTAGACTACATTGTCGATCCCGAAATAACAGATTTAGATACTCAGAATCTCCGGCCATCGCATATTAAACAACATGGGTTGCTGCTGGACTTGCACTTGGTAGGGCGAAACGTACTACTGGTTCTATGAGGGCAATACCTACTTCGTATCTTGCACGGCCAAGATAAACTTCTTACTCAACCTTTCTGCTTAGCCATGTGCTGCTTGATAAAAAGACTTGTCTCAGCTTCTGTAGATTTGCACTTTCAAAAGAAGCATTGCTACTCGACTCCTCAACCAGCCCTACCAGCGCGCCCCCAATGTCTCGCTAGCGCTACTGGTAGAGGACTAATAGACTTAGAACACTAAATCCACCTAACACTGTACTCAGCGGTAGCTACATACAGAATACAGTATACCGTTTCAAATTATTTGCAACCAACTAGGAGTGTGGGATACCTCAGGGTGGATGGAAAGGGCTCACTAAATCGTGGCTCTTGATACCCATCCCAGAACTTCCACCCGGTGTCAACATTTACCAAATGCTTCTTGCGACTCATAACGGCCAGGAAATGTATTTAATATGGACATACAATCCGGGGTCCCCCACATCCCCGCATCATTCCCCCCACAAGAAGCTTATCCGGGAGAACCGTGCTCTGGATATTGGCCAAGACAGTGGTTCCATGCACAGCTGTCTACTTAAAGTTTCCCTCGGGTCGCAAGGCTGGCATTGCTATTCAGAGAAAATCTATAATCTGCGAGTGCATGGTAATAACATCCCCGATTGGAGGGGCGGCAGATCTCGAAGTCCCGTAGCCGATACTACGTTTCAAATGCATGGTAGGCGTGAATGTCCATATAGATGAGCAGATGACTCTGCTAATTAATTAGGACTAGTTTGAATTGCCGCCTTCGCAAGGTCAAGTTGAGGGCCGGACGATCTCATGTACTCTATCTTGGAGAGATGGTCTGAGAAGCACTCGGTGCTCCGAAGGACGGCCTTGCTAGCGCTGCAAGAACGACAATGAATCCTGTTCCGATATTCGTTCGCGACGTGGTTTACAACACCGTACAAAGTTAACACGAGTGGCAGCTTGACAGGAGCTTTTATTTCTTTCTTTAGGAATAACGAAGACTGGTTTCGGATATCTCCTGCCATGGTTTTAAAGAGTGTTATAATATGATTCCCTAATTCAGGGCTGATTTTATACAGTCTGCGGAGAAGTATTGAGGACACGGTTCAGCTCAAGTAGCACCCTATTATCATTATTCGTGGCATCAATATTCAGGCAGTTGACACTAGGCCCGTGTAGCTCCCGCACAGGCTCGTTTCTGGGCATCAGTAAGGGCGGCCTTGATGGTCTGATTGCTGGTGAATGGCTCCACTACTATCTCCGGCCAGAGAATTCTCATGGAGTAGTACAACATGCCTCCCGTCGACGTGAGATCTGATCTCCATTGGAAGCAGTTACTGGGGGCTTTTGCTCTCCTTGAGCCAAGGGAGCTTCGTGTATTGAGACGACATGAGGATATGCAGGAGAGAGAATTGATTGGCAGCCCAAACAATTCACTCTGCGCCTTCTGACAAACAAAAGATGCATGGAGAGAAATAAATGCAGAGGCAATGACAGGTACTTGAAAGACGTCTAAATCACCCTGCGAACAATGCTTCATCTATGGAGGAAAGCAAGCGAATTCCGACAAAACCTTGCCGCAAAGCAGAATAGGGTTCATAACTGGAATGATTTATCTTGCGAAATGAAGGAACAATAAATACATAATGGGTAGTAGTTTCAAGAACTGTAGTGCCATAAAGGAACGCTATATATCCTGGTGTTCACAGCAGATGGGCAGATCCACATACAGATTCGTCTACAATGTCTATAGCGGAAAAATAACCATCCAAGGACAAATCTGGGGCTAGAAACAGCCTCCACCTAGATTGACCACCTGTCAGACAGTGTTAGAACGACAGGACCCTTGGGTAATCTGCGTCTATTCACCGTCATATAGCTAGCTTGATCGCCGGGCATAAAAGCGATCACTTTGGCCAGTTCTTCCGGTTGAAACACGGCCCAGAGAAGTTGTGGCTAGAAACGCATCTCGACCTCCACTTTTGCTGCTAGAAAGGTTTGTATCCAAAACGCCCCTGGGATCAATATCGTCAGTTTGAGCTACCATATTGGCTTCTCGTTGGCCATATCTTACGGGGCAATGGCATTGACCCGAATCCCTCGTCTTCCTACTTCTCTGGCCACGATTTTGGTGAAGCCAATAACTCACCATTTACTGACCACATATGGAGAGCATTAGTGGTCAACGACCGTCTTCGTCGCCATACTCACTTCTTCTGCGGATTGAGCATTGCACGCTAGAGCCAGACAGGCCTCGACCTTGGCCCCTTGCTGCCCAAGAGGTATCGCAGTAGTTCAGTCAATCTCAGAGTAGGCACCGTGAGAATGAACACTTTCCCCTCAAGATTTCTGTAGGACATCTTCCAGTTAAATGGTTTAAAACCAGCTCTGGCTATGACATTGCCCTTGACAATAGGCGTATCCAATTTATGAGTACCGAACAACAATGTCGAGTACCGTATCTATCGGCACTGGTATCGAAATTCATGATTCCGTTAAGCAAAGAAGCCCTCGAAACTTAAGTCACCGGGGTCAGTTGCATCGGAAAAAGAATTGACATCATGTATAGGGAGGATTAGATGTTGTACATAGGATTGTGTGCTTCAGCCTTTCATTCCGCCGCGGACATTGCGCAATCGCAGAAGCAACGAGATGAAATCTAAATATAAAATATTTATACTGAGCCTATCAGTCCATGAAAGCCAGATATAAAATGAATGAGCATCATCTAGTCCTCGGATGAGCTGATCGGATGGCTGCGATATAGCCATCCGATGCCCCCACTGATACGGCATCCGATCTGGGAGTTGAACTGGAACTGAAATAGAATTCCATCCCCAGCGATGATAAACAATTCAAATACAGCAGAACCCAATAGTTAGAAATGCCGAGGGCTCATCCGGTCTGTGAACCGAGTTCCGTACGCTGTACGTATCTATCTACCCGCGGACGTCAACGCTCAAGAGACCGGAGTTCGTGCCGACTTCTTCTATGAGACGTCTAAAAACCCTTCATATCCGCCGGGGGATTTGTAATAAGAATCTCTTACAGTGGAGTTAGCAGCATATTGCCGACAGAATTGCGACATCCACGGAGTATAACCGGAGATAGTTAATGGGTGAGACTTAATAACTGTCGCTCATCCGCGGGGTATAAGGCGTCCTCGACTCCTCCTCCTGCTGCTGCCGATCCACCATTCCTGCTAACACGGAAAAGAGCTTGCAAGATACCTGATTTCGTTCACAATGGCCAAGGTTCTTCTGACTGGTATGTCTGCCTACGGTCGACAGCAATGACGTCAGGTGTTTGGAGCTGACAACTGCCACAGGAGGCAGCGGTTTTATCGCGGCCCATGTACTGGACACTCTGCTGAAGCATGGGTAAGTGAAGGAGAAGAAGTAAAATATCCCGGAAAATTCCGAATCGAGGCTTACCTGGCGATGACTGCAGATTCAAGACTGTCGTGACAGTTAGATCTGATGCAAAGGGTCAGAGAATCCTCCATTCGCATCCAAACACCCCGAAAGATACACTCTCTTATGTTGTGGTTGAGGATGTTGCCAAGGAAGGGGCATTTGATGAGGTACCTAGACCTACGAGTATCGAGTGGTCCTTTGACAGTTGAACTAACCTGCCTGTGCAGGCTGTGAAATCTGACCCGCCGTTCGATTATGTCCTTCATACCGCATCTCCTTTTCATTTCAACGTTCAAGACCCCGTGAAGGACTTCCTCGACCCCGCGATCAAAGGAACAACGGGCATTCTCAGCTCCATTAAGAAGTACGCGCCATCTGTGAAGCGGGTGGTCGTAACTTCGTCCTTTGCTGCGATCATCAACACAAACAAGCACAAGGAAATTTATGACGAGACTGTCTGGAATCCTGTGACTTGGGAGGAGGCTCTCGACCATACCCAAGTATATCGAGCAAGTAAGGTAAGGGACCTCTCTTTCTCTCCCGTTTCGATGCGATTTTGGACCCCATCTTAAGCTGACAACCCCTCGATGGCAGACCTTTGCCGAGAAAGCAGCTTGGGAATTCGTTGAAAAGGAGAAGCCAAACTTCGACCTTGCCACAATAAATCCTCCTTTGGTATTTGGACCGGTTGCGCATTACTTAGATTCTCTGGAAGCCCTAAACACTTCCAACCAGCGAATTAGAGACCTGATCCAAGGCAAATTTAAGGATGGTCTCCCCCCTACTGTCACATTCCTGTGGGTAGACGTTCGGGATGTGGCTCTGGCTCATGTAAGAGCAATCGAGGTCCCGCAAGCGGGAGGCAACCGGTTCTTCGTGACGGCTGGCAGTTTCGCCAATAAAGATCTTGCAGAAGCTGTCAGGGAGACACATCCCGAGTTGGAGTCTAAACTGCCTCCTAAGGATACCCCCAGTGATCTGCCGGCAGACGTCTACAAATTCAACAACAAGAAGTCCATTCAGGTTCTGGGTCTGAAGTATCATCCCTTGAAGGAAACTGTTGATGATACCGTCAAGACGTTGCAGGCTGTTGGTGTGGGCAAATAAGGGATATGAGATGTGACTTGACATTCTCTCTCTGTTTTGCTCGTCTTGTCCAGTATCCGCAGGCTTACATTAGAAGCTCATGACATAATGAAATATATTTCTGGACATTATGTTTGACTAAAGTGTCAGGTTAAATTTCAATTAATCCTATGGCACATTTTAGAAAATGACAGTTAGTACATGTACATACTGTCGCTGGCCAGGATATGTATGGGCCTTCTGTTAGTTCTCGATCTCGGATAACCATCTTTGGCCCAAAACTGTTCGATGACCACAGTAAAAATTTGTCATACCCTCCAAGCAGAAGCAGTTTTCTGTTTTTATCAATTCAACGTTATGTCGCCAATCGCCAGTATTTTGTACATGCAGAGTGGATGAAAGCCGGGAGCGAGCAGCATAATAGGTCACTGCAGTCGCCCGTAGCCCCAAACCATCAACTTTTCCTACCGACGCCAACATCGAAGTTCCCCGGAGACGTCGCAGGAACCGATCAGGCACCATGGCGGCTCCGAGGCTGTCCCCAACGGCAAATCTCCTCCGCAACTCTCGCCTTTTTGCTCTTCCACAGGCTCTTACTCCTCCCCAAGATCCGCCAACTTCCAGAACCGTCGTCGGCTCGGATACTGCAACTCTTCCTCATCCGATCCGTGCTTCCATTGTTACGCCGTCTTCGTCTTTAGCTCGAGGCGATTGGGGCCTGAAGAGGCCTCTTCCTGCAAAAACAACGTCCGAGAAATCCTCTAGGCCTGTTGTCCGAGTCAAGGCACTAGATACTTTCGAACATGTCACCGATTTCGAATCCGCATTGGACCATACCATGACTCTGGAGAAGTTCCAGCAGCTACATATGCCCGTCTCTCTTCCTTACAGAGTCAATTACGCAACTGGTCTTATTCCAAGACATCGAAGCCCCTTCGAGTCCTTGAATGATAACACGAACGAGAGCGAAGGCCTCAAAGAACCTGGAGCCAAACAGTTTAGACACGCCGGGCCCTGGCTAGCTGGGCAAATCGAGTCGGAATTTCAGGCGTACCTGAAGCAGGTCCGCCGCAGGAAACCGGAGTTACTGCAGCAACTTCGTGAACGGTTTGTCACGCAGCAGACAGCGGAGCGAAGAAAGCAAGCACTGGACGATGGAAAGGATTTGGATAAGATTAAGCGCGTTACCGAAGAAGAATTTCAACGATACCTCAGGTCGTTGCGGTCGAATCCTTCTGCTCTGGGACCCGTGATATTCGAGCTCCTAGATCTTCCTTCCCCGCCGGCCGTTCCTGGCTCTCGTATGTCCAGGGAGAACTATGCATCCCCGGCGACCAAGCTGTCCGCGACCGAGTACGCAATATCAGGACCCCCGAAGACGCATCCCTCCGCAGGTTTGACCTATTCAAGATCACATGCTTTGATTTACAACCATCCGCAGTTCGGACCACAGGCTTCCCAACGCCCCGTAGAAGCGCGTATTCTGCGGCCCAAGGGTAGATTTAGGGGTAAGGTGGCCAAGGCCATTGCAGGTGTCGGTGGTATTGCGGTGGAAGACTTGAATGCTATGACCTTCGTCGAGCAAGGCGCACCTCCAGGCCTGGCCTACTTCGATGCGTCTATTCCCGGTGGCGCCAAGTATTGGGTCAATCCAATCCGTGCTTCTGTTGATTCGGATGGCAAGATCTTGCTGGCATCCTACAAGGCCAGCGCCACGTCCAAGGCTCCTTACGGCATTGAGGATTACAAGAAGCCTGACTACAGCATTTCGGATGCTGCTCGTGGTGGCAGCCGAGTGGTGCCGAGATTGGACAGGCTCCCATCGAAGCAGCCTCGTTTCGTGACTTCAGGGGAGGGGACTGAGACCAAACAGCCCATGCAAGAAACTGAGGATGTCGCTAGGACACTGATGGAAACTATCCGCTCATCTTAAAAAGTTCCATTTGGGCGTCACTGTACGATTAAACGCTAATGTATAGCTACCTTTCTATTTCAGTTTCCGGTTTGTTTACATGTGATATATTAAATTTGGATACTGTTATTTATTCTCTTTCGATGAATCTGGTTTCTCAATGCAGTTCGTAGTAGTCTATTATTGCCGATGTACGAAGGATGCTCAGGATGTATTTGGATCACGTGACTAGGGTATAGGGCAGGTCCCGCACACCCGCTAAGCGAAGGCGACTCCTTGTATCAACGAGATTGCAGCAGCCTCCAGCAAGCGTTCTCCAGACATCCATCCAGCCAGCAATCATCCGCCAAAATGGGTCGCGTCAGGACAAAGGTTAGTTGGGACAATAGCAATGAACTATGGGGGGAAAACTCAATGGCCTTTCTGACTCTTTCTTCTGCGAATATAGACCGTTAAGAAGTCGGCCAAGGTCGTCATCGAGCGCTACTACCCCAAGCTGACGCTCGACTTCGAGACCAACAAGCGCCTCTGCGATGAGATCGCTATCATCCCCTCGAAGCGTCTTCGCAACAAGGTTAGACCGCTCGCCGTTCTTGTACAGGATTTTTAGTTGGTGTGCTGGGATTGGAGTTGCTGACTTCTGTTGGATTTAGATCGCTGGTTACACTACTCATCTTATGAGACGTATCCAGCGCGGTCCTGTTCGCGGTATCTCATTCAAGCTGCAGGAGGAGGAGCGTGAGCGTAAGGATCAGTACGTTCCCGAGATCTCCGCTCTGGATGTCTCCCAGACCGAGTCTGGCCAGCTCGATGTCGATGCCCAAACCAAGGACCTCCTCAAGAGCCTTGGAGTAAGTTTTCCCTCCTTTGATTTTTCAGCGTGATTTGGACATTTCCACGTTTGATTTTTCCGAGTGCTCTTTAGCCATGGCTAACGCTTCTCGTCTTCAGTTCGACAACCTCAAGGTCAACGTTGTCCCCGTCACCCAGCAGCAGGCCCAGGAACGCCCCAGACGCTATGGTGGTGGTCGTTAAATTTAACGTGGTGGGATCATTTTTCAAAAGCACAAGGTTTTAATTGTTTTCGGTCGATCATGTCTGCTTCGGCTGTTGTAGCTTAGGATGGGGCTTTGAGTACCCATTTATGAGCAATGAAATACATGATTCCCTCTTACAAGGTGTCGCTGATTCCTCTGAGGATGACGCTTGATCGCCAATATTCTTCCCTTTTCCGTGCCAACTCAGTATAGTTCACTAACTACGCTCGCATCCTTGCAATTGGATTACGTACGCAAATTCCTTGGTACTGGGTACCGAAGTAGAAGGACGATTTTACATAAAGTATTCCGAAGTTTATGACCTGAGTCAACATGTGAAAATGGCAATCTATTGTAGGCAGTGGTAACCTTGGGTATCTTCCTCAAAACGCCTATTATCGAACACTTTTATGGTGGTGCGCCTGCACACTTAGATCACATCAATGATGTCTTGATCCTCTTCATCCTCGGAATGGGTATCCTTATGTTCTTTGGGCATGTAGCCCTCAACCGATCCACCAGTCTGGTCTTCCGGTCGCAGTTCGGGTACTGTCACCGTATTCGGGGATATATGCTCCTTCTCAACGAGTTGTACATCTACCCTTCCAGCTTCGAAAGCGGGACTAGAGTCGCCACGCTCCAGAGCCAGATCACGGCTCTTGGAGCTACTGTCATGTCCTTCGTTGAGCCGCAAGTTACCTAGTTGCTGGGTAGCTTCCCTCATGGCAGTAGATGAGCGTATCTTCCCTTTTTCTTCCTGTTTCATCACTCTCGCCTCCTCGAGGAGCACGATGTGATTTTCCTGTGCATTACCGGCACGCCTCTCCCAGACCGGTTGCTCCAGCAGCTGCACCTTTACATAAATGGCTCGCTCCGCGCATTGATCAGAACACCACATTTCGAGCTTCTCCCTCGGAACGATGTTCATCTCTCGGCCACGGCCTCCAGGGCCACTTCCCTTGGGACCCCAGACAATCCGGTTCTTGACCTTGGGATCTTCCCTGCGGTGCTCGTGCGGACAGAGCGCATAGCCACAGAGCCCCTCAATATTCCGTTCCAGGATAAGATTGTCGTAGTCTGAGGGCTGGAAGGCAGCCAGGGCAGTCTTGAATGCCTTCGCATCCTCCTGCGATGGAGCAGCGGGATCTGCAGACGGGGAGGTGGGCAACTGGACGAGTTCGAGGATGCGATCTAAGATGAGGGCCTTAGCATCTTTCTGGGCCTGAATCCTATGAGCGTGATGTAGAGCAACAGCCAGGTGGCGCGGATCCGTGCCTGGTTTGCTCTTGTACTGGCCGGTGGTGGTGGTTTGACGGCTAGACGCAGCAAGGCCAGGCTTGTGTTCGGGGTCCGATGCAGCCGCCACAGGGACCCATGCAGCGTGTGCGGAAGGAAGGGATGTCTTCAGAATAGACTTTGGAAGAGACCTGGCATCTGCGGACATGACGGAAGTTTGCGGAGAGGAGATGCAGGGAAGAGATGGTAGCGTCTATGACAGTATGAAGAGAGCAGATCACGGTCGTCGGGAGCGGCGGGTAGAGTGGTGTTTGGCGTGTTTGCATCAGGCGAGAAGATGCCGAGTAGGGAATCCCGACGGAGTCAAGTTGTCAAGAGAGGAGAATCGGGAGAAAGCAGATATGATTAATTATTGATTTGGCGTTGGTTTTCTTGGAGACACGTTTGCTATGACGACTCCCTTGTTATGAGCTCGCACCAAGTGGCGTTATCCTGACGGTTTCAGGCAGTCTGGTTGACTCCAGCCGCTGATCAGCAGCCAGACTGTGGAGCGCGTGTCCCGCCAGCCTTCACTGCCTGCGACCACATCCCATCCCCTCTCCTTCTCCCTCTATCCAAGCTGCCTGCTTCTGCATCGCCGTGAAGTCTGCGCAAGTGAGTGTGAGTGGCTCTGTGAACTGTCCATCTTGTTACATTCATTCATACTTCTTTCCAAAAAGTCCATCAGTCCCCTGGCATTGTTGGTCAGTCTATCCACCCCCCTCTCTCTATATCTCCTCGTCGCCCTGTTCCTCAGGTTTGCAAGCTTACGTCAATTAGGCTGACATATATATCTATTCCACTTCAGAGATTGTCTCTCCCTAGATAATTACCCTGCATATCCATGTGTTTTGGAGGCATCTAATCCGTCGTTGTAATTGACTTCTGTACGGTTACTTGGTGTGTCTGTGCTTTGGAAGCACTTGTGTGACCCCTTGCTGACGCTGATTTCCTGGCCCTCCAGTCACCATCTCCAACGCTGGCCCAATGCCTAGTCCTCCTTTTACAGTCAAAGCTATCTTCGAGTATTCTTCGAGCCATGATGATGATCTTACCTTTGCGATCGGCCAGGTCGTGACCGTCACCGCCGAGGAAGATGAGGAATGGTACTACGGAGAATATACGGATAATTCAGGAGTCAAGCATGAAGGCATCTTTCCCAAGAACTTTGTCGAGAGATATGAACCTCCTGCTCCCCCCAGGCCCTCAAGACCTAGCAGGCTGAAGAAGGAGCCCGAGCCTGTCTCTCCGCCAGAACCTGCTATCGAAACTCCCGCTCCGGTCGAAAGCATGCTTCCGCCAGAGCCGGAAGTGCCAGAGACAAAACAGACGGAGTATATACCCCAGCAGCCGCAGTCGCCCCGATTACCCGCTTCCATAAATACCCCTTCTTCACCCGCAAAGCAAGCGCCGGTCTCATCTCCCTCAGATGCCTCGGCTGCGCCTGCTCCGAAGCCTGTCTCCAAGCCCCCACCCCCCGCGGTTGCAGAAAAGCCAACAGGATCGTCATTCAAGGATCGCATTGCTGCATTCAACAGACCAGCAGAGCCTCCTATTGCGCCCTTCAAACCCACTCACACCTCCTTTGTTAAGAAGCCATTTGTTGCACCTCCCCCAGCAAGAACTCTTTTGTGCCCCCTCCTCGCCAGCCCCCCACGAAAATTTACAGAAGGGAGGATGATCCAGAAGTTGCGGAACGACTTGCGCGAGAGACTCCTGTTTCTGAAAGTCGCCCCAATCCGAACGAAGCCGCGGCGCAGGACACTGAAGAACAACCGAAACCCACTAGTCTAAAGGAGAGGATTGCTTTGCTACAGAAGCAACAGTTGGAACAAGCAGCTCGTCATGCTGAGGCCGCACATCGAAAGGAGAAACCCAAGAAGCCCAAGAAGCCGGTTGAGCAACACCCTCAATCCGAACAGCCCGAACTCGAAAAGGCAGCAGTCACCGAAGCTGCCCCAGGTAACGTTGCCGATGTAGCGAAAGAGGCCGTCACTCCGCATCCACCGCCTCAGGAGTTACTAAGCGATGCGAACGACGCTGATTACTCTGCCGCTGCCGACACTGAGGATGCCGAGTCATCTACGAGCAAAGACGATAATGAAGATGCGGCCGATGCAAGCCAGCGAAGAGGCTCTCATGCTCCGAAGGTGAAGCAGGCACGAGAAGAGAACGGAGGCCAGGAGAAGGAAGAAGAAGATGAAGCGGAAGAAGAGGAGGAGGAAGAGGAAGAAATTGACCCTGAAGTGAAACGCCGAATGGAAATTCGTGCCAGAATGGCAAAGATGAGTGGTGGCATGGGTATGATGGGCTTTTTCGGTCCTCCTGGTGGCATGCCTTTGCCTGGCTCTGGAGCTCGCAAACCGAAGGCTGCCACGGAGCCCGAGAAGCATGGTGATTCTGAAAGAGGTGCTCCAGCGGCAGCTCCTCCTGTGCCAATTATGGCTTTGCCTGGGATGAATACGATGAAGCCCCCAGCACCCGCTGCTTCACCGGAAGGTGTGGAGAAGGAAGAAGAGGAGCCCCATGTACCATCTGTCACGGAACAACATCCCCCACATGAGGTTTCTGATATCGAGGAAGTCGTTCAGAATGAACTCCGACAGGACTCTAGTGATGTTCCACCCTCTCCTCCACCTCACAGTAAGTTGGATACCATCCGGACCTCGTCACCCATGGACATTCAGAATCTGACGGAAAGCAATATAGAATACACAGGGCCCCCACCTCCACCGGTAGAAACTCGTCCTGCTCCTCCCGTCTCTGCCTCTGTTCCTCCTGAGCGGCCTCTGCCAACTCCATCAGCACCAGCTCCGCCAGTGCCAGCAGGTAAGTCATAAATCCCCCATGATTCGCTATGCTCAAGAGAGTTGACATTGTCAAAAACAGCTCGATCCGTACCTCCTCCACCTGGTAAACCTTTTGACACAGGCGAAGATTCGGACGATGAACTTTCAACTCCCGCGCAAAATCCGTCCGTGAATACTGCTGCACCAAGTGACTCAGTGGTCACTCCATTGTCAGAGACACGTCCTTCACTGGAGAGACTAGAGTCTCGTCGGTCGTCCATTTACTCCACTGGCATGTCCCCTACATATGCGTCCGAGAAGAGACACAGTCGTCCTCCACCGCCTATCCCAACGAGTCCTCCTCTTCATTCTCCCTTGCATAGCAGAGCGCCGCCTCCACCACCACCTGGCAATCTCAGCCGGGTATCAACTGCTGATAGTCGGGCTAGCGCAGCATCTGCACCCCGCCAAGCCGGCGAGGTTGAAGGGGAGATCACAGAATACGATGGAGATTATGATACTGATATCGCATCGGGTGCGAAATTCAAGGACGCCTTGAAGGCTCATGGTCGTGACTCAAGCCTTGACGAGGACACTACTGCCGATGATCGTTCGATTCAATCACCTGGAGGCCCTGCCCCTGATAGCCGACCACCACCTCCCCCTCCGCATGCCCCGAGAGCAGTTCCGCCTCCTCCGCCTAGTCAACCTCCAAAGGCAGGTAGGGCATCTGTGGACTTGCCCAGAGGACCGCCCCCTCCGCCTCCTAAAGAGCAGCCAATTGATAATGAGGACGAGTATGATCCGTTTCGCTACACCTCTTCATCCCACGGGCTGCCACCGCCCCCACCAATACCTAGCGGGCGCCCCGAATCGGTAGTTGTTCAACCAGAGCCTCCCCGGGTTGACTATGACGATCTATACGAAGCGTCGCCTGTTCATTCTCCCTCAGAGCCTCAATTACCGACTTCACCACAAGCAAAACGTCTATCTGTTGCGCCACCCCCTCCTCCAAGTCAACCACCTGCGGCTGGTCGACCACCGTCATCACGGACCGCACGTGCATCGATGGATTTTCCTCGGAGCCCACTCCCTGTGCGCAGGTCCATGGATGTATCTCGTCCGTCAATAGACCAGGGCTATATTGCTATGGATATTGACTTGGCAGAGGCTACTCTCTGGTGGACGCGGCCCAACACTCCTCCTCCAGTCTTCCAGAACCGTAAAGACCTTCTCTTGGAAGTCGAAGAGTCGAGCTCCTCTCAGCGGGGAGGAAGGACTATGGTCACGAAAGATATATACGTTCTCTTCCTTGATTACTCACAGACGGTTATCTCAGTGCGCTTTGATGCCAGAAACCCCTCGGATGCTTCTTTGGAACAGCGCCACGAACCGCCTCCTCATCCGCCTCGTCAAGATCAGCTTGAAAGAGCTCACGTGGAGCTGGGTGCGCGCATTTCTGAAGCTGCCGAAAAGGTTCAACATACGACTGTCGCTGATGGCACTCCGTTTGGCTTGATTGAACATCTGCTCAAGCCGTTGCCACACGCCCTGCTCCCTATTGGTACACGAGCCTTTGGGGCTTTGGTTTATGCCAATCTGGCCAATGCGTCTGTTCAACAAAATGACGAGATTCGTCCTGGCGATATCGTCAGCTTCCGCAATGCACGCTTCCAGGGCCACCGGGGGACAATGCATCAGAAGTACAGCTCTGACGTGGGCAAGCCTGACCATGTCGGCGTCGTCGTTGATTGGGACGGAACGAAGAAGAAAATCCGTGCCTGGGAGCAAGGAAGGGAGAGTAAGAAGGTGAAGGTCGAGAGTTTCAAGCTCAATGATATGCGCAGTGGAGAATGTAAAGTCTGGAGAGTCATGCCCAGGAGCTGGATTGGCTGGGAGAGTGTAAATCAGTGAGGTGATCCCGCTACGGCACTCCTACAGATGCATTGAAACCATGTCGATTATGGATTAATAGTGTTCTTTGGGGGTATTCCCAGTTCCTATCTTCTGCGTTTCGACGGTGCTTATGAAAATGATATACGGTCGAGGATGAATGAATGAATTTGAAGCTGCTCTGGTGGAATCCATGTGGTTGGCTTTGCATGATTCACATTGTCAACTGCTACTTTCGGAGGTTTCTGCGTGAGAAATCTTCTCTCTGCCAACCTTTATCTCTTTTTGATTCTGTCTTACATAGTGGCATTTGTATCTAGTGCGGTATACTAATTGGGGACTCCCTTCACTGTCTTGTGAACCATACACAGTAGTGGTGGTTAGGCAGTAATAGTAATAATAGTATAGTAATAATAATAGTAGTAGTAGTAGATACTGCGGGATACCGGATATGTAGAGTTGAGCCGTGGCTTTCGGAATAAAGTAGGTCCGTCATGGCGACCCCATTTCCCCTTTTGGAAGCCTCTTCGTAGCAATCACCAAGGTGCTTCAGAATTACAACTACTTCTCGTCCATTATTGGCAACCCTCGAACAAAATGGGTGGCGATCTGAACTTGAAGAAGTAAGTTTTCTTTGTGCAAAACATAGATTCAAACAACTAACCTACGATACAGATCATGGCATCCCTCCCTCCTCCGCAACCAAGAACGGGTATGGGCAGAGGAAAAGCGCGCCCTAGAAGAACGCAAACGCATCGACCAACTCCGTCGTGAACGAGATGAAGAACGCCAAATACAAGAACTGCAGCGGCTTCAAGAAGCCTCGGGGAAACCCAAGCAGCACCAGCGCGTCGACTGGATGTACCAGGCTCCTTCGAGCGCGACAGGCCACTACTCTGAGGAAATGGAAGGGTATCTTCTTGGCAAGAGGAGGATTGATTCGATTTTGTTGAAGAATGAAGAGAGCAGTAAGAAGCTCGAGAAGGGTGTCGATGCGGTTACGACGGCGGCTCAGACTGGTGGTGGTGCTGTTCTTTCGGCGCGGGACACTATGACTAAGGTCCGGTCTGATCCGTTGCTGGAGGTGAAGAAGAGGGAGCAGGCGGCGTACGAGGCTGCATTGCAGATGTCGATAAGGCGGCAACAGAGAGCTGAGCGGCGGGAGAAGAAGGAGAGGAGTCGTCAGTCGACACATGAGAGACGAGGTAGGGATGAGGAAGAAGATTCACATCGGCGGCACCGAAGGCATCACCGACATCGTTCTCGGTCTCGGTCTCCAGTGTCACCGGATCGGGAGTCGCGTAGGCGACGGAGGAATGATTCCCGTGATGATTGGCATAGGAGAGAGGATAGGGATTATCGCCGACACAGGGATGATAGGGATCGGAGGGACGACAGGTATCGACACAACAGAGATAGAGGTGAGAGGGGTCACAGAGATGATAGAGATTATCATCACTCTAGCAAGTATAGCGACCGTGATGTGCGAGACCGCTCCCGCTCTGGGCGTCGCGATTCATATCACCGACGGTCTCCATCAGCATCTTCGTCCGCCTCATATGAAAGAGTTCGCCCATCCAGTCGGCGCTCGAGCGGCGAAAATCCCCCTTCTAAGCCATCTTACGATACGAAGAATCATTCAAACGGAGAACAAAACTACACTCGAAAAGATACCAGACCCCGTCACGGAGACTACAAACGACAACCGTTCCATCGAGGCTCTGACCGCAGCAACGATGAGGCCAAGAAAGCCCAGCTAGAAGAAGAGCGTAAGAGAAAACTCGCCGAAATGCAGTCCAACGCCGAGGAAATGGAAGACACCCGCCGCCAGCGCGTGAAAGACATCACAGCCATAGAAGAGCAGCAGCGATTGGAAGAGGACAAGCATCGGTCTGACCGGGGACGGTTTGTGTCTCAACTGCATCGCCGCGCTCAGGAGGACAGTTTGGATGAGAGGATTAGGAGGAGCAGAGGTGGCTTAGCTAAGTTGGATGAAGATTGAGATCCATCCTTCTTTAATTTTCATTTCTTCCTACTTGTTTTTGCCTTGGGGGTACCTAAGGTCTATGTGGATTTTTCATGAATGAATCCGTGGTGTTTTCATCCCTTTCCCTTTTCATCTGGCGTCATCGGATCAGGACAGGGCGCTATTCATTACACACAATTCAAATAGTTGAAACTGGCAATGGAACTATACCCATATCTCATTCATAAAGATAAATACCTTGAATTTCTATGAGGTTCACTGGATGTGCTATTGTTGGTATGTTGTAGTTCTAGTGAGGATTTCACATCGCAGGTGAGTGCTCAGGTGAGCGCTCAGTGATCAGTCATGTGCCACCATGGGGTCAGCATTGTGGCAGAGGGGGCATACCCCAGGTATGGTGGAATAAGTCTGGCACCGTGACATCCCAGTCCAGTCTACTATAGAAAATCATTGGCATGTACTTAAATGACTGGGAGGTAGTTTCAGTTGCGATAGCACCAGGTGCACCTGCTCTGAAAGGTCGTCAAGTAAATCCCTATGAGAGGATGGCCCACCTTGTTGTGACAGACCCATTGTGCGAAAAATGAAATGGTATGCACACCAGTTGTATCTGGCGGCAGCTATGGCGGCCTCCACCCAGATATCTCTGACATGCTGAAGGTGTGTATGTGGACAGCTATGATACTTGAAGAATGTATCAACATTCAAGAACATTCAATGTCCATCCACTGTGTGCAAAGAATGAGAGGGAATGGTGTAATTGAGGGACCAAAGCTGGTAGATCCTGGATGAGACTTGTCTGGAGGCATAGAGGCTGGGCTGTGACAGGTACTGTCATGGTGCGACCTCTGGGAGCATTCAGAAGCTTACGGGTAAGCACCAAAACGGAAAGGGAAAACCTTCAACGTTGGTAGAATGAAAGGTACATATGCTATTTTCCAATATCAATACATATCAAAATCCAGTTTGCCCTACAACAACGAACAAAAATGCTGCTAGGACAATGCAATGGATCCAATACAAGGGGGATTAACAAAATCTAGATACCAAAAGGAAGGGTTAAAAAGTAAGAGAAGGATGAAAGAAAAAAATATGTATGGTATAGAGGTCAGTAACTTTAAAACAACAGTAGCTCTCCCGTCGCTGCTCCTCCAGCCTGATACACCGGCTGTTGGTTCTGGCTGACGACGTACTGCGAAGGGGCAATGCCTCCACCGCCAGCATCACCACCATCGCGGCCTCCCAGATTCATTGCTGCCATCTGCTGACTGCCAACTCCGTTAAAATAAGCATCCGCCGCATTAACCGCTGCAGTCATGTTTCCGGCACTAGGGCTAGGTACGCCGTTCGCGGGGGTGATCGTTGTTTGTTCGATACGGGTAGGAGAAGGGAAAGCGAGAACGCCATTCCCCTGATCACGAGGTTTCTGTAAAGCAGGGCTTGGTTGAAGTCGTCTGGTCCGCGCATTACGGAACACTTGTTGGACGGGTTTCAGGTATACGGTTGAGAGAGTTCCGATATTCAAACACAACTCCTCGAGCGTCTTTGGATCTAATTTCTCGCTTTCGGCTGATATAGGGGGCTTCTGGCCCATAATAATTGATTTTGCCGCAGTCGGGTCCGTCGATAATAACCGCCAGTACATGTAGCCTCTATCTCGGAGATCTGGGTCGTCTGTTTCCTCTGTGCACCACTTGAGAACTTGGGGTACAAGTTCCTGGCCTTTCGTCGGTCGTTGAATAAAGAGTTTGACTGTCGCTGTGAGCAAAGCCAACTGCACTTCAATGGTCTCATCGTGGAAGGTGAGAAGGTAATCCTGAAGGAGCTGGTCCGAGTTCTCAATACGATCTGCGTACTGGCCGATGATCCAGATAACCGCTGCTTTCGCCTCTGGTTCGTCTAGATCATCTATATTCTGGATAACCTGTCCAATAATGGATTCGTACTGGTTGGGGTATTTGCGGAAGATATTGCGGATCACCACAGTAGCTTCTTGTACTATATAAGGGATTTTGGCATTAACGAGATCCAGGAGGGTATCGATGCATTGCCTCGCAGCGGATTCGATCTTAATTGCGAGCTTCCCAATAGCTCGGACAGCCTTGCGAACGAAGTGAACGTCAATTTCCGTGGCATACCTAAAGTTCATGAGTTTAGAATCTCTTCCGCGCACAGATAAACAGGTAAGATTGTAAACTCACTCCCGCAATTCTGCCAAGACCACGGATATGTTCTCCTTCGTAGTAAGCATAAATATCAATTCAAGTTTTGTCACTTTGACATATATTGGATCGTTATAATTACAGAAGAAGACTCGGATATCATTCCGCAGAACATCCGGTCTCTTCTGTAAAATGAGAATAGCATTTCGAAGCACCAAGTATTGCACTTCAGGTGGCTTGGCGAGCAACGTAACAAGGGGAGGGGATAGCTTCTTCGATAACGACGTGATCTGCTTTTCATCGGCAATATAATTCATGAGGTAGAGAATGACACGAATAGAAGTGAGAACGACAGCGGCATTGGAATGTGAAAGGCGAGGTGCGATTCTCTCCGCGAGTAATAATGCTTCAGCAGAGTCTTGCGGGACATACGACATTAGGGCTTCAAGTATATATGTCTGACCCCATCTGTGAAATGCAAATCGTCAGAAATGGCTCTGTTCAAATAATGCAGAGGAGATTCATACTCGGAACAATCAGCTAATATCGAGACCAGTTTCGATGCGCTTGCGTAGTCGATGGTAAGAGATATCGATTCGCTCCGGCCCCAGATATCTACTAATGCTGCTAGAACACTGGAAACCACTGTTGGGTTCTCGTCCTTCAACATCCTATTAAGCCGATCGATCAAATCAGACCTTTCCACCATGACCTTGTCATGTTCGTATAGCTTTGCCACGCAGAATGCTGCCGTCTTGCGGACGTAGGGATCCGCATCATCCATTAAGTGCTTTACTGGTTGGACAGTGGCTTCCACGAACTCGCGGACATGAATATAGGATATCGTTCGTAATGCCAGTGCACGCACAAGTGGGTTCGAATCATCCATATCCTGCAGTCCTAGGTTAGAAACCCATAGCAACCCTGCGCATGTGCAGCTCATACATTTACCAGTATTGGCAGTGCCTTGAGCGCAATGTCCGGTTTCATCCTCGAATAATTGACCAAATACAAGAAGCACCTAGCATAGGAGGGTCAATGAGACACCATAAAGGAAAAAGAAGCTTGGTTCTCAACGTACATCTTCTTTATCTCCAGACTGGGCAGATTCATACAGCCGATAACATCTGGAAACAGAGCAACCATATCATTATTGCTCATGGTCATGTTGGCGACGATCTTCTTGAGAGCGATCTTCTTGGCGGAGTGATTCTTGTCCTTTTTGCCTCCGCTAACAAGCTCTTGTCGCAACTCTGCTACTTTTCCCTGGAATAGACCAAATAGTAAGCAATTGTACAATCTGAATATAGGGATGTATATTCGAAAACAAGAAGGCAGGGGCAGACGGCAGTGATCGAAACAGATCTCACGAAAAGGGGCAGGAATGAGAACAGATTGGATCAATCACTGTTGGGACAGATCCCGAATAAATCCACGTCGCCCCTCCAGGAACGTGGTATAATAAATTCCATCTCAAATGCAGAAACCGAAATAATCCAGTCGAGCCACTGGATATGGGGTAGTAGCAGCTTCGAAACGTACCCTTGCGAACAGCTTCGCATCTCCCCCACTGGAACTCATGATGACTTATGTATTTCACTGACAACAAATCGCGATGCCCTATTTTTTATTCCGTATTTTATCCTCGATGACTCCGGGTAATATCAGAACAACAGACACCATACGGGGTTGCGACGATGCGGATGGCAGTGAAAGCGGGAGAGGTACTGAACAAGACTGGAAGCCTGGTCGGTCAACTAGTCGGTTGGAATCATGGTTCGAATGTCAATCTGGCATTAACGGACAGACGCGACTCGAGGCTGGGCCGGAGTCAATTAGGAATAGATCCAAGTAGGAAAGGGAGGTTGTCAAGATGGCCGTAAGGCGTCGTAGGTGTTTCGGACAGCAAAAGAGGACAACAAAACACCCACTGCCTGGGATGAAGACAGTAATCGGTGAACCGGAAAGGAGGAATCCCCAAATACAAAAATAGCAACGAGGCGAAAGAAAATGAGGTCACAAGAAGAGAAGGAAGAGAAGGACAAGACTTGGTCCTGGAAAGGAACGGGGGTTCGTCGGTGCCGTCACGCTCCGAAAGCTTGTCTAAACCATCACCGGCATCATCGCTGTCATTCTTCCCCTTCGACCTTCTTACAGTCTCAGAAAAGAACAATCTCTCTGCCATTCCTAATCCCTCCAACATGGCATCGCAATCCGCTTTGCCTCCTCCCCCTCTCCCGCCATGGGTCGTGGCCCTAGAAAAGCCTCTCCCCAAACCCCCCAAATCGACAGCAAATATCCCCGACCCGCCAGGTTTCTCAAGGATCAAAATTGCAGGCAGCAAACAGGTAGAGTTCACTATTCCTTGTTTCTAGATACTTGCAATTGCTTTATGGGCATGAGTTTCAATTTAGACCTAGACGAATGGAGAGCTAACTTCTCTAATCACAGCGCACCCAACAACCCTCCCCATCCAAGCCCGTCGAAACAGACACACTCAAACTGAAAAAGGCCTGGGAAATTGCGCTCGCTCCGTCCAAACAGATCCCCATGAATGCTATCATGATGTACATGTCCGGGAACAGTTTACAGATCTTCAGCATCATGATGGTGTTCATGCTATTCAAGGGGCCGATCCAGGGGTTGATGAATACAAATTCTGTGTTTGCCAAGCTGGAAACGGATGCGACTCGGGCGAAGCTGGCGGGTGTGAAGGTGGTGTATGTGTTGATGCAATTGGTCTTGTTGGGTTTGGGTGTTTGGAAAGTTAATGCGATGGGGCTGTTACCGTATGTCCAATCCTTCTTCGTTTATCTTGATCTTTTGACTGACAAGGATTCTTTTTAAGGACTACAAGGTCGGACTGGTTGGCGTGGGAGTCGGAGAGACAACCATTGGAAAGGGCTTATTTCGCGTTCGGATGATTGATGACCAGTACATATTGTATATGCAGTTCGTCTTGTTCAAGATGCTGTTCTAGCTGCTCGAATAAAACGCATATCATGATTCCAATGCTATTCTCTCAGGCGCTGTTTCGGTTGCGGATAATGTTTTGTAGCTTTACAATAGTCATGGGGTGAAGGACTCAGGTATTGATCATCTTCGTTCGGTCGTAGATATTTCCAATATCTATATATTGTTATGAAGGCTAAATACTGTTATCTAATGAACCATTGAGCATCATTTGACTTCATCGCGTCTTGCCTATGTAGAGGACAACTGAGTCTCGCAATCCCTACTCTCCCATCTTTCTAGCCTCTTCCTTCACTCGGCGCTCCTCCCTCCACTTAGGGCCGAATTGAATGACGACCAGCAACAGCGGCAAAGTCGCCAGCATGACAAACGCAATGAAGGTGAAGCACCACCCCCTCCCCATAGCGTCTATCATGGGATTAATCACAGCCGTTGCGCCGGCGCCTAGCAGACACCGTACGAAATTATTCGACGCAGTAGCCGTAGCCGCCTTGGTCGGATAGAGATCCACCAGCAGCGTGCTGACGGTGCTAAAGGCTCCTGTCATGGACAGTCCCATCACAAACAGGATGGTTGTGGGCGCAGCTAGGTGGACCCCGAAATTCAAGAACCACCCGAAGGCAATGACGGTCATGGCCCCGGTCATGATCAGAGGAAATGCGATCTCAAGGCGCGCTCTCTCAATGGGAAAGTTTCTCAGGTCAGTATCTTTGTTCTTCACGACGGGGAAGCCAAGCCGTCGCGCATGGCGACGGTAGTTGTAGTCGAGGAACTTCCCGTTCAACATTGACGCGAGAGTGGACCCGAGGCCAAAGGGAATATAGCAAAGGCCAACCTCGAGATCATTGAGATTGTACTGTGTGTGATAGATGGACGCAACAGAGGCGCTGACGTCGTAGAATGCTGCAAACAGAATTGCATTGCTGAAGAGGATGACAAAGGTGTCTTTCTGGAAGACAATCATGAGCGTCTTGGCAGGGTTGGGGAAACCAATTTTACGCGTCGATGGTGAGGTATTTGATGTCACTGTTGAAACCCCCTCTCGTCGGGCTCTTAGGGCTCGCAGCCAGCTGGTCACGGTCATACTCCATTTCGGCGGCGGTATCGAACCGTTCCCAACAACTGCGCGAGCCGTTTCGGGAAAGAAAAGAAGAAAGGTTACGATGAACACTCCAGCGAAGATAACAAGGAACCAGAAGATAGATCTCCATCCGAGATATTGGGCCAGGAGACCTCCAATCACGGGCCCAATTGAGGGACCTAGCAGCGAGCCAGCGTTTACAAAGCCCATGTATGAGCCTCGTTGAGCGACGGTGGTGATGTCTGCCACTACACCGGACGAGAGGGCGATCGTGGTGCTGCTCCCTGCGCTCTGCATGCAGCGCAACACAAAAAGAGCCGCATAGTTATTCTGCAAAGCCAGTCCGATATTGGCTGCGATGTAAATGGTGAAGCAAATAATATACGCAGGACGCCGTCCAGCCTTATCTGCAAAGTCGCCTATGAACATGGGCGAGAGGCCTTGGAAGATCTAGACTCTCGGTTAGCACCAGCATGCAGGGACACGGCAGGGTTACACGAAGGGAGCTCTCACCATGTAGCTGGTCAGCGTTAAATTGATCAGCGAAATCGACACGCTGAGATCCTCAGCCAAGCTATTCAGAGCCGGATAGTAGATCTGAGTCGACACGGGAGAGAAGAACCCTGCCCATGATGCCATGAAGACAACAAACCGTTTCTGTGGCTCTGTGAAGACGGAGAACTCGACATCAGTATGGGAGGACTGCAACGCAACACCGGCCTCCAATACGCCGTCATTCTTCCCTATCGAGATCTCTTTGTCGCATTGTTCTTGCGTATTGACGTCTATTGCAGACGGATCAAAGTCTGCTTTCTCGTTTTGGTCGGCCATGGGCATTTCATCAGTTGATCTAGCCACGCATGGACAGAGGCGAGATTGAAGTCGAGGATGATCGAGAGAACATGCTCACAAGAGCGATATCACCTCGCAAAACAGTCAATTAATCGGCGATACGGAGTAGCCGAATTGAGCGTCGACGGGCGGACATAGGTTGCATTCAGAATTGACGATGGAATTGGTGCCGAGTTCCGACCGATGATTTTGCCGTGCGTCACGTCAATTCTGGCAGTTTATTTAATAACCTAGAAGTGCAGTGGTACGATGTGGATTCCCGACTTTTCGACATACTAATGGGCTCTACAGGGATCTATGTAAGCTTCTATATAAGCTTAATCTCATCGCCGCTGCTTCTCAACCGCATCTCTGCAGGCGCATAAAAAGATCTGGCAGAACTCCCACACTTCAGTGTAGGTGTTGAAGAGAGGCGCTGGTGCCACCCGGATCACGTCCGGTTTCCTCTCGTCGACGACCACCCCGTTCTGCTCCAAGCTCTCGAGAACGCTGTCGAGCAGCCCCGGCGTGAGCAGTAGACTCAATTGAGCGCCCCGCTCTGCCGGGTTCGCAGGGGTCATTATCTTAAATGGCTTCCCGTTCGGAAAATCAAAAGGGAGGGTCAGCAGAAGATGCTCGAGGTATCCAGTAAGGTCAAGCGACTTCTTGCGAACATCAGCCATCGACGTCTGATTGAAAAGCTGTAGGGACGCAACCACGGCATTCATGTCCAGGACAGAGGGGTTCGAAAGCTGGTATCCTGCTGCGCCAGGTTGAGGAAAAAATTCTGCCAGCAGGAAATGATTAGAAATCCATAGTCAAAGACAGGTGTGATAGTGCGTCTCATACTATTATTCATAAGGAATCGGGTTGCCTTGTCACTGCCCCACCAGCCAGTCAACCTGGGGCGAAACGAAACCGTCTCAGAATCCTTTCCCGGGTTCACCTGTCCATGCCTCTCGTGAACAAACAAGCCAGCCATTCCACCTGGCCCGCTGTTCAGGTACTTGTAAGTACACCAAGCAGCAAAGTCCACGTCCCAGTCATGCAAGCGCAAGCCGACATTGCCCGCAGCGTGAGCACAATCCCAGCCAATAAGGAGACCCTTCGAGTGAGCGTGGGCGGTGATCTTTTTGATGTCAAAGTATTGTCCGGTGTAGAATTGAATGGCAGGAAGAAGTATCAGGGCAGCGTCCGAGGCATTGTCATCGATAACCCGCAGAATTTGCTCCGTCCCTAATATCGGATTGGTAGGATCTTCTGGTTCGATCAAGACCATGGCATCCTTTGGGTCCAGGCCATGATGCTGAATTTGAGACTCAACTGCAAACTGAAGTGCGGCTCGCATCAGCTTCTTCTCTCGCAATCCGGGGACGGACGAACAAGCCACATACATGATCACTAGGGAAAGCCTTCCCCTCGAGAATAATTTTATAATTCTCCTTTGTCGGACGGTAAAAGCTCGCCATCAAGAGGTGTATGTTTGCTGTTAAGGTGCCCATGACGGCCACTTCGCTTTGAAGCGCTCCCACGACGGGTGCCATTAACTTCGAGCCTGCTTCTTCGACATGCAGAAATGGGGGAAGCAATTCGTCCTCGTGCGGAACAAAATGTCCAGTGACGCCCTTTGTTGCCCAGGTCCGAAGGTAACGCTCGATGTACTTCAGGGTATTGCGCGGTTGGGGTCCGAGCGAGTTGCCGCAGAAGTAGATGCATCTTGGATCGGAGGGGTCTTCCTCTATAGCAGACGCAAGTTGTAAGCCACCAGGACTATCCTAGCAGCACTCTCCAGAGATCCAATGGTCAATGGTACGCACTTTCATCCACTGCCAGGACCTTTCTCTTCAAGTCCTTCTTCGACGGAATGATAAACTCTTTTCTGAAGCGATTGAGGGGATCCTGGGAATCGAGGAACTTGGCAAACTCTCTCTGGTGGGCCCTGGCACCCTCACTATAATATTCTCTGGAAGCCATGATGCTGACGATAAGAGGAATGTTGATGACAGCAAAAGAAAAGACAGAAAGTAATATAGAGGGGTTTATCCCACTGTACCGCACATGGAAGGCGGTGTGTATATACAGAGAGTTCTGCTGCTTCTCACCGACTCAGCATGGGCCAATGGCGTCATAGGGCTTCGGATATGTAATCATCAGCGGCAGAATAATCATTGACCATAATAATCAATGCCGCGGATGCCATGGACAATCATCAGCAGCTTGCAACAATAGTGAAAGCCGCTACAGTCATGTCTCCTTCAACGCTCCCTTCGCTGGTCTATCGGCTACCGCGAATCTGTGCCTCTTCCTCCTCAGTCCTCTCCATCTACCGCTGCCATCGCTCGTTCTCCGCTGCGAAACCGGCCTTGAGCTTCTCGGTGTCGCATTACCACGACCATGCCTTATTCCATACGCCTCTCGGATCTCTACCTCATCCTTCACCACCTCGATTATGCAGAGAGTATTTCCTACGATCGTCACTATCTTCCCGTCATCCATCTCACCGGCAGCATTATGCATTTTCCTCGTCAGCCATGAGTGCGGCAGCCAACGTCCTTCAGAACCCGAGAGTCGATGAAGAGGGGAAGGAACTGTGGATTAATATATCCCCCCGAGCTGCAGAGGTAGGTGTGATTGTTGTTGCTTTTTATTTATTTTTTTCTAGAGCCTTCAGTCTGTTATGTCTACGTGTGGGGGCCATAATTGTGGGAATCATTGAGTGCTTTGTTTGAAGCAGTACCCCAGATGGCTTGTTGAAAGGTAGTGTCGGGATCAGAAACATGCCCGAAGCCCCCGTTATATACCTTCATTGTCAAGTTCCTAGCACATACGACCACAGGGTGTGGAAAACAGGGCTTCCCGTCCGCTCAGCCGTACTTAAGCCACACGCCGGCCGGTTAGTAGTTGGGTGGGTGACCACCAGCGAATCCCGGCTGTTGTATGTTTTTTTTTTTTTTTTTTTTCTGTTTTATATTTTTATATCTTGTTCTGTTTAGATATCTACTTCATCCATATAAGTAGCTGACAAGAAATACCTGACAGCGCCTCCGAGAGATCACCGACCCCTCCACCTCTCCATCAATCACAAAGGAAGAAAACCCCTACCACCATCTCCGAATCACAGTTACCAGCGGAGGCTGTCATGGCTTCCAATATCTGATGTCACTCGAACCCGCATCCAAAATTGACCCGGAAGAAGACACGGTATTTGAAGCTGAGCCACAGCCCCAAGAAGGAGCAGAAGGATCAGCCGGTGCCGGTGAAGCTAAAGTGGTCATGGATGAACCTTCATTGGAACTTTTGTCCGGCAGCACGGTGGATTATACGATGGAATTGATCGGGAGCCAGTTTAGCATCGTGGATAACCCGAGGGCGACGAGTAGTTGTGGTTGCGGGACGAGTTTTGATGTTAAGGATTAAGTGGATGATATATTTTATATGCATATCTATCTGGATTCTATAAGATAGGATTTGTCGATTTTTTTTCTTTCTTGGTTTTGTAGATGCTTCAGGGTTCTATATCCAGGATCTGAATATATTGCATTGTCGGGAACATTCGTCCGCTCCATAGAACGCCTGTCTCAGAAGAATGTATTCCGATTATACCTGATTCATTGTGCAAGCTCAGTCCATAACTGGCATTTGTTATTGGTGCTCAGCAAGTGTGAGCTTCCCCTGTTGTATGATTCAAGGCCAATGTCTTCCATCCAGTGCCTACGACACATTAAAGCGAAACTAGACGCCGTCGAGTCCCCTACCACCAGAAAATTAAGAAACCGTTCCGCAACGTGTTCCGTGTCCGTGGATATTCGCATCAACGTCTTCCCAACCTCCACTAGGTCCTTCCCAAATGCCTCCAGCTTGGGCTTTCCTGTCTCGATGCTTACAATCATATCGAAACGGCTAGGGCTAGGCAGAACGAGGCTGAGTGTTATTTCTTCTGACAAAGATCAAGTTCCTGTGGGCGCGTAGAATTGTCAGCTTTCATCAAGGATGTACTTTGAATTGGGCTCGGAGACAAGGTGCGCTTCGCGTTCAGACTAGAATGCTCTTGATAGTTGATATTTAACATCATATTGCATTGTACTCTGGATGGTTCAACGCTTTCGGATAGCCTAAGCACTGAAGTCGAATAATCTACCCCACAGCAGAAGATTAAAAAAGAAAACATCCATGCAAGAACGCCCCTGATAAAAACAAGTCCGCCTAACTTCTCTTTTGTTGGGGAATAAACAAAGAAACATATTCAGCGGATAGAAGAGGAAACAGAAACTCTTAAAAAAGAGTTTTTGTTTTTTTATGAAAACGTTGCTTCATTACATTCACCCCATGCCCTGTTCTGTCCTGCTCATACAACTGTGTTATTTTCAAGATATGTCTCCAAGAAGGGGGTATTTGTGATCGTCATCCATGCTCCATTCTGTAGATCTCTTCTCGTGGTTCTAGGAGTAGTCTCCCCTTCTTCAAACTTTTTTTCAGAGGCGCGCACGTTCAATCGTGACAGCATCTAGATCATGGCTTGTTCAGCCCGATGGACAAAATGGGTACGTTGTATGCTTTTCGGGATTCCTCAACTAGTGGCCGAGGATAATATGAACAATCCAATCCGAATCCTAATAGACTCTAGCAAGATTCCTGAGATACCAGTCAACAAGGCGGCGTCCGGCCTTGGTCTCGCTAACATGGATCAAATCTCCCTCAAGAGCATAGTCCAGCTCGTTGGCAATGACGGGTTCGCCTTCGAGCAGACCACCCTCGACCCAACGCACCTGGCGGCTGCGCTGCTTGTTGACCAGTAGCCAGGAACGAAGCTTCTCGGGCTCAACTTCGAGGAAACCAGCCAATTTTTGTAGATCCATCGTCGTGTAGAGCTTCAGATACGACCGGATAGTGGGGTTGAAGAGGGTGTTTTTCACCTCATCCATGAAGATAGAGGTGTGGTGGTCAACGGGGTCGACGTTAAGGGACGGGTTCTCAAAGTCGGGGGGGGTCGGGCTGATGAACTTGGGGCAAGCGGAGCGGAAGAGCTCCTCGAAAAGAGGCAGAGCCTCGGGGCCGCCGCGCTGGAGGCGGATGAATTGTTCGCCGTATTTCTCGCGTAGGGCGGAGTGGATGGTGTCATCGAGACGAGTCGGATGAAGGGCGACGCAGATGGCGATCAGAGCATACATCTGATCGTTCTTCTTGGCGATGGCATCGTAGCTATTGCCGCCCTTGTGGAAATTCTTGGTCCGGGAGACATAGACCAAAATGTGGCTGAACATACGGATGGCGTCGGCGTAGCGGCGCAGCATCATATAGGAGAATCCCACATAGTAGTAAGTGGTGAAGTGAGCAGCCATGACGCGAGCAAACATGGCTTTCTTGTTCATCTCGATGTCATCAAGGGTCTTCAGGGCAAGGCTGAAGTCTCCCAGCAAGCAGTGGACGCGCAGTAGTCCGATGATGGAGAAGTATCCCAACATCTTGTATAGCGGCCGGGAACCATACTCTCCAGCAAAGGCCATTGGGTCCTCACCACGCTTGATGGCAGCCAATTGATCATTGATCTGCGAGCGCTGAATGAGTGAATAGAGAACGTTAAGCACGGAGTAGCAACCCCATGTGTTCGGATTCTCGCGCAGGAGCTGTGCCTCTTCCTCGTTGGAGCCGCTACGGGCCACACGATTACGGTAGCGACAGAAGGACTCGAACTGGTAAATAAATTCATCGATAACATCCCAAGCCCAGTAGTACTAAAAACGGTAAGGAATCAATCGTTAGCATGCATATTGTTCTCCCTGCCAAATTTTCCCATTTGGGCAAAGCAAAAATATGCAGGTATGCTCCACATACCGAGGGAACCTCCAGCTCAACCGGCCCTTCAGAGTTCAGGATGTAATGGAAGAGACTGCAGTAGTTGTCGTAGCTCGCAAACTTGGTTTCCAACGTGGCCTGGTATTCCAGCGGGGTAGCAGCAGCAGCGAGCTGTGCCTGCAGATCCTGTGCCTGAGAAGCTCCTCCAACCGATGCTGTTGCTTCCAACTCGCTCAAACCATCATCAAAGTGTACCTGCTCGCGGTAGTCGTTGACGAGCGCTTCCTCCTCGACATCGGACTCGTCGCCCAGGTTGGGGTGCGCGTTGGCGCGATCGTCGTACGACATTGTTGAAAAAGCGGTTTTCTGTGTGAAGGAATCGAAAGTTGTCTATGGAAGGGGGAGGACCGGACAGATAGAGCGGGAGGCTCGAGGCGGCGGGTGCGTGGTCGTTGCGTAAGTCGCGGCGTGTGGGATTTTGACGGATTTGGCCGAATTTTGAGGGTTTTCGCTTGGTTGTTTTGTGCTTATCTTATCTGCGCACAGATTAGTCATCTGTGAACATTTGTGCAGTATACTCGGTGGCAGCTAATAACTTAAGAGTAGACTGACTTTGTTGATCCGGGGAAGTACTTCTACAAGGGACATGTTTACTAGGAGTATTTGGATAGTAGAGTGCTCTAGGGTAGTAGTACTCCTTAGATACGGAGTAATATACATACGCTGTAGATGCAGTATGGATTACTTCCTACTCAAATCCTCGCGTCAAACTGGTTCCAAGCGATGTCTATTATCATTATCAGACAGATAGTCTTGGTAACACTGACGTTTTAGTATCTACAAGATGGTCAAGAGGAAATTTGAAACAAAATGGAACCATTGGCATTGCATCAATGATCAAACTTGACAACCCTAGCCCTAGCCCTAATATACAGGATAGAACCGGCTACCCGCGGTGCGATTGATAAGAATATTTAAGAGAAAAGCCGCGGCTGATAACGATTTCGTGGATCAGGAAGAAAATTTCCTCCTAGACTCTGCGGATGCCATGCGGATAGCCATGGCAAACCCAGGGAACGGGAGGGAAGGAGAGGGAATGGTTTCCATTCATGCCGACTATCCGTGCATACTACTACGGAGTATAGGAAAAGGTTTTTCTGTTTTCCATCGGGAAAGTCGGTTTGGTGGCGGGATACCGGCTTGGCTTCATAGGACTGGGAATATAAAAAACTCTGGAAGGATCGTTTTCTCTCAATTGCGCACATAGGAGCACATCCTGCCAAGGATTGTTGATCACTTTTTGGATTCTCGGGTTGAATTGGTTTGCGTGACTCATCACCATAACCCCCGTAGTTGACTATTACTATACTACAAGCTTAAATATCCTCTTCCCCTCCCTCTGAATCTTCCATCCCATTCAACCATTTCACGACCGTTGAACCGTTGAACGAAAACAACCATGCCCGTCGCAACATCGCCAACCCTCAATGGGCTCAACGCCTCCGTGATCAAGGTGACTCGCACCACCAACCCTCGCCCCGTCCCCCTCCCCGGCTCCCCCGAGGAACTCTCCCACTCATACTGTACAGACCACATGGTCACGGTGCGCTGGACAGCGACTCACGGCTGGGAGACGCCCGAGGTGCGTCCATTCCAGAACCTGAGCATCCCTCCCACGGCGTCCGTCCTGCATTACGCCACCGAGTGCTTCGAGGGCATGAAAGTGTACCGCGGCCACGACGGCAAGCTGCGCCTTTTCCGTCCGGACTGCAACGGGGAGAGACTGTCGAATAGTGCCAAGAGGGCTAGCTTGCCTGAGTTTGAGTATGAGGAGTTGAAGAAATTGATTGCGAAGTTGATGCAGGTTGATGGAGCTCGTTAGTTTCCTCCCATTGGAATTGGATAAAAGAGGGCACTAACTGAATGAATGAATCAACCAGGCTGGCTCCCCAAATCCCAACCGGAAGCCTTCCTCTACCTCCGTCCAACCCTCATCGCCAATGGTCCCAACCTCGGCGTCCAAATCCCCAACGAAGCTCTCCTCTTCATCATCGCTGTCCCTTGGCCCGACCCCTCGAAAGCACCCGCCCAAGCCCACCCCACCGCGAAACCAGGCCTGAAACTCCTCGCCTCCCCGCCAGACACCATCCGCGCCTGGCCAGGCGGTTTTGGCTACGCCAAGCTAGGCGCCAACTACGGTCCCTCTCTCCAGGCGCACGGCCACGCGAAGGCCCAGGGACTCGACCAGGTGCTCTGGCTGTTCGGTCCGGAGCGTTTAGTTACCGAGGCGGGCGCCAGTAACTTCTTCATCGTCTGGCGGAATGCAGAGAGTAAGAAGTTGGAGATGGTGACGCCTGGATTGGAGAACCAGCTTATTCTCCCCGGTGTGACGAGACGGAGTGTGTTGGAGTTGGCGAGGGAGAGGCTCTCGGCGGATACCGCTGGGGGATTGGAGGCTGTTGAGGTTGTGGAGAGGCAGTTTGGGATTGATGAGATTGAAAAGGCTTGGAAAGAGGGGAGGATTGTTGAGGCTTTTGTGTCGGGTACTGCCGTGAGTTCTTCTTCCCTGTTGAATTCGGGCCGCTCTAACTGATACAGTACTTCATCTCGCCTGTTTCCACTATCCGAGATGGCGGTGTTGATATGGACATGGCTCAGCCGGCTGCTGGAAAGGCTGGATATGCTGCGCAGATCAGGGAGTGGCTGGGCGCAATCATGTTTGGTAACGAAGACCACCCATGGGCTTACGTTATTGAGGAAGAAAGTGAGAAATAAAGAAAGACAGACAGCCGTGAAGAGCAGGACATTAATTACATATACCTTACCTCTATTGTAAATATTTTTCAACTACAGCGTATATAGTTTGAGACAAATGAATCGGAAAAGCTGCATGTCCGGGATTATGAACGCTATCAATGCGGCGTTTTAAACTCAAGAGTTGAGGCTATTAGATATCTATCCCGCGGAATGGACCTGGACAAAGCCTGCATCCTGATCCAACTCCCTTTTCTTCAACAATCCATAAAGCATTCACATAAATTAAGAGTGGAATATGGGTCTCATTGTGACGAGGCGGAAAACATCAGACCCTCGGCATGTAAATGAGTTGAGATATTCGAGATAAGAAGAGACAAAAAGGTATCATCGGGAAGTTCATGAAGGAGAAAAGGTTAATCGTCCGCAAGGGATTCACTCACTAGACAGTTATCTCACTCTCTGCCCAGTGAGTGCTACCCAGAGAGGGGCGACCGGTTAGTTCATCATGATCATTGTTGTAATCCTCGTCATCTGAATCCTCGATGGAAAGAAGCTGGAAGCGGTTCGGGACCGGAGCCGGCTTCGTCACACGTGCAGGAGGGTCAACCTTCGGGATCGTGTGGTGTTTGGGAAACGGATCTGCACATTCGTCTGGGTAGAAGGAGATCCTCATGCGTTTGTATGAGAATCGAGACATCATGCATGAGCGCGCAAATAGTGCATTGTGAACTGAATTCGTGGATATGTAGGCATTTCCGTTTTTGTAGTCTACGGAGATGACAATAAGATTGTGGATGTGCTCGAGGTCCCTGCGGATGAGGGCCTCGCTGATATTTGGGTTCACATTGGAAATCATCAGGTTTCTCGTAGCCCCATTGTTGATCTTGGTCCTGACATACGGAGGCAGGTAGAACTGGCGCTCGCTCCACAGCGCTTCCACCTGTATTCGAATTTCTGTCAGATGACATCCTATCCAGCAGAAGACATGGAGGAGCAACAAGGCTTACACGCTTCCCAGCTACATAGAGGCCATGCTGCTTAACGTAGTGCAGAAATTCCTGAGCAGCGGATTCCTCAACGAAAGATATGCTCGCCATATGCTCCCGAGCCCGCAGGAAGATGTCGAGAAGAGCGCCGCCTCTCACAGCGTCCGTGATATCATGATGAGTGACACGGTCTGGTAAACCGCGAATCATCACGGTGCGTTGACCAGTCGAAACAGCAGACGACCTTCCGCTTTTCGATGAGCTGTCGTATTCATCTTTTTCATCATGACCGTGAAACACAGCATCTTCATCGTCGTCAAAAGTCTCGCGCTCTACGTGCGCATGATTTCTGTGATAACCACGATATCCAGTCTCGATTTCCTTGTCAGCAACAGGCGCGGCAGGTGGTTCAGGTTTCTTGGGGTAGATAGGATCTGGAATTGTGTCGGTATCCTCGTGGGTGTTCTGATAAGGCTGCGGCGTGGGGGTTTCGCCTCCGTATATCAGGATCTGTGAACGACAAATGATCAATTAAAAAAAGAGGCCCGACCAATGATTTCACGACAAACGTAGCCCTAACATCAAGTGTTTCCTGCGACAATCCTCCCGTCAGAAGCGAGTCCTTGAGCTTCTCTGGTCCAGACGGTCAGTCGAGATACAGTCCACCATTCCGCGTCGCACAAGATCCAAGGCCGCAAGGGGGAGAGAGAAACAGATTGAGCAACTCGGGGCGAGAAACAACATACTGAAATGCACAGAAATTTGGAGCTAATGGGGATTCAATCCCAACCGTCAGTACAAGTCCATGGTATTTCGTTTGCAGATCTGGAAGCTCACCAAATTCTCGTACTCGGACCTAGGAATTGTCACAGAGTCTAAATCTAGAGGAACGGCGTCTCTGAGCGACTGCAGCAAGTTCTCAACATCGTGAGTCGGAGAATCAAGAAGAGGACGGCACGAACTAGCAGGGAGGTAGTATACAACTTACGGGAGAGAGCCTGTCAACATGTTGGAAGTTAGTCATTATCTACTCCGATAAGGCCATTCGTGATGAATCGCAAGTCGCGCAGAAAGTAAAGACAGTCGAAGATACGGAGATGGTAGAAAAGAAACAGGGGAGGGAAGCGATCAATCAAGATAGGAAGAGAGAAAGGGGGAGACGCCAAGGGCGAGCGCGCCGTGGAGCTTGCAGACAAACGATGTCGGAAAGGTGCATAGTCATACTAAACAGCAGCTAGGAGTGAAGGTAGTGGAGACACTCACCTCTGAATCAAGGATTCCAAATAGGACTTTTCAACGGTGACTAGTGATGACATGACGGATACTCTTGCAGGACAGGAACAGGCGAAGGGAGAGAGCGAGAAGGGAAGGGGAGGAAGCGAGGGCGAAGAAGTAGTTGAGCTCATCATAAGACTGCTTGTGCAGATCAGACAAGCAGATGCGCGCTACCCCACAGCTTGCCTGCCAGATCCAGGAATGGCATCATTATTATTACCTCAGTATCTAGCTTCGCTGTTCTATCGCTGCTGTCTCTCGAGTATTATATCCCAATGACAGCGGCCATCGCGAGCAATGATTCAGCTCTATGAGAGAGTCCGGGGTAAGACTAAGAGCAGGTGTAAGTACTCTCGGTAGATCATCCATTGCTCACGATAAGCCCCATCACGCGATCTCTTTATTCTGATTATGACTGCAGGAGCTTCACTGTGAGTAGGAGGAATATCCAATATTATTATTCTAAGAATGATACAAAGATTATCATGGATCAGATCTGGTTCTACTCTGTAGAAAGTTGATCATGTGATTTGTATTCACTCCAGATTCTCTGAAATGCTTCACCATATAGACTTTTTATTCACAGACTTTCCCTTTCAGGATGACACCACTTTTGTGAGGGTGCTCAGGGTGATGCTCAGTGCATATTTCTTCATACGTGAGCAAAATGGTCTGGGATGGTAATTGCCATGAAATAGCCAGGAAGGTATCTTACTACACCAAAAATGCGACGCTGGTTATGGACTGAGCTTACCCACATAATTCAAAAGACAATACATGCATGACCTTTAGCTTCAGCCTGACAAATATGGCAAGAGGGTCATCGTCCGATTTAAATTCCTCTACGGCCTACTCTTCTCGAATATTCATTTGCCCTTGCGAAGACTTTTGCATGCTTCAGGCAGAGGCAAACAAATCGACGATATTCTCCATGAACACGAGAAACGGCACTGTTTGGCATCTGGTGGAAGCCGAGTATGCTTCATCTCCATATTGCCTTGGCAGCAGGTTGACTATCTGTACGATCTTCGGAAGAAATTGACGAGCAATGATGTCTTAATAGAATTGCAGCATGTCAATTAGAGATGCTGTACCTAGAAATAGTAATAGTCATAACTGCCCGTAGCTCAGTGAAATAATCCGTGACAGGACGGGGATTCTATATACTACACCTCATTGCGATCAGCGACATCTAAATCACCCTCAACTAACCACACCTACTCCACTTCCCCCGTAGGCCCCCCGGCACGTCCCTCTGCTCCATCTTCACCTTCAATTCCCTCTGGCGCAGCCCCAGGCTGCTCACGCTCTCGTTCCTGCTCCGCAGTAGCAGGCATTTCAGCAATCTCCACTGCGTCTGCTCCTCTTCTCCGCCATCTAGCTTGCACGACTTGAGCAAGGCTAGTGCCCATCTGCACCATCAAGACAGCAAATAAGGTGCCTATAACAAGCATCTGTGGAGTATACGTTTCCACCTCTTCAGAACTGTTGTCGTTGTTGTTTGCAATCTGTTGCGGTTGCTGACTCACTGCAGACGGCACGACAGGGGCAGAGCCGATGGAGATGGAAATTGAAAAGGAAAACGGCGTGAAGGAAGTGACAATGCTCGTAGACGGTCCCGAAAAGAACTGCAATGAGAGTGGAACAATCACCAGAGAGATGAAGATGAAGACAAAGAGAGGGACGGCTAGTCATAAGATAGGCAGTTTGTGGATTTGCGCGGGCCTTCGCAAGAAAGCAAGGAGTGAGCCACTTGTAGAATTAGAAGAGATTGAAAAATAGAAGAGGGAAGGAAGAATTACATACCTGTCCTTTCTCTCCAGCTTTCTTGCCCAGCCCGCGGTAATCTTAAGCCTCTCCCGGACACTGGTTGTTAGTAAAAGCGGGTATCTTTCCTCCTCCGAAATGCGAAGAACACTGGCAAGCCACCAAGGGAATTTCACGGGATCGGTCGGTGTATCTGGATATGCCATGAGGAAGGGAGGTTGGAGCCATGTAGCGCCATTCGCTCTTTGTCTGTGCACAAAATCCAATCCCATTTGCAACAGTTGCTGAGTCGACATGGATTCCAACAGCACCTCATCTGCATTTTCATTGTTTCCATCCTCATTACCATTCTGTGTAGCAGCAATAGTGGCCGCCATCGTCTCTGTAGCTTCCAGACTCTCCTCTTCTGCCAACGATACATCGTCAACCCGTTTGATCTTCCCAACATGATACCCATCCAGGAGACTCCATTCGAGGACCTTGAAACGCGACAAACCAGTAGCAAGCACGAGACTCCTCCCATCGGGAAGCAATTCGAAGCGATCGATCATCAACATCGTACCGTACTGCATAAACTGCGACGCCCCCAGTTCCCCCTGCGGCTCGCCGGAACGATTATACATCAGCATTCCGAACTTGCCTCCTCCGCTGTCCATCACGCGCCGGATCATGAGCCGGTACCGGGGCTCAAAGATGTGCAGGAAAGTCGGCATTGTGGGGAATGTCAGAGCGCAAACAAACAAAGGGACCGTTCTCTCGCTGTCCAGCCCCGCTTCTTCACGGACTGCTGCGTCTCTTCTCGCTGCAATCTGCTCCGGGTAGAGCAGATCGACGAGGCGAGCTACTCTCCGATTCACAGGCTCGGACTGTACACTCGGTGGCAGGTTCAGTTTCCGTCGACAGATAGGACAGAGGTCGGAGTGATCCAGGACCCTGGCAACGCACTTCCGACAGAAGGTATGGCCGCAGGGTGTGGTCAAGGGTTCTAAAATCAGCGCGTAGCAGACCTGGCAGTCCAGCTCGTTCCGTAGATTCTCCTTGAGCTTCTCGAAGACCACCCGATCTCGTTGGGTATACCCATTGTCATTATTATCGTCGTTCTTCTTCTTGTCACCTGTCTCCGCATCCATGAGAGCCTCATAAACGACATCCGTCGCATCATACTCGAACTCTCCCCGTTTCACCAAGTCGTAAACCCCCTCTAATAACTGACCCCGTGTAATGTCTGTGCTTTTCTCCAAGTCACCCTTCTCTTGCAGTTGTCGATCGACATCATCACCTTTTCTTTTCCAGGCCACCTTCATAGCACCCTTACCCTCTTCTTCTATAGCAGAATCCGTTCCGGCACCCCCCAAAACCTCACCATACAAACCAACCAGCTTGGACAACAAAACATCAACCCCACAATCCTCCAAACAATGTTCCCCAGAACATGGCTTCTTAGCCCCCCAATAACAACTAAACCCCTGCACCCTCTCCTCGCGGACGGGATAAGTGATCCCAATCCGCGGCCGGACAGGTGGTAGACACGACCGACACAGCGTATACCCGCAGGGTAAGCGGAGAGGATATTTGAGAGGTAACGAGCAGCGCGGGCATTGGATTAAATGGATAATAGAATGAGCGGCGGGGATAATATCAATACTGCTGTCGTTGATGTTATCTGTCTTGGCGTCTGTTTGTAGACTTGGACTTGGACTCGGACTCCTCTGGGGATCCGGATCAGCCCAGGACGACATCATGGGGTATTCAGATTCATGTTCATTGTGTTCGGACTGTGAGAGAGGAACTGGAGATGGAGGTCTTGAGGAGGTGGTGGGATCTGTAGGTTCGAGATTGGTGGCATCTTCCATGGGTGAAGTATATACTGAGTACGGAGATAATCGGCGATCAATCAGGACGTTGCAATCATCAAGATAACGCTAGACGGTCAAAAGTTACCACCGGCGCCAGCATGAGTAATAATCCAAAGAAGAAAGGAGTGAAATGCCTCTTTCAACACTGACTTCAAGATAAGATGAAAGGAGACGAGAAGATAAGAGATGGACAATCAGGAGATTCAGGACGGGAGTCGGCAGAGGCCCGGAATCCGGAGACTTTGCGAGTTCCCTTGACACTTTCAGCCTGGAAGAATCTTGACAATCCCGATTCTCAGATACACATCTACCGAGGCTATATATATGGTCTTCCAGAATGGTCACTCGATAGCACCTCAAGTATACGGTGAGAGTAGTTGGATCCCTCCGGATATATATAGCATGGCATGACGTGGACGATCTTCCTGCTACATACGTATGTTTATTCTAGCAACCTTGGAATCTTTCCATTTTAGTGCTCAGGCCTCACCACTTTTTGCTCAGTGAGCAGCCTGAGCGGATCACTGATCATAAGGTGAGTAGGAAATTAAGCATCTAACCCCTTTTTCTGTCCCTTAAGCCAAGCATCAACCAGTGAGCAATCCGAATCCCCCTCATGAAGGTGGTGGCATCCCGAAAGGGAAAGTCTCCGTGATGTATATTCCAGATATAACTTTGGAGCTCGATTTCATCCTCGAAAATCTCGCCCCGCATGCCTTATTCCCGCTAAAAGAGCTGGGTGCTGTTCCTCGACGGGGAAAACCACCAGCTACTCGAAATATGAAATTTCATGAATCATGGTCAGTCCATAAGATATCTTTCAAAAGCCAACAGAAAGAAAACTCATGTGTGCATTTTAACAACGGTAGCAATTATAACTCTCGTTTCTGTCAACCCTGGAACCCATGAACTTGAAGTGGAGAAAAGAGAGACGACGTATTCTACGTTGTATACTGAGGAGAAGGAACTGGCGAAACAATGGTATTATTTGATACCCCTGGTAAACTAGCTAGAAGGAATAAAAGGATCAAGGCAACCACTGGAGAGAGAAAGGCCCGGCCTGACTAGGAGGATCACGGGATCTCAGGACTCTTGATGAGATTTGTTAGGGGATCATAAGCCTGAGGCATCAGAGATGAACCACTTAAGAAATGGAGGCTAACCAGCAACCAACTGGCAGGTTGACCATCCTATACCTCACTGTCCGTCGTCCCTTCTCTACTGTGTCATTTTCGACACTAGTCTGTGCTATTTCCTTCATTGTGTGCTCACACAATACCTCTTCTTTCCTTTCTTCCAAGGGCCGTGCCTGGTCCGTGTCATGCTAAGTTCTGTTGCCTCGACCCAACACGCTCCCTTCCTTTCCTCCGTGTCCTCTGCTCACCCCGCGTTGTTTGACACGGTTTGGTAGAGTTGGCTTGTTTACCCTTTGCCGCGTGTCACCCTCCAGTCACAACTGCACAACCCCCAGTCCTATTGTTTGCCCTGGTTGACTGGATTGTTGTGACAGCACAGTCATGCGCGCTCCTCAGTACTAGGTTCTGCCTGGCCATCTCCCCTCGCCGTCCTCTCTATGTGCTGGTGAACAACCCCATTGATAAACAGGGAGATCCTGTGTCTTCTACCCTTCCTTTTGCGTTCTAGACAAACATAGCCAAAGTCATGGAGCAAGTTGATGAGCTTGGACTAAGTGTGCAGTTTGTCAGCAAGCATTGCCGTCAGCTGGTAACAAGAATCCTTGTTGCCCCTTCGCAACTACGAAGATAATAATTGCTTGTGGTGCGGTACGTGTACATTCCCCACAGTGACTTGGTTTGCATGGCAAGTTTAGACCAACTTGAAGATATTGTGTGGGCTTTTGAAGAGAATGCAAGACATGCATAGGGCCTCTATAGGGGGTCTGGATCAGCTGTTCTTGTAACTATGTGTAGGTTGTTCCTTTTCTTACTCAACACATCTTTGACTGACCCAAGAGACAGGGCTGCCAAGCTCTGAGATTGTATCAATGCTTCCTAGCATCCGAGAACCCTTGCGTCCCCCGTCAGCTGTGCCTAGCGCCAGTAATAGTAGACCAAACACATCCACAACCAGCCAAGTGAGGTTCATAGGAACACTGCATGGGTCACCACCCACAATGCTTCCCCCCAGTAAATGGCAAAAGACTGCAGATCCACGAGCGAACCTTGACCCCTTATCTGGGTATAACCGCGACAATACCTTTTCTACGAATGTGTGTATCTTAGCCAGCAGCCACCATGGAAAAGATGATAATTTGACACAACGCATAGACTAAGATGATGCCTGCTGTCTGGCTTGAAATACTGACCCTCTAGAGACAGCACATGTGTCCCCCTTCTCATTTGCCAAACACAAATATATGGGTGGAACTAGATACGCCATATTTCTGTCGACTTTTTCCCTTTTTTGGTCACAAGGACAAATTGACAAGTGGCAAAATATTATGGAAGATCTCACAGAATCTGCTGCTAATGCTCTTACTTTGGCACCACATGCGCATAAATATTAGGATAAGGTGCTATCTGCCTTGGAGCCCATGTCAGTAAATGACAATAAGACAGAGATAAAGCTGCAATTTCACTAGTTGAAACCTGTATTGTTGCCTCCAGAAAGGTCAAGCCTATTATCACCAGAGTCCATAACTGATAACTTTTTGGTTGAGCCCTAAGTCCTAGCTGACAGTCTGGAAGCTGGCAGTAGATATTGCCACAAAAGTGGTAAAGAACGAAAAGTCAAGTTGTTAATAGTAAGACCAATGACCTAATATATTCTGGTGATGTTGTCACCATCGCAACTTCAAAACTTCAAACCCTAAGCTTCTCCCCCTCCCAGATGAAGAATTGCTTCATCTTCAATGGGTACTTCACTGCTTAGGGGCTTTATATGCAGCAGCAGGATTTACAATGATCCATTCTATAAAGATGATGATTCCATTTCAAGTGCGCCATGCATAATAACCCTACTGAGTGTACACAAAGAAAGTGATACCGAAGATCGTCTAACCAAAGGATTGTGAGAGAGACTGGTCCACGGATCCTCAAGCCAGTGCACTAATGTTGCGTGAAAAGAATTGTGAAGTGGAGGGTCATCAAACCTCTATTGGCAGATCCTCATACCATAGTCTGTGGCTAACATTTACCATATATTTAATCTACTTCTTCATGTGCCTCTTTTTTTGACTGTCGTTCAAATACCCTCCCTTAGTTTAAGTACGGCAACACCAAGGGCTTATTGATATGATACAGGCAAATTGACGTGCTTTGATGCTTTGTTGGATCAAATGTGGCCTATCAGTTTCTTTTCTTTTCTTTTCTTTTCTTTTCTTTTCTTTTCTTTTCTTTTTTGCTAGGTAGTATTTAATGGGATCACAGACTGGCGTGACCAAGACACCAGTAGTTTCTTAGTAGATAGGTCTCTTCCTTATTAAATGATGCCAGCGGATTGAACTTACATGTGGCCTTCTGGTTACTATTAAGTCTTTTGGTTTCTATACTTGCAATAGCTCTCAGTACTAACCTGATACTGTAAAGGGCGGCATACGTGCGTTTTTCCCTGCGAAAGGAACCGGGTCGTGGTCAAGAGATCTTGGGAATGAATACACCGAGACGATGCCGCGATACAACACGGCGCAGTACGACTTAGTAAAGAAAACAAACAAGATAACGAAGGGAGGAATGCAACGAGGACGGAGCTGAACTCCGTACTATACGACGTTGATAATGACGATAACGATATTAGTGAAGCAACTCGAAAACGAAAAGTATGCCTGGTTCTTCGAGACTACCAGGAGGCTCGCCTTAAGTACCCTTCCGCCACGGACTCCACCATACCTAACTATAGCGGAGGCCGTGGCCCAACAGTATCACCAGATAAGAAATAGAAGAAAAGAGGGTCCTATCTATGGGTTTGCAGTATCCCCGGCACAATACATTGCTGCAGTAATATGTGGTGAGGTCTAATGCAATACGTGTCTGCATATATTAGGTATACTCTATCTAGAGATATCATGCTATAGACATCGCCAAACAAAGTCATAAGGAGCATCTACACGGAAGACCAATTGCTGTATCACACATGTACGGCGAGAACCCAAATAAAGGATCTGTGGAGAACGGTAAGACAAGACGTATCCTTTGTAAAACATCATCTATTTCATTGCTCATCCCCATCCTCATTTGTCCTCATTGCCAGGTGCCGATCTAACGCCATATCAAGGATAGAGACATACATAAATGCACAACACAACACAGAGACCGCAGACCGCATATGAACCAATTGGCAAACAAGAAACAGCTCACCATGCAGATAAAATAAGCAGAAAGGGATGGAGAAAATACATCCTTTCAAAAAATGGGTATATCAATGATGAGAAAGAGATACAAAGGGTGGGTTCCATCGGACGATGCAGACGGTTTCTTCGCGGTAAACAAAGGGGAGCAGGGAAAGCGCATAATCATCCGGGTTATTGAGAGGTAGAGGTCGACGTTGACGTCGAATCAGACTCGACATCGGAATCCTCCTCCAACACAATTCGCCGCATGACGCATTTATCAAACAGATCCAAGGCAAATCGTCGCACGGGCAACCGGAAGTGGTGGCTCTCCAGAAGGATTAAGGCCTTGCGGAAGAGATGGACCTGGCGAAATCGTTCTGGCTGTTTTGACTTGATGCTGTTGTCATTACCCTGCAGTTAGCCACTGATCAATAAGCTTCACTGGTATTCCATAACTCACCCATGAAGATCCGCTGCTGCTCTCTTGGACAGAACAGCGTTTCCCATGTCCGCTATCAACTTCAGAACTCTTTCGTTGCCAGGATCCGGGTCCGAGGTCGCCGCCCTGAACTTCTCTAGGGACTTGCGTCTGGACTCGGGATCACGACCATAGGGAGGGAAAGAGAGCTAGAGGCACGATTAGCATCTTATAAAAGAGGAAAAGCAACAACAAACAAAGTAAGAATACATACCAAAAACATCTTATCAAAATCACCGTCCCCGGGAAGACTCAAACCCAAAGACTCTCCCTTTTGATCAATAGCAGAATCCCACCCAGCATCTCTCAAAACCTTAAGCCCATGTCGACTCCGTGAAATCAACCCAAGAACGAAAAATGCAGTACCTCGCATAGTCAACACCTCGGCCCTCTCAGCAATCCCCACAATATGCTGCACAACATCTGCTTTGAGAAAGGACGCCCCGAGCTCCATGGACCCGACGTTCCCGACAGCCCAAAGACAGCCCTTGACCTTCAGCAGAGCCTCATTATCTTCTTCGTCCAGTCGGAAATTACAGATGGTGGACACGAATTCGTTGAAATGCCCGGACTGTTCGAGGAGTCTGCAACCCTCTGCTGTGCGCGCAAGCTCCCTATAGAAATGAGGTGGGACTAGGCCGATGTCCTGCATCTCGACCAGGTCCTCCGGAGCAAAACTGTTTCTCCGAGGCTGGTCAACGTATGCTCGAGACAGAGTCGCTTCCACAAGACCGACGTAAGTGTCGTTCCGACCCAGAAACCAATCGTCCATCTCCTGTGTGATGTAATCGAGACCATCAAGGTAGTGATAGCCTACCGAAGTGGACAGGAATCGCAAGAGAAGCGGTGCCCCGATTTCGCCTAGATGGTCAAGAGAAGGGCGGCATTTGACTACAAATTCAAGGTAATCCCGTTGATTGCATGCCTCCTCAAGGATCTTGACAGCAACCTGGCAGACAGCCACGTCTGGGTCATACAACTGGGTCACGAGTAATTTGACAACCCAGTCAGCGTTAGCCATCCCGGAGCGTGAAGAGATGGAAGCATTCCCAACGGTATATTTTCGAAGCAGTTTTGTTGCGAAAATGCGAATTTCCTTCGACCCGGTTGTCAGGGCCTTGGAAAGAATGACTCTGAGATGGCTTTCCCGTGAGTAGTCCATATTTCCCAGAAGGGTCTGAATCAAATCGTTCCTATCCTGCAGCTCGATGATATGATAGATCATGTTGAGCATGTGCCATCTCTCCATCATGGCTAGGCCGTTAGCGTCACCGCTTAGAACTCCCAGCATAGCGAAATAACCACCGCTCAACGTGTTGGTCATCCCCTCCCGTGAGAATAGAGGCGACGAAGACGTGAGACCGCTCATTCGATCCACCTGAGCAAGGCACTCAGCAACTTGTCTGAGAAATTTATTTCCCGCCAGGTACTTGGTCCCTTCGGGGCACTGGACCAAGGTGCGCATCAGAGCGCACCCTGTCCGAACATAGCGCTGATTCGGCTTCGTGTTCGGAATCATAGAAAACCTGTATTTAAAAGGCCGATAGAAACCTATGAGCCGCTTCATAAATTTGGAGCCCTTGATTGCCTCATCTAGCCGTTTCGGATTTGTGAGAGGGCCTTCCACAATGCGATGGATCAAATCCCATTTCCATTTGAGGTAATTAACCGTGTTCAAAACGTGCGTCTCCAATACCGCATTGCGGAACTGGGTTTCGTCCATGGCGGCATTCATTTTACCTTGCTCTCCGGACAAGAGTGAGGCCGAGATATCAACATCCACACTATACCGACCCGTTCCATTTGAGAAGCCACCCGATCGAGCCAACGTGCGATTGATACTCTCAATTTGATAAATGGTCGACGTAGATATGTCATGATTCTTGGAATCGAAGTGGATCGCCGCCGGTAATAAATGAGGAAGAATCTGCAGCTGCGCGCTCACATTCCCAGGCAACGAGTGCTGTGCTAGTTTGAGGACTTCTGTGAGAAGTAGAGTCGCCTTTCGCCGCAGGGAAAGGTCTGTTTCCTCCTCAATCAGATCCGAGAGAGACTGCATACCACGTTAACACTAGGCCGGTAAAGGAAAATATCAGTATAGGGAAAGTGAAATACCTGTATCAGACCCGCACGGACCAGAGTGGCAAGTATGAGTGTCGAGAAATGAGCAGTGAGATCAAAATCATTACTGTTAGAATCGTAAAAGGCGGGAGCTTGTCTCGTATCGGTCTCCGATCTGAGATTCGAAACTCTGCCGTAAGTTGTAAGCCTTCTGCCAGCAAGGAACGATGAGGACCAGGACGGAGGTTTTATCCTAAGGGCGTCAAATAGTAATTCCATAATCAGATCCCTTGCTAGCGGGTCAGGATAGTGCAGCGACTCCAGGAGAGAATGTAGAGGCTTAGCTCTGTGTCTGGCAAGAATCACCAAACCAGGCCAGGTTTTCAGCATGGCGGAGATGGCTTTGGCCGAAGACTTCAGTCGACCATTGCGGACCGTGTCAGACAGGGAGTCAGTAAACGGGGCGAGAACGGCTTCCAGTTCGCAACCATCTCGCAGGTATTTCCTGCTTTGTGGCGCATCCAGGACGTACAGGAAGCTCGCCACTAAGCTCTCTGAAGCGCCAAATGTTCCTTCAGATAAAGCATCGTGTAGGGCGGCGAATCCACCAGAGTGGAAAACCAGTCCAGGGTCCCTAACCAGAATTTCGGCAAGAGTCATGATGGATATATTTCGGAGCCGGTCCTCGTGGTGCTCAGCGATAGAGACAATGGTGCGTACAACAGCACGGGAAATCTCACCGACTCCATCCTTGACATCCAGAAAAGATCTCACAAATTTCAAGGCTTGCTCTCGTTCAATGCTGGCCTTGCTCTCCTTAACGAGAGACAGAATGACTAGGTCATCTGTATGCAGCGAACGGATTCTCTGCAGCGATTTCCTGTCTGCTACTGCATAACGAGTCAGCCGATACCCAGCGGCGACCACCTCCTTGCTATCGCTCAAAAGCATCAGCTGAACGCGGAACCCGAACACGGACCATGCGAGGTCGTATTTCAAAGACGGATGGCGTTTAAAGAGCTCTACCAGGCTGTTTGCCCGCTCCACATAGAAATCAGGTGCCATGCCCTCAATCTCCAGAGCCTGCAGGGTTTCCGTAAGAACATAAGTCGGTGACTCCGTGCCCCCATCGCCGTCGTCAAGTCCAGCATCATCAACAGTATCGGCACCACGCGAGGACGGCCGCAACGGACTGCCCCGAAACAAAGCTGACAGACGACCGGGAGGAGTTGACGGCGCCTGCGCACGTAGCATCTCCTCCTCGAGCTCTAAATGTAACTCAGCTAGCTTCCGGTTGGACGAGCTCAGCTCCGATTCCACCCTCAACCGCTGGTCCTTGGTATGTTTGGGATTCTTCGCCAACAATGCCTCCAACATATTCTCTGTCCCCGTCTTAATCTTGATCTCCTTGGCGATCTGATCCCGAATAATCGCCTGACGCTGCTCGGTACTAGGCCGACTCTCCTCGTCGATACTACTTCCTCGCCCCGGAAATATGCTCTCCGGCCGCGGAGTGGTACTGCGAGATGTACTCATGCTCTTCATATCGGCACTGAAACTCCCAGGCCCAGCCGCGGAGGTAGGTGCCAGGGAATTTCCACCAGCACCTCCCCGAAATCCGGGGGTAGCACTACCTCCAGACTGCGAGCGGCCGTTTCTTCCCGTGCTAGGTCTATCTCCTCCCCAGTTCCCATCCGCAGACTTACGGCCATGGCTGGAAAACGGTCGCCCATCACCCACAGCAGGATGCTGGGTGGAGCTCACCGAGAATGCCGAGTTGTATCCGGACGCCATAGGGCTCCATCTAGTCGTCGCAGGAAGGAGACTGTGCTATCAGCAATCGCGAAGGAAGCGAGATATATAGAGCTTCATTGAGGCCAGAGAAGATTTGAACTTGAAGACGTCTGTTGAGAATGTTCCAGGTGAGAGGAGTTAATCACAGTCGAAAGCGAGCGCTTCTCGGATTAGTGTCTGATCGACGGGTTCAAGGCTTAACTGCGGTGAGTTTGGAGATGCGGAGTTAGACTTCGGGAGGGACAGTAGGCTCATGAACGGCAAAAGGACACTGCGAATACTGTCCGACGGTGGAGATGGAAAAGACGCGGAGGACAAGACGCGGAGGACGAGAGGGACGAGAAAGCTACACGGGAAAGCAAGCCATGAGCTCCAATGCGACTTTCTGGGCAATTCGTGGCGGTCGTTCTGCTGCGCCCATAAGCCGCTGACTAATCTCTACATGAGGCTGACTTCGATCTGTGCAGATAATAATAGCTATTGAAAGTAGTTAAAAAATTATATCGATCATACTGCATCCTTAAATAAAACCCAAGATATGTCCCAGTTACTGCAATTTAGGCGCCATGTCCCGCCATTACACCTGTGTTCCTGTGCGTACGCAACCGCAGAAAAATAACGCTCACAAAAGCTAAACCAAACCCTGAAAAGGATCCTATCCCAAAAAGATACCCCTGGTCACATAATGCCATTATATATATATGATTATATACCCAGGGGGTATTAATTCGCTGCGCGTGAATTTGAATATCCTGGGTGAAGCGTTTCACCCGTTCCATTCGACCAAAGTGTCTCGTTCGACCGGGAGATCGCAACAGTCTTCATCCCCATCTTGCCCGAATAATCGGAGACGACCGTAACGCCTGGCGATTGACTATCCTTTGAATCCTTGACCACCGGCGCCTCGCTATCGCCGGCTGCCTGGGACTCGGATTTCTTGTTCCTCCACCGTCTCCAGATAATAACAAGAACGTAGATGGCAACCTGACTGCCAACGATGAACCCATAGGAATATTTGGCGGCGAGCGGAACGTCGGGGGTCTTCGTGCATGCATACTTGAACCCCAATCCGCCGTTGATGATGCCGAAAGCCATGAAGAACCGGCCCAGATAGCGGTGCGCAAGACCGAACAGGGTCTTCTCGCCAGTTTTGCGGAAGCGGAGATGCTGCACGATGCCCAGAGCTGGCTGGACGAAAACGATTCCAAGGGTGACTATGTACCCGATAATGGGATGATAGTTGCGGACGCCTTGAACATCTCTGGATACGGAGGCTCCGATGGCCAGTCCGCCTAGAGCCACGATGGCCGCGAAGATCTGGAGCGGAGCATGGATCCATGTTACCGTCCGGCGGGATGGATAGAAGTACAACGAGAGGGCGGAATTGGGGAACAGGAGGACGAAGGCAATCGCCGACAAGGAGCCGTGCGCAATTCGTTTCTTATGCAAAACGGTGTCGTCGATCTGCTGTTGCTTCGACATGGACGTGTAATCGATGGTCGTGTAGGAATGCGATTCGGACCGCAGGAAGGGGTTATCAGAGCTTCCTCCGACTGCCTTTGTCAGATCCAGGGAAAAGATGCCATGCCAATCATGTTGGTACAGCTTGGCGGACACGTCGTTCGTATTCAGGGCTTCCCCATGAGTGGCAGCCCATATCCACTCGCTGTGAGCACCCACCGCGCTTCTGCCATCATGCAAGAACATGCAATTGTCGCAGCGGATGTTGGCCGTCATCATCCCATCACTGATCCCGGACCCGTCCAGCAGGTACGCTTCGATATCTGGTGTGTACAGAGGCTCAACAGGGCCGGTCGCTCGTCGAGAAGAAAGGGTAACATTGTTGTCACCGGAACCCGAGTATACGATGAAGTTGTTACCTAGGTTCATGCGGTTGCCCTGACCCAGGGCTATCCATTTGAGATGCGAAGGACCCTTGACTTGAATGTAGATAGGGCCCGAACCCGCAGACGCGGTGTCCTCGGGCACGTTGACACTATACGATACCCCCCTGCCTTTGGAAGGAGTGTAGTTTACAATCTGCGCAAAGATTGATGGCACTGACAGCATCTATCAGTAATCGCTAAGCATGAAAAGGGCCAATGAACCTACCGAGGCCCGCCACGAGAGCTGGGGGTGCGAGAAGAGAATGGAACAGTTTCATCGCATCGACCGGCCTGACTTCTCAAAACAGAGAATGCTAGCCACCACCAAAAACAAAAACAAAAAAAAAAAAAATTCTCCAGGGGATCCGCAGGAAAGAAGTATATATAGATAGTGTATAGTGATACACCTAAACAGCTGGAGCAGCCAATTATTGAAGACGATTATAGAGACTCCAGCAGCATTCAAAGGCGAATGCCACCCAGCAGGATCTGCGGGATATAAACGCAATGACGATCATAAAACACGAAGGCAAGAGGGTCTGCGTAAGAACTTAGAATTTAGAAGAAGCATACTGGAGGCTGTTTCTGGCGATGTGCAGTGCATAGTATATATCTTTTAACCGTGCTAGGGCAGCAGTCCATTGGCGATGCCTGGAATGCTGCTCGTCACCAGAGTCCATGACTGTGCGCGCCATGGCAGTGGCAAGATGGATACAGTGAAATTGTATGGAAGCACCCGCTTCCCGAAGTTCCCCTGACAGTACCAATGGCTCGTGCCTTGGCTGGACTGGAGAACTGGCCATGCGTTGTGTATTCGGGCAGTGGAGCTGCCGATGCAATAACAATAGCGCAGTGTTAGTGTCGAAAGGCTAAAAAAAGACACAAATGGCATTGTTTTCCGGTTAACCGCAAGCAAGGGCAATAAAAATTGAATTGAATCCTGATCGATTCATTCGTGCGGAAAGAAGGCAGATCGACGACACATGCATGAAATACGCCTGTTGATGTGATTGAACTCGAGCATTCAATTCCCAGTCCGTGCCATAGCAGCTGCAATGATACATATTACATATCACAGATCCAAAACCAAAGACAACAACCAAATGTTGGACCCATGGTAGGGCTCTCTTCCCGGGAATTAGCAAGAAATTAACAACCATACTCTACGCATCAATAGTACGCGAGCTAGCTGGGAGGCACTTCGGGCTCTCCCTATCACAGTGCGCAGCAACGCGGTTGACAAATACCTTAAGCACAATATTGGTTTAATCAAACTCTGATCCCACCTTATCGCCGTGCTCTAACCGTCTACGGATAATGCTCGGCGGGAAGATACGCGTGGCCGTACATTATTATGCATCCTCCGGGGCACCAAGGTCTACTACCACTGCGGATTTCATTGGACGTCAACTGGACCTTAGAATTACTATTCTGAGCCTGACCTGACGTCCGGGTTGCTGGTCAGACTACGTGGCGTGGTATGCCACCAGCGGTTTCCGTTATTACTGCGTACATGGACACAATCACGCTTCCTGGAATTGCTAGCGTGCGGTTCCCGAAGCTTTGGGTGCTGTCGCAGCAGCAGCAGTCGCCGTCGTCTTCTCCAGAATCGTCCTCATCATTTCATTGCCAAGTTTGGCTGCCTCGGGGAACCGCGGAGAGAAGTACTGCTGGATCCGCTCAAAGCGGTCCCGGTACGATTCAAAATCTCCGAAAGAGACGCAGTCGGACCAAGCCTATGTGGATTTTTTAAAGCATAACTGATAGTTAGTCCAATGGGACAATGCGATAACAGGGAACGATGGGGAAGGTTTTCTTGGAGCGGTCGGGGAAGTTAATCATTCGGGGGTCTGAGCGTCTCGATGTCTCGACGTCTTCTCAGGCATGAACAGGAAATCCACGACTTACCCTGGCTGCGAACGTGAATTCTAGATCATCCGAACGGAATGTGCTGTCGTCGATGGCGGTATTGAGTGCTTCCTCGAGAAGATCTGGGTTGCGGAAAAGATATTCGGTGACACCTAGCCAAAGGCGAAAGAGCTGCGGACCACAGGATCAACAGGCTCAGCTCAGTACACTGATGTAATACATCACAGAAAACAGCAACCAATAGCTTACCGGAGTCGAGCAAATCATATGGTCGTAAGGGATAATCCCCAGTCTGGACCAGCAATCGACAATCGCCAGCAAACTGAGATGGTTGTTGGGCGGCGTCTTCTCACGCGGCCGGTTCGACAGGGAGAACTGGTCGAGCACTTCATCCCTCAGCAGCAGATCTTGTGCTTCCGTACCGGATTTGAAGACGGCCGCTCCAGCTGCCTTGACACGACGCTTTAGGTCTTCCCTGCGCCCTTCAATCATGAGTTTATACAGTTCAGTAACTGATCGCGCATATTCTCGGATCTGCTCCTTTGCAGCCGGGTTGAGAATAGCCAGTCCCGCATACACATGCCACTTATTGGAATAGATACGTAGCGTGATGTTGATCTTGACGTTCTCAATCCCTCCTACCCAACGAGATATCTCCCAAGGGAATTGGTTATTGGCTTGCCAGGCTGTTCCCATGCTCAAAAATGCCGCATGCGTGACGGCCTGTGTGTCCGCTGTGATCCGGTCATGCATCTCTCCACTTAGATAGACATATTTGGATCCCAGACATGAAAGGACCTCTTCGACGAATCGGAGACTCTGGTCGGAGGCTCGATGTTGGATTAGGACCTAAACCTCAGCATGTTACCATACATTGCCGTCGTACAAAAGTACAAAACATGCGGCATATCGTACCAGTGGCTGTCCCTTGGGATTGACCTTAGGCCCGTGAAGGGAGTGGCAGGATACAATTTCTACATCGGGAGGAAGATGCTTATCGAAGGCAGCGAGTTCTGGAGCCTTGCAAGATGTCTGGCCACCCACTATTGCACCGACCCTGGTTGCTTTTCCAGAAGTCAGACAGGCATGGAAGAAGGGAATACCGCAGTGGCCGCTCAAACAAGAAGGGCACATACATGGGCCATACTGTGCAACTACCCGGTCGATGACTCCGGCCTCTACACTGTAAACAATGAAATCGCTAATCCTGGACACCAGGTGTCCATTGGGAAGAATTGTGACCCCTTTCTAGATGGAATGAGCCTAATGGCAAGTGGAACCTCTGGCATCACACGTACGAGAGAATCGAATTCTTTCTTCAAGTCATCGTAGTTTTCAGGTTTATCGCAAGCATTAATCCTTCCAAGACAATATGTAATTAGTATGACCCGTTTTATTAAACGATAATCAAGAATACAAACTATACTCGGCGACCTGGGCAGAAATTGAGAGTCAGCGGTTTGATCCATGACACATAGCAGACAGAACAATGTCAAAAATAGAAATATCCAAGATATCAGACGCAAGAAAAAAAGGTAGCTTGAAAGTTACATCAACGACGATCTGGAAGTCGACTACTCACCAGAATGGCAAGTAGTACAACCACCAGACCATACTCGAGCCAAATGCACTCAAGTCATCATTTAAAATGGGAAGCAGGTAGAAGGAGAGCTTGGCAGCGCTTACCTAAAGTAGGAACAACGTCGGTGACAATGCTAGGGGAACAAGGACATGATTACCTCCACCCTGCACTGCTCAGACGCTGGGCATACATCTTGCCCATGTCTCCCATCCCTATAATGCCGATGGAAGCGTTTTCCTTCGTGAGCCCCATGTTGGATGATCAGTCCACTGCAGGGAGAGAAACCTGTCTGTCAGTGAGAAACGAGCTAGCCCACAGATACGACCTGTCGGTTAGCATAAGCAAGAGCGATTGCAATATCCTATCAAGAACTCCTCTTATTTTCAGATCAGATCACAGTGACTGGGAAAAAAAGGAGGAATTACAGATGGGATGAGAAGAGAAAAGATGGAGAAAAAAAAATGCAAGTGGAAAAAGAAAAAGAAAAAGAAGCGAGACGAGAAGTCCCGGCACTAGTTGTCGGGCCTATGTAATCCCGATTTCATTCCTGAGGCATTCGTTAGTAACCTAAGGTGTTTATTAACGCCTGGGGCATCAATGCTCGCTTGAGGCTGCATCTGAGGGGCTTCCAGCCAATCGGCGTCTGCAAACACTGTAGGGCACACCGTCGGGTTTCGACGAATCCTCAACGCCTGCAAAAGTTCGCGCCCTTCTCTTCTCCGTTCATCCCCCCGCCTACACATTCTATTCCATCCACACAGATCCTTAACGACAACAATCGCCATGCCTCCCAAGAAGACCGCCGGTGCCGCCAAGGAGAACGTCTCTCTCGGACCTCTGTCCGGAGATGGTGCGTCTGCGATACCACACCAAATCCCGACATGCGCATCGTTCCTACTGACATAATATTATAGGCAAGCTCGTTTTCGGCGTTGCTCGTATCTTCGCCTCCTTCAATGACACCTTCGTCCATGTCACCGATCTCAGGTTCGTTGCTACTTATGTTTCCCGATAGCTATTTTTTGGCGCAGTTCCGGTTTTCGAGTTTTGTCCGAAAATGACGGCTTCGAATATGGAATTGGAAATTATATGGTCAAACAAGCGTGATATATGCAGTAAACTAATATATCGAACGTATACAGCGGTCGCGAAACCATCTGCCGTGTCACCGGTGGTATGAAGGTCAAGGCTGACCGTGACGAGTCCTCCCCCTACGCCGCCATGTTGGCTGCCCAGGATGTCGCTGCTCGCTGCAAGGAACTCGGCATCAATGCCCTTCACATCAAGATCCGTGCTACCGGTGGTATGTTGGAGTCCATCTTTCTTTGAGTTTGGAAAGGTTCGTTTCTAAGAAAGTTTCTTGCAGGTAACGGCACCAAGACCCCCGGTCCCGGTGCTCAGTCTGCTCTCCGCGCCCTGGCTCGTTCTGGCATGAGAATTGGCAGAATCGAGGACGTTACTCCCACTCCCTCCGACTCTACTCGTCGCAAGGGTGGTCGCCGTGGTCGCCGTCTGTAGATCTGTGCAGATATGCCTTTTTCCGACTTGTGCAGTATTTTCTTGCGCGGCTGGACTAGAGGCTGTCAGCAGGTTCGCCTTTACCTGTCACTGTGGATGGAATAGACGCGAAGAACGGCTTTCTCGCCTGGTCTTCACCTTTTCTCTTTCTCATACCCTAAAAAACGAAATAAAAGTTTGTTCTCAAACTGTATATCAATAATCCCATTATTTGTCTCCATTGTAGCATTAGGCTTGGTAAATTGAAGTCGAGATTTATCTAAAATAGAATGCAACTTGCTACAAGTCTAGCGACTGCCTCATTTCTAGTAGCAAACTGCCGCATCGATGATAGAGGACTTTTGCATGGCGGAGCCGACATGATGTAAGAGGAATACTTCGAAGCAACAATTTGAACATCGCTCCCATCCACAGAACGTGACACAAACATTCCATAGCACAGCCTACCGACTGGAAAGAAACCAGTCTACATAGCATCTGTTATTTTCTTACTGCCGAACTGAGACTTTGCTCCTCCCATGAAGATCAAGCCGATGGTTCCTTTTCGCGAAGCTGTTTAACCCGACCCCCAATATAGCTCCAGCAATCGCCACAAGAAGGAGCGAAAAGATACTCAACGATACGAAAAGGGAGAAATCAATAAATAAACCGACGACTATAATGCCTCCTCTCTCCCTATCACCATCAAACACCATCCTCCTCCCCAACCTTCCCCCGAAGACCCTTGTCGGCATCGATCTGATCACGTTCACATCTACGTCGAATTTTCACGGAATCAGAGACCTCCCTGAAGGCTGGCACTTTCTCTACACTGGTACTACAGAAAGCTTTTCACTCAGAAGTGGGGCATGGTTTTACGTGGGCGACCATAGCGCCGCCATTACCGCGACACGAAACAACAGAAACCCGGGACCGGAGGTGTTGATTTGGAAATGGAATACGGAGATCGAGGCCTTGGTGCCTTTGACAGGAGACAATGATGCAGATATCCAGGAGGCCATGCGACGAAAGGCCAATTTGGGGTCTGTCTGGAGGAGTGGGTTGCTATTCCGATATAGGAGTCGTGTGCCGTCTTCGTATTTGAATAATAATAATGGCTCGGCTGGCACGTCAGTTGCAGGTCAGGATTTTGATGATGAAGAGAATGAGGAGGAAGGGAGGAGGGTTTGGGACCAATTGACTTGTTACATATCGCCCGGGCTTTTGTCGAGGGTTGTGGGTGATCCGGCAGTTGATAATGATGGTCGACCGAGATGGACGGTTACTTCTGCTAGTTCTGCAAATAGAGATGCCGATGTCATTCCGGGTCTCGAGGGACGGACTCTTCAAGAGGCCGTTGGAAAGGCAGAGGGGGATTTGGAGCTGGAGTTCAAATTCCTCCCGGTTGATCTGAAACGGACGTGGAGAGAAGGTGCTATTGGACGCGAAAGGACAGAGTCTGCACAAGATCGTTCATGGGCGTTGGGAGATCTGATCAGACGGTATTCGTCTGAAAGTCCAAATCAGGGAACAAGGGCCGACGTCGACGTCGACATGGATGGTCACGAGGGACGATCTGGAGAGAAGCAAATATTGGGGGAGCTACAATTTACGTTCCTCATGGTTCTAACAATGATGAACTATTCATGTCTCCAACAATGGAAGAGGCTCTTGAGCTTAGTCCTAACCTGCCGAAGTGCAATCAGGGAACGGGAACAGTTCATGGCCGATTTCATCGGACTACTTTCACAGCAACTTCAACGATGCGATGATGTCGAAGGTGGATTGTTTGAAATGGACGGTGATGGAGGCGGAGAGTTCCTGCGGAAACTCTTGATGAAATTTAAACAATCTGTCGACGAGATTGTTGACGGGACCATGTCTGCTGTCAAGTATGAGCTCGACAAGTTGGAAGCGTGGGCCAAGGAGGAGTACGACTGGGATCTGGACCGGGTGCACATTGTCCGACGGGGCATGGTTCAACTGGAGGACGGAGAGGAAGTGGAATTAGAGATGAATGGCGATGAAGATGAAGAGACGGGGGAGTATGCTCCCATCGTCGTGGACATGGGCGAAGATCATTCTATACAAGATGTTGATATGGGAAAGCCAACAGGATAGCTTTCGGGTTTCGTTGGAATACTGGAAGCTTTCAACCCAAGCATCAACTGGAGCTATATCAGGAGAAACATAAATATGGAGGTATCATAGGAAGCTCTGTTTCCGTAACTTCTATGCCACGTCTTGATCACGTTATGGAACTTTTTTATACCTCCAGGCCCACAGAAAACAGGAAACGCTAGCATATGTAACTCAGAACAATCCTGACTTCCCTGTCCCTCGTTGTCTTTCCTTTTCTTTTCCCATTTTGCATTTCGCGCTTGAACAGAGAAATGAAAAAAATGTTATTTCAGAATTCCTGGCCTATACTATTTCCGCAGCCGAGAAAAGCCAGTACTCCCATGCGACTGTCATGACCATAGCCATAATAACCTTGGTTTTATTTGTAATCTCCCACCCAGAACGACTCGCCAGTCCACCAAAAACGAAGACAAACAACCCCGAAACCGATATTTAACGGTAGGATTTCTGGTACCTGGCGCGGGCACCGCGACCTAAATGGACGTTTTAGCAGCCGAAATTTTCTTCCCAACCACCATATAATAATAAAATGGCTATTATGCATACCTCCGAACTTCTTGGGCTCAGCCCGACGGTTATCGGCAACGAGCAGGTTGCGGTCGTACTGGACAAGAGCAGCCTTCAGCTGGTTCTTGGAGTGCTCATCAACGTACTTCTGGTAGTAGGCGACGATGGACTTGGCGATAGCCTGACGGATGGCATAGACCTGAGAAGTGTGACCACCACCGGAGACACGGACACGGATATCGACACCAGCAAACTTGTCGGCACCGACGATCAGGAGAGGCTCGTAGACCTACATAGTGGCGGTTGTTTTGTGAGAACTCTGCAAACATCATTGTTTCTTCTGCCTAGTCGAGACGAGCTCGAATTCGGGAAAGAAACGGTGAATCTTCTTCGTGCGCGTACCTTGAAGCGGAGGATCTCAGGCTGAACCAGGGAGAGAGGCTGGCCATTGACCTTGATGAGACCCTTGCCTTGCTGTTGAATTCGAAATAAAAGCGCTTAGTTATCGTCCTTTCTTTTTTTTTTCCAGTTTGAATTGCAACAGTGAATTTCTCCATCGCCAAAACCACATATCGTAATTGCCATCGGAGGACACGTTTCTAGGGAAATGACTCTGTGCATACCTTGCATTGGGCGACAGCAGTAGCTACAAGAACAATCCATTGTTAGTTTAAAGAGAACCATCGAAATCTCTCCGCATCGACGGGGAAAACAAAAAAAAAGAGCTCACCCGTCTTCTTCTTGCCGAAGCACTGAACAGTCGGGACGGTAGCCATGGTGGGAAATATGGCCCTTGTCGTTGTCGAAAAGGAACGAGTCGAGGGGAGAAGTTGTCGTCCTGGCGTCGTCCTTTTGCTCGAATCGAGATGCAAATCCGATGGGGGGAAAGCGGGTGTGCGGGCTTTCGCTTAGTCCGCGCTAGTGCCACCTAGGGCTTCGGGGGTCGGCGGCTGGCGGCTGAGGTCACGTGGTAGCCAGACCTCCAAGTTCGAACCTCCAGCGAGAACAGGTTCAGCTCTGGGTCTAAACGGCCTCTTTTCTTGCTGATTACTTTCGGGAGGGCGCTGCTGTCTTTCTAATTGATAGAAATTTTGTTGCATCCGGATACCAGAATCCCCCAATTCCCCAATTCCTGGAAGGCCTTTTTTGCCGTCCAGAACAGCCGGTTCAACATGTCTCAAACAGTTGGAAAGGTACTCTTCTTATGCCCTCAATAGATCAACTTACAATTCAACGGCTAACCATCAATCTTTCCGACATCTCAGACCCGTCTTGCCTACTCCCGTACATGGCATTATGTCGACGCCGGCTCTGATCCGCGCTCGCTCGGCAGGCTCGCATCATCAATTGCTCTCGTCCTAATGGGCAAGCACAAACCTATCTATGACCCTTCAACCGATTGCGGAGACTACGTTGTAGCAGTGGGCTGCCATGATTTACATACAACGGGGAAGAAGCGACAGCAGAAGATGTACTATACGCACACCACACGTCCCGGTAGTTTGAAGAGTATGACCATGGACAAGATGTTTGAGAAATGGGGCGGTGGTGAGGTTCTGAGGAGGGCAGTTCGAGGAATGTTGCCGAAGAACAGGTTAAGGGAGAAGAGGCTGGCGAGGTTGAAGAGTACGTTCTCGGTTTATTTATTCTCATTCATTCTCTCTCCTAGGGCTCGCTGCTAACTTATTCTGCAGCCTTCGAGGGCCTGCAACATCCCTACAGGCGGAACATTGTAAGGTTTGGCAACAAACCGGTCATTGGAGAGCTCTCTGAAGTTCAACAAGCGTTCAAGAAGGCCAGGGAGGCAGCAGCATGAACGCATTATGGAAATTGAATTCATACCCCGGGTCACCATGTTGGTCACGTCCTGGCCAGGTGTCTTTTTTTCCCCATCCTCTGTAATTTATATTTTTCTGTGTATCATGACCTATCTGCGAGCGCATGGGTGGAGTCCAACTGGGATGTCCTGTTATTTTCTCTTGACACTTGTTTCGATTTTCGTTTGGCCGCTTGTTTGGAGATGCTGACCTACATATACCGAAGTAATCAGATTCAAAAAATTTTTTGGATGGATGCCTAGCAACAATTATATACAGGTATTCTTCTAGTTCCACTCCATGTGATCCAAAAATTTCAATTCATGACAGAAGCGTTTCCAAAAAGAATGTTGACATTAAAATGCATTATTTTGAATGGGCCATTACAGCTTGGCCTTCTGGCTTGAACGTGCCACCGTGCACTTGATCAGGCCGTTCGGGTTTGTTTGCGGAACGTACACTTCAGCGTCCTTGCCGGTGTTCTTGAGCCCCTTGTGCCAGCTCAAGTCTATAACCGAAAGCGTCAGTAAGAACGTATCCTTTCATTAAAACCCCAAAAGAGAATGGTCTTACCGAGTTCAAAGTAGTGCTTGTTGGGCAGAGAGTATTCCACCGTCTCGACCAAGGGCTGGAAAGCCAAGATCTGGTCGGCCATCTTGTACATGGTATTCTGCACACTGGCACTGTTGTCCTCAGCGAAGGTCTTAAGAGTGATATCACGAGCAGCAGCCCAGGTAGCGTCGAACTTGGGAATGTTGGCCTTGACTTCATCAAGATTGCTGAAGCGCTTGAATTGCCAATTGGCGTCGACATCGGTGCTGAGAATGCGATCCCATGTTTCGGCGAGAGTGGTGTACTCATCACGGACGAAGCCCCAGAACTGGGAGTTGGTGCTCTTAAGAACTGTAAGGCCATGGATGGCCGTGTTGATGTCAATACCCTTGCCCTCGGTCACATCCACCTGCACGTCTCGGGTTTCCTCGCTGTCCCGGTAGAAAGAGTGTGGGTGCGGCTTGCCGTCGATGTTCAGACGGGTCCAGCGGTGGGTGATGATGTTAACGTGCGCAACGTGGATGTGGTCGTATTTCTGGATGAAGTGGGTGCCGAGGATGGAACCGAAGAGCTCCGGGGGAGTTACTGGGTTCTGCTTTGCGAGAATGTAGATGGTGTTTTTGATAGAATCGGTGGCGACGACGACGCTGTTGTCAGCCTTTGTGTAGCTGTACAGAATATCTGCATTAGCTTTGATTCATTTCGGGGGGAACTGAGACCTTGGTAGCTTTCAATGACGTACGATGTCTCGATATCTCCCTCCAGCAGGACACGGACGGTCATCTCGACCACTGTCTGCACACCGGTCTTTTCATCCCGGTGTACCTTGTACAGGCGGACATTGTCCTTGCCGTAGCGAGCAGCAGACACGTAGGAAGACATTGCGACTTGGTAACGAGAGATCTGATGAGGATGAGGAATATGTAGAAGCTCTGGACGAATGAGACTGATAAGAGACGGGATGCAGGCGATGTGCGAGTGCAGCGGTCGAGAGAGGGCTGGATGGAAAGAAATTGAAGTTGGACAAGAATACCGGGCCTTCGATACCCTTTTAAAGCCTGGTAGAAGCCCAGAAGCAGAACCGGATGGCGGTTGAAAGAACGATGGCCTGACGGGATGAAGTCGGAGCTGGAGGATGCCTTCGGCCAGCTCCGATGGCCGTTCTCCGGATGCGTCTTTGTTATCGATAACAATCCTGCAGATCCAGATCCCGGTTCGAGTCTGTCATATCCCGCTGTAGTCGTAACCGCGGTAAGACGACCGAGCTGGTATATTCTTTGAATTCGCATTCTGGAGTTCCCTAACGGTTCTATTGTGGGTTTTCTGTGTATGGGAATCTTCTCTATAGTCTAGTCATGTGTGGCTACTCTACAATGCTGAAAACAAATGAAATGAACCAAATTAATCGATTAGCTATTACCAATTATCTAGCTAGTAATAACACAAAATGAAAGTGACCAGGTGCCTTAGAATACAAAGGAAATCATGGTTGTGACAGCTTGCGCAGCACGAACATGTGTCCAATGAGTGTGGGGTGTTCCAGGAGGTCCTCAATACGGACTCCAAAGCCTTGCTCCTGTAGCAGACAGGCAATCTGGGCCATGTTGAAAACATCTCCGCCAAGAGAGAAAAACGAAGTATGGGGATGCAAGTCTCCATTAATGCGATTGGGGTTCTGATCTGGCAGAAGGACCTGCTGCCAGGCACGGTTCAAGGGAGCGGAATAGACGAGGAGGTCTTTCATCTCATAGATCTTCAGATATGAAGCGATTCGATCTTCGTCAGAAGGTCTGGGAAGATCATCAATCGCGTGCACAGGTAGGGATTCAAGGGTGGTAGAGGAAGGTAGAAGAGCACTGGGTCTCGTTGTCAGGCCCTCGATGGCATCGCAGGCCTTCTCCAGAAGGCGAGAGGCGAAAGCGGAATTGATGGGGCCCTTCTCCGAGTAATGGAGGCCAATTCGGAAGTGAGTGTCGCCGACGGGCGTGGATACCAGTGTTAAATCCGAGAGGTTGTCAACCACGCCGGCACCCCCGATACGATAGCGGTTCTCATCCAGCTCAATAAAACCTTCATATGGCACATTCTGGTGGAAGACGGCAGTGGAGAAATAGGACCATTTGGGCCAGTCTGTGCAGTGGTGGATAATCTCTCGGAAGCCCAGGTTTTCGTACGGCATGTTGGCGACTTGCTGGTCTTGAATATAGCGGAAGAGATCGAGGCCGTTCCATTGTCTGCCAAATTTCACCCGGACGGGGATCACATTGACGCAAGGACCAACAGCTGTTTCAATACCGGGGAAGCTAGCATTTCGGCCATTGATAGTCAACCCGAAGACCACATCAGATTGACCAGAGATCTTCGCCAGGGTTAGAGCCCATGCAGCCTGGACAACTGTTGCTACTGTAATGTTGGCATTGGCTGCCATAGAGATTTCAACCTCTCTTGACACTCCAGTGCATGCGCCAACGTAGGTGAAGTTATTAGGGCTCTTTCGCCGTATGATCTGTGGCATTTTAGAGCCGTTCAGAAGAGCACTATAGTGTCTGTAATGCCAAGGGGTAACGCTGCTCGACAGAAGGCGCATGTGGCTGGCGAAGGAGGAGGTCAATGGAAGAGGCCCTGCCTCGTAGCCCTGTTTCATGGCATCCAAGAGTTTGGATAGACAAACACCGTCGTATTGGGCATGGGACAGACGAATCAAAATGCGATGAGAATCGCTGTTGGCCTTCTTTGCAACGAAAAATTTGACAAAAACTTCCCCTTGTCTTAATGGCTGTTCACGGTCCCATTTCTGTAAGTTCTCTGTGAATTCGTCCAAGGGCTTGTCCGTCTCATAGACGGATAGATTGACCTTGACTTTCTTGAGAACCACCTGGTAGAAATGCTTACCAGAGCAAACGAATACGGAACGTAAAATGTCGAACGTCTCAATGACTCTGGCGCAGCTTTCCTCGAGACGTCGAATATCCAATGGTCCAGCACCGTCAAAGTAGAAGTAATTCAACATCCACCTCGAAGAAAATTGCTGCCCAGTCAGACACATAGCTTGGAAGTCAGTAACCGGGAGAATGTCGATGACCTCCCCTTTAAATAGGCCAATCTTTGGATAGATATTCTCTTGGAGAGTTTTTGGGTCAAGATTGACTGCACTATACATTGGTGCCGTTTGCCCCATTTGCGACACAGGTCGACCATCTTCCGACCCAGGTACCTGACTTTCAGACTGCTTGCGGTCAACAATGGCTAATCCATCAAAAGCAGGAACTATACATACCTCCATAGTCTTTGTGGCGACAATGTCTGCCATTGCTTCAAAATGAGGATACCGGAAAATGTCGGACACTCGCAATGCCAGACCTTGCTCGCGAGCGGCACTAGCCATTCTCATCGCCTGAATGCTGTCGCCACCAAGTTTGAAAAAGCTATCTTGGGGCTTTATGCTGTCTTGCGCAACCTCCAGTGATGTGCTCCAGAGATCCAAGAGCTTCTGCTCTATTTCCGAAGGGACCTGTTTTTCCGAGGGAGAGATGTCGGCAGATGAATCATCAGGGAGAGATTCAACCTTATTAATCTTCGCTTCAACAGAGCCGGTACTTGACTGTCCATCGTAAGACATGACACTTGTTGCTAAACTCTGACGGCTCGCATCAGGGGTCGGCAAGTTGCCAGTGAAGGACTTTCTCTGGAGACCCTCCTTGCCAAGGATTTGGCTGATAACCTCATGTATACGGTCATCAATGAGTTTTTGCAGGGATTGGACATCGATGAGTTTGGAAATGTTAGATTGCAAGGTTGCAACATCTGGTGTTTGAGATCCCCGCCGAGACAGCTCTGACAATGTCGAGATTGATTGGGATGGATCTTGTATAGAGCTCTCGAAGCACTCGACAATGGTACTTGCAATGCGTTGAGCCTGACTATCAGATATGATGTCAGACCAGTACCGCAGCATGATGCCTTCGTTTCCTTTCCCAGTAAGGACATTCACGGTGATTGCGTACTGTTAGAGGTCAGTTGCTGTAGCTCATATTTTCATATATAATAGTCCTGCATCACTCACTTCGCTTGGATCATGTATCTCTTGCGCTTTGAACGACAGGGCAGCCGTTCCTGTGAAGTCGGAAGGTATTGAGAAATCGGAAGGCATTTCATTTTGGATTGACAGCGTGGTATTAAAGAGCATCTTTCCTCCCATGCCAAGTTGGTTTTGAATCTGCGCAAGGGAGCATTTCTGGTGAGGAAGACCATCGAGATAATCCTTTTGCACACTCTTGAAAATGTCAGTAAAGCTCTGTTGCTGTGAGAACTGCACACGGCAGCACAGCATATTAATGAAGACACCGACTCCGTCCTGAATGCCGCTCACAGGAGCGTCGCGGCCAGCAGACGGATAACCGAAGCAGACATCATCTTGCCCGGTGAACACCCGAAGGACAACGGCCCAGGTTGCAAGAGTAAGGTTGGCAAATGTGATAGACTCTTTCTGGCAAAGTCTCTGCAGTGCATCATATCTATTGAACCCAACCTTAAGAGAATTCAACTGGCGCTTGAATCCTATACTGCCGGAAGACGGGAAGTGACATGGTTCAATGCCATGTAGATATCGCGTCCAGTGGGCGATATCTTCTTCGTACGAGCTCGTCCTTAGATATTTGACATAGTCAGAATACAGTGGCCCAGGGGAAGTTGGTAACTGGCTGCCGTAGGCCGCCGAGAAGTCCCTTAAGAGGACAGAGACTGATCCCCCATCGATAAGAGCATGGTTCATTTCTATCTTCAACCACATACGGCCAGTTGATTCTTGGCAGATAGTGATTTGATGGGGGAGTTGAGGAGAATTGTTGGCGTCCCGATCCTGCATCTTGACACCATTAAGTCTTGCTAGGGGAGTTGAGCCGTCGCAGTCGACCTCCAGGCAGTTAGCTGGAACTTTCTTCAAGACTATTTGGTCGAAAGTGCCATTTTTGTAATTGCTTTCAACAAAGATCGTTCTCATGATAGGGTGACGATTGATGACCTGCTGCCAAGCATTGAGAAGCTGGTTCGCATCGATAGGGCGTCTGGACCTGTTGTCTGTAACTTCAAAGACCGTGTGGAAAATGTAAGAGCTCGGATCACGCAATTGGCTCAGAAGAATTCCCTCCTGGACGGGCGAGCAAGGATAAATGTCCTCGATGTTCTCCTTGTCGTATACTCCCAGACGCGGCAATGTCTCGTCGATAAGCTGCTGCAACTCGCCCTGGGTTGCTGGCAAGAGGGGAAATGATCTAACCATTGCGTTGGACGCAAGGCTCCTTAACTGGGACACTGAACTCCGAAGCGTCTTGTCAAACATAGAGATCCACTCCTGGAGCTGTCCCTGACGCCGCATGTTCTTGTTGAATGTGAATGAGACCTGGAGGCTATCCTGCAGCACTATAGCCGTCAGTTCAAACAGAGCGAACCGAGCAGTATCGGGACCCATATCCCCGAAAGAAGTCATATCTTCTTCGGTAAAGACCTGGCCATAGTGTTGGAACAAAGAATCTTGACGTTCCAACTGCTGGAGTTTGCCGAGGTAGTTGAACATGATTTCAAGAGGACGAGGGCAATTGGCAAAGTCAGATAGATTGTGAGAGCCCTCCCTGTTTTCCTTAATCTGACGCATGGTATCCAAAATGTTGCCTGCCTCCAATTAGCGCGTAAATTTAAGCTTCAGTCATAGAATTGACTTACCTGATAAGGTTGACACACGAAGACGCTGTAGTGCAGTGAACCAGCCAACTGTTCCAGATACGTCCACACCTGGGTCAGACGATTGTCGGCCATGGCTTTCGTTGTAGATGACAGGAAGCTCTCGGTCTGTGAAGGTTTGAGAGAAGGAATGGAAAGCAACTGCGAGGAGAAGATCCAGAGGTTCGGTCTGGAGAGACTCATGCCAACTTCCAAGGGCCGATTCAGTTAACTCCTTCTCCATTTTTATGGTCTTTGTCTTCACTTGACCATAAGTATTTCGCGTATTCTCTATGCCCCAATAGTCACTGTTAGAGGCTTCATTAACGAATCCAGCCTTATAGTTGCCCTGTTCCGCTGATCCCTTGGCCTGCTGCATGTCGCACCAGCTTTGGAAGGATAACGGGATCTCGGTGCTCAGAACCCCTGTCTGTAGGAAATCTTCGAGATCTTGGAGAACAACACGCCAGGATACCATGTCAATGCATAGATGATGAGCGACAAGGAACAATACTTGTTCGTCTCCAGCAATAGTAAACAGATCTGCCCCCAAGATTGGACCGGCTTCAATGTCGAGAGAGCATTGTGTTTCGGCTATCCTTGGTTGCAGACTAGCATTGGCTTCCATCACATGGTTCCGCAGCCTATATGAAGATTCAACGTCCTAAGAAAAGAATTAGTAAACAACGATTAGGATCCCGGAGTTCAAACTGCAATCGCTAACCTTCACGATTTTCTGCTTGCAAGCACCATTTGGTGACAAGACAAATCGACTCCTCAGCATGCCATGACGACTGACAATAGCACGAAGTGCTTCCTGAAGAGTGTTCTGGTCAATCCGTCGCGCAACCCGAACAGTGATGCTTTGGTTGAAGCGGCTAGCACCCTTATGCTTGACGGCTGACCTAAAGTAGAGATCTTGTATTGGGGACAAAGAAAAGAGCTTGCCAGTTTCGTCCGATTTATTTCGTACGGTCTCTCTAAAAGTAGCGGACTGTGCGAGTTCCTTGATAGAGGAGACCTGAAGGATGTCGCGCAGCTTTATGATGAGACCCTGCTTGCGAGCGCGGGAAACGAAGGCCATTCCACTGATACTATCACCGCCTATATATCACATTTAGTAAATTTTAACAGTCAACTAAGACAAGGATACATACCAAGGCTGATAAATGATCGATTCACATCCAAATTAGAAGCAGAGAGGTTCAATACCGTAGCACAAACGTCCCTAAGGATGTCCATTGCACTGCGCTCGGGACTCTTTGGTTGTGATCCACTGCTGACTGCTTCTTTCCCGATCTTGTCCTCATCTTGCATGATGCGTTCATAGGTAGGTCGGTCCACTTTTTCAATCCATGCTGTGATCTGTTTTCGGTCGATCTTTCCAGATACAAGCATCGGAAGTGAGCGTATGACGACCCAAGCTTGAGGGACCATGTATTTGGGTAGCTGGCTTTCCAAGGATTTCCGGATTTCAGATATACCAGCGCTCTCCATGACGGTTTCATCGACCAGCTCGCAGTCGCCTTTTGAAATAAGACTGGTATCCCCTCCGGTGACACCATTCAGAGAAAGGACACCAATAAGACGCTTTTTGAGGAGGCCAGTCTTTGGGAGCAAAACAACAGAATGCCTTATCTTGTTCATTTGACCGAGACGCGACTCAATCTCGCCCAGCTCCATACGTTGGCCGTGCAGCTTCACCTGATGGTCCTTGCGTCCGAGATACTCCACAGAGCCATCAGGGTAGTACCTAACCAAGTCACCAGTCTTGTAGATTCTCCGCGCAGATGTACCGGGGAAGTGAGACGCCCATCTGGGGTTTTCGATAAATTCAGTGGCAGTCTTTTCGGGTCTCTTAAGGTATTCCCTAGCCAGAGGACGACCGGACAGAGCGAGCTCGCCAATTTCTCCCACAGGTACCAATCTATTGTGATCGTCGGGATCCACGATCCAGGTGCAGGTCGACTTAATGCCGCGGCCAATACATGCCGGCTCTGTGGAGGGCGAAATACCTGTGTTCAGTGTTGCAAAAATCGTAGTCTCTGTGGGACCATAACCGTTGATGAGTGTTGCACACTGAGACCACTTCTTAATGACTTCCACGGAGAGCATTTCACCACCACATACAAGAGTTTTCAGGGACGGGACACTGGAGGGTTCGAGAATAGAAGCCACTGATGGTGTGCAGAAGGCCCATGAAACATTCATGCGACGGATGGCACCCGAGATATGATTCAGACGCTCCTCCTCACTGGGGACGCAGACGCAACCCCCGAAGACTAAAGTTCCCAGAACTTCCATCACGGCAGCATCAAAAGTGAGTGAAGCAAAGTGGAAAGCACGAGTGCCACGTGCGAGGTTGACAACAGGACCGAATGCCATGACGCTGCTGAGTAGCGATGCATGTTCCGTGACGATACCCTTAGGACGGCCCGTGCTGCCAGACGTGAAAAGGGCGAAGGCCATATTCGAGCTCGTGGGCCGCTTGTTTGGACGGACCTGTGACAGGCTTGCTGGAAGCGTTTCGATTATCTGTCCATCCAATGGAATAATATTCTTCACTTGAGCCGTATACTTGTGGCCATATTTGGGCGTGCAGATCAAGAATTCGGCATCCACGTCGTCGATAATTTCGTCATGGCGTGACTTTGGATGAGCAGGGTCAAGAGGAACGAAGGCACCACCGGCTATCAAAATACCCAAGACCCCGACGACAGCCCAGACTGATTTATCCATGCAGATCGGAACAAACTTCTCTGGACCAACTCCGAGGGAAATGAGATAACTGGCAAGAGTTGAGGAGAGGTTCCACATCTGCCTGTAAGTGAGTGCACCATCCCATGCGCAAATAGCTTGACTTTCTGGATGCAGAGCCAATTGCTCCTGGATGACATCGTGGATGCACCTCTCAACAGGAGGATTACGGCCTTTGTTCCAGTCTGCGATTTGCTCTTTGTCGGCATGGCAAACGAAATCAAGGTCTGCCAACGTCCGATCATCTTGCTTGGGCATTTCGATTAATTGCTCAAGAAGGAAGTTGAACTGGTTAATCAACCTCTGGACCTTCCAGCCAGCGACGATGGCTTCATCATGGTGGGCAGTCACGCGAACCTGGCTTCCGGCAATCTTACACTCGACCACAAGTGGATAAGTAAAGAATTCCTTGCTAGCATGAAGTTCTTCGAATTTCCAAAGCTTGTCATTAACCTCCTGTCCCTCTGTTTGTACCACAAGGAGGTTCTGGAAGTCGCAAGCCGCGGACGCATCCTGACTGAGTTTACGAATCCGCTGAATTCCGGAGTGCTGGTGAGGAATAGCATCGATTGTCTGCTGGTTTATTTCGCTGAGATATGACAGGATAGAGGACTGCTTGTTCACCTTGACTCGAGTCGGAACAGTGGTAAGGACCGGCCCAACCATCTCAGTTACTCCTGGCAAGTTGATGTTTCTGCCCATAAGAGTCTCTCCAAAGCACACATCGCCAGAGTCGGTCTGTCCGGCAATAACCAACGCCCATGCTGCTCGAACCATTACTGGCAACGTCATATCAACATTGGGAACGGATTGACGTAGTTCCATGCTGACATGTTGCTGTTTACCAGTGCTTACTTTGCCGCCCTTTGTACCCTTGATTGGCGGGAATGATGGTGAGCTGAAGCCAGAGAGATAGGATTTCCAGAATTCGTCACTCTCAGCCAAGTCCCGTTGCTGAAGATACTGAATAAATAGATTGTAGCTTACAATCGGTCGGCCAGTGGATAGGAGGTAGTTTGCTTCTGTCTGCTGTAGAATCAACGGCATGCTCCAACCATCATAGATCGCATGATGCAACGACCAAATGAAATAGCGGGAAGATTTAGTTTCGGCAATCTCGTACTGGGTCAAGGGGCCTCCTTGCTCACTGGGCAACGCTGGTAGGTTTTCTGACGCGGTGGGAGGGATATCCCTCTGTACCCATTGAATTGGGGCTGGCTTGAGGACAACTTGACAGAAGTTGGCCTCTGCTGTATGAACAATGCGGGTGCGAAGGATTTCCAACTCGTCTACCGTCTTTTGCCAGGCTGCCTTGAAGTCCTTCAAATCAACGGAGTCCGCAAGACAATAGACACAGCGAGCAACGTATGCTCCTTCTTGCGTGGTCGACGAAGTGATGAGGCCCTCTTGAACAGGACTGCATGGGTATATATCCACAATGGAAGATACTGGGACATCACAATAATCTGCGGCTTCCTCCATGACCTCTTCGACTGGAACATAGGCTGGAAGAAGCTCGAATGGTTTGATTGCAGCTACCTCCGTGATGGTGCTTACCTCGCAAACGCTCGCCAAGTCTAGGAGGACTGGGTGTTGGAAGACGTCACTGACATTCAGAGAGATTCCCTGAGATTGCGCCGCGCTGACTAGATTCATAGCGGCAAGCGAATCTCCTCCCAGTCCAAAGAAGTTATCATCATCGGCGACAGATCCGGTAACGAGATTCATTACCTGCTCCCACAGCGTGCGAAGCTTTGCTTCCAACCCGTTTCCGGTCGACCGTTGTTTGCTCGAAGTAGACACTGGCTGGGATTCCATATCTGCTTTCGAAAGTGGCTCAGCAGTCTCGCGAAGTTTGCGACGGTCCAGCTTAGATGAAGCGCTTCGCGGCATGTAGCGAATCGGGAAATAGAACTTAGGGATCCAAAGAAATGGTAGACGGTCGAGCAGTCCAGTGCGAAGCTGTTCCACGAGTTTCGTACGTGACGCGGTCAGAGGAAGGAGTAACTCGGAGCTTTCGCCTGATTCACCCTCCTCGAGGGATGAAGTAAAGAAAGCAGCTAGTCCTGGGGCAATCGTGCGTTGCCTTGGGGTAATCATTTCAACTACCACTTGGCTGGTGGACGGTAACAGGGCGGCGCAGTGATATTCAATCTCCCCCAGCTCAATACGTTGACCATTAAGTTTGATTTGAGTGTCTGCTCGAGATAGAAAAGACAGAGTTCCGTCCGCAGTATACCGAACCAGATCTCCCGTCCGGTACATGCGCTCCTTCTTCGAGAATATATCCTGAAGTCGTGGGTCTCTGGCCCAAGCAGGGTCAATGATAAAGGACTGCTTGGTCTTCTCTTCATTGTTGAAATATCCACGGCCGACATTGGGGCCTTCCAATACCAGCTCGCCGACCGCTCCACTTGGAACAAGCCTGTTGTAGTTACTAGGATCGACTATCCACGTGCGGCCACAGTGGTTGATGCCAATATCACTGCAGTCCCGGTTCACAATAGTGCCATCACCAGGAGTCTTGATGCTGGAAGCTGCTGTAATCGTAGCTTCAGATGGCCCATATGCATTAATAACACGGCGGTCCTTCCACTTTTCAATGGCACCTAGCGGCATTTTCTCTCCTCCCATGATAAGCGTCTTGACAGAGGGGATGGAATCGGGATTTATGTTATTGATAAAACTTGGAACGGCCGTCATGAGATTTGCATTCGTTCGTCTCACGGCACCTGCTGGATCGTTCATGCGTTCTTCTTCGCTGGGAATACAAAGACAACCACCGTTCAACAAGGTGAAGTATGTATCCATGATACTGGCGTCGAAGGTGAAGTTTGAAAACTGGAAAGCACGAGTCTCGGAGTTGTAAAAGAGAGCTCTATTCCATTTCATCGCCGCCGTTGTGAGAGAAGCATGCTCAATGACTATCGCTTTCGGTGTTCCCGTTGTACCGGATGTGAATACAACATAAGCAGCATTTCGAGGTGTGGCGTTAAGGGAACCAGCAGGAGGCGCAGTATCCGGGAGGCCGTCAACGGCATGCCGGTCAACAGCATAAGCAGTCTTGCAGATCCGGGAAGACTTAGCATAGTGAGCCGGAGAGCATAGAACAAGGGGGCTTTGGACCTGTTCGGCCAAGGTCTGCAAGCGGCCTTCGGCATGTGAGGGATCCAGCGAAACAAAAGCGCCGCCCGCTTGAAGGACAGCGAGCTGGGAAACAATAGCCCAAGCAGATTTGTCAAAGCAAAGTGCAACAATAGTCTCAGGCTCCACTCCCATCCTCCGTAAGTGGTGAGACAACCGAGTAGACGCAGCCCAAAGTTCGGAATAAGTCATTTCTTCGTCCCATGCACAGATAGCTGGAGCAAATGTCCTACCCAGCCATGTTTGCATTTCAATCACTTCGTGGACGCATTTTTCGTATTTGTCGGGTACAGCTCGATTCCAGTCACGGACACGGGAGCAGGTCAAGTCGTCGAAGAAGTTGAGATCATCGATTTTCAAAGAGAAAAGGTCGGCTTCGATTATCTGATAGAGCAGATACTTGAAGCAAGAGACTATGTTATCAATAAAAGGCTTGGAAATTCGATCTGAGGAAAAGTGGATATCGACTGTCGTAGTTGCACTCGAAAGTGACACTTTAACTAAAGCGCTAGCTGCTGCAGAGATCAGAAGCTTCTTGATAACTGCAGGAGTGATGTCTTTGCCAATAGCTGGCTGCGTATAGATAATCGAATTGAATGGATACTCATCTTTCGACCCTCGCAAGAATTGCGAAGATGGAATCTGACGCTGCGACGTTTGGACCGAATTGGCCATCAACTTTTGCAAAGCTTCCAAAACAGAAACTTCATTGTTCAGGATGATACCGCTGACAGACAAATTACCGAAGTTGTCAGTCTCTGCATAGTCAGTAATACTGAGAACCCCGAAGCACACTTCAACCGCGCCCGAGTACAGACGGAGAATCAAGCCCCAGACAAGCTCAAATATCGATGAGGCGGGGACATCATTTTTCAAACAGAATTTGCGAAGCTCTTCCGATCGCTCAATGTTGATTCTCTCCGACTTGATGCCGATCTCCGTAGAAGAACCTAATGCAGGTAAGTAACATGGCTCCGTTTCGAAATCCAGTGAATAGCTCTCTGAAGCGTAGTTGGGTCCTTGAATCAACGTCTTCCGTTCCGTTGAAATGTTCAATTGGCCAATCTCCTTCGAGCAATCGTTGATGATCGCATCCAAGTGGTCACAGAATACTTTGGCCACGACCTCTGCTTGCTTGTCTGACAGACAATCGGTCCAATAATTCAGCTCAATTTGCGCCTCCCTGTCGGTCGCCTCGACATTCACATAAACACATGTCTCGGCTGGGTCGTGAATCAAGCCCTTCTGCACAAATTCTACCGGATGGGTACCACGTGAGTTATCGTCCGCTAACTTCCTGTAAGAGAGACCGGTGTTGAACAGGGAAGTTCTGGACAATTTCAAACGATGTTGAATATCGATAAGGGAACATGACCGGTGAGGAATGCTCTCAGTGTAGTCGTTTTGGACGCACTGAAATACATCCAACAGCCTTGAGGTTGCCGGTAACTGTATGCGACAGACAGTGAGGTTCATAACCGGGCCAACAACAGACTCGATATTTTTCACTGGAGCATCTCGTAAAGAGGTTGTATAAGCAAAGCAGACATCGTCGGAATCGACGAGAGTAGACAGCACTAGACCCCAGGCGACGTTGAAAACAGTTGATGGAGTAATCCCAACGGCTTTGCAGAGTTGGTTCAGTCGGTCACATCCAGGGAAGTCAAGCCTCATAGTACGCAGGGCGCTCGTCACTCCAATCGTCGCACTATTGACCGGGAAATGACAAGGCTTCACACCCTCCAAGTAGGAGCTCCAGTAATCAACTCCTGCCGCTGGTGTTAGGCTTTCAAGATGGCTGTAGAAGTCTCTAAACTGGGGAATTGGCAAGACGTCGCCACTTTCAGCATACGCTTGCCGCAAGTCGCGGAGGAGGATGGAAATCGACTCCCCATCCATAGCAGCATGGTTCATTTCTAATCGGCAGAAGATCTTTCCCTTCCGGATCCTGCAGATTGAAAATCGACATGCAGAATGAGTCGCAACTGGTTTCTGATTGTCGAAGGTCGGCACCACCTGGTCCTCGTTCGCGCATTCCAGATAGTTTGGCTGAAAATGAATACTATCTTTGAGGACAACTTGGCCAAATGGAACCCTGGAAGTCAGTTTGTTCACGAAGATTGTCCGGAGCATCGAGTGACGTGTGAGCATCTTATTCCAAGCTTTCATTAGGCGGTCCCTACAGGATCCCAATCCTCGCTGGTCTCTGACTTCAAATGTCGTGTGCACTGCATAAAGGGAGGGATTGCGACAGCGGCTGAGCAGAATCCCTTGCTGCATGCGGGTACATGGGTACATATCTTCTACCTCCTCGATAGAGGTAACGCCATAGTTAGGCAAAATAGAAGATTGAATCTTCTGGAAGTCATCGTAATTCATTGGGAGCATTGGGAAGTCGCTCAACGTTCGGGTCGGAGCCAGAGACAACATCTGGCGCGGAAGGCTCTCCAAAACATCCTGACAGTGTGATATCCACGACTGCAAGCGGTCTTGGTGTCTCATAGCTTTGTTGAAGGAGAAAGTAAAGCGGAGTCGACCGTTCGCCACAGCAGCTGAGATCTCAACCAGGGCGAAGCGAGGAGTATCACGACCAAAGTCCGCAGAGCCACCGCCTTCTCGAGTCTCTCCGACCATTTGATCTGCTAGACGGAAGAGACCGGCTTTGTTCTGAAGATCCCGATTTTGACCCAGATAGTTGAAACTGATCCCCATCGGGGTGGGATGAGGATATTTCTTCCGACCCTCCTCAGTCAACGTAGAGTATGCGAAGAAAGCCCTGCCATTGTCTACAGCTCGGCGACGTATATCCTTGACGCGGAGAACCGTTTCAACAGGATGCTTCTGAGAAACATCCTGTACCCAGATGGGATAAAGGGTAGTGAACCATCCGACGGTCCGTGAAATGTCAATAGAAGAATCCCAAGCCTCCCTTCCGTGCCCTTCATTGTAGATGACGGGAACAGGGCCGCGTGGAAAGGCTTTCCCAAAAGATTGAAGTAGAGAGGCGAGGAGAATATCCACGGCTTCCGTGTTCGCACTGCCATGACATTCGGTCAGGATAAGGCTCGTACTTTCTGCATCGACTTCGAACGTTGAGCACTCCACATCACCATAGGTAACGGCAGAATTATCGATTCCCCAGATGGACAGATCGTTTGGTGGGAATGATTCAAGTTCCTCGCATGGATGAAAAGCACTCTGTTCCGCTTGCAGGGAACACCATGTCTGGAATGGCAGAGAGGAACGTGCCAATGCCGCCTTTTCGGGCTCCAAAAGCATCTCTTCCAGATCCTCCAGTATCAGTCGCCAGGAAACTATGTCCACGACGAGGTGATGGGCCACAAGAAACATGAGTTGGCCCTCTTCTTCAACCTCGATCAGGTCTACTGCAATGACGGGTCCAACGAAGCAATCGATAGACCGCTGGCTGCATGCCATAATCTGTTCGATACCATTGAGGTTCTCGGTTTTGTGATATCGGAGACGATACGAAGAATGGACCTTTCGAGTGATATGCTGCTGCATTTTACCCCCCGGACCTGTAGAAAATCGAGCTCTGAGCATTGAATGCCTGGCGACCAACGCCTCAACAGCAGTCTTCAAAGAATGTCCATCGATCCTCCTGTTCAATCGCGTGAGGACACTCTGGTTGAAATAACCCTGATCCTCTTTCCGGACGATGGAGTGAAGGTACTGAATAGGCGACAGATCGAAAGGCTCATCCAGCTTTTCTTCATACGTTATCGATGGGGTTTGGACGGCGGGAACATTGCGGGCTAGATCTTGGATGGAGCGACAGCGGAGAATATCTTGCACAGTCAATCCAATACCGGCCTTTTTGCATTGACTGGCACAGGTCATAGCTGCCAGCGAATCGCCTCCCAGCCTGAGAAAGCTTTCCGTCAACTTTATTCGGTTCTCGGGAATGTTCAAGACTCGGCCCCAAATCCGAGCTAACTCCCGCTCAGTGTCACTGGCCGAGTTAAGTTGTGTTTGATCTTCGTCGGCCTCCAGCTCGGGGTCGTCTTCTATCTCGGAGAGCCAATTGCCCACCTTCTTGCGATCAAGCTTACCCGAGGCAAGAAGCGGCATTGACTCTACATTAAGCCATATCGTCGGAACCATATACAATGGCAGTTTTGTACCCAGTCGCTTTCGTAGTATAGCGATACGGTTGCGTTTCGCAGGGGATTTGTCTAGCACGATTTCTTCGGCTTTCTGATCGGACCGCGCCTTCTGGGGGTCTGAGAGGCAGAAGACGACCACGAGTTTCTCCCTGGCAAAGCCTGTTTTCGGAACGAGAACCATCGCATGTTGAATATGCGTATCTGCCATAAGGCAGCTTTCAATTTCACCTAGCTCCACACGCTGTCCGTGAAGCTTTACCTGAGTATCTTTTCTTCCTAGATATGTCAGCCCTCCATTGTCTGAATTATACCTTACCATGTCTCCCGTTTTGTAGAATCTCCGTCTTCTCCGGGCATAGCTTCTCTCTACAGCCCAGGCTGGGTCGTAAACGAACACATCTGCCGTTTTCCGTAGGTCATTCAGATAACCTCGGGCGAGAGATGGACCCTCCACGAGCATTTCACCTGGGGCACCTGTCATTTTGTTTCATGTCAGTCCTGACGTCGTCCAAGCAAGGCACATATTCTAAGATAGCTCACCCACAGGGACCAGCCGGTCATGATCTTGTGGGTCCACGATCCAGCATCGTCCTCCAACTGGCTGGCCGACATCTTTGCAATCCGTGTATTCTGTAACCTTGGAGTTGACAGCAGACGTGATGGACGTCTCTGTAGGACCAAATCCATTGACCAAGTCGATTTTGCACCATGTGTCGCGTTGCAACTCAGACATTGCTTCGCCGGCAAGGATCACGGTCTTAACATTGGGAACCATGGAAGGCTCCAAAAACCCGACCACCGACGGAGTGAGGGACATATAGTTAGCGTTCAGATTGTTGATGGCTCCTGCCAGATCGTTCAAGCGAGATTCCTCGCTCGGCACGCAGACGGTCGCCCCATTCATCAACGGGGACAAGATCTCCGCAAGGCTGGCATCGAAAGTATGTGCTGCAAATTGAAGGACTCGACTATCAGAATCGATCCGCAGCGGTGCACTATGGGCATGAGCGCTAGAGCAAAACGCGCGATGTTCAATCAATGTGCCCTAGAACATGTCAACAAGACAGGAACTTTATACGGGTACTACAATGGTCTTCTTACCTTGGGTTTCCCCGTAGAGCCAGAAGTAAAGATGACATAAGCTGCGTTACCGGGATGGACTTCAGAAGACACAAGTGCCTCTGTTCTGCAATGGCGCATGAGTGAATCGTCCACAGTCACCACCGGCACACTTGTCACATTCTGGAGCATCTTCGTATGAGACGAAGAGCAAAGTATAATTCTAGCCCCCACGGTCCTAATTAGGGACTGTAGTCTGTTGGGAGGATGCGATGGGTCCATAGGAACGAAAGCTCCTCCAGCTTTCAGAACACCAAGCATGGCTACAATGTACCATTTCTGCCAAGCCGATGCGATTAGTTACGAAGGTACCAGGAGACCGAATAGGCATTAGTAAATGCAGTCAATTACATACCGTTTTCTCAAAAAACAGGGGAACGCAAACTTCAGGTTCTACGCCCCTTGATTGCAGGGAATGTGCTAGGCGGGAGGACAACGAATCCAACTCGCTGTATGTTAGTCTTCCATCCCAAGCATTGATAGCTTCTTTCGCTGGCCCCCGCCGGACCTGCTCCTGGATAATGTCGTGAATACAGCGATTTTGAGTTTGTGGAAGAGCCTCGTTCCATTTGGAAATTGTCTTCCAATCTTCCTCCGTGAAGAGCCTGAGCTGCCCTACAGTGCGGTCTCTGCCGGCCAGAAGGTGGCTGAGAGCCTGTCCAAACAACCTGTTCACACGCTTTATCTGTTCCGAGGACATCTCATTACTCCACCACTCGAGGAAGACTTTCACATCGTTAGGAAGGATGTCGGCGCGAATCCGAATACGGCACTGCACTTATTATCAGCATACGGCACACCGATTTCAGACATTTGGGAAACGAGAGGATCCGCACCTTTTCGGGTAGGCTATGAACATCATTCTCAGACTGTTCTATTAAGGAGGGAGAACCGAAGTTGGCCGAAACGTTTTCTCGCAGAAGTACTATTGTATTAAAAGGATAAACACCCTGCATTGCGTCTATAGACACATCGTGCAGTCGAGATCTATGTGTAATATCGTCCAGACGGTCGCTATCTGAAATGCTGATGCAAACGGCGGAAATAGGTACTGGAGGCGACGATGACAACGAATGTCCATTTTCCTGTCTACCACTCGATTGGTAGCCAAAGCAAACTTCGTCGGATCCGGTATAACAACGAAGGACCAAGGCCCAAGCAGTCCGGAGCAGCGCGTCCAGGGTGTGGGTAGACGCAGCAGACACCAGTTGACCAGCGTCACGGTCCGACAATGTCAGGCTCGACGACTCAAGGTGCCTTGCCTGAGTCGTTGAGACGCTGAACGACGGAAAATAACACGGAATAAGCTGCTCCATGTTTCCCAGTCGGACTCTTTTTTTTTTCTGGCCTTTGTTTAACGAAAGTATTATTCAAAGGAATGCAGAATGCATCAAGGACCCGGTAGTTTCCTCAGTCCAGGCCACCTCTATATGGGATTTATATTTATAGACATTTTATTCTCCAATCTCCGTATACGGATCGGTATCCAATTAGGCTTTTCTGCAAGAGATTTGCACCATCGAGACCTGGAAAACATGGCCATTCTTTTCCCAATACATCATGCATGGGCGTACTAGTCTCGGGAACCTCAGCAAGGAGCCGACTAGTCCAGCATGAGATTTGGCGCATCACAAACTAAAAGTAAGGTTCAGCGCCGAAGCGTCCGGACGGAAGATGGGCACCGATACAAATCCAAATGCTGAAAAAGTGCCAATCCAATTTGCGAGGTGAAAAAGTGGAAGACGTTAGCTTGCCAGCACGGCCCATAGCAAGTTGACTGTCGGCTGGCCCCCAACATTTGCCAAGTCCTGATCGGTGGCCATGGAGAATAGAAGGATTCAAATCCTTCCAGCATCCTTGTCCCACTCATTATTTGTGTGGGGTCTATACTAGAGATACCATTCTCCTATCCTCCGATGTAGTCGACATATTCTGATGAGTGGCCCACCCCTTCTGCATCGTACGACTGTCTGGACCGTCGCCAACAATGCAGAGTCGGAGAAAACGTGGATACTAGTGCATGCAGTGTTTTAGCACAGTTCTTTGATGAAGGGAATGAGAGAGCCACCTACAGCTCCACGCAGGAAGGTAGCAGTCGATACTCCATTGTATCACATCCGCGGAAAGGATCAGAATAATGTGATGTGGGTTCTGGAAATAAATTCTCTCCGGGGCAGCAAGTAACATAATGAGAAAAGGCAAGCTGGACACGGGAGTTGGATTCTTTGTCCACGAGCACGGTACAAAAGTACGGCACATACAGCTTATGGCATCCAATCTGGTGCGACGCGAATCGTCACGCTAGGAGCGTATTGTGACAAACCATTGACCCGTCTCTTGTGCCTGGATCTAGAGAATGCGGAGGTTTGTGCAGGTGCATGGAGAGTCGAGGTCCTGTCTCCAGCTGAGGTTGAGACATGCAGCTCCTGCCCTTTTCGGCATAGCGCCAATGGAACCGAGAATCCTGCATGTCCAGCGAATGTAGAATACTCCACCACCTACTCGGCTCCCGTCTCGTTTCAATGGGAATTTACTAGCATTACCTGTTTCGGTGCTCGAAGAACGTTGAAGAACAATCTACGTGAGGCCCAATTTGAAATTTCCCAGACTAGTGATCTTGCACTGCCAGCAAGAGAAGACAAGCAGCGTCACTATTAATTTGGAAATAATTCGGAATTTCCCTCTCAACCAGTGCCTGTGCCAGCAGCCTCACAGAAAAAAAAAAAAAAAGAAAACGGCCCGCCATCTTGTCGGGCCGTGGCTGGCCTGCCGGAATATGCGGGTCTTGACTCAAGAGATACTATTATTGCTTCCGGTCCTGCGAGGTTTTACAGATACCTGCATTGAAAAATTTTCCCCGGAGGTCCATTAATAATACCACTCCCTCTGGCTGGCTTGTATCTTCCTAATGGAAATTTCATTATGCGCAATCGGATTCCATATCCAATGGTGTGTACATTGGGCGTTGCAGGGGATGATGTGACATGTCAATCAGTGGCGTTTCTACAAATAGATTCGAATAGACGACAACCATATTAATGATCCTCGGCCATCCCGGGGTTTGGTTCATTCAGCCGTTGGCTAGGAGCCAGTCTTTCTGTCAATCCAGGACGTTCGTATCATGTATGTGACGTAGGGCTTAGGGCTCTGGGCAATCGTCATGTTCATAATCAGGAATTCATGTAGGCCCCGTAAATATGGGCAGTCAATCAGCAGGATCCGGATATACGACGTTTCTCTGAATGGGTGCTGCTCTAAATATAAATAGAAATGTGACTCGTGAAGTAGAAACCGCATCATGTTATACGGAGAAACTTCGTATAACATAACACCGCACAATCCATCTCAGATACTAGTATAGTCGATTGACTTGTGAAATTCATTCAAGAGCACCTGGGTTCCTATTCACCATGTCTAGCACGCCGTAGATCCTGGGATAAAGTGTCCTCGATATCAGATCGTATCTGGATAGTCCAACCGTATGTACTATGTACTATGTATGCACTCGAATCCAAATCCATCTGTGGATCTCTTGGTGGAGACCTCGAATCCTTGTCGGGCCGTTTTTGCCCAACCGGAAGTCTGAAGTGCCACCCCGCTCAGCTTGCGGGATGATCCGCTCTAACTTCTCTCGGACGAGCAGGATTTGCTTTTTCTGGATGTTGCCGGCTAAATTGCAATCCCCTCGTATTGTCATTGTGAGCTTATGACCTGTGCAGAAATTTTCGAAATTTTTTCCGAGCTGAGAAGCCCGCGTCGTCAAGGCACATCAGATGGGGCTTCAATCGATATCTATATTCAATGCCACTGTGTCGATGCACGGAAAGCCGACGTGTCTCATTATCCGGCCTTCTCGAGCCTCATTGCATTCTGAGATAACTCATTTCCAGTTGAACCGGGTATGGAAGAAGCTGTTATTCTGGTTCGGGAAAGACTATTCCCCGTGTCTCTGGCTTTTAACTGCAAATAGCTATTATCTGAGGCCATGACTCTACCCCGTGTACAGTTCTATCGGAATACACCTAATTGTACAAACGGCATTGAAGAACTTTTGCTCTGCCATTGGAGATGCAATGGACGCTTTACTTGGTGTTTTGCAGGGTTGTATTCCTCGGGGATCACCCCGGTCATATAACGAAGCGGCACGTTCAACTTGCGTCTACAAACATGCGGTCAAAGCACCTATTGAATAATTAGATTAACGAGGCTTAACCACACTGGGTATATGAAGGCGACCTGTGAAAGAGCTTAGCATGTCTGCTTCACTTGATGTGTCAATTCGCAGCTGCCGGATGGGGCATACCAGTTTTGTAAGCACGGCTTGACTTGACAAATTCGTCAGCAATGTCCTGCTATACCATGCTTCATGCATCCTTAACATGTGGAGAGAGCGAGAAGCGCAAGCTTCATCTCCACCAGACGGAGTCAGCCAGCAATAGCTCCTGTTCACTTGTTCAATGCTCTCTACTCATACAAACATAACCCTGATCCCGACGCTCATTTCAGCAACTGCACATGGATTGAGTTTCAAGGATGACATCCACGATTTAAGAGTATCCATGGCACGCGGTAAATGCTGCAGTTTTTGACATGTATGTGAGGAGTCTAGAATGGCCTTGCATTCCATGCCGATCAAGGTGTGGGGCACAGAGACACGAACCATTGCCATCCTGTTGACGGGCAGATATACTTCAAGTCAAACGATATTGTTTGACAAGAACGTACGAGTGTCAAGTTGTCCATGGATCTTCATTAACCTGCCTTGTTCTCGTTGAACTGTATAAACTCGCATTTAACACATTAGGCTAATGCACGAGGTCGTTGCATCAGTCCTGACTTGGCCATATCTGAGACTTAGGGGCCTGAACTCCATTAAAGCTGTTCCGGACAGTCCTTTTGCCATTGCCAGATCCATAATCTAAAATTGGTCTGCGATTCTCTAGTCCTCTCAAGCGCAGTAAATAGCAAGACCCTGGCGTTCCCAAGATAACATGTTCATGTTCCTTGTTCATCTCGGCGGAATTTCAATCAAATGGACAATCCATATAAAATAATGTATTCCCTTGTTTATGTAACAGATATTATTGTCCTGTCGTTTTGAAACGCAGCCACTAATTACGGAGCACTTCGAAAAGTCACTACTATATACTTCGGCTATGGCTTCAAGTTCCTTCAATACTCAGCCAGCCATGAGAACAATCTTCTTCGTGTTATATTCATTCTTATGGGTTTCAATCTCTCTAACTCTACGGGTCCGCTGCCCCTACTATTGTTGTAACAGAGCGAGGTCCAGATCTTGACCATTCTTGCAATAAGGGTGCTACAGCATGGAGAATTGGTATGAAGAAGGGCTAGTGAGTGGTAGCATTAAATTTTGCAGGCAATAATGAACAGAGAAGCATAGAAGGACTGCCCAAGCATGACGAGTCGGCAGGATATAGGCATCATATCTAACATGAGAGCATGCCTAGCTATAATACCACCTAGAATCCACAGACTGTCTTTACATCTGTCTTTTGATGGGACTATATTCCCTGCGTAGGTCAAATCCATAATCAGTGTTCAGAGACCGCAATTGGATATGTATTTATTTATTTTTACATTGCTAGTAGTTGTTACTCCAGGTTAGGTAGGTCAAATGTCGGTATAAATATATATTCTTCTCACACAGACAATATAGACTACACTTCTACCAACATCACCTACCTTGAAGTATCTCCAAGTGTCATTCTTTATTAAAGAGCTATTATCATCAATGTGACCATAACTGATGATATTAACATAACCATACAAATATAACTCTAGTTGTACTTGGCTACAAAGCGTTGAAGCAAAATACAACCCCTATGCCACAACCAATGCTCGTATGGGCTGAGCTTTCGCAAGAAATATTATTTCAACACATAGTTCACGGGCGAGTAATGGGATTAGATGATTTGCATGAAGTTTCTAACAAATGATATAGACACTTTCTGATATGTGATGGTTTCATTCATCAGATTTCACCGCCACCACTACCACCACCACTGCCTCTACATGTCTGGCTTCCACAGATGTAACCATCTCCATTAGCGGAGCCAGAAAACTAAAAGCGCAAAGGCAGGGTCGCAGGCGCATTCTGCGTCGCCTGCTCAATCCTTTCGAGAATCTCAGGCGTCAGCTTCGGGACGACAGCAACTGCCTTGACGTTCTCATAGATTTGCTCGGGCCGCGACGCGCCCGTGATCAGTGTTTCAAGAGATTCTTCTCCAATAGCGTGTAGGCGGTCAAAGATTCGATTAAAGGATGACTGGTAGGTGAGATAATCGTTATCCTTTATATAGAGCTCTTTGAGCTCCATGGTAAGGGCCCATTCGCTCTTCACCGGTGGATTTGCCAAAAAGTGTGGCAGCTCGGTCCCAAAGACCATGGGCAGAGAGGTCATATACGGTGCCTAGTTTATCGGAAGCAGGGGTTGTCATGGCATTGAGCATACGGGCTCTCATGACAATGGCTTTTCTGTGCCAAACTGCAGCATCAAGTGGAGATGATCCAGCAGGAGGAGAGTCCTGGTGAAGAGTTGTAATAGCATTGAGAATACCAGCTTCTTTTTGTATGGCAGAGCTCCATGCATCGTAATTATCCAGTGTCAAGATGACACGGCATCGGTCAGGCAGTAGCGTATCGACATCGGCTTGGACAAGGGCAATAGCATTGCTGATATTTGTGTCTGAGGCATCACGCAGAGGCGGTTGGATATCCATTGGTGTAGTATCTTGGGTTGTATTTGAAGGCAAGGAAGCTTGTGGAGTATTAGACTGGATGATAGATGCCAGTTTTAGCTCCATTCTAGCTTCACGGTCTCGCATATCTTGTTCCATCTGATTCTGGCGAGCAAGCATTTGTCGCATCATATCAGCAAGATCAGGGGTAAGTTCGTTTGTGGAAGCCATGTTGGCGGTATTGGTAGAGCTCAGATTGGCTCCGGAAGGCGTTGGGGTCTCTATCTCTTCAGAGACAACTGATGAGGAGGTCTCGTCTATATTCGAGGACTTGTTTTGGAGATTTCGGCGACGTGATCGTCGTATAGCAGTAGCGGGAGGCGTAGTAGGTTCTCCTGACATGCTCAGGTTCGGACCGTATCTGGGATCCTGGAATTTTTTTTTTTTTGGAATCTGGGGTATGGAATTTTGGTTCAGCCAATCAGAGGGCTTAAATTGACCACTTATACGGGCCTAAAATAGCTCATATTTCCGAGCAAGAAACGGGCTCATAACCTAATGGAGGTGTATCGTTGGTTGGTTACTAGCTAGATAGGCCTACGTGGTGAAAAGGGTCAGCGAGGGCGGACCTATGCGGCAGAATCCCACGTGATCCAACATACAGACATACCGAGCGCTACTACTCTACTAGTCTTAGTGAGGGTCAGTTGTCTTCGTTGATTGAGGAATTGGAGGATCTCTGTGTTAGCGATGGGTATATTTCCCTAGTTGAGGATAAAGGAAGTCATCCTCATCTATGTACAACTGGGTGCAATTGTCTTGCTAGGTCTGCACTGTCTTTGCTGCTGTTGATTCTTGGTATATTGCCATCATAGCAGCCATCTGTAGCTGTCCTTTCCTATATCATGAATACACAGTCTGACCGGACACACCCTATAAATAAAGTATGTACCTAAGAAGAAAATACCGAGGCATGTGCTAGAGGAAGTACCTAAGGTAGTACAACCGAACACCCACCAGCCTAATCCTAGCATACAAAGACACAGCCAGACAAGCTCAAATAAAGCCGTGCTAAGCCCCTGCAGTAAAGAGTAGTACACCATTACATGCATACTCCGAAGAAAAGAGGATCCCATATCCACATCAACACGACGGCCCCTCACTGGAGACTGGTGGGTAAGACGGCGGGATGGCACGAAGAATGGAGTATAGATGGCTGTATACTACGCTGGAGATGCTAAACTTTATACCGACATCGACAGCACCATTCATGGCGTGCGTACCATAGACCGCACTGCTGAATCGTGTGGCTCTCTGGATGGTATTCTTCAGGTTATATTATGCTATTATTTCTTGTGCACAGGGGCATTCTGAATCTACATGCCAAAGTCAGGCCATCAAGACAAAAAAAGGATCAACCTTGATCAGCAATAATAAATGTCTTACATGATCGCTGAATAAATGCAATATAAACTAAACCATGAATTCGTCATATGAATCATTTTCGGAGTTCTTGCAATATGATTAGCAGCCACAGCAGCGTGATTAACAAGGTTAATGGACGGCCGGAGAGTGCATATGCGTGATTTACAGCCGAATCAGCTGGCTGCTGTGCAATTAATGCTTCAACCGCAGTTCCTTCCTTCGTATAAACCGCCGGAAGTAGAAAAACGGAAGAGAGATGAAGATCCTGTAAATGCTATCCAGGAGAGTGAGTACAGGTATGCTTGTCATGCTATGTTCAATTTTACATCCTTGAAACGGGAACCATGGGATGAAGAAAAGATAGCCGGATTCGAGAAAAGACGATTGCACAACGCAACCGTGGTTTGGCCGGCCACTTGGAAACCGTAGTTGAGTGAACCGTGGTAGAAGACTACCAGGTGATTGTTACCTATTATTCCACGGAATACAAAATGAAATACTGAATAACGAATAATTTGTTCCCTACGACACAGCATGGAATTACCCGATTGGGAAATGCTCGCGAGCGTGAGGTAGGTGGCGTACTGGCACAGAATACCGTGAAGGAATTCAAAACTTGGCCAAGCACGGATTCCAGCGCCGGTGCTTGGCACATAGGTGGCCTCGGGACGATTCCGGGTCAACCGACGCAAATTCAGGGAAAGATGGGAGAGAAGAGGCCTGAGGTCGACCGCGCCGGAAGCTGGCGGCAGGTGATTTGGAGCTGCCAGAGCCTAGCTCCTCCTGTTGCATGAGAAAAGAGCAAATTTTAAATTTAAACAGACGCAGTGATTGTACAGCGCATCAAAACGAACTTTTTCTGCGCCAATCACATCCGCTGCCACGTCTGCACGGCAGAGCTGGAACGGCGACGTGCGTTGTGATACCAGCGCTATCTGCACGCACCTCCGACGCCGGTGACCAGCCGCTCCTTTCTTCTCTCTTCTCGGTCAACGACGGGCTTCGTCTCGCCTTGATTCACGTCGCTCGACCTTCACGTGCTTACGCAATAGCAACACTAATAGTTAATGCAGAGCGCATGATGACGATAGTTGTCTTGCCTGAGAAGCCCGAGATGGAGCGAGTCTAGCGTGCAGAGCCAAGTATCACAATTATTATGGCGGATATAAAAATACTCGGCAATTTTAGTCCATCTGCAAGCAAGGCCAAGCTTTAACGATGTCGAGGATCCTCGACGTGGTGATCTACAAAGGCCAGCGGCAGTGGACACTTGCAGCCAGTTGACAACGCGTTGACTAGGATCAGTGAAGAATTATGGATACCATCCAGCGCCGTAACTGTCAGATATCTGCAACATTATTGACCTCTCCAGATTGAAGGGGGGGTGTATGGGGCCGTTGAAGCTTCAGGAGGGAAAGCTGAAGCAGCCACAGCAATAGAAACCAAAAGACGGTCAGCGAGCAGAATTGGCATCCTGAAAATCCCCCCTCAGCTTATCCGGAATCGGAGAAAAAGCCAAGGCCCGATGCTTTGCGCTAATTAACCTGAAGCTGCAAGGGGACGCTATGGGCAATAACACGGACGTGGATCAACCCTATCATGCGGCCGACCCGGGCAACCGGAACTCCTTTTTTATATTTTAACTTACTGTACTGTGTACCGCTGTTCGACTCGGTCCCTCCTCCGTCATGAAATTCGGGGGTTTCTCCGAACATAACCGCTGCAGGATGGAGGGAAAACTGCGCATGGCTAGAAGAGCAACACCGTGAGAAATCCCGATCAGATAACAGCGACGATGGGACCGAAGGAGGGCGACCTTCGAATGGAAGCTATTCCGAAGCTCCCAACGAAGATTCCTGGTGGAGAATAGCCGCAACGGGAGCTTGTCGCCCTTTGCAAGGGAACACCTCTGCCAAATGTCGGACACCGCAACCGAGTCGTCAAAGTTCACGCTGCAACGCAACGCACAGTCGAGGCCAGGCTGCCACGTTTCGATACGACGCAGTAGTTGATTTATAATATTATAAAATATTAGCAAAATTAAAAGAAAAAGAGAATAAAATAAAATAACGAAAATAATAGGGAACACTTCGCACCTTCCCAAGTGGGAAGTGGCGAGGGATTTCCGTTTGAAGAAGTGCGGAACCGCCTGAACCGCTTTCCGGGCCGCCGTATTTCCGTGCCTACAAGCCGTGGAAATAACAGTGGACCGCGCCCGGTGTTGACAGCAGTTGTCCCTGCAGCCGAAGCAGTTCGCATGAATTGTTGCCAGCAAACCTTGATCGAGGAAGCGGTGGAGGTTGGAGGCACTGTGGAAGAGAGATAGCAACAAAGAGACTACTGACGTTGGTGCGCATATAGCGTCGTAGAGCATGGATAGTTACTAGACCTGTCACCTGCGATGCTTGTCACGAGACCAGCCATGCCTTGGTAGAGATCGATCTGAGGCTGGTTCCGCCACTTGCAGACCGCTGCAGATTCTCTCGTCGGTGCCTTGGGAACACAGCCAGCACGGATACCAACACGGCCTCACACCACATCTCTGTGTTCGGCATACGCTCGGGGTTTGTCTGGCCATACAGAATCCTGGACCGATCCTTTGGCTTTGTCCAGCACACGGTGCGTGAGAGCTGTGGCAGTACTGGCCTCTCGGTGGCCTTATTATTGTGATTTCTTTACTTTGCCAGTAATAATAATATCGCTGGCGATATTATTATTTTATTACTATTATTTTCTGGTTACGTTTAGTGTGTACGGGCTCCTTGCCTCCCAAAGTTAATGGGAGTATTAGTTGCCGCCCCTCGTGTCCTCATTTCTTCCAGAAAAGCAGCTCTCTGCGTCTTCCCAGATCTCTGGCACTCCCTGGATTCCCTTTCTTGAATCGACGCCACCGTCGCCCCTCTTCCTACTATCACCTGTCCTTTCATCGCATTACTCTCCCAGCTATTTTTTTTCTCCCTCAATTTTTTTTCTTAGTATTTTTTTTCTCGCCCCTTCCATTTTTCCATCTTTCCCTTTTTTCCCCCCCTTTTTTTCTTTTCTTTTTTTATTTCAATTTTCTTTTCCGTGGCTCTTTCCCTGCCCGAGTACTTTGTACCAACGCATTAGTACGCGTGGGTTCCTGGCAACTTGGCCGACGGTATTTGGTCAATCGATAGTGAGCCGACCAGTTCTTCAACGACGCGTTCGTGCATAAACAACACACACAAGGGAGGAAAAATAGAAAGCTAAAACGAGTTTGAATAAGACAGAATACACGCTTCTATCGTGCGAGACCCACCGGCTCGCCGCCGTGGTGGATACGCTGCCCTCTGGAAGTCTTCTGTCAGAACCTGCGGATAAAAAGAAGTTCCCACAAAACCTTCTTCTACGCTGGTGGGTGACCGTGGGGAACTCCCTTCAGAATTAAGCACCTCTGATCCTTCTCCCTCCTCTCTGCATCACAGTGGAGTCGCTCTTGATCATCTCTTCTGCTCCATTGTCGACGTCGATTGACTCCTGTGCTTTTTTTTTTTTCTTTTTCGCGGCCGCTGTGCTCGTTCGTCCCTGGATTTCCTTGTTCGGACGGCAGACGCGACTCGAGGAAGAAACGAAGCGAAAAAAAACTCCCCTGGCAGATCCTCGTTCCGTACGGGCCTATAGGTCACTGCTTCGAGTCAAAAGAGGACAGCAAAAAAGGAAGAATTTCAGACGATCAATGATTTGACTGTCGTGAAGACTCTGTTCGGTTCGATCTTCCCTCTTCCTCTTCTCCATCCCCTCCTCCACGCACCTCTTCGACTTCCTCCATGATGGATCCTAGATCCCACCCGTCGAGGCCTCCATCCACCAGCCTGCCTCAGGGTTCCACCCCGCTGTCTTCGACTCCGATCTCAACCATGCCAATGCCTCAGTACACGATGCAGCCGCACTACTCGGTGTCGCAGTCGCATACCCTGCCACCTCTGCAACCTCACCACAGCCCCCCTCCTGCCCCTCATCCTTACATGGGTCAGCAGTACAGGCCGGATCTATCGAGGTTCCCTACAACCACTCATGATGTCTACGCGACTTCCGCCGCCCCTACAATGCCCCATACCGGCTTAGGGAGTCTACCGCCGTCGTCTTATCTTCCCCACGCCCAGGCTCCGACAACATCGCAGCCCTATGCTCCATCTCCAAGTATTTTACCTCCTTCCTCGAATGCTCAGAGCTATCCGCAACCAATCGCTCCAGCTCCTCCACGCGACCGCCGCCCTGACTACAATGGCTTGCCCTCTGGCGCGTTCAGCTATACGGATGGTAAGGCTACGGCCTGGATGGGCTCTGACCCGATGGCAGGAGCGAATGGCACATCGCCGTATGCTGCAAAGGAGCCGCCTCGCAGCCAGGTGGTTGGATCCCAGGGTAGACGCGGCATCCTCCCCAGTGTTCCGGGTCGCGCAGCGCCTGTTGGTAACACTGTGAACGCTACCGGCAAGAGCACAACTATTCCAGCCAAGGATGCAGATGGGAAATTCCCCTGCCCCAACTGTAACAAGACGTATCTGCACGCCAAACACCTTAAGCGTCATCTACTCAGACGTGAGTACTCACTAACTCCTCGTATCTCTCCTGTCTACTAACACGTTCCCTCTCGTACACAGATACCGGTGATCGTCCGTACATGTGCGTTCTCTGTGAGGATACATTCTCTCGCAGTGATATCTTGAAACGCCATTTCCAAAAATGCTCCATACGTAGAGGAAACCCGACAGGAGCAACGCATCTGTCACATCCCCAGGCGCATCTTAAGAGGTCTCAAGCGGCAGCGGCTGTAGCTGCAGCCGCAGCTGCAGCTGCCAACCCCGTGAAACCTGTTCGCGATGAAGTGAGCAATTCCATACCTCACTCCAATGGCATTGTGGGTACGACTTTCAGCGATGGTACCGTGAACGGACTTCCCCCGGCTCAGCCTAGATACACGGATCAGCAGCCGTTGGGATTTTCCATAACGTCCGTTAATGGGATGAGCCGCCCGCAACATGATGACGCGTTTTCCTCTGCTCAATCGCATCAGCGGCCGTCCTGGATGGCGGCTCCCAAGCAGAATCCGTATCTTGTGCAACCTGGTTCCGATGCGTCTACTCAGCAGTTGAATGTGGACCGTCCCCCCATCGACCAGGTGAAGCCCCCAGTTGTCCAAGACCAAAAACGCCCTATGATGCCTGGACCGAACACAAGTCAGCCGGGCGAGATCGATTGGGCGACCATGTTCCAGCCAGGAGCATCTGATGGCTACATCAACCCTGTTTTCCCACAGTCGATGGCGTCCGCACCGGAACAGATTCACGCTCATGTCGAGCCCGAGCGAAAGTTCTACCCGGCGCCCACTGCGGGTTCTCATGAAGGCGGGATGAATGGGCTCTATTTGGCATCGACCACTTTGAACGGGGATGGTGAGTAGAACATGACCTTCCTCTTGCGTTCTTTGTTACTGATATCCCTCTTCCTGTAGGCGCAGTCCCACCTGCCAGACAATGAACACTAGGAATGCATATTGGGCGCTTCACTGTTGGCCAACGACGATCTTCAGATCTACTCCAATTTCAGGTGCATATACGGGCAAGCCATTTTTTTTTCTTTATTTTTGATTCTTACTGCTCGGGCTCGGAATTACCGTTTTATCGATTTCATAAGTGCTTCGCAGATTTATGGGTTTTGGGGGGGAAAGGTGAAAAAACATTTTCTATTAAAAAAATCTGGAAACAAGAAAAGGTACAGAAAAAGGAACAAGGAAGGGAGAAGAAAAGTTGTCACAAGTATTGGCCTCGTCTTGATACTTGCTTGGAAAATTGAAGAGCAGGAGAAATGGAGGAGGATAAACGGAGCCTCCCGAGAATATCGACTAGATAAGCGGCCACGATTATGGCTTAAATTGCTCTGCCTTTGTTCAGCATGTACCAGGAGGTTTGTGCTGATGGACAATGGGGTGATGCGATATGACGGTACCCTGAGCAGCAAATATTCATCTTCTCGCGGAGGTTCTGTCGTTCGGAATTCCGAGCTGGTTGCAAACAGATCATGCGCCTTGGCCCAGTACAGTATTTACATGGCAGCAGTGACGGTGATGGCGACGGCGTCTACATTGGTATTCCTATCGGTTCCTTGTCAGGATAGCTGGTTCTCCAGGTTTTGTTTGTTGTCAAGGTTTGTTCACGGCCAGTTTGCAAATGTCCAGGCGAATTTCTTCGGTTTTTCGTTCCATCCATTATGATTGGGCGGATGGTGTGGTGTGAGGTTTACCGGCGTCAAGAAAATAGACTCGGGCATCATGTTTGCTTTCTTTCTTTATTTTTTTGTTTTTCTTTCCTGCATTTTGCTCATCTTCATTTCTCCTCGTGTGTCTGAGACCATTGCAAAAAGTCCAGGGGAAAATGGTTTTCTTTTTTCTGCATGTCTTTTTCGACTCCAAATTCAGGCCGCGAGGACCAGGACTTGCATCTACAGAGCGAAAATTGTAAGTAAGACCTCTGCACGGACATATACGATTTCATATTGGGGTTGTGTGGCTGTCTCGGCTGCTTGTCATGTTCTGCTGATGTTTTCTTTTTGTTTCTTTCTGCATCTGCATTTTAAGTCTTGGGTTTTCTGTTTCGATTCTTCGGGCACATCGTTTTCAGTTCTATGCCATCTGGTTATTTCGGCATGGACAGCAGGGTGTCTTCGCGTTGGGCCAGGACGGATCCCGACAAACGTGGGCATCTGCGATTGCCTCGGAGCGCAACCCCGGTCGCCTCTCGGATTCATGACTGTTCATTTCTCTGTCTTGTTCTCCATGTACGATGGCCATTGGACTCGGGAGGTATGCACAGGTTGGGAAAAGGCCGGGGACTGTAGCAAAGGGAAGACAAAAATGTGCTAGAACATACAGATAGACGGATATGGAGTGATTGAATTCAGCCAATACGTACAAAACAGAGTGCAAAGTACGGACGAGCGGGCCCCCTCCGCCATTGCATACAGCCACTATTATAAGAATCTATCTATTCTATGTGGGTGCGGAAGTAATTGACGTCGAGCCGATTGGGTCTTGGTCGCCGAGACGGTCGGTTTATCCACGATGGCATGCCAACGGGAGGATTCGGATTACGTCGATGTTTCGGGGCTCCGCGTGTAGCGGGGAGACTGTAGAAGGTATAAAAGACCAGAACGAGAGCAGACATGGCAGGGAGAGATGCGAAAAGGAAAAGGCAAAGGGCGAAAAGCAAAGGAAACAGAACGAAGTCGGTCGAGCTGGATCTTGTATTCGTATATCTCGAACAGTCAACTGTGACTACTATCTCGCCTCCGCCAAGTTCAACTCTCCCATTCCCCGGACTCTTTCCTCTCTTCTCCGAACATCCTCTCGACTCTCGACTCTCGACTCTCGACTCCTCTCTTCACATCATGTCGACCAACAGACCGTTCCTGGCAAACTTCCTGGCCGCATTTCGAGCCCAGTCGACTTTCCGGACATCCTCCGCCACGAGCTCCGCGCAGTCTGGGGCCCCATCGTCGTCTTTTTCCACATCCACATCCTCTTCATCGTCCTGCTCGTCTTCTTCCCCATCAACAGCTCAAATCACCCAAAGTGCACGGAGCATAGCCACAAAAGATCAGCAGCAACAGCAGCAGTCGCAATCCCAGTCACAATCCCAACAACCTACAGCTACAGCTACATCGACGACGACTGCAACCACCACAACGACGACAACAGCACACTACCACCACCACCCACGCCAGCATTCCCACGCCCGTCCACCATTAAATCCTTCAACGACAGCAGCTGCAGCAACAGCAGCAGAGACTTCATCATCACCCTCTACATCATCACCCATCACCACCCCCTCGACCCCAATCCCAATCACCACCCCCAGCCCCGCCCACCGCCACCGTCGGGGAAGCGACAGTTCGAGCAACTCGGGCGGTTTTCGCGACGCCCTCGGTCCTGAGAAGTGGTATATTGGTGGCCGGACGCCCGGTGGCGAGGAGCGCTTCTATCGTTTGGGTATGGTTACTAAGTGCGGGGGGAGATTGGGGGGTAGTAGTGGGCGGGTTGGGAGTTTTGATCAGTTGAGTTTGTGATTTTTGCTCTGGGCTTTCTTTTGGGAGGGCTGTTATTTCTTTTGATAGGACGGGCTTGGACTCAATCTTTTGATTGATGGTGTTGGGCTGATGGGAATTTTCTATTGATTTTATCCTCTGTGGAATTCAGATGTCTACTGTCTCAGTCTCAGGCGTTTTGGTCAAGGCCAGGGGCTTCTATTTTCTCAAGAGCGAAAGAATTACTTCATATATCATACCACCACCATTACCGCTCAGTTCATTGAATTCATTTCAGTTTACTTGGTTGGATATTCTCTCCTCTTGTATATAATATAAATGACAAGAGACAAACATACAGAATTACTTCTTGAGATCACCACTACCAGCCCCATCTACTTCAACAGCATCAACGACAACCCCATGGATAGCATGCTCAACATTAACCTTAGGACCCTTGAACCACTTATGCGCATCGACAAACCACCAAATCAGCACCGCCAACATGGGCGCCCCGTACACCAAACACGTCCAATTCATCAGATCCGGCGTAAGATCCTTCCCAGTGACACTGGGCAGACAGAGAATAGGCACCATAAGCACGACGAAAGCAACACTCATGCCACCGATAACACGACTAAAGGGACCCAAATGCCACGGCCCACGACGGAAGCGGTCCCCGACGAAGAACACGCGGATGCAGATGGGGATGGTGAAAGCGACAAACTGCGCGATGCCGCCGATGGAGAACAGCGCGCCAATGGCCGTGTCCCCGGCCAGAATGAGGAGAACCATGAGGATGCCTAGGACAGAGTTGAAGATGACGGCGTTCACGGGCGTCTTGGTGACGGGGTTGACCTGTTTCCAGATATTGGAGAAAGGGAAGCAGTCATCGCGGGCGTAGGCGTAGGTGACACGGGAAGCGGCGACCATGCAGCCCTGGCCCATTGAGAAGGAGCAGATGATGGTGAGGGCTAAGATGGCCATGGCTGTTTTCTTGGGCATGACTTGTAGTAGGTATGAGGCCCATGGTTGGCCCAGGGAGGAGTTCATGACGTCGTCGATGTCGAGGACTGTGTAGGCGACGACCAGCTGGAGGAACCAGCCGAAGAGGCCGCCGACGGCCGAGGTGAGGACAATGGCACGCGGAGAGGCGATGTTCGCGTTGGAGCATTCCTCGCTTAGGTGGAAGGGGGAGTCGTAGCCGGACATGGTCCAGATGACGGCGACGAAGGACATGAGCACTGCGATTCCGTCTGGGAAGTCGGTCATGTTGGTGATTGTGCCCCAGACTTTGTCGCTGGGGGTAAAGCGGGGGGAGTTCTTGGTTCCTGCTGGGATGCAGATGATAACCGTGACCAGGGCGAGCATGTTGAACGTCGAGCCCCAGGAGTTGAAGTGCGCGACCCACGATGTGGGCATGCTGCTGATGATCGATTGGATGATGATAAGCAGCACTGTAAGGAGAAACGTCTGCCAATCCGTCGGCTGGTAGCTTGGGTCGTTGATTGATCCCGCCGCCAGCATCATGGCTGCCAGGGAATAGTTCACTGATGGCGCTCCGGTGATTTGACCGATCCAGTTCGACCATCCGGTGATCCACGCTGCGAATGGCCCCCATTTTGGGGGAGCAAGAACAGCTGCTGCATAATACAATCCGCCACTGTTGAACTGGTCAATTTCAACAGTATTTCCATCTGGCAATTTTTGGGGGGGTACCTCGTGGGCATGGCCGAACAGAGCTCCGCCATAGACATGGCCACGCATTGAATGAAAACCATCCCAATAATCCACCCCCAGACCATACCTGCCGTCCCAGCATATCCCAATCCTTGTTTCGGAATCAGCACTGAACAGCAACCCTTGGACTGGGAGAGAGTATGTACGGTGAGGGCATACCGTAATACATCGTACTCGCAAACGACGGCAACAACCCCAAGACAGCAAAGCTCACACAGAACGTCGTAAAAAGCGAGAATTCTCTCTTGAACTCCTGCTTATAACCCAGGGCCATGATGACCCTCTCATCCTCGGTCATCTCATGGTCCGTATAGGGAACATCGCCCTGCGGCAGAATCGACGTAACGGGGTCATGGTTGGTGTCTGCGTAAATGGGATGTTCCTCAGAGACTTGCTTGATTGAAGCCATGCTATTTCTTTTTCTTCCTTGACCCGCTCCGGCAGTGAAGAGTATATGTGGAAGTGGCTTGATGTTTCACAACACAGGGATCAAGGATGCCGTGTTCTCGACTGTGATAAACAGAAAAAGAAAAAGAAGAGAAACAGGACGCCTTCACAGGAGTGTACCAGGTCCAGATGAGACAATAACAATAACAACAGAAAGAGAAGAGTGTGACACAAGCGACCTTGGATTGGTCTCGAGTCAAGAAGCGATCAACCCAGCGCCCGCTTCTGTCATACTTATAATGACAATAGCCACCTGCTACATCGGATGGCACCGCAAATGCCGAAGAAATCTTATCTTTTTTTTTTCTTCTGGAAAAGAAAAAAGGCATTTATCCTGACATGACATGCAAACTTTAAGTTGCAATGGAATAGGGGATGGATCGGATGGTCTCCCCTCCTTAGGAGACAAGATCGATTCGTCTGGGACTTTTGCTGTCAACATTCAGACATCCCACAGCAACGGGTCAAATGTATCTGTATCTGTGAATCGCCATGCATGATGGTCTGGCCCTGGTCCTGGTCCTCAAGAACCAACATCGACACGATAGCAGTCAGAAACCCCCGCAAACATTTTCAGCTCCGCCGCAAAAGATAAAAAGGGGGATACATGCCCGTTAGGGCAGGTTCAGGCGAACAAGGGCTTCCAGGGAATTACTGGGTTGTTATCGTATCGTGGGACTAGAAGACAGTGGATGTAACATGCGATGATTGATTGACCTGGGCATAAAGAGGTTTCAGCAACGGCTCTTATCTGGCTTAGAGAAAGTATGCAGCGTCGATGATCCGATAAGAAATTATATGACAAACCAATACAATTATAATGGCCCGGCAAAGATGTGAGGGAGATCAAAGCTTCCGAGGGAGAGATAAGGAATCTCGTTTGGATTGGCATTGGCTGTCGTTTTCCGATGGAGGTATTAGACAGGTTGTTTTCTCCTGCAGTAAACATTGGATTCACAATGTTCGATTCTGTTATGCGCTATCGAAACAAATATCTAGTCTACAGTCACCGACTCGCTTCCCCTTTCCTTCTCACAGATGCCATTGCTTCGTGTTCCAGGGAATCGCTGGAACTCCATATGCCTCGCAAGAACGTTTAGAAGGGCTATTGAAAAGAACAGTCAGCTTCCCCTAGAAAAAGAAAGAAAGAAAGAAAAAAGCACGTCGACAAACATCCACATACATTGTCCTCAGGAGCAATCTCTCTCTTCCAGTAGCCTCCGACAACAGGGATGCGCTGGAGGATATCCACCCGGACGCGGGGGACATCGCCAAAGAAGAAGAGCGCAAAGACACCAGCGGCAACACCGAAGCCACTCAGAACGGAACCGCTAGTCATTCCCCCGTCAGCATACTTCGAAGAGAAAAAGGGGAATCCAGGTTTTCTCACTATCTGAGAGCGCTCGTGGTGCTAATGCCATGGAAGTTGGGGGTTGCGTAGAACCTATAGTTGCATATAGTTAGCCTACCGACTCATCAAGAAACTGGGGCGAATATGCTGTTCCATCTTTCTTCATTCATCCCCCCCGGGATGCCGAATGCCTGGCGTGGACCTTCCTAGCTGGCCAATTCCCGCAAGACATAATCCATATCAACTTCCGATGGTAGAGATATCACATACAACCCAAGGGAACAGAGAACAAGAAAGAAGAAAACCCAAGGGCAGAGAAAATATCAAGCAAGAGCACATGCTCAATTCGCTGGGGAATCCTCACTTGGGAGAAACGGCCGCAGAGCGGCGAACGGACGGAGTGAAAGCCTATAAATAATAGAGAAAAACACACATCAGATATCGCCTTTAGCAATTGCCATAGTATTTCAAGGACATGGAATAAATGGAGCCTCTCGGATAACTCCCCCCATGACGCGATTGAAATAACAACATCCCAGATGGGAGAGAAAACGCCAGAATACTGATTGACAAGGACATAAGTATATCTGAAGGACGTACCATTTTCGTAGGAACCTGAACAGGACGCACAGAGAGAGCAATGGCTCGGGCAGCAAGCGTGGTCACTGAGGAATGTCGTCGAACGAAAACCGGCGATGGCTGACTCCGGGCGTTTCGGGCAGATCAGGATTGGCCGGCTGACAGTCACGTGGCATTATGCATCTCTGGCACGTTTCGACAGACGTGTGTTACAGCTTCAGATGTGGCCGACTACAAGATTAGAAGTCCTTCAAGAGTCCAAACATTCAACAGATCACCTCTAATCTACCCGCGTCAAATAAGACATGATAATGCAGTTTCCCGGAACCCATGAGAAAACACACAACACCAATAACACAGAAATAAGTCACAACGAACAGCAGAGAGTGACCGAATGAAAGTTAAACAAAAACAATATCCACAGGCGCTCTGGGCGCAGTGATCAATCGACCTTCCCCCCGGTCAGGCTTCCACCAAGTAGGCCTTCCTTGTTGTCTAAATTAAAGAAACCACCGCCGTTTGCATTTCCCAGGATACCGCCGTGTGAATAGGTCCCGCGCCTGAGTATCCGTCGACGGCCGACAAATGCAGCCACAGCGACAGTGATTGTCAACAGTGTCAAGGAGAGGAAGGGGTGGGTGATGAAGAAGCTGCGACCAAAGAATAATGCAGACTCGAAGCGGCCAATGGTAGACTTCGGCTTTAGCTTTGGAGGGTTGGCAATAACAAGAGGGATCGTCTCCAGGATCGAAGTACGGGAGGCCATAATGCTGGAGCCACTCGAAGCAGTGTCCCAATAACGTCGATTCTGTTCAAATTAGCCCCTACACATGCATGAAAACGAAGTGGTCGTTGCCAGAACTTACATCTTCATCGTTGATGATAACGCGTTCCCCATTCTCCACATCAATTCCATACGTAGTCCGCAACCAACGCTCCCAAAAGTCCCCATCGACCCACGCAAACGCAACTTGCTTCTTATCGTCCTCGCTAATGGTAATTCGCATGTTCTTAGCCGCCCGTAATGCACGCTGATCATCACGGTCTTCAGCCTCCTCGATGCGCAGCTGCTTAGCATCCCGGAGTTCCTGTCTTTCCAATCTGAAAAGCTGGTGCTGCTTGTCCATCCATTCAAGTGCGGCATTCTTCAGCTCCCGCTTAGACTGAGCGAAATCATCTGCACGCCTTCGCGTTAAGATACCAAGCACCACGTACTTGCCATCCATGATTTCACGCGCATTGGACGCTGTAAGTTCAGGCACAATAGGAAGCCACACGGATCGCATCCAATTCAACATCTGTCGGATATCCCGCATGTCCTTGGGCGCAAGCACGTCATAGAAAGTCGGGCGGCTATCCCTTACAACAAGCAGGCGAGGCCATGTGTGGATGTTGAATCGTTCTGCAAGAGCCGCGCTGTCCGACTTCACGAGCCTCGCGTGACCAACTAGGCTGAGAGTCAAACGCTCTAAAGCCTCAAAATCCTCGGAGGTGGTGGCATGATCGTAGAAGTACAGGAAGATCACTTCCTCCTTCTCTTCCAACTCTTTAAATGTGGCAGCGTCGACATCCTGAACACCGGATCCTACTTCAACGGCTTTTTTGGCATAGGTGATCAGGTCACCAAGGCCACGTAGACCATCGTATTCGACTCTCTCACCACCGCGGAAGAAGTACATTGTCGGGTATCCAGAGATACGGGCGTCTTTGCAAAGCCTCGATTCAACGTCGCAGTTGACTTCTCCAACATTGAGAATGCCTTTCATCTCTCTTGCCATCTGATGCCAATTGGGAGCCATAGCCTGGCAATGAGGACACCAGGGAACGTAGAACTTAATGAACCAAGGTTCCCGAGTGGTAGTAACAAGCCTTTGGAAGCTTTCGGCACTGAGGGGAACGGAGACACCCTGGGGATTCCGAACAGGCGCTTTAGTCGGGACAGCAGCAGCAGACGTTTGAGTCGCCAACTGTGCCACCTGCTCGTTGTGCTTTTCACCGGCTCTGGCACCTGCTTCAGGATCCTTATCCTTTGCAGCCGGTGTGTCCGGTTCTGCCTTCGTGTCCACTGACGTGGCACCAGGCTTTGGAAGCTTAATGCCTTTCGCAGGCCGAGATCCGGGTCGGATTAATTCTAGCTTCTCTTCGATAAACTCACTGAGGCCTTCCATTGATCTCTTTCCAGCGAATACTTCCGGAGATTGCCCGTTGTGGTAGAGTATGAAAGTTGGGACGCTTTTAACCTCTAGCTTATTGCAGAAGTCATAGTAAGCCATGCAGTTTATGGACGCAAAGTGAAAGTCGTAGTATCCGTGGAATGAATTAAGGGACTGCATATCAGGTGGCTTGGAGGAGGATGACGATAATGGATCTGACGTCTACTAGGTGTTAAAGAGGCATAGTCCAATCAATGGTCCGGAGGCGAAACAAAGGGATACCCACGTAATAGAATTCATACAGCGTCTGCCACGCCGGAGCTATTTTAGTGCAATGAGGGCATGACGGAGAATAGTGCTTGACAAACCTGGCAAGTGTCAGGAATATTGAGCGACCTTTCGTAATGAACCACAAGAAATGTGAACTGACCAGTATCCATCCTTGGTGACGGATTCGAAGTTATCCGGGGTGAGCTCTTTCATGGGAGGAACTTCGATACCATTGAAGACCGTAGAGAAAGACTCTGAATCTGATGTCCCAGGCTTCCCTTTAGACGCAGCCGTGTCATCTCTCTTAAAAAGACGGGTCTTGTCTTCGGGGGAAGCGGCCAGACTTGGGACGGCCAAAACCGACAAAAGTGACCACACCAGGAAGGATGGCCTCATATTGACTATCACTCAGAGTAACTGAGTCTCACAAAATGTGTATAGATATTAGGAAGGAAGAATAAAAAGTGAGAAGGACGGAAGAATTAAGAGGCAAATCGCGATTCGATCATAGGCAGCCGGCTCGACGATGCGCCAGCCAAGGCGCTGGATAGCACTTCAACAAGATGAGCACAGCAGCGGAGCTATGCATATACGATGAGGATAAATCGCAGTAATAATAATGTCGGTAGCGAGCGTAGCTGAGCAGTCAAGGACTGGCACAGGATTGCATTGCAATACGTAGCAGATGCGAAACCCCCTGTGGCAGTTGTGGAACCAGGGTTTCTCCGTTCCGGCCGCACCTCATCCCGAAGTCATCCTGTGATGATGCTTCGCCAACGCCGTCGTCCTTCTTGCCATTGCATCCTTGACGAGCTCCCAAGATGAGGTCCACTTTCCGACTGCTGGCCAACGTCAAGCCGGCCCGCTACCTGGAGCCGTTTGCTCCCACCGGACTGACTGGTCTCGTCACTCACCCCAGCCCTCGTCCTACTTTAATATACCTCTACACAACTACTCTCGAGAAGCTCAAGGCATTCCCGGAATCTTCAGTCTACCGCCAATCCACTGAAGCGTTGACCCGACACCGCCTTCAGATCGTTGAGTCTACGAAACCACCAGGATTCGACGAATGGTTGGAACGCGCAAAGAAAATTGTGGCTGCTGAACCGGAACGTTTCAAAAGCCTTCGTCGTCCAGACGGCACATACGCCGCAATTCTGCGTGACGATCAAAGCGACAACGCTCGTGGCGAAGAATGGGACGGTGAGAGAATCGAACCCCTCAGTGACGGTCCCGTCCGTTCACCTGTGGAAGAGGCCCAATTCAACAAAGTTGTCGATGAATTGACGGCGGGAGAGCGGGGCGAGTCTGATTTTCACCCCAATTTCATGAAGTGGGAGAATGAGCCGGCCCTCGAAGCTGCACAGTGCGTAGACTCCCTGGGTATAATTCAATCGAACGAAGCGCTGACCAAAAGAAACCTAGGATCTCTGATATTGAGAATAAGATCGCTTCTGGTCTCATCGAAGAAGTTATTGAGGTTGCTGAGAGCGAATTGAAGGTGGTTGAAGAACTAGAGAAGTCCAAAGCGTGAGTCTCCCCACAAACGTCTTTTCGGCTTGCTTGGATAGTTATCGCTGATATACGTATAGGTGGGAGGAGCTTGAGGAGAAGCCCCTGCCCGGCCAATGGACCTACTTCGAACGCAGCGGCAGCTCAGCATAATCAATGAAACGTGGAGGATATCTACTACCTAGGAGTGGATACGTATTCACATCGGCCATTTGTATGGAGGATACGCTAATTCTCCGATGATTTGTCTGTCAGGTATCACTTCTGGCTGCAGTGTCGTTTCAACGTATTTAACTGGCTGTCCACGGAAAGCATGTGGGATTGAATAGATATACCAATGCGAAATGATGTATTTTACCAAGCAATGGCAGCTTGCTCAAATCTAGACGACCCTTTCCAGTAGAAGCCTGATAGAGTGCGTAGAGGTACCACAGGGATCCTGATGCAGAAGGCGGTGAGAGCACACGCACTAGCCCAATCGAGACCTTGAGGACAGATGGAGGTCCTAGACAATTCTCGAGGGCCTCACTCTTCAACATTCGACCATCTTATCCATTGCCACGACTTACGAGGCCTGATTTTTGCCAGCTGGCAAGGCCATTACCAGACAACCTTCTTTGACATACTATCTGACAACCAGGGCTGGCGGTTTGCGCAGCTCTTGGTCTGGCATCTCGCGCATTTCGACGGCCGCTCCGCACACAATCGTGACCATCACCACCGTGCATTATGCGATTAGACATCAAGGTACGACATTAGTCCTCTGGGAGAGCTGCAGGCTGCGGAAATGGATGCGCTATGGCTTAAGGCAGCTTCGTGGTTGCATTATACGAATTCGTCTGCTTACACTTATCCCCTATTTTACAGAGACAACTCTTTGCCCGCTCAGAGCGGGTAAAGGGCATTGACTTTCATCCTACTGAGCCATGGGTAAGTAGATATTATTATGACTTGCGTGACTTGGTGCTAACAAAGTCGTAGATTCTGACAACTTTGTATAGCGGTGCGTTGGGAGTTGATGATGAATGCCATGTGTCAAGATGCTAATAGGTCATAGGTCACGTATACATCTGGTCCTACGAGTCTCAGGTAGGTCGTCTAGGAGTTTGAAAGATGCTGTCTTTGTGGGAATCGCACCTGCTTACGCTTCTAGTCAATAATCAAAACTTTCGAAATCACCGATGTCCCTGTCCGAGCCGGTCGTTTCATTGCGCGCAAGAACTGGATTGTCTGCGGTTCGGATGACTTCCAGCTTCGCGTATACAACTATAATACCTCCGAAAAGATAACCTCCTTTGAAGCTCATCCGGACTATATCAGATCGATTGCAGTCCACCCCACCCAACCGTTCGTTCTCACAGCCTCCGATGACATGACAATTAGACTTTGGGACTGGGAGAAAGGCTGGAAGTGTGTACAAATCTTTGAGGGGCATGCCCATTATATCATGGGATTAGCCATCAATCCCAAGGATACCAACACTTTCGCGTCTGCTTGTCTAGACAGGACTGTGAAGATATGGAGTCTGGGCTCCCCCCACGCCAACTTCACCCTCGAGGCACATGAAACCAAGGGTGTGAACTATGTCGACTACTATCCGCAAGCCGACAAACCGTATCTTCTCACTACTTCCGATGACAAGACAGTCAAGGTGTGGGACTACACAACGAAATCTCTTATCGCAACACTGGAAGGACATACAAATAACGTCTCCTTCGCTTGCTACCATCCGGAACTGCCTGTGATTATTTCGGGTTCTGAGGACGGAACGATCAAGATTTGGCATGCAAACACTTACAGACTGGAGCAGTCGCTAAGCTATGGATTGGAAAGAGCCTGGTGTATCGCCTATCAGCGTGGCAAGCAAGGCATTGCAATGGGTTTCGACGACGGTGCAATTGTGGTTAGAATGGGCAGGGAAGAGCCGGCCGTCTCTATGGACGGATCTGGAAAGATAGTATGGGCAAGGCACAATGAGGTTGTGTCTGCGGTCATTAAGGGTGGAGATCCTAGTGTTAAGGATGGCTCGCCAATTTCACTACCGACTAAGGAACTGGGATCCTGTGAAGTTTACCCGCAATCTCTATCACATTCTCCAAATGGGCGTTTTGTCTCTGTCTGTGGCGATGGCGAGTACATTATCTACACTGCTCTTGCCTGGAGGAATAAGGCCTTCGGACAGGCCCTTGATTTTGCTTGGGGATCTAAGGACAACAGCAACGATTATGCTATCCGCGAGTCGAGTACCAGTGTTAAGATATTTAAGAATTTCAAGGAAAAGAGCAATGGCCTTGACGTGGGATTCCAGGCCGAAGGTCTCGCGGGCGGTGTCTTGCTTGGTGTGAAAGGCCAGGGTGGAATTGGCTTGTTCGACTGGGAAACCGGAGCATTGGTTCGAAGAATTGAGGCCGAACCGACAGCTGTAAGTGAACTTGGCCTTTTTTATAAGAAATTATTTACTTTCACAAAAAGCGAAACCTGAGTTGCTTACAATTAAACAGGTCTACTGGTCCGAATCTGGAGAACTGGTCACCCTTGCCTGCGAAGATTCATTTTATGTGCTTCGATATTCGAAAGAAAACTTCATCAACGCTTTGAACGCTGGTGAAATTGATGAGGATGGTGTTGAATCTGCTTTTGAACCTGTTACCGACGTCGAGGAGACAGTCAAGACAGGACAATGGGTCGGGGACTGCTTTATCTACACCAACTCGACAAACCGCTTGAACTACCTAGTAGGCGATCAAACTTACACCATCTCTCATTTTGACCAGCCAATGTATGTCCTGGGCTACCTCCCACGAGACGGCAGAGTCTACGTTTCCGACAAGGATGTAAACGTTGTCTCTTTCGCCCTTTCCCTCAGCGTGGTCGAATATCAAACACTCGTGTTGCGTGGAGACTTGGACACTGCCGCGGAGGTGCTGCAGGATGTCCCTCAGGACCAAATGAACAAGATTGCCCGCTTCCTCGAAGGCCAGGGATACAAAGACTTGGCTCTTGAAGTTGCCACAGACACGGAGCACCGTTTCGACCTTGCTCTTTCCCTCAACCATCTAGACATCGCCCTCGAGATCGCCCGCCAAGCTGATGTGGAACACAAGTGGAAGACCGTAGGCGATGCAGCCTTGGCGGCATGGGACCTGGCCCTGGCACAAGAATGCTTCACCCAAGCTAAGGACTTCGGCTCCCTTCTCCTTCTGCATACTTCCACCGGCAATAAAGACGGCCTTCGCTCCCTGTCAAAGCAGGCATCAGAAGCAGGCCTCCACAACGTCGCCTTCTCCGCCCTTTGGACTCTCGGCGACATCGATGGCTGCATTGACCTCCTCGTTCAGACCAACCGTGTCGCAGAATCAGTCCTTTTCGCTCAGACATACAAGCCATCCAGAGCTCCCGCTCTGGTCGTCAAGTGGAAAGAATCACTCGAATCGGCAGGGAAGACGAGAGTTGCCCGTCTCCTCGGTATCCCTCCTGGTGCACCTGATTCCGAGCTCGCGGACGATGATCTATTCCCAGAATGGGAAGAGTACCTCCGCTGGGAGAAGGAGGGCAAAGGCCCCGGGCCCGCTGCTTCGGAACCTCTGATTGATGTTACCGATGAAAAGGAAGAAAAAGAAACGGAGCAACAAAACGCCGGGACAGCCGAGGCGGGCGCGGAGGCGAGTGAGACTAAAGAAAAGGAAGAAGAAGAAGAAGCAGCAGCAGCCGAGTAGGTTTAAGAAAATACAGCGTGTCAAGAACCGTGTGGAATAGAAATTGAATGAATGGATTAATGGATCGTCGTTGGTGTATTCATTTGAATGAAGGAAAACATGAAGTCATTTGCACTAGTTAGTGTTATTTTTAAAGATACTTCTTTCTTCGCATGTTTGAAATGTTCATTATTGACTTACTTTGTTTATTTTTTTATTTTTTTATTTTTTTTCTTTATCCCCTTTTCTGCTGTTCCATATCCTGTACGGAGTATTTTCTTTATCCTTCTCTTTTAATTGTTCTTATTTTTCCTTTTTACTCTTCTCCATAAACCAACCAGCCTTACATTAAAAATTCTTTTATTTTCACGTCTATTGAATAGGACAAAAAAAGGCATATGCTCTTCTCGAGGCGATTGATTGTAGACCATTCATCCATTGAAAACTATTATTCTATAAAGGAGAGAACAGAAAAAAAAGTGCCCAGATTAGTTAAAAATCCCACGAGGCACCGGGTTTGATGATTCATTGACTTTCTTGTTTTTCTCTATTTTCTTAATGTATGGAACATTTCAGGGGATCGGATTCCAACAGCGCGGGATTGGACCAGGAAGGTCATAGCATGAGGAACAGGAACAAGAAGATAAGTGAAGTTTCCCTGGAAAAGAAAAAGGCATTGAAAGGTGCATAGTGACGAAGGAATGAATGTTTGGGCCACCGAACAAGGGCGTTGAAATCACGGCTGGAAGGAACCTGCCTATACCGCATACACTTTACGGGCAAATTTAGGAAGAAAGAACAGAGGCGCTCAATTGACATTCATCATCGCTGGCTTGGGATATGACTGGTAAAAAAGGATAGTCGTGAAATCCCCCCGCCGACAAAAAAAAAGAATACATATCATTCAGGAAGTAGCAGGATATGTATAGTCAAAAACGAGAACGAGAAAAAAGAAATGCTAGGGGACACATGCTGTTTCCCAATGAGCTTCCTTTAGATCTAGGAGTAAAAATCAGATCCAACGCTGATCTGTCCAAAAGGGCCAGCTGAAGTTCTGTCTCGAACCAATCACTCTGGAATGCTTTCGAAGGATGGATCCACGACACTGCCACCAGCGTCTCCGAGACCCGCAACTGGCCGGTTGTAAGACCACCCTTCAAACTGCTGCTGCATGGTTTGTGACAATACCGGACCGTCGACGTACGAGTCCTGGGGTGCCTCGTCGGTGAAAATACCGTCGAAGTTAGCTGTATCTCTAGCATCCACCTGTTATGAATCAGTTTAGTAGGCCGTAGATATAAGAGCATGTCCATATTTCACATACCACATTCGGTCGGAAGCTTGGCTCATACTTCCTCTGGAGTAATTTGTGCCAATCAATGTTAGCAAAGAAATGATGGGATTTGATCTCAGCAGCACCATTGGCACCTAAACGGCGTTGCGGGTCACGGTTCAACAGGCGCGTAAGAAGATCCCGAGCTGCTGGCGGAACAATATCGCTGCTGGGGAAAGTCAAAGGCTCCTGCAAGATCTTTCTGTACATCTCATTGGTATTCTCATCGTAAAATGGAGGAAGGCCTGTAAGCATCTCGTAAAGAAGTACACCGAGTGTCCACCAGTCCACGGTCTTCGTGTATCCATTACCAAGCAAGAGCTCGGGAGCGAGATATTCAGGCGTGCCACAAAACGCTGACTGCCGTTAGCAAATTTGACATTGACCAATAGGATAAGGGAAAACTCACTGTTTGTTCGATCCTCATCTTTCATGTCTAATTTACATAGACCAAAGTCGCACAGGGCAATATGTCCAGTATAATCGAGAAGAATATTCTCCGGCTTCAGATCACGGTAAATGACTTTGAAACCGTGTAAGCACTCTAATGCGCAAAGCAATTCGGCTGTGTAAAAACGAGCACGGTTGATATCAAAACGCTGTTCTTTCTGAAGGTGGTAGAACAACTCCCCACCATTCACAAAGGCCAAAACAAGGTAGAGCTTCTCGGGAGACTGGAAAGAAAACTTCAACGGAACGATAAAGGGATTGTTTATCTGCGAAAGCACAGATCTCTCTGCGAGTGTATGTGCAACCTCAGACCGTGATATGATATGGGCCTTGCGAATTGTCTTGAGGGCGTAGATTCGGCCAGTATCCTTCTTCCTGTACGTCAATATATCAGCATGAAGTTACAAAAGCCGCTGTTTGCTTTTCTTGTTGCTCTTCTTGGTGTAAAGAGAGAAAAAAAATCTGCTAGAGCAGTGGGGGAGACTTACATGACCTGCATGACTTTGCCGAAACTACCCTTGCCGACAACTTTCAACAAATCAAAGTCCTCCATCTTCATGCTGCGATGTTTGTTCTCAACGAAAGAGACCCCAATTTTGATGGAACCGGAGCCGAACTGAAGGTCTAGCCATTCTGCACCCAGCTGGCCTAAATGACGTTCTTGTTCGGTGTGTGCAGCCGCCGCTTTTTGATTGTCCTTCTTACTGAGCTTCGGGTCATCCACGTACGGTTGCGCCTCATCAAAGCGAGGGTGCACTTTGACCGCCCCTAGAAAAATGTCCTCGCTCCTCCCAGCACCAGGCCTAGAGGTAGGGTTTCGCAAATAGAGCTGAACGTTAAGTTCCGTCTTTCGGGATACATCGAACTTGAATGAAGTGTTGTCACCCGCCCACAGGGGATTCTCCGGGGTCCCCGAAACTGCATCCACAAAAACCTGATTCTTTTCAAAGTCGAGGAGGGCATAGGGAAGATACTTTGTTGAGTAACGGCCATGAATAGTAGGCGCAGAATTTATCCCTCCACTGGTGGAATGCGGTCGGTGATGTTGTATATGAGAGGGAGTATGAGTGGAGCGTGAGGAAGAAGAACCAGGGCGTATCGAGGCGCTGTAGGAGTTGCTATTCCCAAAATGCGAATTGAATAGCTGCTGGTATGGGGGGGAAAGCGAGAAGCCACGACCTTCGTGAAGCGTGACAATGAGGATTCCTGGCTTTACCGGAGCCACTGGGGGTGAGACGAGAGCCTCAGAAGCAGCTATGCCAGGGACAGTCAGCAGGTAAATTCGAATGTACCAAACAAGTCAGGGGCCTAAAGCGGAATGGAGGGGGTCCTGAAGACACATACAAATACCATCCGATGGCGGTGTTTCCACGCTAGGTGAATGGGAAATTGGAGGAGCCTCCTCACCCGACTCCCCTTTGATTGTAGAGGTGGAGGAGGACCGAAAGGATTGGGTCAGAGGGGCCAGATGGGTTTCCTTTAATTCTACATGAAGCGTGCGAAAGTCAGCATTCGACTGAAGCAAAGTTGGGGAGGAGAAAAAAAGACCGTATGAGGGTCCTCTCCAAGGTAGGAAAAGGGGAGACCAACTGAACATACTTTTGGTGAGCTTCCACGACATCTTGGTGACAGAGGGAGCCGATGTTCTTTTCTGGGGTAGGATGAAAAGAACACAAGATGAGGAAGACAATAACCGTGTCCAGTGCGATCCCAGCAGACAAAAGGCACGCCTTAGAAGGGTGTCAAATGCAATGAATGCTAATGGGCAAAGTGCTGGACACCCAAGCCGCCACAACTGGAGTGTTAAACCCACACGCACCAAACGGCGACAAATCAGGTGATTTTGGTGTGGGGAGAAGAGATGAGGACGCAGACGCAAAGATGAGAGGATAGAAGGAAAGAGGGAGAGGGAAAATGAGCAGAGGCGAGGATGGAAGAAGCGCTGGACATCGACAGCCAGAGAATAAGCGGGGGAGCGGTTTCAAGGGGGGCGCTGAGCAGGTCGAGATGGAGGAGGGTGAGACAGGTGACGACTCGGAGGAGAGATACAGCCAGGTATTCGTACGGCGGAGTTACTTACAGCGCAGCCGTACGATACAGCCTACGGAGTGGGTATAGGGTGTAGCGTTTCTGCCTGAGGCACCAAGCGGCACGTATCAAATACCGTACCGTACCATGTCTGCAGTTTTGTGGCGGTGCAGTCATCTCAGTCACGTGATTTACCGAAACGTGTCATTGGCCAGCTAATGCTTATGTAACGCCCAGGCACGAAGGCCTAAAGCAAACACTGCAAACAATGCTGCCTCCCCAGACTTGGCGCTGGATACGCTTACTGCGACGGCTCACCTGAAGCCCAGCATCGCTCACCTCCGTCAGTTCATCCCTACTGCTGGACTTGCCTTCACCGCTACCTCTCAATCGGCCTTCCCCCCCTGCCAATTCTCATCACTTAGCCTCGAATCCTCTCCTCTTCCCTCATCGTTGCTGCCCTCAGAATATCCAGCCGATCCCCCCACGAGTCTCCACCGAATTGCGGAGAACTATCCTTCGTCGTCTACCTCCGCACGCCAAGGACAAGCACGCAACAACCAACCATCGTACTTCGCCCTCCCGTATCTCTCGAGGGCGCTCTATTCTTTTTCAAAAACGCTACCGGACGTGCTAGAGGATGAAAAGCCTGAGCGGTCGATGGGCGTAATACGAAAGAAGACCGCGTCGCGCGGTACCGAAGCCGGCACTCAGTACCATTGCGACGTCTGTTCTGTCGATGTGACTTCAACGGTAGGAAATTATGCCCCATCTATCTATCAAAATAAATTCCGACGCGCTTCTGACGTACTATCCTTAGGTTCGGATATCATGTGCACATCCCGCCTGCCCCGAATATGACCTCTGCGTTCCTTGTTTCAGTGCGGGGGAAAGCAGCAAAGCCCACGACCCTGCCACTCATCCGTACCAGGTCATCGAACAGAATTCTGTTCCTATCTACGAGGAAGATTGGGGTGCAGATGAGGAGCTACTGCTGCTAGAAGGAGCCGAAATCTATGGCTTGGGATCCTGGGCGGACATCGCGGACCACATTGGCGGTTACCGGACCAAGGATGAAGTGCGGGATCACTACATCAGAACCTACATTGACAGCCCCAATTTCCCTCTGCCCGCACGAGCGGACCCCCATGATACTAGTCTTCAGGATTCGATATCCAAGGAGGAGTTCCAGGCTCGGAAGAAGAGACGCATCGAGGAGCGCAAGGAAGCAGCCAAAGCGGCACCACCGACAACACCGAAGCAAAAGCCCACTGCCAGTGTGCCAGCATGTCACGAGGTTCAGGGTTACATGCCTGGGCGACTGGAGTTTGAGACGGAATTTTTGAACGAAGCCGAAGAGGCTGTTCAGCACATGTCCTTTGAGCCCGGAGCGGGCGTCAATGAGACAAGCGAGACAGATGCAGAGATGGAGCTGAAAATGACGGTAGTTGATATATACAACTCACGCCTCACAGCGCGAACGGAGCGCAAGAAAGTTCTGTTCGAGCATAATCTTCTCGATTACCGGAAGAACACGGCGCTGGAGAAGAAGCGAACAAAGGAAGAAAGAGATCTGCTTAACAAAGCCAAGCCGTTTGCACGGATGATGAATCACGAAGACTTCGAGGAGTTCTGCAAGGGGCTGGAGTACGAACATAATCTACGGTTGGCCATCGCACAGCTCCAAGAATGGAGACAGATGGGAATCAAGGATCTCAAGGGTGGAGAGAAATACGAACATGAAAAGCAACAGCGTGCGCAAAGACTTCTGACACAGGGCTCATTCGACCGACTGGCAGCCTCTCGACCGAAGCAGTCGCAGCAACCCGAGCAACCGTCCGTAGCCAGTCAGCTGACGACTCCAGAACTCCCCCTGCGACTACAGAAGGCAAATGGGCAAACAAAGCCACTAGAACAGAACCCGCCGATGAATGACTTTGATCGAGCTTTCGCTGCTAACGGAGACGCAACAGGTACGCCGCAACCGGTCAAGTCAAAATATGTTGTCCAGCCATTGAGCGGGGTGACACCGTGGAAATTGGAGAACACAGGAGCTGCCGATTTGCATTTATTGACGAAGGAAGAGGTTGAGCTGTGTAATATGCTCCATATCAACCCCAAGCCATACCTGGTCATTAAGGAGACTCTCCTGAAGGAGGCCATGAAGCAGGGAGGTAACCTGAAGAAAAAAGATGCCCGAGCTCTCTGCAAGGTACGTTGTGCTATCCGATGGGAGGGTACTGCACGTAGATACTAACGATGAACAGATTGACACTGCCAAGACTGGTCGGATCTTTGACTTCATGATACATAGTGGGTGGATTAACAAGGGATAGCCAGGATTACCTTAATTCCTTTTGATGTCCATACTCTTGATAGACTGCATTTTCTTGGCGTTCATGGCAGGCAATGGTGCATATGGGGTTGTTTGAATGCAATAATGCACTATGGAATACAGAGATTGGTGTCTGGTGTTCTCATTATTATTACTATATAAAACTCTCACCATTCCCGAGACGCATATTACTTGATCCCGGTCCTAGCAGGAAAATATGCTCTCCAGTCCCACTGAAGACAATGTGACTCCAGGGTTAACCAGGGTAATCCTAACTGGGATTAGGACTGGACCCGGTTTTATCCCGCTGCGCTGCTTTTCTTTTCTTGAGCCTAAGCTGTAAGCCGCTTGTTTTAGCTTTGATCTCCAGTGAGACCCGATGCTTCATTGCAGTGAGATGGATTCTGTCAGCCTTGTCTATTAGCAAGCCCTAATACTGCGTATATAGTCTGCTTATGCCACGTCGATTATTCATTGCACGAGACTAACTCAAGAAGCATGGGATAAAGTGAGAGTGAAATAAGACCAGAAGCCTATTTATAGGATGTTTCTTGGAAACGGCATATGATGCCAGACTTCTTCCCGGGCTGTCAAGACCCTCTCAGACGACATCTATTCCAGCGTATCATGGCTGGTCAGTTCGATGCCTTTGTGGAACTTGACCCAGATCTATAGCTTACACGGAGTATTTGCATTGAACGACATCAATGAAAGACGCTGTTGTTCCTCACAGCACTGATCCAAAGCATGACATGACACCAGTTCGTGTTCTGTTGCCTTACCTTTCAAAACCAATGATTCAGGGATCGACGTTTAATGTGTTGACTTGTTGACCTGAGTAACCTCCTAGGGATTTTTATTATTCGCAGGCTCCCAGGACCTTACAGCTCACGGCTTTCAAGAGCGTCCTACGTCGTCACCCAACCGTACAAATCAACCCACAAGAGTTCCAAAACAATGATCCTCTTCCATTCATTTTATTCTGCAGCTTGGCTTCTTGCTACCTCATGGTATTGAAGATACAAGAGAAATGTCAGACACCTATAACGGCTGAGATTGGACCACTTGCAGTAACTTTCAGTCTTTGTGTACTGAAAAAATTAATTTAACCGTTAGCGTGCCAACAACATATCGGTTAGTATTTATTAATATGAAGCATGTCTTACCCAGATGCCACCAAGCACATTGCTTCCATTCCATTCTGCCCCCAAGGGTCACAGAAATAGTACAGGCCGCCCTGTATTGTGTTGCAGGTCTAGCAAGAAAGGAGCTAGGTGTGTATAGGACATATACCGGACTGATTTGTAGTAAGTAGATACTTACACCTTCATATATCCGGTTTGCCTCGCGTTTCTCGAGATCTGTGGAGTTTGAGGAAATGGTGCTGTTAAGTTGTGCATGAGCTCCTTATTCGGTTTACATTCTACCTGAGTTGAAATCCTTTCCCCCCTTGGAGACTCAGTAGGAAGTGCTTCGTTCAGTACATACGTGTCTTGCGGATCATGAGCTCGTGTTCATCCAGCTTTGGCATTGCCAATGTCAGAAGAGAGTAAGACACCAGATGAGCTTGTGGAGGAGCATCATTTGCAATGTCTTGGAAATACAGTTCTGAAGTGGTAGAAGGTTGAATCCTGCATTGACTCGGAAAATAAAACTAGAGTACATTGGGGTCCTTTATATACCATTTCATCCGTCCTTTCTGGTCACTTCATGATCTATGAAGCTGTACACTACAACAATATCTATTTCTCGGGGTCCTGTCAAGAGGAATAGCGAAGATAGCTGAGCAATAATATACCATGGCATTGATGGAGATGATCTATCAGATTACAATTAACACCACGCTTTCTTTCAATACTTTGCTAACGCTGCATGTTGGTTTCACTTTGGAATTCACCGAGACAGGATATCCAATACTTCGTCTACACAGAGCTGTAGGTACATCCTACGAGCTCTTCTGCTTGACACTCCACCACTCCATCCCCAAAGCACCAACAAAACTAGCAATCGCCAGGAAAAACGTCGTCAAAGACTCATCATACACCCGCAAGTCATCCGCCATCTTAGAGGCAGGAATATACTTCCGTAGATCAGACAGCCCCAACTGCTCCAGTTCAGATGCATCCAGGTCCGGGAGCAGCGTACCAAACGAGCTTTGCAGCCGCTGCGTAAAGCTCGTCTGCGCCGCAGAGATAAAGATGGCTGGCCCGAAATTCTGCGCGAATATGATAACGGCAATGCCGATAGGAGAGTCCTTGGGTGAGAGGATTGTCTGTGCCGCAACCTGTGGTCCCTGGAAGCCGATGCCGCCACCGATCCCGAAAAGTCCTTGTTAACAAATCAATGCGGCCAGGGACCCCCGGACTTTTAGGGTAGTAAGAAGGCCGGAGGCGATGGGCATGAGGATCCCCGTCACAAGCATGAATGGTGTGTAGTATCCGACAAGACTGGTAGCGGAGCCTGCTAGGAAAATGGAGAGGAATAATCTCACTGAAATAGGGAGACAGAGGATTCCGGACTTTATAGTAGAGACTCCTTCGACGACTTGGAGATATGTAGGGAGCTGGGAGTCACCTATTAGCAAGGATGTATCATTAATTAATAGAGAATGATTGTACGAAAGAAAGGAACTCACATAGTAATCAACGACACTGAGGGCGGAATTGTTGCAGAAGCTAAACCACATCCCCGCCAGCAAGCTCCTCTGCTTCATAAGACGCCTTGACAACAGAGCATTGTCTCCCATTCGATATCCATGCCACACAAACATTGCCAGCAAGACGGCAGTCAGACATAGCAAGGCAATGATGCGAGCGTTGTCCCACCTGTATTTCAGTCCACCCCATTGCGTCGCAAGGAGACAAGTAACAGACGGAATGAAGACGGCAGTCCCGAGAAGGTCGATCTCCTAGGTTTTTTTTTCCAGCGATAGAGTAGACGCTCTGTCTGGCTTGGGATCTTGAAAGAAGAACAGGATCAGGAAGAAGGTTATACCACCTCCAGGAAAGGGTGCCCGTCAGGAATCCCCCAAGCATGGGAGCAGCACACCCCGAGATGCCCTCGATCATAACAAAAATCCCAGTGAAGAAAGGGCGCTGATGGAGCAGCACGCTCTGGGTTACGGTTCTGGATAACTGTTAGACGACTTCATGAGCTGGATATGGTAAGTTCATGGAATGGGACGAACGTGAATGCGCCTGCCATGATCCCAGTACAGCCCAATCCTGCTATGGCGCGTCCAAGAACCAGGGCCCACGATGTTGGGGCCGCGCCTGAGATCAAGGATCCAATCTCAAAGATCGCGATCGAGGCCAGGAAGACAAGCCGAACGGAGAATATGAATTGGAACGAGCAGGCCGTCAGACGGCTAGTGGATCAGTTAGCAACAATGGTCGGCGAGATAGTTTCTTTTTCAACTTACTATGCAGAGTAATACCAGCCCACATCCGAAATCGTCTTGAACTGAGAGGCGATGGTCGGGACGGCCGTCGCGATAATGTTGAAGTCCTACATCACATCGTCAACATGGTCTCTGCAACGAGATATGATGACCAACACACACCAGTTACTCGAAGATCAGACGTAATGCCAGTGCGACGAGGATAGTAGCAAGCTTCATTCCAGTGGGATATTCAACAACATCTCCACCGTGCGCCTACAACAGCCATGGGCTCGATTGACGGCGCCCGCCCAGTTTCGCTTTGGTGCCCGCCGATGAGAGATGCATTTTTTGACGGCAGGGCATCATGGAGTGCATCCTCAACATTACTGGTATGATTTTGTCCGCTGCAATTGTACTATTTGTGTTTATGTTTCCTGAGACACACTGGATAGCAGGGACGAGGAATCCTTAAACCCTGATCCCACGCAGCATCACCGTCTAAAACCAGATCAACCGGGACAGACTTATTGGCACGTGCTGACAGGCAACAGCATAAAACTAGACCCCTCTTTGCATTGAGTGTTATGAGGATGCACTGGCATCCGAAGCCACCGGATACGGCAAGGTTGTTGGCCGTAGCATCATATTCGCAGGCATCATCCTCATCGCAGTCAGAGTCCAGCGTCTATATCTCAGCGAGGATTCAGGCAAATCCGAAATATTCATGGTTGCAAACCGATGGGTGAGCACGGGGCTAACGGCATCCGCGGTATTTTCATCATGGATGTGGATCAACGAGACGGCCTTTTCTTGTGGAATGTGCTATGAGTATGGCATCGCGGTGCCATTCTTGTTTGCTATAGGATGTGCCTTTCAGATTGCGCTGATGGCACTTCTTGGGGTTCTGGCGAAGATAGGAGTTCCCTGTGCGCATACCTCGTTGGAGATTGTTCGAATACGCCATGGATCAATCAGTCATGTCATATTACCATTCTGACCTACTCAACAATGTGTTTGGGTATCCCTTAATGATACTTTCTGGGTCCCAATTGATGGTTGAATAAGCAGCATGAATGTGGCTGCAGCTACGGTTTCGATTCCAATGGGAGGTGAGTCCGTCTATCCCATGGTGGTGTTATATTTTATGGTGCCGATATGAACTGGATAGACTACTGCTCGCCTGTGCTCACATCTGCGGTCATTTCCCTCTCTTCTTTACGTTGATGTGGTCCGGTCAGGCAGGCTGGCCGCCGTGCTAGCCCCGGTCTTAGGGCTTCTTGCTACCCGCATCACCATCTGGCTCGCATCAGCCTGTGCTATCTGCGGTTCTATCTCAATGTCAACGACAGTACAACTAGAACCTGCTGTCTATGGGGCAATGGGATCCTTTTGCTCCCCGATTCTATACTCGGTTGTCATCTTGTATATCCGACCCAGCACATTCGACTGGCGCGAGTTCCTACGAGTCGAATCACTCGTAGGAGATGACAGAGACAGTTCTCCTCTTCCTCAGGCACCAACATCCCGATAATAATCACTTCCGAAAAGGACAAGGAAGGCGTCCCAGCCGAAAAAAAAAACACATAGGGACTATCAGCACCCATCCCTTACCAATCGTAACTCTAACTCAAGGTACCCTGACTCAATCCCTCGATGACATCCAACATCCCTTCGACGCACCTACCCTCACCTACCTGCAGAAATGGTATAAAATCGCCTGGGCCTTCTTCGTGTTTATCCTGTTTGTCACATGGGTGGTTTAGCCGATGCTGCTGTATCGGATTATGTCTTCGGAAAAGCCTTTTATAGTGGCTGGGTTACCATCATCTGGTAATTCTTTGCACTATTTGCTGCTATTATGCATCCTGTTTATGATGGGAGGTGGCAGGTTTATAGGGCATTTGTGGGGATTTGGAGTTTATAGTCTTCCAGCTCAGGTATCAGTGGGGTGCCAGTCACTGGACTGTAGAGAGTCGATAAGTTATCTTATCGCTGGTTGTTATCATTGTCAGTCAATGATATCATCCTGGTGGTCAGCGCACTGATTAACTAAACTCCTGATCGTCTCAAGACTCAGACCCTTAACAATATGTCATCAAAGATAGGTGCCTAGGGGATGAGATGAAAACGAATACATAATAATATCATGACCAGCAACATAGCCGTCCTATGACGTTTTCTGGTCCAGGCACTGCCATCACCGAGGACACTGAGAAAAGGGGAATATAATCCCCTGGACGATCCCAGGACACAACGTCATCTAAATTCAATGTGATAATTAAGCCATTAAGTGCTACAAGAAGCCAGACACATGATGTATGTAGAATCTGGATAGTTTGGGAACCTGGGACATGGACGCCACGTGCGAGGTCTCCTGGAGTATTCTGTAAGAGAGGCCTGTGCTCAGATGTAACATTATTCCACCCCGTGAAATAACAATAACAACAATACATACTTTGATAGTAATAATTTGTCCTGTTTTGCAATGTTGCGTGACATCACTATTATTATCGGGGTAATATTATTGATTCACTGTATACGCAGGGCTATCTCTCTATCGGCCGTCGGGAATTACCTAGTGTTCGGGGCAGCGGTTAATTAGGGGGATAGAGTTCAGGACTGCCGGTTTTCCCCATGGAGAGGGAGTCTAACTTCCAGGGTCCAAGGGGATGGAGTACAGTAAGTAGTCTTTCGAGTTTACTGATTGTTGGATCATTCATCTGGTACAAGTCACGGCAATTGATAATTCATGAGTACGTTTACCTACCTACCTAGTATGGAGTATGGAGTCAGTGGCACTGTCTACAGTGTCATATAATCTCCTAGACTTCAAGTAACGCAACAAGAATCAACGCCAAGAAAGACCAAGGGCCAAAAAAGGATATTCCGGTGACAGTCGGATAACTGCAAGCAGTATGTAGTTATGTAGTTACTGCTAGGTTACTACTTCGTATTGCAGGATTAGTATTGCATGGATGGAATTGCATGTGAGCGTCGACGGCCACTGTCGAACGGAGAAATCATCACGCCGTCCAGCGTGCTTGACACTAGGAAATGATGTACAGTTATAAGCGGTTGGTAAGCGTCGATTGAGTATACTCGATCGACTGCGTACATACAGAATCCTGTGGGAACAGTCTCGACCATTTCTGTTCTGTTCTGTTCTGTTCTGTTCGCTGGTCTCTTATCTTGTGCCAATAATGTACCGGCCTAACGCGGCGCTAGGGTGAAACGGGCAAAGTCGGGGAGGGAGTGGAGGGCCTGCCGAGGCTTAAGGAGGGGCTAGTCACTAGCGTACGGAGTAGTGGCATCCGTTCATTGCCGATCCGGAGTATCAACTAGTATGGGGTATTACCGTACGTGTTCGAGTACTGTATCCTGGTGTTATTCTGAGGCATCATATTGAATAGTGGTACCTGGTCAGATGGCGGAGGCCACTTCAGTGCAGCGTCAAGGAGCAAAGTATAGGGGAAGGGGGAGTAGTAGCCGGAGCGTCCTCCGCGCTGCGTTGCACAGTGTCAGGTGGGTCTCCTGTGCCGATGGCAGCCGGGACCTATGATTGGCCTCTCGGAAGTAAAAACAGCGGGGCTTTGGCAGTCTGGCCAATGAAAACACACTATTTCATCTCTGATTGGCCTGCTGTGTATTATGCCCCACTGGCGATGATGACGTTGTTGCCAGGAATGGAATCCGTGAATGGCTACGCATCATTATATCACCATCACCTGGTGGGAGCCCTTGGCTGTTGCTGTTTCTGTGTCTGTTTCTTTTTCTGCAGGCAGTGAGAGCGTCATCTTTCTTTCCCCTTCGATCCCCCACTCTTCCTCTCTTAAATTCGCCCCTTTTTCCGCTCCAATCTCTCTCTCTCCTGTTCCATCAACCACACTGGTATTCCTCCTTTATCTCTTCCTGCTCTTTGTCACTCCTCAGGCATCAAGCCCCCATTTCCCTTCTCCAAAACTTCCAATCCCTCACTTCGAACTTAACTCCTCAGTCACCATGGGCAAAAAAGCCATCCAGTTCGGAGGCGGCAACATAGGCCGTGGCTTCGTCGCAGAGTTCCTTCACACTGCAGGCTACGAAGTCGTCTTTGTTGATGTCATGGAGAATGTCATAGACGCGCTCCAGCAGAACAAGTCGTACGAGGTCACCGAGGTCAGCGAAAAGGGTGAGACCACCAAGACCGTCTCCAACTACCGCGCCATCAACTCCAAGACCAACGAGAGTGACGTGATTGAGGAGATTGCCACGGCGGATGTCGTCACCTGTGCTGTCGGTCCTCGTGTCCTCAAGTTCATCGCTCCCCTGATTGCCAAGGGTATCGACGCTCGTACCGTGTCGAAACCCGTCGCGGTCATCGCCTGCGAGAACGCCATTGGTGCCACTGACACCCTCCACGGCTTCATCAAAGACAGCACCGATCCTGAGCGTGTCAAGACTCTCTACTCACGTGCCCAGTTTGCCAACTCTGCCATCGACCGCATCGTGCCTAACCAGCCCCCCGACGCTGGCCTCAACGTCCGTATCGAGAAGTTCTACGAGTGGGTCGTCGAGCAGACTCCGTTCGGTGATGTCGGCCACCCGGACATCCCCGCCATTCACTGGGTCGACCATCTTGAGCCGTATATCGAGCGGAAGCTGTACACCGTCAACACCGGACACGCTACTACCGCCTATTACGGCTACCAGGCAGGCAAGAAGACAATTGCTGAGGCCCTTGCTGACAAGAACATTCGCGATACTGTCCACCGCGTTCTAGAAGAGACGGCCTCCCTCATCATTGCCAAGCATGAGATCTCCGAGAGAGCGCAGAAGGATTACGTCGACGTTATCGTACGTCGTATTTCCAACCCGTACTTGGAGGATACTGTCGAGCGTGTTGGTCGTGCCCCTGTGCGCAAGGTTTCTCGTCAGGAGCGTTTCATCGGACCTGCTGCGCAGCTCGCTGAACGCGGAATGAAGTGTGATTCCTTGTTGGCTGCAGTCGAGATGGCCCTCCGCTTCCAGAACGTGCCTGGTGATGATGAGAGCGTGGAACTCGCCAAGATCCTCAAGGAACACCCAGCTACCGATGCCACAGCCAAACTCACCGGACTGGAGAAGAATCATCCATTGTTCCCGCGTGTCGTGCAGGTGGTGGAAAAGGTTCAGAGGGATACAAAGTAATCAACCTCGATCCGTATCATACTTCTTTTTTTACCCCCTATTTCCCCTTCAGATCACGAATTGTTACGGCCCAAGGCTTATGATTATTTGAAAAACAAAATAAAGAGGGAACGAACATGAACGAAATGGCTCCAACGCTCGCAACGCGTCAGGCTTACCCGCAGGACGGGGCCTGTTCAGGAGAGCATTCTCAGCGAAGTTATGACGGCGCGAAGGGACTCGGGTATACATGGGCATTAGGTTGCATCGATAGGCTACAGGTTATGGGCATGCTTTCGGCGCAAAGCTAGTAATACAATACAGGTTATGGTTGCCTTTCAAAGTTTGCTCTTGCAGTAACTGTTTATGTAGTATGGAGTAGTTATAGGCGAATGCCCGTAATTGTCCGAATTACCCGACCGTCGAGGAGCAGGTAGTATCAGTACTATTACGCTGCTACTGCACGAGGAACCTGTTACACTGGCGCAATGAGCACGGGCCGTGACTGTCAGTCATGATAGGCAGATGCAAGCTGCACGGAAGATGCTTATGCACAGGGACCATGTGGAGTGCAAATTTGAGTCGAGAACCTGCATTGCTTCCTCGATATCGCTTTTGTCTGTGATAGGTGGGTTGAGTTAGGGGAGAACCACAGAAATTATCGTGTTTAGTCTTTAAGTTACTACAGCTAGTAGCTAATTGAGTTCTGGTGGTGCATAATATTAGCCTGGTAATTTGATACCGTATTGTCTGTTTTATGTGTATGGTGGTTCGGGAGAAGTTGGAATACGGAATGGACAGGACTGCACGTACCTCCGTCCAGGGTTAGTGACTATTATTTAGGGCTTATTCCATTGCAACCTTGAATCTAAGGCACATGTTTTTTCTGTTTCTGTTTCTATGAGCGCTCGCTTCCTCTATTTACTATTTTAACTATTGTAGCTAAAATTAATAATTTGCATCCCTGGATACTTACTAAGGTAGGTAACTATAAATAGCATTCATACGGAATACCTGGTGTATGAGGTTGTTGAACATTGCTTCCGGTGAGTGAGTACTTGCGCCTATCCTCCGCAGCGGAAAGTTCAACCCACGTTCAATATTTGCAATAATCCTTGGCTAAAAAGAAAAAGAAGCCGTCAAGCTTAAGCTTTCATCGTATTGCTTAGCCCTTGTAGACTTCCACAGTAGTTAGTTAAATTTATCGGATAATATTTGGTTAAAAATTGGATCTTGGGAGGCATTAGTAATTGCTATGCTTCATTCACGCTGGCACGTGAATTGTTCCTGTTGCTGGTCTGGTTGTGTTTGAATTGGGTCGACTTTGATTGCAGTGGGTATAGTATGAACTATGGAGTGCTTCGTACTTGAAGTGAGATTCCACCAGAGCACGTGGGCAGGTTGGTTTCCATATCATCTCAATAGCAAACCAAGTCCACACCAATCTCATTGAATTACTTATGGCATAGTAAAAAGCCAGAGATGAAGCACTTATTAGTCTCGCTGAGATAATCTGCCTGCATCTTCCAGACAATTATAATAGTATGTTTTATGGACTGAGGATGGGCATGCACTGCCATGCAGGGGAAATGACAAAGAGCGAGCCCTTGTTTAAAAGCTTAGTAAAGATCGGCGAGGCACTCTGGTGAGATACAGCCAGACCATGGACTTTCCCTTTCTGCCGGTCTCCTGTGACTAATAGCAATTTCTGATATTTGCCTCAGTTCAACGCTTACAGTATGGAAAAGAAGCCTGTTAGCTAACAGTAAGCCAATGATAGGAGAGGAGCGATACGAGGCTTCAACCTCAGCACATGAGCAGGTGCCTAGTCAGGGGTGAATCGTGGGCGCTTACGTACAAGGCGCCCTGGAGGTGCTTGAGCGGGCAGAGATCGTCCAGATTCGGACGAACAAGGTCGTATGAGACGGTAAGACATGGATCAGTAGGGGGCTGTGGACGGAGAATAATAATCATAACTAATAAGAATAATGATCATGCTGCAGGGCAAACCGGTAAGTGCGCGCTGTTCTGTATGTGGTATGCTTCCAGAAGGGCTCAGAATGCGCCATGGACCAGGGATTGCTGCCGTCCAGCAGCCTCGTAGCATTGCAGGAGACGCCTGCATGCGGGACGCATGAACTCCGGGGAAGGAAGCCGGTTGAGGAGGAGTAATGCCTCGTAGCAATGCACTGGATCTGATGCAGGCGTATACACCTGCGTAGAGAGATGGCCCGATGAAACGTGGGATGCGCGATCCACTGGTCCCTTGATGTTGAGCGTGGTCTAACGATGCGCGCTGTCTGGCTCCGGAGATAGTGCTCCCTTAAGCTCGCGAGGCTTCGAGGACTCGATGGATGGATCACTCGACATGCATGATGCCGGGCGTTGAGAAGCTGGCTGCCTTCTAGAACGGCTGGTAGCGTGTTCCGAGCCATTGAGAGACGCGGGATCGTCCACGATGACCACGGGAGCAGCGAGGGAAGATATTCTCCGGCTGTCAAGAAGCTGTAGAGCTTGCCGCGTCCAGCGCAGGCAAGGAAGGAGTGATGTTGGCGTTGGCGGAAACTCGATCTTGGCACGGCGCTAGCGGAGACTAATTTTGCCGGATCGGAGAGTGTGGATAGGGCGGTGAGGGGCCCCTCGAGCAGCCAGAGCCATTCTGCCGCCCACGTGTGTCGATCATTGGCCAGAAGCATTTGCCTTTTTTTTTTTTCTCTTCCTTTTTCCCATCGGCTTCCCTCCACCTTCGCGAACACGGTGGACCCGTGGCTGCGTGATGCCCTCGACTTATCAGAAGCCGGCATGGGGGCATGTGTGCCTCCGCAGCGTCGCATCAGGCTATGGGTCCACCTCTGCCAGCAGAATAAATACTCGGCACTCCCAGGCGAGCCCTTGGCAGCAGTAACACTGTGTGCCACAGTCCTCGTGAACACCGCTGTTCGACTGCTGTGCGAGCCTTGGTCTTCTTGTTTGCTCTTCCAAGACACGCCTAATTCGTCTGTGGCGGCTTGGTCTTCTTGTTTCCTTGAGAGGCTTTCCGCCAATTTCCTTCCATTTTTCCATCTTCCTTCTCTCCTGCTCTCTCTTGACCTCTCGCAGTTTCGCATCATACGGCCAAGAGTCCCTTCCGCCGCCTCTTCTGCTTCACCAGCCGCCAGTCGACCAAACAATGGCCGATTTTGGACCCCGTGCTCCCCACGGCCCCGATATGACGGGTGACCATGCGCCTCTCGAGGACATGGACATTCACGAGAAGGGCGCCTTCGACTCCCTCATCCGTCCCGACGACAGTTACACCCCAGAGGGTGTCTACTGGGCCGATCTCCCCATCCTCAAGAAAATCAAGTTTGTCAGCTCGTACGACGCCCAGGAAACCAGGCGCGAGTTGAAGGGCATATGGCAGATGTTCAAGAATGACCCCTTGTCCCCCGTTTCCTACTACTTCAAGAACATGGTTCTGCCGGGTGCTGGTTTGGGTCTGGAAGGGTATGTTTCGGCTTTTTATTTTTTATTTATTTTTTTTTTGTCGCGGTATTGATGATCATCTTCGGCTAGTTACGTCCTGTTCTCCATCGGAAACATCAAACCCTTGTTCTCCGCCGCATTCCCCGAATGCTGGGGAAAGAATGCTAAGATCTGCAACAAACAATGGATCAATGCCGTCGACTACCTTGAAATCGTTGGTATCATTGTCGGCCAGATTCTCGTCGGTGTTCTTGGTGATTGGTATGTACAATTGTGCACGCGACCTCTTACCCTATCTCCAAATCTAACCGATCTCCAGGATTGGTCGTCGGTGGGGTCTTATTCAAGATGCCGCAATCATGACCACCGGTCTTGTTATGCTCACGGCCGCTTGGGGTGTTACCCAGAACGGTTGGGTCATTTGCTATGCCTGGTCCTTGTTCTTCTACAGCGTCGGTGTTGGTGGTGAATACCCCATGACTGCTACCTCCGGTATGGAGGGCGCTGTCGGCTCCGGCAAGATTTCCACCAAGGAGGATCGCCTTCACCGTGGCCGCAAGGTCACCAGTGCCTTCTTGATGCAAGGTTGGGGCCAATTCTTCAACCAGGTCCTCCTCATTTTCTTGCTGCTCTGTTTCCACCACGGAAGTGGCAACCCTCCCTACTCGACCGTTGCTGCCCAGTGGACTTACCGGGTCTCTTTCGCCATTCCCGCTGTCGGCACCCTTTGGCTCGTCTACTACCGTGCCTACCACATGAGGGCGGCCAGCAAGCAGCTCACTGCTGCCAAGAAGAAGGCATCCGTCACCGGTTACGATGTCGAGTCGCTCAGGTTGACCTTCAAGCACTTTGGCTTCCGTGTTCTGGCCACCGCTGGTGCTTGGTTCGCCAACGACGTCTTCTTCTACGGCAACAAGCTCTTCCAGAGCGAGTTTATCAGCGTCATCAGCCCGCATAGCAAATCCATCATGCCCGGCTGGCTATGGAACTTGGTCAACGTTGGTGTGTCGCTCGTTGGTTACTACCTGGCCTCCTTCTTGATCGACAACAAGCTCTACGGCCGCAAGCACATGCAGAATCTCGGTTTCCTCATGATGTTCATTCTCTTCGTCATTCCCGGGTTCCATTTCCATTACTACACAACGCCTGAGCACATCAAGGAATTCCAGACTATGTACTTCCTCAGCTCGTTCTTCAATCAGTTCGGTCCCAACTCGGTTACCTTCCTCGTCGCTGCAGAGGTCTATCCTACCCCCATCCGTGCCACTGCCCACGGTATCTCTGCCGCTTGCGGTAAACTCGGTGCCCTCATGGCTTCCGTTATGTACAACTACATCTCGACGACGGAGAAGTTCCACGTCGTCACATGGTTCGGTCTCGGTGGCATGCTTCTGACTTGGCTTTTCCTCCCCGACACCACCGGTCTCGACTTGCAGGAGCAGGAGCGTCGTTGGGCATTCATCCGTGCCGGCCGCGAGTATGATTACCATGGTCCGGCTATTCATCCCAAGCATCTGTCTGTGTGGGAGCGCTTCCGTGGCGTCGGCAAGAACTACAATGCCGAATTAGACTACAAGCAGAAGGTCGAGGAATTCCGTGCTGAGTGGGAAGCGGTCATGGCCCAGAAATTCTCTGAGAAGGTCGGCCATGACGATACTATTGACACTGACTCCCCTCTCTTGAACGGCCACATCCACAACTACTTCCACCGCACAAGCCCCATGTTCAAGGGAGCTGAGCAACCTGCCTCCAAGACGGACAACTTCGCGTTGCCTCCTGCCGCACAGGGGAACGATATCAATGGAATCCATAATGAGAAGCAATAGACGCGACTCCATTGATGGCAATATAACCTCACTTTGATGTTCTCCTGCTCCTTGATATCCCTATTTGTTTATTGTTTTGGCTTGTGAATAAACATTTTCCTCTCTTAGTTTGCATACCCTTCTGTTTTTGAATAGAGAGCGGACGCCGACGTTTATATATCCAGATGATCATTATGTATTAATGCTTATAAAATGAATTTATATGCTTCATCTACTGGCTTGAGCAAATATAGTAGACATTCGCCTATCATACTTCGGTCTAGGTTTGTAAATGTTGATTTGAATAACGGATCTGGCCAATCACGTGCCCGGAGCCTTAGGGATTGGCAAACTCAACAGCACAAAGATCATATTGAGATAAACTTCGCAAAAACAAATTAGTGAGTGACCTCATGCCCCTCTACGCCTTCGGTTCCAACGGCTCCGGCCAACTAGGTATCGGACATGTGGAGGATACATCTATTCCAATGAGATGTCTATTCGAAGAGTTGGCTGAAGGTGAAAATAATAGTGGATGTGAAAACGACATCATTCAAATAGCCACAGGCGGAAACCACACCTTACTCCGCTTCAGGAATGGGGAGGTCTACGCGGCCGGGTTTAATGGGGATGGACGGTGCGGGGGGACGATTATGGGCAATGCAAATGCAGATGCAGACCAGTTAATACTCCAATTTAGGAAGGTTTTCATCGTGGAAGAGATAGATATGGGTACTGATACGGATGCTACGGAAGGAAATAAGAAAAAGGGGAAGGAGAAACGGGTATGGGACCGTTTTGCGCTCGTCTCGGCGACGTGGGAGGGGAGTTTTTTGGTTTCTTCATCATCAACTACCATATTCGCATTTGGTTCAGGTTCAAAAGGTGAACTTGGCCTAGGACCATCGATACAGTCGTGTCGATCTGCTGTGCGGGTTCCTGATTTTCCGCCTCCTTCTTCCTCAGAATCAGAGGGAAGAACAGCCACGACTACAACTGCTACTGCGTCTATCATCGCCATCGCGAGCAGCATGTCGCATACAGTCGTCGTCTTGGATAACGGGGATGTATATGGCTGGGGCACATCGAGAAAGGGACAACTCGGGATGAGTCTTGCAGAGAGGAAAGTTGTCTGGTCGCCTACTAAGATCGGAGAGATACCACCTTTTTTTCGCGCGTCTGATGTTACGTGTGGAAGGGAGTTTACTGTTGTCTGTGGTGATAAAGGGAAAGGGGAATTTGTTATTTTGGGTGCTGGGGGGAATAGGTGGGGGTTTTGAGTGGTGTTCCTCTTCCTGTATCGCCAGCGGTGCAGGGAACAGAGACAGGAACTAAGCAGGTAATAAAAATATTCCATTTCCCTCAAAGCTATATTTCCATTCTTGCCAGTTGGAACGGAGTCTATGCACATCTCGCCGACAACCGGGTTGTGGCCTGGGGGAGGGATGATCGGGGCCAGCTCCCTCCCGGGGAATTACGGGGAGGGGCATCGTTGAAGAAGATAGCTGCTGGTAGTGAACATGGGCTCGCTCTTCTGGGGGGTGATGATGATGAGCGGGCTGTCGTGGCGTTTGGGTGGGGGGAGCATGGGAATTGTGGGACTGAGACTGATGAACGGGGGAATGTCCGGGGGAGGTATAATGTTGTTGATATACCTTTCCAGGGAGAAAAGGAAAGGGTTATTGGTATTGCAGGTGGTTGTGCGACGAGTTGGATTATCACGTCGTGAACAGTCCTTGTTCCATATCCTCTATTATCACTATAGGTTCAGTCAAAGAGACCAAGTCCGTGGAGCTGTGGATGTCAGTTTATCTCGCTATAAGGAAACTCCATTTACGAGTGCCATCATACCTGTGAAATGCGTTGTGTTGGTGGTATCCCCATTTCATCCTCTGCCGTTACCGTCTCCGATTCGGGTTCCATGTCTCGATTGAACATCCTGGATTCGCTATCTTCAGGATATCGGTGCAATGTCTCCTTCAATTTCCCATCAGCTCTCCTGTTGCTTATATAATGTCTGGGAAATACAAACCTGATCCATACTCGCATCCCAACCGAGTACGTCCTCTGTAGTTTCCTCCTCGTTCGTTTCATCCCATTGTCTATCATCATCTGCCGGGACGAAAAGGCTATTATCAAAGTCAATTGATGCTGACGGTCGGGAAGGTTCAGCCTCCATGCTTGGTTCCGGATTACAGACTGATGCAGATGCAGTCCCAGTAAGAGGGCGGGCCCTTCGGCTTGACGGGGGAGGCATATCCCGGTTACTAGCTGCGGTGGTATCATTATTGTTGCTCGAACTAGGCTGTACCAGTGGTGCGGGCGTTTGCCTCGCTGATAGTTCTCGAATAACCCGTCGTGATGATGGAGGTATATCATCTGGGTCTGCCTCCCCTCTTGTCATTAACGTGAACTCCGAATTGATACCGTCAGATTCATATGCTAGCTGTAATGGACGACACGGCCGGGAATATCGCGCTGTCACACTTGCATTCAAGGTCTCAGCGTGCGCGACGGCAGCTTTAAAATCCTTAACGTTGATAGCAACATGCAGATGATCCTCTACCAGGAAGTCCTCAAAGTCCTTTCTATCAATGGCCACCGAAGTGTGGATGGGTTGTTTGAGTATTTCTATATAGACAGGTCAGCCCTTTTTTTTTTTTTTTTTTGAAGAAGCCAGCATTCGTCAAACCTTTTCCATCCGTGACCTTGGTCGTGAAACTGGTGAATATGGCCTTCCCATTACCGTCGGAATAAATATCCAGCTGTTCTGCAGAGGGACTGAAGTGGTCGACGATTCCTCGGAGAAATTTAGCCTCGATAGCCCATTGATTTATCGTCCTTGTCCGGTCGAAAACAGCATGTTGGACCGTGGCTGGTTCATAGGTGAGTTTGTACGATTTTATAACACCTGCCCATGTCTGTAAGCAAGCGAAGGGAGGGCTTATTTGATAGAACCTGTTTCCATACCAAGGCCGCAGATCATCCGGATAGAAAGTCTGCATTCTGTCTGTTGAGCATCTTCATGTAATTCAACCTCACAGCGCTCAACAGCCGTGTCTTTATCCTTCTTCTCGCTCGTTTTCCCCTTGAAGATAGAAAGGAGAGCCTGGTTGATAGTAAACCCAGTTTAACATCAAAAGAATAGATCCATAAATAATGGTATGATTGATGCTTACTTTTAAATACATCTGACAGCAGAACCGATCCGAGCGCGCATTTCTCTCCGCTGCGTATTCCCTGCCTATAGTGAATGAGTACTTGTCGAAAAACTTGTCCGCATCGAAGATGAACGCGGTGTATGCTGTCTTTGTTGAATTGAGGACGCTTAATCGGAGCTTTTCGTATTTTCATTTTATATACTCAGAATCAGCATGGTTCTTATTTAATTTCGTCCTTTTTGGCGCATCTTACCAGGTCATATTCAGCTTCGATGGATACACTCTCATTGAATTTGGACAGACACGTCAGGGCATTGTGTAGCCTGACCAAAGCAGCTGGAGAGAGTGTGAATGATAATTTTGTCATGTTTCGCCGTCTCTTGTCGTTGCAGCATTTATGGACATATAATGGGCATATATCACTATACAGGCTTTTTATTCTAGAATCACGGCGACTTGCCCACCCGCATAGGGTACCCAGGGTGATGCTCAGTGCGTATTTTTCATCATGGGTGATCATTCAGTGAGCACTCGGTACGCTCAGGGACTACTACTCCGTACTAGCAGTATAGGTACATGTGGGAGCGCCTCGAGCCCTGACATCTTGAAGTCGTGCCCATTCTTTTGATGCTGTTAGTTGTTAAAACCGTTGTCGAGCTGTTGGAGCATCTGGTTCATCCTGTTATATATTACATATTGACCTGCGCCACCACACTTAGAGAATGAACGAGGATATGGCTGTTGGACGATTAAGAGCTACTGCTACTAGACTACTAGCTACTTCTAGTAAGTCCAGTTTGATAGAACTAACATAGGATGAGTCTTGATACTAGTTAGGCGGCAGTCGCAACGTGAGACGAATTGTATTCCTCATCCAACTCGCCCCCTTCCTGCTCCTTTCCGTTGTTCTTCTCTCCCCCCCTCTCTCTCTACTATTCTTTTCCAGAAAGATCACCGTCTACTGTCTCTTTCTACGCGTAAACAGCGCTCACAACGCCAACGCGGACCGCTACATAGCTGTTCATATCCTGTTCTGCCTACTTGTCTTCCCTTGGCTCTATCTTGATTCTCCCTTCACTTGAAAGTCTCCACTGAACATATCCTTTTCGGTGAGACTCATCTGGATCAGGCCTTGTGGAGTTCTACAGAGTATGCTAACCGGATTTTCTGTCAACGAAACAAAAGCACGAGCACCATAACTAAAGACGAGTTTCAATCCTTATCGAAAAGACCATGTTGCAGAGAACTGTTCGGTACAAAAATTTCTTTGCTTTTCACTCCAGATGGGAGAATGACAATACCAATGCAGCACGTGATGGAGAGAGCTTTGAGGCGTTGGTGAAGTTGACGGGGTTTAGTTCTCTTGAAACATACATCATCCCAGAGGAAGAATCCATGCCAGGTTTTGAGGCAAATTGGCGGATTATCCAGTTATGGGGAAAAGCAGCAAAGTCGTCAGGTCGCGGCGTGATACTCGTCCATTATGCAGAGCACAGTGGGCCAAACAATCTGAACTGACTTGAGCTGTCGAGCAGCACAGAAAAGAAGATAGCGGCAGACGGCTTCTTACAGGGCATCACCAATGATTTTAATCTGGCCCTTGATGCACCTGTGGACATAATTCTCCTATTTGACTGTTGTTGCAGTCTTTAAGCCATCAGAAATGCTGCCCCTAGCACCTGAAAGGTCAAGATTCTGGCTGCTGGCAGCCGTCGTGATGTCGAAGCTTTTCCAGCGGGCCTTTTAAACCCTTTCACATCAAAATTACTTTGCCAAGTGAGATACAATGGCCGACGTGACCTGGGTTTAAAGCGGCTCATGTGTCTCCACAGGGATATGAAAACCTCTGGAACCAGTTCGGTTTCAGAGGGTGGAGATAACCAATATGGATGATGCAGCAGGAGTTTTGAGAATTGACTCTGTTCAAAATGGATTGCTTATGCAAGGGACTCTGCGTGACATCAATCGCGTGCCTGATAACTCGTTGAGGTGGCACTTCTGACAAAGCATACTCACCTCACATTAGAGTAGAGGATGAGCAAAGCTGCCACACGGTAAGCAGGAAAGGTCCTCGCCTGTCTTCTGCAGTCCTCGCATGGAGACAAAGAACAGTACGGTGTGTAGTGTGATCATTGTGCAATTCTTGATTGTTGCTTGCATCTGAGGCTCGTGCTGAACACAGCCAAGTATGTCAAGTTCTTACTGCTTGTAGAGAAAACCAAACAGCTCGTCGGTCCCGAAGCGCAGGGTACATAAGCTTCTCGCAGCGCCTAGTGAAAGCCGCAATGATTCTGCAGGGGACAAACACACGGCAACAGATATCATCTGATCACCTACTCCAGGAGATCCAACGCGAGAAGCCTTCTGGGGCGCCTGATACAGTTCTGAAACATCCAGGACGCGGTGGCCAACTGCTTGTTCTGCCACTCAGGGAACTATCAGATAGTCTTCCTTAAATCCAGCATGATGCAACACGTTCTGGTGCAGCTATCAGTGGCAGGACCAACAGAATATGCCTTCGTGAAATTTAAAAAGAACCTGATGGGCCTCCCCCCTGGCTTCAAAGTTGAAGTTGTGGATACTTATGAGTCCCATTCTGTCGGTTTTATACTTCGCATGTCATGGTCAACATACGCCCGATTGTCATCCGTCATTGATCTTAAGCTTATTATGCCATTATCGGGCCCTCACTTGTTCATTCTGGTGTCTGATGGGAACACTCGCCCTAGTTCAGCTGAGAGGAAGCCTCTTAGATGAAGGGTCATCAAGGGCACAGTTATTACTTAAAGAAGAATTGAGTATCCATTGAATAGGGGGCATGAGTAATGTCACTATGGTTCTTCCAAACAGCCAGCTTCTTGTCTAGTGGTTAATACGTGTCAATTACCTTTGCTATTCCTGCGCTGGACGAGCTGGATGAATGGCATGAATGCCACTAGCTACCTTCCCATAACTGGGACTTTTTTTCTGATTACTCAACCACTTAAATATGTTTCTTAGTAGTTAGTAGTAGACTACTGGGAGTCCTCCAGACCCCCCCGCTTTGCTTTAGTAAATATGTAAAGGTCTAGCATCTGTGTAATGGTTGGATGGCAGTGACGCGTGAAGAGGTAATCAAAGGTAAGAAGCTAAATATGATAGTATTGGTGAGGAAACGTAGGGTTCCTAACTGGTGACTTACTGTATGTCGGTCACGGCAGTTCAACAACCCATGCCTCCAAAAAGATGTCAAAATTCAAAGAATTCAATGGAGAAGGAGGGGAGGGTCTTATTAGCTACTTCAGCTTTGAACTATTCGAAAATTCCTTCTGTACAGCAGCAAGCTACACGTTCTTTCAATGTCCTTACTAAAACGGAAAGCGAACAATGACCAGATCACTATGCAGATCTATACTCGAACCGACAGCTCGGAATTTGAATCTTGGTCCGACTGATAGATAGGCTAACACTTGGCATATGTATTGCTGGAGTGGGACCAACGATGTTAATGAGGTTCATGAGGTATGGATATGAGGATGGGGATTTATTACACGAGTGTATGAGCCATACGATTATTGTATTGTACGTTACGGGTTGAAAACCACTTATCCTAATTCGGCTGTCGCGCGTTATCGTCGCGTCCACATTCGTTTACGCGAACACCCTTAATGCTGCCACACTCCGTGGATCCTCGCGAGACAGCGTGTCTTGTCAAGACAGGCATACAACAAACCAAATCGCATCTAGTTCCTTCCAATCGACTTAAATCAATTAACCGACAACCTCTCAATGGTGTAGCCGCCATGGCAGCAGCTCGCGCCAAATTGGAAGAGCTAAGGGCTCTCCGCGCCGCCGGAAAGAAGCGTCTCTCGACGTACGAAGTCGAGGAACAAGGCGATATATACGATGAAGTCGACGATGAAGGATACAAGAAGATCATCCGCAATCGACTGGACGAGGACGACTTCGTGGTCGATGACAATGGTCAGGGCTACGCGGACGATGGTCGGGAAGTCTGGAACGAGCGCGCGGCCGGTTATGGGTATGATAGCGAGAGCGATGGTGAAGAACTACCCTTAAGGGGTAAGGCGGCGAAAAGGAAACGAGAGGAGGAAAAGCAGAAGAAGGAGAAGATGAATAATGGTATTGCTAAATACCTTACCAGTAAAACGGCAGCTCCTCCTAAGCCGAAGGTGAGTTTGAATTGTCTTTGTTCTGTTTGAATTGCGGTCTATTTGCATGGTGGTACTGACTTTTTTTCTGTCATAGCCTGTTGCTACCGCAGAGGATGAGGCTTTCATCGCTGATCTTCTGGGAGAAGTTGATACAAACGTTATCCCCAGCCGTGTGCCGACGAAGAATATAGTGAAGTCAGAGACTCGGCGAAAAGTTCGGATTCTTTCGCCACCATTATCGCTGAGAGATTCCTCCGGAAAATCCAAGAAGATAAAGGATGATAACTCTACCCAAGACTCTCATACTGAAAAGCAACAGGAGCTTCGTTCGGATGACGACGATGGCCCGCTCCCGCAGATGGACGGTGACGATGTGCCTATGAGTGATCCGGCACCGTCTTCTCCTTTGAACAAAGCGGTTGAACGGAAAGCATCGGCTACTATCAAGAAAGAGGAACCCGAAGAGGACGATGATGTGATGGATATTGCGGAGGCTACTGGGGGTTTGAACAGTAGTGCAACGAGGGTCAACATGGCTGGTAGTCGCCCGCCTGCAAAAGTAAAGTCTATCTATCCATCTCCAGCAAGCTCATCGCCCCCAAGACCAACTTCTGATGTTGTGGATGCATCCTGGAATGACGTGAGAAGCAAATTGAACGTTCTCAGCAGCCCTGCACCGGAGGTGCGAACGTTTGGTAAAGTACAGGCCCAGGATGTTGTTGAGGAAGATGGCAGCCTTCGCATGTTTTGGTTGGACTACACTGAAGTCAATGGTAGCCTATGTCTGTTTGGAAAAGTGAAAAATAAACAGACCGGTTCCTATGTCAGTGCCTTCATTAAAGTCGACAACATCTTGAGAAAACTCTACTTTCTCCCGCGACAGGTCAGACAGAAACATGGAAGGGACACTGATGAAGAGGTGGATATGGAAGACGTCTATACAGAAGTAGACGGGATGATGTCGCGACTCAGGGTTGGCATGCACAAAATCAAGCCATGCACACGGAAATACGCCTTCGAACTACCTGGTATCCCAAAAGAGGCAGAGTATTTGAAACTGCTGTATCCTTACGACAAACCTGCTCTGGCAATGGACACCACAGGGGAAACCTTTTCCCATGTTTTCGGCACTAATACGTCACTGTTTGAACAATTCGTCTTGTGGAAGAATATCATGGGCCCTTGCTGGCTGAAAATTGAAGATGCTGATTTCTCTGCCGTCAATAATGCATCTTGGTGCAAGTTTGAATGTCAAGCTCCCAAACCGGCGCTCATCAGCACTGTCTCGGACTCTGAGAACTTGGACGCTCCGCCTCTTACGCTTATGGCTCTTTCCTTTAGGACTCAACTCAACGTGAAGGAGAATAAACAAGAGATTCTGATAGCAAGTGCAAGAGTGTACGAAAGCGTCTCTATTACAGATCCTACGCCGCCGGAGAAGCTCCCCTGCAAGACGTTTACTGTCATGCGACCTTCCGGGTCTGGTTACCCTGTGGGATTCGAGGCAGAAACGCGAAAGCAACGGGGTGTGTTCATGCTGGAAAAGAGCGAGCAGTTCTTACTTAGCAAATTCCTGGCGTTATTTGAACGGATGGATCCCGATGTTCTAATGGGCCATCAACTACAGGATGTTGATCTGAGTATTCTACTGGACAGAATGAAAGAGAAAAAGACTCCAGGCTGGCATCGTATTGGACGAATGAAGCGTGGAGAATGGCCGAAGAACTTTGGCAGAAGTGGAGGCTTTTTTGCTGAGAGACATCTGATTGCAGGTAGACTGATGTGTGACCTCGCCAATGACATGGGAAGGGTAGGTTTTCAACATGATCTGTTCCTTAACTCCACTCTGCTTCTTAGATTCTGACTGCCCATAGTCCCTGATGACAAAATGTCAATCCTGGAGTCTGATGGAGATGTGCGACCTCTACCTACCCCAAGGTAACTCGCGCCAGGAGTTGGACTACGAAGCTGCATTGAAGACCTGGGCAACCAGCAAAGAAGGTCTCATGAACTTCGCTAATCATTGCGATACGGATACATACTTTATAGCTGCATTGGTGCTACGATTGCAGATGTTATCCCTGACCAAGGTTCTCACGAACATTGCCGGTAACTCCTGGGCTAGAACGCTCAGCGGTACTCGTGCTGAACGTAATGAATACATTCTGCTGCATGAGTTCCACCGGAACAAGTATATCTGCCCCGACAAGTACTCGAACAGGCAGCAACAAAAAGCACAAGAGAAGGTCCCAGAGGGTGATGAGGATGAGTCAGTGGATAAGAAAAAGAAAGACAAGTACAAAGGTGGTCTCGTCTTTGAACCCGAAAAGGGTCTCTATGACAAGTTTGTCCTTGTTATGGACTTCAACAGTCTGTACCCCAGTATTATTCAGGAGTACAATATCTGTTTCACAACCGTGGATCGATCTTCAACGGTATGAGCTCCCAACGTTCCCTTTGTCTCAGCTTCTGCTAATGCGGATCCCGCAGTCCCAGAATGAAAATGATGAGAAAGTGCCGGAGGTGCCTTCTTCAGACCAAGAGCAGGGTATTCTTCCTCGTCTTATCGCGACATTGGTTGGACGTCGACGAGAAGTGAAGAAACTGATGAAATCCAAGCGAGCTACCGCCGAGGAACTTGGTCTGTGGGACACAAAACAGCTGGCTTTAAAGCTGACGGCAAACTCCATGTATGGTTGCTTGGGTTATACCCAGAGCCGGTTCTATGCACGCCCACTGGCTATGCTCACGACCTTCAAGGGTCGTGAGATTCTGAGAAGCACCAAGGATCTTGCAGAATTGAAACACTTGAGAGTGATATACGGTGATACTGACTCAGTCATGATCAACACCAACATGGACAACATCAGTGATGCACTCAAGGTTGGTGAGGAATTTAAGAAATCAGTCAACGAACGATATAGGTTGTTGGAGATTGACATTGATAATATCTTCCGTCGCCTTCTGCTGCATGCCAAAAAGAAGTATGCGGCCATCAACACGACCGAGGTTGATGGTAAATATGTCGATAAGCTGGAGGTCAAGGGTCTGGATATGAAACGGCGTGAATTCTGCACCTTGTCGAAAGAGGTGTCGTCCAAGATTCTAAACGAAGTACTGTCGGGCGAGGACCAAGAGGCCAGCCTCAACCGCGTCCATGAACATCTCCAGGACTTGGCGACTAAGATGAGGGAGTTTGCGATTCCCGTTCAGAAATACGTGATTTACACGGTATGTGATATATTGTAATGATGGTTTTTGATCTGGCTGGCATTGCTGATTGCTCCACAGAAACTATCTAAGAGGCCAGAAGAATACCCGAACAAAGAAACCATGCCTCCAGCACAGGTAGCACTTCGGGAAATTGCCCGTGGGAAAACCGTCAGACCTAACGACGTGATTGCGTATATCGTCACGAGTGGTGATTCAGAGACGGCCTCTCTGCCGCCGGCAAAGCGCTCCTATGCCCCTCAAGATGTGCTGAAGCGGGACTCTGGCCTGAAGCCAGATATCGAATACTATCTTCTCAAGCAGATATTTCCCCCAATCGAGCGTCTCTGTGCTCCGATTCCGGGTACCGATGCGGTTCGGTTAGCCGAGTGTTTGGGCCTGGACGTCCGCAAATACCAGATCCATACTACAAGTTCAAGCAACCGACAAGATACCGAAATCTTCCCATTAGAATCGCAGATACCGGATTCGGTTCGTTTTGCAGATGCTGCGCGACTCAACTTGCGCTGTCGATTCTGCGGGGAGAAGTCCGTCTTCGAAGGATTGGTGGCTTCGTCGCACATGTGCACACCCCACGGTCTCGTCTGTGGGAAGCAAGATTGCAAGAAACCATTCTCGGTTCTGTCCATCATCGCACAGCTGGAAAGCCAGATTCGAGAGCAAACGGCACAGTACTACGAAGGTTGGCTGGTCTGTGACGACCCATCATGTGGAAACCGAACCCGGCAGATCTGTGTGTACGGGCATCGTTGTCTCGGGCCCCGTGGTCGCGCTGAGGGCTGCCTGGGTCGAATGTCGTACGAATACTCTGAAAAGCAGCTATACAATCAACTTCTGTACTTTGCGTGCCTATGGGACGTTGACAAAGCCAAGGCTGCTGCAGTGAAAGAGGCTAGCGGGGAGCAGAAGGATAGCTTAGCAGCTCTTGTGGAGTTCAATCGTACCAGATTCGACACCATAAAGGGTGTCGTGGAAGGCTATTTGAAGAAATGTGGAAGACAATGGGTCGAGATGGATAGCTTGTTCCGCTTCATGCTGGCATAGTCTACTCGAGTTCAAGTGACATTTTTGTATATATGTTTATCTGGGTGCTGGGAAGGTTCGGGACTTTGATTGTTTCCATGTTACGTTCAGGGATAATGTCATTATACATTTTGTTTTGATGAATGATGTAGATGATTTGTATCTGACAATCTCCTTTTCCCTTTTCTCATCGTTGCTTTTTGGCCGTACTTCTGCCCTAAGATCTGGATCATCGCACGAACTGAAGCCGTCATCGCCGGGCTGAGAGAAGCAGAAACTCTACGACGCGCAGTTTCCGAGAAGCACGATGTTTGTCTTCTTGGGGATGATATCTGTTGCCATGATCCCGTATCCACGTAATGAATTATTACCATTTCATTATTCAAGGACCCTTCGTAGGCTAGCGGAATCCTCTTTAATAGATGAGGAAGCCGGTGAGGCAACAGAGAGAAGACATCTCGCCAAATAATACAGATGGAGGATTGCCTGATTTGACTTTTCTTCGAGTCCCACTCGACGGACGGAAAGCGGCCACCGGCTCTTTATACCGCGCCCTGGCTGTGTCGCAGTCACAACTCCCACCGAGTTTGGCCTTCTTGGACTTCAACTCCATAGCTAGATAGATCTGGATATTCGGATCCATCATGCCTCTGAAACGAGTGTTGGTCATAGCGGGATCTGACAGCTCGGGTGGCGCGTGCGTACACCTATCCATCCCACCATTATTAGTTAATTGTCGTCGCTGAGAGAACCCATGGCTAATTCTGGAATCCAGCGGCCTGGAAGCCGATCAAAGAGTCCTTGCAGCTCACGGTTGCTATGCCCTCACGGCGACAACGGGCCTGACGGCTCAGAATACGCTGGGCGTGCAGGACATCTTCGTCATCCCGTCTCAGTTCGTCAAGAAACAAATCAACGCCGCTCTGGAGGATATCGGAGCGGATGCTGTGAAATTGGGTAAGTGATTTGATTTTTTTTTTTTTTTCTTGGACGTTCATCTCGTCACTGGACTATGGGTTGCAATACCGACTGACGACTCGTAGGAATGCTCTCCTCCGCAGAGACCGTTGAGGTCATTGCAGAAACTCTTGTAGCTTACAAAGTGCCTTATATGGTCCTGGATCCGGTATTTTCTCCCTTTCCATCACATGCCGTCATAGAAAATATACGCGTCTGTTGTATATGTACTCTGATCTAACAAAGGCAATCAGGTCATGGTGTCGACCAGCGGGTCACAATTACTGCCCCAAGAAGCAGTTAAAGTGCTGCGAACAAAATTGCTTCCCTTAGCAACCGTTGTCACACCAAATATCCCCGAGGCAAAACTGTTGCTTAAGGACTCTGGCGTTGATGTCCAAGACCCCGCCGACCTCGAGGGCATGGTCGAGCTCGCAAAGAAGATTCTCCAATTAGGCCCGAAGGCTGTCCTTCTCAAGGGTGGCCATCTGCCATTGACAAAGGACCGCAAGACAGCTCGCAGTCCAGAAGAGGCTTCTATCGTAATAGACGTTCTCGTGGATGGAGACAAGGTCGCCTATTTCGAAACCGACTTTTTAATATCAAGGAATACACATGGCACCGGCTGCTCGCTTGCTTCTGCCGTTGCGGCAAACCTTGCTTCCGGTGACGGTATCGTGAGAGCCGTTCGTGGCGCTGTGCGGTTTGTCGAAGCGGGTATCAAGACGAGCGTCTCCTTGGGCAAAGGCAGTGGTCCAATTAATCATTTCCATTCGGTTTATTCTCTGCCTTTTGCACCGTATGTGCACTCTTCCCCCCGGTTTACTTTTATTATATTTCATGCACCGCTAATTTTGGGGTTTAGTGGCCGCTTCATAGAGTACTTGCTGGATCGGCCCGACGTGAAAGGCCCATGGAAGGAATTCACGGAACATGAGTTCGTGGTAGGCTTAGGCAGTGGTACACTTCCTATTGAGAGGTTCAAACAATACCTCATCCAGGACTATCTCTATCTGGTAATCGTTTCTCTGCAATGTCGGTTTCGATTATTCCGTTGCTAACTGGTACTTCTCCAGGTTCATTTTGCCCGAAGCAACGCATTGGCAGCATACAAGGGGAAGACCATGGAATCTGTTGCTGCGGTGAGCATCCTCCGTATCATATTTCAAGTAAGAAAAGCAAATTGACACCGTGTAGTCAGCAAGAATCGTCTTACATATTGAACGGGAAATGTCCTTGCATCTGGACTACTGCGCTGGCTTTGGCATTAATAAGGAAGAAATATCGAAAGCTCCTGAAGCACAGGGTGCGTATCCCCCCCCTCTTTTTGTTGCGTCGTTGGCTTTTAGTTGATGTGATGTGATGGGCAGCATGCACTGCGTACAGCAGATACATCCTTGACGTTGGCCAATCGGATGATTGGCTTGCTTTGCAAATAGCTCTTTCGCCTTGTCTTCTTGGATACGGCGCAATTGCAAGACGTTTGTATTTCGAGCCGAGCACAGTCCGGCATGGCAACAAATACTGGAAATGGATTGAGAACTACGTCGCCGATGATTATGCCGAAGCGGTCAGGGTTGGAACAGGTATGTCCTGCTTGCTTTCCCTTGTTCTTTGAATTAGGACTTTCTGGATTCTGACCTCCATTGTAGAATTAATAGAACGCCATATCCACCGAACCTCGCCCAGTCGGCTGGAAGAGCTGGTCAAGGTATTCATCCGGGCGACGGAGTTGGAGGTTGGTTTCTGGGATATGGGACTGGGAGGCAATCTGATCTAGGCCTTCAGGAAGAGACTTGGAACACTGTATATAATAGACGCAGTGAACATGAAGCCCATACTACATACTATAGTAAAACAGCAAGCTGTTAGTACACGTGAGGTTCTGCCGTCCTAGACCGCCCTCGCTACCTATCTCACGGCACAGGCAGGCCTACCTAGTAATACGACCATACATGCGCCTATCCATTACAAGCCGCGTAGTGTCACATGAGAATACTTTCCTAAGAAGGTTAGCTCTGGTGGCAACGGAAAAACACTGGCCCGTATGTTATCGGCGCTAAACCAAACAGGGAAGATTTTCTAGCCGCCGCCTGCGCTTTTCGTCTTTTTCGCCTTTTCCCCTTCCCGTTTTCTCTCTCTTGCCTCACATTCTTCCTCTTTCCTTGCCTTCTCTTATCCTTGCTCTGCATCTCAGAGCTATTTCTTCTCTTCTTTTGCAACCTGTTCTTCGTCTTGCTGTACATTTTTCGGTTCCCTTTTACTTTTCTGTTTGGATCTGACAGGAACGAAACCGTCACTCACCGTGTTACTTTTTCTTTCAAACACAAAACACCCTTAACAGGTTTCCACAATGTCTTACGGAGGTGGATATTATCGAGGTGGTGGCGATTCTTATCGGTAAGTTGCACACTCATTTCATACTGTTGAACGAGCCTTGAAGCGCTTCGCTCGAGAGAACTGGTGTCAAGCCTGAATCTTACGCGCGCTGCTTGATCCGCTGGTGCTACTCGTTAGATCTCATTGGCAATCAACAGCGCATGTTACGTTGAATCCCGAGACTGCACTTCTTAACATTTCACAAGACGTATACTTTATTAATTTTTCGCTAACATATCATTTTCATTTCGCAGCGGTGGCAGTAACGGGTATTCCAATGGCTACCATGGCTCTTCTAATGGCTACGGAGGAGGTTACAGTGGCGGTTATGGCAGAGGAGGCGGTGGTGGTGGTGGTGATCGGATGTCCAACCTTGGTGCCGGTCTGAAGAAACAAGATTGGGGTAAGTCTAGTCTGGGTCCTAAGGAATCGCGAAAAGAAGAACATAATAGCTAACAAGGATTTATTCTTAAAGATCTGAGCACCCTACCAAAGTTTGAAAAGGCTTTCTACAAAGAGCACCCTGACGTGACGAGTCGCTCCCAACGCGAGATCGACGAGTTCCGGAAGGAGCACCAGATGGCCGTCCAGGGAAGGAATGTCCCTCGCCCAGTCGAGACTTTCGATGAGGCCGGATTCCCGCAGTATGTTTTGTCCGAAGTCAAAGCTCAAGGCTTCGAACGCCCCACTGCCATTCAATCTCAGGGCTGGCCCATGGCCCTCTCTGGTCGCGATGTAGTTGGCATTGCCGAAACGGGTTCTGGAAAGACTCTTACCTACTGTCTGCCAGCCATCGTCCACATTAATGCCCAGCCCCTTCTCGCCCCTGGCGATGGTCCTATTGTGCTCATCCTTGCTCCCACCCGTGAGCTTGCTGTGCAAATTCAGGCAGAAATCACAAAGTTCGGAAAGTCCTCCCGTATCCGCAACACCTGTATCTACGGTGGTGTGTCCAGAGGCCCTCAGATCCGTGATCTGAGCCGTGGTGTTGAAGTTTGCATTGCCACTCCTGGTCGTCTGATTGACATGCTGGAATCCGGCAAGACAAATCTCCGCCGTGTCACGTACCTCGTTCTTGACGAAGCCGATCGCATGCTTGACATGGGTTTCGAGCCCCAGATCCGCAAGATCATCTCTCAGATCCGTCCCGACAGACAGACTTGCATGTGGTCTGCCACCTGGCCTAAGGAAGTTCGCCAGCTGGCTTCTGACTTCTTGAACGACTATATCCAAGTGAACATCGGTTCGATGGACTTGTCTGCTAACCACAGAATTACCCAAATTGTGGAAGTTGTGTCGGACTTCGAGAAGCGCGACAGGATGATCAAGCATCTCGAGAAGATCATGGAGACTCGCACCAACAAGGTCCTCATCTTCACCAGCACCAAGCGTATTGCCGACGACATTACTCGTTTCCTCCGACAGGACGGATGGCCCGCACTTTGTACGTTCCCTCCATTGGGTTTCCATTTATACATCTTACTAACTATTGGTTTAGCTATTCACGGTGATAAACAACAGAATGAAAGAGATTGGGTCTTGAACGAGTTCAAGACGGGCAAGAGCCCAATCATGGTGGCTACTGATGTGGCTTCCCGTGGTATTGGTATGATAAAATGCTACTCGCTTTCCCTTCCCCCCATTTCCTCCCCCTCCCCTTTATCCTCCCCGTTCATTTCTCTTTTCGTGCCCTCACCCGTATTTACGTTGTGTGGTACTGGCACGGTGCTCGACTCTCTGAATAATGTTGGTGCAAATGACTCGTCCAGGCTTCTCGGGTCATCTCAAATGGTTTCCATGCCAGGAGGGACCTTGGACTCACAGTGCAGTGTAGCAGCAGACGTATTTCTTGATTCTCCATCTGTCATATCATGAACTTCTGTAGAGAGATGGAGTCTCTTTTCTTCCGGCTTGTTGAAGCTGCATTCCAAGGTTGCTCTAAAAAGACCACGATTGTTGCCAGCGCATGGACTCGCCCCAACGGATCTCTGTACTTTTTTTTCATCTGATAAAAGAGTCCAAGAGAGCGATGCATCAAGTCTCTTGCACGACTGAGAAATGGGCTCCAGCCCACGCTGCTTTTCCACTAATGCTCTGTTTGCTAACATAAACAATTTGAAGATGTTCGCGACATCACACATGTTCTGAACTATGACTACCCCAACAACTCGGAAGACTATGTTCACCGTATTGGTCGAACTGGACGTGCTGGTGCTAAAGGAACAGCCATCACTTTCTTCACCACTGATAGTGAGTTACCCATCCTATGTTTTACTTTTGCTGGTCTTCATACATGCTAACATTTTCTCTTATAGATGCTAAGCAGGCTCGTGATCTGGTTACTATACTGTCCGAGGCCAAACAGCAGATTGATCCTCGTCTTGCTGAGATGGCTCGCTTCGGCGGCGGCGGCGGCGGCGGCGGTGGTGGCCGTGGCGGCTACGGTCGCTGGGGTGGCCGAGGTGGTGGTCGTGGTCGCGGTGGTAGTTTCACTGCCTCCAATGCGGCGCCTCTCGGTTCCAACCGTCGCTGGTAAAGAACTTCGGTGAAACTGGTAGACTATTTTATTTTCCTTCTTCCTAATTCGTTACGCGCGGCGTTGGTCGATCTCATGATAGACTGTTGACATCTTTTATCTTGTGGCCCTTGGGGCCGATGCTTTTTAACGTGTTCCAGGTCGATGCTACTGTAGCAGGCCGTATGTTTAATTTTGTTAAAAGCTTTCAAGTTTTAGCCCTGAAGGGCGTGGTTAGATTATTCGACTTGTTTGCATGGATTTAGATTGATGCCATTAGGTATTAAATGTTACATGTTCAGAGTTTAATCCTGACTATCTATACCATTGATTAGGCATTCGTGTTATTCCAGATTTCTTAAATCCTGATGACGTTCTTGACTCTCCTGCTCTTGTCAACGACGAGACGGAGTTGTCTACCCTGCCAATCGGGATGTGTAGCGTTTCGGGGGGGTTTGAACACGCCCTCGCGGAGGGTTCGGGTGTTGAGTTCGTAGGAGGGATAATCTAATGGAATCAGTAAGAGTAGGAGGAGCAGATGCAGGGCAGGTGCAGGGACGTACAGCCATCGACAAACTGGTTGACCTGTTCCTCTGACATGCCTGAGCCTTTGGCGATGCGGAGAGAGCGTTCTTGTTCCTGACGCCATTCGTAGACATAGTGGAGGTCATCCGCGTCGCTGTGTAGTTGTTTAGTATGTATTCGGAGGAGTGAGTATGTAGGTGCATACATATGAATGAAAGCGTCGAGAGCACTGTAGATGGTAGCAAAGTTGCTTGTTAATAGAGTTGAAGATGTTCTTAAGAGGTGCAACTCACTCAGTGAGAACATCATACTCCTTCAAAGCATCATTGATAACCTTTACATCCTCAAACTTGACATATCCGAGTCTTCCTGTGTATTTCTCTGTAGATGATGAAGACGAAGAGGAAGATTCGCGTCTCCGAACAGCTTCCTCCCAAAGCACACGAAGGGAATCGTTATCTAATGCCCGGAACCCGACACACCATCCTTCGAAGAGGACTAACTTAATCTTCCCTTGTCTTTTTTCTTTTCCCTCAGTCTCTGAAGGAAGAGAAGAGGAAGGGGAATTGACAACCCCCCACTCCTCAACAGGACATCGATCACCCTCCCCGTTGAACAAAGACTTATCATACGCCGGAATGCGCGTCTCCCTCCCCTCACGGAGAGAACAAAATACTTCACTCCCTAAAGCAACATCGTGTGTGGAGGGCTGTCCGCGATGCTGAAGTAGGGGGTTTCCTGCGTTATTCGCTGAGAGAGCGACCTGGTCGGTGTGCGTGAGGTAGATGTCGTCTAGGGAGAGGGTTGTAGTGGGGATTTTTTGGGTGTTTATCAGGTTGTATTTAAGGGTTTCTACCTATCCCTCACCTCACTTATCATTAGCTTTATTTGGTTTGGTTTGGGTTGCTTTCGTTATGTAGGGTAAAGTTGTCTGTTTGGTGTGTAGGTAAACGTACCAAAACTGTCTTCCCCGCGCCTTGGACGCCGTTTATGCCGAGGAAAAGTGGGGGTATCTCGCTTTCATGTTTGCCTTTGTGTTTGGATTCGTGAAGACACAGTCGGTCGAGGATGAAGGGGATGCAGTATTGGGATTTGTCGTCTATTATTTTGGTCATTTTGATGGATTGAGCTGGCTGAGCGTTGTTGTATTCAAGGGTCAAGGTCTCTACGGATGGCGGGGATGGGGCTACCTAGGGTATCCGGACATCCTCCGATCATTACGTTATCACTCCCATGTACGGAGTACATTGCAATACCACAGGAAATGTACAGCACTGATTAGTTCATTGTACAGTATGTCCACGGTACTCGACTATTACCCCATTAACAATTATCCTCACTTCAGGATTAAGGGTGTACTCTAGGTAACTCAAGTACACCGCCACAAATACATGCATCCACCACTTCCTCTACCTAGTACTGATGAACAGGGATGGAGAAAAATTAACAGAAGAAAAAAGTGGAAGAATTACCACCCTTCCATGGTATCATGTAATTAGACCCGATAAGGCGATAGCGGATCTGGAATGCTGGTATTAGAGTATGCAACTTTCAAACGCAATGAATGAACGAAGTTAAAGTCAAAGTAAGGGGATTAGGGGGAAAGGACATCTATTGCGCGTAGTTATTCGATTGGTTCTCTGGACACAAACCCATCAGCATGTATCACGCTAATGGCGACGAAGAGAAAGAGAAAGAGAGGCAGAGATAAAGGCAGAATAAAAAAAAGTGAAAATCGAAAACCAACAACTACATAAATTTTCCTTGTTGATCCAGGAAAAGACGAAAAACGATCAGAAAGAAAATAACCAACTCACGTTGTTGATACACTTGGCCATTCTGTCCGTATGGAGAATGTGGGTAGTTCGGTGGGTATGCCATCTGTCCATTGCCCTGGTACACCATGCCGGGGGCGCCGGGTGCCCCGTACTGCCCCGGCACCTGGCCGTCTGCCGGTTGGTAGCCGATCGGTGGCAGCTGGGGACGCACCCCAGCCGGGTATGAGGCGGGTTGAGGCGGCTGTGTAGGATCGGCAGGGGCTCCGGCTTCCACCTGGCTGGCCTGTGCAGCCTGAGCGGCCTGCGCGGCGGCACGTTCGCGTTCCACAGCAGCCTTGCGTTGAGCCTCTTCCTCCTTCTTGCGGGCCTTCCATTGCTTGCGGATCTCCTTGAACTCTGGAACCCAAGTCAGACATGATCAAACAGGTCGAATAGTGAACGAATAGTAAAGACAGTGCAGAGCGGGGCAGGCTAGTCAAAGTTTAACGCTGGAAGGGAAGTGCAGGACTAGCGGGACAGGCCGAAGCGGGAAGGGAAGCGTCGGCTTAACCTTCGACGCCGTCTGGCGCTACTGTCGGTCCCGCGCCAAAGCAGTGTAACACTAGCGGCCCGCTAGCCAAATCGGGCCGACCGCCAGATCTTCGGGTCGGCATCGTCAACAACAACAAAAAAAAAAAGAACATACCCTCCGGAGTACGCTTCGCTCCATGCGACTGCATCGTCACATGTGCATTCAGATGGTTCAGTGTGCCATATGCCTTCTCGCAGCCATTCCACCCGCACCGGTACATACGCTCAATCTCTTCATAACGACGTCGTGGACGCTTGTGCTGCTGCGCACCGGGAATCGGAACAAACGAATAGACCTAGAAAGAAAGAAAAAAGAAAAGAAATGAGCCCCGAACACTGCAAGCATGAACTTGATTTTGCGGTTTTCCTTTTCTCCCAGATGCGTCGTTCCCCAAATGCCGAAGAAGTCTTTTTTTTTTAAAAAAAAAAGTTCGACATTGCATCCAAGATAATGAAACAGACGCCAAAATCAACAACATACCTGGCCAGGGCGCGGCCCTGCGGTCGCAGCAGGAGAGGCAGAACCAACCGTTGTTGCAGGAGCGCTGTACGGCCCCGGGAGGCCGTGAGGCGGCGGATAGGCATGAGCCCAGTCCGGTCGCGCATACATCTGCGGAGGGGGAGGGTGACCTTGGTACTGAGCCAGATCATGACCCGGAGGCTGATAGGGCGAGTAAGGAGGGGGATAGGTGGGGCTGGAGGCCGCAATGGAGGGATCTATAGGAACGTCCGGGTCAGACTTCACGTTGGACTGCTCATCGTTCGGAGTGAAGGTGGACGGACTTGCTGCTTGAGCCATACCTGCCGCCGCGGCGCCGCCGGCTTGGGTGTTGGGGACGTGGTGGTACTGGGGCGGACGGGCGAGATACTCTGGGTATGCAGGGGAGCGCGCAGCGGGAGGGGGGTTCAGACCGTAGTCCGACTGGGGCGTGTTCGAAGAGGATATGGGCGCTGAGCGCACTTCGGGCTGCGGAGTGTACTGCGTCGCCGGACGGACCTCGGGGGGTGGCTGCGGCTGGGTTGCGTACTGAGTCCCGGCCGCTGCAGCCGCAGAGGCTTGGTCTGCAGGGGACAGCTGTTCAGACTTGGTGTCGGCAGGTGGTGGGTTTGGAGGATGCGAACCTGACTGCGCGTACTCCGAGGCCGGTCTGTTATCCATATAATCTGTGGTATAACTGTTTTCCTGTCCTTCCGACCGTTTTGTTTATATTTCCCCAGATATGGCGCGTACCTGACTAGCAAACGCGGCCGAAAAAAAAAAAAAAACAATGAGCTTCGACAGCTGATAAAAAGGCCGAATTGGCCGTGGGTAGAAGGTTGGGAAAGGGGACAAGGATTGCCACTATGATAATGTGGCAACACTCTCTTTTCCTCCCTTTTTCTCCCCTTCTTTTCAAGAGAAGTGTCTTTTTCAACGTACAATGCGACTTTTGACTACGCGCTTTTTCGCTGTTGTGGGTAGGCGCGTGTATGGTGATAAAAAAAATAATAAAAAAGCTTAGCCAACACTGCACGCGCACACTCACACCTGACAGGCAGCAGGGACGACAGGATGCAAAATGACGCGCTGGGATGTACAGCAAAAGCACCTACTACTAGTAGGTATCCAGGATGGATTGCACAACCAGGGCTTGGACCGAACCGAGGCCGCGTTAGGGCGGGTTGAGTAAGGCGTAATAAAACGGTACTGTAAAAAACAGGCGAGTCCAAGTAAAGTTGGGCTGGCGGGAAAAGATAGTGCAGAAACGATGCTTTAAGCCTTGGATCGTGGCGACGCGGTCGGTTTTGAAGGCCGACCCTAAACTGCAGGCGGAGCGGAAAGTGCCGGAGCGGCCGAAGAGGGGAAAGAAGTTTTGCTCTTGTCTCCTTTCGCTGCTCTTTTTTTTTGCGGTGCACGCCGGTGGGGCCACGCGTGGGGCTAATTTGCTGGTGCCTCGCGACTTGCTGTAGTTGGCCACGGTGGGGCGCTGCAGTGGAGTCTCTAGTGGGACAGGGAGGGGGAAGTGGATGATGCCTGATATCTGTGATTCGCCGCCGCCGCCCTTTTTCGCTCGGAGTGACGCTTCCGTCAAGCAGCACCAGCCAACCAAAGCAGCCCACACGCACGGATTAATTAATAGGTGCGAGAATTGAGAATTTGGCAATTCTGGCAGTGCGTGCGAAGAGCAAAAGTGTGTGGAAGTCGTAGGTACCTCTCCTAAGGTACTAGGTAGATACTTAGGTAGGAACCAGAAGACTGCCGAAGGTGTGCAGATGCAGCTAGTAACCCGTAACTCGGGACGGGCGACTCGTCGAACCTTGCGGTTAACCCCGTTTTATCTAGGACGAATATGATATGATCTGATCCAGTTGACAGGAAACCGGATGCGACGATGGCGTGGACGGGTCCCAAGAAACAATTTTTATAAAAATTATTATTATTGTTGCTGCTGTTACTCCGTAACCGACCCCTACGGTAACCTTCGGGGTCGCGCGTATTGCGCGACCCTGACAACCACCCGAGCACCCCAGCCACCCGAGCACCAATTTTAGACCCCCCTTCTAGCTTCAATATCTCAACGAATTCTATAGTATTTAACTTCAAAATATATTTAAACTAAAGCTCTACTCTTCAGCTTGGGCCCTAGCATGTCGTTGCCTTCGTATAATAATTCCTCGTCGAATGCACACATCCAGCAGCTCTGGTAGGCAACGCTTATACTTAGTCCTCCACCTCTTTATTTCAGCCTGCTCATTAATATTCGCAGTATTTCGATTTATAGCTTCAAGCTCTGAGCTTGATACTATGCCTCCCTTGCGAATCCTGCGCCTAGAGGCCTGTGATCGAGCTGCGCGGTCCCTAGCAGCTTTAATATACCGGTCAAGCTCAGCTTCGATAGCAGCTGAATATGATGCTAGCATACTACCACCACAAATAAGCAGCTCTAGGCCCTCATTAAATTGATCCTTGTTGATATCATGAATCTCCCATATCCTATCACCAATCTCCCTAAATCGTTCAGCTTTTTTTGGCGTACTGCCCCAGGAATCAACATCATTGGTATTGGTGGATGAAGAGGATGGATGATGTGGTTGAGGCATTTGATTGAGTACAATTGATGGATTGAATGGTATGATGCCAGTCTTTTGGAATCCATGCCAAATAGTACGCTTTTTGAATGTCTTCTTGCGAATTGCTCCTAAGGCATGAAGGAATTCAACCTTAGTAAATTTACTGCATCCTGAGTAGGTTGCATCTGCAACTGCTTCTGAATGCCAGTGCTTATATGCATGAAAAACACCAACATCCAATGGCTGCAAGAAATGACTTGTATGTGGAGGTAAGAAGAAGGTGATGATATTGGTCTTCTCACAGAATTCAACAAATTCATGTGTTAGATGGGAGCCGTATCCATCACATATAAGAAGGGTATATTGACCCTTCCTATATCTTTTAGTATGCCGATAGAATGACTGAATCCATTGGAAGGCAATTGTATCAGTCATATAGCCATTTTCTGATACTCCAATTGAATAGTCTTGTTGAATATCAGCAGCTTCAAACCAATTTGTAAGTATACAGCTACCATTCATGAGAATAAGTGGTGGGCAGGTCCAGCCATCTGCATTGACTGCTTCAACCACAGTAACATATTCACGGTTTAAATTCATCCTAATATGAGGCTTATTAATATTGAAGTCCCTGGTAATAATCCATTGATCACGACCAACACCGATATTGAAGCCAGTCTCATCAAAATTGTAGATATCCTCCTTTAATATCCCATGGTTCTGGATGGTCTGATGGAGCTTCTGAAACCACTCCTGAATAACCTCACGATCCTCTGCACGCTTGCGGTCAAGCTCTATAGCTCTAGAGCGACGTCTTTTATATTCAGGATGCCTTCCTAGCCATCGGTTTAACCATTTCTCGCTGACAGTAGGTGGAGGGGTGTCTAGGCTGGTATGGGTTGATTTCAGAATAGAATTGGCACTTGATTGGATCATTTGTGCAAGTGGCTTTATATTTAATTGCTCTAGAGTATCAACATAGTGACACAGAGCCTTTTCTTGCTCTTCTGATAATCTGGTGTTGGTTGGTGGTCGTTCACATAGATTGGACCGTCCCTTCCACCTTGCGGAGAGGGTTTGCCGTTTAACTCCATATTCACGTGCAGTTTTGGCGATATTTGGGGATTTTGTGTGCTTAACGCGTCAATAGCTTTGAGCATTCGATCTTCATAATTTTTATTGAATTTGGGCATGGTGGTGGTGGTTGAATTATATGATAAAGTTGATGGGTTGGAATTCTACGAAGTTCTAAAATCGGTGCTCGGGTGGCTGGGGTGCTCGGGTGGTTGTCAGGGTCGCGCAATACGCGCGACCCCGAAGGTTACCGTAGGGGTCGGTTACGGCGTAAAGGCGTTCGACTGGTGCAGGGTTCGCGTTCGGTGGGTTCGGTTGCAGACGTGCTCGCGGACTGGTTGGAACTTGGAACAGCAGATATATTAATTAACCTTCCATATTTTCAATGGAATGTCGGGGAGGGAATAGTGCAAACCTTGATGCTTTGCTTCACTTGCGGCTATTGCTCTGATGTTCCTGCCAGAACGGAGGATAATTTCTGAGCGGAGAGGCGACGGGGAAGGAGAAAAAAGGGGGATGCACGAGCCACTTGGGTATTTCCCAGCACGACGTTGATGCCTGGGACAGGAAACAGAGAACGAAAGAATTATAGAATAGATAGCATGATCGCTCCCACAATGCATGTGACGTGCAGCATTCCTCCTTCGAACTTCGAAGAATACGAACAATCTCTAGAAGGAATGCGAAAATGTACAGCATAGTAATCAGGGGTTGCTCCAAACCCACAATTAAGATTCGCTTAGTGCGTTTTCGGCGGACTAGCCCCGGTTATCTTGTCTGCATCTGCCAGCTGTCCTGCTCCATAAAAAAGACCTCGAGGTTGCAATCAAAGTGGATGCACCTCTGTGGTCCACCGCTTGCATATAGATAGATGCAATTTGATAATTGTTATTGCTATTATTGCTACTATTATTATCTTTTTTTCTTTTCGTCTTTTCGCTTTGATGCGGTATGCCTACTGCAGGAATACAGTGTACGGTGTACTCTTCGGCTGTGGCTGCACCGGTTCCGTCGTGCAGGAGATGAATTCTTATTCTACTGTCTATCATCGAGGCACGTCTTGATTTTCATTTCTTTCTTTTCGTTTTATTCCATCAACTACAGTATCAGCGTCAGTTGCAGCGCAGAGGCCGTCCAGTCCCACGGGCTTCCAACCGGTCCTCCGCCGTTGACTCAGCGTTCCTCCGTATCGGAGATTAAAATACGTGATAGCGACGTTCACGGTTCAGCTGTGCGGCAGATAATAGTGCCTTCCGGAATGAAATAATCATAATCATAATAATATCCATTTATCAAATATTCCTTGCCAAGCACCGCGGAATGGAAGCATTTAGCACACCCGAAACCAATCCTCGAACCGGAAGACTTTCGGGTGCGCTCCGATATCTCTCTCTCTGTGGGGTCTCTACAGAATCCCTAGAAAAGAATAATAATCATCAACCCTGTCAGCATCCCGCATGAGGACCACACGCAGTCAGACAGGGATGACAGTGCTCCCCGGTCACCGGCATGGGTCATTCATCCATTATTATTATTCATTGGGCATGATCAGAATCATACTATTCTATATTCTCCTGAGTCTTTTCAGTCTTGAAGTCATTACTAACCGAAATGAGGTGATATTCTGTATTCCGTACGGAGCATAGATTGGTACAAATCACAATCCCAAGACAGTAGAAACACACTAGGCGCCTGCTAAGTCTGACTAGGATCATGATGCTACCCACCAGCCCTACATCGTCGTTGCTTCTCTTGACAACAACACCTTATTACTCGACTTCACTACTCTCAGGTGGGCTATTCCACCTATCACACCAGAGTTGGCCCGTATACAATAATATAAAAGAATACAACTACAAACATAAAAAGGCTATTTTTCATTCAGTTTTAACCATTAATAGCCACAAACCCGTAAACGTCCAGCTTAGTTCATCTGGCGGATCAGCCCGTTGATGTTCTCCTCGCGATTGCCATAGTCACCACCCTCGATGAAGTGCTTGAACTTGCGGGTGTGGAAGCCGCCAGTGGGGTTGGACAGCTTGAAGGGCCACAGGAAGTTGTTGGCCTGCTTGAAGTTGGGGCCGACCGTGTAGATCTCGTGGATCAAATCCTCAACGCAGACAATGCCGTACTTGCCGAGGTGCTCCTCAATGATCTGGTTGTCGGTGATGGGGATGCGCTGCTTGTCAACCTTAGCGTAGCCGCGCTTATAGATGAGCTCCCGGACGCTCTTCAGGTTGGGGTAACCATAGGCAATGTACGGGTTGGCGATGGTAAGCATCTCCTGAGTGGCCTTGGTGAGGCGGACGAAGGTTCCGTTGTTGATCTGGAGCAGACGGAGCAGCTGCAAGATCTTGCGGGGCTTAGGAGGGATCTTGTTGATACTGTCTTAAGAGTTAGAATTCCAGTTCCAAAAAATAAAAAAATAAAAAGCAAAAACCCACCCCTTGATACGGATAACAAAGACCAGCTTGGGCTCCTCAGGAACGTAGAGGCTACCCTCCTGGCGGGCAACGCGAGCGAGGCGGATCTTCTCACGCTCAGCATCGCGATACTCCTTGACGTAGGACTCAGCGCGCTTGAAAATGACACCACGCTTCTCCTTGTTCGCCTGCATCGACTGCAGTTAGCAATGTCTCTTGAAGATGCCACGAAGAAAATGCAGGAAAACCAGAATGATCAACTTGTGTCAGCCCCGAAAGATGGTTAACAGAAGCGACAACATTGACCCTAGGTCTAGTCGCGTGATGGTTGTTTTCATCATCCAAGTTGATCCATTCCATCTCAAGAATACAAAAATATATAAAATCGACTAACCTTCTTCCGCTTCTCGAGCTCCTCACGGCGAATAGCGCGAGCCTGCTCCTGGCTCTTGCGCTTCTTCAAGAGGGTCTCGGGGACAAGGACCTGGTCCTTAGTAGGAACGGTGCTATGAGGGTCAGTATAGTCCGTCCGCGGCAATCAAGAAAGATTTCGCCGAGTGTAAGAATTGCAGCATATAGCGCCACATTCTCAACTGAAGGACAATAAATATATATAACTCGACGAAATTCATTTAATCGGTGAAGGTGAAAGGATTTTCCGTCAAACATTCAGCGCATCGTCATTTACTACTCGTGTACCACAGTAGGTATGAGATTCGCAGTGTCGCGTGCAGTTTGACATGGTAGGAAAAAAACCAGCATCCCTTCATCCGACAAGACCCCAAGCAAAATGCCCGGGAAATAGTGTTGACGCTTTTCGACTTTCATCTCTTTGAACCAAGTGGCGAGAAGAGACGGCGAAGACGATCGCTGACAACAATAATTTTCAAGGAGAAAGCTAGTGCGGCTTTCAACCTCAAGACCCCGAAAGCCTCTCGTCATTTCCAACTCCCAATGAAAACCCGATCAAGGTATATAAATCAAAGGAGAGGAACTGGAGGGCGTGGGAAAGATCGAGCTGGTGCCAACGGGTCAGAAAAACCGACCACGGCATCCCCAGCGAGAAGGACGACTATAACCTGAACCTTACAAGCTCGCGAGGTAGATCAGTCAAAAGAAACATTTAGAAGGGGAGCATACACAGCGGTAGAGGCCATTTTGAAGGTCTTCTGGTCGCGCGTCGGCAATTTGGCGAGTGTTGTCGTGCTGGAGTACGGTCGAGAAAACAAAAGCTCGAAAGCTAGGAAAATTCGAATTGTGTGGGCGGTCAATAACGCTAGACCTATAGTGGTTAGTCTGGTAGCAGAGACGGTACCCTTATCTGATTAGTAGGGCTTCCGGCATCATTAGACCCGATAACAATACAGTACATTAATCACTTCCCCAACCATCCACGACCTTACTACCTCACCTCAACGTGCCATCATGTCTTCCCGTCGCGGCGTCGGCCTCGGCGCCTTTACGAACCGTAACCAGGCCAGTCAGTCATACGCAACACATGGCGCTAACCTGCGCTCGACCCACCTTGCCTCTCTACAGACCCAGCTCTCTGTCTTTCAGTCACTCCTTCACAGCTTCGCCTTGGAACACAGCTCAACCATAAAGTCGAACCCGACCTTCCGTGCCGAGTTTGCACGCATGTGCAATACCATCGGTGTTGATCCGCTGGCAGCCAGTAACATCAAGGGGAAAACGGGACGGAAAGGCGAGGGGGGCAGTTTCTGGACCCAGATATTAGGCGGAGACGTGAATGATTTCTACTTTGAGGTTGCTGTCCGAGTGGTCGAATTATGCAGAGAAACAAGAAGCGAAAATGGCGGCCTGATAGGTGTAGAGGAATGTCGGAAACAGGTAGGGAAGGGAAAGGCGATTGGGAGTGGGTTGGAGGTTACAGAGTATGATAGTTCCCTCTATTGTTTCTCTATTTACTTATTGCTAATTCTGTATTAAAGTGACGATATCCTCCGTGCCGTGAAATCCCTTGAACCACTCGGATCAGGTTTCTCCATCGTCCGCGTAGGCAACAAACAATACGTCCGATCCATCCCCAAGGAACTTAACAATGACCAGTCGACCGTTCTCGAGGCTATCCAAGTTCTGGGCTACGTGAGCGTTTCTATGTTATGTGTGAACCTCAACTGGGAGAAAGCCCGGGCTCAGACAGTCATTGACGACCTCCTGGCTGACGGTCTGGTCTGGCTCGACGCCCAGTCCGAGGAGAATGAGTATTGGTCGCCACAGAATTTGTTGGATGACAGTGGATGAGGTATTATCTACAAAGCATAAATCCAATCGTGCGGCAGATTCCATATCATGGCATTTTCTTCATCTGCAGTATTCTTGACGTTGCCCTCTAGTGTGATGCTGCGGAGATTTGAACCACATTCCACTCAGCCTTTCGAGGAATACGTGATGCAGCGACCAAGGCAACATCTCATGCCCCCTCCTGCGAAAACGGTGAATGTTACGGAGGAATACCTGGCGGGCAGTCGTCCCTTTTTACATAAACCAACATGAAACGAGAAGGCATCGAGAAGATTGCCCTCCTTTGGTCCTGCCCTATATACCAGTTAGTATTCTTATTCCGAGACCTCACAGACAGTGGTATGTGGCCGGTTTTCATCGTCATTCCCCATTAAGTGGATTTCTGATTATCATCCATCTTTGGAATACGAGATGCCTTTCCCGACGACGCCTACCAGAAAACAACCCGGTAGCGTATAGAGTTGGACAAGACAATACTATGTTTCTTTTTAATGTATTTATAAACATTATGTATTGTTTATAGAATACTTTATATAGTAGCTAAAAGCAGCTTGCTATGGCCTTATATTTGTTGGATCATACCGTTTTGGAGGATGGAGGACTCGTGGATGAAGCAGTCATGAAAACATATATGTTAAATGTGCTGAGAGTGTGCTGACTTGGGTGCTTATTTGTTCCATTCTAGGCAGTGTGATATACTGTCACTCTTACTCTTATTTTTAATCATTGATTGCCAGTAGAACTTGTACAGCACCATAATTAGTGCTAATATTATTCATTATTACTGAAGGCTGGCTGTTGTTACCAGAGATGTGCTTGTTAGGGCTAGTTTCAGCACTCTCCAACTCAGACATTGCGAATGTATGCAAATTGAAGCATAAGATCGGCCGTTTCTTATATTACGCCAACTAGGAAGAGTATATAACACACATGAGTTGTAGAAATTCCATGTAAATGGACCGCCATTATACCGTGTATTATGTAGGACAAGAAAAGGAAAAATCATTATATCCAGACCACCATATCATCCCTTTTACTCAGGATTCACACAGCCCTTCTGCACATCATACACCAGATGCCATTGCTTCAACTCGGAAACGAAAGCTGTTTGGTTTAAGAAATCAACGCCTTGATGGGCTGTGACAAAACCATTAGCAAAATCCCAACCCTTTTCAGTTTGCTAGGGAAAACCTACCGGGGCAATACCCTCCACCAATTCAGCCGTAGTGTAAGGAGATTCACAATATTGACAAGCAAACCGCCAATACCCATGAGAACCTGCGGCGAGGAGAAAAGAGTAACAAGCGTGCTGACGTTGCCAATGAGCCCCTTCGTCTGCGCAGGGGTGTCACCGCTGAAGATTTCGCCGGCACCATTAAAGACAGCCTGGAGGCGGGAGATGGTCTGGGCGTTTAGCAGGCCGATGAGATTGGAGGAAATGCCATGAGTGTCATCTGGCAAGTGGCTATACTCCTAAAGCTTACGAAGACGCTATAAGAGGGAAACATATCATCTGGACCAAGTCACTGAGCTACATCGCCAACATGTTGACCTCTATATAGAGTAAGTTGTCCCACAGACACCTCCTATGGTTGGGACATACCAATTCAGATCTGTCAGGTTTCTTGTAGAGGAAGGATATGAACCACCAAGTTATCAACTTTGGCTTGGCTCCCCTGCCCTAGACATTGTCTGCATAAAAGGTATCATTCATTGGTATATGGACTCAACTGCAGGCCGTGAAAGGCTTAGCCAGAATAAGAAGCTGACAATAAAGAGTACTTTAGCATTGTAAATGGGGGCGTACGTGCGTAGTTCCCTGTGAAAGGAACTCGGTCGTGATCAAGGGATATAGGGGACGAGCGTACTAAAACGAAGCCGCGGTGCAACGCGGTGTAGAATGATATAGTAAAAAGAAATAAATGAAACAACAAGAACTCAACGATAGCGATAGCGACACTAGTGAAGCAAACTTCAAAGTGAAAAGAATGCCTGATTCTTCGAAACTACCTAGGAGGGGGCTTGTCTTAAATATCCTTCCGTCATGAACTCCACCATACCACGGTCTTCGGCCGTCACCACTCTAGGCAGCACTCAAAGATAAAACTAGGAGAAGGGGTCCTGTCTATGGATCTGTAGTGCCCCGGCACAGTATCCCATTTTCCATGTCTTCACCCAGTGCCTTGGATTACTCCTGTTGTGACGACTAGTACTGCGAATAGATGAAGAAAAAGCAATATGTGCTATTCAGTATTATTTTCAACGAATACCAGACATGAGAGGAGAAAGGAGAAAAGAAGAAAAAACTGGAGGTCGCGTAGACGCAGTATGTAATAATGGAGGTATATTGTTGGTTGGTTACTAGCTAGATAGGCCTACGGGGTCAGCCAGGGCGGACCTATGCGACAGAATCCCACGTGATCCAACATAAACAGGCAACATCACGTGATCAAGCACGTGACGGAGCTAAACCGGAGTCGGACCTGGCGGCCAATATGGGACGGGCCGTCACAGGTAGGGACCGTGTAGATAGGCGGTGTGGGCACACCGTAAGCATTGTTTCCAAAGATGAGAATAAGATAGTACAACGATTTTGAAAATATACCAATAGCAATCACCATTTACCAAAGCCCTTCCATCCGTAATGAAACCCAATAGAATTCATACCTGAGACGTGGAAACCCAACAGCTATTGTACTCTAGCCCGCCTACTTCAGAGTATAAGATAGAAAGAGATAGATAAGGAAGCATATGGAAAAGGAACATTTTTCTCCTCATTTCATTTCAGACATGGATAAAAAAGGGGAACAAACCACCTATACGTGTGGCTGTATACATGACCAGAACAGGAAGAGTACGACTGACTCCATGGGAACAAAGCAAGACGGAAACATGACTCGGACCATATGATACGCAAAGTTAGAATCTAATGGCAAAAAAGAGGAAAAGATAAAGAAAAAAGAAATAAGAGGCATTAAGAGACCCATGAAGAATAAGAAACCAGAATGCCATTCATGCAGTTTCTGTTTTTCTTTTTTTTAATTTTAAGCCTTGATAGCTCCACCTAGAACACCGCCGCTGAACTGTTGTCCACCTGGTCGACGGCCTTGCTGACCACCCGGTAGTCTGGGACCGCCGCGTGCTTGACCAGTGCGGCCAGGGCCGCGGCCACCACGGGCACCAGCGCCCTGATCACGCTGGAAAGCGTTAGCCATGCCCTGTGTGCGTTGCTCCAGAGTCTTCTCATTAGCTTCGAGGAGAGACATGGACTTGTCAGCAAGAGTGACAATCTGGGATTGAAGACGTGATAGTTCGACACCCTTGCGGAAGACAATCGCATTGTTGACTTGGTCGAGGGCAGCAGCCAGCTCCTCATGCGAGATCATCCGGCTGATGATAGCAGAAATCTTCTTCTCGGAAAGCTCGAACATGTCAGCCAAGGTGGTGATGGAGAGACTGTCGTAATAGGGAGCATAGGTGAAGAGGTAGGTCCTCAAGCCCTCCTCCTGCGTCTGCTGGGACAGCATCTCCTTAATCTTTTCGGGTTGGGGCATGAGATCCCAGATCTTGATCGAGCTGAGCATGGATGCTGCCTTCTTCCAGTCACCAGCAGCAAGGAACTTGGCGCTCATGATCACACCATCACGGGTGTTCTCAGCAGGCCCAGTGAAAACTTGGCGCTCATTGTAGTCCAACATGCGGCGGAAGGTCTTGGAGATGATGCGACGCTTCAATTCAGGAGAAGATGAAGTTTGCGCCATCAGAGGGACCTCTAGGAACATGCTGGATGTGAGATAGATGCACTCGAGCAGTTCCAAGTTGATATGCATGTGGAAGGGCAACTGGCGTTGACGCTCCAGGCGCTCCTGCTCAGGTGTAACTGTCGAGTAACGCTGGAGGATAATACCCTGGGCGAGAAGTTCTTTCTGCCTGCCGCTGCCACAGACTTCCGAAAGGGTCATCTGAGCTTCGTAGATGAGCCCGGAGCGGAAGGCACAAAGACCAATCTGAACCAAGGTTCTGTTGAAAAGGATTTGTGTGGAGACGTCGAAGTTGGAAATGTTCTCCGAAAGATGGGACATGAGCATCAAGTCACGAGAGCGGTAGTACTGGCCGTGAAGAGCAAGGAAGTAGATCTGGCACAGCATCGCACGAGCTCTGAGAATACCATCACTGTGCTGGAAGAGGTAATTGCAAAGGACTTCGATAAGGTCTGCCACTTCGGTGACCTTGCCGCGAGGCGTGATCGTAGAATCCAACTTGGAGGGCAGTGCCTTCCACAGACCATCCTCCAGAATGGTTACGACTTGAGAGGGCTTGAAATAAATGTGCTCCAACCTCCTCATAACCATCCTATTAATGCTATCTTGTCGGGGTTCGGTCTTCTCGGTCTTACCAAGCTCCTCAACGTAGAGCTGGGCACGGACAATGTTGTTGTAGAGCTGCTGCTCATCACTCAGACGTTCGATGTATTCCGCAGTGTGAGGGTCAATCTGCTGCAAAGACCTGGTGAGCTCATCATCCAGTCTCTCCACATACGAAATAATACTGCCTGGGATATAGAGCGTCTCGCCAGGTGCAGGCTGAGGCTGCTTCTCATCATCCTCCCATTCGTCAGCTCCCTCAGCAACTACGTGGTTGCGATTCTCCTCGAGAATGGAAAGGAGGGCAGAGAACTCCTGCTCTGCAATTTTCCACTGGTCAGGAGGCATGTAGGTAGCGGTAGATGTAGAAGCAAGGTCGAAACGTGTGGAGATAAGAGTGAGGTAGACGCGAATGCGCTGGTAAGGAGTTTGTGCAACCTCCAACAGCTTCTCCATCGTCCGAATCTGCTCAGCGCGATCTGTATTCTTCTTGCCCCGAGACTCGACAATGACACGGAGATTCTTGAGGATGCTTTCAGGGGTAAACTGTAGGGCCTTGCCGCCACGGCCAACAGTTGCGAAACCATCTTCTTCTCTAGCGGTAAGGATGGGGGTCTCAACATGCTCTACTTTCGTAATCCGTGGTAGCGCAACAACGGGGCGCTCTTCCTCTTCCTCGGCCTCCAAATATCCTTCCTTGTTGCTCCTGTACTTTTCAATCTGAGCAGCATATTCCTTGTTGTTCTTCTTGATACGTTGCTTGACAGCATTGAAGCCCTTGGCATTGCTGGCATTCATCTTCTTAGCTGTCGATTTCTGCTTCGCAACGGTCTCATTTACGAAATCTTCCAGATCCGCAATTGTCTTGATGTAGGCCCGGGGTATGCGGGTAGACTGTGCAATCTTAACAATTTGTCGGTTCAGTTTGTCGAACTCTGCGAAAATAAAAAAATTTAAGCATCAGTATGGTGCTTTCTTTCTCCCAGATTCATTTCCGGTAATGAAACAAATCGAAAAACTCACCTGCTGAAATGACAGTCCAGTCGTTGATCCGTTCGGCATTCTCAATCAACTTGATTGTGCCCTCCAGCTCCTCCAGCCTCTTGTCCTTAGCACTCTTAACCACAGTCACTTTCTCCTCATCCTCACTCTCCTCGCTTTCCGAGACATCCTTCAAGAAAACACTGGCACCCCGACGACCTTCACCCTCTTCTTCTTCTTCCTCCTCAGAAGAGGTTTCCTCCTCGCTGGAATCTTCCTCCTCGGACTGTTCATCCTCCTCTTCCTCCTCGCGATCGCTGTAGAGTTCCTCCTCGTCGGAGCTGCTCTCGCTGTCGCTACCGTTGCCGTAGAAGAAACGCGACGACATTTTGGCGGTTTTTCTGTCGTGTAACTGGAATCAGAGTTGATAGATTTCCACTCTTTCTGATCCGGTCGCGGGGCGTGAGGCGCGTTGCGATGAGTTATGCTGGGGCGATAGGAAAACCAAACTTCCCTTTGTGAAATTGTCGGAGTCACGGGGGGCGAATTTTAAGCGAGGTCGCGCTTATCCCGATCGAGTATGCAACCTAACCGCCAACTCCAGCCTTTGTACCCTGTACAGTGCAGGCATACAACAACCACAGACTAATTAACTGGCCAAGAGCTTCAAAGCAAAAATATTGTTTTGTCTAGTTGCCTACAAATACATTGGTATTGTAATAGATAGTCCAAAAAGGAGCAAGGAAAAGGGAAAAAGCAAGAAGACATCACAGAGTTTGCCACGTGACTCTAACTCTCATCAACAGGTCAGACTCGAGTATTCCAACCTCAGAGAGCGTTTATATGACGGATCTTCGAAAAAAAGGGGCAAAGATCAATGGAACAGAAATAAATAAGGGAAATAGGCGAATAGCACTGGCCAGCAAATAGCAATCTGGAGGCATCTAAAGATGTAAATAATGGCAAATTGGATACAGCGAGAGCGGCTATGCTGATGCAGCCTCGTAGAAGGATTTGCAAAGACCCGGAACTGACGATTTTTGATGCAAAGAGCATGAACATGCGGAACATGGAAAAGATCTGACAGGAGACAAACAGAACTTCCTTTCACCACAGAAATCTCTGTAGCCAGAAATGGGGACAGTCTTCGCTCGCCGTTTGACTAGTTTCCTTGACCATTCCAGAGTCAACAACGACAACATTCTGCGTACCTCCCAGTCTGCTTGTTCTGTCCAATTCGACACGCTTTCTAAAAAAAAGCAAAGACGATAACGACACTTAAGTGTCGTGCATGCCATACAGAGACCACTTTGACGTTATGACATAGGAGTTGTCGAAGCGGCCCGGTTATGGTGCGAACATGCTCACAACGAGATAATTTGAGACAGGCGAGTTTCCAAACGTCTGATGTTAAGGGCTTGAAGACGTTCGGGACTAGCCTCGGGCTTCCCTTCTAAGAAACGCATCCGAAGTCTCTTTTCCTGCCCCAGTAGGGAACGGTTGATATATCCTGATATTGTCACACGGCGTCGTGGGTTACAAACAACTTCTTCATAAATAGCCGACTCAGTGCCACTGATTTTGACCCATGAATGCCTCGCCTAGAACACCATCTTCGAGAGTGCGAATGAAGTCTCGATTTCGTTGGTTGCCACCGGTACGGCTTCCTCGTCGCCTCTGACCCGTGTTGGGGTCAGCATAGCCCTCTGGTGGAGGTGGATAATAAGCAGGACTGGGCTGTAAACGAATGGGTGCATTAGGATCGAGATGGCTGGCAACTCGTTGAATTGCCGGAGGAACCCCTGCGCCTTGGTGGTCCATTGTTGATGCCCGTTGGCGACCTGCTCTTGTGGTCGCCTGTGCATAAAGGCTTTGGGGCGGAGCATACTGTGAGTGAGGTATTTGTCCTGGCATCATGTTCACCGGGTAACCCGGAGGCTGAGCTGCAGAATACGGAGGAGGGGCTCCCTGCTGACCGGGAAACATTCCATTGTACATAGGAGGTTGTGCATGAGAAGGTGAGTGAAACGGGTTCATCGGGATTGAGTAGGCTGCTTGAGCTGCAGACTGGGCCTGAGCTGCCTGGACCGCCCTCTGCTTACTTGCAGCCTCTGCTTGTTGTTGCTGTTGAACACCGGGTGCGATAGTCTTGCTAAGAGATGAATACTTCAGATTCATCGGGGGCACGAATGGTCCGGTGAACTTTTGCTGTGTGATGAAAGGATGTAACTTGGCCTGCTGAGGTGACCACCGTTCAAGGGGATTGATATTTAGGAGACCGCGAACAAAGTCAATGAACGCAACCCGATTATTCAGCTCTGTCCATTGTTAGACGCCATCGTTGATATCTTAAGTAGGCAAATAAGACATACCTCTTTCGATCTCGGACTGCTTCATGTTTTTCCTCGGCATTGGATAGCTCCGGATGATTTCCTCTAACGTCGACGCCTGGAAATATTTCTTGCTCGGTTGTTCTTTCGTGTTATGCTCACGGGAGTACTGCTCTAAGCTTTTCAGACGGTATGACTTTCTCCCAAATTCGTCCTGGACTTTCTCGAAGAATTCACCCGCTTGCTTGCCCATTTCAAGCATCCAAGCAGGGGGTAAGCCCAGCATGTCTACGATGCGACACACCTGATTGTATTCCGAAGAACCTGGGAAGAGCGGCAGACCCAAGAAAAGTTCGACGACGATGCATCCAAGAGACCACATATCGATCGCAGATGAGTAGCTGAGAACAATCAGCTAGGAAATATCTCAACAGAAAGAAAGAGGACTTACGGCAAACCGAGGAGAACTTCAGGAGAACGGTAGAACCTTGACTGAATATAGGTGTACACGGTTTGCCGTTCATCACAGGCAGAACCAAAGTCTATTATCTTGATTATGGGACTCTCCAAACTGCGTAAGAAAAAGGAAGTCAGCATTTGTGGGATATTTCATGGCTGATCGTGACAAACTTTTTCAGCAATATATTCTCCGGTTTGAGATCACAATGGATCAGATGAGCCTTGTTCAGCAGACTCAACGCATTCAAGAGCTGTTGGGCAAACACGCGTACGAGGGTCGTACTCAGGCCTCGGAACTGATTCTGTTTGATCAGTTCATAAAGGTTGACACTAAGAAGCTCAAATGCCAGACACAAGTGTTGCCGGTGGATGAATGTATCTTTTAGTCGGAGAAGATGATGCTCGTCATTTTTGTCGTATTTGCTGTTGAGCTGCGGAATCGTGTGAGAAATGGCGCAGATAGCCGACCCGGGAGGAGACTTACTAAGTCCAAAACGGATACTTCCATCATGCTCTGATTGAAGTATGCCGTCTTGTTCTTTATAACCTTTACAGCCACCACTTCTCCTGTCTTTAAGTTCTGGCATTTCACTACTTGACCGAAAGTTCCTTGACCCAACACGTCGAGAATGAGATAGCGGTTTCTAAGCCCAGTCAGAAAGACAAGAAAGAAAAAACACAGCGCAAAAATGTAGGAATTGTGCTTACTTGTGACCGGCTTCCTCGCTACCAAGAATATCGTTGACGTAGAGAATGTAATCGCTGTCCTCGTTGTCATAGCCATCGTTCTTGACACCTTTACTTGGTTTGGTCAATACACGCCTGGGGTTCCGAGAAGACTCATAGTTGAAGGAGGAATTGCATATTCGATAAGTCGCCGGCAGGTGTACTGTTAAAGCTTGAAGCGGCTGCAGGAGCTGTGTCAGTTCAACAGATATGGATGCGATATATCTCTCCGAAAACTTACACTGATAAAACCTCCCTCCGGATTTGCGCGCCTGTACGGCGGTTGAGAGTTTATGCGGGGTTTCAGGTCTTGAACGGTCTTGAGTTTCTGGAACTTAGGCACAGGACCTCGACTGGAAGCAGGCGGTTGATTTGTGCCCTGCATCGGAAGGGAGTGGGGAGATTTCGCATCCTGTCCAAATGTAGCATTGAGTTGAGAAATAGCCGAAGGCGAGAAATGTCGCTCGGAGCCGATATCTGTCGGTTGAAGGGGAGGAAGTCGAGGGGGGCGGGACGCTGCTGTAGCAGGGGAGGATAAGTCAACTAGTCATTCGGAAAAGCCAATAGTATATGGCACAGAATACTAACAAGGTGGTGATTGATATGCCTGAGGGGGTGAAGTATAGTTGGAGGTCCTCGTTGGCGACCACTGAGAGTTACCCTGTCTCACAGGGAAGGCGTAGGAGTTCTGAGCCTTGCCGGGACTGGAGCTGTAGGGCATCGAAGGCGATAAAACGTTCATCGGCGAGTACCTCCGCGCGGCAGAGGACTCTTCGTTCGGGAGATATTGGGAGGAAGGACGGCTATGGTGGTTCGACTTGGTGGAATACTTTGCACGGTTATACGGGTCCGCATCCTCCATGGTGGTGTCCGCATCAGTGACATAATCTCGACTCCGTGGCGTCGCGACCGGAGAAGACGCCATGGAAACGGGTTTCGAATTGGAGCCGCCTGAGGGAGGGTTCGTTACCGCCACAGGAGTTTGGAAGCTCTCGTATGTATATCCCACAGGCGGTTTTGCATGTTGCTGCTGGCCGCCGTATTTGGGCTGCTGAGGGTGAGATATTAAACCATTACCGAACTGCGCAGGACGGCCCACGGAGAAGTCCTGGTATGCCTGCCACTGGGGATCCATTGCTGTCCCTCTCTGCCCTTCTTGATCGATTCCTTTGCTGCAGGCCGCTCAATCTGCTTCGTATCTGTGAATTCAGCTAGAGAATAGGATGGGAAGGCCGCAGCCGGATGCCGTCCAGAAGGCACATGCACTGCGCTCGGGTCAGGCAGCGGGGACGACCCCAGACAGGGCGGCGACAAGGCAGGAAAGAAGAGGTAGAAGGGTCTCGATACTTTTCGCAAGGGTGAATGAGCAATAGACGAATTGGCTGTAGGACTAGAGTATTCCGCGCCTCATTATCCAGATCAGCAGTTGCTCGAGATATCAGGTCGCAATCCCAAGGGGTTCCGGACGAGGCACGCTGTGCAAGGCGGCTGCTGACACAGACGGAGGGGGCCGGTTTTCCGCGTAAAAGAACACTGCTGCGGGATGCAGGGGAAGCCCTGGAGGTAAATTTCAGCAGAGAGAAAAAGGGAGCACGCAAATGAGTCTCAACGCGAGGGGCTGATGGGGAGGAGACAAAGACAGGAAGCGACTCGCGGAGGTGGAGAGGCGGTTTGGGATTCTGGACTGTGCTGATGTGTTGGAACTGCACGGGCTGGCTTGGGCTTGCCTGGCCTACACAGCGCGTCCGCTTTACGTACGGCTCAGCGCCACGTACCCAGAGGGATGGAGCTGATCCGAGTAGACTTTATCTACAGAGCAATTTTGGTTGGAATACCGATGTGTATATTGAATATTCCTGTCAGCTTTCCTGGATCTCCCCCAACACAGCGTACGGAGGCCCTGGACGATCGGGATCAGGGTTTGATCTTCATCAATGCCACGGAGCCCCGTAGGGTCACCCTCGAGGGTCATAGAATGCCTTGGTGAAACACCGGACTCGAACCAGGGACAACATGTCTTACAGAGGAATACTGGACCGCGCAGTCGATGAATCACCGGCTGAGAGAGAGCCCTTTCATTTTGGCGGCCCAACGCTGGTGACGTAAGTCACGTGATAAGCCAGATTACTAACTAAGATTATTCAGCACGTGGGCGGTGAGTGTGGCGGTGACTATCGGACTTTCTGCCGCCCCTCCTCTCCAGGTCTGCACGTGATCTGCCTCGAGCTTCAGGCGGATATTTCTGACCAAGATGACCTTGAGAAGGATACAGCAGCGTTGCATATCTGGAGAAAGCTAATTGATGAAAAGACAGGCAATCGGAGTGAACCTGCCATGAATAGAGTGCTGTCGTCCCTCTATTTGCCTTCCGCTCTTGGTGCTGCTAGAACACTCCTACAGTGGTGTCAAGAACTAACTGCTTTCCAAGTGAAACAGACTCCGCTGCTTTGCACGCAAATACGTCGACCATGACAATCGGTCCTGCACTACATCGAAGTGCTCATCGGCTGAGGTCAAGCAGTTGTCAAAGACAGCAAAATGCCAGAGAGTGACGGAAATGAATGGGAGGAACAAGTGATTGTTGCTGTTGTCGGACCCAGAGCAATAACAAGCATGCGAAGAGACGTTATTGCCAACGACATCTGGCTGATGTTAACTTATTCTGGGAACTCCGTGCGAGCGATCGAAGACCACGAGATGTGCTCGGCTTGCAGATCATCCTATAAATATGCAAAGTACATCATGCGCGTTTGGCACGGCATAATGCTGACGGAACCGTCAATAACATCATAGGAGATCATTGACATGAAACTGCGATGAAGGGGAAGCAAAAGGCATCGTTGAATTGATGCAATTTCCATCGGGGATCTGGGGAGATTAAACAACGATGATCGCCTCTAGACGATGACGGCATCGAGGATGTAGACCTGGGGTATCACTGTAGGATGTGCCGTAGATGCTCTGGAGAACCGTGGAATCAAGAAAAGCCATCCCCGGGTCACGACTGAGACAGATTACTATTTATATCCACCTTGGTCCTCCGATGAACGCAGGCCTTTCTGCGGTATGCTGCACGCTCTCGGTCGCCATCGACTACTATTGATTCATCTACCCTGGTAGATACAGTGCGACTAACAGGCGCAGCGACGATCCCTGATCGACGCAAAAGGGCATGATGCTTTGTGGGTTTGTTTTGTTGACTGCACCCGTGGGAAGTGTCGGCTCGATGGCGAACAATTAATTTGCATTTACCGTACTTCGATTCCATGACGATCAGCGAGATCAGACCATATAAATACAAGGCAAAGATGCACATCTTTGACTTGCGTCCGATTCCAAACCTCATCTAACATTCCCATCTAACGGTCCAAGAAGAAGAAAAACAACAACAATAACCACAACAATAATCGAAATGAAGTTTCTCTCTATTTTCTCTCTCTTCATCGCTTCCGTCGTTGTCACAGCCAACCCCATCGCCCCCAGAGACGCAGACTCAGCTAAGACCTTCCGGCTCAAGACCTCCCAGGCGAATCTTCCCAACCATAACAACCTCTACGTCTATGCCTACCACACGGGAGCTGGGCTCAATGATGCCGTCCTCACTTCGGACGCCGGCACTGCGAGCCCCGCGATCTTGAATGATACCACTGTGCAGTTCGAGTTGGGCACTAGTTTCCCTTGGGGTCTCATCCTTGAAGGCGATACCAACTATGCCGGTATGCTTTGTTCCCCCGGTCTTTGTTTCGGTTTCGTTATTCTCCTTTTGTCTATTTGCATAAATCCACATACTAACAGCATCTTTTCATTCCAGCATGGGAGCTCGTCGAGATCAACGCCGGGGCCGGAGTCCCTGGATTCTCTATCAACGGATCCGGATTGGTATGGAATGGAAGTGGCTTCGGAGGCTGGCTGGGTAAGTCAAGTTCATATTGCGGACACTCGGGCTTCCCGTCGGGATCCGCCGAATCGACCGGCTAACCATGTTTCCTTCACTCGGATATAGTTTGCGACTGGTACCATAACGCTGCTCAGCTTTTCTGGTTGAATTACTACTATAGCCCTGTTATCCCTTCGAGCTGCAGCAAGGCCAACCTTGACGTCGAGTATACATCGTAATGACCATGTGAATTAGCTGCATTTGATGAGCTGAAAGGGTGTTCGCTGTGGACATTGTCTGAATATGGGGATGCAATATTGTTGCATCTCATGAGATTGATGGAATTGTGCAAAGGCCGTTGTTGCAAACAACTGATGAGTCAATGGTTGCATATAATGAATAACTCATACTAAGTATGGATAATAATAATAATGCGAATGGAACTTTGTGGTGAATGGGTAGTATGCATCCTTCCAATGCCACACACCACTTCCAACTAATGATTCATTTCATCTATTGCAGCGCTGGAGTCATGTATGTGACTCTGCTGGACTGCGATACTCCATGCGGATGGATGCAAAGTTTGCCTCGGACAACATTCCACACATCCCTATTATTGAATCTGGACGTCGTGTTGAATGGTATAATTAAATACAGTTTCTTATCAACTCTGGCTAGGTGTACATGGCCGCAGGAGGTTTACTGCTCCCCCAACCAAGTGCAGACTGCCCGTCACTAGAACTTGTGACCCATCCTTCTGAGCACTTAGTTGTTTAGCACGCTTTATTGCTCTTTCAATAGTTGGTTCAATTGAAATCTGAGATTCTGGGTTAAGATCCTTCCACAGTGACGAATGCATCGCACAAAAGTCTGGCAATGGCGTCCCAGAAACCTTGAGAGTTTTGTCTATAACAGTCAGTCTGATATTTGGTCATATAAATTTCCCTCATTATCTGTCTACTTACTGGATTCATCCTCCCTTTCATCGTAAGTGGTAAATATCACATGGTCAGGCCTCACACCATTTTCAAAAAGAGAACGTGCGAGGCATTTCAAAAGTTCCATACTGTCACGTTCTGCTGAAAAGTGGCTGAAAATAAGAACACGGAGTCTAAAATAGGTAATATAATGCGTTAGCGAGAATATAAAATGAGGCAATGTAACATACATCTTCTCATTAGGCGGATTGGTATTCCTTGCAAACCATACTGCAGCTTGCCCGATGCTCAATGTATTGTGCGCACCGTCCAAGAACCATTGGGAGTGTCCATCAACGATAATTTGGAACCGTCCAGCCCACGAAAAATTTTTGACCCCATTGATAATATCATCGGCGCTCAATTCCTGCCCCAGGGCCTTGACCTGCAAGAAGGCGCGAGCGAGTCTGATGGCTAAAGAACAATTTAATCGCTGAACCGGTACACTTAAGGCCTTGTCATTTACCGGAAGGGAGTCGTTGACAGGCACAAATTCCAAAACGGACCCCTTCTCTGCGGCACGATTGCGCATGACTTCACTAGGAACGGGTTCCTGAGGCACCGAGAAGGCAAGTGCCCCCCGTTTGAAGATTCCGGCCTTATGCCAAGCGATATTTTCGACCGTAGGACCGAGCTGCGTGATGTGGTCCATTCCGAGAGATGTGATACCTGCCGCAACGGGTCTCTGGATCACGTTTGTAGCATCATACTCTCCGCCATGGTGAGTCTCAAATATGGCTGCCTGCACCTTTTCTCTAACGAATGTATGGAAGGCTAACAGTGCCAAAAGCTGCAGATAACGTGGTTGCCTGGGATTTTCAACAGTGTCCCGCTGGCCGTTTGAGGCGAGGCTATCCCATACTTCAAAAAAGTATTTTGTAAAGAGCTCCTCGGAGATTGGTTTCTCGTTAATTTGTATTCTCTCCCGAATAAATTGCAAATGTGGAGAAGTGTAGAGCCCAATCTTGCTTGGAAACCCAGTCCGTAAACCGTGTGCAAGAAGAAAGGATCGAGTAAAGGCGCAAGTACTACCTTTGCCTTTCGTTCCAGTTATATGAATTATGTTCAAGTTGTCGATGTCTCGGTCCTGAGTTCAGTTAAGACCGCAGCACTATAGTCTTTGTGCAAATCCATACCGAATGTCCAATTAGTTGCAACCATTCTTTCATCCCCACCAAGCTGGGCACTCCCCTCAAGGCTTGGTTGCTAACGGGACTCGTTGCCTCTTGCGGCGTCGCAAAGGCTGTATCCTTTGGACGAGCTGGTCGTTTTCGGGCTTCTAAGAGCTTAAGAGCGGTCTATAGATCATTAGAATGTATACGATAAGCTAGTAGAAAACAACTACCTCGTAATTGCGTCTCATTGTGGTAACTCTCTTTCCCGTACATCGTTTGAAGACTGGATTCTGTCGTTCGTCAACGGACCCATCGCCGTTTAGATGTTCACGTGATATTACTTATATGCCTCAGGTATCCGGGTATTAAATATCCACCAGCTCGATATTATTCTTTAACATTTTCTACACCATGAATCCACCGGCCCTCGAAGAAAGGAAGGGACTACAACTCATATAGATGACTTGAACGAATGGAGATATCGTCTCCCAAAATACGTGCTACATGATGATGCCATTCGACCGTAGACCTGTGAAGTTGCAGTCAATCGAGTAGAGCAAGCCTGGGGCATGAAGGCATGAGCGTCAGTATTCTGTGCACGGTATCCCGCAGGCATCATCGTAAAATCCCTGATTAATAGTTATTGTTCTTTTGTATATCTCAACTAATAATATAACAGCCATTGTTTTGATATGCTGATCGTATTATGAGATGCATGCGTTATTACTCCAGTGCAGAGTAAATAAGGAGCGATCTTATCCGATCGTTGGACTAACCCAATACAGATGAGCCAACCAGCCACACCAGGCTTAATCTGTGGCGCACGACGCACTTCGGCCACTGTCTGGACCGGGCAATTTATTCCGTTGTCCATGCTCTTTGAGATGGCGGAGACGCGCTCTCACTGAACTACCCGAATGATTCAAGATTCAAATCAATAGCCTAGATTAACCTGGAAGCGTTTATAAAGCTGTCAGCTCTTTTTGAGCATCATATATTCCCGTGGAACATGGCTGGTCTACCTACACCAGCTGTCCAGGAAACGGCACAACCCCAGTCTGCTGTAACACCGAATACACAAGAGAACAAGTCCGCCGAACTCTGGGATTCCGAATTGCAAATTGTCTCCTCTCTAGCACAACTTCAAGAGCTAGAAAGAAGGGTGGGTAATATCCATCGATCACCTTTGGCTCTGAACGCCACAGCTAATAATACGTAGGTCCATCGGCTTCGAACGCTGCTGCCAGATCGGCTGCTGGCGCCTTTGGTGCCGATTATAAATCCAGAGTGTGCTGCATCGGATAACCCCGTGCCGGAATCCCCCCAGGTGCTCTATGCACAGCTATCTGAAGCCGCACGGGCAGGGGTTGCGGATGTCGAGCAGTTTCAAACTCTCTGGCGTAGCCCAGAGATGAAAGCTGTCTGGGATTATGTAGGGGATGAGATCAAAGAAAATGGTGGTACACTCCTCCAGCCCACCGGCGTGTGGGAGAGAGACTATGGCGTTCTCCTTGAAGAGCTTGTGAAGGAGAAGCGTGAAAAAGATGAACAAGATGGCGGAGTGACGGAGCGCTCCAAGGCCCAATCGATGGCAGCGAACTGGAGGATGGACGTGGAGACATTCTTACAAAAGGGTGTCCCTGGAGTTCGCGTCGTGCCAGACCAGCACGAGGCGTCAGTCACCATAGCGCTAGTGAAGGCTGGAATGTTCTTCCAGGCTCAAGCAATCAGCGAACCTGATATCAGTGTTCCAGAGTGGCGAGTATCGAATGTTGGCCCCCAAAGCAAACTGAAAGCGAAGCTTGAGATGGCTATATGTGATTGCTTGAATTCTCGTCCGCGGAAGTGGGACATTACTTATTTGCTTGTAAGTCTTATAGCAGGAATTATCTACCCAGTGTTACGATACGATACAACGCGTAACTTTTCTCAATTGCACGAGTCGCTAGACATGCTAATGACGATAACACTAGGACATGATAGCTTCTTATGCAGATGTCAAACAAAGACCATGCGCAAGGTGCAACAAAATGACAGACGATGCAGCTCAGCTCCCGGTTCTCCGTGTCTGCAAATCCGTCCCAGCCCAAGCACCTGATTCAGGAGAAATCAGCATTTGGGAACCCTTCCACCCAGGCTGCAGCCGTCTTTAAAGGAGACGAAAATTTGCAACCCTTTGCCTCTTATCGGCGAGCTTGAGCAACCTGCATGCCTCGTATTTCAGTGTCCGACAGAAACGAAAGTTGAGCCATTTCGGCTCTGTAGCGTCTCCAGCGTTCATTCCAGTCTTCAGGAGGGCCGTAGAAAAGATCATGATGGATATCAGATGGATACGGATTGCCATATTTGTCCCAGTATTGTAGTGGGATGATATGCTGTTTGCCTCTCCCTCCCGATCGAGGCTTGCCGCAATCGCAGTACCTGACAGCACTCCATGTGCCCTTGTCAGGGACCTGATATCGCCTCGTTCTGAAATCGTATTTTTCGTCGCCCTGGCGTGCTCTACCCCAACCCGGCAGAGCCGGGATGTCTTTGGCTCGCCGATTACCGCTGCGATGTTCCCAACCGGACCAGTGGCGCAAGTTTTCGTCATTGGGACTGTGGATAGTGCCGATGAAGATATCCGGGCCCTTATTACGGAGGACATCGAGGAAGCGCCTACCACGAGGCCAGCGGGACTGTTTTGCGAGCTTGGGGTCTCTGGGCCAGATCCATCCCATCGTAGACGGCATATTGGTGATCGTATAACGGAGTTCTGGGGCGGGTGTACTGTGGCAGTCGTTCTGTTGAGGACGGAAGACGGAGATGCTTCGGTTGGGAGGATCAGAAGCAAGGGTGATATGAAAGATTGAAGAGATTGAGAGGATTGAGTTGGTTGATATACTACCCGTTGCCGTCTGAAGACTCAGCTTTGCTCTTTCACGATCGAATGTTACATGGAGCATGCTTACACAAAGAGGAACCTGTGCACCATCAACCTACACACTGTCTACAGTTTAGAGACAGGATCACTTGGGTCATATTCTTTGTTGACAATGTAAACATGCATGTAGGCTTCTGTATAACCTAAGCATACCAGAAGCTAGACAAAGAATACAGAAAATCACAGCACTCAGACAGGTCTCAGGAGATGAGATGTGATCAAACATATAGCTTCTCCTCATTATCTCTATCCCTACTATCAAGCAATTGAAGCGCACGCTTAGGAGATGCTTTACTGGCAGCCAGAATCTTTACAGTCCGTGTTAGCTGTCTATTAGTGCCATGTTTCTGCAGAATGCGCACCGCATGCGTATCATATCCTAAGGAATCTATATTAGCATATTAGATATTCTTCATTGCTTGACGGGTTGTACAAAGACTAGAATGAGACATGCCATGCTAGTCTTGTCAATGTGCGATGCCGATGGTAAGTTGTATTCAGTGCCGGTCTCCTCCTTGGTGTTAACGTGGAACTTATGCATGTCAGATTGCAAATTATAGCTTTGCCATGCGAGAATACTCAGCATGATGTTATGTGTAGATGTTGAACCTGCTCAGTATGAATGGCCTCGTTATCATTCCAAATCAGGAAATCATCTGCCAGGATGCAGTCAGCTGTACCCCAGCAAAATATTGAAGGTATGTCTCTTGTTATGTTCCTATCTAGGTGCCGGAACCAGCTCTACTAGGTCAGGCGAGCGCGGTATAACTGGGATCATAATCCAACAAGCTAGGCCGTTTAATATACCAATTGCCATTCCGTGATGGGCCATTTGCCCTGGTAAACGAACGCCCGACGAACTCTGGGTAGAGGGCTTCCGTAGGGATCGGGTACGTGCCGTATAAACCGTTGAGTTTAACATTCGATCTTTAAGAAGCATCGCTTTTTTGAGGGTCCTTGGTAGACCTGACCGTCTTTTTGGAAGATGACACGGGTGCTTTTGAATGCGATTTCCTCGTTAACATCTCCAAAATCCTCGAGACATTGAATGACTTTCGTTGCACAAGTCGAGCACGCTCAGGCAACGAGAAAGTAAAAAAGAATATGAGCCAGATGGGCTCAGAGATCCAGACAGCCAAAGGTGGTCGACTTTATGGTCTTCGAGACCGCTTCCGTACATACAACAATGCGCAATAAAGAAGCACAGGGACGAGACGATTGACTATTATTAGAGACAATTTTTGAATATGCGACTTTTAGCGCGTGTGCGACGAAGCTTTTCTTGTCCTTCTCCGTCAGTAATCATAATAATCAACGGGGACGCAAGTTATTTGTTCTATCGACTGCATATGCCTGACATATTTGGACGGAAGAGTGTTACTTTAAGAGCAATCTGCATTCGTAGACAAACGGAAATGCTCTCTCGCTCTTTTTTTTTTCATTCATGATCGAGGTTGATTAATCTCACAGACGCTATAGCTACCTGTACTCTATCTGTCATTGCTATGTAGTAGTTCATCAAATAGCTGCCTTGAGCACCTTAAAGGCATCTGCATTGCCACCCAGGTACCGTTCCTCGGCCGTCTTCCAGTTGATGACCGTCCAGATGTTCTCGACATATGCAGCCTTTCCATTCAGATACTACTCGAGTTAGCTCGAAGAATACTTTATAACATATACTAAAAAGAGCTCACCTGCAGGTAATACGCATGCTCCCACATATCCACACCGAAAATAGGAACCTGATCCTTCCCCACGATATCCTGATCCTTGGTAGTCACAATAACCAGCGGGCCGGTAGTCCCCTGCCGCACAAGCCAGCCCCATCCACTACCCTGGATACCCAGCAGCTGCTCGTTGAACTTCTGCTGGAAGGTTTTCCGATCCCCCCACTGCTGGCGGATGGCCTCGTGCAGCTTCGGGGCGGAGTCTGGGGACGCTTCCGGGCTCTTCTGGGGAGTGAGGTTGGTCCAGAAGAGGGAGTGGTTGATGTGGCCTCCAGCGTTGAACTTGATGGCGGGCTCCAGGGCCACAATGGCAGGGAGGTCGGTTACCTTGGTTGCTTCGGCGTGGGCGTGGAGGGCCTTATTCAGGTTTGTGACGTAGGTGTTGTGGTGCTTGCTGTGGTGCAGCTCCATGATGGTGGCCGAGATGGCCGGTTCAAGAGCCTGGTAGAGTCAACTCATTACTCGTGGGGGATGTATCATAGAGGAGGGTACCCAGGCTTACATTGTACTCGTAAGGAAGAGGGGGGAGGGAGTAAGTCTGGGCCATTTTGAGCAAGATAACTGGACTGGACTGATCCCTTTTGTGGTATGACTGAGGTGAAACACTTTCCGGGGCCAGGCAGGGTTAAATAGAGGGAGACCGGGTTGAATAGGTTCTGAGGACCTGCGGCGATGACGGGCACCTTGCGGGTGGAACTTGCCCACAGAGCGGGGCACAAGCAGCATGAATGCGCAAATATGCTCATGAGGACATGGATAGCAATATCATGCATCTGGTTCTGATGAGAGAAAAAGGGGCGATTTATAAAGTGATGTGCCCCGGAAGCCAGGAGGGCAAACGTCCCACATCATCTTCCACGAAACAAAGCAACGCGACGACCCTGCCATTGACCTCATAATGTGCAACGGATCTTCCACAAGAATCTCGCAGGGAGGAGCCCTTGCTATCCTGCGATCCCCCGAGAGAGCGCCGGGGACCGACTACCGCGTCACCCTCCAGCAGACAGACGATGTGGAGGGCCGTCTCACAGGGAACATCCTGCTGCCGCAAGAGAACAGTAACAATACATCATACCAAGACCTCAAGGCGTGCTGGCTGGAAATACAGTGAGTGACCTGCCTGAGCCCAAGAGAACCTCAAGGTACTGATGGACAGCTGCAGTCGCGACGGCGATCTAATCCCGTCATTAACCCGCGACTCAATCCCTGCGCTGTACAGACTCGAATTGAACAGCCTGGTGCGGCGCAATGGCTCGCAGAGAGCAGCATCCGCCACGCTGGACAGCGACCAGCCGATCAGGCTGACCGTTGGCGATGACGGCGTGATCGGACGCAGAATGTCGATTGTCGACGGACGAAGCGGGAGCAAGATCGCGGAGGGAGTCATTGGATGGAACTGAGCAGGAATGAGCAGATTTGCATTTGAAGCGCAATCCAGCGCAATGCACGCTTTTGCGCGGGTTTTGAGCATGTTTGATGTCATCGGATGGTTTGCTAATGGGTGGTAATAGTTAATCAGGGAATTCTATAGATCAATTATCAACTAGCCAGGATGTGGTGACTCGGTTACCAGATCAACATTGGAGATCCTTAGACCTCCAGTCATATCCAAGGCTGGAGTTTCTTGCCAGAGAGTACTTTGCCTCACTCTAATAATATAGGAAAATACGGCTGGCCCAGCTACATGGAACCGATTCTGCTGGTCTGTCTGTACAATTCCAACAGAAACCCGAAAACATGCTAGGCATTATGAGCCCTCCTCAATTCCGCACAGAGATCATCCATGTACAGCTGTGCCTTCTTAATAATCGCCATGTGCATAAATGGATGAGGCACACCGGTATATTGCCGATAAGTAACCTTGACTCCAGCCTCCATAAGCCGCTGAGCATAATGCACGCCCTCATCGCGGACAGGGTCACACTCGGCGGTGGCCATGAAGGTATCACAGACCCCCCGTAGATCCCCCTCAACGGGAGTCGTGATGAAGCGTGGCCGGCTCTCAAGTTCAGCCTTCTGCGCATCATTCTTAGGTGCTGAGAGTGAGCCGAAGAACTGCATGCGCTTCCAGTTCAGGCAAGGCGCGAGCTCGTTCTCCTGGAAGGACTGGTATGGGGAGTCGGAGGGTTTCGTCATGTCGACACGCCAGGTTGTGGCTGGGACACTGAGTGCAGCTGTTTCGATGGACGTTCAGTTATTTTGTCTCCAGGAGAAAGAGGGAGGTGGCCCACCCAGCCTGAGATTCAGGCTCGCATCGCGCGCGAGCTGTTGCATTACGGCGCTAATGTGACCTCCAGCGGAGATTCCGCCGATGGAGATGGAATCGGGACGCGCGTTGATCTCCTGTCCATGTTCGTGTACCTGTTACCAGATCGTCTATTAGCAATGCTGGTCCGATGCAACCGAGGGAGTTGTTCATGCCCAGCGAATGGCCGCCCAAGAATCATCATGGCCCTTCACAAACGCATGCTCTGGCTGTCGTCAGTACTGCTTAATCAACTTCCCCAACCCGAACGAGAGATCCAATCTCACCAGGAGCCATTCTATAGTCGACATCCACCACGAGAATCCCAACCCGGTCTCGCACCAACATGCAAATCTCCGCATCCCCTTCCAAGCCTCCGAGGACAAAACCGCCGCCTGGAACACCGTTCAGTCCTACTGCAAACACACTCCGTCCTCGGGAGAAAAGGCCAAAGAAATACCGTGGAAATTGATATGAACCGGGTACGGCCCTTCCCCGAACGGAGACGTCCTGGGGTCTGGATGGTAGCATCTCGCAGTGAAGACATGTCCATCGTCAGACTTGATCTTGATGTCCTTGACGAAAGGCTCAAACGTGAAGTTCCGGGCCCATGGTGCTGCATATTTCTGCGGGAAGGCCCGCATGTCCTCAATGCTGACCGTGTGGGCGGACGTCTTAATGGCCAGATATGCATTGTAGTATTCGATGAAATCTGGGTCCAGTTTGGGGAGGAAGCTGGGGTCAATGGGACTGGGGAGATTTGAAGCCATGTTGGCCGCTGGATAGGGTTGCTAGAGCAAACTTGAACTGAAGCTGAAGTGGTCATGTTTAACGCACTCCACGGTCAAGAAAGCAATTCTTATACGCTTATCAACCATCATTCTCGTTCTTGAATATCTCCATCGGATGCATTTCGGCTTTTCCGATCCCAGCAGAAAGCGCGGCTTCTGAAGCCAATTGAGACGTGCATTCGGCCCCGCAGAGCCATTTTATAATCGGATGTTTACGGCGGATTATAGCGGCCCAGCTGCAATAACCAGAATTTCCGATGGGGAGATCCTTCACTGCTGCCAGTTCGGGGATGTTTCTGTCCTCTCTGCCCAGCAGAGGATCTACCCTCGTGATACGCGGCGCAGCCTAAGTCCACGAAGCTCAAGCTCTGCATGGATGGCATTCGTCCCCATCGGGCTCAGCGAACTCCACAGGCCTGCAATACATGGCATGTTGACCTTTCTGACCCGTCAAACCGCTGCATCGGAAACTCGTCGGACCAGTGCTAACGCTGATGAAACATCTGCAGTCGCCGGAGGAAGACCAAATGTGACGGTGTCCGCCCACAATGCCGTCACTGTGCATCGCGGCGGATCTCCTGCATGTGGCCGGCGCCAGCGCCAGTGGCCGTTGCAGAGTCGTCATCCCCGGATTCTACGTACAGTCCTTGCAGCCACCGGCCGTCAGTGCAGTCCCCGGCAGAGGCTAGTCTTCCAGATAGACGAGGCCTGAACCGATGTATGAACATCTTCTTTGAGCGCCACTTTCTGGGTAACTTCTGCTCTTTCGTCTACCGGCCTGACCTGGAGGATCCGTCGGCCCCTCTACCATTTCTCACGGTGGCAATAGTATGTCTCTGCTCGCGATATTTGACCCCCGCCGAGGCTACGGAAGACTTTGGCCTGCCTTCAGGCGCAGAAGTTTGTTGTCGTTTCACCCCGATCGCCAGAGGCATGGCTCGATCTTCGTCCGATGAACCGAGTGGTGAGTGCATGCATACATACATTCATTCATTCATTCTTGGTGATAGATGCAGACTAAGATCACCCCCACGCTCACACATATATTCAGTCCCGACTATCCAAGCAAATCTGGTTCTTGCCCTATCCGAATTCCTCGGCAATGCTGGGTCCCGCCATTGGATGTACGCGGGGACAGCAATCCGTATGGCGCAGATCATGAGGCTGAATAAGGAGTACCATCAGGCTCACACTCTCAAGGAGCAAGAGATTCGGCGGCGGACATTCTGGGCGTGTCTTTTATTTGACAAGTTGCTGGCCTGCTTTCTTTCAAAGCCGCCGACAATATCACTAGTCAATGTCGCGGTTGCGCTGCCCGGCACGGACGCGTCTCTGGCATACCAGGAAGTAACACGAGGTCTTACTCTGGATAACCTGGTATCGTTCACTGGCTACCCGTCCGAAATAGGGATAATGCCTTATTTCATCAAGACCGTGTGTCTGTGGAGCAACATCGTTGACTTCAATGTCTGCAATCGCCGGTTTGTGGAAAAGAAACCGCCGACTGATCCAACAAGTTCTTTTTATCAGCGACACCAGGAGATACAGGATTGGGTTGCCTCGCTCCCTCCCGGTCTATTATGGTCCACGGAAAACTACAGAAGCCACTCTGCGTTGGGCCACGGGAGGGAGTTCATAGCCATGCATTGCGTAATATACAGTTCATTCTGCGTGGCCCACCAGCAGTATCTCCCACAGCTAGACGGTTCATCAATCTTGCTTGATAGTGTGGATGCAGCAGGCTGGTCATTGCTGCGGAGAGAGCCCATTCTTCTATTAACATGCGTTACAAATGCTCTGAGAGTCGGAGAAGTGATAACCAGATTATCCGAAGCAGATGCGAGATCTCGATCAGAACTGCAGTGTGTCTGGGTCGCAGCATCCGTGCTATCTGTCTCTAACATCCTCCTTTGGATCCAGTATGCAAACGATCCTGAATATGGCAACGTAGAGATGGTCGACAGGGCGCAGAAGTACTTCTCCCTCTTCTTGACCATGTTATCATCCTGGTCAACACATTGGGCCGCTGCGCAGACCTGGTTAGACATTCTGAAAAAGATGCACGCCATGTACAAGGGGGCGTACCTGGGCGAATTCGATCGATCCGTTCTCGACGAACCGAGTGCGACATCCGCAGTCGAAGAAGAGGATCCCACAGGCTTTCGACCCCAGCCAGGCGACGGATATCTGTCATCGGCCCAGGTGCAGAATCTATACACTTGTCTTCGGTTCCTTACTCTGGACACGACAGCAAAGCCGAAGATGTTGCAGTCGGTTTGGATGGGATTTGCAAGCGGTTGGACCCACGACCTCACTGAAGTTGCTCACGATGTGACCTTTGGATAGGCTTCTCTTACGGAAGAGTTGCTGAGAGGCCAATGTATAGAGGGCCATGACTACGCTTCGAGGACCAAGTTGCCGCAGCTAGTGGCAGTGGTATACTGTAAGTAGTCTCACTCTTAGATCGACACCGTCTATAACATAAGATACGAGGGTGACGGTGCTCTTTGGCATGTCCTCGGTTCAGCGAGCATGAAAGGAGAAGCCGCGCGCAAATGTGTCTCTAACACGAGCAACATATTGTCCAGGCGGAGCCAATTACCCCACGGGCGTCGTCTATCGAAGGATGATTCTTAACTTTATCAGATCGGGAGAGCCTATCTGAATCGTATGCTCGACCAAGACTAGCATACGATTTGACCCTAAGAGACCTTATCGCAGCACTCCTTGCAAGGATATGGGCACTAGGCACTGGGCAGGAGGTATATATGGCCTTGGCCGTTGCGTTAGGCTTGCCTGCAAGCATTGACATGGTTGTCTCGCTGCCGGTCATTCAGCTGTGTGGAATATGAAATTAAAAACGCCGCTTCGCGAGCACCGCAGCAGCCATCTAGAGAGTCAGATGGAGGCACCGTGGAGACGGCAGTGGCCTTCGACCCGGCCGTTTGCAAAGGGCTCAGGTTGAAGGCGGACTGTATCCTGCGGCCTCTATTATCTGTCACGAACTTGTTCAAGTGAGTTCCTGTCTGTCTGTCCGTCTATCAATGGGGAATCTGTTTACTGATGACCGTAAAAAGCTCTCGTGACCGCAGCAACATCTCCAATGCGAATATGGCTGGCCGCTCGCAGGACCTCCACCTGGTTGGGAATCAGTTCAACCAGGTCCTGACGTACTATCAAATCCCATTTATCGTTCTCGGCGCGTCTTGACCATGATCACGAAGCAGATGGGCCCACGCTGGATGGTCCCCAGCATGCTGTTCGTGTTCGGCGCGGTTTCATTATCGACGGGCTTTATCACGAATTCAAGACATTGGTGGTTTGCCAGGTGCTCGTCGATGCCTCATGAGTCTGGGTTTCTCGCGTGGAGTGTCGAGAGGAGGGTGTGATGGGTGCTCGGGATGCTCGGTTCGGGTTTCAGCCGTAGGGATTGTTAAGGATTATTTTGCGGATAATTAGCTGGCTGCTGCTATGGATATACCGTCATTCAGTCGTAGTAATTAGTCACTTGTCTAGGAATAATGCATCTTGCTATCATGAATCCTCCCTGATACCTCTACTGCAATGATAAATAGGACCACCACGAAAGGAATACTCCGTGACGTTTCGGAGTAGACAGTTCCCACCACTGGTCGTTTCCATCGGGGATCCCGATCGGAGAAGCCGATGTCAACCAGGCTTTGTGAGTCATGGAATCCGTCGATATAACATAATTAATGTAACCGCATGGAATAAACCAGGATTTCTCTGTCATTCAGGTTCATCAATACCAGCCAGAGCTCATCAGGCAATATGGCGAAAGACAGTAAGAAGATCGTGGTGATCGGGTAGGTTCACACTGCCTGTACTCCGCATCTTCCAAAAGAAAGACATAAGAAATGAAAGCTGACGATGAAATAAACAATATAGCGCAGGCGTAATCGGCCTCAGCAGCGCCCTCCTGATCCAAGAATCCCTATCCTTGAAGAAAGAAAACTACGAAATCATCATAGCAGCCCATGAATTCCCCCATCCCCACACAACCAAGACATCAGTCAACTACGCTTCCATGTGGGCAGGCGCACACCTCCGCCCCATCCCAGCATCCACACCCCAACTAGAACGCGAAGCAAGCTGGTTCCGAAAAACAGCAGCCAAGTTCAGGAGCCAATTCCCCCAAGAGCCATGGCTAGGCATCCTTCCCCTTCGCGGGGTGGAGTACCTTGCCGTTCCGTCCGAAGCGTATCAAAATCTCGTGCGTTCTGAAGATACCTTCACGAAAGAGACAGCGTTGGAGAATCTCCGCGTCCTCAACGAGAAGGAGTTACCCGATGGCGTGGCGTTGGGGTTTGAGTATGACACGTTCTGCGTGAATGCGCCGGTTTACTGTATGGCGCTTCTGCGGAAATTTTTGGTCCGTGGTGGGAAGACGATTAACAGGAATCTGAAGAGCGAGTGGGAGGCTTTTTCGTTGGAGAGTAATGTGAGGCTGGTTGTTAATGCGAGTGGGATGGGGTTTGGGGATTCGAAAAGCTTTCCTACGAGGGGTGCGTACATATATACCAACTACAAGCTTGATGATACTTACGAGATTCCACAGGCCAGATCTGTCTCGTTTCAAACCCATTCGACAAAACCATAACCAGACAGCATAAAGACGGGACATGGTCGTTCGTCATTCCCCGCTGCTTCGACGGTGGAACCGTCATCGGCGGGACGAAAGATGTCAACGACTGGAACTCCGAGCCCTCGCTGGCCACACGGGAGGAGCTCTTCCGGAAAGCCGTGGAGACTTTCCCGGAGATCAAGAATAGCGCGGGACGAATTGATATCATCACTGACGTTGTGGGTCGGCGGCCGACTCGCGTGGATGGGATGAGGATCGAGGCAGAGGTGAGACAGGAGGGAGGGGAAACGAGGTCCGTCGTCCATGCTTATGGCGCTGGGGGAAGAGGATATGAACTCTCCTGGGGCATTGCTGGGGATGTGGCTGAATTGGTGGGAAGGGAGCTTCGGGAACAGAGCAAACCTGTGTCGAGATTGTAATATGGATTTATACGAATACGATCCGAAGTGGAATATGCTTTTGATCCATCCCTCATTATCACTCCGCATGTCACGATACTGAGGTATGGTGGCCTGTTCTGCCCGTACTGACTGCTGGTTCACGTGACCTGAGAGGGAGATTGTTAGTACACGTGAGATTCTGCCGTCCTAGACCGCCCTCGCTACCTATCTCACGGCACAGGCAGGCCTACCTAGTAATACGACCATACATGCGCCTATCCATTAGAGATATGTTGGATCACGTGTTATTCTGCCGCATAGGTCCGCCCTCGCTGACCCTTTTCACCACGTAGACCTATCTAGCTAGTTACCAAGCAACGATATACCTCCATTAGCCAAGCCGCCATACCACGTGACCTTTTCCATATCAATAATAGACAATACCATTAATTCTATCTATTCTATCAGTTATAATCCTATTCATATATCCATCATTAGTAGCATATCATCAAGACGATTACTTAGTAGCTCCGCGAATATCGACTTTTTTTTTTCTCTCCCTCCTTCATATTCATACTTCGGTACTCCCATTACCATCCTGCGGAAGCGTCTTCGCTTCACTCGCAGGCTTGTCATTCATCGCACTAGCCAACTTGCTCTTGGACCTGATAGTCGGCCCAAAGAATACAAGCACCCACGGCACAAAGGTAAGGAGTACCGCAATGCCCCCAAGCAAACTAGACGCAGGACCATAGCCCAGATTGTGAAAGAGCTGTCTCGAGACCAACGGAAAGGCACCGCCCAACATGTTCCGGCAGAAACTCTGCGCGGCGATCGTAGAGCTCGCGTATTGGTTGTACGTGTCGGCAAAGTAGTTGAAGACGGCCAGGTAAATGGAGAAGATGCCTACCGTGTTGATGCCTATGGCTATGGTGGGCACGATCCAGTGCACGCCGTACTCGGAGGTCCAGCCGAACATGAACAGGCCGATGGGGAGCATGCAGCTCTCGACACAGCTGAAGTACAATCGCTGCTCGGGGACGGTGTTCCAGTTTGGGATCCGCTCCGCGAGGCGATCCTGTGTGATGGCCAGGATGGTGGCGAGAATGCATGCCACGCAGGACGAGGTGAAGACCGCGTTGGAGTTCTCCAGCGAGAAGCCGTAGCGCACCTGGAAGACCATCGGCACGGCGGAAATGTTCATGTACAGCACAGCCCAGCTGAATGCCATCCAGAGCGAGAAGAAGAACACCACGGGTTCTGTGAAGAGGAACTTGAACGGTCGGTAGAGGGAGATGATTATCAGCCGGCCCAGGGTTGTCCGGCCCTCATCCTCGGCCACAATCCACCGGATCCGTTGGACGGTAGTTTTGCCTTCTGTGCCCTCCACGGGTACCTTATGTCCGTAGTATCCTGCTTGTTCCAGCTTTTCGTACCAGTCATTCAGCACCTTGGCTTTCTTTCTCAGGACTACCGTGCTGCGGGTTTCGGGGAAGAAGAGCAGGACGGAGAGACAGATCATACCCGCGATGATGGACTGGAAGTAGAAGATCCAGCGCCAGGTCGTGTGCTGCGCGACGAACCCGCAGATCAGGGGGCCAAAGCCAATGCCGAACAGGGAGGATCCTGCGAACATGGACATGGGCATGTTTCGTGTTTCACTGTGGTATATGTCTGCGACAATGCCTCCGACCATAGTTGAGAATGTGGAGCCACCTACACCGGCAAAGAAACGCGCAACGAGCAGTCTGCAGCATGTATGGTTAGAATCAAATCGTCTGGTATAATCCTAATTCCAAATATTTGGGGGGGGGAAGGAGGTCTAGTCTGACTCCTGGATGATAAATACATACCCTGGATATGACCGTGTAACACTCGTGCAGACCTGACAGACAAGGAAGAGAAAAGCCGTCGCCACAAAGACAGGCTTTCTTCCCTGGACCTCAGAGAACGGCGACAGCGGCATTGGGCCAACGGCGAATCCTGCAGTGAACATGGTGACACCAAGGAAGATCGCAACCTTGCTCACATGGAACTCAGCAGTCAACTGCGACAGCGCAGGACCGTAAGAGCTGGCGGCAAAGCTCGCGAACATGGTGGAAATGCACGAAACAGTCATGATGGAGGCCTTCTTGTGGAAGGGCCATTCGTATGGGGAGCCATATTGCCTGAGATTCGGAGGCGTCAGATCCGGCGTCGTTATCTCGCGCGCCGGCAGAGGCAGTTCAGTATGAAAGTCTAGGGGCAGGAAGGTTATGGGCTCGTTAGCGACGGGGTCTTGGGCTTCATCATGGACCATCTTGGTAGGGTTTCCCGGAACAGGAACAGGAACAGGAACAGAGAGCTTATCCCGATGAACCTCTCAGGCCTGGTGGGACCACCAGGAGAACAGCCAGGAGGATATATATAATGCATCATGCCGTGAACACTGAAGAGTCACCATCGTACGGTGAGAATCATGATTCATCTCGTGCTTTTCCTGGGTCTCGATATCGCTCGAAATTCGGGCCAGACTGTGCGGAAGACCCACGGCCCGCAGGACAGCCGCACTCTTCCGCTACAAATTTCGGCTTGTCTGTCTGATTCTTTCATCATCGGCCTTAGTTTCTCGGCCAGAGCCACTTATCGTCGCGCAACGCTATCAGCGCCTCCATATATATCTGCAGTAGGGTGCCGAAGCTTCTCGACTGGGCCACCGACCCGAAATGGCCGAAGTGGGTAGAGTCCGAGCCAAAAAAGCTTGCAATCCGTGCCGAATCCGCAAGCGGAAGTGCAACGGTGAGCTTCCTTGCAAGGCCTGCATTGCCCTGCAATACCCCTGTTCGTACGAGCAGCGTGTGCGACGGGGCAAGTTCTCGCGGTTGCTAGAGAAGAGAGCAAATGCGCCGCCAGAGAACATTTCCAGCCCGTCTCCATCCCGGGCCGACAAGCAACAACAGCAACAACAGGACGACCCGTCCACGTTGCCCGGTTCGCAGCTGCAACTGATCGAAGCCAATTCGCCGGCCGTCTTTGTCCGAGAGCTTGGGCTGAAAATCGCGGCGTCTGCAGCGCCGCAGCTGCGGCACTACTCGTGGAATCTGCGATATGCCACGGAGGATTTGTCATGGACTCCGCAGTATCTGACCCTCACGGAGATCCTGTCGATGGAGCAGATGTCCGAGCTGACATCCGTCTACTTCGCGGAAGTGCACCCGGTCTATGATTTTCTTGACCGGCAGCAGATAGAAGAGCTCATCGGCCCGCGGTGGATGAAAGGCACCGTGTACGACAGCAGTGACTCCTTGCTCTGTGGAGTCGCCGCGCTCGGATGCTTGTTCAGCCAGAGTCCCTCCACTCTGGAGGAACAGCTGGTCCAAAGTGCTCGACTGGCCTTGGAGCACTCCAGTAACCTGTCCAATCCCTCCATCCACCATGTCCTCGGGTGGTTGCTCCGTGTTATATACCTGCGACTGGCGGGATCTCCGCAGGCAACCTGGATAGCCACATGCACGCTCATGCATATGATCGAGACCATCCGGCTACACTTTGAACCGTCGCATCATTCGATCCTGGCTGAGTCCATGGAGGATCACGATCCCGAGCGCCGCCGGAGGATCTACTCCGTGGCGCGACTGTTCAACACCTGGGTCTCCTTCGACTGCGGCAGGTCGCCCGTTGAACTGCGCGGCGGTTCTTCTGTCCTGCCAAAGGACTCCTGGACCGTGGAGCAGGTCCAGCTCTGGCAGTCGTCCGACTTTCTGAATCCTGATCGAGCTCGCACTTATGCAGAGCTTCTGGCGGAGTTCCACCGGTTGTGCGCACTCGACCCTCAACACGGGATGCTCCAGCTAATCCAATGCAACATCGCCCTGTGTATGTGCCGGCGCGTCCGTGCTCTGCGTTTCCACATCCCAGACGACTTCTTCGAACTGTTCGTGGCATTGTCGCGGAAGAGTCTCGCCACAGCACGCAGACTGGCGAGTCAAAAGTCCCCATGGTGCCACGTCCTCAACATCCCGTTCCAGCTATCCTGTACCTTCCTGTCCTTTGATAAACAGGACTGCTTCTCGTTGCTCGACGAGGCCCTGTCGACCCTCCACTACGTCGTAGAGCAGTACAATACGAAGTCCGCGGTGGAGTCGTACCACGTCGCCTGCTGGCTCGCGACGATGAAGCACCGTCGACGATGCGAAGAACTCGACCTTCTAGGCAGTATCATTCGGAGTCACGACGCGTCACTGTCGGAGGGCGCGACAATTACCCCGGTCCCGCAGGACGAGACCAGCCAGTATCCGGAACTGAACTTGGATTTCGTGAATGAGTTCTTGTCGGATCAGTTATCTTCGCTGGATCAGTTCCCTTTCGCAATGCCCTGAATGCTTGGAATATGAAATTTGTACAGCAGTTTTATATATATATATATATACAGACACGACTAATGCGAAACTGAAGTAACTAACTAACACGTATGTTATAGCATGTTATAGCAATATAACCAAGTTTCCAAAGGATCACCTCTGGAAACACAAACACGATTAATCCCTCCTCTGTCGTCATTGATCTGTCTTTTAGGATCCAAGTACATAGCACTCCTGCTACACGATTAAGCCGATTTAAGACTCCTCCCTTCGACTCCCGGTTCCTCCTTCTCCTTTACCGAACGATCCTGAGGAACCCACTCCCCGGGTGCAGCACCGAGTGTCTCCTCATCCGCCCGCCAGAAATCCTTCTTCCCATGCGCAGCCCGTTTTAACCACGGAGGGAAGAACCCACCGGGAATCCTCCACGACCACGGATCCTTCTCGTCCTTGTTTGGAGGGACGATGCGGCCGAAGGTCGCCTTCTCGATGATCCACACGATGACGTTCAGCGTGATGTAGCTGAGGATACCGGCGATCAGACCGTATGCAATACTGTAAGTAAACGGCATGATGGCGATGGTTAGGAAGGCTGGGATCGAGTCGCCAATGTACCGCCAGTTGATATCGGCGGCGGCCTTGCACATCAATGCGCCGACGATGATGAGTGTGCAGCCCGTCGCCCAGGGTGGGATGGAAGCGAAGATCGGGGCGAAGAACACGGCGATGAAGAAGCATATCCCAGAAACGCAGGCTGTCAGGCCGGTTTTACCTCCTTCGGAAATACCGACGCCGCTTTCGACAAAGGCTGTCACTGGGGGTGTGCCGAAGAGGGACCCGATGGAGATGCTGATGGCGTCGACCATCTGTGAGTGTTAGGCATCCTGTTTATATGAATACAGTCACGGACGGGTTAAATGCTATACTTACATATGCAAAGGCAGAGCCCTCAAAGTCCTGCGTACGCTCGTCGATAGCCCCAGCAAAGCGCGCCATGGAATACAGCGTACCCGTCGTGTCGAGAATGTCAACATACTGAGAAGTGGTCAGCAAATGCAATGCTTCAGCTTCTGTTCACGGACTTCCTACCAGGAACGTGATGAAAGCCAATCCAAACTGCGAACCGTGACCCGACAGATTCCATTCCTGCGCCACCAGTGTATGCTTGATCTCATGAAAAGTCACGACTTTCTTGAAGAAATCGAACTTGTTGTCTCCTATCACTGAATGCGGGAAATATGTGACGGGGGTTGGTCGCGGCCATGAGATGATAGACACCAGTAAGATGCCCATGATCGCTGCACCCTTGACGCGGTACATCATCAAGAGCGCAGTCAATACTCCTCCGCAAAAGATGCCAATCCACATGGTGGGACTGCGCATCTTTTCAGACGCGGGACAGAGGCCGTCCTGGAGCGACTCGGACGAGCACCCTGCCAGTTCAAGAGGGGTGTCGCTTGCCCCAGTGACCAGGCCGATTCCAGCACTGTAACTCAGCCCGATGAGTGTGAGATACAGACCGATGCCTGTGCCGGTAGCTAGTTTGATCGAAGCGGGTATAGCACGAGCCAGCCACTGTCGGATGCCGAGAAGGGTCAAGGCGAAGAACACCCATCCCTCGACGAAGACAGCGGTGAGGGCAACGCTGTAGGGGATCATGCCGAAGCCATGGTGACCGACGACAGTATACGCAAAGTACGCATTCAATCCCATACCAGGCGCCATGGCAACTGGTAGGTTGGCAAGGAGACCCATCATGAAAGTCGACAGGGCCGCAATGGCAGCGGTAGCGGTGATGATATCTCGATGAATCTCCTCGACGCACAGCATATATTCGGTGTTAGAATCGCACTTGTCACCCCAGCTTTCTTTGGGACACACACAGGTGCCGCCTGTGTCTGAGGTGATGCTCGCATTGACGCTGATGATGTACGCCATGGCGAAGAAGGTCGCTAGACCGGCACGGATCTCGGTGAAGAAGTAACTTCCCTTGCGTTCCCTAGGCTGAAAAGAACTTCCATTATTCCAGGCAAACAAAATCCAGGTGGGAATAACATGAGACGTACATGCCCCGAACCCTCCAGCAAGAAGTATCTCCCAACAGGACTCCGGGCGACCCAGAGATTGGTGCGATGAACCCAGTCGGCATAGGCACCCATGATGCCGCTTTAACGTACTTCTTTCTTCTTTCTTTGCTTTCCAACGAGAAAGGAGGCACAGCGGGCCCGCGTCGTATCTTATAGACAACGTCGCACGATCACGGCCACGATGCGATGCCACCTGCAGGGATGGGATCAGCAGAGTATTACTTCCCCGGCGATCTGCGAAAGGATCTTTATTCTTTCCTTTTTTTTTTTTTTTTTTTTTTCTTCTTTCTCTCCTTATCTCCCCTACTTTTTCCGCTTGGCATCTTGGCATCTTGGCATCTTGGCACCTTGGCACCTTGGCATCTTGGCGGCTCAGCGGGCGCTGGATGGATCAGCCAAGCGATCTAAATGACTCGATGCAACGCTGGAAACGCTTCTGGAAGGGATACAATTGCAGTTACAGCCATTTAGGTCCGTCGCAGTAATCTTGTCACTCTTTTCTATTAGATATTAGATATATATTTGCGCTTATCATGTCTGGAGTTGCTCGGTACCATGCAACCCTGGTTTGCTTCAGGTCTGTCTGTTCGTATCACGATCGATGGCAGCATTGATAGTGATATGTGTCGACTGGAATAGATGTGTTCTATCATGCTATACAGCTGTGTAGTTCCCGATTTTGATCCCTTGGCGATCGCTGGATGCCGCCGACTGAGCAAGTGCCGGTTGTCTTCCCATCCGGGCGTTCCCGTTGACAGTGCTGGTGAACATCTTGGATAGTTTGTTCTTTGATGCAAGACTTGATGGAAAACAATATCTGTCTGAAGCACTGAAGTTTAATGCAACCTTCCAGCTCAGACTGTTCTCACTGCAGTAAGGTCCGGAACAAAAAGTCCAGCACTGCAGGAAATGTTGGGAAAACAAAGACGGTGAAAACCACTGGCTCATGAAACATCTCATCAAGCAGAGAAATCCAAGCAATAGAGGAGCCATTCATCAGATCTATTTTGTGAAATAAATCGGATCATCATACATGTTATGTTGCCTTGGGATTAGGTGCTGCTGATACAGTGTATAACAGCACGTGATTGGCAAATAGATATCTAGGTACTTGGTACTAATTCCTTGCGGCAAAGACAAAGGGAATTTCTACTTGTCGAGACTACCTTCTAATAAAGTCTCTCTCCTTATTTCACACCTCTTGCTTTGGAGTTCAAGTTTAACAAATAATGCCAGAAACAGATGCGAAAGACGGCCATCCCCCTCCACCACTTCGTGCTCAAGACCCTCTCTCAAATATCTCCCCATACGTAAACGTAAAGAAACCGAAAACAACTCCTTCAGCTTACATCTCCCAACCACCAACCCACCTCACACGACCGACCAGTACTCCGCCTGCACAGGGCTATACTTCTACGGCACCCTGACAGGTCCCAGCATGACCACCGAGATCTTGGTCCTAGAAAAAGAACCCGAGCCTGAACTTAGATCGGCCTATATCGTAATGCTACAAATGTAAACTATGAGGTCAGTATCCAGCGTCAGCGATGCGCCTGGTTTAGCCGTCGAGGGTGCGGCGTATCACGTCCAGACGGTGGGGGATGCGGAGAAGCTCGCTGTGTACAAGACGGGTAACTATCGCGCGGAGCCGGGTCTTATCACGTACGCTGACGGGAGGGAGCCGAGGATGGATATGGGGTATACGTTAAAGTTTGTGGGGGTTCGGGAGGATCTGAGTGAGGGGATTTTTGATCTGAGGAGGATGTGAAAGAGGATGGAGAGACAGAAGGCGTTGGAGAGGTTGGATGCGAAGCGGAAGTCTTTGATTTCATGCTTTATATATATAGTATCATATGCATTTCATATAAACAGTAACAATGACTCGTATATTATGTTCATGCCTTTGCAATTTCCAACAGCGCTGAGTAGGAGAAACGACATACAGCCCAGCGGCTTTGCAACATATTGAAGAAAACAAATCACAGAGGCTTCCGTCCCCACACAAAGTAAATCGGAACATACATGTGGAGCGAGGAATCACTAAGTTCCTTGCGGACCTTTGCTATTAATACCTGCGCCTCCTCCGGCTCCCAGCCACCGATACGAGTCAAAAATCCAGGGGTATAGGATTCGATAGCCTGCACCTGTTGCACTTGCTGGTATCTTCCGATTTCTTTAAGCTTAGGATCTTTGGGCCACGGGCCGAAGGGAAGCTATTTGCACAGATCAGCATCGACAGAATAAGCCAAATAGTCATTGAAAGACCATCAAAACCAGGCAAAGGAACTGAAAATGGCATATAGACAGACCTTGAAGACAAACTCCTTTACGTCCACAAAACCTGCCTTTTCCAACTTTGCCTTCCAAGTGGGCGCGTTGTCAGCGAGTTTTCCAAAGCTCTTGGCACTGTTCCGTCCCTCTTTGAACCAAAGTTGGTTGTACTCGGCCTTTTCATGGGTGCCGTCATCAGACGAAAGGTGTGAGGAGGAGCCCTCTATTTCAAAATAACCACCAGGCTTCAGATGCTGAAAGGCTTCACGGAAGAGCTTATCTTCGTCTGCAATACATCCCTCAAGCTCACGGGCATGGATATAGTCAAACGGAGTGCGGAACAACCAAGGAGATTCGTAGTCATCAATTTCAAATTGGCAGTTTGGCGGGACCCTATCTGGTTAGCAAGTCAAAAAAGCACTAGGCTAGGAAAATTCGCTTTACCAGGTCGGTTGTATTGGGCTTAAGTCTGTCCCAATTACATGAGCAGAAGGGTATTCGCTATGCAATACCAGTAAAGTTAGAGCAGCATATAACGGAGATAGAGGTGTGTACTCTTACTCTGCAAACTCAATGGCCCAAATCCCTGTTCCGGTACCGATGTCCAACACCCGTTGGATATTTTGGTCGATCGGTGCCTTCTGAAGCTTTCCATCCAAGATAAGACCATAAATATGGTGCAGAAAGTCCATACGATCTTGTTCTTTTTCATCGTTTGGCTAATCATGACGACTCAGTCACAGCGCCAGCTAGCAAGAAGTTGAATGGACACAACATACGACTAAATAGCTTCCCTCACGAAAAGAATGGTAACGGCGACCATTCTGCAATCAGGCAGGGATATTTAGCATTTTCCCCTTACCCTCGGGGGATCCTTCGTTTACCTCGTATCTAGAGACCAGTCGTTTTGTTAACTACCGGCACAGTGAGACCCCTTGGACATAGCAACGATAGTGATACGTACTTGTAGTCTTTGATGCCAGAACTCAGTGACGAAAGATAGCTCGCTGACCCGACGCTGGGATCTGTTAGATACACTACAGTCACCGGTCGGCGTTCCCACACTCACGATCCATTATAGGCTGAATCAGTCTCCAAACTCGCGTTTTCCTGGCATGGTTGACCCATTAGAATCGAATTTCTTCCCTACACTTGGCCATTCCTTGCTCACATCCACTTCCACTGCGGGTTGATATTCCAGACTGTCGGCCATCCTCGGAATAGATCAAGACAGACGGTGAATAGTCGTGAATCACCCAGCTAATTAGAACGCAAAAATAAGAGTCGGCTTTGTGCGTGAGTCGATGACTGAGTAACTCGGATAAGAGTCGTACACGTCCTGGAGAGTTTCCAGCTGGATGAAAAAGCAAGAGAGAACTGGACAGCTTTTGAAGAAAAGGGGGGTCGTTAAGACTGCCAATGAGACTAGCTATGAGGCGCTAAACGCCTCGTTATCTGTGCACAGTGCGCTTTAACCCTGTCTGCGGGGTATCTCACTAATGGAATGACATGGCCGGTCCGTAGGGAGGCGGGAAGTTTATTAAATTCTAACAACGATCCCTTCCTTTTCTGTTCTGAAGCATTGCAGCCAATGCTAGGTCGGGTTTTGCGCCGGGAAATCTGAATTCTTCATCCACTTGGTGGTTTTGTCCATAAAACGATGGGGGGAATATATTCTCCCAGCCGCATAAATCTGGTGCCAATCCAGATTCCAATAGGAGTAGACATTGTACGATTCAGCACACACAATTTGCTTATGCAGTGCGGACTGCTACGTGGTGTGGAAAATAAAACGGAACGGAGTCAAGTAGGCGCTTACCTGACAGCGACCCCGTGTTGATATGTCACGTGATATAGTTACTGCACCATGTGTCTTTGCAATCCGCCGTAGATTAAGCATCGTCCCTGACCCAAAACGGAAAATATTATTATCCTAGCAAAGGATAATAATTCGGCTGGACCACTCATGGTCGGCAGACGTACTCCAGCATCTCCATTCCCGAAATGCCATCTGCCCCTCAGCATATTTCCCGCAATCTGCCACCCCGCTTGATGGCGGCTCCCTGACACCCTCAGACTCCTCCAAGACAACTGTGAACATGGCTCAAATATCCCCGCAATCAACCCAGAGCCTCAAGGAAATAATCGATTCCTGCGTATCGAAACCGAATGGCGTACCTGGGTTAGTTTGTTCGGTGATTAACCGCGACGGCAACCGTGTGTTTGAATATGCTGCCGGAAAACGCGCTCTGGGTTCAAGTGACCCAATGACAGTGGACAGTGTCTTCTGGATCGCGTCCTGCACCAAGTTGGTCACGACCATTGCGGCCATGCAGCTGGTAGAGCAGGAACGTTTGGCATTGGATGACGGCGATGAGGTCGAAAAATACCTCCCAGAGCTGAAAGACATAAAAGTGCTGGTAGAGACGGCCGATGGCACGTTAGAACTGCACGAAAAGAAGAGGAAGATTACTCTCCGGATGCTACTCAGCCATACTGGTATTCAAAACCCCATGCAGATTTAGGCATTAATGTGATCGCTGAATAAGATGAAATGCTGACTGGCATCTGCTTCTCAAGCGGGGTTCGGGTACAGTTTCTCAAACGCAAAGCTGAAGAAATGGAGCGAACCCATTGGGATCAATGAAATTACTAGTGAAGAGTATGACATTTTTGGGCAGCCCCTTATCGCTCAACCTGGAGAGCAGTGGGAATACGGTGTCAATATCGACTGGGTTGGTCGCCTAATCGAACGTGTTACTAGCGTCTCTCTGGGGGAATACTTCCAAGAACATATTTTTGCGCCCTTGGGACTTTCGCGTATATCGTTCCTTCCGTCGGCCGAGATGAAGAAGAACCTTGCCGGATTACACCAACGTGCTTCTAATGGAAAGATGGAATTGCACGACGGTGGTCACGTCCTACATCGTCCCCTTGTTGTATCGGGCCCGGAAGCAGCCAAAGGAATCGTAAATGCTGGAGGTCATGGTTTGTTCTGTGCTATACCTGAGTATAGCGGTAACGTGCCCTCTCAATATGATCTATGTCTCTCGGAGAGTTGAAAAGCATGCTGACTTTCTCACTCCCTGAAGAGATTATCTCTACGCTCCTGAATTATGGCATCCATCCCAAGACAAAAGCCCAGGTTTTGAAGAAAGAGACAGTAGCCGGTATGATGAAAGACCCTCACAACCACATAATCCAATTGATCTGCTAATGATATATTTAAATAGAAATGCTCAAGAACCAGATCCCCCAATTTCCGGATTTTGGCCGAAATGGTGGACTGCCTGCTAAACCAAGCATAACCAACCCCGAGCCCGAGCTTTACGCTCAGATTAATGATCCCCCGCAAGGATGGGGCCTCTCCTTCTTCCTGCAGCTCCATCCAGAACCGCCGACCAGAGCGGTCGGGTCCGTCTTCTGGACCGGAGTAGCCAATCTCATCTGGTGGGCAGATTTTGAGAATGGTATCGGGGGCATTTTTGCATCCCAGATACTTCCATATAATGGTTGGTATTATTATTCTGGTTCCCGTTATATTCACAGCTAATCCCTCGTATCGCAGATCCCGACTTTTTTCCATGCCATAAGGAGTGGGAAAGGGTACTCTATTCCAGTCTAATCAGACCTAACTGATTCAGATAGCCCCCTGCTGGTTCAGAGACATATTGAATTCCTGTGTGTGATGGCCTAGATGTTGCTGTTAGTACACGTGAGGTTCTGCCGTCCTAGACCGCCCTCGCTACCTATCTCACGGCACAGGCAGGCCTACCTAGTAATACGACCATACATGCGCCTATCCATTAGGTTATGAGCCCGTTTTAGCTCTACGATATTGAGCTTAAAAAAAAAGCCTTTCAGATAGGCTAAATTGTGACCTCTCATTGGTCAAACCAGAAATCGAGCGCTTCTAAGCGACTCTGAACACCAGGACCGCCAACAATCGGCCCCTGAACCCCAGGATCCTTCGATCGATCCCATCCAAAATGGTGGTGCCTCGAACGCCCCCTACCACCGCTAGACGTCACCGTCGTCAGCCAGAATCCACAGATCCTTCATCAGATATAGGCTCCTCCGCCTCCTCAGTAATCTCTGAAGAAATGGACACCCCAACTGCCCCTAGAGCTCAAAGCTCTACTACAGCCAACACCATGGCATCCACACCAGACATCACAGCTCTGTTCCAGCAGATGCAGGAACAAATGCAGGAACAAATGCAGAAGCAGATGGACCAGTTCATGACTCGTTTTAATGCCCTTGAACACCATCAATCCCAATCCTCCACTCCTACAGTCCGGCATAACGCTACTCCCTACAATCATATTCAAAATAATACGGCTATTCCAGCCTCAAATCCAGTACAAAAAGATCCTTTTGATCATGTACAAGCTCAAGTTAAAGCGCTCCTACCAGACCGATGCCGAATCACACTGTCTCATGATAATTACGACCTCTGGAGTTCAGCCATTCAAAGAGAAGCCAATGTCCTGAACGCTAGTACAGTCTTGCATCAGGATATACCTCCAGTAGGATACTCAGCTTATGATGCTGAAGTATGGCATTGCAAAGCCACTGTCATGAGAGCCCGAATGCTTCATGCTATGACTGCCCAAGCCATTGACAAATTGGGCAACACATATGACCTATCAGCCCATGGTTTATGGGACCGAACTGCTACCTTTTTCGGACGTTCTACTGGTGAAGAACGAATGCTTCTCATAAAAGAGCTCAAGGAGCTCTATATAAAAGACAATGACTACCTATCCTACCAATCTGCGTTTACTAGGATAGTAGACCGCCTTCATGCTATAAAAGAAGCATCATTTGACAACCTTATTCACGACCTATTTTTTATAGGCCTCCGCGAATGGAACAAAGCATTCATTAAGAGTAAACTTGATGAAGTATACTCAACTGGACAAGGCCCTGTCATCAATCTGGACCTACCTACCATTCAAGCTCAACTCTCTATCCGTATGGGCACCCAAGCCCGTGAATCCCGCTCCCAACACGGAGGACGACGAGAGAATCTATCCGGACGAAGCTATTCCAAACAAGCATCTAACCCCATTGCTAGCTCTTCCGCCTCAAGTTCCAACACTAAATATAAACCTCAGGACCAGGACTCACGCAAACCAAAGACCCGTTGTGATTGGTGTGGTCATTTCCACCCAATGCCTTGCCTCTACAAGAACCCTGAGAAAGCCTCTGAGCATTGGCGCCGAGCCAATAAAAATACTATTGAAGCTATTCGTGCTTTACACACTGCTAAAGAATCTTCCACTGCTTCATTCTCTGAAGCAGAAACCAATGAACTGGTACCATGGACTTCTTCAGCTGCAAAAACAGCCATTGCTAAATCAGCCCAATCTCTCCAAGCTTCATGGTATCTTGATAGCTGTGCTTCATTCCATGTTACACCCCATCAAGCTTTCTTCACGTCCTATAAAACATTGAGAAAGGAGGACCTTACTCCAGCGGATTATATTGAAGATGCTCAAGGGAAGATTTCCAAACCTCATGGTATTGGCACCGTCGTCATTGATATTGGAACCGGATCCTTGATCCTTAGGGATGTACGACATGTTCCATCCTTCAATTCCAACTTAATCTCCATGGGAATGCTTCTCAAACAAGGTTTTCGTATCGAATTCCCTTCCAGCTCTCAAGTAGCACAAATCACAACCTCTTCTGGTGCAGAATTTGAAGCCATTTTGAATACCAACAATGTATTCATCCTATCAGATTGCATTTCTCCCGACGAGAGCTCCTATGCCTTTGTCACCACCCGGTCTGGCAAAGAGGCCAACCGACCAGGGGACCCTCCCAGAAAGAAACCTACAACATCCCCAAAGACTAAGAGCTCCAAAACAGCTCTACCAATTATGACATGGCATCGCCGTCTATGCCATTTAAACCAGCAGGATCTTTTACGCCTTGCCGCAGATCCTACATCAGACATTGAAATCAAAGGTTCCAAAGAACTACCACTTTGTGAAACCTGCATCCAGGGCAAGCAAACTCGCCAATACAGCAAAACACCAAGATCCCGTATGACTGCACCACTAGCCCGAGTCCACATAGACCTTGCTGGTGGCGGCCGAACACTAGATATAGAGAAGCTAGATATGCCTCTACCTTCACGTACAGGAGCCAAATATGTGATGCTTATTACTGATGACGCTACACGTTACCGTTGGGTCCACTACCTAACTGAAAGATCTGCTGCAATTGATGCATTTCGGGGTTGGCTACAACAGATGAAGAATCACCATTTCCCTGCCCCAGCCTATATTGTCTCTGACAATGAATTCTGTTCAGCTGAATGGCAGAAAACCTACCGTCAGGAAGGCATTGAATGGCAACCAAGTTCTCCATATTCCCCTTGGCAAAACGGTGTCAGTGAGCGCAGCATACGCATACTCTTTGACCGTGCTCGGACATTAATGCTTGACGCTCCCCATATACCACAGCGATTTTGGGTTGATGCTTTAAAATATGCATCAGATATAACAAACCGCCTCCCAACATCCACAATCCTATTCAATTCACCTATCCCTGGGGGGGTCAATACCAACACAAAAATCAGCCCAAGCCCATATAAATCGCCTCTGGCTGCCTGGACCAACTCACCAACTAGTATCAACAAATACCGACGTTGGGGCTGCCCTGTCTGGGTTCATCGACATGGCTCAGATAAGCCTATAAACAAGTTCGATTCCCATTCTAAATGCTGCTTCATGATCGGCCAAATCAGTAGCCAACAATACAGAGTGTGGGACCCTAAAACAGACGCCATTTTTTCAACCAATGACACTATATTTGATGAAGAATATGAGGATCCCACAACTACACCTCCACAAGCTACTGTTCCTGAAGATCCAAGTACTCCTAATAAAGAAGATACAAACCAACCCGTTGAAGATGAAGACCAGGAAATATGGCTTCGACCCGCCAAAGGCATGTCCCTAGCCTATCTCACCGCTTCAACCACTCCTTCATCTGAAGATGACACGCCTACTTCCTATAAGCAGGCTATATCTCATCCTGATGCCACCAAGTGGCAAGCAGCCATGCAAAAAGAAGTCAACCAACTCAAAGAAAAAGGCTGCTGGCAACTTATCCGCCGCTCTGACCTACCACCAGGGACCAAGGTCATCCCTGGCCGGTGGGTATACAAAAAGAAAGAAATCCCTGGTACCCCTATTACAAGGGACTACCAAGCTAAAGCTCGCTGGGTGATCCGTGGAAATCTACTTGACAAGGACTTCATGGAATCATACGCCCCAGTGGTAGATGAAAATACCACTAGAACCCTTACAGCACTGGCCACTCTACTTGGCTGGCATACTCGAAAGGCAGATGCCATCCTTGCTTTCCTAAATGGAAAAATGCCCACAGATAAACGTGTCTTTATGACCCAAGTTCAGGGATTCAAAGAAGGCTCTGGAGACCTGGTTTGTGAACTCCGCCAGTCCCTCTATGGACTAATCCCATCTGCCCGTATCTGGTATGATACACTAAATGCTTTCTTACGACAAATTGGCTTCAAAAGCTCCGAATACGACTCTGGTCTCTGGATCCATACCACCCAGACCCAACTCTATGTGACTACCCATGTGGATGACTTCAAAGTCTATGCTAAGCATGAGAACGATGCCACTTGGTTTATGGAGTCTCTTTCTGCTAAATTTGACATAAAAGAAGTTGGAAACTCTACCAAATACCTTGGCATGGCCACCTCTCAATCCAAGACCACATATACTCTCTCCCAGGCCAATTATGCTGAAGACGTGGTTGCCTCTTTTGGCCAAGCACAAGCACACCCTGTTGGGATCCCCATGGATCCTAGTTTAATAATTGATGATGACCCAGACCCTACAGTGAACATCAAAGAATATCAACGTGGTGTAGGCTGCCTTACTTGGCTAGCCACCAAAACCCGACCTGATCTTAGCCGGACAGTTGGCGTACTATCCCAATATCACGCCAAACCTACCCAAAAGGCATGGCGTGCCCTTATACACGCTATACGCTACCTTAAAGGCTCCATTAACCGACAAATTACCTACCATAAGGCCACGGAACCCATTACATCTGACCTCCTCATGCCCAGATGTTATACTGATTCTGATTGGGGTGGTCAACTGACAGGCAATCGCCGGTCAGTATCTGGATATATATTTCTGCTTGCCGGGGCCCCAATTGCCTGGAAAAGCCGCAAGCAAACGTCCGTTGCACTTAGCTCCAACGAAGCTGAGTATATGGCTCTAAGTGAAGCCAGCCGAGATGCCCTTTGGCTCCGGAACCTCATCAACGAGCTCAACGTGCTCCCTACTGAATGCCCGCCAATTACTCTCTATATCGATAATCAAGGTGCACACGCCATGGCTGAAGCTGAGCTCACCACCAAGAGATCCAAACACATCGATATACGTTACCATTACGTTCGGGAGAAGATCCAAGACGGTATTGTTAAACTCCAGGCCTGCCCTACCAAAGAACAAGCAGCAGACGGCCTGACCAAACCTCTCCGAACTGAACAATTTGATCATTTCCTACAACTCACTGGCATAAGCTAAGCCGCGTATATCTCCCCCATTTTGGATATATTTTCTATTTTGATATACGGCATTCGATTGGCTAAAGCAGAACCTTCATTCCTCTGTTTATTTTTGCATATATTCACTCATTTGAAGGCCCGAATAGAGGCCGATTTCTGTATTTAGATTGATTCCATAGTTTGTAGGCTGCTCGTGCGTGGGGGGGTGTTAGTACACGTGAGGTTCTGCCGTCCTAGACCGCCCTCGCTACCTATCTCACGGCACAGGCAGGCCTACCTAGTAATACGACCATACATGCGCCTATCCATTAGTTGCTAGAGAATTTCAATTATTTCTCGAAGGGAGGGTTCCTATTGGTTTTTGTAGGATGCTTTCTTTCACCAGGGGATCCCCCCTGCTATCTACAGGAGGATTCCAGCTGCTGCCCAACGACGACTATATAAAAGGGCTACTGGTACTCACTGCCTTTCCCCTTTTCGTCCTTCCTTTTTTCATGTTCAGTATTCATTGAAATAGATACTAAATAACAGAAGTTGCTGTTTCTTCTTCCTATTCCTAGTATCTGTAAGGGCAGCGAGAAACCGGCGAAGCTCTAAGCGCTGAGCTGGTCCAATGCCTGCCCAACAAGCGACGAAATCTTTGAGTATTTGGATTCCTTGCTTGACCCATTCACTAGGGAGAGATCAAACTGATTGTTTCTCATCAAAATGAACTCATCTTTCGAAGCACTAGAATTTCCTGGCAAAGCCATTGGTTAGCCTACCCTGTAAAGACCGTTTCCATCCTGGTGGTATGGCGTGAAAGCGCGGCTCCGTAAGTAATTTGGCAGTTTGGGATTATATAAATTAGGAGTTGATAGGGTAGTATTTAAGCAATGAAACAGATGTGAACGACATATTTATAGCTGAGATTCCTCAAGAATTCCTCGAGATATGATGTCGAAGATGTATATGCCAATGGACATTGCAGCGATCATTTCCTATCTTGGCCGAATTTCTGGGGACCGTTTTCCCACTGCAGTATCTCGCTTTCTACAGTTCGGAGTCACTTTCAACTCTGTCCTTCTTAACTCCTTCGCGTACATCCCCTCTCTGAGGCAAGATATTGATGTTAATCTGAACTGGATGTGCCTCTTATTAATGTTCACATACCAGCAAATCAAGTTACCTACTTTCCATGAACGCGCTCCCGCCGAAGTCGTATTTCCCACCACATCATCAGAGCCGCCATTGGTCATATCCTGGGGAAATGGCCCAATGAAAAAGAAGGAGCCATCAAGAGGACAAGGCTGGTAGAGTGTAAGCCTAGCAAAGTCGTACCGCTATTCTGTGTCGGCGTCACCTACTCCGTACTAACCCCGGGAAACAGGTCACCAAAGCAAGAGGGATGGAGATGTTGAAAAATCCGAGAACAGCCAGTTTTTGTTCATTAATAATAATGAAGGAACATCGCAATCTTTACGTCAGATGGTCGGAAGACATGTAATGGCCGACCATGCGCGGCGGAAGAAACGAATCCGAACCAGTCAACTTGTTCAACAGGAAACTCCTGCTTGAACGAGCAGCCATATGAGAGGAAAGGAGGCTTGATGCTATCAGAGATTGCCAATTCGATGAATTTCTGTTTAAGCTGGAGCCGTACATGCATGATCTGCTTGGTCTCTGTAAGCATCAACATGGGAGGAGTTGGGTTGAGAACATGGTCCTGTGATGTTGCTCGTCTCTTATACTGACATGGTGACAGATATAACAACTGCGTATAAGATGCTATACTCAGTTGAGAAGAACATTGGATATAGCCCACTCACAATGTACTGGTTACCTTTAGCACTTGTGCGATGCGGCCCTGCTACATGCCGTTTTGGAATGTGCCGATTCATTCATGGTGGAATCATGGAATCCTTGAGACTGTCCCATTGCTATTGAGCACTTGAATTGCACGATTCAAATGCACAACGAGAGGTTTACCGAAGAACCATTAGTCATTTCTGATGGAACAATCGCTGTTGTTTCGACTATCGCCATTATCGAGGTAATCTTTTCTTGATCCACTCTTTTGACGTAAAGGCAACGTGGAGCATCGTGGAGACAGAGAGACAGAGAACTAATCCCCACCTGGGAAACGACGGGTTTTTCATGATCATTGGAAGATCCATATGCAAGGATTGCAGCAAGTTGTCAAGCTGCGTGGAGGACTCAATGCCTTGGAATCAAAGCCCATTACTTCTTAATAAAGTGCAACGGTGAGATCTCCGGGTTTTATTTACTTATGGAAAGCTTTTTGCTTGCTTTTTCTGAATAGAGCCGATATCTGCAGATCAGTAGATAGTAAAGATGTCTTACTTTTCCGGCAATTGGAACCCGTCCTATGTCGGAGGACTTCCGATGACAATCTCCCTATCCGGTCGATTGAAGGAGCTTGATCATATTCTCGGTTTTGACGGTGACATGCGATATGTTGCCGCCCAATTAGACACGGCTGTCAACCCCTTGAATCAGGTTCATGGAGGCGATATGGGTGTTGATCCGTCCAGCGTCCGCGCATCCCTTACAGCAATACAGTACGCTCTTTCGAAGAATTATACGGACTATGGGAACGAATTGTGCTGCATGGAACTGATATTATTCGTGGTGAGTGTATTCAACGAAATGCCACGAGGGCGTATACCAGGGAGCGACAATCTGTGGACCAGGATACGGATGATGCCGCTGCAAGGAAGCAGTTGCCCTACCGCGACAAAGGTGCTGACGTGCTTATTGACTTGCGACTATGGATCTTGTTGTGAGAGTCAGCGTCGTTGGTGGGAGCAGTGATGTATGGGTCAGGGGATCGTATTTAACGTCCATCATCTCCATCGCTGCTCATCGGCAAGCACATATGGTCTCAACTGGAATCCTGTGAGGCCACGCGTTAGTTATTTTTTCTGGGTCCCTGCCATCCAGGAGAGGATTTTCGAGGAGGTGTGGAGGGAAATGAAGGGGTTTCAACTTTCTTTGGGAAATACGCCGCAACAACAGGAGTGCTGAGATGCTGCAGATAATTACTGCTTCATCTATTGACTCACGATGGTGTAATTAGGGCTAAATGTTGACAATTCCCGAATGAGCCAAAAGTGGAGCCGGATGGTGTGCCGGCAGCACTGAATCGGGAAATCACAGAGTTATGCATGGATGCAGGATGCCAATATAAGACTTCCTCGCACACCCAAGACGATTGTCTGCAGCAAAAAAAAAAAAAAAAGACAAGGTGGCGTTGCAATGTCTGCAAACCAGCTTGTTCCCCTGCCCCAGGGTGCCGGCTATGGCGTCGTCGTCGGCGTTGGCTTGGCCTTTGGCATTGGCATGGTATTGGTGAATCGCTTCCTCGAGAGATTCCTGAACGAGCGATCTGATCACACGGAGATGTATGCAATTGCCGTGCCCCTTGCATGTATTTAACCTTGCTGACATGGTTGCTAGGTTCATGGTAGCAAACCGTAGCATTGGCACTGGACTGACTGCGTCTGCCGTCATCTCGTCATGGATGTGGGCGTATGTTCATAGCGTACCCTGCATCCTTCTTCTCCATTAACCATGTCCTAGAACTGCTATTGTTTGGACCGTGGCCCAGGGTTATCTCTATGGCATCGCCGCCCCCTTCTGGTACGCAGCTGGCTGCTCCATCCAGATTGCTATCATGACTGTTCTTGCAATCCATGCAAAGGTCAAAGTACCGTATGTATTGTCTCGTTCTCGCAGTTCCTCTATTGTTCGTGTATTCCTCTTCCTAATCCTCCAAATTCCCAGTAACGGTCATACTGTTCTTGAAATTGTTCGTCTGCGATACGGTACGACTGCACATATTGTCTACATTTTTCTGTGCTTCGTCACCAACCTGCTATCGGTAACTTCAATGATTCTCGGTGCTGCTGGTGTCATTACTGCCCTGACGGGTATGGACATTGTTGCGTCTACGTTTCTCCTCCCGCTCGGCGTCATGGTATACACCGTTGCCGGGGGACTCAAAGCAACTTTTCTCACAGACTATCTGTATGTTTTCTCGATTTTGTTCAGTTTATAAATCTCGCTTATTTTAATTTACAGCCATACTTTAATTGTGATGGTGATTCTCTGCTGGCTCATGATCAAGGCCTTCAACAATCCTGCCATCTCGGGTCTAGATGCATTCTACAATGTTTTGGTAGAGGAATCAAAGAACAGGAATATTGAAGGAAACTACAAAGGGTCTATCTTGTCATTCAAATCAAAAGGCTCTATTATCTTCGGACTGGTTCATTCCTTTGGTGATTTTGCTCTAGTGATCATGGATACGAGTTTCTGGCAGAAAGGTATAGTCCTTATAGTTTATGACGAGCGATGTAGCGTCATTGACATAGTGATACCTAGGGTTTGCTGCAGACACAGCGGCCGCAATGGTTCGTTCACGGCAGGTTCATTATAAATTTCCGAGGGCAAAATGAATGACTTTTTACTAGCCAGGGTACATGCTCGGTGGCATTTCATATTTTTCCGTCCCTTGGGCCGTGAGACTTATTCCACCTAGTTGTTTGCTATATACAAGCGATTCTGATAGCTACAGGTTGGCACCACTGCTGGTCTTGCCGCAATTGCATTGGAGAAAAGATCCATTTTCCCTACCTATCCAAGGGTATGAGCACCGGTTTGCTTTACTTTAGAACACAGACTAAGAATCTACCAACAGGCAATGACAACCGCGGAAATAAACGCAGGATACGTACTTCCATACACTGTCATGGCCATCGCCGGAAAAGGTGGCGCAGCCGGGTTGCTCCTCGTGGTCTTCATGTGTGTAACGAGCACCACATCAGCCGAGTTAATCGCTGTGTCCAGTATCTTCTCCTTTGATGTGTACCGCACCTATATCAACCCCAACGCCTCAGATAAACAGGTCATCCGTGCGTCTCACTGGACGGTCATCGTATTCGGTATCTTTGTATCTGGCTTCGCGACGGCGTTGCACTATGGAGGCATCGATCTGAACTGGATGGGATATTTTTTGGCAACTATTATTTGTCCTGGAATGTTTCCATTGGCTTTTACTATTCTATGGAGGAAACAGTCCGCCGCTGCGGCAATCATGGCGCCTATCTTGGGCTTGGTTAGTGATCCTTTTATTTTCGGATATGAGTCTGTCCCTGACGGTATCTTTGAATACAGGCTACCGGAATCGGAGTCTGGCTTGGAACCGCCTACGTGTATGGTGGCGAGCTCTCTGTCCTCACCACGGAAGCCCAACTGCCCTGCCTATGGGGAGCGCTTTCTTCGACATTCTCCTCGGCTGTCTATTCTGTGATCATCACTCTTATCAGGGTAAGACAAAGAGAATATAAAAATTACAGACATCCAGGCATCTGTGACAGCCTAACTGATCTTGTTGTCCTATAGCCCGAGAACTTTGATTGGCGCGTTTTCCTACTCCTAACAGAAGTCAAAGATGAGGATAGCACTTCCCCCGATGGCGGCAGTCGTACCACAAATTGGATACTGGACACACAAGACTTGGACAGCGTAGAGCACCCATTGCCGCCAGAGGAAGTGAAGAGAATGAACCGAGCAGCGGTCATTGCTAGTATTTTCAGCGTCGTTGTCGGCCTTCTCACTTGGGTGGTATGGCCGTTACCATTGTATCGTGACTATATCTTCAACGCACCCGTGAGTTGGCTTTTCTTTTTTTTTTTTTTTTTCTTCATTAACAGTCCCTTCATGATTACAGTTCTTCAAAGGCTGGACGACCGTTTCCATGGTTTGGCTATTTTGGTGTCTACTTGTTGCCGTCGTCTATCCCATAATTGACGGGAGAAAGGTCCTCTGGAAGGCTACCCGACTTGCCTGGACAGCGATGACAGAAAAGAGGTCGAAGAATTTTGTGGACGGAGGCCAATACCAAGATTACTCGTCTGAGCATACTCTGCAGAAGACGCCTTCTGAGACCGTGAAAGCGGGTTGAACATTTGCTTTGGATGACTTCATGAAATGAGGACTATTGATACCCAATATTGATAGACCTGATATATAGGTATAGTATATATTTATGAAAAATTCGAATTTGACTTTCTGAATTGTCCACTTGGTTTTGTTTGACGGTATGAGACGAGAAACTGGGAGCAATTGACAGATTGGCAGGACGATAATGGAGGGAATGGTCTGCTTGGAGCCCTAAGCCCTAGCCCTAGTAGTAATGGCTTAGCATTTCACTAGTCCGCTTTTGGCTCTTCCTTCAAAACCCATCGACATCATTGATCTACCCATAGTTCGCTTTGGGCTGACGTTCCATTGAAACGACCTGGTTTATTGGTTTGTGTGTACATGTTTTCCAGAGCCGGTTGGGATCTCACATGGTGACATGGCGAGCCTCGACAGCCGGTCGGGTATAGGTTTTTTGTCCGTTTGTCCAGGAGTGACCCGATTTTGGACCCGTCTGGCTTTCTTTGAGACTGCAAGCATTCCACCATCTCAATTCTAAGGTTTGTTCTTTTCTTGATAACGTTTCCTCTTATCTTTTGGTTATCCTCGTATATGGCGTACTCACTCATCATACTCACCAAGGACAATAATATTTATTTATTCTTTACATCAGAACTTGAAACTGGCCCTGGAAAATGAGCAATGCTGTCAAAGATCTCCATATTGCCATTGAGCTGGGGAACACTGCCTTTTCAACAAGCTATTTGACCAGCAAGCCCCCACCTTGCAACTTAATTAAAACTCTATAAAATTCTGTAATCATTCCTCCGTTATGGATGGAATATCAATGCTGATATTGTGCCGGGGGGACTGCGAAACCCCGGATCTCCCATATTTCCTATCTTAGAACACCGTAGAGCCGCGGTCTCCGACATACTAATGTATGGTGGAGCCCGCGGCCGGAGAGTACCTAATGGAGGGTTCCCTCCCAGATAGTTACGGGAAATTGAGCATTCTTTTGGTTTCTAGGTTGCTTCACTAGTATCGTTATCATTGTATAGAGCGGAGTGAGGCTCCTTCGTCGTTGTGTTTCCTTTTATCGTTATATCGTTTTCTTGCTAAGATCGTTCGGTGCCGCGTGGTATAGCGGCATCGCCTTGGTATATCCATCCCTGAGATCCCTCGATCACAACCCGGTTCCTGTCGCAGGGAGCAACGCACGTACGCCCCCCTTTTACAATATTTCAAGTTCAATTCCCTCAGTTCCTGTGTAAGTGTCAGCATGCAAGTGATAGGTCTGTATTAGGTCTAAAAGCCCATTAGTTATAGTTTCATGTCTTGTTCAATTGTATAATACCCGACTATAACACAATATCTAGCTACAAGGATCGAGGGAATGGTCTATATAATTCATATATTGAAGGTCGGTGTGATGACCATACGTGATGACCATACCAGAGCGGATTGAACAAGTAGGGCACAGGGCTAGGGCTGAGGGCAAGCAGCTGCCCTCGCCTCCTATTTTCCTCCCCACCATGTCTTCACCCTCTTTCCTTTCCTTCTTCTTCTCCTCATGCACGATATTCTTAGACAAGTACAGCCAAATAGCGAGTTGCTTCCTTCTTTTTCTCATCCTATTATAGCTGATCGTCACAGTCGGACGAAAAGTAAGAATCTGCACGTGATTAGGGCACAGGGCCCAGAACAGCTGGGAGTGTCAGAAATAAGGAAATGATGCAGAACGTGTTGTATTAGCATTTTATTGGATTGTTTTTAATTATTATTATTGCTCCATAAGAACTCTGTATTTGTATGATCTATAGAGATCACTGTTCTGACACCGAGTCCACTGCTCTCATCCTTAACCCCTTGTGACGACTAGTACTACGAATAGATGAAGGAAATGCAATATGTGCTATTCAGTACTATTTTCAACGAATACCAGACATGAGAAGAGAAAGGAGAAAAGAAGAAGAACCGTAGGTCGCGTAGACGTATGTAAACAGGCGATGTCTAATGGAGGTATATCGTTGGTTGGTGATATGGAAAAGGTCACGTGGTATGGCGGCTTGGCTCCCTCTCCAACCCCTGAGAATCCGAGCCCCTGATTGTATGGAGAGAAAGATAGAGAGACAAGATCGGAATGGCATCCGTTCCTTAGTAGGCTACGTACGTGTAGTCGATACAGTTTCATTCTGCCCTTCTTCCCTGAGTTACATGCATATTCCACAACAGTTGGTTACTAGCTAGATAGGCCTACGTGGTGAAAAGGGTCAGCGAGGGCGGACCTATGCGGCAGAATCTCACGTGATCCAACAATGTCACGTATCATGCACGTGATGGAGCTAACCCTGAATAGGACCCGGCAGCTACTATGTATGAGACACGTCGTCACACCCCTCTTAAAGTGTTTAAAGACCTATCAGCTATATCTTTAACTTCATAATTCACTAGAATGGATGACTGTATATAATGTCCTTCGAGTAGTATACACTAAAATAAGAGGTTTTGTGGCCAGGATCTATGATGAAAATTTGATACTCAGAGCATGCATAAAACATTCCTGTCTCGCGGACTAGACAGATATCCATTGCATCAACCATTGAAATAGAGCGTACATTTAGAGCTTATAGAGCTAAGTGACATAATTTTGGTGAAATATCTTTGATGTGAGTCGGTGCAGATATTTCCTTTGAGCATAGTAGCCATGGTTTGGGTATGGATGGCTATTCCAGGGACAGATGGCCATATCGATTCGTTACCAGGGGCATCTTAAACACCGTATGATTTCGCGGCGGAATAGAATCCAGGCTTTTAGCGTATGTACCAATTGCAAAAGCAGCCGCCTTTGAGCACGTCAGAAATGCATATGGACTGAGGTTCGTCGTGTTATCATTCGTGGAATGATAATTAGGGTCGTAAGGAAAACCAGCTCTGCCTCCAAACAATTCTGCATCCTTGTTGGTTTTGATCTTTTCTGCACCCGTAAAGAGGCCTCCTACCGGGATGCCGCTTTTAAAGAATGCCGCATAATCTGAACGATTATCGAACGGGGTGCTGTCATAAGGTAAATGGAGAGACTCGAAACGATCCTCAAATAGTTGTTCGATTTCCGTGGATCCGGAAGGGCCAGCCACATCATAGGATGAGCCATCTCCATCAAGAATGAAAAACCCGTAGTTGGGAGAGGCAATCATGTCAAAATTGAGGTATACTCTAATCTTTGCGAGTTCTGTGACATTCAGCTGCGAAATGTAATACTCACTGCCTAAAAGGCCAGGTTCTTCTGCTGTCCAGAAAAGAAAGCGAACAGCATTGGTTAATTGAAAATGAGTCAACGCTTTCGCAATAACAAGATTGCTAATAGTGCCAGAGCCGTTGTCATTTATCCCAGGGCCATCTTCTGTGGAATCTGTGTGACCTCCAATGGCGACAACATTATTCGGGTCACCTTGCTTAGTCTGAGCGACAACGTTGTACGTCGACCGGTTTTCCGCCTGGGTAGATAAATAAATCTGAGCCGTCAAGCGAGATTTTCCAATTTGGCTTGCGAGTTCTGCACCATCAGCAAGACTGATGCCCACAATGGGAACATAAGGGCCTCGCTCCTTCGCGGGGGATCCAAGGGTGCCGCTGACAGGGCCATCGACATTATTGTAGACTATAGCGGCAGCAGCATGAGCGCTTGCCGCCAAGACGGCTTTCTCTGCGAAAGAACAGTTGCCTCTTTTAACCAATCCGATGCTCCCCGCAACTTCTGGGGGATAATCCGACGCACTGCAGCCGAAATTGGAGACCAAGACCAGCTCAGCGGTGACATTTCCATCAGGGCTATACATCAATGACCTCGCATATTTCTGTACCCCATCGATTACCAAGTTATGATAAGTCCTAGCCCATGTATAGGCTTGCCGCTGCTTGTATACGTTATAGTATCCCATTCTTTCTAGCTCGTCGTAAAGAAAATTCACAGTGTCCAAGTGTGCAGCACTGCCGAAGACCCGATTTCCATCAGGGTATGCGTAGGCAAAATCCTCTAAGCGTTGGGCACCTTCAAGGAGGTCGTGGATGTTTATGAGGGATTGGAGTGCATTCTTTTAATACAGGTTCTGTATCAGTTTGCAGTGACAAGAAGATTATCACGCAGAAAGAAAGATGGTCTCTTACACCGGAGACAATGGTGGCTTTGTCTGAGGCATATGCATAAACGAAAGATGCACAGAGGAGACTGAGGAGGTGAATATGGGCCATGGTCACTCCACTGTCGAATGCAAAGATAGTTCACTCTGGTTTGCACGAACTGAAGATGGTCAACAGCAGCAAGACTAAAAGAATCCAGGCTGTTTCTATTTACTTACTTAATCTGGCACTTCTGAAGGTTGGTTGAATACCTTGTAGCTTGGCTTTCCCCAGTCTGCTTGATGATCTGGAGGGAGAAAGAGGAGAGAAAGGCAGAGCAGAGAAGAAACAAGAAGGAGCAGCAGGTGACCTAGCAACGCGTGAAGTATCTTCCACAACAAGGACACCAACATACAAGTGAATGCAGCTTTACTTCCCCAATAAGAACCAGGTAGTCTCTGTCTCCAGGCTTTTGCTGTCATCTCCATCTACGCGTGTTCCTTCCTTTCACCTCTCTTCATTAACAACTGCAGCACTGCAGCCTACTGTGTTGCCTTTCATCAGCCTCTTTCTTCTCTTGTTATCCTGAAAACATCACCCATTACTTCTCCTTTCATAGAGAGAGACCTATTTCATCAGAGTGTACATTGTGTTAATAATCATATCACACCTTACCACAGTACCTCGTCTTCCTACTTAACTGAACCGCCCTGTCTCCCTAGGACAACAGTCAGTTATGCAGAGAGGCAGGTCAAATGACAACAGATCCCAGGATCCACAGATATCCCAGGCCCCAAATTTCAATAATCTGGAGATCAGAGGTGCCTGGAGTGGGGATCCCAAGAATCCAGTGGACATCCGGATTTCTCTTGAGGTAAGGGAGATGAGATCCTGCTAGCTTGATTGAAACGAACTAATCTCGATCCTTCTGGACTGCAGGTGAAATGCGTCCCAAACACAGAACTTCCGCTGCTCAATATCAGATCTCCAAACACATCGTTAGTCAAGACGTTCTCTGTCCGCCTGGAGTCTGATGAATGGGGACGGGGAAACCAGTCGCGCGACGGTCCACCACAGAGCCCTCTGTTTGCTTTCTCTTCTGTTATCTCTGAAGATGGTGATAACTCTTCCACTCGGGTTGAATGCACATCAAAAAAATCGTATTCTCTGGATTTAGAATCCTCTCCTGAGTCACAGACGAGCAATGGAGATGATGACGAGCGGTTTCGCCATCATAACGCTCGCTCCTTCAAGCAGCTCTCATTCTTACCCCCGACCTTTTCGTCAGCTCTATGCGTCAATGCCACAAAATGCGATGAATGGGACTACTTGCAGAGGAAGAGAAGCGCTACAGTAGCTCACCTTTCTGATTCTGAGTCGGAGTCCGAAAAAGGAAAGACAGGCCAGTCTAGTGCAGCTACGGAATCAACTGCCAAGGCAAGCCTCGCCAATTCTATTCCTGGGTCTGATATATCTTGTGAACCAAAAGACGACGGAAAAGTTAAGTGCCGCAGCGAATCTTCCCGACCAACGATCCCTTCTCGCTGGAGGCCCTGTTTGATCCCTAAACGAGTCACCCTGGCCAAAGAAACGGGCCCAAAGCAATCCTTATTAGAACAGCCGTCTGAGGACACGGCTACTACATTGAATGGTGCAACTGGTCTTTCTCCATGTGCTTCAGTCCAGAATAACGTTAACGATAATTTGGTTATCCCCCTTGCTGCTGCTACCATAAGTAGCAAAGCAGCCTTGACCCCGAGAACCATCGATGCGTCTCAGAGAAAAGAGACCAGTCCAGCAGGTCCAAGTGATTTCGGGCAATACGAAGTCGTCGAGGGCGAGTTGGCATGTCCCAAATCTCGCAACGAATTATTGCCGATCCCTACCGATGCCTCTATTGCAGAGAGGACAGTGGAGGCTTCAGAATCTACCACAGCATCTCCTGAGCTGTCTGCAGGGATCAAATGCTGCAGAAGTGGCTTACTTGCTTGCGAATGCAAGAATTGCCCGGTTCTTGAACAGGATCCCGAGCTCGTCCTTCAAAATGGAATTCTGTTTATCAAAAACCCTAGAGATGTCAGGCCAGCAACATACAAATTTTCCATCACCGTATCCGTCGTTTTGGTTAAGAATAGATCGACTGGATGGTTTAACTTGTTTCTTCCAGGCCTCCCTAAACTGAGCGACGACGACCGCGGATATTTCCTGTTCCAGGTCCCTGAAAAACGAGGCTTGGAATTTCGGACCACCAATCTGCAACGATATAAAATGGTGGAAAATTGCTTCTTTGCTGAGTTTGCTAACTCCGCGAATTTTGTTGTCCCATTGCGCGTCTGCAATAAAAGGTTCTATGGCGTCATCAGGGACTTTACAGTCGACCAAGAAATCAGAGCTGAGCACAACATCCGCGATGCCACCAGCACTAGTGGTGACGGAGATGGCCAAACCAATCTCTCTGTGAAGTACAACGCACTCTGTTCATTAAGATTGCACAACCGTTGCTTTTCCTCGGAAAAATGCTGTTTCTTCCTTTACGTTGACGGCGGTCCAGATGGTTTCTATCAGTGCCAAATAGATCCGCAGAGTGCAGGTCTCCAGATCATTCGTTTAAATAAGGAGGAAGAAAGGCCAATCGGTTTGTCTCATGTCAGAATTATCTGTTCTCCAAAACACTTAGAGATGTTTTGTCTGAGTTGGGAGATCCACGTCCCTGGTAAAAAGGCAATGAACTGGCTTCCCCGCATCTACCCGGCATCTGCCAGTTCCTGTCACGGTCTCAGGCACTACCTTAGACGTACATTTACGGAACTGGAAGCTAGGTCTCTAAGTGAAGAATTATACTACAATGACAAGGTGGGGAATCATGAGGAAGGGCAAGCGGAACCTAGTAGTGAGTTTGATGAAGATGGCGCCGAAGACAGTGACTACTCTCACTACAGTGAAAGCGACGAGTTCAACCCTTTTGCGCATTTTTTGGACTTCCGGTTAGATGAATGCGAGCCATCACTGGTTCTCCAGGTTATTTCGAGGATTGTCATGGCTTTGTGTCGCCCGAGCAGCGTCTTCACGGAATGGAGAGTCTACTACGTCGGAGGCTTGACTCCATCCAAGAGGCGAACTCTTCTGTCGGCGTGTTGTATCGGCTTCCTAGTGCTTCTGACGGTTTTCTCGATCAGGTTCTATCCTGCCTCTGCTGATCTCTTCGGATATTCGCAGGATCCCAACAATTCGGCACCATTGATAACTTTGAATGGCTATCCCGGTCTGGAGAGATACAACATTAGTCTGCTCAAGAACGAACCGCGGGACCTCCTGCGTGGATTCGCTAAGAATATGCTCAGGATTGCTAAGAGTGACACTCAAAATCATGATGCTCTCACCCCTGCTGAGTTGAATGTGGATATGCCTAGGACGTTGAACGATGATGAAAACGACAATGTCGAAGGCCTCGAAGATGTCACTCATTCTGGAGAAGAGAATACTGTCAAATTTCGCGTTGAGACAGAAGACATACCGGAAGAAGATGCACCTACAGTTCAGAGTCAAGAATCACCTGCTGCCTCTCCTAAGGAATCTATGAAGTCTCCCGGACCCTCATTGAGGGACAGAATCGACTATCTCCTGGGTTGGAGTGGACCAGTTTTCGATATGGCCGAGGATCATTAGGTCTCATCAAATTCCTGCTGGATGTATCAGCCAACTTTGGTGAGAGAAAGAATGGCTTGTTCATAATGGGAAATTTTTATTTTATGATGCCTGGCAGATGATGATTCTTGACGGATTTGGTTCATAGGATCAATCAACTATTAATTCCAGGTGAAAGGCAGAATATTATCTCTAATCTATGTACTCATGCAGCCAAATGGAGAAGTGAGACTGTCATTAAACAGCTCTCCATCTTTTCTCTCTCGTTTCCCAGTATTTCATGACTTCTTCCACAGCCCACTTCACGATATCCACCATAGGCAGACCACCTCCCCCTGGAGCAACCGTCACACCGGCATCAGTCCTTACATTGGTCCCTTGACCTACGCTCTTGACCAACTCATTATCATCCATTGTATCCACATTGAGGTCCTGTCCCTCCCCTTCCTCAGGCAAAAGCAACCACGAGTGATCACGCACATAATGTGGCCAGACAATATCATCCACATAACCAGGCGGATCAGTCCAAAAGTTCTGGGGAGGGCTATCATCCTCCTTTTCCAAATCGACTTCATTCCCAGTCTCTTCCTTCGAAAGCTCTTCCGAGACCGAGTTCCTCTGCGGCATGTTCGTTGAGATAGATACAGAACCGGGCTCGGGCTCTGGCGCCGGTCCGACAGTCACGTACCCGCTTCTTCCCTCACGACGCTTCTTGACTGAATCATAAGACGCGGGTAAAAAGAGATGGAGATGGATATTCCTATGAATAGGATGGAGGACATGATTATTACTGTTGTTGTTGTGCTCATCGGGAGGACTGTAAAGCAGAAACCCCTCCAGAAAAGCCAAGGTCTTCGTTGTCGTATTCAATTCCGACGACGTCAATTCTTGACCTTGTCGTTGTTGTTGTAACTGCGCTTCCGCTTCCGCCTGCAACAGCCGTAACCTCTCCCTCACCAACCCCCTCAACCTAACAATCTCGTCCTTGTCAACCCCCGAATCCGTCGCCTCGTTGAGATCCTCCTTGCTCTTCAACCTGGGCGGCAGAGAGCCATGTTTCCGTACGTACGAGAGCGATGACGACAGGAAGGGGATATCGATGGCGTTGATGGTGTCCCAGTCCTGAACGATTTTTCCTGAGGAGGTCTTTGTGTACGGGATGCGGTTGTCCGGGACATAGAAGTCGTCTTCGTGGATGATGAACGTTTGGAGTTTTTTGCTGTCAGTATCGTAATTATTGTTTTGGGAACTGCTCAAGGAGTCTGTGGAGTCTGTGGAGTCTGTGTTCACGTCTAGTCCGGAGAAGATGCTTTGAAGCAATCGTGCGAGGGTTGTTTTGCCACTTGATGAGGGGCCGGAGATGCCGATTATGAGCGTGTTGTCGGCTTGGTCATCTGTTGCTTGTGGTTCTGATTCGGGCATTTTTTTTTGGTTCCTTTCAGCTCCTTTCCTTCGTGGTCCTTCGGTGTTTATCGGTTTACTGTCAAAAAGAACTGGGATGGCAATAATTAACACACTACCGAACAGGATTCCTGCGAAATCGAACGACTTTCCCTTTCCGCTTTAGGTCCAACTTGGCGCCGCTTTTTGCTCACTGAGCGGCCCGGAGCGTGGGGTGAGCACAGAAGTGCGTGTCCTGAGCGATCCCAGATTATTCCGGGGGCGAAAACAAAAGAAGCTGCCAACAAGAATAATCCGGGAGTGACCGGAGCAGCCGGTGCGTGCTCAGTGAGCGACAAGTGAGTGTTCCGGAGCGCACAGGGAGTGCTCACGTGCAGCCCTCACAAAAGCGGCGGCACCCGTATTGGGCAAGTGGACGGGACTTGCAGCAGAACATTTCAGTTATATACTACAGTGTAACATGTAGCAAAGATAAGATGCGGGTGTGATGCAAGATTACCAGAAATGGAATGGTTTTCCTGATTATATGCATGGCATATGCTACTGCAGTCAGCGTACAGTGTAGAGTACAATGGGCAGTCATTATTAACAGTATGTATTGGACAATATACTCCAATTCTTAAAACACTCTTTGTTCATGGTATCATGCCTGGTATCCTGCAATAACGCCAAACTCTCTATCCTTCACCAACCACACCCTTTTTCACTTATAATATACTTATTTTACAATATGTTCAGCTCATTATCAATGTCCATGTTGCAACCATAGCAATGTCCGAAATTAACCCAGTCTCAATCGAATGGACCAAGCACGGAATTGGAATGGCCACCCATCCCTGACGAAGACGCATTCGAAGAACTCCCACCGGGAAATAATTGTGGGGTGTTGCCAAGATATACCGGTGCTGGCCCAGATATGGGATGGAGAGCAGGAGAGTTAATGCCTGGAGAAACCTGGCCGGGAGAGCTGCCGTTGGCCAATATGGCAGGGAGAGCTGAGGAACGTCTACTATTCCTTCGATATCGGGATGTCGGCGTCATAACAATCCCATTTTCATTCACGAAATTGGCACTGGGCATCTTCCTCTTCCGCTTGGGCTTGAGGAGATCGGCAAAATCAGGATTGGGTTCAAGATCAGACTGGATCTGAGGGATAGCGTCCAATGCCAGAGCGACTTGTTTCCGCTTTCTAGGCTGTTTTGTGGGAGAGATCCAATCTATGGATGGGGCGCGGCGCATGTCGAGCTTTGTATTGCCGACCTGGCCCCCGTTATCAAGACTACTATTAGCGTCGCCATCGTCTGGAACTGGAAGCTTGTGACGACCGAATAGGCTTGCAGGCTCCGGAAGGAGAGCCGGACCAGCAGATTCCTCGTCCCCTGTCATGGGAATGTAAGTCTCATTTTGGATAATGGAATTCATGATGGTATCGTCCAACAGATCCCTTTCTGCATCTTGGATTTCCGTGTCGGTCATTTCCTTTCTGCGTTTCAGGATCTTGTCCTCCAGGGTATCCTTGAGGACAAGCGTCTCGACAAATACCGGTCTGGTCTGTCCAATGCGATGTGCTCGTTTAATCGCCTGGCTCTCCACGTTCGGTTGCCAGATCGGGTTGATGATAAACACACGGGACGCGTTGGCAAGATGCAATCCGTGAGAAGCCTGGCGCAGATCCATCAAAAGAACCCGGATATCTTCAGATTCACGAAACAATGATAGGTATTCTGCCTTTTGGTACGCTCTCAACGTACCCGCGTAGATTCTGAACTGGATCCCCAGTACATCTAGGCCTTCAGCAATCCAGAAAGCAGAGTTATTATTATCGTAGAAAATAATAATCTTTTCTGTTTTCTGAAACTCCAAGACCTTGCTCAAAAGATAGCTCAACTTTGCTGACGACGTGCCGACCAGCCTCGTCTGCGTAAGCGGCGACTCCGGCGACAAAGTTTTGTAGAGGCCTTTGGCAAATGTCTTACTTCGCGGGGATTTGCTGCTGGGTTTTGTTTTGGTGATCTTCTCTGGGCTGGAATTGTTGCTCTTTTTGGCACTCCCTGGCTCTGAAGTATTATTGGGACTAACCCCCGCTCGCTCAGTCAGTTCACGACGTGCCCTGATACCAGCACCAGCTAATCCTTCAGCCGGATCGTAGGAGGTCAGATTAGACGTAATGAATTGCTGGGCCATTCGAATCTGGGAAATGCCGAGAAGCAGAGGCTCTGCATCAGGACTTGACGGGTCTAGTGCCCACGTAGCCCTGGCGTGAGACGGAAAATTCTGCACGTAAACACCTAATTCCTGTAATTGAACAAACTCGCTCCGGCTGCTAGAGCTGATTGCCATTCTAGCAATTCGAACGCCTTCGGTCAAAAGCTCAATTTCAGCTGGAGACATCGTATCTCTGTTCTTCTCGAGATGGCCAAGAGCGGATTCAATCGTAGCTGGAATGTCCTTATCGGAACCAGCCCACCAGAAACCGGCTTGTCGAAGGTTACTGACTGTGAGACTGAGATGCTTTCTGTTTCGAGGATGGAACATGTAGTCCTGGTCCTTCCGACCAGACGTGATCGCATTGACAGCGAGACCAAATAGGAATAGATTGATAGATAGCCTGTCGTAAAATGTTGGCTCGAGATAGACGACCTTGTTATGCAGCCTGGGAAGAGGAATCTCTTGGTGGACAACGTCCAAACGATGCCGCACGACAAGACTCTGAAGAGTAGCCCGCAGTGAGGGTGACTTTCGACGCTTGCCAGTCTCATCGACGATTTTGACGTATTTAGCCCACCTGGCCCGGTCATCCGCACGAGAATTCGACCAGGGTTTCAGATCCAAGAAGTCCACAATAATGAGCCGCAACTTGTCAAGGTCCTTCAGTTCGTTGTTTATGGCATTTCCGGTCTTCTTCCGACCACGCAGAAGACTGGAGGTTGCTTCCGGTAAATCCGTGTCGGTGGTCACTGTTTCTTGTGACGCCAGGCTGACTTCTACTCCATACAGTCCGGTCGATGGAGTTCCCGACACCACCCAACGGCGCTCAACCTGGAGCTTGTCTAGGACCTGAGTCATATTATTTCTCTGGCCATGACCAGCAACGTTGTGGCCCTCGTCCACGATGATGCGCAGCCAGTGAAGCTTCATCAACGGAGAATCCCCAGTATCTTTTCCTGGAGATTCTTGATACTCGCTGACTTCCCCAGCTTCTTTCTCAAACCGGAGTTTGGAGAATAGTAGGATGTCATACTGCAAGAGCTCGTCGGGCGACGGGGTGGGATCCGAACTGTTTCGTAGAGTGAGAACCTTCAATCCTTCAGTATGATGGGCAATCTCGTGTTCCCAATGCTCGACAAGGTTAGCCGGAACGACTACCAGAGTTCCGGAGCAGAGACGGAGGTGCTGAGCAGCCGGTGAGGGATAAGCCATACTCTTCCGTCTGTGCCTTGATGGTGGAGGTGGTATGCTATACTCTCCACGATTCCTCTCACAAGCCTCTATGCATCTACCATAAGACATCCCCAATTGACTCAACGTATCGAAATAACTCTTCCACGGTAGGGAAAACCGGCCAGCTGCTGCGGCTGACATTTCAACAAGGGAAGCAGTCTTTTCGTGAACGGGATTCGTTGTCTCCTGGTACTGGGCGGGGATTCGAGGGAAATGGCCTCGCGTTGCTAGAATCAGAGCAAGGCAGATGAGTGTCTTACCACAACCCATGGTCTCGGCAAGAATCCCTCCACAGGCCTCTGAATAGAGTCTTTTCTCGCTGACAAGACTCCCTTCCTCTTTATCGTAATAGTATTCCCGTCCAGAAGGTCCTACGAACCTCTGCAGTCTGGGATCTAGCACCTGCGCTGGCTGGGCTTCCCGCTGCACCATTGTAGCCGCAGAACGACGCTGGTAGGGATAAAGAGTCGATTTGAGACCCACCACACCCGAATAGCCCTGTTCACTGTCGTCTGTCGGGGTCGATAGTAACTCCTCCATGGCCCTCCTGGCATATGGATCCTTCATATTCTCCACATTCGGATCTGGGTCCTGAAGGGTATTAAAGATGTACCATAGAGACTCGTCCTCCGAACCATCTGAGACCACGGTCTTCGAATCTACACCATTCGCAAGACGTCTCCCTTCCCATGCATCAATCGACTGATCAATCCTAGCCATGACAACCTTCAGTGCCCGTCGCAGGGGCGGACTCGATCGCTGAATAAGCATGCGACAAACATCATCCGGCAAAACATAGACACGGATATGGCACCACTCCGGCTGGCCTGTGTAAACATAGGAGCTGGTTCGAATCCAGTTGCGCATCTCCAGATTCGCAACCTCAGACTCGGGAAAATCGTCTGAATCGATGTCAAGTTCTCGTCCTAAGCTTGAGCCATCCATACTGTATTCCGCATTGCGCTTTCTCAAAACGCCAACGGCGATGTACGGCCCACTCTCCGACTGCATCTTTGTTTCGGACCTTTCTAAGGATCCTTCGGACTTGGCTTCTGATACGGGCGACGGCGATGCAGGTGTGGGCATAGAGGACGCATTCGACCCATCGACATCCGAAGAAGATCCCGGGGAAGACTCGCGCAAAGGAAGCGGAAGCACCACAGCCACAGCCTGATCCATTGGGAGGATCGGAAACGAATCCCTGCAACTTGCAAATGAAAAGAGTCAGAATGAATGATAAATTTCAACAGATCTGAGGATTGAAAAATGTCGGTTTGGTTCCCCCGGAGAATGTAGTGAGAATGCGATAATAGCGATAATAGCAACGAACCTGACTCGACAGGTCCTTATTGATATGATAATAAAGAGTCTTAATTAATTTCAATTACTGCCGGCATCGCCTTGCAAGCCCTTCTTTTCGTCTCTTCCTGGAGCTTTGGCTCCCTTTGACGATTGCAGCTTTTATAAGCTCGAGCTGAGCATGGGCCGATATATGATTACTCCGCAAATGGTAGATAGTTAATGATAATAATCAGCAGAAATCCAGCGAGAACGGTGTTACGGTCAGAATATGGACGGCTGAAATGTCACGAGGGATAATATAAACAACAGGAAAGAGAAGAAAGAAGCCTCCAGTCCCATAGTCGTCGCCTGATGTCGAGAGGTGAAGGAGATGGCTGAGTGAAGGCAGAAATGTCATGGCGCGTTCGGGCAATAGGTTTCCGTAAGCGGTTTAGCCTGTTTACTTCACTCCTGACGCCGCTCCACAGAAAGACAATCATTTAAGAACAAGAATGACCCTTGTCTTAGTTATTTCCACGTTTAATCAAGTATAATGAATCCTCAATTTTATTCTCCAATAGTAACCCAAATGAATGCGAACAGCAATGACACATAGACAACAGACGCCCCCTTGATAATATATCTAGTGCTAACTAACTCCGTACCAACCGCAGTATACAACACTGCAGATTACATGATCATAAATGATAAACATAACATGAGCAGGCTCTCGCTGCCCTTTAACCGTGACCGAACCCAAAAAGGGAAGACAAGATAAAATGGGGATAACCAAAATACAACACTATCACTGGGTAAGGTAATCCTCGACCTCAAACCCAACGCGTTTCATCGCCTTCTCTTCAAGTTCCCCATGAGAATCCAACGGTCTTCTTACAATCACCGTGCGTGCATCATTAAGACGCACCTCAACGGGGTTTCCCCCTCCGTATCGAGTGAGCTCATCTCTCTCGCATTCTCGGATATACACGGTGATATCCGGTCCGACGCATGCACGCCAGAGGGTTGCCATCCATTGCCAGTGGTCTAGAGGTGCGTATTCGTCACCTAGGGGAATCGAGCAGGCATATGAATCTGCTGTTGTCAGCTGGTATCGAGGAACCAGGGCGATCGGGATGGAATTAGGCGCTGGCGTGCCGGATGACGAACGGGGGGACGCTGAGAACTCTGATCCACCATCGCTGGACTGCAGGATCGGAGAGTTAATTGTCAGATTGGCCGTCTTTGGGATAATAGTTTTAGGGGAGACTCCCGAGCGACTGTCTAATTCAGACCTCGCCTCAGACCACTCATTTGTCCCCTTGATGAAGTCGACGATCTCTCCAGAAATACGGTGCCAGCGGGAAATCAGGTCGAAGTACTCAGTCATGTAACTACCCATCTCTTCTGGCTTGGAGGGCCGTTGTGACTGGACCTCAGGGCCTTCGAAGATACGAACAGTGTATTTTCCTTCCCTTGACAGACTGCTGTGGAGATAATCGACCATTGACTTGACCGAACCAGCGTCCTGTCCATCGACGGCTACCACCAGGCCCCGGGGCGAAGTAGCATCGCGGAAACTAGGTGTAAGAGGCGGAGAGATCTTGGCCAGGACCTTTATTTTATTAAGAAATGGGATCGTCATCACAGTAGCCTCCATATTATGTGTATCTCGTAGGAAAGGTGTAATGGGTGTCGAGGCCATTACCGGCCCAGCCGTCTGTAATGGTGGCAATCGAAGGCTAGTATCATGAGCTGGATGTTCTTTAATGTTTCGGTATGGTCTTGGTGGATGCAGCGGCTGAAGTAGACCCCGGAAGCCCGGCATGTCCGCGCGTGGTGAATAGGGAGTAGCTGGATAAGGCGATTCAGGGCTTCTGTCTCGATGACCATTCCCCCTGAAGACGGCCTGGGAATTGAATCGACGCCGTTTACATTCTGGAGATTGGTCCCCACTCTCTTCAAGTTGACGTTGCCGGGAGGCTTTGGGGTCAATGGCCACTGGCGTCGGGCCACGCCCACTGTCTCTTGCACGACATTGAAAACTCCGAATGGAGAGAATGTTGGGATGAGGAGACGGAGGAGACGGAGAGCTCATACTGGCCTGCCGGTTGATCTGGAACAAAGCATCTGGAGAGGGAGGAGGTTTCATCAACCGCCCACCACATCGGTTACATATATTCGAGCCAGAGTTATGACTTATTCCCGCACTCGAGCCACGAGAGCCATCCCGACCATACCGCCGTGGCTGGTATCTATAATCTGGATACTGCTGTTGGTGCCGAGCCTTCTCTTCCTGCTTACAGAGATCAGCGTCTCATTGTCCCTAGCAGAGGAGGAAGGGAGTACAGGGTGTTGACCTGTTATAACTCACCTCGGCCATAGCCTTCCACTCATTCTTGATCTCATCAGGTAGAGCCCTCCATTGTTCCCCGATGATCTTGGATACTTCGGGATTTGCCAGGTTTGGATGCTGGGATAGCACGGATTCCTGATAATGCTGACGGTAGAGTATGAAGGCTGCCGTAGGTATAGCCGACCCAGAGTTAGAAACAAGCCAACGGACTGGAACGTCGTGGCCAAACTTACCGTTACGGGGCCTCGGAATCTTGGGGTCTGGTTGACAGAGACAGAACTGCACAGTGTCTTTCATGGTAGCTGGCTTGCCGGAACTGGAGGATGAAGATCGTTCCCGGAAAGCGATATCCTTGGTGAGCGACGGCCCAGCAGACTTGGAAGAGTGGTCGACAGAGGCACTGGTAGCAACTTTATTAATGACCACCTTGGCCCGGTTCATCTCAGAGAGATGCTGTTGCTGTTTCTCAGCAGCAACACTTCCGCTAACATTACTGGGCCGTGGATAGGGCGACGGCCCTTCAGAGCCACCATCGGTGGCTCGATCCCCCAAAGCCAGCTTGGAAGGCAGCTCGTCGTTCATAACTTGGGGTTCCAAGAGGCCGCTCGCGGGTCTGTGAATGGATATCGGAGAAGGTTCATAACTGAGTCCAAGGGGTTTGGGAAGAACTCGATCGAACGACATTAGATAGAGTACGAGGGATAATCGGCTATGGGATAAATGGGAATGAAATATGGGTCTTAAGTTAAGCGAAATAAGCAGCAAAGGCCAGCGGCTCAAAGGAAAAGCATGAACCCTGGAAGGAATCCCACAGATGGATTGCGAAGAAAGAGACACAGCATAAGCTTATTATAGAGCAGGAATCTGCAGTCAGAGGAGAGGTAGACAGAGACAGAGGAAGAGCACGGTCCATTCAAGATTACTCTCTTTTTTTTTCCCCTTGTGTCCTTTCTGTTCGTTTCCCCCTTGTTTTGTCAGGCTCCAATGAATAATAACGCTGCTATTCAAAGTGCCGAATGGTGGGCAGCAGCATTGTATGTTGTACCAGGATGGCTTTCGCGGTCCTTTAACGTAGACCGTCCATTGCCGATCAGGGATTGGCGGGATTGTTTTTGTCTTCCTGACTTATTTAAAAGTTTTTTTTATCATCTTCCTTTGTCTTTGGTCGCGCCAATGCAGACAATCGTCGGACCGAAGTGGCGGGTTCAACAATTATCCTGCGAACAAGACACAGACGTCGTATTCGCGACGGCAATGACTGGACAATGATCTCCGGCTTTCTTTATTTGAATTCGCATTTGGATTTGGAATTCCTTCTCTTCCTTTGCCGGATGCGGAATGGGCACCTGGCAGGGATGCTGCAAGTGGAAGATACTGCGAGTGGAATTGCGGCGCATCGGCATTGTGCTACACTCTGCAGGCATGTACAGGGGTCTAAGAGACATGCACACGGCGATTGGCCGCTGTTGGGCTGCTTCTGTTCTTGTTGGAATTATGTTTCTTTAAAGACTGCACACATGGACTTGCGTGGAGAATGTCTAGGCTTCTGGACAAAAGATTTTGATGGTTGTACTGATAATCCTTGTCGTCACCCACGGTCCCCCCATGGAGAACAAAGAGAATTGCCAGTCAGGCAGTAGGTATTATTAGGCAGCCTGGATCATCTCACTCTGACCCAATATGTTTATGTCTCAGAAGTATTTGAAACAGCGTGGAAGTTGGAGTGGGATACTTAACACGCGTGGTATGACTTGACAGATTAATCCTGCCTTGCAAATATACGGCAAATCGCACCGGAGATACTGTCAGTCCAAGCTACATATTCAAATCCTCAAGGTTACGGTGGAGAGCCTGTGGCGAGTGTCGCTCGACGAAACTGTGCCTCAGTAGCGTCGCGGAGAAAATCTCCCGACTCCGGCCGGCTCCCTGCAAAGCCGTTTCGGGTTGCTGGGTCCGAGTAGTAGCACAAGCGGTCTGCAGCAGGATAAGTGTCATGTCCAAACAGCCGCGGGCCTGACTCTCGGCCTCTCCGTGCGGGCGTTTGCTCTGCCGCGGTCGAACCGGGAGCGTGCCGTTCAGCAGACTAGGCGGAAGTAGGTCTTGGTCTTAGACCAAGTTGATCCCATTGCGTACGGGAGATGAACCCGACCCGGCATTTTGTTGCCCCAACCAAAGATTGCTGATGCCATCAAAGATCTCTGTTGCCATCAGCCGGTGGAAGGAAGGACCAACACTCTTCTCGTCCCTGACGAAACGGTCAGTCAATGCGTTCTAGCAAAGAAGCTATACCTGCAGAAGCCTCACCAGAATAGGTACTTCTCCGGCTTCGCGCATCGTTCACTCCGATACATCATCCAGCTCTTTCCACGTGAGACACACGGGTCTTGAACATTCTCCCATCCCGGATTCTCATTCTTTCCGAGACCGCTTGTCTGCACAATACCGGCGGCGAAAAGTTGCCTGTCGCGAACCAGGTCGGCCATGAAAGCACTAGTGTCGAAGAGATAGATCACCCCATTATTCCATTTCCTTGCAGCTTCCCGGAGATTGTTGTTCCAGTATTCCACGATTTGTACAGCGTTCTTCTGTCTATCAACGCTCTTCGGTTCGAATGCAGGAAGGAAGCTGACGTCCACCGGCAACGTCAAAATCACCTTGGTCTCATTACCAGCTAATGTCTCTGACAGCAGGTCCATCTGTTCCATTATCACGTCAAGTTTGTGGTCTATGGATTTCGTAGCCTTGTTGTAATCCTTATCTACCAGGAACCAGAGATCCCAGAGACCAAAGGAAACAACAGTGATGGTATTGTTTTTGCGTTTGCGGATCTCTTTTTCAGACAGGTCTTGTATGATCTCCTGCTCAGCCGCTATCCACCGTTTTACTTGGCCCTTGAAGTCAGCCACCTGCCACTCACGGACATCCTCCGGGAGTTCGACCTCGGAGTTATCCACAACAGAGCCAACGAAGTCGCCAGCTGAGAACTGCGCTGTCTGGGCCAAATTTTCATGGTGGCACGAGAACTAAAGCCACCCAGGAATCAAAATGTCAGTCAATTCATAATATACAAAAGGATTGATGGTCCATACCGAATCACAGAGCAAATCTGTCCACACGCGGACCTCGCCAGAATTTATATCACTCCATGAATCCCCGAAGACGACTAATCGCCTGTTAAATTCCGTAACAGTTTAAAGGTCCCCGATCTGTTGCGTGTCATAACTGACGCTTGAATAGCGATATCTGTGGGACACCAGCAGCCAGAAGGAAACAAGAATGCTGCATGCTGCCAGGGCACAGAGGACATAGAATTTATCGAACAGCGTCATCAGAGAGCGCCGGAAAGGAAGCGTACCTGCTACCTTGTACCCGGGTAGCCTAGGAAGCCTGCAACCACGGTATGGACGATCGCTTCTCGATTCCATCCCTTCTCTTTGTTCCGCAGGGGAATCCAATTGCGCTCTCACGTCTCGACGCGTTGAATCCGGCGTGCAGTCATAGGCCGGGCCCCCCAAAAAAACGGCACGAGTATATACGCTGCAATGGAAATGAGACGGTAGGAAAGTAGAAATACGGGGCACGAGACCCGATACTTATTTCGGGATTATCTTCACTTGGAAGTTGGGTCAAGGACGGAAGACCGGAACGTTAGTGTTTACCAAGAGTTCATGTCTTATATCATCCAATACATCATTGGCTTCGAAATAGTATGGGGGAACAGGGAGCTGTAAAGGGGGCATTATTATTATCAACCCACACACTGCTATCCAAGGATGGCCTGTAACCAATGACGTACGCAAATGTGGCGCTCAGTCTTGGCAGACTCGGGCCATGATATGCTTCACCGGACACGCGCAGAAGGATGACGAACTCTTGCAATATCCAATAATGGATGCGGCAAAAGTAGTTTCTGATTCTGTATGTATAGCGCTATACAGCTTCTTCCGAAGATAGATTAAGGAGATCTGATTTTGATGAATGGCTCAGTTGTTCGATGGTTCGCTGCATTGAACGCGTTAACAGCTGGATGGAGACGAAAAGAGACACCAACAACTTATGCTGTACACTGTAAATCCGGGTGATCATCTAGAAAGCTCCGTGCTAAGTGTCGGCTTTGAGGGAGACTGTCATATTTACCGTGGCATTGCATTCAGCCACTGCCACTTCCCGGTCACTCTCGTCAGCTTGATAATGGCCCGAGACCTTGGCGTTTGGAGACAGTCCGGTCTTGGCTAAACTCTTATGCGGCCACATAATAATACTCGCGGCTCGCCGCACTAGTATTCTTCTGCATTCTGCCGCGATAATTGGATCCTGGGCAGCCCGCCGAGAAATAAGCGAATTCCATAACTGCCGCAACCAGAATGAAGAATCCGCTATTCTTGGAATTCTTGGGAATGCTGGGTGATATTTGTAATCTTCTGAAGAAACAGGAGCTATAACGATGCAAGACGATTCGGACAGTCCGAAAGCAACAAAAAAAGGGTTGCGCCGTGCTGCAAGATGCTGGCGTCGAGAAGGAAAGCCGTAAAGCCGTAAACATCCCGACTCCGAATTTATCGGCAGTAGAAAATGATGCCTCATATTTGCCTGAGCCACAGGGCATAAATTAACTGACATAAGCAAGCCCTACCCCGAACGGCGACTCTTCCCAACACGGCTAGCTCGGCTTAGTCATGCTCCCGCACAATGCATCTCGCTACACCACCAAAAATTCCCACGACGAACGAATCTCCGACGACTATAACTTCCTCGACCAGTCGACAAACCCGCGCCTCCGTCTTGACCGCGCAGCCCCGTCAAGATGAAGCTCAACATCTCCTACCCGGCCAATGGGTCGCAGAAAATGATCGAGGTTGACGATGAGCGCAAGCTCCGTCCCTTCATGGAGAAGCGCATGGGAACCGAAGTCAGCATACCCTTTCTATCCTGCCCTTTTTTTTTGTCGCGCGACGAGACACCCAGATATGAAACACCGCATAAGATTTAGAAGGATGGAGCAAGAAAGAAGAGAGGCTGATTGGGTTTTTTTTTGTCAATAGGTTCTCGGTGACTCCCTCGGCGAGGAATTCAAGGGTTACCTGTTCAAGATCACTGGTGGTAACGACAAGCAAGGTATGATCGGACCTTTCAAGGGGGACTCGGGGAAAACATGAAATACGAATGCGAAATTGGAATTTTTTTTGTCTATGGAAACATTAAATGGCTGACTGGATTCCTATAGGTTTCCCCATGAAGCAGGGTGGTATGTAAAATCACCCAACCCAATGATACAACCCGGTTTCGGACAGAAAAGCTCATTAATTTACGCAGTCCTCCTCCCTACCCGTACCAGACTGCTTCTCTCCGACGGCCACAGGTGAATAGCGACCCATTCAACATTGCGAGAATTTGCGATTCGGAGGAACATATACGCTAACAGTTACAACAGCTGCTACCGCCCCCGCAGGACAGGAGAGAGGAAGCGGAAGTCCATCCGTGGTGGTATGTTTCCCGAAATTCCCGAAATCCATAACCAGGATAATGTTCTTGGGAAAATCTAGCAGAGACAGTAATGTTGACGCTTTCTCTCAGCCATCACCGGTCCCGATCTGGCTGTCTTGGCCCTCAGCATCGTCAAGCAGGGTGAGGGTGAGCTCCCAGGCCTCACTGACACCGTCGTTCCCAAGAGACTCGGCCCCAAGCGTGCTACCAAGATCCGTAGCTTCTTCGGCCTTGACAAGAAGGACGATGTCCGCAAGTTCGTCATCCGCCGCACTGTGACTCGCGAGGGCAAGCCCGATTACACAAAGGCCCCCAAGATCCAACGTCTGGTCACCCCCCAGCGCCTCCAGCGCAAGCGTCATAGGATTGCCGTCAAGCGCCGCCGCGCTGAGGCTGCCCGCGAGGCTGCGTAAGTTCAAATTCTGATTAGTTTTGTCTATGAATTCATTCCAGTGGCTAACAGATGTTTTCTTTTTTTTTCTTACAACAGTAACGACTACGCCAAGCTTCTGGCCGCCCGTGTTCACGAGGAGAAGGCTAAGCGTGACGAGCTCCGCAAGCGGAGGGCGTCTTCTATGAGGAAGTAGATGATATTCTGCGGGGAAGGGGAATTAATGGATAGGTTAACGTCTTGATTACGGCTAGAGAATTCCTCAGCGGAAGGGGGCTGGGGCTTCTTTTTTTAGCTTGTTTTTAAATGTCCAACGCAGACGGAGCCCGGGAGCAACGGAACTCTTTGGGAACTATCTATGGAAACTGAACAATGGAGTGCAAAATTTTTAAATTGGGTTGATGGGCCAATTTTCCTTGTCTTATTCTTTCTACCAGCAGCAATGAATGATTCCGCAAAGAGCTTGGGTTCTACATGACTGTAAACCCTATACATTGATTGCAATGACAGATCCATTTTCAGTTTCAATAGGAATTCGGCAACTTGTTGAACTCATGTTATCTATGCCCCTTGAAACACGTGAAGCAGGTGGACATATTCTTTCTTGTGTATGTATAAAGTGCATCGACCAGAACACCAAGTATCCCACTAAGGGAAACTATCAAGCATAGAAATACAGGCATACACCCAACTTCTCGTTTCAAAAATATCCATCATCCCCCTTTCCAAAGTCCCATTTATGTCTATGAAGAGAATCAGAGTAAGAGCTTCATATGTAGTATAAATATATGCATCCAACCTTTTAAAACGATAAGAATAACCCCAAGCAGTAGAAACAATCCCATATGACCAGAAGTAGCAAACATACAATAATGGTAGACCGAGACAGAGAACAATTCATCATAACGATTGAGAAAACTGTTAAATCTATGCAACTGCATGCGAGAACAAGAAACTGACAGACTCCCCATTATGTGTACGTCTGCAAGCCTCCGCAAGAGTGGGGCTGATATCGATGGTTTCGATTTTGTCACAAAGTTCCTTCTTATCCTCATGAGGGACGGTATTGGTAACGACGATGCGTTTGAGGCAGCTGTTGTTCAGGTTGGTAATCGCATTTCCAGAAAGAATGCCGTGGACGACAATAGCGTTGACCTCCTTCGCGCCGTGCTGCATTACCGTGTCAGCCGCCTTGACCAGAGTTCCGCAAGTATCCGCCATATCGTCAACGATGATGGCGGTCTTATTCTTAACGTTTCCGACCAAGACCATTCGGGACACTTCGTTGGGACGAGGCCGTTCTTTGTGGATGAGGGCAAATTGCAAGTCAAGTCGATCAGCGATACCAGTAGCCCTAATGAACGAATGATAGTTAGCGATGATCAGGCGTAAGCAGATGAGGATGAAGGTGTCGGAACTGCTATTACTGACCTCTTAGCACCACCAGCATCCGGACTCACAATCACACAATTCTCCACATCCAGATTCTCCCGAATCCATCGCAGCATACTGGGCTCCGCGTATAGATTGTCGACAGGGATATTGAAGAAACCCTGAATTTGGCTCGCGTGAAGGTCCATGGTAATAACATGGTTGCAGCCAGCGGTCGTCAACATGTTCGCCATCAGTTTCGCCGTGATCGGCGCCCGACTCTTATCCTTCTTATCCTGGCGCGCATAGGGGAAGTTCGGGATGACAGCAGTGATGCGTCGAGCAGAGGCGGTTTTACAAGCATTGATCATAATCAGCAGCTCCATAAGCCCATCGTTAATGTCGTTTGGTTTTGTTGATTGCAGGATGAAAACTGCGAAGGGATTTCAGGATTAGCTCGGGCTATGAGAACTTTTGAATGTAGAATGGATATGGGTTCGCTAGAGTCAGCCCGTACCATCCTCATCTCGCACACTTTCGCCAATAGTAACACTTGTCTCCTGATTGGATAATTGCAGAACCATAATTTTCGTCAACTCGATGCCTAGTCTATAGGAGTTCCGTTAGCCAAGAAGAGACTAACCAAGAGATGGAAAGGACCAAGACCATTCCTAGGTAAACGCACCGATCTGCGACGAGCCTCGCAAGCTCTGGGTGACTGTTTCCAGTCAACAGTTTGATGGAATTGGTAGCCATGGTTATGTTGGAGGATGTGAAGTAGGTGAAGGACGAGGTAGAGGTGGAGTAGAGCGGATGGGTAATGACGGAAAGAATCGAGGGGTTCAAAGACGACGGCTGGCGGCTGCAGAGCAGCAGTATTGACAAGAGGAAGCGAAATGGTGGTTATTATCGAGCAACGGCAATATTCATGCCAGTTGAAGTTGAAGAAGGACGCGATGCGGAGGTTGCGCTGAGTCCGATTTCTTTTTTCCTTTTTTTTTTAAAGGCGGGGGATCCCGTGACTCTTCCGGTTCTCCGCCGACGCGGAAGTTATCCGTATATATAATATAGTAAGTAATATTACTTACTATACGGTCAGCCCTTCTATGATAGATACTATGATACTCTAGACTCTAGACAGCTCTCTTGAAAATCAGTAAATACTTCATCTAAATATAGAATAACGCACGAAGAACTAGCTAGATACAGGACTAATAAGAGAATCGTCACCCCATTCCATGCCCTACCCTCCATCACCCCAGAGTCAGGTTGGCCTGCACTCCAACTATTCATCCAGGGTGATGGAGTCTTCTGTCTTCTTTTATTCCCCATTTCTTCCCTTCTTTTTCTTCTTCTTTTTCCTTTGATCCTCACCAGACACCATATTATCACCTCGACCTCTTTTCTTTTGCCACCTGTCAACACAAAAGGCATGCAAACGAACCAGCTAAACCTTCCATTCGACGCCGTCAAATGCTTGAGCATCAAAGAAACCATGATCTCACTCTGGTAGAATACAAGAAAAGAGAATATCTCCATACCCATTATGCAAAGCCAAAATATTCACTACCAGCCGTCATTGCGGTATACAGACGTTGTCTGAGAGTCTCATAGCTGTCATACTCCGGGAGATCCAGCTCTGTTCAGATGGTTAGAAAATAACTTGTATGAAAGTTTCTTATTTGGAGGAACACTTACGGTTGAAGCATGTATGGCTGGTCGGAAGGCGGTCCTTATTGCCATAGTCACGGTGAATGTTAAACCTGCTAATTCCATTCATGCCTTCCAATTCCTTGAACCCATTGAGAGGCACCTTGCTCGTTCCTGTAACGAACTGAAGAAGCTTGGCACGCTCCTCCTTATCGAAGGAACGGACGGCCCTCCAGAACCACTGGATCTGCGGTGAAGAGGCGGAGTAGTTATGGTACTCGGTATTGTTCTTCCAGTCATCAACTTCGATCTCAGGTAGCCCGGAAATCAACAGTTCTAGTTCCTGCTCGTTGAAGATTGAGATAAGCTCGGGTGGGATAATTTCATGGAAACCTGTTGTAGACAAGACGTCAGTCATGCTCTTCGGTAGTATAATCGTGGTGAAACACAATCATAGTAACAGAGATAATGAAAATCATACCTTTTAGGAAGCTATCGAGCTGTTCCCTGACAGACCCAACCAAGCGATATTCAACAACCCGCTGGATATACTCCTCCTTGTTCTCCTGGGTGACTGGAATATTGCGGCCATTTTCCACAAGATCAACCACCTGCTTCTCTCCAAAATCGTCCGTCTCAAGAGCAAAAGTTTCTGTGATGATGTCGGTGATATCGTTTTCTAGCATCCATAGGAGAGATTTGTAGTAGTCGAGATCTAGCGTCTCCATGTCCTTAATTGAAACTGCCCGTCCTAGCAGACACTTATAGACAGCTCTGCTGAAGTGGCAGTCGAGAACCCGACCTTCGTATAAGGCTTTCCCGATAATTCGTCCGATGAACCTGAAGAACATGAGATGCTCCGAGTTGACACCACTAAGGCGATTCGGGTGGAAAGTAGTCCGGTCTGCAGCTACAGGAATGAACAAGGCATAGTTGGGATTGAACATGCCCCGGGCAAGAACATGGAACCACTCTCTGGTAACACCACCGGCATCAACGCCTTCTTCACCATGGAAGCGCACGTTCAACTTCCCATACTTTAACTCGTCCGCTGTCTTGAAGTACAACGACTTGAAGGAGTCAAGGAAAACTTGGTCTCTCCTGACTGAGAGTTGAAGAGGCGGATGAGGATGGCGCGGTTCAGCACCACGAGAGTGAAGACGGCGAGTGAAGTAGTTGCGCTTGTTATCGAATTCCAGGACCTTGGGGTTTTTGACAAGCAAAGAGAATGTGCCACTCATGAGCCTAGGATTCTGGCGGACTAACTCATTGAGAATCTTGCGATGTTCCTCTGTAAACTTGAAAAAGAGAGTCTCCATGCTCAAACTTGTATCTCCCGAGACGCTTGGAACAGAAGTCTCCCGACTATTGCGAGCAAGAGGAGCATCTTTCAAGGCAGTATTCTTGCAGACAACCATCAGCGCCTCAATCAATGGCAGAAGAATAGTAGCCACGTTCAGCATGTTCTCTTTCTGCCTTATGACAGTCAAGCAGTCACTTAACTTAGTCCACAGAGGACCGAAGGTAGAACTCTCGTAGAGAGTCTTGAGAATGTCATCTTTGGCGACTGACTCCGGTTCGGCCCCCTTGGTCCTGTCAACACGGTTGGGATCAAACAAGTAATCAAGCGCTGTCAGAATACGAAGCAACTTCGCCTGGTCAGAGCTTGGAGGTGAGAATTTAGAGAGAGCCAAGCCCTGCATGTCAGTTCCAGTTCGTGCTCGGTGAATATGAGATATTAGTTCATCCAGATCTAATAAGATAGTGGTACTCAGAAAGCGTGCTTGACCAACTAGTTCATTTCCGAAAACATCCTTCGCTCCAGGAATTGCCGAAAGATTGTTGATAGTGGAGAGCGTATCCCTGAATGTCTTCCCGTTACATTCACGAGCCGCGAGTATGTGCACCACCCGCTGAAGGTTAACTTCTGGAATGACCGGCGGCTCGATGGTTTTCCTTCGGTGTTTATCTTCAGATGGCCGTCTCTGTGTCTCTGCCTCAGCCGCGGTCTCGGCAGGCCCCTCTTGAGACTCAGCAGTCTCCTCGGTAGCAGGGGGGGCATCAGTCATGGTTGCATCCGTGGTACTCTGTTCTGCAACTTCCGATGACGGAATAGGTTGATCCTGCGCCTGTACTCCTTCCGGCTGCTTGCCCTTCGCTTCCTCCTGCTTCTCCTTCTCGCGTCGGAGAAGGAATGTTAGAGGCTGCGTGATAGTGCTCAAAAGAGCAGAAAGCTGTTCCATGCAATTCGGGCTCTCGATGATTAACTTTCGCTCTAAAAGAGAAAGCAGAGAATTCAGGGCAAATTTGTTGGATCGGTTCTCCTTTCCTTTGCCCTTGCGCAGTGCCTTCAGCTTGAGGGCAGAGGATGTGTCATGCTCAGTCAGAAAGAACCATGCGATATGGGGATTATATCCGGAAAGGAAAGACAGCGTTCCCAGGCACTGTTGTACTACCATCAGAGGAGTCACTTCACTATTGACGCTTGTAGAAGTCTGAAACGGTAATGCACGCCTGATAGACTGTGGGGTCTTCTGGGCGGACGGCGTCTTGGCACGAAGCGACAGTTGGGCGAAACTGCGTTCGATCGCAGTCAAGTCTCCGCTTCCATCTTGTAGGATGGAAAGGAGCAGACTGATGACCTCCATCCGGTTCTGACGATTTTCACAGACGTAGTGAAGGACATCATTTAATTGCGAACGTGCGCTGCCTTGAAGAGGCATAAACATCAGGCGGAGAAGCGTCGCAACACCGGCCTTGTCGAGCATTTGCACAATTTGACGCCGTTGGGGTTTCTTTTGTCCTTGATCCTCAACCGGTTCGGGCCTATGTCGGTGATCGACTCTACCTATATCGCCGAACTGAGCAAGTCGCCTTCCAGGAATGGACCGTGCCTCTGATAAGAACTCCGGACCCAATGTTGCAAGAATCTCCTCTGGCTGGTCGGCAAGTACTGCTTGGCGCAAAGAGGGTTCGAGAGTTGCCAGGAAGCTAGCCGCATCCATGTCTTCAGCATGGACCGGGCCACCAGTAGCTGCGGCTTGCCGGCGCGCATTTTCCCGCTCACGGCGACGACGATCAGCGGCTTCCTGCTGCAACAGCTCTTCTCGGATGTCGGGAGGTAAGGCCTCCAGGAATTCTTGGTTGATTTCGCTTGGCTCTTCCCCGGCCGCAGCTGCCTGGGAACGTTGTTCTGCAAGCTGCTGCATAATCACCTCCTCCCTAAGTTCTTCGGGCAATGCCTCGAGATATTCGGGATCAATCTCCATTCCAGTAATGTCGAGCTGCCGGCCTCTGATAGTTGTGTGAATTCGGCGCGGAGGTTCGGCTGGTCCTTCCTGGGCTTGAGCTGGGCCTTCACCGGCCTCTGTACGCCGGACATCATCCATCGGCTCCGCAATATCGCCTGCTGCTCTTCGCTCTGCTTCCTGCTGCTCCCTTTCTTGCTGGCGCCTGGCGTTCTCCTCCTCTTCCTTCCGCTTGCGTTCCTTTTCTTCTTCTTCTTTGGCAATACGCTCTTGGCGTTCTCGTTCCGCCCGCTCTTCTTCGCGTCGCTTGCGTGCCTCTTCCAACTGCTTTTGAATCTTCTTATCTTCTTCAATTGCAGGAGGAACCATGATCTTCAAAAGTGAATTGACGACGCGCTGCGTTTTCTCCACGTAGGAGTTGCTGAACAAGATACGAGCCTCTTCTTGCCAGCGTGCTTTGGTGGTTTCCAAAGCAAAGCTTACGGCCTGGGATGGATCATCCCGGGTACGAGATGGAGCAGCTTGTGGTCTACTAAGACCAAAGATATCCTGTATGCGGTTTGGCAAGATTGCTCGCCGGTCAACATGGACATGGATACCATCGGGACGAGTAATGACACCAAAAGCTGGCCCTCCTTGACCACCAATGGCTTGCATAATTGCGTTCATGAAACTGACAGGGCTATCCATGGAAAGCAGGCGACCAGTTGAAATAGGCTCCATTCCGTGGATCCAATCTGAGAATGCATCAGTAACCGGTGCACGGGGTTGACCTCCCGCCTCTGGACCACGATCCTGTCGAACAAGGAGAGGATTTGTCCCGTCATCGTTTCCATGCGCAGGGACCTGGGACCGGTGAACACGGTACGGCTGCATTGGGATACGATGGGGCATTATCCCAGTGACGGTGGCCCACCCCGGCGGACCGCGGAAGCGGTGGTGATGGTGATGGTGTCCACGAGGCAGCGGCTCATCACCGTCCCATCCCCAGGGCTCCATAAAATCATCTTCTACTGGTAAAGAGTCAGTATATATTCGTGTATTTTCCTTACAGGGAAGCGCAGAATAGACGGCTTACCCTCAGCGCCCTGGTAAGATCCTTGATCGTCATCGAGCTCATCGGGCTCATCCTCGAGTTCGTCAATGTCTTCTTCGTCTTCTAATACGCAAAATTAGTAACTAGAAAATATTTTATCAGCGTGAACGTCTTACCTTCGTCTTCATTCAAGTCATCATCAGGATCGTCCGGGAGATCTCCCCGGATGCCATCACCATGGACATCGTCTACGCCCCCTGCAGCGTCATTAAGAGCGCGGAACAGGTCGTCAAACCGTTGAGCATCGTCATGACGATCGGCGTGCCTGATGTCTGCTAATTCATCCTCAAACTGATTCATCATTTCAGTTTCCTCATCATCTTCAGAGATCTCTTCACTTTCCCACTCATCATCATCTTCTTCTCCCATGCCGCCCAGGCTCTCGTTGTCATGATCTCCGGTGATCTCTCCTGCGAGAATTTCATCGTCATCCATATCGGAACCGTCAGGGTCATCGTCTTCATCATCTTCATCATCCTCATCCTCGTCTATAACAACTTCAATATCCATACCGTTGTCACCAGGAAGACCCTCGATAGGGCCAATACCTTCATCACCATCCTCGTCATCACTGACAACTTCGCCGTCGTTTTCAGGTAGTTCTTCGTCGTAGTCCATCTCCTCTCCATACTCATCATCGTAAATTTCATCATCGTCCTCTTCCTCCGATTCTTCCGAAGTAGACTCCTCCTCGTGACGGGGTTCCAGCATTCCGAGAGTAGAGTGGCGGAAAAGATCCGGCGTCTCTTCACGGTCATCTTCCATGTCAGAAACGGAAGTCGCTGACGAGATCTCATCTTCCTCGGTTTCTCCTAGTGAGGAAATATCGGACGTCTCACTCAGAAGAACAGCAGTTTGTGAGAGTTTGTTCAGCGGGCGCAAAATGTACTTGATAACCCGTTTTGACATTGGGAAGTTCAGATCGATGTCAGCAATTGAAGCAGTGAGGGCAGAGATGAAATGCTTTTCAAACATGGTCCTGGCAAGCTGTCTTGTGGAAGATGGGGAGACAGGATCACCCGACCCAAAGGCATAACCAGTGAGCATTTTATCAAATAGCTCAGCTAATGACATTAATCTGGCATATTTCATATCCAAAGGTTCATTAGATGCTATGGCATCCTTGTATGATCTTAACGCATGCTCTAGCACAAAGCGACGCACAAAGGCAAGATCGGGTTCGTCTTCCTCATCTTGGTCATTTCGGCGTCGTCCAATACCACCGAATTCACCGGTCTTAGTGCACAGGGCAACCAGGACTCGCATAGTCCAGGCAGAAGTGTTGCTTCGTTTCTTAAAGGGCACAGATTCATCATGTTCCAGTGTGCCAACAGGTAGAAGAGAATTCAAAAGATAGTTGAGAATACCAGACCGTGGTTTCGAAGGAGTGGTTGCAAGCGGATCTGCCTTGCGAGAAAAGTTGATAAATTCCACTTTGGTACGATTATACGACGAAAGCAGTTCCGTCAAACACTGAAGAAGGAAGCACCGGTAGATGTAAATCGGATGCTCATCCGCCTTGAATGCTGGTTTCTCTTGCTTCTTTGAACCCTGGACGCTCTGCACATCAGACACGGAAGCAGGATGAGCAGTTTCTTCTGTCGTCATTTCCACGTCGGGTTGAGTATCTGACCGGACAGGCAGTGTAGTATCAGTCGTCTCCGCTGGAGGTTCTTTATCATCCACATCCTTATAGGACAGGAGTTCAGAAAGCAAATAGTGAATAACTCCATCGGGATGCTCCACAACCGGCGGTTTTAATTCAGCACCTTTACCCTTGTCTTTATCTTCCGAAGAAACAGCCTCGCTTGAAGGCTGATCTTTATTGTCTTCACTAGGAGGCTCCAGTGAAGGTACTTTCTTGTACTTTTTCAGTGTGAGAGTTTGCGGCCTCTGGTGAGAATCATAGCGAAGCAATGTCAGTTGTTCATTAGACACTTCCACAAACAACTCCGGTGATCTCAGAACGAGATGATACATTTGCCGCACATAGCCGGTTGTGTCAATCTGTCGGGAGGATTTCGCCTCAAAGGTAGCAACGATCTCGCTCCTCATAATTTGTCGAATAGTATCTTCATCTTCAATTATGTGTCTTAACATCAGCATAAAAGCGCCCTGGAGTCTTGGGTTCGTAGAGCTCGAAAGCTGTTTGACCATTATAAATAAACGCTGCAAATTGCGCTTTTCTCCTAAGCGAACTGCAATAGTACGACTCCGCGTGAGAATGACAAGAACTCGACAAATAGAGAGAGCCAGAGCATCATCCTTGCCTAAACGAGGCAGAAGCTCAACAAGGGCCTCAAACAGCTGTATCTTCTCATCGTGGGAGATAAGAGGTTCTTCCAATTTCGCCGGTTCATCATATGTATTGATGTTATCACCAGTGGGCGGGTTCCAACGAATCTGAGGCGGTTGAGAGTCATCGGATAACAACCTCTCCAGAATAAGTAAGATATGTCCAATCCACGGGAATGACTGATGAGGAGATTTATCAGGAGGGGTAATATGTAGAAAGCCAACGAAAGTTGAGAAACACTCCTTCAATTCTTCCAGCGTTGCATTGTACATATCCCTGTCCTGGATTACCAGTGCCAGGAGATGAGCATATGCTGCTATCTTCTTACCAGCTGCTTGGAAGTTTTCCATCTGCAAGGAAACCAGAGACTGGACTAGTGTCTCACCGACCACTCTCCGGAAGCTTTCTGGTTCACGGTGCTTTTTCGTGGCAGCAGCAATGAGGTCTGACAGTTCAAAGGAGACATCATGGTGAACATTGAGAATATCCAAGCACCGCTCAATCATATTCGATCGAACTTTTTCTCGCTCCTCGTCCAAATCCTCAACAGTAGTAACTTGACGTCGTCTTATAGGCTCTTCTGGGGATCGATTGGCAGGGTCAGACGAGCTACCAGCGGCTGGACGAGGATATGAAGATTCCTCTCGATCATTATGCCCGCCATTATGCTCATCGTTGAGTATGTGATTGAGGGCCCGAGTCAAAAAGTCCGTGCCGCTTCCGACATCGCTATCCGTACCACTATTGCCCCTGCTCTGATCTTGTTCCTGACGGGAGAATTCCCCTGTCGGTCGACCGGAAGCCTGGGCTAAAAGCATGGCCAGCGTAGAACTCTCTAATACTCCACTGGCGAAGGAGGCAGCATCTCCCAGAACAGCGTCGTCAGAAGGCTCTCCCGCAGAGGTCATAGTATCGGGTCTAACAGAATCAACATCATTCGGAGGCGGCAATAGACTTGGCGGTGGGCGTAGCCAAGCCTGTGCCCTGCAATACTCGTCGGCCGCAGCCGGAGCATTATTGCACCTATAAAGAGCCTCCTCGGCTAATTCCCTGGCAAATCCTCTCTCGACCAAGGAATTTTCTCGATCCTTGTTGATTGCCAATTTCCTCTTCGGCACTTCCGCCAAGCCAGGAAGGGTATCAGAACGCCGAGCCGCTCCTGTTTCAATGTCACCGTCAAGCGATGAGCGTAGGATGTCAACCAGACATTTGACAACGGAACTCGTAGAGTGTATAGCGAAATCGGAATTCCACATCTCTCTGACCATTGGTAATATCTCCATACGAAGATCCACCAAAAATTGGCCTGGTTGGAAGTAATCGGGCCGATCCCGATCTCGGTCGCTGCTGCTAGTCATAGACTGTGTTTGATTGGAGTCGACGATGTTTTTCCCTGAAGCGATCTCCGAAAAGAAGGCAAGTATAATCTTAATTCCTCCATAAGCGGAAGTAAGTCGAGCGGAGATATCATCCTCACGCTTGGTTGCGGCGTCCGAAGCGGTAAGGTTCTTGACCTCCTGGACAAATACATCACAGATATCTTTCATAATCTTCAATCCACTCTTTCTCTTGAATGCAAAGAGGATCAATGTTAGATAGTGTGAATGCGGACGTCCAGATGTTGCTTCAAAAAGTGTTAGTTGGCATTTAAGATTCTGGGCAATGTTCGGAGGTAGAAAACAGATCACACAACTTACATTCAAACAGCAAATGGGAGAAGGATGAGAGGATAACAATAAGATAGGCAGACCGTCTTTTAGGGCTCTCACTAACGTGAGGAGGCCGATATTTCAATTCCTTGATGACAGCCTCTGCAATCGAGTCGGCTACCATATATGCATTTTGCCTTTGATACGGATCCGTCCTCCTTTTACCAATAAGGCCAAGGCCTATGTTGTGGAAGAAACCCGTTATAGCGGAAGGCAAAGTGCTCAACAGGAACCGGAGAGTCTGCGCGTTCTTAAAGGCTGCACCATTCTCGGGAATGCCTGTCGCCCTATCCCTCGACTCCGGAGCGGCAGTGGGTCCTGCAGGTTCCCCGCTGGCCGGCTCTCCCTGGCGAGAGTCATTTGCCGCCTGCCCTAGGTTTGCAGTCTCTTCCACATTTAGGAATCCAGGGACTTCGCTAGACCCCTCTGGACCGGGTCCCGGTACATGTACTTTGGTGGCCGCATTCCAAGTGTCTGGGATGTTTTTTTCAAGCAGGATCTCTTCCCATACACAAGCAGAATGTAAATTTCCCAGAGCCGTAACGAGGGTAGAGTACTTGTCCGCAAGGTTGACTTGGATGAAGGGAGAAACTTGCTGGCTAGGCCGAGTTTGGTAGAGAGGTACGGAATAGATTTCCCGGAGAAGGTCCGTAAGAATGAGAGCTGCTGCCATATTCTTGGCAAAGAAGGTACCTTGTGTTAATGCTAGGCTCGAGTGCACATCTTCCGGTTCTTTTCCGTTTGTCTGCTTGATCAACGACGTGAAGAAACCAGCATCTTTCGGTTCTGCCCAGAAACCGGCAAGGTTATTAATGACAGTTTGAGTACGATTGACAAGAGATGGTATCACCAGGTGAGGCTTCGTCTCTGCCATCATGTGTACCAGCACAGCAAGCTCCTGATTCGCATCGGAATTATGGAAATCGAAGGCAAGGCTCTGTAATGTCGCAAGATCTAAGGCAAACTCAACTCCGCCAGATTCGATGAAATAGGCGCAGTTTGTCTGGTTTTCAAAGAACGTTGCTAAGAACCTCACTGCAGGATACAGATAGTCCGTAACGGTAAGGCCATTCTGATCCTCATCCTTAGGTTCCAAAGGCTCATCCGAAGGCAGATCAATTTGAGCTAAATCACCAACGACCAGCCTTCCCCCATTGGGGAGAGAGGATGCATTGAGTGTTGAAATACCAAGATTTTGAGCGTCACAAACGGATGCCTCTAGGGGCGCACAAACATCCTTGAATAAGGAGTCATTGCTTCCTGAGAGAGATAGTTTTCCTGCCGGGCTTTCTGTCCACAGCTTTGTTCCAACACCACTCTCCCACGCTTTTTTTCTGCACAGAAGGCCAACACGGGATACCATAACGATGACGGCGGACATAATTGCGGGCTTCAAAGCCGGGTGGTGCCGAGCTAGTTCGTCGAATGCTGTTCCTAATGCTCGGAGAACGTTCGGATCATCTTTCAAGGACTTCACGTGGCAGGGACTCTCGAATATCTCAAAGAAACTTTCCAATGCATGCGAAGACTGGAAAAGTTGCAGTCCAGAAGCGTTCAGGCAGATAGCACCGAAGGCCGAGGGTATGCACGTTATGGCTTCCGCGGCAGGTAAGATTCCAGGGGCTAGTCGGTCCCCAGTCGGTCTCACAATACTATATTCGCGAATTTCCTGTTCTCCAGTAGTCGACCTTCCAGGCCCGGAAGAAGTTCGGGATGAAGACTCCCCTTCACCTTCAGTGGCAGCAGTCTCAGGATGTAGGTTTTCTGGAACCTTGAGTTCAGAAGCCATAACAGCCTCGAGAAAACTTTTGCTCAGGCCAGCTTCAGCAATAACAGCGTAGCTAGTAGGCTCATTGTGGATGAAGCTGCTCAAAATGTTGACTGCGCCACTCCAAACATGTGAGCCAAAGACCAAAGCGTTCTCAAAGACCAAACGAAGAGACGTCAGTAACTGCGGCGAATCAATCAAGTTGCGGAGGATACGGTCGAATCCACCTCCACTATGTTGCATAAGGTGATTGACAAATCGAAACAGCCACCGGAGAGTCTGCTGCTGGAAATATGGGATTTGATAGTCAACCAAAGGGGTCTTATAGTGTGAAGGAATTCCCATGCCCTGTTGTACGTTCGTGTACGCTGATTTGGTCTCAGTTGCAATGAGTTCGGAAATGGCATCGAAACCTTTAGCATTTGTTAAAGTTGAAAACGCATCACGAACAGTGTGAACAAAGGTATCAAGGAATTCCATGACGCGGGAATAAACTTTACGGGCCTTGTTTGTTCGAAGATTCAAGATATCAACGAACATTGGAATCAGGCCAGCAGAGACAAGCGTTTCTGGGGTTCTAGTGCTTGAACCAGGAAGTGTTCGCAGAAGGGCAAGTAAGCCATCCCGCCATTCCTCTTGAGAATGGTCGGCATGATCGTCACCTTCCGAGCCCAGCTCCTCGACGGCTTTCCTCGTTAGGAACATAAGAATCCCATGATTTACATTGACGCTCAATGCCGCGCAGACGTCAATTGCCCGCGCCTTGTGTTTTGCAAGGGCATCTAGTGCCTGAATCGCCAATGTCTGAACAGTCCGCGAGATATCAAGGTCACCGCTTGCGCCAAGATGGACCAATTCAGCAAGTTGATACGCAAGTTGCAGGCGCTTCGGCTGTTCCATGTCATGTTGGAGAATTTTCTGTTGAAATAGATTCTCAGGGTAGACATAAGCGAGATTGCTGACCGCAAGGATCCGAACAGCAAGAATTTGTTGGCGTGTTGCATGAGAAGTAGTCAACCCTTGAGCAGTGCGGATCTTATGCAGCAAATCATATTTAGATTCGACAGGCACCTCGGCTAAGTGCGACGCAAGAAGGTCTTCAGTTTTTGACGACGAAACCGAGACGTACGGGATGTCAAGGAATTTTCCACCACGTGGTACCTCCTCCGGTTTTCCAGACGGAGTATGGGCGGTGTTAGAAGGCGATTCATCCGTGCTTGACATACGGCTTAAGCGAGGTGTAGGATGCGTAGAGCTTCTCCGTAATGGCGTGGGTGTGGACGGTCCCTGCGTACCATGCCCATGCTCACAGCGGCCAGATTGAGGCACCCTTGATTTCTCCACAGGGGCAGAGGGGTAGTAGAGTATACGGACATGACCCCATTCCTCCCAACCGTCGTTTTCACGCGTGAGAGATGTCAAGTCGTTCGCATCGAGTTTTGTCTGTGCGGCCTTCTCCTTTCCCTTCACCAAGAGCCCCGGAGAAGCGGAGACCACAGATTTGCCAAGGGTGAAAGGGCGTGGAAAGGGCGAGGCAATTTTCTGCAGCTTCTCCAGATCGATGTTATAATGAGTGGCCAGTAAGCTCTGCTGGAGATGGGTACTACCTCGCTGACGCGAATGGTATCTTTGTGCCAAGGCGAGAGACAGACGCAAGGTAGTTTGCAGAAGGGAAAGCGACGTGGTGTTCAGAAGGTCACCTAGACGCTCGCTACTGCTGTACAGACTGCGATTTCCACACTTCTCCATCAGGAGCCTGGAGAAATCAAGGATTGTTTCCACGAGTTCCCTGTCACCCTCAGGTCCATAACCTAGAGTATTAAGCTTGGCATCCACATCCTCGGCACTGATATCGCTTCCACCATTATTGTAGGATTCCACTAGGACGTCCCTTCCGAAAGGCTTGGTCTGCGGGCCAACATTCAGAGAATACTTCTCGATGACACCAGACAATATTTCATCAAAACGATCGAGAACGTTGATCCAGTGATAGAGGTCACCTCTGGGGAAGGGCCATATACGAGGATATGCACGGAGATGTGAAGGGAGCTCAGCAATTGGGATTCTCGTAGCACGGCCGACAAAATCTGCCAAGAATGGCGACTGCGATGCAGAAGAAAATATTTTAGTTAAGATTCGTCAGATCAGTATGCGGGGTATGTAGACTCACGATTGTTGCCTCGTGCTTCTGACTTGCCACCTTCTTAATTCTCCCCATGATGACGATTGAGGAGACAGGCAACCATGTGGAAACTGAAAGACTCCAAGGTGCGACCTCCTACAGAGAGGGAGGGGTCGTGGAGCCCAACGGCCGAATCGCTTTCCTGTAAAGCCTTATGACGTTTCAGAGCCGTCTTTCTCGTCAACAAGCTAAGGGGCGAAATGAGCAAAGCTGTAGGTCAATATTCGGGTATTAAAAGGAAATCGGGTAGACGAGGTAGATGGAGACTCCGTAATCGACAGGTTTGGGTGGAGACTCAAGTGGGATTAGGATTGAATGATGCTGTTGGAGCAACGTAAGAGAACGTCAGGGAAACGGTGCAGGACGTGACCCTAAAGCATCCAACAGCTGGATATGTAGAAGGGCAGTAGCTTTGAAAACTCAAAAGCCACGGATGTAAAGATGCGTGGGTTTGAGGATGGAGGGAGGGGGGGAAGATGTCTGGGAGAAAAGTTGAGGTGAGGAGAGTATTAGAACCTGGAGCTCTTCTTTCTTCACTTGTCCCAAGAGTCCGCCGGAGCCCGGAGCTGGACTTGTTCCCCACCGAAAACTGGTGAATGTACCTGAACTTTACGTCTCTGGAAGGCTGAGACACGACGGAACGCCCGTCTCAACAATCCAAGGCAGTAAGATTGCTTTCGATTTGCAGAATATCTCACTTGATGATTCTACTACATTATTCCTAAAGCCTAGCTATCCTGGATTCGCCGACTAATACAGACTACAGAGTACAATGTTTAGATCAAAACGACCCGACTGGCAGCGACGGGAGAAGACGCCAGAGGAACTGAGGGAATAAAATATCGGGATGATTCTTCACCTTCGATAGACAAAATAATATGCCGATAATACAGTGGCCTTTTTACTATGAGGATTATTGCAGACAAACAGCAGCTTGGGGACGATTAAACAAGCGATGGAATTCACAGTCGCGGTTACTCCAAACCTACCTCCTCGCAACGAGATTACCATGTGCAGAGTGATTTACTGTCTAGAGCTTCGAAAGATGTGGATATGGGAGAGGACTAGTAGGTGCACTGTCATTAGAAATGGTTGTCGATGAAATTGCGAAGATATCGGAGTTATGGGCTCGTGCATCTGCAGCTACCTGTGGCCCTCCCAGATCTACGTTCCTAATTTACAAGGCTCATTTCGTATCTGGCAAATCCCATTCCATTGTACCTTTATTATTATTGTAGGGAATGTGAATTGACTGCTCTGATTAGCAGTCATGTACTTACTGATTGCTAGGCCAGCGTGTCTTTTCAGACAGCCCTGGGAGCCCGGAGCACGACGCAAGTTATCCAAGCCCCCTACAACCTTGATCATTGTATGTTCCAACATGCACATCTCCATGTTCTCATAGCTGGTCTGGAATATGTCTTGGTTTTTGTCAAATGATGGAGATCATAGTCGGGAGTAGTATATGGAGTGCCAGCAGCACCAGGGATGATTCTGCATAACTAATAAGCAAACAAGTTCTCTGTGACAGTAGAGAGTACCGGATTCTTACATTATTAGAGCCTTCAGCACTGCGGTACATATGGTCATGGCCCAAGTAACTTCAAATACAGTCAACATCTAGGACCGTGAATCCGCATCAGATTCCACATATGACAACGGCAGGAGCTTCAGTTCATTCCACAATTAAGCCGAGAAGAAATTTGTCAATTCTTTGCCATTTTTCGAAGTTTGCGGTAAGCCGGAGGCGAGCTATGCAAGATCACCGCATACATTGAAGCCCTGGTGTTCAGAACTGGCATGAGTCTTCGTTGATTCAGTTGACCTGGATAACCCGTTCCATTAAGCAATGTCTATCATTACATAGCCACCTGTAGCAGCAATTTCACTGACTTCTATCATAGTCTTGCCATCGTTGAGGTCGACGTAGAGGAGGTCCTTTGCAATAACCACATTCCTCTCTGCTATTGTCATATGATTTCCATTCCCCGATGCAAAGACTTTGTCCTTTTTGCATTTCGATTGCCGACATTACTCTGAGTTGTGTCGTCTTTGGCATCTTCATTTTCTGAAATCGGCACAGTTTGTACATATTGATAACCATGACTCTCAGAAAGGTGAGAGATTCTCAGCCCAAAGAATATCTCCCAGATTGAGCAGTTTGTCGCTGCATCATTGCAGCCTTCTCGCACTGAAACTTGATGGAACATGCTAGACGAACTAAACACTCTAGGCATTATAGCAGGTATCTACCGCACACTACCCATTAATACAAAATACTCGTATAAACTGCCATCATGGGTTATCTTTCCAAGTTATAGTTACAATTGCCTGACGGTGAACTAAGTCCAGATAGCAAGGGCCATTCCTGTGATTTGTTCATGCTGCTATTGGCAACTGGAGGATCCCTCCAGGGCTGTTTGTAGGTACAAATCCATCAGGACCTAGGAAGATCTTCAGCAGGCTGTTTGGTGATGGTGTGACAGGAGTACCACAGGAAACTCTAGGAGATAATCATCCAGATTGTTTGTACTCTAAATAGAGTGAAGACTGATAGAGAGTTGGATTATGAAGGATACTCTAAGGTACTAAGAATAGATAAGCACCATTGTCTTCTTAATTCCTCCTTCTGGGCTGTCCCCAAAGCATCGTAGATGCCCAATTAAGTCCGTTATTCTGATGGTAGGATAACTTCAAAGGGGTAAGGCTTCCAGAATGATGCAGTGATGAAGATGACTGTTTTCAATGCTTCTTTGACAGCATCCATGGGTGCTCTCAGACTACAGAACACAAAGATCCGCGGGCAGATCCACCAGCTCACCGCCCTCCAGACTCCCCGGACAGAATTCTTCAGCTATTTTATCATCCTTTGCCCCTCGTCATCCCCAGCTATCCGTGGATAGCTTCGTGTTCAATTCTCTGCAGTCAGAAAACCCCCAGCCCTACAGAGCTGTCTCATATCTGTCCCAATGGCGTCTGAGTCCGTCACGATCCTCGTTCAACCCAGAGGTATGCATTTCATGCAATTCCCCGGGTAATCCGACCAGTTTTTGCTTATGTCTATGGATGAATGTAGGCAAACCTATCAAGAAACTACCCAAGGAGATCCGGATTGCCCCAAATGCCTCTACTCAGGGTCTCCACAATGCACTTGCGGAGGCATCTGGCTATTCCGTCCACCGTCTGAGAATCACCAAGGGCAGTGATCGAAGCCTAGTCCCCAATTCGAAGAACACCACCATCCAGGACACTGGATTGAACGACAAGAGCCTGGTCCATGTGAAAGACCTCGGTATGTCAGCAACTCTTTGTGTGTTACCTACGCGCCTTGTTATTTGTGCTGATCCTTGCCCTTCTATCAGGCCCCCAGATTGGATGGCGCACCGTTTTCATCATTGAGTACTTCGGTCCTCTCATCATCCCGGCTCTCTTCCTCTTCCCTCTCCGGCCACTCTTGTACTACAACTTTGACAAACCTCTTCCTGACCCTTCAACCCTGCAACTCGTGGTCTGCAGCCTGTTGACTCTCCACTTCTTGAAACGTGAATATGAAACCATCTTCGTCCACCGCTTCAGCAATGCTACCATGCCCGCGCGGAATATCTTCAAGAACAGCGCCCACTACTGGGCCTTGGCGGGCTTCAATATCGCGTACTGGGTTTTCCGTCCCGACGCAAATACCGCAACGGACGACCTGAATCCCTTAGTTCTGTACTCCGGCCTTGCCGTCTTTGTCTTCGGGGAATTGGCCAATCTGAATGCGCACTTGATATTACGTGACCTACGCCGCCCCGGGACAACAGACAGGGGAATTCCTTCTGGATTCGGATTTGGGCTGGTCACTTGCCCAAACTATATGTTCGAAGTGGTCTCTTGGCTTGGAATTTGGTTGGTCAGCAGATTCAGCTGGAGTGTACTGATTTTCACTGTCGTTGGTTCTGCACAGATGATGAGCTGGGCTGCGAAGAAGGAACGTCGGTACCGCAAGGAATTCGGGGATAAGTACAAGCGCAAGAGGTTTGTCATGCTCCCTGGTATTTTCTAGGTAGGGGTTCCTAAACAGGTGGCCTCTGTGCAGCTCTTATCTGTGCAGAAATATGGCTCCTTGCGTGAAAACCCTATAAGCTTATTCTTTTGAAGGGATGTATGATGGCGAATAAGTATGTTCCTTCGGAATCCTGTAGTTTGAGGGAATTGGATGAAATCAACCAAATCACCCCATGAGAGCTTCATGGGTAGATGCAGAATATCTCCATTTATGAAAAGCATTCTAAGCAATCTCCAAACACTGGTGAGGACTAGTCACTATGGAAAAGAACTGTTGCCAGCACCGAGAACGCCAGCCAATAATACACCAGGCCATGCAATGCCCTTCCCTGAACGGGCAGAACCCAGAAAAAAAAAAGAGTAATACAAATTGTTGAAGAAATAAAATGACATGCAGATCATTTAACTCATCCAGTCCGACTGCCCGCCGAGATCTTCTTGGTCCATGTGCTATAATACGGCGCCATCTCCTCGCATAGCTGCGTGTCACCATCATCGCAGCCCAAGAATCGAATCAAAAAGTCGCCCTCCTCGTACGTCCCATTTATGCCGGCCGCCGGAGAGTCCTTGGGATATGCATTTAAAATCCGCTGGGGAACTATGGCCAACTTGGCCAGAATAGTGGGATGCCATTGAACAATGTGGTCCTATTGAAGTTTTTCAGTTTAAGTAGTAATGACAGGACACCCGCATTGTGTCTTACCAGAGCATGAGTCTCTGCCTTCACGAAGGCGTAGGAGCGATACAAAGGATCGAACCAGAGATCAAGGAAGAAGCGTGCAAAATCACCCCTCTTTAGGATGAAACTACCCGTGCTCAAATCTTCTCTGTCCTGGGCTAGAACAAGGTCTACATCGTCACCCCTTACATGCGAAAACGTCTTAATGATAGTGTCCGGCACGACGGGTATGTCTTTCCGTATTAGGGATTCCAGACGTTTGCTATTAAGAACATGCGTTTCGAGGGATATGCTTGGGTTCATGATGAGAGCGTGAGGGCTCAGGTGGAAGAAATAAGTTGAATGAGGATGTGCCGTCATGGCATGGCGGACAGCGGCCACGGAGGCCCAGCTTCGCGGGGCACCATTCAGCAGGGACTCGTAGTCAGATGTATTCGCAAAGAAGTTGGTATAGCCTTTTTCAAAAACCAAGATATTAACTTTCAGTCAGACAACAAGAAGGGGCTAAGGTCGGCCCAAGGAAAGAGTCCACCGTACCGTGTCGCACTGCATAGTCCTCTCGATTCTTGACAATCTGTCCGACGTAGTTGAGACTGAGACGTTCGCGATCCAAAACCGTCACAATAACCACACTTGGAGTCTCAGCCGGTATTTTTTTCGGAGAGCTGACATTCGACGAGCAGAGGTTCGAGATGAGATATATAAGCGACAGAATACCAAACCCGATGATTGCAAGTGCTCTAAGTTGCTTTCTTCGTTGATACGACAGTCGCGACGAACGAATGTATAGAGGAGATTGTTGGTTTCTCCGCGGTGGCAAAGCAAACTGCATTGCGAAATGATCGGATGCTCCCAGCGCTGAATTGCTGGGAGACAGAAAATGCTGTCGACGAACTCTCCCTTACCGGTGCATGATATTGGGATTAAGATTAAGCCATGGCTGGACTGCTCCAGGATAATTATTGCCCGAAACGGAAAGTACCGCGGATCATCTTTTTCGCCGATATGATCAAGGTTCCATGATGCTGAAGCATTGCAGACTCGTCGAAATACGAAGAGCCATGCTGGTACGCGAGTTTTCGGGGAAATTATTAGGACACAGTGCTAGGACGATGGATTGGCCATATACTCCAGCTATCAATCATGGAAAAGCGCCTTCCGGGTTATTTCGCCAACCAGCATCGTAGATATATATCTGGTACCAAATTCCAATAATATACAAATAATCGCACAGACGAGTCAAGCACTATCGATAATCCCCACGACCTCCCCTTCAATACAGTTTATTGTTGTAGAAAGGTTTTGTCTTGTCCTTGATGTTGATGTTCTCCTCCACTTTCTCCTTAATCTCCTCCTCTTTCTGTTTCAGCCACTCTTCGAATGACGGAGGTTCGGGGAGACCCAAGCGCTGCCTTTCCTGTCGCATTTGCTCTTGGATTTTAGGCGTCTGCATAACCTGCCACCTAAGATGCCACCCAAAAATACCAAGTTCCTTGATTCTTCCGGGCCGATCATCCAGAAGGTAGTTGTCAAGACCACCAGATTTCCTTATTGTTCGCAGCACCCGACGCGTAACCTTGATGAAAAGAAATTTGTTCAGCGCATCACTCCAGATCTTCTTGCGACGGACATTCGGTTTCCAAGACCGTCGAGTTTTGCCCTCATTCTTTCCCTTGGAGATCTTGTTCCCGAACCGAATCATAGCACCCCCATATAGACCACTATTCGATTGTTTGTAGAGGTGGTTCGGTCCATATGGATAAGGAGGAACATATTCAGGGAGTGTATTTGTCTTCTGGGGCGCCAATGTTGTGGAAAAGGAGCGTCTCGAGGTTAAGGAAAGGCTGCGGAACGCCTGGGAGAGCGAAAACGGTAGAGACATGGCGGATCTGGGTTGTAAGCCTGCCATTGCGTCGACCGATTGAAAGTGTCGTTTAAGCCGTGACCATGACAAGATCTGATCAACCTGATCGTAGCGAAACTGGTTGGTTTGAGCCGCTCGAAATGGGGGTAGAATCGTCGGTTGTTCTGGCCAGTGTTCTTCGTGGACGACGAAGTTGGGGAAGAATTTGGGCAGGCTGACCGCCTTTGGCAGTAGTCGCTCATTGCTCCGTCCCGTCTTTGCTTCGCTGCATTTCCTCTCGATCGACAACTAATCGCAGGAGGTTGTTATTCTACTTCCCAAACTGTGTCTTTTCTTCATTACCTGGATTTTTGTTCTTGGCCTGTCATACCGGTTGAGGCACGTCCAAAACTGGCTGCAACTCGTTCACCATGGTCCAAATCAGCGAAGTGAAGGGCAATTCGCGCGAGAGCAGGACAGCAGCGCATACGCATATTAAGGGTCTGGGTTTGCTTCAGGATGGCACTGCAGAGTCATCTGCAGATGGATTTATTGGGCAAACCGCTGCCAGAGAGGTGTGAAACTTGCGCATCGACCATTTGCTTTCGCTTTTGGGGTCTTTTGGCTAACGGAATGACCTTTCGCTACTAGGCTTGCGGTGTTGTGGTAGATCTGATCAAGACAAAGAAGATGGCCGGACGCGCAGTTTTGCTTTCTGGTGGCCCTGGAACCGGAAAGACTGCCCTTGCGCTCGCCGTTTCTCAGGAACTGGGAACGAAGGTCCCTTTTTGCCCGATTGTTGGCAGCGAAATTTATTCGGCTGAAGTTAAAAAAACCGAAGCACTCATGGAGAATTTTCGGAGAGCTATTGGTAAACTTCTTGATATTTAGCTCATCGGTATAATATAAAGACTATAGTACTAACAAACTGCAGGTCTCCGAGTCCGCGAGACCAAGGATGTGTACGAAGGCGAAGTCACAGAGTTGACACCTGAGGAGACTGAAAACCCGCTAGGTGGCTATGGGAGGACAATCAGCCATTTGATTATCGGGTTGAAGTCCGCCAAGGGGTCCAAGAAATTGCGTCTGGATCCGAGCATCTACGAAGCCATCCAGAAGGAACGGGTTACAGTCGGCGACGTTATCTACATCGAGGTGAACACTGGAGCCTGTAAAAGAGTCGGGCGTTCGGATGCTTATGCGACTGAATTCGATCTGGAAGCTGAGGAGTACGTTCCTGTTCCGAAGGGCGAAGTTCACAAGAAGAAGGAAATTGTGCAAGATGTGACATTACATGACCTGGATATGGCCAATGCTCGGCCACAGGGCGGGCAAGACATTATGAGTATGATGGGGCAATTGATGAAGCCGAAGAAGACCGAAATCACGGAAAAGTTACGCCAGGAAATCAACAAGGTCGTCAATCGTTATATCGACCAAGGTGTTGCCGAGCTTGTCCCGGGGGTTCTCTTCATTGATGAAGTATGTATACATTCTCTTCCCCCCTTATGAAACTTATTGGCTTACATCATATTACTTCCAGGTCCATATGCTTGATATCGAATGTTTCACCTACCTGAATCGCGCTCTTGAATCGTCTATTTCCCCAATTGTCATCCTCGCATCCAACCGCGGCAACACCGTTATTCGTGGCACCGACGGTATCACGGCACCACACGGCATTCCACCGGACTTTCTTGCCCGTCTACTTATCATTCCCACTCACCCTTACTCTTCAGAAGAAATCAAAACCATCATCCGTTTGCGTGCCAAGACTGAAGGTATCAGCATCACCGACGCTGCCCTAGATAGGGTCGCCGAGCACGGCAGCAAGGTCAGCTTGCGGTATGCCCTGCAATTGCTCACACCGGCGAATATCCTTGCCCGAGTAAACGGACACCCTGGAGGCATCGAAGAAGCAGACATAGCCGAGTGCCAGGACCTGTTCATCGATACGCAAAGAAGTGCAGCCATTGTCAACCAGGAGCAAGGAGGCTTTATATTATGAGAAGTTGTTCCTTCTGGTTTAGCCAGTTCGTCGTTTTCCTTTCGTCTGGGTGATAAATGGTAATTGGGAAGGTTTAAGATAAAACAAGTTGTTCCATGTATACCTATTACAATCATGTCTGATACGCGAGAAGTATTCTAAAGTCTTCATGATAATGCTAACTAGAGGCTCGGTGGTGTTTCTTTTCTAAACTTTTCGACTTAGTAATTTTTATCCATTCTGGTATTTCTACAAGACCATTCCCCTTCTGCTGCTCCCTTTTTTTCATCTTTTACATGGTATACCATTAATATTGACTAGATAATAACTATCTACAAAATCTTCTCCCCGAAAAGAAGCCTCCTCACTCCCCTCCCAGGAAGCCGACTAATCCCCAACAAACCAAGATATAAAACAACCTGGGCCAATAAAATGCAAACATAGATGACTCTCAAAACAGTCCTGATCCCATGGTCCCTCAAACGTAGATCAGCGCAGATCTCCTTACCTTCCGCGCTCGCTGCATCACCATCACCATGTCTATCAACAGGAAATGGTACCCTCGCACCAAGGTGCTCAACGGCAACCATAAGGCCGCTCGTGACGGCATCTTCCCAGACTCCGCAGCCTGTCCAGCAGAGACAGTAGCTGATACCCCTCTTATTCTGGATGGAGGGCAGTCTAGAAACGGCGTGAGGCGTCCTCGCGTTGAGGCTGGGTGAGGAGGTGTATTCCCAGACGCCCTGGACAAAAGTAGGATGGGGAGGGGTAAATGGGTCTTTACTGATGGCAACTCGGCCGAAGATGGTTTCTGGGACATATCGGAGAGTGTTGATGTTGTATGTAAGACAGGCTTTCGTGGGACCGTTAGACTTGGAGGATGGGGATATATGTATGGGTCCATCCAGGACATCTGATGCCGTGATGTAATTATATGTTGAAGTTGGTTTTGGGATGAGCTGGGGGTAGTTCTGGTTTAGTGAAATACAGAATGGAGTCCGGGGAATGGTGGCTTACGGAAGGGTCAGAATGCAGAACTCCGACATGTGTCGACGTTCCGAGAGCTTGTAGAACATCTTGTTCATCGGCATTTATAATTGGACGGAGGATGTCTAGGATTTCCTGACTGTCAACCGCGAAAATGATATGATCGAAATACTCCGTGTTGTTATCGGACGTGGTCAATGCAAAGCGTCCTTTATGATTGGCACTCGTCTTCAGCTCGATCACTCTGCTCCTGAGGTGAACATTCGTAACAGGGAAGTCCCTGGCCATGGTCTTCATAAATTGGCTTGCCGGTTGATCTAGCTGCTGCCACCGTGGTGTGGATCTGGGAGTACATAGCAGTTGGTGGTCGAATAGCGAGCGGACAAGAGGTCGGATTGGAAATCTTGCTAGGAATCTACCAGCATCTGTTCCCCAAAGAGTCGAGACCAAAGGAATAAGATACTTGTCACGGAAATTTGCCGAGAAGCCCTCGTTTGCCAAGTACTCGTCGACACTCAGTGAAGATTGATCATCTTGGCCTCTATTCAATGGCGATAGGCTCAAACGCTTCTTATCCAGCAGTAGATCCACGGCCAGGTATCTGAACCGAAGTATACTAAATAACATCTGCCATGTCTCGAATCTGCATAGGATTTCTGGGTCGAGAACTATTTCTTTCAGCAAGTCAAATCCCAGCTCCACGGAGCTTGTGCCGGCCGATGTACTGAAATTCAGTGTCGTGGGAAAAACCGATTGTCCAATATAATGAAGCAGGGAGTGCAGATTCTCTGACTGTAATTAGCTTTGAGAGCCCAGTTCCAAGACCGAATATACTAACGGGATGCATCTTCGTTGAATAGCGACGGTTCCGTATCCACGTGGATTCGACATTCATGGTTTTCAAAGGGCAAGGTCTTCACGCGTCCACCAAGATTAGCAGACGCTTCGAAAAGATGCACATCATGGATCGAGTTTTGTAAGGCCCAAAACGACGTGATTCCAGCGCAACCACCTCCTATGATAGCCACACGCTTGCGCTGATAAACGGGCATGAGAAGTCGATTAGTCTCAGAGACCAGGTTCTTACACCACTTGGCTCGTTGACAGAAAAGCCAATTCGACTCGAATAAGACTTTAAAAAAGTGCTAGAGCTGTGGCAAAAAAGGAACAATCGCAGAAGCTTTTTGGAACCAGAAGTATACTTCGCGTGGTTCTCCAAAGACGTTTGGGAATCCAGCAAAGAATCAACCTCGGCATGAACTTCCCTCGAGAGAGATTGAAACTAATAGAATGGTGGAAGGACCAGGACCAGATCTCTGCCAGCAATGTTTCTCGTCTGTGTCCCTAATCAGTCACTGTGGTTCCCACGGTAGCCCCGTACATAGGCACGAATCTGGTCGTGTAAAGTTGGGGTAGTAAGCCCTTGTCTCCAGCAGGAGGGAAGAATGAAAGAGAAAGACAAAACAAGTCCAGAGATATTTTCTCCTTGTATTCCGGTAATTATCATCCCAGTCCGAGTGTACCAGATGGAAATGATGTCTACTCCAATAATACTGGGCGTGTCCAAGGGGAGCGGAGCAGAATAAACTCACCCTTGGAACAGCCTGTTGCTGGGCTACCAATGATATCGACGACGCCAAAAGGCTGTACAACAGCGGGACATGCACTCGATGATCTCAGCCTGGAAAGCGTCAGCTGGCACTTTTTCAGCATATAGAGGGGGTTGTACAAGTGCTGTAGGGTGGAGGACGAGATAGTTACTTAGAAGCAGTGAGACCAGTGCTATTCTACTGTATGTAGTAAGTTCGGGACTCTGAAGCAACGAATGCAATAGGCACACTCTAGATAATCCTTGATGGCGCAAATAGAGAGATTTCAACAGATCAAAGTCGGCAAGATCTCCTACCCTCCAGATACATGTCTCTGTCAAGAAACAATCCGCGTCCTCTTCGTCCGCGTCGACAAGATAGCAGATCACGTGTTGTGCCTCCTCGGCCTAGCGCTGCGAGGATCATCGCTGTCACCTTCGTCATCCCTCACCCTCTCCAACTCGCTGTCGGCTTCATGAGCATCTTTCTACCACAGTCTCTCATTTCACATTGACCCCTAGTTTCCCGGTTATCGGTTCCGTCATTTCCAACCAGGAATAGCAAAGATACACTCTAGAATCTAGGCTACACCGCTCATTGCGGTCCAGTTTATCCCACCCCGGAACTTGGGGGTGTTCCTTCTTTCGACCTTTTGACCAGATAACGAAGTCACGATAATTCACCATGGCAAATCCCTTGGATACAGATGCCGGCTCTGAGATGTTCAGCAGCTATGAGAATGAGTTCAAGCTCCTCCAGGCAGACCTCAACCAGAAATTAGACCAAATCTCGGAGTCGGGCGGAGAGCAGAGGAAGTCTGCGATTAGACAGGCAGAACGTGCTTTGGAAGAGGCAACTGAACTGGTTCGTGTATTCTTTTTTTCGTTTTCTTCGTCAGGGTCCAAGGGAACATTGTCTAACAGTTCCGACTACTGGTTATTTCGATGTTTACAGCTCGATCAAATGCGCATGGAGAAACAAAACATACCCTCTGCGACGCGCTCAAAAGTCAATATCCGCTTTCGTAACTACGCAACCGATGTCGACGAACTCAAGCGCAAACTCAAGTCCCTCTCCGACGATCGCAAGGCTCTCTTTGGTGATCGCTACACGGACGAACCGCAAGATGCGCATCTAGAGCAGCGCCAGCAGCTCCTCTCGGGTACGGAACGATTAGAAAGGAGCTCAGCGCGACTGCAGGAGAGCCAGCGAATCGCTTTGGAAACTGAGGATGTCGGACGGGGTACGTTGGCAGAGTTAAACCAGCAACGAGAGACGATCCTGCATGCGCGTGCGGGACTACAACGAGGAGAGGGTTACGTGGATACGAGTATTAAGACGTTGCGAGGGATGGCCCGTAGGTAGTAGCCCCCACATTTCTCCTCCCTTCTCTTTGCGTTCAATGACTGGTTGGTCCGTTAGTTGCTCATCATTATATATGTCTCTAACAGGATGGCTACGAATCGGATAATCACCATTGCGATCATTACTGTTCTAATTCTGTTGATCATCGCGGTTATTTACAGCAAGTTTCACTGAGCTTGGGAGATACAGGCGTTTGTTCTGGGTTGTCTTCTTTATGATTTATCGGTTCCTTTGCTATGCGTCTATGTCTGAGTATTGAGAACTCCGCTGCAGTATATATAATACGGGAGAATCATCAAGCCGAACAGGTAATTATGAACAATAATTCGGGGTATCATCTATATATCATCGTAAGCATGTTATATATATATAACAAAATAAAGCCATCCAAAGCAAAAACTACCCGGTAACCCTCATCACCCCAAAAGCCGCATTGACAATAACTCCCACAAAAACAGTCAACCCCTTCCTCCAACTCCATACCCCTTCCTCCCTCCTTAACCACATCACACAACCCACAGGCCAGAAGAACCCCATCACCGCACCCCAAAGCATATCATCGATCGCCCCCCGCGAACCAACACCGAACCCCCCATCATCGTCGGTTCCAAACGTTGCCCCATCACCACCAGCACCACCGCCAAGGCCCACAGTCGCAGCAGCCGTCGTCCCCTCATCCATCCATCTATCCTCGAGTTCCCTCAACTCCGGCCCTGTGGGCATGGTATCGGGCGTCCTCGTAACAGATTGAATGGCGAGAAATTGCGACCGCAAAGCCGAGACCTCCGCCGGCGTGAACCCGGTAGCCAGTAAACGATCAAAACCGCGCGGAGCAGGTGTCGTAAATGGTGCTTGTTCATGTTCATGCTCTTGATCTTGTTCTTGCAGTCCTTGTTCCTGGGCAGAGACTAAATGTTCCTTTCTCTGTTCCTTTTCTTCTGGTCGCCGTAGTAACAACGTAGACGAAACAGCCACCTCGCCACTCAGCTCATCTTCTGAAAGGATGATATCGCCGATCGAGCAGTGGACGTAGACCCGAGGCGCGTCACGGACGGGTTTCTTCCCCTTACCATCGACGCCATCTTGATTGGTGTCTTGTGGGGGGGGAAGAAGAATCTTGGGTTGCAGGTGGAGTTTCAGCGATACCGATAATGGGGACGCATCCTCCAGTCCGCGACCGGCGTAGATGAGACGGAGACGGTGCGTGGATAGGTCTCTTGGGAGGCGAGAGCGGATCAGCTGTTTCAGACCTGCGGCGGTGGTAGTGGAGGGGGATGGGATGTCGAGGAGGAGGTCTGGGATGGAGGCGGAGAAGCGGACTGTGAGGGGGAGGATGTCGGTGTCTGTTGTTGTGTCTGGGGGGTGGAGGACTGGCGATTCCATGTCGGACTGATGGGTCAATTTGTCCCTCTTGCTTTATGGTGCATCAACTGAGGCGGATGATATGATTAAAGTGATGGTGATAATAATTACCTTTATGGTACCACGTGAACATGCTGAAAATAGCTACACACTGACGTACTACAGAGCTCCAGATTCCATTATTGATGAAAACATGCAGTGACCATGCCATAGAGACCATTCTACTGTTGTACATTTCCCATTACCCAATATGTATGAGTACAAGAGTCATATTACCTCATAGAAAACACATTGATACCCCGATGGACCAGCCGCCCCTTTCTCAGAGCGACTCGAGAAATCGGGAGGCCGGACCGTATGTCACTCGATCCATTCTCAGACCGACTAGGCACCTCCGAAGAAACGATATATACATGTAACCGTTGTAGATCTAGACATTTATGTTGTTGCTGAGGTCTCAAGACTCCGGAATTCGGAATCCGGTGTGTGCATTTCCACACCGTAAAGGTCAATCAAGACGCCCCAAGTAAAACCCTGTAACCCAGAACGCCGTCAAATGCACCATGAAAAAAAAACCGTCCCTTCTATTAAGCTCGTGTGCATAGGCATCAGTCAAACCATGAAAGATTCACCGCATCCGCATTGTTCCTCTGTGATGCATTGTTAGTAAAGTTACCTCGGGTAAAACCCCTCCGAAAACCGGGAGAACTCACTTATATTCGGGTTTCGGAAAACAAATCTCCTGCTCAGTTTGTCTTCATGCCAGTCCATTTCACTGCCAATTATGCTGAACAAAGCTTTGCTGTCGATCAGCACCTTGACCCCATCCTGCTCCACCACCTCGTCGAAAGCGCCTGGCTTCGCCACGTATTCAAGGTGATATGCAAGACCAGAGCAGCCCCGATTCTTCACACCCACTCGTATCAACTTCGGGCTTGGTTGAGATAGTAGCTTGCGAAGCTGTTCAACAGCTTCTGGAGTCAACTTCATGGCCGCCTTCCTTGGACGAAGTTGTCGTCGGGGCTTGTGAGCTTTCTGTGTAGGGGCAGCAGCGGAGGATTTTGACGTGGCTGGCTTTGGCTTCTGCGCCTCTCCCTCTCTCACGCTAATTTTGGATGACAGGTTGGACTGTTGGGGAGCCTGGCGCAACCCCCTCTCAGAGGGCGGGAGGAAATCGGCTGCAATGGAGGTGTCTGGGATAGGGGAGCTGCGAGGCGGGGGGAAAGAGTCGGGTAAGGTGTGAGGACGATAAGCGGTGGCTGTCTGCATATCACGCCTGGAGGAATTGTAGATATTTCCGTACGATGAGAAGGTCCGAAGAGCCTGTCGGCTTGAGGGAGTCCTCATCACTGATCTGAAAACCGTGGCGGATGATGTCACCGTCCGGTGAACGGTGCAGCAAAACGACATGGTGAGAAAATCGTATGTATAGCAAATAGTTAGAAAGGTATATTAGTATGAAAGCAGTGTCAACCAGTAATCATGTGGACTGGCGCAGTTGGGAAGGTCGAACAGAAAGAGATTGAAGATGGGCTTTGAGGGTGTCAAGTGTTTATGGAGGCAGAAGACAAAACCCCAAGGTTCTTTCGGCTTACATACGCACGGCCAATCAGAGAGGACATGTTTCTACGCAGGCCGGCATGTGGCGCCACAGCTTCCGTCAGGCCCTGTCAATAATAGATTCAATACATATGATCAGACTATCGGCATTCAGATGGTTTGACATTCGATGATTTGACTGCCTACGGATGGAGACCTTGCTTCTCCCTGCCCACCTGAATGAACTGGTTGTGGTTTGAGCTCCTGAAGAGGATTTCCCAGTGCAGTTACGGCAATACGGGAAAGACCTGAACATCCATAGCCCCGAGAACCGTAAACGGTCCCCCTGGATAACGCTCCTAAAATCATCAATAGTAATAATCCTTTTTTTTTCTGATCGACGGAGACAAATGTATGTTGGGTTAGGTGCGCTAACTGGATATATCAACTCCTCTCGTCACTCTTCCGACGTATGAACTGTCTTCGGTTTGTCCCCCTTTCTGACTTTGGCTGTTCAGCGTTTGAGACGTCTGGTTTCCTCGAGTGGCACTTTTTCAAAGATATCACCCAGGTAACTTATTGTGGCGGCTGCTCTTTCCCATCAGTGAAAAGCTATGCTTGCCAGTCTTTACCACCTTTCGTGGCCTTGAGTCCTACAAGTAGGTGACTTGCGGGATCGGTGAACAAGGCACGCCGTGCATATCTATCAGGATCTAGTCGCTCTATCAGGAAAGGTTGGAAGTAGACAGGGTCACCTGGTTTGAGTGGTATTTGAATATCTTTGTGGATGTCAGAACGAAAAGTGTAGAAAAGGACTATTCCTGGGGGTTCAGGGTGAGCCTCTGTATGTACTCTGTTCGAAAGAAAGTGTGCATGTCGTTCAAACTTTTCATGCCCAACATTTTGGGGTCCAGGCCTGGAGATTTGGGTCTGCTGTTCAAAGTAGTATTCTCGAATGAGTGCATCAGGGGAGTTGCGGAGATTATAGTATGGGTCTCCGAGGTTTTCTGTCCATTGATGATTGGATAAATGAGAACTGCACAGAAGTTGATCTGTCAACAACTTGATCTGTCACCTCAAATGGTGCCTCTTCGGGTTTGCTAACCTTGGTCGCGTTGTGGCAGAGTAGGCCTGCCACTGTCGCCGCTTGACGGATATGAGCCCTGAGGGGCCCTCCATAGAGGCCACACTCATTGCATCCTGTAAGAGGTTCGAGGCCTTTTGTGCGGTCCGGACTTTGCGTTCTCCCAGTCGTCTTTTGGGTGGCATCTGGGATCTAGTACCGCTCCTCGCCAAATTGTCATCTAAAGTTGTATCGTCGAACCTCACATGGGTATTAGACTGATCGTCGTGGTAGGGCACGGGAGGACCTCCGAATGATGCATCTGCGATATTCGCAAGTGAAATGTGATCCTCCAGAAAAAAACGACTTCGGTAGTCTATACTGCTCTCACTATCTTCCATGATGTTCCAGTGGCGTACCCAATCAACTTTCCGCGCTGTGTCCAGCTTTCCTTCCTCTTGCGTACGTCTGTCGCGTTGGGATCTTTTCAAATACCAATAAAGGATGGTGGTTACCGAGCTGAAGCATCTTTCCTTCGTTGTCTATGGTTGGATCCATTGAGAGGCCTTGTTGGTATTCGTGCATTGGTCTGGAAACAATCCTGGTTCGGATTATCACTAGCACATTGGGTTCAAGTTGATTATTGGCAGATAGCGAGCTTGGTCAGGCGTCAAGATCAAATATATATATATATATGGTGAACGAAGAATCTTGCGCAAGAGAGGGCATTATCGCTCGTAGGGTTCTGCTAAGCCAGTAAGTAGTCTTGAACGCATTGACTGTGAGGTCTGCCTCCGAGTTCTGTGGAGGATGGATGGCATCTCCGAGCAAAGAATATCTGAAGCAGATAATGCATGAGCAGATTTTATACTGCTACTCAATATTTAGTAGAAGACCCAAAAAGCATAGGGACAAAGAGTGAAGCAGTAGTTGAGCGGGCTTTCTTCAGGGTACATACACTACAGTAGGTAGATAAGCAACCGTTGTTACTGGGGGGGAGAGAGATCAGGGGACAGACAACTTTCATGTTGGATAGATAGATGGATGGTAGGTAGCTTGCACGCAGGAGGGCTTCGTTTGGTATAACAAAAGAAATTGAAAAAAAAAAGACGAAAAAACAAATGGGGCCAGCCGGGATCGAACCGGCGATCTTCCGATAATCTGAAGGGGATAATAGTCCTTCAGTCGAACGCGATCCCAACTTCGCCATAGCCCCTGATTGGATGATTATATCGCTCCGAAAATGACAATATATGCCAACTTCCCAAGGTTGTGCTCTTCCACACCTGAAGTGGGATGCCATTAAAATATGAACCCAAGGTATGCCACCTACGAAGACAATTATTCTGCCGGTCCAACACCAGGTTACTATGTTCCTATTACGTAATTATGTTCATTGGACGGTGTTCTGGCGCTGATAAGGTGTCCTTTTTTTAATGACACCTCGCTATAGGTGTACCTACCCTACAGTCTGCAGACTACGGGCCTAGGCTGACCATTTTGGATGGGAATTGGTATTGGCGTCTTGGGAATGGGATACAACTACCTATGTATGCATCACGCTGCATGTCATTTTATTTCAGATAGATAGCCTGTTCACGGTCTCTATGGCATGAAAACCAAATATATATCGCAGTCCGTATATTTTTGGGTTATATATCAGCAACCGAACGAGCAGTTCAGCGGGTTGCCTCCGAAAAGAAAGACAATTAAAATACCCATATACAGAGCACATCTTGCCGGCCTTCCCATGTATTTGAGTCATCGTCATTTCACCACGAAAGTGGCCCGATTCGCGTGTTTCAAGGCCTGGCATGGTTGACTAGGCCGCCGCCTTTCTATCCCCCAACCCCAGGCCGTCCCTGCATCCAACTCATGTATACTGGCAAGTTCCAGGATGCGGGGGCAATGATACCACAATGAAATCGATCATAGTTATGTGCCCTCTGTCTTCCCACCATTCTTATTCCAAGCCTCCAACTCGGTGGGCGCTATCGGTTCGTATGTACCGTTCAACGTGCTGCTGTCCTCGGTTATGTGCCGCACCTGACTTTCAATTTTCCGGCAATATCGAATGCCTAAGACTCTTAAGGAACTTTGGACACTTCCTTGAATCAAACCTTGAAAGTAACCTCACGGATATCTCCAGATAGTGTGAGCTAAATCGGGTTGCAGCCAGCCAAGTCGGAAAGTCCATGTCCTGATAAGCAGGGTGGCTTCGCGTCTATTACCTGAAAGGCATTTGCAAGATGGAGTATCTGGGTTCTGTTTTATCATTGTTGGGTCTTTTAATTGATTAATTAGAATGTAAAACAGCTTCCATCGAATTAGGGGCTATGGCGAAGTTGGGATCGCGTTCGACTGAAGGACTATTATCCCCCTTCAGATTATCGGAAGATCGCCGGTTCGATCCCGGCTGGCCCCATTTGTTTTTTCAGTCTTTTTTTATATCTGACCCCTACGGTAACATTCGGGATCGGTTCCACACACACTCTCCGTGCATTACTAAATGCATCTGAGAGCACCTTCAACCCAACAAATTTTAGCAAGCAGTATTCGATCTCCCAGAAATCTCCTGCAGATATTGACAGCAGAAATGCGTTCGGTTCATCCCGCATCGCCAATTCTATCTATGGTTCTGAAAAAACACATGAACAGAGATCAGGCATCCAATTAGTACTATCCAAACTGGCGATGAGTCTTGGTTAATGAGTGCGGAGTATATATACTGCATGTACGTATGGGTGGTAGTGTAGTTACAAAAAGAGTATGGACAGAAAGAAGGCTTTACGGGCTGAGCTGCTACATGCGGCCCCAGATTGGTGGGGGGTCGGCGGTGAAAGGCAACTTGGAGAGAGATAAGCATGACGAGCGCCCGTAGTAGGCTGCTGCTACACTTTAAATAGAACGACTAAATACCTAGTTAGACACACCGTACTCAAGAACGAAGGCGATCGAAGTCACTTGTTCCTAGACTACCTAGGTACCTGGGCCATGCCATTCTGTTCAGCTCCTAGCTGATGCCAACTGCCTAGCAAGCAGAAAACACTGGAGCAACAAACCCATCAAAATGGCCAAAACAGAGCGTCACCAACCGCGCTTCCCCCAGTACAGCATTCATTTCATCTGAACTATGCAGGTATCCGTATCATAATTGTAGTTGGCTTACACCGAATTCGGGGCTATGGCGAAGTTGGGATCGCGTTCGACTGAAGGACTATTATCCCCCTTCAGATTATCGGAAGATCGCCGGTTCGATCCCGGCTGGCCCCATTTCTTTTTTGGATTTTTTTTAATCTCCTTGTCAATCTACAGACTCCGTGTTTGGTCCGAAGTTAGAACAGGGGGGCTTAATTGCCATTAAACAAACCCATTCAATACTGCAGACAGATTTTATGAGTGTTGAGTGATATATAGATATATAGGTGGCGGTAGATTACGGCTTGCCGCTGGTGAAATGGTGCCGTTTGCTTCATTCAGCCTGACAAGCCAGTTTAAGGAGTAAATAAGTGAACCTAGGAGTACCACGTGAAATGAGGCTTGCGCACGGGGTGTGGCTGGAGATCCTGGGCCCAGGCAAGCCACAGTGCAATCCAAGACGGCCAGTGTTCCAAGTATACGTATACTCCAACTGTCCGGACACTGCATTTTACTCCTGTCTTCTTCTGTATCCTGCTATGGCATTCTAAGTATGGTTCAAAAATTTTGACATTTTGACATTGTTCTGTTGTTCCTATTGGCTGTGAATCCTCAGATTGATTTTCACGTCACATCCAGACACGATGGAAGCCTCTCCCTTAACACAACAATTGAGACCGGAAACGTTCAAGCCTAAGATTGTACAACTATATGAAGACCTATTTACAGTATGAGCCTAACCACCCCCTCTCATACCATACAGGCAGCTAATGAACATAGACATCTGACTACCCAGAACCCTCAGAGGGATTTTGGAGGGAATTCTTTCTACTGCCTCCAGACAAAACCCAACTCCAACGCATTCTAGATCAACTTAGTCCAGATGATATACTGGGCCTGCAGGTATTTGGTCATTTTTATTTATGACTAGCTTCTAGTGTACCTGCTAATGCTGCGGCAGTCACAAACCCAACATCTCTTCGCGCGCGCAATCCGCGAAGCTGCCTCGGGTGTCTCTCCGAATGAATCGTCCGCCTTGGAGGTGAGAATGAAGACACCCATCTTTCGTTCCAGTGTCTAAGATCTTCTTTCCCTCCTCCTTTCATAGACCTTGACGGTCTTCCTATCTAGCATCCTGAGAAAGAAGTACACCAATCCTAGTTCCGACGTCATCACAGTCCTTGCTGGACTCGATGAAGTGGATAGTGTGGCTACTGAATTCGTTGCTGTTCTGGATGGCATAATTCGAAATAGCAATAGCTGTAAGAATTTCTTCCATCCCTTGCTGATCCGCTGGGCCCAGTTCTGTCGCATCTCGGTTACTCTGGAGACTCACCTAACATTACTTCTAGTTGATATCCGGCACAAAGCAGTCAGAACGGCGATTGCGATGACTAGCGGCGCCTATCAAACTAGTCTCATCTCTTACTTTACCCATAGAGATCTTTTCCCCTCCATTATGAAGGTAGGCAATCACAGTGCTTGCTTCTGGGAACGATATTGACAGTGGACAGTTTATTCATGAGTCCGAAACGACCATGGAGGTAATCGAACCGTTCATCCTTCTTGGACTGTTGGCAAACTACAACAAATTTGAATTTCAGAATCCTTACCAATTACGCCTCGACGACTTTGTCAACGAATCTACCATCAATAAGATCGTCGAGGGGGTAGGATTGTCGTGTGCTGCCCTGAGAAATGGCTACATTGCTGTGCAGGACGATATTCCCGAAGGCTGGTCACTAGCCGGCACTCTGGTATTCTTCGGCCTACGTGCACTCACCACTGGAGCAAAGGACAGATCGACTCCGCTGACTGCGGAGGAGGCGAGAGAGAGTTTTACTGCTCTGTAAGAATTTTCAACTCGCATCTGACTATCCTAAAGCCTTCCAGCTGATTGAGAACCAGGCCGGCCCCTGAAGCAGCGATCCTGTTGTCCACGTACGATTTTCTAAACGCAAACAAACTTTTTGGTTACCATCTGGTGACTGCTATGCCCAGCAAGAACACTGAGGAGTCTCCTTTCTCAAACTTCCTCTCCTTAACATCTTATCTCCTCCACCACGCCTATCGATCCACGAGGGTAGCTCATTATGCTGAGCTTAATCTGTTCAGCCTCCGTATCATTGTCGAGGATCCTACTCTCTGCAAACAAATCTGCAGCCAGGAAGGCAAACGAAAGGTCCGATTGTGCCGACAGAGACAACCGTATCTTCCTTTGGTCAACGGAGACCGTATCATGGTAACTGTGATCTTCGATATCATGATTGATACTATTTCCCACAATCTTCGTCGACGTCTCGATGCAGGCCTATACAGGTAAGGTCGTCGAACCAGCAAATAACCAGCAGCACGGAATCTAACTTTGTCCCTTTCTCCCTTCCAGCCAAACTATCGCAATTCTCCTCCGCCTTCTCACATTCCTGTCTACCAACAAAATCCGGCTATCATATCACTGGTCCGAGCTATGGCGCACGCTCCTCACTCTCATGCGATTCTTGACAACTTATGCCTCAGATCTATCCAGCAACCCGCATATCGGCGCTCTCACAAATTCCCTAACCAATGTGATCGCCTTCTGCGCGTTTGCAGGAGACACGTTCCTTCCAGACCCCGCCTCTTACGACGACCTATTCTACAAGCTCGTCGAGACTGGCCCCATTATATCTAGATTCCGTGAGGTCTACTCGGTCAACTTTTCCACCTCTTCCACGTCAACCACTACTTTGTCTTCCCCAGCCTCGAAAATCGCAACCCCAATCTCAACCAGCATCAAAGATAGTACCCACACTGCCGCTATCGATGCCCTCTTATCCATCTCTGCACATTTTTACGCACTTCTCTTTCCCCATGAAAAAGCCAAGAATGATAGTGCGAATAATAAGCCACCAAAACAGGACGGTGCAGACGGGGAAGCTATTACTATCCATCCTATCACCAGGAGAAACCTCAGCCCCCGTGAAGTTCACCGAATTATCAAGCAAGGCTATGATACATTGAGCATACAGCCACCCGACGATCTCAATACGTGGGAAAAGTGGCGTGAGACGGATTGGAAGACGCAGTTGAAACGGGCCGCTAGGGTGACTGTTGATGATGCCAAACAGCTTATTGCTTAGGTATTATTCATGCTCTGGATAACTTTCCTTTTCTCTCTCTTTTATCTTTTCTTTCATTTTGAGTCCCGAGAGTGGCCCACTCTGTTCATGTCTTGGGTAATGAAGAATAAGAAGACTAGGATGGAAATCCCCCCCACCAATTTTTTTTTTTATTCCCCCTCTGCTGCCTCTTTGTCGTAGGCCTGTCAAGATATATATTTGGATGGGATGGTGGAAATGGATTATCGAGTTCAAGTTCAATATATCTTTCAGATCTATCTCTCAATAATACATTATGCATTTGGATTCGAATAAAAATTTTTTATGGAAGGAAATATTTTGCTAGCAAGTCCCTGCTTTATTTGAAACAAGTCCCAGGAAGACAAGACAGCAAGCAGCATATAGATGATGTAACCTCCAATCTGTGCAAACAATTAACAAAGAAAGAAGACATTATACACAAGAAAGTAAAAAGAAACCCGCACTTTTTTCATCGCTAGCAGTTATCTTCAGAATTGATTAAGAAGCCAGAACCCCATGCTAAGTATGCCCCAGAGAACAGCATGCATTTCCCACTACTATTGATCATACTAGACGTGAAGTGGCGGTACCTGGAGTTGGGTTCACAACACCTCGCGACCTCTCGACATAATCGTTACTAGGATTAATGTATCTGTTGACGAAGTACTTTTCGGAGTTTTTACCGAGCCAGAGGGTAAACTTGGACAGTTCTTCGCGGAGTCGGTTGGTGGACTGTAAGTCCATGTTTGTCTGGGCAATAAGCTCGGGCAAGGTAGCTGAAAGAGAGAGGAAAACAGAAAGTATGGTTAGTAGAACTCGACGAATCCGCGTGAAGGGTCATTTGAACGATGAATACGCCTTTGAAATAGCTTGGAGGAAATGTTGGATTGAGACTCACCGAACAATCGGGCCAAATGCTCTGCGCCGTATGTATCCAGAGGACCCTTGCCGGAAAGGTCACCAGATGCGGCTTCCCACCTCTTTCGGATATTATTGTACTGCTCGCGTTCGAATCTGTAAAGAAGTATCTTTTCTAACGACTTGTCAAAGTATTCCCTGATGCCCTGGATTATCTCTTCAAGAACATCAATATCGGCTGGAGTAGCGCGTTTAGCCTTCTCTTCTTCTATGTAGGCCTCAAGGATCTGATTTACAGAGACCTTGGAGGGCAAGGCGACGACTTGTTGGTTTTTAGTGATATTTTCCCAGTCATCAACGAGCAGGGATTTGAGATTATCTGGCATGATAATCCTGACTGAAGGACGTGCGAAGAAGTTTTCCTCCTGGAAGGGTGGTTAGCATGTGTATGAGGAAAATAAGAAAGGAATACATCATAGATTGAGATAGAGTCATATTCAAGAGTGAAGGAAGCAATCAGTGAACTGACCTTTTCAATTTCGTTGTCGCGGCCTCTCTTGGTACCACGAGCAGGAGTCTGTCTCTCTTCACTGCCACGAGTGGAGCTGGGGTCAGAGCCACCCCTCCTCTTCAGGGTGGACTTGGAATTTCGTTGCCGGAACGAAGCCTCAGCTTCTCGGCGGAGGGTGGTTGCCAGTTCCCTGTTCTCTTCTGTGAATTTACGCAGTCTGTCCTGAGACACCCAGTCATCCCAGCTAACAACAGGAGTCAAGTCAGCCAAGTCATTACTTATACAAGGAAATCTTCCCCATCCCACAAAAAATAAACGAATTAGCAAGTTCTGGAAAGGGAAACCACACAGGCAGCTTCCACTTGAGCAAGGGGGGAAGATTTTTGCATGGCAGCAAGTGAAAACATAGGCACAACGGTTTTGAGGAAACAAATGAACATTAAAGCACAGGGAGATCACGGACTGAAGAAAACACACACATACGTATTCTTCCAGCCCTTATAATGCACCAAATATTCATGGGGACTCTTCTTGTCACTTGGGTCAGAGTGCCTCACGTCGAGGATCTTAGCTTCGTATAAGATCTCGTGGTGGAAGCACAAAACTTTCTCGTCTTTCTGATAACTCGCATGAGCTGTTGGAGCCATCTTGGCGGGAAAGCACAGTGAGCCTCTGGCTATATCGAATGTCTTCTTTGAGCCAGCTATTAGATATTTCTGCCAATCCGAAAACGGCGGTCTTGAAACGTATCACCCCAAATTGCCGTGATAAAGGCAGGAGATACGCAGAAGCCGCGGCGACTTGCCAGATAGTGTGGCGCCAAACAAGCAAAGAAGGATATGAAAAAGGTGCACAGATTCAAGAGGATGAAGAGGCAGCTCAGAGAACAGAGTCTGGAAGTTGAAAATCCACAAAGGGAACAAGATTGACTTTCGAATAGCTTTCGAAAACCCAATAGATGACACGGTCAATGGGCCGGATATGGGGAGAAGAAAGATCTCCAGGAAGCAGACACGATCTGGAGACGACCCGGATGAACGGAAAGAGTCAAAAAGACCGAATAAGAGAGCAGAGAAGAAGATGTTGAGGTGGTGGATTTTACTGGGGATATGCTTTGGTTGGAGAATGTGAGAGCAACCCCAGAGAAGGAGAAATGTCCTGCCGAAGGCGGCAAGCGCGTGAATTTGACCTCTCTGAATTCACTGTCAACCAGCATCTATTCCATCCAGGAAGTGCCACAGAGTCCATCATAGTCCAATTTTTTTTGTATATATCCAACAGGTTGCAGTGTGTTTTGCCCTGTGTTTCCAGTTTGCTTGCATCACTGGCTGACTTGTGGCTGCAGTCTGCCTGGATTGTGTGGACACGCAATTACTATTATTGCATCTCCATTCTTCATTCTACTCCAGAGAGAAGCTTTTTTGTGCTCGAACAATTATGGCACCACCATCAGAGAAGTCTGTTCTGAGCAATTTTCTCCTATCTCCTGCTTCTCTGCCGACAGTGATGTCGTTGCAGAAGTTCACGGAGCTTTTCCCCAAGCGTCTACGGTCTCATCCGCAGATAAGAGCTCTATACAGAGAACTGCAACAACTACGTGAGCAGGACATGGAGCTCATCAATGAGAATATTGATGAAGAAGTCGAAAGGGGCAAAGAGCAAAGGGGAGAGCTACGGAAGGCTAGCAGGAATCGTGACGTCGAAAGTTTGAATGAAAACGACCAGCGGGAGATGGACATAGATATGCGATTATTTGGCTCAGAGCCTGCGCTATCTTCTGAAGACTATCACTCATTGTCCAGTCTACTGTCCGAAATGGAGGCTGCATGCGATGATATCGAGCGTGAGATAGCCGACGTGGACGAAGAGGCTGACAGGATCTTGTCCGGCCTCAATACGACAGTCGATGAAATGAGCGATTTACGCTACGGAAAGCACCAAGGCCCTGCAGGGCAGACTGCTGATGATGTTGTGGACGAGGCTGTTCAAGGCTTGAAAAACCTTGAGGACAGCTGTCATCGCAATAGCACGTCATGAAGATGTCCTGAAACTTGCACTGTCTGTCTTCTTCGGTCAATCTTTTTTACTGTCGTGTTCTCCTTATGCCTGTGTGTCTGATTATTCCCCCTTCCTTCTTTTCATTGTGTCCTGCTGCTCTTCCATCACAGCTGAAGGTATCGCAAGCTCCCCTTTGGTGAATCCCAACTGTATATTGGAAGATTACTCGTCTACTTTGCCCTGGAAATTTTTGACTGTTTAGAATATTTGGTGTTTTATTTCCTTCCTTTTCCTCCTTTACACTCCTTCCTGGAAGGTCAATTATTCAGAAAATGACTCCAACGCAATGAAATCAGCCTTAGCTGCAAATATCGAAATCCATTTCGACACGACCTTCCATAAAGCCTGTTATCCTAACACTCCTGTCACCCCCTTTCCCCCTTCCGATCATCTTATTTTCCCAGCTCCTTAAGCAGCTCGTTGCCGATGAGGAAAGCCATATAGTCGGCATCTTTCTTATCCTCGTCATCCCTTGGTCTCATTCCGAAGAAAAAAAAATTGTACGAGCTCATCAAGCGTGTATGCAGTCCGATGCTTCCAGCTGGTTGCCTCATGATCCGGATTTCTGGGTAATGGGATATGGCAGTGGAGTCCCCGGTTATTCTTCCTATTCTCCCTTTGCCCTTCAGCTCGATATTGTTGGGCCATGGGTCTAGTGCCCGACTAGGATGAATGGTTGCCCAGACTGTTCGTTCTGCGAGAACCGGAGACAAATTATCTTCGAATTTCTTCCCATAAAACAACTTTGGGCCCTGTCCCAGCTCGCTGGTGCGTTTTTGGGAGAGCGACATTTTGTTTTCTATTGTCCACAACCGATGGTCAATCCATTCTGACAGCTTTTGCGGGATGAAGCACGACTTAGGCGCTATGCGGATGCAGCCGAGCCGAAACTTGATGAAGGCATTATGCTCCTTCACTCTGTCTGAAACCCAAGTTTTCGAAAAGGTGTGTGACATTTCGGTATCGATATTTCCAGAGAGAGCAACGTTGTATTCTGAATCTCAGGCCAGCCCCTTTGGATTTGTTTAATGAGGATGCCAATTTGAGTGCTTGATGGACCTCACGTATTCTGGGACGAAGATACGAGATGAGTAGTTCGAAGGCAGACAGCTTGTCACCTTTTCAAACGGAGATATCCAGAAACGACCCTTCACATGACTTTTGGTTGCTGGTGGGCTACAGATTGTATTGTTGTATCAAGAAGAGTTCCTCACAGGCAGATTAATACTTTTATTTGGCCCCCTTGGTTTTGGATTTCAGTAGAAGATGGAAAAGAAGTGTTACCTTTCAATTTACAAGGGTTGAATGATAATAGTTGACTCTTTGTAGAAGATATACCATGGTATATATAACAGTGAAGTTCATATCCAGTAAATACATCAGACTGTGAAGGGGTCCATGGAATTCACGAGCTTGCACAGTGACGATGATAGTAATTGATTTGAAGCTATATTAGCTACATTATCCAATATGCACACATCAAAGACCTTTTCCTTCACAGAGAACATACAAGGACAATATATAAATAGTATGAATTCATTTCTTTCACTTTATTCAGGTCTGGTGGAGTGTGACTGATTCATGGAGTGTACTAGGTATAGGGCTGAAGTCTTAAGTTTAGATCCACTCCGACACAAAACTTCAACACTATGACGGTACATCTTCCCATGAAACTACCTCCCACCAAAGAAAGTACAAAAGGAAACTGACCCAAAATCCAAACAACATAGTGAAAAGACCACCATGCCCTCAATCCCATTACACCCTCATCCATCGACACTCAATGCCAACACCAACACCGCCATCGATAATCCCCTCCCGCCCCTCCTCCAGACGCCCTCCGGTCTAGCCATTCTCGAACTCCAAGGCACAATCAACATCCCATCCTCCGTCCAAGAACCCGTCAAGAGTGACATGTCCCGATTGCCATTCTCTCAAGGTGTCACCTTCGAAACCCATGTCGGCAAATTAATGTTCCCGGACTACTCCCCCCATCACGACAAAGATGACAAGAAGTGGATGAAACGCGTTTATCTTTACGTCGGTCGATACCAGAGGATGACTGGTGAGGTTAAGGAGCTGTCAAATCCGGTCGCAGTTATACAGAAGAGGCCTAGGAGGGATATAGGGAAAGGGAATGGGAAGGGAGAAGGGGAGATGGATGTTGATTCCGAGCAGGTTGCTGCGCCGTCTTCTGAGGGTGTTGAGGGGGATGAATTGGAATTGGAAATCGTCGAGATTATCAGATATAAGCTCTTGTTTAAGAGTAGGCCGGAACCGGTGAATGATTCTTGAGCGTTCAGTTCTGGTTTTCATGGGCGGTCTTCCAGCAATCGACCAAGGTTCTACTGTGCAGGTGCTTTGGAGGCTCGAGTTACGGGATCGCACGATTTACACTTCTTTGCACGATGAAGAGACTCCTCTCTATCGTGTGGAGGATATCAGAGCGACGGGTATATGCTGAAGGCTGGTACGCGAGTCTACGGATCGGATATTTCGAGATACACGGCATTGGAACGAGACTCAGTACCTACTGTGGATATAAGACAGGGCTTGGGAAGCGACATTACGTCCGCCCCATTCGTGGTGGTAGAAGGAAGCCCCAAAACGAGTAAGATACTTTCATGATTTCCTTCCACATATCGATTCTTTATCCCGCAACGACAGCCGTTGACCAAGCAGCAGGAATCTCATTAGGCCTATCCTTTCACGGACGCTACAGTCACCTCCATTCTTGGCCTTTCTTTTTTTTCAAATACCGAAAGCATTCTATTTCAGGTTTACGAAAGCGGCCATTCCAGCTGACGCGTCTAGGATTAATGAACATGCAACCATACTGGCAGCAATGGGCGTTTGGTGGGACGGACGAAGTGGCATCTGCTTTAGGACTGTAGTATACCCGTTATTTGTTCTTCGAGATGGTCTAATAATAAACAAAGCCGACACATTTTGGGTGGAATATGGTTGATAAAGACATGCATCCGATTATACCCGTTGGATCTTTCCCCATCTGGATTCCCTTCAAGCCATATTATGTTGGAATAAAGAAAAGCCACTGCACCGAAAACCAACGCTGGTTATGGGCAGGGCTTACACGCGAAATATAATCTCAACATATTATATTTATATATGTAGAGAAGCAGGCATAGGAGGGAAACATGGAAGAAGAAAGAAAGAAAAGAACCGAAGGATTCTAAGACTGCATGTGGAAAAAAGGGCACGAAGACATAAACATCCCTCACTTCGGCAATGATCCAGGCAACATTGGGCCAAAATTGGATTCACTATAAATACGTGCGAGGAACAGTTAAATTAATACCTTTTTTGGTTGGAGAAACATATATACCCCTCTCACCCCTCATCCCTCCCACATAACATCAACATACAACATACTCTGTCAACTCACCGTTACTTCCCATTGAATCATTCCCACCGAAGCAAGCAATATGGCCCCAGTCGAACGCATAACCCTCTTCAAAATCCCCAACGAAGGCGACCTACCCAGCTTAGAAGAGCAATACAAGATCCTTGTCGCGAATGCCAAGAAGGTATGTCTTACTGTAGTCATCATAATAGTAATACTCCGTAATGCCCGAACTAACCGAAATACCCGGGAATCCCCAAATAGGACGGAAAACCCTACATCCTAACCGTCGCAGCGGGGAAATGCTTCCCAGACCCGCGGAACAAGGGCTTCAATTTCTCCGTCAAGACGACCTTTGCGTCGATGGAGGATATGGAGTATTATGATAAGGAGTGTGCGGCGCACCAGGCGCTCAAGGCGTATGTGGCGCCTATCAAGGAGGATATTTTGACGACTTATTTTGTGAGTGCTGTTTAATCAGTTGCATAGTTGGGGGTGGAGTGGGAGGTAGCTGTTTGCGGGGTTATATATTAGACGGCTCTCAGTGTATGGGATTATCCGTCTGCATTGGTTATCCCTGGGATCAGTTCAATAATGATAGGGTTCACGGATTGGAGAATACATATACATACAATGGGTTTGATGGTCCCAGTGATGGCAATAAATGATCATGTTATGAGTTTTAGAATGAATAATTACATCAACCAATGCTGTTAACTACGGATAATGATCCTCTCCTAGTTGTGATGAGTGATAATATTCCAGTAATTGAATTTGATATCCTCATTGAAACCTGGGTATACAGCTAGAATACACATGTTGTATAATATGGAACAAACACATCTATGATATACATCATAACCACCAATGCTAATATGGTAGCAACCTCATGCAAATGACTAGACAATCGTGACTTGAGATTCTTTCTTCATTCCTCTTTCGTCGGCTTCTCAGAGCTTCCTTGTAAGGTATGCACATGAAACGAAAATGGAAACAGGAACCAGCTTTTCTGGCGAGAAAGTGGAACCGTCAGTATCTACACCATGCCAAGCGTGTCCAGACGTCGGCAACATAGCAGATATGAAACAAATTAAAAGAGAATAGAAAGATGACGGTGCCCCTCGCTAAAAAGAGGTCAAGAGAGAAGTCTAGATGTTCGCAAATACTTACATTCCAACCTCCCTCAAGATCAATATGCAACATGAAATGTGCAACTACAAGCCCACAGTTAGCAAGTCAATCAAGAGCCTTGCGAAGATCACTCCATTTCTGTTTCAGCGCTTCGTGGTTTTCGTTGATCTGCAAGAACTGTTAGTATGAGCAATCTTCAGAAAGCCCGAACTAAACCAAACGCACCTCAGCCCATTTCATCTTCGCATCTACCAGTTCCTTCTCCATTTCGGCCATCTGCTCTTCCATCGCTCTATTCTCATTCTGTACTTCGACGTTCCGTTGCATTATGCGATCCATTTCCGTTCGGAGCTTCGCCTCGACTTCTTCCGGCTGCTTGTCAACCACATTCTTCAGCTCTTGTACTTGGATCTTCAGTGCGTCTGTCAAATCTTCGAGCTCTTCATTCTCGACCTTAAGGCGAACAAGCTCCGATGCGAGCTGCACGTGCTCCTTGTCGGACGTTTCTGTCCGTTCTTCAAGCTTCCGGATTCGCGCCGCTTGCTTGGTGACAGTCTGTTTTAGTGTCTCGAGCTCCAATTCACGTTCTTTCTCAACACGACACTTCTCCTCCCATTCGGATGTATACTCCTTGACCATCTCTTTGGTCAACGGAATAGCGCATGCGTCTTGGACCATGATGTCAGCTCGATATACTTCCTTATCGGCTGCCCCGGAGCTTCCAAAGAAGCCCGACTCCAAAATGGATGAGGGCGATGGTTGTTTATCGATATACACATCGAACAATCTCTCTTTTAAGAATGATGTGAGCGGGCTCATGTCCTTCATGCCTAAAAGCGTGTCGGCGTTCCGGCGCATAATCGCAATGGCAAACCTAAGAATGGCGCTTTCCAGGCCTTCCTCAAAGACAAGATCGTAGATGCGAAGGACAAGCTGCAAAGGGAAGCGGTAGGCGAAAAGGGTTAGGAACCACTGGGTGGCGTATAGCTGCGGGGGAACCTCTCGTCTGCGAAGGTGGCAATAGAGAGCCGGCTCCAGGTCCTCCAGCAGGCGCTCAAACAGATAAAGACTACGATGGAGCCCGGGCATCTCGTGGACGAACATTTCCCGCAGCCCATACTTGTTCATAAGCTTGACAAGGAGCGTAAAAGCTTCGGCTTCATCCATCTGTAATTCGGTTAGATAGGCCTTCTTATCTTCTGCGGATACCCTGGTACCTACGTTAAACAGTAACGGCATAGCAATAAAGTTCATACCTTGGGCATAACCCACAGCCTCATCGTACAAAGCGTATGCTTTACACAACCCAAACAACGCATCCTGATTCCCTTGGGAGATGAAATATCGTGAATAACTGGTACGGGCACCCAGATCTCTTCTGATGGTCTTCTCCAATTTCTGTAACGCGGCAGCTTGTTCCCTTGCTTTCTTCTGTTGGGCAGCTTCGCGTGCGGCGTGCTCCTTGGCCAACTTCTCAAGGTCCTGCTCATGAGAAGGGCTTGAGGTACCGTTATTCAAATGTCCCACCATGCCCGAATTATCTGAGCGTACAGATGAGCGCGAAGAGACCATCGATTCCTTATCTTTGTCACTTGCATTTCCACTGGATGGATGGCCATTCCCGTTCACGAGGTGCTCTTTTTCTTTATCTGTTCCCCGAGCGACAAGCTCCCTGTAGACCTCTTCAAGCTCGGGATTCCTGCTGTCAGCCATGACTTGCCAAATGACTCCTCGAATAGTCTGTGGAATCCCCCTCTTGATGGCAGCGTGTAGTTCTTCGGAACTGGCACCTGTTAGGGCGGTTGGCCCTTCATTAACGAGCTGTTGCCATAACTCCCAATCCACAGGCGCGGAAGCATCAGTCGCTGAGGTAGAAATACCCGAGACTGTGCCAGGAGGAAGGCTGGGGTTGACCGTGACGGCGGAGGGCGAGGTTTGCGGTGTGGAAACATGAATCTCCCCCTCTTCCTGGATACTCCGTGGACTTTTGATGCTCGCGTTCCCCGACGCAATGCTGGATACATCATTCTCTGCAATCGGCCCCTCCTCGCGCATTCGTAGTATCTTGAATTGGTCCTTTAAGCTGCTTCGCTTCTGCTTCTTCGATACCCCGTTCACGCCATCCACGTCATCTTCAGGCAATTTAGCCAAATGATCTGCGTTGCTGGACATAGTAGACACAGAAGCCGCAGTGCTCCTATGGCCGCCAGTTGAGTGCTGAGGCGGCTTTGTCTCCTTCGGTGTCGTAGAACTTCTCGTAAGCCATGCGAACGGGCTTGTAAATTTCCGAGTTGGAGGCGGCGGGGGAGCAGGGGCGGGAGGGGAGGGAGGGGAGTTTTTATGTATAGGCGGGGGAGGAGCCCAGGGGACCGAGGGCAGGGCTCCCGATAAGCCCATCATATTCGAATGGTGTGATGACATTGAATCCCTCGCAGGAACCGGGGGAGGAGAAGGCACCGGGCGGGTGTTCTGCCCCGAACTCTCATCTTCATCTTCCTTATTCCCAGCAAGGTTCACATCGTCAAGTGAAGAGGTCGACAGACGATGAGCAGTCAGTAAGGGGGACTTTTGTAGTTTCTGTTTCCGTGGCGTATCCTCCACATCAGACTGATTGTCTGAACTGGGATCGTCCGTAAAGTAATCTTGTTTCTCATTCTCAGCCGGAGGAGATCGTGGAGGAAGGGAAGGAGGGTGCGCGGGTGATCCACTCGTCGGCGAAGGGTTAGTTAGAGAACGCGTCGAATTACCCTGAGGAAGGGGAGACGGCATGGCGTCGCTCGCTGTCTCATGAGCGTCTTCGAAGGGTTCCTGGTTAGAAGACATGAAGTGAGCTCTCAAGTCCCATGCATTAGAAAAACCAGGGGTTAGAACCAACCCCTTCGTAATCCCTGTGATCAGACATATTTGGGTCTGGCCACGCCGGGATGGCTGAATGGATGTGAGTGTAGTTGGAGCAGTTCGAGGTAGAATTGACTCGAGGGAGAGGTTCAAGCCAGCGACCCCATATGGCAGGCGAAAAAATAAGGCGCAGTTATGGGGTAGACGATGAGAGCACTTTTGGCGGAAGCAACAGCTCCGCAAAGGAGGCTAGTGCATCAGATCGGATTCAGGGATGGCAGACGGGAGACAACACGCGCAGCGCTGAGCTGGAGTTGAAGGTTTGTACAGTGGCGCAGAGAAAGGGGCAGTTTCAAGAAGAGACGCAGCAGCAGGGGAATTGCTGTGCTTGCAGCTGCGATTTGGAAGAAGATGGTTCGACAACAGCGTGTGCTCCAGGATAATATTAATAGAACGGAGGATCGAAGCAGTAAGATAATACGGAGAGCAGACGCCACTAGTGTTGGAGAATCGACAGGGTTGTGCAGTTCCTAATTACGGGAGCACGGCATGTCGCCCACTTCACAATTCCTGTTCGACCACTCCTTATAAAACATCTAGAAATGATGAATTCCCAAGGCTAAGGAGAAAACGCGTACAGACAGAACTATCATATCATTATAGAATATCCATGGATTTCCTGTTACAGACCACGTCACGCCCTGTAACCCCGTGATGCGGTGTCCAGGGCGGTAGTATTCTGCCTGTCTTTAAGGGGAATCGTCACAACGTTCTGATAATAATAGTTCTCGCTGCAAAAGAATGGCCAGGATATCCATGTCTCACTCACTGACTCCCGAAAGCGTCCTCCTCAAATCTAGCCACCGCCCCTTCCTCAGTGGATCCAACCCCTGGAGTTCCGAGAGCCAGCTCAAAACATTTTGTCTGTCCGCACTAGACATGGCCCCCTCGACCTTGGAAGCCAGAAGCGTACACTCGATCAGTGCCTGGTAGATATATTTACAGTCCTCTGCACCATCCAGCATCTCCTGGATTATCTCGATCTCTTGTCGGATGTAGTCTAGCCGCTCAGCGTTGGTCAGATGAGGAGCCATTGTCTGAGCTGCGGTTGCTGGGTCGAAGCTGCACATCAGGTTCTGATGGTAGAACCACAAGGACTGGTCATATGGATCACATAGTGCGAGGTGTATGAGATCCAGCTCTGTGGTAATATATATCAGTATCGGAGTCTTTACCAAGCCCAGGGTTAGGACAATAGAGCCTACCATCATCAAGCATTTTCCGTCGCTCAGCCTCCCCAGCAAATTTTTCATTCAAAAGTTGCTGGATAAGCTTAGTTCTGTAATGCCATGCCGAGAAGTTCGACAAGTTTGCCCCTATCATCTTCTTTGAATACTCAAACTCTTCCTGTGATATTTTCTTCTGCTCATCGCTGTCTGGAGTGAGCATCTTCAGTGACTGCACGACTAAGCGTCTGTAACCCCAGCCGTGGAAATTCCTGCTGTCAAGACTAAGCATCTTATTCACAAGTCCAAGCTCTGCCTGCCAGAATTTACGGGCAGTCGGGGCTGGGAGTAAGAGCTTGCTTTCGTTGAGCAGCCACGAGCGGTGATTCCAAATCCAGTAGCATTTTGGGAAACGACGGAGAAGGGGGACCAGGAACTGCAAGTCACTTTCGATCAAGCCTACTATTTTGCTAGGCTCGTCTGATTTTTCCAGACAGAACAGGTGCTGGAGAACTTGACGTCGATAGTTCCATACTGTATAATACTCCGGGTTGCTGGTCAGCAGCTCGGTGGTCTTCTGCAACGTTTCCGGTGTATACTGATGCTCCGCAATCTATCCAAATTCGATCAGCAATAGTCCTCCTGAAGCGGATCTGGGATCTCCACTCTTTCGCAAATTAGTCCTTCCAGATATTTGTATTTTTCAATCTTGTGAAGCTCCTGCTGGCGCGCTTCCTCCGACCGCTCCTGCAATTGGTAGCGGGGAACTCCATGCTGTGGAAACACTGCTCAGTACATGTGCGACAAGAGTTTCCAGGGCAAGAGGGAGCATACACTGCCCATACTTAACAGCGTTCCTACAGTGCCGGGATAGTAGCCATGAACAGGTTAACGGACGGTTTCCGGCTGGCGCTCGCAACTGCCTTCCCTCGTACGGTCACGTGGTAGGTCCTTCTACAGCACAGAAAGTGTCTATTGCCTCTCTTCCTCGCTCTCTATCACCATGAGAGCCACCAGGGCCCTTCTATCGGCATTTAGTTTGTTAGTCTTATTTGTGGACATTGACCATTCTCTGGAAGGCGTACGAGCTTCTCATGATCATTCCTTTCTCGAATCTCGTCCGTCCTATTGCTAGCTGGTTCTCCAAGAGGCCGCAGTAGCGATGGTGGATTCAAGATGTCACTCTCACGACGAAACAAGCTCGTCGGCTGCTGCTAATTGCGACATTGTCTCTCGTTTTCGTGTCCATTCTGGATCACTCAAAGCCAAGGGGTTCATGGGAATAGCTGAATTTGCAGTTATTGACTTGACTCTCCCAGATCGTCTTACCCTTGACCACGATGAAGCGGAGAGCCATGAAGTCCGCGGGGTACTTTCTGATGATATAAAACGCATGCCCCGATTGCGTGGACGCGAGGGGTCTCCAGCTGCTAGCGCCTCGAAAAATCCATCCACTAATTCACCCAATCTCAATGCTACAGAGACGTCAGTCGAAAGAGGTCGTTCGAGACACAGACGCTGTGGGAGTCCCAGCAAGAAAGAGATAGTCTTAAGGGGCCCGGTATCACCGGATCGATTTATCCCGTCACGACAATTTGCTTGTCCACCATCCACACCTTTCCGTGTAAGCAAAGTTCCAACCCAGCTAACGCCCGAGGAGAAGCTCCGGCGGCGATGTCCACTAAGTGCAGACCCCTTTATGCCTTCTCGTCCGCGGAGGTCTGTGGAAGATCCAAGGACGCAAAGGCAAGCGGAGCGCAGACATAGTCCTCACTATGGCCCTCATCTTGTGAATGATTCAGCTGCAGTAGGGAATCATGGAGACAATGAAACAAACGGTCTTCTGAGACAGGTTAGCTCTGGTGCTGTCTGGAATGTCGGTGGCTCATCAGCAGTTCTAGGTCGGCCACCTACAGCAGTCCCTGACGGTGCTGGCGGTCTACTTGGCAGTGGAACCACTGCTCCGATGTATGTGGCTAAGTTCATGAAGCGTTCTTCACAAACCGACATGCATGAGAAATATGAATCAAGAGTGGCTCTCGCATTGGATATTGATCGAGCAACTCGACTCCTCGGAACATCGACGGACTGGCCGCTACTGGATTCGAAGCCAAGTCCGTCTTCTCCTGACTACGAACGGTTTTTCCCTTATTCTTGGAAAGACAACGCTTGGAGAAGAGCCGAAGAGCTTCAATGTAAGTCCAAAATTTCACATTCTGCAAGGTAATCGTGGGAGCTATTTTTAAAAGGTATAATTTACTTTAATGGCAAATGCCCAAGCTCAGTGGGCTATCCACGGCTCAGTAGAATACATAGTGGCCGTGTTGTTCTTGTTATTTCATATATGATATATACTTAAATCTTATCTATACTTATGGTAAGACTATGTCAGACTTCATAGTTTGCGTCCTTTCTATACGTGTTTGAATAGCGCATTGACAGTTCACCGACGCATAGGGCCACAACCTGCTTCCAAGGACCACGGGGAAAAAGAAGTCGTTCCGTCAAGGCCCTTTCGAGTGCTAGAAGCTCCTCGCCTCCAGGACGATTTCTATTGTACCGTACTCGCGTACTGCCCTACTTCAGGAATACTCGCCGTCGGGCTTGCTCACGAAGTCTATCTCTGGTCTGAGGATTTCGGTGTACACCACCCACCATTTAATCACCATCGTCCGTCAAATTATGTGACATCTCTTTCATTCTCATCCGAGAGCGGGAGAAAAAGCATTCTGGCAGTCGGCCATCAAAGCGGCTTGCTGACCCTGTGGAGTACCTTTGAGTCAGACTCGCGTTTTGAGGTGGCCCATCCGAGCAGTGTTTCCTGCGTTGCATTCAAGCAAACGACAACCCGCAGACTGTCGGAGAGATGCCCAGACATGGCAGCGGATGTGGAAGACCTTGCGGTTGGCGACGAACATGGCTATGTATGGTATTATTCAGTAGAATGGCCGGACCATGATTCTACTTGGGGGGGCTCTATGGTGTTACTGGCAAAAATCTCTGCCCACACACAGCAAATTTGTGGCTTGTCTTGGTCACCAGATGGTACTTATCTTGCAACTGGTGGCAATGATAATGCCTGTCTGCTCTTCGAGATTTGCGAGATCGTTCCACCAGCCCAACTTGGAGAGCCACCAGAGGATCCGCCGCTGCAGCATCGATCCTCGGGATGCCATAACGCATTTTCTTGTCTCGCTGTCAACGCCAACCCTAGACGCCTCTTCAGCAGACGAAACATCCTCAGCCACCTACTTCCTTTCTGGGGTAATTCGGACGCCAGACCGTTGTCTCCCTCGATCTTTAAACAGACCGGTTCATTCATTTCTGGGGGCGGACGAACAGCCATAGTGTCCCCAAACAGTCACAAACACCGGTTCGCGCATTCCGCAGCTGTCAAGGCGATAGCTTTCGCTCCGTGGCAGCCATCTCTTCTCGCCACCGGTGGTGGATCAAATGACCGGGCTATCCACTTCTTCCATACACAGTCAGGCGCATGTCTCGCTACAATCAACGTATATGCCCAAGTAACTAGCTTGATATGGAGCAAAACACGACCAGAGATAGCTGCTACTTTCGGGTATGCGCAACCAGAGCATCCTATCCGCATCGCTGTCTTTACGTGGCCGAGTTGTGAACAGATCACCGCAATTCCATGGGGCCCGCGTGGAAGCAGCGTGGATGGTGGCATCAACGAGAGTACCACTGACTGCGGGAGAGCTCTTTGGGCAGTCAGCTATCCTGGATGCCCTTACGGGTTGGCTGCAGATCTCCATGACCAGGCTGATACTTCAACTGAAGAGGGCCCGAGTGGGCGGCGGCGGCGTGGATCTTGTCAACGGAAATCTGCGTTGGCAGTAGTACGCCCAAAGGCGAAAGAGGGTGGCCTGTGGTGTTCGCGAACCCTAGAAGAAGGGTGTATTATTGTTGCATCGAGTGACCAAACGGTGAAGTTTCATGAGGTTTGGGGTGGGCCGCGGAAAACCGCTGCAGCAGCCTCTGGATTTCTCGGGGGCAGCGACATCCTTGAAGAGCTGGAAGGGATTGAAAATCCAGGGAAGGAAATTATTCGATAGTCAAACTGACCAACCTCGACAACACGACTTGCCCGGTGTTAAGTCAGGATGATGCCTATCTGACTTGAAACTGCTGATGATAGTTATATTCTTAGAAGCCTTACATGACTCCTACAAACTATTCTATCCTTAGCAATGGAAGACGGCCTATATATATCCACAAATGGTTATCAATAATTGAAAAGTTTTCACTGAGGTTGTCCATATGCCAAGCTTCTTTGATTTGATTCCAATAGTAGAGAAAACATCGATGGATGCCAATATGAGAAATGCACCTCATCCCAGTATACGTACGCTAGCAGATTAAGACAGTAGGAAAACAACAATATATTTATTCCCCATTCTCCCTACGGAATAAACAAAAAAAGGAAACATTTTGCTCTCATTCAGAAATGAGATTCAGGCAATCACCCTCCCCCCCACCCAAAAGAATACAGTTTTAAAAGAGAAGTTTTCCAGATATGCACGTCTACCTCCTTGATTTCCCCCTTGTGCCATTGTTACCATGTACCTTTACCTTCTTAGATGGAGGCGCAGACCGTTCCTCGTCTTCAGACTGGCTTTCATCTTCGGTATCGGCGATAAAGTCCACCATAGAACCGGCACTATCTTCGTCCTCGTCATCCTCATCATCCTCATTCTCTTCCAGGGATTCTTCGGCGTCAGACGAGCCGACCGATTCTTCGGCCTCGGTGTCAAGGAGGGTAACATCATTTTCGTCCTCGCTGTCTTCAGCCTCATCATCATCTTCCTCTTCCTCTTCGTCGTTGTCGGAGTCGTCGCCGATGCCGTTCATCATTGATTCGTCTTCGTCCGTTGCCTGGTTGCGTATCGTCTTGGTCCGTGGAGTGATTGGTGTAACGGATGTCTTGCGGTTGGGGTTCGCGTCTGCCTCGCTATCCTCGTCCTCGACGTCCTCTTCATCATCTTCCCCTTCTACATAGATTACATGTTCTTCGTCTTCGCTGTCTGCACCCTCCGCGCCGCTGCGGATGGACTGCCTGAGTCCCAATTGGGCGTCGAGCATGTCGAGTTTGCCCTTGAGTAGAAGAAGGGATGGCAGGCTCGATGAGCGCTGGTCCATGACTTTGAAGAGGGTGGTCATACGTTTCAGGAGATCTGGCTTCCCGGCCAGTGCGCCTCCATGTGCCACACATGTCCATTGTACCCAGATAAGGAGATGTCCGTAACGGCCTGGGCGAGAGGAAAGACGTTCAGCGAGCTTCTGGAGTAGTGTCGCTGCAAGAGATGAGTCGAGACGTTGGATTGTTGTCCGGATAATGGAAAGATCGCCGGTGTGGAAGCAAGACTCAAGCATCGCGTTGTCGTTGGTCTTGAGGGACTGCGTGAGAACTGTGGCAAGTGAAACCCCAGAAGGGATCTGGTGGACTGCTGTATTCGATTTTCCTGGCGCAAGCGGTCCAATGCGGACTTCATCTTCCAGTCCGGCTTCGACGTCGATTTCTTCCGATGCATGAGCCCGAAGAAGTTCGCCGAATGAGGGCTCTCCCGTTTCATCTCCATCCTCTTCCTTTTCATCCGCTGCATTTTGCATCTCCACGTCGCTGTCGGCGTCTTCCTGTTTTCGGGATCCACCGGCCTTCTCATTCGGCTTATCGGCTTCACGATCTTCATCCGAGTCATCTTCACTGTCGGCTAGCGAGGCAGCGGCCTGTCTTGAATCTTGCATCTCGATGTCCTCTTCTGCAAGATTGCCCTGTTCTACTACAGCCCTAGATTCGTTGACGTGGCTTTCTTCGGCGCTCTTCGTCCCGTTGACAGTTACCGAGCCAAGCGCTGAGCCCGATTTGGTCCTTATTACATTTTTCGTTCCGGTAAAGGAAAGTTCCTCAGTGTTGTCGTCGAGCCATTTAATCCGTTCGAATACCGGGATGACACCTCCATCAGCCCATGCGATGACCAATTCAGAGCCCTCGAACGCAGCAGTTACCACAGGCACCAGTGCCTCTGAATTTTCGGATCGGAGAACCTTGACTGACGCATCAGCCCTCCTGGTCATTTGCCTCCCTCTTGCCTTCAAGCTGACAGTCTTCGAAGCTTGTGAGTCCTTCGAGTAGGAAAACGGCTTGGTGAAGAGCTCTACCGTGCCGTCATCGGTCACAACAGCAAGAACCTGCTTCTCCAAAGGCAGGGTTTGTCCACCTCTTGGTTTTGTCAGGCCTGAATATAGTGACAATGCGGATACTTCTTTCTCCACAACCAAGTTCATGACAAGTTTCTGCGTCTGAGGGTCGAAGGCATTGATGTAGCGCTCATTGTCAGAGACAAGGAACACTCCCTCCGTGGCGGAGCTCGTGGATGATGAAATAATAGTGTGGATTGGATTGCGCATGGCAGGGAATGACAGGGGCGATTCACCGGTTTCGTCGACATCGATTATATAGGGTGTTTGCGAAGCGCAAATAACAGGCGGGTTTGAAGGTAGAGGGCGGGAGAGCGTCGTGAATGTTGAGGTAGCAGGTAGATTGATAGTTCTAGGGAAGATATTAATTCAGCATGAGAAACCAAGAAGATCAAAAAATTTTCTTACCTTAAGCTCTGTCCAGTTCGCAGATCCCATTGTACGAGCCTGTTATCGCCTCCAATACTCCAGCCCTCTTCACCAGGCCTCTGAGAAGTGAACTTGAAATCCTTTACACCGTTTTCATGAGCGCCCGAAAGTGTGCCAACGATCTTATCCTCCGTGGGAGAATACATCCGAATATCTGAGGTGTTCGTCCCAAACGCGACCACGACATCTCCCTGATCAAAACCATTGACATCGGAATGGCGCTTTCGCTTTCTCTTCGACTGTTTCTCTTTTTGCTTGCCTCCACTGACAGAATAATACCCCCAATCTAACGACGTCACAATCTCTCTGGGTCCCAACTCATGCTCGCACACCAGCCGCCCGGTATTGGTGTCATGAATACGAAGCTGCTGCGCACCAAGACCCTGGATGACCGACGCAAAAAGTGCCAATTGAAACTCGAACGGCGCAAACGACGCCCGTAGCACGGACGACTTGTTTCCCGTATATGTGAGACCAGAGACGGCCGGAGATGCGGCAGAGGAGACTTTCGAGGCCGGTGGCCGAGAGGATTTCTTGCCCATTTGCTTGACGTTTGGTTATCTCTTTTTCTCTTTTGGTCGTTGTAAATTGAACTTGGTACCAAAAGGGGGGGGGTTGGATTTTAGCCCTCTCTTTCTATAAAGAGCGACAGATGGATCAAATAATTTCGGAGAATTCTCTCGACCGTCGCCACGGCCTCTGGTGCTGACCTTGTCGAAAGACTGCTGGGTGAGAGCAAGATTCCGGGATTCAAAAAAAAAAAAAAAAGTCCAGTAAGGTTCTTCTATCGGCGCTTTGCCTATTGTGGATTAGTGCATGTGGGAATGCTTCCGCCCCGAATCCTTATCTAATCTTCCGCTCCGTACAGAGAGGAACTGTCGATGGATTGCCACTGAATCCCATGTACGATTTCATTGTATATATGAGCATCTGTTGTAGCATCTGTTGTGCGTTAGAAAGCAAAATGCATTTACCAATGCCTTTGTCTTGTCTGGCAGGCTGTGTTCATAAATACATATTCTACTACCGGAGAATTAAGAATGAAATCAATATGCAATTACAAAAGATAAGAGGCATTGTATAAATGGACTACAATCCAAAGAAACTGCGTAGCAGTAATCGTAACAATAACATCTTTCATATTGAGCAGTAGCAACCACACAAAGATATGGGTAGATTCAGGGCCCTGCACGCCAAGTGCGAAAGTGATCTTAGCATTCCATTAGCCATATCATCAGTGCAATTCCCGGCATATCTGATAATATATTGGAGTTGATTTTGTTGACATGCCATAGAAAGCTTGACCTTCCATATTGTTAATAATGCGTCTGGTGACAAATCGGCAATTATCGGGGCAGATCTGCGAAATGTCCCTTTGGGCTGAGACGTTAGGCATCAAACTCCAGTTCGCAGAGTCCTCTATCACTTTGACCCTAAATCCTGATTGCTGAGTCTGCGTTACATACGAGAAGTCTTCCACGGTCTTCCCAAGTTGAATTCGCATTCGACGGCCGCTCTTAACCAGGATCATTATGGACCATCACGTAGATCCCGGCAAGTTTGCTGAGTTATTCTGCTTCCCTGTCATAATCGAACAGGATGTTGGTGGATATATATAGAGTCGGCGGGAGTTCAACTAGACAGATCGATATCTGAAAGAAAGCGGCCATTGTTGTAAGAGCTTTCTTCCCAGTTAAACTGTTCTATATCAGCTTTCCAATAACATGGGGTGTAGATCCGAAAGAAGCATCAAATATTAAAGTGAAGCTATTTTCTATCTGATAACCCCGTAACTGTTTATGTTAATTCAAGACAATCGGACTCAGCGAGAACCTTGGCTTTCCAACGCTGGTAGCACTGCTAGATATCGTATCAGTTGGTCGAAAGAATTCAGTTACTGACTCAGTGGGCTCTTCTTGGGCACGCCCAATGCACCTGCAATGGGGATCAGTTGAATTCTATCGAGCTCAAAAAAGATTCCCATGATACCCCATGTTGCTCATCGACGAATTCTTGGACCTAGGTTGACAGGCGCCCAGACACGTGAATGATAAAAGGAGCAGTGAGGAATCGAAAGCGAAGCAACATGGCATCGTGCGAAGAAGCTGCACGTTAATAAGGATTCCTATGGAAGATTAGGGAGAAAGGACCATCATCGTGGCAGTGAATAGTAGAAGATCGGAGACGGAGGCAGGTCTTGGCACTGCACCTTGACTCAGAGTGGAACTGTCTTGCATCAGCGTGACCGACTAGTCCCGATACAGGTTGGACCAGGGCTAATGGCTGGGGTTTTCCTGGTCAGGAGACCTGTTCCACAACTCGGGAGGTTCGAGCCGGGTTGATAAGGGATCCTAGACCTATTCTTGATAGCTGCCTAGTAGAATAAGGAAAAAAAGAACTTGAAAAATGGATAGATGGTCTGCTTTGATCGCAATCAACAGTAGGAATTAATGGACCATTTCTGCTCAGCATGCAGTATTGTATTGTTGTTCTGGCTTACAAACCAAGCTTGGAGTGGTTGTGCGGTCCACCTTTGCTTCCCGTTTAGTTTCCAAGAAGAAAGGCAGTGAAGCTGAGCCCTTGGCTTTGTTGACGTTGGCGGAGGATCAAAGAGCAGAGGCCGTAATGTCATTTGTGGTGTGTATCCGCTGCGGCAGAGAATGTGACCAATGGGAGGGCCGGACGCGCGGGCGGACAGACAGGTGAGCCAATGGGGTGCAGCTAAATGGCCTGAACCAATATCGACCGTGATGAATACGGCCTAGCGCAGTTAATGGGGCTAGCGGCAGACGGCGGACCAGGCTCAAGGAGGATGAATTGTACTTAAGCATTCTAGCTCCCCCTCCCGATGGTTTTCTCAGTCTGCCCTCTGTTTCTGAGCCCGAGCTGAGCTGCCGCCGCGCACCTTCCTCTTTCGGCTACTGTGTCGCGCAACAGACAAACATTCCAAACCAGAACAAACCAAACCAGTTTTGTTTTGTTGTTGTTTTTATTTGGCCTGACGCGTCCTACCTCGCGTCACCTGCCCACCTCTCCCCAAAATAATAAGAATTTATCTATCTCCCCAGCTCACTCGTCCGCCCGTCTGCACCTTTGCGCGCCCGACGCGACCGGACCGCCTTCGTCTCTCCGCCTCAGGCATCAACGTCTGCTATCTCACCTGACTGTCATCTGACTTCTTCCTTTTCCCTTCCCGGGTCTTACCGATTTTGGGCGTTTCTGTCTCTTTCCAATCTTGAGTTTGCATTCGCCAGCTTAGTCATACCACTCGCCGCCCACGTGACTGGGTGTTTTCTGCCGGCTTCTTGGCAACATAAATTCTTCCTTCCTGTCGCATTCTCCACTCCCTCGACCTTCACTCTGTTCCCTCCTTCTGTATCTCCACAACAACCTCTTCGCGTCACACGCTCCCCAGAGGGTCGATTGTCATATTGTCAAACCATCCGCGCCTTTACTGTCCCGCGTTTATTTTTCTGTCATCTAAAATACCTGCTTTCTACTCGACCGGAGAATCGAATCGAAGTCGAGTTATAGTGTGTGATAACGCAGAACGTATCCAGTTGTTTACTGCTGTTGCTACGTTACTAAACCTACCGTTTCCCAAGACGCGTCTGTTGCCCTGCTAGACATTGTATTCTGGTCCCCCTGGAGGACCGACAGTGACCTCAATGGCGACTCCGCCTCCCGAGGCCACTACTTTCCCTAAGGAAGACAAGCCTCAGCTACCTCCTTCGCCAAATGGTTTTAACATTGGAGACAAAGGGTATGTATTCTTTGTTATCGCCTACGTGTCACCAACGTGTCTTTGATTATTAACAGTTGTCTGCGCGTCTCTAGTGCCCAAAACGCAGTCATCGATGTCAACACAGTTGAACCCGCCAAGCCCGCGGAGGCGATCGTGGAACCCTTTAAGACGACTGGAGTGAATGGTCATGCAGACGCTCAGAGCCTGCCTGCCAACGGTGATGATGAACCCAAAGAAACCAATGGATCAGTCTTGAAAGCACCCGACAACCCCTCTACCGATGCCGTCGTGCAGCCATCGAACTCTGTTGAAAATGAAGCTGGACTCTCAAATAATACGGAGACTGCGGCCTCTCAAGCATCACAGGCAGGTGTCCAGGAGACTTCGACTTCAAATGAGCACACTGCGAAGGAAGGGGTAAATGCTGGGGCTGTGAATGGTGCTCCTGTGAAGGATGCGCAGACCCAGCAAAATGCGCCTCAGTCACCCCCATCATCAGATCCCTTGCCAGGGAATATTGATCCTAAGCTTCAAGAGGCGGCGCCTACTTCTGATCCTACTGCGCTCGACACAAACCTCCCCATCCATCCAATGGCTAACGTGCAACGTGACGCCGTTACTGATCATCACCCTGCTAACAACGAAACCCCGGCACTGATAACGCAAAATGCTGACCAGGAAATGCAAGATGCTCCGGGTCCAGTCTCCCCGACTAAGGTTTCGAGGGAAAGAGAGGATGATCTGGGTGACGAGCCTGCTGCGAAACGTACGAAGCTTGCGGGCGAAGCATCAAGACCCCCTGAGTTGACCGCTCCAGAGTTTCCTGCACCTGCCGCAAATGTGCCAGCTGCTCCCGCTCCAGTGAGCCAACACATGACAAAAATGCAGCACAAGTTCCTCACCAAAAGTATCCAGACCTTGAAGCGCATGCAAGACTCGCGCTTCTATAAAGAACCCGTGGATCCGATAAAAATGAACATCCCTCAGTACTTCGACATCATTAAGAACCCCATGGATCTCGGTACTATCGACCGTAAATTGAAGAACGAAATGTACCCTACTGCTCAGGCTCTCATTAACGATTTTAACTTGATGGTCCAGAATGCAGTGACGTTCAATGGAATTCAACATTTGGTGGCGCAGGAAGGTCTGAGGTTGAAAGCAATGTTCGAAAAGCAGCTGAGCCACCTTCCTCCTGCGGATGCCGTTGAAGAAAAGAAACCAAAAAAAGCTAAGGCACCCCGTCGTGAGCGAGCTCCACCGTCTGGGCCGAGAGTCAATGCCGCCTCTCCTCAAGCCACCACCTTCGCACTAGGTCCGGAAGGCCTGCCACTTATTCGCCGTGACTCTACAACTGCTGATGGCCGTCCGAAGCGCTCAATCCATCCGCCGAAGCGCGACCTTCCCTACTCCACGAAACCAAAGAAGAAGAAGTATCAGTGGGAGTTGAGATTCTGCCAGGAGACTCTGGATGAGCTTCACAAACCGAAGTACTATAACTTCGCAGCGCCATTTTACTATCCAGTTGACCCTGTCGCACTTAACATTCCTTCGTACCACAATATCATCAAGAAACCTATGGATCTATCTACGATTCAGTCGAAACTTAGAACCGGCCAATATGAGAATGCCAAAGAGTTTGAATTTGACATCCGTCTGATGTTCAAAAATTGCTACAAGTTCAACATAGTGGGTGATCCCACTTACGTTGCTGGTCAACAACTTGAAGATCTTTTTGATAGAAAGTGGGCGCAGAAGGGACGCTATCTTGAAGCTCATGAACCGCAGCCAGAGCCTCAGGCAGACTCCTCGGACGAAGAAAATAGCGACGAGGCTGATAGTGATGCCGACCAGAAAGTTGTTGCCTTGCTCCAAAAGCAGATTGCTGAGATGAGCCGTCAGGTCGAGGCAATCCAAAGGAAGAAGAAGACCCCTCCGGGATCCAAGAAGGCAACGAAGACCAAAGCTGGTAAGAAGGACTCGACTAAAGGTAGAGTGAAAGAAAAGAAATCTGGCGCCAAGCTGAAGACGGAAAAACCACGTTGGGTCACATATCAAGAAAAGCAGCTCATCTCCAATGGTATCGGTAGTCTTCCAGACAAGAAGATGCAGGAGGTTCTGAGAATCATCCAGAATAACGTTCCGGCTCTCAAGGTATGTTTTATTTAATTCGTTAATTTATTTCTCGTCATCGTTCCAAACGACTAACTTCTTCTTAAGGGTACCCAAGAGACAGAGATCGAACTTGATATCGATGAGCTTCCCAATGAGGTCCTACTTATGCTGCTGAATTTTGTCAAGAAGAATGTGCCAAACATCGCGGATGACGATGAAGTGCCGGCTCCACTCGCGAGTGCCGTCCCTCCCAAGCCGAAGAAAAACAAGCCAATGAGCAAGCATGAACAGGAAGCCCAGATAAATATGCTGGAGAGCAATCTTTCCCGCTTCCAAGGCTCGGCCCATTCACCTGATCCTGTTCCTTCAGTTGAAGCCAACGAGAGCAGTGATGAGTCCGAAGACACTGAAGAAAGCGAGGAGGAGTAGATTGGTGCCAGTATTTGAGGAACACGGGAAACAGCCTCGGTCTTTAACCAGGGGACTGCTTTCTGTCCTCATTCTGCTCTGTATCTGCGTCTGTTCCAGTTTTATTTACTCAGCTGCTGCTTCGTTTTTTACTTTACATTTCTGTTCCTTGAACGCTTTGCCTGCTACGGCGATTTCGTTTGAGCTGAGAGGGGAAAAGAAAAAACAGTTAACAAAAAAAAACGAAGTTGTCTGCAAATCCCTCTATTGACCATACTACCCTGTACATATCCTATGCTCTCTGCCCTCTGTCCTAGCTTTTCCTTCTCGGGCTCTGTCAATCCTATATCCCTTGGCTTTCCTCTCACCACATTTTGAAAGTCGACAGGTCCGACTTGTGTTCAACAGCTCTTGACGTTTGCCCCTTTCCACATTTTGTTTTAAGTTTTTAATTTTCATTGTCTTCTCCTCTTCTTTCTGCGAAACAGAACTTTGACTTGCCTTCAAAGTCAACTCTGTGCTTGGTCCGAGGCGGGAAGGGGTTTCCATCCTTTACTACTCATCATGTTCCATCCATTTAAGCGCGAAAACGGATTTGGGTAAAGGTGACCGGCCATATTCCGAATTAATACTGACCCAACCACCTTACTCATCTCAACGACGGCAACCTTTTTACTCTTCTGACCTTCCCAGTCGAAATCAGTGTTATTTGGCAGCATAGGTTGCGATTGTGGCTCTTCTCATGCCGCTCGAGGCGCTTTACGAATGCAATGGTGACGGAGCAATGGCTGGGATAGCGTTTAGATAAGACGTGTGTATGATTATGAAAGAAATGAAAAATAGGGAAAATATGAAGGACTGGAGGCTTTCTGTGCCTGTTGTAGCCTTAACGTATTTCTCAACCGAACCGCCACCCCCTTCGAATTCAACCACGCTTTCGATATTGAAGCTATTCAAACCACCACCATGCCACCAAAATCACATTTATCAGACCGAAACTTGGTGGAGCAAGAGGGGAGTATTCAACTTGCAATATCTGCTTTAAAAAAACAAGAAATTCTAAATATAAGCCGTGCTGCAGTTGTTTTTAATGTTCCTCGATCAACCTTACATGATAGGCTCAAGGGAAGGCAATACAAGGTTGAAAAGCGTGCCAATTGCCATAGGCTCTCTCAAATTGAGGAGGATTCTCTAGTAGAATGGATTCTATCTAGAGATTTACGTGGAGCCCCTCTTTGACCTTCTCATGTTGCAGAAATGGCCAACATTCTTCTTCAATCAACAAGGCCATCTGCATTTCAACCAGTTGGAAAGAATTGGGTATCAAACTTCATAAAATGGCATGATGAAGTTAAAACTCAATTCTCTCAACGATATAATCACCAGTGAGCAAAATGTGAAAATCCACAAGTTATAAAGGGATGGTTTGAGCAGCTGGAAAAGGTTTAAATGAATTGGGGAATCCTTGATGAAGACATCTTCAATTTTGATGAGACTGGCTTTGCAATGGGTCTAATAGCAACTACTAAGATAGTTACTAGATCTAATATGCCTAAAAAGCCTCATTTTATTCAACCAGGTAATCATGAATGGGCTACTACAATTGAGTGTATAAATTTAACTGGTTGGATAGTCCCTTCATGCATCATCTTCAAAGGGAAGGTCCATATTGAGGGATGGTTTGAAGAACATCAATTACCACCAGATTGGAGAATTAAATTAAGTCCAAATGGCTGGACTACAGATGAGATAGGCCTCTGTTAGCTTCAAAAGGTCTTCATTCCTGCAACTACAAATTGCAGGATTGGGAGATATCAATTATTTATTCTGGATGGTCATGGCAGTTATCTCACACTTTTATTTGACAAGCTCTGCAGTGATAATGATATTATTACTGTCTGCATGCCTCCTCATTCTTCTCACCTCCTACAGCCTCTAGATGTTGGCTGCTTTGGCCCTTTGAAGTATGCATATAGAGGTTTAGTTGAGGCAAAGATGCACTTGGGATTCAACCATATTGACAAGCTTGACTTTTTAAAAGCATATCCTACAGCACATCAAAAGGTCTTTATATCTTAGAACATTCAAAATAGCTTTATGGCAGCTGGAATAAAGCCATTTGATCCTCTCCAGGTGTTAGAGAAGCTAAATATCTCATTATCAACACCTTCTCCACCTTCAAGCTGTAGAGGGACATCAACCAGCTCCTCAGTATTAGGGACACCTCATACAGCTGCTCAGCTATTAAAAAAGGCTTCATCAGTGAAGAAGATTCTTCAGCTGCATTCTCAAAGCCCTCTATCACCTTCAAAGAGGGTGGTTGGAGAGTTGATTTGGGGGTGTGAAAGTATAATGCACCAGGCCACTATGATGTCAAAAGAATTGCATGATCTCCATGCTGAGAATGAAAATACAAAGCAGAAAAGGACTCAGTCTAAATGGCAGATGATTCCTAATAAAGGCCTATCAGTACAGGAAGGAAGAGATTTAATAACATGGGGATTGAAGCAAAAGAATGAGAAAGATGGCCAACCTAGTAGTTCTATACCAACTACTTCAGCTGTGCCAAGACGCGCTCCACCAACATGTTCTGAATGTCATATTCAGGGTCATATTAGAACGAATTGTCCTACACGTATAATTAAATAGATTGAATGGAATTACACATGTTTTGGTGGTTGCAGATAGCTTCAAATTCAAAAGCATGGTCGAATTCGGGGAAGGGGTGGCGGTTCGGTTGGGAAATACGTTATAGGTTGTAGGTGCCTTTAGCAGTAAAGTAATGACAGACCCAGACGCGCGGTCTGTATAGGCGGTCAGGTACAAGGCGGCAGAATGATATTCGTGGCAGCATCCGTCAAGCTGCCTTGGTTCGGAGTGCCGTACAGCAACACCCTTACCAACCATGATACCCCCGTGCGATCCAGCCATTCTCCAGGCCAATCCTAAATTCAAAATGTTATATGAGCATTTGTTATCGACATTGCTCAATCCAGATGGTTCGACACGCTCAAATGATGCATGCCCTGCCAGAAAGGCTGTAGTTGAAGTAAGCTAGCTGACGACCTATACTTTCTTCTCGCTGCTTGTTTCTAGACGCCTGACAATCCCCCTTGTTCATATTGTAGGAATTAAAAAGCTGCCAAAAGCAGAATGCCAAAAAGGAAATTAAGAAGAAGGCCCTCGCACAAATTGCATCTGATTTGGATAGCGGGGTGCCGGACGAGGTGAGCATTTCCTTCAGCAGATTCTTTGAAAGATGACCATTTCATTGACTTAGCTAACATCTGGATTTTGCGCCTTTAATCATATAAGTCCCGAGATTGCCTTCAGACCATAGCACTCTGCTTAGAGGCCCCGTCAACCTCGCGAGAGATTGAAGAAGAAGCTAAGGGAGAGACACTATCCCTTCTAGCACCCGATATTGGCGCATTCTACTCCAACATAACCACGTTTAGACAGCCACTTTCTGGGTTTTTAGCGACAACGGTGAATGATCTCCGAAGCATTGCTAATGCGGCAGCTCCTCCTTCTCATGGACCGGAATCTTTCGTACCCTCTCAGTCTCGATTTACCCGATCTTCCCGAGTCACACGCGCCCACCAGAATGCTACTGCTACCAGACAAGCACTTCTTTCCTCACAGCTTCGAGACCGTTTGCGCAATCTTCGCTCGATCCAGTTATCTGAACTCCCAGCTGCCCGGAGAGAGATGGCAGCGACAGCAGCAAAGGTTTTGGCGGCGCGAACCCAGGTTCTTGAGCGTACGGTTGTTTTACTGGAGCGTGTAAAACATGGGACATTGGCTAGGGCCACAAAAGCTAAAGCTGAACACTTAGCTACAGTTGCTGAAGGGGTAGAGGGGAAGTTGAAGTACGTGTTTTCTCTCCCCAAACTTTCCCCCTACAATTTCTGTGATTTGAGGCTAATTAGTTTTGTTTTCTTTAACCACAGTGTCCTAAAGCTCGAGATCTCTGCTATAATCTATACTCCGGACACGATCTCGGCACTGAACAAGTACCGCCAACACCTCCGTAATGTGCGTACAAAGCTGGTGGAGAGGCAGCGCCTAGCAACCCAGGAACTGAGAGCTTACGGGGATGTGGATGTAGAAGATGATAACGATGATGGGGCTGGCAACGACCTGAAGAACACTGGGGCTATGCGTGAGATCGCACGACGGTACGGGACGTTAGCAAAAAAGCTGGAGGCAGTGAAGATGGAAATTAAGAGACTGGAAGGGTAAACCGGTTTGTTTTGGATTTCGAGTGCCCCTTTCTCTTGGCTGTTTTCCTCGTCTTTTTGATACCCTATTTGCATTTTGCTTTCATAGTTCCGAACCGAACCTTGATCGACTGGCCTGATCTGATAAGACAATCAATATATTGTCATGTGACTTCTCCGAATTTTCATACGCCGCCGCCATCAATCGCACATACTGGAAACAACAAAGCACGGCGATATCCCCAGCACTACGATTACACTTGATTCCGGGATATAATTTCTTGACCACAAACATCGGTAAAGAAAAGAAGAGAAAATGGCGGACGACTCAATCTCCATCTATGACGAAATCGAAATCGAAGACATGACCTACGACCCCACATTACAGATCTACCACTTCCCTTGCCCCTGCGGTGACAGATTTGAGATATCTATCGGCGATCTTCGGGATGGAGAAGATATTGCTGTCTGCCCTAGTTGCAGTTTGATGATCCGGGTTATTTTTGATGCCGTATGTTCTCCTTACCAGCTTCTGTCCCTTGCGGACTTCTGTCTGTAATCGCGCTTTTCGATTTCAAGGATGTTTCAAAACTAATCATGTTGTTTTTGTTTTTCTACAGTCCGATCTTCCACAAGAGGGCGCACAACAGACGACCGGTTCGGTGGCGGTCCAGGCATGAGCGTATTTGAGGAATCATGTCGAACGGACAGAATGCGGATTTCGGTCAAAATCACTCATGAATGCGTTACTCGCGTCTCTCTATCAAAACGAGCAAGCAAAGGCTGTGTTCAAATCAGATTTTACCTGAGCGGAGATCGGTAGAATGTCGGGACGAATAATTGCCTGATGATGGACTGTATGTCTCGTGCATGGTTACAGGCTGGATATGAAACATGGCCGACGACAGCGACGAACCGCGCCCGGTAGAGGGCGTACCGCTTGGATGACCGTATAGCGGCATGGCGCGTTTCATGAGGGAGGCAATTTTGGTTCCGGGCCTTGGGAGCGGAGAATGCCTGGTCTATCCTATGGTGAAGGAGCATTTGCAAGGTTGGAGAATATCGTGTCTACGCTATAAGAGACAAAATCTGCGTCTGTTTCGGTTAGTACTCGTGCGACAGCGTTACCGCTAATATCGAATTGCCAGGTATATAACTACTATACACATGTATATGTTTCTTCAAGAAGGGGGGGGGAAACAAGACTCCATGCCACTTCTAGATCAACACCCCTCCGTTCCATTATTCACGCCCAGAAAATGCAAAGTAACCCATTACAGCGATTCATACACATCCCTGGGCAGATTTATTGACAGCTCCTCATTCAAGAGGTCCGTCAAAACTGACCCGTCCCGTAGATAAACCCACAGTCGAGTATCGCCCCCATCTGCATTCCGCTCCACGATCCAATCGTACCTCTTCGGACCGGAAACGGGAGAGCTAAGCCAGATCTGCTTGTTCGGGGGTTGTTTGTTCAGGACGTAGGTACCGACTCCGGGAACGATGATATTCAAGACACCGGCCTAAAAATGAGAATTAGTATAAGTCCAGCCTCCGGCAAAAGAAGGGAAAGCCATACACTATACTCCGACTCAATATCAGAGCCCTCCTCCTGAATCCTTTCCAGCTCAGTAAGGAGTTCTTCAAAGAAATGCTCCGCATACTCGTGATATTCGCTATCAGACAGCGGTGACGGATCCCTCACATGGACCGCTGCGCCAGCAACATTATTCGAGTGGGCTTTTGAGTCTGCGGGAGTCGGAGTTGAGGAGAACTTTCTATGAGACGGTTGAAGCGACGGTGGAGCTTTTCGTTGCTGTTGCTGCTGTGGTGCGCATTGGGATTGCAGTGATCGCAGTTGAGATGAAGCTGCGCGGATTGGACTTCGGCAGATGCGGAGAGTTGCGGAGGGGCGCAGGATGGCTTGAGGTGTTCGCGATAGCATGATGAAATGGATGTACCCTCTGTTCGGGTCTATCGGGGACAGGAATTGGGGGAGAGAGTTGTGAGAGAGGAAGAGGGAGGTAGAAGAAAGATATTCAGAATGGACATCAAATCATGTCATAGCTCGTGCGGCTGTCCGTAAATCAAGCTTATTTCATTCTTCAATTTCTACATCCAACGGTTCTCATCCGCTGTGGAATTCTTCCCAGGTACCAAGCTACAGGATTTTCATTTGGATTTTATCCTTCTTTCTTCTTTCGTCCTTTATGCCGAGTAAACAAACAGCTTTGCTGACATGCTAGGCATTTCTGCCTGGAGCCTAGAACTCCATGAGATACCTCACACTTCCCAGGCCTCTCATAGCAAAACTCTCCCTGTCGGCCAGCTTCTACAAAAGGATAGCAACCATGTCTAACAGACAGGAAGGGCCGCGAAATACCCCCCAGAGGCCCAAGAGACCGCCTCTGACCCACTTTCTATGCCTACCGCTGGTGAATCTGGTATCGTTGCCCCAGCTGGAATCATCCTTGGCAATATTCAAGCAGGCAATCCCCTTCTGTCCGCGGAAGGAGAATGAAAGCACCCTGAAACCTCTTCGACCGCTCATTCCAGATAGCGCGCTGCGTCCTCTTGGGACTCTCCATCTTACGCTGGGTGTAATGAGTCTCGGCACCAAGGAAAGGCTGGATGAGGCCATTGAGTTTTTTCAAGGACTGGATCTGGTTCAGATGATGTGGGAAGCGGAGAGAATTGCGAATGCGAATCGGGAGAGAAAGAAAGGGGTACAGAGAGTGCGCCAGATGGGTGGATCTATCGAGTCCGGGAATTCATCCAGAGAAGTTAGCGGTTCAGATGATGCGTCTTCTAAAGAGGCGCATGGGGAGTCTGAGTCTGCGATCGTCCCCAAGCCTTTCACAATCTCCTTGGAATCGTTACATGCTCTTCCACGGGCTCGAAATGCGACAGTGCTTCACGCTGTACCCGTCGATCCTACGTTGCGATTGTATCCGTTTTGTGTGATGCTGAGAGACAAATTCCTCGAAGCGGGATTCCTGCAAGGGGAATACAGGGCCGCAACTCAAGTGCAGAGTTCTGATAATAATATCCACACTGAGTCCTCTTCTCAAATTCCAGCAGCGACAGTGGACTTGGTGGTGGATGAGCCCAATCGAAACACCATCCCTATACCCCGAAAGTCTAAGCCCAGGCCTCTCCTGCTCCATGCCACAGTCGTGAACACGATCTACGTCAAAGGTCGTCGTCGAGGCAACAACAACAATAATAACAAAGGTTTGAGAGACAATGGAAAGTTCGACCGTAACAGCAGGAACAGCAACCAATACTCATTCGACGCCCGAGACATACTAGCTCACTACAAGGATTACTACCGCGATGGCGATAGGATGCAACCCCGAAGAACGACAATTGCTTTAACTAGAGAAACAGCACCAACAGAGCAACTAATACTTGAAGGCCAAGAACAGGGAGACGAGCCCAGAACGCCTAAAGATGATGACACCGGAGCCCTTGAGGACTGCGAAAAGAGAAAACAAGTGGAAGTAGTAGCAGCAGAAGAGATCAAGTATCCTTTTCTTTGGGCCAAGGACTTTCCTCTTGAAAAGATTTGTATCTGTGAGATGGGTGCGAAGAAGGTTGATCTTTCTGTTTCCCCGGATTCACCGCACGATGGTATTTCAAGTCGGCTTGGAGAGGAATACCGTGTTGTTTCTGAAAGGAGTCTAATATTCCAATAATTTTACGCAGAATTAGATGCTTTTTGTCACTCTCAAGGAGCTGGGGTGCATTGGAGACACATGCGTCTCGGTTCGATCCAGCAGGATTTCGAATCACTTCGAATACGGAGTTAAATGCTAAGCGTCTGTGCCAGGGTTCTTTCCTCTGCGTCTCGAGTATCAATAGGCGTGCCACACAACTACGCTGTATACTACCCCATGTAACTAAAGCCACGGAAAGACGGATGCGTGTCCAGAACATGCTCGATCTATTCTCGATGTGGTGATCCTAGTTACTACACATGGGACCTATAGTCCACTGCTAGGCAGTCAAGATGTCAGAGTACAATCTGATTCAGGGTACTTGGAATCATGAAAGGCCAGCCCAGTCTTAACACGCAGGAAATCGTAGTTCCCATTTCACAATGATGTAGATATATAGATGCAGAACCCCCGAACGCCATGCTGTCCATAATACATGCCATGATTTAAAGAGCAGAAAATGATGAAATCCTATCTCAACCGACTCATAATCGTCTCCGGACCTCTCTCCACGGACAACTCGGCCGCCTTGGCCTTGATAGAACTAATCATGCTCCTCTCGAAGTCATCTCTGGTCCGCAGAACAGCTTCTACCCAAGAAAGCTGCAGATCCCAATACTCCATCTTGAAGCTCTCGTAGACAGTGACAATGGGAGCGCCCTTTTCGGCATCGAGTAACCGTACGAGCCAATCGACCAGTTTCCACTTCTGTTTGATGGTGGCAGCGAAGGAGTCAGGGTACTGCTGGAAGAAGGCGAAGACGGTGAGGACGTCATCGGTAAATTTGTCCGTATATGGGTCGATGTGGCGGCGGAATTTGACGCCCTTGTTGCGGACGGAGGAGAGATAGCGGACTAGGAGTTCATCGGAGAGTTCCTCAACTAGGATGTCGATCAGGGATGGGTGGAGGACAGGGGAGTAGTCGGACATGTAGTCCTCGAACGTGGATGTGATGCGCTTGACGGTGAATTCGCCGTACCATTTCTGCGTGAAGAAGTCCGGGAGGGTTGTGCGGAAGTCGACGGAGAAGATAAGTTGCACGAACTGCGTGAGGCAATATGTGCTCAGGTCCACGTAGGAGTCGCGAATGGAATCGAGTTCAGGGACTGCTCGTGAGATCAGGTACTTGGGGTCTACGAGGGATTCGAAGTCGCGCCTGAATCGAGTCAGGTAGCCAACCTGCCCCGATTCATCATTGTCATCAATGCATGCGATCTGGTCGTTGGCCACAGCAACGAGCCAATCCTGCAGTAGTTGCATGCCTTCCTGGTCGCTGGTGGGGGTCTTGTACTTGTTACATTCCTCTTCAATGAGAGTTTGCCATGACGACTGGTGACTCTTGAGGACTCGGAACATGGCATCGATGATGCCTTCGACGAGATCAGTCCGATCAGAGGCTCCGGAGGCCACGATCTGCTCGTGAAGCATACGCCACATATCAGGGAGAGACTTTGTACGGAAGTAGCCGTCGCCATTTGTGTTGAGCAAGTCTGCGCTCCGCTCGACGAGTGCCTTTTTGTCCGCCTCGAATATCCTATCCATCCATTCCTCTACGGCGTGAATGATAATATTCTGCCATTGCTGAACCAACGCGGGCTCCCGATCGTCGAGGACGTTTGGCTGGAGCTCCGACTGTTTCCAGCCCAGCTTCTGCATCTTCTTGTAATACTTCTCGGTCCAGTGAATGATGGCAAGGAGATTATCCGGAGGTAGCTCTGGGTCATCAATCAGACCAACGAGGAAGTCATGCATGAGCCGATGGTAGATTTCAGTGTAGACATTGTAGATCTTCCACTTCTTCGGCATGAGCGACTGCATTCCTTGCTTGACTGTGAAGAGGTCATCGAAGAACCACCGGAGGGTCTTGTCCAAAGTATCCGGATCACCGAGGAACTCATCCTTGGTGGCATCGAACTGGGTTTGTGCGTAGAGCTCAATGGCCATCATGAACTTCTCCTTGTAGCCCCTGACCGTCTTGGGACCCACGTTCATCGATTTGAACCGATTAGCCAGGTCCCTGTGATCCTTTTGAGCCTCCTGCAGCGCGCGAACGGTATCATCATTTTTCTCCTCATTCATAACAACAACCGCAAGCCGCACCACCATGCTTTTATTATCCGACTGTACGAGCGGGATGAGGTTCATGCAAGCCGTCCCCAGATGGTCATCGAACCAGTCGATAACGGAATCCAATCCCTGGAAGTAATCCTCCAACGTTGTCTGGCTACTCGCATCAGCCTTTCGGATCTGATCCATCGCCTCATCCCGGAAATCTCTCAGTCGAGAGATCTGCATGTGCACTCTGAGCAGGTTCGGCTGGTTCTCTAGATCTTCGTCATCCGCCTTCAGAAGCTCCTCAACTTCAGCAAGATCTTCGCTAAACTTCTCCAAAGACTCTTTCATCATCAAAGTTGCTTCGAAGTTCCTCTGCACGTGTGCCAGCTTGTCTATCTGCGAGAAATCGTCCACGCTGGCCTGCGATTCCGCGCACAGTTTGTCTATCCCCTGAAGTTCGTCTTTTGTCTTCGAGACCTGCCTCTGGCCTTCAGTAAGAGTATTGATACTGCGCTGCACTCTCTCCAATTGATCCCTGAGGCCTTCTCGAAGTTGTGAATCGACAGCGGCCTTCTTGCGTGTGTATTCCGCTTTCAATACGGGGATCTTGTCCAGGTCCTCGGGATGACGGAGGATATCCTCGAGGCGAGGCATAGCCACCGTCCCCTCTGAAGCAGTATCTTGCGCCATTTTGTTTTGTTCTTTTTATTATCCAACAGCGAAGTGGCACTTGCTTGGGTTAATGAAGTCCGCGATTCGGTCGAGTACGATGAAGCAGTAAGGGTAGAGGATCAAGCGTCTCAATAGAGGAATTGTTCAGCTGGCTAGAAAAGGTAATATATAAGATTGAGACAGCATCTCACCCAGCAGTGCAAGACCATCAACGGGCTCATCAATCATTGATCTCCCGACTTCTTCCCTGTGCTGAGGCCAGTTGGTGACGGACGGCAGAACGGGGAACGTTATGTCTCCACGTGACTCACCGCTATCCTGACCGACTTGGGTGTCATCTGCAGCCCATACCCGATTGGGACGGTAAATTGTGCGAAATCGATTGTCGTTGCGGAGAAGAGTGCAGTGCGAATCGAGCGAATTGAGGAATTCGAAAACCGTTACTCCGTATTATCACAAAATCCCTATAGTCCGAACGAGCTGTTGGATTGGAAATCGTGAGTGAGCTCGTCACATCCTCATTACCGACCGACCAGTCGAGGATTCCGAGTTCTTCCAACAAGTCCTCTTCCCGAAACGGATCCATACTTCGAATTCAAACAAGCAAAGAAGAAGAGATAAACGAGGGAGCTTCAAATCCAAATTCAATATCATATTCAATTCATCTATCAATTATAATATTCACGAGAACGCAACTTCCAAAAAGCCACTACTGAAGAACTACAACCAACCTCTCATACTCCCTCCCATTCAACAAAAGACAAGCAAACAAGTCACCCAAAAGAAAAAGGAAAGAAAGAAAGAAGAACGAAAACGAAATGAGTTACTTCCGCATAACCCTCATCCGCTCCGCAATCGGCCTCCCCCGACGCACAACAGACGTCCTCAAAGCCCTCGGACTCAAGAAGCGCATGGCAACAGTCTTCCACCCCGTCTCTCAGTCCGTGGCTGGTCAGATCATGAAAGTCAAAGAACTAGTCGAGGTGCGCGAGGTTGATCGGCCCTTAACGAAACAGGAGGTGCATCTTGAGAGGAAACCGGATCCGGGATATTATATTGAGAAGCGGCTGTAAGGTGGCTAACCTTAGGCTGCTCTTTTTTTTGCGGGGAGAGATTCCAAAGGCGTGGGGAATCAGATACCTGAATTCTAAATAATATCCTACCGCTGTGTTTTTGTTTTCTTCTCTCTCTTTCGATTGTCGAAATAAGGAAGAGAGGGGGCGTGCGTCCTCTATTGTTGGGATCGACTATGGCTGGTATTTACATGTACCAGGGGAAATAAGAAGACCTTAACGGGCTTTGCAACTCGTCCGTCTAGCGGTGAGGATGAAGGCGCCAATTCGATGCAGCTTCGAATATCGCAGACCTGTACACTACTTTGTTTCTTGGTTACCAACCGATCTCACCACCTGCTGGCATTGTACTATACTTGCATATCCTTACGTGTCAAGGCCTGGTTTGCCTCACCAGACAATTACAGCGCTGTAGCATTTGAATAAAGCCAATTCCATCATACCATTATATTGTGTAGTAGTAATAATAATTTCCCAAGTGCTTTAAGACTCAGTCTAACCATATACGCCGTGATGCTAATTACTCTGCCTCCTGTTCTAAAACCTGTAGTCGCCTGCTACCCTGGATTCTCTTGTTTTTGACTCTTGTTGACTTGCCTTCGAGAATGGAATCTCCTGGTCTCTTTAAGCCTTATAGAGAGTGTCGAGGAAGCCTTCGGCAAGCCGGTTGACAATGCTCTTGTCAGGAATGCTGCCAGCAACACCATACAGAGCAGAGGTGTCGCCTTGCTTGTTGACAAACGCCTTTCCCTGTCTCCTCATCTCATCAACTTTCTTCAGCTCTTCTGTGAGAGCTTCGGTCAAATCAGCGATAAGCTGGTCAACCGCGCTGGATGTTGGAATGGTAAAAGCACAGTGGAGGGAAGCCGGTGATTGAAGAGCGTTGAGATGCCACCCCTTGGCGGACAGGTCATCGGCAATATCATAAATGTTGATGTTCTCATCGACGCTTCCGATGGCAACAACGCTGACCATGGGGTGTCCAATAACCTCCAAGTGCTTCGACAAGAGAGGATCTTCACGGATAGCCGACTCGAACTTTTTCGCGGCTCCAACGATCTGAAGGCAGCTTTTGAGATACCCTGACTCTCCGACGCTCATCAAGCTGGCCCAGCAAGCAGCGATCAGGGCACCAGGCCGGGATCCTGCCACGGAAGGAGATGCATACACACCACCAGACCAATCGGGGCAGATGAAGTACTGGTGGCTTCTGTATGCGCGACTGCGATACAGCAGGACAGAATTGCCCTTCGGTGCAAAGCCATATTTGTGAGTGTCCACACTGATGCTGGTGACACCTCGCAGGCGGAAATCGAACCCTCCTTCATCTTCGTACGGCGATGGGAAGCCGGCCTTCTTGAGGAACGCAATTACAAAAGACCCAAGACAACAGTCAACGTGAAGAGGAATCTTGTACTTGGTGGCCAGGCGGGACAAAGAAGGAATGTCATCGATAATACCGTGAGGGAAGTTTGGTGCCGAGCCAACGAGGAGGACAGTGTTGGGATTGATCAGCCGGCGCACAGCAGCGACGTCGACTTTGTATTCCGGCGCAGGACAGGGAACGAGGTGGAGCTTGATTTTGAAGTAATTACTCGCCTTGTAAAAGGCAGCATGAGCAGTGTGAGGGATGATCCTGTTAGGTTGTCAGCTTTTCCTATCCAATCCAATCTCTTTTAAAGAGAAGAAAACCCGTCGAGAGGCTCACATCTCCGGTTCTGTCACGCCCCGTTCAACAAAAGCCTTCTGCCGAGCCCCAAGGCAAGCCATAAGGATCGATTCGGTGCCACCACTGGTAGTCACACCCGCACTATCCGGCGGGCCATTGAACAAATCCAAAACCTTTGAAAAACGGCAACATGATCAGTTATCTGTTTTCTGCAGAATAATCCATAACCCAAGCAAGCAATTTGTACTAACCATCGCGACAATCTCAGCCTCCATCTTCCTAACCCCAGGGAAGGCATCCGGATGAATCGGATTGGAAACGCCAAACTGTCCAAAGGCGTCTGCCTGCAGCTTAAGAAGATCCTGACCACCATGGTACACAGCACCGCTAACCCTTCCATCCTCCCATCGTGCATGTTCCATATTTGCCAGCTTGTCGAGTTCGGCGCGCACCTGCTCGGTAGTCCATCCTTCCTTGGGAAGCGTCAAGTACCTCGTCACATCGGGCCCGCTCGGAACAATCTTCGATTCCAGCTTTTCGAGAGTCGTCGCAACCTGCTTATCTACCTTGCCGCGGACACCGGGAGCGCGCAGGAAGAGAGAGTAGCAGTACACACGTATCAAAGAGTAGATATTGCGCAGGCTACCCAAGACACCGTATCCGCGTATCGAGTAGAACGTCTTGCGGACGTACCGGAAAAGAAAAAGGATAAAGACGATATTTCGGATCCTTCGGTATGCATTAGAGGCTGATGTGTCAAAAATGATACTGTCTGCGATAATCCTGAAAGCAGTTCTTGGCTGGGCGTGCTTTCCTGCAACTTACAGATCCAGATTCAACGCGAGAAGCGGGTTGGAAGAGCTCTTCCTATAAGTGAGCAGCCTGTTCTTTAACGAAGCCGACGGAATGGAAGCCATTTTTGAAGTAGGAGTCTAGCGACCGGAAGGGACGAAAGACGACCTGCTGCTCCGTGGAGAGTGAGAGTGAAGACGAGAGTTTGTCGAGATGACAGGAAGGAAAAGTGATCGCTCGGCGGGTTTCCGGTGGAAATAGTGAAGCTACCTCGGCCTGCGTCATTTCCACTGCGACTAAAATAGATCGAGAACTGCCTGGAAGCCGCGGAATACTACCATGCGTTTCACTATATTGACTAGAATAGTGTATTTAAACTGATGGATACTACAGCATGTTGTTCGGTTTGCTTCGGGTGGTGTAGTTCCTGTCTATACACGGGGGATTCATACAGATTCAGGCTCATACTATGTTTAGATCTTCAAACACACACAAGTAGATAATCCTAGAAATACTCCATGAGTCACTTTATCTAGTACCATAAGAGTAATTACTATAGTCCTAATTTATAGGTGCTTCATCTCTATCAAAAGTATTCGTCTCTACCTAAGCCATGTATGGGGTACCCGAGAGCCCAGCCCTATCGACCGGTCAACAGCAATTACCTACCCATCACTGATGTCTTTTCCAGAATTGAACAGATCTGTGAGTTGCAAAAGTGCATTGAGAAGTCTTAGTTCAAGGAATTCCGCTTCCTCATCGGAAAGTGAAGAGCACCGAAAATGTCTATCTTCCTTCCACACTCGAATCCAACAGCCTGATAAAGAGGCAGACCACCCTGCTTTGCTGCTTCACGCATGCCCCATTCAAGGAGCATCCTGTCAATACCTCTCCCCTGGTGCTGGGATCAACACGGAGAGAGTCTGTATTACAATCCACATCAGTGTGGTCCGGATGTTTTAAAAATCACTCGAAAAATAACACGCCACACACTCGTAGTACCCCCCTCACCAAAGACCGCGCGTGCATCTTCCTCAAGTATGCGATGCATCTCAGAATATGCAACCTGGTCCTTCTCCAGGGGGAGGAGCCCTTGGAGGAGACTGCTGTAACATTTCCCACTTCCCCTCCTTTTCTTAATTATCATTTCCATCCCCTTCTTCAACGGGGATACTCCAGATCGAATAGAATAGCCCATGCATGACCTTGCCATCCAGATTCAGGACACCGTCAATGGCAAGAATCATGACAGCGTCCTTAGCCCGTAACCTGGCCGGTTTCCGCTCTATCCTCGTTTGCCGCAGGGCCGCGCTGTCTGGGTTGTCCGATTTGTGTAGATGCGGTGGGAAGATGCGGCGGTTGAGACGTCGACAATTGCGGCGACGTCTGCTTCTGTGGCTGGACGGAGATGGGGTGTCATTTTCCTTTGGTCTTGGAAGATGCGTGTCCCGATGAGGCGAGTATAACGATGGAAACAGGCGCTATTGGGAAACCACAGGGGATGTGAGGGAGAGGGAAAGATATCCTCTTATTCCCGGCAGGTCCATGATAATCTCGCAGACTCAGGGCAGACACGGGTGAGACGGACAATTGCCTGGAAGCATACCGTATTACTGTGCCCAATTAGGGAAGACAGTGCTATCCTTGATCTGATTGTTATTATTAGAGGCACTGTCCATGTTAAGATGCTATATCAGTTTGCTGACAGCTTAGCTTCAGTGCTACCCTGGAGACATCTTTTGTAAGGGACCACCAATACATGGTATGTATTCGGTAATTGCTACCTATCAAGATCACTTACCTGCCTTAGGAGTTCTGCAGGAATGAATGCTTCTTTTGTTCCTGCAGGAAACTCGCCGTAGTGACTCCGCGGATGCTACGTAGCAATAGCCCATATGGCATGCAGAATTAGTGTCCGACAGTTTCAAATAAATTACATCCGGTGGAAATTGCTCCTGCCTACTGTTATATACAGCACAGAGAGTAATTTTAGACCTGCTACTCTCCCGGTACTCTTTTTCTATCTCTGTTTTTCCGCTTTTTGTTTTTTTTTTTTTAGCGACAAAGCACTTTTCAAACTCCCAAAAAACAAAAAAAAAACAAAAGGAAATCCCAAGCACATAACCGTCGAATTCGTCGAGGATCCGGATGCGGGTAGTCGTTGCGAGAACTTCACCATAAATCTCAGCGCAGTGAATAACGCCTTAAATCAGAAAATACAAATGCAAGAGAAAGAATGCATGGTGTTTAGGCAGAAGTGCCGTTTGCCTTGGTCGCAGCCGCCAATTCCTTTTCCTTGGCAGCAAACTGAGCTTGTTCGTCAGCGGTGAGATCGAGGAGAGGCTTGTTCTCACCCAGCTTGAGGTTGCGGTGATAAGCGCGGATGATGCTGTCAGCATCGTCAACAGCGATGGGTCTGATATCGGCGAGAGCCTTGACTTTGGCAGTACATTCCTTGCACTGCGCATCTGTCAGGTCAAGGTTGAGTTGCTGAGCACGCGACTTGATAGCGTTCCAGCCAGTCAGTCGTGAAGCGAAGTGGACATATCTAGTCATGCCGAAGTCGGCAGGGTTGATGATCTCGTAGGTGCTAGGGTTGTTGAGAATAGCCTTGGCGTGGATACCGGCCTTGTGGGTGAAGGCGCAGAAACCAGTGATGTAGTTGTTGAAGGGGATGTTGACCTCAACTGCCTCGGCAACAAGGTCCTCAATGTCCTTGATCTTCTCAAGCTTGTACTTGCTCTTGACGTACTCGGAATCGGCGACCATCATACGGGCCATGAGACCTCCCAGAGGAGTGATACCGTTACGTTCGCCAATGCCGAGAACAGAGGTGTCAATGTGGGTGGCACCAGCCTCCAAGGCACAGTAGGCGTTTGCAATGGCACAGCCAGTGTCGTTGTGGAAGTGGGTCTCAATGTCGCATCCGACAACACCCCTCAAGACCCGGACCAATTCGTAAACCTGGCGAGGAGATGCGCATCCGACAGTGTCTGCAATACCAACGCGGTTCACACCAACCTTGTCGACGGCAGAATAGATAGACAGGAGATCAACCAGGTCAGAACGGAAAGAGTCCTCGCTGGAAAATCTGATCTCAATACCCTTGGACTTCACGAACTCGATAACTTCGATGGCAGCGCTCTTTATGTAAGTCATATCCTTGCCATGAGAGTGCTCACGAAGGTAGGAAGACGTTCCGATAACAACGTCACTAAAATACACTCAGTCAGGGTCGGGCAAAGACAGCAAGTGGCCGTGCTCCAAACTTACACTCCGTCCACACCAGTCTCGACGGCAATTCTTGCATCATCCATGTGGCACCGGATGTGAGTGAGAATCTATGCATAACCGTCAGTTTCGAACAAATTCATTCGGCTACCATTGATCTTGACATACCTTGGCCTTCAATCCAAGCTTGCAGATGGCCTCGCAGTCACGTCTCGATTGCTCGGAGGCGCAAGGGCTGGTGAGCTCGATCTATAGGGGAAAAAGTCAGTCATCATATCTAACCATAGCTTTTAACAGTCATGACTCACGTAGTCAACACCAAAGTCATCTAGGGCCTTGGCAATCTCAATCTTCTTCTCGGTGTCGAAGAAGGCATTGGCAAACTGTTCACCCTCACGGAGAGTACTCTCAATGATCTTGAAACGAGAGACATTGCTCAAAAAGTCTGTAACGCCGACATTGTGGCCGTAGGGATTCCGGGAAGTCGAAGGGTGGGGGTTCTGACGGGTCTCGACGGCAGTGTAGCCGGGATGGGGAGGTACATCTTGAAATTTCTTTGGTCAGTGACATACAACGCACATGGCAATAAGAGAAAACAATGGATGAAGGGAAGCTCTTACCAAGGTCCTTAGGCACACCATTGACACCATTTGTGTGTCCGTTTGTCTGGTGGTCTGCACCGGGGCACATTGTGGAAGTATGGATGCAAGAAAAAGTCAAAACAAAGAAAAATAGAGTCTCGGTTGAAAATAAGCGGTCCTTGGAGCAAATGCGGGAGTATATCTGAGTGATAGGGGAAAGGAATGGGTCAGGAAAAGAATCTCTCGGTCAAGTACATGCAGTATTTAAGAGATTCGTGGGGAAGTCAGAAAAGAGTCATAGCAGGAAGAAATGTAAGGCGGTGTCTGTACGGCAGGCGTCATGACTCAATTCTGCGGCAGAAAAAAAAAGGTGAAAATTTGAAATCACCAGATAAAAAGACCTCAAAACCTATTATTATTGCGGCAAATGGTTGGATGCCAATGGCGCCTCAGATGCAATATCACTAATTACCGAGCCAATAATAAACTTACTTTTCCGTGCCTATCCTACGCCAAAATATGTGTCTAGAATATGCAGATGCAGGCATTACGCACGAAAAAATTTCTACGGGGTCGTGCATGATACTCTGGGGAAGTGGACGGTACTTACAGGGGTTAGTCGTGCGCCCGACATCGGCATCTGAAATGAGGTGTCTTTTTCGGCAAAAAGATCCAAAGAAAAAGAAAGAAAAAAATTTGGAGGGAAAATAAAGGCCAAGCCAGCGGGAGTTCATTAACAATCAACAAGACCCAGACCAATCAATTATGGGGAATCAATCTGTACAGTTTGAGGTATGCGAAATTACGCACCTTTGTCCCAAATGTGTAATATTACCGCACTATGCCTACTTTAGCTACCTCCATCGATGGCGCAATCTTTTTGCCGCGGCTGCGGAGTACGTTATTATCATTAACCATTTCTGTCCAGTCTCCAAAGACACGACATGCCCTAACTGATATTCTTATGGATGTATTGGGTAACATAGGTCAGTGTTATATCCTATTGTGCTTGCTTGGTATGGAGTATCTGCGGTTTGAATCAAATTTCATTATGTTCCTAAAAGCTACAGCATTAATCCCTCCAATCAAGACTTGTCATAGTAATTGTCTGCCAGGAACTTCAATCCTATGTCGCTATGGATACCATTTCATTGTGGCTTCAAAAGAATGTATCAATGGTCTTCGCTTGGAACCCGTCTTCGAAAGCACACCTCCTTGGTGAATACCCGACAAAATCCCCATGCATCCTCAGCAACTGTGCCAGCTCTTGCGTTTGGATATTTCGTTCTTAAACGTGGACTTATCAGACTGATCCGCATCATTGATCTCCGTCGAAGCCTCACTGTAGTCATCAGAGTACTTCCTCAATGCCCCGAGCCCGTCCAAACGATCAATGTCAATTGTCCCTTCAGCGTCCTGGTGCTGTTGTTACTCAGATTTTCGTGTCCGGCGCGGTTTTCCTTGAGATCCCATAACGTTTCCGACTGCGATTTTGCGGCGTTCTCGCATGCCAAAGTACAGGCCCGAGACGACAATGATAACAACACCTAGACTAACCGGTAGGCCAATGCACAGTGCGAGTTTGTTAAACGGTAGCTGTGGCGAAGGTTTGTAATGCTCTACAGGTTTGGGATGAAACGTGATAGTCGGACCCTGTCGTGCACTGGCTCTCCTGCTTGACGCAGGGTCAAGTTCGATAATATAGAGCGTAAGTTCATTTGCGAGGTTTCCCCTGAAGCCACTCTTTACGCATGTAAAGAGTGATATATCCGTAGCTATTGGCAGTTTTCTCCGAGGTAAACGCCGAATCTCAGGGAGGAATTGGAATATCGGAGTTCAATCGTAATGGTCGCGTTGAGGGGGTAATGATCTGAATTCCACGTAACGTAATAATCTGCATCCACCATTATGTCGGTTCCATTCTGTGGCAAACAGAATGGCAGGAATGGAGCATCGGCAGTAGTGCAGATGAGAAAGTCACCCACTGAAGACGGGGCAGAAGTCTCGCCTCTCGTATCGATGCTGGGAGTGTCATTACGAAGAGCCTCGGTATTGAAAGCGGCCACTGTTTTCGATCCTAATGCGTTAGTACTCTATTTTTGGTATTATCAAAGGATGCTGTAGCCATCTGAAGACGGTTTATGCAAGCCACTGACCATGGGATTGCTTGGGAATAGAGGTTTCCAACGCAGCACCAATGCCAGTATTCACCAGGCTCGCTACCGCAAATGTGTGGCCAAGATCCGGACAAAGGAAGGGCGATCATATCCCAGCGTCATGCTTTCAGAAAGACAAGAAGCTGAAGGAGCTTGGTCTGTGATAGAGCAAACAGGAAAGAGAGCAGCCAAGATGTCGAAGTCTAAGGTCCTACTGTGAAGGATGACAGCGATGCTGCTCACTGTGGGAAGTAGAGAGATGAGCAGCAACTGATCCCATGGGGATACACCCTGGGCAGCTCATGGGGAAGGAACAATGCAGAGGAGCAGCGTACTCTGTACAAGGGTAGCACCGGGCCAGTTAGGATGGAATCTATCACCCTGAACAACCAGATGGGTAGAATTGCTGTATGTAATTTACTCCCAGGGCACTGATAATGGTAGTAGAAAGGGGGAGTTCCAGCTGCCCTTATAGCCATGCTGTACTTGAATTCAGTTCCAGTGGGTAACTTTGAACATATTGACTTGCATCTCTTCTTTCCTGCGTATCACCTGAGAGATCCAGAATCTTTAAGAACCATACTAGTATTAACTGGACAGTTTGATATATCATTCCTGTTCTTGTTTTTGTGCTTGTTCTGATCAAAGACAACGTCATGGCCGCCGAGGCGCTTCCCCAGGCCTATCGATTTAGAGACAAACTCTCCACCCCAACGCCACGGACGAAGACGCTCGGACCATCCTCTCCTATTATTATCGTGCAACATTTCGTATTCGTGGCCACTTCGACTTCTGGAAGTCAACACAGGTGCGAGTGTTCTTTTGGCTGCCTGCTGTCCCGTTCTTTGGCCTTCGTCATCGTTCAATCTATCCTCCAAAGTGCGCCCCTATAAGCCATCCCAGGTTTGTCATTCATCTTCTTTGTCTTACTCGGGTTTCACACAATTTATCAACAGCCGCTGATCTGTACGCGTCAGTAACCGTACCGCCCACCATGCGTGTCTTGCCATTTCTCGCTGTCCTCCCAGCGCTTGCTGCGGCTCAAGAACAGACCCCTCTCGTCGAACGCGTACAGGGATGGTTTAACAAGGCCAAATCATACCTTCCAAGTCCCACTCCCGTTGCCCCCGTGGAGAAGGTTGCCGAGCAGATAGCCCAGAAGGCCGTCACCCCGTTCAACTTGAGCAACTGGCAGTCCCTTTTGGAACCATCTTCCGAGCCTCAGGAGTGGTTAGTGTTTGTTACTGGGGGGAATAAAACTTGCTTCGGTCGCTGCGGCCGCGCAGAGAAGGCCTTCAATGTAGGGAAACTGGAAAGCACCTGAGAAAAATGCCCTCGCATGCATTGCTAAATCCTTTTTTTTAGGAATCCATACTTCTCTTCTCTGTAGATCGGACTTCTCCCCATCTTGGTTCCTTGAACTGCGAAAAGGAGAATGTTCTTTGCTCTACCTGGTTTGCCAGCCCTCCTACTGTCTGGCACTTCCAGATCCCCCAAGCCCAGATTGGGGAAGAACGCCTGCCCACACCTCTTCACATTGTCCCTCTGAATACGTCTACCATCACCCCGGAAGGTATTTATAAGATTCACTCTGAAAAGAACTACAAGACATTCCCTGCCTATGAGGGTGCGCTTCACCCGACCGACGGCTGGCTCGCGAAGACTGGACTCAATGTTGCGCTCGGATACATTATATTTGGTTTCAGCGCAATCCCTAGTTGGCTTTTCATGATTGGTGTCAGTCTTTTCAGCAGGACTTTCGCGTAAGTCGAGTTTCCTTTGTAACCATCTCGTCTGCTTGTCTAACTCCTAGGAATAGGGGCCGCCGTTTCGCGAACCAGGTACCGGAGCGTCGCGCTGCTCAAGCTGGACGCCCGAATTAGATGTCTCTTGACTTATGATGGCGATGTTTATTTTTGGGTTAGGGTCAAATGCTGTATTTATATAATGGGCTAGGTAGTGTCTTTTACATATTTATGGACGTTAGCCAAGTCGAGCCTCATATCCGTAGCTGCTCTTGATAAAGATGGTTAATTGTGTGAATCTGAGCATGGTGTGTGAGCTGCTGTGTGGTGCCTTATTTCTTGAGTACATCGGTTGAAAGATAGGTACCTGGACGCCGTAGGCTAGCATGCCTTAATACTTCCCGTCACTCTCAACAGAAACCAAACCTTCATTTGAACTGTACGGCCAAGCTAACATCGCTTGGGTTTTGTTTCTTAACACCCTTCTGGCGTCTGGTAGCATATACCTAGGGCTACGAGACTCTGGATTTGAACTCTTGTCCTGCCACTTGTGCTTATGGAGGGGCTGAAAAGGTGACATGATTCTTCAGAAAAGTCCAATATTATCTAATAAGTTGCTCTCGGAGGAAGATTATTATTACTGCTTGATCCAAGATCGGTAGTTAGACACAGCCAGTTGGAAATAATTTAGAATCTCCTTCATACCCATTTCTTTTCTACCTAGGGTAAAGTCCCTGTCGCAGCGCAGAAGCAGCCTCTCAAGACTAACCGCAACCAACGGAAAAGAAAAACAAAGCCCACCAAAGATCCTAACGTCCAGCATTCTACACTTCCAAGTTATCATAAAAAAGACCCATTCATTAGAAGCAAGAAGCAGCAAAAAATGACCACAAACCCCCCTCCCACAACAACCGCCTGCGTGATCGCGACCGCCATCGTGGCCGGAGTCACAGGCTACTTCATCGGCCAAGGAGCGTCGCTCGGGCTATTCTCCTCTTCGTCGTCGTCATCTGAGCAGAAACACGCTGCCCCGAAGATCACACCGCATGATGGAGACGCGTCTGATGAAGAGGAAGAAGAATACGATGAAAGCGAAAGTGAAAGCGAATCCGATGCGGATGGAGGCGAATTGGCCAGTTTCAAGGATAATTCTGAGGAGGTGAAATTGGTTCTTGTTGTTAGGACTGACTTGGGAATGACAAAAGGTGATGTTATTCCAAACTGTCCATTATTCTTCTCTTGTGTCACAGAAGCGCTGACTGATTTTTTTTCCCCCTTCTACAGGCAAAATAGCCGCCCAATGCTCCCATGCTACACTTGCATGCTACAAATACTTCCTCTCGCACGCGCCGGATTCGCCCATTCTCCGTCGCTGGGAAAGAGGTGGTCAGGCCAAGATCGCGCTCCAGATCAAATCGGAGGAGGATCTACTTTTACTTCAGGCGCAGGCGATGAGTCTTGGTCTTTGCGCCAGGGTTATTCAGGATGCAGGACGGACACAAATTGCCAGTGGGAGTCGGACTGTGTTGGGGGTTCTGGGCCCGCGGAGCGTCGTTGATAGTGTTACGGGACATTTGAAGCTTCTTTGATAGCTATGGAGTACTTTTGATGGTTTTTTTATGGAGTATCTTGGGATTGGTTGTGTCGGTTTGAAGATAAAAAAAAAGGCTTTCGGGAGTTAGTCATAGTCATGGTCGTGCCTCGTTTTTGCACTGCATGATAGACATACGCTGTACAATGCAAGCAGTACCACAAGCGATGACATTATACAAATACCCATTTTATATACCCAATATACCGCAATTACTAGTCATCACTACTTATCTATGTTATGTAGGCCAGTCATGGTTTTTCCCTAGCTTCACCAGCCAATGGCCATCGGCGAAGGGATCAGGAATATGACGCCGTCACACACCAAACCCATCCAGTCGAATTCACCAGCCCGACTAACCCCCCGAAGGGGGAAGCAAGGAGGGAACTCAAGACCGGAAGTGAACAGCTTGATGCAGACAATTGATCTGAGATCTGTCGACCGGAAATAAAGCAACCACGCATAGAAAGAGAACAGTGGCTCCTTTGGTCGTCGAACTGTCACAGCAATCAACCGAAACACTAGACAGGCACGAGGCACTGTGGTCGTGTTCAGGATCGCTGGACACAGATCCGTTGTGTGTTCTGGTAAGAGAAGAAGAGAAGAAAGAAAACAGAAATTTCTCGAGAGCTCTTTATGTAGGCCCATTAACGAGTTTTCTGGTCTAGTACTAATTTGGAATAGTGTCATATTATATAATCCGTCGTATTATATAATCAAGACCTCATGAATAGATTTGGGCCAGGCCGAGAAGCTTGAATGAACAATTACCAGGCGCCAACGGCAATCCTCCCTCTTTCCATTACTCGTCTATCCTGTTGTTGTTTTTGGTCCTCCCACAAAACAGGGCCAACATGTCAGATGCACTCTCCATCGAACAAAACAACAAGATCCGTGTGGCTCTGGGTCTGAAGCCGCTGCCAGTCCCCGGATCCAACGCCACCGCTGGCCCTGTATTCAAGGAACCTGACCACGACGACAGTGGCACATCGGACGAAGATGAGCCAGGGAGCACTCTGGAGTCACGACAGGCGCAGGCATCAGAGAACTGGCAAAAACTCCAAGAGCAGGCCGAGGCTAAACGGCGACGGGAGGAGAAGAACACGGCTATTAGGAAGGCTCGTGAGGCGGCGCAGCGGAACCTGAAACTCGAAGGGCCTACGCTGGGAGAAGCTGGCGGCGAAGAATTAGATACGAAGACGTGGTTACTCCAGGCAAAAAAGAAGCAAAAGAAGATTGAGAGAGAACGGGCGCGCAAGCTCGCAAAGGAGCTGGAGGAACGTGAGCAGGCGGCTGAGTACACTGCTGCAGATCTTGCTGGTATCAAAGTTGGGCATGAAGTCGCAGAATTTGAAGGCGGGGAGGAGCATATTCTTACACTCAAGGACACTGCTGTTGATGACGAAGAGGAGGGCGACGAGTTGGAGAATCTAAACTTGAGGGATAAAGAAAAGCTCGAAGAACGGCTGGAGCTGAAGAAGCGCAAGCCAGCATACGATCCCACACAGGAAAATACTGGAATCCTATCACAATATGATGAGGAAATCGAAGGGAAGAAGCGGAAGAGGTTTACTCTTGATGCTCAGGGGTCTACAGCAGAGGAAAGAGAGGCGAAACGACAGGAAGTTTCGGGAAAACTGAACATGGAAATTGTCAACCTGGATATTGCCCCCGAACCAGCTCCAGTTTCAGACTACATGGACATTAGCGAGATCAAGGTTAAGAAGCCGAAGAAGAAGAAGGCGAAGACTACGAGGCAAAGACCTATTGAAGAAGAAGACATGTTCGCAACTACTGAGAATATGAATAACCAGATGGAGGTAGACTCCGTCGCTACACCTCGCAAGCCTGTAGCCGATGAAGCTACGTTTTTAGATGATGAAGACCTCCAAGCATCCCTTGCACTACAGAGACGATCTGCCTTCAAAAACCGAAAGAGGGCGCGGCCAGAGGATATCGCGCGACAGCTTAGGGAAGAAGAATCGGCTACTCCCATGAATGTTGAGGGCATGGAAGATGAAGACCAAGAGGATCCCGGTCTCGTGATCGACGAGACTTCGGAGTTTATTTCCAATTTACATAGGCCTACGCTCCTGGAGCGCCGTGAAAAACGACGCACGCCGTCGGCTGTTGAGATGCCTCCGAAAGAAGAGAATGCTGTCAAAGAAGAACCTGTGGAGGATAGCGCCGATGTGGATATGGAGCGGACAATTGATAACATTGAGGACGAAGAAGATCTCGGGAGACGTATCAAGCAAGAGGAATCAGCCCAAGTGCAGCCACAGATCAGCGTGACTGGTCTGGACGAAGAAGCGACGCTCGACCAAGGTCTCGGTAGCACCTTATCTATGCTCAGACAACGTGGCCTGGTGGCACAGTCGGACAGCGCGCAAAATAACGCTCTCCTGCGCGAACGCCAGAAGTTTCTCCGGGACAAAATGCACATGGAAACGGAAGCTGAGAAGCGCGCTCGGCAGCAGCGTGAGCGTGACCGCACCTCGGGTAAGCTGGATCGCATGACAGCGCGTGAGCGTGAAGAATACGCGCGATGGGAGAACAAGCAGCGTGACCAGCAGGAGGCGCGACACATGGCGGAGGTGTTTAACCGGGAATACAAACCGGACATTCAGCTCAAGTACGTGGATGAGCACGGTCGGTTGATGAACCAGAAGGAGGCATTCAAGCACCTGAGCCACCAGTTCCACGGCAAGGGCAGCGGCAAGATGAAGACAGAGAAGCGGTTGAAGAAGATCGAGGAGGAGAAGAAGCGCGAGGCGATGAGCACATTGGATAGCAGCCAGCATACAGGCATGAACAACGCGCTGGGAGCGACGGCGAGGAAGAACCGGCAGGCGGGCGTCCGGCTGGGCTAATGATTGCGGGAATGTCTAATGTCTATGGGGTAGGGTAGCTGTACATAATGTCTTTATTCCCAACTACGGAGTATTTCAAAAATCAGTTTTCGGTGATGAAGTTCGTAGAATGCCTTGTCCCGAAGGCGGCGCACCAGGGCTACAGGAAAGCCCCGAGAGCGTCGGAGATGTAGCTGGCAGAGCCGAGTCTTCACATGATGGCAGAAGCTGTGATGGGCTGATGCAGCCGGATTGAGAATGCCGGTGAATGCGGAGGGCACGGCCAATCCGGCTTGTCCCCGGAATCTCCCTGGGTGTCCGTGCATGCTAAATAATCACTGGCGCTCCTGACCTATCCGACCGGCTTCAATTCTATCTCAGAGCTGTCTTTCTGGCTGATTCCCGGCAGTGTGCTTCTCTTTCTTCCATTCTTTCTCTCTTTTATCTCCTTTTCTTCTTACTTGTGCATACTATTCCCTTGTCCTTCCACACGCACATACATACACACACCATGCTCTCTTCAGCCAGAGTTGTGGGCCGTAAGGCTGTTGCGCGTGAGTCACACATGCGCATCACCCTGATCGGTGCAAGACATGTCTCTGCTTGGTCCAATGTCCCTGAGGGACCTCCAGTAAGCTCAATCTTAGGTCAACCAACCTGTTACACTGTGCCTTGCTTACAGGATACCCCCCTGCTAGGATGCCATTCTCGGTATCACAGAGGCCTTCAAGGCGGACAAGTTCCCCGAGAAGATCAACCTGGGTGTTGGAGCTTACCGTAAGAATGACACTCTCCTGCTGCGTTCTTTTTCTATTTTATTATTATTATTATTATTACTACAGAGCGGATTGGGTTTGGGCTGAATTTCAGGAAAAATTTTTTTCGCGATGAATTCTAGGTGATGACAAGGGTAAGCCGTACGTCCTGCCTTCTGTTCGTACTGCGGAGAACAAGGTCGTCTCGTCGAACCTCGACAAGGAATATGCCGGCATCACGGGTATCCCGACCTTCACCAAGGCTGCTGCTGAGCTTGCCTACGGTGCCGATTCTCCCGCCATCAAGGACAACCGTCTTGTCATTACTCAGTCCATCTCCGGTACCGGTGCCTTGAGGATCGGCGCGGCATTCCTCTCTCGATTCTATCCCCACGCCAAGAAGATCTATATTCCCACTCCCAGCTGGGCCAACCACCGCGCTGTCTTCAACGACTCCGGCCTCGAGGTCGCGACGTACCGTTACTACAACAAGGACACCATCGGTCTGGATTTTGATGGTCTCGTTGCCGACCTGAAGGCTGCTCCCAAGAACAGCATCATCCTGCTCCACGCTTGCGCACACAACCCCACCGGTGTCGACCCTACTCAGGAGCAATGGCGCCAGATCAGCGACGTGGTCAAGGAGAAGGAGCACTTTGCATTCTTCGATATGGCCTACCAGGGCTTTGCCAGTGGTAATGCCGATCGCGATGCTTTCGCTCCCAGACACTTCGTCAAGGAGGGCCACAACATTGCTCTGTGCCAGAGTTTCGCCAAGAACATGGTAAGTCTACGTTGGTGAACTGGCAGAACAAGAACCAAATAGCTAATCAGATTCGCAAAACCATATATAGGGTCTCTACGGTGAGCGTGTGGGCGCCTTTTCCCTGGTGTGCGAATCCGCCGAGGAGAAGAAGCGCGTCGAGTCGCAGATCAAGATCCTCGTTCGCCCCCTCTACTCCAACCCTCCGATTCACGGTGCCCGCATCGCATCCACTATCCTGAACGACCCGGAGCTGAACAAACAATGGCTGGGTGAGGTCAAGGGCATGGCCGACCGTATCATTGAGATGCGTGCCCTTCTGAAGAAGAACCTGGAGGAGCTGGGCAGCAAGCACGACTGGTCCCACATTACCAACCAGGTGAGGATGATGGGGTTCCTGAAAATGGGAGCTGGAAGTCGCTAACATGGACCTATTAGATCGGCATGTTCGCCTACACCGGTCTCAAGCCGGAGCAGATGGAGGCTCTTGCCAAGGAGGTTAGTTGATGCATATTAAACCCGTTAATTCTCCCCTTTCGATTGGATTGTCAAATCTAACGGTCTTATCCGCAGCACTCCGTCTACGCGACCAAGGACGGCCGTATCTCCGTGGCGGGGATCACCACGGGCAATGTCAAGAGACTTGCCGAGGCCATCTACAAGATTACTGGTTAGAGTAGCGGATTTACGGATGGCAGAAAATAACGAAAAAAAAAAAGGGGTGTAGAGACATGAGCTGAATAGTAAGCATGACGATAATACGAAGGAAGCCAGAAACGGAAGCAGATGTCTGTAGACTAGCCCAGCGCATAATTGCATATTCTTTCCAAAGCCATTGCTTGTGTTGGTGATATGGAGAGGCATGCGTGAGGTCTGTTGGATTAGCGTTATGAACATGATGAATGTATTCCTGCAAAAACAGAAACCGCATGCAGGAAGCAAGGCATGTTTCCACAGTTACATGCGGTTGAAGGGGCTGTCCACGTGTTCATTCGGCTCCGAGGTCTGCAGAGTTCTTTAGAGATTATTACTAGTAGTATTACTCCGTAGTTGAGTGATGAAGTATCATCATCTACTACTCTTGAGTCTACGAGATAAGAATCATAGAAATCTTGTCTTGACGAGAGAGTAAAAATAAAAAAAATAAAAAAATAAATCTCTTACATAGCATGACTGAAATCCCCCGACCTTCAGCCTAAAGTCGAGTCCGAGCTGGATCCGATCGATCATGCTATTTGTGTGAATCGAGGATAGTTCGTAGTATCGATAGACTTGACCCATTGTTTGGGTCGCGACAATAGGAGGCCCACCTGTCGCCGGTGTTTTATATGGAGGTCTATCCATTATTGCCAATGTTACAATTAATCGTCTAGTTCTCCCAACCATGATGCGTGCCTTGATTTCTTACTCGTAAAGTCGCATCGAGTGCTCAATTTCCCAGGGTTGCGGCAATGTCCAGAAAAAGAAAAAGGGCGGGTATTGGTACAGGGTAATGATTCCGTATTGTCACTTAGTATTGTGGTTACTTGATACTGCCATCGATAACGCGCCGGAGTAATTATTATAATTTATCTTACGAGCCATACATAATATTAAATACCTTGGTACTTCCCTAGTAAACATACTCCGTAGATGTGCGTTGTCAAATCCATATTATTGGTATTATAATTAATATTATTAAACAGGATAAAATAAAGGATCACAATCAGCTGTCAGGCCATCTGCGTCGATTGGACGTGGATGCGTTATTCCGCTGCTGTTCGGTGCAGCCGCCACAGGCCTTGCTTCGCCTTCAACAACGTAAGTGTCCGCTGCTCAACGCCGATACGCAGAACCATTCCTATGTAATTATATGAGTAGCACCGTAGCACGGCAGATGCAGTGGCTACATCAGTATGCAGAACTGCCCGGGGACGATGACGATAGCCCATCGGCTAGTGGCTAAGCTGGGGCAAAGCGATGGCCTGGATGTACCTGTCTGGCCGGCGGAGTGCCCTGCCATGGCCCTGTCCATCCTGTCGCTCTCCCCACTCCTTGGCCCTCTCTCGCCCGGCCTCTTTGGCATCATTTCCGTGCCTCGTTCTCTCTCCTCTCCTCTCCTCTCCTCTCTCCTCACCCCAATCCTAATCCCTCTTCTCTTTCTCTGCGTCCCTCCCTTCGCTGCTCCATTCCATCCTCCCAACCCTTCCTTCCTCTCATTCATGCATGCAGCGGTCTCTTCTTCAACCCTCTTGGACTTCATCCTGGTACCTTTGACCTTCCTTTGACCCACATCTATCTATATCTGTCGCTGTCTCACTCACCTTCTCTTTCTCCTCTCGCTTTATCTCATCCTCTTAGTCCATTCCATTGTTTGTTCTGATCTATGGAGGCTTCCCCTGCTTTTCTTCTCAGTGCTCCCGCCTGCTGATCCTGCAGCTCCTACGCTGCCCTCTTGTCTTCCTCGGCCCATTCTCGATTCCTTTCCTTTTCTTCTCCTCGATCCGCTTCACCATGTCTGCTCTGTATATCCCCGAGGCCGGATTGTCTCTCCGCAGAGATGATCCTCCCGCCGTTGACGGTCCCTCATCCAAACCCACCCAGATCATGCGATTGAACCTGGCCCAAAGCACTCTCGACGAACTCATTCAGAGTCTCCGCAACGACCAGAAAGCTCGTATCCGTCTGGGCAAACACCAAACCCTCTACTACGGGTCTAAGTTTCAGCAGTTCCATTCCGTTCCTGAAGCCCACCGCTCCGAAATCTATACCTGCACCCCCGGTGATAGAGAGAACCTCTACTTTACCGGTCTTCTCAGTCATACCCTGGAGGTTCAGAAGGCCAAGGAAGCCACTGCCGCTACCGATCAGGCCCTGGCCAATCTCGAGCAAAGCTTACATGCATTTGAACGAGGAAAAGAGTCAAAGAAGACTCATATCATCACCGACATTGATCAGGTCAGGGCTCTGAAGTCGGGGAAAAACCGCCCATCGCGTCTCCCCACCGGTAGGAGTGATCTTGAGAAGGACCGCCTCTTCAACAAACATCATGCAGCCAGCCGCTCCTTGTCGTCCAGCCCCCTGGGTCTGTCTCTCTCCCCCGCCTCCCATCCTGCTCCCACGCCCACATCTGCTCCGTTACCGCAAAGCAAGGACCAGATTCGCCTCGATGCCCTCAAGGTCCCCCTTATCCACCTTCTCGCTGTCCGCGCCGTCTCGGCCAAATACCTTGCGCGGCAAACCCGCTCCTCCCTTGATGACTGCTTGACTCTGGTTCGGAAGTACGGTGTGGAAAATCGACTGGATCGGGAAAAATTTGACCTGAAAGACAAGGCATACAGAGAGCTGGATGTGTGGAAATTCCCTTATCCGTCCCAAGAGGACCGGCAGGAGGCCATTGAAAATGCCATTTCTGCGTTCGATCGCATGCGCATCTCCCGTTCAGACAAACTCTGGCAATCGCTTCTTCCGAAAGAAGAAAGGGGCAAGGGTAAGGTCCTTTCGCGGCTGGACTTGCGGACGGGTCCCGTCAAAAAGTCTCTTACTCCCCGGATACAAATCCACGCATCGGAAGACACCACCAAGGAGGGCTACACGACCGGTACAGAAACCGATCGTACCAACAATAACGGGCTGGCACCGAGGACGGCCGAGAAGACCAAGGATGTGGCTCCTCAGAAGGCCGGCATCGCTGCAGCGAAGAAGAAACGCGCAAGCGAGAAGGATGCACCCGCGAAACGAGGTCCTGCCAAGGGAAAGAATGCCAACAACAGCACCTTGACTGGACGCGTCACCAAAAAGGCAGAGAGGAAGCCAGTTTCGAAGATCAAGTCTGCTGAATTCGTCCATGATTCTGACGAGGATGATACGGACATGCCAGATGCAGCTTCATCGTCGTCATCATCACTGGCCGTGAAGCAGCATCAGACACAGCAGAAAGCACAACCGTCCCCCTCTCCAAATACAAGTCATGACAAGCCAAATTCATCTCACGCTGCGACGTCCCGGGCGGCTAAGCCCGATTCTAGGCCTGTCCCAAAACAGTCGCCTCAAGGGGCCCGCACTACTGCTACTGCTGCTGCTACTGCTACTACATCGCAGAAACACCCACCGTCGCAGTTGTCGAAATCTGCGTCTCCGCGGAAACCGTCCCCCGTCCGATATTCGCCTCCCACCAATTCCTCGGACTCCCGCGGCCACAGTCGTTCTTCGAGTCGAAACACAGCTACCTCGAGCTCGTCGTCCTCTCCCCTCATCGCTCAGGTGTCCAAGGGCAGACAACCCGACAGGCCGGCCAATCCTCCGGCATCAAAATCGATCAAACCGAATGGCGGCGTGAATGGCACGTCGAATGGCGTGGCAAAGCCCAAAAGAGAGACGGCCGTTCCCTTGAAGCGTAAGGCAGAACCACAACAGCCACCGGTGACTGAGTCCCAGAATGCAGGGCGACCTAACGGGCATGTGGATCATAAACGACGACGGGCGACGAGCATCTCGAGTGGAAGCACAGGCAGTGACTCACCATCGATGGGTCGCGAGTTTCTTCTTCAGCAGCTACGGGAGAAGTCGCAGCGATTCAAACAATACTACGCCAAGTATAGAGCACTTCATGACTCGCTGGCATCACTCGTAAACCCACCGCAGGCGGACTTGGAGAAGCTGCAGTTACAGCACAAGCGGCTTCAACGGATGAAAGAAGAGATATGGGATGAGGATCGACGACTACGAAAAGGACCGTGATATCTTTGAAGCGGTGATGATCATATTCACTTTGTTTTGGTTAATGTTGGACACTGCATTTTGGCCATTATACCTGTCTCATGGTCATTTGGAAATACCTATCTTGTTGGCCTTTTACTAATTATCTACAGCATGTGCAAGCCGGTCTGTTTGCATCAAGTTTCTTTATTTCCTCTATTATTTTTTTTATTTAATTCTTTTTTTGATTTTGCAGCGTATTGCATTTGCATTGATGCCATGTTCCCCAGCTGCGGCAGAAATGCAAGTGGCTTTAATGCATGTTGAGATAGCATGGGCTTCTACCAGAAGAAGCGATTTGCAGGACCCCAGCGATATGCCGACAGAGCTTACAGAGCTTTTATAGATATTATGATTCAGCTTAGAAGTTGAATAAAAACATATTCAGGACCAGGACGAAGCGTTGCTTTGTACAATAGGATTTCGTATGACGCTGTCCTTCTCCTCTGACTACCACTGCATAATGTCTTATTCAGTCGTATTTGCAATGCCCCATCAATCCGTTACACAGACCCCTCATTGCACATGTGAATATGTGCTGTAGAGGGTAGGTACAAAGGTAAGCTGAACTGTGCTTGTGGCACAAAACATGTGACAGTCCTGATGTCATCATGAATGTCTGAGGGAACAAAAAGCCAAGAAACACTATATCTGATCTGGTTTAACGCAGTTTCCCGGGCCACTGCTTAGTCATCCATGGCTTCATGATCGATTCTTGTGCTATAATAGGTTAGGTAGCTATATCGGGATCCTTGAACGACGTCAATTGGGATCAGTTGAATCTGTATCTTTGGGAGGTTAGATTCAGCTGTTGGGGATTTATTTCATTCTGAAATGTTCTATTAGGTAGGTGTACCTAGTGCCCCCTTAGGCTTATTTTATTTGCGCGAGCAAGAGCTAGAGCTAAAGGGTTGTCTTCATTGTATCATGTCATTATTTGACTGACCGCAGAAGCAGGGCGTTTTGACCTTTCTTTCCTCGCAAGACGGATCTTCACGTTGAATGAAGAAAATTTGCTCAGCTTGATCTGGTTGATGCTATTCGAAAGATAGATTAGCGAGACATCTGCCTTTTTTCCCCTTTTCTTCTTTTGACAAGCTGCGTCATGAATCCACAAAGAGGACGAAATCCCGGACAGGCGGTCATGGTTAGGATGGCCCTTGCTTTCATTTATTTTATTTTAATTTTTTTTTCCCTCTTTTGACATATTGTTCCGGTTATATTGATTTCTGGTATATAGCCTCCCGCTCGCCGATCTCCATCGACCCGCCTCATCACCGTCGACAACGTCCTCCAGAATTCCTCGGATATACCCTCAATGCAACAGCGTCTTCCTCCTCAAAATACGCGACAGCGGCAGCGGTCTCGTCTTGCTTCTGCGACGGGTTCGTTGATTGGTGGTGCGTCGCCGGCTGTAGGGACGATGAGTCCACTTGCGGCTGAGCCGCGTTTGCCTCCGCGGACGACGAAGGTTAGTCAGAAGCTTGTTCTGTTACCGGAAACAGAGGGTGGTGGGAGAGAGAAAGAAGAAGAGGAGATTGGACAAGAGGGTGTGGGGGAGCTGCGACAGCAACGGCAAGAAGGAGGAGCTGTTCTTGTGGATGAAGAGCAGGTTCAGAGGTTAGCCAAGGAAAGAGGGGTGGATCCGGATGTCATACGAAAGTCACTGCTGAGCAGCAAGGACAGGAGAAAGCTCCATGGGGATTTCGCTGTGGATAATGATGTTGCACCTTTGCTTGCGGAGGAGGAATTGTTGCGGCGTCGTCGAGTCCGTCCTGAGAAGGCCAAGAGCTATGCGGAGCGGCTTCCCAAGGCGCGGCGCGCAGAGAAGGTGGCTCGGGTTACAGCTTATTGTACGGCACAGGCGTATAAGATGAGTTCTGTGGCGTCGTTTGTAAAGGAGTGGCATGGGGCGCGGGTGAAGTTCTACGACGACTGTCTCTACACGGCGTACCAGCTGCCCTTGTTGCCGGGGCATGAAGGGTACCGGCTGCGGAGCAGTCCTACGGTGAAGTATCCCGGGGGAAAGTCATTTCTGGACGAGGAGATTGAGCGGAACGAGCTACGCGACCATCATGAAGATTACATGGTGGAGGCACTGGAGCATTCGGTTGGAGGAGGTCGTGTTGAGCAGACACACCCCGGGACGGACAGCAGACATTCAACGATGGAAGATCATCACCAAAGCACAGAGAATAGGAACGCCATTCCCACTGAGCACCCACGACCACATCATCACCGCCATTATCCAACACCACCACAGATCTCCTCTCCATCCGTACTTTCCACTCCTCCAGCGCCCGCAGGGATCCCTGCCAAATTCCTCTCCGTAGCCGAGATGTTCGTCTTCAGCTACGGCGTCGTTGTTTTCTGGAATTTTACCGAGCCCCAGGAAAAGGACTTACTGGCTGATCTGGCCTTTGCAACATCCTCTGTCACCGGCACCCCAGTTCCCTTGGCTACTCTCCCGTTGCATGAGGAAGACTTCGAGACGGAGGAGTTCCATTTTGAATACTCGACTGAGATCTCGCATCCGCGTGTGTACAATGACATGATCACCCTGCGCAGTGGAGACCATATGATCAAGTTAGCCATCAGTCATGGGATTGCGCAGAGCACGAAGCTATGCTTCTTTGAGGAGGTCATGGCGAGGCAGATGGCTGAGGCCAAGGACATACCGCGACGGCTGGCGACGACAGGGCAACTGGGAATGAAGAGGGAGGAGTTGTTCCGAATCCTGGGGAAGTTGTTTAAGAGTCGGGTTGAGGTTAATTTATGTTGGTTTCTGTTTTCTCCTACCATACGTTTGATATACTGGCAGTGCTGATGTTCTTTTACAGCGTCCAATGTCCTCGATGTGCCGAATTTCTTCTGGGAAAGCGAACCCACCCTGTACCCGCTGTACATCGCAGTGAGAGAGTACCTTGAAATCAAACCGCGGATTCAAGTATTGAATGAACGGTGTCGCGTGTTTCTTGATCTTACAGAGATTCTGTCTGATTCGATAGCGGATAATAAGACATCAAGTATGTCTCTCTCTGTCCCTCCCTCTTGTAATTGTCCTGACTAACAGTTTAGATCAAACATGGGTGTGTATCTTTTTAATCGTCCTTTCCATTTTCGTCACCATCTTCGAAGTGATACTTCGGTTTGGGCTTCTTTCCACGCGTCAGAGTGGCTCTTCATCGCTACATGCTACTGCATTCTCAAACATGATGCACCGGGCCTTTTCTTCCTCATCGTCAGCGGGTGCGTGTGTGTGTCCTGGTATGGAGGGAGGGGATCTGAATGGGAGTGTATATCATTAATTTTTCTCCTTTCACTGGAGTGGGCGGGTGTACATGGATGCAATTAGGATGCAAATAGTAATAATCGACCGTTTCGATTGCTGTTTAAGGAAGTAGCATCATAGATGAATTTGTCATGATCATAACAGCTTCAGTAGCCAGACAGCTAGATAACAAAATGTCTGGACCGGTCTCATGTTGCAGTAGGTAGCAATGACAGGATTGACAGGGTTTCTAGAAGGCGAGTACGGTGTATCCAGGGATCCGACAGGCTCCGTAGGCCCACCTGCGGACCGTGTTCTGTTCTTTCGATGGAACGGATGGATTAGGCAGATAGCTGCGCCACACCACGAGCATGCCGCCGTTGCCATGGGGGTAACTCCGATTTTTCGAAGGGATGATACTTTCTTTTCTTTTTCCGTGAAACTTTGGGGGTGTGGTTTAGGTTACAAATTGGGCATCATTTGTTTATTATCTATTGTACTAGAGCAAGATATATGTTTATCATTAATTATATATTTCATTTTGTGTTGTAACCACACAGCCACAAATATTTCTACTCTCAATAGTATTATTATTTCACTTTCTTTATTATTATTATCATCATCACAGTCATCATTATTACTACAAGTCATACCAATTATGACAGCATGTATCTCGTGAAGTAATTGATGTCGCACATGCCAAACCAACTGCAACACAGATCATGATGCACGTTCTGACTACTCAGCGGCCCGCCTTCGAAAGAGCTTCTGGAAGGCCCGCAAAAAGGGCTTCCCAAGTTCCCACTGGGTCCGGGCCTGGCGGGGCGTGCTCCTTGTGGTCTTTACTCCTGTTTGTTGGATCTTCATAGCTGAATGCGCTACAGCCTAAGGGGGCGTCTGTTGGTCGAGTTGTACCGCACTGTAGTGGTAAAGGCAAGGCGAAGTTGCATCAGAGCTTGACACAGACACTGCCAGACGTCTATTTACATGCACACCTCGCTCGCCTCGTTTCGTCTCAGAGTTAACTCTAATCCAGGCATCATCAGGTTGTCTTCCGTAACAGGTGATGTGATCCTGAAAGGGACTCCCCGTACAGAAATATAGAATCACTCCCACTTCTACGGATCGGAGTAGCATCACCCGGATATCCAGGAACAATGAACCGGAAGACCTGAAAGGAATGGTTCGAACCTTCCTCATCCTTTGATCGACTTATATACGGAGTTGTTGTGTTCTGACTCGTGCTTGGGGGAGGAAAGCAGGGGGAAGGTTTAAGGCCCAAGGGGAAGGGAGAAAAGGGAAAGGGAAGAGAGGAAGAGAGAAAAGGAATGTGGCATCATATAGATGAAATATAGAGTTCGTGGGATTCGCACGAGAAACCTTGCAGTCTGATCCTGATACTATACTCCGTATAGAGGGAGGCACGGCATGCATGCAGGAGAGCTTCCGGGCCAGGGGTTCATGCAGCGCTGCACTGCGCGTCCCCCGGGGCTCAGGACACGTCTCAGAAATTAGGATGCGTGGGATCCTGCGTCATAGCTATATTCAGCTATGTACTCCGTCTGTATATCCTGGACACTCCGTGCGGAAATTTATCATCAGGCAACTGGCGCTTGATCGACGGCTTGAGGCAAAGGTACCTGATTCGGGCATCCTCCCGTTTTCAGATAGATAGATAGACATCCACATTCTCCGAGCATCAAAGCAGAGCAGAGCAAAAGCACGGGCAGATCCTCAACACGGACGGCAGGAGGCCACGCGGTGGATCCGACTGGCCCTGACGAACATCCAGCATCATGGTTAACCTCCGGGACGGACAGTCGCCATCCTGAATGGCTTGCGTCCATAGCCTCACTGAGTATTACGCAGTATTATTACTATAATATTAGACACTAATTATAATACTAATGGTGGATATGAGAATGCTCCGTGGAATAATAATAGCAATGGCTCACTTGCACGGAGAAGGTTCCTCTAGTAGTCAGAGAGTAATAGTTGCTCTGCCATCCCGGCCTGCTGGTGTCCCCTTTTTCCCCTTTCGAGCTGCTTCCCAGAAGCCTTTATAAATGGCCCAGGAGCACGGTGTGCTGGCGCAGAGCTCAGCTTGATTTAAGACATTATTATCATCTTCATCATCATTATATCCTACTAGGTACAATCATACCCTTGTGTTGCACCTACCACACTTAAATCATCATCTATTCTCTCTTACGGTTGTCGATATTCTTCGACTGTCTCGACCTTGTGGAACTTGCAATTTTTTTGTTTTTTTATTATTTTTATTTTTTTTCCCTTTCATCTTTTTCTTTACTTCGCCTCCCGTCTGCTCTCCGTTTTGCCCTCGGCACTCGGTTTCGAATCCTCTTTTTTATCCATCCAAATTTCTTTCTTTTTTTCTGCAGACGCAGCCATCGGCGTCACTGCTCGGTACGTGCTTTTCTTCCCGCTGTGTCGATGACGCAGTGCAATTGTCCTGTGCACACCCGTTCCCTTCTCCAAATATCCCCCTCGAACCGTGGACTGGGTTGCAAGCAGTCACCTCAAATAATAATGCCGAGAGGGATGATAATTATTATAATTACAACATGATTGCTACGTGCGGTTAGTGCCGCAACCACTCGCGGGTAGCAACGTCTCCCTCGCAGCCTGAGCATCAAACGCAGTGGCTGACTGCCCTTCGCAACTGGCCAAGCTGAGGGAAATCAAGACCTCCCTATATGACATGGCATATCCTATGGGTGATTCTTGCTGACTTTTGTTCTTATAATAGGCCTGTTTCCATTGTTGACACGGTCGGCGTTAGAAGCTCTCGTTTCTTTTTTTAATTTTTGGTCCCTATTTTATTTTTTATTTATTTTCGATTTTTTATAAATTTTTTTTTTGCCCCTTCCCTCGTCATCCACGTACACCCCCCTTCTTCTGCTTTGACCGCTTGTTATATCCTACAAACCCTCGTCCGTCTTGTTTACCTTGGCCCGACGAGGATACACGCACGAGTGTTTTTGCCGAGATTCTTGTCTCCTGCTTTCCAGGGTGCCGCTGCTGTGTGGCCTTGACTGTTTCCGTTCTACCCCCTCGACGCACCTATCCGTCGACACCTGCGTCGGTGTTTCGGTTTCGAGAGTGAGGAGCACAGCGCATAATATCGGCCCCCCTCCAGAACTCTCTACTTTCTTTATAGTCAACTCTGTCGAGCTGTCCCTGCCGTTTGCGATCCTCAGGTCAACTCTTGCCTCTCTCTCCTCCGCTAGTTCCGCCCGTCGAGTTCCCTGCCCCGATCGAGCGTGTCCGGTCATTCCGCCAGTCGAAAAAAACAAACTACGACTATCTTCCATCGACGAAAAAGATATCTGGAGATAAAATACGATAGCGCAAGGGACCTGCGGTAGGACACACTCCAGCCGTCCTTCGCCACGGTCTTCTTTTCACCGCCCGGCCGTGCTAGGTCATGGACATCACGACTATCCTGAATAGAAAAGGTTCTGTTGCCTTGGTTGCGGCAGAGGCTCAGTTTCATCAGCAATTTCCACAGCCATCTCAATTTGATCCTCGAGACTCGCCGATGATGAAATCGGAACATGCCGCGGCCCCGACGTTGAAGTCGGAACCGCAACCTGGCGATCACACCCTGCTGTCATACCCTCCACATCCACAGCCGCTCGCCCAGATTCCCAATATGCATCAAGATTTGAGATATCCCTCACCCACACATACCAACAGTGCTATGCCGCTGATGCAGAACGCATACTACTCCGGGGGTTTCCCGACCGCTGCTCAAATACAGGAGAGCGTACAACCTCAGACAAGGCCCGATCCTCCCCCCAAAACCTTCCACTGCTCGACTTGCAGCAAAGGCTTTGCCCGGCGGAGTGATCTTGCAAGGCATGGTAAGTTTTGACCTTCGTATTTAATCGTTTATACCCGGGTCTGACGCTAGCTTTTCTTTTCTTTTCTTTTTTAGAGAGGATTCATTCTGGAATCAGGCCTCATGCTTGCGATTGGCCTGGATGCGGGAAGCAGTTCATTCAACGATCTGCCTTGACTGTGCATTCGCGCGTCCATACGGGCGAGAAGCCGCATATGTGCGAGAGGTGTGGCAAGGTATGTACAGAATCTTTTTATCTCTGTTTTATGCCTACTGCAAATGCTAATACGATTGTTCCTTGCATAGCCTTTTAGCGATTCATCTTCTCTAGCTAGACATCGCAGAATACACTCCGGAAAACGACCCTATAAATGTCCCTACGCAAACTGCCAGAAGACGTTCACGCGGCGCACCACCCTGACACGCCATCAGAATCACCATACAGGGACGATCGAGGAGGCCGCAGCTCAAACAGAGGCCAGTTTGAGGCAGAACAAGGAGAGGGTGAGGATGCCCGGTGACGGAATGTTCCCTGAAAACGCTTCGATTCAATCGACCCCATCCCCCGCGCAGGCGGCAACGATATCTCCGGGAGGTGAGTTGCCTCCGCTGACAATGCATCGATCTGCTGGCGATTACTACATGGGAAGTGGCCCCATTCCGCCACATATACGTGGGGACTTCTCGCAAGGCAGCCCTCGTGTCTCCCCAACTGCCACTTCCCCATCCTTATCGAGCTTTGGTAATGCGCCACTTCCTCGACCATCTATGACGTCCCATCCAACGGGCTATGGTCCCCCACAACCTCTTGAACCGCCTGCCAATAACGACCACAGGCCCAACAGTGTTTCGGGCAGTCCTCACATGACCAGTCTGGGTTGGGCCTCGCCTTCACATGGAAGCATTCCGTCTCCAGGCTCTGCCAACGACTTGACGTACCCGGAGCCCAATGCACCCGCATATCCGACCTCCATGCCGCCTCACATGTATTTTCCCAACTCCACAATACGACGACCCACCAGCACGGAGCCGGAGAACTATGACATGAGGCATAAGATGGGTGACAACGCTTGGGCCACACCCGTTTAGGAAATGTGCTGTGAGGCCGCTCTTTTGACTTGAGTCAACAACCATCTTTTTCAACTTTCTGCTTGATTCCTCTCCTATGTGATTGATTCCATGTGATTCCCATGCAAAGCAATTGATATTCTTAATTTTGCTTAGTATTCTTTACTTGTTAGTCATGTCATCTTCCCTGTCTCCCTTTTGACTGTCTATCCAGGCATTCCCACTACACAAACATTGCCTTATGACTGTTGTATCAGCATCTTTGTCGATCATCTGCAACCTCATCGCACTGGAAGGAGTCCGGGTAACCATTGGTTTAGTTTTTGGGTTGATTCTCTCTTTACTGGTTTCTTTCCATTTCATGTGCGGTACGGCAAGGATGAAGCATAGATAGAGAGTGGAAAGGGGTTCGAGTCATATTTTCGGAAAGGGTATCTGGGTCTGGGTCTGGTTTGGGGTTTTGGTCTAGGTGCTTCTGGTTTTGTCATTGCCATTTTTTTTTCTTATTCCCATCCTCGATCTTCGATTCTCTACCTAATGCTGCTTAGCAGCCTCATATCTCTAGTGTATCATATACCATTCTTTTCTTTCCTTTGTTAGAGCTGCTCGTTTTCACCTTCTCCTCTGCTTTCTTTTTCTCATCTGAATACCCATCTATCAATACCACTGATTTTTGTAAGATGAGTTATCAGGTTGTGTTTCCTTGTCTACAAATGTATGATAGGAGTCTAGGAGTGAGAAGACTTAATGACGGACTGCGTTGACGCAGAGTTACGTGAGTACTTTGGTCTCAGGTCTTGGCATGTTTGTATGTTGACTTGTGTTTGCTTTCTGTCCGGAGCTTCCATGAATCTTTCCTAGAGCATCTCTTGGACAATTGCTTTGACATTTGCAGTTTATTTTCATTGCAGGACGTGATAATATACTGTGATTACTGGTAGTGTAGATGACTGAGCACAACCAATATCTCTAGGTATGTCACACAACTCTGCTGGGATGAACCGGCGCTCATGGGATTGATGGTTACTTCAGATTAGCTTATTGCCTACAACGGTTCAATCGAAGAAAAAGCATTCGATTTATGAAAAGCTCTACCCGATCATACCGAATAATCGAAGTCGTCTCCTCTATTTATATTCTCAATAATGGCTTTGCGGCCACCCTCTCGCATCCTCAATGCCAACCTTAACCTCCTCCGCCAGTTAACAAGAAAAGCAACAGCACCAACGACGCAATTCGTCCGAAACCACTCCTCCGTCTCCGAAGATGAATTATCTCATTTTTCCGCGTTAGGAAATAGCTGGTGGGATCCTGTGGGCCCATCGCGGGCTCTACATCTTATGAATCCCCTGCGTCATGAGTTTATCGCGTCATGTCTTGCGGATGGTTCTATGGAGTCTGCATCGGGGAAGAAGGGATTGAAATACCTCGATGTGGGGTGTGGAGGGGGGATATTTGCTGAGTCAATGGCGAGGAGGATATTGGATACTCCTTCTACCTCTACCTCCAATAACTCTACAACTACAACAGATTCCGTCCTCGCCATCGACCCCTCCCCGACCCTAATCCAAATCGCCAAAAAGCACGCGCGCACCGATCCGCTCATCGACTCCCACCTGCGCACGGGCAAGTTCACCTACCGCAACACGACGCTAGAGGAACTCGTGGCGGAGGAATCGTCAACACAGGCCTTCGACGTGGTCACCCTCTTCGAAGTCCTGGAGCATATCGATCCGGCTACTTCGTCGCCCGTGGCGTTCCTGGGGAATTGTCTCCGGCTTCTTCGCCCGGGCGGGTGGTTGGTTGGGTCGACGATCGCGCGCAGTTTACCTTCGTTCGTGGTGAATCAGGTTATTGCTGAGGCGCCGTGGCCGGTGGGTGTTGTGCCGAGGGGGACGCATGAATGGAGTAAGTTTGTTAATCCGGATGAGTTAAGGGGTTGGGTTGGGGAGGCTTCTTCTTTTTCTTCTGCTGCTTCTGCCGCTGGTGAAAATGCTGCTGCTACTATACAATGGAAGTGCATGGGTGTGATGTATATTCCCTGTTTGGGGTGGAGGATGGTTGGGGGGTCTGAGAGTTGGGGAAATTATTTCTGGGCTGTGAGGAAGGGTATCTAATTTATCTATATTTATTATTTAATATTTGATATTCTGTCCCGTTCAGTTCCAAGTTCTGATCTGATTGATTATTGTCAGCGGCGCGGACGGGTTTAACGGATGCGCATATTGTAATTGGTCTGTAGATATCATGCCAGGGAGACTTCGGGAGAGTTGGAATATCTTCTGTAGACTAGAGTAAGCATAGCCTGTTCGTGTCTAGTACATACTGTACCTGATCCAGTTCGCCGTTTCGTTTCAAGCCTAGACAACCAAGTGGGTGTCAGGTACGGGTGCAAGGCTAGGCTAGGTACCTGCATGGCATGGCATTAACCCCTGGAAACTTGGGAAAAAAAGTGGGCAGTAGGATATAAAAATAAGTAAAACAAGGAAGAATTGGAAAACGGAAGGGGACGGCGGAAATATATGTCATCATCATCAATGAATGAATGAGCCACATAAAGCCCATTTAGGTATTACTTTATCTTTTCCCAAGCTGTCATAATAGAGCTAAGAAGAAGAATACAATTAATATTTTAAGATAGATGAAAGATCGATCGACCGTGGCCCATGCATCCCCAACCAAGATCAGTACCTGGCGGTGACGCTGAGAGGCTGTGTATGTTATGTACTGTATTGTACGTACGCAGTAAGGTAACGTATGAGAGTTGACAACGCATACGGTTCCATGGGTGTCACAGTGGATCTTTCCCCCCTTGGTGTCCCCGCTTGCGCTGAGCGGATTGGATGGTGCCTGAATGCGAAATCGTAGGTACCGAGAAGGTACCACCCGGTGGTAATAGGCGTCCCCTTAGTATGGTCGCCGGGACACTGCTAGGTGATAACTTTCTAAGCGAGGATGAATAGTTGAGATACTGATAGGTTAGCCCACATATCGCATATATCGCATATGGATTATGTGGTTTATCTGTACCAGGCTTGAGTCATAGAAATACGGTAGAATGTGCTTCCAGCACGGATCAGCAGACACACACCATGCAACGGGCCTCTCCGCCACCGCTTTTCTTTCCCCTTTCCGTCGTGCTTAGGGAGTTGCTCAGCATTATATGCAGTAGTACCACTAGCTAGCAAAGCGTGGCGCCTGTGCTGTGAACTGAATACCGAACACTAGAGGTGTTAGCGGGATGGAGGGATCGGGTAGTCAGGAACCAGGAACAGGAACAGGTGCGTGATCCGGAAACAGGAAAGGGGAAAGGTTGAAGGGGGGAACATGAATGGGGGAGTGGTCCCTGTGGAATGCTTGTGTTTGGTGTTTGGAAGGTTCAGGGTGTTGGAACTTGGTATTTTAAGCGATGTCTCGGGTTCTTTTTTGACTTTTATGTCTCAAGAACCAGTCTATCAAGAACAAAGAAATTTTTTTGTCTAAAAAAAAAAAAAAAAAAACTGTGTGTTGACTTGTACAGCGTAGACACTAGTCGTTCCATGGGTTCTCCGAACTCCGAGTCTGGAAGAGTGGCTGAGTACGGCTGGATGTTGGGTAGCACTCCCGTAGCCTGCGCTGGATGTTGCGCTGCAAAGGCAAACAAACTCACGAGTCCTGCTTGAAGAAAGTGGAAACGCAAGCGTGTTGACTCGAGTGCAGGAAGCAGATACCGGAAGAGCGTCCGTGAGAAAAAAGAGAAAATAGAGGGATGCTACTTGTCTCCTGACCTGCTCCATCCAGTGACCTGACCGGGGTCTGTCACTTCTCTCCGCTCTTTTCCTCTTTTTCTCTTCCTCTTCCGTCTCTTCAACTCTTCCCTCTCCCTTTCCCATCGTCTCCCTCCATCCCCGGTCCTTTCTCATTCTTTCTCTCTGCATTTTCTTTTATTTCTTCGTTCCTTCTTTCTTCTTTTACTATCGCTGCTGTCGCTCGTTGCACTCTTTTACGACGACCCTGCCCCTCGTTCGACGCCTCTTTTTCCACTTCTTCCCGAACGGCATCTATTTCCCGATCCCGTTGTTCCTTAAGCCTTTACACTTCTACCTTTTTTTTATAAGAAAAATCTATTTTTTCTTCTTTTTTAATCCCTCTATCTTGCTATCTAACAAGTCACTACATGCTCTATATTTCTGTCCCTCATCGACCCTCACCTTCAGCTTCTTTCTACCATCCGCTGAAGCATTGACACTGACTTGTTTGCAACGTCCCATACCATTATTTCTTTCCTCGAGCTGCCTAGGCCAGCTGCTTCATCTTCATCTTCATCGTCTTTGTCTTGTTTCTGTTTCTATTCTTACCAGTCTGTCTTTTACGCCTCTGCGACACGCTTTGCCATCTTCGCCTGCCACCAGCCAACTTCAGCTTTCGTATGGTTGGGTCCGATCTTTACACTACTCCGTTGACTTGTCAACACGCCTCCATTCGTTTTTACTCGATCCCTCCCTGAACCTGATCCGACATATCTCGTTCCCGTCATCCTTAAGTGATTATCGGCCGGGACTGTTACGAGCCGCGTTTCCTTTTTTCACACTCGCCAATAACCGGTCGTCTCTTACATCTCAGCGCGACTTGGATCAGCATCGCCCACAATGCCGTCCTCAGACGTCCTTGCCCCGTCGACTATGTCGACTGCATCGACAACGACCACAGCGACCTCGTCCCCCATTGTCTCGACTCCTTCCCCGTCTACCTCGAGTGCTGCAACCGCTCCCCCGACGTCTGCTCCGCGTCGCCCTCCTCGGAAGAGCGCGTTGACCCAGCAACAGAAGAATAACAAGCGTCAACGCGCAACCCAGGATCAATTGGTCACCCTCGAACTGGAATTTAACAAAAATCCTACTCCTACGGCGGCTACCCGCGAGCGGATTGCCCAGGAAATCAACATGACTGAGCGGTCGGTTCAAATCTGGTTCCAGAATAGGTTAGTTCCAATTCCTTTTTTAAACCGGTTTTCCGTGTATCTTCTTCAGCATTGGCTCCTAACGCTTGTTATGCAGACGTGCCAAGATCAAGATGCTCGCAAAGAAGAGTATTGAGACCGGCGAGGGCTGTGATGCCATCCCCGAGTCGATGCGTCAGTACCTGGCCATGTATTTTGATCCGAATAAGCCTGGCCTACGAGACTCCTTTGGCCGCACGGCTGGCTATGCGGTGAGCGGGGTATACCCGAATGAGTCTTCTTCGTCCGGCAAAGTTGGTAGGTTTTAGGCGTCCCATTTCGATCAACCCATTTCAACATGGTTCATATTGAGCGCTGACTTTTGCATCTCCAGTTATCAACCACTTCACTTGTCGTTCCTTGACCATTGGTAGTTGGCGACGCATTGGACAAAACTCGATGGATCTAGTGATCTTTTACTCTCCCGACAAGGCTTGCATGACTTACTATATCAACAATGACTCGGCCGGCTACAAGATCGAGTATCCGTTTTCATACATCAAAAACATCACTCTGGTCTCGGGCGACCAGAATCCCCAGCCGACCGGTGCACCCACCCGGCCGGCAGGTGTTGTGGTCGAATTGAACCGGCCTCCTCTCTTCTACATGGACTCGTCCAACTCTGGCGGCTTCTACCAGTGCGGCGACTTCACCGAAGATCAACAAGCAAGCCAAATCCTAGTCCATCACCTTGGCGGTCATCCCAAGGTTCTAGGCATTCAATTGTCCAAACTCGTGTCTTTGGAAGCATTTCAAAACCGCTTCACGTACAACAACTTTGCTGCGATGCCCCCACCAGTATCCCCCCCTTTTATCCCACGTCCCGCGTCTCAACCAAACCATTTCGCTCCAGCCTTCATAAATCCATACCAGGAATCCCGTCTGGGTATGGATATGCACGGACCTCGCGGGCACAAGCGTCAAAGGAGCCGTTCGGTCCCCGTGGCAATTGATTTCTCTACGATGCAGGCGCTATACCCACAGTATAATGTGCAACAGCCTCCTGCGCATTTCAATACTGACTCGGGAATTTTTGCACCCATCCCGCAGTCAACTCATGCCCTTGCTACGCCCTTACGGGTGGACACGTCGGCTTCATTTGGCCTAGATCTCCAAGGGTACCCCATGTCTGCCCCTGCCACTGGATCTCCAACGGAATTCGCTAGTCCATCCATGTTCACAACAGGGGCGCCAGGTGATGTGACGCCCGTTGCCCCAAGTGTGGGAAATCCATTCAATATGTCGTACGTCTCCGCAGCTATTGATACGTCGGACATGTCCGCCCATGCCTCGTCTCCTTACGCTATGACCCCGGTGGACCCCATGATTGCGAACCATTCTCCTCCCCTATCGGCAATGCACCACCAAACCCCTCCTGACATGTTCGCAGCTGGTCCGGAGCAGCAACAATCTCTCCCAGACGACGGAACGGTCATGTTCGCCAAGCACAACGTCAATTATCCTGTCCCACCGGCGATGGGGATTGAGGCTACCAGTTTCGACTTGCCTATTCATAACCTTCCAGGTTCCGCATCACCCAGTGTCCATGGCGATTTCCCAACCGTGACAGCCTTGGACAATGTTGACCCCAGTGCTTTGGCTCACGGTTCGTGAGCGCATCTCTTCTTTCATGACGCTGGGGTTCGATTCTTTTTGGTGTTTCCGCCTCTCGCGGACTCTCTTCTCAATCTTCGTCACTGCCAAAGCTCTATGCACTTTCCTTTGGCAATTGGGTATCTGGTCGTATTGGTGGTCTCCACTGAAAAAAAAAAACACCAGATATATATTGCAATGTCGCTGTGTTGGTGTCACGCTTATATCAAGGGCTGTCAATTGGGGGAGATAGCTCTTGTCGGTAGTGCTGCAAGCCTTCTGAATGGCCCGCTATTTTGCGGCAAGGGGGCCTCAATTACCTGGAGTTGGATTCAGCTCGCCAGGTCATTATATCTATTTTGACATATGTCGCTTTTTGTTTGTCTATATTAATAGCGTTATTTCCTTTTCCTTTTTTTCTTTTTCTTTTTCTTTTTCTTTTTTTTTTGTTTGTTTTATTCTATTCCGAGGCGGGTCCTAATACTTTTTGGATTTTCTTCTTCCCATGCCCGGTTGCTCAGGTTGAACCTCTTTATCTCTTCGTTTAATCCCGACTTAATTTTCATTTCTTATTTTCATTTACCGGTCGGGTCGTTCTCACGTGTTTATGCCATACAAAGTCAGATTGGGACGGAGACTTGGGTCCCTTTTCATTACTTTTTCTTTCTTCGGGTTGGTTGGTTCGGAAATGTTCGCATATATTTCTGTGATGATCACTTTTTGAGTTTTTGTCCTATGGCTAGCATCCTTGACACTGGCTTTTATATGCTGCGTGAAGAATCTCCTGGAGACTCTGTCCCTGGGCCCGTGGTACTTGGGACTGAATCAAGACCTTTCTGGCCAAGATGTCATAAGGGTCTGATGGATTTCCGATGCAGGCGCGTTGAGTGTTCATAGGGAAACTAGCACATAGGATCAAAGCTGGAACAACTAGGTTTCATTTCTCTTGAAGCATACCTTGTCCTTTATTCTGGTGCCGCGTAGATGTTGCAACGGCTTAGCTCTCGTATATGTTGGTGGATATGTGTCTATCCACATAGAATATCAAGTTCATATGTACTCCAAGACACATGCTCATTGTACATGGTAACTCTTCTGCATGCAGCACTGTATTGCACTCCATCTCTCACCAAAAGCGGCTGAACTCAGTTCTACCTGGCCTCCCAACCCCTGGGTGCAGGAGCCCTCAATCCCCTGTCAATCCTCAGATACCTCTCCATCCACACCTCCATCTTCTCCAGCAAATTCCTCCTCCTTATCCCTTCCTCCCCCAAAAACCCCCTCGGAACACCAAACACTCCACGCCCCCATCTCCGACGCCATAACGACATCCGTCCCCAACCGATCCCCAACAACAGCAATCTCCTCGGGCCCCTTGACGACCCGTCTGTCCTGGAACCACTTTACAACCTCCTCACCGCAGAAGGGCTTCTTCCTTGCCCCCTCGGGAAGTCTGAAGACGGGAATGCGCAGCGGCGCGAGCTGCGTCTCGATGGATTGAATCTCCGCGTCGTACGCAGGGTGGCTTCCGGCGCGGTTGGAGACGATTAGGATGCCATTCGGGTTTGTGTCCTTGTTGAAGGGGGAGGTTGGGGAGGTGCGGAGAGAGGTTAGTTTCGAGAGGATTTGGGGGGGAAGGTAGTTGTTTTGGGGGGGCAGAGGGTGTTGTCTTTGTCGAGGACCAAGGCGGTTATTGTTATTGGGGTTTGTGTTTGTGTTTGTAATTGTTCGGGTTGTTTCTTCTCCGTTGGTTGTTGTTGTGGTGGTGGTGGTGCAATTGTTTGTTGGAGATGAGGGCCGAGTTGTTCGGGGAGATGCGTGAAGGTTGGGATGGTGAGGTGTGGGAGGAACTGGGAGGGGTTTTTGAGGAGGATTTGGACGGCATGAGTGAAGCCTTGGATATTTGTGTTTGCTCTGTGCATTTTTTATATGAATATGTGTATGTTCTGTTCTTTCATGATATATGCCACTATATAGGATTTTTATACTGGAGGAACGCCGAGAAGACAACTACTCGAAGGACCCGTCCTTTTCAGTTTTAGCTAAATCAACCAATGGCAACTGGGTCCTACACGCTCGCACACGTGACCTAACAGTCAATGAGCCATTGAACAGGCAAGACTTTGCACATACCTGTCTCAACCTTACCAGCAGCTTAAAAGCTGTCACATCCGCCTCTCTGATATAGCAGAAATCAATTTACAAGGTCTGACAACACCTTTTAGTCTTGGCTTGGACGCACTTGCTAGATCTCCAAGTTGACCATGGCAAGATATACAACATCCAAGCAGCCAGCTGCTTCTCAAAGCTCCAGAAGAAATCCACTCAACCGTGGTGGGAATGCCTCTGATAATCATGAATGCGGGCTCTGCTGAACTCTGCAATTTCGATTGTCCCTTCTCGGTGTTGGATCTGAGACGTCTAATGGTTGAATCGAATATCAAAACAGGAAAGGAGGTCAACATTAGAAGATCACATGACAGATCGCTTGCTCATCATGTAAGAGTTGATTGTAATGGATAGGCGCATGTATGGTCATATTACTAGGTAGGCCTGCCTGTGCCGTGAGATAGGTAGCGAGGGCGGTCTAGGACGGCAGAACCTCACGTGTACTAACACCCCCCCACGCACGAGCAGCCTACAAACTATGGAATCAATCTAAATACAGAAATCGGCCTCTATTCGGGCCTTCAAATGAGTGAATATATGCAAAAATAAACAGAGGAATGAAGGTTCTGCTTTAGCCAATCGAATGCCGTATATCAAAATAGAAAATATATCCAAAATGGGGGAGATATACGCGGCTTAGCTTATGCCAGTGAGTTGTAGGAAATGGTCAAATTGTTCAGTTCGGAGAGGTTTGGTCAGGCCGTCTGCTGCTTGTTCTTTGGTAGGGCAGGCCTGGAGTTTAACAATACCGTCTTGGATCTTCTCCTGAACATAATGGTAACGTATATCGATGTGTTTGGATCTCTTGGTGGTGAGCTCAGCTTCAGCCATGGCGTGTGCACCTTGATTATCGATATGGAGAGTAATTGGCGGGCATTCAGTAGGGAGTACGTTGAGCTCGTTGATGAGGTTCCGGAGCCAAAGGGCATCTCGGCTGGCTTCACTTAGAGCCATATACTCAGCTTCGTTGGAGCTAAGTGCAACGGACGTTTGCTTGCAGCTTTTCCAGGCAATTGGGGCCCCGGCAAGCAGAAATATATATCCAGATACTGACCGGCGATTGCCTGTCAGTTGACCACCCCAATCAGAATCAGTATAACATCTGGGCATGAGGAGGTCAGATGTAATGGGTTCCGTGGCCTTATGGTAGGTAATTTGTCGGTTAATGGAGCCTTTAAGGTAGCGTATAGCGTGTATAAGGGCACGCCATGCCTTTTGGGTAGGTTTGGCGTGATATTGGGATAGTACGCCAACTGTCCGGCTAAGATCAGGTTGGGTTTTGGTGGCTAGCCAAGTAAGGCAGCCTACACCACGTTGATATTCTTTGATGTTCACTGTAGGGTCTGGGTCATCATCAATTATTAAACTAGGATCCATGGGGATCCCAACAGGGTGTGCTTGTGCTTGGCCAAAAGAGGCAACAACGTCTTCAGCATAATTGGCCTGGGAGAGAGTATATGTGGTCTTGGATTGAGAGGTGGCCATGCCAAGGTATTTGGTAGAGTTTCCAACTTCTTTTATGTCAAATTTAGCAGAAAGAGACTCCATAAACCAAGTGGCATCATTCTCATGCTTAGCATAGACTTTGAAGTCATCCACATGGGTAGTCACATAGAGTTGGGTCCAGGTGGTATGGATCCAGAGACCAGAGTCGTATTCGGAGCTTTTAAAGCCGATTTGTCGTAAGAAAGCATTTAGTGTATCATACCAGATACGGGCAGATGGGATCAGTCCATAGAGGGACTGGCGGAGTTCACAAACCAGGTCTCCAGAGCCTTCTTTGAATCCCTGAACTTGGGTCATAAAGACACGTTTATCTGTGGGCATTTTTCCATTTAGGAAAGCAAGGATGGCATCTGCCTTTTGAGTATGCCAGCCAAGTAGAGTGGCCAGTGCCGTAAGGGTTCTAGTGGTATTTTCATCTACCACTGGGGCGTATGATTCCATGAAGTCCTTGTCAAGTAGATTTCCACGGATCACCCAGCGAGCTTTAGCTTGGTAGTCCCTTGTAATAGGGGTACCAGGGATTTCTTTCTTTTTGTATACCCACCAGCCAGGGATGACCTTGGTCCCTGGTGGTAGGTCAGAGCGGCGGATAAGTTGCCAGCAGCCTTTTTCTTTGAGTTGATTGACTTCTTTTTGCATGGCTGCTTGCCACTTGGTGGCATCAGGATGAGATATAGCCTGCTTATAGGAAGTAGGCGTGTCATCTTCAGACAAAGGAGTAGTTGAAGTGGTGAGATAGGCTAGGGACATGCCTTTGGCGGGTTGAAGCCATATTTCCTGGTCTTTATCTTCAACAGGTTGGTTTGTATCTTCTTTATTAGGAGTACTTGGATCTTCAGGAACAGTAGCTTGTGGAGGTGTAGTTGTGGGATCCTCATATTCTTCATCAAATATAGTGTCATTGGTTGAAAAAATGGCGTCTGTTTTAGGGTCCCACACTCTATATTGTTGGCTACTGATTTGGCCGATCATGAAGCAGCATTTAGAATGGGAATCGAACTTGTTTATAGGCTTATCTGAGCCATGTCGATGAACCCAGACAGGGCAGCCCCAACGTCAGTATTTGTTGATACTAGTTGGTGAGTTGGTCCAGGCAGCCAGAGGCGATTTATATGGGCTTGGGCTGATTTTTGTGTTGGTATTGACCCCCCCAGGGATAGGTGAATTGAATAGGATTGTGGATGTTGGGAGGCGGTTTGTTATATCTGATGCATATTTTAAAGCATCAACCCAAAATCGCTGTGGTATATGGGGAGTGTCAAGCATTAATGTCTGAGCACGGTCAAAGAGTATGCGTATGCTGCGCTCACTGACACCGTTTTGCCAAGGGGAATATGGAGAACTTGGTTGCCATTCAATGCCTTCCTGATGGTAGGTTTTCTGCCATTCAGCTGAACAGAATTCATTGTCAGAGACAATATAGGCTGGGGCAGGGAAATGGTGATTCTTCATCTGTTGTAGCCAACCCTGAAATGCATCAATTGCAGCAGATCTTTCAGTTAGGTAGTGGATCCAACAGTAACGTGTAGCGTCATCAGTAATAAGCATCACATATTTGGCTCCTGTACGTGAAGGTAGAGGCATATCTAGCTTCTCTATATCTAGTGTTCGGCTGCCACCAGCAAGGTCTATGTGGACTCAGGCTAGTGGTGCAGTCATACGGGATCTTGGTGTTTTGCTGTATTGGCGAGTTTGCTTGCCCTGGATGCAGGCTTCACAAAGTGGTAGTTCTTTGGAACCTTTGATTTCAATGTCTGATGTAGGATCTGCGGCAAGGCGTAAAAGATCCTGCTGGTTTAAATGGCATAGACAGCGATGCCATGTCATAATTGGTAGAGCTGTTTTGGAGCTCTTAGTCTTTGGGGATGTTGTAGGTTTCTTTCTGGGAGGGTCCCCTGGTTGGTTGGCCTCTTTGCCAGACCGGGTGGTGACAAAGGCATAGGAGCTCTCGTCGGGAGAAATGCAATCTGATAGGATGAATACATTGTTGGTATTCAAAATGGCTTCAAATTCTGCACCAGAAGAGGTTGTGATTTGTGCTACTTGAGAGCTGGAAGGGAATTCGATACAAAAACCTTGTTTGAGAAGCATTCCCATGGAGATTAAGTTGGAATTGAAGGATGGAACATGTCGTACATCCCTAAGGATCAAGGATCCGGTTCCAATATCAATGACGACGGTGCCAATACCATGAGGTTTGGAAATCTTCCCTTGAGCATCTTCAATATAATCCGCTGGAGTAAGGTCCTCCTTTCTCAATGTTTTATAGGACGTGAAGAAAGCTTGATGGGGTGTAACATGGAATGAAGCACAGCTATCAAGATACCATGAAGCTTGGAGAGATTGGGCTGATTTAGCAATGGCTGTTTTTGCAGCTGAAGAAGTCCATGGTACCAGTTCATTGGTTTCTGCTTCAGAGAATGAAGCAGTGGAAGATTCTTTAGCAGTGTGTAAAGCATGAATAGCTTCAATAGTATTTTTATTGGCTCAGCGCCAATGCTCAGAGGCTTTCTCAGGGTTCTTGTAGAGGCAAGGCATTGGGTGGAAATGACCACACCAATCACAACGGGTCTTCAGTTTGCGTGAGTCCTGGTCCTGAGGTTTATATTTAGTGTTGGAACTTGAGGCGGAAGAGCTAGCAATGGGGTTAGATGCTTGTTTGGAATAGCTTCGTCCAGATAGATTCTCTCGTCGTCCTCCGTGTTGGGAGCGGGATTCACGGGCTTGGGTGCCCATACGGATAGAGAGTTGAGCTTGAATGGTAGGTAGGTCCAGATTGATGACAGGGCCTTGTCCAGTTGAGTATACTTCATCAAGTTTACTCTTAATGAATGCTTTGTTCCATTCGCGGAGGCCTATAAAAAATAGGTCATGAATAATGTTGTCAAATGATGCTTCTTTTATAGCATGAAGGCGGTCTACTATCCTAGTAAACGCAGATTGGTAGGATAGGTAGTCATTGTCTTTTATATAGAGCTCCTTGAGCTCTTTTATGAGAAGCATTCGTTCTTCACCAGTAGAACGTCCGAAAAAGGTAGCAGTTCGGTCCCATAAACCATGGGCTGATAGGTCATATGTGTTGCCCAATTTGTCAATGGCTTGGGCAGTCATAGCATGAAGCATTCGGGCTCTCATGACAGTGGCTTTGCAATGCCATACTTCAGCATCATAAGCTGAGTATCCTGCTGGAGGTATATCCTGATGCAAGACTGTACTAGCGTTCAGGACATTGGCTTCTCTTTGAATGGCTGAACTCCAGGGGTCGTAATTATCATGAGACAGTGTGATTCAGCATCAGTCTGGTAGGAGCGCTTTAACTTGAGCTTGTACATGATCAAAAGGATCTTTTTGTACTGGATTTGAGGCTGGAATAGCTGTATTATTTTGAATATGATTGTAGGGAGTAGCGTTATGCCGGACTGTAGGAGTGGAGGATTGGGATTGATGGCGTTCAAGGGCATTAAAACGAGTCATGAACTGGTCCATCTGCTTCTGCATTTGCTCCTGCATCTGCTTCTGCATTTGTTCCTGCATCTGCTTCTGCATTTGTTCCTGCATCTGTTCCTGCATCTGCTGGAACAGAGCTGTGATGTCTGGTGTGGATGCCATGGTGTTGGCTGTAGTAGAGCTTTGAGCTCTAGGGGCAGTTGGGGTGTCCATTTCTTCAGAGATTACTGAGGAGGCGGAGGAGCCTATATCTGATGAAGGATCTGTGGATTCTGGCTGACGACGGTGACGTCTAGCGGTGGTAGGGGGCGTTCGAGGCACCACCATTTTGGATGGGATCGATCGAAGGATCCTGGGGTTCAGGGGCCGATTGTTGGCGGTCCTGGTGTTCAGAGTCGCTTAGAAGCGCTCGATTTCTGGTTTGACCAATGAGAGGTCACAATTTAGCCTATCTGAAAGGCTTTTTTAAGCTCAATATCGTAGAGCTAAAACGGGCTCATAACCTAATGGATAGGCGCATGTATGGTCATATTACTAGGTAGGCCTGCCTGTGCCGTGAGATAGGTAGCGAGGGCGGTCTAGGACGGCAGAACCTCACGTGTACTAACAGATTGTTGTGACTAGGTATGCAGAGACTCATGTGGAAAAGGGGCAAGCGGAGGCGGACAGAAACGGCATAACCTCACGTGATCCAACAAAAGCTATGTTGGATCACGTGGGATTCTGCCGCATAGGTCCGCCCTCGCTGACCCTTTCCACCACGTAGGCCTATCTAGCTAGTAACAAACCAACGATACACCTCCATTAGCTTTCCATATCTTAGGAGGGGCCAACAACCCATCTTCATCATTCCTCTCCCCCATATTCCATCACTTTCCCTTTACTGCAAGGTCTTCTTCCATAAATAAATACCCTGCAAAACAAATGATAACTTCCGCAAAAAACGGTGGTGTAACCTGATGGCCCAAGTGAGTTATCTGCGCAGGCCTGTAGGCATCGCAAGGGAACAACTACGAGAACTACTACCGCTCCAATTGGCAGTTGATGCTATTATGCAATTCCAACCCCGTCAGCTATCAGCTGCCCACGTTCACTGATAGGCAACTCGTCGCCCCTGGAAGATCAATACCAGAAAGAGTTCTACCGCTGTCTATTCCCTATACTGGATGGCCATTTTATAATGTCCCCTGAGTTTGTGATTAAGACAGGCACTAAGGGTGGGACAATTGACTTTCATGTCTCCCGGAAGAAGTGGGGTTTCGAACTCCTAAGAGGTCGCGATCGCCTAGTTGAACACATGAAAAGATTCGAGCCTGGCGGACAATATTTCAGTATGATGGAATCAGGGAATATAGAACAGTATATTGTTCTGGACTTCACAGTTGCACAATTGACAAAACCTCATCCAGGTACTTCTCCCACCCCCTATTCTTAGTTGTAACTAACATCTTCAGAATATCAGGACATTGTGTTTTCTCAAAACTACTGAGAAGTTAAAATGATCGATGCATCAGATTTGAACACTGTCAGCTCCTTTACTTTGATGGAGAATGCTAATCCTATTACATGATATCTTGTTGTGGAGATTACCACTTCTCTGTCCGTCGTATCTTGTAATATGATTAGTATCGGAGTGGCTTGCCGCAGTGATTCTTCCAAATCTTCCCACTTCAACTCTGCTGACAGTTCAATTGCTTTGGTCCAACAATAGCTAACAGCAATGTCTGCAAGTTAAATGATCCATCATATTATCTAGCTCAGGCTGAAACCCAGCTGGTGCATCCCATCACTTACTGTGCCCAGCAATCCATCGGACAGAATTTGAGTTTTTGGTACCTCTTGACTTGCCATAATCTTCTGGCACCTGGGAGAGATCCTTATCCATATCATCAGCCAGGTCTTCATAATGGGTCCAATGAAGCAGCTCCACAGACGAAACATTTTTGTCTCTACTGGGCTTCCCACCTAGCCTTTTAGCTACTTGAGGCTACTTGAGGCCCTAGAGGAGGACATTCTGATTCTGTCAGGTTGGGGTTGGAGTTGAGTTGAAACATTTGGTCACGGTTAGTGTTGGTGGATACACTAGTGCTTTTGCTGGAGGAGGGGGGCCTCATTTTGATCTGTCTTCAACAAGATATGGCTGAAGGCTTACAAAACCCATAGGGTAAAGTTGCTGAGAGGCTTGAGATAGTGACAGACTCTTGCAAAAGAGCGAAGAGCAGTGAATGAAAGAGTTGATCCTAGCAACTTGAATATCAACTAGATAGAAATAAAGGGTGAATGGGCAAGATTTGGGAGTGACTGGACTTTTTAACCATGGCAGCTGGGTGCCAGCTAGCCCTTAGCCGGCAGGTCGCTAGGAGGCCATTTTTGATACCCTTCTGAAACTAGGAAGCAAATGGTGTTGCGGACAAAAAATGCTACAATGTGGAATTTGTGGTCTGAGGATGTTACGTCTAGTTGGTGGGAGCATGGCAGACGACAGTTGCTAAAATGCTGCCTTTTTCAGCTGTACATGATGCTGTACATGATGCTGTACATGACGCTGAAAACGGCAGCATTTCAGCAAAACGAAATTCTATGCAAGGCCTTCAATGTTGGTGGAATAAAAAGTACATATGTGCATGGCGGATGGTTTTATTTTTGTAGATCTGCGACTCTCCGCCTTAGCTTTAGCTTCGTTTCCAAACTGACGAGTAACTACGCTTCAATCCTCTCTCTTGTGCTTTTTCGCCTCCCCCCTATCCCGTCCCATCTCTCTGCGATTCCAAGATGGGCAAGTTAACCAGTACAATCGGAATCCCCATCAAGCTCCTCAATGAAGCCCAGGTTCATTTTTTCCCCTTCCCCCTCGCTTCGCTTCCTAGCTGGCTTCCGCGTCCGTCTGCAGAGAGACTCGTCGCTGACCTCGATAATCTACACGAAAACAGGGCCATGTCGTGACTCTAGAAATCACATCGGGGGTAGTATATCGAGGGAAGCTGCTTGAGGGTTCGTCTTTCCTCCCTTGGTTTTTCCCTTTGGCGTTCAGCTCCGCGGCGCAATCGAATCAACATCCATCCATCACTTGGGAAAGAAGAATCTTTCGCTAACTCGTCTTTTTTTTTCTTTTAACCAAATAGCCGAGGACAGCATGAATGTTCAGCTCAAGGATATCACCGTCACCGCTCGCGATGGTCGCGTGTCGCATCTCGATCAAGTCTATATTCGGGGGAGCCATGTGAGATTTTTCATCGTGCCGGATATGCTGAGGTATGGATACTATATTGAAAAATCACCGAACTCGCCTGCAGTTTGAAATCTCCCGCGCATATATGTAATCTTCTGACACTTTATCCCTTCTCAACAGGAACGCTCCTATGTTCCGCACAAGAGGCCAGCGTGGACGCGGTGTAGGTTTGGCTCGTGGAAAAGCAACGGTCCAGAGGGCTCGGGGGCAGAGAAGGGGATGAATATGATCTGTATGGTCCTGGATGGTTGGCGTTTTTCTTTTTTATTTTTCTTTTTCGTGTTCTCTTTACGGTTGAAATAAAAATCACTTCAGATGGGTCTGATTCGGAGGATTCTTTTTATTTGCCTATCGTCTGTCGAATACCCTGCAACCATCGCCAGTTTCCTAGTTATGTCTCTTTTCTCTACTGCTTGCGTCTCTGGGTTGGAGGGAGGAATTGTTCGAGATCGAGTCTTATGGTGGACATCAAACATGATGCGTGTTACAACGTTCTACTTGAATCTGGCCCAATGGGATATTCCAGGTTGAACGTTCAGATTCATGGCGGTTATGAAACTGGAGACAGATAAGAAATGCCAAATAAGACGGATGAATATGAAGTATACCCCAGTATCTGTCAGTAATTAGAGATCTCTTCGTCATCTCCGCCATGATGCAGATCCATTCGCCGGCCTAGACAACTTTCCATCCACCGACGAAATATCGTACTTTCACAAATTTCTCTTGATTTTCTTTTGATCAGCTTTTATACTGATCTGTAGCTGGAGCTGGCACTGAGTCTTCAAGTCAACACGACTAAATCCGGGATACCATACTGTACTGTGCAGTGTATCATATTCTCTGTCCTCATCCCGCCACTTCAACTTCAAAATGAGCTCTTCATCCTCTACAACACGACACATCCCAAACGCACGCCGTCTCCTCATTCTCTCTCCCGATTCGCATTCGCTGTCAACAATCCCCGACTTTCTTCACTCCCTTACAGGCGTCCCTGTTGGCGATCTCCCAAGCGCACCATCACCGATAGATACTTCGGCAACAGCTACAACAGACGACGGCCCTTTAACGACATCTTCTACGCCAGATATACCCAAATCGACATTTGCAGGCTATACAACCCACAATCCCCTCCAAATCCGAACGAAATACTACAACGCCGACGTCCCGATATGGGTTGACGAGATTCCCCTCTCCACCTCGACCTCTGTTTCCACACCGTCAACAACAGCATCAGCGACACAATGGAAGACTGAATTCGTAAGCCCAGACGCGCGAGTCGTCCGCGATGTCATCGGTGCCATGGTTGTCGTTCTCCAGAATCCCGAATTCACCTCCCCGCCTATCCCTGTAGCCGAGCATGCTGAACGAGGTTCAGAGGCTCCAGATCCCGCGACGCGAGATGATGTGAAGGCTATCAAGGATTTCCTGCGGGCGATTGGCGATGTTAAGGGGCAGGTTGAGGAGGAGAGAAATGGGGATGAAGTTCCAGGGTTATTGGTTCTTGTGGAGAGGGAGAGCAAGAGCAAACGACAGCAGAAGAAAGTGCCTGTGAATGGTGGTGATGATGAGGGTGAGGATGGAATTGATGGGCCTGAAGAGCCTTTTTCCGCTGCTTGGTGGGAGGATCAGTTGTTTGATGATGGGCTGATGGGGTTTGAGGTTATCTGTTGGGATCCTGCTGGTCGGGAAGAGGAGAAAAGGAATCAGTTTGGAGGTTCGTTTCCCCCTTTTATTTCTGTCGTTTGGATTATGCTCTTCTCACGCTGACTGTTACAGAATTCCAAGGCATGCGCCGTATCAGAGAAGTCCTAGAGACGCATGAATGGGCAGACACCTCAGCCGCCGATGGCGACGGATCAGTTCTAGATGATGATCTCGAGGAGGAGCTACTGAGACTCAGCGAAGGGGAGAGCGGGTTCAATTTTGAAGTCAACGAGCTGCAACGCGAAATGGTCGGCCTGAGAATGGCTATTGAGCACGGTGGTGATTCCGGGGATAGCGACCATGATGACCATGATGACGAGCTTCAAGTGGAGTCCTTGGAAGGATTGATGCTACGGATGAAGGCTATTCGAGGTATCGTTCTCCTTTCCTCCTTCCTGGGTGTTGATATCTTTCACCTTCGCTTTCTGCTGACCAGTACCTGCATAGATATGAGTGCAGATCTCCCGGATAATGAGCGTAAGAGGTTTGCGGCAAAAGCTGTACGAGATATCATGAAGGAATTAGAGTAGACAAATAAAAGGCAGTGTCTAGGAGAAATCAATTACATGGCCTTGGTGCTGCATTTCGTATCTCGAGCTTATATACTCAACAGAGATCAGCATATCTGCATTTGATCCCGATGACGTATTCAGTGCCTGTCCATCCCTTCAAAGCCGACGCTTGAATTCATCCATAAATTGCATTGTCCTGGTCATGAATCATGAATCCGATGGCTGTGTCGATAATCAAACCCCTAGAAATCATTGATCAATCCTGTGTTTAAGGGATGTCGCAATTTTCATTCTTATCCTGACTACCATGCGTCCCCTTGTAGGTCGCGCTCCATATCCGATTTCCTCGTCCACTTCCCTTCATGGCCGGATAACGATTTCACTGCGAATATATCATGCTAGGACGGTGCCTCCACGGCTATTACCCTTCAAGTCACTGTCACCAGGATGCGCCCGACATATTTACACTGCTCGTTATGACCGAAATGCTAACGGAATGATATCGGTACCTCTACCAGCACGGGCACAGAGAGTTCTGAGATTTTTCAGTTCTGGGATTGATAATAAGGATGTATGGGAGGGTGAGGATATAGTTTCAACGGGTCACTATGGGAGACAGCATGTACTCCCAGCTGCCAAGGCTGGAAACGGGATAAGCAGTGGTAAGTTAGGTTAAAATGGGATCTCAATGGGAAAATGATTCGCTGAATTGTAGTAGGAAAGCTGCTAGCTACGCCATCAAGGCTGTTGAAGCTTGTCATTCCGTTGTCTGTGCTCCGTCTCGAGGCTCATGGTACAGGTACATTGAAACTGGAGAAAACAAATTTTTCTTGATCCCAGCAAGAATAACATTACATTCAGATTCAGAACCATTGGCTATCGTACTCCATCCCCAGCAACCACTTTCCTATCTCGAACGCGTTATCCAGTCCGAAGTGCCCCCGATCGTCGGGGAAAAAGGGCAATGGAGACCTCCCGCGGTGTCCTTTATATCTCTTCAATTAGATGAAGACGCTATTAGACCGAAGAGAACTGTACATGAACACCACGATGTAGCTGTTAACGGGGTCAAGGACAAGGATTTGAGAAGGCCAAACGACGACAGACGACATTCAGAACGAAGGCATCATCGTATCCGCAAAGAGACCGACAGGCCGAGCAGCTACCAGCATCTACGAGAGCACGGCGAGAAAACAGTTCCTAGCGGAGAGCAGTTCGTTCGATGGTCTCATTCCACGGAGATTGGCGATTTCCTGAGGGACGCGTCTCGCGCACGCGACTTTATCGTTTCCATTGAAGGTGCCCCGGCGGGCTTGAGCCAGAAGATCCGGGTTACGGTTCCTACGTTCAACCAGAGGACATACTTTCTGCGGATGAGGCTCCGGAAGATCTCGAGACAGCTCAAGAGCACCGCGGAACTCAAACATGAATGCGATGTTCTGGCGCAGCATGGAGCTCAGCGCGTGGCTATCTTGGGGCTATTTGTCCTGGCTACCTGGTGGTGTTTTGTGTATGTCATGACATTCCAGACAGAACTGGGCTGGAACACGATGGAGCCCGTGACGTACCTGGTCAGTTTGTCGTCCTTTATGGGGGGTTATCTATGGTTTCTCTACCATAACCGGGAGATATCGTACAAGTCTGCGTTGGATTTCACCATTAGTGCACGACAGAGGAGGCTCTACCAGGCGAAGGGGGTGGATCTACAACTCTGGGGGACGCTGCTTGATGAGGGGAAGGCTCTGAGAAGGGAGATCAAGAGCATCGCCGAGGAATATGATGTTGACTGGAATGAAAGTGCTGACGAACAGGACGAACAAGTTACTCAGGCGTTGAAAGAGAAGCATCACAAGAGCCAAGTTGATGGCAAACGGGACACTAATGAGGATGGTGAAGAGGAAAGTAAATAATTAATTTTGTCTTAAGTGTTGCTAGCAGAACTGTAAGTAATGTATGTTTATTAGATATCCGCATCCATCCATCAAAGAGTCCCATTCCTGACAGGATCATAGTATCCCTTCTTCGCAGCGGGTTCTTTCGCAGATGCAGTATTAGAGCCGCCTTTTTCTTTTCGTCTCGAAACTAGCCCTAGTCAGCAACATCAACAACCAAAAAAAAAAAAAAACCAACACGAACACCAACAGTCAGAAAGAGTGTTTAAACAGAAGAAAGACAACATACCACTCAAATTCTCATCCCCCCTCCTCCGATTCCGATTATTCCTCACATCCCTCGACCGAAAAACACTATACAACAACCAAGCCGCGACCCAATTCGGCCCATACTCGCCATTCGTAATGCCCCTATCAAAAAAAGGCCGCGTAGCCGGGCCCGCATTTCTCCAGATCTCCATGATGCCCCATCGCTGACTCTCGGGACGGATATGATGCCAGAAGAAGGGGGGGCGGGTGGACGGGTCGTTTCGGACGCTGTCGAGGAGGTAGGTTGTGTTTTGGTTCATTGTGTTGTAGATTATTATTGCTTCATCCTGCCCTTTTTTAGCAAAAAAGCTTTATTTATCTGGGTTTAACTAGAGGAAGGGGGGGAGTACCCTCATAGCACGATAATACTGTTCATGCTGGTGATTACGAGGATCAAGACCCAGGGCATGCATGAATTCCTCCTTTGAGGCGCGGGGACCGACAGATCTCTGCATTGTATTGTAGAAATAGAGAGAGAAAAGAAAATGTACCTAACAATCGACAACAGGAGAAAGAAAGAAAAGAGAGTATGATACAGATAAGACAAAAAAGACAAGGAAAAACCAGGTAGGGTAGAAACTATATATTGAACCAATTTAAATAAACAACCCCCAATAAAAGAACAACATTAATAATGATATAAATCCAGTCCAGTTCCATGCCAAAGTAGTACCAGCGACGGATCTACTGCAAACTTGGGGCTTGGGAGGTGGATTTGTACGCCGTGGTGTCTAGCAGGTATAGTAAGTAGAAGTCCACTGTTATCTACTACTACAACTACTATTACGACTATTAATATTACTCATATCTGGCTAAAGAATAGCTAATTGACTGGTCTGAGTACTTTGATTCCATAAATGAATAAGCAGTGTATATAAAGTCTTTATCAGAGATGGATGAATGAATGGGTGGGTGGATGGATGGATGGGTCAATTGCAGATGTTTACATCCAAATCTCTCCTCTTACGGAGTACTTGCATGATATGATATATGGAAGAAGAAAGAGGTGTAGCACAGAGCCGTCTTGTGAGATGTCTTGGATATATACCTATGTGCATACATACTGCTCTCATCATCACTGTCGTGACGTATGTTGTGGCTAGCTGCGTGGAAGCTGTAGTTCCTTCTCGTTTTAACTATTTCTTGTGAGGATGAGTGGGATATTCGGGTTGAATCAGTCTAACGAATGCTGTAGAATGGAATGGGATGCTGTTATGTCAAGCAGGAACTAGGTAGAAAGGATCGGATAACCTCGATATAGATTACCTGATGAAGGCGATGTGGAGTCATGTATCATGGCTGTATGTAGCCGACGGATATTCTGTTGCATGTAGGATATGTTGACATTGATATCTGAGTAGGTCTAAAGTCTGCGTAGAAGATATAAACGAGAGAACTTGTATACAGTATACAACCCTATACACACTTAATACCAATCCTATACAGCTACAACTGGATACCTAAACACAGTATCTCCTTGTAGGTACTTAGCAGGTATCTAGATACTACAGTGATAGCTACCCTGCAATGCAAGCACCCCGTAACTGACAAGTATGCATCTACCCTGCCCTGTGTAGCAACCAGCCAAGCAAGAGTCTCACAAACCCCCTTTGAATTCAAAGAGCGAGGAAAATGAAGGGAAGCCACTTCCTAGAAGTTATACATCTGTGTATGATAGTAATTAAAAAGAAAAGATCAACAAACCGAAACGATGCGAAATAAAACTAGACCGGACTAGACAAAGCTAAAAAATTTAGGTTGACCTGCGCTTGCAGCTTGCATATAATTACCACATGCATGCATGGAAGACGCAGGGCTATTGTTTGCCACATTCTTTCCTGTTCATCGCGTTTTAACTCTTGGAATTCTCTCCACCTTATACAATAATACTACTTCATTCAACCAATTCGTTAACCATAGAGACTAACATCTATATCCGTGCATACGTCAGCCAAAGACTGACAAGACAACACTGCAGAGAAAAGATTTTTCAAGGCCGTTTTTGGGAAATGCTCGAATAAGGTCATCATCATCGATTGAAAAAAATGAAAAATAAATATAAAATAAAAACTGTACTCGTGTTCTGTGGGCCGAAAATGGAGCAATAAATAATAATAAAAAGAAAAAGGCAAAATCATAAGTTCAATCACAAGGGGTAGAAAAACCGCGCTTGATCGCTCGCTCGTTGCTGTGCAGTGCAGTGCAGACATTTCAACACAAATCTATGTACCATGGACGTTAAGAGAAAAAAAAAAATTTTTGGCCTTCCATGGACAAGAGAAAGAGTAAGGATGTGTGTGTGTGGGTGTTCGAGGAATGAAACGGAAGAGTGGAAATCGTGGATCGTCTTTCATTATTTCGAGGCTTCTTTCTCCGTTTTGGATGCGGGTGTCAACTCGTCTGTGGATGTGGTGGCCTCCTTGGAAGCAGGCTTCTTTCGGATGGAGACATCTTCCCCGTAGAACCTCCTCAGAAGGGTCTCCACGTCGGTGTAGTCCTCCTTCACGTCCGCGAGGGTCTTCTTGATGTTTTCCAGAGAGACTTTCTCGTCTGGTTCGTTGATGGTGCCTGTCTCGTCCTTTCTGGCACCGTAATGCTGGATCTTTTCACATGCTTCCTTGACTTTGGTGAGGCCTAGAGTGGCTGATGAGCCCTTGAGGAAATGGCCTAATTGAGACAGCTCTTTGAGGTCTCCTTGGCTCCTGTTGGATGTTAGTTTTGTTACGTAGGTAGTTATGAACTAACTGCTGAATAGCGTACATCGCCTTCTCCATCTTCTCAAAGGTGCCGTCTGCCTGCTCAAAAAAGCCATAGACAATGCCTTTGCTGAAGTCTCTGTCGTCATCATCATCCATTTCTAGGATCTGTTCAAAGGTCGACTGGTCGATCCTGTCACCAAAGTCTGAGAGCTTGGGAGGGCCATCCTTGGGCTGGTCAAGCGGTCAGCGTGGAAGCAGAACAGGTCCAGTTTACACGTACCACCTCGTCCTTCGCCGTGGGAGCCATAACGAAATAAAAAGTAAGATAGATATTAGAAGTATCTCTTGACGAAGATATTCGTCGTAAGAGAAAGAGAGACGTCCCCTCTACCTAAGCTCCCCGTACAGTCCGAAGAGGACCGACTTCCTTTTGGGTGGGTGAAGCTGGATTTCATGTCGAGTCAGCAAGCGATGTCAAAGGAAGGAAAGCAACGCAGAAGCATGAAGTTGGGCAGTTTGATACAGTTGTAATTATGAGATTACATATAGTGAGGTTCGGAGCGGAAGGCGGGGAAGTCGAATTAATTTACCTTTTGGGAATGTTCCTGGCCGTTCAGTTCCTGATTGAGGAGATTTTCGAAGCCGGAGAAACAGCACACGCGAGATAGACTACAAAAGCCACGGGCGGTTCGACGAACGGGCAGAAGCGAAGCTGATTGGCGATGCAGTGAACTGGAGGAAGACACACGCGAGAAGAGGAAATGCAAAGAACAGACAAGCTACGCGGGAATGCGGCTGTCTGGGAAGAGGGGGGACGGAGGCTTGGGATGCTGCGGTGGAATATGCTAGGATACTAGTACTTCCCGCTGAAGGAGGGGTAATAATAATGAACAGGAGGAATAATCGTGAATGGCAACGCAGGGGAAAAAAGGTATGATTATCCCACCTGCGAATTCCCCGCTGTGCTTTATCAACCAGCCACCAGATCCGCCGGGCAATGAATAATAAGAATGATAATGATAGTAATAATAATAGTCAACAGGAAGAGAAGGGCTGGGTCCAGCACGAATCCGATTGTCTGATTGCGCAGGGGAGGAGATGCGAGGGAGAGTGACGGGCGATGGCAATCGAGCGTGGTGGGGTGGTGGCTAAATTGTGTCTGCGTGCTCTCTGTCGGTTGTCGGTTGTGTCGAAGAAACCAACAGCAAGGGAAGTTTATTCTATCCTCTGGACTGTTCATCTCTCTCTCTCACTTCTTGAATATCACACAATTCTCGCCCGAATACAACTCAATAGCGCCCTCTCTGGCTGATCTACATTAATACTGGGGTCGTTTTCGAGACATCTCAGCTGTCCAGCCTCTCTCCCTCCCTCTCTGCCAACTGACCAGGAACCAGAGAAATACCTCTCGGAGCAATCAGGTGGAGTGCCATGGATGCACTAGTAGGTTTTAAGAACCTCTACACCAAGCCAGTGGGCCTACGGTCAACACATTTTGCCAGAAACGGTCTCGACAGACATAACAATAATCTCCCGTTCCATCGGGGGGTCATGCGAACAACTGTTGCTCCCAAGACAGTAAATGAATGCAGCCTAGTTTTAATTGCGGATTCAAGCATCTGACTGGCCCTACCGGACCAGCGCTGGATGCACCTGTACTAGAGGTATAACGGCCATCTAATAATACTGCTGGATGTAACGGGATGATGGCAGTGGAGAAAGGGCAAGTAGTCTGGGCCCTGACGGAGCATGCAGTCTGCCATAACCACCGCTTCCCTGTTGGCAAAAGCCCTCAGGGATTGACCGTGCTATGGACAGGATCAGTGGTTTAAATACGCTATAGGCATGCAGGATGATGTGTTCACTAAGCGAAGAGGGGTTCAGCTATTAATAAACGCACAATCAGAGGGAGGGGGGAAAAAAAGAGAAAAAGATTCTGGTTCTACGGTTCCAGCAGAAAGGCTGATGTAATTGCGGGGTCAGTCCTCAAGGGAGCCATTAACATTCTGACGTAGGTTTCTATGTACGAGTAGTCTACTAACTCCGCTATATACGCCCTTCGCAGCAGACATCCAACATGTTACAAGTTTACATGCTGAAAAGAAGCATACATACTCTTATACTCTCTCTCTGCAGAGTTAGACACTGTGTCCTGGCATCAGTCAGTCAGGTGCTCCTCCGTCCCGCGTCAATATCCATACTTTCAGTGTCTCTGGACCGCACAGAATGAACCGCAAACCGGCTGTGGAGCACAATGATGTTACAGTGGGCCTTCTAGCCGCAGATAGCGCTTTGCAGAGAGCCTCTCGCATTGCAATAAATCTGCCGCTGACGTCGGTGGGATCTTGCGTTGTCCGTTGTGAGGTGTCTTTCCAGTTCATGTTGGATCACGTGGGATTCTGCCGCATAGGTCCGCCCTCGCTGACCCTTTTCACCACGTAGGCCTATCTAGCTAGTAACCAACCAACAATACACCTCCATTAGGTTATGAGCCCGTTTCTTGCTCGGAAATATGAGCTATTTTAGGCCCGTATAAGTGGTCAATTTAAGCCCTCTGATTGGCTGAACCAAAATTCCATACCCCAGATTCCAAAAATTCCAGGATCCCAGATACGGTCCGAACCTGAGCATGTCAGGAGAACCTACTACGCCTCCCGCTACTGCTATACGACGATCACGTCGCCGAAATCTCCAAAACAGGTCCTCGAATATAGACGAGACCTCCTCATCAGTTGTCTCTGAAGAGATAGAGACCCCAACGCCTTCCGGAGCCAATCTGAGCTCTACCAATACCGCCAACATGGCTTCCACAAACGAACTTACCCCTGATCTTGTTGATATGATGCGACAAATGCTTGCTCGCCAGAATCAGATGGAACAAGATATGCGAGACCGTGAAGCTAGAATGGAGCTAAAACTGGCATCTATCATCCAGTCTAATACTCCACAAGCTTCCTTGCCTTCAAATACAACCCAAGATACTACACCAATGGATATCCAACCGCCTCTGCGTGATGCCTCAGACACAAATATCAGCAATGCTATTGCCCTTGTCCAAGCCGATGTCGATACGCTACTGCCTGACCGATGCCGTGTCATCTTGACACTGGATAATTACGATGCATGGAGCTCTGCCATACAAAAAGAAGCTGGTATTCTCAATGCTATTACAACTCTTCACCAGGACTCTCCTCCTGCTGGATCATCTCCACTTGATGCTGCAGTTTGGCACAGAAAAGCCATTGTCATGAGAGCCCGTATGCTCAATGCCATGACAACCCCTGCTTCCGATAAACTAGGCACCGTATATGACCTCTCTGCCCATGGTCTTTGGGACCGAGCTGCCACACTTTTGGCAAATCCACCGGTGAAGAGCGAATGGCCCTTACCATGGAGCTCAAAGAGCTCTATATAAAGGATAACGATTATCTCACCTACCAGTCATCCTTTAATCGAATCTTTGACCGCCTACACGCTATTGGAGAAGAATCTCTTGAAAATCTCAAACATGACCTCTTCTTTATAGGTCTCCGGGACTGGAACCGCGCCTTTATCAAGAGTAAACTAGATGATGTCTACTCTACTGGCCGTGCTCCGGTTACCAACCTGGATCTTAAGGTTATCCAGACCCAATTATCTACTCGAACCGGCACTAAATTCCGTGATACTCATTCTCAAGACCGGTCAAACCAACAGAAAGAGAACTCCCAGAACCGCAGTTATTCAAAACAAGCATCTGGAACCAAATACACAATTCCTCAACGTTCCAATAACCAAGATAGATCTCGTCATACACTTATAGACTGTGATCACTGCGGAAATCGCCATGGACTTATATGCTATTTTAAACATCCTGAGAAAGCACCAGAGTATAGACGCAAGTTCTATACTACTATGGCTAATGCTCTCCGTGTTCAGCAACAATCTGAAGCAAACCCACAATCAAACCAGGATCACCCTGCTTCACAGGAACTTGTCTTGCATAAGAAACTCTCCAATGCCAAATCTGCCATTGTGAAGTCTGCAAAGACTCTCTCATTTTCCAATCAATGGTTTGTTGACAGCTGTGCCTCTTTCCATTCTACACCTGACCGTTCACTTTTTGCAACCTATAAGGCCTTGCAGAAGCATGATCTGGTGGAGACAGATTATATGGAAGGTGCTCAAGGCCATATCTCTATGCCTCAAGGCATTGGCACCGTGATTATAGATATTGGTTACGGATCTCTGATCCTAAGAGACGTCCGCCATGTTCCTTCCTTTACTTCCAACCTCATTTCAGAAGGCATGCTTGTACGACAAGGCTTTAGGCTTCAATATACACTAGATTGTGAAGTCAAGCTGATTACCACACCATCTGGAGCTGAATTCCAAGCCCGATTGTTCAAAAACAATGTTTACCTCCTTGAAGACTGTCTATCTCCTGGAGAAGAAGAAAATTCCTATGCCTTTGTCACCACCCGGTCTGGCAAAGAAGTTAACCGCCCAGAAGAGCCACCTGCAAAGGCTCCCACAATTAAGACACCAGCTGAGGCTCCTACTCCAAAAGAGACCCCGGTTCTAGGGAAGCCGCGAACTACTAAGATATCCCTACCTATCATGGCCTGGCACCGACGCCTATGCCATCTCAATCAAGCCGATCTCCTCCGCCTCGCCCGAGATCCTGAGTCTTGCATCGAAATCAAAGGCTCTAAAGAACTCCCATTTTGTGAAGTCTGTATACAGGCTAGACAGACACGCTATTATAGCAAGGTCCCTAGGTCCAGAGTTACCAAACCCCTTGCCCGAGTCCATCTAGATATCGCCGGCGGTGGACAAACTCTTGATTTTGACAACCCTAATGATGTTGTCACTGGCCGAATTGGGGCAAAATATGTCTTACTTATTACCGACGATGCCACACATTATCGATGGATCCTCTTCCTTGAGACAAAAAGTGCAGCCATTACCGCCTTCAAGAACTGGCTTCAAAATATGAAGAACCATGGCTTCACTGCTCCTGCCTACCTAGTCTCTGATAATGAATTCCGCTCCACTGAATGGATGGAAACCTACCGTCAGGAAGGCATAGAATGGCAACCAAGCTCGCCATATTCACCATGGCAAAATGCCGTTAGTGAACGTGGCATCCGGATCCTTTTTGAACGGGCCCGAGCTATGATGCTTGATGCCCCATATATACCAGAACGCTTTTGGGTAGATGCTCTCCAATATGCCACAGATCTTACAAATCGGCTCCCTACATCTACCATCTTATACAATTCCCAAATTCCTGGGGGGGTGAATATCAACAAGGACATACACCCCAGCCCTTATCGCGCTCCGTTGGCAGCGTGGACTAATTCATCCATTTCTTCACTCCCCGGATATCGCCGTTGGGGGTGTCCAGCCTGGGTCCATCGGCATGGACCAGATAAACCTGGAAATAAGCTTGATTCACGTTCTCACTGCTGTTTCCTCATTGGCCAAATTAGTAGCCATCAATATCGTGTTTGGGACCCTAAAACTGACACCGTCTTTGTCACCAATGATGTTATATTTGATGAGGATTACAAAGATCCTACAACTACCACTCCCAAAGGTCCCAGCACCCCTACCGAAGAAAACCCAACTCAATTAGTTGAAGATGAACCTCTCAATGACCAAGATATATGGCTCCGACCTGCCAAAGGCATGTCCCTAGCTTACTTTGCCACTTCAACCATTCCTTCATCAGAAGACAACACGCCTACTTCTTATAAGCAGGCCATATCCCATCCTGATGCTGCTAAATGGCAAGCTGCCATGCAAAAGGAAGTCAACCAACTCAAAGAGAAAGGCTGCTGGCAACTCATTCGCCGTTCTGACCTACCACCAGGGGCCAAAGTCATCCCTGGCCGGTGGGTATACAAAAAGAAAGAAATCCCCGGCATACCTATCTCAGAGGATTATCAGGCTAAAGCCCGCTGGGTCATTCGTGGCAATCTACTTGATAAAGACTTCATGGAATCCTACGCACCAGTGGTAAATGAAAATACTACCAGAACCCTCACGGCACTGGCCACCCTGCTTGGCTGGCATACCCGAAAAGCTGATGCCACCCTTGCTTTCCTAAATGGGAAAATGCCCACGGACAAACGTGTCTTTATGACCCAAGTTCAGGGATTCAAAGAAGGTTCTGGAGATCTTGTCTGTGAACTCCTTCAATCCCTCTATGGATTGGTCCCATCTGCCCGCATCTGGTATGATACTCTGGGTGCTTTTCTACGCCAAATCAGCTTCAAATGCTCTGAATATGACTCTGGTCTATGGATCCACACTACCCGGACCCAACTCTATGTGACCACCCATGTGGATGACTTCAAAGTCTATGCTAAACATGAAAATGATGCCATCTGGTTTATGGAGACTCTCTCCGCCAAATTTGACATAAAAGAAGTTGGAAACTCTACCAAATACCTTGGCATGACCATCTCCCAGTCTGAGACTTCATCTTCTTTATCTCAAGCCGACTACACTGAAGATGTTGTTGCCTCTTTTGGTCAAGCCCAAGCACATCCTGTTAGGATTCCAATGGATCCTAGCCTAATAATTGATGATGAACCAGACCCTACAGTCAACACCAAAGAATATCAACGTGGTGTAGGCTGCCTTACCTGGCTAGCCACCAAAACCCGGCCAGATCTTAGCCAGACGGTTGGCATACTATCCCAATATAACGCCAAACCCACCCAAAAAGCATGGCGTGCCCTTATACACGCCATACGCTATCTTAAAGGCTCCATCAATCGGCAAATTACCTATCATAAAACCCACGGAGTCCATTACATCTGACCTCCTCATGCCAAAATGTTATACCGACTCTGATTGGGGTGGCCAACTGACAGGCAACCGCCGGTCAGTTTCTGGATACATCTTTCTGCTTGCCGGAGCCCCAATTGCCTGGAAAAGCCGCAAGCAAACATCCGTTGCCCTTAGCTCCAACGAAGCTGAGTATATGGCTCTAAGCGAAGCCAGCCGTGATGCCCTCTGGCTCCGGAATCTCATCAACGAGCTTAATGTGCTCCCAACTGAATGCCCACCAATATCTCTTCATATCGATAATCAAGGTGCCCACGCCATGGCTGAAGCCGAGCTCACCACCAAGAGATCCAAACACATTGACATACGCTACCATTACGTTCGGGAGAAGGTCCGAGACGGCATTGTTAAACTTCAGACCTGCCCTACCAAAGAACAGGCAGCAGATGGCCTGACAAAACCTCTCCAAACTGAACGATTCAATCATTTCCTGGAACTCACCGGCATACATTAAGCGGCGCTTGTTCCCCCATTTTGGTTATACTTTCTATTCTGATTTACGGCTTCTGATTGGCCAAAGCGGAACCTCTCACTTCTCTGCTTAATTTTGCTTTTACTCTCTCATTTGGAGGCCTGAATAGAGGCCGATTTTTGTATTTAAATTCTTTAGATTAGTCTTTAGGCCAGCTCGTGCGTGGGGGGGTGTTGGATCACGTGGGATTCTGCCGCATAGGTCCGCCCTCGCTGACCCTTTTCACCACGTAGGCCTATCTAGCTAGTAACCAACCAACAATACACCTCCATTAGTTCATCTGTCCATCATGTGATGTAGCCCTTGAGCCTGCTCTACATAAATCAATTGTGCTATCGAACAGAGTAAAGGCAAAATAAGGAAGGGGAAAAGGATCACAACTGTCCATTGTCCGGTCTATTATCGGAGCAATTGTAAGTCAAGGCTCCGCGGGACTAGGACAGCTGGTCTCCTGTCATTCGATGTTGCCGATCAACATGGAGTCACTATGCGCGATTATATCATATCATACATCTTCCAATGTGGATATGATCATCGTCTATTATTATGGGGCTTAATAAGTATAAAGACCTTTGATGCCTTGTTGCCTTGCTGGAAGCATTCCACCAAAGAATGGGCATGAAGGAACCTCAGCCTATTCCCTCAGCGTATTCCTTGCAAGACTACGCTGTATATCTAACATTGAACTCTCTATTTCACCATGGCACCTCCAAAAGCTGCATAGCAATGCCCCCATCCCTTCCACACTGGAATCACAGAAACCACAGGAGGAAAATCAATCAGAACCATCTCCAACAAGCAATGAAACTCTCTCCACTTGAATCATACAAATTATCTTTCCAGTTCATAGTAGCCAAGTGTATGTTTGTTCCACTTGCTACCCAACCTAGAGGTTAGAACCCCGCCAGCTAGACTTAACCATATTTTCCTACAGTATATGCCTGGTTATCTACATTCTCGGATGCCTCTATAAAAAAATCCCGCAACAAATACGAACTAAGCTCGCGCTGTAATACTGGCATGTTAATAATATTCAACGTTGCGTCGTGGTTGAGGACATGTGCATGGATTTATTCCAAGGTGGTAGAGAGGAGGACACGGCGTGCTTTCGGTGATGGATAATACGTAATAATTCCGACAAATATGGCCTATTTCTAGAATAGAATGGAATGGGATATGTCAGTTCCCGTTCCTGAAGTTAGATAGTGATGAAGTTTGAACAGCGGAGTCAAATTCCATTTAAATTGGGTGGGGTAAGGTCGTACTCATAAGGAGGATGGAGCATGAGTTGAGTGTGTAATTTCAGAAATCTGATAGTATTAGATGTGGAACTCTGAACTATATTAATATTCTTAAAATTGATCTACGGTGTACGAAGGACATCAGAAATAATAAGAAACTAAGTATGCTTACAACCAGGACTTGCTCATTGTCAAATTGGCCATGCGTTTCAACATCCCAATGTCTTCTCGATGCATAGTCTAGGGACTGGGATAGGTGTTTTAATAATCTCATAGGAGCTCTCCATATCATTTAGTCTATCATTGATGCTGAACTACGGAGTACGGAGACCAGGTATCGGATTAGACCTAGTAATTGACCAGGGGGCATTAACCTGGCTACTTGAGGACTTTTAAGTCTTTTTGGGAGGTAACGAGGGCATGCTTCGGATTCGAGGTTCTCTATTGATATGATCAGTCTTGAGGCCGTCTATCTTCATCTAGGATCATCAGCAGAATTGACGGGATACCAAGAGACAGTACCTCGGTGCAATGCGTATACGCTATTCCTAAATAAGTAATGGAGTGCCAACTTTATTTCCGCGTTTTGTTGGGAGTCGAAAAGTTGCCGAACCCTGTCTTCTGTCCTCACAAGTTACAACAGAGGCCAATTGACCAGTCTAGCGGACGCCAGCTGAAATACTAGCTTTCTTGATTTCTATTCTGCTTCGGGAGTTTCTGGGTTGAGGTTAGTCCTAGATGAAAAGCGCTTTTGTGGTTCTCATATTGACGACTCCAAATAGCACGGCAGACACCACGAACCGATCCATTGGAATAGAACAAATTCACATCATGCCCCCCTCGACGCCTTCAACAACCTCCTCAGCTCCCCGCCGTTCCTCTTCCCCGCTTACCCGCTACTATCTCTTTGCGTACAATGCCATCTCCTTCGTCCTCTGGGCCACCTGTACCATCCGCGGTGCATTCCTAGCACTCTCATCAACACTCCTCCCTGCCATCTTCCATGACATCTACTACCCCTTACTCACGGCGACGCAGTCGCTTGCTATCCTTGAGATCTTGCATAGTCTGCTCGGACTTGTGCGGGCCCCCATCGTCACAACGGCCATGCAGGTCGCCAGTCGTCTCCTGCTGGTGTGGGGTGTGATGGGCCCGTTTTATGATCGTGGTGACGGACTCGGCATTGTTGGTGGTGATAGCGAGGGTAGCCGGATTGGAAATTTGGCTTTCCTGGGCTGTTTGGGCGCGTGGGGTGTGACTGAGTGCATTCGATACGGGTTCTTTGCGTTGCAGGTTCTGGGGGCTGCCGTGCCCAAGTGGTGGATGTGGTTGAGGTTAGTATTTTCTTTCTTTCTGGGTTGGACACAGTTTGACTGTACTCACATGATTCTGAATAGGTACAATACCTTTTACATCCTCTATCCTGTTGGGATCTCGAGCGAGTGCATCCTTGTTGTGTTGGCTCTCAAGCCGGCCGCCCTGCTGCATCCATTGTATAGATCTTTTTTGGTGGCTGTTCTTGTGATATACGTGCCTGGTATGCTGAGAATTTCTTGAGCCTTTCTATATATTCTATATGTTAACCTTTTTTCAGGTTCCTACATCCTTTACACGCACATGATTTCGCAGAGACGCAAGGCTCTGAGAGGGAAGAGAACCGATTAACTTGGATTATTTGGATAGATGAGGAGAGAGCAAGTACGCAGTATACAATTATAAAAGTGTACTGTGGTTCTTCATTCAATGGAATGGAAAAAAAGTCGAAGACGCTGGGTTCATGCACGCTCTACTATGCTAAGCTAATCGATTAAAGTATGCCATTTCACGCTCAGATTCGACAGGTGCAATTCAATTCGATTCAATGCAAGTCAAGCTGACTGGGGAGTCGAGAGCGCCGGGAGAAACTAAAAAAAGCCGAACTTTCAATCTATGGAATAATTCATCAGTCTTGTCATGGTCATAATAATCATCATCAAAGTTGTTGCCGTGAAGATTGCAATATCTGTCGGGATCCCATTTTTCCTGCATTTGCAATTTCGTTGTCCAGTCCGGTCGAGCATCATAGTGCAGGAATAAGTCCTGCTTTTCCCTTCATTCATATCTTCTCTTCTTCCCCATCCAATACTGGATGCAACTCTAATATCCATACTTATACCCATACCCATACCTCCCAAAAGAACCAAAAGAACCATCAGGACTACCCTCACTACTCCGAACCCGACTCCCCAGACTCATGGAGAAATCATCCGATGACGACGCTGTACTCGTGCTATCGTCACCATCTTTGTCTTTCTCTTCTCTACCACCGCCTCGACCCGCACCTCCTGCCTCACCACAACTCCTCTTCCTCCTCCCCGTCCCGATGGCAACCGGAATCCCTTGTATCACACCTCCATGATCATGACCCGCAGGATACATGCCGTCATTTACCGAGAAGTTCCGACAGATGAGATACGCGCGCATCGCTGCGTTCTCGCGCGCGAGACATTCATTGTCACAGATCGTGTCCGTTTGGTATTCTCTGTTATTGACGCGGACAATGCACGCGTATCCCGTTATCTGGGTTCCCGGGAGGACTGCTGCTGTCCCGGATGGTGAGGGTGGTAGAGATGCAGGGAAAGATTCATAGTGGGGTTCTGGCCAGTGACGGCGTTGGCAGAGACCTGAATAATATTAATATGGCTTGTTAGCTTTTTTTAAGTCTATCTTTTAGCTTATGCTTCTTAAGCTTTTGCCCTTGTTTCTCTTGTCTCTCTTGTTTTGTGTCACTGGGTCCTCATTGATTAACTCAAACATACTAGCGAGGTAGTGAACGTAATACATTTCCCCCAGACCCTGGATTCAACAAGGGGATTGGATTTCCCTCGATCAATACTCGCTCAAACGGGATACGTCAAATCTGGGCTAGATTTCAACGGGGATAATTGGGTATCTTTGCAGGGGATGCCGCGAATGAGAAGGAGGGAGCTTAATTGGAGCCGTTAAGATGCTGGATTATGGAATGAAAAGGCAAAAGAATAAATAGCAAAACAAAAGAAGCTATCTTCCAGAAAAGCAGAAGAAAACGAAAGGGAAGAAAAAGCAAGAATCTTAGGGTGGATATAAGAATCGGTCTTGACATGTACTAACTACGAATAACTACGAACAGTGACGTATAAAAATGAAAGAATAAATGAATAATTAATTCACCAGGGCTTTCTTGCATGCAGATAAAATAAAATAGAAATAGAAATGCTCTTTAATTCGCTCCAGAACGGACTACTTTAATCTCATCGCACACCGCAGATACATCACTGTCTTCGAAGCCAATACGAAATGAAACGAAGCAGCCACCGAGGTGAGGACCCTACATAATGCTGATAATAATAATAATAATAATAATAGAGGATCAGCAGCAACCGGCGGGGCTCACTCAGCAGAACAAGTCAGAATGTCCAGTCAAATATTGAGGTTCGTATGTAGCAATGGATGGATGGGACAAGACACATTCAATATGCAATGGATGATGGATGCCATGCTGGCATTGTTGCTCACCAGTCATCCTGGCCAAACTGTTATCGTTGGAAAATAATAAGAGAGAGAAAAAAAAAAAGGAAAGACAAAAAACCCCTCAGGGTCTTCTGCAGTGGCAACGGGGCCATGAATTGTTACCCTTCAAAGTCCATACATGCATGCATACCTGTATACATGTATACACCGCATCGAGACCAGCACAGCATACTGTAAGTAGGTCGTAGCATACATAGCATACTTATCCTATTCAATATTCAATCCTGTCCAACATGACAAGTAGCTAGCCGGCGAATCTATTCCATTCCACCCCGTCCAACCCCGCTGTGAGTAAATAAAGAATCTCCGAGATTATTATTACCCACAGACCTGGCCTGATCTCATCGTGACCATCGCGCGGGGAGAAGTTAGTGGTCTGCGACTCTGCGGAACAAACTTGGCGGTCTAGAGATTTCATCTATGCCTCCGTGGTGATAATAATATTATTAATAAGAGTGGAATGTGACCAGGATTCAGAAAGAAATTAAGAACAGACAGACGGGCCGGAGCAGGGTTCTGTTCCATCAACTAACTTCTTGCTGATGGATGTATGTATGGGGCCGGGAATGGCCCATTGGATTTGATTATGCAGTGATGAGTTGGCAATTTGTATGCATGTCTGTCTATATGTATGCATGATGCTCTATACAGGTAGCAGTTAATTATTTAACTCAGTGACTATCAGTAGAGAAGAGCAGATCGGCGTGGTGGGATGGGGGGTGAAGTCTGTCAGTCAGATTGAAGAAAGCGGAGGCTGGAAGTATCTAAAACTAAAATGGTGGCTGGAATCTTCATATACTTAGGAGATGCAGATAGATCACAGAGGCAGTCTGTATGCAGATGCATATACGAAATATTAACAAGTCTGTGACACAGCTAAAGTTGAGGATTTAAATGTACAGCAGATACAACCACAGTATCTGTGTGACTGTCACTCCAGTGCATCATGCAGATGCATCCTATACAAGGTGTGAAAGGCTAAAAGTGAGATTTAATTCAATCTAACTAGGCCAGATACAATCTACAAAAGCTTAGAGAGGAAAGAAGAGATTCGCGGCCAGACTGGTTGCGCGTGTGAACATGTTAGATCACGTGATATTATGCCACTTTGGTCCGCCCTCGCTGCCCCTTTTCACCACTTCGGCCTGTCTAGATCCATTAATAAACTGTTGGATCACGTGGGATTCTGCCGCATAGGTCCGCCCTCGCTGACCCTTTCCACCACGTAGGCCTATCTAGCTAGTCACCAACCAACGATACACCTCCATTATAAACAAAGGTCTGGGCACGTGGAGACACGTGATCGTCATCGGGCTCTGTTACACAAGGAATGTTCCACTGCAGCAGCAGACATCAGGCTGCCATCATGTCTGTCATAGTTCATACATGGCCTAAAGTTTGATTCAGGGTGGCTTTGAAGAAGATGCTGGCAGTGTGAACTGTTTCACTCATATTGCAGAATCATCCTCCTAGAAAACATTGTTAGCTTCATATATAGAAAAAAGATAGTCTATATTGCATAATCAGAACACAGACAACTATCCCACCCTCAACAATGCCCCCTCTTAAATTCCGGGATAACATTGAACTCCAACAGCAGTAGAATCTTATCCTGATTCCAGTGGATTGTTGCATGTCTCAACCAATTGCATATGTCCCCGGAACATCATCTGAGCCCTTGTTATCCTTCTGCACTGATCGTTCAATCCTCCTCGATGGTGAACGATCCGCCCATCAACGGAATCTCCTTTAATAACGGACTAGCCTGCATCCCCTCTGTGGTTTCCTTGCCGCCGTCCGCCACCTAAAGTTCTAGAAAGAGACGGTGACACCGCGCAAAGGACGGATTGTTCTTATTCGAACACAAGCAGTAGTTCGACAGCCCGCGTCCGTCGGCACCACCAGCATTGTACGAGAGAACCTCAAATCGCGACGAGGGATTACAGGTCATCTCGTACCATAGGCGATCCAAATCGCCGATCTGCATTAGCCCTGCACTGCGTAGATGCCGCCATACTTGAGCAGAAGCGGCCACCAGACGAGATCCGATGTATGCAGGGGCGCTAAGTCGCCGCCGATGGTCCGTTGATAAACACTCGGGGAAAGGGCTCCGGGTCGGAGACGTCGAGGAAATTCGCAATATTGAATGCGGAGAAGGGTAATCGATTCAGAACGTGGATCGTCCAGCCGTATTTTGATAGGCGTCTATGCCAGGCGCGCACGTTGCGCTTTGCGTAAGGGCACATGTTCTTGTAGTCCTTGTTCCAGAAGAACCAGATGTTCTTTTCATCCATGACGGATTTGGGGTGGAGGATGTCATGATCTACTTCGCTGTCCGGGCGGAGGTCGAGAAGATGAGGCGGAATGGCGTGAAGGCCTGCTGGGATCGGATACGTTGTTACTTTGGAGTGACATCAATAAATCCGAGATAGATCTTCGACAATCTATCAATGAGGATGATACTACTGAAAGATATCCCGTAGAAGACACTCATGGAGTATTTGTACTTTGCAGTTAGTATCTTATGCTACTGTGGAATTCCTCGTAGACTAGGTCTGTTGACACATTTGCCTCCATGGTAGTTATTTAACTAACTAGTTAGCTAGTTATCACTGGAGTCAATGCACGACTCATCATGAATAGGAATCTCCCATATTGTACCATATTGACTCTCTCGACTCTCAACAAGGCGACTTGGAATCGACGAGGACGACGTGGATGACTGCGAAAGCTGACAAGGCGAAAGCAGTTTAATTTGAACACAGTGAGATTCTTAGAAATCTGAGTTAGTGAAAATATAAAAATAGGAGTTCCAAAAAGTTGACCTTCAAAATTGTATTTGGATGATCTGGAAGTCATATCCGAGTATCGAAGTTAGTGTCCGGAGGGAAGATTCTCCAGTGAGCCGGCTACGCTGAGTTTGGATAAAATGCACATTTATCTTGTTCTGTTCTTTCATTTATTGCTGTCTCAAATGAAACAGAAGGATACATATCCTGACTACGAACCGGAATTTTTCCCGACCATGGTTCATGGATCCTCCAGAGTCAAACCAACTAGCTCTGCATATATGCATGCATGAACTATTGTATGCAGGTGCAGGACATGACTACTCCGTACACCGACAATTATGACAGCGGCCAACTTCCTCCCGTAGCCAGTGATATCGCCATGCGGAATACTCTGTGGCATGATGGCCTTACATCTCAGGCCTCATACGATATCAGTATCGGAGAGACAATATCAACAGGAACCCCACTGCCGGATCCATAATCATCAAGTCCCGCTCGGTCGGTCTGACTACAACTCGAAGGCCTGCTTCTCATACCACTGGCGCATGTTCTCCGCTGCCTCGTGGGGAATGGCATACATTGGGTGGAATGCAGTGAGCCGATCCTTCTCATCAAACACATTGACTTCCGACCCGTCGCCGTCAATGATGGGGGCGGCTTTCCAGGAAAATGCAGACGCAAAGGTGTCGCCAGACGCTGCGCTGGAATCGGTGTGATAATGGTAATACTGGACGGTGCTCAATCCCAGCAGGGCGTAGCAGGTGTGGTATGCATCTGGATATCTATTTTTCCCGGTGACTTCGGTCAGCCCTGCATACATGATATCGGGAATTCATAAAGAATAGTTAGCTTACTTTCCAGGCTTATCACGGAGACCGCCTTTCTTGTTCTGGCAGCATGAGAGGATGTATCTGGTCAACCCCTCCCGGCTGCAAAGAGAATCGATAGACAGAGGCTTTGGTTCAGCAGCCGACTGGACACCATTCAGGGCAGATTGCAACAGCGGCCAACAGCTACCCACCCAGTGGCTGTAACATCCGTCCACCAGTTTGTTTGTTCTTCCGGAGAAACCTCCTTCTGGCGCATACTGGCGAGCTGAGAGCCATGACAGAAGCAGTGGAACATTCAAATATCTAAGAAAAGCGAAATTAGTCGAAGTGGGCCAAAAATGAAGGTCTGCTCCTTACTTGTGTATGATCTCCTGGGGTGCACCCATAATGCACAAAGACGCCAAGGCACAAAATGCATACGCGCCATGGGCTTCGATGCCCGGGCTTCCCGAGATACCACCCTCAAATGTTTGGCCTAGATCATCAACGTTAGTAGATCATTGTGCCTGGGCATGGATTTATCCTTACACCTCGAAATATACTCGGGGAGACCGCTGAAGAAGGTTTCCAGCCCGGAATGTCGAGCCTCCGCCTCAGGAGGTAAGGTGAGAGGTAAATTAAGCAGAGAGATAATCGTCATCGCGCAATATACACCGCTACATCAACTGTTAGCAAAATGACCAGCTCCATTACAGCACGGTGGGTGAACAATTACCGCACGTCCGCCTCACCCCCCTCACAAACCCTGAAACCACCTTCGGGAGTCTTGAGCTTGCCAAGCCACTTCCACCTAATGATAATATTAGAAGATAGAAGTTGATCTAGAGCAGATACATGGCTTACATCGCCTGTCGATCAACCAGTTTATATGCCTCTTCGCCCCCAACGAGTGCCAGAGAGAGGAGAGCGGCGTAACTGGACGCCGCATGCGAGGCCTGGCCATGACCTCCACCGAACCCACCAGTAGAGTTTTGCATAGAGCCAAAAGTAGTGATGACACTAGAAGTAGCTCCAGTCAGATTGGTTCTCTTACAGGAGGAAAGCTGGATAGCATCATCTCACCGTTCACGATATTTGGTGACATCCTCACCCAGGAGACTCAAACCTGACAAGCCCCATAGTGTCATCCATGGACGACTCGCATCCATCACCACGAATCCAGCCGGGTAGTCCTCTAAGGAATCATACAGAAACTGTACATGCTCATCGCGCTGGAGGGCCGGCACACCATGTTCGTTGAAGGGGCCCTTCTGGTCCTCCTGCACGCCTTTCAGAAACGGCAGACATGCTTCAAGGGTGTCATTCTGCAGCTGACTAGTTTCTGTGACTAGAGGGTCCTTGATGAGGGGAGACTGTGTGAAGAGACTTGGAACCCTGGCACGTGCCTTGCTAGCTGTGGAGGCAGCAGTGCTGGCCATTTTAGAAGAAACAGAGCTGTTATTATTATTGCGCTGACGGCTGGTGTCCTTGAGCTTGTCCCAGGCTGACTTTGGTGATGGCAGTACCGGCAATGTCTGATTAGTAGATGGAAAACGAACTTTGCGTCGATGCTTCCCTGTAGCTATGATGGCGGGCATGAAAACTTCTGAGATTGTGCACAAGGAGATTTAAAAGGGCGTGTCTTTGCTGACCTTTTCCACTTTCTTTCTTCACAAAGAGTATTCACTGCTATTGTTCTCCATGGCCTTCAAAGGTTCTGATTTGCCCTTTGCCAGTATTGTTCCTCCCCGCATGTCAGGTGCCTGCAGCAAACAGACCAAACAGCCGTTGTCGCCCTATTCTCCAGGCATCAACTACGCATACAGATGTAGTCTGTAGGACAATGAAAAAGTCGACGCTCATTAATTATCATCTACCACATTACTACTCCGTGCTTCGGGAGCTGAGACTACAATGTCTAGCCTCCGGGTTCGAAGGCCGGGGCTCGTCGAATACACTTTCTCTCTAACCATATTTATTCCCGCTGCTGGTATTGTCCCTTCGGAAGCTGAACCTGTTGAGGAAAGGCTTTACTGACGCAGCTGGTTAGATTGGTTCGTATCAACATGCCAGTGCGTGCTGTAGCCTGGCTGTACGGCGCGTATGGGCTGCAAGCCATGACTAGTATTATTGGCAAACTGATTTCATATGCAGGGCAGGACGACGATCAAAAAAGGGTGGGAAGTGGGATTTGAAATTGTGAGGGGTAGTTGGAGGTTTCTGACCTCCTGCACACTGCTTATGCGCTGTACAGCTGTACACTGCAGCTGCGACGTTAGCGTCCATGAAGCCGATGAAGATGATTAATATTATTCCCCGTCCGTATTCATTCATATCGATTTGAACAAAGGATTCAGGCTGCAGGATGCAGGACGCAGGATTGCCAGAAATGGTAGATTGTCAACATCACAGCGGCATAGCCAATAAACTCGACGACCGGCACTGATGCGCCGATCTGAGGACTTGGTAATAGGTATCTCGGACCACGACTCACTGACCACCAGTTTCGGACACGAGAAAGGCCTATCAGCCTAGTATGCCAGTAATTGCCAATCATTCAATATGATATGCTGTTGAAGATTCATCTTGCAGCTCCCCGGGGGCCGCTTGGCAAGCAACCGATCAGAGAGGCAGAAAAGCCAGTTTTCGTGGCGGACGGATGGAGGAGCCGTCCACATGCGGCCAGCCAGTGCCAGTATTGGGTGCATTATCACCTCCACTAACGCTCTGCTGCAGACCCTGCAATGTGTGGATGGCGATGCAGGATGCTGGGAGTGTCGGGCTGCTCCACGGGCGATTGGCTGATCTGCCTACCCGCCGCGCGCACGGGTCACATGCGGGCCCGACGAGGCTGTTTGCCCATCCTAATGCCACGGCCGAATGATCAGAGCACGGAACCATGGTTGCCTTCCCGAGCCGATCAACGTACCTGACGGTACAGCGTACCGGACCTCTCGAGCAATGAAACGTGTAGGAGTACGGCGGAGATACTCCGTGCTGACCGTCGCGTACGTATCAGAAGATTCAGCGTACGAAACGAGATATTGACGCTGTCCGTGGCTGCCGAGCAGCGGGCTGTGGCATTGTGACCCCCTCTAGACCCAAAGCATGCTAGCCCGGCTGCGCGTCTCACCGCTGCTTTGCCTTTTCTTCCATCGTCGACAGTCTAATGCCTATCGTCTGCCCTTCTTTCTCCTCTTCTTGCTTTCCCGAGGCCTCTCTTTTACTGGCTTTGCTGCCGTCGCTTTCTGTCCTCCATGTCCCATCTCCCTCTCCCCCCTTCCTGACAATCCATTCCTCTCCCAGAATCTCTGGATTCGGCCATGTCCAATCTCGATATACCTCCTGATGGCCTCCTTGGCCTCGATTATGACTCGAGAGGCTACCTTCAGCCGCAATCCTGGCCCGTCTCGGTGGACCAGGGCGCTCCGCCTGCTGACGGAGCGCGAGAAATCAGCCCTTTGCAGACCAGCGGTCACGGCTTCGAACAGTCGGTGGCAAGCGATCCCAATTTGATGGTGGACTGGCAATTCCAACAATTGCAACCCCACTACCATTATCCTATCCATGGCGACCCTTCTGCTTCTTCTCCCGCAACCCTGTTCGCCACAGGAAGATACGGCGCGCCTGTTTCTTCCCCCATCGACTTCTCTGCCAGTGCTGCTACTCATATAAGCACCGGCCTCTTGGACGGATCGACCTATCTGCCTCTCTCTGCTCCCATGGACATGACATCTTTCGCCTTCTCCGACTTCCAAACCGGTTTGATGGCTCTTCCCAACGGTCTCCCTGACATGTCTTCGTACCCGCCCCAACAGAATGTGCTTGACTCCAGTTCGCCCACCGACACCTATTTGGAAGTCCGTTCCCTGACGAGCTCGAGCAGCGACAATGGCTGGAGTGCTATTGAGCACAGGAACTCGCTCGATTTCTCATTCCCCGAACAGGGCATGTTCATCAATCCCAGCCAGACGCTGCATGATCGGAGCCTTTCCGATTCCTCATATTCATCTTCTCTGGGCGGCAGTTTTGTTGAGATCTCCCATCCAGTCCATTCACCCACTTCGGAAACCAACCTAGAATACGCGTACGGAAATGACTCGATCCCGCGGCTCATTTCATATGATCACGCTTCGCATGGCTCCATCTCACCAACTGCTGTAAGCCCAGTGGCTGTGACGCGGGCTGTTCCAGTTCCCGCCAAGAGATCTTCGTCATCAACTTCTTCATCGGCATCGCAGTCCTCATCATCAGCTTCTCCGCCTAGTAGAAAGCCATCGCGGAGGAGTCCGATGGCCGCAAAGACCGCAGACACGAAGGTCCGCAAGCAGTCACAGTCCGGCAAGCCAGAAACAGAGAAACGCATTGGGAAGCGTAAGGGCCCTCTGAAACCCGATCAGCGGAAGCAGGCTAGTGAAATCCGGAAACTGCGGGCATGCCTACGATGTAAATTCCTGAAGAAAACGGTGAGTGAAGGGTCAAGATGAAACCCCTGGAGAATGATCTCACTCTAGAAAAATCTGTACTGATAGCATACAAAAACAGTGCGACAAAGGTGAGCCATGCGGTGGTTGCCAGCCGTCTCACGCCCGGCTTTGGCAGGTTCCTTGCACCAGGATTGATATCAAAGAAATCGGATACTTCATGAAGGACTGGAAAGCAGACTATGATCGTCACGTCACCGTCGGGTTCTCCGTGGAAAATATCAAGGGGTTCTCGGACCATGAACGTCTGCTCTTTGTTACGCATGGATATGGTCATGTTCTTCCGATTAATGCTAGAGAAGTCTTTGTGCGTGACAATCAGTGTTTCAACATGAACTGGTCAGAGCAGTGGAACCAGAAACCTCCTAATGAGTACGAGATCGAAACAGCCAAGTTGTCGGCTGGAATGGAAGGCATCTCCCCTGCGTTGCTTTCGGATTATCTTGACCGCCATATCGACGGGAATGGCACGTTCGAAAAATTTGTTGATGATTACTTCGGAGGCACGCCATTCCTTACGCAGATGCTCAAGACTGCTTTCCGCTATTACTTCCGTACCAAGCTTCCCGTCATCCGCAAGGCACTCAAACTCATTCTGGCGTACAATCTAACGCTCCACATTACCATGGTTGAGGGCACTGGGGAGGAGGATCGCTTCCTCGGCCGGATAGATGATCCCTCTTCTAAATTCCACGGGAAGACCCTGGCGCCGGTCATGATCAGCTTCCAGATCAAGTGTGCCATGGCTAGTATGTGGCGCGAGCTACAGAAAGACGTCCTTGAGGAGCTGTCGGCTTTGTATTCCAGTGTCTATAGTGGGGAAAAGCTGAAGAACTGGCCGACTATCTTCATCTTAGCTTCAGTGCTTCTTGCAGTGTGGGAGGAAATGCAATTCGACTGTCATTACCGAGTGCCAGTGAGTGTTGGAGAAATAATCATCTGGTGCTATTCGTTGGTCAGGGAAGCTGATTAGTATTTTGCAGAATCCCGAGGCCGTAGAGAAATTCTGCAACGATATGGAGTCAACACCCGTCGGGGTGATTATCGGACTGTTCCAGGCGATCTCGCAGAAGCTTCCCGCTTTCACTGAATGGGAAACCCAGAAGCACCATCATTTGCTCAACTCTAACCCTGACGTTTGCAACACGATGACTGAAGTCCGCCAGCACGTTACCAAATATGGTAAGAAACATCATTTTGGGCTCTCTGCACCATATACTGATCCTTTCTGTAGAGAGCTATCTTCGCACCCGTTCTTCTTCGAAGTTCGATCACAGAGACTTTGATTGCTTGTCCAACAAGTTTCTCTCCAGATTAGTTATTCGGGCCAACTAGAATGGTGGTCTATCCAAAAAAAAATTTTTTTTTGAATTCGGAAGATGAAAACGTACAGCAGGTGTTTTAAACCGAATGAGTTTACGGCCTTGACTATCACTGCATGAAGCATGAGAGATGTTGACCGTCACGATGATGATTATTAAGATCAATCGGCCATGTCCATCATTATTTCAGCCTTTCTTTCTGTTCTCCTTTCCTTTCGTCACATATTTCTTGGATCAACCCACCTTGCAATTTTTCTTGCCATGTATCTCAGCAAATTAGTTTAAAGCAAACGCCGGCTTCGCCACTTTTCAGTGGTCTACTTTCTCTCGCATGCTATCTCTGATGTTGACTACAGTCACGACGATTACGATTCTACGACTACATGATGTGAGAAGTAGCGGCGCGAAATCGAAATGTCCTCTTTGTTTTGCTACTTGCATTTATGCTTTTTGATCGACGATCCTGCTTTGGGATCTGCATGTCCAGCCTGTCGATATTTTCAAGTTACCCTGGTGGTCTATATTCAGCTTCTGTCTGTTACATGTTTCTTTATTATGCTGATCTTCTTTGTCAGCGCCGAGTTGGAGTCGGTTACATTGGCCATGACCTGGCTCCTATTCTGGGAAAGCAGGCGCGCGTGCTTGGAGAACATTGATTTCACTGTTTGTTGATTCGCTTGATACCTTAGGTAGTATTTCTGAACTAAGTGATTCAATTTTATCTGTAGTGCTAATCGCATGAGATGCAATTCCTCACGGCAGCTGGGCACTCAGTGCATGTGCCATGCTGAGTATCATCTCACTAATCTCACTATCTGCTCTGCGAGCGTTCAGCCATCCCGGTTGTTCCCGCTGCCGATAAGCGCATCCCACGTCATCCGCACTAAAGTATCGATGGTCGTATCGATAATGCTGGGCATTCTGCATATGACGTCAACAGTGACTGTCGCATTTTTGGGAAATTGAAGTCTATTATCTACCCTTGATAGGGACCTTGATAACGCTAAAGTGTACCTTGATCACCAGCATCGTCAAGTGGTTTTCATCCCGTAACTAATTAATCATCAGGGTCATCTAGGCTTTGATAGTCTTTGCAACCTGCGTATAATCTGTGTGTACTGTTTCGGCACTCGGCATGTTCATCCATGATAACAATAGGTTACAACCGCCAAGTTGCTTCCCCAAGTATCCATCTAGCCCAACGTCTTTCTAGACCTTTGTCGTATTCGGGAGAGTGGATTCCAGCTTCTTTCAATCAAGAGAAGTGAATGTCTGCCTCTGCGGCATTCCCTATTGTCTGGTTATGGTAGACTACGCGGGATTAAAAAAAGGAATCCTAGGTAGCATGCATACGTGTCCATTGCCTGGAGTGTGCGCGCTCTCCCACCTCAGGAGCTGAACCAAATGCCATTCATCATGAGATAGTCTGTGCAAATGAAAATTCTTTGAGTGCATGTGTGTCTCTTGTATAGACGTCTCCATGACTGACGAGGTGGCGCTGGATTGCAGAGGCCAGCCAAGGGGGGTGCCTAAGTCACCTAGATGGCGTGAACGTTCCAGCAAGTTCGGAATGCTCGCGTCTATTTCGGGAATAGCCAGGCTTTCACCGCCATCCCTATCGGCTTATCGGCCTATCACGTCACAGCCCCTCGTTCTGACTAACCGGTCTTGCCTCCACCCGCCTTCCCCCCTCCCCCCAGCCTACTTAAGCCTCGCATCGCCCTTGCTCCTCGCCTTCTCCCTCTTCCCTTCCTTCATCTATCTCATCACTCCTAATCCCTACGTTTACTCATTTCATCTCTTGCCATCCGCTAAATTTTTCCTCTCACAACTAGCTCCCCGTCTCTTCTGAATTTCAACGCTAGCGACCATGCAGATCTTCGTCAAGACCCGTGAGTAACCTTTCCCACCTTATCTCTCTTTCCATCATAAGGACTTCCACTGACTGTTGTTTTATCCCTGTAGTGACTGGCAAGACCATCACTCTGGAGGTTGAGTCCTCTGACACAATCGACAACGTTAAGACAAAGATTCAAGACAAGGAAGGCATTCCTCCCGATCAGCAGCGTTTGATCTTTGCTGGCAAGCAGCTGGAGGACGGTCGTACCCTCTCCGACTACAACATCCAGAAGGAATCTACTCTCCACTTGGTTCTCCGTCTGCGTGGCGGTATGCAGATTTGTAAGTTACTTTCATCTTCAAGCAGCCCGTTGTGAAAGGGACTCACAGACTAACTTGCTTTCACAGTCGTCAAGACCCTCACTGGCAAGACTATCACCCTTGAGGTTGAGTCTAGCGACACCATCGACAATGTCAAGACAAAGATCCAGGATAAAGAGGGTATTCCTCCGGACCAGCAGCGTTTGATCTTCGCTGGTAAACAGCTTGAAGACGGCCGCACTCTGTCCGACTACAACATTCAGAAGGAGTCCACCCTTCATCTCGTCTTGCGTCTCCGTGGTGGTATGCAGATCTTCGTTAAGACCCTTACTGGAAAGACTATCACACTCGAAGTCGAATCCTCCGACACCATCGACAATGTGAAGACGAAGATTCAGGACAAGGAGGGAATCCCCCCTGACCAGCAACGCCTTATCTTCGCTGGAAAGCAGCTTGAGGATGGCCGTACCCTGTCTGACTACAACATCCAAAAGGAATCTACCCTTCACCTTGTTCTCCGACTTCGTGGTGGAATGCAGATCTTCGTGAAGACCCTTACGGGAAAGACTATCACACTCGAGGTAGAATCTTCTGATACTATTGATAACGTGAAGACGAAGATCCAGGACAAGGAAGGAATTCCTCCAGACCAGCAGCGTCTCATTTTTGCGGGAAAGCAACTTGAGGATGGTCGTACTCTGTCTGACTACAACATCCAGAAAGAGAGCACCCTTCATCTCGTCCTTCGGCTCCGTGGTGGAAACTAATGACTTTCTATTTCGATGATTTCCTTGCGATTATGATATCCGTCGAAGGTTTCAATGACCTGCATGGCGTTTGGATGGTATGAATGGCTTTTCTTTACTCGGGTGGCCTGGGCATATTCTTAGCACCTTGGTTCATAGTTCTTCAATCTTCTACAATGAAATGAACCAATTATCTCTGGTACTATTGCTTTTCTCTATTACTATACAGACTCCTATGCAAATTGTAGCCTCCCTATTCATAGGAATCGATTTCCCAACGCCCTGTTTCCAATCCTGGGTTACATTCGGCCTTGGCTCGGGTGACAGATCCCAGTTTCTGGCATAACAAAGTTAAACCATGGTTTTCCTTTCTTGTCTTTCACACTCATCGCCTGTATCGCTTGTATTTATCCTTCATTAGGTTTCTGTGTAACTTCGGGGATTATCGACAGTAGAAACAGGTCGCGTAGTTATGCTAATGATGGTTGCCGTCAGTTTTACCGAATTCAGAACTCAAATTCACGTGACCATACCAAAATCACGTGGTATATATCGTCCACGGCGATGGAAAAAATACTTATCACCAACTTTCCTCGGTGACGCTGTCTGTGCAAGAACCCTTGCAGAGACTGCACTGCTTCAGCAATGTGAGCGTTTGTCGGGATGCCCTCGTACTTCTATCATATTGCGCTCGAATTACAAGCCTGCCCCCAATCATGTCTTGAAGGTGTGTCCGGGTTGCATCAGGATCAGTCGCAAACATCATTGTCTTTCGACTCTGCTTGCGAAGCTTTACTCCCATTCCAGAAGCGACCAGTGCAAAGCAGATTATTGACCCGTGTTGCGCGTCAGTCTGCGAATGATAAAGGCAACAACCGTTTGATTTCAGACGGCAACAGTGCTGCTGCATCGAAAATACCCTCCCATCCCCACCACAACCATCGTCATCACCAGTCAAACAATCCTCTAGCTTACTCTTACAGCAAGTCTGCGACTAGTGTATATAATTTAGAGAAGGACTTGAGGCTTGATAAGGTCGTCATTGAGTGTATCGACATGGTATCTCCGGGGCGACAAGACGCAACAACGGTCTCCAGACGACCTACGGATGCCAAGAGAACCAACAGCAACCTTTCGACGAGCAGTAGCCACAACAATCCTGTCGCAACGGGTATTGGAACGGATATCCTGGGTGGTCTTCGCACGAAAGGAAGGTACATTCCGCTGGATCGGAAGACCTCCGACAGCGTCTGGGGCATCGTCCATCTCTATCGCGATGTGCAGGAGACACCCTATCTGAATAATAATGCCGACGACTATGCACCATCTTTGACGGGCTCCGCTGCCGCGAGGCATCTTGGCGGTCGATCAGGTAATGGTGCGAATAATTACGATCCGCGGGATGGGTCTCATTATGGGGAGGAAACTTCGCTGCAACAGCGTCAACATCCGGATGAGGACTGTACGACGCTGTGTATTCTTGCTGTCCCGTCGTATATGTCACCGTCGGACTTGTTGGGGTTTGTCGGTGAGAAGACTATGGATGACGTGAGCCATTTTCGGATGATCAAGACCGCGCGAGCGAATCGATATATGGTTTTGATGAAGTTTCGGAGTGGGAAAAAGGCAAGGGAATGGCAAAGTGAGTGGAATGGGAAAGTTTTTAATAGTATGGAGGTGAGTTTTGATCTAACTTCTGGGGCTTCGCTCTGATGACTGACTTTTTGCTGTTTTCTATTAGCCGGAAACATGCCACGTCGTCTTTGTGAAAACAGTCGAGATCCAACTTGTAGACCCTGATACACAATCCGGAGTAGCTCAGAAAGGTACATTGGGCGGCGCCACACATACTTCTACTAGTCCCCAAGAATGGGTGACAGGTGCCACTTCTAGTCCACCTCTTGCACCTGCTCCCTTGTCCACGAAACCTCTGGCACCACGAACACCCGCCCTTATTGAGCTACCGACTTGTCCTGTCTGTCTTGAACGGATGGATGAAACCTCAGGTCTATTAACCATCATCTGCCAACACGTCTTCCACTGCACATGTCTCCAGAAATGGAAAGGTAGCGGCTGTCCCGTATGCCGATACACACAGGACGACTTCCGGAAGAATAGCCAAAGCGGACCCTTCGGCGGTGATGAACCTGCAGAGTGCAGCATCTGCCACTCGGAGCTGAATCTCTGGATCTGCCTCATCTGCGGAAACGTAGGTTGCGGACGCTACGACGGCGCGCACGCCTTTGCACATTTCAAGGAAACCTCACACGCATTCGCCATGGATCTCGCCACACAGCGCGTCTGGGACTACGTCGGTGATGCCTACGTCCACCGTATCATCCAAAGCAAAACAGACGGTAAGCTCGTCGAACTCCCTGCAGCAGACAACAGCGCGCTCGACCCACCAGACTGGTCCGACGCAGTGCCCCGAGAAAAACTCGAAAACATGTCTGTCGAATACACGCACCTCCTGATCAGCCAACTCGAAAGCCAACGAGCCTACTTCGAAGAGATCGTCGAACGAGCCGCTGATAAAGCCTCTCAAGCCTCCACCGCCGCATCATCAGCCCAAGTAGCCGCCCAGAAGGCCACAGACACCCTCACATCTCTGCAGAGCCAATACGATAAACTCACCCAGGAGACCCTCCCGACGCTAGAACGCGACAAGTCCCGCGCTGAGAAACGCGCGGAGAAATTCGAATCCATGGCTCGGAAGATGGAGAAGGAGTGGCGGGAGGAGAAGACCATGAACGAAAGCCTGATGCAGCGTATCACCTTCTTATCGAATCAGGTGGAGAAATTGGAGGCTTCTAATAAGGATCTCGAAGAGCAGAATCGCGATCTCACCTTTTTTATTAGTGGGTCGGAGCGGTTGAAGGGGGAGAGTGAAGATATCATTCAGGGGACTATTAGTGTTCCTGGAGAAGGTACTAATAATAGTCGTAAGAAGAAGGGAAAGGGAAGGAAGTAAAAAAGAGTATTATTAATATTATCCCTGTCCCTCTGCATTTGCATACTGTGGAGTATGGAGTATTTATTGCTTTTTGAGGTACTCCGAACCAGCAACAACTGATGGTGATATTTGGATGATCATGTCTATCCATCAGTTTTTTTTATTTATTCTCTCTTTTCCTCTCTGCTTAGATAAAATGAACCATTTCCATGAGACAAACCATTTAATCAATCGATGAACCTCTTTAGCAGTATATGGCATAACAGTATATACTATATATCGCACTGTATACTCCGCAGTATTGGCAATAGTTACCAAGGCTACCAGCAAATCCACCCAACCCAGACAAGACATTTAAAGGCAACAACAATATATGCCACCCTGCCAACCGATCAATCAATGATAACGAAAACATTTGCAATGCAAAAGCACAAAATCCAACCCAAAAACAAAAACATAGAGCAGCGTGGGATACAGGTGTTACATTATCATTCATCCATAGGATAAAATGAAAAAAAAAAAAAAAAAAAAAAAAAAAAAAAAAAAAAAAAAAAAGAAAGCGAGAAACGGCAGAAATGGTAGGTAGGGTAGTATGTATGTGCGGGTCGTGTTCATCAGGAATGATATAATAATAACAATAACAACAGAGAGTAGCAGACAATGGCAATTTTTAGACAAGATCAATCAAGCCTAGTGTAATATAAAAAACAGAATCCATAGGCATGGGGTATCCCAAACATAGATAAATAGATAGTGTCGTCACGCTTTACCAAAAAAAAAAGGAAAAAGAAAACAAAACAAAAAAGAGGGAGAGAGAAAGACAGAAGGAAATAAATAAGATAAACAAAAGAAGGTGCATAAAAAAGGGAAAAAATACATCAACTCATGTGTCCCCTCCGAATGGATCCAAATCCTTGTCTAAATAGCTCGTTCGCATCGTCAGTTTCTGTCCGTCTGGGGGCCATGGGAACTTCCCCATCGGCTTCACCGTCAATCGCGCCGTACTCCTCGTCCCGAATGGGAGGGCCAACTCCGACACCCGTGTATCCGTCAAGCTCGACCTCGTCCATCTGCGCATAGCCCGATTGCTCTGCTGCGCTGGGTCTGTGGTGATGGACGGGCGTCATGACTCTAGGCCTGGAGAGATGCTTCTGTACTTGTCTTTCACCGGCTTCAGCCGAGGTGTCGGCGGTCGTTCGTTCGAAGCCGGCAGAAGGATCTCTCTTCGGTATCTGCGACTGGAACTCAACCTGGATCGGAGTATTGTTGCCATTGGCATTATTCTGCCGCTTCTGTTTCCACTTCAGTTTCCGCTTGAGCCGCTCCCTCTCCCTTTCATGATTATGCCAGCCTTTCTGTAGTTCGGACGCGGCAGCTTCTTCGAATCTCTTGCGGATTTCCAGGTCCTGCTCGTATTCTTGGAAGATGTCCACGTCCGTGGGGAATAGGAATGCTCGGATGGCGGCTGTTGCGATTTCGAAGAGTATGACGGCAGAGGCGGCCAGGAATAGGACAATCCAGAACGTGAAATTGCGGCCCGTTTCGTTGAAGAAATTGCCTAGGACATGGTAGATTCCATTGCCCGCCCCGAAGCTGTATTTCAGATCGAGGAATATGTTCCAGAGGAACCAACCGCCGACAGAGATCAGGATGACGATAAGGCACATAAGGGATTTGTTGTATATTTCGATGGCTTGGAGCTTGAGGTTGATCACGGTAATGCAGGCAGTGAAGCATAAGAGACCCATGGAGTAAATATCGTCTGTTTTGTTGATGACGGCACCGTATCCATACAAGCCGAGCATGGTGAAGAAGATTATCACTGATTCGCAGGTAGCCATGAATGCCCACCCGAGATACACGCGGATATTGAACCCAGAATGGCGCTGGCCCTTGTTGTACAGTTCTGGAACAGCGAGGAGAGTGGATGCTGCTAGATCCTTTTCGAAGATTCCGAGGAAAATGACCGGTAGAGACGTAAAAAGTGTATTAAACATACTTAAACTCCACGGCTCGTACAAACTCGTTCCCGTGTACCCGTTCCAGCGTTGGTAGAAAGCTTGGGTTAGATAAAACAGGGTCTCTTTCCAAAACGTTCCGAGTGTATACTTGCAAACGCGAATATAGTTCCACCGCCCGTGTACCAAGAGCAACTTCAGAAGGAACCTAAACTGCGCAATAGAATAGTCTGAGATCCTGGCAGCTTGCATTCCTTCTTTACCCGTAATACCTATGCCGACATGGGCCTCCTGAATCATGGCAATATCGTTGGCGCCATCACCAATGGCAAGCGTGATCGCGTCGTTGACATGCTTCCGAATGGTTTTGACCAGGAACGCTTTCTGTTTGGGACTCGCGCGACAACAGATGACCGAATCAACCAGGACGGCAAGTCTGAAGAATTGTTCCCTCAAAACCTCATCTGCTTCGATTACAGACAATGTCTGCCCATCAACCACGGCAACAGAGTGCGCAACGATGCCATTGTTGATGTCTGCTGTCAGCTGGAGGATGGGATGTTCCACATTGCCAGTCTCATGGTCGATGATGACAAGGGTAGAGTAGTCCTTCACCAGACGACACGAGTGACCAATGTTGATGGCTGTCTCCCGCTTGTCACCCGTCAACATCCACAGTTTGATATTCGCTCGCCTCAGCTTGTCAATAGCCTCGGGAACACCCTTTTGCAGCCTATCTTCAATGGCAGTGGCACCGGTTAACTCCAGCTGAACCTCAATTTGCTCACCGACCTTCTCCATTTTGTCCTGCCGATCCACAAGGCTGGTAGAAGCTTCATGGTATGCCGCCTTCCAGCTGTTATATGTTGCCTCGTCCAGAAACCGGTGAGTGTACATAAGCGTTCGCAGACCGTCTTCAGCAAAGTCGTTCAGATGCTGGTAACACCGCTCAAACACGGCGGCTTCGTTCACAACCAACGCCTCATCAACAAGATCTTCCTCGAATTCACTCTCTCCTTCCTCTTGGGTAGAGTCGTCCGAATCCGAGAAGGCAGCCGACCGTCGCCAAGCACCCGATGGTCGGGAGTTGTAATACTCCTCCACATCACTGTCTCTGTGCAACATGCCCCCGTCCGTCTCGCGATCACGAAGCCAAATGTCGACGCTATTCCGTACCGTCTCCCGATGGCCGGAGACACTCGAACGTCTTCCTGAGATACTGGGCCGAGTGCGGCTGAAACTGGGCCGACTGAAGCTGGTTCGTCCATCGATCCGACTTTGGTGCTCACTGTTACGTCTAATCACTTCAGCGGCTTCGGCTATCTTCCGTTTGCTAGCTCGCCTCTCGATATCCTTCACTTTCTGCTGTGCAAGCGGCTTCCGTTTGAGCAGTTGTGTGAGGATGGTATCAGCACCCTTACAGAAAATGCAAATGCGCTGATCGGGCATGCGAACGACGACGGACATCCGTTTTCGTGCGCTCGAGAACTCGATGATGTTCAAGATCTCGTAAACCTCTTCCTCCGGTTCCTCGTCCGGCCCGTTGGGATACGTCCTGATCCGCAACGTATCTGGCTGTCGATCTATAACAAGGTAGCCCAAATCCTTTGCGGCCGTAACCAAGGCTAGCTCATCTGGGGAAGCAGCCTGGTAGGATATCTCCCCACTCTTATCTTGCTCTGGAAGGCAGGTGTGGCATATAGCCATGGCCAGTAGCAATAACTTCGCTTTTCTCGCGAAGACGGTGTAAGGCTTGCGCTGGATATACTCCAGCATATCTGTTGTACGAGCATCGGGGAAAGAATTTTTCTCCTTGGGATATTCGTTATCAGAATCTGCACCCATGATGGGCGCTCTATCAGAATTGTTAGACTTGATGCGGCGGTGGCCCACGGCCTTCTTCCCCTTGTCCTTCCTCATCTTATGGATCAGCTTGGTTTGGTCTCCTTCCCTAGAAGCTTCTTCTAGAAGATCCAAGTCATGGAGCCACGCGGTACCGGCGACGCTCATCTTGCGAAAGCGCATCGAATTGTTAGTCAGAGTACCCGTCTTGTCTGAGAAGATGTAGCTGACTTGGCCAAGTTCTTCGTTGATTGTTGAAGTCCGTGCCTCTATAGGGGTATCCGTCTCCTCATCGTACATGTCGATGTCATTCATCAAGAACATCTGAACGACTTTGACGATCTCCATACTCACATAGAGTGAGATTGGAATCATGGTGTTGAACATGATCAAGAATGAAGTGAAGATAGGGCCAAATGAGACATCTGCATCCTCGAGATACCACGACTTATTCTCAACGTTCCTCTCCCAGAAGCTGTAGCCGACGGTACATATTACGGACATGAGAAGGACGATGGCCACGATCAGTGCTACCACACGGTTCACTTTAAACTGAAGAGAGGGAGACTTGATCCGCGGATTCTTGTTGGCGTTCATTCGAATCTTGCATTCCTCGCCCGTGTATATAACAATCCCAATAGCTCTCTCCGTGTTTCGCAGGATACTTCCGCGGTAGACGACCTCCGAGTTGGTCAACGGCAGCTTGTCTTCACCAACGGTTACATTCCCATCGAATTTATAGAGATCAAGATTCGGGTCCTCGACGCAAAAATCAATCTGATTGTCACAGATATCCTCCACCGTAGCACACACCTTGGCCACAGGTTGGCATGGTTGCTTGTTCTTGAGATTGGTTTCTCCATCCAGAGCCATTGTCTCGATGAATGCCGCTCCATTCGGTCCATTAGCGTGTAATAAGACGATATCAGCCGGAACAGATTCGTCGCGGTTTAGCTTGATGACATCGCCAACCTTGATGTCCTTCCACTTGACAGGAGCCCAGTCGTGTGAATCGCCCAAAGTTGACGAGCTGTCATTTAGTGAGGCCACCCCACCAGTTCCTGGGCATAAGACACGAGCGACGCGGTTATTCTCCTCTCGATCTAATCGATAACGACGCCAATCATCGAACCCCTCCTTCCCCATAGAGATGCTCACGAAAATCAGTAAAGGAACTATGGTCGTATAGGAACCTGTAGTACTCAATCCGGGTATCATTTGCAGGATGGCAACGAGAAGGAAATAGAAGTTCGCTAGTTTGGTGAACTGCGCAACGAATTGACGGGGAAAGAAACTCCAGAAACTGTAGCGACTGGACCGGATGGAATTCCCAATATAGGGCTTCCCTGTCCTCTCATCGATCAAGGGCGTGGTATTATGTGGGTTGAGGAGGATGTGACGGCCATCCTTACTCGGGGGAATCTCTCGAATGCGAAGAACAGTATTGCGGATAGGTTGAAAGAAGTCCTTTAAGCGGTCTAGCAAGATAGTACTGGCCGCTCGTTTACTCCGCCACGTGTCCTGGGCAATAGATAAAGGGAAATGCTTCCCACTCTTGAGAGGCTCCGTGGAATTGGATTGAAACGTTGATATCTGCTCATCAGTCAGGCCGAACTGGACCTCCGGTGTCGATTTCAACGTCGCTTGTTGTTTCTCGTTGGAATTGGAGCCCTGATCGTGTCCTGCTTGTCCCAATTCGATAACGTTTGCGTCCTCTGACCTCATCTGCGGCGCTATATTCTTCGCGAAGACGGCACGTCGAAGGGAATACCCTCGACTTCGTGTTCGCGGTTGACCGGTTGGGTCTGTACTGCTTGATGGCAGAGATGACGGCCGTGGATTCGGGGAAAGGGGAGAGGTCGGCTGGGAATGATGAGGGGACAAACCGGACGGAGGGATACCGGACGGCTCGTGGCTTGTGTTGATAGTGAGACCAGCGGGGGCTAGAGGTCGATTCCCACCAGGCGCTGATGCTGTCGCTGTCGTCGATGTCACCGCCGCTATGGGGGTGGGCGTTTCCTCCCAGACGGGGCTGGGCCAGCGTGAAAGCTCAGCAGAGAACTTCACACGGTTCTGCTGCGATTGGCGCCGAGACGCGGAATCAGACAAGGTCCGGGATGGAATATTAGCTGACCACCTCCTCGTATGAGTGTTATGATCATTATCATTATAAATGCCTTCGTGGCCGTGGTGGTCGTCCTCGTCCTCATCCTCCTCCCGCAATCGTTGAAATTGATCACTCCTCCGGAAATGCGATCGTACGGGCGAAAACTGGGCAGATCTCCTCTGTCGTAGCGGCATGGACGCCGTCCTCCGTGGGGCAGCATCCCTCTCGTTCGAATCGAAGCCGTTACCGTCATAATAGTCGTCCGACATTGCGAAACAAGCAGAACTGTCCAGCGTCCTCTTGCGTCCGGGATTAGTGCTTCCTGTCACGTCGAAGCGCGAAACGGCTATGTTGCACAGGGTTATCGAGTCAAGCACAGGCTTCTAGTAATCGACCGCAGCTTATTTCGTCGAAGGTAGATGGTTATGGGGTCGATGGGGCCTAGGCTCATTTTTCGAACCAGTCGAAAAAGAAAAGGCGAAAGAAAGCCCAGCAGAACGGTCAATCGCCCTCTTTTTTTTAATCCCTTGTGTTTCTCGGTCCTTGGTATCAAACAGAACTCATTTTTCTGTGAGTTTCCTTACCGTCAAACGAAGCGTGAGACGGGGGAGAGATGATGATGATGATGAAGAGGCGCTAAACGAGGCAGGATTCGTATATGCTGCAGCAGTAATCCGAACGTTCAAGCAGGAATGGCCTCACATGACACTACCGGTAACGAGGGTATATAAAACAAGAAAAGTCAAATTAGAGTTAGCGGAGCGAAATAAAAAAAAAAAAAGGGGGATGAAGGGAAAAGGGCCAAGAAGCGCGTGAAGGATGACGGCAAGAAACGCAGTTGAGACAACAGGCTGGAACCCCAAGAAAGTGGCAGACAGCAACACGGAGTAATCAATCAGGATGATTACCCGGTCAGTAAGCTGGCGATCATGCTGGCTGTTATTATTGCAGGACAGCAATAATAATAGCACAGCCCCCCTGGGCCTCTTGGTCGCGACAGGGATGCTCTTTGCTACCGCGGGAACTGCCGTTTCGAGGATCGTCCTGTGGCCACCGACGCGCGTCGCTCTCCTCGCCTTCGCTGAGCATTTCAAACATCTCCAAAGCCTTTCCCCAGGGACTGTTCCCCTCGAGATGTTGGCGGGGAAGTGGTTGACAACGCTCATTGGGTCATCTGTCGAGGCATTCCAAGGTTCATATTCCCCTCTCGATATACGTCATTGGACATTCTTCAAGTCAAAGTGCATGTCTGCAGGAAAGGCGATATCATTCGGGGGGGTGTGCTAACTAGTGGATGCCCGTGATATTCTGCTTTCCACTCCCACCGTTCGAATAGCAAAAGACAGGCTTCATAGTCCCTGTCTTCCATTGCTTTGCTCTTCTCTAAACGCTAATTTGCTCTACTGTCGAAAGTCGTCTCTACCGCATTAATAATACCCAGGTGGTCCACACCATGTTGACCAACTGCGCTGTCCCATTTTGGAAGACGGTTACAGGCTACCACAAGGTTGATATCACTACAAAGAGATTCGATGGCATTTTTCATTTCCTGGTCATAAGAGGCGTAAATCCGATTCATTGAAACACGTATGAGAATTCATTAAATGTCATCCGCAAATTCCCCACCTTACACGATGGAACTCAGAGGAACAGAAGAAACATTTCATATTGTCCACCCACCACACATAATAATTTTAAACCTACGGTCCACAGAAGATTTCCTAGTAGCGCGGCGGCGCCGGCGGAGCACCGTATGGCGGTTGCTGCTGCTGCTGCGGAGGGTAGCCTCCTTGACCTCCAGCCGGAGCCCCTCCGTATGCTGGATAACTGGGCTGGTAGGATTGAGCACCGTATCCACCGTAAGCCTGTCCGTAGTTGGTCTGTGGGGGAGATCCGCCATAACCCTGACCGTAGCCAGGTTGACCTGCAGGCTGGCCGTAGCTGGGGTATCCGGGTTGGCCACCTGGCTGACTATAACTGGGCGCCTGGGGATAACCGCCGTACTGACTCGACGGAGGGGGAGCCGCGCCATCAGCACGACCAGCTGCCTTTTCATCCTTGGTATCATAGGATGAATCAATCGCTCCAAGCATCAACTTCGCGCACTACCGGAATAGTTAGCTAAACCGCACTCAAACTAAGGGATTGCTCCCGAGTACTTACCCAAAGCTCACGGGTCAGGTAAACAGGGGGATTGGCACGGGACATCTCGTCTTGTTCAACCTCAAAGTCTAAAAGAAGTCGAGGTGTTAGTAAACTAGGTCACTACCGGAAGATTGAAAATAAACTTACTCGAAGTGCAGTCAATCAGCCCGCCGATCCTAGGGTCCTCGTCAAGGCTGGCAAGGAACTCGCGAGCCCGAGTGTCATTCCCGACCTGCGAAAACTGGAACGAAACTGCACCGCGTCCGTACGGGGTCCGGGAGACTTCTTCACTGGAATAGCGAATTACTTCAGCTACAGTATCGCGTGGCTCTCCAGCAGGTTGTCCATCGGTGATAGTGATGATAAGAATAGGTTTCTGCAGGCGACCCGATCTGGCGGGCCCGACAACCAATGGGTCGAGAACCTTGTTTCTCAAATTCGTTCCCAAAGGAGTCAAACCTTGGAAACGAACACGGGAAACAAGCCTATTCACGTCGTCGGCACTGCGAATTCCGTCGCCAACTTCCACTGAGTTCATGAACCGCACAGAGATACCATCCTGATCAAAAGTGGAAGCAGCGGTAGCCACAGTGGTTATAATTTGTCTCAGCTGATCCTTTCGGACGCCGCCTTCTTCGAACTCAATGGAACCACTATCGTCAACGTAAAGGATAACGTCGAACAACGAAAGTTTAATGACATCCATGGCAATTTCTATCGAGACGTTCCATTCATGCATAAGCTTGTTGATTTTTGCAGGAGCATCAACAGCCAATGACTGGACGAGACTCTCCAACTTGTCTTGGGGATAGAAGTGCTGGAGTTGTTTCTCTTGGATCGTGCTGATCAGGAGTTGCCTGTAACTGGCCACTTGCTGTGGAGTAGCGGGGGCCGCACCACCCGGAGGTCCATATTGGGCACCTGGAGGCCTTGGGGGTCCAGGTGGTGCAGGTGGTCCTGGAGGTCTAGCTCCTACTGGCCCTGGGGGTCCTGGGGGATATGGCGATCCTGCGGGCGGAGGCGGTCCCTGCTGAGGATAGGAGTGTCCCTGCAATCAGTCCCCGTTAGCATGCATTCAAGAGGTAATGAATGTAGTTATGATTTAGACAAAAGAAAGCAAACTGGGGTGAAAACAGTCGAGGGTTCTCAAATACATAGGGAGCCTGTTGTTGGGAATATTGGCCTTGTGGAGGAGGCGGGGGTGGTCTTCCATAGCCCTGAGGGGATTGACTGTATGCAGGTTGCTGGGTGCTGTAGGGCTGATAGCTCTGTGACGAAGGAGGCTGCTGCGAGACCGGAGCACCGGGTCTGGGGGCTCCTCCAGCAGGACTGGGAGTGTACGGCTGGTAAGACTGGGACGGCTGTGTAGACGCGGGAGGATTCTGTGAACGATAGTATCCTTGTTGGTCATATGGTCGATACATGATGAATTGTGAAGGTGGAGACGGAAAGACCAAGGTGGAGTCGATATTCCACCGGAGAAGGAAATGGCAGTAAGGGGAACAAGACGAGAGAGCAACAAGGAAGGACAGGACACTGCTTACATAGGCGGCAGGTTTTCCCTGAGGTGTTTGAACAGAGGCTGGGTAAGGCTGGAGGTGAGGAGGTTAGTTTAGTCAGTTAAGCGACTGCAGGTGGACAGAGCGGATGACGAATGCGTAGTGTAGGGAGGGGTCTTACGGTCCCGCCTGAAGGGGCATTGCTATTGCCAGCCTGCAGAGAGGCCGGCACGCCCCCAGGAGCATCACCTGCTCTCATCTGGTTCTGACTCGCAGCTATCTTCGAAGCAAACTGTACAGCTCAATCAGTTGTTACTCTTACTGTCCTCTGGACGAGCTAGAACTGCGCCTCTTGATCTTCAAGAGTCTTGAAGCGGGGCTGTGAAGTTCCTGGCCAACAAGGTAAAAGACTTACGCCCATAATCAGTCTGGCAATTTCAGTGTGCTGTACTGTCTCCTGAAGGGAATCCAAAGCTTGTGAGAGATTGTAAGAGAAAGCAATTGTACAGCGAGGTGACAGAAGAGAAAGAGAGGATAGACAGGAAAAGCAAGGTGGGCTAGGCCAGGCTGGGCTGAGCAGTAAATAAATAGCTAAGAACTGCGGCTGTTTCGGCCTTACCGGCTGACACTGGAGCCTCTGTTCACCTATTCTCAGTAATATGCATCCGAACCATACAGCATGGGGCATACAGCAATGAGTCCATTGGAATCGGAACCCTCCATCCACGGACGAGCGTGGCGGTTCTAAGGCAGTGGGCCTCTCTGATTGGCTATCCTTCCATGGGTCTGAAAATCACATGATGTGATATCATGTGACACACAGCACCGCCACGCGGCTGGACAGCCCCATGAGCCTTACACGTGATCTATACGAAAGAGCGGTCGTCTCCAAATGCTTCATTTTTACCTAGGTAGGCATGCGAACTATACGAATGCATCTACCGCTTGCCCTTCTTCTTTTTCTTCGAGCTAGCCCCTCCCCCTCCGGTCTGCCTCTGCGCCGGTTGACCACCGGAAACGCCGGTCGGCTCTTCCACCTTCTCGCTAACCATGCCTCCCTGCATTCTATCTGCCGCCCTCTGCTTGCCTTTACGTCCCTTCGGCCGATACGTCGAGCGGTCCCGAAGAGGCAGCCAGCGCTCAGGGTCTGGGGTCTTGCTCGGATCGTAGTCCTTGGGGAGACGGGATTTCCGGATCCGTTTCGTCACGCGACCTTCTTTACCTTCCGAGGTCCGTTTTCTGGCAGTTGCAATCGTAGCAGCGGTGGATGGAGAGAGCAAAAGTCCCGCCTTCTCGAGGGTACTGGTATCGATATCTGCAACCAGGTCATGCTGGGAAGGTAATTTGATCAACAGAGACTCAACTTTAGAAAAGTCCACTGTCGCTTGTGAGGCTACGTATCCCGCAATTGCTAAACGGTCGTCGGGGCTTTTCTGGTACAGAGACTTGAACAGCTCCCCGGCCATATCCAGGTCTGAACGGTTGTGGGAGTCAAGGAGCGATGATGCTGCAGCCCGGAGTAATGGGGCCGATGCGTCCGCCCGTTCTCGCCAGTGAGATGCAGCCTTGGATAGTTCTGTTCGAATTTGGGCCTTGCGGCCCTGCAGCTTGTACAGCGAAATGAGAACGCTAAGGAGCCCGGGGTTAAATCGAACGTCCTTTTCTGCTTCTGAAATAGACTCATCCAGAGCATATAGAGTTTTCTCTACAGTGGATATGGCGGGTGTGATTTTCCCCAGGCTAACGTAAAGCTGAACGGCAGTAAATAATAATCCCAGGTCTTTGGGTCGTGTCTCGAGCAAAGGAAGAATTGCCTTCAAGCCTGTCGCCCCCATCTGTCCCTGTGCGTGGGCAGCAGCATTATAGACAGAAAGGAGAGCGGTGCTTGGTTCAGTAGACGGTGAAGGTTTCTGGGAGAGCGCCTTTGACGTCGATCGGATGACCCCGTTGAACTTGTGGACAAGGAGATCTGCAGAGTGGGAGTTACCAACTAAAATATTGTTTTGATAGTCAAATAGTCTGTCGTTATCGCTAGATGTTGGCGTTTCATGGAAAGCCTTATAGAGTAGGTACGGATTAGCAGACTTTTGACGGGCCAGGACGACATTATTCTGGGCGATCTTCTTCGTCGATTGTTCAGGGATGCTATAGAAATGCGTAAGTCTTCTGTTAATAGTTGAGCAATGCACGCGGGCTTCACTTACTCGCTAACAGATATCTCCTCCGCGATAGACTCTGCCTCCTCCAGTCTACCCTGTCTAATTAAAACATATAAATGCTGGACCGCAATCGGAAGTAATTCGGCCGCCTTGTCCTCAGGTGTAAGGTCCTCCGACGTCCTACATAATTCTACAGCAGCATGGTCAGCCCGAAATCCATTGATACTTGGTGCTTTTTGGCTCTTACGAACCTTTGGCCCGCTTCAAGAGCAATTCGCCTTGGCTGAGCTCTCCCTTCGCAATACTCAAACAAGCCGCATTATATGTCGTCTCGAAAGCCTCTAGGTCATCCCTCATAGGTCTAGCATGACGAACAAGCTCCGAATGTCCTTTCCACTGCAATTGCGCATCTGCGGCCCAGGAGTTGATGCGAAGATCATTTTCTTCGTTACCCAGCCCTTCCTTGTCGTTAAATAGCGCCTCGTAGATCTCCGCGGTGCGATGAAAGTTCTCAGCACGATATTCCTAAGATACAACCACAAGTTAGTCATTATTGTGCAAGATAGAAGAAAAACAATACATACCGCTTGTGCCTCCAAGTGTTTCGCACCCCTCCCATCGTCGACCCGAGCAACAACGTCCACGGCCTTCTCTAGCTGCCCACATTTGTAGAGCGCATATGCATACTCCAATGAAGCTCTCCTTTTCAAAGCGTCACCGCTCTCTTCGAAAACGCGCAGTGAGTCCTCATATCGGTCGAGTTTCAAGAGCGCAACCACCTTGACATGTTGAGCGTAAAGATCCGACTTAGACTTCGCTAGTGCCGCGTTCGACGACTGCAATACCTCTTCGTGGTCTTCAATTGTGGTTCGCTGCAGCAGCGAAGTTAAGGAGGCCATTGCGATGAATTGAGAAGACCAGGATGTTTCATCCGACCAGCTGTTCTTGATACAAGTGTTTTAGTTGCACCTCCGTGCGACGGTGTGGCAGAGCTTTTCCGTTTTGGGAATTCTGCCAACGTTCTCCGTGGTGCTGTACTGTGCATTCATGGATTAGTCATCTACGGAGCATCCAAGTGCATAACTGGCTTCTCGACTTGCCTATAAATAGCTTGCCAAAGGAACCATCGGCTCCGAAGGTTAAATAATAATAATTGCACGGGTGGCTTGTGTTTAATTGCTAAGCGCCCCTGGTGCGGTCCCTAGACGCAGCATACGTAGACCGTGGAGAACGGGACAGTCTATATTTCGGTTGGACTCTATATTTACAAAAGTGCTCGATAGCGTACACTGTACTCGTTTGCCTGTTCTACTACTGAATATTATGTCATCCTTTCTCGTTCAATTTTCCGTTCCGCGCAATCCCCAGGGCCTGGCTTCCCAAAATGCGCAATTGACCACGGTTCGCTCCATCTGCAGGAGACGACAAAGTGATCGACCTCACTCCTTCCTCATTGCCAAGGGATCTCGCCCCCGCGGCAATCTGACTCCTGGAGGCATTTATTTCTCACGCGAATTCCTTGGCGTTGCGTAGCCGATCGACAACCCTGGTGCTGGACGGATAATCGCTGCTTGTACCACTGGGAGTTGATTGCCTCCAAAGATGCTCCTTTAGTCTCCTCTCGCCATCTTCTCCGTTTCCCCATCCACCTCCAACGCATCGTTGGGCACAATGTTGCTGAACCTCGGGGGAGGTTCTAATCCCTCCAGTACTTCTTGCCTTCTGAAGAAGAAATTGCGTTTTATCGCCTTCGCATTCGCCGTCACTACCTGCCTCACCTTTATCCTCTGGCCCCGATCAGAAGTCGTCGAGACAGTACAACAGGACCTGACGTTCAACATCACCGTTTCTTCCGATGTCATGTGCGATGGCTTAGATTTCGGTTTGCTTCATCGTCTGGAGGTCAACAAACTGGCCAGTTTTACCCAACGGGAGATAATTGCCGTTCAGTCGGACTCTGGAAGCCAGTCCGCAAAGATACAGCGTCTCGACATCCCATTACTAAACGCGAACTCGAAAGCGTCAAACTGGACACAACCGCAGGAACGCTGCTTTAATTCCGTCCCGGTTGTGGTGCAGGTGCCGGTTGCCCCCAAACGCGCTGATGCGTCGCATATCGACTTCGGCGTAGCGACAACAATGTCACGGTTGAATGAGTCTCTGGATGCTTTCTCCCATTGGGCAGGGTACACGAATACACGGATTTTTGCCCTTGTTGAACCAGGCGAGGGGAAGACTGAAGTGCAAGCCAAAGCGGAGGAATTGGGCATCAGCCTGTATATGACGATATCAGGTGAGGAGTACAATCATCGATATTTCTCGCTGGTTAGCCATCTTGCCGACAACGCACGAGAGACTACGCGGTGGTCATGCATCATCGACGATGACACATTCTTCCCGTCCATGTCAGCTTTGGTAGACGCGCTGCATCAGTACGATGACTCCAAACCTGTCTATCTCGGAAGTGTGTCGGAGAGTATCAGGCAAGTCGGCTCATTTGGTATCATGGCCTTTGGTGGTGCTGGCGTCTTTCTGTCCCGACCACTTCTGGACCAGCTCAAACCGGTGCACCGATCCTGCCAGTCCATGGACATCACTGGTGATCGCAAAATTTCATACTGCATCTACAAGCACACGGATACCAAGTTAACCGTGGAGCATCGTCTTCGTCAACTAGATATTGGTGGGGATGCATCTGGTTTCTTTGAAGCCGCCCGTGAACCGCCACTCTCGGTACACCACTGGAAGTCCTGGTTCGACGTTGACATGACGAAGCTCAGCGCCGTATCCGAGATTTGTGGAGATTCATGCATCCTAAGTAAGTGGTATTTTAGTGATAAGTGGATCTTGACGAATGGATTCTCCATCATCCATTACAGCACCGATGTTGATCTGGAAGACAACACCATGGAGCATACATGGGGCGGGAATTATGAGACGTTTCTCCATGAACTTGGTCCTCTGCGGTCCAAGGATAAGAAAAAATTTAGTTATCAGTTACAAGATGCCATTGTCGAGGCTGGTCGGGTACGACAGTGGTATATTCATCGAGATTCGTACAAGGGGGATCGTGTTATCGAACTGGTATGGCGACGGGGATAAACCGGGGTTACTGGAGTTATCTTCATGGTCTTCAATTATGACTCTTCTCTTGTATTCTTTAATGTAGATATCTTTTTTCTTTAATGACTTGCTTCTGATAGTTTGTGGAGCCGATTAGGCTACGATAGTTGCTTTACGATATTCTGGCGAAAAGGACGATTAATTCTATGTATCCTTTGCTGATGGGTAAACAGGCTGCTCTGGATGCCATGTTCATTTCCCTATCCCCTTGTCCTCTTTATGTACAATGAGACAAGGGATTCTTTATCTGTATATCATGTTCCCCGTTCCTAAGGACAAAATAAAAAATGAACACATCTCAATGTCAATGGGAGCTCTGAAACAAAACATTCTAGACTATAAATGCTTCACATCCGACTACAATAAAGAGAAGAGAAAATCATAACCCATTTACCTTGCGAACCTAACCCCTCCAGTCTACATACGATATCTGTAACTTCCAACAGTGACATCCCCATCCCATCCCGATTCGATTCATATGATGGATCCGAAGTATCGACAACGTAACCTACCCGGGGACAAACGCCTTCAACTGATTCGGGAGGAAGACGCTGCTCCTCACGAGCCCCAATATGACCATCACCGTAAGATACAAGATGAGCTTGAGAAGCAGATTTACGAAAAACTCGGTGAACCTACTAGTAGTCGGCCGACGCAGGCATCACAGCAGCCCCAGCAGCGGCAGAAGCAATCTCCAACAATCGCAGACCTCTGCCAGGAATGCAACCTTCTCTTCTGCGACGTGCTGCACCATGTATCCATTGTCGCTGATGCATTGAAATCTCACCCGTCCTTCAACCATAGAGGCTACAACCATGAGGATCTTATAGATGCGTATTCTACGTTTCGGTACGTCTGTTCACGTCTAAAGGCTCATGGCCGTGGGAAGAATGCGTTGGAGGTACGTATCCCCCGTGACGATTCGGAGTTCTTCGTGATGAATCTTAGGAAGGCTTTGACTACTGTTATTAAGGCTTTGGAGGAGGGTAAGTGTTTCTTTTTCTTTTTATGCTCAGAAGACCCGACCTTGTGGTCTTTTTTTTCTTGACTATTTCTAACTTATTGATCTAGTCAAACCGGTCATAACTAGACATATCGAAAAGAAAGTCGTCGCGGAAAAAACCACGTCCGATGATCCCCAGTATACAATGAGCCTGCTTGATCAGTTAAAGAATGATCCCGATCTGGCTTGGTTCGAGACCTTCCTGACGCAGGGGGCTATGAGGTGTGTTTTGAGGGGGTTGGAATTTTTCGGGGAGATTTCGCAGGATCTTGCTCCGCGGTTGAAGTGTGGGAGTTAACTAGTTCAATCTTGTCAGCGGTATTTCCTTGTACAAGTCCTTTGCCATTGTATATATTCTGCTGTAAAATTGGGGCTATTAGAGATCTATACCAAGATATCTTCATGGTTTATTCCTATCCTATCCCAGCACTTCTAGACTATATATTTTTGCAAGTTCTACAGTTTTACAATTCATTTTTTGTTGAATCATGAAATACCCTATCGGCAATCACCGTCGGTATAAATGTAGTTGGATAGATGAATGACTGGGTATGTAAGTATACAGCTTTTTAAAACACTCGCGGAATGGGTCACAATGGGGAACACTATCACTTCTCGATGGTGAACTCGAATGACCTGTCTCCGCAGGGAGCTGGGATATATTCAGCATTGTTGTCAAAGAGTGTCCGCTCAAAATATCTCACGTGGCCTTTGTCATTTACCAGGATAACCGTCTGTTTTTGGGTCCCGTATACGCCGCTGGTGCATTTCTTGTCTATCCAGTCATCCTTTACTGGGAAGGCAACCGCTGCCTTGCCCTTCACCCGGGAAGTGGCCTCATCCTCCTTCCAGTTCCCAATGGGGGACACAAAGATGGTTTTGTGTAAATCATTGATATAAGATTCGATGGGCGTATCGTAGGAATGCTCTGGAAGAGTATCCGTACTCAAAACACGAAGAAGTCTGTCGATAAGCTGATCCTCATTCTCCTCGGCCTGGACGTGCGCCTCAATGGCTGCTTTGGTCAATCTCTCGCCTTCAGTGATCTTCGGCCAAGAACGATCCTCAATGGTTGTGTTGCTGAGCGCGATAGTTTGACCTCTTTCCTTTGCAATCCAAGTGATTTCGTCAAAACGGTTGGACACGATCGCCAACGGCTCGTCGAGACGGCCACAAATGAGACTAAATCCGCCAACGTTCTTGAACATGTCGCTCGAAATCAGGCCCTCGACGAAGATTTTTGTCGTTAGCCTTTCGTCTTGGGATGATGTCAGCCAGCTATTGACAATGGCTCCCCGACTATATAGTCCTGTTGTCTTCTCTGGCGCGTTCTCCCGGTAGTTGGTTAGGACGGCCACCTTGCCATGTTTCGTGACGCCCATCCAGGTCCCACTAATGGCATGGACTAGGTCCCGCGAACCAAGGACATAACTGTCTGATTCTGGCCACCAGTCAAGGGAAGAAGTTGGTCGGTGAAGGTATTCCTAGACAATGATGGAGGTCAATTCCAGTGTGCGTCTAGGAAGAAAGGCGTTCCATTCATACATCTCGATTGTCCAGTATAATTAAAGGATACGATGGGTGAGCGGTTGAAAAGATCGCAATGCACATTTTCTTGGCTCTGATTCATAAAATATATATATATATATATATGTATGTTGAATTCGATTAGGGTGAAGGGGGCTGTTATGACACCCAGGCTCTTCTCATGAGGGATTCTTACCTGGACCTGCTGGTAGGTGAACGAAATCACCGCGGCAGTTTTGATATGTCCGAAACTGGCACCAATTGTGCGTCTTGAAAATGTGCCTCAAAACTACGCCTTTGGATGCGAAATAATCTGCTTTGTTGTCTCCACGAGGAATATGAGAACGAGCTGTAGGCCGGCTCATCAAAGAATGCGGGGATGGAAGGCTCGAGTCAACGGTTAGAAGAGCGCTAACTAGTAGAGCCGCCGTGTCAGACCGGATTCGAAAAGGTATGTCTCTATTTGGCACAAGCGGTTGATCTAGACATATTGGGTAGAATTTACATGTCCCAAGTCTATATAGGTGAAGGGGAGCTGGATACGATACTCATACTACAGCGTGGCTCGACGCTTCTTTCGGCAGCATCCCGCCTGCATTGTTCTTGCCGCTCCGAAGGGAAGATCCGTTTAATCGCCCGTCAGATCTATTTCCAGCTTCTTTCCTCTGCTTGTTCAGGTGCTTGTTATAGGCAAAGCGCCCCAGGCGCGGCCTTGTACAGTGTTTACAATCGCGACTTCTTTCATCCAATGACCAAGAGAGTCTTGGAACAACAACTCAGCCCGGCGGCTCTTAGGTAGTACGAGCCTTCTACGAAACAGCACTGTGGGACCGGCGCCCTCTTTCTTCGTCGGGCGTGAGATATCCATAATTAAAGGCAAGTGCCGCAGACGGCAGCCAGGGTGTGTGAAGTATATCCAAGGCATCAACGTCATCGGGCGATCGTTGGCTTTAGTTAAGTACGGCGCCATCTTTCCTTTCTTCATCTTTTGTCCCCTGCCAGCACTGCTCGTATATTATAAACTGGAAGGCCTGCGCAGTGAAACACCCGGTACGACCGTCTTTTCTGACTCCTTACAGTGTACACCAACATCATCAGCTGCTCCGATAAGATACGCTTGCGGTTTTCTCGCCTGCGGAGTAACCACTACCACTGCTAGATACTATTAACGCTTCTTCCTTACCCGGCTTTCTCCAAGTCTCTCGCTTTCCTTATCATCCCATAGGCTCTGGAATAGGCTGGGCCCTTTCTTCCCAGGGCCAGAAGCCACCATGTTTGGGATTTTCGCAGACTTGTTATCGTGAGTTCTCTCCCCTTTCAACGGGGCGGGGTGCATTATCCGAAGCCCTCCGTTCTCATCTCCGTGAAACCTGTCATGCTGATTCTTCATGACGTATTGTCTTCTAGCTCGGTCCTTACGATCCTCTTCCCTGCTTTCGCTTCATACAAGGCGCTTCGATCATCCGACCCCTCGCAGTTGGCACCATGGCTGATGTACTGGGTAGTTCTTTCCGGAATCTTACTGGCCGAGTCCTGGACGATCTTTGTTCTGAGATGGTATGCACGGCTTCATGAAACATCCTAGAGAATCCCAAAGGAGATATGATGGCGGCGAGGGAAGGCAAGCTGACGTGTTTCCTGGTTTGACATAGGCTGCCGTTCTACAGTTGGTTCCGTCTGTTTTTCATGGCATATCTCGTACTACCCCAGACTCAAGGAGCGCAGCTTTTATACGTGCATTACGTGGAGCCGTTCCTCTCCCATCACGAGCGTGAGATTGAAGAACTCATCGGGCGCACTCACGAACGTGCTAAAGATTTGGGTCTCCAGTACTTCTACAAGGCCGTCGACTTTATTCGGGAGAAGGTCCTTGGCCTTCCTCCCCAACGTCCCGCACCTCCTCCACCAACCGGTCCCGCCGCGTATGCGCAATACCTCCTTTCACGATTCAACCTGCCAAGCACCGCCAGGGCGAGTAATCTACCGCCCACGGGCGACTGGCTGTCTGTAATCGGCTCGTCCCTGGCAGCTATGGCGTCGACGGGCCAAGGCAAAGATGTACAGGTGAAAGATGTCTCTGCAACGGGTACCATATTGCCTCGGGAAATGGCAAACATGTCGCGGTCGGAAAAGATAAAATTCATATCGTCGCAGCGCGAACTGTTGGGAGCAATTGGATCTGCATTGACCCAGGAAGAAATGAATCTTGTGGACGAGGATACCGCGAGTGATGAGTCTGCGGATGCCACACCACTGGAGAAGAACCGCAGTGATACCTCGTTCCACCATGTGCATCCTGAGGACATTCCAAGCTCGTCGGCTGGTCGACGCGAACCCTCTCAGATTCGACGGGAGAGTGGCGGATGGACATCAGGATGGTTTGGGTATGCATCTGGTGCGAATGTCGCCGGGGATCAGAACCCTCGATCGAGGGCATAAGTGATGGCAGTTCTGGGCTATATTGGTTAATGGTGTTAGTGTGTTTATTTACTATTGGAGTATTCTTGGTCTCTGGCTTTGCTTTCGGGATTCTTCTTTTCTTTTCTCCCTTTTTTTTTTTTTTTTTTTTTTTTTGTTGTTGTTGTTGTCGTGCCAGGCAGGGTAACAGTAATAATAAAAAAAGACAAATATATATATATGTATGAAGCATCAAATAATTCATTAATATCGAATAGAATGTGGGATTGCTCCACAGTGACCCAAGCATCTTCTGTGGTTGAGGGTGGAGGATCCAAACCGCTACCAAGACATGGATTGCTCGCGGACTTTGTTCCTGAGGCCGAGAAGAGAAGAGAAGAGAATAGGGGAAGGGAATGGAGATGCAGGAAATGAACAAGGAGCAGAAGAAAAGAATGGGAAAGGGGTACTGAATGAATAGACGTACGCGCACACGAATATTGACATGAGATGGAACCTTTCCTGAAAGCAAAGGCTTATCTGTAGCCGTGACAGAACAGTAATTTACTTCCCGTCTTTATTTAGAAAAGAGAAACTCCAGGGTGTGCATTTTTGGCAGCCATGGCAGGAATATTATTATTAAACGGACATGGCATGATTTGGTTTTCTTTATTATTACGGTGACAGAAGGTTGACTCGCTCGATCCTGTTTACGTTTTGGTTTGCTCTCGGGCAGCAGCCAGCCCCCTTATTCCTTATTCCGGGCAAACTGATGGGTGATTGCTAGCCAGCTGCTGCTGCTGCTGAATTCTTTCATGTGTCAGTTAGTCTCAGGGGATCTGATCTGATCCTCCTGAGTCGTGCAGAAGAAGGGAGGCGATTCTCCGTCTGTAGGGAAACCGTAGCAGATGAACTCCTCCGGATAATGTCATCGTCTGTCATCGTCATCATATCATGTACGCTGCTGTGGCAAGTTGCCATGCCCTGCTCTGATCATGACAGGGATGGGTGGTTCTTCTGACAGCTTTACAATTTTATTACCCTCGTTGTCATCGGCGTGGGTAGTATTGTTTTTATTATTATTACTGCATTGCTGTAGTAGAGTGGTGGTATTCTATCGCCAGCGAAGAGGCACAGCACGACCAAGCAGAGAGCAGCCGTACTATGACTGCCTTGTCCGAAGGGATAAAAATAAAATACAAATAGAGTAGCTTAGGCAGGAGCAGGAGTATTATACTCACCAGCAGGCAGGCAGACAGTATGCAGTAGAACCATAGTGTTTTGACAGCAACCAAGCCCTTCTGGGAAATGAGAACCTAGACATCCAAGACAACGGATACAAGGTATTCCATACAGCTGTAGTACTAGGTATTAAGTAGTGGGCAGCGTTGGGAGAGGATATGATATAATACCCAGACAATACTGGATTGTTGCCTCGCGGCAGCACTGCTCGATGGACAGCGTCGTCGAGAGGCAGCACTCGCGGACTCGTTGTGTGTTTCTTCACCAGAATTTGTATCTGGATACCCTGCTGCTTCTTCATTTTATTCACTTCTTTCATTTTCAACAATCTTGTCTTGTCTTGACTTCTGTGCTGAAGTGAAAGATATCCATTGACTTTGTCGAACTAACTGAGTTCTGCAATCCACAATTATTTCCCGCCCTCACCACTAAAAAAAAAAAAGAAAAATTCAAGACGCCTCACTCCGTCTCTTCCTCTCTTCCTCTCCTTCTCTTTCTCTCTCCCTCTCTCCCTCTCCCAATAACCAGAAAACCTCCATCTCCCAGGTTTTTCTTTTTCTTTTTTTATCTCCGACGTTGACCGTTGCCACGACACTTAGTTCTAGTGTCTCGTAGCTGGTCGTCGCTTTCTCTTCTTCGTCGTATTCTTGTTACTTACTCCTTTAATCTCCTGGGATCGAGTCTTCGGGAGAATCTTTTGGAGTCTCTTCTACCCGACGATTTTTTTGTCCTCCCTCTCCTTTCAACGACCTGACATCGCCTCGGGTCTTCTATCTCTCCCACCGACTACTCTCCCCCGGTTTCAAAACGCGCATTCCTCGCCATTCCCACCGTGTCTAATGACCTCAATCTCTCAGAAACAAGGCCTTCAACCTCAAGGACAGAGCACCGCCAGCCAGGCCGCCTCTCCATCCGTCGCTCCTAGCGGGAAGACCGTGCCTCCCTCTTCGTCGACGTCGACGGCCCCGAGGTCCTACGCCAGTGCCGCCACCAAGAAGTCTGCGACGGACTCGACCGCCGCCCCCGTCACTGTGGACGGCTCCGCGCAACATGGGAAGTCGGCCTTAGTGTCTCCTGTGAACGGCAAACCCATGCAGCAATCCCAGTCGCCGGGCGTGACCATTGTCAATGGCGCCCCTGCCTCCGCTTCGACACAAGCCGAACATATTAGAAAACCATCCGTGACCATCACCTCTGCCGGTGCCTCGGGTTATATGCCTAATGGCGCCGCCCCGACCAACCGTCCTAATAGCCTCCAGTTCGGTTCCTTGAACCAGCAGTCATCTCCCAACATGGGAGGTCCTGCCGTTCTTACAAGCCAGCCCCAGCCTAGCCTGGGTGTGGCCTCTTCTCCCGTTAATCCCCGAGTCACCTCGCCTCAGACGTCTCCTGCGCCTATTCCACAACCCACTTCGAGTGGTGGCCGGCCGCCATCGACATATCAGTCTCAAGGAAATGGGCCCAGTTTCGGAAGCTTTGGCGAGATGGGAGAAACAAATGTGAGTAAATTTTTGTCCCCAAGCCTATAGTACTACTCTATTGTCATCTCGTTTCGGAGAGAGGGGGAGAAAATTTCTTAAGACACATATGTGCTTTTGTTGCACGATCGCATAGCTAACCATTTTCTCCCAAAGCGACAGATGCGCCACCAGGGACCCCTTGCACCCGGACCTCAGGCCAGCCATCTCAGACGCGAATCGTCCCAGTCTACTCATAGTGATATGGGTAATCATATCGCAAACGGCCCTGGACGCGGCGGCTATCCCCATCAGGGTGGTCGTGGACGTGGTTATTCGCAATCTGGCTACCAGGGTCAGATGCCCTATTCCCCAGGGCCCAACTACCGTTCTACTCCTAACCAACCCCGAGGCGGACCCAACATGGGACATCAGTTCCACGGCCACAATCAAGGACGACCGCCGCTTGGGCACTTCCCAAACTCTCCTCACCAGAGCAACCGAAGCCCAGCCCTGGCCAACGCGCACCCAGTGACGCCGCAAATGAACCAGGTCCCCATGGCACCCAGCCAGATCCCACCGCAGCACTATGCTTACGGACAGCATATGGGACCCCAACCTGTGAGGAATAACCCATTCCCTTCATCTCGCAAATCCCTTGGACGCTCCCAATTTTCGAAGAGAAAGAATGGAACCCGTGTCTTCTCTTCGTCCCAACTTCCACCCATTCCCAAACTTCCCTCTCTTTCACATCCCCCATCTTCATCTTCTTCCAATACCACTGTTTCCCGTCTACCCCCAAATCTGGCGCCAGAAAGCGGCCATTTTGAACAGTTTCTGATGCTGATGAAAAATAATCAGGGCTATACCCATGCCTATGATCCCAGTTATGGTTACTACAACCCCGCCTACGCCATGCCGCAGATACAGTATATGACCCCGCCGTCGCCGCAACCACGTCCCGGAATTCCGTTCAACGGCCAGGCTCCGTACATGCAGAACCAGTTCCCTGTGCAGCAACCACCTCCTGTTCCTCAGGCAGCCCCCCTCGCGCGATCTCCCTCCCAGGTTTCAAATGACCGGCCAGGCTCCAGTCTTGGACAAGGCCAGCCTCCGTCGATCCCAGTCACTTCTGGACACGCTCATACCGCCAGTAGGTCTTCCAACAGTCCCGCTCCGACTAAATCTCAGTTTGTGATCCCTCCCAAGAAGAGCCCGATCACCATCAGGGACCCCGGCAGTGGTGCTGTCAAGACCTTTGACAAGACTCCCGCCTCTCCTGCTCGCGCCACTCCATCTCCGGTGAAGATATCTTCTCCTGCGCCCACCCCACCACCGCAAAGCGGCAGCGAAGCAGGCCATGCTCGAACGGAGAGCAAGTCCACCAAGACTGTAGAGGAGAAAAAGAAGGCACTGCGTGATGCAGTCCTTCAGAAGATCGAGCAGGACGAGGCCGAGCAGCGCAAGAAGGTCGAAGAAGATCTAGCCCGCCAGAAGAGGGAGCAGGCGGAAGAGGCCGAGCGAAAGAAGAAGGAAGAGGAAGAATCCGCACGGAGGAAGAAGGAGGAAGAAGAAGCGGCCGAACGGAAGAAGAAGGAGGAAGAAGAGGAGGCGGCTCGTAAGAAGAAGGAGGAAGAAGAAGAGGCAGAGCGGAAGGCAAAGGAAGCCGAGGCTAAGGCTGCAGAAGCAGCTAAGCCGGCCACGGAAGAGCCCAAGAAAGCTCCCGAGCCTGCACCAGCCCCCGCAGACGATGAAATTGATTACGATGCCATTGAACGGGAATTGGCTGAGATCGAAGCCAAGGAGGCGGCCGCTGAAGCCGAATACCAGCGCAAGAAGCAAGCTGAGAAGGAAGAGAAGGAACGCAAGGAAAAGGAGGAGCGGGAAGCTTGGGAAGCCAATATGAAGAATGCGGAACGAGAAGCTGAAGCATTGGAAGAGGCCAAACTAAAGAAGCAGCAGGGAAGTGCTGAGGATCAGGCCTCCAAGGAGCTCTTTTCCTCCCTCAAGAAGGGCGGATTCCCGGCCACCCAGGCTGCGACACCGACCGAGAGCTATGCTGCCAGTCCAGCTGTTTCAGACACTTCCATGGGACCTCCAGGGAAACCGGCCAGTGCTACCAAGCGGGATAAGCCTGCGGCTTTGAAGTTGGAAACGACCAAGTCGGTTGAGCCTCCGCAACCCAGTGCTGCTATGAAGGCACTTCATTCCGCTCGCTTTGTGGAAGATTTAACTAAGATCTCTTACCCTGCTTCGATCGCTTCTCCTAACCCAGCCTTGAACGAAAATGCTCCCGCGGACCGCAAGTTCCATTACAACAAGGAATTCTTGTTGCAATTCCAGAACATTTTCAAGGAGAAGCCCTCCGTGGATTGGGATGTCCGCGTGAGGGAGACCGTTGGTGAAGGCGACGCTTCGCGGCCGCAGTCCGCTCGTACGCCAGGTATGGGTAGCAGGAGCGGCTCGCGTCCTGGCATTCCCCAGACTTTCGATATGGGCAAATTCGGACAGCCGTCCAGAGGATACGGCCTGCCACCGGGGACTACATCAGACCAGCGTTTTGCCATGTCCGAGCAACGCCTTGCGATGTCGAACGCAGCTCGTACTGCATCCATGGGCGGCAATCCATTCACCTTTGGTCCTCGCGGCCTAGGCATGACCTCCCCTGCTATGAGCCGTACAAACTCTGCGACCGCCATTGGTGCCATGGCTGGGCCAGGGAGAGTACCCTCTGGCAGCCGAACCGGAACCGGCAGCAGGCGGGGAAAGAAGAAGGAAGAGGACACCAACAAGTCCATGCCCCTTACTGCTGGAAAGGAGTTGAAGGCTCTTACCGTCTCCGCAACCGGTTGGAAACCACGCAGTGTCGGTCAGACTGCGGCTGGCCCGACTCCTGGCGGCGAACGTTTGTCTCCTGAGATAGTGCAACGTAAGGTGAAGGCCGCTCTCAATAAGATGACCCCTGAGAATTTCGATCGTATTTCCGGTCAAATCCTGGAGATCGTCTCGCAATCCAAGGATGAGAGTGATGGACGAACTTTGCGACAGGTTATTCAACTCACCTTCGAGAAGGCTACGGATGAGGCCCACTGGGCCCCAATGTACGCCAAATTCTGCAAACGGATGCTTGAGAGCATGAGCCCAGAGATCAAGGACGAGAGCATCCATGACAAGAATGGTAACGTGGTTACTGGTGGCAGTCTTTTCCGCAAGTACCTCCTCAACCGCTGTCAGGAAGAATTCGAACGGGGATGGAAGGTCAATCTGCCACCCAAACCAGAGGGTAACACGGAGGAAGCCGCCATGATGTCCGATGAATATTATGCGGCTGCTGCCGCCAAGCGTCGTGGTCTCGGTCTTGTCAAGTTCATTGGTGAACTGTACAAGTTGGGCATGTTGACGGAGCGTATTATGCACGAATGTGTTAAGAAGCTGGTCGACTATGAAGGTGTTCCTGAGGAGGCGGAAGTTGAGAGCTTGACTAGTCTCCTGCGCACCATCGGTGCCAGCTTGGACGCTTCCGAGAAGGGACACACCTTCATGGATGCTTACTTTGTCCGGATCAATATGATGATGCAGACGCCAGACCTGCCAAGTCGATTGAGGTTTATGCTCATGGTATGTATTAGATTTATTGTTTCCACGAAACGTAGATGCTAACCTTCTCACCTTGCAGGACATTATCGACCTCCGCGCAGCGCGCTGGATGTCTAAGGACGCTGATAAAGGTCCCAAGACTATCCATGAGATCAGAGAAGAGGTATGGAAACATGTAGCCCTATCATTCGTTATACCTTTACTAATTTCTTTTCCTGCAGGCTGCACGTGCCCAACAAGAGGCTGAGATGGAACGTCTGCGTCAACAGACCAACCGTGGCGGTCGGCCTGCTATAGGTCGTGGTGATGCACGCAACTTTTCTGGTTATGGGAACCAAGTACCCCCACAGGATTTCGCCTCCAGCAAGGTTGGCAGCGATGACCTCCGTCGTCTCCGAACCACCAGGACTTCCAACCAGCCGATGTCCTTTGGACCGTCTAGCATGCTTGGATCGCGCAGCAACAGTGGCCGTAGGAACCTGGGCCCTGGTGGCAACCTGGTTCGTGGCAGCGATGATAGTGGAGCTAGCAGCCGCACTGGAACTCCTACTGGAAAGAAGGAAGAGAAGGAAGCTACATCCTCTATAAATGCATTCAGGTAAGCATTTGGCTTGTGAAACAGAAAGAATACGAAACATGCTAATCTTGTGAACCAGTGCGTTGGCTAGTTTGGAAGATATGGCCACCTCTCCTCCATCCAACCCCACCTCTCCTAGCCTAATGAAGGCTGTACCCGCAGTTGAGCGCCGACTATCGAAAACCCCGTCCAAGGATGGTGAGAACACCGCATAGATAATGGGACTGGGGAATGTACAAATGAAGAGAAGAAAAACCGAGGAAATAAGCCATTCCATACAACTGGGAAAACAAATGAACTAGATTCTATTTTATGGATTCCGGAAGCTTCTATCGCCCACGCTTGCTGTTCTTTCTCTTGTTTTTCCCTAGGTAGTCGGCTTCAACCAGTCCACGGAAGAGTTCTCATTTCGGACTGCTCGGCCAGTCGTGTGCTATTCGAATGGACACGGCATGCGGGACTTCGGACCGTATAGTGTACTATACATGATTATTCTCCTTCAAAAGCCGTGGAGGGATCGAGGGGTTGGAAAGGGAAAAAAAAACGGGGAAGACGTCGAGATATCTAGAGAATTCGGTTGGTTTTCGCAGTGTGTTATTTCTTTTTCTTTTCCTCTCTCTTTGATTTTGCATTTTATTTCAATACCCGAAGAGCAATGACAATGACGGTTGTGCTTTTTTTATGTCTCTTTTTTTCCCTCTTTTCTCCTGTTTTATCATGACTTGAAGAAAACAGCAGAGAAGAAAAAGCTACCTAGTCCTCTCGACTATTGCTTTTGCTTATTCATGTATGTAATTTTTTTTGTCTAGTTTCATTCTGATTCTGTTTCATGGAAGATGATGCTGTGCTGTTTCTTCGGAAGCCATTATTCTCTGCTCTTTTTTTTTTAATGCCATTGAATGGAATGGAAAGGCATTTGCATCTTGTCCTCGTCTGGTGTTTGTTGATTTTGATGTTTATGTTTTATGTTCATGCCTACCTACCTATGTTTGCGTTGCTTTGTTTGTCATTTCTGTATTTTTCTCTTGCTTGCTATGGATCACTTAGACCAAAAATTGCGCGTTAGGAATTCATTCATTATTCTATTCTTCTTTCCATGACATCAGCAAATATAGCATGTATGGAGTTTCCTGTTAGTGAATGCGGGGCGTCTGATAGCTGACAAGGTTGGAAATGCTTAATAGCATCGAGCGCCAGTTGTAGGGGAGACTCATAATCAGGTTCATTGTCAAGATGGTCCTCTGAGAAAAGACACTGGCAATACCTAGACTATTATGTTAGCAAGTGGTATAGAGTATTCTGTAAACCATGCACTACCAACGGTGGATTGGGCTTGCGAATACAATTGCACTGTATCACCATCTGATTTCTCTGCGTGGAGCCACCCGTTTGCCCAGATGTCTCTAAGAGCTTGTTTCAATTCTGCATTCTTATTTTGAAAGCTAGACTCTAGATCCCATCATAAGCAATAGCTTCGTTGAGGACACTGGTAGGGCCATGCTGTTGTATTATTTGTGGAGGTAGGCCTCTAGAAAAGGGGGGACCTCGTACGCTTCTGCAGAATTGTACAGGATCACTAAAGAGAGCCCTGCTTGCAGTTGACCAATAAATAGGCTGACAACTCCGTACAATGTCAGAAAGTGATCATTGTGGAAAAAAATAGGATTAGTAAGTTGGTCAGCAATACATCCAGACTCTCAACTCCAGGCAAGTTTTACCGGTACAGCATTCAGAACATGTGTGAGAGGTAAACAACCCTACATGCCCATTGCTGCTCAGGAAGAATCCTTTCTTCAAGTCTTGTGTCAGAATAGGTCTACAGTTTGGTATGATAGTTGGTGCATATCGTTCCACGACCTCATTAGCTTCATCTTCATCAAGAAACAGGCCAACAGGTTTCCAAGGCCACATGACAGTCTCCAAGGGTCTGAGCGATATCTGCTGGTCAGTATCAAAGACCAAAGGTGTTTTCACATATTTCTGCTGCTCAACGCCAGTAAAGCCCCTGGTTAGAAAGCCATAAGATGTAAAGAGAATGATGCGTGCCTGGGATATTCGATTAATGGCCTTGAATAGGTCAGCCCATAGTTCATCATCTCAATAATATTGTTGGGCTAATGACTATAAGAATCTGTACTCGTCTTGCCGTATGTTTTGCCAGTGAATTGCTTATCAACGCGCTGAGAGACCAGTGCTGGTGGAAAGCTGGAACCAGGAGAATTGAGAGTGTCTGCGGGAAAATTAGCCACAGAACATCAATGGTGTGAGACACTGACCGTAACCATGGGCATGGGATGCGAGCATTCATTAGTCTGCGTGATCTGTCAACTTGTGTTTGTTGATGGTGGCAGGGAGTGGTGTCATAATGTACAGGAAGAAGAGGATGAGGAGGGAGCAACGGGGGGTTGAGGTAGAGACAGAGATATGGTCTTGAGGACACATGAGTCCGTCATTGTGTTTGTATGGGATAAGTTCTTGAATCGATTGCCAACCGTCCTATTTCTGGGAGATGGATGGATGTCTTGTCACAATCAACAAGGGAGAGAGAGCAGCGGCATAGTAGAAGTCGGCTTGTGTTGGATCACGTGTGATTCTGCCGCTTAGGTCCGCCCTCGCTGACCTTTTCCACCACGTAGGTGTTGGATCAACTTGCTTGTATCCGCACTACTCTACGCCGTGACGCCTGACCTGCGTCCTCTGGACCGTAGGCCTTACAATTCATCAACATCAGTCGCAAGAACTCTTATATGGAGTCAGGTCACAAAGGATCTAGTCAGTGCTATACAAACTGGTGGATGCTCCCCTCTTAGGGTCTGTGATGTATCCTGTGGCCTTTCCCTGGCGAGAATTGAGATGAGTCCGCTTTGGCTAGCCAAAGTCCTGAAATTCCTTGGGCAAAACCTGACTCATTCTTGCCTTCACCAATCAATGGCTCCCACTTTTTTGCAGGTTTTCACTAGGTTATTGGCTAATCGACATAAAGGAGACCGCTAGATAACGACGTTGTTTAGAGTAGTAGCTGCTGGCACCTGCTCTTATTTTATGTCTTTCATACTTCAATTTCCTGGGTTCAAGTTCTAAGCGTCTATCTTTTCCCAATTATTTGAGTTTATGGTGTTTCCAGATCCATTGAATGGGCAATTGAATAATGCCATTTCTTGTATGAGGGTTCGACAAAAGCCAATGGGGCTATAGCCACACAACATAGGCCTGTGAAATACATATGAAGTGCTGGTGTAAAAAGTGTCGTATCGCCTAGGAAGAGGACCGGGCGATTCAGAGTCTCATCAGTCCCTGGGGGGGGGGGTTCAGTGAGGACACCGGTGTGGACTTCGCTGAGCACTGGGCGATATCTTGTTGGTTATATCCCGGCAAGTGGCCATTAGCATGATGTCTGTCTCCTCTCTTATACACTGTGCCTGGGACACGACCGTACTACTGGTATGTAGAGCCTGAGGCCCGACCTACCATGTATTTAACGATGGAGTGTCCTCCACTCTAGAATAGTCCTCCAAGGATCAAACACTGCCCTTCAAACTAGTTCTTCCATTTTCACTATGTACGGCATCCGACTAGGTCAGTTCCTTAGTATCGTCGCCTTTGAGTTCCCTCAGCCTTTAATGAGTTAGTTTCCTCGATCGTTAGACAATCTTTGGGGCATGAAGGTAGCCATTAGCTCTTCATTTCCTTGATCCCGACCAAGTTCCCTTTGGACGGAAGAACGGATGTACACTCACCTTTATGGCACTTTTTGCCTATCATGCCTGTTATGCTGTGCTTGACAGATAAGTAATGAGAAGTCTTAATCACGCCAATACTCCCATTCTGGAAAGCAAAGCTTGCTGCCTCAGAAATAGCACCTGGATAAGTCATCTTCACCGCAGAGGTCACAATAAGAACTCAGTCGAACAGATCCTCCCAAGCTCATAAATAATGTTATTTCAGTAGGGTTTTACTGAATTCAATTCACGTTTATATCTGATAGGGCCGGTTGATTAGATCCACTCAGCCCTACCCAATATCAGATCAGCGAAGAAAAGCTTGATTAAATTAAACATCGTCCAGTACAGAGTAGTAGTTTACCTCATTTACATACAGCCTTGCATGGCACCAGTCAGGTCGGCACAGATGCCTAGTATACATACATTCCTTGGATTTCTAGTCAACGCATTATCAAGACAGATATCATGCAATAATAATACAAAAATAATACAAATGTAGCTAAGTTAAGTGAACTGAAGGACAATCCGCATTCACTAGATCGCTTGCCGTTTCCGGCAACTCCCCACATTTCCAGTTTAATGTTGTTCCTGATCGGGTTTGGCGCCATGTGCCTTGCCCCATCCAGGAATAACACTAAACCAGGACGGGACGAGACGATATCACTGGAATGCTTGATAAGATACTATTGTACGCACACATAAAAGTAGATGAACATATACATATCCAAGAAATAGATACTAGGATCCTCCACTTTATGACCCAGTCTTAAAACGGAGTTCTAGTCAAGGCCATTGAGATCGACTGTAATCAAGCCCATATGACCCTGTAATGTAGCTAGCGCAGCTAACACCTCCGCCTTAAGATCATCATTCCGCTGCCCAGAAGATCTGCATCTCAGACAGACACAACTGCGCAAAGGCCCTCCCGTGTTGCGCCATAACGGTCATGTGCTTTCTGATCCAATCATCCCAATACGAAGCAAGGTGTGTTGTTTGATTACCCTTGTTAATCCAAGCTTTGTCTGTACGGTCAAGCTCTGCCAGGATGGCATTCGAAACCTGCACCCACTTATTGTGCACATTCGGGTCATTGAGGTAGAAGACATTGATGACGGTTCGAACATTGACGAGTGCATCATTACTATTACTACTACTACTACTACTTCCTGCAAGAATTACACTAAAGGGGATTTATTGTACTAGAAACAAGTACTACTACTACCTCTGGCTCTAGCAGTGCCAGTGTGCCGCCGTCTACAATAACTACAACTACAACTACGAGAAACGATCCAACAACCACCGCGACGACGACGACAGGAATTACCACGCCAACCCCGACGCAGACCGGGATGGTATTCGACTGTGACAAGTTCTACAAGATTGAGAAAGGCGACGGGTGCTACGCTATTGCAACATCGCATGGAATCACCCCCGATCAATTCGTCGAGTATAATCCGGCTGTCAAGGAGGATTGTTCTGGGCTGTGGCCTGATTATTATGTTTGTATTGGAGTTGCTGAGAGGTGATTAAGAGAGTAGCCCTACCATTACATGAAGTAATGGAATCCGATAAAATTGTATTATTATTTTTAGAACTTATTAGTGGTGTATCGATTTATATATCTTATACCGTGACATACGAAGTACTCTGTATATGGAGATAATCATTTCTTTGACATGTGGTAGCCCTAATTGACAAACTTCAAGTTGATACAACTGCGGGGCTGCCCATACTGTACTTTAATATAAATAAAGATAGACTCCCTCCCCCCGCCTCCAGCTCTTTGACTACTGCATCTACTTATCATTGACTCTTACTTTGAATCTTCACAATGACCACCCGTTAGAAGACCACCCAACAGCCTCCGTCCAACCACTCCACCAGACCCAACACTCACTACCCGCCCAGTCCCCAGAACCCGCACCTTCAACCCAAACTCCTACGGCCCCGGCGCAGCGCCCAATATCATCAACCTCTTCCGCAACCCCGAAGATGTCCGCGCACAATCCGACCCGACAACGTATCTCAACCCCCTAGACGCAGAGTACTCCCACATCCTCCCGGACGGAATCTAACGACTCCTCAAAGTCGCAGACCACAAAACCATATTTGATGAAAACGATGATGAGATATTAGGCACTGATCCAACATGGCGATTTTACGCGTTCCTTGTGGACTACGACCCGGATACGCTGGGGAGGATACCCACAGCAATACATAACTTAATCGAGGTAACGCGTCGGGATATCAGGGCGCAGTCAACAACGGCATACACGGAGGAAGCTATGCGTCGATTCAAAATTGACGTCCTGCAGGATCAAGACGCTCTTGGAGGTGCATCGGATCGCATAAGGGAGGAATTCAGGGCTTATCTGCGCGGATTGCATCAGCTTGGTGAGGATGGGGTGATCCATGGCGCTGTGCGGAATTATGCGTGTTTGGTGCTTGATCGGTCTGTTGTTTGTGTATTAGCCGATCTGACATTTCCTGATGACTCCGATGATGACCATCTGAGGGAGGAGGAGGATTGGCGGCTGTTTCGTGAGATTACAATTAAGCTTGTGGATGCCTGGTGGGAGAGACCGGTGACGAATGCCTCGGCTTACCGCGGCGTGGATCGTTCAACGGTCCGATTACTTCTCTCGTCTACTTTTACAGGGAGGTCTCCACGGGTGCGAATAGTGGTGCCATGCAGGATTTGTGGCGGCTGACGAAGCCGCTGGAGAACTTGTTCGAGATATGATGTACAGGAAAGTCTGGTTCTGGCACAACGCGTACAAGTGTATCATGACAACTTGGACTTCATATGTAAACAAAGCTCATTGGCCTCTTCTGTCTAGTCCCTGTCCCTGCGCCACGAATCTCCAATCCCACCTCATCTCCCCCGTCGACCACCGCGATTACGGCCTCCTCCAAAGCCCGGTCTTTCCGGTCCATTATCAACAAACACGTCGGTTTCCTCGAACGTAATCCGTCTCATCCGTTATGCGATGGAGAGAATGTACCTTGTCCCTTTTTGCGGCAAGCCGGATTTTCCGCGTCCGCGTACCGAGGTTAGTGCCGCAGATGTTCCCATGGGGTACAATGCTGCGAATGTCATGAATCTGAGATTGAACCTGTTAATTCTTTCGAGTGCTCATCCAGGATGTTGATGTCAAAGAGGCAAGAAACGAGGGGGAATCTTGGGTTGTGAAACATCTTGCCTTATTTATAGAGACCGACACCAACAAGAGGACCGACCCTCTTGATTAATCTATGTACTAGTGTCTACGGGATGGCGCAGTCCGCAGATGTACCCACTGAGCATCAGAATGGCTCTGATTGGCTTCTGTAATAGTGTCTGCGGATCTTCAACCACAGTCTACCGCAGTTGTCGAAGTTCGTGGTTGCATCGCCATTGCTTCGCTGCTGTGCTTCCCCAAGAGTCTGGAGTGGATTGTGGACATCTTATAGTCAGTACTATGAAACCTCGGGCTTGCTACAGCATGCCATGAGTCGACCTTTCCATCTGTCCGAGAGATAATTGTCTGAGTCCATTCTCTAGGCAGGCTGAGGCTCGCGAGGGAAAAAGGAGCAAGCGAGGGCGGTCAGAACCAGCAGAATCTCACGTGATGCTAACAGTTACATACGTCTACGCGAGCTCCAGTTCTTCTTCTTTCCTCCTTTCTCTTCTTATGTCTGGTATTCGTTGAAAATAGTACTGAATAGCACTTGCTGCATTTTCTTCATATATTCGTAGTACCAGTCGTCACATTGACTGCTAGGATCTAAATAACCTACATGATAGCCATTTGAGCAATATTTATGAGTTCAAGGCTCATAGCAAAGCATCAAATCAATACACAGTATCATTAGCCAGCAGATAATGAATCTCTGTGACTGCTTCTGCTGATATTGGGGGCTGCAGGTTACAGTTCCAAGAGTCCCATCAAGTGGCAGCAAGCTGGTATACTACAAGGCATCCGTGGCATGCAGTATGCTCTCTCACTCCTTCACACAACCCATAACTTCACACTCTAGATGACTCCCATCCCCTAAATGACCAAAGTTGGTGGGTGTGTCTGTCTTGGATGTGCATGTGCTGTTGTTTAAGGTAGAAGCAACCCATTCCCACACTGGATGGTTCTGAGCAAGATACTTCTCCAGTGGGTACGTACGTTTTATTGCAGACCCATTGCAGTGTTCCATTGATACATAAAAGAGCTGAATCATCCACAAATCCGCGGAATGTCTCAGTAGCTATCCATGACCCTACTCCAGGGGGGAGGGTCCTTGCACTGCGTGCTCTGCATGCACCAGATATGCTCCAGGTTTACCTCAAGGGAAATGCTAGAATCCTCAGGTACAGCAAGAAAGTGGATTGACCCCCTATGTTGTTAGTGTACCTAAATAACCAGAATATTTTCATAGGTCATGCTCAGATGTACTCAGTTAGCAGGAGGTAAGCACCAAAATCGAAAGGGAAAGCCTTTGACCTGTTGAGAAAAAAAATCTGCATGAGTTATTCAGTATGGAGTTGTAGCTGTGAACTATGAAGACATACAGGATCCTAGCATTCACTCATTCTCTACTCAACGTCAACAGTTGTATGTAGTACATACACCTCTATGAATGATATCAGTCATCCAAAATCCTCTAGCTAAGTAAGCCTCGAATTGACTGACACTAGTTTTTTTTTTTTTTTTTTCAGAATAGTGAGCTGGCTATTATAACATAGTCATCTTGGTGGCAGCAGTAGTAGTAGCTGACAAGGAGGTTTCTCCAGGATAGGGTGGAGAATCTCCATGTGAGACTTTTATGTGAGCCAGGACAATGTTGTGTTGGCTGGTTAGGACTTAGAAGTATGCCTCGTGACACTTGCGTTTCTCTGGGAGGCTGGAAGGCAGTTATATAAACCCGTGATGAACTATAAGGGCATGTTCATTTTGGTTGAGTTAGCCATACTAATAGAGACCAAAGACTAATGAAAGCAGAAGTACATGTCTGATTCTTCACTTCTAGTAGAGTATTAAAAGCCTATGTGGACCAAACCATGAACGAGAAGAAAAGAAGAAAGTGGCTCCATGTTCATGCAGAATGCAACTGAATAGGGGAAATGGAGAATAGATGGTTAGCACGGAAGGCCGCGAAACACCCCTCGACTCCATGAAAACCAGAACACCGCTCCTTTCCAGGGCATTAAAATGAAGTCAGACCGTAACTAAAGAAACCTCCCAGAGAAAGAAACCTTGAGACTCCATCGTACGTCTTGGTATGTGGCATCCATGACCACGGTTCTGCCAACCGGTCTCTAGTTCAAAAAATAGTGCGTCATGTGTTTGTTTACCACCGAAAGAGTAAAAAACAACGATCCATCACTTGCTCGTTTCGTCATCCGATGCATCCTTGGTAACTATAGTCGGTATGCTCAACTTAGGCTGTGTATCATCACGTTCCGGAGACTGGGCTTAATTCCTCAACTGCCAGCTCAGCATGTTGTACACTTGACGTATCCGGACGTAAGGTAGAAGAGTTGCTAGCAGTGGAATCGTTGGTCTTCACCGGTGAGAGATCATGGCCAAGAGAGCCCAAGGGGGTTCCGGCACTCTCGCTATCGGTGAGCTCCGGGCTGTCGAAATCTCCTGAGGTATGGGCCTGCTTCACCGCTTCGTCCAGGGAATCCCACATCACTGACGAAGTTGGTTCGTGTTCGTCGTGAGGGCTACTGCTCTTTTCAGACACCGATGCCACCGAGACGGAGCTCCGAGAGCGAAAATAAGACGGCGACAACCCCAGAGCTTCAGCTACGGCTGCCTCCTCGTCGGGAAGTATGGTGAGACTGCTGTCGGTGCCAGAGCTGGCGTCAAAGAACCGGCTGCCCCGGCGTTCACTCATTTCCAGGATTTGGTTGTAGCTGCGCCTTGTTGGATCCGCAAGACGCTTCTGCTTCTTCTTCTCGCGTTTCAAAGATGGACGGACCACGGTAACGGGAATCGGGGAATGCTGGAGACAGTACTTGGAGACGGAACCCGGGAGGAGTCCCTGCATGCCGTTCAGATTCCGACCCCTGGTCCCAACGACGAGAATAGAGGGCTCGTAGATTTGGATCTATTCACCGTCAGCCAAAGTTATATATATATATATTTGTATAGGGAGAGAGAAGGGCACACCATGCGTTGGATAATTTCCTGAACCTTACCGACGGCCAGTTCGAGGACCAGACTGATGGCCTTTTCATCCTGCCTGTTCTTCCGAATGACCTGTTCAAACAGCTTTTGGGCCTCCTGGCGGTACTTCTTGCCCTCGATGTTGGCATCACTCGCGATTCTCGAGTCCTTATCTACGACGCGGAGACAGACTACTTCATCGCCATCACAGACCAGGTCATCCATGAGCCATTCCAGGGCAAAGTCGGAGTATTCATTGGCATCGGTGCCGACCAGAAAGGTCCTACTGCGACGGGTAGACTGGTAGCCCTTGTGCTTGTAATTCAAGGTCAGGGAGAAATCGGCCGCGTTACGGTTGTCGAAGGTATCAAAAGAGACGCCACGCTCGTAGGTACTATTTTCGAGGTTAATGCGAGAATAGCACGGAAACAGAAAATAAGAGACTCACCTAGGCGGCGGAGGAGACGCGATCCTGGCCGGTCTATGTGGATTGTCTCGACCATCGGCGGACACGATGGAATTCGCGGTTGAGCTCGCAGGACGAGAGGGCAGGTCGGTGTCGGAAGCGCTTACTTTGAACTGGATGGATCTGCTTCGGATGTGCGAGCGAACGCCGACTCCGATGGACGAGCGTTTGCTAGGTGAGCGGGACAGACGCGAGTTGTCGGAGCCCGTTTTAGGAGCCGCGGCGGCAGGAGGTGCAGCGCCGGGCTTTGGGGGGAACATCGTCGAGGGGTATGTGCAGCACGGCGGGGTTTGTTTGGTTGGGTTGAAATGGAGAGAGGGGCAGCAGCTTCCCGAGGATTTGAAGCAGGTTTCGGGCGCGTCTGCAGATGCGGCCCGATAGGAAGACTCAAGAAGAGAGGGGTAAATAATGAAAAGGATAGGCAGAAATGGCTGGAGGAGATAATTCCAGGACTAGACCGCTAGGCCTGCAACTAACCGCCCCGGAGCTCCAGGAAGGTTGGGAAGCAGAGGAGCGGATAGGTGTAGATCATGGTTCAGGAGAAGTTCTGAAGCAGAGGGAGCTGGATGGGATGACTCACAGCAGAGGTGAATGAGGGAGAATCTTCAGAGAGAAGCGAGAGAAATGAGACGATGGGGAATGGCAAATAAGGGACCTGGAGTGAAGCTGTACAAGGGCTGTATATGGCGATGTATACAGAGCACAGAGTATAGAGAAATGAGCAGTGGGCAGTGAGCAGTGAGCACAGAATGACAACTGCCACAGAGAGTACAATAATGCATAACATCACAATGCATAATCTCTGTAATGCAGTAATACCAGAACCGGCAATCGGCATGCTATCTCCGACTGCCGGATCTCGGGGTTCTGTGCCAACGAAAAATGAGGAAAAGAGCCCTATGATGCCCGAGGATCTACATGGCCCAAGTTCTTCTGTCCACCTGATGAGAATTAATTCCTGATCGTCCCGAGGTAAGGGAGAGAGATAGGCAACGGCGTTCATTGCCTAGGCATTGTCGGGAGGATCAGGGGGATGAGTATCTGGAGGACAGGATCAGGAAGAGGGACATGGAGAGTCATGGAGAGTACGGTATTTACTGCCTACAGCTAGAAGGAATCACAATGAGTATATAGTTCCTATTATGCTATATGCCTTTATCCAACAGTAAATAGTAGAAATCGCTCAGTGGGTATCAGAATGTACTCGAGGCCAACAGCTCGCTCAAACAACAGAACTTTTCTTCTTTTTTTTCCTTGGTTGAAAATCAAAAAGCTTCGATCACCGCGCCCTCCGGACGCGAGACATATCGTTCCAGCAAGGCAGACTGGTCCGAATCCGGCAGTGCCAGCTTGGTCGTTCCGACAGCCTGCTTGATATCGAACGAGTTGTAGATCATCTGCGTCGGAGTCGGTGGCTGGTCCTCGTCCGACTCCTCGTCAGAATCCGAGGCCAGTTCCGGCGGGTGCTGTCGTGATGGCGTCCGCGTCAGGACAAGTTCCTCCAGATCCTCCAGATCATCTTCCTCAAACTCCGAATCGGAATCCTCATCGACTTCTTGCTCGGTCACAATGGGCCCCATAGATGGAGACGAAGAAGTACGCGTGCACGGGATGGGAGCGGAAAGAGTGTTGACCAGGAAGTCTTCCTCGTCGTAGTAAGAGTCATCGCTGACGTCCGAGTCCGCGTCGGAGATGTCCTCGAGGTTCCAGTCGTCCTCAGGGTCCTCAACAACCGATTCCCGGTGCTGGGGTTCCTCCTGGGAGGCGCCGCTGACGGTCTGGTTGAACCAGCGCTCCTGCTCGTGTTCTGCATCGGAGAGCTCGAGCATCAGGGTGTCAAGAAGATTGGCATGGCCAACAAGGAGACGCAGGTCGTGATCCGCCCGGGCAGCCTGGGTGGTGAGCTTCTTCCGGGCGGTGTGGGCGAGATAGTAGGTCTGTGTGAGACTCATTTTCTTCTGCTGTCGTCTCCGGGAGAGGTAGTCGAAGTGAGGGTTGGAAGAGCGAGGAGGGGAAGTGGAGTAGTAGGACAGTGAGGTTGACATTGTGCAGTTATGAGAGTATATATGATGTATGATGTATGAAGATGAAGCTCTGAGTCACTGACTTCGAAGTCTCTCGTATTGGCACGACCGAGGTTCACCGCCCGAACCGGTCTAGGCAAAGACAATGATGACGATGTGATGTTCGGTTTTATCAGGCAATCGATCGAGTTTTACTGTTCAGAAAGAAGGAGAGAGGGAAGAAGGGTTTTAATAATAAAACACTTGCGGTGTATCCACCGTGCTTCCTTTACTTTCTTTTTCTTTTTTTTTTTTTTTTATTGTTTTATTAATCCAGGCTGGATCAAATGCCGGGATCCGAGTACCCGTTGTAAGCCTAGTATCCGTAAAGCCGGAGCTCGCACAAACAACACCGAAATAATCATATTAAATCCATAATAATAATAAAATAATAACAACCGGATAGGCTGGAACTCCCGGTGTCCGGCTATAACCCGCCGAGTTAGTGACTCATGCCATGCAGAGAGCTTTTCCTGCTTCAGGTTTGACTTACCTCACATATGTACACCGCTTCTCCCCGCGTTGGAAAAAAGAGAAAGAGGGGAAAATATTTGATTTCACGGGAAAATGCGGCTGCAGTTGGCAAGAATCAACATGTCAGCCGGAGCTATGTCCTCAACAGGTGGCAGCTAGGAATTGGTCTGACGATGATACTCCTATGTATGACTCCTTGCTCGATATGAATCCCAACGGTTGGCCCAGAATTAGTATTTCCCAACGAGGAGAGTAACTCTGGGAGGACCCTACGGCGATCCTTGTTATTAGTATTCACACGCGCTGATCGAGCGGATACTGAGTTGATTGGCTATCCGAGTGAAAATTTCAAGGGTCCAGACCTTTAATGAGTATTAGATATTAATTAGCGTTGCTATCTAGTTACCTCGTAGTATAACTATACTATACAAAGTCGAATACTAGTTATCATGTGACGCACAACTGTTCTTTGTCATCTGCATAAGTGCATTGTAACTAACTACTCAAACTGCACATGCACAGCATCTACCGAGACACCCTGAAACTCCAAATGTGTCATGTGTGCCATCTGCAGGACAGCTCAGAGTCACAGGAGCATCGATTGGTATGTGTGGCAGTATGACAGCAGTAAGCAGTACATAACATACCTTAGGTATAGATGGAGTTTTGTCGGGGATACGAGTAATACGATATGCTGTTAAGGCTATTTATCAGACATCATAAATAGCCCTTTTCAGTATGTGTATTTACATACTGCTCTTTCCGTCCTTTCGCCGCGACTTTCCATCTCCACCGAGCCATCCATGGTTCACGTCCGACAAGTCCCGGTGAAGAGTTTTCCAACTTTCGTATGGAGTAAAAAAAAAATAAAAGTTTTCCGGTTGAAAAGCGAAAAAGCTCCTCAGCCTAATAATCATCCAGAATGCTAAATATTGGCTTGGATCCGCATCAGCCTTGTACTAGTACATATTCTCTGCGTAAGGATATACGGATGGATGAATGCTCGGAGTTAACTCTATTTGAATTTGTCAGAATACTCGATGACACGATGACATTTGCATTTGCATTCTCACTAAGCATGATCAGCCATGACAAATACAAGAAAGCCAACTAACTAACCAACTATACAATTACTAAACCAACTGTTCTTCTACCTCCCTCTCATTAGGAAGCAGAACCGCATGATCCAGCCTACACGGCAGCCCTCGATGTCTCCCGCGCACCTGCATCGCCAGAATCACCACTTTCGACCACATCCGCATTCCTCCGCTGAATGACCTCCCGCTTCCGCCGTCTCCCACCGACAGTCCGACCGTGCCGTATGCCGCGACTATCTCAAACAGCACCGCAAATAATGTAAACTGCTCCTCATGGAGTAATAGTTCCCCGCTTTTCGAAGCGTTGCCGTGGCCCGTCTGGATACGACGGCCCTCGGCCAGCGTGATGAGGAATAGCCCAAGGACGATGTACCACACATCGAAGCAGAGTTGTTCCTCTAGTAGCCTTTGGAGGTCATTATCATTCTTATTCTTATTATGCCCTTCTTCTTCTTCTTCTTCTTCGTCGTCGTCGTCGTCGTCGTCGTAGATACCTAGGCTCTTCTCTTCGTAGATGTTCGTCTTGCGCATCGTCATCGTCGTCGGGAACGCGGAGATATACATCATCACAACAAAGGAAACTTGGATCGCTGGTTGGAGCTGGGAGACGGGTGTAACTGTGAACCCAGCTGTTCGGGTCGATATCACCTGGAACATCCCAGCAATGAACCCTGGCAGTTGATTATTCTCCTCGGATCAGCTCTGGTCCATTATCCCCATATACCGAGGCTCCACTTACACCCAGAACCAACATCACAATCAAGTCCACCACATTGAGAGCCAACAGCACAAAGGCCAGTCGCCAGGTCTCATCCCTCGGAAAGAGCATCGTAAAGCACCGCCGCGGATGATCCAGAAGAAACTGCAACTCCTCCCACAGCGGACTCCGCCAGTGGCTCATCTTGGACAGCAGCCAGATCGTAAACCGGAGCATGCAAGGAAACCCTGTGTTCCCAACAACAACCAGAAAGGACATTGTCAGCAGCGGAAGCGTAGCGCCTTCAAAAGACACCATCGAACCCGGCGTCAATGTGTATCCGACGTTATGGAATGCAGAGCCAGTCGTGAAAATCGCCCACCAATACCTGTTTGCCCCGGCATCGTGGATGATCGATTCATATTCAGGATTGCGGTGCAGCCATGTAATCAAGACCAGGAAGCCAATTACGTGAAACGTCACAAGGAAGCCTGCTAGGATGAACAGGAGTGTCTTCAGCGCTCGGTATTCTATACCACCGATTCTGTCCTTCTTGGTTTCGTTCCAGTCGGAGTAGCTCACGAATGTAGAATGTAGCATCAGAGGAGGTAGATCACTGTAGAAACATGGTTCTTGTAAAAGACAATCACCGCTGGCCTCCACGTCGTCGGAAGCTAACAGTGAGTTGCCACGCTCGTGTTCGCCAGACTTCGTGAATGGCTCCGAGGGAAGGTCAAAGGCCAGAGTGGTACGATTGAGAGGTCCGGCTTCATTGCGACGTCGGCTGTCTGCCAGGCCTGCCAGTAAGGGCTGTTCCTCTTGCCCTTCCCTTTTCCCTTCATTATCGGTGTATGGAGGTTCCGGTTTCACCTCCTCAGAACCGCAGCGCTGAAGGGGTACGGAGAAGTTCAGGGCAGGTGCAATAAACCTGGCTAAGTCAGAAGACGACGTGCTGATTTGATCATCGTCGAGGCTATTCCCTCCCGGGCTGTAAAGCATCTTCTGTATCTCTCTCATTCCACTTGATGTTTCCGACAGCTGGACCATCTCCGCGCGCTTGCACGAAATACTTCCCTCGCGACTGCTCTCGAAACGGTCCACAACTGCGGTTGTCATTGTGCCATAGCTCTTTGGTCTCTTCTGGAGCGCTGGAGCCCGTCTGGTATACAGTTGGCGTTTGGCTTTCTCTTCATCCGACACGGATCGGAATCGCTTCTGGAAGTGGTAGAGTCGGGCAAGAACCAGCAGTGAATGAACAAATATAGGGTTGGTGACCAGCACAATTAGCCAGAGGATACCCTGTTGAAAAGCTCGCAGACGACTGAGATCAAGGGGGCTTATGCCAGATTGCGTAGCTGATCCAGCAGCAAAGAGTAGGCAATCAATATAATCCAACCCGCTCCATGGATATATCATGCAGGATGCAAGAAAAGTACAGAAGATGATGTAGACGTAGTGGGCTCGAACGAAGTTCAAGCGCAGTTTCGAGCCGACGGAGAATGTACACTCCAGGAATCTGTTTGGATAAGAGACAGGCATGTTGGGAATGATATGGAGGATGTGATTATAACTCCTGCTTATTCTCCCATGTCAAGAGCGTTGGACTAGATTGACGGGGGTTCTTCTGGTCTTCAGGCATCCTACCTGGAAAATTTCACTTGCAGGTTATCAACAAGCCATGCATGGACTCCCGGGTATATGAGAGAAGGTACATCAGTGAGACTGTCTTCATTATTCTTTTCCGATTCTTGACAGAAGGGGGTTGGTTTCGCATGTTGGTCAGAGAGTGAGGAGAGCAACAAAGAGGTAGTTGTAGACTGGGACATGGCGAGAGAGGCAATAAGTCAACGAATGAGACACAGTGCCTTTGTTTGCTGCCCATGGTATAATTATGCTGCAGTATCGGATCGGTAGATGGAGAAAAGAATGCAGGACATTCCAATAAATGGGCGACAAAAAGCGAATGTCGACACGAGCGAATTTTCGTACCCTGTCCAGAGGGCAACGGCAAGCCACGCTCCCATCGCTCGGGGGCTTGGACAAGGCACTGATCGACTCAGTTGACATCATAAAAGACCACTTAATGAAGCAAGGACTGATGCGGCGGTGTCGTCTTGCAGCCAGAGAGCAGGGACAGGGGAATTGAGGGCTGGCAGACTCTGGCTGTCTGGGTGGTTGGAATAAATCCCTCGCGTCCACAACAGCACCACGGTCTCTCCCTGAGGGAATTGATGCGTCAAATAGCAGGAATTGATTGGGTAAAAGTAATTCAATTCGCTTTCGCTTGTTTCCCCCAGAATGTCGACGTTGCACGGACGCGCAGCTTATGCTAATGCGAAGCTCGTCGTACGTTGTTAGTAAGGGGTATATTCCCGTCGAGAGTCAATAGACTTGGCGTCTTTGGATGTAATTTTGACTGTCGATGATATATAACACGGCGACCTCTCCTGAGACGCTGTGACTGAAATTGAGTGTCACTTCCATTGTGTTCTGGATAGACAGCATTGAATACAGCTGACTGGCTTCAGCACAGACTGAGTCAGTTGGTCTGTGATGGGATGCGCGGTCCATCTGGAGCAACACCTCCAGAGTCAAGACATTATGATCATCAGATAGTCTTTCAACAGTCCTCAGGGAACTGTCGAGATAATGATATTATTATCACCGCAAAAGGCAACCTGATCTCTTGGCGAACAGCTCGCAGACACCCTGCTACTCATCCACAACAGGAACGCCTTGCGAACTCAGCTCATCGAAAACGAGGCCAAGCAGCTGTAAGCGAATGCAACCCTCGTCACGTTCATATGTCTAATAATAATATCGAAGAATCCATCATGGAGCCAATGCCGACACCGTTGCCCGGGTAGTGTCTGCCGGAGGCTGTACCTGTGCGCACACAAAGAGCGTGTCTTAGTCGGCCCCATCAGGCTTCATAATCGCGAACTCCTCCTCCACACGGATCCTCTCCGGCAAAACTCCGGCAAAAATAACTTGTCTAGCGTTCTGATGACTGGGTCTTGGGAGAGAGCATTATAAATTTGCCATCAGCCCTCGGGGTTAGGCTTTCTTTTTCTTGTTTCGGGCTGCTGGCCACGCAACAGAATCCCTCGCCATGCTGGGCTTCAAATTGCTTGCTACGTTTGCTGCCGTCGTTGCTCCGGCACTTGGCCGGCCAACTGAGTCTAATCCCGCTAGTCTCCGAGGTAGGAGTTCGCAAGATCTTCCTGTTGTTGACCTGGGGTATGAACTTCACCAGGCCATCGCGTTAGAAGTACGTCAACAACGAGCTCGTTTGCACAAAAGATAAGCAGACACTGACGCGTGGGAAACAGTCGGGGCTCTATAACTTCAGCAATATCCGCTATGCTGCACCTCCACTGGGTAACCTTCGTTTCCGGGCCCCCGTCGCCCCAAAGACAAACCGTACTGTCATCCAGAAAGGCGATGTCGGTCGGACATGCCCTTCTGCAGATCCATTGTGGAGCACCGACATAGCTCCTGGTTTTGTTCTGGACTACCTTACCGGGAAAACTTTCAATGGGTCCGCCGATATCTCTTCTTATCCGTACGTCCCTAAGGCCCAGGATCAAAGGGCCACGGAAGATTGTCTTTTCCTGGATGTTGTGACGCCAAAGAGTATTTTTGACAGCAACAAGAAGGCACCCGTGCTGGTGTGGATCTATGGTGGTGGCTATGTCGGCGGCGACAAGAGCAGCTCAAATGCGACCGGGTTGATTAAGCGCAGTTTTACTAATGGCGGGAAAGGGATTGTCTATGTCGCGATAAATTATCGGGTAAGTCTCTCTCTGAAGTGTTCACAGGGAGCAATGCGGACTAACTGGACTTTACAGTTGGGCGCATTCGGCTGGCTCGCTGGAAAAGACCTGCAAGCCGACGGTGTCGCCAATGCGGCGTTGTACGACCAGCGATTCGCCCTGGAATGGGTGAAGAAGAACATTCACCTGTTCGGCGGTGATCCAGAAAACATCACAGTCATGGGTGAGTCGGCAGGTGGAGGATCCATCCTGCACCAGATCACCTCGTATGGGGGCAACGATGGACCCTTGCCCTTCCGAAGAGCCATCTTGCAGAGTCCCGGCTGGCTCCCTGTACCACATCAAGACCAGCAAGACGAGACGCTACAGCAATTCCTCCAGCTTCTCAACGTCTCCACGATCCAGCAGGCCCGAAGACTCCCGTCCAGCAAACTAATCGCCGCCAATGCGTACCAGGTAGCCACCAAGTCTGCTTACGGCAGCTTCACGTACGGACCGGTCGTCGACGGACTCTTTGTCCCCCAGCCGCCGGGCCAGATGCTCATCGGCGGACAATTCCATCATGACGTGGAAATCTTGGTGGGCCATAATGCCGACGAAGGCATCCTGTTTACCTCACCAGATGACAGGGTCCAAGACGCCTTTATCCAGAGCATCCAGGCCCTACTGGACGACATCATCCCGGGCATGATCGACTATATGCTGAGCTACCTGTACCCGCCCGTCTTCGACGGAAGACACGGGTACAAGGATAACATCGGCCGCGCCTCGCAAGTGATCGCCGACGTCGCCTTCCAGTGCAACACGGATTACTTGAACCGGGCCTTTGACAACCACACGTACTCGTACATGTTCAGCGTCCCACCGGCTTTCCATGGCCAGGATGTGTCATACACGTTCTACAACAAGCCCAGCAACTCTTCTTCTTCCTCTTCCTCCGTTGCGAGTGTGGAGGTTGCATACGCCCTGCAGGACTACATCACTAGTTTTGTGCAGACTGGCGTCCCGAAATCACCACTAGGACCGGCGGTGTTCCCTGTACATGGATCGGATGCTCAATTGGTGAATCTGGCACCGGCGAACATCACTATTATCAGGGACCCAACGGCCAACCCGAGGTGTACATGGTGGGAGAGCACATCCTACTAGTACTAGGTAAGGTGGTGAGAGTGCGCATTTTATAATCTCGACCATAATCTCCACGGTATGAGGGCGATTCTGTACGATTAATATGTCCGACTTTATTGTTGTAATGAGTAGTACATACGTGTATTATGTTGGTGATACTGTTGGAATCGGGAAATGGGATTTGATCTTCCTGACAGTTTATTTTCCCTATTTTGTGTAAAATGGTTATGCAGCAGTTTGAAGCAACTGGATTGCTTTAGAGCCATCTCTTCTGTCTAGACTGCTGGAAGCGATGTAAATAGGAGGGGTATCACGTGAATTTATACCCGTAGCCCTGGTTACTTATCATTCTTCAGCTGTCAATGATAGAACGCAACTACAGCAGGAGTACCTACGTATCCATCGTTATAATTATCTGGATTGGAACTCATTCTTGCAAAGAAGCTCCTGTATCCTCTTGTTCTCTCGTATATACCTAGCTCTCCATAGAATCAATTTTCAACGATGATCTCGTATGGCACATATCATGAGCTAGCTCCAAAGAATCAAGATGGCCCACTTGCAATAGTCCATGACTCCATATATTATGATTTGATCCACTAGTCTAATATCATGTGATTCATTCATTCTCCATATTATTCCTGATGATACCAGGTATGCGTTTAATTCAGCAGTGCTTGTTTCCATTTGGTATTTGTGTCACGGAACTCAACTAGACGATAAATAGGATGCTATTCAGCTATCTAGGCAGCTATCGACGAGAACTTCAAGCATGGAGAGGAAGGAAAAAGGGAGAGATCTACGTGAAGCTAGACGACGTATTCCTATCCACGCACCACGCTAATCCAAATAAGGAAACTCACGTGCTCGTCCTGGTCTACATGGTAAGGGCCCTGACAATTTGCAGTCATGCCCCTCCATCTCTGAAAATGTGAATGGATAGAGAGCATCATTTCGAAGGTGAGCAGGGAAATAAAATCACATGGAGCTTACGGAACATACTAGGTGTATGAATGTCAGTCTCACGTGTTGACATGTTTAGGACAAATCCATATTGAAGACATACCCCACAGAAACAAACCCAACCTCTTACACAAGAGACCGACCCAGAAACTCCGCACCAGTTTGATATACCTGATGCTATGTACTATTCAGTTATACTCTATGCTCCGACTGTATGTGGCGATAATTGGTGTAGTGAATCCTACGCTTGGTCAGGGGAATCGACACAGAATAGAGAGAACTAAGTAGTTAACTTGACTGAGTGAGCGAACTCATTGACTTAGTTGGGGGACAAAACAATGATAGATACATGCGACTTATAACTAGGCAAGCCCCTGACTAATGGAATATCATTATTCCATACCGAGCATCCTAACCATATTCATATCAATTGGACAAACCAACCGACTCATAATTACCAAGGAAGAATATAACCAATCTCCCGGAAAGGCTCGACACCATGACCATGGCATAAATCATGATCACCTGAAAGTCATGGCCTTGTGGGAACTTGCAAATCAGCCCGTAGCATATTAGTTAACAATCTGCAAACAGGCCGATTGGGGTTGCAAAGGGTCATGGAGGATATGGAAGTTTGCCGAACTCGCCACGAGACGGTCATGGTTATGGTCCAGTTGACCTTGGAAGCCTGCAGGAACTAGGTATGCGATACTAGATGTGTTCGAGAATAGCTATAGTGGTTCCACAGGTAGCACTAAGATGTCGGTAGGTCTTACTTGTATAGAGGTCGTCGGATAGCCACGTGATTGGTATACCCCATTGCCGCTTGCAAGATTGCGGCGTGTCTTCTGCAAGATTGCAGTTTGGCGCTTTGCAGATTGCAGCTGGAGTCTCCATCACACAGGCAAACCTAAAACTTCCGAACGCGTCTAAAGGGATGGTTGTGACGTCACCGCGTGCATATATGAGCTGAAAGTCAAACATAGATAAGCTCGGGCCTATTCTGGCTTGCAGTTCTAACTACGTGACACATGATGGATAGACTGGCAGAGAAATGGAGGTCTATCATTGTTTCTCTCCCTCTATTGATATAGAGCTGTCTCCTCTGCAGTTGCTCAGTAAAGTGCAGAAGTCTAGACTTCGGGTTTAGGGCTGGGATGACTTGCAGCGGCCAAGAGCCGGAGCAGCCGGACAAATCCGCCGGGTCCAATGGAAGCTACGGAGCCGCAGACGACGCACCCACGCAAAATGCCGAGGCCCGCACGTGGCCCACTATCACTGACTAAGCGCCCTGCGCAACTTGCCCGAACAGGCAACCCGATATTCGGCTTGCTGAAGACTGCACGCCCGATAAGAATATGTCTCATTGCCAGTGCCAATAATACCTATGCAACACCCAACCTAGCTAAAAAAGAAAAAAAAAAAGACGCAAAAAACTCCCCCACCACTCTAACGATGAGAACTCCGGCTAAAGTCTATCCAGTTCCATGAAGGCGGGATTTTAGGATCCTGAGCAGGCGCGTACGTCTGCGCCGTAGCCGTCGTAGTCGGTGGCGGCTGTCGGATCGTATAGTCCGGCACCCCGGTGGGCCTCGGTGTCGTAGTGGCATACCCCTGCAGAAGGGGCGTCTGATACGTCTGACTTGGATACAAGGCCGTCGCCTGCGAATACGCGTCCATCTGGCGCACCATCCGACCGTCCACATCGTACAGGTTTCGTGCTCCATAATCCATCGACGTCCGTGATCGCTTCACCGGCCCTCCGTAGTATGTGTAGTCTCGCCCGGTGGCTGGGTAGCCTCCAAATACGGACCCGGGCATCTGCAGAGATGTTCGATCTGGGGACCGAGGAGGGAGCGGTTGGGGGAAGTCTTCAGGCCGTGGACCGGCCCGTTTCCTTGTTCACTGTCAGTGGGACGGTGGAATGCTACGGGGAAGGCAGCAGAAAGAAGCAGCAAGGAGACAACGAGGAGATGGGTTCTCAACTTACATTACTGTCCGGGGTTCTTTTCGGATTCTCAACTTGACACCCTGGTCTGCGAAGGATCTGGACAGGAAAGTCGACTCTGCCATTCCTGGGAAACTTTTAGGAGGTGATACTGTGACCTGTCAGTACAATTGCAATCAAATTAGAAAAGCCACAGTGGGCTATCGTCTTACCAGTAAACCGATCAGAGAGTATGGATTTTAAATATGTAACGTAGTCCCTGCTCGTTACGGTATCAGCTTCTGGTCTCTTTTCTTCCTTCTTTTTTGTCTTTCCCAGAGGATCTCCAAAAGAGACTAAAAGATGGTGCCTTACTTTCGTATCTCGAACAAAGCAAATTTCAGTCGAAACTCCCCTTCGATCTTAACAGACAGATCTCCAAAGACGAAAAACCCGCCATCTGAGGGCTTGCGTTAGTCCGAATGGAATTGAAGGGACATCATACGCGCCAACATCCTCCGTAGGGATTCTCCTTCCTTTTTCTTCTTCTCTTTTTCACAGGGGCGGACTTACCAGTGTTGTCCACATCCTTCAGTCGATGAAGAGAAGAAACCAACGTCCCCGCAAGAGCCGTAGACGGTGCGACAGGCACTGGGCGGTCCTCTGTTGGATCATAGAGACTGCAGCACATAAAAAAGTACGGACTCTGAAGGTAGTGCCTAATTCTCCGTCTCAGCTATCTATCTCAACAGAAAACGCAATGGCCTGCACTACTTACTGCGCGAGGTAACTGTTCTCCTCTCTCACCCGGACCTGCACGATCGGTGGCGGGTCAACCGGCTTCCGCTCTGTAAGGCAGGTTCCCGTCAACGTGTACACTCCTTGGGAAGTCGCAGATTCAAATTTTGAGACTTACCTTTCTCCTTTCCCCCAGCAACCCGCGCCCGGTCGGGCTGCTGGCGAATGATCAACTCAAAGTCAGAACTGGTGAAGGAAGAAGTTGTCAGCAAAAGAGAAAGGCACAAGATCTCGAAGTCCAGAAGGGGACAAGAGGGAAAGCGCGTCACAAAAACCAACCTTTCAGAATCCCGAGCAATGGTGGTGTCTGGGAACGTCGACGCATTCATCAAGGCGAAAGATGATCTTGCGCTTGAGGAAAGCAAAGGAGAACCAAAGGATCCAACGCTCGGCGTATCCACGATCAACAACTCAATGAACCACGAACGAAGAAGATAGTCAGGTTCAGAAGCGAAGAGACTGTGATGAGAAAGCTTTTGCACAACGGCCACCCAAGAAGAGGAATCGACTGACAACCCCCCCCTGCAGCTTAAGGATAACTGATAGAACTCCAACGGTACTGGTTTGACGACACTTGGGTCAGATAGACAGCAACGAAGGATTCACTCTAGTGGGGTAGTGAAGGAATGGAGAGTTCCTTTTCTCGATAAAACAAGAGGATTGACAGGAGATCAACCACTACCACAGGTGGAGATTCCCGCAGAAAGAATAAATTCGGTTCGTTCTTCCTAAATTTTTTTGCAACTTTTTCTCTGCTTCCAGACGGTGATCTTTGACGAAATTTTCCCCTTCCTTTTTTGCACACGGTTTCCTCTCCGCAGCAGCCGATGACGGAAGGTTGATGGAGATGAATGAAATCGTTGAGTTGAGAGTTTGGTTGAGAGGACGGGAACCGATAGAAATTAATGAGGGTGTCGTCAGAGTCGAACCCAGGCGGCAAGAACCCACCGAGTACGGCCTGGGAGGCCACAAGACGACAAATGGATTAGGAGAGAGGGGGTTCCAGAACAACAGACACTGATTGGAAAGTTTAAAAAAATAAATAATAATAATAGAGAAAACGGAAATGTAATCATCTTTTATGAAGAAAGGGAAAAAATGCAGGTCACTCCACTTGTTTCACATTCGAGATCTAAAATGGTAAATGGGAGGCAAAAAGGAATAGAGAGAAGGGCAGCCAAGGCAGGACTCTGAATGAACAGCCACTCTGCGAGGAAACGGCAAAGCTAATTTTCCTGCTCTGCGCCTCCCTCTCCTTCGATCGTACCTTACATGAAGATTACACTCGTGAGGATCCGAAGGAGCGAGGGGGAGGGGAGATAGGGCATGTTGTCATAGGCAAGCGAGGGGAGAGTGTATGACGGAGTATATGCATAGATTGAAAGATGCAGTAATATTCAGCGGTGCATTACCGGGCAAATGTATCAGGATTTGCGTCTCGAATGCTCCGATGACAACGGCGACAAAGACGTGCAGGTGATGCGCACATGAGTTGACCGTGACAGAATAAGGACAGAGTATCGTCAGTCCAGTTTCAACCTCGAAGCATCATCCTGGTACCAAGCTGCATGTTCTCGCTGCATGCCCGAGCCATCGCGTGGTTAATAAAGTAGGCCCGCATGCACCTGTCATCCACCTTACCTTGTCTTTAGGCCCCAGTCTAGCCAGCTCATAATCGCGTTCGCGGCAAAAACTAGCTAATCATCTCTGTTCATGCAGTCCTATTCTCTGCGGAGTTTGGAATCGGCTATGCAGGTGACTGGTCCATAAGTCCAAGCGTCCTGCAGGGTCTTTTCTCTCCCAAACTTTGTAAAGCGCGTTTAGCATCTCAGTTCCGAAATCAAACTGTGGTAACCTAAAAGTCGGTTCGTATATAATACTAAACCTTGCGCACCACCCGCTCTGGTCGATTTTTCCTCCCTCTCCCGCTTCCCCCTTTTCCCTGGAGCGACCATACCATAAGTTATCGCACAGGGTTAATAAACGTACACATCACATTTTTCTTTTCTTATGTCATCCGGATCTTTCCATGTCCAGAAACGCGGAATGACAGTTCCGTGTGACCTCATAGGGCAGATAGACGCCTAATGGTAGAGTAAAGGATAAATCCTGGATTAATGAGCGAGAAAAAACGGTGATGACGGAAATTGATAAATTTTTTCTCGTCCAGGGCGGTTGCGTTTGATATCACGGCAGCTTTAAATCGTGAATCGCCTGATATGAGCGATCGCTTTCTTCTCCAGCCTGTTTACATGCCCTTCCGCAAACTCAGCCTGATCACCCATTCGAACATCCCGGGATTGACCTCCTATCGCCTTTTGCGGCATTTAGAGGCACATAATTCTCTTTTTGTGGCGCCGGGAGTGATTCTGCTGGAAGCGAGGGCGGGATTTGTCCAAGACACCGAGATTCGAGATGACAATGCCCGCCCTCCCTTGGACACAACAATCCATTCCAGGATACTCTTGAACGTGATATAGGGAGCTTCAAGTTGGCTCAAAAAATCTCTTCCCCATGTTCACTTCACGAAATCGCTTCTGTACGGGGTTTTCGTGGAGGGGCCCGGCAGTCCTGGTGGATATATGCTGAATGGGGAAGACACGGAACATGGAATTGACACGATGGAATGGACATGCTTGGTTCGAAGGATTCGCAAAGAATATGCCTCCCCATTTCAGGGTTCGAGTTAATCACAATGCCCCATGGCTTGTGACGCAGGAATCGGTTCTCTTCAGAATCATCTTCAGGGGGTTTGTCTCGACGGCACGGACGCTGAAGCCTTTTCCCACACGACAGGAATGCCATTGTACTGGCTGTGGGGTATATCCGTCAGCTCTGGCGGTTCATCGTTCGGATCCATCATCGAGCCAATTGGAGGTCCTATTGAACGTAGTAGGATCGTCTCTGCGAATAATTATGAGGAAGTGACCATTCAGACCGACTGTTTCTCGACAAAATGGTTAAATTTCGTGTCGACTTCTGCTGGCTGGAAGCTCCAACGGTGCAGAGAGTCAAGTCAGCTGCAGTAACGCGCCCAATCAGTATACGCAGGAGAGGACAAGGCAAATCCTGGTGTCTTGTTGGTGTTTTTGGATAACGCGCTCTCAATGAAGTACAATGAGATGCAAGAGAAAATGAGGATTAACCGACAGATAACAGAGCAGAAAAGAAGCAGAAGGAATGGTGTATGAGGAAGAGGGTGACGGAGGAGGGAGAGGGAGAAGAGAAAGAGAAAGAGAAAGAGAGAGAGGGTTGAGAGTGAGTGGGTGACTGAAGAGAGGGGAAGAGAAAAAGGAACCTTAAAAAAACCGTACTGTACAGCGTGCATGCGCGATTTCTGCAAAGACCCCTGATAATAACCGACAGACCTTGCGCTGGACTAGCAGAATAATGCTCCGTACGGCGACTGCGTTCCGACTGCTGATCTCCTCCGACCATCAGAAGCGATGTCCCCCATGATACAGGTATGGCGTGGGACTTGGGGGAACCGGGCAAGGGTTGAGTTGATAGACGAGACCCTACACTGTTAATTACTTCCAGAGGAACTGATTGCACAATGCTCAGAGCGTTCTTCTCCCGATCCACCTTTGCTGAGCTGGCACGCCTAGACAGACAAGAAGGAAACGCACAGCCCGCATTTTATTCATTCCAATTTACTTCCCTTTCAGGGACTATTATTCTGCGGAGGGTTTCTAATCAACTGCATCCAGCGAGTGGCAGGTATTGTACTGTACAGTATTTACCAGTACAAGGTTTCCAGCTGGTTGCAGGGCATCTGTGCCTATGGAAGAGAGTGAACACAACGAAATGAATTGACTGACTGAATATTTCCCGTTATATCATGTTGTGCTTGGGTCTGGCAGAGTGGTTGAGGAAGTGTTTGCGGGCAACTCTCTAACCGACCCCTACGGTAACCTTCGGGGTCGCGCGTATTGCGCGACCCTGACAACCACCCGAGCACCCCAGCCACCCGAGCACCAATTTTAGACCCCCCTTCTAGCTTCAATATCTCAACGAATTCTATAGTATTTAACTTCAAAATATATTTAAACTAAAGCTCTACTCTTCAGCTTGGGCCCTAGCATGTCGTTGCCTTCGTATAATAATTCCTCGTCGAATGCATACATCCAGCAGCTCTGGTAGGCAACGCTTATACTTAGTCCTCCACCTCTTTATTTCAGCCTGCTCATTAATATTCGCAGTATTTCGATTTATAGCTTCAAGCTCTGAGCTTGATACTATGCCTCCCTTGCGAATCCTGCGCCTAGAGGCCTGTGATCAAGCTGCGCGGTCCCTAGCAGCTTTAATATACCGGTCAAGCTCAGCTTCGATAGCAGCTGAATATGATGCTAGCATACTACCACCATGAATAAGCAGCTCTAGGCCCTCATTAAATTGATCCTTGTTGATATCATGAATCTCCCATATCCTATCACCAATCTCCCTAAATCATTCAGCTTTTTTTTGGCGTACTGCCCCAGGAATCAACATCATTGGTATTGGTGGATGAAGAGGATGGATGATGTGGTTGAGGCATTTGATTGAGTACAATTGATGGATTGAATGGTATGATGCCAGTCTTTTGGAATCCATGCCGAATAGTACGCTTTTTGAATGTCTTCTTGCGAATTGCCCCTAAGGCATGAAGGAATTCAACCTTAGTAAATTTACTGTATTCTGAGTAGGTTGCATCTGCAACTGCTTCTGAATGCCAGTGCTTATATGCATGAAAAACACCAACATCCAATGGCTGCAAGAAATGACTTGTATATGGAGGTAAGAAGAAGGTGATGATATTGGTCTTCTCACAGAATTCAACAAATTCATGTGTTAGATGGGAGCCGTATCCATCACATATAAGAAGGGTATATTGACCCTTCCTATATCTTTTAGTATGCCGATAGAATGACTGAATCCATTGGAAGGCAATTGTATCAGTCATATAGCCATTTTCTGATACTCCAATTGAATAGTCTTGTTGAATATCAGCAGCTTCAAACCAATTTGTAAGTATACAGCTACCACTCATGAGAATAAGTGGTGGGCAGGTCCAGCCATCTGCATTGACTGCTTCAACCACAGTAACATATTCACAGTTTGAATTCATCCCAATATGAGGCTTATTAATATTGAAGTCCCTGGTAATAATCCATTGATCACAACCAACACTGATATTGAAGCCAGTCTCATCAAAATTGTAGATATCCTCCTTTAATATCCCATGGTTCTGGATGGTCTGATGGAGCTTCTGAAACCACTCCTGAATAACCTCATGATCCTCTGCACGCTTGTGGTCAAGCTCTATAGCTCTAGAGCGACGTCTTTTATATTCAGGATGCCTTCCTAGCCATCAGTTTAACCATTTCTCGCTGACAGTAGGTGGAGGGGTGTCTAGGCTGGTATGGGTTGATCTCAGAATAGAATTGGCACTTGATTGGATCATTTGTGCAAGTGGCTTTATATTTAATTGCTCTAGAGTATCAACATAGTGACACAGAGCCTTTTCTTGCTCTTCTGATAATCTGGTGTTGGTTGGTGGTCGTTCACATAGATTGGACCGTCCCTTCCACCTTGCGGAGAGGGTTTGCCGTTTAACTCCATATTCACGTGCAGTTTTGGCGATATTTGGGGGATTTTGTGTGCTTAACGCGTCAATAGCTTTGAGCATTCGATCTTCATAATTTTTATTGAATTTGGGCATGGTGGTGGTGGTTGAATTATATGATAAAGTTGATGGGTTGGAATTCTACGAAGTTCTAAAATCGGTGCTCGGGTGGCTGGGGTGCTCGGGTGGTTGTCAGGGTCGCGCAATACGCGCGACCCCGAAGGTTACCGTAGGGGTCGGTTACGGAGCACCAGGCAAAAAAAAAAAAAAAAAAAAGAAAAAGAAGGGGGAAAGGACCGACTATTGTTGACGCATACGTATTTATATATACAAAGCCAAAACGGTGGCCGGAGACGGAGCGCAGTTAGTGGAGAAGTCTGTATGACGACGGCACACAGACTATTATAGGGATTATAATTGCATTGCAGCTGTGAGCTGTCAGTTGAGAGCGATGCTGTCCAAGGAATCAGGCATTCTAGACGTGTTCTAGTCTAAAATAGACGATTTATGCTTAATTGCCAGGACCTGTTGATCACGCCAGTTTCCATGTCTTGCGGCGGGTTTGGATCCATGGTCTGCTGCTGCACTGGTGCCCACCTGTTTTCGTGTTGTTTTTCTTTTTTTCTTTTTTTTTCTTTTGTTTTTTTGGGTTTGCGCCATGTGGCTTTCTGCAGCTGACTAAGTACTGTTGGATCACGTGGAATTCTGCCGCATAGGTCCGCCCTCGCTGACACCACGTAGGCCTATCTAGCTAGTAACCAACGAACGATACACCTCCATTAAGTACTGATGGCTCTGTCACGTGGTATTTTACACGTGATATGCTCTGTGCTCTCATCTACTCTACTACTGTCAAGTTTCAACTCCGTCAACAGGCTCCATTCCTCACTATAAACGCTTGCTGGTACACAGCTGCAGACAACAGCAACAACAACGCCCCAAGTCCAAAAGTCGTAAACATAACTGACATTACCATCCCTAGCCCGGAAACTCCCTGCGAAAGAGAAACAAATAAGGCACAAGGTAAAAATAGGAAACAACCACGGCCCTGAGCAGTAAGAATAAGAACAACATGAATAAATGTCCCGTACTCCATGTGTCAATCCTGGGTCTCATCCTCGGAGAGACCCCCGTCCTATGTCTCCGCCATTACCGTATTTCCATCCGCCTGGATCTGTGTTTTGTCACTATTCATGTGCAGGTCCGCGTCTGCATCCATGTCATGTCTCTTCTCAGGGAGAATCCCATTCTCCTCAGCCGGAATGACAACTTGGATCTTCTCCACAATGGCCGTCTTCTTTTTCACCGACCTGGAGAGTTGGGCTCGGGTCTCCGATCTTCGACCATTTGCCACAATGGGCCGGTCAGGAGTAGTAACGTTTATCCCGTCAGCAGGATTGATGTTGTTGTCAATCTCCTTGTCTTGGTCTTCTTCCAGGGAGCCCTCCCCTTCGCGTTGAAGGCTTTCGCCTCGCCCCCAGTTGCTGTCGGTATGTCGCCCATTGTTTTTGGTCAAGCCGAGGCTCTGTCCTTTCGCTTCGGTCGTCGTGTTGGTATCGAGACCCGGATCCTGCGTATTTTGCCTGTCGCGCCCATCCTCATTCTCAGCATCCGTAATAGCATTCTCCACGACCTGTTCTTCGCCGCTTAACCCATTACTCTTCACACCACCCGATTCGGCCGCAGGAGACCCTAGCAACTTTGAACTCCTTCCACGCCTGACGCTGGCAACGTTTGGTGTGCTAGTCGCTACCGTTAAGGCTGTTCCTCTCCGGGGAGTAGAGCGACCGCCCGCCCGAGATCCAGAAGGAGAGAAATAACTTCGATTCGAAGATCGGGCGCCAAATGGACGTCCAGGACGCCTTTTAGGGGGGACGGGCCCCTGGATCGGCGGCCAAATTTCGAATCGCGTAGGCGGTATTCCGGCAGCTGGGTTTATAACAGGTATGCCAGAGCCTTCAAGGATGCCCGAAACGTGGAACTCATTTGCATCGGATAGGACAGGCTCGCTGGTCTGGAGGATCGAGGTTCCATTCGCTGCCGGGAAGGTGTCCCCCACATTTTCTTTCGATTCGACTTGCTCTACAGACAAGGGCCGGGATTCCCCAATCCTCAGTTCCTTGCCCTCACCCGCTTCTTCTTTCTCTAGCTCTTCCCGCTGTGCAACGGCATGTATTGGGGCCCTGTCGAGCTGCAATTGGTTTCCTCGCCCCATTATGTACGGCGTCCAGACCAGCGCATCCGGGTTGAGTTTGACGTATCCTTTGCTCTCCCAATTGTCGATGCATTCCTTAAAATAAGCGTAGTTGAGGCGCAATGCGTACGTTTTCGTGACTGGATCTCTCACGAGCGCGCGCAAACCTTCTAGGCCAGAAACGATGTCATCTGCTGTCATCCCTGTACGCTCTGAGAGCTCAGCAATACTGAGTGGAGTTTTTTGGTTCCGCAGCTGATAAGACAGAACGAGCCGCCAGTAGTTGCGATATGATACCAAACCCATGTCCGACAGGGGTTTTTCGGGTGACCCGGTCTTGCCCTCAATACGAGTAAGTAGGTAAGAAAAATCAATGAGAAGATTCCCGTAGCCCTTCCGTTGGTGGATCGGAAGTGTTAGAATACAGGAGACGTTATTCGCCGAACTGGGCCTTTTCTCTTTGCTGAAATAGCCGACAAAATGGCAGCCCCATTCATCGTATTCAGTCATAACGTAAAATAGAAAAGGCTCAACGTCGTAGTAGAGTGTCTTGGATCCCAAGAAGAGCTTGGCAAGCAGACATAGATTCTGGCAGTAAACTGGACTTTTCCGTCCGTCAACCTCGAAGATTGAAATGGAATCATCACGGTAAATTTCATCACCGGGGGGATGTTTTGCTGGGCATTTGAGTTTATGCCGCCATGCGACAAAATCAGAGTTCATGTACTTCAAACAGAACTCGCAGATGTAAAGCACGCGGTTACGACTATACTCTTCAGGATACGGAGCAGCATACCATGTCTCGATCTCATACCCTCCAAAACTGATGTATTTAATTTTGGACGGTGGGCCTGAGACCTTCTGTGCCGCTCGCTGCATCGGTTCACCAGTCATCTCGGCCTCCCTGGTTTTCTCTTGCCACTCCTCCTCGGCCTTCTTTCGAGCTTGCTCGAATCGTTCGCGGTCAATTTGTGTGGGAAGCGTCCTGGTCGTATCCGCATCCGCTTCAGATAGTATCCCGCCGTAGGGTTTCGACTTCAAATCATCACTTTCACGATCGTGAAAAGTAGCGAACGGGGCTACATATGGTGCAGGATTTATAGGGGCAAAATGAGCTGGTGGTTCTTGTACCATTGGCGGAGGTTTGGGGTTCCTTCGGTTCCTGTTTTGCGTTCTGTTGCGGGAGGACTTGAGAATTCTCAACAGTCTGGTGCCATCAACGTGGATCGCAAGAACAAGTCTTCCAAACTGTTTGTTTATCACGCGACAATATTCCTTCTCAGCTATGCGAGTCCGCCGAGAACGAGTCCGGACTGGAGACAGGGGATCAGTGGGATCAGCAGGCCCATCCACGTTGCCGATCGCTACGTCCCCAGAAGCATCCGGTTCGGAGAGAAGAGGAGTTCGCCTTTGTCGTTTTCGAAGGACCGGAATGTGGTGTTCCTCTTCTTCAACTGAAACCTTTCTCTTTCGCAGAGATCGTGAACTATTAATCAAATCTTCATTGATGGTCACATCATTGAAAATAGAATGCCGTAATCCACGGTGTGCCGGTAGAAGTTCCTTGCGCAGGTGAGATGCTGTATCTCTCCGCCGCGATGTACTGTTCTTGCGGGGAGAACCAGTTTGCGACTTATTCTGCGTACAGTTCGGACATCGCCATTCATTTTCATCTATGTCGAAGTAAGCCTGAGAAGAAGACCGAATTCGCGCAGGTTGGGAAGGGAAGAGGAGAAGAAAAATAAAATATTCGATTTAATTCGACCAACATACCTTCACATAATGCATCATGCTCTTGTGCACATTGTCGATGAGCTGTTTTTCGTTGCCAAGTCAGCAAGGATCGCCGAAATGTCCAAGGGTATATGCTAAGCTTTTCTTCCGGGTCCGCAAATCAGACTCCACGTACAGTGATCACCACAGATGCCACAACTTAAGTATTCCTCAAATTCTTCGCTTGGATCGTGCAACTCATCCTGATTGCAAAATCTACAGTTATATCAGCATGCTGCATTTATACAATATAACACAATGTGGAAAGAGCACTTACATGCAATTGGCGCTGGCTGGGTTATCTGCCTCACCGTCCCCGTGTCGACGGCTCTCTGTTCCCCATTCTTCTTCAGCAACATCGGAACCCCGACTGCTCGAAGCAGATTCATCCTCTTTGTCACTTGGATCCTCATTTTCATAGAGTGGGTCGGCAGTATCTCCATCGGCCTGTTCAGATGCAGCGTCCTCATCTTCAGAAATATCCGGTCCATCAGGGAGCTTGACAGCACCAACTGGTTCAGATTCATCATTCTCACCATCGGCGCCCGTATCCGTTCGATGCTCTGCAGCGAGCTCATCCGCAGCCTCTTCAGCTTCTTCTCCCGAATATGCTCTATGAACAGCTTCCTGGAGCTGCTGATCCATCCGGCGCAAGTCAGTTTCTTCTGCATCTCCTATTGCATCCCGGTCACTGGCGACCACATTCGCCTGAGATTTCATCTCTTTGTCCGCATGTGTCGGCGGCACGGTTGCCACCATGGTGTACGTAACGGCAATCGCCAGGTTGGACGTGTGATTCCACTCCACTCTCCTGCAGTTCTTAAAAGATACAACCTCGTAGAATAACGCAATAGGTGAAGCTACTCATTGCTTCCCAGCTAGAAACAGGAATCACCTGGCACTGAGTGGAAGGGACATGGGAGAGTCGTGAGGCGAATGGAGATGGCGGGGGATTCTGCGCTCAGCCCAAGCGTGAGTGGGACCATATATATGCCAAAATTCGCGCTTTTAACCTTTCAATAGGTCCTCTGTATTGGATTCACTGTCCAGTGTCAGTGGAGCTAGATCTTGGATAGGCACTCTCCCAGACTGCATCGTTACGCGCGCGACTGAGGAAAAAGGAACTTACCCCTAGGTAAACAGGTAGAATACCTTCGAAATCAGAAGTAGAGACGCGTAATTCAGCAGGAAAGGCACTGCTTGCGGTCCTATTCGCGATCAAATGCGACCTGAGGCGACACCACCCCCTTCTCCTCTCCTTGTGAGGTCGTTGAGAGCTGCTGACTCATCGGGCATTGACCCCGAGATACGCTAAACCGCATTTGGCCACTAGCGATGATCGAATCGGACCCGGCCTGAACTCTCTCCCCTCGTTTCCGCTGCCATCGTCACGGCGGATTTGGTAACCTCGACGCCAATTGAACATCTCTAACGCTGTTTGGTCTTGTTTATTATCATCCAGCTCCTCCGCGCACAAAATGGGCGTCCCCTTCGAGGCTCTCATCCCCTACGGGATTGTCGTCGCAGTACGTACTAACTACACTGACGCGCCACCAACGATTCAGCATTGCCAACAACTCACTATGGAATGACAGATGATTGGTGTCACCGGAGCCGGTCTCAGTGTTGTCAAGCACTTTGCAAATGATGGCAAGAAGGCTCGGTGGAATCTTGATACTTGGGACAGGGTAAGATTTATCCACGCCGTTGAGTTTGGGACAATCCTAGCTAACATTCGAACAGCAAAGTAGGTGCTCCGCGGACCTTACAGGATGACCACCAATCCACTTCCGAGAACGTTTGACGCTAACGACTCTCAAAAATTGAAATAACAGTGATGGAAAGAGATCTGAGACTTACAGGACAGAAGCGCGGTCAATCGGGCAATGCAGTAGCCCCGAAAGGATTCGAGCTCAACAATCCATGGAAGGTACGGTTTATCACAGCTTGAGTGTGGTTGAATAATTCTGATGAATTTTTTAACAGTTGGAGAAACGGATCTATTAAGTCGCCGTTGTTGTACATTGTTTCTATTCGTCTACGTCTACGTCTCGGTAATCAATGCCAATCGCTGTTCTAAAACTTTTTCAACGGTGTCTATAAAGCCAGCCCGCAATGAAATATCAAGGTTTCTTTTAAAGACCCAGTCTAGTATCTTCCCGACTCTTCAGTATATGCACACACTCACCGGCATCTTTGTTTCATCCGTTTCGCTCCGAACCCGCACCAGAGTCTGTTTTCTTATGGGTCACTATTAATGTGAGAGTGCCATTTATACTCCTACTCTCACAGGATCCCATTCCTAGTGAGTCGAGAGGGTATAAGTCACTAAAAGCTTCATGCCAAAGACCAGAATATTTCCCGCCTTTCTCTACCGCATGAGCGTGGCTCTATTCGACAGAAGATATTTTGAAAATAAGAGACCCTAAGTCATTTTAAAAAGAGTCATCTCGTATCTGGTGATCACAGTGCCGTTGACAAGCATCCTCATATAATCAAGGCAGGTTAAATTGATCTGGGTTGGTATAGTGAACAGTCTTTCTTTCGTGGTTTCTGTGTACTTAAAGATATTCTATTAAATTCAGAAACCAGTAATGGATTCCAAAAACCAAGGAGGTTGCTATGTCAGACTTTGCAGCCTTAATGTAGCCACCTTCCATAAAACCATGATGGAGGCTATAGTTCCCGTTTCATCCCTAGCGTGCCCATCATATAGAAGCATCCTTATTCCCCTGTTCCCGACCACGCATTTAAAACGCTGGATTCACAGGACATTGCCATTTGAATCAATCAACCATCCATTATGAAGCCAGAAGGAGATCTGTATTTGGAAAAGCTCAAATAGTCTGAGAAACGTAGGGAAAAATCTACTTCCGATACTAATACCATCCTTCTGCCCGTCTGATGTACATTAGGAATAAATAACCTCGGTAGTAGACGCCATTCTGAACATCACTTCCACGAGTATTACTTCTTTGCTCGCATTCTATTTGTAAACGAAAATTAAATAACCCGAGCATAGATATCAATCAATCAATCTATCTATCTCCATACTCCGTACCGCATCCTTTTCCCTCCACCTCACGTTGAGGCAAAACGGACTCCATCTACGACTTGCTATCCATACTCACTGTAGATGCTACAGCCCCTTGTTCTATGTTTCCCCTCAGACCCAGATCCAGATCCTGTGTATCTTTCTTGCATACAGTATATAATAACAATAATACCAGGATCACCGGCTTGACTCGACTGGCATCATTCAGGCCTCACATCCAGTCAGTGAACAACACCCGCACGATGTCATCGTCATCGTCATCACGCCCAATCGAGCTGGAGAAAATCAAGACACTCCTTAATTATTCTGCCTGTGATGTATGTTCCCCCCCAAGCAATGCATCTTGCAGATCTAACTTGACTGTAAATCCATCGCTGACGAAATAAATTCAAAGGTATCCGATGCCCTCCTCAAACTCCAAAAGATTTCACCAGGAACAACGGCGCGAGCCGGCCATCTTGCTGATTTCGGTACGTAAAAAATACATACATCAATAAAAAGCGTACCTATACTAAGTTCATATCAAGTCCCCTTTTCCCCCACATCCAACAAGAGGAAAATAATCGCCCCAGCATCAACCTTCAAATTCATCCCCAAGGACCAACCCCTCCCATTCGGGATGGACCTGGACCCCAAGATCAGGATCGAGGACCACGGTTTTCCACCGGGAACACACTGGGTCGATCACGCTGAGCCTGGGACAATCGTGGTCGTCGAACAGCCCACGGGCCAGTACTGTGCTGCCGTTGGAGGCATCATGGCGACTAGGATGAAAGTCCTGGGTGTGCAGGGTGTGGTTGTTGATGGGCGGATTAGGGATTTGGGTGAGATTCGGGAGTTGGAGCTTCCTGTGAGTTTTCTTTTCTTATACTTATTCTTCAATCAATCAGTCAATCCAATTATGGATGGAGATCAAAATCCAAGCTAGGAACTAATGCTGATGTTGGAACAGGTTTGGGCCCATTCAACCTCAACAGTCGGGACAGGAGCAGAGTCCAAACCAGCTACTAGAAACCTGCCGATTTGCGTATCTGGCATCGAGGTCCGGCCGGGGGATATCATCTTTTGTGATCCCGTTGAGGGCGCGGTGGCTATCCCGCGCGAGCTGCTGGACCAGGTTATCGAGCTGATGCCGAAACTGGTTGACATGGACGATAAGGTCAAGGAGGCTGTTGCTGGGGGTGAGAGTGTTTTTGAGGCTTTTAAGAGGTTCAGGACGAAGATCTGATTGATTGATAATATTTCTTTCTCATTCCCTTAATGTTGGACAAGAGATAAATACTCCACGACTATACTCTACATGTCAAATGATTTTTATCATAGGTTCATCTATATATCCCTTATTTAGGATTAAAAACATACACCCATGGATCACTTGAGGCCCCAATCCCGGTAGTCAATACAATGGAAGAAAAGAGAGAGAGAGAACAAAAGGTATAAACCGAACCCAAAATCGCTATATAAAAAAGAGCAGAAATCCAACGAAAGCCCCGTAAGGCACATTTACCTAGTACTCGGCAACCCACACGGCAGCCATACCCATACCGGTTCCGATACACATGCTGGTTACACCGATCTTCTTGTTGGTCCTCTTCAACTCCGTAAGAAGTGTGCTGACCTGTCTCGCTCCTGTGCATCCCAGAGGATGGCCAAAGGCAATAGCACCGCCCTTGGGGTTGATCTTCTCTAGAGGGAGACCGAGTTCATTGACACACCACACGCACTGAGAGGCGAAGGCTTCGTTGATTTCGTAGATGTCAACATCGTCCTTGGTGATTCCGGCCTTCTCCAGAGCAACAGGGATAGCCTTCCAGGGACCAATACCCATGAGCAGGGGAGGGACGCCGACTACGCTAGCAGTGACGTACTTGCCGAGGATCTTCTGTCCAAGGCGCTCGGCAGTGGAGCGCTTCATGAGAAGGACAGCAGCAGCACCATCGGAGACCTGAGAGGCATTACCGGCATGGATGGATCCATTTGCCGCAAACGCGGGGCGGATCTTGGCGAGAGACTCAGCAGTGATGCCCTGACGGATGCCATCATCGGCCTTGACAGTGATTGTTTTCTCCTCGTTCGTCTTAGGGTCGGTCCACTTGACTTCAATAGGGTGGATCTCCTCATCGAAGAGACCTTCCTTCTGAGCCTTGGCGGCCTTCTGGTACGAGGATGCCGCAAAAGCATCTTGCGATGCACGGCTAACATTGCGGTCTCTGGCCATATCCTCCGACAGAACACCCATGGGGACCTTGCAGTTGGCAGCTTCAGTGTGATTCTCAAGAAGGTCTGAGAACTCAGTCACGGCACTCGGTCTGCAGGACTAGTAAGCATGAGGAAGGTAAAGATATCAAAAAAAAAATAAAAATAAAAATAAAAATAAAAAAAGACATACCCATATTGAGAAGTCATACTCTCAACACCAGCACCGATACCGACCTCAATCATACCCGACTTAATAGCATTGGCAATATCAGCAATAGCCATTAAGCCACTGGAGCATTGCCTGTTCAAGCCCTTGACAGCCGTCGTATCCGGGAAACCCGCAACGAGAGCAGCAGCCCGGAACTCGGTGGCACCGGCACCAGGCGCCAGGACGGTGCCGACGGCAATATCCTCAACGAGCTTAGGGTCGATTCCAGTACGTTGGATGAGGCCCTTGAAGACGCCAACCAGAATGTCTGCGGCAGCGGTATCCTTGAAACCACCCTTTCCGGCCTTGGTGATGGCAGAGCGGAGAGCTCCCGTGACGACAATGTCATCCGGGTGCTTTTCAGTAAGGGCCGCGACGCCCTTCTTGCCGCCAGACCCGAAATGCGAGGCGACCTGGGTGAGACGTTGTTGAGCTAGGAGATGGCGTCTGTCAGCAGGGATGTATACACATGGAAATGATGCAACTATCAGTACTTACCAGAAGACATGGTGGCTATAATGGGCGGAACGTCAAACAACAGAGGCACCAACAAAGCATGAAAAAGACAAGACCACTTTCTCAGCAGGATCGAAGATGAAAAAAAGTGTTGGGAGACAGCGTAGGAGCCGTGGAGGAATAAATAGCAGGCAGGACGTGCTGGCGATGTCATGGTCGAACGGGGGAAGCTTGTGAACAAGCCGAGGCTGTTCCGCATCATCGTTGTTCCGTCAGGTCACGGGATGCCGAGCGCCGCGTGTGGCCGACGCATGTGAAGAATGAAGAAACGCAGCATCAACAGATCCATTTTTCTCTCCGCAATCTCTCCACGATGGCTCTGCCCCTGCATTTGACGCGCAGATTTACCGGTGCTGCTGCTGCTCGTGCTTCTATCTACCAGTCCTCGGCATGGTCTGGCACACCCATGGGCCTCTCCAGAGGTAGCAGCCCCTACACCTTCCTGCGCAACTCTGTACGTTCCCCGGGAGCCTCTGGTTGTACATACAGTATACAATAGGAATCACCCAGGACTAACTGTAGTCGATGTAGATAGGAATATCTAATCCAGTAATCCGTCAATCCTCATCCTCACCCTCTCCATCTGTTTTCCGCTTCCCTCAAAAACCAGACTCAAACACCCCTCGACCACAAGAAGAACACAACCATCAAGAACTAGAAGGGGAAGAAGAAGAACAACCACACGCATACTACAGTCCGCACCAACCAAAACGACAATGGCCCCCAGACATGTCTAAGCTCTCCCCAAAACACCAATTCCGTCTGGAACGGAAGTACCGTCGCCGTGCGGCTCTGAAATACGCCCGGCCAAAATGGACAAAGGCTACAAAGATCCTGCAATGGGGTATTATTGGCTGTGAGTTAAATGTGGAGCATGACTAAGAGAAAAGAGCTGGTAACTGATTGTTTGGTATAGTTATAATTGTGTACGCCGTCCTCTTCATGGAGTGGGATGAACGGGGGAATCCCTTCGAGGATGTGAGTTTCACCAATATCCGCAATGGCTGTCTCAAGGGATTGAGAAAGAGAGAGAGCATTGGCTAACAGGTCATGATTTTCAATCACAGTTCCGGAAGAGTTTCTTCGCTGCTTTCAGAGGCCTCTTTTCTGCGCCCCCACCTCCGAGTTCCATGCGGAGGAACGATGATAGTTCTTCAGGCTAGACAGCTTCTGATCAACAGGACTATGGATGTCTAAAGCTAGCAGAACAAGGGAATATCCATCCCGTTCCTGGATTTCTGTCCCTTGCGATATCAATCAAACCGTCTGCACGAGTTATGCCAATTAACCGTCTTGTTCCACATACATCTGTATAACAGTGTTATAGCAAAATACCAAAATGCAAATACTACCAGTCTACGGCCAAACAAGAATGATTTTCATTCAATCCATGGCATGTTAGCCCAAACCAAAAAATAAAAACACTAAAACGATCTACTTCGATGCCACACAGGGCAGGAAGAGACCACGCAGAAGAAAATTAATCATCCCATCCGGGCCAGGTTCGTCAGTCATTCATCACATGGCCGTTCATTCAATTCAATCATGAGGATGCATTGGAAACCCCAAACACCAAACACCCAAATGCCAAAAGCAGCCCCTTTGGATATCCAGGAACTCCAAAAGAGCGATCATGGAGACGAAAGAGTGAAAAAAAAAAGAATGAAAGGGCCGGAAAGGAGTAAGCATGTCCACAACGCCGCTTTATGATCAGAATCGTAGTCGTAATAACGAAGGAATAAACCGAAAAGAAAAAGCAAAACTGTTTTTCATCAATGCAACCCTAGCTGACCGGCTAGGTTCTGTTAAATCCAATTACCAATATTGTCTTGATGGGAGAGTCGATTGGGTTTCACATCAATCGCCAGCTCCAACTTAGGAGGTTTATCGTCAACTATACCTGGGCCCTTCTTAGGGCTACCGGGGACGGCCTTGACTGGAGACTTCCTTGGTGAACTGGGCTCGTCTCGAGGTGGCCCCTCCCGAACATGAGCATAGGGCCATCCATCTTCCACAGCAGCTGCCACCCAGGTTCGGAGACAATCGTGCACTGCAAAGTAGAATTTCTCTTTGCATGTTCGCAAACTGCTGCCCATCATCTTCTCGAACCCAGAGGCTCGAAGCTCCGAACGCAACTGGTTGCGCTCGTCAGCGGTAGGTATACATGCGATGAGCCCATTCATAAGATCTAGATGTGCCGCCAGATAGTTGGTGGCATCCCACTCGACCCCACCGACGTAAGGGGCTGCTGGAACCGGTGGTCGTGGAGGTGGGAAGTGCCGTTGTTGGAAGGTCTTGCGAGATCCTTCCGCGGGTGCCTGATCAGATTTCACGATCGGGATAACGTTCAAATGGTGCAGGAAAATCCAAAAGACCTCTTTCGTCACATTCGTTACTTCTTTGCACCAAACTCGATACGGTCGTGACTGATAGATATTGGCGATAAACGACAGTGGCTGATTATCTTCTGGTGGCCTGGGGTCACGCAGATAGGAGAGAATTCCCGCTGCCCTAGCTGCCGATGCGGCCCCAGGTGGGGCAGCAGAGAGATACGTGAACAAGGTATTTATGATGATACCACGAGTAGTAAACTCGCTAGGTCCTTTCTTTTCCTCATCGAAGAGCATTCGGAGTAGTGCTGGGAAAAGCTCCGATTCAATTTCAGTGAGACGCTTCAATGCAATTGATGTGGTACAGAGGGCCTTTAGACAGAGCAGTGTTTCATGCAGCAAATTGTCCTCATGCTCCTCCCTGATTGACAAGTTAGTAAGAGCCAAGAAAGAAAAGGAAGGGCAGCGGGGCTTACCTCCACTCAATCTTCATAATCCTATAGAGCAGTTGCACTATTTCGTCCATGCCGCCATCTGCAATAAAAGTGTCAACCCAGCTGACAGTCTCATTCCGCAACAAAATGCGAAGCTTATGCAATTTGCCAACGTCTATCATCTCCGGTTTCTGTATTTCTCTCAAATAATGCACGAAATCAGATGGATCAGCAGCCGTATCAATGCAAGCAGTTCCGGAGAGCGAAGATGCGGAGGTATTCGGATTTAAGGTCTTGAAAGTGCCTGTGGGCTGAGACAAGTCTACAGACTTCGGACGTTTATGGGATCCCACGGAATCCGGCCGTTTCTTAGGTGACATGCTGCCCTTAGAGAATGAAAAGCCGCGGCTCCTCGACCGTGATCGCGAACTCTTGCCGTCTCTATCTTCTTTTTGTTCCTTTCTGCGACCCTGACGTCCAGTGCTGCCGTTTGTAGACACAGTGGGACTCGCACTGCGAGGTGTATTGTTTTCAAGCAGACCCTTTTGGATAAAATCAGCTTTGATGTTCGTATCCAGGGATCTCATTTTGTCCCTCATATTATGGGGAATGTCCCTCGCATCCTAGAACATGAAATTAGTTTTCCAGACTATTAGACGTGCATTCCAGAACTGTTCTTTACAAACCAGTAACTTTTCAAATTCACTTTCAATGTCCTTTGAATTCAATCGTTTCTGCAATTCGGCCTCCTGTTCCCTCGCATTAAATGCTGATATCGCGGCTTGCACGCGGGACTGTTTCTTAGGACTTGCGTCTTGCTTATTCTCAGTCTCTGGGCGGGATTCAGATGTCGTCTTCCGACGTCTCTCCGGTCCTCGAGATGAGGGATTAGCAGCCGGTTCAATCGGGCATGATTTTGTGCATGAGTCCACGAAGTCCTTTACCATTTGATGCCCCGAGATACAATCGGACTTGGGGCGAGGCTTAGCCTCCGTGCGTCTAGTCAGGGACGGCTGGTAGTAATCGTAAAAGTTCCGTTGCTGAGCCGGGGAGTAGCCTTTTGGGGTATAGATGGACATTTCTTCCGCTAAGGTTCTCCGGTTTTCTTGGGTGAAAGGCCCGGCAAGGTGTTCCCGGAAGGGTTGTTCTACGGATTGAGGCCAGACTGGAGAGGTAGGTGTATTGCCAACTGGGTCAACAGGGCTCCTGTTTTCCTTGTCACGAACGTCCTTGGACGCGTCTGCTCGCCGTGAACGCTGAGAACGCTTAAGGATTGCCGACAGACTGTTCGAGGACTTTGCCTTTTTTGGTTTCCAGTCCGCCGAGTTGTCATCGTGGTTGTCCTCCGGCTTGTGATCCCTACGGTCCCGATCCATGTAGCTCCTCAGAGATTTCAGAGATACGGCACTTTTCTTCTTCTGATGTAATCCGTGTCTCTCTTGCTTTTCCGTAGCCTGATTGGTCTGTTTCAGCCCGTCAGGTGAATCGCGATTGGGAGCTATCTCACCCAGCGGACGTTGCTCGGGAATAGTTCGTCGCTCGTCTGCCGCAAAGAAAGGAACGGGAGGAATGTATTTGTTCTTCAAGAGGCTCCTCGGAATAATTGGGGCATCATCGGCGGAGAGGTTTCTTCTGTGGGCCTTGGATAGCATTATGGACCTGAAGCCAGATTGCTTGTATTCCCCACGAGTAGCGTCGTCAAAGATGTCAGGGCATTGCGGATGGGGAGCCATATCGTGTCGTCAAGGCTCCAGCACAGGAGACCTCTTCTCCTTAGCGGGAGACCAAGCAAAGAATAAGAACGGGTAGTCGCAGGGAACTCACAGGGATGATGGATGACGGCAATGCTTCTGAGAAAGGAAAAACAAAGGAAGAAGGGAATCAAAGAGGAGAGAGATGAAACGCAAGACAAAAAAGAACAAAGCAGAGCAGAGGAGAAACAGAAGGACGCAGAAAAAGGAAGAGAACTGACGACAACAACAAGAACAACAACCAGAAATCAATGACAAGTCAGAGGGAAAACAGGATGAAACGACATCCAGCTGCGGCGGGTGAGATAAATAAACCGGTATGCAGGACGGACACTGCGAGCGCAAGTGGCGGAGAAGACCAGAAACTAGCAGGCTGGTCTATTCTCCCGGAATGACAGCGACTAAAAGGATCCGAGCGACGGGGCAGATGCCACGGGCATTCGTGAATGGACCAGCAACCGCACGTACAAGCTCATCTCGTCGTGTCATTTTAATTGCTGCCGGCCGATCGTCTTCTGGCGCTGCTTGCAGAGCGTAAACAATGCCTGTCGCTATCTGGTTGCCCACGGCAACTCGCCCCGCGGTGAGGGCGCAATACGCGTACCGTACGCGTCACGTGGGACAACCCCTGCGGAATTCGATACCGCGATACAACAATACACCGTGCAGCGGGTACCGGTACGGTAACGGAGCCTCGTGACGCAAGGATAGCCCCATCCGGCTTAGTCGAATTCCGGAGCTGCCGCAGAAACGGTCATGCGCTAGACCGCTCTAGGGTTAGCTTCTACAAGTACATTACCGAAGCATTGAGGCCTGAATGCTGAGGCAGGAATTAGTCCGTGCTGGGGCTAAAGCTGCAGTCTTTGCTGTATACTGCAGTATACATAGTAGTCAAAACTGACGGAAGTAGTACCCCGTAAGTTGTTTAGCACAGTAAGGACATAGCTAATTAGGCTATCCCGCTAACCGGAACAGGTACTTGCTGAGTGAACCTTGCAAGACTATCTTTGCATCACAAAATTACCTCAGGTCGCGCGAATGACGCGGCCTCCCAAGTATACAATCTTAGCCGCAGCCGTTAGTGTCTGGCTGTGATTCCAACTCATTGCTAGCCACACCATTTCTCTTCGTGGACACCAAGAAGCTTCGTAGGTGGACTCCGTCTGGTTCCTTCGCCAATAACTCCAGAGGATGACGACAAAGAGAGCTGGGCAACCATGCCGTCATGGGTACCTAATTGAGACCAAGAGATGCTCGATATTTTTTTCGGAAAGCATGTAAGTCGCACGGAGGAGACCCCAGAACTTTGTATGGATTGTGAATGGGTGTGTGGAAATGACCAGAGAAGGTTGATCATTATTTTCCTCCAAGACAATTGATTGAAATCGGGTCGGTTCGGCGCTTCTGCTGCTGTCCTCGGATCCGTTTATGTCTTGGCCGGATGTGGCTTTTTTAAAATCGGCCCTAAGATGTGGAACACGCGAGAATCGCCGCTGATTTAAACATCCTCTTTCTCCAACAGGGAGTGCTTAGGCCAGGTGTAAGCTACAGGGATAGAGCACGACTACGCTGTACATACAATCATGAATTGTCCCTCCCGAACTGATGACACCCTCGAGAATCCGGGTTGGAACCAGAACCCGTCGCCACTCAATGCAGATATAACAACCCGAAACGACTTCAACGGCATTGCCAATGCCCGCGAGCACAGGAAACGTACGTCGAGTCCAGGAGGGGTGACTACTGATGATACTGTGTCTCGACTGTCACCGCAACCTCTGGATAATGGAGACACCCCGTCCGAAAAGGGGCCCTCGGGCGAGGTAGTCCCCACTGTCTCCACGGGTGAACTGCCCGAGAGCAACAGGGGATCATTACCTCGCCGTCTTTTAAAACGTTTGAATTTGGATAACACTTTTTTCCAGCATGTCGCCCAGAAGATTTCCAAATATGCCCGTTTCGTCGGGCCGGGCTTCCTGGTTGCCGTCGCCTATATCGACCCTGGAAACTATTCCACCGACGTCGCTGCTGGTGCGAGTTACCAGTATCGGCTGCTCTTCATTGTCCTTGTGTCCAACCTCTTCGCTATCTTCCTGCAGTCCTTGTGCATCAAGCTGGGCAGCGTGACCGGCTTGAACTTGGCAGAGAACTGCAGGGAACATCTTCCCCGATGGATCGTTATCATTCTCTACATTTTCGCAGAAGCTGCTATTGTCGCTACTGATATTGCAGAGGTACCCACCCTGTTCTCCCTCAGTCTATGCTGATGATAAGCTAAGGCTTTCCAGGTCATCGGATCTGCAATCGCGCTCAACCTCCTGGGGAACATCCCCTTGGTTGCTGGCTGTGCGATCACCCTTGCCGACGTCCTCTTCCTTCTCATATTCTACAGGCCTAGTGGATCCATGTGGGGTTTGCGAGCCTTTGAGTATTTTGTCATGGGACTAGTCCTGGCAGTCGTGATTTGCTTTTGTGTTCAGCTCTCCCTCATCAGGGGCCAGTCGGTTGGCCATGTTTTCAAAGGATATCTACCTTCCTCGGCCGTGGTCAAGTCTAACGGGTTTGTAGTAGCCATTCTCCTGAAACAGTATACACGGACGAACTGACAAGATAATCATAGCCTGTATCAAAGCTGTGGGATTCTCGGTGCTACTGTGATGCCTCATTCTATTTTCCTGGGAAGCGGCGTCGTTCAAGCACGGCTAAAGGAGTTTGATGTGAAAAGTGGCTACGTCGACGCTTCTGTCCCCTTGGGAAGCAATGGCGGAGAGGTAGAATACCGGCCAACACTCGGTGCGATTCGCAGTTGTCTTAAGTACTCTATCATAGAGCTTACGCTTTCGCTTTTCACATTTGCGCTTTTCGTCAACAGTGCCATCCTGATCGTCGCTGGGGCCGCCCTGTACGGAAAACCAGGCAGTGACGATGCCGACCTTTGGGGGATCCACGATCTTCTCTCCAAGTCTATTTCCCCGGCTGCAGGAACGATCTTCGCATTGGCTTTGCTTCTGTCCGGCTTGTCTGCTGGAATCGTCTGCACTATGGCAGGGCAAATGGTCAGTGAAGGTATGCTGAGATGGAGCATTAAGCCATGGCTCCGGAGACTTATCACTCGCTCCATCAGCATAATTCCAAGTATCATCATTGCGGCAGCTGTCGGCAAAGAGGGATTGGATCAAACTCTCAATGCATCCCAGGTTGTTTTGAGCGTCATATTGCCGTTTGTGACTGCTCCTTTGGTTTATTTCACTTGCCGCAACAAGTACATGACTGTTCGGACAGGTGAGGCTGGTGAAGTGATCGAGGCCCCAAACGATGCCCAGACAGAAGGAGTCAAAATGCGGAACAACTTCTTCGTCTCCGCCCTTGCCATTCTGATCTGGATCATCATTGCTGTGATGAATGTAGCTCTAATCGTCCTTGTTGGGCTTGGAAAAGCCTGAACAGTGGCAGGATGCAGTGCAAGCTACTGGAAGCCAGATCTAGGACAGCGAAGGACGTACTCAACCGCTCTTCGTTTGCTGGAACATCTTGGTATCTATGGAACTATGCTTGCAATTCCGGTTAGATGATTTTGGTGAGAAAATCGGATGACCGCGTGGAAGAAGATGAAAGGATTGCCAGACTGGGCAAGAAAAAAATTACTGCTAGAAAGAAATAAATAGACATGGAAGTTAGAAAAGAAGAATAGTCCCAAACTCCAATAACAGCCGATTGCATAGAACCACCATAACGCCCTTGCATATGTTTAACTAGCAGCCTCCTTAACTTTGCCCTCCTCAGGAGACTTATCAATAAACTGAGGAAGCGCCACTTCATCCTGCATGAAACTTGGCATAGCGCTCTCAGCCATCGAGTCCTCATACATGGTTTCTTCACCGAGCGCTTCCAGCTCGGCGTCTAGTTCCGCCTCATCCACCTCTTCAGGCACATCGTAAGCCCGGGATATACTCTCCTGAATTTCATTTCCGACATCCATCAGGTCGGCCATTTCGTCCTGCATCCGCTCGATTTTATCAATATCGATCTTGCCGTACTGTTTCTTGAGAGCCTTTGTTGTCGTCTTCATCGCATCGACGGTCGTCGCAACATTCTTCAGATTATCCTGCATCATAGCTGCCTGCTCCATATTCCACGACTGCTGCGACAGCTGATCCCGCTGCGCCTCGTATTGCTTTCGACGTTGTAGTACCTTGAGTGCTTTCTGGCGGAGGGCGTTCTTGCCCGGTCCATCACGCATCTTGGAGATTTTGGTCTGGTACGTTGAAAGTTCGGAGTTAAGAGCTGACAGCTTCACGTCGATGCTGGATATGCGGTTATCTACCTATTACAAGTCAGCGGGCTTTGCTGGATGTTTGGTGCTGTCCGTGATGCGGGGGAGGGGGAGGCATATATTTGGCCGTAGCAAGAGCGTAATAAACTCACATTTGAAATTGCACTGTCCAGCGTCGGCTTAGGAGCCGTATTCTTTGCTCCGAACAGCCGATTCATTGTGGATGGAGATGGTGATTCGCGAGGTGATCAATGAGAATGGGATTCGTGAGATGCTGCGCAGGTAGCAATCTGCTGACTTAGTGGTCTTGGGCACGGGCTAGGGTCGTGTGAGGGAGGAAAACAGCCTGTCTCTGTAATATACGGCGTTTTTCAATATCGTGACAGAAGGCCAACGCTCTTGCAGGCTTCAGCGTTGGCAGGACGTCGTTCCTGGCGGTCTCCTGCTCGTCGTTCGCAGCCAGAAGGCGACGTCAAGCACAGTACAAAAAGCACGTGATCTGAACGATGGGGCTCTGTATGGAGACATACTTGCTCAAGACGGACGCAGGAAGTCGGTATACGCGTTGTGGCTTGGATGAAAATATTCTAGGTATATTTTGCTGCTATTTCAAGACAAGAACCCCTGCGTGCCCGCATGAGAACCACCCATGATGCCAGCAGTAAATAGTAATATTGATTAGAATAACTGGTGGGACGTACCCAGTACTCCCCGCGGTATGGACGGCTGTGTGGGAAGTGCGGTACCTGATACTTCCGTTATTATTACGAAGGACCGTCTCCAGCAAAAGCAAAAAAAAACTCTCCGGCGACGGAGGAAGAAGACCTTCACCATCACTACATAGCTTGAGAATAACAACCGGATCCAGCTGAACTGAACGCTGCCGCCCATCTAGGGAATCCCCTGCTGCTGTCGCGCCAGCACTTGTTTGATCGAGAGCGGCACACCAGACGCAATCACCACCAACCACTCACTCCCATCTTGTCGGCTGACGATCTTGCAGGGCGAACTGTACCCTCTGCACGGTCACAGCCATCCTTTCTATTCCTGTCCTGCCCTCCTTGTCTGGCTTATCCAGCCTATCCCTCCACAGAAGGGAAACGAAAAGAGAAAAAGGGCCTTTTCGGACACCTTTCGTCTTCGTCGTCACTCCCTTGGGTTTTGAAGGTACGTCCGTACATTGCGCGCTCTGCCGTCTTCCGCCGTCCCGCATGTCCTTTCCCCCTGTCTGCCCCCTTACTTGCCTCTGGGAGCCCGACTTATCAACGACGCAAACTTCCTTGGTGCTTGTGTCTCTTTCTACCTACCTCTCACCTTACCGTGCCGACTGGGTTGCTGATTGTCGCTGACCGTTCGCGCGAACTGCACCAGCCGCCCCGATCGCGTCTAGACCATCCGTCAACTTCACTCATTCATGGGGCGATTCAATAAAACAACTCTAACGACCTCTCACCGGACTACCTAAGAAGCCGGCGCTTCTCTTTGTCCGTCCATACAGTTTTAACCGTGACGCGCGAGTTTGAAGGCTTGCCGATTAGCTCTTCTCCCGTCGTGTTTCAGATACCTGTGCCACTGCATCTCGGACAAGAGCAAAGACGTGCTTTTTTGGCTCTATTCTTTCATTACCACGATTATTCTCCCTTCCTTTCCCTCCATTCTCTCATGTGTGATTTCCCCCAGATTGTCTAATCCAATATGTTCTGGCGTTTCGGGGGATATGCGAGTGTCTCCACCATCGATGCTCTGCTTGACAAGCCTGATGTCACGCTCGAGGAAATCTTGGACGACTCCGAGCTCATACAGGAGCTCAATCAACATAATTCAAAGCTCATAGAATATTTACGAGAAGATAATGTCTTGAAACGACTTATGGACTATGTGATTGCACCTGGTCAAAATGAAGATGATAACGAGGACGAAGCCAACGAGAACAATGATTCGCAACGCGCTACTTCCAAGGAGGATACGGACCTGGATCCACTAAGGGAACTCTTGGACCCTGATGACATCGAAAAGGCTGAGCAAAACCGTCTGAAGCGTGCCTACGTTGCATCCAAGATCCTTTCATCCGAAACATGGTCGATATTGGACTCCATAACGCAAAATCCCGAATATCTGCGGGATTTTTGGGGTTTCTTGCGACGGCGTCCTCCCCTAGACTCCATGCAGGCCAGCTATTTTACCAAAGTGAATGAGTCGTTGTTCAGTAGGAAGACCGACTCCATGCTGGAATTCTTCACGTCCTTAGATGGGATTGTTGCGGATATGTTACAGCATGTTGATAACGCTATGGTTATGGATCTTCTGCTGAAGATTATAAGCCTGGAGAAGGCCGAAGGAGGCCAAGGAATAGTTGATGTAAGTCGCTCAATGGTTTCTCCTCCAACCTTCCTGCTATGTTCTTGAAACTGACGGATTGTTTCCAAAAAGTGGCTGAAATCGCGAGACTTGATACCCACACTACTTTCCTTCCTATCACGCGAATGGCCTGCTTCTATGCAAACGGCTGCAGGTGATTTTCTCAAAGCTATCATAACGATATCTGCGAATGCCACCCAAAATGACCAGACGTGTATTGGACCTAATAGTTTGACTCGGCAACTGGTATCTGCGCAGTGCGTGGAGACCCTTATCTCGGCAATGCTACAAGGTGGTAATCCATTGACAGTTGGCGTGGGCATAGTGATTGAGGTCATTCGTAAAAACAACTCAGACTATGATCCAGAAAATATTGGTGGACCAGATACAATACCAACTACCTATGACCCCATCTATCTTGGTACGCTACTCCGTCTTTTTGCAAACCGCATACCGGACTTTATGGAATTAATCCGCAGCTCGAAACACAACGTTATTGAGTATGGCAACATTCGTCGCGTCGAGCGGGGGCAGCTAAATTCAGCATGGGGTGCAAAAATTGAGCCATTAGGCTTCGACAGGTTCAAGACCTGTGAGTTAATGGCAGAGTTGCTGCATTGCAGCAACATGGGGCTACTTAATGAACCTGGAAGCGAAGATTACGTTCGACAGCGAGATGCCGAACGCGAAAAATTGACGGCCACTGTCTATCCTCCAAGAGACACATCTGGTGTTGATCTCCATGACGCAACCACTGATTTTGGGCACGATTCTACACTCAGCGCTGAAGCACCAAGGGATTCCAAGCCAACTGAAGGGATAGGCGCGGGCGAAGAGGATGGTTTTGAGGACGTCAGTTCGTCCGGCGTTCTAGTGGAAGGGGAGAAAGAAACCGAAAATCATGAAGGCGACAAAGAAAAACCGAAGATGGAGAATTTCACAGCCGCTGCGTCAGAGACAACTGAAGGTGAAGTCAATGCTATTTCTGTTCAGGAGCCATCGCCGGAGTCGAAAGATGATAGCGATCGCAAATTAGAGACTCCTGAAGCATCGCAGCCTTCTGGTCCTGTATCACCGACGACATCCCTCGTCGACAAATTTCACAAGATAAAGCTCGATGAGGAGCATAAATCGTCAGAAAGTACCTCAGGGCCCCAAGAACCAGAAGATACTCCGAAGACTGTTTCTGGTGCTGAACAACAGGCAGAACCCTCCGTTTCTGATATCCTTTCTACTGATCATGCTCCTGCAGCTGAGGCAAGCGCTGAAGAGCCTGCCACGTGTTCCGGCCCTAACAGCGCCAATGATGAGCTCTCCCATCGGACTATCCAGTTTGATATTAATGGACAGCCGGTTGTCGGTGACTATCTCAAAATCATGTTTGTAGAAAATCAAGTTGTGCCAACAATTCTGGTAAGCAACCCTTGTTTGAATGAGCTGTTGGTGTATTGTGCTGACGGATATCCCGTGTTGCAGGGATTCTTTTTCCATTTCCCATGGAACAACTTCCTTCACAATGTAGTATATGATGTCGTTCAACAGGTATTTAACGGACCTATGGAGCGGGGATACAACCGTGTCTTGGCTATAGACGTTTTTCGAACAGGCCGGATAACACAACGCATTGTTGAAGGCCAAAGATGCAGCGATGAATCGGAGAAAATCAAACACATGCGACTTGGTTATATGGGGCATCTAACTCTTATCGCAGAAGAAGTTGTGAAGTTTAGTGAACGTCTCTCTCCAGATTTACTGACCGATATTGTCATGGATAGCGTGCTGAATGAGGAATGGGTGCGCTACGTCGAGCAAATCCTATCGGAGACTAGGGAGCGTGATAACGCGATCCTCGGAGGCGTACGGCCTGAGCTGTCTATGGGTCAACGCCAGGCCATTGTCAATGCGGCTCAAGGCTATAACGGCTCATCGACCCTAGCCGATGCTGGTCTAAACGGGGATCTGGGTTCAAGCTTCCAGGGCTTCGATATGGTCAACCAGGGAAGCATTTCTGGGGGCGTTTTCAATTTCGGGGGGTCCGGCAATTCCTTATTGAGTGGCTTTGGAAGTTCGAGCGATGAGGACGACGACGAACTAGAAGAGCAGGATGACAGGATCGAAACAGATAACGCTACGGATGGTAGTCCCGAAAATGTAGGTGACGATGCTTCCTTTACTGGAGTTCGCTTGCAAGATTCTTGATCACATACATCCGCTCGTCTTTTGCTATCTCTTTCATCGATTCTTTCTGGGTTTTATTGCTTCTCAAGCGCTGGCGCGTGATAAGCGATTGAGAGACCGCCCTAGCGACCACGTAGAGGCGCAAAGCGCCTCTTCTTGTGGATAGAGTTGATGTCTTTTGGGGTCTTTTTCTGGCACATCCCCAAAGTTGTGGCGTATTCTCTACGAAGCAGAAGCCAAATCTACTACTGAAGCAAACAGTTTCTCTGGTCTTTGCTTAGACATTGATCTAGAAACCCATATTCATATCTATATTTAACAAGATATGATGGCATTCACGGACGTTTTCTTCGTGATTGGCGTCCTTCAGAGGGAGATAGGCGGGCTTCACCACTCTCCCTCAACTCTGCCTTTTGCTTCTTTTATTTGAGCCTTGCTCGTTTGTTCTATCACCCTGGTTTCTGCTGCAGATTACGATTTGCCTTGGTTGCTAATTCTTCCTTGGGACACTGCTAACGTGTTTTTTTAAGGGTTCATCCAATTCAACGAGCCAACCAATACCCATCCTCCCGCCACCTCCAGCTCCCTTGAGTACGGGTCCTTCCCGAGCTCGGCGGCAATTCGCGGCACGGCTCGCCCAAAAGCAGCAGGCCTCTGAAAGTGCCGAAGGTGACGATGAAGGAGAGGCAGGGACACATGGCAATGACAACGCCGAGGACCAATGGCCCTCTAATCCATTTGTGATTGCGGGAATAGACGATGATGGCAACAATGGAGAATCACCCTCCACAGCTACATTCCCGTCCAACTTCCAGTCGTCCAACCGGGACGACATCTTTTTGTCGTCGCCTTTCCCTGATGCAGGCTTTAGCCCCCCGGATTCTTTGTCTACCAATTCCTCCGACGAGGGTGGCGAAGGGCCAACTGAATCCGTGAGGCGCACAGTTCGTGTACCCCTTGAAGTCGATGACGAGGACGAGGAAATGGGCGAAATGGTTGGACCAAGCTTGTCGGTCGGCTCTGGTATGATGGACTCGGACGAAGAAGATGAGGCTATCATCAACGAGTCTTTGGGATACTCGAATCTCTTTTTAGTTGGCAAATATAAAGGATACCATGGCTCGCACGCACTAGGCTCCAATTTCGATGATGAGGACCAGAATGATAGCAGTGATGGCGAAGACGACGGATTGGTTGAGATACTGGTCCCAGGAAGAAAATCATCGACAAGCTCCCGTTGAAAAAGCAGATATCATCCTTCCCGCTCTTCTCTATACTGCTGGCTTGCATAGTCCTTGCATCTGTGCCAGTAGCTTCATGAATTCAGATGGGCCATTGCTTGCCACCATCTTTTGAATGGATCTTCTCTTACGACCCCTACACTTCTCGATACTCACAATGCTGTATATATATTTTTGTCTTTGTGGTGCCTATACCCCAGTTCACTTTGAGATGGGACTGGTGAGTATGCCTGGAACTGGTTACGCAAGGGGGGCATTCTATTTTTTTATGGATCAGAGCGGCATGCATGGTTTATAAAAAAGACAGAAGAGGGGACAGGGGCAACTTTCGGAATTTCTATTGTCATGGGGGGGTAATTGAAGAATGATCGGTCAAGTTACGGGTTACCTACATGTTTTCGGCTTTTGCGCAATGAGTGTGGTGGTGTTTCGGCTCTTCCATTCCTCCCCGGCTTGGATTTGCTGCTCTCGCAGAATTGACGGCTATTATCTACTACAGGTTTATGAGATTTTCGTTTACGCTTATTGCTACAGTGCCTGGTTTTGGACTTGTTTGTTGCATGCTTTTCATGGAGGCCATGACCGCATGAGTTTCTTAATTTATGAGCTTTTCTGCTTTCCTTTTGTCTGTTTCCTTGTTTCTTCTCCAATGACTTTCTTTTTTCAACAAAATTTCCATTTTGCCATTCAGTTTATCATTGTGTTACTGACTGGCCTGTACAATAACCGTGCATGCATTTTATGTTTTTTGGAGAAGGGAATTGAATGGATAACTTTGACTTTTAATGCTTCCTTACCTGGAGCCATTACGGATTCCTGATATCAAACCAAATGGCGATAAATACAAGATCTTCACTTTAACGCGACACTGCTACGCTCTTGGATTTGCCAAAGTCAATACTTGAGTTAAACGAAGAAGAACCGAGGATATGGGCTGGTGAGCGGACTGCGGTTATTTTTCGAGCCCTCCTGGAAATGACAAGCATCCATGTTGATTTCGTCCCTGAAAAAAATTCGCCCAGACCTGGCCTACCTCAGGAGACCCTGGACCGATGATGCATATTGCTTTTCCACACTGGAGTTGCAGCCAATGTTGGATGAGGACCAAATGAGTCAGTCATACACCATCCGGGGACTGGGGGTATGCCTGATAGCAGTGGTGATGAAGCAACACATCTGAGAGGTTGGAATAGATTCTTGGGCCATGGATGTCAACGCGGGAAATAGTTGAGTACCAGTCATAGTTGGAGGGAATGGCCCTCATAAAGTCACAGCATCCAGAAGAGGAATATCCAGCATGTGAAGGTGCATATGTAGCAGTTCACCAGTTGATCCTCAAGCGAGGTGCCAGTAGTCACTATGGTTAAGGACAGAAGTGGATCGGAGGTGACAAAGCAGATTCAGACTGATTAGTTAACTTCGTTACTTCATTAACTTAAAAATGATACTTCCTGAGACAACTTAGCATTTTCATCTTCGACTTGATTTAGATCTGTTTAAATTCATTTCTCTGCGATTTCTAGATGGAATCACTGCAGCGGTAGGGTTTTTTTTTTTAACCAGATATGTCCACTTGAACATTCTAAGCTGCTAGTCGCGTCTTGGACATCAGCACAAGAGATTTTATATCCCCCCCTTGTCACAGATTCTCACATATTGACCTCTACAGACAATCTCATACCAATCCTATGGAAGCGCATACCTCCCTCCTCGAATGGATTCGCAGGTATGGCGGAGACCTACACGAAAGTGTAGAAATAACCAGAGATGAGTCGCGTGGCGTATACATGCAAGTTCGAAAGAACTGGGCCAGCGCCGTCCCCAAAGAAACACACGTCATTAGGACGCCCTTGGGGTTGACCATGTCTTACTTCAATGCCATCAATTACTCACTGCCTACCGACCAGTCTGAGAAGTCCTCGACTTTCTCCTCTCATGGTCTGGTGTTCCCCCGGGCATCATTCATCGATGTCGTCGGGCCCGAAGAGACGATGGTATTCTTCTTGATGGGCCAGTATCTGAAGGGCTCTAAGGGATTTTGGTTTCCATATCTTCGCACGCTTCCTAGGCCCGGTTCCTTGACCACGCCCTTATATTATGAGGGTGCGGACTTGGAGTGGTTGAAGGGGACAAGTTTGTGGCCTGCTAGGGAGCAGAGGATGGGTGGTTGGAGGGAGAAGTTCGAGAATTCTTTGAAGAGGCTTCGGGAGTCGGGCTTTGAGGGTGCCGAGGAATATACGTGGTATGTCTTTTATTTTCCTTTGTTAAAAATAGAAAGTTCGTTTGCAAGTTACTTATATGTATGGCAGGGATTTGTATCTCTGGGCATTAACAATAATCACCTCACGGGCCTTCTCTGCCAAGGTTCTATCTGGGGTAATTGCGGACTCGGAACTGCCTGAGACCAAAGTGTCTGTTTTGCTGCCCCTGATTGACCTTCCAAACCATAGGCCACTTGCTAAGGTCGAATGGCGAGCTGGTGAAGCGGATGTTGGCTTCGTGGTGTTGGAGGATGTGATTCCAGGGCAGGAGATTGCGAATAATTATGGACCGCGGAATAATGAACAGTGTGAGCATTTTGGATTCTAAAAAGTAAGCGATGAGAATGACACAGGGCTGACACAAGGGTTCAGTGATGATGAACTACGGCTTCTGCCTTCCAGACAACTCCTGTGACTACCGCATCGTTAGCTTGCGGACACCACCTGGAAGCCCACTTCATGAGGCCAAAATCCAGCAGTTCCAGATGTATCCTGAGTTGTCCAAGGATGCAGAGGATCATTATTATGTGTTCAACATCTTTTACCCTCATCTCCCCCGGGAATCCTGCATGGAAAACACAATCTTCTCCCCAGCCCTCTTCAATGCTGTCTCCGTTCTGGCGGCAAATGGCAGAGAGCTGGAAACACTAGAGATCTCTGAACAAGGGATCAGAATTCCCGACGCCTACGGGAACTCGCGTAATGTCCTTGCTGCAGTGAGCCAGATTCTCATCGAGCTCTTTACCCATATTGTGAAGTTGAAAGCATCGGGCCAGGGCCAGCAACATCCGGCCAATCTGAAACAAACAAATGCCAAAGTCTATCGAGAAAGTCAGATTATGCTATCCGAGACGGCACTTATAATTGCCGCATGGACGCTGGCTCGTGCTCGGCAACATGGTCTGAATGACAGCTGGGAGCAAACTAAAGAGCTTCTCAACTCTCACATTTCACGTGTACCAGCGGGCAAGTTTCCCGAAGAGGTTACATCCAGGATCAAGGTCAGAATTCTGGAGCGTAGATCCCTTCTCGAACACGGCGGGGAACTGTTTGAATTCGGCGACTTGTTCGGCCTCCTCCCCGCCGAAATACAGGAAGGCTGCAGAACATGCTTGCGCAATATCTCTGTGCATGCAGAGAACGCCATTCCCGTGTTGAAAGCAAACCCTGAAGTGTCACCATTTGCGTTCCCGTTATTCCTATGTCTTGTCACAGCTTCTTACCGGGCCAAGGCTTCATCTCCCGAACAACTTCGACTGTCCCCCCGGTTGGAGAAATGGGCCGGCTTCCTTCTTGACAAATATCCACCACCGCCGGGCGATATGGCTTGGATGTTGGAGGACGAAGACGACGAAGCTCTCGTCAGTTCGTTTGATGACTGCCTCAAGACCGTGAGAGACCGTAACCCCGATTTCTTCTCGGGCCTGGCAAAATTTACAGGACCCCAGCAAGGGGACAACTGGTGGCTCTCTCCCAACTGGATCCGGTGGGCATGGATGGTCGTGGAGCAGGAGTCAGTACAAGCGCCGGACGATCCGATGAAGCTGCTGGCAGTAGATGGGGTTGGAAGGGACGCTGTGATGCTGTCTACAGTGACATATCTTTACGTTCCGCAACATGCTGATGGCTGATGGGGTAGATAGAGCAGACATACTGTAGGTATAATAGAGTACAGAACTGCTACAAGTATCTACTGTTGTTATGCCTAGTAAAAATGGCAATAATAATCATTACTAAGAATCCACACACGTGACATGACAGAGCCAATCAGCAGCGGGCCAAAGGCGGATATCAGCAAGCGCAAGCTCAACCCTCGCTCGACCACGCTTCTTCCTCTCCTCACCTTTGCCCCCTCTGTCTCGCTCCGCAGCCATTGGGTCTCCTCCACAATGATATCCCGAGCGTCTGCTCCCTCTGCTGCGTCCGTCGCTCACCTTTCCTCCCGCTCCCTTCGATCCCAGGCTGTCCGCTCGTTTGCGACCGTCCAGGAGGGAGCACCTCCAGTACACCATCATGGCGGCTTAAAGGACCAGGACCGCATTTTTACAAACCTGTACGGCCACCATGGCACCGATTTGAAATCTGCGATGAAATATGGCGATTGGTACAAGACCAAGGAGATTGTTTTGAAGGGTGATGACTGGGTACGGCGATTTACAACCGCATTGAAACCATCGTTATGGGGGCAAAAAAAGGAAGAAATGCTAATTGTGTAATCTTCTTTTTCGTTGATTATAGCTCATTTCGGAACTCAAAGCCTCTGGTCTCCGTGGTCGTGGTGGTGCTGGGTTCCCCTCGGGATTGAAATACGTGAGTTCGGAAGGAGCCCCTTTTAAGTCATGAACATAAAAGAAACGTGCGAGCGTCATTCTAACATAGAATGCTTTATCGGTTGGCAGTCGTTCATGAACTTCAAGGGTTGGGATAAGGATCCTAGACCCCGTTATCTGGTCGTCAATGCCGATGAGGGTGAGCCAGGTACCTGCAAGGACCGAGAAATCATTCGGAAGGACCCCCAGAAGCTTATTGAGGGTTGCCTGGTCGTCGGTCGTGCGATGAATGCCAATGCTGCCTACATTTACATCCGTGGCGAATTCTACCATGAAGCGACCGTCCTCCAGCGTGCCATCAATGAGGCCTATGAAGCCGGCTTAATCGGCAAGAATGCCTGTGGAACTGGATACGACTTTGACGTTTACATCCACCGTGGAATGGGCGCCTATGTTTGCGGTGAAGAAACTTCCCTCATTGAGTCCCTGGAAGGAAAGGCAGGAAAGCCCCGCTTGAAGCCGCCATTCCCCGCTGCTGTCGGTTTGTTCGGATGTCCTAGCACAGTCACCAACGTCGAGACGGTCGCCGTCACGCCTACTATCATGCGTCGTGGAGCCAGCTGGTTCTCGTCATTTGGTCGTGAGCGTAACGCAGGCACTAAGCTGTTCTGTATCTCCGGCCATGTCAACAACCCGTGCACCGTCGAAGAGGAAATGTCGATCCCCCTCCGCGAGCTGATTGAGAAACACTGCGGAGGAGTCAGGGGTGGTTGGGATAACCTCCTTGCTGTAATTCCTGGCGGTTCCTCGACACCCATCCTCCCGAAGTCTGTCTGCGACAATCAAGTCATGGACTTTGATGCCTTGAAGGACTCCCAATCCGGTCTCGGTACCGCCGCTGTTATTGTCATGGACAAGTCCACCGACGTTGTTCGCAGCATTTCCCGTCTTTCATCCTTCTACCGCCACGAGAGTTGCGGACAATGCACCCCTTGCCGCGAGGGAAGCAAATGGACGATGCAGATGATGCAGCGCCTCGAGAAGGGCCAGGCCAAGCAACGCGAGATTGACATGCTCCAGGAACTCACGAAGCAGGTTGAGGGACACACGATCTGTGCTTTGGGTGAGGCTTTTGCCTGGCCCATCCAGGGTCTGATTAGACACTTCCGACCTGAGCTTGAGGCTAGGATCAAGAAGTATGAAGAGGAACTTGGGAACAAGGAACCTTTCGCTGGTGGATGGAATCCGGATAGCCGGGCTGAGGGCAAATCCATCTCTCCTGGCATGTAAGGAAGAAGCAGCTGCCGAAAACAAAATTTTGTAGAGTTGCGAGCATTTCATGCAACGCCGTCCATAATGCCATGAGCCGGGATTGATCGGGTTTTCATTTCCCTAAACATTTCCTTTGTATCTTTCTTCGTTACCTTTACCCTTTTCTTTTGATGATTCTTCCTGTACAGTCTTCTCTGGTAGCAATTCATTGGTGTCTTCGTCGTCAAGCTGTTGATAGTGAGCGTCCTTATAGAAGTTTGATAATGCAAGATGGATGTGGAGACAAGTTAGGTTTGAAGAAAAAAATATTAGAACTATCTAGCGAAGAATTAGCGATGATAATCTATGATTAAGTTGAGAATAAGTAAATGTGAAGTATCATAGCAAACAGCACTTTGTGGCCTCCGCATCTAAGCAGAACTCTCTTTCGAATCTTGACCATTCTTGCTCTTGTCCATCATCTCCTGTCCCTGCATCAGCGCCTGTGTGTTCTTTCCGCCATCATTCGAAACGTCTTCCCTCTGCTCCATCCGTTGCTCTATCTTAACAACTCTCCTCTCCCTCCACTTCATCCCATACAAGTACTCCACCCACAACAACCCCATCGCAGCAGCCATCAGGATCCCAAGGAAAGCAAAACACCACGACCACCCCATCCCATCAAGCATCTGCTCAATAGTCGCAGCCCCGACAGCCCCCAACCAGCTCCGCACAAGATTGCACGCAGCAGAAGCTGTGGACGCGCGGTCCGGGAACAGGTCCACCAGAAGCGTATTAAGGGTGTTCAGTGCTCCGACAAAGCAGAATCCGATGACGAACTGTAGCACGAGCGGTGTCGCGAGGAGGGACTGCGGTCGGAGAGCCCAGCCGTATGGGATGAAGGCTACTATGCCGATAGCCATTAGAGGGAAGACGGTCTCCAGTCGGTTCCTTTCAATGGGGAAGTTTCGGAGGTCGTTGTCCGTTCTGCTGTCCGTCGGGATGTTCAGCTTGCGGGCTGCGCGGCGGAAGTTCCAGTCGTTCAGTTTGCCGGTGAGGATGGCTCCGAAGCAGGCGCTGACGCCGAGGGGGCTGGGATTGTCAATTATGAATAAATGCCTATAAGAGGAGAATTTGGGAGAGCACTTACAGGAAGCAGAGGCCAATTTCGAGGTCGTTGAAGCCATAGAGGTCACCGAACAGCCTGGGCGTGCTGGTGAGCAGTGCAATGTTCGAGAACATCACCAGGCCGATATACGAGATGATGATGAGCGCGTCTTTCTCGAGGAGGATGGCAAAGGATTTCAATGGATTGGGGAATGTGAGTTCTGTGCCGTTGCCTCTGCCTATCCTTGCTCTTTGCTCTTCATAAGCAGACCGTTCATCGGCACTCATCTGCTTCACTCTGTGCCGCTCCTGCAGACATTGAATGATGGACTTCCTCCAATACCCGTTCGGAGGGACACTGCCATTTCCCACAATGCTCCGAGCTGTCTCGGGCACAGAAATAGTAAACGCAGTCAAATACCCTCCGCTGATGATAACCAGGAACCAAAACACACTCTTCCACCCGAGAAACTTGGCCAGAAGACCGCCAATCACTGGACCTAGGGCTGGAGCCACCATGACTCCTGCCGCCATGGGGCCGACATACTTGCCCCGATCCGCAGGAACAGTAATGTCTGCGATGACACCGTATCCGAAGGACACGACGCCGCTGCTTCCTGCGCTCTGGAGACAGCGAAGGACCATCAAGGCAGCATAGCTATTCTGCAACGCCAGGCCGATGTTTGCCGCGGTGTAAATCACGAAGGCAATGATATATGCAGGTCGTCGGCCGGCCTGATCGGCAAACGTGCCGATGAAGCTCGGGGCCAGACCTTGCAGGATCATATAGGTGGTGATGCTGAGATTGATCAACGAGTGAGTGAGCTGGTAATTATCCACCAAAGTCGGCAGAACGGGATAATAGATTTGACCGGACAGAGGAGAGAAAAAGCCCGCCGTGGTGATCATGACTACAATGAAGATCTTCTCATATTTGCTGAAGGCTGAATGGACCACTGTGCCATTAGAAGCGGCAACATCAACATCAGCAGCAGAAGCCTCGACATCAGCCTGGAGCGTGGTACTCCGTTGTTGTGCTTCGAGCTTCGAAGGATCAGAATACGAGGAAGAAACGTTGGCAGGTTTAATATCCAGGTCTTTGCCCGAAGAGGTATTTGAGTTCTCGACGTCAAGGCTATTACCATGATTTTCAACATTGTCGCCTGGCGTTTTTAACTCTTCCGCCTTCTCTTCGTCCTTTGGAGATGGCTCTCGGTCCATTCTGTTTTGAGTGTTAGCAGATGAGTTGTATGTCTCGTCTGTCTTCCTCCTACGAAACCTGGATATCTGCCGCACTTTCATCCTGTGTCATACCAGGAAGTCTGGGGGGGAGGGGGCGGCTACATCTGGATCTGGATTCCGTTCCCTGCAACTGCAATATACAAGCCAAGCCAACTGTATGCCGTGTGTTGGTAGATAGGTTTATCCCTCTTTGGGCCCAGTGGTCACCGGTACAATTCAATAGAGAATCAGAAAGAAATTCAAGAAAGGATGAAATGGCAGAATCAGCGTTGAACAAGACTAAAAGAAAAATGAAAGTGTTCAGTGAAATTAACCTGTCTCTGCCTAATTTCTCCATGGACTACCTAACCATTTACACCAGTGTAGGGGCAAAGAAAAGCACCGGGACCGGCGACTTTACTGATTTATATGACCCAAGTCTGGACCGGCTCATTCTGCGAATTCGATACAGAGTAACCCTGGTTCGGAGGTAATCGTTAGAAGGTTAGTGTGTGTAGCTGCCTACTTATATCTATCAATACTACCTAGGCACCTAGAGAGGGTCCAGATCGGATTATTATTCTCTTCAGTTCTGCATTATTACCTATGCCTATGCTTTGTACCACGCCACCTACATTCATTCGTTGAGATGAGATCATGTCGTTGAGTCTAGGGCGGATAGGGCAACTCCACGTGATAGCAAGCAGATTTCATATTGAGTTTTCAACTAAAATCTACCTACATGTAGACTGTTCATAGAACGTATCAATTTCGGCTGTAAAAAAAGGATTTACTCAGCAATAAACAGGATGAAGGATGCTAGGTTCGTTATAAGATGGTTGGTGTCTGTCTGCAGAAAAGCCGAAATTTGAAATACACAATTAAGAAGTAATTGAGCGGAAAACGAAGAACCTCGCTGTAAGATCCAAGAGAATACAGAGAGTAAAGAGCATACAGAACAGACATCATCCCAACCTATCGTACAACCATCTCGACGGAGCAACCGCACAGTAGATGAGAGAAATACACGCTTTTTAAGCAAAGCCGAGGTGGAACAGTATCAATAAGCACCTGCCATGATGACGTTGTAATAGCGCCTGCTCAACTCGGCCGTCTGTGTGACGCGTGTGTTTCCGCTGAGAGGTAAGTTGAGAATAGTTGAGGTATCAACAGACTGCGAAAATGTTGAGTCAGTAGAAACAAACGTGAACAATGATCGATCGCAGCGCAAAACTAACCTCAATATCCTCCTGCGAAGTCCACCTAGCTATGGCATTGCTCATTTCCTGGAACGCTACCCTCTCCTCTAACCCTTCAACGCCATGCTTCTGATTTAGTTGATGTCCCAGAGAAACGAGCGCACTGGCAAGTCGATTCAGTCGAGTCGAGTCCCTCTTTCCACCCCTTGCCGTGGCAATACGCAAGAAGTCATCATACACGCCACCACCATTGTCCCATCCTCGAACCTTTCTCTCCGGTGCATCACCAAAGCCCGAAATCAGCTTCTCCAACGTATCATAGTCTCGTTCGATTACAGCAGTTGGACCGACAATGCGACAGAATGTGGCGTGTGCATCATTCCAGTTCTTCCCGCGGATAAGACAGTCGACTTCGCCAGTAGCATCACCGGTGTATCGTGCATATAGTGCTTTGGCGACCCAGATCCATGCTTCAGGAAGTTGAAGATCAACCGTCAAGTACTGCCAAGTTGCATCCGGCGAGCCTTCGGCAGTCACAGGGGAAGGAAGTCTGGGAGCGAACCGCGCAAGAGTATCTTTCACAGCGCGTTCACGATCGGACGCTCGGGAAAGATGCAACAAAACGAATAACGCCTGCTCTAGCTCCCCATTTGAGCCAAGTTCCCAAGCATAATCCCGGACTAAGTGGTCTGCCTGAACAGCGTTTGTTCTGAAAGAACGTTGCTGTCCAATGGTGGCAGAAAGTGTGTGATGCAACTGGAAGGACAGTCGATTCGTGAGCCGATCCCCAGACACTGATTCTGGTAGCACAGCGGCTGGGAATTCCAATGTCGAAAGACCTGGGGCTTGTCCACTGCTCACAAATGCTGAATAGACTTTCAATAAAACCCAAAGAGGAGATTCCCGGCCAAGGGTATCTGAACCAGGCTGTGCCACTTCGCGGTCCTCTTCAGCATGTCTAGGATATGGAAAGGCAAGCTCTTGTCCGCTAGCAAGATCAGCCTCGAATTTAGAGACTGCTACTTCAATTGGCTCGTCGTCGGTAATGCCATACCAAAGACGGAGACCAAACGCTTGAAACCAATCTAGTTCGAAGCGCTCAGTGAAAGTAAAAGTCGAAGCTCGATCCTCCAATGCACCACCCGACTTGCCTTCACTGAGGAGAGCATTGCCTGCGAGAAGTTCATAAAGAGCTCGGATGGGATCGGTCATCTCAGAATAGACGTTATGCTCTCTCCAGTATTCAATTTGCTTTTCCATGTCGGCACGGGTGGTTGGATCTCTCCCGATTTGTGAGACCAAGCTAGCAAGATGCAGATTCCCGCTCTTGATTAGTGTTTTGCAAGCCTCGTCCACTCTATGAGAACAGAGGAGAAGGATAGCACGTTCTTCGAGAGATCCAAACTTGCTAAGGTCATGCGCATGCCTTTCCCGAATGATCTCTGCCCATAGGCGGCTAAGGCGGTCCTTCTTGATGCGATGAATCAACTTGGGTCGAAGCTGAGCGGGTACACTGTCAGAAATGTCGTCATTCATATCCTCATCGAACAGAACAGCAGCTAGCAGCCAGACAAGACGTTCGCTGTCTGACTGTGGCGAGCGGGTGAACTGTTTGAAATCCGTCTTCACCAAGCGAGCGAAAGGAACACCGTCGACACGTTGGATAGCAGACTGCTTCCTCTGGATATCAAGCATGTCTCTAGACTAGCTCAATCTGTTAGTAAAACTGTTCCACACGAAATGCAAAATAGAACAGACGAACCTCGACTGTCTTATTGAAAGACAAGACAACTATGTCTCTCTCTTCACTAGTAACGGAAATTCCTTGTTCCCAGGGCTTGTCCGCGTCAGGAAGCGTTTCTCTCATACCATTCTTCACACATATGATGGAATCCATTGGACCCCATCGGGGTTTGAAGGAGAGATGAAATGCGGTATCGACTTCGCCCAGCTCATTTGAATCACCTGCGAAAGTTTTAGGCTGCTTGGGATAAGGCCACTATAAAGAAGAAAAAATTAATTGCTCAGTTATGAACATCTTCCAATTTGGTTCGGCTCTATGAGAAAGCAACAGGTGCATTAAATACAAGCTCGTTGGAACAAAGGCAGAAAGGAAATAAGCACAAGAAACACTAAGAACAAAGGGGGGTTAAGCAAAGGGATCAAAGGGAGTCAAACCTCAAAGCCTTTAGCCTGGGCAGTTTGTTTCCGCGGCTGTTGAAACAAAGAATTCATCAAATCAATGCTTGAAGTGAACTTCTTCGGGTGCGCATCCATAGCGTTTTGCTTAGGAGTACCACTGTGGAGGAGTCTGTCTGTAAAAGCATTGGCCTGGATCTCGCGCAATGCATCACGGTTCTGTTTCCTAGGACTAATAGTCCGTTGTAAATGCTCGGTCCAGTCCCCACTGAGGTCAAGATGAGCTTTTGGTGGCGTGCTGTATGGCTTCAAGATGGGTTGAACGGGTCCCTTGATCTCGGTGGTTTTCGTATCGTCGCGCTCCACGGTTTGACGAAGGTTCGGAAAAGAGCCCGCCATTTCCATTTCTTCATCTCCGTCAGATTCGACTTCCGAGTCGCCAGACTGCTGGCTTTCGGTGACATCGTCACCTTCTTCCTCAGTAGTTGAACCCGTGGAGCCTTCCCCTAAAAAAGACTCTTCATCGTCAGAGCCTGAAGGTTGGTTATCTTCTTCCATATCATCTTCTGCGACCATCGCCTGGTTAGCGAACGACCCAGGGATAATCTTGCGCTTCTTGAAATCGAAGGTATCGTCGTTCACCCCGGCCATGGAACCAACGAAGGAATCATCAGTAGAGAATGTTGCTGTGGGCTCCGAGTCCACTGTCCGGTCGAGGTGGGTGGACGACTGAGTATTCGGAGTTGGAGTGTCAGGAGCAACACTCAATGCGCTTTGGTTGAGACTCTCACCTTCTTCGTCATCATCATCATCATAATCAAAACCGTAAGTAGTGTAGTGAGCCACTCTAAAAGTCCACGTTGCAGTTGACTTGTTGTAGTCAACAAATTCGGTATTATTAACCTTTTTCAAGCGATCGATGTGCTTATCAAATTGAAGACCGGATCTCTTATCCCTACCCCGAGGCCACGAGTTTTCCAGCGTCAAAGTTGATGGAACATTCAGTCCCTTACCGACTGGTGGTTTCACGGTCCCATCTGGATATACTGTGATAGACCGTAGACCGATAAGCACAAGGCCTCCTAAGACTCTGTCCATGTCGATGGTTGTTAGATCAACAGGGCGGTCAAATGTAACTTGGCCACAGAACTGGCGGCCAACAGTAAAACCGACGAAGTGCTTCAGTTGTTCACGAGGCATCTTGTCGAGCTCTTCGCGAGATGGTTTCATCCAGTAATCGCCAGGCTTCAGATCACGGCCAGGCGTAGGGGTATATCTGGGTTGACCATTGGTATGAATACGTTCTGTTTCGGTAGGGACAGCCTTCTCTTGAACCTTTTCCATCTCAGGCCGAGCGATGCTCTCGGAGGGTTGCGCTGCAGGCTTGGTACCATTGACCGCTCCCTTCGGAGCGTTATCTCTACGAACGGACCGCAGAAACCCAAGCTCCTCTGGAGTTGGATCAGCACTCTGGGTCTCAGAAAGCACAACTTCGCGGCCATTAACGTCGGGAACGTCCGTGGTAGCTCCGGCGTCGAAACTGACCCGTTTCTTCGCCGGTTGTGTGCTGTCTTCGCCATTGGTGATGGTGGCCGCAGGCGTGCTCGCAGGGCGCGAGAACAGATCAGACCTCAAGTTACGATCAATAGTAAGTCTTTTGAGGTTACTAGAGGGCCGCGTGCCGGTCGACGATAGCGCGCCAGGTGACAAGATGCTATCCGCTTCCGGATCAAAGCTCTTGCGCAGACCAGTAGCACTAGTGGCAGAGAAACTCCTGCTGAGGCCGTGACCCAAACCACCGTTGACGCTACCACGCAGGCTGCTGCCTAAAAGACTGCCTCCAAGTCCGCCCGCAGAGCTAATACTGCTTGTCGGTGATCCGTAGGTAGAGTAAGAAAATCCGTATCCCTGGCGTTTTGGCGGGGTGATGAGGCGATTTGCCGCATTCGGGGTGATCTTGTAGACAGGCAACGGCGTGCGCTGTTTCTGCTTCGCAGTGGAAGAGAGGGGTGTCGCTAAGGGGCCGGGGCTTGGAGCGTTCGGGCCTGGCAGGCCGGAGAAGATAGACTGGTTACCATACGGGTTGCCTTCAAGGAGGGAGGTCTGCAGGCTACCAGGTACTGGCGGGTGTTGCTGTTGCTGTTGTTGGGGCTGTTGAGAAGCTCCAAAGAGACTGGAAGCACCCATGCCACCTGCCTGGGGCTGTTGGTTCTGGGAAAGGCCGCCAAAGATAGAAGATCCGGTATTCTGGGTTGTTGTATTCTGGCCTCCAAAAAGAGAAGTGCCAGTGCCAGTGCCTCCGAAAAGAGATTTTTGCTGCGGTTGATTTTGCGTGCCTCCAAATAAGCCAGTGCCTCCTGCGGGCTGATTCTGCGGAGTGCCAAACCCTGAAAACAGACTGGTGCCAGTACCGGTGCCTGTCGTACCAGCACCGCCAAAGAGGCTCTTCTGTTGCTGCTGCCCACCACCGAAAAGGGACGTAGATCCGGTTTGTTGGGTATTGCCTCCCAAGGGAGGCATAAGGCAGGTGCTCGGCTGTTGCTGCTGCTGCTGGGTGTTCTGACCAAAGAGTGAAGTGCCCGTGTTGGTACCTCCGCCAAAAAGGCTTGGTGTGGTCTGCTGCTGCTGTGTGCCAGTACTGCCAAGCCCGCCAAACAAGCCTTTATTCTGTGTCTGGGTCTGGTTTTGTTGTCCAAAACCACCGAATCCAGTGCCTGTCTGCTGGGTACCACCAAAGGGAGAGGAAGTTGCGGGTGTCGTTCCAAAGGGATTCGCGGCGGTGGTGGTGGTGGTGGTAGTTTGTTGCCCGAAGCCGCTCGATCCGAAACCGCCAGTGCCCGTGGTACCTCCGAATAATGGCTTGTTTTGTTGCTGCTGGTTGCCACCGAATAGGGAGCTGCCGGTTCCAAATCCACCGGTTCCAGTAGCACCTGTCGTACCAAAGCCGCCACCAGTTGTACCAGTAGTGCCGCCAAAGAGACTAGGTTGGGAAGTTCCGGTTGTTCCTCCTCCAAACAAGGATGTTGCTGGCTTAGAGGCACCAAATAGAGGATTGGTTGAAGTTGAACCAAAGCCACCGGTGGTTTGGGTTTGGCCAAAAGCTGATGGAGCGCTGGTAACAGCTCCAAATGGAGAAGCAGTGGAACCAAATCCAGTGGAAGCTGGTTGTCCAAAGCCAGACCCACCGAAGGCAGAGGTACCAAAGGCGCCAGCTTGGCCACTTCCGTTACCAAATCGTCGACCCTGGTTATAATCTGCCAAGCGCAATTCTTCGAATGAATATTTCTGGTATGGTTGCTGGAAGGTAATGCTTTGATAGTGATTGTTCACATTTGCAGAGGTATCCTTCTCTTGCACAGGGTTAAACGGAGTGCCGCCAGTGCCTTCACATGGAGGGAGCTGGCCTTGAAACGCCGTTCCTCCTGCACCACCAAATCCAGAGGGCGTTGTACTAGCCCCGAACCCGCTTCCTGTGCCAAAACCAGTGCCGGTCGTAGCAGTACCAAATCCTGTCTTATTACCGAAGAGCCCTCCCCCAGTGCCAGTAGAGCCAAAGCCACTGCCGGTATTACCGGTCGAACCAAAACCACCAAATCCGGTTCCCCCAGCTGTGGTCGTTCCTCCTCCGAAAAGGCTGCCGCCAGCTGAAGTGGTAGTGGTTCCAAAGCCGCCAGTACGATTTTGATTTCCGAACAAGGAATTAGACTGAGTGCCTGTTCCGAAGCCTAATACGAATGCAGTCAGCAGGCGTTGAAGAAGAAAATCACAAACCAGCGATTAAGGAAAGAAAAGAAATTTAAGAGAGACCCCCCCCCAAAAAAAAAGCGGGTCGGAGCTTTTAGGAAGAGATGTTGAAATGCAGATCAATTGGGTCTGGAATCCGATTCTGAATTCAACTCCAAGTGACGCCCAGTGGTCCGTTTGTGCGGTGAACGCGGCATGTTGCCACTTGGGGCCGACGACCACAAAAAGAAAAATGGAAGGGTCCAGGCAGGATACGATAGCAAAACGAGAAGGGTCACCAAGCTCATGGTATAGTATATCGACTTTTCGAACACGTACCTCCGCCGGAGCCAAAGCCGCCGGAAGAACCTCCGAAAAGGCCTCCGCCAGTCGTATTACTGCTGCCAAAAGGAGAAGCGGATGCAGTTGATCCAAATCCTAGATGACGGAATAGACGCGGTCAGAGACTGTTATTGAAGCTGGGGTTTTCCCCCTCTCGTTGTTGCTGTGCCGTTCAACGTCGAATCAATTCCGCGTGGGCAATAGTGGGTGGTGATTTTCGATGGTAGCATTGATTTCGATGTTGAGAGGCGCGGGTCGACGTAATGACAGCCAGCAAATACGCGTTTGCCTCTTCCCTTCCAAAAAAGAAAAGAAACGAACAAAGAAAAACAAAGTGAAAACAAAGATCATTTCGGGCAACGCGTGGAAACTACCTACCTCCACCAGTACTTGTTCCTCCAAATCCAGTTCCAGTGCCAAAGCCAGAGCTCTGCTGGTTGTTTTGGCCGAACCCTCCGAATCCGCCGAAAGACATGTTGCCGCCTGATTCAGTTTCTCAGTCAGACAGCGAATTCATTCGTTCGATTACGGACGTCGCAAACAGAGTACGGTTTATGCAAATTCGAGTCGTTCCAACTGGTGAAACGGAAGAAATCTAAGGATAAGGAAGAAGTGAGGTTGATGCGACGCGTTGGTCGAGAGGATAGAGGATGGGCGTCGAGACGCGCAAAACCAAATTGAGATGAAATAGGCCCGTTAGGCAGCCAACGGTTAGTAGGCAAGAGTCTGCCACGAGGCACAGAGAGACGGAAGAGAATCACTGAGCGCAACGAGGAGAAGAAGGGATGGGGAAGGGAAGGGGGAAGTAAGGGAAGGGGGAATAAATACAGACTCGGATGGGAGGGTCTTGGGAGAGGCGACGGACAGTCAGAAGAGGTTTGGCAGCTTCGCTTACGGAAGAATAACGGGCCGGTCCAGATCGGGCTAGGGTTTCCTATCCTGGCATAGCGTCATGGTTTCCTCTGATTTAATTGAAGCGATTCATTGGTGCCACCACCACGTATTAAGTGGCCAGCATGCTGTCAGTTGTGTCTGATGGGAGTATATGATGATGCTGTCATTGAAGAAATAAGCCTGGTTGACTCATACTACAGAAGCCTACATAGTATGAAGTTCCTTACTCGTCTAGCGCACCAGGCAGCATCCGCGTGATCCCTACATATATGCATGGCTGCAGCTGTAGGCAGACTCGCTTATCAGTGTTTGTATGAGTAATACTGTGCCCGTTCATGTCCCGAATAACACATAGCAATGCTCTTATCAAAGTACATAATTTAGTTATGAATATCAAAGTGGTCTACCATACTACACATATGGTCTCTCCAGCCCGCCCCACACACTCTGTTGTGAGTGTTGTAGCTAGGGAGGCCCGGAGTCGGGCGGTCTAACTGGGCATAATCCACGTGATCACTAACATCAACTAATGGAGGTATATCGTTGGTTGGTTACTAGCTAGATAGGCCTACGTGGTGAAAAGGGTCAGCTAGGGCGGACCTATGCGGCAGAATCCCACGTGATCCAACATCAACACTTATGCTGAATAATGTGGGCTAGGCTAACTAGGAGCCGAACCATGGGAACCACCAACACACTCTACATCTACGACCGCAAAAAGAGCTTCTCTCTGCCCATACGATGGTCCAATCACGCTTTTATTGTAAATGGAACTCCATCCAGTCGTCCGGTTTTATATGAACATCAGAAATCTATGAAGATGCGACTTAAACGCCGCTGCTGCTGGCGAATAAAACGATCCACATGCCCTGACTTCCGAGGTCAAAAGCCATTTGCCGGACCCCGCGCAAACCCCAGGACGGACTGTGGAGATATCCTCCATGATGTTATCATTATTTGCAGTCAATATGGGATGCTCCAGTAGTACCTAGGTAGGGTGGATAGCGATACTAATACATTGATCTGATATGGTATGATACTATTAATCGCTGTCGTTTTGCTCAATGGCATCTACTTCTATCCTCTGTTCTGAATCATTACCCTAGCAGTAGTTACACATCTACTCCAAAATGCGCGATAAAGTTGCCTCTGACCGTGTAAAGCAGGTAACAGGCCACCTGAAAGACTCACCCCAGCTTCCAGCTGATTACAGCGACATTCTCTCTACGCTGGATAATATCCGGGAACGAGTGGCAACCCCCAATTTCCAGAACAGGGGATGCATCAAACAGAAGCGCTCTGAGAAACTTTGGGTCCGAGAGCGCTTGGGGCAATTGCTTTATGCTGGGAGTTTCGTTGAGATCGGTAGCGTCAGTGGGAAGGCGAAGTGGAAGCAAACCGGAGAACGGACGGAAGAGATAGAGGATTTCATGCCGGCTAATAATGTTCAAGGTCTATTCAAATCGTTTCATAGAAAAGGAGAACCACATGCATAGGTTTCGGACTGCTTCGTGGAAGAAAAGTGCTTCTTACGGCGGATGATTTCACCATCAGGGCGGGCCATTCTGATGGAGCTATCCACGAGAAGACGGTTTGTTTTCCTCTCCCCTTGGGTTGATTTTGGCCCCGATTTCCTCTAATATGTCTTCAGCTCTACCTCGAAAAACTGGCTCTTGCAATGCGATTACCAGTCGTAAAATTAACAGATGGATCCTCCGGTGGCGGCTCTGTCAGCACGATAAAGAAAACCGGCTACTCATACATCCCAATGGTATTAGGAATGGAGCACGCCGCAGAGCAGATTAGGACCGTGCTGAGCTCTTACCGAATTGTGCGCAGGCGCAGATTCCACCTGTTCTTGCGAACGATGACCCTGTCGGCCGGCTATGTCCTGAGCTACGGACTATCATTCCTCGACGGAGAGTGAGGATGTATAATTCAAGGGCTATCATCAAATGCGTCTTTGATGCCAGTATCTGGTTTGAGATCGGTACACTATGGGGAAGAACCGTCATTGTTGGCCTTGCACGACTCGGAGGAAGACCAGTAGGCGTGATATCTACCGATTGTGAAGTCAACGGTGGTGCTATCGATTCAAGTGGTTCGCAGAAATTAACACGTCATCTGAAGCTCTGCGATGTAATGAACCTCCCTATAGTCCAATTAGTCGATGTACCAGGATACGCCATAGGGACGATGGCCGAAAAGAAAGGTGCGTACCTGATAGACCTACCCCCTTGCCTTTAGAAGGTGGCATTGAAGCCAGCCATAGCCATGAGCTTAGACAGGCCGCTGCTGAGGCATAAGAGAGGAGCGGTATAAAGAATTGGAGGATGAGTACCTCCGGTTGATGAATCCAATCCGCACAGCCAACCCTTTTGGGGTGGAAGAGATCATCGACCCGGCTCAGCCACGGAAGATTGCAGCTGCATGGGCTGCTCAGGTGTAAGTCTCATCTGGTTTCCTCTATTAAGTGCGAACATGGACTGACTCGTCGCTGTGTTTGGTACTTTAGATATGACGAACTTCTTCCAGCGAGAATTCTGGACAGAAATTCCGGGAAGATCAGACCTACTTTTACTTGATTGTATCATGGAGTATAGGCGTATAGGCTTTAGACAGTCCATCTCTAGTCAAATAGCACCTGTTATAGCTTGATCGGTTGGTGTATGTATATAAAGGTCCTGCTTTCTAAACTACATGTAGACAAAAGAGCCAACGTCACCACCTCACCATCATGGAAACTGGCCAGATTCAATCATCGACACAACTGTCTTGGTCAAGGGGACATATACTATGCCCTGCTTTGCGATCCAATACATCTGATCCGGACAGCTCTCTGAAGTACAAAACCTGGGAACTAGAGTCGGTATTCATAACGAAGATTAATAAAGAAGATGTTATGACCAACATTCATCCCGCAGCCCTACTTTAACCTTCTCCATCACGTCAGAGACCTGTTCCTGGTCATGGTCATATTTCTTCTCCTTGTCATCCTGCCGAGAGGCAGCATCTCTCACAATTCGAAGGAACTGCGGAACTACATACAGCGGGATTCCGTGATGGGAATCAGTCATCCATCGTTCCAGCTTGGCGACGGTCTTCTTCAAGCGTGTCATCTCCATGGAGCTCGATAGCGGCACATCCAAGCTGTCCTTCGTACCCGTACCGGTTCATTGGGATTGCGTAGACATTTGCAAAAATTGCTGATGTTAAAGCATAATTCTTACTGTAATAAGTGCATCTCCTAGGTGGAAAAATTCGTCGCCTTTGGAAAACGCATCCCTCCGGCTCCTTCCTTCAAATCTGAATGCCTAATTCTTGCCCAGGGTGTCTCTCGGACGGCATACGAAGCATGTACGACGTGGTAGAATGGCCAGTCGTCATTCCCGTGTTTGTTGGATAGCTCCAGTCAGCTATTGAAGCCGCCGTGCGCCACTTATCTGCGCGAAATCACTCATCAGGGAATGCTTTGCATTGATATACATCCCCACCGCGGAGAAGAGTGTGTTACCGAGTGCCATTTGTGGTATTAAATCCATTGTTCGTTGGATTGATTCGTTTCCCCGATTAGGGTTGCACTGAATTGGCCTACCTAAGGACCTGGTCTATTCTTAATCTCGGCGATGAACAATAAGGATAAGGCATGACCAAGACAGTTAAGCTGCAATGATGGACATTATCCAAATCGGCAACGATGCCATAATGGTTGCCGACCATTACCTGGGGACCTCGGTTGATGATTGCCTTTGGGGTGTGAGATCCAATTCCTTCATTGCAGGTAACCGAAAATATATTAAATCTGGGGAAACCTGCCTTGTTCAGTTGAAAAGGGGGGGTAGCTCCTCCATCCTTTCTTGATGGCTTATATCGTCGAGGGCAGCAGTCGTGGTATTCCTTAGAAATGATAATCCAACGCCTTCTGGTAGCGAACAGGTACGTTCCACGCCTTCGCTGCCGTATGTTGTTGACCTTCTAATCTGATCCCTTCCATCTTTTCACCAGAGGCGAAATAGCCATTCGCATTTAATGCATATCTAGCGCAAGAGAGCTGGGCAATCACCGCGATAGCCGTATATACTTCTGATGACTCGAATCATGCAGCCTTTGCAGACGAAGCCATCAAGATCTCTTCTCCGTTAGATTTTACTGATACAGGGAAGCTTGTTGACATATGCAAACGGAAATCAATTGATGCTGTCCATCCAGGCTATGGATTTCTTTCTGAGAATTCCGAATTTGCGCGTGCGCTTGAGCAGGATGGTATCACCTTCGTGGGACCAACACCGGACATTCTCTCTTGCTTAGGCGACAAGACAGCAGCGAGGGCTATGGCAGAATCCTGTGGTATGCCTATTCTGCCTGCGACAAGAGAGGCAATTTCTGACGTGTCAGACGCTGCCCATTTCGTTGCCTCCGTGGGTTACCCTGTGATGGTCAAAGCCGTGGATGGTGCTGGCGGTCGAGGAATCAGGTTGATCACAGGGCCAGGAGCGCTTCAGAATGGCTTTGCTAGGTGGGAGATGCGGTAGTTGCAGAGCAAGTGCTCATGGTCGTGCGTCAGATGAAAATGGAGGTTGACATTCGCGTTTCTAAAGCTGGCATCGTGACGTGGATATGCGGCGTTGAAGACAACGAGGTGGTCTCTGAAGGGATGCTCATATGTGAACTGAAGAGTACTAGCGAGCATTCCACTGTCACATCGAAGCTGTGAAATCAACTTTTGGGAATCATAGACATTGTTGAATAGAGGTTGTTCATGCTAGTTCACAATATGACCGCAGCCTTATATCTCGAATAGAGCAAGCAGCAGACGTGTTAAAATAAGCTGCCAGATTTCTACAGGCAACAATTTATATTCCACTGGAAAGTGAAGAACTTCTGATTTTTGAGCTTGAGAACTTAAGAGTAATATCCATTTCATGGAACCGGGGCATCCGAACTCTATGCCCACAAAGGCTGCAAGGTATCCAAGGTAGGTTGGCATTTGTTTAGTAAAGGAGTCATTAACTCCCAGTGTCTTCTTCATGCTAAGCCGGCGTTCAGCAGATCGCCCATCAGCATTATGGGTCATCCATCAGTGAGTATAAATGGATGGATAGGTGTCTGGTTCAGGATTATAAGTCGGGGAAGTGGATATACGCTCGTTGAAGTGTTATAATATTTGACCTATTCGATGAAAATCAGTCCTCAGCCATTTACTGTTCCTCCATCGGCTCCTTTACCGTCATATTATTGAAATAGATGGGCACAGAAATCCCAAGGATATGATTAATTGTAATTGAATTATCCTCATGAGGAAAAAACACGTGCTCGCAGAGCTACAAACTTGTGATGCAAAGTAATTATCCTGAAAAAGGCCTTGCGGCAGAACCCAAATAACAGTTCTGGTCGTCGAGAATTTCCAGTACATGGTATGTGCATATATACGTTCCAGTCAATTTCCGTCTCATCCGATATTGTCATTTTTTTCTTTTTTTCTTTTTTTTCTTTTTTGGAATTCCCTTCACTATTTCTTCTGAGAAGCGTGGACCGTCTCAATAATCTTGCCCACAACGTCAGGGTGGGAAAGCTGCCATCAACGTTAGCTTTTCTCGTTATATTTCCAGTTTTTATCCACTGGGACTCACCGAAGAAACATCACCCAGACTGTCTTCTTCACCGCTGAGGATCTTGCGCAGAATTCGGCGCATGATCTTGCCACTGCGGGTCTTAGGAAGGTCCTCAACAACAAAGACAGCTTTGGGGGCAGCGAAGGGTCCAATCGACCGGCGAACTTGCATCACCAGATCCTTGCGGAGTTGTTCGTTGGCTGCCTTTTCATCCTTGATGGACACGAAAGCGTTCACCGCTTGTCCAGTGAGCTCATCGGCGATACCGACGACTGCTGCCTCGGCAACAAGAGCTATTTTGGGGTCAGAACAAAGGAAAAGATAGAAGATAATTGCTGCTAGAGTAATAAAACTTACGGTGTTCAATGAGGGCAGCTTCAATCTCAGCAGTAGAGAGACGGTGACCAGAAACGTTGACAACGTCGTCAACACGACCACGGATCCAGTAGTATCCGTCGTGATCACGACCGGCACCATCACCGGTGAACTGAAATCGTAGTCGTCAGTAACTAATTCATCCTAAGAAATGGCGGAGACGCTTACGTAGTAGCCCTTGTAGACATTCAAGTATGTATCCATGTAACGCTTGTGCGCACCCCAAATGGTGCGAGCCATGCTAGGCCAGGGCTGCTTGAAAACAAGAACACCTTCGACATCATTGCCGACGAGCTCCTCACCCGAGACCGGGTCAATGATAGCAGGTTCGATACCAAAGAAGGGCAAAGATGCACTTCCTGGTTTGGTCGGAGTGATACCACCTAAGGGGGTGATCACGTTCGAACCGGTCTCCGTTTGCCAGTAGGTCTGAAGAGCAGTCAGAATCGCAGCTACGAAAACAAATAGCGGTCAGATGAATACTTACATCACAAACATGTGCCTCTTCTTTGCCGATGACTTCGAAATACCATTTCCAGACCTCGGCCGCAATGGGTTCACCGACGGAACCGAGGACACGGAGGTGTTCCATCTGGTGGCGAACATGCTCATCTCCAGCCCGCTTGAGAAGACGCAGAGCGGTAGGAGCCACATAGAACTGCGTGATCTGGTGCTTCTCGATCACGTCCCAGTAACGGGAGAAGTTGGGGTATGCGGGAGTACCCTCAAAGACGACTGTTGAGCAACCCAAAAGCAAAGGAGCATAAACAACATAGGTGTGTCCGGTAATCCAGCCGACATCACCACCGCAGAAGAAGCGGTCATCTTCATGAATGTCAAAGACGTATTTGCCAGTCATTGCGGCACCCACAAGGTATCCAGCAGTGGTGTGCATGACACCCTTGGGCTTTCCGGTCGAACCAGAAGTGTAGAGCAGGAACAAAGGATCCTCAGAGCTGACAGGCTCCGGAGGGAAGTAGTTGGGGTATTTCTCAACCTCCTCGTGCCACCAAAGGTCCCGACCCGGGGTCCACGGCACGTCCGCGCCAGTCCGCTTGTAGACCAGGACGCTGGTCACATCGGGGCACTGCTTGAGAGCCTCGTCGGCAATGCGCTTGGTCCCGATGACCTTACCACCACGTCTACCCTCGTCGGAGGTGATAATGACCTTGGACCGGGCGTCTAGAACACGGTCCCGAAGGGAATCTGAGGAGAAACCGGCGAATACGACGGAGTGGACAGCGCCGATACGCGAGCAGGCCAGAAAAGCAATAACGGCCTCGGGGATCATAGGCAGGTAAATGGCGACTGAGTCTCCCTTCTTAACCCCTTGCTCCTTCAGCACCCACGCTACGCGGGATACCTCACGAAGAAGCTCGCCGTAAGTAATCTTGCGACCTTCCTTAGCCTCATCGGCTTCGTAGATGATGGCGACCTTGTCAGGGTTCTTCAAAGCATGGCGATCGACGCAGTTGTATGAAGCATTGAGACGACCCTCGACAAACCAGGCATTGTCTCCGTTCTCGAATGATCCGCTGTGAGTGGTCTGGAAATCTTTATCGAAGGTAATGAGCTCGCGAGCCATGCGAGCCCAGAAGGTGTCCGGGCTGCGGATCGACTCCTCGTATAGCCTCTTGTACTCATCGAAATCTTTCAGGTGGCTCCCTGCCGGACGCTTCTCGTGGAATGCCTTGGGCACGTGGATAATGTCGGCATCGCGAGCCTCGAGAACCTGATGAGATGGGGTCTCCTTCTTAGCGTACAAAAGTACCACAAGAACATGTTTAAACAGAGGGTTTGCTCACCACTGATGGCAATGTAGGGTCAATGGGACCGTCAGACATGGTAGCGCAGAAGGGGGAGTGTGGGTGAGTAGAACTGGTGTAGTGGCGGCGGGATCGGTATGAGCTTTAAAGGGCCCCACCAGACAGTAAGACGGTGGTGTATATATAGACAGGGGCAGTCAGAGAGTCCAAGGGATGAATAATCTTGTTCAAGTCGCCGAGACAACGAAGAGTAGGAGACGAAGGAGGGGGTACAGACGGGAGGGGGGAACCGGAGGAGTGGAAAAGGAAGAAGTTGCTGGACCAAAATTATGATGGGGAAGACAGGCGCATCGGTATATATATAGTTTGAGGCAGCGGATTTCCTCAACGATATCGGTTCCTGAACTGTAAGGAGCTACGCTAATAATAATGCAATGCAGTCACTAATAATCCCGCAGTAATTTCTGAATCCCAAGTCACCCTACCCTGGCTTATGTATCTACGCCGTACGCCCCCTGTATCTTGGCTACTCTACAGACTCAAAGCATCGGCATTGATTGGATCGGCAGCCTGAGAATGCGACAGTCTGCATCATGAACCGCATTCTGAGCTCCGCAAGCTCGGGGACATGGAGACGCAGCGACCAAGCGGAGAGGCTTTGATACTTTTGCGACTCGAAAGCAGAAGCCCTTGAAGCCAAAGCTCTGTCGATCGCAAAATTACCTTGGGGGCACTAGTGCCCGCCATTTCCCAACGCGGCTAGCGTGGCAGCTCGGCGATGACTCGGCTACGCGGGGCCTGGCTTGGCCCGTGACTCAGCGCGCGTCGTCCTTCCAACAACTCGTGGCTCTCCGTTGCTCCGGATTTCTGCATGCTCACCTTGCTTGCTCCCCTACCGCCCGTCCGTCCGAAGTCAAGACCATGCGGATTGGATTTCCTGCTGCTGCCGTAGCCGAGTTGGAGGGTGCAATCCAATTTCAACATCACGTCTAGACTCAGGACTGCAAGGGTTGTAGGAGTGCATGCTACCAGGCATCCAAGACAGACTCAGAAACAGAGGCAATCATGAATCTATGATACTGATACTTCGATAGGGTGAATAGGAGACCTTGCTTTCTGGACAATGGACACACTTCGCCCCCGTGGCAGCAGTTAAGTCCATCTCCCGCTATCTATCTACTAACTCTATGTGATATTATCCCCGACTCATTTATCCCCCGCTCTCCAGACTCTCCCCCATGACTCGCTGGGAATCGCCTGAAAATAGTGGGGTCATCATCACGTATCATCATCGTCATCGTCACCACAAGATATGTATCTCCATCACCATCGTCCCGGCCAGCACCGACTTCCCCCGAACTTTCTCCAGTTCCCCCTCCCCGCGATTCCAGCCCGAACCGGGGAACGGTTACACGGAGGAACGGGGAAATCCTGGGTTATGAGAGATTTATATTCCATGTCTGACGCCGAGGTTATGTTTGTCCTTCTACAGTTTCACTAATGTTGAGCGTCTCGTCTACTCAGTGGCTATTCGGAAATAGATTGGTCGCTTGTTCCCCGCCTATAGGCACCCCGAATACGGAGTATTTACTCCGGATATGCTGTTGTCGCATGGGCCCCAGAACGTCATTGCCTTCCCCATTACCAGGCTTACAGGATAAAAAGGCTCCGAGAATACTTCGACCGTCGCAGCTACAATGATACATCAGACCCGTCCATGGTGGACGATCCTGGCAGCTGATTTGCATGAGAATTATTCTGTTTCTTGCGTACTTTACGCAACACATCTCTCAATTATGCTCCTGTAGGCTTTGCCATATCCCCTTCATCCGAAATGCCCCCGGTGGCTCATGCGGTCCAACCCCCCCTCCACCAACTACCGAGTCCCAGTAGGAATAATGCCATGCGCCCATCCTGTAATAGATCTTTGAACACCTGTATCCCTGTCCAAAACGTAACACCGCCTTCCCTGCGACCTTGAACTAGCACCTTAGCTCCAACCAGAAGCAGCTCACCCGTCACAAAGACAACGAAAGGATTCTGCGCCGTAGCAGGCGGCGGCGGCGGACTACCATAGGTCACAATCGACGATCCGATGAGCGTAAGCAGATAGAATCCCAACGCGAATGCAAACAGCACATGTACAATCCTCCATATCCAAGCTTGCTTCTTCGCCTCCGGTGACTCGGGCGTCATCGCTGCATTCAATATATCCGCGAAAACGGGCGGAAGGCCAAGTATGGACGTTATCTCAGCAGGAGAAAACCCCATGATCTTGTTTCCGGAGGCACCCTGAGAAGGAGAGTCCTGGGGGATTCCGCCTTGACCCTGCGACATTCCTCCCAACATGGCATTGAGTAACTTCATCGGATCTTGTTCCAGTTCTTCCTGGGCCGCTGCCGGTGTGTTCCCGCGGAGCAACGCGCGGACGTATTCATACTGCTGCTGTGCTTGGGCGTCTTCTTTTGACTGAATCTGGTTTTCTACTGGTGTCGGGACTGACTGTGTGGGTTGTTCTGGCTTCGTTTGAGGCCGTTGAGCTTGCGTTGGTGCGGGTGTCGCTGGTTCGGACGGCTTTGGGGACAGTGTCTGTTCCTCCACACGGGCTGTAATAAGTTTAAAATCATAAATTAGCTCCAGTCCCACAGAGCTAGATGCACTGGGCTGAACTGCTTGTCAGGTGTGATAGGTATTGGGGGGGAAGGGATCATACCGCTCGTAGGTGCACGCCCACTCAAGCTGGTGATCTTATCCAGACGAGCAGCACCATCCTCTCTGATCTTGGCTTCGCGACGCTCACGACGCAGACGGGCCGCTCTTTGAGCCGGGGATTCTTCTGGAGTAGACATGTTCCCCCCTCTTATGTACTTGTGTCTGTTCAGCAAGGGTCGGAACGCCGTGGTGGGCACGGAAACAGATCCGGCCGGATTATTTGGCTCGGGTCGGAAGGCTGATTAGGAGCCCTGGAGGTAGTATGTAGTTACCCGATCTTGCATGCACGACTCGCTTATGGCGATGCTAGGTGTATCGGGAACAATTGAAGGGGAAATGGATGGAGTTTCTTGGTCGAAGTAAACGAATGTGAGTTAACCTGGAACAGGACTGGTGTCCTTTGTTGCCCAGCTGACCATTGCTGTCGACCGCATCATATCCCGAGCTGCACAGTATCCATTTACCTGCACTCATGTTTACCACTAAGTGCAAGCATGGCATTCTATCCCAAAAGCATCATCATAATATTTCATCGCCCACAATGCTATCTAATGTGCTGTGCATGTGACATGGAGTACCATCTAGCAAGTTGAGATGAAGCTCATCTTCCATCATCTCCCCAGACAACGTCAGCATGCAACATATCAAATTGTCAAGCTTGTTTCTTCCCATCTGCTGAAAAAGGCAGTATCTTAAGGGGTTTCTAATGATGGATATCTTCACGCAAGACAGGTCAGGCAGCTGGTTGAACATATGAACGGACATGGGCGATGGACGCTGGAGTCGCTGGACCAGTCTCCCATTGACCTGTGAGACATATTGTCGATTCATCATGACAATCGTTATTTTCCTCGGGTTCCCCTCAGAAATGATGCTCGAAACAGGAAGATAATTCTTACATGCAAGACGAAGAAAAAGTAAACGAGCTTGGGTCACGAACTGCCAAGTAGCACTCTGAAAGAGATCTCGGCTGCGCGAGAGTGTATTCAGTTTCATTTCTTCATGTTGTATGCTTGTAATCAAGAAATGCCAACTCTCATTCTTTACGGATGCGACTGCTGTGTCTTAAACTTCCATCCTTTTGCCCTGAAGCAATTATCACCAAGGAGCTTCCTATTCTCTATCTGGAAATGTTGCCATTTGCCATCAAGAATGTGGGAAGATTGTCTCAATCAGTACTCCATCTGTGAGCACAACTAGAGCCCCTCTTCTTTTCATATCTTGTTTAGAATCTTCCTGCTGGAATCTCTCCCGAGCGAGGTCTCATTTATGGCTATGAAAAACCTTGATATCCAGTCACCCTAACCCCTCTCATGTTTCTAAACGGATACGGTCATTGTACGGTCATTGGCACAGCCCTGTGTATTTAATACTTTGGAAGGAAGTTTGGATGAGATAAATGTATGGATGCAACTGTAATCCTTTGTAGATATTCTTAAGCGCCCAGAGCTCGCCAAAAACGTTCGTGTTATCAATATCCGCGCAGGTGATCATGAGGATGCGACAAAACTTGCACAGCACTCCATTCAATATTGCCAAAAACCCGAAGCCTTCACGTCCTCAGAATTTCAGGATTCAGGATTACTATAGAATTCCTACATACCACAGCCTTGAATCATTCTATTTACAGTTTCCTGATTCTAGGCTCTCACAAGGCTAAACTCAGCCCTGTCTGTACATCATATGCATTGCATGGTACCTACACAGCCTCTTTGCGTTATGGACTTATTCTATTATCCAGAGGAGACAAGAAGCTGCTGATGCCTTTCAAGAGATGCCCAGCCTGCTTCACCATTTCCTCATAGATTCTCTTTTTAGTGGTTCTTCTTATCCAGGGTGAAGCTTAGGGCAATCTCGGCCACTTCTGCAATATCTGAGAATCAAGGTGTAAAATAAAGAAAGAAAGAAAGAAAGAACACGAGGTATTCAAGCTCTGAGACATGATGATGTGTTGGGCTCTGTTGTGTTGTCAAGTTGTTCGTTTCGTAAAGGCGATATGCCTCTCGTCAAAGCAACGCGGTGGCTAAACGCCATATTATTCCCTCTCCCTTGGTACTGCATGGCAATTATCTACGATTGCAGACATTCCCGACCGACCATCGAACAAAAAACAAAACTTAATGGTATTTCGACGGTGGCTGGTAAACGCCATGGCGTTTTGGCTTTTTATGTTCAACATTGAGAATCCAGCGCGTGATATTATCTGGAAGGGTTCATTAAATTTTAAAAATAGGTTCTTGCCTCAAGCGCCCAATTGGCAGACATGTCAGTCCATATTTTCGACCGTTGCATTTGTAATATGTAGCATTGGTAAACGGTAAACCCTGTAACCCTGTTTGTTGGGGGTGGTGACTGACCGTATCCCAGGGAGCGTCCGCTCGGATCAAAATTCTGGGTTATCTTCAATTGGAGACTCCTGGGTCTGTTAGAAATGGGTTTGAATAGGGGGGTAATGGGAGCTGGAGGTATCTTGTAGATATATATGTTTTTCTAAATTGATTCGTCTGTCATGTCCCAATGCTATCAATATCCGAATCCAACATGGCCGAATAAAAAGAGAACAAGACACGCAGTACTGTCTTACTGAAAAGCTTTATAGAGCACATAAACAGGGCAAATGCGCTATGTATAATATGGTGGTATATAAGTCTAGTGTGTATGATTTATGCAGAATGATATCAACGAAGAGACGAAATGAGAAGAAGAATAAAAAAAACGAAATCCATGTAAATAGAAAAGAGAAGTGAGATGGAAAATACAAGTCAAAAAGAGAAGAAAAAGAAAACGGGTATAAAAATGGATCATAAGCATGGGAATTTCAGAAGACCACCCGGCATAATTCATGAAGAACTTCCACAACATGCTCTTTGCATATGCATATTTCACTAACGCCATGATGCAGTTTTGGGAAATAACAGCCCGAGTAGCACTTCAAGTGAACTGGGCTTTAAGCTTTAATGGTTGGTTTCAAAAAAAATTTTTTTTTGCCTCTTCATTTTCTCATGAGTCATGACTGCTCATGTTTTTCATGTATGTCTGTGGAAATAATGGAACTGGAGAACTGGCGATGAATATCCGATAAGGAGACTGGTTCAATGTTAAAAGGGCTGCGCTGCTGCTCTTTCATTTCATGTTCTTGACCGGATTCTGTCGTTTTCTCGTCGACTTCATTAGGGAATGTTGGTATCATTGTGGGTGCAGCTGCGGCGACGGGTGTTGTAGGGGGGTCAGATAAAAGATGATGATTCATATCATTGTTCGTGTCCAAAGAGCCTAGAGTCCATCTCCACTCGCGACGGCGTTTCGTGCGAGACTGAGGAGTCGGTGGCATTGTGGAGGTGGATTTCCCATCCAGACTGTCCCTGAGCGCAACAACATGGATCTGTTTCTCAGAAGCTGGATGTCTTCTCTTCTTCTTCATCTCGGATGCTGCAGGTGACGAATCTCCTACTGAGTCATCGTCGGAGGTGCTGGTGTCTGAATGTGATGGGGTTGAGCTCATATCGGATTCACCATCTTCAGACACGCCATCGCCATGGCCGCAAGGTTTAGATTCTGGTTCATCCTCGAGATCGGAGTGTCTTGCAGTAAAGCGGACGGTGCGTATTTCCTCCTCAAGAGGATATCGATATTTGACCTGCTTTCTCACCGGGAAGAATACTCGTCGCGATGCGCTTGGCCCTCCATTGGGGTTGTTGGAGGCTACGGACATGGAGGAGTGTCGCCGCCTCGCAGGCGCTTCTAGTGGGGAGTTGAGAAGGATGCTCTTCAGCCCTCGTGGCAGCTGGTAGGGGTTGTTGTCATTGTTATTGGTGTTGGTGTTGGCACTGTTATAGGCAGGGCGGGACGAGGGCTTGCACGGCTTGTTGCTGGATGTTATCGAGGGAGACGAAGGCGCAGAGGGAAAGGCAACATTGTATGCGTTCTTGAAGGTATTGCGCACAGTGGGGGACGCAGTGGGGTCAGATACGAAGGGAAGTGAGAGTGCTGTGTTCGATTTCCCAAAGGTCCTAGGCACACAGGCTGTCTGTAGCGTGAGCTTCGGTCTCGACGTCCGCGGAGCGCTAGTACTGGACGAGGGCAGAGTATAGGATCTATTCTTCTGGGGCGGTTGGCATGGCGAGGACTGCGACATGGCGGTCGTCGACTGGTATGCGTCCGAGCTGGAGTGGTACCAGGGACCAGCAATCATGGTGACGGATGGGAGGGTGAGGTACGGCGAGGGGGGGGAGAGAGGGAGGAGGCGAAACAGAGATATAGATACAAATAAAAAAGAAGAGTGTGAGAAAAGGCCGGCCTGGATTGAATCTACACGAGGTCTCAGAGGGTGGCCATGGCTCGCGAAATGAAGCACAAGGGTCTAGATGGAGCGATGGAGAAGCATCGATCTCTCACCACTTGGAAGCTTTGGAGCAGAGGAGCAAATCTCGGGGAATAATTAAGAATAAATTAAACGAACAGACTCAAGGTTGAAGCCCGATCATGCCACGGACCATATAGTAGATACATATACTTGCTGAAGACCCAGAATTATTATTATCACGTCGCCATCGCCCGTATTGATCGATAGGCGCAATTTATTAATAGACGACAATACCCCCAATGGGCGGCTCAGCAGCCAATCACAGTGGTGGGTGTTCCTTCGCCGTTAGTAGCGTATTTACCGTCTCTTACAATAATTACACTGTACTCCATACTATGAGGGACTCCAGCCCCTCCATTAATTATCACTCGTATTACGGAGATTATTCTACCTTCAGTCACCTCGTACTTAGCATTGGTATACTGGTTATATCTCTGTCTGACTGTCGAGCTGCACAATTGTTACCGTTCAAGCTCCGATGGACACGACACTTGGCCGTAAAGCAAGCTACAGCTGCAGCTAGCCGCCAAGAAATCCCTCCAGTTTGACTTTTTCAGATTTGCCTCCAATGCGTCGAACCTGCACGCGTATATGCCTGCGCTGTACTCCGTAGGTGGCCATGATTTCTATAAATATCCAGCGTTTCTTTTTAAAGGTCTGGAGCGGCCTGGAGGTCCTGCACAAGCGTGACCGGTGGGTATGGAAAAAGCCACTGTGGGCTGAACCGCGGTCTTCTCAGCACTCACCGGGCCATTCGCGACACGTCCAGGTACGCCGCTCGCTTACTTCCTGCGTCGAGCTATTAGTATTGAGCAGCCATGGATGCGAAAAGGAACTCCCGTTGAGCATCCATTGGACACGTCTGTCTGTCGGATGTAGTGCAGAATCCAGCCAGACCCGCAACTTTACCTTGGACGCACACGTGACCCCTTCCAGCACCACGGACTCCAGCGCTGCACGAAGCCGACGCGTAAGACGTCAGTATCCCAAGGGATCTATCTCCGGTTTCATTTTCACTTTCAGTGGCAACTCGTTGCTCTCTGTGGAGCAAATCTTGTTTTGCTTAGCTATTCGTAAACGCCATCTGGGACGGCTCCTCGACCACATGTTTCCCCATGCCTTGAGTCGCTTAAACGATGGCTGTGCCTCCGACCAGAGACGATAGTCGAATCATAATCCACCTTGTTAGTTGCTCCTCTTGCCCTGATCGCTGCTGGTTGTGCTTACTTTCCTTTGCGGCGAAGCTGACAGTGGTATCAATTTGTTCTTCCGCATGACCTCGCGCGTAGGATTACGATTGCTTCTACGCCTCCGTGATCGAGGCAGAACAACCAGTGCTGAAGACTCTGCCCTTGGCTATACAGCAGAAACAGATCATTGCCACCTGCAATTATGAGGCGAGGCGTAGAGGCTTGCGCAAACTCCAGTTGGTCTGGGAGGCGAAGAAGATTTGTCCGGACTTGGTAGTTGTCTTGGGTGAGGACCTGACCAAGTTCCGTGACGCTTCCAAGGAGCTGTATCTCTTCCTTCGAGCCTTTGTCTGGGGTGGACGGGTGGAGAAACTGGGTTTTGACGAGGTTCGTCGTCTCTACTACTATTTTCCCATAGTTTCCGGAATTCCTGGATCCTGACGGATGAATTGTAGCTGTTCCTAGATGTGACGGAAATGATTGACTATACTGTTGACATTCTAAATCAAAATAATCTTGGAAACTCTTTCTTTTACCTAGATCGGCTCGATCCCACAGCTGGCTTTACTTTCGACGCAACCCAATTCCATGGCCCTACCTATCCTAGGGCTAGCTCCGAGTCAGTACCTTCTGCCGCGCAGCTAACTTCTGGTTCTCTCTACACTCGACTCCTAGTCGCATCTCATTTGGCTGGATATCTCCGAAGCCGGCTGGAACATCAGATGGGCTATACGGCGTCAGCCGGCATATCCACGTCCAAACTTCTGGCAAAGATGGTGGGTAGTACACACAAGCCCAATAATCAGACCTCTCTTCTTCCGCCATATGCCGTCGCTCCAGAGTCGGGCACGGAGAGCAGCCTGATGAATTTCATCGATGCTCACGAGATCCGAAAGATCCCCGGAATCGGTTCCAAGCTTGCCCACAAACTTAGAGCGTATGTGCTTGCTTTTGATCCAGATTCGAACGATCATTTACCTTCACCTGATAAGAAGGTCACAGTTCGAGATATTCGTCTCTTTCCTAGGATGGGTCCAGTCTTGTTGGAAGAGATCCTTGGCGGTCCGGGTTCGCCTAAAGATATCGGCATGCGGGTATGGGCACTTATTTATGGAGTTGATAACTCTCAGGTCATAGGATGTAGGGATATGCCAACACAGATTAGCGTCGAAGACTCTTTCCGCAGACTGGAAGGCCTGGAAAATGTCAAAAAAGCGCTTACCTTACTGGCAGCAAGCGTGATCCGTCGGATGCGAATCGACCTAACCGAGAACGCTAAGGACTTGCCGCCACACTCAAAACCCGAGAGAACCTGGGTTGCATATCCACGGACACTTCGTCTGTCAACGCGGTTCCGATCTCCAGAAGAGACGCATGTTCGCAGCTTCAATCGAACGTCTCGCTCGGTACCACTCCCGCAGTTTGTCTTCAACCTTGGGGAAAACGTGGGCGCCCTAGCTGAGAGACTTGTCCGGGAAACGCTCGTTGCAATGTTCCACAAGCTTCAGCCACACCGATCAGGTTGGAATGTGAACTTACTGAATGTAGCGGTGACGAACATGGTAGACGCTGCCGGAGAACGGAAACACAGCAGCGGGCGCGACATAGGGAAGATGTTCCGGACACAGGAGACCGTCCTGGAGGATTGGAAAGTGCCAGAGCCTGACTACCCACGTTGCCAAACTGGAGGGACAGATATCAGAAGTTTCCAACCGCAAGATCAACCCGCTGATGTGTCTAGTTACCCTGCGACTGAGTTGCTTTGCAAGAATCGCGGATCCTTTGATGCTTCAAGCCTCCCGGCCTGGAATAGTCCTGATCATATATGGGAAGACAGCGATGAAGACGAAGCCATACCTAGCAAGATATGTCCGATTTGCGGAACCCCGATCCCTTATTTCGCAGAGGCTGCTCATGAACGATACCATCTCGTTCCGGATTGAGCTGGAGCTTGCTATATAAACAAAGATTCTGCTTTGCCGATCTCATACTGGCCGTGTTCCCGGCCTGGCTGTATACAAGGTGACTTTGGCGAAAGCTCTCTCATCACAACAATTACAAGAACAACGACACTAAGAATGAAGTAAGGTAGACAACGGCTTGTCGAGAGGACTGCAACGGGCTGCCTTGACACGCCCTTCGTTCAGTCTCAACAGCCACCTGATCCGCCAAGTCGTCACATTGTAGGACGCAAATTATCATGGACGTGTGACACTCGAGCTTCAGCACAGTTGAGCGCTATGGAAGTATCGACATCTTGGAGCAACGTGGCTGATTTCCCCAGTTTTCTTGGAGAATGAATTAGTGCATAACTATTTATGCGCTCGGTATCCAACAAAGACAGGAACCATAATAATGAATGATTACTACTTTAACACAGAGTAGTTACCTTCTTGGCCATGCTTCCATCTGTTTCCGGCAGTCCTGCTTTACGAGCGGAAGGCAGAATCTCATAGGCGAGCAGTCTTGTTCCTTTGTTCTTGTCGTTCTTGTCGTCCTCAGCCATTGGAGCCGCCAAGCGCGCCAAGGGCTGCTGCGCCGCGGTTCCCACACCCCGTAATCCCTCCCGCTTGAGGCTGGGCAGCTGGGCAGGTGCTGATTCTCTCCGCTTCGTTATTACTTTCTTTTCAATCTCTCTCTCTGTGTGCCGTTTGAAAGCCTCGCGATGCTTGCTATACATTCGAAACCAACTTGAACGTTCAGTGTCCGGTTGTCATTCTTTTCGCGGATGCCGCTTGTCTGTGTACTCCGTACGAAGAACCGGTTCCTGGATGCAGCCTTGGGCGCTCGTTTCCTTCTTTGACTTCAACGCTGTACTCGAATTAGGTGCCAACGCCCTCGATCTTTCCATTTGCATCTATCTACCCATTGCGGTCCTTTTATTTTCACAGCGCCTGTAATAACAAGTGGGATCTCGAAGGTTCTCATTTGCTTATCTAGGCTCCAGTGACTATGAGGCCTTTTCATGCTTTCTTACCACTAATTGCCAATGTATTATGCTTACTAAATGCTGCTGAGGGTATGTGCTCTCCTACTTCCCAGATTCCCATTGCCAGTTCTGATCCAGTGGACACTATCTTACAGCCCATTCGCAAGCGCCAAGTGCTATCAAATATGTCTCCACGCTTGATAATCCAGTAATCAATACTCCCTCGCACCGTGTCAGCCACCTCTCCCACTTTGACCTTACATTCTCGCTTCATGGCGGAAGCCAGAGGATTCGATTGGAATTGGAGCCAAACAATGATATTCTGGCGGAGGATGCAAGTGTCCGATACTTGGATGCGCAAGGGAATATCAAGAGAGAAGAGCCGATTGACCGAGTTACTCACAGGGTTTTCAAGGGAAGAGCGTCAGTGGGAACAAAGAATGGTCGGTGGGACCCCGTAGGGTGGGCCAGGATATACATGAAAAGGGACGGGACTTATCCGCTATTCGAAGGTGCTTTCAGCATTATGCATGATGATCATCACATTGAATTACATTCCACCTACTTGCAGAAAAGACGGGAAGGCGATGCCCATGTTCCACACCAAGAATCGGACTACATGGTCGTATACCGTGACTCCGATATAGTGCGATACGTCCAGTCGCATACGAAGCGTTCGTTAATCGGCTCCTCGATATGCCATGCGGACAAGCTCGGCTTCAACTCTGACCCAAGCCGCCTGTTTTTCCAACCGGATTTGCAGCAGAACATGTCCATGGCAGACTGGAGCGTTATGTCGTTCGGATCACTCCTCGGACTTACCAGGCGCCAATCAGATATCTCAGGCTCACTGGGGAATTCCGGTAATGTTAACTTGAGGTCAACAATTGGTAGCACGGCAGGGTGCCCAACCACAAGGAAGATTGCCTTAATCGGGGTTGCGACGGATTGCGAATTCACCCAGTCATTCAACTCGACCCAAACTGCCCGGGAATGGGTTATCAGTGTGGTGAACACTGCGTCAAATGTCTACGAGAAGAGCTTCAATATCTCGCTGGGTTTACGGAACTTGACTGTAAGCGACGCCGCGTGTCCAGAATCTGCTTCATCGACCACTCCTTGGAATCTACCGTGTTCCCAGTCGAATATCACCTCACGGCTCAACCTTTTCTCCCAGTGGCGTGGGTCTAATCCAGACTCCAATGCATATTGGACTCTCATGAGCAATTGCCCCACTGGTTCTGAAGTAGGACTGTCATGGTTGGGGCAGCTGTGCAATACCGGATCCGAGTCGGAAGGTAGCGACACTGTCAGCGGAACCAACTTCGTTGCCCGCACACAAGCTGGGTGGCAGGTCTTTGCACATGAGTCAGGTCACACATTTGGTGCTGTCCATGATTGCGATTCTCAGACCTGCGCTCAGGGCCTTGACAGGTCATCTCAATGTTGCCCCGTTTCTTCTTCTTCATGCGATGCCAATGGAGATTATATCATGAACCCCAGTGCCGGAAGTGGTGTCACTCGGTTCTCTCCCTGCACAATTGGAAATATCTGCTCTGCTATGGGTCGAAACAGCGTGAAGTCTCAGTGTCTCTCGGACAATCACGGTGTCCCGACCATCACTCCTAGCCAATGTGGGAATGGGATTGTCGAGGAGGGTGAAGACTGCGACTGTGGTGGAGATGAATCCTGCGCAAATAACAACTGTTGCGACCCAAATACCTGCAAATACAAGAGTGGTGCAGTCTGTGATGACTCCAACGACAGTTGCTGTACGAACTGCCAATTCGCTTCTGCGGACACAGTCTGTCGCCCCAGCACGGGCCCCTGCGACATAGAAGAGAAGTGCACTGGCACTTCTAGTGCCTGTCCTTCGGATTCCCACAAACCAGATGGCTCTAATTGCGGTGGTGGTTCCAGCGGTCTCACTTGTGCCAGCGGCCAGTGTACCAGCCGTGACCAGCAATGCCAGGATCTGTTAGGAAGTCAGCTAAACAGTAACGATACACAGGCATGTGACGACGTCTCATGCCTTTTAACATGCACGTCTTCTTCCCTGAGCATTAACGAATGTGCAACTACCAATAAGAACTTCCTCGATGGTACGCCATGCCGTGGTGGTGGTCATTGCCAAAATGGTCGCTGCGAGGGCTCTTCATTCGGCAAAGAAATCGAGTCCTGGGTTGACAAGCACAAAGGTCTTGTCATCGGCCTTGCGGCCGGGATAGGAGGTCCCCTTGTTCTCTGCATTCTCTGGTGCCTCATCAGCCAATGCTGTTGCGGACGACGTGCAGCTGCGGCCCGCAAACCGCCGCCTCCTCCCGTTCAGTATGGGTATACTCAATGGCATGGCGCAATGCCGGCGTCGTATACACCTCTACAACCATGGCCAAATAGCAATTCCCGGCTTGAGAGGCCGTTTCCACCTTATCAAGGTTATCAAGGACCGCCTGTGTATGGTTGAACTTGTAGGCTTTCTTGAAGCGAAGGAATTGTCCCATTGGAAGTTATGTTCATATCTTTTTGATTTTTGGCGTTCTGAAACAAGCACATCATCGTTCATTGTATATGCTTGGCTAATCTACTCAGCAAGCCGTTTGGTCCTAGCAACCACTTTGTTTTTTATTCTACTTTTGGGATGGCCCTTCGAACAAATGCCGCTTGGTTTCTACTTCAACTCTGTGTTATTTTATTGCTGAAAGTGTCCGTCTTACGTCTCCCATGATATGGGTAGCACTTACGACCTTGCTTGCAGCATATTTCCCCAGGCATTTTGAGCGTGCCTGGCTTTTTGCTATAGTTTCGGTTTCCCTATTATATCTGCTGGCATGGGCTGGGCTGGGCTTGGTCAGGAGTACCCTTGTTTTTTTTTTTTTTTTTTTTTTTTTTTTTTTTTTTTTTTTTTTCATGTTTTTTGTATCATCGGGTCAGGCAGGCTTATGGTAATTGGAAGGATAATAGGGGGAAGGCTTTCTTTCACCACAAGCAGCTATCTACGTTTGGACCTATATAATCCCCGAAGAAATCTGACTCCTTTCACGGTCCTCTGATATTATTACTCTCAGCTCGGGGTATCCGAGATTCTGCGTTTATTCCCTGTTCCCCATGTCGTATCGACCACTACTTTTCTCTATTGCTTGCTACGGAAAGAGCCGCAGCGAAGGCTTTCCGGATACTATCAGCTCGTTCCTTCCGTTGCGAGTGTCTCCAGGGATACCGGATGCGTATCTACATCCTCCCACCACAGATACATCCGTTAAGCAGGCTGCTTCTACGCAAGGCGAATGGCTACCCTTTCTTGATTTGCTATCTTTAAGAACTTTTCGCTAACCATTGACACAGCTAATTGCACTTTTATAGCGCCATGAGAGGCCGTCAAGCCCGTCCGGATACAGGTGGATTGGCAGCGCTCCCGCCTGTCTGTAGCATGAATTATATCTGGGCTAGTTGCCAGGCAGATGTGCTTTATTTGAATATCTGAAAGCATTCTCAGTGACAACGGTATGTCAAATGATATGTGGTTAATATCTGGTTAGTTTTTTTTTTTTTTTTTTTTTGCTCACATGGTAGCCTCACGTCATGCTGATGGTGCAACCCAACGTTCTATTCCGTCCTCAATTGACATCAGAATGTTCACAATCTGTTCAATGAGACTTACATTGTGACGTAGCTAATCCTCGAAACTGAATACGAAGGATGCAAGCTCCGGGGAGGACGATACCAAAAATATGGCTCGCATTATTTTGATCGAAACCAAGAACTGTCTCCTTTTCTCCCTTCTGTATATTTAAAAGGACCTGCGGATCCGTATCCGAACTTGCAGTTGCTTGGATATGGTACATCCTTGCTTAATCCCCTCATCTCACATAATACCAAGAGCGTATGCATCAGTCGAAGAAGTGGAGGGACGTCTGACAAGCAAGTGCCAATTGTCCCAGACACACACACTGCTAAGAGCCCTCACTATCGAAACAGAGACCACAAGTTTCCAAACAACTGAGGATGGAAGCTCGGGAGAGTAAGCGGAACTTTGCGGCCAATCGTCTCTTCAATGTCCACGGGAAAGGTATGGACATAGCTCCAATATTACAAATTGCGACTTTGCATCCATTCTTAACACCATCTGAACATGACTGACATGGCCCGCTATTAGTCGCTCTCATATCCGGCGGCGGCTCTGGCATTGGCCTGATGGCCGCACAAACCCTCGCTGCCAACGGCGCGAAAGTCTACATCACTGGACGTACAAGTGAGAAGCTTGATCGGGCCGTAGAGCTCTATTCGGAGGCTCCGGGGCAAATCGTCCCGATAGCGGCAGATGTCACTTCCAAGGACTCGATCAAGAGCCTGCTGCAACAGTTCTCGGCCAAGGAGAAAGCGTTGCATATCTTGATAAATAATGCTGGAATCACGACCTCATATCAAAACACCGAGCTCCGAGACCCGAGCGATCTGAGCCGGGAGCTCTTCGAGAACGAAAAAAGCACCTTCGACGAATGGGATCGCAGTTTCCGGTCCAACGTCTCGCAGGTATTCTTCATGACAACCGCATTCCTCCCGTTGTTGCAGAAGGGAACGGAGCTAGACCATGGCTGGTCCAGTACCGTGATCAATATCTCGTCAGTCTCGGGCATCATCAAGGTATCGCAACACCATTTCCCTTACAACGCGAGCAAGGCCGCAGCCGTCCACCTCACCAAGATGCTAGCCCATCAAATCGTCTCTTCCGGTCTGCAGATTCGCGTGAACAGCATCGCCCCTGGAGTGTTCCCGTCGGAAATGACAGTACAAGTGAGTGAGAAACAAGAGAGCGTTATCCCCAAGGAACAGTATGAAGGTAAAGTTCCCGCCGGACGGCCCGGTAACGAAGAGGACATGGCCAGTGTTGTCCTTTTCGCTGCTACGAACCAGTATCTGAATGCGCAGACTCTTGCCGTTGATGGTGGTTATATACTCGCTGCTGGTTCATTCTGATCGCGGACACGCACACCTAGATGTTCTCCTGTCTTTGCCCTTATTCCAACAGTTTCATTTATATAATTAATTCATGACTCCTAAGTATAATGTACTCTAGAGAGGGTTAGATTCAGGGAGAAGAGAGATCCACCAGGAAGCTTGTTTGCCCGTTATTATAACTGCATGCAAGCATATAAACACCTTGATTGAACAGGCCGCATCCAGGACAAAACAGTCAGATACATGAATAATTCTGGGATGTAATCCTTGGAACATGATAGATAATGGTAATATAATAGAGGACCAAACACCAACCCAATGCCCATGGATACAGCAGAAAACAAGGGGGGGAAGGCATACTGACACGAAAAGAAAAGGAAACGACGAAAGAAGTGAAGGGTTGAACCCCAGTACCCACGAAACACAGAGCAAGCTCGGTCACTGCCAACAAATACTCACAAAGGCTTCCCGAGTAACACCACCGACACCCTCAAGATCGAACTCCTCAATCATGGCCCTCAACTCCTCCTCTTCGAGGCCCGTCTCGCCCAGCTCCCTTGCAACCCTCCGCAGATCCTCGAGATCAATGTACCCCTTTCCACCCTCGTCGAAGAGTTCGAACGCCCGCAATATCTCGTCGCGGGGGTCTCGCTCTAGGATCTTCAACGCCGCGACGGCCTGGAATGCTGTGAGCGGCATGAGGAGGTTCGATGGGTGTTGAGGATTCGTAGACGCTGCTGCTGCGGATGTTTTGGAGGATGATGATGATGCTTGCTGGTGCTGTTGATTCCCTGCTGAAGAGGACTGCTGTTGGACTTGCGGACGGGGCACTCCGTAGGTAGTTAGGAGGGTTATGAGCTCCTGTTTGGGGAGAGTGAATCCCAGGGCGCGGAATGCGACGCGGAGTTCATGGTAGTCCAAGTGACGGTCGCGATCGAGATCGAAGAGAGTGAACTTATTTTTCGTAAGACGAGCTTGTCCGCTATAAAAAAGAGCTAATACTGGGCCCAATGGGAAAAAAAACCTACTGCCTCATTGATCTCCTCCCTCTGCTCCTCCGTTAACCGATTCAGCGGATTCGTATCCTGCCCTGCCGGCCCATGACTCTGCGAGTGTACTGCCGGGGCAGATGCGCTTTGCGTCTGCTTCCCACCCGCCGTGACTGTTTCAGATCCAAAGTCTCCCGGTCCTGCTGAAAGGCCTCCGAGGCCTCGATGGCGCGCGAATGACGATGCGCTGAAGGGGCCTGTGTTCGTGTTCAGTGATCGGTCCGGTAACTTGCCGCCTGCGTAGGAGCGGGACGCGAATGGCTGCGATGCCATATCGCTTAGCAGGTGTCTATTTGGATTTTCGATCTGACTTGTGTTGGTTCGTGCTGGCTAGTTTTTCCTGTTGTTGTTGTCGTTTTTGTTGTTGTTGATCGATGACGGTAAGGGGGGATGCCTAATTTAGTACACCCGCTGGAAGGAATGATCTAGATGGACTCTTCAATCATTGAAGGATAATATCAGCGACGTGAAGGAATTGGCAGATAGAAGAGTTTGTCTGGGGAGAGGAAAGAAGACGCGCTGAGGTCGACGCGCAAATCCGAAGGTTGAAACTCCGGCGGCTCACCAAATGCAATTAAAGTTCGGGTTCTCGACTGACAGCTATTTAATATCATTACAGTGTTGTCTCTACTCTTCTAATTCATCAATAATTATCGGTTTTGTAGTCTTGCTACATTCAACCATGATAATCCCTGTCCCTCAATCATCCTCAAGGCCCGTACTGTGCTGTGGGGGGTCTCATCTCATTTCCTGAAGCCTCTATATGCTCCTGTACAGACTTGATTCCCTATAGCACTCAGAGTCTGCTCAGTGAGTATTTCCTGGCACTGGCCAGCAACTCACTAAGCAGCTACTGAACTGGATTCCTGCAGGAGTCGAACGACTTTCCCTTTCCGCTTTAGGTCCAACTTGGCGCCGCTTTTGCTCACTGAGCGGCCCGGAGCGTGGAAGGAGCACAAAAGTGCGTGTCCTGAGCAATCCCTGAGCGACCCCGGATTTCTCCGGGAGTAAACACTAGAGAAAGTGACCGTCACCCTGAGCGCGGATGTGAGCTTTCACGTGCTGGTCATGTGACCCAACTAAACTGTGCACGACCAAAATCATGTATTTCACTTGAATATATAGAGGGACACACCTGGTTGATCGGCATGTCGACAGGGCTTGAGTGTGTAGCTCTGGCAGTATAGCAGCTCTATCACTCTCCAGGCGGTGTGGACATTGACATAATGGAGCTGGATTTCGGGGATCTCGGTCTTTCGCGGCCGGATGGCGAGCCACTGGCGATAATATTGACTGCCAGCCGCCAAGATCGTATTGTGCACCGGGATTCTGATGTTGCCCACGATGATGACCGCATCTGTCTGTTCTTCTGGACCTTTTGCTCCCCATTTCTGTTTCCAATGATTATGCCGCTTGAGGCCGAAAACCCCTGTTGAGGCCATGGGCCTAGAAGTGATTCGAGTAAATCCGGCTGATGCAGCGAGATATATCAAGTATTGTTCATTGGCTCGTGTCTCGAACTCTTTCAGCATATAGGTTCAGCTGCTGGAATCGTGTAATATATATTGGCGTGAATATACGTCCTAGACAGATAGACATCTAGACAGTTTCGTTGCATTGTATTCCAGGTAGCTGCTAGTTGCGAACCTAAGATTCTAGGCAAAGTCTGCGCATTGACCTCTTCGGTGTAGACGGTTGACTAGTTGGTCACTATACTATCAATTGTTCTGCACCTCATATCGTCCATTGATACTGTTAGACACATGCATTTATCGAAACAGTCTAGCTAATCCCTAATCACCGGTTCTCAATAGCACATTGCTGATATCTCTTTGAGATTTGCACAGTTCATTCACTGATGAAGGATGATGAGCATGGAGACTCTTAGCAATTTCCTCAGTTACCGCCCAGTACACTGGAAGATGTTCAACACTTGCAGTGCTAGAGTCAGACTTAAAATTTCACGATGTGGGTCGTGAATCTTACCTTTACAGTCAATAAATAGATTTGCAATCAAAAAGTATTTTTTGGGTGCGTGCATAGCAATGCAATAAAAAGCAACTTGGCTGAGAACAAGACTGCCGCTCTGCTCTAGAACACTGCAGCCTGGTTGGTAAAATTCTGGAATGGGTAGGGTACGAAAAATACATCAGTCCAATAATTGTCACGAGTATTGGACCCTGAACTCAGAGTAACGATTGTGTACTCTTCACTCTTTTCACGGAAGAGGGTACCGACAGGTGCAGCTTGCCCTCAAATTTAGACAAACATACCCATCAGGCACCGTACGTAAGCTACGGTAGGTTTTTCCATGAACGACTAGGTTTGTATGCTCATCGCAGCCCAAAGGCATTCTCTCAAGATCAGGTTCCTCTAATCATTAGAACCCCTTTATTGTGCTTGTAATACTCAAGGAGCATAATTTGTGCGTAGTGACAGACGTAAAGCTAGTGGTCAACGAAAATAATATATCTCAATGGACGGATCTGCTTCTCAAATCTCTAGTGGGTATTGAAGTACGGAGTAGATTGATCTATGGACGCTGTTGCAGTATTGAAGCATTTAATAGAATATACAGACTGTGCTGAACACAGATTGACATGGTATATTACAAGGAACACCCAAAGCCTGTCATCTATCGAATGTCTAAGATAAATAGCATACTGTGGCCAAAACTGGCTTCTGTCTGGTGGAGAAAATCCTTGCTAGTATTGATGATTGGAGCGAGTAGCTCCAGGGGGTTATAGGTGCCGTAAAATGTGGCTTTATGATCTAATCGACTCTAGCTGACATGGGAGGCTAATCAGACACAAAGCAGCGAAGGGCTCTCAATCCGAATATGTGCCTGCTTCAGCCATATCCAATGTGCCTTTTCCCCGAGACAAGGCAGCGATATTCCGTCACCCAGTTTTCCGGAGGCTTTCACTATGCCAGCCTTGCCGGCCACTTCCAAGTGGACGCGGCGCCACTCAGATGTTCCTACCAAGCCTTCACTGGAATTGTTTGGATCGTCGGGGAGGGGGGAAAGTCGAAGTCTAAGCTCAGCGGAAAGTACCGACTGTTGAGAGTCACAAACGGTCTGGTGAAGAAAGTCGATTGAAATGTGAGGTCAAGGAATGGCTCGCCACCGCGATAGGGTGACACTGTGATTCGACTGTATGGGAAGTTGGCGGACTGCGTTGGTGTAAATTCAAAAACGGCACACTGAACCAGCCGAAGTATTAGAGTCGAGGGCCACGAGAGAAGAGAGAGTCAGGCTCACTCACTGCCTTGGGCACATTCCAATTTTTGCGGCCTATATCAAGATAAGGTCGTCAGCCTGGCCGCAGTATCAAGTTACATCGCATGTTATGTGGGTTCCGTTCTGCCACCAGACCACATCACGGGGTGGCTTACCACTGTGCACAGCTAACGGCTTCGATATGTACGCCCTCGTAGAGCGATAGGCCTGTTTGCCATTGCGTGGATGCCGGAATGCCCCTGGAATCCAAAGCAGCTCATCATACATTCCTTCACCGTGGTCAGTAGTCTGCAAAGTCCTCGGGGAGAGCTCGACCTACCGATGGGGCTTTCATGATAACGAACGATGACACAAGCCTGCAAGCCGCCGGCATATTCCTGATCGGCTCTCCTATGTCTTCGCGTATGTACTATACGCACCTAGCACGCTTGGCGGCGGGCGGGGCCTGCTAACAATGGTCACAGTACTATTTCTGACAATCCAGCCAATGCCCACAAGGCTCAGAATATCGCCCTGCTTTGCTGTGCGGGCGCCATGATTCCTGGGTTTTGGGTCTGGATGGACAGGCGCGAAAGGGCGGGAAAGCCTGCTTTGATCCCAAACTCTCTGTGGAAGAACACGGCATTCTCGGCCATGTGTGTCATTGTTCTTTTCTCCTGGGCGGTGCTGAACGGTGTGGAAACCATTCTCAGTCTCTTGTAGGTTGGTCCCGGACGATGACAGTCCCATCTGCACATGGGGAACAATCATCTCTAATGGCCCCTCCGCAGCTTCCAAAAAGTTCAAGAGCTATCGGGCTTCCAGTCTGCTCTTCGCTTCTTGCCGAATGTCATCATCGGCGTTCTCCTGAACCTGGGAACAGGTCTCTTGGTTCACCGTGTGCATGCAAACCACTTGGTGCTTGTGAGCTCGCTGCTCAGCGCTGGGTCTCCCTTGCTCATGGCCATCATTGACCCTCAATGGTCCTGGTGGTATTGTGCTTTCTGGGCGGTCCTGCTAAGTCCGCTATCGGCTGATGGTAAGCCTCGAAAGACTCTCTTTCCCTCCTTACTCCCACAAATATAAGTCCCCGCATGAGACCAAGTTTCTGACCACGGCCCCTGGGTACATCCACAAAGTGATCTTCACCATCGCCAACCTGATAGTCGCGGACGCATTCACCCCCCAGACGCGCGGCCTGGCGGGTGCCGTTTTCAACACGATCGCGGAATTTGGAACCTCGCTGGGTCTCACCATCTTCATGATCATCTCCGCGGGCGTCACGCGGGATTCCTCGATCGCGGACAAGCAGTCCCCCGAGGCACTCATGGTTGGGTACCGCACGTCTTCTGGACGTGCTTTGGGCTTATGCTGGGGGCTTGTGGTGTTGGGTTGTGGGGTTGCGGAATGTTGGTCGGATTAGGGAGTGATAGGCCAGCTGGCGTTGTTCCAGGTTGGGCTCTGTAGCCGCCGCGTGTTGGTTGTGACGGAGGCCCAGGGTAGATGGACGCTGGAACATCTTTTGTTTTTCTTTGACAAGAAACAACGGAAAAACGAATACCCATGCTTAGCATGAGTGAATAGTTTTTTGAAAATTTTGCTTCATTTTGCGGGGCTCACAAGATACAATGGGAAAGTAGCAATGAAAGTACATTGTTAGTCTTGAAAGATATCTGATACAAGGGTAAAGAAAATAATAAGGCGATGGTAAAATGGAAAGTACCAGTCGCTCCGTCTAATGGACATGAACGTAGACACCCGAACTGGCTATAATGCAAAGGGGATAGTTTAGAGGTTTTCGATGGTGGGAAAATCCCAGTCTCTTGAGGCTTGGATATGTACTGATTCCTAACCAATATCAATCATGCCCACTGGCCCCCATCCTTCCGTACATCGCATAACTAGTCTAGATGACCAATCCCTGTAAGAGACAAGCTCATTCAACCTCACAAGATGTATTGTATTGCACGCATTGCACTCATACCCGTACATGAAGAGACCACAACTTCCCCCCCCTCTTCCAACCCACTAATCTTCCGAAAGGAATCACCGAAAACAAATAGCGCATGAAATTGGGGGTCGACCGCTTTCGCTCACAGTCCTCGATAGCAAGATTCTCACCCTTATTAGAAGCTATTGACTCCACCCGAGGCACAATTGACAAAAGACAGCAGCGGGCCACAGTACACACTGGAGTCAAAATACGCCTCCTTGCCCAGTTTCAGGTAGCCTTCATAGGTGCCGCCATGGTCCAGAGATAGACACTGGGTGCCGCACACCTTATCATTATCCACTGTTGTCAGGTAATGGTAGAGAGCGCCGTGGATCGTCTCCTGTTGGGAGGTCGTGTCACAATTGCGGCCGGTTGCGTAGTACTCGTACGACCAGCCGTCAATGGTGCCGCTGCTCGTGGCGCAGCTTTTCTCGTGGCTCTGGGCCCAGATCATCCCGGCGATGGCAGACGAGATGGTGTATACGTAGCTGCCGATCGTGGCACAGGCCGCCACCGAGCCACTAGCGACGACGTGGTAGCAGTGGTGCCCACATCAGGGGTGATCGCGTCTCGAGATGTGAGGTTGAATACTGCCTCACTGTCATCGAGATGCAGTCGATACCACGAATCAGGCAGTGGCTGGCCGTTGATGAGCTGGCCATCGGTAGCAGAAGAGAGGGAAGATGGTTGAGATAGCGTGACACCATAGAATGTGTTTAACGTCAGGATCGACGCCGCGAGAAACCGCATAGTAGTAGTAGTAGTGGTGCTATTTAACGTCGATGTGGGACACGCGCTAATCACGTGCCCGCGGGGATCCCGGAACGGAATATACGACGGGCAGAGCGGAAACTGCCTATCTGGTAGCTAAGCTAATTCTATCATACATGCTGGCAAAAACTCCCGCGGGGGAGTTTGCCTAGGGGTCTTTGGGCATCCACAGGAGCACTCCAACTTGGCGTCTTCATGCCCAAAGCATTCATGATAGTGGGCGAAGTCTCCGTGGCCAGACCGGGCAGAACCCGATTGCTGAGACCGCATCGCAGCATTGCCTCGGTGTTGAGTAATCACGTGATCTCTATTAGCTAGATAGGGACCGACTCCGCCGACCCCTTTATGAATACAACCACGTCCAACTTGTCACTCGGAGCCACTTCCCACTAAGAGACGGCGCCACAAGGCTTATTCTGCCAAGCCAACCATCGGCTAAGATTCCGAGAGCGAGACCCTGTTGTTCCAGTCACTTGAGAAACAACAGAGTTGATTGGTTGAGACCAATATCTTCTATACTCTGAGCAGGCCCTTAGCTAGTAGCACTACACTTTTGCCCCGAAACTTACACTTGAAGCTCCGTGCAACCTACTCCATCGTCATCCTGTTAGAACTCCTGAAGAGAAGCAACCAATTCGGCACCTGGTGAAATATATTCGGTCTGGCTATTGCATTCAGGGAACACTCGTTCTACAGTAGCCACATCACACGTCTTACTTTGATCAGACTCCCCACTGACTGAACTTTGAGGAGCAAAAATTCTTGCATTTAGCTGGAGAGCAACTGGAGAATACTACAGCTTCAAATTGGCTGGAGGAAGTCCCACTTGGCGCAATGCTTTATGCTTGTTGTAAGTTACTCGTTGCTTCGTCGCCCCACACCCTCGCAATTGTAAAATCGCGCATATTTGGGACGTCACTGGGGCTTAGCATCTTCGCTGTTTTACCACTAGGTATTATATAGGAGTTTACCTCTACGGACAAAGGATCTCCAGAAGTACCGAGGTTCGGCTCTGGCTTGTGCTGAGGGCTTGTGGTATTGTAGTATAAAGGTTGCGGAACGTAAGTAGGGCTGTTGAGGATGAAGACTACAGTTATTGTGTTGATATAGACTAAGGTCTTGTATGGCTCTAATGCTCCAGATCCTTTAAACCATGTGTTGCGTATATCTATATGTCACCTTCAATCACATTACGCACTACTACCACATACAGTGCAGTTCCTTGCAGGGGTTCCGAACACGTGCTTTCCGCATCCCCGTATGTTTGTTGTACCACAACATCTTTCCCCCTACACATTCACTCCGCCGAGGCATTGTGCGATAAGGAATATATTTCCAAGATCTATGTTCTGTGAGATGGTTCTCTACTTGTAATGTAAACCCTCAACCGAAACTGAGAGCCGTGCTCCAGGTCATGGTACGAAGCCACCGGTGGCTGTTCCGCGAACGAGAGGCCAGCAAAGCAAACAAGAACGTCTCCAACTGCCCGGTCCCACAAATTTGCGATGTCGGAGAATTGATTCTCTTGCTGCCCTTGTGGGTCTACCGGGTACCCCATGATCAAGGTAAATCCAGCAAAGAATGATGAGACTTTACAGCAGTGGGCAAGGATCATCTGCGCATTTATCGAAGTAATGCGCTGTGGCTCGTCTAAACTTCGGCTATAGAAGAGACAGTTCAGTATGAAGGATGAGGAGATCTGAGCTTATGCCATTGTGCCGAGGGCACTGCGAAACCCCGGATCTCCCATATTTCCTATCTTAGAACGCCGTAGAGCCGCGGTCTCCGACATACTAATGTATGGTGGAGCCCGCGGCCGGCGAGTACTTAATGGAGGGTTCCCTCCCAGATAGTTACGAGAAATTGAGCATTCTTGTGGTTTCTAGGTTGCTTCACTAGTATCGTTGTCATTGTACAGAGCGGAGCGAGGCTCCTTCGTCGTTGTGTTTCCTTTTATCGTTATATCGTTTTGCTAGATTGTTCAGTGTGTCCATTCCTGAGATCCCTCGATCACAACCCGGTTCCTGTCGCAGGGAACAACGCACGTACGCCCCCCTTTACACCATGCAAACGACTACGTTTTTTTCCCCGCTAAGCGCTGGCGCTCAATTGTGCAATCGATAGGCCAAGATGAGCGCAAGGCTGTTGCACAGTTGCAAGCTGCGCCGGGAACGGTCTCATCACCTGTTCGTGGCCGAACCTGTCAGGATGTAGCGCGCAGGAAGTGTCTGGCCGGACGTTGTTTGACGGCAATCTGTAGAAGCAGCGCATGCGTCCAAGTATTGGTCCTTACGGTATCAATTGCCTGAGAAACAGCCGTTGGGCTTTATCTCGGTTCTCACACCGGCTGGTTGTCGACGCCTGGGCATTAATATAAATGTAAATGATGCGGTGCTAGTGTGATACGATGCAATCACCCATCTAGCAACAACCGACTTCGCGATGGAAACAGCGCGCTTTCGCACTAATGGCTCTGATCTTCTGATCCTAGGTCTCTATGGTGTCTTTCTAGGGTATCAATTGTGCAACAAGACCCGGTCATATCGACCCCGGCATCCAGGTTCGCCAGTATTCAAGTGCAGGCCGGTCCATAGCTAATGGTTTCTGTAGCCCTTTTCTGGCATGTTCTCGCAGGCCTCATTGAGTTGGTACTCTACTACCGCAACCCGCGGTGTGGTAGAGGGGCGGTGATCGCATGCTGGGTGCACTGTTTCACCTCCCTAGCTTTGGTGAAAGGGCTTCCCAATGGCTATCCTCCCCACACCCGTATGCCACTCCCAGCGCTCCGAGTCTGTTCACCGTGAGCCTACTCACTGGCCATTTCCAGGACCCGTATATCAGACCGGCTCCCTCATGAGATCGGCGTTGGTAGTGCACGCCTACATCACCCAGACCGCCATGGACTACCACTCCAGCATCATGCCCTTACATGGCTTCGTGTATACTCGCGCGTTGATCTTTTTGCTGGGAGCCATGCTCGGAATTCAATCCAATCAGTCATTTGTTTTCGTCGATACGTCTGGTAGTGGTGTCCAAGCCTCTTGCGGACTATTTTCTCAGGGCACATGTCACGGGGCGCCGTACATTCAGTGGTTGATGCAACTGTTGGCGCACGGCTGTATTCTGCAACAGACGTTCTACAGGCCCTGGAGGAGGGGAATACTGTAGGTTGCAGTGATGAATTGGTGGAAAGGCTGAATTGCAGTATGCGAAATGTTGCGGAAGCAATCTTGAAGACCTTCCGCGACTCGGCTTGTATCAACCAAAACTCGAACCTGAACAACGCGAATATGACTGTGAGGGATGTTATGGTAAGTATGGTATATATATCCGTCCATTGTCAGTGGATTGTACTCCCTGTGCTTGTATGGTTGTTGGGAGCTTTGATGCTGCTTGGGACTGTCTGGAAGACTCGACAAACAAGGGTTCCAAAGTGGAAAAATCATCCTATACAACTGCTTTGCCTCCCATATGGCGATATAGACAAGTCTTAAGAAAGTTCGACTGAGATGGGTAACAATCCTAATGTGAGATTGTATGAGAGAATGAACAGATGGTCCTGGGGCGTGAAGCTGAAATAATCCATTGATATATAGTTAATACTAACTAGCTGACAACAGCGCTTTTTAACTAACCAATATTTATACATCTATACCGTCTTGGTTTTTTTTAGAGGCTACATCTTACTTGCCACTCACCCCATGCTCAGGCTGCTCAGATCTACTCAGTGAGCAAGGGGCGAACACCAAAAATGGAAAAGGGAAAGGCATAAAGTGTTTTGATCTGTACATAAAGTGTTCTGATCTGTACGTACAGCCCATGGCTTCCAAGTAGAACTCCAATACTTTGTCGAGTAACCTAGTGCGGATATAGACAATGAACCTGAAACAAGGCCATCCTTTTCTGGCCGCTACCATCTACATTTGCTAAGGTCTGCGTACTGCAAAGTAGATGATAGTAAACGGAGGTTTGGCATTACGAGAACAGACTGGATTAGAATCCATCCTGGCTATGAGATAGGCCCCTATTGTTTCTCGCTTTTCCCGGGCTTCTTATATCGGTGAGATTAAAGCCTTAAAACGTAAGAATCCTGTGCATGAGTGCATTATCCGGCAAAGAGGCGGGCGTTGTCCAAAGGACTTGAAGCATGTGGTACATGCCTATACTTCCCTGACTAGCAGCAGTTGGAGGAGTGGGTGCATTGCCAGTATATGTAAGACCGATTCCTTGTTGACATCGTCGCCTAAACTTCGTAAGACGCTTCCTGCATTCGAGCCAAAATAATCTCGTGGTTCGAGAAGAATAACAGACGGCATTATTTCTCGTCTGCAATCAGATCCGGGTCAACCTGCAACCCTAGATCATGGTCTTCCAAGAATTTGCGATTGCGAAGCTTTTCTGGGAGATATTCCTGGACGACTTGGCCATCCACATAGTTGGGGTTGTATTTGTATTCTTTCCCATAGCCCAACTCCTTCATTAATCGCGTAGGAGCATTTCTCAGATGGATAGGGATGGGCAATCCAGCAATTCCTGGCTCCTCCAGAGCCGCAAATGCGTTGTTGAGGCCACGGTACGACCTTGTACTCTTCTTAGACAATGCCATGGCTACCGTAGCGTGCGCGAGGTTTATCCGTGCTTCGGGGAGGCCAATCTTTTCAACAGCAGAATAGGTGGAGACTGCCAGAGCGAGCATCGTGTTGTCCGCCAGACCGATGTCCTCCGAAGCCATGACAATAAGACGTCGAGCAATAAACAGGGGGTCTTCACCCGACTGGATCATGCGAGCAAGGTAGTAAAGTGCCGCATCGGGATCGCTACCCCGGATGGACTTATGGAACGCAGAGATAGTGTCGTAGTGCTGGTCCCCTGCACGGTCATACACCAATGTCTTGGTCAGTGAGCGCTTCAGCTCCTCCTTGCTCATCCCAGCACGCTTGGACAAATCCATAGCAAGCTCCAGGAGATTGAGAGAGGTCCTAGCGTCTCCATCTGCGAAGGAAGCCAGGTATTGAATAAGTTCTTCATCCACCAATGCGGATGGCGAGTAATTAGGACCTTCCACCTCAAGAGCGCGATGAAGGATACTCTTGATATCATCATCCGTCAGTTTTGGCAGAGTGAATGTTCTGCATCTGGAGAGCAGAGCATTCTGGACTTTAAAAGACGGATTCTCTGTGGTAGCACCGATAAGTGTGACTTGCCCACTCTCAACGGGTCCCAAGAAAACATCCTGCTGAGATTTGGAGAAGCGGTGGATTTCATCACAGAAAATAATCGTCTTTCTCCCGGTAAGGCTGAGTTCGCTTCTGGCCTCCGAGAAGATCTTTTTGCACTCCGCAACTCCCGTGCTGGTGCTGTTAATTTCCACAAATCGACTGCCCACCACTGAAGCAATTACCCGTGCAATCGTCGTCTTTCCCGTACCGGCACTACCCCAAAGTATCATACTGGGGACTCTATCTTGTTCGATCAGCCCGCGAAGGACACCATTTGGACCAACGAGCTCCTGTCCGCAAATTTCGTCGAGTGTCCGAGGGCGCATACGTTCCGCCAGCGGCGCCACCTTCTCAAACGCATTTGTTTTGGGTCGCTTTACTTGAGAGATTGGAGATGGTAGAGTTTGACTTGAACTGTCCTTTTCAATGAAAGGATCGGTCTCCTGAGACTGAGGGAAGGGCCTCTTGCCATTCATGCTGCGTATGGACGGGGTGCTGGCATCCTGACGAATGAACTGGGCTGAAGCCTTGCGCGTAGAAGTCGGCTGAAAGAAGCTCGGGACAGGAGCTTTTGGGGATGATGCAGATTCCCCGGTGTTCGACACCGGTTCATCTTGAACGAATCTCTGACAGTTGGAGTCAATGTGGTCGTTTATCTTCAAGGACGGGACCGACTTGCCACAAATTGGGCAGAAAACCATTGTGGATCATTGAGAAGAAGCGTCGTCGGCGAGCATGTACCTTGGGCGAGCTTGTCGATGCGAAGCGCGTAACGCGACAGACGGATTAGTAATCAATACAATAATGGGTATAGGACTGTATGGTACCATATTATACTGTACCTTTTTGTATCACTGTATGTTGGGACTAAAAGAGAAGGCGGTCGGACCTTGCCAATCAATCGAGCACTTGTGCGGAGTACGGTTTCCTGCTATGGTTTCCGCCAGCCATTGCTGCCTTCCAATGCCTAGATTTGCTTCCTCTCGTCTTTGCTATCTCATTAAACTGGGATGTATTTCTTAAGAAGAACTTTTAGGTCTTGTTATAGTCCCTTCTGCTACTTGTCAGCCAGATTGCCAGTCTACGACCGTCATGGGTGTGCCTACTTGTGGTTTCCTGTGTCGTTCGTTGCTGACTACGCGCGATTCATGTAACTAGCCAGTTAACTAACCAGATGACCCATTTCTCTGTCCACAAACTGAGACGGTTTGTGAGTTGGCTCGGATACTCGATGACGATAGAGTAGTGCATGTCCGAGGGTCGCCGGCATCAGGAAAGACGACTCTTGCATATCTCCTGAGCAGATACTACCATCAACGGAATGTTCTGTCAGTCATTATTTCAGATTGGCCGCGAGACTATTGTCATTCCTACACGGATGTTCTGGTTCGCTGTGCAAATGATGCGGGGTATAGATCTGCTACGACAAGCAATCTTCGTGATTCCTATATTGTCTTCATTCTGGACGAAGCTCAGATGACATACCACGACTCAGGACTTTGGTCAGGTCTTATTAAGACGCAGAATAATCGACAGTTTAGACCAAGAGTTTGTGTTTTCTCGTCATACGGCGGAAGTCCTCCTGGAGGCGCAGATGACTTCAGCCTGGGGAGTCCACTTGGGTATCTTGGAGTCCAAAAAAGAGTGTCTATTACTGGGTCCAGAGCGGGTAACTTCGGGACTGCTTAATTCTTGACTGTCGTACTTCGTTCCCACTCCCTCACAGTAAGTTTGCCCCTTGTTCTGCTTAAGCTCGCACTGCTAATTCAAGAATAGATGTGCCCGGTACAAAGCTCTGGAGAGTGATGTTCGCGAGTGTGACTCTTCAGTTGAGATCCTAGACTCTTGCAATCGGTTACTCTCCGCATTTTCTCTTAATGTCTTAGGTCGCTATTCAAATCTCTCCTGAGGGAAGAAAAGGCGTACCGAAAATGCCTAGGAGGGAGTAAGGATCATATGTTTCTACCAGACTCTTGCTATCCGAGCTTGGCTTCCGCTTTGAACAGCAAGTTGAGGTTGGATCTGTTGCGGAGAAGGTTACCGGAACTCATAAGTCAGAATCGATGATGAGTGTTTTGCGGCTTATTGTCCTGGAGTATGAACTACCACTAGCTTGCCAGCTGTGCCAACAGATTCTCTGCCCTGAGAAATGGGAGATTATGAGGAATAAAGAAAAAAAATTAAATAAATAAATATGCTTCATACAACTTAGGCGATATATCCATTGGAGAATGGTAGCTTGCACTCTCTTATTCCTAACTATTTAGGATGGTTACTTCTATAATATATCCTCCTCTTTTGACGAGTCTTTGACGCCTGTATGATATACGGTAATGCAGCAGAAGCCTTAACACTCATTTAGACCGTCCAATAAGGGTAGGGATGTTAAAACGTAAACATATAAAACCAAGAACAGGGTGAAGTTGGTTCTTATAGCAGGGGGCAGCAGCGGTGGTTACAGTACGCGGTATGAGGGTGCTATGTCCCAGAAGGCAAAACTAACCGTAACCGGGAATTCACAGGTACTCGACAGTAAGTAGATGCATGCATGTGGGGTTCTTTCTTATCAAGAACCCGCCGAGCACGCAATCGAAGCTTCTCCCCAATGGCTTGCTGACTGCCTGGACAGTATGAGTAATAATAACCAGAACTTCACAAGGCGTGGATATTCATAATCCCAGTCCTTAACCACCGCTGCCGTTCTCTGCCTGCTGTCCCTATGGTAGCTGGTTGTCGCGCCCTGACGCTGCTCAGATCCCAGAAGCTCCTAAATCTCTCCGCATTCGGCCCCGCCTTCAGGCCAGTTTTCCCGCGTCTTCCACATCTCGGTGCCAGGACAATGTCTCAGACAGCAGCTCAGGCTGAGCTCTTCCAACCAGCGCAGAGAGTCGCTGGTCAAAGGCAGGATGTCTGGTACGTCAATCGTGCAATGTCTCTGTCCTGTCTCCGGAATCATTTCTAATCAGTTCCTAGGTCCATCGTCAACGAAGCCGCGGCCGCTTCGCCGGTCCAGCCCATCGTGAATATGGGACAGGGCTTCTTGTGAGTCATTCCATTTACATATAGATGCCAAAGTAAAACAAAATTACTCGTCGCACTGCAAAGACAATGGTGGAAGAACTAACGGACAGCTCTTTTCTTGGCACAGTGGTTACAATCCTCCCCAGTTCGTCCTCGATGCTGCTAAGGAGGCCCTGAATCGAGTGGATTGTAACCAGTACTCCCCCACGAAGGTATCGTCCTTGGTCTTGGTCGCAATATGTAAATAGGGAGGGGGAAAGACTCACTGCGAGATAGGGTCGTCCACGCCTCAAGAAAGCCATTGCGGATGCATACTCATCTTCCTTCGGCCGGGCATTGAACCCAGATACAGAAGTTACCATCACGACAGGAGCAAACGAAGGTGCGCTGGATATATTTAAACAAGCAGGGTTGTGTCTACTGGTTATCAATGGCTGATGGATTTGCAATGGAAAGGCATGCTGAGCGCCTTCATGGGCTTTATCGAACCGGGAGACGAGGTCATCCTCTTTGAACCGTTCTTCGACCAGTGAGTTGCCCGTGACATTCAACCTGATTTGGAACAGGAAGCCCTGACACAATTGATAGGTATATCAGCAATATCGAAATGTCCGGTGGCACCATTCGTTACGTTCCCCTCCATCCCCCAAAGGATGGGGCGACCAAGACCAGTTCTGCCCTGGAGTGGACAATAGATTTCGAGCAGCTCGAACGAACCATTAATCCAAAGACCAAAATGATAGTAAGGGATTCCCCAGAGCCAAAAATTTTTCTTCTACTTTTACTTTCTGCGTTCTAACCACCTCATAGGTGCTCAATTCTCCGTAAGGGAACACTCTCACTCGATATTGTTCTCCTGTCGTTGAAAACTAACAGTATGGGCAGCCACAATCCTGTTGGAAAGGTATTCTCTCGCGCGGAACTTGAACGAATTGGAGAGCTCGCCGTGAAGCATAATTTTATTATCCTGTCGGATGAGGTATACGACCGCCTCTACTACGTACCTTTCACCAGGATTGCCACCTTGTCACCAGAAGTGTATGAGCGCACTCTCACTGTTGGCTCTGCTGGAAAGGCCTTCTATGCCACTGGTTGGCGCGTTGGATATCTCATTGGTCCAGAGCATCTTATCAAATATGTGGCTGCTGCTCACACTCGGATATGCTATAGCAGCGTCTCCCCCCTCCAGGAGGGGGCTGCCGTTGCCTTCGAGCAGGCAGACAAAGTTGGGTTTTGGGATGAAAGCCGGAAGGATATGAGAAGGAAGATGAGCCTCTTCTGCGAAGTCTTTGATGAGCTGGGCATTCCTGTACGCGCCTATTTGAACCTGCTTTCTCACCCCCAGTTTCCGTGGCTGTGCTAACATAGCGCCGTTCAGTACTCTGACCCCGAGGGTGGTTACTTTGTCCTGGCTAACCTGTCCTCTGTTAAACTCCCCGAGGATTATCCTTTCCCTCCTCATGTATCCAGCCGTCCTCGTGATTTCAAACTTGCCTGGTTTCTCATCCAAGAGGTTGGTGTGGCAGCCATTCCTCCAACAGAATTTTACACCGACGAGAACGCCCGCATCGCAGAAGACTATCTTCGCTTCGCGGTCTGCAAGAATGATGACGTACTCGAGACTGCTAAAGAAAGGTTGCGCGGTTTGAAGAAGTACATTGTGCGGTAAAAGTATGCCATTCTCTTTTCCCCATTCATTCTCTCTTTTCTTTTTCTGACTCAACTGGTTCTTCTCGGCTAATGATCAAGCTCCCCTGCACAGTTGCAAATTTTGTCTGGGTGTTGTAACTAAGGTAAGGCATATAATCAATACATTAGAAAGATGTGCGAATACAAGGCAAGGACATAGACATCATATGTGCTTTTTTTCATTCTCCTCAATACCACTTATTCTTAGATTTTTTTTTCTTTCTTTCTACCCTTTCTTTCAAATCCTTTCCCACCATTTCTACTTTGATATCCAGGATGGAATTCATACGCGGAATAGTACAAAACAGCCAAGGGAAACCAAAGTCAGTCGGTATCCAGCAGACGATATTCAACGTCGAATGTCCATATCCCATTTCTTACCCTCCTTTCTGACGCAGAACGGCCATCAATGGCTGGCTGAAGACTGTGGCGCGAGCAGTTTGCCTTCATGATCCAAGAGGTCAAGAGGTTTCACCATAGGCCACTCGATTTCCAGTGGTTCACAGTCTGCACCACCATCCCAACCCGGCCCACGTCGGAACATTCTCCTGTCCTTTTCATGGACACCTGGGAAACCCTCGCCACGCGTCCGTGCGGCAACCTGGGTAACTTTTGGATGGGTGGTCCTCGCTGCTCGAAGAACCCAGAAGTTGGCCTCAAGGAACTCGCACAATTGGCGAAAGCCCGTACTCGCTCCGAAGTCACTTATTTCTCTACCACATTCGCTATTGCAGGCTTCATCTGTACAGTAGCCAGGGTAGGCCCCATTCCATTCTGACTCGCAGGCATGCCTTTCGCCGATGAGCGATTTATCCAACTCCTCGCCTTGTTCGCCCACCCATTGATACTGCAGTGAATTGTCGATTACGGAGTTCCATTCCCCACGTGCCCGAAGATTGTCCCGTATCAAGCGGAACATGTATCCAACGAGGGCAGGGAATTCAAGAGCATCTAAACATTATACCCCTGTCAACAATGGCACTGGCTCGTGTTGTATGTCTGGGCGACTTACTAAAGAGGCATATCGCGAGAATACGCCGGAATCGATCCTTCTCCGCAGGATCGTCGAATCTGACAGCACGGATTACTTTGGAAGAGCAACGCAACTCGTTCTTAGTCTTTTTATCTTCTGGGCTCCCAGCAGCTACAAATTCTAGCCAGTCGGCGAAGATAAAGTAATCGCCTGTTGTATTCATAGCATAGTGTACGGCTTGGCGCTGACGCTCGGGGGTGTCCCAATGGTGACGACAAGGTATCATGGGCATTCCTTCTTCGAGTTGTGTAGGAAGGCAACTGACCGCGTAGGGTTCTTTGAACGCTAATTTGGCGCACCATGTTAGCCAGTGCTGTTTAATGTGGGCGAAGAGATGCTCTTTGCTGCAATAACGGACCTCCGAGAACGGCCCACACCTCGGACAGACGACAGATCCATCCCACAGGCAGCAGCGCTTATTGCAATCTGGCATCTGGCATGGGAAACCATGGCTGTCAAGCTGCCAGAAGAATCGCGGTCTCCTCTGGCTGGATACGGTGTTTCGTTGGCCCGAAGGCGGCTGAGATTGCCCCTGTCGTGGGGCAGGATGAACATGGCTCTTGACAGCTAGGAGTTCTTTTCCCCCCTTGCCTTTGATGCTTGATGACTCAGTTTTTGGGGCTTTGGAGACGGGGACAATGACCTGAACTTCATTTTCCTTGCCTTTCTTGCTCGGTGGCTCGGTGTTTGAAAGTTCGGAGGCAGGAGTATTGACACCAGTCCGATCCTGTTCAGCTCCCTCGGAGGACTCGCCCGTTTCATGGATGGGTGTGAGTATCGGTAGGGCTGTGGGACCGCTCTCCTGGTTGGCCTGGCCCTTCAACATAGGGGGAATCACGGTTTCTTTAGAGGCAGTTTGCTGCGACTCTCGGTGGAGCGATTCCGAGCCATTGCCCTGACATTCGTTCTCGGGAGTAGTCCTAGCCAAATTTGCGGGTTCTGACTCTATGGACTGCTCGGCATCCTTAGACTTCTTGGAAAGTTCTACGGTCGACTGCCGAGGTGTCGAAGGAAGGGGTGGAAAGTCATTTTCTGTAATATGAGGAGCGTCAGACGCGCAATCCTCCAGGGAATCCACAGTTCCTTCCATATCGATTGTCTTAGAGGCTTCTGAATCAGATGTGAGCTTCTCACTTTTCTCTTCCTCGCGTCTGATAGACTGCAAGGCCGAAGAGCCAACTGAAACTGGGGTTTGACAGCCTCTGGTAGAAGGACTGTATTCCAACTTCAAAGTCTCCTGAGCAGAAAGATGAGGGGGCTCGACATCTTTCTTCACGGTAGAAGGATCCTCTAGACCGGGAACGGTATTTCTTTTCCTCTTCTTCTTGTTCTTGGACCTCTTCCTCTTCTTTTTCTTCTGTTGCTGAGGAGTGTCCAATGAAGCTTCGGAAAAGGTTTTGTTTAGATCCATGCTGGGGCCCACGATTGGCAAGATCACTGGCGAGTCGCCTGGTGTGCTTGGCTCAGATTGAGCGCGACGCAAGCTAGCGCGAGCGCGAAGTAAGGCGATGGCATCGACACGTTTTCTGAGCTGCTCCTCAGGGCTGATCTCCTGCGGATCTTCAGTATCTTACGAACTGGTTAGCAAGGTATGTCGACGTAACGGACAGAGCTTGAATGGAGCCCGCGTCATGCGTCATGAGCCAAGTTCACTTACCTTGATAGTTGCTCTCGTGCTCTAACGACACAGTGAATGTCTCAGCGGTTGACATCTTTGGTTCCTCAGCATCTGAGTCCTGCGGAGATGTCAGGTGGGAGATAGTATGAGATGGGGGAGAAGTAAGAGCGTCTGAAAACTCTTCAGGAGAGGAGGGGATGGTTGTGAATGTCAGTTTGCCATCGCCATGGCGATGGCCTGAAGTGATTTACTCATTAGCCAGTGTGCATTTGATATTGATGAAGCCAACAATACAATACTCACTTTCACTATGCCCGCCATGGTCTTTGTCATTGGGCTTCTTCTTCTTCTTCTTTTTGTTCTTCTTCTTAGAGGAAGAGGGAGAAGCCTGAACCTGGTTGGAGACAGATTCTTTTACATCAGCCCCTACCTCTTCCTCCTCTACCTGCTTTTTAGCTGCAGCCCAGAGTCTAAGGATGACCTGTTTGAGTAGCATGCTGACTGTGTTTCTCTTTGTTCTTGTTGGCATTAAGCTGAGGTGAACTGAAGGTGGGAGGGAGATGGGAGACGTTTGATAAAGTGATATAATACCATTTATCGCGGCATCTTCCCTTTGCTCCAGGGACTGAGCTGTGAGAGTGAATGCTCCTGGAAGAGATTACTGGAGTGCCCCCTCACAGAGTCCTTCACCCAAGGGGATATCTACACTTCCGCTATGGGGCCCACACCAGGGGGGAGAAACAAAAGAAATACATCTGTGTGTGCACATATCTCCTTGAGATTCAATTTCCATTTCTGCAGGGATATCTATGTGTTCTCAGTATCGACTGGCAGGCTACAGTACATTCCATTAAATAAAGTCGAAGTTCTATCTTTTCTTTTGCTCGAATAGACGTGGAAGTAGATGCGATTGTCGTTCCAGATGTTAGAGTAAAATCAACTTAATTCGTCTGTTTATTCTACGGGATACTATGTTCAGAAGTGCTTTTAGCATTCGATCTCAGAAGAAATAAGAAAATAGGTCTGCCTGTCTCTCTATAGAGGAGTTCACATTGTGTCGAGAATGGACATTCTGAGTCTTCGTTCTGCTGTTCTCAACTACAGGATACGTACAGATCGGGTCTGTCCAGAGACTCCGGAGTCCTAAAATAGAACCTCCATATGAACAGCATCGATTCGCTTCGGCAGTACGCGCCTATCCATCTAGTTATGGCATGCAGATGTACTTTCGACTCATTCTCTGGTAACATCTTCCCCCCAGGTTTCTCTCAAGCGCTAGACCGACAGCAGTGCGCCTCCAGTGGGAACACAAGCAACGATACATAAAGCGATTTACTAACAATGGAAACAGGGTCTTAAAGCCTTATCCAGGCATTAATTAGCGCCTTTGTCCATCCCACTGAATACCCTGCATGACCCAGTGTAAAAGAACTGGACATCCGACGAACAATGGCCCATTGTTAAGCGCTGCAGCCCCCCCCGGAAGGCTGCATGAGGCTCTGAAGAAAAGCGCATGGCGAACCACATAATAAGAATGAGGCCTTGGCGGATCTGAAACGGCTTCTGAAGTGGACATAAGCCATTTCTGGTTTTTGCAGCTTTTATTTTCGTCTTTCTTTTCTTTTCTTTTTTTTTTTTTTTGCCCCCGTTGTTTCATTATGCGAGCGACCTGGTCTTCGTGTCACGGCCACGTTTGGCCAGCACATAAAGACTGGCTCTCTCGAGATGAAAAAAATGAGGATGATGGGATTATTATGATTATATCTTCCTCTTGTTCTTTTCGAGCTAGTATTTTTGTTTGGTTGTGGTGCGAAAGACTTCCTTCATACTCCTTCTGGTTGTTGATATTCACTTGAACCTCAGTCTTCCATTGTCTATTCTCAACAATAGGATCGAGGTTATGTTCTATTGACTTTTAATTGAGCGAATTCGTCCCTTCTTACACCCATTGGCGCTGGTCAGCATCTTTGTTCCAACTCTTGCTACTCCTTCGTCCCTGGTCTACATACTCCGATTCGAGAAAACCGAGATCCTCTCTACGTCGCTGGCGACTACAATCAAACTACTACTCTTGAACTCTTCTGTTGCTTTGAGGGATTCTGTTGCAGTGGTAGATCCGACATCCACGTTGCCGTTATGGTCTTCTCCAGATCAGGCCGGTCGATATTTCCTCTCCTCCCCCCTTATGGAGCTCACGATGCCAACGGGCTGCAAGGCCGGGCAGCACCCTTGCACCCGGATGATATTACTCCATATCTCGGTCTTCAGGCCCGTCTTTCTCAAATCTGGATCAACAGATGGACCATCTTACTGCTCCTTGTCCTCTTCCGCGCCTTGATGGCCGCTAGCGGGTTGAATGACGATATGGCTACAGCCAAGCGTGAGGCACTGTCAGCATGCTCATCGGTCGAATCCATGGGCAGCTCCATGGCCTCCATGCCCCATTACCTGGCGCAGGGTGTGAATGAGCTTACCGCCGCGGGTGTCGAGGAGGCCGTCAAGGGCCTCACGACGATGCTCACGCTGACCGTCACGGCTGTCGAAGCGATAGTTCTTTTCATCATCAAACTCATGTACTCTACCTATCTGTGTCTGATTACGCTGGCTGTCCGCGGCAGTGTGCAGGTGGCGGTGGATTTGCTCGGCGAGGCTACTGAAGCTGTGAACAACACAATCAAAAGCATCGGTAACGACATCTATAGTTCGATCGATGATTTCCAGAAGGCAGTTAACAACTTCGCCGATATTGTGAACACCGTTGGAGTCCATGTTCCAGCCATCAATATCTCGAGTAAGCTCGATGCGTTGGAGGACATCCATCTCCCATCGAATATTGACAAAAGCCTCGATACCCTGAACAGCTCGCTCCCCACGTTTGGTCAGGTCGAGAATTTCACGCAGGGCATTCTGTCATTGCCATTCGAGGAAGTGAAGAAGTTGATAAACGAGTCCTGGGGAACCTACACTTTTGACCGGTCCGTTCTGCTGGTCCCGGAGAAGAAGCAGCTGTCGTTCTGCAATGACAATAACGGGATCAATGACTTTTTCGACGATGTAACGGGCATCATCATGACAGCTCGAAAGATATTCATTATTATTCTCATTATCGCGGCCGTTCTCACCTGCGTCCCTGTGGCCTGGCAGGAGATTCGACGATGGCGTCACATGAAGGAGCGCTCCCAGCTCGTCCGGAAAGAGGCCCATGATCCCATGGACGTCGTCTATATAGTCTCCCGGCCGTATACCGCGGGTGCTGGGATCAAGGCTGCGAGCAGATTCAGCAACAGCCGCAGACAGATCCTCGTCCGCTGGGCCATTGCCTACGCAACAACTCTGCCTGCATTGTTCGTTCTCTGTCTCGGCATCGCAGGCCTGATCTCCTGTCTTTGCCAGTACTTCCTTATACGAAGTGTGCAACGCACAGTCCCCGAGCTGACAACCCAAGTCACCGCATTCGCAGATAAAGTAGTGGATTCATTGCAAGCCTCCTCGGTGGAATGGGCCAACAATGCCAATAGTGTCATCCAGAACACAAGCACGAGCATGAACGATAGACTCTTCGGCTGGGTCAACACCAGCTCGACAGCTCTGAACAACACCCTGAACACATTCGTCGACAGAACCACAGACGTCCTCAATGACACCTTTGGCGGCACCATCCTCTACGACCCCGTCAAGGAGGTATTCAACTGTCTCGTCCTCCTCAAGATCCAAGGCATAGAAAAGGGCCTCACCTGGGTCTCTGATCATGCAAATCTCGACTTCCCCCTCCTCCCGAACGATACCTTCTCCCGTGGCGCCGCATCAAGCATCAATAGTAGCAATCCAGATGCATCGGGCAGCTTCCTCGCCGACTCGGGCGACCAGACCTCCGACAAGATCAGCGAAGCCGTCGTCCGCGTCATCGACAAGGTCGAAAGCGGCATCCGGACTGAAGCTATCATCTCGGCCATCATCGTCCTGATATGGGTCTTCATCGCCCTAATCGGTATCCTCCGCGCTCTGGCCCTATTCTGGACTCGTGAAAGGACCCGCGGTGAAGGAGGTGGTTTTCCCCTTACTGCTTACTACGATAATAACAATAGTAACGGTAAACCGGACCCGAACGGCTTCATCGATGTCCCCCTCACTTCCATTCCTATTCCCAGAGGTACGGATAGTAGTGACATCGCCCGCTCCCAGCCAGCTCCTAGGTATGAGGCAGCTACGCAGGACCATCCGGTGTCGATGCCGGTTGCAGTGGCCATCTCCACGTTCGATGAGAAGACCGGGTGGGCCGGCCAAAGGAATTACGAGTCCGCGTTAAAGGTGGATGGGGATGTTAAGAATCTGCGCTCAAGTGCCCATGTTGAATATGGGTCTGAGAAGCATTGAGGTAATATCCTACAAAGTATAGATACTCGTCTTTGTTTTGTGATTGAGGCTCAGGTTGAACCTTTCTATTAATATAATACCCTCTTGCTATTATTGTCTGTCTTAGCGTGTCTTGTTTGCTTGATTTCTGTCGTTTATGTTGGAGTTCAGCTGGGCTTTCCATCATTAGGGTTCTTGAGAAAAGAAAATATGAAAAATGCAAATGAGGTATAGGGACATCTCAAGCAAATGAGAAGATCACTATGATTAGAGTATAATGATAACCGATTTCAACTTGTAAATGATTCTCCAAAAGAAAGAAAGTTGGAATGCGTCAAGCTGCGAGATAGAATTGCTTGGAGCTTTATTTGATATATGATGCTTCCTCCAATTGAATTGTAACAAAGCCTAACCTCGTAGCGACCTAGAAGATTAATTAACCAGATTTGAGTCCGCATAATTATCTCAAGAAAATGAAAAACGTATGTATATTTACTGGGAAATAAAACACATCTAAGCAAACTTGGTATCCTAAGCCCTTGCATACCAACAAGGGAAACAAATATATATCGTCCCTAGAAACGCTGCATAGCATCGTACAGATGCTACCTACGTACCCTCCATATATACCTTGACACGAACCATCCCATAAGGGGAAAAACCTCGGTATCAAATAGATGCAAAGAAACTCTCCTCCCCATCCCGAGGATGAACCCTCACCCTCTCAATAATGGGATCAGCACAACTGACACGGATCCTCTCCGGTGTGGCGGGACTGCGCAGGCTGAGCACATCCTTGACACCCCACTGTGCTCTAGCAGCCTTCAAAGCGTCTCGAATAGCAAAGAAGACAGCACTTCCCATGAACAATGGTGGTTCGCCGACGCCTCGAGAGCGTTGGATAGTGCGAAGGTTCTCCCACTCAACGTCTTTGAGAAGGCTGACGTTGAATACTTGAGGGATGTCCCGGAAACCCGGGATCTTATAATTTCCCGGTCCCTTTGTGGCGATCTGGCCAGAAGCGCGGTGCCAGAGGCTTTCCTCAGTGGTGAAAAGACCCTGGCCTTGGACAAACGCACCCTCGATCTGTCCGTAGTCCAGGTCAGGGTTGATGGAGCGGCCGACATCCATCTTGATATCAGCGCGCAAAGGTGTCCAATCACCGGTTAATGTGTCGATTTGGACCTCTGCTGCCGTCACGCCCTGTGTGAAGTAGAAGAACATCTGACCCTTGTTTTCGCCCCATACATACCCAATGTCCGGAGTGCGATAGTAGCCCTGGGCAGAGAGGTTGACACGATCGAAGTAGGCCGCGTGTGCGAGTTCCTTCATGGTGGCATTGGGCATTTTCTCGCGGTAGGTCTGGAGGCGCTCGTTGAGCTGCTGGCAGGCGTTGAAGATGGCGTAGCCGTTGAGATCGGAGCTTGCTGATGCCGCCGTTGGTGAAGTGTTCGCGACTGTGTTGGTGGCAGTTTCAGCAATGAAGACACTGGACTGTGGAACCTTGAGCGCCTCTGCCGCAATCATGGTCATCTTAGTATGCAGACCCTGCCCCATTTCGACACCGCCGTGGGCGACCAGGACACTTCCATCGTGGTAGATGTGAACAAGAGCTCCCGCCTGGTTGAGAAAGACGGCAGTGAAGGAGATGCCAAATTTCGTCGGGACAATTGCCATTCCTCGCTTGGACCATTTGTGTGTCTTATTGTATTCTTCGACGGCCTTGCGACGCTCCTTATACGAGCTCTCTTCAAGGACTTGGTTGTACATCAACGGAACGTGCCAATCCTTGAGTTCTTGTTTGAAATGAGTCTTCTCATCAGGTTTGTACATATTCATCATGCGGAGTTCCTCGACCGGTATGTCAAGATGATCTGCAATTTCGGAGATATAGCATTCGGCAAAGAACAGACCCTGGGGACCTCCAAAGCCTCGGAACGCAGTGTTCGAAACTGTATTCGTCTTGCATATACGGCCACGGACGTTGACGTTAGGAATATTGTACACGTTGTCGATGTGTGACAATGCTCTTTCCAGCACTGCACCGGAAAGATCCTGTGTATGGCCTCCGTTTGCAAAGATATCGGCGTCAAGGGCGAGAAGCTTCCCCTTCTTCGTCACACCGACCTTCCAGCGGCAGAGGAAAGGATGACGCTGGCCGGAGACAGCAATGTCTTCATCGCGATTAAGCATGCACCTAACCGGGCGCCTGGTCTTTGCGGCAGCAGTTGCACAGATACCAGCTAGTTGGACTGACCTGCTTTCCTTACCTCCGAATCCACCACCAAGGCGCTTAACTCGGGAAACGATCTTATTCGCAGCGACACCAGTAACCTGGGCAATATAGGTTTGGCTACAACAAGTCAGCACGTAAGTTGGCTCCGAATACCAATAGAAGACTTACGTTTCGGTGGGATTTTGAGTACCACTCCAAATCTCCATCTCACCGTCTTCGGGTTTCGGAATGGCGACGCAAGCCTGGGTCTCCAGATAGAAGTGTTCTTGGCCACCTATTCTTGACTCTCCCGTGAATACGTAGTCGGCATCTTTGAAAGCAGCTTCAGTATCACCATTCTTGATGAAACGGCAGTACTCAAAGAACGAATCTGCTTCAATCGCTTCCTCAATAGTGAGGATTGGATGCAAGTCTTCGTACTCAACTTTCACAGCTCTTGCACCTTCTTCAGCTATATTCGCGGAATTGGCAAGTATCATACCAATAGGCTGACCGGCACTGGTGACCTTGTCGACTGCAAAGAAAACATCATCGGGATTGGGTTGTCCCCACCAGTTGGCCTCGGGATTGGGAAGATCATTGTGGTCCACGAAATCATATACGCCTGGAATATCCAATGCCTTGGTTGCATCAACGCCGAGGATTTTCGCGTGAGCCTTCGTCGACATAACGAGACAACCATACAGCTCGTTTCGAGCTGGGGGAATGTCGTCGGTATATTGTGCCTCCCCAGTGGCCTGTTTCAGAGCCGCGACGTGTGGACTAGCCTTGCCCAGAATGTTACTCTCGTAAGCCACTGAGGCTTTGTGGTCTCTTTTCCCCGTAGAGATCGCCCGTTCGATCTCAGCGATTACATCCTCATCGATGTCTGAATTCTTGACTTCAATCTCAGATAACACTTCATGGTAGAACCGGTAGAAGAATCCTAAGGCAAGAGACTTGCGATACGTTGCCATCCCCCCAGGTACTCCAAATTTTATATCAAAATCTTGCTCCAACGCACCCATAGTGCCCTCGAGAGTTGCGGGATTCGTAAATTTCTTGCCGACCAAATAGGCTTCTGCGTTCTTTGCGGATACGGTCATCGGGGCCAGCCCGCCAAAAATGAGGTTGACACTTGTTACGTCGCTCGATGGTGACAGTGCCACGCGCAAAGCAGCATTTACAATAGCAATGTCATCATCCTTTCTCTTTGATTGCTTATACGCTCGGACGTATTCACCCTTTTCCTGTGCAACTGGGATATGCAAGCTTGCTATAACAGCATCCGGAGGGAGGGCAGTGGACCTATAGCCCTTAAAAAATTCGTTCATTGGAATCATCGTATCTTTCCCCAATGATTTGGCAAGAATCACGGTATTAGTAGCGACAAGTACGGGGTTCAGATCTGAAATCGGTGATGCGGTGGCCAAGTTCCCTGCCGGCGAAGCAACATTGCGAATTTGTCTTCCAGCAAAGTAACGAAGTTGTTTCTTTATAGCTTTGAAGGGCTGTCCTCTTGAGGGACCGTAGCGCTCGAGTGCTTCATCACAGATAGATTCTAGATCTGTCAAGGAAACATTTGCTCCGAGCTCCAAGTAGTCAGCCTTGAATGAATACTGACGAAGTTCTGGAATGTCCCCGACGTAAACGGAATCGGCGTATCGCATGGCCTTAAACTTGACTTCGATTTGTGTTTCTGTACTGCCACCGATGAGTTTTGCAGAGGGGTTCGCACTTTTAATTTTTAGCAGCTGGTCCAGAGTAACAGGTCTGTACCATCTCTTCCTCTTGTTTCCAAAGGCCAGCGGCCGAAGCTCCTGCTTTTTGAGGGCGGGGGGGAAGATCAACTCCGTTTCAGGATTGTAGGGTACAAATTGAGGGGACGGAAACTTTGGCAAATTGTCACCGTTCTCGACATTGGCTACGGTGGAGTTCTTGCAACATCCAGCAGAACTGTCCGTTTTCTCCATACAACAGCCTGTTCCACCATTTGTACTGGATTTGCAGCACCCTGTGGGAGGAGTTGTGAAGGTGTGCGCAGCATCTAGAATAGGTCTGTATCCAGTGCAACGACACAAGTTTCCATCAAAGGCCTCTTCCACAATGTGTTCAGAAGGTGTGGGGTTATTCCGTAGAAGGGCGTATAGGCTCTGAAAGAAACAACATCAGTAATTAGTGGACAGGCTACATGACATAGACAACAGAAAGAACCTGTATCAGAAGAAGGACGTACCATAACAATACCAGGAGTACAGAACCCGCATTGACTCCCATTTGCAACAGCGATCCGTTGCTGTGCAGGGTGAGGGTTCTTCACATTCCCAATACCTTCAATTGTGATGACATGTTTACCATCCACACTGATCAAGGGAGCAAGGCAAGCGTTTACAGAGGCATGGTAAAGCTGTTTTGTAGTTGGATTTAGATATGAAACTACCTAGAAAGAGGGTTAGAAAGCAGCATATCTCGATGTAGGACGGCAATCCATGGCATCAACGTACAACTGTACAAGCACCGCAACCACCTTCTGCACAGCCTAATTTCGTCCCCGTCAGGCCTATTCCTCGCAGATACTGTAGAAGCGTGATCTCTGGATGAACAGAATCCAGGACAACTTTGGTGCCATTAAGGTAGAAACGAAGCGTGTCGTCCCAGGTCTCAGTGATTTGGGATAACGAAACAGGCTTATCGATCGCAGCTACGGGACTCAACGGATCTATGATGCCGGGAGCCATGGCTGTGCCTTGTCTGGGTTTATAGAGAGTAGATGAACGAACTTGCGGAACGAAAGAAGGAAAAGAGAGGCCAAGAAAAGAAATGTGGGGAGCAGCCGATAAGCCTGGGGAGCTCTAAAGATAGAAGGCTTGATTGATAAGGGCCCTGCGGAACGACGTAGTGGGAAAAGTCCGTTGAAAAGGAGTGCAAAAACTTCAGAAAGGTCCTCTCCGGAGTAGCGGAATGGAGGAGAGAATGCAGTATTAAATAGTCAGAGCCAGCTAGATGAAGTTGTTGAAGAAGCAGATAGAGCAGTGCTGGGACCCCCACTGAGAGGGGAAACAAACTGGTCTCCGCCGCCGGCGATCGCCACAGTCCGATGGCTTTGATAAAGTACTGTCTAGTCGACAACTACAGCACACTACTTGGTAGGTAGACAATGAACTCTTCGGAAATAAATGACATATTGCAGAAAGCAGCAGCATCCAATAAACAGTCCAGGGACAGGCCAGCGTCAAGACAAGACATATTCACAGAATAGTGTAAAGAATCCAAAGTGTTGCAAGAAAACCAAAGACAAGAATATAGAATAGTAGTAGTAGTATATAGCACAGAATAATATACTGTACAATAGAATGGGAACAATGGCATTATTTCATCATGCTCCAACAAAATTCTTTTCCTCCTCTTCCCATTTCTGACGCTCGACGACGCTTCTGGCTCTAGACATAGCAAACGCACCGACCATTAGCAGAGATCTTGGGAATGTCATCATTTTGGGATATGTAACACTAACCGATACGCCCGCACGAAACGCCAAACTTCAGTGTCTGCCAGATTCCACGCCTCGGCCACCTCTTTGATGCCGACCCGGTTGTTGTCTTTTCCCTTCAGGGCCTCCCTAGCTTTTCCGATGAGCTCATACTCACTTTCGACGCTTTGCTTGGCCGGTTGGGGATTCGCCGCCTTGTTCTTCGTTGGATCCTTGTTCGTCAAATCCGGGTTCTCGCGAGGAATCCTGAATCCAAACTGCCATTCCAACTCGTCTAGGAATGTCTCCGGAAGAGTGTCACCGGACTTTGCTGAAAGAGACTCGACTGTTATCCACAATGATGAGCCGATTGCTGCATCGCCAGCGACGGCGTCTTTAAACACCACAGCTCGAGACGACGGCCCGAGTCTGGGTTCAAGAAGGTCCTTTGTTACTTCCGTCAACCAAGGGTCACGTTGAGTCTCACGACGGATGAGTCGTGTGGTGATATCATCTGCTCCATGCTGTAAACTAATCAAAGTGTAAGGGTGAGGAACAGTGCCTATCGTAAATACACGAGACGTGTTCTTGTAGATGGAAGGCTGAGTGATATGCATCTTCTTCCCAGCGCTGCAAGGATGGCATCCGTTGCGGTTCGGTGGGCATGAAGATGGCATAGGAGAATTGGGACATCGCACCAGTTCTTTCGCGAGAAGCAGAGTCGGTTCCACGAGAGCGGTAGTACAATCCGGGAAGGGCCTTAGGACGGCAACGCCTGCTGGGAAGACGTTCTGAAAAGTCTGGTGTAGATGCGAGTTAATCAAATCTACCAGATCTGATCGCCCTGCGGCAGGTGATGAGACAATTTTCTCCGCAAGCGAAGGATAGTGAGTGCTGAGGACATTTGAGCCGTAGAAAGCTAGGGCATCTGGGTTCTCTGTTTTGAACAAGTCTGCAGGGATCACATCCAGTATGGACTTCGACTCTTCTTTCACGTTGTTGATAGCCTTTTGAATCGCATCGTTTACTTTTCCCTTTTCCCCAGCAACGAGACACCAGTCGAATCGCGTTATCTGAGCTGGAAGAGCTCCTTGGCGGAGATACGACAGAAGTTCGTTGTCGTATCGGGCCATGGGAAAGCACCGCCAATCTGCAAGAAGGCCAGCACCCATATCTCCCCAAGCTAGCCACCTGAACATATCGGTTTCGAGCTTCGGTTGCAGCTGCAGTTTCTGTGCAGCTTCATAGAGCCGGTTGTTCATTGCTTCTCCGCGACCCAGAATAACCGGACGGAAACCTTGTGCAAACCAAGCTCTCCGCCAGGCGAGCAGCAGCTTAGCATCGGCCTCTCGTTCATGCCGAACGTTTCGGTTCCCATCATAGTAGGTATATATGGGAGGCCGGTGGCGAAGGGGAGGAAGGACAGATCGATTCTCATCTAGCGTAATGGACGAGGAAAACGGGTTCAGCCATGACAGGTCGCTAAACCAAGCGGAATCTCCGCTCGAGGAGTTTTGCGACTCCGGGGGCTTGTGAGCTGAGGGACGTAGAGGTGAATAGATACTGGTCCACGAAGGGAGCGCCGGCCGGGGAAGGAACTTAACTGAGCCCGCAACGGCATCTAGAGATGTGCCTTGAGGGGACGAGAGAATGACAAGAAAAAGCGCAAACCCCACGATGATCAGGACAAGCGCCGTACCTCGATGGGGGACCAGCATATTTAAGAATCAGGGGATGAATAACTATGTTGAAGGAATGAAAGAAGTAGGTTTCTGCGTCTTCTTCACCCACCACGGCTTAGCACGGTGGACAAGAAGATGGATGCGGGTGCCAGACCCGATAGTGGAGTCAATAACAGCTCCACAAGTAGTGGTAAATGAAAGTAATATGTACAAAGAACGCTGGTGCCATCTCAGGAGCGACATGTCCAAGGGGTGACGGCGATCAACAATAAGCGCTGGTCATGATTACCATGTGCAACATAGCGTATCCAATGTTACGATATGGTATTATTACCTGTTACTGTAACTGTAACACACATACCGTCCCAATAGTTCCACACGGGGATGCTTACCGCAAAAGGCATGGTGTTTATGGGGCGGTGTAATAGTTTCCGCCCGGCAGAAAACAGAATTCCGAAAATCGGCCCCGCTTTCTTTTTCGTCGAAATTATTCTGATCGCGCTCTTGACTCATCCCCCGCCACTGCTGTCATCGTCCCCTCTATCTGCAGGAGAACTGCTCGAGACCAACGGCCTCATTCCACACGTCCCACAATGGGGGTTGAATCAGTCTCCTTGCAAGAGCGCCTTGAAAAATGGGCACAGCGACTACAGAATATCACGGTTTCTCCGCTCACCCGGGATTATCCCGAGAACCAGACGCCAGAGCTCACGAAGAGAGCAATTGAAGCATACGAATCCCTCAAGGTCCCGGACGATGTGCAAGAGGCTGTCCAGAAACTCTCTGGATCCTCAGGCTCTGTCTTCACCCTTTTCTTGACTGCCTACTTCATTCTCGTTGCTCGTTTGACCGGAGATGAAGATATCGCCATTGCTACCAGCTCTGCGGATGATGGCCGGCCGTTTGTCATCAGGGTTCCAATTGACTCCGCGGAGTCCTTTTCCCAGCTTCATGCTAAAGTAGAGAAGGTATGTCTCTACGATATGGAGCGTTTCCTGCGGCCTTTTCCCCTCACTGACCCACTCTAGACATTTAATGAAGGCGCTGCCGACGTTGTGCCTTTAAACAGCCTGCGGTCCTACATTCAGCAGAAGACCAAGTCAGAAAGACAGCCTATCCTTTTCCGCTTTGCTGCCTACGATGCTCCAGCTGCTTCGCAAGATTACCCGGCGAATACCTTTGAGACAACTGACTTGGTTATCAATATTGCAACGGGCAAGTCATCAACCGAATTTGGGGCATATTATAACCAGAGGCTCTTATCGAGCTCCCGAATTGCCATAATTCTAAAGCAACTTGTACAGCTGGCTGGGAATGCTGCTTCGAGCCCAAATGCAGCAATCGGCAGGCTCGATTTCATGACACCGGATCAACGGAAACTCCTCCCGGACCCAACATCGAACCTGAATTGGTCTAAGTTCCGCGGTGCTATTCATGACATCTTTGTTGAGAATGCCGAGAAGCATCCAGATAGGCTATGTGTGGTGGAGACCAAGTCATCAATTTCTCCCCGTCGAGAATTCACCTACAGACAGATCAATGAGGCATCGAACATCTTAGCGCACCATTTGGTGCAGTCTGGAATCCAAAGAGGGGAGGTGGTTATGTCCTACGCTTACCGAGGCGTTGACCTTGTAGTGGCCGTTATGGGTATATTGAAGGCCGGTGCCACTTTCTCTGTAATTGACCCGGCATATCCTCCGGAGAGACAAAATATCTATCTCGACGTTGCCCGACCCCGAGCACTTGTCATTATTGAAAAAGCTACTAAAGACGCTGGTGAACTTTCACAAAAGGTTCGTTCCTTTATTGACGAGAATCTGCAGCTACGGACTGAAATTCCGGCTCTTCGGCTTTGCGATGACGGTACTCTCCTTGGAGGTTCAGTTAATGGCCGTGATGTCTTCGCTGACCAGGTGCCCTTGAAATCCAAATCTGTTGGGGTTGTCGTTGGTCCGGACTCGACCCCTACTCTTTCATTCACCTCGGGCTCTGAAGGAAGGCCCAAAGGTGTAAGGGGCCGTCACTTTTCCCTCGCTTATTACTTCCCGTGGATGTCGGAAACTTTCAATCTCTCGGAGAACGATAGATTCACAATGCTCAGCGGAATTGCCCATGATCCTATTCAAAGGGATATTTTTACTCCTCTGTTTTTGGGCGCTCAGCTGCTAGTCCCAGCTCGTGAGGATATTCAGAATGAAAAACTTGCCGAATGGATGCGGCAATACGGAGCCACCGTCACCCATCTAACCCCTGCTATGGGTCAGATTTTGGTGGGTGGCGCATCTGCCCACTTCCCCACTCTTCACCATGCTTTCTTCGTTGGTGATATTTTGATCAAAAGAGATTGCCGGTCTCTCCAGGCATTGGCGCCAAACGTCAACATCGTCAACATGTATGGCACGACGGAGACTCAACGTGCCGTCAGCTATTATGAAATTCCCAGCTACTCCAAGCAAGAAGGCTACCTGGATACAATGAAGGATGTTATTCCGGCTGGTCGGGGAATGGTGGATGTGCAACTTTTAGTTGTCAATCGCTTCGATCCCAGCCGCATCTGCGCAGTTGGAGAAGTGGGTGAGATCTACGTCCGTGCGGCTGGTCTCGCCGAAGGTTATCTGAACAATGCAGAGTTAAATGAAAAGAAATTCCTCAAGAATTGGTTTGTGGATCCGCAGACATGGGTGGAAAAGGAAAAGGCTGAATCTGCTGGTGCAAATGAACCATGGAGACAGTTCTATTTTGGTCCAAGAGATAGGCTGTACCGCAGTGGAGATCTGGGTAGATATACACCATCCGGAGATGTGGAGTGTTCCGGGCGTGCAGATGATCAGGTCAAGATTCGTGGATTCCGAATTGAGCTTGGAGAGATTGACACGCATCTTTCGCGGCATCCTCTGATCCGAGAAAACGTTACGCTGGTGCGCAGAGATAAGTTCGAGGAGCCGACTCTAGTCAGCTACTTTGTGCCGAATATGAACAAGTGGGCTGCCTGGCTGGAGAGCAAGGACCTTCAGGATGATGACTCTGCTGAAGGAATGGTTGGCATGCTTAGACGGTTCAAACCTCTACGTGACGATGCTCGCGAGCATCTGCGAAGCAAACTACCTGCATATGCAGTTCCTACGGTTTATATTCCCTTAAAGAGGATGCCCCTCAACCCGAATGGCAAGATCGACAAGCCTGCTCTGCCTTTCCCGGATACAGCAGAACTCAGCGCGGCAGCACCCCGACGCAGGTCGTCCGCATTCCAGACTCTCTCTGAGACAGAGCAGGCTCTGGCTCAAATCTGGGCCAAACTTATTCCCAATGTTACTTCTAAGATGATTGGGCCAGAAGATTCTTTCTTCGATCTTGGTGGGCACAGTATCCTTGCGCAACAGATGTTTTTCGATATCAGGCGCAAGTGGCATGGACTGGACATCAGCATGAATGCAATTTTCCGCAGCCCAACTCTCAAGGGCTTTGCCACCGAGATCGATAGATTGTTGGATATTGAGTCGTTTGCTAGCAACGGTGGCGATACAAGCACCGCTGGGACTGCGCCTACGATCAATGAGCCAGACGATCAATACTCCAAGGATGCTAGGAAACTGGTAGAAGTCCTGCCCAAGACATTCCCTGAGAGAAAGGTGTCCATTCTTTCCGGAGAGCCGACCGTCTTCCTTACCGGAGCGACTGGTTTCCTAGGCGCGCATATTCTTCGTGATCTCCTCATGCGCACCTCCCCTCCCGTCAAGGTTGTGGCATTAGTTCGGGGTAAGACGCTGGAACAGGCGCTGGATCGCGTCCGGTCTACTTGTAAGGCGTATGGTTTCTGGGATGACAGCTGGACCAGAAGACTGCAGTGTGTCTGCGGTAGTTTAGGAGACCGGCAGTTTGGCTTATCTCAATCAGAATGGGATGACTTGACCAACCGTGTCGATGTTGTGATCCACAACGGAGCTATGGTGCACTGGGTGTATCCCTACTCAACTTTGAAGCCAGCAAATGTTCTTGGCACCATTGACACACTGAATCTCTGCGCGAGTGGAAAGCCGAAGCAGTACGCATTTGTCAGTTCTACGAGTGTTCTAGACAATGACCACTACGTCGATGAGTCTGAACGGATCGTCTCTGCCGGTGGGGCTGGCATCAGCGAAGAAGACGACCTCGAAGGCAGCAGTGTCGGTCTGGGAACCGGCTATGGCCAGAGCAAATGGGTGGGAGAGTTCCTCGTTAGAGAAGCGGGACGAAGAGGCCTGAAGGGTACCATCGTTCGCCCCGGATATGTCCTGGGTGATTCAATCACAGGAAGTATGTGTTTACTACTACCTTTCCACAATTTTATATACAGGGTAGACTAACGAGGCATTTCTTCAGCGACGAACACGGATGATTTCCTCATCCGCTTGATCAAGGGATGCATCCAGCTCTCTGCTCGGCCGAACATCAACAACACCGTCAACATGGTTCCTGTCGACCACGTCGCCAGAGTTGTCATTGCCGGTGCCTTTTACCCTCCCTGCCAGCCGATTGGTGTCGCCCAAGTTACTGGCCATCCGCGTCTCAGGTTCAACCAATTCCTGGGCGCTCTGCAGTCATACGGCTATAACGTCCCCCAGGTTGACTACATCCCGTGGTCAAGGTTACTTGAGCAGTACGTTAATGACAATCATGATGCTGATGATAAGGATTCTCAACACGCACTGTAAGTCCAGCTGTGAAAGTGAAAAATTGATTTTTTTTGGACCAGTACTGATCACACTTCTTTTTTTCTCTCTCTAGTATGCCTCTGTACCACTTCGTGACTGCTGATCTCCCATCCAACACCAAAGCACCCGAACTGGACGACACCAACGCCGCGGCAGCTCTCCGAGCAGACAAAGCCTGGTCTGGAGTTGATGCTTCAGCTGGCTCCGGGGTAACAGAGGAGCTGGTCGGGCTCTACGTGTCGTACCTGGTGACTCTGGGATTCTTACCGGCGCCGTCCGCCTCTACGACCGCTACGCGGGTGTTGCCCAAGGTACAGATTAGCGAAGAGCAGAGGAAGGCTTTGTCGAGCGCCGGCGGACGAGGAGGGAGTTCGTAAACTAGTCTCTTTTTAACATTGACTTCAAAAAGTTTGATATCTTGTGTGTATATATTGTCGATACGTTTTATGGATTGCATCTTCCAAAATATAGGTAGTTTTTGGGCCTTAAGAATTCTAACAATACCTGTCAATTCACAATGACATATAGGTTATTTATCGATCATTATCAATCAGCATGTATTATTATTAGACTTTAGCGGGATAGCCATCTACCAAGTTTGGCAGAACCAAGGTTCTGCAGACGTTGTTGCTATTCATGGTTACCTACAGATGACAACTGATGCTGCCTTCACTAATAGATTCTCTCGTCTTGTCTCACCCATCCAGGGTAAGGAGAATCCTTAGTCTACGTATCTCCGGTATTATTGAGCATATGGAATAGCCTGTGGCTAGAAGTAAGCAAATCGTTAGACATGTGAGGAGGATATGGTAAAGCGGCATTACGCGCTGTCTTTTATTCTCAATTTGAGAAAGGAGACACGACGCAGTCCGACGTGAAGACTTTTCGTCTGAATCCAATTGAAATGGCATATCAGGACGCCGTGTTCAAAAATGGCAAGGCAGAATTGGGCACTGGAAAGGTGTTCGTATGGGATTAAAGCAGCCCAGAATAGAATCAGAGTACCCGACAATCCTCAGCTAGCCAGGAATTGCATTGTTGAAAAAGCGGCGGTAACCTCTGAAGAGATCACCCAGCCCGCTGACACAGCAAGAACATGTCATCTCTGGCAATCTCCAACATCCAGTCGTTAAATTGTCCATTATCGGTGTGCGACTAAAAGCGATATGAAAATAGACGTCGGTTTGGACAAGGAATGAAACAGGAAACACCGCGAGAACAAACTGTGAGATTGAGGGCACTCCGTACTATCCCAACTTTTCAACGGTCGAGTGGCATGCTCCGTAGACTAGGATGTCTTCCGAGTCAGTACGATCTGGATTTTGCTGGACGGGTCCGTCTGAACCCATCGATTATTCAGGACAGTAACACAGTTGAAACATCATGAATATCAAGGACCGAAGAGGGTACTGGAGCACACACGCTATGCGACTCAGATTATCAACTGTGGAGGCCGAGCAATTGCCGTCTGCGACAGAATGGTAGTCGAGGCCCTGCGGCATTTTTGATCGACCTCTTTGTGGCCCATGCAACCTTTATCCATCTTGAGCAACTTAGTCTTCCGGCATACCCGGTGCGATAATTGAAAAGGCAACGCTGGCCTTTTTAGCGTCGCTTCATCGCGTCAAGAGTCGATTCCGTCGGCGGCGTCGATAACGGCACAATTGAGATAGCGGCGTTAGATCCTGTTAAGCATTGTAGTTAATTGGCGGCGCAAGAAGCTTGAATGGTGAGAAGAGGTTTTTAAGGTGAAGGACGGAGAACGCTAAATTTGAGGCGGGTTGTACACGATAATAGAAGACGTTCATCGCAAAAATCAGCCAACCAAGTAGATAATAATAGGCCAGAAATAATAAATAGACTTATACAGATGGCCGGCGATTCCGAGCCCCTGTCCTGAAAGAGGATTGACTGTTTGCTATTACTGTAGATAGACGATACAGGCCGTTCAGCGGATAAACTCCGTGCATTGTGTACACTGTACAGCGTATGTGACGATACTGTGGACAGCACGATCCGAATGCAACGCTAGGTCATGCACCACTGACGTACAGCGGCATCCCTGAATGTGATATTCCTCCTGGACAATGCGGAATAATGCTCCGTGGAGTGACAATCTGGGGGGGAGGTAGAGTGAGATATGCCATTCTCTCATTTGCCAGACGAGCCGATATTCCTTGTTTGGCGACAGCCCCCAACGCCCGGCGATAGACAGATGGGGATACACGGCGACGATGCTCGTATGGCAGCGCCCCAGGCCCTCCTATTATTATGGGTTGCTATTACTTGTGCTTAACATTCTTGCTTATCATTGGCGGCGCATATCAAGGCTGATGGAGATGGAAGATGGCAGAAGAGGGAAAAAGGGCGGGAGGGTCCAGAAACATGCCATCTATGGAGACATTGAATAATTAGAATGCATGTCAATGTAAATGATTAGATCCTCTTCTTTTCCTGGAACAGATAAATACCTTTAAACTCTCGCAGGGATAAATTAAGCAATAGTACCACGACGAATCGAACTCACCTTGGGTATATAACTGTGCTGCTTGTCTCACTCCCGTGCCCCCTTTAGACCTCCCAGCAGCAACTAAATCAAGACGGACGTTGCGAACCCCTTCTTCTCTTATCGCAAATCGAAAGAAACAGAAGATCTCCAAACCATGGCAGCCATCTCGGGTATGTCTTCCCATTCATTCCCTTTGTTTGTTCAGTGTCCCCCAGCCTTCATCGACGGGCTCCGCTCCGCTGAATTAGCCATGTTCTCCCCCACAAAACATGGTTCCGTTGGTTCTTCTGTGTTAGCACCTTTTCCAATTATCGCTGTCCATCAAGGTTGTCCTCAATTCGTTGTGTTGAATTGTGATGAAAGGAATAGCACTGGCTGTACTGGTTCTAAGGGAGAAATTCATTCGATTCACACCAGCCTTTCAAGCCCGGCTTGACCTTCCCAACAGGAGACCTCCCCTTTTTTTGCTTCAAGACATTTTTTCCCCTTCGCATTTGCATTTCAGTCGCATCCCAAGTTATCTCCATCCTTTACGGGCTTCGGGTGGATAGTGGTCTTGAGGTCCAATCGCTCCTTTCCGCACAGGAATTCTCGCCTTGGAACCAGCCAACACCAACACTGTAGTCCCCCACTGAATTCCGCAGCTTCCCGTTGTTTGTTATTTTCCAATTCCTGGACCCGCTGACACAATTGTGATGCTTTCATATGCACCTGCTAATATTTATCATCCAGACCGGTACTCGACTGCCCTGAACCAGAACAAAGAGTGGGCAACCAAGACAGCCCAGGAACAGCCAGACCTTTTCCCGACCCTTGCAACAGGCCAACATCCTGAGATCCTCTGGATCGGATGCTCTGATTCGCGATGCCCTGAAACGACACTCCTTGGCCTGAAGCCTGGTGATGTATTTGTGCACAGAAATATCGCGAACATCCTTCACCCTGCTGATCTCAGCTCATCGGCTGTCATTGAATATGCTGTTGATCATCTCAAAGTCAAGCACATTGTCCTCTGTGGGCACACAAGCTGTGGAGGAGTGGCAGCGGCGCTAGGAAATAAGCAGTTGGGTATCTTGGACCCGTGGCTTCTCCCATTGCGACAGATCCGGGAAGAGCATCTGAATGTCCTCCGATCACTCTCGCCTCAGGAGCAGGGCTTGAAACTCTCGGAATGGAATGTCTTGGCTGGAGTCAAGACACTGAAGCAGAAGAGCGTTGTTCTCGAGGCGATTCAGGAACGTGGGCTGCAGATCCATGGTGTGATCTACGACGTGGCTAGTGGGATTCTGAGGGAGCTGGAAACGGGCGAACCAGAGGAGGTGAGCAAGGCGCGTCTGGCGTCATTCAAATTGGAGGCATGAGTTAGTAGAGTGGTCAGAATCAGAGCAAAGATATCCCGATTGTTTATTTGCCTTTTCTCTTTGGTGTTATCATTTTGGAGTGCAAGTGAGGGTGTTTCTTCAGGGAGTTTTCTCAAGTCTGGCATGATAACAGGAGGTACGGGGTCCGGCGATGTCAACTATGGAGGGGTCTGAATTTCATATATCAACGAATGTAAATCAATCCATGGTCTTCGTACTATTCTATTCCGAAGTCAGTAGATACTGCCAGCAGTCTGTAATTGATACACTGTTGAGAGGGGGCAGAAAGAGATTCAGAAAGCGACGTCCACAGCAAGAGAGAAAGAAAAGAGAGAAGAGTTTTCGCAAGAGAGAGAGACAAGGGAAATGAAAGTCCCTCATTCACTGCCCAGAATCCGGGGAACGACATCGCCCTGATCCGGTTAGCTCCCGGCCGACAGCGGCGGAAGCTCGGATCCGGAAGCACGTGTCCGGGTAAATGCATTTTGATGAGGATATACTATTTCGGACAGGTGGATTATCTAATAATCCGGCCCCGGGATACGGAGTATATATGTTCCGGGAGAAAGCGCATGGTTTAGAGCTTCACGATGTACTAGAGACGGCAGTATATCGATATAGAGCGTTCACCACGATCTCTACGAATCCTACGGTATCCTTTTAGTATCTGGTATCCAGACGCCGCACCCCTGATCCACATCACATTTATGTAACTACCTAATACGATGTCCGTATCGCTTAGTGATAATACTCCGTCGCCAGATTGACAGTGCCGAACTTCGAATTTGTTCATCCCGTCCTGAGGAGATAATACCAGGGCTATCCAGGTTCCCCAAGTGGGGAGCTCCTGCCAGCGGTTTGAACGGCCCAGTTGCAATGCAACTGGTGTGTCATGTGCCCACTCTCCAGTTGGACTGTTTCCAAAAGGTCATTGTCAACCACAATGGCTTCGCCTTCTGGACGAATTGTCCGTCCCCAGCCGCCCTTAGGGGCCACAGCTGCCCGTATCATCCGCCATCCTGTTAGGCATCTTACCGTCTTCTTTGCCATATGGAAGGCTCTCCTGTTTCTCGTCGTTGTTGCATGCCCAGGTCCTGGCTATGACACGTCCACCAGTCTTCTGCCTACAGATGCAGGGCGAGTTGCGGCTCTCACACCAGATAAATGGCCTCCCTCGGTTTTGCTGAGATTTATCCGATGGGATTCGATCTACTTTGTTCACATTGCTGAAAATGGATACGTGTTTGAGCAGGAATGGGCGTTTGGTTATGGATACACCCTTTATACTATCACACGCGGTATATCGCCCTCCCTGCTCTTATTTATTTTCGGCTTTTCTTATTATACTCTGACCATGCTAACTTGGTTCATAGTCGTCCGTCTCTTTGGAGGTTCGGTGAATACAATGACAGTTGCATTTGTTGGGGTCATGGTCTCTCACATTGCGCATTATCTCTCGGTCATTGCGCTCTATAGACTTTCATTTAATATTTTTGGTGGAGATACCCCTGTGAAGAAGCTCATGTGCTTCTTGTCTGCTGCTTTGCATATCATATCTCCTGCTGGTGCATTTCTCTCTGCGCCCTATGGAGAGCCGGTGTTCTCTTTTCTCAATATGTTCGGACTCTACGTCTACTCCTCGTCTCTCTTCGACAATTGCCACGGGAAAACTGTTGCCAGAGATATAAAGCTGCTGGCTTCTGCCATACTATTTGCCGTAGCTACATCAGTACGCAGCAATGGGATTCTTAGCGGTTTTCTCTTTGCGTGTGATGCTTGCTTCCAGGTTTGGAAGATCGGGACTCGAGGTATATCTCTAGATGGTTGTCTGCGTCTAACTATCATTATTTTTGGTGGGTGCATTGTAGGTCTTGGTTTGGCCTTCCCTCAGTTTCTTGCTTACAATGCTTATTGTGCACCTGGCATCGCCTCTCGGCCTTGGTGTGCATGGATTCTGCCGAGTATATACTCTTGGGTCCAGGGCCAGTATTGGTGAGTAGACTGGTATCTTCTTTGTAGGTTCGCGCTTTAGTCACTAATCCACCTTTGCAGGAATGTGGGGTTCCTAAGGTATTGGACAGTCTCGAATATCCCTCTTTTCCTCCTCGCTATTCCCATGCTGGCTGTTTTGTGTCGGTCTTCCCTCTGGGGGCTAAAATTGTCCTTCAAAACGGGGGTCGGTTTTTCGACCATAGTTGAGCCAACGCAGACAGTGGCAGACTCGATGTTGATGCGACTAGCCATCCCGCAAGCCTTACTTGCGGTAATGGCATTAACGAGTTATCACGTTCAGATCATCAACAGGATTTCTTCCGGATATCCTCTATGGTATTGGTACCTAGCATCGCTAGCTCTAGACCACTTTGGGCAGTCCGAACACAAAACCAGGCGGCGCAGTCGGAAATTCGCAGTGGCAGTCCAAGCTATGGTGGTCTATGGGCTTATCCAGGGAGTTCTGTTTGGTTCTTTTCTTCCCCCAGCCTGACCAGCAACATTAACATTACGTTGGGGCGTAGTTGAGTCACAGCAGGGCGGGCGCCAAGTTGGGACACCGATTGGGCTTGCGTATGTACATTAATTAGCGGATTGCCAGCGAACTGCTATGTCAGCCCACAGATGTACACTGTAAACATGCATATTATACACAGTAAAAGGAGTATTTAAAGACATCCCATGAGCCAGAGATAGAACGAAGGCATGCAGATTCTCTAGATCGATTCCCATTTGCTCCCTGTGTCCACGGAAGAACACTCCCACAGCAGTTGGTTTTGCCTTTTGGATGTGGAGACGGGCGCCGGCAGTTACGAAATTATGTCATCAGCAGCACAGGGATCTTAACTCGCAGCCCGCAACCTGAGTCTCCATCTACGACCTACATCTACTGCTTCTCCTTGCTGTGTGTCTCCCCGGGGCTTCGATTTGAATGGCCCTCACGGCTCCCATTTGTTGAGTCTACTGACTGCATGACAGACTCTGAGAAAATCAATCCATTTTGCCCTGTTTACCTGCCTTGTACGCACCCATTAGCCTCCGAGTGGTTACCCAGCCAAGCTAGAAATCCTCAGCTGCATGTGTCCATGCGAGCAAGGCTGAGTACTGACCACACCGATCAGTGTTAACTGCTGTCATTTTAGCAGTGGGGCCTAAGTTGTCGCCTACCCGTACGTCTCTATTGGTCCCCTCGTTCGCCTTGAATTGACTGGCTTTTACTTTGGAAGTGATGACGATTAACCTCTCTCTTCGTTCTCTCAGAGCTTCTTCTTTCTCACTCTCCTTATCCATCATCTGTTGCCGCCGAATACCTCTGTTCTTCAACTCACTGCCTACATATATTGCATGACTATGGATAGAGCTGGTGAAGGCGGGCCGATTTTGACCTCGGAAAATTTTCACAGCAATGCGCTTGGGCTATCACGGGCTACCTCACCCGGCGGAGAGCCTGTGGGTATAAACGGAGAGGGTCAGCGCAAGGCACGAGTGCGGCCTCGAACGTATCCATACTTCAAATATCTGCCATACCAGATCGAAGATGAGGCCGAAAGAGAACGGAATTTACGCGAGATACTGAACTGTCTATACGTTTCCGTGGAATCGGGTGATTTTAGTCCCGGAGCAACCCACTGGACTCGCGAGCTCAGAGGATGGCTCTCGCTCAAGTTCGACCCGACCCGGCAGGAGAGGATCAATCTCGTCAAGCTATACTACGAACTTGCACTTGCGCCGGGCATTGATCCCAATGTGTCTGAGCGGTTTGCAAGCATGTTCATGCTTCTCACGAAGTGAGCTGTCTTCTCCCTGATGTTGGCCAAGTATCCCCTCAATACTAACTTTTCCATGCAGGCGCAAGCATTATCTCAGACCGGTCAAAGATCTTGTATTGGATTGGAGGCCTCTTTACAAAGAGCTAAAAGCCTTTGTTTTGCCTAGTGAATCAGGTCTGGTCCATTCCACCAATTTGAAGCGAAATATCAAAACCCTCACAAAGCTCTCTGCATTTACGCAATTGTATTTTGATCCATGTGAACTGCCAGCTATGCTAGAGGAATTTCTTCCCCATTACACCACATCATTCTCAGAAGGCGCATTTGTTGTAGTTGGCCTGATGAATTTGTTGCTCCCCACCAGCCCTGCCCCCGAAGATAGGGAGGACCTTCTGCCACAGCACTACTTGCCAACGTGTTTCCACCTCTGGTCATTGGTTGGTCGTTCAAAAACCTTTGATATGACGTTTGTTGACTACCTCTCTCGGCTAGCTCGGGATTCTTTGCCCGCTGGCCATATACCCTTCTCTGAACATGGTATCTTTACCAAAGAGCAGTCGTCGCTCGTTTTTACTGCCATCCTCAGGCTCTTGGAGATTCCTGTCGGGCAGTCAACTTCACCGTATAGTGCGCTTGTGGACATATCGTCCGGCCTAGGTATCATGCTTGACAGGGACCCACGGAAGCATCCCGTTGCGCACCATATTGCACGATGGGTCGTGATGTCCCTTTCGCCGGCATGTCTCGGTACTCGGGATTCAGTGCTCTCGCAACTTGAGGGCCTTATACAGGCTGTAGAGACCTTCTTTCATCCCTCGAATCTGGGAAGTTGGACGAAGACTTTGGCCCAGCTGGTGTACTATCTCGCTGATTTCTTCGTTATGCGCTGGAATCGAGAGCAGAGCGGGGAGCTGGAACTTCCACCAGAGCGCAGACTGACTGAACCCTTGAAACATCGGTTTGTGCTGTGCCTCCGCGACGTGGTATTTATGGGTATCTATGCGAAAAGTGGTTCAGCGATGACCTTCTCGTTGTCCACATTGCAAAGCCTGGCCTATTTGGAGCCTCATCTTATTCTACCTGGTGCTTTGCAGAGGATCTACCCATCTCTACAGGGACTTGTAGAAGTTCACCGGACAACATCTTCTCTTCGAGCATTGCAGGCTCTATCACGGATTATTGCCCGAACAAGGGGCTATCGCTGCCACTTGACAACGCTGCTGGGGCTTGCGCTCCCCGGCATCGATGCAAATGATCTTGAGAAGTCCCTTTATACCCTGTCATTCATCCAGTCTGTCTGTTATAACATCCCCATGGTTGACTTGACGAAAGGAAGGGAAGATATTAATTGCAACATGCTCTTGTTGCAGTGGATTGGGGGCGAGATGGAGAGGATGGAAGAAGAAGGAGTAAATGTCCAGCTACGTTATGAGACAGATTTGAGTGACGAGAATGAAGAACTGATCCTCCGTTCCTCAACGTGCGGCTTTGGAGAGTTCATTGGGTCCTTCCTGGGCCGCGTCTTCACTCTACTTGAAAATCTACCTGACGTGTCTAGGGTACGCAACGGCTCTCCTGAAGAGAATATCGTAAACACATTGCCTGCGACGTTTATGCCGTTCCTTTCGTGTCTCTCACCCGAGTATTACGATATCGCTTTGTCGAAGATCGTTGATTTCGTATCCAACCACGTGATCCACCAAGCTCGTGACGCGATGGCATTCATCTGCAACGCTGTTTGCAAAGTGAATCCAGAAAAGGCTCTGAAGTACTTTGTCCCTGTTCTGATACAATCCATCCGCACAGAGATTGATGACAATGGCGCTGGCTCGACAAGGACCACTGGAACGGACGTCCTCCCCCGCGACCGCGCTTTGGTCTGGAACATCAGCTTGTTGAGTATGTGCGTGGTGCACGTCGGAGATGCAGTTCTAAAGTATCGAAAAGAGCTTTTCGATATCGCTGTCTACATGCAGCAGAAATGCAGAGGCATTCCAACCGTCCACATCTCGAACTATATTCACCATCTACTCCTCAATCTCATAGGAACCTATACCGTTGATTATGCGTTATATGAACCTGATATCATTGCTCGAGGAATCGGGCCCGAGGATTGGAGCTATCAGCCGGATCCGCAAAACTTAACCGTCAAGTGGCATGTCCCCAAACGAGAAGAACTTCAGTTCGCTGTTGAACTTTTCAAGAACCAGGCCGGGACGGCTCTCGAGCAGCTGACTGCACTGACAAACGGGACATCCAGCGTCAAACGCGATGGGAGTGGCAAAGATTGGTCGGACGAAGTGACCCGGAATCTAGTGCTGATAAGGCTCCTCCTTTCTGGCATTTCCATGCTTTTCGACCCGAAAAGAGCTTCCAAAACAGAAAAGGCTGTACAAGGCGGAAAACCAATGGATGCGGGTGACATTTCAATGGAGGATGCTCAAGATTTCCCTCCTGACGGTGGCAAAGAGGATTCAGATGACGATATAGACCTTGATAGTTCTGATGAGACCGAGGTCAGGAAGAACTTTACATATCCTACCGGTTATCCCCTGGAGGAGTCGGATCCCTTATACATTACCATTCACGAGACCAGGGAGCAAGCTGGTCGGGTTTTGCATGATGTGCACAGATTCCTAACAGACAAGCAGGAGGATGATGTGACTTGTTTTGCTGCTCTTTATTCGGCATACAAGTCATGGTTTGTTGACGTCAGCATAGAAAGGTCTGCTCATGTACTAGACAGAGTTACACGACTGCTTGCTGCAGACAGCCACCCGTACAGGATGAGTGGCGTTCGCAAGGACTATCCTCGGCCGTTGCTCGTGCGAAGAGCCACTGTATATCACCTGCAACGTTTGAAACATAATGCTGCCCCAAGGCCCCGATCCAGGTTGGATGAGATTCTCCTTTTGGACCTTGCAGAATCCTGTGTCTCTCTGTACACGGAGACCCGCCGCAATGCTCAAGGCGCCGGCGAGTCGGCACTTAGAGTCATCTGGGGCTCTCGGCTCCTTGTGATACCTCCTTTGCTGAAAGCACTGCAGAAGGGAGTTAAGGAGAATGACTATGCACGCATCAAGGGTGCTGTGTATTCCTTACTATTAAGCAGCCTCGGAAGAACAGTCGGGCGCCACTGGAAATATGCCCCTACCCTGATCAGAACCTTCCTCGATGCAAGTGCGGTCGATAAACCATCGGTGCAAAAGATATGTTCCAGTGCCATGTTTGAAGTAATGGACTTTGGTCGCGCTATGGAACGAATGGCGATATTGAATCGGGCTGTTGTCGAGGCCATTGCTCCAAGCAAAGATGTCAGGGGCGTGATCATGGAAAAACGCGAAAAAATCAACAGGAAACGAGTCGTTATTGAGAAGAAGAAAGCCGATCTAGCAGAGGAATTGGTAAACTTGGCTAGGGTATCTCACTGGAAAATTGCCAGTCGAGCGGCGACGATCGTGATTACCATGGGTCTAAGATTCGACTATATCGCGAGTCAAAATCTCACGGAGCTGGTTACCCTTGGGTCAATCGATGATCACCCAGGCTTACGCACCATGTATGCTGAAGCGCTCGTTGCGTTGTTTACGATGATTGATGTCCGAGCTATCTGCAAGCACGACTATGAAAACTATATTGCGGGTCACCAGCATTTTGAAGCAAAGATCAGCGTCACTACCAAGCGGTATGAGAGGGGCTGGACTGAGGAGTATCTGTCCAGTTTTGCCAAACCAGAAGCTGAATACTATATTGATCATGACTTCCCCGGCTGGCTTGTATGGGCAGAGTCGATGCCTGCGTACAAGTCCAATGTTCGGCGGGATATAGAGTATGACGAATTAGAGTGGAATGTACGGGCTTATATGGGGAAGCTATTCACCAGGGACTGGTTCTCGAAGTACTTCATGTACATAAAACAGGAACCGCGAGATCCTTCGGCGGACAAATTCCGGATGTCCCATGCGATGATGCTGCTATACGCTTTTGAATTGATGTTCCGGGATGAACTCACGGCTGCCACTTTCGAGGATATTAAGGAAGAGATTGCGGCTGTGTTTGAGGATGGTAGTGACAAGCACCAACATAGGGCAACTGCAGAAATTCTTGGAGCCATGTTCAACTCCGCTATTGATGCAAGCGTGGAGAAGCGAACCATGATTTGGGAATATGCCTTCCCCATCGTGCGAAAGGTTTTTACCGATGGACTCAACCCTGAAAATTCCGGCTACTGGACGACATTTCTTCACATGGTCATGCAGTGTCGGGATCCACGACGAGCGTGGCCCTTGGTCGACTGGCTTGCAAGCTTCCGTCTAGATATGGCGACGAACGCTGCCTTCAAAGAAAGCTCCAAGATCAACATGCTGCATCAGTGTATCATAGACGCTGGGTGGCATTTTCAGCTCGAGAAGCCCATTGTCGAGGACTTCCTTGCCCACCTTGACCATCCGTATAAAGGAGTCCGTGAGGCGATGGGTCAAACGCTGGCGACGATATATCGCACAAGGTATCACGAATCATATCCTGATGTGAAAACGCTCCTCACATCGCAGAGATCAACCTCGTCTGTTGGCACTTATCCGTATTTGCCGAACGAAGAGTTCAGCAAAATGATTCGCAGCGTCTTCGGTCAGCTTGAAAAATGGCGACATGAGAGACAGCCAGGCCAGAAAACGCCTACGCCATACACTTCCGGTAGCAAGACAGTTCTCCTCTGGCTTGATTCCACTCTCTCCTCTCATGAATGTACCCAACTCGTCCCGTTTTTCCCAGACGTGTTCACAGCGCAGCTCTTGCACATGATGGATATCAAAGAAGACCCAGAGCTTCAGTCCCTGGCGTACCATGTTTTCCGGCATCTTCCAAATATTCCCTATCCGTCTGAGCAAAATTCCGAATTCATCCAATCTCTCATACACATTGGGAAAACGTCGCCTTCATGGCACCAGCGGCTACGAGTTATGATCAACATTCAGATTATCTATTTCCGCCGCCTCTTCTTGCTCTCCGCCAGTGATCGTGATAAGCTATTCGACTGCATAGCGGATATGCTTCAAGACCCTCAGAGTGAAGTGAGAGCTGGCGCCTCGACAACCCTCTCTGGCATGATTCGCTGTTCGCCAGTTTCGCTCCGAGAAGAAGTCGTCCGGAGATTGGAACAGCAGTTCACGAAAATCTTAAAAGAGAATCCTTTCCCGAGGAGACCCAAAAATGGCCGCTCAGGTATATCATCTGCAGCATCGTCGGGAGCCGGCACTCCAACGCCAGAACACAATCGGCTCATAATTCTCCGCCATGGTGCAGTACTGGGATTGGGCGCGTTGATTGAAGCGTTCCCATATGCCAGTCCTCCACCTAAGTGGATGCCAAACGCCTTGGCGACAATAAGCGTTCGAGCTGCGAATGATCCAGGAATTGTAGGGTCGAGCGCCAAGTCAATTATCAGTGAGTTCAAGAAGACCAGGCAGGATACATGGCACATAGATGCGAAAGTGAGTGACCTTTTTTTTCTTGCCCTTATCTCTTTCTCTTTATTGTTAGTGTTACTCTTGCCTTTGCAACAAAGGTAACAATCTATATTGCAGGCCTTTACACAAGATCAGCTTGAAGACCTTTCGGGTGTCCTTTGGAAGAGTTATTTTGCCTAGAAGCTCTACGGTAGCCGGAAGCTCTGTAGTTGCGGTTGGATAATGTCTCTTGGGTTAATCCTACAATTCCAGTCAAGGATTGTCATGGGAAGAAAAAGCGCGGGTAGTTGAAGTATCTCTCGTGCCACTCAGTGAGGAACATGGTCTCAGGGTCTGCTTTTGGCGATGGCCTCTGAGTCTTTTGACTCGTTTGGCTTGTGCCATTCCATGCAATGAAATATGGAAACTCCTTTCATACTATAGGTTCGTGTATCATTAGGTTTTTGAAGGCTGGCATAGGTGCTGGTTTGGTTGTTGTAGGGGGTTGGTTGGTGCTCCTGGACAGTACAGGGAAAATTGACAATCTTTTAGCCTGTATTATTGAGCAAATAAAGATGCATTGTAAACTCCTTGCTGCAATTGAAGATGAGTGATTCTGATTGTTTTTGATATCTATGCTGTCTCCGTCGGATGCACGTCGAAGCTATGGTCACGTGTGTATCACGTGAAGTGGCAATACCAACTAATGGAGGTGTATTGTTGGTTGGTAACTAGCTAGATAGGCCTACGTGGTGAAAAGGGTCAGCGAGGGCGGACCTATGCGGCAGAATCCCACGTGATCCAACACCAAGTCCATCCAGCGAAGGGGACCAAGTGTTGTCTCGCCGACTGTTACGGTCTACTCTTATGGTAGCCTGGCCTTCCTTCGAACATTACATGTTCTCTTTTTGCACTTCGCTCTTTTCATATCGCTAATTTCGATATATCCTGCCCTCAGCGAAACTGCGCATTTGCTGTGAACGACTCGGAGTCCTTCCCTTCACCATGGCTCCAAAGGACACATTCTTCCGCTCGTCGGATATGAGCTTAACCCAGCTCTATATCGCGAACGAGATCGGAAGGGAAGTTGTTAGTGCGCTGGGAGAGCTTGGTCAGGTGCAATTTCGAGATGTGAGTTTGAGTGGATGCCATTTCACTGCCTTGTGCATATCCAGTATTCGGCCCGAGACTATCGTGGTTTGGTTAATTGATATGGTTATGACTGACACTTATTTTTATATTGAATGATAGCTCAACCCGGATACAAATGCTTTTCAACGGACGTTTACGAAGGAGATTCGACGCTTGGATAATGTGGAGAGGCAACTGCGTATGTACATATCTTGTGTGATGGGATCTCACGGGGCTATGTTATTAATTATTGCTTTTTCTTTTCTATTTGCACAACAGGTTATTTCCGCTCACAGATGGAAAAGGCGTCTATTCCGGTGAGACCTTCTACGGAATTTTCGGATACGTTGGCTGCGCCTTTGGCCTCGGAGATCGATGAGCTCGCTGAGCGCAGTGAGGGTCTGGAGCAGCGGATTGCGTCTTTGAATGATAGCTATGAGACATTGAAGAAGCGTGAGGTCGAGCTTATTGAGTGGCGATGGGTGTTGAAGGAAGCGGGTGGATTTTTTGACAGGGTTAGTTCTCCCCCTATGTCCCTGGCGTCCCATCCCATTATGGGATGGATCGTGCGGTATTCACGGGGTTACCTTGGTTTGGTTGCTAATTATTTTTCTGCAGGCTCATAGCCACACGGAAGAGATTCGTCAGTCCGTCGACAATGATGAAGCCCCTTTGCTTCGCGACGTCGAGCAGCAGGTTCCTCGGGTTCAGAATGACGATGGGCAGGCTCAGCAATCCTTCGTTGAGATGAACATTGGGTTCGTAGCTGGTGTTATTCCTCAAGATCGGATCGGGGCCTTTGAGCGCATTCTCTGGCGAACGTTGCGTGGTAATCTTTACATGAATCAGTCGGAGATTCCTGACCCGATCATCGACCCGGTGAGCAACGAGGGGATTCATAAGAGCGTCTTTGTGATCTTTTCGCACGGAAAGCAGATCTTGTCGAAGATTAGGAAGATCTCGGAATCCCTTGGTGCCTCGCTTTATAGCGTTGATGAGAATAGCGAGCTTCGCAGGGATCAGATTCATGAGGTGAACACGCGGTTGAGCGATGTGGGCAATGTCCTTCATAACACCAAGAACACTCTGGACGCAGAACTTAGGCAAATTGCGCGCTCCCTCATTGCCTGGATGATCATCGTCAAGAAGGAAAAGGCAGTCTATGATACACTGAACAAATTCTCGTACGACCAGGCAAGGAAGACCCTGATTGCTGAAGCCTGGTGTCCGACCAATTCGCTTGCGTTGATCAAGTCCACCCTGCAAGATGTGAATGACCGCGCCGGTCTGACGGTGCCTACCATTGTCAATCAGATTCGGACGAATAAGACCCCCCCGACTTTCGTCCGGACGAATAAGTTTTCGGAGGCCTTCCAGACCATCGTTAACGCGTACGGCATTCCCAAGTACTCGGAAATCAATCCTGGTTTATATACGGTTATCACATTTCCGTTTCTCTTTGCTGTGATGTTCGGTGATTTTGGCCATGGCTTCTTAATGGCATTAACTGCTACCGCCATGATCCTCGCCGAGAAGAAATTGCAAAAGACGAAACTGGATGAGTTAACCTACATGGCCTTTTATGGACGATATATCATGCTTATGATGGGCATTTTTTCTATGTACACGGGTTTCATATACAACGACATCTTCTCCAGATCATTCACGATCTTCTCAAGTCAGTGGAAGTGGCCAGATGACATTCGGCCAGGACAGATGGTCGAGGCGTCCTTGAAACAGGGCTACCGCTACCCTATTGGGCTGGATTGGAACTGGCATGAGGCTCAGAATTCCCTACTTTTCACGAACAGTCTAAAGATGAAGATGAGTATTCTACTAGGCTGGGCTCACGTATGTCCTTTTGACAACTATATAAAAACTCATCAGGGGGGAGATTGCTGACACATGACTTTTTAGATGACCTACGCCCTCTGCTTGCAATATATCAATGCCCGTCATTTCAAGTCTAAGGTCGATATTTTTGGAAACTTCATTCCAGGAATGATATTCTTCCAGTCCATTTTCGGTTATCTCGTCCTTACTATCATCTACAAGTGGTCTGTCGATTGGAACGCCAAGGGTGTGTCTCCTCCTGGCCTCTTGAACATGTTGATTTTCATGTTCCTGAGTCCCGGTACCATCGAACAACAGCTTTATCCTGGTCAGGCAGGTGTGCAGGTGGTTCTACTGCTTCTCGCTGTTATTCAAGTACCGATTATGCTGTTCTTCAAGCCGATGTACCTTCGATGGGAACATAACCGTGCGCGGGCCCTGGGATACCGCGGGTTGGGCGAACAGTCGCGTGTTAGCGCCCTCGATGAGGATGAAACTAATGGAAATCTCAACGGAGCTCGCGACAGCATGGCCAGTGAAGGCGATGGCGTTGCCATGATAGCTCAGGATCTGGACGAGGAAGAGCACGAGGAGTTTGATTTCGCCGACGCCATGATCCACCAGGTCATCCACACGATCGAATTCTGTCTCAACTGTATTTCCCACACCGCTTCGTATCTTCGTCTCTGGGCCCTTTCTCTTGCGCATCAACAGCTCTCCATCGTCCTATGGAAGATGACTATCGGAGGCGCCTTCGAGCAAGAATCCCACACTCTCCGCGTCATCATGATCGTCGCAACCTTCTTCCTCTGGTTCGTCTTGACTATTGGTGTCCTCTGCGTGATGGAGGGTACCAGTGCCATGTTGCACTCCCTCCGTCTGCATTGGGTTGAGGCTATGAGTAAACATTTCATGGGCGAGGGTATACCCTTTGCGCCATTTAGCTTTAAGGCCCTCCTAGAGGAGGATCCGGTTGATTAAACCGGTTTATTGCATTTATCTATATTCATTCATTCGATTCTCCTTTTTCTGTCTGAATTTTGGCTCCTTGTGAGACTAGCCTTTATATCTCTGAGAATTAGTAAATAGACTCTTTTTGGTAAAGTTTTCCCATACTTGTACTGCATTGAGACATGAATTTTCTCGTGAAACATACAGTTATATTTCAGCTTCATTTGACGTTTTGCAACTTGTATGTATATACATGAGCCTCGTAGAAATCAAGGGAAAGGTGTAAGTATGCTAGCTCTGCGTGTACAATTGAATTTAGTTTCATTTGCATTCACTGGGTGGCATTATTCAGATATTCCGTACAAAGAAATATTCAATTCATAAGATATCCGCGTAAGATTGATCCACATATCGGGGAGTCAATAAGAATAAGTATTATTTGGAATACTTCCCATTCCGAAGGGGGAAAGGATAAGAAACAGAAGTCCCGTTTCAATTTTGACTCGCCTTTATTTTGGGGAGGGGGGTTATTTCTTGTGCTTATTGTAGATATCGATGACCTTTTGGACCTCGTCTTTGGAGCCGAGGAACACACCACTCTTGTCATGGATGTGTTCAGGTACAACAGCTAGAAGACGCTCCATTCGTGAGTTGATGGCCAGACCACCTGCATTCTCGAACACCATGGCCATGGGAGCGCACTCGTATAGGATACGAAGCTTGCCCTTGCTCTTTGAGTCAGAAGGATAGGCGAAAATACCGCCGTAGAGAAGAGTCCGATAGGCATCTGCCACCATGCTTCCGATATAACGCGCGCTGTAGGGCTTCTTGCCTTCCCCAGGATATTTCAGTTGGTTGAAGTAGTCCTTGACCCATTCATCCCAGTACACGCTGTTACCCTCATTGACGGAGTAGATAGACCGCTTGGCAGGGAGCTTCATGTTGGGGTGGGTGAGGATGAATTCACCGAGGGAGTTCTCCAGGGTAAAGCCGTTGACGGTGCCTCCCTTCATGGTAATGACGAGCTGGGCAGAAGCACCGTACATGGTGAAACCTGCAGCAACAAGCTCCGTTCCGGGAAGGAGAAGATCTTTGGCGGAGACGGTCTTGTTCGGACCAACAACCGACTCGGGAAGCTGAAAGATACCAAAGATGGTACCGACGGAAACACCTGCATCGAGGTTGGAGGAGCCATCAATCGGGTCACAGACAACTGCATAACGCGCCTGGTGGTTGTTGAAAATAATAGCCTCTTCTTCCTCCTCGGATACGAGAATGCGGCATTTGCCTGAACCTCTCAAGGTCGAAACGATAATATCATTTCCAATCACATCCAGCTTCTTCTGATCATCACCTGTGGTGTTTGAGGAGCCGGCCAACCCGGACAGATTGATCAGTGATGCCCGTCGGATATAGTAGGCAATGGATTTGAAAGCAAACTGAAGAGAGTGGCACAGAAGACTGAGAAGCGTTAGTGTGGAGATTCTACAACGCAAGGATAGCGAGGAGAGGGCCAGGTGAAAAGGACAGGACATACGTAAAGTCGCCGGTGGCATGAGGGTGCTTGGTCTGCTCTTCTGTAAAGAATCTCGAGAGGGTGATGATGTCAGTGTTAATGTTCTCCTGCCCGACAGGGGGGGCGCCATTTCCGTTAGTCGTCGTCATTTTGACTGATGGTTCGGAATCGATGGATGGATGAAGGGACAGTAGACGTGGTAGACGGTGGCTTCAGATAGTGGAGGATGAAGGGAAGGAAAGGTCCCGGTTCTAGTAGCACCGGCGCTTGACCTCGGCTCAAGGAAGGAAGTTCGGATGGGACGACGAGGGGTATATGTACTCCTATATGCGAGGGAATTCCGATCAGCGCGGGAGTGGCAGAAAGATACGAGGACAGAGAAGAGACAGAAATGAAGACAAAGAAGAGGGAGAAAGAGGGAGAAGGCGAGAATATATGTCGTGGATCAGGGAAACGTCAGAACCGAGCAACGTATAGCCGCCGGCGGGTACGTACCCGTTACTTGACGCAATGTACCTGTTCCCTCCGACGAAGGGGGCGGGTACATCGCGAGAAGTCACTGCATTGTTTCCTATTATTCCTTCGGGTTTTCGTCACTCGCTGCTCTTCGCCCCGCGGCTTTCCCCGCTTTAAACCGGAAAGGGAAAGTCAGGCGCTGCTCCGGCTCATCTTCTTGCTGGCCCCGACTCTCTCCGCGCGAAGGAACTATGTCCCAATACTAGGGTCTCTGTTCCTTGCAGTCCGCTTGTTGTGCCAGAGAACAGGTTTGAGTTCATTCAAATTCATCCTACTGTCCAGTTCATCCAGTTCATCCAGTTCATTCAGTCCATTCAGCCCATTCGGTGCTGTCAACGCCGTGATGAACCCGAAGCTTTGCCGGCGTGGAGGAGCTTACTTGCAATAGAGTGTTCACATGACCCCGCAGCTGTCCGGGCCCAGACCGCCCCAACAGGGTCATGTGTCAGGCTTAAGGACTGGTCAATCGTACGCTAAGCCGTATCTGGACTGGCCCAGTCACATGGCTTGTCTACGGAGTTGTGGAGTTACTGGATTAGTAGAGCATGCTTGAAAATAAGTCAGCTTGACTTCATTCCTTCAAGCTGATCGTCGCATCTTCTATCGATGCGCCATGTGGGCCAGTTCCATCGGGGCGCACAGCCACCCGAGATTCATCATTCTGCTCATCACTTAAGGGATATGCAGAAAATGGGGGGACCCATCCCGAGACTGAGTCTTGCCTTGAGCGACGCGTCGATTGTGGACAATGTAGACGATGAGCTGCATCAACGTGCCAAATATCCCGACAGAAGCCATGACTATCATGATGCGCAAGCCATTCTGGTAGCTGGAGGGAGTGTGTTAGCTCTGCCGAAGAAGGCTGCACCATATACTCACAATGGCTTGTCTTCTCCCTGAAAATATTGTGTCCCAACCATCATGCCGCTATTTGCGAACATTACCCATAAATTAGGAGCATAGTCCTTCATTAGCTTTGACCAATGCGAGGCCCCATGAACAAAACTCACGCAATGCTGATACTTCGTTCCCTCGGATCTCGACAGTTGATCTGAAGCCAAGTGTTGTGCACTGGATGATAACAAACTGCGAAGCTTTTTACTGCCGTCCACAGTCCCCAGCGTGACCATTTTCCCGCATGGGGCTGCAGCACAAGCGCTACTATCAGTGTAATGAGGTAGCATACCTGGGCGCAAATCACGGTGCCCCGCACAAAGGGTGTTAATGCTCTCCTTGATATGAGCTTCAGTGTCCGCATCTAGGGCGCTTGTGGCCTCGTCAAATATCAGAATGTCTGCCCTTTGAATAAGCACGCGTGCCAGCGCAAGCCGCTGTGTCTCTCCGCCGGAGAAGAAGCTGTTAGAGTTAGTAATAATAAAGCTGACGAGACCTCCTTGGCCTATGAGAAGGAGAACGTACCCCCCTCCCTCACCCACCACCGTGTCGTACTGTTCGGGCAGGCTCATAATGCGGGCGTGAATTCCGACCTTTTTCGCCGCATCGTGCACCTCCGATTCCGTGGCGTCGGGCCGGCCGTACCGGATGTTGTACATGATAGTATTGTTAAACAGATGCGGGCTCTGCGCCATGACGGCGATATGTTTCGGCAGCCTACGAAGAGTTTTAGAGGAAACGTGGTCTGCCAACTCCATTGCCAGCAACTTACTCGGCCTTTTTCAGTTTCCTAATATCCTGGCCGTCAATCGTAACAACGCCCTCTGTAGGATCGTAAAGCCGTGTAGTAAGTGCTAGCAGGGTTAATTTCCCTACACCTGACGACCCGACGAAGGCCGTAGTTTTGCCTGCTTCAATCACCAAGATTGAGCTCCCTAAAAGTCTCGCCGCCGCCACAGGCGAACCTGACCGTGACATTCTTGAACTCGACGCGGCCTCCGGTCAAGCGTAGGTGCTCGGTCCCGTATGTCATAGTAGGCTTGATCTCCAGGACTCGACGAAGTCGGTCGGCGGCATAAAGGTCTTTAATGACGCGCCCAGAGACCTTTGTAAAGAATAACAGTGGATCCTGCAAGAGGTTCCAATAGCCACTAAAGGCTACCACAGATCCTATAGTACTGCTAGTCTGAAGGCCATGGAGGACCACGAGAGCTGTAGCAGCGAAGTGGCCGAAATTGACTGTTATGCCGGAGACCAGCTTAAACCCAAGATTCGTGAGGTAGCTTTTCCACATTAGCCCTATCTGCACGCTCAGGCTCGTAGCGTAGGCCTCTATTTCGCGGTCGGCCTGGCCGTAAAGGGATACAGTCCGCCAGCGCCGCAGCCCGCCTTGGCGCCGCCGTTCCGTCTCATGGAAAGCCATTAACTCAGCGTCGTATATAGGCATCAACGTCCGGTTCGAGCGAAGGAGCAGCAATGTATTAAGGGCGACAATAAACCCCTGCACCAGCTTTCTCTTCCCCGCCTATCACGGGCTCCGTGATTACTAACCGATACCCTTCTCATCTCATAAATTATGATTACAGGCATGACAATCCCCGTTCTTCTCCTCAGCCTAACCCATTCCTAGGCCGAACCGAATTGTAGCTAACACGAAAAACACTCTAGAGTTTATGAATTTGGTTCAGGTGTTGGTTTAGGCTTAGGTCTCTGCCGCATTCTTATCTCCCTCTTATTTCCTCCTGTTTTCCTTTCCCTGCGCTCCCAGGTCTTCTTCTGAGCCTCACCCACTTTTCTGGAGGCCTTGGAGCCAAAATCGAGATAGCTGACGTGCTGTTTCTCTGGTGGCATGCTAGGACTCTATTATCAACGTATTCGAGTTTAGAATTTCAGACCCTCCGCTTACCTTATGATTCTTTCTTGATTGGATTCTTCAGAGTTTCAGGGCTCCAAGAAGGAGAAAGCCAGCAAAGCCAAAACAAGCAAATAGAGGGAAACTATCATCACCTTCCCAAAAGGTTGTAATAGTGAAGAAAATCCAGACTAGAGTATATGCTGCAATGATAGCATTTATATATTTCATAATGAACTGGAGGGAAAGGAAAAGACGAACTGATTCAGGAGGACCAAAGGATCGAAGTGGCATTTATAGGAGTAGGACAATTCGAGAATGTGAGAACTCGTATTAAACCTGAATGTGAAGAGAGAAAGAGCAAACTAGATACATGATGGGCAATAATACCCTATATATCCTTTCCCTCTCTGTTACGTATAACCTTTCCTCGCGAGTGTTCGGGCACACCCTATACCAGGAGTATAAGCCTTAATGAGAGCCTGGCGTCTTATCATGCATCCATTTTGGTTAACTGTAGGCCTGTAACATGTAAGTTCAAATATTGCTAAGTACAAGGGAGACTGTTTACCAGACTAAGACAGGCGTTGATTTTCTGAGAGAGTGCCATCTGGATTAAGCAAAAGTCCCTTTCCATCAGGATCCCGTACGTAGTACCGTGCACTCTTAGGATCTGGAGTCTCTGAAGAATAGTGTATTTGAATGAGTTCAAATCTATCAAGTGGCGATGACTTCTGAGTATACGGGTAACCAACGTCCCTTGTCAGTATAGCGTGGCTTCTCCAGGTGCACAGGGACCGGTCGCCTGGACTTCCTAGACATTCCGGATGTGAGCATTGATAGATAAAAGTATAATGGGAGATGTTTACAACTACAAACATCTCCCACATTGATTAGATACACCGGTCTGTACAGCCAATCCTATTTGATATGGAAAAGGTCACGTGGTATGGCGGCTTGGCTCCCTCTCTGACCCCTGAGAATCCGAGCCCCTGATGATAGAGAGAGAGATAGAACTGAATGGTATCCGTTCCTTAGTAGGCTATGTACGTGTAGTCGATACAGCTTCATTCTGCCCTTCTTCCCTGAGTTACATGCATATTCCACAACATAATCAGGGGTTCAGATTCTCAGGGGTCAGAGAGGGAGCCAAGCCGCCATACCACGTGACCTTTTCCATATCAGATGTAGACCGGCTAGTTCTTGGTAGTCAACTATTCTCAAGCGCCATAATAGAAGGGCTGATGCAGCTGCGAGGAAGGAGCAATCGAAGCTTGTACCAAAAGGAAAGAAAGTAAATGATACAATAGATATACAGCAATTCCTTTTATGATTTAGCACTGCATGGAGGTGATAACTGATAATGAGGCCTGATCATATTAACTATTCAGTAAAAGATCCTAACCGACCCCTACGGTAACCTTCGGGGTCGCGCGTATTGCGCGACCCTGACAACCACCCGAGCACCCCAGCCACCCGAGCACCGATTTTAGAACTTCGTAGAATTCCAACCCATCAACTTTATCATATAATTCAACCACCACCACCATGCCCAAATTCAATAAAAATTATGAAGATCGAATGCTCAAAGCTATTGACGCGTTAAGCACACAAAATCCCCCAAATATCGCCAAAACTGCACGTGAATATGGAGTTAAACGGCAAACCCTCTCTGCAAGGTGGAAGGGACGGTCCAATCTATGTGAACGACCACCAACCAACACCAGATTATCAGAAGAGCAAGAAAAGGCTCTGTGTCACTATGTTGATACTCTAGAGCAATTAAATATAAAGCCACTTGCACAAATGATCCAATCAAGTGCCAATTCTATTCTGAGATCAACCCATACCAGCCTAGACACCCCTCCACCTACTGTCAGCGAGAAATGGTTAAACTGATGGCTAGGAAGGCATCCTGAATATAAAAGACGTCGCTCTAGAGCTATAGAGCTTGACCACAAGCGTGCAGAGGATCATGAGGTTATTCAGGAGTGGTTTCAGAAGCTCCATCAGACCATCCAGAACCATGGGATATTAAAGGAGGATATCTACAATTTTGATGAGACTGGCTTCAATATCAGTGTTGGTTGTGATCAATGGATTATTACCAGGGACTTCAATATTAATAAGCCTCATATTGGGATGAATTCAAACTGTGAATATGTTACTGTGGTTGAAGCAGTCAATGCAGATGGCTGGACCTGCCCACCACTTATTCTCATGAGTGGTAGCTGTATACTTACAAATTGGTTTGAAGCTGCTGATATTCAACAAGACTATTCAATTGGAGTATCAGAAAATGGCTATATGACTGATACAATTGCCTTCCAATGGATTCAGTCATTCTATCGGCATACTAAAAGATATAGGAAGGGTCAATATACCCTTCTTATATGTGATGGATACGGCTCCCATCTAACACATGAATTTGTTGAATTCTGTGAGAAGACCAATATCATCACCTTCTTCTTACCTCCACATACAAGTCATTTCTTGCAGCCATTGGATGTTGGTGTTTTTCATGCATATAAGCACTGGCATTCAGAAGCAGTTGCAGATGCAACCTACTCAGGATGCAGTAAATTTACTAAGGTTGAATTCCTTCATGCCTTAGGGGCAATTCGCAAGAAGACATTCAAAAAGCGTACTATTCGGCATGGATTCCAAAAGACTGGCATCATACCATTCAATCCATCAATTGTACTCAATCAAATGCCTCAACCACATCGTCCATCCTCTTCATCCACCAATACCAATGATGTTGATTCCTGGGGCAGTACGCCAAAAAAAGCTGAACGATTTAGGGAGATTGGTGATAGGATATGGGAGATTCATGATATCAACAAGGATCAATTTAATGAGGGCCTAGAGCTGCTTATTCGTGGTGGTAGTATGCTAGCATCATATTCAGCTGCTATCGAAGCTGAGCTTGACCGGTATATTAAAGCTGCTAGGGACCGCGCAGCTCGATCACAGGCCTCTAGGCGCAGGATTCGCAAGGGAGGCATAGTATCAAGCTCAGAGCTTGAAGCTATAAATCGAAATACTGCGAATATTAATGAGCAGGCTGAAATAAAGAGGTGGAGGACTAAGTATAAGCGTTGCCTACCAGAGCTGCTGGATGTATGCATTCGACGAGGAATTATTATACGAAGGCAACGACATGCTAGGGCCCAAGCTGAAGAGTAGAGCTTTAGTTTAAATATATTTTGAAGTTAAATACTATAGAATTCGTTGAGATATTGAAGCTAGAAGGGGGGTCTAAAATTGGTGCTCGGGTGGCTGGGGTGCTCGGGTGGTTGTCAGGGTCGCGCAATACGCGCGACCCCGAAGGTTACCGTAGGGGTCGGTTAGTTAATAAAATCCACTACTGAGCGGTCCAGTCACACTGCCACCGCCGCTCAAGAATCAATCTTGAGCACTTCAATTGAACTGGAAACTTGATGTTCAGGCTATTCTTGACTGGTTTAAATACATGAGCTTCTAGGCATCAGACCCTCCGGACATAGCGGCATCAATGAATATCTGCAAGATTGGAAAGCTGCATCACTCTTATTTCTCTCTATATACACATTATCCTAATAATGAAAAGGAGGAAAACCGCCGGCGATTGTCTTCTATAGTCCCTGACACCAGGTCTATCTCCATTCCATATACCATCCAAGACCCATTGACACTCATCTAATCCAATTCCAACCTTCCCACAGGTAAGCAATTAAATACAGTAAGCACCATAGAGCGAATTAAGTTTAGGAGTAGAAATTAATCGTCATGCTTTCACGTAACATCATTACCAGTTGATATTTCAAGCTGTTGCTTTGAACAGTTCCTGGTGAGTTCGCTCATCTTAGCCACGCGTGTTGTTATGTTTCTCATTAAATGCATTCACAGCTACAAGGGACATGTTAGCCATACACCATCATACTGCAAGGTTGGAACCAAGCATAGGATATTCCAAGAATCTCCCACTCACCTATAGCAATTTGTTTGTACAGCCAATTTCTCGAAGCCTCATCCTGTACTGGGATAAATGGGCCATTGGCACCGCCCTTAAGTGTAATGCTCATGCCGGTTCTCTCCTTGGAGATGATTTGGATGTCCGTCAATCGAATGTCCCACTCCGTTTGGAGCTTCTTGGTTCGCACAAGCATTATTCGACCGTACGTCAACATGACCATCAGGTCTTTACCAGGAAGTTCCAGGTGCGCGATGTAGTCTTCGTTAAAGTAGGCCCCATCATCAGTGGTCTTCAGCCAGAACTGGCCCAGCGCTTCACGTTGGGAGTAAGGGCGCACGATTCCCTCGAGTCCAATGAAGCGGGTAAGGCGGACACGGTCCAGACCGTCAGAATCGAAGACGGTCGTAGTGTTGCGAACACCCTCAGCTAGATCTAGTAAAGGTTGTCAGTTTTGCGGAACAAATTAAAGATGAACTGGGCGTGAATTGTTCGCGGGGTACGTACTTGAAGCAAGATCAAACGCTCCAATCGCTGGTTTTGTAGCCAAGCCCCAGACGCCAAGTCCAACGCCCTTGAAAAAGCCCTGCAGGCCTTCTCTTTCAGCCCCTTCAAGCGGATGTCGTGCAAGACCACCGATGCCGCTGGCGAGACTGTTTGCAAACGCACTACCGCCAGCCGTGATACCATACAGGGCGTGTTTGGGCCGGTTGCGAGCCTTGGACATGCGCCTCTGATTCTGGAATTCCTTGTCAAGGGTTGCAGCGGCAAGACCTTTGGACATACTGCCGGTAAATTTTGCAAAACTATCTGAAAAGCCGAAGACGGATTTCACAACAAAGCTCTTGGCACCTTTCGCAATTCCGTAGCCAAGTTCTGAAGGCCGATCGGTCATGACTAGTCCATTGTACGGTTCATAGAACATTGCTGCCACGCCAGAACTGACAGTGTTGAACAAGCCAACAGGGTTTCCTAAGAAGTCGGCTGACCCAAGGACAATATGGATTTGGCGCACGAACTCCTGCGTGTAGTGTTTCATAACGTTGTTGGCAAGGACTCCAAAGGAGACTCGCGCGTTCTCAACTATCAGAGCGTTAAGCTGAATGGGTGCGTCATTGACATTTCCCATGGACATAGTCATGGCATTCACGAAGAACATCAAAGGATCAGACGGTTGCATCGTATCCTCAGCATTTACATGCTCTGTGCGCATAAAGGATATATCCAGTTGCATCGGTTGCAAATGAAGAAGCTCAAAGTACACATCCTGTCCTTCGGCTTCTTGCTTTGGCTCTGGAATGTGTAGCTCTTCGTCACACAATTTTCCTTCATGCTCTTCGGTCCATGAAGCGCCAGGGACCTTGAGGAAGTCCAACATTGCAAAAATGAAATCCTCGTCGACTTCTAAAGTCATTTGCTGCAAGAGCAAAGTGGCATACTTGATGTAAAGGACGCCATACGAGTCGTCTTTCACACGTGCAATCATGGCCTGGAAAATCGGATGGGCCTCCATTTCCTTCCCGGTCTTGGCAACCACACTGGGATATAAAAGGATGGGAAAGATGCCACCGTAGAGTTGATTGTCGATTTGAATCCACTTGACCGTAGTGTTCAATGTTTGGTACAGCCTCGATTCTTTGAATTTGATCTCAAAATCGCGGAGTGTAAGGTAAAGTAACTCCTTCAAATTCTGATTGACCAAGGAAATGCCGATGCCCCCAAGACGAAGTTGCGCTTTGAAGTTGACTTCTGACCTCGCTTCCTTTACCTCGAAACCGAGGCTGGTCGAACTCGTTTGAGCGGTTTGGCTCTTTTGTCTGTATATACTCTGCGAGGGCTTGAAATTCGACAACACAAGCGTCTGAGTAGGTCCGTCTGCAACGATATTGATGTCGATGATCTTTTGCTGTCCACCAGGCTGCGTCGGGGGTATCTTCATCGGTATCTGATTTCCTATCTCAGCGAGTCTGACATGTCGCAATTTGCCACCGCACGAAAGCACAAGTGACTTGTTCTTAGTGGCCGGGTAGTCCCATGAATATGGCATAATGCTTCTAGGAGGAAGACGGTAACGGATCGGCCTCCAAGCGGTTGCTATTTCTTCCTCTTCGTCTTCCACATTCGGATTCTATGGGAAATTTTTAGTAAGACTCACAATCCTGGGACGGGCTCTTGGAAATACTTACAGCTTGATAGAAGAAAATCTCCATATCACTCTCATTGCGCATGGAAAATGGCCAGCTTCTCGTTTCGAAGCTAAAGTGCAGGAATAGTGTTCCACCTTCCATGATCACATCAATTTTGACAAGTCTCTGGCGTTGGTTTGCCTGGGCCAGCTTCACATGGACAGTTCCAATGTCTGCTATGTTGAAAGGCGAAGACCATTGATTGTTCACGCCTGGGAAGCAAAGACAGAGCTGTTTCTCCAGTGTTTGACGCAAGAAGTGTAGAGGCAACAGTGCTCCGCTTGAGAAGTAAAGCACATCAGATGAACCAGGCTCCCGGACCAGAAGATCTTCGTTAAGCTTATTCTTGAGAATGAAGCGAGGAGCAATAGTGACCACCTTGGTCATTTTGTACTTGCCCTCACCTTCAGCGACAGAAATTCCCACGTTCAGCTCTGATCTTCCATGCCGGTCCGGTAGGGTGACTTCATATGTGCTACCGAGTGCTTCGAAACTCTGCGGCTTGCTCCAAGCGGAGTTACCAATTTTCAGAAGAGACCGGTTCTTCTTGTCCTCTGTCAAATAAGAGTACATGTAAGGTTGCGTGTGTCCACCATTATTTGGGTCAGGTCTCAAACCACGACCGGCTGCAGACCTTGCAGACTGGAGAAAGCCCTTGGTTTGAATCTCCATATCAAGTCCTGTCCTGTTCAATATGAGGTATGGGCTATAGATGGACACTTTGAAAGCGCCACCGCTATCAGGCACATTGAAGTAATAAAGTTGCAGCTTCAGTGGATTGCCCTTGTCGTCCTTCAATGAGATCACATGCTCCCTCTTAAAATCTTGCGAATTCCCGTTAATGATAGCAAACTCGCTTTGTCTGAAGATAGTATCTTCCAAATCAATACTAAGAAGGAGTAGATGAGACAGTTCAACAACATGGACGGGGCTAATGCCACCTTTTCGCAAGAAGTTTGTCCAATCCTTTTTCGTATTCTTGTCGTAAATACGGTACTTGAAGTCATATGGAAGCAAGTTCTGGATTTCAACTGGAGCAGAGACACGAATTCTCATATAAGGGTAAACGTTGGTGAGAGCGTTTTTCGGGTCAAATATAGCGTTGGACTGGAAGTAGAATGGAGGAGCTTGCTGGCCATTTTCACTCATACATTTGATCGCCCGGTTTGGCCGCCGTAAGAGGTCTTTCCAGTAAAGCTGTTGGCCTGACCAGTCATAACCAAAGCCCTGATCCGGTCGGAGGAGAACAGAATGCATGTACGCTGCTCCAACAGGCGCAGGTCGGGAATCACCAGGAAGGATCTTCTCGATCTTGAGAAGGTGGCCGTCTTGAGGGCTGTAGATGCCCATCTCTACTGGAATCTGTGTGTTGTTCTCAACAAGGAACGGCGAGCGAAAGGTAATATACTTCACGTTGTCCGTACCCAATCTGACTTCCACGAGTAATCTGTGAAGAACATTGTCTTTTTTCGGCCGCAGGTTGTACACGGTCTCGCCCTCCCGGGCAACACGGATTTGGGTAACACTGTCAAAGCCGCTTCCTTCGAGTTTGACGCCTACAACTCCAGTATGGCCTTCCGGAGTCAACGTCTCACGCACAGCGATCGCATCTTCAAATCTCCAGGGACATTCCTCCCCATCTGTCAACTTTGCGGCTGGCCCATCTTCTCCTGCATTGACATCAGCCCAGACACGAAGGTCGAACCCAGTATAATTGCGAATGCGATACGGCGCGTCAGCACCCCTAGGTTTCGATAGAACATCCTCGTCCGTGGAAAGAAACTGGAAAGACTTGGATGCCAGGGCAATAGTGGCTGACGTGAGTGTAAGCTCCATTGTCTTGTGTGAGAAGACATCTATAGAGAGGACTTCTGGGTTAATTTCTTTCGCCATGTGGAAGCCCATTTGCCAAGGCTCTATCAATGGTTCCCAAGCTGACTTGGAGAAGTTGTAGACATTGACAAAAGTATCGAAACTGGTGTCCGCATTCAACGCCGCGGACCAATCCCGAGCATCCACAGTAAATTTCTTGACACTCCAGTCGAGCAGGGGAAGATCATGCAAATTTCCAATGAGAATAACCCGAATACCATCAATTTGTGCAGTCAACTCTTCACGCCTAAGAACAACTGAACGACGTGGAGCTAGTCCTGGTTCGAGGGTCTTTGCAGACGCACTTAGGCGTCGTTGAGCTTTGGAAGAAGTTGCAGCCAAGGATTGGTTCTTTCCGGAATATCTCCTCTTGGAGGATCTAGCTCTCTGGTTATTGCCATCATGTACTTTCATCACCTCTCCAGTGTCGCTATTGGAGGCCCGAGTTCTCATTTCAGAGACCTTGTTTACTATCTGAATCGCCATTAGGATATCTCGAAGAGAAAGGCGCAAGACCAATGGTTCGACGTGCACGTCGATAGAAGTCAAACTAGATCCTTTCTCTTGGGCGCGGTTATCCATCGTCATTTCAATAGTAAAGTCATCCAGAATTCGCAGCCTGCTCGTTTCGAACTTGTCCATGCGACACAGAAACATGCCGACTTTGCTGATCTGCAACGTCGAGACATTCTGACGAGAAAAGAGAACCTGTTTTGTTCCAAGAACTATGGCCTCTGTATGGGAGATGGTCGGATTCGCGATAAGGATTACTTGGGCATCAACGAGGTTCGCTCTCCAGGACATGGTCATCTGTCCGGCTGAAGCTGGAGTGTCCCGAGCCGGTGATGGGCTCGCATTCCTGTCGGTGCTAGCGCTAATGCTGGACCTGCTTTCGGACTCTTCGGTTATATCGCTTTCTTCTTCGACCTCTGCTGGCTGATCGGTGGCGAAAGCTGCTTCAGCGAACGACTGCAAAGCAGAGAGATAGTCCAAGGCAAATATGATACGGGGGCTGTCAATGGTCAGCATCGCAATGATATGTTTGTCTGGCCCAGGTGACATTGAAATGCTGGCCATGAACTGCTGCTGGACATCATTGTTGATGAGAGACATGATTTTCCTGAACTTATTGGAACCCTTGCTGCGGCTATCGCGGATTGAAAGCGAGTGAATTAGAAGTTCAGACTCCAAGGACCCATCCGTTAACATACGTAGCTTGACTCTCGTGTCATTCAGAGAAAATTTGGACAAGCTAGCATCTTCCAGGCAGCCCACAGGCTCGTTGTCTTTTGCGAGGATAAGCTCCAAACCGACGCTATCCGCCTTGAAAATCATATCAAGCCGCACCCATGTCTCTTCATCCGCGTATTTCCCTGTTGACCCTTCTTTTCCTTTGACAGTCGTCAAGGTAGTATCGTCGCTTGGCTCCGTAACTGCCGAGCGTAGATCTTCCATGGCTTCCAATTCCTGTTGTTCTTCGTCGGTCGTAAAAGCTCCAGGCACGGTTTTCGAAAGCTCCAACAAGAACTTCAGCTGATTCTGTGATATTCGCAGGTTTATTGGGGACACGGAGCCCTCGACCTCTAAATCAGGACGGGGATTATTTGCTTGGTGCTCGAGATAGCATATGCTGAAGTCAAGATTCACCTTTTGAATCATCTCTAATTCTTCGTAGATATCACCCTCGAAGTAGAATTTCGATGTCAGGCGAATATTTCGTATACCAGTAGTGATCACATTCACAGCTGGGCCTGGATTGTCATCCTCGAGTGGGAAAAATGTGTTTTTGGCATATATTTCTCCAAGATGGGCTGTGATTGTGTCTCGCTGGTGGTCATCCTTCATAGTCCTTGGGAAAACTAATATAGGGGTCTTTACTACGATGTCGAAGCGCATGCGTGAGGCATTCTCCTGCAGCTGGTTTGCTTGGTTTGCGGCAGCCCGGTGAGCAGCATTGAAGATAGCCCGCATCTTGCCAAATTTAACCAGGAAATTATAGATCTTCCGGTAAGGCTCTTCGAGGAAATTTATTTTGATCGAACCAGACCTCAGGTAGACCTCCGAGTCATAACCGGGATAGTTTGGACTTTCAGGGTCGAAAGTTTCATATTTGAAATCTGCAAAATTATCTCCCTCAATAGTCAGAAGTCTTCGAAGATCAGAGTTTGCTGATGCACCCAAGTTGACATCATCAACCAAGGTCAAACTACCGATTCGAGACTGTATCAACATAGTTCGGCCAACAAGATAAATCCCGACGTCTGCCGTATTGAGACTAAGGGTGGCAAGCCGAACACCATCATTGTTGAGGATGAACGCAATGCTTTTCAAATTGGACTTGATGCGAATCTTTCCTGTTTGTTGAGGCTGTTGATCAACATTGGTAGTGTCATGAAGTGCTCTGTCAGGTTGTACATCCTGACTAGTAGGCTGCTCGGGGTTTGTAAAGGTGAGGAGGATAAAGTCCAAGAGAGTCAGAAGAGTTCTCCTAGTGACAACGACGTTTATTGTAGAAACCGAAATTTCTAGGTTCGTATCCACACCTTCGTATGTTGACTGAAATTCGGGCGACTCAGGCTTCACTCTAACAAAACGCAAATGAAACAGGTCCTTGTCCTCGTCGGCATCGAAGCCCTTGGACGATACGATATTCTTGAATTCCGGAAGCGGGTTTTCTTCAATGTAGTCGTCCACGCTTAGAGATTTCAACACCACGTCTGCTACCATGTCAAACGGTCGCATGTAGTAGTCCAGCTTGAATCCTTCCGCAACCAATTCTGCTAGCAGCCGGTCACTCTGCAGATCGTTCGCATCAGAACGAAACAGTGAACCACGGAGGCAGCCAACAGTGAATTTGAATTGAAAATCACGACGATGAATATTTGGTTTCTCAACGGTTTTCTTGAGCTGCTCCTGATCTGGTTCGATGTCAGAATCTTCGTCCACGACGGGAAGTTCTCTCTCAAGCAACGGCTGAAACGAAGAAGATCTAGGTCTATAATTGGTAGCGGCCATCTCTCCTGCTCTGTTCTTTGAAGGGAGATGACTATCTTCCTTCGGGCCCTCGGAAACCTCGTCAAAGCGTGGGATGGCTATACCGATCAATTTCATCAGGCCTTTATATTTAGCGTCAGAGATAGAGGCGCGCAACTCTGGAAGATGTCCAGACACGCGCGTTCTTGTGAGCTCCGTGCCTACTGGGACAATGCACAATTCCAACATGAAATCCACGTTTATGCGGTCAATCAGATGTAGGTTCTTCGAAGTATCACCAGAACTGAGCTGTGCCCTCGTCTCGTCGATTCCAGGGCCGATAAGCACTTGGGTGGAATCGAGCTTGAGCAAGAACCGGTCATACATCAAATGCTCAAGCTGTTTATAATCTTCCTCATTATATTGCCGCTTCTGCTTCGACTGAATTTCTCTGATGGCCTGTCTATCCACCAGCTCGCTGTTGACACTGACATGGCCAGCATCGAAAATCAAGCAAAGGGAACTTTTCTGGGTGACACTCTCTGGAACAATGATCAAAGGCGCTTGGATATCAAACTGCACATCCACCTTTTTGTGTTCTTCCAAGGTATACTCTAAACCTGCGCGGGTCTGCTGCCTGATCTCCTCTACTGTAGCACCTGCAGTATCCAAGAGAGCCCCGATCGACTCCATATGTCGCTCCGGAGGCTGGAAGAATTTGACAACCTCAACGAGGAATCTGGGGTTATAGATTACTTCGATACTTTTCAACTTGAGCTTGATCGCACTGTCAGCATCACTGTCGAGAGGATTCTTTTCCAATTGAAGGTGGAACAGGCTATCTTCATCGTCATATACGCCCTCTTCAGCAGTCAGGTCACCCTTATCAGAGGCCTCCGAGCCTCGGTCCTTTGGCTGATGAAGGGAGTCCTTCACTCTGGCTACCTGAGGGAAGAGAGTGTGTTCTACCGTGCCATCATAGACTCGCAGCCCGCCCAAGTCGAGTTCCACAAAGAACGAGTCGACGCGTTGTAAAGCTTTCGCCCGGAAATTGTCGAATACAAACTTTGCAACCTCAACAGGCTTCCCATGGGGATTGCGCCTCAAGGTGAAACTCCCCGCTTCGAGACTCGAGTTGACTTGGAATTTGACCCATTCCCGTGGGACGTCCACATCTTCTGCGAGAGCCTTTCTCTCATCCCAATCAATGGCATTATATAGCTCCTGACGTTGCTCTTCAGTCATGGTTGTCTCCTGGGATTCTTCTTTCTTAGTACCCCATATCCACTCTGACCAGGTCTGCTGCTTCGCGGGTTTCTTGACGCCAACGTTCTCTTTCCGCAATTGGTTTCGTGCCAACGACCTCCAGAACCTGAGATCCTCATAGCTAAGTTTCCGCTCCAGGGCATCCAATTGTTTGAACTCCTCTGGCGACAGAGTCTCATCGCGCTTCTTCTTCTTGAACAGTTTAATGTAGGCTAACCGATCATCTCTTCGCTCCTTGATGTAGTCCCAAGACCAACGCCTGTTCCTATCATGGATTTTGCGAAGTACAGCGTCACCAGCAAACTTGAACCAAGCGCGAGGGTCTTCCTTGGGCCGACACTTAGGCTGAAACCTCCTGTATTCTTGATGGCGAATAAAGTAATGGAAGAAATCCACGAGCATCAAGGCATCCCGGTATTGATCGTCATCCAGGACAAAGCCCAATTCGTCAAATAGTAATCTGGCTTTGATTGCAGGTCGATCATGCTTCCCAGTTTTGTCCAACTCCAGGCCGGCACGGCCACTGACTGGGCGAAGCATGTACTGTTTATTCCCATCGTTGACGATTGCGGATTTCAGTCGTTCAGTCAGTTGCTCATGGGTTAGTCCATCCGTGCCTACATCAGAGGCCCGACCGGTACGCAGAAGTTCTGCGTCTGTATTCCAATATATTGCAAGTGCACTTAGGATGGCTAATTTGTGGGTGGTACCGGAAGTCGACTGGATAAATGTCGGGTTCCATTCAGAGTCGGTACTGACGGCACTGAGTTCCTTCAAAGTGAAGCCGACTGTGAACGGGTGGCCTGGTGAAGAGATTGAATCTTCGTATCGAAAGTGGACGTTTCTAATAGATATCTGAAGGTTGTCGATAATGGCAGTAGTAAGACTTTGAGTGAAGCTTTGGTTCCGGCGTTGCTCTTCTTGGCTCATGCCCTCCGTATTGCGTTCCTTGAGTATCTCCGCATTTTCCAACTTTTCCATCTTGACCGACTGTGCTCTCCTTGCTTCCTCTTCCTCATCATACTCGGCATCTTCTCTTGGTGCGGCTAAAAGAAACACATCCTCAATATCGATCTTGACAGGTTTCCCTCTTAGATTCGACCACGGGATCGACAGCGTAAGCTGACCGAGATGGCCACCGACGACATTCAGGGGCAGACGCAGTTGATCGAGAGCTTCCCGACGTAGTTCAAGGTTGTGGAGTCTCACATCACCGGACCATATGCCGACGTTGAGCTGTTTCGCATCAAAGTTCTTGACATACATACCCAGGAAGCGGTTGAGCAGGTTTGCGACGAGACCTTCTAACATGGTTGCGGAAGGCGGCCGTATGCCTGGCCGGGGAAAGTTTGTTCAGACCAGGAAGTTTGTCCGAAATTCGTAGGTTGAGGCGAGTCTCTTCTTTTAGGTACTCTGTGTGGATAGAGAGAACTGGTGAGTACAACTATCTTTTTGGCGCACTGATGAATATGGAAATAAGAAGGACAGAGGGAGAATGAAACAGGAGCAGCAGCCAAAATAATGGTTTAAACTCCAAAGAGAGTTTAATCATACCTCGCGAGACGCCAGCGAGCATAGGGAAGACTCGCAAAACATGGAACTCACAGCCATCCAGCGAATTGGGCTGCAGCTGTACGCGTGAGGGTCCAAGGCGGAAGTGTTATCGATAGCAGCCTTCCGGGGGATCAAGAAAGGGAAGAGATAAAAAAGAAGACAAAAGAGTAACTAGAATAGAATGCCGCAGTTGGGCTGGATGGTGATGAAAGTCAGGTACGCAATGGGGTGGGTAGCGTAGGACAGACAAGAGGGGATCTGGGGAATCATGTGTTGTTCTGGACAGGAACCAGGAAGTGACGTCTCCTTGTCTCTGGTAGGTACTAGGGCTTAGCCCTTGGTATCCTGTTGGGGTAATATGCTGACGCCTGATTATTTCGTAATCTATGCCTCAGGCCGACGCGAGCGAAAACTGCGGCATTGGCGTCTACGGCGGCCCCCAAGCGAGCCGCACCCGAGCAACCTCACCATTTCGTAATTCTCCGACGACTGCCGTCTGCTTTGCTACTTCAACTGCCGTCTTCTCACCAGGAGCTCGAGCAATTGATATTTTGTGCTTTTTGATCTCCACTCAATCGTACGTTCTATAATATTAATCTGGTTTTGTATGCCAGCCGGGCGTTGAGCGCGTTTCCGCGACTTCCCAGCCGAGGTCATTGCTAATCGGGACTTCACAGCTTGTTTGTGCTCTGAATTTCACCATGCTTTACAAGAACGCTGCTGCTCGCTCTATCCTGAGAGCTATCTCCAGCTCCAATGCCCCTGTGGCTCGCTCGGCCCTTGCTGGCAATGTTTTCCGAGCCCGGTTGACGTCGTCCGCGCGGTATCCCGTTCGCCCGACCTCCTCTCCCAGCCTTGCTCTGGCTGCCCACAAGCCTGTCACCACTGCTCTTGTCCGCTATGCTTCTGCATCAGCTAAGACCGGCGAGGAGAATGCCGAGTCTGAACCTGATATGATGGCTGGTATGAAGAAGGACTTCGTATGTTGTTCCACACTCTGCCCCGCTACTATAGGTCTTGCAGGTGCAATTTCGATTGCAATTGTGAATGTGGCTGTAAATTCGAGGAATTGCTTTTTTGACGATAAAATTGGACACTTGTAGGAGACAATCAAGGATACCTTCAGCCTCCGGGATGTCCCCAAGGATGCTCTGGCTCTAGGTCTGGCGGGTGTAGTCCCTTACTTGATTACTTCTCTCCAGACGGTCTACCTTGCCTATGAGACGAACCAGGCCGCTGCTGGTGGCCTCATCCTGTCGGGCCAGAGTGCTGAGCTGGCGCTTCACTTGCTCGAGCCTATCCAGGTCGGCTATGGTGCTGTGGTGAGTGCATACAAAACAGCGAGGCTATGGATGAGATTTGAAAAAAGAAAAGAAAAGAAAAAGCTAATGGAGATTGGCTTTAGATTCTGTCCTTCCTCGGAGCCATCCACTGGGGATTTGAGTGGGCTGGATACGGAGGAAAGTTCGGCTGGAGGAGATACGCCCCTGGTGTGATCGCTCCGGCGATTGCATGGCCCACACTGCTGTTCCCCGTGGAGTATGCACTGATCAGCCAGTTCCTTGCTTTCACCTTCCTGTACTACAATGATGCTCGGGCTGCTGGCGCTGGTGCGGCACCTCACTGGTACGGGATGTACCGGTTCGTGCTGACCTTTATCGTTGGCGCGAGCATTGTGGCCAGCCTGATCGGGCGCCAGCACATTGCCACTTCTGGCGAGGGAGAGCACACTATTACGGAAAAGGTCAGCGCTCTGCTGTACCTGAAGCAGAAGGAGCAGGAGGAGGCCGAGGCACGCCGCAAGGAGGAGGAGGCTGAGAAGCCGGAGTAAATTGGATGTACCATGTACAGCAGGTAGTTAGGTAGATTGGAAAGTGCGGTGTACTCTGGTATGTTTTATGTTATTATTAGCATGTAGGAGAGGCAGAAAGGCGAGACAAGCGGAGAGTTTGAATTCTGGTTTCCCCTTGGGGGAGTCGAGCGTAGAGCGAAGCGGGTCCAAATAGAATAAATTAGAGTCAAGGTTTAAGAATATTTTTGGGGTGGCACATGACCAGCAGAGATTGTGGATATCATTAACAATGCTAATAAATCAATAGTCTGGATTGCGATGGACGCGATAATAATATGCGCGAGGACTTCTCGAAGAACAGATGACCAGAAAAAAGCAGAAATAATAGCGCAGTACGTACCCCCGTGGGACAGGTTCGCACCGAAAGCGAATCACGGCCGGCAAGGGGGTCGGGGATTCGGAGATGGGCGGGGCATGCTGCATGGACATACTGCATACTAGGACGGACAGGGTGTAGTCTAGACCAGAGATCTCTGGTTATTTGATCTAGCATTGGATACATACTGTGGTTGTAATTGGGCTTGCTGGAGAGTAGATAGATCGAGAAATATATCTAGATATACATATTATATATATATATACGTGGGAGAGAGAGAAAGATGGAAGACTGAAGAAAGAGAGATCTGCAGGTCGGGCTATGTCAGGCCCGAGGATTGCCAGAATGAGCATCCCCAAAGAGGCGTGTGACTTTGTGTGGAGTGCAGCAAATCTGGGAAGAGAGGCTAGACCGCAGTCCTTGGCTGGTCAGAAGACCTCAGACTCCGCAGATACAATAAGATATAAGAATAGTAGGCATTTCTTTCTTCTCTTCTCTTCTATTCTTCTCTTCTTTCTGTCTGTATCTTTGATCGTTGCAGCTCCCTTCCTAATTGACCCTCTCCACTCCCCTGAACTCTCCTCTCCCAACTCTCCCCTCTCATACCGACGTCATCCCCCGCAGTCCTCCAGCACTGCCTCTCTCTCTCTCTCTGTCTGTCTCTGCGTAGACCTCTGCAAAATCCCCTCTATAACCACCGTAATATGCTTCAGTACCTGTTTCCCTCCCGCAAATACTCTCCTCCGCTTCCCTTCCGCCAGAAAGACTCCTCGCCTGCTTCTCCTCCTTCTCCTTCTCTTCCTTCTCCTCCCTCCTCTCTGCCCAAGAACATGGCAAGGCCCATGTTTTCCACCGCAGACGACCTGCAGCCCCATATCGAAGTCCACACCACTGAGTCCCACGATGGCAATCGTTCCATCGTCCAGGATGAATCCCATCGCAACGACAATCTCAAAAACCGTTTCATCGGTGCCATCGATCAGGGCACGACTAGCACCCGCTTTATCATCTTCGACTGCACCGGCGTTCCCATTGCGTCATACCAGACTGAATTCCGCCAGATCCACGAGAACTCGGGGTACGTCTCCCTCTTCAACCATACCCCTCGTTAACCCAGCTAATTCTCCTCCAGATGGCACGAGCAAGACCCTCTCGAACTCGTCAATTCCGCCTACACCTGCATCGAAGAGGCCATGAACTCCTTCCTCGCCCTGGGCCACTCCAAATCAGATGTCGAAGCCATAGGCATCACCAGCCAGCGAGAAACAACCGTTGTCTGGGATTGGGAGACCGGCGAGCCCTTGTGCAACGCCATTGCCTGGCCCGACACCAGGACCACCAACTTGGTGCGCGAGCTCAAGGCCAAACCCGGTGCCGAGGAACTGCTTCAGCTGTGCGGCCTCCCACTGTCCACCTACCCCTCTTCGGTCTCCTTGCTCTGGCTTCTGCGTAATAATCCCGATGTCCGCGATGCCTACGAAGCTGGAACTCTGGCCTTTGGCACTGTTGATTCTTGGTTGATCTACAACCTGAATGGTGGCCCCGAGAACAACGTCCTGGTGACCGACGTGAGCAACGCCTCGAGAACCATGTTTATGAACATCCACACCCTGCAATATGACGACCGGCTCTTGAAATTCTTCGATATCGACCGCTCCAAGATCCGTCTCCCCAAGATTGTCCCCTCGTCCGACCCAGAGGCATTTGGCCGCGTGGTCATGGGTCCCCTCGACGGTGTCCGCATCACCAGCTGCCTGGGTGACCAGTCTGCTGCCCTGGTCGGCCACTGCGCCTTCACCCCGGGTTCTGCCAAGAACACATACGGAACCGGCTGCTTTCTTCTCTACAATGTTGGCGATAAGCCCGTCATCTCAAAACACGGCTTGCTGAGCACTGTGGGCTTCCAGCTCGGCCGCGACAGTAAGCCTGTGTACGCATTGGAAGGCAGTGTTGCCGTCGCGGGAAGCGGTATCTCCTTCCTCATGAACAATCTGGGTTTCTTCCGTGATTCGCGAAAGGTCAGCGAGGTCGCTGCAACTGTTCCGGACAATGGTGGCTGTGTGTTCGTCACGGCCTTTAGCGGTCTCTTTGCCCCGTACTGGATCGATGACGCCAAGGGAACAATCTGTCAGTGCAGTCCGATCATTCCGTTTTATGTTTCCGTCTTTGATACTGACATTTCATCCTCCTTCCCCAGTTGGCATCACCCAGTACACGCAGCGTGGACACATTGCCCGTGCGACCATGGAGGCTGCATGTTTTCAGACCAAGGCAATTCTCGATGCCATGGCGATGGATAGCGGACACCAACTGTCCATCCTAGCGGTAGACGGTGGGATGAGCAACTCTGACATTTGCATGCAGGTAAATCCACCTATTTATATACACCTTTGCTGTAGGTAGAATCGTTAATATTAACTCCCTGCAGTCTCAAGCCGACATCATCCAAATCCCTGTCGAGCGGCCAGCCATGCACGAGACCACCGCCCTAGGCACTGCCATCGCTGCCGGATTTGCCGTCGGCATTTGGAAAGAATTCGATGAACTCAAGCACATGAACCGCGCCAACCGGACGACTTTCAGCCCGCAGATCTCCCGGCAGCAGAGCGAACGCATGTACAAGAAATGGTCAAAAGCAGTCGAGATGAGTCGGGGATGGGTTGATAACCATGAACTGGATATCGAAGTGAGGTAGTATCTTTATACTTCTCTCGCTATTGTGACTGTAACTGTGACTGCTCTTCTATTAGCGTGGCGTTCGATTCTTTTGACTGCTTTTCATTCTGTTCTCCATGGGGGCTTTCTTTTCTTCTGAGGGACAACACAACATCTTTTGTTTCCCTCTGTCTCAGCCACTGTTTTTATCTTCCACTTGGATACCCCATGTCCATCCACCTGTACATAAGATAGCTTACCATACATATAGATACATAGTACAATATTCATAATGACTGATGAAACACCTGCCCTATGTAACTGTTCATCCATAGAGACTGGCATGGAAAAGAGTAATTTAAGTGTAATACACTTGATATGTTGTTACTTTACATGGTTGTCAGCGGTACTTCGGAAAATATAAGAGGATAAATGAAAATAGAATGGAGAGGTGGGAATATAAATAAATGTCAATGCCAGTATCAGTGTCGTTGTCAAATAATAATAGAAATAATAATAATAATGCAGAAGACAATCACAAATTCAAACTCGCAAAAGGGCTATGCCATATCACTCAAATCCCTTGTCCAATCCAAATTTTCATTTTCTTTCTCCCCTTTCCTTGCCTTTTCTGTTTTCAGCACAAATAATAAAAAGCACGGTTAATGTAATTGATTATTCGGTTGAGGTGGGAGGTCCGCCCGCAGCCGCTGACGGATTCAATGTGGCCGTCTGCAGAGCTTCGGGTAGTTTGAGTGGTGCCGCAGGGGTTGATTCCAACTTCTCCAGCTTCTCACCCTTCAGGACCTTCTCCATCTCCTCCTTCGTTAGCGTCTCATATTCCATCAACGCCTTGGTGAGCAATTCCAATTCTTTCCGTCTCTCTTGCAGGATCTTCTCAGCTCGAGCCCGTGCTTCCTCCACCAGTCGTCGCACTTCCGCTTCGATTTCTTGCTTGGTCTCGGAAGAGAGACTGTCATAGTTGGTGGATAGATCAACGTTCCCGAGTTTCTTCGAGTACCCAAACCGCGTCACGAGGGTGAACGCCGTTTCAGTCGCTTGTTGTATGTCCTAAAGATCAAAATCAATCAGCAATCGAAGTGTATTGTCTTTCGGCCAAATTAGATGGACACTTACCGCTGAGATACCACTGGTCACATTATCCGGTCCGAAAATGAGTTCTTCGGCTGCCTTACCACCCATAGAAACATCGATATCAGACAGATACTCGGTGTAATTCCTCGAAACTGTATCCATTTCCGGCAAGAAGTGTGTTACACCCAAAGCCATTCCGCGGGGAACAATAGTGATCTTGTAGAGAGGTGTAGAAGACGGAGAGAAGTAAGCAACGAGAGCATGACCAGCTTCGTGGTATGCAGTCAGAAGCTTGTCCTTGTCCTGGATGATTCGGCTGCGAGCCTCCGCGCCCATTATGATCTTGTCCTTGGCCCAATCAAAGTCCTTGGGTCCAACCTTAGTCTGATGATTCCGGCTAGCATGGATAGCGGCCTGATTGACAAGATTCTCCAGGTCCGCACCGGAGAAACCGGGAGTACCGCGCGCAATGACAGCAACATCAACATCTGTGCCAACTTGAACATTGCCCATGTGGTGTCGCAAAATATCCATCCGACCACGGACATCTGGCAGGCCTACGACCACCTTCCTATCGAAGCGACCGGGTCTTGTCAATGCCTTATCCAGCAATTGAGGATAATTGGTGGCCGCAAGGACAATCACGCCACTGGTCTGAGAAAACCCGTCCAGTTCAGTGAGCAGTTGGTTCAACGTCTGCTTTACATAGGCCGCGTCCCGTTCGTTTCGCTTAGCACCTATAGCGTCCAGTTCATCGATGAAGATGATGGCTGGTGACTTGGCACGGGCTTGGGTGAAGAGATCACGCACACGTTTGGCACCAACGCCCACGTATACTTCATCGAATTCAGAACCGGACATGTAGAAGAATGGCACGCCAGCTTCCCCAGCGACAGCACGAGCAAGCAATGTTTTTCCGGTACCAGGAGGTCCGACCAGAAGCACACCTTTGGGCAATTTGCCACCGAGTGCCGAGAACCGTTCTGGGTTCAGCAGAAACTCGACGACTTCCTGGAGTTCATCCTTGGCTTCGTCGCATCCGTGCACGTCGCTGAAGCGGACCTTTTGCTGCTGAGGCTGTGCCTCGTTGTTCTGCGGACCCCTGATGTTCTTCAAGACACCGGTGGTTTCGACGAGGATAGTTACCAAAACGAGAGATATGTACGTGAAAAAGCCAAAGTAGAGTAGGAACTTCACCCATCGGAAAACGGAGCTTCCAAGAGACTCCTCGACGACCACGTACAAGGGCGCTTCTTTAGCACCGGTACCGTTGTGTTTCGTAGAAACTCCGACTTGACCACCGTAGTTGCGAGCCGAAACAGCTTGGCCAATGGCCTGTAGTTGTTCAGGAGTAAGATTTTGATTTGCCTGTCCTGGGATCGGTGCCGCAGAATCGATGCTTCCTAGACGCTGAAGAGCTCTCTGATAGAGTGCTTCGGTCGTTGCATTGGTAGCGAAAGCGCCATTCCGATACCGTTCGATAACAATCGAGGGCATATTGGCCCGAAGCAAAGCCTGATAGAAAGCATTCTGAGCGTTGGCACTACTTGGGTTGTTATTTGCCGTCTTTTCCTTCTGAGCCAGCAAGTTCTGCGCCGATCCTCCAAATAGAAACCTCTGTTGTTGTAATTTCGAAAGTCCGTTGATTCCGGGTGCCTGGCGAAGGTAATTCAAACCAAGAGCGGATAGAGTAGAATTTGGCCGAGAAGACTGGGAGACATTACCAAAACTCCGTGTAAATATCGACCGTGTAAATATCGAGGGGGCTGTCGACGTGATCCACGAAGGTTTACCTAAGCCTATTCGATTAACAAGGGATGTTAGATTCCATTCGTTCTCCTTTTCAAATAAATGCACCGGGAAATCCATACCTGCGCGAAATAGCGAACTTGTCAATCCGTACTTTGGAGGCCTGCAGATAGCGTCTGCCTTCAAAGCTTCAAGAGAAACGGCGTCGAGATAGTCCGGTAGAGACAAACGTTCAGGTGCCTAATTCCATCAGCATTATTATCCCGCAGGCTCAAAACAATACAGGGGAAAAGGCCGTACCGTCTTTACGACTCGACTCTGGGAATCATGGTGAATGGACCGTCTCGAAAGATCGGGCCCGATACGTTTCCACGGAGCATTTAAGATGGTGGATATAGATGGCAAGACATCGGACGTTACGCAAACGAGATTCTAATAAATTAATTCACAGTTAGTAAGCGATCAGGCATACAAAGATAGAATGAAGCGTTCCATACCGGCCGGGGAAGTGGTGCTTGAAAGGCCATGACTGTCTCGAGTAAAGCGGCGCTCGGCCGCGCGACAAAGTGAAATGTCCTCCTTGAGGAGAAATAAAGAGGGAAAACCGAAAGATACGTTCAGTCTTGAGTGAAAGAATGAGCCATGGCTACAGCCACGAGGGACGATGAGGACAGGAGGGAGCCGCAAGTGGGAGCGTTGACGATGATGTCTTGTCCGGCGTCGGCCTTTCTTGAAGCGGCGAAACTCACCGCGTCGCCACATGTCACATGACTAATGCCTGAGGCAGACACATGGATGATTCTGTTTACTTCGATTCTGTACTCTTGCATTGCGCCGTAACAATTAATATCGTCTTTGGTTAAATACATCCAAAAAAGATCGTTCAGATTGCTTGTGCATCTTTGGCATTGCATCCGTACACTCCATCGCAGGCAATGCATGGGTTCAGTCTTGGCATCAGAAGACAGGCATAGCCTCTACTCCAGGCAAAAGGCCCGGCTGCTTGGGTGTCTTTTTGCTTCATTAGCTATTAAACAGTAACATTGCTGTCTATCCGTTCTGAATATGCCAAATAAGATTATTTTCCTCACAGGAGCCCCGATGTTGCAAAGCCTGCGCTGGGACGAAGACGAGCTGCTCGACAAACCTGTGCCTCCGTTTTATACCGAGGAGGATGCCAGGGAGCAAAAGAAACCGCCATTAGCCTTCCCGGGTTCTCTTCGAGTCAAATGGAGGCTTTTGCAGGGACAGACGGCGCCGGAACAAAGTTGGGACTACCCCCCAGGATATAGCCAGGATACGCCCCTCTTTACAATGAAAGATCCGGCGGCCAACGACATGTCTCTAGTCACTTCTACGCAGAAGACTAATGATTCAGGTCTCTCACAATTCTACGATCACTCCTTTGCCATTCATGAGTCTTCGACGATACTGAATTCCCAGCCTCTTCGGGGGGACTCGTTCCGAGCAAGCAGGTCATGGGCAGACAACACGGGGATAGACAGTTCTGGGATTTCCATAGAAACGGACAGCGATGAAGGCACGTCATGCTCTAGTCTCCTTTCAATGCAAGGACTCATTAGCGATCTTGAGGAAATTCCAAGCGCCGGCTACCTGCGATCGATAGTGCCGCAGACGATGACTGTGAATTTCATAGTAGGCGTGCTTGCTGTGCATCCACCTCGACATGTGGTGACCCGGCAATGGAAAAGAGAGCTGACCATCGTCGAACTTGTGGTGGGCGACGAGACGAAGACTGGGTTTGGGGTTACATTCTGGCTTCCTTCTGCAAATGGTGATGATGACGGCCTTGGCAAGACACTTTCTGCGCTTCGGCCACGGGATATTATCCTGCTTCGAACCGTGGCACTGAGCTCGTTCCGAGAACGTGTATACGGACAGAGTCTGAGGAAAGGGACTACCAAGGTCGACCTCTTACACCGTCAGCCTGTCGACTCGACGGATGCAGTCGGTATCTACGGCCTAAGGGCCATCAACAATGACATTGCAACGAAGGATGACTTGCTGCTGGCGAAGGTGCGCAAGGTGCGGGAGTGGATCCTGCGATTCGTGGGGTATCCGGCGGATCGAGTGCATCGACAGGCAGATCAGATGCTGCCCCCGGATACGCAATAAACGGAAACGGATTGGCATATATTATGGAATATGGATACGAATGGATGTACAGCGCCGAGTCGGCGGCTCTCTACAAGAAGATAGCCAGGGCGTTCTTGAACGGATTTCACTCTTTGCTACTCCTTATTTAGCCAACGGGAAGGCCGCGGCCGGATGGGATGCCGATCTCCTGATGAAAGTTAAAAACTCGAAGGTTCGAATCGATCTTGTGACTGATTCAGCGAGCAAGAGTTGAGGACCAGACACAGGACAAGGATTGCTGCGTGGCCACAGCACAGCCCTTTTAGAACTCGGCTCGGCGTGGGCTCACGTCAAACCAATGATATATCCAGGGCCGGCGCGTGAACCCTGGAAGGATGAAGTACGGGTAATACCGACGTCTGGAAGAGCGTGGGAAGCAGAAGGAAAGGGGCAAGCTGACGAAGAGAGCGCGAGACGCGGCAACAAGACCGCGGTTAAGACATTTGACTCCGCAAAGCAAGGAAGCCAGGTGTTAAGAAATAAGATTAGGGGATGATACAGGGATGCTGATATTATTATTAGACAGGCATTAATTAATGATAATTATAATTAGAGCCACCGTGTGGCCCACCAAGCATCCCGTCGTACGCTGGACGCTGTCACAGCGCAGTTCCATAATAAAATAGTAAAATAATCCAACCCCTTGTGGCGCGACCTTCATCAACGGACAATTGTTCACTTGACGGTGTCGACGTCGCGGCTCAAGTGCTTTCTCTCCTGGCTTCTCTCCCTCTCTCTCCCTCTCTCATCCTTCTTCCCTCCTCGATCCCTGGTCGACTCCCTCGGAACAACGTCAGCTCTGTCCCGTCTCCCTCCATCTGTCCTCTTCTTCGAGTGCTACGATAATTCGCTTCCTGTTCGTCTCTCCTGAGTTTGTATTCCCGCGCGGCCATCAATTGATTTCATTGATTCATTTTCTCTCTGTCAACATTCTCTACGCTGCGTCCTGTCTGCTGTCGTCCTTCACTTCAATTAAACCCCTCCATCTACTGGCGGGAGCTCCTTCAAACCACTTTATGCTAATCATCTTCTCTTTCCGCAGAAACCATGAAGGGTATGCATGCTATGCTCTACTTCCCTTATCACGTCCCCGCAATCTAACGTCGTACAGCTCTTATCCTTGTCGGAGGATTTGGTACCCGTCTGCGGCCATTGGTATGTGCACCCCTCCTTGCTAGTCCGTTCCCCCAATGATTATATTTTTTTTTAACTAATGTGTCTTGCTTCTGCACAGACGCTGACTCTCCCTAAACCTCTTGTCGAATTTGGAAACCGGCCCATGATCCTACATCAGGTGGAGAGCTTGGCTGCTGCGGGTGTTACGGACATCGTGTTGGCCGTCAACTATCGTCCAGATGTTATGGTCTCCGCCCTTAAGAAGGTAGCATTCAGGATTTCTGGATTGGCAATGAGCGCATAATGACTAACACAATGTCCATCGCACTTAGTACGAAGAACAATACAACGTCAGGATCGAGTTTTCCGTCGAGTCCGAACCCCTCGGGACAGCTGGCCCCTTGAAACTAGCAGAGAAGATCCTGGGCAAAGACGACTCTCCATTCTTCGTGCTCAACTCGGATATCATCTGCGACTATCCATTCAAGGAACTCGCGGAATTCCACAAGGCACACGGCGACGAGGGTACCATTGTCGTCACAAAGGTAGACGAACCGTCCAAGTACGGCGTCGTCGTGCACAAGCCGAACCACCCGTCGCGCATCGACCGCTTCGTGGAAAAACCCGTCGAGTTCGTCGGCAACCGCATTAACGCCGGCATCTACATCCTGAACCCGAGTGTCCTGAACCGCATCGAATTGCGACCGACCTCCATTGAACAAGAGACTTTCCCCTCCATCTGCAAGGATGGCCAACTTCACTCCTTCGACCTGGAAGGCTTCTGGATGGACGTCGGCCAACCCAAGGACTTCCTCACGGGAACCTGCCTCTACCTCACGTCTCTCGCGAAACGGAACTCCAAGCTGCTGGCCCCCAACTCTGAACCCTACGTGTACGGCGGAAATGTCATGGTAGATCCCTCCGCCAAGATCGGGAAGCACTGTCGTATTGGGCCGAACGTCGTTATCGGCCCCAATGTTGTTATCGGTGATGGCGTCCGTCTCCAACGCTGCGTCCTTTTGGAGAATAGCAAGGTTAAGGACCACGCATGGGTCAAGTCGACTATCGTCGGTTGGAATAGCTCCGTCGGCAGATGGGCTCGACTTGAAAATGTCACTGTCCTGGGCGACGATGTCACAATTGCCGATGAAGTCTACGTGAATGGTGGCTCCGTTCTACCTCATAAGAGCATCAAGCAAAATGTTGATGGTGAGTTGAAGTTCAACCATTGAAATATCTTAATTGAGTCTTTACTGACAATCCATAGTACCGGCGATTATTATGTAATTCTGTTTCTTGTTAATTTTTTTCTTTTTCTTCTTCTTTTTGTCGCCTCTTTTTTCCTCTACTTTTAATGTCGACATGTCTTTGAGTACTGGGTTTATACCTCTTTTTTTCTCTCTTCCCCCTTCAAAGCTGCTAGATGCATAAAATCGGAGTCCATGTTGTGTATGATCTTTTTCCCTTGATGCCTTTCAAGTTGAGCTGAGTTGGTTCAATTGGTTCCAAGTTCCAACACAAACCCATTAGAAAAAGAAAAAAAAAAAAGCTTTACCAGCTCTAATAATAATCTTAGTTTGGCCATATTTTCTGGGAGAAGGCAGGGCTATGTGAAAGAGAGAGAAATGAATGAAGAAATAAATAGAAAATCAATCAAATGAACCGAATTGATCGAACAAAAAGTGATGTTTCTGTGTATGGATATCTCGATATTAGTATCATTATATACTGTAGCTTCAAGGTCCAGGGGCTTTGAATGTAGTAACACTGGTGGATGAAATGCATCCATAAAAAAGAAAGAGAAGCAGAAACATCAACAGGATGGATATCAAACACCAGCCCGATCCAAAATACCATCCCACAAAATCCTCAACTCTTCCATCTGCATCCAGCATAACCGACCCAACTCCACAAATCTCTCCTTTTCCTCAACCGTCAAATCCTTAGTACCCCTTTTCCTCCGCCGGGCCCGATCCGCCTCGACAATAGCAGGTCCCACGACCCCACCGTGTCCCCAGCCGTCGATCTCGGTGCTAGCGGGCTGTCCTCGACCAAACCGATCGCAGGACGAGCCCCATTTTACGCGTCCACCGTCGTTGCGCGCGTAGGGAGACTCGGCGTCATCCAGGTCCGTTTGGGAGGATAGAGCGAGCCAGACCGGAGCCGAGGCGCCCAGGTACGTGGAGAGAGTGTGCCAGGGGGATCCGAGGAAGCGGGCCATCCAGAAGGCGCAGATCATCAGGTAGAAAAGGGGGAGAGAGAGGGGGAGGATGCCCGTACCACAGATACCGGGGTGGGAGAGGTACATGGTTGGATTTTCATGTTCTTCATCTTTCTTGTCCTGGTCACCGGTAGTAGAGTAAAAGCTATTAACCCAGGGTGCCGTACTAGGGAGGTTGGACGTCAGGGCCAGAATATCCGTCAATGCCTTGGAGGATTCGTACGGCGTCTCGGACCGTAGACCCTGGATATCATTTACATCGAACAGGGAAGTGGTAGCTTCGAGACTAGAAACCCATATAATCCTCCCGGGAACACCATCTCTCGACAACGATGACGACGACCGCTTCAAAAGCGGAACCACATTATGCGCAAGCATATAGTGACCGAAGACATTTGCGCAGAAAATAGCACCTAGTCTCGGCTCTTCCTCTGACATTTTCTCCGCCGGAATCTGTAGCGGATTAAGCACCCCAACCTGACCAAGCTTATACGAAGGCCACGACACCTGATGGACAAGATCAGTCGTGACGCCCCATACTGCGCGGGGCCAGTCGATACCCGTCCACCCGCCTAGACCGGCATTGAGTATAATAGCATCGAGCTTGGGAATCGTCCGGAGAAGTCTTCGAGACAGCGCACGAACGGAGACAAGATTGGACAGGTCGACATTCTCCGAGACGAAGGTCACCCGGGACAGCGACTGTGGGTCAGAGGAACAGCATTGTGTAAGATGTGCCGATAGCCGCGCGAGAGTGTCGTTGCCCTTTCTCGTGCTTCTTGTCGTGAATATCACCGTCAGGCCCTGCGATTGGGGCCGGTTCTTGTTCTGGAGGAATTCGTCAATGAGGCGACAACATATCGAATAGCCTAGACCGCTAGGTAGGTAGATACAGCGGTTAGCAAGTTCTTTCGTTCAATTCGTTCAGTTAAAAAGGGGAAGGGACTTACCTATTGGCACCGGTAACGAGGACGAAGACTCTATCTTTCAACCCCGGGGGAGAGTTGCTGGCAGTCATCCTCTCGACTGGAAGGTTTCCGCTTGACGTGCTGGTAGATGGTTGATCTGCTCGTCCCGGCGGAGAGCAGGTGACAACGGCTCATGTGACGTGGTCTTTGCCCGAAAGGGAAAACCCGTCCTGCATCCATGGATGGCCTCTAGCAGTCTTAATTGGGATTTCGGATCGACCTGCAGGAAATAAACCTTGTTCAAACTCGATAATCGTCTCCGCCATTGATCTCACCCTCAAGGTAGATCGTTATGTTTCCGGTTGACCGATGGTTTACCGACGATTTACCGAGCAAATGCCTTACCATGCTTGCGAGTTACCACGCCGTTACACTAACCGATGGCATAAAAATAACTAACGGTTATCCAATGGTATCCAAAGTATCCAGACACGTTGAAAAACAGCCTGAGCCCGTACAAAACAAAAGAAACACACATAATGGATATTCACAAGGTAACGCCTCTTCATGGCTATCTTTTCAAACAGACAGGTATAAAATGAGGAAGAAAATATATAAAGGAAGGAAATGAGGGGAGCATGGGACATGGGGAAGCCGCAAGAAACAACCAAAGGATCGTAAAAGACGGTCATGAGGCATCGCATGGGAATATATGGAGGTAGAGGTCAGAGACATGAGGCGTCTGTAGGAAAAAAGAAAATGCAAGGAAGCTTCAAACTCGTCATCATCCCTGTGGCAATCGCGCTCGCCCTCTCTCCCTCGTAACCTCACGGAGGGAGGTCAAATATAGACAAGTCGGCATCGTATCTCATTCACTGTATATGGGGGGTTCGGGCTGGTGGAAGCCGGGTTCTCAACCAACACCAAGGAATCCCCAGTCGGTTCCTTCGTGCGGGTTGAGAACCCGAGGTGCCACAGCCGGCTTATATTCAACGTCACCGTAGGAGACCATGATGGGAAGTCCGGTAGTCATTGCATGGGTTGTGAACGGTGGTTGATGGAATTCCGGGGGGATATATTCCTGATTGTTCTGGTCGTATCGTCGCATGAACTGCATGTACTGTTGCGCATGCTGCACTTCCACAGATGAAGTGACGGGGGGATTCTGAGGGACGATGGATTGATGGTTTTGCTGGGGAACATGGGTCATTTGAAGATTAGGCTGCGGATAGAATTCATGGGTTGGCGTAGTGGGTTGCGGATGGTAGAAGGGCTGTTGCTGCACTTGAACCAGGTACTGGTGGTGCTGCGGTGGTTGGGTGTGTTGTTCATTGGGCATTGAAACTGAAATTGGCGCGTGGTACGAGTGTTCGGACAGACCATCGTCGGATGACGGTCGGGTCACCGTCCCCGCGTGATGGGAACGATGTTGGTGCTTGGTCAGGGTTGTCTTCCTGCAGAAACTGTACGCAAAGAAAAATCAGAAAAAGAGGGAAATGGAGACTGATTCGATGTGAAGCCAATGCTTACCTCCGATCACAAGCTGGTTCCTGGCAAATGTAGGGTCGCTTTCCCGTATGAATCCTCCGATGACGAGCCAGGCTCGAAGACTTGTGGCAGAGCGGTTAGTAACAGCCAGGCTACATTGCGATAGACATCCACTTACATCAGAGAAGGCTTTCTTGCAACCTTCATGATCGCAGACATGAGGCTTTTCACCCGTGTGGGTCCGCGAATGGACAGTCAACGCACTGCGTTGGATAAAACTCTTATTGCAGTCCTTTACGGTGCAATGATACGGGCGTTCATTGGTGTGTATTCGGTAGTGTCTGCAGAGATCTGACTTGCGGTTGAAGGACTGCGACGGAGGCGGCTGATCAGCTATCTGTTCATTTCATATATCCATGACCCAGTTTCGTGACGACGCTTACCTTGCCGCATTGCTCCCAAGTACAGACGAACTCGCGACCTGCGCCAGGCGCCATGGTCGGAACCGTCAGAGCAAAGGAACAAGGAAAAGGGAAGAGAAAAAGAAACGAGGGGAATCGGGAGGATGGTTGAACAGGACGAGATGGGCGATAAGTAGCAAGCAGGGTGGGGATGATAGTTGCTTCTAGCAGAGGACTAGTGCGGATCGAAGGAAAGCCGCAAGGCAAGGGATAGGAGGAGATCTAATGCCGCAGCAACAACAACGAACAGCAACAACACTACTGTAGCACAAGAAGAAGGAGGAGCAGAAAGATCGAGGGCGAATGGCAAGATATATATCGTAGACAGGCCAGTCAAGGGCGGGTGAAAACAAAAGGACCAAAGAACCAGGCGATCGCCGAAGTCAAAAAACGGCTGGGCGTTATGGAGGGAAGCGAGGGGGCATGAAACAGGTGCGAAGGATAACCACCATAATAATAGCGTCGAGCTAATTATGTATATATTTTTTTTTCATATTTTTAGTTTCATTATTAACATGACAGGAGAAGAGGGAGGGGGAGAGAGAGAGGAGAGAAACGAAGGACAAAAAAAGAAGCGGATTAGCACTGTAATTTAAGCCGGAGGAAGGAAATAAACAGAATCCTGGTCGACAGGAAAATAGCTGCAAGCAGATGCAGCAATTAGCGTGTCTAGCATATACGAGTAAATAAGTAGAGCAGAAGATCTGTCTATCAAGTACATGCAGCAAGCATGGGGAAAGCAGAGCTCCGAGAATAACACCGTCATTCCACTGTACGTACAACTGCTGCGCCGCGCTCGAATCAGAGACCACGCTGTTCGCAGCCTGCTCCATCGTCCCCAGACTTTTGTTGGAGATGGCGTCTAATCAAGTAATTAAACCATCGCATCTGGGACCTGGGGAAAGCAACGAACAGTCATCATATCGGGAAGCTTTCTCCACGGACACGGGACTGTCAGCCAAGTTTCTGGCGAGTAATAAGAAATGTCTTTTTTTTTCTGGGCATCAATAAATACTATGTAGAGAATAGATCAACCTTGGGGAAGGAGAAAGGGGAACGCGGAGAGGCGGGGAACAAGACATTACTAGCGGTATGGTACTACTATGATCACGATTCCCGAAGCGGCAAGCGTCAATCACGGGGTCCTCCATGGGCCGGTAATGGAGGTGTATTGTTGGTTGGTTACTAGCTAGATAGGCCTACGTGGTGAAAAGGGTCAGCGAGGGCGGACCTATGCGGCAGAATCCCACGTGATCCAACACCCCCCCACGCACGAGCTGGCCTAAAGACTAATCTAAAGAATTTAAATACAAAAATCGGCCTCTATTCAGGCCTCCAAATGAGAGAGTAAAAGCAAAATTAAGCAGAGAAGTGAGAGGTTCCGCTTTGGCCAATCAGAAGCCGTAAATCAGAATAGAAAGTATAACCAAAATGGGGGAACAAGCGCCGCTTAATGTATGCCGGTGAGTTCCAGGAAATGATTGAATCGTTCAGTTTGGAGAGGTTTTGTCAGGCCATCTGCTGCCTGTTCTTTGGTAGGGCAGGTCTGAAGTTTAACAATGCCGTCTCGGACCTTCTCCCGAACGTAATGGTAGCGTATGTCAATGTGTTTGGATCTCTTGGTGGTGAGCTCGGCTTCAGCCATGGCGTGGGCACCTTGATTATCGATATGAAGAGATATTGGTGGGCATTCAGTTGGGAGCACATTAAGCTCGTTGATGAGATTCCGGAGCCAGAGGGCATCACGGCTGGCTTCGCTTAGAGCCATATACTCAGCTTCGTTGGAGCTAAGGGCAACGGATGTTTGCTTGCGGCTTTTCCAGGCAATTGGGGCTCCGGCAAGCAGAAAGATGTATCCAGAAACTGACCGGCGGTTGCCTGTCAGTTGGCCACCCCAATCAGAGTCGGTATAACATTTTGGCATGAGGAGGTCAGATGTAATGGACTCCGTGGGTTTATGATAGGTAATTTGCCGATTGATGGAGCCTTTAAGATAGCGTATGGCGTGTATAAGGGCACGCCATGCTTTTTGGGTGGGTTTGGCGTTATATTGGGATAGTATGCCAACCGTCTGGCTAAGATCTGGCCGGGTTTTGGTGGCTAGCCAGGTAAGGCAGCCTACACCACGTTGATATTCTTTGGTGTTGACTGTAGGGTCTGGTTCATCATCAATTATTAGGCTAGGATCCATTGGAATCCTAACAGGATGTGCTTGGGCTTGACCAAAAGAGGCAACAACATCTTCAGTGTAGTCGGCTTGAGATAAAGAAGATGAAGTCTCAGACTGGGAGATGGTCATGCCAAGGTATTTGGTAGAGTTTCCAACTTCTTTTATGTCAAATTTGGCGGAGAGAGTCTCCATAAACCAGATGGCATCATTTTCATGTTTAGCATAGACTTTGAAGTCATCCACATGGGTGGTCACATAGAGTTGGGTCCGGGTAGTGTGGATCCATAGACCAGAGTCATATTCAGAGCATTTGAAGCTGATTTGGCGTAGAAAAGCACCCAGAGTATCATACCAGATGCGGGCAGATGGGACCAATCCATAGAGGGATTGAAGGAGTTCACAGACAAGATCTCCAGAACCTTCTTTGAATCCCTGAACTTGGGTCATAAAGACACGTTTGTCCGTGGGCATTTTCCCATTTAGGAAAGCAAGGGTGGCATCAGCTTTTCGGGTATGCCAGCCAAGCAGGGTGGCCAGTGCCGTGAGGGTTCTGGTAGTATTTTCATTTACCACTGGTGCGTAGGATTCCATGAAGTCTTTATCAAGTAGATTGCCACGAATGACCCAGCGGGCTTTAGCCTGATAATCCTCTGAGATAGGTATGCCGGGGATTTCTTTCTTTTGTATACCCACCGGCCAGGGATGACTTTGGCCCCTGGTGGTAGGTCAGAACGGCGAATGAGTTGCCAGCAGCCTTTCTCTTTGAGTTGGTTGACTTCCTTTTGCATGGCAGCTTGCCATTTAGCAGCATCAGGATGGGATATGGCCTGCTTATAAGAAGTAGGCGTGTTGTCTTCTGATGAAGGAATGGTTGAAGTGGCAAAGTAAGCTAGGGACATGCCTTTGGCAGGTCGGAGCCATATATCTTGGTCATTGAGAGGTTCATCTTCAACTAATTGAGTTGGGTTTTCTTCGGTAGGGGTGCTGGGACCTTTGGGAGTGGTAGTTGTAGGATCTTTGTAATCCTCATCAAATATAACATCATTGGTGACAAAGACGGTGTCAGTTTTAGGGTCCCAAACACGATATTGATGGCTACTAATTTGGCCAATGAGGAAACAGCAGTGAGAACGTGAATCAAGCTTATTTCCAGGTTTATCTGGTCCATGCCGATGGACCCAGGCTGGACACCCCCAACGGCGATATCCGGGGAGTGAAGAAATGGATGAATTAGTCCACGCTGCCAACGGAGCGCGATAAGGGCTGGGGTGTATGTCCTTGTTGATATTCACCCCCCAGGAATTTGGGAATTGTATAAGATGGTAGATGTAGGGAGCCGATTTGTAAGATCTGTGGCATATTGGAGAGCATCTACCCAAAAGCGTTCTGGTATATATGGGGCATCAAGCATCATAGCTCGGGCCCGTTCAAAAGGATCCGGATGCCACGTTCACTAACGGCATTTTGCCATGGTGAATATGGCGAGCTTGGTTGCCATTCTATGCCTTCCTGACGGTAGGTTTCCATCCATTCAGTGGAGCGGAATTCATTATCAGAGACTAGGTAGGCAGGAGCAGTGAAGCCATGGTTCTTCATATTTTGAAGCCAGTTCTTGAAGGCGGTAATGGCTGCACTTTTTGTCTCAAGGAAGAGGATCCATCGATAATGTGTGGCATCGTCGGTAATAAGTAAGACATATTTTGCCCCAATTCGGCCAGTGACAACATCATTAGGGTTGTCAAAATCAAGAGTTTGTCCACCGCCGGCGATATCTAGATGGACTCGGGCAAGGGGTTTGGTAACTCTGGACCTAGGGACCTTGCTATAATAGCGTGTCTGTCTAGCCTGTATACAGACTTCACAAAATGGGAGTTCTTTAGAGCCTTTGATTTCGATGCAAGACTCAGGATCTCGGGCGAGGCGGAGGAGATCGGCTTGATTGAGATGGCATAGGCGTCGGTGCCAGGCCATGATAGGTAGGGATATCTTAGTAGTTCGCGGCTTCCCTAGAACCGGGGTCTCTTTTGGAGTAGGAGCCTCAGCTGGTGTCTTAATTGTGGGAGCCTTTGCAGGTGGCTCTTCTGGGCGGTTAACTTCTTTGCCAGACCGGGTGGTGACAAAGGCATAGGAATTTTCTTCTTCTCCAGGAGATAGACAGTCTTCAAGGAGGTAAACATTGTTTTTGAACAATCGGGCTTGGAATTCAGCTCCAGATGGTGTGGTAATCAGCTTGACTTCACAATCTAGTGTATATTGAAGCCTAAAGCCTTGTCGTACAAGCATGCCTTCTGAAATGAGGTTGGAAGTAAAGGAAGGAACATGGCGGACATCTCTTAGGATCAGAGATCCGTAACCAATATCTATAATCACGGTGCCAATGCCTTGAGGCATAGAGATATGGCCTTGAGCACCTTCCATATAATCTGTCTCCACCAGATCATGCTTCTGCAAGGCCTTATAGGTTGCAAAAAGTGAACGGTCAGGTGTAGAATGGAAAGAGGCACAGCTGTCAACAAACCATTGATTGGAAAATGAGAGAGTCTTTGCAGACTTCACAATGGCAGATTTGGCATTGGAGAGTTTCTTATGCAAGACAAGTTCCTGTGAAGCAGGGTGATCCTGGTTTGATTGTGGGTTTGCTTCAGATTGTTGCTGAACACGGAGAGCATTAGCCATAGTAGTATAGAACTTGCGTCTATACTCTGGTGCTTTCTCAGGATGTTTAAAATAGCATATAAGTCCATGGCGATTTCCGCAGTGATCACAGTCTATAAGTGTATGACGAGATCTATCTTGGTTATTGGAACGTTGAGGAATTGTGTATTTGGTTCCAGATGCTTGTTTTGAATAACTGCGGTTCTGGGAGTTCTCTTTCTGTTGGTTTGACCGGTCTTGAGAATGAGTATCACGGAATTTAGTGCCGGTTCGAGTAGATAATTGGGTCTGGATAACCTTAAGATCCAGGTTGGTAACCGGAGCACGGCCAGTAGAGTAGACATCATCTAGTTTACTCTTGATAAAGGCGCGGTTCCAGTCCCGGAGACCTATAAAGAAGAGGTCATGTTTGAGATTTTCAAGAGATTCTTCTCCAATAGCGTGTAGGCGGTCAAAGATTCGATTAAAGGATGACTGGTAGGTGAGATAATCGTTATCCTTTATATAGAGCTCTTTGAGCTCCATGGTAAGGGCCATTCGCTCTTCACCGGTGGATTTGCCAAAAAGTGTGGCAGCTCGGTCCCAAAGACCATGGGCAGAGAGGTCATATACGGTGCCTAGTTTATCGGAAGCAGGGGTTGTCATGGCATTGAGCATACGGGCTCTCATGACAATGGCTTTTCTGTGCCAAACTGCAGCATCAAGTGGAGATGATCCAGCAGGAGGAGAGTCCTGGTGAAGAGTTGTAATAGCATTGAGAATACCAGCTTCTTTTTGTATGGCAGAGCTCCATGCATCGTAATTATCCAGTGTCAAGATGACACGGCATCGGTCAGGCAGTAGCGTATCGACATCGGCTTGGACAAGGGCAATAGCATTGCTGATATTTGTGTCTGAGGCATCACGCAGAGGCGGTTGGATATCCATTGGTGTAGTATCTTGGGTTGTATTTGAAGGCAAGGAAGCTTGTGGAGTATTAGACTGGATGATAGATGCCAGTTTTAGCTCCATTCTAGCTTCACGGTCTCGCATATCTTGTTCCATCTGATTCTGGCGAGCAAGCATTTGTCGCATCATATCAGCAAGATCAGGGGTAAGTTCGTTTGTGGAAGCCATGTTGGCGGTATTGGTAGAGCTCAGATTGGCTCCGGAAGGCGTTGGGGTCTCTATCTCTTCAGAGACAACTGATGAGGAGGTCTCGTCTATATTCGAGGACCTGTTTTGGAGATTTCGGCGACGTGATCGTCGTATAGCAGTAGCGGGAGGCGTAGTAGGTTCTCCTGACATGCTCAGGTTCGGACCGTATCTGGGATCCTGGAATTTTTGGAATCTGGGGTATGGAATTTTGGTTCAGCCAATCAGAGGGCTTAAATTGACCACTTATACGGGCCTAAAATAGCTCATATTTCCGAGCAAGAAACGGGCTCATAACCTAATGGAGGTGTATTGTTGGTTGGTTACTAGCTAGATAGGCCTACGTGGTGAAAAGGGTCAGCGAGGGCGGACCTATGCGGCAGAATCCCACGTGATCCAACAGCCGGTAGCGGGACACAGCCTGCCGACGCTGGCCTGTGATTTGTCAGTATGTGCTGACCAGGTCTGGGCCGGTGTGGGGTTCCTAGCGTGGATCCCTTGACTGTCACCGGGGCCTGCTGTTTGCAGACTAGCGTTTTTTTAGCACCATCCCATGACAACTTAGCATGACTGTATACGGTGTACATGCTTCTTGTCCAAGCAGCAGATAATCATAATCATACCTAAATCATAAGAATCACTTAAGGTTCGCAGCACCAATCCATCCCGAATCTACCGTTGTTGCGGTGTCCAGCCATGTTGAATGGCCCGACGGGAGACTCCTGAAGCTATCAGCTAACCTGGATGGGGACTTGGCAACGTTAGTGTGGTCACTTAGGATTGGTGCTACCAGGGATGCTTGGCGCCTAAAAGTTACTAGGAGATACTTGAGTAGTAAGTACAAAGTACAGCGAACAGAGTACCCAGCTACGCAGCTACGGCATACAGCATACAGCGTATAGAGTACAGGTACACTATACCTAAGTAACTGGACATAAAAAGCAAAGTGAAAACTACAACCAGAATCCAGGATCTGCCGCTAAAACCTGGAGTGCATGTTGGCCGTGGACACTGGACAGTAACCAGTAACAGTATACCGTGTCTAACCTTTTCGCTTTCCCAAGCTCCCAGTCCACGGCTTGGCGTTGTGATTACCTTACCCCGCATTCAGTTACAGTAAGTATGGAGTAATGTATGTATCGATGTCCACCTGCCTTACTTGTGAAGGCACCGATGCCAATTGCTTCTGCCATGTTTTGCCGCGGTTGTACTTCTTGCAGTCTCCGTCCCGAATTATCTGGAGTACCCGCAAGTCATTTTAATTATATTGCATCTGAATTCGAAGAAATTTCTTTCTATCTTTCTTTCTTTCTTTCCTTCCTCATTCTAGAACTATATTAGATTGCGGCAAAGTAAAAATTAATAATGCTGTTCACGCCGTCACGGTCAGCTACATATTTACATCACAGATCGGAAGATAATACGGATTTATCTTCCGTGTCGATCGACTCAAGTATGAGTAATTAAAGAGATCGAACAGGAGAACCCAGGCTGCATGAGGCGTGGACACTCTCTCCCCACTTCGATCGATGCACTTCCGACTCAAGTCGCCCAGTCGGAACATTTTCAGTGGGACATGACTGGAATTTCAGGCTACTATAGCTCGACGAGTTCCTAGGCTTCGCTTCCTCTCTCTCTCTCTCTCTCTCTCTCTTCCTTGAAAGTTGAAAGAGAACTGGGTTATCTAGGTAGGTAGGTAGAGTGTAGCTATGACGCCGCAAATCCCGCTCAAACCCCGAAGATTCAAAAGCTTGCGGCCACTGTTCTAGGCTATCTCCGTCAGGATCCATCTCATCGCAATGAGAAAACTGCTAGCAAGGCAATACTCCCCGCAACTTGAGTTCTCTTCTTTTAAAAGTCACTGTGAGGAAACTCCTATGGAAGGCTCACTTGGAAATCGAACGAGCCATTGTCGTCTGGTTCTGGTTCCTTAGGTGTCTATGCCCAGATAAGACACCATTTACCCAGCTACCACAATAATATTAGCCAAGTGAGACGAGAGATAAGCGTCACAGCTCATTGAAATTCCAATTCCTCGGAGTTGTGACAATCAGCCCTTTCTCTTCTTCTATTTTCCCAGTGAATTCACGATGATAGCAGTGTCGTTCCAACCTCCAGTCCGTTCCATGACTATTAGATTTTCGGTACAATATGCGCTCTCTCTCTCCCCTTCAGTGGGGTCAAGAGTAATTATTAGCCTAGACCATATTCACCACTTTGTGATGTCCTGTCTAGCCTTACGTGATGATTCATCCTCTACAATCCGATACCTGCGCCGCTTTCGGCCTCCGTTGTGTATGGTAATAATAGTTTAGTTTAATAGCGACTTAAGTTTTAACTATAGCCATCGCTAATTATCAGGTCGTAAATAAGACCATGAAACAAGCATGTGATGTAGAAAGATGGCCGTGAAGTTTCAACTCTACATACATGCAAATAACCTACCATTGACTGACATCCCACCGATCGACCGACGCAGTTCTGACTCGTCCAGTCGGAACTTTTTTTGTCTGTTGGAAAACAGACGGAAGAAAACCTTCTAAAATGCTCGAGCTTATTCCAAATCTTTTACCTTTGTACTAGGTAGCTAATCTATGCATCTATGTTATGTATGCATGCTGTACGGAGTAATGTGACTGGTCGACCACCACCGAATACAAAAAGAAAAAAATTACCTACCAACTGATCAACTTCCGTTCCCTGTCAAACCCTCCCCGCAGCTGAGTCCCCGGATTAACAACCTTCCCCTTCAAAATGGTAAACTTGACGATATTCTCACAGTCCTCCGGCCTCACCCTGGCAAGCCAGATGCCCTGTGCCGCACCTTCGTCCTTCTCCTCTGCCTCCTTTTCTCCTGCACCGTCTTTATACCATTCAAAGTTTCTCCGCCGGTACACGATCACGTTCGCCGCGTACTTGTGGCCCCCGACGTGGTTGATGAAGTAGATTCCCACGCCACCGGGTCGGTTATCTTCCAGATCACGCTGGAGGCCTAGTAGGCGGAGATGACGCTCGAACTCCCTGCGGAGTAAAGGGGCGGATTGTCCGCAGCGGGCATCGCGAGTGCGGTGTGAACAGAGAAGAATGATGGCCGCGTGCGGGCACGGACGCGAGCGGAGAGGTGTTAAGCTGGTGATGTCTAGTTGTTTCTCCCCTTCTGTCTCTGCACCACTGGTCTTACTAGACACTATCTGGGATCCCAGTGGGGTTGTAGTCGTCTGGGATGGGTCGACGAAGTACCGAATCAGATCCGGGACCAGCTGAGGCGTGACATGCTCGATGATTGTGAAACTGGGTAGGAGCAATACAGTCGTCGGCTGCTCCCCGACTGCATAACCATGGTATTCATCTGGAACGGGCATATTGGATGCAGACAATTTAAGTTTCTATAAAGGCAGGGGTGTCAGCTCTCTCGTTCAGTGTATGGGCCCTGAGGGGATGGAGATAGAAAATACCCCATTCGACGCTTGAAGCCCGCCTCTTTCAATAGCCTCCATTAAGCTTCCCTTCTCATCCGCAACATCCCTGACCCAATTCGTCTGCCCGGTTGCGACAATCAAATGTGTCGCCCATCCATCCACATTTCCATATATGTCATCCTTCGTCTCCACATCGAATTTTGCTGGATAGCGGATCGTACAGGATGCACAGTCATGGAGACATTCTTCGCCATCAATTGCAGGGTCAACCTTGGGAAATAGACCATCAGAGGAAGGGGCTTTTCTGAAGTTGTCAGAAGCTTCCTCATCGCCATTCGCTTCCGAAGGGGTAGGTGATTTAGAGCTGAAGAAAGAGACTCCACGGCGAAGGACCGACTGCATTTTCTACAATATCTCCCAGTATATTTGCCTATCTCTTTCTTTGCATTGATTTGGGCGTTGCGTGTGTGAGTAAAATGGGATTGTGCGATGGTCTAAAGGATGACGACTGGTATACGAGATCTGGATCTTATCAATCAACCATCAGGTGACCGCGGAACGGATTCCGAATAGCGTGCGTGGAGAAGATTCAATAATAATGCAAGCCTCATTGGTCTGGCAACTAAGATTGTATCTTTAGATACGAGGTTGAATGATTTGACCGACATCTTAAAGAAGGATCTAAGTCCGAACCGTGTTAAGACCTATTTGACCTAATGGACCGGCCATCAACATCTATAACGTAGGGTAAGTCGGACGGCCCATGCGTATCCACCAAACGAATGACACTCCCCCCAGAACTCGCTGACACGTTTGTCCGCACACGGCGAAGCGACTGTATCGAAGGAGTCCGAGGCACATTGGGCCTCCGCGCATGGCCATGGTCATGTGATGAGAATTGCATCCGGAGACTGTGCGCTGAAGGAACCGTGCGAACAGAGCGGTTCCCCGGCCACGTATTATCCATAGACGTAGTCGATCGTCGTAGACTATAACTGCGGCCCCGAGTAGGCGACGATTCGCTGTAGTCAACGGTATCAGTTTCTCCTTCCTCATCCGAAGGCCCAATGATAGACTCGCTGTCGGCCCGAGAGCTTCCTCGGATATCCTCAATCATCTCGGGACTAAGCGACTTCATTCCCCTCAGTATCTCCGCAAATACATGCATCAGATGACGAAATTCCGCCTCGTACAGTTCGCGCGACGAGAACCGCGCGAGTTCGTAGGTGGACAGAAACTCCTCCCCAAGCTCAGGCGGGCTGATCAAATCCAACGACATCAGACACTGTATATACCCACGCAAACCCATCGACGCAGAGCGCTGCAGCACCTCCACGACTCGCGTATCGGGGACGGGCTGCCCGAAACGATGCGGCAGGAGCGGGTCAGGAGGGGCAAGCGAGACGGCCTTCGCTTCAATCAGATGCGGCAACTCCTGTATGACAGTCCGATAGGGCAAGTCCGGTAAGTCGTGGGACGAAGGTGAGGACCATCCCGGATGCTCAACATGACCCCACGGTGGTCTTTCCCGATCCACCAGCAACGCCTTGTAATCGGCGAACTCTTCCTCCTCTTCATCGGAGATGTTCCGTGGCTTGGCCTGGTATGCAATGATGGCACTAGTTTCAAGACCCTCTGTTACCAGCCGCCTCACAGTCTTCCCGACATCTTCCTTCTCGACGGGGATCCATGGTTTGGGGATGCTCGCTAGGACGCTGCGGTTCGTGAGGATCCGGCTCGCGTAGATTAACAAGGCCAACAGGAAGGTGATGATATACGCTCCGGCGATGAAGAATATGTTGATCAGTCGGCGTGTTCTGTAGCATTGGTAGATTGCGTCGACGGGACTAATGATGATGAGGCAGAAGACGGCCACCAGCAGAATGAGGAAGGCCGTGGAATTGCCGATGATGTAGAGGTTCAGAGCCATCTCAGACGGCGCTTCATACTGCGCTGCACTGCAGTTGCCCTCGATCTTTCGGTTGCATGCCCATGAGAAAAGGGGTTGCGACTCAAAAAGCAGTAGCACTAGTTGCTGAACTGTCGAGCTGCCCTTGTTGCGACTGTCGACAGGATGTCATAATCACGTGATCAGATCAACTCCTAATCAGAGAAACTAGACTACAATGTCCGTTAAGAACCTTGGAAGTGGTATAATAGTTGAGACTCAAATGGAATAAACTAAATAGCTAAACCTCTACAATACCCTCGTGACCCAGTCTACCACGTTTATCTGAACTGAAAAGAAAAAATCCGCGCATTCATAACGCGTAGTCAGTTACGCAAACCCACGTTGAAAGAGAAACACCAAAAAAGGAAATGTTGTAGGTGGATAGACAAGAAAAAAAAGGGCGAAGAAGGAACATCTAGTCCTGAACAGCAACCTCATCTGCTGGCTCGCCCAGATCATCCACGGGCTCTCCCCGAGCACGGCGAACTACACGCTCAATTCCGTCCATACCCTTCTTCAGAACTTCCATCTTAGGACCGTAGCTGAGACGAACGAAATGATGGCAAGGACTATCGAAGAGGTCTCTCCGGTGGGCCGGGTTCAAGTCAAAGAAGATACCGGGGACGACAATGACCTTCTCGTGCAGCAGAGCGTTAAAGAAGTTCAGCCCATCAGAGATGTTGGCTTCGGCAGGAAGAGGTGGAGTGATGGATGTCAAGTCGAGCCAGATATAGAAGGTGGCCTGAGGAATGTCGTGGACGCGGAATCCTATGTCATAAAGGCGCTTCAAGACATAGTCTCTCTTCTCACGGAAGTGATGCTGCAGCGCCTTCATCTCCGCGCGTACAAGGGTTGGCTCAAGCATGGGAATGGCCGCTTCCTGGAAGGGGACATTGGCACCACCATCCAGATATGAACCGGCAGAGCCTAGAGCTTCGACGAACTCCTTCGGGCCGACAACCCAGGCAATACGCCAGCCGGGGAGACGGAAGCGCTTAGTAAGACCGTCGATCAATAGTACATCTGCCAGAGTTAGTATTCCGAGAAGTCGCCGGATTTTTTTCTTTCTTTTTTTAACTTTTCACTCATCATGAGGGGAGTGGTGGGGGAAGAAAAGCGAACCATCTTTGTTTACGTCAATTACGTTAGCAGCACCACTGATGGTCGTGCCATCACAGCCAGTGCTGTAGTTGTAGCCACCGTAGAACTCATCCAAGATCAGGGTTGCACGATCTCTGCAGATATCCTGGATCAGAGCGAGCTCGGAATTGGAGACGAAGTGGCCAGTTGGATTACGAGGGTTTGAAGTGAGGATGACAGAAGAACCACGGGCGATTTCCTCTGCGATCTTATCCGGATGAACATGGTAGTGGTCATCTTCGGAGAGGGGCATTGGAATGGGGGCGATCTACAAACGCAAGTCATCAGCAAACAGAAAAAAACCCACGTAAGAAAAAAGCAAGATGAAGCACGTCCTCACATTCTTGAATAGAGTTAACATCTCCGAGTACGCAGAGTAATCGGGAATGGGGAAAGAAAGATACGAGTTTCCAAGGATAGCGGCGATTCGAATCAAACCGGCTCTACCACCGGGAACGATGCAGACGTTTTCCCAGGTGTACTTGCTCTCTTTGCCCTTGCGATAATGCTCATTGTACAGGCGGGCGACAGCGGCACGAAGCGGCTTGATACCAGCGGTCGGGCCGTATTCTCTGGCAGCGGAAGTTATGGGGATGGCAGAGGGACGGGGGAAGCTGCCGGTGATCTCGTCGTCGGCCTCGGGGGCACCCTGACCCAGATTGGCCCAAGACTTCGGATCGTCGGCGTAGCCATGCTCTGCGGCGCGCTCTGAACACCAGACAACACCTGTAGAAACACGGGAGGCATCGAGACCAGCGTGGGGACGATGGCCAGCGTGTGCATCTCGGAATTGGCGGTGGGTTTCAGACTGTTGTTCTGTAGTTTCCGTAGAGGTCTGGTCAGTTTCTTTTTTTTTTTTTCAAATCGTACAAGCAAGAGAATAGATGGATGCGTACCATTCTCTGAAAGATCCTTGCCCAGTGAGAATTTCCTGGAGTGGTCCGAAGGGCGCAGGATACTTAAACGGCGTCCGGAGAACGACATGTTGGAGAGGTTGTTTGTGTTAGATTATGTTCCTGATTGTAGAGGATAGAGCGGACAAGAGGAAGAGAAGACAAGATGGAGACTATTTATTAACGTCTCAAGGGCGAACGGCAAGTCCAGGAGAAAGGAGGAAGCCGGAAGGCAGAAGAAAAGAAAGGGAAGAAGATGTAGCCTTTTTGAAGATCGGCCGCTGACCGCGTCTCGACCAGGAAGCATAAGCCAACAGCCACGCTGAAAGAACAACTCGACGAAGCAGAACGCTTCCCCGTCTCTGTTTGCCATTCAGACGTATCTCAGGGGAAGGGATGGCATGCCAACGAATCTACTTGGAGTCGTCCTATTCGTCCCAGCGGTCGCGATAGCTCTCAACTCAGGCGCCTTTGTTCAGATTCGAAAAAGCAAGTTGGATATTATTAGCACGGCAGTTACGAATTGAGAGCAGAAAATGCCGCATCTGCGACCCTATGGCGTCCCAGAAACTTGCGATCCCAAACCCAATGCTCCAGGATGCATCGTCGTGGAATCATGTTATGGATCATCATGTGGCGCTCCCAGATCGCCAAGCGTCCGGCAGTGGTGATGGTTTCGCTGCTCTGCCTATCTCGGCAATGCTTTTTTTTTTTCTTAATTACTTTTGTCTCCATCGAGCTTCGGGCCGCTGTGGCTCAGAGTTCCAGAAGCTGGATGGACCACGCCTCATCGATGCTGGATTATTATTATTATTATCTAGTACGTACAACAGGGAGTACATGACAGCAGACGACCAACCCCTGCCACGACAGCAACAGCCGACAAAGCCTTCGAATTTCGGGGCGTACGGGAGCGTGGGATTATCTGCTATTGGCAATGATGCGTCCCGAGTATGCCGTGCGCGCCATGTCTAGACTAGAGCAATGTCACCTCTTGGTAACGGCCACGCCCGGCATCTACCACTATGGCTGGGAGTGAGGAACGAAAATCAGACGGGAAGTTGATGATAATACCTGCTTGTTTTGCTTGCCTGCTTCGTGCCTGCAAAAACAAACTCAGCTCTCTCGCGCGAGATCGTTCAGACTGCCATGTTGTAATTATGCTGCGCGGCTGCTGCGCCATAAGAGGCATATGCTTAGCTATTCTTCAGACTGATACCACGATGTGTTGCAACTATAATCCCATAACACGGGAATACATAATGAATAGTAAAACTGTCCCTAATTGTTGGGGCCCAATATCAAGGGATCGACCACGACGGAACAAAAAAAAGGGGGTGGGTTTGATCGGGCGCCGAACTTTCAAGAACAATAATAGTTTAGTTTACCAGTCGGCAGAGGTAGCCGACGGTGCCGCAGGGCTGTAGGTCTTCTAGGAGCAAGTAATAATAATAATAATAATCTTATGGGTGGCAGATTTGATATGTGACCGAATAATGTTCAACTACAATAGAAAAGTGAGCTTCCACACCTGCTACGACATGTGGCTTGTACTATTTCCTATTTGGGAAATTACTACGGCCTCAGAAGCGAATGCATGGAAACAGAATACCAACTGGCCACCTGCAGAAGTGCTCTTCTTCTTCGTACTCTTATTTGGCATGTATAATATAGTATTCTATCCTACTTCATTCAAATACTGTTAGGAATTACCGCTCAGGAAGTCGAAGGAACCGGACCTCCGACCACAACGTACACGCCTACGGTGACCTTCACCAACGTATCTCCCCCACGAGGCTCAATCAATATGCATGCATGCATGTATACTATGTAGCAGTCTGCAGCTGCTGGATCCCGCAGCCATCCGTCTGACTCGTGCAAAGTCTATTCAATCCTCAAGGCCAACTATCTAATCCCAGAAACTGGAAAGGCAATGATAACCAAGAGCATCAAGTCTGTTCCTATTTCTCCCGATATGGAAGAAACCGGAAGCCTGTTGATATTCAACTTCATCGAATCTATCAAAGCCACACTTGTAACCCCTGATGTGCCAATGCTTAGATGCTATAGACAGACACTGCTAGCAACAATCAGAAGACATGTCACAAGCATGAGGTGACGGTAAGAACCCGGAAACTTCCTGAAGAATCCTTTCAATAAATCATATGCAGTGACACTTGAATCCTACATGAATTATTACTATTATTTCCTCGCGGCTCCATTGAACCTAATCGTCGGGTCATGCAACTATCATCAAGAACGGTGCACAGCACAAGCACCAGAAATTAAGGGGACGCGTCTGAAACGTGACGTGACATATTGGAAAACCAAGTCGGTCGGAATAATCATTCGTGGGCCATTGCTACCTAGCCAAGTTCGGGAAACTGTTAGGCAAAAAAACCAACTGTCACATAATTATTATCCCACGATAAATTGGAGAGCGAGATGGAGGGAAAGATAACAGAAAGAGAAATCCAAAACAAATATCAAAACAAAGTCAACCCATCGTCGCCTCTAATGTAGATGCAAAAAAAGGTACATCCTCATGTCTAAACACCCTGGGGAATAATAATAAGCTCATACAGTCATGCTTTCATAGAACGTCACGGGAAAAAGAAACAGAGTCGTCGCAAGCCCTCTCAAGGATACAACAGTATGCTGAGCAGAGAGGGACAACTGACAAGTTGTACGCCGCAGTGGAAAGAATAGCCCGCAGACTAGATATTCTAGCGGTTCACTTGCTCCTCGAGGCCATTATTATCGATGAGGATCACCAAGCAAAGACCATTATTGCAAATCCCCCAGATACGCCACGGCCTTACTCCGGCCTTCATTATGAGATAACGCCGGAGCTGCCATGGAAAATTAGAATGCTTCACTCGTCCCGCCCCTAGCAGAGAAAAACAGAAATTGGGGGGGGAAAGGACAATCAAGAACTCCAATGAAAATGCACGTTCACACATAGTTCTTGCAAAACTAGTTCTCAACTGCTTGACAGTAGAGTTGAATCTCCCCAACTTGGCCTTTAGCAAGCAAGTCGCGATGTTGTTCACGCCATTCCATGAAAGCCAACTGAACAGCTTCATCGCTATCAATCGTAACGAAATCACCGTCTTCGTCCCGGTAACGAAGCCTCACGGATTTATTACCAATAGACCGATTCGTGAATCTTGCGAGCTTGGCGTCCACTCGGTCAGTTAGCGAACGGAACAGGATGTTGCTAGCGATAACCAAAGTGACATAATTATCATCAATCTGCACTTTCGCCTTCAGCTGTGTGGGCATGTACGATCCATCTTCCGGCTCATGGCTCAATGGAGACGTTGGATGCTCGGAGGACGGGGATGTAGCAGTCCTGCCTTCAGAATACTGGAGTTCATGGAACGCCCCGGGCTGCATATGATTCTGTTCAGGGTGGGGCTGTGGGTTGGGGGAGGGAGCAGCGGACCTAATTGGTAGGTTGCTGTTGCTAGGAGAGTTGCTGTGACTTCTATTAACCGGCGCCATCCTGTTCGCCATATGTGCGGGAATTGGTGGCACAGGGACATTATCAACCGTTTGCATTGTAGCCAAGTACCGAGCGTGATGATGGATATCAGGGCTACTCGCAGAACGCATTCTCTGTGACAGACCATTGGACGACTGCGGACCTGATAGCGGAGGCAGTGAGGGTCGCTGCGGGAGGCGGCCATTCGGTGGGTGATGAAAATAGCCGTTCCCGTTGGTACTGTCTTTCGACACTGCTCGAGACATCGCAGGCGCGGTATGGCGATTGAGATCCTCATTCCAATTGCCCGGGGAAGACGCTTTGCGGCCATACGGATGTGCCGGGGACTGCGCACTTGACCTGATGGACGAAGCATCTGTCACGGGAGAAAAGTAGGAACCACCATTCCTCTCTGCAGGAGATAGGCCACCACTGGACAGTTGATGGGTGTGCACGGCAAGTGACGGATCAGGCATTGGGATGCGATGTGGTCGAACGGTACCGCCGCTTCCATTGGTGTTGGACCATGCCCGCAGACTAGTGTTAGAACCATTACGACTCATGGGGAACTCGGAGAAGAAGGCGGCATCCTTTGCGGCTAGCTCTTCAGTATCGTACTGTTGAAGGTATGGGTTCGTCAAGTTCGCGGTCATATTCTGCATAGAGATAAACTCTGTCTCCGAGGTTCCGGTGTGTCGAGCGTTCCTTTCCTCTGCCTGTATTCTACGTTGCGTGTCGATATCCTTGTACCACTTTTTCATGACATCCTCGTTCGGGTAACGTATCACAAAACTGTCCGCCACTCCTGGGTCACCATTCCAAACAATCTGGATCTTGTGGGATCCTGTAAAAAGGAAAAGACAGAGCCGGTCAGTGCTTAGCCTAGCAAGTGCAAAGGACGATCCTGCCCATACCTTGCTTGTTCATGGAAACGATATGAGTCACATTTGCCATATAGATGCGACCTTTCAGCTGAAGACGTGGCTTCCCCCTCACATTTGGCATGGATTTTTCTTTTCCAACAATAAGTTTGGCCTTCTGTTTATTTGGGTTGATATCTTTGCAACAAAGAAGGATCTTTTGAAAAAGATACATGTGGTACTGTATAAGGCGCACCCCTAAAAGTCAGCATGCTGATCATGTTCTACAGTGGCAGAAGTTGAAGTGACTCAAATAAAAGCAGAAGCTTGATGTTGATAGACATAATTGGTGAACACATCTTCATCAGGTAGACAGGGACCTAAGGCCTATAATGCCCAAGAAGAACAGAACAACAGGAAGTCCTTTATGTAATGCAGATTCCCGCAAGGGGGAGGAGGGGAGTTCGAGACCCACAAATCCTCATCAATGCAAGTAAAAGAAATTGCACGTACCTCTCTTTCAGGCTCTTTGTTACTCTCGCTCCTCAAAACAGAGAATGTACCATAGCGCAAAAGATCACCGAGATGGTCGGGCTTGAGAGCCTTCCAATCATCCACCCGCTCAATAAAGTCCACGCGCGCAGAGGCGAGGTGTTCTTTATCAATGGCATCATTTGCAGAATCCAAAACGGACTGGATAATATCAATTGCTTTAGCAATGTCCTCTTTGAGAGTCGCATCCTCAGTTTGTTTGTAAAGCTCCTGCAGACGCACTGTTAGCTTCACGGCAATAGAAGCGAGAGCCGAAGGACTCCTACCGATAGCATCAGAGGATACTTGGTCAACCGCTGAAAGGGCTTAACGAAGAAGCCATTAAGTGTTGCAGGTTGGGCCACCATCTGCTGGAGATCAATGGTGCGAGGGGCGGAGTGTATCTTTTCCCACTCCTTTAGGCAAGTCTCATCGCAGCGCAACTGGTTTGAAATGAAAGGCTCGTACTGCCGGAAACCCTCTTCATGCTGAATGAAAAGTTGGCCCCAGTTTTGGTTTTCCACCGGTAAGGCATCATGTTGCTCCATGCGAATCAAGAACCGCTGTGCAAAATCAAGGAGGTTGTTGAGATTCAGGAAGATCTGGTGACTTGCATCTCCAGTCAAGGTACCAGTCTCTTCGAGCTCCTTCTTCAAAGCTTGCAGATTCTGGAGGTGGTGCACATAATCTCGTTCCGTTTCCAACAGCTCCCTGAGAATGTGCTCTTTCTTGGTCAACTTCACAGCCCCCTTCGCATTTGGTACCTGTGGTGAAGGGTCTGACGACTGCTTCAACAAGCCCTGCATCTCTAAAATATCGAGAACTCTATTCACCATTTTGATCACCTTGATAAATCCTGTCGTACTTTCGCCATACAGGTCAGTGATCAGGAAACAGTCCTGCTGTGGAAACGCGAGTTCCTGCAGACATGCCTGGAGGAATTTAAAAGTGGCAGCCTTTGGGCGTTTGGCCTCAGCTACCTTTGTGTAATCGAGCTCTAGCGGTTCGTCCGGAGCGGTGGCATTGTAAATGCTCAGCAGAGGAAAGCCATTTCTGAGGTAATTCCACAGAGAAGCCACAGGATCTGTGATTCCCTTGGCGCGGTCCTCGGCTTCCATCTCCACAAGATGAGCTTCAAAACCTGGCACTTCCGCAAGTCTCTTCTTCAAATTCATACAGCTCTGATAGATGGATTCGCCGCCGCGACGGTTGATGATATTGTCCTCGGCGACGGGGCCGCTAGTATGAAATGCGGGGTCGGCCATTTCGATTAGCCCGCTTTAGACTCGAAATCCGCGCTGCAGACCAGGTAGGGTATCAGTTTAACGGGAATAACAAGCGAACATCAAAGTATCGGACATGGGCCTCCGCGATGTGATGGCGTGGCCCGACCGGAACCAGAAGGTGGAAAGGAAAGAGACGGGGGAGATAGCGGGATCGTCAAGTCGACTCTGGCGGGTTTTGCGGCAGCGTGGACGGCTATGTACCCTTCTGGATTGACGGACGAAAACGAAGGGACGTCGGACGCGACCTCCTTATCTTTCCCACAACGAGTACCGAAACGATGGACGGAGAATTCTGTTGATAGAAGTGGATGAATTTGGCGGTGACTGGAACCCAGCGCTGCGCTCACGCACGTATACTCCGTCCGACCAGCAGGAAAGGGAGTCAAGGAAAGAAGCGACTAGGTTGGAGGTGAATCGAGACGTCGAGAGGGTTCGAAAGGGGTGAGATGATGGAGAGTCTCCGTCTTGAAGATCGTTTCAGCTGCGAGAACTGGGCTAGTTATTAGTTAGTCCATCAGCTTCCGGACGGGACGTGGGGAGTGGATTGAGTGACTAACCAGCGACGTGATTCCTCAGTAAGGAGAACAAGTTCAGATTGCCATGCAAAGAGGACAGGCAAATGAAGGGCGCAGGACGATGGAAGAAAAGGAGAAGAAATTGGAAAAAGCAAAAACAAAAGCAACGGGCCTCGAATGGCAGTCAGGGATGGGAAGGGGGAAAGGAGGAAGTGCAGAGAGCGGCAGGAGTTGTTGCACCGGGACTTGCTCTGTGCAGCGGTTTGGCAGTGGGGTGCCAACCAGGAGTGCGGACGCTGTCGATAGCGGATACCTAGGCTCAGATGGAATGTTTCATGTTACACTGGAAGTGATGATGATAATTATAAGATCAGAAAGAATGTCAGAATATCCATCTGAGGCTTTAAAAACGGCTACTTATGGCTGCTGCTGTCGGGAACGATGAAGACTGCATGCATCAGTGGGCTGATCGCCACCTCTTCTCTGCCTCTTTTTGGCTTCACTGTTTCTGAGCATTACCTACGGAGCACTAGCAGTTAGTTATATACGGACAGGCGTTGATAGAGTCCTCTAGTTTATATGGATTCCTCTGGGTCTGGAGTTGGGAGGTATCTGGTACTGTTGGTGGACTAGTATTACTGTACGGTGAGGCCTCACCCCCAGAACCACCATCTACATAAGATCAACTCCCGTACAAATACGAGTGGGTGAGTTACAGAAAAAGTAAAGAGCATACAGTGAAATAAATCCAACCTGGGGGACCTTTGGTCCATGGGAATGGTAGTCATTATTTCCCCTGAGACCCGTCGATGACTCGCCTGCCTGAGGCCGATCTTCACTGTCTGTAAGCAAGCAAGCAAGCAGTGGGGTGTCGCGACTGTCAACGCTTCGCTTCCCATTCCCATCTTCCATCCGTCTTCGTCTTCTCCTTCATTCCTACAATCGCTACCCTTATCTCTCGTCTCTACCCTTCTCTTCGTTTCTCATAATCCGTTCGTTATCTCGTCGCTAGCAAAGAACGCCCAATCCTCGGTCCGTGGCTGGCCAGCAACCCATGGACAGAGACACCCCAGCGGACACTGGGATGCCGAACCTCCTGCGACTCCATACAAATAACTTGGCTGCGCCATCTCTGTCTACGTCCTTTAAAGTCGACGAGGGTTACTCAGATGAGACTAAAAGTCAGTCGGACCGTGAATCAAAGCCATCAACCGAAGATGTCATAACTCTTCCAGATTGGCTTCTCACCCATAGCGAGGCCGACAGAGCTGGTGAGTATTTACCTACTACCTAGTCCCCCTGGTCCTCCGAGTCCCCACATATATACATCCCCTTCCACCCCGGCAACGCAGCTTGTTTGTGGTCGCGTCGAATAAAAAGACGCAGTCAAATGGAAAGGATAAGAAACTGCAAGAGGAGCCTACTGCAAATTAATAACGTTGCCACTGATATCTTTTTCTTTAGAGCTTGCTTATGGCCTACTGCGAAGCTTGCGCACCTCGACCGTGGCTACCGTTGTCGAACGTCTCACGCCTCTTCTACACATGGACCCTGTCCTGAAACTCCCGCCGGAGATCACTTCGGAGATATTTTCCCACCTCGACCCGCAGACTCTTTTGACTGCTTCTCTCGCCTCGCGCGCTTGGCGAAGCCGCATCCAGGATTCGCATCTCTGGAGGAAACTTTATACGAGAGAGGGTTGGCGCGTGGACGTTGCAGCAATTCGAAGGTTTGAGCAAGAACGTTCCGAACTGCATCAATCCCGGAAGTCCAAGACCAGATGCCCAGACTTGGATATTGTGGAGCCGAAGCTCAAAAAGCGCGTGCCGTCAGGCTGGTTGAACACGCGGACCGCAGTACGAGGAACTGATGGCGAACCATCTTTAGAGACCGACACCTTGCTTCTGCCTGATAACGAGGGTGATTGCCACATGATTGATGCCATGAACGAGGATGTCCCCTCACATTTTACCCAGGGACAGCAATCGTCGCCCTTCAGCGGTCGACAAAGCAGTTCCTCTGAATCTACATTCTCGGGATCGTCTTCAGCCCCTTCTTCCGCTGCATCTCCGCACTCCGTGAAAACATCCTTGGTAACTAGACAACCCAATGGCAGTGTCAAGGTCAATTGGCAGCATCTGTACAAGCAGCGTCGACGATTAGAAGAGAACTGGATGCAAGGCCGTTTCACTAACTTCCAACTTCCACATCCTTCTCACCCGGAAGAGGCTCATCGGGAGTGCGTTTATGCCATCCAATTCTCCGGGAAGTGGTTGGTTAGTGGAAGTCGTGACAAAACAATTCGAGTCTGGGACCTAGATACCAAAAGACTATGGTATCGACCTCTTGTTGGCCATTCAAAGTCTGTGCTTTGCCTTCAGTTTGATCCTAGCCCGTCAGAAGACATTATCGTTTCCGGAAGCAGTGACAAGAATGTCATTATTTGGAAGTTCTCTACTGGAGAGAAAATACATGAAATCCATTCGGCCCATGAGGACTCTGTGTTGAATCTTAGATTCGACCATCGATACATTGTTACATGCTCCAAGGATAACCTGATCAAAATCTGGAATCGCCACGAACTCACGGCCACAGATGAGAACTATCCGAGAGTATACCAGGGTTCAGGAGTTACATACCCAGCGTATATTGTCGATATCGCTAGTATACCGTCACCCGTGCTGGAGGCTGAGATAGCCAACGGTCATATCCAGAGCGTTGCTCCGTATTCCCTTTTGATGACCATAGATGGCCATGGTGCTGCCGTGAACGCTATCCAAATGAATGGCGACGAAGTCGTCTCTGCTTCTGGTGATCGACTGATCAAGGTATGGAATGTTCGCGATGGATCCTGCAAGAAGACTCTCATAGGCCACGAGAAGGGGATTGCGTGTGTTCAGTTTGACAATCGGCGCATCCTGAGCGGGAGTAATGACAACACAGTGCGCATATATGATCATATCTCCGGCGCAGAGGTTGCCTGTTTGTATGGGCATCATAAACTGGTGCGGACTGTGCAGGCTGGGTTTGGTGACCCACCTGGAGCCGATGAGGAGTTGAGGATGGAGGCTCTGGAAGTTGACAACAAATTCTGGGATGCTAAGCGTTCAGGTGCCGCTGTCGATCTTGGTCCACGCGCTCTCAGACGTGCTGGCCAGAGTCAGGACACCGCCGGGTCAAGAAACCCAAAAGACATCAAGGCTTTGGGCGCAGCAATACCGCCTGGTGGAGGCGGCACCAGATGGGGTAGAATCGTGTCTGGGTCGTACGACGAGACTATTATCATTTGGAAAAAGGACCGGGAGGGCAAATGGGTCATTGGCCACACATTGCACCAAGTAGATGCCGTAACCAACGCTTCGCAGCAACATCCGAGAGTCCTTACTGCCCGTGAACTTCCACCGAGGAATGTCGCCCCTCCCCAGCAAACTCAACAGATTCAGGCTCTACAGGGTCATATGATGCTGGCGGCTGCTCTTCAAAATCAACCTGCCCAGGCCGCTGGTCCGATGCAGGCTGCTAACAGACCTGCGTTCGCTCAGTTGGCGGCTCACCATCACCATCACGGTCGTCTTCCCTTCAATCGGGCTTTTATTCTGCCAACTCCACAGCCAACTTCTAGGGTTTTTAAACTTCAATTCGATGCGCGAAAGATCATCTGTGCCAGTCAGGATCCCAGGATCGTCGTCTGGGACTTCGCATGTGATGACGAGGAAATCACCGAAGCCAGCCAGTTCTTTGTGGGCCTGTGATTTCCCAGGTCAACCAAGTACGAGAACGAAAATACATCCGTACATACGACATGGTGGACGTCTCTTTCCCACTTTCCTATTTTAACGGTCTCGTTATGCTTCACGCAAGCTTCCTCTCTCCCATTTTTACTTCACGGTCCCTCCTTTTTTACTGCGTTATTTTTTAATCCGAAGATCGATCAAAATTCTTCCCATAAAGGCATATTCTTTATTCTCAGGAGTTGCTATATGAGCGGGTTGCTTACATTGCATCACCTATGACGCCGATCTGAAAGGCAAGGAGGAAATCAAAAAGGGTGTTTCATATGCAGCGAGAGTTCCGGCTTTCTTCCCCATCTGTTTTTTTTAAGGTATCTTTTTTAATTCTTAATAATGGCTTCTAATGGGTCTCCTTCCACATATTTACTCAATTGAGTTTCTCTCTTGCATTTTCTTGGGGAAAGACACATTGGTCACGGACATTGCCATCCTTTTTTTTGAGAACATAATACGGGATTGCATCCTCACACCAGGATTCTTTTTGACCTTTTTCTGAATTTGAACTTGAGGCTTGGAGCTTGGAACTTGAAACTTGGGATGTGGAAAGTTTGTGGAAATGTTGATATTCGCCAATGCACTACTACTCATTGGACATCTTGCTCATCCATTACATTGGTTCAGTGGAAGCCAGTATCCTTCTTGTTCATCACTTACCTCGACGATATTATATCCTCGCAACCCATCAACGATAGTCTGTATCATCTCCCGTGGCGCCCACCCGAGGCGCGTAGGTCGGATCCAGCGAGTCAACATCCAGGGATACATGTACCGGCTCTGCATCCGGGACGGTTTCCCTGGTCCTCCGAAGAACACCGTCCACTTCGATGGGGAGGAACGGAGACGAACGGTAAACTCGGAGTTCAAGCGTGCTTCTGATACCAGCATGCACGGAATGGTTCGTGGGTAGTAGTCCTTCCTTACGAGCCCAATAGTAGTAGTGTACCATCGGAGGACTTGTCTCCCCTTGCCTTCTTCGATTTGGTCCCCTGCCAGGATGAAATAGCATGTTTCTCAAGCATGGATCCATACCACACCTCCATCTGTGCAAGCTGCGAGGACACTTTAATAAAACTTATATATCCTTGGAATGTCGTTGTCAATGTTTACTGTAACCGCTCGTTCTCGAAATCAAATCACCGTATCAATTTCAACTGTAAGGAAATACCACCAAGCATGTACATACTTTGCAGTCAATTATGCTGTGGATAAGTGGAATAGTTGATCGATTTAAGGTGGTGAGCTAAACGTGCGTAGAATAGGCTAGGTCGGTTATAGTAATGTTCTTAAGTCGCCTTATCCAAAAGGATGCTGGACGTTCGATCAGCTTTTTCGTTTCTATATATTTAACGGAGGCTGGCCTCCAGAGCCCGAGAGCATAACTGACACGCTCTCCTTGTTACAGGTAGCCTTCCTAAGCATTTTGGGGATCCCCTGGAAACTGCAATGTTCTCAATGCTCAGGAATTTCAAAAAGATGCGACATCACCAACTCAGAGCCCAACTGTCACGTTGTATCCAGGGGCAATACATCCTCACTTCCCCCGAAAAACAATGATCTATTGAACGTTTCTGATTTTGGAACAGGCGAATCGATCAGTCGTGACGAACTCTTCGCATATACGAATGGGCATTTCCTTACGAACATCCTCTTCGGACGACATCGTCGAGATTGTTCATCTGATGTTCATGGGTTACGCCGGAAGGAGACCTGAAAGGCAACATGATCTCGATTGTCCTCAATTGGCTCAACAAGCCGAGGATTCTTTGCAGGCGATTCACACAATCTCGGTGCTCTCCATGGTGACCCAATGTCCGGAAGCATGACCTGGAACGAGGAACATGGTCAGTTGATGTTCATTGACTTTGAGCGGGCAATGCTGCAAGCCCGATGAATACTACTTGAGGGCATTTTCACCTAATTAAAAACACGGAGGTCAACCTCTGGGAGAAGAGTCCATGCAAGCATTTTAGCTGTTTTGAGCGCGAGAAGCCACGCATGAGGCATAGACTATGATGAAGTCACTCTAGTTACTATCAGATCTCATTTCATACTTGAAGATTCTTATTATCCATTCAGTCGCTCAATGGTACCTCTGGAAACAGCGCTTCCAAGAGTCGGTACATGGAAAGAGAAGGCAGGAAACTGGGAAGTTCAAGATACTGTCCACTATTTAAAAGCGATTCTATGCAATCAGAAGAATGGCTAAGAAGAGACATGTTGACCAGCTCCATCATTTGCCCTTCTGCATCTGGAACACCTCGCTGGCAGGACAACAAACTTCAGGTTTCTCAGCCAACACTCCTGGGAGTGATTTCATATCCCATCCAGTAAGTGTCTGGCTGGATCCCTTCTCAAACTGCACCCCTTAACCCTTTCCCTTCTTTAAGGGCTGCTTGATGTGGCAATTCCATCACTTTCCACTCTGTCTGCCTCTGGAGCTGCACAGCATGTGACCAGAATATTATATTGGAACTTGCCCGAGAGCGGTTGAGAAAAGCCAGCAGTCACTGCTCTGGGATACCCATGGGAATTCACAGGTAAAATTGATATTCTTTGAACTTTCCGGCTTTTCTTTTCCAGTGATCCTCATCTTTGCAGATCAATTTTCTTGCCACTGAAATTGGCACCGGACGAAGGAGTTCTTCTCACTGGCAGTTGTCTCGTGAACCGCCAGGTTTAAAACTCCGATGGGTGTAGGCTTGGATACTGTTGATAATGTAGGTAACATCCGACTTTCGATATCTGGAGACATGTTTTCCATTCTACCTAAGCTTGAATAATTTACAGCTGAGAAAGATACCAAACTCGACGAGTATTATTCTGACAGATACCTCCAGTTTTGCCACATCGGGATATTCCAATTTACAAGCAGGTAGGCTTTTAATTCATCTATTCGAATATACACCCGCGGTGCAAGCTGAGATACGTCTACTCTGTTAATTCTTGAATACAGTCTAGACGGTCTTAAAATAGACAGGCAAAAGGCGATGCCGTCTCATGCATGATCATATTTATGATGAAGTGCCCAGTGTTTACCGCTGTGCTGTGCATACAAAGTATACTCTGTACACTTTACACCGTCTCAAGAAAACAGCAAATCTTGAACTTTCCTTCCCTGTCCACAAAAGTATGCTGGGTTCCACAGTCCCAATTATAACATTGGCAGTGCACTCTCAAAAAAAAAGGGCCCCTTGATCATCGTCTAGCAAGTAAACTACCGATCTGGTATAACTTCTGTGTGTGGACTATGTGGGTTAAATAAAAAGAACAGTGGATACAGCAATAAGATCTGAGACACCACGTCGGATTGTTAATAATTAGAATCTCCTCCGTGGTATCTACTATCTACTCTGTTTATGGGGCGGAAATCTCTGCATGATAATCTGATATTATTGGTTTTATCGTCCATAGCGTCTTGTCTCATTGGGATGGATCATGGAGCATGGAGCAGCATCCAGCTGGAAGAATGGAATAGAAGAAAAGGGAGCAGCACAGCCACATAGTACATATTCCTCCGCTGGGCAACTTGGCAAAGCAAGGGGGAAAGGTAGCAAGCAGTACATTTAAGCATCTTATGAGTGATTTTAGTGAAGAGCCACAAAAATGAAATCCTGCATGAATAATAATCATTTGCTGACGCAAGCACAAAGTATTCATATTCTTGCATATTCTTGGAAGGGAGGAGGCTCTCTACATCATTACAATAACCGCATTCAGTATTACTTTTATTTCCCAGTAGATCATTCCCAGTAAATCGAATTCTCGGCCGGACTATGCAAGAATTATGAAAAAGTAAAGGGTGAAAAAAAGTAAATCAAGAAAGAAAGAAACGAAAGCAAGGTCCCGTTAGTAGAGACGGTGTATGCATAAGAGCTGATCGAGAGAGAAAGACCCCTCTTTCTCCCCCCGAAAAAAAAAGAAACTCCCATTAAGCAAATAAATGTCATGGCAACATCTTTGTGTGTCCTAGTCAGTTTATCTCCAACAATGCATAAGTCAACTAGTATTACATATACAAAACAGACAAGAATGATACCATGGCAGACGAATCAATCGGGGATGCACCGAACCAAAAACAGCGCCAGCAGGCTTCCCAAAATAGATGCGTTCGTAACTATCATCGTTCACCTAAATAAAGAAGGAGAATATCAAAACCAAAATAGTGAAGATTGTAGCCGTACTGTACTCGAGTTCAAACCAGGCCGCCTGGCCTCCGAATGCAATCTTCTTGCTGGCCTGGGTCGGGTGCGCAACCCCAGTCTTGGGGTCTCGGTTCAGCAAGTCTTCTCGGTCGGCCATGGTCGGAGGATCAATGGCGTAAGCGATCGGCGTCCACATTGACGAACAGAGATAGATGAAGGTTAATGGAGGCCAGAAAACATGCGTGATCAAGCAAAGCATGACGTTCTTTGCGCCCGATGTCTCAAAGAAGCAGCGGTAAGCCGCGAGGACCGCGCCTACCAGCGTGAAGTAGACGAATGCCAGGTGGAAAATGCCCATATAGTTAACCAGAATAACCCAAAGACGCTGAACCATATTCTTCCGTAGTTTCGGGTCCCGCTCATTGAGCGCCGAAGCCAAAGAGCCAGTTGGCTTGAAGGCCTGGGTCACACCTCCAAGCCACTTCGGTAGGAGGAATGAGCGAATAATGCACAACGCGAGATACGGCGACATCCAGAGCTGGTACCGCGAGCCTCTTTGTCCGGTATGGTAGCCTGCTGGGATATAGAGCACCATCTCGCAAAGCCGGTTGAGGATGGTCGAAGCGAAACAAACCCGAATGAGCCAGCGGAGCTGTTCTTCGTTTTCATAGGCAACGAGAGTCTTGCCCCATATGAGAATGATAGGGATTGCGAAGAGAGAGGCCGTAACCAGAATGTTGTAGAAACTGAGGGTTGCATAGAGGAATCCCGAAAAGCGCTGAGGGAAACTCATCTGCTTAACGGCCTTACCCCACAGGCAGAAATTCAGCTTGAGAGCAGTCTCCACGGTTCCAACGGCCCATCGGGTACGCTGCTTGATGTGCGAGCCAAAGTCTTCTGGGACAGTGCCGAACTGGAGCGGCTCATGGATGTATGCTGTCTTCCATCCTTTCCCGAGCATGAGGGTCGAGGTTGCGACGTCTTCGGCGAGAGTGCCGACAGGGAAGTTTCCGATGTCATCCAGAGCATCTCGACGAATAATGTAGCCAGACCCAGTACACCAAGCCACGCCAAGGGCATCCTTGATTGGCTCAATCACATGTACGAATAAGTCCAAGCTCTGAGAGAGGGGATCGGAAGGCGGAGTGTTGTAGAAGAGCTGTGGAGGGCACGCAAGGGCCATCTTGGGATCGACAAGCAAGTGAGGAAGAACAGCGCGTAGCCACTCTTGCTCGGGAATCTACAGAAAACAAGAACCCCGTGAGAAACGCGCCAACGTAAAGCTGGGAGGGAAGATATAAAACCTACCATGTCGGCATCCAGAGCGGCCATGAATTGGCCAGCGCCCCCGGGCAGAAGTCGAACCTGTTCGATACCGTAGTTGAGGTTGCCGGCCTTGAAGTGGTGTGGTACTCCCGGGATCTTTTGTCGTGCCATGTAGTAGACGTTAGGATAGACCATGGATAGATGACCGATGGCGGCTTCCAAGCCCTGGGACTTCGCATCGTCGAGAACGATCACCCTGAACCGGTCGCGTGGATAGTCTTGGTCGCACGCTCCACGGACAGTGTCCAGGACAAGGTCGTCATCTTCACCACAGCAGGTGACGAACACATCAACAGTGGGAACGTCCTCTCCCGTCAGCCTCAGCTTGGCCCTACGCCTCTTCTTCATGGCCCACATTGTCCAGAAATTGTGCATTTGGGAGGGGATGGCCACAGCCAATTCGATAGCAATGAAAACCCATGCGGCAGCGAAGGTTATTCCCTGTGCTCTCTGGGCCAAGACGACGCATGCGATACGCAGACCAAGATATATCCCGTAGACTATAACGTTGGCAAGGGTCAGGAATGGAGCAAGACGGAACACCCATCGCTTCCATCCCTTCCAGATATCGACATCGTCTCTGTCATGGATGCGAGCTACAGAACCGGGCTCAACCCACTCCTTCGTGAGCATGGGTGAAGGCGGTGTGCTGACGAGAGCCGTGAGACTCTGTTGGCTCTGGTAGCTTTGATTATTCTGATACTGCTCGTGATAAAACAGAGCAGGCAAATGTTAGTCTCGTATTAAAGCAAAGCAAAAGTGGGGAGAGAGAGCATACCAGAGACGGTGTGGCTGAACGGGAATCCATCTGAGGAATGCTTGCAAAAGAATCCGCTGCAGATCTGCGAGCCAAGGGCGATGATGTCCAACCTGGCGAGATATAGTTGTCTGAGGCAGCTAGACCTGGCTGCTGCATGGATCTTGCAACCCCTGCTGCAGAGTGGCCATCGTGAGAATCGTAGCTGCCAGTGTGATGGTGGCCTCGATGAACATCGATTTCAACCATTTCTTCCCCGTACCCTTGATGGCCGTTCATCTTGGGGCGGAGGGGCTATAGGCGCAATGATACGCAAGAGAGGAACTGTTGTGAAACGAGTGACTGAGGAACGAAGGTGTTAAAGGGTGTTCTGGTGTATATATAGTAGTAAAAGAATAAAGGGGTGAGAATTGCAAGAATTCGATGAAAGACAGAAGAATTTGGGCCGGTTAAACCCCCGAGAAACAAGAACGAGTGTGGGTGTTTGTGGGAGAAGAGTAGATGGTTAGCAAAGAGCGTCGTCAACGAAATGAAGGATCGCAGAACTCCGGCAGGGATCCAGAGGCAACCAGCGTGGTGCACATCATTAATTATTATTAGCGATATAATTAGCATCTGTAGATTGGCCCAGCCGCGAGCGGATTGACCGGATTTGGCCCGAAAAGGAGGCTTCTGAGGGAATGAGATCGTATGCTGCGTCTGCCTGTGGCTGGATGTGACGGTCCAATTGTGGCCGCGCGCACAGAAAAACTTGGCCCTTCTTGGGTTCAGGCACCCGCGGGCCCTCAGTTGCCATTGGCCTTGATTCTTTATTGAACTGTTTTGACTTTGCGATTTCCTGGTGCGCGCCACAACCTGCTGTTCCCCCGAGATAACCAGGCAGCCAGCCTGCGCTCGCGGATCGTCCGTCTGCATTATTGGGATAACTCCAACCTAAAACACGCTCGTTTTGTCTTCTTTTTATTCTTCTTCACGGGATAGTTAGGACTTCTCGCATCCTATATCCCTCGTGGTCTTTCTGAGGGCTCATCGCCATGTTTTTCAGGTGGATCATCAGCTTCATCCTCCTGGGCGTCCCGATCGGGGTCACCATCGGTATTTTGCGGGGAATCGATTTGCATCGCGAGGCAACGGGACAAGAGCCCTTGTTCGGTCACAGTAATGGAGACGGTGGTGGTATAATCGGCGGAGGCAGTGGTGGTGGCATCTCTGGAGGAGGAGGAGGAACAGGAAACCCCAAGGACAACGGCATCACCAAGTCCCAGCTCTGCCAGAAATCTTACGGCGTTCAACCACCGACCAAAGGACAGCCGTACATCTGTGAGTCTCTTTATTTTATTTTATTTTATTTTACTCCCGTGGTCCCTTATCCTTCACTCCCCCCTGAAATCTTGACTGACGGCCTTGCTTCAGTGAACCCCAACCAGTGGGGGTGGACAGAGAGCGACGGAGGCGGATTATGCTTGAATGTATGTGCTATATTTCAATTTCGAATCCTGAAAAAAGAGAAACATGTTTGCTGATGGATGGATGAAAAAAGGTCACCACCTTCAATAACGGATCCTACGCTACAGACACCACAGCGCCAGAGTTCTCCGTAACATGGAGCTACACTCCTGGCCCCGAAACCCAGCCCGTACGAGCATTCCCAAATATCATGATCGGCGGTGACACCCTTCCAATTGCCCTTCAGGAAGTGAAGAGCGTCAACATCGACATGCGCTGGACATACGGAGTGGGCGACGAGCCGGCAGCAACAACGGACGCCACCGATCTCGCCCAGGACTCGCTCAACACCAACGTTGCCATTGATATGTTCCTGGATCCCGAAAAGGAAAACGCCGGAAACAGCACCCTGGCCAAATACGAAATCATGATCTGGTTTGCATTTTTCGGTAGTGCTACTCAACCCATCGGTCTGAAACAAGGCTCCGTCACGAATACAGTCCTGAACGGCACTACATTGTACGCTTCTCCTCGATTTCAACCTTTATACCTACTTCACTGACAAAAAACTAACTCATTCTTCTAGTGACCTTTACGCCGGCACGAATAGTCTTGGACAGAGCGTCCTGACATGGACGGCCACACCAAATCCAACCGATGAATTCACCGGCGATATCTCTCCCCTCATCACGAAGCTCTACTCCATGAACAAACCCGGTTACCCCTCTGAATCGGACTACCTGGGCCATTTCAGTTTGGGTTCTGAGACATTCTCTGCTACCAAGAACGTTACGTTTTATGTACCAAAACTATCCATAGACATTGAGAAATAGTGCATCCGGCGGGTATTATTATTGGGGAGAATTAATAGTAATTTTTTAGGGCGTTTTCTTCAGTTACGAATTGAAATGGGATTTAATGCTGGAAGTTTAAGTTAATCAATTCATTGCCCTAGGCTTGAGACTGGATTGGCAGTCACATATTCTGCTATATAGATGCCTCGCTGGAGGTTCATATGAATCCCTGCTATTCATCTTCTGGATGAGAGCTCACCCTTCTTCTTACGGAGACTTACAAGACATCAGAAGATACTATACAGAAGACACAAGGTATCCAAGTGCGTAACGATAAACCTGATGTACATCTAGGCAGAAGTTCTTTTCCAACCTGCTTCTTTTGCTCTCCTCTTCGGATAAGGATAGTAGTAAAATATCAACCATCTTCACGTCACCACGGAGTTTCTCCGCTCCCTGACACGATGGGATGCACGAAGACAACATTACTGCAAACTCCCCCAGCCCCGGACAACGTCACTCTGGTCCACCTGGACGATTGGCACGCGGGTTGTTATTGCTCTCATTCCAACTCCTTGCAGTCGCATAGGTATCACGGGAACTACTTAATTCAATGGCCGTGGTGTCTCCATCAGCTTCCTCATCCGAACAACAAGAGAAGTAAGAATGAGCAATCCTCAACGAGCTTGTCCAAATATTTGTCCGTTCTTGTGCGTTGGATGCCTGCTCTGGTGCAGGGTTCGTGGGCTGCATTGCCACATTCAATGACGGTTGTCGTACTGAAGGATGTCGCCCCCCATAAACACCACTATTAGCTCCAGGATATGGAGGGGAATATCCGTCGCGGTCTGCAGAGACTATTGACCTATATTGGGGTTGGGCACGACAGTCTTGATGAGGGATATCCCGGGGCGTTGGGCGAACGGTAGCTGCCGAGGCCTGCCCCCATGGATAGAATGTGGCAGCTGGTCCAGGTGACGGCGCAACGACTTGGGAGCTGTGCAAAGTACGTGGCCTAGACAAGCGACCTGAATTTCCGTGAGCCGAATTACCTCCTTTAGTCTCGTTTGGTGGTCTGTTAGGTCGTCCCCGTTGAATGGTAGCATTGCCATTGGTATCGCAACCCCCACATTCTGCAATGGGAAGATTTAATCTGTGAAAGGGATGGTCCTCCAGCCGTCTGGCGATATTCACTCCATGGCCGCTCTGTCTGTAAGGGAAACGTCCCTGGACAACGGTACCATCTTCTGCTCTTCCAATGCCTCGCACCACTCCATCACTAGACGGGGTGGGGGTGGACGAAGACAAACCAAGAAACCTTCGCAATAACTGCCTGTAGGAGTTGTGCTGGTTGCTAACTTGGCCTTGGCATTGCGCATTTGAAGATACCTGGATATGCTGCTGTCCTCGTCCATTCAGGGGCGGAGGGCGGACCAGAACTTGAGCAGAATAGCAAAGAGCTTCTCGACTGCCGAAAGACGGAAGTCCCGGGGGAGTAGTAGACCTCACCGGCGGCGGATACTTTGGAAGGACAGGGCCAACAGGAGATGGGAAGCTCTCAGGAAATAGCAGCTCTCTCCAACAGCTATCAACGTCGTTGAGAGATGCCGATTTGGATTTGCGTCGCCGCGGTCGGTGGAATTCGTCAATTCTTGACAACGAGCGGACAGACAGCGTTGTCTCCGTTCGTCTCCATCTTGGGGCCATTGAAGATGGGTAACTGCGCGATAATGCATGTGAAGGCCACATCGTTGAATCTATCTGTTCTTCGGAAACCACCTCGAACCTTCGAACCGGCAACCGATAACGTATATCATGGATAGGTGTTAGGGACATGAACATGACCAGGTCGGTGCCCAGCTGGTCATCGATGCCATGGACATGGCGGTCTTGAGCGTTGTCGTCGGCAGCGGAGCTTACCCTTGCAGCATTGTATATGTTGCCTTCCTCACTCGGGACGGAGTCGACACTTGAGAAACCCCAGCAGCTTGAGCCCTCCCGCCCACGTTTATTTTGGGAACATAGGGCCATCCTAGAAAACCTGGAATAGCAACGGGTAAGGGAGGCAGCGATGGGTCCGGGATAGGGGAGAACACAGGCCTGACTTGGGAGCTGGTGGAGGGAAAAGGACGGGAGGATGCTGGAATAAGACGTACAGCGTCGCTCTTTCCTGGAAGCAGGAAGAATCCCATCATCGACAGATGCGCTTTACCGGCTTTCCTTCATTGGTATGTCATGGCAACAGTTGGAGAGGATGCAAGGAAGCTGCAGGGGGATGGTAGAAGAAAGGATTCAACCAGCGCCGTGGATTTTTGCCGTCACCGTGGTAATCCCGGATATGCCAGGATACAATAATACACACAATCACCAATCAGCCCATCACTAACAAAGGTAAACTTCTTTCCTCTCGGGAACATTTCGGAAGAGGGCATGCGAATAGAAAAGAGACAATGAGACAATGACTAATATATATAATGAAAGCACACGAAATAGCCGCATGAGGAAGGATGACCAGCGAAGAAGAGAAGATACACGAATAAATAAGTAAACATGGAAGGCAAGTACATCATGCACCACGATCATCAGGGCGTAATACACACTCGGGCTGAATCTTTTACTTGCCACTGGCATGCTCCTTTCTTAGAGTACGAAGCAGCGCTTCGAGTCTCCGGCGTTCTTCTTGTTCGGCCTATAGACCCGAATTAGACAGACTATCACGGTAAGATAGGGGGTAGTGAGGAGAGCTCACCTTTAAGATTCTCATGTTCTCTGCACGAGTGTCGCGCATCATTTTCTTAAATTCGTTCTTCAGCACCATGGTAGATGTTGTTTCGGATGCACCGTCACGGGTCGACGGCGTAGGACTCGCAGTGCCCATCGAGTTTATACGCTCCTCACTTAACTGTGTCTCTAGTTGTTCACAGCGGTCACGCAGGCTATCAATTAGACTCTCGAATTTCTCCCGCTCCTTTTCCAACTCGACGCTGGCTTTCGTAATGACTTCGTAGTCATCAATAGTCTCCCGGAGCTCTTTCTCAAGCATCTCCACTCGTTTCTGGAGATCGCTATTCCCAGGAGGTCCGGCCTTGAGGGCCGCAAGCTCCTCTGTAAGTTCCAGATTTTTGGTGTTCAGGTAGTCAATCTCCTCTTGTATTGCGGGATTGACAGATGCCTCTGCTGCTCGCTGAGCGCGAGAACCGTAGGCTCCATCAAGCTCAGCTTTGCACATTGTAAGCTCAGTCTGAACTCTAACAATTTCACCTTCAAGTTCAGTCAGTTCGGCCTGCAAGCGAGCAGAATTCTCTTCGGCCTGCGCGCGTGCTGTGGTGGCGTCCTTCAGCTGGGCGTCTGTCTCACTACGCATCTGTTCCAGGGCAGCTTCCAGGCGCGGTATTTCTCTATCTGCATGCTCACGTGTCCTGGAGAGTTCTTCCGCTCGTGCATCAGCCTCGCCGCGTAGATGATCAACTTCGCCACGCAGGTGGTCAATGGTACTTTGAAACTGTGTTACTTCATTTTGCATCTGCGAGCGCATGGCGGCCACTTCCACTGCGTGAGCATCCGCCTCGGCCTGAGTCTGTTCAAGTTGGGATTCCAATCGGGATACTTCTTGCCGTGTGTGATCATGCGTTTCGCGGAGTTCAGCATGGGCGTCTAATCCTCTTTGGGCCTCTAACAAGGCAGCTTGCAGGTGCTCTAACTCGGACTCTGCGTGCTGACGTGCTTCTTTTTCTGAAGCTAGAGCTTTGGCGTTGTCTTCGCTCTCGTTGCTTTGCTCAAAAGCGTTTAACTGCTCCTGCACAAAAGCGAGGTTGTCTCTTGCATCTTGGCAATCACTCTCTGCAACTTCGAGCTGTTTTCGGACATGCGCTAACTGTTCAGTCAAGTCTGCGATATGAGCATCCCTTTCAGCATCCGACTTGGAGTTGAGTTCTCGTTGCTGCTGGATCTGCGTTTTTAGGATGTCTTTTTGTTCCATTAGAGATTCAATTATGTCGTCAATGTTACCAATTCCGGTTCTGAGATACGAAAGTTGCTCCTTTACATCATCACCAGAAGGAACCAGTGAGGGTGGAGGCATCGGCGTGTAAGCATGCCCGGATTTTCCCCATAAGTCCTGAAGCTGAGAGTTCAGCTCGTGCAGTTGTTGGTATGTGTCATTATCGACTTCCAACAAAGGCGATTTTTCGGCTTTATGGGAATTGAGTGTGTCCAAGGCATTCTCGATATATGATAGATGTGCCATGATTGTTGATGTCGGATTGACTGGCCCACCATCACTGACGTGCTGGGGTACTGGATCGGCATTATCATCCGGGCTGGTTTGTAAAATCATAGTGCGCATCCGCCCGCTCAGCTCCTCAAGCTTTGTTTCCATGCCTTGAATGGAACCGAGTCCAAGTGCCAACGAGCCATTTGTGCTCATTCCGTTAAGGCTGAGATCGTCGAGGTGTTCTGGTGTTCTGTATAAGCTCCGGTCATCGAAATCCTTGGCGTTTCCATTGTTATCACTGGCAAAACTGCTTTCAAGTTCCCGATTCTGATTTTTCAAATTTTTCTTCAGGCCTTTGTGTGTCATTTGCAGAATGCCAGCATTATGCTCCAACAACCTCCGTTGTATTTCCTGAGTCCTCCGCTCCAGATTCCAGAGTTCCTGCGCTAGCTCCTCACACTTATGAGTACTTGAGACAATCTCTTCGCTGGTCCTGGATTCTCCTTTCCTTCCGAATATGCCTGGGCGTATACTTCCCGTCGATGATCGCAGTGAGTCATCAAAGTCATGGTCGTCATTATGTCGTGAATGCCTGGGCTTGTGAAGCCTACTGAGCGATTGGGTGGCATCGCGAAGTTTCATCTCGACCGCTAGTTTCCGTCTCGTCGCTTCCCTGCTGTCGGAGAGAAAGGTATACTCTTTTTTCAACTCCTCCACCTCCTCAAATGACAGAACCTCGTAGCCCTTGCTATCTCCCAGCGCCATCTCCGTCAGCAGGAACATGGTTACGGGGTCATTAGCGTTGAGCAAGGCGGAACTCCGGGGATGTGTGGGATTAAGCTGTGCCGTAGATACATGATTAGCCCAGTCACGTTTCTTAGCAAAGTGCATGTTGGGGCAGAGGATAGATATCCTTGCTGCAGAAGAAGTTGGAGAATAAGGCATATTCATACCGGGTTGTACCGCGGTTTCTCTTCTTGCGGAACAAGGTCGTCACGGTATCCATCCATCAGCATTCTTGCGGGCGGCTGCGGGGGGTCAAAGGAAACTGAAGAACGGTATTTCGTATCCTCATAGGATGACCGACTGGATTTCAAACTGGCGGAGTCCATGTTGTTGCTTAATTGGGACGCGCAATGGACGAGGGGTTTTAAGAGGATGTGACTATTCACGACTGTCGCGTGGATGAAAACAAGGCTCGTAAACCAGGCTATGGGGCCGAATTACATCATGAGATGCATTGGCCTTCAAATCAAATACGCCGGATGTAAACGAATGGAGGTCAGAAAGCAAATGGCCGGGTCTGTCGAAGAAAGGTTAAAGAATATGCCTCGCTGTAGGTTTCTGTCAGTGAGCCGAGGGAAGATGATCTCCGGCAGGACAGATCTCTTTGTACCTAATGATGGAGTCTTCCAGTAGTAGGGGGTACAAAAAGAACAACTTCTCGCAGCAGACGCATTTCTCCTTTTCTTCATCCCAGAACAAAGTCAGTCTAGACTCTAGCCAATGCTTCTGCGGTCTGCATTAATATAAATACACCCGAGACCACGTAATAATCCTGTTTGATTCAAGGGAAAACAGCACAAAACACCAGCATGGATGATTATTATTGAAATGGCTTAGCCGAATCTCAGCAGTCAGGATTGAGATATATTTTCAATCACTATCTGCTTCAACCTCTCTGTCAACCGTGAGGTCATGTAAGCTTGTTTACTCCGTACAGCGTAGAAAGTTTATGCCTGAGGCAGGGAAGTCACATGAACCGGCAACTCCCTTCTAAGTTGAACTTCCATGAACTTCGACTCTTGCTGCCTTGTATATATATACTACTACTTCCATCCATCTTCCCATTATCATTATTTCCGTAATCTAGACGGGAAACCCACCTAGTCCAGAGAAGAATGATGCATCAAGGACCCAGTCAAATGGCATTACGCCACGCAATATAGGCATATTTAACGTTATTCAAGGCCCCCCATACAGCCTTAGCCTACTTCCCATCCACAGATGACTAGTTTTTGGCTAACTTTCATTAAACTTGCGCCAATATGTTGGAAACATGCTCCAATATCCATTCACCTCGCGGCTGTGCGTTGTGTTCCGTCTGACAGTAACAGTGCAATAAGGCGATTACAGTGCAGTGTCAGCGCTGAACGCCCATTATGGATCCTACACTATTTTTATTATATCTATTTCACTTGCCGTTGTGCGGCTAGATTCTCTCGATTCCTCTTCCGGAGTTCTGACCTCTACATAGGCAGTGTGCATAATGTTCTCAAATCTACGGGAAATTGCTATGTCTTTTGCATTATTATTAGCGGGTGTCCGAAAACTCTTGACCCATAGCAATATGCAGATTATATGGGTTCGGCGCATCGGGGACTTGGTTTAGTGGACGGACATCTGGTCTATTAGGATGCTAAGCGCTGCAGTGTCAGTCGCCGCTCAGCCTGATGAGACACGAAGCAACACCCTAGTCGTGTCTGCAAATATTTTCATTTTTCTTTTCTCACATAGTCATTCCAATGGTCCTCGTGATTTCTGCTTTTCTTTTCTTCTGGGACTTTTCTCTGGGGGACTGTATTAGCATACCTGGGTCATGGCACAATCTGAGGCTCTCGTTTCGGTTGGAGGCGCCCCTGGCTCTACCTCCGGTGGCAACTCAGGGAAAGAAAGCTCTCATATTTACCAGCATCCGTCAGGCCATATTTCTACTCACCGATCTACTGTCATCTGGGGCTGGTTCGTGGTCACAGTCCGTATCACTACATTGACAGCAGTCCTACTGGCACTAGTCTTCAGTTAACGCATCAGCCATGGACACACACCATTCCAGAATCCTCGTACGGCTTTCACTCATAAGCTGGAGATGCATATTATGTCAACCTGAATTCCAGCGTCCTCCTGTTCGTGACCTCGTGGTCCAGCTCTCTGGCTCCTTTGCTATCAAGTTTCATGGTCACCCTCGCCCCATTTCCCATCGCCGGACGATTCTTTCAGGACATCCAGAGAGGTCGCGATGATCAGCTTCCCACCCCTAATTGATACCAATAGGAGGTGCAGAAGGATTTCGTTCTTGGAGTAGAATCTGTGCCATTCTTCGCAGGAACTCTGGCCGAATCGGAAATCCTCATTTATCTGCCTCTAAAAGACGTTTTATAAGGACCTGTTTTTCAAAATCCGATCATTTATGGCCATTTGCACGTGTTTCTGTACGTGGTTTGACCCCATGAAGCCGATCACGAAGGGTTGCTTTTGAGGCATTAAAAACCTCAGCAGCAGCAATTGATTTTCTTCAGATAAAGGCATTTTGATAAACTTTAATGATGTTGGTGGTTACAAAAGCATTAATTCTGATGGGTGGTGGATTACGTTATAAGGGTAAGAAATAAAAAATTAACATGCAACAGCCGGGATTCGCTGGTGGTCACCCACCCAACTACTAACCGGCCGGCGTGTGGCTTAAGTACGGCTGAGCGGACGGGAAGCCCTGTTTTCCACACCCTGTGGTCGCATGTACTCTTTGTCTTCTTTCAATGGAATATATAGAGAATGCGCAGGTTAGGAATTCAAAATTTGCCTTTAAGATGGAACCCAGTGCAGAATCATCACCGCATGACCATGGATTTGTTCTGGATGGGGAACCCAGTGAACCTGTACTCGAATTTCTGGCTCACATGTGGCGATGAACAAGACATCTTTTTTGTAGTCACCAAAGGTGACCCAGTTGGGGGAAAGGCCAGCTGTGGCAAGCGTGCCCTTGTAGCTGTCTGAGTTGGAGAGAGTCAACAGTGGTTTTCTCTGCTATAGTCAAGCTGTCATCAGTTGAGTTGAGTTCTGAACATGGGATCTAACCGCCTCGGATTGGGCGACAGGACAGATGGCCCTTGAGTAACTACAGCAGAGGGATGGCATTACTCACATACCAGGCCATTTTAGGCCATATAGCCCTTACGGTTATGAGGGCGATCTCCCGAGCCACAATGTCACTCTAGGCGATTTCAATTGCCCTTACCATGCCTCTTTATCTGTTATTTTGCCTCGGATGTTCTTGGGTCATAATTGGGTACATCGTTTTGATTATTGGTAAATAATAACTACGGACGCGATTCAGGAAGCTTCCTGTACTGTGCATAATAGCCCTAGGCGACGAGAACTCGGTGTGATTTCCAGCGGAGAATTTCCTGGTATTCAATTCCCCGTGGCTTTGCAGTGCCATTTACGTCGGTTGGGTTATTAGGTCGGATTTTGGAAAACAAAAAATTATTGTTGTATTTTATATATGTATAGATGGAAAGGGGAAAAAAAGAACGAGGTCCTGCCCGGGATCGAACCGGGATTGCTGGAATCAGAATCCAGAGTGATGACCATTACACTACAGAACCGTATTTGTTGATTCTTAGTTTTCAATTCCGCTATATAAACCAAAATATACCTATACTCCGTACGGTGATAGAATTCTTAAGCGAATCTGGTTAAACCAACAGTAATTCATTCACAATTTTTCCTAGTAAGTACCCAGATGATCATGTCCAATGGATGTATTGGCCCACTTGATTAATCGCGTATCAACTTCTACGGCGAGTTTGATGTGGTTGTTGCCCTGTGAGGTGAGGATAGCCATGTCCGTGGTATATATCGAGCATGTTGATTGTCACCATAGTGTACATCATTACCGTGTAACATGGATGGTCATCCTCTTAACCCACCTTTTTCTGGCACGCTAAACTGACTGCAACACACATCACTAAAAAATGAAGATGAAAGAAAAGAAAAATTAATTGTGTAGGGCTCCCAATGCTGACTTTATTGGATTGATTTAAGGCACATCCAGCCAAACCTGAATGTTCTGGCTTCAGAATATGGGCATGCTAGGTGGTAATATCTCCCCAGTGGTGTGAGTTAGTGGCATAGCTGTCCCTTTTACACCTAGCTGCTGGGTGGGCACGGATTAGGCTTGTTGGGATCGGCTGTATCGACTCAGCTGGGCTGGTGGAATATACATGTCTGAGTGAGACTTATCGCATCGCCATGCCCCATATACCGTGGAATATAACTACCACTGTTGCCTATATCCAACAAGTCAATAAGAAGCTGGGCTATCTGCCAGTGCCACACACAATACAGCCCGTATCTGTATGGGTGCCTTGCCAATCTGCAGGATAGCCACCCGACGAGGTAGATGTAGGCCTTTACACAGTGTAACACCTGGACAAAGTTCATTAACACTGCACAGAACAAGGGTGACTTCAATATCTGGGGCTAGCTCGTGCGAAAATAGCAGGCAAGTGAAACAAACTCTCCAGCTAACAAATCAATCGCGAAACCTTCCTATAACAAGAAAATATGTAAGATGAACCGAGACCAGAGCTCCAGAAAAAAATTATTATGTTCTCGCAGAATATAACAAGTAAGGTTCTGTAGTGTAATGGTCATCACTCTGGATTCTGATTCCAGCAATCCCGGTTCGATCCCGGGCAGGACCTCGTTCTTTGTTTCTTTTTTTCCGCCTTTCTTTTTTTTTTCCACCTTACCTTCTCATTCAGTGCCACTGCTCATGGATATATCCCTATCATTCCCCATCCAAAATAGTCATCGACCTGCATATACTACACCTGCAATAACACCGAGCCGGGAACGCCATCTACTGCAACCACACGGTCTCCAGCAAGGTAAACACTACCCCAAGCGCAAAGAACAATGTATAGTTACACTAGTTAAACTGTGAAGAGTATCTGTGTTGCCATCTGCTTGGAGGTACTGATAGAAAGGTCTCTACCGCCGTGCAACAACGAGATCCGGGAGGTCGCTCTCAGCTCCAGGGAACCTCCTGGGATGCTCTTAAAAGTACAGGTCCTCGATTCCGTCGAAGCAAAATACAGCCCTGCGCTGAAAACCTCCATTGGGTATGGACCGAGCTCACACGAGGAATGTAATCTCAACAGATCGAGCGTGATTCGGTCTCTCGAAATGCCGCCTCGATGCGATTAAAGTGGTCACTGCACCGTTAAACCGCGGAGTAAAATTCTGGCTGTTAATAGGGAGAAAGAACACTGTCTGCGCGCTTTCCGATGAGTTGTTCTTTATAGTGGCTTCCGGCTACATCTTTTCGAATAGCTTGACATCCTGATCTAGATTACCCAGGAGATGATTCTGCTGAATGGCTTCGATCACCTTGTCCAATTCAACACGAGACCGCACAATCATCGGCGCGGGCCTAGAGCTCGGTGAGAAAACAGCCCTGTACGATTCGCGAGAAGATCCACCCACCAATGGACATCTCGAGACCACTCTGGTGTCTGGAATGGGACATTGTCATGGGTTGTCAGGATATATATATATATATGTAGAACCGTGGTCGATGAAGTCGAAGCATATGAGCAGTATCTCCACGATGCTTATATTATCGGTGTTATCTCACAGATCCAACCAGGTTCACAGGTACTCAGTATGAAGACATGCTCTGTCCGCGAGCAGCTCGAAAATGTCACACATTGCAGATTGACGACGGGCACCCCTGTAGATGCCGTAGTATATCTCTCCAACGAGATGCCTGCACTACAACTGGTCGTAGATGTTGATATCAGGTATATAGTCTTCGCGAGGATCACCTCGCCCACTCTTCATCTAATACTGCCTCTGCAAACGTGGAAACCTTTTGTGGAGGCTCACTTCCACTCTCCGCAGATGAGGCCAGACACCTAATCCCTACTAGGCCACTCCGATTCGGGGGTTCGTGCTAAGATACGAGGATCATACAGGATGCCCATTATGTTTTGATGTTCATGTTTCCACGGCAGTCGTTCCAGTCTCGACTACCAGTCTTAGACCCAGTAGGAGAGATTGCTGGTCTGTTAACGGGTTTTGATGCCTAGTCACGTAGATGCAGTCGCATCTGCATTCATCAAATGGATGAATTTTTTTGATTCAGGCATCTATGCAAGGCCATTCCACTGTTTCAGGGATCTCCGACGCGCTGATAGAGTCTACTGCAACCATGAACGATCCCCGACGGCGATAATCCACAAACAATAGATGTAACCCATCTATCACTAGCCAAGCCTCGGCTGAACCTCCCGCTAGAGCCGTGTAATCATTAACGAAGCCGAAGCAGCAGCAATGTTATTAAATGGATGCTACGTTGTACTTTCTTTCGTTTCTTAGAATCATCGTTATAACTCTGCACTAATACCACCACGGGCGGGGTTTGACTTGGATGGTCTGATAAGTCGACGCATTTTATTTTATTTTATTTCTTTAATTGCTACTCTTCCTGATATGATATAACTGCAACACTCTGGAGTTTTTTCCCTCCAAAGACCCATCAAGGCTGGATGGAATTGGCATGTATCGGCTCTTAAATACATCTACTGGCACAATGAGGTTGACGGATGATTCTCGCAGAGCTTCGTCGTTGCAGGACGAAGAGATGCACACCGCCGCTTCACAGACGGGCTACAGGGTCTACAAGAGGCGATTCTGGGGTCTCGCGCAGTTGGTTTTGTTGAATATCATTGTTAGCTGGGATGTATGAATTTTCACAAATTTTTATTCTTTTTTTTTTCGCTGTTACGATGCATCCCTGCTAACTATGCTGCCTCAAGTGGCTCACCTTCTCTGCCATCTCGACCACCACCGCGGAGTATTTCCGGGTCTCAGAAAGCGCCGTTAACTGGATGAGCACCGCGTACCTATTTGCTTTCTGTCTTGCCAGCCCGTGAGTCTACTGAATGGAATATGCAAACGACTGTAGATTAACATCGATCAAACAATCCAGGCTCGTCATACTTACCCTTAACAAAGGCGGTCCTAGACCCGCCATCATCACCACATCCATCCTGGTGCTCGTGGGAAATTGGATTCGATATGCCGGCACCAAGGCGAACGGCGGCATGTTCGGCCTCGCCATGTTCGGCCAGATCCTCATCGGACTGGCGCAGCCGTTCTGTCTCAGTGCTCCGACGAGATACAGCGATCTGTGGTTCTCGGATCGGGGTCGCATCAGCGCGACGGCATTAGCAACCCTAGCAAACCCTCTTGGAGGAGCATTGGGCGAGTTGATTGATTCAGTCTGGGTGTCGAAACCGCACGATGTTCCGGATATGGTGCTGTATCTCTCCATCATTGTAAGTCGTGACACAAACCAGACCCCTAAAACTAAAAAGAAAGGAATCCGTCTTACAGAAAAGCAAAAACAGTCCAGTGTCGCCTCGATTCCCTCATTCTTTATCCCCTCGCGCCCACCAACACCCCCCAGCGTATCATCATCAACGCCCAAAACCCCCTCCTCCCCGCCATAATGCAGCTCCTCAAAACGCTCGAATTCTGGCTCATCTTCATCTCCTTCTCCATCTACGTTGGCTTCTTCAATAGCGTTTCCTCGCTGCTGAACCAAATCCTCTCCCCGCACGGTTTCTCAGAGACCCAAGCCGGCATAGCAGGCGCCATTCTCATTGTCGTTGGCCTCGTCGCCGCAGCCATAATCTCCCCCATAATAGACCACTACAAGCACTACCTGGCCACGATTAAGATCCTGGTCCCCATTGTGGCGATCTCGTACATAGCTCTCATCTTCGCCCCAGATAGTCCCGCCGGGATCGGCCCTTCGTATGTCGTGCTCGCTATCATGGGCGCGTCTTCCTTTGCTCTACTCCCTGTTGTTCTTGAGTTTCTCGTTGAGATCACTTATCCCTTTTCCCCTGAGATAGGGAGTACCATTTGCTGGACCGGGGGTCAGTTGTTAGGCGCTGTGTTTATTATTATTCAGGATGCGTTGAAGGCGGGTCCAAATGCGTCCCCGCCGGACAATATGAAGCGTGCTTTGATCTTTTCGGCGGTTGTTTCGGTCGTTCCTGTGCCCTTGGCTGCTTCTATTGGGCTGTTCGGGAGGGAGGTTAGACGGAGACGACTCGATGCTGATCGTGCTGTTGCAGCAGCAGTTGGGGATGAGGAGGTGGGGGATTCAGCCACTGTGGATGTTGTGGTTAATGCTGATGGTAGGAAATAAATATTAATAATAGTAATTTGAATATTTGATAGAAGTCCTGATTCATGTCAATATCAGTTGCAGACCGTTTCAATGCGTATGCCAGATGGTCAATAAGATGTTGTATCCCGCCCTGACTCGGAATGCATGAGGTATGTCAAGATGTTCTAGGGGTATGCACGGAAATAAATTCGTTCTAAGCAACTTAAAAAAAAATAAATAAAAATAAATAAATAAAACAAGCACAGTTAAAACACGGCAGAGACATATCTGTACATACAAGGTCGAAAATACAGTTCCCTGTCCCCCTTCCTAGACATGAACAGTCGAGGACAAAAAAAGTGCAGGCCCCAGATTGATTCAGATATACGATCCTCTCATAGTCCATACAATCAATTCCGGTCTGTCGATTTGTCGCACGACTGATATAACGTTGTCACCAGCAGGCTGACCAGGAACACATGTCAGTCATCTTTATTTCTTTATCGTTTCTTTATATTTGTTTGGTTGAGATGCACACCCCTCTACCATTTCTCTCCATCTTGACAGTAAACAAGCGATAGATCAACCCTCGTCTACCTGTAACAAAGGAAAATACGGTAGGATTCGTTCAGAGGCGTTAATGAATTTATTTGAGGGAGCTCCAGAGCTTGGGAGCGGCACACTGGGTAGCACAGTGTGTGAGGTGGAAGACTATGGGGAAGAGACAAGTTAGCAAGAGAAGAACGAACAGTCATGCAGCAGGACGCTCCCAAGAATATTGAAGAGTACTCCAAAAGGCAGTGAGGTTACACTTACACTCCTCGACACAGTCCTCCTTTGCGCTCCCTTCTTCCTCCTGCTGCCGGGTCACACGCTCAACGCACTCATCGAAGTGGTGCTTGAAGGGGGCGCACACAAAAGAGTTGGCGCATTCTGTTCATATCCTAGTTAGCAATTTCTCAATGACTCAATCCCGGTATGTGCGAGCCCAGAAACTATGACAGGAATGCTGGTAACGCAACGCGTATTCCCGACGCAATACGGACGCGGGTGACAGAAGGGAATTTCAATGCGCACAATTGCCAATTTTCAGACAGAGAGAATGCAAATTGCATAAAAGAGATTAAGGGTACTTGTTTATAAAGTATCGATAAAACTCACCCTCTTCCAACTTGGGCTTGATGTCCTCGGCCTCTTCTTCCTCTTCCTCTTCCTCTTCTTCCTCTTCCTCGGGTTCAGCCTCTTCCTCCTCCTCGGGCTCAGCGGGAGACTCCTCGGTCACTTCTTCGCCAGAAGTTGTCTTCTCGGTGTCCTCTTCCGCAGGGCTGGTCTCGACTTCCTCAACAGGAGCCTCAGCTTGGGCCTCGGCGAAGCCTAGGGAGGAGACGATATCGGAGAAAATATCGGAGAGCCCCATTGTGAATGGTGGAAAATTTTCAATTGAGATAGCCGGGGGAACCTGAGAGTCGAAGCGTGACGTGCAATGGCAGGCAACGGGGTGAGGTTGACGAGGTTGGTTAGTTTTGGCGAAGCTGTCTCGAACGGCAGGGAAAATCGGCTCACCCGGCCGCCGCCGAACGGACTAATATCACACACGTGATTGGCCCAAGGTTCCTGCCGGGGAAATATTCCCGCTTGTCCATATTGTTCACAATTGTTCTACGGAGTACATATATTGACAGAACAGTAGGATTTAATTATTAAACCACAGGAGTTCAGTCTGAGCTGACCCGGTGTCCGCTAGCATATCGGCCATTAAGTATGTACACGAATCGGATTGCAGTCTCCCATTCCAACCGGCGTTCTTTTCGGGGGAAATAGCACAGAAGCAAATCGCAGATGAACGGGGAGCGTCACAGGAGACATTCTAGTCACTAGCAACTTTAGTTATCACGACAGGCCTGCTGGCCTTGTCCGCGTCAGCTGGAACGGCGCAGTCTTTCTTCCAATTCCGTAGCCACACTCTGCTGTTGAACTTCCTCATAGCCTGGTGGCGGATCTAGCGGTTCAGTCTCTGCCCCAGGAGGGGGTCCATTATACGGACATGCCTCCGAACCCGCATCCGGATGGATCTGACTAGTATATGTCGTCCCGTTTGCCGGACCTTCATAAGCAGGTAGTTCCTCAAGATCGACCGTAGAAAGATCGACTGTCCGGAGTCCGCCCTCTCGTGAAGTTTCAACCGCCTGCAGAAGGCGTTCTTTAATCCTCTCGAAGTTGGTGTGATAGTCAAAGGCGCCGCCCTCTTTGAAGGTCAATTTTAACTGAATGGCAGGCAATGTGGCAGGGATTCCACCACCGGGGACGGGTTGGATGACGGCCGTCCATACGTTGGGTCCGAAAAAGGGGGCAGAGACATGCGAATCGTGGATGTTGAGGAGCGGGGCCGAGAATGACTGGAACTGCTCAGTCTTCTGGGCAGGAAGGTAAATCACCTGGCCACAACACGTCAGTACTCGCGGACCATCATATAGACCACCTATACCGGAAGTCTGACCCTCTGATTCGTGAGATGGACACAACCTGCGCTACACTGAACTGAAAAGGGGTCCTTGCCTGTGTATGAGCTGAGCGGTTGCAAGGAGAGACTTGTGCGAGACGGCGACTTGTATATGAATCGTTCGTTAGGGAGGGGGATGAACCCCTCCTGGTCATGCAGCATGACCCAGCTGTTCACCGACTACTTTAGCATTTTTGTGTTTAGAGAGCCAGGGACTAACGCGATGGACAATGAGCACATGGGAGAAGCAGTAGAAAAAGGATGTGCAGCATTTGGGGGGGGGTCGTATGGAAGCAAGCTGGTAACACTGAAGACAACCCAACTCGGTGGGGTGAGGAGGGGGGCGAACATACTTGATCGACATCTTGATTTCAACCCACCACTTCCCTTGGTGGAACAGGAAAACTGTTTGTCTATTTATCCTTCGACGATGACGATATCCCAGACGGCCGTGTTCAGGCTGACCTGAAAAGCACAGGCAGAGAAAGAGAGACTGCCAGCGCAGAGAGCGGGAGACAATAGTTGTTGTTGCGCCGGTGAAGCACCTGACGCAGTGTGATTTGACTGCCTTAAGAACAGGCAACAACGACAACTACAACTCAGCCTTCTGCCCGATGGGCCGTTGATTTTTGAAAGAATGAATGAGCCGCATGGACTAGAAGCAGGTCGAAGAACTTTCTGCCTGCTAGATGGTTCGCGCCGTCGACAGTTTCCGCGGGGCTCGATCATTTCATTCGTCGTCACCGGTTGACATCAGAACAGTTACTACTCAGCAGTACTACGGATATGCGAAATCTGGATGGCTACCGAGTATGACAGATGTTAGTAGCTTAAGCATTGTTATCGCTAAGGGGTAATGGACTATGCTGTGTTATGTCGACCAAGAATGCTGTCAGTGCGCGATGAAGCTTTGACAGGCCGCAACCGGTATTTCTCAACAGAAAATCAAAGGGAGATTTTCACCAGTAAACTCGCACTGTGGTATCCTGTTGGGAAGGATACAGGACATTTCATTGATGCTGTTGGGTCGCTGGTGGAAAGGCAGAGGCGTCCGTTGAGCCGGTTTTTGAAGCCGCTGTCCATGACCCTGAGTAATTTACCCCGCGCAGTTCTGCGACATCCAGCAGCAAGAAATATATTAATATCTCGTCATAAAGAAGACAGGCCGATTACTCCGTTGCTGTATACTTATGCATGTCACGTTGTATGCGGCAGAGAACTCCGTACGGCCGCAATACCGAACAAAGCTGCAAGTATTTCAAGGCCGGAGGAATCCAGGTTTCTCATTTCTCATTTCTTTCATTACTTCATGTCTTCTCTGTAGCAATTGACAGGGAATAATAATACGCTGAACGGTGCTTTTTTCTAGAAACATCGCAGTCGACAGGAATGTTGACCGCCTCCCCACCACCAAAGGAAGATCATCGCGCTTGCCCACATACCGGAAGCTTCGCTTCAAACACCATCGTCTATCTTCTTGATTAATTAATCCCAATCGGTCTGGATCCCGGTTTCTGTTCTTTCTGGCGGTCACGGAAGCTTCCCACGGTAAGTTACTACCCTCGCGATTCCGTGAGCGAAAGATGCCAACACCAGTCCGTGTCCCATACGACATCATTATGCGTTCCTTTCTTCCGACAGCTAACACTGCCCCTCTAGTCTTTTCACATAGGGGACTGAGAGTTCCCATTCCTGCCGCACAATGGCGAAGAAGCAGCCATATATTCCGCCCTTGATCGGGTGGCTTTATGATATTGTGCTATGGATATTCTCGGTCCTCGTTGACCTCTTCTTCAGAGAAGTACATCCACGCGGATCGTGGAAGGTACCCCGAAGGGGACCGATGATCCTCGTGGCTGCTCCTCATGCGAATCAGGTATGCCTCTTTCTTAAATTTTTCATCTTTCATCTAACGCCGTCGAAACGACCCGCTCACTCAAGTGTATTCCGATAGTTCGTTGACTCCCTGATCCTTATGCGCGTCATGCGTACCGAAGCGCACCGTCGCATCTCGTGGCTCATCGCAGAAAAGTCATTCAAGCGCCGATTTATCGGTTTACTGGCAAGGAGCATGGGAAGTGTCCCCGTGGCGCGGGCAATGGATAATATGAAGCCCGGGGTAGGGACAGTTTATCTGCCTGATCCCATCAACAACCCTACTCTCTTGCGTGGTGTTGGAACAAATTTTGAAGGGCCCGGGTTTGAGCCAGAAGGCACGATCGCTCTCCCCACAATCAACGGGACTTCGCATAGTACAAACATCAAGGAGATTCGCGGGCCGGAAGAATTGATCCTCAAGAAGCCTTTCACCTCCAAAGACGCGCTTTTTCAGCTCACTGGTAGGAGGGATATCACCGATGATGGTCATTTCACCGGAGATGTGTCGGGTAAAGACCTCTCAGAGTTCAAAGGTTCAAGATTCAAAGTTGCTCCTCATGTCGACCAGACGGCTGTTTACAATGCAGTATTTGCCAGGCTTGCGACTGGCGGTTGCGTTGGTATTTTTCCAGAGGGCGGAAGTCATGACCGCCCCGATTTGCTCCCGTTGAAAGGTAATAATATTCTCCAATTATGTATAGCCTCGGAACCCTACTGATTCATTCTCTTAGCGGGAGTGGCTCTAATGGCACTGGGCACGCTGGTGAATAATCCAGATTGTGGTCTGAAAATTGTACCCTGCGGAATGAATTATTTTCACGCCCACAAATTCCGGTCCAGGGCAGTGATTGAATTTGGAAATCCTATTGAGGTTCCTAAAGAATTGGTCGAGCAGTATAAACAGGGTGAGCGACGCGAAGCAGTCGGTGCGCTGTTAGACACGATTTACCACAGTCTTCTCGCTGTTACATTGACCAGTCCTGATTACGATACTTTGATGGTCCGTTCTGATTCCTCAGGCCAGAGTCCCGTGGTTGCATGGCTGATGAATGTTTAGGTTATTCAAGCAGCACGTCGTCTGTATAATACCAAGGGCAAAAAGCTTCCGCTTCCAATGGTTGTTGAGCTTAACCGTCGCCTAGTGAAAGGCTACACGCATTTCAAGGATGACCCGCGGATCGTACGCCTCAGAAAGTCTGTCACGGAGTACAATAAGCAGCTACGTCTTCTTGGAATCCGAGATCACCAAGTGGAATATGCCAAATTTTCATTCATCACAGTAGTTGCCACTCTCGTTTATCGTCTGTTGAAGTTGGCTCTCCTAGCAATTGGCACCCTGCCCGGTCTGCTATTGTTCGCACCTGTTTTCGTCGCTACGAAGATAATTTCGATTAAGAAGTCGAGGGAAGCGCTGGCGGCATCTACGGTCAAGTTGCAGGGGCGTGATGTTATGGCAACGTGGAAGCTCCTAGTCGCCCTTGCATTTGCACCAGCACTTTATGCATTCTACATCGTGGTTTTTACGTACTGGGCATACTATAACCGGGTCCAGGGCTACGTTCCAGATTGGGTTCCACTCTGGTTAATCGTGCCGATTGGCATGACCTTGTTTCCAGCCATCACGTTTGCAGCGCTTCGCATTGGTGAAATTGGGATGGATATCTTGAAATCCTTGCGGCCTCTGGTTTTGTCCTTGAACCCCTCCTCAGCCAATACTTTGGTAAAGCTTCGCAAGAGGCGAGAAGAACTCTCGGTTGAAGTCACAGAAGTTATCAACACGCTGGGTCCTGAACTGTTCCCCGACTTCGACGCTGCACGGGTCATCGCCGATCCCCTCCGTGACAGCACAGGGCCCAAGCCAGCAGAAAAGGCACCAGGCGGGCCACTCCCGGTGCCCGAAATCAGACGGATTGGTACCTCGGACTTTGGAGAAAGCCCTGTATCTAAGGAACCTCTCCCGCGCAACGAGTCATTCCATAACCTGGCCAACATTGGCTTCTTTTCCACCAGACCGTCCAGTCGCAGCCGCAGTCGTAGTAGTTCGATTGGTGGCCGGCCGGGCTCATCTGCACTTCAACTGACACCGTTTAGCCAGGTAACTTCCAAGGATAGCTTCGAGGAAGTGAGCGTCAGGATCCGGGACGCCATGAGAGAGAGGGGAGAACGTCGACGCAGGCGTAGTGAGGACGGCAGTTGGGATATGGCCAGCACGGGTCCAGGGACCCCTTCAAGCGAGGATAACTGGAAAGATAAATAGTATAGCACACATCTTGGCCCCAGGACGATTGTGCGTCTGATGTATACTGCTTAGATCATTGTTCATAGCAGCGGTGTTCGGCGTTGTGCATGTTGTAGTTACTGGATCTGCATCAGTAGCCAGATTTATGCATCCTATAAAATTATATATATATATGTGTATTTGCCTTTTTTTTTTTTTTTCTGTTTTCTCCCTGCACCTGTCTTAGAAGCAGTCCTTGAAATCAGACCATGTAGCCATTCACTATTAGCCGGCGAGACGCACGGGCCTGCAACCGGATGTCATCACTGTTCATTTTCGCTTTTGGCCAGATTCTACTGCGCTCACCTGTTTAACCTTGTCTGATTTGGAAAAGCACACGCAGTTGCTTTACTTTTTTGCTATTCCCCGTCTCATACCAATTGGACGACAGCTCCTGATCATACAGCGAAATTGAGGAAGGGAAAAAGAGCGAGCATCGTCGTGGCTCGCGCGAACGGACATTCTACGTCAGGATTGAGGCCGCTGCGCTGTAGATACCTGCGACTTGGCGATCAATTATTCTCATGGTTGAGTCGTCCCTTTGCATACAGCCAGCAGAAGATTCGCAGATTGGAAGGAAGAACTGCTCTGACCTCTCACCTTCCCCTCCATGGTTCCACGATAAACCTGTCATCCTCCTGTCTCAACTGCATTGAACATCCCAACTATTCAATTGCCACGATCAGGACTACCGAAGGAGGAAGAGGATATTGAAATAGAAGAAACGCCGATTGGAATTTGAACACTCTGTCTTTTCTGTCTCTCTCCTCCCCCCTCTTCCCAGTTCCCATCCTGGGACTCCACGATTCAAATCATGGCTACATCAATGCACCTATCCCAGCTTCGGAAATGGATCCTCTCATCGCCTCCCATTGAGATGGCTATTTTGAAACTCAGAGAACTGCTACTCGGTGCGCTTAGACAAGGGCCTGTTCCAGAACACGTCGCTTTTGTTATGGATGGAAATAGAAGGTTTGCTCGATCTCATGGAATTGAAACTGTTGAAGGGCATAATTTAGGGTTTGAGGCATTGGCAAGGGTAGGATAATTCTTCCTCTTCATCTCTTTCCCTAGCTTCACTGATGAGTTGTTGACTGACTGCTTATTTACAATCATCGCAGATCCTAGAAGTATGCTACAAGAGCGGTGTGCGAGTTGTCTCCGTCTACGCCTTCAGTATTGAAAATTTCAAGCGCTCGAAATTCGAAGTGGATGCCCTGATGGAGATGGCAAAGGTAAAATTCTCGCAGTTGGCACAGCATGGAGACCTACTAGATCGATACGGTGCCCGGATATGCGTGTTGGGTCGACTGGACTTGCTCCGACCCGATGTTCTTGCGGCTGTGAATCGGGCGGTTGAGCTGACAAGCCGGAACGGGGACCGCGTTTTAAACATATGCTGTCCATACACCTCAAGAGATGAAATCACAAGTGCAGTCCGGAGTACAGTCACAGAATACAGCAAACCTTTAGATCAGACGAAGGCTTCATCCACTTCACGTACACCCTTCTCCGAATCCCACATTGCACTTAATGTTCGAGCACAGAATCTTAATTCGCAGACAGACGGAGTGGATAGCGACTCCGGAGCCACCCAGGAATCCTTGGCTCCAGAGGTATCGAGTCCGAAACATAGATCTTCATTCTCTTCGTCCGCCACTCTCAACAATGATGGGCAGTTGGGCGAAGATTTGCCCGGTGCAAAAGCTACCGAAACACAGAACGCAATTTTCATATCCCCCGAAACCATTACCAGCAAGACATTGACGGACCATATGTTTACCAAAGGCAACCCGCCCTTGGATATACTCATCCGTACGTCCGGCGTGGAGCGACTGAGCGATTTCATGCTCTGGCAATGCCACGAGAACACGGATATAGTATTTTTGGATGTCATGTGGCCCGAATTTGATATATGGCATTTCTTGCCGGTTCTACTGAAATGGCAGAGGAGGATTTCAAAGCTGAAGAAAAACCCGGATGGCGAAGGAGATTTTGACGGGTCTGTGTTGAAGGATATCTACGAGGGGGCTGATGGATCGCTCCGTACTAATGGAAAGATTAAGGATCTGTAGAGCACAAACGTCTTGTTCATAAAAACACATACATCCAGCTGTATACAGTACATATCGTAGTTCCATGCATTGAATCGTCCTCGAAGTCTCGAATGCTGGGCTAGCAGCTCGGCCCAGCCCGGAGAAACCTCGCGGCAGCTAGAACATTTCACCCGAGATTCTCTAGCTGCCATGAACTCGGCGGTCAGCGGACCTTCGAGAACTCTGACAAAATTCAACCTTCATAAATCACCCACTGATCAGGGAATTTAGGGAGTTAGTTTAGGGAGTCATTTAGGGACCTTTAGGGACTCTTTTTTTCTTCTTCTTCTTGAAAGCAATATTTAGAGCATAGTTAGGGCTTAGGGCAACTTTGCTCAAGACAATTTCTAGCTGTGCCGAGTGTTTTTCTGCTCCGAATCTGTAGGTACCGTAACAGCCATTACCTTTAACTTCCTCATATCTAAATGCTATACTGACTCTGATTGGAGTGATTGACTGACAGGTAACCACCAATCAGTATATAAATACATCTTCTTGCTTGCTAGAGCCCTAGTCACCTGGAAAAGCTGCAAGCAAATGTCTGTTGCTCTTAGCTCTAATAAAGCCGAGTATATGGCTCTAAGTGAAGTCGCTCTAGAACCTTATTAATGAACTCAATGTGTCCCAAACCGAATGCCCACCAATTACCCTCTATCTTGATAATCAAGGTGCTCACGCCATGGCCGAGGCTGAGCTCACCTCCAAACAATCGAAGCACATCAATATACGTTATCACTATGCTTGTGAGAAGGTACAAGACAGCATTATTAAGCTCTAAGCCTGCCATACAAAAGCTCAGACTGCTGATGGCCTTATAAAAGCACAGCGTACTGAGCAATTCAATTCAATTGTTTTCTGAAGCTTACTGGCATGTCATAATTTGCGACAGTATCTCCCCCCCATTTTAGTTATATTTCATTCTGATTCACGGCTTCTCATTTGATTGGACAAAGCTGGGTCATATTGCCCTGCTTAATTTTGTTTCTTTCTCTCATTTAAAGGCCTGAAGAGAGGCCGATTTTTTGTATTTAGATTCTTTAGATTAGTCCTTAGGCCAGCTCGTGCGTGGGGTGTTAGATCACGTGGGATTATGCCGCTTAGGTCCGCCCTCGCCTTACCGCTAGTGACCAACCAAGATATGCCTCCATTATCTCCGATACCGCTTCACGTGACGTGACTCAGACCGGAGAAAAAGTGAAAGTCCCCGCAGCTTTCTATCTTCTCTTCTTCCCTCCACTTCAGCTCTTCATCGCTGGTCATCTCGTCAAAATGGCCAAGTCAATTGCGGGTTCCAAGGTCCTTCTTCTAGGCTCGGGCTTCGGTATGGCCTCTCTCACTCCGTTTCGCACGTCCCAAGCCATGAAGTTCATATACGAGCCCCGCACCACATGGAGAGACCGTTCTAACCTTTTATTCAATTCTAGTCACCCAGCCCACTGTCGATGTTCTGAGCAAGGCTGATGTTCATGTTACTGTCGGTGAGTTGCAGTCACTACCCTGATTTACTGGATTGCTTTATTTCCCTGCCCTCCTGCTCTTCGGTTGAATCCGACATCGACTGGGAATATCCTGAGTACTTGCAATTGCCATTGTGAAGGGAATGAATACCCTAGACACGCACTTCTATATATGCTGTTGATTAGTATCGGGAATGAGAATGCGGCTGATAATTTATTGTTAAAACTCAGCCTGCAGAACTCTCGAAAGCGCCAAGAGACTTTGCGGCGGCCTCAAGAACACCACTGCCATTTCCCTGGATGTGAACGATGCTGCTGCCCTGGACAAGGCTCTCGAGCAGGTCGACGTGGTTATCTCCTTGATCCCATACACCTTCCATGTGCTCGTCATCAAGTCTGCTATCCGCACGAAGACGAATGTCGTCACCACGTCTTACGTCTCGCCCGCAATGGCCGAGTTGGATGAAGAGTGCAAGAAGGCTGGGATCACGGTTATGAACGAGATTGGTCTGGACCCGGTATGGGTTTCCCATTTTAGCGATTATTCGGTTTGATCCAGATTCTGACTTGACCTTCATGAATACTAGGGTATCGATCACCTATACGCTGTCAAGACTATTTCGGAGGTATGATTACTGTTCTCCTTTCCCGGTATTTTATACAACATGGCTGACGTTGAGAACAATTTATTTAGGTACATGCTGAAGGAGGCAAGATCACCTCTTTCCTTTCTTACTGCGGAGGTCTCCCTGCTCCCGAATGCTCGGACAACCCACTGGGTTACAAGTTCTCCTGGTCTAGCCGCGGTGTGCTTCTGGCTCTCCGAAACGCCGCCAAGTTTTATGAGAAGGGCAAGGAAGTTAGCATTGCCGGCCCTGACCTCATGGCCACTGCTAAGCCTTACTACATCTATCCTGGTTTTGCATTCGTTGCATACCCAAACCGTGACTCTACCCCATTCCGTGAACGTTACGATATCCCCGAAGCCCAGACAGTCGTCCGCGGTACCCTGCGGTACCAGGGATTCCCAGAGGTGATTAAGGTCCTGGTTGATATCGGTTTCTTGAGCGATGAGTCCGCCGATTTCCTCAAGTCTCCTATTCCCTGGAAGCAGGCCACCCAGCAGATCCTCGGTGCGGCTTCTTCGGACGAGAAGACTCTGGAGGCCGCCATTACGTCCAAGACTGCTTTTGCCAGCAGCGATGATCACGATCGTATCCTTGCGGGTTTCCGATGGATCGGTCTCTTCTCTGATGAGAAGATTACGCCCCGTGGCAACCCTCTCGACACTCTGTGTGCCGAGCTCGAGAAGAAGATGCAGTACGCCCCTGACGAGAGAGATCTCGTCATGCTGCAGCACAAGTTCGGTATCGAACACAAGGATGGCTCCACTGAGACCCGGACTAGCACTCTCTGCGAATACGGTACTCCGGGTGGCTACTCTGCTATGGCCAAGTTGGTCGGTGTTCCTTGCGCTGTCGCTGTCAAGTTTGTACTTGACGGTACAATTAACAAGAAGGTAATATAGCTCCAATATCCAGCGTTGTTTTCATCACAAACGGAAGCTGACATGTCAATTTCACAGGGTATCCTCGCCCCCATGACTATGGATATCTGCGCTCCCCTTCTCAAGACTCTCAAGGAGGAATACGGTATTGAGATGATTGAGAAGACTCTTTAGAGCGCTTGCCTACTCTCCTTTAGCTGTTGAGAAAATTCCTTCTATTTGGATTTTGTAGATGGAAAAACGAATTGACATGGATATATGACGAATCAATAGAACTGGATTAAATATGTGTTGGTACTAGACCGGGCGTAGAACAAGTGTAGAGCTAACAAGTAGCCTATATATCAATCTGCTAAGCAATAACCAAGCGTCCTCACGATGAGCGGGTATTATTGCCAGCCAGAATCATGATGGGAGGCAGGTCGGACCAGTTGGCTAGTCGCCTGCCATTATAGCTCCGTACGTAGCTGATGAGTAGTCGTATGAGCATAGCGATATGCTGTTGAGTGGCCGTCAGGTCAGGTCTCCTCCGGTGGGTCTGACGAATTTGAAAAGTTGTCCGGTATTCAGGATGTTGTTGTATTCGTCATGAAAGTAATTGTTAATATATGGCCTGGAGCTTAGGTGGATTCGGTGAGATGTAGCGGAGGTTTGGTTTGGAAAGGATGATTGGCATTCACCCCAAGTAGTCAGGACATTCTGCACTCGGTCCTTGTAGGGGTGTTGGAGATTGACTCCAAAGGGGCACATAATGTTACCCAGATCAACCTTGAACCGAACCAACACATGTCTTTTCCAAATGCTGTGTGTTTGTTTCCTAATACTACGCAATTGCACCATGGGTATGGGTAATATGTGCAGCATGCCCTCGTGAAGGGGTCTGCAGGCACTGATAGTAAATATCTTTCTCGCACTCATCAGGACAGCTCACATATGGAACAGATCAGTTGGGGCTATAATACTACCATGTAGCTGGAAGTAGAAGTGGCCTACATAAACAATATCAGATATGTTGGTACTTCATCCATTTCCCACTCTTCGAATGGGAAAGAAAGACATGCCAAGTTGGGCAAATAGATACCCAAACTCATGATATCCTTGGATATGAATACCATCTACACAAGAATTCTTCCTTTATTGGCATCGTCATAACCCGCATCAAGCTCATAAAGTAATCTTTATCCTACAACCAGTTTGACAGATCATTTGAAATAGATTCTAAATAAATCAAGTGAGGTTCCCTGTTGATCACGCAGTTGATATCTGAATTCTTAGATCCAAAAAGCTGTGAGAGCCAGTTTGGAGGACCCCCGAGAATCATATCAAGAGTGAGAGAGAAATGAAATGAAGAGAAAGAGAGAAAGAGAGAGAGATAGATAATATGAAGATGAAGATAAAGGAGACAGGCAGCCATCTGACTTTTCCATTTAATATTCACTCAGGGTCATTCACTGGAGTTTGGCAAACCGCATAGGAAAAGGATAGATGGGCATTATATTCACTAGAAAGCCATCAAGTTTAACAGACATCCATACCTCATACTCTCCAGATGGGAGTCTCAAGAGCCTGCATTCATTTTTCCACATTTTTTTCTCATTACCACATGCTCTCTCTCTATCGTAAAATCATTGAACTGTAACAGAAAAAACCAGGATGGATGCTTATTTCCTAAGTAAGAACGAATCCAGCCTCAACGCCCATTCTCTGTAACACCCGTTCAGAAACCAACGGGGACGTTAACAGCCTTGCCTCAAGTTTTTTTAAAGAACTCAATGTCTGAATTGAAAAGTATTCGAGAGAATGTGGACGTCACAGAATCGTGCCAAACCTATACCGAGGAGAAGTACGAAGAGAAAGATCAGTAATCGTCTCGAATGAGATACAGGGAAACTAGTAGAAAGGAAGAAGTGGTAAGGCATGCAAATTAACGAAGCAAACCAAGGGGAACTAGCTTTCTTACCCAAAGGTCTGCTTGATGCTGCGAACGTAGTACACATCCCAGTTCTGCCTGGTGACGTCTTCCTGGCCAATAGGTACTCCAGTCCAGGTCACACGCATTTGGGTGACGCTATCAACATCGTTCTGGTCGAACTTAATCTCGAGCGTACTGTAATGGTCCCCTGGCCACTGTGCCAGGCGCCATTTCTGTACGATCAGAGTGGGAGACACCAGTTTTGTGTATTCTCCAATGACATTGCCATCGAAAATGGAGAATTTCCCACCAACGTGTGCACCCTCAAACTGCCGAGGCGGACCACGGGTAAAAGCTGCAATGCGCTGCGGGTCCGTGAAGGTCTTGTAGAGCTCCTCCGCAGTTGTCCGGAATTCATCCGACGCTGTCACCGTTGTAGTATTGACGGAAACCTTGCCTGATGTAGTTGTGGTAGCCTTTGCAGGAGCGGCCTCCTTCGGAGCTTGGGGGTGATAAGTCGGGGTTGCGAAGCCACTGGACGGGTTCGTTCCAGGGGCATGTTGGATATCCTTTCCGTGCTCAGCAATGAGGGCGGGTGCAAGCTTCGCCAACTCCTGCCGAAGCTGAGGGACAATCTTTGACCGAACGAGGTCCTTCACGGGCTGCTTCGAAGATGAATCGGCGTAATTTTCGATCTCAAACTGTTACCGACACGCATACCTTGTCAACACTACGATCCAGCACGGCAGGGGCGGTATGCAAGAGAGTGAACATACGACGTACTCATCTTCCTCGGTGTCGTGGGCTACCTCGGGAATAGTGATTGAGCCGCTGACGGACTCCTCATCCTTCGTCTTACCTGGTGGCGGTCTAAGTAGTAGCCCAGGAGATCACAGCTCGGGACGCTCACAAACCTGAATACTCTAGCCGCACCTTGACATCAAACAACGTGATGACCTTGCCTTTCCTCTGGCTGACGTCTACATCACCGTCCATTGACAATACGGAGTCTATCTTCGCCGTCACGCCACTCTCCTCTGCAGAAATGGTACTGAGTTTGTCTTGCAGATATTGTTTCGTCCAGCCAGAGACATCCTTGTTAACCCAGTGCCAGTTATTTGGGTTGTGGAGGACCATGATGGAGAGCTGAAAACGTTTGGCTTAAAAAAGCTTCTTCTACGGGGAAACACGGAAATATGGATGTAAGATTGAGAGTTTTGGGGCAGAGTGCGACGAAACGAGTTGTTGGCAATAGGCCTCTTCTTAAACCTAAATTCTGACAAGAGAAGTCTTTCAATTAGCATTGATCCCCAGCAAAAAAAAAAAAAAAAAAAAAAAAAAAAAAAAACTTGACGAAGAGAAAATGCTAATGGACTGCAAAGAAAATTCAGGTTCACGGGTAGCGTTTCCCGGACAAAAGCTACTCAGCATTGGAGATGCAAAGATCTCTTTCAGACTGGTGCCAGCTGTGGATATTTCATCATAATGGACGGGGACGGATGGAAAAGAATATGCGTCTCTGCGTAGGACGGGACTAGAAGGGAACACTCACAATTTTCAGATCTTATCCTGATTTGCAAAGAGGATAGAAGATATGCAGATACTGGCTAATAAATCTCGCAGCAGCAGCAGGGGAAGGGGAAGTGCTGTTCTTTAAGCTGAGGGACTGGTGGGAGAAATAGAAATAGAGTCTGCTCGCAGAAAGGAAAGCTCTAGAAGCCAGTGTGGTCACGTGACCATAGAATCACCCAGACGACAATAATAACATCGTTCATAGTCGATGGACGAGCATGTTCCATCGGCTTCCAAGAACTTTGTATTTCCTAGTGTCCTCATCAGTCATAATTTTGAGCATAATAAACGATTGGTTATATACACACGTATCAGTAGCGAACGAATATGGGTATCATAGGCTCTGAGACAGCGGCAAAGAGAACCCCCCCCAAAAAAAGGAAATCTGTCTCCAAAAGGCCATTTTCATGCGTGGTCCAAATGCTCCATGTCATCCCAACCATCTTCGGCAATAAGCTGTGCCTTGATCCGTGTCTGTAATGCTCGTATCTGACTGCCTAGAGCATCGTTCCATTGCCCCTCTACCGTCGCAACTCTATCCTTAAGGTCAGCCGTCAACAGCCTCTCTTCTTCAGCGCGCGAGTTTTGCATCTCCTGGTGCGCAATATCCTCCGGGATACCCTGCCGGATTCGCTCTGTCTCCCTCAAATTGGAGTCAGCCCTCATAACGGCAGACCTGACCTCGTGAAGGAGGCAGAGGAGGTTGATCTGAGACTCGATATATTGGTAGCTGGATGTCTCTGCATGGGACAGCAACGAGTGAAGATATTGTAACGGGTGTGAATGGTAGCTGGGGTTCTCTTCATACTCGTTCGTAGGTATTTGAACTTGAAAGCCTCGGAGGTCGTCCGGAATCTGCTGTATCAAGGCGAGAAGGCCCGGGGCAATGTCCCAGAAGGCAGAGAGCTGTACCTCCACGCCCCGAACAACGTTTCCTTCAATCACATCCAGGAAGGACTCTAGACGAGATAGTGCCTGCGACTCGTACTTCGCGCGGCGATTCAGGGCATCCTGGACAAAGAACGAGTCTGTCTCGCGCATTTTCTCTTCGTCCCGTTTTTGTAAGTAAGGGAGTGATACCACCTTTCGATATTTCTCGTTACGGTCACTCATGAGATTGTAGATTTCACGGTACAGCTGTTCGCGTACCTCGAATAACCACTTCAGCTGTGTGAGTTTCTCCAGGAGCTCAGGCTTCTCATCCCCTTCCTCCTGTGTCTGATCAGGTGTTCCGTGTTGTGCATCATCAAATAGTTTGCTGCTCAATTCGTCGATGCAGCTCGTGGCCTTGGTAATGCGGTCAACAAGAACAGCGTGCATGGGCTTCAGCACCAAGTCTTGATGAGCATCCAGTTCCTGATGAGCCAGTTCGACCTCGAGCTTACCTTCCTCGATCGCAATTGCAGCTTCTGCTTCCGCAGCCTCGGCGAATGTAATACTGCCTTGCTGGATCTGGCTCTGAAGGTTGGACCTGAACTGCCGACGGCCTTCTTTAGTCCTTCTTTGATGCTCTTCGTGTAGCCTTTCTACATGCGACTGGTATTTCTGCTTAGTAGCTTTGATCTCGGAGAGATCACCAATAAACCTGACGGTATTGCGGTATGTAACAAGGTCCGGGTGGCTATTGTTGACAGCAGGATGATGACGTGGGTAAGGCGGCGGAAGGGTGATGAACCTAGATATATCCAATTTTTCAGTTGTCTCACCTCGCCGAAGGAGACTCTGAGCGTTCGATATCTGGCAGGCTGGCTCCTCATGCAAACCGACCTTCTCAGGCGGATATTGATCCGGTCCACATGAAATTGACTGACCGCTGAAACTCGGGGGGGCATCCTCTTCCTCTGTCTTGGGAACATTGGCCCATTGCATGGCCTGATGTTGTTCACGGGGCAGCCCCATGTATTTTAACTCGCGTTTTGATCGCTGAACTTTCCGACCTTGGCCGATGCTACTTGAACTAGTGGTGGATTCCCACCAACGGCTAGGTGCACGGCCTCTAGAGCTCATCTCGTCGTTGCTCGTATTGAGACTTGCTATGGGGGATAAGGAAGGCCTATAGTTATTGGTCCAGGAAGATTCGACATGCGATTGAGATGCCTCATTCTGAGAAGACGGATATGTCATCGGTACCGGGGTTATCTGGCTGGCTTCGGGTTCTAGGCTCGAGTCCTCTGGTAATTCAAATAGCTGACGGCGTATTTCATCCAAATCCAGAGAGGAGCGATCCCAGATCTTGGCATACCGTTCGCGTCTGATCTGGGACTCAGTTATAATGAATTCTGAGAAGATCTTCAAAGCCTCGGACTCATTTGCCGCAGCCAACTCCTTCTCTATAAACGCCCTGTGTCTCTTCTCTGCATTTTGCATGAACTCGGCATCTTGACTTGCATGCGAGTTCAAAGAGGACGCTTGCCGTGTGGAGGTGTCAGACTGTGAGAGCACAGAGTCCATGGAGGCGACACCATCGGGCATGTTATTCATATGGGGTGTTTGGAGGTCCTCTCCTGTAGAAAAGCGGGAAGCCGATCTCGATCCCTGAGTTGAATTCGGCGGAGGCGTTGGTAGGGTCTTACCAAGAAGCGTCTTGGCTATGTCTTTGGGAAAGGATGGAGGTGATTGCTTTCCGTGAGGTGAAAAAGGAGGTGTTTGGGTATATTTTAAACCAATCCTGACGGGACTGGTGACAGGCCGTGGAGTAGAATGAGGGGACCGGGTTGAAAAAAGGCTAGTTGAAGAAGGCCTAGATCTTGAAGCTTGCTGCATGTCAGAGCCGACGCTATTGCCACTATGTGGAGTGACCCTTGTCGATGTTAGGTGGCGGGAGGTGTCCGGGCTTATACTTGAGCCAGAAAGGTCTAGATCTGAGGGCGTTACCGGCTTCGAAGTGTGATCCCAGAGATTGCTGTTAGGAGAAGCAGCATTGAAGTCCGCAGAGGATTGACTTTGTCTGTTCCTGCGTTCAATCCTTCTTTCGCGGATTCCCTTTGCACTAGGGTCTCTTAACGCTGGGGAGCGAAGGAGGCGTCCGCCTAAGAGTCCATGAGACGTGGAAGAGGGGTCGTGGCCGTCTGGAGCACTTGCACCATTGGACGATGCCATTGCTATGTTCTCGTACGAAGGCTGTTTACCTTGCTTATGTGAAGCCTCCACACTTTCTTCATCTACCCAGCCAGCTGGTGTTGGTGGGATGCTGCCCAAGTCTGTACCCAGCGCTGGAGGCCGCCGGCTCCGTATGGTCTGGGCTTGCGGGTGTTGACCAAATGAAGTATCGTGTGGCACACCTACGCTTCTTGACCTGACATTAGGCGGGGGGCCTGGAGGAGGTGGAGGGAGAGGCATTCCTGGAGCCCAGCCACCTAACGGGGGGGAGCCTCTCCATGACTGGCATGAACTCCTTGAAGAGCTTGTACCACTAACTACCGGCCCCGCAGACGCAGCACGCCTGGCTGCTGGGGGGCGTAGGGGATTATGATCCCAAGGAGACTCGACGTGCTGCCCAGGGTTGCCAGGTGACGCATTTTGCAGGCTACCGTCATTTCGCGAGACTGTAATGTAGGGACTAGGGGAACCGCTGATTGCAGAAGGATCGTGATATTTATCTAGGGAAGTATCTGTATAGTTGTAGGACGATACCCTAGAGCCTGACGCTTGCGGCGGCGGGGGAGGGGGCGGAAGAGGCACCCGTCCACCAGTGCTTGGACGAGGTAACTGGACCATGGAGAAAGGCCGTGAATGGGGCGCGGAACGTTGATATCCAGAAGAGGCTCCCACCGAGGTGGTGTTTGGATCAACGTGCAATAGCGTCGCCACTGTCGAAGGCTCGGTTGAGACAGCTCGCTCAGGATCATTACTTGACGGTCGACTGCAATCAGGAGGTGAATATGGCGGAGGTGGCGAAGAGCATCGATCTATAATAGTAGTCATGTTAACCCCCCCGGGGACAGTATTTCACGCTCTGAATAGTATTCTGTCAAGGCGTCTTTACTCCAAAATCAAAAACAAAAGAGAAGAGACGTCACCTAAACCCAAGGAAGACGGTAGCAACAGACCTGAGTGAGGCCCATTTAACGGAAGGGGAGCAACCCGAAGCATTTCATTATTCGGCAGACTGCCAGCGGGACCCCAGTTCTGGGGGTTGTAGGGCACATTGTATTGAGCATGAGACCGCTGCCGCGCCATGGAAACGATGCGCTGGCGATTTACACCCGATTGATGAGAGGTGAGGCGATTGCCCTTGGACAAATGTCTTTGACAGGGCCGTAGAAATTGAAGGCGTCGACGCGTCGGTACAAGGTGAGCCCTCAAGGGCGACGCATCATCAACATGACCAGAAGTATCCAGCGGTCAGAGATCATGAAATATTTCTAAAGTCGAACCGAAGAGAGAATACCGAATTATTGTATAGAGCCTGCACAGTTCGTGCTGGAGGGGTTGTGTCAAGGCTCGAGAGAGCACGGAGCACGAGCAGAGAGCCAGGCACTGCGATGCCGGGACAGCGAGAAACGGCCATTGGCAGTTCGTGTTTATTCTAGGCTCGCGGAGAAAGCCTAATCCAGGATAAAATTGGAACGCAGCAAGGATAAAACGACGGTGGAGGACAGAAGGGGTTGCTGTTTTGCTGGACTCGAGCAGATATGCACGAGGCCGCACTCATCACAGGCTATCCCAGCCATCGCCTGTCCCATCGGCGCTTACGTGCAAGAGGACAAATCACGGTTGCAGCCCATCCAACAAGACGATCAATTGTCTGACGGTGTCACTCTTGGTGGCTTTCTGCATAACGTAGCGTAAACCGGACAGAAATGGGAGAACTTCAATTTAGGTACTGTTACGTACTTTATTCTTAGCACGGGAAGCATTCTGGGGGATTTCTAATTGAACCGAGAGGCACTTGATAATAGTTGCATTAATTACTACAGTAAGAGAAGTATCAAAGGAGGGAGGTGACCTGCGACAACTTGCATATTAGCATCCACTGCACCACAATAGTTTATGAAATGTCATGACAGCGAAGAAATAGATATCAGATAATAGCCCTGTCACAGGCAGTGGTCATCAATGTAAAGTTATGTTGACCGTCGTGATAAAAATAAAGGTAAATCATCATGAAATGGCGAGAGGAAAAGGAACATAGGGACCAGATGCTGACTTACCATGCTACGAGAAATGAGGGCAAACGAGGCCAGCTACAGAAGCAGAAAATCTGCAGAAAGACTCTGGAAGCCATCAGTATCGACGACTTGATAAAAAACATGAACATAGAACAAGCGACCACATTGATCAGTCCTGACAATTGTCGTCCTGGCCGGCAGATGCTGGCTTGGACATATGCTTGTCTTTATTTTAAATTGTCAAATCATCATGGAGTGAAGGGGCTTCCACAATGGGAAGATGACATACAAAAAAAAATTTCTGAGCTGATAGTCTCAAGACAAGAAAGGGAAAAGAACCTCAACTAATACTACAGGGTGTCAGCAAGTTATTCATAACAGCTAAAAAGGATAGCTGAATACATGGGGTTGAATCAGAAACAATGCATGAATGGTAAAAAGAAGGTTGTCTGCATCGAGAAACTCGAATAAGACTCGTCATCTAGGCAATCATCATAAAAAACAGAGGTATTCGCTCTTGACAGGAGAAAAGAAATATATCATTTACCTTGGAAGAGAAGATATTTACTGCGAGTTAAGACTGATAGTCACCTAGCACTCAAAAAGATTAGAACGAGACCATGTAATATTGAGGGTGACATTGAGGAGAGAAAAGCCAGTAATTCAGTGGGCGAGGTTTTCTAGGCCTGCCACAAAAGGGCATTTCCATCAAGAATCGGACGTTGTCTGACGCCGTCGGAGCCCAGTGCCGTTTCATCTTCGAATAGCGGCAAAAACTTTCCTGAGAACGGTATGTTTGTAGAGCTCACCTTATTGTAATAGCATGTGGAAGGATGGTGACAGCAAGTTTCGGTTCCTATTCTACTATCTTCGAGCCGTCAGCATATTGTTCATGAAGCGTATGATGTTTAAAAGTACGAATTAATATTTGAATCAGTAATAGCCATTGAGATAACGTCAAAAACCCGAAGGTCTCAGTCGGTAATTTCCAGCGTATATTTTGAATAAAATGATCATCATGAAAATAGATAGGTTGTTCGAAATAAAATTCGACTTACCATTACAATGAAAGAGTGCTTCAAACTGAATAGCACGAGTTAGTCCTAAAGAAAATCCGTTAGCATGCCGCGGTAAATTGTCCACTGGTGAAGCATGGTGGAAATTGCCAAATAGATCAGCCTGACGTGCAAAACAACAGAGTTTTCATTCCATGAGGTCAAAGACTCTAGTTTGAATTGGTTGAAGTTATCATCATAAGATATGGGTTGGAGGCGTATGCAGAAAACTCGGAAGTGCACTTACTCGACCTTGATCTGCATAAGCATAAAAGGGAATGATGAATGGGAAGATCCAATGAAGTAATCCACGAGCTGCACAGATTTCTTTCTCTCTTTCTCTAAGCCAGATTGTTGAACCATAATCATCAGTGGTTGAACGAAAGGCTGGTTTCTTGCAGGGAGAAAGGAGAAAGCGAGAGCTTCGCGAAGAAAATATAATTTTCTTTTTCCAGGTCACGGGATAGAGCTATCTTTTACCGAGAGAGCTAACCCTTTTTGGGTTACCATCTTCCTAAGCGGAATGATTATATAATAAACTCACATCTTGTTTTTGTTAGAGGTCACGTGTATTCTGCCATATTAGACCGCCCTCGCTTGGCCTGACACACTAAAATAGCTAGACCAACCTAGATAGATACAATACAAGCAAGTTGATCCAACAGGTTATGAGCCCTCGCGCTCGCTACGATCGAGAGCTTCCAAAAAAGAAGATATTAAGTCGTTTAGGACGAGCCAAATCCGCTCTCCTGATTGGCAGAACCAGAAATCTTCTAAAGAATCTGTCACTTGGATGATAGATACACCAACCTTTCTAACGAATCTGTCACTTGGATGATAGATACACCAACCTTTTTAACGAATCTGTCACTTGGATGATAGATACGGGGATCGTGTCTTTGAAACACAAAACCCCAACTAAGGATGGAATCAACTGAACCATCTACGCCTCCAAATACAGCTAGACGAGCTTCCACTCTCGATACTGAAGCCTTCAACATGGCGGATACCCCTACCCCCCTCCCGCGGTCCCAGAACGGTCAGCAGGAACAGAACCAACAAAATCAACCGGCAGCTCCTTTGGACATGAATCAAGCCTTCTTGATGATGCTACAGAGGATGCAAGCAATGGATGAACGCCAACAACTCATGCAAGAGCAGGTTCTTGAGCTTCATCGACAACAGCAAAATGCTGCACCACCTCAGGATACCACAACAGACCTCTACAACTCTCTACAGCTCGAAATCAAACAGCTTACCAAAGAGATTAAAGAGATATGGACAGATCGGTGCAAAGTTACCCTGAATGGTGATAATTATGATGACTGGCGAACAGCCATCACTAGTGATGCTGAATTGATAGATGCAGTCAAAATCCTTTATCAAACAGCTCCACCAGAAGCTTATGATATTCGTCTTTCTACAATTTGGACCAAGAAATCAAAACTGCTACGTGCTCGTATGGTGAATTCAATGACACCAAAAGCTCATGAACAGATTGGTATGCTACCAGATAATACGGCCGCGCATATCTGGGCTGAAGCCACCCAACTTTGGGGTCGATCTCGTGCTGAAGAACGCCTGACGATCCGCACACAGCTCTTTGATCTTCAGATTAAAGATAATGACTATTTTACGTACCAGGAGCATTTCAAAAAGCTCCAGACCCGTCTATCCCACATTCAATGCCCCCTACCAGATGATGTCTATCATGATCTATTCATCCGCGGACTTGGTGATTGGAATCGTCATTTTGTTAAATCAAAACTTGATGAATTCTATAGCACCGGCCAGGGAGCAATTAAGGATCTTGACCTCAATGATCTTATGAAGCAGTTAACCCTTCGTGCTGGCACCAGAAATCGAGAAAAGAAGGACCAAACATCAACCAAGGAAACCTACACTGCTAAGCAAGCCGCTAGCAACCATGGATCTTATAAACCAACCAACAAACCCAAAAATGACAAAACAAAAACCCCAGACACCCCCCTTTGCAATTGGTGTCACCGTCGCCATCCTAGCAATCAATGCTACTATGCTGATCCAGATAAAGCCCCAGAGTGGTGGAAAGAAAAGAATCAGCATATACTAAAGCTCTATCAAAGGAGTCCACACATCAACAAAACCATTGATACCCAGAACAAGGATCTTATACTATTTGGTGCTTCAAGCTCAAAATCAGCCCATGCCAAAACAGCTATGCCTGTTTCAATTGGAGCACCATGGCTACTTGACAGTTGCGCATCCTACCATACTACCCCCAATCGTGATGCCTTTATTGAATTTACACCCGTTTCTAGAGCAGAAATCAAACCCAAGGACATCGTTGAGAATGCCACCGGTGGCCAATCCTTTCATACTGGAATCGGCACCGTTGTCATTGAAATAAATGACCAACCATTGGTATTGAGAGACGTGAGATACAATCCTTCATTCTCATCCAACATCATATCATTGGGAACCCTGAGAAAACAAGGATATCAGCTTCAATTTGCCCCTTCTGACGCAATGATCATCATCTCTCCAGATGGCACTGAATTTGAAGCCCCCCTATGCTCAAAAACTAGCATCTACACATTCCCACAATGCTATTTGCTAGATTACAACCCAAATGCTGAACCTGCTCCCAAAACAGCATATGCTTTTGCTTCTATATCTCATGATAAAGAAGACACCCCCGTTACTACCCATCAACCCAAAAAGATACCATTAACCATGATGGAATGGCATCGGCGTCTTTGTCACCTTAACCAAGCTGACCTTCTTCGGCTAGCACGAGATCCCTACTCCTGCGTTGCCATACAAGGCTCTAAAGAGCTACCTTTTTGCAACACCTGCTGTCAAGCTAAACAAACTCGGTCCTACAGCAAAAAGCCTCGTGTACGCTACACCAAGCCATTATCGCGTGTTCACATTGATATTGCTGGTGGCGGTCATACACTAGATCCAGACTCAATGAATGATGAAATCACTCCTTCCCGTATAGGAGCCAGATATGTGATGATAATCACAGATGACGCTACACATTACAGATGGGTCTATTTCCTTGAAGCCAAAAGTAATGCAATTCAAGCATTCAAGACCTGGTTGCAGCTCATTAAAAACATGGGATTCACCTCACCTGCTTTCCTAATATCTGACAATGAATTTAATTCCAACGAATGGCAAAAGCTGTACCAAACTGAGGGTATAGATTGGCAGCCAGCTAATCCTTATTCCCCTTGGCAAGATGGTGTCAGTGAACGAGCTATTCGAATTATCTTTGAAAGAAGCCGTGCTTTAATGCTAGATGCTCCTCATATCCCTCACCGTTTTTGGAGTGATGCTATCAATGCAGCTACATGGCTTACCAATCTTTTACCAACTTCAACGCCACTATACAATTCAAATGTCCCTGGGGGAGTTGATACAAATACTATGATCAAACCTTCCCCTCACCGTCATCCCTTAGGAGCTTGGTTCAACGCCCCAGCTGATTTTACATCTTATCGCCGTTGGGGCTGCCCAGTTTGGGTTCACCTTCATGGCACTGAGAAACCAACTCATAAGCTTGATTCTCGTGCTAAACGTTGCTACCTGATTGGTTATGTTGCCCATAACATTTACCGGATTTGGGATCCTGAAAAAGATACTATCTTCAACAGCTCAGATGTAACTTTTGATGAAAATTATGATACTGAAGCTAATAATCATTCTTCAACTCCTCTAGTTATTGATACCATTCATCCAGATAATCTCCCAACTACAGTTGATCCTCCAGACCTGATACAATCCAATTGCGAACCAATATCTATGTCTGATGACTGGATGATTCCAACTAGCAATTTCAGTTTTGCTGCTGCCATACGATCCAAAAATCCCTACCTACCTGATGACACACCAACTTCATACCGAGAGGCAATGAATCATAAAGATAGAGATAGATGGCAAGCTGCAATGGATCAAGAGATTAACCAGCTTCATGAAAAAGGCTGCTGGCGTTTGGTTAAACGAGCTGATCTTCCTCCTTCTACAAAAATCACACCTGGTCGATGGGTGTATAAAAAGAAGGAACTACCAGACAGCAATGGCTATCTCGCCAAAGCACGCTGGGTTATACGCGGAAACCTTCTTGACAAAGATTATATGGAACGCTATGCCCCAGTCATCACTGAATCAACTTCAAAACTACTATTCGCACTTACTGCCATTCATGGTTGGCACATCCGTCAAGGAGATGCCGTACTTGCCTATCTAAATGGTAAATTACCCCCTGACAAGCCTGTCTACATGACTCAACCACTTGGCTATGAAACTGGTCAAAAGGGCCAGTATGTTTGTGAGCTCATCCAAGCTCTCTACGGCCTCACCCCTTCAGCCCGAATATGGTATGATACTCTATCTGTTTCATTGAAGGAATTTGGTTTCAAATGCTCCAATTATGACTCCGGCTTATGGATACACCAAACTCGAAAAAATCTCTACGTTACCACCTATGTTGATGATTTCAAAGTCATTGCAGCCACAGCCGACAATGCTGATTGGTTTATGGATACCCTTGCTAAACGCTTTGATATCAAGGACCTTGGAGAAATGAAGAGATATCTTGGTGTCAACGTTAAATACAACCAACAAGCCAAAACACTAAGTCTCAGCCAATCTGAGTATGCTGAGGACCTTGTTACCTCTTTTGGATTATCTGATGCCCATCCGGTACAGCTCCCAATGGATCCAGGCTTGATTATTGATGATGACCCTGATCCCACTATCAATGTTAAGGAATACCAACGTGGTGTTGGATGCCTTGCCTGGTTGGCAACTAAAACTCGTCCTGACCTTAGTCGTACAGTTGGTGTTCTATCACAGTGGAACTCTAAACCAACAAAGAAGGCTTGGGCAGCTCTGAAACACGCCCTACGATATCTCAAAGGAACCATTAATCAACAGATCACCTACCGCGGTTCTGTTGACCCTATCACCAATCAAGACCTGATGCCAGTGCTCTACTCTGATTCTGATTGGGGTGGTCCCCTTACTGGAAATCGACGCTCTGTATCTGGATACATCCTAATACTTGCTGGTGCACCAATTGCCTGGCGCAGTCAATGCCAAACCTCTGTTGCCTTGTCTAGCAATGAAGCTGAATACATGGCTGCTAGTGAAGCTACTAGAGATGCCGTTTGGATACGAAACATCATTAAAGAACTCGAAATTATCTCCCCTGATGAAGAACAGCCTTTTCCACCAGTTCCTCTACTAGTTGACAATCAAGGGGCGTTACAACTAATTGCTTCTGACCTCACTACCAAACGCTCCAAGCACATCGATATCCGCTTTCACTACGTACGCGAAAAGCTCCATGAGGGCGTCATTGAAATAAAAGCTTGCCATACGAGTGAAATGGCAGCTGATGGTTTAACTAAGCCTCTGCGCAATGACCGGTTCACTACTTTTCTCAAGCTAATTGGGATGAAGGGACGTTTGCTACCTTGCAACACTGAGAATTCTGATTCAACGCCTCTCATTGGCTGAAGGAACCGGATCCTATTGAAGCGCATTTCAACGATCATCTTTTACTATGTAATTTAGCACTATTTTTTTGCTGTCAGGCTAGCTCGTGCGTGGGGGAGGTGTTAGAGGTCACGTGTATTCTGCCATATTAGACCGCCCTCGCTTGGCCTGACACACTAAAATAGCTAGACCAACCTAGATAGATACAATACAAGCAAGTTGATCCAACAGTTTTATTGGAGCCTCAGGCACTATTTCACCCAAGACGGCTAGTCTGGATTACCGCCAACTATGTGTACATACTGCTAGTACAGCGGCAGCTATAGTATTCGCAACGCTGTATAGTGATTCAACGGTAATATGATTATTCCTGGAGTCTGGCCAGTGTAAAGGTGAGATGGAAAACTCCTGACATTATTAGAAAAGATGACGCAGCAAGTGAAAAAAAAGACAGTCGATCTACAGCGTACCTTGCGAGCCAGTTTCAGCACCACTCACCCACGATATGGATTATTAAAATCTGCTGCAAATGCCCATTGCTAGATTCTGGTTAAGCATATTCAGGGCCACTTAGAGCTGGATATACTATGAGGATGGGTGTTCAAACCACGGGAGCAGGTCAATATCTTAGTAGCGGCCGCTCTACGCCATCATCATCGCTCGAGGTATCTCAATGGGACCCCGGCCGTGAGAGAAAGATCCGTGCGAAGTAAGCGTTCATGATCATTGACAGCAGAAAAAAGGCAATGGCCGTGCTGACACATATTTACTCATAAGAGTGGATTTCTCGGTGCTGCCGCTGCTTTATCTGGGGTTCTTTATTTTTCAACTGGACCGCATGAACATTGCCAGTGCCCTGACCGGTGGCTTCGCATCTGACATCAATGTCTCACAATCCACGATCAACTTGGGCAATCAACTCATGTACATGGGCACTGTGGTCTTCGAAATACCATGTAATATGGCTCAGCAGAAAGGGCGTACAGAAGGGCTCGTCGTTAGAAAAGAATTCTAACAAGTCAGTTTGGCCCTCGCAAATGGTTATCCGGTCAAGTATTTCTGTTCGGCCTAATGGGCACTCTACAAGTATTCATCAAAAATCGAGCGGGTTTCCTTTCCATGTGGCTCTTCCTGAGACTGGTTGAGACTGGATACATTCCCGGAGCCATGTTCACTTTGTCAACGTGGTATAAAAACGAAGAATTGGCTAAACGAGTGGCATATTTCTTCTTCGGTATGTTTTCGGGTAATGCGCTGAGCCCTCTCCTGGCATCTGGGGTTCTGCAGCTCGATGGGCATCGCGGTATTAGAGGGTGGCGATGGCTCTTCATAAGTATGGTTTCCCAAGCAATGAACCTAGAATGATGTTTATTAACTCAGTATCGGAATAGTCGAGGGCATTTTCACCATATTCTTTTCCTTCCTTTTCCTCTTATTTTTGCCTGGGTCACCCGACTTTCACAGGCCCATCCTTAGTCCGGGGTTGCTGAGATTCTCTGAGCCAGAAAGAGAGATCCTCCGTGAGCGGCTGCAAAGGCTAGACGATGGATATCCTGAAAAGGATCATCACTCTAAGATTCCACTTAGAGTTGTTTGGAAGGCTGTTTTGTATTACCGTCGCTGGTTACATTATTTGTCCACTTTTGCCGTGTTTTCGACGTGGAGTCCTCTGACTACTTACACGCCATCCATCATGATGTGAGTCGACCCTACTACCTGATCCACGATTCAGAGCATTGTTAACTGTTCCGTATCAGGTCGCTCGGATTTGACAGGACCACTGCTAATGACCTTGCTGCGGTCGGCGGACTTCTGGAACTTGTCGTCGTGTTTGGTTTTGCCTATATCGGTGACCTATCCAATGTGCGAGGGGTAGTATTGTCATTATCGCTATAGGAAGTCACATCTATCCCCCAAACCTAGCCAAAGATAGTAAAACAAATGTAGTAAACAATATTAGGAGACAATGGGTATCTTCACTTCACTTCCCCTCAGCACGCTCAACAAGTCGATCTTCCAACCCCATCGGTTCCCATGTATCCTTTGCCTTTTTGTTCTGTACCCAGACCACGTCGCCCTGTATAAAAACGACAATACCGCCCTTGCCCGTTGCACTGGCCGTAATCCGGAACAAGGGCTGTCCGTTTTGGGGATGGGCTTCTCGCAAGGGCAACATGATGAGGCCCTGCTCCGAGCACCAGCTTTCCAGGATATCCCTGAAGCCGATCTCCTCGGGAAGTTTCGGTTTGGGACGGGGTGGCTTTGCTGTCGATGGAAGATTCTCCTTGGCAGCGGCTGCGGCGGGAACCTGCTGCACAATCGTTGCCGTTGCCGATGGTAGAGGTGGGGGGGGAGGGAGTTCGGTGGCAGCGCGATCGCCCAGGCGAGAGGCAAGGTCCATTGTCTGTAAGCCCTTTTTCCATTCGTCGTCGATGATGGTTAGGTCATTAATTTCCTCTGGAAGCTGGGTACGCCACCAGGAGAACCATTCGGCAACCTCTTCGTAGTTGGGGTCATTTGTGAGCCAGATGTGGAGTATATTATGCCATTTCGGGAAGAACTCGGAGACCAGAAGGAGGGCCATGACGTTGGGCTTGAAGAATGGCCTCCATTTGAGGACGTCTTCGAGAACCGTCAGATCCTGGTCTTGCGGGTTTACTTCGAATTCGTCCCGCATGAGACGCGCGAGACGGGGGAGGAGATGGTTTCGGAGCGAGACGTCGAATTCAGAGCCGAGAGCGTCGCGCCACAGTTCGATGCCACTGATCAGACCTTTGTGGAGATCCCAGGTGTCCAGCACCACGCGAAATTTCCGTTTCGCGTCGGACATCAGGCCTGTTGCCTGTTTTGGGTTTGTGTGCCATTCATCCAGATACTGGAGCCACGTAAAGAGCCACCAGGGGGAACGTGAATTCTGACCCTGACGTCTGCTGCTTCGCGGTTGCCATCCTTTGAGAGCGCTGCTTAGTTTCGGAACGACAAGCTGGTCGAGGACATTTGCGTATACGAACGATGGTAGGATCTCCTTCCATGCCACGATAAGCGAAGTAGCTGGCGATGGGTCGTATACGTCCCATTCGTTAAGGAGGGCAGACCGCACCCTCGGTAGCCATAGTGTGTAGATCATCGTCTCATATGGCGATGTAGACTGCCGCGATCTCTGTGTCTCCTCACCGTCCCTTCGCGAGAAAAGAGGTTTAAGACGAAGCAGGTTCGATACCAGGAATGTAGGTTCCTTTAATGGATCCCACTTCTCCATTGCCTCTCGGAACAGAGGATGTATGGCTGCAATGGCAGCCTCAGGTAATCGGTATTCGTCAAGCACGTTTTGATATCTTGATTCTATGGTTTCAAGCTTAGTGGTCACCTCGTCCAATCTTCGGTGAAGGCTGTCATCTGTGAAGACCTCCAAGTTTCCTATAGCCGAAACCAGCGCTGTAAGCTGATCAGCCTGGAGCTGTCGCGTATCCAGCTCTTCGACTATCTGAGCCTCCTCCATTTCAATGAACTTCTTTCTCTCTATCAACCCCTTCCACTCGTCGGCGAACGCTTCAAGATCGTGACGAGCGCGTTGCGCGATCTTATACGCTTCACCCTCTCCCTGATTGACGAATTCTAGCGGTGCCATCAAGCCAGCTGTGGAGGTCAATACCCTGTGTTCTTTCCCGGTGGCATCTACCAGCGACTTGAGAACATTCGGAACCTCCAGACCAGCCATATCCGCTTCTATCTCTCTAGCTGTCCGAAACCGGGGCCTCGTTCGAGCGACGGGTGTGCCCGCTCCACTCGTAACATCGCGTCTGCGCTCCTCCGCCTTCTTCTTCTGCCGCCGCCGTCGTTCTTCATCCGAACTGTCCTCGAGTATTTCACCCCTTCTGGCAGCCTCCCGCCTCTCTTCCTCTTTGGCTTGCTTGGTTTTCTCTCTGACGGCACCTAAGCCTGCGCCCTGTGGCCGCGCTTGAGCCTCGATGGGGTTAACAATACCCTGACCACTGGAACCAAGACCTTGACCTTCCACGTAACCCATCTTTGCCATCATGCGTGCAGCGAACGAATTCCCACTCAGACCAGACGACCCCTTGCCAGTCTTGGCATTTCCGCCTCTCGGGGTTCCTGCTGCTGTTTGCATGTTGGCCCGATGACTGTGACTTGCACTTCCCAGACCGGATGTAGTTGGAGGTGACTCAGATCGAGAGGAGGCCCTGGCGAAACCGCGGAATGCAGTTGGCGGGTAGGCATCTTCTTCGTCGGAGCTCATGTCGACGACCTTGCGCTTTACGCCAGCGAATGGGGCTGTGGAAGGGGAATCCATGATTAGACGAATCAGTGGAACTGGCGTAACCCGTGTCCAGGATTCAGCAGAGGCGATTCAGCGACGAAGGCATGGCCGTCTGTTCGAAGTAATGATCACAGCGGAGAAAGGCAGAGACAAATGCCGGCACGTGCAGAGCTGGCCCGGAGCGGCAAAAGCAATTGTCCGCGGCAATGACGTTAGTAAATATTGCAGCTTGCTTCAATTATTTAGCATGGCTTTCTTCTCTCCCTCTTCTCTCTCTTCTTCCTTGTCTCCGAGTCTCCTAATTGACCCTCTCCGCTCTATACAACCCCAGCAGCTCTGATTTGTGTATTGTTCTATTAATCTTTCTAATCTCCTCATTCACCATGGCTGCCACTCTCTTCCGCAGCTCTACCCGTGCAGCTCTCCGTGCCGGAGCTTCGGCTACTCGCCCTGCAGCTGCCGGGATCGCGGGCATGACCTTTACCCGTGGAAAGGCTACTCTGCCTGACCTGCCCTGTATGTTATGTTGTCCTGGATCGCTTCTCGTACCTCTCCAATCGTTTCTGATCAAACAAATCCGCTCCGTTCGGCATGACGAACCGCTGCTGACTGCAACCAGACGACTACGGTGCGCTGGAGCCCTCTATCTCTGGTCAGATCATGGAGCTTCACTACACGAAGCATCACCAGACCTATGTTACCAACTACAACAACGCCGTCGAGCAGCTCCAAGAGGCCCAGGCTAAGAACAACATTGCCGCTCAGATCGCTCTCAAAGGGGCCATCAACTTCAACGGAGGTGGCCACCTGAACCACAGTCTGTTCTGGGAGAACCTGGCACCCAAGAGCGCCGGTGGTGGAGAGCCACCCTCCGGTGCCCTGGCCAAGGCCATCGATGAGACCTACGGCTCGCTCGGCAACTTCCAGACCAAGATGAACACGGCTCTGGCATCCATCCAGGGAAGTGGATGGGCTTGGCTGGTCAAGGACACTGCAACTGGCAACATTGGAATCAAGACCTACGCCGTGAGTCGCAGCGGTAGATTTTACTTTGCTCGATAGATCACTGACAGCTCCTCTAGAACCAGGACCCTGTTGTGGGCCAGTTCGTCCCCCTTCTTGGAATTGATGCCTGGGAGCACGCCTACTAGTAAGTGATCTCCTTTCCTGTCCGACAATCCTATTGAGCAATTGCCAACCTGTCTTGTCTGTAGTCTCCAGTACCAGAACCGCAAGGCCGAATACTTCAAGGCGATCTGGGAGGTCATCAACTGGAAGGCGGTTGAGAAGCGGTTTACCTAAACAGGGGAAGAGGGGGGACTATGTGTACACAGGCAATATAGGTTGAACAGATCCGTTTGACTCTGATGCCAAGAGCATCTCCGATCGCATTTACAGCGTAGCCTGTAGGATATACATACACAGTGCTCTGTACTACTGTAGGACAGATGAGCTAGCCACTACCGAATGCGGGGCCCGGGCCCGGCGGGAAAGCAACAAGACCGGTTTTTTTGAAGATGACGGCGCGAAGGTTGGCTGCAGCTTTGCTCTGACGTACCACCAGTCAAGATATTCTGTCCAGACCTTGGGGAGCGACGATCGGCTGTCTATCGCCATTCTTGTCTTCTCTAATCTGGACAATTCTCCTGCAAGTCACATGTTTCCTCTTCCGGCCATCCGCTCGAGCTTCGTAATACATACTTCCTGCGTCTCCGGCTGATAATAACGAGCTCTGCTTCAACCATCCTCGCACCACCTGTCGTCCGCCAGCTGCAGCATTGTGGAAGATGTCATGGGCCGCCATCGGGCTTGAATAAGAAAGAAAAAGGGACGAAAAAAAAGACAGCAAAAAGGCACCTGACAATGACTAAAAAATACTCCTTCAGCGCACGCTCGCGTCGAAGCTCAACGGGAACGTCGGTAACGGCGGCGACGACAGCGACGACGGTGACGGCAACAGAGGATCCAAATCTGACTCCTCAGGACAGCAGAAGCATACACAGAAGCGGCAGCTTCCGGTCATTTCTCTCCCACGCCCTCCGTCCCAAGAGGTCCCGCAAAGTCCTCCGGAAGAGCACCAAGCTCGAAGATGAGCCTCCTTCACCACCCCCTCTTGCGCCCCTGCAAGCCCATCGGGAGAAATACCGGCAGCTGGCAGGGAAGATTGACCCGCAGCTGGGTGAAAACCTCGATTACACAACCGTGATCCACGCACTGGGTCTCAATGAACACCCCGAAAACCAGTTCGGGGACGATGGCGAGTTCGACGAGAATAGGCCACCCGGGGAACCCGACATCGCCAGTCTCTCCCCAGAGCTTTGGGCAGAGGTGGCCGAATATCTCAATCCCGCTGAAGTGGCAAGTCTGGCTTTTGCCAGCAAGACACTGCACGACCGACTCGGGGATGGCCCATGGAGGGCGTTGGATCTACCAGAGAACAGGGAATATAAGATTAAATTCTTAGTAGGGTTGGATAGGTTCCTGCCAGGACACCTTCTCTGCTTTCCTTGCGTCAAATACCACGTCCGGACGAAGGTGGGCCGCGAACGACTGAAGCCGGCACACGTTGTGAATCCCCTCTTCGAGTGTCCCAATGCCCGGAATACCTTGCTTCGGCCCCCTCGACACCGCATTGCCCCCGGCCGCACGCTACCGTTTGCCTTCGTACAGCTTGTGCTGCGCGCATGGCGATACAACATAGCGTACGGTATCACACCAGACTCCTTGAACCGGCGATGGCAGCGTGGTAGTTGGACGCACAGCACCCGGTTCGTCATTGACAAGGGCCATTTGTTAATGCGGGTAAGCAGCTCAGCATTCGCCGATCCCGGTATGCCTCCCAGTATGAAGCGGTTACTGTTGTTCAACCGTGACGACTACTGGCCGTATTTCTCAGTCTGCGATCACTGGCGCGATGGTGAGCTCATGAACATCTGCAAGTGTGCACTAGACCACATCCCCGTACCCCGGGATACAGCTGGCTTGCAGGGCGCGGAGCACAAAGTAAAGGACGCCTTGAAGGGACGGATATACGACCCTAACGCCGTCGCTAGTCTCTGCGGCAAGTGTCGTCCCATGCGTCGCTGTCCTGAATGTCCAACCGAGTACCTAGTCGAGGTCAGGCTAACTGAGGACAAGTCTTGCCATGACCCCAAGGGGGTCCATTTCCGCCAGGCTATCGTTGTGACCCGCTGGAGTGATCTTGGCGATGGCAAGTCACCCCTGCAACCCGAGTGGGCTTCCATTAATGGTCAGTATTCCGGATACGATTCGTTTGCCGTATTAGGCAAGAGATCGATCTCAGGCATCTTCGAGTCGGCAGTTACATACGACACTATTCCGGGACAAAGGATCATCTCGTTGAATCCGAAAAACAAGAAGGCAGACGTGAATGGCGACAGCTGGTACTAGGTGGTGATTTGTACGTCACCTATTCACTCGTCTTATTATTCCCTCTTTTCCTTTCCTTCTTTCCTTTTCTCTTTCTATATACCCTCTCACTTCAAATTCTCCGACGTTCCCAAATGCCCCGGATCGTCAGCTATCTCTTTTGTCGATGTTGGCATTGAATCTTGGGCACTGTTTGAACAGACGGTCTCTCCCGTCTTTGCAAGTGAGCAATTCACCGGTCTAGCTCATCCCTTTTGTCCGTATTCCCCCTCTTAGAGCCACCCGATCATTCTACGAATATTGATTATTACCTTACGATTTACCAAGAGGTGAATCTATCTGCCCATCCATCAATTTGTCAGGATCGATGTCTGCAGGCTGTCACACTCATTTGACAGAATCCATATAACTATATCATGATGTTCGTCAAAAGGAAGAAAACCATAGAGTGTTAACCTCTCCTCACATAGTTTCAGTTTCAGATTGTACACTCCAACTAGGCTTAGATTGGAGTATTAAACGTTGTTAGATCAATGTCGGATCAATGTACTTGGAGATGGAAGGTTTGAAATTTTCTTTCATTTTTTTTTAGCTTGGTTGTATTTATTTGATAACTTAATAAACTGGCGCTAATTTTAAACTGTTACTATGTACATGTTTGCTGACGCGTTCTCATATTATGTTTTGGGCTGTCCGCTATCACGCATAAGACAGCTGAGTCCGTTCCCAAGTCATGATTCATCATTTTCGTAGATCTTCGTGGGCCACCTTTCCTCCATAGCAGCTGTGTGCCTTATACAGAGTATAGGCGCTCATCAAGATAAAAGGTTGTCATCAGCTAGCAAGAATAATGCGTGGTCCTTGCTTTACGGATAACAGGTGCAGGTGCACCATAGTCTTCGTCTTCCTGGATAGGGGAAGAATCCTTCGTCGAGGGGGCTTCAAATTGGCGCGGTCGACGAAAAAAAGGCAGTAACCAGCGTCGCCGTGGCCGTTCAGTGCCTGGAGTATTTTCAACAACAGGTTTCTTTGGTCCAAGTGGCGCTGTATTCGTCTTATATCGACGAGAAAAAAAGGAGAATCGACTCGGCACTCGTTTGCCCGTGAACTGCAACGGGTCTGTTTGGGAAGAGCACGGTGTCCCTAGGCTAGCATGGCGGTTACTCCTAGCGGGAGTTAGTGCGTTGTTTGAGAGAGGTCCCATCTTCGCTGCCTCAAGCCAGTCCTCGGTTTCCAAGAGATATAATGAAGGATCTGGTCTCGAAGGATATCCCTCCGCGGGGGAACATGGAGATGTGAAAGGTCTCCTTTCAATGTCGGGGGTCTGGAGTCTGCCGTCTTCTTCGGAAATGAAATCGTCTTGCCGCAAGGAGTGAGACGAAATGGTTGGTCCTAAATAGTGATCGAATGTGCCGAATGTGCAAGACGTTGACGGTCTTTCCTCAACATCGGAAGCCAGGCCCTCCGTACTTCTCTTGTCTAGTGGAAGCTGGGTGGCCATAGAGGATTTCTTTCGAGGATTATCTTCTATGCGGATTCTATCTCGAATGCATGCATTTTCGCCCGAAGTAGCTCCTGTCGAACCCGGTCTGATGGTAGCCATCGCACTTGCAGACCGAATCTGGTCAAACTCCCGTGCTGAGGACGGAATATCTTCCGGACGGCGGCTACTGTTGGACCGGTTTATAGAAGCCTGTCGCGCAGAGCTCATCGTATCTGGGGTTGGTGGAAGCCGTGAGCCATCGTAGATAATATCGTTTTCGGACCGTTGAAGCCTGCCCTTGAAGCCATTTGCGACGCGCAGGCCTTTTACGGTATCTGGACTATGGGTAGATTGTGAAGCCTCCAAGACTGACTGATCACTCCATTTTTGTAGAGTGGCCTGGAAATCGTCCGCTCGTAACTGAACCCATCTCTCTACACGAGTATCGTCCTCTACCCCGTACGAGTCAGAGCTTAAATTCTGCACAGGTGTTTCAGATCTATTCAGGATCGTCAGGCTGCTCGGAGTAAGCTCACTGCACTCACTCAGGGCACTTAGCCTTGGCGAAGCGGGTTCCGCGGTCTCATCAGAATGCAAGCTTTCTGTGCCTGTCAATGTGCTCAGCACGGAGAAGGACTCATCACGGTAAAGACTGCGTAAAGTAAGGGTACTTTTGTTATCCTCTCGCAAAAATGACGGCGCTCTCTTCAAGGGATAAAAACTCTTCCTCGAATAGCGAGCCCTAGTGGCCTTCTTGGATGATGTCCTTTCTGGAATATCAACGCTTGTCTGAGTTTTCGGGTTTATTAGCGCGTCCACCGCCGGTTTACTTTCAAGTAGATTGGGAGGAGTAGACGGAAGCGGCGCTTGTCCTCCCTCTAACTCCTCAACTTTTGCTTCCAGCTGGCAGATAAGATCCACCGCCTCTGTAATCGCCTGATCGCGCCTTTGTATCTCTTCCCGCAGATTGTCATTGGACTGTTTCAGTTCCCGGTTTTCTCCTGCGACATTGCGAAATTTCTCCAACTCGTTCTCCAGCTGGCTCATTCGCTTAACCTCTTCCTCGAGTTCCTGCATCCGGTCCAGCTTCTTCGTAAGAGCTTCAACTTGCTGATCACGGTGCCAGATTTGGAGCTTCAGGTCAAAATTGAGCTTGGTTATCTTAGAAACATACTAAGGTAAAAGATTAGTATCCATCAGAAGGTGTGAACTCCGGCGTAGAACACACCTCGTCAGTCTCTCTAACACCCATCTGGTGGGGGGGTTTAGACCCGGTGGAAAGTGAGTTGTGAAGTGCCCGTCGGTTCTCTGAAGGAGTAATAGTGCCATCCTGCGGCTGAACTTGGACAGGCGTAGACGTGGCATCGTCATAATTGTTACTGGAAGAAGACCGTCGCGATTCTCGGAATGCGCGTCGCTCTTTGATCAGATTTTGTAGAAGGACGGAGTTTGGTTGCACTGTCGATGACGCTGTGCTCTCGAGGGTTGCTATTTTGGTTCGGGCCCCCCCGTCAGCATTCCGTGGTTCCGGAAAGTTAGTTCCTGACCCGGTCCACGTACTCTCTTTGGAAATTGAGGATTGGGTATTCGACTTCTGTGCGAGTCCCGCTGGCACACGTGTTGGACAGGGCGTTGAGGAAGCGCTCACGCTGCGACTGGTAAGAGGGGTGTTTTGAGCGCGGTCTCGCGAAGACGACTTTTCCTGGGGAGAAGGAGGCCACAGGGCAATGGTGACGCGTCTGCTACTTTCTCGGTCCATTGCGGTCGTAGCACAGTTGGAATTGAAAAACCAAAGAGCAAAGGATGCGTTCCGATGATGGGTGACAGTGAGAGGGATTGAATCGGGCAAAACAATTGAGCCGTCTACTAGGGACTTGTCAGTTCACAACAAGCTCCGGAAGACTAGTGACGCGACAACCGACCGGATAGTTAAGACGTCGAACAGTCGATAAATAGGGCTGCCCACAGGTAAACACATTAAGCTCTTTACTGCATGAAGGTTAAAGACAGGAGCAATGCGGCTTCTAAAGATTGTGGTGGAAAAGGAAAGGAAGGGAGGAAAGAGAGAAGAGAAAGAGAGACTGGAACAGAGACAGGGAGAGAGTGAGAGGGGGACAGAAGTGAATGGAGAAAAGAATGACTGAAAGTGTCTCTAAGGAGTATTCAGGGGGAGTACTGTGAAGGAAGGGCAGAGCACAGTCCCAGCTGGGAGTGAAGGAGACGGAGAGGGAGGAGAGCCGCCAGCCTCCCAATATTCTGGCACATCACTACTAACTATCACTAGTATCAACTTTCATGAACAGGAGTTTCTGTTCAGCACTATTTAACTGCTAACCGACCACCCGCCAATGGGAACCGCCCCAAACGCCGCTAAAGACGCCATGTAGCTGTGCATGTCCATCATACATACATAATTGTCCGGCCTTGCCGTTTACCTTCCTGTCTCTCCATGGTGGACTGGACTGCAAACAGAGAATCATCCTGTTGCATATATCGTTTCATGTTTCATGTACGGAGCGGAGTGCATGTCTCCAGGTCAAGATCGCCTATTTCTTCTTTGCCTCGCCAGACCAGATGCGCACTTCCTTGGCGCTATCATGCGCAACCCGGAATACTAAACCACCGGCAGGTCAGACTTCAACTTCAAATGGCTGCAAGGAGAAGAAAGCTACAAGGGACCAACTCACGCTGTCGCTCTGTCTCATCCAGACCGCGCAGGAACTCGACACCCTCACCCACAGCACCGCGTGGGTTGTGTGCATGATCTGCGATCTCCGCAGTGCGTTTTTTAAACGTCTGCGACGTAGTCAGCGTCGTCCCTCCATGTCAAATGCCGAGAAGATGATGTGGAGCACAGACGTCGCTCAAGATATCCACCATCTCTTCCTCCTCAAACAGCTCGAGGATCCTTTCGCTCAAGTTATAGAAATGTGGTGCTAGGGATCTCAAGTCCACCGTGCGCGGATCAGCTTTCAGTGCATTCATGACCCGTTCGGATAAGGCCGAGGGCAGGTCAAGAGTGACCAGACGGGATGTTCCCAATCGTGTCCTTTCTGGTTGATTAGAACAGGACAACAGGACAACAGGACAACCTCGATTCGTTTGCTGCTTTAGTCCCCAGAAACTCACCCGATAGACAGCATCTGGCCCAGCCATAGTGGGAGATCGATGCGGGTTCCCGCTTTTATCTAGTGATCGTGAGCCGGGATATAGCATAGACCAGAACAATAGAATAATGGGTGTTCGCAACCATACATTTTCGCCCGGATTGCCCTCTAAAACACCCAGGCCGGGCACTTCAAGCTCAAACGTACACGGTAATTTCTGGGGATGAGCGAGATCAGCGCGGGCACTATCCATCGTGTAGGAAATGTGCGCATAGCCATGTTGGTGACATTGCTCGTGTAAGCGCCTACCTGGGCATCTGTCAGGATGGAATCGACATCATAGTAGGACATGTTGATCAATGGCAGAGCCAAAGCGACGTCGTCAGAACGTCTGTAGCTAATATTCCACATGAGTTGCCCAATGCCTAGGTTCTTAAATGGCGTACCGAAGATACGCGTCACGTGTCGGTCCGATTACTGTACGCTGCGCGCTACACCATCCAATTCTACCAATTTCAAACAAACTTCCCCAGATCTTCGCCTAAATCGCGCCTTGATATCATCGTCCGCCAATAATGTCGGACATGAAAGTAAAGGCGATTCAGTGGGATCATTTAATTACAATCTGATTTGCAACCTCGATTGTCAAACGCGCAGGAAACAGGAACAAATGCTGAGCATAGGTCAGCATTCCAGCACTGGTCTTTCGCAAAAAGCCAATATCGTCTTGAATTGCCTTGGATCAAAAGAACAAGGGGCAGGCGACTGTATGATTATGCCGCGGACTATCATTGAATCCAGTCCTCGACGGGCCGTTCCTGGATGAACCTACACGTTGTCCGAATTGGGAGGAGATCTTATGCATCTGCAGACTCCAGAGACTAGGACAGAGCGCTGAAAATGGTTGAACGATCTCTTATTGAGCGCTATATATAGGAGCTGCGAATTATCTATGACCGGACTCCCCTGTTTCTCTGTTTCCTCCTGTTCCTCGGAAGACTGAGACAACGCACGACCATGCATAAAAATAGACACTCAGTGGACCCCTTTCGGCGCACTAGGAATAATCTGTTAATTAGTCGCGATGGATTCCAGAGTCAAGAACGCCGTGGTCCAGGACGTATCACAAACTCAAGGAGGTGTGTGCTCTGGACGGAGAATAATAGTTACACATAATGACTACCAGGAATACTGCATCTCCCGTTTCAGGCTGGCGGAGTACAGAATACCTATCTCTATCTATCTGTTGGGAACCGAACAATCAGCGCTTTCGACAGTAATTAACCAAGAAATCGAGATAGCCATCCCGTGTGAAACGGAGGGTAAGCTTGCACCGGGCATCTTAGCGTAGGGATCAACATACAAAAATCCATCAGGATCCGTTGCCACGACGTCAGTTCAGCCCAATTCGATTCAGTATTAATATCGTCGACAGTATTAATATTGCTATATCTATCGGTCCAGGCCAATTCCCGCCTCTTCGCAGTGGCGCTCTCGCCCAACCTTCTGCTATTTGCTGTCTATCTAGCTATCTCTCTCTAGTTTATCTAACCTTCTTTCTTGTCTATCTATCATCCCCTTGACGATCGAGCTTCCTCGAAGTCGGCTCTCTTCTTGTTCCAATGCGATAGTGTCTTATTCCTTATTTCCTGCCGGCATCCCGTCGACCCCTTTGATTGGCAAGGCATCCAGCTGGGCCAACCGGTTTTTTCGTTGTCTTTTCGTCCCTGGGGCCGCTTCCTTGATGGACTTTGAGTGACGCGTCCGGATCTCTCGCAATCTCACCTTGTCACGACAACATCGATCTTTATATCCTAATAGAAATACATCATGGCTTCCTCGTACAACGCCGTCTCTCAAATGGACCACGAGGTTGCCTCCAATGCATCCGACTCGGATTGCTCGAGGAGCTCTTCGCGTGAGCGGCAGAAGGACAACGCTTTCAGACCTTTGTCACTGGACCTGTCTAACTTAGGCGGGGGCGATTTCATGGACGCAGCCAAGTCTACTCAGGATTCTCGGCTTAGTCGGCTGGGTTCGATAATGCACCCCGCGACCCCCGCGACCACCGCTGCCTACGATATGCTCGATGAGGACGACTACGAAATTGCGGAAGCCTCTCCACCAGGCCAGGAAGAGGAGTCGCATGCGGAGCCCCCCCACCGCATCCTTACGGCTGTCGAACCATCACCACGTCCTCTGTCCCCTGAGGAGCCGACCCTGCGTTCTCCATCCAGCGACCATCCTGTTCCTCTAAGCCACCCTATACCGGATCTGCAGTCACTGCAAGGAGCCTATGTGGGCAATGTGGAGAGATTGGAAAAGAGCGCTGCGCGCTTGAGCATGAGCTCCACGGACATCGGGAGTGAGATACGGAAGATGGACCGGGAGCAGAAGAGACGCTCATGCAGCACCGCGTCGAACTCAACTCAGATTAGGAATGGCGCCTTCTCTCCACAAGCCCATTTTTCATCACCTCGGGGCTCGGTTCGATCGTCCAGGACTCGTTTGCGATCACCTTCTGCGTCACGTCTGACGCAGCTTGCTGAGCCTGATGGCGAAGAAGATGACGACGATTCTGAACGCGGATCTCCTATCTCACCTATTCTCCCTCCGATTCACCGTCAAATACAGGAAGAGCATAGCTCTGTATCCAATTATGACAACTTCTCAAACGTCGACCTTGGAGAATCAGCAGACAGGCCTGCAACGGCTGCCTCCGGTGATACATATCAGCAGGCGAGGGTTCTATTCCGCGATTTTGACGGAGTGCATTTCGTTCACCATGAAAACAACCTGGGCGTCTCCCTAACGAAACCACCCCTTGCAACTAGATCAGAGTCGTTCAAAGAGCCTCGGGTAGGGGAAGATATGATATACTACCCAGCTCCGGTTCCAATGATGTTGAATTTACCCCCTCGGCTGTCCAAGAAACCCGCTTCGGACCAGAGATCTGTGTCTGAGCGGGAGAATCGGCAAACCCAGGTTTCCAGTTCTACCCATCTAGAAAATAGAAAGTCCGCGGCCGTCCCTCCAACAGAGCTGGATCAAGAGGCAACCGATAGCAGACTCAGTAAACGACTGACGAAACTGCCTCCGCACCTGCGCGCGAGCGCATTATTCGACAGACCAGCCGCACGAGTTGAGCTGGAGGTCCAACATGCGTCTCCCGTTGCAACTCTTGACAGTATTCTTGATGCATCCGCCCATGCCCCAGTAACGGCCTTTACCGACCATCCTTTTGTTGGGCGTGAGGGTGCGAACGTATATAAGAAATCGAAGGGCAAGTCATCATCGGCGAATACTGCTCCAGTGAATGCCACTCGAGATAATGCAGAACAGAAGAAGAAAAACCGCCTATCTAAAAGTCCATTTGCACTGCGTCATCTACCCAAGAGCACAACTGCACTACTTTCGAAACCAGAGGAGACACATGAAACTACCTCTTTACGTCGCTCAGGTGCCAGCCATCATGGAGACCACAGCTCATCCGAAAACTCCGACGACGATTCAGGTGAGTCATCCTCATCAGAAGAGGAAGAGACAGGGGAAGAAGAAAGGGGAATGGAACATGCGGAAGAAGAAGAAGAAGAAGAAGAAGAAGTAGTAGACTACATAGGGCCTCCGAGCACCCTCCTTGCAGAACTCCAGAAGAGAAAGTTGGAACTCCAGCAACGCCGGCGTACTGCTGCCGTCTCCAATGGAATGCATTCTACGCTTCTACAGCTTGAGGCCGTGGCTCAGAAGAAGAGCGAGCAGAGGCGACATAAGCGAGTAACACTAGCTTGGGAAGATCCAGATCCCCAGGGTGAAGACTCTGACGAGGATGAGGACGTTCCTCTCGGCATACTCTACCCGGAGAGAAACAGACGTGCGGATGAAGATCGGCCCATTGGTCTTCTACAAAAGAAGGAGATGGAGGAGAGCGAACCTTTGAGCAGGCGTCGTGCCAGGCTTCGGGGTGAACCGCCACCCAGTCCGGTGAGGCGTGCAAGCACTATGCCAGCTGGGCAGTTTGAAACCGGAAGTGAAGACGACGAAGGGGAGACCTTGGCTCAACGTCTCAAGCGTCTAAAGAGTGAAAACCGGACTAGCACCGTCACAGGAAGCGAGTTCACCACCGAAGTCCTAGCTGAGATAGACACCAAGATTGGCAATAGTGAGAAGGATGGAGGTGATGCGAAGAAGGATGAAGAGGCACCAAAGGAAGAACCGAAAGAGGAGACGCTAGGTGAGCGTCGGAGACGACTTCAAATGGAGGCGAAAATGCAGCAAGGGCAGGGCATGGGTCAGAAAGCTCCCAAGGCTCGACGAAGCATGGCAGATATTCTTCAGGAATATCCTCTCAAACCGGAGCCCATGCAGGGGCCTGATCGATCTTCACGCCTAGATTACCCGTATCTGAACGGTCGACGGGGACACGAGTCGGTACCAAACCTGATGTCGACCTATCAGTTTCCATCCAACTTCGGGTACCAGGGAGCTGCGGTTAACCGGCATTCGCAATATGCCATGGCCAATCCATATGCACATGGCAATTACAATACAAGTGCTCTTGTCTACAATAATCCCCTTGCAGCCATGGGCCATCATCAATATGGCCGTGGTGTGCCGTACGGGTATGGTGCCAAAATTAGACCACAGATCGACCCCAGTCAGAGGGACATGATCGACCGCTGGAGACAAAGCATCATGAGATAGTTAGTTGGTTATTTGATTTTTTTGGTTTATTTACATTCGGTTTTTTTTTTATTTTTTATTTTTTTTCTTGCTGCTTTCAGTTGGTTCCCTGGTTATTACGTCGTACTATACTCTATGCCCATGATGGAATTCTTGACATTATTAGCACATAGCCTACATAGCTCCTTTGTGATATCCCCTCGCAGGTTACACTGAATTTATTTTGTACACATCTTTTGCCAATCAGTCATGCAGCTATGCTGGTTGGATGTTGTAGGATTAAGAGTGGCTCTGCAGGTTAGAACCTTGAAACAGATTGAGGCTTGTCGATGGATAAAAATAATAGCCGCTTTTCCCGGCGCTTGCGACGCAACCAAAGCTCGAAAAGGGTAAAAAGAAATAAGTAAGAGGTAAGTGCCAGTCGGTTATTTACAAGACATGGAGATAAGAGGAAGCATCCTGTTGTGTCTTTCGTTGTGTCTCAACAGTCTCTGGAGCCTGCTCCACGTCTACTACTATTTTATCTTTCCAGCTTAATTAACCTGTCTGTCAGTTAGGATCCAGCTCCCCTCCTCCACACCCCTCTCTCCGCCATCTGAATGCTGGTTTGATACAGAAATAACTATCATGTGAAACCTGATCCTGATTTGATTGCTGACTTGCTGACTTGCTGATTGGGAATTTTTCCTGAAGGAATTGTGAACGTCAGTCCGAGTGCAGAATGGACTATCTCCAAGCGATCTAATGGATTAATGCATACGGAGCGCGCCTTTGCTACTATATACCCTCTCGAAACATCTCGGGGAAGCGGAACATCTGTGTGATCCCGGAAGACGAGGGACAAAAGGAATAAGAGTGGGAAAGAAAGAAAAGAGCCTCTCGCCATGCCCACTTCGACCGTTTTCTCGTACTTGCGCCGCGAACGTCACCGGTCCAGTGCATCCCTGGTCAATCCTTCGGCGTCACAGCAACGACGACAGTCGTCTTCCCCCGCCAAAGAAAACAAAAAGCGTCGTTCTACTTCTTCTTCTCCTGCCACCCGTCAGATTCCCGCGAATTCTACTTCCTCGCCGCTCGCAACTACGGTCGATCAGTCTACCGCAGTGCCTGCTGTGTCGAGCGAGAACGAAAGCGAAAACCCACCGAGTTTCGATACGGACAAGCGGAATAATAATAATAACCACAACCATAATCGTAATAATAATAATGAGAACGACCGCGCTGGCACTACATCCGGTTCGAATGTGTCCTCATCTTCGCCGACAACCCGTTCTGCTCCAGCTCCTTCGTCCGCCGATAAGCTGTACCGACCCCATTCGAGTCCTGAAGAGCGAGCAAGTGGAGAAATAGCCAGTAACACGCCTATATCAAATCAATCGCAGACGGTCCCGGATCAGGATTATGCGGAGATCGATTCCTCCAAATCGAGTACTCCGTTCCGATTGTCCTTTCCCAGGGCAATCTTGAAGGCCCAGACGCATTCGGAAGGTCAGAAGCGATCCCCTACGCCTATTGGACTCTCGACAACGACGAGTCACTTCAGATTCAAGTCGTCTGTGGAAGGTGAACTGGGGTATAAGGATAAGGACAAAGATAAGACGGTTTCTTCTCGTGAAGTGTTGACGGAGCATGCACATCATAAGTCGGGCAAGGGCGTACTGCAACTCCTCAATCCTATGTCTCTGCTAGCTAGAAGACGCTCCTCCCACATTGCAGGGTCGCGGACTACAGATACGAATACACGTTATCCAGGTTCGGTCCCAGCCATCCCAGAAGATTATGACCCCAGAATTCGCGGAAACATCGTCCATGACTTTTCCGCGCCTCGCCCTCGTCGGAACGTATCATCAGCAGCTACCCTTCAGCGGTCGGATGCCAACTGGTTTTGGGATAGTAAAACCAACAGCAGCGAGTCCCAAGGGCCGAACAGTAGGCGCAGTCGGCAACATCTACCTGCCTTCAAAGAAAATTTCGACGATGACGAGAATGCCCTTCAAGTTGAGAATAAGGGTTATCTGAACTCAGAATTATTGACAAATCAACTACGTCCGGAGGACGAAAGGTCGATCCCTGTTTTTGCCAGGAATCTACCCTCGAGGATACCGGACAGTGAAGAAATTGGGAAGGACAGGGAGACCACAGCGGTTGTTTCGGAGTCTTTACCTGCAAGCCAAGAGGAAGGCTTGGCGACGCAGGAGAAGGCCCCCGATGATGCAGAAGATGCAACACAACCGCAGTCGCAGCCGCAATTGCAGCTCCCTTCAGGCTTACCGAAGCGGTTCAAGAGCGATGCGTCCAGGTTCAGTTTTGATATGAACGGCCTGGGATCATCGGTCGAAGAAAAGCTTTTAGAGGAGAAGCATAAAAAAAAACAGGAGGCTGCGCGTCAGGCCAAGGCGCAGTTGGGAGAAGAAGACAATGATCGCGACTGCGATTTTGACGACTTCGATAGTGGCATGTTTGACGAAATGGATTACTTGGAAGAAAAGATTCCTGGTGTCAACGTTGATGCAGACGAAGATGATAATTCCTACGACTTCCCCGGTGCGGGGAATGCGCTGAGGAACCCTCTCTATTCTACTGGTCTGTCTCCGGATATCAGTACCTTTTTAAATCCCGTCAACTCGAACCTGGCAGCGCTTTCTATTTTACAAGACACTTCCCAGAATGATGGCGTTGCGAATGCGAATGCCAATGCCAGTTCCGAAGTCGCTGGGTTTTCCCCAGGGCAATGCTCTGTGTCTCCCATGGACTCAGGTCATGATGGACTAAGTGACCAGGCGGACATACAATCTCAAGACACCATCGAGCAGAATATCTCGGTGGAATCGCAACGGGATGGTGAGGGTGGAGCTACGGAACTTGGCACGTCGCAGTGGAACAATGATGATGACGATCTCTACTTCGATGACGGAGAATTTGACGACCTTAAAGCTGATGACGTTGGAGGCCCGTTTGACGAATCGATCTTTGATGACGAGACAAGCCATCTGTACGATCGAAATACTCCGGCTGCGCGACTAGCGGCTGAGCGCTTGAAGGGTGCCGATGCCGCTCTCGAGCGAATCAGTGAGAGCGAAGTTGCTCCTGAAGAAGACCCGCTGGAGGGCCTTAAAAATGCCCCTAGTATGGCTAGCGAATTCCGGAGATCCTTCGTTGGAAGCCACGGTCAGACTTCTGAGCGTCCTCCCAACTCGGGGCCATCCTACGCACACGGCGGCGTGCTCTCGGAGCAGAACCTGGCTGCGTTTCACGACGCTTTAGCGAAAGCGGCCAGCGAAGCTAATACGACAAACGGCCGGTTTGGCCGGGCTGTGGGCATCAGCGGACAGTCTGTCGACCAGGAGAGTGTCAACGAGACCTCACACACTCTCGGCTCTCACCCAGGATTAGTGTCCGATGACAGTCGTAGTCAGGTACCCGACGTGACGGGTCTTGACGATGTCTTTGAACATGTCAACTACGACGAAATGGACGATGATAACGCATTCTATGATGACCCCATCATTGCTGCCGCAAACGCGGAGGCCCTGGAGAATGATGACGAAGGGTTCTACGGCCAGGAATTCGGATTCTACCCACAAGCCCCCGCCAGCTGGAACTCCGAACTCACCAATGGCGGCTACTTTGGTCCGCGTGGCACCGAAGGTATCTCTCGAAGTCACAGTGGACGGGGCAAATTTCAGGAACCGTCACTCACCCCCATCACGGAACGGAGCGAATGGAGTACACGAAACTCGATTGCCTCTCTCAGTGCGTTTGGTTTGAGCCACCCCCAGGCTAACAGCCCTGGTCCCGGGCTGGCACAGTTGGTCGATATGGGTCATAATATTGACGATGAGATGTCTCTGAGTACGCTGTTGAAGTTTCGCCGTGAGGCTTGGAGTGGGAGTGATGGGAGTCTGAGCAGTGGTGCCAACAGCCCGCCTCCTCCTGGTCCTGCTTCGGCGCCATACATGTGCTCGAACAGGTCCCCTAGCTCTGTTGCGCCTCATTCCTATTCACGTTCTGTGTCTATGTCCCTTTCTATGGCTGATGGCGAGGATCCCAGTCCAGGTTTGCTGGAGTCAAGGATGGGTGGGTATCGAAGTAGCTGGGCAGGCCCTGGAGCTGATTCTAACACCGTCTGCTTTAACAAGAACACGGACGACAATGGAGAGACGAAGAGTATATGAATTGATTGATCGAAGGGCCATTGTCATATATAATTATGTATATCCTGTTTAGTTCCTTCTTTTCCCTTCTTTCCCTTCTCAGTCTCTCTTTTGATTTTTCCTTTCTTCTCCAGTGATACACAGCGGCTGTCCTACTTCCCCCTGGCTGGACACACGCTCCGGGTATTTAATACTTTGCTACATTCATTTCTTCTTTTTCGTCTTCTCGTCTTCTTTTATTTTGACGTTGAATGACAGCTTTTCAGCGGTAGGTCCTTTGGATGTCAACACTGTACATATATATAGACACGATGCAATGCATTGTTTTATTGTGATTTTTTGGTGTTTCTCTGACTCCTGCTACGGTGACATGGCACTGCACGGATGCCAGAACCCCCCAAGAGAGACGGTTTGCGCTTGTGCAAGTGACCTCAGGGCGTTACATAAAAGTGTCATACGCTGGTATACCACGAAGGGCGTGCGCTGCAATAGCCCGGCTATGGTTGGACGATGTAAATGCAGCCGCGACAGCAAGGGGGCTCATCCACGATCGATCCGTCTATCCGGACCAGAGCCGACCGCGACCATGATTCTCCTTGATCCTGCAGGGCCAGGAGCATTGTCGAGCGTAGCCGTTATGGAGTAGAACGACAGAAACGCGTAGCATAGAAGCCTCAACGGAGTCACGGAAGTCAGGCTGGCAGCAACAGCCGGAAGCAGCGGACAGCCACATCATCGCCCGTAGTCAGCGGCAGTTGGAAGCAGGCAAAAAGCCAGCTCGGCCCGGCAATTCCCCAAACTCTTCTTCTGCTTCTTCCCAGTGTTTTTCCCTCCTCTCCTCTCCTCTCCTCTCTTCTCTTCCTCAGCTTTCCTCGTTTTCCTGCGTCTTCCCTCCTCCCTCTTTTATCTCGTTTCCTTTTTTGTTCCAGAGAGTGTGAACTCTCTGATGACTCCCGTTTTTGCGCAGGTGTCACGGCAGCTCTAGTCGGCACCTGTATTTTGGCCTGTACGCTCACCCTTCTCTCTTTCGGATGCTGGAAGAAATCCTTTTTCTCTCCTACTATCCCTGCGACATTATTTGAGCTAAAGTACTGTTCTTTGTGCAATGGGGCTGATTTGTTATCTGTTGGAAGCAGACCTGTTTTGTGTCGAGTTACCGAGTCGGAAACAAGGCATTGAAACTCTCCGCTCCTCCGTCAAGGCAACTCCAGTTTTTGATCCACAACAACAATCCAAACAGTAATCGCAATGCTTAGAGCTACAACCGTCAAGGCCACCGGCAGCGGCTTGCTGCGCGGTTCGGTCCGCTCAGCCTCTAGGCGGTCTATCTCTCTTGCCTCCACTGCTTCTTCCAACAGCCGTTCCAACTTGAACTTGACCACCCGCAGACCTCTCGCTGTTGCTGAACGCGTGTTCAATGATAAGAGGCGCTATGCCGTGGCTTCCCAGGAGACGGAAAAGGGAGTGGTAAGCTACCGGAACCTAGCGCGTAGTTGTTGATGCTATTTTGCATTCTCTATCTCGCAAGGGAAGAAGCTTTTTTTTTTTGTTGTTCCCTTTTGGCTAACCATTTGTCTTTTAAGGATCCCAACGATTCCTTCCTCCAGGGCAACACAGCCAACTACATCGATGAGATGTACCTCGCTTGGAAGAAAGACCCGTCCAGCGTTCATGTTTCGTGGCAGGCCTACTTCAAGAACATGGAGGAAGGCAAGATGCCCGTCTCAAAGGCATTCCAGCCTCCCCCAACCCTTGTTCCTACACCCGCCGGTGGTGTTCCTTCTGAGATGCCCGGCGCAGGATTGGCCTTGGCCTCTGGTACGGATCTTACCGATCACATGAAGGTCCAGCTTCTCGTTCGCGCTTACCAGGCCCGTGGTCACCACAAGGCCAAGATCGATCCTTTGGGCATCCGCGGTGAAGTTGAGGCTTTCGGATACCACAAGCCCAAGGAGCTTGAGCTGGACCATTATGGATTCACCGAGGCAGACTTGGACAAGGAGTTCTCCCTCGGTCCCGGTATCTTGCCGCGCTTCGCTACCGCAACCCGTACCACCATGACGCTGCGCGACATCATTGCCGCTTGCGAGAAGATCTACTGTGGATCCTACGGTGTGGAATACATTCACATTCCGGACCGCAAGCCGTGCGAATGGATCCGCGATCGCTTCGAGATCCCTCAGCCTTATCGTTACTCCGTGGATGAGAAGCGTCGTATCCTCGATCGCCTGATCTGGAGTTCCAGCTTCGAATCCTTCCTGTCGACTAAGTTCCCCAACGACAAGCGTTTCGGTCTGGAGGGCTGTGAAACCCTGGTACCGGGTATGAAGGCCTTGATTGACCGCAGCGTCGAGCACGGTATCAAGGACATCGTCATCGGTATGCCTCATCGTGGTCGTCTCAACGTTCTGTCCAACGTCGTCCGCAAGCCGAATGAGTCTATCTTCAGTGAGTTCTCTGGCACTGCTGAGCCTTCTGACGAAGGTTCCGGTGATGTCAAGTACCACTTGGGCATGAACTTTGAGCGTCCCACTCCCTCCGGCAAGCGGGTTCAGCTGTCCCTGGTTGCCAACCCGTCCCATCTGGAAGCCGAGGACCCGGTCGTGCTCGGAAAGGCCCGCTCGATCCAGCACTATAATAATGACGAGAGTGACTTCAACACCGCCATGGGTGTGCTGCTGCACGGTGACGCTGCCTTTTCCGCCCAGGGCGTCGTCTACGAGACGATGGGTTTCAACTCCCTCCCGGCCTACTCTACCGGAGGTACTATCCACCTGATTGTGAACAACCAGATCGGTTTCACGACTGACCCGCGATTTGCTCGTTCTACTCCTTATTGCTCCGACATTGCCAAGTCGATCAATGCCCCTGTTTTCCACGTCAATGCGGACGATGTGGAAGCTCTGAACTATGTCTGCCAGGTCGCCGCTGATTGGCGCGCAGAATTCAAGCACGACGTTGTCATCGACATTGTCTGCTACCGCAAACAGGGCCACAATGAAACCGATCAGCCTTCGTTCACCCAGCCTCTGATGTACAAGCGCATTGCATCCCAGAAATCCCAGCTCGACAAGTATGTTGAGAAACTTATCGCCGAGGATTCTATCAGCAAGGAAGACATCGACGAGCACAAAAAGTGGGTCTGGGGTATGTTGAACGACAGCTTCGATCGCCGCACGGACTACCAGCCTACGGGTAAGGAGTGGCTCACTTCCGCATGGAATGGCTTCAAGACCCCCAAGGAGCTGGCTACTGAGGTCCTGCCTCATAATCCTACCGGAGTCCAGGAGGATCTGCTGAAGCATATTGCCCATGTGACCAGTGCGGCTCCTGAGGGCTTTACGCTTCACAAGAATCTCAAGCGTATTCTGAACAACCGCAAGAAGGCTGTTGACGAAGGCAAGGGTATTGACTGGTCAACTGGTGAAGCGCTTGCTTTTGGCTCTCTCGTTGCTGAGGGATACCATGTCCGCGTCTCCGGTCAGGATGTTGAGCGTGGTACTTTCTCGCAGCGTCACGCTGTGCTCCACGACCAGCAGAACGAGAATACGTACACACCCCTCCAGCACATTGACCCTAATCAAGCCAGTTTCACCATCTCCAACTCTTCTCTGAGCGAATATGGAGTGTAAGTATCTCGACATTTCCCTTGTCTTTGGCTTACTTTCCATTTCTAATATATTATTGCTATTTTAGCCTCGGATTCGAGTACGGTTACTCCCTGACCTCGCCCAACGCGCTTGTCATGTGGGAAGCGCAGTTTGGTGACTTCGCCAACAACGCCCAATGCATCATTGACCAGTTCATCGCTTCCGGTGAATCCAAGTGGCTCCAGCGATCTGGATTGGTCGTGTCTCTCCCTCATGGTTACGATGGCCAGGGTCCGGAGCACTCCTCTGGTAGGATGGAACGCTGGCTGCAGCTCTGCAATGAGGAGCCTCGTGTATTCCCACCGGAGGACAAGATCGACCGCCAGCATCAGGACTGCAACATGCAGATCGCCTGTATGACCGAACCCTCGAACTTGTTCCATATCTTGCGTCGCCAGATTCACCGCCAGTTCCGCAAGCGTACGTATTTCTCATAGCCCGGTTCTTGTTGTACCTTGACAGGATATATCAAAACTAACATGAATAATTTTCCCCTCCCCCAGCTCTCGTCATTTTCTTCTCGAAATCGCTCCTGCGTCATCCTCTTGCTCGTTCCTCTCTTTCTGAATTCACCGGTGATTCTCACTTCCGCTGGATCATCCCTGACCCAGACCACGGAAAGACCATCGATGAACCGGAGAAGATTGAGCGTGTGATCATTTGCTCTGGCCAGGTTTACGCTGCACTTGTGAAACACCGTGAGGCTAACAACATTCGCAACGCGGCCATTACCCGTGTTGAGCAGCTGCACCCCTTCCCTTGGGCGCAGCTCAAGGAGAACCTGGACAGCTACCCCAATGCCAAGAACATTGTCTGGGCCCAGGAAGAACCTTTGAACGCGGGCGCCTGGAGTTACACTCAGCCACGTATTGAGACCCTGCTGAACGAGACTAAGCACCACAACCGCCGCCACGTTCTGTATGCTGGCCGTGCTCCAAGTGCATCTGTGGCCACGGGTCTGAAGGCTGTTCACTTGAAGGAAGAGGAAGAACTCCTTCAAGATGCATTCAGTGTTAGCCAGGACTGCTTGAAGGGCGAGTAGATTTGCTCTACTTTCCGCTCTTTTACTTTTTCTTCTTGCGTCAGTATTCTTGGGAGAAGCCTAGGCCAAATGGATTGTTCATTCTAGATGGTTGTTGCATTCAATTCTTGTGAGGCTAGCGTCGTAACATCCACATTTCTTTTGTGCCATCTATTTTCTATGGATTTCGTGATTCTATATTTTTCCTATTATCTGATGTACAATGTTAGATTGCTATGGTCTTCACTGCTACAGGTCGGCTTCCGAAGTTCCTCACTTCGCCGATCATTTTCGTTGGAAGTGGCTGCGTTTGCTGTGGCTCGCCGTTATAAAGGACAGTGTATATTACTATTACCTAGATTGAATGATGGAATTGGCAGCACTGGGGTCTCCATATGTAGATATACAGCCTAATTACAGTGTAGTCTTTGGATCATGAGAAAAGAATGTGTCTTGGAAGACAGTGACGTCATACATAAACACAATGATTACTCATCAACATAACGACCTTCCAGAAACAGCAAGCATAAGCTCCCGCGCGGGCAATGCTCGGCTTTCCTGAAAAGGAAAGTGTGTCGTCGCTGGCCGCAGCGTCGCAAGAACCAGCTTCGTTCATCGCGCCTTTTCCTGCACTTTCCCACGCCCCCTTCCGTACCCCTCTCCGTCTTCTCTGATCCATGTCATCAACAAGGATCAGTGAATCTGTGGATTCTCTCGTTCCTAGTCTTCTTTGAGCCGACTCGCTTCTCTCTTCCGCAAAGCATTTCCTCCGTTCGTTTTCTCAGTTTGAATCTCTCACTCATATGCACAGTATTCAATCATGTCTTCCTCTGCCGTCGCCTCATTGACCATTAATTCCCAGAATCCAAGCATCCGTCAATCATCTCGCCAGACACGCACGAATCCATCTCGAGCTTCGAGAACGATAGCCCGTTCCTCGTTCGCTTTCGGTCACTCTTCCAATGCTGCTGAGACGCCTCCCGCGGCTTCTGTGCCTCATGGGTTCTATCCTGCGCTCACCCATTTCACGGATGCCATCGCTGCCTTGCCACGCGAGTTCCGTCGACATAACTCCTTGCTCAAAGAGGTAGATGCGAAGGCGTGGGCTTTGGAAGATAATTTGTTACGGTTGCTCAAGGCCGCGTCGGATTCTGAGCCGGTTGTACCTTGTCCTCCGAATCCGGCTCCCATTATCGCTGGTGTTGTGCGCGAAGATGCGTTACCTAAGGTTAGCCATTCGGAAAGGACGAAAGAAATAAGAAATAAAAAAAAGTTTTTAATAATCTATACCTTATGTACTGACTCTTCCTCGGATTAGGATTTACAAACTCCTGAACCACCGGAGAGCAGAAACCGTCGGCTTCTGTTCGATCGCGTTCGGCACACTCTTTCGGACCTGATGATGACTGCCGATGAGAAGAATCATGTTATTACGAATGCGAACGAGGAGTTGGATCGTCAGATGCTACGTCTTGATTCGGTTTTCCCTTATATCGCTGGCGAAATCAGTGAGGAGACACGTCTGGGTAGTCTTACCCACTGGGCCTACTCAAATAAGAATACCGCAAAGGTTGCGGAGCGCGAGCGTCCTCGGAGGGAGACTGCGTCTCATAGGCATCATGACCATCATGAGACCGACGCTGCATCTCGTAGCGAGGCGAGGCGTGAAGCGGCCCTAGCTCGCAAGCAACGTCGAAACCATCACGCTGACTCTGACTTCGATGAACACCGCGTGGCAACCTCTCGTAAGGGACAGGCATCTAAAGCCCGAGGCGGTGGTACGGCTGATCATACAGGGGTGGCTGCAGGGTCGTCGGCGCAGGCCAAACGTCGTAAAATTGAGCGGCCCCCGCCTGTGGACACGGCAGCTGCAGCCATGGAACGGTCGAATAGTGGCGCTGGGCGAATCAATCCCAAAGATCCATCTGCTCCGGATACGGGAAAGAAAAGGAGTAGGGCACCTAATGGTACAGCACCTTCACGAAAGAGGTACGTGGACATATTACCCAGCAACAACCTGACATCCGGGCTAATACTTTGGTAGGAACAACACTGTTCCATCTGTTGCAGAATCTCCCGTTATGGCCTCTCCCGTCGTGGGTGCTTTGAACAGTCCGCGACATGCTGCTAGTCCAGGGCCTAATGGGCCGTCTCGGCCATCGTCGTCTCGTAACTATAACAGTTCTAACCAGGCCTCTTCTGGTCGTCAACGACCGTCATCTTCTGCGTCAAACCTAGCGGGCCATGCCAGTACGTTTTCTGGACCCGATCTTAGCTCTGTATCTTTCACCTCTAACCCAATCCTTCACGTAGGCAAAGCCATGGACTCCAAGTCCACACCCAAGGACGCGACTCCTGTCCCTATTACAGGAATGCAGCAAGGGGAAGTTGGTGACAGTGTGCCAAACGTGGCTGCTTCCATCGCTAGTAAGACATCATCCGCTCTGCAGAACACAAAGCGAGAAGATGCGGAAATGAAACCTTCCGAATCTATTGAAGGCAACATATCTCCAGCACCTGCCCTTCCTGCTGCCAGCATTGCTGCCGCCCATCCTGCTACTTCCTCTGGCGCTCCAGCCGCGTCGGCATCCAAGGGACGATCCTCCAAGACATCTACTCCTGTCCTTTCTGCTGTAGAATCGTACCCGCCGCAACGTGTACGGCAAACGCGGAGCACGGATCCAGCTCCTGCTAAGCGTTCAAAGAAAAACAATACAGTTGCCGTCACGCAGCCGTCTGAAGACGAAGAGTCCTTTCATGAAGGCGACGATGAAGACGAGGATAGCGAGCCACGCTACTGCTATTGTAACGAGATCAGCTTCGGAGACATGGTTGCTTGCGACAATGATGCTTGTCCGCGAGAGTGGTTCCACTTGTCTTGTGTTGGGCTGACCAAGCCGCCGGGGAAGAATGGTGAGTCTTCTTGTTTTCTTCAAGCTTTGATTCCTGGAAACATGCTAACTGCGCATTTGGTAGCCAAATGGTATTGTAATGAATGCAAGGAGAATATGAGGAGGAGCCGTAATGGGAGATAGGTGCTGACGATGCGTATGATGGGAGGGGTTTTGTGTATTTCCAGGGTAATTGTTTTGTTTGGCTTTGCATCTGTGCACATTGGGGGTTAACATGGTCATCAATGGAGTCATTCTTGTCTTTCCACTAGATATATAGATGAATACATCAACGTGGGTTGAGACATTAAGCAGCCAATTTAAAGTATTTGACAGATGACGTTGGAGGGCCAAGCTAAATAGCTTCCGAGCGACTTCCTGCGGACAACTTGCAGATCCAACATTCTCTCCCTTCCCACCCTTCGACTCTCTTTCTTTTCTTCCTTCGCTTCAATCTGAACACGACAAAAAAAGCAATGCTGACATCAGGCTTGACCAACGCTCCCGTATCCAAAGCCCTCCTCATCTACACCATTGCATCCTCCATCTGGCTCTCCATCTTAGACATCAAATACCTCGTCCACGTCCAGGTCTCCCCCCATCTCTGGCAATATGGACAGTACTGGCGCGCCTTGGTATGGCAGGTAGCGGGATTTGCCAATTCCACGGAGGCATTATTTGGGGCGATGCTCATTTATCATTTACGAGTTGTTGAGAGGGCGTGGGGGGGGAAGAAGTTGGTTGTATGTTTCTTCCCCTTCTCCCATTCCCTGGAGAATTAATAAATCAATGAATAAAATAAGGGATATGGCTAATGCTAATGATGAATGAATGTGTCTAGTCCTTCCTCCTCACAACACTCCCCTATACTACCCTGCTCCCGCCCATCCTCCTCTCGCTCGTGTTACGCCCTATATCCCTGAACACGATGAATTATCTTCCCTCCGGCCCGACGGCGACTATCTTTGCTGTTCTGGCGCAGTATTACGCTTTGATTCCGCATACGTATCGGTATCGGATTTCTACCACATCATCATCTTCCTCTTCAGCTTCAGCATCTCAGAACGCGCCGGACAGTTACAATACCAATACCTCTTCCTCTGGTTCTAGTTCTGAGTCTAGTGCTAGTTCTGCATCTGGTTCATCGAAATCACTCATCCTCCTTCTCTCCGATAAATCAACCACCTACCTCGTCGCGGCGCAGTTGGCCTTCTCACAGTTCCCCGGTATGCTTTTACCGGCTGTCGTCGGGTGGACTGTGGGTTTGGCGTGGAGGGCGGAATTATTGCCCGGTTCTGGGAGTGGGTGGAGGGTTCCTGCTTGGGTACTTGGGGAGAAGGAGCGGGTATCCTCGCGCGGAGGCGGGGGGAGGGGGATAGGAACTTACAGTGTTGATAATAGCCATGGGCATGGGGAGAGAGAGGGGACGGAGAGGTATCATGATCTTAGGCGGAGGTTGGAAGGGGAGGCTGCTGCTGCTGCGGCGGCGAGTACGAGTACGGGGGTTGGACGACGTGATGGGATTACTTCTGATCAGGGGCAGCGGCAGAGACGGCCAGGCGGTTTCTTGGAACGGTTGAGAGGGGCATTCTAGGATAAAAGAAAGAGAGAAAAAAAAAGGCAAAAGCATATAGGGAGGCGTTTGCTATCTAACTTCAGTATCTAAAACACCATAATATACTACTATGTACTCTGTAAGATCTGTCAGACTCATTATTCTAAAATTTCCCAGACACGCCTTACGCCCACCGCATTGATAGTGTGTCCGATGAACACTTCAAGTTCACTGATTGGGTTGACTGGATGGCCAGAAAAGTCGTTCATCGCAATGAAGATTGCGTCCTCGTACCCGGTCAGTGAGTGTGGTCAACATAGACATAGGGCAAAGCCACTCACGCCAATCGAATGCGCCTTGCCTCTCTGGCGCGATGCGTCCACCTAACATAACATCCAAGATCGAAGCATCGTGCCCTACAAAATAGAGTAAACGTCCAGAATGGAGCTCCATTGGAGACAGGCCTGAAACGCACATCCTCATACCAGATCTTCCGCTCGTTAATGGCTCTGTAGAGCTTGCCAAGGATCTTATCTGACTTGTAGTATTTACGACGCGGCTCCGTGTCATGTTCGTCCTCATCATAGGCTTCATGGATTACATAACGGTCCAGTTCGATTTCAGATCGATAATATGTGCTTGTGGTCCTGGGTCCAAGCTATGGTTCCAAGAATGGACGATTAGCAATTTCATTGGAAGTAATCAGGGAAATTTAGGAGGGATGACATAAAAATCTGGCCTATAAATTATTGCTTTTGGTAATTCATTCATCATGACTGCGATCCCCGTCTATGGGAAATCCACCGTGGTTGAATGTAACTCCGCCAGCTTACAATCAGGATGACGAGTGCCCGTCTGCATCTGGTCCTCCAGAATCATGTGCCTTGTTTCAATTATCCCTAGGCGATGGGTCTCCATGAAGTCAACGAAGAAATTAATCATATCTTCGACGTTCGATATTTAAATGTGCGACGCGTGGGTAATCCGCAGGCTCGAGGCTGTTGAGATATAGGGCTGCCGAATCCCATAGGAAGTGGTAGAGAGCGAGTCACGAGAAGTCGCCCCGGACCTAGGTGTGACTAGAATTAGCTATCCATCCTGTCAAAAGTGATGTATATCTCGTTCTTTTGGAGGTAGCCGGTCTCATCCATGATCCCAAAGAGCGTTATACCTTTTCCCCACCGGGATGCGCGCTCTGCGCTTCAAAACACGCAGTTCCTGTAGAACAGCTTCCACGACCGTTCTGCAGATTAAAGAGCCAATTATCCGAGACCCTGATATCCTCCAGAGTCTTGATAATTTGCTGGTTCAGAACCAACGGTATGGGTTTCGACACCACGTCACAGATCTCCGAGTCTCTCATGTCGTCAGTTTCGAGCTTGACCATTGACGGTCGAACCTGAAGAACAGTATCAGATAATCTACTGTCGACAGCAAACATGCCTTTTGCACCGCCCATTTTAATTTGGAAGCAGGTAGGTGAGGCTTTCTTTGGAGGTAGGTAATTTCAAATGGCTTCTGCAACATCCCATGACAGTTTTCCAATGCCGTCGCTGAACACGCGTGAGCCGCTGGAAGATTTTACATCTTGGATGATCGAGACAGTAATCCCATTCCCACACGGAGGAACGGCGAATGGTGTCTCAGAGAAAGCTTGGCCACTCCGGGCAGCACACCTGGGGGATATTGAAGGAGATGTGTAGAAGCTTGGTTCCGGCCATGAGCCTAAGGCATGAACCCTGAACTAACCAAGATCGGCAACGTCATGCTGAGTAAGAAAGTCTAATTTCTAACTAGTCAACTAACTATATATGGCGTGTTTGATTGGTTTGTCGGTCTTCCATTTGCGGAGAGCTTTTCCTCACGTGCTCCTGTCTGATCAGGTGGATGGTTATTGAGTCAGGACCCAGGAGTAACTACGGAGTATGGAGTACGAGTGGAGGCTAGAAATTGGCATCTCCTCATTATGCAGCTCCCCCTGAAGAGTGGGGGATCCAGCAAGCTGGGACAGCTGTCAACCAGTACTTGGTAGACACATCTGCGACAACACTAGCTGGTGCTAGTATGGAGACATCTATCCATCGGATCTGCGGGACTGGCAGCTCCTCCATTCAGGACTCCTGGATCAGGAGTACAGAACTGTACATGGAAAGGCGAGGAACAGTCCAGCAGCGGGCCGTCGAGCGAATGTGGCTGGATCCGGGGTAAAGGATGCAAAACCGTGGGAGCGAGAGGGCATCGGCTGCTCTGGACAAGCAGGATCCATGTAATACATTATTTTTATGACTACCGTGTACTAACAAGTCACGAGGATTTCGATTATGTTATGGAAACACGACGGCCAAGAGTCACGATGGATTCATGCAAAGCTGCGATCACCTCATCTGTCGAAGGAATTCATTCATTCATCCAAGAGGACGCAGTAATAAGTATAACCGACCCCTACGGTAACCTTCGGGGTCGCGCGTATTGCGCGACCCTGACAACCACCCGAGCACCCCAGCCACCCGAGCACCGATTTTAGAACTTCGTAGAATTCCAACCCATCAACTTTATCATATAATTCAACCACCACCACCATGCCCAAATTCAATAAAAATTATGAAGATCGAATGCTCAAAGCTATTGACGCGTTAAGCACACAAAATCCCCAAATATCGCCAAAACTGCACGTGAATATGGAGTTAAACGGCAAACCCTCTCCGCAAGGTGGAAGGGACGGTCCAATCTATGTGAACGACCACCAACCAACACCAGATTATCAGAAGAGCAAGAAAAGGCTCTGTGTCACTATGTTGATACTCTAGAGCAATTAAATATAAAGCCACTTGCACAAATGATCCAATCAAGTGCCAATTCTATTCTGAAATCAACCCATACCAGCCTAGACACCCCTCCACCTACTGTCAGCGAGAAATGGTTAAACCGATGGCTAGGAAGGCATCCTGAATATAAAAGACGTCGCTCTAGAGCTATAGAGCTTGACTGCAAGCGTGCAGAGGATCGTGAGGTTATTCAGGAGTGGTTTCAGAAGCTCCATCAGACCATCCAGAACCATGGGATATTAAAGGAGGATATCTACAATTTTGATGAGACTGGCTTCAATATCGGTGTTGGTCGTGATCAATGGATTATTACCAGGGACTTCAATATTAATAAGCCTCATATTGGGATGAATTCAAACTGTGAATATGTTACTGTGGTTGAAGCAGTCAATGCAGATGGCTGGACCTGCCCACCACTTATTCTCATGAGTGGTAGCTGTATACTTACAAATTGGTTTGAAGCTGCTGATATTCAACAAGACTATTCAATTGGAGTATCAGAAAATGGCTATATGACTGATACAATTGCCTTCCAATGGATTCAGTCATTCTATCGGCATACTAAAAGATATAGGAAGGGTCAATATACCCTTCTTATATGTGATGGATACGGCTCCCATCTAACACATGAATTTGTTGAATTCTGTGAGAAGACCAATATCATCACCTTCTTCTTACCTCCACATACAAGTCATTTCTTGCAGCCATTGGATGTTGGTGTTTTTCATGCATATAAGCACTGGCATTCAGAAGCAGTTGCAGATGCAACCTACTCAGGATGCAGTAAATTTACTAAGGTTGAATTCCTTCATGCCTTAGGAGCAATTCGCAAGAAGACATTCAAAAAGCGTACTATTTGGCATGGATTCCAAAAGACTGGCATCATACCATTCAATCCATCAATTGTACTCAATCAAATGCCTCAACCACATCATCCATCCTCTTCATCCACCAATACCAATGATGTTGATTCCTGGGGCAGTACGCCAAAAAAAGCTGAACGATTTAGGGAGATTGGTGATAGGATATGGGAGATTCATGATATCAACAAGGATCAATTTAATGAGGGCCTAGAGCTGCTTATTTGTGGTGGTAGTATGCTAGCATCATATTCAGCTGCTATCGAAGCTGAGCTTGACCAGTATATTAAAGCTGCTAGGGACCGCGCAGCTCGATCACAGGCCTCTAGGCGCAGGATTCGCAAGGGAGGCATAGTATCAAGCTCAGAGCTTGAAGCTATAAATCGAAATACTGCGAATATTAATGAGCAGGCTGAAATAAAGAGGTGGAGGACTAAGTATAAGCGTTGCCTACCAGAGCTGCTGGATGTATGCATTCGACGAGGAATTATTATACAAAGGCAACGACATGCTAGGGCCCAAGCTGAAGAGTAGAGCTTTAGTTTAAATATATTTTGAAGTTAAATACTATAGAATTCGTTGAGATATTGAAGCTAGAAGGGGGGGGTCTAAAATTGGTGCTCGGGTGGCTGGGGTGCTCGGGTGGTTGTCAGGGTCGCGCAATACGCGCGACCCCGAAGGTTACCGTAGGGGTCGGTTAGTCACAGAATCACGGCCGATGGAACCCCAGGCGGAAATGGAGTGATCGGGGCAGAAATCGCGTGTTGATGAGTGGTTGCAATGAGGAAAGCAAGAAAGCAGGCAGGCGGCTGATGTCAGTCCATGCATTCATGTATTCATTCCCTGTTCCAGAGGGATGTTCGTGTTAAGTTGATGGTCATGTTCAGGGAAAGAAAAATTGCCTGATGGCAAATTCTTCTGGCGCGGAGGCGGGAGGAAGCAGAGCAACCGTCGGACGGAGCACCAGGGAATCGTTCACGAATGCTGCCCAGGAGGCAAAAAACGAGTGGAACGAACCGTCATGAGAGACGGGATGATGCATGCGGCGATGTTGAAGCATCTAGATTCTATCTAGCATCGAGTATCGACTATTATCGAGTATAGTATCTATCTTTATCTGCCAGATGGAGAGAATTGCTTTTTCTGTAGTCTCCTGTGCATTGCGTCATAGCCCCTCCTCGCAACCTTCATTCATATAATTATACCTAACCGACCCCGAAGGTTACCGTAGGGGTCGGTTAACAGCTTTGTTTCTCCTCTTCTTCCCCCTCTTCCTCGCCAGATCATAACCATCGCAATAATAATCCTGCGTGCACTGTCCCCCGGGCCATTCGCAATCTGCTCTCGTGGTACTCGGCCTGCAATCCGGGGAAACGCTCCCCGTCACCCCTGTCACCTTGCAGCACTACCACTGTTGCTCTACAAAAAGCCCTTGTTTCTCCCCCGGCCCAGCATGGCTCCCTCAGTGTCTCCCCCCAGAAACCCGCCTTTTCTCGGTTCACCACCTCTCCCTCCGACCTCTCCGCCAAGAAGGACCATCTTCGTGATTCTTCCCCACATTCGTCCGCTTCCTCCACTTGCTCCCGGTCGAATAGTCGTCGCCGCCGCCCATCTCTCGGCTCTATCAAGGAAGACGTCGACGGTACGTATTACATCTCCTCTGCTGCCTACGAGTACCTGACTGACTTTCCCCCCTTCTTTTTTTTTTCCCTCCCCCTAATAGGCATTGCACAGTCTTTCGTCGATACTCATTCTCCGCAGTCTCAAGAAGACAAGGACTCTGCCGTTTTCGATATGCAGCACACTCCAGACTTTTGCTGCCCTTGTGGCGGTTTCCTCGGATGGAAGCAGATTCGCCTGGGTGGAAAGAGTCTTAGCAAGAGTTACAGTGACCTGCGTTTGCTGGGGAACACCCACTCCAAAGGCTGGGCCTGGGACACAGACTCTCCGCCGCTTAGCACGGCCAGACCACGGCCATTGGAGCAAAAGAAACCGCAACCGGTTCCCGGAAATGCACCGATTGAGAGACTACCTCCCGAAATTCTAGGTATGACAACCCAATGTCCCGTGTGAGATTTCAACTCTGCCTGCTAACTCCTGTCCAATACAGACCAAGTCATATCGAATCTGGCACTGGACATTCCACCCAACGGCTACACGCCTCGGAATGTGGACTTGGTGTCGTGCCTCCTGACGTCTCGTACGCTGCACGCCGCCACGCTCAGCGTGTTGTACAGACACATGACTTTCCCGCACTCCGTCATCTTCTCCAAGGCCCTGCAGCACCTCTCCCAGTATCCCGCTCTGGGCACACTCGTCCGTCGCCTAGACTTCTCCCATTTCACCTCCGTCGGCCTGGGACGCACCAAGCAGATGAATGCCGAGATCCAGAATCTGACTGCAAGGACGCTGCTGCAGTGCTTGAATCTCCTGCCCAACCTTAAAGAATGTCTACTTCAAGAGCATGTCGAGAATGATATTAGCATCGACATCATGCGAAAATTGCTCTCCGGTCTTCCCAACATGCAGGCCCTCGACTTCTGTGGCTGCTCCTCCCAGTCCTTCTCTACGACATTTTTCGACGCCGTGGTGCTAGGACTACCATCGACCCTGCCCAATCTCAAACGTATCTCTCTCCATGAGTGTAGCAGTCTCCCTACGGTTGTCTTTGAGGTTCTCCTGCCGCGTTTGACCAACCTCACGCACCTAGACGTGGCCCACACGCAGATCAGCGAGGCGGCCTTGTTTTCCATTCCTGAAACCGCCTGTATCACACACCTGAGCCTCTCCCGTTGCACCCGCCTCATCGGTTCTACGGTTGTGAACTTCTTGACCACGCATCCGGCCGTGTGCAACTCACTCGTCTACTTGAATCTGATGGCGGACCCGTCCCGCTACCGGCTCTTGGAGGAGGAGGATTTGCAGGTCCTTCTTCCCAAGCTGCCGTCATCCCTGCGTTCTTTGAATCTGGGAGGGGCAAAGATCACTTCGGTGCACACCCCTCATCTTCTCCCTCTAACCAAGCATCTCGAAGAGCTTGGCCTGAGCTCCGCGGACCTCTCCGCGGCCGACCTCAATTCCTTCTTTGTCCCTCGCCAAACGGATGACAAAGAGACGACGAACAGAGAAGCCTGGGTCCCGTCAAACCTGCGTTACCTTGATCTTACCAGGGCACCGCGTCTGTCATTGGCCACGATCTACAACACAAGCGCCTGCCTATTGCTGTCCGAGCGCAGCTATCCACTGCAGGTGATTGAATTTAGCGACAAGATCATCACCCCTCTGCGAGAACGGACCAAGACAAGTAGATCCGCGACCGGCTGGACTGTTCGTGAACTCGGCCGGCGAGGCTGGTATGTTCGAGATCCTGCATCCATGCCACAGCACCCCCCGGATGATGGATCCCGTTGGTGGAAGATGGGTGCCCGGTGGTGGGGAATGCGAAAGATCCCCGTTGTTGTCGGCGATGTTGGTGGGATCTACGGACATTACATGTTCAAGAAATGAATTGCGATTCATTTACAGCGATGGTTCGTTTCTGACTACTTTTTTTTTATTAAAAAAATACCCCTCAATCTGTCCGTTATTTTTCCTCTGCATCTCTCTCTCTCTCAGGCGGCGAATTGTGATTGATGATTTCCCCGGCGGTCTGGTTCGGTATTTACGGGTCGCAGTGGTCTTTTTATCAAAATATCTGTCATGCATAGCGGTAATGATCTCTTTTCTGATGGTTTACATGTCTATTTGGCGTTGTTTGCAGGATATCCCCAAAAGAAGGATTGCCAAAAGTCTGCTTGTTATTCATAAAGCGCGCTAGGTTGTGATTATATTAGTGCTCATTATTTCATCAGACCTGCTATTGATTCTACTGCTAATTCCTGCATGGCCTCTTCCACTCCATGAGTCCATAGCATAGTACAAACTACGGAGTGACTGTGGGTGACGATGGAATGGCCACAGTTGTGCGTGGTATTTTGATCAAAAAATTGTGGCCTTTCCATCAAGACATGATGCTAAAATCGGGTATGCCGAATTAGTTATAGTCCCACTTTGGATTACCGCAGGTGGCGCATACACTGAAATACTATAAAATGTCTTCAATATATCTATTCAATGTAAGTAAAGGGGGGCGTACGTGCGTTGTTCCCTGCGACAGGAACCGGGCTGTGATCGAGGGGTCTCGGGGATGGACACACTGAACGATCTAGTAAGGAAACGATATAATAAAGGAAACACAACGACGAAGGAGCCTCGCTCCTTCTATATGACGATGACGATACTAGCGAAGCAACCTAGAAACCAAAAGAATGCTCAATTTCTCGTAACTATTCGGGAGGAAACCCTCCATTAAGTAGTATGTCGGAGACCGCGGCCCTACGGCGTTCTAAGATAGGAAATATGGGAGATCCGGGATTTCGTAGCGCCCCCGGCACAATGAAGGTGTTGGTGTCTTTAATTTGATAGACAGTTTTGAAAGCACTCTCTTAGGATTCAGAGGAATTAATCCAGTTGCTGCAAATCCACTCTGGATATTGGATGAAGACAATGCACGTTGGTGGGCTGTAGGATAGAGGGATAGGAAGTCATCTTTGCAGATTGAATAAATCCCCCCTTGTATCATCTCTGCAGTACTTCTGCCATATGTGTGACGATCAGCTATAATAGGATGAGAAGAGGAAAGCAACTCGCTATTTGGCCGTACTGTCTAGGAATATCGTACACGAGGAGAAGAAGAAGAAGGAAAGGAAAAAAGTGAAAGACATGGTGGGGAGGAAATAGGAGGCGAGGGCAGCTGCCTGCCCTCAGCCCTAGCCCTGTGCCCTACTTGCTCAATCTGCTGGCACCTTCTAAGACGTGCCAGGGTCACATGCTGACGGTCATACCTCAGGTATGGTCGTCACAATATGCCTATTTTAATGGGGAAAAGCAGCTCACATCAAGTGGTTGTAGAAGATGTGAAGTGTGGAGGCATATATAATGGGATAATCCTCTTATCCATATAGAATTTATCAAATTCTGCAGTTGCATAGCTAGAATGGCCATTAAGGATTGGGTTAAAATAAAAGATTAATAATCATTCCTGAATGATAACCACGGCAAGGGTAGAATAAAAACCGCCGTGCCGGGAACGATTTGACCCGATTCCGACTGACATGTTTGGAGAATCCGGAGAGTCGGGCCAACGTTGTATAGACAACGTTATTATGTGATAAAATACATTGCTCTGATCCCCCGGGGATTTTCTCTTCTCTGAATAAACCTCTCGATCACGCCCACAATGACTGTGCAACCTCCCCAGAAGACCGTGGCCGTCGTCGGCTCTGGCATGGCCGGTCTGGTTTCCGCGTACCTGTTGCGAAACGACAAGAAACACCGTTTCGAGGTAGAGGTTTTTGAGACGGTACTTTCATCGCATTCTAATTATAATTTTTTCCCCTATGGAAGTTCATCGGAGTACTAATTCAGACATCGTGGTCATTCGCAGCAAGATCGATTGTCTCTCGATTCCGCCTCGTTCACGGTCCCCGCCGAACCTGATCGCCAAGCTCCAGCGAAGGACAGGGTTGATATGCCCATGCGCGCTTTCGCTGGTGGCTTCTACGATAATTTGCGACGCATGTATGATTACCTTGGCGTCAAGTATATATCTCCTAGGTTCATATACGCGTTGTCTGCGTACTCTCAAGATGAGCCCGAAGGAGAAGCGGCTTCTTACTATATACACTCGTCGAATAACCATCGTATGCCGCCATTGCGGCCAGAGGGGCCTTCACTGGCGGCATGGATCTTAGAGATATGTTATCTGGCCTTATGCTACTACTGGTTTACTGTGTGCTGTTTCCTGGTCACGCCTAAAGCTGGCGACGGGTCTGGAGAGGAGGATGAAACCCTACGCGAGTACCTGAAGCGGATCAGGATACCACAGTACTATTCCAAGAAATACTTGCTGCCGCTGATGTCGAGCGTGACGACATGCACGCACGATGCTCTACTTGACTTCCCTGCTATCGATATCGTCGAGTACGAGAGGCGAACGTACGGGAAACCGCATTACACCGTCATCGGAGGCGTCCACCAACTCCAATCCAGGCTTTCCAAGGGACAAAAGGTGAAGTTCGGCGCGACAGTCACGGCGATTGAAAACGTCAGAACCCAAGTTCAAGTTTCCTGGACAGATGCAGCAAGTGGCCAGTCGAATTCGGCGCTATTCGACTACGTTATCATGGCTGTTACTCCTAACGTGGTTGGTGAGATCTTCCAACCTCTCCGAACAGCCATGGCCTTCGTACCTACCGTGAATGTGGAATCGGTAATACATCGCGACTTCACGAGAATCCAAAGCTGCAGGCAACACTTAAACCAGATCCTGCAATCAACTCCTGAACCGACGACGGCGTCTCATAACTTTACTGCACCCCAACCCATCCATATTTGCTCGGCGCTGGATTCCCCAGTAACAGAGTCGATACATGAGCATCCTTCATCGGTCCTCGTGTCGACCTGGCCCATTGGCCCTATCGATCCAACGAAAGTTCTCCACCGTACCAGGTTCGTCCGGGTCTTGCGAACTCCGAAGAGCAGAGAGGTAGTAAATCGTATCTTCGCCGTCAACCATCCACGGTATTCTGCAGAGACAGATGACAAGCAGCAGCTCTGGCGGAACGGGGACGGGAACGTCTTCCTTGTTGGCGGCTGGTGTTGGGATGGAATGGTCATGCTGGAGGGTTGTATTGTTTCGGCTATAAGGGTGGCAGACAGCCTTGGCGTGGAAGTGCCCTGGGTGGTCAATTGAGTTCATGAAACAAGCAGAGAGGGAAATTTGGGCGTTTTATGGAGTAAATTGTGGATATACCAAGTCTCTCTCGGTATTATACATAGATTGTATATAAAACATGCAATTCATGATGCCTTGTTGCCTGAGGTGTGATTGTGGATGACTAAGCGAGCCCATAAGATCTGCGCGGTGAAAGAAGAAGCTCCAAATAGTTTATTATTTCCTTCCCAGCTTTTGAAGGCAGTTTGTTGAGCCCTTCGACACACGCTCTCCTCGAGTTCTGCCCACCCATGGGTCGATCTATACACCACATACGCTGCCCAGGAGAGTGAAAGCTGTCGAATGCGATGACGATGGCACCTTCACCTCCGAGCGGCTCGGCGGCGTACAAAAAGAAGGATGGCACACTGGTCATGGCCCAGGACCGCCAGTCGGTAACATGGATTCCAGCCGCTGGCGGTGCCTCTGGCACTATCACTATTTCTGTGTCGCATATTACAAGTGCGTTTTAAAACCCTCTCCAGACCGGGATGCTGTATATGACAGGTACTGACTGCGTTGATTCGATTTGAATCTAGATCTGCAACAGACGCCAGCTACCAGTCCGAAGGTTATGCTTAGGATATTCGTTCAGCAACCTAATTCACCTGCTGGTGCAACACCAGAACAATATGTATTTTCTTTCACGGCTGGGGCGAATGCACGCAAGGAAGCCGACGCTATCAAAGACGAACTGAGTGCGGCCATCCAGGCTGTTAAGGCAGCAGCAGCAGCAGCTCAAGACATACCCGCTCGCACTCCAGCTAACGGAAATGTCCCGGGGGACAACGTATCGGCTGCGATGAGGGTTGCAACCGCGGTTTCTTCGACTGGTCAGGCTCCTTGGGACGACGATAACAGGCTCAAGAAGGATGCGGAGCTGCAACAGTCACTGCTGAAGTCGGATCCCAACCTGCAGCGTATGTTTATGGAGTCACTGCGCAGTAAACCGGACACATTGACGGCGGCCCAGTTCATGTCGCATTTCTGGTCGACGCGGCTCCATCTACTGCGGGCTCATGCCATCGAACGCACGCAGACGCGCGGCTCGTACAACGTGCTGTCAACGCTGAAACCCCGCGTGGAGGATAACGTTACCAAGTTGAATATCAGCAAGGAGCAGATCCAGCTCATTTTCAACCAGCACCCGCTCGTCAAGCGGGTGTATGATGAGAACGTGCCTAAGCTAACCGAGCAGCAGTTCTGGTCTCGCTTCTTCCAAAGTCGGCTGTTCAAGAAACTGCGTGGGGAGCGCATCTCCGAGGCCGACGCTACGGATGCCGTTTTGGATAAATACCTCAAGGACGATGAGCAGACGAACCGGGTGCGAGACGCGCATGTTCCGCACTTCATTGATCTGGCCGGTAACGAGGTGAACCACAGTCAGCGCCTGGGGAACCGGCCAGACATTGACATGCGGCCGTCGTCAGTTCCGATCATCAGGACATTGAACAATCTGAGCGAGAGAATAATGGCGAATGTGGGATCGGCCGACCGCAGTACTTCTTCCGCGGCAGCACCCATTGGTATGGACGAGGAGACGTTTCATGAACTTCAACTGCGCGATTTGCGGGGTGATCAGATGCAGAGTCGGATCACGCTTAACATCCGAGATCAGAGCCGATTTTTCTCACAAGCGAGCGCCGAAGATGAAGAGGGCCAGCTATTCGCCAAACAGGATCCCGAAAAAGTTATTCACGACCTACGTACCGATCTACTGCAGACCTTGCCTGACGATGGGTCCGCTCAACTCGGCCAACTAGTCGAACCCGAAGAGGACACCGATGACGAGGAAAACGGTAGAAGCCAGAACCAACAAGTTGGGTCCAAAGCCAGCCTGCAGCGCGCCTCGACTCAAATCCTGACCGCCATCCGCGACCGCCGCGCACAGGCTGAACGGTCATCAACCAACAGCAACTCATACGGTCTATCGGCCGGCTTGTTCGACCGTCTAACACTTACTCACGCCACGACGACAGAATTCCTACATCAATTCTGGCAGACTTTTCTGTCAGGCAATCCCGACCGCGCCGGCGAACTAGCATCACTAGTCGAATCTCTCAACCGGGCCTGGGAGCGGATCCAATCCGTCACCAGCGACGCGGAAGCGGAGCGACAGGTCGAAGTAGAGCGGCTCAAGGGACACGCGCGGGAAGTCTACGAAGCGACGGGTCGGAAGATCCGTGTTAATTTCTCCTCCATCGGAGGTGGGGAGAAGGTAGTCAGTCAGCTCCTAGGGCCGACGAGTAAGGCTATTGAAGCGGCTTTGACGAGGTACAAGGAGGCGTTGGCTCGGGAGGTGAAGGAGGCACCTGTGGGAGTGGGTTAAGTTGAATATTGGGTGTTATTCTTGTTCATTCTACTCTATGAACTAAACAAAGATATATTAAGCAGATGCTAATGTGTATACATGAATTACTTATAATTGCATACCCGCTTGCTTGTTGCCTTCTGTAACGTTCGGGTGATATCAGCGTCGATTCAGTATTGACAATATATTCCTCCATTATTAAATACTCTTCAACTTGATAATGGATCCTCTGGTTAATTACCACTTACATTACGACTAACATGTTATTGACACCACTCACATTTGCCTATTCAGGGAATTGTTCAAATGTCTCATATCATATCATACGTCATCTATTAGTTAAACATCACGTAGTTCCTGGTACGCCTATCCAGAATCGACTATTCCGATTATTGGAATTACTATCTACTATTGTTACCTACTGTGAGTACAGAATACGAGGGAAACTTAGTATGGTAGGAATAACCTGCATCAATTGAAAGACTATTCGTCCGTATCATGGACCAGTCTAAAGTAAAAGAAAAAAGAACTTTGCAAGTAGAAGACAGTAGTTCAAGTCTTTTTTCGGTTTTTTCAAGGATAAAAAATAGACTTGAGTAACAGTGGGATATCAGAATGGAAGTCTATAGGATGCAACGATTCAAACCCGTACAACGCATAAAAACGCCCGCAATCAGCCGTAGTAGAGGGGAAAAGCATGTAGGGAAGAAAAAACAAAGTCTGAAAGAAAAGAAAGAGTCTACTCAATGGCAGACGCATCCTCGCCGTGAGTCACAGGGTTAATCTTCGGGTTCCACTTGAACTTGAATTCGTCACCGAGTTCCTTGCGGATGGCGGCCTTAACGGCCTCGAGGACGTTATCGAACACACCAAAGTTGGCTGGGTTCTCGCGGTCGTTCTCACCCTCCTTGCCCTGGAAGACACCGGTGCGGACCAGGCAGGTGTTCCATCCGTACATGTTACCACCGACAATGTCGGAAGCCGGGTTGTCACCGATCATGTAAATGTTCTTGGGCAGCTTGTGCTCGTTGTGAATCTCGTCCATCCAGGATTTGAGCACTTCGTCGGCAAAGGTGTAGGTGGCACGTTCGGGCTTGCCATACACGACACGCTCCAGGTCGACACCGGTGAGGACCTTGTACATGGCCTCGACACCGATACGGAAAGCACCCTGGGTCAGACGAGGAGGACCCTTGTAGTCGGTGGGGAAGACTAGATCACCATGGGAGAAGTAGATGGGGATACGGCTGGAGATAGGGTCCTTGGCCCTGGTACCCAGGCGGCCGTTCTCCGACAGCAAGAGATCGATGATGAGCTGCATATCGGTGGCGTAGTCACGAGAGTCGGCGAAGACGAGGATGGCATCAAACTTGAGGTTCTTGAAGTCACGAGGGCGGGCGCCAGCGCGGTCCTCGGGAGTGAAGCACCTCCAGGGAGAGATGGTAGGATCCCAGGCAAGGATATCCTTGGGGTGAATGACATTCTTGAAGCCGTAGTTCTCAGCGGCCTCGCGGACGGTGTAGCCCTCTCCACCGCAGACGAGGACGGTCTCATAGTACTCGGACAACGCCTGCATGGGGGTGTGGGACTGGATGAACTGGTCGGTGGAGATGGGGACCTCAAGGATCTCGGAGAGTTGCTCGCAGCGGGCAGCTTCGGTCTTACCGCCACCGTTGGTCAAGAGGATGTAAGGGATCTTGATACCGAGTTCGTTGTCACCGTTAAGCATCTTGAGAGCCTCCTTGGCCTGTTCAATGGGCTCATTGCCGTGAGCCAGGACACCGTCGATGTCAAAGACAAAGGACATGTTCTTGGCAGCCTCGACTTTCTCCTTGGACATATCCTGGACCTGAGAGGCCAGGAGGTCGCGGGTAACGGAGGGAGAGCCAGCCTTGTAGACGGAGGACAGCCTAGAGACACGAGGGGATCTCGGGATGGGAAGAGAGGTGCCAAAGGAGTTGCGAGAGCCACGACGGTCCTTCATGGACGGACCCAGGCTCAGGTTGTGCATGTACTGGGCAGCATCGCTGATGGAGCTTCTGGTGGCGGGGATCTCGATAGTCTTGGAGTTAGGATCTGAAGGGATGGGGAGAGTAGCCCCAGAGCCAGCTCGGGGAGAGAGGGCCTCCGCACCCTGAGGGGCCTTGGAGGAAGCATCCGCGGGGGCGGGTTCGACACCGAAGTCAGAGTCGTCGAAGCGAGGCATGATGATGATGATAGATAGATAGATAAGAGGAAGAATTGATGGATGGATGGATGGATGGATGAAGAAAAAGAAGAAAGAGATGAGAGGAGAGGAGATGGATGGAAGGAAGCAGGAGGGATGGAGATGAAGAAGAGATGGAGAGAAAACGGGGAAGAAGAGGAGATATATAAACAGGGGGACAACCGATCAAAGCAGTTCTATCTCTCCAGTCCTCCGTGCATCCACTGCGACCGCCGATGCAGGGCCGAAGCAGCAAAGACAGTGGATTTCCTGCAAAATACGGAAACGCTGGGCGTCATCATATCATCTTCATCGAGAAATCATGGCCGCCCAAAGCGGTTAGTCCACACCCGCCATCTCGGTGGGACTGGCTCCTGCACCGCGCCAATCAACACGGCCCCACTGGGGTTGGCCCTCCCTCGCTCCGTGGAACGGGCTGCAGCCAGGAAATTAATTAGATTTTGTGGCTGCTGCAATTGGCCTGCAGCTTCGCAAATCACCCGCGGCATTGACCAGCTAGCGAACGGCGTGTGGCCGTCCGGGCGGCTGGTGGGCTAGTGGCACGGGTCCACTGGTATCTGATTGGGTTGTGTGGCTGACGTCCGCGACTCGATGACGATCGGGTGGGGCCCTGTGGGGCAGTCCTGGCGCGAAAAAGTCTAACTGAAACCAGTGATGATGTCATCAACCCTTGCACCCCGGACCGGCAATAGCTTCATGGCTCCGTTCTCTCACCGGGCTCTTTTGTTAGGAGATAGTATTGTTATTGTTAGCTGTGAGATGGAGAAGACACGTAAATCCCTGCCACTGGAAGGCTGAATCTTCCCCTGAATCCTCCCGCTCTTCTCGCTTGTGAAACTTGCCTCTGTCGCGCCATTCGTATTCATCGTCGATACGCTGGAGATACGCCGACGCTATTGTGCCCTCTCAGATACCCCGCCTCTCTGCTTGCCCCTCACCTATTTCTCCCGTCTTCAATCCTCGCTCTTCACTTACCAGATCTCATTGAACAGCCTGTGCCTTCTTTTGTTATTATCATTCAAATTGCTCGGTAGCCATCCATAAACATCAACTAGATACCAGCAACATGTCGGGCGGAGTCACGTTCAAGCTCAGCAACGGCGTTACCGTCCCTGGGCTCGGTTTCGGTACCTTCGCCAACGAGGGTGCGGTGGGAGAGACATACAAGGCCGTCACGCACGCCCTTCGCACTGGATACAGGCACCTGGATTGTGCCTGGTTCTACAAGAACGAGAACGAGGTCGGTGACGCCGTCCGCGACTTCCTCAAGGAGAACCCATCCGTCAAGCGCGAGGACATCTTCATCACCACCAAGGTCTGGAACCATCTGCACCGCTACGAGGATGTCCTGTGGTCTCTCAACAACTCCCTCAAGAGACTCCAGCTTGCCTACGTTGATCTCTTCCTCATCCACTGGCCCATTGCCGCCGAGAAGGAAGACAACGAGACTCCAAAGATCGGCCCCGATGGCAAGGTAAGATTTCCCACGAAAGGACTCGCAGCAGCAAGTATTCTGACAAGACCTTGGTCGGCAGTACATCATCCTTAAGGACCTGACACAGAACCCCGAACCGACATGGCGTGCGATGGAGAAGCTCTATGAGGAGGGCAAGACCCGCGCCATTGGTGTCTCCAACTGGACCATCCACGGTTTGGAGCAGCTCCTTTCCTTCGCCAAGGTCAAGCCTCAGGTAAACCAGATCGAGATCCACCCGTTCCTACCCAACAACGCGTTGGTCAAGTACTGCCAGGAGCACGACATCCTTCCCGAGGCCTACTCTCCCCTGGGCTCGCAGAACCAGGTACCGACGACGGGTGAGCGGGTCAGTGAGAACCCGACGCTCAACGAGATTGCGAAGAAGGGTGGCAACACACTGGCCCAGGTACTCATCGCATGGGGTCTGCGTCGAGGCTACGTGGTGTTGCCCAAGAGCTCGAACCCGGCACGGATCGAATCCAACTTCAAGACAATCAAGCTCTCGGACGAGGACTACGAGGCCGTCAACCGTGTGGCAGATAACCGCCACTTCCGTTTTGTCAACATGAAGGATACCTTCGGCTACGATGTGTGGCCAGAGGAGGCTCGTGCTGCGATCTCCACCTAATTGTGGCACCACCTTTTTTCTTTTCCTTTTTTTTTTTTTTTTTTTCTTTTATTCATTCCTTATCTCTTTTTCCCTCAGTGAGGGGCGGCATGAATTAGATGGTTAAAAGTGGCAAATCAATTTAAAATGTTATTAAAAAATAAGAGACATAAGCGTGTGAAAATGGGGCAGAGCAAGGGGATGTCTGTGGTCCGGCACATATCAGCGCGCAGGAACCGCCGCACGGGCAGCTTGTTACGTCATATTGCATTTTCTCGCAATGCTCTGTACGGGTCCAAGCTACAGTGTACAATCGTCAATGGCAGATGGAGTATCATCCAACTCAGCAAAGCCACTATAGATAGCTGCAGCAAGCGCAGAAGATGCAGTAGCGTGGCCAGTATAGGGTATCTATCAATCTACATACTCTACACCGCATGCAGGTCGATAGAAGCAGATTATCACTATCAATATCCACTGCGGACGGAGGACTGTAGTCCTGACAGCCGCACCTAGAAAATATCTCGGACCGTCTATTTACTATTCGCATCGGACAATCCCGGATTTGTTTTTTCTGACATTTAACTGTTTCATCTTTCATTACTCGCGGGAAGAGAAATGAGCATATCTTATCCATGGTTTCCTTAATTAATCTTTCAATACTCCGTATATCGTATCAATTAATACCAATAATGTGAATTCTCCCTTCTGGTTAGCTCTGCAATTTCCGGTATATCCTGGTACGCTGTCTTGTAATCAATTACTAATGGAGGTATATCTCGTTGGTTGGTTACTAGCTAGATAGGCCTACGTAGTGGAAAGGGTCAGCGAGGGCGGATCTATGCGGCAGAATAACACGTGATCCAACACTACAGATAATCATCCACGTGATCGGTAACTGACATCATCCAATGAAATCAATTCTGCCATGTGATCTTGTAAGAAAGCGCCTTCTACTACTATACATCATTGGGCCATGCAAACAAGGAAGCAATGTGTGACTTGATGCTTTACTCGTGTAATTCAAATTTTGGCCGATTGTCACATATAGTCCGCCGTACGCATACACAAGGCTGAGTGTCTAGCAAGAAGATAAGGGATATCGGAGTTTAGGAAACCAAAGAAGTCGATATTGTGAAAATCTGAGCCCCGTGTTGTGATGATTCTGTCCTCAAGAAATCCCCACCAGATTCTTTTACCAGACCCGGATTCCAGTCAGAGTCCGCGGGCTTTGCCGACTGAAGCACGGCCAACATATGCAAAAATGATGAGTGAGTGATGGTTGCCATTGCTGATGTGAGTCTTCCACCATTTTGTCAGATTCACTTGTTACTGTAAATCCAGGGATGCGATCCCTCCCTTAGCTCTAGGTGAGTTGTTTCTATGCCCAGGCAATCTTTGAAAGTTCTCTTCAACAACAAAACATCGTCTTTGGCACCAGTGTTATCATCGCCCCAATAGACCATCAGGGCTGTCTTTGTGCAGTATATGTGCCCACGTGCTTGGACTACTTTGTGAAGTGTAGATTTCAGTTGTGGTAGTTGAATTTTGGAGGAGATTGGTAAGGTCTGCGAAGACATGACACAAGATAGGCTTGGTGGTGGCCAAGCTTAGAGTGAAGATGAAGAGGGATTCAGACTCGTAGGGAGAATCAAACGAGAATAAGATCAAGGGTGGTGTTCAAAGAAGACAGAAAAGGAGCGAGTCCAAACCCACGGAACTTCCAAGCGACGCAAGACTAAAAGAAAGAGAGAAAATAAAAGCCAAATCCAATGGTAAACCACTCCAGGAAGGTCGGTGCTGATGGAATTGCACAGAGGAAACAAGCTGATCAAAGTGAGGGAAACAGCGAACATTGAGACGATCGAGGCAGCAAGCAAAGAAGCAAGAGCGAGATGTAACGGTGACACAAGCGAATAAAAAGCATCGAAGCAAACAACCAGGAGGAAATTATATCTTATTTATAGGGAATTGGCTTGAGATTCTTTTGACCTGCAAAAAGCTTTGCGCATTTGGATAACAGCTTTATAAGGGTTTCTACTATATGGTGTTCACAAACTGCTACATTGATATTGTAAGGTTGCTAAGTTAGTAGCCTCAGGCCATAATGACAGATCACGTGTAATTGGCATTTAAGAGTTAGTAGCGAAAGTTCATCCGGCAACTAACTCTTCTTCATGTCCGGGTACACTGGACTAGCACGTGACCTTGACATCGTTTCCAAATCAGGATTAGCGTGTCAAAACAACTAGGAATGCGCCCGCCAGCTTCACGTAGATCCTTTCTATAAGAGCTGGGTGGTGGTGACGGCGTGAAGAGGTAATCAATACGGAGAATGCTAAGTACGATGGTGAGGGAAATGTAGGGCCCTTATTGCGCAAGAACTAATCGCTGATGCTAAACACACGTGATCCTGTGTGGCCTGAGGCTGCTGTCTCAAGCTGCTGCAAGTTAGGTGGGAAGGCGGCCATTTCTGGCCTCAGGCAGTCATTTTGGGTGTCATTTTCACAGGTGTAATGATATGCATCCTTACCGCCTGCAATAAGGTCATTCTGCCACTCCAATTCAATTGAGATTCTTCAATCTTCATCTTTTCCTGGTGACCCTGGGAATGGGAGTTACACAAAATTATCTTATTTAATCTATTTATTATTTTCAAAAATAAATAAATAAATTATCCAAAGCACCATTGGCCCTGCCTAGTATGAACACAGTGGGCAAATGGCTTGTTTCACCTGAATTATCAGCGTCGTCAATGGATTGTCAGCATCAGTTCAGGTTCAGGATCAACGTACTCCGTATCTACCCGAATAACACGTACAGTTACTGCATTGCATCATTTGTTAGATGCGGAGATCAATCATCATGTTGATATGATGTACTATGGAGCATACTATGTGGCGCCGGTGCATGGATCTCCATCTTCATGCACTGCTCAGCTCGGTACGAAGCCCCTTGTTTACTCAACTTACTACCTATGCAGTACGCACTCCGGAGTCAAAGATCTTCTCTGCACTTCAATCAACTAAAACCCAATCCAATTAATCAATCAACCAACAATAACAGTCCATGACTTGGCAACCGGTAGCCACCGCAAATTACACCGAAACCCCAATCAAAACGCCAATTGAAAAAAAAGAGCCAAGTCTGAGTACATCAGAAACCGTGTAAAATGTGAAGAACCAACGTCATCAGGAGGATAAGTTAATTTCGAGGTTAACTTCTCGCCCGCACTCGTTTCGGCATAGGCGTCGACCCGGCGTTCGAGTTGAGGATGCTCTTGCTATTGCTCCTTCTCGCCATCACCCGCGATCCACCACTGCTACTACCCGGGTTCTGCTTGATCTCCACCGCTGTGCTGGACACTGCCGCCCCCGCCGTCGTCTTACTCGGGGATTTGGGCGTGAGCATCTTGCGCCGGGAACCCGTATTCGCGAGTGTCCCCAGGGGCAGTGGGACTGAACTTGTCGTCGTCTTCCCCAGTCGTTGGATCCGCCGAGCAGGCGGAGGTGGTGTTGCGGGTGTTTTTGGTGCTGTTGCAGGATGGAGGCCAGTACCACCCTCCACTTCGACTTTACTTCGAGTGCCCTTTGCTTTCCCCTTTCCCGGAGACTTTGCAGGTTTCTCGCTAACCTTGCTGTCCACAGCCTTATTCTTCTCATTCTTGCTCGAGCCATCATCAAGCTGCTCCTCACCCTCATATTCGACCAGCCGCTGCTCGTTCCACGTTACGTGCTTGGCTCTACTCCGTCGTCTGGTGGGTTTCTGGTCCGTCTCGTTTTCAGAACAGCATGTTTTGTCCTCCTCCTGCTGAGCCAGGGCTTCAAGCACGAATTTCGGGAGCACTGCATCTCCCTTGTTGTACCTGGTATTCTTACGCGTGGTCAACGAAAGCTCCTGAGATTCGGTCCTCTTCCGGAAGATGAATTCAGTCCCCTTCGGCCGTCGGAGAGCAATAGTAGTGCTGGGAGGCGTGACCCGTGGTGTGACTCGTGGCGTACGTGTCCGCGTACTCCGGCGGACCACAGGACTGCCGGATTGCTCTTCGTCGTTGTGATCTGCGGCGACATCGATGTCTGCAGGTTTGTCTCCGTCGTCGACCTTACATGGCGACGCCTGCTGTTTCAGGTGCGGTGATGGGGAGTTCGCGTCCATCTCTTCTAGGGCTCGACGGGTAGGAGGGGGAGTGGGGACTTCTTTCACTGGACCTTCCCCCTTTGGGGGTTCCTCGATGCTCTGGATTGCTGTAACTGCATTCGCTGCACGCTTCGCTATTGCTTTGGACAGGAAGCTGTTGAGTAGTTCGGTATTCTCACGGTCGAAGGAATCTTGTAGAGTTGACTGTGCCGATGTCAATACGTCAAGACTGGACGCTGGCACTGACGGTGCGGCTTCAGCATTCGGAGTCGTGGCAGGAGAATGTGCCTGATCTGTCAAATCAGGCTGCTGTCCGCTCGTCATGGCCACATCTTTGGCCGCATCCAGAGTTGTCTCGGTTATAGTAACCTCCTCCAGCAGCGATGGATAAGCACTGGCCACCTTGGCCACGTCGTCGTGCAGAGTATCATTGGTCTTGTCGCGCAAAATGTTGGAAAAGACATTCACTCGCTGGACTTCTTTCGTTGGTGTGTCCAAAGCTTCGACAGCATCCTCGGGATGCTGTTCGATCACATCCAAGCTAGGAGCACTCGAAGGCTCAATCCCATCTCTGTTGCTACATCCGCTCCCCGTAGGAAGTTTACCTATCGACAACCAATCAGCATTCCATCGTAAGAGTAAAGACAGCGCGATATCAGAACGGCTCACGCTTTCTCCGAATAACATCCTCCTCCCACTTCGTCTCAAGAAAAGACCGCCCCCGATCGGAATCACCGTCCACAGTATCATCATTACCAAGCTGGAGACACAACCGCTTCACACCGCGTAGGAAACCAAAGCTTTTCGCCACATTGATCTCGGTTTGTAACCCTTCATAGAAGTCGTATGCGTCATGATAGACACTGTCAACATGGGACGCCGTCAATTGTTTTAATTGCTTGGTACTGCCGAACGACGAGCGGAAGCGCTTCCACACCTTGCGCGACTTGGGACGCGCCATGAACGGGGTCGAAGGTTTGCGCTCCCAGAGATGCGGGACTTTCGGGAGAACCTTGGTAGGTGTGAATCTGAATCGGTCTTGTTCGTTTTTCATTTTGCTATTTTGATTTTGAATGAATAAGTAAATGGTAATGGTATGCCGACGGGGAGAGATTTGTTAGGGGGGATTTGTTGCAGAACACACTCGGGAGAACAAAATAAAGGGGATAACGAGTGTACATAGACAGTATAATGACTATAAGCAGGTGATTATACGAACCAGATCTTTGACTGCAATGGGAGGAGAGCGGGCGCTCCGACGCCCGCGCTGTTGTTGTGATGCATAGGTAGTAAGTAGTAGACGCGCCAACTCAAGACGCGAAATTCCAAAAGACCAAAAAGGTTTGCAGGGGCTAATACATGGGCAAGATGTATCTTATAAGTACTTCTAGCATGATACGAATGAGGAATTAAATGCAAGCAGGGGGAATGACAGCATGCTAAACAATAGATCGTGAATGGTAAATGTTAATAGGGAGAAAAATAGGGCGAGCCGACCGTTGAAAGGGTTCGGATAGACGCCGTTGCTGTGCCAACACCGAATTACTCGGCTATAAATTGCAGTCCTGCAAACATGCTATCTGCGAATGCCATTTTATCAACTTTCTTGATCGATGGCAAGGTGGAACAGGGCATCTCAATGAGGATGGGATGCAGATTTTCGCTACAGCGGAGGTCACCCTGTCTAGATTCAAATAGCCATAAACACAGAAATCTAGGGTCAACTCCAGACATTTGGAATCATCAAGTGAACAGTGACTGCTCGAGTTCATCATTAGCTGAAAGCTCCTCCAGAGCCTAGGGGATCGATCAATTAACCCACCGGAGCCTCATATATCATCAATTCATATCGATTAACCATGAACTCCTATCCTAACCCTTAAGGCTGCCGAGAATATTTTGACAGAAAAAAAAAAAAAAAATCACCAGGATCCGGAAGCCCAACTAATTCAGCTTGCTCATTCCCCTCTTAGAATAATTCCTCATGCATATCCCTCTCATCAAATGGGTCTCCAAACTCCCCTAAAAGAACAAAGCGGTATTAGCATGGAGCCCGCTGGAAATTCCACAAATAACTCCTAGGTCAAAGAAGGGGGGGAAGAGTATAAGAGTATAGGCGACACATACGTAAACTAAAGTCCTTATCGACCACATATTCCATCGCCCGCTGATACTCTTCCTCGGAGCGTTTATTCATCCACGACGCTCCAGGTTTATCCGCTTCCTTCACGGCATCTTTCTTCGTGGTTCCCTTGTCAAATCTCAGACCGAGTGGTTCGGGCGCCTGTCGTGTCTGCGAACCTGGAGGGGAGAGCTCGGATCCAACAAAGCGGGAACCGCGTGCCTTGTCGGTAGGTGTGCGGGAACCGAGCTGGGAGTCATGTTCGGATTCGGGAGATGAGGCCATCTCAGAGTCGCCGTCTAGATCTACGTAGGTGTGAGCTTTCTTCATGCCAAATGGGTTTAGAATGGACGGCGTATGTGGTGATAGATACAGTGCCAACAGGAGTGGCATCGACAACTTACCGGTAGGCATTTTGTAAATAGTCCTGATGGTTAAAGGGACGACAGGTCAATACAGAGGGAGATGTAAGGATACAACGGATGCTTCAAAAATAATGGTGGTGGTGGTGGTGTTGTAAGTCTGGGGAAGCTCTGATGGTCTTGTAGGCAGATTGCTTAGTTAAGGCGCATGCGGCGTCTTCACGTCCCGCAGGAAGGATTTTGTAATCTCACGATCCTCCTTCACTACAAGATCAACTGCAGACTGCCTAGCCCATTCTTCCTTTATTTTACGTTACTTTTGCTTTTATCCTCTAATTTATACTCAGCGTTTTGCTGAGCATCCCTTTCCTCACGCAATCCCCTCTGCCATGAGCGCAAAATCCTCCACAATCCCCGATGCATGGGATGACGACTGGGAGAAGCAGGCAGACGTAAGTACCGTGTATAGACGCACACTCCCTTTAATCGTGTCTACTCCAAATCTACAAAACATATAAATGCTCTTTCTCCTTCATCTAGTATCTTTGCAGAACATTGACCCATTTTTATACATACAGCATGCACCTCCAGAGGAAACTACCGCACCCCCACCAGGGAAAAAAGTCTCATCTAAGGTTACAAAGGCGCAACGAAGAGCGCAACAAGCAGAATTCAACAGACAATTGTGGGCGGAAGCGTATGTCATGCCTATGCCTAGTATAGCCTTCTAGCCGGGGCTTCTCTTTCGGCTCGCCATCGCATTATAATGACAACATCTGGAAAGAAACAGTGAATCCCCGCAGGCCTTTCACTTCCTCGAAACCAGGTCCAACGTCCCGCTGAAACAGGACATAAAGCCGGCCGTTACTTTGCTTAGTCGGAAACCGCAGATCGCCTCTCGACAGTCATCCAGCGCAGTCAAGTCTGCTACGGCGGGTGTTGGGCGACTAGGGCTCGCCGATGACGGCTCGGACGATTCCGAATATGGGGCCAATAAGGAACCGGAATTGACACCGGAGGAGCGCCAGGCGATGGCGTTACGGAATCTAGAGGAGAAACAACGCAAATATGAAGAAGTACGAGAAAGACTATTTGGGAGTCCTTCAAATGCAGCGTCCGGCGCGTCATCAACGGGCAGCGCAACTCCTCCAAGACAACAATATAATGGCGAGAGAAGAGGGAAGGGGAGGAGCCGTGGCGGCGGGAGAGAAAACCGGGAGAGGAGGGATTCCTCTGCAGCGTCGGGGAAGTCTCGACGGCTGTATGACCCAGACTGTGCGGCAAAACCAAACTCGTCATATGTACAGAGAAAGGAGAGACCGCGAACAGATGATCGCAATTGGGACCAGCAACAGGCGCCTTTAAGACCCTTACGGAGCCCTAGGCAACCAGATCCTAGTGGGAGAGCTGGTTTTGGATTCGGCAACCGAGCATGAGCAGGCAGAACATATATACGAAAATTTATTCTACATGTTCCAGAGGACGATGAAAGCATGGAAAGTTGCCTTTGCAAGTTTTGTGGGACTTCCCAAGGACATCGGGGAAGCAAGGTTGGATTGTTTGATTGCGAAGTCAGAGGTCCATTACAGCAAACAAGAGTGAGCAGACATTAAGGCAGTCTTTTGCCTGAATTTACAGCGACTGCGAGCTGGGACGTGCCGGGCTGGTTTTCTAGCAGGAAATGTCAGCCTTGTGGATACGTATCTACAGGAAGCGAGGTTCAACATACGGACATATCGCTCATAACTGTCGAGATAGAGCTCATTGCTGCTGGTTGTTGCCTTGACATGCTCGTCTGCTTCGATTGCATTTACCCAGGCAGCCCACCGAGACCCCACCGGAGGATCCGGCCAGCCGCGGTACGGTTTTAGAACTCGACTTAGTCGGATGACCCACGGTGCAATTTGAATATCAACAAATGACAAATTTGGTCCTATGAAGAACGGACCCTTTTCGTCTGCAACGTTGACTAGACTATCGATATGTTCCCGGAGGGTTACAGCATATGAAATCTGTTTATCTGCGTCTTGTTCTCGCAGGACAGCGTAAAAGTCGGTACGATGTGGCGGTTGATCTGTGGTCAGTCAGCGACGGCATTTACCAGCGGTCTGACTGCGGAGAGGGAATATTACATGCTCCGACCACAGCCGGCAATGAGCACGCAGTTTAGGATCTCCTATTGGTAGGAGGATTGGGCCAGTATGTAGATCTTCGAGCTGTGGGCGGCACCTTTTAGAATGGAACAGCAATTGAATCGCGGACGGGGGATTCACACATATTCAAGCAGGACAGTGCTTTCATAGCATGCCCAATCACCATGCCGCAAAACCGGGACAAGCCCGTGCGGGTTCAGATCCAGCAAAGACTGGGGCTTTTTGTATGGGTCTACTTCGATATATTCGTATGGAATGCGTTTCACCTCTAATGCAATCCATACCCGTTGAACAAAGGGGCTGCGGACCCATCACAGAGATGTTCCCAGTCAGTCAATTGTCTGGAGGACTTGGAATCGATAGTTCAGGTGGTCAGCTTTAAATACGAACGCACCAGAAGCAGCTCCCGTATAAAACCATCTCGCTTGGTCTGTTATGCTTCTTCGCCGTGATGGCAGCGGAGCCAGAGGTTTTCGTATGGTATGACTTGGGTGGGTTAAGGGGTGAATCCGTACTCATCTCCTCCACGTGTTGTTTCTTTAATTATATGCTAGAGTAGAACTTGGGATAGATGGATACATAGAAATGAAAGAAATAAAGTATTGTGATAGAAGGAGTTACGAACAGCGTCTCTTAGTATGATGTGTGCACCACCGCAAAACGCGGGAAGATGACGTAGCCCGCGTGTGTGTGTGTACTTTACTATGTACTATCTATTATAGGCCAAAACCACGCACTGGCTCTCTTGCTGTTGAGGTGAGCCATGACTGTTCGCAGTGGACTGTCTATTTGGTATTCCTTCTTCTGATGGAAAGAGAATGAGAATGAACAGTGATGGTACTAAAAAGAAGCGCCAGGACTTCCGAATACGGAAATTGACTCGATGTCCATCGCAGTCCATGATCTTTTCCCATCATTGTCATTCCAGAGTCATATACTTCATTTGTATATAATCAACGTTGCGCAAAATACTCGGAATGTTACTGACTCGTCCAGACCCCTCCAACCATACCTAAGTAGGTACCTACTCCTGCATGTGTTTGGCTTCCAACTTAACCAACATGCACCTTCTTCCTCTTGTCAGCCTCAGTGTTTCTAAACGGATAGCTAGACGTCCTCTTATCCACCCCAGTACCAATACTGCTGCTATATGAACCCGCAAAAAGCGTACACCAGATTCCCAAGAACGAAATGATCGCATACCCACCCACTCCCACCGCAAAAGCCGCCAGTGATGTGTTTATGAACCACGTGTACGCGTAGGAAGCGCAGACAGCATGGAAAAGCGACGTGACCACCAAGGTTGGCATGCTGTAGGGGGCTCGGGGGTCGGAAAATGCGTCGTCCTCCGTCGTGGGTTCTGTGACGGCGGAGCTGAACGGGACTGAGCCCGATAGCATGATGGTTAAGAGGCTGATTGTCAAGAGACTCGTGCCTAGACTGCGGGCAAGGTAGGTTTCGATTTCTGCTTGAAGTCGCTGGTCAATATAATATAGGTTACGTGGGCGTATCCCAAATGTTGACGGACTCACCTTCAGGAGGCCTTGTGTCGTCTAGCAACAGAGTCACGATTATTCTCGGCACAGTGACGAGTAATATGCCTTGCATTCCTAGCCAGCCGGCCGTGGAGTAGATGTACAGATTGAAAGCCTACAATGAGGCGAATTGGAGATCGGTTGATCCATGTTAGCTTCTGTATATATCCTGAACGAAAGAGACTGGTTGGGACTTTGCCGCACCCTCATGATGCCTTTCCTTCTCCTTCTGCCGAGTAGTAAACCGATTTTCTGGTCCGTTGAACAAGTCAAGGGACGAATGCTGCGACCTACTGAATCTATGTGTGTATAAACCGAGCGAGCTCACAATGACATACGTCAGGCTGAGGGTTTCCGCAACATTGAATGACATCATCTAGCTTTTCCAACGTTGGTCAGACAAGTTTTGCTGCAGCTGAACCTTGTTCTTACTAGGTGAGTGAGACTTGGAAAATACAAAAGCCTGGAAGGCTATTTGCTACTGACTGTGAACTGACATACTGCATAAGGCAGCTCAGCATGACGAAGATACAAGTACCTTCATTTGTGTTGGCAATTATTCATAGAGACCACGGAGCAGCTTCCAATGAACAATAGAATGAGGAAATGCTGAAGAAGTCATTTGCTTTTATCCAGGACGGCTGAGGTAGAAAGTAGGAAACGCATCCCAGACAAAAAGAGCTGAAACAGTAAATCCGCCGTCTTGGCGTGAATTCAATTAAATTCCTGCCTCCGACTATCGATTGATATTACTCGCGCGCAGGTATCTTGTAAAACTGGCATCCTGATCGGATAGGCCACTATGGGAACCGGCCAGGGCCTGCTTATACCGTTGAGACAAGGCATCATCATCCCTTCCGGCGCTGGTATCGTATGCATCGTCATCACTGTTATCATCCTGATCGTATTCTGAAGGTTTCCCTGCTGCTTCTGCCTCGGCCTCCTCCTCGGCTTCACTGACAGTTTCGGCTTCTGTATCTTCACGTCGCCCCCGACTCGACCCAGAGACGCTCATGTCCTTCATCAGCTTACCCAGCTCCAACTCCCGATTTGCAGCCTTGGCCTCTTCACGTTCCTTCTTCTTCTTCTCTAACTCGGGTTTATAGTCTCGCTCGAATTCCTGGCGCTTCTCCTCGACAGCTTCAAAGAACTCGCCAATTCCGTCTCCCGTCATGGAGCTCACACCGACAACGCTTAGGTGACTGTAGAACTCCTCCAGCATCAGACTCATACTGTTAAGGAGCGAGCCCATGTATCCGCTTCCAGCACCGAAACCGCCCACACCCCCTTCGGCACCGAATGCGCCACTTTCTTCTTCCTCGCGTAGAGCCTGTTGGAAGGCGTCAAAGTCTGTCATCCACTCCTTTGCAAATCCCGCATCCTTAACATCTGTTTTGTTAAAGACAAGGATCATTGGCAGTTTCGTCTTGTAGAGAATACTGCAGGCGTATAGCATGTTGCTCATGAAAGTGCTCGTGGAGCTTGTGCGGGGTGTGTCAATGATGTACGCGATCACAGTAGGAAACGATGACGCAAGGGTCTCGAGCAAAATGCTACCTGATGCGCTCCACACAAAGACCTCGATCTGACCAGGCGTGTCGACGAGGATGTGCTTAATCGGCTTTGCGGAGGGGTTGCTGGGGTTCGGTGATGTGCGTTTCTCCAGAAGCCCTATGATCTGGTCGACCTTCGTGGCGAACAGGTTCAAGGATGTCAAGATACCACCGTTCGGTCCTAGGTTGTACTGCTTCATCACTTCTTTGTAGTTGATTGAGTCTCGAATGTCAATGTTGCTCTCGAATGGGACCGAATGCACCGCAGGATCTAGGTTCAATACGTAAGGAACTTGTTTTTTGGAGTGCAAATAGGAGTTTATTCTCTGCATAAATGTCGTCTTTCCAGAGCCTGTATAGAGAGTAAAGCAGATCAGTATGGCTCGTATTGGATAAAAACTGAAGAGAGCGATGATCTTACCAGCCATGCCGACGCAGACGACGGACACGGTCGTCGGCGCCATGGTTTCAAGATGATCGATTACGCTGGATAGAAGAGTTAATCACTCTGTGCGAATCAAATTAACAAAATATGCGAGAAGAATATGGTAAGCTGCTTTTTTGATGAATCGCGGGGAAGTCAAGGAGGAAGTATCTTTTTCTGCGGGCCGAAGTCAAAGTCTGGACGGAGCGAGACGTCATTCCACGCGGTCGTCGATCCTTCAAACGAAACATAACTCAAACAAAACGCAACGCCTCAGAATCTCCCGCTGCCAGCCGACACAATGACGCTGGAGGACTTTGAAAAGTCGCTTGCAGAGGAACGAGAAAGACGGCACTCAAAGAGCGACAGAGAGAGACGTCGAGATCGCAGCAGCGACCGCTCTAGACACCATCGCCACCATCATAGTAACCGTCGGCATTCTTCCAGATCGAGAGAACGAGGAAGTCATCGCAGCCACCACGAGTCAAGACACAGCGATGAAAATGGACACAGACATAAGCGATCGCGCCGCCACTCTCTGGATCACGATGATCCGGGCCAAACTCATAAGCGCCAGCACAGACGTGCAAGCAAGGACAATGAAGATGAATTGAACGCCCCAGCACCCCGAGAGATAGTCCAGGAGGAACCAAAACGTCTAAAGCGAGATGCGTGGATGGAGGGTCCGTCTGCGTTAGACATTGACTACGTTCATAAGCGTGATACGACGCGCTTGGAAGAGGAACCGAAGGCGAAAATGCTCCAAGCTGATTATGAGCTCAAGATTCATCAAAGGGAGCTCAATGAGCATCTACATGATCTGAAGGAGGGAGCAGCTATCGAGGATCTCAAGGATGAGCCGGCGAGTCATGAGGTGGATTATACTTTTGGAGACGCTGGCTCTCAGTGGAGAATGACGAAACTCAGAGCCGTCTACAGAGAGGCGGAGGAAAGTGGGAGACCCGTGGAGGATATTGCTATTGAGCGTTTTGGGGACCTTCGCTCATTTGATGATGCGCGAGAAGAAGAAGTGGAACTAGATCGCCGTGAAAGATACGGCGAGGACTATGTCGGCAAGATTAAACCATCCGGGGAGCTATTTCAGGAGAGAAAACTCAAGGAAGACATCCATCGGGATCCACACGAGCACCTAAAGGATCCGGCAAGTGAGCTTCAGAGTACTGGCCAGGGACGACCTATGGACGCTGTGCCTCCCGAGCATACGACCTCGCATCTTGACTTGTCAGCCCTGAACAAGCTCAAGGCGCAGATGATGAAAGCGAAACTGAAAGGCTCAACTGACGCAGCAGAGCTTGAAGAGCGCTACAATGCGCTTGCCGCAGCGATGTCCAATCGCAAAGAGAGCGACGTGGTCGTGCTAGGCGTTATGGAAAACCGCATGCTGGCTGGAGAGAGGAAAGAGGTCAAGCCAGTCGAGAACCGGAGAGGCCGGGAAAGAGGTCGTGTGGAGGAGAATGAGGACATGAGTATTGAGGATATGGTCCGGGAGGAACGCAGGACTCGTGGCCAGGCCGGTGGTGCTGGTGGACGGCTCGCCGAGAGGATCGCGAGGGATGCCAAATTTGAGGTGGGTTAATTCTTTTTCGCGAAGCCATTGTTGTCAGGTCCGTTTGAGCAGCATTCTAACCTTCTCTGCAGAATGACCTCGAATACATGGATGATAATGCCGCCAAACTGGCTAAGCGGGTACACAGATCAGAGATCGATATTAAGAATGCCACCATCAATGAATTCCAGAAGATGAATCGGATCCTGGATAACTGCCCACTCTGTCACCACGAGGACACAAATACGCCCCCCGTCGCGCCCGTCGTCTCCCTAGCTACTCGAACATACCTAACCCTCCCTACTGAACCCGAACTCAGTGAAGGATCCGCTACTATTACCCCGATTCAACACCGAAACAATCTCCTCGAATGTGACGATGATGAATGGGAAGAGATCCGCAACTTCATGAAGAGTCTGACGCGGATGTACCACGACCAGGGGCGAGATGTCATTTTCTACGAGAATGCGGCCCAGCCTCGTCGCAAGAGGCACGCAACGATGGAAGCTGTGCCATTACCATATAGCCTAGGCGAGACATCGCCTGCGTTCTTCCGCGAAGCCATCCTGGCAGCCGATGCCCGATGGACACAACACCGACAGATCATCGATACTGCGGCCAAGGCGAAGCAGGGATTAGGGAAATTGGCCTTTCGCCGCACGCTGGTCAAGGAGATGCCCTACTTCCACGTCTGGTTTGACCTGGATGGCGGCATGGGGCACATCGTCGAGGACGACCATCACTGGCCGCGGGGAGATCTCTTTGCGCGGGAAGTCATCGGCGGCATGCTGGATCTGGAGCCGGATGTTATCAAGCGACAAGGGCGTTGGCACAGAGGCCGGGATAAGAGAGTTGACGGGTTCAGAAGCCGATGGAGGAAATTTGACTGGACCCGGGTGTTGGTGGAGGGATAGGTGTATCATTTCTCAGAATACTTTGTCTTTTCCTGTGTCACTATGTTTGACTGTCAAATTGCATGTATTGTCCCCAAACGATGCTCACATCCGCATCTCGTAGACTCCAGTGTATCCTCAGATCGGGCGTGGGGAAGTTCAACAAGATGACAAAAGAGTGCGGGACAGATTCGATTTCCCCCTCTTCTTCCGACTTGTCGGCGTCTCTCCGATCATACTTCTCCTGTTCTGTCCTCTCTTTCTCTCCATCCATCCTATGTTCTCACATTTAAGGAGCAGGCTTGCCAGAAGCTGTCTTCCCCAGAACACCATCCAGTCCTCCTTATACCGCTGCTCCCCGCTCTCCCAAGCAAGATATGCCACCATGGGTTCCAACGCTCCCAGACCCAAGATTCTCCTTCTCGGCACAATCGACCAGTAAGTTATCAGCCCAAATCTCCTTGAATTCCAGCCGCATTTTTATTGACACGGTTATTGACACGGTCGCAACTAGTGCGCGTAAAACATGGCAATCGCTGAGTGAACTCGGGGACCTGGTCGAGACCAAGGCGACCAACCGCGCAGAGTTTCTGAAGGAATGTCGAGAAGGCAAGCTAGATGGAGTCGTCGCGGCTTATCGGACTTTCTTTTCTGTGCAGACTACCGGCTTGTTTGACAAGGAGCTTGTGGATGCCCTTCCCAAGTCATTAAAGTATCTTGCGCATTGCGGTATGTTCTTCTTCTATCTTGTTTTATTCAGAATACTTACCATTCTTTCCCCATGACAGGCGCTGGATATGACCAGGTAGATGTCCACGCCTGCAGCGCTCGAAACCCCCCAATCCGCGTGTCCAACGTCCCCACAGCTGTGGACGATGCAACCGCGGACGTAAACATGTTTCTCATCCTAGGTGCCTTGCGTAACTTCAACACAGGCATGATGGCTCTGAGAGAGGGCAAATGGCGCGGCCAACCGGCGCCTGCCCTCGGTCATGATCCGGAGGGTAAGGTCCTCGGAATCCTAGGCATGGGCGGCATTGGGCGCAATTTGAAGAAGAAGGCCGAGGCCTTTGGTATGGAGGTCATCTATTATAACCGTCGGCAGCTGAGTGAGGAGTTGGCCGCTGGAGCGAAATATGTGTCCTTTGACGAGCTCCTCGCTACGAGTGATGTGCTCAGTTTGAATTTGCCCTTGAATGTAGGTACTTCAAACGTCACATTTCTCCTTCGTTCCATCTCTGATCCTAATAGAAAAACACACACCACATTATCGGGAAACCCGAATTCGACAAGATGAAAGATGGCGTTGTCATCGTCAACACTGCCCGAGGCGCCGTCATGGACGAGGATGCACTTGTTCAAGCTCTCGATGCCGGCAAGGTGAGCTCCGTCGGCCTGGACGTCTTTGAAGAGGAACCGAAAGTCCATCCGGGCTTGATTCGAAAACCGAATGTGCTCCTGGTTCCTCACATGGGAACTTGGACCGTTGAGGTAAGTTTTGTTGTCTTCCACTCTCGACAAAGATAGAATCCCTGATTCCTAACTGCATGTGTTCGTTAGACCCAAACTGCGATGGAAGAATGGGCGATTGGAAATATTCGTCTTGCCCTCGAAACTGGAAAGCTTAGAAGCCCTGTTCCCGAGCAGGCTGATCTATGAAATCTTGAAATATACCTACATCCGGTTATATAGACTCGCTCCTTGTTCTGAGTCACTGTTGTTTTCTTCCCACTTTTGTGCCCAGAATGCGCAACAGCGGATGTTACCAGGAATGCAAGGAATAGTTTCATGATGTAATCGTTGAATGGTGGTAGAAGATAGACATAATACCAAGAATCTATGTATAGCCTGAATCTGGATTTTAGTACAAAATGGGGCCGAACAAAAGTGCACCAGAAACGCCCTTGCGCTACTGCCGGAGTCCTTTCCCAGACATAATGGACGGAATGGAAAAAGAGCATGAGAAAATGAAATGATATCGTTGGCAGAATGTCACAAAAAAGAAGAAAAAAGAGAACATAATTGGCCAATGGAAGATGAAAGGGAATTAAGTAAAGCCTTCTAGCGATTTTAAAATATCCATCGAGGATCAAAATGCAAGAAGGGAACAGGGAAGTTGAACGAATCGCAGATTTTGTATCGAAAATCAAAAAGTCCTGAGATCATTCCCGCGACACTATCCACGACCGTAATACCATTCCGCAAATCCGTCTGACCACCTGTGTGGTTCCTTTCCCAGAAGCCTCCTCTTCAAGGAACTTTTGCGCAACGTACAGCTTGGCTCCCGCGTCCTTCTCGTTAGTCGTGATGGGATGCGGAAAGCTATGAGGGAAGTCTGCCCAGCGCTGCCCAAGATGCCGCGCGATTGCGATGGAATAAATGATGTCTCGGTTTTCAAAGGTATCCAACAGCGTTCGGGAACGAGCCAGCGTGTCATCAATTTCCTTTGCCGAGCTTGCCTCATCATCGTGAAGTGTCAAGAAGTGGCCAATTGTACTCCAGAAATCCAATGACCTTTGTACAAGTTGGTCGGGGAGTGAAGGGGGATTGGCGGCGGGTTCTCGAACCGGAAACTGAGATAACGGATTCGACTCCAAGTGCTCTCCCGTAATCAAGGCCTCTATCACATCAAGTCTGGCTGAAGAGCATGCCAGATCGTAATCTGCTCCGTTACTCCCATTGGAGACGCTCATGACGTGTCGGCATAGAGTCATAGTGCTCCAAACAACCGAAGCCTCAAAGCTCTCTAACCGCGCCAAGACGTTAGGATCGTGGAGGTTTTTGTCGTTGAATGCATCGATCAACGCAGAATATTCTGCCATAAGCTGCGCGTTCGCCGTGAGGTGGGGCAGCCCCTTCTCTTGAAACCAGCATGTCTCAAGAAACTTGTCGATGGCAGGAGCATAAGTAGCGAGAAAGACCGCCTGTATTTCGTCTAGCCGGCCCGGTTGGATTGGGATAATAGGATGAGGAGGGGGAGGGGGAATGCCTCTTAGGGCCACGAGATCTGTTATCCGAACTCGTTTCACTGGAGACCACGTTAGCAATAGTAGTTACATCAGTCCGCAAGGCAATGCGTAACGAAAGCATACCTTTGAAGGTAGATGCATCAGTGGGTGTCGTACCGGTCGTTGCAGTAGTTACCTGCGGTTGCAAGCTTCCACTAACTGCATTCTGAAGACTAGTCATGTCTGGAATGGGCTTGCTTTGCAGCGAAGGGTCAACGGCAGAGCCCTGCTCAAACTGCTCGGTCGATGGGGCAGGGGATTCCGACTGTAAAGATGGAGCGAAAGGCTGGGACGCTGCCGGCACGTAGCCAGGAGGCGCACCAGAATACGATGCGGGATCTTGAGGATTAACGACGAGCGAGGGAGGGGGATTCGGGGCCGGTTGTATTGCAGAGGGAGTTGGCTGCGCTCTGAAGACAGGGTCGTAACCTAAGCATTCACGCTTGCTTTTCACACAATTTCGGCACACAGGATGCCCCTCATCGCACTGAAGCAGGATCAATTCATCGTCAGTAAAACGGAGAAAATCAAGTGCGAGGAAATCGTGGCGTTTTGGGCGCGAAACGGAGAAACAAAAGGAAAACAATGCTGTGGGGAGGCCGAGCGATAATCCTGGCGGGGTCTCTGGCACCGCAGAAGTGCTAAGCGACAGCTACGTCCCGCCCGCATTTCTACCGCGTTCCTTCACAGCAAGCGCTGTGGAAAAGTACACGTACCTTGATTCTTCGTTTTCTGCACGTTAAACAACCTGTCTTTGTTCTGCGTTTTACTTCCTTCTTGTGTCTACTGCCTGATAGCATCTTGTTGGGGTCTCCGCCTAGCTGATAGTGCATTTGCGCGTTCGTTGCCAACCCCATTGGATTCGCAGGATACGATTGCATATACTGGCCCATGGAAGACATCGAGGGCATGTTCGAGGGCAGGGGAGACCCGATGGGGGCCTGTGGAACGTGTCCGGGCTGTGTCTGTACTGGGTGATTGTCGATTGTCTGCATCGTCGGAGCACTCATCGGCACGGAAGAAGCTTGAGGATTGGAGTACATTCCATGGTTCTGCTGGATCTGTTGTTGCTGCTGAGCAGGCTGCTGTGGGTATTGATATGTACCGTTCGACGGTGATGCATATGTAGGGGCTGGCGGATAAGAAACTGTCTGGCTTGCGGGAACGCTGTTGGCTGCGGCCGGCGCAGTCGCAGCATGCTCTGCTCCCGGGCCGTTTGTACTTGCTTGAGTCGAAAACTGAGCCCCTAGCGGAATCGTCTCTGATATAGACTTGGTTATCTCCGCGACTGGCAAAGCAGCGTCCGCCGAGGGTATAGTCTTGTCGATGGGCGGGAGAGACACTTGAGCAGATTGCACAGGCGCATTCACGGCCGCAAAAGAAGATGTTATAGGGGGCTGCGAAGAATCGGTTGGGAGAGTGGCTGTCGCAGCTGGCACTGTGATGTCGGCAACTGACCCGGATCCTTTCTCGGCCAGTCTATCGTTCGATACAGCCGGAGGACTGGAAGCTGATTCTGCGGTCTCCGCCATATTGTTCCCCAAAACTCCCGTAACGACAGTGTGTTCCAAATCTCAATCCGCTCGTGGAATGTAAAGATCAACAGCAGAATTCTTCAGCGCTAGCTCCGGGGTCAAAAGGGATCCACGATTGAAATGCCAACGACTTCCTGGGCGGCGTACTTTCTTTGTCGCACCGGATGACTGAGAAGCTGGTATTCATCAACTTTCCAGCAGCGTCCTCTAAAAAACAGCAACCAATTAGCGCAAAACTTCAACAGAGATGCTGCCAAATCAACCGCCACATCTCCCTTTGAGTGTGTAACTGTAGAAAAAAACATTTCCATAAAAACTTTTGTGGATGAAAACGATGGCGAAATATATCATTTTCCTTTCATCTCAATGCATCCCCTGCATCTTGCGTATTATTTTTCGACAATAAACAGGTTCATGTCTCCGAGCCCACGCAGTGAGCGTGTAAAAAAAAAGCTCTCCCGCGAATCGACAACACGGCGCAAAACGATAAAAGCTTGCCAGGCGCAAATTCCCCTCTATAACAGACAACCGGAGGCCAAAAGAATGTCACACGGAACGCGACAGGCGCAGTGGAAGCCCATAGTGTATTCCATGGAAGGTTTCATCTCGACAGCCATTCATTTGTGGTGACGGCGATCTTGCGCAGCGTCGTCGAAGCCAGACGTCGCGGGAGCGTGCATATAGAACCTTGAAAAGAGGCCGAGGGACGAGCAATGATGCATTGGATAGAGGAAGAAGGTCCGAAAGGCTTAATGACAACAGAGGGGAAGCAGAGCGGAAAAGAGCTATGAAGCATGTTGAGGCCGGGTTGTTTTGACTTACCATGTAGATAAGCAGACAGAAGGAAGAGACACAGAGCTATCCCACCTTCTGAAGAACTGTTTCAGTGAGAGAATAAAACAGAGACTGCATCTGACACTGCAGAGAAGCTGGGGGAGGTGTGGTTGCGAGAGAAGTAGGAGGAGTTGCACTCCAGGAAGAAACCAAAGATCGGAGTCTCGACTTGCTGCGGGTTGGATCTGTTCCCAAGAGTGAATCTGCAGAATGGGCTGTGGCAATAGCACGCAGTACTCCACTGCATGAAATCCACCAAGTCTACCCTTTCTACAGAGTATAGGGGATATTTAAAGGACAAATAACAGAAATAATTGCTTTGTTTGATCTCAGAAGCTAGAAGCACTACAGCCTGCTGGGCCGCTCCATTTCTCAGCTCCCTATTTACTGAGCTGGCTGTCATGAATGACAGCTGTAATTTGTTATTCCTTGAAGATATCTATCCATATGGACTGCACCCAACAGCTGGCCACTGAAAATCCCAGATTATTCCAAAGGCTTGTGTGCAGGCTGATAACTGTCAGTTGGCCTGGTAGTGCCCAGAAAGGATTGCTCCCCAGACAAATTCGTCTGGGTTGCAGTACAGATCCCAGGCGCAAAGCTATAAGCACTATGGTCAATGTACTGCATATTGTTAGCATAGTATCAGCTTTGTCCTGGTCAGGCTAGGAAATAAATATCTGTGCCTGGAGAAATCGATGTGCATATGCATCTGCAAAGTGATATCGCGGTACATGGATCCTTCATCCTTAGGCTATTTCCTCATAGCTTTTGGCCTGCGTTTCTTGAAGATGACTTCCGGCACAGCCTCTTTACGCTCAGTCTCAGCCGCGGTAGTCAAGGTCATAGCAGCATCGGTCGGCTCTTCCTTTTTGACATGAGGAACCTCGTCAGTCTCCTGCACGGTAGCCTGCCCTTCATCTTTAACCGGTGTATCGGAATTCTTGGCATCGGGCGTATCCGACACGGACGGCTTCACTCTCTTGATCTCCTTTGTAGATTCAAGAAGAGCATCTAGATCTTCGTCCTCCTTGGAACCAGGATACTGCTTCAGCGCCGACCCCCAGCCTCTACTGACAAACCGTGTGGGAGCTGGATCCTCACCCTCACTATCCTCATCACCACCCTCATGTTTCCGCTTTCGAACCCCAACTGCTGCAGGAGTAGAAGAAGAGGATGGCTCTTTTTTCTTTTCTTGAATCACTTTCTCCGATACAGTCTTCCATTCGCCCGCAAGGGCCATTTCACCACGAAATTCATCGGGAATAGCAATACCCATCTCCGCTAGCTGGGCCATCTGTTTCTTCCTTTCTTCAAGAGATACCGGTCGCTCCTGAGGTTTTGGGGTTGTTCGTTTCCAAGGAGGGATGCCATTGTCGGCTGGTCCAGTGGACGGACCCCCCGCGATAGTTTGTCGTAGTCTTTCAACTTCATTTTTCGCCTTCTGGGATTCTCTCTGCTGGCGTTCGTTGTCACGGTGGAGATCGCGTAAGAAGCGCTTTAGATTTCCTTGGTGTTTCCCACTAGCTTCGTGTTGGGATTTCTCGAAGGGGGTGTCGCGGATAAACACCTTGCATTGCTTGCACCAGAATCTAGGCTGGAAGAGAACAAACTTTGTCAGTACCGTAAATTTTGCTGAGAGAGCGGTATGTTGCGAGTCAGACTCACCGCTGACTTCCAGTATTCCGCCATTGTGAGTGGTATGCTTGTGATAGTCGATTGTATTTTGGGGTGGCTGAAGGAAGAGCCTTGCGGAATGATGTCGTCGAGCTTCTTGGCATCCGTCAAACATGGCCCTTACACAGACCTGTCAGAATAGCTTTATCGGCACGCATACACAATGCACATAATATAGATCATAAGTCTGGAATGACACTTGCTTATTCTTTCTGGTCATGCAAGGTATATATGAAGAGTCTCCAGTATATGTACACGGCATGTTCACCCTGGAATCTCAATTCTGATCCTAACCTCCTTCAGATCACCAGGGAACAAGTAGCCAATCTCCCTAGTCGAATCCACCAGTTCGACCTCTCGTTTGACAAAATTCTGGTTCTTCTTCTCCGTCACGGTTTCGATGTAGTGTTCAAGCCGATTACCCTTCCTGTCTTCTTCGTCTTCGCTGCTATCCCATCCATCCTCCTGGATATTCGTCTTATTCACAGGGTCCAACTCGTCTGTCTCCCAGACCAGCTTGAATGTGAAGGGCGAAAGCCCAAATAGGCGTGAAACGATCGCCTTGACCTGGTAGATGTCAAAGGATCGTGGGATCTCCTTCACCTTTGTAGTGGTTTTCTCCTCTTTCTTTTCTTTGCTCTGTTCTTCTGTATTTGGGGCAATGGTTGCACTCAGCAATGAAGATAAGTAGAATTCCATCCTGATTAAGCGAGCCGCTACGGATCGCAGATTCACGGTATTTCCCAACCCAGGCTCCATGGCCCTAGTGATTGTTGGCTCGCCATATTTCTCGCAAAGCTCCCTATACCGGGGATGCGTTGCGAGAATGCCCGATTCAGAAGCAAGTGGAAACGCAGACAATTCCTTGCCTATGAGTGATAGATAATAAAGTTCTCCGTTATTCCGGTCATGATTAGAGATTTTGCTATAGTTCAGAACCTGGAGGGAAGAGAGTCGGGATAGAGTTAGCATAAAAGCCTCATCCACAGTCATCGGTTTTTCTGGCAAATTCGTGATTCTAGACGGCGCCACTGGCTGGTCGTAGAGAGGATTTCCGGATATTCGCAATGTCTGCAGGCTGGGGAAGACCGCGTGGAGCTCATTGATAAACAGCCAAGAGTTGATCTGGTTGAGGGATAAATCGACAGACGTGAGTGAGCTTGAAAATCGAATAGGGGTATCATTTGCATTCGTGTCATAGATGGTGCTGATGTAGTTTCCTCTTAGTGAAAGATGCTCCAGCTGGGGGAGATTTGCAAGACGTCTAACGGATGATAATGAAGTGATCTCATTATGCTCTAGGATTAGTTTCGTGATGTTGTTTGAGAGTGGCGTCGATATCGTTGAGATCTGGTTTATAGACGCTGACAGAGATGTCAGAGATGGGAATTGATACGTCAGAGCCGATATCTGTACCATGTGGTTAGTCTAGCAGAATAAAAAATGAGGGAATAAAATGCTAACAGACCTCATCCCAGTACAGGAGCGTCTGATCCAACTGAAGCTCTGTGACTCCTTCAAACCTCAAGCCTTCTTCGACAGGCCCGAACCGGTTTCCGCTGCAAAGAGTGTCAATGGCATCCATCCCGCAAAGAGCGAGACGAGAAAAGGACCTGGCTTACTTCAATCTCAAGGACTTCAACTGCTTGAGATGTCCACATATATCGGCAACATCACTCCAGCGACTCAACAGATTCCGACTCAGATCGAGCTCCTTGATTTTCGGGCAGGTCAGCTCGATCTGCTTCCGAGCCTGCTCCTTTTCTTCCGGGCTCCCATCGTCTGCAAGAACACCAGCAACGCGTAGACAGTCAAGTAACACGATTTTTAATTCTTGAAGCTCAGCAAGCCTCTTCCTAATCTTGTCAAAGCCGACCTCTTCGACAAGCTTCCCACTGATCTCGATAGAGTCGTGCAGAGAACCAGCTCCTCGACCTGAAATAGTAAGCTCCCTTTCGAACTCAGACGCATATTTCTCGTGCAAGGCCTCGAGAAATGCTCGAGGCTTATCCGCCGGGCGATTTGGACGGATAAATGACCCTGCCGTGGGTCGCTTGCTTCTGCCTGTACGACTGTGAACTTTCACTTCCATCAAATGAAGAAAAAAAAGGAATAAATACATGTAAAATATCTCACTCCCCCATGTTCACCAGAGTGTTTCCCTCGTGCTGGATCGTCCCATTCCACCCCTAGCCATTCACCTGTTGTACCCTGGACCTTTCCCACATAACGGACTGTGCATGATGCGCCGTCAAATGATCTTCGCTGGCCAATGTAGACTGAGGCGCTCATATCTCGAACTACAGTAGTTCCTGGATCGAAGGGAAATATATTGTGCGATCCAGTTCGGCAGTGGTCAATTAGAGAGAAAACCGCGTCCTCTTCATTGAATATTAAGCTGTCCATCCAGTAGACCCAATAGTATGCTCTCGTGGTTTGTACGGTCGACATGCTTATATAATCAGACAGGCCAGTCATTTGCCCGGTCAATTATCTGGTGGATGTCCGGTCATTCAACAAAACATAGCATCAATCACTCAAAATGGACTACCAGGTGCGTATCAGTGATCTCTCCGACGCGATGAAGTCGAGAAATGGTCTAACCAATACCTACAGAATCGAGCAGGCTCCAAATTCGGCGGTGGCGGTGTCGCATCCCACTCTGCAACCAACGCAGACCGTCGCGAACGTCTGCGCCGCCTAGCCCTAGAAACCATCGATCTAGACAAGGATCCTTACTTCCTCAAGAACCACCTGGGCAGCTTCGAATGCCGTCTCTGCTTGACAGTCCACCAGAACGATGGCTCCTATCTCGCGCACACACAGGGTCGCAAGCATCAGACGAATCTCGCCCGCCGCGCGGCCAGGGAACAAAGAGAAGGGAAAAACCAAGATCCGTCCATGCTACCCGGTGCCATGGGGGTGCAAGTGAAGAAGCAGATGATCAAGATCGGTCGACCCGGTTACAAGATCACCAAGATCCGGGATCCGTTGACTAGGCAGGTGGGATTGTTGTTCCAGTTGCAGTATCAGGAGATCACGCCTGGGGTTCAGCCAAGGGTACGTTTCATGTCTGCTTTTGAGCAGAAGGTGGAGGAGCCGCCGGATAAGAACTTTCAGTATCTCGTCGTGGCGGCAGAGCCGTATCAGACGTGTGGTTTCAAGTTGCAGGCTAGGGAGATCGATCGGAGGGAAGGGAGATACTGGACTTGGTTCGATGAGGATAGCAAGGAGTTTTGGATCCAGATCTTATTTAAGACTGAGAGAGAGGAAAGATTTAGTGGTGTTCCTGGTTTGGCTCCAGCTCCTTCTCGAGCTTGAAGGTCTAGTTCGAGGAGATTAGTGATCATTGATGTTAAGAGGTGAACCAAAAAAGAACTATGGCTCTGTATTACTAGTCTGTGAACTTTGGGGTGACACTCTGGGCGTTATGGGAAGGGCTTTTTTCTTATATGGGGAATAAATAATGAAGTAGCGATTATCCTGATGTTGGTCCATCTACTGCGTATTTTCCCGAGTCTAATATATCCCGGATGGTAATGAAAATAGACCATGCATAGCGCAAACGCTTCTGATATGGACACTTATGCTGGAGCTCAGGGCACAGCTAGAAAGGGGCTTGCAGAGGGACCAAATTCAACATGTATCATGTAGTATGCCGAAAAAGAGTTGTATCTTATCAACATGTCAACGTGCGACTTGCGCTTTGTGACAAATGTCAAGATGCACAAGGTCATTAAAAACAAGGGAGTCGACCTCACAGTAAATGCTCGAAATGCCAACCAATGAACAATACCAACCAAGTTGGGGCCCAGATAAGCTATTGAGAAGACATCAATGCAAGCCTGCCTGCTCTATGACTTCTCACCCAGATTTGCCATCCCCGATATACCTGCCAAACAAATCCACATGTGCTGATACGTCTTCTAGCTGTTCTGGAAAGCGTTGAATGCTTTATATGTATATCCAATGAATGGGAGACTCATCTCTGCTTCCTGCTCTTCGGGCATGGCACGGGCCTGAGCGCGGTGAATGGCACTTGTGTCTTCCTGAGGAATTTCATCAATGGGGAAGTACGACACATCGATATTCGAGCTAAGTCTTGGTTCGAACGGAGCACGGATATTACGAAGCTGATCCCAGATGACACCGCGGAAGAAGGGGTGGTTCTTTATCTGAGTTGCACCTCCATGCTGGCCGCCCTCGTTACCAATACGATGCTCGGGGTCACACAGGAAACTGAATAACCAAATCAGCATAAACGGCCCTATACCAAAGATGTCCAGGGAGATATGTTACCTTCGAATTAGCGACTCGGAATTGTGAGATAATACGAGCTCTTCGGGGAAGTAGAGGCATTCCCTCCAGTTCACAATTTTGCGGTACGTGTCGGTAGGTTCCTCAGCGCAGAAAGGAGGCCAACCGACAAGACATTCAAACATGATGGCACCAACAGACCACCAGTCGCAAAGATAAGTATACCCTTGTCCATTGAAAATCTCGGGCGCAATGTAGTCAGGAGTTCCGACAGTCGAGTATGCCATCGCTCGACGGGACTTTCTCCAGGTATTGATTTGCCCGCGGTTGGACACCGTCAGGTTGATCGCATCATTGAAGTAGCCCGAGTTACGATTCTTGTCTTTCGAAGTGTTCTTTAGGAGATTCTGATAGTATGCATTGTCATGTGTCTTCTTTCCACCCGTCGAAAGACCAAAATCAGTGAGTTTCACATGACCACCGCGATCAAGAAGGATGTTATCTGGCTTAATGTCACTGTCCAAAGGAAGATCTGTCAGTCACGCTGCAGACGAGGTCACATGCAGGACTGCTAAAGCATGAAAAAAATGTACCGACTGTAAACTCACCGGTGGAGGAACCCAAGTTTGTGAACCGCCTCGATGGCCATGACGAGTTCTGCCATATAGAACCTCGTGATATCTTCGGAAAAGATCTCGTATTTAATAAGCATTGTCATCAAGTCACCACCAGGCAAAAACTCCATCAGCAGGTAGAGGTAGGCGGAGTCTTGAAAAGATGCGTGCAGCTTCACAAGCCATGGATTGTCCTTTGAATCAGCCATGATATCACGCTCAGCACGAACATGGGCCAACTGATCGCGCTTGAACATTTCGGTCTTGATCAGAGATTTAAGAGCATAGATCTTGCCGTCCGACTTTCTTTGCACCAGTTTCACCTCGCCAAACGCACCCTTTCCAATGACCTTGATAGTCTGGAAGTTGGATGGTGTTTCCTTGGTACGGAGGAATCGAAGGAAATTCGACTCCTTCTTCGCCGCAAGCCCAGCCTCCTGGCGCTTCTTCTCTTTTGGAATGGCGGGGTTGCGAATCAGCTTGTCGAGCTCCGCAGAACTATTCGAGGTTGTGCATTAGCATGTTTTCCCCAAAGATCAAAGAGAGGTGTGTGTCTGCAGGTAGGGTGGACAGAACTCACCGCATATTGCGGTCACGCGCACGTTCAATGTTCTCATGGAAGAACACATTTACCAATTCCTTGGCCGCCTTTCCTCGCTTATGCACATTATCTGCAAACCGGTCTGGGTTGCGTTGAAGTTCTTCCTCGGGCTGGGCTCGCGGGCTGCGCGACGTGGAAGGGCCCAAATGACCGGGATACTGCTGTGGAGCAGCTGGTGGTCCAGTAGCACGGGGCCGCTGGCCTGGAGAAGCAGAACGAGCGTAAAAATTTCCACGATTTGAATTGAGGTCCTGGTTGGAAAACTGCTGGATGAGCCCGTTGGTACCGTCATTGGCACTGTATCCCATGTGGTAGGCAGGTTGCGGGGACTGCAAGTTCTGCTGGCCATAGTATTGACCTTGCTGGGTATATGGGTTGCTATTCACGAAATATCCCTGACCATAGGGGCTATTTTGAGAGTCAATGTAGTCATGGGCGCCGGAGGACTGGTAGATAGGCTGAGGAAAGGCGGAGGGGGTGGTGGGATAGGCGCGGTTACTGGCCGGGTTGTACTGGCGATCATTGAACCCGAAATTCAGGTGAAGACGATTGTTATTATTGTTGCCATTGTTGTTGTTGTTGCTGTTGGGATCCATGTTTACCGCGTCGTCCCAACTAGGAGGCAATCAGCGGTGGTGAAAGTAGAGGAAAAGACTGAGACAAGACGAAGCCAGAAAGGGGAGAAGCAAAGGGGCAAACGAGCGGACAACGAGCGGACAACGAGCGGTGACCCCAGAAGATGCACGAGCGCCAACCCCACGGCCAGAGCAAGTGAGGTGGCAGGGAGAAAGATCCAGAAAAAGCAACTAGAGGAATGGTAGCTGGCAGGATTAGGAATTAGCGATAGGGCAAATTCAATGAAGGGATGGGTTCTTTTCTTGAGGGTGAGTGAGTTGTTCCGCCCAAGAGGGGCTACTTTTAGTAGTAATCGTGTCCAGACCCAATGCCTGAGGCTTCCAGCGTTCTCATCTGTTTCTGTTTCAGTCGTTCCTGTTCCTTATTACTTGAGTTTCATGTAGCCCCTTTCATGTAGCCCCTTACAGGTCTATATTTTCTAACTTTATTGAATCAACATGTGTGCAAGGAGCATCTGTGTGCATCTTTACTTCGCCTTTTGGTGAATCTAGGTAATTTCAAGAGCGAATGAATTGCTCCCATGACAAAAATTGCAAGGTCAACGCCACTTGGGAATTGCTGAAAGGAGTGAAAATAGGTACTCATTCTAGCTACATAGACAGCAATCCTGAACCCGTATTTTAGAATGTATGCATCTATTGCTCATTCAACAGTGGCTTTATTGCAACCCAATCACATTGAGAAGTAGAATCAAAAGTGTTGACAACGTCGTCAGGGTTGGGAGAATCCACCCTTCGCAACCCTCGATATAGAGGTACAGACGTTCTCGACAGACCAATTTGCGTATGCTGAAATGCTTTGGAACGATATCATATTTCAAGTAATAATTCGTGAGACAACAGTCTTGCAGGAGGATCAGGTCACATTTGTCACTGTCTCGAAGCTGCTGAAGACTAGCTAGCTCCCTTGGCGTTGATTGTTTTGTTCTGTATAAGATCTCAGATAAAGAAGGTCAGTGGGAGGAATCTTTGACGATGTGATTATAGATGCTTCCTTTCAATGTCCGCTGGACTTTCGAATATCTGTGGATGTTGAAGTGAAGTCCTTGGGCGCCTCCCAGATCATATTCGGTTTATTTCTTTTCTGCTAGCCAACGGTAGATGCCATGACATTGCTTGAAGATGGATAGTAGAACGATTGAATAGAAGTTAGACACAAAGATAGACTAGGTTGTCCAGCAATGAGGGGGTTAGCGCAATTTGGCTGCTATATTATTCCGCCATGGCAGACGCTGATCTCTAACTGCCCTCTGTCTTACTATGAATAGGTGCCTGTTGACTGTTCTTATAACAAAATCTGAGTCTCACTGTGGAGCAATCACCCCTCCTGCCCAGGTACACGATCAACGGAGCTTAACACGGTCATCTTGAAGGAGCGATCGATCTATACGGTAAGCCTGCGAGAGCATATCTAATAACCCTGTGCTGCTACGTGGGTACAGTCCAGAGATGACGAATTAGCATGCCTCGGAAGACTTAAACAGGATCCTTGTCCGTCACGATTTGCATGAATTCCTAAGATGACTTATGCAGTTGATCTAAGCTATGCTCGGACGTGGTGCAGTTAACCTACTACCGACAAGGATCTGAAGGATGGTATCCGCACTGTTTTTGAGGACTATTCCAAGATTCCACGCAATGAAGAGGTGCCGCACATTCTACGCATAGTAGGTTTCCCCAAGTTGAATAACCTGTGAAGTACCAGTGGCCGAAATGGTCCGATCTCCGATTCTAGCGGGAGGCCGCGTTCAAAAGTCATCCACATCCATGCATTGAACAGTTTAGATTCCCTGTTCTGGCGCTGAAAGACCAACCAGAAGATGCCGATGTCCTGTCAGGAATCAGAGCTGGTGAATGTTATCTCGATCTAGCCTGTTGCTTCGGACAGGACCTGCGTAAGCTTGTCTTTGACGCTCCATCAGAGAATCCCATGGGTTGGACTTTGAAAGGCAATTGATCGATCTTAGTTACGATATTTTTCTTGACCGGTCAGCACCCAAGTCAAATTTGTGGTCGCAGATGTTTTCAGCAATGACGGTCCACGGGATGACCTGAATGGTCCTTTCGATATTATGAACGCTTCGGCCTTCTTTCACCTCTTCGCTTGGGACGATCAAGTCGTTGCTCGATTCATCCGGCGCATTTACTGAAGCCAGACCTGGGGTTATGATCGTCGGCCGTCAGATGGGGAGCGTCATACCAGGAAATGTCCCTGCTATCCGTGAAGGGTATCTCTTACCGTCACAATGCTGAGTCTCTTCACCATCTTTGGGATATCGTCGGGGAATAAACAGGAAGCAAGTGGTCAGTACAAGTGGCCATGAACATAGTAGGCACAGGGAATGATAATGGCAAGGGAGAGAAGTCCGAAGGGCGAGCACTAGGAGCAGGGCCGAATGCGCGCCGTTTACTCCTTACTGTCGTTCGCGAATAAAGGACTTTGACGTGTTTCTGGGATCTAGCTAGTAGTCCTCTTATTAAATTGAAGTCGTAAATATAATAGTTCCCGACTATATTAAACATTGGAGAAGTATATCCCAGACAATATCGTTGGCATGATGAAGAGACGCGCAGGTAAAAGTACCGCGCTGGAAGGAGCTTCCGCGGATCAATTCAAATCCCGCGCCGAGGATTTTTGGATAGCAAGTGTTGTTGATTCACGAGCATTCTTCACTGGGGATGTTCCTGCAGCAGATCTCCGTCCCCAGGATAGTTATATGACCTCTATTTCAATAGAATCGCTACTCTATCTTCGATTAGTGAAATTATGGCGGAATCCTCAGGTTCCGCCGCGGCCACCGGGCAACCTGCTTCGGCCGGGCCCTCGCCTCGGCCGCAAAACCCTGCCTTCAGGATGATGGGTACGTTCGCAGATGATCGCGGGTCTTTCTCCTGCTAACGGGTACTAAAGGAATGCCCAATTTGCGCTTCAAACTCCCCTCTCGGAATTGGATGATTTTTTTCACTGTGACCGGCTCTTTCACGGCAGCGCTTATCTACGACCGCAGAGAGAAACGGCGTGCTCAGCAGAAATGGTGTGATCTCGTTGCACATCTCTCTAAGGAAACTCTCCCAGTCGAGGAGACACGGCGGAAGCTTACGATCTTTATGGCGGCGCCCCCTGGTGACGGCCTCCGCCCTTCCCGAGAATACTTTAAAGAATACGTCAAGCCAATACTCGTGGCAGCTGCTCTGGATTACAGCGTCATCGAAGGAAGAAGAGAAGGTGATGTAAGAGCAGGTCTGGCAAAGAAAATTCGGAAGTTCAGACGACAGTCTGGAGAGCCGAGTAGCGCAGAGGAAGAACAGGGAATAGAAGACATTGTTGCCGACGCTAGGAAGAAGATCGGCGTGTATGACGAGCCAGGACCTAAGGGAGACATGGTAATTGGACGTCATACCTGGAAAGAATATGTCAGGGGCCTTCACGAAGGCTGGCTTGGTCCACTTGACCCTCCGCCACCACCCCCAGCCCCAGAGGCAGACGGAATGAGCACCGATGATGTCTCTCCCGTTGCGGAGTCTACGGAAAACCAAGCCGCATCTGAGGAGACGGAGAAAAAGAAGGACGAGAAACCGACCAAACCTAGTGGCCCAACCCCGGCATATATTGCGCCTGCCGATTACGCCTCTCAAAGTCTCCCCGCAACATTTCCTCAGACTCTCCAAGGCTCGGCTGTGATTCCTTTCCCTCATATTTTAGGGTTCTTGAATACTCCGATCCGCATTTACCGTTTCCTCACCCAACGCTACCTCGCTGACAGCGTGGGACGAGAAGTTGCTGCAATTGTTCTTGCCTCGAGCACCAGAAACTATCAAGACGGATCCTTGGACATCAACTCAGATGACTCCCTTTCACCGTCATCTTCATTCTCTACCTCGGACACGTCAGCTATTGTTCTTTCCTCGACAAATTACGAGCAACAGCACCTCCTCGAGCACGAAGAACAGGACTGGCACAAATCGGTGCACAAGCGCGAAGAATCAGAAGCAAACAAGGAACGCGAATGGCTGGACGACATTGTCCTTGATCCTCGCATTGCATCGCGTATGCAGCGATTTACTCTTTCCCCGGACGATGATGCTCGTTCCGAGAGAATCGGCCAGGGTGAGGAGTACATCCTGGGCCAAGAGAGACCGAAGCATATCCCATTTTGGAAACGCATGTGGATCGAATACGGATACGGTGAGGATGAGGAGACCGCGAGGAGGAAGCCCATCATTGGCAATTTAGATGACGAATAGACTCGGGGCAAAAAAAATTAGGAATGGGGGATCCACTTTTTTTCTTGCCTGGCGGTGGTTTCTCGATAGGAGAGAAAACTCTTGAATTGACTGTCTTGTCTTCTCTCTTTGTACTACTATATTACGTGATGCATATTTTAGCTAGAATCCGTCCTGTCTGTATGTATATCAGATGTTATATGCAAGAAAGCGTCGTATATAATGCATTTGTCTTGACCTGCCGCTTTGCTGAAGCTTCAAACACTAACCCGCTGAACGGACTCCATGATATACAGTTACAGGGAGAGAAAAAAAAAAAAAAAAACTACATAACTAGTGTTAGTCTCGTATGAATTTTGCATTTTTTTCACCCTCAATTGGAAAGATTCTATCCCAGATAAAAAGTGAAACGAATAGGTAAACAAAAACTATGGTAGAAAGGAGATCCTCCAATGTGTGCCCCACAGTCATATAGTAAAGTTTAGTATTTACCTCTTGTTTTGCTAGAAAGAACCTTAATTGGGCTTAGAAGACAGATGCTTCGGGCCACTTGGCACTGGCTTTCTGGATATAAGCAGTTTTCGCCGCCTCGTCACATCCCCACTGGTTCAGGAGGTTGAGACCGGCCACGGCCTCATCGATTGTGATGTTAGCCAGGTCAAGAGTAGATGAAATATCCTTCGCGCATTGTGCTTTGGAATCGGGTTTCAGGAGCTGTCGACAGTCCAAGGCGGACTGCACATGCGCGACGCTATCCTTGTGGGCAGCGAGGAAAGAATCATTCCATTGTTCGAGGTTTTGGGTCTTCGCAAGCAGAAGCTCAAACTCGCTGTTGACAACCCCTGCTACGGGAGGAGGGAGAGGTTCAGAGATACTGTCGAGGGCTTTTCGGAACCGAAGGAGCTGAACGTGGAGCGTGGGGTTTGTGGGATCGATTGAGTGCGCAGCAGAAAGACATTTAAGTGCAAGGGCGTACTTGGCTATAGATTCCCTGCAGTTAGCTCTGATTCTAAATATCCATTGGACTACCGATGACCTCCGGGTCAGCTTACCTCGTCGGAGATAGATCTCGAAGCCGAGGCCTTGAGCTTCGATGTTTTGAGGGCTGAATTCCAGTAAAGGAGCCAAGAACTTCATCGCTGCCTTGAGCGGCTCCTGCGTCTGGACAAGCTCGTTGCCCAGAGGATCCGGGTCTTCTTTCTTCACTTCACCATCGACATTCTTTGAAGTAGCTGCTGCTTTCCTTGCCTCCCTCTTTTCCGCCTCGGCCTTCTCCAGCCGTTGCTGCTCCTTCTTGGCCTTTTTAAGCGCCTTCTTTCGTTCGGCGCTGTCTTCACTACCAGTGCCATTGGCGCCACCGATGATGGGTCCGTGTACTAAATCCGGTTGGTCATGGAGGAGCAGATACGCTTTGATAGCAGAGAGAGCCATCCTAGTGTAAAAAGGATGTTCACGCAAGCGATCTTCCCAACGAACCATGTCAACGTATGCTCTAATCATACCTTTCCGTAGGGAGAAGCTATGGAAATCAAACTGATCTTCTTGCCAGACATCGAAGATTTGATGCACACCATGGAAACGTTTGAGTGCAAGACCGAGCTTTCTCTGTCGCAGGTAAGACTCGCCGTCCTCAGTCAGGTACCATACACATTGCATTTCATGAAGGTCACCAAGTGCTCCCCCAACAGTCTCATTCCGCGTGAACTTGCTCATATTATCGAGCGCCTTCTCATTCTCGTCGTTCCGAAGCTGATACTTGGCAGCCTTGGAGTTGATATAGCGATCCTTCTCGTCCAAGAGCCTTGCTTTCTCCATCTCTTCAGCTGCTTTCTTGGGGTTCCCGTAGTGTTTCCATACCCTTGCTTTTGTCATCTGATACTCCACAGCTTTCGGGGACAACTCAATGGCCTTGTCGACGTACTCCATGGCCTTAGGCAAGTTGCGGCTCAGGTGGTAATTGTAGTGTTGTGCAAGGAAATAAAATGTGGAAGACTTGAACTGAATATCATCTTCGCCATTGGCTTGTTTCTCTGCGGAACCATCTGACTGCGAGTTATCCCCAGAGATGTAGCCTTCCACCAATTCCTCCACAACATCGCGCTTAGCCGGATTACCATAAAGTGTCTTGATGTTTGCGAATAGGGAAGGGACTCCTCTTTTGAGCATGCGGCGCAAGTATGAGTCTGCGGCTTGTTTAAATTCATCGCCTTCTAGAAAGTCGAGAGGAATTCTCCGTGGAGCATCGCTTCGGGGGTACTTCTCTACCCAGTGGTCGAACACATCCTTCAACGCCTTGTGGTCGCTCTCAGCAATCCCTTTTGCCTTTATCAACCCATCATAATAAAATGAATTATCAGGGTTCCGGTCAATAAGGGCCGCGTAAGCTGCTTCAGCATCTGCCTTCCGGTCCAAGCGCAAGAGATAGTCTGCCTTCATCTCCATAACCGCAAGCACATCACTGATCCTGTGTCCAACCTCCATCAGATGGTTCAACGCTCTCTCATAATCACCAGATTCAGCGATGATCGAGTTCTTGTACAATGTGGCCTCGGAATGTTCCATGTCTGAGATGGGTGGTGGACTCTTAAGGGTCTCTTCGTACGTCGTCAACACCTTCTCCGCCTCTTCCAGGTTCCCCGAGAGGTGATGGGCAATAGCTAAAGCCGTCCAGTTCAATCGGAACCCGGGTCGGGCTTGAAGCATAGCGCTTCTACTTTGGATGTATCCCTGGTAATCCCGCATCTGCATCTGAAGGAGGGCAAGGTCACGCTGAATGGGCGCCGATTCCGGTTCTATCCTGAGCGCAAAACGATATGCCTTGATAGCCTCCTCGTAGTTCTTTTCCGCGCGGTACAGCAATCCGTATACATGCCAGCAGACATGCGATTTCATGTCGTTCCTAAGAGCCTCCTTGGCCAGCGCAAACGCCTCTTCTTGCTGTCCTAGGTTGCTCATTATCAGAGCTTTCATGGCCTGTGTATCACCATGATTAGGATTCTTTCGGAGAATTTGGTCCGCTATTTTGATACCTGTTTACATGATGCAAGAGCTGTTAGCGCATCATTTTCAAGATGTCGTAAGGCAGTTGACTCTCCCCGTCCCCTTAACCAACGGTGGGGGAAATGGCTAAGAAGATGAAGAATATGCTTACCCTTCTTGTATTGCTTGTTCTCATAAAGACGGACCACTTGTCGAAACAAGGACGCATCCTTGGAGCTCAATTGTTGAGGCATGACGGCGTTGATGTGAGGTAGGCGGCCGAGTTGAAAAGACGTGCACTGTGACTGTGCGGTAGATAAAACTGCGGGGAACTAACTGCCCTATAGGGGACAGCCAGTCACTAAGTGATGATTGAGGATTGACAAACGACGACAAGAATACCGACGTCTTGAAAAGCGAGGCTGTAGCCAATTCAAGGTATAAAAGTTGTCTAAATTCTGATAGGATTACTGGTGATCGCCGCCTGGCGACAGAATCTTGAATGATGATTATGCCACAATAAGGGAACGGGAGGTGTATGCAACACAAGAGACATTACTATTACATCGCCACGCAAATTGCATTTTTAAAATACATACTCGACTAATAACGCTATGCATGCTATTGTACAAATGTCTATGTTCAATTGAATGCAGGACTGGCTTCAGACATAAATAAATACGCCACTCCCGAGAACATACGGAGAGGTGCGAACGGAGCCGCAGTTAGTTGTAGGCTGGTGAAAGGTTCGAATATAAGAATCCCAAGTCTTAGTTGCCAGTTATCTGTGGAAGATCATGGTTATCGCCGTTGCCTCTCACGCCAGCCATTAAGTGCATCCTCCCAGTTTGTAGATGAGTCGCCGCATCTCTCTATCACCATGCCCCATGTGCGGGCACGCACTATCTCTTCCACAGTCCGTTGGTTCCGGATCAGGTTTGCTAGAGACTCTGTTCGTGCTTCTCGAGGGAAGAATCGAGCCGAGTACGGGTCTAAACGCTCATCCACAACACGCTCTCGGTCTCTTGCCGATTCGGTTTCTCGAAGGACGTGATCGGGGTCATCAGGATCCGGGCTAGTGGCCACGCCGGCGCAGTAATTAAGTACATCTGACCTTGTTTGCCAAGATGGAAATAACACATTATCTTTGAATTGACGGCATGCAGCGGGGTCTATCGAAACCCCGCCTCTGGACTTCGTTTGGCGGACAGCGGTTGAGGAAGGGTCGAACCCCTTGCTGGCTGGGTTGAGCAAGGCATTGAGGTTCTGGGTAATGGAATCATCTATCGTAGATCTAGATATACGCAAAAAGTCTAGAATAACAGGAAGTCAACAAGACATGGCGCTGATCATTCCGTACAACAATCCACTGCTTGCCATCAGCGGTGAGGGCAGAGACGAAGCATAACACACCTCTCAAAACCGTCTCGTTGAAGCAAAACTGGGGGCTTAGGACTGGAGCCGACGTCGATGACGGTTGAGACATACTAGAAGTAGTAGTAGTTCTATTTTGACCTCCCAGCTGCCTCGACTTGTGGTCTGGGGTCAATTTCCAAAACCACTCCACGGCGTCGGCTATGAAACCACGGATATACTATAGACGTTTAAAAAAAAGAAATATGTAGAAAAAGCACAAAGCTTCTTTTCAGTAAAGTAGCTTTCGTTGTCGCAGAGACTAAATACAATCTCAATCAATCATAGCTAGCAGGATGATGTTAGGATACCGCCTTGGTAAGTTACTAGATTCCATTGGCTAGTAAGCATGATTGACGTAACCTCTTACAGAAGGCGGTGGTGATGATGCTGACAAGAAAAGTCCCCTGGTGTCACGTGCAGTCCTGGTTACGCGTTGGATTGCCCGAGGTTCATTCGGATCGATGTTGGATGAACTGTTATTCGCTGTTTTCTCGTTTTTATGTCGTTTTACTCGCCGTGTCAACTGCCATGCCCGAGTTAGCAGAAGTTGCACGCATTGTGTTCTTCATCCGCCGTCATCTTGTGGGTAAGAAGCTCACAAGGGTCCAAGCACAGCATGACGATATTGTTTACGGCAAAGTTGGCACCAGTGCCGAGAAGTTCCAGAAGGCGATGGAGGGCAAGAAGGTCATTGGTGCTGGTCAACAGGGAAAATACTTTTGGATCGCCATGTCGTCACCTCCGCATGCCGTGATGCATTTTGGAATGGCTGGCTGGCTTAAAATCAGAGATGCCGACACTTACTACTACCGGACTGACAAGCCAGAGGATAAGGAGTGGCCGCCCAAGTATTGGAAGTTTCTGTTGGAGACAGACGGCGATCCCAAGACAGAAGCTGCGTTTGTTGACTTTCGCAGATTGGGTAGAATAAGACTGGTAGACTGTCCTGCGGAAGAAATCCGCCAACACAGTCCGCTTAAAGAAAATGGGCCGGACCCGGTTGCCGATAAGGATATAGTCACCGAGAAATGGTTGGCGACAAAACTGAGGAGTAAGAAGGTTCCCATCAAAGCCTTTCTTCTTGACCAAGCAGTTATCAGCGGGATTGGAAATTGGATGGGGTGGGTATTTACCGCCCCTATTTAACCGCCAGTTGCCTGTTCTGCTCGCTCATACTGAGTCTTCTAGGGATGAGATTCTGTACCACGCAAAAGTACACCCGGAACAGTACAGTAACACCCTAAGCGATGATCAGATTAAGCAGCTGAACTACTCTATTCACTACGTCTGTTCAACCTCTGTGGATCTGCTGGCAGATTCGGACCTGTTCCCCGAGGATTGGTTGTTCAAGCACCGGTGGGGAAAGGGGAAAAAGAACCATCCAGGTGTACTACCTAATGGAGAAAAGATATCTTTCATCACCGTTGGAGGTCGTACAAGCGCATTTGTCCCGTCTGTTCAGGAAAAGCCCAGCAACGCTGAGAGTGCGACTGCTTCTCGAGCCACCCCTAAGAGGAAGCGGGCGGCAACATTGAAAGAAGAAAGCGACTTAGACGAAGAAGATAATAAATCTCCTGCGAAGAAGCTCTCGTCAGGAAGGCAGAATAATAATGTGGGGGATGGCGAAACCACAAAAGCAGCGTCTACTGGGACGCGCCGTTCTACCAGGACCAAAAAATAGGCCTTCTTACTTGCCATCTCAGTTTCATGGTCATCTACTAGCATTTTCATGACTAGCACTGCCTGGCGTTTCTCTTAACACCCAAGACATTAATAGCATTTTATGGGGCAAAAGCCCCTTGGTACAGCAGATGGTATGCTTCATGTGCATAATTATTTGAGGTGTTTATAACTATCAACAAACTGCTCAAACAGGCCTGTAATTCCGTCAAACCACGAGCCCATGCAAAACCCTTTGAAAAGTCTTCAGATTGCTTTCCCCGTTCACTCCTGGTGTCCCGTCATCCATAACCGCAAACACAATATTCTCCCACCATCCACTAAACTCCGGTTCTTGCAGAACTTCAGCCCAGCAGTTTGCAACCTCCTGATTGGGATTTGCAAAGGCACCACATCCGAACGCGCCCAATATCAGCCTTCGATGCTTGTTGCACACTGCGACGCGGAGGATAAGACGCATTTTATCTTTCATCAATTTCCTGTCTGCAGAATTTTTGTACGTAGGGGGTGACACATTTTTATCCAGAGCAGGTCTGTCCAATGCTGCAACACTGATGACGCTAACGATAGGAAGGGAATAGGGTTTCGTGAGGTCCCACAGCCTGTGACCTTTCTGAAAGCTCTCCCGGAAAATAACAACATTAGGTGAATAAATAGCTTGGTTATCTTCGAGGGGATAATGCCGCATCTTGAGTGTGTAACTGAGGCTACTTCTATAACAAAGAGCTTCTTCCTGAGCAAGGGCTCCAGAAAGCCAACCTCCTCCAGCCCTGTAGGCGTTAGCCATGTTGAGAACGCAGACGGGTTTTTTGTCATGGATGTCCATAAATTGTGAGCAATTGGCGAGATTGACAGCTGTATCAAATGAATCGCCATCCAAAACCCTGACTTTGATCGAGGGGAGGCCAGGGTGAAATTTGAGATTCAGTTTAGGTGGTATGGGCGGCGAATATAAGTAGCCAGAAGGTTTAGCTTGTGGAATTTTGGCTAAAAGAGAAGGGAGAAGCTCTTTCGTCTCTTTTGCAGTCTCTCTCAACAGTGCTCTTCTGTTATCCCTCTCAGACGAACGTTGGTGTCCACGTTCTTGTCGCTCGGAACCCATATAAGACCCAACCTGGGATAATAAGATATCTCCTGATTCCTGAGAATTTTTCTGGGAATCGGTTTCAGCTGGATGAATATCATCTGGCGATGCTGGAGAGTGAGAGGACCGTGCTGCGTTTGAACCAATCTCCGCAGATTGACCACTTTGGGCCGGCATTGAATAGAACGAAAGTATCGTTTTCTGAATCATATTGTAATTCCTAGGTTAACAACCATCAGATCGGTCAATAGGGAGCTAGAAGACTCCAGCAGCTTCTGGTTGTTAAGTAGGCAGCATTGGCGACAGATGACTTAGGAGGAAGCCTAGAATAAGTCCGGCAGAAAGTCTGGGCGGGGTTTTAAATAGAAAGCGGTCAACTCTTGGGGCGCCGATCGGAGGCGGGGTCTAATGGCTTTACCTAGTAAGGTTATTGGTAAAGCGGCGTAAAACGGCAGAATTCTATCGCCACTGCAAAGCTGCGGTTGACAAAGATTCGTGAAGCATTATTTCTAATCACAGTTTCTCTGTCTTTCGCTTTTATTTATACTTTATATGCTCTACTGTTGATATCCTTTCAGTCTAATATAATTCAGAAAGATAACCCGGTTGAAGAGGATTTACGCCTTGTATATTGGCACTGTCAACTTCTTTTTGCGGGGCCGAACCCGGCGGCGTCTTTGAACAATGAGTGCGATTTTGTCTGCAGATGACCTTAATGACTTCATAAGCCCAGGAGTCGCCTGTATTAAGCCCGTTGAGACTCTTCCTCAGAAAGGGCAATCACATCCAGAGGTATGCTTCTTCTCATCGATTAATTCACCAACGTCGAATGACAAGGCCCTAATTTGTAATCTCGCCTACCAGGACCCTTACCAGGTAACGACGGAAGATAAAGTCCAGCACGAGAACCCTCCTCCTGCGCAAATATCATTAACCGACTGTCTTGCATGTTCAGGATGCGTCACATCAGCAGAGGCTGTATTGATTTCGCTGCAGTCGCATTCAGAAGTCCTTAACACCCTTGATGCATATCCGGGGATCTCCTTGACACGAGACTCAAATGGGATTGTTGTTGGGAGTGAGAATCCATCTGGAGAAGGAAAGATTTTTGTCGCGAGCGTCAGTCCCCAAGTGCGGGCCAGCTTAGCTGCAACTTATGGGATCACGGAGCAGGAGGCGTCTCATATGATTGATCAGTTTCTCAGAGGCCCTCATGGGTTGAGAAATGGTGGCGCGCATGGCAATTGCTTTACCTGGGTGGTCGATACAAATATTATGCGTGAAGTAGTATTGGCTCTCACAGCGGATGAGGTCATGGAGATGAAGCATCTTAGAGAGCCCTCGGCAGCAAGTGACTCAAGCAGCCCTATCCCACAACGCCCCATTTTGTCATCGGCTTGCCCAGGCTGGATATGCTATGCTGAGAAAAGCAAGCCTTTTACTATACCTCATTTATCTCGGTTAAAATCTCCCCAAGCGCTGACGGGAACCTTCCTTAAAACCATCTTAAGCAAGGTCTTGGGTGTTCCACCGTCTCAAATATGGCACCTTGCCATCATGCCGTGTTTCGATAAGAAACTCGAGGCTAGTCGAGAAGAGCTTACTGATGTATCGTGGCAACCATTAGAAAATCGGAAGTCGTCAACCCCAATCCGTGACGTTGACTGTGTTATTACTTCTCGTGAGCTTCTTACGTTAGCTTCTTCCAGGGGGGTTTATCTTCCGGATCTTCCTTTGAGGGCACTCTCTCCATCTTATGCTCCTCATATTCCCGACCAGATTCTCGATTCATTCTTCTTCTCAAATCGTTGTCCATCTAGGCAAACAGCTGAAAGTGGAACCTCTGGGGGCTACCTCTACCATGTCCTTGCCGCTTTACACTCACGGAATCCGGGCAGCAAGATCGTGATTAAGCCTGGACGGCATGATGTAGTAGAATATGAGCTATTGCCTTCGAAAACATCCACAGGCAATGACGAAAAGCCCAAGCCCATTTTCACAGCGGCTCGCTACTATGGCTTTAAGAACATTCAAAATCTTGTCCGAAAGCTGGAGCCTAAGCGAATGCCAGGCCTATTGGGGAGAAAAATGCCCGCTACAGGAAGCCGACGACAGCCAATATCCTTGACTTCCTCAAAGGGAGCAGACTACGACTATGTCGAAGTCATGGCTTGTCCTGGTGGTTGTACCAATGGCGGTGGACAAATACGGATCGAAGACACGCTGAAGGGGGCTCCACAAGACGGGTCTGATACAGCGTACAAGCCATCATCAGAAGAGAAGCGAGCCTGGTTGAAGACTGTCGATGAAGCATACTTTTCTGCGGAATCGGACTCAGATACCGATGGGGAACACCAATCGGTTGAGTCTTCTCTGACAGAAGCGGAAGAAAAAAACCGGGTGATCATGCAATATTGGTCTCGTCTGATGGACGTTCCACTCTCGAAGCTCGTGTATACCACATACCGCAAGGTAGAGAGTGACGTGGGTAAGACCAACAAATCCAATGATACAGCCCGCGTCGTCGAGCTGGCTGGAAAGATTGGGGGCGGCTGGTGATGAAGATATGGGAAGTTGGCATACATATTTCGCTTCAATCACCTGGACAGGTGTCCTTTATTTACGCATATACACTTGTCCGCATGAGGGAGAGTATTACTTTTGTTCTGTTTCTACATTTATTCCCCATGTCCATGTTTTTACAGGTGTTCGGGATGCTATTGAATCTATCTGATAGAACTGTTGTATAAATACAAATACAAATAGAGAGCTTATTTTGGTGATGTACAACAAAGCACAATGATTGGCTACTGCAGAAAACACATGGTCTAATCCAAATACAGATTAGCGCCAACCCTAATTCTACCCTGTTCTATCAGCTGACTAATCCATCCGCCGCCTTCTGGTCTGTAGAAGAAAATCGATTATCGTTCCCTGACAAAGGCTTATCTTTTTTGTCTTCTATCCCGGAAACCCCTACAATCCTCTTGAAAAGATATATTACGGATCAACTGAGCCATATTCTGTCTATCCTAATATCCTAGTCGAAGTTTTGAGGAAACCAACCTCTCAACTTTGGAAAGCCCACACAAAAATGTCCCGCGAAGCCTACCAAGTCCCCTCCCTAGGCGGACAGAACACCTTCGGCGCCGACGGTCTCTCTGGCGCTGCAGCTGACGGTCCTATCGTTGCGTATATTTGTGGCGAGTGCAACGCACGAGTTTCTCTGAAGAGAGGCGATCAGATTCGATGCAAGGAATGTGGACATCGGGTTCTGTATAAGGAGAGGACTAAGAGGTGAGTTTGGGAATCCCACATATTTCAATACATTTTTGAGTCCTTGGTGAAAATTTTATCCATCCGGAAGTTACTAACGTTGTTATGATGTGCTTTAGAATGGTTCAATTCGAGGCTCGATGAAAAACAGAAAAAAGAAACACTGAACAAACACTGCTTAGAATTCTGTGACGTATATTCGTTACGAAAAAAGACTCGATGATTCGGTTACTTGTGGATTTCTTCTTATTTTTGCCGCGGTGTGATGATGCGATGCATTTACGGGCGCTTGGGAATACTTTTGATTCGGGGTTTTTATATTTTCTAAAAAAAAGCTGAATCGGAAACTGGAGACTACGTTATTTTTAGTCTTTCACTTATATTCCATAATACGATTGCATCTTCATTGATCTTGCTGTGCCTATGGAGAACAGTCATTGAAAGACACATTTTCCTTTCCCTTTTATTTTTTCTCATTTCCCAATCAAATACCTTTCCCCAGCCTATCAAAATGTATGCCCGTATTTAAGAAAAACCAGATCACTTGGGTCAGTCTTGGCGGAGAAGAGAGCATGAAAAAATAAACATGAATCCCAAACCAAGACTAAAAGAAACACAAGAATTACTCGGTACGGTCCGTCAATTTGCATCACTTTTCTTAGTTGATATCTAGAGCTTGTTAGACGCTTCGATAAACTGCTCAAAGGACTTGAGCGCTTCTCCGCTTTCCAAAGCCCAGCGCGCCCTCCGAACACCTTCCTTCCAGCGTCCACCTCCAGGACCGCGCTCAGTTATGACTTTACCGTCATCGCCTGGGCCCATGTTGCTGGTATCGGCTTCGCAGATGCCCGAAGTCACCAAAAGTGCGGCAACGTTTATGAGCACAAAGTCCAAAATCGGGTCATCACGTGGCAGTTCGTTGCGTAAGATGCTCATAAGTTTAGCTGCGTTATCCTTAGGCATCTTTCGCCCGTAGACATCTGAGAGAGGATGCGTTGGCAGTCCAAAATCTGAGGGGTGCAGTTGGAATGTCTCTAACTTGACTAAAGTAGGCGAAGGAGAGTCCTCGTCGCCGGAAGAGTCATCCTTCGATCTATCATATGCCGGATTAGGATACTCGGAGAGTTTCCAGCAGTTAGTCTTGCCAGCGCAGCTGATCTCATCCAGATCCTCTTCGCCACAGACGACAAGCGCTTTCTTTGTTCCATTCTGTCGCAGAGCATCAGCAAAGACAGGACCCAGACTCTGGTATGCCACTCCAACTACACGAGCCTCCAAAGCCCAATCCAGTGGGTTGGCGAGCGGGCCCATAAGGTTGAAGATTGTCCGTAGACCCAGCCCACGGCGGACTGGGTTGGCGTACATCATTCCTGGATGAAAATTCGGTGCGAACAAGAATGCGTAATTGGTGGCCTCGTATATCTTCGCAAGGTTGGAAGCATTGATCGCGAAAAGGTTAGGAGGAGTAGGAATGATCGCATTGAGGACGTCTGCCGCCCCAGAGAAAGACGTCTGAGCACGGTTGCCATGCTTGGCCATCACGAGTAACGGAGACGCGATGATGGAGGAAGTCGTAGAGATATTAAAGGTAGAATGCCCATCGCCGCCAGTTCCAACAATGTCACACTGCGAACGAGCTAAGTTAGTCAAGAACCCCGACGGAAGAAACAAAAGTGCTAGGAACTGTTCCCCCACTTACCACACCTCCCTTGTAGTTCCCTTCCTTTCTGGCCCGTTTCTCCAAGACCTTTTTCAGAACAGCTTTGTCGGTTTGGCTCGCGGCCTCTCTCATGCGCTCGGAGCATTTCGCAATGACATCGGCTTGCCTGTCCTTTCCGGTCGAGTGCAGGAGGGTCAGAAGAGCTGCAGTCTGAATGATTGAAAGTCGATCCTCGAAGATCAAAGCAAAAGCCGAAGCAATTTCATCTGCAGCGACGGGTATCCCAGTTGCGGGGTAGGCGAGTCGCTTGAGCAGCGGCGATATGGAGACGGGCTCTGGCTTCTGATCGGGGGTGTTGGTTGCCATTGTGTGGTGAGGGTATGTCAATTAAGAGGCATGGGGATAGAAGAGAATGAAGCAAGAGTCTTTGAAGGTCCCTGGCCTTTATATACCCAGAAGAAAGGATCGTGAGTCACCCAAAAGGGCATTTCCGTGAAGCTTTCAACATCTTCCACCGCAGAGGCAAAACCTCACCGCCTGCACATCCCAATCAGAAGGCCGCAAACCGCAACATTCTTCTTTTCACTTCTCGACAGGCCCGGCGCTTCCCTCAACAGCCCGTCCATCGTCTTTCATCCAACCCTGTGGTTACGTGGCCTTTCCTGGAGTGAATAAGCTCCTTCTTTGGAATTGGGCACCCGTCTATATCCACAATGCGTCCACGCCTACGGTTGTCTAGTGGACGCGTTTCTCAGTCCTTCCGAGGACAGAGGCCGCGATGCCAGCATGAAATCGTCATTGCAGCCAGGAGCGTCAGCAGCGCTGCTGCAGCAGCTTCGGGGACCCCCGCACCTTCGATTGAACAAATGACGAGTCCGACACGCTCGATTGCACGGTATCCTCCCTCACAGCCTCCTTCTCACCGCAACCCCGAATACCGACGATCTCAGCTTCTGCGGCAATACACTTCTATAATCCGGACCTCGCCTTTGATCGTTTTCTTTCAACACAACAACCTCCGATCTGTGGAGTGGACTGCGATTCGGAGGGAACTCAGCAATGCTCTTCAGAAAGTGGATGACCAGATGGCTGCTCAGGGACGGAACATCTCACCCCTTGCTCCGCTTATCAAACTGCAGATCATCCAGACCAGTATTTTTGAAGTTGCACTGCGTATCGTCGAGCACTTCCGACCAGAAAAAGCCAAGTCTTCCGGTGAGCTTCCGGGCGCGTCCGGATTGAGAGACGACCCTTCTCTGACACACGACCTTTCTCGCACTGCCCACGATGCCGTGAGACATATGAAGGGCAAGCATGAGTTGACACCGGTACTCGTTGGACCAGTGGCGATTCTCTCTATTCCCCATGTCTCTCCAGAACACATGAAAGCTGCGTTGTCGATCCTTGCTCCCCAGGAATCCGGATTTGCCGCTCCACGAAGGAAAGCAAATCCGACATACTATGAACTTGATGTTCAGAACGGCTTGCAGAAACTAAGCATTCTCGCTGCACGAGTGGATGGTAAGGTCTTTGATCTCGACCAGACGAAATGGATTGGCAGCATTGAGGGTGGTATGGATGGCCTGCGGTCGCAGTTGGTCATGGCATTGCAGAGCATGGGAGCCAGTATTACGAATACCTTGGAGGGTGCTGGCAAGAGTCTCTATCTCACGCTTGAGAGCAGGAGGAGCGTCCTCGAGGAGGAACAGAAAGACGGCCCGGAGAGCAAGAATGAGTCGTGACGTGGTTGTGGAGTCCGTTTTTTTTTTTTTGTACAATAGTATATATTTTCGATTTTCCATTTTATTCTGTCCTATGGACAAGAATTTGTTCGTTACTTGGTGTCAGAAAAGAGCACATTGGGGTTTATTATCATTCATTGAAAAAGCTCGTGAACAAATATATGGAAATTACCATCTCAGATCATCCTATACAATCGCTGTTAAATAACGCATCCTTGGCCATGGATCACTATGAGCTTTCCTCTACTGTCGCAACAGAAGTTTGGCATTCATGCCAACGACACACCGCACCAGGTCCCAGTCGCCGTCCAACCCGACCCAGTCAGCAACGAGGATACCGGTAGACCAGTCACCGTCTTTCTCACAATGTCTCCGGCATAGATAGTCCACGGTGGCTGGGTTGAGCTTAGCAGCAACCTTCTCGGGCCACGTACCGATCTTCCAAAAGTTGCTCCCGCTCAAAAAGTTGACATAAAACGGGTGATCCCTGCTAGCCTCAGGCGAGAGGACACCAAAGGGATACCTCTTTTCACCGGCTCGAGCGATCTGCTCGGTCACGTACTGAATCTTCTTGTCAATGTTCTCTGTTTCCATTACTTCGTAGAAGTCTTGAATGCAGAGCTGTCCGCTGGGACAAACGGAATGGGGAGTATTATCCGCCCAACCATTTCCGTCGATGCCCCAGCCACGTCCATCATGCTCATGTTCCAGGCGTTCTTCGATATTGAAGCGGCGCACCAGAACGAATTTCCCCCTCACCTCCCCCAACGTGGGAACTTTGGGCTCTGTGTACCAACGACTGTCTGGTTGAATGTAGTGGTCACGTAGAATTCGACTCAGCTGTTCATCCGTGTGTTCACCGGGTCCTTCTCTCTTCAGAGAGATTATCAGGGTCTCTGAGGGATGGCTGTCAAGGAATGCGTTCATGTCATTCATCAGATCCCGGAAGTATTTGACGCCTGCGAGAGCGATTGGGAAAACACCGTGGACGAGGAGTAGTTCGTCTCTGCCTGGGTCATCTGGCCACTGTGGCTGAACACGAATATCAAAAAATCGGACACCATTCTCGAGTTGTTTGCGTGGATTGACGGCCTGGCAACGGACTGATGGCGGAGCCACATGGCAAGCAGGTGAGTTGTGAGTTCCAGGAATGGAAAGAGAGGAAAGAAGGACTTCATTTCTGAGCGGCTGCATCCATTTGTGCAGTTCTGCTGACGAGTATACTGCCAGGTGAGACTGGTTTAGTATGTAGATGCCCGTGAACTGGAAGCGCGGGTTGTCGACCAAAGCCTTCATTGTCGCTGACTCGGTGGCCGGCACAGGGACCTGGATTTGGTGCCTCTCCCCATCTACTTCGAGCGTCAAGCGCAGGCGCTCCTTGTCTGATTCAGTAAAGGCCCTGTGATCGGTTTTCGCTGTCCCAAAGGGCTTGACATGGATGTCAACATCCTCCTCGGCGAATGGGCGCGCATCATTCGGAAGTACCGCAACAGGTTCGACTGTGGTGACATTTGTGGCGACGCTCGTCAACGCTCGAGTGAAATTCTTAGCCAGAGTTTCAAAACCGCCATGCTCTTTTTGTGGAGGAGGAAACCTCTCAATCCGCTTCAGCGTAATTGGCGTCGAAGTGAGGTTACGAATCGTAACAGTCTCCGCGACCATCTTTTCGGCTGCTCCAGTATGTTTGCCTTGAAGATACTCAATCCTGGTGCACGAGGACGCGCTGGATTCAGAGAAATGCAATCCAGTGACCCGTCCCTCCGTGTCCTTTTATAATGTCTAATAACCATAGATTATCAGATCACCCCTCATCTTCGGCTTCAGCCGCAGGGCAGCCCGGTAGATAGTCCCCCTGGGCCCTTACGCGTCCACAATAACAATAGACTTCGATTGGTGTTATTATCAACCGTCTTGGCGGTAGAATTGACAAATAATTGGAGCTCTGAGCCCAGCTGAACTGGAGATGAAAGTTCGCCGAGTTCATTAAACGGTGGATCTGTCAGATCATCCGAGATCCCGGACTCGATGGGATCGAGGGACAGGAGAACCATGCATATGCCCTAAAGCCAAAGGCAGTGCTCTTTGATTATTAACTGGAATTGAAGGCATAATTCAGCTCCAATTCGCTTTCGACGAAAGTATGCAGCGCTGCACCTGGGATGACAGTTGATATGCAAGCTGAATGCTGGAGGACGGAAGCGCCATAAACCTGTGATAAGTCTGGAAAATCACAAGCAGAGTAGCTCGTAAACCTGGTGGTCCCAGGATAGAAAAAGATAGCAAGGGCTTCACTGAAGACTTTTGCCTTCCCCCAAGTCCTCCAGGTACCTACTGCTAGTAGGACGTTGTTCATCTCGTCTGCAGAAGTGCTGCATGACGCTTGGAAATTGTTTCCATTTTAGCCTGAGGCATCAGTCATGGAGAATAAAATGGCCGAAGATCACGCGGAGCTGAGTCACGTGGTGATATCCCGCAGCGGCTATTGTCGGCAGTCTGGGGTAACCCGCATCGTTGATACTCCGCAGCACTTCTTTCTTTTTATTAGACAAGTCTAGCCGCTATGCAGACTTCTTTTCTCATCTATCGGTTCTCCTCATTCCCTTTTGGTTTTGGCCAATTCAAAAGGCCCTCGAGATGAGCTTCCTCCGCTGCGCTGGAAGCATGCCGTGTGCTCTAAGATACCCCATATTCCAAGGTATCCTACCACTTAGAACTCAAGCAAGACATTCTGTTCCCCGCCGGAGTTTCCATGGCGCTTCAGCCCTCTGGGCAATCAAGTCACAGGTATTAAAGGACGTTGGAGAAGGTAAGTTTGCTGGCAGGTGTATACTGAAGGATTTCATTCTGCCCCGACACTAACTGACTCGATCATTGTGAACCAGGCATCACGGAGGTCCAGATTATACAGTGGTACGTCGAAGAAGGTGCTCGCATTGAGGAATGGAAGCCACTCTGTCAGTATCAATCGGATAAGGCCGTAGATGATGTCAGTGGAATTCTATTCTGTCGTGTACATTTCATTTCGTTATTGCTCATTCTCAACAAGATAACTTCAAGGTACGAAGGCGTCATCAAAAAGCTTCACTTTCAAGCTGATGACACCGTTCCAACAGGAAGGGTTAGTAAACTCCTCTCCTACCCGCGGTTCAGAAATTGATTAAAGTGCAGGCCCTTTGCGATATAGAGGTCGAGGACGGAAAATATCCGGATGATGGTGTGCCTACGGCCAAGGATGAAACGGTCCAAGTTCCAGCAGATGCGGAAACAACGAAAGCCCATGAAGCCACCGAGCGTTTGGTTTCAGATACTGAAGTTTCTAACGATGCTCCCAAGTCGAGATACGCATCTCTCGCCACACCTGCAGTCCGTGGATTGCTAAAGAGTTATAATCTTAATATACTCGATATTGATGGAACAGGCAAGGATGGACGAGTTCTCAAAGAAGACGTCCTCAGATTTGTCGCAGAAAAAGAGTCAGCGGCTCAAGAAATACCAACACGGCCGTCGGCCACGCTGGACACCCGGCAATCGGAGACGACGGTTAACCTGACTCCAGTTCAGTCACAGATGTTTAAGACTATGACCCGTTCACTGACTATTCCTCATTTCCTTTATACCGATGAAGTTAAGCTCAACACACTCTCTGCTATAAGAGAGAGACTCGCAAATGATGCCAACGATCCTAAAAAGGTCAGACTCCTGCCTTTTGTCATCAAGGCAGTTTCTTTGGCTCTAAATGAATATCCACTTCTAAACGCTAAGGTTGATATGACCAACCCCGAAGCCCCCAAACTCATAATGCGAGCCAAGCATAATATTGGGATCGCCATGGATACCCCCCGGGGGCTGATCGTCCCGAACATCAAAGATGTTGCAAATCGTTCGATTATGGACATTGTATCCGAGATATCACGCTTGAGTGGCCTTGGAAAAGTCGGGAAACTCACAGCAGCCGATCTCAATGGCGGGACCATTACCATTTCCAATATCGGCAATATTGGTGGCACCTATGTTGCTCCAGTTATCGTATCGAATGAAGTGGCAATTTTGGGAATTGGAAGGTCAAAAGTAGTACCTGTCTTCGGTGCTGCTGGGGAGATCACAAAAGGCGAGCTGGTGAACTTCAGTTGGAGTGCAGATCACAGGGTTGTGGATGGGGCAACGATGGCTAGAATGGCCAACAGGGTTCGGGAGTTTATCGAGTCTCCAGAGCTTATGCTTTTGAATTTGAGATGATATTGGATTACCCATAACTGCACTGTCCTTTACCATCTGTAGCTTCCCCAGTTCTGTCAAGCATTTATTCAAAAGATGACATGGAGTCAGGAGAGTGTTTTCTGCCCAGGCTTGGGGAATATTAACCCAGAATACTAGACGGGCGGCTGTAGCTTTGGCTTTGTGAGCAGAATAGGCAAATTAAAATAATTAGAAAGCCATGTAATTCTCACCAAGATAGCCTCTGCTGCATTGCGGTGCAGCATTAAGCGCTGCTTGCAGGCGCCCTTCCCACGCCATTCATTCACTCATCTTTCTTTCCACCATCTAAAAACCATTCCCTCAACTAGACACCCTGCCTTTCCATCTATCATACAGGGTCCGTCAATATGGGAGCCAAATGCCTGGTTGTGTATGGCTGCCGTGGTAAATACTTCATCTACTATAATTCTCTGGATAGTTTTCCAGAGGGGCTCAGACAGTCAATCGTCGATTTGATACCATGCGATCCCGAAGAGTATCAAAGTAAGTAATCCCATCGATCGAGCCCAGTTGTTGTGTCCACCGTGACCTCTGACGACTCTGAAAACAGAATGGCTCGAATCAATGCGAGAAACCCACTCCCTACTCGCTCGAGAGTTCGGGGAGCATCATCTTCCTATATTTGTCGATTGCGATCTCGACAACGATACTCTTTCAGATGAGGAGAAACGATCCAGGCGCTGTCTGGCACTCCCCCCAATGCGTGTTATGACGTTCTCTCGAAATGATTTTGACGCAGAATGGATTCACACCATCGATTTGGATCAAGAAGTCCTTTCTATTGATGAAACTGCACACTTTCAGGTTTCAGAAATTCAACCTGGAGTTCTTTGGGTCAAACTTCTCGGGAGACTCGCGGAAACGTTGTATAATTCGTCCATCCTCTAGCAGATAGGAAGTCTTTACCAGCATCTTCCTAGAGACACCCAAGGTAGATGAGCAAGCCAAAGCTAATTACACATTTGGTAGCTGAGAGGTCTTATCGTCAGATGCTTGTATATGAGGAAGATCCCAAGGGCCCGTAGCAACAATCAGTATTAATCTGCTAGAACACACGTTGTACCTTCCGCAACACGTGCAGGTAAAAACTATCTTGTATATGGGTTTAATATGACAGTAAGTATTAACAGGATCAACTGGATCAACGAGATGTACGATTAGGGTTACAGATAAGCACCCTTTTCAATCCCGCGAGCTGCAGCGCTATATGTTACCTTTCAAATAGTATATTATTTTCTTTTTCTTTCTTTCTTTTTTTTTTATTTCTCCTAATATGTTCATTCAAGTATCTTTATAATTCGTGAGAAATAATTCCGCTATTGACAATCTTCAATGTTGCCAACAGACACTGGTGCAGACTCTATTTCCGCTTTTGATGGTGACATCATCGACAGATGACGGTGGAATCCCAGCAGGAAACAATAGAAACAATATTAAAAGAAGGGCAAAAAAACCCCAATATATGCACCATCCAAACTCCAATGTTCAAACAAGTTAAAAAAAGATAAAACCCCCAATTCTTACAGAAACTCAGAACGGCAAAAAAAGGGAAAGGAAGAAACTACTGGCACTCAGCCAACTTCTCCGAAACAACATCCCTCACTCTCTGCCGCACAACATCGGGAGATGCATCAGCATCGACGGTGGTAGAATCCCATTCAGTGGGACTAGGCTCCTCGAGAATCTGAAGCTGCGAGTTAACCATTCCACTCTTCATGTAGTGGGACTTGCGATGTTCCAGACGGTCGTAGAGCGCCTCCTTGTCGAGTTTGAGGTAGATGAAATGGATCTTCACATTGGGACACTCGTAGGCGGCGACGCGGACAACGTCACGATATTTTCGCTTCAGGGCGGAGCAGGCGACCACGACGCCGTCCGGGGGTTGATAGTGGTTTTCCTCGGAGGGGGGTAGGACCTTGACGGCAGCTTCGCGGAGGGAGGTTAACCAGTCCCAGCGGTCTTCATCGGTGAGGGGGATTCCGGCGCCCATTTTCTCCTTGTTGCTTCGTGGGTGGTACTACGGTGAGAACGAATGGATTATGTTAGTTGTGGATTTCTCGTCTCTTTTTGGAAAGCTGAGATTTAATAATAGAAAGTATACTCGTGACTAGCACAGCACATACATCGTCACCTTCGAGAAAAGGCAGTTTCAATGCATTATTAATATCCTCGCCGACTGTACTCTTCCCCGAGCCTGCAGGGCCGGTTACGACCCAGATATGCTGGATATGCGGACCGGAAGACTCAGATTCAGGATGTGATGGCGGAGCGTAAGAATGTGGCACCTGGGGTTGACCATTGGTCATATCTGGCCGAGGGGGAGGAGTGGTACGATAGCCAGTGGACATCTTGGAGACGGAAAGGCGAGAACCGTTTACCACGGCAGCATGGTGAGATGGTTGAGGTAGCTCGCCAGCAGACAACATGGTTGATAAGGAGGAAGGGCTATGACGTCCCAGTGAAGTGATTGGCTGCAATAGGGCTGGAACCAGTAGTTGACAAAACCCAAAATAGGAAACAACTACAGACGAGGATGAAGAGGGTGAGAAGATGAAAAGGAAGAGGAGAAAAATGCGGTGAGAAGGCTAGGTTTCTAAGCGAAAGGAGAAACCAAGACACAGGACGAGGATGTAGAGGCTCCTGGTCAGGAACTGAATGGGTGTCAATGGCGGGGGCAGGATGCAGACAAACCGGCAAGATGCAGGAAGTGTCGATGGAGGAGAAACGGAATGAGCCAGTATTATATTATTACAGTCAAATAATCCATTAAGATTAAATGTGAGGAAACGCAGAGTAGAACAAGAAGGGCAAATTAGTATGTTTGCCGGCGTGGGGGTGCGTGGGGGGCGCCGGCAGTCTGGGACATTGCCCGGACTAGTATCAATTAGAACTTAGCGCAGATCTGGCCAGTGTCGGCTATCGGTATTTCCCGCTTAGGGCGCATGATGTCATGTGCTGTCTTCCGTTGCCGACGCTTTCCTTCAGGATCCATAGGGCAGAGTCGACGGTCGCCTGGTATAGAACCACAGAATGGCAATAATTTCCGTAATAAGACACTCCCAGTAATAATAATAGCAATAGGGGAAGAAGTTCTGGAAGTTAGAACAGCCTCGGGTGGGCAACCCCCCACGTGAGCCCAACAATATGAATAGTGCACACTGTACACCGCAAAGCAGGGAATCAGACCGCGGGTGTTTCCCGGCATTCCGGGGCGGATTAATCGGATCAGCGACAACAGCCTGTGAATAATTAAAATATAAATAGCGCGTGGCACAAAAGTACAACTGCGTATTAACTAGTACGTCGATTACATAATCAGACTCCCTCACCGCCAAAGCACCACAGCGGAAGCTCACGACAGTCGCAACGGCGCTGCTGTCGTGGCTCCGTCTGCTGCAAGCATTAAGAATTAGCCCTTCGGAAGTTAATGAAATAATACCGTCTCCTCGTTGATCCTTCGTTTTATCCTATCCTATCCTGTCCTATCCCTCTTACCCGAGCCATGACCTCCTTCTTCTTCTCCACCCCTGTCGACATCGACATCGTCCTCGAAGATAGCGATGAGCGCCAGACCGTCGACGTCAAGCTCGACAAGGGTCGCAGGGAAAGAGTTCCTCTTTATATGGACGGAGAGTCCGTCAAGGGTGCCGTCACCGTTAGACCGAAGGATGGAAAGCGAGTAGAACATACAGGCATCAAAGTGCAATTCATTGGCGCGATTGGTACGCACGCAGGCTCTCCTCCCATGCGTATAAATGCCACTACGACATGTAATGCTAATAATCGGCTCTTCCATGCGAATATCAGAGATGTTCTATGATCGTGGCAATCATTATGAATTCCTCTCCCTGGTTCAAGAACTCGCGGCCCCTGGCGAACTGCATCACCCGCAGACATTCCCCTTCAACTTCAAAAACGTCGAAAAGCAGTACGAGTCCTACAATGGAATCAATGTGAAGTTGCGATACTTCATCCGAGCCACCTTCTCGCGGCGAATGCCACCCGTCGTTCGTGAAAAGGATATCTGGGTCTACTCTTACCGACTGCCGCCTCAGACCAACAGTCCGATCAAGATGGATGTCGGTATCGAGGATTGTCTGCACATCGAATTTGAATACTCCAAATACCAGTACCACCTGAAGGATGTCATTGTAGGCCGCATCTATTTCCTTCTCGTGCGCCTCAAGATCAAGCACATGGAGCTCTCCATCATCAGACGCGAAACAACCGGTACCCCTCCCAACCAGTATAATGAAAGTGAAACCTTGGTTCGCTTCGAGGTATGTTGGACCCAATACACTCTTGGTTAAATTGGTTAAACACGGCCGTTTGGCTCACCTGTCTTGCGTAATATAGATAATGGACGGTTCGCCTTCGAGAGGTCAGTTGCTTGCAATCCACATAGACCATACGCTTCAACGCCCAAGTCACTTCTACTGACTATGCATAGGCGAGACAATCCCCATCCGACTGTTCCTCGGTGGATTTGATTTAACACCCACCTTCCGAGACGTCAACAAGAAATACTCTACGCGATACTATCTCAGTTTGGTCCTTATCGATGAAGGTAAGTCGTTGTCTACATCATCGCCTTAGCACAACCCACCATCTCTGCACGGCATTTAAGAATGGGGCTGGAAGGGACATGTTGATATTCCAGCTATGGCGATGCGCGCGTTATTTGACTAAAATCTCTGGTTTCAAATTCCGGGAATCCTTCAAACCCCCACGCTAAATAACGCGTGCGCCGCCGCCCCACAAGCCCAAGCTTTTAAACTCGTCGCACGCATTCTATTTCCATTCAGGACCACCTACTGACTGCTTACCTTGCAGATGCTCGCCGTTACTTCAAACAATCCGAGATCGTGCTATATCGCCTAGCTCCCGAGTTCGCAGCCACTCCGCAAATAGCACAGCAACAGCAAGCCCAACAGCAACTTCAGCAACAACAACTACAGCAACATCAATATCTACCGGGCGCGGCCACACCTGGACCGGGAAGGGACGTGGATCATCAGCAGCAGCATAGCGCACCTGCGCCTACAGCTTAACTGGCTTAAGTCTGTTCCTCCTATCCCTGCTGATATCATCCTTTTCTTCTCATTCACTGTCTTTGCGGCAGTGATGTATGCTACTTTTCCTATACCCTGTTGTCTTTTGTACTTTGTAGATTTGCATTGTTATGTCTCTTTTCTCTCTTTCAGGTCTTCTGCTACTTTGGATGCATGTATATGTAGCGCTCTGATTGAGGGAAATAGACAATAAATGATTAATACATAGCCCAGACATCTCTGGATCAGTGTTTTGCCTACCGTATTTACTAGATGAGGGAATGGGGTAAAGGAGATTGCAAGTCGAGGTTGCTCTAGATTCGTAGAACTACCTCTAAAAATAGCACAGTATACTAGACTAGATAAATCATCGGCCTTCCTTCTCCGCCATAAACCGGTTATAACGGCCCTTGCATCTTCTCCTCCAGCTCTTACCCCAGATTATCATCGGGATGCTCGTGGCAGTGGAGAGAAGCACAAGGATTCCGAAGAAGGTGAAGGCCCATCCGTAATTTGTGGCTTCGATGAACGGCTGCACGGAATAGGAGATTGCGAAGTTGATCAGGGATGAGCAGATGGCGAGGACGGTGACGAGCTCTCCGGATATCTGTTACAACATGTTTTAGTCACAATTGATTGGTTTATTTGGAAAGGATGATCTGCCATTCATGGGATATAATACTAACCCCGTCGAAGCATTCCATGGCATACGCCGTTGCGATACTGGTCGCTGATACTTGTTCGGCTATCATGCAGCATAGCCCGACTGCTATCGTCATCCAATGCGCCCCGGCTGTTGCTCCCCAGCCGTAGAGGAAGTAGCCAGCTGCTGCGAAGAGCATGGGGAAGAATGATACCCAAAGACGCATCTCCGGCTCTTTGTAACCTTTGTTGCGCCGGGCCAGAACGAGAACGACCCAGTCGGAAGCGTATCCAACTCCTAGGCTGTATACGGGTCCCAGGTCAGCATTCTTTCTTGCATTCTTTCTTAAGCAATAAAATACTTACCCGATGAAATTTCCAACGAGCGCCGCCAGGAAGATCAAACCTGCCGGACCAGGGCTCCAGTCATAGGGTGGCGAGGTCATGATCTCGGAGATGGTATTGAATGAAACAATTCCTGCCGTGCAACCGAAGGCGAACTGGATACCGGATAGGACGATGTTTGGGAAGGCAAAGAGAAAAAATGGGCGTCGGAAGTATTGGAACCATGTAGTCTTGTCGTCCGCAAAATAATGGATTGGACACAGCATTTGCAGGTACGTCCTCCGAGGCATGACTATCTCTCCGACTTCCTCGCTGGCAATAGATGAAACGGCTGCCTTCTCCATGCCATCCTTTGTCTCTCCAGCTTGGTCGTCGGTTCCTCCAGGGCTAAGGCTGGAAGTGGATTCAGTTTTGAATCGGTACCGTGGGAACATGGTGTCATCGAAGGTGAAAACGAAAAGCACGATCAGGACACCCTGTAGATTCATGGTTAGCAGTCGAAGTTGAAGATGGCTGAATCAGGCCAGGAGGCAACTTACGCATGCAATCGCAACAGTCGGTTGGCACCATCTCCAGCCGACACCTTCCGTGATATATCCGCCCAAAATAAGTCCTAGAATGGATCCCAGCTGCTGACAGAAGATGTACATTGTGACCATCCGACCGCGTTCGTGCGTGAAGAAGACATCAAAAATCTAAGACCGGGTCAGCAAAGCACTTGAGCAGGAGAGCGTGGTTCACGGCAGGTAACTGACAGTAAGCTGGATCAAAGCCTCATACGCAGCAGTCCCAATACCACCAATAATGGACAAGATATAATTCTCAGCCGTGCCGTAGAAAAGGCCACCCCAAATGGAGCTACCACATACGAAGGTCAAGCTAAGGATGTAGACGATCTTGCGGCCGAATTTCATTGCGGTAGGGATCCAGATCACGTTGAAAAAGCCCAGGAGGAGATAATTGACAGCGGAAGCACCGTTCATATTATCCAGATTAACGTCGGCTTCTTCTGAAATGGTGGTCCATGACGAGCCCTGGTCATTTTCTCCGAAGGATTGCACACAGGCAAAGAGAGAGATCAGAAATAGCGTCCAGTACTTCTTATATCTGGGCCAATTCTATGCAATTGTCAGGGAGGAGAACAAGGAGAATAAGAATGAGATAAATGAGAAGCTAATCATTGTACTCCGTACCAGAGGGTCAGCCGGCGAACTTGAGGGCTGAGGGATCAGAACGATATCACGTTGGCCAGCATGAGCAGCGTTGGTCAAGCTGTGGGATACTGCAGCCCCTTAGCTACTATACAAAGAGATGTGAGACGAGCAAAGAGGGATAAACCTACTATCGACCAGGTATACTGTGCCTGGCACATCGGTATGCACGTCGAATGACTGAGCCATAGCGGCGTTGTGAAGACGGATGGAATGTGCCCAGGAGAGAGAAAATGCTCCGGAGCGACATGACGCTTTTAAATAAGGCGAATGTACAGACCTGGGAGATAGAGTCCCCCAAAGCCCAGACAGGAAGCTCCTCGCGGTGCTGAAGCCGCTTATGGGAGATATCTTGACAGACACCCTCTGGCCATTGACGATTGGTGGAATGGGACTCGATTGCATAGCAGCGGGAAACCCGACAATGGCAGATAAGCATGGAACATGTTAGAGGCAGTGGATATCTGAGAAATGCTGTCGGATACATCTCGGGATAGATCCGCGAAGAGTGAATGCGGGGGTCAATTATCATTGCCATTCAAAGGGCGAGCAAAGGGAGATGGATGAGGCGCGATTAGATAGTCACGAAGACAGGGGAAGGTCCATGCGGCCGATCAGCTTCTATGCACAGATATACGAGAAATAGCTCTGGTGATACGCTGAAACAGAATGAGGAGAAAAGGACAAGGTTTAGTATCATGCAAGTACTCTGGAGCTTCTAACGGAGCCAAGGTAAGTCGGATTCTCGGGCTGTTACTGTCCGAGTGTACTGGATACAAGTGAAAGAAGTATACATTAGCTGCAAGCAGAAATCCTTCTCCCTAACCACTATACACATATGATCCATGGCAAATAGCATCTCTACGTACCAAGTACACCGTATCCCATTAATGTAAAATACCGACAGTCTTCACAAAGTCCTACCTCCCACCTCCTCCAACACCCTCCCCAAAACATGCAAAACTCGCCCATCATCTCGTTCCCTACCTGCAACCTGCACAGCTCTCACTATGAGAGGATATAGCCGTTCAAGGTGCTTCTTGTGATGATAATGAGGAATATCTTCCACTATTCCTGTTCCTGTTCCCGTTTCCGACAGCTCTGGGATTGCCGACGGTTCACTCCGTAGCTCGACCATGCCGGTCAGGAGATGTAGCAGTGCCTTACGCGCAGGCGTCGGCTGCGGCATCAGTCCTCGAAGGGGCTGGTCAGCAATGTATGCTTTCAAGGACACGGCGCATCGCAGTATCAAATAAGGGGTGACAGAACGTGCGAGCAGGATGTGTGGATTCGTTATGGCCGGGTTATCATCAGTAGAACCATACGTGTCCTCGTGTTGGACATGTGAGACAGAGGCGAGGTCGAACATTGTGTCAATTAAGGCATATGCCATGCTAGGTCGGAAGGTGGGTGGAGGATCGAATGTGCGTCCCGGACGGATTCTGCACAGATCCCGAAGGGGCTCCTCTATTGACAGCCCTCCGGGGAGGTCAGAACGCCGAGGAGGATAAATAAACGATGAATGGAAGATTGCGGTTGCAAAATCCCGACGGACGCTATCTGGTATAGGATAAGCTCCGAGTGCTGGAATGATGAGCGATTTCAGTCGATGGAAGGCTGCTGTGTCGAAGGACTCGTCGGAGTGTATGGTTGAAATTGGAAGCTCCGAGATTCGATAGCCTCTGGCAGAGACTATGCCTTGGGAGATATCTACCACGCACCTCCAAAACCGAGCTATTTCGGACTGAGTGCACTTCCCATACTGCTTCTTCACATATGGAATCGCAACTTGAAGGATATCCAGCGAAGCTGTCGTAGCCTTCTGCCATAGATAAGGCTCCCGATCCTTACCACTCCATTCATACTTCTGACTGATGGGTTTACTCAGATGTTCTAAGACTGTCGTCAGGGACCCGTTGGTGAAGATATCTTGCTTGATCCCAAAGTCCGCAATATACCAATCGAGAAGGTCTATTGCATTTTTTGAGAACGCAACGAACGTTGGCTTTCTTGTGTCACTATCTGGGGTCCATTTCGATAGTGCGGAGTCAGCGTAGCTGGCGAGACATAGTAGTATTTGGGGCTGCGAGGCGTCTTTTTCCATGCAAATCATTTTAGTACAATCGACAACCAATGTCTGGAGGGCGGACGGGCGATCCGTATCCGGAGAATATCGCGGGGATATCGAATTCCACACCAGGAACTGCATATGCTGAAGGATGGTTTCGATTCGTTCCTCCGTCAGATGATCCTTATAAAGATGATATATCTGCTGGAATGTTTGTAGGTAAGCCAAAGCAGCATCTTGATTTGGGCTGCCCAGGTCCAACGAATCTTTATTAAGGGCAGGATGGCCGTCTGCCCATAGAGTCCATGCCGCCTGAAGAGCTTCGTCGCTGAGACTATGCGGAGCCTCCGCTCGAAGAAGCATGCCTGACAGACTGGAGAATGTCGCCTCGTTAAACTCCAAGAGATGGAAGTCAATCAAGCGTCTAAGGTATCCTAAGAGCCGTTTCCATGACTGGTCGAATTCCTCGTCCTGGATAATTGTTTCGAAGAAGCTTGTTATCAGGTCGGAACATCCCTTGACCATCACAACTGTCGTGTCAATCCAAGATTTAACCTCGTCAGAATTTGGATTCATCTTGCTACCAGTAGACTCCACGAGTTTAGCTTCAACTTCCTCCACCATACGGAAAAGGACTCCGTTTAAACATAGATGCCACGCCTTCGGGGATAGTTGCTGACCGTAAGCATCAAAGATTCTCAACAGAGTACGGATCGCGCTGTTTCTAATTTCTGCCCGGCTATCTGTCGTGATATCAACAATTCGCAACAATAGAATAAGCCACAAGGCGTTCCGAGAGGCGGATACATCGCCCTCTTTCACCAACCTCACTAGCTCCTCCTCATTAACAGAGGCATCAACACGACTCTCGATTGAGAATAGTTCTATTTGTCTTTCAAGGAAATCGGAGACATTCCAAAAGAAAGAGGTCGTCGTAAGTGAGATGTTGAAATCTTGATATTGCGAAGCGAATTCGGAGAATGAGTTCACAAGAGTCAAGAGACAGGGTGAGGGAAGTAGAGTAAGAAAATCAGAGGCCACAAGCTGAAGAGATTTGTAGGCGGCATGGACGAGTCGAGGTGAGCTTGCCGGTAGAGGGGTCTTAATTCCATTTTTGGGATTGGAAGCACCTATGTCTTCATCGAGCGAAGATATCCTAAAAATGCTGGAAATAAGGCTGAAAATCAAACCCCATGCATCGACGAAAGTCTCCGCATACTGTTCCAAAATGTTTTTCAAGACTTCCAGGCCCCGCTCGTGGATTTCAAATACAGTGGCGGCAGGAGTTTTTGGCAAACCAGTATTCGTGTCATAAAGTGACCTTATCTGTGACTGTAACGTCCGAAGGTTTCTCAGTTGTACTTCATTTCTAACTTCCGCATTTTCGTTATTGTTCTGTCCCATAGTTCGAAAGATGATGTCGTTGAGAACGCTGCTGGCCTTTAGGCGGAGACCAGGACTTATCTCATTGTTCGCGGCGCTCAAAACCAGACTATCAGTCAGGAAGCGCCATGTGCTTCGTTCGCTTTCATGGAGAGACGACAGCCGGCATAGGTTCGCTCTGGCCAACTCTTCGATTCTTTCCAAGACAAATTTCAACTCTTCCTCCTGCATCCTTGATCGACCTATGGTTAGTGACACGCGATGAGCATCTTGCCGCAGTTGATCCGAATGCAGCAGCGATGAAGGAGAGCTAGGAGAACTCGGCGACGGTTCGAGAGTTCGAAGAACTTCCTCAGTATTTCCCGAGAGACTCAACAGAGCAACCAAAATGTCTTGGAAAGAGCTGCTGGGATAATCACTGGTGCTTTCGAACATTTTAGTAGAGGCTGCTTGTACAGCGATTATTTCAGTGCCAAGATGAGCCTTTGGGACATCAATACCAGAGGTAGATACAGCATCAACTGGGCTACTGGCTGTAGCTGTTGATTTGGCCGTCATCACAGAAGACATGCCAATCATTAAATCCGCATCCCGCAGCGTCTCGAGAATAATAGACCATGCCTGTTGATCCAGGGTTGGACCCAGAGCAATGCCTAGATTAAGGAGAGCCCGGAGACACAGAAGATTCCGTGTGCTCAGTGTAACAGAGGGACTCTCCAGATGGGTATTCGAAGTCTCAATGGACAGTTGAGAGCGGCTGGGAAGCATCTCTGTGCCCTGCCATTTCTTCTCCGTGGCATTTCTACGCAAGGATTCGGCCCCAGTCGTTGGTGTGAGACCCGTGGGCTTGACGCCACCAGTGTCCATTGGCATCCCAGCTTTCCCCAGAGTTGTGAGAAAAGCATCGCGAGGGACGGATAGCCTGAGAAGGCCCGCCACATGCGTCAATTTCTGAAAAGATCGAACCAGACTGTGGTAGAACTCGTCGTCTAATGATGCATATAGAAATGTTGAACAAGTTGCGAGGATTGCAGGCCAGCAATCATCAATTATCCCAGCGCAGGCTTTGATTGACGAAATTTGCGCGTGACCTTTCAAATCTAAAGGGTTTATTGGTATAGGGGATTTTTTGTCATCAGTCTTCGGAAAGTTGGATCGTTGGAGCTCCTGTGAGTCACTGCCGGTGCGATTTCTTCGTTTTTGTTTCAACTCGGGGACCGTCAGCGGCAGAATAAATTTGGCAAGACCTTCAGAGAACGCAGCAATACAGTTCAGTATAATGCTATAGATATAGGTTTCGGGAGGTGGTGGTGGATCCGCCTTATCGAGAAGCTCAATGTACGGAGTCCGAACAACACTCCACTCGCTGCTGATTCCCGGTACATCCATCTCGAGTGAAGGGCCCGTTGTACCTATCATGCCAGCAACTCCCCCAGTTTCGAGAGTGATTTGTTCTTCTGTTGTCGATCGCGAATGTTCAGCACGGGAAGGCGCAGTGGATTGATTGCTGACACCAATCAACGAAGGTTTCTCAGATGCTAAGCGCACAAGGGATGCCATGTGGTCCTTAAGAATATCCTTTCTCCCTTCCGTTGCGTCGTATAGAGAGTAGACAAGTCGAATAAGCCCTGGCTCGGCATATAATCCTCGAAACACTTCCATGCAAAGTACTCTTTTCCAAAATTCTGTCCCATCGGGTTCCAGTAGATGGGTCAATAGGCTAAGCGCCATCTCACACTCGGCAGTCAGAAGAGACATGTGACGCTTAAGAAGCAAGAGCAAAATCCGAGCCATCCTGACAGTTTGAGGAAACGCGTGTCGTTCCGAGAAATATCTTATAGTCAATGGCACGAGGCGAGTTCGCAGCACCTGTGCAAGTTCAGGGTGGCTCGAAAAGAGCCGAGCACTGTTCACTAGAACACTCTCAATGAGTTCCAGTACAAGCGTTGGTGATAATGTCTTGATTTGCAAGAACCGCAGTTGCTCGCCATCGATTAGACTACAAAGATCATCTAAGACCTTGGGACTTGTCAGTTAATTGTGTGGGCCAGGACACAGACGAAGACTCACCATGAAAGCATCATGCGCATGGCACCCTATGGTTAGTTGGCTACCGTCAATGTCGACTGTCGTCATTGCCCTGGGGCCATCAGACATTTCTAAAAAGCGTCAGCGAATAACCCGATAAAAGAAAACTTTAACTTTGATGCTTACTGTCCTCAATAAAGACGCGCTCGAAAGCCGACACTACCAGTTGCTGGAGGGTTGCAGCCGCAGTACTCGAAACCGCAGCATTTTTGCTTGCCTGTAAAGTCGCACATATTTCTAATGTGCTGGAAAGCAGCTCCCCGGTGAGATCATCAGAATAATGCTGCATCAAAGAAGGCAAAGATTGCAATATCTTGAGTTGGACATCCTGGCCTTCAGGAAGTTAGCATTGTAACAATTGGAGGCTGAGTAGATTGACTGACTCAAGTTCGTGGTCTCCCATAGCCCACCCAGAACATCTTTCAATCGTTCTGGCGGCAACGATCTAGATGCTACCAGTCTTTGCAAGCAAATAACACTAATGCCAGCAAGCCTGGCATATCGACTATGGCAAGCTATGATAAACGGATCGGCAAACTTCGGCTTCCGTACGAGATCTTTCTGCCATTCAGTAACATGACCGGTCAAAAGACAGCGAAACAAATTGCAGTTACGTACCAGCTGAAATTTGAGATTCAGAAGTAGAAGGCAACGCCCTCAATTCGTTCAATGATTGCTCCGCGGCCTATATCTTTCACCGTCAGCGAGGCGCGAATTCTTGCTTCGGAGTATAGATGCACATTTCGTAAATCAGAATTTTTCCTCTTCGACTCTTGAATTAGGTTCGAGAGCTCTGTCTGTAAGAATTGAGAGGACATTTCCAGACGTTTACTGCATTAGAACATGGCCGACGCCGCGTTCGGGCGATGTGTCCGTGCCTAGTACAGGGAGACGTGGACTTTGTTCATGAAGCGGCTCGTCACTGTCGATGTTAAAGGGCAGAATTTGCAGCTAAACCGTATAAAATCCAGAACTATAAAAACCTAAATTATGGTTCCCAATTGAAGAACTTCTTTTCATCATATGAAGGATGGTGGTCGAGACGTAAGCCTGCAGAGGTACAATAAATCATGCATGCTTCTTCCAAGCACATGCCAAGTCCCCCTGCACGTGATTGCATCAGGGAACGCCCACCTCATTCTTTCTCCGACCGAATCGGGCAACCAGAAAGAAGAGCACCCAACTGTGCCGAGTATCAACTTCTTTGATGTGAACGCCTCAGCTCGCCAAGAAGCCGTTCCTGCGTTCTCATTCTTCGACAAACGTCATTTTTGTCTCAACAGTCTTATACTCATTCTAGTCACGGCAGTGCCTCTATCAGTCTTTCAACATGGCCAAGGTTCCTAGAAACTTCAGGCTTCTCGAGGAACTGGAAAAGGGCGAAAAGGGCCTTGGAGCAGGTTAGTTTTGTTAATTCTCTGCTACATACTTTGATTTGAAAAATTGTATGACTGATCTGCCCTCTCTATAATCTTAAAGAGGCATGCTCTTATGGTCTCGCTGATGGGGAAGATATGATGATGAGCAACTGGAATGGGACGATCCTTGGCCCCCCTCATGTTCGTTCTTTGCACCCCCATCACTGCTACTACGAGTAGTACCGCTCAATTTAAGAATCCTGCTGATCAATGACTATCAAGAGTACCCATGAGAATCGGATATACAGTGTCCAGATCCATTGCGGTCCCGAATATCCAGACAGCCCTCCCACTCTCCAGTTCATTTCCCGTGTCAATCTGCCTTGTGTTGACCAGCGATCCGGGAATGTATGAAAGTGTCAGAACTACTCTACAGACGGAACTGTGACTGATATTGTTTTTTTCAAATTTGACAGGTCGACCCATCAAAGCTGCCTTGTCTTGCTCAGTGGAAGCGCGATTACACCATGGAGACAGTTCTACTTGAGATCAGAAGGTGAAATCCTCTTGTTGGATTCTTGAATTCTGGTCTCCATATAGCTAACGTTCAAGCTTATAGGTACATGGCCCTTCCGCAACACAAGAAGCTGCCGCAGCCGCCCGAGGGAACGAATTTCTAAACTTGCCTTTTCGACATGTCCTTCAGATGAGAACTCGGAGTATCACGGTTGGCATTTTACGATAGGTCCATTTCTAGTTACGATTTCATTAAGCATGTACAGTCTTATGCATAAGTGGAAAGAATCGGCGTGGCGTTTCTTTCGCACCCTTTTTCCCCTCGAGTATTTTTTGGTGCGGGTTTATCTTGTCTTAACTTCAACGCTCGGGGTTGTTTCTTCCCCAGAGATGATCTAGACTGTTGTAAGCACCTCACTAGCTCTTATAGATGAATGATTTTCCGCTTGAAGAGGTTTCTCTGAGATTTTATTGTCGCGACACTACCTCTTAGAGATTGGTTTCAATTTGAAATGGCTAGGGAGTGAATGGACGATTACAGGTTTCTAATACGGAAGAGCATCGCTATGCTCCTAATTTTGTTCAATCGAAGTATAGTACAAGGGAACCAGAAAATCCATCCTGCGCAGTCCCGAATAGTCACAAATAAAAACATTGCGGAGAGAATCAAGCAGCAAAAGTCATCTGCGTTTCTTTCGACAGAAACCTGCCGGATAGCACACATGGTGGTATGATCGTAAAGAGAAAGGGGGGAAGAGTACGACGGCCTGGCCTAATTGTATCCTCTGCGACGCTTGCCCTGGTTGCGAACCCTGGGAACGACCACTGCCTTGTTGACCTTCCACTTGGGACGGGTCTTGTAGCCGGATTTTGCCTGGAAAGAATTGTATTAGCTTCATCACTGCAAGTCATTATAGTAGGCGCGACATGGCTCGTAAATAGACATACCGGTTTACCCCAAGGACTCTTCGGGTCGACATTACCCTTGGACTTTCCTCTACCACCACCGTGAGGGTGGTCAGCGGCGTTCATAGCAACACCACGAACTGTGGGTCTGATATTCAGCCAGCGTGATCGTCCGGCCTTTCCGAGTTGACGGTATTGGTGGTTAGGGTTACTAGCAACACCGATAGTTGCACAGCAGTCCTTGTGGATAAGTCGAACTTCACCACTCTGGAGACGAATGGTAACATGCTGCACGGCACGCTCGCGCTTCTGTTTTTCACGCTGAGTTAAAGGCTTGGGCTTCTCCTTTTGGTCACCAGATTCCTGTGTTTGCATCTCTTCCTCCTTCTGTTGAGATTGAGTGCCCTTGGCAATGACGGTTGCAAAAGTGCCAGCGCTACGACACAGTTTTCCTCCCTTTCCTGGCTGCAGCCCAACATTGAATATCAGTGTCCCAACCGGAATCATATGTAGCGGTAAACAATTTCCTCTCCAAGCCGTTCTCGCGGCGAGCACACCAGGATCCACAACACCGCCCATGCTCTTCCACAAGTCTTCCGGAATACCTGACATGTAGCTTTGAACCACATCACCAGCTCTCATACCGTCGGCTGCTACAATATAGCTCAGTTTGCCGGTTTCTTGACTGCGCACAAGAGCAATATGGGCACTGCGTCCAGGATCGTACTCAATTCGCTCTACGTGATGTGGCCCCGGTGCCGCCCGCTCAAAGTCGACTGTCCGTATACGACGCTTATGACCACCACCATGGTGACGAACCGTTACTCTGCCGGTGTTGTTGCGACCACCCTTGGCATGACCTTTCTTGGGGAAAGTCAATCGATGGACGGGACGCCCTTTCCAGAGATGGTCATTGATGGGCCGCCGCAAGTGTCTGATACCAGGCGTCCGCGGTTTGTATTTTCGGATTTGCACACCAGCATCGCCACGAGTAGGTGGAGGAGCAAAAGCGATGCTGGGGTCAAATGTGGAGCTTGACGGTACTTCTTCGGCCGGGGGTTGCTCGAATTCGTTGACAACAGTGGCATAGGATCGGATCGGAATGGAGCGTAGACACCTAAATGGGAGCTGAATGCCCCTGAGGGCCAAGCGTGGTTGGAGCATAGCTGACAGCAATTCAAGAAATGCTGGAACGGGTTAGCTGGTGAAGGATGTCAAACGGAACGACAGACCTGACGGGGACGTTACTAACAACAGAATCTGACGATGAGAAATCTCAGATCATTCTTTTAAAACAAACGAAAAAGTCAAGTAATTGCCCTGGCACCAGCACTCAACGCTCCTCCGTCCAATTGCTGAGATTGCGCTGCGAAACGCCGTCGGTCGTTCGCCCGTTGCAAAATGTCCTGGCATGGTTCCGGCAAAGCGTGTGTGGCTTGCTGGCAGCACGTGCTGTCTGCACCGCCATAAGAAACACTGTGGCAGTGCATAAAGTCACGGGGTCTGCCTCACGAAAAGGGCAACAACCCTACGCCGTTGCCGCCGCAACGCAACTGTTTTGATTACCAAAATCGGCGTAGTCGCGCTTTTCGCTCTGCGTCACGTCCGCGACCACCACACGCGGTTCTCGTATTACACACGGGAGCCCGCCACTGCGCAAAATTGAGACGGTATCACCCATGGTGACGGTATTGCGGTTACAGGCCATACGTACGGCTCCTTGGAATACTTAGGGGCCTGGTCTTCTTTCAACCTCGTCCTTCCACCTCCTCTTCTTCCGGACCAGAAATCCCTTCTCCCCAGGGCTTCAATCGCGTTCCTACCCATCCTCATTCTTCAATCGTCTGCTACTGTGCATACATACCGCCTCTGGCCCTTTTAATTTCAAATTTTGCATATACGTCCATCGCGTCTTCCCACGCGAGCTTGCAGCTTGTGTTGTGGGGCATTGCTTGCCAGCTCGATCAGTTTTCCACGCTAAGCGTAGGGCCAAACATTCTCCTTGCCCTGTCAGTTTATCCCTCTACTTCTCCCTCTACTCAGCATCACCACCTCATCCCTATTCCCACGTTCACTAGACTTGGGTTACAGCCCTCTCCGAGACGTCTACGCATTTCCTCGCTTTCAATTCGCTTTCTAACCTATCCTAGAAATATTATAGCGGTTCTGCTGCGATCCTCCAGTACAGAGTATGTCTTGAAAGCATCTGATACTACGTGAAATAAGACTAACTGGACTCATTGTCATATTCTAAACAGTCCACTAGTGCTTATATGCATTTTTGGGTACTCTCTCCTGTCTGGATTCATAATATCTAATTATCTTCTGTGACATCGCCCTTGACGCGTGGTACGTGTACCTTACCTCTCTATCTCTAGCCTCATGCCTCCTAACATCAGTACTGCCCAGATAATCACAGGAGCACCATAATAGTTACAGATTTTACTTCCAATTCCATTTCGACGCGTCTATTCTTTTATTGAACATGCCTCCGGTAAGCTATCACCAATTCCACGCGTTATTCTTTGTCTACTTCATTTCTCGCAAGCCTAGTTACTTCTCCAGCGCGTCGTAATTGTTATTGACCTATGTCCTAGGCACGAGGTGTCCGCTCGCGCGGTGTTACAAATGAGAACGATGAAAATGGACCAACTACGCGTCTAACGAGAGCAAAAGCCGCGGCCCTTTCGGGTGCAGATGCTGGCGCCACGAAGAAGCCACTCCAGACAAAGAAGGCAGCTTCTAACATATCGACTGCCGGAACACATAGAAAGCGCGCTGCCCTTGGTGACGTTAGCAATGTCACAAAGACCGAGAATGGCGAGACTAAGGACGTAAAGAAACCAACAGCGAAGGCAAGCGCGTCCACGAAGGCTACAACACAGACATCTGGTGTCCAGAAAATCACCCGAACAAATTCATCACGAACAGCTTTAGGGTCGAAGGACCAGAACGCGAAAAAGCCCGCACCTGAAACAAAGCGCCCCGGTAGCGGTGTCAAGCGATCTTCGAGTCAGAAATCAATAGTCGCAGAAACCTTGCAGGAAGAGGAACCCCCACGCAAGAGGGTCGATCTCCAAAAGGCCGCTCCAGTAAAGTCGTCGACTTCAACCAGTCAAAAGCAGGAACAGGAATCTGTCGCGGAACCAGAAGATGAAGAGGGCCATGACTACGTCATGAACCTGGACGAAGAAGACTTGGACGACCCGCTTATGGCCGCCGAATACGTGGTCGAGATCTTCGATTACTTGAGGCAGCTCGAACTAGAGACCATGCCAAACCCTGATTATATTGAGCACCAGCCGGACCTTGAATGGAAGATGCGTGGCATCCTCGTTGACTGGTTAATTGAAGTCCACACAAATTTCCGTCTCCTTCCTGAAACTCTTTTCCTCGCAGTCAATATCATCGACCGCTTTCTCTCGGCCGAAGTTGTCGCACTTGATCGCCTGCAATTGGTTGGAGTCACTGCCATGTTCATCGCATCTAAGTATGAGGAAGTATTATCGCCTCATGTGGTCAACTTCAGCAGGGTTGCCGACGACACCTTCTCAGAAAAGGAGATCCTGGATGCGGAACGGCACGTCCTGGCTACTCTTGAATACAACATGAGCTATCCCAACCCAATGAATTTCCTGCGTCGGATTTCGAAGGCAGACAACTATGACATTGAAACCCGAACTCTCGGGAAGTACCTTATGGAGATCAGTTTATTGGACCATAGGTTCATGTGCTATGCTCAGAGCCATGTCGCAGCTGCCGCAATGTACCTTGCACGTGTTATACTAGGTCGCGGTCCTTGGGTAAGACTGACATTCAGCTATGGGTGAATGTATAGAGCTAACTGTCACAGGATGCAACACTTGCTCACTACGCGGGATATACTGAAGAAGATATCTTGCCCGTGGTTACATTGATGGTTGACTATCTTCACCGTCCTGTCTGCCATGAAGCGTTCTTCAGGAAATACTCAAGCAAGAAGTTCCTCAAGGGTGAGTTGGACAATCCAGCCGGCAGGCGTTCTTGAGAAGATAGGTGATTTCTAATACTCTTTGGTTTAGCTTCTATCTTGATTCGGCACTGGGCAAAAAAGTATCACCACCTGTATATCGACAGCCGCGTCGCATCTCACAGCCATAAAGATAACGACTTGTAATACTTCAAAATCATGAATTCCGTGGATGCTGGCTCCGTAACAGCGACAAATGTCGTTGGGGGCCCACCTAATGCAGTCGCTTTGTTGGCATTTCTCTGCGGTGGTCAAAGGCACCTCTTGCATATGTTTACGATTGCATGTTGGTATTAGTCTCCTATACGAAGGGGTGTCTGGCGCTTGTCTTTCGTCGATGGTGTTTTTCCGTCTTTTCCATTCGGGATGCTTTATGCAGGACATGCTCTGATAACTTTACATTCTCCCCTGTTCGAATTACCGGTATCCGATGCTTCGTGGACTGGGTTACGTTCTATGCAGTGGTTGATTTTCCCTTTCCTTCTTCCGCCTTTTGGATTTGAAATCCCCATATGGGCTGGTACACCCCTGATGCCGGCTTCTTGCGCAGCTGACTATGATTGAAAAATCATGTGCCAAAAACGATGCTGATGAAGGAGGCCGGCAAGGTTAGGGCCGGGTGGCGATGCTTGTTTACTCCTGTTCATTTTCAGTGGGATAGTCGAATAGAAAGGAAAAGGAAAAGGCAGCTACAATAATATGCGTCCGGGATTGTGGCGTTCTGTCGAAGTTGCTGCTGTGGTTATGCGTGGTCTACCGCGATGTTTCGGAGCTCCTTTTGTGTTTGGCGTTTTTTTGGTCCATTGTCTGATTCGGATTGTCTTGATTTTCACTCTGGGTTGTAGATAGGAATTCATGGTTTCCATGGTTTGTTTTGATGAATGCGATTGTTTCTAGATATCTTGTTCTCGTTCGTTTGAAGTATTGAGAGATACTAGGGTTGTAAACGAATGGTTTCCTAGGATCTGCTCTTCAAGCGATCGGTATCTAAAGGATGGAGAATCTCCTCGATATATTTACGGACTATGGAGCATTCTATTTCCCTTCTGCATATGTATTTTTTTTTTTTTTTTTTTTCATAGAATTTCGTTCTGCTGTTTCGCTCCGTTGTTGGCCGTACATGAATATATATTAGCATCTGCCACCCTCCCGCACTTTTCGCTCATCCACTCACGCACCCACGCACCCACGCACCAACTCAACGTCACATCCTCAGGCCACAATTTCTGCATTGTGGCATTTTATTGTCTACAACACCATTTCCTTCCTCTCTAGTTTCAGTAGGGCGCTGAAAATGGCCTCCTCAGCGACCCACCGGCTGGGGGCCAGCTGGCACCTAGCCGCCATGGTTAAAAGTCCGGTCACTCCCAACTCCTGGCTGTTGTCAGGGCCCTTGCCATGTAGACCAGAACGAGCACGTGAGTTTCCTTATTTGGATTAGCGTGGTGCGTGGATAGGAATACGCCGTCCAGCTTCACGTAGATCTCTTCCTTTTCCCCTCCTCTCCATGCTTGAAGTTCTCGTCGATAGCTGCCTAGATAGTTGAATAGCGTCCCATTCATCGTCTAGTTGAGTTCCGTGACAGCTGTCCAATCTTTGTTTCTGTCCAGTTAAGACCCCAAGTTGTCAGGATCAGCTCCTTTGCTCTTCACAGCTATTTTCTATTTTGTTAAGTCGGTTGTGCCAGGGGCACCACCCTATCTTCCATTTCTTATCTTGAGATACTGTCCTCCACCATACTTAGGTATGGTGGAGTCCGTGGTGGAAGGGTACTTAAGGCAAGCGTCCTCCCTAGGTAGTTTAGAAGAACAGGCATACTTTTCGTTTTTGAGTTGCTTCAATAGTATCGTTATTGTCATCATCATCGTCGTATAGTATGGAGCTCAGCTCCATTCTGTTGCATTCTTCCCTTCATTATTTTGTTTGTTCTCTTTACTAAATCGTTTTGGTGTATCCATTCCCAAGATCTCTTGACTACGACCCGGTTCCTTTCGCAGGGAGCAACACACATACGCCCTCCTTTACACTGTCACTACCTTGAGCCTCTCAACAATTTTACTCTATGGTTGGTGTAAGTCTTCAGCCGTACCTTGTTGAAGGCATATCAATATGAGGCCCTCCAGTGAAACCACCAGCGTATTCACTGACACCGACAACAACCAAAAATTTGAACCCAACTCCAACACAGACCTGATGGAACCAGAATGTCCTCCAGGGCCTTGAACAGTCAAAAGGAGAAAAGCAAGCACAATAGGCAAGAAGCCTAACAGAGACGAAACTGTTTTATCTATAGAGCTTCTTAATTGGACCCATTACAAAGACCCAGCTGATGATATAGATGAGGATCTCTCCAAGGTGCTGGAGGATTATGGCAAGTTAGGAGGTACCAAGAAACTTAAATTCTGTCTGACAGCTTGCTGGGCATAGGAAATGATGAGATGCATCTGCTGGGTTTCAGCCTGCTAGCTGGATAATACGATGGAACAGACTTTCTTGTCACTAGCTACTGCCGGACCAAAGCAATTGGGCTGTCAGCAGAGCTAAAGTAAGAAGATCCAGAAAAAATGCTGTGGCAAGCCACTCCAAATGACATGCGCTAGTTTCTAAATTGGCGTCTCAAGTTACAGTACAACCCCCACTAGCTGGGACCTAGCCAAATGGTAAGTCAAGTGGTGTACGCGAATCGATCGATCTATGTATGATACTAAAACTAGTGTCAAATATAATAGCATCACGCTTACTGATTCTGCCGATTCTAAAAGCTAAAATTTAGTTACGAAATTTGATCGCTATCGCCTGCCGTGGGTCATCTGATCCGCTCTCAGGCAGAGCATCTGCCATGTCTATTTAGCGCCACATACTCTCACTAACCGACCCCTACGGTAACCTTCGGGGTCGCGCGTATTGCGCGACCCTGACAACCACCCGAGCACCCCAGCCACCCGAGCACCGATTTTAGAACTTCGTAGAATTCCAACCCATCAACTTTATCATATAATTCAACCACCACCACCATGCCCAAATTCAATAAAAATTATGAAGATCGAATGCTCAAAGCTATTAACGCGTTAAACACACAAAATCCCCCAAATATCGCCAAAACTGCACGTGAATATGGAGTTAAACGGCAAACCCTCTCCGCAAGGTGGAAGGGACGGTCCAATCTATGTGAACGACCACCAACCAACACCAGATTATCAGAAGAGCAAGAAAAGGCTCTGTGTCACTATGTTGATACTCTAGAGCAATTAAATATAAAGCCACTTGCACAAATGATCCAATTGAGTGCCAATTCTATTCTGAAATCAACCCATACCAGCCTAGACACCCCTCCACCTACTGTCAGCGAGAAATGGTTAAACCGATGGCTAGGAAGGCATCCTGAATATAAAAGACGTCGCTCTAGAGCTATAGAGCTTGACCGCAAGCGTGCAGAGGATCGTGAGGTTATTCAGGAGTGGTTTCAGAAGCTCCATCAGACCATCCAGAACCATGGGATATTAAAGGAGGATATCTACAATTTTGATGAGACTGGCTTCAATATCGGTGTTGGTCGTGATCAATGGATTATTACCAGGGACTTCAATATTAATAAGCCTCATATTAGGATGAATTTAAACCGTGAATATGTTACTGTGGTTGAAGCAGTCAATGCAGATGGCTGGACCTGCCCACCACTTATTCTCATGAATGGTAGCTGTATACTTACAAATTGGTTTGAAGCTGCTGATATTCAACAAGACTATTCAATTGGAGTATCAGAAAATGGCTATATGACTGATACAATTGCCTTCCAATGGATTCAGTCATTCTATCGGCATACTAAAAGATATAGGAAGGGTCAATATACCCTTCTTATATGTGATGGATACGGCTCCCATCTAACACATGAATTTGTTGAATTCTGTGAGAAGACCAATATCATCACCTTCTTCTTACCTCCATATACAAGTCATTTCTTGCAGCCATTGGATGTTGGTGTTTTTCATGCATATAAGCACTGGCATTCAGAAGCAGTTGCAGATGCAACCTACTCAGAATACAGTAAATTTACTAAGGTTGAATTCCTTCATGCCTTAGGGGCAATTCGCAAGAAGACATTCAAAAAGCGTACTATTTGGCATGGATTCCAAAAGACTGGCATCATACCATTCAATCCATCAATTGTACTCAATCAAATGCCTCAACCACATCATCCATCCTCTTCATCCACCAATACCAATGATGTTGATTCCTGGGGCAGTACGCCAAAAAAAGCTGAACGATTTAGGGAGATTGGTGATAGGATATGGGAGATTCATGATATCAACAAGGATCAATTTAATGAGGGCCTAGAGCTGCTTATTTGTGGTGGTAGTATGCTAGCATCATATTCAGCTGCTATCGAAGCTGAGCTTGACCGGTATATTAAAGCTGCTAGGGACCGCGCAGCTCGATCACAGGCCTCTAGGCGCAGGATTCGCAAGGGAGGCATAGTATCAAGCTCAGAGCTTGAAGCTATAAATCGAAATACTGCGAATATTAATGAGCAGGCTGAAATAAAGAGGTGGAGGACTAAGTATAAGCGTTGCCTACCAGAGCTGCTGGATGTGTGCATTCGACGAGGAATTATTATACGAAGGCAACGACATGCTAGGGCCCAAGCTGAAGAGTAGAGCTTTAGTTTAAATATATTTTGAAGTTAAATACTATAGAATTCGTTGAGATATTGAAGCTAGAAGGGGGGTCTAAAATTGGTGCTCGGGTGGCTGGGGTGCTCGGGTGGTTGTCAGGGTCGCGCAATACGCGCGACCCCGAAGGTTACCGTAGGGGTCGGTTATTCTCTCATCTGAATCAATTTGTGTTACATCTTGCTGCCTATGGCAGATATACGACTTCAAATCCTATCGGATCTCCATCTGGAGTCTCCGGTTGCCTATGATATTTTTAACATCAATCCCAAGGCACCATTTTTGGCATTGCTAGGCGACATTGGCTACGTTATGGATGAAGGGTTTTTCCACTTCCTTCGCAAGCAGCTGGCGATCTTCCATGTTGTCTTTCTGGTTCTAGGAAATCATGAAGCCTACCATAGCAGTTGGACTGAGACAAAGTCTAAAGTGAAACGGTTCAAACATGACATAGATGAGTCTTCTCGGAGAGGTGAGGCGCTTGGAAAACTTGTTCTGCTCGACCAAACACGCTACGATATCTCACCAACACTCACCATTCTTGGCTGCACATTATTCTCATGTGTCACGCAAGAACAAATGGAGGGCGTTAGTTTTGGTCTGAACGATTTTTACAGAATTCGCGATTGGTCAATTGAAGCCCATCAAGAAGCACATCTTGCAGATCTTTCCTGGTTGAACAGGGAAATTGACTTGATCTCGCGCTTTGAGCCTGATCGGAAAGTAATCATCTTGACTCATTATTGTCCTTCAATGCAGGAAGAGGTCGTCGACCCCAAACATAGGAACAGCAAGCTTTCCTCTGGGTTCATGACCGATCTATCAGATGAGCAATGCTGGCAACGTGACATTGTCACACTTTGGGCTTTTGGACACACCCATTTCAACTGTGATTTTCGAGACTTAACAACTGGGAAAAGAATAATATCAAACCAGAGAGGTTACTACTTCTCACAGTCTACGGGGTTCAATGCGGAGAAGATCGTCGAACTCTAAGATACCTAAAAGCGGCTCTTTCATTCTTTAGGCAAAATCAACCTGACGGGAGTTTGGAGGGAAAGCGGACAGTTGAGCTGAGATAATCTGAGTCGTGTCGGTCAATCTTGCTTGACTTGGAGGAGCCGCCGCTTTATAGAGTCACGGCGGAGGTCCTCCAAAATTGGATACATCGTTGGATCGCCCAGCTTTAGGGCATGATAAAACTGTCTATACGCCTCTCTCAGATCTCCTTCGTTAAGAATATCCGTTCCATCAACAAACTCTAGCATATATGTCAAAATTTCCATTCAGTAAGTCTCGCAGGTAGTTCCGTAATCTCGACAAAGCAAAAGAATAAGAGCCTCACAGTATCTCAAGGCACTTGGGATTCGGACAGAACTTAGGTGTGGAAAGCGCCCTCGACCGCGACCTAAACTAGATGGAGGAAGCCTCGCGTCAGACGCGAACATAATGTCCATATTGGCGTCGTGTAAAGCAGCCTCAAATCCTGGAAATTCCCAAAGCATATCAGACTTCCGATACAACGATGTCGCAAGCTCATCATCGTTATGTAGGTGTTCATAGGGCGGCTGGCATTGAATTTGAAAGTGGGCAGTCTACATGTCGCGAGCAGGGGTGAAAGCCAGATTCCACTTTTTCTTCCCAAGAATCCCTCCATAGGAGCTTTTCTTCCAGGTTTTCATCCCAAAAGTTTCCTTGGTCACCTACCTCATTACTTTTACTATTTTACAATGTATACGCCCCCTGTTCTTGTCGCAGACCAGCTGTCTCATTACGCAGATTCATCAACTTCTGCAGCTTTTGTTGATTCTGCAAAGAGGACAGAGTATCTGCTTCGGGACCTTCTTTGAAGATGATAAAGGTCATTCAATATGCACTCAGGTTTCTGCTTGTGTCATTTTCTGATGCCTACGGCATGGGTAATTTGGAGGTCATTATTGAACTATAACTATTTCGGACAGGTGGATTATCTAATAATACAGCCCCGGGATCCGGAGTATATATGCTACCGGGTTCCCCGAATTCTGCATATATAGGAGAGAGATTGAGCAAGCGATTGAGCATTAAGTATGTCAATTAGGAGCTTCGCGATGCACTAGAGACGGAAGTATATCGGTATAGAGCGTTCTCCACGAATCCTATGTCCTACGGTTTCCTTTTAGTATTTGATATCCGGACGCCGCACCCCTGATCCACATCAGGTAGTTCTCAGGCTCAGGTGAATGCTACCTGTGATGCAAAATACTCAGTGAGCACTCCTCTGAGCGCCCTCATGAAAGCACGGGCATCCAGAAGGGGGAAGCCAATGTGGTTCTAGAAATTCCATTTTATACAGTGGCATATATATTCCTGTTAATCTCTACAAATACATCCTACACATCCAACCCACCTACAGACACAATAATCATGTCAGATCCATACCCAGAACCCCCCTGTCCCTTCTGCGCAATCGCATCAAATCACCCACCCAGCCCACCATCACAATGTTCACCGGAACCCGCAGACAAGGAATCAACAGCAGGCAAGGCATTCATCGTCCTGTCGACCAAGTATCTCCTAGCGTTTCTGGATATCATGCCTCTGTCGAGGGGACATGTGCTCGTCGTAACGAGGAAGCATTATAGGACGCTCGATAAAGTGGGCGTTGAGCTCGGGATGGAGGTGCGTATAATTTATTGGGTATCGTGTAGATCTTGATTTGGTTGTATATGAGTGACATACAATGCTCCCATTTTACAGCCATCATATTGTTTATGCTATCTGAAGGAAAGATTATCGGCTAACTATGCTTTAGTTGGGGAAATGGCTCCCTGTTGTCTCCAGAGTCGTGAATAAGACTGTTACGGGAGATGTCGGTGACGGGGCTGATTCGCAGCCTCATTGGAATGTTGTCCAGAATAATGGTGAGTGGAACAGATCTAACAAATTAAAATCAAAAATAAACAGATGGAGAGAGAGAGAAAGATGTTTATTTACATTTCTTTTATTACAGGCGCCAGGGCCGCTCAAGTGGTCCCCCATGTTCATTTCCATGTCGTCCCTAGACCACCGTTAAAGGTCCCCGGTCCCGCTGCGAGGCCGAACTTCGCCATGTTCGGTCGTGGGCAGAGGGAGGACCTTGACGATGAGGAGGGAGAGGAATTGGCGAGGGCCATGAGGGTGGAGATGGAGACGGAGGTCAAGAGGGTTCGAGAGGAGGAAGGGATCGATTTGGATGTGGATATGGATTACTCGGTGTATCGGAGACGGCAGGGGAATTTGTAAATATTCATTTCTAAGATTGATCCTCATACCGTATTTCTTGGGTAATGTTTAGTTTTTTTTTTAATCATGACGCCTTTCCTTCTCCAGATTTGGGTCCTTTTTTGTCCTGCTTTTTGGCAAAATACTAATTTTCTAGCATCAGTGTTCAGCTCAACAAGGAGACTTCCAGCGGATTGACACACCTTTCGTCTAAATTCATTCAATTCATCCGCGTTGACACCCTGCTCATCGCCTTTCTGTCTCCGGAATGTGATGTCCGAGAACTCTCCTTCGGGAAGTCTGCGGTAGGTGATGAGTCGTCGCGCCCCTAGATGATGACAAAGGGTTAGACTGCTTTGTTCCCAGATATTTTCACGGCTAAACTCACAGTTGTTAAATGGTTGTACGGAGACACTGACAACTTCCAGGTTTGCATGCATTGGAATCGCCAGTTCCACCTCGTCCTGGCCAGCTGTTGGCATCCACATAGACAGTCGTCCGCCAGGGACAAGGGTCCGGGCAGCGAAGCTGAGGATGTCATTTTGCAGTGCCTCGAAGCCGTATGGCTTTTTAGGAGGGATATAGCCGGGAAGACTGTAGAGCAGGTATTAATATCTGAGAAATGTGAAAGAAGCCAGATGTCAAAGACATACATATGAGCAGGGACTCCATCTATCAGAACAGGCTCCTTAGCTCTTCCATCCCGAGTCCCCAGAACCCTCAGTCCTTCGCGAACGCCATAAGGAGGATCGCAAATGATACCATCCAGGAACTGGAAATCGCGCAAGGGTGTATGTGTGAGATCCGAGGAGAAAGCATCCATGAACTTGCTTTCAAGACCATATTGCTGAAAATTCATCGTCAGCCCCATTGGCTTTCCATCTCCCCTATCTTTACCCCGGAAGCTACGTCCATCGATATCAGAACCCATCGTCAGCGCTCCGAAATGTGCAGCCGCGACGCAAAAGCTTCCCGTTCCCACGAAGGGGTCGAAGAAGAGTTTTCCAGGAGCCGCGAGGGCCATGTTGGCTGTGACTAGGCTCAGTTCCGCATCCATGGACGTTGTGCTGATATATCGACGCTTCTTTAGGTCGTATTTATTCACAATCTCCCGGCTGCTGTCTGCCAGCCAACGACCAAAGTAGATCCTCTTGGGCTCCTGGGATTCATCTTGTGGCGGCCGATCCTTCCCTACATGAACAGATTCAACATCTGATACGTAGTCTTCCATGACCCAAAAGTCCTCATCTGGGTCTTTCAGCTGGATTGGGCCCTGGAAGTCCAGATAGGCGAATGATTGAATGATATCCCGCTTGGAGGAAAGTCTGCGCTTCCCTGCAAAACACTCGACTGTGAAGCGGAAAGATACATCCTTGTATCCAGACCAACGGTGAGCCGTTCGTCTACGGACATCTGCGTGGACTTCCTCGTAGTTCGTCCCTTGACCCCAGAGCTCGAAGATATCCTTTGCAAGAATGCTGCGCGCGATGAGAGAGCGTGCAGCTGCTTCATTCTCTAGATTGATAATGCAATATGGTGACTGGTATTTTCGGTTAGCAAATAGTATATAAATGAGGAATATTGGTTGTTCAAGGGAAGCATCTGCTCAAGTATCACCACCCACTGGACTCTGGAAGAGAGGAAAAGAGACGTACAAACTGGTCATAAAAAACAACTTCCAGATCAACACCTGCCAGAGTTGCTAATGCTTTGATCTCAGGGAGTCGAAAGGATTCGTGAACCTGCGCGAAGCGGATCAGGTATTCCATCTTGAATTTAATTTTCTTTTCTCTTCGTTTCTCTTATTTTTTTCTCTCATCCGCCCACCCCGCGGAAGATCCAGTGAGGGAAGAGATTTTTTATCCCGTTTACCCTTCCTTTCCCCTTTCACTGGGGTATCTTTATCTTCCCGATTTGGGTTACAGACCCTGATACTCTGTAGATTAATGCTGACGGTGTTGTGGCGACCGTGGTTGTCGTCGGGCAAGAAAGGGGTGTTTTGGATCTCTTCGGTTCAAACTTCAAGAGAGACGCAGTTGAGGCCAACCGAACTCCAGTTCGTTCTGAATTATGTTATCCAACACATATATACTATAACAACATATAGAGTATCATAAGTAGTTCTCCACTGATTTCAGATGTATTTACAGAGCATGCGTTCATGAAAGACGGAGACAGAGATTTATCGAAGAGACAACCGGTTGCACGCCTGGGCAAATCCATAGCCCAAGTCATTCAGCTAGAACACAACAACAGCAACAACAACAACCACTCGTCCATGACAAAAAAGAGAAAAGACACATGTCCATCAATGGCAATACAACTGTGCTGTCCTAGATAACCACACATACCCTCATGGGAATAGACCTATGCAAGTGACGCCATTCCAGAACAGAAAGAAAAGCCACAACCGGAGCCATGTACCAATACCACAAAAAGAAAACGCCAAGTCTATGCTTCAACCCTCTTAAAAACATGTCGTGACTCGTATCCTTCTACTGGCTTGACTTCAACTTTCTCGTCCGGGGGAATCATTTCATGCTTCAGGTTCCAACCAGCTTGACGGCATAATTCTGAGACTACAATGTCACAGTCGCCTAACAACTCGATATCGAAGCCCACATGAGACACAGGCTAAGAAGACAGTATCAGTAGGAGTTGCTAGTGGATCCTCATTGGATGTTCTCAAACTTACAGCGCGTGAAATGAAGATCTGGGGGACGTGAGGTGGGAGCACACCGGGTACTTCTGCCACAGGTGCCACTTTCAAAGAGGTTCCGATGACAATAACCAAGTCGGCACGGTCGCGGTCGTGGTGGAAAAGGCGGTGCCCGAATTCATCTGGGAGATCTTCTCCGAAGAATGTGATATCGGGCTGCATATGGTTAGCGAGACTGAGAGGTTTCTGCGGACCAGCAGGAGAAATTAACCAACCTTCATCACTCCAGGGGCTGGAATTTCGTAGTCCTCCTCATCCGAGTTTTCCTCTGAATCGTGATGCTTGCCTTTACTAGTGCCATTCGAACTTCGTTTCCGCTTCATCCCATGTGGCTCCAACGCCTCCTGTGCCAGCCTCTTCTTGCAGGCGGGACATTCGGGGATAGCCCCCTTCTTGATTTCTTCGAATATAGAGTCACCTTGGACTTTGTACTGACATTTCACACATGTAGCACTCGCGAACGAGCCATGACACTGTACAATCCTCTCTGGTAGAACCCCTGCATTCGCCTCGATGTTGTCAATGTTCTGAGTGTAGTTGGTCAGGAGCTTCCCCTTGTCCTGGAGAAGTCGGATGAAGGCATGGGTTGGAGAAAATTTCTTCTCGGTGGGGAGTATGTCTTTCGCAACCGAAAAGAAGATGCTGGGGTCTTCGCGAAAGACATGGATGTCAAAGACTTCTTGAGGATCACTCAAACCCAGATGTTCCAGCTTTGAATACAGCCCAGTATCCTTGGAACGAAAGTCGGGAATCCCAAGACTTGTTGAAATCTGGATTTGTCTTGTCAGTTTTACCTGCAGTATTAACGGTTGAGTAAAGGCAGAACATACACCAGCTCCTGTCAAAACAATGATATTCTTGGACTCTCGGAGTAATTTCACAGCATCAGTAACAGAATTGTACCGGGGGAGTTTCTGACGCCTAGAGAATTCGCGAGAGATGGCAATCGCCAGCAGAGGGTGATAGGCCTGGTCCGGAGCACCTTCGAGAAACGCTGGTGGTAGAATCCCGAACGCAGTGCACAATTTCTTTGCAGAAATAGTCTCCCGACCAATTGTCTCTTCAACGAACGCAGCCTTCCCTATCTCATGAAGCCGTCGCCGGAAAGTAATTGCTTCGTCGAAGGTGCAGGCATCCGGAACTAGATCAGACAGAAAAAAAATTAGCATATAGATATGAACACACAGCAAGACAAGAGAGATCAGGGCTGCGAGTACTGCACGTACCTGATCCATCCCGAAGCTGATCGCCATGCAGTATCTGGAGAGCATCTTCGTAAAGAGACTGAGTTTCCCATTCTCCTGATTCATCACTATCCGTCTCATATTCAGACTGCGATACTTCCTCCGCTAACGCAACAACTGTTTCTTCCAGATTCTCGGTTCCATTCGCCTTCCCATTTCCATTCTCTTCCTGTGTATCTTTTCCGGCAGCCATAGTATTTATTGTTTCCACTTCGGTGGCTGGGCCCTTCAACGGCAAGCTCTCTCCGTTTGGTGCTGGTACAGAGTCCATCTTGGGACGAGGTGAGGACATCGGACAACTCCCAGCAGCCTCGACGATAAGTAATTCACTCACATTGGGTTCTTTGCCACTGCCTGTCAATCGCGCTCGTCCCAACGAGTACCTTGACCTCTCTGTCACAAGATAAAGCGCGGACAGTAAATAAAAAGGAAGAGGAAGACTTAGGTTTACAAGAAATAAGGGCCGGAGAAAACGCGGTCGGGTTCGGAATTAATTTGGTCCCGCAGAAGACATACTCCTATTTATCGGTGGTGGCAAACGGTTACAATATAGTAGAGGTAGTTAATATCTATAGTCCTCAGGAAAGAAAAAACCTGGAGATCTCGATTGGTTTCCTGAACCAGAAAGCAGTGCCCTCTTTATTATATTGGTATCATGACAAAAAAAACCCCGTGCTCATTAAGGGGCAATGCAGGAAAGGATGGAGTGCATGAAATAGAATAAATCCAACCGTAAAAGTTTTTTCAGGAATCCGCCATTTCATGGTCTTCATCTGATTCCTCAACCTCTTCCCATTCGTTTTCGTCTCCTCCATCATCTTCCGCGTTGCTATCATCTTCCATATCTTCGCCTAGCTCCTTGTTCATGTCTTGGACCAGCTCTAGTGCATGGTCTCTGAGCCTCTCATCCTCATATTGAAGAGCTTCGTAGAGCTTCAAGCTTTGCTTCAGCCATTCGCGACTGGCAACGAGAGAAGCATGTCGTTTCGTCTCAGGGGTGTCCTCAACTTCTGCATCACTGGGTGCTTGTTGCTTCTCTGCTAGAAGGTATAAGCACCATCCTCCTAAATACCATGCTTCCACACTCTGGTCGTCTTCGAGAATTAGACGTTCGAGCACCCCTAGAGCCTCGAGCTCCATCGTAGCCTCCATCAAGAGGCGCGAGAGACTGATCCGTGTCGCATAGTCTGGCACGTTTGGGTCTTCTGGCGGCAAATCTTTCCATAGATCTATACTCCTAGAAAGTGCTGCTCGCGCATCGTCATGTCGCAACTGTGATATTCGTATTGACGCAAGAGTCTGCAAAACTTCGGGCGCATCGGGATAGACAAGAAGAGCCTCTGTAACGAGTGACTCGCATCTGTTCTCGGCATCGTCTTCCCAACTAATTAAGACGTCAGTTTAGGGTTCTCTGAGAGGAAAGGAACATGGGGGAGGCGCCAGTCCAACTCACGAAAGATCAGTCATGTAAATTTCAGCAACACCACATAGAGCGTTCGCCAGTTTCCTCTTCTTCTCCTCTGTTTCCGCAACATCCTCTGGTCGACCACTCCCTTCTAAATTCTGAATTGTCTGTCTCAGAGCGGAAACACCCTTCTCAAACCATTGAACACTGTCCGATCCTCCCTTTTCGCTTAATTGCGCAAGCCATAGGAATTTCTCGGCTCCCCCTCCTTGCGACTCGGGTATTGTGCCAGTGGGATCTAATTGAACAGCACGCAAGAAATGCGCTCTTGCGGTATCGATATCGCCCAATTCGACGTAGATTTCCGCGGCCAAATTTAAAGCTGCGAGTTGGCTAGGTGAATCGGTCGTAAGATCAAGCGCTTTGTTAACCAATTGGAGCGCATCTTCTATCTGTCCGGTCTGAAGAAGGATCGTTGCCTGGTCGAGGAGTGCTGATGGATCTTCCTTTTTCTGCTTTGATACGGCTCCTCCAGGACTGAGGACGGACTTTTCGCGAGGCTTGGATCCTTTCTTCTTTTGGGGTCTTGTTTTTCCCATTGTTTGAATTTTATGGAGATAGAATCTGCCCCAACCAAAGTTATTTCTTTTCTTTTCTGGGAAATTCAAATTTCGGGTTTCTGCAAAGGTTGTGAACGAGGAGTATTTCACAAATAAAAAAAAAAAAAAATTGGGGCATTGATTGCTCTTATCTGTTTGCTTGGTTTGCATAACTCCATAGTCACAGCGGCGGATAAGAAAAGCTGCAGCCCATTTTCAGTACGGAGTACAACCTTTTAACATCTAAAAGTGTTTTTCTGGTTTCTGGGTACATACTAATCTGCTATAATTTGCCCGGATACTTTCTGGCTAAGCTGGATTGTCCATTATCCGAAATCTCAGAGGCAACGTTAATTACCACTACGTGAACCCCTCCAAGCCGCCGGCGGTCTAGCAGAAGGATGGGTCGAGAAGAGCAGATCGAGGAGCGTGAAGTCCTTGAATCCATTTTCCCGGAAGAAATCACAGGTCAGTAATACCTTTGATACATCAGAAGCTTTCCTGACAGAATTGATTGACCCCGAAACTTAGACGTATCTGACACCTCGTATCGAATATCGATTGTTCTCGACCCACCCGAACATGATGTCGAAGAAGCAGCGACAGCAGAACCGCCAACGTTGATCCTACAAGTTTCTTATCCGGAAGAATATCCCGATGCTGCACCAGACCTGGATATATTCACTCCTCCAAACGCACCAAAGCATCCGCGCCTGGATATTCAGGAGGACCGGAGCCGACTCCTCGAGGCTCTGCAGCCGGCGATCGAAGAGAATATAGGCATGGCAATGGTTTTTACTCTCGTTAGCACGTTAAAAGACAGCGCGGAACTTCTCATGTCGGAGCGGGCAAATGCTGTTCAAGCTGAAAAGGAGATGCAAGCCGCCAAGGCGGAAGAGGAAGAGAATCGCAGGTTTCGGGGCACGCCTGTGAACAAGGAGACATTTGTTGAGTGGCTGCAAAAATTCAAAAAGGAGATGGATGAGCTGGAGCAGAAAGAGCGGGAGGAGAAGGAGGCGGAAGATAAGAAGTTGAAGAAACCATCAGTCAAAGATGAAAAGAAATTGACTGGTAAGCAGTTATGGGAAAGGGGTTTGGCAGGAAAGGCAGACTATGATGAGTTTGACGAAGATGCTGTTCCGACTGCTGCGGTAGAGAAAATAAAGCTAGCCGTTTAAGCTGCAGTATGAATAGGTCTTGCTAGTTTTGATATGAAAAGCGTTTTCTTTGCAGACTTTGCTTCGCTGCCACGGGTGATATTTACAAGTCATTGTATTGCTACAGCTGGTTGATCATGGTCAATCATAGTTGAGAAGTAAAAACACAGAGTAGTCATTACTGTAGGTTAAAAAAATCATATCTCTTTGCTGAGGACGGAGAATAAGTTCATCTGCCATAATCTTCGCCTCCGGCCGATGCATATCGAGAGGTTCGGAGATGCCCTCGACTTGGAGGTTGAATCAAAGCGTGAGCCTGCAAGAGGAACGAAGGTGAACAAGCAAGACCAGTCCCTTTTCCTTCCAGAAAGGCTAACACTGCTCACGCTACTCGACATCATCACGGGCCCGGCGAAAATATCTGTTCTTCTTCGGAAACGCCCTAGCTTGAAGACGATGAAGTGAAGCACTTCCAATCTCTCGGACCGGACGTTGTGGAATACGACCTTCCCATGATTTCTGGTGGCGCAGCAGCGTCCAGGTTCATTACGACAGTCCCCTGAGAATGATAAGGGATGGATGGTGAGACAGCCTCGAGCGCCTTGGGCTACCAGAACGAATGTAAAGCCATGACGAGTGTGGTACGAGTCAACGATGCGCTAAAAATCATCCCGGTCACTGATGGCCAATATTTCAAGGAAAAGGAGTTAATCAACTCTTTTTTTCTGCCAGGCGATCTCTGCTCTCTTCTTCGGCCGCCAATTTACGTTCAGCTAGGACGACTTTCCACATGGCCTCTGCGAGCTGCTTATTCTTGTAATCAGTCACTTTTATCAGCCTCGAGACCTCTTTTAATGAGCTCTCGACTGCTTCAATCCAGGTTGCTGGTTCCCCGCCAGTCGTTAGTCTATCCCACATGTCTTCGTCTCTGGCAAACAAAAGTTCTGTATTCAGCATTTCCCGGTGCTCAACACGCCTCCAGCGCGTCTCAAGCTTGCTCCTTATCACACCGCTGAGAACCATCGGCTGGGGTTTCTTGATGCGAAGGAAAGGAATTCCACGGGCGCTGACCAGAACCGGTACCCGGCGTCCTCCACGCACCACAGGCCGAGGACGACAGAGAATTGGAGTGGCATCGGGATGCCGTCTAGCGGTCGACGCTTGGAAACGCTTTGCTTCTTCTTTCTTCCGCTGCTTCGGAGACAACGGTTTCGGAGGTCTCGCTGCCGTCAAAGCCCTTTGCATTGAAGCATTCTCTTGCTTCATAGACCGACTTTGCGAAATAAGGGTTGTTATACGTTCAACATCATTCCGGTGTCCTTGAGAGGCAGAGTGTAGCAAATCTAGGGCCTAGGGCGCATCAAAGAACAGAACGGTTAGCATTAGTTAATGAAAACCAAATCCTAGTAAAGATGTGTATACCTCATATCCAGCCTTTAAGGCATTGGATGTCTGTGAAGGACTTTGCAAGTTCCTATATCTATGAAACTTTTGTTGTACAAGGGCTTTAACGTCGGCGTCAAGTGCTGTGGTCGGTAGCTTCGCGCATCGTCGAAGGAGAGCTCGATAGAGGGCCAAACCTGAAAGCAGAGTTAGAAGACGCAGCTTCGTAACAGGGAGAAGAGACATACAAGCGAACCTATGAATTCCGGAGAGTCTGGGCACCAAAACCTTATGCATCTCGAAGAGAGACCGCAGTCGCTTTGCGTCTTTAGGCTGCGCCGTTATTCTTCGAGCTGCATCTTCTCCGCGGGCAGTCATGTGACTTGATGATCTAGGCCATCGCATTCGAAGAGCTGCTTATGCTGCACTACCAGGCTGAATCCTCCTGCATATAATACGAGTGCTGCTCCTGTTTTGAACCTCCTCCCATATATTTTGACCGTATGCCTTGTTGTCCTCCGATCTTGTGGTTAATCCGTGGCGCCTTCTGTGGCTCGTAAGCAGCCCGGATTTGTGCCGCATTTCTACGACGTTCTCTCAAGTAAGTTGTCTTGTGGATGGATTTAGCGTTGCAAAAGACATATTTTTCTTTTTTCAGTTGCATGTCTGACTGTATCATTTCATCTTTTAGGGTCCAGGCCATTTCAGATCGGTCTCCAACGCAGCCGACCCTACGTGGTATCTGCAGGGTACTCATAGCACTCTAGCTTGGCTTGTTGGCCCGTTTCAAGAACGCATACCCCCTTGACGCTATGGCGGATCCTGGGCGAACTTCATGGACAAATAATAATGGTCCTGCCGCTACTTTGGAACCTAGCAGCGAAAGCAACAATCATGTCCCTCGCCCCAAGCGCATCGCTTGTATCGTTTGCAGAAGGAGGAAATTGAAATGTGATTCTCAACGACCGAGCTGTGGGAACTGTTCTAGATTAGGTCACGACTGTGCCTATGATGAAGTTCGCAAGAAGAGTGGCCCAAAGCGGGGATATGTGAAGCAGCTGGAGGCACGATTAGGTACGAAGATCCTGATTGCTATTCTCACTGTGTTCTGTAACTATATCTGACATTATTCAACCATTTTGAAGCGCATGTTGAGACCCTTCTGCGGAATCAGGAACCAAATGTCGTTCAACTGCAACCGGCACAAACCCGAGAGAACGTTTCGTTTGCCCCAATGCAGAGCGAATCGATAACACCAGGGCTACTTGATATTCCAGATCTTCCTATCCTAAATGGTATAGAGAATCCAATGCTACAAATTCCAGAAGCAACCGAGTCTCATCAGTTGAATCAAACGTGCATGCCTGGCCAAAGCTTCACCAACGAATTTCAGTGGGAGATGATAGGGTTGGGATTGGAAGAACCTCTCCCGACTCAAGACATTATCGATGAACTGTATGTCTTCCTTGTACTTAAATCTTTGACACAATTCTGATGGCATCCATCCCAGTCATCAAATATATTTCGACAAAGTCCACCATTTTATGCCCATAGTACATCGTCCACGTTATCTCATGACCGCGAACCTCGCCCCTAATCTGCGACCACCTGCTTGCTTGAGATACATTATGTGGTGCCATGCAGCGATGGCATCAGATAAATATTCTTTCCTACACGAAGAATTCTATAGGCGAGCACGCAAGTATGCTGAATTGGATGAAATGAAAGGCTATGGAGAAAGCATTGTCAGTACAGCGCACTGCCAATGTCTTCTGCTTATTGGCACATACGAATTTAAGCGAATGTTTTTTCCACGGGCATGGCTATCTGTAGGAAAGGCCGCGCGGTTAGCACTGATGATGAGTTTTAATCGAATTGATGCTCCAGACCGTGATGGGAAGCAATGTTCTTCGCCGCCAAGAGACTTTTCCGAGAAAGAAGAGAGAAGAAGGGTGTTTTGGTTGTCTTATTGCGCCGATCGTTATGCCAGTATCGGGACCGGATGGCCGATGATAATAGATGAGAAAGATGTTAGTGATGATCCAGCTGTAGTTTGTTGCTTATTACTGCTAACAACAGCCAATAGATCATGGTCAATCTTCCCGCTAGCGAAGAAGCATTTATGCAGAACAAGCCGGAAAGTACGCCGCGTCTCGACGACGCCCTGCTTGGGGATGGGATCTCGTCTCTGTCGTCCATAGGAGGTGTTGTTCTGATGGCATCGCTTTTGGGCCGGAACCTCTCTCATCTTCACCGTCCCGATGAACAAGATAGAGAACACGACCTGAACGGGGAGTTCTGGAAACGGCATAGGGCTTATGACAACATACTGCTCAATATTGCCTTGTCACTACCGAGCCACCTTAGACTACCGGCTGGGATCGGAGACCCAAATGTCATCTTCTGCAACCTAGGCCTGCACACGGCCACGATATGCTTGCATCAGGCCGCTATTTTTAAGGCAGAGAAAAATAAGCTACCTGTTCAGATAATTACAGAAAGCAAACGAAGATGTATCGTTGCTGCTGACCAGACTTCCAGCCTCCTGAAGATGATATGTCATACAGATTTGTCTGGTGTAAGTATCTGGCCACTTGCGCCTGAGGAATTCGCGACTTACTTGCTTATTAGGCAAACCCTTTTATGGCATTCTGTATATATGCCTCGGCCCGGGTCTTCATTCAGTATCTGAGATCCCGCCCACATGATTTGACAGCTCGATCGTCCTTGGAGTTTATTGTCAATATCCTCAAGGCTCTTAAAAGAAAGAACCCATTGAGCGAGTCATTCCTTATGCAGCTGGATGTAGATATGGAAGGGATAGGGTTTCAGATTCCAGGTCTAACAAGAACGCCGCCTGTGACCTCGGTAGGGATTATGCCTTCTATTTTGGAATGTCCACCATGTAATCCAGCCGCTGATATTCCTTGTCTAGGTTGCTTGTAATAGCCCGCTGAATGTTCCAGACCCTAGTCGCTTCACCGTTAGCGATCCCTCGTCTTCAAACATTTTCACGGATAGTTTGCCACTAGACATCACATCGACAAACACATCAGGTGGCTCTCACCCACTATCAACTGTCCCAATGCCAGAAGAAGCCCAATATATAAACCCGATGGCCTTTCAGAATAGTAATCCCATAGCAGGATCTGCTCATCTAACTCACAGCTCTAGCCCGGGAGGTGCAAGGGAAATGGATCTCTCAGAAGAACCAAGAACTGGTGAGAGAAGCAATAACTCACCTTCAGATAACCCAACACCATCGACCTTAAATTCTTCGTCAAATACAAACACGCCCCCTTCCATCTCGAGATGCAATCAGGCCTCTGTCTCATCCTCGAGCGGAGCGGGCCATAACTCTCGTTCCCCAACACACTTGCCTTCGGAAGATAATAATAATACCTTCAACTTTATGAAAGTCCCGTGTGTGAATAAGCTTGCAAAAAGTCGTCTTACAAAAACACCCAGTTCTACTACTGCATCTGGGACTGATCTTGATCTTCCAGTGTTCTCGGCGTGGGACTCTCTATCGACCCCGATTCCAGACCTAGGAAACATCGGCACTCCAGACTCAGCGACTGAGGCTCAATGGGCCCAGATACTCAACGAGTCTGGCTGGGAGAGTTGGCGGGGCTAGCTAGGGCAATTGTATTTTAAGAGGGTAATTTGAAGCGGCGTTTTATCGGAACGGAAAGTACGTTAAGGGGTAATGGATGGTTGGAGTTGGATAACTGCTTTATCCCATTTGAAATGATAATGGATGTTTAATTGGGGACTATCGTTTGGACGCTCATATATCCCGGCGTATATTGACAAGGATATACCAAATCACAACTCTTTTGTTTATTTTCCAACTATGAGATGGATAATTCATTAAGTTCCACTCCAGGACATCTCAGAAGTTTTCCTCATGCTCATGTCCTCAAGACGAACCCGAGATATAATCGTTATGGGTAATGCGGATGATATTAGGAAAATCAAAGACCACCCCCAGCAGCGCCCACAATCTTCAGACCGCCGCTTCCATGCCCATCAGGCGTGGTTGAATATGCCAACCAGTACCTTGACGGATGCCATGCCACAGCAGGAATGCCGGTATTGGACCCCCCGCCGGTGGGAACGGTATAGATGCTTTCACCAGTTTCGGCATGGAAGATCTCCAGCCCATTCCCGCCGCAGCCGGGCTCATCGCAGGCGCCACAGATGAAGCGGCCATCAAAACTCCAGCTGACGCCCCGGACTGCGCCGCCGTTATTACTCGACACTGTACGCCGGCAGACCCAGTCCGTGGTGTCCCAGAGGGATATGAGGGCGTCGCTGCCGCCAACGGCGAGGTACCGGCCTGTCGGCGCGAGGGCAAGAGAGAGACAGGCGGACGTGTGGGCGTGTAGAGTGTGTACGGTGTTGAAGGAAGGATAGGACATGACTTTCACAGTGCCTTCACCGGTAGTAGCGAAGAAGTAGAGGTCTGGTAATTCGGGGGTAGAAATATGATGGGAGAAGGCTGTTGCGTTTGTTTGGATGGGTTGGGGGTGAGATTGTAGGGTTGTATAGGTCGAGTTCACTGAGGTGCCGGCTTTGGCATTGCCGCTCGAGAGAGTAGTCGGACTGGAAGGGGAACTGACAGATATAGGGATTAAGGTATCGTCCTAGCGGGGTGATTGAATAAGTGTGTCCATCCATCTATAACCTGTGCTGTTCATTCTTCCAAGACATACCTGTCTCCCAACTATCACCACGTTGCCATCGGCAGACCACGACAAGGTGAATGCCTCGCCGCCTACATCAAGACGGCTCACGCACGTATTGGCCCTCACATCCCAAAAGCGCACGGTACCATCGGTGGAACAACTGGCTAGCTCCGCGTCGCGAACGGGGTTGAAGAGCACTTTTTCAACGCCAGCTGAGTGGCCGCGTAACTCGGTCGAGTATCGAACATGGGGACGGTCAGGATTCCAGATTCGAAGCGTACGATCCGCAGACCCCGTGGCTATGAGCTGACCAGTTGGATTCCATGCGAGGGTACGAATACTGTCCAAGGAATCCCGATCCAGTCAGCGGACAGTCCAGCGTTTGCGACAGAAGAAAATGAAAACGAAGAAGTTACCCGGGACCTCGCGCGCCAGGATCATGATAACTCTGGGTCTTGAGGCTGCCGAAAGCAAATGCAAAGTGCTCCTTAGGGAGTAAGTTCCGGCGAGGGGGAGCCATCAATGCCTGATGGTGCTGCTGTTGCTGTTGCTGTTGCTCTGAAAGCCCGCATACATGCCCCGAGGGGCCGTTGTCGGCGACGTCGAGGGAGGACTCTCGTGAGGTGGATGGCTTTAGATTTCTGGAGAGATAATAGGTATGAGCTTATCCCAAGGGAATTGGACGCGATACTAGCCGTTGGAGGAGAAAAGAAGAAAAGGATGCAGGCCTCCGTCGTTGCGCGTGTTGCCCGCATGTGTTTTGCGCGCCTGAGGCAGCGATCTCCTTCCACGCATAGTTAACTACTAGTTAGGTTAGTTAGTTATTGCTGCTGCTGACCAACTCCAACAGAGAAACACGACATGGAGTCGCGAGATTCAACAATGATTTATTTCAAGGTTGATCTTGACCTTTGCTCTTTTTATACTGATAGCTGTCGAGTCCTTTGTTCCTGTTGGAGGTGCATGCGTCATTTACTGCATGTGTTCCTTTCATCTTCAATCTATATATAGAGAGCGAATACGGCTCTTCACAACAAAGCTTCACGCCAGGAATTTCTCTTCTCCTCTCTTCTTTTTTGGGGAAAAATGTATAAGATCTCATCCACTGTCCCTTCTTTCTTCACTCCTCTCCCCTTGTTTTCATACCTACCCTAGGTGTAGGTTTGGATTAATAGAGAGTCATTTTCGGAGGCTGCCATCAGCTTCCATGCTGCGAGCATCGAGAATAATGATAGCGTAGTTGAAATCCAGATCAAAGAAGCTCGTTTATTCGAGCCTCCCAGCCATGGACTGCAGTACTGCGAGTCGACTGCGGATTGCGTAACAAGAGCGTAGGCAAAGAGCACGTCCACACCCACACAAATTATTATTAGCAGCTCAAACAGCGTAAGTTCAGGCTTTTCCAGTCGGACAAGGCCATTGTGCTCTTAATACTTATCTGATGCAGCCCTATAGGGTTGGCTTGACAGTCCCACACGAGTTTATTCGGACTTCGCCAGAACAGAGATTTAGCACCGCGTACAAGGCTATCTCGGAATTGAACACGCATAACGCGTTTCATCTTATTTCTTCATTCAATTGGTTCATTGGCTTCATTTACACCGATTACACTTCTCTTCACAGCGGCAGGCCAGTTCCATCGCCATGTTCGACTTCGAAGACGACGACGCGTCCAGACGCGAAAAGAGCTACACGACCGTCACGCAGCTCCCACCCTTTATTGACCCCAAGCAGCCTCCAACGAAAAAGGCGCCCTTCTCGGCCATTTTAGGCCATCAGTTTGTGCATACAGTATGGCTAAATTTCCCCCCGTTATTTTTATTATTATTAATTCCTGACTGACGATGCTGCCTGAACAGGTAGAAGTCATCTTGCCGGAAGGCACTTATAACAAGTTAAAGAATACCCTGCACGGTGGAGTTAAAAATCCTCAGTATGCGAGGGTATTCATGTCTCTTTCTTCTTTGCTTGAGGGCGAATTCTTTAACAGATACATTAAAACTGGTATATACATCCCAAGAAATGCTAATTTACCGAGATAGTGTCATTCGTTCTGATTCTCTTCCACTAGGAAATATTCTTATGATATCCGAAGGACGTTCCGGATCAGATAATGTCTTCATGCTCAGTAATGGTCTGTATCCATACTACCTTTTGCCTGCTGTTCAATGGCTCATTCCTCCTTTCTCGTCAATCTAGGAATTCTAAAACTAGAACTCGGCAAGGAATTGTTTGAGCGGACTGGCCTTACAGGGAAGCCCATCCGCAGTGGAGGAAGGAAACATGCTAAAGAAAGATACCGTACGTCATCAGCTCCAGTCTGTATAATGCCAGTATCAATGATTCACCAACCGACTGTGTGTCAACAGTTGTGCAACTCAACCTGCGGTTGCCCTCAATGCTCCATGGCAAAAAGGGCTTTGAGCGCATTGTATGGGCCTTCAAGAACGTGTTGAACCAGTCTGTAGCCTGGTTGTTCTGTGATATCGAATCGGAAACCGGGAAGATCACAGATGATATACCGCTGAAAATGCACCAGCCCCAAGAAATCCAATGTGATCCTATTGCCACCCATCGTCCAAATTTTCTCGTTCCTCCTCTGGAGAAGATGGATATAAATGAAAATACGCCCGAAGAAGATCTACGAGAAAATTGTGATACTCTTTGCGAGTGGCTTGCTATGGTTTCTCTTGACTCGCCCCGCTTGTCTGCAGATGATAGCATTGATCCATATTTGAGTCGCTATCAAGTGCCATGTGTTGAGGACGCCGCAGCCACAAATCTAATCAGTCTGAAATGGCACGGGCTGATTTCTCCGAAATGGATTGTGAAACTATTTGTCCTGCTCCTGTAAGTTATGCGATACTTCGAAGGGAATCTGCGACTCTGGCCAGTGGTTTCCACGGGTCAACTGTCCCCCATTTAGAAGCGATCTTTACATCGTGCTGACCATCACCATCTTCACAGAAAGGAGACCGCAAAGATCTCCACTTCCCCGGAATGGCTCGCTCTTGCTTCGGCTGCCCTCGGAAGGGATGCTGTGGAGGGAAAGGACGGATACACAATTCTGGCCTTGCCGGCCGCAGGCCAGTCGCATGCTGGTGATAACCAAGGACATACTCCTCCTGGCGCTGCAGAGGCAGTTTTCGAAGAGACCACGAGGAAAAGAGCACCCCAACGGGTCCTCTGTTGGGAGTATGTCGGCGCGTCAATGCTGACATGATAGAACAGCCTGCTTACCTAGACTTCTTCGTCATCATCATACAGAATACCATCTTTCTTGTTTTATATTCTGCTCAATTTAGCACTGCAGACGTGATGACGGAAAACCGCAGAATATGACCCTTCCCTCCCATGGATCTACTGTATATGTCTGAAGGAGGGTATGAACATCCCTTCTCTACTTCCGTCTCCTGCTCTTCTGCTTTCTCCTTCAGCTATCCGGTCATTCACGATACGCCCATATACCTTCGTTTGCACGCGCCTCTCATTCGCTGTCGCGTATTTTATAATCCATCCTTGGTTTAAGACTATTCTTATAGCCCTTCAACTCCACTCGCTTACGTTCCTTCGAATTGGGAATGAGATATCACTGTTTTATTCGGCTTCTCTACATCGTTCAGCGAAGCCAGATTGGTACTCAAGCCTCCTCTCTCGACATGTGGCCTGACTTCGTTGCCGACAACGAGGTCGATACCCTCCGACGCCTTTGCTGCCATGAGGGATAACGAGTTCCTTGAATTTTCGGAGTGCCGATGGCAGGTACTTCCAACCTCGAGTGGGTCGATGCCGATGACCTGACTCAACGATCGTGGCTTAGATGGTTTTAGCTAAGGTAAGAACTACTCCTGCTATATGCCACTATATAGGATTTTTATATTACCGTCAGGGAGACTATCCCCTTCTGGATGCTACCACCCTCATGAGGGTACACGGAGTGATCAGTGAGTATTTCACATCATGGTTGAGCATTCACCTGAGCACTCAGGGAACGCTCAGGGTCTACCCAGTGATCAGTCACATGTTACCATGAGCCGCTCACCTCTATTTTGCGCGGGTTAACCATTTTAAAATTCCCAGGCCTGTCAATTAACCATGCCTATCAATTTGCCCACCAGAAAAATGACGCAAGCAAAAAGCTGATGGTGGTCAAATGGTCCTCCAGTGGCAAATCCTCCAAAGCAAGAGTTATCAGTAGAAAAAGAAATGATGGAAATGAAGTACTATTAATTTTGACAAAGCTATAGTAAAGCCTACTTCCACCCTATCTTGAAGGCTAGCCTTCCACAGGATTTCAGAATTTCACTAAACACCCTCATCTTGTGAATATGCTTCTTTTGTTTTTGCCCAGTCTTGTAGGGGTTTGAATGTAGAATTCATTTTGGTGTTAGATACACGAAGAGTTCCTTGAGAGAAGGAAGAGGACAGGAGGCATTTTCGAGAGACAACGGCATTGTCTACAAGGAAGGAAATAGGCGAGCCAGCATCAAACAGAACAAATACAACAAAAGGGACAGACAGAACAAATGGAACAAATGGAACCAATAGAGCAGGTAGGGTACTCAGGCGTTGGCCCTGAGAGCTAGCTATCTAGGCAGCTATTTGTGAGAGCTTCAAGCATGGGGAGAAAGAAGGAAGGGATCATCATCGCCAGCTTGAATCAACTATGTATCTAAGACCTATCCCATCATTCTCCCTTCTCATATTCTACTTATTTCCTTCCCACCTTCTCCCATATTCTGCACTCACTCAGTCACACCATTTTCGATCTTCCAGCTTCATCCACCCCCACCCCTTTCGCTCCTCCCTTTTTCTTTTGATACTACCCCCTTTTCTCCTCGGAAATCTCAGTTGCGTCCTGTTCTCGTTCCTCCACTTTTCATTTACCTGGGCTGGAATTTGCACTTTATAGACATTGGCCACATCTTTGATTGCAGCAACAAAAATGTTTTCATGGAGACCTAACATTAGGAGCTGTGACAGTAAGTCAAATATCGAGTTCTCTTCATGTTCAATCACAGACTGCTTTCTATATTCAAGTTAGCTTCCAAAGAGTCATCAATGCTGCAGAGAATACCACGTACATTCAAGGCTTCCTATCCTCTCCTTTAGTCTTTAGTATGGAGAAGCGTCACAATGGCAGCTAGAATGTTGTGTGTGGTGTTCCGGCTCCGGATTGCGGACAATGTAGAACTCAACATGTCTCCAGAGTATGGTGTGAGTGTCTTTGTTTCCAGCAAGGTATCCATCATCTGTGATGCTGGAGCAGTCTAACCCATACTGGACATTATTGTCAGTCCAGTCTCCATGGGTTTGTCACGTGGCATATCTTCCATGACAGTCCGCCAGTATCGTAGCCGGAGTCATCCAATGTTTGGTGGCCTGGTACAAGTGGTGAGCATTACCCGCCACTTTGTTCTATTTCAAATGAGCCAGGTTCATAGTCTGCCCGAATTTTGACTGGGTGTCTGGTATCAAATGATACCACCTGACAGGCAGATATGCTGGACAGGTTGAGGCCAGACAGAAGATAGAGTCACCGCTTCTCAGCCCCCGGCCATTCCTCCCAAACGGTCCAAGAAACAAGTGACCACGTATCAACAAGCCATAGATGGCCGTGGTACTCAAGGCTGGAAATTTAATCAATACGAGCAACATCCGAGGCGGCATATACGGAGCTCGAACACATAGATGATACAGCACAACTGCATAACGGCACGGCGACACCCCTAGCGACGAGCTCGCACCTCAACGTGGTGCCGGGGTCTATTAATTCCCATAGCCATGAGGATCAAGCCAAGATGAGCTCCTACTGTAGAATGAGAATAACAGTTCTGAAATAATTACCATAAGCGTCTCTGTTCCAATCATACCCTAATGTCATTGCAAGTGGTAATTGTTGTTTCATCGATGTGTATACAAATTCGTTGACCTTCTGCCAGAGCCGCAGACAGCAGCAACAAACCAACAATATTATATGCCACCAACGTTGTACCACCTATAACAGTACTACTCCAACATTCAAAAATCCTACCCTTCTAAGTTCCCAGACGATACGAAGCCATACCAAACAGACAGACGCCCACAAACCAATATAATGAACAAGGACAGTGAAAAGAAAAAACATGAAATGGAAAGGGCCATGATAATCATATAAATTAATAATAATAACAATAATAATCAGGTTTAACCAACGATATCATTTACCACATCCTGAAGAACGGGTCTACTCCCAAGAATCCTTATAGTGCCGTTAGCGTTCCTCGTGGGACTCAGCAACTTTGCGCCTATCTTGGCGGGTTTCTTTAAAGGTCGTCTATCCGAGGCTGAGTTGAGAGGAGATAATGTCTTTTGGAAGGCTGTAGGTGAGCCTTCTACTCGGCTGCTCGGAGATCTCAGCGGTTTCTTTTTCACGGGGGGGGAAGTTTGTTTGTGCGGTTGGTATATCTTTGTCATCCTCGGGCTGGTTAGCTCTTGCTGTCGTTGGGATTGAGTGGAAGACAAGCCGTAATGTTCGAAGATATGGCATCCCAGCGCGTGTCGGGGTAAATTGTAGACCCAGCCTTTCTCCTCGACTAACCGGACGTATTTCCCAAGTAGCTCATTGCCGTCACGAAGGGTGCTTTTGCTTCCGATGACGAGGAGTTTCGTTCTCGCCCGGGTAAAGGCCACATTGATCCTTCTCCAGTCACGGAGGAGGTCCCCTACATTCTTTTCGGGATTGCTTCGAACGCAGCTGACAATCACGACTTCCTTATCTCGGCCCTGGAACTTGTCGGCGGTGTGCATCTCCAGGTCTGGAATGTGACGGAGGTTCTGTTTCAGGAGGGACAGCTGGCTGCGGTAGAATGTTATGACACCGATCTCCTGTGCAGGAATACCGCAGGATATGAAGGCCTCGACGAGCTGGGAGCACAAAGTTGCTTCAGCGTGGTTTACTATTCGGAGGCCGTGAGCCGTATCATGAGCTGGTGTGACCAGGGAATCAGTGTTGATGAGGCGGCACTTTGCGGACGGGGAGACCACATCGCGAAGCCAACAGCGGGCCTGGACCGTGCCGAGACAGAGATGTTGCTCTGGAACGGAGGAAGACAAAACTTGGTTCAGGACATCGTGGTCCCGATGCGGGTCTAGGTGGTGCCGTTTGAGACCTTCAGGGTTGGGGAGATGCAAAGACCGTGATGCAACTTCAGGGGTGCCGCACCTGAGGCGGCCAGAGTAGATCAGTGTGTTGGAGAGGAGCATGATATCCTCGCACATACGATATTGATGTTCCAACGTAACGACGGAAGACGGCTGCGAATCAGACAGCAGTTTGAAGAGACTGATGTCCAAACCACCTTCCTGTGCTTCTTTGTTTTGTACGAGCGGCGGCAGTTGATAGTGATCGCCAACCAAGATGAAGGACCGCGCCATTCGAATGGGGCCCAGACAGACTGGAAGGGTGATCTGTGACGCTTCGTCGACAATGCAGTAGTCGAAGATGCGTTGGTTGAAAATAGCGTGGTTAATTCCAAGACATGTAGTCGCGACAACCTGTGACTGCTCGTATGACTCCTTCAACTGCTCGATTGACTTCTTGGGAGTCGCTGCAAGGTCGACAAACCCCTGGACCTCCGGATGTACCTTAGCGATGGCACCAATCCGCAAAATATGGATGTCATCATTTCGAAACTTCAGTAGGATGTTATCTACTGCCGTATGAGTGTATGAGGCCAGCAGAACACTCTTTCCCCGAGCCACCAACGCCCGAATAATGTGTGCGATTGTTGTTGTCTTGCCTGTGCCGGGCATTCCAAGTACCAGGGCATAATCACTGGCGCTCATGACTTTGTCAATGGCCTTCCTTTGGTCGACGTTGAGGCTTTCCCTGACAAAAGTTGACATCATATAAGCAGGGGCTGCAGGCTTGAAAATGGGCGGTTCTCCTTCCACGATGAGTCTCCTCAGCTGTCTGGCTTGGAATAGATCTTTTTGCATCATGCAAATGAGATTATTTCGGACAGTCGCCATGCCATTGCTAAATTCATCTTTGTCGAGTCGGTAAACCGTTTCTTTTTCCTCCGGTTCAATTGGAGTGACAGTTGGCAATGGAGTACCATCTTCGACAACCTCCATTATACCCTTGAAGTTCTGATTGTTTTCTGGATCAAATCCTGATGCCCTGGTCCTTACGTTGTGAAGTCTTCGATCGACAGCAACTGTGATGCGCTTGCGGCTGACTTGCACCACATATCCATTCGCAAGAGCGAAGTGGCCGTTCTCATCAGATATTACAATCGGCTCGCCAACAGTGATTTGAGACTCCGCAAAAGAGAAGCTTGAAGAGGCCTGCTTCTTCATGAAGGTGTACTTGTAACGATTGATCTTTGTCCCATCCTTGTCTTCGAGGGCCGATCCAGGTACGATTACAACGTTGCCAAAGCAGCGCCCGAGGGACTCACGCTCGCTGCTTAGCAAAGTCCAAAGCTCTCTGCGAAATTTCATCATGCTTTGCTCCTCTTTTGTCAAGAGCTCATCCCATTTTCTGAAGAAGTTACGATGCTGAGGCCCCAAATGGTCCACGGCACGGACAAACTCGTCACCCAACCCACTAGTCTCTCCGTCACCATCTTCTGCTAATTTATGGTAGATATAGCAGGGAGTCTGCGCATAGCATCTCTTGCACAACCCGGGTTTCTTAACCATTGGTGGAAGTCGCAGTCTTTCGCGCACATATCCAGCCAAACGGTTTCGTTGCTGAATCATTTGGAGAATTTCGTAACGAACGCTGCGTATTCGGAGTGTTCGCGATGCTTCCAAGTAGTAAAGAAGACCGAAAGTAACGTCAACATCTAAAGAGCATAAGTTAATAACCATACGTCCAGTGGAATGGGGTTAGGATTGAAGCTTACCATAACGGTCAGAAAGCAATAAGGTGTAAAGAGCTGTTTGCGCCCTATGGGCTAAGTTCGTGTCTCTCTTCCCTGTCTTCAGTTCAAGAGGGACAACTAGGGATCTCTTGCTTTCCCCGTTATGACAAGCAACCTGAACAGTAGCATCAATGTTTCCCTTTAGCCCATACATCGGAGACCAGATGTGCTCTTCAACCTCGAGCAATTTGCTAATAGTCAAGCAAAACTTGGAACTATTGCGGTCCTCAATGAAAGAGTTCGGCTATTTGTGTGATTGTTAGCTAGGGTTATTGCAGGTAGGTACTCCAGGTCAAACTGATCCTTACCCCTGGTTTGGTTCGAAGATAAGCATTTGCCCACGCTCTCAAATCCGGAATTCTGCTCATAGCATAGTCAACGGCTTCTGGAACGTTCATGTGAACCCCATATAGGTCTTCAAGATGTCGAAGCAGAATGTTTTCGACCAAGCTCCTCAGGGAGTCGGTATCCCATTTATTAGTCTTCATGGCTTCCTGGAAGACTTCATGAAAAACAATTCCAAAAAATTGAGGCTTTTCAATTTCGCCGAAAACCTTAATGCGGTCCTGGAGGATTGCCCTCCGCTGGCAGCTCATCGAGTCTGCTACCACTGTTGCAGAGATAAGGTGGTCGGGATGGAGAATCACCATATTTTCCGCATCATCGACAATGCATTGTCCGCTTGAATCAAAATCTCCAATCAAATGGATATACGAGCCTTTGCTGCATGGACTATCGAACCAAGATTCTCGCAGAATGACTACTTTATGGAGCTCCGTTTTCTCTTCTTGGACCAACAATACCTGTCTTACAATGTTAGCAAAGGGGTAATGGCTATAATGGAAGAGAACATATATTGTGACTGACCTGCTCTGGCTGGCCGCGTCCTTTCTGGGTGACATACGTATTCTGCGCAATATCAAGAATAAGATACCCTTTGATAGCTCGTCGACTTTGAAGTTTCTATTTGTAAGATTCCTCAGTTAATGTCTAACAATTATCAGCATACATGTCCAGGGCGACAAACTTGATTCGATCCAACTTTTCCGGATTGTACCATAGACATGGACTGTTCGAGAGCCTCTATATCAAATTCATCATCGCCAAATTCATCGCTAGAATGTGTTTCATGAGACTCGCTAGCCTTGGTCGGTGGCATTCCACTTGTCCCAAAGCCTGATGCACCATTGGTCGCCCTCAGTACTCTAGAGGCTGACTGCTCTCCGATAACGGAGTCCATCTCTTGAATAGCGTTCGGATCCTGTTCATACTTAGCTAGAATCTCCTCTATGTTTTCCGGAAATCCTTCGTAGCCGTCTTCAAATTCATCAGCATCATAAGAATCATCTTCCTTGATTATATTTTGATTCGAGACCGGATTATTGGCTTCAGAATGACTAGGAGAAACATCCCTCGGGCGTTGAGGTTCCATCTGATGGAGATTCGAGCAGCCTTCTGTATTGTCGTGCTGTCCCGTCAAACCCTCCAGTGAACCTATCGAGGCTTCGGCCATTTCCAAAAACTCCTGGTCCAAATCGTCGTCCCCATAATCAGAGGAAGAAGACTCTTGAAGAGGAACTTCCCTTAATTGGTCAAGACCATTGTCATCATTCGCAGGCTTGCTCATTTTGTTAGCCTTCCTAGCAGCACGAAAACCCTTCTTCCCTTCCACCGGGGATGGCGACCGACTTCGTATTGCATCAGAGCGCATGGGTAAAGGCGATGAGCTCGACGGTCGTTCGACATGACGACCCGACGGTTTCTGTAAACTTCGCTCAATCTTTTCGAGAAGAGAATTGATCTTAAATGATTTAGATTCCCCTGAATCGAGTATGTTGCTCTTTGTCCGAGAGAAAATGCCCCGACCAGCGCCGGCATCTTCTCTCCATATTCTTCTCCTTTTCGCATTAGAAATAGGCCAATCGGCATTGCAACTGGTTGATCTTCGTAGGCTTGAAGAATCTCTGCTTGTTTTGGCCGCCACTGGAGTCTGTGGCGAGGATGAAAGGAGATTGGCGAAACGAGGAAGCAAATTCCCATTGTTATCGACGGTGCTTTTCCCCACATAACTGCTCCATAGTTCAGCAGCAAAGTCATTCTGTGGGGTCCTGAGCATTGACTGAATTGATTGCGGGTCAAATGGTTCTTTTATGCCTTTTAGACTGTCTGTCAATGGCGAACTGGTTGGGGACGAGCTATGACGACGCTTTTTATCGCGGGTGGCAGACGATTGAGACGCATCCGAACTTGAGCTTGCGGGTACATGCTGCCAGATTACATGATCAATGGGCGTGCATTCCTGTTTTGGGGCGTGATTGAAGGCATCTTCAGTATTGCCAATAAGGTCTGCGAGGGGAATCCTATTCGCCGGCGTCTTAGGACATTCTTTGACAACTTTGGCTTCTTTTATTTGAACTAATGCCTCGCCGTTGTCATGTAACAAGTCCACTGACTCCGCCACGTCAGTTTCCAGTAATGCTTGGTTTTCCTTGTTCTCGTAGTCTGTCTTCGATGGCGTTTTGAACTCTGACTGTGGCACTTGGAGATCTGCTGCGTCTTTATTGTCATATAAGAAGGCATTTAATTTTCTGCGAGAATTTGAGGAAATGGGGTATGATCCAGAATTCGCAGCCATCATATGAGGACGAGAGAGGGACTTAATTATTCGTGGCGGAATTGGTGGGCATTTCTATCGTAGAAAGGTCATGATTAGCACTTTCTAAAGTGGAGATTAAGGAAAGAGAGCAAACCTGGTAGATGGACAAAAAGGGAATGAGAATAAAAAAGTCCGTGCAATAGTCTGGTGCTCCGTAATGGACTAAAGGTCTCCTCAAGGCACTGCAGTGGGTATCTGTTGCTTTACGGAGAGTACTTGAGACCAAAAGAGGCATATTATTGTGATGAATCGAGACGCGTCACGCGTCTCCGTGTTTATGCCTTGGCATTAAGCCTTGTAATTCAGGCATGCATCCACCGGACTGTTAAACCGGGATAAAGTGGGTGATGTCCCAATCAGGAATAGCGGCTTCCAGTGACTCCTTAGCTCCCATCGGCCTTGGACGGCTCAGAAGATTAACGACCGACCACCAACAGCACCCCTCCACTCCTCAAGATCTCGACAGGCAGGAGTCCAATTCCTGAAATCATTCAATTGAGGCGCACCTGTCATTTCGCTGGACGAAGCGGCTTTTGGCTTTCCAGCATTCTAACGCCGAAGCGAACACCGACAACTTAGTCCGAGTTCTTGATCGCACTTACGATTCGGCTTGCTATTGTCCTTCGAAAGTAGTATCAAGCCCATTTTCAGCCAGACATTTCATATTTCGCAATGTCCGTCCGAGCATTGTCACGGTCCCTTCGTGTTCTCCGGAAGCCGCAGAATATCCAGGCGTTCTCGACTCGGAGCAACCTCCGTGCCGCCGACCATGGCGACCACTACGATCCCCCGACCGGTTGGCTTTTCGGTGTCAAGCCTGGCCAGAAGTACGTGAAGGAGGGCTGGGAAAATATTTGGTATTTCGGTTTCGTTGGAAGTCTGCTCGTGGCTGGTGTTGCATACGTTTTCAAGCCCGATACTTCGTATGTTCTCCCATTTCCCCATACTGGCCCCATCGCGCACGAGAAATACAGGAATATTTACATTTATCTTCTTGCTTTCTGAACGGTAACTGACTTTGTGAACAGGATACAGACATGGGCACTGGAAGAGGCACGAAGGAGGCTGGAAGCTGAGGGCATCTTAGAGGATCCAGAAAAGGATCAGAAGAACTAAGATAGTTCATTTGGATGCCCGATTGCCCCTGTACTATGTACATAAAGATGCCTGATGTGGGAAGAATTCTAGACCGAGGTTTGCATTATCTACCGAAGCAGAAAGAACGGATTGGTCGTACTATACATCCGTCGTCAATTGTTCCCCCTTTTTTTTCCTTTTCGTCGTTTGCTCTACCAGAGCTGCTTTCATGTTGGCAACAGATGGTTACAAGGACTATGGGGATGAATAGCAATCAGCAACTATAAGTAAAGATGATTCTATTCGAACCGATGTATGTGATATGATGTTCTATATTAATTAATTCTGTGTGTAAGGGGGTAAGAGCATCTATAAAATGTGCTGCGCTCTTCTAGAATCCCGACTTACACAACGGGATATATGTCTGTCCGCCTGAGCAGAGGCATTTCGCTCCTGACCTTATTTAGAAGATCAAAATCGATAACCGCAGTCGCAATCTGTGGTCCCTTATACTCATCATGAAGCTGCGCCACAACTTCTCCCCATGGATTGACAATCATCGAATGGCCATAGCTTGTTCTTTTCTCATTGTGAGGGCCAGCCTGCGCTGCAGCAATCACATACGACTGTGTCTCAATAGCTCTTGCACGAAGCAATGATTCCCAATGAGCCTTTCCTGTTGGAACAGTAAATGCAGATGGATATGTGATTATCTGCACATTCTGACGTCTTAAAGCCAGACTGATTTCAGGAAAGCGTAACTGCGACGATAGTCAGTGGGCAAAGGTGGCTTCGCAGATAAAGCATATCCAACTCACATCAAAACATATAGCGAGGCCTACGCGACCTACAGGAGTATCGAAGGGGGGCAATATTTCCATTCCTTTCTCAACACTCCTTTGCGACGTTGACCATCGATATCAGCAACCCGGGGAAGCTATAGGTATCTGCTGAGGGATTTATAGAACTTACTCGCTCTCTTTGAGTACTGGCCCACCCTTGATTTCTACATCGAATAGGTGAATCTTTTGATAACGCTGTGCGATGTCCCCATTCTCATCAATCCATATCAGGGTATTCTTCACCTTCTTGCCTCCCGGAGTTGGCTCATGGATTCCGACATTGATATGTAACTTTGACTGTCGGGCCTCATTTTGAAGGCCCAATACAAATTCGCTCTCCTGCACGGAGCGTACAAGGGATAATGATTCCGCTGCGGAGGAGCTGATATAGTCCGAAGCCTCGGGAAGAAATAAAGCCTGTTAAAGCATCAGCTACGCGTACTGCGTTCAATGCTTCGGGACGTACCTTAGCACCAGCTGAGACAGCCTTTTGTACCAGTATTCGACACTGTACGAGGTTTGCTGACATGCTCGCAGTTGCACATAACTGCCCCACGGCCTATCGATTGGGGTTAACTTAGCAGTGGTGAGGGCAAAAGTAGATTGATAGTACGGAGTACATACTGCGATAACCATTTTGAAGTTGTAGATCTAAACACTTTTTTCCCAGCTTAACTAAACAAGAGCAAATGGGGAGTTTCATGAAAACACTGATTTTTGAAGCATTTACTGTTCTCTGGTTGATACATATTGCACCATTTCTCTCCGCATAACTAGTTAACTATGCTACATTACTCATCAACGCTATCAGTTGATATCGGGATTTCCTAATTTGGCGACTTGAATTTGTCTACGATATCCAACTATTCGTCTGGGAACTTTTCCGCCTGAAGGAACAGAACGGACTCACAATTTAGTCTCTATTCGCAGACCTTGTTTCTGTTCCTGATATTCTACCATTCTTAACCTCCAGTGCTGTGGGCGAGGTCTTGTCCAGAATGAAGAGCTTACGAAGAGATTTCTCTTCGAACCCGCAAGCCGCAAATGTCACAAGCAAAGTCTTCGTGAGATCCACAAAGAGTGGAAAAGTGCAGAAGATTGTTCGCGAGCTCTATCTTAGACAAGATATTCCTTGCTCATCAAGGCTCTGTTCCATATGCCCGTCAACGGCGCCGGTGGATGCAAATGGGAACAGTGAGAACACAAAACTAAACTCGCTTAATCATGAAGGCTAATGCGAAATAGTTTCACCCTTTGTCCTTTCGGAACACCCCGCTGGCACGAAATCCTTTCCTCGAGGTCACTATATTGTTCCTGATACAAATGCGTTGTTGAATGGAATGGACCTTTTCGAACACACCGGGGCGTTTTACGATGTGATCATCCTTCAGACAGTCTTGGAAGAATTGAAGAACCAGTCCCTACCTCTATACAACCGCTTGTTGTCCCTAATAAAGACCGATGAGAAGCGCTTCTACCTTTTCTTCAACGAATTTCGACTGGAAACGCACGTGCGACGGCAACCAGAGGAGTCCATTAACGACAGGAATGATCGAGCAGTCCGTACTGTGGCAAAATGGTACTCGGATCACCTTCGTGCTGCTACAAAGAAAACAAAGAAGGAGAATTCAGTTCCAGCAATTGTTGTCATTACTGATGACAAAGAGAATTTACGCAAGGCCAAAGAAGAGAATGTAGAAGCTCTGTCATTGTCCGACTATGTTGAGGGCCTGGAGGACTCTGACAAATTGCTTGACATGATCAGTGAAGCAAGGGAAGCTAGAGATACAAAGGTGGCTCGTGGGGAATTGTTTTACCCCGAATATTACTCAATGTCGAAGCTCATGACAGGATTGAGGGCTGGTACTTTACATCAGGGCGTATTTAACATTTCGCCATACAACTACCTTGAAGGCACGGTTAACGTTCCGGCATTTAATAAGCCGCTTCTGATTCTCGGACGCGATAACAGCAACCGCGCTATTGCTGGAGATATCGTCGTGATAGAAGTATTACCGAAGGACCAGTGGAAGTCCCCTTCTACGAAGCTTGTGGACGAGGAAGCACTGACTAGGAATGACAACCCTGATACAGAAGAGGGGGAGGCGGTTGTGACTGAAAGAGAGCGGAAAGCGCTCCAGGAAGAGGTCAGGAAGGCTCACGGTAAGAACGTCGAGGGAAAGCCCCAGCCGACAGCTAGAGTGGTTGGCGTTGTCAAACGAAATTGGCGCCAATACGTCGGTCATGTCGATTCGAACTCTACAGTGTCCGGGACCGGCACTGGCCGGCGTCAACAGAACGTATTCGTGCTTCCTATGGACAAGCGGATTCCGAAGATCAGAGTTCGGACAAGACAGGCCGCTGATCTGTTGGGCCAGAGGATTCTAGTCACAATTGATGCTTGGAGCCGAGATTCTCGGTACCCAACAGGCCACTTTATACGGGCCTTGGGTGAATTGGAAACTAAAGGGGCAGAGACCGAAGCCTTGCTTCTAGAATATGACGTACAGTACAAACCATTCCCCAAGGCCGTTCTAGACTGCCTGCCATCAGAGGGTCATGGATGGAAGGTTCCTGCTAGCAAAGAGGACATCGGTTGGAGAGGGCGAAGGGACTTGAGAGACATTCTTATATGCAGCATTGATCCACCGGGATGCCAGGATATCGATGATGCTCTCCACGCGCGGCCTCTCCCCAACGGAAATTTTGAAGTCGGCGTTCATATTGCAGATGTGTCGCACTTTGTCAAACCCAACAATGCGATGGACTTTGAGGCGAGTCTTCGTGGAACAACAGTCTACTTGGTGGACAAGCGTATTGACATGCTTCCAATGCTACTTGGCACGGATCTATGCTCTCTTAAGCCGCATGTGGAGCGCTATGCGTTCTCTGTACTATGGGAGTTGACACCTAATGCGGAAGTCGTCTCGACAGACTTTACAAAATCCGTGATCTTCTCACGCGAAGCGTTCAGTTATGAACAGGCACAATTGCGCATCGATGATGCATCTAAGAACGATGATCTAACGCAAAGCATGCGTACATTGCTTCACTTGTCCAAAGTCCTCCGTCAGAAGCGAATGGATGCGGGAGCATTGAATCTTGCTTCACCCGAAGTCCGAATCGAAAGTAGTGACGAAGTTGGCGATCCGCTTTCAGATGTTAAGACCAAAGCTATGCTCGCCACTAACAGTTTGGTGGAGGAATTCATGCTTCTCGCCAACATCACCGTTGCCTCGAAGATCTACAGTGCCTTTCCCCAGACAGCCATGCTACGAAGGCACGCTACTCCCCCCCAGAACTTCGAAGAACTCGCCAGGCAACTTTCTAAGAAGCGAGGGATGGAACTCGATGTTTCTAGCTCCAAGGCACTCGCTGACTCCCTTGACCACTGCGTCGACTCAAAGAATCCTTTCTTCAACACTCTTGTCCGCATTCTGGCCACTCGTTGCATGACATCTGCAGAATATTTTGCGGCTGGGGCTCATGCAGAGTCAGAATTTCGCCATTACGGTTTGGCGTCTCCAATTTATACTCATTTCACATCTCCAATCAGACGATACGCCGACCTAGTCGTCCATAGGCAACTTGCATCGGCCATCGGCTACGAGGGTGAAGACGGCCGCGCGGCGATCGAAGGAGTTACGACGCGTCACAAACTCGAAGAAATTTGCCGCAATATAAACTACAGACACCGGAATGCGCAGTTCGCCGGCCGCGCCAGCATCGAATACTACGTCGGCCAGGCACTGAAAGCACGTGGGGAAAAGCTGGTAGTCGAAGGAGTCGACTCAGGCATCGATGAAGAGGGATATGTGATGCGCGTCTTCGAGAACGGTGTGGTCGTTTTTGTGCCACGGTTTGGTATCGAGGGTGTCGTTCGTCTCGAGGACTTTTTGCTGCCGGGCGAGACGGCTACAAAACGGTCCATTGAGGAGGCAAGGGAGCTCGCTGCGCGACGAGAAACAGAGTATGATAATGAGGAGTATACTCTCCGTGTATCTGAGAAAGGACAATCCGCGAAGGAACGAAGTGTTTCTGTGGCGCTTTTCCAGAAGGTCAAGGTCAATGTTAGTTCAGTGAAGGAGGAAGGACGGGGGGCTGGAAAGAGGAGAGTCCGGGTCCTCATCACAGGGGTGGAGGCTTGAGTTCGTGACAGCGTGCAGCATCCCATGGATAGAATGAAGTATTAATGTGAGAGATACCAAGAACCGGCGTCCGAAGAGGAAATAGTTAACGTAATCGGTAAGCGAACCGGCCACGTAAACGAACCGGCCACATCTCCCAAAAATAACTCTATATATTGATTTCAAATCCCAATTTCAAATCCACATACAAAATGTATACAAAAATCTAACTAGCATTACGATTAGGACATCTGTTAATTCGATGCCCAATAACTCCACAACCACTACACTGAAATTGGCGTCGTACAATTGTTTGAGAGGCTGGGAGCTCCGGCTCGGCCGGAGCAGTAGTAACAGCTTGAGATGCTTCAACCTGACCTTGTACGAGCGCTTGAGCTTCTTCTCTAGTAATCCCTTGCTCAGTAGATATCTGTTTCTTAGATCTTTGGCATTTTTGCTTCTCTTTTTCATTCGCAGCTCGAAAATCATGGCTTTCTTTCCGTACGAGTAACAGATCATTCATTGTGATTTCATAGGCTTTTGACATCCGCGTAATTACTTGATCAATCACTTGATTTGGATTTCCTGTACATTCACTTATACGTCTCTTTAATGTAGTTGACTGGCGTAGGAATTGACGTATATTTTGAGGTGTCTGTAAACAGGATGATTGTGTATTGCTGGATTGACTTGGAGGGGGGGTTGGCGTTTTCAATTGAATATTAAGTTGTTGAATAACTCGATCCGGATTGAAAGGCACTAATCCAGTGGCTGTGAAGCTATTCCGGATAGTTTGAGCTTTATAGGCCATCGTACGAGCCTGTGGAAATGCTGTTAAAAAGTCAATTTTGTCAATATGGTTGAAGCCAAGCCTCATTCGCTGCTCAACAAGCTGCCCATAATGCCGTTTTAAAACAGCAAAACAGCCAACATCAAGAGGCTGTACGAGATGTGAAGAATGAGCTGGCATACAGACTGGAATAATACTATTCTCAGTACATGTACGGTCAAATTCTGGTGTTAAATGGCTTCCATGGCCATCAAGAATCAACATAGCATATGTTCCCAATGTATGAGCATGAACAAGAGGAATAAAATGGGTTTTAAGCCATTCTAATCCTATTTGATCTGTAGTCCAGCCATTTTCACTAATATTGATTCTCCAATCATCTGGGAGCTCATCAAACCAGCCTAATCGTACATTTTTTTTGGCTTTGAAGATAATGTACGAAGGCAGGGCCCATCCAGTTGAATTTGTTGCTTCAATTGCAGTCACCCATTCTCGATTTCCAGGTTGTAAAAGCTTTGGCCGAGCGTATCGATCGCTTCCAGTAATAACCTTTGCAGTTGCGCAGAGTCCCATAGCAAAGCCAGTCTCATCAAAATTGTAGATATCTTCTGGTAGGATTCCGTACGTAGATATAGTAGTCTGTACGCGGTCAAAATATTCTTGAATAATCTTCGGATCTTCACATTTCGCATGTTCATAATTGTATCTTCGTGAGAACTTTGAACTGATCTCTGGGCGACGTTTAACAAGATTATATACCCATTTTTCTCCAACCCGTTGATCTCCAGATTGTGAGAGAAGATAATTGGCCATTTCTCGTACGAGAGAGTGCCGGGGGGTAATCCACGTCGATCTAAATCGAGCACCCATTTGACAAGCGATTCCTCCTCAAATTGAGCTAATTTATGGTTGTTGGCGCGTATTAGCTGTCGATATTGTCTTCCCTTTAATCGATCCTGAAGAGTTGTACGAGGGATTGTATAGATTCGTGCAGCTTCACGAATACTGCGAATTTTTCCATTTTTCAAGTCGGAAATAGCTAATTCAATCTTTCCCTCTATTTGGGCTATTTGTAATGGATCTTTTTTGCGAATTTGTGGCATTTTGACGCGTTGAAATATAGTAAATCAATATATAGAGTTATTTTTGGGAGATGTGGCCGGTTCGTTTACGTGGCCGGTTCGCTTACCGATTACGTTAACTAGTTAGACCCTTTGATTACATAATACATACAATAGCCCGAAACGGTATCGTTGCTGGGACGACATCACGTGCTTTTGTTTACTTTGCACTGTTTGCAGAAGATTCTAGTGCGGGATCCCAGCCACCCGATTTGGAAGGAGGCCATAGCTCCTCTGCCTTCAGCAGCTCTCGATGCTAACACGATCGTCGTCTCTTTCTGTACTCTTGTCTCTTTGCGTTGTATTTTCCTTTTGATGACTATCAACAGTTCCCCTGAGTTTTATTAACTATATCCTTTTTATCTATATGCTTTTGCCCCTAGTCAATCCGTCCCCTGCATCCCAGGCTATTGGGTATCTATCACACCACATGTCGTATGTGCTGGCTTAGCTCCGCTACGTCAGTAGATACTTGGATAGTACCCCCGTGCAGCGCAGTGTCGCAACATATCTGCCTCCTAATCACAACCACAGTGTCTACATTTTCAAATCAAGTGTAACCTGCCTGGTTGCGGTTTCGGAGGGGGAAAATGATGCACAGAAACAGGTCGAAGGACTCGCAGCGGAAGAGCTCCCCGCCCGGTCCTACATACATGTCGAATGACCAAATTGGTAAACACTTTTCTTTGCCCTTTGAGAACCCAGTTCATCGATCCCCTGCTGATTTGAACCAGCAAACTATCTGAGTGATCTCCGGACAAATCGCCCAGCTCGCCCAAATGGATCCAGACCTCTCCCGACCAAACCCCCAGCGTCTATGTGGAATCGTAACCGGGATCTTCCCCCGCGGGCCTCATCTGCCATGTCCTCGTATACATACTCGGGTGCGCGGCCATCGGACCCTGACAATGAGAATGGTCGTTCAACCAGCGCTCTATCCCACCGTCGCCCTGACTCCATGACATCCTTCGGTAGCTCAGCTGGCCGTCCACTAGTTCAAGAACCGGCGACAACACCAGTCCGGAAACATGTTTCACCAGCACATGCTAGTATCAGATCAGGTTCTGTCTCTCCTTCCGCTACGTACCGAGAGAGTCCTTATCGGCGAATGGAAAGACAAGAGGCGCGTTCGTTGCGAGATGCCCTAGAGGAAATGGACCTTAGGGATGAGGTCCGGATTTATAACGCAGCACAGGATGAAGCTACGGAGCTTGTGTGGAATCATATACATCCCGGAGTACCGTTCAAAAACTCACGATCAGAGTTTCGCAACCCTGATTTGGACAGATCGAGCAATGACACAGTGAAAAGCGGCCATACTAGGAGCGAAAGCTTAAGGGGACCGAGAGATTCTTTTCGCGCCCGTTCTGGTTTGAATTTCTCCTCGCTTAGACACAATAACTCCGAAAGAAGGGGAAGGACAGTTTGGGAAGAAGATATTTCCACGGACACGAAGGATGATACGTTGCGAAGAAGGAACAGAGTGAACTTTGCATTACCACTAGAGGATCATCCACCAAGTGCTGAATTTAAAAGCAACTTGCCAAGACCAAGGAACACCAGCAATGATTCGTCCAAGGGCATTTTCAGAAATCCGAATGATCAGATATATGAAGAGCCCCAGGAGTCCCCTCCGCGGACAGAAGAAAAACATTTGTTTGCTCGATCCTACCCGTCAGCTCTGAAAGCAAAGCCTCGAAACTCTCTTCCCCGAGGATCGCGACCGCTCCCAAGTCGATTCAGCAACCTCCCCTTAGTTGACAAATTGTCCCGGTTCGAACTTCACAAGCAGTCACCCAGCCAGTCTAGGAATCCAGAATACACGACTAATGATTCGATTGCGGAGACTATCCCTGAACAAGAGAAGAACAAGGCCCCTACTAAGAATGGCATTGAGATCCGAAGTGATGATATCCGTGCGGCTACAAGTAAAAAGCGGGCAGATCGAAGCAGCAATTTGCCAATGCCGACTGCCGTCAGTGATCGACCGGGCCGACCGATTGTGAGCTTTGATCGAACTTGGAAACCGGCTGAGGCACCATCGGTGAGAGACCGGGATATTCTCAGTAAGCGAGATTCTTCTCCGTCGTCTCCACCAGCTGCGCCTGCTGCCCCAGAGATCCACATATCAGAGGAGCCGCCTATACCAGTTATCAATATCCCTGCAGACAGGGAACCTACTATATCCGAGATGATTGCGTCTCAGTCTGCCCAGAAAGATGACCGCCCATCATCAGATCAAGCAAAGAGCCGAAGTAGAATTCCCTCCCCCCAAAAGCCCGCACCTGCATCGCAGGACAAGTGGTACACTCGCTACACAAGATCGGGAGTTCCGACTGCAACATGCGCGGCCTGTTCTCTGCCTATAGCGGGGAAAATTGTCACTGCTGCAGGGACACGTCTTCATCCAGAGTGCTTTGTCTGCCACCATTGCCAAACTCAACTAGAATGTGTTGCGTTTTATCAAGAGCCAGACAATAAGCGAGCTGAGAGACTCGCTCAAGCCTCTGCTGATGATGAACAGGCGCAAACTTTGCGGTTTTACTGCCATCTTGACTACCATGAACTATTTAGCCCACGATGCAAAAGCTGCAAAACCCCAATCGAGGGAGAGGTAGTCATAGCATGTGGCGCTGAATGGCATGTCGGCCACTTCTTTTGTGCCGAGTGTGGTGATGTACGACTCGTCCTCCATGTGTGCTTGTGTTACTCGTGTATGCTAACTTTCTCTTTCCTTTCGTTTCACAGCCCTTCGACGCCAAGACGCCGTTCGTCGAGAAAGATGGCTTTGCATGGTGCCTCGGATGCCATTCTCGCCGCACTGCTCCGAGGTGCCTAGGCTGCAAACAACCGGTGCTGGACGACGTTGTCGTATCCGCAATCGGGGGACAATGGCACGATAAATGTTTCGTTTGCAACGAGTGCAAGAGTGAACTTGGAGCCGATGGTCGATTCTTTGTGCGAGAAGGCGAACCGAAGCGAACAGGGAAGGGTCGAATTATCGGCGGTCCTGTGCTATTCGCTGTATGCGAGAGATGCGAAGGCATACGACTGAAGGCATCGCCGCCGCCGATGAAATGATTCTCAACTTTCAGAACATTTTTGATATATATATGAATTGAATACGACAAATTCGCGACAACAAATGACTCTAGGGAGAAAACTTGATCTATGAAGTATGGTATTGGAATTGGTCAGCATGCTACCCTCCTTTTTCTTCCTTGTTCAAACCATTTGAATGCATACATTTGATAACTTAAACTGTTGGGCGGCCTTTCAGTTATATTGGAGTTTATATCGTGTAGGATTTTAGCGAGCGAGGGTTTACTTGATTTCTTTTGTGTTCTATTTAAATGGAAAGCAAGCATGCTGCAGGCTCACACGAGTTTTTGCTTTTTTACTTCCTCGAGTCTCCAGGGTACTAGTTGAATTGTACTTCATACAACTCCTTTTTGACATCCCAAAAAGACTCTAGTTAGGGCACAAAGCACACAAAGATATCATTCACTGTAATTTTGAATGCAATATCCTCTGAAGGCATTTCACTGTTCTGTCTCTCTACTTCTCCTTTCAAGGCCACTCCGGGTCAGCCTTCCGCCTGAAAACAGCGACATACTTATTCCCCTTGTTCCTGGTGACCTTCTTTCCTTCTTCTGTGCCCTCCATCATAACTTTCACACATGGATCCTTTTCTAGCTCCTCTTCGGTCACACGTTCCCAGAGTTCTCCGATCCCGGTTTGCTGGCCTTCGTTATTATCTGTCTCGGTTCCACCAGCCTCGCCCGTGGTAGCAGTGTCAGAAGCACCGTCATTATCTTCCCCATCCTCGGAAGTAGAGGCCTGTTTGAAATGCTTCAGAACCCAATGATGGTACTCCTCCACGTCAGTAATTGTATACAACAGGCCCCCGGGCCTGAGGACGTATGCATATTCTGCATTCAATGTTTCTGAGATAATGCGAGCTTTATGCTTGCGAGCCTTGAAGTGCGGGTCTGGGAAGCAGATGAAGATCTTGGAAAGTTGATGGCGGGCGAAGAAGTTAGGGAGAAATTTCATGGTATTGCTTCTTAGAGCGGAGATATTCTGGTAGCCACCTTCTACCGGCGACATGTCAGACTGGTTCATGTCACTGTTATTATCGTTCGCCGTGGTGTGTTCTTTTGGATCCTCGATGGGTTCGGACTGCGAGGGCGTAGGAGTGTGTGTATTTGTGCACGCAGCCTTCAATTTCTCTTGTTGGGATCGTAGTGCCCTGATGCGTGATGTCACATATTCCAGGACTTGAGGTCGGATTTCAATGCCTGCATATAGAAGAAAGGACCGTATAAGAATCGCCATTCTCCCATTTACTGCGCGGTGGATCTCGACAATGCAAATAGACACTCACCGACCATCAATGCATTAGGCAGAATGCCCGCAAGCCCAATAAGTAAACCTCCGAAGCCGCATCCGATATCCACGACCTCAACATCCTTGACGAGTTTCTTGGCGCCGCTTAGATTCGTCTTGGTCGGATCCTTGTCCACGTATGCAGGGAAATGAGACGCCCAATCCATATGAGCTGGGCTGATGGGACTATTTCATCTCAATTAGCAAGACCGAATCAGGGATATTTGCATCTCCCCCCACCCAGCTAATTTCCCCAATCCGAGTAAGCTATCGGTTTAACATACTAATCCAACCGATGATCCGAAAAGGGATTCGCATGCGCCCGCTGCCGGTAGAACTTTTTCTTGGGCATTTTGATCTCCTTATCTCCCTGTACTTCGCCCCCTAGGACTTCATTTGCGGCTTCCAAATGTGCCTTGCGGTATTCTTCGCGCTTTTGGCGTTTCAGCGGCGGCGGCACGCTCGGTGAGTCTGCTGTCGTCATGATAGGATGCGGTGTCGAAAGAAGACAGGAATATAGTAATTGATATAAAGCCCTTGGGCGTGTGATATGAGAGAGTCTGCAGGTCAGCCTTGGGAGGAACAATGGCATATGAAGCTATAGCGGAGGAGATTTCACTTCCGTTCTGAAGGTTATTTTTCTGCAGCGACTTTGATGCGATCCAAAAGCTCCACTGATTATCGGTAATTACATTACCAAATGTTGGTAATTTAATACCCACCGCCTTATATACCGCTGTACATACCGCCGCATGGTTGGGCAGGCAATTCGGCGCAGAAGCGCGGGGTTTCGGCCATGTCATTCAAGACTTCAAGACAAGAACGACACGTTTCCCATCAGAAACAGGATGAATATCCAAGAAATCCAGCAAGATCTCACTGGGATTTCACAAAATCCATTCAAGTTTCCCGCGACCTATTCTTTCCCACCCTTCTTCACACCCCAACCTAATACATCCACGCGCCAATCCCAACTCCAAAAATGGTCCTCCTTGATCCAAGCCTGGTGTCGCCATCATCGCATCTTCAAGCTCTCGCTGATAGAGGCTGTGGATAGCCCTCTGTTTCATAATGCTGTGCTACGGAAACGGGTCAGTCTAGCTGAAGCGAGGAATATACTGGATTGGATGACGAAGCCGGAATACGCCGGCGACGGAGGACCAAGGGCGGAGTGGGATAGCAAGAATAAAACGGCGGCCTGGATTTGGTGGAAGAGACCTGAGGAGTGGGCGGAGGTTATTCTGGATTGGGTTGGTTTTTTGGCATTCTTAAAAAAAAAAAAAAAAAAAAACTCTGTCGTTGTTTTTACTGACTAGTTGTGGTGTTGTAGGTTGAAGGAACGGGTCAGAAGAATATGGTGCTTACGGTGTATGAGTTAGCGGAGGGCGAAGGGACTAGGTTACAAGGTAATTATCCTTCTCAAGCGATGCATATGTTTTCGGTGTACTGACTCGTAACCCAGAATTCCACGGCATGGACCCAGAGGTCATGCTTAGGTCTTTAAATGTCCTCGTCAAGCGCGGAAAGGCCCAGGTCTTTGGCAGTGAAGGCCAGGAAGGCGTCAAGTTCTTCTGAAATCCAACGTGGACATTCTCAACTTGCATCTACATCGAATTCATCGATTCTGGGTATTCCGAACAAGTCAAAACTAGACAAAATGGGTCTCAATCTATCAGTCATTCACATGAAGAAAAAATCCTGCAAAAAAAAGTGCAAAACATGCGCCCGAACGATGCAAGACGCTATTTGAACACCAAAGATACACCTTCCGATTACCCCATACTGTCTTCATTCAGCAAATATTCATCTGCTGGGTGCAGCTTCTGGGACATGGCGATATCAAGAAGCCAATCGACACGGACAATTCGTGGTTTCCTACCAAGTTCCTCTACCATTTGACGGAACCGTGGCCAAAGCTTCTGTTGATCGGGTGCAACACTGCTCAGAAGATAGACTTCATCATCAGGTTTGTCCACCTCCATATCGTCGTCATCTCGCGTATCTGGACGGTACTTATGCGGTAACGAAAGGCGGCCACGGAAGAGGGAACATTCGCCTCCGTTTGCCTCCACTATTGACTTGAACGTATCAAAGCCTCCACGGATGGACTCGACACAGCAGATGTGGTTGCCTTGGAGGAGCTTGTTTTTGTTTTTCTTGGCTCTGGCGACGGCATCTGCAAGCGAAAACTTGAATTTTTCCTCCGCTGTTTTGTCTATCAGGGGGAAGTCAGAAGGGTCGAGAAGCTCGTCTTTTTCGAGACACTGCGTGATGAATTCTGTGCTGATAACTACCGGGGCATATGCTAGTGCATTGACAAATTTGGGAGTGCGTAAGACGGATGGAGCAGCCAAGTGACTGCATTTGGACGCATCTTGGACAACCAGGATCCCGAGATCTCGGAGTCGACGCTGTTAATCTGAATCAGAAATGCCATAGTAATAATTGGACATATAGATTCCAATGAACACACCTTATCTGCATCCTCCTTCTTAATATTTCCAATCCACTTCTGGTAGCCCGTGATCAATAGTCGCATTGCAACAGGAGCCTTTGATTTTTTCTGTTTCTTTATCTCAGTGGTATCCTCACCATCGCTTATAGTTTGGGGTTCAATTGATGGTCGCTTCTTGCCGTTGGCAGCCGATTTCTCCTCATGACTCTTTCTTCTGCCACCGTAAATGACACCTCCCGCGCGCTTCATTTCTTTCTCATACAAGGCAATATCTGGCGCTAGATCATGAAGTCGTGCGGCTGCAGCGTCTTTTGACTTCCGACTACTTGTCGAAGATGGGGTGTCATTTTCCTTTCCATCTGCAGTAAGACGAGAACGCGCTGGGGTAGACAGTTTCTTGCTTTCTGCAGAATTCCGTGCCTTTTCAGCCGCCCGGGGTGTTGCTGAACTCGAACTCTTGTCCTTGGCAGCAGCAGCAGCTGTGATAGAGCTTGAGTTCTCATCCTTCTTCGCTGCTGGCGGTTGCATGGATACAGACTTGCTTAACGCTGGTGCAGATCGAGAAGTAGCATTCTGGTCTTTACTCTGCATCATACGTCGCGGGCTTGGAGCTGCAGACAATCGCTGGTCGTTCGGTGTATCTTCAGACGGAAAGAAGAGACTCCCAAGAATAGATTTATTAAGTCTAGTCTGCCCGACAACTTCACTAAGGTTCGTCCTTTTGGGGAAGTGCGTGTACCGTGGATCCGAGACGGGCTGTAACTTGCAATTCGCATAGCTCTCTTCCAGCCAAAGATGGTTGACAACTTCCAAACCCCAATCTTTGGCAGCGGCGCATTTCTCGCTTTTGTCGTGCGCTGTCACCAGATGTGTATTATCTTGCTTCAATGTTTTAGTGCATTCTGCGCCAGTAGCATGAATGAGATTTTCGAGATACGCTCTAGCTTCCCCCACGTAGTTTGAAAGACTGATCCTCAGACCCTTAAACCCCGGGACTCCGTTACGGGGAACCGGGTAGTGTAGCAGCCTTCGTAATGGAGAGGTCCACGTATTGTATGTGATCAGATGGTAAAGCCAAGGTAGGTTACCGACGTCCTTATTCAACCTCGATGCCATGCGATATGTGAAGCCCTCTCTGTACCGACAGACCACCATGTCCGCTCGGGAAACGTCCGTTGTCAAGCTGCCTCCACCCTGTCTGACAAGATCTTGGATTGACTCGAGTAAGTGCGAGCCGATACCGAGATCTGTCGATAACATTACCTGCTTTCCATCAAAAACGTCAAGATGATTCGGCGATTTGAGGGCCTTAGGCAAGGCACCAGCGACATCTTTGCTATCCGAGTAACGGATCGGAGCATCAGAGCCCGCACGTAGAATTTCCGGATCGGGAAGGGTATACGGACCCTCGTCGATTCGTTTTCCCAGTTTCAGACAATCGTCAAACCTAGAAACCACATATTCAATTAGGCGTCTGTTAGCGTTTGAGATAGCTCCCTTCCCTAGTTCCCCAGCTTACCAGTGAGGTAGTACGATCTTCATATTTAGCTTTCTGGCAATGGCTATTCGCGCTTTGTCTGATTCGGTGGTGAGGTCAACTAGGTGAGTAACCATGTTCGAAATTCGGGAGCTGTAGATGCCGCCCTTTGCGAGCACGCCGCCAATAATAGCATCCTTGTCGCCTTCCGGGATATCGCCACAAGTGACAACGACATCGTTCAGAAATAACCTCGGGTCCGGGCTGTACTGGCGCGGGTTGGCAAGTTTTCTCTTGGTGAGCGACGCGTGAAGCCACTGAGGCTTGATGACGGGGATAAGAGCATCGCAGGCAGCTTCGTATCCAGGGAAATCAATCGTATAGGACATTAGATGGGTGAATCCTGAGAGGGATGGGAAAGGAGACGGTGGTTCGTAAATGAGGACATCACCGCCATGTTCCTCGAGTGTAGACGCGAGCTGGAAGGAGGATTCATGTAAGTTCCAAAGATAATAATCGACATGATTGCCAAAGCACAAAGCTAAGGGACAGCACACCTGCTGAGCTGCATCCAGACTTAGCTCCTTGGAGCATATAATGCAGATTTTACACTGCTCGAACAGCTGGATCTCTTCGGAGCGTTCCCCCATGGCGATGCTTGTGACACAGCTTGGAATTAATTGATCCGGTCACTTTCTTTAAAACACAATCCGAGTAATAAATGCGATACATAAATGCAACACTCCAGAGAGCGCTAGTCTGCTTTTCAGAGGCAGGCAGAGTCGGGGAAATAGATGGCCGTCACCGTTCAGACAAAATATGGATTGTTGAAATGCGACGCGAACGCGTAGAATGACGCCCGGTCACGTGCCAACTCATCTCTGTCTTGGGGGTTCTATCTACAATTTTACAGTTCTACAGCGCCCTGAGGACAGTGATTCCTTAAGTATGACTCAATTGGCGCTCCATCCAGGATCAAGATCAGTTATTTTGAATTCTTATGGCCTTGGTTGCATGGAGTCGCGCAGACGATGGATACTCCGCAATGTCACGGATCTCGATCTCCACAAACGCGGGGGTTTTTTTTTACATAGCTGATGCTGCACATATTATTATTATTATTTCGACGCTTTAATAATATGCATTAACTAGAGTTCAATGCCTATTGTTTATTGGTAATACAGTGCCAATAACTATCCATGGATAATGCCAACGGCAGTTGAACCCGCCGACAACCTCGGTTTCCCCAGTCTCCTCTCCCCAGAAATCTATCAACAGCCATAAATAACGCGAAGACCTTCGGCCACATTTGAAGCACTGAACTGGAACTGGCTGGAACTCATTCTATCCAAACGTACCAAAACGATGTTGTCTTCTAGTCCCTTTCGCATAATTGAGCATGTGGTTCCGGGCCAACATATTAGAGAGTATCCACGAGCAACAGCAAATGAGCAGGAGGATATCTTACATCTATCTGTGAAGCAGTACATCCCTCTTGACAATCCAAATCCACAGCACGGCGATGTTACCATCATTGCGGCGCATGCGAACGGTTTTCCTAAGGTGTGTTACAACGTTGCTGTCAGCTGTTCGCTGACCATGTATATTCGTGGCTTATCTGACAACCAAGGCAGGAACTCTATGAGCCTCTTTGGGAAGAAATATATGCGCGTTCCAAGCGCAATGGATTTCGCATTCGCAGTATATGGATGGCAGATGTAGCGCATCAAGGGAAAAGCGGCATTCTCAATGAAGACGTTCTAGGAAATGACCGTACGCCATAGCCCGACTGTTCTGTATTATTTCAGTTATCACTGACTCCTCTGCTACAGCAAGCTGGTTTGATCACCCTCGAGATCTCCTTCACTTTATCAACCTCAAGCGCGAGGAGATGCCTCAGCCCATCGTTGGAGTTGGACATAGTTTTGGTGGCGCACATCTGTTGGTTTCCCAGTGCCGTATCCGCTCTTCTTTCACGGACTGACTGAGACCCCTTGCAGCACGCAGCTTAGCCTTATGCACCCTCGCCTCATCCATTCGCTTGTCCTGTTAGATCCCGTCATTCAACGACAACCATCAGCCATGGACAAACAGGATCTTCATGCAGGAAAGCTAGTGTTCCTTGAACTGACACGGCTTTCTACTTATCGGCGAGACCTCTGGCCCTCGCGCAAGACTGCCGCTGAAGGATTCAAACGGAGCCCCTTCTACAAGGCCTGGGACCCCCGCGTCCTGGACCGTTGGGTCCAATACGGCCTGCGTGAGGTCCCAACAGCGATTTACCCGCTGGAAGAACACAGTGTCCAAAACGACAACCAAGAACGACCCGTCACCCTGACCACGACCCGTCATCAAGAGGTCTTCACCTTCTCCCGCCCCACTTACGACGGCAGCGGTAACAGCCAACCGATAAACAGAGTCACACATCCTGATCTCGATCTGAACCTTCCGATTGAATCTTCATTCTACAGACCAGAGCCCGGACGCATATTCACGCAGCTGCCTTATGTCCGACCCAGCGTGCTATACATCTTCGCTGGCCATTCCATGCTTTCTAACCTGGCGTATCGCAAGGATAAACTCGCCGTTACCGGCACTGGGATTGGCGGTAGCGGCGGCGCTGCGGAAGGCCGAGTGCGCGAGGTGTTCCTCGAGAACAACGGCCATCTGGTCGCACAGGAGGCGCCCAATGAATGTGCTGATGCCATAAGCAGCTGGTTTGGGCCGGAGTTGCAGCGATGGAGAGATGAAGATCAGGCTTTCCGTACACGATGGGGCCAAAAGCCCAAGGTCGAGAAGATGACCGTCAATGCGCAATGGATGGAACATATGCCTCCCCCGGAACGGCGAGGTGAAGATACAGAGACGAAGAAGTCTTCGTCGAAATTATGATGCGGTGATGCGTTCTACTTAGCACTCATGCTTGTTACCGCTACTAGTATAGACATTATATCCTCGTGCCTTTTGATAGAAGCATTGTCACTTAGCGTCTAGGGAAATGGAGAAACCTATGTCAGAATTGTGACTCTAGTTGGTTCAACTCTGCTTGCACTTCACGGGGTCTTTACTTGCAGCATATCAACCTTCATGCTTCGAAGTGTGGGCCACCCCTATCGCGAGATAGTCCTTGGAGACAATTTCCATGAGAATATCGCGAGCTCTGTATAAAGAGTAACGCTCATTGCCTTGTCTGTAAGATCGTACCGAGACAGGGCAACCCACCCCCACAAAAATACCGCCAAGACTGCCTAAAATATAGGTTATTTCCTAAATAGGCTAGATTGGTTGGATAAGTGAGGTACGGGCCGCCACCCCACATGTTACAATCTTGGAACTTATTACTAATGGATAGGCGCATGTATGGTCATATTACTAGGTAGGCCTGCCTGTGCCGTGAGATAGGTAGCGAGGGCGGTCTAGGACGGCAGAACCTCACGTGTACTAACACCCCCCCACGCACGAGCAGCCTACAAACTATGGAATCAATCTAAATACAGAAATCGGCCTCTATTCGGGCCTTCAAATGAGTGAATATATGCAAAAATAAACAGAGGAATGAAGGTTCTGCTTTAGCCAATCGAATGCCGTATATCAAAATAGAAAATATATCCAAAATGGGGGAGATATACGCGGCTTAGCTTATGCCAGTGAGTTGTAGGAAATGGTCAAATTGTTCAGTTCGGAGAGGTTTGGTCAGGCCGTCTGCTGCTTGTTCTTTGGTAGGGCAGGCCTGGAGTTTAACAATACCGTCTTGGATCTTCTCCCGAACGTAATGGTAACGTATATCGATGTGTTTGGATCTCTTGGTGGTGAGCTCAGCTTCAGCCATGGCGTGTGCACCTTGATTATCGATATGGAGAGTAATTGGCGGGCATTCAGTAGGGAGTACGTTGAGCTCATTGATGAGGTTCCGGAGCCAAAGGGCATCTCGGCTGGCTTCACTTAGAGCCATATACTCAGCTTCGTTGGAGCTAAGTGCAACGGACGTTTGCTTGCGGCTTTTCCAGGCAATTGGGGCCCCGGCAAGCAGAAATATATATCCAGATACTGACCGGCGATTGCCTGTCAGTTGACCACCCCAATCAGAATCAGTATAACATCTGGGCATGAGGAGGTCAGATGTAATGGGTTCCGTGGCCTTATGGTAGGTGATTTGTCGGTTAATGGAGCCTTTAAGGTAGCGTATAGCGTGTATAAGGGCACGCCATGCCTTTTGGGTAGGTTTGGCGTGATATTGGGATAGTACGCCAACTGTCCGGCTAAGATCAGGTCGGGTTTTGGTGGCTAGCCAAGTAAGGCAGCCTACACCACGTTGATATTCTTTGATGTTCACTGTAGGGTCTGGGTCATCATCAATTATTAAACTAGGATCCATGGGGATCCCAACAGGGTGTGCTTGTGCTTGGCCAAAAGAGGCAACAACGTCTTCAGCATAATTGGCCTGGGAGAGAGTATATGTGGTCTTGGATTGAGAGGTGGCCATGCCAAGGTATTTGGTAGAGTTTCCAACTTCTTTTATGTCAAATTTAGCAGAAAGAGACTCCATAAACCAAGTGGCATCATTCTCATGCTTAGCATAGACTTTGAAGTCATCCACATGGGTAGTCACATAGAGTTGGGTCCGGGTGGTATGGATCCAGAGACCAGAGTCGTATTCGGAGCTTTTGAAGCCAATTTGTCGTAAGAAAGCATTTAGTGTATCATACCAGATACGGGCAGATGGGATCAGTCCATAGAGGGACTGGCGGAGTTCACAAACCAGGTCTCCAGAGCCTTCTTTGAATCCCTGAACTTGGGTCATAAAGACACGTTTATCTGTGGGCATTTTTCCATTTAGGAAAGCAAGGATGGCATCTGCCTTTCGAGTATGCCAGCCAAGTAGAGTGGCCAGTGCCGTAAGGGTTCTAGTGGTATTTTCATCTACCACTGGGGCGTATGATTCCATGAAGTCCTTGTCAAGTAGATTTCCACGGATCACCCAGCGAGCTTTAGCTTGGTAGTCCCTTGTAATAGGGGTACCAGGGATTTCTTTCTTTTTGTATACCCACCGGCCAGGGATGACCTTGGTCCCTGGTGGTAGGTCAGAGCGGCGGATAAGTTGCCAGCAGCCTTTTTCTTTGAGTTGGTTGACTTCTTTTTGCATGGCTGCTTGCCACTTGGTGGCATCAGGATGAGATATAGCCTGCTTATAGGAAGTAGGCGTGTCATCTTCAGACGAAGGAGTAGTTGAAGTGGTGAGATAGGCTAGGGACATGCCTTTGGCGGGTCGAAGCCATATTTCCTGGTCTTCATCTTCAACAGGTTGGTTTGTATCTTCTTTATTAGGAGTACTTGGATCTTCAGGAACAGTAGCTTGTGGAGGTGTAGTTGTGGGATCCTCATATTCTTCATCAAATATAGTGTCATTGGTTGAAAAAATGGCGTCTGTTTTAGGGTCCCACACTCTGTATTGTTGGCTACTGATTTGGCCGATCATGAAGCAGCATTTAGAGTGGGAATCGAACTTGTTTATAGGCTTATCTGAGCCATGTCGATGAACCCAGACAGGGCAGCCCCAACGTCGGTATTTGTTGATACTAGTTGGTGAGTTGGTCCAGGCAGCCAGAGGCGATTTATATGGGCTTGGGCTGATTTTTGTGTTGGTATTGACCCCCCCAGGGATAGGTGAATTGAATAGGATTGTGGATGTTGGGAGGCGGTTTGTTATATCTGATGCATATTTTAAAGCATCAACCCAAAATCGCTGTGGTATATGGGGAGCGTCAAGCATTAATGTCCGAGCACGGTCAAAGAGTATGCGTATGCTGCGCTCACTGACACCGTTTTGCCAAGGGGAATATGGAGAACTTGGTTGCCATTCGATGCCTTCCTGACGGTAGGTTTTCTGCCATTCAGCTGAACAGAATTCATTGTCAGAGACAATATAGGCTGGGGCAGGGAAATGGTGATTCTTCATCTGTTGTAGCCAACCCCGAAATGCATCAATTGCAGCAGATCTTTCAGTTAGGTAGTGGATCCAACGGTAACGTGTAGCGTCATCAGTAATAAGCATCACATATTTGGCTCCTGTACGTGAAGGTAGAGGCATATCTAGCTTCTCTATATCTAGTGTTCGGCCGCCACCAGCAAGGTCTATGTGGACTCGGGCTAGTGGTGCAGTCATACGGGATCTTGGTGTTTTGCTGTATTGGCGAGTTTGCTTGCCCTGGATGCAGGCTTCACAAAGTGGTAGTTCTCTGGAACCTTTGATTTCAATGTCTGATGTAGGATCTGCGGCAAGGCGTAAAAGATCCTGCTGGTTTAAATGGCATAGACGGCGATGCCATGTCATAATTGGTAGAGCTGTTTTGGAGCTCTTAGTCTTTGGGGATGTTGTAGGTTTCTTTCTGGGAGGGTCCCCTGGTCGGTTGGCCTCTTTGCCAGACCGGGTGGTGACAAAGGCATAGGAGCTCTCGTTGGGAGAAATGCAATCTGATAGGATGAATACATTGTTGGTATTCAAAATGGCTTCAAATTCTGCACCAGAAGAGGTTGTGATTTGTGCTACTTGAGAGCTGGAAGGGAATTCGATACGAAAACCTTGTTTGAGAAGCATTCCCATGGAGATTAAGTTGGAATTGAAGGATGGAACATGTCGTACATCCCTAAGGATCAAGGATCCGGTTCCAATATCAATGACGACGGTGCCAATACCATGAGGTTTGGAAATCTTCCCTTGAGCATCTTCAATATAATCCGCTGGAGTAAGGTCCTCCTTTCTCAATGTTTTATAGGACGTGAAGAAAGCTTGGTGGGGTGTAACATGGAATGAAGCACAGCTATCAAGATACCATGAAGCTTGGAGAGATTGGGCTGATTTAGCAATGGCTGTTTTTGCAGCTGAAGAAGTCCATGGTACCAGTTCATTGGTTTCTGCTTCAGAGAATGAAGCAGTGGAAGATTCTTTAGCAGTGTGTAAAGCATGAATAGCTTCAATAGTATTTTTATTGGCTCAGTGCCAATGCTCAGAGGCTTTCTCAGGGTTCTTGTAGAGGCAAGGCATTGGGTGGAAATGACCACACCAATCACAACGGGTCTTTGGTTTGCGTGAGTCCTGGTCCTGAGGTTTATATTTAGTGTTGGAACTTGAGGCGGAAGAGCTAGCAATGGGGTTAGATGCTTGTTTGGAATAGCTTCGTCCGGATAGATTCTCTCATCGTCCTCCGTGTTGGGAGCGGGATTCACGGGCTTGGGTGCCCATACGGATAGAGAGTTGAGCTTGAATGGTAGGTAGGTCCAGATTGATGACAGGGCCTTGTCCAGTTGAGTATACTTCATCAAGTTTACTCTTAATGAATGCTTTGTTCCATTCGCGGAGGCCTATAAAAAATAGGTCGTGAATAAGGTTGTCAAATGATGCTTCTTTTATAGCATGAAGGCGGTCTACTATCCTAGTAAATGCAGATTGGTAGGATAGGTAGTCATTGTCTTTTATATAGAGCTCCTTGAGCTCTTTTATGAGAAGCATTCATTCTTCACCAGTAGAACGTCCGAAAAAGGTAGCAGTTCAGTCCCATAAACCATGGGCTGATAGGTCATATGTGTTGCCCAATTTGTCAATGGCTTAGGCAGTCATAGCATGAAGCATTTGGGCTCTCATGACAGTGGCTTTGCAATGCCATACTTCAGCATCATAAGCTGAGTATCCTGCTGGAGGTATATCCTGATGCAAGACTGTACTAGCGTTCAGGACATTGGCTTCTCTTTGAATGGCTGAACTCCAGGGGTCGTAATTATCATGAGACAGTGTGATTCGGCATCGGTCTGGTAGGAGCGCTTTAACTTGAGCTTGTACATGATCAAAAGGATCTTTTTGTACTGGATTTGAGGCTGGAATAGCTGTATTATTTTGAATATGATTGTAGGGAGTAGCGTTATGCCGGACTGTAGGAGTGGAGGATTGGGATTGATGGCGTTCAAGGGCATTAAAACGAGTCATGAACTGGTCCATCTGCTTCTGCATTTGCTCCTGCATCTGCTTCTGCATTTGTTCCTGCATCTGCTTCTGCATTTGTTCCTGCATCTGTTCCTGCATCTGCTGGAACAGAGCTGTGATGTCTGGTGTGGATGCCATGGTGTTGGCTGTAGTAGAGCTTTGAGCTCTAGGGGCAGTTGGGGTGTCCATTTCTTCAGAGATTACTGAGGAGGCGGAGGAGCCTATATCTGATGAAGGATCTGTGGATTCTGGCTGACGACGGTGACGTCTAGCGGTGGTAGGGGGCGTTCGAGGCACCACCATTTTGGATGGGATCGATCGAAGGATCCTGGGGTTCAGGGGCCGATTGTTGGCGGTCCTGGTGTTCAGAGTCGCTTAGAAGCGCTCGATTTCTGGTTTGACCAATGAGAGGTCACAATTTAGCCTATCTGAAAGGCTTTTTAAGCTCAATATCGTAGAGCTAAAACGGGCTCATAACCTAATGGATAGGCGCATGTATGGTCATATTACTAGGTAGGCCTGCCTGTGCCGTGAGATAGGTAGCGAGGGCGGTCTAGGACGGCAGAACCTCACGTGTACTAACAATTACCACCACATACTCTACTCCAAACAAATTTTCCCTACATGAGCAGGATGTACATGGTCTGATACAGGATAAGTGATGCATATTCTGGACGTTACAGTGCCCTAGGAAATGCCCGGTACTACATCCACAACGCTCGCCCAGAATGACCATCCTCGGTCAGCCGTCGAGTGCTGCCCATGCTTTTGGCACCAGAAGCCGTGGATACACTGCACGATGAACCGGCATTGGTGACCTGTCCTAAAGCCCCCTTGGTCGCTCTGCCGAGCTCGGTGCCTTGAGCGCCAAGCGGATCGGGGTACTGCGCATTCATCAAACCGGAATTTAAGGTCGAAACGATGGCGAAGAGTGCAGGCATACATGCGGCTATGATGCTGATGTTCATCATTACTCTGTGGCGGTTAGTAAGTTTTGACTGAGTGATAAACTCGAGAGAAGGGCAACTCTTAACTCCCTGAAGATAGTAGGAATGAGAATGGTCCCTGCGACATGTACATGTTAGCAGCGTCATGTCTTTCCAACGCTGGGGTCGATGAGAGTGGGATATCGAACAGGTGGGATCAGAAGATTGCAGATATGTAGGCAGAAAGACCATTTCTGCGATGGTCAATCCTACAACCCTATATTACGTGTGATATTAGGCACAACGAGCGCGAGATAGCCGACCAGAGCAGGGGAGACGTACAATAAGCGTGTGTCAAACGCCAACATAACCCAAAAACGCGTTGCCCGTAGCGCTTGAACATTCCATAGCAAAAGGCAGGGGATGATGCTGAGCGCGAGGTCGGTGAGAATGTTCAAGACGGCAATGGGGTATTCGACTGCACCAGCACAACGATGCGGTAGATAAATCCATGGCTGAGGCAGTTTGCAGTGAAAAGCAAGCCCGAAGATTGAGATCAGCGTCCACGCCAAGGTCAACGAAAGGGTTATAAAGCAGGCGATATGGATTCGTCTGTCTGGTGCCAACTGGAGGATCAGGAGAGCCACGGAGAGCTTGGAAATAGCGAGGACCGCAATGAAGAGAATATTAGAAGCGTAATGGAACTGCTTGCAAGAATGATTTAGCATGTCAGGATGCTCGAGGAAGACAATCCTCGACGACTTGCCTTGCTATATCGCTCAACGTCCGCCGGCGAAAGAGCCACGATGTGCTGGCCCAACCCATGCTCGACAGACAGTTGGACAAGAACACTCTGGGCAATGGCAACCACCTGCGGCCATCAATCAGTATAGGATACAGGTCTCTAATTGCCCGGGGGGGCCGACGCGGTTGTATTACAGTGGCTATCCAGATCAAGGCGTACGCTGCATTTCGTCGTTGCTTGTAAAAAAGAAAGATCACCGACTGGACGACAACAACAAGGCACATCAGAATTAACCAAATGAATGTCAAGAGAGTCACCAATGCGCCATGATTATCGGGTGTGATGCGTCTTGAAGTAGACGAGACAGAAGAAGCAGCCATCTCGTTGCAACCATGGTGAACAGAAAGAAGCTTTCCAAAGGGAGAAGGAAAAACGCTTCGTTATTGCTTATTTCTGCGAAGGACTCTATCAAAACGCAAAATCGCAGATCCCCGTGTTTACGCCGTCGACATACAGGGATCTCAGCCGCTGTCCAATCAGTGTGGAACAAGGAATTTATCTAGCCGCTGCCGATCTCATGCGCTGCTACCTTGATGCTACATTAGGTAGCTAGTCACTCTCCGTCTCTTTCGGGAATCCTGGATTGATGATAAATAATAATAACCCTGACGGCTAGCGCTGGCGTCTAGTGTGTCCGGGATATATTACCGGTGGTAGCACCCATGCAGCTTGTGTTTTGCTAATGCCAGATATTCCTGCATCTCTATTTCTTCCGCTTTTTTTTTCTTCCTGGTAACGCCATGAATCCCGAGCCCATTGAGATGAAAAGCGGCTCTGCCATAGTTCAGCCAACCCAGAATGATGGGGACAGCAATCATGGCGGTGGAAAAACGCCACGCCTGGAGGTGCGCATCTGAGAATTGCCCGTGAAGTGCTTAAAAGCGTTGAGATTGCTCATTCGAGTGCGTAGAGGTATCTTAGCCCTCTGTCCATGTTGGCATTCTCAGCGACCTTGCTCGCGTCGTGGGAGGCGCTGGCCGGAGGTTTGGCCGCAGGACTTCTGAACGGCGGCCCAGCGTCGCTCATATATGGCATGCTGCTCACGATGATCTGCGGCACTGCCCTGGCTGCTTCGATGGGGGAACTGGCCTCGATGTAAGTGTGTAGTATGTTGCTACTGTTGTTTCCTTAGGGCTAGCCAGCCAACTGACTCTGCAGTCTCCCTGTTGCTGGAGCCCAGTACCATTGGACCTACCGTTTTGCGCCCATTGCGCCTCGATTCTTCAGCTTTGTACAAGGTAGGTAGGTTTCCCTCAGAGTCTCAATCGGAGAATCGTTTCAGCTGAACATTGCTTCTCAGGATGGATTACTGTGAGGCTTCTGCCGATGCATGGTTACAGCTTGGGACTTTTCTAATGCTGGACAGATCTTCGCCTGGATTGCCTTTGGCACCATCGGTCCCTTCTACATCGGCACCGAAATCGAGGGCTTGGTCATCCTCTTCCACCCGGACTACGTGGCGAAGAAATGGCACAGTACGCTGCTCATGTGGGCGATCATAATCATTCCATTCATTGTCAATGTCTGGGCCCGGCGTCTTCTGCCTGCAATTGAAGTCATTGGAGGCATCCTGCACATCATCTTCTTGCCGGTCATTCTGGTCACGGTGATTGTCCTGGGCCCGCGCAATCCGTCGTCCTTTGTGTGGGCCACTTTCGTTGATAACATGAGTGGATGGGACAATGACGGTGTAATCTGGTCAATTGGTCTTCTCACCGCCGTCGGTTGCGTATACGGTATTTATAGACTTTCTCTTGCAGGTGGAGAAACCTCGGCTTACATTCGCTAATTGCTGGCAGGCTTTGATGGTGTCGCCCATATGGGGGAGGAAGTCAAGAATGCCAAGAAAGCCGTTCCGCAAGCAATGGTCTATGGAGTCCTAATTAACGCTGTCGCCGGGTTCGGATTCCTCGTTGGCATCCTGTATTGTATGGGAAACATGGAAGCAGCCCTGGAATCCAAGACCGGGTATCCCATCATGGAAATCTTCTACCTCGCCACAGGATCCAATGCAGGAACAGTGGTTTTGACCCTGCTGATCATGCTGCCGGGATTCATCGCTTCTTTCAACGGCATGGCATCCGTGAGTCGACTGCTCTGGTCATTTGCCCGCGACAACGGGCTCCCTTTCTCCAAATTCTTTGCGCATATCTCGCCCCGGTACAAGATCCCCATGCGCTGTCTTTACTTGACAGTTGCCATTCAGATTATTCTATCGCTCATCAACATCGGCTCGACAACGGCCTTCTTTGCGCTTCTGTCGCTGAGCAGTCTTACCTTTTACATCTCGTATCTCATCCCTCTTGTCTGCCTTGTGTGGCAACGGATGCGTGTTCCCATCGAATGGGGGCCATGGTCTCTAGGGAAATGGGGTCTCCCTTTGAACCTCATCTCAATCGCGTTTATCATTTACATCTCCATATTCCTCCCTTTTCCGGCACAGATGCCTGTCACTGCCGCCAATATGAACTATGCCTCGCTGGTCTTCGGGGCTGTCGTGATATTTTCCGTCGTGGATTGGTCTTTGCGGGGTAGGAAGAAATGGTCCGGTCCGAGTCTCGAGATGGATGCAGAATAGGTGATGGGAATGGGAAAGTAGAGCACTGTGTCCATATCATTCTTTGATTAGACTAGAAAGGGGCGCCATCGCAGTAAGACGGTACACGCCGCTGCAAATCCCTTTAGGTATCCACATATCCACATCTTTGGTCTGTCTGCTTTTTCTCAAAACACTGACTACTGGCCATAATAAAGGTAGCCAAGCATGCATGGGCAACTCTAGATACTGAATTGCATCAGTAAATGATACAACGGAGCTCCTACGCGGTAGCACATATTTAGGGTTTCAAACCAAACCTCTATTCAATTATCTGTGATATCATATGATATCTCTATGAATAAACATTGAATGGGTTGAGGTGTAGTATTTCGAGCCAGCTAGGTCGTTGTCGCTGAAGATATATATAATAGGCTGACGTCATGTCTCTGCGCAATAATGATAGTAAACTCCATAGAGATAAAGAACAAACCAACTCAGGTTAGCTTCTTGGTCCACCCATTCCCGTTAGTAGCGGGAGGAGTGCGGAGGATTTCCGGGAAATTCCAGAAGCGCGACCACGACAGGTAATATTCTTCCTGTCGATTGTTTAGGCAATGGCGAAGCCAGATACCCCAGATGATGTACATGTACGCGCCAAGTCCGGTCATTAGGTGCCTGACGGACGAGAGAAGGTAGTTAGTATTGCGTCAACGTCCCTTTCTGGCCATCGCAATGCACAATATCAGACACAAGAGGGGTTTAGCATACCACCAGCCATGTCCTTCCAGAAGTATACCCCACGGAAGTCCGACTGCTCTCCGCCATCCACGGAGCCTCGTGCAAAAGACATTGTCCAGAGTCCAGATAAAAAAGCCACCGAGAAACACGGATATTCCATAGATAACCATGAACCACATGGTGTTCAGTATCTTCAGGTCCCGCTCATTTTCGTAATGCTGCCTTTCCTTCGTCGGGATGGGGAGTCCTTTCTTTTCTCGTTCCAATCGGTCCTCCTCGCGCGTGTATCGCCATTTCGGACGGAGCGTTTTCTCCATGGTGTACATGCTCCGCAGGATCACAATTGTAGTCAGTATGGCGTACGCATTCTGATGGAAGACGGGGTCCTGGAGGTAATGGTAGTAGAGAGTGATGAAGACGGCCAAGCCGGTTAGGAAAATGCCCAGGAAGACCCGGACGCCAGTCGGTCTCGCATAAGAGAATGAAGCGTAACACATCAAGCACGTTGTATAGATCATAGAAAGCTCGTCAACGAGCTGCATTGGGTCTACATGAGGAACGGGAAGACTATCAGCAATCACCACATACAAAAGGTTCCCTGGAGAGACATGTGGGACAGCAATCCCCGGACAACTTGCATTTAAGGGTCGAGTGGAAGAGAAAGCTTCCTATCCCGACAACCAGGTATCCGATGTATGCAACGAGAAAGATCGAATCATGTTTATTGCGTATACAACTGATGAGGCCCTTGACTCCAAGCCATACGAACATCAGATTTGTTAGGGCGTTGACGATCTCGGCGGAGTAGATGGTGGCATAGTAATCCTGTATTTGGCCTCTCGTCAGTAGAATAGCTCCCAGGTACCGAATCACAGTAGGATAGACGGCGCAAACCTCTTCGCACCAGTTCAAGGTCGACGTGACAGGACTCCAGTACCCTGTTTTTGCGGCAGGATATGGAATGTGGGGAAGAAAGGCCCAGTGAGACATGGTAGTGGTGGACGGAGACGAAGCTCCGTAGAGAATGAGTGGCGGACCTGGGACAGAATCAAGAGTATGAAGAGGCAAGATTGGAAGAAAAGCCGAGAGTTACGGATGACAATGGAAGAGAGAAGGGTGGATGAGATGGAGGTTTTGAGGGTCTGCCAGCCTGTGACGTCGATGCATAAATGATGATCCGCAGACAGATCTATCTACGCTGCACCAGCATAGGATAGCGCGACGGCAGCACGATTATTGGCGACAACAAGCAGGCGCAGCTTCGCTATCCATGGAATCTGTTTCCGAGAACAGAATCGGCATGTCTTGATTGGGTTTCAGCCGTTTCCCACCCTGGCCCAGCCCTACTGCCAGCAGCTTCTTCCGTGAGATGCCGAACAGCTAGAGAGCTTTCGTCCGCGAGGATGCGCGCCTGCATTCCGGATTACGGGAAGACAGCCGGAGAGGAAGTGGATTCTGCATCTGTCATTGATCAATAACGTCGGAGAGTGTGTCGGTGTTGACCCACGGGGAGCAAGGAGGGCAGTCGTACAGCGCAGATCAATATTAGCAGCGCGACGCGACAATAATGCATTGTCGATAATAATAATAATGCCTTGCATCCACGGTTAGAGCTCTTATTCCAAGGGTTCCATGCACGCGTTCCGAGTAGTAGCAGCAAGCTAGCTCCTCAAACCTGTCCTGACCGTCGAAAGCCCTGCTGCTGCTGTGCCTTGGCTGAGACTGCATCGGTCCCTGATTTCAATCGGGCATCCTGTGCCTGGCTATCCAGGAACACAATGATGCCTGTCTCATTATTACCCTACCTGGACGGTCAGTGCGTTTGAGGGACGCAGAGGCCCGAGACATCGCCGGCGAAACATGTTGATGCTGATGCTCATCACGTGGGTGATGACCTCACCCATTGCAGAAAAATATCCATGCCTCTTCTCTTTTCTCTTCCCCATGCCATCCTCTCCCATTGACCCTCTGAATGCCGTCCCGCTTGGTCACTGTGTGACTCTCGCACAGTCCCGTATGCTGCAGCAATCGTACACCGTATACCCGTCTGCCTCCTGATACCGTCTCTTCTTCGCAAGACTCCCGGGTTCACCTGCGGAGCACTCGGAGAAGAGATGTTGAATAATGGGTCGGTCCCGGCGCCTCAATTAAACGTCTCTACATGTACGGCTTATTTTCCGGTTCCTTCCACTTCTGAAACCCGAATAATGTTTCTCTGATCTGCATTCGTTGACGTTTTTCTCAATCCAGCATCGAGAACAAAAACCACCTTCCACTTCCTTGCAGGTCTCTCCTCCGGCCTCACCTCTTCCATACTCCTACAGCCTGCGGACCTCCTCAAAACCCGTGTCCAACAGTCTCAACAAACCGCAGCGCTCCTACCTACTCTGAAAGCCATTCTTTCTTCCCCTCATCCCATCCGCGGCCTATGGCGTGGAACATTACCGTCAGCCATCCGGACAGGTTTCGGATCGGCACTATATTTTACGAGTCTCAATGCCCTTCGTCAAGGCTTGGCGCGTGCTGAGACAACGAGTGCTAGCCGGTCATCCGCGCTTCCGAAGCTCTCGAATACAGCAAATCTAGCCACCGGTGCCGTGGCCAGGGTTGCTGCGGGCTTCGTCATGATGCCTGTTACGGTTATCAAGGTACGCTATGAGTCGGATTTTTATGCATATCGCAGCCTCTATGGCGCTACGCGTGATATTGTTAGCACAGAGGGCATCCGTGGTCTTTTCTCCGGATTCGGTGCAACTGCCGTGAGAGATGCACCGTATGCAGGACTCTATGTCCTCTTCTACGAGCAATTAAAGCACCATGTCGCCCTCCTTGGAGGTTCGATGTCTTCCACGTCAATAAACTTTACTTCTGGTGCCTTGGGGGCTGGTTTTGCTACTGCCATAACCAATCCATTTGATGCCGTCAAGACTCGGTTGCAGCTCATGCCTGGAAAATACGGCAATATGCTGCGTGCCGTCAGATTGATGGTACAAGAAGATGGAGTTCGAAGCCTCTTTGGTGGTTTGGGGCTTCGCATGGCTAGAAAGGCTATGAGCACCGCCCTGGCTTGGACGGTGTATGAGGAACTTGTTCTGCGTGCTGAGAAACGCTGGGCGAGCAAAAGCCAAATGGGTCTGTGACGGACTGGCCTTATTGTATGATACTGATGACCACTCCATTCTATTCTTTCTCAGGGCTTGTCAGGAGTTTGGTGTGCAAGGAAGAGCATTGGGTTGGGTCTTCTAAACAGACTAGGAATATTTTAAAAAAAGCAGTTATTGATAGAAACTGATAAAAAGAATTTTTCATTGAAACTCGTTAGTTATTGTTTATATGTATGATGACTCAATATTGTGTATATAAATAACATGTGTCGTGTCGCGTCGTATCGTGTCGTGCCAGGTCATCTCATCCATGTTGTCTTATTGCACTTTGCGAAAAGAAGAGAAGCCAAAGAAGAACTCAAAACTAAACGGAAATAAAACAAATCTGCCACCTCCACCCAATCAGTCTATCAGGAACCAAACCAAAACAAGTCATAACATTCTTACATACCAGTGCGCCAACATCTCACAATCCTTGGACTCCTCGGACGAGAAAGAGAAGAGCCTGTCTGACGACGCTACGTAAGGATGAACGCCCGTCGGCCGGGACTCTTCTTCCGAACGAGGTATAGCCTATCCCTGCGGCGGTCGTTGACCCTGAGCTCGGTGGTAGTGTTCGAAGTCTGAGTCACGAGTCTTCCTTCGCGGAGACGGCGCGTGTGGGCGAAGAGCTCTTCCTGGAAGTCTTCGGGTATCCATTGCTTGATGATAATGTAGTTACTATCGCGCTGTTGTGGTTCGGACAGGGGTCAGTGTATCTCTTCGGGTATTAGAAGAAAAGAATTGTTTTCTCGAGCTTACCTCGTCCCATTCCCAGGGTAAACGATAGGCCATCAAAGTTTCCGGGAGAAGGTGTTTTCGGTGTACCTGAATGGTGAATGGAGATGTCAGATTGGAAATTCCCCCCTCTTGCTTCTGTTCTCTATGGCAATGACTGTGGGCAGATGTACAGTACCTTGATCCATGTCATCCGAGTGTCATATTCCTTTTCTCTCTCTTTCTCCTTCTCCTCCTTCTCCTTCTTCCCGTCTTTCTTCTTCATCATATCCTCGATTTCTTCATCGGAAAAGCCGAACTGTGTCTTCAGTCGTTCGCGGAATTCAGCGTCCTTCTGTTCTTGTTCCTTCTTTGCATTCTCAATGCGCGCCAATTCCTGTTGCTTGTACTCCTCAAGCGCAGCCTCTTTCAATCTTTTCATCTCCGCGAGCTCCCGTTCCTTGCGTTCCTTTTCCTGCTTCTCCATCGCAAGTTGCTGCATCCTGTACTCCTGGATTGTGGCTTCTCTCAGCCTGGCTGCTGCCTGCAGTTCCTGCTCTTTCTTTTTCCTTGCTTCTTCCTCCTGCCGCTTGAATTCCTCGATGGCCTGCTGCTTCAGTTTGTCTTCTTCCTTCTTCCGTTCCATTTCCTTGAGCATATTTCGTGCTTCCTCGTCGCGAATGGCCTGTTTGATGCGCTCCTTCTCTTCGTCCTCATCAATTTTCTTCTGCAATTCCTTCAGTTTTTCTTCCTGCAGTTTCTTCTTGAGGCGGTCCTTTTCTTCTTCTTCATCGATTCTCTTCTGCAGTTCCTTTATCTTTTCATCGCGCAATTTGGCCTGGATCTGCGCTTTTTCGGCAGCTGCACGCTCCGATTCCTCAAATCTCTCCATTTTCAAGCGGGCTTCGGCATTGCGTTTCTCCTCTTCCCTTCGTTTCTGTTCGGCAGCTGCACGCTCCGACTCCTCAAATCTCTCCATCTTGAGGCGGGCTTCGGCACTGCGTTTCTCCTCTTCCCTTCGTTGCTGTTCCATCTTGAAGTGGGCTTCAGCATCGCGTCTCTCCTCTTCCCTTCGCTGCTGCCTCTCATATTTCTGTAGCCTCTTAAGCCGATCATTAAGCTCAATCTCATAATCTTCCTCTTCCTGTCTCAGAAGACGTTGGTCACGGTGTTCGCTACGATGAGCGAGCTCTCGCTCCAAACGCGCGATCTCCTGCTGCAGCCTCACCAACTCGATATCTTGCCTACTGTCGTTCTTCTCCAGCACTCGCTGATTCATCATCAGTTCATAGTCACGCGGGGCCGGTGAGGCCTCGCGGGACAAAGAAATACCTCTCACGTATGCACCACCGGCAGCTGCAACGCTTTCACGATTACGATGATGAGGCCGGAGATCCTCGTCGGATGATGACGAATAGACATGTTGGACTTTCTGTTTGGACTTGCGGTTCTTACTGGCGCTCCTGTTGTCATTGCTATTTTTAATATCCACGATCACCGTGTGTGGACTTTCGCTGCGGTAGTTATCAGGTCCGCGTTCACGACGTCGGCGAGCGCCCGTAGACGCAGAACGACGGATGTGGGTTTCCGTGACATGGCCCATGCGAGGAGTCAGGGCCGTCTCTGTAGGAGGAGCCAGATAGTCATACTCGAAGGCACCAGGCATACCATGAGGGTAACGGGATCGTGATATCGAACGTTGTCGGACCCTTGTTCTTCGGCGAGGCAGATTGGCCATGGATATGTCAGTTTCGGAGAAATCCGACTCGGAGTCGCCATAGCTAGGATATCTGGGCATTTTGGGTCTTCTTTTCTAACTGGTTCTGGCCGAATATATAACTCAGAATGAGCTGCGCCGTAGCAAGCGTCGTGGAGAGCGGGGTACGGCGGGGCAGGTTGGCTGGCGATAGGGGCACGGAGCAAGGAAGTAGACAAAATGACAGCAGGATGGAACACAATGAAATGATAATTCCTCAAGATGAGAATGCAAAAAAAAGTAGATCAAATAGAAGTTGGGATGAGACACGAAGCCTGGAAAGAAGGGGGAAGAGTGATCGGCGGCAAGCCGCCTTACCAGATGATAGCTGTCAGCGAGAATAGAGGGAGAACAAGAAAGATCGTGGCGAGTAGAGACCAGGACAGATTATTTATTGGCTCGAAGCAAGCATAGTGCACTGCGTGAGTATAACCACTGATGCCCAAGATACATTGCAAGGCGCTTGAATCACGGGAGGTGCAGCGCCGGGATGATTGGGCTGCAGCCAACTCGAGTCGGGCGGCTGACCAAAGGGCGTAGGCCGATGCCACCTGTAATATTCTTGCTATTGCCAGCCGGTTGTCGCTTACTGTAAACTGTGGCGTGGAGTCCATCCTACTAACATTGGGCGATTCGCGCATGAATGCCGTACATAGTGTATCTTCCCAACAATATGTGTCGTCATTGCAGGCAATTTCAGCCAGGGACAATAGTAATAATAGTAACGGAGTCCAGCGAAGTCTCCGCAGAGCTCCGACATAGGCGGTAGCGATCCTTCCACTGGAAATAACATACATTAATATACCCACACATGGGCGAGCTGCTAACTGCGCAATCTGTCGTGTGCACAATGAAATCGCCGTCTTTCCAATCGATAAAATAGCGCCGTGGAATCAAATTGAATAACTCAGCTACCTTGCTCGCTTGCTCTGGTCTGCTTTCAGCCATTGTTGTTGTCCGTTTCTCCCCCCTGGGGACCCAGAAACATCATGAGACCGGTAAAGTGGAACTGTCGCAGCAGAGCAAGAGACAAGGGAACCCCAGATTGGTATCCGTTCTGTATTATTAACCCCCCATCATCTCCTTCCCGCATGTCTGTTCCTGGGAGCAACATACAAAGCCCTGGGTCCTTTTTGTCTATGCTCGGTATTTCCCATTCCCAGCGGAGCGGAGCAACGGCAACAATGTCAATTGTGTCGCGTCACTGGGATATCCGAAAATACACAATTATCAGGCCCTAGAGGCCGACTTGAAAATATGTTCTATGTTCTCTCGAGTATTCTTATGTGTTGTCTCATGGTAATGGAGCTTCTTTTCTAGGTCTGTGATGTTCGATTTCATGTTCGCGCTTTGGGTCGATAGTTGCTTCTCGATGGTACTTAGGGGGACTCGGACGAACCTTCAAGAGCATGAATGTCAGTCTCCTTGTAGCTTTAGAAACTTCTATACGCAGATTGCCTAAGGTAGGCCACTGAGGGGTGAGGGGCAAAGGGAGGGGTATAGAACACGCCTAGAAAATGACTACTCACATCTTTCCAACTCCCTCGTAAGTTTTCGTGTCCTTGGGCAAAGTACTGATCTCCTTAGACGTCAATTCAAGAAGTCGCGTTTCCCTTTGTTTCGCCGTAATCTGCGCCTTGACAATCGCGATCTGCTGCTGGGATTGGATCGCACGGGTCTCGATCTCTTGGACTACCTATATACAGTTTGCATATTTAGTAGCTAATTCTTAACCTGAGGCTATTGGAAGTAGAAAGAGAAAATCAAAACCAAGTAGAAGCATAACGCAGCTTGCTATGGTAGGGCATACCTTCTGCAAAGCCTCGTTCGGGATCGACATTGTCGTTGTTTTTGGCGGAATTGGGAATATGCGGGAGACGTGGCCAAATAGTCTTCGGGGAGATTCACGGGACGAATAAGATGTATTGGCAGGATGGACAGAAATGTGCCAGTCGACAACAAGTGAATGCAGGGGGAGCTTGCGGTGATGAAGTTCATTAAAGTATGATTCTCGAAACCGACGCAATACGTATGCCTTGCCGTATGCGGCTATGTAGGGCTTAGGGCTCATCTCAAGATTTGGTATGACTGCTCATTATTCTTTCTCCTCCAGACAAAAATCTTGCCAATACATGCTAGACGTGTCTTTTCTTCATTAAACTCACAGGATATTTTGCATTTCATATGTTCGTTACCAACAGGAAACGATGAGGATGGTAGCTGGAACAGCCCCTCCATTTTGTATTACATCCGGAATGTCAATACTAGTAACTGTTAAGACATCGGATCCGACCATTTTGTGCGAGCTACAGTCGGTGTAATTATTAATGAACGAAGGCTATAATAATGGTGGCTGCATGAAAAAGAGCTGCCGTTGCTGTGGCAGGGATCTAGTTGCATCTGCCGTACAGCTGTACAACAGCGCTGGCAGATCCTCGGGATTCACCCCTGCAGAACCCAATCCAGGTTTTTCTTTTCTATCATTGTTGTGGTCTCCTTCCAAGTGCAAGGTCCCTAGCTGACGGTAAGACTTCAATTCGCTTCAGACTGATGCTCTTCCCTTTCCTATTCCTACATCTCCATGAATCCGCTGACAGCTCGTTGCCCCTAGTTACCGCCAAACCGTTTGTTGACTCTGCGGAGTAGCTACCTGTCGCATTCAGCCCTAACGAGTCGACGATTCAACCTGGGTGACGAGAAACTAAACTTGGAAGGGGTTTGATTAAGAGGCAAAATAGAGCAAGAACTGTGCCAGTTTTGGCCAGCAAAATGAAAATCTCCTGGTGGATACCGTTCACATTCCTCGCCTCGACAGTTTCATCGACATCGACATTCGAAGCAACAGAGATAGTGACAGAGATCCCTTTATTGCCATTTACTCCTCCTCAAGATGTGCAGGCGACGAATAGCCAACGAGCCTTCCGAGTCCTGCAACTCCTAAGAAAACGCGCAGACAACTGCCCGAACGGATACAAGGGCTGCTCCAACATGGGCAACTCGCAAGTCTGCTGCCAGGACAACGCAAGATGTACCAAGGATAACGCGAATAATATCGCCTGCTGTCCCACCGGTGCGAGCTGTACAGGAATTCTTGGAAGGGGCGCTGGATCGTCAGGCGCAACGCAAACGTCAAGCAGTTTCTTATTTCCTCAACCAGTCGGCGCTACTCCAACCACCACTTCGAATGAGAACCCTCAGGTTACCGGCTCAACGCTCTCAGGTGCCGCCTATCCATTTATATACGTTCCAACGACATTTCCGAATGCTGCGATGTGCTCTGCGTACTACTCTGCTTGCCAAACGGATTTTGTGAGATGCACCTCGGCCTTGGGATCACAATATAGGGTCACTGTTGGGGGTAATGACGGTGGTGGCCTGACTGTAGGTGGCGCGCCTGCTGCCTCAGAGGTCGCATCTACGTGTTCCAGTCTAAGCATGTCGGCTTGTCATGGATTACAGATAGCCAACTGTCCCAGCTATGGAGGCCAAGCAGGGGATACTGGAAATAGTGCCTCGGGGGTCCGGGTTGCTAATTTGAAGGATTTGATGCTTGCGCTGGTGGTTGGGGTTACGGGGATGTTTATATGATTATGATCAAGGATGGTTGCGCTTTCCTTACGAAGATATGTACGTTGATGGTGTTGCCAACATATGCCATGATGAATATATGACATGATGGTCTATTTTTGTTTAGTTCCCCTCCAGTTTCCTTTGGATATAATACAAATGACAATCTATATCAACGACTAACTGTAGGCCATCCCTGGAGCCTTCTTTTCTTCTTTTTCCTTTCCAATTCTTTTTCATATTCCATATTCTCCAACTAGCTTCTGAGCATTGGTCTAGATTCAAAAAAAAAAAAAAAAAAAAAAACACTTAACTGTCCTCAGTGATGGGGCTACTGTGAATATCTTCAAGGGGGGACATTCATATCAGACCGAGAAAGACTGTCAATATGGATGAATAGTGCATTAGTGAACCAGATGCAAACTAGACTTGTCGTCTTGTGTAGACAGGGTTGACACCGCCTATACTATACCATACATATACTCCACAAATGAGGCGCCTGTTATACATTTGTCTCCGGATTATATTAATAGGTTTTCAGGGGAGATGTTACCACCCCAGCCATGCTGTCAGAAATATCTTAAACATAGTCAGTAGCATCCACAGCAGAAGAAATGGAATGGTCAGTGACAAGGAGGGGGGAGGGAAACATACTGCAATGTTTCTATCGTCTGCTTCCGAACGTCCTCTATATCTTTCGGACTCAGACAAGACGAAGATTGAATTCTTCTCGCCTACAGGATGGATAAAATGGTACACCATTCCTTTTACTCATAGCAATGATGCGTATTGCTCCTCCAGGTTATGGGTCCTCGAGTTCGGACTGTCTGTATGTATTTCATGTGTGGTGTATCTAGGAGTATGACCCGATCCTTCATTGTCCTTGATGGCTTGCCACTCCTCGAAACATTCGTCAAACATGCCCCAGAGACTCTCAAGACTACGGAACATTAAGGAGAAGGGGATTCAGGCTAATTTAGAAGTTATATTATCGGCTTATATTTTTAGAGATTGGATAGGCCTACTACAGCGTAGGTAGTGCCTTCATTCGAGATGATGCTTGTAACTATGTGCGGAGCACTGAACCTCGGGAACCTGGCGAGCCACCGAACTAAGAGCCTAAAAAGAACATATGCTATCTTTTCTAACCCATATGTTTATATGTTTCAATATCTCATATATTTGCGATATGGAAGTGAAAGTCATTGGTGGGTGTCTCTGTTGCCTGCAGAGAGGTAGATGTCTTCTGAGTCCCTGCAAGCAGTGAATATTCATATGGCCGCGCTATTTGCATACACTTGCACATGATCGAGTACCACTTATTTATTATTGCTGAGGTAGAAAGAAGTAGCATGGACAGTAATTACTTTGAATTTCCATACTACTACTACCAGAAATTAACATGCCGCCCTTTCCTCTGCCTTGAAAGTCCTTATTGGAGACCATACTTGCAACGATCCAAAGCCAATCTGAGTGCGAAATCATAAAGCAACTACAAAACTTTCCAGCTCAACTTCAGCTCTGGCCTTCGTTTTCTAAGGCGAAGAATTTCATGTCTAATATACTTGAGGGAAGGCACCGCAGCTAGGCTTCATTGTGTTTGGACGCCCAAGAAAGACGCTCCTTGTGGCAGAATTGAAAGTGCCATGGAATATGCCGTTGAGGGAGTTCATCAACGATGACTTCAAGGTTGTTTGGGGTACATTTATTAATCCTTGGAGATTCCAATGAAAGATTATCTGCATACTAACAAGTGGTTCTTTTGTACACAGGCTAGCTGGAGCATTATATGGACATATGACGTACAAAATACGGAGTCATAACTACGTACAACGAGACCATCTGTGTTAAAAAGACGATCAGGAGGTAAAAGTTTTGCGTAATACAAAACTTGCATGGGCTAGGTAAAGCAGAGAATGCATTCACCTGGAATACATAGGTCTGATTCAGGCACCTAGCGCAGATAGAGGGAGCTGCATTTGCATTTCACGTGGCAATTAGATAGAACACATGAGTCCAGCTGAACAGTGCTGGATAGGAGTCTTTCAACTAAAAATATTCTCTGCATTTATTGCGATCTGCTGGGACTGGAAATGTATCCTTTGTAACATGGGTCTCAGGGTCAGCTACCACGTTGGTTCCACGGCATTAACCCTGTACTCTGCAGAACAGCAAACATACAACAGCAAATACGAATGGCCATTATTACTATGGAGCAGGACATTACTTCATGCAAGGATACTGCGTTGCATATGCAGACTGTCTAGGTTTCGATGTTGCATGATAAGAGCTCGAAGAGGGGTAGTAGTATATTCATTGTATTGTAGTCTGAAAGCCCCCTCATTTCAATGCAAACCGCGGAATCCTAACCATGTGAAGAAGTAAATATTCTCCGCAGTCTTTAACTCATTTTTCTTCGTTTAATCGTAATCTTTTAGCAAGAGAATCATCGTATGCTCGTCGCTGTTCGAGTGATTGGCTGCGAAATCCGGGTGGTTGGGTAGGGTTAGGAGGCTGGGAAGTACAAGTACTCAAAGTAGACCGTCCACCGTGAGTTGTACAATCTCCCTTCTAGCTTGCCTCTTCCTTTTTATTTTCTATCCTGTTCCTTGTTTTTTGCTCTCTTCCCCTGTCTTCAAAAGTTTATGCTCATTTTGCCTTGTCTGCTGCCCGCTAGTCCTAGTTCGTTCGTTTTGTTTACTCTGACCACGATCCTTTCTGGAGTCAAGGGATAGCTAGATCTTGCTCCTTGCGTCTGCCTTCCCAGTTTGTCGCAAAGGAGCACCGATACTAGAACTGGATAGAACCGATCTTTCTTATCTAAGTATTTCGACATCATTGCTGCTGTCTATCTGTTGGACACCTCGACTCGACATCCAGCCCGCCATGCGGAGTCCCAGAATACTCCCAGCGGTTATCGTTCTCCTCTTGATGTTTCTGCAGCTTGCAAGGGGCAACCCGCTGCAATTGGAGGAGAACGAGCAAAACGATCTCGAGAAACGCTGTGCGAACCCGTGTGGATATCAGGGCTGGCTCTGCTGCGGTTCCAACCAAGTATGCGGCACCACCAGTGACGGAGAGGCCGCCTGTTACGATTCACAAATAACCACCACATCTTCCTACTGGCAGTATTACACCACTACCTATCTGACTACTGAGACCGATGTTTCGACTGTGACTTCGACATGGAGCAGTCTTTTGACCGCGCCTCCGGCTGCAGCCACCTGCAGGGCCTCGATTGGAGAAACGGTGTGCGGTGATAGGTGCTGTGAGGCTGCATTCGAATGTGTCAATGGCGAGTGTGTTCAGGGAAGTTCTTCCGCCGTCTATCCAACTCCTCCCGTACTGGGCACGAGCAGCGGTTTCTCGACCGTCACGGAGACTGCAGCTCCGACGACCACCGAGCCTTTTATCGCACCCGTGAATACAGACGGGGTCCCTGTGACAGGCGCAAAAGCCTCTAACAATGGAAAACTGAGCGGTGGAGCAATTGCTGGAATCGTAATCGGTAGTCTCGCCGGCCTTGCCCTCCTCCTGCTGCTCCTGTTCCTCTGCATGCGCGGCCGACGGCGAACGGAGACAACCGTCGTCGAAGAGCATTATTCCCATCATTCTCATAGTGGTGGTGGTGGCGGCATCTTTGGGCGTACATGGTTTGGTTCCAGACCGACCAGACCGTCAAGGGTCGATGAAGGGAAGACATCCAGCGGCTGGGGCAGTCTGGCTACAATCGGTATCATTCTGGGTGCGATTGCTCTGTGCCTCGGACTGAGGAGACGCGAACGAAACGAGAAGAGCGACTACACCAGTACTACAGGGTACACGTATGACCATTATTCCGATTACTATACTAATACGGCGAGTATGTATATCTCTACTGTCTTTTCCTGGGCCTCCCTGTCAGTCCCACTAACACTGGTTCTCCAATATAGGCAGCGAAAGCTCAGACAGACGAACACGACGGTCAAGGCACTCCAGATCTTCGAGGCCCTCCAGATCTAGAAGATCATGAATGGCATGAATGGCGATGGGAAAGAAAACGAACAACAACAACAACAACAATAACAACAAAAGACGACTCGGACGAAGAAGCGAATACCTTACTGTATTGTATCAACGGCTTCACATGCATGCTACATCTACCTGTGCGCTATGCTCTGGCATATAGTCACTCACCCCTATATTTTCCACGACCTCCCTTTTCATATTCCCCTTGTGCTTGATGAGACCGTTGTGCGTTTTATCTTCCTTCTCTCCTGGCGCGATTTGCAACGATTGTGATGTAAATAGTATGAGGGACGAATATTCATGGTAGATAATGACCCGCATCATAATCCAGATGCAATAATGAACAGAAATGGATAATTCCAATGCAAGTGTCTTAGTTAAATAATAAGAAGATATTGTTCTAGTGAGCGTTGGGAGATGCGAAGGTATCGCGGAGCTGGTACGCATTATTGCCGCAGAGGAAGCATGGGCGACGATGATATTCTCCTGCAGTCCGGCGTTGGGCATCCCTGTCTCTTCAGCACGCTGACATATGACGAATAACCGTCTCCCGAAAGATAGATAGATAATAATGCTTGTCCTGGGGAATCATTAGAGATGAAGCATGCAGAGACCGGCTTCAGTGAACGGAGACCGTCGAGGCCCCTCCCGGCTGGCTCGCGTAGGAATAATAACTCACCCGGAACTCTCTTCCTGCTCCATCTCTTCGACCCTTCTCTTTCACTTCGCTTCTCTCCACCAACTTCGACTGCCACAACGCTCATATATGACTTAGCCTCTACATCTAGGTCCTCTACTGTTTAACTGCTACGCTTGACCCGTATCATTCTTCCTTGCCACCGAGTCCGCGCTCTCGATTCTTCCGCCTATCCTGAGTCTCGCCAACGCAGTCCGTCGCACCCTCCCCTCCCGATCCTTCGTCGGTCGCAATGCTCCAAACGCAAACTCAGCACGTCTTTTCCCACCAGCATCAATACCCACAGGCGGATCCGTCCTGGTTGCAGCATCAACATCAACATCAGCAGCAACATCATCATCATCCAGCCCAGCACCCTCACCAGGCCCAGCAGCACCAACCACATTCTTCATTGGTCGCCCAACAGCATGCCCAGGTTCAGGCTGCCGCTGCCGCCGCTGCCGCCGCTCAACAGCAGCACTACAGCCGCATTGCGATGACCGGAAATGTCGGAGGAAACTTGTCTCAGGCCGGTGTTGGGGGGTTGAATGCCGATGGCAGTGCTCTGTCGAATGCAGTATCAGTTGTGGATGGCGGGATGAGTGAGGAGAATCGCAAGGTCTTTGTCTGGGTTGCCGAACTGCTGGATCCGGCGCGCAGGGAGGCGGCTCTGATGGAACTCAGTAAGAAAAGGGAACAAGTTCCGGAGCTCGCGTTGGTCATTTGGCATTCTTTTGGTAGGCTTCTACTCAATTGCGGCGCTTGCATATTGACGACTGACTCATGCTTTTTATCCCACAGGCGTCATGACGGCTCTATTACAAGAAATAATCTCCGTTTATCCACTTTTGAATCCTTCACAGCTAACTGCTGCTGCTTCAAATCGGGTCTGCAATGCTCTCGCCTTGCTCCAGTGCGTCGCGTCTCATAATGAGACCCGCACCCTTTTTCTGAACGGTAGACCATGTGTACAGCCTGTATATAATTTATACGAGACTGACTTCTTCTCCTTTAACAGCCCATATCCCTCTTTTTCTTTACCCTTTCTTAAACACCACGTCCAAGTCTCGTCCCTTCGAGTACCTGCGTCTCACCTCTCTCGGTGTGATTGGAGCATTGGTCAAGAATGATTCTTCGGACGTTATAAACTTTCTCCTTACGACAGAAATCATTCCTCTTTGTCTCAGGATCATGGAGACTGGTTCCGAATTGAGCAAGACAGTGGCCATCTTCATCGTGCAGAAAATTCTACTCGATGATATCGGTCTTGCATATATCTGCGCCACATACGAGAGATTTTACGCCGTCGGGACTGTACTGAGCAATATGGTTACCCAGCTCGTGGAGCAGCAGACTGTGAGACTACTCAAGCATGTTGTGCGCTGCTTCCTTCGGTGGGTTTCCTTGCTAATTAACTGGGTATTGGTCCTCGGAGACATGTCTTTTCTAACAACCCCTCAACAGTCTAAGCGATAACAGCAGGGCACGGGAGGCATTGCGTCAGTGTCTACCTGAGCCTCTCCGAGACGCCACCTTTTCCTCTGTTCTCCGTGACGATGCAGCCACGAAGCGGTGTCTCGCGCAACTCCTTATCAATCTTTCCGACAACGTTTCTGACGGAACCGTGAGCGCTATCATGTAAAACAGAAAAACAAAGGAAAAGAAAAAAAAATTTTGAAAGAGGAAGATTTCTTAATATACGTGATATATTCGACAACCTTACGACATGCATGGGATGGCTCAAGGCGAAAACAGGCACGAGGCGCAACGAGTGTGAAATCATGGATTGCAACATTAAAGGGAAGTGGTCAAAAAGCACCGGGATTGACTTTTTTTACCCCCTTCTTTTCTTTTCTTCTCTGTTTCAATTCTTTTCTTCGAACTGGATGCATATTTGAATAAATCGGGGGATCTGGTTTGGGGTTCTTCGTGTTGACTTGTATCATGGTTTGCTTTTCTACGTCTTTTTTTTCTTTTCTCTTTCTCTTCTGCCGGGCTTGTTTCATATTATCTATGCCTATGTATTGGCATGGACAGGGTGTTGGGTGGCGGCGCAGATCGCAAGAGCTGGCGTGGTTCTTGTTAGGATGCTGGTACATTTTACTTTCCCATATTCCCCTCGGACCCGCGATTGATCTCATTTTCTGGTTTTTCTTCTTCTTATTAATTATTCCATGTGAGATACTGATGCTGATAGACTTTCTTTGAGCGAGAGATACCATGATCTAGTCTGTTTTTGCGTTGTCTTGCCCTCTACTCCTGTGTCTGCTGCATTTCTCTCTTTACAATGTGTCCTCGCATAAAAGCATTTGCACTTTCGTTCTTGCCCACCTTACTCTTGATGAGGCTATTTCTGTCTATATAGCAGAAAGGGCCTTTTTTTTTTTGTAGGTAGCATTTATTATTTACGTGCCTTTTAATCAAGTCCCACCAGATTTGCTCTATTCTGTAGCCGCATATGTGCATATGTATGAAATTGTTGACGCAGGCTACTCGTCATGAAGTCAACAAATTCTGATCAAATAAAACAAGGGTAATGTCATCGTTGCCTTCATCTTCCCTACTTGAGATGTCTGTGCCCATGTTCACCAGCGCCCCTGTGCCTTTCTAGTTACTATACCGTGCTGTGACTAGTGAGCGCCAGATCACCTGACAGGGCCCAGCCGTGTGAGCTCATCGCCAACTTTACCGTGAATCCTCCGATCCAACACGAAATCTCCGCGTCCGATCTTGTCCCGTGCGCCCTTCTTTTCCTCAAGTTCTATACGAATCCGTGTTAGTTCTAATTGATTGAAGATATCGCTTCTGACGATATTCTCCGTATTCTAGTGTTAATTCCCAAGGGACCAAAGCGTGGGAAAAAAAAAAGGAAAAGATAGAGAGTGATTGGAACGTCGAGCCCAGACCAGATCGAATCGGAGTTATCAGTCATTTCCCTCGTCTCTCGCGCTGCCGAGCGTACACATGTACACAGTCTGATACTGCCGCCATGGTATCGCGGAAGCGCACACGCTCCGAACTTGACTCTGGAGCGTCGGAGGAGCATCAGAATCAGCAACAGAACCAGGATCATGGTCGGCAAATCGAGGAACCGGGGCTGCTTCAGCGTCTGAGGAATTGCTGGGAGTTTGCGAATTTGATGCAGTACATCCATTTCTTTGGGAAGATTGTGAAGATCGATGAGGATTTTGATATTGAGGTATGTCTTCGCTCCATGTGGGGTCGTATCCCTTGCCTACAGGGCTTCCGCTTCTACTGTTCCCCTCGTCGCTTGCTTGTTTCCTACCTGGAGGGACTATTATTAACTTTGGGTACTTTACATTGACAGGTGCTAGAGACTGAATGCCTCAAACCGGGTCCGTCAGAGAAACTCTTGGAGATCGGGTTATGTCTCCTGAAATTCATCTCGTCGCGTCGCGATCTTACGTACGTTGCTACCTGAACGTGTCCTGCTGTTGGTTATGGTGAAATGCTAATGAAACGGTTCGTGTTCTTCCAGGTATGACAATTTCGACGAACACACGCGACGTCAATATAACAGAAGAGCCCCTAATCTGCCCAACCCGTTTGGGTACGATGAAGAGCCTCTAAAATTCTCCGAATTCGATATCTTCCTGAAGCTTCGCGTTCTTCACCAGTTGACAGTATGGACGCTTGTGAATCCAGACCACATTCGGCGGAAGATGCCGGACCTGAAGGAACATGAGCAGGTTGAATGGGTGAGTTATTACTTTTAATCTTTGGGGGACTATTTGTTCTTCGCTATTAACGCTCATTCTTCTATCTTTTCAAAGCGCGTTGATGAAGTGGGCTACGATCGCAAAGGCCGCTACTATTACGTCTTGGATGATAACAGACTATACCGTCGCACCAACCCCCCTCTCCCACCACCGAAACCCGTCAAACCAAAGAAGAGCAAAAGTGCCAGGGCCATGAGAGCCTCGAAGCGTCGGAAACTGTCCGGTTATGCTATTTTTGATTCCGAAGAAGAGAACGAAACAAATGGTAATGACGATGTCGCGGAGGAATATACTGGCGAATATGAATGGGAGTGCATCGCCGTTACGCTTGCCGATTACCGACAGTTTATAGGTTCTCTTCAAAAGACCAAAGACCCTGATGAGAAGGAGTTACGCGACACGCTGGTCGAAAACGTGATTCCGTTCATGGAGAAGATCGAGGAAGAACAACAGCGGAAGATATTGAAGCGGGAGAAGGAACTCTTTAATCTACAGCTGCTTGCTAGTGCAAAGAGATCTAGCCGACTTGCGCATAAAGCCGAAAAGGAACGCCAAGAGCGAGAAGCCCTTGAAGCTGCCCGGAAACATGAGATGGAAGAAGCTACGGCTCGCAAGGAGCAGGAGAAACAAAAGAAGATGGAAGAAGAGCGGCGCTCGCGGATTATCTCTCGGGAACAGCGCATGAAAGACCGAGAACAAAGGCGCTTATTGCACGAAGCTGAGCTCGAAAGGATAGCAGAAGAGCAGAAGAAACTCGAACGAGGCGAGAGTAGGATGTCTGAAAGACATCTCCAAGCTGAGCTGGAAAAGCGAAAGAGAAGCTTGGAAGAGCTTAACAATGAGGAAAACTGGTTTTTTGATTGCTCCGGATGTGGCGTGCATGGAGAGAACCTGGATGACGGTACTCATAGTGTCGCATGCGAGAAATGCAACGTGTGGCAGCACAGCAGGTGTCTCGGCATCGCGCAGGATGAAGCGGAAAGGGAAGATTTCCATTTCGTGTGCAATGACTGCAAGCGGCGCGAAGAGGAAGCAAAGCTCCCGAAGCTTCCTCCCTTGAAGTTCCGTATTGGGACTTCATCTGCATCCCAACCCTCTAATACTATTCCCATCAATGGGAAGGGGGAGAGTGTCGGTGAAAGCAAGCCTCCTGCGTCCCCCATGAAAAAGGAGAAGAATGGTATTTCTCTACATCCGACCGGTTTGCAGCCAGGTTCGCCTCAACTATCGCCGGAACGGCGCCCATTGACTGCTACACAAAACCATTCGATCCCTTATCAAGCGCCGCAATCTCCATCCAAGAATATGAATGGCTTCGGGGCTTCTGTTAAACAGCATGAGAAGCAGCTTCCGGGTCAGTTCACCTTCCCGCCAGGTCAACATGTATTTCCGCTAAGCAATTCGCCTTTCGCTCCCCAACGCCCGTCCTCATCTCACTCCGCGAGAAGCCCGACTTTACCTTCGCCCATTCAGAATCGGCCATCGATGTCTCCGACACAGGGAAACAGGGACGTTGGTCCTCTGGCAGGCTTTCCACCAACTGCTCCGTCAAATGAGTCGGCTCCTTGGACATCCTTTGGACCGCAGCAGGCTTCACACGCCGATGTTGCAACCCGACCTTCCTCATCGATGCAGAATGGCCACCCATCATTTTCCGCAGTCACACCTGGCGGTGCTTCTTTTAGCCACTCGCCCCTCCCGTCCCAGAGTTCGCCTGGCGTCCCGTCGTCAGGACTCAGTCCAACAAAACAACAGTCTTCTCGGCCTATGTCGGCAGGCGGACTGGTCGGACCCTCGGTCATGCCTCCCGTTCCAAGGCTCGAACCGAGCCCGAAGTTGATGGGAAGAAGTTCGCCGGATGCACCGATACCTCCTCCCGTGAAGACAATGCCTCCAGAGCAAGAGGAACGGAGACAGAGGCAACTTGGTTTATTCTCATCACGTACTGAGTCGCGTCTGTCTAATAATCAACCTGTAGTATTGAACGGCTCGCCATCTTTTGATATACCACCTCTTGGACCATCGGTCGTGAGCCAACAGCAACTTCTTCCTATGTCGTCTCCTACCCGAGGCGATCATAATATGAACGGGCAGTAGATTTGGCACATTGCTCCTTGGGTCTCTGTTCATGCCTTATGAGTGCCTACGACTGCCATCTTTACCTAGTGAGCATGCGTCTTATTCGATGTTTCCCAGCCTGATGCTATTGATACTTGGTTGTTAAAAAAAGGATTTGGAGTACGGTTTCTAGATGATTCCTGGGGTATTGGATCTATTTTCACCTGGAAATTGTCGGTCGTGCCAAACCACTTGCATTCTCGAATACAATGCGTTTTAGGTCGTTGGGAACTGTCTTTCTTAATTGGTGAAATTGGAGAAGCAATGGCGCTGTTTTGTCATAGATACGGGTGGAATTCTCCATTCTTCTTGTTTCTTATTGATTGCTACACATCACTACTTCTTGTTATCCTCCAGTTGGCAAGGACTGGGCATGGAAATGGGGAGTTACCGGGCTCTTCTTGTCTCTATCTTAGAGTTAGTCGTCTACTAATTTCGATGCGAATATGAGAACAACTGGTTTGTTTTATGCTTGCCTTCGTTATCATCCCCTTTCTCTCTCCGGTATCTTTGTCGATATGGCGATTTTATTGACTGGAATGACTTGACCAAGTCCTTCGCGAGTCTACTGTTGCTATTGTCAACATCCATGCTCCGCTGTGATGTTATACATGGTCACATCGCTGACAGATACACAGACACAGCACAGACGGGATTGCATCCTTGCTACGCGCGATGTACAGTCAATTCTGTCCTGCTGACCAAGAAGATCTGATGTATAAAGTCCATTCTCAACGGTTGGATTGATCAGTCGAGTTGAACCATCCCGTTTTCCAATCTTGATAATTGAATTTGTAAGTGCTTATGGAAACTCAGGCTTAACCGATGTTTCTATCCTACCAGGGCCACTGGCGCTAGTGATTGTGCTTGCCTACATGGATGAGACACTTTCTGCCCTCTAACTAAGCAACACTGCCGAGTCTTTTTATGCCGCAAGATATGTTTAGCATGGTCGGTCTCGGGTTGGGTTGGAAGGCAAATTTAGGCTTGCTTTCTCAAAGGAACGGCCAAGCTAACGAAGCGCTGAACTTGCGGCTTCAGTGTCCAGATCACATCCCGATCTTCCTGGAAATCATCGGATTCCCATCACCACAAACCAATGGCTACGTGCGAAAATCCCACAAGAGATGTGTATCCTTTTCTACAAGCGCATTGCTTGTACGAACTGGACAAGCAGTGTTGTTTGTCGCTTGTGACGGAACAATGGACATTATTTTCTCGAAAATTTGACTGTGGCTGGCATCTAGAGATGAAATAACAGTCATCATGTATGGAAGCTGTGCGCTTAAGTGTATGATGGTATCTTTTTTTTTTTTTTTTTTCACAGTGTTCTGATTCGCGCATTGCAGTGTATACATTCAATCCCGTCCTGCAGGCGCTGTTTTTCATCACACCTAACTGCGAGAAGCGGCCATGACAGATCTAGATATCCTGATGTGTCAACTTGAAATGCTGTCAGTGTCAGGTCGAGAGCAGTTAGAAGCAGCCGCCAAGCGCTCCGTCCGGTGATTCTAGTATTTCTAAAATATTATATTAAATATATTACCCATCGACAGGACTGACTAGACTAACATTGGTTACTTCAAATCACAAATATCCGCGATTCTCCAGAGCAACCACTGTCGACGCTAAAGCCAGTGTGGGTCATTGAAACGCAGGAACGGCTCGGGCATAGGAAAGGAGAGACATCTGGATGACACGGAACAAAAACTACCTAGACTATTGAGCTGGCTTGCAGGGGTTTGGGTGATGTGCACGCGAGCTGCAGCAGTTCATATCTCTTTTCCCTATCTGGACGACGTGCAGCTATAGCTACGCCGGATCCGGTCCAAATGCCCGAGGAGCTCGAGGGATTGTCCTCGCTTGAGTATTATTATTACTGTCATAGACTCATGGCCGGACCGCCCAACTAGTTCAAGGCTGCACTCGATGCAGACAGGCAACAGGGATGCAATTAGTCATGATGTCAAAAGTACGGACTACCGCCAGGGGCTAGACTACCTAGTACCTATCCGGCTGCATCAGATCGAATGTGAGCTCTCGTTTCGCGTCACTAACAGTCAATTGTTGCCACAGATGGTACGAGTAGCTGCGAAGGTGCTCCTCCAGCGGCAAAGAGGCCAGAGTGTCGATCTCTTCGCATGGATGATGACTCGAGTTCGAGGTCTGACTTGGGCACTGTTGCGTAACGAAGCTGCCGGCTCAGGGTCACCCATGGCTGAAGAATACTGGGGTCTATTTTTGCCTCTCTGTATTTTCCCTCATACTTTCCACTTGACATCGCGCAATCGATAGATGGAGAGGGAAAACTATATTTAGACCCTTCGAGATGAAGCCGTATAGGGTCCATGAGTCCACGAAGACCTATTTCTATCATCCCGATTCTATATATAACATGAAACTCTCCCTGACTGGAGCCTGAAACCAATGGCTGTTTCACCATCGAGAAGGGTCTTGATAGTTCACGCCGGAAGCGTGAGCAGTTTGTTGCAGCTACTGCCGAGGGGGAACCTTCTTATGTCGGCCGACCAGGGACCAAAAAACTCGGACAGATCAGCCAGCCCTCAGTCTGCTATCTGATCTGGCAAGGGTTCCCTGGATTGATTCGCGTATTGAAAGCCATCAACAGACGTTGATGTCTCAGGAAGTTTCTTCGTCCAATCCAGGAAGAGGGAAGCGATGCACACTTTACTAGAAGTACTCAGAGTCAGAGCTGTGGATAGAGTATTGGTCTATACCATCGGTGAATTGCATGGGACAGAGCCACAGAAATAGAAACGCCTCTTTTTTCTTTTTCTTTTTTCCATCTCGCCGTCTCAGTTGCTGATGTGTTTGATGTTTGAACCGTTGCAGATGGTGTTGCATCAGGGCTGTGTTGGACGCTGGAAGCAGCATATGCATGTGTACCAGGGCCTGCAGGAACATTGCAAGCTGGACTGCTTGATCTGTGCATATCCTTCAAGCATGTGGATTTCCCTGCAGGGTCCCTAATGTGCATAGTATAGTATCATATAGAGGTCACTGTAAGCTGTAGGTACCAAGTCCACCACAATTGTACAGCTGCATTCCACATCAAGCATATTATCCATTGCTTGTGAAATTAAATATCTCTGAAGCACACGGGAAGTGCAGCCAGCCATATTGTACATGTACTGCTCTGCTGTAAACCGCGGGAGCATCCTGTGGAAGCATCTTGCTTTCTCCAAGCGACGATCCACCAGCTGCAGGTCACTACCAGTAAGTCACTTATGATAATCTATAGCTCCATGCACTGTGTGTGGGACAGCATTTATGAGCCCCAGCTAAGATGTAGCTCACCTTCCGGAATTGTCATGTACCTCGATGATCTACAGAGGTGACGACGATTCTGGCGACAGATTGATTTCCCCTTCTTCCCCGTCCAATCCTGTCCTCCGCGGCTGACAGCTCCATCAGCCACTGCGCCGTAAACGGGCAGAAGCGAGGACTGCATGTCTGTGTGTTGCATATTATCGTTAAACCTAATCCCGTGTCAGTGAGGCGGCACCCAGTGGCGAGCTGTGCTGGGAGCGTCTTCGTGTTGGATTTGACAGCCGTTTTCGATACTCCTCGTGTCCGAAACGGGCTGGGCTATCTTGGGACAATTCAATTCCTTTTTTTCTTTGGCATCTGGGAATTATCTACGGTTATATTTTTCACCAATACGAAAAGGCTCTCAATTAATTGAGACTTATGCCAATAGATCGAATGTAAGCAGACATCCCAGTGTGAACACAGGTTGACCATCGTCAACTGGAGTGATCGGCAAGTGTTCTCATCGCGTTAATTAACTACACCATTGTATCTGGATGGCAGTGATAGCTAATTCTAGTTACTGCCATCTCAGGCTTACTGCAACTGGTCATTACTGTGACTTGCATGCAGCCATATCCATGTGAAAGGGTAGCATAGCCCGACCTGGGTGTTTCGCATGCACCCCAGGCCGTCTCCTAGCCGGAGTTGGAGTTAAGATAGCACCTCTGCATTCTTGAACTACTGTTTTGCAGGATTATGCTTTCTTGGACCCTGGATCCATGCTATGAACGTGTGGGATGAAACAAGCTGCTGCTCTGCTCTGCTCTCATTATCTCAGTGTACAGCGGGATGAACTCCCTGCCGTCCGATACTCGATCGGGGACTTCATGCTTGATCTCCGTTGGATTTCTGACAGATCAATTAGGAGTGCAATGTGCGCCATTCCCCGTTGCCTTCTCCGTGTCTGCCTCCTGGGGTGGAGACATGTATAGACATGTACGAGATGATCTGCCATGCTATATGCTATACATCATGATAAACCTCTTTCGAAGCGCCTATACCAGTCCGTCTGGGGAATAGATGAACCAGCCCACTGGGAATAATGCACACGCACGGGCCCCCGTCTCTAAGCCGGCCGCCTGCAGCAGAGGGAATAGTATCGTCGTCGGCTTGAAGCCATCCTCACTGCATTCAGAGGAAGACCTAGACGTCTTTTGCCTCCCTCCTCCTCTCCCTCCCTCCCGGCCAAACAGAAACATCGGGCATGCCCTTCTCCTACTCCTGCATCAGCATGTCTTTATATTTGGCACAAAGACGGGGAAAGGGGCAGCTGCACGAACACGGCTGGATCTTTCTGGGAAGAGTAAGTCAGGACCGTTCTGAAAAATGACCCGGCGCAGTGGAACAAAGACGACTATTGCCTGTGTGTGCCTTTTGTGACCCTCTCGCCAAGGGTTGTTTCTATTATGGATGTTATTATTAGGTGTATTATTCAATGATGCCGCCCATGCCTACATGTCTCAGCCGCCAGCACGCCAGGATCACCCTGGTCGCGCGTCTAGAACGGGTGTCTGCAACAGGAATCAAGCCTCAGCAGTAGACCGGGGTATGATGCCTACTTATTCCCCATGTTATCGCTCATAAAGTCGGTCGTGGAGGCATCATCTCATACCTCTTCCCCTCTTCTGAGACTAGACAATCATAAAAATATAAACTGCCTGTCGTCTCGTCCTCTTTCCCTTTCTTGCCCCTGTCTCTTTTTACCCATCTTCTTTCTTCCTTGATCAGATCTTTTGGCTCGGTTGGTTCTGCCTGCTGGCTTGTGGTTGTTGCTGGAGACCCACTTCCATCGTTCGGTGAATGGTCTATCTGTCTACTGCCATTCCCTTTCCTTCTTGTCCACGCTATAACCGACGACCATCTCTACAGAGCAGGAACCATGGTTACTGCTCCAAGGTTCTTTCGAACTCAACCTTCTGCTGGGGAAATTGCTCCAGAGGCTCAAGCGGAATTCAGTGGCATCGCCCACATGCCTGGATCACGGCCTTTTGTGAGTGAAGCCACGCTACCGTAGGAACTTGTGTATGTCCTTGCTGACCAACGACAACAGACTCCTCCTTCCTTCTATTCTTCCGATGGCGATTACTCCCAGATGATGCCGATTCGACCTGCAGTAAGCTTTGCCTGCTCTGACGACATTCCATCAATACTGACACACACTTCAGGTTGACACTCCCCCGCTGACTGCTGAAGATGCACTTTCTCTGGGCACCCGACGATCGTCGCCGGCACGCTGGGCATCCCCCGCTCCCCGAAGCGTGCCTATGAACGTCCAGGGTAACGTCAGAGTGTGCAGGCCACCAAGGAGCAGGCGCCGTCGAAGCAAAAAGGACAGAGCTGAGGGAGCGTCCCAACTGCCAGGTCCCTTGAGCGAATTGACGAAGCATATGACCCATATCCCTATCCGGGACATGGAAGCCCAGGTAAATCGGCCAATTGAGGTCCGGCGCCAGGAGGCGCTCAGGAAGGGAAGGGTAGTGCGACCGATGAATTCCTTCATGCTCTATCGATCTGCATATGCCGAGAGGACCAAGGAATGGTGTGAACAGAATAACCACCAGGTTGTCTCAAAAATATGTGGCTGGAGCTGGCCGCTTGAGCCTAATGAGATCCGGGAGAAGTATGAGCGATTGGCATTGAAGGAGAGGGATAACCATCTGCTTGCACACCCACAATACAGGTTCAAGCCCACCAAGAACCCATCCAAGAAAACCCCAGCTTCTTCGGTAAATGGGGATGAATCCACCGACCTGGATGATTTTGCCTCGCCTTCCTCCCTCATGGGCCATCAAGGCAGCGCTGAGGTCGACAGCGCCTTCAACAGTCGCGGCTCAACTCCCCTTGATACTCCGGAATCGTCCTTTGCGGGCAGTTATAGCAGCTCTCCCTGGCAGATGGGACGGTCGTTCCCCACGGGGATGATGACACCTCCCGAACCGGCGCATCATCTCATCCCATCATCTATCCACCAAAGCGTACTGGGCGCGCATGTGGAGGACGTGCCATTCCAGGATATCCAATTCACCTCTGCCCTAGCCGGTCTACCGGGCAGTGCACACCATGATCTGCTCCAACCTCAGACTTCTGCCCCAGCCCCTGGACAAGCCGGTGAAGGTCAACTAGACCCCCAGCTGCTATTCCATCATGGACAACCCAGCACTGGTGTTGACGGTCACGGTTACAACCACAACAGCAACAACTTCCCATACGCCTGGCAAGAACATCCCACAGCCAGCTGCTATCTGCCCATGACCGCTGCCTTGACTCCAAACACGATGCAAGCCTATCAAGTCCTCGAGCCGTCCTATTCGTCTGATATCCATGCGGGTACCGATGGACGCGACGCATGGAGCCTGTCTTATGAGACTAGCTTCGACGATTCGAAAGAATTCGATCGTTGGTTTGATCCTCAATCGGACGGGTATTGAGAAGATGCGCCCAGAAGAAGATGGGTTAACCTATCAATCCTATGTTAATATTTGCTTGTCGTGGTCCGAATGTCTTCATCTCTTTTGTTTCTTTCATCCTTTTTTGTCGGAGTTGGCGCCATAGGATAAAGCTAGTGGAATAATCTCTAGGATTGTGGATGGCATGCTGTTGGTCCCTTTGATTATGATTGATTTGTTATCATGTATAAGTTCTTAGGATTGTACAATGAAAAACCTGTACAGGCTGCATTCTTCGTCTGGTTTTCGTAAGGATATTATCCTCTGTAGGATTTAGCGGTGGTATGTGCACTGGCGCATTGACCCACTGATCTTCCCTTGCCGTCAAAGCCTCCCAGGAAGAACGCGTCTGTTACAGCGCACAGCAGATTTGACAAATTGACGCTGGCAAATAGCCCGAAGACCATCATTCTAAGGATAGTATTATTATTTTATCGGTACCTGCATCGCCTCTGCAGCATGTACGGCGAACTTGGCAACAAATTGGTAACTACCCCAAAACCACGCCATGTCTACCATGACTAGCAACCACAGACAAAAGAGAAAGAAGAACTGACAATCACGACAGGTCCAACATGCAAAACGAACCCAATCCCTCTCTCATCTCCCCCCATACCAAACCGAACTCGTCCGCTCGGTAACGCGCGAAGTGCGCGACCTAGACCGTGACCTAACCGCCCTCTTAGCGCCGTTCGAAGGCACATTCAACCCATCAGCCGAACCAGCCATCGCCTGCGCCCTGCTTGTCGATCACCTCTGCACGCGCAGGAATAAGCGATGTCTCCTTGCGTATCACCGTGTCCGTGCCGAGAAACTGGAAGAGATGTGCTGGACCGGCGTGGATGTGTTGGAGCAGCAATTGCCTTATTCTAGTGGTGAAGATAATGCATCTGCAGGATTCGGAGTAGGAGTAGGAACGGGAGCGGGGAATAACAGTCACAGTTCGCTTAGTCCGGAGGAGGAAGAGTATTTTCGATTGTACAGTGATCTGTTGGCGGCATATAAGGGGCAGTGGACGGATATTGACCTCACGGGGTCTGTGGAACCGCCTACGGATTTGTTTATTGATGTGAGGGTGCTGAAGGATGCGGGGGAGATTCAGACGGAGTATGGGTATGTTCTATTTTTCTCCTTTTCTTATATCTTTCTTCGTCTCTTCTCCTTGCTGATTCTGGTAGGGTCATCAATCTGTCCAAGGGGAGTCAGTTGTACGTGCGGCAGGGTGATGTGGAGAGGTTGATTGCACAGGGGTTTCTGGAGAGGCTGAATTGATATGATACTGTTTACTTTTCTTCTTTGCTATAAAATGATACCCGATGTTTATAGAAACATTTTTGGCCGTTGGATGCAGATCACGTGTCTATGTGGAAGAAGCAGCCACTTGCAATCTAGAGACGCTGGACATGAACCAATTGCTTCAGTTTTACCATTGACATATACTATGTATGCCATAAATGAATTCAGTCTTAATCCATTCTCAATCCATAACAACGCCAAGCTGGTTTACTGCTGCACCGCGTGGCGCGCGGCATAATTCTCCGCCACCAAAACGATAAGAAAAGACTTTTTAGTCAACCCACTTGCAATTAGTTTGGCTTCCAGGTTGATAATGGCAGCAGTACGACTACGCTCTCTCATCCCACTTCGCATCGTCTCCTCCTTTCTTCTATCCGCAGAGCAAATAATCAAAGATTATGCCGTCGCTCTGATCCGCTGCTCTATCGTCATCGACCTGCGCGCTGTGCTGCTCTCCTCCAGAACCCAGAACTCCATCCCGCCGACATCGCAGATCGCCCACGGTCGCAATCGCCGTAGCAATTGTGCCATTCCGTTCTGCCATGGGCGTCTTCAGGTCTCGGATCCGCAGCAATTCTCATCCAACAGACTTGGCACGCCATCCTGACGATTCGCTTGTCGACGATCAAGCTCCCGAGAGCTCCTCCGGTGCAGATCCCATTCCGGACTCTGTCAACCGCCACGCTGCTGCTTCTCCCCAGCGCATTGAACGAGGTGGCAGCTTGAGGACCCCGGGACGCTCTTTTCACCATGGCTCCATATTTAGCTCCATGGGTATTGCTCTTCTCTTCATTATTTGCCATTAACTAAGTTGTGTCCTGACCATGGGAGCTATCTAGATCCGGCTCAATATTCCTCGCATGGAGTGCGAGAACAGACGGCGGAACTTGCTTCCTTTGCCCTTTCGTTGAATAGCCAGTCGCTTCCTAACGAGCAGCCCTCTAACGTGAGTATCTTCGATCACAATCGGCAGGTTGACGGTTCTGTCTTGGATGAAACTGGTAGCTCGGTTTCGACTGTTAGACCAGTAGGTGCGGCGGTTCCTGTTCTCAGTCCACCGGCTTCTGGATCTTCCGCTCTGACGGAGATGATCCGTAACCCTGATACGGATCCAAGCGGCCGTCGACGTCGCGAGAGCTACCGTCGTGATAGTTGGAGTATTCCGCGCGAAGATGCTGCTTCTCCTCTGGCCAAGGCTAGTACTGATGAGCCAACTCCCGTGACTGAGAGCACATCCTTGCTAGCAAAGAAGCCGCATTCGCATGCTCACCATGGGTACGGACTCATTGATGATGTTGAAAACCAGGGAGTTTCCGGTGGAGGAAAAGCACCGAATACATTAGCGCGGGCCATCTCTAATGCTTCCAAGTTTACCCGTCTACTATGCAGCCCGAAGTCTTGGAATAGACGCGCCTTATGGCAAGAGGGCGTGGTGTATCCCGCCAGTCTCCTTCCCTCGGTACTGCTCGGGCTCCTGCTTAACGTGCTCGATGCTTTGTCTTACGGGATGATCCTCTTCCCTCTGGGAGAGCCAATGTTTTCCGACCTAGGATCGGACGGGATCTCGATGTTCTACGTCAGCACGATTGTAGCTCAGCTATTTTTCTCATGCGGGGGTTCTATCTTCAAAGGTGGAATCGGAAGCGAGATGATCGAGGTCGTTCCTTTCTTCCACAAGATGGCATTTATGGTCCTCGAACGCGTTGGCGAGGACAACCCGAGAGCCGTCCTTGCAACTACCATCCTGTCGTTTTCCATCAGCTCCGTCCTCACTGGCCTCGTTTTCTTCTTGATGGGCACGTGCAAGCTTGGGTCTCTCATTGGCTTCTTCCCTAGACATATCCTAATCGGTTGCATCGGAGGCGTTGGATTCTTCCTCGTAGCCACAGGTATTGAGGTATCGGCTCGACTGCCCGGTCCTCTCGAGTATAACCTCGAAACGCTGAAAAAGCCCATCCTGGAAACGGACACCTTAGCTCTTTGGACGATACCCTTGTTCCTTGCCATTGGCCTTCTTGTTTTGAAGCGCTTCATTCAAGCAAATTTTCTTGTTGGGGCTTATTTCATTGCTGTTGGGATAATATTTTACGTCGTCAAATTTATCATCGGTGTGCCGATGGATACCCTGCGTGACAATGGATGGGTATTCGCCGCTCCATCATCGTCGAATCCTTGGTATCATTTCTATACTCTATATGGTTGGTTGAACAGCACCTCTTGAACAACAGTCAGCTTACGGACATTGCTCTAGACTTTTCGGTTGTCAACTGGGTTGCCCTAGCTGATACGGTCCCGGCTATGTTTGCCCTCACGTTCTTCGGCGTGCTTCACGTTCCTATCAACGTCCCGGCTTTGGGCATCTCCACTGGCGAAGATAACCTCAATGTTGATCGAGAGCTCATGGCGCATGGCGTGACGAATGCTTTGTCTGGATTCCTGGGTAGTATTCAGGTACAGTCTCGTGAGCTCTTATTGACGTCTAGGCCTGCCCTGCTAACTTATCTCCTAGAACTATCTCGTTTATACCAATAGCCTGCTATTCATCGACAGTGGAGGAAATTCCCGTCTGGCAGGAGTGTTGCTTGCCTTTGCTACCGCGGGAGTTCTTGTCGTCGGGCCCGTTATCATCGGATTCATCCCAGTCATGGTTGTCGGTGCTCTAATTTTCATGTTGGGGATTGAATTGATGGAGGAGGCTCTGGTTGACACATGGGGTAAGCTGCATAGGCTTGAATACTTGACGGTAAGTGGTTCTATTTCCCTGTTCTCATTTTACACTAAGCTTGGGGAACTGACCGTATAAAGGTGGTTATAATTGTGGTGACGATGGGGGCGTGGGATTTCGTTGTCGGAATCCTTGTCGGTATCATCCTTGCTTGTGTAAGCTTTGTTGTCCAAACGTCGCGCAAATCCGCCATCAGAGTTACGTACTCGGGTGAAGTTGCAGGGTCTACTGTCAGGAGGCCGCCAATCCAGCAGCAATATTTGAGAGAGGCAGGGCAACAGACGCTTATCATGAAGCTTGGCGGCTACCTGTTTTTCGGAACAATTGTTAAGGTGGAGAATACGATGCGAGGACTTATAGAGGAGGAAGCTTTCAATCGACGGCCCATTCGATTTCTCATTCTAGATTTCTCGCGAGTCTACGGCTTGGATTTCTCCGCCGCCGAAGCGTTCACGCGCATCAACCGGATTCTGCGGAAGCGAAACGTGCACATGGTGATCTCGGGGTTGGACGTCGAAGGCGATGTTGGTAAAAGCTTACAGAACGTCGGCCTGTTTGAGGCCGGCCCAGGCTGTGTGGAGATATTTGAGGATCTTAACTCGGGGCTCGAATTCTGCGAGAACGACTATCTCAAAGTCTTCTACAGTCATCGAGAAGCCCTATTGAACCGGGAGGATATGCCTTCCTCCAATTTCTTGGAAGTCCCTGGGGGTCAGCCGACCCAGGCGTCTTTAGTGGACGCCATGGTGGGCTCGCCACGTCGCCAGTACTTGCAACAGGTGGCCACGACAACCCTCCGCGAAAATGAGTCCGCGGTCCGGCTGCCGCCGACGTGGTCATCGATGCGACAGCCTCTGCCACTCCTCCTCCAGACCTTCCGAGGATTGACATTGGAAACGGAAGATTTCTGGTTCCCCGTGTGTGCGTATTTCGAGCGAGAGAATTATGCGGCGGGGGCGACACTGTACTACGAAGGCGACATCCCGAGAGGCTTCTACCTTCTCGAGTCTGGGATGTTACGAGCCGAGTACGACCAGCCACAGGGACGGTTTTCCGAGCTCATCGCGGCGGGGGGACCGTGCGGTGAACTACCGTTCTTCAGCGAGACGAGACGCACGGCCACGGTCAAAGCGGAGCAGAACTGCGTGACATGGTGTCTGAGTGTGGAGAGGTGGCATGAGCTCCGGGAACGGGAGCCGCGAATTGCTCGGGAGTTGCTGACGGTTAGTCTGAAGTTGACCGTGGAGAGAATGGATAGCATCACAAGGTATGTTATTGGTTTCTTTCCCCCCCCTAGAGGTCTGAGAATGGCATGGTGTACCTGCATGACATGGAGAAGTTGAGCTTGGCTGACGTGCTTTGTTTCTACCAGTTATGTTCTTACCAAGGCGGCTTGACGGTGCAACCACGCGAACTGTTTTTGCTTTTTTTTTTTTTCTTGCCCGGGGGGGAAGGGAACTCTCCGGTGGGCGGCAATGTTTTTGCATTTACATGGTGTTGATATATTTTGGTTGAAATTAGGAGAGTGTATCAGTTAGATGGAAAGGACTATCGAATCTGCAGGTGAGGTCATCTTGGCCGTACTCGGTTTAGCGAGGGATCTTAGAAATGGTCATGTACTTCATAGTTACCAATATACTAGGTACGTAGCATGTATGTACAGTAACCCACCCAAAAAAGAGCAATCTTCCCAATAAAAGGGAACAGTAGCAGGGGGCGTCTATTGAGTTGAATTTTGAGTGATGGGGGAAGATCAGTGGCCAGCGGCGAGAAAGCATGCAAGGATCTGCACAGACGTTGTCGCAACTCTTAAGCCGGCGGGGGCTATGATTCGGCCAGCTATTTATATAGACTTAGTATTAGTATCAGTACAATTATGAGACGGTCCAACGAAGACTGATCCATAGAAAGGAAATGATAATTCAGGGATAGGAAATATCAGAAATAATAACATTGGAACACGGTATATGATAACGAAATTAACGGAGTGCGAATACCGCATCTCCATTAAGTCTTCGGCAGAGAGTACACCGGATAGACATAGACATACATAGGGCTACTACTATCTGGAGGTGGGGCATGCGACAGTCTCATCCCTCCCTGAACCTTCTTCTTCATCTTCGCAGGTTGAAACTCTGAACGAGGGCTAGCATGACGCTGGTTGGTTCTGTGGCTGCAGGATGAAACCGTCATGTGGCCGATGGCAACATCCATTCTCAAAGTCGGACAACAATAATATACCAGTACCTAAAGTGGCACAAGTATCATCCAGCACGGATGCTTCCGTGATCAGGTCATGGCTGGATTGTGGGATTCGTGTTGTGCGACAATAATAATAATATTGTTATTATTCATGGTTTAATATTGTATTTAATTGAATACCAGCCGAGTCATGGGAGATAAGCGAGCGAAATTCTCTTCGAGTGATCCTGCTGATATTACGGAGGAGTACTATTACTAGTAGAAGATGAAGATCACGAGGGCACAACGTGACCGCTCCACACCTATTCTATTCCATCGACATTGTACATTGTATCCTCACAGCGTCCAGCATCCAGTCTCTACAGCATGGACAGTACACCTCTTGCAGACTGCAGAATGCACAGTATGAACTAGATAGCTTGCAGCCACAAACGCCATCCAATAAATATAAAGGATGAACTCGTGCTGCAGCATAGCAGTATACGGTATCCGTACAGCGACTGTTTAGGCTCTGGCCTAGCGCCGCCGCTCCTTTCCTTTCTGGTCCTGTGCGCCCATCGCCAGCGAGAATGGGATTAGGGAGTCGATAGTCCTGCTCCTCCCAATAATTCCTCCCCCCCTGGCCTCTCCTTTTTCTCGCTCGCTTCTTTTCTTTTCTCCTTCTCTCTCTTCTTCCTCTTCTTTCCCCTCTTCACTTCTGCATCTAATCCTGCCCTTGTAATCTGGCTTGCTTCCACGCGACGCCCCCTGCTGCTTTCCTTCTTCCCTTTTGATACCCGGAGCTTCTCTTTCTCTTCCCAGAGATAGCTCTTCTCGCGCGTCCTTTCCTTGTTTTGCTTCTTTGTTGAGATACCCCCCTAAAGATACCCTTCAAAGCTCATCTTACGAACCCCCTTAATCTAATCCCCTAATACAACTCTCAAATCAATCATCATGTCTGAAGCTCCCAAGCCTGTCGAGGAGACGCCTGCGGCTGCTCCTGCCGCTGAAGCTCCCAAGGAGACTCCCGCTGAGTCTACCCCTGCTGAGACTCCTGCTCCCGCCGCCGAAACCCCGGCTGCTGAGGCTCCCAAGGAGGAGGCTACTCCCGAGACTCCTGCTCCCGCTACTGAGGTTGCTGCTGAAGCTCCCAAGGAGGAGGAGTCCAAGGAAGAGACTCCTGTTACCGATGGTGTACTTGGCCACAAGGGCTCTGGTTTGGTCAAGTAAGGACTTATATTTCGTGCTTTATTAACTATGCGAACCGTACTGATTCGACGCTATTCCAGGGGCCTTCGCTTTTCCAAGCGCTTCTTCTACTTCAGCGACGAGCCCGTCGAGTCCAAGCACCTTCACGTCTTCCACCAGAACGAGAAGCCCGCGGTTGCCCACCCAATCGCTGCCTGGGCCAGCCAGACCGGTAAGGGTCTGCTTTTCTACGTCAAGCGCGCCGAGGATAAGCTTACTCCCCAGGGCATCTTCAGCCTGGTAAGTAGAACACGGTCAAAGCCACCCCTTGATTCTGTCTGACAGCGATATAGGCCGATATTACCGACCTGACCAAGGAAGGTTTCAACGAGTTCCACTTCAAGGTGAACGGCCAGAAGCATACTTTCCAGGCTGCTACTGCCAAGGAGCGTGACAGCTGGTTGGCTACCCTTCGTGCCAAGATCGAGGAGGCCAAGGCTCAGAAGGAAGCTATCACTTCCAGCGAAGGCTTCAAGACAGAACTTGAGAAGCTCCGTAAGTTACTCCCCATACGCCCTTGCAATTTCTTTCCTAATTATCCTAACCTTACTGTGTTTTAGGCAAGCCCTTCGTTTCCCACCCCCTCCCAAGGCTGTCGAGCCCAAGGAGGCCCCCAAGGAGGAGGCTACTCCGGCAGAGGAGAGCAAGGCTGCCAGCAAGAGCCGCTCTCAGTCCCGTAAGAGGACTAGCCTCTTCGGTTCCTTCCTAGGAAAGAAGGAGGAGACCGAGGAGAAGAAGGAAGAGGCTAAGAAGGAAGAAGCCGAAGACAAGGAGGAAAAGCCTGCCGAGGCTGCTGCAACTCCTGCCGAGTCTGCACCTGCGGCCGAGACTCCCGCCGAGGGTAAGTAGAAGTCATCGTCCATTAATTAGAGTTATTTGAAGGCTGACCATAAAATTTCAGCCCCTGCCCCTGCTGAGACCCCTAAGGAGGAAAAGACGCCCGAGACTCCCAAGGAGGAGAAGAAGCCTGAAGCTCCTGCTACCAACAACCACAAGGGCAAGCGCACTTCTATCTTCGGTAACTTCTTCCAGAAGGTGACCAGCCCCAGTCACGAGAAGACTGAGAAGGAGGCCACGGCACCCGCTCAGAGTTCTGTGCCCAGCACTGCTCCCCAGCTTGACAATCCTGTTGAGGAGACTCCTGCTCAGCCTCCAGCTGACCCCGAGAAGGAAACGGCTCCTGCTGAGCCTGAAGCCCCCAAGGAGGAGGCTGCCGGCAGTCCTGCCGAAACCCCTGCCAAGGAGACTCCTGCTAAGGATAAGCGTCGTACGTCTTTCTTCGGTAACCTGGGCGGTAAGAAGGACGGCTCCGACAGCGAAGAGCACAAGTCCAGCAAGCTCGGTAGCCTGTTCCGCAAGCCCAGCAAGGCTGTGAAGTCTGAGAAGAAGGAGAAGAAGGAAGACAAGGAAACTGCTGCTGAGGCTAAGACTGAACCGGCCGAAGAGCCCATCAAGGAGTCTCCTGCCGAGGAGGCTTCCAAGCCTGCCGAATCCACCGAGCCAGTCCCTGTTGCTGCCACTCCTGCGCCTGTCCAGGCTGCTGCATGAAGTCCGGATCGGAGGCGTGTCATCGAGTTTGAGAGATGGTGGGACGAGCGATACACGTCTCCTAACGCCTCGATGCCTTCGTGAACTGCTCCACTCGCGGTTCTAACTGTTCGAAACCCAAATCAAAGGGAAAAAAAAACAAAAAAATTTCAAATACATTATCCCAATTCCTGATTGAGTCTTGTCGTCTTTTTCTTTTCCCTTTTTTTTCTTTTTTGGCAATGTCTCTCGCTTGATTATCAGTCGGTCATTTTCTTTTCTTTAATATCACCATCAATCAGAAGGAATCTCGCCGGCTGGATCGAGTGCCAACGATACCCGAACGCTGCGTTAATACTATACCCGAATTGATTTGACTTTTTCGCATAATAATGTCCCCGTGTGGCCCGTTGGGCTCTACATGCCAATCATTGATGATTTCCGCAACGATACCCGAACCGGTCTCATGCGTGTTCACGTTGTGCACCAAACCAAGTAGATTGATACCACTTGCTGCGATTTGTCATTTCTGCTGATTCAATTTGTTTTCCTCGTTGACCCGATGCGTTGTCTTGATACCCGTGGGGGAGAAACGGCGATCTGTTTGGAAGTTGCTTGGGTATCGGAACCTTGCGATCTACTGGACATGGTAAAGGGAGAATATCTGTTACCATTGAGAGGTCAGCTTGGATCTTGCCGCGACTCAAGTGGAAAGCGCGTGGTTGTTTTTTTTTGTCTTGTTGCTTCTGCTTATTGTGTTACGGCCATGGTCGGCGCTCGGTATGCCGGGTCCGGCTCATGAGCTACAGCATCAGTAGGTAATAATTAATAGAGTGATTTTCTTCCGAACTAAGTTTGTATGTAGAAAGTGAAATGGAGATGTAGGTAGCATGACCGAGTCTAGTTGGCATGATTGAATCTTGCTATGTATACTCGTATGTATGGCATGAGCGTGGAGACAGAGCAGGCTTCTTTCGTGGGTCCACATAACGCCAGAAAAGTCTGCGGTGTAAGGTTAAACCCTACAATATCGACTGGCCCGCCACGCCCTCTGCGCCTCCACGATGCAATGAAGGACAAGATGATGGCTGCGATATAACATCACCATGCAGCTGTCTCACTATTCTAGATCCTCGAGAATCCCACTACGGGGTAAGCGTAAATTAATATGATGTGAGTTCCCGCTTGGCTGCGTGCTGAGCCTCTCTGGAATGGGTGGATATTTACCCTGTTTGGGACCCCGGGTGAATCTTGCTCGCATAAGCAGTGTCATGTTCAGGGGATGGGACGTGGCTGTACGGTACGCTGGACCGAAATACCGTTGTTTCCCGGGAGCCTCAGGATGCTGACGCTGTTGGCAGTAGATGCCTAGCGACCATCGAAGTCAATTGTCGCAGGGCGCGTGTTGATTGGGCAATGGCTCGCGTTCGTTCCGCATGCGAGAGCTGCGGATTGAGGGTCCATCGGTGTTTGAAATGCCGGTTTCTCTTTATCATTATTGTATTCCTCTTGCTTGATTGCTGCATAGAACCTCAAGATGTTACGAAGCTTTCGATGCACTCGGGAACCGCAAAGGGAAGAGGGACAGAAAGAAGGATAATCGTCCGGCAGTAGGTCCCTCAACCTCACTCCCGGGCCAATGAGCAATGCGGCGCCCGGCCGGATGGAGACAGTTTCCAGGCAACCAGCCAATAATAACGCATAGCTGGCTATGACTCACACTTCCCCTTTTCGTCAGCACACGCCTTACTGTATCTGGCTAGGTCAGCATGTGGATACCATCACAGCGATGATTGGCAGACATGGCGCCCTCCTTACGGTACGGTAATTTGAACTGGTAATTTCCGCTGGGCGGCACACAGCGCACTCGCTTAAGGCCACCCTGTTTCCCCATCGATGCCTGGTTTCTTTCTCCCTTTTTTTTTTCCCTTCTCTCTTCCCCATCCCACAACTCTCCCTTATAAAAGAAAACTACCCACATCTGATCATAGACATCCATTGGTGTTCTTTTCCTTGTTTCTCATTATTCCCGACTTTACATCGCGCGAGTTTCTGTTAGATCTCCAAGATGGCCTTCTAAATCATCTCCCCAGCTCAGCCTCGTCTTTCTCTCACGAGACAGACACCATAGATCCCCAACGGTCTTCGTCCCCTCCTGTTAACCCTTTCCCCTTTACCCCTTCAGAGTCTCCTGTCCCAGGACCTCTGAACTTGAACAACGCTTCGCGTAGCTCGAGTTCATCTGCTCTCACCATTTCGTTCGACGTCACGTCGTTCACCACGGATAACCAACATCAACCATGGCTTCCTTCGCCCCCGCCTCAGCTCCAGCCACATCTGGCTTCGAATTTGCTCAACGACAACAAGAACAGTGCTTATTGCGAGGACTTTGTCCTTTATCCGTCCGTGCCAGCTCCGTGTCCGCAGCCTCGACCGACGGATTTGCGTGCTCCGCTGCCACAGAGTACAGCCCTTAGATCAGCGGCCTACCATCCCTCCCTGGTCCAAAATCACCTCAGACGACGTGCTCTAGCTCGACAGAACCATCTTCCACAGCAGTGTACCCCTTCGTCTGTCCAGTCACCACAGGTGACCAGGCTTGTCCCGCAGTCTACCGGTTTTTCCCTGTCGCCATCTTCTCGGTTTAGTCCCTTTGGTCGAAAGCAAGTTCAGCGCTTCTACGCGACTTCTGCACCTTCGAATTCACCACTCCGCAATCGCCCCCCGGTTCCCTTTCTTCCTGGTGTCGCCTACTGTCCAAATCAGAATCAGCAACAGCAACAACAAGTTTACCACCCTCGCGTCATGTCGACCCCCAACCTTGGTCAAGGTAAATTGCCTCTCGTGTCTCAATTAGAACCTTCCTTTCTAACCCATCATCAGATCTGGCTCTATTCGATTTTGGCAACACATCTGACGATATAACGCTGGGTGTCAAGCCCACAATGCTCTCTCCGAAGCAATTACAAACCAACAGCAACATGTCGGATGACACATTCGCGGGCCTGCCCTCAGGCACGGTCTCGCCCACCGACTTGATGTTGGATGCCTCCGCTCCTTCTTCCGCTACTTTCACAGACCTGAGCACGCCTCCATTTGACTCCCCCGGTTACTTCAGCCACGATCCATCTCCTATGCTCTCTGATGATTTCGGCAGCGAACAGTGGGATTCGCTTTTCCCAGCTAACGATCCTTTCTCGGCGGCTCTCGATTCTGCTACCCTCGGGTTGGCAAGCGGTATCACCCAGGCCAAGCCTGTGGCTCCTGCATCTCCTCTGATTCCATCCACTGGGTCTCCTCCATTATCTCCAGCCCGCCGTCCCAGCTCAAAGAGTTCTTCTATCTCGCGTATTGCCGCACGTCAGAGGAAGCCTTTGCCTGTAATCAAGTTTGATGCCTCCGACCCCGTTGCCGCCAAGCGTGCCCGGAATACGGAGGCTGCTCGGAAGTCGCGGGCTCGTAAGCTTGAACGACAGGAGGAGATGGAGCGTCGCATCGCCGAGCTCGAGAAGCTACTTGAGGAGTCTCAACAGCGCGAACGCTACTGGAGGGGTATTGCTGAGAACAATGCTTAATTTTCTTTGGAGGTATTCCTATGACGCTGTTCGTGGAAAAAGACAGAAAAAAAGTACAATTCTGATTGGGGAGCTCTGTGACAGGCGGGGGCATGTAAGCCTCAATGTCCCAAATGTGCAGGGGTACCAGTCAATATCAATGGATATTTATGATAATGACGCTTCTGGCATGGTCCTTCAAAAGTTTGAACTTTACTTTATTCATCTTGCTATCAGTGCATTTGACAGACTATTGTGTTTGATTCTCGCTTATCTGGGATTGTTATTCATTTCTATTGTTGGTGGGATTTTATATCATCTGTTATGACAGATGAGAGTACAACCTGCTTATGCTTCACCTGCTGTCTTTGTCCATTTGTGTTAGGAGTGATAGCCGGTTCTGATGTCTCCTGCTCGTGACGGCAGGATTGACTCGTGGCTAGTAGTTTTTATGTCTCTATTAGTTTTGTGTTGGCTGCAGTTTTTGTGTGTACTCCAAATTGTTTTCAATACAACGGTCAATCGCTTCTCGAGCTGTTTGCTTGTACATTCCGTAGCTTTGCAATAGGGAGTACTTCGGAACAGCATTCTGTGACACGAATAACTTCGTCTGGCCGTAGGATCTATATTCTTGTATCTTCGTCTTGAGTATTGATATGAAGTAACACCTACCTCAACATCTACTTGAACCCATGACCAGCTCAGACTTGCCTTTCTACTACCCTCATAAACCCTGTCCCCATCCCATCGACACATTCCCTCCCCTAATCCCGAACTCCCTAACCACATCGAGAGCAGTAAGTAAATAGGTAGATCGATCCACTTATCTTCCTCAACCTTCATCCCTGCGCATCACGCGACAACGTCCCCTTATCCGCTCCGAGAAGAGAAAATGGGGTGTTGCATTAATGGAGGGAGATGAGATGGATAGAACAGGCGGGAAAGATGTAATAAATCAAACTATCTTGCTCATGTGTTCGGTGGGTTAGATGATGTACGGGAGAAAAGAAAGGAGTGAAAATGGTTCAGAGGATAGAGGTTTCGGAAGTATCTGATTTCTCTTCTGTCATCATTGCTGGTTTCTTCAAGGGGGGCGGTGGAGAATTTGTTTGGCTAAAAGGATCGACGGACGGGGTAAATGGGTATGAGAAAAGGAATGTATGCATTAGTTTAAAATTTCGGTTCCCCTTGCTTTGCCTCTCTCCATTTTGGCCGTTCTGGAACCGAACTGGATGGCTCGTTTCTTTTCGCGAGATACCTTGTTTAGACCCAGTTTGAGAGCGAGTAGACGGAGGGCTTTTTTGCCTGGTTCGATGTCTTGTTCTTGTTTTTCTTCCGCTGTTCGTTCAGATGGAGTGTCCGATGGTTTTGTTAATGTGGAGGGGGTTGAGGCCCCGAACCCGCATTTTTCCCAGACGGGAGCCCTGACAACCCAAGATACGAACTCTTCGTCCAAGTATGGGTATCTTGTTTCTCGACACCAGTTAGAAATGATGCGGTCGTCTCGGCCAAGATTCCGTTTCCCGAGACGGCTGACGTCCAGATCGATCTCGTCGATGAGGCCTTGAAAGCCTCTCCGTGAGAATGCCATTTCATGACGAGCGTATCCGGCGAAGAGCTCATCTGCTCCCAGACCGGACAGGAGAACTCGGGCCGGAGTGGAGTACGGTGTTGGCTGGTTAGAATTTTCATCTTCACGGGTTTGGATCGCGGTTCCTTGTCCGCGCGAAGCGAAATATAATGCACTGGCGATGGAGAGGTCCATTTCTGTGTTATGAGGTCTCATAAGGCGTTTGATTTTATCTCGTTGCGCAATCGTCTCAACATATGGAATGTCAATAGTGACGAATCTCCAGTTGCGATCCGGACAGACCTTTTGGAGTTCCGCGAATGCTGCCCGACCGGTTACACGGTCAGGACAGGATTCGTAGACTGAGTTCACTGCTGGTTTTCCCTTTCCCTTTTCTGCAGCTGCAGCTGCAGCTGCCACGCGCGGATTTTCGAAAGCCACGTTGAGGAGGTCAATTGTCTCCTCTATTGGGAGAATATCGTGTGAAAGTCTGGCTAGTATGGTGCAATCGAGGCCGCCCGAGAATAGCACCGCGACTTTTACGTTGCTCTTATCTCCGGTGCTAGGGGGCCAGGGCACGTTTTGGATTCTCAACTGGAGAGATTGATGGAGTCTTCCTTCAAGTTCTCCAACAATGGGGGAGTTAGCAGTAAGCGGAGGGGTTTCTCCTTCTGGAATGCTTTTGTTCATTGCTGGGATTGGGTTTCTCTGTGGTTTTGGGTCAGTGTATTCCGTACTATTTCTTTTTTTCCCGGAACCGGGATGAAGGAACTGAGCGTACAAGGCGGGAAGAATCCCAGGGAAGAGTGTTGATATTGTATTTATTGCTAGGTGCATCTTCTGTGACACGTTCTGAAGACAGCACATTCTGTTCAAGGACATGCTCCAGATCAATCATATGCACCCCGTCTGTAGCAACTTCCTCGAAACCCGCAGAGGGAGTGCCATCGCAAACACTGCAGATCTTCAGGTTACCTGCATCATCGAGACCCTGGAGGAGAGATCTCCTTCCAAGGCAGTCCCTGCTAAAGAAGAGCATTGAGTTGAATGCATCATAAAACACAAACGAAAACGGCCCCGAAATGCTATGGACAGCGTCCGCAAACCTCTTCGCAGCAACATTCTTACGGTCTGTAATATCAGCTTCTTCTGGCATGGGAAAAGGCTGCACAGCCTGCAGAAATAACTGGAAGACGAGCTCGGTATCGCTGTCTCGCACTTGTTCGCCGCCTATTTTCCAGGCTTCTCCATTCCAACACAGGACGGATTTGCTTGTGCGATCCACTAACGGCTGAGGGCAGACACGATCACCTCTCAGTGATAGCACTGTAGATACGAAAGTAAGATGAAGGGAAACAGCCTTCGAATGGGCTGTATTTCTGTCGTCCTTCTGGACTGTATGGACCTGAAAACAGTCCGGTCCTCGATTTCTTAGTAAACAGCAAGATTCCTCACTTGGAAGCACGGACGAACTTGTGCTCAAGGAGGCGAAGATACCACACATGATACCCAGGGGAGGAGGGAGGGGGAGGAATGTAACGAAATAGACCCTCTCTGCTGCGGCGAGGATCCGGTAAAGAGCAAAAAGAGAGACAGTGGGAAACGGGGCGGATAAACAATGTCCCGTGACAACCTTGAAGGAATGGGAGCTGCCCTCCGATCAAAACAACAGATAGTTGAAACGCTGGTCCTTTTCTTCTTGTGAAGGCATCATTTTGCATGATGCTTCTTTTTTCTGCGTGAACTCCTGATTCCGGCCCGACTCAGAGCGAGGCGACGTATAGCTTATGTCTGCCCCAGGACTCCCAGCTTCCTCGACTCCCAGTGAACAGGGGGGCAACCCGCTGTCCGTTATCAATGAAGGGAATATAAACGAGCAACAAACAGAATCTTTGGCAATTTCTGAATCGGCGACCGAGACACATAATGAACCAGCGGTAGATGAGGGTATCCAGAAGGAACAGTCTAGTGAGATGACCGGGGAGGATCACAGTGAATCGCGGAACCCTGCAAATGACCAGCCAGGTCCGACTGCGGGCGCGATAGCCAAGGAAGTTGAGCATACACAGCAAGAGTCGATTACAGGGAAAATGAAAGCGCTATCAGTTTCGACGGATATAGACCCTTCTCCACGGGCCGACGCCCAGACACCTCCACCCCCTCCGGAGAAGGATAACACATATCTCAATGCGAAGCCAACTTCCCCGGTTCCTCCATTATCGCCCGCAACTTCTGAATGGGCCGAAAAAGAGCTACCAAATGTTCCTGCGGGCGGTGAACTTGATGAGAAGACAGGCAATAATGGCGAGAAGGATGGGGATGAAGAGTCGCAGTCGGAGATACAGAGTATTATGGGACAGTTCACAGATCCGTCACGGAATAATGATCAGGGGGATATCATGTCACCACGGATGGAGCTGGCGGGACAGTTCCTTGGTAGTTCCAACCAGTTTCCGCCTCGCAAGTCGAGTCTGGAGCATTTGCAGATCAATCCACCAATATCTGGAGATGCAGCGTCGTCTTCGACGGAGGCCCACTCAGGGACGACGAAAAAAGATAGAAGCACCACTAATGAGGTACCAGGACTGAGCCGACGTGCGTCAACCTCTACGATCCCACCACCTCCAGCACCTGAGCCTGATCAGCCATTTGACTTTCATCGATTTCTGGAACAATTGCGACATCGTACCGCGGACCCCGTTGCCAAGTTCCTGCGCTCATTTCTGATGGAGTTTGGGAAACGGCAATGGATGGTCCATGAGCAGGTCAAGATCATCAGCGACTTCTTGGCGTTCATCACCAACAAGATGGCCCAATGCGAAGTATGGAGGGGTGTCTCCGATAGTGAGTTTGATAATGCGAAGGAAGGAATGGAGAAGCTCGTTATGAATCGACTGTATTCTCAGACATTCTCTCCGATGATACCACCGCCGCCCGCTGTCCCACGGACCGCTAGTAGAAGCAAACGGCGAGAACTTGAGAGACGTCACGGTCCCTGGAGGCGGGGTCAACACCAAGAAGATGTCGAGCGGGATGAGATTCTAGCTCAGAAGATCCGTATATACAGTTGGGTGAGGGAAGAACATCTTGACATACCCCCTGTCAACCAACATGGCCGACGGTTTTTATCCCTGGCCCAGCAAGGTGAGAGGCTTTCCCTGGTTGAGAATTCTCTTTTGGTTAACATTTCTCTGTAGAACTCTTAAAAATCAACGGTTATCGCGCACCTCGAGATAAAGTCATTTGCATTTTGAATTGCTGCAAGGTCATATTCGGTGAGTTACCACTATCTTTTTATGGGATAAATAATGTGTCATTGACAATTTTGCCTTTCAAGGTCTACTAAAGAATACTAAACAGGCCGATACGTCGGCCGACTCGTTTATTCCACTATTAATATATGTTGTGCTGCAGGCCAACCCCTCTCATCTGATTTCCAATATTCAATATATTCTCCGTTTCCGTAACCAAGACAAGCTTGGTGGGGAGGCAGGCTATTATCTATCTTCATTGGTACGGAAAGAACAGGCCTTTTTTTGGTTTTGCGGTTGAGGAGCTAATTATGTATATAGTCTGGCGCTACTCAGTTTATCGAGACGCTCGACCGGACAAGCTTGACCGTTAGTGACGAAGAGTTCGAGAGAAACGTGGAGGCTGCCGTGTCCGCTATCGCTGAACAGAACCGCAAAGCAGAGTCTCTGGAAATGAAGAAAGCCAGCCGAGCAGCTACTACTGGTGGATCGCAAGCTTCGCCAAGAACTTCCGTGGAAAGCCAGCGTAATACGGGAGGACGAGAGAGAGCGCAGTCCAGCAGTGACGAAGATACTGCACCGGTTGCAGGGCTTTTGCGAACGATCCAGAAGCCCCTATCGACAATCGGGAAGATGTTTTCGGATGAACCAGAAGAACCACCTGGGCGGTCTCAACAGCCCGCCGTCGCACCCGGGGTGCAAACTGGAGCAATTCCTCGACTTTCCCCGAGCCTCTATCAGCCACCCCGTAGCAGTGGAGAGAGTCGTCGAACGGCGGAACAGTCGGCCAATGCAGCACAGAGAGAGCTGGCTAGAGCACTGGATGCACAAGATGCTTCTGCTCGTCAGGCTAGCGTGGAGGAGGCAGAAGCGCAAAGAATCCATCTGGTTGAGCACAATAACGTTGTGGAGACGCTGTCGCACATGTTTCCAAATTTAGATCGAGATGTCATCGATGATGTCGTCAAGATCAAAGGGGGGAGGTAGGTGGATCTTTATAGACTCTGGATGAAGAGAAGACGAATCACTAATGCTGTTTCTTAGGGTGGGGTTGGCCGTCGATGCATGCCTCTCTCTCAGTGCAGAGTAGGCTTATGCCGTATTGATAAATAACATCTGGTAGGCTTTAGGAGGCTCATGCGTAGGAATGAGCTTAATGAGCATCTGGTACTTGTGGCATTCTGATGTACATTCGTATTTTCCGTATAATATAGTATTCAGCTGCAAGTCTTAGGTAGACACGCGTGCCCGGAGTACAATAGTAATATAATGACTTTTGATGGACTGCATAGAGTTAAATACTAGTAATAGATAATTGTCAAATGATATTGATGGATTTGAATGAAAAAATTGCAGTTGAATGTTGGTGGTGAGGTCCAACAGGGTCAATTAAACGCCGAGCCTTTGTTTGATTAATAGTCTCAACCACGTTTAATAGACGTTGCAGTGTCTAACGGAATCCAGCCAATCAGAGCGTGTTTTATTGCCAAGAAATTTAAACGCCGATTTCATTAAACGTTTATTATACGTTGACTACCCTCTGTATTCCATATAAAATTGCAGTTTTCGCGGCCTCGATATCTTAACAACGAAGCATCTAGAGGGCATAAAATTTAAGATTTGGCATAATATAGCGCTACAATTACATATATTAAGTAAAGATATTCCTCTAATCAATATTTCTCTAGGTAAGATGAATTACAGCTGTATTTTTTGTATTTTCAGTTATTCTAGTATTGAAAGCTAGAAAAACTATTTAAAAATATGAAAAAATAGAGGACGCTCGTACAGAATTAGTTTAAATACTAACATTTAACCGTATTCTCCTACACCTACCAGTGGTCGAGATATTGAGGTCGCAAAAAGCGCCATTTTACGTGGAATACAGAGGTGCCCGACTCGCTTACCAGTCAGTTAACTGGAGAAAGTGTTAGATGTCACGTGGGTTCTGCCATAGTAGACCGCCCTCGCTTGGCCTGACACACTAAAACAGCTAGACCTGTTGGATCAACTTGCTTGTATTGTCTCTATCTAGGTTGGCCTAGCTATTTTAGTGTGTCAGGCCAAGCGAGGGCGGTCTACTATAGCAGAATACACGTGACCTATAACATATAGTCACGTGTATGTCAGGAGATACCTGACCAACCGTATCACGAGACAAACCCTCGCTTAGTGTTAGCGCGGGCACGGTCCCCCTGCTATCATGTATAAATACCCGTTGCTGCCCGCTGTTCTCTTAGGATTTTCTTTTCTTTTCTTTCTTCATACTTACCTTGTTTGGGTGGCTGCGATCAAGAAGGCGGTCCACCACAGATTGGTCCCTGCATTGCACAGCGCGGCGGAACAGTCTGTTCAACGGCCTTCGGGTCATTGACAGGCGTATTCTTTGGCACCTTTCTCGAGTTTCGAGATCACATTTCCTTTTTCATCAATACTTGGGCTAGATGCTCGAGGTTGGAGAAGATGGGTTTGTCCTGTTCGCTGTTTCCGCTGTAGATAGTCGTAGGTGTAAAAATGTATTATGTAATGTCAGCGTGACGTCGTGTCTGTATGTTGACGTCGTTCTTATACCTCTCCACGTGCCATGGCTTAATGGCCACTTCATGTATTTAATGTCTTCTACCCCGAGTCCTTTGAACCACAAATCTTTTTCGATCTATCATACACAGTCCGAACCGAGAACCCAAATAATCGCGGATATACTCTTAGCTATATACAGAGTTCCACCGAATCCAGCACACAAAATGGGCGTCCAGACCGCATCCTTCCCAGATGAAGAAAACCAGAAATACGAAGAGACTCCCACCAGTCCCCCCCGACACGCAGGGAATGCAGGACGCGCCTCGGGAGAAGCCATCGCCGCCGTCCGCGGGACTAACTCCAGCGGTCGACGCATCGGGACTGGCTCCGGCGGCGTCGTCACGGCGCCCAACTACGATGCGGCGGAGAGTTTGGATATCCTAGCCAACTCGGAGAGTAATCGGCCGTTGAGCAAGGAGGAGGCGGATCGGTTGTATGAGGAGCGGATGGAGGATGAGTATGCGAAGCGGGAGGGTGGTGCTTGAGTTTATGTTATATCACTGGTTTATAATGATGGGTTCACTCATGAAGGGCTACTTGACTGCATGATAATGAGGAATGTTGCATGAGAGGATTCTGTTCTATGTCCTAGGTACTAAATGGACATACTGTACACTGAGTGTTGTACACAGATCTCAACCCTAATGTCTACAGCGTAGTACCTCTATGTTTTCTGTTAGTCGTAGGTTTGACGTTGTAGCACATTGGGTCACCCTTGATGACGCGCGGGTTTATTCAAATTCGAACACTCCATAGCCGTCTTGTCATGGATTAAAGTCTGTACTCGGAGGGCTTGAACGGGTTTACTGTCATAAAACAAGCCACTACGCCAAAAACCAACGCTGGTTATGGACGGAGCTTACACGAGGAATATAATCTCAGCACTGAATAGCCATTAATACCTTACAGCGTAGACTTACTCAGGGTTAATTCTCCATAAGCTCAGGCAAGAAACATGTTGGTCTACAAACCCAGGGTCAAGCGTCTTTCGGCACTTCCTAACTTCGACACAATATCCTCCGCCAGGCATTAGAGGATCAGATCCTCTCCGAATCAACTGGCATAACATACGCCGATGTCAACGCCCGGCCATCTGGGCGTCCTCTGTCAACTCCGCGGAATCAGCGTGCTATCCTCTATATTCACGGCGGGTCGTTCCAAGCCGGGTCTCCAGTAGCCATCAGAAACTGACCGAGCATCTTGCTAGTGCTGCGGACGCCCATTCTCTGATTCCTGATTACGGGCTCGCGCCTGAATCTCCTTTCCCCGCGCTCCTGGACGATTTGACCAAGGCCTATAAATGGGCTGATTGAGGATGTCGGGTTCCCTGCAGCTAAAGTCGTGATTATCAGGCGACTCCGCTGACAGAAGTCTGGCAACGACTTTGGTCTTGCGCATCCGGCAAGAAGGCCTGCTGCTACCGCGTCCCATCGTGGCATTTTCGCCTTAGTATAACTTAGAGAATAGTTTTCTGAGCATGAGCAGCAATGCCAAATATGACTTGTACATCTCCAAATTTATACAGGATATCGCTGCTGCTCAGTACGTGGGTGGAAAGGCTCCGTTGCAGGGCCTGCTTGTCAGTCCGCTTCATGCGAATCTCAAAGGGTTTCCGCCTTTTACATCGCCATCAGCACAACTGAGGCCCTTTTGGACGATGCAGAATGGTTGACGGAGCTTGCAAAATTCGCCGGTGTGGAGGTAGAGCTGGAACGATTTGAAGGGCAGCAACATGCACATGATCTATCTGATGGCTGGACGTGCCCCGAGGCTGACCTGACGGTTCAAATTTTGGACAGTAGCTGGATGCCAAGTTTTAAGTGCTATCTCCTGTCGACGTTGTCATTTAAGCTAGTATTCTGCTTTGTAGATAGATGGGGATATTGTCTGAACACTGTCATTGTTCCCACGAGTCTGCGCTCCGTAGATGTCTGGAAATAGTTGAAGTAGAGTGCATGCCCTATGTAGCCTCGAAGTTGAACATCCAGTTCATTGGATCTACATTACCTAGGTTGAGCAAGGCATCCGACATCTAACATTATCGTGAGTAACAGTGAAAATCGCACAGTTTCTACACTTACTATAAAGTCCCAGTCCTCTAGAATCCCAGCCGGCGTGTTCAAAGGTGCTTGATTAAACTCATCGGTATTTCCACCAACATGGTTCTGGAACGCCATTTTCTCAAGAATTGGAAAGCAAGTGTTCTCAGCATCTTCTGCAGCCTTCACTATTTTTTTCCCGAGCTCATCTCTATCAAGATGATGCATGAGCACGTAACCTTTGACATTAGTCTCACCGGCCTTGATAGACTGCAAACACCAGGACTTTGCATCGTCCAATACGCAAAACAGATCTGATCGTAGAGGCACAGGGCCTAGACCCTCTTCCTCTTGCAGCTGTGCCTTGATTTCTATTGCTATGAGAGTGGCGGCTGCATTGCGACGGTGCGATAGAATCCAGAGCTACAGGCCGCCAATAGTGCCAGTTCATCTTTATCCGGCGAAGCAGCGTTGACACCACGTGTCTGAGTAGGCATGATTGATGATGCAGGATATGTTGCACACCAGAGTTTGAGTGAAGTTTCGACCACTATCTTCCTTGAAAATGCATAGGTTGCCTCGTGTAATGCTGGACCGAAAAACGGGACGTGAAGGGAGGAAAAGGTAGCGAAGCATTAGAACATCTACGGCGCGTATTGAAAATCGAGAGGGCAAGGGTCCAGTGCTCGAGGTATATCCTTGGAGGGTTCGACATAAAGTCTTGCATGATGACCTCAGATCTAAGTCAAGTTGAAGGGTTTCCTCATATGTCCCATGGGATCTGATGTCATTCAAGAGCTTAGTGACCGCAAGACGAAGCAGAAATGTCTTTCGAAGAGCGATTGTAATGGACACTTGAGTGAAGCTGTCCTCTGGTTTCAACACGGGGTCCTTGATCATAAGCTGCTCGTCATCAAAATTGCCTGGAGGTCCGGTATCAAAATCTTCGGAAGAAACAAGTGGAGGTCCACCTGAAGTCAAGCTCGACTGCAGAGCTATCTCCACAGTCGTGTTCCATAGCCTTCGGCGCATCTCAGCAGTTAAAACCGTCATATTCGGCAGGTTAGCGGGATCTCTATGCAACCCCATGCTCATTGCCTTTCTGAGTAGTTCACCGGCCGAGACCCAAATTGAGTCACTGCAAATGCCCGTCATTTCTCGAGCGATCAAAAGTAGGATATTGGTCTGTAGAAATTGTATACCCAGACGCGACTTGAATTCGGGTTCCGAAATCCAGGTCTGAGTCTCGTACACCCATCGAACAGCCGACGCACGTAGCGAGAAGTTCTCATCATATGTGGTAGCCCCGATGGCCAGCACTAGCTTAACCTGGACCAGAAAGGCCATATCGGCTTTGCATCAGGCGCACACAGGGCTTCATAATCCCTTCTAAAGCTAGGGACATGTAGGATACGATAGACACTTTCGATAGTATGAAAGTAATAGTCAACGAGCTTATTAGCCGTTTCTCTTTGAGGTAAATCGGTCGTTGGTGGCGACGGCCATGGAGGGGCGCGCTGAGATTTAATGAACCTTGCAAGAGACTTGCATCTTTTCATATCAGAAAAGATATTAGAAGTTTCTCCTCCCGTATGTGCTCCATTATCTCGAATACATCGAGGATCTAATTCCTTTTAAGCCATCTTGGTGTGCAAGAATTCCAAATGGAACGTAGAACCTTACCAGCACAAGAATGCCGCTAATCCAATGGCTTTTGCCAAATAGGCGAGTCTTATGAATAACGCTGCGGGTAATTGCCTGGTGTTAGCCGGATGTATTGCTTTCATGCTGGAGATGAAAGTCCCACCTAGGTTTGACGTTGCTGTCTCAAACCCGGAGCTGAAAGTCAAAGGAGACAGCATATTCCTTGTAGTCATCCTAGACAACTGTTCCTCCAGCTGCTTTATTCTGTTTCTCATAGACTCGATATCTGGAACAGATGCTTGAGTAGCCGCAGGCGTCGATACACTTGTTGGAGGAGCTACTAATGAGCCTTCTGGGTGGCTTGAGACGGTTGATGTTCCCCTTATATTAGAAGCTCTGCGAGGAACTCTTGGCTCTTTGAATATCGTGACCAGGCCAGATTCAGCTGTCTGGTCCCGACTGAGGGTTTGTTGCGGAAGTAGAGAAGAGTGATTTTCGTAGACGCAAATAGCATTTCTGGATCGTACAGTTGCTGCAAGGAGTCTGTCGATTGCATCGCAACTTACGTTTCCTACAGAGGGAGCACGAACTGCATTATTCCTACCGTTAGTATTGAAAGAAAGAGTAACAGAGGATCCAACCCTACATAGCTGGCCGTCTGCGCCAACGTCCGGGTTCGGTCATGGCCACCTTGTAATAGCTACTGGTTGCTGGCAACTGGGAAGTTCAAACGGTCAAACATGGATGATCGGATTAACGTCTGAGACTATCTCCGAAAAAAAATTCCTTTCTTTTGGGATATGAGAAGAGAAATATGAAAACCCGATCGTCGCTGAGGTGAGAGGGAAGTCTTCATATGGTCGGACTTGCGCTTGTGGTTTTTGTCGCTTACCATTTTCCGACTCCGACTGCCGAGTCCGGGGTTTATCTCCGAGAGTACTCATATCCGATTGTATAGATGGATTTATACAGCAAAAATGCAGTGTATATAAGCTTGATTTAAACGGCCTTCGCTTTCTCACCCATTATACAGCAGTGGTGCCACAGTCATTCAATTTGGCTTCCTGTTGTCTTCGCCAAACCCTGGTTCAAACCACGTATTGCAGCATGGCGACAAAATCAGAAGGCGAGGGACAAGACTCCATTATCATCGCTGAACTCGATCCGGAGAAGACAGTTCCAGCCTCTGAAAACATTGAACCGGCACCAGATAGCGGCGCAAGAGCATGGGTCGTTGCAGCTGGTGGCTCATGTCTCTTCTTCTGTTGCCTGGGTTTCTCGAATGCATTTGGCACTTTTGAGGAGTACTACCTGGCACACCAGCTCCGTGGAGAATCACTAGACAATATTGCTTGGATTGGGTCTCTATCAGCTTTCCTCCAATTCGCATCAGGCCTTGTTGGAGGACCGCTGTTCGATCTCTTTGGTGGGAAGGTATACCACCTTGTTCTCTTCGGCGTTTGAGGCAATCCGTAGTTTACTTACATAGTAGCAGATCGTACTCCCAGTCGCAGTTGCATACGTCTTCGCTATGATGATGTTGAGTCTGTGCAAAAAGTACTGGGAAGTCATGCTCGTGCAAGGCGTTCTGATCGGAATAGTCATGGGATTCCTGCAGTTGCCAGCAATCGCAGCAGTATCACAATATTTCGACAAGAAACGAGCAGCTGCCCTTGGGGTGGTCATGTCTGGATCGTCAATCGGTGGTATTATAATCCCCATTGTCTTGTCAAAGATGCTCAATGGCTCTTCGCTGGGCTTCGGGTGGTCGGTGCGAGTCATTGGCTTCCTCGTCATACCATTCCTGGCTTTTGCAGTAGTGGCAATCAAACCTCGCCTGCCTCCAAGGAAGACAACATTCTGATCCCATTAGCTTATAGAGATCGAAAATTCATCCTCCTGATTGTCTCGCTATTCTTCATGTTCATTGGCATGTTCGCTCCACTTTTTTTCATCCCGACATATGCGGTCACGAGAGGCATGAGCCCAACGCTTGCCGGTTACATGTGTGCGATTCTCAACGCGGCCTCGACATTCGGTCGTATCATTCCTGGTGTTCTGGCGGACAAATACGGGAGATTAAACGTTTTTGCCGCTGGTGGTCTGGTTAGTGGTGTCATCATCTTCTGCATGAATTCGGCAAAATCCGATGCAGCGGTGATCGCCTATTCAGTCGCCTTTGGCTTCAGTTCTGGAGCAATCATCTCCGGCGCTTCCGCTGCCTTTACCCTCTGCTGTAAAGATCCCAGAGATCTGGGTACATACATGGGAATGGGCTTGTCCCTCAGCGCTCTTGGAGGAGTGATTGGCCCCCCGGTGAATGGAGCAATCATCAACAACTATGGGAGATTCTTTCAAGCATCCATGTTCAGCGGTGCAGTATGCTTGTTCGGCAGGTTTATTGCACTTCTGACCAAGCTTACAGCTCCTCAAGGTCTTTTGGGAAAGGCATAATGCTTGATGCTTCCCGACCTATCTGAATTGCGCAACAAATTGGGGCTTCAGGAGAGAGAAGTCATATATTAAAAATTGTCTAAACTTGACAAGGAAGTTAGTTATAATTCCAATGTTCTTGCAGAGTTGCTAGATGCAAATGGAATATGTGGAACAGAGCTGGAGTGAACTTTTTGCCTTGGTAGATTCTGCCATGTAATACCGCTCTCCGTTTAGCCCTACAGGACAAACCCTATTCTGCTGTGAACAATAGGAAAAAGAATGAAGAATAAAAGATCCTGAAAAACAACTTGGTTGATTGTTCATTACCTATCTATATATTGTCCTAAAAAATTTGTTATGAAGTTATTTGAATATTGGCTGATCCAGTCCAATCCAAAGGAGGATTGGTGCCATTCATCGTGGATAACCTGATGACATCAGGTTGACAAGAGTCATATATGCTCTCTTATAATCCTCGGAGGTGGTCATCCTGATAAGGAGTAGCTGTGTGAATGGGTAGTAGGAATCAAATATGCTGTATTTTGCATTAAGATATTCTCCCTTATTGGTACCAATTGCGACTGCTCTAATTCCTGAGTCCCAAGAGGATCCTCCTTGATCCCGGCTTCGACCATGGTGACAGAGTCTGTTTTCGCATGATCCAGAATATTGTGCACCCATGGTCAAACACTATGGATGATATACTTTTCAGGGCCTTTAGGGGGCCTTGTAGATCTCCGAGCAGATGAGTTCTTTCGTATTACCAATTGTGTTCCAATTGCTTGCCGATAGCAGCGGTCTTCTTTTTGATATCTTCGAAGACATTATTGATGCGTGCAAAATAATAGAAGTTATCAAGCTCGTTGTAACCATAGAATAGGCTATCAACTGTGTAAAAAATGCATCGAGCACAAACGCCCCAAGTCACCCTTTCTGGCGGATGCTTCTCCGGCTTGTAGAAGAGAGCAATACTCCCAAGTATTGAGCTAAAAAGATGTCACGAGGCCAGAATATTGTTTTCGATTCTGTCAGATTCGGTAGTGACCGATGCCCAATCGAGGATCGTCGGGGGATTGTCATCATTGATGATGAGATTTTCAAAGTGGCAGTCCAACCTAGCAGACGTAATAAATCCAAAGTGGCTTCCCTTCTTTCATGTGATTATCTGGATACGATCAATATGCAGCAGCAGCTTCAACCAGCTTCGTATACGATCCGGTCTGGGATCACGTATACGGCAACAACGGGGAGATTGTATTCATTGGGGATAGAGATAATCTGATATTTAACCGATATCCAATCAGACTATGAGTAGAGCAAGATATTAACGACAATTCTTGAGGGGGGGAGGGGATGTTTTTCATGGGGTCGTCCTGTTTGCTGTATCGGTAGCACTCGACTACTGTCGCTGTAGTTGCTGTTCTCAACCCCTGCTCCTGCCAAACGTCGAAGAGCTTCAGAAAAAGTTGGCAAGGAGAAACGGAAAAAGGGAAATATGAGAAAGAACAAAGCTGAATACTTACTGGGAACGTGGCTTGTCGCTACGCCTTCTAGTATTGATAGATTGACAGGAAGAACGCAGTGGAAGCATATGAGCCTCACTGATCTCCAAATTCCGGACTGCCTATTTTTCAGTTTCATCCATCCTATAAATGTGCACAGTGGCAGATGTCTCACTGTCCTTTGGATTATGTCAGGTCAATGCAGACAGGAGTAGGAACATCTTGAGATAAAAGATGTCATGGCATCTAAGTAGTGTATAGTATGTCACTCAGTATCAGTAACACTGAGCTGCAATTAGGAGTGATGATAGAGTAAGTAATGAGGCAGGGTGGGAGAAGAATAAATAGAAGAAAAGACAGACAGGAGTTCAGACTGGCTGAAAAGGGAAATTTCAGCAAGCATCACCAATGAAGAAATCTCCTGCAGGCTTTTCTCTAGATGATTAACTAACTACCTCCATCATTGTAAGAAATGAACACTTGAAGCTTCATGCAACTATGCCCTGTTGGACCATGATAGTCTACTTCATCTCAACTTTAAAATCTAAGTGTGTGTGTTTGCAATGTTCAGTTTCTATATCCAGGCGCCTGGTTCGGTATGGTCACGAATCAGGAATCCAGGGCAGAAATGGTTTCGAGTCCATGATGAAGATGGTTGTGCCCAGGTACAAAACATACATACTGTATATTGGTGTTTCAGGGAATTCAAGTACCCTGCTTCTGACAGAAACCAAAATATATACATCAGATTACCTCCATGCAGGTCCAAAACAAGCGCTCTAATTAATTGATGGACCATGGCCAAGGACATGGAATCGATAGTCTGCAATAACTAGTTTCTCGGAGGTAATAATCATTAATTCCAAATTAATGAAAGTCCGAATGATTTGCAAGATCTGCGCGGGCCCACTTCCAAGCTCCGATTTAAGTTTTGTCAAAGAAGGGAAAACCCGAAGTAAAAATAGCAAGTTAACTATTAGTTATTGTAAGCAATGCGTACTAAGCAAAGGCCCAGATTCAATTCGGAGACCGAGAACAAAGCAAGCATGCCTCTTCACCAACCAGAGAACGCGCAATTGTCAGCGGCGACGTCAACGTGTTGCTGAATTAGGAACACATGTCCGAGTTCCAAGGGCTGCTGACATTTGCCTGGCCCTTAATTGGCTGCGGACTTACCAGACGCGGCTTTGTGAGAGCTCCGATGAAAAATGAAAAAGATTGCGCTGGTTACTTGGACGAATTTAAGGTGCAGACAAATCTTGTATAAAGGGGAGCATGTGAACAGGGAAATCTGAGGGGAAAGGCACAGACAGAAAAAGGTTCTGGCTGTCACCTTTAAAGACGACGTCTTCTCTCTGCTCTTCTTTCTTTTGTTGTCTTGTTTCATTGCAAACATCAATCAGTAAGGCTGAGATTGTTTAGCGCCTGACGTCATTTCTTATACTATTATATTACCTGTATACGCCTCCCACCAAAAAAAAAAAACAACGCTTTTTGAAGAAGCTTCCTATATAGTTATGGCTCTTTTATTTTTGAAGCAGAAGCTCTTCCCGAAAAGGGAGAGACAAGATGGGTTTGGGTTTCTTTCATCAGACAATCCTGGTAAGTGTATAGATCTACCCCCAACTCCAACTCCCACCGGAAGAGACTAACACAGCCAGGAAAACCTCTTCTATCCCCGGTGGAAACCCACGACGATATTATGCGGACCGATATCTTCCCCGATCCGCATCATAACCATGACCTGGAGGCTCAGTTACCCAGGTCCTACCACACATTCCAACACCACATTCCCCCTTCAGAAGACGATTCCGTCACCACCAGTAGCTCTAGCTGTAGCTCCCGATCACGTATCAACCCTCGCATCATATCGGATGCTATCCTGGGCTTGTCTGATGGGTTGACGGTCCCTTTTGCGCTGAGCGCAGGCTTGTCTGCATTGGGCAATACCAAAGTCGTGGTTCTGGGTGGATTGGCTGAGTTGACCGCCGGCGCCATCTCGATGGGATTAGGTGGATACGTCGGAGCGAAGAGCGAAGCGTAAGTTAAAACCAGCTGAAATTGGACTGGACGAATGATATGATTAACAATCAAACAGAGAATCATATGAAACAACCGTCCGAGAAGCAAACGAACTCATCGCCACATCATCGAGCGAAACGGCTGCCATCGTCTACAGTACATTCTCCAAATACGGAATATCCGACGACGCGATCAGCGAGATCAACTCCTCTCTCCACTCCTCTAAAGAGCAGCTCCTTGACTTCCTCATCACCTTCCACCATAGGGAATCCAAGCCTGACTGTAACCAGGCATGGATATCGGCCATCACGCTCGCGATCGGGTACTTCGTTGGCGGGTTTATCCCGCTCATCCCGTACTTCTTTCTCGACAAGGTCATCGTGGCGCTCTACTGGAGCATCGGTGTGATGGGGGTGACGCTGTTCGCGTTCGGATACATCAAGACGTGCATTGTCCGTGGATGGGCCGGAAGAGAACACACCATCGCGGGCCTCAAAGGAGGTGTCCAGATGTGCGTGGTTGGTGGTGTTGCGGCGGGGGCAGCTATTGCTCTTGTGTGGTTGATTGATGGTGCCGGCGCCAATTGAAGATTTGGCTCGACTATATTAATATTTGCATAGCATGGCGTTGGTGCTGATTTTTGTTTTAGCGAGGGATATCCATGGGTATTTGCGATAGAGAAAAGGAAAGGGTTAGGTCACCTGGTTAATTCATACCTTAATAAATCTCCCATTTACTGGATGATACCACAAGTCCAAAGTATTGTTGGATGAATGTTTTAAACACCACTAACAGCCCTCTCAACCAGCCGCCTTACATCCCCCTCCATCTCGATCTTCAATGCCATCTCCCTCCCACCAGGCGACATCTTAGCCCACGTCTTCCTCAAAATCCCCACAACCTTCTCTTCCTCATAACCCCTTCGAAACTCCTCTAGCTGCTCCTCCAAAAACACCAAACACGCCACATCCTCCAGCGTCTGCGTATCGGCATCCGTCTTCAACCCCTCCTTCCGAATCAGCGCACTCACCCTCTCCGCCTCCGCAACCGAATACCCAGCCTCAAGACATATCTTCTCTGCAATCTCACCCTGGCGTTTGGCGAGGTATCCTCGCCAGGCGTAGTAGCCGGGTTTCGTTGAAGGGTAGGAGCTGCGAGGGACTTCCCAGCGGCGGAGGTGTTGCGCGCGGATGGCGAGTTGGAGGGTTTCTGGGGCCGAGGGACGGAGGAAGTTTAGGTATTTTGTCATTTGGTGGGCATAGTGGAGTTCGTAGGGGATTGTCTTGGTTTCATTGGTATTGGTGTTGACGGTGGTGAGGGTTGGGTCTCGGGAGTGGGCTTCATCGATTAGACGGAGGGCGGTTTCGAATTTTGACATTTTCTTTCTTTTTTTTTTCCCTTGTGATGGCTGGGGTGGTTCTTATGTGGAATATACGAGTAGGTGCTCTGTCGATAATAAGTGTCGAGGACTGAGCAGTGAGGATGGGATATATGCGTCTAGGGTTAGTACTAGCCAAGTCTTCAGATTATAATTGTGCCCACACCGCCTACCTATACACGGGTAGGCAGTAATGGAGGCATATATTGGTCGGTTGCTAGCTAGATAGCCAACCATGCGGCTGATATTATTAGGCGACCCGACAGTATGGGTTGGGTCTAAATATAAGGACAGCCTCTTCATATACCATCTCGCCTACGCTGAAACTCCTGCAGATCACGTCTATCATATTTCTTCATTTTATCAAACTCTTCATTATCAAGTCCCTTTGCTTGACGATGCAACACATTATTCTTCGTGGCCATGGCTTTGTCATATCCCATGCCCCACAACTTCGCCGAACTTAGCACTTGTTTCTAGAGCCTGTCCGTCATCTGACAATGAGAAAACCCACTGGAATTCTCTCCCTTGTTCCTTTCCCTATCCATGTGAAATGCAATAGCAATGGCCGTAAGTTCAAACAGAAGGTGCCGTCCACCAGCCGATGGGAAAGCATAGGCAATAACTGAAACGACGACCAGCACGAGAACGAAAACAATAAGAAAAAAGCGGACCATTAGAGGTGTTTTTTGATAAAAACCGTTTCTTGCTGCCCAACCAAACGCCATCCCATTGATAAAAGCCGGGTATATCCAGCACCGTCATGCAAAATGTACTGAAGGGGAAAATATAGAACTGTTGGACTATACGGCGACATCGCGCAAATTTGCAAGCTCGAGAGCCCAAGGACAAAGCCTCATACGAACCCTCAGAGCTATGCAGGGGAGGAAATGAGCGTCCTCCGGCATCTCTTTTGCCCTGTTCTTTTTAATTTTTTCTTTATTTTTTCATCTTTTCTTGTTCTTGCCTTCTGCTTTCTTATCTGGCTCCTATTCCAAGCACGCTAGCTTCGTAGCTTCCCCGCCGTTCGGGCAGAGTAGGTACCTTCAGAACAGGATCCTGCTTGGGAAGATCCGAGAAGGTCAGCGACCCGGGTATAAGATAAGATTGCCACCCACGGAGGACTCATCACACCTTCTTCCGCTTCTTCTTCCCGAAACCCTCGCTGTTCGAGTAGAAAGCATTATCATCATCATCGTCTGCGTAGCCTTCACCATAACCAACAAAGCTATTGTCATCGTAAGTCCGCTTTTTACCACGGCTCGGTCGAGTGCGCTCCGGTTCCGCTGCGATCGGAGTACCATTGGACTGTCCTGGACCGGTAGCATTCGAAGGACTAAACGCTTTCTTTCCGAAATCGCTACCGCCAGCATGTTTCGATGGTTTCTCGTGTCCTAAAACGTCCGCCCAGTATTCGTGATTAGGTACCGTACCGGGCTCCATTTTCATCGCTCTCATCTGGAGGTTATACAGCGCCGAGTCAATGTCCGCAATCTTGATTTCTTTCCCGGAAACCTTCTGATTTTGCCATTCCTCATCGGGCCACATGGTCAGGTGTCTTAGCCCTCCAGGTGCACCAACTTCATGCTTCACGGGTTTGTTCCTTCCTGCAAGCCCTAGTCCTTTTAATTTCCCCTCATAGGACTTCCTTAGTCTATTGATCTTCTCCCCCGTTACCGGATCCATTCTTGCAACCGATTTCGCAACAGGACCTAACCCATATAACGAGATGAGGTCCAACGCCGGGTCCGGACCGGTAGGTGGATGAGCTGTCAGTTTAGGGAGCACAGTGTTAACAAAAGACCAATTTCAGAAAAGCATGAATTGAAGTTCATTGCGCCACAACGGCCGCTATGGGAATCCATGTCAGGGAGGCCTTACAGCTTTTGCAAAGATGGAAAGCCGATGTGAAGTTCTTCTGAAGGGAATCTAAGCCGAGATCATTGTTCAAAGATGAGCCAGCGGTGTGGTCTCTCTCAATGTCCATAGCATCGACATCCTTCTCCCCCTTTCCAAGTCCGCCGAAGCTATTCGAGGAATCATAAGCCCCAGTCTCTGGGTTATGCGCCTCCAAATGTCGATCATGATCCGTTCTTCTGTGTTCTCCTTGTTGCCTTGGTACTGTCACATCCGGAGGACCATTGGGTGCAGGCTCCGCACCGAATGAGCTCTCCACATTATCGGAATCGTCAATGGACGTCGTATTCACGGCGTGGCCGCTAACACTACTAGCAGGAGTCGGAAACGAAGCTGTCACGCTCATCAGGCTCGGCTGTTGTGATACTTGCGTAGACATCGGCGTAGACGAAGGGGGGGAGGAGAGGTTTATGGATTGTGACGTCGTCTGGCCAAGTGATATCTGTGAGGAGGCGAGGTTGGGAGCATATTTCTGAGGGCTTATCGACATCAACATAGGGGATTTTGGAGTATGTGGGGTGTGGTCCGGACGGTCCTCTTTCAGAAAGATAGCGGGCGGAGACGAAGGCGAAGGAGGTCCTGCTGGGAACGATGCCGACAAGATGCGATCAGACATCGAGATCGAAGGACAGAGGCAAGAAAGGGCCTAAAACCAGGCGAACTTCAACAGATTCACAGTCCGTGAAGACAGCAAGTCGTTCGGATCGCGAACTTTCGAAAAGAGCGCTGGGGGTGGAGGGAAGACGCCCCCGAAGATCGCTGAGCGAACAAAATCGTTCCACAGTCGCCTAAAAGTCACGCATTCCAAGAAATAGCACCTGGACACATAAATAAAATCCTGGACAGGATAGCCGGGCGACGGGAGGAGATAATGGAAGCGGTGATGGTGGTGGTGGTGAAAGGCGATGGGATGCAGTCTGGACGGAGGAGAATGGAACCTTCTGAGACGCTGGGATGACGGCAAGGCGGTATGGACACGTGACCCTGCACGCGTAAAGAGGAGTCCGGCAAGTTTGGCGTCGCCGACTATCCTCCGAGTCCTCCCCGTGCACCCTCTGCTTCTTAAGTTTATACTATCAAGCTACCCTTTGAGCGATCACTAGATTCATCGCGTATCAAGCATCAGAGAAACTGCAGGGGTCCCTCGAACAGCTATCCGCAATACTACTTTACAACTCACTCCTGGACAGCAGGATGCAGAAGACATTGGAAAGAACCAGAGGCAACCATCGTTGCATTATCGCGCGAGATTGTTGGAACTGAGATTAACCTACGCGTGGAGCGATTTTATGCGGTACGAAGATTCTCGGAGGCTGATAATAATAGTCATCGGACTTGGCGGACAGCAATGAGATCTGAAGCCAATTAATTCGTTCTGCAACCAACTCGTGGCAGTTTATCCACACCCCCATATGGATGGTTTGCAGTTTGCTGGATGTTCTTTTTTTATTTTTTCCTCTCTTTCTTTGGTAGCTGGATACGCTGGGACGCTCATACGCAATTAAAGGTTGTCTCGCTTAGCCCTTGGCCACCTCGCTAGCAATTGCTTCAGCTCCTCTTTTTGACGAGAGCGTGGACCAAAGCCATTGAAATTCCTCGGATCTAGTTTCCCGGACCTTGCTCTGTTCTGATGAGTATGCAGGCGATTTTGCTGCCTGCCCAATTTCTCTCGTCCATCCTCAATCAATCGCACCAGTCTATTCCAGGATCCACCTATACAGGTTCTGGCCAATTCTATACGACCAGATTTCTTTTTTTTTTCCCCGCCGTTTATTCTTTAGGCACAGGCACTAGGACCCGTGGTAGTTTTGGGGGCAGAAGTGCCAGTATATAGTCCTGAAAATGACCTTTTTCACTTTCCAGACTTGTTGATCAGTATCGTTTGACTGCCTAATCTATCCTTTTAAGTACTCCTTGGCAGAGCAGAACGGTGCCTATCCATGCGGGCTGGGTCTTCCACTAAACAGAACAGATACTGGCTGATCCGTCACCTGGGCGTCAAACATGTATTATAATGGCAATGGGGACGTCTCAGCGATCTGTGACTTTGGAACGGATCTTCCGCTCTGAGGCTTCTCGGTTATTCCCCTTTCCAACAAGGAGCTATTACTGGATTGATGCAGCTATCTGCACTGGGTTCCTATCCGTACTCGTGACGCGTCTCCTTCCCTTGTCTATGAGGGCCATCGCAAACTATGCATTCAGTGCACCGAAAGAGAAACGGCACACAGACATGCCCCTGGGACACTCCCAACAATTATTTGCACATTCGAAGAAGATTATACGAGCATCCACACATTCCCTCCACGTAGCTGGGAAAAATGGGCACACGAATGCATTCAATCCGGGCTATTGGCTCTCAGCAACAACGCCGGTGAAATAAAGTTAGGGCCTGCGGGCGGTCATTTAATAGCTGCTCACAATAGACTTCTCACTTATGACCAGTCATCGACCACCGAGCTTGAGCGCATGTTGACTCCGGAAACTTGACGAGTCAGGCATTGCCATGCTTGCTCAATTACTTCGCAGCACAACTCAAACACTCCCGCTAGTCTATTCCTGTCCAGTGAACTGCTCGGTTCATTTGCTTGACGTCAAGATTACCGCAGACCATGTGAGGTCTCAGGCCTTTTGCAGTTAGGAACAGATGGCTAGGAGCCTGGCGGGTATGCTTCGAACAGGAATTCCAATTCATATCGGATGTGCATATAATAGCTGTTGGTTGCTAACTACTAGTCTGCTAGAGGGTATGTATATCTATCCATTGAACCCATCCGGCTGCATCCTGTATCTATCGACTTGCAGCATTGCAGTAATTATATGCATGCAGCCTTACGGACGACATGTTGACGTCATTATGCCGCAGGAGGGTACACCCCCTCGACGATCTCGAAGATCTCAAGAACAATCGCCTCTACGCCCAGTGAGCTCTCTTTGATGGATCTCCTGACACGAGTTACAACTTGAACTGTATTCAGATGTCTTGCTGAGTTTGATTCGCCAATCCCTGGACTTTAAATATACTGACGCGGCCCCTCTGCTTCATTCCTCGCCGACTCTCCGATCAAGAGTAGGCCGTGTGATTCTTTTGGTGACTTTGGGGATTCTTTGACAAATTGGTCAGATCGTTAACTTGGTATAATTGATTTCATTTTACTAGTGTTCTTCTGTTGCATGTAATACATACCCAGAAACCCTGTTGTCTGATTGTTTTCACTTGTTTCAACTATCTTGGCCATGGCTTCAAAATCCGTTAATCACCCAGTTGATCCGAAGGAGAAGGATAAGGTATGTTAGTTTTGAGCAGGATAACTGGGTTTCAAGCTCACCACTTCCAATGCAGGATGTTGATCAGAAGCTCCGACTCTTTGGGATCTATCAGGGTAAGTAAAACGGCCCCGAGAATGGCTAGCTCTGTTAAAAGTCGCCGTTGCTGATAAACCCACCTAGCTTTCAAAAATGGGAAGCTTCCATCGGTATGTATTATGCATCGTAGCATGCTCTGTTGCCATTGACAAACTGGGTGCTGCGCTAAACAGAATGCAACTTCTTAACACAGAATAAACAATGCGACGTTGTCTTGAATAGCACCCTCAACTCCAAATTCCTCTCTTCCCCACCAGAAGAACTGTCTGATGAAGGGAAAGTCGTTGTCAAGGATCTCAGGGATGTTGTTGAGCAAGTCAAGAAACTGATTCTGGGCAAAAACGAAGACCAGCTGTTACAAGAGTTCTCCTGGGAAGTTAGACACACCGCTACGCAGGAAGTTAATAAGCCTGATGGGGTTCTCGCTGAGAAGGAGGAGGTACCATTGGAGAAGGATGCCAATCGAGCCCTGGAAGGCCTTAGGGCCCTCGGAAACCTGTTACTCACAAACGGAGAATTTCGAAAACTTTGTAAGGACGATTAACATGCCGTTTAGTACTGTATTATTTCTTGTTGACCGCCATAGTGCACGACGCGTCGCTTCTCTTACGGGATATTGCTGCCGATGCTTCTCAAGAAGCTGCCAACAGAGTCCGGCCGTCCGAGGAACAGCTTGCTCAAACAAGCAAACCCGAACAACCAAATGTCTGGCATCAGAAGCCAGAGCCATCGAAGAAGAAAGCCAAAGCCAAGAAGAATAAATCTGTCGTGAGTTCTTCGACTGCGGCGGATGTCGAGAGCAACGCTCACAATGATATAGACTGTGGATAACACCGGCACGACTGTCAGCACGACGACCACTGTCGCCACTGGCAGTCATGATATTGGGACTGAAACTCGCACGTCTACTGGCCCTCAGCAGCCGGAGGATCAAACGGCTGCTCGAAAAGGCAAAGACTATTTAGCTGAGAAAATTCCCCAAGAGCGGCGGGAACAGTTTACTTCGCGCTTAAGGAAGGTAATGATTGAGATACAGGGCCGCAGTGATTGTAAGTATTTCTGAGATGAGTTTTATTTGCTGCAATATGACAGTGATCAGAGCCGAGTTGACCAACTTGATCGCGCTTCTTAGATCAGCAGGCTATCGACACACTTCTCACCCTAGCTGAGCAATACATCGGTCATACTAAAGAGATCGCTGAGAAAACAGCCGAAGCTTCTCATGAAATAGGGAGCACAGACAGCGCGAAATTAGCACAGACTCATCTACGTGTATGTCCCAAAATTCATGTTGTTCTGGGTGCATGCTAATACCATGGAGACTCTTATTGAACGTTTTGCAAATGGCACATCGCTTGACGACTTTCTCGAATCACTTAACAACATTTACCGTGACGCAGACCAGGATCCCGTACTCAAGGGATGGTTCAAACATTTGGACTCATATATTCGGTATGTACATCCCTTCCTTGGAGGAAGGAGATAGAAGATGCTAACTATCAGTTAGTAAATGTCTGAAAGAACAAGGGTTTGCTCTCCAAGAGGAGAGTAAACTTGAATGGGATGGGCTGTATGACCAAGGTCGCTTCCTTCTCAGTGAACGTTATAGTAACCATGTCAACCGTATCGTCGACGAGACTAAGTTTCTTGTCGATCAATTCAACCAAGATCCGCTAAACAAAGCTTTAAGAGATTCAGTGGGAAAGCTTCTCACTGACCTTGGTTGTCGTGAACATGGGAAGATTCGTGTCACGAAGAATTTATCGAGAGACTTTATGGATATTATCTTGCCCGCTATTTTCGAGAATATTCGATACATTCCAATTTCTCGCATCGAGGTAGCGGATCCTATGGTCGATGTGGTGAGCATATATCTTCCCTGAGCTTGAGCCCACTTTTTAAGTAGTCAGAACTGACATCTGACGAAAATCAAACATCAATTAGGTTATTGAAAACCTCGTAATTGAAAGCGATAACTTGATACCCAATGTGTTTGAACTTGATAATGACAATTATGTTCGTTGGGGAAGAAAAACAATTGCCAACAAGCGAGACCACAGGGTTAGTGATAACCCATTCAGTTAGGTAACATTTTCAACGAGTATTTGCTAATAGAGAACATTGCAGCTCATGATTGCTTTCTCTGGCGTCCAAGCTGATTTCAGAGGTAAGGATTGTTCTAAAAACGGCTGAAAGCTGGCCTTACATTCGGCTCTAACTTGTCTCCTAATCTACAGACGTCAGTTACTTCATCAAGAAGAAGCATGGATTTCCTTCCCTCTCAGATATGGGAGTTTTGGACATTCTCCTTGGTGGCGAGGGCTTTAGCTTCAAGATCATGGCCTCCAACGCCAAAGAGGACAACCAAGGGCATTTCTTCACGGTAGATGATGTATCCGTGAAGATTCGAGATCTGCGTATCAAGGTCAGAAAGTCCAGGCACAAGGTTCTCTTCGCGGTGTTCAAGTCGATCCTTCATAAAGCCATGCGCCCTGCCCTGGAGAAGGTGCTCGAAAACAGAATCCGCGAGTTATTCAACAGAGCCGATGCCTTCGTATACCAAGTGAACAGCGATCTCAAAAAACAGACCCGAGAAGAGACTGCGCCCTCAGGAAACGCCTTCTCCCGATACATCAGTGTCGTACGCTACAGACTCGCGGAAAGAGCGAAGCAGGAGGAAGGCAAGTCCCAGGCCCCCGAGAGGGAGGTTAATGTGACCGCTACGGATGAGCATTTGATTTTCCCGGATATCAAACTGCCCCATAGCCTAGCTGAACCTGCTACCCACTACAGGGAGCTCGCGACCCAGGGAGAACGTTGGGAGTCGCCTATTTTTGACATTTCCCAGGCTCCCCAGTCGACTGATATTCCCAGGGCATCGTCTGTCACCAGAAAATCACACGAGACCGCTGAAGGTAAATTGATAGAGAAGCCGCAGACTGCCAATGGCCATACCAAGGGCAAGGATTCAATCGGTGCGAATGGCACCACTCATGCTAACGGCACTACCAGTCCGTACCGGCAAGGGGAAAGTATAGTCACTTCTACTCACAGTGACACCATGAGTGGTAGTCTTCACCCAGGAGCTTCGACGGTCGTGCAGCGGACTGTCGAGAAGAACAAGGGGAATGCTAGCGGTGATTAATGTTATGATTTTGAAGTTGGTCAATACAGCAAGTATACTGCAGGACAAGTCTGTCCACTAATAGTAATATTAAGTTGCAGGATTCATGTTATTCATATGATTATTTGTACTTTTAGTGTTGATGTCTACTTTCTTCGTCTGTTTGTCTATTAATTCACCTGCTGGTTATTTAATTAATCATATTATTTGATTTGAACTTGATGCTCTCTATCAATAAACATTTGAATTCGTAGAGGACAACATACATACATAAATTCTCCGTAGATCATAAGGGAAGCAGCTTTGTCTTCGCATCTTATCTAGATGATTACTCACTTTTGCATCTGCTCAAAATACTTCTCCCATCCAAGCTCCCGCATTTTCGTCCCCTTCAAGTTCAGATTCTCATTCTTGGCGCTCTCCGCGTACACTTCGACCTTGCGTTGCACGGTGGGGTCGAAAGAGCCCAAGATTCTTGCTGCAAGAAGAGCAGCGTTGACGCTATTATTGATCCCGACGGTTGCAACGGGGACGCCTGCAAGATTACAAAAATGGGTTAGTAAAATATGATCCTGAGCGGTGAAGAGTGCAAATACAAGGGTGACAGGAAAGAGAATCACAAACCTCGTGGCATCTGCACGATGCTGTATAAGCTATCTACTCCGTCCAAAGAGCTTCCTTTTACTGGTACCCCGATAACAGGAAGAGTAGTATGCGCGGCAGCCATGCCGGGAAGATGTGCGGCACCGCCGGCTGCGGCGATGATGACCTTGATGCCACGTGAAGCAGCACTGGCCGCGTACTCAGCCATGTAGGTTGGTGTTCGATGAGCAGAGGTGATTTCCACCGTGTGCTCGATTTCAAAGTAATCCTTCAGTAGTTTGAGTCCTGGCACGAGCGTCTTAAGGTCACTGTCAGAACCCATCACCACCGCTACAGATGGGGCAGGCTTGGAAGGGCTGGACTTGTGGGGTTTCGTCTTGACATCACTGCGCTGAGAGCGGATTTCATCCACCACGTCGATCAGTGGTTGGATAGCTGTTTCAGCCTCGTGCATCGTGGGAGCGGTAACAGTTACGTGGCCCATCTTCCGACCCGGTTTGGCGGCGCCTTTGCTGTAAAGGTGAATGCTGGCGTTGGGGATGGAAAGAGCAGCCTCTGCAGCCTTTAGATGGGAGTCTGGAGTGGCACCCCCGATTATATTGAGCATGATGGACGGTTGCCGGAGCTCGAGACTCTTGGGTGGAATGGGAAGATCAAGAATGGCACGGAGATGGGTATCAAACTGGGAAAGAGCGCAGCCTTCGATGGTGTAGTGACCTGAATTGTGAATTCGACTGGCGATTTCACACAGAAGAAGACTGTCATCTTCTAGGAGGAACATCTCAACACCGAAAACGCCTTTCCCGTCGAAAGCTGCAACGGCCTTGCGAGCCAGTTCTTGGGCTTTTTGGTTGACAGCTTCCGAGACATTTCTGGCGGGTGCGTAGACAAGTTTGCATATCGAGTCCTCTTGGACGGTCTCGACAGTGGGATATGAAAGCACACCGTCCTTGGTTTTGACGACCATAACGGCCAATTCCTAATGCATTATTTGTCAGAATCAAATAAAAAAAGGGCCAGGCAATGTGAAGCCCACCATCTTGAAATAGGCCCATTTTTCCGCATACAAAGGCCGATCCTTCAGCGCCTCGAGAGCTGCGGGAATATCTTCCTTCTTCTGAACGCGATAGTTGCCTCGACCATCGTATGCCATCGTCTTCGATTTCAGCATCAAAGGAAAGCCCAGTTGTTCTCCGATGTCGGCCAGTTCTTCAGGCGTGTTTTTCACCAGCTCTCGATACTCAGCCATGGGAATGCCATACTTTGTTAGATGCTTCTTTTGGTCGAACTTGTTCTGAATTGTCCGGATAGCCTTCCAGCTGGGTTCAACCTGCACCTCTGAGGCGATTTCTTCGAGAGCATAGGTATCCACATGCTCTATCTCGGCCGTCACCACGTCGCAAGTCTTTGCCAACTCTCGCACAGCTGACGGTTCCTTGAATGACCCAGTCACATGGCCTTTATGCGCACTGATCTGCTTTGCAGGAGAATTGTCTGCATCCAGGACGTTCACCTGAATATTCAGCCGGTTTGCAGACTCGACCAGCATTCGGCCTAGTTGGCCGCCACCGAGCACTCCCACTTTGCGTGAATTCCACATTTTTACAGGTAGAGAACGCAAATTTTTAGATACAGCGCTGATTGGGGCGAATCCAGCAGCTTCCTTTTTCAAGCTGTACGCTTGCGACGGTCGAGAAAAGTCTCAAGAGAGCTTCATTTAGGTTTCCAAACTGAAAAGATTCAGAAAGTCGGGCCGATAACAGTCACGTGACCCGGCTATCGGAGGGGCAGCAGACGCGATAGACGCAACAGCCGCAGGAAATGGTCTATCGCGAGCTTCACCACAAGGAGAAACGCCCTCTACGAGTCTCGACTGCAGCTGCAGCTGTCCAAGAACCAGCAGTAATGCCTCTTGGTAGGTTATAATGCTTGATTTCCTGCCCTGCTCTGTTGGGACCAGCTCTCCCTGGCTTTTTCAGCTACGGCCATGCGACGATTTCCGTCGTGTCTTGACCGAGCGCCGATTGTTGCCAACTCCATGCCACCTTCATTATCGAATCTGCTCTGTAAATCACTTGCCTCCCGCTGACTTGGCTCTTGCAGATGAAGATGTTTTGGACGCGCTCGCCAAAGGCAGCATAATAGATTAGTACGTGAAACAAGTGGACGGGAGCAAGCTATAATCTCAACACGTGTTGACCTTCATTCCAGTGAGAAATGGCCGGGCATGTTGGATCCTTTACTCGAGCGATTGGAATATGTGCGCAAACTTCTTGTCTAGCTGCGCGATGTGTTCTTTGGCTGACAGACTCAATAGATCGTTTACAATGTCTTCCCTATGCCCAAGTCCCCCTCTGACTTGGACTATCATCACCCTCAACCGTCGTCATACCCCTCCCAGGATCCCAACTCTCAAACTTTCGGTAACAACAAAGAGAATACGCCTCCTGGGGGTCTTCAGACACCCCCGCGACCCATAGCTTCCCTCTCGCCCTCATCCGAGCGTGTCCCCGATTCGCAGCCGCAGTCCTTCTCTGCCCATACGAATGGAAACCTTCCTCCCCCATTACAGCTATTATTGAACTCGATCACATCAACGCTGAAGACATTCACTTCTAAACCCCCACATACCATACAGAGGCTAGCAGAACTTATCCTCCATCCTACCATGCACTATCGAACACTCCCTGCATACTTGCGAGCCCTCGACCGTACTGTCTCGGTGATGAGCAGCGTAGAAATATTCCCACTCCAGGCGCAACGACTTAATGGTGTCATAAATGGGGAAGAGACCAGCTTAATGGCTATGGATCATGGCCCAGGGAGTGATGAATCTCTGGGTGGTGCTCTCTTGACCCCGATTCCGTGGTTGAGCAATGCGTCTATGGAAGACGACAATGAGAACCAAGGTGCGCTTTTTTGAGTTATTAATATTAGACCCTTTTTTGCTTGTTAACCCATTATCTAATTTCTTGTGAAGGAGAAGAAGCAATGGCAATAGAGGAAGAATCGCACCCCGTGTCCGCAGGGGAGGCAAACGCAGCGCAAGAACTACAGCAACAACGCCAAACTCCTACAGTTTCCGCCACAGAGCAGTCCTCAACATATCTTTCCTCGATGGGTTCAGCCATCCAGCACCAACAGCCTACAGATCCAACTTCTCCACCGACTGATCCATCCGAAGAGATACCTCATGCGCGCGGTCCACCAATTGTAGGTGTGGAGGACGTAGGTCTGCAGAATGGACAAGGTGTACAAATGAACTTATCCACGGATGCGGCTCCGAGTGATCACACTACTTCCACTCCCAGTGGGAATACCAATACCTCACAGTCTGGTCAGTCGACAACCAGGGAAAGCGATGCAGATGCAGATGGAGACATGGTGGTTGGGGATGTTAGAAATGGAGAAGATGGCCACGATGTGCAACTGGAGCTTGATTCAAAAGGCCAGCAACAGCAGACCGACACCGATACCGATATGACTAGTACTGAGAAGGATAGGGGTATTTAGAATAAGCCCTATCGGCATGCCTCTATTTTCCTTCTTTTTCTTGCTTATTCATGATTGATGAATCGAAAACCGTATGACTGACTGATTCCATTATGGGGATAATTAACTTGTATTCTAATGAGTAATGACACGTCCTTGTTCCAACTTCCAATGACGGGAGAGTTTTATTCAATTCTCAATCAGTGACTTGTAAATAGGAGATTTGTTGAGATTCCTTCAAATCAAGTGTGGTCGAGTTGGGGGACTCAACACCTTCCGGGGTAGGAAACATCTCAGCGCCCATTATGCAAATAGAAACTTGAACATGGTACGGTGTATATATCATTCGATTATTAGACTGACTTGGCAGCAATTCTGAATAAAAACATGTCCACATGGGAGGTATCGGATCATAATCGTAAACAGCCAAAGAAAAAGAAGAACAGAAAGTGAACTATCTATCTGTCACAAAGGTCAGGATCTGTACAAAATCAACAAAGCAATTCTAGTTATGCAGCTGGCTCCACTGTCCCAAGTGGAATATATCCCTCATTAGCCCTAACGACCTTGGATTTCCCACCGGTGATAAATGACCAGAAGATACTGGCAGTACTTCTGATCTTACCGGGAAAGAAAGACGTGTATGTTGCGGACCAGCTCTTCTTCGATAAAGAAGAATAAGGCGAAGTAATATTGCCCACCCCAGCCTCCTTTTCAAGCCGCACAACGTCCATCCATCGTGGAGGTCGCCAGAATTTCAGGAGAAGACTGCTGACAACCACAGAAATGCTGGATGCAGCCATGGCCGCAGCCGACGCCATTGGGGGTAACATAAAACCCCCAAAAGGGAGGAAGAGACCCATGGCAAAGGGTAGGCCAATGACGTTGTAAAGACATGCCCAAAGCAAGTTTAGCTTGATACGGTTGAAAACCGAGCGAGAGAGAATCAGGCTTGCGGGAACTGAAAGGAGATCGTCTGCACGCATCAGGACTATGTCGGCTGCTTCGACGGCGACATCTGTGCCGGTGACTAGGGCAATTCCGACGCTGGCTGTGGCAAGGGCAGGAGAATCGTTGATGCCGTCGCCTACCATGGCGACACGGTCGCCTGATGATTGAAGAGAGGAGACGATAGACTGCTTGTCAGACGGCGAAATAGAAGCATGAACTGCCACACTTGGAATGCCGACGGCCTTTGCGACGGATATGGCGGATTCGTATGTGTCACCTGTCACCAGGGAGGTTGAGATTCCCATTCGATGTAGGGCTGCAATAGCAGCTACGGCAGTTGGCTTAATAGTATCACGCAGCGAGATGGTACCAGCATACAGACCGTCGATTGCCACATGGATCTGGGTTAAACCGACAGGAGTATCCGGTTTGGGGACAGAGACGGAATCCTCTGAGTCTCGTTCCGGCACTTTCAAACCAGTATCGATTGACTCAGGGATTTGCACACCTCTCGAGTGCAACAACTTGGCATTACCAACCAGAGTACGATACCGGATCTGCTCAGCGCTAGAGGTAGGCTCAACGACGGCGGATACACCTTCACCAACACAAGCTTCAAAATCGCATATACTTCCAGGTAGTTCTCCTTCTCCAAGATGACCTGATTCAATCCTGGCTGCTGCGAGGATCGCTTTTCCGACAGGGTGCTCACTTCCCATTTCTGCAAGACCTATGATCAACCACCAGAGGCGACGTCTCCACTCATTTGATGTCCAATTCGGCTCAAGTCTGGTCTCGGCCACATTCATTTTTCCGGAAGTTAAGGTTCCAGTCTTGTCAAGAACCACATGGTTGACTTTCGTCGCGGCCTCGAGAACAGCACCACCCTTGACTAGAATGCCGTGCTCTGCGCCGACACCAGTGCCAACCATGACTGCGGTTGGCGTACTAAGGCCTAAGGCGCATGGGCATGCAAATACAATGACAGAAATGCAGAGCTTCAAGCACACCATGAGTTTCCCGCCACTCTCTTCCACTAGGAAAATTTTGGGAGGGTGCGGTAGTACATGGCTCACAAACATCCAGCCGAAGAAAGTAACCAGTCCGAGACTGAGAATCGCCGGAACGAAATAGCCGGCAACAATATCAGCCATTCGTTGGATTGGAGCACGGCTCGTTTGCGCATCTTGAACCAGCTTCACGATCTGGCTTAACTGGGTGTCTTTGCCAACTCGGGTAACCTTGAAGTCTACGGACCCTGTGCCATTAACCGTTCCGGCGACGACAAGGCTGCCCCTTGTTTTACGAATTGGGACAGCTTCTCCTGTGATCATGCTCTCGTCCGCATAGCTTTCACCACGAATGACGATACCATCCGCGGGGACCTTATCGCCTGGCCGTAGAATAACAATGTCGCCGACCTGAATAAGTTCCGTTGGAATGACCTTTTGACCGTTCAACATTCCATTGTGCGTTGGAGCCGTTGCTTGGTTATCTGAAGCACCATTTTCAGTATTCCATTCGTCGGCTAGCTTTTCGGCAGCTATTGGGTCATCGTATATCGTTGTCATGGAAGGAGCTAGAGACATTAGACGAGAGAGAGCCGCAGAGGTCTGTCCTTTAGCCCTGTTCTCCATCCACCGTCCTAGGGTGATGAATGTAATGAGCATGGTACTCGTATCAAAAACTGTGCTAGGTCTGGCGCCAGGTCTGCAGGAGATAACTGCTACAGCCATAGCGAAAACACTGTAGAAGAATGCAGCTGATGTGCCCATCATGACAAGCACGTCCATTGTCGGCGCACGATGCTTTAACGACCTAAAACTGGATACATAGAATCGTTTGCCTATGCCAAATTGCACGGGTATTGTAAGGGCAAGACACGTCAAGTCTCCAACATAAAGACCAGGCAATATGGCGAAACGGCCAAAGTCGAGAGCTGGAAGATACATCGGCAGTATCATACTGATAACAAAGACAGGAATCGCAAAAGACACAGAGAAAAAGAACGCGTGTCTCCATTCCTGTATCTCCTTCGTTTTCGCCAGTGATTCAAGTTGTGCATTGTTATCATTGGCATCGGATAACAAGGCATTATATCCTTCAGCCTCAATCGCCTCGACGACCGACCGGATTCCAATCACAGCTGGGTCATATGAGACCGAGAGTTCAGATGTGGCCATTTTTATTGACGCTGAGGTGATACCGATTATTCGGAGAAGAGCAGCCTCTAATGCAGTTGCGGACGATGCATCGCGAAGACCATGAAGACTCAATCTTACATGATGCGGCGATTGGGACAAGAACGCGTGAGCTTGCGATGAAACCACAGTCGCATCGAAGCCTGCATCTTCAATCAACGTTGTGATCTTCTCTGGTGAGAGAATGGAAGGATCGTGGACAATAATGGCGCGTTCAGCAAGCAGACTGATGTTGAATTGAATCAGGCCCTCGACGTCTTTGAAGGTGTTCTGCACACTCGACGTACAGGCGCCGCATGTCATACCTCCGATGGATACAGTGGTAACCATAGCCTGGGGGCTATCCTCCGTGTTTATGCCATCCTGAGGGGGATGATGCGCACTCCCACGCTCCGTACTTAGTACACTAGCACCAAACCCACGATCCTCGATTATTTCAGCAAGTTGTTCCGGCGTAACCTTTGTCGCATCATGTTCTACCACAGCACGCTCTGAAAGCAAGGAAACATTCACTGATCTAACTCCCGGGACGTCTGCCAAGCCTCCCTCAACGGCAGAGGTACATGCGCCGCAGGTCATGCCCTCCACAGCCAAGGTAGTTATTGAAAATTCCGACTGGTCGTCATTTTGTAGCAAGTTTCTGCCATGGTCATCGGGCTCTCTCGAAAGCGTCTCGGTGGAAAGAACAGTGGCATCAAAACCGCGGTCCTCGATGATTTGCGCGACTTTCTCGGCCGGTAGCAAGGTCGGATCATGGTGCACCACGGCTCTTCCCAGCACTAAGCTCACAGACACGTCTGCGGCCCCATCAACCCGACTAAAAGCTCCTTCGACGGCAGACGTGCAGGCGCTGCATGTCATCCCATCCACCTTGACGGTTGTTGTCGCTAACTTGGATGGATCGGCAGTCCCCGGCGCAGGGTCTGTGGTAGAAGATGACGCCACCATAGCGGCTCGGGAGAGTGGTAAACCAGCGTGAGGGAAGGCTGGACAAGACAGTCTATAACATGTGGACGTATGGGTGATAGAAATGTGACAATAATGCCATACGAGAACGAAGCTGGCGATGCTGACGGCGCTTACGCAGCATGAGAATTGTTGAATGCGAAATGCCGCAAGTGGAGTCTGGCTTGCCGTATCGACGGCTAGTTAGAATCACACCACCTCCAGGAACCAGTCCTGCACGTGCCCGGTTCCACCGCAAAAGAGCCAAGATGCCTGGCCCAATAATCGAAGAGCAGGAGTTTCAACGTCAATGAGTTCGGATGGAGCTTGGTTCAAATATGATTATTGCTGTTGATTTGTTGCGTGGAATCAACGTTGGGTTTTGATCCTGTACGCTTGGCATCTGCACTGCAGTGCGCTGTAAGGAACTGCTATCCAGTCCTGTCTACGTCAGCATCTACTGTTTCTTCGCCATCCCTCTCCTTTGAGAAATTAAATTCATAGCTCAATCTACTCGATATTATAATTTAAAGGGAAGTATGAGGACCATATGGGCCATTGCATTGGTTGTTTTTATTGGATTAACTTGGATTTGACTAAGGTACTTCGGACTAGGGAGGGCATTGTAGTTGTATCTAATTTCGGGTCTTGATTTCCCTCCCTATTATTTATGGCAATTGGTTGATGATGAGGAATTCATAATTGTAGCATATCAGTATAGACCATGGAAATCTTGTGGCTGAGTGGAAGTTGTGATTATGAATAGACCAGTTGCATGGCGTTCAGGGCTTGGTTTCTCGGCCGCCGAGTCAACCAGGTCTATGGCATCAGCGTGGAGGCTCAAGATACTCTATAACATGCTATGGTGGTGTGGGATATGTGGCAGTATACACATACATGATGCCACTGTATCTTAGAAAAGCGAGGTGAAACAGTCGCCACATGCATATACAGTAACGCGTAAATAAGTAAATCGACTACATTTGCCGGTATATATTGAATATAATAAGGGCAAATATGCTTCTCAGATAGTGGTTTGCATCTGCAATGATGAATGAAGTGCAAATTCCACATCAGACTTCCTAAAGCCTGGTGCTCGGCCTAGAATAACGGCACCCTGGAGGAGCCCTGACTCCGGAGTAAGCAACCGAACGAGACTTCATATTGACGGGAAGGGAGCAAGTAACAAGGAATAGACTCACTACTAAAGAAGTATTCGACGTCAAGAACATATCGAGAGGCTCGCCGAATATCATCATAATCATTTCGAGACATGTTCTCATCTCCCAGAAGCATTCGGTCCAAGACGTTTTCGTAGGATTGATTCACCTCACGTATCTGACGAGACAGATCTATCCTCGCCATTAGATCCCCGCTCCATACATCGACACCGATTTCAGCCAAGTAGCCCATAACGTCGTTACAGTCGAACCATCCGCCCCCGAACCCAAGGAGTGCGAGGTTTTGCTCTTTGCTTTGCCGCCGCACCGATGAGTCCGCTTCACTGCTCGCTGTGGGCAAAATTCCAAGAATTCGCCCGGGAAATCGCATGTTTGGAGGATATATGGGGATCCCATTTTCATCTCTCTGGGGATAATGTGTCCCAGCGCCTCCAATGCAGTAAAATGGGAGTGTCAGAATCTCAAGCGATTCTTGAATCCCACCATCCACAAGTCTTCGAAAATATGGTTCCATCTTAGATCGGTCCCGGATGCAAGGGACTAGTCTGAAGACTCGATAGATATCTTTCGGGTTGGATGATGCATCTATAAATAAACGATATGCATACTCCAGACAATATCGATGCAGTTTGCGCGCGAAAGTTTGTTCCTGAAAGCAAGATGTAAACTGTGCAGTCACTAAAGATGCTCTTTCAAGCCTGGGATGATGCTTGTCCGTTTCTTCAGATCGACGAACAATGGAATTGGGCAGATGGCCATCTCTTGAGGTACTCGAGCTATTTGACTGGGAAACATTTTCATCCCCGTTTGCTACACTGGAGGTCTCCAGGTTGATTATCATAAGCTCACGCATTCTGTCAAAATACGAGAAAAGTTCCGGATGTGTTGCATCTAGATTGCAGTCCAATGCCGCATCGCGAAAGCCGGAGGATAGCACAGAGATCCTCTCAAGCCGCTGCTCGAGTTCTGAGACACGGGCCTGCAGTCTTTGGAGTCTGGCTTCTTTCTTGAGTCTGTATGTTCTCTGGGCATGTCTGACTTGTTTGCGGCGTTCCTATCGACCAGTCAGATAGTGGAAAAAGCAATGGGAGGCTGGGAATGGCTTCAGATTACCTCCGACAATACAGCTTTGCCCGAGGCACCGATTCTTGGCCGTCCTATACTTCGAAGTGGACCCGGTCGTTCTATATCTTTAGGAATATCTCTTATGGCTGTACTGATTGTAGTGGGTATTAAAGATCTTCCCATATGAATCTCTTCTGTTGGCTGTGTTCTGATTGATGAAGGCCTAGTATCGCAGTCCGTTTGCTCATTAGCCGAGTCTTCAGTTAAGAGGTAAGAACCAGCCGGGATGAACTTGAGTAGTTGATCATCAGGAGTCTCCATTTTTGCAATGTTTTTATGTCAAAGAATCTGAAGATGTCAAGGAGTGAGTATGTATGCTCTTTGAAGCTGGACGTGTCGGAGATAAACTCTCCTGGAAGATTCACATGACCTAAGAAAGTACTGCTGTGGAAGAACCCAAAGAAACCATCAAGAATATATATTTCATAGTGCTGAGCATAGGTCGAGAATCTTTGTCCTTATCCAAGCCTAGGCATCAGGGAACTGTACAGTGTATGCTGTTGTGAAGTTCCAAATTAGTACTGTACTGTGGATATTCATTTCATTCATTCACTTTATATAGGACCCTTCTAATCCTAAATCTATACCAGAGCAACGGTTCCTGATTCCAAATATATATATCTTCGATCAAAGCCGGGGAACAAAATCAATTCCAGGCCGCAGCATCGTCTGCTGTGTCATAATGGCTATCAAAACACCATCCTCACTCCACACTCTCCCTTCACTAAAAGCCCTAGCATTCCCAGCCACAATAGTTTTCTGCTCCGTGACATGCCAACTAGTCAGGTCGACCTTAGGCGTAAACAATCGAAGTGAGAAATCCAGCGTCGCGCAGGCGCTGGCTTCTATGAGCTCATATCCACTATGCTTCGAAGGGATAAAGGCCAAGCCCCTGTCCATGTAAAACGCAAGGGCTGCCATATTTTCAGCTTCACTGTCTAGCGGGCCTCGTACGCGGAATCTTTCTGCGGCTGTTCTTGAGGGAGCCTGAGCCGGCACTGGGCGTTGTTCGTCCTGGCAGTGTGTCTTATTATTGCCATTCTTCTTGTTCTGGGCTATCGGCTGGATCTCGGTAAATTGTTCGATATATCGATAGAGACCGTAAGGATTATTCGCCGTACTAGTATCCTCTGGAGTAAAGGGACTGACGGGTCGCAATGGGAAATCAACAGTCTGGGGAGACGTGGAATATACCACCATGGATCTTGGCTCCTCGATGTGAAAATCAGCGGAGGCAACAAGACAAATAACAATGGAGCCATCATCAGCCTCCTGGATCACTCGTAGTTGCCGCGTTTCAAAGGTCCTGGTATTCCTAATTCTTTCCACTTCGCAGATCAGTCGTCGGTCAGGCGTTGCTGCGCGGATGAAGTGCCCGGAAATAGTGTAGAGGTGATGCGACGCCGACGCCGTTTGGTATGCAGCATTGACTGCAATTGCTAGAATGTTTCCTCCGAACACAGTGCTTGTCAGTCTACCCATGTGCGTTGGGTTTATGACTGAGACGTATCGGCCGTCGGCGAGTTGTTCAACCGCTATTTGGCGGTTGAGGGTAACTGTAGGATCGGGCATGTTGTCTGGTCTTCGTCTGTCCCTGTTTGAAAATTTCCCAGAGAATAAATCCAAGATTAGGGTACATCGCCATGTATTTATAATTATTAGTCTGAACGGTGAATATGCAGCAGCCTTGGGGAGAAGCTGTAAATCTCCATTTGATCAGCCGAGGCTCGAGGATTACAATATCAGCCGTGTCGATTAGAATATCAAGCCGATCCTCATGCTTCACCCAGGTCAATATGCCACAAGCTAACATTCTACTTTTAGATTCTTGCCCTACAGCGCTGTGCCATATGAACCTGACAGACAAATTTAGTCATTTACACCCTATCCATGAATTGGAGTCTTGTGATGACATTATCTATGGCGAACCGACGGGGGAAGGGTCCAGGAGAATTGAATTATCTTCCTCTTAATACAACGAAGAGTGGAGAGATTTATTTTCGAATACAAGTTTTATATTATCAAACACAACAGTCTCGAGTTTACTGACAATCCACTATTGTGGTGAGCAGGCATTCAGGCTCCTGTCGCAGTCACTGCCTCGCGAAAGCCCGCGAGGAACTTCCACCGGCTTTCCTGCTTCCAGCCCTTAGCTTTCCAGCCATTTGCTTTATTTGGGACAAGAGTTATGTTATGTGCAATGACAACAAATACATCATCACTGGCGTCAAAATCAGTTAGCTTATCAATTGACCCTTCTGCTTCCTCGATGTCCCTATCAGGAGCAGACGATAAGTTCTTGTAGAAAGGAGTTGTGGAATATGCATGTAACTCAGGTAAGAAGGCAGAATGAAGCTGTATCGACTACACGTACGTAGCCTACTAAGGAACGGATGCCATACTATTATTCCAATCTCTCTCTACATATAATCAGGGGCTCGGATTCTCAGGGGTTGGAGAGGGAGCCAAGCCGCCATACCACGTGACCTTTTCCATATCAAAAGGTGTTGTCCTGGAATGGCGTGCATGGATCTTCTCAAGAACCGCACCTGGACAAATGCTGCCCTCCAGAAAGGGGTGAATTGGAAAACGGAGACGGTGATGCTGGTTCCGGAAATGGGACGTGCTTTGTGGGGCGCAGAGAACCACAATGATGGCAAGTATCACCTCCCATAAGGATAAATGTTGATGGAGTAGTCCGGGCTAGAGCATAGATGTGCCCGAATGTGTGCTGGAAAAAATCAGCAGGCTGGGGAAAAGAATGGTGTGCTTGATCTTGCTTACCCCGGGTGTATCAAGAAGGTAGAAGCTTCCATCACAGAAGTAGTCAATTGCACGATAACAGCATATAGTCAAGGAATTGGGATGGGATCAAAATTGACCTCATGAAGATCATGACATCTAGTACATGGGCAACAGATTGAGATCATGTTCACTCATAATTTGATAGAGTCCAGGACGGTTCGAGAAAAACCACCAACATCTTTACGCATTCCTAAATCAAAATGAACCTCCTTCTCTGAGGCATGCTCCACTAGAAATGGTAGGATGGCGCTTCGAGGAACTCATGCCCGGGAATTTGATCTGCCATAAACATGACCGTCAGCACGCGAATACGTGCCTTGGTGTCAATGATGCTCACATCGATGGTATTTTCAGAATGAGATATTCTTAGTTCTGGTTTGGAATCAACAGAAGACTTCGCCATTTTCAAGAATTGTCAAGATGACTGAAGGATTTAAGTTCCTCTTGACTGAACCATCTCCCACCATCCAATTTATATGATGAAGTCAAGCCATACGTCAACCTGTGAGGAAAATCTGGCACTTCCATACAGGATGACAAATTTCTCCGCATGATTAGGAATCAGGATGGTGCCTGCTGTCTGAATACATCGTGGAGAATACGAGGGAGGATTGCCGACAGCGGCAGTGATAGATCGCTGTTTGCATCTAGTGCAAACATCCACATCGTCACCGTTTACTCCAACGACCTCATCGTCGCTTGTCTACGGCATGTATATTTCGAATCAGGGTGGGATTCATTATCTTCATCGGATGTGAGGCACCGTGAACGATAATCTTCTCGGTAGGTTGATATTCATTATCACCGACTTCTTTCAACAGAGTCCATCCTGAAACCACCCCGCCAAATAGGCACCCCATACACAGATATGGACCAGACACATACACGGGCCCTGGAGGCTCTCCAACCATTCATCCATCTTGCAAGCTCGAACAGTGCAACCTCTCCCCGTCTAGTCGCCAATCTGATCACAAATGCAACGTCCAACCCGCATACCTACGTCTTTGCAGAGCTCCTCGAGACGCCAACCGTCCAGGCGCTTCGATCCAAGGAAACACCAGAAGAGTATCAAGGGTACATTACTCTTCTAGAGATCTTTGCCTGGGGTACATGGCAAGAATATCATTGTGCGTCCTTTTATTGAACATTATGATGCGAGATATCGAACGATTGAATAATTTGAAACTGACGATTCCGGTTCAACTATAACAGCAACACCGAACCTCCCCCCTCTTAACCAGGAACAAACCCTTAAACTTCGCCTGCTATCTCTCCTCAGCCTAGCAGCAACAATCAAACCCCTGACCTACGACACACTCATGACCACGCTCTCTATCTCCACCCCCTCTGAACTCGAATCTCTCGTCACCACCGCTATCTACTCATCGCTCATCACTGCTCGTCTTTCACCCGCAACTAACCCGCCAACGATAAATGTGACTTCCGTCGCTCCCCTGAGAGATGTCAAGCCGCAATCCCTGCCTACAATGATCTCCGTGTTCACGGAATGGGAACTACGCTGCGCAGACGTTATCAGTGGAATAGAAGCTGAGATCGCTAAGATCTATGCTGACGCGAAGAAGCGACGGGAGAGAGAATACGCGAGAGCACTGTTACTGGAGAAAGCAATGTCAGAACCCAGAGGGCGTAGGAAAAGCCAGGCCAAGGACAGCGGCGGGGTAAAGCTCGGGTCTAGCTTTGGCGGTGGCAGTGGGAGTAATAAGCGGGAGTTCAGTGATGATGAAGGGTATCATGGTGATGAAGGCCTAGGGGAGCTGGCCTCATCAAGAATGGATATCGATGAAGGTGCTGGAGCATCTAGGGCTGGGACCAGCGGTGGCGGCAGTGCCAGACATGCGAAGCGTGTTCTCGGGAAAAAGAAGCCTTGATTCTAGCGGTCTATGCCAGATCTATGGCGTTTGTGATGTAATGGATCGTCAAGGATAGACAGGGGCAGGGCAGATAATTTTCAGAGCGAGAAGTGCAACACGATTTGCATTCTCTACCGGACTTCAGTGGCCACGCATAAATGATCGGAATTTAAGCCAATGAAGTCAATTGCATGAAGATGATTACTTTGAGACATGAAAAAGAAAGATATGACATTGCTATGGCTAGTGATGTATGAACAGCCTAGCTTAAGCATCCCCTTAACCACACCGAGGACAACGGGTAAGAACAGAAAATCATGTCACATATACACACAAAAAGGGGGTATTGTAAAGACCAAGAGACAAAACATCCGAAAGATACAAGGATGAAAGAGCAAAAGAGCCACAGACCAGGTAACAGGATTCGCTAACAATTGCACGCAAAATTATTAATTAGTTCTTTCGAGTTTTGAGCAAAGGGGCGAATGCAGCCATGCACATGGACAAAAATACAACGGTTCTTTGAGAGGGAGTTCACTGTGAATCAAGCCGACGGGTATATGCAACATTGCTTTGAAACAAGAACTTTTCTGGATTCATTGCCGGATAGAAGCCGTCGTGGGGAGATCTCAGTACCTCGGAGGACAAGATGAGCACATTAAAATATTACTAGAATGATATCGCAAAAGCATGCTGCATGACGCTGAAGAAATCGGAAAACATTGGGGCGGCGTTCACAACATTGTACCGGGGACGAAGATGAATAGCACGCTGAGAGACGCAGCAACAAAGGCCGCTATCAGGATAGTTGCCGTTGCCCGTTTGTTAAGGAGAGTTCGAACATACGGTTCACGGATACGTGCCCAGTTTAGGAACGTGTATTCGCTGAAACCCAGATAAGCCATGATTGGATCGATGTTGTATTGATACGAGGAAATAAAATAGGCAGCGATGACAAATGGTAGAATCAACTGCAGGATACTTAGTCAAAACGGCGATACAACATGCGCTGATGTCGAGCAAGTAGAAGATGCAAACATACCCAGCAGCGAATATGCCTCGGTTTATCCCTGAGGACAACATACCAAGCGCCCCAGAATCCTCCACCGAAAGCCATAAGAGCGACCGCCAAACGTGCGAGAACACTCAGAGGAACGAGATTCCCAAGGGCTTTCGCCTGCAAAAACCCCGGGAAAGCATCCCGCTCCATTGCCTGGAAAACATAGTCCTTGGCCGGATCGAACACTTCTGGATCGTCTCTGGCTTCTTCTTCGACCATAGTGATGATAGACGACACCATATCATGTGGCAAGACTATCTCTCTCTCTGAACCAGGAAGGAGGTAGGTATACAGGATTTTCTCCGCACTGGCGCGAATATCGGCGCGGGCGACAGTGTGACCAGGAGAACTGGACGACCCATTCCGCGCGTCAGATCTTGCAAAGCTTGGACGAGGAGGTTGGTCGAAAGGCGATGTACGGCCAATGCCGGAATCAGACCCTCGACTACTAGGGGGCGTGTGTTCTGTGCCCTGTCCTCCATCCTGTCGTAGAAATGCGGACAGTCTTTTATCAGCGTCCTTTTCCTCTGACCCACGAAAACCAGAGGGACCGGCCTCTGCCAGCGGAATATCGCCGATTCCTTCCACATTCTCCAGGACTCCTGACGAGCGTCTAGTGCTGCTGCTAGTTTTCTCGAGATCGGGGGTCGCGATCAAGACGGAACGGCGTAGTTCTCGGACATAATGACGGCACAGGGACATATGCTGGGAGACATCAAGCCTGTAGTAGAAATTTAAACCTCAGTCAGTCGAATTCCTGCAAGGTCCCAAGAAAAACAGATTACTTACCAAAAATCTAAATAGTCGACGGAGCGCTGCTGATCCCGCATGTAAATGTAGAAAGAGAAGAGATCGACGGGGGCCAGAGTGCGACGGCTGAGAACCTCGAACAGAGTAGGGAGGCGCTTACGCTGCTCTCCCTCAAGGAGAGAGCCATGCGACATGGTCAATGGCACGAGGGGCCTGCTCGTTCTTATAACCTGAACTGGGCTAAAAGGGGGCCGCGTGTTGATACTGAGAGACGGGGTTCAGGCAACGAGAGACATGTAGCAGCCAGGTGCTCTGGGAGCTTCTGACAACGGCTCAATGGAAAAGAGCGGACGCTACCGTGTGAAGATCCAGAGAACAAGATAGATGCAAGAGATAAGCAGCGAGAGAGGGGAAATTTGCGAGGAGAGACGGGGTTGTTTTGGTGTGACACAGCAGAACGAGTGCAGGGGCAGCAATTCCCAAAAACGGGTAAAAATAGAGCCTTCGACCTTTTCCCAGACAGCTGCCAGAGCGCAGCAGCAATCACAGCAAATCCATCAAAACTATTGTATTTGACAGAATACCCACTCGATAATATCTGTAGTAGTAGAGCGCTGAGCGCCTGGCTGGCTGCTGACTGCGTGCACATGAAGCCACCCTGAATCCTCACACGGTCCGCGTGAATTTTATTCCGAAATTGCGGTGGTTGGGTTCTCGCGATGGCTTCATCTCATGCCAATTCAGGGAAGTCACAGTATTATGCCCAATTCATTCAATTCAATTACAATAGACGCTATCAAACAGTAGAGCCCAAGAAACCAATGCCCCATTCGCCATGCATCCACGGGTATTTGCCATTTGAAATAGACCACAAAGAAACGCCTTCCACTCTGGACTCCCCCAGATGCTAACCTCGAATCAATGCCCTTCCGCCAGATGCTACGGCACAGTTAGTCAAGGAAATTAGGAAACACAGAAGAGACGAGCTGCTTCTACTCACCGACCACTCGGGAATGCTCCTGATCTGCTGCCACATAAATCTCTCGAGTTTGTTTGCGCTTTTGGCGTATGGCGTGTTTTCATTATTGTACCTTCGACAGTTGTCGAATATTAACATGGCATCTTTGATGAAGTCTTGTGGCGTTGGATACATGTCCTTCTCGTGCTTCTCTTCCATTGTAGACAGATCCATCGGCTCCTTGATGACTTCATAGTAGTCGGGAACCTCGTCGCGATTAACAGGCTGAGTGAAGGGCCATGCGGCGCTGTGGTTCTGCATATCATTCAGAAGGTGCAACAGCTGATTGTAGTTTGGTCCATGGCGCGGTTGTCGTGCCAACTCGTCCATGTCAGGCGACCATCCAGACTCCTTGATGGCAGGGATACTCAAGGGATCGATCTTGCATGGCCCGTTTTTCCATTCCTTCGGTGGGGGGTGGATAATATGGGACTTGCTGAAAGCACGTATCTTGGCAAAGACGGCCTCCTTTTGCTTCAAAAGCATGCGACCAACTTCAAGATATCGTATCTTAGGGACCATTGTGCATTGCATTATGGTTCCTCCTTCGTAGTCCTTGATATATCCCATCCAGATGGATTTGTCGAGCGTGATTTCTTTCGTGAACCCTTGCTTTTTGAAATACCCAATTGCATAGTTATCCGCGTAGGTTAGGAAGTGCATTATGTCGGATGTTGCCTTCACGTAATCCTGCAAGCTGTCAATGCAATGCGCTAGTGTGAGGTACAATTCCCTCGGGCCATACCTTGAGGTGGGACATGAGATGCGCTCCATAGCCCTTGACTTGCTGGTCCGAAGATATGGCACAAAAAACGATCTCAGCGAATTTGCGATGGTTAAAAGGACGATATGTAATTCCCCTGTTGCGCATTGTCAACAAAGAACACGAGGATCTCCCTGAGCCTCAGGCACATACCCCACTACCTCCAATGGATGCTTGACAATAGCCATGGAAAGATGCGATCTGTCATATACAAGTCGCGCAATGTAGTCCTTGGGCATCTTCGGAAGCTGCTTCTGGAAGATGCATTTCAAGCCCGTCAGAACGATAAAGCTGTCGCGCGAACCATCATTGTTTACAACGCGAAACTCGATTTCACCTCTGCGTTCTTCTAAAACAGCGGGCTAATTATAGAGCCGTCAATAACTATAGACCAGAAAACTCGAATCCAGATAGCTTGAGAGCCGCTCACCTTCTCGGGAAACGGGACGGCCTTGAGGGGTTTCGGAGAAGAGCCATCTTCCACCTAGAGATATCAACTGTGAGAGCGAATTCCAACAAACTCCAAAACATACTCAAGAGCCAGGTTGCGAACCACTTCATCTCCATCAGCTGAGGCAGTACGCGCCCTCTTACTCCGCTGTTGCGAATCCGGGGAAAGGGCCTCCTCCGAGGCTTTTCTCTTGGTATCTGCATGAGCTCTCGGGTTATGATCTGCTTCTCCACGCGTAAATCATACAGAGCTTACTTTCTGATGTGCCAGGCATAATGCTAGCAGCTTTATGACCGAAAATGGCAGTCAAAAGCTCCCCAGCGCTTCTCCAAGCTGTTGTCTGGGGCGATGTTCATGTCCGATATGGAGATGTGACGGAACTATGTTGATCCGAGAGAGCTCCAGACCCACTTTAGTAATCAATATGACTAAGCTGAGAGTATCAGAAGTTAACTAGTTAACTTTGTCTTGCGAACACGTCCAGGACAGCTCTGTCCTCCGGCCAGCAGCTGGAAGTTCAGCTTCACTACCTGCTGATTCGCGTCTTTTTCTGCTATATCTCTTTGCTTTCCTTATTATCATCTAAGTTGTGCTGAACGTTGTGTGTCTTCACTGCATTGATTTCCCTGTCTTTTGCGGAGCCTCGACCTGTCCTCAATGTCTCTGAACCAACTCTGGGAGGCGGCCTCCACGAACCCTTACAGCCCACCCGTTGAGAAAGACCGCCAGTTCGCGATTGGATTTGGCTTGTTACTTATTGGTGAGAACTAAAATGCCATGCGCGAGGGAAATGAGTGGAATTGACTGACTCCGTTTGCAGCTTTCGTCTACTCTGGTCTCTTCAGCCTCAGTGAGTACCTACCTTATTGATCGATCGATAATGCTCGAAGACAGGACGTATTTTTCTCACCAACGCTCTTAACCATGCAGATTTATCCTTCAAAAGCATCATCTCATCTGGCCTTCCGGCTGCATTGGCGTTTGGGTAAGTTGGCTCTCGTCTCCGTTCTCATCTTGCTGTCACTAATTATGCTCGTCTGCTTCTCACAGCTTCGGTGCCGTGTACATGATCTGCGCCGTCGGGGTCTACGTCTGAGTGATAATCTTGTTCCCTCGTGCATCTATAATGTACCACATACTGGCTTGTTGAAAGGGGATAAATGGGCCTGTAATTTTAGACCACCAATATCCGCGCCTCAGAATTGAGTCGAGTGTCTTGTGCTACTGTGCCATCCATCCCAAACCAAAGCAGAACACGCAGTGCAGCTCAAACCCGGAAAGCTGAAGATGGATCCAATTTTTTCTGCTGTTTCCAGCAACGTCCACCAACTTTATACCTTACTTCAATGCATTGGGTTTTCCCCAAGAGCCACCGTTCAAATAACACCAGACGGGATCCGGGTCTCCGTCGAAGAAGGCAGGGTGGTACAAGCATTGGCATTCCTTGACAAGGCTCTTTTCACCAGCTACACCTTCAGAGCACCACATGGGACAATCGCCGATAATACAGGCCACAGTTCAGAGGGAAACGACAACGATGGAGACGCGTACCCTCACTTCGTTATCTCACTCTCTGCTCTCTTGGAAACGTTGAAGATATTCGGCATAAACGACCCTTCTTCTACGGCCCAGTCTAGATCGACGACCAGTAGCATGCAGCAACCTACTTCATCTGCCTCCAACGCCTTCACTGCTCCCTCTCTCCTCCTGGATCGTTCTTGCACCCTGCAATACCTCCAACCCGGTTCTCCACTCAGTATCACCCTCTCTGAGACAGGAGTAAAGACCACCTGCGAACTAACCACGTACGAACCTGAAGAAGATGAAGCCGATATCCCCCTCCAGCGAGACGCAATTGTCATGAAGATCATCATGCGATCCGCCTGGCTCCACAACGCCATCAGCGAACTCGCTTCCACGAACCCTACCATCCTCAAAATCTCAGCCTCTGCGAAACGGGAACCTTTCTTCGCCCTCTCCGGCTCCGGCGGTCCTTTCAGCGAATCCACCGTGGAATTTTCCATCGATGAACAACAACAGCCCCAAAATGGCCATGTCCCACCAACAACGCAGACCGGTCACTCCCGCTCGAAAAGGACTAAGATGGCCCCTACGGTCACGGAGACTTTCCTAGTTAATCCCCCATCTTCCGTCGGAAATAGGATCAAGCAGGACTACCGATTCGCCCTGATTCGCAAGGCTGCCCGTGCTATGGCCGTCGCGAATAAGGTTAGTATTCGTGGTGACAGGCAAGGCGTGCTTAGTCTTCAATTCATGATTGAATTTGGTGACGATGCTAGTAGTGGAATGAGTGCTGGCGCACGCGCTCCTGGGGCAGCCTTAGGTAGTACTGTAAGCTTTGTTGATTTCCGATTCGTACCATTACTTGATGACGATGAGGTCGAAAACGATCAAGCAGATGAAGAGGAAGAGGATTAGAAATTCTTGTTTAGAGATTATGCCTTTTTCTTTTTCCTTTTTCGCTTTCGCGCACATGCAGACAAATGCATTAATCACTCTTTTACTATTCCCCAACGCCGAGCTATCCTTTGGACACCAGTTCCTTAACGTCCGCGTATAGAACCTTCAAAACATGAGCAGAAAGCATTGAAAGCCGAGACCTGGGCTTATAAAACATGCCCATATTCACCAAGACATCACATAACCTGACTTGGTGTCAGCAATATACCTCAAACCCCTTAAATCCTCGAGGAGTTATTTATATAGAACGGATCATACCTCTGCAATTGACTGCCTTTCGATAATCGACTTCTGTCTCTCATTGCGTGAAACCCGGTAATAGTAATCGCTGAAGTCCCCGCACTGCATGTATCTCAGGAATTCCTCATCATGGGTAATCACAATCAACTGGAAGTTAGCTTGTTGCTGACGAGTACGGATAATATCATGCAACGACTCTGCCAGGGACCGGATATTATCTCGATCAAGGTTTGTGGTCGGTTCGTCCAGCGCAATAAGACCGCAGTTCACCCCAAAGCATTCTGCCAAAGCCAGACGGATAATGATGCTGGCAAGGACCTTCTGGCCTGCACTGCAACGTCCGCGCATGTCCATCTCGGCATTCTGCTTGACCATGCATACGCGGTAATTGTAAGACCGGTTTCCTTTTGCGTTCTCGTTGTCGGAACGGATTAGGATCGTATCAACATCAGTACCTCTGTATGTCTTCTGCCAAAGTTCTCCGATGATGGCGTTGATCTCCTCCATCTTCAAGCTGTGGTATTTCATAATGGCTTTATCGAGTGCGCCTCCATAACGAGCTAGGTCATCGACAGCCGCTCTCGTACTTTCGACTTTGATGTGAGCTTCCTTATACTTGTGCGCTGCATCCTTGTAATCTGTGTTCCAATCAGCCAACAGCTGCATCAACTGATCATCCTTTGATTTCATCTCTCCCATTTTGCTCGCTTGTTTTGCAGCAAGAGCATTGTGTTCTCGGGTTCGACGTTCCGATTCCTCCTTGAAACGACTGCGGTCGACCTCAGCATTATGGGCTTCCAGCTCCTCAATTTCTGCCATTACTTTGTCCAGATTCCTTGTCGCCTGTCGGTATGTGAGATTATCGGAATACTGCCGTTTTGTGTTTTCGCTATCTTTAAGCTGCGCAGATATCTTGTTGATTTCTCTTGTGATATTGCTCAGTTCGGCTTCCAATTGGCTTATTTCACCTTCAATGCTATTGAGTTCTCGTTTAGACCGCTCCAACTGACTCGGGCCACCTCGCTCAATGTACGAGTTGATGTCATCATTTGCAAGCTCCAGCTGGTGCAAGCTGTCCGAAAGCTCAGAGGCTTCCTGATTCAACTCCCTCTCACGGGTTTCGGCTCGACTACTGATGTCATCATATTTCTCTTGTGCCTTGAGAAGCTCGGGTGTTAGGCTTTCGATGTCCCGATCAGCATTTTCAATTGCTTCACGTTGTCGAGAATTGAGATGTTTGTATTCTTCCAATCGCGCTAGTAAGCCGGCCTTCTTTTCCAGCTGAAATTTGGCATTATCGAGGTTGCGACTAACATCTCGGAGCTGCAGTTCCAAATTGCTGATTTCGGTGCGTGTTTGTTCTTTATCGGCTGTAAGTTTCGACAGAGCCCGTTTGAGTGTCCTGGTCTTCTCGCCAACCGCAGCTATTTCATCTTGAATATCTTCGAGGGTCCGGGTAGCCGTAGCGGTTTGTTGCTTTGATTGCAGATCCTCAATTTGAGATTTTAGAATCTTGATTTCCGTATCGTACCTCGCAATGGTGTTGACTGTTTTCGAAAGAGCTTCAATATCCCTCTTTTTGTCAACCTGCTCACCGACCACTTTGTCCTGGACTTCAAGCTGCGATAGGAGTTTGTCCCGTTCAGATTCACATTCCTGGGCTTCCTGCTTCAGTGCCGGGATATCTATCTCAGACAAGCGAACCCATGTATCGTAAGCAGTGCCGGCTGCCCGAGCAGTTTCAAGCTCCTCCTCCAACTGCCGCAGATCATCATCCTTAGCAATTGAAGTTCGTCTCTTCATCGAGTTTTCTAACTGCTGTTTAAAAGCCTGACATTCCGCGTTGGAATCAAAGCCCCTCCGACATGTCCTACAGACTTTTGCCTTATTCACGACGTCAATACATAGCTTAATGTACTCATACATGCCGGCAGCTGTATGAGCATCCTTTTTTGCCACTTCAAGATCTTCCTGTCGTTGCTTCACAACTTCTTGGTATTCTGAAGGCTCATCGTCGATCGCCTTACGGATCTCCTCAACACACTCATTAAGTTCTTTCTGTCTCTGTTTCGAATTGTTTTTGATGGTTTTGAGGTTGAATTCAACATGTTCAAGTTCTCTGTTTAGTCCGTCTCGGCGCCGTTCCGCATCGGCGACACGTTTTGATTCATTATCAGAAACCAGCTGAAACTCTCGTTCAAGAGTCTCGGGTTTCCAGTTTTGACTGACCAACTTTGAGAGTCGCTCGCCATGCGCTCCAGTCATAGTCTCCAAACTGCGCTGCCGATCCTTTAATTCTTTTTTAAGGTGGTCTAAGCGAGCCAGATCACCAGCCTTTTTAGTCGACTCAATGAGTTCTGCATTAAGTCGTGAACTTTCATCCTCGAGTTCTCGAATCTCGGTGTTTATATCTTGGATCTCCTCGTCCCAGGAAGCGGAGCGTTCGTGCTCCTTCGCACGTTCCAGACGTGACTGGATATCCTCGATCTTTGACTCGATCACAGCTTGAATCCCTTCATCAACATCAATTTCATTGAGCTTCCCTTGATATGTAACCGCATCTTTGTCGTTTGCGGAAATTTGTCGCCTTGCAGCATTCTTAGCTTCTTGCAAAGCGGACTTCCGCTGTCCGATCTCGTTAAGTGTCGTTTGTACTTCACGTAGCTCCAGCTGGGTTTCCCTCTTCGCTCGATCTAACGCTTGGTTCCGTTCCTTGAGCAGTTTCCGCATCCTATGCATAAATTCATCGATATCAGCCTGATCTAGGTTGCCATCGAGCCCACGGATATTATTATTCCGGGCGATTTCTTTGATCATATTCTGCCGACGTTCCATCTGCCTCTGATACTGGGCTTTGTCATTCTCGTGTTTTCCAAGTTCTGCCTGCTTGAGGCCTAGTCGTTGTCGAGCTTGGTCTATCTGTTCCTTGACCTCCATGTAATTTTCTTTCCGAGCCTCTTCCTGTTGCTGAAACCGGATTTGCCGGGATTCGAATTGCTCAAGACTTGATTCTAGCCATTCATCCGGTTCGTCGAGCTCAACAAGATGTCTTTTAAGATTCTCGATAGTCCCTTGAATGCTTTTCGCCTCTATACGCTTGCCTTCCAAAGCGCCGAGGACTTGTGCATAACTCTCTGATTCTTTCCAGGCCTTGTCCGCAAGTTCTGCAACACGTCGCATTTCCAGTGAAAGTTTCTGTGTTTCCTCCCGCAGAGCCTCGATCTCATCTTGAAGTTTGATCGATCGTTTCTCGGCACGATCAGCCTTGTCCTTATCTTCTTTTGCATGCTGCTCCATGATCTTATACTTAGCCAGCTCCTCATTCTGCTTCTTCCTGAGGGCCTTGATGTTTTCAATCGCTTTAGTATACTTCATTGCTTCGAAAATCTCATCGAACTTCTTTTTCAGGACTGAAGGTTCACTCATGGGCCACAAACTCTCATCCTGGTGGCAGAATATGACCGAGTCCAGTATCGCTTTTGACACGCCTAGGTATTGTGGCATGATCTGGTCCAACTCCGCCACTCGGGAAGAAATAGATGTCCTCTCGCCATCTTTCACCATCAGGAGCTGGCCCTCTAGAGTCTTCTGCTGCCTAGTAGTCTTCTTCACCGTAAGCTGCAGGCTTCTGGTGGCTACCATCTTGGCACCAGAAGTGCTCTTGAAAGATAGCTTCACCTGAGCCAGCACTTCCTTTTCGCCGCAAAGCTGTATCCATCGTCTCAGTAACCGTCACAGCTGAGTGGTTTCGGGATATAACTCTGCAAAGAGCGCGAACACACCTTCGGATCATGTATAAATGCCCCGCCTTTGCTATTGGGGGGAAGGTCGCCGGTAGTAGCATATTTGAGGCACTCGATGATAGTCTAAGAAAGAACGAGCTCCGTTAGACTGGTAGGGAAATGGAATGGAAGTGAGCTCTTGTATCAGGTGCAGTGTTCCTCATACCGTCTTTCCCGATCCATTATATCCAACAATCAACGTCAAGGGCGTATGAAACTGTATGGTCTCGCTTCTCGTATTATCGAAGGAACGGACACTGGAAGAAGTCGCAATAGTCAGAATCTCGAAGGCCACTGGACCAGAAATACGAAAGACAGATACCTACCCAAGAATCGAAAGTTTATCGATCTTCGCTTAAAAGAAAGAAAAGAAATCAGGTTTCAGAACAGGCTCGGCATACTTTCCCATCGGTCGATATTAACAAGTGGCTTCACTTACACCTGAAAGAAAGGGTATCTCAGCAAATGCATCCAGGAAAAGATGGAGGATGTACTTCCAAACTTACATATTGAACAAGACAAAGAGCGTGGCTAGCACGCTACAGCCGCTGACGTCTCTGATGCCAGGCCTCCCTGATGCTTCGCAGATAACGACCGTTGACGCCGAGCGGGAAATCGCCCGCGCGTTGGAGACGCGGGAGAGAGGCGCGGAGTCACGTGTTCCATAGACTGACCGGATGGACAAAGATACAGCATACAAAGAAGACTCTGCTCTTCGAGAGACTGCCTTTGGTACAGCATTAGTTACATGGATTGAGCTTTAAAACTGGCATTTCTAGGTATCTGATATTTGAAATTCATAAGAAAAGCAGCTACACAATACTGGTCTCCATTTATGAACATCGACGCTGCATCATGAAGTGACATGAGGTAGGACAAAAAAAAAAAAAAAAAAAAAAAAAAAAAAAAAACAGGGCATGTTTCAGCAAATCATTTAACTATCGCCTTCTTTGGCGGCGGGGGGAAGAATAATTGTGGCGTGCTTTGTACTGGGCTTTTGGAACTCTCATCTATCACTTGCTGAATGGAGTGAGGAGTTTCCGGCGGGCCATAATAGGTTCGAAAAGGGAGGTCCGAGTCGCCGTTAAGTCGGTTGAATGCTTGCGTCCTCGGCGTTATAGGAGGGACCCCTGTGGGAAATGCGGGAGTCATGGGAAAGGTAGGGGACTTCAAGAAATCCTGCTCCCACGCTTTCAATTCGCGTTTTTCTCTGCGATGTTCCCGGTGTCGCTCCCGTTCCTCCTTCGATACGTAGCAGGAGATAAGACTTAGCACTAGTTCGGCAAAGTAGATAATACTGTCAAGGAAAAAAGTACTGTGTCAGCCGTAGACCTCCCGCATCGCAAACAAGAAATAGTAGTGGCAAAGTTCATAGGTGTCAAACGCACACAATCATAATTGAGAATGCGAAGAGTGTTTTGGCCTGCATGCAGTACCCAACGTTGGACTTGTGAGCAGCGACGCTGCAGCTCTTGGTGATATACCATGGCGGGCCATGTTGCGGATGCTGGGGATCTGATGTATCGCTGCCACCTTGGTATCGAGCAGATACTATGAACAGAATCATCATGGAGCCACTAATGATGGCTGACAATGGAGGATAGAAGGCTCGGACCAGGTGCATCGGTATTTTGGCTATCAACAGGAAGATGCTCAGCACACCGAGGACCAGGTTGTAATTCGTCATACTGCGATCTCAGCGTCAGTATAGGTATAGTTTTAATAGATCCGCCACCGTCACACGTACAATGGACTCCAAACCATAGGGATGTGGTAGGGTCTGTAATTAGCAAGAGCGTAGAGGATTTCATTCGGGGCACTGTTGAAGCCGTTGTCGTAGCCATCCTGCCATAACTTGGTCCGATATCGATTATGCGCAGCAATTCCAGTGAGGATCAGGATGACGATGGTGAAAGGTAGCTCCACAGCCATCAGAATAAGAAACGTCCAATAGTGTCGATAATTTCGTGGTAGATACATGGTGAAGGAGAAATCGGACGAAGACTTGAAGCCGTAAATGGACGTCGCCAAAACCGACTGGGATCTTTCAAGACAGGTATTAACTCTGCTACAGCAAATCTGACTCTCTCAGTGACATGTTTTTCCTGGCCAGCAGGCTTTCAAGGAGTTTGCCTTTTATCAAAAAGAAAAATCGAGTCACCCAGCGCGGAGGACGTGGTGCAGAAGAGAGGAACTGGCAAGGAAGGGGGAGAGAGGAGCAGAAACGGAAAGGCGCGGCGACACGAGCATGATTGAAGATATGTCAGCGCTTATTGCCAGAAACAATGGGAAGAATCCGCAGACGATCGAATAGAAGTGACTCTCGAAGCGCTGAAGGACTGCAGAGGTGCAACGGGCCAGAGCTTCCTGCAGAAGAGAGCCGGTAAAGAGCCAGTAAGCGCGCTCATCCGCGGTTTCGCGCCGTGACAGTTCTGCAGTTATCACACGCTAGTCCCCAGCCAGATGTGACTGGGTAAGGCAATGTGAACCCGATATTATTGTGCTGACAATGGTGACGATAATGATGGTGATATGCAGAAGAGGGTTTGGGGGGGACTCCTTTGACTGTGATCGCCGTGTCTCCGCCAGCGACGAGGAATGTTGCAGCTGAAATTGGCACAGGGCAATAACAGGCCTAGAAACAGTTGATTAGCATTTACTGTCTTCTAAATAGTAGTAAAGACTACACGATTAAACAGTGGATCGGTGACGGGAATTGAGTTCGTTCTCGACGTCATTCCCGTTCGGCTTCATCTTCAATCAACGCCCACCTTGCAGAGGAATATCACATATCTATGAACCGTCTAATTAATAGACATAGGAGAACCATTATTATACTACGGCCAATCCCAGGCTGAATGAACACGTATTCCCGACTGCTTTTCCCAAAACAGCTCCGTCACCGCCGGTTCTACAATCATCACGTCAAGATGGTACAGCGCGATATTAGCATTCCTAGAGAGGATTCCATTCCTCATGAGGTGCGAACTTCCTCAGAGCCAAGACAGAACAGATTATACAATGCTCGGCTTTCGTGTATCCACCAAGTCAATCCAAATGTCCGGCTACTTCGGTTGACGATCCCACAGGATCAGGGCGACGAAGTATGAAAGAGTCTTTGTTATTCCAATATCAGATATTGTAACTAATAGGGGTCCTCCATTCCAGCTGGATAAACAACAGCCCTTCACATTTCTCCCAGGACAATGGCTGGATGTGCATATCCCCTCCATTCCCCAGGCTGGCGGATTTACCATCACATCAACGCCAGCCGATGCGCAGGTCCTACCATCTCCAGCGCCCCCGACAGAATCCCTCTCCGTTGAGGAAGAGGGGGTACCACCTGTAGGTCCCCGCGGGAGGGAGCCGTACGTGGAATTGGCGGTGCAGGAATCACCGTCCAGCCCTCCGGCTGCGTGGCTCTGGAGGCCCAAGGAGGAAATTCTGGGAAAGCAGCTGAGTATCCGCGTCGGAGGTAGTTTTGTCTGGCCTCCATCCGGGATCGATCTGGGACAGATTACGAATATTGTATTCGTTGCTGGGGGTGTCGGGATCAAGTATGTATGCTCGACTGAAGAAAAGAAAAAGACATTCAATCATAGTGGAATCAAGGATGCTAACAATATATATATATATAGTCCCCTGATCTCTATTCTGTCCCATCTGAATGACAACGACCCATCCTCCACCCTCCCACACCAATCAAACATCCACTTTCTCTACTCGACTCGCCTTTCCCAGGTTCCAACCACACATAAAACCGCTTCATCTGGGACTGTTGAAACCACTCTGAACCAGATCCTCTTCCTGCCCCGTCTCCGTCAGATCGCCCAGTCATTATCTCAGTCGGGACGTCTCCGGGTCTCTCTGGACCTGTTCATCACTAACTTATCACCTCGGTCAACGGAACACCCGGTTAGTGCTCTGTTGGAATCACCACCGACGGATTTTGGCATCCATCCACGGAGGATGCACAAGCAGGATCTTCGGGATGCTGTTTCTGTTTCCAGGCTGGATAGGGGCAAGCAATCAACGGTATGCTATGTGTGCGGACCGCCGAATATGACCGATGAAGTTGTGGGTGTGTTGAATGAAATGCTTGGGGACGATGATGATGCGAGGAGTCGTATACTTTATGAGAAGTGGTGGTGAATGTTCTTAGGGTTTATCATATTGACAATAATCCTGCAGCAATAATCCATGCTTACAGTGCAGTACGGTGTCGTCGGGGTTGCTACGGGTTTGAGTAGGGAGGAGCACTGGATTGGAGAGAATATGACGGATTGGGCGTTTGGGCATACGCATTTCAATCGTGCCTTTAGAGAGGAGAGAGGCATGGCTGTTATAGCTAATCAGAAGGGGTACCGGTTGATTCCTGTCGACACCTTTTATGCCGAGAGTGTTTACTGTTGTGAGAGTAGAAAGGACGTCTTGTTAACTGACAGCTAGAGAGAATTGATCTGGATTGTGGGGATTCAGCATTTTGTTTCGAAATTGACTGTCGAATATAAAAGAGAATACTATACACAATTCAGGAACAACCGACGCCGCAGGTCGCGTCGCACTTTGACAAGCCTGGATACTGGAAAGGAAACCCCAGGAGAAAAAAAAAAAAATATATATATATATATATAGAACAAAAACCGAAGCCCTGCAATTTTCCCATGTCGAAAACATGTTCAACGAGTATCTCCGGGCCCTTGAACAACACCACCGTCAACAATCATCATCTCATCGAGTCGGGCATCCGTGTCTCCCCATTCGACTCGTTTGTATGTCACTACGCGCCCAGGTCCCATGTCGAAATCAAAGAACCGTACGCGTCGGATATAGTCACCGTAGCCCCCGTAGCCGCCGAACCCTGCACCGCCACCATAGCACATCCATAGAGACGGTTTCTTATCCTGGTCCTGGCTCAACATGCAATAGTCATTGACGTGGTCACTGGAGAGGATGATAGGTTAGTATGAATCAAGTTGAAACAAGGTAATGACCCCCACTTACTGGCCACAGCTTACAAACAGAACGCCCTCGTCTTCGAGAGCGTCTTTGAAGTGGGAATTGAATCCCGGGGCTGTTGGGGCCTCAGTCCAGTTCCCCTTGAAGTAATTATCCCAATCACGATATTCGGGTAGCGGGATATGAATGAAAGCCATATTCATGTGTATATGAGTGTATTCGTCGTGTTTCCGCTTCAAGCTTTGCGCGGTGTTCCTGAACCATTTGATCTGACTCGATTTGAGCCAGTCATAGCCTCTGAACTGTCGCTCGTCCGGGGAGTAGCCGTGTGTGTCGAGGAGATACAGGGTCAACGCGGAATGCGTGGATTTCCCGCGGCCGAGAACTTCGACGTAGTAATTTCCTACCCCATCGATTTCTTCCGGGCCGGCGGTTGTCAAGGAATACGGGAGTTCTTCGAGGATGGCCATCAGCTGTGATCGATCAAGGTCGCCTTCATCGTCATGGTTGCCGAAGATCGCTGCGTAGGGGATACTACGATCAACCATGGGTTTGACAGCCTTGAAAAGGGCGGTCGCTGCATCCTTGGCCGTCTCCCCGTTCACCTCGTCGCCAGCCAGAACCACCAAGTCCGGCTTCTCCTCATCAAGGAGCCTGCCCACGAACTCCAGCGTCCGCGGATCGGCCTCACATTTCTGATCCGTCAGCTCGGGGTAAGGATCGCGGCACGTCCCTACGCCGGTACTAAAATGTAGATCGGACAATTGCATGATTTTGAACCGGCCATTTTCGCCAATTCTCGGTGTAGGCTTCTTAACCTTAGCCGGAAATCCTCTTCGGATGCTGAGACGAGCCTCCAGCGTCTCCGTCCGACTATCCAGTAGCAGCGGAGTATCTTTGATATCCCAGTTTGGACGTGGATCAACCGCATCGGCACCGAAAAGAACGTCGATCGACGTGATCGTCTTCTGCGAGTCACTCGCATGGCGCGTTGCGGTTCGCTTCAACCAGATCCCGCCCGGTCTCTTCTCCCACGCATCGCTTGCATCTTTCTCATTTTCCTCGTCTTCGGGGGCAAGACGACCGATTTTCAAATCAATAACGACCTTGTCCGTAGGAAGCAGCTCCTCTTCCTTCTTCCGTTCAAACTGAACATAGGCGCTTGACGTCCATGCCGTGTGCAAGTAGAGATCCTTCTCGACGCGGGCCCAGGACTGACGATTACGTCTGCAGCTCGAAAAAGGATTGAACCCTGAGCAAGAAAAGACTGTCACGTCTGTGACAACGAAACCGGGATGATGTGTGGGAAGATGGCCATGGATGGCGGCAGGTAGGACACTAATTTTGTTATCCAAGACCACGAAGAGGACAAAGACGAACGTCGCAAGCAGACCGAGCTGAACGGCCGTTCGAATCTATGCAAGACAAGACATTGTGTTAGCTTTTCACGAGAAATCAAGGAAGCAGCGTAGATGCGGCAAAGAAAAGGCGTACAAGGCGACGAGTCATTATAGCGGTAGACGAATAGCCCCTAGCAGCATGAAATCTTCAGCGGATGAGATACTAAGCCCGGTAGCATCACGGAGAACATGAGTAGATCTGTATTTTCTCTGCGCGCAGGCACACCCAGGAGAAGACCAGCGTCAGGTCATCTCAAAGTGGCCATGGTGGGAGAAGAAAGGGACTTGGGGGAGTTTGAAGTTGGCTTTGGCAGTTAGTCGGGCCGTGCCCAGCTCGGTAGATAGGATAAATAGCAGTGCAATGCAATATTATAAAGGAACAACGATTTGAATCGAGCTGAAACAGTTGCATTCGCTATCTATTACTCCTACTCCCTTCTCGGCCCCTTCTGGCCATGAAAAGAACTCCCGTTTCAAGATCCTGGCGTTAAAATGGGCTGACTCTTTAACGCCAGTATCAGAGAACGCTTTGCCTTCCAGTTGGCAAATACTTGGGTTTCTCTTGTCACCCCTCTGCTTAAAAGAAAACCATGCGGCTATTGCCAACATACTGAAACTTCACAGGATGGCCGATCCATCTGGCGGTATTCCTTTTCGGATGCAAATGTGCGAGAAAGGATCCGATACATCAAAATGGCAACACATTGTTCCCATGTCCTTCATTCGAAAACATCTCAGACCTTCCCCTGGGCCAAGAGGTCGTTACCGTTCTCAGCAAATAGATAGGCAGGGTTGTACTTGAGCATGATTTCTCCTGTGACCAAATCTGGGCATGGAGTGCGACGTGCTGAGGCTGAAGCAATGAGACTTGTATCTAAGCATCCCTCTGTTCCTGTGCCCGAAGTGGTTTCCACAAATTTTGGTCATGGCTATGGGAGTATTGAGATGACTCTTATTTTGGGATCTTCTCTAGAAGACAAGTGGGATGGATACATTGGATGAGAAGAGCAAAGAGTCTGTTTGTCTACAAGTCTGGGGCTTAATTTACAAGATATAGGCCATCCCGTGTCCATCAGATCTCAAAGGTTTTTTCCAATGCGCTGTTGATGGCCCTCTAACAAGGGAACCATTGCTTGAGGATATGCGAGATCCAGGCTGACTGTTGATGAATGATTCAGATCAGTGAACTCGCATCTTCAGGCGCTATTTTCACTTTGGAGGTTGTTGATATGAACACCAGTTGCCTGACATGCTGCCACGTTCTGACTGTACTGTGTTCACACACGCTGATGCTGCACCTCGCAATATTGTGGTCAATGAAAAGAACACAGTCACGGGCATTCTTGACTGGGAAAATGCGGGATGGTACCCAAATTATTGGGAGTATGCACAGATTCTGAGGCCTGCTTTTTGGGGTGACTGGTCAGTGTGGATGGATTGGACTGCACCACAGAGATGGGACATTAGCGGATTAACGCCGCCAGGCGGGCCTTGTTTTGACGTTGCCATACAACGATGACTGATCTCAGCTGAGATTTGGAAATACATCTGTGGTGACTAAGGGTCTATTCCAGCCACAGGTACCATTTCGAGCAAGGCCCCCTGACGAACCGGTGGAGGTGACGCACAGCACCGAGGGGAGAAGCAGGGCTCGTCGAACATGAGCATACCGAAAGGTAGCCCTGCCCTCGAGCACCGCCAGAATTCTCACGACGTTTTATTCTACCGAAGCTGAGGATATCGGTCTTTTAATATGGTCAGTCGAGTCAAGATACACTGCATCAAGCTGAGAGTATATACCAGGAAGTCGTTGCCTCCAGACAGGGTATCGTCAGCCAAATACGGCTTCTCCCCACTCACTCAGACGTGTCTGCAGAAGAACTTACTATCTTTGAGGGTGATAGTGTCATCGAAGTCTGTGAAGATGAACTTGTGGCTGGTCTTCATGTAAGGGAGCTCAACAGAACCAATTGTGGATGATGACCTGCCATGCAACGGGAAAGGCCAAAATGACAAGTATGATGAAAGCAATGGGAACAATGATAGATATCAGGAAGGATTGGTTTATTTCGGAAGAGAGTGGTGGGGATGAGAAGGATTGTGCTTGATCAAGTATTCTTCGCCTTGGGCTTTTACATTAAGCGAAGCCTGAAGACAGTGAATCACAGGAAGGACAAGGATAGACCAGCAAAGAGAGAGAAAGTGCCCTCTAAGGCCTGATTCAGTGAGAGGAAGATATGAACATTTTAAGAGACTGTTACATTCTACAAAGTATTGGAAACAAATTGAAACCAGACACCTGTCAGACAGCATACTATATAGAGATTTCTCTCCTTTCCTTTCTTATTTCCTTTGTAAAAAATTCCGTTTAAGATATGGATTCCACATAGCCATCCTGAAGAATCATGTCTAGTTATTCAGCAGAACAGTGTTGTGTATTGCTGCTGTTTCCAGGCATCTCATAGATGATAGACTTCCGCTACGCGCATTCTGGAATTTCTGGGCAAAAAGATAAAAAAGATTCTTCCTTGCCCGAACAAAAACAGAATCGCGTCCATCTTTTCCTTTGGCATATTACAATAAGACAATTCCAATCTCTCTTTCACTCCCTTTTAATCCTTTCAATTTCTTATGCATCTTCATACCCAATTGGATGGCTCGTCTGCTCCAGTCTCTCCGTCGCGTCTTCGGCCTGACTTCATCGAAACGGAACCCCGTCCTTGATGCCTTTCCACGATCCATTGATACTGATTTCTCCGTCTTCAAAGGTACGTCTGGCATCCTGGTCGGCGCTTTAATACTACTTGCGACATACGTACGCGGTGCTGATGCGTCTTGTTATTGGTTCCAGATGGAGATAGAGCTATAGTTCATGGGAAGCATCCGCTGCTGACGAAGCCTTTGAAGAAAGGTAGCAAGACCGAGGTTCGTCGGGGGGTTCTTAGGCATGATAGCATCATCGGCCAGAGGGTGCGAGATCTCATACAGGCTCATAAAGGTGTGTTACATTGGATCAACCCTGGGCTGGGTTGTTGGAAAGAGGAGCAAAGCATGGCTAACTTTTGCCATCTTCTAGGCCCTGAATACCGACTCAGTCACCCATCCCTCGATGAATATGTCGCCTTGACTCCTCGTTTGGTCACGCCGGTAAGCCTCGCGAAGCTTAGAGCGAAGGACAGGACAGTTCCCTTGTTTAACGCGCTTTTAGTAGATTTACTCGGCAGATGCCAATCTTATTGTCTCGCTACTCGATATTCACGTCACGCCGCCAGCAGCAGGGGAGGGAGAAGGACCAGGATTACAAAAGCCATTGGAGATTCTGGAGTCTGGAACTGGTCATGGATCTTTGACGTTGCACCTGGCGCGTGCTATTCAAGCCGCAAACTCTCACCCACCTCCGCTACCGTCAAAATCCCAGATCCGGTACCTGCAGAATCGACCAACGCGGCCAGGAGAGGATGAAGAGAAAGAGGTCAAGGAGAGTGCGGGGAAATTGAAGGAATCGGATAATAAAGGCGGTACTACTGGTGACGACAACACAATCCAGCAGCAGTGGGATACCTGGCGTGCTCAGCGGAGAGCCATCATTCACACCGTGGATGTCTCGCCCAAGTTCTCTCAACATGCCGAGAAGATCGTACGAGGGTTCCGTCGTGGCATCTACGCGGGCAATGTCGACTTCTACGTGGGTCATGTGGAAAACTGGATTACAGAGCAGACGAAACTGCGGTCATCATCATCATCACCGGGTCTGTTTTCTTTCAACAAGTCCGCTGTTCCGGAGCCGTTCCTGTCCTACGCTATCCTCGACATGCCGTCTGCTCAACTGCGTATTCCGCACGTGGCTCCCATTCTGAAACGGGACGGCATCCTGGTCGTGTTCATGCCGAGTATAACCCAGATTGGCGACTGTCTGGACCTCATCCGCCGACAGCAGCTGCCGTTCCTTCTCGACAGGGTCGTGGAGCTGGGCTCGGGGATTAGCAGTGGTCGTTTGTGGGATGTCCGGTTTGCAGTGAAGAAATCCCGTGCCGATCCTTCGTCGTGGGGGGAGGAAGCTTCTCTGTCGGAATCGGAAGAATCCGGCACTCAGTCGAGTGAGGAGAATCCTAGACAGAAGGATACTGAGAGTACTCTTCCTTCTGCCGATGATGTGCAGAAGGAAGCCGATAATGTACTCGTCTGCAGGCCGAAGGTAGGGACAAGGATCGTGGGTGGAGGTTTCGTTGGGATATGGAGAAGGATAGAAGATTCACAACAAGGCTGAAATGCTGATGATGTTTTTGGATACCCTATTTTATACATGTACTAATATATAGGATGATAGATTTCCAAATTTCTACACAAAAATGTACTATAAGTAGTCATCAATTCAAAATCTGGTAACCTCAAAGCTTCGCTTTTGCCTCATCAGTCACACCAACGGACTCAGCAGGAGATTCTTCAATATTATCTGGCCTCAACGTCTCCGGTTGAACCGGACTAGATGATTGACTCTCCGAAGGACATCTCGCAAGTATCCACTCGGCAACATCTTTTCGAAACTTCTCCCCAACCTCGGGCAAATCAGCATCCAACTTATGATATGCCCCATCGTATGATTGAAAAGTAACATCCACATGTACCCCTTCCAGAGTCGCGGCAAGCTGCTTCGTCGCATCCCAACTATTAACTCTATCGCCACTACCATGACCGAACCAGATGGCCGGGAGGAGATCCTTCACCCGCTCAACGCTGTCCTTACCCTTCGGACCCGATAACGACAACCCTTCCAACCACAGACCCCTATCAAGCATTCCAGCCACCCCCTCCAAGGTGCCAGTGCCATGGCAGAGTGGGTCATTAATCCAGTCCTCGCAAACCGACTCAATGCGGGACATGAACCTCGCATCAAGCGCCGGGTGAATGTGGAAGGCCGGTAGCAGTTTACCTGCTATCCTACCCGCTATCACGGTCAGAGCGGATACACGGGTTGAAGGGTGTAAGGCCACTAGCGGTGAGCATGCCAGGACTCCGGTCAGGTTGGGACTCTTTGAATCTGTGTCTATGACACTGTTGAATGGTGAGTCCGGGTGTAGGATGTAGTATAGGACTTCACCGCCGCCCATGCTGCTTCCCATGAGAAACAGGGGTGTGGTCTGGGTGACCAGGGGGGTTAGGGTCTGTAAGAAGGAGTGGATGTCGGACAGAACGACAGATGTAGGACCTGTCCGTCCACAATCGCTGGGTTTGGTAACGGTGCGACCCCATCCTCTGCAGACGGTTGTTAGATGATGGTTTCATGGGAGCAGCTGAGCCATTTCTTGGGGTTCAAAGCAGACATCCATGAACGAGAGGGTTTCAAAGATCTATCTTCAAGTCGAATAAAGAAGCAGTCTGAAAAAGGCTAAAGAAATTACAACTGACAAGCAGACGATGGACCTACCGCTGATCAAATGCCCTAACCTCTATCCCATATGATGCCCAGGTAGGAAATAAGTCGTAGTACCTATTGCCTGGACTTCATCATTAGCTACCATGGTACCATGGACGTACAGGACCCAGTCGACATACAATGATCGCTGTACCCATGAACGAACGCGAGAATAGCCCGTGGTTGTTCAGCGGTCTGCAGCATTGCAGTTATTCTGGTCAGTGGAATCTTACGATGCATCTCAAGATTGAACGGACCTTCCAAGTCTTGGTGTATAGTTTTGTTCCATCGGGGGTTAGATGGGAGCCTTCTTCTGCAGTCGCCATGGCGCCTCAAGTCTTTGTTTCTCTCTGTGAATGGAGGAAGATTATAGCTCCTACAGAGCTGAACAGAAGGATGACGAAAAGAACGTTCCCAGCCAGGCGGGGTGTAGAAGAGGCGCATGCACGGGACGATCAAGCGCTCGTACAGTTTCAAAGTGGCTCTCTGCAAGAATCAGGTTTGTCGCGTAAAGCATCACCCGTTCTTTGCTCCCTCCAGTCTCTCGCTGTCTACATCAATAGTATTCACGTTTCCACTGCTGCTTGACGAGAAAGCTCCCCTTTGCTGACTCGTGGAATCGTATTCGTCACATTGGTGCCAATTTAGACTCTACTCCACCATCCTTGAATTCTTTCTCAACTTATTGATAACCTCAGGCAGATGTCTGTGTACAGCGCTGCGCTCTATAATCCCTGCTAGCAACTGCGACGTGGCACCATATTCGCCGTCCTCCTCATCGGGGCGGCAGTCTCATGCAGTGCTGTCTGGACACCAAACAAGGTAGATACAGTACTATTCTCACCATCCTGCCAAGATTGGTAATCGGTTAATGGATGGTGGGGTAGCTAGCTCATCCCAGCGGCGCAGGCAGAGAAGAGGCATGGCGGTTATAATGGAAGAAAGGTATATATCCATCCCTTGTCGACGGCCCTCATCAGGTATCATTCTAAAAACTTGCCGACGATCCTCATATTATCCGCTCCTGTGATTCTCTGCTCAATCTTGGGTCTTGGGCATAGCCCAGACCTTTGAAGGAATTCAAGACCCTAGTCACCGATGGAAAACAGTATCTGAAGCCACTCTCCGGCGCCGGCATTCTGCCTTCTCGCTCCCAGAAGAATGATGGAAAATACCGATTCCGCTTAGACGCTGGCAAAGTTAATGATGGGATGCAGGAGAGCGAGGCTATTTACAGGCGAATGCTGACCCGAAAAGCGACGCCTTGAAGAAGTCCGTCTCGAAGCATGACACTCATGCTACTCTTGCCTTTGCTGGTATCCCCGTTGAAGAACCTGATGATCCTCTTGGGGCTTTCGAGGATTTTTTGGGAAGGTATTAAGTCTCAGGCAAAAGAAAACTTACAATAAGGGTTGTCCATCAACGAAAGCCATTACCGATCTGAACTGAAGGTAACATATGAAGGAAGAACCCCTGCGGCACATATGGCTCGGGAGAAGGGAAAATGGAAATCGGAAACCGAAGAATAGATGGGGGAGATAGAATCAAAGTGCTGTCCCTTAGGATCTTGTCAGCCAGATGACGACCCGTCGTTGCTATAGTTAACATTCCTGATAAACCCAGTCTTCTCTCGCCTTTTCCTCGGGCACCTTCCCATCTTCTGTTTTTACCTTCACGTAGAGGGACAGGACGGGGCATTCGAGCTTGGTTGAGTTGCCCATATATATCAGGATTCGGGTCAACAAAACAGATAATATATTGTCCTGGTAAGATATACCTCTGTGACTGATAGTTAACAGTTGGACGAGTATAAATGAGTAATCATCGCGGACCGACCAATCCTCCGGGCACACATACTCTGAACTCCGCAACTCCACATAAGCTTCCAGGTTTCCATGATCGATGTCGGTGATTTTGTCCACAGGCTTAATCTTAAAAGCTCCGGTTCTAGTCCAAGCACATTGGCATAATAAATAAAAAGGCAGGCTCAGTTCTTAAAAAGAGCCACTCGATCTCTAAACGAAATAACACTTTAAAGGCCAGAACAAGAAAACAAACAACAGAAGCAAAAACAAACCCCATTCGCCTAATGGAGGAAAATAAGTAAAAGGAAAAAGAGAAAAGGGGAAAGAAGCCTCATCTCAGACCAAATATAGTAGTACACCAAATCACAGATGTCCCCCTTCCAGGCCTTGATTCACCCCGCAAAAACACCAACAGATCCCCCCGGCGTCATGAACGTTAAGACCAGTTTGGATGAAACCGAGCTTGAAAATATAGTAAGAAATCCATGAACCTGACGTGAAAGAAGAATGGAAAGAGGAAAACGCGTAAAGAAGAAGTTTACCTAGCCGGGGACTCTTTCCAAGAACGTGATACGCGGGTTCCATTGAACAGATGTCCTCTGGCGACAGCAATAAAAAGAAATAAAACTCGACAACGTACAGGAAAGAGGAGAGGAAAGAAAAGGAGGAGCAAAACGACCATAACAAAACGCTGCAGAATCAAGCAAGGCCCACGAAGAAAATCCCATGATAACAGAACCTGTTAGACACTCCACCACCGGTCCGACATGCTCCCATTTCGTCAATTCTTCTGTGGTCCAAAGTCCGCTTCTACAACCTTGCCCTTTTTTGTCTTCACCGAAAACTCTGCCAGTAACGCGATATGGTCGCTTGGGAAGTGGAAATTCGGGAATCCTGGAACCCGCTGTAGATACTCCTTGTCCAGATCACCTAGCAATGCCGTGACGTTGAGCGAGTTCGATGAATACCAGACATAATCAAGGATGTCCCTGAAGTCTGGCGTATAGTTTGTGAAGCTCAGTTCGCCAACGGAAGCGTACGCTGACTTCAGCTTGAACGGATGGCTCATACCAACGCGACTCAGGTTGCCGTAGAGCCGTTTTTCGAGGTCAGGGTGCTCCTCGGTTAGCCCGCCATGGACGATCAAATTGTATGCAGCAGTTCCAGGAGATGAGTTGAAGTCTCCACACATGATCAACGGGATCAGATCGCCGCTAGCATATTCTGCAGACGGGGCAGGCTCGATGGGTTTCACAGTGTCTTCGCCATCCGCTTCCGAGAAACGGAACGCGGTCTTGTCGGTGCACGCAGGCCACTTGGCGTAGGTCTCAGAGAGCTTGGTGATCTCTTCCATCAGAATTGCGGTCTGAATCAACTTCACGTCCTTGAAAGAAGGGTCCCAGTAGAGATGCGCGTTCACAACAATAAACCGGGATCCAGTTTGCCTGTTCTCTAGGAAAACGACAACCGCAATGTGATCCTTTTGCCACAACCTATTGTAGATGTCATCTTGACCCTTGGCATCAGGCCGCCGTACTGCAGTCTGACCGAAGTTGATCAACTGTTTGTCGAGAAGGATAAATTTGCTTCCCTTGAAGAAAGTGGCGCAGCCATCAACGGACCTCGCCTCTTCCTCCTGCATGCCCATGGCTCTGCCTCTCGGCCAATATACACCCTTGTAGTCATTATAGGCCAGCTTTTCCCGGAAATAGTCATTGTAACTACCCTGGTCAACCTCTTGCAGACAGACAATATCTGCGTTGTGAGACCGGACTTCACTCAGAACCAGTTCTCGCCTATATTCCCACGACAATATACGAGAGGGAACGAAACCGTAGTGCGACGGAGTTGCAGCAGCTTCGCAAAGGGTGTTGTAGGAAAGAACCGAAACCTTATCCACCGGAGCATTCGGTGAACTAGCAGTCTCGTCAAGGATTATCCAGTCTCGATCGGGAGGCGGGAGGTGTACTTCAGAAGGGGAAGAATGATAAAATTAGCTACAATGGGACGGAAAATTCAAACATATGGCGCAACTGACCTGGCATCTCTTCTCTCAAATATCTGATCAGGCCCTTGGTCCCTTCTTTCATGATCTGAGACTTTAGGATATCATTCAAAGGATTCCCCTCTATCCCCAGAGTCTCCAACCTGTATAGGTACCCCATCTCATAAGGGAGAGTCCGGATATTGTTATCGAAAAGATAAAGCTTCTTCAAGCTCGTGAGCATGCCGATCTCTTCAGGGAGCTCAGCAAGGTCGTTTCCAGATAGGTCAAGATGGTTTAACTTCCGCAGCAGGCCAATCGAAGGAGGGAGCACCCTGAGTTTGTTGTGATTGAGATATAGCTTCTCGAGGAACACATAGTTAAACAAAGAGCTCGAGAGAGCACGTAGCCCTTGGCCACCAAAATCGAGAGCATTCCAAGTTTGCCTTGACTTCAGCTTAGACTTTAGTAAGCCATTGCGTTCATCTCCCTCAGTATCCTGGGCTTCGGGCATGCTAGAAACGAGCTGAATGCCCTTGGCTTGCTGTGCAACGGAACGGGCGTAGTAATGCGGGGAGTTTGCCTGTCTTGACTCTGCTGCCAGTTGGAGCTGCTGTTGCCAGTATTCGCTCATAGACTCGTCCATGTCCTCTTCGATGTTGGCCGGTGTCCCATTTTGGATATGGTTCGCCGTGAAGTGGGGAGTGGTGCTTGCTAGTGCTGCAGCAGAGAAATTGTGCTGATGATTGATCGTATGAGATGACTGGTTATGCTGCGGATGGTGTTGTTGCTGCGCATGGTGTGGATGGTGGTTCTGAGGCTGGAACTTGGGCATCTGCATGCCGAACCTCTGATGAGCATGACCGCCATTCATCAATGCCTGGTGGGTCTGGTTGTACATTGCGAACGCGTTAAGCGCTGTGGCCTGGTGAAGGGGAGGGGAGCGAGAAGGAGAGGGTGTGTCGTTGTTAAACTTTACTTTGCCAGTTGGAGAGTTGGTTCCGTTACGAATGAAGTGTCGCTGGTGAGAATGCTGCGGCTGTGCTTGGAAGTAAAACTGCCCGGTCCCAGGCTGCTGGAACCTGTAGGTACCATCTGCCATTTAACGTGGCAGACGCGACCGAGGTTTACGTTGCAGCGGAGGGGAGGTCGAAAGGAGTCGGTTCGTATGCGTTGTTGGTCGGGATGTAGTGCGAGGAGAGAGGAGAGGAGACGGGCACAGGATTCGATCTCTCCTTCTCTTCAACATGGGGTCCTGAGCGGAACCACCTTAAAGCCTGTCCAAAACCGCGACTGCAGCGAGAAATGGGCTACAGCCGGATGTGTGTATTTCTCCTCTCTGGAAGCTTGCTGCCCGTGGGCTGGGAGCGATGATAGACAGTGGCCGATCGTCGGGGAAGAGTCACAGTATCAGCGAGAACAAGGGCGGGGCTGGGGGCGTCTGTAGTGGACGGTTAAACGGAGCTCAAGTCTTCAATGAAGCAAGAGCCAAACATGCAGTACACAAAGCTATTGGGATCGACTGGATTGCCAGCGAGGGCGAGGGTGAGGTGGATGCTTCTGCTCGTCTTCGACTGTGAAGTTGGTTTGTGTCGAAGGCGCCTGCAGCTGGCACGTGACTACTCACTCCTGGAAGGCGATTCGCCACATCTCTTCAAGGTTTGCAACTGTACAGATATCTATGTTCGACTATTCTACCAGATCTACAGCTTTGCATGCTCCGTGTCGAATCCAACAGACGCATTTACTTCCCGCAGTGCTCTCCAGACGCGAAGTCCGTCCTCCCACATCCCATCATCCCAGATCTCGAACGTCCCGTCCGGCTTGAGCCTTCTCATCTCCCGATAATTCGTGGTCCCCCAACCGATATTCACTTCGCCATTCACGAACTTGACAAGGGGATCAATGAATGTGCTCTGTACCACATCTTTTTCCTCCGGCTGCAGCACATCCCCATTGCCCCAGAACCATATATACTGGTCTGTAGAATGCGTGACGCCCCATTCCGGCGGAACATATTTGTCGACGCATTTAACCCGGTACTCGATGCGATAACGGTAGAGGAGATGCGAAGCCCCATGTGCTGCCAGTGAGTAGACGAGGCCTCTCTGGAGCTTATGGACCTGCATGTCGGCATAGATGCGTCCGAAGGCATCCGAATCCCACCGTTTACAATCTGGAGGTAATTCCGAGTCTGGATAGTAAAGCTTGATCAGAGTGTCTACTACACGGCGCGGGTAGTCAGCTATGAGGCGCTGACGAAGTGCGGAGAGAGAATTTTGCGCTGGCGGAAACCAGATACTGTAGAGATAATGTTCATCGCGGCATTCGCCCAGGATTATCCGGACGTTGCGTGCGGAGAGCTTTTGTGCAAAATCTCCGTTGTCAAGGGACGCGAATAAAGTGAGGGGAATAAAGGCTGAATCAGTAGTCGGTCTGAACTGATGGATGCCTATGCTTGTTGCTGCTCGAAGAAGTGTCTTTGCTGGAATGGCGCGTAGACGGGTCAATTTCTCTGCCGGTGAGAGGGAATGAGAGATGTTGACGGCCGAGAGCAGTTGATTGAATTGAGTTTGAGTCTCTGAAGGAGCCTTGGGCTGAACTCCTGGCCCATTGGACCATATACAGGCCTGTTTAACGATCTCCTTGTCCTCTGGAAGACAAAGGTCGTAGGCCAATTGATAGAAGACCGAATAAGCACCTAGTGAAGGGGTTAATATCAGATCTGCATTGTAGTTCGGTTGGCAGGTCAAATCGTATTCTCCGTACCAGCAGAGTATCCAGATATGGTTATGTTCGACGGATTCCCTCCAAATAGATGGATATTGTCCTTTGTCCACTCGAGAGCAAGTCGTTGATCCCAGAAACCATAATTGCCGACAGTTTCATCAGCTGACACTGCGTCCTGCTTGAGTTCAGAAGAGTAAAGAAATCCGAAGACGTTTAGTCGGTACGCGGGCATAACAACAACGCATCTGAATGCCGTCTCTCCCAGCATAGAGGCCACGGAAAAAGCATTCGGGGTCCCAAATTGGAGCCAGCCACCGTCTAAGACCATGATAGCCAGTCAGCACGGTATGACCTCTGCAACCAGATAGAATTATGGATATCCATTCAGAAATGGCATCCATATGAACCAGTATCAAAGGGGTTCATACGGAAGAAGACGAAAACCGGCCATCCTAACAAGGAAATTCAATCAGCACTCATGTAAAAAAAGAAGCATTAAGAATCCAAATAAATCAATATAGGCCATACAGGCTCGTTATTCCAACATACCGCCACTTGGGGGTTCCCCAACAGGTACCGAAATGTTGCATTGGAAGCAATCCTCAGTCCACCTTCTAGTGTCCGGCCGGCCTCTATACCCCGGCTGGGGACAGACACCTGCTCCTTTGTCACATATACCGGGCTCTTCTTTAGTGCCATAAGTATACGTGGTAGGTAGTGGGCTGGCTCTCCTCCATCGTTCTGATGGAGCTAGCCCATATCGCACTCCCCCGTAAAAGTGGCATAGAGGCGTATCAGTGGCCTTGCAAGAGATTGTAACGCCCCGGATGAATCCACGGTGAGCGAGGGACTTGAGGTGAGGACGTCGAGATTGTTCCATGTCTACACTGTGTTGACTCATCAATATGAATAGAGACAATCCTAGGATTGATTCGGAGCGTGCAGAAGGAGTAGATAGCTAATAATGGATTCAAACAGTCGATGGAGAGATGATTAGCCGAGGTAAGGTGGAAATGAGGATTCCTAGATAAGAACAACGGCCATTGCGATCAGGAACGTAGCAATCTGATGCTATCCGCGGTGCGGAGTGTCCGACAGAGATATATAGCTGCGGGGAATCTCCGAAACCCAACTCCTTGCATTACAATTATGCTGTACAGCGTTGGATAGCACACGTGTAGACAGGAAATAAGGCAATGCCATGTAAGACGGTAAATATAAAGAGTAACTGGTCTGATACGATGAAGAAAGAGACGTAGGAGTGTTGCATCCTTTCCAACGACTAGGACACGCATGACGTCACATCACTACATACTACATTCTTGATCTTTACTTACAACGGATAAAGATGCAGTGGGCGAATAATGTAGCATAGTACTTACATTTTATCAATTGGGATGCTACTGCTTACCGAACAACAACACGGGTGATGTCTGTGGTTTGGAAGGTCTTGAATTAGTCCTTATCAATCACATTGGCTGCGGGGATAGGGGCCGTAATGATAGTTTTAGCGATACTCCTTTGTACCAGCTTTTATCAACCAATGTAGTCAATGAATACAGCGTGGACACTGGAGGTAAGACTGTGGAAATGAAGAAATACACTACTGTATTCCCCCGCATTTTCTTGATTCTAAATTTAGCAGTTGATATAGATCATGTGACCAGAAGCTGGCGGCTTGACTACGTCTCCATCCTGTTTCAATTGCAATTACATCGACATCCTCCAAGGGATTGAGCCGCATCCATTCTGAGTTGGAATTAGACACTTCTGATTTCCTGTTGAAGATCCAACGGAAGTGACAGGCGCCCATCTCATCAATCCTGCTTGACATCCAAGAGCAAAGATATCAGGAAAGGAAGTCACCCGATTGGGTTGAAAAATTGGAAATTCTATACTTCGCAGGAACTGGGAGCTTGTCTCGGAAGTGGCGCGGCGGAGAGGGTGAAAGTGTGACTGTGGTCGACAATCGTCGAAAGAAGTTACTCCGGCGGACACGTACCAAGCACTTGATCCCTCGGAGAGAAATTATGTCGCCTCCTACACTTGGAAACCAAATGAATGCAACGATGAGCTTTTTTTTCAACAATATCGTGTGGAACCACGGCAGCAACAGGCGCCTGCTCCCAGCAAAGCCAGGAACCAAGTGTTGGATAGAGTCACGAAGTACGTGAAGTACCGAAGAAAGAAACAGAGGCTTCTGGGATTGACCAGGAGAATCCAACAGAAAAGGAAATTGCCATGTAGTCTATGGGCTACGTATATAGCGTCAGTGATTTTCCGGTTGGCTTGCTCTCTGTGTGCATTGATTCGAAAGGGCAGATGCGTGTCTTGGTATACCTCCTGCGCGGTAGGTCTGTAAAGAGCAAGGAAAAATCGCCTTAACCGAATTTAAGCCTAGAGTGTCAAGACGTAGTCTCTCTGAGACACTGAAAACTTTGGAATACCTCACATCTGATATCCGGTGGACGAGAGGCTTGGCATTTCAGGAAGGCTATCGCGCATCAGTTAACATGGCTAGAAAAAAAAAAAAAAAAAAAAACAGAAATGACTATGCATCTCCACTGTTAGGAAATCTGGCTGGAGAGCTCTGTATCAACTCAGCCAAGTTCTGCAAGGAATCGACAAGATTATGTGATGCTTAACAGAAGCTTGGACAGCATGAGCACATCTGCCAAAAGATCCTAGCAAGAGCAGGAAAATACACTGTTCGGCTTCGTGAGACCGATGAGCATGGAATCCACGATACACCGACCGATGTCGCCCACAAGTTTGCAGATATCAACGTCGAGCAATCACTTATGATTCCGACCGTCTAGCGATCATAGCCGACTGTTGTGGATACTCTGTCCGGTTGAACATCATGAAGCCGAGGAATCAAAACTGCAGATTTCTTGCCATGCTCGCCTTATGCCTTCTTAATGGTGGGATCGTTTTGAACGACGACAAGAATGAAAAGAGCGCCTCGGGAGATAATATATAACTTCTTGAAGAAACAATCCTTGAATAACTGCCATCCTCTTGGACAGCGCGAGCTTACATTTATAGAAAGCTGCCGTTTTGTTGACGAAACTCTGTCTCAAGAAGGTATAAAGACTGTCAGCCACCTTTGGAAGATGAGGAAAATAGTTAGTGGGTTCTCCGATAAATTCATAGATGAGCTGGATTTGGTAGACGGGCTAAATGACCACCAACGACGGTGCTTGAGACATCTTGCCGATAAGCTGGGATCTGGGAATCTGGGGAGCGCCACCAAGTAATTGAGGATGAAATCCGGCGTTATCTGGACGATGACAGGGATCCAGATAGGAATAGCCGTTCCAAGCAATATCAAGATCTAATGGCTGATGAAGTGGAAGCCATGCGGTCCGGCAGGTCCCAGTCGACGAACGACTCTCAGAGGCTTCTATTCCGTACCGCGAGATTTTCATTAGCAGCTCCGAGGAGGAGTGAAACGAACGGGTTCCTTCGTGGGTTTTCACAGTATGATGCTCTTCCTAGGAAGCTGCAAAAAGCACCAGCAGCCACGTTTCGTTGGAGGTCGAATGGAACGGTTCGGCCAAGCAAGGTTGGCCACAATTGATCACTAAGAGATAGATCAATGGCTTGTGCTTTTCTGATGGAAGTCCTCGAGATGTTGTGTTTCCTTGGCCGGCTTCACTATGTTAATGTTAAATGAGACCACAGGACAACGTTCCCCCCTAGACTTTCCTATAGAGTACTCTCATAGTATCCAGATAATCACAAACTGTTCCTTTGACTTTGTCTCATTTCACTCCATTGGTTCAGCACGAGTTACTCCGCATTCCCAGAAGCAGCTGCATCGTTCCCAGTGACGTCAATACATACCTTTGCGATGATGCTGCTGGCGGATTTGTTCTGAACAGGTTTCTCGGCCCAATCAATACTGATAGATCATGATCCATGTCCAGCTCTACCAGTGTGGCATGTTCGAGTGACTCAAAGGCCCAAGCCAACCGCGTATATCCATGTTCTCGACCGACCCCGACGCGTCACAGTGCTTCCCATCCACAACCATGAGCCAATACGATGACCAGTATTGGCAGGAATGAACAATCAGCCGGCCGTCAAAACTGCTGATGCAATAGACAAAGGGAGAGGGGGCAGGAAAGGGTATTATTGGGTTAAGTGCTGCAAGTTCGCCAATAGCTGCCAGGATGATTTCCCCTCTTTTCGCCTTGGGGATTTCTCTTATATACCATGGGATGCCCGCCTTTTCTCCTCCTGGTTAGAAAGTTGTAGCTGGTTGTTAACTTCTTTTGTTGCTGTCTGTGTGTCTGGTAAGTGTTCTGATTAGACAACTTTGCCTGGAAACTATTGCACCTGTTGAGTCTGTCTCTTTTCTCTCTCTCTCCTCTTATATTTTGCACGCGAGACCCGTATGCCTGTTGCCATCCTCATAGGGGAAATATAGGGCAATAGCGCCGGAGTCAGATGCTTGCCTTATACCTTGTTGAAAAACTTTTACTACTTCTCTCCCATGCCGTCAAGAATCGAGGTGTTGAACTTGTCCCTGCTAACACGAAGCAGTTGACAAAGCTACATATTATAACCAAATACCCCGATCAAACTGAGCAACCATGTCTGATGCCCGTCGACACTGGCACGGCATCATGGGCGACCGTCACGAACACCAGAATGTGTGGGTTAGAGGCGGCGGCTTTCCACAGTCACAACCCCAAACTCTGGCTCCCCAGCCATCCGAGACGAGAACCATCGAGGAAAGACGGGTATGAAAACCCCAGGCTCATTTTCTTAATGCCATGCTCTTCCTGTGCTAAACAAGATGACCCAAGGATTCAACCGCGTCCACTGCCTCGAATACTTCCAGCACCTCCGGCCCCGCTGACCAGGGCACTGGTAATATGGGACAGATGAGACAGACAGAGAGAAGATCCAGTGCGATGGGCGCGAGATCCCCGTCTCTTTTTCAGAATCTGGTAGATCAGAAGCGGAATTCGGCGGATCCTTCACTCGCTCAGCGGAGGCAGAGTTGGAATGAGCAGATGCCTAGTGGTGGGTTTCTTTCTAAGTGGTGGGATGAATACACCAAGGGTCGGTAGGAAGGATGTAACTGTTTGTTTATTCGGCTTTGGCTTTGGATCTGTCTTGGATACTTCTGCTTTCTTGGTGACATGCCTAGTGGCACAAATTGACATTGGTTTGGTGGTCATCGGTAGAATCGAATCCATGTTCTTGCAGAACAGGTGATGGGATGATTGCCAACATTAACCTGTAATAGTGTGGATAATCATCCACACACCTTAGAAACGGTTATTCAGTGGGCATATTGTTCAATAGCTTCTTCGCCCATTTTCAGGGTACTGAAGACAAGTAGGATGTATTTCGAACAAAGCCTGAAGGCGTAGGATTGGGATAGTAGATTGTGGATCTTGTTGCGGAGCATGTTACTTGCAAGGGTTGTTGGCATGCTGTGTCGATCAGCTACAGATGACAGGAAATGCTGTTTCGACTACGCAGTCGCAACGTATTTCCATCTTGAGAACAGCTCAAGACGAAAACCGAGACGCCTACATTGCTACGCAAGTCCCCTGAACGGGTGCGAGACCAGGTAGAGGACATGGTGTAGAGCAAACGACTCTTTAGAAAGAACAAGAGCCCTTCCAAGAGAGAAGGACAAGTCAAATCCCGAGAATCAGGGAGTCACAAGGCCAAGCAGCTCCACGGATGCACCATATCGCGGTGCATCCAAGCATCATGTAGTACTTTTCATCAATGGTTATGCGGAAACATCACCTCTCGTGAAGCCTTCATTGTGAAAAGTGGATGCGTTTCAAAATTTGTAATTGGGCATCTCTAGCACGCCTATCCCTTATGTCGTGGTAGAAACATTGCAGGAGCAGAACGATGAAACACGCAAAATCGCCTGTCCCTTTTTTTATTCAAGTTCATCATGAAAAACGAACACCATATCCCCCACCCCTAAATAAACCATTTGAGCGAAACTATTTACCGAACAATTCCGTCGAAACGGTTCTTGAACCACTTGATGGTCTCAGCCTGGTTGATACGGTGGTTGGCACCGATTCTGGCCTTGCAGCGGCGGCGCTTGGCAACGCGCTCACCAGGACGAGTCCTATTAAATTCAACCTGTCAGTCCCAATTCGTTTTTCCTCACCCAGGCCGGCAATCCAATAGCCTCCTTCCTTCTGAATCTCGCTGGGAAGCACTCACATGCAGACGTAGAAGTCCATGCCGTAGATACCGATACCAGGGTCGTACTTGATACCCAAGTCGATGTGTTCGCTGATACCGAAACCGAAGTTGCCAGTCTCGGAGAAGTTCCTCTTCCGCAGCTCGTATTCCTTGACCTTGAGACCACGCTCGAGGATCTCCTCTGCCTTGGGTCCACGGACGGTGACGTGAACGGCGATCTTTTCGTTACGACGGATACCGAAGGTACGGACAGTGTAGCGAGCCTTGCTGTAAACGGGGGTCTGACCGCTCAGCTGTTCAAGCACCTTGGCAGCACGAGTAAGTCTGTCACCAGACTCGCCGACACTGATGTTGAGGACGAGCTTCTGGATGCGCAGCTCGCGCATGGGGTTCGCGGACTTGTCCTTAGCTTCCGACTGTTCAGGCATTGTTAGAAAACGTGAAAAATTCCCAGACGATAGTAGATCAATAAGAAAGCAAAAACAATAAAGAGCATACCATGGCGACTGCTGTTGGCGTGAGCTGGGCGACTCGCTGGATGGGATCGAAGAATCAATCTCGCAGTCGAAAATGTGGAAAAGGCAATGTGTGGGTTTGGCTGGAAGCGAAAGCCCTTAGTGTCTTGGCGTGGGCGGTCGGCGCTTGCAGAGCCGCGTCAAGTTCAACTCTGCCAGAGCTCTCCAGCTCGGTCCAGGTGCTGGCTCATCGTCTAGCGGACTCCATACAGAACAAGCAGGACTCTTTCTGCTTCGTTATTGAGATTTTTTGGTCGCTCTAAGCCGCATTCGTGCGCGCATCTAGACAACATGGCTGCTAACAGGCAGGGCAAGATGGTAAGTCCACCTCGAAACAATCCGGAAACGTTGAATGACGTGAGTCGCTGACTTTTTCTCTTCTATTTCGAATAGCAAAGCCTCGTATGTTTTTGTTTTTTCTATTAGCATACATTTTGCACGACTTTGAATGGTACCTGACGTTCCAAACAGATCAACTATCGGATGAGGGTGACCCTGAATGACGGCCGACAGATGACGGGACAAATGCTCGCCTTTGATAAGGTACGCGATCAATTCATTCTGTTGGTCTATAAGAGGCAATTATTGACAAGTTATTTTAAGCATATGAACCTCGTTCTAGCGGATACAGAAGAGTTCCGTCGCGTAAAGAGGAAGAGCAAACCGGCTGCCGGCCCCTCGAACGCCCCTCTGGTCGAAGCCGAAGAAAAGAGAACCCTCGGACTTACGATTGTGCGCGGCACGAACGTTGTTTCATGCTCTGTTGACGGACCTCCTCCTGCAGACCCCTCCGCTCGTCTTGGAACAGGTGTACCTGGTGCTGCAGCTGCAGCCACTCTTGCTGCTGGCCCAGGTGTTAGTAAGCCCGCCGGCCGAGGCCTTCCTATCGGACTGGGTGGCCCTGCTGCCGGTGTTGGAGGACCACCGCCGCCTGCTGGGTTCCCAGGCTTCCCACCTGGTGGTTTCCCTGGAGCGCCGCCCCCGGGATTTGCTGGACGTGGTGGACCACCAGGAGCTCCTCGTAAGTTCTTGACCGGTTGATTACTTCGACAACAAAGAGTGCAAGAAGCTAATTTCAGTTGCAGCTGGCTTTGGACCACCTCCAGGATTTGCTCCACAGGGTGCACCTCGTAAGTGCCAAATACCATTACACTCGGTCTAACTATCTGGCTAACTTAGATTTCTGCAGCGGGAGCTTTCCAGCCACCACCGGGATTCCAGCCGCCGGGAGGACGAGGATTTCCCCCACCAGGGTTTGGGGGTAGATAATATGATTATCCGAGGAGTGGCATGATGGGTTTAATATTCTAAACCGCGGGTAGACCTCGGACGGCTTTTTAAAGCTGGGAAAGCGTCTTAGGTAACCAGCGTGAAAGCAGAAACTGGGTAGCATGCTGTTACTCTACCTGGCAAGGCGTTACGGCGCGTGCGGATGAAGGTCGTGTCCAAGAGGAACCAAACAAAAGTCGACTGCGGAAGTAAAGTTAGCTGTTTATGTTCGAGGCTTCTCTTTCCTAGTGATATCCATAATCCATATCGAGTGCTCAATAGATTGAACTGGATTCTTGAGATGAAACAAATGGCTGCAGGAATCTCTGTCGGGTTTGAACTAGATAAAATCTATAAGAAAGCAATATTGTGTATGCTGATTGAGAGGGTGTATGTTAAATAATATACAGTTAAGAGCAAATTGGGAAGAGAATCCTCTTAAAGGAATCGCAACCATATACTCTTTTCACCAGATCATTTTCATTCCCACAGTCCCGACAAATCACAACCTCATCCACCGCTCATCAACCTGTTTAAAGAGCGTTGAATGCTCAGACCAGTGATCGTAGAACGGCTCGACTTTGACGCCTCTCCGTTCCACAGCGCCATAGAGTCGTTTACAAGCATCTTGTGCTTCCCGAAGCATATCATCCGGTGCATCGACGAGCTTTTTCTTACCCGTACCGAAGACATCGTTCGACTTATTCTCGCTTTTATTAGTATTCTTCTGTTCGTAATGCAGATCTAGAACGAAACTCAGCCGCTCGAGCTTCGGTAGAAAGTCAGAAGATGCAAACGAGTCCACCCAATCTGTCCACCTATCGGATCTGACTAGCGACGCAGGCCCTCTGAGACGCAACGTCGAGAGATTTGGGGGAAACTGCTCGTAGAGGGTTGTGAGGATGGTGTTATCTTTGAAGACTTCACCGACAGAAAGGACCAAGGTTTTGAGGTTTGTCAGCTGCGGAAGGAACATGGGGAAAAGTCTTTCGTTCGTGAAATGGAAGTCCAAGTTGTGGGTGGAACGGATGTTGAGAGTTGAGAGGTTCTCAACAGCGTGTGGGAGCGCGAGGGTCATGCGGTCGAAAGCGTCTATGGCATCGTTTTCAAGGATCTCCAATTTCTTGAGATTCACTGGGACTTCTTTGGGTAGTAGAAGTGGTGGTTCCTGTGACGGCTCTGGTTCCTCGTCGTACGACGCATATCTCTTGCTCATCGAATCTGCAACCAGCTCGGGAATATATACCATCTCTATTTTCCCAATGCGTCTAGCCTCCTTTTCGCCGCGTGAAATAGCTTCCTTGTCAGCACGGCAAAGTTCTTCAGATGTTGGTCCTTCAAAGCGTAACCCACTCGTGAGGAGAAGAATCAGATGCTTGACTCTCCCTTCTAACACGGTTGGGCTTTGAAACACCTCCCCGCATGCGGAGGAAATGAGAAGCCGTTCCAAGGGCCAGTGAAGCGGGAGCTTTTCGTCGTTCCAATCTTCATCGAAACCTGAATTCATTTCCAGGTTTTTCACACTGGTGAAATGACCGCCCAAGAGAGACCATTCTGTGTTCGAGGGCGTGCCGTCTTCTATTTGAAGGAACTGAATGTCTCTGGGTATCCTGGGAAGCTGTACCAGAAGACGATCCTTGTGATCGACCAGGTGTTCTTCCCACGGACCTTGCACCTTGATTTTGAAGGGGTTGTTCCCGTCGATAGCAGCATCCTGCGTCGTTGTGGCATTCTTCAACATTGAGGATGCGTGATACTTTCGACGCGGAAATAATGAAAACCTGGAACTGGCAATAAGAGCTATTGACAATCCAATAGGATTTTCGATGACTCTTGATGGAGGTGAAAGAAGGCTGCGCAGGACGGCCTGGCCGGAAACGCGCTTCTTGAGGGTTAGAAAAAACATCCGTGTGGGCGGATTGAAGGGTGACTTCGGCCTTTTTCTGTTGTTACCTCAACAAATCCTAAAGTCTACTGTGAGAAGAGATAAGTGAGGAGCGAGTCCAGGGTCATCGTTGAGGGAGGTTACTCGGAAAGAACAGGGTAGATCCCTGTTCATTGCAGGACGCCTTCCTCCCCCTAGCCGAGACAACTGAATCACTGGCTCCATAACGCATGAAACCCCTCCGTGTACGTATGTACATGGATGATAGAGATGCAAGGACCGCCTGGTTCTCTTTCAAATACCTGTCTGAGAGAGGAAGACTGGAAGAGATGTTGGGGAAGCAAAGAGAAAAGTTGGAGAAGGAGAATTTCTCCGCATCGCTGACTAATACACACGTGACGTACCCCAGCTTTCCGCATTGGGCAAATCGGTGACTGCAACAGCACCTGCAAAGAATCATCATCGCCGTCTGCATCGCTCCTCTCCTCTGTCCATCTCCTGTCCCTCATAGCCCTGTTCAAGATGGCGGCCGCAATTAAGGCGATCAATGCGAAAATTCGCTCCAACAAAGTTCTCGACTATGTCTGCTCAACACGTACGTTGGAAATGAAAACCTAGCTTCCTGCACCGAAGTCGGCCCCTGCGATAAGGAATCGGTCTGCTTCGAGGCTAGAAAAACACAAAACCACACAGAAGGCATTTTATATTGGAATTGGCACAGTGGAATGGAATGCTGACTATGAATCTGGAATTTGCATGTAGATTTCTGGGGACCGGCTTCGAATTTCGGCATTCCCATCGCTGCCGTTATGGATACCCAGAAGGATCCTGAGATGTATGCTATTACTCCGTCCTTTGCCTACGCTGTCCTTTTTCTCTATCTTCCACCATGAATACGCATTATATACACGTTCTACGTTCTCCCTAGCTTCACAATTCTGCATGATGTCCACTGTTGAATTTGGAAAATCGGCATTGCAAAACGGGCTAACCCCGAGCTTTCTCTCTCAAACACAACAGTATCTCCGGAAACATGACGGGCACTCTGGTCCTCTACTCCGCCATCTTCATGCGCTACGCCCTCGCCGTTACACCTAAGAACTACCTCCTCTTTGGTTGCCATGCGGTTAACTTCTCCGCCCAGCTGGTCCAAGGATACCGGTATATGAATTATTGGCAGTACGTGACACCCAAATCCCTTGTCTGTACCGGTTGATATTTATTCGAACATTATTCCTTTTTCCCCTACTGGGAATCGTAACTGACTTTTGTGTCCAGCTGGGGAGGTCGCGAAGCCAAGCTCGGCGCAGCTGCGAAGGAGGGTCAGAAAGCTGCTGAAGCGGCAGCTTAGAACACAATCTAAACCTGCTTCTTCTTTTTCCTTTCGTATGCTTTGTATTTCGGCAGAATATAGATAATAACAACTTGGCGACTAAACATAAAGCGTAGCTGTCATGCTGTACTTACAAAGACGGGCTTCTATAAGCGTAGGTAGGAGTAATACATTGATTGATCATTGAGAACTAAAAGGAGGAAAAAGAATTCCTATTCAACTGAACTATTTTCTATCTAACTCCAGAAAGTAGCAACGGGCTTATATACATGTTTGCAAGGAGACAGGCCGACTGCTGCTTGATCTACCTGTGCAAAGCGCACCAGCTCGCTCCCTGCAACTAGGTAACCGCCATCGCTGTCTTGTCTTGGATAACCCAGGACACAGACGCAGCGAGTGGGTATATAAAGCCGAAAGAAACAAAAGGCAGCTACTTGAAGAGCAGCTCAAAAATGGGCAGACCTTGCGCAGAAAACTTCCGTGGCATAATATACCGAGTCTATAACGTGAAATTCATAATGGAGTAGAGGGGGAAATCATCAAGGTCTTCCCATCTTCACATTGAATTACGTATCGCAGTAGCCAGGAGCCTTTACATCCTCTGCACCTACCCAGTTGGATATGGTTAACGCGGTGGTGTAGATGCAGGAGATGACGCCGAAGATGACAAGCACGATATCAGCAATTTGCTGCTTTCTTGACTGACTGCAGGCTTTGAGGTGTAGGAGAGGCTGCGATTGATCGAACAGTTAGCATGCCTTCATGGAGCATGATTTTATGAAAAAGGCAGTCGGCCAGTTATTCGGGGACAACTTACGGGATAGACGTAGATCAATGGGACACAGGCGAAGCTTCCAACCAGAGAAACAAACTTATCAAGATCACTCGCCCCTCCCCAAGCGACGAATGCGCAAATCATGACAAGGATAAAGCGGAAGCAATTCTTCTTCCATTTGATACCGGGGTTGTATTTACCACTGCGGGTGAACAACTCATTTTCCATGATCCGAATTGCCGGGAAGAGCTGCAGGGGCGTGCTTAACAGTATAGCCATGGAATAGAGGAACTGAACAACGTTCACAAACTTGTCATCTTGAGGCAGGTTTAGAATAACGACGGTCTTAGTTGCGGATCCGTAAGCAGCGTAGCTGATGGCGCCGGCCCCAAGAAAGACAATTGTAATGATCACCATAACGCCAGCAAGGACACCCGGGAATTGCTGCGGATGCTTCATCGATTCCTGAATTGGAATGATGAGCCCAATCCCTTCATATGTGAATATGGCGGTGCCAATGAAAAGAGTCCAGGTCGATGGATTGAAGGCCTTGACGTCTGCAATTCCTCCCTGGGCTGCAATTGTGATGAAGTCGTAGTAAAAGAGATATATCAAACCCAAAAGGATGAAGACATCCGCTATGAGGGCTGTGAACCCAAGCTTGCTGATGTCGCGAATCAGCGAAAGAGGCAGGAAGATAACCAACTGCATCAATACCATGAACTTGATGTCGATGAATGATTTGCAGTTGCTCACTGCCTGAACAAATGCTTGTAGATTCTCAGCCGTGAACACAATGTACGCGGAAACGAAGCCTAACTGGCTCAGAACGATAGAGGAGAGAATGATACGCCTCATGTTCTTCCCATAAAGTGCACCACCGATGTCACCAAAAGAGCCATCAACCTTTAGTCGAGAATTCACCAATAGAATGAAGCAGTAGTAACTGAGAATTGAGACGGCGAGAAGTACCAGGCTGCTGAATAACATGCCTCCGTTCAAGAAGGCCCTTGGTAGAAACAGAACGCCTGTACCAACAAACGATTTAAGTAGAAGTAAAGCTGCTCCTGTTCTGTTGTTGGTTCCTTTTACGCGAGGTGCCTTATGTTTCCGTCTCTTTCCTCCAGCAGTTTCAGGTCGCAACAGGGCTGACTCCTCCGTTGGCCCTCCATCTTCTGTCTCATCCAAGGCATCAGAGCAAAAATATTCATCAGGACCCAGTACTTCATCATCTTCCTCGAGTTCTTCACCAGCAAAGTGGCCGTAAAGGGAGAGAAACTCTAGAAAGCTGCTTGTCGGGATTTTAGGCTGATTTTGTGACGCTCCGTTTCTCGAGTCAGAATGGCTTGCAGGCGCAGGACTACCTGCAGCTCTTCGTATAAAATCTCTCCGGAATCCACCTGGGATCCTGATGCTATTGATATCCATGGTCTCACTCTCGGGCGTTGGGCGGTTGATACTGAAACTCTTGCTTCGAGCGGGCATTCGACCAGCCTCCGTATCCTCTGCCCACCGGTATACCTGTCTCGTCATATCGCCACCTTGAAGTTGCAGACTCGAGAATTCATTGTCATCAGGTACCACTGCGGTATTCTTCAAAGCCTCACGGTCTCTGTCCGTAAGATTTTGGGGGAGTACTAAATGTCTCTTTACAACTTCCGGGTCCTCGTACGGGGCAACAGATGAATATTCAGAGCCCTCCCTCCATCCGCCATCGAAGGATCCATAATTAGTCTTCGAGGGGCTGTCAAGGTTCTGCAACGCGGGAGAAGCAGTCCGTCTCGGGGGGGTTCCAAGTCTCGGAGGCGAGCGACCAAAGCTGTCTTTAAGCGCTGCTGAGATCATGGAGCTCCCTCCCCCGGTTAGAGAGGATGGGATGTCAACCTTCCGGAGATTCTGCTCTGTTGTCGGCTGGGGTTGGACGGGAACCTGCCTCGCAGGCGAGGTTCCAGTGTTTGACGGCGACGGTACTGGAGATGCTAAACGGGCAATAGAAGCCTGCCGCTGGAATGAACCCGGCGCAGGAGAACCAGTGCGTCTCGGGCTGCTCGATATGGGCACGGGCCTAGGACCCATGGTCGAAGGACCTTCTCCGTTGTCTGACATGCCGACTTCGCGACAGATACCGTCCAAGGATTCAATTGCAAAATTACTCTGCACAGCACGGATATTTCTATGCTCGATCCGAGGACTATGGCAACAAGAATCCTCGTTGAATCTGACACGATTGCTGTGAACTCGTCGCGGAGGGGAGTCCGAGATAAGAAGAGGCGGCTGTGGCTGTCACGAAACCAGGGCGGCGATCGAAAGAGTGCACGGGCGATCGGTGCCAATAGGAGGGAAACTTGCTGTGGATTGTTCCTCGCTTTATCTGTTTCTCAAAGCAGGTTGTCGTGGCAGCTAGTCAGCGCTAGGCGATGTGAAGATAGATAGATGGCTGGGGAATTTTGCATTGTTTGCTTGCAGCAGCGTGAGGTCATCGTCCGTTTAGGAACGACTCCAAAAAGCTTCGCGGATCCATTGCAGGCTATGTTTCGGGTCCTTATCGGCTGTCTTTTCCAGATGCCCACTTCTCTGCTGTGAACCCTTTTACCATCCCTTTGTCATGCTCGAGCTACCAGAAAGTCTCACAGTCAGAAGCACGCGATGACCGGCCAAAGCATCGAGGGCGCTTCACAGCCCGTCCCTCGAAAGCGGCCAAATTTCTCCACACGCACTGCCGCAGAAGATGCCTCGAGATTGGAGCCGGGCGATTCGGCCTTTGCGTCCCCTGCAGTCAATATGCAATCCGCTCGCCAATCGCGGCCGTACGAGCCTCTGAACTCTGCCTCCCAACCGGTTCAACATCAGCATTCCACTGCTTCCAGTTTCATCGGACGTCTTTTTCGCTGGTGGGATATGCAAGGAAACGATGGAGAACGGGATAATGGTGGTGGCCGATTTTCCTCACCTATGTCCCTGTTCCCAGGGCACTCCAGGGAGTCTGACTTGGATAAGAAGGATAGGCATATCTCGAAATCCCATCCAGTGGACGGTTCTAACAAGCTGGGCACCTTTTCCGGCGTCTTTGTGCCAACGACGTTGAATGTCCTTAGTATCCTTATGTTTCTTCGCTTCGGATTCATTCTGGGACAAGGTGGTGTACTGGGCACTATGGGTATTAATTCATCCTCGTTTCACCTTCCTGCAAATCAGGTTACTAACTGTCGTATCAAGGACTGCTCATTGTCTCCTATATAATCAATCTTGTGACAACAATGTCTCTTTCTGCAATTGCAACAAACGGAACAGTTCGGGGTGGTGGCGCATACTATCTTATATCGAGGTCGCTTGGGCCCGAGTTTGGCGGCTCTATTGGTATAGTGTTTTATCTGGGGTACGTTCTCAATACGGGTATGAATGCTGTCGGTCTTGTCGATTGTTTTACGCAAAACTTCGGGACAGAATCTGGCAGTTGGGGCAGTTTTCTCGAGGAAGGGTTCTGGTGGCAATACCTTTGGGGAAGTATCATCCTGGTTGTCTGTACTGGAATCTGTCTGGCTGGCAGTTCCATATTTGCCAGGGCCAGCAACGGATTGTTCGTCGTCCTCCTGGTTGCAACAATTAGCATCCCGTTCTCTGCAGTTATTTCAAAACCGTTCAGCCTCCCACGTCTAGGAGTCGAGTTCACTGGGATCCGCCTGCGGACATTTCTCGAGAATCTCAAGCCAAAGCTCACAAAGGGTGCGGCTGGCAGTCAGATTCGCGGAAGAGAAACTTTCCAGGATCTTTTCGGGATTCTTTTCCCTGCGACCGGTGGAATTTTCGCGTATGTATCCCAGAAGTTTAAAGACAAATGTACTGAGCCGACAGCTAACTGATGGCCAACAGCGGTTCCAGCATGTCAGGCGACTTGAAGAACCCAAGCAGATCGATCCCGAAAGGCACGCTCTCTGGCTTGGCCTTGACATTTATTCTGTATACACTTGTGATCTTTGCAATGGCTGCCACCATCACACGAGAATCTTTTTACAACAATGTGAATGTTATTCAGCTTGTAGGATAATGCACTCCCAAGGAAAAATGGCCTCGTTGGCTAACAGTTTGCAGACTAATCTTTCTGGTGTCGTTATCCTTCTTGGAGAGTTTGCGTCGTCATTTTTCTCAGCCTTGATGGGAGTGATTGGGTCTGCAAAGCTCTTACAAGCAATTGCTCGGGATAGTTTACTGCCTGGACTCGCCGTATTCAGCAAAGGTACCAAGGAAAATGATGAGCCTGTTCATGCAATTATCATTACTTTCATCGTTGCTCAACTTACTATGCTCTTCGACATCAACCGCATTGCTGCCTTCATCACAATGACTTACCTCATGACATTCTTGGTGACAAACCTCGCATGTTTCCTGTTGAAGATTGGATCGGCTCCAAACTTTCGGCCTTCCTTTCACCTCTTCAACTGGCAAACCGCAGCAGCAGGTACTGTACTCAGCGGCGCTAGCATGTTTTTTGTTGATGGTATTTCAGCATCAGGCTGTGTTGGCATCCTTGTCTTTCTATTTCTGGTGATTCATTATACTTCGCCCCCTAAGTCGTGGGGGGATGTCAGTCAAAGCTTGATTTACCACCAGGTGCGCAAGTACCTGCTTCGCCTCCGGCAAGAGCACGTTAAGTTCTGGCGCCCACAGATCTTACTCTTTGTGAAGGATCTTGAGACCGAGCACAAAATGGTCTCCTTTTGTAATTCGCTGAAAAAAGGAGCTCTGTTCGTTCTCGGGCATGTTATTGTGACTGACGACTTCTCCCTTGGTGTCCCAGAGGCGCGTCACAAGCAAAGCGCCTGGACAAAGTTTGTTGAGTATTCGAAAGTTAAGGCGTTCGTTAACATTGCTGTCTCCCCCACTGCGGAATGGGGTGTCCGGAACGTCGTGTTGAATGCAGGTTTGGGAGGTATGAGACCAAACATTGTTGTGATAGACCAATTTCGCAAGCAGCAGTCGCTTGTTGAGACATTGCCCTTCAATAGGCGAGACTCGAAAGGCAGGCGCCTTTCCAGTAACTGGAGAGATATTGAAACCCAGGAGTCTCCAATGAGCTGTAAAACCTACGTGACGATCCTCGAGGACCTTCTTTTCAAGCTGCGTATCAATGCTGCTGTGGCCAAGGGTTTTGAGAATTTGGAAGTGCCCCGGGCCGACGGCAGCAACAAGAAGAAGTATGTTGACCTCTGGCCTATTCAGATGTCCGCTGCACTGGGTGCAGACAGTGAAAGCAAGCATAACGTGTTAACTACGAATTTTGACACTTATACGTTAATTCTCCAATTGGGATGCATCCTTCTCACCGTTCCATCCTGGAAAAAGACTTACAAACTGCGCGTTGCTGTCTTTGTCGAATACGAAACCGACGTCGATGACGAACGGGGACGAGTTGAAGCTCTCCTAGAGAAACTCAGAATCGAGGCCGAAGTCCTCGTTTTCTGGCTTGCGGGCGGAGAATTGAAGACTTACCAGGTGATTGTGAATGGCGATACTTCTCCAGCCATTGCAGATGTTCGGGACACCGTGCAATCGCTCCTTAAAGACGAAGTTTGGTGGCAGGACCTTCAGAACTTCCGTCGGAACCCCCGTGGCCTGGGAAAGCAGGAGGCCATCAAGTCGGAAGTCCTGCCTGGCGGCCCGTCAAGCCTGGATAGTGGTCCTAGGTTTATGAGACGTGATTTAAGAAATCTATTTCGATCCTCGCGGCGAAGAAGGTCTATTTCAAAGTTCAGAACTCTAGGAGGGTTGAATCTAGGGATGCAGACGCATCGTCTGCCTGATACATTGGTCGACTACGACGTTAGTGACAGTACAAGCGATGAGCTTTCAAGCAGCGACGAGGATGAATTTGCACCATACTTCAGCGACGGCTATGATGAGGATGGAGATGAAGCTAACACGGGACAAGAGAGCCAGTCCGGCGTTCCTACCACACCAAAGCCAAGGCGATCAGTCACTGCACCAGCGGAGATTGTTGACGCCGCTTCATCTTCGAGTTCGGCTACGACAGGCGAGCCTCCCGACGCTCCCATCCCGTCCATCATAACAACTGGCGAGGGCACATCACCAGGAACCAGGCCTGCTAACAGCAGGCCTCCTATCAGCCGGTCACCATCCGGTAATCGATTTAGCTCATCGCCGATTCCCGAGGCCAAAGTCAATGCAGAAGAGGACGCGGGCCCATCCATTATGTTTGCATCGGACGCTTCACCACCCCGGTTTTCAGGTCAGGGCGAGTCAATATACACTCGCCGTCCATCTTCGGAGATGGTCTCCACGAGCCCATCTACGTCAGCTTCTGGCTATCCCGGCCAAGCGTCCGTACCGTTGTCCTTCAACGACCTCCCCAGTCGTGCGCAGCACCTCATTCTGAACGAACTGATGGTTAAACACAGCGATGACACAGCCATCATATTTACTACGCTGCCGTCTCCCACGGAGGGTACCTCTCTCAGTGAAGAAGGGAGCGAGTCGTATTTGAATGATCTGGATGTCTTGTGGCAGGGACTACCGCCCTGTCTGCTGGTACATAGCAATAGCATGACTGTCACCATGAATCTTTGACGATGTTACGAATCTATTTCTGCACCTTTGTCATTGGTACTTATGCGGTGAAGTTTTCATGTCCTAGCTGCAGGATTCGTGTATATACCACAGAAGCAATAGTCTCGAGCATTATTGCTTCAAATAGACCAACTGCCAATTAAGACTGCTATAACTAATCTATTTGCGATGAGTAATTAACCGCCAATCAACGCATCTCTATTTGAAATCGATTAATGTTGCAGCAATTGGTCCGGAAGATTAATAGGATTATACAGTGTAGGAGGGTATCCGTTCCAATTTCTAACAGTCGGCCAATGCTGCCATTCATAGCAAATATCTCCTTTGTTGGGGATTATTATTACTGTCGGGTTTCCCTTGGGCTGTCAAGGATACCTCGAAATGGCCTGACCAGCATGGCCACGATCACTCCGATATCTTTGCTCCACAAGGCGACTTGGGATCTCCGCCGCTTGACAGTTCCAGCTAATTAATTACTTCCTGAACTGCTGAAGCCACAAAAGTACTCACCGTTCATGTTGACGTACCGAAGTGCCTAACGCCGAAGCACCGAATGCTAAAAGTCCTAAGACATGCCCACGCGACCAGACCATTTTACAGTAAATGCCTGGACGTTCCTCTTGCGATTACACGCGTTGGTTTAGCAGTCCTGAGGCTCGCAATCATCCCAGCGCATGCAGTAATCGGTGCCAGTCTTGGCTTTCCCGGGGATCGGACTCGTAGATGTCGAGGTAGCTTTGGCGTCGTCCATTCTGGACTCTGGCCGTCTGCTCCATTCAACGCGAATTGGGCGCGGTGAAATAGGACGGATGGGTATTCATGACTGTTGTTATATGTCTAAAATAGCAATTGCGATTAATTCTTAATGATTGCTACTCTGGTTAGCAGCGCATCTTGCCTGGATCGAGGGACAGACATTGATATGGAATCGTACCATAATTGTTGACTTCCTGGCACGTCAAAATGCATGGATACTCAGCAGAGACCTGGCCAATGGCCAAGAAGGGAAAAATAATAAGAAATGAGACGGGGAGAAGGAGATCTGGTGGCTTGTTCTCCGCCAGCGCAAGGGCAAACAATAATAAGAAGAGAACGACAGCGGGACAATAATAATTTATCCCAACCAGACAACAATATGAACGCCGCACAACCCCTTTTTGCCAGCGCTCAACCTCCCTCTCTGCTTATTATTGGATTGATCTGCTAGGTAATAACACTCCTCATGAGCTGCAGGCTACTTGAAGTCCCCTTACACGCATAATTGGTCTCTCCCGCGTCCCTCTGTACACCGCTGCTTGCCCATTGCGATGGACAACGGCCTTGTCCTCAGTCGAAGAAAGTACGGCAGCGTCGAGATCTTGCAAGACAGCGAACGCCAGACAGAGTTACGCAGACCCAAAAACGGCTCAGTGAACGGCCTTCGAATCAATTTTAGAACCCCAATGGCTACTACCAACGGCATTGCAGACGACACTAGTCCTGCCTTCTCTCCTTCCTCCGCCGCCCCAGCAGCAGCAGCCACCGAGTCTCTCCCCAACGGCGTCGGAAAACCGAAGAAAGCAATGCAGCGGAAGACATCGTCGCCGATGGCCCCGGCCTTTATGGTGTCTGCACCGGGGAAAGTCATCGTATTTGGAGAACATGCTGTGGTGTATGGCAAGCCAGCCATGGCGGCGGCGATTTCCCTGCGGTCCTACCTGCACGTCACGACGCTGTCCAAATCACAACGCACCATCACCTTGAATTTCCATGACATCGGTCTGGATCATACGTGGAACATCGATGACCTTCCGTGGGACATCTTTAAACAACCTTCCAAGAAGAAGTTCTACTACGACCTCGTAACGGAGCTTGACCCTGACCTCGTCGAAGCGATCCAGCCGCACGTGGAGGCCGTGTCCAGGAAAGACACACCAGAAGAAAAACGGAAGATTCACCTACGATCCGCCTCTGCCTTCCTCTATCTCTTTCTCTCCCTCGGCTCTCCGCAGAGTCCAGGCACCATCTACACCCTTCGATCGACGATTCCCGTTGCAGCAGGACTAGGCAGCAGCGCTAGTGTCTGCGTATGTCTGAGCGCCGCGTTACTCCTACAGATCCGTACATTGGCCGGGCCACACCCCGACCAACCCCCGGACGAGGCAGAGGTGCAGATTGAACGCATAAACCGCTGGGCCTATGTGGGGGAGTTATGCATACACGGCAATCCGAGTGGCCTGGATAACACGGTCGCCGCAGGCGGGAAGGCTGTGATCTACAGGAGAGATGATAATTCGAAACCACCAATCATCACTCCGATTGCGAACTTCCCTAAACTGCCCTTACTCCTCGTGAACACGCGACAGCCGCGATCGACGGCAGTGGAAGTGGCAAAAGTCGGCAAGCTCAAGAAGGACCACCCTCTGGTGACCGACTCGATTCTTGATGCCATCGACAAGGTGACGACTTCGGCCCAGAAACTCACCCAGGATGCTGACCCGGATTCGATTTCGGAGGATGCTCTTCGGCGACTAGGGGCGTTGATCCGCATCAACCACGGCTTCCTAGTCTCGCTAGGAGTGTCTCACCCTCGTCTGGAGCGGATCCGCGAACTCGTGGACTTTGCCGATATTGGCTGGACGAAGCTGACTGGTGCTGGAGGCGGTGGGTGCGCGATCACTCTCTTGCGACCGGACGCCGACGACGAAGCTCTGCAACGATTGGAAAGACAACTGTCTGAAGAGGGATTCGAGAAGTACGAGACCACTCTGGGCGGTGATGGCGTGGGGGTCCTGTGGCCCGCAGTGCTTCGCAATGGCACTGACGAGGAGGGCGGCGAAGAGATTGATCAACACAAGTTCGAGAATGCTGAGGGACCCGAGGGAATCGAACGTCTTGTCGGCGTGGGTTTGCGTGAGAAACGGGAAGGATGGAAGTTCTGGAGACGAGCCACTCACCACGACTGACATTATTATCCTTATCCTTCTTGCTCTACGGGGCAGTCTTGTTGTCTCTTTCAGCATCGGGACGGAGTATTCTAACGTTTGCAATACGTGGCATTTGGAGATGTCTTCCTCTTAGCAATTCGCACACGACGCACTTAATGCAATCGGGAAGAAAACCCCCAAAGGGATCGAGTTTCTTTTTTTCGCTGACCATAGGAATTTAATCTAATCTTTCTGCTTTGTGTTTTCTATCGGTCCCTCTTGTTGATTCTTATGCCACCTATTTTGATTTGATGTCTTTCGCAGCGTCTGTGTGCATGTATATAATACTGTTAAGTCAATTATTAGATTTGACGACCCTGTCTTTCTTCCAGTCAACTTAATAATAAGGCAGTAACCAAGGTGAACATGCTGTATATCCACTAAGAGGATCATTAAATTTTGTGCACACTTCGAGAAAGCAGCTCCCAATAGTAGTTTGTACTTGCACTCCCTCCAACACGGATGCGATATTTACCATCAGTAGAGCCATTTCCAGCCTCTTATCTACGCTCGTATTCTTTCTGCATCGGCAGGTGGAGCCGACTGTGCTTGATTATATCGCGATTATTGTACCGCGGGGATGACTACCACTGCATTCTCCGTGCCCCTCGCACAATATGACATCGCCCGTTCGAGGACAAAGCTCGTGTCTCAGCTGCCGCGCCAGAAAAGTGCGCTGTGACCGAATCCTGCCCCAGTGCTCTCCATGCAAGAAGAGGAAACTCGAATGCAAGATTCCCCAGGCGCCGCCACGCGTGCTATGGCTGCGTCCCCTCACAAATGTGGCGGATGAGGACGAGCTGTTGGAGAAACCGCATTCACGGCGGCAGCCTTTGTTTAGAGGCATGTACGATGCTTGACACTTGTTAATAGCTATCAGGGATGCTATGCTTATGGTTGATTGCTGCAGGATACCAGCTGGCTCAGAATGCCGCCGATCTGCTGTCGTTCACTACTGAAAGCTCCGTGGAGTCGATTCTGGACGAACTGGACCAGCAGGCTGACGGTATTCAATATGGCCAGAGGCTGTGGAATGGGCCTTTCCATGTGTTTCGGTATACTAACGAGATGTCACCATCCATCCAACTCGATTCCCTGTCGGACGTCTTCGCTTCTGAGTTCTGGGACCCATTATTGCCCGATGTAGGCCATGGGCTAGATGACAACAGCTCGCTTCAACTTATCGAAACGCCAGGGCTTCTTTCACTAGGCGATGTGGAATTGCAAGCTGGTTCACAGACTATGGACGTGCTAGATCCGCTCTCTCCTCCATCACCTGCAGTTGCACTGGAGACTTCATCAATACCAACCCCCAGAATCTTTTCATCCTCGCAGGACTGTCCATCCGACCTGGTAGATTTCACCATGTCAACGGCCCAGCAACTTCTGGACCATTACCGACATACCCTGGTGCCCTTTTTTACTCCAGCTCGGGTCGAGTCCCAGTCCCCGTGGGAGGCGGTTTACATACCTAGCGTCTTCAGCACGGTGGGCGAGATCATGCTAGCGGGGGACAGCGGTAATGCGAAAGTCTCCCTTCTATTTGCGATCTTCGCTATCAGTGCTTTTAGTCTGGATGGATTATCTTCTTCTACAGATGAGCCGGTGTGTCAGGACTGGCATGCGCTTGGTGAGCTCTACCGTGGCAGGGCTACGAAGCGATTGAAACGGTCCTTACAGGACTTGTCTGTCAATCAACCTAAGAAGGAGAAGTATAAGGATATCCTCATGGCGCTGTTGAGTATGGTGACGATTTGTGTAAGTTCTCCTTGTTCCTATGGCTTTCTTGGTCCACCTTTCCGGCTAACTACCATCTCCTACACAGGTTGTGAGTGGAAAGATGAAAAATGCAGCACACTACCTGTGGGATATTGAAAAGATCATCAGCCTGCACGGCGTGAAGAAGGTAACTCGATCATCCAAAGTGCGTATGTTGCACAGCATCTACCTCTACCTCCGCGTGTTGACAGAGCGTACCTGCATCGACGATCAACCGTCGAGGTCAGATGCCATAGAGGAATCCAGAGGTCTCCCAATATATTCATCTTCATCTACACAGCTTTCAAGCTGGGATCAGCTGCTTGGACCATGCTCACCTCCCCCAAGTGCAAATGGCTTGGATTCCTACGGGATTCTGCACCATGTCCCCTGCAAGTCGGCATTCGAGGAGATATATTCGGTTCCTCAGTCGCTATTCAAGCTCATTCTTGAAACGACACAAATGGCTGGCGAAGTGGACCAATTGCAAAGTCTCGGCAGATCAAAGACGACCGACTACGATGCATTCGCTGCGAAAATCAAGGACTTGGAAAGCAACATCTGCAATTGGGAATACCATACGACACGACATAATCTAGGATACCCTCTCTCCGAGCAGTTTCCGTTTCACCTAGTTCAAGCAGTGCAGAAGGCCCTCCTTATCTACTTCTATCGCTGTGTAAGAGACGTCAATGCTGCGATTTTGCAACAATACGTCCAGCAGACGATATACCATCTTCTTGAATATGACAAACAAAAGGAGAGATACGGGGATCAGTCATCGAATACTTGCTGGCCGGGATTCATTGCAGGATGCGAAGCGCTGGAGCCTCGATTAAGAGAGCAGATTGCCAGATGGCTTGAACGTTCCGGTCAGTCGACTGGTATTCGCATGTATACTGTGGCTCTGGAGGCTGTTCAGAAGGTCTGGCAAGCTCGAAGCTCTCCCGGCATGCAGAGCGCTCCCTGGACCCAAGTACTGGAGAAATACAGCGATCTACGAGTATTGGTACTGAGTTGACGCTCGAATTCATTTTGCTGCTGCTTCAATCACAAGAACCTATGCATTCCCTTTCATCCTTCAAATAGCCTTGTATCCATCATGAGATACGGCAGATTCATACTGCAGATACACCTGAAACTCGGCGAAAAGGCTCTCCTACATCAAGGTCAGCCACTGCACGATGAAAAAGAAAAAAGGAGAGACCTTACCGGATCACTACTTTCGTAAGTAAACTTTGCACTCTCATCATCAACATACACCTTCTTCCGACCAGCAGCCACGGCCGCATCAACAGCAAGCTGAATCTGACAGCTCCTCTCCATAAGAAGGAAAAGATAAGCGGCTTCATCCACAGTGCCACCAACAGTCAGCAGGCCATGATTCCGTAATATCAACCCCTTCCCCTGCCCCAGACTCTTGGCCAGAGCATCCGATTCCTCTCGCTTGAGAACCACGCCCCCAAACTCCCCATAGACACTCTGCGCGGCTCCGTAGAACGCCGTAACGTCTTGATTGAGCATCTCAAGCGGCTGCGCAAACGCCGACCAGGCCTTGCCGTAGGGAGAATGAAAATGACATGCCGCGTTTACATCTGGTCGTATCTTGTGGATGGCACTGTGGATCAGGAATCCGGCTTTATTCGCCGGCCGAGATGTGTTTCCTCCCACGGCAATTCCTTCTTCGTTGACCAGGATCAGGTCGGAGGGGGTTATAAGCGCGAAATGTAGACCTAGGCTTCTCCCCCTCGCCTCCCGTTAGCATGGATGAAAACAATTAATAGGCGTGGTAGAGATTATACGGAATGAATGCGTACGGGTTCGTCCAAAATCGATCAGGGAATTCCGGATCTCGCAGCGATATATGCCCAGCCAGACCCTCCACGAAGCCCTGTCGCGCAAAGACCCGGAAGGCACCCACCATGTGATTGAGCATGTATGCGCGTTGCTTCTCAATATCGGTGAATTGGGGAATTCCTGGCAGGGCCGTTGTTCCCTGGGATAAGGCTTCTAGAGCTGAGCTCTTGGTGTTGGGCGTGGAGTCATTCGTGGGGAGTGCCATGGAGTTCTACTCTGTTTCTGTTTCTATTTTTCTTGCTTTCTGTGATATACGACAAGAAGAAAGAAGGATAAGAACGGAGAATCGACATGGCTGCTGGCACTGCTAAATAGAGTATGTTCTGCTGCTCGCTCGGCGGTTATCACTGCATTTCGTATTTGGAAGGTGATGCCGAAGTGGAATAATCACAGCGAGAGAGTAGTGAGGATGATGAGAATAATGAGAGTACGGTAGATCAAGTAAATATAATATATTTTTAATAACTACTGTCTTATGTCCGCAGTATGCAGGCTGCTTGGTGCTGAATGCTGTGAAAGCAGTAGCAGTTGAAGTAGAACTAGAAGCTTGAATGGTCAAGGTCTACATGTATATAAATGTGCCTCCATATCCAACACGAAACTAACCATTCTCTTTATTCTATATTCTATATCAGCTCAATCACAATCTGGCCCTCTTGTCCGACGCCTCCAACACCCTTAACACCTCTTTCGCACCGTCTTCGCCCGAATTCAGCGCCCCCTCCATGTATCCCTTCCACTCTCTCGCAAACTCCGTCCCGACAAAATGAATATTTCCCACAGGCTGCTCCCATAAGTGACCCATGGAGGACATCACTCCCGGTCCGCTGATGGGACACACAGCGCCTTGGCTCCACTGCTCGTTCATCCACTGCCGCTCCAGCACATCAATCGGGTCCAACGCCTTCTCGTCACCAGTTACCTGGAATAAATGCTGCAGCACGGCTGCCTTCCGTTGAAAGGGAACCATTTTATTCCATTTCCTCCCGATAGACCCGTTCACAAAGCAGGTCAGCGAGTACTGCCCGTCTGCTGCGCTGCTGGTATCCCGGGCCACCACGACAGGTCCGCTGTAGCTGAGGATCAGACCGCACAGGTTCTTTTTTATCCACCATGGTTCGCGGTAGATGGCGATGACTTTTGTGTAGGTGCCCAGCTTCGTGCTGTTGATTGCGGTCCATTTGCCTTCTGGGAAGGGTGGAGAGAAAGTGATCTCCTTGTACATCGGCGTGGGGATGGAGATAACTAGCTTTCGAGCTGTGAATGTGCTGTCCTTTGCAAAGGGAGAGCTGGTAGTGACTTGTACATGGTCTCCTTGGTCTGATACTGTCTTTGCTGGGGATGAGAGACGGATTGAATTGGGAGGGAGGAGCTTTGCGATGTTAATGGCGACCGATTGTGTTCCTGGCTTGGTGAGTTTCTCTTTCTTTTAACCGGGAATATACTGCTCAAGAAGGATGAATCTCACCTGTGCGAAAACGCAGATACTGACCTCCATGCTTGCTGTCGGAGCGCATCTGCATCAAACCTCCGCCGCGCGCACAGTAATCGACAAAACATGCAGCGCTGACTTCGTCAGAGTCCACACCCAGCATCACTTGCGCCCAGAGGTTGACCATCTTCGCCGTCCGCTCACTTGCATGCTGTTGCAGCACAAATTCCTGGAGTGTAATCCGGTCCAGCTCTGTAATATGTTCGTCCGCACGTCCAGAGTGCAGTGCCTCCAATGCTTGAATAGAGAGATCATGAAGCAAATCTCTGATCCGATTCAAATCGTCGATATCTGCTGCATTTGCAAACTGTTCCCATTAGCGGACTATCCATCAGCATCCAATCCAAAGTATGAAGAACATACCGGAGGCGTAGCCCCATAGCCAAACGGAACAACACCCCCATCCAAATCCTGCATCAACCCATTCCCGTTCGTATTCTGCTTAATCAATTCAAGGCCAAAGCGCCGCGCATAGCCATACATACGATGCTGATTGGTATCGTTGATCCAAGCAGCGCCCAGGTCTACAAATCCGCCTGTTTCCAGCGACACGCTGCAGGTCTTTCCGCCGACTCGGTCGCGGGCTTCGAGGATGAGAACCGAGTGGCCGGCTTGGTGGATTGTTAGGGCTGTTTGGAGGCCACTGAGGCCGGCGCCGATGATGATCGTGTCGTACATTATGCCCCTGGTGACTTTTTTTTGTGGCTACTGGGACTCCTATGATGGCTTAGGTATTTATGTCTGATATGTTTGATATGAGGGGTGAATATCGATATCGGAGATAATGTACGCAGTCTGCATCAGGAAAGCAGTCCCGAAGATAAGAACAATTCATGCAGTTTATAAGAATGAGAATAGATGGATCTTGGAATAGCTGGCGTGGATGCTCTCCCCATGCTTGCCCTAACTATCCGGATCTCCCTGTGTTGATTCAGATAGCTTCAAAGAAATGATGCAAGAGTAACAAATGGATATGATCTATCTATCCGGCCTGTCCAACATGATAATAACACAGAATTAATACTACTATATACCCAAATGTTCCGCCCAAGAAAATAGAGACACTACCCCATAGTCGTCTCCCATCCCTTCTCAATCATAACATCTACCCAATACACATTGTCCTCTCCACGGTCCATCCGCGACCAGACCTCCTGCACGAGCCGGAGACATACATCGATAGGCTTCGGAGGCAGCACGTGTAAGAAGGACGTCAGACGGCCCAGAACGAATTTACGAGTCCGGGAAACTTCGATGGCATCGGAGGGGATATCGATGTGGAAGTCGATACCGTCGTGGACGTTGACGTTCCCACTTGAATTTTCCACGTCTGACCGTAGCTGTGGAAGTCGTAGCTCGCTGCAAGATGCGACGAGGAGGAATGGCTGAAGGCATCTTGTACGGGATTCGAGAGGGATTGTCCTTAAGCGGGCGAGTGTTGTCAAGGCGAATTTTGTGAGCCAGTCATCGTAGAACTTTGTCTCGTCTTCGTCTTCGTCTTCATCTTCTTCGTCTGCTTCTGCTTCTGCTTGCATTTGGCTGTGTATAATGTTCGTGGGATCGTCTAGGTCGGAGAGCCTAAATCCCAGTATGTTGTTGTCATTATCATTGTTGATGTTGTTACTGATATCTGCATCTAGAAAGGGAAATAACGGGTCCGGTTGGTCGGTACACTCCTGCAGAGTGTTCTTACTACGTTTCCGGAAGGGCAGTCGTTGACGAAGCAGATCCGGAAACGTTCGGTACAGTTGCAGAAGGCCCGTACATCGATAGACTTCGGCCATGGTCAGAAGGTGCCAGACTGGGGTGTCGTTGTCGCCTGGACTGACGATTTCAGCCTCCGAGGGATGTGCAAGGTTTAGAAGACGTTCTTCCAGCTCCTGCGCCTTTGCAATGGCTTTCTGGGCCTGCACAATGTCAGCCTGCGAGGTGAAGGTCCTTTTGTGGACACGTTTCCTCTCGAGGCGGACAAGTCTGCCGACCTCTTGTACTGTGGATTGCGTATCACGGGCAATGCCAGTCCAGGGATGCGGAACCTTTTGAATGATAGCAGGTTCATGAGTCCTTTTTCCCGACATTAACGCCCTTCTGCTCCCAGGCGAGGCTACCGTATCATTGTCTGCAACAAACGACAGGAGCATTTCCCAGTAAACCAATGCCTCCTCGAAAAACCGATAGTTGTTGTTCTTCTCGAGCGTGGACCTGCTGGGTTGACCACTGGAGAACATGGCATCGAGATGTTTCCTAAGCATATTGAAGAAGGATACACCCAGGTCCCTGGGATTGTGCCAGCTGGCTGTCTGACCAAGCATGAGTAGTGCCAAGAGTGACTTATCGTCTATCACGGCTTCACTGGTGATGATCCTGATAGCTTCATTGCGCATCTTCAAACCAAGGGGCCCAAACTGAGGAAAGTCGTTAACAAGAGTCGCTGCTGCCATGCTCTGCATGGCGCGGCAGATCGCCAGCGACGATCCCCAGAGACGAGATACAGTAGTACGAAACGGGTTCATATGGCTGTCATAGCTCGAGAACAAAGCAGCCACCTCTTTGAAATAGTACTCTATGAGCGTCCATGAAGGATTGTTCAAAGGCTGATGAATTGATACGAAATCCCGACGAGGGAGCTTCTGTGGCGGAGGAGGGTAACTGCGCACGATATTCGACGGAGAAAATCCCTTAAACACGCTATTATCATCTCGAATATCCGGGTCTCTCTGCCAAAATGCCAGAGAAGAGGCAGCCGCCGCATTGTCGTCTATTGGCAACGCGTAATCGAGAACAGGGTCCTGATGCTCAAGCGGGAATGCTCCTGTCGGTGAAGACAGCAATGGGACATCAAGATCTGCTAACTCTGGAAGTGAGCCGCTACTTTGAAGGTCCCATAAACTATCGCATAGTGTGTCCGTTGCACCCAGCAGGCCGGTTGACTGTGGCGTAGACTGTATATCGGGACTGGAACCATCGTCAAATGTCAAGAGGGAATCTAGTAGCGGACTTCCCAGTTCCGACTGCTTTGGAGCAGGATTGAAGTCTGGCTGTGACTGTGACTTTGGCTGTGGCTGCTCTGTCCCCGACGGCGAGGGTCTCGTACCGTCGAACGTTTCGTACTTGGTGACCCAGCGAAGAGGCTGCACGTAACCCGGGCATTTGACACCCAAGCGGACACAGCGTTGACACTCGGGCCTCTCTTCGCCGCATTTCACCTGAGAGAGGAAGCAGTTGTCAATAATGGTGAGATCATATGGACTGTGCATACAACTCACCCGTTTACTCTTACACCTCGAACATCCACCTCGGGACTTCTTCACACGCCGCATCGCCTGACAGTTGAAGACACGATGGGACTGTGTAGTATGATGGACCCATGGATGGCGGTGGTAATAGAGGCCTGGCAAAAGGAAAAGAAAAGAAAAGAAAACAAAACAAAAGAGACGAGCCTAGACAAGACAAGATTGAGTGCGGGGAAGATTTCCCGGCATTCCTATCTATGGAGATCGTTTCTGCATTGATAAGGGCTACTCGGGACATAAAGTCGTATTTTATTTGATTCCATCCGTGACACACTGACTGTGCGGTCTCATTTGGGACACGATGCAATGATGCTGGGTTGAGGATATAGTAGTAGTGAGCAGAGTCTGTAGGGCAGTGTTCGACTGCAATTATGTCGTTATTAATTTATTTATCTACTTATATCTCTCTCAGCGAAAGCCTAGCGGTAACCTTGGTGCTATGGTCTAGTGGTCAGGACTTTGGATTTTGACGCTACTTGTGTCCCAGTCTTCCAGAAGCCCCGGTTCGAACCCGGGTAGCACCTCTTAAAATTTTTTTCCATCATCGCATTAGTCACGCTTATATAATCCATACTGTGAGCTTAATGAAAAAGTTCAGCCTTCAGCGCCTCATCCGCGTCTTCCTGCTTAGCCCGCAAATCGCCTTGCTTTGGTTTCTCCATGTTCGCCTCCGCTGCGTGAGTTGACCTGCGTCTCGCGTCGGTTCTAGCCTGGTTCCGGAAATGTCTCACCCCATCTCCTTCCGTGGTTGGCACTTGTTGCCAGGACGCCTGCGGGCCTGAATCCTTCTAGACTTCATGTCATATTCTGCTTCAGCCTGCTGCTTTGCGACCGCGCTCTCCGGCGATGATCCCTAATACTTTGTCAGCCGCATCTCCATTGGTGCTGCTGATCCGTATTACGAGATGCTCATTAGAGGCTCCCCGTGGCGTGCGGTCCCCGAGAGATCCATTCGTTTTGCATCAGAACCTGAAGATCGTTTCCTCTTAACGTCCTGTGGACGGTTTCTGGGCTGACATCCGCATCAAGCAAACCAGATTCAAACAGGTATTGAATTATTATTATTACTCGTCATAGGAATTCCGCAGCTAGACATGATAGTCCATTCGCTGACACTTATTTTTGGAACAAAAGTATTAAGGGTTCCCGTGTCGAGGAATGTCCTCGCGCACAGATGCGGAGTCTTTCTTTATATTTGATGTCTACTGGCCTTTTCGTGCTCGGATCTGCCAACTTGTTCTGTCTCCGCCACTAGCCTGGCATAATAATAATAACGATTACTCCATGGTGTCTTTTTCCGTGGCAGAGTTGACAGTGCACTGATGCTTATTGTCTCACCTCCCATATCTGGTACGCGCGAGCGCACCACTCTCGCTTTTCCCCATCTTCAACCTGCTGCCATCCCTTTTCCTTGTGCATGATATTGCTCCTCGTCTGCGGGAAGGCTTCGGAAGGCTTCACCTTTGCCTACCCTCTTCTCTCTCCTTGTTCCTTACGGGCCGCGCCATGTGAGCACTGGTCCTGGCACCCATCATGATCCTCTTTCGCTCATTCCTTTCATCGTGCGCCTTGCGGCCTTCCATCTTCTCCCTACTTGTCGTTTCGGCGCTTGCTTCGAAGGCGCTTGTGCTATATCTGCATCTGGGCGTTGTTAATGGCCTTCTCATAGCCTTGTATTTCCCGACCTTCTTTATTCTAGAAGGACTGCTTTTCACTGGGGTTTGGTACCTATTCCAGAGGAGTGCCGGGCTGAAATACGTCGTCGGGACGGTTGTTTCTGGATTTTTGACGTAAAATTTAACCCTCTCATTCTCCTTCTATTCTTTCCTGTTGTCTAAAATTTTCCGTGAGTGACTGAATATGCTTTCCCCATAGTGTGATTACGTATTTTGCGGCCTCGTCGGAATTCGCTTTCTACTTTGTAACGGGTAGTGAAGTGGATTGGGATGCTGCCACGAGCGTGGGCAGTGACCCTGAAGGGCTCAAACTGATGTTGAGCGGTTTGACGCCTTGCCTCTGGGCTGCCTTTGCACTATTGATCGCCGCGTTTCTGCTCGCCCCCGGAATAAACCTCTTGATGACTTGGTGGTGGTCCTCAATATCCAGCATGGCTGCATACGTGCCAGTCGAGCAGCTACCCATGTTCAATATAGGAGGCCAACTGCGAAAGTGGCTGATGAGATTGAACTTTGTCGGAGCATGTACCATGTGTCTGGCACTGAGCACTCTGGGATTGTGGCTCATTCGGCCTCCGGTGCCTTTTAACCATATGTCGAGAGCTCTTCCTTTCTCCGTATTCTGGGGCTTCGTTCCGCATCACCACGGTCCTCCGCCGCCGGATGGCTTTCGATTTCCGTTTCCCTGGCTTCTTGCGAAGGAGTTCTGGGAACCTGCCCGGGATCATTACAAGGGATGGGCTCCGAGAATGGGACCACCACACCCTCATCATCACCGTCCGCCTCCTCCCCCACCGGAGGAAGGAGATGCGAATGTTCTTCCGGAATGGGCTACTCGGACGAAACTACCCTCGGGCTTTGTGAGATGGGCTGCTGGCGAACGGGGATCTGACGCACCAGAGAACTATACGACGCATAATTTCTATAACCCGGTTACTGATCCGTTGAGAATAACGAATCTTGATCTTGAAGTTTTGGAACCGTTATCGCAGACATTTAAGGAACATGATGTGCTCATAACTCATATTGTCATGGTCATGATGGAGAGTGCACGGAAGGACATCTTCCCTTTCAAATATGGATCGCATCTGTACAAGCAGATCCTTGAATCTTATGGTACCAACAATGGGACAGTTATCGAAGAACTTAATTTCAAACTTTCACGCATGACTCCCTTTGCGGAAATCTTGACTGGTGAATCCAGCGGCTTCCCGTCCACTGTAAATGACCATGAGGGCGAACAAGAGGAGGAGCATAACACCCCAGCAGGCTCTGGATTTGGTGGTATAAATGTCAACGGGGTAGTTACGGGGAGCAGCTTCTCATGCAAGAGTGTTCTTGTGGATCACTGCGGAGTAAGCCCATTGCCAATCGAGTGGATGGGTGAGGTCCGTCAGACGATTTACCAGCCATGTATCATGCAGATACTGAAGCTGTTCAACCGACTAAAAGAAGATTCTTCTGCAAATTCCACCGTTGATAACACGACTACGTTCAAGGATGTCCATGAGCGGAAATGGAGGACATATTTTGCACAGTCAACCACCGGTGAATTTGGAGAGGAGGCTCCGCTTACTGAGCAGATGGGCTTCGATAAGGCTATTTTCCGAGAAGATCTTGCCGATCCTACTGCGCCGTACTATCACTCGGGGATGGAGAAGGTCAATTACTTTGGGTAAGGACAGACTACTAGGTACTTGTTTACCAGTTTACTGATTGACCAAAGATATCCCGAGCACGAGTTGTATCCGTACATGAGAGATATGATCAACGACACGCTGTCAAATGGTGACAGGATCTTCCTATCCCATTTTACCGGTAGTACGCACCATCCATGGGGCGTTCCCCGTAAGTTCCCGACGGAGCAGTACTTTCCAGAGGGGAGCCTTTACTCAAAGCATGAGGATCTGAATGCCTATCTGAACACGGTCCGTTATGTCGACAGCTGGCTCGGGGATGTTATGAAGTTGCTGAATGAGTCGGGGATTGCAAACGAGACGTTGATTGTTCTAGTGGGAGACCAGTAAGTTCCTGGGCCCGGAAAAAGAAATATGCTTTTGATGGATGAGGCCAGCTAACATCTTTGATTAGTGGCCAAGCGTTCGTTGAAGATTCCCAGAAGACAGGAACATACGAGAATGGCCATATAAGCAATTTCCGCATCCCCCTTGTCTTCTACCATCCGTTGCTACCTCGCTTTCAGCTCGCAGCCAATGCATCCTCGATGTCTATTGTCCCTACCATTCTGGATCTGCTCATCAACACGCGATCGTTAAATGACGAGGACACGGACGTAGCTTTGGACTTGATCAACGAGTATGAAGGGCAGTCGCTCCTTCGTCCGTACAAGAACATCCATAATGGACGACAGGCATGGCATTTTGGCATTATAAACACAGGCGGCACGATGCTCAGCGTAGGATCTGCAGCGGCCCCCTTCCGGCTGATTGTGCCCCTTAACAAGGAGAAGGAATACACATTCACAAACCTTGACAATGATCCGTACGAACTTCATATGGTCAAGGAGTTCGATCTACACCAGCTGGTAAAGCTTGTCCGTCAGAAGTATGGAGAAGATGCTGCGCGCTGGGTCGCTGATGCAGATCGAATTGGGAAATGGTGGGTGAACGACAGGAAAAGGCTTTACAACTATCACGACTAGGCGGGATAATCTTCCTTTGTTGTATAGAATACATGTATAATTATAGCGGGTATTTTTATTTTATATACTTTTTATTGTTGGAATATAAAAAGAAAGTCATCTTCAAGGCGCCTTGTTGCTATTGTTCTTTTGTACAAATGTGTATTGTTCTGGGGAATACGAGCCTCAGGCATCGCTTCCATTCACGTCGCCCCACCCCGTTCTTAAAAGAGCTCCTTTCACTCTGTCTTCCTCTCGATCTCTCGATCTCTTTTCTGTAACCACCAAGTAAGCACAGTATCATCGAAAGCCATCTGAGAGGAGTGATTCGATTCTTTTCCAGGTATCGTTCATCGTCTCTGCCAACGGGACACACCCCGCCTTCATCATAGACCGATAACTAACACCGGACACAGGACATAGATCCACCTGCATAAATAAAGCTGGGCTTTGTCTTATCTCTTAAGTCGACTGGGTACAATAGATTCTGAAGCTCAGAATTAATTAAAGAAAGCAAGAAAGCAAGAAAGCAAGAAAGAAGAGTACTGTCTGTCTTTTTCCTCTGCTGTCTGCAATGTCCGGGAAATACTCCAACCCGGAATGGGCCTCCATCGAACCCATCCCGTTCGACGACGGGTCGGGTTCTGGAATTGCTCCGCTGGCGACGATCGCGTATTCCAAGGATTACTTGGAGGCGACGTCTTACTTGCGTGCCGTTATGGCTGTGAATGAGATGTCGGAGCGGGCGTTGAAGTTGACTGAGGATGTGATCTCGATGAATCCGGCGCATTACACCGTGTGGTTAGTTTAATCGATTAATGCATCATTCATCCACTATTGATTCAAGTTGTTTAGGGTATTACTGACGTACTCTAGGATCTACCGTGCAAAGATCTTATTTGCCCTTAACAAGGACCTGACCGAGGAGATTACCTGGTTGAATAAAATCTCTCTGAAATTTCTCAAGAATTATCAGATATGGTGCGTTGCGTTACATTTTACACTATAACTGTAACTATAGAACTAATTAATCTCAGGCACCACCGCCAAGTCCTCATGTCCTCAAAATCACACTTCCCAACTCTCCCACCCAAGGAACTCGACTTCCTCATGGAGATGTTCGCACTGGACTCCAAAAACTACCACGTCTGGACCTACAGACACTGGCTGGTTCGACACTTCAAACTATGGGACCACCCGCGAGAGCTCGAGGACGTCGAATCCCTCCTCACAGCCGACGTCCGGAACAACTCCGCTTGGAATCACCGGTTCGTCCTGCGCTTCGGACCCCGCGGCGAGGACGAGCCTGACGCCGGCATGCCGAACGGGCAGGCCCCGCCTGAAGAGAAAGGAAAACTCGCCGTCGTCGACGAGGACCTGGTAGATTCCGAACTCGAGTATGTGAAGGGTAAGATTGCTCTGGCGCCGGAGAATAGGAGTCCCTGGGCGTATGCGCGGGGAGTATTTCGGGCTGCGGGACGGCCTTTGTCTGAGTGGAAGGGTTTCGTTGGTAAGTTTATTACAGATGTCATGTCGGAGGATGGGCCGGTTAGTGTTGAGGTGAAGAGTAGCCATGCCGTTGAGTGGTTGGCGGATGTATATGTTGAGGAAGTCCAGGCCTCTGGTAATGAAGGGAGAGACGAGGCAGTGCGCATGTTTACTCTCTTGAAGGAGAAGTATGATCCCATTCGAAAGAATTACTGGGATTACAGGATTCGCATGGTTATTGGCCAGCCTGAGGTTTCTGCGGCTGCATGATGAGTGTCCATGAATGAATTATCTACCACATATTGGATCTAAGAAAGCCATGGAAAATTGTCGGGTTCAAAAAATGAAGTTAACGATTAATAAAATTACTTCTATACATGATCCAGCACGAATAAGGGGAACAAAAATATAGCTATGACTTCTCAATCCATCCATTCTTCAACAGTTCTCTCCACTTAGCAGCCATGCCGAGTGTTACATTACTTCCACCGCACACAATGATAACCACTCTACTCTTCGGAGTCAGGTTCGGAAGAAGCTGATGGAGCTTTGACTTGAACTGTCCCGTCGAGTCATCGGAGAGGAGCGTAACTTCCGTGGCCTCAGAGGACGGAGACATCGGTGCAGAGAGACTGCTAGAATCCGATTCATCACTTGATGGATTCATACTCGTGCTCGTGTGCATGTTCATATCCACCGTGTCGACGTCTATTTCTTCTGTTTTCGCGCAAGCAGAGAGGGATGGCGGCAATCTACCACTTTGGTCACCATGTCCCATTGACGGTGTTCTCTTTCGCTTCTTGGGTGTGTTTCCGGTGCTCGTAGTAGTGATACCTGACACTTTCCCACCTGTATCAGCCTTTGAATCTGCCCCAGGAAGCAGCAGTGATGACGACCAGGAAGCAGAGCCAACAGCAACGTCCACACAGACACCACATGCAAGTTCAACAAGCACCCTCTCGGAATCCACGAGGCTCAGCACGCCCCTTGCGGCTTCTGCATCTGACAATACTACGCTGTGCACTTCAATCCCGTCCGGCGGGTTCAAGGCCAATTGGAAAGTCCGTTCAGAAACACGCACCACGCCAAGTGAGATTGCCTTGGACGTAATCCGCGGAAGCGTAATCAGAGTTCGTCGGGAGAGGGAAAGGGAAAGGCTGTGCGTTCCTTCAGTTTCCGCCGCGAGGATATGGATTTTCTTTGCTTTATCCGTGCAGGCTTGTTGTTTTTGCTGCTGCTTTTTCTGTTTCAACCTCTCCAGTCCCATGATTAGGCCGTTCATAAGCCCTCCGCCGCCGACGCTGCAGATTATGGCATCCACGGGGAGAGGTAGATCATTGTAGTTATCGTCATTTGGTTTCTGTTCTTGATCATCCTCGATGACAAGGGGAAGTTGTTTCTCAAGTTCATTGATGATAGTACTATTTCCTTCCCAGATAGATTCGTCGTCGAATGGATGAAGGGCAATTTTCGCAATATCCTCACCCTCATCCTTCTCCTGAAGACGCTCTCGATGAGCACCCTTCATAACAACATCCTTCATATAAACCCCCGCCGCGGCGATGGTTTCCCCAAATTTAACCACCTCCTCCGCTCCGGCCGCGTAGAGTCTATCAAACATATGGTCTGGCGTGGGAGCAGGAACCACTACGGTACAGGGGTATCCCAGACTCTGCGCAGCGCATACAGCAGCTAGACCCGCATTTCCGCCGGATGAGGCGAAGAAATGAACTTTCTTTGTCAATTTTCCTTGCTCATTCTTGAGTTTGGAAAGATGAGAGAGGATCTGGCTGCCCATGGCTCTGGACTTGAAGGAGCCGCTTGGCTGCAGGTGTTCGAGTTTAAGGAAGATTTGGCAGTTCGCCAGTTTTGATAGGGAGGGGAGTGGACAAAGGGGGTTTCCAGCCATGGTGTTTTCTTGGTCGGATAGAGAGGGTGTTCTCGGGGGTTTCCTCTGAGGGCTTCTGGGGGGTTGAGAGGGACGGTTGCCGGTTCCATGTTTCTAGTTTGTTTGTCCGATAGCGAATTGAGAGGGCAATGTTGAATTATGCCGGAAGGATCAGTTGATAATCACTCTTTTGAAATGGAATATATGCAGAAGGGAAGAGAGGTATAGAAGTCAATAGAAGTCACTGCATACAAGCCAGGATAAGATCCTGGTGCGATGTCATAGAAACCGATGGCAGAAGAACGAAAGTCCCAGGTATATCAATCAATAAATATCCCGATGCTGATAATACACAAGCTGAAGAATGACAAGCGCCGTCTCTTTTTGATATACAATGAAAATATACTTGGGAGCCCCAAGGGTGGTACAGCTTTCCCGCGGGAAAACGTAAGAGACTTTCCCGCTCATGATGTATGTTGCTATCCTTGGAAACAACGGCAAGTTACCCGTTCTCTTTTTCCGTTGATAACCTTGGAGTAACATATGAATGTGCTGTTGGCTGATAACGCGTGTTAATGCAAGTGGACAATGTACGCGATCTAGACGTTGTAGGTTTTGGCTGTTGCACTGAAACAAAGCCGCTTTGATCCGGGCATACGGGATAATATCCCAATGATATTGTCTAAAATCTGTAAGCCAGGAGCAATCCCTTGTTTCCCAACAGGTCCATTCTAATGCTCGGCGAGGAGATTGGGGAAGACAATCCTCTTTTGGACATTCTCTCCGTAGGTAGAATCTGCTTGATACGCCGCATCGGAGAATCCCCTCTTGGAAGGCTCAACGTCCAAATTGTCCAAGAGCTCCTGGGCCTTGGAAGGCATGAATGGCTGTAACAAGATGGAAGCAATTCGAACTGATTCGCTGGCGTTGTAAATCACTCGTAGCGACTCTGCAGGGTTTTTCCATGGCTGCGCATTATGGAAATACTTATGACCCTATTAAATAAAGTTAGTAAAAGAACTGATTTCTCGTTTTTAGGAGTCGAATCTCCCACCAATTCTACTATAGACATGATACGCTGCAGTGCTCCGCGGGGGTTTAGGGACTCCATTTCCGCGGCCACACAGGCGGGTATTTCACGGAGTTGTGATTGATACTCAAGGTCCCTGGCAGTTGGTGCTGGGAGTGTATCGGAAGCAGCGGCAAGGATGTACGACCGCAAGTTCCCCTTTGCAATCCCTATGGTCCGGTGTGCCAGGTTTCCAATCCCGCCCTGGAGCAGTTTCTTATAGTCACGCACGATATACTCGTTGTCATAGTCGGCATCGCCTGTCAAGGCTCCTTGGTAGGTTAGGAAGAAACGCATGGTGTCAACACCAAATCGATCAATAGCGAAAAAAGGGTTAACGACATTCCCAGTTGACTTGGACATCTTCTCCCGATTCATAGTCCAATGACCATGGACAAGGACATTATGTGGGAGAGGGAGGTCAAGGGCCATCAGGAACGCTGGCCAGTAGACGCAATGGAAACTATAAAACTTGGTCAGTCTGATATCGGAATCATAGAGGTATTTATCCTACCGAGTGATATCTTTCCCAACGACGTGGACATTCGCCGGCCATCCATTTTTGCTTCCTTGACCGGGAGGGAAAGGGTATCCTGCTTTGGTCAGGTAGTTTACAAGAGCGTCCAGCCAGACATAGATGGTTTGTGTGTCATCACCGGGGACGGGAATGCCCCAGGTTAGTCTCTCTGCAGGCCTGGAAATGGAGAGATCCTGGAGACCCGAGGATACAGACTTGACAATACTCGTCTTATAGTGATATGGAATTATAAACTCCCTCTCCTTGCTGTAGAGATGTAGAAGGCGCTCTTGAAAGGCAGACAAGCGGAAGTGATAGTTCGTTTCAGACGACCATTCCACTTCTTTTCCAGTTTCGACTGATACCTGAGAGCGGTGAGTTTCTTGCTTGCAAGAAGGAAAACACCGAGTAGCCTACCATCCTTTTTCTTCCGGTAGATGGATCTAAAGCCATATGCACCTGTGACTGTGGGTAGAATGTCTCGTCACTGACGGAGTACCATCCTTCGTGTTTTGCAGTGTAGATATAACCCCGGTGGTCCAACATTTCCTGAATGGTCGTTAGACTTGCCAAACATACATACTAGGGAGAATTCTGATAACTTACCCAGAAGTACTCGACCGCTGTCCTGTGCTCCGGACTCGTCGTGCGTATCCAGTAATCGTTACTCAGATTCGCAGCTTTTGCCAGTGCCTGCACCAATTGCGGTTGATACTTAGCAAAATGCTAATGAACAAAGGACGGTAAGGCAGAAGTACGGACCTGGAATGTCTTGCAATTCATATCGCAAAAAGCTTGGGTTTCCATTCGCGCTGCGAGTGCGGCCTGCTGGATCTATTCCTCTACAGTCAAAATATAGATATAGCCTCATCCGAGCAACTGTCTGTACCTTCATTCCATGCTCATCTGTTCCAGTCAATAATCGAGCGTCAGTCTCACCGAGAAGTACCTTCCATCGCTTTAAGACGTCGGCAATGATCATTGTATATAGATGGCCAATATGAGGAGCTAATGAACCGGTACAAATTAGCAAGGAGGCACGCTGATTTTATTTAGTCAGAGCCAAGGAATAGCCGCCTTACCTGCATTGACATAGAAGATGGGCGTTGTTACATAGTAGGGCTTCTTTGACTCTTGCGGAGAAGCCTCCGCAGCCGTTGCGAATCTCCGCCGCGGAGCAGCAGCAGTACGACGGACATCCTTGCAAGATGCACACTTCCATGAGGGTCTTCTGTAGGCCAGGAACTGTGCGGCCCATGAGATGGCGCGGAAATTGGCCCGTGGAACAGCCATTGAGAGGGAATTGGAGGTTGGAAGAGTCACTGGCGGAAGAAAGTCTCGCGGTGTTGCTTTCAGGCATCTCCGAAGTTGGCCCGAGCTTTTCCTGTTTTTCTTCCTCTTCTCTTCTTCATCGCTCTCTGTCGCATCCTTCGTCCTTGTTGCTATTCCCTCGTTGTTCTCTGCGGCTGGTATCTGGCTATATTTATTATTATATTTATATCTTCTGTATTATTCTTAACTTCCTGTCCAGCCTCCCAACAAGTGAATACCTACTTGCGTCATATACCACTTTGACATCACGATGGCCACAACTGGAGACAAGCTCACCAGAGTGTCTACTGAAGGTATTGTGAATCTGGTTTTCATGCTGAGCATATTATACATCTGTCTAACCTGTCACTTTTACAGCCGCTGAGGAGTTCGTGCAATCCTTCTATCCGGCGCTCAATTCGAACCGTGCCAGAATCGCCTCTTTTTACAGTCCTGCTATATCCACGATCTTGTTCAACGGAAACCCTGTTGCCGATGGAAATGCCGTTCAGGATATTTTTGTCAACAAGATGCCACCCACGCGTTACGAAGTTCAAACGTTCGATTGCCAGATCGTCAATAAGGCGTATCCCACCCCCACCGCCACTGGGTTGAAAACCCCGAATCAGTTGACCATCAGGGACATGTCGATATTGGTTATTGTCAGTGGATACGTTCAATTTGGAGCAGAGATAGATCAACCGCAGCGCGGGTTCAGTGAAACCTTTGTCCTGGTGCCTAGTTCGGGCGGAAAGAATAAACACAGAAGTGGTTGGCTTATTCAGAGTCAGAACTTCCGACTTGTTGTTTGAAGATACTTGATTTTTGGATAACTATATATAGAGGAAGAAGAGGAGGACCTTTAACTACTCCGCCCTGAGCTATTACTCCCTGTTTCGAAAACCCGACTGGAGGATCATGAACGCAACATCTGAAACTACCAAGTGGACTTCGAACCCGCAGAAACGCCGCGAATGATTTAACCAGGATTGGGGAGACGAACGAACAATGGCTGTCGAACTGCTGTGGCTTTTGAAAAATGCTTCAAGGAAATGGCCATACTTTCACACAAAAACCAGTGCCACTATTCATTAATCGTTCGATTGTCCAGCTGAAATTGGTGGTACTCTCAAATTCGCCTTTACCCGTTCTAATAGCTCTTCCCGCGTGGCTTTACTGCTTGGGAAAAGACCTCTCTATGATATAGTCAGTGGACCTGGGCGCAATCAAATGAACGACAGGGTGGAAATGGGGAAACCCGCGGGGAGACATACCAAACGCAGCCATGTTTTCATCTCATCGACGGTCCAATCCTCAGGATCTTACCCTCAAGAGTCAGCTTCATCCCCTCAGGCGAACGGGGGGTTCCTTATGCATACCTCCGGTTGGATCTTTTTCCGAGGGAAACATTTCGTTGCCCCATATTGACCAGGCGGCCACGGCCGTAACCATCCCGGCGAAACCTATGCACATCATTTAGCTTGGATATTGCCACATCTGTTTTTTTGGATATATGTACCAAGGAAGAAGTTCTACATTATTTTGTCAGCTAGAACAAAGACATGTACGAGGCATCTACTGTACCTTTGAATTCGAACTTATAGCTCGATCCAGACTTGTCGGCATCCTGCCTGTAAGTGTATGTAGGTAGACACTATGACGGAACTTGTATAAGTGTCAAAAGGCGTATCTTCGCTGCCCACAGCAAAGTAAAGTAGATGTAGGATAGAGATGGAGACGGAAATAAAACCAAGTAAACGAGGATGACAGCTGTTCAAATACAGTACGCTTCCCAGTTTGCTGCAGCCTGGACGATGGAGGTGAAGTACTGCCACATGTCAATTCATGCTCGCAGGGATTCCGACAATTCTTGAGGACAACTAAACAGATGGCATGACAATCACGATGGAATCCTGATAATTCCGTCCTGTTCTCAGTGACAGGTGAAATGATAATAATTTATGATGTGTCTTTCGATGTCGAGCAGCATCACTTCATTCTCTCTGGCCACATTCTACACAGCCACATCATTATCCTCATCGCCACAACAGCCACGTAGCGCCAAGCCTTTCCTTGCCCCAAACCCTAATTTCTCGGATCCCACACATCGCAAATCCGAAGCCGCCAGCAAGCCAAAGCAGCAGTCGAAGAGAAGAACCCTCCCCAACCGGCTCTACCTTACGACAATCCGACTTCTGTCTAAGTTCCCCGCCCACCATGCCTCGCGAAGTCTCCGATATCAAGCAGTTCATCGAGATCTGCCGCCGGAAGGATGCCTCTTGTACGTCTCCGTTCTCCCGAGCGTCTATTGTCTGCGTTTAGGAGAGGAGGGAAATGATGCTGCCGGGCTACGTCAAGAGGAGAGTAATGCTAACTGTTTCTTTCGGTCATTCGATTTAGCCGCCCGCATCAAGCGCAACCGTAAGACCCAGCAGATCAAGTTCAAGGTCCGGTGCCACCGCTTCGTCTACACCCTCGTCCTGAAGGATTCCGACAAGGCCGATAAGCTTAAGCAGAGCTTGCCCCCAGGTGCGTTATTTTGCAATTTCTAGGATGAAATAAAATGAAATATGGGATTGGAGTTGGATCAGATGGAATGGAATGGATACGTGCAATGAATACCGGGTCAAAACAGACGCTGACGTTCGCCATTCTCGCAAAACAGCTCTCAAGGTCGTCGATGTCTCCAAGGGTCTCAAGAAGAAGGCTCTGTAAACTTCTTACCCCCCCAAGATATGAAATACGTACATTGTTGATAGGGGTTGGGACTGGCGGCGCGTTGCGAAAAAAGGTCATGGTGGCAGGAATGTCGAGTGGGAAACTGGCATGGGATTGAACGTCTCAAAATCCTCATGTGGGCCGACACGGGAATGTTCGAAGTGCGGACAATTGCAGATTTGACATTCCTGCGCCTGTTACCGGCGCCTGTTACCGGTCAACTGTTATTGCATTGTTGAAAAGATGATGGATACACGGCAATGGACACCGGTCAGACGACCTGCATTATTTTTTTATCTGGAGATACTTCTGTTCGGGAATGCTTTGTCGGGGCTTCCTGGGTTCTACAGCATAATGAAAAGAGAAAAACATTTGAAGACTGTTCATGTTGGTTGTCACTTATTGACGAGTAATCTTGATCTGTTGCAATTATCCCGATTCCGGACTGCGGAGATGCAGAACGCTTTTGTTGGGTTTGTGGACTTTATTTCTTTCCAACTGAAGATGCTACCAATAGAATATAGACATCCTTGCTTCCAGGTTCAACATGCCTTGACAGAGCTCGGATATCCACGATCCTTGTTTCCCTCCCCCCTTGACACTCAATAGTCCGCTCGCCCTTTCCTCTAACACTATGTTATATCCAGATCGTCCTCTTTTATTGTTCGAAGGTCGCTTCGTGAAGGTGATTTCTTCGATTCATTCTCGTTTTAACTTCTAGCTCCAAAGCACCGTATATCGCATCTGGCTAATGCCAAGCGTGACAGGAGACCTAATGGGACACGGAGCATGCTGCCTTCCTCACTCCAAGGTACACTCCAGTGCTGCTGATACCCTTTGAGTGATAGACTGAGTCACTCTACGAGATACCTCATTTTCTGATGCAACAGGATGGGCTGCCAGACGGTATCTGGATACTTCTCCCGGACAGAGCAATCTATGTCACACGCAGGGTTTGAAGGCAGGCCGATGATAGCTTCATCCTTCCACTTTGAAGCTGGTATGTATGAAGAAATAATCAGTAGAGCGAACGGATCAACAGATGAGAAGCCAGATTAGATGGAGGTGATCTTATTGATGGATGTCGAAGCCTTTGCCATCATGTTCCAGTTTCCCCTCCTGCTTGACCACCTGAACCTGGCAGTCAGGGCACAAGTTGTCTCCTGTTAGACTCTTAAGGGAAGACGCTGATGTTTGCGACATAACAATCGATGCTATTCTGTCGTGGTCATCGATGAAAATTCTTCTTCGGTATCATTCTTTGTGATAAAGCTTCTGCGATTGCAGCATCCAAGCAGTGGCTTCTGCACATCCTGGCTGTAATCCAGTCTAGAGAGGTCCTCATAACATAACAAGGAAAGTGAATGGAGGCTTCAAGTGAATACTGACATATGTACTTGGGATCGCACGTGTCCAAGGCCTTCCCTTTCCATTTTGGTGCTCACCCTGTGCTCACTAAGTATATCTGGGCATGGGATGAGCGCTAGTAGCAGTAAGATGTGGCCTCAATATAATGCACTCAGCTCTAAGGGTCTTTTGGACATGTCATTGTTTCAGTTCCCTTCTGATTAAAGACTAGCTAACTAGGTGTTGCCTGTATGATCTATTGTGTTAGCTCATCTCTATATCACAACATGGGCAAACATAACAGGTGATCTTTGTCTGCTGAATCTACGAGTATTTTTTTGGTCAAGTACAATCGTTTACCTTACCCGAGTAAGCTACGGCGGTAGCTGCTCATGCGGTTCATGCCGTCCGGATTGCGAGTTCTCACGAAGCTCCGCATAATAGAATTAGCAGTGGCAGAATTGACCTTTTCCTCCCAAACATCTGTGGTACCAAATTTGACCTGTTCAAGGTCGATAACCATCACTCGCTCGTCCACCGACAAGAAGTTGTCCAATTTCTCATCTCTGTACTCGACTCCGTACGATGTTAAAGCTTTCAAGGCATCCTTGAGGCTGTTTTGTAAGGCTTTATCCTTGCTTTCAGGAAACTTGTTGTGTGCGAGATCAAATAGATTGCTGCCAGCGACAGCAGTAAAAACAAGTGCCGAGGATCCGCCATACACCGCTTCTCCGTAGAAACATGGTATAATGGTACCCTGAAGCGGCCTTAAAATACCATAGGCTTGTTTCTCTGTATCATATTCCTCTTCCCAGCCAGGTTTGGGCTTTTTGAGAATAACTGTGGGTGGTAGAAACCATTCAGGCCAACGCGCTTTTATCCAAGGGCAAAGAATGCCGATAGGTTGAATAAGCGTCAAGAGGAGTGGTCGGGTGAGCTCCAAGTGACACAGTAGGCCAATGTATGTCTAGCAACTCAGCATTTTTTGCAATGACAAGCCGGCGACCTAGACGGAATTCATAAGGGAGTCAGTAGCAGAAAGGGGGAAGGAACTGCTAGCTAGCTAGCTAGCTTACTAGGGGAAGCCGGGCATTTAAGGTAGCGAGATCCATGGCCTGAGACAAGTCTTGAGAGCAGGGGAATTGGGAAGAGAGAGACTGTCCGATGTACTCTGTAGTTGGGAGGGCGACATCCATGATAGCTGCCGACATTACTGCAAACAGACCTCAGTGTCACTTACCACCCTTCCAAGGCTGCATGTGTTGCGAAGGATAGGCCTGGGAAAGGTAACACAATGTACAATTTGAAGTATTGTTGCCTGAATAGGTGTGATGACCCCATAGAAATACTTCATTACTTTTTCTATCAGTTAACTCTCCTTCCATACTGATAGTATATATTATTGCCTCTTCATCTATTCGTAGTACTAGTCATCACAAATACTTCGTTTCTTTTTCTATCAGTTAGCTCTCACTTCAGAGGATTTGCACCTTGAGGACCATTCGATCCCCGTCAGTTTTTTGCTGCATCATTTTTGTCATGGGTAAATGGACTGGCCTGGGTAATTTGAAAGTGGCTAATCTGGCGCGCCATTGCCAAAGCTACCGTGAGCAACTCATGGTGGCACGTGACTGACCACCACCCTCGTGAAAGCGGTGGCATCCAGAAAGGGAAAGGCTTCTGTGATGATAGAATAAAAATTGTCATCACTAGAGGCAGCAGAGAAGAAGGAATAGGTATTTTAGAACGGCTTCCTATGTTGGATCACGTGGGATTCTGCCGCATAGGTCCGCCCTCGCTGACCCTTTTCACCACTTCGGCCTATCTAGCTAGTAACCAACCAACGATACACCTCCATTATCCTAGGCTGTTAGATCATGTGGGGTTCTGCCGCTTGGGTCCGCCCTCGCTGCCTCTTACCACTCGGCCTATCTAGTTACCAACCAATATGTATGCCTCCATTAAAGGCAGCTCCCGGGTCATGTGGGCGGTCTGTACTGGCACGTGATACCATACCTAGAAAGTCGGAGATTAGTTCTAAAGAACTACGTTTCCTGTGTACAGCTCGCATGAGCTGTTCTGAAGTCTCACGCGAGCCACACATCATACACGTGACTGCCAAGACCATTAGTGCTATGTCGACTCGCATGACCCAAATAACGACCTTAAAGATCATCTGCAACCAAACGTTTCCTCCCTATCAGTGCACTTAGCAGTGTACGTGTATTGATTACCTCTTCATGCTGAGTGCCCTCACTGAAGCGGTGGCATGTGAAAGGGGAAAGTCGCGTGGCTCTAGGAAATTAACTATGTTGAGTCACAAAGTGCAAGTGTACAGAGTATTATGGGTTGGATATATGGGCTGTGATGTCTCATACAATGAACCGTCTATCGTATGTATATACAGCAAAACATTAAGAAGAACCCTGGAAGGCATAGATCACCATTAAACACCAAAAAAAAGAAAGAAAAGGTCTATCACTGGGCCTTTCGATACGTCAACTCAGCATACCCTGTAATCCCATATCCACTCAACTCCCCGTCCACCATCCTCGGAGACAAATCCGCCCTCCTCAACTCGAATTCCCCAAAATAGCTCGGCTCATCCGATATCTTCCTGAAATGGGCACTTTCAAACAAAGCCAAACTCTTAGCATTCGTCTGCCCGATCTTGGCGCTCAAACACGAGAATTTCAACGAGGACTTCCCGGTCTCGGAATCGGTAGTAGACGCGGATCCCGATGCGGACAGTGTCCCCTTGGCAATGGGGTCCCCATTGATGAATTCAGAGACAATGGCTTCTTCATGATCGGCTACGTATTTCAAAAAGGAGAGTAATGCCGCCCTCCCGAATCCTTTCCTGTGGTTTTGTTTCTCGGCAATCATTAGTTCGATTTCCCCGATGATTTGAGAAGATGTTGGAGCTGCATTTTCATTTTCATCAATTTCCTCCTCTTCCACCCGAAGAAAAAGATTAATATCACCCAGCATCCTATACGATGCGTCATCGTCTTCATTTAAGCTGTCATCGCCTGCACCTTCACCATCATCTCGGGATAACGGAAGACACGCGATAAATGTCAACTTGTCCGCATCCTGCCGCCAGCTTTGTTGCATGGCATACTCTTCTGGGAGAGTCAGGGGCTCTGAGGCTGTTGCTTGTTGGATTTCCTAGACAGCAAAGTTAGCACGGTATTATCTATGTAGAGTTCTCATGCTAGTATTCGGTTCGACGGAAGATATACTCCGTACTACGTAGACCTGCCTCGTCTTTCATCCATTCGTGGTACCTTGGTACGTGCCGCTTAGAGTATGGGACCAAGAGGATTTTGGAGGTGGAAATTGCTGTACTCGTGTTAGATGAATACTCCGTAGCAATAGTTTTGTCGAGGGTTGAGTCCTACCAGTGTTCGCATTTATCAGCATCACGGCAGTCTGTTTCTATTCCTTCGAGAATACTGCTGGATCTGCCGCTGCTTTCTGGTACTGGTTATGATTAATCTTTGGCTTCTTTTTCAATTGTAATTGAGCCGTAGATGTGTACCTCCAAATGAATGTCGAAGGAAAAAAACATTTCAAGTCTTGGCAGCGCCAGAAGTCTCCCGTTTCGGGCATCTATACTCCGTATTGTATTTGCCTGGCATTCAGGAAATCTGACAGTTGAAGATGAAATAGACCTCTTCTATCATAAATTAAAAATACAAATATAATATAATAAAACAATTCGTATCAATCATATCTCAGACTAGTATCAGAATAGAATCGATCAACTACTTCCTATCCTCCTTACCCGCAAACGCCCCGAACTTGACCACTTCTACTTCCAACGTTTCCGAATCAACTAGAATGAGTTCCCCTGTCTCGTTGAATTTCGGGATAGCCAGGAGACGCACACGAGGGCTAGCCGTGGCCTCATCCGCACCCGCCATATCGGTATCTGCTCCATTTAACCGTAGGGGAAAATCGCCTTCTACCACGACGGTTTTGAATTGCGGTTGGTTACCCGCGAAGAAGATGTGCGGGCAGGATTGGAGAACGAATGGATCGTGTGTTTGGAAGGGATAACACCCTAGCGAGATGAAACCCAGAATATCAGTATCCAATAACAAAGAAGAAAGAAGTCAAAAACGTACAGAGTGTATCTGGTGCCGTGGGTACTGCACATCTCCATCGTAGCATGGCCTCCATTACTCGTAAGCCTGCGTCTGAGCTATCTTCATTCTGGAAGAAGGATGGGTCATTATCTGGAAAGTCCAAATAGCGGAGGACATCTTCGACATTCTGGCCGCTACTACCCCAGACACGCCAGCCTTCCACATCCCCTTCCCATGGATTTGTCACGCTATCGAACCACCCCGGTTCGGGTATTTCATCACCGGATGGAGGCTCGGAACAGTACGCCCTGGCTCTGGGAAACATCGCCCGATGGATTCCCTGCTGGGGAAGCGAGTAGTTCGCTGGGTCGGTTTCGCCCGGCATGAGCGTGACGGGTATGCTAGGGAGGATATCTGCGAGGAACGAGTCGAGCTGTGTGATGGGCGAGGCGTTGTACGACGAGGCATCGTATCCGTACTTCTTTGCATTCTTCTTCCTTGCAAAGACCGCTGCTTGCGTGGCAGACGCTGCCGCCTCTTCAATAACATCCGCGCCAAGGGAATTCCCAGCAATGATGAGACGTGTGATCTTCGAAGCATTGGGTGGTAATGCCTCGTCATCCGTTGCGGAGGGGCCGGTATAACCAAGGAGATAGTCTGTCAAAAGTTCCAGAGCTAGAGTATCACCGGAGCTTCCCGTGATACCAAGACCGCTAACAAAAGCGATTTTACCTTTGCTCCTGTCTTTGTCAATATCCTTGTCCCCATCTCGCTCCCACCTGGCAGGCTGCCTAGGCAAATCCGGGACCTTGATATCGATGACTTCAAAATCTCCACTCGCATTTTCCGTCCCTAGCACAGCAATAATGGCGCCCGTAACGAGCTGAGTGGTTGAGAGAAGAGGCCCTGTAAGACGAAGACGACCGGACTCATCCTCCAACATAACCTGCGTTAAAGACCCATTCGAAGGATCAAGATAGGTGGAACGTCGCGGCGGCACGGCAGTAAAATGCTACAATTCTCTCAACAGTCAGACCAAAAACCAGGCTGTGTAAATCGAAGCATCCAGACAGTTTGGATTTCACCTCTTTCGTTAGGTCATCCAAGATATTCGGTTTCAACGGCATGTCCATGTACACAGTTCCTGCAACCCAGCAAAGCTCTCCTTGTCTCACATCGAGTACTCGTTCCACACGGCGCGCATGTTCTCCTGCAATCTAATTGCACAGTGCAATGAACCAATCAGCACAAACACATCCTCAACCCCCGGTTGCACCTTCGTTCCACAGTGTGGTAGTAATTAAGTCTCAAGGTTTCAACAAAACATACACTGAACCCATCCCAACTCTCTGTCGCCACTTGTTCGACGGCAGGCTTTAGCCTTGCCAGTCGAATGAAATACATATCTCCATACTGCTGTTGATAGTGCCTCTCATTTCCAGGCGGCAGGCGAAACGTGCGAAGAGGATTATAATGCGAGCGTTCGCGATAAACAGGCGCGTATTCCGTATCACTATCGACAAGAATCCCAAGCTCAAGTTTGTGTTAGCTGTAGGTATATCTTTGCAATTAGGTCATGGCACATGTGTGAATTCCCGAGGGTAACAGACCTTGGAGGGCGTAGGAACTCTGATTCTGCAGTCATTTTCTTTTTAGCGACGGTGCGACAAAGCTTCAGACATAAAGGTCAAGTTGATCAGTAAGGAGAAATATTAAGCCAATGGATAGTGGAAGAGAGAAGCTCGATAGACAGGGTCGATGAAGTAATTAATTTTCGGGGAACGCGAACGCGTCTTTTTGGCGTTGAGATGCGCGGCTTGGCATTGGGGAAAAAAGAATCGACGCTGGCGGGATTCGAACTCCGGCTATTACAGTATACAGCAATATAACGTATCCGGTAAGCGAGCGGCCACTGTAAGGCGAGCGGCCACCTCTCCGCGTTTTGACTGTGGTCAAAAACCTCACTCATTTCAACCACCAACCATGCCTCCAAAAGCACATCAAATTTCAAAAGATTTAATGGAGCAGGAGGGAAGGGTCCTACTTGCTATATCTGCTTTAAAAAAGCAAGAAATCTGCAGTATTGCAGAAGCAGCACGTGTTTATAATATTCCGCATACAACACTTTGAAGATGACTAAATAGCCACATCTTTCGAGCAGAAAAACGCGCCAACAACCATAAGATGACTCAAAATGAAGAGGAATCACTTATACAATGGATTCTCTCACTGGATCGACATGGAGCGCCTCCCTGACCTTTGCATGTACAAGAAATGGCCAATATTCTACTTGCTCAGCGTGGTACTACACCAATTCAATCTGTTGGAGAGAAATGGGTATACAACTTTATTAATCAACAAGATAGTTGATGTAAAGGGGGGCGTACGTGCGTTGTTCCCTGCGACAGGAACCGGGTTGTGATCGAGGGATCTCAGGAATGGATATACCAAGGTGATGCCGCTATACCACACGGCACCGAACGATCTTAGCAAGAAACGATATAACGATAAAAGGAAACACAACGACGAAGGAGCCTCGCTCCGCTCTATACGACAATAACGATACTAGTGAAGCAACTTAGAAACCAAAAGAATGCTCGATTTCTCGTAACTATCTGGGAGGGAACCCTCCATTAAGTACTCCGGCCGTGGGCTCCACCATACATTAGTATGTCGGAGTCCGCGGTTCTACGGTGTTCCGAGATAGGAAATATGGGAGATCCGGGGTTTCGCAGTGCCCCCGGCACATTGAAAACACGCTTCTCAAGATGATATGATTATCAACGTGCTAAATGTGAAGATCCTAAAGTTATTAGGGAGTGGTTTGATCATGTACAAATCACTATAATGCAGTATGGGATCACACAGGAGGACATCTACAATTTTGATGAGACTGGCTTTGCTATGGGTCTAGTAGCTACTGCACGAGTAGTTACTAAAGCTGATTATTATGGGAAGGCCTCTCTTGTACAGCTAGGCAATCATGAATGGGTTACTTTAATTGAATGTATCAACTCTACTGGTTGGGCACTTCCCCCATGCATTATCTTTAAGGGGAAGGTCCATATAGAGGGTTGGTATCAAGATTTCAAGCTCCCACACAATAGCAGGATTGAAGTTAGTCCTAATGGATGGACTACTGATGAGATAGGCCTTCACTGACTTAAAAATCTCTTTATTCCTGCTATTTCTAGTCATACAACTGGGAAATACTGTCTTCTGGTTCTCAATGGCCATGGCAGCCATCTTACACCTCAATTCGATCAAATATGCAGTGAAAATAATATTATTCCTATCTGTATGCCTGCGCATTCTTCCCACAAGCTTCAACCTCTGGATATAGGCTGCTTTTCACCTTTAAAAAAGGCATATGGGAGCTTAGTGGAGCAGAAAGCACGCTTAGGAATCAATCATATTGATAAACTTGATTTCCTAGAGGCCTTTCCACAAGCTCATGACAGTGCTTTTCAAGCAGAAACTATTCAAAATAGCTTTGCAGGTGCTGGCCTAGTTCCATTCAATCCAGATAGGGTGCTCAGTCAGTTGGATATCCAGCTAAAGACCCCTACACCACCAGGCAGTTGATCAACAGATTCAGCACCCAAAACACCCTATACTACTAGGCAGCTAGAAAAGCAGGCATCTGCAACAAGAAAACTGCTTAAGGAATGTGTTCAAAGCCCTTCATCTTTGCTAGAAACACGCTTGGACAAGCTTATTAAGGGTCATGAATTGGCTCTAAATGAGCTGATGATTACACAGGAAGAAGTACGCAAATTTTGTGCTAATAATGAATGGAAAGGCCAAAAGCGGAAGCAATCTAATAGGCAGCTAGCTATTGCAGAAGGGCCAGCTATTCAAGAGGGCCTAAAGCAATTTCAGCACAAGAATGAGGTCTATGAAGCTCAAGATGCACTTCATATAGATCCAGCACTTTCTACAGTTGGGCCACGCGTATAAGCCCCCCCACAGTGTTCTAATTGTCATGTTCAGGGACATACTAGAGTTAGATGTCCTAAACCACCTAGTAATTAGTTTTTATATAGAAATGCAATTGTTTTGTTGATATAGACCCTAGAATCTCACCTAGAGGTGGGATTGGAGCGGAGGTGGCCGCTCGTTTACAGTGGCCGCTCGCTTACCGGATACGTTATGCCTCGGCCGTAACAGCCCTCCACTTCCCCGCATTTTGCTGGCATGATGCATAATTATCATGTGTGAATCTGCGGAGTAGCTTCACCATACCTAGGTAGCTTGTATATATATACATATATATATCAGGGCACGAGCAATATATTGCCTGGATATTACCCTGCTCACTAAAACAAGAGCCTATCATCCCTGGTTTACTCTTCCGCTAGAAGCAATTACAGGATTAACCATCATTCAACAGCTCTCTACTACATAGCCCATAAGCAACAACAACCAAAAATGTCCCTCCAAACTCCACTATGCCCTCTCCTCAAAATACAACATCCCATCCTCCTAGCCGGCATGGCCCGCGCATCCGGCGCCCGTCTCGCTGCCGCCGTCTCCAACGCAGGTGGTCTCGGTACCGTAGGCGGACTAGGCTACTCACCAGACCAACTATCCGAGATCCTGACAGAACTCAAATCCCTCCTTCGCAATCCCAACCTGCCATTCGGTGTCGATCTCGCCCTACCACAAGTTGGCGGTGGGGCGCGCGCGACGAACCACGACTACACGCATGGGAAGCTGGATGAACTGATTGACGTGACCATCAAGCATGGGGCGAAACTGTTCGTCTCCGCGGTGGGTGTACCGCCGGAGCGGGTCATAAAGCGTCTCCATGAGGCTGGAATTCTAGTTATGAATATGGTCGGGGCACCAAAACATGCCGAGAAGGCTTTCCAGAGAGGTGTCGATATCGTCTGTGCACAGGGTGGTGAAGGTGGTGGCCATACAGGTGATATCCCATTCAGTGTGCTTATTCCGGCCGTGGTAGATGTTGCCAAGAAGTATACCAGTCCCTTAACCGGACAGCCAGCCATGGTAATTGCGGCGGGAGGGGTCAATGATGGTAGGAGCTTGGCTGCGTCGCTGATGCTAGGCGCCGTTGGTGTCTGGGTTGGGACGAGATTCGTGGCATCTGAGGAGAGCGGAGCAAGTCGGATGCATAAGGAGAGCGTGGTGAAGGCTGGGTTTGGTGATACTAAACGGACCCTGGTGATTTCTGGACGGCCACTACGGGTCTTGCCCAACGAGTACATCAAAGAATGGGAGAAGAGACCGGATGAGATTGCAAGGTTGACGGCCCAGGGTATCGTTCCCATGGAGCATGATATGAACGAGGAGAAGGATATAGACTTTCCGTTTCTCATGGGAGATGTTTCTGCTATCATCAAGGAAATCAAGCCAGCCGCTGTTATCGTGGAGGAAATGGTGCAACAAGCTGTGGATATGCTGAAGCTAGGAGGATCCTATATTGGAAGACCAGCGAGCAAACTATAACGAATGGTTATGGATTCAAAGGGATTGTCAGCGGCCACAGAAACTTGAGGCTGCAACGGGTTTATTGATTCTGGCATAGCTGCTGTAAATGATAATACGCCATGTTCTAGTACACAAACAAACACACGAGGCAAAGAAGAAAAGGACAGTGACTTGCAAACCCTTCAGCAAAAAATTGCATGCGCCGACGTGGAGAATGGACGTGCCGTTGATAGTTCGATGGAATCGCCTCATAACAGCCGGGAGAGACCCTTACATCCCACCAACGGTTTACCGTCCATCTTCCCCTGCGTATGTCCGGTGTTTCGCATGCAGACCAATATCCTGATTTGACAAGAGGTGCCAGAATAGATACAGAAAAGCAAAGAAAGAAACTCGTGTGCTGGCTAAAAGACCAATCGTATGGTCTCCACAAAATGTAACCTTGTAAGAGACGCTAATGGCACCCATTTACCACTGCCTTAGTTCCATTTGCGCGAGCTTCGGCAAGATTAGGCGGAGGTGGAGGCCCAAACACAGGCTTCTCGGGTGGTTGTTGGACGATCCTATCGCCATTGATAGGCCGATCTGCGTTGTCGAAGTCATAGTCTTCGTCACTGAGTCCCTCATCATCTTCCTCGTCTTCGTAATCCTCATCGTATTCGCTTTCAGTGCCTTCATCATCACCATCTAATTCAGCATTAAGACTCTGACCGCGACCTTGGGCTTGCATTCGTCGGCATAGTGCTTCCAGATGGTGGCTCTTCTTCCGCCATTTTTCAAGCTCTTCATGATTTCGCGTGCGCTCTTCGGCCATCTCGAGAATGTTGCGGTTCGTCTGGTCATGTTTGCGAGTGAGAGTCAGATTTTCTTTCTCCAGGCGCTTCGTTTTCTTGGACATCTCCTCCATCTCCTTCCGAAAAGTCAAGAAAAGCTCGTTGCTATTGTTGAGGGTATCCTCGACCTACATGCAAGTCATTACCAACTGCTCAGGCTAAGATCGGGGGCGTATAGTTGTTGCAAATTTATCCGTACCTGCTTGAACTTCTCCACATAAATATTAAGCTGGCTGCGTAATTCCGCTTCGGTATGCGAGAAAGTAGAGACTTGGGAGCTCAGCGCGCGGCAACGAGCAGCTTCGTTCTCAGTCGCACGGCGCTGTTCCTCGTATTTGGCAGTGAGCGATTGAATTTCAGCGTCTTTGCTGCGCAGGATGGACTTGTACTGCAACTCTCGCAGTTCAAACTTTTCGCCAATTGTTTTTATCTTGGTGCGTAGACTATTCCAACAAGTCAGCGGGAAAAGAAAGGCATGTATATCCCTGTCCCAGCTGGTACTCACGCCTCATCCAAGTCAATGTCCAGCTTTTCGTTGCGGGGATTCCCCTTATTAGCAGCCATGACATCTTGAATATCGTACAAGAGTGAATCGAGTCGTTCGTTGACGATCATCCGTGCCTTCTTCTCATTGTCATCGAGCTTCTTGTTTTCATCCTACAGCCACGAGCGTAATCCGAGTTAGTCCCGAACATGCGTATGGGAAAAACAGAGAGCGCAGAGGGGACGCACTTTGACTTTCTTATTCTCCTTGGTGAGTTCTCTGCACAACTTCTCCAGCTTATCCTTCATCGTCACAGTTTTATTCAACTCCGACTTTCCCTTGTCCTGATCCTTTTGCAGCTGATCGGCACGCTTCCTGCTTTTGGCATAGTCGCGGTCGAGTTTCTTCATATCGGCCAGAAGCTCCGTATATTTCTTATGAACGGTTTCAAGACGGGTCATGGGTGATTCGATGTTACTGAGAAGTTGGTTCAAATCCCTCGTAGCCTTCTTGACCTCGCGCTCTGTAGAACGAGTAGATATTAGCTGTGCTCCGTCCGTCATACTCGGACCATTCAAGATGACAATGCCAGGGCATCACGAAGACAACGAGAAGGACATCGACAGCTACAGAGCGTATTACGCACCAATCTCCATTTCCTGGTCCTTTTCTCCAGCAGCATCCTGTTCCAACTGCGAAATTTTGGCGGCTAGGAGCTTGGACGTTTCATTGGGGTCGGCGACCTTCTTCCCCTTGTTCTTCTTCGACATGGTTGCAGATGACATGGTGTACTACTCGTAGAAACTAATATTGGCGTCCCTAGAAGACCTGGTGGGCGACGCTTTGCGTGGAGGTTCCAGGAAGAGCGGGAAGGAGAATAAGAAAATATGGTGCGGAATGCGGTCGGGTTCGACGAGGGAGTGTTCGAGTCAGACTACTGAGAGAAGACCGTAAAAGTGGTTTTTTTGAAATCAAATCTTCCTGCTAAACAGAGATTCTCCCAGCTTGTATCAAATACTGCGTCTTGCGGTGCCCTAGAGTCTCGCGGACGATAATTGAGGACAGCCCAGTCACGGTTTTTCCCCGAGTTCCGAGGCGTGGAGGCGATGGGTATCCCAGATTCTAGGAATATAGAATCCAGGATATTCAGGAGGAAGAAGGCTCTGCGAAAGAGCGAGGTGATACTGCGAAAAGAGCGAATGAGGCCGTGAATTGGCAGGGTCCAGAGCGGATAAAAGGCGAGTCGTTTCTCGAGGATCTTGTCTGGGAGATTCATTCGCCTTGGGAGGGGAACCGCGCCTTACCGTTTTGGGATTAGCTCATCCCAGGGCACATGACTTTTTCTTTTCTTTTGCCTTTGCAGCTTCAATGAATGCTTTCCATTTTCAGGAATGTCCTGGCTGTCTTGCTGACTGTCTACAGGTCTGGGGCTTCCTGGATATTCTACAACTCATTGTGTGTGCTGCATATGTACCGCATGTGCCTCCTGTTCCTCACTAGGCAGCCAATCCACTTTGCTTCCAAGGTACTACATACCAACAATCTCCCAATCCTGCATGACTCCCAACACTCTCTTATATGTTAGTCGTTTGTACATCATTTGACACTCCTCTGGTATGTGTGCGCTCTGGATGGTTTCTACCTTATGTATAAGGAAGGCCAAGAGTGAGGACATACTGAATTGCTGTACTCCAGACCCCGTACGCTGTAGGTAGATCAAAAGCTCTAGCCAATACCTGGTACTAGCACTTGGTACTCTATGGCTTCCCCACAAAATACATGCAGGAACCCACTCTCTGAAGGTCTTAAGGGATAATTGTCTATTTTCTACTCTATACATTGTAATAGAACAAGAGAATAAGTCTAGAAACCGAGCAAGCGTCACCTCACGTGCCCGGCAGCCGGTGATAAGCCGAGATCGGGAGCAGATAATAATTAGAACCAAGATCTTTTCCAAAGCATACTCAGCTGGCTTGAGTTTTGCTGCATTTCTCGTTCTTGTCCCTTCTTTCAGGTTGAGTCATGTAGGATACGGTCTTGCTTGGGTTTGAACCTGTCATCATGAAGAGGTCGAGCACGATCGTGCTGGGTCCCAAGCCCACTAAGGCTTGTGGTGAGTGAAAAAGACGCAGCTGCATTTCCTGTTGCTTGATAAGAGACCGGTCACTAATGCAAGGCCGTTAACACAGTGAACTGTCGTAGAGTAAAGGTCAGGTCTGAACGTGTCTGTTTGAGAGCTTGCATGTGCTGACAGGCCCCGAGATGCGATGTGAGGTAGATGGAGCTCCTCCATGTCGTCGTTGTCGGCAAACAGACTCTGCCTGTGTGTTCAAACCAAGAGCAAATGTATGTTCATTCTTCATCTTCTCGATGGATCTGACAAAGTTTTCTGATGGATTACGGCTCAGGCGGCTGCCGTACACGAAGTACCCGAACCAGCTCAGAGCGGTACTTTCTATGCTTCCCACGTCCAGGATCCCCGATCAATCCTCAGTCGCCTGGATAGAATCGAAGCAGTCCTTGGAATTGGGAAAAACAAGCCGGCAACAACATCACTCAACTTTGACTCGGATTCAGAGCAAGAATCAGAAGGTGTCTCCTTCCACGGCCTCTGGAAGGCTGTTCGACGTTTGAGAACCATCACTCAACCCCCTCAACCAGATGATATCTGGTCTCATTCCATCGTTAAGACTCTCTGGCGCTCGTAAGTCTTTTATATGTATATGAAAGTTGCGTGCAGAGCCAATTCGTTGACGGGAATGCAGGTTTTTCGAAAACCTGCCTCTTCTTCACTTCCTTTCAGACCAACGGGCTTTTGCATCACCGACACCATTACTTCTCGCCTCCATCCTCTACATCTCTGCTCTTCATCATCCATCAGCTGAATTTGCTTCACTAGCAACGGGCTACTTTGCAGCTACCTGCAGTGCGATTTCCGAGTTATCTACTCCCTTATTGATACCTAATCCCTCTGATAGCAAGGCCAAGAAAGCAGAACACGGTCTATCAGCCTCTCCTAATGAACAGAAACATTTTCATAACATCCTTGGCCTCATTATGGCCAGTCTGAGTTCTGAGGGATATATTGAGACTACGGGTACTTGGATCGCAATTGCCTACCGGCTTCTCCTCGACCACTGTCGAGCAGATACCGATGATGCGACTCGTGATTGGCGCGGTCTCTTTTCAGGTCTACAAGTACTGGTTCCAAGCAGGCTGTCGTCATCAACTATGCAGCTGACGGTTTAAGCCTAGGTTATCGACGTTGAGCATGCTTCCATGCACCTGTGTTACCCTCTCCTTCCAAGTCAACCCCCTTCTCCGGCACTGCAACATATGAACAGTTACCAAGGAAATGCATTCCGTGGCCTGGCTCAAATGATGCATCAGGGTCTCAGTCATTTTGTTGGTCGGGGACTCCCTACTATATGGTCCTTTCTAAGTACGATAGAGTCTGATTTTGCCCCCACCGGTCACACACCTTTCACAGAACATGACTCGCAGGTAATGCGACTCTGGGCAAAGGGGCTGGACAACTGGCTAATTCGCTACAATGGGGCATCCCGTAAGGCATCATCCATTGACAACAATCGGCACGTGATGATTCTGCTCTTCTGACATCTGCATTCTAGAGCCGTCCCCGTCTGACAGACAAGGAATACTTATTCTCTTGCAATATCATCTTCATAAGCTCTATGTTCTGTCGATCTATCATCCGGCTCGAGGATTCGACCTTGGGACTGCGAACATCAGCTCAGTCGAAAGACAAGAACTTCTCGTTTCAGCACGTGCCGTCTTGCGACTTAGGCAGGATGAAGCCAGTATATGGTCCAACTGGGATCTCGTGGTGAGTGTGGATGGTTCGCTTGACTTACGCTGAAAAGACACTAAACTATACCCTAATACGAACAGATGATAACATGGGCCGCAATTCTACTACTGCGAGGTGTAGAAGACGGCTTAACACGTCAAGACGGTCAGTGCCAGCTGTTTATCACAAAAGCAAGAGGCCTTTGTATAATACCAATCAAATCTAACCCTCTCGTGAACACAGATCTCCTCCTTATTCAAGCCCACCTAAACAGCCTAGGAAGAAATCCCCAACCCGCGCAAAGTATTCACAGCATCCTCTCCACCCGTCTAGAATCCGCTATACAGAGCATCCACACCCCTCCCGCTACGGGACCAGATTTCGCTTTTCCCTCTCCCAGAGCAGACTATTCATGGACCATCTTCGACCAAGAAATCATGTCCCTCGCCAACCCACCGTGGCTGTTCGAGGACATTCTTCCCCAAACCGCAGAGCAGGTCGGTGAGTTATCACGACCATCACGTTCCCAGAGCGGGTTCCCAGGACATTACGATGCTGCCTCTGGTTCTGGCTCAGGTTCGGGTTCAGGTCTGCTCATGGAGGCGGATTCTCACGATTTCGACACCAGTAGGCACTGGCCGGCGCCGGACGTGTGGCCTTCGACTTTGAATAGATTATTTGGTCGGGATACGCCGATGGAGGGGAATAATAGTGGACCGACTTGATTCGATTGTCAATTTTTTGGATGTTGGGTATATGTTTATGTTGATTAGGTATATATTGGCGCTCGTATTTACAGTAAGGTACGAAATAAGTATTTGTGTCGTCCAGGCTGTTGGATGGGGTGGAGGGGTATTGCAGTCAATGAATTTGGTAGGATCGGACTTGAGCATTCTCAAAGTAAAGGTATGGACCTAGCTCTTCCCCCTGTGACTCCAATTATCAGAGATGCCGGACATCATCAGCCAAGTCCAACAACAGGTGAGGCACAGGAATGGGCGGTGCGTGGATGTAAGTGCCCGAGGGAGTGGTGGAAGCGCGCAGGCAAATTGATGGCCAAAAACAGCGTCGACTGCGGCGGTTTTGGGCAGGGCAGCCCATTGGCATCATCTTGTTTAAAGAGGCTTTTTTTTGATACTATTGTTAAATGGAAACATTGAAACGCCCTTTGAATATTGTTATTACTGTGTACGAGGTAGGAGGATAATTTATATGTTCATGCTTCATACCAGCAGGTAGTCAATTGCATTACTCTCGTCATAATATCCAATGTAAGACACTCTTAACTATGGAAAAGCCATGTCTCATTCATTATCATTAACCCAACCAACGCCTCCGCTTAAAAGCTAATGATAATATACAGCACATACTCCAGATGTTCGTTTCCACTCATTTCACAGAATGGATAAATAGACAGATGAGTGCTCCATAGGTAACCGCATCTATCTGTATCATTAGTAGTATATGATATTAGCATCGCAGCAAGTGACGTGGCCATCACAGTGTATGTAAATCCCTTTCACATAAAAGGAGTATTCCCCAGGAGCACGTGGAAATAAGAGAAGAGAAAAAGAAAGAAAAGAAAAAGTTAAGCATGAAGAACGAAATATAATGCAATAGCATCTTGCCTCGGGTTCCCCGCTTGTCCGTCCTTTACACTACAGCAGATATTTGAGGATTTATCGCAGAGCAGAGTAGGTTCAACCGGCAAACGTACGCACTGCTTCAGCAATTCACGGCCCCCTTCATGCTGCACTATTGTTTTTTCGTTGTTTCGGAAGGACGGTAGAAGAAGATCGATCGGTCAGATCAACGACAGATGGATCGATATTACCAAGGGACTCCAGATACTCCTCCTCGCCAGGTATCTCTGTTAGCGACAAAGGAGGGAATGGCTCAGTATCTGGTTGTCTTTCGTGCGATTTTCGCTTGGAGAGTCGAACAGAAGAGCGCGCAGGACCATCGAATGATTCCCTTCGTTGTGTAGAGTCAAGGGAAGACACGGCAGGTGACCTATGGCCAGGAACATTTATGATTGAAGGAGCCGGAGAGCTGGCAAGGGGGAAAGACGAATTGGGCTATAATACCATTGCTCACTGTTAGCTTCTTGGGAAGTCCATAAATCGAATACACCAGGGGGTATCCATACGTACCATGCTACTCCCTTGTTGCAGTCCTCGGCTCATCGCGAGTCTCTGCGCGGCAAGCCTCTTCTTCATAATCTCAGATTCCTCTTCGAGTTCTGCTTCATCCTCTTCTTTCTTCAGGTCGACATCGACACTCCGCGCGCCGGCAGCGTCGAGGCTTCTGACAGATTTTGCTGCTGTGCTTCGTCTCTTTTTATTCTTCTTCCGTTTTGATTCCTTTGATGAAGTCGTCCCTAGACTAAGAGTCCCGGATGCGGTCCTCTTGACAGACCCCTTCCCGCTTAGTATCGCATCATCCGAGTCAAACCCTGTCCCACGTCGTGCTAAAGCCATAGCGAGCTCATCATCCAATGGAACAGCATCTTCTTCTTCGTCGCTAGGAATCAGGTCCCCTCGTGAGCTCAACGAAGTGTTTGTGTCGCGCGATGACTGTGTCCCACTCCTATCCCTACCGCTCCAGCCTCGAGGAGTAGCTGCCTCATGGCCATCTTCTTCTTCACTCCGCTCCATCAATGGTTCATCTTCATGGGCGTAACGGTGTGATCCTTTTGGATGCTCCTGTAGATCAGCAGCCGACGGGTGGTACTTCAATTTCCTCGATCCAAACCTCCAGGGGAAGCGTTCCAAAAACCCTAGAAACGACGAGCTTGGTATGACAGTGGGATCGTCACGATCATCCGGCACGAGTACACTGCTCTTCCTTCGCGGATTGCGCGTCCCGTAGCTCATTTTCCGCTGCCTGCGCGGCTGTTCTGAACTTCCGCGTGCTATGCTGTTCCCGGCCAACAGTCGGTCCAGCTCGTCATTGCCCCATCCCAGCAGACCATCGCCAGCAAGATCATTGTCCCAGTCATCGTAGAAATCGAAAATGTCCTCTGCGCGGCCTCGTCTCCGGCGTCGTAGTTGATTCCCCTTGTTGGGGAAACAGGGCGCAGTGCAAGAGCCAACGCAATTCCCTATCGCTGCAAAACAAGGTGTTATATAATTGTGCGAAAATGCATAGATGCCTTCCTGGGCGGTCTCATTCGCAGATTCAAGATTCTGGGTGATCTGATTGATCCTTTGACGGATTCGAGGGTCGCTTGGTCGCATTGTCGTTGAGGTTGTGTCTCGAGGCCCTATTCAGTGAGGAACACGCAAATTGGAAGGTATGAGTAACGGCAATCGACTACCCAACTCATCGCTTGTCCAAGACAGTCACAACAACAATGGGAACCGACGACAAGGCTCAACATGTCTATACCTGCCTGGGCGATCTCCAGAGAATGCGGGCGGTCGTCATCGCATGTTGGTCCCAACGGTCTTGCAGAGGTTTTAATGGAGGTGTATTGTTGGTTGGTTACTAGCTAGATAGGCCTACGTGGTGAAAAGGGTCAGCGAGGGCGGACCTATGCGGCAGAATCCCACGTGATCCAACACCCCCCCACGCACGAGCTGGCCTAAAGACTAATCTAAAGAATTTAAATACAAAAATCGGCCTCTATTCAGGCCTCCAAATGAGAGAGTAAAAGCAAAATTAAGCAGAGAAGTGAGAGGTTCCGCTTTGGCCAATCAGAAGCCGTAAATCAGAATAGAAAGTATAACCAAAATGGGGGAACAAGCGCCGCTTAATGTATGCCGGTGAGTTCCAGGAAATGATTGAATCGTTCAGTTTGGAGAGGTTTTGTCAGGCCATCTGCTGCCTGTTCTTTGGTAGGGCAGGTCTGAAGTTTAACAATGCCGTCTCGGACCTTCTCCCGAACGTAATGGTAGCGTATGTCAATGTGTTTGGATCTCTTGGTGGTGAGCTCGGCTTCAGCCATGGCGTGGGCACCTTGATTATCGATATGAAGAGATATTGGTGGGCATTCAGTTGGGAGCACATTAAGCTCGTTGATGAGATTCCGGAGCCAGAGGGCATCACGGCTGGCTTCGCTTAGAGCCATATACTCAGCTTCGTTGGAGCTAAGGGCAACGGATGTTTGCTTGCGGCTTTTCCAGGCAATTGGGGCTCCGGCAAGCAGAAAGATGTATCCAGAAACTGACCGGCGGTTGCCTGTCAGTTGGCCACCCCAATCAGAGTCGGTATAACATTTTGGCATGAGGAGGTCAGATGTAATGGACTCCGTGGGTTTATGATAGGTAATTTGCCGATTGATGGAGCCTTTAAGATAGCGTATGGCGTGTATAAGGGCACGCCATGCTTTTTGGGTGGGTTTGGCGTTATATTGGGATAGTATGCCAACCGTCTGGCTAAGATCTGGCCGGGTTTTGGTGGCTAGCCAGGTAAGGCAGCCTACACCACGTTGATATTCTTTGGTGTTGACTGTAGGGTCTGGTTCATCATCAATTATTAGGCTAGGATCCATTGGAATCCTAACAGGATGTGCTTGGGCTTGACCAAAAGAGGCAACAACATCTTCAGTGTAGTCGGCTTGAGATAAAGAAGATGAAGTCTCAGACTGGGAGATGGTCATGCCAAGGTATTTGGTAGAGTTTCCAACTTCTTTTATGTCAAATTTGGCGGAGAGAGTCTCCATAAACCAGATGGCATCATTTTCATGTTTAGCATAGACTTTGAAGTCATCCACATGGGTGGTCACATAGAGTTGGGTCCGGGTAGTGTGGATCCATAGACCAGAGTCATATTCAGAGCATTTGAAGCTGATTTGGCGTAGAAAAGCACCCAGAGTATCATACCAGATGCGGGCAGATGGGACCAATCCATAGAGGGATTGAAGGAGTTCACAGACAAGATCTCCAGAACCTTCTTTGAATCCCTGAACTTGGGTCATAAAGACACGTTTGTCCGTGGGCATTTTCCCATTTAGGAAAGCAAGGGTGGCATCAGCTTTTCGGGTATGCCAGCCAAGCAGGGTGGCCAGTGCCGTGAGGGTTCTGGTAGTATTTTCATTTACCACTGGTGCGTAGGATTCCATGAAGTCTTTATCAAGTAGATTGCCACGAATGACCCAGCGGGCTTTAGCCTGATAATCCTCTGAGATAGGTATGCCGGGGATTTCTTTCTTTTTGTATACCCACCGGCCAGGGATGACTTTGGCCCCTGGTGGTAGGTCAGAACGGCGAATGAGTTGCCAGCAGCCTTTCTCTTTGAGTTGGTTGACTTCCTTTTGCATGGCAGCTTGCCATTTAGCAGCATCAGGATGGGATATGGCCTGCTTATAAGAAGTAGGCGTGTTGTCTTCTGATGAAGGAATGGTTGAAGTGGCAAAGTAAGCTAGGGACATGCCTTTGGCAGGTCGGAGCCATATATCTTGGTCATTGAGAGGTTCATCTTCAACTAATTGAGTTGGGTTTTCTTCGGTAGGGGTGCTGGGACCTTTGGGAGTGGTAGTTGTAGGATCTTTGTAATCCTCATCAAATATAACATCATTGGTGACAAAGACGGTGTCAGTTTTAGGGTCCCAAACACGATATTGATGGCTACTAATTTGGCCAATGAGGAAACAGCAGTGAGAACGTGAATCAAGCTTATTTCCAGGTTTATCTGGTCCATGCCGATGGACCCAGGCTGGACACCCCCAACGGCGATATCCGGGGAGTGAAGAAATGGATGAATTAGTCCACGCTGCCAACGGAGCGCGATAAGGGCTGGGGTGTATGTCCTTGTTGATATTCACCCCCCCAGGAATTTGGGAATTGTATAAGATGGTAGATGTAGGGAGCCGATTTGTAAGATCTGTGGCATATTGGAGAGCATCTACCCAAAAGCGTTCTGGTATATATGGGGCATCAAGCATCATAGCTCGGGCCCGTTCAAAAGGATCCGGATGCCACGTTCACTAACGGCATTTTGCCATGGTGAATATGGCGAGCTTGGTTGCCATTCTATGCCTTCCTGACGGTAGGTTTCCATCCATTCAGTGGAGCGGAATTCATTATCAGAGACTAGGTAGGCAGGAGCAGTGAAGCCATGGTTCTTCATATTTTGAAGCCAGTTCTTGAAGGCGGTAATGGCTGCACTTTTTGTCTCAAGGAAGAGGATCCATCGATAATGTGTGGCATCGTCGGTAATAAGTAAGACATATTTTGCCCCAATTCGGCCAGTGACAACATCATTAGGGTTGTCAAAATCAAGAGTTTGTCCACCGCCGGCGATATCTAGATGGACTCGGGCAAGGGGTTTGGTAACTCTGGACCTAGGGACCTTGCTATAATAGCGTGTCTGTCTAGCCTGTATACAGACTTCACAAAATGGGAGTTCTTTAGAGCCTTTGATTTCGATGCAAGACTCAGGATCTCGGGCGAGGCGGAGGAGATCGGCTTGATTGAGATGGCATAGGCGTCGGTGCCAGGCCATGATAGGTAGGGATATCTTAGTAGTTCGCGGCTTCCCTAGAACCGGGGTCTCTTTTGGGGTAGGAGCCTCAGCTGGTGTCTTAATTGTGGGAGCCTTTGCAGGTGGCTCTTCTGGGCGGTTAACTTCTTTGCCAGACCGGGTGGTGACAAAGGCATAGGAATTTTCTTCTTCTCCAGGAGATAGACAGTCTTCAAGGAGGTAAACATTGTTTTTGAACAATTGGGCTTGGAATTCAGCTCCAGATGGTGTGGTAATCAGCTTGACTTCACAATCTAGTGTATATTGAAGCCTAAAGCCTTGTCGTACAAGCATGCCTTCTGAAATGAGGTTGGAAGTAAAGGAAGGAACATGGCGGACGTCTCTTAGGATCAGAGATCCGTAACCAATATCTATAATCACGGTGCCAATGCCTTGAGGCATAGAGATATGGCCTTGAGCACCTTCCATATAATCTGTCTCCACCAGATCATGCTTCTGCAAGGCCTTATAGGTTGCAAAAAGTGAACGGTCAGGTGTAGAATGGAAAGAGGCACAGCTGTCAACAAACCATTGATTGGAAAATGAGAGAGTCTTTGCAGACTTCACAATGGCAGATTTGGCATTGGAGAGTTTCTTATGCAAGACAAGTTCCTGTGAAGCAGGGTGATCCTGGTTTGATTGTGGGTTTGCTTCAGATTGTTGCTGAACACGGAGAGCATTAGCCATAGTAGTATAGAACTTGCGTCTATACTCTGGTGCTTTCTCAGGATGTTTAAAATAGCATATAAGTCCATGGCGATTTCCGCAGTGATCACAGTCTATAAGTGTATGACGAGATCTATCTTGGTTATTGGAACGTTGAGGAATTGTGTATTTGGTTCCAGATGCTTGTTTTGAATAACTGCGGTTCTGGGAGTTCTCTTTCTGTTGGTTTGACCGGTCTTGAGAATGAGTATCACGGAATTTAGTGCCGGTTCGAGTAGATAATTGGGTCTGGATAACCTTAAGATCCAGGTTGGTAACCGGAGCACGGCCAGTAGAGTAGACATCATCTAGTTTACTCTTGATAAAGGCGCGGTTCCAGTCCCGGAGACCTATAAAGAAGAGGTCATGTTTGAGATTTTCAAGAGATTCTTCTCCAATAGCGTGTAGGCGGTCAAAGATTCGATTAAAGGATGACTGGTAGGTGAGATAATCGTTATCCTTTATATAGAGCTCTTTGAGCTCCATGGTAAGGGCCATTCGCTCTTCACCGGTGGATTTGCCAAAAAGTGTGGCAGCTCGGTCCCAAAGACCATGGGCAGAGAGGTCATATACGGTGCCTAGTTTATCGGAAGCAGGGGTTGTCATGGCATTGAGCATACGGGCTCTCATGACAATGGCTTTTCTGTGCCAAACTGCAGCATCAAGTGGAGATGATCCAGCAGGAGGAGAGTCCTGGTGAAGAGTTGTAATAGCATTGAGAATACCAGCTTCTTTTTGTATGGCAGAGCTCCATGCATCGTAATTATCCAGTGTCAAGATGACACGGCATCGGTCAGGCAGTAGCGTATCGACATCGGCTTGGACAAGGGCAATAGCATTGCTGATATTTGTGTCTGAGGCATCACGCAGAGGCGGTTGGATATCCATTGGTGTAGTATCTTGGGTTGTATTTGAAGGCAAGGAAGCTTGTGGAGTATTAGACTGGATGATAGATGCCAGTTTTAGCTCCATTCTAGCTTCACGGTCTCGCATATCTTGTTCCATCTGATTCTGGCGAGCAAGCATTTGTCGCATCATATCAGCAAGATCAGGGGTAAGTTCGTTTGTGGAAGCCATGTTGGCGGTATTGGTAGAGCTCAGATTGGCTCCGGAAGGCGTTGGGGTCTCTATCTCTTCAGAGACAACTGATGAGGAGGTCTCGTCTATATTCGAGGACTTGTTTTGGAGATTTCGGCGACGTGATCGTCGTATAGCAGTAGCGGGAGGCGTAGTAGGTTCTCCTGACATGCTCAGGTTCGGACCGTATCTGGGATCCTGGAATTTTTTGGAATCTGGGGTATGGAATTTTGGTTCAGCCAATCAGAGGGCTTAAATTGACCACTTATACGGGCCTAAAATAGCTCATATTTCCGAGCAAGAAACGGGCTCATAACCTAATGGAGGTGTATTGTTGGTTGGTTACTAGCTAGATAGGCCTACGTGGTGAAAAGGGTCAGCGAGGGCGGACCTATGCGGCAGAATCCCACGTGATCCAACAGGTTTAGTCAGCTCGCACGTGAGTCAGGTCAGCGATCTCTGACTCGCATCTCTGTTAGAACTTGAGAATCCAAACATAAGCGGAAGACATCGTCGCTGGCAGTCGAGTGTTCTTTTTTTTTTTTTTTTTTTTTTTTTTTTTGACGATGGTTTACTACATACGTTTCCTCAAAACCCCTAGAATCCAGACGCAAAAAACTGGGTCGTGCATCGTGTCCACCCTTGTCTGTATCACCACGGACTTGGGAGACGCGTTCTTGTCCCACACAGTGAATTTACTAGTAACACTAGCCATTGAGCATACTAAGCGCATTGTCTATCAAGAATATGTTGTATGGCATGCTGGGAGACGAGAGCTCTCCATATATCTGGGGCCATTCCCTCGCCAGCTTTCGAAGCAAGACATCATCTTGGGAATCAGTGCCACCGATGCTCGACAGCCCTATCCACCTTCTGCAGATGATATGAATATACGGGGTAGATTCAGTATTCCCTCGGTAATATCTGGGTGGAGCGCGCCCTTTGGACACTCAAATTTAGTAGCGGAAAGCTTGGTCGAGCGACGTCTTCGTCTCAAGGACGAACTGGATCTGAGAATCTGGGAGGAGACTGGAAACAGTATCGCTCGACACATCTGGTGAGCCACCGTTCTGTCAAATTCTGTCAGTCAGGTCTAAAGTGATGCCTTGCCCGCAGGGACGCAGCGCTTGCATCTATCATATACCTCCGAGATGCGATTGATGGCCAGGCAGAGACCATGCTTTTGCTGCGGGAGCGTCTGCAGAGCCAGGGCAGTCTGCGCATTCTCGAGCTAGGATCAGGATGCGGAATTGTTGGCATCGCCTTATCCCAATTGCTCTCTACATGCTCCATTGTTCTCACGGATCTACCGGAGGTGGAGGATATTGTAACACGCAACACAGCGGCTGCAAACCCAGCTCGCTCTTCTTCACTTGAGTTCCAAGCCCTAGACTGGGACGAGGAGCTCTCAGCACGCATTTGCAATGGTGGTAATGATCTAATTGTCGTTTCAGATTGTACGTATAATGCAGACAGTTTACCAGCACTGGTCTCTGTGATGACCAAACTGGTTCAGCTGTCTCCAGGTGCTCTCATTCTGGTTGCTGTGAAGAGACGGCATGATAGTGAGGCTGTATTTTTCGATCTGATGCAGGCCGCAGAGCTCTCCAAGTTGGATCAAGACACTATCAAGCTACCATCGCAGCATGACGATGAAGACCAAATTGAACTCTACACCTATGGACGGAAAGCAAAAGAGAATATTTCTACATGAGTAGCCTTGTCTGTCTATGAAAGTCACCTTTCCAAAGGAAAGCACACCAGACTTCGCCGTGAAGCTATACTTTGCCAATAGCTGAAAATTGGACCTGGCCATCAAGATGATCTGAAGATACCCTTTGTACATAGAGTACACATACTAGACCAAACCCAAAGACCTTGCATTGATCTCCAATGTATTTTCAAGCTCGTCTTCAAAGCTGGGCATATTCGGTTCCCAAGCCGACAGCTTCCTCCCACGGATTGCAGTACCCTGGGAGTCCACGCCCACCATAATCTTTAGCCATGGCGGGATTTTCTCACTCTCCTTTGGTGTCACAAATTCCGGGTTTGGCGAGTCGACAAGGCCTTTCCTATAAAGAATCTGGGGAGCCAGCTGCAGCATTTCACGATTCACGTAGGAACCGTTCTCTGCCAGGTAATATCCTTCTTCGTTCCAGGTGGCGTTTCCGCCACCATTCACAGCTGCCTCCCCCAGTAGAAGATAAGAGCTTGCTCAGATCCTGGACGTGGATATTGTGCCAAATATTATCACCTTTCCCCACGACAAAGACCTTTCTCCTTCAGGAACGCCTCAAATACCGGTGCTGATTTCGTCTTATCTGGACCCCGACCGACCTCATAAATCACAGCGGGCGCGATGATAGCAGTCCTGACCTTAGCAGGATCTGCAGCTAGGACTATCTTGTCGACTTTGCGATGGGGTGCATGGCCCGGAAGCGATGTCAACTCCTTGACATGACCCCAGTCGTCGTAGACCTTGTCAAACCGCTCGCCATATTTCTCCGTGGCAAGTGTCTCGGCGGCGAGAGCAAAAGCCCCGGAAGTATGGATGTAGTAAGCAGGACCGTCCGCCTGACGACGACTCAGTCCTCGAACAATTGCTTCAGCCGAAGGAACATGCTCGTCGCTTGCGGCTAGGTGGAAGACGATATCAGCCTTGGAAGCCTCTTCCTCGATCATGTCCACGTCGTCAGTGGTACCGTAGACTAGTCTGACTTGAGGGTACGCAGATGCCACTTTAACGCCTTCCTCCTTTGTGCAGACAAGACAGGACCATTGCCAGTCCGGATGGGCGCGGGAGGCAGTGTATAAGATGTCACCTCCTATATGGCCTGTTACTCCCGTGCTAGATGGGGACTGTTAGATCAGCACAGTAATAAATGGCAGGGACAGTTCCGGTTCCTCACATAAAGATCTTCGGTGCCATGATTGTTCCCTGGTGTGATATCCAGCGGTCTACTCGCACTCCGTGTTGTTCAGATGTGATGCTAGTTAAGACCGTGGGATTTGCGATTTAGTCTACAGAACAAAACAACATGCAACATGAAACCTGCATCGCTCCTATTTATATTCGGCCGTAAGGACCATCCATGGCCTCCTGTTGATCATGCTGGTTGTCCTCGTTGGCCTTTTCCCACCTGACAAGACATTCATCCGAGGGTTCGGACGAAACGCTATGAGACTTGATTGACAGGAAGCCTGGATAATGTAATAATTTATAGACTAGCAACTTACTCTTAATCTTTGATAAATATTTATCAAGGCTTTGTTTGGTAGTTCGCAATATCTTCTGCAGCAGTAAGCTTGGCTGTAAGTTGTTTGGAGTACTATCTACCCCAAAGGTGGGTCCAGAATTCAGAGCTCACAACGGATAGAATCAGTTAATAAATAATATATTTGTACACATCGTCTGGCTTTGGCGGAGGATGGCGAGGGAAATATCAACATCAGGATGCCTCTCCAAGTGCTGTGTGGATGTTGTTGTGAAGAATCAGTTCATAGCGATCAATTATTCCACAACACAAAAGCTTCTTCGTCCCTATAGAAAATTGGACAATAATGTCAATCGATTAATCAAAAGTATCCTATCAGGATAGGTCGATAAAAAACTCATTTGTCCCATCCCAGGTCATGATTAAACCCTCATACATCGACGATCTACAATGTTGAATGTACAGCGCCATTTACGAAGGCCAATGGATCAGAAGCCATATGTCATCATGATCTGAGAAAGCAAAGCATAGCTATTGATGGTAATAATATTAGAATACATCATAATATAAATAGATCACTTCCTGCGAGCGCGGGGAGGAACCGGTATTGGCTGTCTGCCTGCAGTGAGCTCACCGTCACATCCTCGACAGCTGGGAGCCCTAGCTGATATCTAAACTGGATTACAGACCGTATCGCCGGAAGGTTATTAGTACTGTTCTCCTTTCTCCTTGCGCTGAATATTTTTGTGGTGTGTGTTGTGGGTGGTGTATGCCCTAAGCTTCACGGCTGACCACAATCTGCCTAAAACCTCCAAAAAACTCTGCGCTCTCGCTAACTTCTCTCTTCCTCTTCCCCCCCAGCACCCTCCACTCAACTCTCATCCATAATCCCCTCATTCTAGTGACTGACTGCTTGTCAGCTTATTCTTATCGTTCACCAGAATCTCTACTGCCTTTGGGGAGTTCCAAAGGCACTGCTCACCACGGCTCTCGTAGCCTCGCGCGTCCTCCGTCAAATTGTTTCCCCTCGACGACCCCGTCACACTCTTAACAACATCCCGCCTCCTGCTGCTGGTTAACTTCGTGTCGCCGTCTGGTGTGCCCTTCTTCAGCCCCCTGACGCCATCTCAAGCTCTTCCCCCAACTTTTGAGCTGCCGCATAGGACTTCTCTGAAGGTTCTTCCTCTTCAGGAGGAAGGGTCTAGGAGGCTTGGTCCAGTCGACTTCGGTTGCGAAACTTTTCGTCCTCCCTAGCACGCCGTCGCGCACATTGCCGTTGGCTTCCCCCCCCCTTTTTAATCAAACCAATTGCTCGGGAAGATTCTCGTTCTGCACTTCACCAAAGACCGCATGGTTATGGCACCTACTGCTTGTGGGCCTGCTGAACAAGTTTACATACCTACAAAATTTGGCCACGATAAACACGACAATCTCACTAGTCAGTGTTGTAACCATGGCAGGGACGATATTTCGCAATCCAGGTTGGCTGCCAAAGACCTGGTCCTGGATGTCCTGAAGAAACGCGCGTCGGAGATCGATGTTGATAACTGCGCACCTGGAGCGGAGGATCCGTTTTATGTGGCAGACATGGGCGAGATCTACCGTCAGCACCTGCGCTGGAAAATGAACCTGGGCCGTGTCAAACCGTTCTATGGTAGGTCTCGCCTGTCGTCATCGACAATTTAAACTATCCGATTGCATTGTGCAAGTATGTAACTGACAAACTGGCGAACACAGCGGTCAAGTGCAACCCCGATCCCGAGATCCTTCGTCTCATGTCCAAGCTTGGAAATGGCTTTGACTGCGCGTCTAAATCAGAGATCGACTTGGCTCTGGAAACCGGCGTCGATCCCAGCCGCATCATCTACGCGCAACCCTGCAAGACCAAGTCGTATCTGCGCTACGCGGCTCAAGTGGGCGTCAAACAGATGACCTTCGATAATGCTGACGAGCTCTACAAGATCAAGGCTCACTTTCCCGATGCGGAACTCTACCTGCGCATCCTGACCGACGACTCGACCAGCCTGTGCAGGCTCAGCATGAAGTTCGGAGCTTCTTTGGATGTCGCTCGGCAACTGCTCGAGTTGGCGCGTGATCTGAAACTGAAGGTCGTTGGCGTCAGCTTTCACGTGGGATCAGGTGCAGAGGATCCCAAGGCCTTCGTCAAGGCCGTTCAGGACGCGAGATGGGTTTTCGACCAGGCAGCGGAAGTGGGCCACGAACTCCACACATTGGATGTCGGTGGTGGCTTCTGCGAGAGCACCTTTGACAAATTCTCCGGCGTTCTGAGCGAAGCTCTTGATAGCTATTTTCCATTGCCCATCCGCATCATTGCCGAGCCAGGTCGTTACTACGTTTCCAGCGCCTTTACCCTTGCGGCTAATGTGATCGCACGCCGTGATGCACCGGATCCGCTGGATCCATCCCGTGACGCGTACATGCTATATCTCAACGATGGTGTTTATGGGAATTTCTCGAACATCATCTTCGACCATCAGCACCCGGTTGCTCGGATCCTCACCTGTGCGAGCAGTTCTAGGGCGTCTTCTCCGAACACTTCCTCTTTGGACGGCATTTGCTACTCCATCTGGGGGCCAACCTGCGACGGTATCGACGTCATTTCGGAGCGCATCACTCTGCCCGGTCTGCTCGATGTCGGTGACTGGCTCTATTTCGAGGACATGGGCGCTTACTCCAAGTGCAGCGCTACCAGGTTCAACGGCTTCTCCGACAACCACGAGGTGATCTATATCTCCAGCGAAGCCGGCGCTACCGCCCTCCTCGATTATTAGAACCGTTCATCGCTCTCTGGCATAACTGTCGAAGTGCCTTGTTTTGATTTTAACTGTTCTGAGTTTATTGTTTTGCCCACATGAATCTGTTTTGATCCTAATTGGAACCAGAGTCTGTGTGGCTGTTTGTGTTTTTGTGTGATCCGAATCTGTGTCATTCGTTCTACTAAAACCGTGACTTCGAATAGAGACCTAGACATCTTGTTTCCGCTTTTATTGTGTTCCAGTGAATTGAGTTGAATAGATCTGCGTTCGTTGGGGCATTCTTTATTTCTTCTAATTCTGATTGTATCTTTTCCGTATGCTGCATGAATGCATTATTCAGAGCGTGGTACAAAAGTTCAAGGACCGAAGCATACGGAACACAGATGATGGCTAATGTCTATTTGTAGTACTGCGCAATTGATAATCAAAGGTCATACTTTTTAATTCGACTGGTCCGTTCCATTCCAGAACCCATAGCATAGCTCTCTTCGATTATATAGGTTCTCTTTGTGAATAAGACAGATCTTTCATGCCTTAGTCTATGTATACTGTTCCAGGAGTCGAGCCATATCCCTCCCGGCCAGTCTATTATATCTCAATCAAATCATCAACACGTAAGTCCGTCTCGATCTCGAAACAGGAAAAGGAAAAGCCGGGTTTAAAGAAGCCTCTCAACCGACAGCTCCGCGCCTTCGTTGGATCCACCGTCGACTTGGACAAGGCCACCGGCTTCAAGCTTCTTCTTCCACTTAGCGGATTCATACCGGGCCAGGATGAAAGTGATACGGGCCACCGCTGTGGCATCTACATTTTCGGCAACTATCGCGGAGGGCGTGAAGGTCCATCGGCCAAATGCCCAGTTGAGGATATAGTGCTGAGAAGATGGAGGGTCGGATTGTTGCGGTTTGGTGTTGTTCTCGGTGTGTTCTGAGGATTCCGCTGGGGGGTTGGATGTGGAGGTCCGGACTATGCCTTTGATGCGATAGACTTCTTCCCTGGGAGCAGATCTGAGAAGATTCTCGAAAGAGGAGACGTCGATGTAGGAACTTGTAGAGGCGGCCGATTTCAGCGTGACGGAGAGGACCTCGACCTCGGATTGATGGTCATGGCTATGACCGTGGTGGTGATTGTCTCCATTATTCGAGAGGGATTTCAAAGCATCCACATTATCTGCCTTCGAAAGCAAGGCGCCATCAATCCCCAGTAGAACACTCTTATCCACTTTCCCCTTATTCGATTTCACCCACGGCGTCTCGATCCCCAGATCCCCCACGCGATCCAAGCAGATATCGAACCTCATCTCAGGAACACCCTCCCACTTATTAAAGATGATCAGATCCGTGTACTTGGCCTGCATCTTAGCCGTGTAGGACGTATCATCGTAGCCCTCCCAATTCTCCACATCGATCACGCTGATCACCCCATCCAACACGAAACTACCCCCTTGCTCTCGCGAAAGCCGGCTCACCTCCATCGCCAGCGTGGCGGGGAACGCACTCCCACTCGTCTCGATCACAATGCGGTCCGGCTTCACTTCGTCGCGGAGTTGGTTCAGGGCATCGCCTAGCTGGCCCACGAGGTTACAACAGATGCAGCCATTGAGGAGCTCGCGCACACCGGAGATTGATTGGGAAGAGGCTAGTTGGGAATCGATAGCGACGTCGCCGAATTCGTTCTTCAGAAGTGCTAGACGGTAGGTTGGGGGGAGTTGAGGGATGAGATTGAGGAGGATGGTTGTCTTTCCGGAACCGAGGAAGCCAGTTACAATTGTCACTGGGATAGGAGCCATTGTTTTATGTCTTTTTTTCTGTCTTTTCTTTGTTCTTCAGGTCAATTTATGACATGCGGGGTGGTTAGTTGTGTATATTGCGGGGTCTTTATTGTCTCCGCCCGCTGCTGATGGAAAAGAAAAAGATGCCAGAAAATGAATGGAAGTAATAGTTGAACAGTAACAGTTTATATATGTACAAAACCATCAAGAGAACGAAGATTCCAGTCAGAGAATGACAAGAAGACTTGGAACGGGTGAAGTATTTCGGCTGTCGGTGAAGAGAAGAGCCAAAGCCCCTCATAATCCCCTGACAATCACAGTAGTCACACAACTGTTTTCTACAGCACCATCTCTGGAATATTAAAAAAAAGTCCATCAAATAATGAGATAGCAAGGAATGGTCTATGCTTGCTCTCGACAACAATATGCACACTTCCTTTCCTGTCTGAGTACCGGGAAAGCAAACGAACGACGTCATAGCTGGTGCAACACATCCTCTGCCACTCATGAGATTCAATTCAATTCAGCCATGCAGGTCTTTTCCTCTTTTGATGAGAAATAATACTGTCCGGTTTAACAGTGATCAGAGCGCATAATAGGCCTACAATACTACTCTCATATCGATGATGCCCTCCCCCAAAGACGCCATACGCTTCGGTTGCCCCTCAGACCAGAAGGACAGGAAGCCTTCGCAGAATGAAGGCTACCTCGAAACCATGGAGCGTGGGATGCAATCTATCGCTTGCGGGAACTCAATAAGCGAGATTCAGGACCAAATAACTTCCATGGCTGAGCAGTCTGCGAATGAAGTTAAAAATAACGTTGGTTCCTTCACTTCTGCTGCTACCGATGCACTTGGGGATGTCGCGGGGCAGATGCACGCCAAGGTTGCTGGGGAGGACACGTTACGAATGGAAGAAGAGTTCAATAAAGGTTTGTTTATTTTTTTTTCGTGATCAAGTGTTTTGTAACTAATTTGATTTGCATCTATATAGGACAGGATAATGTGTCCGAGGCTGAAGATGTCAAACGCGTCGATAATATGGATAGTGGTAAAGTGGAGGATTTTCTCAGGGACCGGCATAAGAGCTCTGCGGCTATGCGCCGGTCGGAGTAGATGTCGCTGGCATGTTTTATTTGCTTTGGATCTATCAAGTATTGGTGCTTCTTCAAGTACAGACACGAGCTATTTGGATAGATGGAGCCAGTTGCTTTTTCACCGTGAAACAATAAAGGTCCAGACTGAACATGGATGCTACTTGTCTTCCGTTCTTTGTTTCATAACGAGGCCCGGAATCCCTTGTCCAAACTACGTTCCAAGCCCAAAAAGTCTGCTACTTGACCCAGATGATCGACTCCCCAGAAGCCCTCTGTCTCACCCAGAGTGTTCGTGCACTCGAACCAAGGGATACCAAATGCACCTGATTTCAACGCCTGAGAAGTGTTCGACACTAAACGTTCCTTCACGTCTGGTAGCGTTGACTGTCCCAAGGTACTAGGTCAGTACGATGCTGCGGCATGACCTTCGAACTGGCCGATACGGGATTGAGACATACAGCCTTGAAAACTTCCTCTGCCCCATCCTTCCCTAGTACTCGTTCCAACACCGGAAGAAACCCCTCAGGTTGTCCGATTTTCGCATTGCCCTCAACCCAGAACGAGTGATACAAGGCGTCAGTCACTGGTATGAATTTATCTGGCCACTTTAGGGAAATTGCACAAAGAGCTCGCTGTGTCGCTAGCGTAAGAGGTGGGAAACCCTCCGGGGTAGATTCTACCATAGGAATGGAAAAGTAACGGCACCAACGGAGCCGTTCCTTGTCGATCCATTTATCCTTGTCTAGAGAGGTGGAAATGTGGTTTTTCTCAGTCAGAACCCGCGGAACCGATGATCCAGCAATGGATTAAAGCAAATACGCATACAACATCAGTCGAGTTGAGACTCTTACTTTTGATCTGGATAGGAGCCCTATTGTTGCATGCATGCATCAAGCCTCCCAGGAATATGGGCACGTAGTTGATGTCGCATCTTGCGAAAGTGGGAGAATTCTTTTGATACTTGTCAGACTGGTCTGAAGCATAAACAGAACCCAGGAAGAATGATATTGTCTTGGATTGCCGGGCAATCATGCGGAATGAAACAGCAGCACTCACTCTCAAGACGTAGTACGCGATATAGGCGAAGGGACTGACGACATCCAGATACAATGTTATTTTCGGACCTGCCATGTTGGAATGGGCCTGCTTCTGCGTTAAGATGGATTGCTGATGGATAGAGGATAAAATGACATTAACGAGGCTTAATAGATACCCCGGATTCTTAGCAAATGCCGAGGTCCGCGGCTGGCCACGTGAGACATAGTTTATAGGGCCTAGGGCCTGGGGCTTAGGGTTTCCCGTTGAACGGCTTTTCGATTATGCTGCTTGTCGTCTACTTCTACACGTCCACCTTTGCAGCGGTCCATCTGTCTTATGATGGAAACTCATCCAATATTCAGATTTCCAGCTATACAATAGATAGATATCTCTGCTAATTCAGGCAAACTAACCTGATGATGATCCTCGTAGACAGGCCTGTTTAGAAGCCTCGTTAATCATCACTATCACTGCCTTTCGCTTTTTGAACGTCCTGAATCCCACGAGACCATATCGTTTCCTTTCCTAGATAACAGGGATATGCATAATGACTACGCAGAATAGTGAACAGCAAAACAGCAGAGGAAGGGTGCTGCTATCAGGGCGAGCCTTCCCTTTTTGCATTCAGTCCAAGGAAGGAACCTTCGCTGTTGCCAGTCAGTTCTGACCCATTTGCAGCTGTTATCCTCCTAGGATACTTCAGCATCAAGAATTATATTCTGTGCTCTTTTATTTCCGTTACTTGTTTAATCTCGCTTGTACCTCCTTCCAGATATATCCTATAGTGCCGTTTGCAGCAGTGGAATATAGGTATGCCCGAAACAATCGGTGAAGACCCACGGGCCTCCGACTGCCGTTCAATCACTCATTCAGTGTCACGAACGTCTTTATCTTCTGGAAGCACCGATCGGCTTATGGTGGTAAGTGTAGGGAGGTCCTAGTGAGTTGCATGCACTAATGATGCTGGCTTGGCCTGAAGACTCCGAATGCCTCTCTCTCGCAGAATTGTCATTTGAATAGGTCACTTGAAAAACCAGCCGCTGGGTCTCAGTGCGATGACGATAGCATCAGAGATTCTGTGTCGAGAAGACGCCGACGCGCTGTATACTTCCACCGTCCACCTGTATGGTGTGTTAATACCTACCCAGACGAAAATGGAAAGCGATATTATACACCCTTGGATGACCCTTGTGAAGGGGGTGCAAAGGAACAGGTTGATAGGTCACTTGTGAGAGACTCTGTTTCTTATCATGTTCCTTCACTGGACTGACATGCAACACGGTCAGCGGACGCAGTCTGAATGCGAGAAGTGCAAGTTGACTGCGACAGCGCCGGCCAAGCCGGACGTGCGATGGCTTTCAGAAAATATCTTTCAAGATGGCCTACGCCCAAGTTCCTACCATCAGTCAAAGGCCACACTTTGCACTCGTTTACAGTCGTGCAAGGACATTCGAGTAGGGATCGACGAAAAATGGGCAATCCAGGAAGGGTCCCTGGTGATCTCGATTGACCCTATGTACACGAATATCGATTATGATGGGCGAGCAGCAGATGAATTTGAACTGGCTCATGGTGACTTCTACGTCGTCTGTCGTATATACGCTGATCTATGGGCGCTTTGTGCCAAAGTTTCATTCTGTGAACAGGCAGAAAGTTGTCCAGGGATCCTTGGGTTTCTCCCCCTCTGTGCGTTAACCCTGGCAGCAAATTTCAATGCATTTGTCAAGCGATGCTCCTGCTATGCGAGCACACCGAATAACGAGCTGAGTTATCCTGGGAATGGTCTCTCCGTTACACCTCCAGAACGTTCCCATAGCCTAAATGCCAGCAGGCAACTGTTTCAAGGAAACTCGCCGGAGATAACAGTGCCAGCGATGGTCTATGAGGCATTCAATATTTTCTCCTTGGAAGGGACGGGCGTAGATTTCGTCCCCCTCGATTCCACTCTCGAGCCACTGCTTTCTGAGATGGGAGTTGGCCGGGGACCACTAGGACGTCAACTGTCGCTCAAGAGAATATGGCATAATTTGCGGTTCTCTGAGCCAGAGGCATCAGACAAATTGCAGAGTCCTTTTACACAGTCGAGGTTTCGACGCCATAGCCGCAGGAATCGATCCAGTTCTTCATCAACCAGCCAAGGGCTGAAGTGGCCAGCTAGAGTGTCTCAAGAACAACCGAGACGACGCCGACACCATATACGAGAGTTGATTTCTAGTGGTAGCGAAAGGCTACGATATCATTCACGAAGCAACTCGACCGAGTCAGATTCCTGGTGGCGATAATTTCCTTGCGAGTGTACGATGATATTTCGGTCTAGCTCTGTTATTCTTTGGAGGATGGCCTTGTTTGCTTATCCTTACTCCCAATATATTCAGTATGTACGCTGGAGCCCGCTCTTTTTCTACCATAAGCATGATGATTACCGTGATAGTAGAAATAAATCTTGAGGCATTCATTTCTATATGACCTATAGGACAGGAGTTGATTGCATCAGGATACATTCATGATGAAGTCACCGGTGCGAGACGTTGAGCCACCACCCAAAGGTGATGATGATAAAGGCGACTTGTAGACATCCAAAGTCAACCGCGAGATTGAGACCCTCTCTACATTGATATATTTCCAATCAACTACTGCAAGAGAAACGTCTAGAGAAACTTATAAGAAAAATGACTTCCGAGTTCCACTCCCAAACAGCCAACCCTCCCAACAACGGAGAAGAGCGCGACTTCCCACCCACAGAAGAAGAACAGCGACGTGGACAGACAAAATCCAGGCTTGACGAAATGAACATCACGTCCCGGGGTACTCCGCCACGTGTTTCACGAAGATAGCGATCCGAGTACGGAGGCGGATCGTGGACGAGAGCCAGTTCTGAGAAAAGAAAGGGGAGGACCGGGGCGAAGTATCGATCTACTTCACGGCATTGATTGTCCCGAGACAACAAAACATATCTATAGATGGGTACTGAATTGGGTTTGTTTGGATACATGTATGAAAATGAGTGGAATGCAGATGCAGAGTATATGTGACTTGATGTACTTAGCCTCTTGATCCATGGAGGTTTTGCAGGACAGGTCTACTGTTCTACCTTGATTTGTATACAAGTACTGGATCCACATAAAGATAAGGGATTTGTTTCATTTAGTTGAATTAACCTAGATACATAAATCATTCTCGATGATGTGTATTTAAAATCAAATCCAGGGGAAAGTTAAAAAAAAGAAGAAGAACATAATGTATTCCCAGAATGGATAAAGAGAGGTTAATCGCATCGCCAGATCTCTCAAACTTAGGGAGTAGTATCCATATTATCCATATCTTCACCGATAGATGACCAATGGGGCGGTGGCATGTGCAACGTGGTTGTCGTAGCTATATTGGAACTGGGAGGCGTAGGTGTCGCTGAAGGCGGAGGAGGATATTCCGTGGGAGGAGAAGAACGGTGAACAAGAAAATCATGGTTACGGTACTGGAACTGCTGATGATATTGCACAGGTGTTGGCAGAATAACTGCTGCTCCTAATGGGCAGGACCCAATCTGAGGATGGAACCTAATCCAATCGCACTGGCAATTCTAGTGTTAGTAAATGGAAGACGAAAGATGGAGACGAAGGACGGGGGAGGAAGATTCTGAGCAATACCGACAGTTCGTTGGGTACCACCACCAGTATTCCACATGGGTCGAGCCTCCGTATCCCCAAGTCGAAGGTGTTCGCTCCACAGAGCGCCCTGATCATCATAGAGACAGAGGTACCGAACGATATTCGTACCGACAGCCGCATAGGTACTTCCAGCGTCGACGAGCAGCGTCACCATGCCACCCAGCTGACGGTCACGGTGGTACAGCATGGTGACGATGAAGATCCCCAGTTCGTAGGCGGTCATACCGTGAATAATGCAAGGCTCAAGGATACGGGGAAGCTGGCGAATCTCCGACAGGGGCCAGTGTTCATTACGGTCGATGATGCGCTGGGGCCGCTCATTGACACGGCGCGTATCACAGGGATTGGGTTCGGTATCGCTGGCCAGGAACGACAAAGTAGGACAGTCTATCCAGTCGAATGGAGCATGGGACAGGACGTATGGAGCGAGATCGTCTAGAATTGCGTGCACTCGCCGGGCAATCAGCTCGACCCCAGGACCGTAATCTTCAGGCCGCCCAAGCACTGCGACCTGCGCATTGTTAGAAGAATTTGGATTCGATGTTGGAGAGGAGGAGGAAGTTCCAGTTGCGGACGTGGATGGTGCCGTGGGCTTCTTATTCATAACACGACTGAGAAGCCACATGTTGCTTTCTTCTTCTCCCTGGTCTCTCAGTTTTGGAGTATGAGAGCGGGGTTAGAACAATCTATTGAAAGAGGTGATTCGAGTGCATTGGATATTCGAGGGAGAAAAGGAAGAAGTATGTTTGAAGAAATGGAGAGATGATGATGGTGAGTATAAGAAGAGCCACCAGGGGTCGAATCATGGTTATTTATGCAGGGTCGGAAGCTTGTTGCCTACAAAGAAGGAATTCACCACAAAGAGTCAAGGGCATTGTGACCATGAGTTCCATGATGTACTGGAAGAGTCCAGTTGGCATTCAATGGGCATTGAGAGCTAGTGTGGCTCTTTATGCAGCCGAGAACATTGGATTCACTTGACATGGAAGGGCAAGGCATGTCCTACCTTGGCTAGAATGACTGCTATCCTTTATTGAAAGTTAGGCCGTTTCTTGTAACCCGATAGAAATTCAGAATGGACTCACCAGGTTAAACATTCATCCTGAGTGTGTAGTATGAATCTCAATATAGGATATACACAGGGAGGAAACAAAGAAAAAGAAGATTCGAATTAAAAGCTCTATGGTAGAGAAGGTCATGATATACGGTAGAATCCCAAAGCACGCTGTGTTGGAGACAATTAAAGCAGCAGTATAGTGGACAAGAACATATGCAGCCATTGCACTGGGAGGAAGACAACAAGACACTTGCAAAGGGGTATATGGATGCAGTAGACAAGAGACAAAAGAGAAATCAACGATGGTGCCGAGTAGTATAGTAATTGTCGAAAAAGAAACAGCAGGACAGAATGAACCATAGACTGCGCAGTCCACCTTCAAAGCCATAAAACCCACCTGATCCCAGAAACCGCTCCTCGAAAGACGCCGCGGATGACCTTGAACACCATGACGATGAGCCATGCCCACCACATCAGAGCGACGAGCGACCACTCAAGGATAACAAATCCCACACGACTTAGCCCTTGGAACCTACGACGGCGCCTCTTGAAAGCTTTGTCAAGAGCATCGCTGAGTTGCTTTACCGCAAGGGTAGTGGTAGTGTTAAGCTGCACACTCAAGCCCTCAGCATCAGCGGCCGCCTCGCGAACCCGACGGCTGAGAGACTGGTTAACCAGGTTATCAAGATCATCCAGCTGAGATTTTAAACTAGGACAGGTTGCTGCAGAAAATCGATCCATGGTCAGCTGAAGCGAATTTTTCGACTTCTGCAAATGTTGTGCCAAGTTCCTAGCAGCGAATTCATGCTCCTCCAGTCGGCTCATGCGAGGAATAGGAGCGGTGGGATTGACAAGACTTTTGAGAAGAAACTCTGGAGGACACCGCGAGCCCTCCACTCGCCGCGTTACCTCGCGGGCTTTAATTCCCGAACATAAAAGAAGCGCCCGTACACGCTCGATTTCCTTTCTATCTGGCAGACCGACATTGGCTGAGACGCTCACACTGCGACCAGAGATGCTCCAGTTGCGGGAGGCGTCCGTCAACTTCGGGCGCTTGCCTTGGGATGCCTCCGCTTTGGCGAGCCCAGTGACAGGGGGGTTGGCCGGGCAGAAGGGCTCAAGCACGTTTTTACCATGGCTCGTGTCCGGTCCCCGTGTTTTTTGCAGGGTTAGATAACGGTTTTCATCATCGAGTGGTTCGTCAGCTGGATGACTTCGTTGCGGCGCTGGAGGGACCATTACTTCTCCTATCAAGTTGCTGGGGTCATCAGCGACCGAAGAAACGCTCTGTGGATGAGGGTCAAGAGGATCAACCACATCTTCTAGATCGACCCGACTAGCTTGCCTAGAGGAATGTCTGAAGGTTGGCAAGTTCGGAGTTGAGCTTCTTGGATATGGCTTGTCCGCATTAGGAACACTCAGATGGCCAGCCTGCTCAGAGACCGCTGGGAGACGGCCTGAAGCGGAGCGATTCAATTCAGGCCTCGTTCGCTCATTATCATCTAAGCCGTCGTCGCCCGAAGTTAGACTTGGCACGCCTGATAATTTTCGACCGAAAGCCGTGCTATCTTTTCTCAAGAAATCCCCAACCTTGGAGACTTCATTACCAACAATCTCAGCGATCTTTCCTTTCCCTTTAAATATTCCGCGCAGCTTCGACTCCGATTGAGATGGGATGTTCTGTCCTTTAGAGCTATCCGCCCACGGGGGATCATTCACACGCTGCTCTTCCGTGTGGAACGAGGGAGGACGGTCCGGAATAGAATCTGGCTCAACCAGGTCTGGATAGTTCGTGGATGGGCGGTTAGGCCCCGTTTTTCTCTTTGAGACATTTTCAGATGCAGAGGATTCGCCGTCGATATGAGTACGAGATTCTTTATCTCGATATCTGCTCCTGCTTCGTTCATGTATGGAGTGAATCACTCGAGGCAAATGCTTTTTGGAAGGAGAAGACGACCGACTAGACGGCGGGGACAAGCCAGTTGCAATGCTTGGAAAGCGATCAGCACGAGGAATGAGACCGGATCGCTCGTTATCCATAGCATCTGCAGACAAGTGAGAGTCATATCGGCCATCCGCACTTGCCGCAGACGAGATGGAGCCTGCTTTCTCATGTAATCTTATTTTACGGCGGTCAACCTTCGATTGAAACCAGGATGGCCCGGAATCTGGTGTTGCCGCAAGATTTGCATCGTCAATATCGCCCCTTGACACCTTTAGTCGGGGAGTCTGAGTAGTAAGATCGAGTAGACGCAGACGCTCTCTCTTAGACGCATATCTCCCCTCTGAAGCAATACTTGAACTGCTAGTAGAGCGCGCTCTGGATTTTAACCATCTGGAATGATTGTGCTTTCTCAAACGGCTGAGGGACTTTCGCGCTGACGGGCTCTGCGACCTGTGCCTGGGGCGCCCACGGCCAGACCTTAGAAAGTCTAGGTCATTTTTGGAACCCAATTTTTCAGGAATATATGATTCTGCTTCCATGGGACGTTGCTGACCTGAGCGATGCCATTTCTGGTAACTTGAAATATCACGGCTACCGCCGACTGAGACCAGTTCTCTGGAATCAGGGTAGAGTCTATTCCCCTCCTTATCCACAACCTTGGCCTTGTTGCCATCTTCCTCAACCCATGCAGCATCAGCTAGGAGCTCTGAGGGAGAGACCATCCAATCGAGTCTCGGCCGTCGAGGCTTTATCCCATTGCTGGCAGGACTCACTCGTCTTAAACTTGATGGTGGAGAGACCGCCAGCGTATCGATACTTTCCTGTTCCTCTGGTACAGCACATGCCTTTCCTTGAAGATATGAAGGCAGCTTCAAGCACTCGACTGGCTCATGGTCCTGCTGACCGTATCTGTCAGTAACTGCATCGACCCACTTTCGCACTCTTTCAACATCGTTCCACCCATCTGCGTCCGGATCAATGGCACATTTCTCGCGAAACCGGACTTTGCGGTTGCGAATCGACTGGAGGGGATTATAGACTCGGACATCGCGACCGCCATCAGTCGACATTTTAGTAGAATCCTGGGAAGTGCCTAGCGATGGATGGCGTAGAGGAGGGAGTGAAGGAAGTAACCGCAAATATTCAAAGAATAACTCAAAATGAACACGCGCCTTCTCAGCCCTTTGAAGCGTGGCATCTGACACCCGGTATGGCTGAATATTGCCCTCAACAGCTCCGGGTACCGGGCTCAACGTAGGATTTGGAGCGTCCAAAGCACCCGATCGCTCACCAATATATGCGCGAGACAGGTTATTGCGCGTCTGAAACTGGTGCTGTCCATAACTCGGTGAATATGCCATCGAAGATTGAGCAGACACCGCCCTTCGACTGCCTGAAACTGGACCGAGACTCGAACGATTAGGGTGGCCTTTTTTCCTCGATTCATTCAAGTTCAAAGCCAAATTCACGATTTGTATGGAGTCCTTATCAAGGCCGGGGAGGCCCTCGTTCGCATCCGTGGCGCCTTGGTGCGTAGACGTCGCAGATGGCGGGACTTCTGATGGTCCTGGAAGTACCTCTGGGGGATCCGTACTCCTTGAAGATGCCGTCGCTATTGGGGAGGAGAATTCCGCCGAATGTTTATGGCGACTCCAGGCATAGCGCGACTTCTTCTTGGGAACCGCAGGGCTGGGCTCTGGCACTCTGCGCTTCCCGCTGATTGAGGAATCGGATCCATACTCGGGATAGTGGTCAGTCCTCAACGGCCTCGCTCTAGGCAATAAAGCCGAATCTAGCAAGAAACCGCCGGAGGTCTGTCTCCTTCGCTGTTCTCGGCTTCGCCGCTCACCATCGCGAGAGCTGCTCCCTAGCGTGCTGCCCTCCAACTCCCCGCTCGCCTGGCTCTCAGTCATTTGTATACCCTCCTGTCAAGAGACCTCGTCATTCGTTTCGACGTAAAGAGGAGGATTTCCGCGCACCTAACTCCGGTTGTTCTTCATTTGAGTGAGGTTTCGAGCGTTGTTGCCAGAGATCCGATTCATTAACCTGCTGCGGCATCAGAAGGGGGGCGCAAGGACGGGTGGTATCCGAGGAGGCGATGTGGTTATCCCCATAACCACGGGTGCGACCGAGCTACTCCTAGCTTCGGGTGGAGTGCATTCGTTTAGAGAGCAGAGATAACACAAAATAAGCCATGTCATTACCGTTCTTCAGGACGATCGAGACTTGGGGGATGAGAATTGAGATCTTCCATCCTGCTCGACATGCGTGATGGTTGCAAACGATACAAACAGCTTGGCTGGCTCTATTATTAGCTGCATCTAAGACTGTGGAGTACAGCGCTGCAGGTACAGTGCTGGGCATTTAAAGATGGACTTATGGACAAGGACAAGCTGGCATTGGGTCTAGCAACGCAGAACTACAACTAGAGGTACAATCCTTGTATATGCAGAGAAATTTACGACAGGAAAGAAGACAAGAAAGCCACGAAAGGTCCAAACAACCTACTCAACTCTCAAGCACTGGAGCCGTGCCTCAGTCTCGATGACCTAGATTAGAGGGAAAGGCATATTAGCTTCTCATTAAAACATAGGACAAGTAGCCCTTCATCCATGAAGGGTAAGGAGGCTTACCTCGAGAGCCTGTTTTACTTCAAGTACCTTGCGCACATCTCCCAGCCAATCCTTGCTCAGGATCTTTGCCCAACCCTGGAGAGTGTTCATCTCACGGGCAGCAGCGTCCAGATTGCCTTCTTCCAGGAGGCTCTCAGTCCGGGTCAGAACACCCTCGACATGGTCGCCGGGAGCAAGACCATCCTTCTTGAACATCACCTTGCTTAGAACGACACTGGCGGCATGGCTGGCAATACCTGCGTTTTCAGGTAAGAGGCTGGCCTTACGAACCTCAGTGGCAACTCGACGGAAACGATCAATGAGCTGGGCTGTCGAAGGAATGCCCCGCTGATAGGCGGCAGGGTTGATCGAGGCAACAGCGGCCTCAACGACTGCATCCTCGGTAGCCAGCTCCTTCACCGCAACCAGTTCACGGATGAATGGCCTTGGCAGGTCCGAGTCCTCGAGAACGGTGCGGACAGCATCAACAGCAACCTGGAGCTGTTGAGTCTTCAGGTTGGTGTTGATGACGTCTTGCCAAGCTGCCAGCAACTTCTCAAGCTCACTAACATCGGCCTCCAGCTCATTCAGCTTGCTGAGACGTCCCTCTCGTTCCTTCTCAACCAGGTCTTGTACGCTGTGGATGTATTTGCGATCCAGCTCAATGGCTTGTTCAACAAGCTCATTCCGTAGACGCTGTTCAGCCAATTCTTCGGCTCTCTTCAGCTCAGTGCTGACCTTTTCCTGGTAAGCACGAACCAGCTTCTCACGTTCTGCCTCATACTCCTCTCTGTACTGAGCAGCATCTGTGGCACGGACCTCCTCGAAACGACGGATGAGCTCGCGGGCTGATTCGTCGAAAGTACTATGAGCGTTTCGGATTTCTTCTTGAGCGGCATTCAGTGCTTCACTCCGGATGGCAGCAATCTTCTCTCCGATCTTGGACAGTTCCTCCTTGACGCTGGCGATGGGTGCAGAGTAGTCACCAGCCTTGTCATCAGCGCTTACAACGGTGATGAGGTCATTAAAAACCTTGACCAACTCCTGTACAATAGGTTCGTCTCTCTCGGAAACCTGTGCCAGTTCGATGGTAGACAACAAGGCACCGGCAGGTTTCTTGGACTCTTCCTTTGGTTCCTCCTTGGCTGATAATTTCTCGGCTTTCTCCTGTTCCTTGATAGCCTTGTCTTCCTTAGCCTTCTTAACAGCAGCCGTCTTCTGCTCCGGCGTGGCTCGGGCACCCTTTACTTCTCCCACATTAGCTTTATCTTCGTCGGCTTCCTTGATAGCGCTCATATGTGGTCCTTTCTTAGACAGGTCACTTCCAGGCTCCTCTTCTTTAGCGATATTCCAAGAAATGCCACCCTTGCCGGGAATCGTGACTTGCTCGCCCTTGGACAATACTTGGCGTTCGGTCCGCGACGCATTAGGGAAGCGACGGTAGAAGTCGCGTTCTTCAAAATACAGAACAGACTCTTCGCCATATGGGATATACTCGGTGAATAAATCATGGAAAGTATCCGATTTTAGAGCCAGGAAAGTACCACCGCCGTAGGCGAATGCCGTTCCAAAGATCAGATAAAACAAAAAACGGCGGAAACGCCCTGCCTTCCGAACACGGGTTTGAGGCGGAGTGGAGGGTGCAGAGCCTGCAAATTCATTTAGCATCGAACACCTGAGTGCAATGAGTTTCAAGAGGGAAGAAGATCCGCACCTTCATTGCTGGGTGAGGGTGTGGGCTTGGGGGCAGTCTCCGGGGGAACAGGCGATTGGGAAGAGGGAGAAACCGGGGACGTAGAGTCGGAAGAAGAAGACTTGGAATCAGCAAAGAACCTCTAGAGGACGAGAACTGAAGTTAGCCGGGATTTCGTATGCGACGAGGCAGAGAGACGGAAAGAATGGCTCCTTACCTGGCTTGGGAACTGGCGGCTCACACCGGCTCTGGAAAGCCATTGCGCTCCTGTTCGTTGGCGAACAGGAAGCGACAACAACCGGCGGCTCTGCACAATAGAGGAGCGCAGCATGGCGAGCTGCGTACCGTCAAGTAAGGTGCTGGGAGCGGGGTGGTATGGAAGATGATGCTATGGATGAGAGAAAGTCGACGCGGACCGGATCTTTGATGATGCTTTTACGATCCGCTCCGACCACGCTCGGCTCGCACCGCCTTCCGTTCTGAAAGCAAGGCATGACAACTTGCAAGCGTCGAGTTCTGCGAGCACGACTCAGATGTCCTTGTTACTCTTTTCCTGATTTCTATGGAAGGCTTTTCGATGAATGCGAGAGGACTCTCCTTTTTTTTTGCAGTGTTCCTACGAAGCGACCACTGGCTGAGCCACATGGCAACAAATTATGATTGAACCTGAAGAAACATCGCAGGGAGATATTATATAGCATAGAATGTTGGACATTTCTGCAAGAGTAGACAAAGAAGTTGGAAAAGGGTGTAACACAGATGAAACTCGTCAATAAGAAGCAAAAAGGAACAGAAAGAGGGAAAGAAAAGAGATGCAAACGCCAGCCAGTAAGAAACGCAAATACAGCGACCCGGGAGATAAACAGAAGAGGACAGATAGCGATACCTGCCACGCAAGTCTAGAGCCAAATTCCAGCAGACCTCGCACCAGCCATGGTAATGACAAACTTCGAACGAGAAGAGAAATCAAGGGACAACACTAATTGGCTATCGAGACGTTCTCAGAAAACCCTGGTGTAAGGCACTGAACCACGTCCGACGATAGTTCTGCGGAGTTTTCAGCAGTTGCATCCACCGGCTCCTTGAGTTCCCGTAGTCTCTGGTCGCAGATCCACGCCCGGGCGGGGAGCTGTCCGTAGATTCCGTGGTCCAGCCTGGTCGAGAGGAAGCTTCTTGGCGATCGCTGTAAATAGTTCCCGAACGTTGGTATTCGTCTTTGCGGAAGTCTCAAAGAAGAGTAGCCCGGACTCGCGGGCGTAGGCCTCAGCATCAGCAGCTGGGATGGCTCTCTTGTCCGGGTTATCCAAAACAAGATCGAGCTTGTTGCCTGCGAGGGCAATAATGATATTCTCGTTGGCTTGGCGCTGTAATTCCTTCACCCATGACTTGGCCTTATCAAGCGACGCCTACTCAGAAGAAATCCCGCCAATTTAGTATCCATCAAGAAGGGAGGCTTAAATCGAACATCTGCACCTACAGCTTGAGTAATATCGTATACAACAACAGCGCAGTTCGCATTCCGGTAATACATTGGGGCCAATGACTTGTATCTTTCCTGGCCAGCAGTATCCCATATTTCAAATTTGACGGTCGTGTTCTCATCCAAAGTGATGGTCTGCGTGAGAAAAGCGGCACCGATAGTCGACTCCCTGTAGTCATCGAATTGATCCTGTAGCCGTCATGTCAACCACACACACTCTCATCTTTCAGGCAGTCGCCACTGTCAAGAAACCATAAGCGACTCTGGTTCTAGGAGGCTTACTTTGACAAATCGCAAGACAAGTGAACTCTAAATGAAGGTAACAATGTCAGCACTGGTTAGAGAAGTGAATATAAGCACCGCCACTATGGGATACTAACCTTTCCAACGGCCGATTCACCTTTGCGAAAGTAAAGGTAAGAATATGTCAGCACATATTGCTTAAATGACAGTGGGTCAACAAAGGGAAGAGACTGCTAACCAAGGAGTACAAGCTTGAACTGAGCGAATCTGGCGCCCGGTCGAGGGCCTGCTACCGGTCTGGAAGCCATGGTGGTGGTTGGGTTCAGGAGTGCAGAGGTTGGGATAGAGTTAATAGGCGAAGACCCGGAAAGGGGGAAATGCACGGAAGAGAGATGTTGATGGCTGGGAGACTTCCTGTTAAAGAAGAGCGTCGGGAACAGATCAGGCTAAGGGATAGACGAAGGCAGAGGAAGCAGATAGCGGTTGCTGGGGGGTTGTACAGGTGCAAGCAGAGATGACGCTGGAGACACCGCCACAGTTTCCTCCGGGCGGTGCGGGCGCTCCTGGATAGGCCTCAAGCTGCGGCGTCAAATAATCAATCTACTTCCACGTATGTCTGTCCCTGTCAGCCATGAAATAAAATCCATCATCATTGCTTCCTGCTCAGGTTGTACTCTAGAATCCTTCGCCTGTCCGTCGGATACTGAATCCCACCGTCTGTCGTCCACTGTGGGCACTGATTCTGCCATGGCGCTTCCTGTTCTACCGTTCCGCGATATCAACCTCCACTCTTCTCCCTCCTACTACGCCTTTAACTCCCCGTCGTCGCCTAATTCTCCGGCGCTCGTTGTTGAGCGGCCAACTGGAGATCTGCGTCTCAAGGATGGTGGTCTCTTGGGCGCTAAGCGCATCTCCAGCATCGCTGGGATCCTGGGGATCGTCAAACTGAAGCTGGGTAGGTTTTCACCCCGTGACTGGTGAAACAATACAGAGGCTGCTCTTCATGGCGATGGCGCTGATAAATACAGATAAATACATCATCCTGATCACGAAAGCCCAGCCGGTGGGCCGCCTACGGGGCCACATGGTCTACAAAGTTGCCGCGACGGAATTCCTGCCTTTGCGTGAGCGTCCCTTGCATGATCGAGACGAAGATACCTACCTGGCGCTCTTGAAGGATTTGCTTCGTAATGGACCGATGTATTATTCATACTCGTTGGATCTCACCAACAGCTTCCAGCGTCAGTCTCAAAGCGATGTTAACCTGCCGCTGTGGAAGCGAGCGGACGACCGTTTTTTCTGGAATCGCTTCATCCAGTCTGATCTAATCGACTTCAGCCTTGGGAAGAATGACACAACGGGCATCCGTTATGGACCTCAACCAGGAGCCGATCCATACATCCTTCCTGTAATGTTCGGCATGCTACGGATCTCGCCCGCCAAAGTCAAGTCGACGTCCTTTACGTTCGCGCTTATCACCAGAAGGTCCAGACATCGTGGTGGCACAAGATACTTTTCAAGGGGGATTGATGAACAAGGCCATGTGTCAAACTACAACGAGACGGAACAGGTCGTGATCTTGAACGATACGACCGGAGGCCTATCTGGGTTCGAAGGGGGTCAGTCAATGACAAATGGGAAATCTCTGGGCCCAGATCTTCAGGTTTTGGCTTTTGTCCAGACCCGAGGGAGTGTGCCTGTCTACTGGGCAGAGGTCAATAATCTGCGGTATGTCCCCAAGCTTCAAGTCCGCAGCGTCGAAACCGCTGTCCAGGCCGCACGGAAGCATTTCGAAGAGCAGATTCGAGTGTACGGAACAAATTACCTCGTCAATCTTGTAAACCAGAAAGGCAGAGAAGAGCAGGTCAAGAGTGCATATGAACAGCTGGTTCGCCTGTTGCTCAGCTCCTCGACGGAGAGTACCGAGGCTAATGATGTTACCCCTGAGAAAATCCATACTCTTGAGCCGGATAAGACACAGAAAGAAACGGACCGTCTCCATTATGTGTACTTTGACTTTCACAATGAAACGAAGGGTCTTAAGTGGCACCGTGCCGAGTTATTGATGGACCACCTGAAGGATGGACTTTCGCGGGGCGGATACTTTCGAGGGGTGGAAAACCCAGCTCTTCCCAGCGGGCAGTTGGAGATACGATCCTTGCAGACGTCTGTTGTGCGGACAAACTGCATGGATTGCCTGGACCGAACGAACGTTGTTCAGAGCATGCTCGGGCGCTGGGCCGTTACACAGCAGCTGGTTGACGCAGGGGTTCTTCGCCCGGGAGAGGCGGCTCAAGATGATCAAGGTTTTGAGGATATGTTCCGTAATATCTGGGCCGACAATGCCGACGTTGTCTCAAAGTCGTACTCCGGAACAGGAGCATTGAAAACTGATTTCACTCGAACCGGCAAGCGCACCCGTACTGGGATGGTGCAGGATTTGAATAATTCGTTGACACGATATATACGCAATAACTTCATGGATGGTCCCAGACAGGATGGTTTCGACGTATTTCTGGGCACTTATCTGCCTCCAGCGTCCGCGTTAGGAGAGTTCCAGCTGTTCGTGGATCGACGGCCACTTATTATTCAATCGATACCATACATCTTTGCTGCAAGCGTCTTCATGATCGCTATTTCTATGCTGTCGAGACCTGTTCCAAATGCCACGGTGTGGCCTCTTCGCCTCTTCATTATTGTTTGGGTTGCAATTTGCGCATGGTGTGTACGCTTCATGTTTGCGCATGGGATGCTCTTTGTAAGATCTTCCTCCGATATCCCTCTCGATTTGTGCTAACTACATGGATGACAGGTTAACTGGCCAAAACTTAATACCCCTGCGCCCGCCTCGGAAGGCTATCAGGATACGCTGATCAAGGCGCGATCTGACCCAATCATTGGCAGGTGGATTGCTAAGAGAAGAAACAAAAGAGGACTTAGCAACGCCCGCCTTGGTTTCATGGAAGAAGGGAAAACAAGAGTTGAGTAACCGGTTCCCACCTTTTTTATTGCCTCCTATCTTTCCTCGCAAGTTGTTGACGCCTCTGTTATGGATATCATGGATACCTGCACTCTACCTTACCATGCTTGAAACTCTGATTGTTTCATTCGTGTCTTACTCGTCATGTTCTCTTTCTATCTGCTATATTATTCATGCCTTCGTCCTTTCATCCTTCCACTTGCCTGGACAAGATCCGGATTCTCTCTTCAGCCAGTCATTTAATCTATTTTTATTTTTTATTTGCCTACAACCCCTTCTCTGCGTGTTACCTTTTCCCTTCGTCTTTATTCGGGCCTTTCCCTTCCTGTCCTTCAACAATTCTCTTTTGTTTGCTAGAGTTAGACAATACAGATAATCATCCCCCTGTACATTTAGCACAAGGTAATAGCCCTGTATAATTTTGCGTCGACCATTGATATTGTGTAATTGTTGGACCCAGGAAGCAATAATTAGGTTAAATCCTCCGTCTCACGTGAATATTCCGCGTGCTGATAAGATTCCCGCGGACAAAAAGCTGATCTCACGGCGTTTGACGATGATGACTCGAGTTACGCTTTCATCGCAATCATCACCACATCTTTCAGGTCCATGAGGGGACATTGGAGACCTAACATCCTCCGGCGAACTTGCTTTCCGCGCTGGTTCTCTTCCTTTCCTTCCACAATGGCCCGCGATTATGCAGTGCGTTCCCCGCATGCAAGTCTTTTGCATGTCTTCCCTAGCTATATATTCCATGGTCTCTTTCTTACGTCTTGAGCTTAGGCTGCGATTGCAGCGCTGAATTCATTGCAAACAAATTTTGCAATTGTCGAAGCACTCAAGAAAACACAGACGAGGCAGGAGATGAACGAGAGGTCTGTTCCTGAGATGATCGAATGGGTTAAGCGCATTGGATACCAGGTTCGCATTCTCTTGGGAATTGCATTTTTTTAGACATAGCGAGATAACTAATTTATTGACTTCATTATATCATAACCTAGCCTTCAGACCTTGGCAAGCTGAATCCTGTACATGTCGCCGGAACAAAAGGCAAAGGGTCAACATCCGCTTTCATCTCCTCTATTCTCTCACAGTATACTGCAGCGAAGTCTGCCGGATCTGAGAAGTCTTCTTGCAAAATCCACAAGATCGGAATTTATACCTCTCCCCACCTGAGATTTGCCCGAGAACGTATACAGATTGATAATACCCCTCTTTCCGAGGAACAATTTGCGCGGTACTTTTTCGAAGTATGGGATCGGCTCGAGAAATCGGCAAGTATAGCAGGGCAGGATCCCGCTGATCCAATGTCAAAACCGCAATACTTCAGGTACCTGACGCTTATGGCGTTTCATGTGTACATGAGTGAAGGTGTTGATGCCGCGGTGATTGAATGTGGAATTGGCGGAGAGTATGATGCCACGAATGTCATTGAACGGCCGGTCGTCAGCGCTATTGCCAGTCTGGGTATTGACCATACATCCATGCTGGGATCAACGATAGAGGAGATTGCGTGGCATAAAAGTGGCATCATGAAGCCTTCGGTCAAAACGTTTACGGCTACGCAGCTACCTGGGGCTGAAAAGGTCCTGTTTGAACGCGCAAAAGAGAAGGGAGCTACCCTAGAGGTAGTTAGAGGCCACCCTGAACTTAATCCAAGCAGCGATGTGAAACTGGGTCTCGCCGGTGACTTTCAGTACATCAATGCGGCAGTTGCAGTTGCAGCAGCCGCGGAGTTTCTACGAAAGGTTGGAGTGGAGGGCATTCCGCGAAACATCCTAACTGAGTCATTACCGTCGAAATTCCGGAAGGGACTAGAGGAAACCCGCTTAGGAGGTCGATGTGAAACCAGAAAGGAAAAGAACATGACCTGGTGTGTAGACGGAGGGCATACCCTTGAAAGCATAAGACTGGCAGGCCAGTGGTTTGCTTCTCAAGTACGCACTAGTTCTGCCTCCTGTGACGAAGCAAACAGGAAGCCCCGACTGTTGATATTCAACCAGATGACTCGGGATAGTGTAGCGCTTGCTCGTGCTCTCTATGAAACCCTCACCGCAGCACTGGGGTCAGAGCATCCGTTCACCCACGCGATATTCTGCACCAACGTTACATACAAGGATGCAGGCTACAGGCCTGATCTTGTCAGCATGAACACAAATGCGACTGATGTGAAAACCCTGCGGATACAGCATACACTTGCGGAAACGTGGAAGACAATCGATCCAAGTGCCCAAGTCGAGGTTTTCAACACGATCGAGGAGGCCGTTGACTTTGCGCGGGACGTAGCTGCGGCGAACAGAGGCTCTATAGCTTCTGATGAAACCCCTGCTCTGACTTTCGTCACTGGCAGCTTGCATCTTGTTGGAGGTTTCCTCGATGTCATCGAGACCAAACCAGCTGCACAGAACACCTGAATCTTCGACAACCACGACAACCTCGACCCGGGATATTAGCTCTCAACAGCTTGACGACGGGCATGCTAAATTTCTGGGTTACGCCGGAATATTAACTATTTTATGCTTTTAGTTCGGGGGGGCGTTGCCTTCATTTGGTTTCAACAGGCGTTTGAAGTCGGCGCGGTTCGATACATTGCATCCAATAGACATAGAATTCATGTAGATCATAGATTGTAATGGAACAACCCATGAACATAGATATAATTCATACTGAAAGTGAATGCTGGATTAGCGGAGGAAAGCGTACTGCGACCCCGCATGAAGAGATTTGATGACGTGTGGCAGATTCTGCCTGCTATAATAATTATTAAATGCCACGGATGCAACAGTACTCCAGCTCCCCTTCTGTGCCCTCCTCACGCCCCCAATTGCACTCCTCTGGGCAAGCACCATCCTGAAACGGCCAACCCCAATGTCGGAATCCAAGCAGAAGGGCAAATCCACCGTGCCCAGCGGCGACGACAACAAAGTCAGAGCCGTTGACCCCGCTCCGACTGACGCAGAACCCCGTGCGACGAGCGACAAACCCAGCGAGGATATGACGAAGAAGACAATACAAGGTAAGAATGCTACGGAAGGGCCATCGGACGGCAAGCCGTCCGTAGCAAAGATGACGATGAAAGAGGCCAAGGCGTTGCTGGAGATGAATCCGGCGCTGAAGAGCGAGATGGCTGGCTTGGACGGCGACAAGGCCGTGGAAGCGATGCAGAAAATGAGCATCGCGGATCTTCTGACGGGTCTCTCTGCTAGTGGGAAGAATCAGAAGGATATGGCATCGTATAAGTTCTGGCAGACGCAGCCTGTGACTCGGTTTGATGAGCAGTCCCAGGTTGCTGAAGACGGTCCCATTAAGATCATCGATCCGACAAAGGTGTCAAAGGAGCCAGATGCATTGCTGGATGGGTTTGAGTGGACGACGCTCGATTTGACAGATGAGAAGGAGCTCCGGGAGCTATGGGATTTGTTGACATACCACTATGTTGAGGATGATGATGCCATGTTCCGGTTCAGATACTCGGAGTCTTTTCTTCACTGGTGCGTGTCCCTGCGTGTTTTCCCCTTGATAATTGCTGATATTCGATGGCTACAGGGCTCTCATGTCTCCCGGTTGGCAAAAGCAATGGCACGTCGGTGTTCGCGCCAGCAAGTCTCGCAAACTCGTTGCTTCCATCACCGGTGTTCCCACGGAGCTCAACGTGCGAGGTCAACAGCTGAAGGTCATCGAGATCAACTTTCTCTGTATCCACAAGAAACTACGGTCTAAGCGATTAACGCCTGTTCTCATCAAGGAGATCACCCGTCGCTGCTACCTCAGCGGTATCTACCAGGCCATCTACACAGCGGGCATCGTCCTACCAACACCCGTCAGCTCATGTCGCTTCTACCACCGCCCGCTGGATTGGCTGAAACTATACGAGGTTGGCTTCTCGCCCCTACCCCATGGTTCTACCAAGGCTCGCCAGATCACCAAGAATCGTCTTCCGTCTAGCACGTCGACACCTGGTCTCCGGCCCATGGAAGTCAAGGATGTCGACGCCGTCCACAATCTGCTAAAACGCTACCTGGAACGCTTTAATCTGAACCAAGCTTTCACGAGGGATGAGGTTGAGCACTGGCTGGTGCACAAGGACCAGCCAGGAAGCGAGCAGGTAGTTTGGTCGTACGTGGTGGAAGATGCGGAAACGCACAAGATCACAGACTTTTTCTCGTTCTACAATCTTGAATCCACAGTCATTCAGCACCCGAAGTACGACGCGATTCGCGCGGCATATCTGTATTATTACGCTACGGAAACTGCATTCGCCGAAAAGGAGAAGGGGTTGAAGGAACGGCTCTTGATGCTGATGAACGACGCCCTTATTCTGGCCAAGCTGGTATGGCCCATCTGACACCCCTCCCCAGTAACGATATAAGAGTTCTAGAAGCTAACATCGTTGGTCTGCAGGCCAACTTTGACGTCTTCAACGCGCTCACCCTTCTCGACAACCCCCTGTTTCTTGAACAATTGAAATTCGGAGCTGGAGATGGTCAGCTACATTACTACTTGTTCAACTACCGTACTTCTCCCATTGCCGGCGGGGTGAACGAGAAGAATCTGCCGGACGAGAAGAAGAGAGGAGGTGTTGGTATGGTTATGCTGTAAATGCCGTGGATTTGAATATGCTGCTGGTTCTTGGAGCTGCTGGATATGATCGAAGTCCAGTACTTGTCTGGTAATACCCGGAGAGAGACATGCGTGTGTCTCACTTCTGCGTGAGTCCTTCTGTATTCTAGCAATTTGCAAAAGCATTGAAAGGTAGAATTTCGACAGCGTTGGATTCAGCAATGAGCCTTCATTGTGCGTATGCCCATGACCATGTAGTAGCAAAACAGCGACTCATATTACGAATGAAATAGTTATGAGACAGGAAGCCATTGCAACTGCACCCTCTGAGGCTCCGCAACCTGAAGAGTAAGTTTTGCAATAGACGCATCCATCAACTTCAGAAACTCCCCCCGCAGCTCCGTCGCTGTCTCGGATCCTATCTGCAACGGTTTACACTCTGCAGACCGAAAAAGGGTTGCCATTGTTGCGACGAACTCCACCTGGGACATTCTCATGCCGGGACCGACTCTCGGCCCGCCGGACCAGGGAATGAATGTTCCTTTTGCCGGGGTAATTAGCTGGCCTGAGTCATCGTCCAGCCATCTGCTGGGACGAAAGTCTGATAGATCTGCACCCCAAATGGTTGGATCGAAGTGAATGGATTGCTGGGCCCAGGATTAACCATGGGGCGCTTTGGGATGGAATGGGCGACACGTAGACGGGAAAGCCAGCGCGACGAGCGTAGAGGTAGAATCGAGCCAGCGACACTGCTTTGAGCAGCATATAGCTGAGTATTAGGAGACCAAACCGTGCCAACGCTGAGATGCATGGTGACAGTGGATAATTCACGATAGTTTCAATGGTGGATGTCTTATCGTACAGCCTGGAAGATGCGCATCCTCTGGAGTCTGCTAATAATAGCATGCAGAACACCGCTTGGAGGAGTTCATCAGGATCCATTCCTGCCATCAATCCTGTCAGCCTTCTGGGTCTTCTGCACTTGGCTTGATCAAACCACTCAGGAAGAATCAACAAATGCAAGGGAAATAATCGTATCGAACATCATCCGACTTGAAGCGCTGTAAATAGTCTTGGCTCGCGGGGTCTTTGTGTCTCGAAGAGTCGAGACTCCTTCATCCTCCACGCCTCATATTCCATCCTCCTTTCCTCTGTGTCAGATCTTTCTCTTCTCTTCTCGTCTCTTCTCTTTCGCATTTCTTTCACTTTATTCTCAGCGCAGCATGGAGTGATGTGGGGTAGCTGAAGTTCCCTTCCATTGCTCCTTTCATGACATCACTCAACTCCTTGCTGCGGAGGTGATCTTACACTGTCGATCGATGGAACTGACTTATAACCCATCGCAATCCATCTGTTTCTGCTAGAATTATGGGATTGGGCCAATCCACTGAGGGCGCTGGCGCAGTGTCGTCACCAGGTTAGTTGACCGTCCTTAAAGCCCCCAAATCACCACCATGTTGATGCATTGAACTAGAGGAATTGAGTTACGTCCTGGCTGAACGCTTTGCCGTCAAATGCTTTACCTCGCTGGAGTTGACTCATTTCAAAGACAACTTCTTCAGCCGCGCCAGGGACAATGCCGGACTGAAGTATTGGGATGAACAGACCCTGTCCGATTTCCTGGGCATTCCGGACGGCGTTGGGGCTTCTTCTGGTCCGGCGACTCACGACAGTCCTCTTGATGCCGGCCCCGTTGTCTTTCGCATGGCTTCGTATCTGGGTGCCTTTCCCTTTCAGAGCACCATGGCCCCAAGTGTGCTGACGTTCGAGGCGATGGTCAAGGTCGTCGTGTTGCTGACGGAACGATATGGCAAGGTGTTACGGCGAGGACGTAAGGATAGGATCCGCTTGTTGTTTGGGAGTCTTGCCGATGTGGGGAGGAAGGACACGGGTCGACCAACGGACGACAAGGACAAGGGTCCAAAAGACGGCAATGCATCTTTACCGACTAGCTCGCATGTGTCCGGGTTTGCGGTAGATGAACCAGGCGATGATGATGACGAAGAGGACGAGGATGACCTTGCGCTCGCGGCTTTGGAATCACTCGATGCGATCGAGGTGTTTAAACATGACCAGCGCGTTCACAGAGGCACATACGAGGCTCGCATATCTCTCGACACGTTCCATCGCCTCCTGATGCTCTTGCTTGTTATTGCACCCTTGAAAGCACTGGATCCTGCTTCCTGGTACACCTGCGACCTCAGCATGCAGCGCATGAAAATGGTTCAGAAACAAGCTGACAGTATTATGGCGGCGTTTGCCCCGAAGGATGCAAGTGATGGAATAAGCTACACGGCATTTCAAAAAGCGGTTTCCTCTTCTCTGCCCTATCTTTTCGACCCATTAACGCCGTTATTTGAACACTTCCTTTTCAGCAAGAACCTGGACCTCAGCCAACGGCGTGACAGAGGGGAGTCTGTTCCTTCTGATAAGGTGGAAAAATCCCATAAAACTTCCTCCCCTCCCCCGTCGTCACCTTCTATAACGCTTCCGGGAAGCTTCGAATCCTCGGTCCTGAATCAAAGCGTTATGGCCCACATCTCCTTTTTCCTCACCTGCTCTCCCTCAGGCCAGAATCTATTCCGTAGCGGTGCACGCCTCCATCCGGTCTTCTCTGCGTCCGAACATGGCTCGTCGTTGACGTCCTTTTCCCATCATGTCCTCACCTGGCAGTCGGCGACGCTTCTTGTCCTCCAAGGTACTTCTACTCAGGGATCATCTGACCAAGGCAAAGGTCTGATAACTCTGGGAATATATCTACCAGAACCATGGAAATCATCCTCGTCAACTCATGCATCTTCCTCTTGCAAACCCCAAGATCCACAACCCCTCCCTTGTCTCTTTCAGCTCTCCCCAAAGCACATGCTGCTTCAAGGAAACCCGGCTCTCCCACCCGACAAACCTAATACCCCTGCAGCATACTTCTCCACACACTCCGGCATAGCAATAGGATGCCAGATCCCTCCCCCAGCTCGCAGCCAGCACCTCAAGCCCACACCACACGGAGCAGGCTCCCTCATCATCGACACGAGTCTGGAAACCGCTGAATTATACATTTCCCCTATCCGCAGAGACGGCGTCTTTCTCCCTCACTTAACAACATTGGAGAAGGCTGGCGATACCATAACGAAAACCTGCATCGAAATCTACAGTCTGGAGGTGTGGGGCTTTCTCTTCCCGGATCCTGATGAGTCGGGATCAATGCCTGACGCGGTGGAGTTGCAAAGAGCCATGTGGAATTTTGAAGCAAGAGAAGCGGAGCGCAGGAGGAATATTAACCTGAAGGTTGGAGGAGATCCTTCTGCTCTCGAGAATGCGAGGTGGTTGCTTGAGACGGCTGGGTTGGTGGGTGGGGGTGGGAGGAGCGGTGGGAGTGTTTGAGTTGCATCGTTTTCTTTCTTATTTTCCTGTTAGTGTTATTGTCTGTTATCTTTGGGGACACCGGTTGGTTTAATAATTTGGAGTCTGATCTGGTGTACGAAAGGTTTTGGTGCTTTTGGAAATGGTTGGATGGGAGAGATCTGTCACACAAAACATAACAATATCAACATGGTCTACAGATCTATATTCGTTCTAGTCAAAACATGATTAATCATCATTATCATTTATTTGCCCTATTTTATAGTAACCGGAAGAGACTGATGAAACGATTTAAGTGCCGACGTAAGTCGCAGCATCAAGGAAAATAGCCGTCACACTCTCAACGGAACAAGTCCGGTTGGCGGACCATAGAAATCCTTCAGTTCCTCTTCCTCTCCACCCTCCTCAGCGGAACCAGCAACATTCACATTGTTCTCAATGCCAGAATCAGCCTCAGCATCCAGAGCTTTCTGTCTCGAAATTCGACTGCTCCGTCCAGAGTGAGCATTATGGGCACCGGAGGATAACGTCGGCATTCCAGCCTTCTTATCATTGTCATTCGAAGATGCTGTCTCTTTTTCATCGTCCTTGGCCTCCCGGGGAAGCCGCAATGCAAGGAAGCCTTCAGGCGCACGCTCCGCTCTGTCCATGACTTCATTCATGTACTTGCGTACTTGGTCTGGAGGTTTCACGACGCGGGATAGAGGTTCAAGGACCTTGGCATTTGAGGTGAAGATCCGGATAGTCACGGGTTGATAGTATTCTTTCAGATTAGAATCTTTCTCTTTCTCACTCACCTTTGCTTCTTCAGACTTAGCAACATTGTCTTCAGAGCCGGGATTTGGAGCAGTTGCTGTTGTAGCGGCTTTGTCTTTGTCTGTTTGACTTCCTTGAGATGCCACATTTTCAGTTGGTTTCGGTTGGGCGGGTGTTGACGACGGTGTAGGAGTCTCCTGGTTTGCAGGGCTGGACTGTGTGGTGTTGTTTTTCCCCTTCTTGGTTCCCTTTTCCTTATCCTTGTTCGCCTTCTTAGATTTAGAACCTGACTTCCCCTTGCCTCGAGCACTGGCAGCTTCCGCTGCTGTCTCAAGGGGGAAAGGAGCGTTCGGATCGACTTTGCGTACGAGTAAGAAAGATGCAATCACAGCATTTCCTCCTGGCAGCCACTCCAATATTGAGTATTCGGGGAAGAGATAGCGGTCACCGGATCCCGCATGCCCAGAGGTGCTGCTTCCATATGGCGTTAGAGGCGAAGTAAATTCGAACACCACCGACTTGTAGTTTATCCTCGGAGGCGGTGGCGGAGGCGCCGCTGGACGGTAGTAAGGCCCTGGAGGGCCGTACTGCGGTGTGCGGGATTGGATCTGCTGAGGGGGTTGCTGATAAACTGGGTATTGAGGACTCGGATGAGGTCCTGCTGCTTGAGGGTGCGTAGGATGTGGTGACGGCCGTGCGGCAGAACTTGGCTGCCCAGTATGAGGATAAGGACTAGGAGTTGATGGCACAGCTGGAGTCATGTCAGGTTTCGGCACTGGTGAGTGCTGAGTCTCTGAAGGAGTGTGACTGAGAGGTGGGTGATTCGGGGTATTCTGGGTAATTTCAGGATCCTTCTTTATCTGAGGCGTCGTTTGCTTCTGAGACGGAGTCTGAGGTGGACTGGTTGAATTTGAAGGTACGACAGCCTGTATTGTCGGCTGCGATTGTTGTACGGGTTGTTGCTGGTGTTGCTGATGTTGTGGTTGGGTCTGTTGTCTCGGTGATTGTTGAGAAGCTTGTGGTGTGCGAGCATGGGGCTGAACTTGGCCCTGCATTTGAGATTGTTGCCGCTGCTGTTCCCTTGCCCTTATTATCGCATTCAGTTCATCTATATGAGCCTGGAATGTTCGAAGCTGTTCCTGCGACGCTTTGCTTGATGCCACAACTCTCATCAGCGCCTTTAACTCGGGGTTCGAGGCAGCCCTGGTAGCCAACATCTGAATGACCGGATCCGGACTGGGTTTCGAAGGTTGAGGAGGCTGAGACGGAGATGGCCTCTGCGCAGGCTGAGGAGTAGATGGTTGATAGCCATGGGGGTTCCCATGTTGATGCGGAGTAAGTGTTGGCGGCTGGGCCCCTGGTGGAGGGATGGGCTGCGATACTGGCTGACGCGGAGCAGAGTGAGCAGTAGAATAGGAATGAGGATGCTGCGCTGGAGGAGACATATGTTGGGGAGGCGGATATGGCTGGTATTGCTGGAAGGTGTTCCCGTGAGGGCCATAGTGAATCATCTGCCGCTGTGGTGGTGTATACTGAGGCTGCACATTGGGGTCTTTGACGGTATACAGCATCGCATCAAAGATATGCGGTCCGATCACAATGTTGCAGCTTCCAACTTTGGACATGGACTCCTTAGGAGGATTCTTGCCCTCGATCAGTTCCCTTTTTGTCTTTTTTGGCTTCGTCCAGTATCGCTCCAAGATGCCATCGCTCAACCATTTTTTCTTCGATCGTTCCAGGGATGCGAGGAGGACCGCACTGTAGATTTTCAGACAAAGGGTTAGCAAGAGGTCTTCTTCGAATGCCATGCCGGTTTTCTCCAGCAATGAAAAAGATGGAATCTCGCACCTTTCCGCAATCGACTGGTATTCATCCGGAGACAGATCTGATGGCTGAGGAGCCGGCAGTATAGGGAGGCCCTCCCCATCTTTTATTTTATAAGGAAGAGGCAGTTCTATGCGTTCCGGAGCAGGAATGGATGGAGCACGAGGAGCAACAGGAGTTGAAGCTTTCTTCCTGGATGGTGGGTGAGGTTGTGGCGTTGCTTCAGCGGCTCGTCGTTTTGCAGCAGGCTCGCGACGTTCGCGTGTCGAAAGCCTCCGTTTCTCGCCCATGACGACAAATGAGGGTGAAAAAGTCCGCGGATGAACGGTTAACACGAGGGTGATGGAAGCATGGCAGAGATGAAAAAGATCGCGGAGGAAGAAGACGATGATGCGGAGATGAAGTCTTCCCGCAATAAAGTTGCAGCACACGCCGTCACTCCTTAACTCCCCCAACAGCGCATCTTTTCTCTTTTCCCATCAGACCAGATTCATCCATGAATCAGATAGCTTCTTATCCCTCTTGAGACCATCCCGTCTGTGGAAAAGCAATGGTCGAGCTGCAGTCCATCTTCAAGAAGGCGTACTGGTCGCTCGCCGCCGGAGGACTTGTATACGTGAGCATCATCTGCTCGTTGACATATCCGGCAGTCCAACGCTTGTACGTGCTATCTGGATCTTTTATTATTAGGAATAGATGCTGACTGAGTGCACAGTGCTCTCTATGCGAATAAAATCAACCCCAGTGCCTGGCAGGATGTCAATAACGTCGAACCGTTTGGATTCCTGAGTACGCCATGTCTATGCTATGGCGAGCTGAATCGTCTCTGACCCTCCCTTCACTTTAAACAGGGACACAGGTCCAGCCGTTCAACCTCGTGACACCTGATAATGAAACCCTGTATGCGTGGCATATCCTCCCCTTGCATCTCTGCCTGGAACATGAGAAGGAACTGGATGCCAATGCGCCATCCGGTCCAGCTGAAGATTATACACGAACTTCTGCTTTCAAGCTTCTAGCCAATGATCCCAATGCCAGGGTTGTGATACAATGTCAGTATACTTGCCTGTGTATGTAGGACTAAACTCATTCCTGCTGGGCAGTCCACGGTAATGCAGCCCACATCGGCTCTGCCCAACGACCAGACATCTATCGGTCGCTCGTGGGCATTTCATCCCCCGCGAACCCAGTCCATGTCTTCGCCATAGACTATCGTGGGTTTGGCATATCTACCGGCACCCCGACTGAGGAAGGGCTGATCACAGACGGTATGACATTGCTCAATTTCCTCACTTCTCCCCCTTGAGCATCCCCCCTTCCCGTATCGCCATCACAGGCCAGAGTCTCGGGACTGCCGTCAGCGCCGCAGTCGCAGAGCGCTTTATGTTCGGCTCGCCAGATCCCACAGTCGTCCAACCAGCCCTCAGGGACCCAGAGCCCTTCGCCGGCATTATCCTCTTAGCCTCCTTTAGCAACTTACCCAGTCTCATCCACTCCTACAGTTTCAAGGGCCTTACACCGCCCATGCTCTCTCCTCTTGTGGGCTACCCTCGCTTTAAGGACTGGGTTCTCAGTCACGTCCTTGATCGCTGGGATACGGCTGCGCGGATCGCACGCTTGACCGGCGTTGGTCCTACGGCTAAATCCGACGCGGACGCCGGCTACACATACAAAGAGCTGGATCTGACAATCGTCCATGCACTCGATGATCATGACATTCCATGGTACGAAGGCCGTCTTGTTTGGACGGCGGCAACGGGCGAAAACCTGGAGAGTGCCCCCGGTGAGGTGGTCTATGAGGCACGCGACAAGAAGGGTGTGACGCAGGTGGCTATCTGGGAGAACTGTATTGCAGGACACTCCAAGACAGGGAAGAAGAAACCCGTTAAGAAGGTTAGATGGGAACGAGTTGGTTATGGTGGTATGTACTTATAGCTATTTTTATCGTTATCCTTCCCTTTTCCGTCTATTTTGACAAACGCTAACAAGCATTTTAATCCAGGTCATAACCAAGTTGCAACCTTTTCGGTCTCTGCTCTGGCGGTCTTACGAGCTTTTGAAGAGTGAGGAACTGACAGATATCGGTTCTCACAAACTGATTACTTTTAGAACCCGTATAAGTAGAATGTCAAACAGTGGACTATCTCCAGTTCTATAATTCAATGGCCCCAGACAAGTATGTAACATCATCCTACGGAGGAACATAAGGACAGTTGATATATACATCATTCTGAATTCATGTGTTCTAATACATTAGAAAAGGGCAAGAAGAATAACTAGAATGAAAAGACCTATACCAATAAGACATATCTAGAATAAAGACAACGAAATAGAAATGAAGAAGAGCGGGGAGTTCTTATAACAAATAAATCAGTACCATAGACCCTTAATAACCGACGCCCGGGGCCACAGAATTCGAAATAGTATCGGTAAAATTTGCATCAGGTAAGCTAGGCAGGTATATCCTCTTCATTTGTTTTTTGGTATCCAAGCAAGCGCATGCTAGTTAAATCAAGGAATCATAAATCACGTCGCAAACTGACCCGGTTGAGGCATGATTCGGGGAAGAGAAAGAGGTAGAAAAAAAAGAAAAAGCCTGTCTATTTCTTGTGCCTGTCGGCTTGGGCTTTCTGGTATTTCTGAATGAGTTCCTTCCTGTACGTAGAGTGAGATTCATCAGTAGGATGTTTAAACAGTCAAAGGGATATGCATGGAACGTACTGCAGTTGTGGTGGTGCCTTTTCATAATGGCTGAACTCCATGGTGTACTCTCCCTTACCCTGCGTCGCGGCGCGCAGGTGGGTGCTGAAGCCGAACATACTGTTCAGACTGCAGTCGGCATAGACGGTGAACTCATCGACACCGGTCTCGGTGTCATTGATAGTGGCATTACGCTTGTTCAGAAGCGAAATGACATCTCCCTGGAATTCAGACGGGGCAGTGACAGAGGTCTTCATGAGAGGCTCGAGGACGGCAGGGTTGCTCTCCATGAACGCCTTGCGGAAGGCCTGCTGAGTTGCGTTTTTGAAGGACATTTCAGACGAATCAGTTACGTGTGTAGCACCATCGTTGATAACCATCTTGGTGCCAAGCACCTTATGACCGATCAGAGGGCCCTTGTCGCAAGCAAGGTGGAAACCTTTCTCACAAGCAAACAAGAACTTCTCCGAGATGCTACCTCCGACAATCTGCTCTTCGAACTTGTTCTCCTCGAGGCCGCCCAGGGGCTCCATCCAGCCAGCAACACGAGCGTAGTCTCCAGGACCTCCAGACTGTTTCTTGAGCAGGTGGTCAAACTCGACCCGCTTCCCGATGGTCTCTCGGTAGGCAACCTGGGGTTGACCGGTTTCGCAGTCAACACGGTATTCACGACGCATACGCTCAACGTAAATGTCAAGATGCAGTTCACCCATGCCAGAAATGATAGTCTGTTCACTCTCGGCATCGTGCGTCACGCGGAAAGTGGGATCCTCTCTCTGGAAACGCGCCATGGCCTTCGAGAAGTTGGCGGCATCCTTGTTGTTCTTCGGCTTGATAGATAGCGAAATAACGGGCTCGGGAACGAACATCGACGACATACTGTAGCCGAGCTGTCCATCAGTGAAAGTGTCACCGGAAGCGCAGTCAACGCCGAAGACAGCACAAATTTCACCAGCTCCAATCTCAGTAACTTCCTCCATTTCATTGGAATGCATGCGGACGATACGGGGAATCTTAACTTTCTTGTTGTTCCGCGCATTGAAGACGTTGGCTCCCTTACGGAGAGTGCCCTGGTAGACACGAATGTATGTCAACTGTCCGAAGTTGCTCTCCTCCAGCTTAAAGGCAAGACCGACAAACGGAAGTGAATTGTATGAGACAAGCTTCACAGACGCCTCGTTGCGCTTGCGGTCAAGTGCAAAGTTTTCTACCTCAGAAGGGTTTGGAAGGTAATCAACAACACCGTCGAGCATAGGCTGCACGGACTTGTTAGCCAGTGCGGAGCCGATGAAAACCGGTGTGAACTTCAATCCGATGGTCGCCCGTCGAATAGCATCCTTCAATTGTTGCTGTGTCGGTTCGGCCTCATCCAAGAAGATCTCCGCAATTTCATCGTCGACGTCGGCGAGCGTCTCGATAAGGATCTTTCTTCTCTCTTCCGCTACTGCCTTTACTTTCTCCGGGATCTCATCCGTCTCAAAAATAGTCTCACCGCTGGAACCTTGGTTGTAGATGGCCTTCATCCGGATCAAGTCCACTACGCCCTCAAACTCGTCCTCAGCACCAATGGGCACCTGGACAGCAGCGGCGGGAAGCTTCAATTTGGTGTTGATCTGCTCAATAGCCCTGAAAGGATCGGCACCCATACGGTCCATCTTGTTGATGAACGAAATTCGAGGAACGTTGTACCGTCTCATCTGTCGATCGACGGTGATCGTTTGCGACTGCACTCCAGAGACGGCGCACAGGATCATCACAGCTCCATCAAGGACGCGTAGAGCTCGCTCGACCTCGATAGTGAAATCAATGTGTCCAGGTGTATCAATCAAATTCAGGTGGTATGTCTGCTCCTTGCCATCTTCTCCTTTTTTGACCCAGTCACAGAACGTAGCGGCAGACTGGATGGTAATACCCTTCTCACGCTCCAACTCCATGGAGTCCATCTTGGCACCAACATTGTCTCGACCGCGGACTTCGTGAATAGCCCGGATACGACCGGTGTAATACAAAACTCTTTCCGTACAAGTGGTTTTACCACTGTCGATGTGCGCCTAGTTGTCCGAAGTATCCCACGTTAACAACCCATGCCACTTCGAGTCCGGAGCAAGGAAGGTCAATGCTTACCGCAATACCAATATTCCTGACTCTGGAAAGTCTTTCGGCCTCAACGGGATCAAGATTCTCGATAATACTTTCCTGGGTGAGAGTCTCCGGGGAAGAAGCAGCGGCTTCGAGGCTGGGGGAAGAAAAAACATAAATTAGCAATTGAGAACAACCCGGGTGAGAATAGAACAGCGATGAGAAGCCTTACACAGCAGCCGCAGTGCCAGAGGCATTCCTTCTCTGCTGCCAGTGCCTATTCAGAACAGACTGATAAGCCGGCGCTGGACGCAAGGCCGCCGTCGACGTGCATCGCAGACTGGAGAGTTTCTGCGACTGAAGACGGATGGGAGATCTGGCCAAGCCTGAAACGGCACGGTACTGTAACCGTGTGAGAGAAGGATACCTCATGGCTGTTCATCCACCTGCAAAGGAATTGGTCAAGCAACGACTTATTCCTCCGGAATCCCAAACAGTTACAATTTCTTGTCGAAAAAATGATCGGGGAAAACGCGGCGTCACGTGAGAGGCATCATTGGTCCGCCGGAACGGATGCGCTCCGAGTCTGTTTCTACGCATTCGTGGTTAAATAATACTGGAGGAAAAGTTCATACAGTCTGCCTTTTGTCTTGCAATTGGAAGAGAAACGTCTGTATTATACATAAATGCCGCTGGCCACCTCATCAAACAACATAGAGGAAAGCAGAAAAGGGCCCGAGGACGCCTTGGTAGAAACCCGATGATAAAGCATCACATATCCCATTGTAGCAGTATAGTCCGATATCCACATAGAGCAAATTCAAGGAAACACAGTTGAATATCACGTCCTGTCATCTATTTGCCTTGACGTTGCTTGTGTTTGGGATTTTTCGAACTAGAAAATCACCGCAAATGTTTAATTAGCCATTGATCTTTCCGACGCCCAAAAAGAAGCAATTGGCAATGAGAATATGAAAGAGAAATCTTACCAGATGATATAAACTCTGTTCTTGCGTCGCACAGGCTATATCCAATTTTCAACAACAGTCAGTAACAAAAACCAAAAACAAATTAACCTCTGCTCTGCCCACACTGAACGGAACGACCTATGAAAAGAAAGAATGCAATAACAATACCTTGCACCCATCGCAAAGCCTCTTCACAGACGACCGCGTCTTCATTCCCCGAACCTGCTCAAGTTGCCGAACAGTCGACCCGACAACCATAGCACCAGTTCGTTGTTGTTGCTCTCCAGCCCTTGATAGGAGTAGACGCCAATTCCGAAGGCCATTGGTAGATGAGATCCTCGTTAATTGCGAGAAGGTTCTTGAGGCGATAGACAGGGAAGAAGAAACTCGCGGGAATAGTAGGAATCGGCGGACGATGCCGGACAAGGCGCCGGGGCGGGAGGGAAACATGGTCGGTCGCTCGTAGGGTTTCTGATGGAGTGAATGAGTTAATTCCAGGAAATACCCGAGGAGGTACAGAGCAGGGACTGGGGAGCTGTTGGCGTTGAACAACCTCCGTTGCTGCTCTGATGCCGCCGGAGGTCCTCGAGATGGTCTGAAAAGGGAAAAGCTTGGCCGGAGTCTCTGTATCGCCGCCGCTCCGAACCCAGCAACACTGATTGGCCGGTTCTAATGTCCTATTCAGCAAGGCTTCAAGGTATAATTATTTTATTTCTTTAACAATTGAAGATGAACTCATATTGGAATCAAAGAGGGAACCGCCCACAAATTCAAGGGCCCAATTATAAAAGGTATGTACAATGGTCTAAATTCCAAATAGGAAAACACATGTCACTCCACCTGCCTATTTTTGATTCACGCACAAAATAAGTGCCTTGTCTTCCATTTTCACAAATGGCCTCTTGAGTCCATGGCTCAAAAATAACATAGTTTTGACTCAGTCATTGCGCAGGAATATCTTGTACGTCGGTGAATCTGTGCACTCGGTAAACGGATACCGGATCTCTTTAAGGAACGCCGCTAGATCATCCTTTTCAGAGTCGGGGCATTGGATGCCTGCGAGGACTTTTCCAACGTCCTCCCCATAATTGCGGTAGTGGAACAAGGAAATGTTCTGGTTCGGACGGAGAGTCCTGAGGAAGTTGGCCAGAGCACCAGGGCGTTCAGGGAATTCAAACATGAAGATGCGTTCGTCTTTGACGTTGCTGCGACCACCAACAAAGAAGCGCACATGCCTCTTGGCTAGTTCGTCATCGCTCACATCGTTCACAGTCATGCCCCCACTGGTGATGTTGTCCATAATTTTGGCCAGATCTTCTCGACTGGTCGAAGCTGACAAGGAGATACCCATGAGGACATCTGCAGAGTCAGAGCGCGCATAACGATAGCTGAAGGCGGTCACGGAATGCGGCAGAACTGCCTCAATGAGTTTCCCAAAGGCCCCAGGCTTCTCAGGGATGTTTACACTCAGGAGGGCTTCTTTGCGTTCGCCCAGAGCTGCGCGTTCTGCGACGAATCGCAGCCTATCAAAGTCCATGTTTGCACCAGAGGTAACAGCGACCAGTTCTCGGCTTGTATCAGGGCTGGGATTTTTGGCAATATATTTCTTGAGACCAGCCAAAGCAAGTGCGCCTGCCGGTTCGATGATGGATCGTGTATCCTCAAAGGCATCCTTGATAGCTGCACAAATCTCATCGGTGGAGACTTGAACGACCTCGTCGACAACCTCACGGGCCAACCGCCACGGTTCTTCTCCGACGATCTTTACTGCTGCTCCATCCGCAAAAAGTCCAACCTCATTCAGCTGCACGCGAGAGCCCGAGCTCAGAGACTGAGCCATGGCATTGGCATCGTATGCCTCAACACCAACCACTCGCACTTGCGGTGCAATACGCTTGATGTAGGTTCCAACACCAGCAATCAAGCCACCACCACCCACAGCACAGAAAACCGCTTCAAGTTTCTGGAGGTTTGCCTGACGCAAAATTTCCAATCCAATAGTCCCTTGTCCAGCAATCACATATGGGTCATCGAAGGGAGGGATACTCGCTAGCCCGTGCAACTTCTCCAGCCGATGCGCCTCCTCCTTGGCAGCATCGAAATCATTCCCGTGCAGAACCACACTTCCTCCTAGACGCGAGACGTTCAGATGTTTAATGGCCGGTGTGCCAGCAGGCATGACAATGGTTGCCGGGATCTTCAATTTTCGCGCAGAGAAAGCAACACCTTGGGCATGGTTACCTGAAAAAGAATGTAGATAAGCAAAATGTCCCCCATGTAAATCCAAAACTTAGGGCTTAGGCTCGTAACCTTACCTGCTGAACACGCAACGACGCCCTTCCACCTTTGCTCCTGGCTCAGATGAGCCATTTTGTTGTACGCCCCACGAAGCTTGAAGCTGAACACAGGAAGCAAATCCTCCCTCTTCAGTAGAACCTTGCATTCAAGTCGATTGCTCAGATTCACGGCATGATGAAGGGGCGTTTCATGAATCACATCGTAGACCCGTGATGTCAAAATCAACCGGAGATACTATCAAACCTCAAAAGTATGAGCGATCAGGTCATTAATTCCCAGAGTAGAGAAGGCAATTGGCATAGTCCTTACATCAGGATATCCATTGGGAAGCAGGAAGGTATCGGGAATATCCCAGCTGGGACCAGAAGCTTTGGTCTGGGCTCGTTCGTTCGGCGGGGTCGGAGCTGCTGTGTACTCTGTAAGGGAGAGACCGCTCAACTTGGGAGTGGCAGGTTTGGAAGCGCTGCTGGTAGATGACTCGTCCGACATAATGGTTCCACGGGGAAGACAAGAAATTAAAACGGACAGAGTGCAGAGTCAATGGGAAGAAGACCTTATCAGTTTTCCAGCGGTGAGTCAGTCGAAGGATTCGAACAATCCCCGAAATCGGTGAACTACCGTTGATTATGTCATCGCTCCCTGTCCAGCCCTAGTTAACTGATGCAGGGCCCTAGATGTTCTTCACAGGCCATAGGATGTAGTCTGGATTATTTACTGGATCGATAAAATCTTAATAATATGTGTTATTCAAAATAAACAGTTTTATAAGCCAGAATACCAATGAGTCCGGCAGGTCCAGGTAAAACATCCCACTGTCCGGATTAGGGTCAGCCTTCATCAACTTTATATACCATTGCAAGACCTCACATGTGGCAATGATACCAGTCATGTTCTTTCTCATAGTTAGGAAACCCAAGAAGGATGCAGCATCCAGTACCGGGAACCAAAAACCTTTGATCAGAGCACTCATGAAGTTGGCCACGGCACCGTTCAGAATCCCCAGAGATACAGTCATGAGGAGTCTTCAGATCGGGTGGAGTTTCCTTGAGCTGATATCTAGGGGCCTTTTATGCTTGGTTCCTGTCTGATTTCGAGAGGCTCTCCAAACCAAAAGAATGCTGCCATGATGGCTGAATATCCTGGCGTTGTGAAGATTGTCGGAAGGAGGACGAATGCCCATACAAACGTCCACCTATAGCTCCAACTGCCTGACAAAGAAACAATAAGAGACAAAGTCAATGAGCCAACCTGCAACCACTCTGTTCTGCTACATCTCTCCACTAGAATATGGCTCCAGAACCTAACCAAGGGCCGTTGATCAACAGTAACCCGCAGCTGCAGTCCCCCTATCGCTCACTCGAATCGAGAATTGGATACCGGCTTCTTCTTGGTGGGGCCCGTCACCTTGGCTTCTATGAAAAAAGACACATGGTGGCCGTTTCCGATCAGCAAAGCTTTGCGCGCCATGGAAGACAAGCTGGCAACATCGTTGAACCTCCCACCGGGCGCTTACGTCCTTGACGCCGGGTGTGGCGTCGGCCTCTTTGCTATTAATCTAGCAACTAAGCATGGGTTCAAAATCCAAGGGATTGACATTGTTGAACACCCTTTGGAGAAGGCAAGGCGGAATATCGCTCAATCAGCACTCTCTGAAAAACAGATTGCGGTTCAGAAGATGGACTATCATCATTTAGAGAGCTTCGGGTGTGAAGCATTCGATAGTGTTTATACAATGGAGACATTTGTTCACGCTACGGAACCCGAGGCAGTCTTAGCTGGGTTCTTTCGCATTCTTCGTCCCGGAGGCCATCTGTCCTTGTTTGAGTACGACCATGAGCTAAATGACGACTCTCCGAAGGCAGTGGCGCGCTCTATGCGCAAGATCAATGAATTTGCTGCTATGCCGACAAATTGTCGGTCACATCCAGGGGTATTTCAGCAGATGCTCGAAGATGCCGGGTTCACGGATGTCATTGTTCGTGACTATTCTGACAACATAAAGCCAATGACGCGACTGTTTTACCTGATTGCCTGAATTCCTTTCCTAACAGTTACAGTCCTTGGTCTGGAGCATTATTTCATCAATACTGTCGCGGGAGTCCAGTCTTATCGCGGCCGTAAACATTGGCGGTACCTGGCCATTTCAGCTATGAAACCAGGAGAGCCTGGCAGTGTTCTCAATTCAGGTAAGGAATAGAGATCGGATCACAAAAGTGTCTATAGGACTTCAAGGGCAGCATCCTTAGACCGGTATTCCTTATAATGATATCCTTTCGGATGTAGGCAGCGCATTCTTTAGCGCTTCTGTTCAGGCTATTCTTGAACAGCATCTTCTGAAACGAAAGGGACCGGTGCATAGTGTCAGCGCATGATAATCAGTAAAAAAAAAAAACAGGATGATTGCCATCTTTGATGTAGCAGGTCACCAGTCCTAGCAAATAATCTCAGTCCGTTGGCGCCGGGCTGGGTCTTCGTTTGCCGGTCGAATTGTGCAGGCAAAACGCCATAATGAGAAACCTGGCGGCTAGTTGCGATCAATCATTTCCCTCAGTGCCTCCGTAGGGCCTATAGTCAGTGTCTTGAGGTAATATTTGCCAATCTAAAGGCTGATGTGTAGCCATAAACAAGTTGGTGGGCGAGTAGCTCGCAACAACTGCGCAACTGCAATTGTCACCACTTTTGAAGCCCTCCAGCAAATGGCAGCTAGATTATGAATTGGAAGAAGGCGACCTGACTGTTCGAAAAGGCAGATCGGCCCAGCTGCAGTGGGACATGGCCATTGCCAGGATACGCACCAGCACCCAAGCAGCGGCAAACATGTTCTGCACAGCTTCAATACAAGGGAGGCTCTGGTACAAAAGAAAAGGGCCCAGCAATAAGCAGTAGCAAAGTTTCGGTTCATCCATATCAATATTTCAATGAAAAAACCGGGTAAGTATTGACAATTGATGCTTGGATCGGATAGACAAACGGCGATCCAACCGGAGGACCCGCGCGGAGAAAAGCAGTCCACCTTCACATCCATTTCCGAAGAACCTCCAGACAGACAACTTCGAATCAACGCCGCAAAATGGACAAAGGACCTCTTCCATCTTCTGTACAGATAAATGATGACCTGTGAGTACCTATTATCATCCCCAAATATCAGCATACACCTGAAGGAAGCAGACAATTGACAAGCTCTCCCTTTTTTTTTCTCCGTACAGCCAGTTCGAGGAACTCGAGGAGGAGACTGGACTCCAAAAATTCTTTGGACGTCTCAGGAAAGAGCCTCTTATTCCGCTAGGTAAGGTTTATTTATCTATTTATTTTTTTTTAAAAAAAAAATTCATATGGTTTCCCAACGACTTGGTTCTAACTCCGTCTTCACACGACAGGATGCGCCGCAACCTGCTACGCCCTCTACCGCGCATACCGCTGCATGAAAGTCGGTGACTCCGTATCCATGAACAAAATGTTCCGAGCCCGTATCTACGCCCAGGGTTTTACCCTCCTCGCTGTCGTCGCGGGTGGAATATACTACAAGAACGAGCGGGCGCAGCGCCATGAATTCGAACGGATGCTCGCGACTCGTCGATCTCAAGAGAAGCGCGACGCATGGCTGCATGAGCTTGAGGTTCGTGATCAGGAAGATAGAGAGTGGAGGGAACGCCATGCTGCCATTGGGGCTGCGGCGAAGGAGGCGGGGAAGCGACAGAAGCCAGCGGCCACCTTCGAGACAACAGCTGTTCCTGAGACGCAAAATGACAGTGTCACGGCTGTTCTCGATGCCATGGAGGCTTCGAATGAGAAGAAGAGCGGCGGTGGTATTTTAGATTCCGTCAAGTCGTTGATCTGGGGGAAGAAATGAATGGACGGAATGGGAATATGGATACGACAACTCCACTCTCTTTCGTAATTTGTCTAACTGTTAGTTTTACTGCTGCATTTTATTCTCTCATTTGTGTACATATATATCACCGGGTTTGCGGGTACAAACGGCACGGATCTGGAAATTTTGATACTTCTTTTGTTTCCGTTATATCAGACCCTGCCGGTTGGGTTGATGTGTGGGAATATCAGACACAGGGAGGAAGATATATACACGCATAATGGGTCCACACAGTCAAGAGGCGATCTGCTCGTCGATATATCTCTTCATGGTATCAAATTCTGTCTTCCCCGTCTGCGTAGACACGTCAGCAACCATATCATATCCAGAAGAGAAGACAGTCAGCTCCTACCGAAATCAGGTACCGTATATGATGCTGGAAATAGACGAAAATCAGTCTCTGTTAGAAAAGAAATATAGCACGAATAACCATCACCCTACTTACCAGGTCTGTTACATTGCGATTCCGCTCGAATTCATGACGGGCATAGCTACGCAGTTCATCCCGTGTTGACGAGGGAGGGACCTCTTTAGAGCATCATAGAAAACTCAGCGAATGGCCTCACTTCATATGTATAGAATTGGAATAGAGCAAAGAGAAACTCACTGTACAACGCCCTCATAATCTCCCTCCACAAACCAAGAACACGCTGTCTCTGGATAAACTGTTTGATCCACCACTTAGAAAACTGCTATATGAAAATCAACATGTTCAAAAGGACAATTGATTCTAACCTGTTCCAGGCTAACAGTAGGCTTCCGCAGCTTGGAAGGCTGGCCTTTCGAGACGGCAGCGAGCAATTGCAGAGATGACCGCATTGGGGCACAGGCACGCCACTCAGATCAGACTCTTGATAGGCATTTGATGGCTTCGTTCAATGGACACGGTCCATGAAGGAAGAAGTCAAAAAGATATAGCGAAGGAGACTATTCAGAATGCATAGAAAAGGGCCGAGGTGATCTCAAGGCGGTAAGATTTCCGAAATGGGAAATTCTGACATCCACCAAATGACTTCATTTCTTCTTGGCGTCAATAATTACTACTCTTCTATCTACATCGTAGCAATCGTAAAGAATCAGCAAAACAAAAAACTAACTTCCATCCCTCAGTACATGTCTCCCCCCAAGGTTAAGTCAAGTGAGGATATCCTGTTGGTGCATTCCACGAACAATACAGCCAGGAAGAGTATGAGTGCGCTCAGGGACATTTAATCTTGTGCCAGTAGTGTGTTTATTGATCTGACACACGATAGAATTCTTCTATTACGGTGCCAGCCCATAGGCTGCTGATGGGGTCGAACACGCTGAGTTGGCTGTCCTAGCTGGCCATCTACGCTACCTACGAAGGGGCTGACTATAAAACCACCAACATTTTCTCGTCAAGACCTGCGGTCAGCTCTAAATCAAGGCTATATACATGTTTCCACTTCAATTTGCATTCGCAGCCCTGTTGACGTACTCGTAGATCGTCGTTTGAACCCTTCCCATCGGTGAGGATAAAAGCGTTTGCTTTCATCTCTTCAATATGGAATCACTACACAAATGAATGAGAAAGCAAAGAAGAGCAGCATATCTCCTATGGGGTCAAGCCTTCGATGCCGGTGAAATGGCACTAGAAAATAGGTATCTCTGGGCGTTCCTATACTCCCACATTGCTTAGTTAATTGAGATTCAAAAGTAGTACCGTTCGACTTCCGTGGAATCTTTCTTGGCCCATGCACTGGGTGGCTCAACTACAAGTTTCTCCATTCTGGTGTAGCAATGGCCCCTATCCTCTGGCAGCGAAATGCAATCTGGCCATGAGGACAGGGTAAATAGAAACCTTAAACTCGTTGGCTGCGAGTCGGAAGACCCTGGGATATTCTCTTTGTAAATAACAATGCACATGCCTGCGGTACAACAGTTGTTGCACTTCTGCCCTATTCCAGAGGCACACTGCAGAGGGAAAGTGAGCTGACCATGATCATCAAGGTGGCCAGTGACAGCCAGTTGGTGTCCCTTTGTCTCAAGCTATGTCATTCCAAGTAGCACCACCCATTTGTCTTTTGGGTGGCGGAAGGTCTCAGCTTCATCAAGTTCCCCCGCACTACAAGCCCCAACATCAGCAGACATCCCAACCGTGGTGTAGTTTGAATCCATTAAGGGTGCATAGTACTCACCTGAGAGGCATTGCTGATAGACTTAAGTTCCATGCCCGAATTCCACAAAGGGAGCCTATGTTTACCCTCCTGACAGGGGTACACAGCAACCCGAGCGAAAGCTCCCCGGGATTTGTCTCATTAGAATCCTGCATCTTTCAGCCCTCGGCTTTTCTAATAGCAGGAGCCTGGTTTCTTCCTGTGTCAAATGGTCGTAAAGGTCTCACGATGGCTGTCCCTCTCTTATTTGTGAAGACTTTGCCGAATCTGCATGCTGCAATGAAATTTGTCGTTTGGCCTCCGCTTTCCAACTCTGCAGGGGCTGGGATAACTGGAGGCCACGCCTCTCCCATCAGCAATTGTCGCCAAGCTATTCTTATAGCTATAGGCTGTCAGGAGGATAAAGACGGCGGCTATCGATGGAAAAATGCATTTGGTTTCCTTTATATAGCCATCTGTTAACATTGAGTGCCCAAAATTATGAAATGGCCTTTATATACGGTATAGGACTTCTTTCCATGCTGGTGTCAGTTCCTGCAAGCATTTGACACAACAAGGTCTTTGATTTTGACGATTCAAGACTTTAAAAGTTAACTTGGGGTGATCTTTGTATCCAACATGGAAGTCATTCGACTTCGGCTCTTGTCCACCGAAGTCACTTGGAGATTTAGCGGTTAACCTTCCAAACTTCCATTGGATCACGGGATTTTGCAGTGGTATCCTTGTTAAGAGCTTCAGGACGCGACTGTATTGAGCCAAAAAGGGTTATGGTGCATATCCTGCTCTTACGTAGATTCCTATACTGGATCTAGGTTGACATCAGGGGCGAGGACTGAAGTTGACTCTGTTTTATTTTGACCGTAGCTAGGTCCGGGCATGCTTCCCTCAGCTTCGCTTTGGCTTTCACAGTAGTCGCGGTTGAAGCTGTTCTGAATCTGTTCAAATAATGAGATCCTCGGTGCTATCATAAGCCTCAACTTGGGAACAACTCACCGAATCGGTAACTGGATTATGATCCACATAGAGGCATAGTTAGACTTGGTAGTGTGAAAAGTTTGCTGCTGGACACACTGTTGACACGCATGAGTATTTGAACAGTCAATTCTTTTGAGTTGGACAGACTGTCTCAACACCATAGCTGGCAGTATTCAGGCCAACTGCTCTCAGTATTAGTGCAAGGACATACTAGTAGTAAGAGGATTATTTTCATTGTCTTACTTAATCCCATTTCGTCACCTAATATAACACCACCATCTTCTATGTCCTTGTCCTTGACCAGTATCCAGAAAGCTGCAAAAAAGAGGACATAAGGATAGGTTTTGCGTCGCATACTATTAATTGGGATTGTTGCTTTGGAAACAGATGCGCTGATTTTGGTTGAAAGACCAGAAAAAACCCATGGAATTGACTCCATAAATCCGGTAACAATTGCTCAGTGTCTCATTGGAAGACTTCTTTGTCAGGAGATGAATATCTTCAACATGCAAACTATGGAGCATTTCGTTCCGCATTTGCCAGGGAAACATAGGGCTATTCTGCCAATCCTTCATGTCTCTGTTGTCGAGCATTTATGGATAAATTTTTAGAATTGCGAGGGCGAAATAAAAGAGTTTTGGGGAACAAGTCCCGGGCACAACGGCCATTTCAGCAACAGGCCCAATCGAGACAAATACTGCCTCAGCACTTCTCTTAGGCTCAGGGTATTGCATCAGATCCCGTCTTCCGTGCTGCAGGCAGAGATCGAGCAAATGTGTAGAATATTCTGTCATTGCATCCACCGCGTTAGTTTTCTGTACACCAGTAGCGAGCCGGGAACCGAGTTACCTTTTCAAGAATCAAGTTGAAAATCCCGATATAGCCGGTGAATCCTAGTCTACTCTGCCATTCTATGCCCATAGGGGAGCATAAAAGGCATGTAATTATTGGGGTCCGCGTTTGGAGCAGGCAGTGGCTTGTTGACTGTCGTGAAAGAACTTCCAGGGTTGGCGAGTTCTTGATTCTGATCAGTCGTCGTGGTTTGACATAGCGGTTGATGGTCGATACCATGCAACGAGAACGGCGTCGAGAAAATGGTTATATAATTCTTGTAGTCAAAAGTTTGCCGTAACTTCGCCAGCTCGAGCTCTGTGGTAGGCCGTCGGTCAGGATTTGATCTATCTCTGCGCCCCTTGCCTTCGTAAGAAGGCCCAGGAGCAAAAGTGTCACAGCACTTACCAGTTAATTATTCTGATTCTGTATGCCTTGTCTGTCAGTTCCCTCTCCCCTCTTTGTCATTTTTCTAGACCATTGAACTCTGAAGCAACTATCATGGTTTGTCATCATGCTGCTGCAATTCAGATTTCCCAAGCAAGCAAGCAGAGTGAATGTGCTACCTCCTGGATCCCCATTTCAGCATCTTGCAGAACCTCCAGAGAAGCATGTAGTAGGATACTTCTCTCCCCAGCCTCAGGCGCTACACCAAGGTTGAGTATGGAACATTGTGCCGTGTTGAAGCACGATTAATTTGTCCTTCTGTTCTTTTGATATTATGAGCGAAAGTGGATGCAACTGGATGGCCGTCAAATCTGTAGTTTCAATCTAGTCATGTTGCACCCGACAACCAAGATAGAAGTTTCGATCGATTGCTATGTATGGGAAGTCTGTTGAGATTATATTTCATGACACCCCGAAAGTGGCAGAGCTTTATATAATATATAATTGAGGATCCCGTAGGACAAAGTTCGGAAGGATTGCGATCTGCGCTTCAGGAAGTTTTGAACGTCGGTATATGCCAGGTTTGGTAAGACTAGGCTTCTCAATAATATATATGCGAAATATATATAGATTGAGGCTTTCGCTGTAGTGTGCCAGTCGTTAAAGCCATTTGCTCAACGGGGTCCCTGCCAATATCTCGCTGGTGTTGTGCTCGTACTCCTCGTTCAAACCGAGCGACCCCCTCCGTTGCTTTCTAGTCAGGAGACTCACTTTCGATGGCATTAGAATTTCTGTAAACAATTAGCCTGCCATCCTTGAGAGCTTGCAAAGACTTGGTTAATTATTGAGGTCGAAAGATCGTACCAGACGCTCGTCTCAGCGCATGTTATATACTGTGAAATAGTCGTGCCATGAGTTGCAAAGGACCATCCATGCCGCTCCGCTCGCGATATCGTTATGCTTGTCGCTTGTATGATCGTCAAGAGCAGACGTTGTAGTTTTCCCACTTGACTTCACCCCCTGCGGCACGAACACACTGGAGGTATCACCATATTAGAGATAAATTGCTCCACTTCCTCGGCCGTCCGTATCTTTCCAAGAATAGCGGATGTTAATGTCTATATGTCGGAAGAAGGACTTGTCTCTTGATAGAGCATACCTGGCATAATAAGATAGCTGGTCCAGGTTGTTCCCCTGCACAGTTCCGGAAGTGTCCACTTGGCCATGCCCAACGCCTGGTTCCCTCGTCAGCGGATTGGGATATCCAGGATATTTGCTGAGGCAGTTCACGGAGAAGGACCGAGATATCCGTAAAGGCCTGCACGAGGTCATGGATCTCGGCCTTGATCGTTGCAATGTATGGTCCTGGAAGAGGATCCACATCTGGGCTTCGATTTGGCAGTCTATCTAGGTCTTTCATCACGATGGATGCGCCCTCCTGCCTGGAGTAACGTTTTCATATTCAGCGCGGGCTCTGTTAATCTGAGTAACATGCAACATGCTACTTGGGCGTCATGGCATCTTTTCAGGGCAACAGTCATATATAGAAGTAACTTTGTAGTAATGATTTCGAGATTAGCTTATCTATATACCCACTAGTGGGATATATTCATCCAGAGAGAGAATGTAGAAGCAATATAATATGTATATATATAGAGTAAAAAGGTAAGAGTTGAGGTAGAAGAGGTGGAGAACTAGTGAGTATAGAATCCCCTCTTTCCATAGTCCTTCAGTGAATAGCATAAGTCAAACAATATTCACTGAATGGAATCATTCACTCTATCCAAAGAGACACGTCATATTTGGGGACTCAAACGGTTTCTTGCTTGAGATATGTCTGCATCCTGGAGACGTGGATTATGCGGGTAGCCGGCTAATACACTCTGGCCCGGACAGTAAGACATCCCATGTCCAGGGATCAAGGATTACCTTGCAGTGGATGCAAGGAGTCTCCGTACTTTGGCGGTTGTGCCGTTTGTTGTCATGAACAGGTAAGATCCCGGGCATCAGACTGCAGGGACGAAAGACAGCTTCACCTAACCTTCACCCTTGGAATCGGCCAAAGGGGTCTCACAGTAAAACAAACTCATATAAACTCTATATAACAGAAGAAGCTATTTTGATAATCCAGAACAATGTACAAGAAGTCCTGCTGGTTCCAAGAAACATGCCCAAGAAAATCAGATCAATCCTGATTAGTTCATATAAGATGCATATGGCATTCATTTCCAGAGCTGTGCTTATTCATGTCGACATTTACAACGGATTGATCCCGCCAAATGTAATGCTCTTGACGACGACAAACTCGTCGACACCGTACTTGCTGCCTTCGCGTCCGAATCCACTTTGCTTGACACCGCCGAACCTAGTAATATGTCAGTGATTGTAATGTCTTGCACGGCGAGTTATACGTATACATACGGAGAAGCAACGTCACTAATCAGTCCCGTATTCACGCCCACCATTCCTACCTCCAGTGCTTCAGCGACACGGAAGATGCGCTTGACGTTTCCGCTGTAGAAATACCCGGCCAGACCAACCTCTGCCTGGTTCGCCAGTTCGACAACTTCCTTCTCTGTCTCAAATGGGAACAGGCCGGCAACTGGGCCGAACGTCTCTTCGGAAGCGAGGCGCATGTCTTTGTTCATTCCAGTAAGAACAGTCAGATGGAAGAAGTTTGGCCCCAGCTCGGAGGCCCTCTTGCCTCCGACAATGACCTTGGCGCCCTTGGCTTCGGCATCGCGGACATGCTCGGCGACCTTTTCGACAGCACGCTCATGGATGACTGGGCCATGCGTGATACCGTCAACGAAGCCGCCTCCCAGCTTGAAATTCTTGACCTTCTCGGCAAATCGCTTGGCGAACTCATCATAAACCCCCTTCTGCACGTAGATGCGGTTGGCACAGACACATGTCTGTCCAGAGCTTCGGAATTTGGAGGCTATAGCTCCAGTAACCGCAGCGTCAAGGTCTTCAACGTCATCAAACACAATGAACGGGGCGTTTCCTCCAAGTTCCCAGGAGACCTTCTTGAGAGTAGATGATGCCTGCTTCATAAGAAGCTTACCAACATTGGTGGATCCCGTGAACGACACTTTGCGGACTTCGGGGTGCGTGGTTAGCAACTCGCCCACCTCTGGGGTATTCCTCGACGCGGTGACTATGTTGACAACACCCTTAGGGATCCCTGCCCTATGAGCCAATTCCGCCAAGGCATTAGCAGTAAATGGTGTCTCTCCGGGAGTTTTTATAACAACAGTGCAACCAGCCGCCAGAGCAGGCGCTGCCTTTCTTGTGATCATCGCCGCAGGGAAGTTCCACGGAGTGAGCAAAGAACAGACACCGACGGGTTGCTTGACAGTGATGACCCTGTTTCCTGCGACCGACGAGGGAATCGTATCGCCATAGATACGAGGTGCCTCCTCACTGAACCATTCGAAGAAGCCGGCAGCGTAGTTAACCTCTCCCTTGGCGTCGGCCAATGGCTTCCCATTCTCCCATGTAATAAGCGTTGCTAGATCTTCTGCATTGTCGACCATCAATTGATACCACCGGCGCAGCATTCGAGAACGTTCACGGGCAAGAGTGTTCCGGAACTTGGGGAAAGCTTCCCTCGCGGCCTCAATAGCCTTTTCGGCGTCGGCAACATCAAACTCGGGACATGTTCCAATGAGCTTACCAGACGCAGGGTCTGTTTGAAGGGGTCATCACCTGTCAGGTTTGACCATGTCGAAAATCCATTAAACAAAGAGAAAGCGAGCCACCTACCGTAGACTTCAAAGGTCTTCCCAGACTGCGAATCAACCCATGCCCCGTTGACGTATGCCTTCTCAATGAAAAGCGACGGATCATTCAACTAGGAACGACACCTCCATCAGCCAATTGTGCTTATAAATAAAGCACCCGTACCTGTTACCAGTAACTTACCCGAGGTACAACATGACTCTTATTGCTATAAAGTCGCGCAGCATGTACTGGCGGAGGAATTGAGAAAGGGTACCGAGGCCGTGACCTCAGCAATTGCCGGGAAACAGGACGAATTATTCTCTCCATTATAGCAGAAGCTGGACTCAGAACGGCAACTAAGAAGAAACCAGAATACGTATAGGGAAGAAAAACAGAAAATAGCGAGAGTGAAAGTCCAGACGCTTATAAATGACTAGGTACCCTTCTAGCCGTGCGGGGAGCTCTTATCGTATCTCCAAAGCTAGGACAGTGCAGTAGCAAAAAGAATAACTTTTTTTGCCCAATCCGTTGCCTTTTCAGTTCAAAAGAATACTTCTTCTGCAAGGTGACGATATGATTGCTCCCTTGCCCCGACAGTGTCTGCTGGGAGAGAAGATTCCGCCTCCAAGTCTGTTGTTGCTGGTGCTCTGCGCTTATCTGATTGGCGGCGGTTCCCCGGAGAGAGTATCATCACGTGATATTACATCATCCATGCCTAATTAAAATGTTCGGCAATTATGACCAATAGTATTTCAGATTGAGCGGAATCTCAGTCCAATGAGGTGCAGCTCGGAACCTGCCTCTCTGGGTTATGTAATCAGCGATAAGCTATGCAAAATCACGTGGCATCCCCCATATTCCTAGAAGAGCAATTACATGCCTGAGGTGTCCGCAGAGTGCAGCCATCACTAGGAGTATTAATCTATAGAGCTTTGGTCGATTCCAGTTATTAACCACTAAAATATGTACTAATACTAATTAGCCCATGTGCCTGCTCCGTCATGCATTCATCTCATCATCCGAAGACACGTTGACTGGTGAAGCAACGCTAGCTTGAGCACTCTGGCTTCGCTGGATGTACCCAGGATGGACTCTTTTCAGATGCAGATTGAGATTCCAAGTTCGGGAGAATCCTTTTCTGTGTCTCTGACATCCCTTAATGGGACATACAAGATCCTGTTTCCGGTGCTCCCCTTTGCCCTTATTCTTGACCCTTCTGCCCTTAGATGTTGCGGCGGAGATCGACTCGTCGCGTTGGCTTTCAGGTTCAGGAACAGGAGAACCATCGGGTATGTAAACAGCGAGAAAAGAAGGCACAGGTGGCGAAGAAGGGGGTGGTGGTACCGGAGAAGTGCCGGGAGCAGAGGTGCTTGTAGCACGGTTAGCTGCAGATGAATCCACCTGCAGCGATTTCGGCCGCAAGCGTGATCGCCCACGGGATTGCGATCGGGAAAGACGCGGTGAAGGCGAAGCCGAAGGAACGGGCTCGCGCTCATGCCTGTCCTCATAATCTTCATCCTGAGACTCACTTTCGGAATACACCCACACCGGTGGCCCTTCATTTTTCTTAACCTGCGACATCTTGCCTTCCTTAAAGCTCCTAAACTCCATATCCTCATGGAAAAGGTCAGAACAACGTTTTGCGGCACGCATCACTGCATCCGATGGTAAGCCAGTCATCGAAGCAAGTCCCAGCACTTGGCTCCAGTCTCTAAGGCCGAACTTTGCCAAGTGACGCGAAGGTTGTAAATCTGCAGCAGAAGGGACATTAGATGCTGAAAATTTACTTGAATCATCATTAACTCGGATTTTCGATATCCGCCTGCGCTTCCTGCTTCTCGACTGGCTTTTGTTCGTCTTCATATGTACTCTCCTCGATCGAGAGGCATCCGAAAACTGGCTGTCCGTATCCGTGGTATCCGTCTGTCCCTCGGTTGCAGAGCTTTCCACTGGTAATGATAAATCATTCTTTCGGGTGTGGTGAAGACTAAGCAGAAGTTGATCGACTTGGGAGATTATGCGTCGCGAAAGGGGTCGTAGTTGTTGCCTTGACGTCTCATCATCGGCCTGGATTACAGGGCGAAGCGAGACTTCGCCTGCCGATTCAGGATCACTCTTGTAGTGTCTTTCATCATCCGTGCTTTCGTGATGGTCACTATCGACTCCTTTCCTCCGTCTCAAGACAGAAGTAGAGCGACCACCTTCGGGTTCATCCCAGTCCCTTTCCTCAAATTTTTCCTTGGCGGTCTTGAGCATGATAGCAATGAGAGATTCCTCCAATTCTGCACTAGGTCTCATGTCAGGCTGTCGCCGCAAGGTCCATACATCATCTTCTTCCCTTCGCAAGGCCTCATCAGCTCTAGGTACCTCTCTAGCGGGCATGGGCCAGGCCGTCCACCTTTTTGGGGGAGCAAAAGGCTGATCCTCGTTTCGTAGTTTATCCGCATTCTTCCCCTTTAGAGTGCGCTGTGCAATCCCACGCGCCCTGACCCGTAGGGCATACGCGTTGTAAAGATGCGCAGCGAGATCCCTAGCACGAATGGTCTCGAGAGCCTGGGCATTCTGTCTCTCCTCGAGAGTGATGCGCCACCACGTCGCCTCTGATCCCTGAAACCTATTTAGGCGATGTGCATGAGGTGGCAGGGACGGTGAGGGAGAGGAGGATGGCAACAGATGGCTATTTTTATTCCGCTGTACTTGTGAGATCGTCGAGCGCATGCCAATCTTGGTAGCGTGTCTTCCACTGCCGGTTTTAGCGGATTCGGACAAAATAGCATCCTCCTCATCGCTCGCTTGATATGTCCCATCGTCGCTGGCAGATTGGTCGACGATACCGTCTATCAATTGTTCCTCCATGTCAAGGTCATTTTCCACTTCTGCTGTGCCTGTCGTACGTTGGTGATTGTAGGACTGCGATTGTGCATTGACATCTTGGCTGCTCGGACCACCAAAGATTGACTGGTATGGATATGGTTGGGCCGATTGAGGAGGGATGAGACTTGACTGAATGTTAAACTGATTGGTGGAAGGAGAGGACATGACATGTCTTAGCGGAAAGAACTGCAAATGCTATCATCTAGGAGCAGTAGAATTTCCACAGGTGATTTTAGGAAAAGCCTCGAGAATGATGCTGGTTTTAAAGTAAGCGTCTCTCATTTGGTGGTTATTTCTCGGAAGACCAGATATTATGCTTCCCACACCAGCCATTGATGGGAATTATAATGTCCTTGGATCCAGTGCCCCTGGATGGAGGGAAGATTCTTCAATGTGCGTTGTCGGTATGGACTGATATGAAGTAATACGAAGTAATGCAGAAATGCTGCGGAAGTCAGAAAATCCTAGCAGCTAGGAGAAACTAACTTAATTTGGTAATATCATGTGACCAACCTGCTGCTACTTACAATCTACCCAAGTAATTTCTTAATTGCCTAGTTTCTCTCTATATATCCTTTTTCTCTCTTTCTTCTTATGTAGAGCTACTTTGGGCCTCTTCCTTTTTATTAAGTCTAAATTAGTGCTCTAGTAATAGTAGAATTAAAGATGTACAATCGCCTATCGCGCGCCCGGAAGACGCGCCGTCCGTTTCGGCGCGTCTGGTTTAGCGTTGCTCGATCCGGTTTGGCGCGCCCCGTCGCTGCCCCGATCAGGCATGGCCATCTCTCTCCGCCCGACGACGAACTATATAAGTCGCGAGTGCGTCGTTCCCACCTGTTTCGATTGTCCAGTGTAAATTTGGATCATCCAGTCGAACTTGAATATGTACAGAGCCTGGGGCGCACAAATAATAAAAGTTAACAGCAATACCAGAGCTACGGTCCATGTATAAGGACTTCAAAGACTATTTGAGATGGAGCAGGAAGAATTACGATCCATCCACAATGGGAAGAAGCTCTTGGCGAGCCCAGAGCTGTCGAACGTGTATTGCAAGAAACGTGAAGGTGAGAGACAGGCGCTGCATACTCCGACAGACAGAGCTAATTTAGGCCTTCAGTGTGATAAAAGAAGCCAGCATGCTTACGGTGTCAATGTTCGGGTAGGAACTGTGCTGGATATAGGCGTATGTAAGTGTTTTTGCCTTGCTGCCATACGGGACTAAGGTAAGTATTAAAAAGGAGCGAAAAGCAGTACCATGCTCGAAAGGCTGAGCAGTCTATCCACACCAGACCCGAATACCTGTTCCTGAATGATTATCTCCCTCTTAAAACGCCTGGGTCAGCCATCTATTCATCTCCGATCTACTGGCCTCAGGCCTGAACTGCATTTCTTGACATCCTGTATACACGGTTGTCCCGTCTTCTACTTCGGCATAGTCCACTTCAGTCCACTCGGGAAACAACGAGATAATACATTTTACGAAACTTTCTAGTGCATCACTTCTGCTACTTTACTGGCTAGGTTTGGTAGCTGTCTATGCGTCGGTGACACGAACGTTGCGGGTCCTCATGCTGTCTAGCAGCGAAGACGTAGTATCCAGAAACCTCAAGCAAAGACTGGAAATGGCTAGTGGGCTTTCCTCTCACTTTGTTAACCTCATATCTGAGTCTGAGAGAGGATAGAAAGGCCTTGGGACTATGATATTAGTTACCGCAACCTCCGATGCTGCTAAATGTATTTCTCACGGCCTGTAGCAGGTTCTGTCGAGTGTTGCATTGAGCGCTTAATACATGGTATCCAAAGGGTGGAATTTAGCTGTCTTCTCATTCATCAAGGAAGTATGCTAGGTCATATTAATGATCTAGGAAACAGGCAATATCATGAACTGTCTTTCGAGCTGTTATTCTGGATGATTGTACAATCACAGTGCCAGTGAGAAAATTTCTGGCCAACAAGATCCTCGCTGAGAGCCCATAGCCTCTTTGCATTCTGCACGTCAAGATCATATGCCGCAGCTTCGTCATTATTGACTTGGTTGTTGACCATGGACGATACGTTGGAGTCTATACAACATCCAGCAGTCTCGATTCAAGGCTCAATATCCTGTGAATCAGTCAGCGTTAGGGGTCAGTCACCTCTAGAAATACTGGCAATTAAAAGCGAATGAAAGATACTGGCTTTCACAAAATCCCACACTAATAAACGTCTCACGATCTCAGTTACAATGTTTCCAGGATAGAGACTGAATAATTGCAGGCCCTCTCCTCCCAGTTTGGCCGGCAAAACCACGGAGAAGAGCATATTAGCGGTCTTGCGTTGGCCATATAGGCCTGCCACGTATCGTGGCATTTTCCAGCCTAAATGGATAGAGATCAGCCACCTCTTTCAAGAACACGCAAGGAAAAATAAACAGGACGAAGGGAAATTCCAACCTCAAACCTGAATCATCAAATCGAACATCCCTTTTATGTTCCGCGCCCCTAACATTCACCACCCTCATCCTTCCGGTAGCCTGCCCCCGGCGCAGGATGTTGCTCAACACCAGGTTCGTAAACAGAAAGTGTCCAATACGATTTGTTCCGAGTTGCAATTCCAATCCCTTCTTCGTCACTCTCTATGTAGCCATCACCCATGCGTTATTAAAATATCAATACTTTCGGGAAGGGAGTTGATCCCATCAGCAGCCTTTCGAACACTTTCCTGGGAGCTCAGATCCAGTGTAAGGAGTTTGGTATTCACATCTGGTGCCTCTACCTTTATTGTCTGTTCAACTGCTTGAAGAGTCTCAGGTTTCCTGCAGCTAGGACGAGTGCAGACGCATGGCGAGTCAAGTATACAGACAGCCAGATTCCCTCGACGGCCATATTCTTTTGATATGATTTTGAACTTTTCCATTATGAGATAGAGAAACTGAAACAAGCCTGGGGAGCGCCCGACATATCTGAAGATCATTCAGAATCGGACACTCGAGAACATATATCTACACAACGCCGTATATCCAAATCCTCCAGGACGACATTCCATTGAAGGGAAACAAACTTTCATATCTATTATGCTTTTGAAATCCTCACGCCTGTGCAGTCTTTTCGAGCTTCCTTCTCTTAGACCGCAACTTGGCGGCTTCTTCAGACTGCTTCTTGTTCGAGTACAACATCTTCTCCAGCAGCTTTCGCTTCTTCCTGCTCATCATCATCTTCTGTCTTTCTAGTTCCTCTTCCTCCTTGCGCTTCTTGGCTGCCATTTTCTTCGCTAGAGAAGACTTCTTCTTGGTTGACTCGTTTCCGGCGCTGTTAGATGCAGAGAATGGAAGACCAGCAGCTTCAGCTTCAAGCTCCTTCTGGTGCTGTGTCCGTGCGGACTCCTCTTCATCCTCGGATTCAGATTCAGCCTCATTGTCTTCAAATCCCCCGAAGTCTTCCTCCTCCTCTTCACTCTCACTTTCGTCCTCATCAGTAGCGGCAACATCCATGCCACCGTTGATAGATTCATCCTCAGATGCATCATCTTCGGCATCCGACTCGTCCTTGGAATCCGCAGCGGCCTTCTTGTTTTCTTCTGTCGCGTCTTCCATCTCTTCGTCTTCCTCAGACTCTTCAGCTGCAATCTCAGCCTCACCCTCTTCTTCTTGCTCTGCCAAGCTGGCCCGAGGATCGTACGCTCCCCTGGTAGGCTTGACCCACGGGCTCAAGTGAGGCGGAAGAGTAGCGCCCGGCGCGTATAGATCGGGGCGAAGAAGCTTCCCTTCATTAATAGAGTCCCAAACCCACTGGGGTTGGACGTAGGTCCTGCCAGGAACCCGAGTCCCAGGATTGACTTTTTGTGCGCTGTCCTCACCATTCTGAGCGGCAGCCGGAATAGCAGGAAGCGAGGATTCAGGCAGTGCAGGGCGGTCTACAATTTGGTGTGTGATGCGAGGATCAGACTCATCATGTGTGAATGCTCCATCGCCAAGGACAGCATCCCAGCCAATTCGTTTGCAACCAAAAGCGCGCAGAATGAATTCCAATGGTGCTTTGGGTGCCTCTCTGGAAATGTAGAAGACAAAGGGCACAAAGAGAGAGCCAGCTTCGCTTCCAGCCAGATCCGGTTGAGGCAGAGTGTCGGCCTCGGGCGCGGTGGGTTCAAATTTGTCGATCGCATCAGTATTCTCCGCGACCTCAACGTTTTTATCTTCCGTTTCCCGATCCAATCCAGCCGCCTTGATCACCTTGTCCACTTTGTCTTGAATCTCACGAGGCGCCTCGTTATTTACAAGACCATTCGACTTCGCGCTACTCGCTTCGATAGCTTTAGGCGCATTGTCGACCGTGCGGCCCTCGAGAGTGAAGGCCGCCAGCTCCGCGCCATTCTCGTCGCTCCTAGTGTCAAACTTGGGTGGATATCTGAGACCAAGAGAGGAATACAGTCTGTAATTGACAAAGCCCAACAGGGTAGTGTAGAACTGGACGAAGGTGGCCATAATCCGGTAGTCGACATCTCCATTCACTCGCTGCACGAATCGGTAAGGCACAAGCCACATTATGTCCTGCCCTTGGATTGTGGCCTGATAGTAGATACCCTTGATGGAGAGAAAAGATTTTCGCAAAGAGTTGGTAGCGATGAGATAGTGTTGGAACTCATGACAGAGGCGCTGACAGAGCGAAATGGTCTTTGGAGGCACATGAGCCGTAGAGGGTAGATTTGCAAACAGGAAAAGAAGCGACAGAGCATCGTCGAGGTCTCTCAAAGCATCGATAAAAGTGGGATAGCGCTCTTTGATAACATGATCCAAAGTGATCTTAGGAGCGTGGTTCTTCTCAAAGCGCGCAGCGTCGCCCACCTCACCGCGACCTAAGGACCGAGCGATCTTCTTGGCGACGGCTTTCTGTTCACGAAATTTCCTCAGAAGTGGCTCATGGAGGAGGTATTGGATATCTTTCGTGTAATAGAAAGTGGTGCTAGGGGTCGAGGTTTTGGAAGCCTTCTTCTTGTTTCTAGGCTCGCGGGGATAAATGCCTTCGCGAAGGAAATATTTCAAATCAGTATCATCGCATTAATAAAAGATTGGACTCAGAAACTCACCCTTGAAGATGCATAGTCGACGGAAATCTGGCAGAGAAATTTGAAGTTTGCGCACTGCCTGGGTTCTGGTAATGTAGTTCTTGGCCTGGCCAGAGGTACCTGGGGTCAAATTGTCAGCAATCTCGCCTTAGTGTGGTATGCATAAAGAGACGTATCTGTACCTTTCTTCTTGATCTTCGCCATTTTCAGAATTGAGACCTGGTCGCTGTGTGTCGTGGAAAGATTCGAAGGCTGCTGATAGCGAAGTTATCGAAACTTTTTTTTCTTCTGCGGGTGGTCTGTGCGCATATGAATGCCTGAGGCGTCTAGAACTGCGCACGGCAATAATAATACACCTATGAATCTCCAGCACATGCACCCAGACATGGCCTTCTCCCATGACCAGTGAGGGACTAATCATGCTGGTCAATCGAAGACAAGCAGCTGTCTTCGGCGCAGCGGTTCTGTTGCGGCTTCTTCTGTGGGTTCTGTTCCCTTCGCTCCCTGATCTCTTGACAGGGAGAGTCGAGGTTTCCACCCCGGTTAGCAGCTTCAAGAGATGTGAGCATAGAGGTCTTCTGTCCATTTCACACAGCTAATTTTTTTTCTGACAGTGCAGGAGGGCCTCTTTCTTTACAATCGAAATGTCTCCCCATACGATGGTGGCGTCTACCACCAAGTAAGGCAGAACGAACTTCCCTGATGCCCTGAGCAAAGGACTAATAAACCAATTGTCGCAACAAAACAGGCGCCGCTGCTCCTCCCTCTGTTTTCTTTGTTACCAGACTCGCGGAGTCATCCTTTACCAACAGCTGTCATCTATTCATTAATCGATGTCTTGAACGCTAAGGCGCTGATCACGATCTCGGATTCAGGACTCTCAATCGAGGGCAGACTGCATTCCAGTTTCCGGAAGGATATCAAATGGGATGGCATTGCAATCGCTGCATGGTACAGATAGAAAGGGGAATTATCGCTTAACTTGTGCTGACAGAACCAGGTATCTATTTAACCCCTTTACGATTGCGACGTGTCTAGGTCGCTCAACAAATGTGTTCACCATGTCGGCTATCCTCTACGCCGCGTCCAATGCCGTCAACGGCAACAGTCTTAATTCTATGATCGCAATGGGCCTTGCATCTTACCTTTCCCTGTACCCAGCCCTCTTGTTTATCCCACTTGTTCTCCTGTGCTATGACCGACGCGCGCAACAATCGAAACAACTGCCTTCTGCGGTGGCCTTTGTCACCCAACACCTTCTCATTTTCCTGGTCAGCATTGCGGGTTTGCTTGGCGCCTCATACTTAATTACTGGAGATTTCTGGGAGTTCATCTCTGCGACATATGGCTTTCAATTGCTTGTTCCTGACCTGACACCCAATGTCGGTCTTTGGTGGTATTTCTTCATCGAGATCTTTGACTCTTTCAGAGAGTTCTTTCTCGGTGTCTTCTGGCTGCACCTGGCTGGATATGTGGGAGGTTTGACACTACGATTGCGGCGACAGCCTCTCTTTGTCCTGGCCTCCCTTCTGGGTATTTTTGCCATCTTCAAACCATATCCCAGCATTTCGGACGTCTCCTTATACTTTGCTCTCCTACCACTCTATCGGCACCTCTTTCCACGTAAGTTATCTTCATGAAACTGGAAGTATGTTTATGCTAATTATCGACAGTAATGCGCTACACATTCTTCGCAATTTCCGCCATTCTGTACGCAACTCTCCTCGGTCCTGCATTTTATTACTTATGGATCTATGCCGGGTCTGGCAATGCAAACTTCTTCTACGCCATAACTCTCGTCTGGAGTCTGGGACTCTCCATCCTGGTCGCGGATACCATATTTGCTGCGCTCAGGGACGAATGGGAACAGGAGAACCCAGAGATGAAAGGCAAAGACGTCAGGCAAGTATAGTCGAGTTTTGTCTATCGGTCTGTCCTAGGACGGTAACAATAGCTCGCCCTAGCTATTGCATGTCGCATGATGTCAGGTTGCTGTCTGTTGCAATGGCTTCGATAAGATCAAGTAGTCTGGCTCCTTTACTGTCCCGTTTCGGAGTGTGCGTGGTTGTGGGGAGTACTCATCCACCGAATACCCGAGGCGATCATAGAGTCGCAGAGCGGTTGAATTTGACTTGAACACAGTCAACATAGCTTTCTCCAGGCCAATCCGCCGTCCTATCTCCTCGAATCTTGCCATCAGCAGCTTCCCTAGGCCACGCCCTTGCACCACTGGTGACAAGTGGATCTCATAACAATAAATGACCTCCTTTCCATCTTCGTACGTGATCATGAAGGATACAAATCCCAATATGTTCCGTTCATTCGGCGACTGCGCAGGATCAGGAGTATCAGAAATGGCAGTCCCCCCCTTCGCAGTGACGCGTTCTCTTGACGAATTGGGATGGAGCAGGAGATATCTCATATCAGGAAGCTTCATTTCCTTGCGCTTCTTCGAGGGAGACCATCCAATGCTGGAACCGGAGTAGTCTTTTGATGACGTCAGCTCTATGAGACGGAAACATGCCTCGAAGTCTGCAGCGGGCAGTGAGTGAGCAGTGTAAATATCAAGCAGATAATCCAATCCCTCCTTTCGAACTGAGCCATGGTCTTGGGGCGTAGAATTGGGGTATTTGATTTCCAATGCCGGTGGTGGGAGATAGTATGCTATGAATTGGTCTAGGGGGAGTCTGTTTGTGCGTTCTACTAGAGGGAGGAGTTTCTGGGATTCTGGGACAGTTCAGCGATAGACGTTTGTAGCGAGGATAACATAGACGAGACAAGCCTTTTCTCCCTCACCCAGAGGTCTGGACAGTAAACTCACTTTCTCGTTTTTTTAATGTCCGTTTCGGTCGCTCAATAGTCACAGCCGGTCGTGCCGATGCTGATTTTGAAGCCTTGGTTACCCTGCCCTCTTTGACAGATGACGGCATTGTCTTCCGGGGTTAATGGAATGAGGATTTTCTTGAACATGGCTTGAAAGTTGGCCTTCGTCTTGCGAACCGTCGATGGCCTTGGCATTACTAAACCACGTGCCTGTTTTGCTGGCAGAAATACGGGCGGTGAGGTACTCCGATAAGATAACGAGATGTTTTCCCAAGAAGCCTTTTACTACGATTCAAATCAACAGGCATATACTCTACTTATCAGCGTTAAAAGCTATAGTAGAAAAAAAAAATAAAATGAGTACTCCAAAAGGAAACGCAAACTTTTCGGAATTCAGAATACCACCGGGCTCCATTTCCAAGCAGCCCCACTGCTAAATATCACTTCTCCGCTCTTACTTACAAGCTTCTGCCCACCTCCAGGACGCCCGTGATTGGCCTTGTTGAAGTATATATCCAAGCATCGTCTCCGCTCTCTGTAAAAAGTATACTGGAAAAGCTCAGTGGCCGTTACGTGTGCATCGATGTGGGGTTTCTCGTTTTCTGCTGAGCGTGTCTATTCGCCCAGCGCTGTGACGAGAGCTCTTTCTCGAAGATCATCCGATGCGCATTACTAATGATGCCCTCACATTCCATTTACGTCAAGACAAAGCCGCGGGGATAAAAGAAGCCCGGTCTGTCCAGCGAAAATACGTACAGCGCTAAATCCTTGGAGATAGTTTTCCAGCACAGTCTGTCCACAATGGCCCCTACCACCACGAAGCAATGGATTGTCCGCGACAAAGAAAATGGCTTTGATAGCCTCCACTTTTCGGAAGGACCTGTTCCCAAAGTCACGGAAAATGACGTCCTCGTCAAGTTTCATGCTGCGGCACTGAACTACCGCGACCTTATCATCCCAAAGGTAAGCGTGGCCTTCTATTCTCGAGAGGGAAAGAAAGGAGGGAAGAAATCATTTCTACCGCTGGAACAATGAGCGCTAAATAGTCAATCTCGTCCAATCGCAGGGAATGTACCCCTTTCCCCTCAATTTCCCCGTTGTGCCTGGCTCCGATGGTGCTGGAGAAGTAGTGGAAGTTGGATCCAAAGTCACGCAGTTCAAAAAGGGAGATAAGGTTGTGACCTTGTTCAATCAGGGACACCAATATGGCGATATCGACGCCTATGCTACTACGACTGGTCTTGGCGGTGCCATCGATGGTACTCTGCGCCAGTACGGTGTCTTCAATGAACAAGGACTGGTGAAGGCTCCCAAGAACCTGGACTACATCGAAGCCAGCACTATCACATGTGCTGGCCTTACTGCGTGGAATGGATTATTTGGTTTGAAACCTCTAAAGCCGGGCCAGACTGTCCTGGTACAGGGATCTGGAGGCGTAAGCATGTTCGCTCTGCAGGTGCGTTTTTTTTTTTTTTTTTTTTTTTTTTTTTTTTTTTTTTGAAACAACCCCCTCATCAGATGAATGTTATCTCGCTAGTTGCCGGCTGACATTTGTTTCTCCGTTCCAGTTTGCAAAAGTATCTGGTGCAACTGTAATTGCCACCACGTCCTCCCCAGCGAAGGCAGAAAAACTAAAGCAGCTCGGCGCGGACCACGTAATCAACTACAAGACTGATCCCAATTGGGGTGAGACTGCCCGTAAACTCACAGGTGGCATTGGTGTGGATCATATCATCGAAGTTGGCGGTCCGGGAACCCTCCGACAGAGCTTCAAGTGCATCAAGCTCGAAGGTGTAATTAGTGTTATTGGCTTCCTCGCACAGTCTGATCCAAAGGCCCAACCCACCGTTATGGACACACTGAGCAGTCTCTGCACCGTGCGTGGGATTTACGTGGGGAGCAAGGCTATGATGCAGGATATGATTCGGGCAGTTGAGGCGAATAACATCCATCCTGTGGTGGATCAGAAGATCTTCAGTCTGGAACAGACCAGGGACGCATATGAGTACATGGTGAGACTTCCCTTATCTATTCCCTTCTCGCCAGAATGAGTTGATCGTGGACTAACAGTTTGGGGATACAGTGGGCCCAGAAGCACTTTGGAAAGCTTACCATCAAGATTGACTGAGGGTTTTCTTTGTCTGAATGTGAACGAGTAGCTTCAATAATCTAGGGAAATCCACATAATTTGAGCAATTAAATGATACCAAGCTGTTTCCTGAGACGTGGAGTCTCTTTTATCTGGATTCCTAATCATCCTGGCTGTATAGATACCCGACAACCAACCAATTAGTAGTGCCTGCACGTTTGCACTTCCCGCGCCACTACGTATGCAATGATGCATCATCATTATGAACTTGTCCCTGTCCTTGCTCCAACAACACTCTATGTATTTCTTCTTCCCTTTCATTCTCTTTTGTCCGCACCGGCCTAGCTTTGAATATCGTCTTTCCAACTCATTCACCCATACATACACAAGTCAACCCCCAGATGCAGGTCGCTACGAAGGACACCCCCATCCATCCCGTCCTTGGACCGGTTGATCAACAACAACAGGAGTCGGGGCTGACGCAGCAACGAAATCGACAGCAACAGCAACAACAATATCCCGACAAGTCAAAGTCACAGGTTAAATTCATTCGTCCGGCACAAATGAGTTTGTTCGCGGATATCACTTGTTACCCGCCTCTAGGACAGGTGACGTATGTTCGGAGAATTCAAAAGGCGCGGTCTTCCGAGGCTGATGATACGGTGAGTGAGGCCTTCATGGACTTGAAGAGGAGGTCGTGGTTTGCGCAAAGAAGCGCTGTACGGAGCACCTCGTAGCTAATCTGACTAGCTACATTTCACAGTTGTGCTAGAGTCGAGCAGCACTTTCCCAGATCGACCATGGGAAGCTCAGATTTGGCATAATATCAAGGCCGACAGTACTAGTGAAAGTACCAGTGAAAGTTCTGGTGAAAGTGGCAGTGAGTGGAAGGCGCTTCCGCTTCGGAAATGTCCTTCTACAGTCGCACCGCTCCTGGCTGGGTGCGGCAAAGGCTACAAGTTCGATCGTCATGTCTTTGCAGAAAGTATCAGTCTGCCCGCCTCGGGGGGCAGTGCTCAGTTTACTGTTCGATTTCGAACAAGTCCCAATGCGGAGTGGCAGTGGGCGAACCAGAAGCGTCAGGTCAATGATGGAGAGCTGGTCTGGGCTGCGCGAAAACCGAGGTTTGATGAGATTCCCTCCACAGAACCGTCGGCTACATCTTCTCCCAAGGATGAATTTGGAAGATATTTCTCAGGCCTTTCCTCTGAGATCGAAATTGAAGCCCGAACCAGTGAAGCTCCCGGGTCCCTTCTTTGGAACCTGACCGGAAACGTGGATGGGGCAAAAGAAGGACAATCCGGAATTGCAAATGTTACTCTTGGAGTACCAGAGTCAGTAGTGAGGTATTTCTCTCTAGTGCGTGTTTGGAGTCCTTGGCTTGCACCAAGGCATGGCAAGCCAAAGTTCCGATTGACAGAGTCTGCAATTCTGTGCTCCTTTCTTCGGACGGATGGTGAGCATTTGGTTCTTCTCGCAGTTTCGGGAATCGACAATGTCCTTACCCTTTTTAAATCTGGAGAGAATGGGGAACTTCTCATTGAATCCAAGAGTGACAACCTGGAATCATCAAGATTCTGTGTTCTTGCAGCCGCTGCAGCAGATTTTGAGGTAGCCATGAGCGCTGTGATATACGAAGCAAGGAAACTGGTCAGGCCACCTGGCTCTGAGGAGGCCCTCGAAAAGCCAGAATCTCCCACTACCCCAGCAGGAGCATCGCCTACGGGAGATGATGTTGTGCTGGTCGAGAAGGACCCTAAAATACAGTGGTTGTCTGAGTGGTACGACGGTTTAACGTACTGTACCTGGAATGGTCTGGGGCGGGAATTAACAGAGGAAAGACTCATTCATGCCCTGGATACCTTGAAAGCTCACGGGATAAATATCGTCAATCTCATTATCGACGACAATTGGCAGACATTGGATCATCCAGGCGAAATACAGTTTCGGCGCGGTTGGAAGCAGTTTGAAGCGAATCCAGAAGGCTTCCCTCGTGGACTCAAGGGCACTGTTGAAGCTATTCGCAACAGCCAGCCAAGTATTGAATACATTGCTGTCTGGCACGCTCTTTTGGGCTATTGGGGAGGAATATCACCGGACGGAGATCTCGCGACCCGGTATAAAACAAAGCAAATAACTGTTAAAGACGAGGTTGCCGGAGGGACAATACTAGCTGTTGATCCAGAGGATGCCCACCGTTTCTATGATGAGTTCTACAGCTATCTCACCTCTGTTGGCATCGATGCCGTCAAGACCGACGCTCAATTTTTCCTTGATCTGTTGGAAGATCCAGAAGACCGCAGAAGATTCACGGCAGCATACCAGGATGCTTGGGCTGTTGCTTCTTTAAGACATTTTAGCGCTCGTTCTATTTCATGCATGTCAATGATTCCTCAGGCCATTTTCCATTCGCAGTTGCCAAATAACAAACCGAGTATACTCCTGCGGAACTCAGACGACTTCTTCCCTGATGTTACAGCATCGCATCCTTGGCATGTATTCTGTAATGCTCATAACTCCCTGCTTACCAGGTTTTTGAACGTTACGCCAGATTGGGATATGTTCCAAACCAGTCATCCTTACTCCTCTTTTCATGCCGCCGCGCGATGCGTGTCTGGAGGCCCGATTTACATCACTGACGAACCAGGAAAGCATGACCTGGACATAATTAACCAGATGACCGCGCCGACTACGCGTGGCAACACAGTAGTCCTCCGCCCAAGCGTTGTAGGCCGGACTCTCGACGTTTACCATGATTACAATGAGGGCCACGTTCTACGAGTCGGCAGTTACACGGGTTGGGCAAAGACTGGCAGTGGGATCATCGGCCTCTTCAACATTCACCCTTCCGAAGCCTCATGCATTGTCTCTCTCCTTGACTTCCCCGGTATCCATCCCGACTCGGATGGCCGATACATCGTTCGTGCTCATACCAGCGGTAAAATCACGGAGCGTATGCGACCATCTGATGATAATTCCCTCGTCTCTGTGCGCCTGGAGCAAAAGGGGTGGGAAATCCTCACTGCATACCCTACTCGCGCCTTCACCCTGAAGGGCAGTCGTGGGTGTAACCCCAAAGATGGAATGACGCACGTCGCAATTCTGGGCCTCCTGGGGAAGATGACTGGTGCCGCGGCATTAGTGAGCTCGGATATCTTCCTTGTGGAGAATGGGCGTCTTCGGTTCGACATCAGCCTGAAGGCTCTTGGAACATTGGGAATATATTTCTCTGATCTTCAGGATCGGACTATTGCAAAGAATTTCATGGTGATGATTTCTGGGAGGGCTGTACCTCGGAAGACTGTCTGGAAGGAAGGTGGTGAGGACGCGAAAGTCCTTGCTGTTGACGTACAGTCGGCATGGAAAGCACTGGGTTTGAAGAATGGATGGAGCAACGAGATTCTTGTGCAGGTTTTCGTGGGCTAGATAAGAATTGTAGAACATCTAGACTGCATAGAACGGCCAGCCATCATTAATAGATTAGGATCACTAGTAATAGCTTCACCTGTAGGTACGAGGAACTACCAAATTGGACTTAGCGCCATGTAAAATCTGCGCTAGCTGTTTACGGAAACACGCTTTCGCATCAATAATGATCCGGCATGAGCCGCGATAGACGTCGCATGATTTGTCCGGATTTTATAGAAACAAAGAGCGATGCCTCAAAAGCGCCTGGAACCGGTCAATTGTATTCTGTCGCAATCGGCTCATTCACATTCTGGGCAGGCCAGATGCGACCTCAATTGATAACCATCCCTCGTGCCGCACGCCTACGAATCCAGTTGACTGCGCCAACGGCGTGCGGCGGTCCTCGCAGTTATACCCATGTAGCAGCAGCCACACGAATTTCACCCTCGCACTACTCCAGAGCTTACAGGTTAAATCGACTATTACAAATAGCTGGCACGGCACCAGAACAGAAAAGATGGATTACACAGAATTATCTCCGGAAGATGAAGGAGGCTGATGATCGATGGAAGTGTTATGCGGAGGAGATTAAGGCTGGGAAACGGAAGAGCTTTGTTGAGCACCTTGAGGATCGGTGTTTGATAAAGGATTATGTTGGGTTAGTATAACTGGCATGTTCAAGTATGAGTGCATTTAGCTGACTTGATGGTTGATCTCACCTATTTCATACCGCAGGGGACGAGATGTTCTGAATTCGATCCTGATTGAGAAGAGGGCTGGATTATATGCCGGCGTTGACCCGACGGCTCCCTCTCTGCATGTTGGACATATGCTGCCATTTATGGTGCTGGCTTGGGCTTATGTTTGGGGATTGCCTGTGACGTTCCTGGTTAGTGATCTTAACGACGATTGGGGAAAACGTTCCTTTCTATTAGTTTCGGCTCTGACATATGGCTAATGTCAACAGCTGGGCGGTTCTACAAGCAGAATCGGTGACCCAACAGGGCGATTGAAAGGACGAGAGATGCTACCCACGGCAATACGAAAGGCAAATATCGCGAGCATGCACATGCAGCTTAAGAAGCTAGGCATGAGCATTGAGGTATACGGAAGGAAATACGGATATCATCATGAATGGTCTTGGCGGCGGGCGTTGACAAACAACAACACATGGTGGAACAGTGTATCGTTTCTCGAGGTTATGAGGGATCTGGGCTCGGTCATGAGGCTTGGTCCTATGTTGGGCAGAGATACGTAAGTTTCCATTTTGCCCCGGCTATTTCGTGATCCCCTTATTCATTGCGTTGAGAGTTTAGGGTGAAGACTCGGCTAAGCGGAGAGGGCATGTCCATTGCGGAATTTTCATACCCCTTGATGCAAGCATGGGACTGGTGGGTTCTGTTTCAAAAAGGAGTCCAGGTCCAGGTTGGAGGTTCCGATCAATTCGGAAACATTCTCTTTGGGATCGATGCTGTCAAGGGGATAAGCAGGAATACTGCCATCCAGGAAGCTCGAAATCCACTGGAAAACGAACTCGATTTCCCCGTCGGTCTCACGACTCCATTATTGACGAACTCAGCGGGCCAGAAACTTGGGAAATCCGCTGGGAATGCTATCTGGCTTGACAAGGATATGACGTCCACTTTTGAGCTTTACCAGGTTGGCCACCCTCGCTACTCCTAACCAGGGTTGTCATAATGCATTGCTAACAAGGTTCTAGTACTTTGTCCGGCTTCCTGACGATGCCGTGGAGCGCTACTTGAAAATGTTTACCTTCATACCACTGCCTAAAATCGCAGAAATCATGGAGGAGCAGAACCGCGATCCTTCCAAGCGACTTGCTCAACATGCTCTTGCCTACGACTTCGTGGAGCTTATTCATGGAACCAAGGAGGCTGAGGCTGTCTCATGGCAGCACCGCCAGTTATTCCGTCCACGGTCTTCGACCGCAGAGCCGACACCACCTCTACCTTCCCAAGGGTCGAAGCCGACCTCAGGCAATCCCAAATCGCCCTATGCAGGATTCATCAATCCCCAGTCCGGGAACAAATATGCGCCTCAGGTCTCCTTCGCAGACATGCCAAGTGTTAAAACTACTCTCCCTCGTTCATTGGTGTACAATCAACCATTCAACAGAATCCTTTGGTACACAGGCATGGTAACCTCAAAGAGCGAAGGGAATCGGATCATTGCTAATGGCGGCGCCTATGTTGGAAGCCGCCCTGGAGACTCTGGACAGATGTCGGACGAACTGTCATTCACGCCCATAAAGGACTTTGCGCGTGAGAAGACAGAGAAGTATATCCTCGATGGGAAGATCCTCATTCTCAAAATAGGAAAATGGAAGTTCAAGATGGTGGATATCGTCAGCGACGAGGAGTTTGATGAGATGGCCGGTCAATTCCCTGGATGGGAACAGATCAAAACCTATCGAGATGAAGTAAGGAAAGAAGAAGCAGCCAAAGCTCAAGCAACGGAGCAAAAGACGACTTGAGAATGAGGCCTTGGGGCGGGAATTGGTTCGATTCTCTACGGATATACTCCGTACTCTGTATTTCTATGTAGATAGATACCTTGTGCGCGCATTATACCTGCAATGTACAGTAGTGAGCTCCCATCTTATCATATAATACAACATAATATCCATTCTATGGATGATGCGGTCTTGTTTTCGCGTCATGGAACAAATTTCCGAAAACGGATTGAAAAACCACCGAACGCGTGCGACGCGCTTCGCCCGTCACGCTTATCAGTCAATCTCCGTTTTTGGCCTGAGCATCATCGACTCCTTGCAGTTCCTACTGATTTCCACCGGGTTTCTGCTGGGTATTTCATCGGAATGTTACAATTGACCTTGTAACACTTTCGTTCCGACCTGGTACCAACCTTTTTTTGACCATTTACACCCGCAATGGCCAAGGGACCGACCGCCTCTGCATCTTCCCCGATGACCGCGACGCCGCCATCCTCCGCGTTGAAACGATCCACCTCCAGCACGCAGAACATGAAGAATCAAAGATCCATATTAGGATTTTTTCAGAAGTCCTCTCCTTCCACTCCACAAACTGCTAGGAATATTGCCGAGCCTGCGTCGTCTCCGACTCAGAGAGCTTCTGAGCAGCGAGGTACGAACAAGGCGAAGGAGACCGTGAAGGATAAGGATGAAAAGGGTGTTGGCCGCGTCTCGCAGAATTTGACGCCCATTCCGAGCAGTGATGTGGCTGAGCCTGAAGAAGGTGATGTTCACACAAAGGTAAGTTCTGTTGGTGGTAATATGGAGCTCTCATGCTTATACGAGCTACTGGATGCAGGCTGATCTTGATGATCAGAAAGAGAACGTATCTTTATCTCCATCACGTCGGGTAAGCTTTGCTATGGTCCTTTGAGCTTCATCGATCCTGGCTAATTGGTTAATCTTCTGTGCTCAAGGCTAAAAAGCAAGTCAACTATGCAGAGTCTGATTCGGAAGGTGAAGATGATGACGAGGAAATATTCCGCCCCAGTCGGAAAAATAACGCTCATAGTAGGACTGCCAAACGGCGAAAAATGTCACCAGAGAGTGATGATGATTTTAAGCAGGATGCGGGGAACTATTCGGATGATGGTCGGTCTTTTCTCTGGGCCTTCCATTTGTATTTGCCTGGGCACTGACAGTTGATAGAAATGGACGACTTTATTGTCCCTGACGACTCAGATGAAGACGTCAAGCCCACGAAGAAACGCAAGAGGGAGTCGAATCACTCATCTCGCAAATCTTCTCTTCCAGCACCACAAGATGAAGATGAAGACGAACGAGAGGAAACCCGGGATCTTGATATTCCAGATGCCACTTCTGGTGCGACGTTGAAATGGACGTATGACCCTAAAATGTCAGTTCCTCGTAAGGAACGAGCAGTTCGTCCTTCATCCAAGGTCTCTCTGAGTTCCTCGAAGGAGAAGGCATGGACGAGGGAACCCGAGGAGCGATATCCCTGGCTTGCATCCATTCGGGATATAGATGGCCACCCCCCAGGCCATCCTGACTACGACCCTCGCACGATTTATATACCTCCATTGGCCTGGAACAAGTTCTCTCCATTTGAGAAGCAATATTGGGAAATCAAGCAAAAGTTCTGGGACACGGTTGTCTTTTTCAAGAAGGGCAAGTTTTACGAGCTCTACGAGAACGATGCCACTATTGGCCACCAGCTCTTTGATCTTAAGCTCACTGATCGTGTCAATATGCGCATGGTCGGTGTCCCAGAAATGAGCCTGGACTATTGGGCAAATCAGTTTGTTGCCAAAGGGTACAAAATCGCTCGTGTAGACCAAGCCGAGTCTGCTCTTGGAAAGGAGATGCGTGAAAGAGATGGCAAGAAAGGCGGCCGTGGTGGGAAAGAGGACAAGATCATTCGGCGAGAGTTGTCATGTGTTCTCACGTCCGGCACTCTCGTTGATGGATCGATGCTTCAGGATGATATGGCCACATTCTGCGTTGCAATTAAGGAGGCCGTTGTCGATGGTGCCCCTGCATTTGGACTTTCATTCGTCGACACCGCAACGGGACAGTTCTTTTTATCAGAGTTTGTCGACGACGTTGACATGACCAAGTTTGAAACATTTGTAGCTCAGACCCGTCCACAGGAATTGCTTCTTGAGAAATCCAATCTTTCTCAAAAAGCTCTGCGGATCCTGAAGAACAACACTGGACCTACCACCATTTGGAATAACCTGAAACCGCGAAAAGAATTCTGGGAAGCTGATATTACCCTGAAAGAACTCGATGCTAGTGAGTACTTCGTCTCGCAGGATGATGACAATTTGCAAGCATGGCCAGAAGCCCTCCGGCATGCTCGAAACAAGGAATTGGTGATGTCTGCGTTCGGAGCCTTAGTGCAGTACCTCAGACTTCTGAAACTTGACCGCGATTTAATCACTATTGGCAACTTCTCCTGGTACGATCCCATCAGAAAAGCCTCCAGTCTGGTCCTTGATGGCCAGACTCTTATTAACATGGAGATCTTTGCGAATTCATTCGATGGCAGCTCTGAAGGCACCCTTTTCCAGCTTCTCAACCGCTGCATAACTCCCTTTGGAAAGCGGATGTTCAAGCAGTGGGTTTGCCACCCTTTAATGGATACGAAGAAAATAAATGCCAGATTGGATGCTGTTGATTCTTTAAATGCTGACCCAAGCGTTCGGGACCAATTCTCATCCCAGCTATCCAAGATGCCCGACCTGGAGCGCCTGATATCTCGTATTCATGCAGGAAATTGTAAGGCGCAAGACTTTGTCAGTGTCCTACAAGGATTTGAACAGATTGAGTACACTATCAGCCTGCTCAAGGATAGCAGCTCAGGTGATGGGATTATAGGGCAACTGCTCAGTGCAATGCCTGATTTGACTTCGATGCTTGAATACTGGAAGACCGCTTTTGACCGCAACAAAGCTAAAGAGAACGGTATTTTGGTACCTGAACCTGGTGTTGAGGAGGACTTTGATAGCTCTCAGGAGGATGTCGAGAAGCTTCAGGGTGACCTCAATGACCTATTGAAAAGGGTGAGACGTGAGCTAGGCTCAACTGCTATTTGCTACAGGGACAACGGGAAGGAGATATATCAGCTTGAAGTACCGATTAAGGTGAAGGGCATCCCGAAGAACTGGGATCAGATGTCTGCCACGAAGCAAGTGAAAAGATATTATTTCCCTGAACTGAGAGTTCTCATTCGCAAATTGCAGGAGGCACAGGAAACACATAGTCAGATTGTCAAAGAAGTCGCTGGCCGATTCTATGCACGATTTGACGAAAACTACAAAATTTGGCTTGCGGCTGTCAAAATAATTGCGCAGCTAGACTGCTTGATCAGTTTGGCCAAGGCTTCTGCATCTCTAGGCCAGCCGAGCTGTCGACCTGTATTTGTCAACGATGAGCGAAGCGTCTTGGAGTTTGGGGAGCTACGCCATCCTTGCCTTCTTTCGTCCGTTGAAGACTTCATTCCCAATGACGTGAGGCTGGGAGGTGACCAACCCAACATTGACTTGCTCACCGGAGCCAATGCTGCTGGAAAGTCCACGGTTCTTCGAATGGTTTGTTCCATCTGACCCTACTGTCACTTGTTATTATTTTCTAAACTATTTGAATAGACGTGTGTTGCTGTGATCATGGCTCAGATCGGCTGCTACCTCCCCTGTCAATCTGCCCGACTAACACCGGTCGACCGTATCATGTCCCGTCTGGGTGCTAATGATAACATATTTGCTGCGCAATCGACATTCTTCGTTGAGCTGTCAGAGACCGAGAAGATTCTTTCCGAAGCAAGCTCTAGGTCCCTCGTCATCCTTGACGAGCTGGGCCGTGGTACCAGCTCTTACGACGGCGTGGCAGTGGCACAAGCGGTTCTGCACCATATCGCCACTCATATCGGGGCTCTGGGCTTTTTCGCAACTCATTATCATTCCCTTGCGGCCGAATTTGAGGGCCACCCTGAAATTGCGCCGAAACGGATGCGTATCCACGTTGATGACGAAGAACGGCGCGTTACTTTTCTGTATAAATTAGAAGATGGTGTTGCCGAAGGCAGCTTCGGTATGCACTGCGCGTCGATGTGTGGAATACCGAGCAAGATCATTGAAAGAGCCGAAGTTGCCGCAAAGCAGTGGGAGCATACAAGCCGTCTTAAAGAGAGTCTCGAACGCCGTAAAGGTGGCGGATTCATTAGCTTGGGCTGGTGGAGCGACGTTGCCTGGGCACTGAAAGAGTCCGTCGGTAAAGACGGTGACGACTCTAATCCGGTCTCTGAGAGGGGGTTGGAAGTCCTTTGCAAGGCCATAGAAGCTATATGATGAGCGTTTGAGCTCTTGTCCTTGATGGAGAAGAGTTTAAGGTGAAGCCAGAAGGTGTGGAATTCACTATAAATGTCTAGATGTCATCTTCACTGAATTGTTCAATCTAAGTTGTTGTCTTGTCGGGTTATTTTAATCTGCTGGGTTTGAGCTTTTACGAAGGGAACTATCTTCCATCACATAACCTATATACTATCTATATATTTTATCAGGTAATAATGGGGATGGAAATATGTGTCAGTAATAGAAGGCCATAGAAGAAATACAATCGTTTTTATCCGGGTTTGTCCTGGGTCTCTTGGACAGTGAATACTGGAGCGAGTAACACTTTAGGCTTCCTTATATGGGCCATCGGGGAAAAGCTCACGTTCTCCTCGCAAGACCCAATATTGGAAGAAAAGGGGATATACGAATGAAAGAAAAGTAGAAGACTAATCGAGTACAACTACGACTACGCAGGTATTAATTAGAAGATGGACAAGACTTCGAAATGATTAATCAATCCCCTTGATTAACTTGACTTGATAAAAGCAAAGAAAAGTATTGCCTGAAGGGTGAATGTCCAACTAACATAGTCCATCCCAGTGAACACAGTTAGCCGTTTTAAAAGAAACGATGCCATTATCAGAGGGATGCGAATGATATGCCTGTGGGAAAACAGGAATCAATGGCTCGCAGAAGAGAAAGACAAGACGACCAGGAAAGAAAATTCAAAAGACCATAGACAACAAAATGAAAGAGTAACACGAAGCATCCGAATTGAAGAAGGGGACTGCAGGTTTGTCGTATTCTCCCACGACATCGGTCAACATTCAAGTCGCAGTTTGTGTAAAAGGAAATCAAGGGGGGAAAAGTGATCTGTCGCCATGTAGCCATGTCGCAAGAGATAACCCGAACAACCTAAGGGGACAGAGGCACAAGGATAGAAGATGCGCTCAGTTCATCTTCGTCCTTGACATCGATCTCATCCTTAGGACCACCCTCAGTCTTGACGGTCACCTTACTGGGTTCTCTGATATCAAGGTTAGTTAGGTTTGTCCACCTTGTATTCTAAAGTCTGTAAAGAGAAGGAAACGACCTACTCGTCAACCATTTTACGGTAATTGCCAGTCTCCTTCTTAACAGGAGCCTTGCGCTGACGCTTCGGCTTGGTAGGAGTGTCGATATCGCTACTATCGTCGACCTTAGCGTCAGGGGTTTCACCCCCCATAGAAGTGGCAGCGGCTTTCTTGCGTTTGCCAGCGGCTTTCTTCGGAGTAGCTGCAGGAGCATCAGTGGAAATGTCGGCAGCAGGGCCAGCAGAAGTCTCGTTGCCGTCTCCAGCGTTCAACTGAGCGAGTTTTCGGTAGGCGCCGCGATACATGACACCAGCGGAGGCGCCATTCTTCCAGCCTCCCTTCTGGGCCAACTTTTCATAATCGACCTGCGTCGCTTTGGTGTGAGTTTGAGACTTGAAGGTAGCTGGTCATATGAATAGTCTGGTGCCACAAACCTTGTTGTCTTTGTTGGTGGTGAGGATTCCCAGCAAGAGGATTCTAGCATCATTCATTGAGAGACCCAGGAGGCTATCAGTCCTTCCTTTGGTCGGAGATGCCATTGTTGACCTCAGGAAGGTAGACAGAGCTCAGAAGATAAAGCAGGTTTGATGAGTGGAATGTGAAAGGTAATGTAGGCTGCAAGAAGAGTTGAAGGGCTAGTGAGTTAGAAGAGTGAGAGGGGAGAGTGAAAGATGAAGAGAAAAAAAGACAAGAAGGAAGAAAGAGGAAGGCTCTGAGCCAGGGTGGGGTGCTTTAAATATGAAATCTGCATCGCATCGTCAGAGTTCAGGGAGCATCAGGTTGAGTGATGGATAAAGCCGAAGATACAGGAAAGCAATGACAGGCTCACAAGGAGGGCTCACAACTCATCTCTTCAGTTCCTACATGAAATGCCGACTAAGAAAGATATAAAGGAAAATACAGCAAATCATGGCCTGCCAATTCTGGATTCATTCATGGTCTCCTCAAGGGCTGATTGTTCTGTATCTGTCGGTACACATGTTCCCACAGCTCAGGATAGAAAGTTGAAGATGCCCTTCCAGGCTTGCTCTTCTCTCCGGTATAGAAATGTTGCTGCGTTCTCCACTGCCACCACGGTGGTGGTGCGGGGTTTTGGTTGCGGAAGCTCACTGGGCGTATCTTCGCCCTGTCTGGAACAAGATCTGCCAGGCGCACTTCTGTTCGCCGAGGGATAGTGGTGAACTTCATGGTGTTGATATACAACGTTGCAGTGGGTGGAAGCTTTTTCGCATATTGTATAGCCTGCTCCCTTGACCGTCGAGCGAAGACGGGTAGCGCAAGATGGACGAAGTTTACGTACGGAGCAGACGTATAGGAGACGAAAATCAAAGGCAGGGCACCAGCTGCAACCACTATATAGCAGAAGTCAGCATCCTTCTTTCTTTTTGACGAGCTTACGAGATGCTCTTGAATCATACCAGCAGGAGCAACATAGGAGGGATAGTCCGAAGAGAAGAACGCCGGCGCAACCACAAAGCAAGCCACCCCAAAGAGAAATATTGTAGTAACTCGCAGCATCCCGAGGAAGATCGTACTGCCTGTTCCTCCATGGTATATCAATATCCGTTCCGGAGGCCCTGTAGTCCCAATTCAGCGTCTGCCCCGTGAAACCAAAAGCGAATATCCGTACCTCGTCTAATTTTTGTCTTTGCCTGTGCTGCCGATGGCTGAAATGAGCTCTGGGAAGCGAGTGAGCCTGTTTCCTTTGGTTTCAAGGACGTCTGGGTTGACTTCAGGCGAGTCAGTAACCGGCTGTTGAGGTCTCTCCGCAGCCATCGGGGAAAAGAGGTGCGCAATTGTGGATGCAGCAAGATCTGAGGCCTCATGGTGTCGATGTAATGCCACCCGAGAAGATGAACAGCAACTATCCTGGGATGGCTGGGATCAATTGGTGATACGAACTCCGTCAGCAGCTCGTCAAAGGAAAAACAGCTCGGGAGAAACGGAGACGTCCAAAGCGTGACGGAGGCTTGGCGGCAGCTCCAGCTTCCTCCGCTTCTGCTTCTCCATCCTCGCACTTGTCCTTCGTCAACGGGATGGACATGACTTTCTGACATTCCATTAGCTATTGGAAGTATTACGGACGAACACTTCTTTGTGGGACTCCACATAGGCCATGAAAGCCTCGTCGACCTCACAGTGAGACGCCATGTATTCGGCCGCTGGGGGATGCCTCGGTCCCCTCCTGTCAGTATGCTTCAGCTTGCTGTTCCTTTTGCTTTCGGTAGATGCATACGAAGCGATTTCCGACGAAACTCTGCAAGGTATTCCACGTCCGAATGGTGACTTCGACATTCATTCTGGTGCAATCCTCTACCCCATTCTTCAGACTCGCGTTCCCGGAACTCCTGGCTCAACAGCTGTCCTCAACCACTTCGCAGACTTCTTTCGAACAGCCCTTCCCAACTGGAACATCCAGTTTCAGAACTCTACTTCGAAGACACCCGTATCTGAAAACAAGGAGGTTCCGTTTGTCAATTTCATTGCTTCTCGTGATCCGCCATGGACGACCCCGGGGGATGTAGAAAGACTCACCTTCGTCGCCCACTATGACAGCAAGTATGAACCGGAGGGGTTTATCGGAGCCATCGATAGCGCGGCACCATGTGCGATTATTATGCATGCAATGCGCAGTATCGATGCGGCCTTGACTAAAAAGTGGGAGGCTATGCAGACGGAAGGCAACATGGATGCGTTACTGGATGAGCAAAGCGGCATCCAAGTGCTATTCCTGGACGGCGAAGAGGCGTTTAAGCATTGGACCGCTACTGATTCGCTGTATGGTGCACGCTCTCTGGCAGAGCAGTGGGATCTGGAAGTAAATCCTGCCTTGTCAACGTACAAGACACCCCTCTCGTCGATATCTCTATTCGTTCTTCTAGATCTGCTAGGGTCTAAAGATCCTACAATTCAATCTTTCTTCCCGACAACACACTGGGCGTACCGGAAAATTGCAGAACTTGAAAAGCGTTTCCGGGATCTGAAGCAATTCAAGTCTTCCTCGAAGAGCCCTTGGTTCATTCACGGTTCAAGAGACGAGCACCAATTGAATGGGCTTCCTCTTATCGAAGATGACCACATCCCTTTTTTAACTCGTGGTGTGGAAGTGCTACATCTTATTGACGTGGGTCCGTTTGGTTTTCCCGATGTCTGGCATACCTTGGATGACGATGCCGAGCATCTGGACGTGGACACGGTGGAGGACTGGGGCGTTCTTATAGCGGCTTTTGCTGCTGAATGGATGGAGCTAGAAGGATATGTGGACGTCTCAAACGAAAATTCCGCCGCAATGCGCACCAGAAAATGGGACAAAACCGAACTGTAAGCACGTTTGTTCTATTATACGCTCTATTCCGCATAAATGCCTGCAGATGTTACAGCACCAAATTCTTTTGTATAATTCTATAACAATGATGCTATCCCATGTACAGCCATATTCCTATTTCCTGTTATGCATACCGAGATTGACATAGGAGTGTAGAGCTAACTTTTAACGGTACAGGCTTTAGGTTCCAGTTTCTTGAAGCCATATTAACATCCTGTCTCATATACTTTTAGCTATCCTTATAAATTGGCCTGAAGTTTCCGCACTCGAAAATGATAGGGGTGGAAAATTTAACGCCCTTAGATCAAATTACCCAACATATAGCCGCTCATTACGACCAGGCCCCAGGCTGGTTGCAGTATCGCTCGCAGGATGGCGGGTCCAGGGCACACTCCGGTCAATCCCCAGCTGAGTCCAAAGGCTGCCGCACCTGCTACAAAGCGCCAATCGATATCTGCCACTGAAGCCGTGGGCAGTCTCCAGCTTTCTGCCAGTGTCGGTTTGGTTGGGGCCTTCCCATCTCTTGAGACTTGACCTGGCTTTTCAAGCAAATAGGCACTGAGCGATGGGCCAATTCCGAGGAGAATTATAAGAGTCAGAGAGGGGTCAAAACGGGATGGGTCCGTCACGAAGGCGAAGAACCGTAAGACCTTCGCTGAATCGGCCATACCGGAGATAAGAAGACCTAGTCCGAACTCAAGCCCTGCCAGGAAGGAAAAGACGACTTTTGAATTCTTGGACCGGCTGAACAGTCGTGGAACAACGAAGAAATTCATGAGACAGGCTAGGGTGTTTGCTCCCATCATAAACGCAAGTTCTGCCGATGAAGGGTATATGGGAGTGTAGCAGGGGAGGTCTCCGCAGGATGGGATATTAGTCCCTCTAGCGATGAAATTGGTAGTGATCAATGCAGTCATGAAGAAGATAGCTGTTGCGATCATCGAGCGCGGTGACAGACGAGCAAGTCCACAGAGCATGTGGCCTGAAGTACATCCACGACCATTCTAGCCCTCGTTCCTGGTCAGCTATCGGAGTGCATCGCAACTGGAGAAGTCCTATTTACCTTTGTTCCCCAGCCCATCAGGAAGCCAAGGGCCAGGGTCGATGCTGCAGATGCCCAGGAATGCGGTGCATGTGGATAGATCGGTATCAATGACCGTGCAAGCAGGTAGACTGGAGCGATGCTGGAGGCTAACCCTACTATGATGGGGAGGTTGTCTTGGTTTGGCCTGAATACGCTCTCTGAGAGGAGCGAGGAGATTCCAAACACGGCACCATTGTGAAAGAGGAGGCCGGAGGAACCTTGGAACAAGAGCAGGGCTCCTAGGGAGGTATGGATAGGAGTAAACATGACTCTTATAGAAGATAGATAGAAAGACGAGGTTTACTATGAGGGATCAAGATCCTTAAATGGTTGACTTCAACTATCCACCCCCTACTCCTGACAGTGCCCAACGCTGTTAATAACGAAATCTCAAATGTCCCCGATGCGTCGGGCATTGATACCATATAAATATATTATCCCAGCTTCGGGATCCATGGTAAGAGTCGTGGGGTCTAGGGCTCCGGATGGTCCCCGAGTCGAAGCTTTTCACGGTCGATGAGCTCCCGGGGGAAAGGGCAATCGACAAGGCGACAGGATCAGTCGAATACGACATATCAAGCAATCGATCCCGATATCCACGGCTATACTGTATGGCCTTCAAAGTTAGGTCAATCCAGAGTAGTTCGTCGGGGTCGACGTCATTTGCCCGTGGATCGGGACAAGAAAGAAGCCGAGAGGTTCCCTTGGAACTGCCTGGTGGTCCCCGAATGGAGAACGCCGTTGGAATCGATAGAAAACAGCTCATATAGGAGTGACTTGTTGGCTGTTAATCAACTGTGGCTGCTCGCAGAGTCGCTTTTGGAGCTGTCTTGCAGGATGGACAATGGCAATGGGAAGGAAGCTGCTGCGGTCACGTTGGACTCACGCGACTGCAGTTGTCTGCTTCACCTCTCCCCTCCTTTCCTTTCCTTTCCCTTTCTATCTCCTATACTCTAGCTATCTCTTTCAAAGCTCACAGCTAGAGAAGTCAACAGTAGCCGGTGACAATGGGAATCACCCAAAGCATGTTGCATCGCTGCGTTCTAGCAGCTGTTGGTGGAAATTCGAGTCTGACTGCCTTTCCAGGCGATCCCTTCTATCATATTTCCGCTGTGAGACCCTATAACCTGAATTTCCCGGTTACCCCTGCAGCGATTGCGTCTCCTGTGACAAGAGACCAAGTTGCTGCTGTTATCAAATGCGCAGTGGATGGTGGACACAAGGTCCAGGCAAGGAGTGGAGGCCATAGCTATGGGAACTACGGTATGGGATGAGCCAAATCATTCAGGAACCTTACTGACGGTATTCCTTGTCTCTAGGTCTCGGGGGTACAAACAATGCCGTTGTTGTCGATCTTCAACATTTCCGGCAGTTCTCGCTGGATAACTCGACCTATGTCGCAACGATTGGCCCTGGATTGACGCTTGACGATATCTCAAAGCTTCTGCATAACGATGGACGAGCCATAACACATGGAACCTGTCCGCAAGTAGGCGTGGGTGGCCATCTTACCATTGGTGGGCTTGGCCCAACTTCACGCCAATGGGGTCTGTCACTAGACCATGTCGAGGAGGTTGAGGTCGTGCTGGCAAATTCAAGCATTGTCAGGGCTTCAGACACCGAAAACTCGGACCTTTTCTTTGCTGTCAAAGGCGCAGCCTCGAGTTTCGGGGTCGTCACGGAGTTCAAAGTCCGTACACATCCGGAGCCAGAACAGGCTGTTCAGTATTCCTTCACGTTCGATTTCAGCAGTACCTCTGAGAGAGCACAGCTCTTCAAGGACTGGCAGACTTTTATCTCTGACACCGAGCTCACCCGGAACTTCACGTCATCGCTCGTCGCATTTGAAGGGGGAGCAGTAATCACAGGCATATTCTTTGGCAGCAAGGCAGAATTCGACAAATTTCGGATACAACACTGCTTCCCCGGCCAGAATCCCAGTTATGAGAGTGTTGTCGTTCTTGACGATTGGCTTGGTATGCTTACCAGCGACGCTGAGGATCTCATCTTGAAAGCAAGTGGCGGCATTCCGAATTGGTTTTACGCCAAATCACTGTCTTTCACGCCGCAATCCCTGATCCCCTCTTCTGTTGTTGATGACCTGTTTCGTCATTTTGCCTCAGCTGATAAAGGGGGCGCAATATGGTTTGTGATTTTTGATCTCGAGGGAGGAGCGGTTAACGACCATGCTGTGAACTCGACTGCCTACCCTCATCGGAATACCTTGTTCTGGATGCAGTCCTATGCAATTAGCCCTCTACATGGGACTTCAAATCAGACATTTGATTTCCTCAATGGAATCTCCAACATCATTAGATCTTCGTTGCCGGCAAATGATCTAGGTGCCTATCCCGGATACGTGGATCCATTTTTGGATCATGCTCAGACTGCATACTGGGGGCCTAATCTTCAGCGGCTTCAAGAAATAAAGGCCAGTTTTGATCCAAAAGATTTGTTTCATAACCCTCAAAGCGTGAAAGCTGGAAATTGACCAAAGGAGCGGGGAGAGGCGTCGGGCGTTAACGACATCATTGCACGTGCAATATTTCTCTTTCCTTAATGGATATGCATAGATCTTCCATATGCATTTAGTTGATATCCAATCCTCAATGACCAGGCTGGATGTAATATGATAATAGTCCATGAAGCTTTCACGGAGCATACGGGAAGTGGGAAACGCACTACCGTAGTTGACTTTACGAGCATGATGTTAGAAATACATTTAATATTACATTTTCGTCTCTGTTGAATTTTCCGCGAACGATATATTTTTTCATCGCTTGACTCGCTCCTTTTTCCAGAAGTGGGAAGATTGCAAAACGAGAATCCTAAATAGAACCTAGAGAATTAAAAGTGTATGGCACGATGTGGTATGGGATTGTAGGATCTGTTGCTTCTGTTATGAAACTTGTGATCTGGTCCCTGGCACTGGAACTGAGCACCAGGCCATTCTCTCGGGCTCTCTGCAGAATCTTGCCAATAAAGAGACGCATTTTGACCGTCCTTGGATTCCTGGTCTGAGGAATCCATCACTGGCGTCCTGATTCGGTGTTAGCTATTTGCCGCCTGTACAGATAGTAAAGAGATATGCCGACAACAACTGACCAGGGAGAGTTTATGGCTCAGATCTGAGACGACCTATATGTCGTAGCACCTTTTTTAGTCTGGCAACTAAGTAAGTAGTGCTTTGGCATTTGATCTTTGGGGAGAGAAGGGAATGAGTTTTTATTCCCTCTTGCGAGTTCTCGAAGATATGTAAGTTGTCTGACGCATTCTCTATATGCTGACTAACATAGATCAGATCATACCCACTCAAGCCTGACACAATTTTTCTAAAAGAAAATATTGACTCCGTACAGGGGATTCACCTGAAAACCCTTGATCTCTTAATAGATGTTGATTCTGATATGGAAAAGGTCACGTGGTATGGCGGCTTGGCTCCCCTGAGAATCCGAGCCCCTGATGATAGAGAGAGAGATAGAACTGAATGAAATCCGTTCCTTAGTAGGCTACGTACGTGTGGTCGATACAGCTTCATTCTGCCTTTCTTCCCTGAGTTACATGCATATTCCACAACAGATTCTAAATGCCTGCCAATACAATATCACGTGATCATATACTTCCGGTGGTTCTTCCAACTTCAGCATCCATCATCCATCAGGATTCAGCATGGCTGGCTGCAGGCAGTCCAGCCCTTCAGAGTCATATCAGTCACCCAGTCTGCGCTAACTATGACTCAACTTTTATTGTCCGTGCTAAGTACTCCCTGATGATGCTTCAGACCTCTTGGCAGCCTTGTTCTGATGTCCTGGTTCTGGAGAAAGGCGCGTCACCACCAGCCAAGAGCTTGTATAACATGGACAGTTATGTTGAATATTATTGTTATTTGTATCGGTGGGTACTCTTTCAACTGCAAGAGTCGGTGAGTCCAGTCCAATATTAATAAATTCTTGATAGACAATCAGAGTTAAATCCGAGGTCGCACTCGGATTTAATTATTATTTGATTATCACAGAAGCAATCCTCCACAGTGCAAGGTTCGCTATCATGTAGTGCCGGCCGGCTGCACCTGCGTCAATTAATGAGCGCCTCGAATCACAGACAGGTTGAATTGCTTCAATGGAGTCCCCGACTCGGTGACTCACCGTTCGAATGCTACTCCGTGCCCACAGCCAGTCACGGCAGAGCTGCATGCAGGCTGCACGGACTATTGCAGGCTAAAAATGATGCGATAACAGCTCCAGATTAGTTCCCCGCCATTGCTGACACTGGACATTACGACGCGGGTGCTATTGGATAGGCATGGATGGTGGGATGATAAGAACCGTCTCCTGGCGGGTGCTTTTTGTGTCGAGCATCCTCGAACAGGAACTGCACATTCTGTCAAACCCAGAGGTCCCCAATTGCCCCAGGTCAGAAGGGGTCGCAAAATAGGGAAAACGACGAGGCGGAAAATGGCTCCATCCCCGGAGCTTTCTTCCCTTCTTACAGGATCCATTGGCTTGTTTCTCGTAGCCGTGGATACTGTACCTGCCGTGAAGAGCATCGCTTCGCGACTTACCCGGAAGCCAGTCCAGCAAGATGGCGAACTGCAAGTGGGAAAGGCCCTCTACCGGGACAAGGACGGAGAAGCGACCGAGGAATCCCTTGATGCATTTTCGGATAAGTGGCAGAGAGCCGGAATCGCCTTTCTGTCTGCGGTCGGGTTCCTCTCGTCTCTAGCTGTTTCTGTCGTTGCTACCTTGCATGCTGAGCGCGTCGTGGAATTTTGGCTTCAATTCGGTGTCTGGGTGCGTACACGATCACCGATTCCTCAAGACTCTCTTTTGGAGCCGTTTGATCCTAATCCCCTTGTTTAGATTTTGCTGGCCGTTCAGGCTGCCTCGCTTTTCGTCGAGCCCTTGTCTACTAAACGATTTGTGCTGGGTAATTTTGCCTTTTTGGCTACTGTGCTAGCCATTTTGATTCCTTGCATCGAGTTCTATATTGTGTGGGCTGCTGGGAATCCGACGGCGTTTGATGGAGCCCCAGTAGCGCTGGTTATGGTGCAAATTGCCGCAGCCCTTCTCCTTGGATTACTATGTCTCCTGCTTCCACGTCGTCCGGACGTGTCTTGGAATGGCCAAGTGGTGGATAGACAGTACACTGTATCGGCATGGAGTCGATTCTCTTTCAGCTGGGTAGATGGGCTCATGCAATACATCGTCGCACATAAAGGCATCGGCATTGACGATCTTCCCGAACTGCATTTTGATATGCGCGCCGAAATTCTACGCTCTCGTTTTGAGAATGCCAGGGAATCGGGATCTGGGAAGCGGAAAGTATGGAAAACGTTGATCATTACCCATTGGCGGCCGCTTGTCGCTCAGCTTTCCCTTACACTGTTCGCCTGTCTCTTGAGTTTCGGCCCGCAGGCGGCCCTGTATGGAATACTGCGATCACTGGAGGCACGCGGTTCGGATGGTGGGGCTTCATTACAATCCTGGATTTGGGTTATAGGACTGGGTGGGCTCATGCTTATCTCTTCCAGTATTGAAGTGTGGTTATTTTGGATCATATTTTCCCTTATCTATGTCCCGATTTATGAAGAGCTCTCTGCCGTGACGTTCGCGAAAGCAATGCGTCGGAAGGACGTGAAGCACACAAAGCCCTCCAAGAAATCCGAGAAGTTGTTATCATCAGAATCACCTCTTTTAGTGACGAAACCCTCAGGCGAGGATGATGAGGAGGATGAAGAAGACCTCAAGAAAAGCCGCCAGAGTATCATCAACCTTGTCGCCGTCGATGCAAGGAGAATTGCCGATTTTGCTACATTTAGCTATATGATTCCATCTTCATTGATCAAGCTTGTAATGGCCTGCTTTTTCTTGAATCAACTTATTGGCTGGAAGAGTCTGTTATCGGGACTCGCCGTGTCGGCATTGGTGACGCCTGCCAATTGGTATGTCTCGAAGAAGTATGCAGAGTCCCAGGACGTGCTTATGAAGGCCAGAGACCAAAAGATGGCCATTGTGACCGAGGTGCTACAGGGTATTCGGCAAATCAAGTTCTCAGCTCTCGAGACGCGATGGCAGCAGAAGATTGGAGAGAGTCGTAACAAGGAACTTCATGCGCAATGGCTGGCGTTTGCTTACGATGTCTGCCTGATATCTATTTGGATCCTTGGTCCTCTGATGCTTTCCGCTGTTTCATTAGCAGTATATGCTTTGATCAATGGTGAGCTGACCGCTTCAGTGGCATTTACTGCCATGTCAATATTTGGTTCTCTGGAATTGTCGCTTGCCATTCTGCCAGAGATGATTTCCAATGGCCTAGAGACGAAAGTTAGCATCGACCGTATTGAAAGGTTCCTTGGTACCGCCGAGAAAACCGCCACAACTATCCCGTCTGATACTATCTCTTTTGAGAATGCCTCGGTTTCATGGCCCGCAGAAGAGGCGAACGAGGGTGAAGAGACCAACGACGAGGAACGCTTCGTGTTGAGTAACCTCAACATTTCCTTTCCATCCAAGGGCCTGAGTGTGATATCTGGCCGAACCGGCTCTGGAAAAAGTCTTCTTCTATCCTCTATCTTAGGTGAGTCCGACATACTCTGTGGAACTGTCAAGGTGCCCGTTCCACCTCCTGTAGAGGCTCGATATGATCACCTGGCAACCAGAGAGAACTGGATCATCGACTCCGCAATTGCATACGTTGCTCAGATCCCTTGGATTGAGAACGCGAGTATCAGGGACAATATTCTCTTCGGCTTGCCGTACGATTCTGTGCGGTATCGCAAAGTGCTCTTTGCTTGTGCATTGGAGAAGGACCTCGATATGCCTACAGACGGCGAGCAGACTGACATTGGTGCCAATGGAGTCAACCTCAGCGGTGGGCAAAAATGGCGTGTGTCCTTTGCGAGAGCGCTGTACTCGCGGGCTGGGATTATACTTATGGACGACATTTTCAGTGCCTTGGATGCACACACAGGGCGGCACGTTTATGAGCATGCCTTGACCGGGGAGCTGGGCCAGAATCGAACCAGAATTCTTGTTACGCATCACGTTGCGCTGTGTCTCCCACGCACAGATTATTCGATTCTCCTTGCAGATGGATCAGTGAAACATGCTGGGACTGTTGAGGAGCTACGGAAGACACACAGTCTGGAAGACATCCTGTCAGAAGAGCAAGCCGCCGAAAGAGCCGATCATGCCATTGACGAAAACGAAGAGGAGACATCAGCGCAGGATACCGCTCCTCAGGGCAGACAAACTTCTCCGGATGTCAGCCATAACGAAAACGGTAATGAACCTAACGGGACCACGGCTAAAGGCGGCTCAAGTCCGAAGAAGTTTATCCAGGATGAGAAAAGGGAAATAGGATCCATCAAGCTCTCAGTCTACAAGTCCTACCTTAAAAAGGGTGGTAGCATACCCTACTGGCAATTGGTTGTGGTTGCATATGTTAGCTATGTCTGCCTTCTCGTTGGGCGGGTAAGTGCCTTTCCTCCCTCAGAAACTGAAAAAAAAAAAAAAAAAGAAAAGAAAAGAGCTGACAACTGCATCTTCGAACAGTCATGGTGGGTCAATCTCTGGACCAGTTCGTCTCATACGCAATCCCATCCAGGAAAACAGCTTACCCTGATGACCCATGTGGTGGATCGTTTTGCTACGGTCACGTCTAATAACGATGGTCTCTTCCTTTATCTTGGGATATATGTCTGTTTATCTATAGTTGCCTGCTTGGTCGGTACCGTCCGGTACTATTTGGTCCTATCTGCGGCCATTCGAGCGTCGAGAAACCTTTTCGCAAATTTGACCTATGCCGTTCTCCGGGCACCACTTCGTTGGCTCGATACTGTGCCTCTCGGACGCATTTTGAACCGCTTCACCGCAGATTTCCATGCGATTGACTCGAGGCTTGGCTATGACCTTGGTTTCGTTGCTTACAAAGTCCTTGAAGTGCTTGGGATCATGGCGGCAGGAGTCCTTGTTTCTCCGCTAGTAATATTTTGCGGCCTGGTCCTCCTCGCTTTTTGTTTAAAGCTCTCGCTCACGTATCTGGCTGGTGCGCGAGAGGTCAAGAGGCTAGAAAGCAACGCCAAGAGCCCCGTGTTCGAGACGTTCGGATCCAGCCTGGTCGGATTGGTCACAATTCGTGGGTTCAGCAAGACCGAAACCTATATCAGAATCATGTATTCCAAGATCAATCGCCACGGCCGGACATGGTGGCACTTGTGGCTGTTTAATAGGTGGCTTGGTTTCCGTATGAATATAGTCGGTGCTGTTTTCTCAACGGTCACGGCTGCTCTCGTTGTTTACATTCCAGGGATCACTGCTTCGCTTGCAGGCTTTGCTCTTAGCTTTGCCCTACAGTATAACTCTGCCATTTCCATTGCACTCCGCCAGTACTCGAATCTCGAATTGAATATGAACGCGACAGAACGCGTAATCGAATATTCAAACATCGAGATCGAGAACCAAGGGGGACTTGATGCTCCTGCAGCCTGGCCTACGGAGGGTCGAGTAGAGGTTCAAGACTTAGTTGTCGGCTATGCACCAGACCTTCCACCCGTGCTGAACGGGCTGACATTCACCGTCGAAAAGAACCAGCGTGTTGGAGTCGTGGGACGCACTGGAGCTGGGAAATCATCCTTGACTCTGGCATTGTTCCGATTCCTAGAGGCGAGGAAGGGGTCTATTTCTATTGACGGGATTGATATAGCAAAGATCAAACTCCACGACCTGCGAAGCCGTCTTGCTATCATACCGCAAGACCCTGTGTTGTTCTCTGGTACTGTCCGGTCAAATCTGGATCCGTTTGACGAATATACAGATAAGGAGCTTTACGATGCTCTGGAAAGAGTTCATCTGATCGCTTCTTCAGGGGAAGAACGTGATCATGAGTCTTCCACATCGGCTGTCTCCGAGGAACACACGACAAATGGAAAAAAGAACATGAACACAAACATCTTCGCGTCTTTGTCCTCAATCATCTCCGAGGGCGGCCTAAACCTGTCGCAAGGCCAACGCCAGCTGCTCTGCCTGGCCCGTGCCATCGTTTCTCGTCCGAAAGTGATGGTGCTCGACGAGGCCACCTCGGCGGTAGATATGGAGACCGATGCCCTGATCCAGCAATCCATCCGGGCCGAGTTTGGGCGTAATGCCACCACGCTGCTTGTTATCGCGCATCGGTTGAGCACGATTGCGGACTTTGATCGGATTCTTGTCATGGATGCGGGCAGAGCGGCCGAGTATGGAAGCCCGAAGGACCTGATGGGGATTGAAGGTGGAATTTTCCGGGGGTTGGTGGAGAATTCAGGGGAGAAGAGTGTTTTGGAGGAAATAATCTTTGGGAATAAGACAGCATGATCCAGTGGAGGGGTTGGGTTGTTGGGTTGGTTGGTGACAGCAAAGAATTTTGTCTTCTACGCAGAAAACAGAATGGGAACATATGGTATACAGAATGAACCCTAGCTATGTTCCTTTCAGAAAAAGATTTTGAAAAACTCAAATATAAAATCGATGGCAACCAGAAAGAGAATTGTCTATTTTGCACAAAAAAGGAATATAATTGTATATAAAGAGATAGATATATTGAGGATAACCTAAAAATGCAAGACCCACGAACAAAACAAATATATCAGGCGAGACATATCACAGAAACACTTTCACATAAAAGCACCTCTCCAGCCTCCACCTGATAGACTAGTGTAAAAAGGGAAAAGAGACACCACCAAGCCTTGTCTAGTGTATCAGAGATGCCTTCATCGCGTCCGTCGAAGTAACAAGGATGTATGTGCCGAACGCCTATATCATTCTCCCACCAAACCACGAGTTCCACAGGCCCTTGAGCTTACTTTCCTAGAAGGAAAAGAAAGAGAGCCTGTGGACCTCAGAGGGGGGGATTTGACTAAGGTCTCATATGGAACACGCTAGGCTTTCATCATCTGGAAAATTTGTTAGTTGATTCGGTTTATGGATTGCAGATTTTGCTCCCTTGCTGAAAGACAGGGTTGCACGGTATGACTTACCTGTACAAAACTTGGAAGGATGGAGAAGAAAGGGAAAAGAAAGGAGAGAGGAGTTAGTTTTTTTTGTTGTGGGTTGGTTCGGAGGGATTAACGTGTCTCCGGGCATATTCTACGCTGGAGACTATCTTCTCCTTTGGCTTGTTTTGCCGATGGATGGTGCCATTGCGATCTTTGATTACAAAGTGCCTGCTCACAGGAGCTCAATGCCTTCGGTTTATTACACCATAAAAATATTCATATTTCTCCTTTGCCATAGCAAACAGAGGATTAAAAGATTAATTTGATTTGATTTGATTTGATTACTATTTAACGTCACTCGGCGGATCACGTGGCACACGTGACCCGCGGCCTCCCAAGGGGCATCCGGACGTGCTACCTAAGCAAAGACTCACTAAAATAAATACATGCTTGAAGCAACAAAGCTGGACACTATGTGTTGGAAAAGAGTGGAAGAAGCACCAGGCGCTACCCTGGCCTGGACTTCTAAAGGTGAGGAACCTGCTTTGGCTACCTTCAGTCGAGCAGGGGTGCCTTTCCCGTTCGTCCAGGTAGAAGCGTAGACTGTTGCACTATTCAGTGCTTGAGCAGGCCCAATTTGGGCATATATCCTTGAAAAAGGATGAATCTTGCACGATGTGGCTGAACTCTTCCGCCCCAGCAGCTGTACCTAGTAGCCAGTCAATTGTACTTGACGGGCTGCCTCTCTTGCATTTCCATCTATCCTTCCAGCGCTTCCTGGTGGGTGGGCAGAAGAAGAAATGGACAGGGGACTTCTGTCTCTTGCAGGAGCAGGTTGCTAGGTAGTCTACATGTTGAAATCTTTCATAATATGCTGCAAAATCCCCGTGACCTGTACGGGCGGCTATGAGCCTGCCCAGGACCCAGCGGGGGAGCTTATGTTCTTGGTCACAACTGCTTTTTGTATGAGGTCTGATGCCCAGGTCACGGTAGGCCTGAGGTGCGCCTCTAAAATATGCCGCGTGTGTATCTGCGCGGATCCGCTGTTTTGCCTCCCGTCTGAGGAATGAGGGAGAAGGGGGGATATCAGGACTGGCTAATGAAGCTCCCTTCTTTGCCAGCTTATCTGTGAGCTCATTCCCTGTGACCCCAGAGTGGCCTGGAACCCAACAGACCCCTACAGGTTTGCGAGGTAGAGATAAAAGTGAAGGCAAGCTGTCCCACTGAGCGGAGAGTTGGTGGAAAGTATCAGTAAGTCTTCGTCTATGGGGGGCTGGCCTGCCATCTGCTAGCAGGCTAGCTGCGGCTAGATTATCAAGGAGGATGTTGATTTGGGTAGCGAACTTGGTGCAGTCTTGGCTAACTGCAGCACGGAGCCCTTCTACTGCACCCATAATTTCTGCGTTGTAAACCTCTGTCCGCGCCCCGCAGGGCCGAATCCCTGGGTAAGCAGGATAGGGCCATAGTATATTGCATAGCCGTACCCAGCGCCCTGGTCTGTACGGGAGCCATCTGAATAGACTGTTACTTCCAATGGGGAAGGAAGGTGCTTACCCCAGTCAGTGGGGAGCATGCGCAGTGATGGGAGGGGTGGTTCTATATGCATGCGTTCCGGCGCTGGTCCAGGAACAAGTTGGAGGATCCTGGTAAGTCTGGTCCTGTTCTTACAGCTCTGGGCTGTAGTGGTAGTTATGCGAGCAATCGGGTGCTTCGCGTCAAGGCTTGCATATCTGATTGCCGCCTTCTGGAGGGTACTGTTGAGCAGGGCTTCAGGGTCAGGTAGGTCTGCCTCCCGGAGGAGTACTGTAGTAGGGGTTGTTTTATATGCAGGAAGAATGGCCAGGGCGGCCAGGCGGAGCAGAGATTGAAGGGAGCTGATAACCCCTTGTTGCCTGTAGCCAGTATAGAAGACTTCTGCGCCATAGAGAGCTGTTGGCAGGACGCACTGCATGACCACTGCACGCATGGAGGCTACTGGGCACCCACGCTGGGTATTGCTAAGCCTCCGGAGATGTTGAGCGAGCTGCTTGCCGCGGCTGAATGTCCAATTAATATGTGACCTGAAGGTGAGCTTAGTGTCAAGCAGGACCCCTAACCATCGGGTATATGGAGATGGTTTGATCTTGCCTACACCTAGTAGAAAGACTGTGGGGATAGACTGCTTCCGCTGCCTAGAGAAATGCTGTATTTCTGTCTTCTCAAAGGAGAATGGAAGGCCTGATGCAGCCCCAAGTGCCGTGATTGATTTATAGGCTTCCAATAGTTGCCGTGAGGTCTCTTCCAGATTGTTTCCAATGAATAGCAATCCCAGGTCGTCTGCATAGCAGAAAGAGCCCTTATGGGTAGAAACTACCATTGCCGCGTACAGCAGGAAGAGAATTGGGGATAGAGGGGACCCCTGGGGGAGACCGCCCTTGATTAGGGCTGTTGCAATAGCCTCTCTAATATGGACTGAGGCAGTGCGGCCGGTCAGCCAATCTTGGATTAACCAGATTAGGCCTTCGTCCCATCCCTGCAGGCGTAGGTGTGAGAGAAGCCGCTGATGGATTACCGCATCAAAGGCCCCCTTTACGTCCAGTAATAGTAGTGAAGCCACCATCTTCCTTCCAAAGGCCTTCTCTATCCTGTGGACCAGGATCTGGACAAGATCAATCGCAGAGCGGCCAGGAAGAGCGCCAAAATGGCAGGGGGCCAGTAGCCCTACCTGGATTGCTCGTGCAGCTATGCGCCGCGCCAGAAAGCACTCTAGGCCTTTTCCTAAGGTGGAGAGTAGGCTGATGGGTCGCCAGGAGCCGAGCTGTGTGAGGTCCCTTTTTCCTGGCTTTGGTATCATTACCACCTTTGCAGACTTAAAACACTGTGGGAAGCGACCTTCCTCTAAGCAGCGGCGATAAAGAAGCGTGATTGTGTTGCCTAGAGCAGGCCAGAGCTCTCTCCAAACTGTGGTAGCAAGCCCATCCCTACCTGGGGCAGATGGGGCAGGGGCACAAAGGGCAGTCCAGCAGTCCTCCTTAGTTGGCAACCCTAGTGAATCCAGAGGTTTTGCTGGAGGGCCCTCCTCTAGTTGATCTGGAAGGGAGGCTCCCTTCTCCAGTAAATGTGAAAGAAAAGCATCTGCTTTATCTTGTGGAGTGCTAACCTGATTTCCTTGGATGTTTAGAGGGGGTGCCGCGAGCTGATCTGAGCGCTTATGCCATTTAGCAAGTAGGAAGGCATCTGTGGGAGACACTGCTTGCTCAATTCGCCTCTTCCAGTAATTAGCCTTTGCACAGGATATTGTCTTCCGGAGTGGTAGGTAGTCTGGGTCCTGCTGCTGTCATGTTTGGTGGAGTAGGTCTGTGAGCTCTGGTGTCCACCAAGGGGTGCGTGGGAGCTTGCGAGAGTTATGTTTTGATGCACCACGGATGGCTAGCTGTACATTATCAACTAGTTCTTCTGCTAAGGTGTTGATGGGGAGGTGCGCAGGTGGGGGGGTTAGCAGAGATATAGCCTTCTCCCAGTCTGTAGAGCCTATCCTTGGACGGGAGATAGGCTCCGTCCAGTCTGTTGTAATCAGAATGGTTGCATGATCACTTGAGGTATTAAGGTAGTCTTCAACTACTGCCTCTATCAACATGTTGGAGAAGACCAGGTCAAGGGTGTTTGGCCCACAAGTAGGAGTGCCTGGCTCCATACAGAGCACTAGTTCATGGGCTTCTAGCCACTCTATAAGTGCTGTTGCGCCTGCTGTTACTTGGTGCGGTTCTGTCCCCGGTTGCCAGAGGGGGTGGTGGGTATTAAAGTCCCCCGCGATAATAGTGTTCTGCGGAGGGGAGAATTGCAATAGGGTGTGTAGGGTAGATAGGGTTGAACCAGATCCCGCTGGCACAACGGGGGTCATTTGGGGGCGGTAGATGTTTATGATGGTTAGGCCAGCTGTACAGATAGCTGCGATATCTGGTGAGATAGGCTGAGGGAGAGAGAATGCTGGAAGATCCTGGTGAACATATATCAAAGCTCTAGGCCTAGTTTCCCACCGAGTGGCAGGGCTGAAGAGCTGGTATCGTGGGTGTGTTTTTGTGAGTTGTTTTGCCATGTCCGTCCAGGGCTCCTGGACTAGGATAATGTCCGCCTCAAATGTTAGCAGTAGGTCGTGGGCAGGGCTGCCCCTTCCAACATTAGCCTGCAATATCTTCATAGTTCTGGTGATGGGAGGGTTTGATTTGCAAGCTCCTGGGCAAGCTGGCTTGAGGACTGGTGGGGGGTGTGTGGACTGCTAGCTTGGTGGCTAGAGGCTGACTTAGCTAGTTGCTGTTGAAAGGCAAGTCGGCCAGCCTTACGAACAGCAGCCAAGGTGTCCTTTGCAAGGCGGATAATAGAACCCTTTTGTGTATATGGTCTAGCAGGGCACTTTTGGTAGTCTGCTGCATGTGGACCGCAGCAGTTCACACACTGCACGCGGCAGGTATGCTCCTGTTTAGAGGATCCACAGGAGATGCAGCGCTCACTAGAGCGGCAGGCTTGTGTATCATGGAAGCGGTGGCAGCGGGTACACTGTAGTGGTCTTTTCTTAGGGCGGGTAGGCCGTGATAGGCCAGAGGAGCCAAAGAGTTGCAAGGCACGTTGTGGCTTCTTTGGAAAGGCTATGACTGCCGTGATAGAGCCCTCCTCTACAGGGTGCTTAGAGAGCTTAGTCATAAGCAGCTTCATACCAGTTATGCGCTCTGCTTCTGTACTGATATCCCTGATTGTGGTGGGTGCCCATCCCTCTCGGGTCCAGAGCTGCTGAGGGATCCTAGGGACTACTACCTGATGGAAACCCATTGCAGCCTCAAAGTTGCCGTCTCCTGCTAGCCCACTTGCCTGTGGGGAGAGTAGGAAAGCCCTACCTTCTTCAGTGGCTGAGATTGCATATCCTGTAGCCACGGCCTGCACTCGTGCGATTCCACCAGGAATTTTTTTCCGCTAGGGTGACCCGGATGCCATGCGGCCCAATAGCTCGTAGGCTGGAGGAGACCGGCAGCCGGAGAAAGATACGGGAGTCAGTTTTGCTTTCCTGCTGGGGTTGCTGCTGGGCTGGCTTTTGTGTCTGCTGCCGAGAGGCTTGCACACTATGTTCTTGAGTATCAGATTGCCAGTTGTCCTGGCTAGCTTTTAGGGCGGCAACTGAGGCCCAGGTTGAGGTCTGTAAGGTCTTTTTAGCTTGATATGCCTGCGCCATCTGGGGGGTGCTATGTCAGGCTTTGCCCCTTGCTGTGGGGTGTTGAGGTTTGCCAGGGTAATAAACCTAGCTACAAGCCCTCGAGCGAGCTCCTTGGGACGGCCCTGTAGAGAGGAGACAGTTGTCTCAAGTGCCTCTGCAAGGGAGGTTAGCGCCAGCTTCCAGTCACCTAGGAGCAGGAGCTGGTCGTTTGCAGCTGCGGTAGCCTGCTGGCAAATTGATCCAGCAGCCTGCGTGTTGGATATAGGAGCTATTATCGCCGTAGGCATCCTATAGGGGAGGGTGGCGCCCTCCTTTTCAGGGAGATGCGGGGGAGGGGGTAGGGGTGGGAGGTCCTGATAACGGATCAGAGTTTTCGAACAGGCGCGGAGTCCCTGGGCGAGCTTCGTCCGCAGGAGGATCGTCTACCTCCATGTCTAGAGGGGGAGAGCGATCAGTATAGATGGTATAAATAGTGATAAACAATGTATAGTCGTTGGTCTGCCTGCGAGTCCGTTCTCTGGATTAAAAGATTAATATTGTACTGCAGAGTGAGGTAACTTGCAAGCGGAAGCCCGAATATCACGTGGAGGGGTGACTTAATGATGATTAATTGAATTATTTGTCATCAGGTATCGCCGTTACGCCGCATTACGCCGCATACCCTACGTCCTCCCAAGCCTACCTAGCTAAGGTACCTAGGTAGTTCTTTCGTACTCTATAGCTAGATAGATCTCGCTATACTGGCAAAGGTATAGGCTGTCTACTACCTGTATTATCCATACATATGCGGGCAATGAAAATCTCATTTGAACGCGTCCTTTGTAGATTGTAATGCAACATCGGTGAGCGTGATGTACCATACCGTATTGAGCCTACAGGGATACACTACACCGTGCAATGATGACAAAGTACGAGCGCAGCCAGCCGGAGAATACGAGCCGCTCTAATTGCACTGCAGCGGTACTACATTCGAGGACTATTCTTATCATTGCAGGGGCATTCCTTCTAGCCTTCTTTTCTTCGTGTCAGCTATATCAACGCAGCGCATCCCTGGCGGGGAATCCCATTCCAGCCTCTCACGTGAGCTGACATTACGCATACGGTACCGGTAACTTACCAGCCACGCCGAAAGAGCTTGCTTACCTCATTCGCCCTCGCTCTTCCTCTCTCGCCCATCTCCTCCAAAGCAGCTTATACACGAAGTATCAGGCCTTTTTTGCGCTTGAATCTCTGTCATCGATTCGTCTCCTCTTGCACTCGTTGCCATCTTCCCCTCTTTTTATTCGAATTGAAACGCGCCCGTCATCGACGCGTTCTTCATTGCTGTTCGTACCTCGATGCAGCCCGCACTAGCTCCAGCGCCGCATCCAGGCATGCAACCCTCTGCTCAGGTAAGCAGCTGTCTCTTTGTCATCAGATCGGCCATCCTATCCAGGTCGATGTACTGCATTGTCAGCACAGCCAGTGCTGGAGTTCTATGTCGTTCCTCTGTTGCGGTTTTGCCATCCTGTTCTGTTCTCGTCGCTCCTTGACGGAACTCCCGGTTGGATGCTCTCCTCGCCGGCTGTGTTGATGCACACTTTTCACCATGTTCCAAGTCTAACATGGAATGTCACGACCGTTGAACTGACATTTGTCGCCGATTACAGGATCATGCTGATCAAGGTGAGATACCTGGAAGGTTTATTTCATGTCCTGCAATCGTGGGGGGACGACGGGTCTTTTTGTCGTCTTGGCCACGTTCCAATCTGAGCGCGATAGTCCTATCCATCGATAATCCATCCTGCAATAGGGTTGGGTCATCATGAAGGACATCATCCGCAGGATTCAATCGTCTTCAAGCGATTTTTGGAGATTCATACTGATATTCGTTTACTACTCATAGTACTGCATGACCAACTCCTAGCTGCCCAGCAGCACCTATCTGCCCATCAACACCAGGCTCCCCCGCGGACGCATCCTTCTGCACCTCAGCCTCATACGGCGAGTCCACGCGACCAACATAACATTGACCCTGCCATTGCGGGGCCCTCGTTGCTGAGCCGTCCTCCAGAGCTTCAAGCCCGACCAGAAAGCCCCAGCGATGATGGCGTGAAAACTTATGGCAAGCGGCCGTTGTCGACCTCGAAACGTGCTGCACAAAACCGTGCCGCACAGGTATATACCGCTAGTATTGTTTGTCAGTTTTAGCCATACCGCTGACATTTCGAGCAGAGGGCATTCCGTCAGCGTAAAGAGACTTATATCCGCAAGCTGGAGGAGCAAGTGAAACAGTTCGAACAAATAACGGAGAGCTACAAAGCGCTACATGCGGAGAACTACCAGCTGAGAGAATATATTATCAGTCTGCAGTCTCGTTTGCTGGATTTGCAGGGCGAAGTACCCGAGCTTCCCCCGAATATCGATCTCAGCCAACCACGACCAGAGCTGCCCATTCCCTCTCCTACCGGCGCTGCACCTGGTCCGGCAGGGTCTCCGCACACAAGCGCGCCTCCCTCGGCGGCCCAGCAGGGCCATCTACCTCACGGCCAGACTCCCGGGCCAAATGATGACTTAAATTCCCTAAATCGTATAGCAGTTGCTGGTCTTGGGATGCGCAAGCATCCTAATGAAGACCCAAACTATCCACCGAACAACATGGAGGCCAAGCGCATGCGCAACGATGGCAACCAAGCTGATGCATCTGGAGTGCCTAAATCCGAGCCCCCAAATGGCCTCCCGGCTGTATAGGTTCATTTGCCTACACGTACAAGGGTACCATATGTCCTGGCAACGGTCACTTGACTACGTTAACAGTATATGATATTGGAATATTTGCCGTTGCAAGGGTGCCGTCTTGTTTGGACCCCTCTTCCTATCATCCTTGTTCTAATATGCGGAGTCCGGAGTGATGATATTACGGTGCGATTTTGGCCTCGGGCTTTCCTGTCCCTTCATTCGTGTCTTCCTCCCTATTCTGCGTGCCTGTTCTTATTATAGTCCTTGCACTTGAATTGTTTCAACCGACGCCATGGAAAGGGAAATAGTTCCCTGCTGACGTCGATGTCTGGAACAGCTATAACTGGAAGTTTGCCATTCCTGTTACGATTCCCCTTTTTTTGATTCTTGTTTCTTTAAGTAATGTACTCGTTATACTGATCTAGTGGCTTCCTGGCCTTCTCATCAACATAACGATGAAAATGAAAGAAAAAAAAATTTACTTGCATTAATTTTGGCCAGCTTGATCCATGAGGTTTGGCACTCATTACCCCCTTTCAGAGATCCGTGGTTTGATAAGCAGGCCTCAGACACTATTAAAGCCTTGTTACATGCACTGTAAGTATCTCCTGTGCAATTCCAGCTCCTGGCTCTTGGTCTGGTCTGTGTATAGATTCATGAAGTGGTCATGCTCATATTCATATGTGCATGCATCAACTCCAACTTCATGTTGGGTCACGTAGGATTCTGCAGCATAGGTCTGCCCTCGCTGACCCTTCACCACGTAGGCCTATCTAACTGACCCCAAAAGTTACCGTAGGGGTCAGTTAGCTAGTAACCAACCAACGATATACCTCCATTGCTTCATGCCCCACATCCACGTGTATCCCATTGCGCTTAGAAACTCCACGGGGTAAAGGAAAGGTCTTCGAGTCTACAGTCGGCCTGGCAGTCTTCTGTCTTTCCAGTCCGACTCAATTCATTTCTCTAAGGACTACTTATCAAATGACGAAATTCCAGAAATACCAGCCCAATGACGTCTGATGCCCAGCCAGCCGAGGGTACCACGGTGCCGACTTATCGGCCTCGTGAATACCAGCTGGAGATGCTAGAGGCCAGCTTGAGAGAAAATATCATTGTCGCTGTACGTTCCCTGTATCTGGCTGTATTGACGACAATACTAACCAGTGCTTCAAGATGGGAACAGGCAGTGGTAAGACATCGATGTATGTGTGCCTTTCAGTTACCGCGTATCCTCGATATCACTAGCACCAGAAGTGGCATTGGGATTTCTTCGCAGCAAGTACCATTCTTTCGACAGTGAACTGTCAGTAATCTCGTCTCCCAGAGCTGTCCTGCGAATCCAGAGAGAGCTGGAAACATGCCACCCGGACAAGGTAAGGATGATGAAAACAGAAAAGAGGACATCCCGTACTAACTCTTGACACTCCTTCATCTATTTTATAGCTTATATGGTTCCTGGCGCCGACTGTTGCTCTCTGCACTCAGCAGTATGAGACTATCTGCTCTGATATCCCTTCTGTGGGAGCGAGGCTACTCACCGGCGCAGACAACCTGGACACCTGGAGCGAGCAAGCCATCTGGGATGCGGCGCTTAACAATATCCGCGTTGTTGTATCGACACCTGATGTGCTTTCGGATGCGTTAAGTCATGGATTTGTTAGAATTTCTCAATTGGCACTTATTATTTTTGATGAAGGTATGTGTGGTAGCTCTTGTTTCCTTGACTCTACTTATCCCGCTAACTATTTCTGTAGCCCATCATTGTAAGGATCGTCATCCTATGAATAAAATCATGCAGAACTTTTATCACCCTGGGAGAGCGGAACATGGTCCAGATGCAGTGCCACATATCCTAGGACTTACTGCGAGTCCGGTAGAGCGATCGAATCCGAAGGAGATGGTGTTAGTTCCGTTTTCTGTTATTTTTCATATGGCCATATCTCCCAAAACTAACTTAATCCTAGAACTTTGGAATCGAATCTGCATTCAATATGCAAAACGCCTCGTGTTCATAGACAAGAACTGTTAATGCACACTCACTGTCCAAAATTACAGCGAATATGGTTCCAGCCATCGTGCATATGGGGTTCTGGGTTCAGTCAGACACTGAACGAATTATTTGATTCGTGGCGCAGACTCGATATCGAGGCCGACCCATACATCAGGCGGTTGACAAAGGAACCTGGTAGTGCTGGGAAGTTGCAACAACTGCGTACCACACGCGAAACAAACTGTAATATGGCGTTGCGCAAACTGATCAAGCGGAGCTGCCACCTATTAGAAGAACTGGGTCCGTGGGCCGCCGACTACTTTATCCACGCTTCAACACAGTTGGTTAAAGAAACAGCTGGTGATGCTTCCATGTTATCTGATCCGGAGATTGAGGAACAACAATACGTGGCTGACTTCCTTTCCAAGATACCTGAGCCGGATCTTACGGACACAGAAAATCTTGCCATTTCCCCCAAATTGGGATCATTGATTGCATTCCTCAAGGACGTTCACTCCCCAGATATATCAGGGCTGGTCTTTGTCGAGCAGAGAGCAACTGTCAGCGCAATGGTGAAACTTCTTTCTGTTCACCCAGACACGAGGGACCGGTTTCGGTGCGCCCCATATGTGGGTTGGGCGAATAGTGCCAACCGCCGAGATCTGGTCGGGGAACTGATCAACACCAAGGGACAGCACACCACGTTGGCTGAGTTCCGTGACGGTCGGAAGAACCTTATTATCACAACCAATGTGTTGGAGGAGGGAATCGACGTCAGTGCATGTAGCCTGGTAGTCTGCTTCAACAAGCCACGGAATCTGAAATCATTCATCCAACGACGTGGCCGTGCTCGACAGAAGAAGTCAACCTATGCCATTATGTTTGCGATGGACGACACATCCGCTGACTTAAAACGGTGGGAAAACTTGGAAAAATACATGATAGAAGCATACCAAAATGAGGAAAGGCGACTCCGTGACCTACAAGCTCTGGAAATGCTTGATGAGAATGTACCAGATGAACTTTTTGTAGAGTCTACTGGGTGGGATTTCTATTTCCCTTGTCCGTTCTTGCTCTGAATCATCGACTGACTTGTGATTCTGAATTCCCAGTGCCAAACTGACGGCAGATGATGCCTTGAAGCATCTATATCATTTTTGCGCAATCCTGCCTAGCCAGTCGTACGGCAACGGGCCCGCTCAGCCAACCTTTTCGTTTAGACAAGACAATGACGGTTTGGTTAAAGGGGTGGTCACTCTGCCTAATTGCGTGGATCAAGCTGTTCGACGTATGACGGGGAGACTCTGGTGGCACAGTGAACGGGCAGCCAGGAAAGATGCAGCGTTTCAAGCGTACAAGTCCCTCTATAAACATGGACTTCTCAACGATCACCTTCTCCCACTGACGGAGAAACAGGAAGAGGACATCGAATCTGAAACTGTGAAATTACCAGGTACGGTGAAGGTCCAAAGTCAATGGGATCCCTGGGTCGATGTGGCGCACGCATGGTCGTCGGCGTCAAAGGTCCATCGAACTAGAATCGAAATAAATTTGAACGATGTTTATTATCAGCACTTGTCCATGGCACTGACTGGACCAATGGAACTGCCGGAGATCAAATCAATTGACCTTTTCTGGAATAGCACATCCACATTCACTTTGTCTTTCATTGCTGAATCGCAGCCCTCCACCATAACGCAGAAAGATTTAGCCGTATACAGGGATGTCACATCATTCTATCTACAGGCTCCACATTCGAGGCCGCCACCCTGCGAAAAGAATGATTATGTGATGCTTTTCAGTCCGTTCATGGCTTCTGATCGACTGGAAACCTGGCTTCAAAACAATAATGGCAGCAACACCCTGCCACAGGTGTATGCGAATGGAACCAGACCAATGTATATGGGGCTGATCCGAGGTCCGTATAACAAGCCATATACTTTCCACGAGTGGATAATTTTGCAGCAAGACAGTACGCGCCCAGAAGTGAGAGTGAAGTGCTGTAAATTGCCTCGTCGGAGGAATCTCTTGGAACGTTTCCTTACACCGAACGCTGGCGATACTGGAGATTTAGGGCACACTAGTAAATACAGGACCTTCCGTGAGGATGAATGCACGGTTGACAAATTTCCTGTAATACAAGCTCTTTTTGGTTTATTTATTCCCCTGATTTTGCATGCCGTGGAGAAGTTGTTGGTCGCTACTCGACTGCGAGATACCATCTTGAAGGATGTCGGATTTCAGAACGTCAATCACATAGTCACTGCCATCAGTCTTCCCGCTGTGGCTCAGATGGCCAATTATGAACGATATGAGTTTTTGGGAGACTGTATCCTCAAGTTTGTGGTGTCATACCGGCTCTTCGTTCAGTATCCCCGCTGGCACGAAGGGTACCTATCTCAAAGCAGGGATGCGACAGTTAACAACCAACGCCTGGCACGAGCGGCTCTCAAAACAGGTCTCGATGCATTCATTATCACGGAGGTACTTAGGCCCCGAAAATGGTCAGCGCCATTGATCTCAGAAAAGACACGCTGTACTCCAGGCACACGGAATATTCACAGAAAGGCTCTTGCCGATGTGGTCGAGGCCTTAATCGGGGCAGCGTACATTGAAGGCGGCCTTAGGATGGCTCGAATATGCATTCATACATTTTTACCTGAAATTAGCGTCAGTCCACCAGACATTGCCTCTATCCCGCGCTTTCAAAACTGCGTCTATTTCGACACGCGGCTCCAGCAAGAAATCGGTTACAAGTTCAAGGACGAATCTTTCCTCGCGGAAGCCCTTACACACCCATCATGCGACTTCGACGTGAAGACGCAGTCATACCAACGGCTTGAATTCCTCGGAGATGCAGTCCTGGACATGCTGATCGTCTCCACTATCACCAAGCATTCAACGATGGAAATGCCACCGGGGGCCATGACGCAACTCAAAGCGGCCTTCGTCAACGCGCAATTGCTCGCATTCCTATGTATGGAATTTGGCTTCACCACCGAAAAGACAGAGAATCCGGTCCCACAAGTGACAGCAAGGGGGAAGACAACCGAAGCAGGAACAGGAACAGTGCCATTTACGCAGAAGAAATCCACCGAAAAGATAGCTCTATGGACCTTCATGCGCTTCCGCAGCTATGAGATCCGCACCGCGCGCGACGCAGCCGTGAAGCGCCACTCTCTCCTTCGAGAAGAGATCCTATCGTCCCTATACAATTCAAGCATGCACCCCTGGGAATCACTATCGCGGCTGAACGCGGACAAGTTCTTCTCCGACCTGATCGAGAGTGTTCTTGGCGCTATCTTCGTTGATTCCGGCGGCAACCTGTCTGAATGTGAGAAGTTCGTGGAGCGGATCGGCCTCCTCGGACCGTTGAGGAGGTATTTGGAAGAATCGGTCATGCCTACCCATCCGGTCAATTCTCTGCAGCACCTGATGGGTGCCACGAGAGTGCAATTTCGTTTCTGGAAGGCCCGGGTTCCATCCGATGGGAGTGAAACGACGGGGGTTGAGATTGAGGATGGTACTGAGGATTCGAGGAATCAGCAGCGGTATTTTAATTGCTCCATTGTGACAGCAGATGGCAAAGAGCTTGGTTCTGCTCGTGGGTGTCTGAGTAAGGAGGAAGCTCAGACTAGGGCTGCCTGTGCTGTGATTAAGGCTATCCAGGAGAACGGGCTTGCGTCGGTAGCTGGACAGAATGGTCAAGGGCAAAACGGGGGCAGCGATACGGAGACGGCGGTGGATGTTCCATCGGATCCTGTGGAATCGACATCGTCGAATCATTCATGACTTCATGACTGATGGTTTGACAATGCACAGACAGACGCTAAGAGATACATTGTGTTCCGTGCTTGGAAAGATTTGATTGTCGGGGTTGATTGTTCCAAATTCATGAGCTGGAGATACTCATATCTATACGGAGGTTCCAGTTAAAAGGACACAGTTTGTGAAGAAATGGAGACATTTCATAAGATCAGAAACTATATAAAATTGCCCCTATGTATACCCATCGCTTAACCTTTCTTACTCTTGCTCCCCTTTGGCCTTCCACGCTTGGATTTCCGGACAGGCTCAGGCTCAGGCTCAGGCTCCGGTTCGGTTTCAAGTTCAGCTTCCGACTCCGGCTCAGACCCAGACTCAGCATCCCCCTGTACATGCTCATCCTCATCTCGCATCTCTGCCTGCCCCTCCCGATCATCCTCGCTCGTAGCGACAATAACTCCCGCTTCATCCGTTGCCTCCTCGCCCGAGGAAACATTCTCCACAGAAACAGGCTCCCAGGCCGCATCACCCGCCTGGGCGCGCGTGTGCGTCTGGCTCATGCGCGCCCGGCTCTGGCTCTTAATATCAGCAAGAACTTTCTTGGTCTCGCTCTCTTCGCCGTTCCATGCACCGCAGCTGAAACAGCGCCATCGACCCAGCTCCTCGGTCGTTTTCACGCCGGGCGGTGCCTGGCCATTGACCAGTCTGCAGTTCGTGCAGAGGAGGACAAGTCGGTTCCTAGGTTGCGTTTCGTCTTCGCCGAGGAGAACATCGAAGAGACGGTCGTACCAGTGGGATGCGTTTTCGGCGTACTGGGATGACGGGGGAGGGAAAGCGTTGGGAGCGAATCCGGAGGCGTCCTCTACCGGTCGAGACTGGGGGGGATACGGAGGCGGAGGCGGGGAGGGAAAAGTACTAAAAGGGCTGTAGCCGGGATTAAGACTTTGGGCGACCTCCTGCGGAGGAATCGGGATGGGTCGACGAATATTCGCAGTAGGGGGAGGGGGAAGACCCGTTCTGGGCACGGGGGCTTGCTTCTGCGATCCCTTCGCACCACGGGATTTTGCAGTCACAGGAAAGTCCTTCCGCTCATTCTTTGTGCGCGACTTCCCCGGCGACGGTGAATCCCCCCCGTATTTCTCCAGCAGCTGCTGCGTGGAGTTGTATTTGGTAGCGACCTTGAGCTTCTCGATCGTCTCGTCGCGCTGCTTGTACAGACTGTCGAGATAGCGGGATGTCGTTGAGATGCGGTATTCGAAGAATCGGGATCCCGCTGCACGAACAACATAGATCAGAACCGGACCGCCGATGATAACGTCGTATTCTTTCATTCCCCAGTCGCGCCATCCGAGAACCAGAACCAGGACGATGGAGTAGAGGAGGTAGGCGAAGGTGGTGTAGAGAGTCCAGAGGGCTTTTAAGCGCCGGGAATGCTGGCGCTGGGCATCTAGACGGGTGGTTGTCTGTGCGATTTTCGTCGAGAGTGAAGAAAGAGTCTTTTCGAAGGTGGCAGAGTCATCTCGGCCCTGGGATCTGTTAGCGTTGGTGTGGTCAGCGGGGCTGGGAGAGTGCGTACCTTGAAGGGCCAGAAGGATACCATGGCTGGTTATGGTGATGTGATTAGAGCAGGAGATGCATGAGGATAGACAGAGGGAGTGTGAGCCCCCGTGGGGAGTTGAGATGGGAGTGGGAGAAGTGGCAGACGATGACGCTGTTGTGGAGGAGAAAGTTGAAGCGGTGAGCAGAGCTGGACAATACCTTTTTCTCTTCTCTTCACTCTCTCTCTCTCATTCTTACTCAGGAACCTCCACTGACTCAGGCTGCATCCGCGCTGCTCGGTCCTGCAACGGCCGGACGTCCATATACGTCCTCATCTCAACGATCCTGAGTCCCTCTGGTGTGTTGTTGTGGTTCTTTCCTTCCGTCTCCAGATCGAGCACGTTGAACTCTCTCAGACGCACCTCAAACTGATCCTCATCCTCCCGGAAGGCTGTAACACTCGTCGCCTCAAACATGACCGTCCGTTGACGTCCATCTGCCACGCCAATATCCCAGATCGTCTCGATCTCATGCCGGAACGTCGACAGGTACTTATCGCGTATCCGCAATAGGGGGATCACGTCCCACACGTTCGAGGGTGGGTTGCTATTTACCCTGAAGGTGGCCGTGGGCGCTAGGAACCGGTCGATGCCGTCAGGTGCTGAGGTCGAGGCGGTGCTTGGATCAAGAGAATCCAAAGCTGGGAGAAACTGCTTCAAGAACAGGAGGCCTGGCGTGGCTGTTTCGGAGATCGATTTCGGGGAGCCCTTGTGGATGGATGAAGTCATTGCTTGGGTGCTCTACAGTGCTTTTCTGGGCCAAGCTGGATAGACTACTGTAGGGCTAAAGACTAGGTATGTACACATGGGCAGCTATACACTGAGATGAAAGTTGCCTTTTACTGAATCGCCGCTGGGTGGCTGTCGGTGGTCGCCACTGATGTATGTATGTGTTCATGTACCGTTCCCTCAAGACCTTCCTCGGAGCATTCCTCGTTGCTCTTGTTTATTTGTGGCGGTTACTCTGACCATAGATGCAGGTTCTCTTCTGCTTTCTCCGGGGATACTGAATTCGGCACCACCCCAGCGGCACTCCCTCCGCCGCTGCATGGAAGATAGACTGGGCTTGGTCCTCTCCAGCCTCGCCGTGGCTGGCCCACCAGCGGTTCTGGCCCTCCCCAAGTGCCCAACGCGCTGAGGTGCCCTCTATAGCGCGACACTGATGAACGGGCTATTGACTCCGAAACGCCAGGACTGTGCGTCGTGGGCGGCAGATGTACCCGTCTATGGCGAAGTCAGTGAAGATATACAAAATAGACTCGGTCTAGATATGCACATGCTACTTTTTTTGCTTGAGATACCCCCTGATCACTCAGCCAAGTGATTTCGCAAAGCCTTAGCTGGTGTCATCTCTATAGTCTGTGAGATGGATGTGAGCTAACCGACCCCAGATCAGCAGGAGTAGGGGTCGGTTATGGTGTAAATGCACACTACAATACAAAAAAAAATCATCCAAAGCTCATGCACCTTTGGTCTGTCAAACCTCTATTTCCTGTTCTTAACCATGTCACAAAATTGCACTTGCAACCCAGTTCTTTCAGTCTCCTCCGCCAAATCATGAATGCTTTGCATTTGGAGGCCCCAGAAACACCACAGGAGGAAGAGCCGGAAGAGGGCTTTGCTTCACCTCCTGTTGCTGGCAAATTCGATCGGTCTGATATGCTTGATATTTACCTGCATTTTCCGACGCAATATGAGCTTCTTGATTGCCAGGGATCATCAGGCTACCGGCAAGAGGAATGATCGTGTGGGGGCGCCATGATATTGGGCAAATATGTCATCTTTTGGTGGCTTTGATAGAGGGAAGGGAAAGGATATTTGCTGCATCACAGTCTTTTATTGTAAGCAAGGCGGGCATTATCTGAATGTATTATTCTAAATGGTAATACAGTAGTTTATTCATACTCTACTTCTATTATATTCCCATTGCATTATCCCAGTACTTCCTCCCCCTTTCTCTCTCTATCTATAGAAACTTCAAGACAATTATTCATGTAGAGCGAACTTGGACCGACGACGGAGATTTGCACCGTAGAAGTATAACACGAACATACCAATCTGGGTTTCTCATGTCAGTCCTTCAATCCCTTATTTACCCAAAGAAAACGGGTTGGACTTACGATACCCAACACACTCAACCCAGCCAGCAAGGTCACCCCCTTGGCAACACCCAGGTTGAGATACATAGCGCGCGAGAACAGAATGGAACCAAAGGCGAACATCGAGCGAAACGCATCGTTTGCTGCGAACAGCGACGCCGCGTACTGCGGGTATGACATGGGAATGTATATGAAGATACACTGCATAGTGATAAAGCCGGATCCCCCATAGATCACCAGGCCGATCACACTGACTATCCAGTGGACTGATTTTCGGGATGTCCATGCTAATATCCATCAGCAATGTCTCAACCGACTTGCTTATAGGACGGGAGATCCTTCAGCTTACCGAATATAAAAAGCCCAGCCGTAGTGAAAAAGGCAGAAAACAAGGCAGGAACCAGCCGGTGTTCCTGGGCACGAAGACCCCTCTTCATGATATCCGGAAACAGATAGAGGAATAGGTACGCGTAGTAGACAGAAACACCCAGAATACAAGCCACGATGATGCAGACGAAGACCGTCGCCGTTAGCCCCAGACTGAACCCGTAGATGACCGGGTAGACGAGCGGGAATACCTCGAAGAAGGAGTAGTAGATACCGTAGACGAGAGCCGTGTACACGTTCGTGAAGAGGACAGCCGGATCCTTCATGGTGATTTCCAGAGGCTTGATCAGGGAATCAACCAGGATGTCATGGAAACGCAGATGGCGCTGTTTGACTTCCGACTGCGAGGAAAAGGCCTGGTTGTTTGTCAACTTCCGCAGCCTTTTTGCTCGTCGAAGGAGGATGTTATCTGCTGAAGTCTCGGGGAGGAAGAAGAACATGACTCCGAAGACAGGACCGGCCATCCAGAGGATTTCCCACAATGCCCAACGCCAGCTAGAACTGTCAGCCTCTTTTTCTTTTTTTGATCATGTCTAATACGATTGAAACATACTCTTCAGCCGTGACGGCGAATGCTGATAGCAAGGAGCCCAGAGCAGGACCACAATAGGCCGATGAGACCCAGGCTGCAAGAAATACAGGCAAGAGGAACAGTGAGTGTATATCTTGCATGGTAGCACCGCTAGACGCCAGACAGGGACTTCCAAAGAATCCCTGGAGAAAGCGTAATACCAGAAGACCACCCAGGTTGTCGACCAGAGCTGTCGGAATGCAGAGGATCACAAAAATAAAGAAGGTGACGATGTATGGGATGTTCCGGCCTAACAGGGGCATTTCACTCAACGGTGACCACAGAAGGGGCCCAAGTCCATCTGCCAGAGATTAGTCTACTGCTAAATGAGTAAACGAAGAGGAGCATACAGGCAAGGACGTATAGGGCCAGGCCCAGTGATGCTTTAAAGTACTGGACGCCGAAGCGGTCCATGATGAGCCTTCGTACATGGTACAATGTCAGCTTCAAGGACAAGTGCAGCATGAATAACATGCTTACTTACTCTTCACCTGGAACGTATATGGAAGAGCCCGCATAAACAACAAAGGTGTATAGACTACACCCAGGTATTGTTAGCCAGCGCTCGACAACATTCTTCCTGTTCAGTTAACATACCATATCTGCAGTGTCACCAACGCTTTCTTCAGGGAAGACCAGTTCTGCGGATTAGCCGGATCATCATCCGAGTACCAATTCACCAGAATACAACCATCGTTGGTCCGCTGGGGTTGAACAGGAGGATGGTCCGTTGCCTCGCTGCCCTCCTCGATATCCCTCGCTCCAGCGTCAGGTCCGGGGCCGAGTTCTTTGGAATCTTCCTGCTTCTCGACGTCCTCAAGGGTATCACTCGGTAGTTTCGTGTCCGGGTTTTTATACGGTTCAGGCAGTACGAAATCGGGGCGTTCCTCTGGATAGAGCAAGACACGGTCTCTTGTGAGCCAGCGTAGGAGTTGGCCGAATGGTGCGTCCCGGATAGTCTCCATGATCAGCTATGTTGTCCGCTGTCAAACCGGGGGTTGCAAGTGGGAGAAGGAAAGAAGCAAAGCTTCCAAGTCCCTGCTCCTCCTTTTATCCCTGCGCAACGACTCCGGGACCGGATGAATAGACCGTCCATATTCGCGTCTGTAATCAACATGGCGTGGAAATGGCATGTACTGGAAGGGTCGGAGGCACTTGGCTTCGACAAGGACAAGATATTTGCCAGGCAGTATCAGACTAGCAGCTGTAAGTGAGATTTTAGCTTCAAAATTGTCAGACATGGATCATCATGGCTTACTTAGGGCTGTAAGCTCTAGCTGCCTCTCATGATTGATAAACAGCCAAGCATGAAAAACACAACGAACATTATTAGAATGAGCCAGAATGACAAATCAAACACGAGCACGTATTCTTTCAAATCGTAATTTCTTGTGTCACGACTCTGGGCTGTTGACGTCGCCAAGTCCTCAGCATCGCGGGACTAGGGATAAGCAACCACTTCCCTTGAAGAGCCTCCAACGCTTACATGACATGAATCATGGAAAAGTCATGGATATCAGCTTAGTCGTCTTAGTCAGTGCCATACAGGTCTGTCTCACGCAGCCTGAAGATAGCGTTGCCTTCGTTGTCCGGAGATTACAGCTTTCATAGTAAGCCAGTTTCACGGAGCTGTCGTGTACGGGGAATGACGTGGAGGATCACAGTAGCAGGATTTCTGGCTTTTGGTCAGCGATAAAATCGATCCATGTCTCGTATGCTTTGGCTTGAATTGTATATGCTCATCGCATCTGCTCCACGGCATTAAGCCTCGGAGATGTGTGTCACAGCCGAACTTCGGTGTCTTGCCGACTCCGATACGAAGTCAAATAAATCAGAACAGCAGGCCGATAGGTCCAATAACTAAATAATTGTACAGTGTGTGGGTTAAATGATAAATTCATTTCAACTGTACTCATCACGTGCACAGTGCCCTACAGCTTATTAGGGCTACTCGCCCAAGCCCTAGATTGAACGATGAAGACAACCTCAGCTTCAAAAGACACACAATAGCAACCAATAGTATTGACTATGAGAAGCAGACGAGCTGCGAATAAAACTATTAAAAGCAAATTCACACACCATTGGTAAAGCCATCCCCCCCAGCTTCAGTATCAACCCGCACAGACTCCATCAGCCCACAAACTTCAAACAAATGCTTTGGCCCCAATCCATCGGGTATCCCAACAACACCATCCTTCTTGAGTCTCTCCAACGCCGTCTTGATACCCAGATAAGCAGGTGCCAGCGTCCCGAAGGAAAAGATCATGATGCGGAAACCCATCTCCCGCGCCTCATCCACGGTGATCACCGGGCCCGCTCCGTTCTCCACCATGTTCAGCAGCAGCGGCCACGGTGCCAGGTCTTTAACTGCTTGCCTCGCCTGCTCCTTGGAGGTAAACCCTTCAAGGAGACCGACGTCAGCACCGAGATCCCGCGCTGCCTTCAAACGGCGGATACACTCATCGTAGCCGTGCTGCTGCAGGGCGTCGGTCCGCGCAATGAGAACGACATCCGAATGCAGTCTGTCCTTGGCTAGCTTCGCGGCACGGATCCGAGTGAGGTACTCCTCGAGTGAGACGACGCGTTTGCCGGCTAGATGTCCGCAGCGTTTGTTCTGGATTTGGTCTTCGATGTGGAACCCTGCCACGCCGGCTTGGATGTACTGTTGGACGGATTTGGCGACCATCAGAGGGCCTATTCATCGTTAGCTTCCTTTCCCTCTTTTTTTTTTTTTTTTTTTTTTTTTTTTTTTTCTCTCTGACAGTCAAGGAAAGGAAAGAGACGTACCGCCGTATCCAGTATCCATATCAGCAATTAGAGGTGGCCCGAAGGGGTCCAGATTAGCAATCATTTCGGCATTGGTTCGCATGTCATGTAGCTGAGCAAGACCCAGATCGGCCATGCCAAGGCGAGAAGCTGTTGTTCCTGCTCCAGTCTTGCCATGCGTTAGCATGACATGATTGATCGTCTCTTGCGGGCTGAGCTCACCATGTAGAGTCCCTTGAAGCCGACTTGCATGGCAATCCGCGCTGACAGACCATCGTACACGCCAGGGCAGACGATCAGCTCATTTGACTCACGCAGATAGCGGCGCAGCTTGGAAGCACCAGTGTGCACGTTTAAGGAGACGATAGGCTCACGGGGGATGCCGTTGACTTCGTACCCGCCATCCTTGTCAATGGTGATGGTGATGGTGCCGCTGGTGCTGCTTGCCAGGGAGCTGAGGGGGGTATCGACCTTCATGGTGGAGGGCTTCTTTCAATGGAATGCAGGAAGAATAAGAGGACGGTTGTCTGGATGAGCGACAGAACTGGACATTCTTCAAACGAGTCCCTTCCTCGCCTTTATATAGACTCGCCAGGACTCTTCGGGGTAATTTCCAACCATCGGACATTGGACTATACAACTCGCAACATGGAGATGGATTCGCGGACAAAAAGGAAACCTCAGCTGTAACCTCAGCCCTCCATTCTCCGAATAAGCCAGAAAAGTAGAGGAATGCGCGGATAGAGTTTCCCGATAGATCCAGTTTTAGGAATGGCGACCTGAGAAACAGCTATCAACATCAGCCAGCTTTACGCTGCAATCCCTGCAAGTCATGTATGATCCTTTGCTGCGGACAGTGCATTATCTTGAGGAATCCTCGAGGATCCTAACCAGTTCAGGCAGTATCCCGGAAACTGAATAACCCCGGTAGTTTTCGATATTGGCTCGGGGATTATGGGATGGGCATCCACAGCTAGCCCTTGCCGATACTCCCGCAGAAATTGGGCATTTCGCTGCGGTTATTGGATATGGTTCATGCAGTTCCAGCTATCTTGCAGCGGCAGGACCCTCAATCACCCCGATCAAGCATGGAGGACATGTCATGGAGTGACCGAGGCTTACAGTCAGGAAGATTGGCATTGATATAGAGTGTATCTCTTAGCCAACAGCGAGAGAAGCAACCCTCTTTATCCTCATGAATCCATGGTGGCCAAGCACTTGGCAAGACAAATCTCCCGCACTGTCCGTCGGGGATGGCGAGCTGTGCCGCGGAAATACGAGCTAGGGCGCGAATACCACGGGCGATCGTCGCAATGGCTGATGAAAACCTGCCGAGATGCTGTCTAGACTCTGCGGGACTGGGAGATCAGTGGGAGTGTTCGTGAGGAACATAAAACCTTGTTTGGCCATCTGTTCCTTTCATTTCTTTCGTCTACCCATTTCGTTAGCAACAACAGAAAAGAAAAGAAGGCGAGGAAAGATGGCAGTGGCAGAGAAGAGAAAGGCCCGGCTGCAGGAATACCTCGCGGCCGAAGTAAATGTAAAACATGCCGACGTGCTGATTCTCGTCTGTTGTCTTAGTTCGGGCATGGTTGACAGCACTCTCTACAGTGGTGAGTAGGATACTGCTGTTTTTGCCCTGCCTCTCCCAGCTACACTTTCTGACTGCATTGACAGCCTACGACACCTTCGTCTCCATGCAAACCGGTACGTATGTCCCAATATCTCGAGCAACTGACAGAAAGAAAGCTCACGAGAATAGGAAACACCATCTTCCTTGGCCTGGGCGCCTCCAACCAAAACAGCCGGCCGTACGGCTGGGCCCATTGTCTGACCTCCATAGCCACCTTCATCGTCGGCTGTTTCTTCTTCTCCCGCCTGAACCAGTTCTTCGGTGCTCGTCGCAGAGGAACATTGGTAGCCTCTTTCTTCATCCAATCTGTCCTGATCCTGGTAACAGCCGGCATAATCACCGGAGGCGTGATCCAGGGCATCGCACGACCAACTGAGATAGCTCCAACGGGGACAATGGAATACAGCCCTCAATGGTCGCAGGAAGCGCCAATCGTGCTCCTGAGTTTCCAAGCAGCCGGGCAGATCGTCACCAGCCGGGCGTTGGGATTCAATGAGGTCCCGACAGTCGTGATCACCAGCCTGCTGTGCGATCTGATGTCGGACCCGAAGTTGTTCGTCAAGCACAACGTGAAGCGTAACAGGCGCATCGTGGGGTTTACGCTCACGCTTGTCGGTGCCATTGCTGCCGGGTGGATTACGAAGGCCTCGGGGAATATCTATGCGGTGCTGTGGATTGTGGGCGGGTTTAAGATGGGCATTGCTGTTGCTTGGGGAGTGTGGAAGTCCCTTCCATTGTCCCCGGTTTGAGGGTTTGAGGTACACCAGGTGTAGATAGCTGCAGCTGTGTACCTCGGGATTAGGTCGATCCTACAGACCAACACCACTTCCAGAGAGAAACTCCTGTATAGACGTCTCCCCGCCGATCATCCTGTATTCTGGCATCTTCATCCATCTGCAATGTTAGAAAGCGAGCCGTCCCGGCACGGGAAGTGGAGCTCCAACGCTATGAACGCACATAAGTCTGCAATTGTTCTGGGTCTTCAACGCAACCCGGTGATCACAGAGCGCCTTGTATGCTGACCGTATGGACTAGCAGTCTCCGGGATGACACGCCGGCCTGCGGATAGGGTATAAAAGACGGGACATAGGCAGTAGGAAGACCAACTTGAAAGTGATGTGGCACTCTCCTAGCCAGGAGTAACCAATGGCTAAGCAATGGCTAAGCCTAGCGGGCAATAAGGTGAAATCCGATATACAAATGAGATAGGACATGCTAAATGCGTAATTAAACTGGCTCTGGATCCTGTCAGCAAACTCCAGTAGTAGTCTCTTTGGCTGCCTGGTAGACCAGGAAACTCAATTGATGAGGAACTATCATGCAGGACGCAAATAGGTACCTAGTCAATACTGCTGCTTCCACATTTCCGGTTGCAAGTATTCCAAATCGGTTGAGAATATACAGAAACTGATGGACAGCGAACACATCAGGAAATCCGTGCATACGGGGAAATGGAGACAGCAGCCATGCCACCCTACACGTGACGTGTAGATCTTGAGGACTTGCATTTACTGCAGGCAAAGGACAATTGTCGGAGAGTGGCTGTTCCCCAGGTTACTTTGCCATGCTGGTCAGGTTGACGTGCAGCCTGATCAGTGTATCAAATTCGTATGTATAATTTTGACTGCGCGGGATAGCAGAGTCGAGCTATTGCTCACGGCTGGTGTATTCAGCACGATCCTTCTGGCGATGGTTGTGGGAGGTATGTTGGTTATAGGGGCCGTCCTGCTTGGATTGCATCTCTTCAAATCCCCTATGCAAGGAGTAATTAGAAACAGAAACAGAGACATCAATTGTACACCACGAGCAACGGACCTTTCCATTAACCCTTTGGATCAGAGGGGTTCGTGACTCTTCCCCCTCACAGCGCTATATATAGTGAGTATTTTGTGGAAGTGACATATCACGCCTGGTTACAAACCCGTTATCTATTTCTCAGACACTGCTTTCCCCCTAAAGGTGGTTCAGCTTCAGTTCAGGCAGGCTTGACAAGTGTGCTGCTTAAGTCGTACAATGAGAGGGTGATCGTCAACTGCGTATCCAGGTGCACAATGCTTCTGAAACACTTTGAAGGTATCTTTGTTCGGCGATGGATGCTAATATATGCTATTTGCTACCTATCTTCGTTGGCCACATGTATAGTATGTTTTGTATATGTATATCTCCCCTTGTTTCCGCCCCAGGTACATTTGCCCAGGGGTTATACTCGGATGGCACCAGAAGCTTCCAGGTCCTCCCGTGATCCGAAATCGACCCAGATTCACATTGTCCCGGTTCTGGATACAGACACGAGGCACTCTCAACGCCGTGCGGGATGACCCATCGGCAGTGCACTTGGGATCGTTTGACTGGAACTTGCTCGGGATGGGGAAAGAGAGTTGATGTCATCAACCCCGGTCCTTTGAAATGGAATGCCAGATATCAAGCTTCTGTATACCAGAAGCCACAGTACTACTCCTGTCCATACTCATGGACACAAAGCGCAGGTCCTTGGCATTTCTCGGCTGAACTTGTTGAAGAGTGAGTGTCACCGGGGACAGCAGCGACCACCCCGGATATTCTGAGTAGGCGAATTCTTTTCAACGCAACACCAGATCCAGTGTCTTATGTGCCAGGGCGTCTCAGGGCATCGAACGAGCGGCCAGAAACTGGTGTCGGAAAAGGTAAAGAGAACGAAGAAAGGTCCTCGAGGGTTCGACGCGGTCGTAATGTATTCGACTCAACTCGCGGCGCATGTGTGACATCAGACGTGAACTGGGACGGGTCCACAAAATCCGGATAGTAACTATCCCCAGAGTTCTCTCCCGATTGTGAGACATTGATGTATAAAATGAGCCTGCTCAAGACGGCAAATTCCAACTTCAGTTTGATACTGTAGATGGCCGTCTTCAACGTGGTCTGGATGATATACCAGTTGGTATATTCCATGACTATGAGGACAATATCCATAATTATGAAGGACACATTGACGGCAATCAGTTCGTACTTTATCTGGGACCGGCGATTGTCTTTTTGCGGATCCAGCCGCAGCAGACGGATTGTCTCCCAGATGTAGAGTGTCGACAAAAAGCCTTCCTGTACACTGAACCACGTGAGCTGGAGCCGTTCCATGACGTTAAACCCCGTATTTGCAGCACTGCTGTTGACATAGACCGTGGCGTAGGTCAAGCTGGTAACCGGAACGATCATAACGACAGTGGAGACGGTTATGAGGCACAAAATGGAGCGGAGAAGCCTCGCATCTTGCAGCACCAGGTGCAGGCGTGAATAAAGAACGAAGGACTGGCCAGGAACCATAAAATACCAGCCGACAGTGGATATGGTGATGCCCACCCATTTAACAGCGACGTTGTAGAAGTTCAAGATGAGCCCAACGGCCTGAGGTACGACCCCCAGAACGGTCGACAGAAAGATACTCCAGAAATAAAGACCACGGTAGCGCCGGAAGGTCAACAAGATAAGAATGATGAGTTCCAGGGAATTGTACAGGGCGATGGAAAAGATGACTGTCATGGCCACCTTGGTGCCTGTACCCCCGCGGTATCCTTCCTTGAGGCCATCGGGAGGGCTAGAAAGCAGCGTCATGACGGAGAGAAGGCGCACGAGGCCGCTGCCTCTTCACTCGGGCGTGAAATGTTGCAGTTGCCAATAAACATTAATTAACTGGAGGGATGATGAGAAAACAATAAGGGACCAGGAAAAATTGAGCAGGAAAAAAATGGGCCCTGGTGACGATTCCCCGGGACAGTCACGAGACTGAAAAGCATATTCGCATATGGGGTGACTCCAAATCTCCACAGAAAAGACGGAGTATTGGCCAGTGTTTTTGACCGACAGAACAGTTGTGATTTCCACTGTTAAAAGGCTTTCAGAGACCATGGCAAATCCGAGCACAGACAAGAGCCTAATAGAGTTGATGACGTCGGTGAAGGCCAATAGCACTGCCGATCCACCACTCGTTATGAAAGCCGGCTTAGAGATCCATGGTATTGTGTGCCCAGTATGAGGTCCCTAAATCCTTCATTTCATTCTGGTTCAACCAATCAAATGTCGTATATCAATTAGGCCCAGTTGCTTTATAAAGCGTTCGTGTTCCCCTGAGCTACACTTCCCCACAAGGCCAAGAAGACCAGGCCCTGCTTAAGCACGCACTGAGGAACTGACACTGCCACTATGGGGCACGGCTGCGCCTGGTGCGTACAGGGTCCACTTCATATCAATCTGATTGAGTCGGCAAGCTTGCCTAACCCAATGACTATGATATTGATATGATGAAGGCGTGTCGAATAGATTCGAACGATTTGAACAGTCTGTGTGATGACCCGTCACATAGTGACCGCCAGGTCCGACTCCGATTTAGCTCCATCTGTTGGATCACGTGGGATTCTGCCGCATAGGTCCGCCCTCGCTGACCCTTTTCACCACGTAGGCCTATCTAGCTAGTTACCGACCAACAATACACCTAATGGATAGGCGCATGTATGATCATATTACTAGGTAGGCCTGCCTGTGCCGTGAGATAGGTAGCGAGGGCGGTCTAGGACGGCAGAACCTCACGTGTACTAACAGTAAACAGGCGATATCACGTGTACTGACACGTGATGGTAATGGAGGTGTGTTAGTACACGTGAGGTTCTGCCGTCCTAGACCGCCCTCGCTACCTATCTCACGGCACAGGCAGGCCTACCTAGTAATACGACCATACATGCGCCTATCCATTAGGTTATGAGCCCGTTTTAGCTCTACGATATTGAGCTTAAAAAAAAAAAGCCTTTCAGATAGGCTAAATTGTGACCTCTCATTGGTCAAACCAGAAATCGAGCGCTTCTAAGCGACTCTGAACACCAGGACCGCCAACAATCGGCCCCTGAACCCCAGGATCCTTCGATCGATCCCATCCAAAATGGTGGTGCCACGAACGCCCCCTACCACCGCTAGACGTCACCGTCGTCAGCCAGAATCCACAGATCCTTCATCGGATATAGGCTCCTCCGCCTCCTCAGTAATCTCTGAAGAAATGGACACCCCAACTGCCCCTAGAGCTCAAAGCTCTACTACAGCCAACACCATGGCATCCACACCAGACATCACAGCTCTGTTCCAGCAGATGCAGGAACAAATGCAGGAACAAATGCAGAAGCAGATGGACCAGTTCATGACTCGTTTTAATGCCCTTGAACACCATCAATCCCAATCCTCCACTCCTACAGTCCGGCATAACGCTACTCCCTACAATCATATTCAAAATAATACGGCTATTCCAGCCTCAAATCCAGTACAAAAAGATCCTTTTGATCATGTACAAGCTCAAGTTAAAGCGCTCCTACCAGACCGATGCCGAATCACACTGTCTCATGATAATTACGACCTCTGGAGTTCAGCCATTCAAAGAGAAGCCAATGTCCTGAACGCTAGTACAGTCTTGCATCAGGATATACCTCCAGTAGGATACTCAGCTTATGATGCTGAAGTATGGCATTGCAAAGCCACTGTCATGAGAGCCCGAATGCTTCATGCTATGACTGCCCAAGCCATTGACAAATTGGGCAACACATATGACCTATCAGCCCATGGTTTATGGGACCGAACTGCTACCTTTTTCGGACGTTCTACTGGTGAAGAACGAATGCTTCTCATAAAAGAGCTCAAGGAGCTCTATATAAAAGACAATGACTACCTATCCTACCAATCTGCGTTTACTAGGATAGTAGACCGCCTTCATGCTATAAAAGAAGCATCATTTGACAACCTTATTCACGACCTATTTTTTATAGGCCTCCGCGAATGGAACAAAGCATTCATTAAGAGTAAACTTGATGAAGTATACTCAACTGGACAAGGCCCTGTCATCAATCTGGACCTAACTACCATTCAAGCTCAACTCTCTATCCGTATGGGCACCCAAGCCCGTGAATCCCGCTCCCAACACGGAGGACGACGAGAGAATCTATCCGGACGAAGCTATTCCAAACAAGCATCTAACCCCATTGCTAGCTCTTCCGCCTCAAGTTCCAACACTAAATATAAACCTCAGGACCAGGACTCACGCAAACCAAAGACCCGTTGTGATTGGTGTGGTCATTTCCACCCAATGCCTTGCCTCTACAAGAACCCTGAGAAAGCCTCTGAGCATTGGCACCGAGCCAATAAAAATACTATTGAAGCTATTCGTGCTTTACACACTGCTAAAGAATCTTCCACTGCTTCATTCTCTGAAGCAGAAACCAATGAACTGGTACCATGGACTTCTTCAGCTGCAAAAACAGCCATTGCTAAATCAGCCCAATCTCTCCAAGCTTCATGGTATCTTGATAGCTGTGCTTCATTCCATGTTACACCCCACCAAGCTTTCTTCACGTCCTATAAAACATTGAGAAAGGAGGACCTTACTCCAGCGGATTATATTGAAGATGCTCAAGGGAAGATTTCCAAACCTCATGGTATTGGCACCGTTGTCATTGATATTGGAACCAGATCCTTGATCCTTAGGGATGTATGACATGTTCCATCCTTCAATTCCAACTTAATCTCCATGGGAATGCTTCTCAAACAAGGTTTTCGTATCGAATTCCCTTCCAGCTCTCAAGTAGCACAAATCACAACCTCTTCTGGTGCAGAATTTGAAGCCATTTTGAATACCAACAATGTATTCATCCTATCAGATTGCATTTCTCCCAACGAGAGCTCCTATGCCTTTGTCACCACCCGGTCTGGCAAAGAGGCCAACCGACCAGGGGACCCTCCCAGAAAGAAACCTACAACATCCCCAAAGACTAAGAGCTCCAAAACAGCTCTACCAATTATGACATGGCATCGCCGTCTATGCCATTTAAACCAGCAGGATCTTTTACGCCTTGCCGCAGATCCTACATCAGACATTGAAATCAAAGGTTCCAGAGAACTACCACTTTGTGAAGCCTGCATCCAGGGCAAGCAAACTCGCCAATACAGCAAAACACCAAGATCCTGTATGACTGCACCACTAGCCTGAGTCCACATAGACCTTGCTGGTGGCGGCCAAACACTAGATATAGAGAAGCTAGATATGCCTCTACCTTCACGTACAGGAGCCAAATATGTGATGCTTATTACTGATGACGCTACACGTTACCATTGGATCCACTACCTAACTGAAAGATCTGCTGCAATTGATGCATTTCGGGGTTGGCTACAACAGATGAAGAATCACCATTTCCCTGCCCCAGCCTATATTGTCTCTGACAATGAATTCTGTTCAGCTGAATGGCAGAAAACCTACCGTCAGGAAGGCATCGAATGGCAACCAAGTTCTCCATATTCCCCTTGGCAAAACGGTGTCAGTGAGCGCAGCATACGCATACTCTTTGACCGTGCTCGGACATTAATGCTTGACGCTCCCCATATACCACAGCGATTTTGGGTTGATGCTTTAAAATATGCATCAGATATAACAAACCGCCTCCCAACATCCACAATCCTATTCAATTCACCTATCCCTGGGGGGGTCAATACCAACACAAAAATCAGCCCAAGCCCATATAAATCGCCTCTGGCTGCCTGGACCAACTCACCAACTAGTATCAACAAATACCGACGTTGGGGCTGCCCTGTCTGGGTTCATCAACATGGCTCAGATAAGCCTATAAACAAGTTCAATTCCCACTCTAAATGCTGCTTCATGATCGGCCAAATCAGTAGCCAACAATACAGAGTGTGGGACCCTAAAACAGACGCCATTTTTTCAACCAATGACACTATATTTGATGAAGAATATGAGGATCCCACAACTACACCTCCACAAGCTACTGTTCCTGAAGATCCAAGTACTCCTAATAAAGAAGATACAAACCAACCTGTTGAAGATGAAGACCAGGAAATATGGCTTCAACCCGCCAAAGGCATGTCCCTAGCCTATCTCACCACTTCAACTACTCCTTCGTCTGAAGATGACACGCCTACTTCCTATAAGCAGGCTATATCTCATCCTGATGCCACCAAGTGGCAAGCAGCCATGCAAAAAGAAGTCAACCAACTCAAAGAAAAAGGCTGCTGGCAACTTATCCGCCGCTCTGACCTACCACCAGGGACCAAGGTCATCCCTGGCCGGTGGGTATACAAAAAGAAAGAAATCCCTGGTACCCCTATTACAAGGGACTACCAAGCTAAAGCTCGCTGGGTGATCCGTGGAAATCCACTTGACAAGGACTTCATGGAATCATACGCCCCAGTGGTAGATGAAAATACCACTAGAACCCTTACAGCACTGGCCACTCTACTTGGCTGGCATACTCAAAAGGCAGATGCCATCCTTGCTTTCCTAAATGGAAAAATGCCCACAGATAAACGTGTCTTTATGACCCAAGTTCAGGGATTCAAAGAAGGCTCTGGAGACCTGGTTTGTGAACTCCGCCAGTCCCTCTATGGACTAATCCCATCTGCCCGTATCTGGTATGATACACTAAATGCTTTCTTACGACAAATTGGCTTCAAAAGCTCTGAATACGACTCTGGTCTCTGGATCCATACCACCCAGACCCAACTCTATGTGACTACCCATGTGGATGACTTCAAAGTCTATGCTAAGCATGAGAACGATGCCACTTGGTTTATGGAGTCTCTTTCTGCTAAATTTGACATAAAAGAAGTTGGAAACTCTACCAAATACCTTGGCATGGCCACCTCTCAATCCAAGACCACATATACTCTCTCCCAGGCCAATTATGCTGAAGACGTGGTTGCCTCTTTTGGCCAAGCACAAGCACACCCTGTTGGGATCCCCATGGATCCTAGTTTAATAATTGATGATGACCCAGACCCTACAGTGAACATCAAAGAATATCAACGTGGTGTAGGCTGCCTTACTTGGCTAGCCACCAAAACCCAACCTGATCTTAGCCGGACAGTTGGCGTACTATCCCAATATCACGCCAAACCTACCCAAAAGGCATGGCGTGCCCTTATACACGCTATACGCTACCTTAAAGGCTCCATTAACCGACAAATTACCTACCATAAGGCCACGGAACCCATTACATCTGACCTCCTCATGCCCAGATGTTATACTGATTCTGATTGGGGTGGTCAACTGACAGGCAATCGCCGGTCAGTATCTGGATATATATTTCTGCTTGCTGGGGCCCCAATTGCCTGGAAAAGCCGCAAGCAAACGTCCGTTGCACTTAGCTCCAACGAAGCTGAGTATATGGCTCTAAGTGAAGCCAGCCGAGATGCCCTTTGGCTCCGGAACCTCATCAACGAGCTCAACGTGCTCCCTACTGAATGCCCGCCAATTACTCTCTATATCGATAATCAAGGTGCACACGCCATGGCTGAAGCTGAGCTCACCACCAAGAGATCCAAACACATCGATATACGTTACCATTACGTTCGGGAGAAGATCCAAGACGGTATTGTTAAACTCCAGGCCTGCCCTACCAAAGAACAAGCAGCAGACGGCCTGACCAAACCTCTCCGAACTGAACAATTTGATCATTTCCTACAACTCACTGGCATAAGCTAAGCCGCGTATATCTCCCCCATTTTGGATATATTTTCTATTTTGATATACGGCATTCGATTGGCTAAAGCAGAACCTTCATTCCTCTGTTTATTTTTGCATATATTCACTCATTTGAAGGCCCGAATAGAGGCCGATTTCTGTATTTAGATTGATTCCATAGTTTGTAGGCTGCTCGTGCGTGGGGGGTGTTAGTACACGTGAGGTACTGCCGTCCTAGACCGCCCTCGCTACCTATCTCACGGCACAGGCAGGCCTACCTAGTAATACGACCATACATGCGCCTATCCATTATTTACATATTGCGTCTACGCGACGTCCAGTCCTTCTTTTCTCCTTTCTCCTCTCATGTCTGGTATTCGTTGAAAATAGTCCTGAATAGCACATGCTGCTTCTTCTTCATCCATTCGTAGTACTAGTCGCCATAGTCTGTTGATTATCACATCCATTCTCCATAACTACTTGAACCTGATATCAATATATGCTCGTTGCCACCATATTATTTGTCAGCTGGCGTGTGATAGAGCTAGTAGCTCTGCTTTAGTAGTTGAGGTGGTGCTAGCCTTTGTTTCTTGGAGACTCAGTTGATAGGTCCTCCATGTCAGCAAGTGCAGAATCACTGGCAGCAGCAAATATGGTTCCTTCATACTTTTCTAGCTTCACATTGGCAGGCAGTGGAGTATCTGGATGCGTGACTGCTTGGTGAATCCTCATGCCTAGAAACTGTGCTGGGGGCACTACGAATCCATAGGATGGCCAGCATACTCAGGTATGGTGGAGTCCGTGGCAGAAGGATATTTAAGGCGAGGCTCCTCCTAGGTAGTGTCACGACCTGGTCGTTCGATAGGTAGTTTAGCTAGGAAGCTCATTCGGTTAGGTCACATGTGGGACATGTGACGCACGAGAATATCTTCGCAGGTAGGAGCTGGAGCCGAATCCCTTCCTCCTCTCTCTCCCATGCTTGATATTCTCGTCGATAGCTGCCATGATAGCCAAATAGCATTCTCTATTCTATCTTGATTGAGCTCCATGACAGGTAGTTTCTAAGAACCAGGCGTACCTTTCGTTTTCCAAGTTTGCTTCACTAGTATCGTTACCGTCATGTAGCACGGAGCTCGGCTCCATTCTCGTTGCATTCTTCCTTTGTTGTTTTGTTCTCTTGCTAAACCGTTCCACTCAGCAATATGCTTGTTTTGATAGAGCATGAGGACGTTGTCAACAAAGAAGAGAATTAAATGCTTATGCATGAAGAGACATTTTTCTGTTGCTGACTGGCAGAGACCAGCTTCAATGAGTCTCCTAGAACCCCTTCTGCCATAGATTTGGTGCCTTTTTTAATCATATAGTTTGTAGGAGCTTCAGGCATTTCCTTTCTCACCCCCCCCCATTGTGACGGTGTGGAAAACAAGTACTATATATGTGAGTGAAGTATCAGGTCTTACGACCTGATATCCTGGTCTTTTGCCGGTAGTGCAGCGGTTTAGTCCTTAGAATGCACCCTAGGAGCCAGGTCGTGACACCCATTCCCTCAGAGAATTCAGCATGTATATAAATATCAACAGACAAAAACCAGGTACAAGCAAGGCCAATGTGCAAATGAGCAGAGAAGGATTAATATCCACTGATGTAATAAAGTTCATTGGTGTGGTGTTTCTGTACACGTATTCTGGAGGATCTATGTTATCTCAAGTCATTTTCCTTGCTTGAATTTGTTGTAATAATATTTTATCTGAGCTCCACACAGGTGCGGCACAGTTAGCCGCACAGACACAGTCTATTGCCCCTGTTCTCCACTCTATCCTGTCAGGCAGACCTTCTATTGCATATGCGTGATAGCGCAACTGTGCTTTCATGCCAAAAGGCGGCTAAACCCCATCAACACATATTAGTGACAGCTTGATGACAGGTAGGAAGATTATCTAAAAGGGGCAGACAGAGCGGTGTCCAATTAGGCGCCATGTCACGTGACTACTAAGTCAACGCTATCTGACAATCGGTTCCTGATGTGATTGTGCCTTCTTCTCCTGCATGCCCCTGTCGGGCAGAGAAGCCTTGCAATGTGTAATTCATCCATAGACACGGTTCGTGCAAGTGCTACTAATATACAGAATGCGGAGGCCAATTGCTATGGCTCTTGGGCAACACCGAGTTTTTAGTTGACAGCCACATCCAGACCAGATGAGCCACCTTTTTGCCTATTACCTTGTCAACTGTCCGTCTGAGCTTCAATAGACATAGCGGAAGTTGAGGTTCTCCTGGTCTGTTCTATCTTCAAAGGCATGCGCCAGATCTGGATCGGCATCGACTTCGGAAATGCCGCTGTCCGCCAATATCTGGTCCCTTTTGCTGTTCTGTCGCTTGAGATAGAATCGGAGGAAAATAACAGCAATGGTCATAGCGGAATAGCAGGCAAGATGGACGCCAAATGCAATATGGTATTGCGGCGCGTCCCGTTTGAGGAAGACTTGAGGACCTGCCCGATGGGTAGCTAGTCAGTGACCGTCCACGAAGGCCGGAAAGAAGAAAGACGAGAGCAGGGCAGACAGCTCACCGATTGCGTTTCCTGCAGCCCAGGACACGAACGTTGCTGCTATCACTGTCGTCTTCTTGGTTTGCCCGGCAATGTTGCGAGAGACCAGGGACAGGCACAGAGTTTGAGCAGACCAGAAGGAAAGTGTGATGTAGTAGCTGATGAGCAGTCCGACTTTGGAGCCCGTGTTGTTGTTTTTGACAGTCATCAGGACGATGGTTCCGATGAAGGATCTTGATGGAGAATATCAGTCAACCATATGTCTCGGATGAGGCAGGTCTGAACAGGGGTCCCCGTACGGAATAATAAACCCAAGTATCACCAACAGGTTCTGGCCGGTCTTTTTGACCAGCCAGGCTGAACTGAGCAGGACGACAATGATATAGAAGCCCAGCACCATCGCAAGCAGTTGGGTTTGCAGAATGGTGAAGTTGAATCCGCTAATGATGATGTTGGCGAACGCACCAAGACCACTTGTCGGAAGAGTCGTGAACATCTGGATGGCACAATAACACCATGTCTGAGGATCACGAAACGCCTCCCATATTTGGTACGCCCGGAAACTTTTGTTCTGCAGGCCTGTCTGGTTCGAACGTACTCTCTCAACCATCAGATGCTTGTCTTCCTCCGTGAAACATTTGGCTCGCATGGGAGAGTCAGGCATCCACCAGATCACGAACAATGCCCAAAGGACAGACATGCAGCCATATGTCATGAACAGCGCCTGCCATGACTTGAGCACTCGATCCTTTCCTATCAAACTGAAGCAATACGCCAGCAGTCCGCCGACCATCTGTTGGGCACCATTCATCATGTACCTGGGATTTCCAGTTTCCGGAAAGGATCAGTCTCCACCTTGTTGTAGTAAGGTTAAATAAAAGATATCCTTACCAGTATGTGACAGTCGATGCTTGCTCTTCTCTTTTATACCACATGCTGGACAACACCACAAATGTCGGCTGGCATGAAGCTTCGAATATGCCCAGCAGAGTGCGTACGGTTACCAGACTTGCAAAATTCTTACATGCAGCATGCAATGCCAGTATACATCCCCAGATGAAGATGTTGAGGCCCAGGTATTTGGCAATGGGCACACGCTGGATGATCCAGTTCGTCGGATACTCAACAACGAGCACAGCGATATAGATGCATGTTGTTAACCAGGAATACTACAGAAGTCAGCCTGGGGACTTCACGACGGTGCGTGTTATGGAACGAGTCGCACCTGTTGGCCATGCAGATGCGTGTCTTCCTGCAATCCCATAATGGACGTGAAGGACAGGGTGCCCTTATCTAGTGCCTGTATGAAGTATGTGAAGATCATGACCACCAACACCCGGCGATCAATCATACGTCGGAGTCGTCTGTTGGTAGCTTCGTCTATCTCAACCTGTCCTTGCAGGGCGTACTGCTGGACTTCCTTGTCAACACGAGAGATGTTGATGCCGTCTTTCTTGAGGTCTGAGCTCGGAGAGAGAACACGCTCGAGATGGGAGACATCTTCTTTTCTGAGGCTCATTTCAACTGCCTGCATCCCATCTACACCGTGAGTCTGGGTTGGAGATTGTTCTAGCGCCATTTTGAGCGAGGAGAGAGGTATGAGTCCCCTTGCACAAGCCCGCTAGAGGGTATTTGCTCCTCCTTTTAAACGGGAATTCGAACTGGACCAGAACGCACTACGCTGATTATGCGTCCTCGTTTAGATGTCTCTCAGCGACGTTAGTCTAATAGACTTTTTTCGGTTGGTGGCCCGGACCACCGGCTGAGCAGTGAGCATGGTCACGAAGCTAGGCAAGTCGTATCTTCCCCGGTTTTTCCACTTGTGGGGTACGGGGTATGGGGAAACCCATCAAAGCCAAAATCACGGTGGAACATTGTAGCGAAATTCGAGAGTGATTGTATCATTCTATTCGCTACCGTCAGCTTGCTCACTTATTTAGCGAGTCGAATCCATGAGTCCTGATTGCCAATCCGGCTCCATCTCGGTCAGAGATGACCCGAATTGTGCATCGTTCAGGCTCTCCCCACGCGGGGAAGCATCAAATTATTGAAGATATTTCTCCGCGTATCGGTCTTCAGTATTGCCATCACCGCATAAAGTTTATTAGGAAAGCAACTTCCCGTGTATGGTTTGATGGGAACGCCAGCTGGCCGTCACGAAGGGGAAAAGTGCTTCAGAGATAATCAACAGGGACAAGAGTAGTTGAACATGGCATCGACTTCTACAAGCAGCCCCTCTGCTGGTGAAATCCACACAGCTATCAATCGCCTCATTAACAACCTGATCAACATCAAAGACACTACAGGCAAGTTCTTGTTACACCTAGAGGATGGACGAGTCATCGACACCAAATCATGGAACGGCTGGGAATGGACACATGGAATCGGACTGTACGGCATATGGAAATACTACGAAATAACAGGCGACGCTTCCTTGCTTAAAATCATCGAAGACTGGTTCGCTGCACGTTTCGCGGAGGGGGGCACGACGAAAAACATCAACACCATGGCCGTCTTCCTCACGTTGGCCTACGTCTACGAAAAGACGGGGAACATGGCATATCTTCCCTGGTTGGACGCCTGGGGGGAATGGACAATGCATGAGCTCCCTCGCACGAAATACGGTGGCATGCAACACGTTACCTATGTGACGGACAACCACCAACAGCTCTGGGATGATACGCTCATGATGACTGTTCTTCCACTGGCCAAGATCGGGAAACTACTTGGTCGTGAAGAGTACATAACTGAGGCGAAACGGCAATTCCTGATCCATATCCAGTACCTCTTTGATACGAAAACGGGCCTCTTTTTCCATGGCTGGGCGTTTAACACCGGTACCGATGCCGATGATACTTCTACTACTACTATCAGTGTGGAAGGTCACAACTTCGCCAACGCACATTGGGCAAGAGGAAACAGTTGGATAACCATCGTGGTCCCCGAAATCATCGAACTCCTGGATCTGTCCCCCTCCGACCCCATCCGGATGCATCTAACCAACACCCTGGAAGCCCAGTGCTCTGCGCTACGGCGCCTCCAAGACTCTGCCACGGGCTACTGGCATACCCTTCTAGACCACCCTGATTCCTACGTCGAAGCCTCTGCGACCGCGGGATTCGCGTATGGGATCTTGAAAGCTCTACGGAAACGCTACATAGGATCGAGTACGGCTAGCGCCGCCACCGCCACCACTACTACTGCTGCTTCTACTATTACCTCCAAGGAATACCGCCTAGTCGCCGAAAAGGCAGTCAGGGCAGTGCTCGGCGCTGTTGATGACCAGGGTGAATTACAGAATACCAGCTTCGGAACGCCGATGGGCGATACTTTGCAGTTTTATAAGGAGATTCCAATAACCGCCATGCCGTACGGACAGGCCATGGCTATGATGGCTTTGGGGGAGTATTTGAGGTGTTTTCTATGACAGTAGATTTTGAGTAGAATATATTTATGAATCGACGTCAAGGGCTTGAATTGACTCCAGAGGTATAATACCCCTGCACGGTGAAAAAGAGACAATAGACAGGCTCATTAAAGGCAGATAAATAAGTGGATCCACAATGAACAAAACACTATTGTACACGCAATGAAAAATTGGATCGAATTAAACGTACAAAGGGGGATCAAGAAGACCCGAAAAGGGCCAGGAAACAAAACGAGTCCAAATCAAAACCAACACGGGATATAATATGTATGCAAGGGAAAAAAAAGACGCTCTGTAACTGAGGAGGATATCGATGAACGCAATGCCATAGAATCTTCTATTCATCTCTCTATTGTTTATTTCCCGTCCATCCGGTCCATCGGATATTGGTTCTGAATGGGATCAGGTTCTCCCGGTACCTGTGCGTTGACGAGGTCGATGGCCTCCTCGGGCATGATATTATGGAGGATCATTGCAACACTGTTTATGTCGTTGTCAGCAGGCGTTAGAATATACAAACACAAACACAAGCGTATGCAAAGGGAGGGAAAAACATACAAAGCTGTAACGGCAAACCCGGTCTCCAGAACGAGAACGATGGCATCCAGGAATCCCTCGAGACTCTTGTTACTCGTTTCCTTGAAGACGTAAGAGAACCAGTTCGGGACGAGTGTCGCGCCGTATCCCAATGCCAAAGAGGCAGTGAAAACGAAGCGGTTCCGACGGTTAAACGGAACCTTGGACAAAATAGCCATACCACTGACAAGTACAGAGGAGAAGAGGAAGGTCGTCATTCCGCCCATGACGGGGTCGGGAATGGCCACGATGGCAGCGGCGAATTTGGCGAAGATCCCGGCGATGATCAAGACGATGCTAATCGGTTCAGGTTAGACACGGAGGAGCGAAGAATGAGGAGTGAAGGTAGCATACCAGCAGCAGTAACCGGCCATTCGATTGGCACATCGCGTCAGGGCAATGACACCGTTGTTCTGTGCAAAGGTCGTCATGGGAGTCATGGTGGCCAGGGCCGCAAAGATAGAACCAAGACCGTCGGACAGGATACATCCCTGGATACGGGAATCGAAAATCTTGCCCTCGACTTCGAGTCGAGAGACATCGCAGGTGGCGGTGACATCGCCGACGGCTTCACAGGCACAAATCATGAAGACGGCTATTAGTGGCAATACCAGAGGGCCGTAGACCTGGAGCTTGAAGGTGTGGACCCAGATGAATGAAGCGACCGGAGCCTGGGGGGCGTTAGCAATGGACAAGTCCCAACTGCTCCGAGAAAGCTATCAAACCCACCTCGCCAACAATGCTGCCATCAAAATAACCGCATGCAGCAGCGATAATACAGCCGACCAGCAAACCGATAATGACGGCGCATGACTTCATGATGGGTGCACCCAGTCGTTCGCAGATCAAGATGGTCACGAAGACCGAGAAGCCCAGTCCGATGAACTCGGGACTTCCCCACGGAAGCGCATGCGGAGCACCGACGTGAGGGCACAGGGCGAAGTCACCCTCCGAAGGACGGGACATGCAGTCGCTGGACCCGCCAGCCCACTGTTCAAAGCCCGTCTGCAGCAGGGAGACACCGATCAACATGACAGTCGGACCGGTGACGATGGGCGGGAAGATCTTTTTGATGACTGCCGGAGGCATGAAGGCGATGAGGACCTCGATCAAGGCGCAGCAGGCCGATGTTCCGAGGAGGGCGCCGTACGCATCGGGGCAGGGAAGCTTGGTGCCGTCTTCGGCCATCTTGCAGAAACCGTTCTCGTACATTTGGCCGACGGCTTTGGTGGCCACGGTAATGATGCTAAAGGAGACACCGACGACTGAGATGACGCCGGTTCCGATGTAATACCTGTTATTCGCGCTGTGAGTCAGCCGGAGACGAGGGCAATGCCGGAGAAAGAAAGCAAGGGAGACAGATACATACGGCGTCTTGTAGATATGGAAGCGGGTGATCTGGACGGCAGTGAGAATGCCACAGACGATCAAGGCCGTCGATACCAGGTACTGGGTCTGTTCGTCCGTGAGATTCATACTGCTCGCCATGATCCTGGGCGGGCTGATGACACCCCCCAGCATGGCGAGGGCATGCTGGACACCCAGCAGCACCGCCAGGACAACGGGGATCCTGTCATTGAGGCCGAAGAAGGGCACCGCGCCCGGTGTCTTTTTGAGAAAGGGGATGTCCGGCAGGAAGAGAGTACCGTAGTCATAGTCGCCGATTAAGCCGTCCCTGGTGGTGAAGGCCTCCCGGATGGAGCGTAGACGCTGGCGGAAGGACTTGCGGGGGTGCGAATAGGGCCCGATAGTATCAGGGCCGTCGACGGAATTGAGCGAGTTGTCCATGGTGACAGTAGAAGTTCTGTCATAGAATTCTGTCAAGGCAGATGAGGAGAGCCGGAAGGGCGAGAACCGGACGTGTTCCTTGCAGCAGACGAGAACGATGATATATCAGCACCCCTATCCAGAATTTCCCACGATTTCCCACGACTTCCCACGACTTCCCCTAGCACGGCCCCGGCGCGCTTTCAGGCCCGTCGTTTTCTTCGCGGATGCGAGCATGATAAGATAACAATCCCGTCTTCAAATCAGATTCGCCTCCGGGTGGTCCAGGTCAATGCATTACTGTTGCCATTAGCTGTTCGCTGCGTCGTCCCATCCGCACGTAAACACGCACAATGCATCCCACAATGCTGGCAATCATGCACAAGCCGATCATGAAGGCATAGTATGGGATGGTATGGGAGAGTATGCTTCAGGGTGCTTCGGCTCGTGGCAGGGATGCCGATCCAGCACGGCCGCCGTTGCAGCGCAAGGGGGATGGATATTATCACCATCGGCCGGTTCCAACCTTCGGATGGCGTTCGCCGCTCTACGAGCGCTCCGTTGTCGTATGCATATGCATATGCACATACGCATTTGCCCTATTGCCCTATTGCCATGCTGCTGTCCTAGCGGGATAGCGATATCGACTCTTGGAAGTCGCGCACGATGCATGCGCATTGAACAAACGGAATTGTGTAAAAAGCCCGATAAAGATCTTTATATCTTATCAAGAGCAGCGGCCGCCTCCGCATTCGGCGTCCTCCGGTCCCATTGTTCTGGAGTACGGAGTAGGCGTCGTCCAGATCTATCCGTGCCATGTGCGCTCCGCTATGCCACGAACTGCAGCGGTTCGTTCTTCCCGCAGTTTAGAGTAGCAGAACCAACAGGTGGAATGACAGATTAATCTCCGATGCTCGTCGACTTCGCCCGGCTTGATCCCCAGTAGATAGTCCCGGCCAACATGTTGTACACCCACGCAACGATCATCACGGTCGACCGGTCCCGCAGGATCATTGAAGACGGTGCAATCCGCGTCGAGAACGACTCGATTGCGGACATCGGCAAAACAAGTCAATTGAAGGCGAGGTATGCCGATGAGGATGAATACGACCTCAGCGGCCGCATCGTGATTCCGGGGCTCATCTCAACGCACATGCATACTGCCCAGACGCTGCTGCGAGGGACCGCCGATGATCTGGAACTCGTCTCCTGGCTCTGCGAGAGGATCTGGGTGCTGCAGGGCAACTTCACCCGAGAAGATGGGTATGCAGCGGCGCGTCTGAGCATCGGCGAGATGCTGAAGTCGGGGACCACGTGTTTCCTCGAAAGCATGGTATCCTTCCAGTCCATCAGACTCGTGTTTCGGCGTGCTGACTGTCCAGTTTGCTGATCGATATGGATTCGACGGGCTCTGTCGCGCCGTCGAGGAGAGCGGAATCCGTGGCTGTCTGGGCAAGATTGTCATGGACATCGCCCGGTACGCGAAAGACGACGCGTGGGCTATGCATCCGGGACTGGTCGAGAACCGCGAAACATCCTTGCTGGGCACGCTCAGCATGTGGGAGAAGTGGAATGGCAAGGCAGACGACCGCATCCGTGTGTGGTTCGGCGCCAGGACGCCCGGGGGGTGAGCACATCTTCCCTCCATGTCCACCGCGATGATGACTGGCAAGCTCATCCAAATGTAACCAGGGTCTCGGATGCCCTCTACAGGGAAATGACAGCGCTCTCGCGATCCAAGGGAATCCCAATCACCATGCACTGTGCTGAGGTGCGAGCAGACCGGGACTTCTTCGCCTCAGTCTCGCACACGCCCATGTCGTACTGCGAATCCGTCGGCCTGCTCTCTCCATCCACAGTGCTGGTTCACATGGTGCACCTGGATGATTCCGACATCAAACTCCTCTCAGCCTCCGGCACACACGTCGCGCACTGTCCAACATCAAACGCGAAGCTCGCGTCGGGCATCTGTCGCGTGCCCGACCTGCAAAAGGCCAATGTCAACATCGGCCTAGGAACTGACGGTGCACCCTGCAACAACACCTGCGATCTGCTGCAGGAGATGAAGCTGGCTGCCATCATCCACAAGAGCATCTCGTATGACCCGACATCCGTACCCGCGGAATCGGTGCTGGAGATGGCCACCATCAACGGTGCCAAGGCCCTGGGGTTGCAAGACCGCATCGGTAGTCTCGAGCTTGGGAAGAAGGCCGACTTTGTGGCTATTGATATGCGAGGCATTCACTCGCAGCCCTGGTTTAATCCTGTCAGTGCGGTGGTGTATACGGCCACGGGGAGAGATGTGGATGTCGTGGTGGTCAATGGACGGATGCTAGTCAAGGATGGCAAGTTGCTGACCATGGACGAGACGGAGATTGTGGAGGAGGCACAGAAGAGAAGTAAGGAGGTAATAGAACGAGCTGGATTGATGGAGAAGGTGAAGGCGAGATGGCCAGTTGAGTGATTCTTCGTCCCATACATTGACGTTTGTGAATGATGCGCTCTATATCACCATGTATACAGATTAAAGCTGCTTTTCCATGAACTGTGCGGAACAACGATAACATTGAAGCATCAAACTAGGCTACCGTGCAACATCAAGTATAGAAACTGTCCTGAATTAAGCAGCGAGTTCAAACTCCCCCGCCAGCTCCAAATTCCAGTCCACCGAATCCGCAGTCGGGAGAACCTCCACCTCATATCCCTCGCCAGGGGGGACAACACCCTCCAGCGATCCATACACGAAGCTCTGCTGCAGCACGGGAATGGAGTATCCCAGCGTCTTGGAGTATCCCGAGCTGGCCTGGAAGATGACGACGTCGCCGAGACCAGGGTCCGCGGGGGCGTTGGGGTAGTCGTCCTCCCAGGTCCAGGTTACGGTGAAGGAGTCACTGACGGAGATGGTATCGTCGGCGCCGGGGGAGTCGATTCGGACGACTGCAGCATATTTGTTACATTTTGTTTCGCTTGGAGTGGGGGAATGGGTGGAATGGGTTCATATCAACGGACCTTGTGCCAGAGAGGCCATGGCGAGGGAGAGTGCGGAGAGGATGCCGGCGGTCTTCATTTCGTCCCTATCTCTTTCTTTTCCTGAATTGATCTTGTTCAAGTGACGCTGCTGTTGATGCTTGTACCGTCATTGAGTCGAGGTCAAGAACGACATATTTATACCTCGACTCAACCTGCTCACCAACGAGCAGTGTCAGCATGTCTCATTCTCGCTGCACCCATCGTCATCTATTCCATCAGTCACATCATTAAAGCATAAGACGAATGCGTAGGCCTGGGTGATCGATGATCATGTCATGTAGGGTGTCTGTCGACGATCTACAGCCTCAACCACTTTTCCGGGGTAATCTCAAGGCAACATAATCAGATTGAAACTATCTTTGGTGGAGGAGATGCCCAGCTCCAAAAATACGTCTGTAAGCTCGCTGGCATCGTCCATTGCTGACCTGATCCGGAGCCCTAAGTGGTGGAGTGGATGTGCTGACGGACATGCCTTGTTTCTGCTTTTCTATTTGACTCCTCATTCTCTCCGGAATGCAGCTTGGCAGTAATTACAGGGGGTCTGTTTGACAGCGTCCAGACCGCGATGAAATAATAATAATAATTAACTAGCACGGAGCGAGAATCCTTGCGCTGACATGCCCAGACGCCCCTAGTGCTTATACTGCATGCACAGCTACCGGCCAGAGTCCGTCGATTGGTTTATCTCCCTCTTCTCATCGTATTTTATTATTTGGACTGGGATGGGACAGCCACTTGCGCCTAAAAATACGACTGCTTGATATCAATGCATCCATTCGGAGCCGCCAAATGCCCAACAATCTGCGGCGAAGCCCAATGGCAGAACGACAATCAAGCCGCGTGCTGGATGGAGGAAAGAGAAAGATAAAAAGAAAATAAAAAGAAAAATAAAGGCCGGAGGGCACAAAGCTGAAGCCGAAACTGCCTCCCGGAGGAAATTGTCTCTCTCGTTCGAAGTGGCCTCGGGCGTCACTCTCTCTTCGCATCATGGCTTCACCTAATAATGATCAAGAAGAAGACATCACACAGAGTCACCCTCAGCAGTCGTGGAATCCGCTCAGACGCTTCGCATCGTCGACGGACCGCGACCATGTCCGGTACCAGCCGGCGGCGCAGAGCCAGACGTGGAATTGGGAGGACAACAACAACAACAACAACAACAACAACAACAACAGTAATAATAATATTAACAGTCGAGATGCAACGCCGCGTTGGTCGTCTTCGCCCTGGCTCCAGCTTGAAAGAGGACTGTCCTCGCAGTCAAGCATCCGATGCCCGAGCAACAGAGCCGTCCTGCAGAGGCGGCTGTCCTGGGTGCCCATTACCATCCTGATTCTTGCCATCTACTGCACACTGATGTCTGGTCTCTTTCTGGCCGTGGCCTTCTGGAAACCGCGGTATGGGAAGCGCATCGGGCCCAACGGAGGCGTGGCTGCGTCCACGGCCACCTTGCTCAGTGCCCTGTTCGCGAAGACGGTTGAACTGTCCTATGTCACGGTCTGTGTCGCGTTCCTGGGACAGGTGCTCAGTCGACGAGCCATCACGAAAGGCTCGCGCGGTATCTCGATATCAGACATGAATATGCGCGCGTGGATCATGCAGCCGGGCTCTCTCATCGTCCACTGGGAGACGCTCAAGTACTCGGCGCTGACGATTCTGGGGGTCTTCGCCTTGACGGCTGCGTTGGTATCCATGCTTTATACCACGGCGGCTGAAGCATTGGGTGGGCTTTTCTCCCTTTTCTGCATCTTCTGTCCTGTCTAGCGCCCACTAACAGGGATCAGTTGCCCCCAAACTCATGATGATGCACGCCGACGTGAAACACCTGGTCGGCACCGTCTCGACGCAATTCGCCGTACCCTTGTACCTCGAGAAGAGGTGTCAGACGCCCGTCACAACGGACATGGATCCTGTTTACAGCGGTCAGACGTGCATGGAAATAGAGCATGTCGGGCAAGCCTACCACAACTACCAGGAATATATCGCTGCGTGGGCGGAGCTGGTGCATGCAGGCAACGGCACGTCGACCGGACTCGCATCACGACTGCCACCCATCGGGGCCATGTACGACGACACGTCGGTAACGGGGAGCTGGATCGATATCCAGAACATGACCAAGCTCTCTGCCCAGTACGGCCGACTGGTGAACAACGTCACAGCAGCCTTGCCGCACGGGGGCATCATTGCCGCAGCGCAGGATCCCCGGAACGGCATCAGACAGCCTGATGGTCCCTCGGGGAAAGGAATGTATCATCTCGAAGCATCAGTGCCTTCACCCTCCATCAACGTGCTCTGCGTGGGCATGACGGCTGAAGAATTGTCCCCGTTGGTGTACACGGAATGGCCCGATTCGAAAGACTTCAACGCAACGACGTGGAACCTGGGCCCGTCAGAAAAGATCCCCGTGTATCCCGACTGGCTCAATCGCACCGTCGTAGATGATATCTTCGGCTTCGGCGAGAAGTACGGCCAGCGACCACCCGTTTTTGGGAAATTCCCTCAGCCCTACAACACCATCCTCAACGGAACGGCGTTATATGGCGCCAACGCTCTGTACATCCTCGCTGCACCACCTACCAACGTCACGAATCCAGAGTACGTCCTGTGCGCACTCAAGGCGAAACAGACAGGCGTCTGTTCGACACGCTACTCCGCCGCAGCCAGCGGAGCGACTCTCTCGACGCACTGCAACAGTCCAGCCAACAAGCTCCAATACAACCGCGTAAACGCCAAAATGATCGAAGGCATCTGGCAACCAGACTGGAAGAACGTCGCGACCCTCTGGGCCGAAGCACTGAGTCTAGGAGCAGGCATTACAGACGGCCAATCCAGCAACGCGCGTCTCCTCACACAAATGACACCTGCATCCGACTCCAAAGCAGACAACAACTTCTCGCTAGACCCCAAACTGCCCTCCATCGCCGAAGCGCTAGCCGCGATGGCCAGTAGCACCTTGATCCTCAGCTCGCAGGGGGCCCCCTTCGTCCCGTTCTTCAACTACACGCCCAACAAAGACGGCTACCTCGACCAGCCCGTCACGCAGAGCTTCCCTGCCCGCGTGTCAGAAATGGATTATGCTTCCGGTCCCTCGGAACCATGGCAATGCGTCTTCTACGCCGTTCTCGTCGCCGCCTTCATCACCAGCGCCATCTGTCTAGTCTTCATCCTCATCGAAATCAAGGGGAGACAGGTCACGGATTTCACCGAACCGGCGAATCTCTTCACGTTGGCTGTGAATAGTCCGCCCAGTGGTCGACTCAGAGGCGCATGCGGTGCTGGGCCGAGTGGCGCCCAGCTTAGTGAACGGTGGTACGTCGGCATGGAGGAGGATCATGAACATTACTTCATCCAGACCAAGGCGGAAGAGCACCTTATCGTTGTTGGTCAGCGATCGTCGGGTGTCTCATTGACGACGTCGGCGGCGTCGTCTCCGCATCTACATCGTGGTAGTCGCAGTAGCAGCGGCCTTGTATCCGTGGAGACGGTTGATGTGGATGATTCCGTTCCGTTGAAGTCGAAGCCTAGTCCGCGGGTGAATGAGTATCGGGTTCTTTCGTCGCCGAGAGGGCTATTTTCGAAGCTGTATTGAGTATAGATTTGTACTACTGTTATATATGGAAGACATGATTGATGTACAGAGAGATTGCACGACTTCATTTTCTATAGTATAGAACAATATGCATATCAATGAGACAGGGAAAGAGCCAAAGGCATATGGCCATGTAAAACATGCCCACGGCCTGAAACAGCCTACAAAGCAGCCAATGCCAACGCCGCCGCAGCACCCCATCCGATGGCACCGGTCACCTGAGGAGCACCACCAGTGCTCTGGCTAGCCGACAGAGTGTTGCTCAAAGCAGTGGAAGACGCAGTCGATGCAACGCTCGTCATCCGAGACGAAGCAGAAGTCCCAACCGAGGAAGCATCGGTGGTGGCAGCGGCGGTGGCAGAAGCAGTAGAACCAGAGGCCGACGCCCCAGTGACAGCAGCATCGCCAGCAGTAATCGTCACAGGAAGAAACATGGACGAAACTTCATCGCCAGTGAAGACGCCTGAGCTGGTCCCGGGATCGTTGGCTTCGGAACCAGCAATCGTCTCGACACAGCTGACACTCTTGATATTGTGCAGGTCACAAGAGAGGTTCACAGAAATACTGATTGCACGGGTTAGCAGGGACAAGAGTAATCCATCCATCATTTGTAAGGGCTGTCTCCCTTTTTCCTCCCTCTTTTCTCGATGGAACAAATATCACGTGAGTATCTTACGAGTTGTCTTTTTCCTCTACATTGAATCCCGCATAATCCGGTGCCTGGGTGATGACCAGGCCGCCCATGGGGACGCCACAATCGGTATCATCAGTGCCCGGACGACAATGAATAGCGTAAGTGGTTGTTGAGCCGCTCTGTCAGAAGTCAGTCCAGGAGACCATTATGACAGGAGTCGGTCGATCGTACGTGGCCCTTGATCGATCCCACCAGAGGCTGTTGGTCGAACCCAGGCAAGAACAGACTCGTCACAGTCTCTGCAACTGCGTATTCCACGAGGGAAATGGCAAGGAGGGCAATAGGACGCATTTTTCCCGGGGGCAGAAAAAAGGTTGCTGGTTAAGATAAAAGCAGGCAAGACGAAGAGATTGCGAATACAAAACAGGCAGAGAACAGACCTAACGAGTGACTAGAGTAGGAGGTAACGGAAGACAGAAAACAAGGTTTGCCTGAGAAGGAAAAGAAAGAATTCTTCGTGGCGTCTGTTGCGTGCTGCCAGGATACATATATCGCTAGTAGTACGGCTCTAACCTGAAGCGGCAGTCAGATGGAAGGATGACTAACACAATGTAACGTAGTCCACAAGCGAGTGGCTCACCCAACGCGAACAGACCAAGGATCCATGTTGATGGAGTAGATTCTTCAGTTGTTGATAGCTTTCTGCAGTTTGTGATAGTATCTGTACTGGCAGAGACCCCTTTCAGCCATTTTCAGAGGGTTTGTGAATTGATGTCAAATGCAGCTGCAGCTTTGGGGATTGATGGATATTGTCACGGAACTCAACTAGACGATGAATAGGATGCTATTCAACTATCTAGGCAGCTATCGACGAGAACTTCAAGCATGGAGAGGAAGGAAAAAGGGATAAATCTACGTGAAGCTGGACGACGTATTCCTACCACACACCACGCTAATCCAAATAAGGAAGCTCACGTGCTCGTCCTGGTCTACATGGTAAGGGCCCTGACAGATATTGCCCCTTTTAAATGTATTAAGGGCTACGAGAATTCGCCCTTCACAAGAGTTATCTTCCATTGATAATAATGCAGGTGATAGAGCCGGTAGCAAAAAGCTTTCGGACATGTGGATTATCTAATATTCCGGCCGGGATACGGTGTATATATGTTCCGAGAGGAAGGATGACCATACCCGAGGATCCCGGGCAAGCAATTAAGCATACTAACCTACAGCTTGACGATGTCCTAGAGACGGCCCTATCTCGGTATAGAGCGTTCACCACATCCCTACGAATCCTATGGTATCCTTCTAGTATTTGATATCCAGACGCCGCACCCCTGATCCACATCATGCCCAAACCAGCCGCGAAGTGTTTGGGTTCTCTCACAACAGAACACCAGGTATGATTTCCTGCAGGTTACTACCATGTTAATTAGCTGTGGGATGAGGATCTTACTGGTGGGTTAATTCCCACTGGGCCACAAAACCTGGCATACACTATTGGAGGATTTTGTGGGGGCTATTACTGGACTACAGTCTGTTTGATATGCACAATCCTGCTGGTCATGCACGGAGCGACAACACTCGGCTGCAGACACCATGTCGAGCTGAGCAGAACATGTGAAAGTGGGCACGCTTTTTGTCGGTGGTTCCCATGGATCAGCTTCTTCCTAGTGAGGCCTAGCCCTCAGCATGCATAAGTGTGGTTAGTCCGCCTGACTCCGGGCCTCCCTAGCTAGATCGACCAACGCAGCGAGTATCCTGGTTTGACCCCGACAACACTTTTTGCCGAATCCGCAAAGAATGTGGGGAACCCGATATTGAGTAGGCTAGCAGCGGATACACAGACGTATTGGAAGCTTCGCATGGTGCTAATTATTTGGCGCCACAGTTGCAACGCGGGGAGAATCCGGAGAAGGATTGAATTTGAGGAGGGAGTAATTATGTGGATTGAACAGTCAGATTCAATGTATATAAAGGCAGCCAATTCCAGCGGTAACCATGTACAGGTGGGATCCTGCAATAACAACGAAAAAAGAAAAAAAAAATGCACCTCAAAGCTCTAACGGTCTCCCTCCTCTCTTACTCCCTCCTCATCGCCTCCCTCCCCCTAACACCCCGGAATCAAACCCCGCTCAATAGCCTAATAACAGCCGTCCTTGAGCACGTCCCCGCCATAAACGGCACCATCAATGCTGTCGTCGGCATCCTAACCGATTTCGAGACACTCGTCGCCGGCATCACCAAGGCGCAGACAACATACAACGAGGTCGACGACTCCAAGCCCTGCACAGAGTACACCCTCATTTTTGCACGGGGGACCACCGAACCTGGCAATGTCGGCATCCTCGTTGGACCCCCGCTGATCAACGCTTTGATTGAGAAGGTGGGGAGCGACGCTTTGACTGTGCAGGGGGTTAATAACTATCCTGCCACTATTGGGGGGTATACGGCTGGCGGAGATCCTCAGGGGAGTGAGGAGATGTATGTTAATCTCTCTCTCTCTCTCTCTCTCTTTCCTATAAACGTGGATATATAAGCAATATACCAATCAGTTAACTAATGTATAGGGCATCTGAAATCGAAAAAGTACACTCCACCTGCCCCGACACCCATCTCATCGCATCAGGATACTCGCAGGGTTCGCAGCTCGTTCATAATTCCATCGCCAAGCTGCCTGCCGCCACGGCAGAGTGGATTAGCAGTGTTCTTGTCTTCGGGGATCCAGATGACAACGACCCAATTCCCAACGTCGATTCGTCCAGGGTCTTCACGGCTTGCCATGATGGCGATAATATCTGCCAGGATGGGGATCTGATCTTGCCTGCACATTTGACATATGCGGAGAATGTGAGGGATGCGGCTGCGTTCGCGGTGTCTGCTGCTTCATCGTGATTCCTATGGATCCTCTACGGGATGGGACCTACCGGTACAGCGCTGTACTTAACATGGAGACAAGATTGTATATACCTTCTTGAGTTTAAGTATATATCTGCCTGTGTGTGGATGTCTAGGGCACTGCATTTCCTTCGGGATGGCACACTACTTTGATCGTAAGTTGTTTCCCCGGCAGCGAAGGCAAACAGTCCCGAGAAGAGGATGAAAAGGAGGAAAATAATCTGGCAGACATGAAGGGCAGGCGCAGTGATGGATTGCATCAGAGCACTGAGCAATTGGGAAGTTCATTCCTGCAACCTTGAGAAGCACTTTCGGCGCAGCATCGAGATGATATTCCTGTGTAAGCTAGTTTATAACCAGCATTGGTTTTAGTGGTATCTGTGTTAGCAGGTTGCATTCTAGATCATTCATGTTCATCTTCAGTCAAATATTCTCTTATGTAGTGCAAATTGAGCCTGTAGGTATTAGTTATTTCTCAATAGAACTAACTAGGTATCACTACCTATTTCAAAGATATGCTGATCCCTCATCATCAACCATTATTAACGCTTTGTAGCACACTTGATAGAATATATACCAACAATAACAGCAGATCCTGTTTGCGGTGTTCATCTTGTGTCTCCTCCAAGGAATTATTTGATTATATTTCCTGCAGTTTCTATCCACAAATGAAGAAAGCAGAGAAGAAAGGCTGTATAAGAATCAGACCTACCTCACCCCATCTCATTACAGAGGCAAATAATTTGGAAAGAAAGTCGGCAGTAAATAATATTTCTTTTTTTCTGTAACGGTGCTCTTCCCTGCCCTTCCTATGGAAAGCCTACTTATGTCTAAGCATCCACTGGAGATTATCGCAATGGTTCCATCGATCTCCCCAACAACAGATGGGGACTTGATTCTTTTGAACGATTCACAGGCTCTGCACAATTGCCTTGAACAAAAGTTTGAGAAGCCGCTACTTCACCGAGCTTCGTTGTCTGGAAATTCGCTATGTGGTCGCAAACTGACCTAGATGCGTTCTGGAAGCACCTACGGGAACAGCCGAACAAGACGATAGACGTTTACGACTACGCGGTGGTAGAGCCGACTCTAAGGACACGAAGATTGACAGTCCGGGAAGTATTGTTGCATTGGGAGCTCCCAACACAGGAGCGACAAGCTCTCAATCTCCTGGATATCGAGAACAGAATGGGGGACTTCTGCCCAATCGAAATAGTCCAACATGATCCTTACAGCAAACTATCTCTCCTATCTCCGGATAATGTTGGAAAAACCGACTCGGACTGGAAAAATAGTCGAAAAGAATTTTTCCTTCTCAGCGGGGCAAACGCGATCTCGTCTATTCATGTGGACAATGGAGGTCAGCTAACGTGGGTTCTTATCCTCGAAGGTCGGAAAATTTGGTACTTTCCTCGCAAACTAACAGCGACGCTGTCCTGTTGTTGGCTGTTATGGGCTCTCAGTGTCCTCGAGCATATGAAGAAGGCTGGGTACGGGTAGAGCTATGCGCGGGGGACCTGTTGTGAGCATATCGTAATGTATTATATCGAAGTATCCAGCTCATATTCCTTTTAGGATCATGCCTCCCAGCTGTCCACATGCAGTGTTCACGCCAGATGACTGCCTTGCTGTTGGTGGCCATTTCTACACAGCTGCACACCTTGGTTCAACGCTCCGCGGGCTCAAACTCCAGGAAGGTTATCCAGCAATAAGCAACGAAGATCTGCAAACTGGCTTCTATGATTTGCTCCATAGAGTTTTTGAGAACGCGCATACTACCAACATACCTTTGCAGCAAGCCGACATCTTGCCGTCCTCTTCTCTGTTTCTCGACAGCTTGGATGCGACATCTCTCTCTATCTTGCTCCGAACGAACAGACGAATAGTCAACACTCTCGAGCTCGAAAACAACTAGAATCGAGCCTGAGCATTAACAGTCACCTTGCGGCATACTGTTCCCTCTTTCTAAGTGCTCTAGAACGTCTTCGGAAACGAGTTGTGAAGGACTTGGAGGCTGAATAAAAACACCAAGCGTTCCTGATGATTATGCACATCTTCGCTCTTGTGTTTCTCGCTTTTTAGGTACTCTTGACCTAGGAAAGTTCCCTACACGCAGCCTATATTTGCTTGAGATTTACAATATAGGATTAGTAGACCCCTTGCCAGTATGGCATGTCTAAAGGGGAAAACGCTTTATTAAGTAACAGTACATCGTCCTATTTGCCCACTCTTACTATTTATACAAAGAGCCAAACAACTGTTTATGTACTTAATCCTAGATACGACATCTTGAATTTCGTTGTCTGTGTTCAGACTCACTTCTATCTTCGGCTTCCTAACGTTCAGCTGATGATAAATACCCTCGACAGAGTCCTTGACCGTCATCATTGTCGCTCCACGAAGGCTCCAGCGGACTATCATCTTCGACCTGTCGTTCCATATCCAAAGTCACTCGAGCTTCGGACTGGAACACAACCAATTCCCACCGTATTTTCTCATCCGTAGACCTCCTTTCTATAAAAGCAGGCCTAGGACACGAGCTTATTATATCCCATCTATATATGGTTAGGGTATGATATGGAAAAGGTCACGTGGTATGGCGGCTTGGCTCCCTCTCCAACCCCTGAGAATCCGGGCCCCTGATTGTATGTAGAGAGAGATAGAATAGAATGGCATCTGTTCCTTAGCAGGGGCCTGGATTCTCAGGGGTTGGAGGCCACAGATTGTCAGACTAGGCAAACACAGTCTTGAAGCTGCCTGAATCTGCGGGCCGTCATTTGTTCCGGTCCGGGTGACTAAGCCAGTAAAATGCCTCCCTATCTCTTAGTCCAATCTCCCCTTTCAAACATATTTCTCTTTCTCTTTCTTTTTTAGTCCTCTCCAAAAAATACGTCTCTTGCAATGAGTGAAGACGTTGTACTCAACGTTGACGTAGGGCCAGACGATGGTCTCTACAGGATTCAGCGTGATCGAAAGGTTTTATATGTTCTACTCAAGTACCTGGAACTTATCCCAGAGGATTCACGAACGCTCGGCCCCAGAATCATCCGCGAGTTGTCCAAACTCGAGCAATGGTTTGACGATTGGGATACAATTACCATCGACAAAGATCAGACTGGCATTGTGGTTAGGCTGAATGAGTTTCAACCACACAGCATACCTGAGCGGCTGATTCGAAATGACTATCTACAAGTTGATATTCTGGATTTACCGATTCTTGGTCGGCTGAAATGTCGAACACTTTATACCTGCCTGAATGGGAGTCCATGTTATGTCAAGTTTGCTAGATTTGATTTTGAACTTGCGCCAATTGCACAAGAGATTGAAGTCTATCATTTTCTGAAAGACAATCATTTCACCATGATACCAAAGTTCCTGGGCTATGTCTATGAAGGACCACACCGAGTCATTGGGTTTCTACTTGAAAAGATTCCAGGACGACATGCCAATATTAAGGACCTTGAGGCATGCAAAAAAGCTCTTAAGGAACTTCACAAGTTTATTGTCCATGGGGATCTCAATCAGTACAATATAATAATCACAGACAATGGCCCAAAATTTATTGATCTGGAGACGTCTTCCATCAATCCCCTGAGCAAATCCATTGAATGGGATATAAAGACCGACCTAGAAGTGCAGTCTCTGCATGCCAAACTTTCAGATGACTCCGGCATTGGACGTCCGTTCACACTTCAATAGTGAGGTAATTTAATTCCTTTAATTTGTCAGGTATATGCTGAACTAATCCTGTTTCAATCAAGAGGAAGTTCTTACCTGAATCGCTGGTCAAACATGCTCGGCATTTATGTGGCGAATTTTTTCCCTCTTCCCACTTAAGGGTCCCACTGGCACATTTCTCCTCTGTTCCGTGGTGTTTAGGACATTGGACGAATTCCGAGTTGCGGTCATGTCCACAGGTATGATGAATGTAATATTGAACACATACTGCCTGTTGGGGGGGCATCTTGTCTTTATTGTGCCTTGCAAATGTCGCTCAGTAACGCAACATGGGATTTAGTAGAATCCATAGTAGATGTTATGTGCAGAAGTAAATAGCCTCTTTAATAAATCTTAGTCAATGGATTTATGATGAAACTTCAAATCAGCACACATTACTATTCCTTGTATATATCAAGGCATTAGTGAGCTTCTGTCCACTCATAAGGATTCCCTGTGCCCGGATGGCGTTCCTTGATGAGCTGGCAAGTTCCAGCCTGAAGTCTGAATCCCCGAATGTAGATAGCAAGCACCAAGGATCCCAAGCATCAACAGGAATAGCGCAAGGCATATAGCATCGGCTAGTTGAATCTATTCAATTTCTTCCCCTGAGAATTTACCGTATTTACCACTACCGCCTCGCATCTGACATCTGATGTGATTTCCCTTAATTTATTTGATCCAGGCAGCACAGAGCTCGGAGAGACTCGGTTTGTGTGGTCGGCAGCCGGAGCTTCACTGGCTCAGTACCACCATGATCGCTGATGAGAAAAGAAATACCCTCCTCAAAGCCTTATTCATAAAACTAGTATCAGATCTTCACCTTAATTTTTACACAAGAAATAGTCAGCTTTTGGCTTTCCCCAGGCGTTGAATTCGCTCAATAACACACATTTGATGATATGGCGGCCCCCTCCCATCCCTGGCATCCATGAAGGGGGACATGTCTATGACAATTCAAGAGTATAAACATTTGCGCTGTCTTTTGCTGTACATAATAATGGTTAATACGGAAGCTATAGGAGGTGTTCACATTAGAAACCCTTGCAGAAGCTGATCCCGATCATTGGGCGCCACTTTAGCAATACCAGGGAAGAAACCTTCTCCTGGGAGATGATTCTTTCGGTGAAGAATCTCGCGTCTTTGATGCTCCACGCAGGTGAATACATCGGGCTGAGGGCCATAGATCTCAAACGACAGATTGGGACTGTCAAGAATCTCCGAAGCGAGATATCTACAGAGAGCGGTAGTGTCATCTTCAGAGTCCAGGCTTAAAGGGACGGTGCTGTAAACCTGGAATGTCGTTGAACTGGCAATGCCATTGAACGGGAAATGTCATTGTGTTGACTTAGTAGTCACGTGCCATCCATTAGCTAGTAATGGATAGGCGCATGTATGGTCATATTACTAGGTAGGCCTGCCTGTGCCGTGAGATAGGTAGCGAGGGCGGTCTAGGACGGCAGAACCTCACGTGTACTAACACCCCCCCACGCACGAGCAGCCTACAAACTATGGAATCAATCTAAATACAGAAATCGGCCTCTATTCGGGCCTTCAAATGAGTGAATATATGCAAAAATAAACAGAGGAATGAAGGTTCTGCTTTAGCCAATCGAATGCCGTATATCAAAATAGAAAATATATCCAAAATGGGGGAGATATACGCGGCTTAGCTTATGCCAGTGAGTTGTAGGAAATGGTCAAATTGTTCAGTTCGGAGAGGTTTGGTCAGGCCGTCTGCTGCTTGTTCTTTGGTAGGGCAGGCCTGGAGTTTAACAATACCGTCTTGGATCTTCTCCCGAACGTAATGGTAACGTATATCGATGTGTTTGGATCTCTTGGTGGTGAGCTCAGCTTCAGCCATGGCGTGTGCACCTTGATTATCGATATGGAGAGTAATTGGCGGGCATTCAGTAGGGAGTACGTTGAGCTCATTGATGAGGTTCCGGAGCCAAAGGGCATCTCGGCTGGCTTCACTTAGAGCCATATACTCAGCTTCGTTGGAGCTAAGTGCAACGGACGTTTGCTTGCGGCTTTTCCAGGCAATTGGGGCCCCGGCAAGCAGAAATATATATCCAGATACTGACCGGCGATTGCCTGTCAGTTGACCACCCCAATCAGAATCAGTATAACATCTGGGCATGAGGAGGTCAGATGTAATGGGTTCCGTGGCCTTATGGTAGGTGATTTGTCGGTTAATGGAGCCTTTAAGGTAGCGTATAGCGTGTATAAGGGCACGCCATGCCTTTTGGGTAGGTTTGGCGTGATATTGGGATAGTACGCCAACTGTCCGGCTAAGATCAGGTCGGGTTTTGGTGGCTAGCCAAGTAAGGCAGCCTACACCACGTTGATATTCTTTGATGTTCACTGTAGGGTCTGGGTCATCATCAATTATTAAACTAGGATCCATGGGGATCCCAACAGGGTGTGCTTGTGCTTGGCCAAAAGAGGCAACAACGTCTTCAGCATAATTGGCCTGGGAGAGAGTATATGTGGTCTTGGATTGAGAGGTGGCCATGCCAAGGTATTTGGTAGAGTTTCCAACTTCTTTTATGTCAAATTTAGCAGAAAGAGACTCCATAAACCAAGTGGCATCATTCTCATGCTTAGCATAGACTTTGAAGTCATCCACATGGGTAGTCACATAGAGTTGGGTCCGGGTGGTATGGATCCAGAGACCAGAGTCGTATTCGGAGCTTTTGAAGCCGATTTGTCGTAAGAAAGCATTTAGTGTATCATACCAGATACGGGCAGATGGGATCAGTCCATAGAGGGACTGGCGGAGTTCACAAACCAGGTCTCCAGAGCCTTCTTTGAATCCCTGAACTTGGGTCATAAAGACACGTTTATCTGTGGGCATTTTTCCATTTAGGAAAGCAAGGATGGCATCTGCCTTTCGAGTATGCCAGCCAAGTAGAGTGGCCAGTGCCGTAAGGGTTCTAGTGGTATTTTCATCTACCACTGGGGCGTATGGTTCCATGAAGTCCTTGTCAAGTAGATTTCCACGGATCACCCAGCGAGCTTTAACTTGGTAGTCCCTTGTAATAGGGGTACCAGGGATTTCTTTCTTTTTGTATACCCACCGGCCAGGGATGACCTTGGTCCCTGGTGGTAGGTCAGAGCGGCGGATAAGTTGCCAGCAGCCTTTTTCTTTGAGTTGGTTGACTTCTTTTTGCATGGCTGCTTGCCACTTGGTGGCATCAGGATGAGATATAGCCTGCTTATAGGAAGTAGGCGTGTCATCTTCAGACAAAGGAGTAGTTGAAGTGGTGAGATAGGCTAGGGACATGCCTTTGGCGGGTCGAAGCCATATTTCCTGGTCTTCATCTTCAACAGGTTGGTTTGTATCTTCTTTATTAGGAGTACTTGGATCTTCAGGAACAGTAGCTTGTGGAGGTGTAGTTGTGGGATCCTCATATTCTTCATCAAATATAGTGTCATTGGTTGAAAAAATGGCGTCTGTTTTAGGGTCCCACACTCTATATTGTTGGCTACTGATTTGGCCGATCATGAAGCAGCATTTAGAATGGGAATCGAACTTGTTTATAGGCTTATCTGAGCCATGTCGATGAACCCAGACAGGGCAGCCCCAACGTCGGTATTTGTTGATACTAGTTGGTGAGTTGGTCCAGGCAGCCAGAGGCGATTTATATGGGCTTGGGCTGATTTTGGTGTTGGTATTGACCCCCCCAGGGATAGGTGAATTGAATAGGACTGTGGATGTTGGGAGGCGGTTTGTTATATCTGATGCATATTTTAAAGCATCAACCCAAAATCGCTGTGGTATATGGGGAGCGTCAAGCATTAATGTCCGAGCACGGTCAAAGAGTATGCGTATGCTGCGCTCACTGACACCGTTTTGCCAAGGGGAATATGGAGAACTTGGTTGCCATTCGATGCCTTCCTGACGGTAGGTTTTCTGCCATTCAGCTGAACAGAATTCATTGTCAGAGACAATATAGGCTGGGGCAGGGAAATGGTGATTCTTCATCTGTTGTAGCCAACCCCGAAATGCATCAATTGCAGCAGATCTTTCAGTTAGGTAGTGGACCCAACGGTAACGTGTAGCGTCATCAGTAATAAGCATCACATATTTGGCTCCTGTACGTGAAGGTAGAGGCATATCTAGCTTCTCTATATCTAGTGTTCGGCCGCCACCAGCAAGGTCTATGTGGACTCGGGCTAGTGGTGCAGTCATACGGGATCTTGGTGTTTTGCTGTATTGGCGAGTTTGCTTGCCCTGGATGCAGGTTTCACAAAGTGGTAGTTCTTTGGAACCTTTGATTTCAATGTCTGATGTAGGATCTGCGGCAAGGCGTAAAAGATCCTGCTGGTTTAAATGGCATAGACGGCGATGCCATGTCATAATTGGTAGAGCTGTTTTGGAGCTCTTAGTCTTTGGGGATGTTGTAGGTTTCTTTCTGGGAGGGTCCCCTGGTCGGTTGGCCTCTTTGCCAGACCGGGTGGTGACAAAGGCATAGGAGCTCTCGTCGGGAGAAATGCAATCTGATAGGATGAATACATTGTTGGTATTCAAAATGGCTTCAAATTCTGCACCAGAAGAGGTTGTGATTTGTGCTACTTGAGAGCTGGAAGGGAATTCGATACGAAAACCTTGTTTGAGAAGCATTCCCATGGAGATTAAGTTGGAATTGAAGGATGGAACATGTCGTACATCCCTAAGGATCAAGGATCCGGTTCCAATATCAATGACGACGGTGCCAATACCATGAGGTTTGGAAATCTTCCCTTGAGCATCTTCAATATAATCCGCTGGAGTAAGGTCCTCCTTTCTCAATGTTTTATAGGACGTGAAGAAAGCTTGATGGGGTGTAACATGGAATGAAGCACAGCTATCAAGATACCATGAAGCTTGGAGAGATTGGGCTGATTTAGCAATGGCTGTTTTTGCAGCTGAAGAAGTCCATGGTACCAGTTCATTGGTTTCTGCTTCAGAGAATGAAGCAGTGGAAGATTCTTTAGCAGTGTGTAAAGCACGAATAGCTTCAATAGTATTTTTATTGGCTCGGCGCCAATGCTCAGAGGCTTTCTCAGGGTTCTTGTAGAGGCAAGGCATTGGGTGGAAATGACCACACCAATCACAACGGGTCTTTGGTTTGCGTGAGTCCTGGTCCTGAGGTTTATATTTAGTGTTGGAACTTGAGGCGGAAGAGCTAGCAATGGGGTTAGATGCTTGTTTGGAATAGCTTCGTCCGGATAGATTCTCTCGTCGTCCTCCGTGTTGGGAGCGGGATTCACGGGCTTGGGTGCCCATACGGATAGAGAGTTGAGCTTGAATGGTAGTTAGGTCCAGATTGATGACAGGGCCTTGTCCAGTTGAGTATACTTCATCAAGTTTACTCTTAATGAATGCTTTGTTCCATTCGCGGAGGCCTATAAAAAATAGGTCGTGAATAAGGTTGTCAAATGATGCTTCTTTTATAGCATGAAGGCGGTCTACTATCCTAGTAAACGCAGATTGGTAGGATAGGTAGTCATTGTCTTTTATATAGAGCTCCTTGAGCTCTTTTATGAGAAGCATTCGTTCTTCACCAGTAGAACGTCCGAAAAAGGTAGCAGTTCGGTCCCATAAACCATGGGCTGATAGGTCATATGTGTTGCCCAATTTGTCAATGGCTTGGGCAGTCATAGCATGAAGCATTCGGGCTCTCATGACAGTGGCTTTGCAATGCCATACTTCAGCATCATAAGCTGAGTATCCTGCTGGAGGTATATCCTGATGCAAGACTGTACTAGCGTTCAGGACATTGGCTTCTCTTTGAATGGCTGAACTCCAGGGGTCGTAATTATCATGAGACAGTGTGATTCGGCATCGGTCTGGTAAGAGCGCTTTAACTTGAGCTTGTACATGATCAAAAGGATCTTTTTGTACTGGATTTGAGGCTGGAATAGCTGTATTATTTTGAATATGATTGTAGGGAGTAGCGTTATGCCGGACTGTAGGAGTGGAGGATTGGGATTGATGGCGTTCAAGGGCATTAAAACGAGTCATGAACTGGTCCATCTGCTTCTGCATTTGCTCCTGCATCTGCTTCTGCATTTGTTCCTGCATCTGCTTCTGCATTTGTTCCTGCATCTGTTCCTGCATCTGCTGGAACAGAGCTGTGATGTCTGGTGTGGATGCCATGGTGTTGGCTGTAGTAGAGCTTTGAGCTCTAGGGGCAGTTGGGGTGTCCATTTCTTCAGAGATTACTGAGGAGGCGGAGGAGCCTATATCTGATGAAGGATCTGTGGATTCTGGCTGACGACGGTGACGTCTAGCGGTGGTAGGGGGCGTTCGAGGCACCACCATTTTGGATGGGATCGATCGAAGGATCCTGGGGTTCAGGGGCCGATTGTTGGCGGTCCTGGTGTTCAGAGTCGCTTAGAAGCGCTCGATTTCTGGTTTGACCAATGAGAGGTCACAATTTAGCCTATCTGAAAGGCTTTTTTTTTTTTTAAGCTCAATATCGTAGAGCTAAAACGGGCTCATAACCTAATGGATAGGCGCATGTATGGTCATATTACTAGGTAGGCCTGCCTGTGCCGTGAGATAGGTAGCGAGGGCGGTCTAGGACGGCAGAACCTCACGTGTACTAACAGCTAGTTAGGAACCGACTCCGCCGACCCCTTTATCAATATAACCACGTCCAAGCCGTCCCATTGAACTGGGGCGCACCTATATACAGCAGGATCACGGGTGGGTAGGGGCCGCGTAGGTACGCGGTGTGGGCACAATTAATAATAATAACGGATAGTTAACTAGTTAACTAAGGGCCAGTTACGCGTTTGTGGTGGTTAACTCACCAGGACCCATGTTTAGCTACGGCTGTACCTCGACAGTATAGGCTTCGAAACTCACACCCTCTTGTCATTCATGTCGACGACAATCGCCAAGCGCAAGCGTGCAAGGAAGGCATGTATCCCTTGTCACCAGCGCAAGCGGAAATGCGACACCGAGTATCCTTGTGGCATGTGCACCACTTACGACTATAACTGCACGTACGCCGCCGACGACGACACCACTGGCACTGCGGGCAGCGGCGTACATGTTCCGCCCGCAGCCAAGCGTATCGGCCTCGATGGCAGAAGTCTTTTGACGAGCCGGTCTCATGCAGAGCAGCGCCCCCACGAAGTGGACGGCTCATCGACGAAGAGTCCCACCGTCGTAGTTAGCGCGTCCGGAGGCATCTTCGACGAGCACAAGTCAAGATACGCTGGGGCATCAGCGGCCATGGCATTTCCACACATCCTGGGCGTGGCTCTCGGCTCCGGCAGTCCTCCCAAGATGCGATCGTTCGCCTACAACTTTGGCATCCGCCCAGAAGAGCCATCCGACACTCACTGCTTGCTCGGGAAGCTCATCTCGGAGGAGGACCTCAGCTTCTTCTCAAATGTGTATTTCTCGGTATTGGCCCCTATCGGCGACGTGTTGGATCCGAGAATCTACGCCCAGCGGTGTCGGGATTATTACTCTGGCTCTGGTAGCACCGGGGTTGCCTTTGCCGCCGTGGCCGCTGGCGTAGCCAGTCTTGGGTCGTTCCTATCCCCCAACAGACATCCGCGGGAGTCTGACCTGGTGCAGTACGCCAAAGCCATTCTCGATGATCCGGCCTCCATGCGCATGCTAAGCATCGACCATATCATCGCGTGGGGCATGCGGGTGCTTTACCTGCGTGCCACGACCCGCCCCAACAACGCCTGGATCGCTTCCTGCACTCTCATGCACCTATGCGAAACGGTGGGGTTGCACGAGGAAGGGAACATCAAGAAGATGGCGTCCATGGCCGGCGCTGCCATCGTTGGACATGATGCGGACCGTCTGAGGAGAATTTTCTGGATCTCTTGGGCTGGACATAACATGCTGTCCTATGAGCAAGATTGTACGGCTGTACATTTTCGCGCTGTGACTTGTCAGGCTATAATCCCGACACCAGGATCCATTGCCGACCAGTTTGTGCAGTTAGTCCAAATCATCCCGGCGCCCAACTCCCCGTTCCACCTTCAATGTCAACCTGCAAATCCGAGTGAGGAGCTATTTGAGCGTCTCAAAGCATTGAATGAGCTCCAAGTCACGCATCCGTTCCTGGTGGCGACCAAGGCCGACATCGCGTTTTGCTTCTTTCGACGCATTTACCATCTTAAGACCTGCATATCGGACGGGTTCATCAAGCTCGTCATTGATAGCGGCAACGCCGGGGTGGAGGCGGCCGAGCAGCTAGCTAACCAGGGTCGTTTGTTTTGGAATGTCATCGGCAGCGTCTTCCAGTATGCCTGCATCCTGTTGGCTATAGACACACCAGCTGCATCCGCCCACATCGCCACTGCCTTCAGGGGCTTGGAGAACCTTGTCAAGGCTGCTGATACAGGACTGACGCGTGAGGCGTTGTCGATAGCGCGGTATCTGCTTAGCCTTAATATGGCAAAGAAGCGAAAGGAGCTTGCTCAGCTGGAAGCTGTTGAGACAAGCTACCAATTGTTTCAGACCCAGCCGGCATCCGAGGTCAGCAATTCTGTACCAGACATGAACTGGGAGCTGGACTGGGACCAGTTCTTCATCGAGCCATATCTGTCGATGCTCGGTTCTGACCTCCAGTTATAGTGGCGCGTGGGCCATTGGGCATTGTGTCCATGAGGCTACGAGGAGCAATGGAGCGTTGTAAATTTGTACTCCTCGGCATTCTGGAAGTTGCAGGTATACTCGGAGCTCCGTAAATAAAAACTGCGAAGCGTCTTATGCGGCTTATGCTGCGGCTATTGCGGAGTTAGTCACATATCGCCGCACCAGCGCCCTATCACAGAGTGTTAGTGTGCGGCTGCTGCGGCGGAGCATCGCGGACTTACTCACCTCCCATCATCACCAACTTTCATTTGTCTGGCTTCGCCCACTGGAGGTCCGTAGGTTCGTAGGTCCGATGGAGATCCGTTGTCCGATATTCCTGATCCAGATGTGGGCTGAGATGGAAAGAAATTCTTGGAAATAGAGGAATCGAGACCGAAGTTCACATGTATAAATGGGCGGGTATTCTCTGCGTCAGGGAGGAATAGCCAGCTGCTCACAAGCTCAAACACCTCGACCACATCGTTCGGCCACAATCACAACAATTAATACACCCCACGAAACAATTCGACGTCTTGCCAGAAATAGGCAAAATGCCCAAGTACGCCAAAGATCAGCCCGCCGGCTTCAAAAACGCCATCGAGAGAGTCGCCATTGTTGGGGTAAGTAAACCATTCAACAGCACCATGTACACAACACTGACAAACACCCTCAGGCTGGAGGCACCATTGGATCGCACATTGCCGCCGCCCTCCTCAAGACCGGAAGACACGCAGTCACGGCCCTTTCCCGCAAAGACAGCCCTAACAAACTCCCCGAGGGCGTCATAGTCGCCCCAGTCAACTACGACGACGAGGCTACCATTGTCGCCGCCCTTAAGGATCAGCAATTTCTTATCATAACCATGGCCCCTACCGCGCCGCGGGACACCCACAGCAAGCTCGTCCAGGCGGCCGCCAAGGCTGGTGTTCCTTACGTTATCCCTAACGGGTACGCCGGTGACATTGACAACATTAAACTCGGTGAGGAGACGATGTTAGGCCCCATTGCCAAAGCCAACAGGGACGAGATCGAGAGGCTTGGCATGCAGTGGATTACTGTGTGCTGTGGGTTTTGGTACGAGTATAGCTTGGCGGGCGGCGAGGCACGCTTTGGGTTCGACTTTGACAAGCGTTCTCTGACAATCTATGACGATGGCAACACCAAGAACTCGACGTCGACATTGTCGCAGGTTGGGCGCGCCGTGGCCAAGGTCCTGAGCCTCAATGAACTTCCCTATGACGAAAATGACCAGACCCTTACCCTGTCGACGTTCCTCAACAAGGGCGTGTACATTAAGAGCTTTGTGGTCAGCCAAAACGACATATTTGAGAGCGTCAAGCGTGTCACCAGAACCACTGACGCCGAATGGACGATTACTCACGAGGCCACCAAGAAGCGATACGAGGATGGTCTAGCGCAAGTTCGAGGTGGTAATATGGCTGGTTTCAGCAAGATGCTGTACGCAAGGGCATTTTACCCGAATGAACCGAATGAATTGTCGATCAAGGCGCAGAATGAGGTGCTTGGATTGCCAGATGAGAGCCTGGACGAGTCGACAAAGGCTGGAATAGATATGGTCAAGGAGCTGCAGGGTCGTGCTGAACGTATGGCAGCCTAGAAAACAGGTTTGTTTATATTCACGCGGTCTTATTGTAACTGAGTGGCCATATTGCGTAATAGTCATTGGCCCATACGACAATATTAAGCCATTATGAGAAGTACCACATCTCGATACGCAATGCCACTACCAGTGGATATGTCTTCAACGTAGATTTGTACCCCAACGGCGATACATGCCATATCCGCAAGAACATGCCCGACGCCAACGAACTGTCCCGCATCCGGCAACGGATGCCTTCAAAGTCATCTGCGGGATAAGCCAATTCCACACATAATGGGCCATGCTCATTGAGATTGCCGGCGCATACTGAAGCAACCGCCAACTCTCCAGATCAAATTAAGTTAGTCGCCGTCAAATTGTTTGTTGGTGGTTCCCATGGCTCAGCTCCTTCCTAGTTAGCATATCATAACCTTACCTGTCTGCTAATCAATTACCTCTATAGACATTTAAAACAGACAAAGCATATTCTAATATCATTTATACAATAATATCAAATAATTAAATGAGCCAGTGAGACAGTTCATTCAACCTTTGCCATCTTATGCTGCACTGTGTCTGCTGTATGCTGTTCATGAATTGCCCTTGTGCCCTAAGAATACCATTCCATACTAGCATCTCCATGCTAATGATGAGAACAGTATGAAATGGCAGATCCGGCAGATCTAATTTGCAGCGTACCTAGGCAGAATTCAAATGTCGCAGAACAGAACAGTCATTGTTGTTGTCGCCTGCTGCATGAGTCATCAAGGCGCAGTCGAGTCAAATCGTGGTACAGCCGCCGCGTCAGTGCTCATAACAGCATTCAAAAGGAACAAGCATCTTAGATGATAGATGTAAGAAATACTAAACATACAGCGAAGAAAGGAACTGAATCTCTATTCACTGTTCCATCTACACTATCTACACTGCAGGCTAGAATTACCGTCGATATGCCCAAGAGCAAGAAGACACCACGATCTCAACCGGTGGATCCTCACCAGAATACGGCTACGGCATATTTACAATTGGACGGCAGGACACTTGAAGGGGGCGGGCAGCTCGTCCGCAACGCTCTGGCCTTATCTGCGATTACTCGCCAACCTGTCTCTATTCACCACATCCGCGGTAATAGACAGGGCAAGGCAGGGTTGAAAACCTCCCATACAGCGGCGGTGCAGTTTCTCGCAGACATCACTGGGAGTGAGATCTCCGGTGTCCAGGTTGGGTCTCAGTTCCTCAGCTTCGTCCCAGCTCCCAGGCCAGATGGTACATCTGCTGCTGTTAAATCAGAATATGAGATCCACCTCCCGACTGCCGGTTCTATCTTTTTGGTCTTCCAGGCGGTTTACCCGTATCTGTTGTCTGTGGCGACGGAGCCTCTCCGGCTGGATTTACGAGGGGGTACGAACGTGTCGTTCTCGCCATCCTATGACTATGTTGCGCAGGTGTTGACACCGAATTTTCGAACGATGGGTCTGCCTCAGTTATCTATCCATCTGCATAAACGTGGCTGGTCAGGGCCTAATGTCCTCGGAGATGTCTCGGTGTTGATTCATCCGCTAGGATCGTCGCCAACTGAGGACAAGGATCATGGGAGGGCTTCGAATAAAGGGACCACCGGCTTTCACTTCCCGTTTATTGACCTGACACGTTATGGACGGGGCAAAGTCACAGCGATAGAGATCACTGTCCTCGCATCAGATGAACCCATGCATTCTGGGCCCCCAGGCGAGGGTTTGAACCGGCAATCCAGCGCCGAAGAAAACCTGTCAATCCGTCAATTCACAGAGCAAGAGATCCAGCAGGCGCTGAGACTCAAGATTAAAAGTCTTCCGTCGTCAGTGTTTCAGACCAACACTAGTCAGGTGTGCTCTGAGACACTCGTGCCGATCAATATCCATACCTCCGAAGCGACAGGTCACCGGTCTCACATGTACTTACTCATCGTCGCGCATACCACGACAGGACTGCGCCTTGGAAGAGATGCCCTGTTCGGCGATGGAGGCGGAGTGAGAGATAGAGACAGAAAACGCGAGTCAGGCGCCCAAAGAAAGCAGAGAGACGCCTCCCACGCTTCATCTCCGCGCAGACCTCGCGGGCGTAGCATGGAATCACGAGCAAGAGAGCTCGTGGAGCGATGCGTCGACTCATTTGCAGAGGAGCTCTTCGACGAGAAACGCAAAGGCAGTCCTGGAAGGATGGAGGAAGGAAAAGAGAAACCGTGTGTGGATGTTTTCATGCGCGACCAGATGGTAGTGTTTGAGGCTCTAGGAAGGATGTCCAGGAGAGGAATACCGGGGGGCAACGGGAAAGGGGAAGAGGATAGAGCTGCAGGTCCCTATCGCGAGGATGAGGGGTACTGGAGTCTTCACACGCAGACGGCCAAGTGGGTATGCCGGCAACTGCTGAAAGAGTAGAGATGAGAGTGATGATAATGCAACGCGGATAGTTGATTGATCCATTCCGCATTGGCCACCGAGTGGCTGGCTACGTAGACAGGTATCAGCTGCAGGACGACACGGGAAGCAGGAGACGCTGGTGATCCAATGAAGTCGAGCAATCCGCATTTCATGCAGATAGTCCAGCAATAGCATATATGCCTCATGCAGCATGCTGGAAGCAGGATGCATATAATACAGAGCAGATGCAGGAGAGCCCGTCGGAGAGACAGCGAGGCGTTGGCATTGGACACGTGGTGCGGTACAGTTTGCGCTGTTTACACTGTTTGCTCATACATCCCAGAAAGGATGATGCCCGAGGCATCGCCAGACCTGCGAATCGTCATTCTTGCAATATTATGTGGCATGTTATACAGATTCCACGAGGATATCCACGGCAATTCGGATATACCCACGATATGCGACAGATAACACAGATGACGTGGGCCGAGAAAGAGACAGTGAACATGTTCGACCGTGGAACTGCACAGCCCTGCCGCAGCAGGTTACAGCGTAGAACCAGCACTGCCACTCCACGGATCTAATCTTCATCTAATCTTGGGCATCGACCGAGGTCAACGGGTTTTGCCGTGTGTCATGATATGCTGCACTGTAAGTCGAAAATGGGGTGATACTGTTATACTGCTCTAGCGCCAGCACAGGCTGTCTCTGCTCCGGTCCACTGCTACTGTAGTAGTGATTATTATTACTCGTATTATTGTTTCCATTTTGGTTGAGATGCGCTAAGTCTGACTAGGAAAGAGCTACCGTTCAAACCATGACGATAACGAACTCCAGTGTCGATTTGAGCTTCACAATTATCTCAAAAATGCGGAACTTCCAAGACTGACGCGAGATAATCGGTCTGATTTTGATAACTCCCTCAACCCCAACTACAACGAGAAAACTACCCATGAACTACATAGGTGCAGACTTCGTCACTGAGAAACGTGGCTTTCAGTCGTTACTGCATAGCTGGGAGGAACTGATTCAACAGATCAATCCACCTGTTGAAGTTTGAAGTGCCCACTAGAGTGCCTGCTGAAGCGCTTGTTATGATGCCGACTCCCCGCGCCTGAATATGCGAAGCGAATACTATTAGCAGCGCCAAATGAGGCAACAGTGGCATGGGCCGTAGCGCTAGAGCTCAACACTGAGGACAAGCCAATGATCCCGAAGCCTGATCTGGCTGCAGGCATGCCAATATCCAGGCATACAGAGCCATTGCTGAACTCAGCCTCTTTTCCATGCCTGTTATCTGTCAGTCAGATTGATTTTCCTGTCCTGTTCAAAGGACTAGAAAGTATTCCTTATTCTGTTCTCCAGAGCCACCTGAATGCCGCTCACATGCTCCAGAACTTGTATACATTGAGATCCCATGCTGGCGGCCCAGACTGGGAAGCACAACTTTATGGCGGAATTACTGTTATAATTGTCTCATTGTTGAAGGACAAGATTGGCATTTATGGCCATTGGGTTGGACAGGGCCACAAGTATCATTCATGCGCGCTCAAAACCTCGTCCACTGAATATGGTGATTATGCGGGGATCCGGTATTCATGTAGAATCTTTGCGGTTAGAGAAAAGGGCCAGAACATTTGACGCCGGATTTCAAATAATCAAAATCATAACAACGATAGCGGTTGCAACCCTGTAGTGCATTCTGTTCTTCCTGATACCACATCGAATCCGCCACTACAGAAAGGAAAAACCTAATTCATGGTCAGGCATGGCATATGAGTGTCGGTATTTTTCCTTTTTCTAACATCTGCGGCTCTTGGGGGCAAGTTACGTAGCTATCTGGCAAGTGCCAGGCAAGGATGCAGGGTAGGTACATGGCATCTTGTCGTTGCATCGTGGGCATGTATGATGCCGGTTTACGCGACAATCCTATAAGGTCTTATACAGCATGCATCCTTATCGAGCATTACGTAGTTGAGTGTGTTGGATATATGGCCCCTAGACCAGCTCCAACCCCCGGGTGTGTATGGTGGCGACCACTAGCTTAGTGTACGGTGGGCGAGTTGCTGCGTGGCAGGAACTGATGGGGCCGGCAGTGCCATGTTCAGCATCCTCCGCCGCCGAAAATGGCAGCTCAGGACCACATGCAGATTCACATTGAGTGTTATTATTTTATTCTTTTATTATCCCTACTGCAATTCAGTAGCGATCAGCCATGCGGCTAGATAGAACGATAGAACTCCGCTACCTGTCACGGCATCTGCGCGACATCATATTATTGATTAGTTCGAGATCAACGCGGTGGGATTTCCTCTGCATCGAATATGGAAAGATGAAACGGGGAGAAAAAATTAATGAAGGAAATATGAAAATAAAGGGAAAACCTGAGTCCAGGTTAAATTACATGTGAGAACCAGATCAATGGCACCAACAGGGATGGATAGATCAATCAATAACACACGACACAGTCGAACCAAATGGGAATAAAAACATAGTAACCGACCCCTACGGTAACCTTCGGGGTCGCGCGTATTGCGCGACCCTGACAACCACCCGAGCACCAATTTTAGACCCCCCTTCTAGCTTCAATATCTCAACGAATTCTATAGTATTTAACTTCAAAATATATTTAAACTAAAGCTCTACTCTTCAGCTTGGGCCCTAGCATGTCGTTGCCTTCGTATAATAATTCCTCGTCGAATGCACACATCCAGCAGCTCTGGTAGGCAACGCTTATACTTAGTCCTCCACCTCTTTATTTCAGCCTGCTCATTAATATTCGCAGTATTTCGATTTATAGCTTCAAGCTCTGAGCTTGATACTATGCCTCCCTTGCGAATCCTGCGCCTAGAGGCCTGTGATCGAGCTGCGCGGTCCCTAGCAGCTTTAATATACCGGTCAAGCTCAGCTTCGATAGCAGCTGAATATGATGCTAGCATACTACCACCACGAATAAGCAGCTCTAGGCCCTCATTAAATTGATCCTTGTTGATATCATGAATCTCCCATATCCTATCACCAATCTCCCTAAATCGTTCAGCTTTTTTTTGGCGTACTGCCCCAGGAATCAACATCATTGGTATTGGTGGATGAAGAGGATGGACGATGTGGTTGAGGCATTTGATTGAGTACAATTGATGGATTGAATGGTATGATGCCAGTCTTTTGGAATCCATGCCGAATAGTACGCTTTTTGAATGTCTTCTTGCGAATTGCTCCTAAGGCATGAAGGAATTCAACCTTAGTAAATTTACTGCATCCTGAGTAGGTTGCATCTGCAACTGCTTCTGAATGCCAGTGCTTATATGCATGAAAAACACCAACATCCAATGGCTGCAAGAAATGACTTGTATGTGGAGGTAAGAAGAAGGTGATGATATTGGTCTTCTCACAGAATTCAACAAATTCATGTGTTAGATGGGAGCCGTATCCATCACATATAAGAAGGGTATATTGACCCTTCCTATATCTTTTAGTATGCCGATAGAATGACTGAATCCATTGGAAGGCAATTGTATCAGTCATATAGCCATTTTCTGATACTCCAATTGAATAGTCTTGTTGAATATCAGCAGCTTCAAACCAATTTGTAAGTATACAGCTACCACTCATGAGAATAAGTGGTGGGCAGGTCCAGCCATCTGCATTGACTGCTTCAACCACAGTAACATATTCACGGTTTGAATTCATCCCAATATGAGGCTTATTAATATTGAAGTCCCTGGTAATAATCCATTGATCACGACCAACACCGATATTGAAGCCAGTCTCATCAAAATTGTAGATATCCTCCTTTAATATCCCATGGTTCTGGATGGTCTGATGGAGCTTCTGAAACCACTCCTGAATAACCTCACGATCCTCTGCACGCTTGCGGTCAAGCTCTATAGCTCTAGAGCGACGTCTTTTATATTCAGGATGCCTTCCTAGCCATCGGTTTAACCATTTCTCGCTGACAGTAGGTGGAGGGGTGTCTAGGCTGGTATGGGTTGATCTCAGAATAGAATTGGCACTTGATTGGATCATTTGTGCAAGTGGCTTTATATTTAATTGCTCTAGAGTATCAACATAGTGACACAGAGCCTTTTCTTGCTCTTCTGATAATCTGGTGTTGGTTGGTGGTCGTTCACATAGATTGGACCGTCCCTTCCACCTTGCGGAGAGGGTTTGCCGTTTAACTCCATATTCACGTGCAGTTTTGGCGATATTTGGGGGATTTTGTGTGCTTAACGCGTCAATAGCTTTGAGCATTCGATCTTCATAATTTTTATTGAATTTGGGCATGGTGGTGGTGGTTGAATTATATGATAAAGTTGATGGGTTGGAATTCTACGAAGTTCTAAAATCGGTGCTCGGGTGGCTGGGGTGCTCGGGTGGTTGTCAGGGTCGCGCAATACGCGCGACCCCGAAGGTTACCGTAGGGGTCGGTTAGTAATAAGGGAGGAAATAATTCAAAGAAAGACAGGTATTGGTTAACAAAGGCATAGCGGAAAATGGTCAGGCAACAACAGATCACAACCAGGTAAGAAAGAAAGCCACAAGGAAAGGAAACAGTCAAAAAATGGCGGACCAAAGAGCGAGACCAGAGCAGTTTCCAATCTACGGGGATCAGCCCGGATTCCCCACCTGCGCCATGTTGCGCCAGCAAATAAGCCAGATACCCTGCCAATTAGATATTTCATGTAAGAAGAGTGTAGTGCGTGTATGCGTGCAAGAACCTCCGGCTCTATTCCTCCGTTTTCCCAGGCACATTTCGGGTCGGTAAAGATGTAGCTTCTCCCTCCGTGGGAAAAAGAAGGAAAACGAACCGCCCTCCCAAGTGACGCCTATCGCAACGACAATAGACAGAACAGATAGACGGATGGTATAGGTTCCAGACCAAGACTTCGAGACGCACGAGGCGTCAGTTTACCAATCCGCCCATGAACCCCATCGTTTTGCGTAACCGACGAAAAAAAAAAAGTGAAAAACTCCCGCGGATGCGTCGATTGGAGAAGATAAAGACGGCGAGGAGATAGAAAGAAAAGAGACAAAAGGAAGGGGGAGAGATCGTATGAAGAATGATAAGCAAGGAGATCGAGACAGGACCTGACCCAGCCAGCAGGACAGATTTTCGGTGAATCGACTATGAACAGAGGTCCTGAGGATCCGCCATCAACGGAGCGTCGTCTCTATTTTTCTTGTCTCGCTGTGGCCGCTTAGAACTGCATGCTGGGCTCCTTGTACGGGGAGCTTCCCAAGATCTCCGACGGTAGTGCCCTCCGGTAGTCTCTGGGCTGTGCAAAGGGCGATGGAGATGATGGGCGGCGCAGTTTGAGTGCCTGGGAGACGGTCAGACTGGAAGCTCCAGAAGATTTGTCTTGAGTATACATACAACACAGTCTGCGCACTTGGTGCCTTCAATGTTAACGCGGCCACGGCAGCCACGGGGATAATTGACGCAGGAGAACATGGTGAAGGAGCGTTGGCTGGGAAGGGAAGGATATGGGAATCAATTCCGGGATTAAGACTGGTATAGCAAAGGCTTAAACGGTCACCGTCGACTAGCGAGGAGAGCAAAGCAGAAGTTATTGAAGTGAAGGGCGTCGCTCAGTAGGGCAGAGGAAGCTGTTGCATTGCTTGCCGTCAGGGAGAGCGACTTGCTTTATAAAAGGCCGTGTTTCACAATAATAATAAATAATAAAGTATAAAAGTAAATTAAAGGGAAAGGAAGAGGACGAGGCGAGGCAAAAAAATAAATATTATTTTATATTATTATATTACCATTCCTTTAATTAGTATTATATTATATATATATATATATATGTAATTTTTTTATAAAAAGCCGGCAAGCACCAGAAAAAAAATGACGTCGGAGGAGTCAAATGGTGTCTCCCGTCTTGAGGCTTACCGACTAACAGCATCCAGCAAGCACATTAAGAGCAAGACGTGCAAGGATCTAATAGTAATAACAGATTTTTCTTCTTCTTCCTTTTGCCCTTTTGGTGCTGTGTTCCCGTCTGCAGGAAGGCTTAGATGTGTGGTTTGAAGGCTGTGATATGTTCCGGTTGTCCCACGACGAAGTGGCCGGATTAGGAAAATAAAGGATGGTACGCCCGCCTAATTAAGGAGAGGAGAAGTCAGTAACTGGTTAGACGCAACAATACCGACTTGAGGGAGCTGGATCGAGTCCAGGGAGAAGGTTATTTTCTGTAGATGTGGATGGAAATACTCCGTATGAGCACTGTACAGCGTATAGTCCCCAAGTATATGAAAGCATTATCAGCATTACCAGCATTATCATGCCCTGTAAAGCTCGAAATCGTTGTTTTTTTTTTTTTTTTTTTTTTTTCCCATAATTTGTCCTTTCTTTATTATTATTATGGCTGTTTTATTCCACCAGAATTTGTGAGATGTCCCCCCACTTTCACCAGGACTACGGGTAATCGTCGGTTTCGGGATGGTGGAATGGGATCCTTGTCTGTCTCCAGTTGTCGCCTCCTATGTGGAGAGGCCACCTGTAGCCGCTCCTGTCCATCAGGGGACCCTTTTTGTGCCCTATTTGCATGCTTCCAACCAGTGGAGATCGATTCAGGGTCACTGGTGGGCCGGATGATGAGCAGGATGGTAATATCTGCCCGTCCGCGGCTCAGATTATTCATTATTTAGCATAAACATCTACGCTGCCATCTCATGTCTCTGCTGGAAAGCCAACTCTCCCAGGACAGAGTGGCACCAATGAAGGGCAGGCCAGGGAGGACAAAATCTCCGACGTTGACGATGATCTCAACGACGCTCTTTCGGCCTTCCAATGGCAGTCGATACCGCTGCCAACGCAGCAAGCGCAGCACATGGCCGACTCCCCACCAGTAAACGCCAGTAGACCACCGGCTGCCTGCAAAGAATATTGTTGCTGGCATGTATGTGCGGTGTAGATACATCACACATCCTCGTTATCACCCTGTTTTGTTGACTTCCATTCCCCTCTCCTCTCCTGTCCCGCACGCACAAATCCCCCACCTGGACTCCTCTTGCGAATTCCCAGTCCGTGGTTTGCTTCCTCCGAGCACTGCCGCTCCAGACTAGATAGATCCAGATCCAACGGTCGCCCAGGTCCTGGCTGTTGTGTGGAGAGTGAAAAGAAGATACCTCGACAGCCGAATAATAATAACACAACGCATGTATCCGAGTATTCCGATTCTAGATCTCTTCCAACGTAGCAATAGAATGGCCGGTCGAGCTTCGTATCCGTTTCACACGATCCAGTATTCCTGCGGTTGGGAATGGCGCAATGCTGGTTGGTTCCGGGACTGTTAAAGAGAGAGAAGGAAAAAGAAAGAAAAAGTCAAGAAGTCCAGCCCTGTCCTTGCACTGGCACATGACCTTGTTCTTCTGGTTCAATTTGAAATTTGAAATCCGGCAGTATTTTACTCTATTCTATCCTCTTCTACATGCATCTTGTCACCCCGCAGCATCCCTGTCCCCTTCACAGGCGCCAAGTTGCAGACAGCAGCCCAACAAGCCCAATGTGCTTCCTCATTCGACAGTCACTTGGGAGGCACATGTCTCTCTCTCTTGATTCCTCATAGTGATTAGCATAACGCTGACGACCGCTATCAAAGCATGTCATCCAGACCGCCTCGACGTGGTAAATTAACTTCTCTGCTGAGATGGGAGACAAAGAGGATGTGTTATAACTGGACGACGGTGCATTGCTAAGGTTGCTTCATCCTGAAGTCCAGGCTTGCCGTCGATTCTAGATCTCTTCCAACGTAGCAATAGAATGGCCGGTCGAGCTTCGTATCTGTTTCACACGATCCAGTATTCCTGCGGTTGGGAATGGCGCAATGCTGGTTGGTTCCGGGACTGTTAAAGAGAGAGAAGGAAAAAGAAAGAAAAAGTCAAGAAGTCCAGCCCTGTCCTTGCACTGGCACATGACCTTGTTCTTCTGGTTCAATTTGAAATTTGAAATCCGGCAGTATTTTACTCTATTCTATCCTCTTCTATATGCATCTTGTCACCCCGCAGCATCCCTGTCCCCTTCACAGGCGCCAAGTTGCAGACAGCAGCCCAACAAGCCCAATGTGCTTCCTCATTCGACAGTCACTTGGGAGGCACATGTCTCTCTCTCTTGATTCCTCATAGTGATTAGCATAACGCTGACGACCGCTATCAAAGCATGTCATCCAGACCGCCTCGACGTGGTAAATTAACTTCTCTGCTGAGATGGGAGACGAAGAGGATGTGTTATAACTGGACGACGGTGCATTGCTAAGGTTGCTTCATCCTGAAGTCCAGGCTTGCCGTCAGCGAGGCTGCGCTGAAGGATTCAGTGTCTGCCGGGATCCAGTCGTGTGGGAATGACAGCGGCAGGTTATTACTATTCGTATTAGTAATAATAATATTATTTCATCTCTGAATATCTTGTAGTAAGATGACATTGACAGCCTGCCTTCTTCTACTCTTCCTTCGTAGGTGGATCATTAGCATGCAGCAAACGGCTTCCTCCAGCTTCATCCCCGGATATAACTCATCATTCAGTCTTCAGCTGATCATACTACTCGCACAGGATAAACTTGTTCTCATGCAAATCCCTACTCTACGTCGCACCCGGTTTAGAACTCATCCAGGCAGGACAATTCATTCATCCAGGGACAACATAGCATCCCTACCCAGTAAAACCAACAAGAAAACCAGTAAGCTCCCCTGGTGTTGACTCCTGCAGATTGATCTTGAGTTGAAATAATTTAGAAAGGGGAGCAGCAGGAGCACATATGCCTCCGACCACCCCTCAAGGCCCAGACAGTCTTCATTCACGGCCTGTTTTACGGCCTGGTCAGATTGTCTGATTCTCTGCCTTTTGGCTTTTTCATCCCTGTCTCCATTTCCGTAAGGGGGCCTGTCTGTCTGCCGTCTGCAACTGCTAGATCTCCGATTCTGACCTGTCCTTTCTTTTCCCCCTTTTGAATCATACGGAGCTATCGCCTACTTCCACCGGCTTCCATAACCGCATCCATTCGTCTGGAGGACAACACGAGAACTTCTCATACGCTCATCAAGATAGCTGCTACATTGAAGAAAAAGGGAAAATAGGGAGTAATTTATAGACTTTGCCCGTAGAGCTAATCTGGTACGCGGTATGTATATTGGAACAAAGCTTACGCAACTGGGGAACGAGTAACCTAATCCTCATTCCTTTATTCCACCCCAATGAGCTACGGCGTTTAATAAAGTACTTGGGCAATATATAATGGATCTATGGAGGACTCGCTAGTTAACTATGAAACAGACGTTAATGGAGGGGGGGAAAGGACAATCCCGCTTATAACGGCTATGAAAGGCATGCTATGGATCCCGATTGACATGCCGGTCCCTGTATATTGAAGGATTTGTTGCTTTGTTGGCAATTTGGCAATTGTCAATTCGTTGACGCTGCAGGATCCAGCCCGGAAATTTGGTTGAGGGTATTAACAATCATCTACATGACACTTGTAGACAGGGTATTAGGTTTGCCGGGGAAAATCCTTATGTGCGGGCTCTCAGGATAGATCAAAAGTAATTCCTCCGTAGGAAGTTGATGCCAACCTGCTGCTGTCCGCAGAACAGCCTTTTTTCGGAAACATGCTGCATCATGCTGATAGACGGCTGTGCCGATCAGTTTAATTTATTCTTTTTTCTCTGCCGGCTCTTTTTTCGTTTCCCCCCTGTTAGCTAAATCGCGACATGGGCAGATTTCAAGGAATGAAAGAAGATAAAAAAACGAAAAAAATAAAATGGTGGACTACGCAAGAACATGGCACTCATCGCAAACGCGTCACTTCATCCCATGCACGTACATGTAGAACCCTTGCCGCTAAACGGCCTAATCTCGACAATCGGGTACCGCTGACATGGCTCAAGATGACGTGCAGAGCTGATCTGAATAGTCGACAAGGGTTCTGCCCCGGTGTTTCAAATGAACCATCCCTGAATCTTCTGAAACACGCCATAACCTCGCTTATCCCTCCAGGAGAGTTCGAAGCACAAACCACACTCCCAGCCCACTGATAACCGCCGCCAGCACAATACCACCACCTTGCCAAGTCAATCCCAAATATGCCAAACAGCCCACGATTATTTCTTTGTTCCTCGCGGCTTCTTGTTTATATTTCCAGTCCGGGTCTAGGGGGAACGGCGGAGAGAGTCTCACGTCCGTCGTGTCATCTATGCCTTCGGGCACGCGAATTGCCCTGGAGGGGACCGAAACGGACAGTGCAACTGCACGATGATCCGACGTTGGAAACAGCGGTAGTGCATCATACACATGTGCCTTGACGTGTCCCAGCTCTGGCATCCACGATGGAGTATCCAGGTATAATATTCGATCAGTCCAGCTTGGCCAGCGGTACCGCGCCCACTTCCATTCGGTCGACTCGTCTCCAGATCCTCTGCCCGCTGCCCGGCGTGATGCAACCGAGTATTTGTATGTCGGGGCAAATTTGATGGGCGCTTCCGTGAGGCCATGTAGGCATCTCTGCCGTCGCTTCTCTCGCACAAGTTGATCGTCCTTGAGGAGTTGGGAGTAATGCAACAAGCTGGTTACGTCCGTAGTAGGCCTTGGAAATCGAGTATAGTCATCCTTATTGGGTAACGTATCTGAGGTACGATAATTCAGATCCCCAGCAAAGAAGAGATAGGCCGTAGGTGCAAACATGCCTAGTGGCGTTCTAGAACCGCGCATTAAAGACACACTCTCATCCGATTCTCCTCCTGCGACCTCAGTACTCAGCCCCTGTCTGGAAAAGACAAGTCGTTTAACAATTTCCCGCCAGTCTTCGTTTCTCCTCTTGACGCTGTATTCCATTGGTGCAAGGTGCGCCGCAACGAACGTCAGATCCACAGTGTCCTGTCCGGAATTTTCTTTAGCCAGGTAACCCAAACGCGCCCCGACTGCCCCTTTATTGCCCATATCCTGGAACCCGACTCCTACGTGAGCCGTGTCAATCCACGATATCCTGCCCACGACGTCCGACCGAACAAAGACCATGAGTCCCGTCATGCCTGAATTCTCTCGGACGAGATTAACATAGTTTATATCCCATCTTTTCGATACCGCACGATCCACTGCTTGGACGAAGGCGTCAAAATACGGGGCCAGAGACGAGCCCCCTAGGAACGCGCTCGCAATGGGAGCTATCTCTTGGAGGCAAAAAACGATCAGTTCGGGTGCGCCAAAGGCTTCCTCCGCCCTTCCATCACTAACGGAAGAAGGAAGTGCATGAAATAGATGCTTTGCGAACAAGTCAACCAGTATTGGATTCCGGGCACAGTTGAACGTAAGAAGGTAAAGGTTCAGAAAGTCTTCCATGACTGCGGTTGTTGCAACTCATGGATAGGCAAGACTCCTGACCACTGAAGTTTCCGGTCTAGATAGCTTCCTGAAGCCCGACTTCAGCGTCCCATGGATCAATGGAGCAACAAAACCTATGCTTGAGGAGACATGCACCGTCGCCCGTTCAATAACACGGCGATAACGTCATATGCAATATGTTAGGCGGTTGCAGAATATCATCGTTCGATCGAAGCGATTTAGACGTACAGATCGTACAGATAGCCGCGGATGGACGTCCTATACCCCGTACCGTCCAGAGGATCACAGAGTACACAGCTGAAGCAGAGAAGGATAAATAGAGGAAGAAAATGCGTCGTCTTGCGAAGATCTCAGATTGTCGTGGCTGAGACGATCGACTAGCTTTATCCTCACGTGAGACCTATTTATATCTGAGAGAACATCGAAGATCTCCCAGAACCAAGCACGGATCAGCATCGTCCATCGTCTCTCAGCCATCAACAGATAAGCTTCTTCATCGTCTATCGGCTACAAAGTGGGACGATCTCATCTCGGAGCAAAGATAGAGACAATCCTCGAAGAACAGCAACTGGTGATGTCTTGTCCAGAGACGGCATGGAAAGTCATCATGGAGGAACCTGAAACGCATGATCATAGACAGTTCCAAGTTTGTATGCTCGCTACCATCGATGCTGCATCTACGTGATAGTCCGTATTTCCCATGGCCAGAAAATCAGTAAATTTTTCTCTGTTGGTTCCTGCCATGGAGTGACTCCCAGTCCGCAAGAGGAAAGAGTGCCTCGATGCCACACACAAACCGCAATGAGAGCTGTTGATCTCGAATTCGCCCTTGCCTTTTCTTCGTCGAAATAGCTTTGAAAGGGTCGTGCTTTCTTCTCCGTCTGATCTTGGGATATGTCGCTCAGTTACAGGTGCGGCTGCCCGTCATCTCCCGCCGCTCAGTTGCACGCCAAACGCTCTCACTGCGTTTCATGTTCATTGACAGACCTATATCTTAATATTGGTTTACACTCTCCAACTTACAATTACATAGGTTTTCTGAGTATGATTCCTGCAGCTCCATTCAACGCGAAAGATCGACTGCGGAGAGCTAAATCGTCACGCTCTATTCGAAAGACTCGGTCTTCCGTCCTTGCACCAGAAGTATTGGATATTGAATCCGTCAGACATCAAGCTACTGCTGCTGCTGCCTGTGCAATGCTCCGTTCCAGCGAAAGATCCTCCACGGATTCCAGGAGTTCTTACGATCGCTTGGGCGGCCCTGGGAGCGTTGCAGTGCCCCAGAGACGCCACCCTCGCGGCAATCGATATGTCGACGATAGCTCTTCCATTGGTCATGGGCCATCCTCGATGCATGCGTCTCGCTTTTGCCCTTCGGATGCGGGCTTCGTGGAGCCTCAGGATCACTATCAAGCTCTTTCGGCTGCTCTGCCCCCCATAAGTGAATTCCAGGGTCTAGACGGAGGAGGGCCTTCGGCACCTTCTTCTTATCGCCGGCTCCGTAAGTCGAAGTCAATGTTTTCGACGAGGCACCGCCGTTCGCATGTTACCTCTATCGCTTCCCCAGACTGCAATGGCAACCCTACCGCAGCATACAACGGGCAGTGGAGTACCCCGCGGTCACTCAGGACTCTCACTCGATCAAAATCATTTCTCCGAAGTGGAAGCCGATCGACGAGAGTTATCCGACACGCGAAGAGTCACGATGCAGCGATTGAGCTTGCTCGTAGTCAGTTCCTCCAAAATTCGGAGGAACAGCAAATGCAGCGAAGGCACTCTTCCCTTTTACCGATTAAACCTAGGCGGGAGCATAAACCATTCAGAAAGACATTCCGAATTGTCAGTGAGCCTGGATTGGATGCAATCGATGCCCCGACTTGGCTTGATCCCTCGAGGAATGGTGGACTCAATACTAAAGCCCGCTCTCTATCACACTCAATCAAGAACGGGATAAAACGTTTGCTGCGACTGTCCAAGCCTGCTGGATCACAGACAAGTACATATGGGCCATCAAGCCCTCGACTCTCATGGGAGAATGGTGGCTCTGTTGGATCGACTACTTACACCGGCTATGGTCTCGGAGAACAATCGTCTAACGATGATTCCGCTTGCCATGATCGACCCCCAACTATACGCAGTATTCGAAGTTCTGAAAGTATTTGTACATCTAATTCTCGCGTTACTAGTTGGACTGATTCCACAGCAGCGAATACAATCGCCACTAGAAGGGCAACTGACCGATTATCGATCATTCAAGAACATGGGAATACTACGCGACAGCTCTCCCAGCTAACACCCAATAACTCTCCAAGTTGTCTATCGTATCCAAGCGTGCGATCAGGAGCGTCTAAACCGGATATATCTACTGACGGCCAACGCTTGTACTCGGCATTGATGAAACGAATTGGCAGGGAAAGTATGGAGCGCCCAGATGAGGGCATTGTTCTTGGAACAGTAAAAGAACACCATCCGATTCCACAACGTGCAAATTCAGTCTACTCGCACCGTAGTAGGAGAACTGTCCGTCGGGTTTCCAGTGACGAATCGGTGGACTCTCCTCGATCGTTCGCAACGGCTACTGGAAATACTCCCTCCGCCAGACATCAACTCCCTAAGATGCCTAACATTCACCGAGAAGGCAGCAGCTCTTTGACTCCTCAGCAGCGTACAAGCTACTGTGATAAACAGTCTCAGGGCTTGTCTAGTCACATCATGTTGAGCAGGAAATCTAGATACTCGCTGGCACAACAGACTGACCATTTTGAAAATTCCGCTCTTCGCAAAGAGTCGTCGGATGAATTTTACGTGAATGGAGACAATTTTAATGGTGAATATGCAGCTGCCAGGCCAAATGATCACAGTCAAGAACCAGATTCTCCTAGCGTGTATTCTAGGACTACAGGTGCCAATACGCCAGCGGATGAGAACATTGGGCTAGACCCAGATATCCTTGAACCAGAGGAAGAGCCGGGTATGGCTACGATTTTTGAGAGTACACCTTACAGTTCTCCAAGGAGGACTGCTCGTTCCACCTCCTACACAGCGACCCACCCCAGCGCTGACTGGCAACAGTGGGTGAATTCTCAAATGGCGAGAATTGATCAGCTTGGACCAGCAAGAAGAGATCATTATAGAGAGGATGCACAGATCCAGGATAACGAGACAGATTCGATATTTTCGGCAATTCCTATAAACTCGGCTACTCCCAGCAACGGCCAGGACTCTGGAAAAGGTTTGAGTAGGCAACTGTCAATCAGTTCCAAAATCTCAGGGCGGAGCAACTTCTCACGACCCTTCAACCGGTCACCGAGCGTGCGCACTATCATTTCGCCACAAAAATTCCCTGCGAGTGCTGCTATTATCCCTTCTTCAACTTCATCTTCGCCGTCTCCAATTCGCAGTTCTGCCGTTGGGTCTGCTGGCCAACCTTTCTCTATCCCACCCCTGTCGCCGATGCGGACTAGACTTAGTAACGCGCCTCAGCTCCCAGAGTCGCCAACCCCAAAAAGAGAGGCGGCTACAACACAGAGAATGTGGGCCAATGAGCAATATGGCCGCTATCCTCGGCGTCCTCCTTTCGCTCAAGACGCCAAGGCTGTTCAATTCCGATCCCTCCGCGCCTCGAGAGACAACAGGCGAACGACAAATGAGAATATGAAACATGAACAGAAGGGTGGCAGTGGAGTAGCAGAAGGACATAACAATGCTCAAGATATTCATTCGACGGTCTCTAGCAAGCGAATGGTGGAGATGTTCCTGAACAGCCGGCGCCGACAGATGGGATCGGAGGTGTCGGAGGACGGCACAACAGAAGCAGCATTTATATAATTACCATCGACGCTAGCAACAGCCATTTTGCTTCCGATGCCCTAAGCAATTATTGTTTTGCAGTATACATAGCTTTTCCACTCTTTTCATTCTTTCCCGAGGCCGCGGACCACCGTCAGACGTGATGTATAAGCAGGGTAGACCTAGTTACTCGCGTACATGTTTAGATATAGGATTATGTTAATTAGTACCAGGTAGACAACTAAGCAGTCTGGGTCCGATCGGGCCACTATTTATATTCGATATCCGCAATAGTAACAACACTCTTCTTCTCGTAATAATCTATTGTGTCGTTTCGAACGGTAAAAGGGGTATCATATAGTTTTCATCATAGAGTCTCTGTAAATCATCACAGACACATTCAAGATCCAATAGCACTAGTCATGAACAAATCAATTTGGCTCAACTCGGTTTCGGTCTCCCAGGGGGCCAGAAGTCAAACAGATCCAGTGCCTCTGAGGTCCACGGCCCTTGTTCTTCAGTCACGCCATGTACTCTGCCTGGCTCGAGTTTATCATCATGACTATGAACATTACGAACAATATCGTGGCTATTATGACTGACAAGAGGACAAGGACGTATATCACCAGCAGCCAAGGATGACGGATCAGAAAATGACTTGCGGAGGACCTTCTGTAACGGCTTCTGTATTGGTACTGGTATCTGATTGGATTGTGCGCAGTAAGCACTCACTGTTGTCCTTGTTGTTGGTGCTACTGCTGACCTTTGCAGCGATGCTCCTGATATTGTAGGGGTCGATTGTGGTTCTTGCTTCACTTGCACGGTGGGAGAATGTTCGTTTAACCGGTGTTGTATCTTATTATTGATAGTTTTGTCTGCTGGCATGCATTCTGTTGAATCCCGCTCGGTGGTATTGGAAATTGCAGGTTGTCTTGCAGGCCTTGCCATGGCAGGAATAATAGTAGACTGTTTTTCTTTATTCCTTGAGCAGGAATTAGATATTCTCTGTAGGTCTGTGGATATAGTCTGAGGTATTGGATGATCTGGAACTTCGTTGAAGACGAATAGAGTCTCGTCAAAGGGATCAAGGTCTGAAATCTGTGATTCGATTGGTTGCATAGCTTGTGCTTCCATCTGAGTTTCGATCTCACTACAAATAAAAGGCAAGGGGGTTAGAGTTAGCCTGGTGAGCTCGATAAGTTCATTGCGTACGTACTGACTCCGAGTCCATGGGTTTGTTAGTCATGTTGTTGGTTTTAGCTGTTGTTGTTGTTGTCGACAACGATGGTGATCCCTGGCCCTTAGTAGGTAATAGTGCCCGATACATTAATTTCCTCCGGGGCTTTTCATTGGATATTCGCAGCGTATTAACCGGTTCCTCGGGGAGACGGACGATGGGAGTTGATCGAAATGAAGATTGCCTGGTACTGCCATTACTTAAGGGAACCTTTGGTTGCTGGATGTCCTTAGATAGTCGATCTCTGTGGATAGTAGCATCTGGCATGATTTCTATTGTATCTGATGTTTTCCTAGATTCTTCCGGGGTACCTAACGCTGGCTTCGGTTTTGATGTTTCCTTGGACCGGGAATGAGTAGACGACTCTGATATGTCAATGGGAATCGGATATGCAGCATTCAAGCCCTTTTCTCGCATTCCTTTCTCTGGGGGCAGTGCCCTCTGGCGCTTGGGTGCTCTTTCAGAATTCTGGCCTTTATCCACGGATCGCGCGGGTGGGTAACGTTGTTCATACGGTGATTTGGGAGTTATCGCTCGACCAATTGGTGTCTTCTTGATACCTAGCAGATCATAAAGAGGTCGCGGAGTCTGCGAAGACCTCGCCAGGGTCGGACGCATCGGCGTGGTAGTAGGAGTCGGCCGGGACTGCGTTAAGGGATCCTTCGTCTGCGGCGAACCCTGGCTCGATCTTTTCTTCTCAAACAGCGCGGATATGTCTGTCTGCGTCTTCTCAATGCACTCGCAGACCTGGACCAGTACACCTTTATCCAATTCCAACTCGTCTCCATCCTGGATACCCCCGTCTTGTCGCCAATGATGGTCTCCAATATAGTTTCCCGGGGTGTCGTAGACCATGATTCTTCGGTTGAACGTGTGGAATCTAAGAAAGCCATCGTGCCAGCGTTTTGCTTTCCGTCGAAGATCGTAGGTGTAGAGACATCGAAACTTGGCGACAGGCGCGGTGTTCTGGGTTGACGGTACGGCTGTCCAGCGCGCGGTGCCATGGGGAGGTGCTGGGGGAGAGGACGAGGACATGGTCAATGGATCTGATGCCAGGTGACTATGTCACTCTGGCTGTTTTGCCGCATTTGGGTGGAACGAGCGGCGATGGTCGAGTGGGGGTTGCTTTCGATGCTGTTCAAGTTGATGACCTTGCTCGATGTTGCGCCGAAAAGGGTTAAAGCGTGTTTAGGCCTCAGGCAGCGATAACTGTCTTACAACACCAGCCCAACAGGATGACACTGCCACATCCTGGTCTAATCTCCGACTCAACCAAGTCAAGACAAGAACAAGAAAGGATTCCAAGGGCTCCCTTCCTTCCTGCCGAGAGCCAATGTCGAATTTGAATCCGGATTGGGCACCCCTAGATCCACACGCGCGACGCGCAACTCCCTACTCCACTGATATCACGGCGCCCATGTGTCAGAGGATAGGCTCACGTTCTATGGCTGGCGTTGTATCAGACATGAGAAACGGCAGGGATCAGAGCCAATGATATCCGCACGATGATCGTCCATGTTTGCCCTCGGGAGCAATGGATGCGGCATTATTTAATACCTTGCGGCTCGCAAGGTTCTGTCGAGTCCCTTGACTTTAAACTGCCGTTATCATGCCCTTCGCCCCCCCCCTCTGAACCGGCGAAATGCATTCGGTGAGAAAATCCCTTGGGAAGTTCATCAAGAGTTCTGAAGATGAAAACCGAATATCCATAATACTGCAGGATTTCGATCATGTGGATAAGTTGCTGGCCAAGGTACGCACTTTGACGTGTTCCATGCTGTTGTACAGAATCCTAAGACCTAGTAGATCATCGATTCTACAAAAGCCTGGCGCGATTCATGGCAGATATTCCTCAGAAACCAAAGTCAACTGGTCGGGGAATTTGAAGGGATTTACGCGCCCATTAACTCTGCACCCCGGAATGATTCGACTACCCTTGAAACTGCGCTGGTAAGGACGCACAAGCTTCGAGAGGAATGTGAGGATTTGCAGAGCGATCTGCTCCACGAACTCGATACGGTAGACCAACTCATTATCAAACCGGCCGCTCGAGCCAAAGACGATCTGACTCCTATGAAGAGAATCATCAAGAAGCGGGCTGATCGAAAGGTAAGCGCAAGTTTGAAATTGAATCTCCGGGATGTCCTATATATATAATACTCACTCTCTGCATTGTATAACCTAGCTTGATTATGACCGCTACCAAGATCGTGTCGATAACTACTACAAAAAGAAAACCCTATCGAATCGTGATAATGAAGCCTTGGCAAAGGCTGAAAGCGACCTCGCCAAAGCCAAAGCAGTATGTTGGACAGACGGATATAAGCTTCCATCTATTCTGGTTAACTCATGCTGACTTTTTCTTCTCTAGGAGTACAAAGCTACAGACGAGAATCTGCGTCAGCATCTCCCTCTGTTGATCTCGGCGATATTCTCCCTGCTCCCTATCTTTCTCGCCGTTCAAATCGAGATTCAGAACTCCATCCTTGGCAATCTGTACACCATGATGCATGACTTCTGTGAACAGGAGAAATTGCCATCCCCTGCCCCGCCAATGGAGGAGGTGATAGAGATATGGAGTCGGAGCTTTTCCCCTGTGCAAAAGGAAGTAGAAAGCTTCCGCTGTCTCATCAATGGGAAAGCCGTTCAACAACCACTCAGCTCGAGCTCTCCGCAGTCTGCTCAAAACAGCACCAGCCGCCCTGTAAGCCGTTCCAGCTACTACGATCCGTGCCGGCATCGGCCATCGACGTCGTCAGACCGCAGTGTCCTCTCGGATACAAGATCACGACCAAGCGACCTGCCCTCTCCTGCCCGGTCTATGAACCTGACAATACCCAACTTCAACACCCTATGCAGGCCGTCCACAGCATCATCATCTACTACGGACTCTTCCTTCGTGCCACTGCCGGAGTATTTCCAAACACCCGGATCATTATCCCAGTCAAGTTCGAATATCGACTATTTCTCGCGCCGGCAATCCACCGCGGCTTCCTCCCCATCCGTCTCCTCTGTTCTATTATCCCCCGATTACAAGGCTGCGGCGATCGCTAAGAAGAAGCCACCACCACCACCGCCACCTAAACCGAAATTCGAGAAGGGTAACAAGACCATGTTTGTGACGGCCCTGTATGATTTTGAGGGACAGGGAGCGGGGGATCTCGCTTTCAGGGAAGGGGACCGGATACAAGTGCTGCAGAAGACGGACAGTACGGATGGCTGGTGGGAGGGCGAGCTTAGAGGTGTCAGGGGGAGTTTTCCGGCTAACTATGTGTCTGTCTAATGGAAGTTTCATGGCCAAATTAATACATCCTAGATTGTACTGAATGAAGTTAGGGTAATTGCGAAAACAGGAACAAGCAAGTTAGAGGTGGACAACTGGGGTGGGCGTTCCTGCATGCTGTAACTAAAGAGTGACCATTCAAGGAATTCTGGGAAACAAGTGAGCTAAGGTTACTGGAACTTTTTTACAACAACCCTGGTACACATCGTGTAAGGCCGCAAAGGCAGCAGCCCTAGGCCGCACAAGATCACGTGCACTTAGCACTTAGTTGAAAGAGGGAGATAATTGTCTGTCCATTCTCTAGGCAGGCTGAGGCTCGCGAGGGAAAAAGGGGCAAGCGAGGGCGGTCAGAACCAGTAGACCATCACGTGATCTAATATTAGTTGTTGGAGGTCACGTGTATTCTGCCCAGTTAGACCGCCCTCGCCTGACCTAGTAGAGTTGGTTCTAGCACCTAGATAGAGACCAATACAATACACGACATAACTAACTAGTTAGTGATGAGGTTATACTATGTTAACTAACGTAACTAACTAACTAACGTTAACGTAATCGGTAAGCGAACCGGCCACGTAAACGAACCGGCCACATCTCCCAAAAATAACTCTATATATTGATTTACTATATTTCAACGCGTCAAAATGCCACAAATTCGCAAAAAAGATCCATTACAAATAGCCCAAATAGAGGGAAAGATTGAATTAGCTATTTCCGACTTGAAAAATGGAAAAATTCGCAGTATTCGTGAAGCTGCACGAATCTATACAATCCCTCGTACAACTCTTCAGGATCGATTAAAGGGAAGACAATATCGACAGCTAATACGCGCCAACAACCATAAATTAGCTCAATTTGAGGAGGAATCGCTTGTCAAATGGGTGCTCGATTTAGATCGACGTGGATTACCCCCCGGCACTCTCTCGTACGAGAAATGGCCAATTATCTTCTCTCACAATCTGGAGATCAACGGGTTGGAGAAAAATGGGTATATAATCTTGTTAAACGTCGCCCAGAGATCAGTTCGAAGTTCTCATGAAGATACAATTATGAACGTGCGAAATGTGAAGATCCGAAGATTATTCAAGAATATTTTGACCGCGTACAAACTACTATATCTACGTACGGAATCCTACCAGAAGATATCTACAATTTTGATGAGACTGGCTTTGCTATGGGACTCTGCGCAACTGCAAAGGTTATTACTGGAAGCGATTGATACGCTCAGCCAAAGCTTTTACAACCTGGAAATCGAGAATGGGTGACTGCAATTGAAGCAACAAATTCAACTGGATGGGCCCTGCCTTCGTACATTATCTTCAAAGCCAAAAAAATGTACGATTAGGCTGGTTTGATGAGCTCCCAGATGATTGGAGAATCAATATTAGTGAAAATGGCTGGACTACAGATCAAATAGGATTAGAATGGCTTAAAACCCATTTTATTCCTCTTGTTCGTGCTCATACATTGGGAACATATGCTATGTTGATTCTTGATGGCCATGGAAGCCATTTAACACCAGAATTTGACCGTACATGTACTGAGAATAGTATTATTCCAGTCTGTATGCCAGCTCATTCTTCACATCTCGTACAGCCTCTTGATGTTGGCTGTTTTGCTGTTTTAAAACGGCATTATGGGCAGCTTGTTGAGCAGCGAATGAGGCTTGGCTTCAACCATATTGACAAAATTGACTTTTTAACAGCATTTCCACAGGCTCGTACGATGGCCTATAAAGCTCAAACTATCCGGAATAGCTTCACAGCCACTGGATTAGTGCCTTTCAATCCGGATTGAGTTATTCAACAACTTAATATTCAATTGAAAACGCCAACCCCCCCTCCAAGTCAATCCAGCAATACACAATCATCCTGTTTACAGACACCTCAAAATATACGTCAATTCCTACGCCAGTCAACTACATTAAAGAGACGTATAAGTGAATGTACAGGAAATCCAAATCAAGTGATTGATCAAGTAATTACGCGGATGTCAAAAGCCTATGAAATCACAATGAATGATCTGTTACTCGTACGGAAAGAAAGCCATGATTTTCGAGCTGCGAATGAAAAAGAGAAGCAAAAACGCCAAAGATCTAAGAAACAGATATCTACTGAGCAAGGGATTACTAGAGAAGAAGCTCAAGCACTCGTACAAGGTCAGGTTGAAGCATCTCAAGCTGTTACTACTGCTCCGGCCGAGCCGGAGCTCCCAGCCTCTCAAACAATTGTACGACGCCAATTTCAGTGTAGTGGTTGTGGAGTTATTGGGCATCGAATTAACAGATGTCCTAATCGTAATGCTAGTTAGATTTTTGTATACATTTTGTATGTGGATTTGAAATTGGGATTTGAAATCAATATATAGAGTTATTTTTGGGAGATGTGGCCGGTTCGTTTACGTGGCCGGTTCGCTTACCGATTACGTTAACTATTTCGGAAAGATGGATTATCTAATAATACAGCCCCGGGATCGGGAATATGTTCCGAGAGGAAAGATGCCTACACCCTCCCCGAATCCCATATATATAGGAGAGCTCGAGCGATTGAGCAAGCAAGCATGTCAATTAAGAGCTTCGCGATGTACTAGGTACTGTATATCGTATAGTGTTCACCATGAATCCTATGGATCCTACGGTATCCTTTCAGTATTTGATACCCGGACGCCCACATCATATCATGTCAAAGACTTCAATGCTATCATTATTGCTATCTACCAACTGTCACCACCCTCGCTTCTCCTGCACAATGCTTCCGAGTCCCACTATCGAGGGCACACACACTACCAGATATCATTTCTGAACTATCATCTTCCTTGACGGGACGAGCCAATATCTCAATTCCACCTGACCGAACTCTCACAAGATGGACCCTGCTGATAGCCAATCCGAGTCGTCACTCAGCGCCCTTCCTTCTGATACATGTTGACAACCTACGCGAGGATGCAAGGAGCACTTTTGCAGAGATTTGCTGCATATCACCCTGCCAGGCCAGATGATGACACCATCGAATTTTTACGGATCGTTCACAAATATCGCCCGTGGACGGGCAGGCAAATCTGGTTGAAGATATCATAGGTTGCGAGACAGACAATGAACTGAAGACCTTAGCAGACAGTATTGACACTGGTCTACTGCGGCCACTGAAGGCAACTGCAGGCAAAACCCCAGTGATTGTACAGTCTCCCGCATTGGAGTTGAGGACTCCATTGACAATTTGGATGCAATGATAACAGATCCGATCAAACGTGGACAGAAAGTTTTGCGGTATCAGTGTCTTTCTCGAGATGGTCGGAAATGTGTCATTTCTGGCATTTACGATAGTGAGAGTGCGCAAGTTCCTGCTGAAGCGCATTGTGCCGAGCTCGAAGCAGCCCATATCATCACATTCTGCCTTGGTTCCTGGAAAAGTGATAGCGAACAGCGAGAAAAGGCAGCCATTTGGGTCAACCTCTATCGGTATTTCCCTGGCATTCGGGGCTGTCTGAGTTTCTTTATGGAAAACCTGAATGACACATTGAATGTAATGATGCTTGAGGCATCTTTGCACAAGCAGTTTGGCACGTTTCAGCTTGCTCTAGAAAGTACAAATATGGAGAACAGATATCACATTAAGCTGTTTACTCACTTCCCAGGTACATACGCCTATTTTCTCCCATCTGACAGGACTGTCATCTCCTCCCATGATAGCCGATTCCAGCTACCGAATTCAGATCTGTTGTCCTTGCATGCCAGTGGTCGTGCAGAAATAATTGACAAGATCTTAGATTATTATGAGGCAACTAGGGGGACTCGCCGGGAGGACTGATATTGCAAGTCTGCTTTCTGTAAGTCGGCTGACATTGCTGGCGCCGCCTCTTACTGCCAGTGAGAACACCTCACGCCAAGCAATTAAACGACAGTCAGAAGGAAGGCATGCATCACTCTCTCGCAGCAGATCCAGAAGTCCAAAGAAAGAGAATGGCTCACAATGGAACTCTACTCGCCAAAGAAATGGCAGCCCGCATCATCCTCTCATAGTCGAGACAAGAGTCCCAGCAAGAAAACATGGCATAAACCAGTCCTTAAAGACATTGGCAGGAGCTGCGGATAATGTCTTTCTTTTCTTTTTCTCTCTCTCTCTCTCTCTCTTTTGTTGTTGTTCTTCATTTTATGACATCATGTAACATGTATTCTAGTCCTGATTGAACTTCTACTTGCTGAAATGGCATTCTAGATAGATAAGAGTTCAAGGTTCAAGCCCTTGCACATGCCGTGAAAAGTTTGTCTAGAATTACAGTCTAACACCGTCTTACTGTTTGTGCATGACAGAAGTCTACTCTAAGACTTATGATCCCACTCACAGCCATCATCTTGAGCACGGTCTATGATCTCCTAGATAAGGTCTGGCCACTAATTCAGGTTGTTCTAGATGGTATGTTGAGGGAGATGCCTGTAGGAAGTAGCCAAGAAGAGAGCACTGAGACAGAATGGGAAAGCCTTGGATGCATATATACATAAAGCCGTGTTACCGAGTCTTCTATTTCCTCTCCTTTTTCACCAAATAGCCCGAGAGATACGGCAAAACGGTCTTCCCAAACCACCTATCCAACTCAACAGTCTCCCAACCTCCATCTCTGTCAGCGACACTCCGCAGTATAGACTCCGTATCCTGCGTTAAACGACAACTCCCCATCACCCACCTCCACCCCAGAAACTCATAGAAACTCTGCGCGAACCTTGCAATAAGGGACCCCTTAGCGGTCGTCCACAGATTAACCACATGCTCGGTGACGAGCAATTTCCCACCAGGCTTGAGCAGGGAGTAGAGATCCCCAACGACCTTCTCCGGGTTCGGCACGGAGCACAGAACGCGCACGCAAATAATCGTATCAAATACACCTCCCGTTTCCTCGGGCGTATTGCTATTATCTGACACGAGACCCTCCTCCTTCAGCGCGGGAAGAAGCTCGGACGCCTCAGCGCTACAGGGGAGAATGTGGTATTTGTTCTCCAGGCCGTATTGACGGATCTTCGCTGAGAGTTCGGGGTGGAGGCTCTTACAGGGCTCTGGGCCGTAGATGGCTTTGATTTCCGGGGAACAGAGGAGAGGGATCTGGGAACCTGTTCCCGGGCCGATGTCAAGGACTATGCCCGCTGCTTTGGCTAGGATGGATGGAATCAAGTCTGAGGATTGATTAGGGCGCCTGGGGACAGATGCCGCCGCTACTGCTGCTTTGTCTGGGGACTCTGACTCTGTGGAGGGTTGCATTACTGTAAACGGGGAGTTAGGTTGTTACATTGTTTCATTATACGACTGGCTCATGTAGAGGAAGGACACTTACAAGTAAACTCGGTCCAAAACCTCCCAAACGCATCATCCCGAACCCTTGATGACTGCAGAATCGGGGCAAGGATTTGACCCCGCTTGAAGACAGTTTCGTAGCATGTAACCACATAATCTATGTACGAGTATATTATATGAGTCATTTTCGGATCCCATCCCGGGAATTCGAATAATTGTTTGGGCAAGACGCATCATTCATGATATTGTGGCAAGCAATTCAAGCCATACATAGCAGTGAAAGAAAGATGGAGAGTACTATGACCAGAGACAAACAAAGCAGCAACTCACGTTTCATAGCGAAAGCAAGAATATGTCCTGGCTCAAAAAGTGCCTGGATCTGTCTTGACAAGGTAAGTTGGTCCGAGGAAGCCATTGTGTCGCCTTTATGCTACTTCAATCCAGATAGTATCGAGGAAATGAAGATGAATGACTCTGTTCTTTCGAGAGATACGAGAATGACTAAACAAGAGATAATGGTGGGTCTGCCGCATTCGGGAAAGGACAATAATAATCCTTGTAGTCGCTTCCTTTTCTGACTCCAACTAGCTCGCTTTTTCTTTTCTAACAATTTACAGAGGTACAAAAGATCCCAGGGTGCAACGTCAACCTTCATATAATGCTTCTTGAGTTGAAGTTTTTCATTACACAGCCATTGCTGAGCTTTATAATTGAAATGTGACTTCTTGAACGGTGTCCGTGTCTTGTCCTTTCGAGGCAATTGCCTGTCATCCTCTGAAGGAATACACTTCATTTCCTTTTCTATGGGTAATTCTCACTTCGGAGGGTTTGCCACTTGAAGAAAATTTGATCTCCATCAGCTTTTTGCATGCGTCATTTTTCTCATAGGCAAGCTGATGGACATGGGTAATTTGAAAGTGGTTAATCTGGCACCATCGTCGAGCTACGTGGGCAGCTCATGGTGACACGTGACTAACCACTGCCCTCATGCAAGTGGTGGATCCAGAAGGGCATATGTCACTATACATGTCAAGATGCAGGGTCAGGAAACAGATTCAGAAGGGTGATTGGAAAGAATACACAGGCAGGCAGACAGGCTACGGTCAAGCTACGGTACAGGCAGATAGACAGGACGTAGCTCGAAGAGCTACAACAGGATCAAAACAGAAGTTGAAGATATCTTCTGTTGGCGGGGGTCAAACTCACTGAGTTGGTTGATCTAGCTAGGGAGGCCCGGAGTCGGGCAAACTATCTACACTTATGCTAACTAATATGGGCTAAGCCTAACTAGGAAGGAGCTGAACTATGAGGACCAACATCTTGTTGGATCACGTGGGATTCTGCCGCATAGGTCCGCCCTCGCTGACCCTTTTCACCACGTAGGCCTATCTAGCTAGTAACCAACCAACGATACACCTCCATTACATCTTCCTCGCGGGTCACGTGGACAGGCGGTCAGTACGGGCAGAACAGGCCACCGTACCTCAGTATAGTGGTCCAGCACCGTGACATCAACAGCTCCAATATCAAAGCCAGCAGTCATCAAGGCAAGGGCTTGGACCCGGAGCTCAATTGGACGATATCCTATAGTGTAGGCAGGTAGGTTTGTCTCGGACTTTCATTCTTCAGTAGAGGCCAAGATACAATGTACAAGAGAAATATACTCAGATAGCGAAGAAACAAACCAGGACTCGTTGGTCCAAACAACATTAATCAATCTCACTGTCATTACAGATCCAAAGAGCTCCTGTTTGAGATAAAGGACCAAAAGCGTGAAAAGAAATGGATGTGAAGTATAAGACAGTTTTGTGCAAATCGGATAGAATGTTTGTGTGAAACGGGGAAACAAATTAAGGCAGAAATGCGAAGCAGAAGCGGGCACAGGCGGAGTAAAGAGCCAGGCCTCGACTGCAGAGAATGGAACAAGAAGTCTGGATGAAACAAAAGAAATATAAGGGACAGACATTAGATTAGGGCAAGATAGGACCAAAACACCTGGCACCGAGGATGGAGTGGAGTCCAGTGATAAGGCCCATCGAGATTAATAAGTAGTAGTGGTTTTCTGGAAGAAATGGCAGTCGAGGTTGGTTTGGCCCCAAAGCCTCAACGGCGGTAGAAGAGAAAAAGAAGAAAAGAGCGAATGGGCAGATAACGGCGACTTTGAGCTCATCAATTTCGCAATGGATCGAGGGAGAGAAACCGTCCGGCAAAAGCTATGCAGTGGCCAACAAGAGCACAAAAGAAATTCGTACACAATAATTACTCGAGAGCAGCGCAATCCGGACCAATGGCCTAGAGTCCGTCAAAACAGGCGAGAATGCAAAATGAATTCAATATGGTTGATGTCGATTGATTTTCGGACTATAACGACTAGATCTCGACAACGAGCTGACGTCATGTTTGCCTATTTTATTGTTAGCCTGGGCCAATTAATAGATATTTGGCAGCACAGAACATACCGTCACAACAAGCGCGGACGTTTTCAAGGCGATCCTCATCTTCATCCTGCCTGTCAAAGGCGTGTCTTAGGTCTTCAACGCTACCAGGGTCACCGACGCTCTCTTCATAGAGGCTGCTATCGGCATGGCCACGACGCATCTTCCGGCTGGAAAATGACCCCCTGACACTTGAATTAAAGAATGAGCTGATGCGGGTGGCAGAACCTTGCCGGCCCTGGCCTGGAGTATAGAGCGCGGGACTCTGCGCTGATGCACTAAAGGCAGGGGAAGATCGGTCACCATAGGTCGCCGCGGGTCGTGTAGACATGACAGAGCTTGCACGCTGCTTGGGAACACTTCGGAGGCTACGGCTGTAGGAAGAGAATGACGATCTTCCTGGCTGCTGAGAATTGGCCAATCCTGCATTGAATTCATGCATCTCTTCTAGCGAGATATTTCCCTCATTTTCTTCACCATTCTCGCCATCAGCGTTTCGGAGTAGAAGATACGACAGTGCGTTAAACCAAGTCTCGTGCCTTTGGCTGGTTGACGCTGTGAATCTTACTCGCCGGCCAGGGCTGATGACTTCTAAGCTCTGGCAGTGAAGCCCTGGTGGATAAGGATTGTCATCGGCGACAACTCGGATGGCCTCAATATGGACGCTCTTAGTTCGAAGTTCAGACTTCCCAGCGGACTGTGGATCCTGTGCGCTCCAATACAATGTACGTGTGTAAGGGTGCACCCAGAAATACCGCCGGTGCCGAGTGCTGGACATCTCTCCCGAGACAGCTTTGCGTGTGTACTTCCATAGGAATTCTCCGATCATCGTCTGAGTAATTGCCTGGATCATACGAGGGTCTGTGCCGGCACCGTAACCGTAGGCAGTAGGCATTGGGTTGGTTTGAATGTTGAATCGTTCTTCTAGTTCGGAGGCGAAAGATGACACTGACGACCTATGCGAGAGCTGGCTATTGTGCCTTGCTTTGGCTCTTAAAGAAGACTGTCTGATAGAACCAGTCTGCGAAACATGATCGTTAGGTGTAAGCGGGCGCTGCGCCTTGAGCGCAGATGCAGGGATAAGAGGAGGACCCATGACGCCCGAGGAAGCCGAAGGTTGGTCAATTGTCCTCCTATCATCCATATCAGATAGTATTTGTCGGCCCGTAGCATAAGACGTCTGGCTAGAAGAACTGCCCGGTCGCACAGGGCCAGACCTGTTTGATGCCGTAGAAGAAGGTAGACCCTCAAGGTTGTGTCTCGCTTTAGGTGTCGAGAGAGAAGAACCAGCCATGCTCTTAACTCGGTCGTTGTCAGGGGAAGTCTGCGGATTATTGGAGACGCGATCCATGAGGATCGCGTCAATTTGCCTTGATGATAGGATCGTCTGAGCTCCTTGATCCGCCTGTCCATCCATCTTCCCAGGCCTCGAGCTCTGCCTAGCAGCACGGGGAAGGGCATTGCCGGAAACAGAGTCCAGCGGCAACCCGGCATCCCGAGCAACACTTATGACTGGCACATCCGAAGTATATCCATTCGGCACTGTGGTTGGTTTTCCTGTCTCTTTATCATAAGTCACAGAGGCAAGAGTCGCAGGGGATTTTCTGTGCTCGGATTTAACAGGTTGTGTTTCCACACTACTGATGTTGGATATTAAGAGTTCAGGTACCTTCACAGGCACCTCACGAATTGTAGGACCAGTTGGTTCAGTCCAGGCTGATTTGACTGGTGACACGTCCAATTCTGGAGTTTCGGATGTCTTCAAATCCCGCTCAACAGGAACCGCCTGCTCTGGCATCATAGCTAAGACAGGCTCAGTAAGTTCTGAGAAAATTGAAGACACCGCAAAGTCTGGAAGCTGGGGTTCAGGGAGTTTCGCCATTGCTGGCGGAACATCCTGGAAGGAAACGGATGAGAATCCCAGTTCTGGACGCTCAACTTCTGGTAATTTTGGTGTGATGGGTGCAGTGTTCTCAGAGCAAATCGATGAAACTGCCAATTCTGGATGCTCTGGTTCATGCATCTTTGCCATGACAGGCTCTGTGTGTTCAGAACAAACTGACGAGACCGCTAGCTCTCTGGGTTCAAGCTCAGGGAGCTTAGCAATAACGGGTTCTGTGTGTTCAGAGCAAACCGAAGAGATCGCTAACTTGGCTAGTTCAATCTCAGGAAGCCTGGGAACGACAGGTGTGGTATATTCGGACGAAACTGATGAGACAGCCAACTCTATTCGTTCAGGGAGCTTAGGAACAACAGGCTCAGTCTCCGAGAAGGAGGCCGACGGGGACACAGAGAGCTCAACATACTTAGGCTCCGCCACTTTTGTCGCGACAGGCTCGGTGTGCTGCTCTCCAAAGATAGATGTAACTGTCAGTGCAACAGGCTCAGGCGCCTTGGAAGCCAGAGGCGCAGCCTGCTCGGAGATTGACGAAACGGCAAGTTCAACCGGTATTGCGCGCTCAGTTGAATCAGCCTGTTCAGTATGGATAGCACGTTCGGAACCAGCAATAGTTCGGGTAGGAATGCCATCGTGCTCAGAGGAGACTGATGGAGTCGACACTTCGGAGGGAATTGTACGAGCGGACTCAGGAACATTCGGGGTTACGGGATCGGTATTCCCCGAGTTGATTGACGAGACAGCAAGGCCCACAGGGATTGCAGACTCGCGCAGCGGAAAAGTGGGATCGGCGGGTGCTGTGTCAGTTGAAGAAATTGCCGAGATAGCTAATTTCGCAGGAGCTGCATCCTGCGGCTGAGTTTGCTCCGAACCAACAGAAGAGACTGCCAGTTCCAAAGGCGCTGGGCAGGTTGGCTCGGTGTTTTGCGAGATCATTGACGAAAGTGTCAGTTCCACAGGAGATGCAAGCATGGGCTCAGTGTGTTCCGAGTTTATCGATGAAACGGACAATTCTAATGGAACTGTACTCTTAGGTTCAGTCTGCTCCGAGTTTATTGAAGAAACCGTCAGTTCTAATGGAACTGTACTCTTGGGCACGGTTTGTTCCGAGGTTATCGATGAGACCTCCAGTTCTAATGGAACTGTACTCTTAGGTACAGTTTGTTCCGAGGTTATCGATGAAACAACCAGTTCTAATGGAACCGTGCTCTTGGGTTCTGTATGCTCCGAGTAGACAGAAGATAGTTTGAATTCCATAGGAACGCTGTATTCAGGCTTGGTGTATTGTGATTCGATCATGGAAACTGCGAGCTCTACGGGAACCGCAGACTCTGGTTCAGTGTGATTGAGATTGACATGTGAAATGGCCAGTTCTGGAATATCCCGCTCTTGTAGCTTAGCTGTTACCGGTTCAGTATGCTGAGAATAGATTGAAGATAGAGTCCTTTCGGGGATGAGTTTTTCGGAAATCTCTTTTTCAAGAGGCTCAGGGGCGCCCATAGGAGCGTGGGTAATGTTCTGCTTAGACACCGTAGGCACCACTGGCACAGTCTCTTGCGAAGCAACAGATGAAATGACTGCTTGTGGTAACGGCGGGAAGGCCAAACCCTCCGTCTCCTCCGAATTTGGAGTAAGATCATCCAATGCCATTTGTGATGGCACGGACTGGGTTGACCACTCATCGGTGTTTGATCCAGCAGCCGACCTAAGTGCCGTGAACTGGGGAGCAGAGTTACCGAGTAGAGGATCGCGAAGCCAAAAGCCATTTCTGAGACCGAGAAACCACCCAGCCGTCTCAGGAACAGAATGAGGGCTGATCGTGTGGTCAGTCATGACACCTGTATCGACCATGACCGGCTTGGCACGCGAATCGAGGGTAGATTCTGACGGTCTCCGTAAATCGAACGAGCCAGATATGCGCGGCGTTGAGGACTGGGAGGCAGCATCGTCTCGTATGGGAGGGCCAAAGTCGCCTCCTTCACTTCCAGGACTGCCCAGTTCCGCGAGTTCTGCAAAGAGACTCTGGCCTTCGGAGGCCATCGGGTCTTGGTTAAAGCTTGTCGCCGTTGATTCCCGTGCACTGGATGGCCTGCTATGAGAAGCCATCGGTGCCTCCCCGGAGGGTCGAATGCGTTTCAGACCACCTCTCTTCACCCTGAGTCGGTAACGAGAGACCTGAGTTGGAGACAACGACGCCTCCCTGTCATCCTCATCCTCATCAGCCGAAGTAGAGGCGGTGCTTTGGATTGAATTTCGATCCCTGGCTTTGGCAAACAGCAAAGGCGACGGTAATCTTCGACGGGGTGTTCTGTTTACGGTAAATTCGGTCTCGGTCATCCTCTCAGTATCATCAGTATCACTACTGTCATCGGCCATGCTTTCGAGACCAGTTTGGAAGGCTTCACTTTCGGTAGCAACATCTGGCTCGTTAGCAGTCTCGAAGGCATCTTCCGTTGCGGTCTGATAGTCACTGGGATCATCAGGCGAATGCGTGCCTTTGCGGCCCTTCGGAGGCCTAGACATGGAAGGATGGGACGGACTTGAATCCTCCCAGTCGGTATCGTGCCATTCGACTTGAGTCTTCCCCCTTCTTCCTGCACCAAGAAGATCCGGCCGTGGTTGTTTCCTGGGTGGATCCGCTCTTGTCTTCTGGCGCTTATTGGACGTAGTCGCACCGACGGAATCGCGGCGACGCTGCTCTAGCTCATCCCGAGACTCTTGGAGGATGCGTTTCAGCTCGATCTTCTCTGCCTTTTCACGATGGATTGTGTTCTTGAGGTTCTGAATCATACGATGAGCATGACCGAGAGAGCTCCTCAACGTCTCTGTCTCCAGGTGGTTGTGTCGGGGAGTAGGCTTGGTAGGCGACGATGGCGGCGACTGTTCGGGCGTCGGCTGATCTTGAGCATCGGTTTCATCATCGTGCGAAACCGAGCGAGCCGCTTCAGCTTCGCGTTGTTGTCGAATTGTTGCCGCAACGGCCTTGGCAAGTTCCTGATTCTGTGAAGTAACCTCTTCCAGTTTACGTTGAAGTGCGAGCTTCTCTGCATCGCCGGCAGTGAGGTTCCTACGAAGAAGGTGGATTTCTGCATCATTTGCTTTCTGAGCGGCAGTATGGTCCTCCACCAGCTTGGTGTTCAGCTGTTTCAATTCCTCCAGTTCTCGCTCCACAGAACTCTTTTCGGCAGTAATGGAACTCAGGCTGCTGTTGAGTTTGGTTTCACGCTCGGCGGCTTCCTTCACGGCGGTCATGAGCTCATGCGTTTGCGTCTCCAGCGACCAGTTCTCATCCTTGTAGCGCTGCTCGCTCTCATCCAAAGCGCGAATCCGCTGGGCATACCCCTCTGCTTCTAGCTCAAGCCTTGACTTTTCCAAGTTCGCACCCTTGAGTGCCTCCTCCCGTTCGGCAAGAAGTGCCTGCAGCTGACGAACCTGTGCAAGCAAGGATGTAGAAATTTCGGTGGCGAATTCGATATCATGGACGCGATTTGACGGCTGGTTTCGCTGCTTTCGCGAAGGCACTGTTACCCTGCTGGGAGAGTTGGTGGCTTGGGTAGAGAGCATCACCGAGCCCAAGGGCGACTTGTACTCGCCCGAGGGAGTGCCAAAGTTACTTTCATCTGAAGCACCCACTAGTCGTTTCGGGGCAAGGAAAGCTCTCGCGGTTTCCCGGCCGATCTCATTGTATTCTCTCTCCAGATCGACGAGTTTACGACGCAAGTCTTCGCCGATCTCTCCGTCATCTTGCTGCTGGTCTACCTCCTTGAGCTTCTCCGAGAGCTCCTGCTGTTGCTGGACGAGAGCAGTCCCCAATCTGGATGCTTCCTCCAATCTACGCTCCGTCTCCGCCAGATGAGCCTCGAGGGCTCGCCTTGCCTGTGCAGGGGACGAAGCATTGAGGGAGAACAGCTGGCTGTCAAAAGAAGAGTACCGGTGTTGTTCGCGATGACCAGCCACGTCCGGCTGGGGGGAGATGAAAGGGTCGTCCATGGCGGGAGACAAGGGGCGGCTATCATCCTGTTGTCCATTCGCAGGCAAGCTCCCGGCACCAGTAGCCGACAGGTCGCCCAAGAAGGCCGCCATGATCAAAACGCGGAGCCACTAGCGGGGGGATTCTGATCCTCCGCTCTGAGGATACAGCCGCCGCTGGTCCCGCAGACTCGTCGTCTCGTTCCTCTCGTTCCTGTCCGTTTCGCGGTTCAAGCCACAGTCATTATATGAATTGTCGGTTCGTGCAAGCGACCAAATCTCGCAGCCAGGCCCTTCTCGGTTAATGCGCGAGCCCACAAGCGACAAAGGTCAGTCCACACGTGCTGGGCTCGAATTGGATGTGATGGAAAGATAATGCGCTATGCCGGAAAGACGTCTTAAATTGCAGGCTGGAAGGATCCTTGGTGACGGAAAACAGCGGGAAGGAAATCAAATCCGCGACTGACCTGAGGGGGTGTGGATTGGCGCACTCTGCAGGGTTGAGTCGATGGAAGCGGGAAGCCGCTTAGGCCAAGTGCACGACACAAAACGCGTCGTGGCCTCAACTTGCGTTGTGCGCTGGAGACGGTCAGCACCCAACAAGAACAAAGAGAACCTCGACGTAACAGGGACTCGGAACGGATGGATTCGGCGCGAAACGAAAGACGGAGACAGGTCAGAGGAAGGAACAGAGATAACCGTAGAGAAGCGGGTGGGGGAGGGGAAAACGGGGATGTACGGAGTGTCTACACCATACAAGGGAGTAGTAAGGAACAAATGAAAGGAAAGACGAAGGTAGGGAAGAACAACAAAGGAAACAACGGCGCAAAGGATGAAAGCGACGATGAGTTGGACAAAGCAACAAGGCGACCGAAGTGATCCGGCTCGACGGACGGGAAGAAGGGGAGAGAGAGCGCGAGATGGAGATGCCTCACCTCAGGAGGCACGTGTTGTTATTGTTGTTTATTATACACTATCGAGGTTACAGCCAGCACAGTGTTGTTTATTGGCATTAATTATTGACTGCTAGAGTGTTAACTGTTGACAGATCAGCATGACAGCTCATCGTCCACAAATCTTGGATTCTCCTTTACTTCCTACTGGCCCATATTCCTTGGAATCGGAAGCCAGTGCGAGCCGTGGATGGGAGTGTTATTTAGGTACTCTTAATATTTGGGAGAGAATTGTATTAATCTGTTTGCCCTGTTTGTTTGTTTGTCGTGTATGCAGGTGGCGAGTCACCTGACACGCCACGAGGACTTATTACTCTAACGGTAATAACAGATAGAACAGATAAAACACATAACAACAAACAGAACACCATGGCAGGAGAGACAGATACGGCTGAACCCGTCCCCCAATTCTCATTTAAAAAGCGCTCTGCAAAGACAAAGGCCAATTTTCGGAAGAAGCCAGATACACCGCCACCCGCATCCGACTCTGATTCCGGCTTTACCTCGTCCGATGATGAAGAGGGCCGCAGGATCAAGAGACGGCGGGGGAATGCAGCAGTGACCGCATCATCGAAATCCAATGCGGCTCGAAAGAATAACACTGTTGAAGATCAACCGGCCAGCGCGGCCCCCATGCCGTTGCCCTCGACCAACGATGCGACCAAACAGTCGAACTGGTACGATGAAGACTTGAACGAGAAGAATCTCCTGGGCACCACGAGAGCGCGGCCTCCGTCGGCTCCAGACGGTACCTACAAGGGCGCGGCGAACTACCAGTCCTTCATTCAGAAGAATCCCAATGCTCCGACGAAGCAGTTTGGTCCCATGAAGGCTCCCACCAACGTCCGCACGATCACCACGATGGATTTCGCTCCGGACGTCTGCAAGGACTACAAACTAACTGGTTTCTGTGGCTTTGGCGATTCCTGCAAGTTTCTCCATTCTCGCGAAATGTATCAGCAGGGTTGGGAGCTGGATCGCGATTGGGAGATCAACACCAAGGGGAAACAGCTAAATGGGCGGATCGTCTCCCAGCGGAAAGGGGCCCATGCGACGGCTGAGGATGAAGACGAAGATGAGGAAGACGAACTACTTGAGAATATCCCGTTTGCTTGCATTATCTGCAAGAAGCCCTACCAGAGCCCCATCGTTACGAAATGCGGGCATTACTTCTGCGAGTCCTGTGCTCTACAGCGATACCGAAAAACCCCGTCGTGTGCGGCATGCGGGGCTGGCACGGGGGGAGTGTTCAACGTGGCCAAGCGGCTGAATCACCTGCTGGACAAGAAGAGAGAGCGGGCTCGAAAACGGCGGGAGAAGGCGATTGCAGAGGGCGAGGAAGTCAGTAGCGACGACGACGAGGAGGAAGAGGCAGGCGATGAGAGTGGCAGTGACTAATTAATTAATGCGTTGTGGCCAAGCATATGACTAACGGGAATGTTGTAATGTAACAGGGTCCTTGCTGCAGCAGGACTGCAAGAGAAATAGGAATCAGGACCCCACAAAGTTAATATGTATCATCTCCGGCTCACTGCCTTGTAGCGCGGCGACACCCGTCAAGTGTACAAGCCCCAGCGCAGCCGATCTGCGAGCGCTTCTTCGTTCTTACGCGTCGCCGTGGCCGACTCGAAGGCAGCAATATTATTATAAGGTGCAGGGTGGAGGGATCATCGCTGTGCGCCGCATCCTAAGGCGTCCATCTGTCAATCATCGCAGCGGCGCAGCCCCTGACTCCTTCTAATAATACTTCTGCCAGTGGATACGTCCCGGGCCACAAAAAAAGCCACACCAATCCAATGATGGTGGAACCCCAAATGCCCCGGCTCAACAACGGGCTGATACATGGCCAAGCTTTGCCTCCAATGCTTGATTATTTCGAAGCCATCCCCCAATACTAAGTCCCTCCCCCCCAAACGAGCACGATGCAAGCCAATGCGGTTCGTACCAACGTATGACGCCAGTAAGTGCTTGACGGTTAGGCCGTCAGCCTCGTTGATAGTCGTGTCTAGTGTAGAGGATGGGCGGTCCTCTGTAACCAGGGTGTCTCGTCAGATTGAGGCTCGCTCTTTTTCTTTTTTCGTTTTCTTCGTTTTTTCTCTTTCGCTTCCATGCTTTCATTTGCTTCTGCTGATTGCCTGTTGTACTTGTTGTTCTCCTTGTCTTCCTTCCATGTTTCCCTGGTAGCCGTCTCTGGTGTCCTGCGTGGCTTCTGCAGTCTAATTCCCTCACTCTCCTTCCCCCTCATTCCCTTTTATTGTCTTGCTCGAAGCTGCGCTTCATCTGTCCACTACTGTCTCGTGGCCCCCAGCAATCGCCCCTGTTCATCTCCCTGCGCCGTGTGCGGGAATAATAATCCCTCGTGGAACAGTCACTGCTACTTTATTACTCCCGCAACCTGTCCCGAAGCCCTAAACAACCATGAAGGGCGCGGTCAGGCTTGCCACCTGTGCCTCCATCATCACCCTCATTTACCTTCTCTACCTTCTAAAAAACCACCTCCAGGGCCTCTGTGACCAGTACAGCGCGGGCGCGTACTTAGTTGCTTGGATGGCCAACCATGGAGCACACCATCACTCTCCCCACAGAGGCGCGGTCGGCGACAAGGTGATCGTCATGGCAAGACTGGAGGAGGATGACACGAATTGGGTGCAAGAAGAGCTTCCAGAGTACGTAAATTCCGCATTCCCTTCTCTCCTTTCTGCCAGTTCGTACGAGATATATATACTCATCGCGTCGGTTGTTTCTTCAGTTGGCAACGCGCTATCTACACCGTCAACCCATCCAATGCCACCGTCGAGGACTCCCACGCGCTCATCACTCCCATCAACAAGGGCCACGAGTCCATGGCCTACCTGACCTACATCATCGACAACTACCACCGCCTCCCATCCACCATCGCCTTCCTCCACTCGCACCGCTCAGGCTTCCTGGCGGCCTGGCACGTTGACGCAATGCTACACGACAACGTCGCCGCCATGCGCGCTCTGCAGCTCCCCTTCGTCCAGGAGAATGGCTACGTCAACCTCCGCTGCAATTGGAACCCCGGATGCATGGAGAGTCATCGGGTAAACAGACACGTCACGGAAGATGTGTGGAGGGAGATCTTCGAGGGCACCAGCACTCCCCCGCCGAATATGACTACAACAGACGGTCAACAACCACCGTATACGAACATGGAGGGTCAGAATCTCATGCAGATTCCCCGTCGTGTCGGTGCCGCGTGTTGCGCCCAGTTCGCCGTGTCGCGCGACCAGGTGCTCAAGCGTCCGCGACAGGATTATGTCCAGTTTCGAGATTGGGTCACGTATACCCAACTGAACAGTGCCTCTAGTGGCCGGGTTATGGAGTTTCTGTGGCATATTATCTTTGGGAAGGGTGCTGTGTAGTAAGTACTCTCCTTTTTCCAGATATATATCATGCGGTTGGCTTACATGTTTCTCTCTTCAGTTGTCCCGACGAGGAGCTCTGCTATTGTCAAGTTTATGGCCGGTGTTGAATTTCTCCTTCTTACTTTCTTTCGATTGTTACTTTTACTCTGTACTATTCCCCTTTAATTCAATCATACAACCCCCCAGAAGCCTTAGATGGCTCTTATGATGTACATATTAGATATCACTAGCATAGGTTATCCAGCAGATCCCCCTTGGATAAAAGATATGATCGTCAAATCAAATCCACTAATAATAATAATTATTTTATCCCAAATCAACTCCTGAACTCCACAAACCTGGCACGTCCCAAGTCGCGTTCGCAGACCATAACTCATAATCAAGCCCCAACAAATGCAAGACAGTCAAGATCATATAGAACATGGAGAGGAATATACAGCCTATTTCTTCTCCAACATCTCCTCTACCCGTTCTACGAGATCGGCCTTCCTTCCCGCTGCTGACCGGCCGTGCGCTGTAAGGAATTCTTTCAGGATGGGCAATGTAAGCTGTAGAAATAGAACGAAAAACATCAGCTGTGAGAGGATAAAATGGGAACGTTAGATCAATTACCTTCGAGACAGTTCCCTTTTCGAAATTCCGGCGTACTTCATCCTCGACACTGTTCGGTTCGTCATCTGCCTTGATTTTCTTCGTGGCATGGCTGCGACCACCGCCTTCGTCTTCTGTGCGGCGGTCTTTGGCGCCTCGTTTGGCTAGTGTCGAGGTCTTCAGGACCGCTCCGGCTATTTTCTCGTATTGGGAGTCGAGTTCCTCCGCCCAGGATAGGACGTATTCGCCAGCTCGCTGTCAAAGAGTTTAGCGCCTCTGTTAAGCGTGGTCGGGACGTAAAGGCAAAAGAGAAAGAGAGAGACTGACCTTGTCAATTTGTCTGTATTTTGGTACTGTTTTATCTTCGGGCTTCTCGGGAAGGTCTTCATCTAACGCCAGTGCCTGGAGGATACGATAATGCCATTGAAGTGCTGTCAACCGAGTGAGTTTACGCCGAATGAACCGGTGGAAAGCGGCCAAAACCAGAAACTTACATGGATTCGGGTATTTCAGAGGGTCGTATTGGGCCTTTGGAAGCTGCAGTTGCTGGATAACAACTCGCATGCGGTCAATAAGCGGTTCCGGGGCCACATTGAGAGTCGTTTCGGGATTTTGGCGAACATCATCCGCAAATGGAAGGGGTATGATCCACATTCCCTGTGGGATCTTCTGAACGCCATTTTCATCCACATGTTCTGTCCCTGCTATCATCGCGCCAATGATAGGCGCTGCATTCTTCCGAGGAACAAACCAGACGAGGGCGATCTTCTCATCCTTCAATAGCTTCTGGTACAACGCCGAGAAGACCCTCGTTGAACCCACGCAGTCTGTTTCCGAGGGGTAAATGAAAGTTGGATGCTTGACGTTAGCCCAGAAAGGCAGGGCGGAAAGAGGCTTAAATCCGATAATACGGATCACCGGGTTCTCAAACTTCCTTAGTGCCTGCTGCTCTTCAGTTGTAAATGACACCTGCTCTCCACCGAATTTGTAAGCCTTGCGGATCTCCCATTTCTCCACAGTGCGGGCAGTATCATCTGCAACCAGCGTGGTGACCCCTTTCGCGATCTGAGGTTTTTCACCGCCAAGCCAGATATAGCAGCTCCTGGCGGGTTCTTGACGTTTGAATAGCAGAAATCCCGTGACAGAAATCTTGAAGCCTGGCCCGATTTCCAGCGGCACGTTTGAGAACAGTGCACGACGTGGAATCGACCGGGAGTTGACATTGGATAGAAGGGAATTAAGCAGCGAGATACCATCTCCAGCACTTGGTCGTGTCTTGGCTTCGAGTTGCAGATATGCAGGAGCATCCGCGTCAATCGGAGAGGCTTTGTAAATAATATCCTATGTAGCATGAGCACGTATACAAGCCTGACAAGAAGAGGTCTAACCTCTTACGTTATAGAACTTGGAAGCATCAAACTCGTGGTCTGGTCGAGAAATGGGAAATAGCTCAATAATTACTCCTAGGTCGTAGAGATCCTTGGCGCGAACAGTTGCAGCTGCTCGCAAAGCCTTGTCATCGCTATAGGGGTCGTCATTGTCCGTCACTATGAACAGCCGTCTAGATAAGAAGTTCGGTGCTTTGGAAGAGAATATCTGGTTGGCACAGAAGAGGACATTTGCCATAGAAACGTGCTCTTCCGATGCAGCTAGGATATCTCTAGCTTCTTCTTCGCCTTCCGCGAGTGATCTCAAGTTCTTGACGTCCTGCGCCGACGGAACGTCGAGATCGGTGACGAGGTAGCAGTGCGGATATGATAGGTTGCCACGGGTGTTTTCATCTTCATCATAGAACTTGGATGCTTGCGTGCCGTACAGCAGCACACCTATCATGTCATGAGGGTTGGATATGATTCGCTGCTGCATAAGGTGATATGCACACTTCAGAGCTGCGGTAGTCGGCGATTCGACAATGGTCTTCTTTGGATCCGACGACGGTCGAAGAGCTAGCATAGAGTCACTGACTTCGATAGCGAAGAGGATGGCATCTTTGACAGATTTGTAGCTCTAATTTAAAAAAAGCATGTATCAGCATGATTATTTCCACAGTCAGTCCTGCAAGTTTGCATACAGACTCATCGACTTCCTCTTCGTCCTCAAAGATGTCATCCTCTCGTTGTTGGTTATCATCGGCCATTCTGAGTATATCACTGCGTAGAATAAAGGCCAGCAAGCCATGAAGAACCGAAGAATAGAAATAGATTAGACAAAGAAAAAGGCTCTTAATGACTGCTACTGCTGCCTGGCCTCTCTTCCGTACGCGGCGACGCGCCTTGACAGCGCCAAGCATACGCGGGGAACACGTACGTCATGTGATCCGGGCCTCGGCCTTTTCGCTTTACTAAAAATCGCGATGTGATTATTCCATCGGCAGTCGTTGGAACTGTCATGCTATTGCCACCAGAGGAATCGGTCGGGTTATAAATAGTCCCGAGATACAGGCAGGTTTACTGTTTGCAATTGTTCCTGGAGGATTCTCTGGAAGTGTGAGGTGGTAAGAGTCGCAGAAAATGGTTTCTTCCCTTGTTCGCCGACGCATATTGAGCGGCATTCCATCTGGCATTACTCGAGATTGGAAACCACAGCAGATATCAAATTTCGCAACGGCAGTACCACCGGTGACTCAAGATGCGACCAGTTCAAAAGGCCCCACGGCGATGGTCTTCCTAAACATGGGAGGTCCATCGACGACAGATGAGGTTGGGGACTTCTTAAGCCGGTTATTTGTACGTCCTGCCATCATCGCAATGACAGTGTCCCCCATCCAACATTCTCATCAGCTCACTTCTTTCTTATCAAAAGGCCGATGGTGACTTGATACCGCTGGGGCGATTCCAATCACATATAGGACCTCTCATCTCCCGTCGAAGAACGCCCAAAATCCAAGCTCAATATGCAGCTATCGGAGGTGGCTCCCCCATTCGCAAGTGGTCAGAGTACCAATGCCAGAAGATGTGCGAGATATTGGATAAGCTTTCGCCCGAGACAGCACCGCATAAACCTTACGTCGCGTTCCGCTATGCGGCTCCTTTGACGGAAGAGACGTATGCGAAACTGCTGGAAGATGGCTTTGGGAATGGGAAGGGAGGGCGTGCTGTAGCATTCACACAATACCCACAATACTCCTGCTCCACAACAGGAAGCTCATTGAACGAGCTGTGGAAGTGGAGGCACCGCCTGGAGGGCAAACGCTCCGCCGGAAACCTGGATACCATTCAGTGGAGCGTCATTGATCGCTGGCCGACTCATCCCGGCCTGGTGGAAGCCTTTGCAAAGAACATCGAGGACCAACTCAAGACATATCCAGAAGAGAAGCGGAACAGTGTGGTACTACTATTTTCGGCACACAGTTTGCCCATGAGTGTTGTCAACAGGGGTGAGGCGAAGCAATTGGTCTCCGACGCCGTGCACTGCAATTATGCTGACAGGACTCCCAGGGGACCCTTATCCGGCTGAGGTTGCTGCGACTGTCCACGCAGTGATGCAGAGATTAAACTTCAGCAACCCATATCGGCTGTGCTGGCAGTCCCAGGTTGGTCCCTCTGCCTGGCTTGGAGCCCAGACCAGCGATACAGTGAACCACTATGTTCAGCGCGGGCAGACGGATCTACTCCTTGTGCCAATTGCTTTCACCAGCGATCACATTGAAACACTCTATGAACTCGACCAGGAAGTCCTACGGGAAGCCAACCATCCCGGCGTCAAGCGAGCCGAGAGCTTGAACGGCAGTCCCATCTTCATCCAGGCCCTTGCAGACATTGCCCTAGACCATCTCCGGAAGGAAGAAAAGTGCTCCCTCCAAATGACACTCCGCTGTCAAGGTTGCAAGAGCGAGAGGTGTTTGGCGCAGAAGAAATTCTTCGCGGGCGAACAAGGGGCTTCTCTTGTGGTATAACCGATTTATGTTTTGTTCCTTTCCTATTGGAACACTAAAAAAGAATATATACAAGCTAATCCATGTACTATTATTATGCCCAGGTTTGGCGTTTCTACTTTGATTCAGGTTTGTCGGAAAGTTGGAAAAGCCGGGCTGCTAGACAAAAGTTAAGCCATAAATCAAAAACAAGTCAGACACCTACCTACACGTAGACTGCTCTACCATTATTGTTCTGCTACTTCGACACTAATTAACACACATTTAATTAATATCAAGTCTTCGGCTGAATTCTTCTTATCGCCGAGTCCGACGCCCCCTTGCAGCCGCCAATAGCGACCGGGCGACAACACAGCCAGGCAGGATACCCAAGCTACTTCAGCAGGTTCACGACTTCGTCCACGTCGGCAGCTCTCCAATTGGGGCCTGTTGATAAGCTCTTCCGCTGGACTGACGAAAAACTCAAGGGGAAAGTCGCCGACGATGGTTCTTGTTGGGATTATTACCCAGTAGTTACGTCGATGGCCTGGTACCCCCGCCATTGTCTAAATACTTGTACGCCGTCTCTCGTGTCAATTATATTATTTCTCCGCTGTCCTCCTCGTTTCTCTCCCATTCCCTACTGCAGTGGACGCAGCACTGACTGTAGTCCCTCAGTTACGGGAGCTCCGACCCTTTATCAGCGTCGGGAGTTATTATTATCGTCATCATCGATCCGATCCACTCATTGACGTATTTCCCGTGATGGAGAACGAGGTACCCTTCGCAGCCGATGCGGAGATTGACGTACAGCTACATGCCACATCGATTACTCACAGCAGTACATCTTCCCTGACTCCTACGGAAGATGTCTCGAAGAACGCTGTTTCCGTGCGAGTCAACGAAGAAACGCCTCTACTGCCGCGAACCGAACGAGAAGATGATGACGTTCCGCAATGGTCAGATCCCAATGCGGCAGACAGCCGGAGCTGGTGGAGGAGACCAAGTGTGAGAATCATTTGTCGTTCTGGTTTGTGAATACTGACCTTTCTGTTCTTGATTCACAGGTCTGGTGGTTGCTCCCGTTTGTTTTCACCTTCTCACTAGGCATCGGTGGAATGGCAGTCCCCAAAATCAATTTGATCCTCAACCTCGTCTGCAGGGATTATCTTTCTGAGAAGGCCGCCCGGGACCCCAATTTCACATACCTGCCCATCATGTTCGGGGATGACAATGCTGAATGTCAGATCCCGGAAGTGCAGTCGCTCGTGGCACAGTTTCAGCTCTACTTGAATCTAGTGACGGGGATCTGTTCGGCGCTGGTGAGTCCGCGATTGGGCCATTTGTCAGATCGCTACGGCCGGACAAGAATCATTGCCCTCACAGCACTGGCATCAGTTCTTGGGGAGGCGGTCACTGTGTTCGTGGCAGCTAGGCCGGAACGAACGTCTGTGAACGTCCTGCTTATCGGTGCTCTTCTGGACGGCCTCGGCGGGTCCTTCACCACTGCCGTAGCATTGGTTCACTCGTATGCGTCCGATTGTGTTCCTCCAGAGAAGAGGAATGTCACATTCGGGTATTTCCATGGTGCACTGTTTACCGGAGTTGCAGCAGGCCCGTCCCTTGCGGCGTACATCATCAGGAGGACAGGAAGTGTCTTGATTGTTTTCTGCATTGCAATCGCTTTCCACAGCTCTTTTTTCCTCGTAACAATGGCGGTTGTCCCGGAGTCGCTGTCGGAGGAAAGACAGCGGATTGCCCGAGAGAAACATCGAGCGAAGCGGTTCAGCGAGGAAGGATCAACCAAATGGCTCTCGTTGAGCAATTTCAACCCGATGAACCTGATTACGCCTCTTTCTATCTTACTACCGCCGGTTGGGCGGCCCAGCGTTCTGTTCCCCAGTCGCCGTGGCGCCAGTCCCTCGTTACGAAGGAATCTCATTGTCCTAGCTGCTATAGATGCGGCTATGTTCGGAGTCGCTATGGGTACAGTCCAGGTTATTATCATATATGCTGAGTACATGTTTGGCTGGGGCAATGTTGAGTCGAGCATTTTTGTCTCGATCGTCAACGCTGTCCGGGTTCTCAATCTCTTCCTGATTCTCCCAACATGCACCCGCATCTTCCGTCGTCCACCAGCCGTGCAAAAGTCCATTCCCGGTTCAGACATGTTTGATATTATCGTCATCCGACTTGCCATTCTATTTGACATCGTCGGCTACATCGGCTATGCTTTGTCTAGGCACGGCTCCGCTATGGTGATCTCAGGAATGATTGCCGCATTTGGGGGCATGGGCTCGCCGACGCTACAGTCCAGCCTTACCAAGCATGTACCCCGCGATCGAACGGGCCAGATGCTCGGCGCCGTCGGTCTCCTGCATGCTCTTGCGCGGGTGATTGCCCCGGCAGTCTTCAGTCTCATCTACAGTTTTACTGTAGGGAAATTTACACAAGCAGTGTTTGTGTGTCTTGTGAGTGGGTTTTGCCTTGCCTTCCTCCTCAGCTTGTCGATCCGACCGAATGGTTAGTGCTCTCCCCATGTACCCATTCCGTCATATATGCATAACTGACGAGCGTGACAGCCGGCCTTGACGAGACCATGGATGACCTAGAGGATGAAGAGCATACTCATCTGCATCCTAGCATGTGATATTCACAACGTCTTCTGCTACTATATCCTAGTATAATGTTAGTATTGGAATGCGACCGCTGGATCCGTGTCGCATGTCTTATATCAGTCATATATGGTTTTATTTCAGATTAGGAATGACTTCTGGGTGTCTTGGGGGAGGATTATGGATAGACATGTCTGTTCTTGGTTTACTTTAGAGCTAGAATTTGGATTGACAACATAGGGCAACTGAATGGGTGACTCCTTTTGAGCATGAAGCTGTAGAAAGCTCGGAAGAAGCAGCTCCGGCGGGCGGCAGCGACCAGCAGCACACCGGCGTCTCCCCATGCAGACTTCGCGGAGGCCGAAGCCCGTTTCTCTTCTTCCCTGCAATTGTCCCAGACTTCCTTTACCCGCTACTTACTCGTTCGATTTTCTTTTCTTTAGTTTTAGCTGTTGTTTCCCTCCCAGACTCGTTCAATTGAATTCTTGTGGTGCCTTTCCCCTCCATTATGAAGCGAAACCCATGAGAGAGAACAGGTGCTTGCTATGTTTTCCGGATCGCCCAATGGCGCCTCAGTCATCCCATCGCGCCATGGCCTTCGAGTCCTTAGAAGCCTGGCTCTGACGGGAAATTCAAATTCAACAGTGGGGAGGTGTTACTGCACAAGCGCGGCTCTCACATACGCCTACCATGTCCAGCGCAGATGTCTTCCTAGACGAGTCATTGAGACGAGCCGCCGAGCCTTCCACCCGTCCGCTCCCGTGCACGATGCGACGTCTGCAGCCCAGAATCTAGTCCAGGTGTTTCAGCCGGCGGACAAGGGGGATGTCTATTCTTCCGCAGCCTCCAGGAATGGGGACGCAAAGGTTGAAACCGCAGAACGAATCACCCGTTACCCAGATACCTTCAAGGCTATGATCTCCGAAGAGAAAAAGCTACAGGCTCTCCTTGATGATAATAAACCTATCGAGGCGGCGGAGCTGTTTTTGGCCCAGCACCCGTCTTCGCTACCACGACTAGCCACCGAGAAGCGGCACATCGCTGCGCAGATATTCTTGGTCAATTGCAGAGAGGAGAATGTATTCGTGGCTAAGAGCGTGTTTGATCGGTTGGATAGTGTGGACCAAGTTTCGCGGAGCATGTGGCGGATGTTGATCATTGCGCTGGCTAAGAAGGGCTGTATTGAATCTGTCGCTACGCTTTACCTACGATTCAAAGATCATTTTGACGTGCCGCCAGAGCTCCTGGAAATCATTATCCGAAGTCTCATTGAAACACGCAGATTGACCACAGCAAAATGGCTCCTTTACAGAAGTTTGCAGTACGACAGATGGTGCGGTCTAATTGGAGTCTTCCTAAGGGGTGTCTGGAAGAGGACTCGGAGTATGGAGCTCTTGGAGTCACAAAAGGAGAAGATACTATCGCTCTTACCACGTTTCGGGAAGAAGCCCACCGAGAAGCTGTTCAATCCCGTAATTGAAGCATACATTGAATTTGGCAAAGTTGCCGAAGTTTCAGCGGTGATGGAAGAGATGCAAACGCAGCACGGCCTTCGTATCAGCTGCCGTACAAGAGGTCTTCTGGCATACAGTCTAGCCCTTCGGTGTGACTGGGAGGGTGTCAAGCGTGAGCTGGATGACATGCATGCCCTCAAGCTGACTCGGGACAAGAAGAATTTTGCACGCGCTTTTGACCGTTTGCTCCTGGAGTATTGGGTGTCCCACACGGGCGCTGAAATCCATGCTTTCGTCATGGAAGCTGTCGATAAATATAGGCTGCGTCCGGATAAAGTTCTTTACAAACATATTCTCGAGGCATATATCGAGAAGGGCAATCGGGATATGGTGGATGAGATCAACAGAATTGCCCGCGAGCGTTCTTGGGGAGTAGAAGTCAGCGATGAAGAATTTCTGGACATGTTACGTGCCCGGCGGTTGGCAGTCGAGTTATCGCCTGTGGGCGCCTGGAAAATGCTCCGGGCCACGCGAATGGTATATGGCCAGGCTGCCACCTCGCGGCAGATCTTGGGTTACGACCAGACCTCTTTCCCCGTGGCCTCAGTCAACCAGATGCCAGTCACGGGGGAGGCCCTAGCTTGGTATCACAAGACGTTCCAGCAGCGATTACCATCGCGGCCGGTGGATCAGTTCCAAAACTTGGAATTGCAGATGGCATATTTCATGCACGTTGGCAAGCTATCAGTCGCATTGAAGAGCTTCTATGATGCAAAGAATGCGGGAAAGCACCTGAAGCAGCTGCATGTGGAGTTAGCGGTCGTTGCGACTTTGCTTTTGAACGGCCTTGATGCGGCCCGGGCGGTCATCGATGACCTCTGGCCAACTGTGCAGCACGAGGCTCAGTCTTTCCCCATTTTCTTCCATCAGATCAAGGGCGTGGGGCCGGAAGACGAACAGGAATTAATGAAGCTTGGGATTTTTCAGTTCTACAGCCTGTGTCGGCTGAATCCGCGGGTACAAATCAAGCACCATATAACCATCGCGACGAGTCGGCGGTTGATCCTGAACAACCAGCCGGCGCGGGCTCTGGATCTCCTAGTGTCTGTTTACAAATCCCGCTACGGCCGCATTGACAAGTTCAACGGCACATGCATGAAAATGTTCGTGCGTGCCTTTGCAGCGCAGAGGGACCTCCACGGAGTGCGGTGGTGCCTCATAACCAGTCTTGCGCGAGGCACGGCGCTGAATCGGGAGATGGTGGTGGAAGCGCGTCGAGTCATAATGCAACTGAAACTAGACTCGAAGGATCGTGGCAATGCAGAACTCATCAGGAAGCTAGCATACCTGGAGCACGTCGCAGACATGGTGGAGAAGAAGAGCCTGGGCGACAGGACCATTCCCAGCTTCAGGAGCGTCCCTGGGGTCAAACGGTATTTCCGCCGGACGGAGCTAAATTGGCACCGCACCGACAGCTACCAGTTCGATACGAAGAACCTGGGAAAGACCGTGAGGCAGTGGGACGAGGAGTACGAGCTGGCTATCGTCCTTGGCGAAATCCAACCGTCGTCGGAGTCGGTGAGCGCCATGTGGCCTGAGAGAAACGTACTCGAGGAGGAAGATCTGGCCTTCTTTGGGATTCCGGCTGCTGGGAGACGGGGGACGTATGATGTACAGCTGTAGGTAGGAGGGGATATCTATAACTACTTCTGTCTTGCTTGATGTCGCAACGGTATCGGGGGTATTTCCTGGAGATAATGGCGATATTTTACAATACTTTGACCCCGTCTGTCCTCTGCAAGACAGACGGTGAGTGTGTATATATATAGATATAACCAAATGCATGATGCCGCCTTTTTTGTAAGATGATTCTTGCCTGATGCTGGACGGTGAGCTCTGTTAGTGTCGGAACGCTTTCACATGTGTCTGCCGCTGCCTCACGCCACTTATCGCCTTTTTCTCTTGCTTTCTTCCCTAACCCTCGCCAGGCAGCGCTTTTCCCTCTGCCTCAATGCCTCTTCTGTCAACTTCCTGCGTTTCTCTTGTTAATATGCTCTAGAAATCCGCTTCGATCCTGTCCCGTTTTAACTGCTGTCCCTCGAAAACCCGCCCCTTTCCTCCCCCCGCGCCCCCTCCTTATCCTTCGTGCAAATGGCTACCACCAACGGCCACACCGCAATTTCCGCTGTCGATGCCGCCGCAGAAGAACGGCGTCGCCTTCATCATGAGTCCGACGTGCTAATTGTGGGCGCAGGCGTCCTTGGAAGCGCCCTGGCAGTCGCATTGGGCCGACAGGGGCGGAGCGTGCTGCTCCTCGAAAGCTCTCTGAAGGAGCCCGACCGCATCATCGGTGAGCTCCTCCAGCCTGGCGGAGTGCAGGCCTTGGAACAATTAGGTCTACGGGACTGTCTGGAGGGAATTGATGCCGTCCCCGTTCGCGGGTACCATGTCTCTTACCAGGGGGATACGGTGGACATTCCGTATCCCAAGGAGACGCCGTCGTCGCCAGCCCCCGAGGGTCGCGCCTTTCACCATGGCCGATTCATCATGAAACTGCGTGAAGCCGCTATGGCCTGTCCCAACGTGACGGTTGTCGAGGCCAAGGCGATGGAGCTGGTGACCTGCTCGTTCAACGATAATGTCCTGGGTGTCAAGACCGTGACCAAGGACGGCAAGACGGATTGCTACTTCGCCGATCTCACGGTTGTCGCGGACGGATACGCCTCGAAATTCCGCAAGGGACATCACGAGTACTCTCCCAAGGTGCGGTCGAAGTTCTTTGGTCTCGAACTCATCGACGCTGCCCTCCCTAAGCCCTTCCACGGACATATCCTGCTCAACAGCGAGACTCCGCCCGTCCTGCTGTACCAGATCGGCACCCATGAGACTAGGATCCTGGTCGATATCCCCGAGAACCTACCGTCGGCGACAGTCGAGAAGGGCGGCGTCAAGGGCCACCTTCGCAACGTCATCCTCCCGTCGCTGCCCAAGGGCGCGCAGGGTCCGTTCCTGCAGGCCCTCGAGAAGGGCCAGATGCGGTCCATGCCCAATTCCTTCTTACCGGCTTCCACGAACAAGACTCCCGGGCTGATCATGCTGGGTGATGCGCTCAACATGCGCCATCCTTTGACTGGTGGCGGCATGACGGTCGCGTTCAGCGACGTGGTGGTCATCCGCGACGTGCTTAGTCCCGAGAACGTTCCCAACCTGGCAGATACCAAGAAGGTGCTGAAGCAGATGGAGGTCTTCCACTGGAAAAGAAAGCACGGGTCATCCGTGATCAACATTCTCTCCATGGCTCTTTACAGTCTATTTGCTGCTGGTAGTACGTCTGCCCCCTCCCCTTCTCTTCATAAATCCCGGAAGAAAACAATGCTAACCACATACAGACCCCAATCTCAAAGTTCTCCAACGCGGCTGCTTCCGCTACTTCCAACTTGGCATCACCAAAGGCCCCGTTAGTCTCCTCGCAGGCATCATCAAGGAACCGCTCGTGCTCTTCTGGCACTTCTTCTCCGTCGCCTTTCTTTCCCTCTGGGTGCTCTTCCGCGAAAGTGCCCTGTACATGCTCCCTTTCTTTCCCTTCCAGAGTATCTCGGTATTCGTCACCGCTTGCGTGGTGATTTTCCCTTATATTTACATGGAGCTTTTAAAATGAAGTCAAGGAGAGGGTGTTATGGTTTGGAAAAAGGAAAGAAAAAAACGAAACATTAGAAAAGGTGATAGCAGGGGACCGTTATATTTTAATTTCCTTTTTGTTCTTTTTCTTTTGCTTTATTTATTTTAATACGGATTCAGGTATGAGTTTGGGATTCGTTCAAAGGTCTCTGCATGTATGTATATTATGTTGACATGTGATCATCAGTTTCAACTCCTTTCCACAAAGAGAAATACGTATATATACCTCTCTTAAAAGTACTCTGTAGAAAAAAGGACAAAGAAGTCAACTCTTAACATTATGAATAGAACTAGAACAGCAACCATTATGTACGGCGCTCTGTAGTCATGATTTGATTTGACCTAATCATGTAGTCCCAGCCCTAATAATCATGTCATGCCCACCTCCGAACACCAAACCAAACCGAGGTGACTCCGTTCTTTTGCATTGTGGTGAAAGTAATACTTGCTTAATCCTCAATCAAACCCAGTCCCCGGAGCTCCTTGAACCCGAAAGACAAGTGGATTAAGAAAGATAGGATAACCACAGCAAATATGTAGGAAAATATCGTTCTTCTGTCTGATTTCCCGGATATCTTGGTACCTGTCAAAAGACGAGACCCCAGATACGAATTAGAGTAGAAAGACACGAGGAATAATGATTCAAGGTATCTTGAGATAAACAAAACATGACAGTCTGCGAAAGATAAAACATGCACCCAACCAGGAACCATCGCTTCATGTGGTATCTAAGGTATTTGAGGAGTCATAAAAATGCAAATAAAGAAAGAAAGAAACAAAGACACGGTAGAAGATCAAATGTAAATCCAAATGCGGTATGGCAAGTTATGCATCATCCACCTTCGTTACCATGGTGATTATGGTCGTTTCGGTTTTCCTTCTCCTTGTTTTTGTCTGTGGTCACGGTCACAGTGGAAGCGGTTTCAGGAGGCGATGATTTCAAGATGGCGGAACTGAGGTCGATAGCGATTTTCTTGGGTCCTTTGCTACCGATTTGACTTGAAGATAGACCACCTTGCGCCGTGCCCTTGTCCGCGCCAGTCATGGATCCAATGGATAAGCTGCGCTTCGTTCGCAGAAAACCAGAACTAGCGGGGCCATCACTGCCCGAACTTCTTCGCTTTGTACCACTGGCAAGCTTGACCAATTCATCCTCCTCGTCCTCCTCGCGTCGACGCTTCTCTGACAATCGCTCGGGAGGAGTGCGTGGTACCTGCGAAATGATAGTGGTAGGAGCATCCGCCGTCTGATGAGGCTCAGATTTGGATGGCATTTGCTGTGGTAGCGCACCTGCCGGTACCTGTGTGTCCATTGTATCCTCTTCATCATCGTCAGGGTAATCGACTAGTGGTTTGACCATGGGAGAGGCGGCACCATTCTGCACTTGGGCAGCAACCGTAGTTTGCGGTTGGTCCTGGTGCCACTAGATCCGAGCATTAGCATCTTCCAAGGGTAGCAAAGGAAGGCTGATAAGGAGAACCTACCTCATCTTCATCGTCCGACGTATTGAAGTACTCCTCTTCCGCAGCCTCCATCTCCCTGATGGCCTGCCACCGTCGCCCGTTGGGTAGAGCTCTCTGAGACGCAGTCGACTCCTCCTTACTGAACAGCGTCGAGTCGGGCTCGGCTCCATACCCTTGCAGTTGCTCGTAACGGAGTATTAAGTTTGAAAATGTGTCGACGTATGTGATCCCCTGCAGCTTCTCGCGGTACTTCTCCACCACGTGAATAAGGAAGGGCTTGATATTTTCACGTTTAATGTATTCAAAGAATTCAAGACAGGCCGAATTTAGCAGATTATCCCGAGGCATTGTTTCGTAGACAATGTCCAAGATCCAACCGAACGCGTCGTTGTGGGTCAACAACGCTTGATAGAAGGTATCATTAATACTGGCCAAGTTGCGGAAAAATTTCAGGGCGACTGGGACAAAGTTTCAAGAATTAGCAATCTGGAGAGTAAGGAAAGGGACAGTTAACTCACTGAGTTTAAGATGCTTTTGCGGCACTCTGAGGAGCTGGGCGATTCTAGGGGCCAGCGATTCTTCATGTATGAGGTTTCGGGTCTTAATCTCTGGTTGACGCATGAAGAAGATCAGAATATCGATTAGATGCGAATACAGGGTAACATCTTGGAATGTCAAATTGTTCACTAATAGAAAGTGATTAGTAAAAATGCGAAGAAGAAGGAGGCCCAAACTCACTATCAGCACCAGGATCTAGTGTTTTCAATGGGGAAAACAGTCTGCGTGCAGATTCGTCGAAATGAGTCTGGACAAATGCATCAGGCAAAATATTAGTTGGACGGAGCTTTGTGAAACAATCGATGGTGCGACCCATGGAATCCTGCATGGGGACGTGGGGATCCATCAGAATCTTAATGGCATCGGCGAGCTGACTCTTGACACCAATGTCGGTCTCGGTGTGAAGGAGGTCAACCAGGATGTCCGTGAGGGGTGTTTTCTTCTCGTTGACAGCTTTAAGCATATAGCTGCGCATGGTGATGGGGTCGTGATCCAACAGAGAGACTAAGAGGTCAATTCCTGTGGTGCGCATGGCTGGGTTTGGGTGCTTAACGGCGAAGGCGATGACTGCAAAAAGGCCGTGATTGATGAAATTCCCGTAGAGACTGGCACGCGCTGGAGCCTGTAAGTTTTTGGCAATGGAAGTACATTGATGGAGAAACAACACGGCGTCATCTTTGCGTTTGGCATCCGTATTCCGGGGGTCAAAGACACCAAAAAGCTCCTTCAGGAATTGCACGTTGGATTGGATGTGGCTAACGATGTCGACCTGATTGAAGAAGATCAGGGAGTTGAGGACGGAGAAAGTTGGGTCATCTAGGATGCGGGCGAGGACGACGTCCTTCAGGTATTGAAGTCGCCAGGTGCTTCGGATCTTTCTGCGAATAAGTGGATCTTTAATGGGCACTACCTCCTTGTAACGCGAGCGGTCGGATAGATACTGTCGATGGTTGGCCTTGTGGGTAGGAAATTCGGGATCGTCTGCGACAAATGTTAGCCTGCGATCATGAAATTGGGAAGAACCTTGTTCATGTTCGGAGACAACGAAACTACGTACATTCAAGGGCGCCAACGACCCCAAGGATAATAGGATCGGTCACGACGGTCTCGATGATGGTATTATCGTTGAGGAGAATAAGAGTTTTCATGATGTTACAAAGGCGATGCAGGTCGGGCAAGCTCTCGAGGTCCTCAGCGACCTGGACCAAGGGGATCAATTTGGCAATGTATTCCTCACGAATAACAAACTTGGACAGGGCATCGCGACCGGTTTGTGTCATACTGGCAGCGCGGGTGATCTGCTCGATGTCGGAGAGGTTTCCCAGTTCTGGCGGTGGCGGCAACAGGATAGTCTGATAGGACTCTAGGTCATCGGACAGCACTTCATCGGCGGAAGATAAGCTGTGCAGGTGTCGCTGGACACTATGCACAAAATCCCTTTGTAGTCCTGTCAGTTCGAGGAGACCAATGAGGTGTGGGTCAAAGAGCAAAGACGCGAGAGGACTCACCAGATGACAGCGCAACCATCAGCCTCTTGAAAACTCAGGGCCATATCAGTGCCATTAGGCTCCGTCCACACAATCAGCGTCTCTTTAGGTTGGATCGCGCATCACGGTCAGTTCAGCTCTCTATGCATATGAAAAATAGAAGGAACCAGGACGGAACCTTGTTGTTTCTGATAGCCATCCTCCTTGGTGATTTTTGTTTCCAGGAGCACGCGATCAGGTTCATCCTCAGACTCGACAAAGATCCGCGGTTCATCCTACAAAGCAGAGACAACAAAACTGTTAGCAGGGATCAACGAGGAGAGAAATGGGATAAGACACGTCAAGCGCGAGGATGAGTACTTGCGACCGCAGGGCGCGCGCGCGTCAAGAGAGACAGAACGGGGAGAGAAAAACAAGAACAAAAACCAAAAACCAAAAAAAAAGAAGAGAAAGGCCCATACATTGAGGATCTGACCGGTACAGAAACCGGTGCCGCGGTCAAACCAGTCATTATCTCTGAGTTCATAGACCTTGACCCGTTTGCGATCGTTGGGGATGGGCACGGCCAGTGCCATGGTCCGGAAGGGGGCAGAGGTGGCGGTCACTCGATCGCTCGGGACAGCTCAGGACGAGTGTACCGGGCGCGAGACGAGCCGCAGAAAGGGAGAAGGCAGGCCAGAAGAAGGGGCGAAACAGTGGCCGAAGGCGAGAAACGCGACGCGCGAAACGGAGAGGATGGAAGAATGGATAGATCGCGGAGGGAAAGATGGAGATGGGGATGGAGGAGATGGAGGAGATGGAGATTGGCGATAATGGCAGCTCTGGGTGACCTCCTCGGCTGGGGCGGGCGGTTAGTCAGGCAGGATCAGTCGCATGAAGGAGTATTCAATATCGCCGTCCACGCCGTTGACCAGCCTGCAAGGCACGGATTCCTACGTATCCAGCAGAACCTTGAGGCCGCGGATTCCTTGATTCCATGCAGAAGGCCAGGGCCGATCACCGTTCACATATGCTTATTCTTAAACTACGGGAGTCGCAGCTAATCGACCCCTGTCTGGACTCGGGCACACAGACGGCGGGAGGAGGTGGCGCAGAACTTCGAGAAGATCTATATTACTCGTTATTATTATTCCGTTATTAATATTATTCCTGCTTAACCATTATTAGACACTTTCTGTTGAGACAGGAGAAGAAAATGCAACCCAATCGCGTGATGCTGCGAGCCCTGATTGGCGGTAGATATCTCCGGGGGCGGGGCTAACCCTAGAAAGGGCTATGCTGATTGGCCCTATGCCCTAGAGTGGGAGCCCGTGATGCCTGAGGCAATCGAATACAGTGTGATTCTCTCGTATTGACATAGTTGCATCCAGCAGAAGCCTTTTTCTTTTCTTTTTCTTCTCTTTTTCTTTTTCTTCTTCCTCTTTACCCCTCCTTCGCCAGATTCGAACGCCGGAAAGTGAGCGACTTCTGGGAGTTTTGCGCTCGCTTGGCTGGTAAAGCTCCCCTGGCGCAAAGGAAAAGTTTATAAAAAAAATTTAAAAAAAGAATAACCCCCGCCATTGCGATCTATCTACAACTGCAGATCTGGCTGGATCTGATCTGATCTGTCCAGAATTGATAGTCAGATCGTCGCTCGCCATGTCTGACATGAAAGATCCCATCACCATTCACACAGCATCCAAGGAACCAGATGCCGTTCAGTCATCTGTCCAGGATGCCCTGACGTCGCCCTCCGTACAGCCTGAGGCGGCCGGCCCAGATGCCTCGGGCGTGGAGCGCGCAGAGTCCACGCAGCGCGCGGGCAAAAAGAAGGGCTTTCTCTCTTATTTCATGACTAGGGATTTCTATATCGTGCTGGTTCTGGGGTGAGTTAGGGCAGTTGAAATTAGTTCAGGGGGAAAAACAAGACTAATGGCATGCAGTCAAGTCCTGGCGATCGCCAATACCGCAACAAGTACATTCACCTCTCTTCTGAGCATTCAGGGTAATTCCATTCCGGCCTTTCAGACATTCTTCAACTACGTGCTGTTGAATCTCGTCTTCACTCCGTACACCATCTACCGGTATGGCTTCAAGGGCTGGCTACGGGTGCTTCTCCACGACTGCTGGAAGTGTATGTCATATGAAAATTTCCCTATCTTTTGAAAAGAGGACAGAATACTGACAATAAATGCAGACTTCATCCTAGCCTTCTGCGACGTCGAAGGTAACTACTTCATCGTCCTCGCCTACCGCTACACCAACATGCTCAGCGCCCAACTCATCAACTTCTGGGCCATAGCCGTCGTGGTCATCTTGTCCTTCCTCTTCCTCCATGTGCGCTACCACATCACCCAGATCGTGGGCATTCTGATCGCCATCGGCGGAGTCGGCATCCTCATCGCCTCCGACCACATAACAGGCAACTCCGGCACCGCAACGGACCAACTCAAAGGCGACCTCTTCGCCCTGCTCGGCGCCACCTTCTACGGCGCCTGTAACACGGCCGAGGAGTTCTTCGTCAGCAAACGGCCCGTCTATGAGGTGCTGGGTATGATGTCCTTCTTCGGCATGCTCATCAACGGCACCCAGGCTGCCATCTTCGATCGTCACTCGTTCCGTGTCTCCGTCTGGAACGGTAAAGTCGGCGGCTACTTTACGGGCTATACGCTGTGTCTGTTCCTGTTTTACTGTCTTGCGCCATTGATGTTTCGGCTTTCGTCCGCTGCGTTCTTTAACATTTCCATGCTCACTATGAACTTCTGGGGTGTCTGTATCGGCGTCAAGGTGCTCCATGAACATATCCATTGGATGTATCCTATTGCTTTTGTTTGCATTATTCTTGGCCAGATTATCTACTTTGTTGGTCGCCAGGTGCTGGGTGAGGCTGTCAAGCCGTGGCTAGGGAGGAATCAGGAACGCGGTGTTGTTGGCTTGTTCACGGCCAAGAAGCGAATCGTTGATGACCCTGACGCTGTGGCGGCCGCTGGTGTTGTCGTCGAGGATAATACTCCGGTGGCAGAGACGGGCACCGTCACCGTGACGGGGACGGAGATGGATAGGGCTCGTGAAACCAATCGAAATACGAGTCCCGTCTGATAGGAATAATAGTATAATGCTGGATGCCAACTATATAATTTACCTTGCTATTAGACAGCAATATATAATCCACACCGCTTTTTTCATCTTTTGAATTCATTGCTTTACACCGTAGCCTGGCAATTTACAACCGCCGTCAGAACGTATTAGCTGGGGTCACTTGACGTAAAGAGAAACTTTGAACCGAACCAATACGAACACCAGCATATTGTATGGAGCGAGGCTTTGAGAAACAAAGTAACGAATGCAACAAGCCCACAGGATAAATAAGTAACAGAAACATGAGACTAAACGAACAACCATAAGAAACGATGGCCATGGAAATACCAACATCAATCAAATCAAGACTCCATAAACAAAACACTCTTCAATATGCCGGCTGCCCTGTATTCCATTTCCGTTGCCCATGCCCCAGAACAAAATCGATATCAATATCAAAAGAATAACAGAAAAAACAAAGACTAACACAATATGAACCTGGCCGTCCAATGTTTCCAATCCCTTTTGTTAGATTAAGCGGCCTCCCACGGCTCAAATGCGTATCCCACTCCGACTCTGAACACCCCAGACAACCGGGACAATAACCCGAGAGATACTCTGACAAAGAAAAATAATCGAATACCATATCAGGTGACCAAAAACGTGGAAAAGACATTCAAAAATACGAAGATGAAAACCAGCCCTCCGAAATGACAAAAAGACGGGTGGAGGATGCAAAAGACATAAAAGGGGAATACCGACTCCAAAATCCAACAGACCAGCCGAGTCTCCCTGAACAAACGTTGTAACAATTAGTTCTTCTTTGGGCATATGACCCACCCCGGACTGAGCTGTAGGCGGGTCTTACCTCACACGATATGTACCGAGCTCTGTCATGATGTTTGAGGGAAAAAGAAACAGGCCCATCTCCATAACGCCGCAAATAGACCAACATCTCAGAAGGAGAAAAGAAAAGAAGCAGCTGGCTACCTTTCTAGCCCCACACGGAAGCCTGGACACCCAAGCCGTTCTTCGATCCCCAGACACCACTGCCACTACCCCAGCTAAGTCCTACTGCACTCGCAGAGGAATCCATGGATGCACGACCACCTGCAGGGGCACTGCTTGGAGGGTTGGAGGCGGAAGAAGTGGGATTCTCATTTCCGGAAACAGAAGAGGCATCGCCAGGAGTGAATCCGAAGCTGAGTGGGGAAGTCAGAGGGGTAGTAGAACGCTTGCTCGCAGCCGAGTTTCCAATCTGCTGAGCAGGGCGAGTTCCGATAGGGCCCACGGAGCCAACGGGGTTAGTGGCTGACTTGGATGAAGTCTGGACCGAGGATGGAGAGTCGGCACGTCCAGGGGACGAAGTCGAGGCGACTGTCTGCTCGGCAGCGCTTTCCAAGTTGCCATAGACAGGGTTAGCGCCAGAGCCAGGCGAGGATGTGCTATTGGCACGGGATGGGGACTGAAGTGCCGCCGCCGCCGCCGCCGCCGCAGCAGCCTGAGTTGCATTATCCGGGTTTGCTGATCCAGCGGTCTGGCCAAGGCCAAATGGGTCAACACCACGTGGGGACGGTCCGCGAATGCCGCCGGTAGACGCAGTGACTGCAGGCTGGCCATCCGAGCGAGAGGCGTCATCACCGAGGTTGCCTGGGGGGAAGAAGGCGGGGCTGTCATTGCCGTACAGAGCCCGGTGCTGACGGGCGAGGAGGTCTCGACGGCTTTCCTCGCTCATGGCAGCAGGGCTGAGGGAGCGGTCGGATTTGTTTCCAGACATTTCGGCAAGCAGGCCTTGCAAAAAAAACCATGTTAAAAAAAGTAATGTACTATACAATGCAGACATGTACTTAAGATGCCAAAAGTGAAGGGGAATCTTAACAGGAAGTAAAAAAGACTCAGAAAATGCGGATGCTACCACGTACTTCGGTTGTACTGCTGTTCCTGATGATAGTTGCGGAGCTCCCTCTCACGCTGTGCCGCCATCCGACGCTTTGCCTGCATCATCTGTTCCACTTCACTTGGACGGTTCTGAAACCGTTGCGCGGCGTAGAAGCCCTGGAGGTTGGCCGTCGGTTGAGGTCGGGCACCATCAAACTCGCTGATAGAATGGTGGCGCTGGGGGATAGCTGCCATGAGGCGGTGATCTGCTGGTCATTGTTCAGAAAATATGGTCACCAGTCAAGGTAGTAGGTCCATACCGTATTCAGAGTAGGGACGGTTCATCATCAGGGGCATGGAGTCTCTCCGAGGAGCAGCCCACAGCTTCCCACTCTTGACCAGGTTGTCAACGGCGCGATCGACCTCTGCGCGCAATGAAGTTAATACCTATTTTCTCGACCGATGCTGTAGCTGAATACGAGGTGTGCCAGGAGGGAGTGATTGGATATCGACGCTGCCACCGATTATGAGCCGGCGACAGAACCCACAGCCATGGTGGCAGCCCGCAGCAGATCCAAAATGAAAATAAGCAAAAATGAAAACAGGTGTCCATACCATCGAACTGGGAAGCAAAGGCAGGTGGATCTTCGCGTTGAGAAACGGAGCTAGTCCCTAGGAGAGGCAAAAAAAGGCCGTGAGTGTGATGCACAAACACCCGAAAATTCTCGTCGACAACACGCGCAAAGCATACCTGATCGTGACGGAGGAACCGGCTGCTCCCACGACACCTGGCGTGGCGCAGGTGCCGGTGCCTGCCAACCTTGAGGCTCATAGTAAGACATGGTGGACAAAGTCGACAGAGACATCCAAGACAAAAGACAGTCTTGGAAAGGATCGTCCGATAATAATGACTCGAGGATACTAGCGTTTGGCAGCCTCGGAGGGAAAAGGGAAGGTAATCCGCTCGGGGAGGGGGTGATCAGGAAGTCAAGCCGAGGAGGAAAAAAAAAAACTAAAGCGGAACGACGCGGTGAGTTTCAGATCCAAGTTAAGACGAACAGCATATGACGGGCTCCAAAAAAAAGAACTATATGTATATATGGGGAAGACAGGTACATAGGAAGATGAAGCAAGGAAGGTTCAGGAGCCAGAAAGAAGAAGGCGGATGGCGACCAAGGATGACATCGAATGGGTGCGTGTCCTCAGGATCCCAATGGCTTGACCTCCGGTACCAAGTAACCTGCGTATCGGTACTTCTCACGGATGACAGGCCACGCACCACTAAGACATCATTGGGTAACAACAGGCAGGGTGCCTGGGGGAAGAGAGTGGATGGGGGAGATGAGAAAGAAAGAGAAATCGATCCCTGCAGGAAGTGTATAGAAGGACATGGGAGGGGTGAGGATGCGGCGGCGATGCTGGTATGGTGGTGGTGATGGGGGGACTTACGGGGAAAAAAGGAGTCGTGCCCTCTCCGACGAAAAGGATGAAGCAGAAGAGAAAGAAGGGTCTCTGCGGCGGCGCTACCACGAGCGAACGAGGCAGACACAGACGACCACGAGCAGACAATGGCTTGACAGGGACTTTGGGCCTCGAGGAGAGCTGCTCGTGATGGCGGGACAGGGAGGAGAGAAAGGGGGGAAGCGAAGAGAACAGCAGATGTTGTCTTTTTTTTTTTTTTCTCGCACTATCTTCCCGGCCCGCAGACAACCTTTTACATTTAATTATTTGCGTATTTAAGACACCTCTATCACCACGCCGTATTTATCTCCTCTCTTTCCTCTCTCTTTCATTCTTTTGCCCCTTTCTACGCTTCTCCGCATGCAGCATGGTAATTAACGCCAATTATTCCTTTCAACACCAGCATCGAGTCCAGACCAACGTCGCATCCAGACGAATCGTATCTCCATCCGACTGCGAAATGAAGCCGTAGGGGAAAAGTGGAGGAGTCCCCGTTTTAATAATAATACTAAAATAATAATATTAATAACAACAGAGGAATTCGGCCCCCATCGCTGCTGTACCGCCGTATCCTTGCGGTATCGATTTACCGGTGACCGGAGACTGTTCGCGGACAGCATACACTCTGTACAGTGGAATTATCCAATTTGGTCAACAGATGATTATTTATCATAGTAATTTCATGATTTATCAGTAATTGTCAATGTCCAGACTCTGACTACACCGGTCCTCGATAATGTAATGAGAATGTCTGTCAATGCGTGACAAGTGGACTGCGTATCTCCGCGTGTTCCGTAATTACGCCAGTAATGGTCACGTGAAGCACTGACTGTCGCTTAGTAATCACCGGCCCTAGCCTTCGCCAGTTGGCGCAGACCGTGGAATAAAATTCTAGAATACCTTTAATTTACAAGCACTTGATTAATATTAAAATTAAAATTAATATCAATATACAAGGAACACCCAATTCATCAGTCTTGGCTGTCAACGGTGTTGACATAGATAACAGTACCGCCTTTCCCATCATGCTAAATAGCAACGGGGAAACCAAGGGGGGATACAAAGTTGACCGGTTATACGGTACCTGGCAGCCTCACGTGTCGATATCTCCTGCCTTGATTTCCTGCGTCTTTCTAGGTCCACCCCCAATCTAGAAAGTTTGTGTCCTAGATAATAACAATTAGGGACAGGTACTCTGTACTTCGCACTGAAAGCTTATCCCAACCCTGGAAAGAAATCGCCCTGTCACGTCAAGGATCCCCGGGTCAGACGGGCTCGGTTGGCTCACGGAAGATAGAAATCAGAGATGCTTGCTACTCTAGAGTCTAGAGTCTATAGGTATTGATTGCTTTTAGGGTATGAGCTAAAATCAAATAATATATTCTTGCCCTATCACTCAACGTGACCTGCCAGCTGTATCATTTCCTAGTCGATAATAGTAGGACCCTCAAATGACTTTCTACCCATCACATACGACAAAAGAATGACAGTTGCAAGCAACCCAACAAGGACAATACTACTATAGCCCATAACATTGACATCAAGAGGCACTGTCGGAGACAAGCAAACGAAAACGCCCAAAACAACAATCCACAAGACAGAGAAAATATTGCAGAAATACCCAAACCGTCCAAGGTTGAGGTATCGAGGCGGTAGGGCTGTGCATCGTCTTCGGAAGATAAGAATAGCCTGTGGAACAACGTAGGTTATATTCAGGAAGAGCACTGAAGAGTTTACTATCGAGTTAAATGCGGTGGTGGACGCCAGATAGAGGAGGCCGCATAGGCAAACGAAGATGAATGTAGCAAGGGTTGCGCGGACCGGCAAATCGAGCTTGCTGTCTATCTTGGTGAAGAACTTTGCCGTCGGTGCTGTGTTCTGGTTATTTCTTTGTAAGTGAAATAAAACCAGCTGCGGTAATGATTTCTGCAAAGATGGAAGAGACTTACATCGCGTGCAAATGCCCATGCTATCCTGCCGGAAGTAATCCATTGTGATGGGAGAGATCCTGGATACATGTCGGCTATTATTAGGGCAACGGATGCTATGCCACAGACTTACCTATGTAGACAACCCATAACCAGACACCCAAGAACATGGTGGCACCTTTGTTTGGAGTCCTACCCAAAGCAATCAGAATATTACTTGATCCATTTTATGCTTTCCCTTGATACATACGCCTGATAGACCAGTTCCATGCTGGGAAGCTGAGAACTTGCCACAGCATGTAGGTCTGATATGCAAAACATCAACGCAAACAGTAAGGAAAAACTCGTTATAAAACTGATAATCATGGTCATGATCATGACTTGAGGGACACGCCGTCCAGGCTGGGCGATTTCTTCACTTATGAATTGCTAGCCTCCAAGTCAGTAGAGTAACGGTCAAATAGAGCCGCCAACCAGGCACTCTCTTACCTCCATCCGTCCCTCCAAAGGCATACATCGCATTTGTTATCCCAAGGACCCACGCTGTGCCATCTCCCCAACCGCTCGTTCCGAGGCCTGATTGGACAATAAACGACACAGACTGTCTATTCTTTGACATAGCGAGCGACACGACAAGAAAAAGGACGAAGCCTGAAAGGGAGATGTAGAGGACGGCCTGCGTGACCCAGCTGATCCTCCTGGGGACCGCGAAGAGTGGGATCACTAGCAGAATGATTTGTTATTGGCATGTTATAACCGATTTTACAAGAAAAGGGAGACGCTGTTACACCTACTAGTAAAGATAGATATACCAATATAGATTGTGTATATCTGCCATCCTGTAGCTGTATATTCTGGAATCCAGAAATTCACGATGCCTGAAAGTGAAACCGTGGCAAGGGAGATACCCGAGCACCTACAGATCAATTAACAAAAAGCATTTAGGATCAAGGCCATCGATATGAACATTGTGGTTATACCTACTTACAGGACTATCCACCAGGCTAAGATGGAAAGGCACCCAACCACAAATGCGGAAAATCGTTTATTCTTTCCAGGACTGAGGACATAACAAAAATGATACTGGCTACCGCTAGACTGTTCTCTTTTCTTAGCAAGACGGTGCACAAAATAGACTCAGCTCAACAGGAAGGCTGAGAGGCAATACTACTCACCGGAAAGGCCGATGCCAGTTCACCAAGGCCGGCGGTGATGATGAACTGAATAACAAAGGCCACCAGGAGGCCGAAGACAACGACTTGAGGACCGCCATACACCAGATTCTGACCGAAATTGCTCTTTGTCTGACACGAGCTTTCTTAGCATATATTCGCGGATAAGGAGGAAGAGACATTTTCTATTACCAGGCAGCCAACCCAGGAGTTGGTGATGGAGAAACCAAACCCAAGAGCCGAGATCCAATTGAACTGCCGGGAAATCTCGGTCCTGTGGCCGTTGGTTTGTAGATTGGCGTCGTTATGGTTAGCATAGTCAACTTCGCCGAAGCCAATGCTTGCTTCTCTTCCTAGGGCACGTTTCTCAGGATCATCTGTAGCCATAGTCATCTATAATTCCCCTCGATTGGACGCAATACCAGATACCAGATTGTTAATTCTGTTGGTTTTTAATGTTCTGATGAATGTTTGACTAGTTAACAATCTCGTATGTTGTGCAAATGGTGTACAATGGATACGCATGGACTATCAAGGTTTCCCCAGCTCATAAATGTCACAACTAGGATGGCATTAACGAAGGATCCTGGGCCATTATAAGTTGAGGAAAACCTGCGAAAAGTTCCATTTTCTGTCATACTATCAACATCTATCAGACTTGGACTAGGAACAAATGCCATTATCGCAACCATCGGATTGAAGGTCAATCATACCCTATCCAGGAAATAATCCCAACTTGCATAGGGATGAGTCTTTTGGGTTCTTAATATGCAATGGACATACCTTCATTCTCTTATTCCAGTTGAATATAAAGCATTGATTTCTCTTGGAAAATGAAGTAACTACGTATCTCCCTACCATAATACCAAACAACTTCTCCAGCATTTCCTTCGTAATGGATTCAGGATTGATGCCGAGCATCGCAGCGAACCCCACCGGTAGAACAGCCATTGTCACAGGATCTGCCAGGTTCATGAGTTCTATCTGTTGCAGAAGAGAGCGTGCTGGCATGAACCAGATGAATCGGTGCTGGCATTGCAATTAATCTTGCCTGAAGAGACGCAAACGTTATTTTAAACCATTTCAGCAACGGATCTGCTGGTGCAGCAATGAGGATTGTCGAAGAGATTGAAGGGGGCAAGTCCGGAGCCCGTGCAGTTACTGTACAGGCTGATATCACCTCAGTGGAATCGTGTGCAGTAAACCAGTCAAAGAAGCCTTAGCGACCAGTCCCGATCATCGAATCGACATTCTAGTCCATAATGAGGGTCATGGAGACGACCGGTATCTCGTAGATATCGACGAGGAATTTTATCGAGCTCAAATGGGCACCAATTTAAAGGGTAACTTATCTCTTCTCCCCTCTGTCACTTCATTATTGCACTGGTCTAAGTATACCCAGAGCCGGCTGCACGAGACTCCAGCCCCTATAGCTCTTACAAAATGTGCACTTCCGCATATGCCGCGTGGAGGACGGATCATCCTCCTCTCACCAGCAGCTGCTCGAATGGGCATTTCCCAGCAGACTAGGCAGCAAGCAAAGCTGGCATGGTATGGAAGCACTGGCTCGTGTTTGGGCGGCTGAGCTGGGTCAATCACACGGCATAACCGTTAACTGCGTTAACTGCGTCAATCCCGGGCCCATTATCACCGATCAGTATTTTTGCAAATTCTCAAGACTCCATCGATAGCCTCAAGCCCATGATCGATAGCACCCAGCTGAGGCATGAATAGGTCATGTAGAAGATGTGGTTCCCATAGTCAGGTAGGCTTTGAATTGATGGGGAACGTTCTTCTTCGGACAGCTAATTGATGATGGAACAGCTTCCTGTGTTCAGAAGAAAGCCGCTGGGTAACAGGCAGCACCGTGAGTGCGAACGGGGGATTGCTGTTCCACTGAGTCTTCGAAGTAAATAGCCGAGCACGGTGTTTCCACGCTGCGAAGCGCCGATGACATGTATTATCTCCTCCGTAGCTGTAGTTACTACTATACCACACATCATCCTCATCATTCCTGCCAGGGGTAGTGAGTACTGCTATAGTCTAATATCAATAGGAGATATCCTTTTCAGAGTAATACACTCCATTTCACCAACTTATCCCATACCACCATCTTGTAGCTCTCTGTTGCGTATTGAGGGAAGCAAAAACACCCGTCAACTGGAGCCCGACAGTAACTAAGATAGTCCTTAGAGGTAAAAAGAAAGGTTATAGTGAGGACTGTCTCACATTTAACTCCCAGTTTCAGATTTCTCAATCCCAAAGGCGGCCATCCTCCGCTACTATGTCCCCGGCCTTGACGGCAACCCAATTACATCCTGGATAGTCCTGATCTGACACATTTTCTAGACCCGGCATGCCACACTTGTAAGGAGGAATGCAGAAATGGACTGGGCATGACTTGTGTGTAACAGATGCATTTCGAAGGCCTTTGGTGCGGGGGTTATCCTCCTCGTTTTCAATTCCTGGAATGCACCACCGGCAGACCATCAAGCACAGTAAACAAGAATGGCCTACAACCGCCACAAATGGCTCATCGATGGAAAGGAGATGTGGGTCGAGATTGACAGAAACTAGGTCCGGATCCAGGTCTCTATTGCCGGAGACAACTATTGTCATGCACCGGGAAAAATTGCCGTCTTCTGCTGTAGGAGATTCGTTTCTACCGCTGACCCCAGGTTCGAATCCTCCAGCAGGTGGAGTGCCACTGGTTGACAATGTTCTTGCAAGTGACCGTGCCCAGAAGCTGGTAGCATGCTGTGGTCTATCTGTTTCCATGAGAACTGACACTCTACAGTCGACACAGTGATGATATACAACAGGTGACTCCTCGGGATGAATTGCATGCCGCCATTCCCCTGGTGGCCCTGGTGCCGGCCACAAAGAGTCCAAGAGCCGTCTCTCTATTCTTGTCACCTTCGTTATCCCATGCTGAATCTCGATGGAGTGGTTGGGCCATGCCACCCGGCCCAATGCGCATAGCCGCGCATGAGTGGACATACGGCTTGGAAACAGACCCCATCTTCTCATTTCCCCACCAAAAACAGGTGCAGGTGGTGAGGACGTGGTCCAGAACGCTGTAAAAGAGCGGGTTCATCAGTTCTGGTTTGGTGTATGCTGGGCTCCGGGCGATGATAAGAGACGGGGCTCGTTCTGTTTCCTTTAGATAACATTGAATTTTGAGCACAAGCTACAAGTAAATAGTGATAAATAAAGATGGAATAGTTAGAGGAGGACCCGTTTCAACAGCATACCTGGAACGAATCTCCCATCCCACTCCACATCGTTATCTAGACAGTCCTTGACCTCTGCATAGAGGCAATGAAGTACAACCCCGCATGGCGACTTCATCGTAGAATGGAATAGATGGTTTGGAGTATTACCCGGATGGGACTAGTGCCGTGAAACCCTATCCATCTCCGTAATAACAATGAAGACATCAAATCCGGAGTTACAACTCTTGCTGAGAGGGGCACTTGTTCCAACATTCGTGCCTTCATCGGGAAGAATCTCCAATAAGTGGGACGAAGCTCCATTTCTGCAAGTTACCTGGACTTCCTCGTTCTCATTCCCCTCACCAAGGGGAAGTCCCTCTATGGTGACAAGCTCTTTGGTATTAGACCAGGCTCATTGCTTTAAAGAGAATGGCGCCCGTCGACAAGTCGAAATATTTTTCTCTGGCAAGAGAGGGTCAAGGGATGTTGCCTGTGTTGGACCATGGTGGAGTGACTCAACTGCATAGTAGGAATGGTGGGACTGTTATGACATATGTGATGTTCTCTATACTTGTACTTGAAGAGGAACTGATCGGACGAGTAGCAGAGCTGGGAAGTCTAGCATGGGAGGCGATGTACACGAACTGGATCCCAGTGCACACTGCCATCTGGGCTGGAATTACCCGTGAGGGTCTTTTGCTCAACAATGCTCGTTCGGTGGTGTACTGGATCTTGTTCCTTTAGTGAGTCTTCTGTGTGCATAGTATACGACGCCTATCACTAAACCTGGCGAATATAGACTTGACCAAGAACCGCATGCCCCGAGTCATCATCGTCAACTCGTTGTAGACCAATTACATCTCAGGGCAGCCTGTGGGCTACAAGTTAGACCCATCTGCCAGCCAGATGAGACACCCAACCTCAGGCGTGGTTCTTTAGCACCAAGCCCATCTGCGTGTCCGTCGCGACGGTGAGACCAACCAGAGCCAGTAGGATACAGGGTTTGCGAAATGGACACACGCAACGAGAAGGTGAAAATGAAGACCCCTTCTTACAGCACACATTGCTGGAAGTTGCTGTCAGTGACAGAATGCGCTTTTGTAAACGGCGGCTTTTAACTACCGATGGCGTGGTATCTTTAATAATGCATTTAAATCAACTGATGCTACGTAACTAGTTAACTAACTAGACTGATCGTGATTACTAACTATATTGGTCTAAATAGTTACGAGAATTTCCATGCTCCATAGACACTCCTCCGTACGGTAATAAGCGGATGCCATGTTGCATCGCGTAGACCGGACATGTGGCGGTTGGCCGATGCCCTCGTTGCCCTCATGCTGGCCTTTGTTCTCAGGGCCGTTCAATAGTATCAGCGGAACAGACGCAGTGTATACGGCGCGGCGTGTAATAGATACTACTGGCACGGAGGACATTGGACAAAGGCGCCGCAACCTTAGGATTTATGACTTATCAGACTATTGGACTCTCTTCCGCTGCTGGTGAGAATAATATCAGTCCGATCAGCAAAAACAATACCAGGTTGGGGGGTAATTAATAGTGTCTTGATCCCTGCATGGAGCCGTCGGGTCCAGTACTTGGTATGGAGTATAGGAGGTGGTATTTGCATTTGCAACAGTGGATGGACTCCTGATTCTTTGCTGCTTCCAGGGCGTTTCCAGGGCGTTTCCAGAGCCGTGAAGCTGAACTGCCATTCACTCACATCCCTTCACTGCCAGCCCGCTCCCATCTGCTTTCACGCCTGTAGATGAGCGCTGTGCTGTGTGGGGACAACTGACCGCCCTGGTCCTCAGGCTTCCCCTGGTTTGCCTCTCTAAAAATCATCCTGTGGGCTGGTTGCTTTGCTTTCATCACCACTCAACCTTGTTTCTGGGCACATTTAGGCTGGCTCTTCTAAGCGTCCTCTTGTGCATCCTCTGTGACCGTTTGCTCCCGCCCAGAGACCCTTGGTTGTGTTGCCAATCTCTCCCAGAGCCTGTCGTTCGACCGTGTCTATCTGTGGACTGGCTGCACTTTCCCCAACTCAACTGTCGCGACTCGCCAGAAGCAAAGTCATTGCCATTTCGCTTCATCTCTGGCGCGTGCTCTTGCATCTTGTTGTCCGGGTGGAGGGCCGTGAGCGTCTCTCTGCTCGCTTTCGGCATTAATCTCGCTGGTAGCTTTCAGTCTGATAGTGTCGTCTATTCTCCCTCGACCTCCCCGGAGCGATTCATTATAGAATTCCTCTCCGTATTTTGCACTTACGGACTTTTCCCTCTGGCTTTGTTAACCTTATGTTGCATTAAGCGCTACTAGAACCCGGGAGTTGGATTGGAGTCGGCGGTTTAAAGGAGGCTAACTAATTAATCATCCGGGTCGTTCACAGAACCAAAAAAAATCTCTACCCTCGTTCGACGGCCAACGTTGTTCGGCAACGTTGGAATTGCTGCATGCCCTCAGATACCCATGGGAATGCTAACAGTCCTTCCGGTTCAGACGGCGTCTCACCGATAGCGTCGGAGAAGAAGCAGCCTTGCACCATGGCGTGGAAGTCGCCCGCCGCCGCAGCTTCCTCAGAAGCACCGGCTCGCCCTCCCCTGTCCTCGCAACAGTCGAACTCCCTCCCATCAACCCCTTACCAACATCCTCGCAAGCTCTCCTTTCACTGCAGATCCCCGTCTCCTCAACGAGGAAGCAATTCCCCCCGGTCCACCCATTCCGAGTCCACGCACATCCCTCCGTCGTTACGCATCCCCTTAGGAGGTTGCAAATACGAAACAAGTATGGCGTATTTTCGGAGAAGAATGCCCTATACTCTCGGGGCGGATCTCTTGCCGGAAGAAAAAGATGGCCTAAAGGAACGACTCTCCCCGGAGGAGGAAGAGAAGCTTACGGCGGATATCCTTGAGTTGTATGACCAGCTGTTACCATCAGCAGAGAGTGATGACCGACGGCGACAACTCGTTCGCAAGTTAGAGAAACTCTTCAATGACGAGTGGCCTGGTCGCGATATAAAGGCTCATGTGTTTGGGTCCTCGGGGAATAAGCTCTGCTCGAGCGATTCGGATGGTGCGTGTGCTTTCTTTTTTTCGCACCGCCGTGTACTGTTGGAATCATTGTCGAAGGCTGACCCTAGTTAGTGGATATCTGTATAACCACAACGTACAAAGAGTTAGAACATGTGTGCTTGCTGGCTGACGTGCTTGCTAAACGTAAGGCCACCTTTGGGTTCCTTTGCGACACCCGCTTGCTGACTCTTGGGGTTGACAGATGGAATGGAACGGGTGGTTTGTGTGTCGCACGCAAAAGTCCCAATTGTAAAGATCTGGGATCCCGAGCTCCGACTAGCCTGCGATATGAACGTCAATAATACACTGGCATTGGAAAATACCCGTATGGTCAGAACGTATGTCGAGGTCGATGAGCGGGTGCGTCCTTTGGCCATGACTGTGAAGTATTGGACAAAACGGCGGGTACTCAATGATGCTGGTGCGTTTCTCAAGCGAAGCAATCGCCTTTGTAGTTTGGTTATTGACTCCTTTTCTGCAGCATTGGGTGGCACGTTAAGCTCCTACACCTGGATCTGTCTGATCATCAATTTCCTCCAAACGAGAAGCCCTCCGATTCTCCCGAGCCTTCAGGCCCGTCCCCACAAAAAACGGGTGACGAATGATGGCCTGGTTTGCTCCTTCGATGATAACCTGGAGTCGTTGGCTGGTTTCGGTCGGAAGAATAAGCAGTCTTTGGGTGACCTGCTTTTCCAATTTTTTAGGTACTACGGCCATGAAGTGGATTACGAGAAGAGTGTCATCTCGGTCCGTGAAGGCAGGTTGATATCAAAGGAAGAAAAGGGTTGGCACCTGCTGCAGAACAACCGCCTCTGCGTTGAAGAGGCATTCAATACATCGAGGAATCTCGGGAATACCGCAGATGACACGTCGTTTCGAGGTCTTCATATGGAGCTTCGCAGGGCTTTCAAAGCAATCTCAAAAGGCAGTCTCGAGGAATGTTGCACGCAATACGAGTTTCCTGCCGAAGAAGAACGGTCTTGGGAACGGCCGGCGCCACAACCGCGTGCCGTTATCACTGCCGTTCCGCCACAATATGGTACTCGTGGCCGGGGCGGCGGTCGTGGAGGCCGTCCGTTCACCCGCGGTGGGCATTCTGGTCGCCGAGTATCGAATCCCGCGGGCAAGTCGGCCAATTCGCGTCACTCAAATATTCCCACGGGTTCCCCCGAATTGCCCTTTCAGTCCCAGCATGCACAGTATCTGCTACATGACCATCTCTTCCAACAGATCCAGATCCTTCAAGCCCAGGAGCAGGAACTGCGACTGCAGCTCCAGAACCAGGCATTTCTAACTGGGAGGTCACCCGTACTAGTTCGTCAGCCATTTGTTCCATATACCATTCCACAGCCAGAAGCGACAGGCGATGAAAATTCCCGTTCGAGGTCTGGGACAGTGAACCATCCGCCGCTCACGGCACCACGCCAAAACGTTTACTATGGTCCCGCATACTTCCCGGTTGCTGTTCAGGGAGTACAGGGAAGTAGCACCAATCCTCCCTCACCATCGGCGGCGCCTGCGCCGCCTGATTTTCGACGCAATCGTCGGTCATCAGTCGCAAATGGCTCACCGGGGGGTTCGCTGAGGGCACAATCGCAACCTGCACGCTCGTTGCACTCCCAACCCCTCCAGGGATTTGTTCCCTTTTATGCCGTGCCTGAACCTGTTGACAGTTCACCAAGTTCAAAACACAAACCTGTTCCTGGATCCCCTCCGGAAGGATCGCAGAGCGACGAGGAGCATGCTTCGACACAGAACAATCCGCCCACTGGGTCTCGATCCCCGTACCTGGACGAAAATCGGCCAGCCGAATACGTCGGGTACTACTTAAGCAGCTCTCCACAACTGCAGGCTTTTCATCAAAATCCCATACTGACACCCATGTCGGCGCCGGTTGGATACTCTCTGCAGACCGGCTTCTATCCTTACTTTGGGCATCTCCAGGACTACCGGCCAGTGGCACTATCATCTAATGAGATGACGGCCACTTCCTCTGATCAAGGGTCTACTCTCAACGTCAAAAACGGATCGTCTCAACAACGCGCGTCGACTCGGCCGGTGCAGCCCTCAGATCGGGGCCCTCTGATTGTTGACGGGTCTGTGCCTCTGAGCGAGCAACGCAGTCAACCCCATAGAGAAACCTTTGATCATTATGTTAATATGAACCACGGTACTTCTAACCCAGAAGACTCTAATATCAATGTGTCTGTCAGTTCAGATTCCATATCTCCGGATCTGCAGGATAACACTTCCCTGGAGAATGAGCGCCCTGTCTTCATTCCTCGACAACCGTTGGAGTCCCACAGGCCGAATGTCGAAGGCGAGGCGCGTACATATGGGATAAATGGAGGTAATAGCCTGCTTTCCAACAAAATGCAAAGCCTACACGTCTCGAAATCCGAGCAGTCGAGCGAATCTCCGTCGCGAGCCAGGCCAGAAAAGATGAGGCAGATTCCTTTTAGCAATGAGGGGTTGGATAAAACTGCACCTCGTCTACGGCCGGTCACGTCCGTCGTTGACAGGGCAACGACTAAGGGGCCATCTCCAAGCGCGAAACGTCGGACGAATGGCATGGATACTGATAAAGCCAATGGATCTGGCCAGAACAAGGCTAAGCCGAGAGGCTGTCACGAACTCTGCAATATAGATGCGACACCTGCCGACAGTAGGCAGCGGCATACTGATCAGTCACCACGGAAACAGAACAATATTAACTCCACAAACACAGCGTATGTGTCTGGTGCTGCGCACAACACCGGTGGCTGGCAAACCACAAAGAAGAAGCATAGGAGGAACGCAAAGTCGTTGGTGGAGACCCGTCTCAGTGCTGCTGAACCTTTGCCTGTCGATGAATCGCTAAGAAAGGGTGGCTGAAGGAAACAGACAGCTATGCAAGGCACCGCCGCTAACCAAAAGCGAGGCCTACGTTGAATGATGGGTCGAGACGGAGAGAAAAGAAAAATGACGAAAACACAACAGCTTTTCAAGACACAGTGGGGTTGAAGGGGAGTAGTCTTACTCGAAGCTGTTGGTTGATGTCTGCATCATTCACTATGGTCGCGGTGTCCTAGTTCTCCTTCATCTCCTCGTCACCGTTGGGGATTTTTCCCCCCTCTCGATTCTTTACTGCTGGAGTGGCCACAGAACTATGACGTTGCTTGTATAGCTCCTGTCACGTTGCTCGACGTCGGGGTGGGTTTGATTGTGCCTTCGAGAGAGACTTTGGCCTCTCGGATGGTCGATTATTCGCTTTGGATCTCTTGACAGTTCGTACGACGGAGAAGGATATAGTTTTCGGATAAGCAGTCTCGAATTGCCAGCGACAAGGCATTCCGACGTTCTCTTTTCTCTTTCGATTTTTGATGGTAGCATTTTCACAACAACTAAAGCCGAGTCAAGGGGTTCATCTGGCCGGCTGCCAAAGGGAGCGCGAGCTGCTCCAGTGGAGTCGTGTGGGGGAAAAAAAGGGGGGAAAGAAAGAAAAGAAAAAGAAAAAGAAAAAGAAGGAAAAAAAAAGCAGATTCCCATTCTACTTAACGAATGCTTTATTACAATATGACGATCGATGCCTTCGACTTGGTCTGAATCTCAGGGAGTCTTCTATGTCTTCTGCTGCATTGCACTGTGCTTGGGTTGAATCTTTGCCGGGTTTCCTGATACCAAATCCATGGGGATACATAGAAATGGGGAAAAGGAATAAAACGAGCTGTCTCTTTCAATTCTCACTGTCCATTGCCTTGGTTGTTTTTCGTTGGGTTCTCAAGGGTTGTTTTTTTTTTTTTTTTTTTTTTTCATCAGTCGGCGTTGTTACGGCCGTCATAGCAGCATTGTTTCTTCCCATTGCTGTCGAATATACCATAACGGGAGCAGGTTTGATATTGTCTTTTCGTCTTCTTGCCTTTGTCGTTGTTTCTGGCCGTGCTCCTGCATTCTGCTGGCGGCTGTTCCTTTTCATGGATGCCCGTCAGCCATTGTAATCGGTTGAGTGGGAATCCGACCGTTAATGATCGTTGCAATGTACATAAAGGCTTTCGATTGATTTAAGAATGGAAAGATTGAAGACGTGTTGCGCTGTAGTCGATGCCGAGACTAGCGGACTGATATCCATAATATCGTCTGCCCGGGCACTTGTTCAAGTCCGCATTTCATGCATCTGGGAATCGGTCGCTTCCCGCTTTCTCTCTGTTCATCTGCACACCCTGCCAGTGTCTACTCTCTCATCTACCTTCTGTCCTCCAGACATTCCCGGCGCAGACAATGGCTTACCGACCACCCCGTATCACCCCAACCACCTTCGCCTATTCTTCTTGCTCCTCTCCCCGAACCTCCAGTCGCTCACCACCCATCACCATCTTCTTCATACCTGGAAACCCCGGCCTAATCAGCTACTACCACACATTCCTCTCTCTGCTTTCGTCATATTTAAGTCTGGGACCACAGTCAAGCGCACAATTGCAGGATAAAAGAGGAACCAAGTCCCCAGACGAGAACGCAGACAGGAAGACAACCGGTATCGAAAACCTGAACGGCAATGGGAATACTACATCTACTGCTAGTAGTAATACTAGTGCCAGTTTTACCTCAATAACACCTTTCCAGATATATGGCCGCAATCTCGGTGGGTTCGACACCGATAATAATACCATTGTTGATGAAGGGAGCCAGGAGATGTCCGGAGACATCTCGATAGGAGGAGAGTCGAAGGTATCGGTAAAGCTATACGGTCTCGAAGAGCAGATTGGATTTGTTCAGAATGTGCTTGAGGATTTTATGAGCCGTGTTCCTCCCGGTAATGTTGATGGTGACTCGGAGGATGCTTTTCTGAAGCCTCGAGTTATTCTTATGGGCCATTCCGTTGGGTCGTATATTGCCATGGAGGTTTTGAGGAGGCATCGGGAGAAAGATAAGGAGACGAATGGAGTTTATGTCGACCAAGCGACGGGCTTTGATATAATCGGTGGGATCATGCTGTTTCCTACTATCGTTGATATTGCGAAGTCGGCTTCTGGGAGGAAGTTGACGGTGAGTTCTTATGGTCAATTTACCTGGACTGAATACGCGATGAACTGATACATAAGACTATTTCACACAGACGCTACTCTATTTTATCCCCCAGCTTGCGCTTGTTGCTAGTTTCTTTGCTAGACTTCTCACTCTTTTCCTTCCCGATGCTGTTCTGCGCTTTTTGATCGGTGCCGTAATGAGATCTCCACCTCCGGAGGCCATCGAGACGACCCTGGCTTTCTTAAAAAGTAGAAATGGTGTAAAGCAGGCTATGTAAGTTGTCACTTTTCGATAATTCCTACGATTCGTTTTATGCTTTTTTTAAAAAAATTTTTTTCTGTTCGGGAATCGTATGCTAACCAAAACCTAGACACATGGCATCCTCTGAAATGCAAATCATCACTTCGGATAAATGGACTGACGATATCTGGGGCGTCTCAACGGCTCGAGAACCCCTAAGTAAACTCTTCTTCTACTTTGGTTGCGGGGACCACTGGGTTGCGGATCGTACGAGGGATGAGATCATTGAGCTTCGCGGACGGACCGAGAAGAGAAATGGGCCGGAGATGTTTGTCTGTGAGGATGGATTGCCGCATGCCTTCTGTTTGAGTACGCTGAGTTATTTTCATTGTTCATTTTCCCAAATCCTGAGGTATTTCCTGTGCATCATTTTGGGATTGGTTACTGATTAGCTGTGTTTCTTTGTTCTGTGCAGGACATAATGATATTATGGCTCGAAAGGTTGCGGGTATGATTGAGGATATAGCCGCGGCTGCTCATCAGTGAAGAGATGGTATTCTTGTCTGCGGGAAGAAGCATTCTATGATAACTGCTGACTACCACCTTGGTATGCCAAACCAGCTCTCCGAAAGAGATCTCCAAGAATATCCTGTTTCGGCGCTGGTGGAAGTCCAGGCTCCGTAGCCGGCGTATGCGCCTGAATCTGCATCTGCTGGTGCAATTCTCCGGGGCCGAGATTATGTGCCCGGACACTCCATCCATCATCCACAGCCCTCTGTTGGCCGAAGAGATCTTGCAAGGATATCTGTCGACCCATGGCAGCACTGGTGGCTGTCTGCACTTCCTCCGTTGGAATAGTAGCAGTGCCAGTTGTAGCGGCAGCAACGTGGAGATCATTTTGATGCGCGGCTTCCAATCTCTCTCGGGCTAACTTGAGACTTTCACCCGCATGCACGGCGCACTCTTTGATCACCCGGGCATTGAGGGTGCGTGTCTCCGCGGTCGAGTTGGGCGGCGGTTCCGAGTAGATCCAGAGACCGTAGAAGCGGACATCATCGTCAATCTCATTGACATTTGTGTGCGGGTATTTTTTGGTGTTCTTATCCGTTTTGATCGTAGCATCACCATTGTAGACATCATTGGAATTTCCGCCAACGTCCAGTTCCGCACTACTAGCATCGGCTTTGAGAATCACATATTCATCTGTAAGCTCTACATCTTCACCATCCGTCAAGAGGATCTCGAAATTGTTCAGTCCCCGTCGATTCAATACGTATACGCTGTACCGCTCCTCGCCCAACGTTCCCTGCGATAGCTGGCAGACGAACATAGTCCCCTCGATACCACTCTTTTCCCACTGTCGCGCTGTCGGACTGAAGATGTACACCACTGCATAGGGGGCCAGTGAGAGGATGGAGGTGATGGACGGATTGTGGCGGCGGAGGACGGAGATGTTGAGGTCTTCATTGGAACGGAGGGGAGAGGGGGGGAGGTGCGGATTCTGTTCTTCCTGTTGTCTGTTCTGAAGTGCTTGAGTATCAGAGAGGTAGTTTGGGTTGTCCGACTCGTAGTCCGAAGGCTGAGGACGTGAATAGTGATTGTTGTTGGTGTTGTTGTTTGGGCGTGAGCCGCGAGGTCTGCGCGACGTCATCGTTGAAATGGACTTTTCGATGATAAAAAGAGAGCAACGGAGAATACGGACGAGGGCAAATCAGGCCAGCGACCGTTGCGATAGAATGATCTGGTCTGTTGAACTAGATGAGGGGTGGCATTGGTTGGAGGTTGTCTTTGTACAAGAGGATGAAGCTTTGAGCTTGGAGATCTATCCATTATCGGCAAAAACTAGTTAATGACATCCCCTCCACATCTATCATATTATCGGACTGAGCTATACAGCTTCACTATCCACTTAATACTCAAATCCATCCACAATCGGGCTCCCTTCTGCATACAACTCTATATCTATTGTTGCCTCCGCGCCCTCCCTGTCGTCATTTGCCATCGCCAGAACCACAGGCTCACGGACAGTCGGCATCGCCTCCCCGCCAGTTCAATTGCACCTAGTCTACCGTTTGTCTCCATGCAGGAACGAGTACTCTGAGCACGAACCCATCGTGTAACTATTCTCAATCTACTTTGAGATGACATAAGCCTTAACCTTTCACAATCAGATTCCGTTGATCCGCCTTGTGTCTCGGTAGTAAACGGGTACAGCCCTCTCTCTCTCCTTGGGTTGAGCGTCGAGACTGGACGGGCCTTAAGGAACTACCGTCGAGCCATGCGTTATTCTCCCCTTCACTGATTTGATTAGCTGCGCCTTTTTTTTGAGCATGGTTTCATCCGAAGAACAATCTGCACCAGAATCGTCTGCCTCTGCGCATCCTCCACTTTATCGTGCGCTTAAGTCTAGAAGAGCGGATTATGTTCGTCCGCAAACGATTCGGATTAAGGTAGGGACGTGGAATGTGGCTGCTCGTTCTGGGACAGATAGGGATGTACGGGAGTGGTTTGTGAAGGGAAAGGGAGTTGTTCGACAACTATGTGGTCATAAGGTGTCGGATGACCAAAGGACATCTACAGATAATAAAGGAGGAAAAGAACAGGAAGAAGACGAAGAGAGCGGAGACGAGAAAACCGTTCCATTTCCTCGCGGCGACAAGGATAATAATCCAGAAGGGATCGGACTCTACGTTCTTGGGTTGCAGGAGATTGTCGACATCAATTCGCCTACAGAGACGTTGAAACCATATCATGATTCTGCGCCGGTGAATAAGTGGAAAAAGGCAGTTCAGGATGCCCTTCCTACAGGCTATCAGTTGGTCGCAGAATCACAGTTGGTGGGACTATTGCTTCTGATATACGCTTCCCCTTCCGTTGCTGGCAACATATCATCGGTCAGCAATAGTAACGTAGCTACCGGGCTACTAGGATATGTAGGAAATAAAGGAGCCGTCTCAGCGCGCCTTGTGCTTGGGCAGACTACACCGCTAGTCTTTGTGAACTGCCATCTGGCTGCTGGGTCAGACAAGGGAAGTTTGGATCGCAGAAATTGGGATGCTGGTCAGATTCTTAGCCGCACGAAATTCAACCCTGTCGATATCCAACATGAGCTTGTTGATGACTCCATCGAGACCATAGGGAAGGAGGATGTCGCCTTCTGGTTCGGAGACCTCAATTACCGACTGGACCATATCCCGGCCAACGATGTGCGGAATGTCCTTCATCGACACACTTTGAATAGCTATGATGGTACGGACAAGTCTCAGGGTCAATCCAAGGCTCAGAGTGATTCTCCGTCACAATCCACCCCTGAAGGAGATGGCAAGGCAGACTCGTCCAACCAAGATGGGGAGGAGACATTAGACATCCCTCCATGCCTTTCCGACGAGGAGGTAGATCCCCATACCGATCCTAGTTCCCTTCAGACGACCATCTCTTCCCTAATTCCGCATGATCAGCTTCGAATCCAACAGAAGCAAGGAAAGGCTTTCCAGAATGGCTGGCGGGAGGGTCCTATCACATTTTTGCCAACATACAAATACGACGTGGGAAGAGTAGCTGTATTCGACACCAGCGAGAAGCTTCGGGGTCCCAGCTGGTGCGATCGAATACTATACCGAACACGCCAGGACCGATTGAGTTACGAACAGCAAGAAAAAGAGGCTCAGGAAGCTAAAAGGAAGGATGAAGAGATGAAAAAGAGTGGACTCGCCCAGGCAGTTAGTGATGATACTGTGTTATTTGATTACGACCCTGCTACCGATGGTGCCAACGAGGACGAGTATGAACCTTCTGAGGCCCAATCGACCGGCAATTTGTCCGCAGAAGCGCAGAAAATTTCCAACGACCCTGTTCGTCTCGAGTATTACCAGTCTTGCCAGGCCATTCTCACCTCTGACCATAAGCCGCTCCAAGCTGTGTTTACACTGACATATGAGTCCGTAATTCCCGAACTGAAGGCTAAGGTGCATCAAGAGGTAGCCTGGGAACTGGACAGAGCTGAGAACGAGTCTCGGCCGGGCCTGACAGTCGTTGTGGACGATCCTGAAGTTATGCGGGACACTTCTCGGGGAGAAGATGGGGATGCGAATGCAATTGATTTCGGAAGTGTTGCATACAACATTCCTGTCAGTCGGTCTCTGACTGTGGCCAATACTGGCAGTGTCCCTGCAACTTTCTACTTTGCGGAGATACCTGGTTTTGCAAAAGATACTCTACGTGCGGTACCTCCTTGGTTGAACATCCAAGTTGAGAAGAAGGTCGACCATGAGGGTGATGGGAAACAAAAACCGCACACTGGGGAACATTCTCTGCTGCCAGGAGAGCTTGCTACGATCCAAATCATTGTACATGTTAGGGATATGAACCACGTTCGTGTGCTCAATTACGGGGAAGTGAAATTAGAAGAGATACTGGTTCTCCGGGTGAAGGACGGCCGAGACCACTTCATCTCCGTACATGGGAAATGGCTTCCCACCTGCTTTGGCCTCAGCGTGGACGATCTGACTCACATGCCAGAAGAAGGTGCTCGCACACTGGAGGCAACGCCTGAAGCATGGGCACGACAAAGGGAACGTGCAAGTGCGCGCCTTTCGGCTCCTAGAGAGCTTTTCCGGTTGACGGAAACAATTTCTGAGCTGACAGAACGCGCTGTTGCTGAATGGAGCATGACAAAAAGCGGATCGGATGAGGAATCATCTCCACCATGGTTGTCAGAGCCTTATGGGATGAAGTGGCCGTTCACGAAGGAGACGTGGACTCTGCAAGATCAGGAAAAGCGAGCACCACTACTTGCTATCGCACACGAAGCTCTAGATACGAACAAACCACTCAACAGCATATTCCCACCAGAGGTTCCTGCACTTCAGTATGTGGAAATTCTGTCTGAGGTGCTCCTTGCCTTCCTTCATTCTTTAAGTGACGGCATCGTCACAACAGCCGTATGGCAGAAGCTAGAGCAGGATATGATCGCCCGGGAGAAGGCCAAAATGCCTCCTCGCACCTGGGAGGAGGTGCAGACATGGGTGTTAGAGAATCTTTCATATTCACCCGCACACAGCGTCTCCTTCACCTTCGTCACCTTTATGCTTGGCCATATTGTCAACGAAGTTGCCCCCATGCGACAGCAGGAACCACCAGGAAAGCCGCCTTCTGATCCACAACAGGATGGACCTTCGCCTCCATCACCCGCTAAGGAAGGGCAACAGCAACGGATGAACCCCCCTCCCCCAACACCCGCGTCAACAGCAGCATTCATCGCCGCTGGCAGTTTCCGCCGACGTGCACGCACTGTTACCTCCTCGTCGTCCTCTTCGGAGACGCCCTCTTCAGGGGACAATCCTTCTTTGGTCCGGCGACAAGCTGTTGAAACCGCACTCGCTACCGTGTTCTCCTCCTACCTTATCTCTTCTGATGTGCCTGTTCCATCGAAGGACAAGGAGAAGCGAGCGCTGGAAGCCAGGAAAAGGGGCATTATTGAACCCTTTTTGAAGACCTTTGGGGTGGACTAGTAATGAGTCTTCCAGGTGATACAAATATAAAATTGGGGCGGATGTTGAGGGTGGAGCAGTGCAACTGTCTCTTTTTGGCTTCATTCTGCACCGTGTATACATGGGATTTCTATTTCTTTCTTTCTTTCTTTCTTCCTTCCTTCCTTCATCGCCTTCATTAACTCTGTAGTTATTCGGTTTGATACAGATCTGTGTGTGCGGTGTATGGGCATGATTCATGTATAGATTTCATCTCTCTTGTACAATATATATACATATCACTAAGCATGATGTACGTTTCTCCTAGTGATGGCAAAAAAAAAAAAAAAAAAGAATGAAAAGATCTAGTAACCTACGAATAGAACCCATCTCTTATATCAGTTTCTTCTCCTTGCCTTTCTGTGGCCGTCTCACCACCCAGGACTTCCGATCCGGTGATAATTCGACCCTGGCTATGTTATGGGAATTCCTCTGATCGGAGAGCAGGATAACTTTGAAAGATCGAAGAACCGACAACGCAACACGTACTGGGAGATAGGCCAAAGACATGGCAGTGCGAACAGGAAACGTAAAGACCGCATAAGCCCAGGCGAAAAGCTTAAAAAGGAGATCATTACGATGGGATATATCGGGACGTTCTGAAATGGGCAGTGGTGTGACTGCAACAGCATCACGAATCTGGGACTCCAGGTTCTGAAAGCGAGTCTCTATTTGGTAATTTGTGATAGCTGTGCGCTTCTCATAGCGCCTGACTGCGCGGTTTAACGCATCGATCTCGGGCTGAAGGGCCTTTCGGATCTCAGCGGTCACTTGGGAAGTGAGAGCAGGGAGAAAATCGTGCTGGTCTTGTTGTGATGATGATGACGATGGTCGCTGACACTGATTCTGACTCGCGGAGTCTGATAATAATGACAGTCGTGTCGGCGCCGTTTTGGCGATGTAAGCCTCGAGCTCCTCGAGTCTCTTGGTTAGATCCCTGATTTTGGTCGAGTTGATCCCATCTTCTTCGTACGAGGGTGAGGACGATGCGACGACACGCTGTAAGAAGAGAGTCCGCGACTGGATCATCCGCAGGAGGTGGGAGCAGGGTCGGACCTCAGAAGCCAACAGGAAGATGGTCAGGTTGTAATTGGACACCAGGCCCTCTGAGGGCCGGGATAAAGTTGATCTGATAGTATGAAGGAGCCAGGTCCCGGCCACTGGGAAGATGAAACATGATGCCAGAGCGACTAGTTCATGGATATGGAGCTCCAAACTGGCTGCACTGGCCGCAGAGGATTTCTCCTGCTGCTGGTCTTTGGGCTCTGAAGGTACATGTGTGTTTGAGTCCTCAGAAGCGTGCTCATCAGTGTTTTCTTCGCTTTCTTCGCGGGATTGAGCGCCATCGATAGTCTCGTAGTATTTGCTACTCTGCTGGTGTCTGATTGCCTGTGCGGAGCGATACCAGTTCCTGACATAGAAATTTCAATCGAATTTTAGCCCGACCATCCAACTTACAAGAGGATTTTCCTTCTTAAAAAACCCATACATACCATGGCAATCTCACTGACCAGTTCAAGAACGTAGCGGCCAGGATAAGCAAGGTGATGTCGGTAATGAAGGCACTCCCATCGCGGAAGAAGAACTCCGCCAGGGCCGGCAGGAGAGCCAGGACAAGCGGCACAGAATTCCAGCGAGACTCGTCACTTGCGAAATCGACAATGCTGCCGTCATCAGCGCCTCGAATGGACGCTCTGGAGAGAAACAAGTTTGTGGAGGGCCGGCTGGAGTTGCGTGTCTCGGACGGGGTCACCGATCGTGTCGAGTCACGCCGCTGTTTCTGCACACGCGGAACATCCTCTGTCGACATTGAGGAGGAACGCACAGGCCCACGATGACGGAGGTCCATCAATCCGGTGTTAGTGCTGCTAATGCCACTGTCGTTGGAGGCCAGCTGTTGTGAGAGGGACGAGGGACGTTGCTGTTCGGCCATGAAGAAGCAGAAGCAGCAGCCTGTACGAGGCCAGGGCGCCAACTACTCTCAACACGGCTTCGTGCGTCGAAGACAGACAGGGGAGATTGCAATACGGACCAACCATGTGGAAGCGCGTTTGCACCATGTCTCTTTCTCGATGGATCGGATGATTCTTCGAGACCAGGGGTTCTCAGCGTATGACGACATGCAGATGAAGTCGCCTCCTGCAATCCTGCTGCGGACAGCGTTTGCGTGCTGAAGATCCGTCCCAGCCTATTTATCTGATTCTATATAGAGCAGAGAGATGATGGCGACCCGTCTCAGCGTTTGCTAGATTGATACCTGTCTAGACTCCCTTCTCAGGATGTCCTCTCGCCCTGAGTATACCGACTGGACTTGGACGAAGATGACAGGGAACAGCTGTATCATCTACTGTGCTACGTCCTGGGCAGCTCTCCGTGGTACACGTCGCATCCTGCATGCCTGATTTCGCTTTCTACTTGCCCCGAAGTCTATCCGTCTGTGTCTGCGAGTCTCACTGGGGTTCTTCTGTGACACGACTTGAGTCAAATTCAAATAGGACTGTCGATTAGACGGTTGTCATACCATCGTTCTCGCATGCTTTGAAGATGCGCATCGATGGTTACAATTACTATGGGGTCAGCCGTGGCACCATTCTGTGTCCGGGCTGTTGGTCTACCTAGCAGACCTTAGCTCTGTCGACGCGCGATGCCCTGAGGGCCTGGATATGGTATGGAAGAATCTGGTGGCGTTCTGTTACTATTAACAGGACGAATAATGTCTATGGCTTCTCCATCATAGATCATAGATCTGCAGCGTTCTGCGCGGAGGATAGGCCTACCCGGTGGTCCGGAGGCATTCCATCGCCGCAAGAAAGGCACTCCACCTGTCGCGTAAGACTTTTTTCTCCGACAATCAGACGCAGGCGCTGTGCGAGAGATATGGAACAGGGTGACGGGTCTCAATAGGCTCAATAGATGCGTTGGAGCTGCTGGGCGTCCCGTCACTTATTGACTCCCCAAAGCGGCAATGCTGTGTCATACAGCGTCAAAACCACCTCGAGTGACCGCGGCACCAGAGACACTTTTCAATGTCACTTCTACTATTGCTGGCGTGTAATGGGCTTATTCTTTTTCCTTGCCCGTTGCCGTCATCGTTGACCGGCCTGTTTGTACAATGCTCGGCTGGCGAACCCTCCCTCCATGCGTCTTGCCAACATTCTATTGACGGGCTATGTCACTCTCACTTTTATTTATACTTATTATTTGGTAGTGGATATTCTGTCTCTGGCATGATCTTCAATAAGCATCCTGTGAATCTTTTGCTGCGATTCAGCTTCTCAATAGCATCTGGGGTCCTGTTTCTCACCTTTCCCCCCCCATCGCTTTCCCGGGACTTTCACCAATACACTTTTTCAGCTGTCGGCTTCTTGCTTGAAAAGAGAAATGACCTTGTTGATGCTGGTTCTTGTTTGAGGATTTATCTTTTTTCTCGCTTCCCCTGATAGTGCCGGTGACTTTGCTTGAGGCAGAACCTAGGGAGCCTAAACCACCGGTCCAAAATGGGCCCTCCTGTTCTTCAGTTTGATATGGACGCGCGGACAGCGTCAGGAGAACATTCTTATGCTACTGCCAGAGCCATCCCAGCTCTAGCTTGCATCTCCGTCATCGTCAATATCCCATCGCTGATCTTACACTTGCGGAATCGAAATTGGCCTGTTACTTGCATCGCCTGTTGGTTTGTCATAAACAACCTTTTTACTACCATTAATGCTCTTATTTGGAATAACGATGACATGAACTCGTGGTGGGATGGAGTGGGACTGTGCGATATTGAAGTCAGGCTTCTGGCAGCCAGCTACGTCGGCGTGCCTGGCGCCGTGGTCTGTCTATTTCGCAGTTTGGGGGCTGTGCTGGATACACGCTGCACCACTTTGGTTCCTAGTGAAGCGCAACGCCGGCGCACGCTTTGCATCGAAGTCCTCTTCTGTGTGGTAGCCCCGAGCATGTTGGTGATTACCAGTTATGTGGTGCAGACGAACCGATACGCGATTTTCGAGATCTCAGGATGCACCTTTGTGTCCGATCAAAGCTGGCTAAGCGTCGTACTGCTTTATATGTGGCCAGGGATAATCTGCCTGATAGCCATATACTACTGCTGTAAGTCTCTAACCTGGTTTCTGTTTTCTTTCTTGCTGACAAGATCATCTAGGTCTGGTTATATTCCGCATCTATAGATACCGATCCCAATTTGGCGATATTCTCAGGTCCTCTGGAACCAGCTGGACCAAGTCGAGATTCTTTCGCCTTTTCAGCCTTGCCCTCTTAATATTGCTGGCGATCGTCTCATTTCAGACATACTTTCTCTATGAAAACGTCAGGTGGCTTCTTCCAGACTGGCACGGTTTTCATTGGGACAATGTTCATGGAAAAGAATGGAAATACATCATCATGATTTCTACCCACGGCAGCAGTTTTGTCGACAGTTGGGTGTTCATTATCGGCGGTTTTATCGTCTTCATCTTCTCTGGATTCGGCCAAGACGCCACCAAGATGTATCGCTCTGTGCTTTCAAAACTTGGCTTCGACCGTTGCTCTTCTTGTCTATCCCGTCGGTGGAAGAGCAGCACTCTCTCCATTACTGGCTCCCAAGGGAGCGGCCGGGGCAAGTTAAGGTGCGAACCAAAATGGCCTTCCATGCCAAGGTATGTCGTATTCTGACCTTGTTTTTGTTTCTTCTCCATATACACTCCGCTGGCACATTGGACAGTCCTGATAGTTTATTCTCAGGAACTACGCAAATCCGTATGATCCATTTTATCGAAGCTTGCACCCGCAGCAGTCCGAGATGGAAGGGAATACCCCATCTTCATGGCCAAGAGCCGTGTGGAATTTCCTCCGAAAACCCATTTCTTCTGCCTCTACCCCTTGCGATCTCAATCGCACGGCATCTCCTGCTTCCCGAATTTACCCACCATTAAACAGCGTCTCTGCCAATGCTTGGGCAGATAGAAGCGAAAGCAGTCATAGGACTGGCAGTTTCGGTTCGGCGTCGTTTTCTACGGATGAGGGCATTATTCAGGTGAGACAGTTTATCAGCCAGAAGAGCGAGTCTATGAATCTCAACGTCTAGATACCCGGGTGATCTTTCTGTTTTGATTTCATACTATCTGGGCGTTGGGCGTTCTGGTACTTTTGTCTTCTTGACATATCAGTAGTGCCTTTTCAGCTATGTTTTGCTCCGTCAGATATTTCTTTTCCTTGCAGTGCCTACACTTGTCTGCCACTGAAGGATCGCAATTAATAATATCAAGTACCTATTGTAATGAACAGAGGTTGACAGACAGTATGTACAAAGTACACTCGGCTGGCAACGAGTGATAGTGACCGGTAATCGTAGTCCAATTAATCCATGAAGAGAAGCTTGGCTAGCCACTACATGGTGCAACTGAGCGGCTATATATATGTACTTTTTTCTATCATCACAGAGACTTTCCCTTTCGGGATGCCACCACTTTCATTGTACTCAAGGTGATGCTCAGATCGGTGACAAGTCACGTGCCAACAGGAGCTCGTTGATGGGGGTCGAACTCCCCGAGTTGGTTGATCTAGCTCGGAGTTAACTAACTAGTAGTTAGTTATCTACGCTATGCTAACTAGGAAGGAGAGGAAGGAGTGAACCATGGGAACCACCAACAGGAAGTGCGCACCTGACACAATACAACACACACACCTCTAACAAGGATACCTCAAAGTACAAGGTCGTAGAAACGATTGAATCGGATGATGAGTTAGGTGGGTGGATATGTATTTGTTATTCGTGGGCAATATCGGTATGTACAGAGAACATCTTGACAAGTGACAAAATCTCATCTTGACGCAGATTGGAGATCCAAAAAGCCGACTACATATATTGATATGAAGTCGGAATTTCTGCAAGACATCCTGCAAAAGGTGTTAAAGAATGTGAAGGTGGCCAGTGTCATGGAAGCCAAGCCATCAGTAAGTAATCAATGCCCTGAGCAATGTTAGAAGCTAATCTTGAGGAAACATTGAGCAGATAATCTCATTTCATTTCCTGCTGGAACTCAGGTTCAAGCTGGAGCAACTAGCTGACAGTGCAAGTGGTGACCTCAACGGCTATGAGCACTTCGCACTTCCGCCTGCCCAATACACAACCAGTATAGACTCCTCTCACAAGCGGGCTGATTCGGCATACAAATACACGCTATACTTTGAGATTCTTCATCGCAAAATACTTGAATACCATATACAGCCGGAAGACATCTATAATTCGTGTCAGCAGGCGTTATATATCACGTGATCCGACCAGCAGCGCTGGGGGTAAAACGGGCAAAACGGCAAATGCCAGGCTTTTTTTGTGGGAGAGAAACTGAAATAATGACATGATCAAAAGCCCTAGAACTGGGCACATTTTATTGAGGCTACATATTATTCAGCACTCATCCCCTGCTCACCCTGCTCATGGCGGATGAGCACCAAAATGGAGAGGGAAAGCCTTCAACGCATCTAGACATTCCAAGATATATGTTATTTAACATAAGATTGAAAGAAACTGGACAAAGAGAACAGACATCAATTCCCAGCCCAATGCCGAACAAGACCCATTCATTTAATAATATTCGAAGAACGACGGACACAAGGCTTAGACAAGTATAATAATACAAAGAAGAGAGAAAGGAGTTTCCCCAGAACAAGTGAAACCCTCTTTTTTCTAGTTCATGGGTATTTATTAATGCTCCTCCGAGCCGTAGTTCTGTGGTTCTTCTTGATCTTCTGGCTCCTCATGCGGACGAGCGCGAGCAATAACTTGCAGGTGTCCTAGAAAGAAAGAAAGATGTCAGTTATTACTGTCCGCGAATCCAGACTCATATATCCTCTCTTCTCCTTAAGAGGCATAGAAACTCACTTTGGATAAGGTTCAGTCGCTGCTGCAGTTTACCATCGGAAACATCTTCGAAATTGCGAAGGGAGGCGTCAGTTTCAACATAGACGAGAGAACTAAAATAGTTAAGAAAATCAATGGATGTCAGTATCTGGTTGGAATTGCCTTGTCTTTAAAACCAAGTCGCAAGAGTAGCATAGAATGGTGACTGTTCCCCCACCCCACCCCCATATCAATTGCGGCCCCATTTAAACCTCTTGCAATTTACTAAACATGATAGGAGAAGGTCCGAAAATAAAAGGTGTAGTAGTAACTCACCCCTTGGGTAATCCCAAGATATAATCCCGCTGCTTTTCATTAGACGGGAAGGTTGCGATACGGTAATAGCTGATATGAGGATTCTTCTTAGTTCCGCTGAATGTCGAAACGGTGTATCTCAGAATTTCAGAGCCTGACTGAGTGGTATGCAGACTGGGCTCGCCAGCAAGACGGCCGGAGATGATCATGCGCGCCAAAGACCGAGAGGAGGACGATGAGAAGCTGCGCGCAGAGAAAGGGGCAGACATGGAAGTCCGCAGCATAGGACGGAGAGGCATGAAGGCAGACATGGTTCTCAAAAGCACGATGGCGATCTGTTTGTTGAAGCAACGGACGTGATACCGGAATGAGAGCTGTAGAAGAAAAGCGCGATTTTCCCAAAGTCCGGCCCGAAGCTGTGCAGGTCACGTGTCGAGGCCTGTCATGGAGATGGGAGAAGCTTCTCTCGTTCTTCTTCGCCTCATCCTGCACCATTTATCTATCTCGTGCGTATGCGAACGCTGGTGAAGTAGTCACTAACGGCTTCAATGGCATTTCTCAATTGTAGCGACGGTGCTTGTGCAGTCACTACCCTTACCCAAGCTCTATACAGCTTCCAGCCGGTCAGATTGAGCTTGTTCGTTTGCGCGGGAAATAATAACACGGACCCTGGCTTTCGCTGCTCAATGGATTTATTTCATGCGGACATGGTGCTCTCAATAGGCCACGTTTCTGTGGTAGATTACGAAATCCGGATTCTTGACACAGGGGTCTGGTGCGAAGAATCCTGTTTCTGTCGCTCTTCCCGCGACACTGCCAGGTAACACGTTCTCTCAACACGGATCTTTTCCAGAACTGTTCAATACTCTGGATATTGCGCCGCGAACATGGCTTCTCCGTTTGCTCCGTCTGCTTGAGCACAGTGCCCTCAAGGGCCAATAACGTGGACTGCCATGCACACACTGGAGTTGTCAAGGATCTACTACGCCCTTGATGGAAGCAGGACCGAACGCCTCCCAGCATATGGCCAACCTGGAAAGATGCATTGAGGCAAGCCTGGGTTGTTGCGTATGCTCAGTGCACCTGTGAATTAATGCAATGGCTAGCTGAGGCTCCTCATAAATCTCCGGTCAGTCGCCCACATCTACGGCTGGATACATTCCATGATCCGGGACTGTCTCAGGTATCTACTGTCCATAAGGTTCCTCTGGATGATCTACACCTCGGACTGCAGCATATGGTGGGTCATTTTACATCCAAGCTGTTTATCCTGGCGATCAATAAGCCATCAGAATTCAAGGAACAGGTCTAGCAGCCCAAGGAGCTGCCCGCAGTTCGAGTTTGGCAGAGATGGCACCTCTTCCCAACCCATGCTCTTTTATTAAACAATCTCCCGTACTCTGGTGATATTTGTGTGTTAGAACTCCCCTTCACTACAATTTATAGGTGAAAGATATATGAAGAGCAACTGAGGAGCTATAAGACTCTACAAACTCCAACCAGCACCTAGACTGCCTGGCGTTGTCTATTTGCTTTTTCGTATTTATAGAGCCTTTCTCCCTTTTATTCTCTTGGGTCTGCTGCTATGCGGCAGTTTAAATTATCTTCCCTGGCCACGTTCGCTGCATGTGGCGCTCTCATTGTCCAGGCAGTGCGAGCTCCTCGAGATGTCACTCAGGGAAGTGATGCTTCTACCACTCTCACCACGGCAGAGCGGCAGTCGTCGCTGAGTACAACAACGGCAGTTATTTCTTCAACAGAGGATGGCGCAACGGGTGCTGATTATACAACTGGCAACAGTGCAACGATAACCAGTTCTGCGACTGGCGATAGTGCAGCAGCAGCCAACTCTACATCTGCCGACAGCACCAGGACAACTGTCACCGCTCCCGCTGTGACAGGTAACAGCTCCTCCGCGTCGAACGCCAGCACACCGACCTCTACGACCATAGCATCCGCGCCGCTGAATACGTCCGCGGCTGGAGGTAAGCATTTCTCTTAATGCTACCAGTCAGAATACTAAGCTGAAGAAAAGATGGAGGGAATGCAACGAGCGCGGATCACCTTCCGCTTCAACCCAAGATCACTCCAGGACTGGGCGTTGCTGGCGTTGTTCTTATAATCTTTGGGGCAATATATGGGTTCATTGGGATCCGACAATCATGGTACACCGGACCCTTCATCATTCCCCTGCCAAGATGGCAGTGCAGTTTCGCTTACCAAAGATTTCTCAGGATACATGTGTTCCTGTCCGCGGCGTTCTTAGGGGGTCTGGCAGTTTCTGTGAGTGGTCTTGTAAAACTGCTGGAGTTAATTATCACTGATAATGAATATTCCAAGCTCCTGGTCATCTACCTTATGAGCCTTCCCGTCAGCACTGGGATACAGGGAGGTTATGTCGTTGCCGCAATTCTGACTGGTGCCGTGCTCGGACTATTCTCTATAGCCTTTACAGAGTGGACAGAAGGACTAGGCGGTCTCCTAGGAGGGTTTAGTTTTAGCATGTGGCTTCTTACCTTGAAACCGGGGGGCCTCCTCGAAGGGACTGGACCCAAGGTCGGGCTTATCTGTGCGCTTTGCGCGGCCTTCTATGCTCTGTCCTTTATCAAACACGTACGAATCTATGTGTTGATCGCAAACATTGCCTTCTCGGGAGCCACGGCACTCATGTTGGGAATCGATTGTTTTACGCGAGTCGGTTTGAAGGAATTTTGGCTATATATTTGGGGTAAAATGGGCCGAGTCCTTTTCCCAACTGAATAGGGAGTGTTTTCAATTTCTCGATGCAGAATCCACTAACTCTATTCCAGATATCAATGACAATGCATTCCCAACGAGTACTTCGACGTATCCAATCACCCACGCACTCCGTGCAGAAACGGCCGTGATACCTGTGGTGTGGCTCTTGGGTGTCCTGTCCCAATTCAGGTTTTGGAACGTGATCAGCCAACGTCTGAAAACCGAGGATCAAATACGAGATGAAGAAAGACTAAGAGAGGAAGAAGCCGATGCCGAGGCCGGGAAACGTATGGGAGAAATCACTGCGAGGGAGTTATCAGAGTGGGAGAGGATGTACGGTGGTGACCTTCCCAGGAGAAAAGTCAAGGGAGTGTTGACTATAAACAAGATTTCAGAACCAGAATCAGGGTCAGAAACGGACATTTCGGGTCATGGACAAGAAGAGCACTCGGCAATAGCATCCACGGGGCGAGAAGATGCTGATGATTCAAAGCAAAATTCTACTCGAGATTACGCATCAGATCTCATCTCAATTCGAGGATCTGAACTGAATGTGCTTCGCGCAAGATCTCGTCAATGGTTTGCGTCTAGGAAGCCAAATATGAGTAGTAGTATTCTCGCTGGCCCGTTTGTGAACTCGAGTGGTTCAATTTCATCCGTCGCAGGAGTTAAGGATGAATATGAGTGGAGTGTCACATCAGAAGACCATCACGATTCAAAGCCGAAAGAAGCTACGGGGCAGCAATCCAAAGAAAATCCCAAGTCTCTGGAGGCACAGCAAATTGGTGATGATCAGACTGAACAAGGGCAGGAACATGTGTCTGTTCCTGTATTTGCAGAACACAGTCTCACGGATTCACAAGGAACCGGTCTAGCTTCAGCGCTACCAGAAGCTAACGGCGAGAATGTGGAATCGCAAGCGGAAGAATCCCCGCAAGAAAGGTCGATCAATCCGATTGACAAGACAGTGCCGTCTCCATCGAAGGCAGGCCAGGAGCAAGAGACTGAGAAGCAAGAATTAAAGGAGGAAACTCTGAAAAGATTTTCTGCACACAAGACTAGAATTGGCTCATCCTACCGAACCTACGAGTGGACTAAGCAAGTCCCTGCCGGGGAGTCTCTGGAAGCTGAGCCGATTCAGCCTCTTAGCACTGGTTCGTCAGAGACACTACTGTCGGATGAAGCCACTGTGCCAGTGCATGTCGATCAACTGCTCCAAACGCCATTGAACGCTGCACCTCCTCCTGCTGGTCAACGTCATGCCTTGACTGGAGAAGAGGCATTCAGATTAAACAAACATCGTCGACGGTCCAATGCACCCAAGAGCTCGTCTCACTCTCGGAATAGAACATGGGACTTCAAGGATTCCACAACCCCGATCCTTGGCCATAGGCACCGTCCTGACATGCATTCTCGATCGGTTTCCCTTGGCAAGCTTCCTCAGCCTCCCACGCAGCAGCGCGGCTTTCGAAAAACGTCTATTCCGCAAAATACGAATACTGTCTCCCCGAGACAACAAGTGGTAGTAGACAAGTTCAAGGGGCCTGCATTGCAAAGCTCTCCTTCACTCTTGGACATCCAGGACAGTATGGTGCGCAATAAGTTGTCCTCGATATCGTTGCCGCAGGACCCTTGGTTTGCCAACGGCAAGTCCGGACGGCTACGTAGCAGATCTTTCGCTGTCACATCACAACCTCTGGGGAGTCCCGCCCACAATGAAAGTGCTGGTAATGTAGCCCTTTCACCGCGTCGAGCCTCGAGAGAGAGGCAGCAGCAACTGATGACGCAGGCCTCGCAGGCTGCTTATGCACATCATAAGCGGAGGCTAGAACGGCGCCCGGACCCCACCATGCTTGGGACACCCGATCTCATCGCATGCCAGTCGTCCTCTCTGGGTCAAACGCCGCGGCGTCCACAACATCACAGTTCGAGCTTGGTGGGCAGGCCGCAGAGCGATCCGCATAACGATATGCACCGGGAGATGATGCGGCGGATGCAAGCCAGGGTAAACGAGAATCCGCAGAAATAATCGGAATTGGGGTAATAATATTAATTACACTGTAATAGCCGAGGAATTGCTAATGCTAATCTTAATACAGTAATACTACTACTATTATTATGTCAATTATTACCGGCAAAGACTATCCATGCACTATGCGCCCATCCGGCCGACTACTGCAACTAGTGACGCCCACAACCCGCGTCCAAAGTCTCGGGCTTCTTGACTGTCACGATCAGCAGTGCTAGCACTAGCACAGAAAATATCTGCATTGTTTCAGGACACCATTGCTCCTGCTCAGGCTGAGAATCGTAGATTAGAACGCCAGCCATCCGTACAGGGGAAGTCCCGTTCCAGGGGGTAAGGGACGGGAGCACAGCCCATTCCATCCGTATCCCTGCAGACATAGATTAAGGACCTGATCCTGTCATCCTGCCCGACTGCCGGATGATTGTTCTGCCCCAACCTGTTGACCCAGCCCGGTTCCCCGGGCTTATCCTTGACTCCTTGGGCAGGAATTAGGTCCCTTCCCGCAGACGACGGCCAGCTACAGACGATGGAAAGTGATACTCTGTGGGGCCGCTCATACTTCCTGGATTATTAAGGCAGTTGAGCGAAGATTGAGGAAGGAGGAGCGTTTGCGCAGGGGAAGGGTCTGCTCGAATACATCAGCATCGAGCGCTTCGTATCCCATCCATTGCGTTCTAGCCGGCCATAGATCTCTCCGGTTTCATCCTTTATTATTATTATGTATTGCCATTGATCTTGCGGACTGTAGAACTATTATTATTTTAGCATTGGTTTCCAATATTCTCTTTCCCTTCCTAAGGGTCTTTCTGGATATCATTGACGGCCATCGTGCTTCGACTGGCTTTGCGCGCTCACCACATAAGCTCCAGTATCTCCATCCCGTCTTCTTCCTCATCTTTCTCTCTTTTCCCGTTCTGTCTGCTCCCGTCATCTCGTCCTCGTCGAATTTGCCGGGCCCTCGTGGATGGGTTGGCAGTGTCAGTGTTGGTGCTGCTCAAGGGTCTGGTCCCTTGAGTCTGGGTACGTAGCCAAACCGGTGCATTGTCCTGCGCAAAAACGGCTTCCCTTAGCGGCGCGAGGGACTTTCTATCACCGAGGCCGACTGAAGAAGAGGAAGAGACGGTAGCAGGGCCATCGCGAGCAGTGCTGGGACTGGAACCGGAGGCGGGCCGCCGGCGTAATTCCAGCCACCGCCAGATCGCCGCGTTCCGTCTTTCCTCCTCTCCTCCCCCGTCTGCGTCTACTTCGATTCACAGTTGCTCGCATCGCTCCTGGGCATCGTCGACCTTCTCTCCCACCTCCATGTCTCGTATCCTACGCCCTCCCGCCGCTCGTCTCGCCAATCCTGTCGACTACGTGCCCCGAATTACCCCTGTCCCTCTCTCCCATACGTCGCAGGTCTCCGACGAACATCTGCCACTGGAAGCCAGACGAGACTCTTCTCCGCTGTTGTCTCTCTCGGAAAGACGTCGGAGTCGCTTGAGTTACACCCCAAGCAGCTTGGTTGTGGAGCGCAGCCACGTGGAATCCGAGAGTGGTCGGACGAGCGTCGCGTTGCCGCCAGGGAGGCGTTCCGGCACCTTTGAGCGCCATCTGCAGCAGGAGGGACAATCCACAGCAATGAACGGGCTGCCTAATTCTACCAAGGGGATGGAGGAGAGTAACACCAAGCCCCCCCAACAAGCCCATCTTGCCGATCCCACCCACCCACCGCGTCACGTCCAGTCGCAAGTATCTCTACTGTCACAATCACAAGTCGCCTCGATTCCTTCCAGCACTGCCCATGGTCTACCGGGAGTGGAAGCTGATGTCGCCGAGGAGTTGGCCTGGGGTCCAGCTCACCCGTGCTTTCCTCACGTTAACCCACACGTCCCCATCAACTCCAAGGAATATCTCACGACCCGCATCATTCGCATCAGACGGGACTGGATGGTCAAAGGCGATCTGGCACCAACTTTCTCCAACCTCTATCCCGAGATTTTAGACCCCCTCTTGCCGGAACAAGAGTTCCGCAAGATCGTCGCCACGGTGAATAACGAACTGATCCAAGCTTTCAACCCGTTCAGCATTCGCAACTTCATCGATGCAGTGCTGGGCCTGCTTACAGGCTGGCTCTGGGAGGACATTGGAGCGTCTGGAGTCAAACACCGCTTGAAAAATATCGAGGCCTGGTTAGAAAACTGGAACAGAGAGGTTGGAGCGAAAACAGGGGTCCGGGTCTGGGGTCTACGACGAACGGCGTATCTGTCTCTCGACATCCAAATTCCCGACCCCAAGGTCGGTGTTGTTCAAAGCGAGGATCCGTCATTAACGGGGACTCGCCCAAATACAGCAGCTGACGGGACATAACATGGTTGCTTCACGATTCACCGGTTTACTTTGGGTTCTTCTCTCACCCGCTTTCTTCCTTTCTTACGGCCTTTTCATTAATCCTTCTTACGCCATTCAGACTGTCTGCGACAGTTCTACCGGATTTCGATTTTATTTGATACCTTGGGGATATTAGGCGGAAAAGCCATATGTATAATTTCTTTCCCAGTTTCTCTGTTATGGGGTGCCCTTGGACATACATAATATTATTACATCTCAGGACATAATATTATTTCTAGGCTGTCTGACCCTAGACCTCTTGTTGCTTAAATTTGAACTCGTTCTTCAGATAAGCTGCCATCAGGGAATCCCGTTGAGTAATATGTCGAGATTATCTTACTCGTGTAAGCTCAGTACATAATCAGCGTTGTCTTTAGCGTCGTAGTAAGGCATCACACATCGGGGAACTGAGATTTTGGGGTCCAATATACCCCTTCTCTCTCAGCCCAGCATGTTCTTTTGTCTTTTCCCAGATCCGCAGGGCTGAGGTAACGACTCATGGTTCAGAATACGTTGGAAGGAAGAAGTACTACAATGAAAGCACAGAAGCAGTCATTCCATCTGTTTGTTTCGGCAGACCATATTCCAAAAATCCTGCTTTGTTACACTGTGCAGTAGTGAAGCTAAAGCAATACAGATGTTTTCTTCATCACAATAGACGGCTTCAGAAGCCTCTCACAGTTCTATCAGCTGCGGCGTACCAGGTGTAGGAGCTGCCGAGTTCCTTGTCTCAACAAACACCTTCTGCATACCCATCTTCCGCTTCGAAAACAAGTCGTACAACTTTGCCATCTCTTCGAGTCGAACACGGTGGGTAACCATGTCAAGAGGTTCAATATCGCCCTTGCGGATGAGGTCAAGTAGATGCTCCCAGTATCTGTGCACGGGGCACTGGCCGTTGGCGATGAGTCGGATACCGAGTTGCATGACAGCACCGATATTGAAGTGGTTCGTCTAGGATGCAGTCAGCATTTCCAGGTGAGTTACAGAAGGTAAGACACATACATAGCCAGCATATACACCCGTCACACCAATCCGTCCGAACGGCCGAATGGAAATGATCATCTCGTTCAACATCTCAGAAGTGTCCGTTTCCATGCCCAGGAGGCTCTCGAAGTAGTGCATCCATCCCTTGGCATACTCGCCGGAAGTGCAATCCAGACACACATCTGGTCCTCCCTGGACCATCTTCTTCAGCTGTGAACTGACCGATTCTCCCTTGGGGAGTTTCGTAAAGTCGAGGGTCTCGATCTTGGGTTTCTTGGACTTCACGAAATCCAATCGCCATGCTGCCTCTCCGCCATCAATGAGAATCACTCTGCTGGCACCGTGGTAGAGACAGAACTCGGCCGCCATCTGCCCAATCGGGCCGGCACCCCAGACGGCCACGACGTCGCCCTTCTCAACGCCAGTATCTGTCACACAGTGCCATGAGGTACACAGGGTATCGGATAGATACAGACCCTTCTCATCAGGGACATCATCTGGAAGATGCAGAAGATTGAAGTCTCCATACGGGACACGGACGTATTCCGCCTGGCCACCGGCAAACCCAGCCGTCAAGTGGGAATATCCGAAGAAGCCTGATGCAAGGATGAGCCTTTAAATCTTTTTTTTTTTTCCTCTCCCTCTTTTTCTAGAGAAAAGTCAAGAACCCACCAGATGTCCGCTTGCCATAAAGCGCATTTTCAAGAGTACTCCCGTTTGTCCGTTCACAGGCCGTGGACAGTTTCTGCTTGCAGAACCTACATTGACCACAACCGATGGAGAACGATGCCACAACCCGCTGGCCGATTTTGACCTTCTTGATCTCGGGCCCCACTTGCTCTACGATCCCACAGAACTCATGGCCGAGAATGTCGCCCTTTTTCATGTCGGGGATAAACCCTAGTGACGAGTTAGCAGCGGTACACGGTGGTTGACTATAATAACTACCTAGGTACGGTGCTCACCATGATACAGATGGACATCACTTCCACAGATCGTACTACCAGTCACTCTGACAAGGACATCGTCCGGGTCGATAATCTTGGGCTTATTTGTCTCGACTAGCGGACAAGTCCATCAGCAACTGATTCAGGTGGCGAATGAAACTGAGCTGGTCTATAGACCCGTAGCGGATAGTATATACATACCAACTTTGACAGAACCCTTGCCCTGCCACGTCGTCGCTTTGATAAGCGGTGCATTCTTGTCCCCAAAGTCGTCCTCCCCGTAATTGCTTATGTCCGTGTGTACGGTAGGATTGTCACCGCGGCCAACGGCCGTTTCAGCGGCATATGTGGCTTGAGCTGTAGCCATTCTGGGCTGGTGCTTGCTCTGGGGTTCTTTGCAGTACGAGTGTAGTATACTGAATGAATGAAGAAAGAAACAAACCCAGGAGGACAATTTCCATGCGATTTAATTAATATTTATTATATACATACATACGTATATCAACTGATGAAGCTGTTCGAGTTTGCCATCTCCCTAGCACTGACATCACGGTGAGGTGGAAGGGCAGCAGTGACGGACCTCTGACAATAATTCAAGTCACGACATGCGAGTAGATGATTCCCATGCTTGATTTCTAATCGAGGATTGATGTTCATGGGGTTTTAATTCGATTCAGGATGTCAATGCAGCTCTCTGTTCTTATGCCCCTTGCGCTGGATATTGTCACGTATTGCTGCGTGCCCTACACGGCTAATACACGGCGAACATAGCATGGAGTGGCTGGCTTCCTATTCTAATTAGAACTCAGAATCGTTCGCTAGTACTTTGCTGCGCCGTAGATGGCCGATTTCCTCGAATAGGGGTATGCATTCCTTTTCCTTCTCGGTAGATGATCTCCGTACCAGAAGCATCTTCTCAACCTTGCCCCCAGTGCAGATGGTAATGGCCAATGTCAGCTGCAAGGGGGAATACACCATAGGAGCATCCTGGAGATGCGAGAAATGAGGGAGGAATACGGGATCATCCCTGATGAAGGGGACCGATGCTGCAGCTGCGCACTTAGGTCTCGATCCTACCGGGGCTACAAGGCTTCCTTGACCTGGCTGTCGGCGTAAAACAACGATATTTGCTCTTGATAATGATGCAAGCATCGCATCGGATCAGCTCGCGTATCTAATATCCATCCACAAAGGACCACCGAAGCGACGGGGAAGATGGAGACGGTGGATCAGATAATACGACCGGGCTCCATATGGACTCCACGGAGTGTTCATGCATTAATTAATTGTCATGACAGGTCATTTCCACATGGCGTCGAAGATAAGAATTAGCAGAGCTTTGCACGACTTTTCACCGAGCCAGCCCAAACAGGTAGATGTTCAACAGCTTTTCAGAATATGCCGGTAGCAGCAGGTGAGACATCTCTCGCGCTAGAAGCTTGAGTTTGCGGTTTCTGAACTGTCATTTTGCTGTTCGGAATCTGCAACTGAATAGATCGAGAAGGGATCCAGTTCAATTACGGAATGTAGGAATCGGAGCAACCGTGGAGGCTGGACTGGTCATTCTGCAGGAACACTGCATGCCAGGCTGTACCTGTCACGTCGGCGACGAAGGTAAACAACAGTAACGATGACAATCGTGTGGTTCTTGATGGGACTTGGATGTTTGTTGCGGATGGTCAGAAGAAGCCAAGAAGCTAGTCACATCAAGCACGATCCTGCGATGGAGACATTCTCTCTATCTCCATCTTCCGCATCTCCGCTGTCAGACGGTCAAACCCTGGCAATCACAAAGGAACGATGGGCTTGCGCCGGTTGTTTCAGCACAAGGTACGATCCCCGTCCAAATGGCCCATTGGGCGCTCCTGGAAGGCTTGTGTCTCATCTTGGCTTCAGTTTCGTTCCCTCCGTCCAACAGCCGCATCGCAGCAGCATCCTGGTCCAGGTGCGTTCTATTGCCTTCTCATTTCCACTTCACTTCCAACGGCGACGATGCAGCCGCCGGCGCGACGTGTCTGCTCCTGTTTAATGAGGCTTAATGAAAGGCCTTCCTGGTGCCTGTCTGTCGACGATTAGTGCTTATTCCAGGTCTCTCCGCCTCCATGCACACAATGCCATTATATATCTACCCACCATCCCTGTCCCTTTTCTGCATGTCTGTTTTCTATGGCCGGGCAATTCGTGCTCTTCTCTTTCCTTTCTATACTTCCTTTTCTGCTCAGGCCTGAGCTTGCTCAGCCGTCCTTTCCTTCCATTCGTCTCCTCGTCATTCCTTTACACAAACCCAAGAGTCGCAAGCAGCCGACTCGGCCTGTCCTTTACTTTATCAACCCCGTTCCCTCCCTTCCCTTCCCTCCCTTTCTTTTCTGCTGCAGGGCCCTGGTGGCACTAAATGCTCGTCGTATATTTACTTGCTTCGTTGCTCGCAGCGATGTCCGTTGCCGCACAGTCTCAGCCCAAGAGCGTGTTCGCTCACTTTATCGTGAGTGTGTTTGCTATCCGTTCAGACTCGCCCCTGTTACGGGACTCTCGCCGACACAGGACTGCTAGGTCGGAAATGCTGCGTCGATGACTCCAGAGCAATGGGCATCTGATATTTCGGAGGCCCAGAAAGCCCACATTGACGGTTTCGCTTTGAATATCGGTCAGCAAGACTCATATACCGACGCGGTGCTCGAAAACGCTTACAATGCGGCCGACGCTGCGGACAACTTTTTCCTCTTCCTGTCTTTCGACTACGCCTCGGGCGGTGCGTGGCCGGCGGACAGGGTCATCTCCACCATCAACAAGTTTAAGAATCGCGCCTCCCAGTTTCTCTACGATGGAAGGCCGCTGGTCTCCACGTTCGAGGGGCCCGGGAATGCGGCGGACTGGCCTGGAATCAAAAGCGCCACGGGATGCTTTGCCATGCCCTCGTGGACGAGCCTGGGTCCGTCCGGGATCTCGTCGGTGTTGAATGACATTGACGGTTTCTTCAGCTGGGATGCCTGGCCCGTCGGGGCGGAGGACAAAACTGTCGCGAGTGACCAGACGTGGATGAACGCGATTTCCGGAAAGCCTTACATGATGCCTGTGTCTCCCTGGTTCTATACCAGCCTGCCTCAGTGGAACAAGAATTGGCTCTGGCGAGGCGATGATCTATGGCATGACCGCTGGCAACAGGTCATTGAACTACAGCCTGCCCTTGTCGAAGTATCATACCTTTTCCTGCTGTATGGAAGGATGCAGTTCCCCCCCCTCCTCGGCTAACTGGTATCTATTCAGATAATCACCTGGAATGACTACGGAGAATCGCACTACATCGGACCCATCCATGATGCGGGAATCCCCGAGGGAGCCTCACGCTATGTCTCCAACAGCCCCCACGACGCGTGGAGAAGCCTCCTTCCCTACTACATCGATGCCTACAAGTCTGGCAATACGACCGCCTTAGATACCACGTCCGACACGATCACTTACTGGTACAGGCCCAATCCAACCACCTCCGGCAGCGACGGCGGTACCACCGGTAACAACCCCCAGCAGGGCCAGCAGGCGCTGAACCCCGCACTCCTTTCTCTGGACAAGGTGTTCCTGACCGTGCTGGTCTCCGAGCCGAGTACGATCACCGTTCAAATTGGAGATGCCCTGCCCACATACCTCCGTGCCGTCACTGCAGGCATCAACCACTTTTCCGTTCCGTTCCTGGGCCAGACAGGACCCGTGGAGTTCGCGATCGTGAGGGATGGCCAAACGGTCGTCAGTGCCACCGGTCCTGAAATCACTGACCAATGTGAGAATGGGCTGATCAACTGGAATGCCGTTGTTGGCTCGAGTGATACTTCGTAGGGAGGGCCGGACCGTTCTCTCGATAACATCGCTTCTAGTTCCTTTCTTTTCCTTTTCGCCTTTCGTTTCTTTGTCTGTCTTGCCTTTCTCCTCTTTTATTATCCATGCAGAACGCCGACTCTGTTAGTAAATAGCTCAATAAGATACGGCTAAACAGGCCTTTTGACTCTCAGAATCTTGGACGTGGAGCTAAGTGACTCTTGACTAAGTGTTGACGGTGCCAAGGAGGGCAGTCGCTGAACTTGTCTGAATTCACAATTTCCCCTTTTTTTTTTTTTTTTTTTTCTTTTTTTTTTCTTTTTTCTTTTTCTCTTTTCTCAGTGTTTTGGTTCATCTTGGCTTAACTAACTAGGAGTATGTGCTGAGTAAGAGCAGCGCTTTTTCTCATCAGCGACTATGATCTTGAAACGTTAGACCATCTACTAGTTAAATACACTGCTTGCTGGCAAGGCCTTTAAATATCTGCTTCAGTGTTTTCCCAATTGACTCCAATTTCTGGAGTGGGGTAAATAACTGTCTTTGAAGCAGTATCTGAGCCATTTAGTGTAGGAACTCTGGATAAATTAAAAACCACGCTTATCTGCATTTAGAAGCTGTTTATAAGGACTTCTTCTTGAATAGATAATAATATCCTCCGTATGGTTGTCTGCAAATGTTTCTGAGTGTGGTTTCCCCTTGAGGTGGTGCTCACGAAGAATACTTTCAGATACCCCAAACGCCTTGGCAGCTTGCCTTTTGCACTTAATTTTTTTTAAAACAACAATAATAATAATTCATAGGCATTTTGAATTGAAATGGTGAAAATATAACGTGTTGAAGGAGTAGGTAGTTGAATATTTGATGATTTGCGGAGAAAATGCGCCGCTCACCCGTGGGAATACCATTGATAAGCAGCTGATAGGCATCTGCCTGCTAGCCTGCAGTGAATGATGTATCCAACACCTTGCTCTTCTTCCAGTCATCAGTCTCTTTCAGCACCAAACAACCCTCCTCAGCCCTCAATTTCTCAATTACCACTCTGAAAATGACGAGAAGACATTTTTTCGATCTCCAAGATTCGTCTCTGGCATTACGCCCGTCAGACTCCAGCAGCATTCCTCCCGAACCTTATGTTCCCCGTTCCCTTCCCCAGCCACGCGCCAGCCGCGAAAGCGTCTCCCCTGAAGCCTACACAAAGCCGTACTGTGAGTTCATGACAGAGAATCCGACCATATTCCATGCCGTCGATGCCTTCTCGAGACAGCTTGAGCAGCATGGGTACAAGCGCCTCTCCGAGCGCGCAGTGTGGACCTCGCAACTGAAAGCTGGCGGGAAATACTACTGTACGCGTAACGGCAGCGCACTGATTTCCTTCGCTATTGGGAAGGACTACAAGAGCGGCAATGGCATTGCCATTATAGGGGGCCATATTGATGCCCTGACGGCGAAGCTGAAACCCGTCTCCAAGCTTCCAACCAAGGCGGGTTTCCGCCAGCTCGCTGTTGCGCCATACGCCGGTGGTCTGGGTAGGACATGGTGGGATCGTGATCTCTCCATTGGTGGTCGCGTATTGGTGCACAACCCGGCAACAGGCAAGGTTGAGACCAAGCTGGTGAAGCTGGATTGGCCGGTGGCCAAGATCCCGACGCTGGCGCCGCATTTCGGGACCCCCTCCCAGGGTCCCTTCAACCAGGAGACGCAGATGGTTCCTGTGGTGGGGATTGATAACTCGGATCTTTTTGCGCAGACGACGACTCCTCCTGCCGAGGGTAATCATGGTGCTTTCAAAGCAGGCTCTTTTGCCTCCACGCAGCCTGAGAAGCTGGTCAAGGTCATCTCGCGCGAGCTGGGCATCGCGGATGCGAATGATATTGTCAGCTGGGAGCTTGAACTGTATGACAGCCAGCCCGCGCAAGTGATCGGACTGGAGAAGGATTTGATATCCGCCTGCCGCATTGATGACAAGCTGTGCTGCTATGCCGCGCAGGAGGCGCTAATAGCCTCTCCGGATGACGCATCAAGCGGTGTTGTGAAGATGGTTGGCATGTTCGATGATGAGGAAGTTGGCAGCTTGCTGCGTCAAGGTGCTCGCTCCAACTTCATGAGCAGTGTGATAGAGCGCATTGCAGAGGCCTTTGCCCCTAACTACGGACCAAACGTGCTCTCTCAGACGGTAGCAAACAGCTTCTTCGTCTCTTCCGATGTCATCCACGCTGTTAACCCGAACTTCCTCAATGCCTACCTGGAGAACCATGCTCCCCGTCTGAATGTTGGCGTGGCTGTCTCTGCCGATCCGAACGGCCATATGACCACTGACAGCGTCAGTTATGCTATTCTCAAACGCGTCGCTGAGCGCTGCGGATCTATACTTCAGGTATTTCAGATCCGCAATGACTCGCGAAGCGGTGGCACCATCGGCCCTATGACCAGTGCACGCATTGGCGTGAGAGCTATCGATGCCGGTATCCCTCAGTTGAGCATGCACAGCATTCGCGCGACAACCGGTAGTTTGGATCCTGGCTTGGGCGTGAAGCTGTTCAAGGGATTCTTTGACTATTTTGAAGAAGTCGATAGGGAGTTTTCTGATTTCTAGACTGTTCCTATCTTGATTCTTACTTCTCTTGTTACGCACTATGTTCTATCTCTGTCGTTTTTGACCTTTTCTGCTCCACGAGCATTTGTTTGTGCCAAACTGCTTTCTGTTTATCAGTTTATATATGTTTTTTATTGACTACTCGTGTGGCTTCTTGCCTTGTTATTCACCTCATATTTTGCTCCGTCTACTAATATCCAAATGATAGATGAGAAGAGGATATGGCATAAACGTAAGGTCATTGACACAGAACCATTAAGACACCCTTTTCTTACTCCATGAGAATGCACTAGATCCCCCCCAATTTCCCTCATATCAACCCATTTCATTTCGTGTCAGCAAATCAAGTGAACTGTTTGTGACTCACAGTCGGCCCCGACGACACAGACGACCGATACCTATCCTCACTCCTCAACGTCGTCGTCGTCGTCGTCGTCGTCGTCGTCGTCGTCGTCGTCGTCGTCGTGGTCATCACCCCATTCGAATCCTTGGATAATCTGCACCCGAACCCCTTGTGATGTTGAACCAAAGTCACCGCACTCTCATCATCGTCATCGTCATCATCGCCGCGATCACGATCAACATGTTCGGTATGCGCCAATCGAGTATCATCACTCAAACAGGCTGCGACTCGAGCGGATGCTTCTACCTGCAAGCGCTGGTGGACGTCTATAAGCACCGGCGGGAAAGTGACGGTATTCAAACTCCGCGTTCGCGGAGTCAGGGATGCGAGGAAGTTCGGCAGGATTTTGGATAGCAGTGGTCGGAGCGTGGGGAGACAGGCGCAGATTATACCTGTGTTGCATTCGATTGCGGACCAGGTGGCGGCGCCGACGTTGTCGTCTGTCTGTCATGGTTATTTCTTCTTACCTTCAGCACCTTGATTTCATACAAGGGAAAACTTACAGGTAGGGTCGGTTGAGTCGGCGATCTTTTTCAGACTGATTAATCGGATGATGCTGGTTATGCATACACTGGAATCATCAGCAGTGAACCAGACAGCAGGTAAACAGCTAATCAACATGGAAGGTGAAGGAAAAGGAAAAACCCTTACAACCCGCCCAAGGCAAAGATGCCAATAATCCCAACCCTCTGTCTAAGGGGCAATCTCAACCCCTTCAACGCCGGGATGGGGATGATCAAAATCGCAATATCCGTCAGGATATGCATACTAGCATTGGAGAACCACAACGCTTCCGAATCAAGGCAGTATCCCCTTATCGAGGGTTCCCAGAATTTAGCCACGGGGATGCAGTTGAGGAATCCACTTATCACAGCCCAGGTGCCGTAGGTAGCTAGTGCAGCGAGCACGATCGAGCAGGTGAGTCTCATGGACGGCGTCGGGAAGACACGGTGGTATTGGAGGAGGATTGAAGCTTTTGCGCAAAGCAGAGCGGTATTATAGAAGGGGATGGTGAGGTAGAAGGCCTGTTTTCCAGTTCATTTGCATTTTTATCACAACTCACGCTTTGATTGACACTTATGAGCATCGGCCATGGACTCACTTTCATTTGCTCCTGTTTGACGCGCAGGGGGATATCATCATCCGGCATTCCCAATCCGTGAACGGCTTCGAGTATGAAGAATGACATGAAGATGAACGAGAATGTCTTTCTAGAAGTCAGTTTTGGCGTCTAGGGCACAGGGGAAGTATGCCTCCGTATGGAGGAGAAAAAAAGAACAAATAATACCAGTGCAATAAGTATCATCCAGTCATTCGCCTCCATATGCTTTACCAAATATCTCCTGGTATAAACGCGTGCACTGACAAGACATGCCGCCAGGGTTGTGAAAGTGATGCTGACTGCCATCGCCTGGGCTCCGCGCGAACAAAGCCAGACATGTCTCTCGTGGCTGTCTCGTGGATACAAAATATGACGGGTATCGATATCGAACATGTCGGGCATGGCCGCTTGCTCAGTTTAATAGAATCTATCTGTCTTCGATATTAGAAGACAGATAGAGAAACCACGAACATGATGAAAATAAAATAAAAATAAAAAAGGGGGGAAAGAAGCAAGAAAAAAGAACAATATTAACAAAATAATAGAGCTTACTAGCAGTTACACCCCGCACCTTGACTCCTGATATCTGTTCTGTTCTGGCTATTGTCGTACAAGGTGGTCTATTCTCAATGCACAGACTGATACTGTATAGTATGGGTCAGTGTAGGATGAGATGAACGATCCCAAAGCAGACAGCACTCAGACAGACCTCTTTTTTCTCGCTTCCATACTCGAGAGCCTGAGGAGAAAAGATAGAATAAAAAAAGAAAAGGGGGCCAAAGGATAGAGACGAAAGATATCTAAATATACTTAGACCAGGCAATCAATATATCAACCAACCAAGCTACGAACGAAGCAACTACTAGAAAACCGCATTCGAACACATAAGTTGATATGGGGATTCCCATGCTACTGTAGCATGATATGCTCTACGTATAAGCGTTGAAGCAAACCTACATTTACCTGTCCTTGGACGTAGATCTATCTCCTTGTCTAGGATGACTATTTGGCTCGCTCTGCGGGTTAGATATCCTAGGACGCCGTCTGTGCAATAAGAAGACAAAGCATGAATAGGGCCTAGACAGCAGACTGGAAATCGTCATGATTGATTGCTCTGGTATGGCTACTCCCTTTTTGCTAAACGTCGTCAGTTGCTGCTATATTCCGGATGCGGCTTATAGGACTATGATAACAAAGGCAAAGGACGATCTCCTGTCCCATATAGCATTTACCGCAGATCTACATAATGGTTTGAAACGAACCTCTTGTTTCATATACTGAAACAAGAGGCGAATGCAGTGACTGCGAAAAAAATGAGAAAAGGGTCTATCAACCCATACAGTAGATCCGCGTAGTTGAACAACTGCAGGGGCCATTCCGGTTAATTCACTGCAGAGTTATTGACTGATTCGCAGTATACATTTTACTAGCCAAGATAGATGGGATATCCATCATCCATGCCGATGCTGGTGTAAATGTACACGCACGAGTACTATAGGAGATGTGGTTAATCCATCATCCGACCAAGGCTGGGATGGGGCTGGGGGGAAACGAATCGAGCCCAACTCGGGAGATCTTACATTAGAAATAAAATATAGTTTATTGAATAGTTGATAGGTTGAACAATGCATGCATCAACGCTTATATGCATTCCGGATGGTATATGAGAAACGCTATTTACTCAGGTACGTGTTGCACCAACCCTGTTCCATATGCATGCAGGAATTCATTTGTACTCGGAAGCTAGAACCAGCCAGTAAAACATGAGCAATCTGCATAAATGGATAGGGAATGCGGATGTACTTTCTGTGGTGGTAGTCGTAGAGAATCCGGCTTGTCATTAGGGCTAACATAAACGACGGCAAACAATCGACGAGACGCGCAATCCATCCCAGTTAAAAAAAAAAACCAAAAGCCAAATATGACTAGTAGTATACACCAGTACTCTATTATGGGATTCTGGATCATGCATAATATCCACTTATAGCTCCCCCAGGCAAGCAGATTCGGGAGAGGAAAGCCGGCCTGGAATCCATAATCCCACTCTTCCTGCATGCCTGGAAGTACAATTAACATGCAAGCATCCATGCCATGCATTTAGTAGACTATTCATCCATAGTCTCGTTCAAGAAATGCATTCGTTGGGGCTAGAATTCTCTACGTATCGAATCAACGCAGACCCAGGCCGTGGAGCGGAATACTAGACATACACATACACACTCACTCACTCACTCACTCGCTCTCTCTCTCTGTCTGTCTATCTGCAGGAAACGTGCAGCAGGCTCGTACAAGGGCATTGTGCCTATAGCCTGCTTTCTCCTGGCTACACAAACGACAGTCGACTTGGAAATCTGACCAAGCACACACGTGGGTTAGGTCGTGGCTCAGACGTCTGTTCGCGAGGGGATTCATCATCCGATATGCACAGCAGTAGATGTTTGCCAGAGGAAAGAGCAGTAGATGCTATGGGGCTGTATCAAATTCCAGGTCAGACCACTGTAGGTAATGTAAGCACATTGGATTGCGGCAAACAGTTTTGCTTGTCCATAGTCCCTCCCATTGCTGATAGTGATTTGCAGGCCGGGTTTCCTCCTCCTTTTCGACACCTAGGTTCTCCCTGCAATTATGCCGGTCTTTTTTTAACGTAGATAATTTCTGTACCAATAACCCGATGGCAAAGGAAACAAACCGATGTGTCGAGTGAGGATGTTTCTCCTGGTTAATAGTGTATGTTGTAATGGATAGGCGCATGTATGGTCGTATTACTAGGTAGGCCTGCCTGTGCCGTGAGATAGGTAGCGAGGGCGGTCTAGGACGGCAGAACCTCACGTGTACTAACACCCCCCCACGCACGAGCAGCCTACAAACTATGGAATCAATCTAAATACAGAAATCGGCCTCTATTCGGGCCTTCAAATGAGTGAATATATGCAAAAATAAACAGAGGAATTAAGGTTCTGCTTTAGCCAATCGAATGCCGTATATCAAAATAGAAAATATATCCAAAATGGGGGAGATATACGCGGCTTAGCTTATGCCAGTGAGTTGTAGGAAATGATCAAATTGTTCAGTTCGGAGAGGTTTGGTCAGGCCGTCTGCTGCTTGTTCTTTGGTAGGGCAGGCCTGGAGTTTAACAATACCGTCTTGGATCTTCTCCCGAACGTAATGGTAACGTATATCGATGTGTTTGGATCTCTTGGTGGTGAGCTCAGCTTCAGCCATGGCGTGTGCACCTTGATTATCGATATGGAGAGTAATTGGCGGGCATTCAGTAGGGAGCACGTTGAGCTCGTGGATGAGGTTCCGGAGCCAAAGGGCATCTCGGCTGGCTTCACTTAGAGCCATATACTCAGCTTCGTTGGAGCTAAGTGCAACGGACGTTTGCTTGCGGCTTTTCCAGGCAATTGGGGCCCCGGCAAGCAGAAATATATATCCAGATACTGACCGGCGATTGCCTGTCAGTTGACCACCCCAATCAGAATCAGTATAACATCTGGGCATGAGGAGGTCAGATGTAATGGGTTCCGTGGCCTTATGGTAGGTAATTTGTCGGTTAATGGAGCCTTTAAGGTAGCGTATAGCGTGTATAAGGGCACGCCATGCCTTTTGGGTAGGTTTGGCGTGATATTGGGATAGTACGCCAACTGTCCGGCTAAGATCAGGTCGGGTTTTGGTGGCTAGCCAAGTAAGGCAGCCTACACCACGTTGATATTCTTTGATGTTCACTGTAGGGTCTGGGTCATCATCAATTATTAAACTAGGATCCATGGGGATCCCAACAGGGTGTGCTTGTGCTTGGCCAAAAGAGGCAACCACGTCTTCAGCATAATTGGCCTGGGAGAGAGTATATGTGGTCTTGGATTGAGAGGTGGCCATGCCAAGGTATTTGGTAGAGTTTCCAACTTCTTTTATGTCAAATTTAGCAGAAAGAGACTCCATAAACCAAGTGGCATCGTTCTCATGCTTAGCATAGACTTTGAAGTCATCCACATGGGTAGTCACATAGAGTTGGGTCCGGGTGGTATGGATCCAGAGACCAGAGTCGTATTCGGAGCTTTTGAAGCCAATTTGTCGTAAGAAAGCATTTAGTGTATCATACCAGATACGGGCAGATGGGATTAGTCCATAGAGGGACTGGCGGAGTTCACAAACCAGGTCTCCAGAGCCTTCTTTGAATCCCTGAACTTGGGTCATAAAGACACGTTTATCTGTGGGCATTTTTCCATTTAGGAAAGCAAGGATGGCATCTGCCTTTCGAGTATGCCAGCCAAGTAGAGTGGCCAGTGCTGTAAGGGTTCTAGTGGTATTTTCATCTACCACTGGGGCGTATGATTCCATGAAGTCCTTGTCAAGTAGATTTCCACGGATCACCCAGCGAGCTTTAGCTTGGTAGTCCCTTGTAATAGGGGTACCAGGGATTTCTTTCTTTTTGTATACCCACCGGCCAGGGATGACCTTGGTCCCTGGTGGTAGGTCAGAGCGGCGGATAAGTTGCCAGCAGCCTTTTTCTTTGAGTTGGTTGACTTCTTTTTGCATGGCTGCTTGCCACTTGGTGGCATCAGGATGAGATATAGCCTGCTTATAGGAAGTAGGCGTGTCATCTTCAGATGAAGGAGTGGTTGAAGCGGTGAGATAGGCTAGGGACATGCCTTTGGCGGGTCGAAGCCATATTTCCTGGTCTTCATCTTCAACAGGTTGGTTTGTATCTTCTTTATTAGGAGTACTTGGATCTTCAGGAACAGTAGCTTGTGGAGGTGTAGTTGTGGGATCCTCATATTCTTCATCAAATATAGTGTCATTGGTTGAAAAAATGGCGTCTGTTTTAGGGTCCCACACTCTGTATTGTTGGCTACTGATTTGGCCGATCATGAAGCAGCATTTAGAGTGGGAATCGAACTTGTTTATAGGCTTATCTGAGCCATGTCGATGAACCCAGACAGGGCAGCCCCAACGTCGGTATTTGTTGATACTAGTTGGTGAGTTGGTCCAGGCAGCCAGAGGCGATTTATATGGGCTTGGGCTGATTTTTGTGTTGGTATTGACCCCCCCAGGGATAGGTGAATTGAATAGGATTGTGGATGTTGGGAGGCGGTTTGTTATATCTGATGCATATTTTAAAGCATCAACCCAAAATCGCTGTGGTATATGGGGAGCGTCAAGCATTAATGTCCGAGCACGGTCAAAGAGTATGCGTATGCTGCGCTCACTGACACCGTTTTGCCAAGGGGAATATGGAGAACTTGGTTGCCATTCGATGCCTTCCTGACGGTAGGTTTTCTGCCATTCAGCTGAACAGAATTCATTGTCAGAGACAATATAGGCTGGGGCAGGGAAATGGTGATTCTTCATCTGTTGTAGCCAACCCCGAAATGCATCAATTGCAGCAGATCTTTCAGTTAGGTAGTGGATCCAACGGTAACGTGTAGCGTCATCAGTAATAAGCATCACATATTTGGCTCCTGTACGTGAAGGTAGAGGCATATCTAGCTTCTCTATATCTAGTGTTCGGCCGCCACCAGCAAGGTCTATGTGGACTCGGGCTAGTGGTGCAGTCATACGGGATCTTGGTGTTTTGCTGTATTGGCGAGTTTGCTTGCCCTGGATGCAGGCTTCACAAAGTGGTAGTTCTTTGGAACCTTTGATTTCAATGTCTGATGTAGGATCTGCGGCAAGGCGTAAAAGATCCTGCTGGTTTAAATGGCATAGACGGCGATGCCATGTCATAATTGGTAGAGCTGTTTTGGAGCTCTTAGTCTTTGGGGATGTTGTAGGTTTCTTTCTGGGAGGGTCCCCTGGTCGGTTGGCCTCTTTGCCAGACCGGGTGGTGACAAAGGCATAGGAGCTCTCGTCGGGAGAAATGCAATCTGATAGGATGAATACATTGTTGGTATTCAAAATGGCTTCAAATTCTGCACCAGAAGAGGTTGTGATTTGTGCTACTTGAGAGCTGGAAGGGAATTCGATACGAAAACCTTGTTTGAGAAGCATTCCCATGGAGATTAAGTTGGAATTGAAGGATGGAACATGTCGTACATCCCTAAGGATCAAGGATCCGGTTCCAATATCAATGACGACGGTGCCAATACCATGAGGTTTGGAAATCTTCCCTTGAGCATCTTCAATATAATCCGCTGGAGTAAGGTCCTCCTTTCTCAATGTTTTATAGGACGTGAAGAAAGCTTGGTGGGGTGTAACATGGAATGAAGCACAGCTATCAAGATACCATGAAGCTTGGAGAGATTGGGCTGATTTAGCAATGGCTGTTTTTGCAGCTGAAGAAGTCCATGGTACCAGTTCATTGGTTTCTGCTTCAGAGAATGAAGCAGTGGAAGATTCTTTAGCAGTGTGTAAAGCACGAATAGCTTCAATAGTATTTTTATTGGCTCGGCGCCAATGCTCAGAGGCTTTCTCAGGGTTCTTGTAGAGGCAAGGCATTGGGTGGAAATGACCACACCAATCACAACGGGTCTTTGGTTTGCGTGAGTCCTGGTCCTGAGGTTTATATTTAGTGTTGGAACTTGAGGCGGAAGAGCTAGCAATGGGGTTAGATGCTTGTTTGGAATAGCTTCGTCCGGATAGATTCTCTCGTCGTCCTCCGTGTTGGGAGCAGGATTCACGGGCTTGGGTGCCCATACGGATAGAGAGTTGAGCTTGAATGGTAGTTAGGTCCAGATTGATGACAGGGCCTTGTCCAGTTGAGTATACTTCATCAAGTTTACTCTTAATGAATGCTTTGTTCCATTCGCGGAGGCCTATAAAAAATAGGTCGTGAATAAGGTTGTCAAATGATGCTTCTTTTATAGCATGAAGGCGGTCTACTATCCTAGTAAACGCAGATTGGTAGGATAGGTAGTCATTGTCTTTTATATAGAGCTCCTTGAGCTCTTTTATGAGAAGCATTCGTTCTTCACCAGTAGAACGTCCGAAAAAGGTAGCAGTTCGGTCCCATAAACCATGGGCTGATAGGTCATATGTGTTGCCCAATTTGTCAATGGCTTGGGCAGTCATAGCATGAAGCATTCGGGCTCTCATGACAGTGGCTTTGCAATGCCATACTTCAGCATCATAAGCTGAGTATCCTGCTGGAGGTATATCCTGATGCAAGACTGTACTAGCGTTCAGGACATTGGCTTCTCTTTGAATGGCTGAACTCCAGGGGTCGTAATTATCATGAGACAGTGTGATTCGGCATCGGTCTGGTAAGAGCGCTTTAACTTGAGCTTGTACATGATCAAAAGGATCTTTTTGTACTGGATTTGAGGCTGGAATAGCTGTATTATTTTGAATATGATTGTAGGGAGTAGCGTTATGCCGGACTGTAGGAGTGGAGGATTGGGATTGATGGCGTTCAAGGGCATTAAAACGAGTCATGAACTGGTCCATCTGCTTCTGCATTTGCTCCTGCATCTGCTTCTGCATTTGTTCCTGCATCTGCTTCTGCATTTGTTCCTGCATCTGTTCCTGCATCTGCTGGAACAGAGCTGTGATGTCTGGTGTGGATGCCATGGTGTTGGCTGTAGTAGAGCTTTGAGCTCTAGGGGCAGTTGGGGTGTCCATTTCTTCAGAGATTACTGAGGAGGCGGAGGAGCCTATATCTGATGAAGGATCTGTGGATTCTGGCTGACGACGGTGACGTCTAGCGGTGGTAGGGGGCGTTCGAGGCACCACCATTTTGGATGGGATCGATCGAAGGATCCTGGGGTTCAGGGGCCGATTGTTGGCGGTCCTGGTGTTCAGAGTCGCTTAGAAGCGCTCGATTTCTGGTTTGACCAATGAGAGGTCACAATTTAGCCTATCTGAAAGGCTTTTTTTTTTAAGCTCAATATCGTAGAGCTAAAACGGGCTCATAACCTAATGGATAGGCGCATGTATGGTCGTATTACTAGGTAGGCCTGCCTGTGCCGTGAGATAGGTAGCGAGGGCGGTCTAGGACGGCAGAACCTCACGTGTACTAACATGTTGATGTGAGATATCATCCATCGATAAGATAACGAACGCACAGACCAGATACAGCCAGAAAGAAAATCCAGACAACTCAGTCCGACTCAAGAGTCACATCCACCACCGGAGACTCTCGCTTCCCGGCATTCTCAATTTCTTGCGCAGGGTGTTACGAGGGGAGCAGCCATGGCAGACTCAGAAACCCCCAAGCCTATCCACAGCATTGTCCTAGATGCAGGTCCCATCCTGAAGAACACCCCGCCTTTGTCCACCCTCCTCGCACAATGCGAGGAACTCGTCACGACGCCCTCGGTTGTCAGTGAAATCCGCGATCCAGACGCAAGATTACGAGTCGAGACGCTCTATCTCCCTTTCCTGAAACAGCGGACCCCGACCCCCAAAAGCGTCAGTGTTCTAAGCGAGTTTGCGCGGAAGACTGGTGACCGGGCTGTGTTGAGTAAGACTGATATCGAAGTTTTGGCACTTGCGTACGAGATTGAGTGTGAAAGGAATGGAGGTGATTGGAGATTGAGGAGTGTCCCGGGACAGAAACGGGTGAACGGGAAACCGCCTGTCAAGGAGGAAGAGAAGAAGGACGAAGAGCAAAAGGAGGATACCAAAAAAGAAGAGCCTACATCTGTGGAAAGGCCAGACGGGCCTGGAGAAAGCGCAGACGTTGAGAAAATAGCGCATGATTTGAAGGAGACAACTCTCGAGAATGACGACGCTACACCTACTACGAAGAATGAGGGCACTCCGGTGACAGAAAATCTTACAACAGATCCTGCAGCTGCGCAAGAGCCTGAGGGCCAAGAAGATGAGGGCTCCGACTCGGATTCAGGGGGTTGGATTACACCTTCTAATCTGAAAAAACGTCAAATCCGTGATGAAGCACTCTCTGCGTCTACGGTGCCAGAACCAAAAGTGATGCAAGTCGCGACCATAACTACGGATTTTGCTGTAAGTTTTCCCCAAACGAAGTGTATCTGAAGGGGGGAAAGAAAAGTTTCATGCGACATTTGCTAACTCGTTTCAAGTGCCAAAATGTTCTACTCCAAATGAATCTCAACCTCCTTTCCACAACAACGATGCAGAGAATCCGTCATCTGAAATTCTTCATCAAACGCTGCCACGGATGCTTCGCAACTTCTAGGGATATGACAAAGGACTTCTGCCCGCGTTGCGGGAAAGATACCCTCACCCGTGTGTCATGTACTACGGACGCTAACGGCCAATTCAAAATGCATCTGAAGAAAAATATGCAGTGGAATAATCGAGGAAACCGATTCAGCATCCCCAAGCCTGTGCATGGCAGCTCAAGCGGAAAGTGGAAAGGCGGTGGAGGCAAAGGTGGATGGGGAACAGATCTCATCCTCACCGAGGACCAGAAGGAGTATACGAAGGCTGTTGTGGAGCAGGAAAGGCTACACAGGAGAGAGCGAGATCTCATGGATGAAGATTACCTACCGGGTATTGTGACAGGAGAGCGCTTGAAGCATGGCGGTAAAATCAGGGTAGGAGCTGGAAGGAATGTGAATTCGAGGAAGCGGTAGTGGGTATTCTTTTCTTCAATTCATGGTTATAGAAGTATTGCATTGGAGTTCTGGTACTCAAAAGCTCTATCATGTTGGATTTTTCTGTGGATGGTTTTTGTTGATAGATTCATGAGCAACAAGGGTCTCAGATTGGCATAGGTATCTGCACAAGCACAAGGCAGGAGCCTCAAAAAGAGATTCGCAAGTATGGCCCTGAGATCAGAAAACATAATGAACTGGATATAGTCGACATTGAATCCCCAACGACATAACACCATTCGCCAATAATAGATCAAAGCACCATAACATATTATTTTCTTTGCCCCTTTATAAATTCTTTTAAATTTTCGCAGCCTCCTTGTCTATAGTGTCCCAGGAATCAGCTTGCGAATACCGAGGTTTGGGAGCGGGGGAGACCATACCAGGTTGTTGGGTAAGCAGAAGGCCGTATCTCTTCTTCAGGGTAACACGGTGCCTACAATAGCGAAATTGTCAGTAGAATCCCGAAAGCAAAGATGGTCCGCGTGAACAGCTCCCCCTTCTGTACGGGTGTTCCCGGGAATTAAAAAGAGCCACGCACCTTGAATACTTGTCATCCGGAGAAAATCTGGCTGGGTGTGCGGATTTTGTAACCTCGCCATTCAGGACCTTCTTGAGCGTGTAAATCCGCTTTCCGTCCTTGTCAAGGGTGTACTGGGACCGGAATCAGCTTCTATTCACTTCTCGGGGCTTGTATGTTGAGAGGTGGAAAGTCGACGTACCATAAGATGCATCCTAAAACAGGGAATTTGTCAGTACACCTATCACTGAAAAAAGGAACACAGCAAGGGATCTCACTTGAATAGTTATTCAGGAAGCCTGTAAATAATATGTCAATTCCGCAGCGTTGAAGACGACAATAGGAAAAAGTTCCGTCGAAATTGAGGAAAATTCGAAGATCCAAGGCGGTGGAATCTCGCTGAGTCATCAGCCCTACTCCCAACCAAAAAAAAAATTTTTTTCTTTTCTCTTTCCCCTCTTCCTACGCAGCTATCTTCTTAACTCACCATGTTGCGGTTGATGAATGCCACACATGGCCCTTCTCGGGTCTGAATGTAATGTTCCAATTAATATTTGCATTATCGACACTCTTTTGCGTTAGATGCTAAGGGTTCTGGAAGAAGATTCTTCTGGTGAGTGTTCACTGTTTCCCCCCAAACACCTGCCTCCCTGCGCTTCTTTTCTCTCCTATGATGATCAAATCTATACCCAAGCTCAGACAAATGGCGTTTGATTTCTTGTTGTTTGTCAATGATTATGCTCTTTTAAAGACTACAACGGTATCTGAGAGAGATACTTGGTTTCTGTTGGAAAAAAATTTTCTCACCTCGATGGAAGAAGACCGGACTGCTAATGCTCTTCGTGTAGCACCACAATTGAGATAGAGATGGCTCGTTAGTGTCGATCTCCCAATCAACCAAATGCCAGATCCTATACCCTCTGGGGCTGTGGCGGCCTCTCCCAAACCTAGTGCCGGTAGATCTCGTCCTCGGCCTCCCAAGCCCAACTACAAACATATCCATCGCTTTCCCTTACCAATTAGCGTCCATCCTCTACCTCCCTTAATTCCTCATAACCCTCTTTCTGTTATAAGTGTTGCGCTCTCTTACCTCACTTACATTATCTCACCACCTCACCATGAGGTGTACTCTGCCTATTTTGACACTGCGACCTCATCGGTCCATGTCACTGATGAGAAGGCGATCAGAGCCCTGTGGGAAATGGGTTTCTTCGGTAAGGGTAATCTAAGTCGAAGTGAACCCAGCTGGCTAGAACGTGAAAAGAAGAGGAGGGGCTTGCTAGGCGGCAATACCAGTGAAGAGATCACTGGTAAACGGAGGTCAGAAAGACGAGAATTGAAATTAGAACGGGCCAGGATGGAGAAATTGGCTATTCAGCAGAGACTCGAGGCAGAGGCTGCGGCCAAAAAAGGTTCTATTTCCCCTGATGGGGATACTCTGCCGGCACCCACAAATGGGCCTACTAATGGCACAATCCAACCAGCAGAGAAGTTTTCCCTTAGGAAAGCAAGGGAGGCTCGATATCTGGAGTCACAGCGGTTGGTAAGGCCGGATACAGAGACTAGTACAGTCAACGTCCCTGCAGAAGATAAGTCACCTAACGGTAAAACCGTGCGATTTTCTCCAGTCGTACAACAAATGCAGTTTGCTTCCGACCCGGATTCTCTGCGTCTATCTGATTCAGTTGTCGATGAAAGCAAAACAACTGGCGAGGAGCCTGTTTTGAGAAATGAGGAACACCTCCAACTGTCGAACGAGGAGGCTTTCTTCCTTGCCTATGGCCTGGGCGTCCTGCAAGTCTTCGATGAGCGAAGAAGCGTAATTCCTATATCATCCCTTTTCTCATTATTCTGTCAACACTCTTGCTTCCCTGCTCGGGACTCGAGTGAGATTGAGCCAGATGATCCTTTTATTATCTCGTATGTGGTGTATCACCACTATCGGTCACTGGGATGGGTAGTGCGCTCCGGTGTGAAATTCGGGGTAGATTACCTGCTTTACAACAGAGGTCCTGTCTTCTCCCATGCCGAGTTTGCTGTCGTTGTGATTCCTTCATACGGCCATCCTTACTGGTCAGAGACGCCGGAGAGGAGGAACAAAACTGCTAGCAAGCAAGAACGCAGTTGGTGGTGGCTGCATTGCGTTAACCGCGTACAATCGCAGGTTAAGAAAAGCCTCGTGGTGGTCTACGTGGACATTCCGCCTCCAGCCGCCTCCGACGCAAAAGACGACATTGGGGCCCAGTTCCGTCGCTACAAAATACGGGACATCAGCATTAAGCGGTGGGTGCCAAATCGGAGTCGCGATTAAACGTTGTTTCCGAGTCTTCCTTTCCATGTCACTCAGAATGTACTTTACTGTATCATATAGCCTGTGTTCTGGAGAACGCATATAGCCAGCTTGAAAGGGCTGTATAAGCCAGGGTCTATTGTCGGAAGTTAATAACAAGACAATTTCAAACGGCATGCTTGCCATGGAACCCAACAAATATCAAAACCTAACTTCGTCCTTAGTCTATGCTCCAGCTTGGATTGTATCTGTGCTGTCTGGCCTTTAATATCAATTCCAAGGACCACAGGAGTCTTTGGCACCCTTCGAAATAGATTCGCACAACCCCTATCAGACCAATGTTGTCTATGTCCAAACATGTCAGGGTGCATGACCGTAATGAATCACCATTTGGAAATGGGAACCAGATTTGCAACTGCGCCTTGGTATATATGGTACGGCACTAGAGAAGAATCAAAGATGAAGGCTCTTTTTATTTCGGGTATTTTTCTCATGAAATCAATCATGACATGCTAATGTCCTCCCAACGAAGGCAGCAATCCTGGTGATTGCTGCCTTTCCACCAAAGAAGCTCCTTCATAGATTTGCAGGTAAGGCACCAGTCTTCTTCGCCGTAAAGGTCGCGATCAGATCCATCAGAGGCGGGGAGAGAACATCATACGTCTCGAGCCCAAGCGACTTGAACTTCGACCGGACCTCATCCATACCCTTGGGATTGAAACCTTGCTCGATGATGGAGGAAACGAACGCGGCGAACTGGGGTTCCTGCCACCCTTTCGTGTCGGACAGCTCAACATGCACGAAATCTAAGCCCTTGAACGGGTGCTCTGTCTCGATCCGGCCGTAGAGGTGGACACCGCATGACTGACAGGCGTGACGCTGAATGGTAGCGCTCTCGTCGACGATCTTCAGCTTCTCCTCGTGGGCGGTGACCTTCAGATTATTTCTGGGGATAACGGCAACGATGGAGAACAAAGCTCCTGCGGGCTTCCAGCACTTCGAGCAGCCACAGGCATGGTTGTGTGCCACGTTGCTGCTCAGGGTGACTTCGACTTTGTCGGTGGGACAGTGGCAGTAGAGTTTGCCGCCGGGGAAGTCCTCGCGGCCCTTCGTGATTCCGTTGTCGATGAGGGGGTGCAGAGATGGAGCCATTTTGGTTGGGTTTTCTATCTCGATTGGCTGAAGAGGGGCTCAGAAGGTACTCTTGTGAATTTGGTGATTGTCAAGGCGCCAGAGTACCTTGGTGAAAGAGTCCTGAACGTATATATTTATATGTCTGGCCTCCAAAGGCCATCGGGTCTTCACGTTTGTCTTTCTCCAACTTTCGCAGGATCCGATTCCCAAATACCGCAATGCGGTCCGTCGTATAGATCGCAGAGAGATAGATATCTCAATTGGATTCTCCGCATCACGACATCTGTCGACTCCACTCCATCAGCTGGGTTTCCTTGCTGTGGCTGCTTCTACCTGGGAAGGGATGTCTTGTTCTCCGCACAGATATGAGGGGCGTAGGATAATAGAACAGAATGATGTCGCTGTGCATTTCCTCTGATTCGCGATCTGGAAGGCCCCGCAGGCAGACTGAGTTGCAAAGTATGGAGCCCTGCTCATCCAAAACCCCTCATGAGGAGGTGGATTGTGTACTTATCGCGGGACTGCATCCGAGTCTGCGAGGTTGGGATTCACACAATCCTCCTACTACGGCGGTTTATCACGGACACGCTGCCGGTGTCGATTACAACTGGGAATGGAGGTCTACAGCGGTAAAAACTTTTCTCATGAGAATTATCCTGCTTGTTCTACTATCTGCCAGTACAGAGAGTTTTCTTCAACCCCCTCCACTTACGACAGATGTCTGTTCATATAACGCTATTTTCGGCGCATTGGACAAGCTCCGTGGCAGTCCCTTAAATAGCACGTCGGTCTTGGACGGTCAACAGGGCTTCACAATCATCGCCAACCTCTGACAGGCCCGCCAGCGATGGAGGAAGAACCACATCCTGAACTCTGGCAACCCCGGTGGAAGTGAGCACTCGGCCATCCGCAGAGATCGCGTCGGCACTACCTGCCCCCACCACCTTGCCTTTTAACATCAAAGAAGTCTCAAATCTCTTACCTTTTGCTCTGGCCCAAATACGATCGGGAGCCGTATCGGCCCGAGGGTCTTTGTCACCGGAGTTGATGTGGAAATAGTCCCATGCATCCGAGGAGTTGTAGCCCGCGCCAGCTTGGCCCGGGTTGGGAGAGTGCTGACTGCTTCTAGTGGCAGATTAGCTAAAACTTGTTGTAGGCAATTCAGAATATATATGCGTGTAGACATACCATCTGGGGAGACATGATTGAGACTGGACCCTAGCTTGCCCGTCTCAATATCCAATTCTGATTCCATCGGACTTCGAATTAAAGAGATAAAAAACACCTTATCCAATGGTACTTACCCTAGATTGTGGCATTCACAATCCACTACCACCCCAAGCTGTCAAATCCGTTGACACAGATTGGTACACTTAACTTAAACCAGTTTCCTCATTGATGATATAAACTTGTGCTTATCCATAGAACATGTGGTTTCCCGTCCGGAGCTCACGAATTTCCCATAATGCTGGTCCAGAATTGTAACATGGCCATGTCCATGTCCATAAGCTGGGTTATGGCCACCTCCAATGCTGAAGAGTATATCCTTGCCTTTCCAGCGAGCCTTCTGGCAATTGGCCATCCAGATCGAGCAATAGCTGTAGCACGACCAGACGAGCTCGCCATCATCACGAACAATGTAGGGAGATTCCTGGCGTGGGCCATGGGCTGCTCGGAGCAGCAGTGTTGAATAAACCAGCGAAAGGAGACCAACGAAAGGAGCAATGAAGAGGTAGCCTTATCTACATCCTCCGTAGCCGGAATGGTGGTGTTCAGCCTCGGGGGAGCCAGATCAGTCCGCGACTTAAACCTCCAGTCGGCAGATACTAGTTGTAGCATGGCAACTACATGGAATACAGCTGCAGCGATCTTCATTACGGCACGATTTGAGAGTAAACGCTAGGGCAGTGATCAGCCTTCATTGCTATTATTGTGTTGCGGAGAAGGGCACATTGACCTTGGCTAAGTATTCTGCACCTGTCGACACTGTTATTTTCTTTTTCTATGAGGAGAGGAGATATTGTCTTCCCACCGGTTCATATATTCGTTGTCGTCCAGACATATCGTCGACAGTCAGCGGTTGTGCAATTCAGAATGAAACTGACGTGCCATCATCCACTGCCAATACAGTGAAAAACATTACCAATCGAGTGCCCAACATGCTTCCATGAATTGGCATTTTCCGGATTGAAAGCGGTTCTGGGGTGAGGATCGGCGATGTCGGCTGTAGTTATATCTTCTGTTGATTAAAAATTTCTCATTGCGCAATAATCTACCGGAAACACAATTCGAAAATTGTCATCGATATTACATTGCACCTTCAAGTCTTGGATCAGACGAGAACCATCGTGTACTCTGTATTGCCGAAGAGAATACCTCTGGCATCATGCATCATCAATCGTGCCCAGAAACCGCCGGCAATGGTATACTAGAAGCCTCCGCGGGGATAGACGATGACTACCACTCAAGCTCATCCGTGCCATCGCTGTACGAGGAACAGCCTCTGCTGGGATCTGATGGTAGCAATTCAGCATGGAGAGCACCGCCAGGTTTTGTGTGGATTCAAATCGGTATGGATCAAACCCATGTGTTAAGGCAGAGACTGATAGTCGCACCAGCGATAATGTCCAATGTCTTCTTGTCTGGATTCGACGGAACTGTCACTGCTTCAACCTACGCAGTTATCAGTTCGGAATTCAACGCGGCTAACACCGCGTCCTGGGTTACCACGTCGTATCTCATAACCAGCACGGCATTCCAGCCGCTGTACGGTCGGCTTTCGGACATCTTTGGGCGGCGACTCTGTTTCTTCGTTGCCACCGTGACTTTCATGGTGGGTTGTCTTGGCTGTGCAATAGCCCCGGATGTGCTTTTCCTGAATGTAATGAGAGCATTGACTGGAATTGGGGGTGGAGGCTTAATGACGATGGGTAAGGATTGCAGGCCGATGGCTTGGGTCTTCAATACTAATTAGCAGCTAGCCACGATCGTCAACTCGGATCTAATTCCCTTCTACCGAAGAGGAATGTACCAGGCATTGCAGAATGTCTTGAATGGGTTTGGATCCATCTGCGGTGCCTCACTCGGAGGATCAATTGTTGATTCCATCGGATGGCGCTGGTGCTTCTTGATGCAGGTTCCTGTTTCTATATTTGCACTGTTTGTTGGCCACCATTTTCTGGATCTCCCATCGCATGCCGCCCAGATCAACAGTAAATCCGGTCTTCGCGATTTCTGGAAGCGAGTTGATCTTTCTGGAGCATGTTTCCTCATCCTTGGCCTCTCATCTCAGCTCATCGGGCTGAGTCTGGGTGGCAACGATCTCCCTTGGAGTAATATATGGGTGATACTGTCTCTTGTTGGGAGCACCGTCCTCCTCGCGCTGTTCCTGGTTGTTGAAGCCAAGACATCAGCGATTCCATTGATTCCGCCCAGGATGCTGAAAGGGTTGCGGCCCATATCGACGCAGGTCGCGAATGTCTGTGTGGGGATGGCTGCTTATGCGGTAAATATATCAAGTACTTGATCCGAGATTGGCCTTTTTCAGTGCTGACCCAAGTGGCTGAATAGTTCCTCTTCACGCTTCCCCTACTATTCCAGGTGTCCCTCCTCGAATCGGCTACAAAGACGGCTGCTCATCTCGCTATACCCAGTTTAGCCACTCCCATTGGGGGTTTGATCTCAGGGATCATCATGTCCCGATGGGGGAAGCTGGCATATCTTGTGCGGACAGGGGCGCTGCTAATGTGCATTGGCAACCTGCTATGCGTGTTCCTGGATTTCGACGACGCCAATTGGAAGTTCTTCGTGTATATCATCCCTGCAAACTTGGGACAGGGAATCGTGTATCCTGCAATTCTATTTACTTTCCTTGCCACCTTTGATCATTCCGGTAAGCGCTATATTCCACCGTCAACGGAGGAGTAAGGAGAGAAAAAAGGTCGGAGATTAATCATAAGATGGTCACAGACCACGCTGTCTCCGCGTCCACCGTCTACCTTATCCGTTCCATCGGCTGGGTCTGGGGTGTAGCCATTACCTCCACAATCCTTCAAAATACATTGAGCTCAGGCCTCCAGGAGGCCCTGAGTGGAGTACCAGACAAATGGAAAGTAACATCCCTCCATATCCCGTGCCTACGAAGGCGTTTACTATTGACAATGGCTGATTGATGTCTTTGTCTTCTTCCTGTTACCGGTTAGGTTATCGACGATATCAGGCATTCTGTTGCTACAATTTACGATCTCCCACCCGACATCCAGATGGCGGCTCGGTTGGTGTATCACCGTGGTATTAGATATTCATTTGCAGTTTCTGCAGCCTTCGGATTCGTCGCTACCATCGCAGCGATGTTTTCACATGGGAAAGGATTGCAGAGACCTGGGGACGAAGAGAGGTAATCTGTCATAGGCTGCATCTGCGGGAAGATGTTTCCATTCAACTCTCATGTAAATGATCGACAAGATATGATACAAGGTAAGTGATCGGGTTGGCTGAACGATAGACTGTGACGCTCGAAATCAGTACTATGACCTGGAAGGATAAGTGTTCCTTGCTGCAAATAGACGATGGGTCTTGGTACCAGTACTAGATTAAGAAAACAGAAACAGATATTATATCTGCAGGATCTCATTAGGAAAGTGATGTTTGTTAATTCTTCCTTTGTTGTAGGTCTCTACATGTGGAGAGGCAGACATGTTTCTAGGCGCTATTCCAGAATAGGTAGTATTAATGTTGCAAAATCACGTGATTAACGCGTTTCGCGTTCGTCGACGAGTCCAACCTTTCTTTGGTGACAGCTTCGAAGGGACCTTCTTTGCCCGAGGTGCCGTGTCCGCCAGATCATGTCGCTACCGCCTATCTCGGCATGCTGAGAAGGTAGCGTGACTTGCCATGGAATCCGAACAGGATAGTATCGACATCGCGAGGCTGAAACGCGTCGCGTTGGGTTTCGTAAGTAATAGTGCCGTTCTCGCAGCATCCAATGGATAGTTGGCTTAACACCATTTTCCCACGAGGAATAGGAGCAGGAGCAGGAGCCATTACAGTCGGCAGCAAATACCTCCCACGATTCCCTCGTGAGAAGCAGACTGGAGGCCGTCGAAGGTAATTTTTTTGCCGATATTGTACGGCCCATTAGCCAGACCACGTCGAACCCCCCCAAGCTTGCTCCTCGAGTCCCTTCTTCCTCCCACAAGTATGGTTCGGATTTAGCAACTACCCAGAAGTCTTCGCCCTTCCGGATGGAACAGTCAAAAAGAATTCCAGAATACCAGCCAAGAAACATGTGTTCTGCAGATAGTGCACCCGGGGACACCCAGGTTGTCTCCCAGTCCGTGTTTGACAGCCTCCTTGGACGGAATAGGGACCCTCAGAATCAAGACAATGGGTACAGAAATGTGGATGATGTGGATATAATGGCCAATAATGAGACGCTTGTGACATTACATGAGGGGGATGCCGGCCATATCGATCTCCTTGCCGGTTTTGACGATACTACACATCCTGATGCGAATCAGTCCGAGACCCATGAAGACAACAGCAGCTATAGGTTAGGAGAGTCGTCTCCATTGCATCTTCAACCGGATATTTTTCCCGAGTCCCAACGGTTCATGAAAACTACTCCGGCCACCGCGCTGAAGCAGAGGAACTTTGATGAACTGGACATGGTTACTCCTTCCTCGAGGAATCCCCTTCCATCTGATACTGTGCCAAGCGCCGGCATTATGGCATTGAGTCAGTTATTCCGGTCGACTCAGGCGCCATCGTCTCCATTGCCGAACTGTTTGCAATCTGATCCCATGTCCGACCGGCCCTCGCCGGCTATTCCCGTTCACAATCCCTCACTTGCTGATACTTTTTCGTCACCGTCTATGCGTCGGTTATCATCTTCTCATCGGAAATTATCTGAACCGCAAGCGAATTACGTGACAATGAAAGAGTCCCAGGCAGAACGGAACAAGATTATAGGAGAACGGATGACGCGCTCGGTCAGTGATATACGCTTTGATGAACAGAGTGACGACGAATTTAGCCGAGAACCGAGCTTTACAGAGCGCCAGTACCACCTGAGGATGATCGACGAGGAAACGAGTACACAGATTGCTGAAATAACAGCTCCAGCTCGACTTTCATCAAAGTGGCGAGAAAGACAGCTTCAGGAGCATAGGACATCGGCGAACGAACACGTGCATACCGAGGAGCTACAGGGGCCTAACGAGGTGTTTCAGGAAGGTGGGACAAGCGAGGAGGAAACAGAACAAGAGGACGATATAGAGCCACAGGTACTACCGTCTCAAGAACTCCTGGTATCGAGCGAGGAGGACAAGGAGAATTACAGTGGGCTGTCTCTATCCGCTCTGAGCAATGCGACTAGTGCCCATGGCCGTCTCTCCCAAGTCCTTGGTCTGGGTGATAGCCCACCTCGTAATACGCAACCGACTACGGAGCCGAACGTGCTTGTGCGGCACTCTCGCCATTCCAGTCAGACTAACCAAGTCGAAGAGCACGGAACCTCGTCTCAAATTATTGTGAGAGACTCCCAGCAACCTGCAGAGCAGAGAGATGAAGAAAATGAGGGCGACTTGAGTACGGCGGAAGGGGAATTTGTTCAAAACACGTCCCAAGGTCGGAACTCGCCCCTACATGCGGACTCTTCACCAAGATTGGATAAGGTTGCATCATCTTCTGTGCAAGAGCCTTTGATGCAATCATCTCCTCCCTCAAAATACCAACAAGCCCAAAACCCGTCGTCATCCGATCAGCATTATCTGTCAACGAGAGATCACCACTTTAGTCAAAATCGCTCAGCCTCGCCTAGTTCTCATATTTCGTCTACCCAGCTCCCAAGGGATACCGCGAACCATGCCTGCCCAGATCTAAATCTTTCTAGACTAGCTAACGAACCTAGTCAAAGGATTACTGACATCTTAGAACGGGGATCAAGGTTTGAAGGACGAGACAAGTCGTCTTCTATGCCGTCTCGCGTTTCCGAGACTCCTGTTCATCTGTGCCAGGCGGTTCTTGGAGATGTAACAAATACCACAGCCATTCCAGAGACGAGCCCGAGACTTCGCAATAGAGTTTGGGCGAAGGACCCAAATGGCGAGATGTTAAACCGGGAAGATGACGGCTTACCTCCTGTTTTCGCGGCCCACGGTCGGGCAAGTCTCTCCCAACCATCCAGTTCACGGGACCTGTCACCTTCGAAGAACCTCTCTTACCCAAAATTGCTCTCCAGTCCCAGCGGAAGGCAACGAAGGACATTGACCCAAATTGCCGCGGATGTCTCCCCTCAAATTGGACCTAGTCAATTCGACGTAGATGTTGGGCTCTTCACTGCCGAAGACCGAGAGTTCAGGGCTTTGGTTGGAATGTCGCCTACTCCACCAAAGAAGCGACGTCGTGGGAACACAAGACTAAGCACTCTTGCCTCTGATCCGGTACTCCCTGTTACTTCTCGCCTGGCCTCTCCTCAATTTGTAAGTCATGCTTTTGAGGATGAAGTGGCCCCTGCCGAACAGCGTTCGAGAGCACCGGTGGATAGGGCCGAAGAATCTTTTCGGGACCGTGCAAAACTCACTCAGAGGGACACGGTTTGGGAGGTCGAGCCCTCACCACCACACAATGTTCCACGGATGCCGCGGTTTAAACGGCATGTTGAATCAAGCCCTCTGAAGCAGCAATCTGCCCAAGTTGAACGACTTGAGGAACACAGAGTTCCGCCCCCGGTGACGACCTGCAGTAATGGCAATGATGAGTCTACAAGACCCGAAGAAATTGCAGATCAGAATTACCAGGGAGCACATGGTGATTATATTACCGAAAATATCCAACCAACTTCGGCTTCTCAGATTGCTCCCAGCCAAGTTCTTGCCGCTTGGAGAGGACAGAAACGAGCGTATTATCCTGCAACCTGTTTTGGGAGACCAGTCGGAACGTCACAAACACGGTACCTGGTCAAATTCGAGGATAGTGACCCTGTTGAGGTTCCAATAGGTGCTGTTAAGCGGCTTGAGCTACGTGTCGATGATGCTGTGAAAGTTGACATGCCCGATGTCCCAAAGGTGACTCACATCGTTCGAGGCTTTGCGGACAAGCTCAGTGCGGAAGAAATTAGCAAAGGGCTGGCTGAAGGATTGCCGCCCATGACGGATGTCTATGGGCATTGCACTGTCATATTGGGACCTAAGCAACGCAGAAGTCTCCCGAACGGAGGCGTGGTAGCTCCTGGCAGTATTGCTAGAGTGCCAATTTCTAGAATATATCTGGATACAATATTGTGGAACCAGCTGAAAGGACGCGGCTTCACTGTCAGTTCTGAGACAGCTCTGTCGGAGAGCAAGAGCAGACTTGAAACACCTTCCGACGGACACTCCACCCCAGCAACACCAAGCACTCGACTATCCCGTAGCATCAACTACTTTCGAGGCATTTTTGCTGGCATGGTGTTTGCGGTGTCGTTCTTGGAAAATGAAGATGCCAAAACTCATACGACTAGATTGATCCTGGAGAACGACGGACACATCTTGAAAGAAGGTTTCAATGAGCTATTTGAATTTCCCTCCAGTGTTCCGCTGGCGGACCCTTCAAAGACACGCGATCCCAATGAAACGGATAGCGAGGGGAACTTCCGGCTCACGTCTATTGCGGAGGAAGTGGGATTTGCCTGCGTAATTGCAGACAAGCACTCACGCCGCGAAAAGTACATGCAAGCTCTAGCACTCAATATCCCCTGCCTTTCATGGCGTTGGATAGAAGATTGCGTCGCTCAAAATCGTATTTTAGACTGGGGGATGTACCTTCTCCCTGCCGGAGAATCGATGTATCTTGACGGGGCCACAAAGTCGAGAATTCTTCCACCAAATCCTGCATCCATCACACGCCTGTCGGAAACTATTTCTGCTCGGCCGATGTTGTTCAAAGGGCAGTCTGTTCTTCTGGTTATGGGTCGCGGGAGGGCTGAGGAAAAGAGGAAGGCCTACATTTTCTTGACATACGCGTTGGGAGCTTCTAAGGTTGAGCGCGTTTTTGATCTGAAGGCAGCCAAGGCTCTTCTCGATCAACAAGCAAACTCGCCCTCTCGTCCTAACTGGGACATAATCTGTGTTGATGATTCTGAGCAAGCTGCTGCACGCAGTTTGCTACTTGGGACTCCTCATGCTTCTGACAAGCCATTGGCTGCACGTTCAGGGAAGAAACGGAAGAAATCAGACCTGATGGGCTCGGTCAATGTTAACGTCAACGTCGGCGGCGATCCTAGCCCTACGAAGAGAATAAGAGTCGCCGGAAACGAATTCATCTGTCAGAGTTTAATTCTGGGGAAGATGTTTGATTCATAATTGTTCTTTTATCCTTTGTGTATCTTTTCAACGATCTGAGAGTCATGTTAACGATGATCATGGTGTGGATATTCGGTGCCTCAGGATAGCTTATTCTGGAGCTTTATGTGTAAAATGAAGATACCCTTGCTTATATCGAGAACGTCACTTATAATACTTCAGTCATTGTTAAGATGTAAAATAGCCAATCCAGATCCTGGTTGCCTGAACAATTAACCAGGTCAGAAACATAAGTGACAATCTTATCTTATCAATCAAAACTTAATTTCCCCACATTATCCCGAATGTCCCCCGTGAGTCACAAGCTGTTAGTGATAACTTAATGAAAAGAAGGCTGACAGATCATGAGTTCTTCCCTCTTGGATAATGCCGGGCATGTGATGTAGTCATGTTTCTCATCTTATCTCTCATCAGTAAATATACGGGTAGCAGCCGTAGTAAAGCGCTATTTTTACTACAATATTCGTTCTAGAAGTCTTCTACCTAAAGATATCGAATTATTAGGAAAGAAGCTAACGCTGAGCTTTAGCAGAAACGTGGGCAGGATGCTGAAGTTTCACGTAAATATGCTGACACTGAGATATCATGACAGCGCGGATGCAACAAGGTGGCTCGCAGAGTTCTGGCGTGTGTTGTATTATCGTCACTCCATGGGAAAGAGGGGAAGAGGGAAAGAAGCGAATAGCGAGTAAGGCAACTATTCGCAACAAGCAGGACACCGTCGTAACCACTCAGGGAAGAGTTGGGGGGGATGTCACGGAAGGGAATCGAACCTGCGCAAAAACACTAAGGGCGCCGGGCGCCTTCCTAGATATCCCTAGGTTTGACCTAACCCCGTTTTAAAACTACGCCCTAAGCGAGGTAGAGTTCGTTGGGGAACACAGCCAACTATGCCACCGGCCCTCGGCAATGATAGATAATCCCAGACATTGGGATATATAGTCCGCAAGCGCTTATGTTACTCCCTCGGAAAACCAGCAGCAGCTTTGTCACGTGCACAGAACTCCTGCTAACCATCGTGACAACAGTTAAATTCGACTGATTCACACCGGTAGCTGTACAAGACCACACTATCAATGTCTGCCCCCAATATTCTCGACACTATGATTCTTTGATGAAGGTCCTCAATCTCATTGAGGTTTCCAACGAGGCAGGACAGGTTTTAGATCAACAGCCAGTCGCATTGCGATCGACCAACTTCGAATATCCATTGAGACGAAGACGTATCAGATCCATCCCCCTGCTGCCAGTATTGCCGAAGGAGTGCCGCTGCATTGATGGAATTCAGACACTTTGTATTTGCCCAAAACTTCCCCAAGCACTGAATGAGGAATTTTTGCTGCGATGGCCATCGGCATTCCAACCCAACAATGAAGATCGGCCATAAGATGCACTTAGCAAAGTGGTGTCTCGCAGCGCTCCAATCGCATCCATTAATTCGCAGATCAGATCATTCAAGGCCGTGACGTTGCTGGTGAGCGCATCGAGGATACGGCGACCATACACTAAGGCCCCAAGCTTGTATGACAAGGATAGATTACAGAGATTATACTCATCTCTTGTTGATGAATGCTGTAACCGTTGCAAGTTGATAACCCATCCAAAACAATCAAACTTCTGAACTGATTCGAGCACAGCCTTGATATCCTGTATGAACTGGCACACCGTGGCACCATCAAATAGCTCTGCGTGCGCGATTGCATCCCTTTGGAGCGAAAAGTACTTCACGGGATTCAGAATATGCTCTGGACACCCGAGGAACGACTGTTCCACAATATCTTGGAGCGGCATGCCGAGCTCAGCGGGCGAAACAAACTGAGTCAATAGCCCAGGGCGTACAAAAGTTGCGCCAAGAGTCCCGATTCTGGAGTTATACCAGCTGTCAGCGATTGACATGAGTCTCGAAAGAACAGAGCTGGACATACAGATAAATCTGGCTGATGATGAAATTCTGGACTGCCCGTACAGTTTGTCCGGGATCCCGTACACCAGATGTTTGAGTCATAAGATATCGTCGGTGCTATGCCAACAAGCCTTTCGCACCCTCGAGGTGATAGTTCCACCGGTCACTTCCAGATTCTAGGAGATCCAAGAATATCAAAAGAAATACGCGAGCCAAAGTATCCCGTTTGCACAATGGTGCATTGCTCACAGCTCGTGAAAGCCCTTGGATCGTGTGGTGTTTGTACAGCAAGGCATGTCTATGAGCCTGCGCAGACTGGAGACATGTCTGTCTAACTTGGTCGATTTCATAGAATGAACACCCAGTGTTGGCATGATGGCACGCTGCCAAAGCGAGAACCGCCTTTATCAAGACATCATCGCCTACAGCAAGAGATATCAGGCTCCTGAAGGATTGCTGTTGCTGTCATATACAATGAACAGCTTACATATACGTTCGTTATCTGTTTCGAGTCGCGTCAGGGTTTCAGCTCCTCAGGGTCCAGTACTTACAGTAATCCAGGTAATATCTCGAGTCTCTGTCCAGATCCGAAACTGTAGGGTCTTGCAAAACTGGTGGCAAGTTCACTATATGCTTCCTTGGGACTAGTCCGACATTCGATGCTGCCCCAGCCACTGATGGTGCAGGTTTGAACAACCGAGCCCGGATCTTGCTCCTAAGGGTCACGCCCTTTACCCATCGTAGTGGTCTTTCCGCAAAGCATTCCAGTCCAGACTTCAGGCATTTTGCGCAGGGAACCTGGGATTGATCGCACTAGATGCGCCGGCGACGGCATGTATAACATGGATCATGCATGATGTGCCTATCTACGAGATCGAAGGCAAGGATCGCAAGACGGTACTTTTCCTCAGTAGTCTCACTCAAGATATAATGATTGATACCCCAAACCGAGTCCAGGAAATATGCCGTAATGACAATAAGCCCACTCCCGTGAATTGCCAAAATTGGAAGTTACGTTTTTCTTGGCAATCATGTTAAACTCAAATCTCCACTCCCCCAAGCTTCCAAATCCGAAATTTGTTGCAATGTAGAAAGCCGATAATCAGAAAGAGGGAATGGATTCCTATAGTAGGTTGTTACAGGATACTAACTCCGGCTCAATGCATATGATAGAAGTTCGTAATTGACAGCCGTAAAATGACCGATCTCTCGGGGTTTAGAAAGGTAAAAAACGGAGAGAGGGAGAAACACATGAAAGCAAAAAATGCAGAAAAGTTCTCAAAGATAAGGAGGAAGAATGAATCTATCCTTGAACAACTGATTCCTAGTCCCTGGACGATCGAGTTTCAACCTTGCCCTTCTGCACTTCTTCCCAGTTCGTACTCAAGGCGGTTCCTTGACTCTCTGTAAAGCTCTTTACCATTGCACGGCGGGTATCTGGGTCTGCATTTGCGTATAGTTTCTTAAAGAAGGCGTCAACCGGGTCCCCACCCTCGTAGTCCGAGTCGAGGGATATGGTCTCATCGGAATCATAGCCCTCATCTTTGCTATCAGCAGCCTTGTCCTTGGGACCTGTGGATTCAGGCTTCGCTTTCTTCTTCGTGAGAGATGTGGCGATCTTATCCCAGTCCTTGGGACCCTGACGCGAGGATGTTGGATAGGTAGGTCCAGGGGGGGTAGCAGTCGATGTCTGCATAAACGAGGAAGGCTTTAGACCAGCTGTCGACGTTGAATCGGAGATAGTCGGTTTGTTGTCGTTACTGGTAGAGACAACTCCCAGAGTACTCCACTTCTGGCTGCGGGCTTGCTTTTTCAGGACGACCTCGATTTTAGTCAGGTTTACGCTGACTTTGGATGAAGATGGATCAATAGACGCAAATGGAGGGTCAAGTGTGAACTCATAATCTTCTCCTCCAGATATAAGAGGAAACTTGATGGACACCTGATGGAGCCCTGTCAGCCAGGTTCCCATGAAGATCTGGATAAAGGAGGGGAGTTGGATTACATACATAGTTCTCCTTCAGATTAGCATCTACACTGGCTTCTGAGACACCTTTCGCGTAGATCATCACGACGACAGAATCGCTGGACTGATACCATTCGTATCGGGTCTCGCTGACCCAACGCGTTGAATCCGGAACAGCAGGAGAGCATATACTCAAATTTTGGTCTTCACCGCTGCCTTGCAGTTGTTCTGTAGCAGCGCTACTTTTACTCTTGTTCTCTTTTGTTTCTGGAGTACTCCGAGTTCCAGCATTGTCCGTCATCCGAGACTTGATCGATTCCAGCTGTTGCTTCGACTCATTCTCCGTAGGAACGATGACATTGCTAGGATATTCTGATACTGTAATAGCCGCCTTATCATCTCCATCTTCCAGCTTATTCAGCTTCATCTGAGCCTTAGCTATCCACATAGACAGCTCCTGCTCAGTCCTGCCCTTCGAGGCATGGTTCTTATTATCTCCTTCCGCTGAATTTTTAATTTGCCCACCAGCTGCCCTTCCTGAGAGTTTATTCTTGAGAGTTTCGAAAACGAATTTCGCATCACCGTACCTCTCGAGCTGGAAAAGCGCAACGCCCCTTCTCAGCTGTGCAGATTCGATGAGTTCACGTCTTCCACGTTCGCGGGCGAGAATTAATCCAACTTCAGCGTCGCGGAGGGCATCATCATGCTTTGGTCCGCCATCTGCCGGCTTGAGTCGGGAATTGGCAGTTGACCGTTTGATGTAATATGCTGGGGAGCGGGGATGTTCGATTAGTGCTTGGGTGAAGTATCGGATGGCAGATGGCCAGTTCGCGTCCGCTATGGCTTTATCGCCTTCAGATGCGTAGTTCATCGCAGCTGAATCAGAGTTATCTGAGATACTGCAGCTTTTATGGTTGGGGTTGGAGCTTTGAGTGTCCTAGCTGCTTGTTCCGGGAAGCTTGTATTGCTCCACACCCGGCACTGTCAGTATGGATGGTCTTAATGCATTTGAAGTGAGGGCATACAGGATGATGGGAAATCAAACCGACTTCAGAGTAACCTATAAGCCTGGGATTGAGTGTAACAGATTTGATCCTTCTTGTGTGCAGGAGTAGCCTGGTGAGTTCTTAGTTTCGATTCTCTTTGTCATTTCATGCCTTCACTCTCCCGCACGTGATTCCAACATTCATGATGAGGATATACTATTTCGGACAAGTGGATTATCTAATAATCCGTCCCCGGAATACGGAGTATATATGTTCCGGGAGGAAAGATGGCCATACCCGAGTATCCCGGATCCTGTATATAGGGGCTCGAGTGAGCTCAAGCAAGCAAGCGCATGAGCTTAGCGATGAAGGGCATCGTTTTGAGCTTCACGATGTACTGGAGACAGCAGTATATCTATATAGAGCGTTCACCACGATCCCTACGAATCCTACAGTATCCTTTTATTATCTGGTATCCAGACGCCGCACCCCCTGATCCACGTCAATACACTATATCCAAAGTCAACTTCCACCTCCATTATATTGTCTTGCTGTTCATTTCTATGCCCCGAACGAATCTAAAGAGGTGTTCTTGAAACAAGGGCCTCAAACTGGGGATCATATTATAGTCATAAACTCTTCTTGTGAGAATCCCACTTTTCGTAAGGTACAGAGGTGCATAAATTATTATCGCGGATAGGGAAAATGTCATTTTATTTCAGTAAATGACTATTCTAATAATTCATTAAATAAACAACTGTAGTCTCATTTGTATACTTTTCGTTCTTCTAACAGATTTCTCGGAAGTCTCGCGGTGCATCTAGAGCAGTTCCTCGTTGCCGAATTTCTTGCTATAAAGCCCCAGGGCTCGGATGGGCCAATAGAACTTGTAATTGGGATATGAAATCATGCTATATCTGTTAGCTTAGCTGCCTTTTAGAGCATGCTCATATGGTGCTTACCAGGACTGGTTAAAGACACCCTCGATGGCTTCCTGCAACCACTCCCCATTCCGCTGCTGTCGCGTAATCAGCAACTTCATGGCCTTCTGTAATGGCTCCTTATGTGGGTAGCCCGCCTCCATCAACGCAAGACAAGCCCAGGCAGTCTGCACAACTTGTGACTGTTTGTGTTGCGTATAAACGTGTAGCTCAGAACTGAGGTAAGATTCGCCCCAACCGCCGTCTTCTTTCTGCTTCGAAAGGAGGAAGTCACAGCCACGGCGAGAAAATTCGCTTGTCTCGTAAGTTTCGCCAATACTGGCCAAGCTCTCCAAAGCGAACATAGCAGCATAAGTAAAGCAAATACCCCATGACCCGTACCAACTTCCATCCGCTCTTTGTACACGTTTGATGTACTTGACTGCCTTGTCTTTGACGGCTCTGATATCATCAGCACGGTAGTCCGGATAGAACTTGCTGAACAAGGAGAGTGCCGTGACAGATGCCGTGGTACATTCAGGATAGTCATATCCAATCATAATGCCGCCGAAAACTTCGGCTGCATTGAGCCATTCGATTTTAGGGGAGCCCCGAGTGGTCTCATACTCGGTAAATCCACCAGAAGGGTTTTGCATGAGCAGTAGACAGTCAACGCTATCCTTCAGCCTCTCCACGGAAATCAATTTGGGAAAGTTGTGCATTTCTTGCAATTGAATGGCAGACCTTAGACCCTCCGCCGTGCAGTCACTGACGGTGTATCCTTGAGTTTTGGTGCTAAATGGCCAAGCGCCCTTCCGATGCTGTCGGTAGCATTTCTCCTGGTCCGGTACATTCTCTCGCATTTGATGGTCTTCGAGGAATTCCAGAGCCTTGGTGAGCATAGGCCGCCATTTGGGGTCATCCGCGAACCCTGCAACCACGACAGCCTGAGTGATGAAGGACGTATCCCATGCCTGCACACCATTGGTACCATTCGCCAGCATGCCCTCGTTGTTCATCCACATGTAGTCATTCAGACGCTCTCTATGACGGAGCACCGAATAGCTATCTGGACCATCATGAATGTAACAAGCAATCATGTTCATCGGGTTACTGACGGGGCCCAGGCCGGCATAGTCTGTGTTTTCATCTTCCATACGGATCAGTTCCCAAGTCCATTCCTCTGCACGTTTCACCAATGCAGCAAACCGGAGAAATGGGTTCCAAATGGTCACTAAGAGAAAATTGATCAGATTCAGCAGCCAGGTCTTGGGGTAATAATTATCGGCTTTGTGTATGGAGCCGCGATGGCTAGCAAAGTCTATAGAGTCGTACGGCTGCGTATAGATCTCTTCCCGGAGCTGCTTGGTAAGATCATTCAATGGATACACAAATTTCTTCGACCAAAGATAAGACATTGGTAGGAAAACTTGGCGCATATGAATCCACCAGCGCCAGGGAGCAAAGGGAACCCAATCTGGGAGAAGCCTAAAAAATGAATTATCGTCTGTCAATCGAATAATCACGCACGTGTACATGAAACTGGAGGTGGAAAACTGACCACAACTCAGGGGGAACTGGATTGACGCAACTCCAGTCCATGACACCAAGGACACTAAGCCAGAACTTGGCCCAATGCGGTCCGTATATGGCTCCACCAAATTTATGCAAAAGTCCACGAGCTTTGATCATGCGAGGATCATCCTCACTCACACCCAGCAGTCGCAACGTGATATAGTTCATGCATGTTCCAAATACAGAGCTGTGAGCTTCGATGTGCAAACCCCAGCCACCATCTTTGGGGTTCTGGCGGGCAAAGAGGTATCTTCTAATCTCCGTTGCATATTCGGGAGGAATCGGCGTATTTGTCACATAGTAAGTGATGATGATTCCTGGAAGCAGAAACATCGGACCTCCATACTCGCAGGCCCAGTTTCCCGGAGGGAGCTGCAACTTTGAGAAGAAATGCAAGCCATTTTCAGCTGCTTGCAGTGGGGTTTTGGCAGGTGGAAGCTCTGGGAGGCCCTAAAACCAAATATCAGTATATAAAGACAACACGAAGTGTCATAATATAAGGGCAAAGTTGAAACCTACCGTGTCCAGGCCAAGGTGATACTTATCAGCAACGGATTGGGGCCATGCAAGATTTTCCTCATCGGATTCTAGATAATGCCAGGTCTGACGGCCACGGTCATCGAGCAATCTCCATCTTGAATAATCAGTTTTCGCGTCACCGTTGGCATCGGGAGTTAGGTGGCCATTGGCAGCAGTCCTCCATGGGCCAATGTGGCTTCGCATGTTCAGTAGCACGAAGAGGCGGTGTAGTGAAAAGGTCAGGAATCCAGCCGCAGCCTGCTATACACGAAGCATATGCACCTCTATAAGGGATTGTCTGAGATCCAAGGCCCCTTACTATGATATTTTGACGTTCAATGTGCCATGGGCGAGATGGTGCGGGGAGAAGAAAGCAGAAGCTGAAATCGACATGGAGTTGTATTACTAGATCCGGGGCGGCTAGTTAAGTTAACGTAATCCACAAGCGAGCAGGCCACCCAAGTGAGCGGGCCAGCTCTGTATTCCGTATAAAATGGCAACTTTAAGACCTCAATATCTTCAGTACCAATAGAACTAGACCAATTGTAGTGAGATGAAAACATGTATGTTTATTCTGGAAGGGTGCCTTCATTACAACTGTAATCTATCTTACCTTGGGAAATATTTATTGTAGAAATCTCTCTGGTTAATATATATACAACTACAGTACCAAGTTATTTTATGTTAGAACTTTCATACCTGGCTAGATGCTTTGTTGTTGAGATATTAAGGTCTTAAGTTGCCATTTTATACGGAATACAGTGCTGGCCTGCTCGCTTGTGGATAGTCAACTTATCGATGCCGCCTGGATTAGTCATCCACCAATGTTGTGCTAGCTACCGGAGTCTGGCGAACTAAGGAATTGTGTTGCGTATTGGTATTTATAACTGCCACATTCAAATTGAAGGGGCTCGACAATCGGAAAAATGCGGCCCCAATGTTTGTGGCGGACCCACTTGGAATGTCAGCTATGTCCTGACATCCGAGCCAATGCTCGGGAGCTATTTTTAAGGTCCCAGGAACAACACCAATCACAACCTTCATTGGTAGCAAGCGTCGTTCTTGTCGTTCTTACCGTCTTGGGCATCTCTGCATCTTGTTGCCCGCATGAACCAGCCATACTCTTAATGCGAAGATTTTTTCTTCCTGATGGATGGTACAGAATACAGAGAAGTAAAGAGAACATGAGGTTGAACAGGGGCGAGGTCTTTATATCAGCATGACCGAGGGATGGGTTACACAGTACTGTGTACATGACAGCATATGGGGCCTCAAAACTGGAAAGGCAAAACTATTGTAAAAGAAATTACAGGTCCTCCTTTTATAAGAGAAATAATCAATTCTCTTTGATATTTACTCCGTAGATGTAATATGATTAACTGGGTGATTACTGAGTAATGGGAGACTGGCAGTGCGGCTAACAGTGCTATGCCAACATGCATATATTCATGTGGTCTGGTTGGATCACCACAACGTTTGCCTCGCCGGTTGACTGGAGATCATCTCGTTCATCTTGAGTAGTCCACCATCATCACCTATTTTATTTCAATTATTCTCAGCCTTTGACGGGCCCTTAAAGTCCTTGATGGCAGATTTTCCGGTGTCCCCCCAGGCCCACAACGGCAATGGCACATATATTCCCAACGAAAGAGCCCAAGAATTCATCCATCGCATCCTAGATACGGCCTTGAACGAAATTATAGCCCATGGAGTACCTGCCATTACTCTGAAGCAAAGACCAACTGGAGCACGCTTCTTCATCAATCCGACCAACGGTGCCCTGGAGCCCAGTGGGACAGAAGCAGATACATACACGACTTATTCCTTCCCTGGAAAGGATGCCTACGAAGCTTGGCGATTTAGTATGGACTATCTATATTTCCTGAAGGAGAATTGATGCTGGAGATTCTAACCTTTACCTTGAAGCTATTGCAGTTCGAGTTCTAGCGATTATCGCCGATGCCCTCCATTCGCAGCTGGTGATTTCCAAGAGGTTTGAAGAACCAGACAAGAATGACTTTCGATATGATGTCGCATCAAAAAAATCTAATCAAATATGGAATGAGGCGCACAGAGACATTTACTATTGTGACCCTGCCGGTTTCGGTTCGCAGAGAGTCGTTGATGACTTGATCGAAGACATCGCGCATACCATTGGAGTGAACAGGCTGGCCCTGAACGTGGTATGTTGCCTTTTTTTCTCCTATTTGGTACACATGAGATAGCATAGGCAGCGAATATCTAACTGAAGAATCAAAGGAAGCAGCAGCAAAAGGGCTCGCTGTGGGTTGTTACTGCATGAAGACAAGATCACATACCATAATTGACGCAAAGACAACCACAGAGGTCTGGAGAATGACTTCCCCTATCGGCATAAGTTGATTAAAACAGTTCAAATAGGACATCCTTATTCCAAGATTGGAAGACATCGACGAAATTGACATCTCAGGAGTCGACTGGGTTTTAATCCTGGAGAAAGAGGTACCGCCTCTATTTATTTGGCCCCTTTGTTTCACCGCTAAAATGCGCAAATGCAAATAAATCTAGGCAGTTTTCCATAGATTGGCAAGGGGCGGATATCACACCAAAGCAGCTATGGGGAGAGGTATTCTGGTAACGGTAGGTCTTCCCAGAGATGGCTCAACCTCAGTAAATAACAGTTGGAGGATATTCCAGGGAAAGGGCTACCCAGACCTTTGTACTCGAGCTTTCGTTCGCCGGCTTTCAGATGCCAGAGCTTCTTGTGATTCTAGGCCACTCTTTTACATTCTCGTCGACGGTGATCCAGATGGCATGGCTATTATGTCCACGTACAAATACGGCTCTAAGGCGCATGCCCATGAAAATGCAAGACTAAACGTCCCGCATATTCGTTGGTTAGGTCTTCGTATATCTGACGTGGTGATGAGTGCAGATCCAGAGGACGATGATTCCTTCGTGCAGATGACTGCAAGGGACAGGAAGAAGGCCGTGGCAATGCTGAAGAACAGCCCTGTATGGGCAGTTGATGGGCCAGAGCCTGAATGGCGTGGGGAGCTGCAGCTAATGCTCATGCTGAATTTGAAGGCCGAGACTGAGATCATGTATGACCGGACAGGCGGACTTGAAGAGTGGCTTGATCAGAAGATGAGTTCTTTTCCTTGATCATGGACTTCACAATCCTAAATCTCTTGGCTTGGTATGCTACAGGCCAAGAACAATTTATTTGACTCAATGGAGTAAGTATATTGTTAGGCGACAAGACATAAAGCACCCATTGCTCTTCGTCTATCAATGCCCCGATTAGAGGCTGAGCAAACAGAGAGGTATAAGCCGTATCCCCCAATTTAGTAGAACAGTATGAAAGGCAAAAAGGAGAAGAGAAAGAAACGCACCCAGAAAAAACGCCCATTGTCCGCAAACATACCAGCTCGCCACCAACGACAGAACACCTGTCTATTCCATGGATGCTATGCTGGCAAACACAGAAAATGCAACGTAAACCGAAACACAAGCAGGCATAATATGAGATGCTCTATCATAAAAAAGCACAATACGTGCATCTGAAGTGGTATCACAGTCCCAATCCTTTCCTCACCTCCTCTCGGACCCGTTTCTCATACTCGCCCTTCCGTTCCCTCCACATCTTAGCAGCTTCGACATTGGCAGGACTCTCATCATTCGGCTCCGCAAGCATGCTCATCACAGAAATAAGTATCTTCTCAACACTCTGAATAGGCGACCACCTCTCCGACGCGTGCTCGTAGTGGTTCGGATCGTCGCCTGGGGGGTGAAGGATGGATATGCAAACTGTTCCATTGGGATAGACTAAGATCAGAATAAACAACGTCAGCGGAAATCAAAATAAAGAGTAATCAAACCCGAGGGAGGGGGATATAAAAGTAAAGAGAGAAATACCATTAGGATGCCAAACTCCACCACCCACGAACTTCATGGTCGGCGGACTGAGAGGATAATCCTTGGGGAATTTAAGCTCAGCCGCGAAAATTCCCCCTTCATACGGCGTTCCTTCCGGTCCCTGAATCAAAGCTTCCCAGAGGAACATGTCGTCCTCTGATACGGGTCCTGCAGTGATACCCTCCGGCGGGTTCATGGAAAGGTTCTTGTATTCGTGGAACAGACGCTTTTGAGCAACTGACGACATGTTGTCTTCTAACTTTCGGCCTGACTATAAATGGTAGCTCTGTCTTTTACCGGTTTCGAAATCCGTGATCCGCTGTAAACGGGCTGCTTTTCAGTGACTTTTTGATAATATTTAATATTCGATGTCGTAGAAGTAGTACGATAGAGGGGTGTTTTCGGTGATCAGCGAGTGCGGCGGGGATAGCGGTGGTGCGGGGAGTACGGAGTATGCCGGAGCAAATAGTAACAATAAGGAAACTAAAATAATAGAAAGACTGATTGTAAGGAGGGGATTTCTTGATGGAGATCAGAAGTATGAGGTTGATGCCTTGAGAACTTTTGAGAGATGGCGAGAAGAGGAGAGAGAAGTGCCACTGCGGAAGTGCAAGCCGCGGCTTTATCAACATCTTTTAGCACGGCTCAAGAGCGAAAGAAAACGAGCTACATGATTTTGGAATGCATTACTTGTCTACCTTCATCCTATACAATGCCTATCATAATGTATTATACAGTGTAAATACACCCCAGCCGTCGTCAGAAAGTCCGTCAGAAGAAGTCGGAACCATCCGACTCATCGTCACCCATACCCCATGGATCATCAGCATCCTGACCCCAAGGATCACCACCTCTTTCTTCTGACCAGACATCTTCCTGGGGACTTTCCGCTGGCGACTGCTGGTCCGCTTGTTGCTGTTGTTGCTGCTGTTGTTGTTCCGATGGTGGAACTTGTGCGGCGTCACCAGAGAGCCCCCTCTGCATCACATCATATCCAGCTAATGCTCCCGCACCAGCAGCTCCCGCAGCGGCCCCATCAGCTATTCCACCGGTAGCACCGGCTCTACCAACAGTGCCAGCAGCAGCTTCTCCCACTGCGCCAGCTTCACCAGCAGCAGCTCCGCCAGCTGCGGCTTCACCGCTCATAGGGAACCAGAGGGGAAAGAAGCCTATTCCACCACTTCCGCTATGGCGGCTGAAGTAGTCAAAGTCGATGCTCACTGCGGTCGCCAGCATCACCGCACGCTGATCCAGAGTCATGCCAGTGATCTGGTTGCCAGCGCCCGCCGGAACTTCTCCGGGATCAGCAACAGCGGAATCCATCCGTAGTGCGTAGACACCAGTATCCGTGAACAATTCGCGAGCGAACCCGGCGAAGTTGCGGTTCACAGATCCTATAGGCCTGTTCTCAGCTGAGCGGAGGGTAAAATCCCATGATAAAAACGGCTCGTCCACATATGCAAACTGGTTGAATTCCCCAACATCCTCTCCACGCTGCGAAGTTCTAGATAGCTGCAACTGCTGCGATCTAGACAAGTCCATTTGTGAAAGAGGTAATTGTTTAATACCCATATCCGTCGCGGCCTCTGGGGAAGAATGATAGGTAAACAGGTTGTACTTCCGCCGTAGCGGAGCCCACTGCTGCTGGGCCTCTCCAATCAAGCGCATGTCATCCAATCCCAGGGAAGAAACTCTAGTATTCGAACCACTTGAAATTTGAGTAAGAGATGCCGGAGAAGTTCCCTGAAGGGAGGTCGACGATGAATATGCCGAGCTGGCGATGTCTAGAGGATCGTACACTCGAATCCGGGAATTGATCCAGGAAAAGGGTCGGTGGAACTGCATGAAGGGTCAGTTATCGTAGTAAAGCCCTCTGGCAAATTAATGGAAGCAAGAACATACTCGGAGCACTTCATCCTCATGCCGATCAAACACATGTGTTACAAAGCTCCGATGCGTCCTGAAATACTGTCGAGCCACCATGTTGGCCATACCTTTTTCTTGCTCTGCCATATATCCCACATGGTTCCCATGCGCATCCATTATCACGTATCTGTTCGCCTGTTCGAACCCGCTTTTTCGCAGAATCTTGTTAGCTTACATGTCCGAAGTCGTCACCGGTGCATCCACGCCACTCACATCATCACGTTCATCATTTCCAACTGCCTCTGGACGACCAATCCTGAATTTGCCAATATATTCGTCGCCGGATGGTTACCTTTGAGAACTCCATTCGGATCCTCTGGTATGTGAACGGGGGCTAAAAGGGTATTCTGAGCGGGATCGTAGTTTGAATTAGGATTGCCAGGTACTGGTGTCTCTGGATTCAAGTGGTCTGCCTGCGGCTGTTCAGGCAATGCAGGCTCGGGATTTGATGATCTGCTTGATATAGGCTCCGGCCTTCGTAGAGAGTTTCGTGGACCTCGGGGGTTTGCGTGTCCTCGAAATGTTGATAAGGCCGCTCGACCTGTTGCCCGCCACGTGGCCGGAGGTCGGAGTGTGGCACTCCACATTGTTTGTATAAAAGCCACCAGGGTAGGTAAAGAAAGGAATGATCGAGGAGAACGATAATGTGTGAAAGGAGGCGTGTGGTTTTCTGCAGAATATGGCGATCCTCTCGCCGCGCAGAATGACGAAGTTCACTTTTCTGGCGGAGTTTGCGGAGATAAATGACAATTGGCGGATAACGGAGGAATTCTTCAGTATCTTGAATATAAGGCAAAGCGTCCAATATTTGAAGTTTTTACCTGCTACAGGCGCATAAACTTGGTTCAGAGGAATAGAAACTTAGTATGCATGCAGAGAAATGGTATTTTCATATCCATGCTGGTGACTTAGATTGGGTTCTCCTTAACAAGAACCGGTAGAGGTCCCCCTAAATGAGACTGCTTGCAACATTCTGAAGAATGGCGATTTTAATGAATGTAGCTTCTCACAAAAGGCCCTTCCGCGCTAGCTCAATCTTTCTTGACGCCTCCCTAGCCTTGTATCCTCCCCTCGACACGCAGATGGCGCTCCCTTCGCCCAGCTCAATTTTTTCTTCCACATCTGGATGTGGACACGGGCAGTGATGCGGGAAATGCACACAGGCTAGTGTGTCTGGACATAGGTATCTATTGCAGCGGGCTATTGCGGTCGACAAGAAGAGACTGTTAGCTTCCACAGAAAAGATACGGCGTTTATTTCAGACATATCAGATCCGTACCTTCTTTCCATTGCTTCTGGTACCAGGAACTATCGCTAGAAGCGTCCTTGGCCCCTTGATGTTGATGCTCCTGGTGCTGGCCGCCTCCAAACATATGCTCGAAGAACTGGAACTGGGCCTGTGCGAACGTGGCCAGGAGAAGAAGAGCCCACAGGGCTTTTATGAAGTTCAGTGCCATCGATCCAGGAAATGTAAAGGCAACCGACGGGGGTAAATTGCTGGCTAATGAGCTAGAATTGCTGTTATTATCATTTACCTCGAGCGTTGATGAAGCCAGCTCAACTACAGTATATGTTGGTATGTCACGTGATCATGCCAAGGAATCTCCGACGTCCTGAGAAAAGTGCCGACATTCCATCTCTCTTCCATCCATTCCCCAGGAGCAACTGCGGCGCGGGGACAGAACCAATTTTTCTCTCGCTGTCTGCCTCTGGTGGAATCTTACCAGGTATGCTACAGCCCAGGCTACTAGCGCCCATCCGGGTGCTAGAACGAGTATTCACGGCACCGTCCATCCGCTCCTCATCACAACATCTCTATCAATCCTCACTACCGGTTCAACGAACATTACTATCGTCACCCATTTTAAAAAATAACCCAACACCTATATCCAGTCGATTCCTTTCCTTTTCTCAAGTCCGACACGCCTCCCACGCAACACAGGGAGCCGCGAACCAACATTCCCGTGACCCCCCAGGGAAACGTCTCGGCGCGAAACGAACAGGCGGAGAATATGTCGTCCCAGGCTGCATTATTTTTAGGCAGCGCGGATCGAAGTGGTACCCCGGTGAGAACTGTGCAATGGGAAGGGACCATACCATCTACGCTACCGAAGCAGGGTATGTGAGGTACTACCTCGATCCCGAGAGACATCCGGATAAGAAGTATATCGGGGTCTGCTTTGAAAAGGACGGCGTGTTGCCTACACCGCGTAATGCTCCGAGAAAGAGGCGATTGAATAGAGTCGCGGTTCCAAGAATTACGGCTGGAGAGCCGGTAACAGCAGATGGTACTGACCCTGAGGGCAGTGAAAGTGCCACGACGGGTCCAAAGCTGAGACCGGGATATATGTATCGTGAGTCGAACTGGGAAATTGGACGCGCAGCAGATCGGGCTGGTATTACTGTTCCAGAATACAATCGGAAGAACCGTTGGCTCGCTTGGCGGAAGAGGCAGGCTCGTGCTGAACGGGCTGCCCAGATGAAGAGTATCAAGGGCAAGAAGAAGGCTTCAAAAAAGAGCAAGGGTCGTGGTTAGTTTCTTGTATCCGTGCTTTGGTCGTGTCCTATGAGATTCATGGGTTATGTGTATAATATTCAACAGTCAGCAAGTATTTTCGAGTCTCATGTTGTACAATGAACTGTGAGACTACTTCTTCGTTTAGCCATGTTTTTTATCCCTCTCTGTTCCCTAAGAACTTACATAATAAGACACTAGATATTTGTTCATGAGCTGGTACAGTAATGGCCACGGCACTTCTAGGCTTCTACATTATTTCGAGGAGAAATAAAAAAAAATTATGACAAGGACGGGATTCGAACCCGCGCTCTTTCGAATCAGTGGATGGATTTCCTAAAACTGACGCCATAACCACTCGGCCACCTTGCCAAAATTAGATGGATTCTTTAGACTTTTCCGCGTAATGTAAGTCTTTCTCACACAATGCAAGACATGTATGTGTGAATACTCCCAAATTCAGAGCAGATGTCTCTATAGCACATGGAAGCCACCAGCAGAATGGTTTGTCACATAATTTGATGGGACAGCTTTAGCTGTGTGAACCTTGAGAACAAGGTTGGTTTTATGTAAAGAAATGGACGCAAATATGTGACTAAGATACTGTTTGATACAAATAACATACAATGTATGGAATATTCAAAAAAATATTTAGGTAGAATGACAAGGGTGGGATTCGAACCCACGCCCCTTTCGAGACACGGAAGTATGTATAAGATAACCTGAACCGTGCGCCTTGGACCGCTCGGCCACCTTGCCAGCATGATTACGTAAAACATGTGACATGACTGAAGATGATGGGGAAGAATCTGCACTCCGTATTGATTTATTTTCCTACTCCTACCAATCATGGGTCGCGCACTTTGTACTGTTTACCTAATATAACCCGATGTCTGAGAATTGGGATGGCCTGGTTGGGATACATGGTGGAATAACTCGTTGTCAACACTGGGGTGATGCAGTGTAGTTAGTCATCTCCTGAGCCTTCAGTGTAACAGTCTCGAGGTAGTTTATTCAATAGCTAGGCCACTCTAAGAGTACATTAAATCTTGAAAGGAAAGGAAAGACGTGGTGGTCTGTTTACCTAGGAGCTCGGACGGAATAAGATTGGTCCGTGATCATATGATGATGAGTAGGGCGGTGAATTGTGGCAGAATGAAGTTGGTAGACTGGGCTGCAACTTCTAGTTGCTCGCTGTTAATGCTGGCTGAGGCTATCCGAAGCCCTATATCGGGCCTAGCCCGTCACATTCAGCCGTTCTCTTCAGGTTCAAGGGCCGTTGATACTTTTCGATCACCAGAAAAGAGCTGTATATGCTGGTGCACGATCCATATGCTATATAGCGTAGAACTGGAGAGGAGCGAACAGTGCTGCTAGCCGATCTGGGTGGGCTAGACCCGCACGTTTCCTGTTCGGGAAATAAGGTCCCCCGGGAAGCGACATCGGAAATCACGTGCCGCACGATAATCTAATCTGATCCGATCTCTCTCCCGTTTCCTCTTCTCCCTCGCTTTCCAAGCTCCCACGCTTTTTCCCCTCGACGCTCTCATCCCGTCTACCCTGGCCGCATTGAATTGGAATGTGCGACAGATTAGCTCTGTTCTCCTCGAGGCTCTGCTTTCCCCCTCTTAGCAGTTCGCGAACTTGCTCCTCGGCTCGAGGGTTGACTGGGGAACGCCTTTTCCGGTCTTCCGACCGACACCACCTGGTTTGTTACCCGCGTCCCGCCGAGAAGGTACTTACCTGCACCCTTCAACCCCAAAATGATCACCGCTGACCGTCGCCATTTAGGGCAGTCTCTGACAGCCCCCAAATAATTGTCGGGGCGTGATGGCTTCCCCCGCCGCCTCTGCGACTCCTTCTGTTCCGCCTTTGGCCTGCAAGCCCGCTGTCGTAGCGCCCGCTTCCTCACCCGGCCCGGGTACCCCCGGCTCTGTTACCTCGAAAGAATGGGTTATCCCACCACGCCCCAAGCCTGGACGCAAGCCCGCAACTGATACTCCACCTACAAAGCGCAAAGCACAGAACCGTGCGGCTCAGAGAGCGTTTAGAGAGAGGCGAGCTGCTCGCGTCGGCGAACTAGAAGAACAGATTAAGCAGATCGAAGAAAAGAACGAAATCCACGTAACCGAACTGAAAAATCAGATTGCGAACTTGTCCCATGAGCTGGAGCGAAGCAGACATGAGATTAGCTGGTGGCGCGACCGATGTCATGCCTTGGAGAAGGAGATTGGCGCTGGAAAAAAGGCCAAAGATTCTCTCATGAAAAGTGTCAGACAGTCTAATGAGGACCCAACAATATTTGGTGATCAAATGTCTTTGTCGCCTCATCCCCGAATACAGAACTCCCAGACCAATCGCCGGTCTAGCGGCCAAAACGATCAGAATACCTCTTCCAGTAACGAGACAGATGATGTTCCATTGGGCTGTAGCCGTTGCTCTTTGGCTCATTGTCAATGTATCGAAGATGCATTCGCCATTTCTGGAGTTGAAACTGGTGTCCAAGATAGCTCCAGGCAACACCAGCTTTCCGAACCTAAAGTGAAGGCGGAGCCGGAGGAAATGGAGATAGATTTCACATCACGGTTCTCGGCCTTTCATCCCCAAAATGATGAGTCTTCCATTTCTTCTCCTGCAGTTGATCCATGCGGCTTCTGCCAGGATGGCACTCCGTGCATCTGCGCCGAAATGGCTGCCCAGGAAGAACAGCGACAGAAGCAGTCGCGCCGCCTTTCTTTTGACAGCCGTAACCGTCTTGCTCCCATTCAAAATATTTCCCAATTCACTCCTCCACCCTCAGACAGCGATGCTCGCTCTGAGGTTACCCTGCCTCCCATAAGCCAAACCACAAATCTCTGTGCTAATGGCCCGGGAACCTGTGCTCAATGCCAAGCAGACCCAAGGAGTACCCTTTTCTGCAAGTCCCTAGCAGCTGCTCGCTCTGCGACCTCTAATTCCGGCTGCTGTGGTGGTAAAGGCCCTGAGGGCGGATGCTGTCAGTCTCGCAATCCATCCGCTAACCATGCTAGTGGGTCTAGTGGCACCACACCTTTGACTCTCTCCTGTGCAGATGCCTTTACTACATTATCACGACACCCAAATTTCTCTCGTGCTTCAGACGAGATTGATTCTTGGATCCCCAAACTTTATACCCTGCCGGAGCCTCATGGGCCATCCGTTAGCTCAAGGCCGACCATGGAAGTCGAAGCTGCAAGTGTCATGGGTGTCTTGAGATACTTTGATCGGCGATTCGCCGACAAATGATTTATGTCGGGTTTGATTTGGATTCGGATTTTAGGTCTAATGTTTGCTGTGCCCACGATACCCAATAACCCTACCGGGCAAACAACACTGAGAAAAGAAAAAAAAAATTAAAATGGTTCTTAATGTACATTGGCTGGTTCAATCGGTCCGTCCCTACCTGATGGTCAGTGCCATGTTCCTCCGCAGATGAGGCGGACACACTTGTGGGGATGGCAGGGGCACAAGTTCCTTTTTCACGTCTGTTTCATGATGAAAAAAAAGATGTCCTTTTTTTGTCTATATGTGCGATTTTCTTTCCATGCACTGGACATTTCTCATTCTATTCACTATTGGAAGCTTTTTTTTAAAAAAAAAGCTTTCCCCTCTGTTCGTCAAATCTGGATTTCAAGCCTGGGTCGTATCTTATGTTTCCTGCCTAATGTGTCTCATTATTGATTACATGAACTAAACTGTAGTGGTGAAAAAGGGGGTTGTCTATATCTTGCTATGTATTTTCTTTTCCACGTTGTTTATGTTATTCCAAGCTCTCGGTGATGTCTTTATGTGTTCAGGAATGCGGTTTTATCAAACGGTATTTTTTTCGATAGTGGTTATAATTAGGACAATCCTTCTACGAGTCCCTGAAAATTAAATGAATAATAAAATAAAAATAAAATCATAAGATGAAGAATGGTTTCGTCAACCTTTCTGCTTAAAAGGGTAACTGACCCAATGTTCAGATACAATATGTTGTTCATTCCCCCTTATATTTGTTTAATGCAGAATATACCTTGTTTACACTGCAGCTACCAATCAACTGCTGGATTCCGTGATGTTATTACAATAGTTATAGCAAACCCAGTTGACTCCATGTTCCACAGATGCCCAACAATCTCTGGTAAAACCAAACCAGATACGTAATGCGGATCGCCAACCTCAACAGTAGTAGGTGGGTTAACAAAATGAAGAGCAGAGAGTGTATTTATTTACGATTGATGGAAAGGTTATTAAGTGGCAAAAAAAGGAACGGAAAACTCCGAAGCTGGCAGTGAGCCCATGTTCCCAATATATATATACACAACTCCAAGGGAAAATAATGGACAAGGAAGGGGATAAAAAGGAGAATAGAAGCCCCAAACGCCATTCAGTGCGAACCAAAACCCTCCGTATAAAAACGCAATAACGAGTCCCTTAGCAGCGTGATGATTCTGATCCCTTTCAATGGAAAAGAGACAGAGAGTACAAGACGAAGGGAAAGGTGACTTTCTCATATGTTATGCCATAGAACGGCATATAAATGGTGGCATACTAGAAGGATAGACGATATCTGATGCCCTGCTTAAAATCGACCACCGAGTGCTCGACCTCGGCCGCCGCTAGCACTCGTACCCGAAATCATTGTTTCATCGTCTCCTGGACCGGCAGCTGAACCAAGTAGGCCCGCGCCCCAGATTCCCGCAATACCCCACATGCCGATTCTCCAACCACGATAGAGACCATGAATGCCTTGGCCTTGCCGCCTTCTCTGTCGTTGACGACTCGAGACAGGCTTTCCGAGAAGTTCCTGGGCCCTCTCAGCTTCGGACTGAGCTGGGCTGACCCCTTCTTCGTATACAATGCCCCACATGGTTCCAATGACACCGCGGTAGGACCGCGGTGTTGGGACAATGGTCTCTACCTCAGAGGCTTCCGCTGCCGTAGAAGAAGGTGATGACCTGTATGTCCCAGTGGGCCTCTTCTGCCGTAAACTCGGCGATGTGAAAGTAACTATTTGTGCCCGACGCAGAACGGTCTCAAGTGGGAACCGCACTCCAAGTTCCAAGGCGGTCCCCAATAGTGTGAAAAAGTTCCACGTGCCTGGGTTAAGCAAAGGGTCGATGGACAGGTAAGTTTTAAGGAAAAGAGGGGTTGAGGTGACGATCAAATTTGGAAGACTCGAGTGAAGGACAGTGATGGGGATCAAGTGAGACGGGATGGTATAGTTCGGGGCCGGGAGAAGGCGAATGGCCCGAAGTAACGAGCGCGGGCCATGGTTGGCAGGTGTGAGGATGAGGAATGTGCGTGCAGTATCAATCGGAGACAAGAGCATCGCTGACAGAGAAGATGAGATGAACGATAGAATCAGCGTTGCAGCCGGCGAGGCGGCTGTAAGTATATCGGCAGTCATCGATGACGCAATATCCTCCTCTGGCAGGCCTACGATGGCCGACAAAAGACTCCTGATGAATGTGTTTAGGGTAGGAAGCAGTAGGGAGTAAATAAATGTCGCATTGGTGGCTTTCCAAGGCGCTGTTGGGCCGCTTGTAGACCAGAGCTGGGAGAGAACTTCCATCAAGGAAGAAGGGTTCGTGATCTTCAGGGCGTATTTGGAACTTGGACCAGACGACGGGATGTAACCAGCACGATCGGTGATATGGTGTCGACCCTTGTGAGACCTTGAATTACCGGGAGACGAGGGGGCAGGGACTGCAGAAGTAAAATAGCTGCTCTCATCATCGGTGGATTGCGAGCCCTGCAGTCATCCTCGAGTTAACATCCACGAAGAACCATATCCGGCTGGTACCAAGACACATACATCATTCTCATCATCATATTCACTGTAATACTCGTCTTGAGGTTGTCGATTTGGCTTTCGCCGTTCATCCAGCGGCAATTGTCCATCCTCTGCACCGGGCATCACATAGGCCTGCAGAATGGTCTTTGCAACATCGAACGGCTGAGAAGTTAAGACACTGATGTAGCGCCATATTGCCCGATCCAACGCATCTCTGAGCCACTCCGAGACCGACGGAGAGGTCTCTAGATAATCAGAATAGTCTATATCCGGCAGCAGATCGCGTGGAGAACCACCAAATACCTGTGTAGGCGAGGCCGACGGGACATCGGGCGAGGATGAGGCTTTGGAGAGAGGAGCGGAGGAGAGCCCGATGGGGGGTGGTGTATAGTAGGGGCGCAAGGGATTTGGCCCTTGTTGTGAACTGTTCATGGCTGATGCAGAGTTTCAATTCGATATACCAGGCTGGACAGTAGTTCGCAAGGATTTCTGATCTTGTCGCCGACGGTGCAGTCGCCGAAGAATATCAAGAAAGCTTTGGAAGAAAAAAAGTAGAAAATGCCGAGCCCGAGACTCCGTCATTCCGCCTTGCAGCTTGAAAAAGGTAATAATATCAAGAGTCTCATCTCTCTCTTTTCTCTCGTAGCGTCGCAACTCTCCTCTCCCAATGTTCTACTTCTATCTATGAGACGATAGCGCCTCTCTTGTTTTCTTTTCTGTTTTCTCTTATTTCTGTCCTCTCCCTCGGAGGTTGTTCTCCATCCGTCGCAATGTTACTTTTCAAGGAAGCTTGTCGTCAACTGCGCCACACGGCGCCAAAGACTGTCCCAAGACCACAGGCAGCTAATGTCTCTCCTTCATGTCATCTGCAGCTATGGATAATGCAAGGTGCACCGAGTTGGCGGAAGCCCAGTTCATGGCAGACCACGAAGTCAGTACGGCGATCATTCTCCGCTACGGCTGGAATGGATCATGGACATATTACACCCCCTAAACCGGGAGAGGAGTACGTCACAGCTCTTACAGTTGTATACATTAATATACATTTTTATACTAAGATGCTCTCTTTTTTCGTAGGATCAACGTCTCGTTCATTGACAAGGACGGTGAGAAGTACGATTTTCAGGTATCCGAGGGTGATAACCTGCTGGACATTGCCCAGGCCAATGATCTCGAGATGGAAGGTTTGTGCCTTTCTTGCTACCAGGGCTCTAGACTTAATGGCTGCTGACACTTCTTTGCCCATCTGTAGGTGCCTGTGGCGGATCTTGTGCCTGTTCGACATGCCACGTTATTGTGGAAGATCCGGAAATGTTCGATAAGATGGAAGAGCCAAGCGACGATGAAAATGACATGCTTGATCTCGCTTTCGGCTTGACGGAAACGTCTCGTCTTGGCTGCCAAGTGGCCATGAACAAGGATCTTGATGGATTGGTGGTCAGATTACCTTCGATGACGAGGAATATGCAAGCCAGCGACTTTGAGCAAAAGAAGTGAGGTATTTTTAGAGTAAATACGTTAATAGGAGGGTTTCCGGGTTGTGTACACGGATATCAGTAAGGGATAGACGGGGCCGTTCATTGTCAAAGTAGAATTCTTTTCAGTATCTAGCGCGCATGTACTATTCGGGTATGCATCGAGATGGACAATGACGAAAATAGACAATAAGACTTTTGGATATAAGTGCGCCTGTGCAATCAACGAAGGGGAAGCGTCCCCTTAATCCATCCAGAACGCCGGAAACAATGCCTGATTCCCCTTAGTGACATGAAATATAGCAAAAAGAATCCCGTTATGCCTCCTCTATGCTGATCTCTTTCCCCTTCTTCCCACCGATCAGCTCCAAGAACCCTTGCTTGCTAATCTCGTTGGCCGCCTTCGCTCGCTCGTCGAGTCCAATCGTTCCTTTCTTCTTCTCTGCTTTGGCAGCCTCCTCACCACGGACCTGCGCTGCTCGAACGGCATTGAAAAGCTTCACTACACCGCGCTGCGCAATCTTGCGTAGCCGCTTCTCCTCCTCGGCCACTTCACCAGCCTGACCCCGCTCGATACCCATGACGTCGCGAATGCGGCCCCGATCCAGCTCTTCCTTCTTCTCCGCGCGAAGCCTGGCCCGCGCGAGCCTTTCTATTTTCTCATTGGCAAAATCTGTACTGACCTGCGCAGCTGCCTTGCTGCGGGACAGGACAGGATCCGCTCGAGCAGAAGTAGGGAGTTTGGTAGAGAGAATTTTGGAAATAGATGTAGAGAAAGCTGTAGGATCATTGCGCTTCGATACGTTCCTCTGTCGACTCCTGTTCGAAGTAGCCATGGAGGAGTCGGAATGTGATCCGTCGTCCGAGTCTGAAGATGCTTCCGAATTTGATTCGTCGTCTGCGTTATCATCGCTGGTTTCAGAGTCTGCATCATCATGTTCGCTTTCTTTTGGTTTCCGTGAACCTAAGGTTTTCGCTTTCTTTTGAAGCGCTGGTTGTTCATTCTCTTCGTCTGAATCGGCGAGATTGACTGCTTGGAAATCTGTTTCCTCCTCATCGTCAGAGCTGCTGTGGTACTCAAGTTGCTTCCTGAACTTCTTCTTCGGATGGGCAGTTTTCCCCTGTAAGCTATCGAGAACCTTGCGCTTTTTCGGAATTGCAGAGGGTGCCATGGTGAATATCGCGGTGTTGATAATTGGATGTGGTTTGCGATGACTTTTTTTGATGAATGCACTTTTCTTCGGCAGAGGGTTTTTGATAGCCGCGCCATTCTGCCTCCCCGATTGGCTACAGCGCTTAGTTGGGTGCACTATAGAGACACGGCAATGTACTACAGTCCATTTTAGGTAAGCGGTCACAGGTACCTGAGACAAACGCTGCAAAATTGTCACGTGGTACTCCGCATTCCAATCCATTTTCTGTATTCTGTCCTTCGGAGTAGACATCTGCTGTAGTACCCACGCTGCTGTCTTTGCCTGCCCGTGTTTCTTTTCCCTTCTTGCCATTGGAATCGCGCATTATATATCCTCCGTTATTTCTACTTTACCTTCGTTTCAGAGTCGGACCACTTTCCCGCCATGGTCCTCCAGGATCTTGGACGGCGAATTAACGCCGCAGTCAGTGAGTTGACGCGGTCTAGCACTCTAGATGAGAAGGTTTGTTGAATGACTACTTCTATAACTTGCGAAGGGATTGCATATTGATGCTGACTGCTTGATTTAGGCTTTCGATGACATGTTGAAGGAGATCTGTGCTGCTCTACTATCTGCAGACGTTAATGTACGCCTCGTTCAGTCACTTCGGAAATCGATAAAATCCAGCGTGAATTTTTCTTCCCTCCCTCCGGCTGTGAACAAGAAACGCCTGATCCAGAAGGCTGTATTTGATGAGCTCGTATCGCTGGTCGATCCACACGCGAAACCTTTCCAACCGAAGAAAGGACGTTCGAACGTGATCATGTTCGTCGGTCTTCAGGGTGCCGGAAAGACGACCACATGTACGAAGCTGGCAAGGCATTACCAGATGCGTGGATTCAAAACTGCGCTAGTTTGTGCAGATACCTTCCGTGCTGGTGCCTTTGACCAATTGAAGCAGAACGCAACCAGGGCCAAGATCCCGTACTATGGCAGTCTGACGCAGACGGATCCTGCTGTTGTTGCAGCAGAGGGTGTAGCCAAGTTTAAGAAGGAGCGTTTTGATGTCATTATTGTTGATACCAGTGGTCGGCATAAGCAGGAGGAAGAGCTATTTGCTGAAATGACCCAAATTCAGACCGCCGTCACTCCAGACCAAACCATCCTAGTTCTTGACAGCACAATCGGTCAGGCCGCGGAAGCCCAGTCGGCAGCTTTTAAGGCGACAGCTGATTTTGGAGCCATCATAATCACCAAAACCGATGGGCATGCCGCAGGTGGTGGTGCCATCTCTGCCGTCGCTGCGACACATACCCCGATCATTTTCCTTGGTACTGGCGAGCATCTGATGGACTTGGAGCGTTTTGAACCCAAGGCTTTCATTCAGAAGCTTCTAGGCATGGGTGATATGGCGGGTCTAGTCGAACATGTCCAGGCCGTAACCAAAGACTCAGCCTCGGCGAAAGAGACATACAAGCATATTTCGGAAGGAATCTATACGCTACGTGATTTCCGGGAGAATATTACCTCAATTATGAAGATGGGTCCTCTCTCTAAACTTTCGGGCATGATCCCTGGTCTATCGAATATAACGGCCGGCCTGGACGATGAAGATGGCTCCCTCAAACTGCGCCGCATGATTTACATATTCGACAGCATGACCGCCGCAGAAATTGACAGTGACGGCAAAATTTTTGTAGAGCAACCCTCTCGCATGGTGCGCATTGCGTGCGGCAGCGGCACCACTGTTCGCGAAATCGAAGATCTTCTTTCGCAACATCGGATGATGGCAGGCATGGCCAAGAAAGTTGGTGGGCAGAGGAAGCAAATGCAGCGCGCCCAGAACATGCTTAAGGGCGGCAACAAGGAGCAGCAATTGGCCGCCATGCAAAAGCGGATGGCAGCCATGGGTGGCGCAGGCGCTGGTGGTTTTGGCGGCCTCCCCGGCATGGGAGACATGACCAAGATGATGCAGATGCTTCAGGGACAAGGTGGTGGCCTTCCCGGTATGGGTGGGATGGACCTACAGGGTATGATGAGTCAAATGAGCGGGTTAATGGGAGGTGGTGGCAGGGGCAGAGGACGATGAGGAGTTTTGCCTCCTTTTCCCCAAGGGCCGGGACCTTTTCTCCACTTCTCTTTACTTTATCCTTTGTCAATAGTATTCCTTTATTGCCTTGGCCCCCTTTGCTTCTCATGATAATGACACATGCATATCCGTCTTGGCCCCTGTTCTCCGATCAACGATCCATGGTCTCATTTTGTGCTCATTTGAGCTGATGCTAGGCAATTTAGCACTTGGGACTGGTGTTGAAGGTGTCTGTTCATTTTATATAGGTATTGTCTTCTCTGTAATATTGGGACCTGTGATTTACTAATCCGGTTAGTTTTGCCGTTCCCGGACTAGCGCCCCAATACGCTGTCTTGTAACCTCTCCCTCCATCGCCTCGACATAAAAGACCAGACCTCGCCCTTGTCGACCTCTTTTCTCCTTCTTCCCCCTCCCTTCAACTCCTCTATCTTGCACTTATCGCCGCCCCTTTTCTTTTACTCTGGTCCCCACCGACAACTGCGCCTTGGCAGCAATTGTAGCGGAAATTGTTGCCAGTGGACTATAGCTTGTGGTTGTGGCCTGTGAAATGGCATGATCTCGCGTGCTTGGATGCAATGGTCTGGATTGCAGGAGCTGCCCTCCCAGGTGACCATCATCTATAAAAGTGACTACAATTCAACGCAAATGGCAAAGCTGGAATTCAAATCCCCAGCTCCCTGTTTTATGAGTGCAGACAAACATCATATCCCGAAGACCTTTTCAGGCATTTCTTGGTCAAACCGACTTGCCATAAATGGTACATTTACACTGATTACCTACTGTAGGCAAAGTCGTGAAATCAGGAGCAGTGCAATTCAACCACAGCTGGGACTGAACGAATCGAGAGTGGTTAGAACTGTCACCGGTGGCCTACGTCCCCATGTTGTGAAACCGTCCTTGTCTCGTGTCTTGGTTGCTTGACTTGGGTTGGATGAGCTTGTCTGCGCCTCACGGTCGATGATCGTCTCCTGTCCAGGGGAAATAGTAATTGGGGCTGCGGATACTTGGCACCTTTCTGGATATTGTTGGCCTGGGTGAAACGAGCTAGCAATCAGCTTTGCCTGATGAGTTATCCCAACCCTAAATATCTGATTATAGGTTGAATCATCTGCGACACCTTTTTTGGTCCCTTGTGTCAGGGCCCTTGCCATGTAGACCAGGACGAGCACGTGAGCTTCCTTACTTGGATTAGCGTGGCGCGTGGATAGGAGTACGTCGTCCAGCTTCACGTAGATCTCTTCCTTTTTTCCTTCCTCTTCATGCTTGAAGTTCTCGTCGATAGCTGCCTAGATAGCTGAATAGCATCCTATTCATCGTCTAGTTGAGCTCCGTGACACCTTGTGACTTTCAAAACGGATCCCTGCGACTAAAGCAGATACCTACAACCAGGAAAGTGGATCTCTTGGTTACTAAAGCGGTGCCTGCGACTACTAAAACGGCTCACTATAGCTACCAAGATGAATCTCCCAAAGCAGACACCTTTTTTTTCTGCGACACCCTCTTGGTTCTATTTCCGATATAGCTCATATAGTATTGGTATTCGAAGAACTGTCATAATGAATCGTGGTGCTTTCCAACAGACGTTTACGATGCTACGTACTTTCGGACTGAAGAAGGAGGAGGAGGAGGAGGAGGAGGAGGAGCAGTAGAGCGCGAAAACCCGCTGTCTATCACTAGATTTGACGAGATAAGCGTAAGCATAAATAGCGCTTGGTAGTAGGGGTCCGAAGAAAGGCAATCCGGGCGGTTGGCCCCTTGGATCGCCAGCGTTATGATTTTCCAAGCGCCGTCCCAACTTCCTTGCGATGCTGTATCGCGATTCGCGCCCTGGTAGGCCAAAGGAGCTCTCTAAATACACTCACCAACCGCCAGAAACACCTAACCGCCATATACTCGACTTTGTGGGAGCTAATAATAGGCAACACCACTAGAATGAGACTGAGAGAGGTAAGACGGCATTTTCTACCATCGAGTCAGACCCAGTGGCTGTCTATTTCGAAGAAGACATTGATACCTATCACAAATTATTCGATCAGAATATTCCGCGGATTGGCCATGCCTACGATTTGCCTGATTTGCAAGTTTCAACGAGTCATCTAGGCTCCAGAGTTCGGGCATTCGGGCGTATCTAATGCAGCTATGAAAAGCGGTTGCCATTAAAAGTCCGACCAAAAAAAAGATCCAGTTCTGGAGATATTCATGGTTGAAATAGTCAGGATTGAATATTGGACCGCGCAGGCTCCTATATTATGCCTGTGTATATGTTCAGCGTATGGTAAGCGAAAGCTCAACTCGCCTAGAGAATTTAACGTGAAAATCTCTAGGTGGCCGGAACCTTTTTAGGTGAGCCGCGCTGCAACCCGACCCAGCATAACCATGGTGGTGACCTGGGGCACCTTACGAAGCAGATGGGCAAGGCCCTGGATCCAACGTTTACACTGGTATCTAGACATCTGTAATATATATTAAATCTTCTAGAAAGAAACAGAAGTCTCAGACGAATAGGAAGTAGTAAGGCTTAATAGCCATTGTCATGCTGTGCTAGATAACCCTCTTGTGGGCGGAAAGCAGCCTGTCTGCTTGGAAGACATACCCACATATGACGGATACAACGCCAACTAACCTACGGACCTGTATACGATTTGGTGATAATCACATCATATCCTGGTATGCATTGCTTAGGCATGGAAGCGCTGTAGTTGCCATTGCCTCTTGTTAGCAGCTACTTCTCCAAAAGATAAATCAGTGCAGTTGGAGAGTCACTCACCTTTTCAACTTTCCCGGAGGGTGTGGCAGCAGGAGCCTGCGCAGAATTCCCACAGAATGGAGAAAGAGCACCAGGAGCATTCACAGTGTTGTCCTTAATATTGGCATTGACTGGAACATCAACAGAGACAAAGGCAGGGTTGAAAAAGCTGCTGTCAGGACTGAGGTTACCATCAACACTAGCACGCTATAAGTACCATTATCATTGTTAGCAAGTACTCCTCCAAGGGTAAGTGAGAGTCATGTACCTTTTCAGCTTTGGCAGAATTCTCACAGAATGGAGAAAGAGCACCAGGAGCATCCACAGTGTTTCCCTCAATGTTGGCATTGACTGGAACATCAACAGACACAAAAGCAGGGTTAAAAAAGCTGTGGTCAGGGCTGGCGTTACCATCAACACTAGCACGCTATAAGTACCATTATCATTGTTAGCAAGTACTCATCCAAGGGTAAGTGGGAGTCATGTACCTTTTCAGCTTTGGCGGAATTCCCAGAGAAGGGAGAAAGAGCACCAGGAGCATTCACAGTGTTTCCCTCAATGTTGGAATCAACCGGCACATCAACAGACACAAAAGCAGGGTTAAAAAAGCTGTGGTCGGGGCTGAGGTTGTCATCAGCACTGGGGTCGAAGTCAAAGGTTGGCCATGGCGAGACCAGCCAGGACACCGGCAAGGATAAAGGGGGCCTTCATTTTCGCTTGATTCTGGTATGTTTATAGGACTTGGTAGGTAGGGACAGTGGGAAATGTATCGATGAACAAATGAGCGTGGTGGTTAGACTGTATGGACGTGTAGCAAAAGAGTGACTGGGCTAGTTGTGAAAGGACAACGACAGAGTAGGGACTTGAGATCCCGACCTTTTATGATTCCCCTGCCTCTCTGCCTCTGCCCCGTTGCTGCTCGAGGATTGGATGGAGCCTTATTAAATAACATCACATATAATCTGAGCAGCCCCCGAGGTTCCTAATATATACGATCGTCTAGCGTTACATATTAATTAAGGAGCGCATTGGGAGATGTTCGGGATCCCGTACGGACCCGGCACCGCGCCTGTATGCCTCTGGTCAAGTTGACCGTCTCTCGAGTCTACATGATCGACATGAGCCCCTCGTCATACAATAAAATTTTGCTTGGCCTGCGAATCTCGGCGATCCTCGCTATCTAGGGGGCAATCGCCTCGATCTATTTAATTAATGCATTGGAACCCTATGGTTGTTAAAATATCTCCTGCGTCAGACCCCTGAATCACGTTGCTCCACTCATTTCATGTCTTCAAATCTCCATCCCAGATCTTCCCCATCAGTTTCACCTTTGCTCTGATTGAGGCCTACAGTCAGAACAAACGCAGGCCAGGCATCACAGGGTCAAGTGGCAAAGATACAAGTTACAAGGAGCTCGGGGGTGCGCGTAGGAATGCATTTAGGAAGGGTAAAACATGTGTAGAGCCTAGATTCAGAGCTAGCCACTCAGATGTTGGTGGGTCATATAAATAAGTCGCATGCCCTATTGGGTTATATATAGTTCGGCCCACCTACACAGTACTGTGTAGAAACTCTCTAGGCGAGCCGAGCTAGGAGCTGGCTAAGATACCGGATATCAGCTCGGAGCCTCGGCCCAGGTATGGCTCACGTGAGACTTCTGCTAGTTAACTAACTAATGCTGGTTGGCAGCTGAGTGGCAGTTGCGCAGTTGGCCTATGCCGCCTGCTGGGCTTCCCGCCGCACGAACTCCTCAGGGGGATTTGGGTGGTTTTTGCTGGGGATTTCGAAGGGTAGATAGTGGAATAGGGGTTGAAAATAGAGGTAAGTATTCGGCTCGGTGAGAGCTTCAAAATGATATAGGTTTTGAGGGTTCTGACCCCCCAAATGTAGGGATCATTTGGTCAGGAAGAGATGGTCTTTTTGACGCTAGTGGGTGTGGGTATTGAACCTAAGAGTTTAAAGGGTGTTTTTAAGTTTATAGGCGCAATACAACTGTCAGAAACTGCTAGTGTATGAGGGCCTCAATTCATATTGGTGTTTGAACTACGCTTATACCTAGGGCCTGGCATTTGGTTTCTGAATAAGATACAGATATGATGAAGAAACAACCATCTCTGTTCACCATTTTAGATGCTGGGCAGAGAATGATAATCAGGCAAATACTGTAAACGGGCAAGCGGTCAAAATAAATGTTAAACGTTGAACAACCAAGATGATGACATCAGGGAAGGGTTGCCCTATACGGGAAGCCCACAGGCTAGCAGAGCCAAATTTGCTTTTCTAAGCTCAGCGCGTTTCTCACGACAGGAGCAAGCGAAGGCGGTCAGAACCGGCAGAACCTCACGGGATCTAACAAAAAGGATGATGATGTGGATCAGGGGTGCGGCGTCTGGATACTGTGGTTGACCCCGGTGATTTTGTTAGTACGGTGGGTCTTTCCTAATTAAGATATTCGAATTCTGCCAGTTCAAATATTGAAGCTATTCCTAAGCAAGCTAATACTTAGTATGACCTCCCTCTGCCTCGATCACTGCCTGGCACCTTGCCTGCAATGGATTCAATCAAATCTTTCAAGTAGTATCTGAGCGTTTCTACTTTGCAGACCAAATTAACTCATATGGTTGCTGGTGCCTTCCTCGTCAGCACGATGGTTCTGTCACTGTCAATATACCTGCCAGTACGCCTCAATTAGTCCCTAGGTTGGCTATATACTTTACTACGTTTTTGATCTAGGAGCATCGCAATGTCCTGCTCCCCTCATTCATGGCCACTAGCCTAGTTGGTCTGAGTTTTGTTTACGTCCAATACATCACATTCTGGTGTATATGCATGAAGCCAGAGAATATTCAGACAAATGCTTTAGGATCATTCTGGAGACATCCAGGTCGCACAGCTCCTAAACTTCAACGAGCCTTGTGGGTAACATCCATCTTGTCAATAGGGCTGTTCCTGCTTTCGCGATGTTTAGCGATCATCGCATCTACTAAACCATGCCTGTGGACCCAGATCACTATGGCATGTGCCTTTCTGCGTAAGTAATGTTCATACCTAATATTGGTCCAACTCCAAATCGCGATAATAAGCCTCAGGAAGGCTGTCCTATCAACATATCTCCTCGGAGCCCGGACAGCAGGATAAATGTGTCAGTTTTGTATGAATGCGCTTGACAGCTGTGTTGTAGTCTGTCCATGAATGCCACTCGTTACTTATTTTTGTCCGTTGCTTCAAATCACAAAGGCTTGGGACCTTTAGTGTCTGAGTTTACTGGCTAGTGTGGCTGTAACACTCCAAGTACTTCGGCTTGTGTTGATTTTCGCATACTAAACAGCACCCATGGACCAAGCCTACTATTGCACGTACTATTATTGACTTTTCCCTCTTTTTGAATGCGTCGAATTCGCACAGATGTACCAAACAGCCGCAACACAGCACCTACCTTCCACGATTGTCGAGGATTTGCCTTGTTACTGTCTGCTGTTTTTGTCCTTTTCCCCTATCTGTCAAAAGGTGGAGAAATATTTTTCGTTCTTTACAGGAAGGGGCTGTGATGCCCCAAGAAGTCCATGCGGGATCGGTATCCCACTATGGAGCTAGCTGTAACAACATCCCCAAGACGCATGTATTAGTTACAAATAGGATGCTGATGTCAGCCTGTTTCTGTTGATGATCCCGAGCTTGAGCCATATGTGACTGTATATTCCACTATACACATTTCATATGCTGGACCATTTCGTTGGCACATTGTCTACTTAGATGTTCATCAACCTTTAAGCCAGTTGGAATCACTTGCCAGTCAAAAAATGTGTGTCGCTCATAGCCACAGTCTGCTAAGAAAGGTGATACCTTAGTGGGCTCATGTGGTAAGGCAGCTGAAGTAAATTATGGGCAAAAATTCAGACCAGTTGTCCTGATGGTAACTGACATAATGACGTAGGTGACTTGTAGCAATCTAATTTACAATTTTTATCTGTTTCCACATGATGGGCTGTGGCAAGCTTAAGCTTAATTCTTAGAATGTGGCAGAACTCCTGTAAAGGGGGGCGTACGTGCGTTGTTCCCTGCGACAGGAACCGGGTTGTGATCGAGGGATCTCAGGGATGGACACACTGAACGATCTAGTAAGGAAACGATATCATAAAAGAAGAAACACAACGACGAAGGAGCCTCGCTCCGTTCTATACGATGATGACGATACTAGCGAAGCAACCTAGAAACCAAAAGAATGCTCGATTCTCGTAACTATCTGGGAGGAAACCCTCCATTAGTATGTCGGAGACCGCGACTCTACGGCGTTCTACGATAGGAAATATGGGAGACCCGGGATTTCGCAGGGTCCCCGGCACACTTTGATGTAATACAGGAATAACAATAAAAAATAAAACATGCAACAGCCGGGATTCGCTGGTGGTCACCCACCCAACTACTAACCGGCCGGCGTGTGGCTTAAGTACGGCTGAGCGGACGGGAAGCCCTGTTTTCCACACCCTATGGTCGCATATACTAAATGTGTTAAGAAAAGGAATTATATACGGTCTTAGCTATGATATTGCATACAATCTCTGCTGCTGTGGATTCAGCTGTCTGCTCTGAGAATCTATCACGTCCATTGTTCCGTGAACATCACAGGCAAGACCTTGTCAGCTATGCCATCGATCTACGGTTGACGATGGCATCAAGGAGATGTCATAACACCAGATTTGCCGGCAATGACATCGAGCAGCCACTCGGGTCAGGTTCTCCGGCCAATAATGCCTTATCTGAGAACTGCAGGTGCTTCCTTTGACATTCGACTCCGTTCAGGCCCAGATGACTTCGAAATACTGGACGAATGATATGGAAGCAGATTGGAGAAGCCCACACGACAACGAATAGAGATGAACTACAGTGAAAGTGGCCAAAACACCTCGGTACCAAGCGATCTGCTTATGTCTACATAAACAGCAGCCTGGGATGTTTGGAAGGCAACTATCGGGCAACCCGTGCTTTTCACTGCGGGATATTTTTTGAGGATATTCTTTACCTGATACCATTTGGGCTATCGAGAGAAGAGGGTTGGTTACCTACCGTCCAATATGCAACGCTTCTTACTCCGTTCGACGTTTTCTGCCACGCGCTCCCGTGGTCTGCCTGCTTCAAATCTCTGCAGATTCCACCACCCTAATCCAGGAAACTTTCAGAATCGCTCCAAGGAGCAAATGAGTAGCATCGGCCGCAAAGGTGGAAGGAAAGGCGGCAAAGCACGAGGTGTCGGTGGGTTCAAGAGTATGGACCCTGAGAAACAGGTACGGATTTCTTATTTCGTCTTGAAAGCCTGTGGAATTTGGGAAAGGGCTAATATTTGCCATTCTCTTATTTAGCATGCCATCGCTTCTCAAGGAGGCCATGCTGCTAGGAAATCCGTACATCAGGCAGATCGGGATCGCCCTCCCTCTGGACAGCCCTCAGCAGCGGCTCCTGGGTTCGATGAGTCCTGGACGGCGTAGGTCGGTCATTGATGTAAGGTTGGCTGGATAGCATTCGGGAATATTATTTTGTCATTACGAATAAATAGAAGAGATAATAATAGGCGATCTGCTTGTTGATAAATGGAGGGTTCCGACGTTCTGAGGCGTCAGTGACAATAATTAGATGTACAGGATTTATACTTCGCTGTCTGTACCCGCTGTTCGTAGCTGCGTCCTTCCTATTTTGCTATCATCAGTCATCAAGTATATCAGACATTCCCTTGAAGTAGGTGATCTGGAACTGCCGAATAGGCGCACCTTCTTGCATATGTAAGAGATACAAATATTTTTATCATCAACTCCAAAGCAGCATTATTTGTTCGTTCTATGATAATAACTCTAGATCAAGCCGCAAAGCGGAACGTTGTCGTCTCGGCGGAGGCCTCGGCTGCAACGCTAAACCAGACTCGGCAATCTGTAAACAACAGCCGTGATAGGTGCCTCAGGCATAAATTCACATCCTGTCGGTTGCTCTCCAGCATCATTATTATTATCTCCATCCATTGCGCGTCGACTTAATCCGATCCATCACGGCCCACTATTGTTATTGAGCCTATGCATTTAGCATATTCTGATACGATTTACTCAAAGGAAACAAGAGGATGAAGCCCCAATAATTTGAAGATAATCACCGACCTGACAACCAACACAACCACTATGCCGAACCAGGAAGAATACGCATCGCCGTCCGCCACGGCGCACGATACAATCGGCTTTTCGCCGCTCGCAACACCAACATCTATAAACATGCCTCGCAAGCGACCTACTTCCTCTCTCTTTTCCCCTGCTCGTGGGAAATCCGCGATCCCTGTTCGAGTCGGGGCTTCTCCCCGCTCCGACACGCGTCTCCCCAAGACAAACCACAGCAGCAATAATCACTCGAGAGGACCATCCGAGATTTCGATCTCAACTTCTAACAGTCCTAAGTTTGACCGCACCTTCGATGACCGTCTGGATGACTACACGCTTGATTTCGACAAATTGTCCAACCTGCAGTCTGATGTAGATGATGATAGGGATACGGGCTTTCTTTCGGATTTGAAGTCATCGCGGGAGGATAAGACATTGTCGGATGTTGGTGGTCCAGATGATTTTACGGCAAACATGGACAAGTATCTGTTTGGTGAGGTGGGTCCGATTGGGAAGCACTCGGCTGTTGATAAAGATGAAGAGAACGGGAAAGTGACGGCGAATAATACCCAGGAACACAGTTCCTCTAAACCATCACAGGATCAACCTGCTGCCGGAGATGAAGCAGAGTTGGGGGAATATAGTGAGTTTGGTCCGCCGATTGACATGTCTACTCCGTCGCATCTATTGCGCAGAGACGGTGTGCTAGCGAAGGGCGAGGCACGGCTGGAGGAAATCGAAGAGGACCCTACGGATAGCATGGGCAAGGCTGCATCTCAATCCTTCAAAAGGCGGAATTCTGCTTTTGGTAATGCCAGGGTCGATGAGACGGATGATGACCTACGTCGACAGATTGCCGATTTGCAACAAGCATTAAAAGATCGAGATGAGCAGCTTGAACTAAGTCGCCAGCAGGCATCCTCGTCGGCGGAGCAAATTAGACAACTCCGGGTGGAGTTACGAAACAAATCGACCTTGCTGGAAGAACTACGCTCAAGGAACAGTGAAGAGATTCTACTACGGGAGCAGATTCAATTTCTGCAGAAGCAATGCGACGAGAAAGAGTCAATCTTGCAAAAGTCGACGCTGGGTGTGTCCGAAGTCAATTCTCTCAGGGAACAGATAGCCGATGTCCAGAAACACATACAGGAAATGCAAAAGCAACTGGAGACCCAACATGGCGATATACAGAAACAATTGCAAAGCCAACGTACACTTTCCAACTCGGACGCGGAAAGTTCAGAGGTCGCCGCATCTCTCCGCCAGCAGTTAAGTTCGACCCAAGATCTGTTGAAAAAAAGGGATGGCATCCTAGAAGAGACCGTTGCGAAGCTAAAGGAGGTCACCGCGGCAAAGGAGCAACAGTTACAAGAGAAAAACAGCGACATCGATGATCTGAAAGCGCAGATTGAGGACCAACTTCTAGATATTGAGCGACTGGAGACGGACATCGAACAAGCAAATACAGATTATCGGGATCTGGAGAAGAGAATCCTGACCCTGGAAAACAAGCACCGCCCGCTAGAGGAGAGGAATATGAGCTTGGAGGCAGAGATGGCCGCTCAACAGAACGCCCTCAAAGCCGTCGCTGCCGATCTCCCAATCCAAACCGGCGGAAACACATATGCGGAAATCCTGGATTTGATCAAAGACCTATGGCAGTCAGACCCATCTCATACAACACAATTGCATCCGACAGAGACAGAGCTGCGCCAGTCGCGACAGGATCTCGTACAACTGAAGGTGGAACTTGAAGAGGCCAACTCTACCAAGTCGGCTGCAGATGCAGAGTTAGCTCGTTTTAAAGAGCAAGCAAGCGAAACACAAGCTCTCATTGACACTGTCGAGAGGGAAAATTCCCGCTTAACCACCCGCGTCGACGAGTTGAATTCGAGCTTGGAAAAGCTTCAGCTCGAGCATGCAGAAGCCATGAACAAGCTCAAACATCTCCAGGAAGAGAAAAGAAGCACACAACAACAGCCGAGCCCTCCGCCATCACCTCCCCAGCAGACTACTCAAATTGCCGCAGTCCTGGAAGAATCTCACCGGGCACAATTAAGAAGCCTTGAAAATGCCCACGCCACGACTATCTCTGAACTCCGCGCTTCCCACGCAGACGTAACTCACAGGCTCCAGGACCGGCTCATAGCAGCAGAGAAGCGTGGATCGGTTCTGGAAACTCAATTGGAGGCCCTTCGTTCCTCAGCCACTGCACAAGAAGCGCAATTGCAGGCTCTCAATGAAGAAATCAAGAGGCTTGAGTCAGTTATTGCAGTGAAGGACGAGGCGGCAGCCGCGGTAGACCAGCGCATTGCATGGTCTGTAGAGAAGCGAGAGAAAGAGTGGCAGCGTCGCGTGGATCTTCTACTTAGGGATAGGGATCGCATGGGCAAGGCCCTTATGGTGAGTTGGGCGGAAAAGGAATCTGGTGAAACTAAGATGAACAAACTTGGTGAGGGTAAGGATGCAGATGGGCTTTACTATCGGTACAAGTACGCCCAGAAGCATGACATGAAGAAGGCTTGAGAGAGTTCTGTACGAGGTTTCTTTTCGTCATTTTTTGGTTTAGGCGTTCAGCGGTCGGTTTAGGCGCCCGTGGAATTGGCGCTCATCTTTCAGTTTCTGGTACACTGGTTAGAAATGGGATGGACGAGTGAACTTACGTCCAATGTATACACTGGAATTCTCCTTGGCTGATTTGGCCCATAATCGGTATCCTTTCACATCCGCAGGGTTCAGACTCTAGAGCGAATATCAAATCTTTGCCTTATCCTACTGCCATGCCATGCCGGCGGACAGACCTGATGTGGACGGTAGCCTTCATAGGGTGTACCATGGTGAAGGGGTATTGAACAAGACACGTACATCAAGTTCGACTGCAAGAGCAGGTATGTCTTCATCGTATACAAGCCGAGAAATCCTAGACGTGTATTCAGGATTTCCCGACCACTTCGACGAAGCGGAGGCTGGACCTGCAGTAATAGGTCTTATTGCACGAATACATTTGCCGCCGATGGCCAAGTCAAACCCCCTCAGTGATTTGACGTCAACTAGCATCTGGTTCCACGACATTTTATACCCGATGCCGATGTTCTGCTCATCTCGCCTCTCACAAATGAACTCCAGTCCGGTAGCATAGCTCTCGTCGCTCTCATCCGATCCTTTGAGAATGGAGGCTGCAATCCTGGCCAGTGAACGCGGTATCTTGATCCTTTGGACGTACGTAGAACCGTCCCAGACCGTTGTTGACCGATCAGACCTCTCTGGATTTCCTTCCACTCCAATCCATCATCATCAAAGACAGCACTTGGAAGGTATTGCTCTTGTCGGGTGTCTTGGCATACTGTGATATTGACCTCCATACTTGCCGCTATGGTCATCATCATACACGTATCTCTCAGCCATCGACCAATTTGCCAGATTTTCGCCCCGTTCCGTAACTGAATTCTGAGAGGAGTTGGTGTCGCTGGTACAATGGTAGAGAAGTCTCCAGTCTATAGCTCGATGTTTCTTCAGACCGCGCTGGTGTTGTATGGCATCTCCCAGAAAGCTGCGTTCTGTGGTTATTGTTGCCTTTTTTAACCTCGCGACAGATCAATGTAATCCGTGCCCATGGATACCCAGTCCTGGTCCCGTTGATGGGAATTAGTAATTCTCTGTCTTCATGTCCTGTTTGTCGAGCTACCCCCGACAAGCGGGCGCCTTCAGGGTGGAATGTACTGATCATATTGGTTTGGCCCGTGTGAACACAGGCAATTTTGGAGAGTACCCAAGTATACATATCTAAACTGCCTGATGGACCAGTGATGGTTACGTCAAGACCAACGATCATTCTACGCTGTAGTTGCAATTAACCATAATCAATGAAACAAAGGTCGTGTTGGTATCACAAGTGGATGAAGAATAAATATACCAAATACTTCCAGCAAGCACTTGTCCTGATCACCAGCCATCATCTCGGCCCTCTGCCTTGCCCGCATCGTATGCGTCTCCGATATTGTCATTGAACTGCTCAACATCGCCGACCTTTTCACCAACCCATCCGGCTGTATTCTCGGGGAAGTCCACGACGTCGTCAACAGCGTTGTCGACCTTGTTTTCAACCCTGTCCTCGGCACGATCCCAGCCGTCTGCGATGTCTTGAGGGACATCTTCGACTTCACCGACCTAAGAAACAAAATGTAAGATGAGGAACATGGTAGCTAGGGGAAGACATGGAGCATACCTTTCTGCCAGTCCAGTTGGCGGCGTCCTCGGGGAAGTCGGAGACGGAGTCCTCGATTCTGTCTTTCCTTTCATCCCAATCGTCATCTAAGAGAGATCGCGAGCATTAGTGAAGGGATAAAAGGTAAGACCAAAAAAATCCGGGTCCGGGGACACATACGAATCTTCTCTCCCTCGTGCATCAACAGGGCACCACCGACAAGCCCAGCAGCCGCACCAGCCATTCCGTACCCGAAGTTATGGTTGCTGCTCTGCTGCTGCGGCTCCTCGGCGTATCTCTCACCGTAGCCACCAGGTGCGGGGGGAGGAGTCCAGCTCCTCTCGCCGGTCTGCTCGTTGACATAGTAGTAGCGCTGTTCACGCTCATCCCAGAGCGCAACCCAGGGAGGAGGGACAGAGGGACCATCACCCTGAGTGGGAGGTTGTCCACCGTAACCTCCTGATCCGCCGCTGGTGAACTTTTCGACGACCTTCTCGACGAAATCCATGGTGAGCTGAAAAAGTGGGTCGTTCGGAAGAAACCGATATAGAAGTGTATATACTATATAATGCCCGAGGGAAAAGGAAGTATTGGGATAGACAAATGTGAGAGGAGGAGCTTAGGAGCTTAGGGGGAATTCGCCTGTTATATGTATGAAAGATGAAAAGGAGGGGCAGACAGACTGCATGCAGCTGCATGCACACTGTCGTCCTGGACACCAACAGCAGCCCCTCCACTCAGAATTTTGTCTAATTTAGGACAGTTGTTTAGATGCAGAAATAATAATGCTTGTAGCCGCCCGACTCAGCCACGGCGCCACAGACGTCTCCTGCGTAATTCCCTCAGCATGCAGCTGCACACTGTGGGTTATGTGGCACAGCCTAATATTCAATAATCGACGCTGTCTGTATGCAGCCGAGACCGGTGTTCCAAGGAGGAATCCTCAAATTTGGGATTTTGCTCGTTTCATCTTTGTGTGTCGAATCCTCTGGACAGACTATCATATCCACAGCGTACTCTTCCGCGCCAATGACTTCAAGCGTGTCTTGGAGGACGCTGGTCCATGGACAAACTGTTTCAGACCATTAGATAATCGGATTTTCTTATTATCCAGACGAACCGATGTTTCAAGATCATAGAATGCATCATATCCCCACTAGATAGTGGAGGCTAGGGTTGGCTGACAACCGGCGCATCCTGGGAGCATTGTTCCTCTGCTAGACAGCCTGCCGATGTGAAGCACCCCGCGAACGCGGCCCGTGGACCTCGGCTGCGGAAACGCCAGTAACTTCAACTTGAGGGGTTCTTCTGTATAATAAAATGTCCTAGGAGGCATTGTCGCTGTCCTGGGATCACGATGCCGTAACTTGCATCGCCCTGGTGAGATTCAGCGGCATTCACGAAATGCCAGCTCCAACCCCGCCGCTTGTTGGTATTCGCGTTGTTGAACTGGCAGGGTTAGCTCCAGGTCTGTTTTCTCCTTCATCTCCCTCCATAATCACAGGAATTGATTGTATCGATTCTACCCCCAGGCCCGTTTGCTGGTCTTCTCCTTGCCGACTATGGAGCTTCAGTTCTCCGTGTCGACCGTCCCGGCTCGGTATCAGCAGATCGATTGACCAGACACAAGACATCCATCATCCTGAACCTTCGAGATGCTGCCTCCTCCCGCGTCCTGTTGGCATTACTCTCAAAAGCAGATATCTTGATTGATCCCTTCCGCCCCGGAGTTTTGGAACGACTAGGCCTATCCCCCACGGACGTCCTCCTGAAACACAACCCGCGGCTCATCGTGGCCCGTATGACAGGCTTCCGACGCGACGGCAAATACAAAGACATGGCGGGCCATGACATCAACTACATTGCTGTTTCGGGTTTGCTGTCAATGCTTGGTCGCGCATCGGAGCCCCCGTACGCGCCAGCAAACATCGTGGGGGACTTCGGGGGAGGAGGCGCTATGTGCTTCTTGGGCATTCTGCTGGCATTACTGTCGCGTTCACGGACCGGGCGCGGTCAAGTCGTGGAAGCGAACATGGTCGATGGATCTGCATACCTAGCTACTATGCCGCGATTGTTGCAGCGGGATCCGTTCTGGGACCAGCCAAGGGGACAGAACATGCTGGACGGCGGCTCTCCGTTCTACCAGACTTACGAAACGAAGGACCCAGGAGGATATTTTGCTGTCGGGGCCCTGGAACCACAGTTCTATGCTTCTTTGCTGAAGGGTCTTGGATTTCGCCCGGAAGGCATCCCATCACGAGATGACCGGTCGAATTGGCCGGTTCTTAGGGAGATGTTTGCCCGGCGGTTCAAGGAGAAAACCAGGGAGGAATGGGAGGCGATCTTTGACGGTACAGATGCCTGTGCCACGCCGGTTTTGGGACAGGATGACCTCCAGCGCCGAGGATTCCAGCAGCGGCTTCCGGTGCATCTGGCCGAGACGCCTGGGTACCCGATTCAAGCCGACGATGCGGGATGGACGGGCGGTGGTCTGGAGCCGGGCGAGGGTGGGGAGGAGGCATTGAAGGCGTGGCTGGGATGGGAGAAGGGGAGTCAGTTTGTTGTTCGAGAGGATGATACAGTGGTGTCTTTGGTTGAGGGTGAGAAGGCGAAGTTGTGATGGCTCCAACAGTGGCGCTGACTGCTTGGATTCCCGTCTACCGCCACGACATTAATGAATGTCCCTTTTTTTTATTATTAATAAAACAGGCCCTTCTTAGGTGCCATCCGAGATCACTGCTCAGCCTCGGGGACGCTGAACTCAATCTAACCGGGACTAGTCGCTGACTGCGGGGAGGAAAAAATTGACAACCTTGATGGCTATGCAGGTATACGAGCTTATATACAGCTATACTCCGTACAGCATGTACTGTCTGTACACGATTACTGGTTTGTGAAGCGTAAGCCAGAGAGGCATTGCCCGATTTCTCGCCGTGAACGGAGCTTGTTCCGCAGGACGGAAACCGAGAGTCTGTGCTGGAGGCTACTAATTATTAGCAATTAGCATAGCATCTAAGATAATAATAACCATTAACTATGTATAACAATGCATTAGTATACGCCGTAAAAGGATCCCAGTAGGGCAGAACACCGCCACGAACGAGTGGCATCATCACTGGCATGCAGGCCATAATACGGCAATGTAACCTGAGGACAGACGAGCACAGCGTCGCAGAGAGGTGGTATCATCATTATTCTCAGGATTAGTATTATGTGCGTCTTTGAGTCTTGACTCCTTGTGGATCATGATTTTGTCATAGGGATCTCTGCTGTGGTCGCGGTGGAGTTGTCCTGCCCACTTTGTGCCTCATCGCAGTGCAGTCCTGCTCGGCATTATTCTCTGTTATTCTTCTTTTAAGACTCGCCAATTCCCCTGATCCGGCCTGATTGACCCGGTCAGAATAACTTCATCTCGTCTCGTCTCGTCTCGTCTCGTCCAGATCGACGCCATTCGCGCATCCAGGGTCAGCTCAGCCGCGCTCGTCCAACCAAGGCTCCAGTTCGTCGGATCCGGCCATTCCTGCATCCATCCCTTCTCCTCCTATTCCTCTGTTTCCCCTCCCTTCGTGTGGACGCCCTCCCTTGTCCTCGCTCTTCGGCTTTACTGTTTCCATCTCAACTTGTCTCTCCTTTATTCTCAGATCGTTCTCATCCTCGGTTCTTTCATTCACTTTGTCCTCGCTGCATTCCTTTTTGCTCACCATATAACCGCCAGCAACTCGTGCCACAGAACAGAAGACACAGGAGGAAAGGGAAAACAAATAGAAAAAAGAAAAGGGAACAAAGGGTTATCCCCTGTTTTAATCTACTGTCCGCGAAACCTGCACGACGAGGATTCCGGCTTCTCCAGTCATTCCCTCTTACTCGGAACGAACCTCTGCGAGCGAACTTCGATAAGACCCAATCCATCGGTTCTCCCGTTGCAACCTGCGAACGAAACCTGGTTCGGCGGGCGTGCAGCCTCTCCAACAGGACCGATACACTCCTATTCCGGCGGGCTCCAGGTCTCTGGACCGCTTCTGTGCGACCTAATCTGACATCACGAGAATTTGGTTTCCTCCACTGTTAAATATTAGACGCAAACACTCTCCCTTCTCAGCCCTCCCACTACCATAGCATATCTATTTCGCCTTGTATGGCTGGCGTTCAGTCTCCGCCCAAAATGACCGACTTTCGACCTCCCATGCATCATGGGGTTCATCGGAAGCCTTTGCCCCCAACAACGCAACACGCATACTCTTTTCAGGTTGGCGATGCCCCTCCGTTCCAGCAGCCACTCGTCCGTCATCCCTCAGGCCCCTCGTCCACTGCTGGCCGCACGCGTACCTCGCTCTCAAGTACGATGCCGTATGCGACCGCTCCAATCTATCCTACAAAGCCCCCCCTGCCGCATACCATGACTACTCCTGTCAATTTTCCACCTACGAGACGCCTGTCAAGCGGTACAACCTCGACTAGCTCGACGGGAAACTTTGGCTTCCAAGGTCCCCCGAGTGCGAACGTGGATGTTCACCGAAGCTCCTCATCACGTTCCACTAATGCCCAACTGGGATACGTAGCGCTGATGCGCAGACAGAAGGCGACCGTTTGGTGCGACCGGGCACAGCCAGAAGATCCTCGGATCCGCGCTCAGAAACTTGCAGAAAAGAAGCGAGCGTACCGCGAGATCAATGTGGCGGGCAGCCGAGTAGGCACTCACGGAAGTGGCAAGACCAAACACAAAGACAAGGGCACGACTGAGTTCTCACCATCGACACTCGTTAGCGGTGCGGTACCGGTGCGGCTTAGTGCCAACGAAGTCGGTGATGATGCCGATGATGAGATTCCCATGGACGGTAATTTGCCTCATCGTCGGACGGGCAGTGGCCGTAGTTCCCAGAGCGGTCGCTTTCCTAGCGGATACCAACGACCCAATCCAGGCCCTACGAGTATCAGTGGCACACCCCCTCCGAACGAGAAGACGGATCTACCAGGTGTTTCAGAGAAGCAGGAGCATGAGCAGGAAGCAAAGAACGAGTCACATAGCAGATTCGATGATGATGACAACAGTATCGGAAGTGAGCCGGAGGAAAGCTTTGGAACTGTGGGCGATATGGCTGCACCTCGAGCGGCTTTGACTGCGGTTCAGAAGGCAAAGAGGGCAGACGAATTACGACGAAGTGGTAGTGTTGACGATAGAACAACGTCCTTGACAGGCGTGAGGCTCTTTGTTGCCAATCCAGATTTGAGTGATTAGGCTGGGGTCTTTTTCTTATTTCTTCTGCAGTGGCGTTGGTGTTTCGAGAGCGTCGTCACACTGGATTGTCGAAGACAGCCTTTTGCGCCGCGTCACTAAGACCAGTGGATGCTTCAACCTGGGCCAAGACAGTGTTCTGTTTTTGGGGGCTTCTTTGCTCGGCGGCTTCGTGGATTCGAGGTCTTGAACGACAAGCCGTGTGTGATGTCGATGATCTTGTTGGTTTTTTACAGTCTCTTTTCATTTCATTTCATCTTCTACCCCATTATGGCAATGTTTGATTGCGACCTTTCTGGACTTAATTCCCTCATCTCATGTTCGTGTTCGATTACTGGTTTAATCCTTCCTGCATGTGCTTTGCATAGTGCTCTTACGACCCAGGTTGAATCTGGTCTTCCTGGAATTGTTCTCCTGATTTCTGCCCACTTGCATTACGACTCTTCTTGTTTCTTCACTGGTACCTCTGGGCCATTGCTCATACCTTTACACAGCTCGCTGGCAGATCTAGCCGTAATAATAACAACCGAATTGTACATACGAATTGCATAGTAGTTGGTAGATGCGTACTGAACTCAGGAACATATAGATGTATTACATAATCACACACGGCCCACAGACGCGATGTGCGAATTCCCAATTAAGAAGGAAACGCGTTCCGCCTGAAAACGGCAAGCGTAGCTGCACCTCCATGATTATCCCATTCCACCACCTGATACTCCGTACTGACTATTATTATCCTCCGCAGACAACGGTCGTTTCTGATCCAACGGGGATTTATTTTCTAGTTAATTCTCATCCTGCTGGTGTTGGTGTTGCTATTTATTATCTCCATTTACCGATTCCTTTGTTCGGACAGCTTTCAATTCCAGTACGACCTTGGGATGAAGACACTACCTATATTCTTCATTTACTCTTAGAACGAACTCCTCACAACCACACAATTAGACCTAGGAGATCCGGGAAAAGGGAGGGGCCGTGGAAGAAAACAATAATAATGCAAGTCTCAACAGACTCTACTGTCTCCGTCGTCATGTCTCAATCATTTCCTCCTCCAGCCACAGGTACGAATAAACGGTCCTTTCAGCAAGCTGGTGAAGGGGTCCCAGCTCCAACAGGAATGGAAATGAAGATGGCGCCTGAACCTGAAAAAAAAGGGGGTAATGTCGACTGTTCCTCTTTCTCGTCTCTACCCCCGACTTCGGCTAAGGGTCCTGCGGAGTCGATCGAGCGTGATAATAACGCTAATAATAACGATGAGAACAATGGGAATAATTACAATCCCAATGGCAATCAGGTTGCCAAAAAGAGGAAGCTTTCACCGGCGAGTAAAGAGGCGAGACAGCAGGAGAAGGAGATGAGGGAGCGGCAGAGACAGGAGGAGAAGGCAAAGAGGGAGGAAGAAAGAAGAATCAAGGAGGAGGAGAAGAAGAAGAGAGATGCAGAAAGGGAAGCGAAAAAGAAGTTGAAAGATGAAGAGAGGGCTGCGAAGGAGGAAGAAAAGAGGAAGAGGGAGGAGGAGAAGATGAAGAAGGAGAGGGTAAGTAATTGCCTTCCCCCATTCTCGCTTCGCAGTAGGCTTAAGATGAGACGAATTGGGCTGATTCGTTTCAGTCGCAAATGAGATTGAACTCTTTCTTTGCTAAACCCACTGCTGCGCAAGCCGAGGGTTCGGGCTCGAGTTCCAATTTCATGGCGATTTCACCGAAGAAGGGCTCTTCGGGCGATAGGTCAAATGCGGGCGTTTCTTCTAGCGATGGTACGAGCGCTGTGTCCGATTACCAACGAGAGTTTCCAGATTTCTTTTTACAGTCGCATACCAAGATTGCGCCGACTCATCGATTTCAACGCGACTCGGAGGCTCTGCGTCATGTCTGCGAGAAGGTCGATGCTTATCTGAAATCAGGCCAGAGCGATTCACCGAAGGAGCAGCTCGTGTTCCGCCCTTCTGCACTCTTCCACATAATGCCTTACAAACGGCGTTGTGGGAAACAGATCCCCATCAAGGAAATTCTCCTGAAGATGCAGAATCAGGATCAGGGCACCCCCGTCAGTCTTGGCCAAGTCCCAGGTATTGGGAGCGCAACGAAACTTCAAAACCTTCTCAGAAAGGTCACAATGAAGTCTCTCAAGTTCGGTGAGGATGTTCGTCCTCCATACCAGGGCACCTTCACCAGGGCAGTTCCTGTGTCGGTAGCTAATAAACTATCCCGAAACCCGTTCAGCCGTGCCCTGCCTGACACGAACTACGACTACGATTCGGAGGCGGAATGGGAGGAGCCCGAAGAGGGAGAAGATTTAGACTCCGAAGAAGAGGAAGAGATCAGCGAAGATGGAGATGATGATATGGATGGGTTCTTAGATGACGAGGACGACCAACTGAAGGATGGTAGACGACGTCCCATTGTCGGAGATCTGGAACCTGTGTGCACTGGCCTCTGCTGGCAGGACGAGGGGCCACACCCTGAGCTCGAGGCATACAGAATTGAGACAATACCGGAATCGGTGACATTTCCGATTGACCCGTTCTCCTCTGCATACTGGCAGAAGCCCAAATCTGAACAAGTCCCGCCTAAGGCAGCTGTTCAATCGACTTCGTCTGGTCGCTCGACACTGCATGCTTTTGCAGTTACCTCATCCGCCCACTCTCAAAGCGCTGGCGCTTCCAAGGGCTCATTGGATGAGGCTATCCCGACGACCCAGACGACTGGAAAAGCCAAACGACTGTTTCCTCCAGACCAGCTGACAGAGTTCAAGCAAGCAGTTCAAGGCAGCGATCTCACAAAGGCAGGTTTGATTGAGATCTTGAAGAAACGGTATGGATATTATGCTCTTCGATATACATTGAGCTTGGACCCTATGCTAATAACGATGACAGTTTCCCGAAAGTCTCCAAGGACGTCTTGAAAGAGACCCTCAACCAGACAGCCGTGCGTGTGGGACAAAAAGAGGCAGAGAAGAAGTGGGTGTGTCTATGATGGTCATAACCACATTTTTGCCATATGTTTAATGATTACTTCTATATACATACCCACTGATGATTGTGAAGAGAAGCGTTGAAGTATCTGAGAGTTTCTACCACTATAATATTTTCTTGATTTACTGGAACTCCTTTATCTCGCAGGAATACTATTCGAACTTCAGAGGATCTTCCATCTTACTCCGTAGTCTATACACGACGATAATACTTACCACGGGTCATGAAATGTGGGCTGATCTAAACGTCCGCTGTCTAGGCGCAGGGCGACAATTAATGTCCTCCGGAGGGATGAACATTGTGATAGGCAATCCGGGGTGTCAAGTTGTCAACACTTAGAGCGAGACAGGAATTTATATTAATTAATCTTTCCAAAAAGTCCAGGCTTTTATTGACAATGATGAACTTGAGAAAAATTTAAGTTGCACAATGCATACGTATATTTCGGACCACGTGCTTGTAAGACAGGTCCAAGTTTTTGCATAGTCAGCCAGTTATTTGGAAAGCGCTATTACAGTTAGATTCCATGAGAAAGAAAGAAAATTCTTTCCAACGCCAAAGCAAAAAGGGAGAGAGGAGGGGGGCTGGGGAGGGAGACAAATCATCAACTTGGACAGGGCGTGTGTTGACTTCGCATGCGTGTATGCAGTGCCAGCACACAGGTACAGGTGCAGGTACCTAGTACTATGGATACAGGTACAGGGCCATTTTAGTATGTTTTTGGTGGCTTTTTTTGCTACTATATAATAATCATTACATATGGTTATTACTTTTATTTTTATTTATTTATTTAATTTTAATCAATTAATTATTTATTGAATTCAATATATGTAGGTAGCATTTTGTATGGTGTTGCTTGTGGCAAGCATCTATAATAAGCTAAATCAGGCGAATCTACAATATAACCAAGAGGGTAATTACAATATCCAATCGAAGTAGACGAAGTAGGTGTGACAATTACTTTAAGTGGCTCAATCCAAGTTTCGTTACAGCAAAGCAACCACCTTCCGTCTGCTCGTGCCACGTTCAAGTTCATCTTGATACGGCACTAACCTTGGCCTCTCTGGAAGCGGTAGCATGTCTAGCGATACTGCAGGACTGTAGTCTCTGATCCAGCTGTTATATACGTTTGGACATCTAAGCCGGGCATCTTTTCCATTGTGCGCGCTTTCAGCTCGGGCGTATCTAACACCTCAATCTTCTGCTGTCTGTGGGTATCTTTCACCAATTTTGATACTCGGGGTATACGGGTTTGTTGGACTGTCTCAAGTGCGGATGCGAGATCTTCTTGTGATAGACGAGATCTTGGAGATGAGAATTGTGGAGATTTGACAAGAGCGTTGGTAAAACAGGCTGCTGTTTCGAGGCGCTGTTGCCGCCGTGTCCGGTTAAGGGTAGGACCTGTAGGTATGATAAATAAATCTTTTCGTCCCTGAGATTGGACTATGTAAATGAGAAATATAAATATACCTTATGGCTCGAGCCGCCCAGGGCTAAAATGCGTTCAAATACCACTTCCGACACGCATTCTCTTCCAGGGGAGTCATAACGGCCCTGATCCTGCGGGAGTAGATATCACAGAACTTGAAGTCTGGGGTAATGGGGTCATCCAGATGCCGGTTGACTATTTCGTGGAGCTCCTTTTCCGTGAATCGAGAGGTTTCTGACCCGTGGAATATCTTGCCCAAATGCTCAAACAGGAAGAAGTAGGTGCGGTCATCGGGGCCATTGGCAATGAGAAAGGAGAATTTTTCATTCAGTGTATGATGGAAAGTACACTTGCTGATGCCTGGGATGTGGTGTGAGATACCAAAGACACAGCAGTAATTTGCAGAGAGGGCTATTTAAATTTTGTCAGTGACCTCTTTCTTTCTAATAAAGGAGCAGATGCCTCACATTTCTCTTCTAGATATCTCGCTCGGAACCAATGTCCAGTCTTGCCATCTCCCGACGGACAGTCGAATAGATGCCATCTGCACCAACAAGAATATCACCGGAGCACGAAGATCCATCTGTTGTAATAACCCTTACAAAGTCAGGATTTGAAATGTCCACAGCCTTGACGCTTTTACTAGTCAGAACTTTGGTCTTATCCTGAACCTTATCATACAGCGTCTGTATGAAAGTTTGCCGGTTAATGAAGGCCCTTGGATATCATGTCTATGTTTAAGAAATGGCAGTTAGACTACGAGATTCGTTGCAAAAGCTGACGTTCCTTACCGTGCTGTCAGCCGGTTGCTGACGTTGTTCATATCCCACAGCTTCTCACCGTTGGGCTTCCGAAACCATGTACTGAACCGAGTAATCCCTTACATATTCGCAAAGGGCCTTGTAACATTCCAACTGGCCGAGAATGCGAAATCCATGGGGCAACAAGCCGATGGAAGCGCCGGTCTGGGGGGCAATCTCGGGGTAAGTTTCAAGGACGAGGTAGTCGATATTGTTTCTCTCCAGCATGATTGCCAGTAACAGCCCTGTGATGCTGCCACCGGCAATCAGAACCTTGAAGGAAGAAGCCATTTGAAAGGTCCATTATGGGTATGTTCAACTGCATTTTGGCTTATCGTTTACAGTCGGCGTGAGTCCACAAGTCTGCAGTATATAATGGAGGTGTATTGTTGGTTGGTCACTCGCTAGATAGGCCTACGTGGTGAAAAGGGTCAGCGAGGGCGGACCTATGCGGCAGAATCCCACGTGATCCAACAGTATATATAATGGAGGTGTATCGTTGGTTGGTTACTAGCTAGATAGGCCTACGTGGTGAAAAGGGTCAGCGAGGGCGGACCTATGCGGCAGAATCCCACGTGATCCAACACCCCCCCACGCACGAGCTGGCCTAAAGACTAATCTAAAGAATTTAAATACAAAAATCGGCCTCTATTCAGGCCTCCAAATGAGAGAGTAAAAGCAAAATTAAGCAGAGAAGTGAGAGGTTCCGCTTTGGCCAATCAGAAGCCGTAAATCAGAATAGAAAGTATAACCAAAATGGGGGAACAAGCGCCGCTTAATGTATGCCGGTGAGTTCCAGGAAATGATTGAATCGTTCAGTTTGGAGAGGTTTTGTCAGGCCATCTGCTGCCTGTTCTTTGGTAGGGCAGGTCTGAAGTTTAACAATGCCGTCTCGGACCTTCTCCCGAACGTAATGGTAGCGTATGTCAATGTGTTTGGATCTCTTGGTGGTGAGCTCGGCTTCAGCCATGGCGTGGGCACCTTGATTATCGATATGAAGAGATATTGGTGGGCATTCAGTTGGGAGCACATTAAGCTCGTTGATGAGATTCCGGAGCCAGAGGGCATCACGGCTGGCTTCGCTTAGAGCCATATACTCAGCTTCGTTGGAGCTAAGGGCAACGGATGTTTGCTTGCGGCTTTTCCAGGCAATTGGGGCTCCGGCAAGCAGAAAGATGTATCCAGAAACTGACCGGCGGTTGCCTGTCAGTTGGCCACCCCAATCAGAGTCGGTATAACATTTTGGCATGAGGAGGTCAGATGTAATGGACTCCGTGGGTTTTATGATAGGTAATTTGCCGATTGATGGAGCCTTTAAGATAGCGTATGGCGTGTATAAGGGCACGCCATGCTTTTTGGGTGGGTTTGGCGTTATATTGGGATAGTATGCCAACCGTCTGGCTAAGATCTGGCCGGGTTTTGGTGGCTAGCCAGGTAAGGCAGCCTACACCACGTTGATATTCTTTGGTGTTGACTGTAGGGTCTGGTTCATCATCAATTATTAGGCTAGGATCCATTGGAATCCTAACAGGATGTGCTTGGGCTTGACCAAAAGAGGCAACAACATCTTCAGTGTAGTCGGCTTGAGATAAAGAAGATGAAGTCTCAGACTGGGAGATGGTCATGCCAAGGTATTTGGTAGAGTTTCCAACTTCTTTTATGTCAAATTTGGCGGAGAGAGTCTCCATAAACCAGATGGCATCATTTTCATGTTTAGCATAGACTTTGAAGTCATCCACATGGGTGGTCACATAGAGTTGGGTCCGGGTAGTGTGGATCCATAGACCAGAGTCATATTCAGAGCATTTGAAGCTGATTTGGCGTAGAAAAGCACCCAGAGTATCATACCAGATGCGGGCAGATGGGACCAATCCATAGAGGGATTGAAGGAGTTCACAGACAAGATCTCCAGAACCTTCTTTGAATCCCTGAACTTGGGTCATAAAGACACGTTTGTCCGTGGGCATTTTCCCATTTAGGAAAGCAAGGGTGGCATCAGCTTTTCGGGTATGCCAGCCAAGCAGGGTGGCCAGTGCCGTGAGGGTTCTGGTAGTATTTTCATTTACCACTGGTGCGTAGGATTCCATGAAGTCTTTATCAAGTAGATTGCCACGAATGACCCAGCGGGCTTTAGCCTGATAATCCTCTGAGATAGGTATGCCGGGGATTTCTTTCTTTTTGTATACCCACCGGCCAGGGATGACTTTGGCCCCTGGTGGTAGGTCAGAACGGCGAATGAGTTGCCAGCAGCCTTTCTCTTTGAGTTGGTTGACTTCCTTTTGCATGGCAGCTTGCCATTTAGCAGCATCAGGATGGGATATGGCCTGCTTATAAGAAGTAGGCGTGTTGTCTTCTGATGAAGGAATGGTTGAAGTGGCAAAGTAAGCTAGGGACATGCCTTTGGCAGGTCGGAGCCATATATCTTGGTCATTGAGAGGTTCATCTTCAACTAATTGAGTTGGGTTTTCTTCGGTAGGGGTGCTGGGACCTTTGGGAGTGGTAGTTGTAGGATCTTTGTAATCCTCATCAAATATAACATCATTGGTGACAAAGACGGTGTCAGTTTTAGGGTCCCAAACACGATATTGATGGCTACTAATTTGGCCAATGAGGAAACAGCAGTGAGAACGTGAATCAAGCTTATTTCCAGGTTTATCTGGTCCATGCCGATGGACCCAGGCTGGACACCCCCAACGGCGATATCCGGGGAGTGAAGAAATGGATGAATTAGTCCACGCTGCCAACGGAGCGCGATAAGGGCTGGGGTGTATGTCCTTGTTGATATTCACCCCCCCAGGAATTTGGGAATTGTATAAGATGGTAGATGTAGGGAGCCGATTTGTAAGATCTGTGGCATATTGGAGAGCATCTACCCAAAAGCGTTCTGGTATATATGGGGCATCAAGCATCATAGCTCGGGCCCGTTCAAAAAGGATCCGGATGCCACGTTCACTAACGGCATTTTGCCATGGTGAATATGGCGAGCTTAGTTGCCATTCTATGCCTTCCTGACGGTAGGTTTCCATCCATTCAGTGGAGCGGAATTCATTATCAGAGACTAGGTAGGCAGGAGCAGTGAAGCCATGGTTCTTCATATTTTGAAGCCAGTTCTTGAAGGCGGTAATGGCTGCACTTTTTGTCTCAAGGAAGAGGATCCATCGATAATGTGTGGCATCGTCGGTAATAAGTAAGACATATTTTGCCCCAATTCGGCCAGTGACAACATCATTAGGGTTGTCAAAATCAAGAGTTTGTCCACCGCCGGCGATATCTAGATGGACTCGGGCAAGGGGTTTGGTAACTCTGGACCTAGGGACCTTGCTATAATAGCGTGTCTGTCTAGCCTGTATACAGACTTCACAAAATGGGAGTTCTTTAGAGCCTTTGATTTCGATGCAAGACTCAGGATCTCGGGCGAGGCGGAGGAGATCGGCTTGATTGAGATGGCATAGGCGTCGGTGCCAGGCCATGATAGGTAGGGATATCTTAGTAGTTCGCGGCTTCCCTAGAACCGGGGTCTCTTTTGGAGTAGGAGCCTCAGCTGGTGTCTTAATTGTGGGAGCCTTTGCAGGTGGCTCTTCTGGGCGGTTAACTTCTTTGCCAGACCGGGTGGTGACAAAGGCATAGGAATTTTCTTCTTCTCCAGGAGATAGACAGTCTTCAAGGAGGTAAACATTGTTTTTGAACAATCGGGCTTGGAATTCAGCTCCAGATGATGTGGTAATCAGCTTGACTTCACAATCTAGTGTATATTGAAGCCTAAAGCCTTGTCGTACAAGCATGCCTTCTGAAATGAGGTTGGAAGTAAAGGAAGGAACATGGCGGACGTCTCTTAGGATCAGAGATCCGTAACCAATATCTATAATCACGGTGCCAATGCCTTGAGGCATAGAGATATGGCCTTGAGCACCTTCCATATAATCTGTCTCCACCAGATCATGCTTCTGCAAGGCCTTATAGGTTGCAAAAAGTGAACGGTCAGGTGTAGAATGGAAAGAGGCACAGCTGTCAACAAACCATTGATTGGAAAATGAGAGAGTCTTTGCAGACTTCACAATGGCAGATTTGGCATTGGAGAGTTTCTTATGCAAGACAAGTTCCTGTGAAGCAGGGTGATCCTGGTTTGATTGTGGGTTTGCTTCAGATTGTTGCTGAACACGGAGAGCATTAGCCATAGTAGTATAGAACTTGCGTCTATACTCTGGTGCTTTCTCAGGATGTTTAAAATAGCATATAAGTCCATGGCGATTTCCGCAGTGATCACAGTCTATAAGTGTATGACGAGATCTATCTTGGTTATTGGAACGTTGAGGAATTGTGTATTTGGTTCCAGATGCTTGTTTTGAATAACTGCGGTTCTGGGAGTTCTCTTTCTGTTGGTTTGACCGGTCTTGAGAATGAGTATCACGGAATTTAGTGCCGGTTCGAGTAGATAATTGGGTCTGGATAACCTTAAGATCCAGGTTGGTAACCGGAGCACGGCCAGTAGAGTAGACATCATCTAGTTTACTCTTGATAAAGGCGCGGTTCCAGTCCCGGAGACCTATAAAGAAGAGGTCATGTTTGAGATTTTCAAGAGATTCTTCTCCAATAGCGTGTAGGCGGTCAAAGATTCGATTAAAGGATGACTGGTAGGTGAGATAATCGTTATCCTTTATATAGAGCTCTTTGAGCTCCATGGTAAGGGCCATTCGCTCTTCACCGGTGGATTTGCCAAAAAGTGTGGCAGCTCGGTCCCAAAGACCATGGGCAGAGAGGTCATATACGGTGCCTAGTTTATCGGAAGCAGGGGTTGTCATGGCATTGAGCATACGGGCTCTCATGACAATGGCTTTTCTGTGCCAAACTGCAGCATCAAGTGGAGATGATCCAGCAGGAGGAGAGTCCTGGTGAAGAGTTGTAATAGCATTGAGAATACCAGCTTCTTTTTGTATGGCAGAGCTCCATGCATCGTAATTATCCAGTGTCAAGATGACACGGCATCGGTCAGGCAGTAGCGTATCGACATCGGCTTGGACAAGGGCAATAGCATTGCTGATATTTGTGTCTGAGGCATCACGCAGAGGCGGTTGGATATCCATTGGTGTAGTATCTTGGGTTGTATTTGAAGGCAAGGAAGCTTGTGGAGTATTAGACTGGATGATAGATGCCAGTTTTAGCTCCATTCTAGCTTCACGGTCTCGCATATCTTGTTCCATCTGATTCTGGCGAGCAAGCATTTGTCGCATCATATCAGCAAGATCAGGGGTAAGTTCGTTTGTGGAAGCCATGTTGGCGGTATTGGTAGAGCTCAGATTGGCTCCGGAAGGCGTTGGGGTCTCTATCTCTTCAGAGACAACTGATGAGGAGGTCTCGTCTATATTCGAGGACCTGTTTTGGAGATTTCGGCGACGTGATCGTCGTATAGCAGTAGCGGGAGGCGTAGTAGGTTCTCCTGACATGCTCAGGTTCGGACCGTATCTGGGATCCTGGAATTTTTGGAATCTGGGGTATGGAATTTTGGTTCAGCCAATCAGAGGGCTTAAATTGACCACTTATACGGGCCTAAAATAGCTCATATTTCCGAGCAAGAAACGGGCTCATAACCTAATGGAGGTGTATCGTTGGTTGGTTACTAGCTAGATAGGCCTACGTGGTGAAAAGGGTCAGCGAGGGCGGACCTATGCGGCAGAATCCCACGTGATCCAACAATATAGTTAGTTATCACGTGTGAATATTCAGCTGACTAAGAGCTGCATGCAACTGGCCCAACCTCCAACTACCACGCCTCGCAGATGCAGCGACATTCGACAACCAATTTCAACCAAACGCAGCCATCAGCTATCCCAGGCACCAATCACCGTCACAAGAACACACTCTCCTCGCGCCGGGCATGCAGCAGGCCGCTTCGAGTCAAAGTCACTTGTACGTGTCGCGCGCCGACTTGTCCAAGCTCCGACCGCAAACTGGGACGCTTGGACGTACATCGTATAGTTTCTTCGCTGGAACTAGAATGACTCTTTGACACGTCTTCTGCTGGAGACTTATCTGGACTCATGAATGCACCGTGCCTTAACGATATGATACGACATGATATGATACTCTGATACTGTAGACAAGACAACGCTCCACTTCCAGCGACACTCCAGCTGGTATTATCCGCCCGCCATCGAATCACGTCCGGTCGCGTCTGTTGCTAGCAGCTAAATCTCTGCAAGTCATCCGATTTTTCCTTTGTCTTGGACCTGTAAACCGCTGGCTTGCTCTGCGGTTTTGCCTCCGGGCTCGCCTTGCCAGCTGTCTCCACCGTCAGCCAGTTCATCAACCGTTAATGCTGTCGGATGCATCTGGTCGAATGGGAGATCTCGTTCCTTTATTTCCTTGGATCAACTATTTGTTCAGATAATAATAATAATAAAAATAAAATAATTATAATAATAAATATATACGTCCGTATAACATAAAAAAGGCCTTGCTTGTTGCTCCGTAATAATAATAATACCTGCTTGCTCTGACGTACCTCCTCTCCTCTCTCTTCCCTCTCCTCTTCTTCTTCCCCCTCTCTTTCTTTCCCCTCCATCTCTTCTGCTGTCCGTTCTCTCCTTCAATCCATAGTCGCCTTTTATCCCCTTATCGCAATTCCTTGCGGGCTCGACTCATCATCATTGCACTGTCAGAACAGAATGTGGTAAGAAACAAGGCACATTGTGCCAGGGGCATCGTGCGACCTCCACTGTCCTCTTGGCCTGGGCTGCCGAGAGACTGGCCCTGGCAAGATGTTCGATGCCCAACGTGACGATCCTTCATCGACCCTGGCCGATTTGACCAGTATGTTGCGCCAATTTTTGCGTTTTTTCCCTGCCTATTTATCTATATATATTCTGCATAATCCTATCTTCTTGCTTTTAAAAGAGAGAGGGTCTAATTCTTTTGGTAGGAGGGCTCTATAGTATCTACACCGACTTGGTCGGATCCCAGCGAACTTCTCCAATCCTGCCTTCTGTTTCGGCTGGCAATATCTCACCATGCGTCTCTTCGCGTCGCGTATCGAATCCTGCTTCTCCGTCGCAGTCTGCAGGAATGTCTCCTGTCCCTTCCACTGAACATGAACATCCCCACCAAAGCCCGGCAGTGAGTCCGGCCACAGGTGAGTCTGGAGACTCTGGCAGTTCCAGTCCAAAGTATGCGACGATGGCCCGTCTGGTTTGCTCGACTGTGGGACAGGACGTTGCCCATGCCACAAAGGTACCGTCCAAGAGGCAGTCTACTTCACCAGCAGCGTCGCTGCCACCAGTTGTACCACGACCGGAGCCTGTGGAACCACTCAAGGTGTCATTTGAGGACTTCGCAATCTGCTACCGTCGAAGCCAGCACAAACTAGCCCAGAGAAAGAAGCTGGAAACCCGTCTCCATGCCACCAAGCTATCCATTGGGATCTCCTCCCGGTTAGTCCGCGTCGCAGCTGCCATCCAGAGGGGCCTGGCTGAGTGTCTGAAGTACGACGACAAACTCAATTTTGTTGCCATCTATCAAACCTTCCATGATATCCTGGAATCCAGTGATGCTGCTTTCCGTCGCCATGTCCACCGGCAGGACCCGTTGGACGAATGGTCACAACCCATAGACTCCGCTTTGGATCGCTCCCCGGGATTTTTCCTTCAATTGAGTCCGCAGTCAAGGACCGATCTCCTGGAGATTTTGCAACTCGCTCGTACCGATTCTCAGTTTCTGTTTGAAAGGCTGCGCGGCATGTCTCAGTCTCAGCTGGCTGCCTTGATATCTTCCGCTGCCATTTCCGATGCTAGTGATCTTGTCTTTCCTTCTGCCACCCGATCCCGTAATCAATTTTCGTTCACTAAGCGCAATGCTTCTCATGCCGCTCCCTTTATAGACCACGCTTTGGGGTTCGAAAGGACAGACCCTCTTTCGTCCCTACTGTTTAACATTTTCGCCGCGCCATTGGATTCCGATGCTCCTGAAGCCTACTTACGTCTGGATGTTTGGTCTTCGGTCTGTGCAAAACTCATTTCCCATGGCGGTAGTAAATATTACCCTCTGATCGGCCACATCTTGTCCCTCTGGACCTCATCCAGCGACTGGAAAGCCAAGCCTAAATTTGAACTCTACCTTATGGATACCTTGCAAGCCGGCGCATTTCTTTTGGAACATATAGACACTCCTTCCGGATTAAGCTTTGATGCTGAACCACCGGACCCGCTGAGAACTGATGTTGCTGAGGAATTTTTTGCGTCCGCTGTGAATTCCTTGTTCGACCTTCTTGATGACCCAGACGCAGGCCTCCCCCATGCTGTGATGAAATTTGGAAGTGCCGTCCTTGGGAAGCTGGATCACCCCGAAACCCGTGATCGTTTCCTTGAGTTCTTTTTCGTCCAGTGGTTTTTCTCCAAGTTCCTATACGGCGCACTGACATACCCCGAAGTACGTTCTTTCCCTTCATTTTTTTCCGTCATGAAAAAAGGGGCACTGACAGTTCCCGTTCCCCGCAGACTCATGGCCTTCTTCTTGATTTTCACATCAGCAAGGATGCAAGAGAGAAGCTTCTAGGTCAAGTAGGTCTTCAGGCTTACACGCAGGTATTCTCTGTTCTGCGCTCAATGTAGGTTTTTACAAAACCCACTCGTTACGTATGATTTGAAATAGGGTGACAGCAGCTCTGACGTTGACAATCCCATTTCCTAGGTCTCGCTTCTCGATGACACGTCCGGAAATCAGGCAGCATGTAGAAAATATGCTCTTCCGGCTAAATTCAGCTTACGTGTCCACAGAGGTTCCAATACGTGGTAACGCCTCTGAATGCCTTTCGAGCGTTGGTTCTGGGGCCAGGCGAGACCCCTCTGTCTTTTTAATGCTATCCGCCACAGACGTTGTTACCCTTCTGAACGCTCTTTTCCCCAGAACATCGTCTCCTTTGTGTAGTCCCCCAGCTACATCCTCAGGGCTCGCTTTACACTCCCCCGTTCAATCCCAGTATCACTTCGAAAGAGTCGGAACAGTGTTTGAACCGGGTTTTTTCCGGCCTCATGTCGGTAGCTTTTATTCTAGGCCCCCTGCAAATGGCAAAACGATCTTCCCATCGGATATGAATTTCTTGTCTCTCCCAGCAAATTCTTTGTTTCGAAATGCGGATCGTATCCGCTTTGAGCTATCAGATATGGGTGAGCTTGATGGTCGTGCTACTCTAGACCACCCCTCGAGCGAGGACTGGGCCATATTCTCAATCTCCGAGACTGATAGGACCCTTACGTGGGGTCTGTTCCCTGATACTGCCCTGGAGAATCAATCCGAGGATGATGTTCAGTCCACTGCTTTGGGCATTGAAGATAACTATGAAGCTCTGCAGACGGCCATCGTGAAGCTTGTCGAGGAAAATGAACGTGGCGAGCCCGTTGAATATGGATCGCCTGACCAGGATGCTAAGTTCAGTCGTTCGTCCCTGAGACAGCGATTCGACCGAGCAGTGTCCCTTTGCCACCAAGACTCAGATTTCATTGGCGCTCATTACTGGTGGAATGCATCACGGCAGCTCCTTCATAGTTCCGACGATGTTCCGACACGTTCTGTTGATGACAGTTGGATCCTCGGTCCAATGTATACCTCTTGCACCCGATCATTGAACACCTCAAAGTCGGTTGCTGAACGTTGCGAGATGCATTTCTTGGCGCTCGATCGCCAGATGCAACGCTTACAGATAACAGTGAAGGACTTGGCGGCCACAATAACAAAGCTCCGTAATAAAATGTGGTATATGACTGATGTCAAGAATTCGATGAGGTATGAAGACGCCAAACATGTCGCGCTTGCACTGAAAACAATGATCTACTCTGCACGTCTTTTCAAACAGCCCCAGAGCGAACCACGGTCACGCAGCGGCACAAGGTCGTTGGCGGGTTCGCTACTTCAGAAACCCGAAGTCCAGGTCATGAATGTTATGAAAGCGCCTGGCAGTCAAGGCGGTCCAAATAAATTATCGGACGAGCAAGTTGATCTCACTCGCAAATGGCTATTGCACAACGGCATCGATAACTTCTGCAAAGGTGAGGAACGAATACACCGGTTTTGTTATGAAGTGAAGACCAGCATCAACCGCCTCGTCGGAGAGACTATGGCAGAGACCCCTGTGCTGTGGGCTAGTGAGTTGTTCCAGAAGGAGCGAACAAAATACGAGGGCTACAGCAACCGCCGCATAGTAAGTGTCTCTAGTACTGGCAGCAGCATTCGCCCCTCCAGCATTGCCGGCGAAGATGTGCACGCTGCACAGTTATACGGCACGTATCCCCGCAGGTCGGATTCGGTACCCAGAATTCCTCCAGATATCGCGCCGTTGGGCCGCAAAAAATCCTACCAGAGCCTTGCGTCGGATAAGTGGAGATCTCCAATCGACTTCTCTGCGACGGACACATCTTCCGTCGGGGACTCGCCTGGGAAATCTACCTCTACTTCAACCGCTGACTCGTGCAGCACTTTCTGGTCAGCTCCTCGTGTCAAGGCACAGTATGCTGGCAGTTCATCTAGCTTGTTCTCCAGACCGCCTTCCATGTTTAGCGATACCGCGGCTCCATCTCGTCGTAATGATCGGAATGCGCACGGGAAGGCTACCTTTTTGCAAGAAATGAAAGAGGCTTTGACTAGCCTGTTCCTGAGCGATCTGGGTTCGCCTGTATGGAGCTGTGGGAGTGAAACAGATGCTTGGTTCCTCAACGCTCTAAACAGAAGAAATATCCGGGTGCAAATGGAGAAACGAGCCAGGGTCCAGAGATTCTATGCGGAATATGAAGAGCGGTCGACTCGTCAAATGACTTCCCGCACGTCGTCTAACCCTCGAAGAAGTAGATCCCTGGGGCCTGGTCTGGTCATTAACAAGGTCCCGGAGACGCCCAGAACAGAGATTGGAAGTTCCCAACTTCCTCGCGAAGAAGATTACCAACAGCCATTTTCATATCAAAAGGCATTTGCTCGATTAATGGAAATATTCTCACGTCATGCCAATCCTTTTGTCAAACTAAAGGCTCTTCGCGACTTGAGGTCACTGGCCATAGCCGCTCTCAATTCACCCAGTGATGACAAAATTCCCTTGGGCATACGCAAGGAATGTCCTCGAGAGAGTGTACGGCGGAATCGAGCTTCACGGTATAGTTTCTCTGGAATCCCCGCCACTGAGAATCGGGAGAGGCTTAATGTTCAGTCTTCTATCTCCCCTGCCGCCGAGTCGGTTATATTCGACTCTCGCCCTTCGGAATATTCTTTTCCGAAGGAGATGCAAATAGTAACTTTCCTACGGGATCTTATTCTCGAGCTGAAGCCCAAGACTCTTTTTAGGGATCTTCAGTTCATCTCTGCATTTGTCCCCAGTGAGATATTAAACAAAACTGACAGTGGCACGGCATTCTTGCAGTTTGGACTGGCAGCATTGAGCCTAAAGGACGAAGTTTGCAACAGTATGGTGGAAATCGCTGACAAAATTGTATCTCAAGAGCTCAGTCGGCGACACCATCCGCCCCATGGGCATGATTCCAGCACCCGGTCAGGGCACGGTATTGAGGATGCAGCTGGGATGTGGATTATCACTGCGAAAGAGGGAAACCCCGTTGCGCAGCGCGAGCTCGCTATTCTTTATCTTACCCACCCGGAACTTCTCCCTCGCGTAACACTACCGCTTACTTTGCCGCGAGACACATTCAAGGCAGAGATGATGTATCATCGTGACGAGGATTCAAAGTCTGATCCACAGAGTATGTGTTTGGCGCTGCACTGGATGCAGCTGTCTGCCAATGGAGGTGATGAGCTCGCGAAGAATCGGCTGCGAGAACGGGAAGAATTCGATTCCATTGCCTGAACTTTCCTTTCTTAAGATGTCTTCTTCCTTTTCTATTTCATTCTTTGCTGTGTCTTTTTCTTTTCCCCTTGTCTCTCCCCCTTCTTTCCTTTTGTCATCGCTTGATACCATTGCCGTCAGCTCTCTTTCTTAGCACTTTCTCATCATTCACCCTTGAACCTTTCATTAATTCTTAATTTTAATAAATATCCATCAAGAGTCCGTATTTATTTATTTATTTTTCCCCTCTTAACATACCCCTCCACTTCCTTTGGCTTGGGCTTCCTTTCTTTTATATGCCGGCTTATCGCTTATTTCTGCCCAAGAACTGCTTCTACTGCGTCACTCTCTTCATCCATTGTTAGATTTGTATCTGGTGGTTCTTTCCATTAATAGTGCCCCCTTGATACCATAATGGATCGACGCTCGACCTCGTTCACGGTGCGACTTGGTCGGATTATAATAATGTGCTGGTATTGGGTATGGGAAAACAACTCAAAACGGTCTGGAGGCATTCTGCTATTTTTATCTGTCATAAATCCTGCCTTGAATTTCTGCATTAATGCCATGCACTGGCGTGTACAGAGGTATTTAGTAGTAATCGCATGGCGTTCCAGCTGTGTAGAGCAAGTCGCATGGCGATTTCACATGACCTTCTCTTCACGACGTCATCAGGGCTGTAGCCCCACGTGCCAGCGAAACAAACATGGCATTCTCCAGCAACATCCAAGTTCCCGCTTGTGTTTGTGTTTCGAGTTTGAACTTTCCAGTCGCAACATACCTGCCCTGTCCTTTCGTCCGTCTGTCGTCCCTCACTGTCCTGGTTTCTCTTCTTGCTCTCCCTACTTAGCACCGCCATTTGACTGACGCGCCTACGGTGAGCCGTCTGCATTCCCAGTAAGCCTTAACAGATAGTCTTCCACGGTTCACTAATATCTAGTGACACCAGGTCCCTTTTTCCGTTCCTTAGCCCATAGATCGGACTGACTCCTTGGAAGACGATTTGCGTTGTTCTGTGAACTCTGCCCCGCGTTGCTGATCGAATCCGTTTGGTTGGCTCATCTTTTCTTGAAAGCTCGTTTTCGTTCTCTGCGGCTCTCGGTATGGGTCATGAGGAAGAACATCACAAGAGGCCCAAGGGTAAGAACTCTCTTATTACTTTTGTTGGGTTTGTTATCTCTTCTCTTGTTGCACTAGCTAACGTGATCTCAGGGATCCTCAAAAACTCCCCGCAATCCCAGACCGCGCTGGGCCAATCCTCTACCCCGCAAAGCCTATCAAATATAGAACCTCTGGACACCAAGGAGATCACCCTTCAGAATACTCTTCAAAATGCCGGCCGTCGTCGTTCCTCTCAAAGCTCTTTGGCCCGCCGACCATCCGTTAGCAGTTGTCTCAGCCACAATGAGGACGAAGACGGTCCTCGACTAAAATGGGATGAAGCAAATCTTTACCTGACCGAGCAGGAAAAGACGGCTAAGATGAAAATCGATGAGCCCAAGACTCCCTTTGCCCCACATTACGATCCCGCGGAGGACGAGGAAGAGATGAGACTTGCTGAGGCACAGGAAGCCTTACTCAATGCTCAGGGATTGGTGGTGGATGAGTTGGATGGAAAGTCGAAGAAGGAGAGAGAACCCAGACGGGGCGTCTCAGAAGAGGACATCCCGGAATTCGAGCTGGGTGAGCCTGAGGAGGCAATTCCCGTTGATGCGGGTGCTGGTGGTGGTGGGAGGATCGTCCGGAAACGGAGTCTCAGTACCGATTCGCAGAAGGGGAAGCATGTCGTTGTCGGCGCGCAAGCTGCTCCTGGTGTGGAGGATGTCGAGAAGGACGATCGGTTAACTCCCGAACAGTACAAGGAAAAACATCGGGTGTTCGAGCAGAGGAGGAAGAAACACTATGAGATGAAGAATATCAAGGATCTGCTTGCGTATGTATCGCTGATGGACGTTTTATTTCTATATAAGTGGTCTTTTTACTGATATATATGTTCTTCTTTCTAGCCACCCCGAGCAGTTGGACGATGACGAAGAAAATGACAATGAAAACGAGGACGAGAACGGAAATGTCCATTCTGCGCATTCTAAAGTACCACCTCCCATGCCTCAGATCCCTGAACGTTTTCTCAATGGCAAGAAATAGGGATGGGGAAGGGGAGGGAAACGGTTTTGAAGCATATCGATTCTCATCTATGACTTCCCCCCCCTTCTCTTCATTCATATGATGCCTTTCATATGCCCACGATGTGTCTATGCCATACTTCTCCTAGCTATTTACTTTACTCTTTTTTTTTTCCCATTCTAAATTCCCCGATTCCTGTATCCTGTATCCTGATTAATTCTTTGCCTCTTTCCCGTTTCACATTTTCTCTTTTTGATCTTTTTTTTTTTTTTTTTGAACTGGCTGTCAGCGCTAGACCAGCCCGTACAGATTCGAATCATGTGTGTATGATATAGGTAGATGCCCATCATATCCATTTGCATTTTCTCCTGGTTCGAAGGTTCGGTGCCGTACTCTATGGCGTCTACCAGTATGGTATTTATCTCGTGTTGCTACGCCAACTCAATTATTTATTATGCACTGTACGAAATAATATTAAGCAATCTCTGGAAGGCTAATATTAGTTGTCGCAAGTCTGAGACAGTGTCACTGATTAACGGCCAAGCGAGATGCTGCCGAATTAGTATACGATCATCTCTGGCTCAAGCTTCCCAACGGACGCGATGATCCATAATATTAGATACTAATATAAGAAGAAATTAGAAGCAGAGCAAGCGAGGCCAGATTTAGTCTTAGTTGTTCCGTTGGATTCGACTTGGTGATACCAAATTATCTGCTTTGATTAATTCTCGTTTCTGTTTCCCCTGAAGCAGTCGCTCCCGCGATCCTTCCTTTTGTTCACATTGCTCACGCCTTGGCTGAGTTGTTTCCGGCTTCCTCTGCTTTTACTTCCTCTTCCTCCATTCCTGGTCTGGCTGTGCTGGAGTTCTGTTCTGTTTTTAGCCGTCTCATCTTTGAACTGGTTGCACGAACGACGGAGTACTACGTGGTGAGTCTTATTCTATTATTATTATTATGCTGATTGTTTCCCTCCCCTTTCTTCCCCTATCCCTCATTTTTTCTCCGACTTCTCATCACATGAATTCGTCATTCTTTCCTCGTTCACCTGTTTCTAGTGTGTTTCTCTCATTGTCACCGCTTCGTATCGCATCCTCTTCTGTTTACTGACCGAGTCAGGTTGGCAAACAGATATCATCCAGCTTTCAACATGTCTGAGCAACCTGCCGCCGATAAACCAGCAGCTACTCCTGCCGCTGAGGCTTCCGCAACCGCGACTGAAACCTCGGCTGCTGTTCCTGAGTCACAGCCAACCGAGAAGCAGCCTCAGGAGGAAGCTACGCCCGTCGCAAATGGCGATGCCAAGCCAACTACTGAACAAGACGCGCCTGCGCTTGCTCCTGCTCCCGCGTCCACTGCTGAGGTCGCTGGTGATGCCAAGGCACCGGAGGAGTCTGCAGCGAATGCGGCTCCTGCTGCCGAAAAGGCTGTCGAAGCTGAGCCCAAAAAGCAAGAAGAGGAGGCTAAACCAGCGGCAACAGAGGAACAGCCTGCTGCGGAAGCTGAAAAGAAACCCGATTACCTCACTAAAAACCCTGCTCTGAGCCAGTTCTTTGAACGGCTCTCTGCTATTCTTTCCAAAACCGAACACGGCGAGATGTGGGGTGTGCCTCTGAAGGTAGACTACAATGATATCCCCACTATCAATATTCTGATCAAGTTCCTCCGTGCCAACGAGGGTAATGTCAAACTCGCGGAGGAGCAGTTGACAAAGGCGCTTGAGTGGCGTAAGAAGATGGACCCCGTGGCTCTGCTTGAGAAGGGGAGCTACAATGCCGAGAAGTTCGATGGGCTGGGTTACAAGACAATATACAAGAACGATGATGGGAAGGATATCGTTGTCACTTGGAATATCTATGGCAGCGTGAATAGCGACGTGACTTTTGGTAATTTGGACGAGTGAGTGCTACTTCCCAAACAGAGCTCACCGTACTTCTTATCCGTCCTACTAACACAAAATTAGGTTCCTCAAGTGGCGTGTTGCACTTATGGAACTCGCCATCAAAGACCTGAAACTCGGTGAGGCAACTTCGGTCTTGGACTACACCGGTGAGGACCCGTACCAAATGATCCAGGTCCACGACTACCAGAACGTCAGCTTCCTGCGGATGAATCCCAATGCTCGCAGTGCTTCTAGGAAGACAATCGAGGTCTTTTCCACAGCGTACCCGGAGCTGCTCAAGGAGAAATTCTTCGTCAATGTCCCCGCTATTATGGGCTGGATGTTCGCGGCGATGAAGGTGTTCCTCAGCAAGAACACTACCCGTAAATTCCATCCTATCTCGAATGGCGCCAACCTGGCCCGTGAGTTCCCCGCCTCGTTGGCAAAACTCCTCCCCAAGGTGTACGGTGGTCAGGGTCCTGATCTCAAAGGGAATGCGGAGACGGTTAAACTTGAGGCTCCGGTGAAGGAATCCAGCGCCAACTCCGAAGCGCCAAAGGAGGAGCCAGCGAAGGAGGATAAGAAACCGGAAGCCCCCCAGGAGGTCGCAAAGGAAGAGTCCAAAGCAGAGGAAACCAAAGGACAACCGGCGACAACTGAGACAGCTGTTGCAGCGCCCGAGGCTGCTGAGGCCAAATAAGCCACACCTCTCTGATTCCGACGGACTGTCTTTATACCCAAGTGACGTCTGGCGAGAGTTGACGAGATCGTTTTCGCATTCTAACATGCAACGCATCCCGTACATTAATGTCTTTTTCTTTAATTACTTATGAGAGGTGGGATCCGGCTGGCCGTGGGAGAAGCTGGGTGGTAAACGCAGAAAAGTCTCGAGTGCCTGTCCTGCCAAAGGGAAACGAGGCATGTGCAGCTTGAATTGATACCCTTGATGAGCATGGAGCAGTCAGATTGACGGTTCATTGGTTTTGCTTTAATCCAAGCATCTTATTATTTCGGTATGTCTTTTAATCCACTCAAAATTAGAGATACTCCTATTCTAGTTAGTAGTTAGAATTCACTTCATTACTTTCACTTCCATTACTCTTTGGCATGGCCCATGATGGTTGAAATGAGATTCTTGAGCATTTGAATTAGTCTGACCTATTAAGGCAATGATTAGATGCATTAAATGAAATAATTATTCCCTCTCAGCGGAATTTGTTCTATTTTATGGAAGATGCATGTTGTCCTGTCATAGTGAGAGCCGTGTTGATGTTCGTTCAGGACACCACAGCGACCAAAGATGCATTTCCTCCCCCAAGTGAAGCGCATTCAGACCTTTCATTCTCTGTAATCTGCGGTCGGTCGTACGGCGTCTTCCTTTGCCTTTGGAACCTTTCCCCGGTTGTATCATCGAGTGACAGTACGTAACCTTTATAGTGGTTTCATTGGGGACTTTCTCGGCCAGAATGCGAGCTATTTTTCTCGACCTCTTGTCAACACTCCTTCAATAGTACGCCCCAGCTCGATATCATCAGCCTTTCATACTCCACTACGCCGTACCCTTCGAAGACAACATAAACCAGAAGAGAGAGAAAGGGAGGGAGAGAGAGAAAAGGAGCAGAGCCACCTCAAAACGACAAAATGTCAGTCTGGAACCCAGATAACATCCGTGACGTCGCAGAATCCGTCGGCATCGTCAACCTCAACGACGACGTAACGGAGAACCTCGCGCGCGACGTCGAATACCGCATTGCACAGGTGCTGGAAGAAGCGCTGAAATTCATGCGTCACAGCAAACGCACCGTGCTCACGACGCAGGACGTGTCGCTGGCTTTGCGTGTGCTTGATGTCGAGCCGCTGTATGGGTATGAGTCGACGCGTCCGCTGCGGTTCGGAGAAGCTTCACTTGGTCCTGGACAACCTCTGTTTTATGTGGAGGATGAGGAAGTGGATTTTGAGAAGTTGATTAATGCGCCCTTGCCTAAGGTTCCCAGGGAGATTTCTTTTACTGGTGGGTTTTGTTTGCTTTCATATTTTATTTTCCAACACTACCGATGGGCTCCCTGCTAATGCGTTTAATTTTTTAATATAGCACACTGGCTAGCTGTCGAAGGTGTACAACCATCCATCCCTCAGAATCCTACGGCGACCGACTCCCGCAATCTGGAATTGGTGTCCAAGGGTCCGAATGCGAATGCCACTTTGGCCGCTATGAGTGGCACGGGCGATGTGACTGTGAAACCGCTCGTCAAGCATGTCGTGTCGAAGGAGCTTCAGCTGTACTTTGAGAAAGTGTGCAATGCATTTTTGGACGAGTCGAGCGAGGATTACAGGACCTCCGCCTATTCCAGTCTCAAGGAGGACCCGGGGCTTCACCAACTTGTACCGTATTTTGTGCAGTTCATTTCCGAGAAGGTCACGCATAGTTTGAAGGATATATTTGTGCTTACGCAGGTGATGCATATGACGGAGGCTTTAATTCAGAATAAGTCCCTCTATGTGGATCCTTACGTGAGTAGTTTACTTGCTTGCAAAGAGACCAATACAGATTTACTTACGTTTTCTTCAGGTCGCGTCCCTTGTTCCCCCCATCCTCACATGCCTAATTGGTAGACAATTAGGCGTCAATGCCGACCTGTCGGAGCAATTCGCCCTCCGGGATCTCGCAGCGTCACTTATCGGCCTGATCGCCAAAAAATACTCGCACTCTTCACATGCCCTCAAACCCAGACTCGCTCGTTCATGTCTCAAAAGCTTTCTAGACCCCACAAAACCGTTTGGCGCACATTACGGTGCGATGATCGGACTCCATGCTGTGGGTGGTACCGAAGCCGTACGGGTCCTGATCCTTCCCAACCTCCAAACATACTCCAAGTTGCTCCAGGATGCCCTCACGGACGATAACCTCCGACGACCCGAGGCAGAGAGAGTCCTAATTGCACTCTTGGCTCTCTTGGGCACCCTCCGCGAGAATTGTTTGCCATTTGCTAATGGACATCCTCCTGTCTTCACAGACGACCTACGAGACAAACTAGGGAGTAAGGTTGGCGAGCTTCTTGCAGGGAGGATCGCCAATTCGGGTGATGTCCAACTAGCTCACGCCATTCTTAATGCGTAGAATATTTCTTTTATTTTATCTGTATTCTTCGGGTCGTTTCTAACATGGCGGTATATGGTGTTTTTTTTTTTTTTTTTTTGGGCGCTTCAGGGGGGCTTTTGTCCCCCATCTTTTCTTTTCAGGAGATGGGCATGGCGGATAGGATTCTGTATTTATCGGTGCATTAATATGGATACCCTCAGGACAACCTACGCAGTACATAATACATACAGCATGAAGTAGCGAAGAATCCAGTGGAAGATGTCACGGGACTCAGGACCCGACGTCACTTAGCACGTGACATGACAGATTATTCTGCCGGATCACACCGCCCAGAAGTCGCATGCGGGATTTCTCTTCGCGGGAGTCGCTGCCGTCGTCTTTCCCTCTCCTGCACTGCCTCTGCCTGGCGTCCTCTTGGTGCACCTCCTAAGAGCTCCTTGCTATCTTGAAACTATCATTGTCACTTTACATTACTAACCTCTGGTATCAATCCCCTGATTTCCCTCTCAATCGCTGCATTGAGTCATTGTGTTGCCTCGCCACTGACCTTGTACACCGCACCTCAAGGTTTTTTATTTTAGCTTTGTGTCGAACGGGCAGCACAACTCCAGCCCAAATTAATACGCAGCCCTCGCCCCACAAATAAATAACTACCACCACCCCAGATCGAAAAAATCCAGGTTCATTGTTCCCCTCTTTGTTCTCTTCTTCCTTTATTTTTCATTGGAGAATATAACAGCTCTGTTGCTTGCTTCGAGTTCTCGGTGATCGTGTCGATGATCTAACCCGAGGATTTCGTTGCATCTCAACGTCCCTTGCTCGAGCTCACTTTCGGACCTTGCCTTCCATGAGCCCGAAAGATCTACTACGTTTCCTGTCTAAGCCTGCTAAGTAAGTGTTTCTTATTTTGTTGTTGGGCTCAATTGGGTTTGGGCTTTCCCGTTCCCGTGACGCCTGTTTTGGTTAGGGAGAGAGCAAGTCGAGGCTTCCGATGGAGGATGACAACAAGCTAATTGATATTTCTGTCCTTTCTAGGCCTCGATAACACGACTTACACCCAACGTCTATTTCCTATTTCCTATTTTCTATTTGCTATATTCTTTTTCCCTTCTTTTTCTTTCTCTTCTCTAAAAAGCAGATATCCTCGTCTGCTGGACCCGATACTTTGACCGGTATCGGCATCTTCAGTACGGGGGTTCAAACCAAATAGTCAACATTCCCTTTTCGAAAGGACTCTTCCTTCTCTCTCTCTCCACTCGGCCCCCCTAGCAGTCCGTCTGCGTTTATTGGGACTTCATCTATCTGGCTTGTTGGCCAGCCTTTTCACCAATCGATAACGGGCCTTCTCTTCTCAGGCGGACATTCCCCTGTTCGTCTGGGTAAGCAGATAGTGCTTCCATAGCCTTCTTCGTCTGCAGTTTGATCGGCTATAGCAGCGCCGCTTCTTGGTTCCTCTCATTTCCTGCAATCTTTCCATCTTTTCCCGGACAAGTCGCTTTTTGCGTCACCCGTCCCCGGAGATGGTTTATATTGGGATTCCTCCGAATTACACGATCTCGCCGTCCTCGTTTTCCGGGACACCGACTTTACATATCAATCATGAAGCTACTCAGGGCCTAGACTCTAGCAATGCTTTTGAAGGTATGCTGCAATGATTCTACTCATGTACTATCCAACTATACGCTGACCTGTTCGATATTTAGGCCCTGAGAAACTTCTAGAAGTGTGGTTTGCGCCATCAGCGACAGCTTTAGGCCGTGCGGGACCCGCTGGTCTCAAGGCTGTGCCGGAGGAAATATGGAAAGATATGTTGGATCTCGTCAACTGCAAGGTGCTTTCGGTTATAGCGTCCGAGGATGTCGATGCCTACCTACTGTCCGAATCAAGCATGTTCGTGTGGCCGCACAAATTAATTCTCAAGACTTGCGGCACCACGACTCTGCTTTCAGGGCTTCCGCGCATCCTCGAAATTGCAACTCTGTTTGGTGGCTTTCCCAAGGCAACCGCCCCACCGTCTCGTGGAATTGCTGTGGCGGCTGCCCCGTACCGTGTCTTTTACAGCCGCAAGAACTTTCTCTTCCCTGATCGCCAGCGCGGTCCCCACCGCAGCTGGAGGGATGAGGTGAGAACTATGGACAAGCTTTTCTTGAACGGCAGCGCCTACATGATTGGCAAGATGAATGGCGAACACTGGTACCTGTACCTGACGGAACCGCACACTATGCTCACTCCACCGGGGAGCCCAAATCTCAAGCCCAAGTTTGAGGAAACGGAGACGAAAGTGATCAACCTTCCTGGATGCCCTGCATCCAACGCAGACAATGAACCCGATGAAACCTTGGAGATTCTGATGACCGACCTCGACGAAGAGAATGCTAAGCAGTTCTATCTGGACCACGCAAGTGGCGTGGCCAAGGCTAACTATCGCAATTTTGATAAAGATGACTGCGATCATGTCGATGTGTTCAGTAATAACTCTTCTGACTTCAGTGACCCAGACTCGGACGGCGAGCAGCTATTGCCTTCCGAGTTGACCACCGAGGGCCATGCGTTGGGAACCGTCGTCTCCGAGTCCTGTGGTCTGGCTGATGTCTATCCAAAGAGCAAGTATCCCGAGTCGCGGGTTGACGCGTACCTGTTCACACCTTGTGGATTTTCCGCAAACGGCGTTATCCCGGCGGCTGACGGTGTTTCTGGCACTCACTATTTTACCGTCCACGTAACCCCAGAGCCTCACTGCTCCTACGCATCCTTCGAAACAAACGTGCCTCATTCTCAGAATGGTCAACAGACTGCAGATATCATCAAACAGGTTGTGAATATCTTCAAACCTGGACGTTTCACTGTGACTCTCTTTGAGGCAAAGGCGTCAGAGCCCGGTGATGGTGACTTGGACGGCATCAAGGATCTCAAGGCACTTGAGCGTCAGGCAATCCGTCGGACAGCAAAAATGGAACAGATTAGTGGATACCGTCGTGTAGACCGGATTGTTCACGATCTCGACGGATATGACCTTGTATTCCGGTACTACGAACGCAGCGACTGGAAAGGGGGGGCCCCGAGAATTGGAGAGTAGAGAGAAAAGAGGGGGAATTATTTGACGACAATTTGAGCATGCTTTTTTCCCGTCATTGATTGATTGTTTTGCATTTGTTTTTGTTTGAAACTAATCTATACACTCTTTTTCATATGCATTCTGGCTTCGGTTAGTTTGTTAATAATCTTATCCTTTGTGATTATTATTTTTTTTTTGTGCTGTCAGCCTGTCTCTACTGATAATTACCGCCAAAAGTCTGTCCAGAAGGCAGATGTCATCATTGTTAATACCTAAATCTCTGCTCTTATATATGAATTGGTTTGCGTGGTCAGCCATACTTTTTTGTAGGATGCCTAATGGCAAAGAGTGTCAAGACAATGGTAGAATTCACTGTACATTTACAGAAGGCAGTGTGAAGGAGTAGAAAAGGCTTGGCAGAATTGCCAATCTGAGCCGTGCGGGCATCTCGATTCTCCAGAGCTATGCCAGAACTTGAAGAATTTCAACCACACTCGCTTTTCTCCAACCTTATCCGAAAAAGGTCGTGGGCTTTATTGCATCAAGGACATTATCTTCTTCCTTCAAACAAATAGTAATACGGATGCAGCCCATCGATTTGTCTTCTACTTTGGAAAATCACTCGTCGCATCGCAACTCATAATCCCATACTACATACTCCGTCCATAACCCCCAACCTGATTCGATCAGGTCACATCCATCCGCAGAACTGCTGAGACAGGACCAAAAAGAGAGAAAGGCGAAGGCAAACCGAAAGAAAGTGAAAAAGAAAAGATGTCCTCACCACCACCAATTAACCCCCTCAAGCGCCCGTCCATCTCCTCCGCCTCCCAGCCACTCGGTACGAACCTCAAACGCGCACGCATCCACCCCCTCCGCCAGACCTCATTCCCGAGCTCTGTGATCGACATCGACCCGCGCTTAACCTCCAACAGTGACGCGGGAAGCGTAACGGGTAGTTTTACAGGGAGCATCGGAGGCGCGAGTGCCGATGGAGTCTTCGCTAATAGAAGTAAGAAGAGGGGACGGAAGAGCAAGGTTGAGAAAGAGCGGGAAAGGGAGCGGGAGCGGGAGCGAGAGCGTGAGGATGTGGCTAGTACGAGGGGTCGGGAGACGAGGATGGGGTCTATCGATGAGGGGGCTTCTGTCCGTGGTGCTGGCGGTGGGAGAGCGGAAGAAGGGGAGGATGAGGATGATGATCTTGATGAGGGGGAATTGTTAGGAGGCGAGGAGAGGGGGGTTACTGATACGGAGGCTGAGAAGAAGAATCTTGCGTATGCTTTCTTCTTTCCCTTTCCGGCTGAATTCTTTTGGGGACGGCCTAACTGATATATATCCATGACTTGCTACAGACTTCTCGTCGATGCTTTCAACCCCTTACAATCGGAACGATACGATCTCTTCAAACGAGCCAAGCTGCGGAAAGAAAGTCTTCGTCGAATCGTCAATCATGCCCTCTCTCAATCCGTGCCTGCCAGTGTCGTCACGACCATCAACGGCTTCACTAAAGTTTTTGCGGGAGAGATCATCGAAAAGGCAAGAACTGTACAGGCAGAATGGGCCATTGCACACGATCAAGCTGCTCTAGCTGCCTTTGAGGCTGAATATGCGGCGGCAACATCGGAACCGAACAAGCCTGGCGGTATTGAAAACGAAGCAACACCTACATCATCACCCGCATCTGCGCTTAACCAAGGCACGAACGGCGTCACAGCCCCACCGATTACAGCGCATCCTAAACCCGAATTCAAACCGCCTCCGAACCCGCATCGTGGGCAGCTCCTGCCGTCGCACCTTCGCGAGGCGCTCCGACGGTACAAGCGGGATGCGGAGGGAGGAGGCGTTGGGTTCTCTGGGTTGAGTATGGGGAATTTGGGCGTGAGGGGAGCTTTTACGTGGAACTCGGGCGGTGTTGGAGGGAGGAGGATATTTCGGTAGATTCTTTCTGTCTCCCGCTGTCTATTGCCCTTTCGAACTCTACGCATTCCGGGATGGCGTTGGGATGGATGGGTCTATTCTATTTCGAGCTTATGGTGCATGTTTGCTATTTTATAGATACCAGTTGATGGAGGAAGTGCTTCATGAACAGTTCTACCATCAAAATTCAATACATCAGTGTTTCGTTGGCACGACCATGTCTTTCGTAGAGATCAACATGTACAGCCACAGTTTATACCCATAGTTGAGACGACAGTATTTATATCGCGCCTACATTTGCATCACCATGTGGCAGCCACATCATCGTGGCCCATATTCCTTCCTCTTATACCGATGCGACGATCGACCAACTAACCAAAAATTTGCGGACTGGCCGGTCCGGGATCGCAGCATTTTTTGTCATTGCCCTCGGATTCGATTCTGTCTGAAGGAAGATCTTGCGGTGACGTGACATGATCACGAGTGCAAAGCTTGAAAGACCTCTGTCAGGAACTGGTTAATAGTGGGCTTCCAGGATCTAGGCTGGACGAAAGGCAGAACCTGCTATTTAGCTGCGATTTTCCGTCTTGTCGTCAGGGTTTTCAGGGCCAGGGCTTCGTAAGGAATGCTGATCTTCATCCGAGCTTCTGTCGAAAGCATGTTTTTGTCTGCAGACAACGGAAACCCCATGTGAAACTCGAACGAAGAGGCCAACTCAGGGGTTTTACCTCCCGACGGACACCGTTATCTTGAACCCAGAGATGCATCCGCGATCGATTCGCAAGATGGATCACTATCAGTCCAGATACGGTTTCCGCGCAATAATCCGCACCGCAAGGTCCGTGGCTGCGCCTGATGCCGCGCGTCACTGGCCAGCACTGTATCGTATCAGGGGTTCGTTAAATCTTGTCATTGTCGGAAAGTTCAAAGCAGTGCAGGTCTCGAGATTCGACTCCCAAAGTTCACGGACTCCGTACATAACCCCCAGAGCGCCTCTTTATGCAAGAAATGACATAACCATCCAAGGAGTGCCGAGGATGCCAAGAGGGAGATCTTACGGGTGAAACCAGGGAACGCGCGTTCAGGCACTGTGTGTGGTGGCGGACCGTGGAGAGGGCGTCCCTGGGAGATGAGGAGACTGGCCGACGTGGCTGGGCAGCGCATTACGATGCTTGATGCATCCAGAAGATGAACACTCTCAGCCCGGAGATGCCAACCTTGAACCACGGCTGGTGGCGCTCTCTTGGCGCTTGCAAGCGCTTCTTGTCGCTCCTTGTCCTGTCTTGGCCTTGTCTTCTCGCTTCTCCGGCGTTTTCTTTTCGTCTTCTCTCTCTCTCTCTCTTTCTTTCTATATCCTCTCTTGTCACTTCTTTTAGGCGCCTGACTACTGTCTGCTCGTCGTATTCATTCCTTCGCATTGTTCTGCTGGGCCTGATTTCTATATACCCCGACCTTCGTTCTCCGCATCCGCTCCCCCCCTCCGTCCTCCCCATGCCTCGCTTCTTGGATCGCCAATAAGTGTGCCCAGTCATCATGCCGTCCTACGATCCCTCTTACCTGTATACACGCCTCTTGGATGCCATCCCGTCTGCCCTTCCCTGGGCTGGGGGAGACCCAAATGTGAAGGGTGATCCCCGCAAATCAGTCAAATGGATCGATGTACGCACCCCTGGAGTCAATGGTTTCCAATTATAACATACCATTGCCATGACTGGGCTAACTATAATGCTGTTCTTCCGCGTAGGGCCTAAGAGGTATTGCTTCGTTTCTTGTCGTGCTCACTCACCTAGCCAGGGGCTGGGACTATGATCTCTTTTCCCCGCGAGACCAACCCGATGTGCCCCCGCGAATCCTGCAGTGGCCAGTACTGCGCATCCCGTGGCAAGGGCGTATCGGTGTTACCATCTTTGCCTTTCTTACGGGCTATGTCTGTGCCATCAAGCCCATTAAGCTGTCCCGGAATGGTGACAAGCTGGGTGCCTTTACCGCCGTCGCCAAGAGCGCTTTCCGTCGTCCTCCCCGTCTGATTCTTCCCGCCACCTTCGCCATGGTGATTTCCTGGGTCGTTGCACAGCTTGGGGGCTTCATTGAGGCCAACCGCTCGGATTGCTGGTGGTGTCGGTATGCAGCCCCAGACCTGGAGGACTCCTTTTTTAAGGAGGTCATTCGGCTGTTCACGAACTTCCTAAGCACCTGGACTACTGGTTACATGGCCTACGACGATCACCAATGGGCGCTGCTCCCCCTGCTTTTGGGCTCCATGCTCGTCTACATTCTGCTGGTTGCCACCATGTTCTTAAAGTTCCGCTGGCGCATGCTCGTTTACATGATCATGCTTCTCTACTTCCACCAGGACGGCGGACCGACGACTGGTGAGGCTTCCCTTTCTGTCTACTGACGGTACGGACCCGACTGACTGATTCATCCTTCAGAAACTTTCCAGACGCAGTGTGTCTACGGCATGATGTTAAGTGACCTCGCCTACGAGTCCTCTTTCAAAGAACTTGTCGAAAAGCATAGCTGGGCTCGAAAAGCAGTCTCTGCTCCCTTGGCCATTATGGGTCTCTTCATCGCAAGCTATCCCGGAGAACATCCCCAATGGAGTACTTGGTCTGAGTACATGCGTATCGCTGCAACCTACATCTTCCCCCCTGGTGTCAATGTTGGAAGACGGTACAGTGCCATTGGAATGGACATGATTATCTTCGCCATCTACATCTCTCCCTCGACTAAGGAGTTCCTCGCGAACCGAATGCTACTCTGGTTTGGAAAGCAGAGTTTTGCCGTCTACCTGGTCCACGGCACACTTCTCCGTGTGGTGTTGGTCTGGATGCTGTATGGAATCAGCGGACAGCCTTGGGATACGTCCATCGTCGATGCCGAGGGTAATCCCATCCCGCCGTATATTCCTATTCGGCCCGGGTGGGTTCAGGCCATCTGCTTCCCCCTGTGGATTATCCTTGTCTATATATGCGCGTCACTGTGGACACGATATGTCGATCCCTTCTGTGCACGACTGACTCAAAAACTGGAGAACCTGATGTTTGAGGAGTCTGAGAAACCTCAACCTGCGTTACCGCTAACTTCGATTCCGATGCCTACGACTTAAAACCCTCTTTTTTAACCATAGATTTTCTTTCCCTCGTATAATGCAACGAAGTGTTGACTGTCGTCAAACCCCAGCATCATCACTTTTTTTTTTTTTTTTTTTTCTTTACGACAAGCCACAATGGAATTGGCTGATTTGCAGGACATTCTCTGAGATTTCATCTGTTTGCTTGTCTAATATTTGTGACCTGTCCATTCAATTCTATTTTCTATCAATTGCTGGAGTTCTTCTTGGAATACATCTAGACACTTGTCTTAATATATAAGTGTGGACGAACCTGATTTATTTTATTGTTTTTTGTCTTCTATATGAGCGAACTGCACCTGCTCCATTCTCTTACATCAGTCTCCTTTCATAAATTCGGAGTCCTTGCTCTTTTTTTTTTTTTTTTTTTTATCGCTCTTCGTCTCTGATGTCAAACGGGCTCGAAAATGGATGAAACCTAGCATATCTACCTAGGCTAATGGATACCTCTTGCCATATTATTAAAGGATCTATACATGCTTGCGCCGGTGGTCTTCAGCATTCCATCTCCGACGGTGTCCGTAGTCTCTTGGATCACTGGTGTGACACTTATCCTGGTAATGATATGTGGTACATGGTTGTTAGATGTGGTCACGTGCAGGGTCAGCCCTACTACATCTCAGTCATGTGGATGGGACAAATTGGTGACTATGTTAACAGTAGGCAAGTTCTATTTATACCGTGTAGACTGAAATCAGGAATCGTTATAAATCTATTTAAACCACTAAAGTTACATTTACTGCGTCTTATCCCCCTTTCAGAGATGGTATAGTCCTGTCTGTTCACTCCCCAGAGTTCTGTTCTGAATAGATTGATAGAATTTGACATCTACTTTCCATGATAGAAGCTTATGTACTTTGCTATATTTCTGTCAATCCTTCTTTGAATGGTGATGTTTCATTTCAATATTAAACCTGGAACAGGTAGAATGAATGCCATGTACAGAGTACTTGACTGGAACTGGATGTCTCTTAGAATTTGAGAAAGCATCAATGAATTATGCATATCCTTGCTTTTCGATACCTTATTCCCCTTTTTTCTCTAGATAGCTCCATTTATGTGATTCAACCATATTGACTCCGTTTTTGCTGCAAACTCTTTCTTTACTAAGAAATGCATAATTAGTATCCATCTTAGAAGATAACTAGGACATGGAAAGAAAGAGGAAGAAGAAGAAGGCGGCAGAAATAAAAGGAAGGAAAGAACTGGAAATCTCATACCCTTGAAAGATAGATACTCAGAATATCCATATCCCATTCCGTCTCACTCACGACATGACTTGACTTGACATCCATCAGACGTGCAGCCAGTGCGCCGCGATAGACCAGGTCTACTCTGACCTAATTACGAGGTAAATCAAGCAACCGCATCCCGACGACACGCCGCCGCCGACCGTGTCTACGACGTGGACGAAAGGCAATCCTCAGGGCAATCTCGACGGCTATCATGAGTTGCTGGAGAAGTGCCAGGAACGCGAATACCATCATTGCCGCGACCAATTTGATGATGCCCTTTGGACGTAGGGCCATGGCGATTTCGATTCTTGTTTGGTTGATGGCTGCTGTTTCGTTGGGATAGAATTGCATTATGTTGGACATGTCCATTTTGTTTATTTGGTTCTGGTCATTTTGCTGTTGGTTAGATGGGTTTGTCTTTTCAGATTCGAAAATCTGAGTGAGAATGGCTGTCTTACACTTCTTCTCGTGATGCGTATCTCATCAGACTGAGACTGGGACTGAAGTGGATAGATAGATACGTCTGTGTCTTTCCTGGAGGAGATGCTTGGCACTTATTGGGGAGCCAGCATGAATTGGCTATGGTGTCTTAGATGGCAATGAGTTTGAGCTGACAACAGGGAGAAGACAAGGAGTCAAAAGAAAGAGATATCTCAATTACTAGATCTGGAAGAGTCTGCTTTGTCTCCGCTTGACGGTGAAGGTAGAAAAGGGTTTCTCGGCGGCACTACTGTTCACTATCTCACTAGAAATGATCTGGTTCCCATGGCGAGCAGCTCAAAACAGCCCATAACAAGTGCAGAGTGCAATCCAGGTTGTTAAAGAAGAGAAGATTCTTCCATGTCTCCTTTGCTGTTTTCTTTCTTCTACCCACATCCTCTCCTGGTGTTTGTCCTATCCAGCTGTACCTACGTTCATACAGAAGACCAGCTTCTTGTGCCTTTTCAAAACTGCTCTTTCCAGTGTTCTTTTTCAAAGTCTGACTCACAGACTCAAATTCTCCTTTGCTCTCTTATCAAGTTTTGTTGCTTCTCCAGCCGACATCATGGTGGGAAAAAATAGCTCCAAAATACTCAAGGTGACGAGACGTGCAAAGCCGGAGAAGGAGATCCAGAAGATAATTCGCTTTATGTATCATTCGGATTTATACATGCAAGGGAGGGGACTTGTTCCTCTCTCGGCACTGGCAGACAGCAGCCATCTGCCAAGAAAGCTCGACCTCTCCAAGGCTACAGTCTTCTTCTTCATCGGTAAGAAGATCTCGATCGTATATTCTCTTCAGTTTTCATTGACCGTTCTGTGTTTCAACGCCGGGAACAATGGATGTTGATATCTTTGCTGCCTCAGGGTGCCCTGGATCGGGCAAGTCCAGCATCGCCGTCGACTTTGCCGCGGGTGGACAGTATATCCATCTCTCACCTAGCGCTATTCTGGCCAATATTGCCAGGAATGGACCGTATCCTGACCAGCAGGTAGTTGAGGCGGCTATTGCAACTTTTAAAGAAGTCCCTGACGAACTCCTTGTTCTGCTCACTATCAGAGAAATACAGACACACGTTGAAAGCGGATCCAAGCTATTTATCGTCGACGGCTTCCCTCAGAATGCGAATCAGTTCAAACTGATCTCTCGCGTAAGTTCAATCTGAATTATCTTTCCCTATCCGTGGGGCCATCTATCTCAGCCAGTGTCTTTGCTGAAAGACACCCCGTTCTGCACAGTGGCTGCGAGAACGGTATTTGCTATCTTTCGACGTGGACGTCAAGACCATTTCTGCACGTAAGAAGATACCAAGAGCCCAGGCTAAGGAGCAACTCGCCCGGCATGAGACACTCGTGAAAGACCTGTGGAAATTCACCCCAGGACTGGCATTTGTATCTGTAAGTTGACTAACTGATCCAGCGCAACTCCTCCCTAAACCCTCTGAAAAGCATAGCGGCGTCAATACTCACATTGAATACCACCAGTTTGACGCCAGATGGTCTCTCGATACCAATCTAATCAGAGTTGGAATGTTGATGGGTGTACGTTGTGCCCATGAACAAAAAAAAATCCCACCTGATGGAGGTGATCGCTGACTTTCCTGGACAGTATGCGAGCGCTAAATACAAAAACAAGGCAGACTCACCATGGCTGTGGCATCCCAGACCATCTTGTGTCTCAATCGAAAAGTCTTTTGATGTTCCCAAGTCACAATTGAGATCTCCATTGCCTCCTACCTCTCCGCAGTCCCAGTCTCCTTACGAGCCACTTCGTCAGCCCTCTTCGTTGGGTGCTATTCTGACAGCCGGAATTCTGATTGTGGCTATGTTCACCGACATGTTCTATTTCTCTGTCGTTTATTTCGAGGAAAGGAAAGCTGTGCATAGTTGGTTCTCGAATGCTCCTTGAAAGTTGAAAGTATGGAATTCTCCAGGTTATCTATCCACCGATGGAAAGAACAGTCACTTTTCAAAGAAGTCACGCTGATCTTTGACAGAAAACTCATTTGCTTGTTATGTTCTTTTTTTTTTTCATTTGCTTTTGCTTTTATCTTTTTCTAGTTGTTCGACAGGTTCTGTGCTGTATACAAGGCCTGAAGCTCGGTCTCAATCGAGTGCATTGACGAGGAACAACCACTGGCTTCCGCACTGTACACGTTTCAAGCCTGAACTTCGCAGTGGTATGAGGATCAAATGGAGCTGAATGGGTTGAAATTGTCTTTATGTCCTGTCTTTCGTTCATCAAATTGAAATCAACGCCTTCCTTAGTCAAAATACAGATGGCAAAGGACAACCGCAACGAAGCAAAATGGTACAGTATATTTTACATGTAGGTCAGCACAGGAGGGGCAAAATAAAAACAAATGGGAGAAAGGGAAAAACCACCATGAAATGCTCTGTAGCTTTAGATCCTAGCATTCTCATTCCTCACTGCTTGGATTCCTTGGCTCGCTGAGCATCCACCCACTCTCAAGCAATCTTTTGTTTCTGAGCAGCACTAGCCTTCAGATATGCTTCTCTTCGTGCATGGTTCCTCTCCTCCCTCTTCCATTCCTCCTCCTGCCTTCTTCTGTTCTCGTAATTGCGTGCCAAGTCAAGGTCCTTCTTGCTGAGTCTGGAAGGTATTTCATCCTTTTTGGTCGTGGCACCGGTCAACTCACTGATCTTCTCTTGTGTGTCTTGTTTGATGTTTTTGCCGGTCTCCTTAATGGAATTGACCGCACGATCAATAATACTGGTATCTTTCTTTTGCGCTTCCAGGAGCTTCGCCTGTTCAGCCAAAATCTGTTCCCGGATTGTGCGGATTTTCTGGCTGGTCTCGTTTACCGAATCCGGCACCACAGGGTCCGGGATTTCAATATTCATGTACATCCTAAAGCGCTTGGAGGAAAGAAGATGTGTTTGACCCAAGGCAAAAAGGCCTGTTGTTGCAAAGTACAGTTGAAGCGCGGCCGGGAAGAAGCTCATGAAGATCAAAGAAATGGTAGGGAGAGCAACGCGCAACGTTTTTCCGAGGGATGAATTGAACATGTCGCTACTGTTCATTTCTGCTGTTTTCTGGATCAAAACAAGACAGGTTAGCTTGAAATAGAATAGCGATAATTCAACAACAGCGAGAAAGAGAGATGCCATACCCTCAAATTCAGATACAGCAGACCTGCTGACGCGAGCGGGAGGATAAAGAACGGATCGGCAACAGTGAGATCGGTCAACCATGCAACGGATTCAGCGGCAAGTCCTGGAACGGGTAGATGGGACATGCCCTCGACCAATCGGTAGCAGCCAAAACCCAGAGGGACTTGAATCATTGGAATGATTGTATGCCACACAACGATACCGCGCTCCTTGTTGATCTGGCTTATTTCGGCCTGAGCCTTCTGGACTTCGAATTGGTTTGTCCTTAAGTTCGCCTGCATCTTTGCTCGAAGCGGCTTGGTGAGATGCTGTACATTGCGCATCTTGGTCGAGGTATCTGTAGCCATAAACAGAGGCTTCAGAAGAGCCAGACGGACAAGCAATCCGGTCGCGATAATACTGGCCCACCAAGGCAGCCCAGTATAGACGTGCAGATGCTCCATAACGAATTCTATCAGTGATGTCGGACCCCAGCCGTAGTCTAGTCCCAATTCTTTGAGGTATCCTATCTTCTCGGGAATCACTGCGATGTCCGCTGCGTTGAAGTCAGGCAGGCTAGAGGTGGCCGCTTCGGAGACTGCATCGGTCACATTCTCGCCAGTGGCCGTTGTGGAAACAGTTGACGTGGTTGAGGAGGTTGAATTGAAGCGAGCGGACACAAACCCTGGCATTGCAGACGCTGCTCTCCAGGAGTTTCCGGGAAACGATTGGCTTACCCTTCCATATCGAACGGGGAGCCTAGAGCCACGCGAACCGAAGGAGGAAATCTGAACAAGATTCTTTGGTTAGATAACTGCCTATCTTGTTTGACCTCTGAGAGCAAGAAAACCGGGAATTTGACGAACCGATCGTGTGAAGCGTGGGATCGCAGTCAACCGTTGCCGGGCCATGCCGGCAACTGCACCAGAGCTTCTTATACCAGCGCCGCCCAGCATGGTAGGAATTGAGGGCGAAACGATTTGCAGTATAGCAATGGCTCTGTCGGAGGGATGCTGCCGGGGAACAACTTGTCTACAGCATGCAGCGATCCAGTTCGCCGTCGGCACTGGGACTTTTTGCGCCAAGCACGTTCTGCCGGGCGGTCTGGGGATCACGATAATCATCGGAGATTCTACGGAGTAATTGTTAACAATATATCTACGGTGCAATATTCCATTCCATCCGGCATCTGCTGCAATTTGCTCTGCTATTGACTGTCTCTTCCTGCTATTGACAGATTGGATGAGGCGTTGAAAGACAATACAAGACTCGACCCCCTTCGCCAGACGCCATCCTATTAGACCTGCTGGAGCTTCCGAATCTATGTATATACAGAACATAGCACACAATCTCGCTCTCGCGGCATCGATAGAATGAATCCAAACTCGAAAGCATCGGCGACGGCATATTCCATGCAGCCCGTATATTCGGGAATGCAAACGTCTAAATCGGTTGTTTCCGGCCATGCAGTTCATTCCAAAGATGAGGTATCCTTCAGACCCACTGCCCTTGTAAAACGCCTCCTTTCCGTTGGAGCCTCTTGAACATCGATCCCTGGGCCCATGGGCCGCGATCTTCGATGTGTAGGGAAAACCTAGATAGACACAAGAATTGCGTGAGCACAGCGTCCAGTGGCGTATTTAGGGAATATGGGTAGAATCCTGAGAGTTGATTATGCCACACGTGATTTCGCATGAGCACGGAAAGAACGCACTTTTGTGCCAGACCAGCCTAGTCTGTAAGCTGCCTCGTGTGCAAACAGTTCCCCAAATCCCAACATCAGCCCGTTCACAAATGGCAGAACGAGGTTGATCGCCGCTCCCCGCAGGATGCTCCAGATAGTGGGTGGTTTGTAGAGGATGAGAGGTGAGCTGGACGAAGAAGGGGGTGAATACGACAGTTCGTGGTTAGCAGAGTAGTTCTCAGAGTCTGATGGAACCGTCATTGTAGAGTCGTAGAGTTCGATTCTCGAACTAGACGGGTTGTCTGATGCCATGATGCTGGGAAGAGGTGTGCGAGGGAAGTCGGACAGAGATAGAAATGGATGCTGTAGGAGACGGTTGCCTGTTATTCTTATAGACATACAAGTCCCGATAGAAAGAACAAGACCCCGCCGACGAGTCCTGGACGCAGCGAGAGTCTTGACGGTTGGTGTTTTGACCTGGATTGACCCAATGCGGTGGATTATGTAAGCATCTATATCCCAACGCAATGCCAGCGCAGGACGAAACACATTCAACATCCCGTAACCTGGGGAATTTAGTTTGTAATTTTATATAGAGCAGTGTTTATTATTGACATCGCTTGTACTGTCTTTCACTGTTTCCCTCCTATTTGTTTGGAGCCTTTAGTTGTGCGTTTAAATCATCTCAGTAACCCAGCTTCGTAGTACTCATTCTGCCTCGAAAGACCAGTACCGTGCTCCTACAGATATTGACTCCAATTTTAGAGCGAGAATATGCTAATACTACACATACAAACCCCATGGCCGTAGCAGCAGATTAAATCGCAGTGAATATGTTGAGAAACACGCAGCATTGTCCCTCGTCGCACCCGCCAATCGGCATCGGTGACGTACCTTGGGACGAATGGGCTGAAGCTCTCCAGGCGGAGCTGTTCTTGTCCTGTTCTATCGCCAGTACGCTTAGCTACATTTCCTCTTCTCTCTCTTCCCCAATCATTCCTTTCCTTGAGTTCTCGTTAAATCCTCACGAGATTACAAGACAGCCATTCCAGTCTCTGAAATTAACGCTGGTCGGGGCTCCCCTCTCACTGTCAGCCATGGAGCCAAGCCCCACTGAACGTGATGAGATCGTGTCCCAGTTCTGTGCCATGGCCGGGACGCGTCCATCAGAGGTACGCCACTTATTCGCATCGCATATCAGAAATTCACTACTGACGGCCGGGTTAAAAGGCCCTGGAATATTTAGAAACCAATAACTGGGATATCGAGGCGGCGGTGACCGAGTTTTTCGCAGAACAAGATGAAGCCTTACAAGGCGGGGAAGGTGGTCAGCGTCTTGGATCTGACGAACTGCCTGCTGAAAGGACCCTGAAAGGAGCTCCAGCTGGATCTTCTGGTACTGCCCAACAGTCTTCGGCCTCGAAGAAATCTGCCCCCCGGAAAAAGTTCGCTACGTTGGGTGACTTCGCATCTAAACGTGATGACTCTGGGGATGAGGACGAAACAGAAAACCAGGACTTTTTTGCTGGAGGTGAAAAGTCTGGACTAGCAGTGCAGAATCCTGATGAGGTCAAGCGGAAGATTATCGAGAAGGCTGAAAGGTAAACCACCCCCGGTCTTTGTTTCTGTGCCGCATGTTAGTGAAGAAGCTAACCCTGCCATTTAGGACAACCCTTCCTCCTGAGGAAACGCAACCTAGAAGATCGTATTTTACTGGCTCTGCACGAACACTCGGCGGTGATGATGCGCCTAGTAGGGTAATCGAAGACCCAAATGCTGGTGTGCCACAACCACTGCCTCGAGCACGCAGAACTCTACACTTCTGGGCCGACGGGTTTTCGGTAGATGATGGTGAGCTGTACCAGTCTGACGACCCTCGCAACGCAGAAATCCTCGAGGGAATCCGTCGAGGTCGGGCACCTCTCTCTATCATGAATTTGCAGCCGGGACAAGATGTCGATGTTGAGATCCAGCAGCACAACGAGAAATACGTGCGGCCTAAGCCCAAATACAAGCCTTTCTCTGGTCGTGGACAGCGTCTAGGAAGCCCAACCCCAGGCATCGGGACTCATACCTCGGCAGCAGCAGCTACCGCTCATAGCCAGGCTACGCAGGAACCACCTAAGCCCGACGTGGATGAATCGCAACCAACCGTCACCTTGCAGATTCGCCTTGGAGATGGGACCCGTCTCACTTCCAGGTTCAATACCTCGCATACCATTGGCGATGTCTATCAATTTGTCTCGGCAGCCAGCCCCATCAGCCAGTCTCGGCCCTGGGTGCTAATGACTACATTCCCGAGCAAAGAGCTTACTGATAGGGACATTGCACTAGGCGACTTGTCTGAATTCAAGCGAGGTGGGGTTGTCGTACAAAAGTGGCAGTAGAGGAAGATTTCTACTTTTCCAAAAATCGTGATCTAGTCAGCATAAAAGAGGTTGTCTGATGGACTATTGATAAAGACGGTCAGCAAGGCCTAATACATTTAATGTGTGATAAATTAGAGCTGAACTCTCAATAACTCCACCTCGTTCCTTCAACGTAGTAGAAAATGGTGGATTAGAGACATTGATTGATAAGCGACATCGGAGAGCTCCACTCGAACTCCGCGGAGTGACGCAGAAACTCGCATTTGCCATCGACCAGCATCAATCCAGCTCACATATTATTACCACAAAGACGACCCAGGAGCAAATATCCGCTGAGATGCCTCTAGACGGAGTCAAGAATATAGTCCTGGTAAGTGAAATGTGTCGCCAATATGGGAGGACGCTATTTTCTTTTTATAAAAAATGGGCCCCTCGTCTTATCGATAACGAAAGGCTCAAAATACTACGTTCTTGTTTGATCCCAAATTCGAAAGACTCGACACTCATTCATTCTCTACTCTCAATATCCAGGTCCTATCAGGCAAAGGAGGCGTCGGCAAGTCCTCAGTCACACTACAACTCGCCCTCGCGCTCTCCCTCCGAGGAAAATCAGTCGGAATCCTCGACATCGATCTCACAGGCCCCTCCATCCCCCGATTAGTAGGCCAGGAAGATGCAAAGATCACCCAAACCCCCAGCGGCTGGTTACCGGTAGCCGTGCACCCTGAATCCCCCTCAACGGGACGAGGCTCCCTACGCTGCATGTCTCTGGGTTTCCTTTTGCGAGATCGCGGCGACGCCGTCATCTGGCGAGGACCCAAGAAAACAGCCATGATCAAGCAATTCCTGACGGATGTGTTTTGGGGCGAAACGGATTATCTCCTAATTGATACGCCTCCGGGAACGAGCGATGAACATATCGCCCTCGCGGAACAGCTGTTGACGCTCTCCTCGACCGAGCCGGATGGTGTGGTCGATTTGCCCCGTCTCGCGGGTGCGGTTCTCGTCACGACTCCTCAGGCCATCGCCACATCGGACGTGCGCAAGGAGATCAACTTCTGTGCTAAGACTCGCATACCTCCATTGGGCGTTATTGAAAATATGTCTGGTTATGCTTGTCCGTGTTGTGGGGAGGTGAGTAATCTGTTCTCCAGTGGTGGGGGACAGGTGATGGCGCAGGAAATGGGAGTTGCTTTTCTAGGGAGTGTTCCTGTCGATGTTAAGTTTGGGGAATTGGTGGAGGGTCGGAAGATTCCTGGTGATGACAATGGCAGTGATAGTGATGAAGATATGGAAGGGAAGGCTCCTGAAGAGGATGCTGGCGTTGTCGATGAGAGGCCCCTTGCTGAGAGGTACAAGGAGTGTCCATCGTTTGATAGATTCGAGGGTTTTGCGAGAACATTAATATCTGGGATTGAGGGGAGAGCAGTCGCAGACTCATAGCTGATTGCTTTGCTTCTTATGATATCCACGACTTTTCTTTCTTTGTTCGTCCTGTCTTCCTCGCTCTCAGCTTCTGTATTTCTATCATAAAAGGTAATCTAAGGTAATCCGCAAACACACCTAACTTGGAAGAATCCCTAGAAAACTTCGACATAGAGTTCAATTTTTGCATTAAATAAGGGTTTAAAGTATTGAGCGGGATAATTAAAAAGGTCCTTTCAATAAGACATATTTCATTTCCTTCGATATTCTCATAGCAAACACATTTCACGCATGATGGCAGCTAGATGAGACCAAGTTGAACCAGCCACTTCATTGTATATAATAATAAAGAAAAAACTATGTTCATGTTCATGAGTCGTGAGTCGTTAGGTCATCACCAACATGCCGCCTGAGAAAAAACAAGGGGAATCGAAGCCGGCCATTAACATTAAATAGATAGGGAAAAGTTGAAAAATACAATTGAAAGAAAAAGAAATATTCCCTCTGATGCGCAGCCTTCCTGCTAACAAACGCGAAGAACTCTCAAGTTGCTCGAATTGCGACAGGTGGATCACCATTTTGCCGTTCGAGCATTGCACGCAGCCGTGTCTCTGCTGATTGTAGGGATTGGCATGATTCTGGGATATTGGATCGCGTAGTACCCCTGAACCAACTGAGGAGCGTTTGCAGTTCTGCCAGTACGGGCACGATGTGAGCTTGAGCGGACTGCGAGTCGTGGTCCCCGGAAGCATCAGAGCTGATTTCCGAGTGTCTATCATCATCGACCAGCAACGCAGGATAATCTGCCTTGGCATCCAAATGTACCTCAGACACGACAGCTGGTGCGATCTTGTTGCGCTTCATATCGTCTACGGTAGGCTCGACTGATCTTCCCAACAACGCCCGGCCGGACGGCTTCGGTGATGATGTAAACTCTCTAGTCGCTGAGAGAGATGGGAGTTGAGGATCCGGGTCGAATGCAGGATAAGAGACCATGGCTGACCCCGGGGTATCAGGTTCAACTTGGGCAGACGACCCCTCACCCATAGAGAAGTAGCCTGTCGGTCGTGATGCTGCATTATGGGCTGCGGCGGCTTGCCGGACGCCCTCCCTGTAGCCGGAGTACGAGAGTTGTTGCCGATCTCTCCAGTCCGTATTGCTGTTCTCATCCTCAAGACTGGCCTCATTGTCGGCAGGTTGTCGCTCATGGTCTGGGCTAGCTTCTTCGACGGTTACCAAACCGCCGGGAGGAGCACGGATTTCACCTAACGGTGCGATGTGGCTTCCATACTCGTTGGCAAGGCTAAGTTTGCTGCGTCCACATATCTCCGCGATTGAATCCAAAGTGTTCCGGATATCAGGTCCAATTGCTTCTAGGATACTTTCAATACTAAATTCATTCTCTGAAGGAAGCGCTGGCCCTCGCGGTTTTGTTTCAGAGTTAACAGTAAAAGAGAATCGTTTCCGCGAAGGCATTTTGGTGTCCGTTGCCGTGGTATGAGTATTACCAGAATAAGACCTAACCAGAACAGGCTGCGATATCGAGGTTGACGACCGGCTGAAGGACGGTGAGGCCTGCCTGTATTTTTGAAACCAGGGCTTGGAATTTCCCTTCAGTCCTTGAGAAGCTGGAGCGCGGTATGTCCGGGCAGGCTCATCCAGGGTAGACTCGTACTGACGGGAGCTTTCTTGAACGGGGTTTTCGATCAAGGGAAAAGATATGTAAGAAGAATGCTGTGGCCATCCCTGATGAGAGAAGGAAGAATATCCTCGACGCCCATCAGGATTGGTTGCGAGCCTGTCTGTTCTGAGATCCATTTCCTCGACCAAGCACGGGCAATAATATGCATCCGCAGGACGGTAGATGCAGCAAAACCCACGATTTTATGCAAGTTGATGCACGATAGAAGGGAGGAGAGACAACGCTCACACTAGGGAAAAGAGGCAATACAAGCAAGCAATTCGAGGCCTTTTCTGTTCAGGTGCATTAGGCAGAGAGCCGGGTACATATGCCGGTCAGCGGCGAGAGGGAAGTAGACTGCATCGTCTCACGAGAAACAATGCAGGACGGAAAGGGTAAGACGAGCATTCCCTGCACTCCTCACGGACAGTCGAGTCTTTTAGAGCGCGGCCGCGACAGTTGTTGGGCTTGGGATGCAGCAGGGAAGATGCGTTGGCAGCTTTCTAGCGGTGGACGAAACGGCGACGGAGGGGCCAGACAACAGACCGATCAGCGCCTCGGCCGCAACTGTCCGTCCAGCAACATCCCTGGAGTCGGGTCGTCATCGGTTCATGCATGGCAGTCGTGTTTAATATCCTTCTATTTGTCGGCTCCAGCGGGAAAGGACACGACAGCGAACTCTAGCCATGGACAGATTCCAGGTATGGGCGATGTTCCGCTCCTCGTTCCCACGGAGACGCTGACCGATTGTTCATAGTTTGGCGACTCGGACGAGTCATCCGACTTCGACAATGACACCTCCGGCCTTCCCTTCCCAGAGCCTCTGTCACGCTCCGCTTTTCTGGCGCCCGATTTCGACCCAGCCGCCTTCCTGTCTTCGCTGAGAAACAGACACCAGAGCCTCGAGGACCTGCGCCAGGAGTTGCGCGATTTGGACCAGTCGCTGAGCAGAGAGTTGCTAGATCTGGTCAATGAAAACTATGGAGACTTCCTGTCACTTGGAAGTGCCCTTCGAGGCGGCGATGAGAAAGTAGAGGAAGTACGGGTTGGCCTGCTGTCCTTCAAAAGGGATGTTCAGGCGATGCGAGACAAGTTGGAAGCGAGGCGGACAGAGGTTGAGCAATTGCTAAAGGAGAAAAGGCGCCTGAGAGAGAATGCAAACCTTGGCAAATTACTGCTAGACTTTGCAGATCGCATTGAGGAGCTCGAGCTACGATTGATGATCAGAGATGCACGGAATCTCCAAGACACCACAGATGAATTCGATACGGAATCAGATCTATCTGGCAGTGAAAGCGATGGGAGCGACGACGGAGGCTTTCCAGACGGTTCAGCTACTGCACCGGTGGTGTCTCTGAAGAAACTTGAGCATCATATCCAGAAATACGTCTACCTTACCACCCTGTCGGCACGGATAGGCAATGACCATCCGTTCCTGCTTAGCCAGAAACGTCGCATGGCCAAGATCAGGTCGACGTTGGCCTTGGACCTTAAAGCAGCACTGAAGCAAACAAAGAATGCCGGGAAGAAGCGGGACGCAAAGGAACTAACAGTATTGAGCCTTTACAATCTTATAGGGGAGGATGTCAATTCAGTGTCTGGACTGAAAAATCCGAGAATATGAATTATCCCAATGTCTATATCCGGTTTCGCATAATATGGCGCCTGGTGTCTCGGGGGATTCTTATGTTATATTTTCCGCCAAAAAGAAGTAATAAGTTGATATCATAATACACCATGTCCTTCCTAATAATAGCATGATCTGTACAAGAGAGGCACTGGAAATCAAAACAAGCTAGTTTACAGACCGGCTAACGCCGTTGTATCAGGGGAACTGTCAGACTTGAAGTCTCCGTTCAAACTCAAGCCAGGGCCATTTGTCGAGCTCAGAACCTAATGGGCGTCAGTCATGTTCAACCAGAGATGCCCGGGCAGTCCATGCCTACATACCACTTCATATATTTCCTTGTTGATGCGTTCACTGAGAGATGATGCATCTTTCTTGACCTGGTCGATGGTCGCGCGCAGGTTATCTCGCAGCTGCTCTGGAGAGAATGCTAGTTGCCCGATAGGAAGCCTGATCACAGCATCCCTCTCTCTGTAAATGGTACCTCCACGCAGCATCTCAACTCGTGCGGCAACATCTTCCACAACAGTGCCTGTCTTCACACTGGGCATCAAGCCTCTAGGACCGAGAATCCTACCCAACCCAGCTTTGTTCAGGGCCTCGAGACTGTCTGGATGGCAAATAAGGCGATCAAACTCTATCTGGCCCTTCTTCACGGAATCGAAAACCTCCTGCTCTCCTACTAATACGGCTCCGGCTTCACGGGCCTCTTTCTCATGTTTCGACCCCGGGGGGCACACGACGCAGATTCGCGATTCTGTCTGTACTGGATGAGGGAATTTGACCATGTTGCGAATAACGGGTCCGTCCCTTTTGGTTTTTAGACGAATATGGATCTCGTATTTGGAAATGGTAGGCTCACGACCGACTTCGAATGCGCGGATATATCTAACAGGAAAGCGTTCGAATTAAGCCTGACAGCCACATAGAAAAAAAAAAAAGCAAATAGTGTATATACCTCATTGCATCGCATAGAGTAAACTGCTCCATGTCCTTCAAGTCCTTCTGCGCGTATTCCCGTGCTCCCTTTTTGTCCTTCTTGGCTGCTTTACCCTTCTTTTTAGCCTGGGGATTGCTTTTGGCTCCTCGAACTTGCTGGAGCGAAAGAAAGGGAGCAATGGGCTTCCCACGAAGAGGCGACCGACATGATGACAATGCCGTTCTCGCCGCGGACGGCAGTAGCGAGCTGTAAGAGGACATGTTGCTAAGTCCGATGCAATTGGGGCCTGTGTACCTCGTCTGCCGGCTTTGGGAGATGTTTTCTGCCCGGCAGCTTCGCTCCGCGGAATAACGTTGCGCCGGAAGACTTTCTGTGAGTCAAAAGGACGCCCCTCCGAAAGTCTCCCGACACTCTTCGCTTTATCCAAGCCTGTTCAACAAGTTGTGCAAGGTTTGCTCGACTCGACTCAATATGTCAAAGTACCAGCTCTCTGTGGCCACCAGGGCCAACCAAGCAGCATTGCTTCCGGTGTTGCTTGTCGCAACGTCTGTCAACAATTCGAGCCCGATGATCTCCATCTCATACGAAGATACTGCCATCCTCCACGATGGGGATAAGGCAATCGTCCAGCTCAAAGACAGCAACGGAACCTCTGTCTTTGGAACCGGGGAGTCGCTTAAGAAATTGCTCTCTGATTTTGCGTTCCTACACGCCAAAGACGAGAAGCTGGTAATGCTGTCTCTGCTTGGTGTTATACGATTGAATCACTCGACTAATTTTCTCCCAGGAAAGCCAATGGCTTTCCCAGCTAGATTCCTTTACTACCCTTGACTTCAAGGCCCTCGACCCCCAACTGCAGAAGCTTGATCGCCACCTCTTGCTTCGGTCCTTTGTTGTTGGATACTCGCTCTCCGCTGTCGACATTGCTCTTTGGGGTGCCATTCGGGGCAACCGTGTGGCCGTGTCTGCTGTTAAGAAAGGCTCACTTGTCAACTTAACCCGTTGGTATAACTTTGTTGAAGGTCTTTGCCCATGGGTAGTTCCGGTGCAAGAAGCTCTGAACGCTTCGGTCAAGGCAAAGATGGCAGCCATGTCGAAGCAGGGTGCAAGCTACAATATCGGTCTTGAGAATACTGAGAATGGCGTTGTGACCAGATTCCCGCCTGAGCCATCGTAAGTTTATCCTGTCTAATCTAGCTATCTCGAGTTTGAGGCTCATATTTGCATAGTGGCTACCTCCACATTGGACATGCCAAGGCTGCTCTTCTTAACGACTATTTCGCCCATGAGAAGTATAAAGGTACCTTGATCGTTCGCTTTGACGATACCAACCCTTCCAATGAAAAGGAGGAATTCCAGGATGCCATCATTGAGGATCTTGCACTTATGGGCATTAAGCCTGACAAGTCGACTTTCACCAGTGACTACTTTGAAGAGCTCTATCAATACTGCATTCGGATGATCAAGGATGGAAATGCATATGCTGATGATACAGACAAGGAGACTATGGCTGAGCAGAGAATGAATGGAGAGCCAAGCAAACGACGTGATGCTTCCATTGAGGAGAGCCTTGCTCGGTTTGAGGAAATGAAGAATGGCACTGGCCCCCAGTGGTGTATCCGTGCCAAGATCTCTGTTGATAACCCCAACAAAGCTATGCGTGATCCGGTCATCTACCGCTGCAACACTGCCCCCCATCACCGCACTGGCACGAAGTGGAATATCTACCCTACCTATGACTTCGCCTGCCCAATTGTCGACTCCATGGAGGGAGTTACTCATGCCCTCAGAACAATTGAATACCGGGACCGCAATCCTCAGTATCAATGGATGTTAGATGCGCTCAAGCTCCGCCCAGTCCAGGTTTGGGATTTCGCTCGGATGAACTTTATCCGGACATTGCTCTCTAAAAGAAAGCTTACAAGGTGTGTGAATCAAGGTGTTGTCTGGGGATGGGATGACCCTCGATTCCCTACCATCAGGGGCATCCGTAGACGTGGAATGACCATTCCTGCCCTACGGGAGTTCATCCTCAAGCAAGGCCCAAGTAAGAATGTTACAAACCTTGACTGGACTCTGTTTTGGGCAACCAACAAGAAATATATCGACCCTGTCGCACCACGTCACACAGCCATCCTCAAGGATAACATTGTCAAGGCCACTATCAAGGGAGCTCCTGCTGCTCATACTGAGGAAAAACCAAAGCATGTCAAGAACCCTGCAGTTGGTGTGAAGAAGGTTGCATATAGCCCGTCAATTGTGATTGAGCAGGAAGACGCCAAGAGCTTTAAGCAGGATGAAGAAATTACACTCATGAGTTGGGGCAACGCAATCGTCCGGAAGATTGAGAAGGATTCAACTGGAATCGTCAAGGATATAGAATTCGAGCTCCATCTGGAAGGTGATTTCAAGAAGACTGAGAAGAAGATTACTTGGCTATCTACTGAGGGCCAGGAGCTGATCCCAGTTGAGCTGGTGGACTTTGACTATCTTCTCAACAAGGACAGTCTGCAGGAGGATGACAAGTTGGAGGATGTTCTGAATAAGAAGACTGAATTCAGGGACACCGCCGTGGCCGATTGCAATGTGGCGGAACTGAAGGCAGGGGATATCATTCAGTTCGAGCGCAAGGGCTTCTTCCGAGTCGACCAGCCGTATGCAGACGGGAAGCCTGCTGTCCTGTTTAACATTCCTACTGGCAAGACCGGGAAATAAGTTAGGAGATGATCCATGACGAGTGATGGATACCTTCAATAAGTCTGCCCCTTGTACGTCGATATGAGTAGAATAAAAACAAAAATGGACTCTGTTTGATGACGGTTTATACGAAAAGCCAGCATAGTAGCGGAAATCCCGGGAGAACAAAAGGCAGCGGAAGTAACGGCCAAGAGACCCCTGGAAGGTTCAAACTCAATTGATGAAACTTAAGACACGAACCCCTGCACGGATGGGAATATAATAGGGATCAGTGGCCAGTGTCTTTTGAGCAAGACTTGACAAAAGTTAACAGGCTCATCACCATGATTCGGTTGGGCGTCATTGATGTCTTTGACGATTTCATCCCGGACAGGGCCGACATTTGAATATTGAACCATGGCAAACTACTCTGGACTCAGTTTCCCAGGCTCACGCCGGTTACTTTGGCTACTGAGAACTCAATGAAGAGGCGGACGAAGCAGGCCTATCACTACATTTGGCCTGGCATCTTGGGCAAGGCACTAAGGTTCGCCCGGCGATACTTATACGTCAAGATACGTCAAGAAACCTCCAATGGCTTAATTGGTGTCTGTGAACCTGGGTCGACGTTGCTGTCTGGAGGCAATAAGGGCAGCGTATCCAGACGTTTGCCCAATGCCCAACCGTCTGGAGATGCATTATACCGTCAATATCACCCTGAGGGGCCGAGAGCTTCCTATTTTCACGTCAGCATGACTGTGGAGCGCATATTCCCTTGTCCATCTGGTGAAAAGGGGATCACTCCTTCTCGATAATGGGATTCCTGCATATTCCTTGGGAGGATGAACTTTCTCAGTGCTGCCTTATATCCATCTTATGCTGCCGGGAGTTCCATTCTACTCACACAACATCCTAATCCCTAATATTCGCAACAGGTGCCTGCTTGAATAGAAAGAGGGCTTCAGAGCTCACCGGGCTCGTTACTTCGAACCCTCAGCTGTCTCTTCCCAAGCCATCTGAGAAAAGATGGCCGATCAAAGCAGTGCTGACGGCGGCGATACTGAAGCCCAGAGACGCGCGTCGGAAAGACGTGTTTCTCATGCCCATACTTCTCATCCGGAAGATTGGAGCAATCTAGATGAGTATGGGAGACTTGTCAGGTATGCCTCAACATACCGGGAGCCCGGTATGAGAATGGAGGAGCAGGAGGAGATAGAGGAGAGACGAGTCTGGTATGCTCCTTGGAAGAAGACAAGAGTCCGGGTTAAGAAAACGGATGTTGAACAAACGCAATTCCCCGCGGACTGGCTCATTACAGACATCCATCATGGTCTGTCTAGCACTGAGGTTCACAACAGACGTGCGCGGGTGGGCTGGAATGAACTTGTGGCTGAAAAGGAGAATCCGTTTGCCAAATTCCTATCCTACTTTCAAGGACCGATTCTATATGGTAAGGGATTCTTGCGCCACGGACCATCTAGAGAAGCTGCTCTCTAACTCTAACATACTACAGTCATGGAGTTGGCCGTTCTTCTTGCAGCTGGTCTTGACGACTGGATTGATTTCGGTGTCATCATTGGTATTTTGTGTCTCAACGCTTGTGTCGGCTGGTATCAGGAGAAGCAGGCTGCCGATGTCGTTGCTAGTCTCAAGGGAGACATCGCAATGAGGGCTATTGTTGTTCGTGACGGGCAGGAACAAGAGATTTTGGCTCGAGAGCTTGTGCCTGGTGACGTAGTACGTTGAAACCTCCCATCTGAAAGGAAATTGAAACAATTTTCTAAACGAAATGAACAGATTATTGTCAAGGAAGGTATTGTTATTCCAGGCGATGCGAAGCTTATCTGTGACTACAATGACCCGCATGGATGGGAAGAATTCCAGCGAATGCAAGAGTCTGGCGATCTCGAAAGCTATAGCGAAGAGTCCGAAAGCGACAAAGAAGGGAAGGATGAGGGAGAAAAGAGTCGCAAACGAGGCTTTCCCCTTGTGGCTTGTGATCATTCGGCCATCACTGGAGAATCCCTGGCAGTGGATCGCTATATGGGAGAAATGGTTTACTATACCACGGGCTGCAAGCGAGGCAAGGCCTATGCAGTCGTCCAGACGTCAGCAAAGACTTCTTTTGTCGGCCGCACTGCTTCCATGGTGCAAGCGGCCCAGGGTGCTGGTCACTTTGAAATCGTCATGGACAACATTGGTACAATTCTTCTTATTCTTGTCATCGCATGGATCTTGGCTGCATGGATTGGCGGTTTCTACCGACACATCCCTATTGCCAGTCCTGGTCAGCAGACGCTCCTTCATTATACTCTCGAGTTGCTGATAATTGGGGTTCCCGTTGGTCTCCCCGTTGTCACAACCACCACGATGGCAGTTGGAGCTGCCTATCTCGCTAAGAAAAAAGCGATTGTTCAAAAGCTTACTGCAATCGAGTCATTGGCTGTATGCGATAATATGCCTTCCCTTGCTTATATGAGAAATACTGATGAGTTTTCGACAGGGCGTAGATATTCTGTGCTCTGACAAAACTGGAACGCTTACTGCGAATAAACTGAGCATTCGGAACCCATATGTCGCCGAAGGCGTTGATGTCAACTGGATGTTTGCGGTGGCTGTCCTGGCATCCTCCCATAACACTGAATCGCTTGATCCAATTGACAAAGTCACTATCCTCTCACTCAGGCAGTACCCAAGGGCGAGAGAGATTCTCCGGAAGGGTTGGAAAACTGAATCCTTCACGCCATTTGACCCGGTTTCCAAGCGTATTGTGACCGTTGCAAGCTGTGATGGAGTCAAATATACGTGCACGAAAGGCGCCCCGAAGGCAGTGCTGGCATTAACAAAATGTTCCAAGAAAACTGCGGATTTATATAAGAATCAAGCCCAGGACTTTGCCCATCGTGGATTCCGCTCCTTGGGCGTGGCAGTTCAGAAAGAAGGCGAGGAATGGACGCTTTTGGGCATGCTACCAATGTTTGATCCACCCCGAGAAGACACTGCGCAGACAATTAAAGAAGCCCAGAATCTTGGCATCAGTGTCAAAATGCTTACTGGAGACGCCCTTGCTATCGCGAAGGAGACCTGCAAGATGCTTGCTCTGGGAACGAAGGTGTATAATTCTGATAAGCTCATTCATGGAGGTCTCAGTGGTGCTATGGCGCTTGACTTAGTTGAAAAGGCAGATGGGTTTGCCGAAGTGTTTCCAGAACATAAATATCAAGTTGTCGGGATGTTGCAAGACCGAGGCCATTTGACAGCCATGACTGGAGATGGCGTTAACGACGCACCATCATTGAAAAAGGCAGACTGTGGCATTGCTGTTGAGGGGGCATCAGAAGCAGCGCAGTCTGCTTCTGATATTGTTTTCTTGGAACCAGGATTGTCAACGATCATCGACTCTATCAAAGTTGCTCGTCAGATATTCCACCGCATGAAGGCGTATATTCAATACCGGATTGCTCTCTGCTTGCACCTAGAAATCTACCTAGTATCAACTATGATCATTCTGAATGAAAGCATCCGCGTTGAATTGATTGTCTTTCTGGCGCTTTTTGCCGATCTTGCGACTGTTGCAGTGGCATACGACCATGCATCTTTCGAACTGCGCCCGGTGGAATGGCAGCTACCTAAAATCTGGGTTATTTCGGTCCTTCTTGGACTGTTACTTGCACTGGGGACATGGACGATCCGAGGAACCATGTTCCTGCCATCTGGAGGCATTATCCAGAATTGGGGTTCAATCCAGGAAGTCCTGTTCCTCGAAGTTGCCCTCACTGAGAACTGGCTTATCTTCGTGACAAGAGGCATGGAAACCTGGCCATCCGTCCACCTGGTCACTGCCATTCTCGGCGTGGACGTCTTGGCCACCTGCTTCTGTCTTTTCGGCTGGTTCACTAATCAGGACATGCCTACCAAGCCCTCTGATAAATACGTCGAGACCCATAACGGGTTCACGGATATTGTCACTGTCGTCCGCATATGGGGTTATTCTCTCGGCGTGGAGGTCGTGATCGCCCTGGTGTACTTTGTCCTGAACAGATTCAAATGGCTCGACGAGCTTGGTCGGACCAAGAGGAAGAAGGGCGATATTCAGATCGAGAACGTCCTTAGCCACCTCTCACGCTTGAACATTGAATATGAGAGACCCGGAGAGCCGAAGGGACGGTTCTTCCTCAGTGCAACGAAGGAGGAAGAAGAGGCCGAATGAAAGCAGAATAGATCTGATCTATGAACCTGTCGCGTTCGTTCTTTCTTGTGTCATTGATTTGTATACGTGCTGATTGTTTCAAGTTATTTTTTCTTTTCTTCTTTTTCTTTTTTTGTTTTTTTAACTGCCGATTGGTTTTATTGATACTCATAATATGCAAACTGAAAGCTTGCGAGGGATTCTGGGTGGCAGGAGGACAGATACTTTCTTATTACTCACTACCTTTGTTCTAATTCTTAAGGTTCTAATACTAGTAATATTCGATAGATAATGAAGATACCTCTCCAGATACAGATCCTTCCGAACTTGATAGTGTAACTTGTATGTGCAAGGATGCTCTCTAAAGGGTTTGTAGATCTACGGCTAGACATTTAAATATAACACTGGGTCCTTATTATGCTTGACTTGATTAACATACTAGACACTCTTTAGATGTCATGACATACATCTTGGTCAATGAATCCAATCCACTTGCTTAAGCACATGCAGGTTGTATGAAATGAAAGGACAAAAAATATATTAATGGCGCACGATCTACTCGACATTTTGTGCCGGGCTTTAAACCTGTCCAAGAGACGACTTCAGCTGCTGTCTAGGTCAGGGATGGAACTCTCACGATATCCAGCAGAACTGTCTGACAGTTTTGTCGCCAATCCATGCCAACCTGACCAAGGTGAATTGAAGAGCTGGCTGCTGAGATAAATCCTTCTCACTGTAGCTTTCCACTTCTACAAACATATTCAGACTGTGTGAGGTCACCAGTCCCGAGGGGAGGCATCTTATGTCTAGTACATGAGCATGTCCTCTTCTCAAGGACTTGGATTACCTCCATAGAGGATGTGTTCCTCCCATTACACTGAAGTCTTGCAACGACAGTTGCGAAGAGTCCGCAATTATGCGTAAACGTGGCATCTTACGTACGGCGTGCCCTGATGCCTTGTATAGCTTATCAAGTTCGTGACTCTGGATAAGGCCACATTTACCATAGTGGTCACTGGAATATTCTCATCCTTCAGTGGAGTTTTCTTCTAGGGTGTCCTCGGTACTCCGTGGGGTCAATGTTGAGGATCCATTTTCCTAGTTCATGTTAAGGGTTAGATTGAGAAACAGGTGACTAGATTAAGATAGTTAACACCATCAACTGTATAGAGGGTGGCCTCTATAATATTCATTGATTTTGCAGATTCATTCAGTGTAAAGTTGTCTTGTCAACATCCCCCTCTGCCTCTGGCCAGAAGAATGCACTGTTGACCCAGATGCCCTCAAGATACACTTCTTGAAGGCGCATGCTGAAGGTGTGAAAGGTAATGGAAATCCATCCAGTCCATTAGGTGAGAGGTAGTTAGCTGTATTATAACCTAGGTTAAGAGACAGTTCCTGATGATGTGCCGGAGGCACTCCCCTATCTTCTATTTTCCTGCTTTAGATACTGCTGGGCTCCGCCATACTTATGTATGGTGGAGCCCGTGGCCGAAGGCGTACTTAAGGCGAGCCTCTTCCCTAGATAGTTTCGAATTGAGCATACTTTTGGTTTCTAAGTTGCTTCACTAATATAGTTTTCGTCGTCATCGTCGTATAGAACGGAGCGAGGCTCCATCGTTGTTGTGTTTCTTCTTTCGTTATATCGTTTCCTTACTAGATCGTTCAGTGTGTCCATCCCAGAGATCCCTCGATCAGAACCCGGTTCCTGTCGCAGGGAACAACGCATGCATGCCCCCCTTCATAATGACATGCAATTGGGCACCAGTGCAAGACGAACAGTAACCTCTGAAATATGACATTAGCACACTGAAATGACTAGCAGGGGATATAAATAATGAATAGAGGCTATCTTTTGTCTGTCTACACAGAACCTGTAGAAAATCTTGTGGGATATACCTAGATTCTCAAGACAGCCATACCTGACATGTGGGAAGCCGTTAAGCATATGAAAGAAAGTTGACAGTTGCATTGTGGTATAGTCAGAGTGAAGATGCGAGAGCCGCTTATGTAGCGACAAGTGTAATAGTGTATTCTCCATGCCTTGGGTAACGCGCATGTGCAGATTTTATATCCACGATACTCACATTTATTCTTGCTTGTCTCTCATAGTAGTATTTAGTGGATCGCTTTTTAAGGTATAACGCTAATACAGCCGGATGACGCTCTATCAGCCAAACAGAAACAGGCAACCAAAAATCATCTTTCAGTCTCGGACTATGCATGTTTTTGCCATATCAATGCTAAATAAGAAGACTCCCTGTGTCCCCGGAACTTGTTACATGATCATACAATTCCCTCCCCAGACGAGGCCCTTGCGGAATTCCGGACGATAGAACGACCTAATTGTAGATTCCCACCACTCTCTGAAGAGCCTCATCATTACCCATCGCCGTATCGATAACCCCTGCGACCTTGAGAACATTAACAACACCCTCGATTTCCTTCGGGTCTGCACCCCGTGTGGCCTTAACGAATTTCACACTTTTCAGCCATTCCTTCGCGTCATCTTCGACATACGTGCACCCAAGTTCGCCCGTTCCCAAGAGCTTCACGACCTGGGCAGTGTCGGCTTCGAATTCCCTGATCCCCTGGTCCAGCGCCTGGAAGAGCTGTTGTAGCGTCTCATCCTTTTTGGGATCTGGAAAAGTTGAAGTAGACGCGACAATCATCCACGACGGCCAGGGTGTGAAGATCTCCCCGATCTTTTTGAGTGGGGGAGACCTCTGCTCAGGTGTTGGTGCAAAGTAAGGCTTCGTGGTGAAGTGCTCCCACATGAAGAATTCTGCTTGGGGTTTCGGTTCTTGTTCTGGGTGAGCCTCGTTATAGCCTGTTACGCCGTTGCGGAGGGCCTGGAATGGGCCCAGAGGAACAGGATGAAGGGAGTCCGGCTGCCATGATTGCTGTTGGGCGAGAACAAAGGACATGATATGGGAGCCACTTTTTCGATGGTCACAGTCAGCCAGACGGTTTAGAGAGAGAGAGAAAATATCCCGACATCTTACCTCCCAAGCCGACTGATTCCAACCCGCTTATCCTTGAGATCCTCCACCTTGGTGATATCATCCCGGTTCCGCCCCGTTACGATTGCCCATCGCAGTGGCGTCTCAACCCAGCGTCCAACAAGCTTGTATCCGCCAGCTTGCTTCCCACCGCTCGTCTGCTGCTTGCTAGTTAGACCTGCGACCCAACCCTCTGTTAACCCAATTCCAATATCAATTTCCTTCTCGCGGAGGGAGGTGATCATGTGGCCCGTTCCAGATGGGAAGGGGGTCAATGAGATCTGGAAAGGCAGGGATGAGGCAGCGGAGCGTAAAACTAGGTGGAGAGGCGTGAGATAGTGTTCTATATGAATGTCAGTATTTGTAGATATATAGCACATGAATTCCAGCTTCTTCTCTGTTTCTTGTCTTTTCAAAGGGCACATTGGATCGAGTCTCCAACAAAAAGGAAGGGCATGGAGTTGTCGTGTTTACAGTTCGCATTCTCGGAACAGTTCACGTACCTGGGACATAGCCAATTCGGATTGTTGGTTTTCCTGAAGACATCGTGAATACCGTTTCCTTTTAGCAATCAAATAGGAACTATTTTTTCCAGGAAATTCGTCAAGAGAGATGAACGAAATGAGGTGGGGGAGTTGCGGGGTATCTACAGTGAGGTGTCATAAAGATATGCCCCTCTTTATTAGCACCCGGCCACCGCCTACTAAAAATAAATTATATTGCCGGTCAAATGTCACCACCTCGCGGATTCTCTAATATCTTTGAATTCGTAGTCAAATCACTCAATGAATATAGTACCAAATTGGTTGATTTTTGGTTGAATAAGTAGCCTAATATTTAGTATACCATCTATATGCTTCAATTACTGCCTTAACACAATGTGGCATTGTATTAGACAGCTTAATTAGGACATGCTCTTCAATAGCATGCCATGCCTCTTCTACAGCTTCAACCAAATACTCACAAGTGTCCTCAGTATCCTTTGCATGCTCTGCTCAAGTTCAAGATGCAGTTTATGTATTTGCTGTTTCATTAGGCCCCAGAGATTCTCAATTGGATTCAAATCAGGTGCATAAAGAGGCCAAACCGTAATTTCAACACCTAATTCAGCGAAAACATCTTCATAATATAAGCTCGATGTGGTCCTGCTCCATCATGCATAGAGATATCACCAGGTTGCAGAAGATCAGGAAGAAAAGCTCTATATAGCTCTCCAATGATCCAACCAGTGACACCACCCCATGCAGAGTCTGGATCTCCATCTACTAGAGCAAGATCCGTGTGCATACACTCTCCAAATGCTGCCCAAAACATCTGTTTGACCCCTTTCCCACAGTGATATGTTTATACATCATATTTTTGAAGCTGCTCAGACGGACATATAAAAGACCAGGTTGGTTGGTGTCAGGGCCCTTGCCATGTAGACCAGGACAAGCACGTGAGTTTCCTTATTTGGATTAGCGTAGTGTGTGGATAGGAATACGTCGTCCAGCTTCACGTGGATCTCTTCCTTTTTCCCTCCTCTCCATGCTTGAAGTTCTCATCGATAGCTGCCTAGATAGTTGAATAGTATCCTATTCATTGTCTAGTTGAGTTCTGTGACAGTTGGATTCCAGCACCTCTCTCCACAGAGCACTCATCACTCCATTTCACACGTGCCCAATCTTGTGGTGTAAAATGCTCATATTTTTGTGCCCAATTGAGTCATTTCATGACATGAAGTTCAGAGAGTTCTGGTCACTTCCTTTGCACCCATTTTTGGGTTCCTATTTCATGCAGGAGTCATTAGATTGATTGCTTCTTTACAACCTCATCAACTGCGTCAACAAGATCTCTTATTTTGATGTGTGGGTCAGATTCAGTAAGGCTATAAATAAGATCTCGTTGCTCCTCACTAATTTTATGAGGACGGCCAGAATGAGGGCAAGCTTTTTTGACATTGCGAATAGCTTCAAGCTGAATAGTTGATTTGATCGTACTGAGTAAGATCTCTGGGTGTTTATTGTGAATTCGCTTGGCTCCCCAGCCAATTGATTTTAATTTGCATATCCATGAACACATCTGAGGTGTTAGCTCCTTAGAGCCTTTCTTCCAAGCCATTTTGAGCTTGTTTTGGGGACAAAACGTGGTTTATTTCAATATAGCAGTAGGGATTCAACACATTGATGCCGGACTACGTGAACTACGTGATGTTATTGTTTCCTAATTAGGAAGGTGATTACCGGGCGGTACTGATAAGGGGGTCATTTTTTTATGACATCCCACTGTACGGGAATATTTATCAAGATAAACTAATGTGGAAATGGCTTGTATAGTACAGGTCAATTACAAAGAGCTGGTAATATTATTGCATGAGAAGAGAATACGAAGTTTGATTGTAATCGTGCCCCCACCGCCTACCTACCCGGTTCCTACTTACCCGTGTCCCCGTGTAGGTGCGCCCAAGTTCAATGACACTTTTTGAGATCTGATATGGAAAAGGTCACGTGGTATGGCGGCTTGGCTCCCTCTCCAACCCCTGAGAATCCGAGTCCCTGATTGTATGGAGAAAAAGATAGAGAGACAAGATCTGAATGGCATCCGTTCCTTAGTAGGCTACGTACGTGTAGTCGATACAGCTTCATTCTGCCCTTCTTCCCTGAGTTACATGCATATTCCACAACAAGATTCAATGCCTAACTACACGCCAAAACCGGTGACATCTTTATAAATAAGGGGCTCTGCATGTACCTATTATAAAGCCTTCTAGAGCTTCTTTTTCAGCCTCAGTAAATGGTGGTTGGTTGGCTAGTCGCTCCTTTTCCTTCTCTAGGATCTTCCGGTCCCGCCCAACTCTTCTAGCAGTTTTATGCATTTCCTCCAAAGATCTAGCCTTAATATGATAACTGGTATCCTTGACAGATAGAACACCATCTGTCTGTATGGACCGCCTGGTTTTTTTCCTATTTAGGCGTTGGTTGGCGTTGAGCAGATCCTTGATATCTTGGTGTTGAGCAGCCAGTTCTGCCTGAATAAAGCTTCCAGTGAATATACGGTCCAGTCTGCATCGGAGATGGTCATTCATAATACCATGAACCTCCTCAGAGACATTATGTATTGCCATCTGGGTTCCAATAATCTTGTTTCGTTTACGATCCTCCATCCACAGAGGGGTGTCGCTAACGAACATACAGGCGACACCAATCTTCACCCCCCTGCTTGAAAAAAAATCTGGACTTTCACGAGAGATTTGCCGTAGGTTGAGACAGTTTTCTAACGCGATATCACGTGCTTTCTTAATGTTATCCTTGTAACTCCGGGTCCTCACTCTTGAGAGAAGCCAGTTGGTATATTCTTCTACCACATCTTCAAGGGCCCCAGGAATGTCAACGGTATCGATCTCTGTAGTCCTTAGAGGGGTTGCTTGAGTTCTGTTTGAGACAGACTCTAGGGGCTGAGATCCCTGCGAGAGCTCAGGGGTTCTCTGTCATTTCTCATTTCGCTGCTGCTCTTCTGCATACAGCTGGTTCCGGACGGTATCGGGAATATCATCATGGGTCTCGATGATACTGCATTGCTCCACATATTTGACAAGGGTCCGCATATGATGCGTCCTCAGCTTGTAGTGCTTTTTTCCCCACTGGATCCAGCCAGCAGTATTGTCCTTCGTGACGGCAAGGTGGTCCAGGACAACGCATTATCCTGTACACATCTCGCCAGATAGAAGGTTGCCCGGAACTACATTCCGCATCAATCTCGGCATCCGGTTCGGCAAGCATTGACTTAGTCACCGATCTAGTATTTCGTTTGTCTCCATTTTCAAAAGGACTTGAGTTGTCGTCATCTACTAGATAGTTAACAGAAATATCTAGTCTGAGCATCTTTCCCTTAAGAAACAAATTTCCCCACATAAGGAGTTGTTTCTCTATAACTGTCCAATCAATATCAGTACTGTCGAATTCCTGGTGAAGATCATGTTGCGAGCGAACTGATGCCACTATGGAAATGGCATCTAACCTAACTCATCGTTTGGAAAATACCTTTCGACCCCTAACCTTTTCAATCTTTTCTCTGAGAAATTGTTGCCAGAATGCGCTTGGTTTTATCACTAGGTCTGGTTCTGTGACCTTTGTCACTGCCTAGTTATTGAGAGATGACTTTCCAGTCAATCAGGTAATGAATACAGATTGGTGGTTATTCATCATATACCCTTTCCTTATCCCAAATTTCCAGTGGAATGAACCCAAGGTGATCCGTTTGGGGTTGCTGCGAGGTATTTAAATGTTTATCACATCCGAGGACTACGCTCAGATGGTGTGGGTGTTCGACCGAAATAACTGGATGGGGACATCCCAGGGAGTTCTTTCCCATGGATCAGGAAGCTGAAATTGGGAGGCATCATCTATATTGGACGGACTGTAGGTCATTGACACTAGTTGATAGCCAACAAATCATCTTGCATGGGGAAGCTGCAGCTGACAGGCAGAGTAAAAAGATATGCAGGGACATGAGTTGTTTGCTACTACAGCTGATACCGTAACTGTAAAGCACTAGTTGTCTCCTAGAGGTCAGTTTCTAACACATTGTTAGAGTGAAGAGGGACAGATGCCTGCCATGAAACCCGCTAGGCACCCGCGGTTCTAGAATCTTCCAGAAGCCTGTATCACTGATACCAGGTATTGAACTTGGTTTATTACCATTTTGTACCATATAATACGATTAATCATTCGGATTGATATTCCTCCGTTTTGGCATTCATATTTCAAAAAGAATCGAGGAGTATGATCTGTGCACCGGTTTTGCAAACAACTGTACAAGACAATTGAAATTATTTCAACTTTTCCAAAATGCCATGATAAATTTAAGATAACCGGATATCTTTCTCCTCGGCTCCCCACCTCTCACCACTCCCTCTAGGACTACTAGCAGCAGTTTTGAAGGAGCTGCTAGAGAACATCCAGAACTGTATCCCAAGGTAGCAATCGCACATGCATTGGAAGATACCACACGTCCGGAACGACCATGGGATGACCTCCGTGCTGCCAAAGAAGTAGCACATTTTCATCGCATCACCAATAAGCCAAGAGGCCAGCACGGAGAGCCTGAATCCCGCACACGAGCGCGATCGCTGGTTCGCCAGGATTTGGGGAAGAGGGAGGGTAGCTTCTACCGCTAAACCGACATAACCGAGGAAGTTGGTATAGGCTTCTGTGCGAGCGACTGGCGTGAGGTGGATGCAGAAGAGCGCTGCAACGAAATATGCCAAACACATCCAATACCTATGGTCCAGAAAAGTCTATATCAGTGGTGCCCGGGGATCCAGGAAGTAGGAGAAGAGCATACGGTTTCGCATTCCTCCATTGCCAAAACTCGTACGGTCTGGAATATTCGCCGTCGACACTGCTGAATGGAACATGCTCGACGCCATTCTTCACTCCCGGAGAGGGCCTGTTGTCCAATGCAACCTTGAGCAATAACAGCTGCACGACGATCATGACACTGGCTTGCGCAAACAGCGTGATCGAATAGTAGGCGCCAAACCAATAGAACACCCTGAACTTGTCAACAATTACCACTCGTCCACCTTAGCTCCGACGGGGCAAAATCTCACTTCAGAATCGATGCAACGAGCATGATCAAAGGGATATCCAAGGAAAAGCCCGTAGAGTTCCTTTTCCGGTGCATACTGTAGATCTGGTCCGCGTACGACGTGACAGGAGAACTGATGAGACTATTTTATAGACAATGCAATGGTCAGTGACTCGAGTGTACTGCGAGATAATACTCGGAGAACCATTATGAAGCAGAACATGGCGTACAAGAAAGGAGCTCCATAGTCAAGAACGCGAGAGAAGATCCGAATCATATTCTCTGAATCCCTTTCGATGCCAACCGTAGCCCGTCGGTATAAATCGAAGATAAAAGGCAAGCTGGCACACTTATCCCCAGTTCCAGGGGATTGCGCGGATGAGAAAATGTCGCGCGACTAACTAGTTGCTCCGTACAGCGCTGGATCTACACAATTCAGTAAGAAGGAAAACCAGCAAAACGTCGTCAACTTCCGCGGGATTAAAAGGAAAGAAGACTCAATGCTTTTCATCCAGTAGTCCAGTAGTAACGAAGGGAGGAGATCAAACCCAAGAAAAATGAATAAGGGGAAAGTAGGGATACGGTTCCTTTCCACAGCGCTTAGATAATCAGGCTTATGGATGCGAAATCTGCGATGATCGACAGTTGATGGCTATGATGTGCACTGCAGCCTTGACTCCCGAGAGAGACGGTTTCTAAAAATAATAAGATCCCATTGCTACTTGTTTGGAGACGACGTACAGAGTGCCTAGGCACACTGGACAGGGTACTATGCAGAGCTGCCTTGATGGACCCAAAGCTTGTACTCTGCCAATGCTTGGCAATCGACTGAGAGACACATCCCTGGAACTTATTACAAGAACTCTCTTTTTTATCACACATTAGAAGGTAAATGCTGAATTTCTGGATATAGCCCTCTGGGTGAATGATATCCACATGTTGAAACTAACCAAAAAGCAGCGTGAAGGTGGCTAACGCTATGAGAGATTCATCTCAAAACTCGATGCTCCAAGTATTCCCAATACCAACGTTGGGATCCTTCAGTATAGCAAAGGGCGCCTTTCCACGTTCCTGGGCAAAATATTCCAGCGGCGAGGTAGACGCTGCCTTCGCACCGTTTTCGATCACGGTTACGCTTGACTTCTCTTGCCATTCCTTGGGCGGATCAACGATCACCACCTTCTCAATCCTGACACCCTCCATAGACTTCAGGAACTTAGCTGTTTTGGGACCCTTGGTGCCAACATCCTCCGATGAGAGGGTGGAGTCCTGGAAGCTAAAACGACGATGAATGTAGGCTCCACTCTCATAGTCGAAAGTCTCCCCATCGTCAATATAGATGGTTCCATCTGCCTTGCCATTCTTGTCCAGGGCAACCACCAATGTATACGGATCCCACTTCATCAGTCCGCTGCTGCGGCGAGGCCGGTCCTTGCGAGGAATAATGTGGCCACCTTGCATCAGCAATGGGATCTTTTCCAGAGGTGCGGGAACCGTATGTCTTTTACCAGCTCCCTGGTAGATAGTATAATCAAAATAATCGAAGTACTTTTCGTCGTCAGCGATATAAATGTCAACAGAAGTCGCTCCTTCAGATACAACTGGTTTAGCGAGAAGGCCAGTAGATCCTAGATAGAGTTGGTCGTCAATGTCAAAGCCACTTTCGTCCGCCGGATGGACGTAGAACTGGGGTCTCACGACTGGAGTTCCATTCACGGAAGCTTCGTGAAACGCAGTGTACCAGGCAGGCAGAAGCTGATATCTCAGTCGAATAGCTTGTGCAATAATAGCCGTGTACGGATCGCCGATCAGGTAAGGCTCTCGTCGACGGGTATCAATATGGGCATGTCCGCGGAAGAAAGGATACCATATGCCTGCTTGGTACCACCGTGTCAAGAGCTCTTTGCTGGGATCGCCGAAAAAGCCACCAACGTCGGCGCCAATGAAGGGAAATCCAGAAATACCGTTATTCAAAACCATAGGGAGTGAGATGGCCAGGTATTCCCAGCTAGCTTGGTTATCTCCCGTCCACGTAGCAGACATCCGCTGAGCGCCAGCATAATATGATCGTGTAAGAACGAACGGCCGTCGGATTTCGCCTTTCTTGCGCTCAAGAAGTCCATTATATGTCGCATTGACAAGGGCGATACCGTTAATGTTATGGATATCTCGGTGCTCCCAGTTGTCATGGTGAACATTGTCCTTCGGCATCGTGGTTTCGGGGCCGTTGAAAACGGATGGCTCGTTCATGTCGTTCCAGATGAAGGTATTATGTAGCGTATCCTTAAACTTGTCATATGGGAACAAGCCAGCCCACCACTTAGCGGCCTCGGGATTCAGGCAGTCCACCCAGTGAGATGAGCCCGGCCAACACCAACCTTCATAGATGTTGTCGTCCTTGCTCTTGGTGGCATATCCATTACTTTTCAGTTCCTCGACTACCGGATAGCCGCTCTCAACTTTGATGTGTGGATCAATGATAATCACAAGCTTCCGCTCGGATTCGTCAAGCTGTTCCTGCATGCCTCTTGGATCAGGAAAAGTAAGGGGGTCCCAAGTGAAGTACTTTTTGCCGTCTGTATACTCGATATCCAGCCAAATGACATCGTAGGGGATTTTATATTTATCGAACTTCCTGTCGACCTCTCTAACGTCCTCATCGGTAACATAATTCCAGCGGCACTGGTGGTATCCAAGGGAAAATTGTTGAGGGAGCTGGCTATACCCAGTGAGTTCACCATAGGCCTTGCTAATTTCCTGTGGTGAGGGACCAAAGAAGACGAAGACATCCAGTCGGCCAGATTCGGAGAACCAATGAGTTTGAGTGGTCGTCTTCGCGCCAACGCCCAAGGCAAGCGGATTGGGATAGGATTTCGTCTTGACAATGTCTACCCAAGTCTCGGCAGAATTCAGCCAGAAGACACCCACAGTGGAATCCTTGCGATGCGCTTGCATGAAAGGAATGGAACCATACAACGTCATGGGGCTGTTGGTCTCGTACTCGAAAACATCAGCGTTGTACATACGATATGGCTCTTCATGATTTCCAGAGCCACCCCTAGATAATTCGTAAGCATTGCAATACAAAGGCAGATTATGATAAAAGATATTACCTGGTCTCCTTCAAGGACATCGAGTCTGCGTGCTCTGGAATGCCAAAAACGTGACTGTAGCCTGGGAATGAGATATCGAGCCCTACACTCTCCGGTCCTCTGGGTTTTGAGTCTGTATTTCCGCCAAAGGTCTCTTCCCACCAGGTTTCTTCTTTCTCCTTTTCGCCATCACCTTCGGGATGGTCTACTTTTGGTCGCCAGTGTTCGACATTCAGGTAACCCTTGTTGTTAAATTGGACATGGGTCTGACCATCCCTTTGAAACTGTACATCAAAAGGAGCATGGCGAATGATGGCTTGGAATTTATTTTCTGGGCCATATAGCACCTTCGTCAAACCCGACTCCGTTTCGGGATTCAAGGTCGCAGACTTGCTTAACTCCAAGCCACCAACCAAAACCCATTTCTCGACTTCATTGTATCGCTCCTTGCGCACCTTGCTACCATGCCGAAGCTCAATGTCACCCTTGAGACGTTTTTCTTCATCGACAGTAACGCGTGCGGCACCCGACTCGAGGAAAGAGATCGTGAGAGGTAACTTGACCTTCTCATTGGCGGATACCGTTTTGACAACTGTTCCTTGCAATTGGCCATCTTTGAACCGAATAGAAGCGGCGTCGAGTTCGTATGGGGAGTTCCAAGAGTAGCCTTGGGCAGATACCTCGTCCGCGTACGCCCTGTTCCGTTTACAGAAACCGGATTGGTGGCATTTCTTAAAGTTGGCGTGTTCAACAGTGACTGAGGCACCGTTAGAGCTCGGAGCCAATGGGGTATCACGAACCTCGATAGATCTCACCTGCAGGTATGATAAAGCATCCAAATAGAACCACGAAGGACAGCAAGAGTGCCCAACGTGGGGACGCAGGCCTGCTCTTGGGCATGATGGAGTAACAGTGTCAACAAGAGACACCCAACCTCTGCGGGTGCAATCGTTGCAATAATGCAACCGACCCGTGTATGCCAGAGAAGTCACCTAGACGCAAGCTGTCACTTGACAGCAATGGTTGGGAGTTGCAGTTGAGGGGGCTGTAGGCTGTCCAGACAGCACATATAAGTAGCTGCTAGAGGACACGAGCTACGTTCACCGGGGTTCGTATCGTGGTCGTTACGGGGTAGATATGATAGATAACAGAGGGTGGACCTTCCGGGAAGAATACGCCGGCTGTACAGTACGGTATTGTATGAGTACAGCCCGTCACTGGCGGCACCCCTCCTCGCCCCACTGTGAGGGAGAACCTTTTCTTCGCCAACTCAGCTTCTTTTTCTTCTTCTTGTCAGCACTCTTCATTGATCTTTTTTGGTTCAGTCAAACAGTCGTCGTCCTCCCTTACATACATCCAAAATGTCTTCCGAGCAGACGTAAGTTCATTGCGCTTCCAGTTTTTCCTATACCTCATATAAATCTTGTTCATTACCGTTTCCCCCCTCCCTTCCCTTTCATACCCCTCATTCTGGCGGTGTAGCTAATCAATTGAACCAGTTTCATTGCCATCAAGCCCGATGGTGTCCAGGTATGAAGATTTTTACTAGATGGGAATATCCTTTCGTTTGGCGCGCAGAAAAACTGACCTCCGTTACGTCCAGCGTGGACTCGTTGGCCCTATTATCAGCCGCTTCGAGCAGCGCGGGTTTGTTCTCTCCCTCTCCCGCCTATGGGATTAGACTGATTGTGCCACAGCTTCAAGCTTGCTGCCCTGAAGCTCGTCACTCCTTCTAAGGAGCACCTCGAGCAGCACTACCAGGACCTCCGCGAGAAGCCTTTCTTCCCCGGCCTTGTCAGCTGTTAGTCCTCGAGGAGAATTGGCCTGAAGTCGCCTTGGAATGCCATACTAACTTCTGGGGATAGACATGCTGAGTGGACCCATCGTCGCTATGGTCTGGGAGGGCCGTGAGGTTGTCAAGACTGGTCGCAGTTAGTGCACCCCGCGACCTTGTAACCTGCGGATGAAGATGCTAAATTTGATCACAGCTATCCTCGGTGCTACCAACCCTCTTGCCTCTGCCCCTGGCACCATCCGTGGTGACTACGCCATTGTAAGACCTCTTTACTCCCGTCAACATTTCAACACTTTCTTTACTCACAAAGTACAATAGGATGTTGGCCGTAATGTCTGCCATGGTTCCGACAGCGTTGAGAACGCCAAGAAGGAGATTGCTCTCTGGTTCAAGCCTGAGGAGGTCATCTCCTACAAGCAGAGCCAGTTCGACTGGATCTATGAGAAGCCTTAGATCCTTCACATTTCTCAATCCGACTGCGGGGCATTGCGACCTGAAATATAGGAACTGCAAATGAACGCAAAATAAAATAGAAATGAAATTACTTCCTGACGCATTCTTACGCTTATTCCGTACTATGTCGGCTTTCAGCATCTTTATGGAAGTAGTACATTACGTTTTGGCGTGTACGCTATACAATCAAGGAAACCCTAAAGCGACTATAAGATATCCAACATGTCGGCGGACGGACTTACTTCTTCCTAAGCACCTTCTTTACTCCTTTCCCGACGGTAACAAGAATAGTTCGAGCAAACCACGGTGTTGCCCACACGCTGGCAGCAACCCGAACGGGCAGTAGGGCCTTCGTAATCGCATATGCAGTCGCAAACTCCAAGACCAACCGAACACCCTTTCTTCCCCCCTGCATCCCATTATTATCAGCTGGCACCTGCCTATTTACCGCACAAGGTCCTTGTCCTTCAACCTGAGCCCCGCCAGCTACGAGAACATCCACATCCGTATCATCCACCCAGCCTTTCCTCCGTAGCCACCGCCCAAACCTCTTAACCCCTTCATCAAAGGCTCCAGTTCCTCCCGAGTAGTCACCAGACGTCAGGTCCGGCAACCAATTCCCGTAGTGGAACGCGGCCACCAGTCCGAACAGGGGTAGGATTGCTGTGATTTCATGCAGTATAAGAAACGACGTTACGTGAGTTATCGGTGCACCGAGCAGGGGAGTCGTGTAGGAACGTATGAAAGGAGGTAGGCGATCATTGAATCTGCGGAGGCGAGAGCGTGAGTCCTGGGATGGAGGGGAAGAATGCCGGGTTGTAAAGGTTCGTCGGGGAGATTTGGATTTGTTGAGATGTGGAATGATTCGCTGGGGCTTGGAGGTTGGAAGTGGGCGTTTTATGGGCATTTTCTCGTGTTGATATGGATCATTGATTCGCGACGGAATGGACGAAACAAATGAGATGAAGTGGTACTGTACTTAGTGCTAAGTACATACCTGGGCGAAGATGAAGAGCGGGCAGAAAACCTTGGAACCTTGATTGATGTCTCCGGGAAACTCGATTCAGTCAGGCGCTAACCGACTGCAGGATGGATTAGCCAGTTCCAGCTCTGTACCTAGGTAAATCTGACATTCATTCAAGTGTGCCCAGGTGCTGTACGCCGTACGGCGATTGTAATACCCAATGAAAAAGATACCATCAATAACCTGCAGTAATTGAGGCCAGATGCCGATATTTTCACTTTCATCCGGTCTTGAAGCTGCCATAATCACTTCGTTCTGCAATGGTCATGTCGACTAGTCCCGCAGCTAGTGGTTTTTTCAGCCTGCTCATTGGCCCTAATAGGACTTACAGGTGCCTTGGTAATCTAAAGATATAACCTTGGAAGCTTCGAAGGTTGCCCAGGCGGACATTTGTTTCTTGCTATTCGAAGAATGACTCTTGAGATATTAGATACTAAGATGCTTCTGCAAATTCCTGTACAGCATCGAGGAGCCGATTATGGCATGGTAAAGCCATAAACAGAATATCAAGCCTTGGTCGCAACCACAAACAGACGGGGATAGCGTAGAATGACCTTCCCATCATTCAGCACGGGGTAAGCCCTCTTCAGGCGCTCAAGATACGCTTTCAAGAATCCATCTCTCTCCTCAGCCGAAAGCGGGTCAATGAACGGTCTCAGCCCAGTCCCCTTCACCCATTCAACAATGTCGTCATGGTTATCAAGCACATGGTAGTAGGAAGTATGCCAGACGTTGACCGCCGAACAGAGGGGTTTGAGTTGATTATACAGTTCGTGCGGCGACTGAAATACCTCTCGCGCCGGGTTCAGAGAACTAAGCGTGGTCGCCCATGGCCCATCCTCCGCGGTCTGCCTCATTGCCAGATGCGATGGTTCATCAAAGTTATCGGGAACCTGAAACGCAAAGACACCTCCCGAAGGCTGCGTCTCAATTAGGTCCTTGATAACCGTAATACGCTCCTGGGACGAGAGCCAGTGGAGCGCGGCATTGGAGAAAAACAGATCCACAGGTTCATCCGGCGACGGTCTGTACGTGCGTAGATCTTCCACGGCGAATTTGATATGAGGCACTGTAAACTGTGCCTTTTTTATCATGTCCGGGGAGGAGTCTATTGCTGTTATATGGGCGTTGGGGTACCGGGCTGCCAGCACCGCGGTAGAATTTCCTGGTCCGCAGCCTAAATCGACGATCCGGTTAGGCGTCGAGGAGACCTGGGAGAGGAGGTCCTGGCTTGGCCGTGTGCGTTCAGCATTGAATTTGAGGTATTGTTCTGCGCTCCAGTCTTTGGTGGTCGCCATCTTCACTGTGCTGTGTTCGAAGAGGTTGTAGGGAGATTGGGTGAAGCGTCGGACTCGTTGTACCCGGCACTGTTTTAGCAGTGGCTGAATGTCTTTGAAGGTTGTCATATAGACGAGTTGCCACGAAGAGATGATGGACGCTTTTCAAGTATAGGACTCAGATGGGTCCTAGATACATGCGATGCCATATATATGAATGCATCGTACATATACTACCTGTACAGAGTAGTTGTACCTGATATCGGACGCACCTTTTGAAGTTTGCGGATCTCGGCAGTAACGAGGGAGTCGGCATCCGATATCCGCTACAACAGTGCTGTCAGCATGTGTGAGAGGTATGCGTGGAAGCTCTTGAAAGTCAGCCTTTGCATCCAAGATTTGTTCCTCTTAGTCCTATCCTCGATCCCATTCGCCTACTCTGATTACTAGCCATTACTGTCTCAGCTTGCTCCGACATAATTAAGCATAAAGATTAATAGGAGTCAGGAAGTAGTCTTCGCATCAATATTGTGAATGCATTGAGAATGGCTAGTGCGTGTGACGATTCACATGTGGTGATGCCGGATGCCTGCTGCCGCAGGCATCCCATATGTATTTAGATCTCGTTCCTCTCACCAACTTTCCTTCGTTCCTTCCCTATGCTTCGTTACCTCGTTGAATGCTACCATGTTGATTTGATATCTCGTGCCTGAGCTGTAACAGTGCGGATGATATTTGTCTTAACTTTTCATTCTTCTAGCCCTATGGCCAGGTTGCCTACCGAGCTTCTTTATATTATGTTCAGAAGAAGTTTGAGGCAGTTTACGTTTATCTCCGATTGCGCAGTAGCAATGACGAGAGGGCGGCCAGTGATCTATGATGTGGTCGGTGCGCCAAAGACGGAGAATACCTGTTGACAATGAAGCAAGTGCTTGATTGTCGTGGGAAAGCCACCAATCCTGTTACATCTCGCTTGGCTTGAAATTGCTAGCTCCAAGGTTTCGTCAAGACTAGAGACGTCAAATGAAATACGTTTTCGGTAATAGCCACAAGTCTGGCAGCCATCATGCTCATGAAGTGAACCCAGATTTGCCCCCCTCAGGATAACTAGGCGAGCAAGAGGGATATCTTTGCAGACAAGAGATAGGATACTTTGTAAGTCGTCTCTGCAGCATAATATAGAGCCTTCGCAATAGAATCGACTCTCAGAAAAAGTTGGTATCTCGTCAAGTTCGAAAAAGAACGAAGAAGCCAGGTGCGAACGGCAGAGGTCGTCTGGTATAAGACCTTCCAGTCGAGAAAGCTCGTCCATGCGATAAATATCATCTAGCTCGGGCAGATCCTCACGAGCTCCATGTCAAGGCGATATATATTCTCCTTCATCTTCTCTGGAAGGTTCTCAAATGCCTCTAGAAATCCTTTGTTTCCATCTACGGCTGGTGAAGAAAGGAAGGTTTTTATCCCACGGCCGATAAAGTTATTTCGCAAAACGCCGGCGTCTTGCAACGTGCCAATGCCATCTAAATACTGGGGTTTGAAATACCTATTCGTACCTGTTGTCAGTAAAGATCGATAAGGGATGTATATTGGACTTACCCCAAGGCGGCGACGCAACATCGGTTTCTGAATCATGTTAGTCAACTATACAGCCCGTATTAAATTAAGGGACATAGTGGTCAAGCTAATTTCGAGAATGACGGGATCGATCGAGCGTTTGATTTTTACTATAGTGCAATGAATTCAATCTGCTGGCTGTACAAACCGAACCTAAACTAAATGTGTCCTCGAATGAACAGGAAATTTATATCCCTAACACTAAGCCATTCAAATTCCAGAATATGGCTGCTTGTGAGCTTCCCGATATATTTTTGGTTCGATCGATGATAAATGGCATATAAGATGATCAAATATTATTATTATTATTTTCGGGAACCTTCACTAGAAACCGCCAGAGTTGTTCAAACTCCATATCTCACCCCAGATGTATGAGTTCAATATCAACAGAATGAAGGCCACTCTTCCTACCTGCTCTGGAAGTGTCCGGACATTATTTCAACGAGATGCAGTATTCCAATGGATAATGGTAAGCTGGCGGCTCCGGCGAATGAACAGAACACCAACAATACACGACCTAGTAAGCACTCGACAGTGAGCAACTACACGAATAACGTTGCACGATATACTAGGCCTAAAATCTGATGAGACGGAAAGCTTTACTTGAAACGATACTTTTGTCCAAGTTGAAAAGAACCTTTCTGTCTCATGTTCCTAAAATCTTTTCGGTGTCGCCATGTTAGTTTTGTTTTCTTCGTCCTTCTTCGCTATCAATGGCGATACGTTAAAGTACGATGCCTATGAAAAGTGATAACCAATTACAATTGGAACATTTATTGATACATCTCATATTGAGAATACTGCATAGAAAGCTCTGCCAATAGCAAACACAATGCAATGGCGTTTTCAAGCAATCTTACCTTGTTTTCCTAAACCACTGTCTTAAAAAACGCTTGCTCGAATGGAGAACAAAAACCTAACTATTACCCGGTCGCCATATATTCGACGTGCCTCACGGCATAGATCTTACTCTACTCACAAAAAACTCATATGGAATATGAGAAATATGAGAAACCGGTCCTCATACAGGCGCAAAAGTAAACGAAGCGACTCTAAGTCAATCGACAGAACTTTGTCTCGTTTGCTCGTGGAATTCTCCCGGATTTCAGGCTATGGCCGAGGTTTTGATTCCAGGTTTGCTTCAAATTCAATCAGTCATCAGGTGGATACTCCAGCAACAGAGAAGAAGAGTCGCTGTCCCCCTTTCAACTGCGAGTATATTCCGCAGCAATCGTCCGTATATTTCCTTATTATTAAAGCGGTTTATTCGACGTCAACAGACCAAGCTTCCATGCCATACACCGATTCAAGTTTGGTATTTAAGGGGTTAGCAAACTTATTTGCTCATACTATAGATTCTTTGCATAATGCATTAGGTGACAGTGCTAATTAGAACGAGTTCTCCTACCGGCCTAAGTCCAGCAGAATTACTGTAAGCTACGACCGCTTTGTAAATAAAGAACAATTGTAGGGTGTTGAGGATGCACCATAGACAGTTTGGATGAGAAGTCAAAAGGCCCGAATGGCCATATAAGATATGAAAATTACCATTTCCTGTACATAAAGCATTTATTGCAAGAGATCCCTCGCTATATTACTGAATATTATATTCAATATTACATCTCAGGACTACAGTCGGTTGGTTGGTTGGTTGATGTCATTTACGCTGACCTCTCGCTCGAAAGGCGGTTTACCCAACTGGTTATGAGCCCGAATTAGCGTAACCTTTGTGCACGCTGGTTCAAATCCCACAGACCCAACTAGACCAAAATACGAATCCGTGCCCAGTAGGCTGTGGCTTATAATCCAACTCTCCCCCGTAAACCATAGACGCTTGGCTGGGGGCGGTGCATGTAGCTCTGTTGCCTGGCTGTGCGGCCAATCATAGGCATTCTTCTGGTGGCTCTGGGTGCTCAACGATGCTGTAAACCAACTTCGAAAGCGATATGCAGGCTACCTCAACTATATATATCTATCCGCGTACAGTGATTCTCGATATCGCCTTGACCAGTATACACTGAGACTCGGCCCCACCGCCAAGGCCTTAGCGCAGATCATTTATTGAGCGGGTCGCATTAAACTGATGGGACGCAGGATGATGCGTTGTGTACGTTACAGTTGCGACGTAAGATTACATTATGCGTAGAAAACCCAATGGAATTCCATGGTAGATCTCTGCAAATCATGTGGGAAGGCCCCATTGCGCCTTCTCCTCCTTTTGTGCAGGATCGGCTAGTCATGACTTGCGAGGGTGTCTCTTTGGCCTAGAGAACCGCCAAATGTTTAGCTTGCTGGAAATATCGAAGGCCTAAGGCGCCTGATTGATGCTAAGGTGAAGGGAAGACAAATGACTAGGATTGAGCGCGACACCTTAATATGAGAAATTTTCTAACAGGATATCATGACTGTTAGAAAAAGCAAGGCTGATGAGAGCCCGGCTAATCATCGCGTGAAAGGTCGGATTCCACTATCAATAGCCACAAAACTTGGAGATGTTGGAATTACTAGGCTCCTGCTCGCGGCCCGATCAGGCAGTGTTACGTCGAACCCAGAGAAGTGGGCCGTACGGTTGCGCCAATAGAATCACAATAGGTCCCTATGCTAACAAGCCCTATCTAGCAATTTGTATGTACTTGACTAATCTTGACAATAACTAGTTAACGTTAACTAGTAGTTACATCCTTCCTCCGGGATCCACCCATCCTGCTGCTTCGCGAATGTTATGTCATACCTGATCTCTCAGCCCAACATCCAAGTCGCCGGAGCATCCTAGGTTGTCACAACCTCTACCTTTCACTGCACTCCTTACTTCGCTTTTCCACAAAAGAACCATACGGCTCTCTTCTCAATCTAAGCGCATCCATTCGGCCGGTTGCTCAAGCACTGGTTGACAATGGTTCCCTGAAGACTGACGTTGTAAGCCTCGCAGCTGACGCCCCCGGACGCATTCACGCAGACGCTATAACAGCGCTGGGCATCGTTATAAAGGTTCTCAATCTGGAAGGTGGCATTGGCACTCCAGCTGATGCAGCAGCCCTCGTAGCAGATATCGCGTGGGCCGCCCGACTTCCAGCTCCCATCGAGGCGGATGCGCCCAAGCAGTGCAATACAGGCGGCGCCCACGGCAACATGCGCGGCACTGCAGACGATCTGGTTGCGGGTCCAGTCCATCTCGCGTTTATCGACGGCGGCAGCGGTCGTCATCGTCGGTACCGCTGCTACCGAGGACAAGATGTCGGCCTTGCTCTGCTGCTGCTTGTTGTACTGGGAGGGGAGTGCGCGGTACGCCACCCCTAGACCCGGGGCGCTCGATGTGCTGGCGTAGAGCTCGATCAAGCTCTCTTCCGGCCCATTATTGCCGCTCACAGCGTCTAACAGACCGGCCTGCATCTGCGTGCTCGTGACGTTGGCGTACGCGGGATAGGCGTTCATTGAAAAGACGTTGTGCAGAAACACGAGATCGCCCCAGAGTGCCTGACTCGCGGCGCTTTGCGCCAGATTTGCGATCACCTGTA